CCGGCACGAACAGCCTATCTCGGAAAAACAGACGGCCTCCAAGCAGGTTCCAATCGTCGTCCCCTTCTCGGGCCCTTTGCCGATATGACTCCGCTTCCTCAGCAGTTAAATTCGCAGTAACCACTCTTGACATGATATCGATTGAAGAGTCGATTTCTCCTACGAGCCCCAGATCGGCCTTTACTGCTGAATCAAGAAAATCTTCAGTTAATATTGTTCGCTCACGATAGCCTTCATCCTTTGGCGCTCCGTCTCGACGGGTTAGCGTGTCCGCCGCGACATTGGCCTTTCCTGGCCGGAACCTCAAGACGAAGTAGTAATCAGTGAGGAACTCACACCAACGAGCTTGTCGGGCGTTGAGCTTTTTAGTCGTCATAAAATACTCCAAAGCTCGGTGATCAGAAAGTATCTCAAACCGGTCCTCCCGCTGTAGCCCCACCAGCTCAGGTCGCCACTCCTCAAGAGCGCGGACGATAGCTAGCATCTCTTTGTCGTGGATATCATAATTCCTTTCTGAAGGCGTCATCGTACGTGAGAAATAAGCCACCGGGTGCCATAGTCCCTCCTCGTGCAACTGAGACAAGATCCCTGCGATCACTCCATCCGACGCGTCGGTCTCTACACGTGTAGGGAGATTTGGCTGATAATGACTCAACACCGGTGCTGTTGATAAACAGAGCTTGAGCTTGTCAAAAGCCTCTTGGCAGTTTTTCGTCCATTCGAACGGCACGTTATTGTGAGTCAGGCGGTATAGCGGCTTGGCTATTCGGCTATAGTCCTTGATGAATCGACGGTAAAAGTTGCAAAATCCTAGGAACGACTGGATTCCAAACACAGTAGTTGGCACGCCCCATCTGAGAATAGCTTCGATCTTTGAAGGGTCGACTTCGATTCCATGTTCCGTAACGATAAACCCTAAATAACGTGTCTTCGTGACGTGGAACTCACATTTGTGGATTGCTGCCTGCAAACCGGCGTTTCGCAGTCTCTGGAGAACCTGCCTAACATGAAGCTCGTGCTCCAGTTCATTATCACTATAGATTAGTAAGTCGTCCACAAACGCGACGAGGAACTTATCAAGACAGTCCATGAAAATATCATTAATTAGCCGCTGGAATGTAGCTGGTCCATTTGTAACGCCAAACGGCATAACCTTGTACTTATACGTCCCATACCGACATCGGAAAGTTGTCAAGTCCTCTGAATCAGGATGCATTCGTATGCGATGAAACCCCTGTCGAATATCGAGCTTGGTGAAAACCTTCGCTCTACTGAGCCTCTCAAAGACTTCATCGATCAAAGGTAACGGGTACCGGTCCTTCCTGGTGATGCTATTGAGCTTGCGAAAATCCACACAGAATCGCAGACCACCACCTGGTTTCTTAGCCATCAATATCGGTGATGCAAAGGGAGCATTGCTTGGCACAATGAATCCTTTGTGCAAGTTCTCTAAAATGTATTCCCTCGCAGCCTCGAGTTCCTCTAACGACATCCGATAAATTGGACTATAACCCAGCTGCTTTTCTTCAGTGAGTTCAATTTTATGATCGTATAGTCGATGTGGTGGCAGTTCATCGGATTTCGACTTCAGGAAAACGTCGATGAATTCCCAATACTTCTCTGGCAATGTTTTCTTGATTCCCTCGGTCTCGGTGTCCTTTTCTTCTTCATTTTGCAATTGCAGTTGTCCATCAATGGCCTTTTCGATTTCATGCAAACTAGTCATGCACGTCTCTGTGTCCTTGTCCCGCACGTGACGAACAAATCCAACGGCGTTGATCAGCGCGATATCCATCGTTGGCGGGATCTTCTCATGTTGACGGACTCGCTTCGGTGGTGGTAACTCCTCTGGTTCTTTCAATGCCTCGCGCAGTGCTCTATTCATTCGGTCATAAGATGCAGCCAAACTCACGTCGTGGTGTCGACCATATACGACTGGTGGGTCTCGCTGAACGGTTTCCACTGAACTCAGCATTCTCTGATTGGCTGTGATTTCACCTCTCGCGAGAGGCGACATTGGAGACCAATTAGAGTCCTTGCTCCCGCGTGACGGAACCGCAACACGAAGAACTCTATCTTCAACCTCCATGAGTTTATCTCGACGTTCGACATCCCTCTGGTGCTTGGGATCCGCATTGATACGTTTCAGTATTCTCTTCGGGGCATTCAAATAGTGCTTCGTCACTAGGGTGTCCTTCAGGCTCGGCTCGTCTGGCCAAATCAACCGTCGGCCGTGGCAGTCAGGTAGGACTTTGTTCTCCGCAAACCACATTCTTCCCAAGATCACATCGTGTTTTCCCATATTGGCTAACAAGAAAGGCAGATCAAGTTGTCGTCGACCATCAATCAGTAAGTGTACTGTTAATACTTCATTAATTGGGGCCGCCTCCTTTCCATCGAATCCTCGGACCCGAAGTTCCTCTCCAAGAGGCTGTATGCTAACTGCGAGGTGATTTGCAATCAACATTGCAAATCGTCGATCCATAAAGGCTAATCCATTTGCTCCAGTGTCGGCTAGGGCTCTAGTTGAGACAGTCATTGTGTTCTTAGCTAATCTTATAGGTACTGTGAAACTTTCCTTCTCATTTCCTAACAATCTCGCTAAATCTAAAGCCCAGCAATCGACACTCCTTCGGCCTAAGGTGGAGACTTCCCCTAGGCCCTGTCTTTTACTTCATCTCCTTGTGCCTTTGGTTGTTCGGTCGAAGTTTCAATTTCCTTTATCTCCGTGCCCTTCTTGAAAGGACAGCTGTTGCGACGGTGCCCTGGTTGCTTGCAGTTGAAACAAAGACCTTGCTCCATGAGCGGCTTCAACTCAGGGTCTTGCCAGGGAAGGGACTTCTTCTTCTTGTCGTCATTTGAATTCGAGGCTTTGGCGGCGGTGGACTTCTTGTCAGTCGAGGGGATACCAGATGCCGTAGGGTTGAAGTTGTTCCTGTTGTCCGCCGTGCGCTGGGTCTTCTCTTCACGAGCGATTTGTTCCAACCGATTCGCCTGCATAGTGCAAAACTTAACAAATTCTTCGTACGACATCGTGCTGTCATTGCTCTCCCTCATGACCGCACGTTTCATCTCTGTGTTCATCTTGTAGTATAGTTCCTCCTTCCATTCAGATCGTGACAACCCCGAATCTAACGCAAGTAGGGCGAACTTCGACAAGAACGTCTGGAAACGCGTCTTGCCTTGAGTAAGGTTTCGAAAATCCATCTTGGCGTTAGAAACGCGGTTAGCGTCGAGGTAAATAGTGTCAAGATGTTCGATCATGTCGTCGGCATCAATAAAGGGGTCTGGGGCGTCATCGCGGAGACGCGCTAGCAAATGCTCTGCGGCTTCTCCTTCACACATCGACTTCACGTAAGCCCTGCGTGCTTCTGGGGTATCGTACTGATCTTTGTTTGCCTTCAGCTTCGCACGAACGTCGATTTTCCACGATTCATATCGAGGATCCTTCCCGTCAGAGAGCTTCTTCCCATCGGGGATCTTGGGCGATTTCTTTGTAACCGATGCCGCTACGGTTCCCGTCCCTGGTTCCTGATTGAGAAACCGAAGGGTAAGCTTGTTCATTGCAAACTGCAGCTCATCTCGCTCGTCAATCAATCGTTGGAAAGCTTCATTCTTTTGACTCAGCTCTTCGTCCTTCCTGAATATCTCATCCTGGTAAATCCTGTCTAGCTCAGTGCGTTGAGCCTTCAACAGATCGTTTACTCGCTGGTACATGAGCTTTGGTGCTGTTCGAATGTTTTCCAACCAGTTGTCGATAGTGAGGTCGTCTGGCAACTGCACATTTTCCTCAACGGTGACGTTGGCAGCTCCCTCAGTATCAAAGGTCAACCTGCGACTCCCACGATCGCGACCTTCCGTCGTCTCCCTTGCGCCGTTGCCTTCACATCCGTGTGAAGGCTCCTCTGACGCCGTCGAACCAAGCCCGGGCTTCGCCATAGTGGTCCCAACGAGACGTAAGTAAGATGATGATAAGATTTGATGAAAATGGGGACACTTAGTTTAATGTGATGGACGCTCAAGGCCCAGAAACAACTTCATTTCTAAGCGTAGCAGTATCGATGAAGAAAACTAAGTGTGAAGAAGAAGAAGAAAGGGGAAAACTGGCGCTGAGCCTTGAGGCTCTCCAAATACACTCTGTCATGGGATGGAGGCCTTATGGGGAAAGCGGTCTAAAAAGGCAGAATTGTAAGATCCTATCAACCAACTTGTTTGTAACTTAGGCCTTCCCTTCCTCTTCTCCCAAGCTTAGGATTATCATTAGAATAGGCTTATTGAGACGTCACAAATATCACAGTATTTGCAGAAGTCAGACTACAGTAAGAAAACAAAATTGAAAGAATATTCATGTTTCAGAGGCAGTCAAAGCTATGTGAATAAAGAATTACATCCTTCTTGCCATAACCATAAAACAGTCAGTCCCATCAATCTTTATGAATATATGGAATTATCCTAGGTTAACACACCTGGAGTCTCATTCTCAACCATTCTTCAATGAGCCCAGAATCCAGCAACTTTTCTTAGAAATCTTGAAAGGGGTAGATCAAAGAGAAAGACCTCAAATTAAGAAGTCATCAAGTTGAAACGATGAATCGGTGTGGAAGTTATGCAATCGGGGTAAATTGGTTGGGTATGGGAGAAAGTTTGGCTTCATGTTTCAAGGATGAAGACAAGGAAGAATACACTGAACTCAGTCAATGGATGATTAAAAAAAAAAGAGTCCTCTTTTTTACCTTAGGGCTATAATAAGTTGTCAGTTTTTTCTTTCAATTTGATATCGATATTGCGTCCATTCCAGTGTGTGTACCAACCAATTTTCAGGACCACCTGGCCGCTGTGAAGCCTACAAATCGATCTCTTTCTCATCCAAGTGTATTATTCCCAAACCTAGATTATTTCTTATCAACCGTGATTCTTCTCAGCGAATCTAATCTTCAACCCTACTACAACTCCTCTCTTTCTAGAGACTTTCAACTGTATCCACCACGCTCAAGTACCAAATGATATCGACTAATCTGCATGGGCCGGATAACTGGGTGTGTTTGGAGGAGCAGTCGAATATTTTTCATCAATCATGTCCTCAAATGGATCCTAAACTTGCTACCCTTCCTTCTGAATTGATACATCTGGTGGCGGGCTACTTGAGGACCAAAGACCTGTGTAGCTATGCAGCGACGTGCTGTCGAAACTGGGATATTCTCCAAGATACGTGCCATAAAGAGGCCGTACGAGTAGCCGGGCCAACGTATGATGACTACAGAAAGCACATGGCTACCTGGGACCCCTTAAATCTTGTACAGGTACAAAAGCTGTACCGGATATGGGAAAAAAAAAGCTTACTCATTGACGCAGTGTCTACTGGTCACTTGAATGCCGTCCGCAGCTTTTTAGACCACGGTATTAGTCCGAATTCGCACAACATTTACGGCAAAAGGCTTTTTCATCTTGCGATAACCATATTTAGATTGCCTAAGAGGTTTCCATATGAACTATATTGGATGACTGTACGATGGCGGCCGTGCCACGAGGAAGGCATGTCTGAAGCATATGAGATGATTAAACTTCTGCTATCCTATGGTGCAGACCCTAGTTTATCTGATGTTGATGATCCTGACACGACCCCGCTGTCTTTAGCAGCTGAATTGGGCATGAATGAACTTGTTTGTCTCCTCATCAACAGCGGGGCTAATGTGAGGCAGAAAGGCGTCCTCGGAAAGGTTTGCGCATATTGCGATCTGGAAGTTCTGCAGTTCGCATTGGATGTGGGTGGTGACATTAATGATGTAGACTCGGGGGGCTCAACTCTTCTCTATCACGCAGCCAAGAATAAAGATGTTGAGGTTATCAAATACCTTCTCCAAGCAGGTCTTGCCAATCAAATCAATACACCTAATCGAAAGGGCAAGACACCACTGCTAAAGGCAATCATGGCCGATAAATCAGACAATGTTGTAGTGCTGGCCGAGCATGGCGCTGATGTCAACATTGTGCATCCGAGCACTTTCCTGCCGGCGCTGCATATAGCCTGTGGACATTGGATGTCATTCGTAGCAGTGAGCGCCCTAATCGACGCTGGTGCTGATCTCAATCGAGAAGCTGCTTTTGGATCTCGACCACTTCACGCTGCTATGAGGGGTAAGGTCGAAACAGTCCGCGCAATTCTTCAAAGCGGCAAGCCATTCGACATCGCCGCGCGTAACAGTATATTAGGGAATACAGCCTTGCATTGTGCCATCGATCCGCCATGGCGGCCCAAGTCTTGGAGGCGGGATGTTGTCAGGATGCTGCTTGCCGCTGGAGCACCCAAGGAGGCCGAGAATTATTTCGGCTGTACACCCATTGATATGGCGTTTGAACACAAGGAGTTTGAATTTGTATATTGGATGCTCACTAGGGATTTGGAGTTCTGTGAAGACGATTCGATGTTTGATGATGACGAGAAGGCCAGGTGGCTGCATGATCATCAGACTGAATACGAAGAGCTTAAAGTCCTAGGACTTATCAACTTAGAACCTGTCAGATAATCCGGATTAGAAACAGGTCTAAAAAGGCACCTTAGGGCATATATCTGGGCACCTAGATTTCAGCCCAATGTTTACCCCTCATGATAGCTCACAAATCACCCCGCCAGAGATGTTCAAAAACCGAGCTTTGAAACTTGATGGACAGAGAGAGAGAGAACTGAATACATACAATCTTGCTAGTCACTTCTTTTTCTCTACCTTGTAAAACTGCTATTCAGGATTGGCCAGAAGTTAACCCAGCAATCCGACAGAACCCTGCCCAGAATCGGTTTGACTACCAAGTTGACATCGGTTATATAGCGTCGCATTGCCATCCCCATATATATACATGATCCAGTAACTTTGTGTGCATTTTTTTCTTACAGACATCGCTCTCGCTTAACACCTTGATTCCCACGCAATTCGATGGTTTTTCTATATCCACATGGATATATTGCGTCTGCTTTCCCCCTGGGATAGAGATTATAGATAGCAAGTTCTTCATACATCAATATATGTCAATTCTACTGTGTTGCCCTACATTTCTCCTAGATCAATTCGACAGAAGATTACTACTAGTACTAGAAAAGTGAGTTGCCTGAGCAAAATGGTGCTCTACAGGTCTTTAGGACTCAGTTCGATATAGATCGTAGGCTTCCAGTTAGTTGGCCAGAGAGTTTGGTAAGTAGATTTGGCCCCTCGATGTGCAGTTGACTCAGTTGACGCCAGTATGTCGTTACTGAGCTCTTTTTTTGATCATGTAGGTTCTTAGCACCCAGTGGAGGAAGTTTTCCATGCGGGCAGTCTCACATCTTCTCAGCATCTCACGGGGTTCCAGATCGACAACCGAGCTTGATTGTATTTCTGTCGCAGGAATTCACCAGGACAGAGACCTGCTGACAACTAGCCTTCATATAGCAAATCTCAGAGAGCGTAGCGAGCTAAGCACTTACAAACATATAAAACACCCACCTTTGTCATCTAGGTTCAAGAAAGACAGACAGCTCAATACATACAATTTTGTTAGTTCACATCTCAGGACTAGCCAATCAGGGGCCTAGGGCTAGATTCACTGAAGCACCACGTCTATATTGAAATAAACACCTTATCATTTTGATTATAGTCCAAATGCAAAGACAATATAGAATATGCATTTTCGCCAGATAAAAAGATATTTCGCTTGACAGAAGACCCTTCCTTAAAAGCCACTTAGAGCTGTCACCAGAATAGCAATCACTTTGAAAGCCAAAAAAAGAGGTCCAAGCAGCGAGCAAGTAGTACCAAATGCATCAAGTATTCTTAGTATCCAGTATCTGGCATCCTTTTAGGTGCATCAAACATATTGCCAAACCTGCTCCGACCTAGAGGTATTCCTCTACGACATCTCGATAATAATGCTTTCCTGTATTTGGTGCCCTTTCAGTCCATAGTCATCAGGGATGGGCTACCTTCATAGCCGTAAGAGTGTGCCAAATGATGTGGAAGCACTGCCGGACCCCAAGGATGCTCGCGATGAGGATAAATATAATAGCTTTAACACTACCTGATGATCCCATTAATACATATAGGACGTAACAAACACTTGGGAACTTACACAAGTAATGCCACAGGGGCCTAGCTATACGTCACATCACTGGGATATAAGAGAGGTACGGTGAATCTCAGTCTAACTGCGCCCGTGATCACAGTTCTACATTGCACAGGTGGTTAATGGTTGTGACACAACTAATTAATATCAACCAGGGCTTACATGCAAAATGCCAGCATCATTGAGATGGCCTGGGTTTTCGATAAGAAGGCCAACTGCGAAGACATAATGAAGGAGACAGGGAGCATCGTCAATCCCAGATCAGAGATGATATCCAACACAGCGATCACCACATAGACCGCACCGCGATTGATATATTGCCTGCGTTCAGCCGTATTCCACGACTTCAAGATTGGTCGACACGCGAAGATCAAACAACACGTCGTCATGATCGATCTAAGAATGATGACATCCGCTAAGCAGTTGAGACTATCATAACACGGAAGTGACTTCGAGTCATAGTTAGCCAATACAGAAACAACAGTTGCGCGACTTTCGCCAAACAAAAGCTGGACACGAACAGGCATGTTGCACTGAAATATAGCTAGATTTTTATATGCGACCAGTGTGGGGTTTATTTCAAGGATCACGGTTATAAATATTAATAGTCGGAAGAGCAAGAAGTACAATATGCACTCTGTAACGGAGCGAGGATATCAGGATCAAACGTAAAGCATAGAAATCTAACAGGATTTGATCTAAGAACTAGGAACTATGTATACAGGAGTAAGCCTATATTCATGCCTGAGCATGCCTATAAAACCCCTACAAAGCCTCCAACAAATCCCTCAAAGATGAAGCTATTCCTAGGTTTGAAACATATAGTGTAAAGAATTCGGTGAATGGATCGTATAGACTCAGAGGATTGATATCATTCAGTAATAGTGATTAATGATCAGTTGCTTGTTAGTATTGATAAGGAGTTGATTCGATGCGTTGATTCTCTGTGTATTACCTTGTCTACTCTTTTTCTCTAGTTACATACAACTCAGGGGTTGAGACTATAATTAGCCTCGGAATCACTAGTCGTCACGTGACCTGTGATCATATTCTTTACACATAGAACAAAGCTCTCTCGGGGTTTCCTTAGACATTGCAAAACCTCACTGCCATTGTATGCTTGGCGCGACTACTGCCTAAGGCAGTCCTCAAAATGGAACTATAATACTAGCTTAGTCCCCCCCATTCAAGTAAGTGAGCTCCAGCGTTGTGATAAAGCCTCCTGGGCCTCTCCTTTACGGGGTGGAGCGCTTGTGGAACTGGTCGACCTTCTAAGCGTTTTCTAGGTGCGTAGTTAGTTTGTATTTTGCCTGCTTATCCATCCTACCAAGCTAAACACTCTAACTTTCCTTGCAAAACCTGAGAGTTTAATATCTCTTTGACCTTATATTCTGCATTATTGCCTTCCTTTACTGCAGCTTTGGGATCTTGTTGATTTGGGATAGATACCTGTTGTAATATAAAAGCTTACTTATATGGAAGACTGGATTTCTCCTGTACCAAGCTGGAAGGTTAAGTTTATTTACTGAAGCACTGAGCCGAGTCTTGCTTGGAAATAGGCTATAGTATAAGCTATTTAATTTCTAGTTTGGGCGCTGTCTATGCAACTGTTTATCTTTTTAAAGATTTTGTTACTTGGGTTTTAATCTAGTGTTAGTTGTAAGGATCTGACTCTGGAACGTGATGAAATTCTGTAAACTGACTGGAAATCTAAGACACAAGGATAGAAACAAGAGGACTGCTGATTTCCGGGATGAACTGGTGGGTAAGATGAGCTAGGATAGCCGAGATACATTTATGACTGCGATCGAATACATATCGTCGAAGTCAAGCAGATAGATAAGACATCGCGAGACAAATCATGTGGTTTAGGGTTTTACATCGTGGTAAATACATTTTGGAGAGGGGAGATCATTGGCGTTGACCTAGTAGAAGCGACAGCGCCTGGAAGGTGTGGATTGTGCTCAGTTTCGGATCACTGAACATGTCTGTAAACATGTATCTGGCTTACTGATCTGATCACGGCTCTCAGGGGTGTTACCTAGTTCTACTCAATGAGTAAAAGCGGCGAGGGGATGAGCACTAAAATGGAAAGGGAAAGCCACAGAGCGTCAAAGGAAATCCGGTACGTAGGTAGTCTATTAGGCATCGATATAGCCCAAGATAGTTTGAAATATGCCTACTCCGTAGACGGCATGTAAATGTTTACTCCATATTATAGTCTCTTGTTAGAGGCCAAGGAGGGTATTCATCGGATAGAACATGTGATAACTATAGTTTGAAAATGCAGATTGAAAGTCAGAAAACAGCTCACGACTTTCACAAGTTCACAACCCTATCCTCCGTAGTAAGCGCAAGGAGCAGACCTTACGGATTCGGAGTGCATCTTCCGCAACCTAGGGTCCGCCCGTATCTGCAATTGTGAAACAAAGGAGGCGCATTAAGTTAGGCTGTTAGTCGATAACTCGAATCGAATGTCAGTAGATTGTGACTGATCGATCTGTCAATTGTATGGCTCGTGCTGGCCTATCGAGTAGCTGCAACGAGCATGTCGTACTCCGTACAGGACAATGAAAACTTTGAATCGCCTTGCATATGAATTTCGTCCAGCAGCCCTAAGAGACCGGTCTAGCGGGAGATCGCTTACCACGTCAGATGTCTGTGTCTCGCCGATTGCGCGTATTCGGGACCTCAATTGTCTTGGAGAACACGGCTGAGTGAGACCAGGCTTGCCCCTTTTCTTATCGCTTGCTCGTATAAATCAGAATAGCCGCGGTGGTCGAGACTCTGGTCCCCGAGTCTTTGATGACGATGCATGACTAACGTTAACGGTTAGCCCTATTATTGGATACGCAAGTCAGTTAATACTAGATAAAGGCCCCTGACGGCGACCGTGCTGTCAGTGCATGTGATGCAATGCAGGAGATTCGTTTAGAGGCATGAGTCGTCAAGATGATCGAAGTAATGATCGGTGAATTTGACGAGAGAGAGTGTGTATGATAAGGTATGGTAAAAGGATAAGAGAAAGAGAAAGAGAAAAGGAGGAATGCCAAGCCCAGCAGGAAACTGGTTCCTTCCTCCGGGTCCTTTCCCATTCCAGCAATCGGGTCGTGCCTTCCTTCCCTCGCCGATCATCCAAAGTAAAGCTCATCCTTCAGCTTCATCTTCTTCCATCTTTCATCAAATACTTCTCTATCAGAACTCTTCTCAACTCTAGATCCTCGACGTTATCCGTTCTCGGTCCTAACCCTTGCCTGGACAATGTGATTGCAACGGTTCCCGTTCCATCTCTCGCATGGCCGCAGGCCCATCACAAATTCATGCCGTCTCGCCGCCGGGGAGTACGGATGCCACTGCCATTAGTGCGTTTTGACTCTTTTCTACCGAGCCTCGATTATCAGTCGATTTCCCCTTTGTATGTATTCATGCTCAATACCCCGTGCTCATAGCCTCACACTACGTGCTCCCTCGCGCGATCCGACAAGGTAATTGTCAATCTGCGAGTGTTAGACAACAGCATGCATTAATAGAGGGGATCTATTTCGAATCAGTCGAGCTGACAACACGGACATTAAAAAAAGCAAACATCTTGAACAAGCAGGGATCGACTCCATGTCTCTCCAACTGGGCTGGTGACACGAACACCCTTGCGGGTGTCAAATAGCTAAGCTAAGAGCGTACTAAAGCCGCCACCATGCAGACCGTGCTAGTTACAAGCCTAACGGGCCTAGGATGAAAAAAGGTCAAAAAACGCGAATTTCATGCTGCACCATCGTCCAATCAAGCCCCTGAGTCAATATTGACTGCGGATCTCCAATATGGCTGTCTCTCCTTTGATTCGTCTTCTGCGCATTCGCATGAGGAAAGAAATTGACCAGTCCCGTTATGTCATATCGTTCAAAGAAAAAGGGAAAAAAGGAACAAATCAAAAAATAGGAGAACCTTGCCTCGGGCTTGAAGTGGGTAATTGTTTCTATGCTACTTTGCACTAAAACACGTCGCGTACACCTTTTTCCCATGCTAACTAACTACGGAGTACGTACTCCGTACTACGGTCTGTTTTAGTATGGCTCGAACCCGCACTCCGTAAGGTTGCCCGCTTTGCACCCACCAGAGCTCGAGGAAAGGATGAACGCGCTGAACAGAGAAACCGAGAGGCCTGGTACATGCTCTCTCTCGCTCCATCGCCAGTTTCTAAGCCAAGTGGACCCACTCGCCTTAGGGTGAATGATTCTCTTGAGTTAGCTCTCCAAGACGCTTCCAAAAGACTGGTTCGTTCATCCGAGCTTACAGGAGATGTCGTCGTACTAGTCGGTTTCTAGTGCTGGACTGCGTGGGGTGAAGGCTAGCCGTCATTTCCACTCCTGTGGCACCAGCTCCTTGTCGTGTTGGTTAGTCGCATTAGTCGCAGTCTCGCGAGTCACGCTTTCTCCTTAAAACTTTAAGCAGTGCAAAAGGCTCTACGTCGTTGGCTGCGGCGATTGGATTGTTTCATCCGGCTTGTTTGGTTTCTCAACTTTCTTGACTGCCTCTTGTTTCGTTCCATCATCGTCCCAAGGTCTTCGTTGACAGCAATTGCAAAATTCAATATGCTTTGAGTTTGTGGCAAGTTGTCGCGGAGAGTCAACGATCTGCGAGCTCAACGCCATCCTCTCGGTCCTCCTTGGTAAGTCCCAGTCTCTCACACATCATAAAGTCTAATTGGAGAGACGATGCGAGTTTGTTTGAGTGGCACATGTAATCTAATTGCATTAATGTCTCTTACAGTTTCTTTTTCCCCTCCCCTTTCTCTCTTCTAAGTTCTAACGGAGGTCGAATATCGCTGGTCGTGCTTTCAGCTCCGTCTGTCAATTTCGAAGATCCACGCAGTTCGTCAACCTCGACCATCTGGCTACGGTTGAGCCTCATACATTCGTCATTACGTTCGTCGGAACGGAGCAGGCTGGACCTGTGACTAGGCTCCTGTAAATCTCGACTGTGTCTTTTCGAGCTTCATGCTGGACGATATGTTACAATAAACGTTACGAACAATTGCAACATCCGTACGGGGAAGGGAATTGCTTCGTAATGGATGGCACGATGCCTTCGCCGCCGCCGGTGCCTTTCCGGGCACCGTCGAGGGCAACATCTCACCATCGAAGAAACTCGTCCATGGGCGACATTTCCTCGTCCCCGTTTGAACCCTTCTCTCCAGTCGTTGATGATCTCGACGTGGGCTCCGACAATGTGGAGGAAGAACCCTTTTCAGCATTCGATCCGCGCCGGTTCACTCCGACACTTCATGCAAATCTAGTATCCGAGATTCTGTCCCTGAGGAGAGAGCTTGAGGGTAAGAACAAGGAAATTGCGAAATTGGAAACGAGTCTTGATGAGTCCCAGAATGAGAATGAGATGATGAATGAGAATATAACCAAGGTCACCAAGGAGAACCGCTCCCTGAAAAAGCAGATGCAGCTACTCGAAGGAGGTACTTTGTCAGCAATCACCGAGATAGCCAAGGAGCGGGATGACGCCGTCGAAAATATTACAGATGTCCGGAAACGACTGGAACAAGCCCAGAAGAAACTCAAGTCCAAGGAAGAAGAAGTGGACAGATCCCAATCGCTTTGGGAACGAGATAGGGAGAATTGGGATACAGAAAGGAGAAATTGGGAACGAAAGGTGCACGTCGTGGAGAACAGACTCAAGACCATTCTGAACGAAGTCGCTGCGGCACAGGCTGCAGGTAATTTCCAGAAATTGAATGACCCTGATGAAGACACTACGAAGGATAATAGTACGACACTAGATAGTGCTAGCGTTCGATCGAGCAGCGCTTTTGATAGACGCCGAACGAGTGCAAGTAGCGCTAGCACTTATGATGGGGAGCCCTTGAACAGTGGTCGATTCTCTTCGATGAGTTTCGCCAACGCGAACGGAGTTAAGGGAGAGGGGTTCAACTTGGCGGATGAACTCGCGCTGGATGAAGACGAGGAGGATTATATGGATCTCATAGAAGAGATCCCGGGGATGCGCCCTCTTTCGGTGGCGTCACAGTCTTCCCTGAACGCGGCTCTCAAGGCCCGGAAGATCCTAGGCTTGTCTATGGATGAAAGTGTGACTATGGGCATGAAAGAGTTGATCAATTTAGATGGCTCTGCACCTACGACCAACGAGCCAGAAGTCAAACGAGAGTATCGCGATATTGGCACCCAATATACACCACCCGCGTCCCCTCAGCTACCTCCAAGTGATCTTGCAGCTGTCGAAGATCCAAACTCAAAGTCTGAAATCATCGAGACTGTGGTTCCTGAAATGAAGGATATTGCCGTCGAGACATTTTCCGCTGAGATGTTATCCACGTCGTGCCAGACCGATGATGTTATAATTTCTATACCGGCTTCTGAGCCTGACGTTGATGCAGAAGTATCTGCAGAACCCGCCAAGATACCCACTGTTTCTGTTTGCACACAAACTGATATGATATTCGAGGAAGATGAATCGAAGAGAAGCTTGAAAGTGGAAAATCAGCAACCGTCACCTCAAACCACTCCAACAGTGCCAACGATTGCTATTATTCCTCCCGGATCCGAGCCAGCAACACCACGCACCAGCCTCGTTTTGCCTCCCCACACAAAAAGCATTGCATGCCAAACAGAGTATGAGCAGTCATATGATATGCGATCTGTCGGTATGCAAACGGAGGCAATCCAAGTCGATCAGCGGCCAGTCAAGCTACCCGCAAGCCTCCTCCCGTCAGCAATCTTTGACAAAACGGATAAGGTCGACTCGGAATCTATATCACTACCATTCATGTCACCTCCTCCACGGTCTCCCCGCCGACCACTTAATAAAACGTTCGACTCCAAAGACAAGGACAAGAAAGCCAAAAACTTGCCAGACCTTGTTCAAGCTTATCCAGGAAACAACGACAATGGACCCTTGGCAGAAGATGATACATCTGATATACGCAGACCTTTGCGGTCAAGCAGTCTCTTTGCTGGATTCGACGACACGAATGATGATGAATCACTGGAAGTTCCCGCCGAACTTCCTGATGTCTTTAGCGACGATGAAATATTTAATCGCCCAATGGCTTCCTATACACTGCGTTCTGGTAGGATGGTCAACCGGTCGCGCTTAAGTAGTGATACCCTCCGGGAAGAGGATGAATTCGATATTGATTTGCCTTCCAATCTGCACACCGGAGACAGTCTGGGACGAAAGACACTTAGTTCAAAGAGCTCAACTGGATCGAAGCAATCTGACATACGTCGATCGGCATTGATTACCAGCGGTGCTGTTGCACACCAAAGAAACCGACCTCGTAGCCCAAGCGACCCCAGCATCGACAGTGCATCTACCGGTGCTGCACGACCTCCGTTCCCCGTACCAGTCCGACTTAGCTCAAGGAATGTGCAAACGACGCGCAGCGAAAGTAACCAGAGCCCCACGCCTTACAGTGATGGGAACAGTTCTACAGGACGGAGATCGCGACGTATTACGAGACAGCCTACACTTCGCAAAGTCAGGTCAGCAACTGCCATGCAGAAAAACCAGCAAGAGCGCGCTGGCAGTCGCTCGCCTCCTCCTATGTCTGCTTCAGGGATGTCGAACTCTTCTTATGCTCCGGATAGTCCTCAGTTGCCACCTCTTCCACCTATGCCCACAGATGAGCCTGTCATCTACCGCCCGAAGAGGACCGCACGCAGAATTCCATCTAGTCGTCCTGGTTCAATTCGGTCCCAGGCTCAGTCGTACAGTGTCGAAGAGCCTTCCTCGGATCACGTTCAGTCTACTAACGTTGTCGACGCCATAGCGCAGACCATGGTTGGCGAATGGATGTTCAAGTACGTTCGTCGACGCAAGTCATTCGGCATGTCCGATAATAAAGACACGATTGATCCAACAAAGAGCACAGAAGAGGTTTCCGCAAGTATCACAAGCACTGGAGTTCGACATAAGAGGTGGGTGTGGTTAGCTCCTTACGAGCGCGCTGTAATGTGGAGCAGTAAGCAACCGACCAGCGGTCCTGCGCTTCTGGGCAAGAATGGACGAAAGCGTAAGACTTTATTCTCGCTAAGATCTGGCTGTAACATACTAACAGATTGCAGTTATTATTCAATCTGTGCTTGACGTCAAAGATGATACACCATTGCCGAAAGGTTCAAATGTCCAAGCTCCTTTCAACCGATCAATCCTTATTCTTACTCCTCAGCGTGCCCTGAAATTCACGGCAATGTCATTAGATCGCCATTATGTATGGTTAACGGCACTGTCGTTTTTGAGTCATACTTCTATTGGTATGGGTGAACTGCCCTCTATACCACCACCGATTCCGCAGGAAGAGTACGCTGCTCGACCACCAACAGCCAGTCTACGTCGTAACCCTATTCGAGATTCGATCAGAGTCGCGAAGGGGAAACCTCGCCCGCAACCTAGCAAACGATCTTTTACGGATAATTCACATAATTCTGAATATACCGGTACCGGTTTTGACCTTGAACCGATCATGGATGCAGCAGATCCTCCCACAGTTCCTAGATACGCAGGTCATACACGGAAGCGCAGCAATACTGCACCCAAGGCTCCATTGTCGGCTCCCTTGACATCTGCATTCCGCAGCTTCTCTAGCCACGCCACCTTACCATCTAATTATAGCGCCATTACAGCGGCCTCATCTGATATCTACGCATCGTCATCTATCGGCGCCCCTTCCGGGTTGATGAGCGGAAGGAGCAGCGTCAGTCGTCGTACATCTGAAGCCAGTGGACCAACATCCAGTATTGTGAACGGAGGCTTCTTTGATCCTATGGGAACGGTGCGGATGGAAGCATTCATCGAACGTGTGGACAATCCTCGATCCCGAGTCACGAACCATATGAGCCACAGTCAGCGCAATCGAGCATATCGCAAACGCGATAATGTTCAGTGGAATACGGGAAATGACTTTGACTTGCCCCGCTCTGAAGATGGAAGTGAAATCTACTATCGGAATGATGAATTATTCCGAGGATTTTGATCAAAAATCTCGCTGACATCTACTCTTCATTATTGTATCATATTGTTATCTTTGCATTCACTACTTCTATACCGGGATTTGCTCACAATCCGGCCGTGACTGTCATTTTATCTTTTCTTATCTATTTAGCCTGCACTTTCTGTTTCCAGTCAGCAGAGAGCGAGGTTTGTACTGGCGCTTCGTTGTTAGCATTTCATGATACCATTTGAATTGAGCCAGGCTTGTCAGCTTTGTATAGTCGATTGTATGTATTTTTCTTGAAAATAATATTTAGAATTGAAATCGGGAACCGGATTGAGTTTAGCTTTACATGATTGAACTGTAACATCATAGAGCAACGTCGGCGCGATACCTGCTTAATAGGGAATGTTTTTGCAGAAAAGAGAGGGGAAAAGCTGGGGAATAATTGTTGCCTATCATATATAATTATTAACTATTTCAGTGAGTCATGCAATCACCTGGGCATGCGAGGTGGGTACCTGACAGGATCCATACTCTCAAAGTCAATTGCGGAACTCTGATAAGACATAAATACTTCTCTTGGGTCTCTCCCCTCTTCACAACTGTCTATTGCTGAGACCCTGTCTACATCAAGCAAGCACTCAACGAAGGGGTTTACTTTAGAAGAAGGCGATTAAGAAAGCGCAAAATGACTCAAACAAAACCCGAAATTACAGTCGTCCGCGCCACCGAAAATGATACTCTAGTCCTCGCGGAGATAGAATCATTAGCCTTTGATGGTCCATCTCCTTATGCCCTCAACAGGACTAATACTACTTCTGAGAATGAACCAGACAAAGGATCAGAACCCATATCCCAGAACAGAATAATGTTCGGTCTCCCCAGTGCTGAGGGACGAGCAATTCGTGCTCGCGGCATAAATGAGCGCTTGAAAACCAGTTCCGACTATCATATATACAAAGCTGTTCTTGAGGAAGAAGACGGCAAAGAAAAGATTGTCGGATTTGCGGCATGGAGGTTTTGCGCCGATGAACCTTTCCCCGTGGAGGATACCTGGAAGGATTTGCCGTGGGAAGGGTGCGCTAATCCACGGGCGTGTAATGACTTTTTTGGGGCGATTGCGAGGTTCAGGACGAAGTATCTTGGTGGGAAGAAAGTTGCCTGTTCGTTTTCCTCCTGATTTCCCCTTGATCTAAATCTAGCATACTAACTGAAGGGGGAATATAGTACTAGAGACTCTAGTCATCCATCCCTCAGCTCAAGGGCTAGGGATAGGTTCTAAGATGCTGGAGCGAGGATTGGAGGATGCCAAAAACTTGGGTCTGACGGAGTCCTGGTTGGAGGCTTCAGATGCCGGGCATGGGTTGTATTACAAGTTTGGATTCAGGGTTGTCGAGGAGTATATTACTGATTTTTTTAAATATGGTGCTGAGGGAAGTTCGCGGCTTAGGGTTATGAAGAGAGAGGATGCTTGATTCTTTGCTATAGGGGGCGTAAGGACTTGTCTTCTAATAGGTAGATCTATTGATGCTATCAAGTTAAAGTACATAGAGGAAAAAAGAATGGCCTAGGTTGCCCGGCCAGTTTCTGACAGAAGTATGTTGAACGTCTGACAGAGCTGGATCATGGAAAACACATTTATCTGATCATCGACTAAGCCCATTTGCCCAAGAGCGCCATGACACCCGTTCCCAAAATCGTAGTAATAACCATGAAAGCCAACCTCCGACGATCATTAGTCCTGCAAGGATCAAACAAGAAATCCCTAGCCAACAATTCCACCAAAGCAGTATAAATCAAGATACCCGCAGAAATAGAATCAAAGACACCAGAGACGATGTTAGCCGTGTTGGAGCCAGGGTTATACGTCTTCCGTAGCCCTAATCCAATTGCGATTGCGATGGGTGTTGTGAGACCGTATACAGCACTGAAGATCCAGGGCAACCAACTACTGCGCTTGAAGGGGATGGCAGACATTCTAGCACCGATACCGAGGCCTTCAAAGCTCTGATGGAAGACCAGGACGGGGTACAAGGTACTGAACTCATCTCCGGCAACACCCAAGTTGAGTCCGATGATCACAGAGTGGAAGATTACGCCAAACTCGAGGATGAGGAAAGCGGCGATTTGTTGTTTGAATGATTTCTCGGCGGTGACGGAGTCCATGTCACTCAAAGTGTCCCAGGCTTTGATCGTGGTGGTGTTGTTATTGTTTTCGAGTTTGTTGTTGCTTGCAGTAGCTGTATCGTTGACGTTCTCCGGTAGAGAGTGGTCATGTTCCTGGACAAATGAATGCCGTCCAGTTGTAGCATTCGCTTCAGTATTCACGCCATATTTGGACTCAACATAGAGCTCAGCACCAAAGTCCATCAGGAAGATGACCGTGATAGAAGCCAACACAATAGCCGGTGGCCAGGAGTACTCAGCCCAACCACCCGTCATGCCAACACAGCTATCGGGACCAATCTCATCATAAGCCGGATCAAGTAAGTGCACAAATGCAGTTGCCAGAATTACTCCTGTACCAAAGTAGCGAGCAAACAGGTAGACATACACGGGGATCTTGAGGCGCGGTGAGCGACGGGCGATGACAGGGAAGAGGGTTGCCAATGTGGAACAGATCAGGATGACGAAGATGGCCGAGATACGTGCTCCCATGTGGCCATTGTATTCATTGCCGCCAGCTTTCAAGTAGCAGACGACTTGGGCCGGGTCAGCTGTGTTGAGGTCGACATTGGAAGGGTCAAAGTCAGTTGCCATATTGGGAAGGTTTTTGCTCTCTCTTTCGGGCAGGGATGATCAGGTGATAAGGTAAGATGAGAAAAATCTGGCTTGACGATCGAATTCAGTCACACAGGAAGGGAGTACTCCTTATATAAGCCAGTAGGAAGAGAAGCCCTGCAGATTTTTTGCGCGGTTAATAGGTATTGAGGACCTTGGGAATTCTTTGGCGACCACGGTGCAAGCCCTCGAGATGAATCATGTCCACACTTGACAAAGATTCCACGAATAACCACAAAGTCTAGATTGGAAAAGATTTTTCTTATGTTACAATATGTAGTAGTCGCAATATGAGGGTCAGCAGATTCGGTGTATTGATTATCTGATTCGTGAAGATTCGAAGACAGGGAGGGTCTGGGACAGGGGCCCCCAAGAGGAAACAGGACCGAGTCCCTCGTGTCGTAGAATATTCTTCATTAGTGTAAGCTGAGTTCAGTTACTTGCAGGAACTACCATCTGTTTATATGATTGGGTATATGATTGGATATAGAAGGATGATGTGGATTATAGAGGGTTGGCTCACAAGGTACTTGTCCTGTCTACCACTCTGCGCTCTGTGCGGCATATTGCGCTATTACTGAATCCAGTACTAGGCTGTCGTTCGGTGGATGGACTCGATATTAGCTGAGTACCCAATGGGCAATTTTCCTTTTCCTGCTTGTGGAAATAAGAGAAAAATGTTTTCTGGGCATGTGTCGGTTGACCTCTGCCGAGGACCCTCGAGACAAGACGACGTCAGGTACGTGCCTCTTATTTGATACTAAGAAACACATGGCCAAGTCCGTGAATCAGTTTTCGCACCTTGGAAGCAAAGAATAGAATGCGCCGCGCTAGAGACCGTAGTGTTAGGGCTGTATTGCACTAAGCGTTGTCAGGATAGGCGTGTCACGATTCGGAATAGCAATAATAAGGCAAAAAAATGAGCAGAAAGAAGTTTGATTCTCGTAATATGTACTAGTAAGAAGATGTAATTATTGTCCAAGTTTGAGTGCTGTATATAATTGACATCCACATGCCCTGTTGCCAAGCAAGAAATGATATACCTATATTGGTAGCCGAGTCGCTACTCACATCAAAACGACCAACACTATATCGAGCTCTATCACTCACGCCAGCACATGTCACAATCCCAATCACATTTGCAACCGAGAAACAAATCTAAAGCTTGGCCACATCCTTGACCTCGCCAATCTTCAATTTGGGCGAATACTTCTTCAACACGCCTTCATTGTGGTACTGTCCGAATATGTCAGGTTAGCCCACTTCTCCTGCCATCACTTCATAAGAGAAGAAACAACAAACCTTCCAGAACTGCTTCGTCGCATCTTTACCGGCAACTCGCTTCAAGATCTTAGCACCACCGGGATGCTCATCGGCAAAGTTGGTAACATCATAGACACCACTGTCGATGATGATATAGAGGCCCTTATCGGGAGTGTTGTGTGTAGCCACGTCGGCGGGGGTAAAGGTCTTGTCGGACATTTCAGGATCTTGTCTCGTAAGATGTTGGTCTCGTGATGATACTATCCGCGCATGACAGACGGGTGTTAGTAGATCGTTTCTTGCGAATACTGTCGAGGAAGCAAACGTACATATATCTATCTCCTTCTTTGTCTTGCGCGACGTCCGACAATGTAAGAAAGATAAATAATGAAGTTGAAATAGATTGAGATATTCTTTCTTGGAAGAAGGAGGTTAGTTAACTCGAGCCGAGGTTCGGCAATAGAAGTACTAATCCAGACACGCTGATTGGCTGCATTTCCCCGCATGCTCTGATTGGTTCAAACTGTTTTCGAGATGTGACGCCATTACATTTCTCTTCTACGCTGGAATATGCACATTTCATAGACATTCATGATATCGACCATGATATAAAACAAGTAAATACTATACATTACATCTTACTCTTCTCGCCAGCCGCTCCCTCCCCCTTGGGAACCTTCTTATCCAATCCCAACGTCTCCAAATCCTTCTTCTTATGATAATGGGGCGCTACTTCAACCAACCATTCCGGTTGTAAAGGCATATTACTCCGCATATACTCCTTACTCGTAAGCACCAGCTCGTAATAAATGACCCATTTTGGATTCACTTCAAACAGTGTGCTGGACGGATGCAAGTAGACAGTCTGTCCATTCTTGACGGTGCGGTAGCTGTCACCACCGCGTTGGAGGCGGGCGGCATTGGGGAAGAAGCCGGCAGTAATGGCCTTTTGAATGGGGACGATATTGTTAGCGCCAGCTGAGGTGACGGTGACTTCGACCCGGTCACATAGTTTCGCCAATTGATCTCGTACGTCGCGCGCACGAGTCAGACTGCGTTGTTGGAGGAAATTCTCGCGAGCCCAGACGTAGCTAAAGTCCGAGTCAACCCATTGATTCCAGATATTGAGTAATGAGAGATGGTCTCCTCCTTCTTTGATGGTGAATCGTGCGCGGGCGCTATCTGCGTGAATCTTCTTGTCCTTGGGTCGGTAGAAGAGAGCACTGGCTTCGCCAAGCATGGCGATGATTGACAACACTTCTTCCACACACCCGTATTTAGCAGCAGCCAGAATGGATTTGGCTAGCATGGGATCCGTGGGGAATTCTGCCATCTGCCGTCCGATCTTTGTGAGTTCGCCGCGGTCATTGAGTGCCCCTAATGCATAGAGCTGCTCTAATGCGCGAATGATGGTCTCGGCTGGCGGAGGGTCCATGAAATCAAAATCGAGTAACTGATCAATGCCTAAAGACTTAAGCATGAGTATGACACTGCTGAGATTTGTGCGCTGAATCTCTGGCGTTGTGTTCTCTTCCAGTTCATTGTGATATGCCCATTTGGTATATAGTCGAAAACATTTACCCGGACCAACACGACCGGCTCGACCAGCTCGTTGACCAGCAGATGCTCGCGAGCAGGGTGTTACAACCAAGCTTTCCATTCCGGTTCGCGGGTTAAACACATTTTCTTTCACAAATCCCGGGTCAATGACATATACAATACCATCAATCGTCAGACTGGTCTCGGCGATATTGGTAGCCAAGACTACTTTTCTTGCTCCTGGCGGCGTCGGTTCGAAAATCTTGGTTTGTAACTCGGACGGTAGATTGGCATAAATCGGCGCTATAACCATTTCAGGTACCTTACCGCCTAATTTGCGGGCAGTTTCTTGGATACTCTGTTCCGCCGCCTCGATTTCTTCCTGCCCCGTCAAAAAGACCAGGATATCACCCGGTCCCTGGGTAATATGGATTTGGAAGACGGTAGTGATTGCGGCTGCAAGATAATTAGCTTCCGGTTGAGAGGTGTAATGGATATCAACTGGATATCGACGACCGGGGATGTTGAAAATTGGCGCATCGTCGAAATACTTTTGAAACTTCTGCGCATCCATTGTTGCAGACGAGATGAGAAGCTTCAAATCCGGCCGTGCTTTTGCAATATCCTTAAGCAATCCACAGGCAATATCAGTGGGAACAGTTCTTTCGTGAGCCTCATCGATCATCAACGCGGAATAAGCACCCAAATCGGGCTCTGTTAGAAGTTCTCGAAGTAGCATACCGTCCGTCATGTACTTGAGAACAGTCTTGTCGCTGGTATTATCTTCGAACCGAATTGCATAACCCACTTCATTGCCCAGTTTTACCCCCATCTCCTCTGCCACTCGTGCAGCGACGCTCATGGCAGCTACTCGTCGCGGTTGCGTGCATCCAACTTTCATGCCATTCTTCGTATACCCGGCTTCATGGAGGTACTGAGGAATCTGCGTCGTTTTACCGGAACCAGTCTCTCCAACAATAATCAAGACCTGATGATCATGAACCGCCTGAATAATCTCGTCCCTGAACTGGTATATAGGAAGACTCTTTCGAGTTTCTTCAATAGATGCAGCTTTCTTTTCTGCTGCATCCAGCTGCTGTTGTAGCATTCGCTGTTCTTTAGTTAAAGGCTTCCGGTCACCTTCAAGCTTAGAATCCATGATAAAGTTGATTTTCTGTGCATCATCAAACACGTATTCATAATCTCCCTCATCAACGAACTCTGCCCGCGAGATCTGTGCCTTTGCTTTTGCCGTCTGCTCACGTTCCCATTCTTCCTGCTCTGTGACAAATCGTTCGTGACCTTGCTCGTCGCGATCAATGTACCGTTTGTACAGAGCTTCCTCTTTCTTCTTCCGGTCAATCTTTCCTTTCTCGGTGATATAGTCCTCAGGCATCATGTAGCCATCACGATGATCGTCGATACGTAACCGTTCCTCCGCAATCCGAAGCACCTCGCGATTTCTAGCAAACTCCTCCTTTTCTCGACGAGTAAGGTTAGGATTCTCACGCAGCTCAATCTCTTCTTCCGCGACCTGCCTCCTGAGCAAGGCTATCCGCTCAACTTCTCGCTTCTTCAAATATTCCTGTCGAGATCGTAATCGAAGATCTGGCATAGCCGCACTTCTAGCATCGGCATCATCGGCCAAAGCACGACGACTATCACCGCCTCGTCGAGTCCTATCTTCCACGATTTTTTTCTTTGATTTTGAATCTTCCTTCTCGGCAAGTCGTTTGGCAAATTCGTCACGTTCTTTTAGATCGCGGAGCCGTTCTCGTTCTGCCTTGGCTTCATCATCCAGTTCTGATGATGCGGCTGATCGAGGAGATGTAGACCTATCTTCTAAACGAGTCCGTTTGGAAGGTAAGTCTCCTTCTGCTTGTTCATGCATATATTCTTCTTCCTCAGGCAATATTTCCTCATCGCCCCAGCGATCCTCGAAATCTTCATTATCTCGCCTGCGCAGTTTTCGCGACCTTCGATTCCGATCACGACTTTCGCCCTCTGCTCCTCGGCTTCTGTCACGCTTCCGGCTTTTACCGTCGCTAGAGTCCTTGTCGCGCCGACTGCGTTCGTGCGCATTATCATCTTTGTCACTTTCCCAGCGGTTGCGTATAGATTGTTTCGATCTTGATTCATCTTTCCCTTTATTCTGCCTGCGTTTCTCTGATGAGTCCACACTCGTATAACCCACCGCTCCATACGACGATAGATCCTCATCTTCCATTTCTACTAATCGATATTTCTTCTTCGACGACGACTCGTTTATAGTATGCGACTTCGATTTCACTCCTCCACCTCCAGAACCAACACGACCATAAAGATCGGCGCAAAATTTGTCAATTCCATGATCATCCCCACCTTCTAGGAACGGTACCAGTTTATCTCGTAATTCATCTGCGGATTTGGCATCGGTGGCTGTGGCGATTACGAAGTCGACGATTGTAGGATCTGATGCGCCTGTGAATTGTAAAAGGGAGTCGGAGACGAACGTGCGAGTATCCATGACGCGAAAGTTTCCCAAGGTTTATCCTCTGCTTTGATCCTGGGAGCTTAGTTTTTCTCTGCTAGCGAAGCTACTTTGCTGAGCTGGAGCCCATCAACTAGCACTGCACTTGCAGCCCGAAGAAAGCCAACATACGAGCACCGAGAGCTGCGATTCGGCTTTGAAAAAGTGATTGTGAGAATATAGCCTTATGAACGAATAGAGGTAATATTCAACCCTATCAAAATTTGGGGTTGCTAGAAAAAGAAGGAATATTTCTTTCGTCGGCGGAAGCTATCACTCCCATCTTGAACGGAAGTCTGCACGCGCCAAGACCTTTTTATATGCGTCAACGGATGGGACTTTCAGTGGCAAATTAACCCTAACTCCAACGCTTTAATGTTCCTTACAGTGGTGAAAAGAATGTCTACACTCGCTCTGACTGAATTGTGACTACGTTTATAATAGGTATAAACGAATATAGTACGAAGACGAATGATTGACGCCAAAATTTTATGATTCTATTCGACCAGGCATACTATACATGGATGCAAAAACATCAAGAACAAAATGGGGGTCATAGTGTTTAAAATCACAAAAAGCAGGAGTATTCATCATTTCCATCATCAAGTTTCGTTCTTTCAAGACATGGTGTTCGAAGGGGAAAATTTTGAACCAAGGCTATCCAATGCTATGATTTGAGCAAACAAGTCACTGCAAGACAAAGGAAAATGTGACCGTTGATAAAAGCATTATCATACAGATGGAACTCGTAGGTTGAATAAAAGGAAAATGGCTGAACAAAGGAAATAAAGTGACCATTCAAACGCTTGAAAGATAAAAGAAAGACATAGAAACTTTCAGAGGAAATATAATCTCACAAAAGTTGCGCCATCTCTGCAAACCACTTTTCTTCAGTGGTGGGTATATCCACAGTAAAGCCAAACACTCCACTGAGGACGAAATTAAAGTATGATTTAGATCCTAGAAATGTTCAGATCTTTGGAAAACACCAGTTTATGCCCCGTGCGGCTGTCACTTCGAGATGTGACAGTGGTGAAAAAGGGAAAAGGGCTGTGTAGTCGATTCATATGTCAAAATTCAAAAATCAATTTCCAATAACGCCAGTAAACGCCCGTTAACCATAATGGGGTATCATCTCGACTTCAAACGTCAATCATCTCCGCGTCCTCTTGAAGTATATCATCTGCCGGTCCCCAGTTGCCTTCGAAAACAGTAGCACCAGCTCGGCGGCGAGACATAGCCCACTGCGTTCCATATGCTTGTAGCAGTTGATCAGCCGTTGGTCGGCTAGCCGGGTCAGGGGTGATCATCCAGCGGACAAGCTTATCCAAGGAGTCTTCGTGGTTGGCATCTACCATGAAAGCGGGAGGTTCAACCAACTCTCCGCTGCGAGAAAGTTGCTGTAGCTTGGGAACACGAGATCTAGAAAAGTCCACGCCGGAATCTTCGAACGCAGGATCAGAGCGGCAGAGCTCGTCAAAAGAGGAACTCTCAGATAACGGGTTTCCTGACGAATCACGTAATATGCTTGTCTCCGAGCTCCACGTTAGACTTGGGACGTCACTAATGTCGCCGTTCCGAAGCTTCTGCCATGATAATCCATTATCAGGAAGTTCGACGTTTCCAGCGATTTCAAACATGATCAGACCAAGGGCGAAGATGTCGGCTGGTTTGTCGTACATTCCTAGCAAAACTTCCGGACCCATATACTCTCGGTCACCTTCACCTTCAATATGTTTTTCCGCGGGCCACGTTGTAGCCATGCCGAAGTCACCTATCTTAAGGACGCCTTCAAAGGTGATTAAAACGTTGGCAGGCTTGATATCGAGATGAATAAAGCCTGAATCATGAATATGTTTTAATCCCTAGTACCCAAGTTAGAAACATGTATGAGAATGATAATGACCGGAAACATACTTGTGATAACTCCAATAAGATCTTCCAAATCCTAAAGTCATCGAGTCTAGCTTTGAGTCCAACTTGAGCAAGGAAGACATCCAGACTGCCTTCCTCGCAGTATTCTGTTTGAATATAAAGATGACCTCGGTCTTCCCAGTGGTCGACGAAAGATATCACATGATCCGAGTTGGCCAGAGCCCTCAAGATTTCCACCTCCCTCATTCGTCGGCTTCTATCCTTGGGACCACCAAATGCCTGTTTAGACTTTTTGACAGCCCAAACACGTTCAGGCAGAGTCGATGGCGAGTTAGAGCCAGCCGATGGTAAAGAAAATATCGATTTGTACTGAGTGTTCTCAGGGGAGTTCGACACCCGATAGACCTGCGAGAACTCTCCAGTGCCGATGAGCTCTACTTTGTCGAAGCGGGTTGTCAAGCTGGTATCAACATCCATAGCAGTGAAGCCACCCAGCGACATACTCTTTCGCTGGCCAGTCGGTGCAAAGTAGTCACGTGGTGCAGTAGGGGTGGCAGGGAAAGTTATGGTAGACGCATTCAGATCGTCCAAGCTCAAGGCGGGTTCGTTAGGTGCTGAGATTGACAGTCCACTTGGATCGGGAAGGATGTTGTTGTCTTTCGGGGTGCACGGCGTGGTACTTTCTAGACTATCAATCTGCAGTTGGACAGATGGGTCGCCATGTGGTGTTCCCTGTAGCTGGCTAGAGGGGAACGTCTGCTTTGTTGGAGTGGGCGGAAGATCGAAATCAGTTGATCGCTGATTGTCACGGCGAGCTGAGGGCGAATTAGAGATTGATCGGTCATCGCCGTCAACACTCGCAAAACTATCCCTCCGAGACGAGTAAGGCCGGCTAAAGACGTTGCCTAAAACACCGTTGCCCCGAGAGAACGGACCTGAAGCTGGAACCGCATGGTGTGACGGAGTAGAAGGCGCAACAAAGGTTTGACGAGCGAGCTTTGGACGCGAGATAGGTCGAACAGGCAACGCCTTTTGCGCAGATGGCAGGAAAGTTGAAGATCGCTTGCAAGGAGTGTCAGGCATATTCTTACTAGAGCCAAATGAGCTCTGAAGGTCATCAGCATTGCGGTTCTTCTTTGATATCAGTCCAGTGGACATGAATGCTGCTGCATATGGCTTGGCCTGTCGGTAGTTCTCTGGTGTTGCAAAAGAGTCGGTAGACGTATTCGAGTCTTCCCGGGTAAATTGGCGGGGAGCTTCAGGTCTGGTTGCTCCAACAGGAAGAGATTTTGAAAAGTTGAATATTGGTCTTGGACGATCAGTCTTGTGGATTGGTTCATGTGTTGGAGAGTCATCAGCCAAACTAGAGCTCGAAGAGGATTGTGTGATAGTGCGAGAAAGGGGGTGTGCGGCGTGTGGTGTTGTACTAGGGATATCACGTTGAACATTCGCGAACAGTGGATTGCTCGATGCAGGTCGTTGTTGTGGAGTGAACACGCTATCATGGCTGGGAGTGGTCGAGAGGCTACTGCCTAGAGGATAACGTTGCTGCATTGCGGCAATGGGACTCTTTGGGGGCGAGTCGGGAAAATCCACGTTCGCTAACCGTGAGCGATTGAAGAGCGACCGTTCACCTTGACGCTGTTGAAGTGTCGAACGTCGTAGAGAAGATGAACGTTTTGGGATTGTCGCAAAGTTGCCTCCTGGTAGACTGGAGAAAGTAAAAAGTTGGACTTCGGTTTCTCGAGACATGTTGTCTGAGGTTTCGTTTGATGACGGAAAGTTGTCAGTCGCGTCAAAAATGCTGAAATCGGGCGTTCCCCCAACGCTATGTAAACTGCGACGTTTCGCTGACGGGCTTGCAAATTCAGCTCGGTCGAGGTTCATTGCCCCGTCACTTCTTTTCAGAGGGCTGACTGTCGTAGTCAAAGACCCAAAATTGCCACTGCGCCGCTTTTCAATACGATGGGGATTTGGTTTGAACGCGATGTTATTGCTGTTGTTATTGTTGTCTGTGGAGATGTCGGTTGAAAAGAGCGCGAAATTCTCAGATGATGTAATACTAGGTTCTTGGAGAAAGCCCTCGTTCTCGTTTAATGAAACAGGTGGTGTAACAGTCGCGTTGCCCTGATCACTGGAAATATTCAAAACTCTCTTTGAGGGACTTTTTGGAGAGGTACGTGGGCGCGTATTAGGCAGTGACCCAGTCCTGCGCATCAGTGGGCGCGTTATTTTTGCGCTTGGGGGAAATGGCACCGCGACAGGTGTTGCTGGGGGAGCTGCTGCAGGTGTGGTCGAGGCTGCAAATGTCGATTTCGAAGGTGCTGGTGTGGATAAATTGGCTGCTGAGATGTTTGATGTGGTAGCTGGGACAAAGAAGAGGTTTCCACGACGCGATGGTGATAGTGGGGAGGAAATAAAGGGCGTGTTTGAATTTGCCTGGGAGTGAGGTCGTGACAGGAAACGAAAGTCAGAACTTTTTGAAGGAGAGCGAGACAAAGAGCGACGCAGTTGCCTTATTGCCGAGCTTGCATCCACATGATGAATTCCAGTAGGTGAAGGTAGGTGCAGAGTACCGCCATCCCGGTGAGGTGAAAATGTTGCGACCATGTTTTTAAGGAATGCTGCACGGAATTAATCACCGTGATACCGCTTTGAAGTGACTAATTTCTGGGATGCTCCTCCTATCCTTTGTGTGCTTCTTGTAACTGAAGGGGAGATCCGTCAGTGTATTGTTTTCCACAATGGCCTTTGTTCGAATGGCCTGGAAGTACCTCCTATAACCTATGATAGCGGCCCAAAAAAAAGGGTCTATACAAGTGCCACACAGTCGTTTGTTCGACCAGTCAAGGGTGGTAGTGTAGCCTAAGTAAAGAGTCGAGCAGGCAAGACCTCGTTTGGAATGTGTCTTTGGGTGAGTTGATACGAATCAGGAAGTTCAGGTTGCTGTGCCACGATCCAGTCGCGCTGAAACATCAGGTCATTAGGAGGAATTCCAAGGGCTCCCAACGCCTCCATACACTGGCGACAGGTATTGACTCACACACCTTCTGACGTCGTCCGTCCGATGTGTAGCCGCGTAACCACCAAGTATTCTTCCACCCCCCACCGATAGCAGGCACGCGCCTGGGGTGAAACACAAGATTTGGACTCGAGGCTATTCTATTCGGCCGGATAGTCGGTGATTTGTCGGGATTGAGCTGTGGAATGCTCCAAGAAGATGACTTCACTACGGAATAGCAAAGAGAATGCGATGTTCGTCTCGAAGAGTTTGGGTCTGGAATGCGGGCACTGCACTACAGTACGATAGCGACCGGAATGTGTTTGACGAAGTCGGATAGGGATCTCGAACGATTTAAGTATTTAATGGCAGGCAGCCTCTGTCTGTGTGTTTGGACAACAGTGACCCGGTCAGGTACTTGGTCAGCCGGGCTGGCAGTGTAGTTTAGTCGAGGGGGGATTGTCGAATCGCACAATGCAAGTAAATTGATCGAAGTCGATGAAGAGATGCGCTGAGAGATAGAGAGAGAAGCGACTATTATAGAGAGACGGGTTGAAGTCGAAGAATTGAAGAATTGTCTGAGAGAAACGGAGAGAAATCATTGGACTGGGGTCACAAAGTCTAAGTTGGGCAGGCACAGGGCTACGGGGAAGGCGCGAACGCGACGTCGCGCGTTGTTGTTGACATTTCGGGAAGCCCCACCGCTTTGTTTAGGTTGACGTGTTTTACTCTTCTATCGATAACTATCAACACTATCGATTAGATATCTCTTGCTGAGAATCGAGTGGGGGGGGGAATGATATATCATTTAGCATCAAAGAGCATGTCCATATCGACTGCTCGGGCGTGTTTACTACATGCTGACCTCAATGTTGATGTTATGTTGCATGTTTACTTCTCCATTCGCCACAATAACACCTTAACAAAAGCAAAAAAAGAAAAAAAAAAACAAAAAAACATCGAGCACGGAGTACTACTGCACCTGTGGCAAATCCCTCTTTCAGCAACCACCGGGTCCATCTCAAGGCTTTCTCAATCACGACTATTCAATGTGTAGATGATTGCTTTTGTCGATGGCTCTTTTTGACGGTCCTCGGTTCTTGAATGTATATACATACAGTGTAGATACCCCTGAATTTATATCTTAGGTAGCACCAAATCGTCCAGCTCGTATAAGTCGTTTCAAATAGTTTCTCGACAGAGCCAATAGTAAGCCGCGAGTCACCTGAGCAACCTGACTAAGATTGACTTTCGGAAGCCTCAGGCTCGTATACGGACCGTATCAGCTGTCAATCTCATGTCTTTTCCTCGCCCTTGCATTCCACACCATCCCTTTGTTATCTGTCATCCCATGCCACGCTCCATGAACGTTTGGCATATTCATTGTTTCTACTCTACTGAATCGTTGGTCATCGTTTATGTCGAGGATAAAGTACACTGTACAACCATAGCGAAGGAAGGGGCCGCCAATAGTCCCCATTCGTCACATGGCTTCCACTCGACGACCGTCTACACGAGAATATCACATCTTCATCCACCCAAGCTGTGCACTTACCTGAATGCTTTCTTTGTCATTACCTCGACATGTGTTACATCCAACTCGCATGTACACAGACCCTATCAACAAATATAAGTTAAATAACAGGCAATTAATCTGAAACGAGGCCTTATCGACGCCGCAAATCTAATCATTCGACCTGACAGGAAATCTCGGATATCCTGCTCCCTTTGGAACATAAGCCACATTTGAAACTGGCACATCGTTATTGTTAATAATGTTCCAGGGAACCTCCATGGACCGTAGAGACAAAAATCTATCGACTTCCTGAGTTTATTTATTGTCATTTCTGCTAGCATACGAATAGAAAGAGACATATTTTGTTCACCGCCAAGTACTCCGAAATCAATACAACAAAGAAGAGAAACAGAAATACATAGAAACCATTCAAGCGCTGCCCATAAATATATACTCCATAAGGATTACAAGTGCAATGATACGTCTCCCAATTCTCTTCGTAATCTACTCAAAATTTCCTCAGCCTTCTCCTGACTGAGTAGTGACTCGGGGCCAAAAACGCCAATATCAAGCTTTCCGTCCCGAACGGCAGCTTCGATATCCATGGAATCCTAGTGAATAAATTATTGATGTTAGAAAGAGAGCAATCATATTATCTGAGTAGTGACGACGGAAGTCAAAGTTGAGGGCTGATTGCACATTGAAAACCAGCGAAGCAAGGGATAGATCTGTGTTGAGAATGAACGCACCATGTAAACTCTCTCCTTTTCAGCTTCTTCCTTTTCCTCGACGACTATTTTCTGGCTAGACGCTTCTGGTCCATCAACTCCACGTGTCTCATACGGCGCTGGATGGCCATGTGTGATATCCTCTAGTTGTAAGGGGGTAAACCGAATATTGCCGTTTGGAGCGGTGATCGTTGTTGCGTCGTTCTCGTCAGATACCGAATCTGGAAGTCGTAAGAAGTTCACGAATGTGTCGATGCGGGCGCCTGTCCAGCCATTGATCTCGAGTAATGATGCACCCGAATGTTCCACACGGCTAATCTCATGTAGATCTCTCTGGATTTGATAGGCACTTTCAATCAAGCGTGAAGAGAGCGCAATGCGTAGTGGTAGCATATTCAAGGTTGGTGAGATCATTTTTTGGAGTCCTTCAAGAGGGTATCCCCTATTTGCCAAATACACGCCGAGAACATAGTACTCCGTATGTTCATTCTCCTCACTATTGTTATTGTCGGCTTCATTGTGTGCTTCTGACAGTAGTGCACAATGTATCTTTGCATATACCGCCATGAATAAGGACTGAAAACTGAGGCCGTGGCGTCGCGCAGTACTTTCTATGGCCTCGAGATTCTCAACCAAGCCTGATCGGTAGACACTAATTCTCTTGTTCTGTCGTAAATTTGTGTTTTTCAAAAGCTGTGGCCGAGTCTGGGCCAAATAGGTCTTCCAGAACTTCTTCCTCACTTCTAGCGGCGAAGATATATTTTGATATATTATGAACTTAGCAAATTCCGCACCGGTATCGGCTTGAAGTTCCACTCCCGTACACATCCTACTAAGACGATCGATTAGCCCAGAGAGACCGACTGCATCATAAAGCGCATGGTGAATACGCAGATTGATTATCACCCCCTGTGCAGTTTCTACCGCATGCAAAGAGACAGGTCCCACGGTGATGGACCGAGAAGGTGGAGATTGAAATCTGGGGTCTTGGATTGTCTCATGCCACTGAACCGGGTTTTCTAACTGCTTCAGAATGACTTGCAACCAAGGCTTCTCTCTGACACCAGTATCAATAAATCCGGTTCGCAGGATAGGGAGCTGCGCCACCAAAAGTTCCCATGCATGAGATAGTTGATCTCTCGAGATGTCGGCCTTGTAATAGAAGTTGGCGTAGAATTGTTGAGGATCCTGTGCGTTTCTTGCGAGACAATACATCTGTCCTGCAGTAACGAGAAGTATACACTTAACATCATCCGCAGAGAATTTGTTAAGTGACAGAAGTTTCTCGATGTCAAAATCATTCAACATTTGCTCGAGCGTGGAATTCATTGCTTCGCTAGATATATCTGGCTGAGGGCCCCGATTCTCCAACATTGCGACTGCCGCCATACCTGCAATGGACCCAGCCTTCAGCATCGCACTGACTGGAAGATCAATAGACTGCTTTCTCAGTAATGAGCACACCTTGATTGCGCTGATGCTATCAAGCCCTAGATGGAACAACGTGCTGTCCTTGCTGATATCATCCGCCGGTACTCCTGAAATTGCTGAGAGAACTTGTCTGATTTTTAACTCAGTATCAGACCATGATTGTGCTCTTCCTACGACTTTAGACGCTTCTCCATAACCTGAAATCACCTCGGGCTCATCGTGAGACTCTCTAAAAGAAGGCCGTCCACAAATACTCATCCCAGTATCCGTGAAGTCAACCGTCGCATCTTGTGGCTCAGAAGTTATCAACAGGAAAACTTGAGCTACACGATCAAGAATATCGGTTGCATCCTTCATGCCGAATAGGTCATCCCGTGCTGCAAGGCGGCAAATCATGGATCCGCTCATTAATTCCATTTCTACCGATAGTGGAGATCCCGTGTGTGCTGTCCCACTAATAGACTGATACAGAGGGTTTCTCGAAGTCGACGATGACGGTCGTTTCTGATATATGAAAAGAGTATCAAACAAGCTCCCAGCTGCAATGTCGCCACTAACTTTGCGGAGAGGATAGTGCTGATATTCGATCAACGCATTCAGAGACCCCTGTATATATTTCAGCATCTCCAATCGAGTACCATGAAGTATAGCTCGGAAGACGACAGTGTTCATTGTAGGAAACATGACTTCATCTGCATCTGCGTGGCTTCGTCCGGATAGAACAAGTCCGAAGCCTACATCAAGGGCCTCGATAATACTGGCTAAAGCGATCGTCCAAGTCGTGACAGTTAAGGCTTGCACTGTTATACCGTGGTCGCGACAGAATTTCTTTATCGTCTCGCTAGGGACATCAAACGATACCTCTGCTCGATGCAACGTCGATTTATCGCCACCAGGGTGTTTCCCACACGGCAATTTTCGTGGTTTGAAACCTTTGAGTGCTGCTAACCAGAATTGACGATCCTTGTCTCCTGCGTCGTTGAGTATTGACTCTAGAATGGGCTCATATGCTGGACGAGTCACGTCCTCTCCGTAGTATGATTTTTCAACATCAGTATGTAAAAGATCAAGCGACCATCCGTCATATAGTGCATGCGCCATGGCCAGAACAATGTAACGTTTATCCCCTTTTCGAACTCCATAGATTGCGAACTCTGGGCGGGTGCTGCTGTAGATTGATGACTGGATGAAGTCCCCTATAGATCGCTCTCCCAGATCAACGACTTGGATTGCTTGCTGGTCATTCGGCACGTCCACGACCTGAGCGAAGGAACTAGTAACCTGAGGATCTTCAATCTCGACGAACGATGTGCGTAGTATATCATGAGTATCTATGACGGTCTTCCAAGACGTAAGAAGCTTCGAAAAGTTTGTTCCATCGGCGACCTCAAAAACCTCAACACCGTAATAATGCTGATAACCCGAAGCTATCATCTCGGCAACCATCGATTCTTGAAGTGCCGCCAGAGGTAAAACCTTGATTGCATTTGTTGATAACTTTCCTGCTTTTTGTAGACAGTTGGTGATTTCTTCTTGGATTTGAATCAGAGAGACGTCCGAATTGACTTTTGAAGAAGCTACTGGCCTTGACAAGGCTTCTGACATTTTTGAAATTGTATGTAGTTTCATGATCGAACTGACTGAGAGGTTAAATCCGCGGCTCTTTAGTCGTGAGGATAGCTTTATAGCATCTATGCTATCTAGACCAAATTCGAAGATTGACGTCGTCGGATTGATCAAGGCAACGTCCACTTCTGCAAGAGCTGCAACGACATTGCGAATTTCCATGGCAGACGGAGTCCAATCGAATCCTTGGAAATTATTTCCCAATTCTTCAATATTTCTTTGGACGCAGATTTCTTGCCCTCTATTGTCTTGACCTGAAGACACAAGTTTGTTAGGAAGAGCAGACGTATGATTATTCCGGATATCTTTGCATAGAGACGCGAAAGTAGACAAAAGTGCATTTGCAGTATCTTCCGATACTGCATGTGACTGTGATGCTAAAGTCACAACAACAGAGCCATTCATCTGCATGACCTCGAGAGAAAGAGGGAAATCGGCAGTTGCAAACCCTGAATTGATCTCCGTCCAAATATGTTCTGAGAAAGCCGGAGACGAATGGCCATGTTCTTTTTGAAATACAAAGAGTATCTCAAATAAGGGATTTCTTGTTCCTCGTCTCGTCCATTTGTTGATATCTCGAAGCGGAGTGTGTTGAAACGGAAGTATCGATACATGATATTGGTGGCAGGCTTTTATCAAATCGGCCTTTGTCCTCAGATGATGCAATGGTATGTAGCTTGGAATGGTATTAAACAGCGGTCCAACGACCGACTCGACGCCAGGAATATCAAGCGCCCTTCCGGAAACCACGATTCCTAGACATGGAATGACTGAGAAATGTTCGTGTAGGGTGAGAAGCCAGCATGCGTGAAATATGGCATTTTCGGTGACCTGCAAAGAAGCTTTGATCTGCTCTAGGCCAGATACCTCTTTGAGGACATTGGTCAACGTAATTGTGTCACATGGAGCATCGTTGACGATCGGGAAGACTCGATCATCAGGGGCGTGAACCAGATGTTTCTCCCAGAATACCTTCGCCTGCGAGGACACTCGCAATGGTCCATAGGGTAGAATATCCATGAAAGAAGGGGCGTTCTCCTGCACTTTTCGTTCGTGATATCTCAAAGAAACCTGTTCCAGCAATAGCGGAAGACTGTTGCCATCGTATAGGGCATGAAATATATTCAAACATAGCAACCTGCGGCTGCAGGACTTGATAAGAACCAAACACCACAGAGTGCTGGTTAAATCTTTCAACTGACTGCACCATGCTTGCCATTCATTACCAGCGACAGCGTCGACTTCCTGATCATTCGCGACGGTCATCTCACTCCAAGGAAACTGGTCATCTTTCAACACAACCTGAGCATATCCATCAGCTAGAGCAATCATGCGAAGTCGAAGCAATTGAACGTTCGCTTGAGTTTCAGACCATGCTTGCCGCAGCTTACCAGTGTCGGTTTCTGGTTTAAGTTCGAATCTGAACGAAGAACAGTAGAGGTTCCGCGAGCTCTCCAGAAACCGCGCTATCATTCCTTCTTGTAGCGCTGTGCAGGGTGCTACATTTTCAATCTCTTCGGGTGACCTTTCGATCTTTTCTGCGGCACTGACAGTGTTTTCATGAGCAAAACCTTTGAGTTTCTGTTTACTGTCCCCAACTTCTCCGTCTACTGACGAGGCCTTTGGCCCTTCTTTCTCCAACGACGCCGCAATGCCTGCAACTGTAGGGTCTAACAATACGTACATTAGTAAGAATTAAGTTCAAGCGATAGTAATAATGGTCGACTTCTTACTTCTCATGATTACTGAAACTTTCGCATTTTGATACCCTGCATCTCGGAAATGCTGAGCAAGTCCAATGACTGAAATTGAGTCAAGGCCAACATCAAAAATGCTTGTATTTGATGAGAGCCCAGCTGGTTCGACTATGGCATATTCAGCAAGTATCCGTATAGCATTTTGGACTTCCTTCTCAGCAATTGACAGATTCTCGTTGGATAGTAAAGTCAAGTTCTGTAGCTCTTCTGAAGACAGTCCCGAAAAGAACGTTTTCAGGGCTTTCGCGTCGACTTTGTTGTTTGGAGTCAAAGGCAAGGATACAACGGGAATGATGTGGGTTGGAACCATGTAACCAGGAAGCTTATCTTGAGCGGCCCTTTTGATACACCTGAGGAATTCATTGACATCATCATCCTTGGTAGTCTCCAGTATGGTCGATCTATCCCGACTCCCTTTCCTCGAGACAAATGCTACAAGCTGCTCCTTCTGCTGGGTTGGATGCTTGGTGACTAGTGTTGTAACTTCTGATACATTATCGGAAGCTTCTTGAATAACAGAGTTGATCTCTCCAAGTTCAAGTCGTTGCCCTCGAAGTTTCACTTGATCGTCTATTCGGCCGTTGAACTGAAAGCTGTCGTCGTACAATATTCTGACAAGGTCACCCGTACGATAGAACCGTTCTCGTTTGGATCCATCCAGATACTGAAATTTCTCCTGAGTTAGCTCTGGACGGTTAATGTAGCCTCGACCAACCAAGACGCCAGATACACACAGTTCACCCATGCATCCCCGTAGGACAGGAACATTCGTGCCTGGCTGAAGGACATATGAACCGACATTATCAAACTGGGGCCCAATATTAGACGATTTGCTATTCTCATCCATCCTTGGAAGCATAGTACAGCCAATGGTGACCTCTGTCGGTCCATAGCCGTTATAGATAACCCTATGCTTTCCCCAAGCGTCAAGGATTTCCTGTTTAAGGGCTTCACCACCTGTGATAAACACTCCTTTGCAGAGAGACGGAACTTCCTCCGGCGTCACCAACTTGGCAAGACTTGGTGTTAGGTCTATATGTGTGATTTGAAGACGATCTATAGTACCAGGCAGATCTTGGAATAAGACGTCACGAGGACAAGATGTAACACAGATCCCCATACTCCAGCTCCAGTACTGCTCGAGGACACTGACATCAAAATGAAAAGATGCAAATTGTAGCCACTTGGAGTCCTCGTTCCAGTTTGGACTAAACAGTCGTGTGAAGGCTTGCATTGCTTGCACTGCGTTCTCATGTGTAATTTCGCAACCCTTGGGCGTTCCCGTTGTCCCTGATGTATACAAGCAATAGCATGTATCCTGTGGATCAATTGGCTTGGAGAGAACTGGAGGATCTGATGAGATGCCGTCTAGTAAACCGGCCATGTCCATTGCAATCACCTCGGTTCCGGTTAATTGCTGTAAGTCATCATTTTTGTCCGAAGCATACAATACGACGCGGGCACCGGAGTCCTCAATTATAAATTGCTTCCTGGCAAGTGGCGCAGTGGGATCCAGGGCTACATACGCATGTCCACTTTTCAAGATCCCAAGGATAGCAAAGTATGCCTGCGGGCATTTATCAAAACAGATGGCAATGAGGCTGCTCTGTCTGAGATTGAGTGATTGTAAGAGCCTCGCAACCCTGTTACCCATTTGATTGAGTTCGAGGTATGTCCATGTCTGCTTTGTGATTTCTCGGGAAGTGACGCTCGAAGCAAACTCAAGAGCAATCCTATGTGGCGTTTGTAAAGTAGTCTTCTCGACGTATTCGTGCAGCAATGAGACAGGAGATGGAATATAGGGCTGTTTAGCAGGCGTAACCGAGAGTAATTCAGGTTGCACATCAGGGATTAGTGCGCAATTCGACTCTTCATTGAAGAGACTATCCAAAAGAAGGCCGTCCAATTGTCTGAGAATCATCTTTGTCTGTGGCTGAGGGATAGCATCGTTTCTGCAGGTCAGGCGCAGTACTAATTCACTTTCTTCAGGAATCAATTCGATGGACAGAGGATACTTCCAAGGTGTTAATAGGCTCACTATAAATAGGTAAATGATCAATAAATAGTACTTACATCAACTCTAGCATCGTCATCAACAACGTCCCAGAACTGCATCTCGGCCCTTCCACGAGCCAGTTTCTGATATACAAACACTGTATCAATGAGAGGACTGTCCTGTTGGAACATTCTCTGGATCCTCGATAGCGGCGTGAATTGATGCTTCACTAACAGAGCATCCGTTTTCATAACCGATAAGATAAGTTCTTTATTGCTTCCTTGAACATGGCATTGGAAAGGCAATGTCACCAAACACGGGAAAACGGCATCTTCCGCATTGGTATGAACATCGCGGCCAGACAGAACCACCCCAAAAGAGACGTTAGTATTGCCAGTATAGTTCGCCAATAGTCTGGCATATGCTGCTTGCCCTGCTGCTTGCAAAGAAACGCCAAGAGCCCTGCATTGCTCGTTGATTGCTGCAAGCGATTTGGTAGCCGGTTGACTGCTCACCGTCATCCCCCGATCCCGCACATTGAAAGGCGTCAAGTTTGGAAACTTGGTAAGCTGAAACTCTGAGCTGACTCTGCTCCAGAATGAATCTGTATCAGGGCTGACTGAAGATGCAGCTGTGAGGATATGGCCTAGAATAGGAGTAATAGGCACCGGCGGTGACATTTGGAGACCTCTATAGAGATTGACAACATCTGAAAGTATCAACTCTAAAGACTGCGCGTCATAGATAGCATGCATAGCCATCAACTCGACTTCGATGGTAGATGGTAAATGACGCAGAGAAACCTGCCACTGTGGCATATGCAACTTTTCATGAAACATCCTTCTTCGATCATGATATTCCTTTTCAGATAGTCTTTCACTGCTTTCGATCCACTGAAGGGTAGCATACTGCGCGGTATATGTTACCATTGCAAAAGGAAATTTCGGATCTTTCAGACGAATGAAGCCAGTTCGCAGCATTTCATGGCGAGCCATAGCAGTAGACCAAGCATCTCGTAAGCGAGAGATATCTATATCCTCTTTGATCTTGAGTGTTAGGCGGTTACAGTATAGATCCCCGTTCGATTTGACAAAGTCAGCTAACATGCCTAGTTGTGCTGGGCTGCAGGGACGTATTGATTCGACATCTGTCTCTTGAAGATCTAAACTTCTTAGAACGTAGTCTTTGTGGTCTGATTGAAAGGCATCAAATTGGAACGAGTTCAATGACGTTTCGGATTTCGCATTTCGGAGTAGTTCTGCGATCTGACCCAAACTCGGTCTCTGTATCGATTTTATTTAGCACCAGTCTCGAGTTCACTGTAAGAATAAAGCTTACCTCAAGTATATCTGCAGCTGACACTGTATACCCTTTATCTCTCAACATCCTCGATATCTGCACTGCATTGATACTATCAAGTCCCAGCTGAAATATAGTCGTATCATGCCTGATAGCCTGCGGGTCATATTTGGATAATTCAGACATGACATTTCTGACTAAATGCTCATCATCCGAGAGGTTTTCGTGTCCATTTGTCAAAGTTGACGAAGCTTCCGTGTATTTTGATTCCTTGACCATATATTCCCTGGCTACCTGCGCAATTGAAGGTAGATGACCTTCGCCTTTGCCCTCAAAACTTCTAGCCCAAGGGTACCTAATTGTATGCATCACCGTATCAATGAAGTCCTTTAAGATGATTTGAGAATCTGCATGAGACACTAGGGAAGAATCGGTGTGGAGGAGGATGGATACGGAGTTGCTCGTTGTAGAGGGCACAATCTCAAGAATGACCGGAAAGTCCATTTCACCTTCTTCCGACACCAATTTCCATAGTCGAGAGTCAAGTTCGGTGGCTGGACGCTGAAATAAAACAATGGAGTCAAAAAGAAGCCTACCATTTGGGGAAAACTTCTTTTGTATTTGTCTTAGAGATGCATGCTGATGAGCCAGTATATCCGCATTGGCTTCCAGTGCAGCTTTTATAACATCGGTGTTCAGTGCTGTCGGTAACAGTTTTACACGAATAGGGAGCACGTTGAAGCAAGGTCCAATTATGTGTTCAACCCCTTCCAGAAGTGTTGTTCTGCCACTAAGAACAGTGCCAAAACAGATATCAGAAGACTTTATGTAAGCTGATAGAAGTCGCGCCCACGAGGCTTGGAAAACGCTCAATGGGGTTGCTGATAGATCATGGCAAAGTCTTTCGAAATCCATGAAGGATATTCCTAGTTCCTGTCGAACTATTCCTATCTCAGGTCCTTCACTGTTCCTAGTTTTTGCTACCTGAGGGCATAAGTGTGAATGGCACATGCGATTTAGATAATTAGACCAGAACGACTCTTCTTCGTGGACCTTGCCTCCCATGATATGATCGACGAACTGATGGAACTGGGGCGCAGGTAATAGCTCTTTCCCTTCATATGCTTTCTCAATCTCCTTGAATAATAGAGACATTGCTTCACCATCATGTATCGCATGATGAATGGAGAGAAGTAGCTTTTTATGCCCAGTTCTAACATCAGTGATCATTGTCAAAGCATATGGAACCTTATGCTTCTCATCATTCTGTTGTGCAAGATTTGACTTTTGCTTACTTATTTCAAGATCCACTTCTGTTGTTTCAACCATTGAGAAGGGTAAGGAGATCTCTTCCAGAATGACTTGTGCGAATGAAAATCTGGCATCCTTAGTAGAGACAAAACTGGTGCGTAGAATATCGTGTCGTGTGACCATTTGTTGCATCACCTCACGAAACGTTTCGATGTCTCCATATAACTCGAACAAAATATGGTTCCAATACGCTGTTTTGCCGTGGGAGACTGTACGTGAGAGCATTGCTTCTTGTAGAGCAGTGCATGGGATGACCAATTGAACTCTATGACCTGCCGCTTCAAACTCATCCTTGATCTCTTGGATAACACTTCCTTCCAGACTAACTGTACCATTATTCCTTGCAGCAGACTCTGATGTAAGTGGTCGGCCTTTATCAGCTTTCGCCTTCCCTATCTGTTTCGAAAGCTCCCCAACAGAGCTGTGGCGTAAAATTAGTGACACATCAACCTGACCAAATCCGGAGTCTCTGAGCTTCTTTGCCATATATATGGCAGATATAGAGTCAAGCCCAATGCTGAACAAAGAAGTATTGAGTCTGATCTGTCCCAGAGACGTATGGGTTGCTTGAGAGATGATTTGAGCTATTTGCCTTTCATCTGGATTCAAGGTGTCTGTGACCGGCAATCCTCGTTCGCGAGAGTATTTCTGTAGATCATCTGGAGTCAATGCACGGAATCTCGCTGTCAGTTGTTTGGCATCGATTTTCTTCACAGTTGTCATCGGAATTTCATCAACAGGAATCAAAGCGGATGGCACCATGTAAGAAGGTAATTTGGCGGATAGCTCTTCGAAAATAGCATTTATCACGTCAGCTCGTTGACCACCAACCTCATTTTCAGTGGACCTTGAACTCCGTAAAACAAAGAAGGATACAAGCTGCTGCCTTTCGTTTCGATCCTTGCCGCCAATGATGATCGACATGCAATCCTGGGCCTGCGCATGGCACAGGATCGTACTGTTAATCTCCCCCAATTCGATCCGCTGACCACGCAACTTGACTTGATCATCTCGACGACCTGTGAACATCAATGAACCGTCGGCCAACAGTCGTCCAAAATCCCCGGATCGATACAATCGACCGAATTTGGGATGCTCAATAAACTTTTCTTTTGTTAGATCTGCTTGCTCGATATATTCTTTGCCCTAATTTAGTGGTCAGCAGTCATAAATTTCCCCTATCGAAAGACAATCAATAGGCATTGTAATCTTACAACTTGATCGCCGCCAAAACAAAACTCGCCCACACTTCCTCTAGGCAAGATAGTAAATGTAGAGCTATCAGAGATGACAAACGCCGATGTATTCTTAAATGGTTTGCCTATGTTCCTCAAGTCATCAAGCTGCGAAACATTGGGCTTGACGGTACAAATGTTGGTAGTCTCGCATGGACCGTATCCTAAGGATTGATTAGTCTCAACCCTAGTCGTCGGCTTGACTGGTTTCTCTTTGAGTTACCTTGGTATAATCCGTTGCCCGCCCATTCCCGGTGAACTTTTGCGGTCAATCCTTCACCGGCTGTAACTAGAAATCCAACTTCTGGTACATTTTCAGGGCGTATCAAGGCAGCCACAGTCGGAGTGAGACTCAGATGAGTAATGTGCATATTCCTGATGACGGCTTCAATATCACGGAACATTATATCATTGGTCGCCGAGCAGAGAGTCATTCCAGTGTTCCATGCGAAGAAGATTTCGAAAACCGACACTTGAAATTGTCAATATGCTTCTCTCATCAGGATACTTAAATCCACCTTACCATCAAAAGCTTGTGAACATGCTTGAAGAATCTTTGAATCTGGTTTGACAGGATAGATCTCAGCGAGTGTTGCAATGTTGCTCTGGAGGTTGTGATGAGTGATTGCAACTCCTTTGGGCTTTCCTGTGCTTCCAGATGTATAAACTACGTATGATATGTTAGAGGAATGATGAGATAGGATAATATTTGCATCGGAATATTGCTCCATGTTGACGTTCTGCGGTTCCAAGGTTGAAAGCCAGTCTAAAGATTTTAGCTGAGAGAGAAGACCCGAGTCGACAACACAAGTCTTGGGTACCGTCTCGTTCAGAATAGCACGAATCCTCTCGAAAGGAGTTACTGGCGTGAGAGGTACGTAGCCCACGCCAATTTTTATGACCGCTAGAATCGCGACATATAGTTCAATGGATTTGTCCAGGATTATGGCAACAAGATCTCCACTTGAAATGCCACTGCTGAGGAGATAATGAGCAAGACGATTACTTCGGGAATTGAGTTCACCGTAAGTTAGAGTGTCGCACAGAATAGAACCAGTGTCTGGATCGAAAGTATGGACGAATTCGATGGCATTGCGTCCTGGCTCGTCTACCGCAATCTGCTCGACATGATATGCCAAATGTGGGAGGTTATCTAGATGCACAAAGTCACTATTTTCGATTGATAACACAGTGGAAGGGAGTTGAGCATTGACTGAGTGAAGAGTTTCTTTCGGTGAGCGAACAAAGATATCAGCAATCGCCTCAACCTGCTCTAATAGCAGATGCACTTGAGCTTCAGGGAAGATGGACTGGTCAAATATAGCAGCGGCTTTGATCCGCCCATTTATTGGCTCTAGTTCGATAGTTAATGGGAACTCCAGATAATCTGCAGAGGCGGTTTGTTCGAAAGAGGTCCATGACCCTGAGGATTCCCCTAAAGTCTCCTGCCAAACAATGATGCAATCAAAGAGCCTGCTGCTACCTTCTATTCCAGCGGCTTTCTTGATATCACGAAGTGACAGATTTCCGTAGTCTAAGGCTTTACGGTTGTCCCTCTGGACAACATTCAGCAGGTCGGCAACTGTTCGTACCCAGGAGAGATTAACTCTATTTGGTAGGACACGAATACATGGCCCAATTATTGATTCAATCCCAGCAACTGGCACAGTTCTACCTGAGAACACCGTACCAAAGATCACATCTTGCGTGTCAAGATAGGATGAAAGAATATATGCAAGCGAAGATTGGAAGAATGTTTGGCGACTGATTGACATTGACCGGGCCTTGGTTTCGAGATCTATCGGAGAAATGTCGAAAGTCCGAGTAAGCCTTTTGCTGCTCCTTTTAAAGCCATTTCGACCGTGAAAATTAGGGAAGTTTGTTAGAGTTACGCCCTGCATGTAAGTTGCCCAATATGATGTTGATCTAGCCGCATCTGACGAGAGTGTTGTAATGGAATGCTTCACTACTGCAGAATATGGGGTTCGAGTAGTCAGCGGCTTTTCATCCAAAGCTGCCTGAAGGTCGTTAAGCATAAGTTCCCATGACCAACCGTCATAGATTGCATGGTGAAGATGAAGTAAAGCTCGCACAGATGTTTTGTCCTGAATGAATTGGAGCTTGAATGGAACCATAAGGTTAGGGTTAGCCATATTCCATTCATAGTCAAAGCATGTCGTTTCTTGAAAAGGATCTGCTGAAACGTCCCTATTCCAGGTGACTTGGCAGAACGGGTAATCGGGTGTATCAAGCGATAAGAAAGCGGATCGTAACATCTCATTGTGATGTATCAGCTCCTTGAAAGCGGCTTTTATCTTGGCCAGCTCCAGGCCATCTATGAATTTCAGCTCGATCCAGTTGCAATAGGCTTTACTGTCTCGGAGTGATTCTGAAAGCATTGCCACTTGGATGTCACTACAAAGCTCCACTCTTTCAGTTCTGGACAGGAGGCCTTCCGATCCAAGAACGGAAAAAGCGGCTTCCACAAAAGTTTGGGCCGTGTTGTCGGTAGTCTGAGATGTCAGTTCCCTCCGTCGCCTATTTTCTTGAGCAATGTTCCAGATATCGCTCACAGAGTCGGCAGAGAGTAGTTTAGCGACGTCCAAGTTGATTCCAATCTCTCGTAGCTTAGCCGCCAGTTTGATTCCTTTCAGGGAGTCCAGCCCTGCAGCAGAAAGGCTATCAACTGACGTGCCAACCACACTCTCAACGATTTCAGTAATTTTTTCCTCTAGGGAATCTCGAAAAGTCCTTTTCTTCGTAAATTTCTCTTTTTGGCGAGTGAGATATTCAGCTTCCAGAGCCTTCCTGTCTACCTTTCCAGATTCCAGACGTGGAAATGCATCGACTGCCAAGAAGTCTCCAGGGACCATATAATTTGGGAGCTTGCCTCGACAGAAACCCTTAATATCCTCAAGTCGTATATCGTACCCATGATCAGCAATAATCCATGCAATCAAAATTCCACCAACAACCCCTACCACAGTACTCCGTATCCTTGGCGCCATGGAAATGATACTCTCGATTTCACCAAGTTCCACGCGTTGGCCTCGGAGTTTTATTTGTCCTGTGGAAACTCGACCGAAGCATTCGATTTCTCCGTTAGGCAGTAACCGCGCTTTGTCACCTGTTCGATATAATCGACCGTATTTCTTGCTCCGTATGAAGGCCTTTAAATTCTCAGTAGGGCGATTAATATAACCAATTGCTAATTGTGGTCCGCCAACAGCCAACTCTCCAATCTGACCAATAGGTAAGGTTACAGGCTCTGATGGAATATCTGGCGAGTCCTCCAATGATATCACAAAAGCCGAAACGGTTTCGAAAGGACGGCCGATAAGATTCACTCTCGATTCTGACTGGAAATTTGGTGCAGCCGTACAATGTATGGTCGCCTCAGTCGGGCCGTACATTCCATAAAGTATCCCATCCTGCATTGTTGAAGCACCAAATTCCTCCACTACCCGTTTTGTGAGCATTTCGCCTATGGTAAGCAGGACCGTGAGAGATGGGACGCTCTGACGATTGCGTAGCAGCTCTCCGGCCACTGTTGGGGTCAGCTCAGCGGCGTCGACTTGCATTTTTGAGATTATTCGAGGTAGGTCGAACAACATGTTGCTTCTCTCCGAACCGATGAGTGTGGCCCCCCTAAACCAGGGGAAAAATATCTCAAACACTGAAACATCGAATGTCGGTGATGCAAATTGAAGAAACCTTTTGAACGGTGGGATTAGATTATTATGTGCTAACACCGATTGTGTAGCTGCTCGGTGCGATATGGCTACTCCTTTAGGTCTGCCTGTTGAACCGGAGGTGTACATGACATAGGCGACATCCTCAGGGGCGAGAGTAGGTTCTTGCCAAATAGATGAAGCGGCTTGTAAATCAACTTTGTCCACCAAGATAAGTGAGATATCTGCTCCGTTGGCGACTTTATCCTTGAATGCGCTGTTCGTGACTATCACATCTGCCGAAACATCGTTCAAAATGAAACAGATTCGATCTTCAGGGACATCTGTGCTCAACGGACAGAATGCTGCACCTGATTTCAGGACTGCTAGCCATGTGATATACAGTTCGACTGACTGGGAGAGAAGCACAGGAACGATTCGACCTGTAAGATTTGAGCGTGGAGAGTCAAATGCTTGAGCTATCTGTTGCGCCAACTGAGTTGAAAGGCAGTCCAGCTCATAAAATGATAGGCTCTGAACGGAATAGCCAACGCTCAGGAATTCTAGAGCCGGAGCATCTCGTTGTTGATGATGAAATGCCAGTTGGTGAAGAAAAGCAGGACCTGGCAACTCCCGTGGTTCTGGATTGGCGATAGACAGTCTCAAATTCTGATTCAGGTTCATTTCTCCATCCACGGTAAGCCCAGTATACTTTTGTATGCAAATGCCCAACTGCAATGCGATTTGCTGTAGATATTCAGGTAGAATGCCAAGCTGTGATCGTATATCACCAGCACCTGTGGCAAAGTCAATGCCAACAGACAGCGAGCATTTGCCTATCGCAACGCTTGTGTTGTCTGTTTCCAAAATGACGCCACTGTCTTTCCCGTTTATACATATGGCTGTATACGATGTCTCGTCTGTTTGCCATTTTTGTTCCACTGGGACTGGAGCAAAGCTCTTCTGGCCTATATTCGCTTTGACTGTGCTGCGGTTCACAACGAATACAGGTTGTTCATCGCCTGTATAAGCCTGAAGAAGTGCTGCCCAGGAAAGAACCAGCGTCTCGAATGAGATATTTCGTTCGGCGACGGCATAGCTCCATGCTACCTCTGTTTCTGTAGAGCTGTGTCCCGTTGTTGGATAAATATTCGGGAATTGGGTGGGCGTGTACTCCATGATGACCCTCTGACTGCGAGATGGATTCAGGTGCTTGCTTGTGTCTGCGTCGATTAAATTCATTGTCCACTATCGCAAGTCATTATTAAGCGTGAAGGACGGTATCAGGGGAAGAAGCTATCCCCACTGAGGGGTAGTGAATAGTCAGTTGTTCAGCAGAGGTTTGTAATGATCATGCTTTCTCTCCAGACGATGTAGAATCTGGATTAGAAGACAAATACGCGATACACGATACACAGTAGTTACATTAGGCGCTTACCAGGGAAATACCAGGACGTTACGACATTGTCGGAAAAGGAAGGAAGGGACCGGATCGGCTGTCGTTGTGATCATCAAACCTGTTCAAACGGAAGGCGCGAGTGGCATGTTACTTGAGGAAAGTACGTAATTCCGCCGGTTGTCCCAGAAAGAATCAACAACAAAATTTCAACAATGCAGAAGTTTTCCTGGTCTCTCATGTTTCGACTACAACTTCCTACTTGGCCTTGGTTCCGCAGTGTGGATATCGAGCGAAAGTGGAGTCAATTTTCATCAATGCTACCTAGCTTGCGAGATCCCTGTCGCCGTTGTCAAGACTGATAGGTGCTTCAGTGGCTAGTTGATGGTGGGTAACAGAGGTCAATCGCGTGTCGGACTCAACGCCATAGTGTGCTTCCAATGGCACGCGGTGTACAACGAACAGGCACTCGAATCTCTCCCCGAAATGGCTCGATCTCGGACTTTGCATGGTTTACGAATCCGCAAGTCAAGCGAATGACGTTGAGGGATTGAAATAACTATAAGAGGGGTGCGCATTTGCATTCACCTGAATCATATGAACCTGATCAAAAAGAACGACGGATGGATCGAACATGGCACTGACCCTCTCTGGTCCCTCACTTGGGCCGTAAACAGGACCTAATGGGAATTAAGCTCGGTGAAGATCCGGCTTTCGTCATTACCGGTATTTAACTCGATCTTCGTTAGAAAGTTACTTACTCAGGTACTTCGAAACCTCAAGAGTGTGTGTCTTGAATCTCCGGGTTTGCAATCTAAACGGTAGGGTACGGAATATCACGAGATCATAGTGGGTGGGTTTTTGTCTTTTCTTTGATTTAAGTGTCATACGTTGACATTTTGAAACATGTAAGTCCTTGCCAATTGAAAGTTTCCCCTTGGTGCAGTGCACTATATTGAGATTAGCTGGGACGCAGGTACGTAGTACCATAACATATTGGAATCTCACTTGAACTGGCTGAACTGCTTTCCAATTGGTTGGCAAAAGACAACAAAAGCAAAATGCCAATTTCATCCTCAAAAGCCGGTCATAGTGGGGAACTTTACGACCTGGTTTGCGTGGGTTTTGGACCGGCCTCTCTAGCAATTGCTATTGCATTACACGATGCTCTGGACAAAGCAGATAATAGAAAACACTACACACCGCCCAAAATATGCTTTCTTGAGAAGCAACAGCAATTTGCATGGCATGCCGGTATGATGGTCCCTGGATCAAAGATGCAAATATCATTCATCAAAGATCTGGCCACAATACGTGACCCGCGGAGCGAGTTTACATTCTTGAACTACTTGAAGAACCAGGGAAGACTTGTGGATTTCACGAATCTGGGAACCTTTTTACCGTCACGGTTGGAGTTTGGGGATTATATGCACTGGTGTGCCCGACGTTTCGTGAATGTTGTAGCGTACGGTCAGGAGGTGTTGGAAGTTGGCCCCTCTGAAACGGGTTCATCTGGGAAAGTCGAATCCTTCGTTGTCAAGTCAAAAGATGTCAATTCCGGTCAGATATTATCACGGCATGCCAAAAACGTTATCATTGCTGTTGGTGGGAAACCCAAGATCCCCCAAGGCATCCCGCGAGATCCACGGATTTTGCACTCGTCCAGCTACTGCACAAGCATTCCCGAACTATTGAGAGATACTTCTAAGCCGTATCACATAGGAATATTAGGAAGTGGGCAGAGCGCAGCCGAGATCTTCCATGACCTCTATCGACGGTATTCCAATGCGAAGACCACCCTGATTATGAGAGATTACGCCCTGCGGCCGAGTGACGATTCGCCATTGTAAGCGCGCTCGAACATCCAGGTGCATACTTTCCGAGAAAGCGCTTGCTAACATCATTCAATCTTGCAGTGTGAATGAAATCTTCAATCCGGAAAGAATTGATGGGTTTTACGCTACTTCGGACGAAGAGCGTCAAAAGTCAATCGCCTCTGACAGGGCGACGAACTACGGCGTAGTTCGAGAGGAGCTCATTGGACAGATATATCACGACATGTATATGCAAAAGGTCAAGAGCAGAAATCCAGATGACTGGCGGCGAATCATTCTTCCGCAAAGAGAGATTATCCAAGTTGACCAGGAAGCTGCGGATGGCCGGCTCGCAGTTCATATTCGCCCGGTTCAGAAGCAGGACCACAACACTGCAGAGAAAAAAGTCTTGCATCTAGACGCACTGATCATCGCAACGGGGTATACACGAAATACCCACGAGAAGCTATGCGCTCCATTAGAGGATCTGAAACCGTCACACGCGGAATCAAACGGTTGGAAAGTGAACCGCGATTACAGCTTGGTACTAGACCGTGACAAAGTCAGCTTGGACACTAACATTTGGCTCCAAGGTTGTAATGAAAGCACTCATGGTCTTAGCGATAGTTTGCTGTCCGTGTTAGCTACGCGAAGTGGGGAGATGGTGGAATCGATATTTGGCGAATACCTCAACACGCTAAGGGGTAATATCCGCGAGAAGAATGGTGTTCGTTCTACGTTATAGCGCTGGTACTCCATATATAGACACTTTTCCTTTCATGTCGTATGATCCAGGAGCTTAAAGCCTTGTAATCTTGAGACATAGATCAACACATCAACAGGATGCACCGTTTCTATCAAGTGAAAAAGAGTGCTCGAACATATCAGGACGTTGAGAGTTCTCAATCTCAGACCACCATACAGGCAGCTAGCTATATACGGAAGTCACTACATAGTCGACGACTCCACATCGACTGGACCTACCCTCTTCGAAAGATGAATTTTTTATCAGATAATCAGATAACAATACAAGTGGATCTGCTCCACCCTTTGTCCAATATTTCACGGAGTACGCATCCGATAAACGGTATGAATTGCATGACAGCTTGGATTGAAATTCTCTGATTACGCTTTTTTTTTCTTTTTTTCCATTCATATCTAGGAAAAAGGATTGGTGTGCCGAGCGGCTTGCCGCTTTACGCGCAGTGAGCGATCGCGGAGTGGCCATGAGTGGCCACTCGTGATCACTGAGTATGCTGATCAACTTGAGAGAAATGTTACACCACCTCACCACTGCCAGGCAATCTAGCAATTTGATTAGAGTCGGATTGTGTCCTATGTGACTGGCTTTTCACCAGGGGATTTAGACCGTAAACTACAATCAGACTATGGTACTCCACTCAATTGATATTATGTTGTCAGTTTCTTTCAGTATTGTTAGTAATTAATTTACCATCTGTACCCACGTCAAGGGTTATTGTATGTGATGGATTTGGAGCAACACTGTGAAACGTGACTTCTAAAATGTGTAAGAATAACATTGGTTCTAATCCCTCATCTTTGGTCGTAATAGTCAGTTGCTTAAGCATTATGAATTATGAAATGAAAAGCGGGAAAGGTGAAAGTGATTTGGACTTCACCAAGATTCCAGTTATATGGATTTTAGTAAGCCCTTGGTGGCTCGAGGCTCTCTCAAAAGCCTGGCCTTGGGACTCTTCTCTGCCTACAGCAGCAGTTGCACTCTGGCCTGTACGGCCTCCCTAGTACTAGCACGCGCCGAGCTCTTTCCAGGAGCGCTCCCTTTCCTTGTAGAGCGTTGACACGAGCCTATTCAGCCGCTGCAGCATGCCTAGCTTCAGTGCAAGCCAGCATAACATAAGCTAGAGTCAGCTGCACGTTTGGTCCGCCTGTTCGTTTCCTTTCAACCCCTGAGTGGCCTAGATCCCACTATACCGTTAGTACATGCTGCTCTATAAGTAGGAGCGCAAGGACTTGGCCAGCGACAGGGCGTCTCAATTAGAGGCAGCTCATAGCGTTTTGAGCATCGAGAAGTATATGATGACACCAGTCCTTTGCATTGATATCTAGCTAAGGGTGCCTATCGACGATAATATTGGGCATAAAGAGAAAAAGGAAAAAGAAGCTCGTTCCAGCGGCTCCAAGAGCTCTCTTTATACCTTGTGCGAGCTCCTAGCCACCTTTAGCACAGATGAGATGATTTCCTAATACGGCACTGCTAGGGCTCATAGCCCTATCCAAGCACGATTCGGCGCCTGCGCGGCTCCGCGTTCCAACCTAGGCTATCCAGCTATCACAAAGTACATGTGCTGAATTTGGGAGTTTAAGGAAATATTGCCAATAAAATTCTATTTCTATCAGAATATTCAAGAAAGTTCATATTGACGTGGGAATTGTGACCATCAAGAATCAATAGACGCTATCTCTGGCTTGCTTGAGACCTTGTTTCTTTATCAAGAACTTCCTGCAGCCAATGACAATCAATCTCGCTATTTGTCCATCCTGTTTCGGAAGCTGCAAAGTGGCTTCTTTGTGTAATAAGATCTTGAAACTGGGAATCCTCTAAATTACTGGATTTGGCCATATAGATCAAAGCCGCGGGTTAACGGTTCCATTCGCGCGAATACAGCAATTGTAGCAATCAACTCCCTATTCCCATCTTGAAGAAACTTCTTGAATTTCTTCTTATATAAGCGCCGAGAAAAGACTCTTTTTTGGCTTGTCATAATCCCAATCGCGAAGCCCTTCTCATCCATATTGTAAATTTGACTTGGCCGAAGATTATATTGCTCAATCTTGTGATTTATAAGTATAAATTCAAAATAAAGAGCATAACTCCATGCGCAATTCGCCCTTTTTCGGTCTCGGTCAGTGCCTGTAGAATAATGAGAAATTAACGCATTTGGATGCTTCTTTAACCAGCGAGAAGCCCAGTTTTTCCAAGCTTTTTACCAGTTATCTCATGCGTGAAATTTGCAGTCATATAAGGCGTAGGTGGCAGGCCTTTCTCGCACAGCATTTCTATCCATTGTATAAGCTTTTTCGACTGGTGGTCATTGAGTAATCGTTGATTATCGTAATGCGCCTCTTTCGAGCCCGCACCACCTCGGTATCTTCTCGAGAGCGTAATTCGATCAACACCATATATTTTGCCATCAAATTGAAATTAATCTGTTCGTATTCTCCCAATGCTTGTCATGAAGAATTAATTTGTGGCCTAGAAGTCCACAAGGATAAGAATTCTTCAACAAAAGGTGACCTGGCGAACACAGAGCGCAAAATCCGCCTAAAAAGGACTGAGGAGTGGACAGGTTTTCTGTAAGGACAGATGGAAGTATGGGGTGATACCATAGACAGCAAGTTTGTCACCGAACGCTATTTCGCCTCACTTTCGACATTGAAAGACTATGGAAAGGAGATCCGAGACAGGATGCTGAGCTCAGAACTGGACCTAGGCTATTTTGAACGACATACAGTTGAATCTCGTGTCGCGTCAGTTGTCAAGGTGCTATATGCAAATACACCACTTCGACAAACCTTCCACCTGCATGAAGATGTGACCTTTGAAACCCATGCTAATGACTTGACGGACGAGCCAAGAATCGTGGAGGATTTGAGCTCTCTGAGCTTAACACAGAACCAGCCACGTCGCTCTAGGCGCTTGGCTGCAAAAACGAGCAGAGTTGAACACTCGGCTCCGCCGCCAGAGAGGAGTCAGGCTACACAGCCAAGGAGTTCCAGGCCTAAAGCAGACCAATTTTGCGTCTATAATAAGGGTCTAGAGCGAAAGGAGCCTGTCTTTATTATCGAATATAAGGCACCTCATAAGGTCTCCCTCGCCCATATTAATGCTGGTCTACAGGACATGGATGTCGACGAGGTACTCCGTGTACAAGAGGAGGAATCCCTAGAAAACATTTGTCGTTGTGTTATAGCAGCAGTCATTACTCAGACATATTCTTATATGATTAAGGGAGGCCTGGAATTTGGTTACGTGTGTACTGGTGAAGCGTTTATATTTCTCCGTGTACCTCATGATGACCCTTCTACTGTATACTACTAAGTAACCTGTCAGTGCCAGAAGAGGATGTTGGGCCATAACAGGATGAAATGATTAATCTACATGATGATAACCGGTTGCATCTTACTTCAGTGGGCCAGATATTAGCTTTCACTCTCCGGGCTTTACGAGCGCTGATACAGGATGCTGCTTGGAAACACCACGCAAAAGAGAGTCTAGAGACGTGGTCTATGATCTACGGTGACCTTCTAGGTGAAATCTCGGAGAAGGATATACCATCTTCCGCCTTCAAATCGCCGCGGAGTCAGAACGGATACCTCCGTATATCTCCGGTTAAACCAGGTCAAAGCCCGCTGTGGTTGCTTCTTGCAATCCTTCGCAGCATCAGAGATCGCCTAGCGACGATGATACCGGGGACGACTTTAATCCAGACGATACGCCCAGTTGACAGCCATAGCAGCCTCGCGTTCTTCGCTCGTCACCTTTCTCATCCTCACCACCTGCGAAAATGCCAGGGGGCTCACGCACCAAGTGCAAATCTCGGCAGTATTGCACACAGCAATGCCTAAGGGGCTTGATCATGGGAGGAAATTTAGATATCAAGTACCCTAACGCACTGGACCATGGGGGTGGTTCAACATCAAATTGAACCCGAGAGCACTTATGCGTCAATTGGATAAGCAGCTCTCTAGCGAAAATCCCAACTGTGAGTCGCTACACATCCATAGAACCCGCGAGGCACTTTTTAAAGTAACCCTTTGGCTACAGGGATATACCTTCGTGGGAAAAGGTGTGCCGGTCGAGTTTGTAGAGGGCTCGAAGCATGAAGAGTTTGTGTATTTTCATCTCACCCCAATTCAGGGGATATATGTGCCAGTAGTGCTCGGCAGCCTCGACCTTCGTCGGCCATTCTCAGATGATGGCATCGCAGAGATGGTTCATATGATACGACGTATGAGACGTGAATTGCAATAAGACACAAGAGAGAGTGCATGGTAAAAAAGACTTAAAGATTAGCCTTTTCTCCAACTCTTGACAGAGTGCCTCATAGCCTGGGTTCATGCATGGCGCATAGCCGACTAGCGATGAATAAGATGAGCATTACCGCGAGATCAGGGATCTCAAGATGCAAATTTCGGGATTTAAATTATATATAATATAGATAGGTTGATGATTTAGTTAAAAGCGTTAGTACTAATAGTCTGTCAGATGTTAGAACACTAAAAGACTTCGAACTGAATCTTATTAGGTCCTTACTAATGAAAATCCTAAGCTTGGGAAGAGAGAGGAAAAGAGGAAGGGAAGGTCTAAGCTACAGACAAGTTGATATGATCTCGCAATTCTATCATTCTAGACCGCTTTCCCCATAAGTTAAGGCCTTCATCCCATGACAGGATTATCAGAGTGGAAAGCATGATTTTGATTAGCTCTTGATAGGGCACGACCTCTCCTTCGCAGATTACCACCTTAATCTTAGGAGGAATCGTCTAGCCAGGTACCTAGGGAAATTTTTCATCAACATAAAAATTACAGCTTTGCAGATTCTTCCAGCCAAGCGGTCCTCTTATTCTGAATCGAGAAGTTAGAATAACGAGAGGATGGGAAATAGGCATATCGCGTTCTTAGGGGGAAGTCTTTCTAGTGGGGATATCGGATTACATTGATGGTGGATCAGTGACCTCACAGTGAGCGCTCCGGGATCGCAGGGTGAACGATAACGTGGGGGGCTGCTAAAGCGGCACCGCCCGGTGGCTGTAGGCGCACAAATCTTTCACCTATTAACTACCTAGGCACCCAGTAGAAATCACTACCCACTTAGTGTACTGTATATAGTAAACGCCGTAAAAGGATTGATATTGAGTAGTAGGTAGTTGGAATACAACGCGATTACCGCTCGTGCGGAAAAGAAATTGTACATGTAGCGTTTTCGAACGATCCGTGCTATAGATTCAGCATGTATTGTCATGTATATGTAAAAGCTTGCCCACTGATGTATTAATCGTATTATGTTCATCTATACAAAATACAAATACCAGAACATGAGCAAAAAAATAAAGTCGAGTCACCCGTGACGAGAAATGTTCAGAAATAATCCATGATCTGGCGCAAGACAGAAGAAGGTATAACAGGCATGAGATTGGAGGGAAACATGTCAGGTCGTATCATGCAAGCATAGCTGTTTATTAGACAGCACTTTCAGGCTCATCACCAGCAACACTGACATAATTCCCACTTCGACCACCACCAGACGCCACTCTCAATGGCGGCTCATACATCTTATAGTAATCCACAACCGCGCCGTCGAGCATTCCAGACCCAGGTTCCCGCGCGCGGAATATAGGTGCAGAATCAAACCAGAAATCGCGACAGTTGGTCACAATACCGCGCGAGAAGGGGTTCTTTTGACGGGTTGATCGGCCCTGGGCCGTGGCGAAGAAGGTGTCAAGTCCTAGTAAGCCCATCCATTGTGCTATGAACCCGCCTTTACGTTGGTGGTGCTGATGGCCATGACCACCGGCAGGAGCACCACCGGGTGTTGGGCCGTGACCGGCACGGGTGAGTCCTGCGGCTGCTGGGTTGGGAGTTCCGGCGACAAGAGCTGAGGTGATGGCTTGAGAAGCTCCGCCGGCTGTCATTGATGAGCCTCGCATGTTTTCGTATGTGGTTTGGTTTCGGGAGATTTGCACTAATTGGACGCAGCAAAGCATTGTAACCCAGACCAATTGCAGGGCAGCCCAAAAGGTGAGAAAGAGAGTAAAAGTATCCTTTGATACTATCGTGCAAAGGTTGTCGTTGATGATATTACAAGAGAGTTTCTTAGGCGCGGGGAGCAATTCGATGTCTAAAATCAACGTTAGCAATGGTCTGGGTAACTGGATAGCCTTTGCAAGACTTACAGCGAATCACTAGTTGAACAAAAAGTACAATAGCAATCTCCAAAGACAATATGTAGATGACAAAATGTCGTAAGTTGTTGGCACCCACACAATTGTAAATCCACGGACAATGACTATAGCAACTTAGTCTTCCGTATGAAACGCCAAATTCATAGCACTTACTGGTCATGTTTGGCGACACACCGCGAACATCGACGGCAGTGCTTGCTTCGTAGGGGCTTGCGAACCATGCAGTGAATGCAGAAATGTTCTTCATTGAACTTCCAGTTATCGACAAGCTCGCGCATGGTTTCCCTTTGCTGGTTTCTGCTACTCAGCTTAGGGACATAGCCAGGATCTTCGGCCATGGAGAATATGTAGAAATAGGTCGTAGTGATGGCAAATACAGAAAATAAAACGTTTAAAACAGGGTGTGTGGACCATGTTACTGCTGTGTATGAGTTCTTGCCCTTCTATTTTAGATTGTCAAGGGGACTTACCAGGTAGCACTCGGAAAATATATGTAACGTTAACCCAGAAAAGACTTGCAGCAAAGACACCAGCGAGATACGGCTATGCCATAATTAGCCACCGAAAAAGAACAAGACGATACGAACAGAAAGCTTACCGTTTTCTGCAGCACGCGGAATTCCCCAGGACCATTGTTAGCAACTTGTTGAGTCACGTAGTGCATACCGAAAATAAACACAGCTGCAACTGGTATTCCAATATATATAGCGAAATTGCTCAGGATCCAAATTGCAATGAACAACGTGAGGAACGGCCACAGAAAAAAGTACTTTGTGAGTACGCTCTTATTGTGCACAAACATGGTCATGCCCATTGGAAGCGTTTTCAAGTTTCCATCCTTATCGTATCCATAATCGTTCAAAGCTCGATGCCAGACTCGAAGTGATCTCATCTCACTAGCCACGGTAGCCGGAGATTTCCCGTCTCTCGTCTTTGCGAAACGGTCCGCTCCATATTCGAGTACTTTTTGAACACACATATACGACCCTTTCACCAAGGCCCAGTGCAACGGCGCAAGACCTCCTTCATCCACCGCATTCACATTCGCGCCCCATCGTAGAAATAGGTCCACGCATACCGGTAACCCTTTATATGCCGCCCACATCAAACCAGTATGACCCTGAGGATCCGGAATATCAACGGGAATACCTTGGTGTAGCAAAAGAAACACCAAATAGGCGTTTCCATCAATGGTGGCCAAGTGCAAGATGTTGTATCCCTGAACGTCGGTGAGAAGAGGATCGGCTCCTCGTTGTAGAAGCAAGTCTACGATATAGTAGTGACATCTTTGCGCAGCCCACATGGCCGGTGTCGCAACGGATTCGCCTCCTTTGGCGTTGACGTCTGCGCCGGAGTCGAGAAGAAATCGACACATTGCATATTGATTATTGATCGCCGCCCACTGTAGAAAAACAAACAATTAGAACCCGAACGAACAAGTAAACGGGAGCTGCGACTCACATGTAACGGCGTGATACCCTCTTCATCTTTATATTTGGCATTGAATTTCTTCGTATCGAACAATTTCTGCATAGCTCCAATTTCGCCTAATCGCGCCAACTGCATAATATCCGATTCCACGGGCAACGGAAGTCTGGCAGTCTCTCCTGCACCGTTGCCATTATTCGCAGTCATGTTCTTGAGCTCGACGTTGTCTGTCGAAGTTTGCGGCGCCGCCGCGGAGGCTTTCCCGTTCATTGATTTTGCTTGCATGCTTGGATTCGGCGGTGGAGAGCCATCTGCTTGACCACCCGATATGGATGAGGACATTTTCTGATATCACCTTCGTTTCAAAAAGGAGGAGGTTAGTCGTAAAGGGGGAGTCAACGTTGCGCTTGCGATGGAAAGGTACACGGTATCAAGTGCAGATAAATGGATTGCCGCGCAGAAGAGATTATAAACGTCAACAGATCGCCAAATTACCTGACAAAACAGTCATAAAAAGAAAGACAAGGAAATTAAAGGCAGTATCAGGTTTGCCAGTTGTATACAAATGATAGCTGGTAGATGAATCAATAATTATTCATTACGGCGAGCGCTAATCGCCGTATTTGTTAGTCGGAAATTCGGGATTTGCTGCCTGCTTGTGGCTGAGCCGCCAACGGTGAGGCTTAGCGTTGTCCCCCATACTATAAAGAATTACAGAGTATGGAGTACCTGCCAAGAAATCAATTTTCGAAATTCTGACTAAGCAGCCCTATCACGTGCATACATGTTACGCAATATCTAATTGGCTGGAGCACTCCCATGTCCATACATATGTTTATACGGAGTAATTAATCTTGAATTCCTCCTCTGTCCCTCGATCGAAACGAGAGAAGACAGCTTGTCAACTCTTATACATCGTCATCCAGTTCTCTAGAAAACGTGGTAAATAAAAATTCGCTACTAGATGATGACAACTAATATACAGGGATGATCAAAGCGACGCTATAGTACATGCATATGCTTATATTCAAAATTTCCTTTCAGCTTATGTCCATTCCCATAGCTTTTGGGCAAAGCCTGGATAAAGTCAAAGACACAGATACCAATCTCAAAGTAAGTTCCAGCGGACAGACCAAAAATGCGGGTATAACGTAAAATCCTCAGTAGTTGAATAGCAAAAACTGAAACATGATCCAAAATCATGAGGGAACTTCGGCGACCTCTGGTGAGACAGTATTTGAGGCGACACTGTGTGTGTTGTTATGATTCTCCGTCGGTACTGGCGTGCTCTGAAGTAAATGAATCTGACATAGTAATGCGTGCGCATCGACACGCAGATCAAAATCTGTAAGGAAACAAAACGTGATTTCGAGTCGAGTAAGTTCGCGCTCTGCTACACCACCGACTCGGGCGAAGCGAGCATGGGGATAACTTAAGTCTTCCAGTGCCTTCATTGCCACTCGAAGAGCTGCAAGCACTAAACGATGGACATTTCGGGGAGTGACAAACAGAGCCTTTTCTGTAAACACCATTCTGGTGATGTAAAGGCTCGCTGCAAGATAAACAGCGGTAGACATGGGACAGTATTTGTGAAGGCGAAGAAGATAGTCCTCCAATGAGATAGGTGGGGCTTTCTTTGAATAGAACCTTTTCACCAGCACATTATGCTGGATTACTCCTGCCGGCGTCGACTCTGCAGAGATATCCTTCACGTCTCCCCAGTGTAATTCTGTGATACTGACGGCTGGCATTTGTTTCTCTGCAATGATATCCAAACTCGCATCGTCCAAATTCTGAGGTTGCTGTTGCTGTTCTTGCTGCTGCGCATAAGGCGTCGCCGGAACATCTCCGGTAACACGCGCCAATTCCGTCAAATGAGCGGTAACTGCTTTCAAGGCATCTGTCGCCGACATCTGAAACACCACTGCATCTCGCTCATCTATCGGAGGGACCCCCGATTGGGCATTCGCATGCTGGGAGGGTGAAACTGTATGCTCCTTTCCATCTCCTTCATGCTCAACCTGAACGGTCATTGTGTGTATCAGAGTTACTGCTGCTGCGCCGGTGATTGGATATTCTAGAACGATCAAAATTCGTAGATACTCAATACAAGAGTATCGTGAGTACACCTGAGACTACAGGCGCACAGTGATATTCTGGATAAACCTCTCATTGTCCTCCGGATTCGTAATATGGGCTCCAGTAACGCTCCGCTGGATAAAAGATGTGGCAAGGGAGATGCTTGATTTTCGATCCGTTCTAGCCCCGGTAAAGTATCGAGGAAAAGCGGTGATAAATAAGTTATGTTTCTAGACTGCAATTACCGTGGTCGTTAGCATATGCCATGAGGGGTTGACCGGACGCAGTGAAGATGACTCCGATTAGGTCAGAAAAGGCGGCAAGTAGTGATATATACGTACAGAGATATCGCCACAGTCGAAAAAGACAATCGGTGAAAAACATCATCGAGAACCCACAGCGATAAGGATTATTGTCAGCGGTCAAGAGTCAGTCTGGCGGAGAATCTCTAATTGCTGTTCCCCTCGCGGACAGATGACTCCACCTGATCTCGCTGACCAATCACGCAATGCTCAACAACTCGATTCATCTTTTCTTTTTTCTATCTATCATCTATCATAAACAAACATCGCTTGTACAAAAGAACGCAATCAACAATTCCATACAAACAATCATCAATAACAATCAATCTCCCAGTCCTGCAAGCGTCGTATCAGTCCTAACACGAATCAATTGAACGCCGAAGAAATACACAAACAAAATTCAATACATCTGATCTGATGCGTTGTACCACAATGACCTCGATATCATCGCATCACATGAGAGCCATCAGACCAGATCATAGTTATCGGTAGTAAGATTGCCTTCGGTTGTTTATACCGTGTCTTTCGCGGAAAAAGGCGTCCGCACCGTCTAGGGAGCCCTGAGTATTGCGCCTAGCACGCGCGTTCTCAATAACCCTCTCACTTTCCTCCCTCACCCGACGGTTTTCTTCTTGTATAACGTATGACCGAGGGGGGAAATTCCGTCTCGCAATGACACTCGAGTGTCGACGGAACCCTCCCATGTCGCCCGTTATGTCCCCTGCTCTTTCCGGAGGTGACGCTACTACTTGTCTCCCTTGTCTAGCTGGGTTGGTTGAACGTCGTGTCACACCACCAGCACCAATTCCGGTTCGGTTGTTGATCAGAATATGACGCATGCCATTGGTCAGATCCTCGAGTTCTCTTCGCTCACGAATTGCATCGTTGACACGCTGTTTTGCATGGAGAGCTTCTAGTCGAGCATACAGGTACTCACGGTCTCGGCGGTGACCTACCGTGCTCTCTTCCTCTGGAGTGTGAGATTGGATGGGCTCGTAGTATGTCTCATCATCTTCAAACTCTGTCATTGGCTCAGACGAAGAGGAAGAGGAAGAAGGAAAAGTAGCAAAGGTCGAGAAATGATCATCAATATCGCTTTCCGGCTGCCGCGCACCAGTCATTTCGATCTCTTCTGGTACCAACTCAGCTTGGTGTACAGAAACTGGATGCTGTCTCACCCGAGGACGCTCTTCCACTGGAGTCCTTGGCCTTGGAACTCTTGCCGGCCTATGGGCAGGTGCTGTTGCGGGCCGAACTTGTTCCATTACGTCTCGAGGTGTTCTTTCTATGACCAACGGCGAACTCGCGATTCTTCGGTGATCAGCTCTCTCTGTTTGTCGTAAAGGGTCTGATATGATGTCAGGTTGAGTCGACGATGGCGGTTGTACTTGAGAAGAACGGCCCGGAGCTTGTTGGTCTCGCATGCCACGGGTTTGATCGTCATGTGGTTTTCCAGACCTTTCTCTAAAAAATGGGCCACTCAGGACTTTCCAGATACTATCTCTTGATGTTTTGCTTGTTGACTGGCGACGGCGTGAAATGCTGGGGGTTGTCACTTTCGAGGACAACTCTTGGTATCGTTTCTCGACGTCCTCATAGCGAGTGAGACTACAGGTACGACCGTTGCGGCTGCGAGGACAGTAGTATGTTGTTTGTTGAGATCGCTCCGTGTCACCAATAATACGTCTTGTTCTTTTGACTAGACACATTTTCCGATTTGATTGGCGTTAGTCTTGGGCTTCACTGGTGGATGGGAGTCGAATCTGTCAAATGATGCGGTCAGCGAACTTTGAGTTCTTGGAAAGAGACATCAGAAAGTTACTTCAAGATAGAAGGCCTTCTAAAATGTGGATGTGAAGATTCTTCATGACTTCTCTTGGTCGTCTTGGGGGGAATGTCACTTATATACTGTGGCTTGATGCGTGAGGCTTGAGCATAAGATTACTGGAAAGCTCCTTCGCATGCTTTCGTATTAGCTCAGTCACATTAAGTAAGTTCTATTCTTGAAACTAACTTCAGCCACAGACTAGTTCTCAACCTTTCGGTTTAAGGTAGACGGTACGTGCCGTACACACAGACTTGTCATACAAAGATAGAGAAGTGGAAACTCACCATAGGCCTTTCTTGCAATATTTATCCTCCACTAGATATATCGAGCTAGCGGGGTTGAGTTCTTCTGTCTAGTATAGAGTCCGGCGTGATTCGATTTGTATGTCACGGGAATGCGGTCTTACGGATATCGTCAGCCGCCACCAGCAGCAAGACTACCCTGTAAGTCTAGTATAGAAAAAATCAATACTAGTGTCAAAAATAGAAAAGAAATATACAATATTCTGTAGAGTCATAGAGAAAATCATCCTAGTACATACCAAAATCTTTTAGTATATGGCTACTAGTCTAGTTATAGGACTAGCATATCATTTCAGCTGCCTACCGGCAACCAAGTCACACCAGAAAAAAGAAAAGCTTTCTGCGTCTAAGCAGGGATCCCTCTAGTGAAGAAAAGAAAATCTCCTAGACATACGTATTGCATGTAACTTACAGGGCACTTAAGTCGACTCTATGGATTAAACTTGCATAGCATCAAGAGGCTCTATCACTAGTGTCTGGTTTGCGGAGCGTAAGCGCTTGTGATGTATATGCCTAGGGTCCAAAGGATTCAAGCTTTGAACTCGTTTAAGCCCAGAGAGAATAAAAGCGTTGGATGATAATAGCCTTAGGAAACGTTCTAAAGAAATCACTCCACTAGGGCTGACAAGCTGAACGCTCTAATTCAAAGATAAACGTCAGTGCAGTGGCGAGTATCCTCAAGGCATACTGAGTCACTGAATGATTATGACTATTCTGGTTTAACTGTGGCACATGCCGAGAAGTCAGCCAAGTTGAATAGGGTCAAGTGCCTGGTGCTGGCGCTGTGGACATGGGGCTTGACGTGACGAATAGAGCATGGGCAAAAGTTCAGCTGCAAGCCACAGTCGCCGACTTTTATCTACATAATACGCGTATGTTCGTGTTGTTGAAGAATCGAAATGGAGAATTAAGCTCGGAACTTTCATGCAGGTCCACACGGGCCGTTGCATACATCCTCTGGACCTGTGGCTGTGCAGTCTCTTCGTACAGTACCGATTCCCGTATGCGATGATTTAGACAGCTTTGAGCTTCGTATTATTTTCAAAGGGGTATTTTGCAAGTTTCGAAGGCTAGCGACGTTGGCAGTAAGCATTAACAACAAAAAATTCTGGCCCCCAGGGAATGAGTAAAAATATCAACAGAAGGAAAGTGTGGCGCAGGAGTCGCAGCACAGCCACTGTCAACATTATGATAATATTTTTGATTTTTATTTCATACTTGAGTACCTCCGTACAGTCGGACGAAGTGATCGAGATCTTGGAATAAATGCTCTTCTGTAAGCGACTGTACGAGCCGACTACGGCCAACTCAAGATTCGTTCCTCTAAACCCTATATCGAAGAAATTCGAGAAAAATCGCACTAATGGATAATTCATCTGATAGTCTCTTTCTGCAGAACTATACGTTTGGAATGTTTTGAGTTCAAATTCGGTTGGAGGGCTTTCGGATCTCCATGACGCGTCATAGGATCGTAACTTCCACGCTGAATACTTGTACGTGAGCGGCAACCAACTCATTGTAAGAGTCTCTAAGCATCACAAGTAAACATGATGAACTGCTTGTGCATAGTCACATTCACTATATAGGCTAGTCTTGCATGCCGTAATGCTAGTCGTCTCGTCATAGATAAGTGACGAGGGAAAAAATGTCTATCATGTTCCCGACATCAGGGACAAATCGCTCATAGCGCTGTAAAGTGGCCGTGATCGGGTTGAAACCGTATATGAGTCTGGAAATTGTTGATATCTCACCATTCTCTTGGTCAATGTTAAATGTTCGGCAGCCGGATAACGCTTGGGAGATCCCGATTTCTCACGGCGAATTTCAGCGCCCAACTCAAGATTCAAAAATTTGGACAATTTATATTAAAGTATGATTGTCGGATAAATCAAGGGCTCGACCACTTCTCTACAAACTTATCGCGAGACCTATCCGGCTCCACAAGGACGTTCAGATCGAGTTGCTCGATGTCTTTCTGAATGACAGCGAGTTCCTTCTCGAGATCACTGAGATGTTCCTTCTCAATATGATCAACTAATGACGGCTGTGCATGCGAATCGGCATGCAGAATAGAGGCTAGAAGCTCTTTGGCCGCATCATTAGAGCCGAGAGTCTCGTAGAGAGGCATTTCGGCCGCTATACTTATATTGTGGTGAATAATATCAGCCAATTCTGACTTTTTTTCTGAAGCCAGCTCGTGTGCGGTAAGAGAAGATGAAGGTGAGATGCCGAGACGTCGTAAAAAACTTTCTAAAGATTGTAAAGACTCTTCCTCAATTGAGGTTCGGGGTTGTGGTGCCTTCATGGGTGAGGATAGAGACGAATGTCTGCGATGTGCCTTTTTGATTTGAACCTGCTCAGCCTCCCGGCTGGATATTTCTTCCTTGAAAAGAACAGACAACTGATCCAGAGCTTCGCGGTGCGACTGACGATAATAAACCTTATCGATCTCTTGTTCAGTTTCGTGTGTCATCTGCGAGAGGACCTCCAGGATCTAGAAGAACGAAATCAGATGAGGCATCAACAGAGTAAAATGAGAGACATACCATATCCAAAGTGTCTTCCAGTGAATTAACGAAATGTTGTTTCTTCTTGCTGAGTTCGCCAAGTATAGATTGTCCAAACTCTTGTCTGGCAGACATTTCAGCTAAAACTTCAATTTCCGAATATAGTGACTCCAGATCTTCCTCTAGCGCGATCTGCGTGTCTCGGTGATTGCCGGATACATCTGGCGGGCTGACATCATCCGACAAAAGTTCTTTGAGGTACAACCGATCCAATCGACAACGAATTTCTGCCGAGGACAGTTTCGAGAGTGTAGATACCAGATTCAACACATGGTTCTCCAACTTTCCATCTGCCTCTGTCGACTCCAACTCCGCCGCAAGTTTTTCCGCTTTCGATAGTACCTCGTCGTCTTCCACTAGTTTTGAGCTCACGTTTTGAAGGAGGTACTTTCTTTCCGCGTGCTTTTGTTGTTGATATTCGTGCATTCTGCTTTCCAGATCGTTCTTGATATCTTCAGCCTAGGCTGCTGGTGAGTAAACATATTGGCCGTCAAATAATTCAGCAATTTTTTGAGCAATACCATAGCTTTTATCCTTTGTTTGTCCAACAGATGCCGCCTGTTCAAGCCAGTTATGTACCGGTCATGGTTTCGATCAACCTCTCGTCTATCACTCTGTAGCCGTTCGGTAAGCTCAAGTTGAGATCTCAACACCGTCACTTGTTTTGCATATATTGCAGTTGATGATTTCAACGTTGCGGTCGATTCGCGGATTTCATCTTCGGTCAGGGCTCGCGTGGATGTCAAATCGGGGTGTCGTAGAAACGTTTCAAGTAGACCGGATCGTTCCAAGTTTTTCACACTACTTGATGTCAGTGCGAGGGTTTTTCTCCAATGTTAATTACTAGGTATACTTACAAGGCTGCTTCGTCCTTGGAGAGTAGCGTGCTGGGACTTATATGCTCCAACACCCATTGGGCATTATCTCGGCCCTGTTGTGACCCATTGTCCAGCTCGGCAGCAACATCTTCTTTCTTGAATCTGATACCATGATCCTGAAGAGCCGAGGAAAGTAGAGCACTCGCTCTGGTGTGATCTTGCATGGCTGTTTGGGAGAGCAGAGGGTGAAGTTGTTCGATGTTTATGGCAGCTGCAAACTCCACTTTTCCCCTGCTCCACCCAATTTAGGCTGATCAAGGTGTCGATCATCTCCCGCGTAAAACACCAACATTTTTTATTTATATACAAGCGTTATCAACTTTTTCTATACTGCTCTCTTGAAAATGTGTATACTACCTACAATACATGAGCTGATAAGCTGTTACTGTGATGATGTCGGAGATCCACATCGACGCCAAAGTATGATGCGGCTAGAAGCGGCGAGGGGCAACAACGATCATGGAAGTCGCCGAGTTTCTTGCGCAATTTTTAATCTCTGCTACCACAACCACTTTCTTTCTTCGAATTGACCAGACACTCTATAATCACGGCAGCTGTTCAAGAATCTAATATCGCTTCCTCATCGAAGATCTTTAATATCTCTTCCATATTAACTATCCCGATTCTCTGAGCCATGACTTCCTCACAATCTGTGGTCCCTCCGGGGGTGCTGAATAGTATCACAGAACACATCGGAAACACCCCCCTCGTCCGGTTGAATCGTCTTCCGCAGAGCTTCGGAATTGAAGCGACGGTCTATGCCAAACTGGAGTATTTCAATGCTGGCGGTAGTGTCAAGGATCGTATTGCCCTCCGCATGATTGAAGAGGCTGAAAAATCGGGCCGAATCAAACCTGGGGACACATTGATTGAGCCTACCAGTGGTAACACGTAAGATTGACATTTTTGTTTATCTATTATTCTAGAGGCAGGAAGAAGGATGACTGATACATTCCATTTTAGTGGTATTGGTCTAGCGCTTGTTGCGGCAGTCAAGGGTAGAGGACCTCGTTACTGATTCCAAATGAATTAGTTTGAACCGGATGCTAATGAGTCACAGGTTATAAAACAATCATTACTTTACCAGAGAAAATGTCCGCCGAGAAAGTCTCCGTGCTCCGCGCTCTCAATGCCAACATTATCCGTACACCTACACAGGCTGCATACGACTCTCCCGAATCCCACATCGGGGTTGCCAAACGCCTCGAAAAAGAACTTCCCAACGCCCATATTCTGGATCAATATAGCAATGAGAACAACCCATTGGCTCATGAACTTGGTACTGCGCAAGAGATCTGGACCCAGACCGAAGGCAAAATTACAGCCGTTGTCGCTGGTGCTGGCACCGGGGGTACCATCACCGGTATATCCAAGGGCTTGAAGAAACATAACTCCGCAGTGAAGGTTATTGCTGCGGACCCGCAGGGTTCAATTCTCGCACTTCCTGCATCGCTCAATGCTGAGCATGAGAATGAGCCGTACAAGGTTGAGGGTATTGGCTATGACTTTATCCCTCAAGTTCTCGATCAGTCTGCAGTTGATAAGTGGTACAAGACAGAGGATAAGGAGTCTTTTCAATATGCTCGACGACTGATTGCCGAGGAGGGTCTTTTGGTTGGAGGTAGCAGTGGAAGCGCTATTGCTGCCTTGGTCAAAGCACATCAAGACAACGTATTCTCCAAGGATGATGTTGTCGTGGTGGTTTTCCCTGATAGTATCCGCAGCTATCTCACCAAGGTATGTCAAGGAGAGAGGCCATATCTGATTAACATCATCAGCTAACAGACAATAATTAGTTTGCGGATGATGACTGGCTGGCTGCCAATGATCTTCTTCCTTCCGTTCCAAGCGAACTTTCAACAATCACATCCGAGACCCCTATAACCCGCGAACAGAAAGATGTCTTCGCTAACGGTCGAGTCCGCTCACTGAGACTCAAGCCTGTGACCACAGTGCGAGCGAATGACTCCTGTCAGGCAGCAATTGAACTCATGCGAGAGAAGGGATTTGACCAGCTACCCGTCCTTACAGCTGACGGCAAGAAACTTGCCGGTCTTGTCACATTGGGTAATGTCTTGAGCTGGATTTCTCGCGGCCGTGCTGCCGGCAGGAGTCCCGTATCAGATGTCATGTTTGACTTTTCGAAGTTACCCGAAGTCGTGACCGATCCCAGGGATATCGGCGCTTCCTTACAGGCCGCTTCCAATAAAACAGACGGTCAAGGAGCACAGGCTGCACCCACCAAGAATCGCAATAAGTTCTTTGAGATTACATGGGATACCCCTCTCAGCGTACTCAACCGCTTCTTTGAGTGGAATAGTGCTGCTATCGTCACTGAACGTGACGAGCAAGGGACAATCAAGCCTGTTGCAGTAGCCACCAAGGTTGATTTGCTTACTTGGTTGTTACATCAGAGCAATAACAAGTCCTAGTCATGAATTCTGTTGATTGTTATGATTAGTTTTGAGAACTGCTAATAATTACGATGGCGGCTTGGTTCTGATTAATGTGCTTTTTTGGTTTATTCATTTGTTTGTCATGAGTAGTCACTTGTCAATCATAGACCATAGATTATGTACACTGATATAACTCAGAGTAATGTCAGCTTAATCTCTATATACAGGTATCCAGTCCAGACTGATTGTAACATACCATCTAGTCGTGTTTAAAATCCACGGCAATACCGAGCTCATACCATCTTTCTACAGTAAGGAACTTAAGGAACTCCGGTATGAGCTTGACAGAGAGTGCAGCGCATCAATTTCGTCTCAGAGATCGCCGAAAAAGCGACCAGAGCGATGTTGGCCCCGGCAATATCAGCTTGCAGTCTAAACCCCGGAGCTGAAGGCCTCCTCGCTTCTGGGGTGACTGGGAGCGTCGGACGTCTCGGATATGACCATTCATGGAAAAGAAGACATATTCGGACCATTTCACAGGCACGATCCGATCCATTCTTCCCATTTCCGAATCCCAGTCGCACTCACACCATCCTTCTCATTCTCAGCCTTGGCGAATCCACCAACAACGTCTACTTTGACACCGATATCATCCTCCAATCCATGGAACGTGAATTTATCACCATCTCCGCCTAGAACCTCTTCTCCATCCTCATCATGTTCCGGATTAGCACTAGCATCCAAAAGACCCTTTTGACGCGTCTGTCGAATCCGGTCAATTTCAGACTCGAGCTTTTGCTTGACAGAACCAGGTGGTAGAGCCGTGAATAAATCTTGCTTATTCGCAGCTACCAAGATAGGAAAGTTCGTTCCTGCTTTCTTGGACAGTTTGCCTTTACTCAACACAATTTTCTGCAGTACAAGTAGAATATCGTATAAGTAACCCGCATAATCTCGCAGATTCTCCGCTCCCTCTACTAAAGAAGCAGCATCCACGAAGAAAATGATTCCGCAGATCGATGAAGCTTCCTTCTTACTCTTTGAGCTGAGCTCCGTTTGCAGTTGAGTCAATTGCGCGGATCGCAATTTACCGTGGCCCGGTGTATCGCGCAGGACATATTTGACTGCATTTCTTTTGGCATCGGGGAGACTGGGATCGTTCACTGAGCGATACCGATTGGAAAATATGGGCACCGAGGGGGGTAAGGTCACGGTTGTGGAGGTGGATGTTTGCGAAGTATGAGTACTGTGGGATGGTGTCTTGGCTTTATATAAAGAAGACGACTCGACCTGTACAATATATCAATTAGTTATTAACTCTCATAAATAGTAGGCACCGGCCTCTCTAGAGAACGTACCAAAGATAGAAACGCAGTCTTTCCAGCTCCACTCGGTCCAAGCAACACAAAAGTAGACAAAGGTGGGCTGGCTGCTTTGCGATAGATTATCCAATGCAAGAGAATAGGTAGAGTGAGTGTGACGACGAGCGCTAGCAAGATTGCAGTCGGATTGCCATCAAGCAGGGTAGTCGCAATGGACGCGAGCGAAGATTTCCAGTCTTCAAGTAAATAATCCATTGCGTGTTTAAGTGGCTGGTGGTCTATAGCCACGCTGTCTATGGCACAACCCTTCAATCTTCGGTGGGATATGATTGAAGTATGTATGGACTTGCGGAGTTGTATTGACATACGTAGCGGATGGTAGGACCGTTCGGTGGCCTCAGGATTCAGGCAGCCCTGAGTTCGGTATGTGATGCGGGTCCTTAGCTCTTCCAAGAGCCAATCACAACCTGCGATTGCTGTTGTTTGGCATTCAAGGAACATACACAACTAATAGACTACGAATGAGCAAGTTATTATTACTAGGGAGGAGTAGCCAAGGTCTATTTGGATTGTCTCCAATGTCTTCTTATTATTGAGATACGTGTCGGTTCGGTTTTTCTTCGAGTCTGAACAGACACCATCCCAAGTGCCCAGCGGTCCAGAAGACAGAATGAAATTGACCAAAGCTACCTCGCTACTCGCATTAATAACTCTCCCTCTGCTAGCATTTGCTGATGTGGAGTTCATAGAACCTCGCGCAGGTTCAACGGTTAAGAGTGGTGACATATTGACTGCCTATTGGAAAGATTCTGGAGACTTGCCTAGTCTCTTAGAGCTTCATGAGTATGATCTCTTTCTATGCGCCGGGGGTCCTGAGATCGAATACTCTGTTCGTATATACTGCTCATATTGATCGTTTGGCACAAAGCTAACCGATGATACCACAGGAGGAGCTGGCGTTGCTCGTACCAAATGGTCTTTTCGACAAAGGGAATTCTGTCTCTTTCCAGATTCGATCAGATCTGGGGTCTGAATACCCTGACGCATAGTAAGACATGCCAAAAAAATCTTTGGCTTTTGCCTACTGACATCCACTCGTATAGTTTTCTCAAAATGACATCCAGAGGAACCAATAACATGACACTCGTCAACTATTCCGAGCGATTCTCAGTGACTGGCATGACGGGAACATTTTCGGAACTGGTCCAATATGGACTATTGCTCGCCGCAAACGACACCGCCAAATACCACCAGGAGCTGAAATTAAGAAAGAGGCAGGTAGCGACGGCCATCATTCCCGCCAAAGACGTGTATAACGTTCCGTACCCTCAACAAACCAGGGGATTGACCAAGTATGCGCCTATGGGCAAACGACCAGCCACCACTATTACGGCCAAGAGCGGTCCTCCTCAATTTCCCACCAGCGCTTTCGAAGTGGCTCACACGTTTTTACCAATCCCAACTTGGCAGACTACATTGACTGCTTCACGGACCTGGACCACTTCTGGAATGGAGAATCCTGTAAGCTTCACTGTTGCTGCGAAAATCGCCGCAAGCGAGTCGGCGCTGATCTTTTTCGATTTGTGTAGGCAACTCCGGCACCACACCCCAAAGATGATATGCAAATATATCTCAGAAGGTGGGCTGATGATGAATGAGAGGTCGGCAATAAGCTTCGAAGTGAATCCGCGGCCTTCGTCAATATTGGAGAGAGTGTATTATGTCCATCTGGGGTGTAAATGAATTGAATATGACAGAGTGGAACATTTCCTTTTGCATGCCTCTTTAGTACCATGTCCATGGTATCTCATCTCTGTGCTCTTGCACTAAGCTGTATAGGCCCATACATTCAGTGTATGACCAATCTATCCAAAGTTAGGAGTAGCAGCGCCGCTCGGTATTTCTTTCGGGAAGAAAGAAATATTCTCGCGTAGAGCTACATACTCGCTATCCGCGTATCCGAGAACAGCTTGGATGTGAGTACTGCGCACACCCTTGATACGGTTAATTTCCAGACTGCCATAGTTCACAATAGCTCGCCCAACCTCTCTGGGTTCCTCTGCGTGGGACATAAAATCGCCATCGATGGCGGTTTGTGAACGTCTCTCGACAACGAATAGGCGGACTGCTTCCTGTTGACCAAAATGTCCTTCAACAGCAAGGACACCTGCAGGAAGAAGACTGGCTTTCTTCTGTAGGGCGCTGAATGCGCCTTGGTCGATAAACAGACTTCCATGAGGAGCAAGACCGTGTAAAACCCAGAATGAGCGTGATTGAATAGGGGTAGCTGAGGGGAGGAATCGGGTATGTAGAGGAGGTAACGATAAACCAGAAGTCGAACCGGTCATTGCTTTCTGCTCCGAGTTTGTTTGATCTGTTGTCTGGGAAAATACGTGTAAACCAGTCTGGGATTCTTGCAGATAGTTGACGATATCATGCACATTGCCAGGCTTTGAACTTTTGGTGATGATGGTTGTCACACCAGCACTGGTAGCAAGACGAGCAGCAACGATCTTGGTACCCATGCCTCCGGTACCTAGCGACGAACCGGATGTTGACACATCTGCTTCGAGAGTTGATATATCGGAAACGACTTCGATGGGTCTTGCATCAGGGTCATGTCTTGGGTTCGCTGTATATAGGCAGTCTACATCAGTCATCAAAAAGAGATAGTCAGCTTTGACCATGGCTGCGGTTATAGCTGATAGAGTATCATTGTCTCCGAATTTGATTTCCTAATCCATGTTAGCAATAATTTTAAAAGCGTCAGGTGTATCAAAGTACCGCAACTGCCAAAGTATCGTTTTCATTGACAACTGGAAGGACGCCCATATCCAGCAGCTCGGAAAAGGTGTTTTGAGCATTTATATATTGTGTACGCTGTTTAATTGATTAAGAAACATATCAAATCTTCAGATCAAAAGTATGGGCTTACGTCTGCAATATCGCTTCTAGTAAGAAGAATTTGAGCAACAGGAATCCGGAGATGTCCAAAAAGGCCGTCCCACAGACTCATAAGCCGGCATTGGCCAACAGCAGCAAGAGCCTATAGTGTTTCAGTCAGCAAACAAGTCTTCAACCTTCAAGTGAAATGAGCAAGTCTCTACTGACTTGTATCCGGGGTAGATGTGTCGGTCTCTCATCAATATCCATTCTGCGTAAGCCAACTCCAATGGCACCCGAAGATACTAGAATAACCCTATGTCCATTCTTGCGGAGTTTTGCAACGGTTTCGACAATTGAGGACAGAATGGACAGAATTGGCTCATGTGTGCGTTCATCCACAATCGAACTCGTTCCTAATGACTCATTGGTATATATTTTCGTTTAGTAAGCCTTGCTGCCAGGAAATGTACCTAATTTTATGACAATAGTCAAGTTCTTTGAACCATCCACGGTCTCCATTTTGATCCAAGTAAATGTGACGAAAGAATCTATAATTTTGAAAAACGGATACAAAATTTGGCAAAAACGAAAAAGGCGTCAACAAAACAAAGTTTCGTCGTTTGCGGAGTCGTATCGGAGCTAGATATTATTCTGCCAGGTGTCTCCGCTCAAATTGTGGCCGATCTCAGATCGTTTTCTCCGTTGATCAAAAGCCAATTGCATCGAATTTCACAAAGCAGATACTAAAGAACAATGTCGGATTCAAACTCGTCATCTCCTCCAAAGGATACAGGCTATATCGAAGGCGATGATTTCTCTACACAATGGAGGAACATCTTCTCGATCTTGACGGGTAGAATGACTCCCGAAGGACAAGAGCAATTCCGTCTCGCGAAAGATATTCGCAACGAAGCAGCTGATTGCAAACGATGTGAAGATCAGCGTGATTATCTCTTGCAATTCAGTAGGTCGAGTCCTTTCGTTCTCGTATTCATCTGCGTCGGACGTGATATTTGTTAAGTCGGAAATGTCAGCTTACCAATCTTCATCTTCTAGGTCCTATTATTCGATATCTAAGCGACAACATTCGCCAATTAGGCGGCGACCTGGGCAGTCACAATCTTCGTTGTCGGCGATGTACGCAAAGGAAAGCAGGCGGGTTTGATCCAGAATACGGTATCCAAATATGCGCGAATGAGATGCGTGATCAAGGACATCTAGAGGACACAATGGCGCATGAAATGGTACATGCGTACGATCATCTTCGCTTTAAGTTGGACTGGGATAGCGATTTGAGACATGCGGCGTGCACTGAGGTATTTCCCTTCTCATTTGGCCACATAATAAAATGGTTCAATTGCTGACGAACGACTACTTTCTAGATTCGCGCAAGTTCCCTCAGCGGCGAGTGCAGATGGGCTCGAGAATTCTTCCGAAGAGGTCAATGGAAACTTACCCAGCAACATCAGGAATGCGTTCGAAGAAGAGCAATCCTCTCTGTTCGCGCAAGACCCTTTTGCAAGGACGAAGCACATGCCGAAAAAGTTGTGAATGAGGTGTGGGAAAGTTGTTTCCGTGATACCAGACCCTTTGATGAAATCTTTCGATGATCCTGGGTTGGTGATCTGGAAACCTGTGACTGCTCGGCTATACCCTGTACATTACTGCTTATGACGGCGTTTGATGACTCTCCCAACCAAGGAATATATATAAATAGAAAGCATTTGTGACTCAATTCCTATCGTTTGAAATTGTTAACTCGAAAAACGCTCATTTTGCCCAACTCCAATATCATCATGTGTAATGAACGAAACCTGAACTCCAAAAAAAATGCAAAAACAAAAACAAAAAACGGTATGTCTATCGGTCTTACTTCTGGCCTGAGCTACGCTGAGTTGTCTTTTCTGTTTTGACGCAATGCTTCAAAATCCATGGATGCTGCTGGGCTTCATCAATAGTCATTCGCTTCTCAGGGTCTAGAACAAGAAGCTATCAAGGAGTTAGTTATTGTCAATCACAACGCAGGCTTGAACTTACCCTTTTAATGAAGTCCCTGGCCTCCGGGCTAACAAATGAAGGAATTGTCATGTCGGCCCTGGTAATTCTTCGTTGAGTCATGACCGGAGTATCCTCGAAGGGTGCTTCTCCGACGAGGAATTCGTAGGTCAACACGCCAAGACTCCAGAGGTCGACTTTGTCGCTGTAGTAGTTCTCCTGCGATCCTCTAACCAGCATCTCCGGGGGAAGGTAGTCGAGTGTCCCACACATTGTCTGCCTTCTGTTATTGGGTGCATGCACACTCCATCCGAAGTCACTAATCTTGATCTCTCCATGAATACCGACCAAGATATTTTCCGGCTTGATATCTCGATGAATGACGTGTTTCTTGTGTAGATACTTCAAAGCAGCCGCCATCTGTGCGATATACTGGGCAGACTTCCACTCGGGAAAACGGTGCTCCTTGCGCAGATGTTTGTACAGCTCGCCTTTGCCAGCGAACTCTAGAATGAGAAAGATCCGCTTGCTGTCATGAAAGTGACCATACAGTCGAAGCACATTGGGATGCCTCAAATTGCTTTGAATCTCAATCTCTCTTCGGACTTGCTTTTGGACCCCCCCTTGCTGGAGTTCGGATTTGTGCAGAACCTTCAAGGCACAGATGAACCCAGTTGATCGCTCTTTAGCCAAGTAGACACGGCCAAACTTTCCTTTTCCTAGAGCCTTTCCAATTTCAAACATGCCAAGGTGTAGTTTCTTAGGGGCTGGTTGGTCGTAAAGGACGGTGGAGCTTTCTTCAGATCGACCCTGCTGCTCTTTGTTGGAGGGCGACCCAGCATTTGCTTTTGAGTCGGTTGTGTTTTGTAAGGCAATCTTCAACAGTTGGTTGCGAGTTGAGCTTGCTGCTGATGGATTTGCAGCTCCCAGGCCGATCAGAGACACTGCAGTTGACAGAGAGCCCTAGTCCATCAAGTTAGCTACCAGTGTCGGACGGTAGACAACCGCAGAGCAGCTCCTAGATCGGTCATTTTACCTTTGCTTTGATATGGCCCTTTGTGGTTCCATGGTGTTCATTCTCATCATTGACTGACAGATGCTCGAATCGAGCTTCCAAAGTCTTCGTTGCCATGTTTGGTGGTGAGAGCAGTGAGGAAGAAGAGACCTGCAGTACAAGACAAGAAGTCACGATTAATATTGAGTGTTACAGATAACGACTGCTCATGAGCGTGGTATAATGTATTTTGATATAGAGAGGGAGAGCAGAGACGGAGAGCAGAGTGGTGGTTGTTCGAAAGGAAGTTATAAAGAATGAAGAGGGAAGTGAGCAAGGGATGTTTATTAGCAACGGGAAGCTAGCCATCTCCCGGGCAACGGGTCACACTGGGCCCAGAACGGTTTAGCACGAACTATTCCAATCATTGCGGGGCAGACGAACTATCAGAGCTTCAAGCCTTCAACAGCACTTTACTATTTGAAATCACTTTAGCTTTTCATTTCTCAATCTTGTTAAGAATATCGTTAGGCTGCTAACATATCAGAGTATTCGACTAGCGAACCGCCACACCCACACACGTTTTTCGGCGTAACTTAAGGCGTGTTTCAGCATGGCAGCCGATTCTTCGTCAGCTCAATGGTCATCACCAAACGTCGAGGTCAAGATGCATCCACGACCGCAGACTTTCTCTAGGAAAGGATTCACAATTACGACGCAAAAACTGCCCATACTCAAGGCCGGCCCTATCGAAGAAATGACAAACAAACTGGGCATCACCCCTCCAGAAATGATATTCGGCGACAACTTCGTAGCAATTGAGCACAATACCAGCGGATGGGGTATAGGATTCAATGCGTTCGATGCTTTAGACAGAGTCGACAAGACTGGCGCCGCAATGCTTAAAGTTGCATACTCGAAAGAATGGCAAAAGAGCAGGTGAATACACCTTCGCAAAAAATCTGAAGACGCGAAGCTGACTATTTCACAAGGGAACACACCCACGACGGAATAAAAGAGGTCGTGAAGCCTTTCGACTGGTCTTACAGTACCGACTATAAAGGAACTATCAAACCCGACGCCGCAGCCCTCAGTCCGTCCGAAGTTGAGATTCCAATTGAACTTCTCAAACGACCAGACCCAATTCTTTTCTTCGATGATGTGATGCTTTACGAAGACGAATTAGCTGATAATGGTATATCCATGCTATCTTGCAAAATCCGTGTTATGCCTGATCGCCTCCTTTTACTTGCTCGATTCTTTATGAGACTGGACAACGTTGTCTTTAGGCTGAGGGATACCAGGGTATACGTGGATTTTGATAAAGCCGAGGTGATTAGGGATTACCAGGCTCGAGAGATGGGCTATGAAGATGTACGAAAGGTAGGAGACATCTCTGTTTAACAATTTAATGGTCTGTGCTGACAGAAATCAGGCCCTAGCCAGCGGTCGCGAGGACATTGCGGCAGTCATGAGGGATCCAAACAGACTTTCTCAAATTTTACCAATTGTTGAACATTCTCTGGAGCGGACAGTACTCTCATCTCAATAATGACCTGGGAGGTACTACGATTCCAGATGAGGATTCAACATCAGTTTGCGAAATTCCGGATGGTGATTGGCGGGATCCCGCGGGGTCAAACACTGCAAACAATTTTCCAAGACGTCGAGCAAATCATTGACGCGCTGAATGATCTCTTTTTTCCAATGACTTCACCAGAAACGCAGCCATCTCAACAGGTCCAGTGATTCAATATAAAATCTAGTGGAGACGAAATGTCAACCAAATTACTGTGCCCTAATTGCTCTCTGAGCTCACGCTTTGGCGTGTTTGCGAGAGAACAGGTATTGTCTTGCAATTGATCACTTCGGCCTCGCCATCACTTCTAACTCAATTTATTTCAGTCCAAAGCCGTACATACCATAAGCCACCCATTGTCGACTCGTCAAGGATACATTGTCACATTGAAGAATGATTCGCATCCCCCTTCGAGACGATCCGAGTATCGGTCGGGTCTCTCCCCTTCACGTCGAAACTTTTCATCAACCCCTACAGCTAGCTCCGGCATACTAAAGAGTCTAGCATCTCGTCGAGGAGGTGCGGCAGAAACATATGTCTCATATGGATTTACTCAGAAACTGTATGAAGCTTGCTCGTCCCAAGCGGATTATGAAATTCCACAATTAGCCCAAAAAGGAGTCGAAATTCCGAAGACTGCTGAGGGGGAGGAGCTCGGGGTTGGAGAGGGATTGTGGTATAAGGGTAAGCTTGGTAGTCCATTATCTCATTAGCAATTGCTTACTAAGTATCCCTTATATAGAGCTTGAATTGCTTCCCACGTTTTCCACATGGTCGCAGGTAACTTTCCTGCATATGTATTTGCTCACAGTCCGTATCCGCGCCCTTCCATCACCCGAAAGTGTACGAACACATTCTCGCCATTTATTCGACCACTTCTCGCACAACGCTGAACAGCGCATGGCCACGTTACACAACATACACAGCCGCGCCATCCGCAACAAGTACCTCAAAGATCTCTTCATCCAATGGCGCGGCATCCTCGCCGCATATGACGAGGGGCTCGTCAAAGGCGACGCAGTCCTCGGTGCCGCCGTATGGAGAAATATATGGAAAGCAAGCAGCTCTACGCATGACGGGCGCGACCTCGATTGGGCCAAAGTAGCTACTGTAGTGGCTTATATGCGCCGTGTGCTTTCGGAGTTGGCAAAGACGAATGAAGCAGACCTTGTCTTTGATCTTGTTGGTACGGAAGCTGCCGCTGTCGCTGCTGGGGGAGAAAAGAAGACCATATTTGGGCTAAAGAATATTGATTTCAAGCTTGGTGGATTGAAGTAGATTTATCCCGGGCCCATATACCATGTACTATAATAATTCTTCGTTACGACGCAGCATCCTACAATCTCATCACTAATTGCACCACCTTATATGCACGTAACATTCCTAGGACTATTTCTATATGGCGAAGTCTCTCTACCTGCCTATTTGGCGAGATCCTTTTCAACCAATCCACGACAAATAGGATGGTAGAAGTCTTTATGCTTTTCAAAAGTTTCCACGGCAACCTGGCGATCAATTTTCTTAAGAGCGCGGAACCTGATGGACTGTCAGTACTCTGCAGCCTTCTTAACGAAATATAGGATGAGGAACTTACAATGGTCGAACGAACTTCATCCTTCCAATCTCGCCCAAAAGCTTAACGGTAGGCCCAATAGCCGTTCTATCACCAATCTTCAGACCCAGTCTGAAATAGAGGTTGGTGACTTCAATATTCGAGCTTTCTGAGAATCCATAAACCTGACCCATAAGACGGAATGAGTCTGAGCTTAGTGGAGGATCTTCAAAGAGAGTGACCCGTTCAAGGAAGACGATGAATTGGTTTGCGCTTAAACTCTTGACGTCTTCCTTCGATGGGGTGAACGTTGATGAGGAAGACCCAAGGAACTTCCATTTATCGGCTAATTCGTAGACGATGTCGACGAGGGAGGTGTCGAAATCTGGTTTGGGTGGGAGGCCGGGAGAGTAGAACCATGATTCCCAGTCGACTTCGCTGAGACGTTTGGATGCTACGGGGTCATTGGAGAAGAAGTCTAGGATTGTTGCTTTGAAGTCGTAGGAGTCGAGGGATTTCTCCTTGAAGATGGAGAAATACTATACAATTTATATTAGTGAAGCCACATTATGTATATGATAGACCCCCAGGAAGACTTACGTGTGGGATAAATCGATCAAAAACTTCTTTGGTCAAGAGATTCTCAAGGTAGAACAAGAATGTGAATCCCTTTTCGTAAGGAACTTTGGAGAAAGCGTCATCGGGGTCTTTTCCTTTCAAATCAATGACTAGCTTTGTGAATTCATTGTCCTTGCCGAATTCTTCAACGGACTCCTTGAGTCCGTCCCAGCCGATAATAGCTGAAAAATGTCGGTGTGGTTCACCGTGTCTGTTGGAGTTAGTGATATCCGATCATGATCTGTCGAAGATAGAAAACTCACACTGCACCCATGATCTAGTACACGATTATTAGTAAACAATCCAAACGGGAGACAGACGTCATCCTCACCCTACGCTCCAAATAGGTAGTCCAACCTTCATTCAGCCAGAAATGCTCCCAAGACGCATTTGTGACGAGGTTCCCACTCCAGCTATGAGCCAATTCATGAGCAATGACATCTACATTTTCTCGATCCTATTTTGAAGTTCAATTAGCACTATTCCGGTTTCGAGTTAGGTGGACTATCACCTTTGATATCAAACTTGGAGTCGCAAACGTATAAATCGGGTTCTCCATTCCTCCGTATGGGAAGCTGGGAGGAAGAATGAGGATGTTGTACTCGCCCCATGCATAGGGATATACTATTCTCTGTAAAAAATCAGATCAGATTCGGAAAGATTAAGGATGGATCACCCACCTCGATAGCTTCGATGAATTTCTCGGTATGCGCTTCGAGTTCCCATTTGCAGTCATCAATTTTATCAGGGCTGGACACAACCACGCTTCTAGGACCGACGGGTGCTTCTGTCAAGTCTCTGAGAATAGGTGTTAACCATCGTCTTGCAGATCACAAGAAGGAAAGTACGCACCCACTTGCCACGGCAAAGAGATAGCTAGGAATTGGGACATTCTGCTTGAACTTGTAGAGGTTGTTTCCCTTTGCACTGTCCTCTCGTACAGGTAATCCACTAGCAACAACGGGGAATGGAGACTTAATATTAAAGTCGAATGTAGTTTTCACATCGGGGGTATCCTGGCAGGGAAAGATGGAGCGAGCGTGGATAGCCTGGCATTGAGAGACTGTAGGTGATTAGAAGTTGTTCATAGATAGTCCAGACACGAGACGTACACATGTAAGGATGCTTCCTGTTTGATGTTTGAGCTTCCGCCAACCATTGAAGCGCAGTGCATTTCTCGGTGGTCTTGAGAGAAATCTATAGCCACCACAGCTATCAGTCTATATCCGTACTGCAAGAAGAATATCATTTACGTCAAGTTCCACAGTAGCACCTTCCTCGACACCCTTCTCAAGCACAACCTTCAAAGCACTTCCATACGGTTCGAAGCGCGGTAACAACTCCCACTGCGCCGTTTTGCCATCCACTTTCACTTGCGAAATATCAAGAAAGCTTGTATCAAGGAGGATCTCCTTTGTCTCGGCTTGCGTCTTGGAAAGCAATTGATGAATCACGTTTCCGGCGAGTCTCTTGTTGTCAAAATCAATCTCAAAGTTCGCTGTGACGTGCCGAGATCGCCAGGCTGTGTAGTTGCTCAACGTGTTGGGGTCACGAGGGCGCTGGATAGACTCGATGGAAGAGGAAGTCGTTGCTGCCATCTTCAATGGGCGGATTTGAGTGCAATTGATTGAAATGGCAAATCTTCCGGGTGTACTATAAGACACGATTGACAGGTATTGAGTCCTCCAATTCCGGAATGCTTGCATCTGTACGATGCGATGGTGTAGATATATGGAGGGGAAGAAATGATATTGCAATCACGAACTAAGCTATCAGCCATTCCGAACTCCGAAGCGGGGCCGGCCCGTCCGCGAGTAGCCGTTACGCATTGCTACACTATTGCTCCCTTTTATGATATTTGAACTGAGGTACGTTATGAGCAGATAGCATCTTCTGTTATATATTTTCTACTATTACGCTGCCTAAATTCTGTAGAAGAACCAAGCTACGACCCATTTATCATCAATTCAAGCTGATCAGCAGTCTTCGGCGCAGTCGTAAGGTTGTCATATCCTTCCTTGGTGATGTGAATATTGTCTTCGATGCGTACACCTCCGACTTCCCAGTATTTCTCCAAGACATCAGCGTCAATGTACTTGGAGAGCTCAGAGTCCTTGAGATAAGGCTCAATAATGAATCGGCAAAAGTAGACCTTGCTAGTCATCAGTACACACTTTTCAAGAAAATCCCAGGAATATACATACACCGGGTTCAACAGTAATTACACTTCCCGCAGGAAGTTTGCCTCTCACACGCAAATACCGGAACATCTTGTCCTTGTCTGCATAGTTTGCATGGCCGCCAGTATCATGGGTGTCCATTCCAAGATAGTGACCCAGCCCATGAGGAAAGAAGGCGACACTGATTCGCTTCTCAAGCAATTCTTCTTCTGAGCCACGCAGTATACCAAGTTTGAGCAATCCCTTGATTGCAACTCGGTGGGCAGTAACATGTACATCTTCCCACAGTACGCCTTCCTTGAGCATCGCAAGTGACTTGGTCTGCATTTCCAGAACGATATCATAGATCTGTCGTGACTCAGGGGAGAATTTGCCTGATAATGGGAATGTCCGAGTAACATCTGCACAGTAAGTTTTGTATTCACCCGCAGCATCGAGTAATAGATTCAATTTCTTCTTGTTCGTAGTTAGGTCAATCAACGGTTCATCATTGTTGACATAGTGCAAGGTAGCACTGCTCGTTCCACTAGCTACAATAGGATGATAAGCCATTTCGCGACATCCATGCGCAATGCAAGTTCCAATAAAAGCTGCTTCGAGCTCTCGTTCATTAGTAGCCGATTTGGTCGCTTTGAGAACAGCGACATGAGCTTGCGCGGTCACATCGTTTGCTTTCCGAATCATAGCAACTTCGTATGCATCTTTGACAACTCGGCATTCTTCAATTGCTGTTTTCAGAGCTACCAGGTCGGTTTCTGGGAAGTTCTTAAAGGAGATGTCGTCGGATATTTGCCCATCAATGGCAAATACAAACCCACTTGTGCCAACTTCTGATGCCAGGTGGGCCAGAGTAGGGTTGATATCAGTCGTGTACAGAACTTCGTCGACATCGTAGAGTTCCTTGGCTTGAGTGGGAGACAATGGAAGGCCAGACCATATGACCGACTCTGGGTCTAGAGGTGGGATGAAGAGGGCGAGCTTGTCGCTACTGATGTGGTAAGTGAGATGTGCATCTGGTAGCAGGCATCCGGAGAGATAGAAGAAAAAGCGACGCTGTCTTTCTCAGAAATTAGCTTTGACCGTGACAGTTTCATGTTGTCTTAGAAGCTTCAGGGTAGGCATACCGAAACGGCTGCTCAGAATCATTGTCTTCAATCATCTTCGTCTTCTGGGCTTCCAGATAGAGTACGCCATCTCCCTCGAAACCATTCTGTCGTAGGTATTCCACAACTCTACGAGCATGCGCCTTGGCTGGGTATTTACCCGCGAGTATTCCCTCGGTGGATGTCATAATTGTACGAATTTGGGGCCAATTTGGAAGAAAGTCAAGTATGAAGCAGTAGAAATATGTTTTATGTAAAGAGGCAGGGTATCATCGGCGTGGGCCCCGCGCGACTTCGTTAGATAAGGCCCCGCAATGCACTACATGCAATACAGAACAGACGAAGTAGACCGAACACAAAACGCTTCGATTCAATCAAAAGCAAATAGCTGAACAGACGACAAGGATATCATTAACACTGACTAGCTCATAAGAATCATCGCATAGGACTGCTAATCTCGGAATCAGGAACATCTTCAAAGTCCATCTGCCATTTATCCACTTCCGCAAACTTGCGCGCTGCCTCTTGCAATTCGCGACTGGTTACTCTCTTTGACGCCCGTGATGGTATCTCGGAATCTGACTCACGTAGATCTTCAGACGGCGGAGGTGATGAGAGGATAGAAGAGTTGTCAGAGAGATCGTTCTCTTTATCTGCAGCTTGAGGCTTCTGGCGAGAATATGTGCGTTGCGATTTGCTGCCCTGGGGATCAACTGCATTGGTAGTAGCTTTTGTGTTGCCGCGTTTGTTTTTCCTGCCACCACGATTCGGTTTGCTCGGTTTCGCATTGGTTTTCCCGAATGTCGCATTTGACAATCCCTTCTTTCGTGATCGCTGTGGTCTGCGCATGACTTCCCTAGTCAACTCATCCTCATCTGAATCTTCGTTGGCGGAGTCAATGCCATCTTCGTCCTCATTGTCATCCGTTCGCTGGTGACGACGAATTCGCCGCTGAGGGAGGAATCTAGTTTGTATGCTGAGTGTGGTCAACTTTGGTAAAGACTCTGCTGCTGCAGTTTTCTCTGTCGCTGCAGTGATTTGCTTTCCGACTATCATCAAGCGTGAGGGACTTGCTGTGGAGCTACTCATAGGTGTAGCCATGGTGAAACTAGGAGATTCCGCGCGCGTTCCGGCCACTGGGGATTTTGGGGTCGGTGTAAGTGTTGACAATGAACTACTACTTCTTGCCGAAGGGGAGCCTGGTTCAGCGTGATTGTCGTTCACTGCTTCCGACTGACGCTTCCTCTTTCTAGATTCCCGAGATGATGGCGATGGAACAACCTGTGGTGGACGTGATGGGGATGGGGACGCAGGCAATTGCCTCTCTGCGGCGTTAGACACTCTAGCGATATTTAATGGTGTAGATTCATCCTGCGGACTGAAGCCACCCAGAAAATCCTCATCGTCAAAATCCGACGAATTCTCGTCATCATGCGCCTGCATCATCTGGAGCAAACTTGGCTGTCTCGATCGCTTCTTGAAATTACTCAAAACAGAGCTTTCAAATCCAGGAGTGCTACCAATTCGTGAATTGAAATCCCCCTTTCGTCCAACCAAGGACAACGTAGAGGAGTAACCTCGAGCTCGGGTCGGGGGTCGAATACTCGCTGTGGTGGTATTTCCCGCAGGTGAAGAAGCGATAACATTCTCGTTGCTGTCTCTTGTAGGTGTTAGATCAGGTCGATCAGCGCGGTGGGCATCGTTGTTGTTTTCATCATGACCTGGTCGTCGAGGAGTTGCGATGTTACCGCCTTGCGATTCATCTTCTGCTGTATTTGATTTTTTCTCAGCTGGTTTTATAGAACCCTTTTCCGGCGCCTGGCGCACGGTACGAGCTCGTCGTGCAGGTGGGCGTGGCATGAGTGGCTATGCGAAGACACTTTGTCGCGATGGGGATAATATGCTGAGCGCGTAACGGGTACAGACTGTACGTGGATCGTGGACGTCTCAAATGATGCGAAATAAAGAAATTTTCTAAATACTTTTAGCGGTCTCCGTAGTCTGGGAGAAAGCGATGGAAATGGTGCTGTATGTATATTGGGTGTGTTGTCGGCATAAGTATGGAGATGGAAAACGGCCGCGACGCGTGGTGTTTGGCGCGTCTCAACGATCCCCACACCAACGGACAATCACAATCTGCTGAAAACAGTAACCAAGTTCTCCTGGGTTCTGAGTCCTGCTTAAGTCAAGCACACTGAAGCATGAACATCTATTTTCATGAAGCTACATATGATCATCAAGCAAAAGATATCCCAAATACTCCGTAATCTCATTGGACAAGAATAAGTATCAAGTCAGTAAATACATTCAACATCGTCGGGTTATCTTGGTATCTCAAAGAAGAAAAAAGCTCATCAGGTATCGATCGTCATCCATAAAGATCAAAGATACACAGAAAATATTTGCCAGAAACCAATTGGCATCTCATTACACAAGCACCCACTCGGTGCCTCGTTTTATATATTTATCGAGAAGCAAGCCCACATCATTCAGAGCGAATCGGCAGATGTAAAATCCAAAGAATTCTGCAGCGTGACGAGTACTCAATTCAAGTCCTACATGAGTTGGAGACGAATGCTTGAGTCCAGGATCTTCGACTTGGCGCGCGATTTGGTCTGATTTGATTATTAGTATACAGAACATGTACAAAAAGATGTATGACAGGCTGAAACTTACCCAGAACCTGGACGGCATCGAACAATCGCGCCAGAGCTCCCATGTAATTCGCATTCGGTCCACTCAATTGAAGCTGCGTGGCGTCCCGCTTGGTGAAGCGACCACTAGGAGGAGACGCTGTCATTGGCAGCGTGCTCATACTGAGACCGCCTTTGCTACTATCCCTATGTGTCGACGAACTTGCACTGTTGTTCACTGCTGCCGAACTCTTCGATCGAAGTTTTCTCCAAGAGGTAAGAACGGATCTGCTAGACTGGCTAGGAGTCCTTGATGCCAAACTATCAGCATTCACCGGTGACTCGTCCGAGTTGTTTGCGTTCTTGAAAAGAGGAAGTGCGCCTTGAACCCCAACCTCGTTACCGAGCTTCTTCGAGAATGCGGTCTGAGCTTGGTCTAGGATATTCTCAAAGGCTTGCATCTCTTCTAAAACAGCATCCGCATCATATGTATCGACTTGACCGACTTTCTGGAGAGCTGCAGTCAACAAGTCGCAGAGTGAGATTTTGTCTTCTATAGCCCGGATCCGGACATTTTTTACATGCCAAACTTCCCTAGGTATAAACAGCTTGGTGGAAAGATATCCGCCACGTGGATGTGCAATGGTCTGATAAAGACATCGCATAAGCCAAAAAGGGCGCAATAAGAACGATTCCGGACAAGGTTCCAAGGGTATAGGAGCATTAGTAACTGTTGAGCTTGGTGATCCGGGTGTGGTGGGCGAATGTATATCATTATCAAATAGGTGGAGGCTTTTGGAAGTCATCAAGGGGAATGACGTCCCGATCGGCGTCGGCATTGCAGGCACGAGACCATTTGCCAACTGCCGTTGGAAGTCAAAGGCGGGGAAGACACTGCTAGACGGCGTATTTGGAGATCCATTCGAAACGTCAGGGGTGGACACAGACATGTTCCTGGCTCTCATGCCTGCCAAACTCGATGAAGAGGTGTTCTTGCGGAGTAAGCCGGGAGCAGAAATGATCTTGTTGATGGTTCTTGGGGGAGAAGATTGTACGGATCGCGAGGTAGCCTCTCCATCAAGTGTAGGTACTCTTGTCAGACTTGAACTACGCTGGCCTACTGCGGAAACATCGAACGAACCCTTCTTTTCAAGAGGTCCAGATGGTAATGGTTTAGACATCGAACTGGTCAATACTGGTAGACTTGTCTTGGGCTCAGCTTGCAGTACTGGTGATGGATATCCCGCAGGGTGTGCTGTATAGGGTTCTTTCTTGGTAGGCTCATAGCCTGCAGCAACACGCTTAGTATCGATTTTCAGTTGTTTCGTATTAGAACCAGAAAAGCGACGAGCTCGTACACCAGCAGAAGGTGACATATTCGGGGCAATTGGTTGGTGTGTGCTTCCTGTTGGTATCTTTGGGACAGGTGGAAGTCGCTTACTTGGCGCTGCTGCATCAGGAGCGGTCAAGATACCTTCTTCTGCAAGCGTCGAAAGAGAGGTACCGGCAGTGGCTGAATTCGATGTGATCGAGCTGCCCCAAGTTCTGCCAGAGATCGTACTTGAGTCCGATTGTCTAGGCAGCGCAGTTTTGGCATGAAGATTGAATTCGAAATCATCCATCACATAGCCTTTCGTCATCTCTTCTAACAATCGTTCCTCTTCCTCGGCTTCGTCGTCAATATAATCAGCATTAGCATTGTAGCCGGAAATCACGGTGGTTTCATCCATCATGAGCCGCTGCTGCAAACCTCGTGCCATAACAGCTTGGGCTTCCCTCTCAGCTTCCCGAACTCGCTGCTTGGCGATTTCAATGTTTCTTCTAACATTCGATACTACATCATCCGGGTCGTAATCGTCATCTTTGTGATCTTCGTAATCATCGTCATCATAAAATCCCCCCTGCTGGTTCACCGCGGGTTCCAAACCCTCGTCATAGGCTGCTTCAACTGCAGCATCCAGCGCAGCGTCAAACTCTGCCTCAGTACCATTACTTGCGTGATGCGAATGGCCCAAGTATAAAGATAATTTCGAGTGTGTGGACACAGGAGACGAAGCACCAGATTCATCGATTGTGTCCAACCATGATGTAGATTGACCTTCATTAAAAATAGGAGCTTGTCCGTCAGAAGAATAAGATGTATGCGCCGTTGAACTTCGTACTTCATTATCTCCTTGATGATCCACCGAGCCTCGACGAGATATTGGGTGGGCAGAGAGAGGTGCGGAATGCTGCTCTGCAACAACTTCGCTTTCCCGTGTGTTGAAGCCACCAGTGCCGATATTTGAATCTTCAAATGAGAGATTGAGATCTCCGCCAGACATAGATGGCAATCGCACGTTACTCAAGCTAGGTAGTGGCGGCACGTCATCTTCAATGTGTTGTCTAGAACGATCGTTTTCTTCGCCCTCCTCGTCATAAAAGTACTCCTTGACCGGTTCCTCATCTTGCGGTGTAAGGCTCTGGCCGCTCGGTGGTCTTTCGGGCAGGGCTTTGTCTTTCTTTGGATTGGAAGGGAATTGTATTCGGAGCAGTTCTTGAATGCGGTTCAGATACGTTTTACGCTACAGGTGTGCTGTCAGCGAAAGCTCCTTTACGACGGACAAAAAGACAGAACATGGATCACTCACAATTTCCAGCAACTTATATTTCTCTACGTCCCCTCCATTGCTGCGAAGCATGACATTCTGCAACAACTCGCATGCATCTTGGTAGGCTTCGATGGCGCCTTCAAAATTTGCGGCGTTATCTAGCAACACCGCGGTATTCGCTTTCTGCAATGCTTTTGAAAGCATTGCCTTTTGTGAAGACCCACGCTGTCGGCGACGCTGTGGGGACCTCGATCTCGACGCGGTCCTTTCCAGATCATTTCTTGTACTATGCTCTCCACTGTAAGAGCTCGATATATTCACCGGATCCTCCATATTGGCATTCGGCGGAAGCGGAGGTGCGTACCTTCCAGTCCGTAACGGTGAAATGTGTTGTATGTTCTGAGACGTATGATAGGGTGATGTTGATCTCGGTGCCGAGGAATTATACAAGTCGACTTATTTACACCACGGGACCCTCAATCAATGTATATGAACCTCGGAGCGTAATGAGAGACATATATAAGCTATGCTGATCTTTTTTCAGGGTCCGAGAAGGGCGCTCTGAGCATATCAACGTGCAGAAGTGTCTCCGACGTGACAACCAAAACTCAGACCGGCTTTCTTTTCATAATTCAACAGTCATGTGTTATATCCTCCAAGATGTAGCAAAAATCTAGAGCCAATTGGGGGTCTTTTCACTCCAAACCATTACCGATCGATGAATGTATTGTCGTCCTTATCTAACGATAGATGGCAGTGTAGATAAGTCAAGGCGAGTTCCGATATCAACAATCCCGTTGATTGATATTGACGTATATCCGGTAATAGAGAAAGCGCTCGCCTTTTCCGACCAGGGGGTACGCAAGCCGCCAATGTTCCGCAAAATCGACCCAGCCGTGATGTGGTGCTCGCTAATCGGACAGCGAGTACAGGAGAAGCGAAACGGATGTATACCAGTATACTGCAATTCAGGAATCACACAGAGGCGTCCATCCAGGAGCGATAGGGTAAGCGACAAATGGAGCGAAGAAGGGAAAAAGAGGACAATAGACAGGAAGAGACACAAGAAGCTCTAGAACGGCAGGGACGTGGGTCGCTAATTGGCTGGGCTGGAGAGAAAGGGGGAAAGCCCGCGCAGCACTGGCAAATGGGCAGGAGCGGCGTGGGACCTGCACTGGACCAGCCAATTAGACGCCGCCCAGCCGGTATGGTCTACATCGCCGTCTTAATCCTCAGATATTCCTCTCCAGGCTATTTTGTTCTCGGATTCGACTGTTATTCACTTACCATACTTCAAACTTCACATCCATACCGACTTTACCGCTCCTCGACCCCGTGGACATTGCGCCCACGGCCAGATAAAATGGACAATTGCCCCGGTCCCGCAGCGGTCTGAGAGATGCTAAACATGAATCAGAATCCCGCAGACAAAGCGAAGAACATCAGACAATCCAGACAATCTAGCGTCATTACCGTTGCCCAATACGTCAGTACAATGCGGACCTTATGAACCAGGTTTACAAAGAACTGGATATGTTCTCCGAGTCATGCCCTTCACATTGTTTATCCCCGTACTCGGAATCAGGAACGGAACGCCTATTGACCAACAAGAGCTAGCAGATCTATGGATCCGTGGGTTAGCATAGAACTCTGGATCAGTCAGAATAGGGATGCGACCTGGACATATGTGCCACCACGGCCATTGCTTCCTATGTACTATTGTATACAGTCAGACAGAGCAGATCGTTCAGTGGAAACTTGACAGAGTACGATCTAATAATAGGCAAAATTACACTATCGTAGTCCGTCTCTTGAAGTCGCAATGCCATTGGACTTTATACAGTATGTACGCTAGGCGGTGGCAGAACCATTGGTCGCTTTTATCTATTTCGTCATCATTCAGTCTGCGATGCTATCAAGCACACCACATACATATAGCAAGCCCACGGCTGTCCTCTGCCTTTGATACATATTTCTTTAATATTTCATGTGATGATCGAGAAGATCTGCGAGTTCAGCCGACTTGTCCACACGCAATTTGTTACCTGGAATAGTCGAGGGTCGAGCTGCGGGGAACAGAAGATATATATGCACAGTTGGACTTTATAGCTATCGACTAACCAGCTTTGCAATGGCACTGTCAAATAGGGGAATACGAATTGCAATTGACGTATGGAAATCCCCTTCCTTGTCATTATTGCTGATTATCTCCTAGCTTCTACTTGCGCTGCGCTAACCAGCAATGATAGCGGGGTGGCACTTTTACCGACTGTGTCGGAAACCCAGGCACAGGGAAACTAGAGGACGATATCGTTATCAAACTCCTATCGGTTGATCCTGATAACTACGATGACGCACCCCTGGAAGGTATTCGCAGGTTACTTTCCAAGTTCACAGGTCGCGAGATTCCGCGAGGTGAACCCCTCGACACCTCCCAAATCGAAAGCATTCGGATGGGCACGACTGTAGCAACGAATGCGCTCCTGGAACGGAAAGGAGAAAGAATTGCGCTCATAGTCACAAAAGGCTTCAAAGACTGCTTGCAGATTGGAAACCAGTCTCGTCCGAAAATATTCGATTTGGCAATTAGACGTCCGGAAGTACTGTATGAAAAGGTCATTGAGATTGATGAACGGGTGACTTTGGAAGACTATGCAGAAGATCCGACAAGAAACAGAACAGAGACACCGACCCGCGAACAGACATCATCAGGTGCAGAGATAATCCGCGGTCTATCCTCAGAGGCGGTTAGGATCCTGCAGAGGCCAGCAAAAGACACCGTGAGAGAGCAGCTGCAGCAACTGTACAACGACGGCTTTCGCAGTATTGCTGTCTGTCTCATGCACGGGTACACCTTCCCAGACCATGAGGCATTTGTTGGTCAATTGGCCCGAGAGATCGGATTTGAGCACATCAGTCTGAGCCACGAGTTGATGCCGATGATTAAGCTAGTACCACGAACAACCTCTGCCTGTGCTGACGCATATTTGACTCCAACAATCAAGAAGTATATCGCTGGGTTTCAGGCGGGCTTCGAGGGCGGATTAGGTGCAGAGTCTGTGCAGAATAGCAGCGGCTCTAAAAGCGCCCGATGCGAGTTCATGCAATCAGACGGCGGTCTCGTGGATGTTAGCCAATTCTCCGGTCTCAAAGCTATACTATCAGGGCCAGCGGGCGGAGTCGTCGGCTACGCTTTGACTTCCTATGACCCCAAGACTAGAACCCCGGTTATTGGGTTTGATATGGGGGGTACAAGTACAGATGTCAGCCGTTACGGAGAAGGGAGATATGAACATGTCTTTGAAACGACTACTGCAGGTGTGACCATCCAGTCCCCGCAACTGGATATCAACACTGTCGCTGCTGGGGGCGGTTCCCAACTGTTCTTCCGTAACGGACTCTTCGTTGTCGGCCCGGAATCTGCTGGTGCCCATCCTGGCCCGGCCTGCTATCGGAAAGGAGGCCCATTAACTGTGACAGATGCCAATCTGTTTTTAGGAAGGCTCTTACCTGACTTCTTCCCCAAGATCTTTGGAAAGAATGAGAATGAAGGACTGGACGAAGAAGCTAGTCGTAAGAAGTTCAAGGAGCTCACGCAACAGATCAACGATGAATTATCCAAGTCAGGGGAAGATAAGAAGATGACACCGGATGAAGTGGCATATGGTTTCATAAAGATCAGTAATGAAACCATGACTAGACCTATTCGTTCACTTACTGAAGCTCGAGGCCATGATACATCGAAACACCGTCTTGCCACATTTGGCGGTGCCGGTGGTCAACATGCCGTAGCCATCGCCGAGGGTCTGGGAATACGGCAGATCCTCGTGCATCGATACTCCTCCGTACTTTCGGCATATGGCATGGCTTTAGCTGACGTTGTGGACGAGAGGCAGGAGCCAGAATCAGCGATTTGGTCCACTGCTGATGATGTGCAAAAGAAGTTGAAATCCAAAATGGCCGAGCTAAAGAACAAATCCGGAGATAAGCTTCGTGCTCAAGGCTTCGACGACGACTCGATCGTGTTTGAAGAATATCTCAATATGAGGTATAGAGGCACTGAGTCGTCACTTATGATCATCAAACCAACTCCAGAAGAAGCCCGTGATCTCTATGGAGGAGACGAATGGGTATTCGGAGAGGCCTTTGTCAAGCAACATGAGCGAGAATTTGGGTTCGTTCTACCTGATAGAGATATTATCGTTGACGATGTCCGAGTACGCGGTATCGGCAGAAGTTTCCAGGAACTTGGCAAAACCGTTGATCAACAACTACGGGAAGCCAAACCTCGTGACGTTGACAGCAAGAAGATATATCAGACGAAGAAAGTATTTTTTGAGGGAGGACGTCTTGATACGCCCATCTATAAACTGGACGATCTCGATGTCAATGATCGCGTGAAAGGACCCGCAATCGTAGCAGACAATACACAAACACTGGTTGTGACTCCAGGTGCTACTGCGCTGGTCACGGAGACACATGTAGTGATCAACATTGGAGAGAATGATGTCCTTGGGGTCAAGGCTGACACTAGTGGAGTTGACCCAATTATGCTTAGTATCTTTGGCCATCGTTTCATGGCGATAGCAGAGCAGATGGGTCGTGCTTTACAAAAGACCAGTGTGAGCACCAACGTCAAGGAGAGACTCGACTACTCGTGTGCCTTGTTTGACTCTGATGGAGGGTTGGTTGCCAACGCACCGCATCTCCCTGTACATTTAGGAAGTATGTCAACCTGCGTACGTACTCAGGCGAATATCTGGAGAGGGAAGCTTAAACCTGGAGATGTGGTTGTATCCAATCATCCCGAATTTGGAGGTACCCATCTTCCGGATATTACCGTGATTACACCGGCCTTTGCAGGGGATGAAATTATCTTCTACGTAGCGTCTCGAGCGCATCATGGTAGGTTATACTAAGTGGGTGCTTGCGTTGGACATTGATGCTAACGAGTCCACAGCCGATATTGGAGGCATTCTACCCGGAAGCATGCCCCCTCATTCGAAAGAGCTTTATCAGGAAGGCGCAGCAATCAAGTCAGAAAAATTGGTATCTGAGGGCCACTTCAATGAGGAACGCATCACAGAGCTCCTCTACCATGAACCAGCACAGTACCCAGATTGTAGTGGTACTAGATGTCTTGCGGACAACTTGAATGATCTGAAAGCGCAGATAGCAGCAAACCAAAAGGGCATTAACCTCATCACTAACCTTATTGAGGAATATGGGCAAGATGTAGTCCAGCATTACATGATCAAGATTCAGGAAAATGCGGAACTTAGTGTCAGAAATCTGCTCAAAGGTGTGAGCCAGAGGTTCAAAGGCCAGGATCTCACGGCTATTGATTATATGGATGATGGGAGTCCTATTAAGCTACGTATTTCAATAGACGCAGACGAGGGAGCTGCTGTTTTTGACTTTTCGGGCACTGGGCCTGAAGTTTATGGTATGCATACATCAAATGGACATACAAAGGGTAAAAGGACTAACGAATATATCTTGAATAGGAAACATCAATGCACCAGAAGCTGTTACATACTCAGCAATCATATATTGTCTGAGATGCCTGATCTCGGAGGACATTCCTCTCAACCAAGGATGTTTGAAGCCCATCAGAGTTCACATTCCGAAAAACTCTTTCCTTTCGCCATCAGAAAGTGCCGCAGTTGTCGGCGGAAACGTTCTAACAGTAGGTTTCACCACAATTTTAAGTTGGGAATGAACTAACGATTATTTTTAGAGCCAACGAGTCACAGATGTGATCCTTAGGTGCTTTAATGCCTGCGCTGCATCGCAAGGAGACACAAACAATCTGACATTTGGCTTTGGCGGTAACGTATCCGGATCAAAAGCAACCCAGGGTTTCGGATATTACGAAACTATAGCTGGAGGCAGTGGTGCCGGCCCTGACTGGGAAGGCACATCAGGAGTTCACACTCACATGACCAATACCCGAATCACAGACGCCGAAGTCTTTGAACGACGCTACCCAGTTATACTGCGTGAGTTCAGCTTACGACCTGGATCTGGAGGGTTGGGACAGCACTGTGGTGGAGACGGTGTTGTCAGAGACATCGAGTTTCGAATCCCTGTTCAAGTATCTATTCTTTCTGAGAGAAGGGTATACAAACCCTATGGATTGGAGGGCGGCGAAGATGCGCAAACAGGTCATAACTTATGGATCCGAAAGATTCCCAGGAAAGACAAGGACGGAAATGAATTCATCGAAGACAGGCTCATTAACCTGGGAGGTAAGAATAGTATCAAGATGCAGCCTGGTGAAAGGATTGTGATTATGACTCCTGGAGGTGGTGGCTGGGGTGTTGCCGGTGAGGAGAGTAAGGCTAAGAAGAAGCTTGATGCGCGACATGGTTGGAAAGGAGGTTCAATCGCGAATATTTTGGCTACTCAGGAGGCGAGTATCTAGTACCAGATGGTATATAAATAGGCTATTTTGATGTGCATAGAATTTGAAACCAATTGATCAAGGCAAAGAAGCAGGTTTGGAGAGACATCTCGGAAGAATATTAATTGGTATAGCTATGGCCAAGACGTATTACTAGCTAAACGAGCCTGCCTATGTTCGCCTTGTAATGTATGTCAGTCTCGTTGACAAAAGAAGATTGCATATACCATTCCAGTAAGCGACTGTCCTTCCCAATTCAACCCCGAAACACAGTTACTGTTTGAAAACGACTCATGGGAACAAGTATCATCTCAAGCACGGGGGGCAGAGAAGTAGGTATAATGTCCGAGATCGTATTTGAGTTGATATGAAGACAAGAGTGCAAGTCGAGAGATCATGAAAGTGATTCCTTGTAAGGCCCGCAGGTCTTCACTCTCCATCCTCGTCTTCCTCGCTGGTAGAATCAATATTCTTTTTCCCACTGTGATCACCTTCATCCTCATCCTTTTCATTCGACTCGCCATTATACGAAGGACGAGGAACCGATATACCTTTTGCAGAGAGCACTTGTTCGATTTCGGGCAAGTGGCTAACGAGAGCGCTGAATTGTTCAATTGGGAGTGATATACCCTACACCAACGAAACAAATGACATTAGTATCATTGACGAAATTATAAGCAAGATAATAAATCAACAGCAAGAGAGGGAAAGGCAATACCTTCTTCCCAGGAAGTTCCTGCCCATCCTTCTCATAATACTCTCTAATGTTCACCATGCTCTTCCCCCTGAATTCTGAAATGGTTACTCTGCGGTGGCTCGATATATCCCAATAAATATCACCGTTTGCGTCTGTTTTGTTAGTTGACGATGATAATGATTCAGCCGTCTTTGCCTTCTTTGCGCCGCGACTCTTGTTATTGTTGTCATCGTCAACGACGAAGCCGTCATCGGATTGGTATTCGATTGAACGCTTTTTTGATTTGGAGGACATTTTCATTTCTCAAGTGTGTAATTGAAGTTATGGAATTTGTTAGGATTGCGAACTGAAGTTTGTTTGAAGTTGTAGCCTTGTAGGTAGGTAAGATGGAGATAAAGAGCGCGTCACAGTAGCTGACCTATTTATCACTGTGGATCCAGCTTATCTTATCTTATCGGCTCCATTGCGGAGAAGCTTGTCTACAGTACTGTAGAACCCAGCTACGTATAACGAAAGGAAGCCCTCTCCATATCTAAACCATCTCAGCTTTGCTTGCTCTAATATGGAACTGAAAAGATAGATTAATATTTTGGAGTGCCATTTATGCCCAGTTCCTTAGTCTTTGACTTAGATCCTGAGAGACCTTCAGTCCGTTATAGTCAGGTTCTACTGTAGTAATGGAGTATGAGGGAATAACGCTGAATACATTAAGTGTCATGATCTAATAGACAGAGAAAAGAAAAATCATAGAATCACAGCTCTTAGAGCTTGCAATATGAGAGCAAACATGAATCCTCGCCCGACCTCCTCAACCTGAAGACAATCAAAGACCTTCCCCAATGCCTCTCTAGACGCTGCTGCACCCATTACGCTCATCAGGACTTGAGGCATACCTCTCTCAATCAGCAGTTTTCTCGCCTCATTCTTGAGGTTTTCGCTTTCCTCCTTGCTCAATGGAGGTGGCCATGCTTTCATCTCCTCTTCTGTGGGTAGAGCGTTTTCTCGGATCTTCGTGAGTTTAGCAGCGATCGCTTCGTCTGTGGTGTTGGAATCAATCATTGAGTCTTGTACTAGGACACGGATTGATTCCAAATGTAAATTACCTGGACGAAGAATATACGTCTTTGCAGCATTGAGTAGTGTCTTTCGAATGGTCCAGGCAGAAGACAGTGTATATAACTCGTTAATGACTGCGAATATAAGCTCCACGGCTACACGGGTTTCCTCTTCGTTGATGGGATTCTCTGAAGGCTTCGTGCGTGGATAGTGTGTGCTTTCCTTTCGCATTATAACTGGGTTAGCACTTATGTCTTGTGCTTGTGTAGGTTCGTATAGGGTCTCAGGCTTTGCGTTATCCTTCTCAGGGCTTGGGGTCCGTACTGACGAAGTCGGAGATGATTTAGGGCTTGTTGAATCATTTTGTCCATCTTGTGCAGACTGCGCTGTCGCCTTGTTCGCCATAGAATCCTGATATTTTGCATCTGTCATGGGAGTCTCAACGGCCCCAGCGCCATTAGACAGTTCGTCGCCATGCTGATCGATGCGTATCGGGCTACCGAGATCTTGAGAACTACCTAGCGATGTGGTATCTGGCGAACGTTCTCGGATTGCATTAAGAGCGACGTTTGAACCACTAGCTGGAGAATTCTTCGAATCTCTGGGAGTAGTATCCACGCTCCTTCTGTTCCTATTAACGCCACTAAGAACTCCAGTTACTCCGTCTAACATGGCTTTTCCACCCCCCGCAACGCCTTTGGGTGCATTGGACAAAACGCCCAACATGTTCTTTCCCATGTTTTCAAATGTGCTTGAGGCACGCAGGTTAAATCCGCCTTTCCCAGACGTAGGAGACATCTGGCCAAAATCGTTGTCTTTATCGAGAAATTTTCGAAGGCGTTCAGACTTCGCCAGGTCTCTATGCTCCAGCGCATCCCGGAGATATCGCTCTAAAGCCTTTGCCAGTGATGATTTTGTTTGGTCACGATATGGGGGTAACACAGGATGGATATCTATAAAGGGAGCATGATGGTATCTGGCGAGGGTTGCAAGACCTGCATGCAAATATTCAAAATCTTGATATTTTCTGAAGATCATCCAACCCGGATACCGTGTTGAAGCAGGTTCTATTTGAAGCATATATTCAGTTGTCGGCTTGGCTTTCATTGTCGTTTTGTCACCAGGCACGGAACCATCATCAACCGTGACGGATGCCCCATAGAGTATTTGCACAGCGTCTTCTACTTCCTCTTGATTACTGATGTTCGTTGTTCCACCTAAACTATGCTCTTGGTTCACAATATCAAGCAGCCGCTGCGGAGCCTCTCCTCGATCTTCCTTCGGAAGTTTCTCGATAGAAGAACTTGGTGTAGCTCCTGGGGAACTTCTGCTAGATATCGCCCCAGTCGTTTTATCTTTGGAGATGTCCTTCAATAGAATGCTGCCATCACTATTAAGCTTTGGTAACCCGGGAGCATCCTGTATGGGAAATGGCCCCTGCTTTCCTTTCACACTTTCGGTCAGATCCTGAGAAGTGTTCCCTGCAATCCCTGATAGAGCTGCTATTTCACCCTTCGAGGCGCTTTCGAGTCCGGCATCAATCGCATTCATGATTTGCGGTTCGCCTTCCCTTAGCAGATAAACAATCCACCCATTGATAGAGTCCGGCTGTGAGCAGCTCTTCACGACTGACTCGAGAACAACACCGGCAAATATTCCGCGAAGGAAGTTTCTTACTGTCTCGCAGTTGTAGAAAGAAGGTTCCAGGAAGTTGGAAAGCAGGTCGTCTGCGACCATTGTCATTTTCTTTTGCTGCTGATCTTTCGACAGCACATTGGCCAGGTTACTGTTCGGGTACTTTGTCAGATATTGCCTCACATGATCTTCGGTCGACGTCGAATCGGAAGCTGTTTCCTGTAAGGCTAGAGATAGTTCGTTCAGAAATACTATAATCATTGAACTTGAATTGGTAACGAATTGAAGAAATGTATCTGCCGATCGTTTACGGGTCATATGCGTTGATAGCGAGTTTACGAATCCGACAATAATCTTTCTGCAGGAGAGGGGAAACGAGTCGTCCGAGGGTAATATAGGCTTATACCAGTGACTGTTTTGGCAATTAGACCGGCTTATTGGAAAGCGAAAAGAAAGCATTAGCACTCACAGTACATAGCCATCCATCATAGCGTCTATGAGTTCCGTGAGGGCAGCAGCAGTAGCAGGGGGAAATTTAGATAAATCCAATGTGGCCGCATCCTCATTAGCTTTTGCTGCTGCTGCCTTTTCCTGATCTGTTCGCACAACATCGCTCTGAGGTTTCCAGTCCAGAAGTCGCGAAGCGACTTCGATCCCAAGCTCTCTTCTCCTGCGAAAAGAATATAGACCAACGCCATCTCCTCCGTCTCCAGCAGCCTTATCCGCAATAAGCCCTGCCCGGTAATCATGAAACAGGAACCCTGAAAGTAGGCCGATGAGAAGTATTCCTAACCTGCCGAAAATAAGGTATATGAGAAGCGCAGAAGCACCAAGTATCACAACAAGTGTGCCATTGTCGACCGTCTCGAGAAAGCTCAGAATCCACTGTCCCGACAGCGATGAGATTGTATCTGCGGCTTGAGGTGACGTCGAGTCGACCTTTGTTTCTGTGCTGGCGTAATCGATCGCGGAGGTCTGGACAGGTTGTCCATTTGCCGGAGGCGATTTCGGAGAAGCAGCCGCTTCAGTCATAGTATCTATCTACATTGGCGGATAGTCGGAGGCAGATGAAAGATATGGCATCTCTCGAGTTTGTTGGGGTTCAGTGAGTTAACAGATCGAGGCGAATGATGCAGGAGGCAGAGAGGAGTTGGAATGACTGTTTGTTGGTAGAAACGGTAAGCGACGGATGCGCCTCATATGAAGCTCAAACGCGGAGCAAGAACCCCAACTCTAGAAAGTAAGCGCAACCCTATTAATGAGAAGCACACTAACATATACGTAATATTCGTCAATATAAAAATCTAACTATATATCGCCCTCTCATTTCCTTGCCTCACGTAGAAAGCGAAAAAAACAAGGTATCTAAAGCATTTTGGACGAGAATTGCTCTCCGCCATCCGAGTGAATCCAGCAATCAAAGAAGAATGCGATCATGCCAGATGCAAAGAAGAAAGCGGTTTGTGAACAGGGTCTTGAACAATGTATCATTGTCTTATGTACTTGGTATGAGCACCTTGCGCAACTGTACTTAGCTGGCCATCCTCACCACGCTTCGAAATAGTCACACTGGTAAATCCGAGGGTTTTACCGACTTTGTCAGTTCGGCTCTCAATCACAAGCCAGTCTCCGAGACTCGCTTTGGATAAGTACGACACATGGATATCTGTGCTAACCCCGGTGGACTCGAAACCGTGTGATGCAATGGCCAGACCTCCAGCCCAGTCGACAACGCAGGCTGAGAAAACACCGTGCAAGCCTCTCTTGGAGTTCAAATGGCGCTCATTAACTTGCAGTTTGGCGCGGACTACGCCTTTGCTGGCTTCGTAGACTTGCACATCTTCCAGAAGGAAATTGTATATAGGACTATTTTGCTGAATTTTGTTCCATACATTAAGAACATTATCAAGCGGGGTAGCCATGTTGTTGATAGTATTCTCGCGCGTTGTTGAGCAGAGAAGACAGAAAGAAAACAATCAGCGGGAAGAAAAGAATTTGCTGGGCTCCACACGTGCCAAGCTTAGGGTTATTAACTTATTTAGGGTTATTCCAAGAAGTCAGACATCTTCTATTTCTAAGTCATGCGATCTGCTGTTGTATCAAAGTATATCTCACGCCAACAAAGAGCCATGACTTCTCTTGTCGTCTATAGGGTCTATTAGAGATGCCTAGTCTATCTTTCTCTACCTGTCCAACAACTCATCTTTGGCGTCTCCTTCGCATTCTTGACAGCATTTGTGACAACATGAAGTGACTGACGTCTTCGTCCGCCCAGTAACTCAGGTGACTTGCAATACTCGCGATCAGGGAGATATCAAAGATGCCCCTAGATTCAAGTTGCGTGGTCAGTAGTTGCTCTGACCATGTTTGATATGCGAAATGGATGGGCAAGACTCACTCTTGAATGCTATAGTCCACTCTACCATTCGAATTGAGGGCACGGACTTTGGACTCTTCGATCTTGATTCTCCGAGAACGATCTTCAACGTCATCACTGCTATCGCCTGAGCCACCCTTTTTATCACTGCGTCTCGCTTTCTGGAAACCTTCATAAAGTGTTTCCATTCCTGAATCTATAAGAGTCGGGAATTCTAATTCATGGTCGAGTACTTTCGAGCCTGACTGAAATTTGTCATTCTTGGTGTCCGACGATGATGACTGCTGGGAAGCAGTACGCGAGTGAGTTGAGCCTGATGTTCCATCAGACTGTATACCCAAGCTGCGATTTAGCAAGCTGCTTGCGACACCAGTGGTGAAATTCGTCCAAAGCGACCCCACCCGAGAGCTAATGTTCGATAGGCTTTGACCAGATGCTGTCCAAATGTTTTTCTTCACGAAGGGGAGGGGCTGGGGTTTCAATGCCGTCATCGCAGGAGTGATCAGTGGTTCGAGGCGGTAGCTGACTGGATCAGAGGGGTGGAAAATGTTGTATAGTTCTTCACATTGAGGTGAAGAGACACTCGGATTCAATTCGAAGACTGCCTGTTCCGTCGGATCACCTATAGGTGGAGTTGCAGCCCCCAGACTGTGAGATAGAGCCGAATTTCTCTCTGCCGAGCCGTTCGCAAGAGATCTCCCAGCAATTGTTTTTGCCTGCAACATTTGAAAGAGTGCAAGTGGTGAGCCAAGGCAAAAGAATTCCTTACAATCGAAATCAAGAGGATAGCCGGTCATTGACTCGCGTGCCCTATTCTGCTTCGAACTCTGCCTTTTCCCTTTTTCTTCAAAATCTCTATGGGAACGTTGACTCTGACGACACAGGATATCAAACATGATAGCGCTTCCCAATGAGTGCCCACATAAGCTAACTGAGCCTTTGAACGACGGGTTACGGGATTTGAACAGCTGAAGTATTCTATTACACTCCCGTTGCACAATACCCATTATGTGTTCTCGGTACCCACTTTGATACAGGAGGACGTCCATGGCCAGATCTGAGATCAGATTGCGGACAGCAGGTACACCTTCCAATGTGATATCAGCCAGGTTAGGATATTGTTCCTCCTCAGATGACAAGCTATCAGGGTCGGCAAGGTCAAGCTCTTTGCGATTCTGGCGCAGACCTTGACGAGGAAAGTCAAGGAGATATCTCCAGCATCTAATATGCCTTGTCAGTAACTAGTCATGCAATACTGATGGGAGAAACGAACACAGGAAGAACTTGGACGCGACAATTCTTCTTTGCGTCCGGATATTGAGAATTAAGTGCCTGCAAATCAGGTGACGCGGCGTAGACTGATTTCATGGTCTTTCTCAACGTCGTGACATCGGAAATGAAATTGATACTATCCAGTCTGAGTCCCAGGCGCTGGCCAATTCCATGCGTCACTAGAATGAGATGATCGATCTCTCTGTCTCTCTCTTCGCCTTCTGTCTCTCTGGAGTCTTCCATTTCCTGTTCTTCCTGTTTTCTCGCTTCTTCTTCGAGCTCGGCACTGTCTCCCGCCTCGCCATTGAGGGAAGACATCTGACGTTGTAACGTTATTCTATGGCCGGTTGACAGCGCTTTGGAATTTAATCCCTCGGGCTCGGTCGAACCAGTGGAGTCATCTTGATTCGGCGGAGGATTCTCCTTTCCTGTAACACCCGAATGCATAGCCGGGGCCACCGACGATGAGCTCTTTGATGGTCCGGCTTTGGTATCTACCGAATCCTTCTGAGTCCCTTGCTCAACGTATCCTCTCACAACCTTAGTACCTCCCACACCACCAAATCTCTGGTAGACAGTACTGCTTACACGAGACATGAAGTCGTCATAATTCAACCACGCCACAGTTGAATCCTGGTAAGTAACGGTGCTATTCATGTAAGAGCCAAAGAGACGGTAAACAGGTAAAGACTGGCTTGGAACGCCCGACCGGCTCGGGCTGTCTGAACGATCACGTTCTGGTCTACCTTCATCGCTAGTCTTTTTGCTTGTTACGCCACGGACCGGACTTGAATCTTTGGAGGGCTGATTCGCCTGGGATTTTTCGTCTGATATCGTAGCGGTTCCTGTTGTGGGTTTGTTCTGCGAGTATTGCGGTTGCCAGGGTTTCATCTTCAAATAGCCCTCTTCGAGCTGAGTCGCAAGGTTCTCTTCACATGGCCTGAGGACGGATCCTTCCTGGAAGAACCACGTTCCACGCCTGACTTCATAGATAGGCCCTAACCAGTATGCAGGCCCTAGTTCTCGTTTATCCACATCGACATCGTACAGGTAGTCCTCGTTTACTGGGACCTTGACTGTGCTCTGCTTTGATTCATTATCTTTTGTCTTCTCTGTGGAATCCACTGCCTCTTGCTGAAGGAGTTGCTGGAAAGCTCTCTCAATGGACTGGGAGTCTTTGGTATAAAACGGAATGAACTTTTTTGCGGGAGGTAAGGGCTTCAGTGGCTCCGGCTTCTCCATACCCGTGAACGACGGCTTCGATTTTGGGGTATCTACAGCATAAAACCATCTCGTTTGCAGTGGCGGGCAGTCTGGCGGATATCGTAGCGAACTCAGTCGCTTCTTGTAGGAAGTGACATGATCCTGTCCTGTACCTTGTTTCAGACTATCTACCGTATCCGAAGCGTTGTCGGGCCCGTTCTGAGGCGTTGAACTTCGCGTTGTTGACCACGGCGAAATTGATTCCAGAAATGATGGCTTTGGGTCTGTAGCGGGCATGGTCACCCTTTGCAGCCTCAGGAAACGTGGTAAACGAGCCAACTTGTCTGTGATGATAACACGAAGCTAGTTGCGTGCTGTGTTGGTACTCTGTTGGGCGGGTTGAAAGAGGATCAGTGTTCTGCTTGTGAAGTCACACAGCTGCTTGGATCAGTAGCTCGACAGTATTCTCCTGTTGACAACAGGAGTCTGCCAGCAATAATATATTGAAAACAAAATCTAGCTGGAAAGTTGGCCAAACCGACAGCCACGTGAAAGCATCAGTTGGCGCCCCACACACGATACTCCAGAGTCTGGAAGCTGCTGCTGCCTCTGTAAACGGGTAGCAAACACTGGCTACGTCATCGATTGGATCGGGTGAGTATGCGGGCGGAAAGGCTTCTCGCCTGCTGAGGGCAGTAGAGGCAATTGATCGATTTAGCGAGCATGATAGCTGCCTCTACACCGCGTAATCCTCAATATGATGATATCTTCAGAGTAAGATCAAGGAGAGAATAATTGCTCGAAATTGTTCTGGAGATGCCAATTGTAAGGAAGGAACGTCCCTTTCTGATTGGCAGGCGCGACCTGCCCCGCTATGCCCCTTCGTGCCTTCCCAAAGTTCGCCCACCTTCCACCAGTGCAAGTCTAAGCCATCCTCAGCCGGCGTCATCAGTCATTGGCGACATTAGGCGACAACATACTCAACTCTCCCTTTCCCTTTTTCATAGCATCACCACAAATACTGAATCATACTTAGGCAACATTGATTTTTGTCTTTCTTTAATTGATCTGCTGCCCTCCTTTTTCTTCTCTTCTCTCCTCCATCGTTGCGTTAGAACTTACCCCGCCTTGATTCGTTCGTCGTCCATCGCGCTCCTGGCGAGTTCAGTCACGGTAAACTCTCACAATGAATTTTCTGAAGCTACAAAGGTACATTATGGAATACCGTTGTTTCTCAACCCATCCGAACTGCGTTGGCGCCTGTGCTGACGATGATCAAGGAAATACCCGGAGTTTCCGCAAAGCGAATTGTTCGGTCTGCAGGATGCTTTTCGCAAGCTAGATATCGACGACAAAGGTTACCTGGATGAGTCGACGGCGATCAAGGCAACCCAGCAGTCGGAACACCAGCCTTACGATGTCGTGAGACAAGCTCTTAAGGAAGTAGAGCTCGACAGCTCGCGCCGCGTGGAGTTTGAAGACTATGTTGATGTAAGCTTGAAAGTGTCAAGGATGGAAGGATTCGCGCTTGCTAACTAACCCCACCCCTAAAGCTCATCCACAAGGTCCGAAGCGCTGGTGCTGCACCAAGCAAAGTTCCCAATCCGGTTCAAGCAGCCAGTCCCGCTGCTGGCCCTGTCGGCGGCTCTTCTCGTCATGTGTCCAAAGGAAGCATCGGCGGCAAGATCCACGTTCAAGGCTCATCTGCGAACGTGACGCATACAATCAATGAGGATGAAAGAACCGAGTTCACGAGACATATCAATGCGGTTCTCGCCGGAGATCCAGACATTGGCCATCTTCTTCCTTTCCCCACTGACACCTTTGAAATGTTTGATAAATGCAAGGACGGCTTGGTCTTAGCAAAGCTTATCAATGACAGTGTGCCCGATACTATTGATGAGCGTGTCTTGAACAAAGCGGGTACCAAGATTAAACAATTGAACGCCTTTCACATGACAGAGAATAACAACATCGTTATCAACTCTGCGAAAGGCATAGGTTGCTCAGTTGTCAATATTGGAAGCGGTGATATCATTGAGGTTCGAGAGCATCTAATTCTAGGATTGATCTGGCAGATTATTCGTCGTGGTCTGTTGGGAAAAATTGATATTAAGCTACACCCTGAACTGTACCGACTTCTTGAAGAGGATGAGACGTTGGAGCAGTTCTTGCGTCTACCACCTGAGCAGATCCTTCTTCGGTGGTTCAACTATCACTTGAAGAATGCCAAGTGGGAACGAAGGTCAGTAGAATATCTTCTTGCTTATGCTAAGACTTCCCTCTTACTCATTTTAACAATACAGAGTTACCAACTTTTCCACTGATGTCAAAGATGGAGAGAACTACACTGTGCTACTTAACCAGCTTGCTCCAGACGTATGCTCGCGATCACCTTTACAGACAAGAGACCTTTTGCAACGCGCGGAACAGGTCTTGACCAACGCAGAGAAATTGGATTGCCGTAAATTCTTGACTCCAACATCTCTTGTCGCTGGAAATCCCAAACTCAATCTAGCCTTTGTTGCTAACCTTTTCAACACTCATCCTGGTTTGGATCCCATTACAGAAGAAGAAAAGCTCGAAGTCGAGGACTTCGACGCGGAAGGCGAACGAGAGGCTCGTGTATTCACCTTGTGGTTGAACTCCTTGGATGTGCAGCCTGCTGTCAACTCACTCTTCGACGACCTTCGGGATGGCACGATTCTCCTTCAGGCCTACGACAAGGTTATTCCTGGTAGTGTCAATTGGAGACATGTCAACAAGCCTCCAGCTTCTGGTGGCGAAATCCTTCGTTTCAAGGCGGTGGAAAATACAAACTATGCAATTGAACTCGGAAAGCAGAACCGCTTCTCCCTGGTCGGTATCCAGGGTGCTGATATCACTGACGGACAGCGAACCTTAACACTGGGCTTGGTGTGGCAGCTGATGCGCAAGGATATCACAAACACTTTATCCTCCCTAGCACAACGGTTGGGCAAGCGCGAAATCACGGACGCCGAGATGATCCGGTGGGCTAATGACATGTCGCAAAAGGGAGGTGGCAAATCGACAATCCGGAGCTTCAAGGATGCGTCTATTGGGACTGGTATATTCCTTTTGGACGTATTGAGCGGCATGAAGAGCAGCTATGTCGATTATGACCTGGTTACCCCTGGACGCACTCCTGAGGATGCATATGCCAATGCTAAACTCAGTATCAGTATTGCCAGAAAGATGGGTGCAACCATATGGCTGGTGCCTGAGGATATTTGCCAAGTCAGATCTCGGTTGGTGACAACCTTCATTGGTAAGTAATTGTCTTTACCCATACCTTTGCTCTTCACAAAATGCTAATGGTAATTATAGGTTCACTGATGGCCACTTTCGAGAAGATGTGAGATATTTCTTTTTGTCTTTACTTGCATTAGCAGCACCTTTTTTCTTTGGGAGAAAAGTATAGTTACCCTTGATCTTCTTGCCGATTCAGCTACCAGGAGAGTTTGATGAATATTATTTACATTGTAACTGTGACCATATCATGAGCTGTACGAGACATAGTTTCATAGTTTCATATTGATGGAATGTGGTTGTATTTTTCTCAAAACTAGTAATACGTTTTATTTGACACAAGAGATGAAGCCGAAAGAATTGTAAAGGAAAAGACAGAGAAAAAGAACCTGCGAGTTTACAAGGAAGGTATTGCAACACTCCCGAAAGTAAGAAAAGATTTTCATGGCATAACGACGAGGAGAATCATACGCGGATCATTTGTCGTCTTGGTCGTGTGGAGGTCTGTTTCGTTAACGCCGCAAACAAGATGGATCGACAAATGAAGCAAGATTCATGAGAACAACAAGGAGAGGCTTGAGGTAGTTAGAATGCCTACCGAGCAACCATGACAGAGAGGCATCGTTCCGAGCAACTGATTTACTCGGCTGTGTCGAGTTCATCATGACCTGAAGGGAGAGGATCGAGAGCTTTTCGTGAACCAAGTCAGTATTAATTGTCAAAATACATTGACAAAAGCCAAGCCATTATTAATAAGCTTACCTTTTCGGTCGTCGCCATTCGTAGCAGTGTCGCGCTCGTCATCACGGCGGTCACGGTCCTCATGTCTGTCACGATCTTCCTTGAGGTCACGGTCACGGTCATCGGGGCTGCGAGACCGGTCGCGATCACGTTCGCGCTCGCGCTCACGATCACGGTCCCGGTCTCGTCGGTCATAATCTTTATCGCGCCTGTCGTCCCTGCGAGGCGAGTAATCACCACGTCCACGGCGAGGAGATGGAGAACGTCCTCTACGGGGAGGAGTCCTGTCTCGACGACGGTCACGACCAGAGTCGAAGCGCCATGATGCCGATGGGGGAGTGCGGGCCCACTATACAATGAGTTGGAATGGAAAGAAATTATATCAAGTAGCCATCAAACCCACCTCAATCTTCAAAAGATCATCACGACCAATGCGTTTGTTGTGCATTTCATGGTAGGCATCGTCTGCATCGCGACGGCTCTCATATTCTACGAAAGCAAACCTGGAAAGGCCACATTTTAGCAGAACGTCTCATGCCACATCACACAGGATACTCACAAGCGACTGGAAGCTGTCCGCGGTGCGGGAATATCACACCGAACAAGTCGGCCATATCTGCAATGTTCTAGTCAGATAATCACAATTCCATCATTTGGAGAGATACATTTATAAGACATATAAAGATAGTTGATAAATGAAATGGAGTAAAGCGATGGGTGGGAGGAAGCAGGGTGTTTCGACGTCGTCAGAATCACTATCGCGCCATAGCAGGGGGCAAGAGTAGAAGGGCGATGGTAAGAGCGCAAGAGGAACGCGTCGCAATTTCTGAAGCCGACGGATCTGGCCGAAAGATACGAAGGGGGGAAGATGATAGGAGTCAATCGGGAAGGGATCGAGGAGGTCGTGGTCGTGGACCATCGGCGGTTGGGACGTACCGTTCGAATTCGTAGGCGAGATCGCGTGCTCGAGTGCCGTGGCCGAAGCCAGTGACGTAGAGAGTTGTACCGCCAGAACGAGACATGATGCCTTTCCTCAGGAGTAGAAGATGGCAGTCAAAGGGATAGACGGATGGATGGTGGATGTCGCTTTGGATGTTGGAAGTCTGTGGAAGGCAGAATTCTGGTCGAAGCTTTTGTCAGGGCGGCTGGGCGGTCAATGGCCCAGCTTGGTGTCACAAGTCTTGGCATTCGCAAAAAAGGAGTGCGAAAAATACAACAGGTAATGTTACGTATTGATACGCCTACAGAGTGCCTCCCGCACCAAGAAACTCGAAAGTCGGCCGGTAATCCCAGTACCCGTAACACTGACTTATCGGCAAGATCGCCTCCATCCGTGTCTCATCTCTGAAGTCACAGCTGGCGACCTTTAGTTGGGATTTGAACACCTCTGACAGGTTACATCGCAGTCAATTGTCTAATTGGATCACGGAGTCTTCTTTTGCACTGCGAGGTACGTAGCGGATCAAGCGACAATCGAGCCTCACTTCACCAGCGTACTTCCGCTCACCAAGCCGGCGTTATCGTAAAGCCTCCAAAGAATACTCAGATCTCATCTTTGGTTAGGCCTATTTTGAATATGTTTTCTTGAGCTACCCGGCAATTATCTTATGTTACGACGTGCTTTTCATTCTTCATGGCCGGCACCAGCAGCGACAAGGTCAAAATAGCCGTTTCGAAAACTTTCCGCACTCGCATCTGAGTTCCAGCACTTGAATTGAGCAAGCTTCCCACCGCTCTTTTCGACCTCGATATCGAAGATACGGCGTCAGTTTACAACTCGGGCGTACGGTTCGGTTTGGAGAAGCAAAGTGCCGTTGCGTTGAGGGAGTTGGTTCTTATTTCCGCACAATGAGCCTCAATCGGCAAGATTCGGCACAGGGCGAAGACCTGGGAAGTGATAGCGATAAACTTCATGAGTCTTCGCGACTACCAACTTTAGCGAGCGAATATGCAACAGTAAGTCAAACTACACGATCCTGGAATTATTTCTTTGTTTGCGGAGAATCTGTATGGCAAAAATAAATACACGTTTGCATATCTGACGTAAATGCAGAAGCCTGTCGCAACATCTTTTCTGCAAAGAACGAAATACAACCTCTCCGAACCTGTTGTCGCAGCTTTCATTGCTGGCGGTGTGGCCGGCGCAGTCTCGAGAACCATTGTTTCACCCCTCGAGCGGTTGAAAATCCTACTTCAAATTCAGAGCGTTGGTAGGGAAGAATATAGATTGTCGATATGGAAGGCACTGGTCAAGATGCGAAAGGAAGAAGGATGGAGAGGTTTCATGCGCGGGAATGGAACCAATTGTATCCGGATCATTCCATACTCGGCAGTGCAATTTGGGAGCTACAATTTCTACAAAAAGGTATTGCGCCCACTCAATGTCGCACAAGGTGCTATACGGACGATACTGATATCCTTCTCAGTTTATAGAGCCGACCCCTGGAGCTGACTTGACCCCTGTACGACGACTCTTCTGCGGAGCACTTGCCGGAATCACCTCCGTCACATTTACCTACCCACTTGATATTGTCCGTACCAGACTCTCAATACAATCTGCATCCTTTGCGGAGTTGGGCCAGCGAGAAGCCGGAGAAAAATTGCCTGGCATGTTCGAAACTATGGTCATGATGTACAAGACTGAAGGGGGTATGCTTGCGCTTTATCGCGGAATCATCCCGACGGTTGCCGGTGTGGCTCCATATGTAAGTCGGATATTCAAGGGGTGTTAACAATGTGCATATGTTTAACGTGCATAGGTTGGATTGAATTTCATGGTGTACGAGTCCGTCCGTGTTTACCTCACACCTGAGGGAGAAAAGAATCCTAGTCCAGCGCGGAAACTCCTCGCCGGAGCTATCTCTGGTGCGGTTGCTCAGACATGCACATATCCTTTGTAAGTCTTCATGAGCTGCCAATGCCATGGGCAGAATAGTAATCAACATCTTCCAGTGATGTCCTCCGTCGCAGATTCCAAATCAACACCATGACTGGCATGGGCTATCAATATGCATCCATCTGGGACGCCGTGAAGGTCATCGTGGCCCAAGAAGGTATCCAGGGTCTTTACAAAGGTATTGTCCCCAATTTATTGAAAGTCGCGCCAAGTATGGCCAGCAGTTGGCTTAGCTTCGAGATCACGCGCGATCTCCTTGTCGGCATGAGGGAAGAGTAAAGATAGAGACATAAACTAATGTTCGTTTTGGAAATATTGGAAATCTGCACACACATACTAAAAAGAGTTATATGTCTATACCTTGTGATTTACCCTCGTCAGCGATGAATTTATAAGTTCGTCTACTGCCCTGTCATCTTAGTCTCTTAGATAGTATTCAGAGCTAGCTGTAGTGAATTAATTACATACCCTTACTAAAGATCGAGAATGAACGTACGTATTATATACAGTGTTACGCTACAGAACCAATCATAAACACTTTATTCTTACAGTCATGCTCAATCTGGTTTAGTGTACTTTTCTTCGGCTCTCTCTTTGCTGCAGGACCCACGGCACAAAAGCGGACTAGCGTAGGGCTCAGCCCACACAAACCCGTTCCATCTCGAATTTTAGAGAATCAATCTCATCAGTCTCTCGACGTGCGGCAGATAACAACCTCGAACGCCAACACCGCACATCAGGAGCCATGGGTATGTATCGATGGCAATGGCTTGCTTTTCTATCATGAGAATCGAGCCCTTGATATTACTGATATGAACGAATGCTAAGGTTGCGGCAGGTATCGATTTGGATCGTCACCATGTGCGCAGCACACACCGAAAGGCGCCCAAGAGTGAGAACGTCTATCTTCAGCTCTTGGTGAAGCTTTACCGATTCTTGGCCCGTATGTCCTCCCTTGAATTCGATTATGAAAGCGCGATCGCAGGAATCAGAAGAGGAAAAAATGTCGGGAAGGAAGAGATCACATCAGGTTAACAAAGATTTTCGCTTGCAGGCCGTACCGATGCCAACTTCAACAAGGTCGTCCTCCGACGCCTTTTCATGTCCCGCACAAACCGACCTCCCGTCAGCTTGTCTCGCATCGTCTCCAATGTGACAGAGGAACAGAAGGGAAAGACCGTTGTCGTTGTTGGAACTGTCACCGACGACAACCGCATGTTGACTGTCCCCAAGCTCTCCATTGCCGCCCTTCGCTTCACTGCTACCGCCCGCGCCCGTATTGAAAAGGCCGGTGGTGAGGTCCTCACTCTCGACCAGCTCGCTCTCCGTGCTCCCACCGGATCCAACACTCTCCTCCTCCGTGGACCCAAGAACGCTCGGGAAGCTGTCAAGCACTTCGGCATGGGCCCTCACAGTCACAAGGTACGTGAGAACAAAAACTCGGAAAGTATGCTTTATTTTTATCGGTTTACTAACGAAGACTCTAGAAACCCTATGTGCGAAGCAAGGGTCGCAAGTTCGAGCGTGCTCGTGGTCGGAGACGATCTCGCGGTTTCAAGGTCTGAGGAACGAAATTTTACTAGAGGAATGGCTCAGACAATCAAAGACATGGACTTCCACAAACTACGCCTACATATCTATGCAATTGTTGCTATTCAATATTTTCTCGGGCTATTTGTTGGGCGATATCCGTGCTCTAAAAAAATACAAAAATCCTGCACGAGTGGTGGAACGGGACTACTATCATGGTTCACGAGTTCAATATGATCATTTTGTGCATTGTCTATTTTCTCGAGTGTTCTTTTGTTCCCTTTTAATGAAATTCATTCAAAAATTATGATGATGCTCAAGACATTTTTAAATCCCCAACTTCTGGTGCTTCCACTTCTTACTTCCCGAACCACCATAGTCCGCTGCAATATGACCTTCACCTTTGATAAGATATTTGTAGATGGTCAATCCTTCCAATCCCACAGGTCCTCTGGTATGGATCTTGTTTGTACTAATGCCGACCTCTGTACCAAAGCCGTATCGCATGCCGTCTGCAAAGCGTGTGGAGGCATTCCAGTAGACACCTGCACTGTCAACGCCGGCCATGAAAGAATCAGCGACTTGCCTCGAAGTGGTAAGCACGATATCGGTATGTTTCGAGGAATGTGCGTTGATGTGGGCGATAGCTGCCTGTACGGCAGAGGATTCTGAAGACTGCGATGGCACCGTCTTAATGGCGAGTATTAGATCCAAGAACTCTGTATTATAGTCTTGGTCGACGGAGTCTTGTATAAGGGCTGCCTGTGTGGGGATGAGAGTTTTGGTCAAAGCTGCTTTTGAAGCCTGGTCACAACGGAGAGAGACGCCTTTTGCGAGCAGAGCCTCGGCAACAGCTGGCAAAATGCTTTCAAGCACATGTTCGTGCACTAGAAGAGTCTCCAGGGCATTACAAGCCGCCGGATAGTCAGTTTTGGAGTCAACAATGACTTTCACAGCAGTTGTGACGTCTGCATCGGAATGGATATATGCAGAGCAGAGACCATCGGCGTGGCCAAGCACAGGTATTTTTGTATTATCCTTGACGTATCGCACGAGCTCGTTTGAGCCGCGGGGAATAACTAGATCAATGAGGGTGTCTTGAGAGAGCAGTGAAGACACAATGTCACGCGTCTTGACGAGCTGAATGGCAGGAATCGGGATTTCGGTCTTTGAAAGCGCATTCGAAATAACTTCCGCAATGGCAATAAACGACTCGGTTGACTCCTTTCCACCTTTTAGAATAGCTGCATTCCCGGACTTAATAGCTAGGGCAGCGATATTGGCAATGACCTCCGGGCGAGCCTCGAAAATTATGAGAAGTGTCCCCAAGGGGCAAGTGACTCGTTCTAGAACCAGACCGTCGTCTAACAGCGTTCGCATCGTAACTCTACCGACTACATATATCTCAGCATACTTTTCAGGTCTTGTTTTTAATAGGTGTAAATACCTGGATCTTCAAGATCTCTCACACTCAAGATACCACTCAACATATCATCGTACTTGCCAGGTCTGGTCAAATCGAGCCGCTTCAACACACTTTGATTCAGCTCGCCATTCGCGGCTGCCTGAGTTGCCAAAGCAACATCTTTCGCATTAGCTTGAAGGATAAAATCGCGCTTCTCAGATAGAGCAGCGTGGAGCGTTGTTAATGCGAAGTTGCGTGCATCGTTCGAGATTGTGGCTAACCGGCGAGAGGCAAGAGATGCGCTCTGTGCGATTTCGGAGGCAGACGACTCGGTCAGAGACATCGTGGTTTAGGATGGGGGGACGATATGACGGAGTAGGTGGAATGCAGCGCGGATAACCGTATACTGTTCCTGATAGTAACTGGGTTGGACTGAACAGGTAATGAGAGTGAGTTAAAAGACGAAGCTTTCCATCCTAGAAGAATTTATATTGTGGAGCACCCGCATATGACTCAATTTGTAGAGACTGGTATAAGAAACCAGACAATTCGACTCAAACGACTTGAACCCCATGGCGGAGAACTTCTCGGCGATAACCGTGCATTATTTGTAAATTCATAGTCAAAATCAATATCTATCCCTGCATCCACGCGTCAAAAAAGTCTCAGCGAGAAGAAAAAGTAGGACTGACTACGCGGGGTAAGCGCGACCAACCAGGAAGGCGGTGAGTGCGGCTTATCAATGACGCATCTCCACAGACTGCTTCTTGACAAGCAACACACACCGACATCGTTGGCAACATCTGACAGGGGGAAGGCTGGTCAAGAGCTGTTGGTACTAGATCCCTCATCTGAAAGCTGCCAGCTAGCTATTCACTCGTCTTCCACCTCTCATCTCCAGTGTCCTCATCCACTGAGTCAACATGGATCATGTCCTTCACCAACTCCGCTCTTTTCCTTCCCCAGCGGATACATCCCACGAAGCATACGAAACACATGCCCTCGAATATTACGTATCTACGCGTAAACATCTTCAACACATTCTCGATAGCCCTGAGAAAGCTCAGAATGTGCTAGAAGTAAGTTCAAAGACTTCGTTACGCGGTATATCCAAGTCACTAACAGGTGCAGCTTCTTGATCCTTCGACACACTCCCTTGCTTATCTCCTCGTCTTAAACTTCTACATCAACCAGACCAAATTAAGAGCCCGTAACATGGAAACGGGCGATTTACTACCTGGAAATATACTTTGGTCAAGGGCGCTTTCGTTGCTGAAATCATTCGACCCGAATCAGATCAGACGGGCAGCAAGGGAATGGCGCAACGTACTTGAATTTATTTCGGGTGCAGCTGAAGCTGGGAACAAGGTGATTCATATCTGAAATCAAAAAGGAGGATTTTGACACTGATGGTTAGCAAATTAGGCGCTTCTTGCGATTCGCCCTGTCAGAGATGCCATCATTCGAATGGATCCAACATGCGCCACCTTCACCGTTGCCCATTTATACCTAACTCGTCTGTGTCTGCTAGCTAAAGCATACAAGGTTGCACGTCCAGTCATCGATCGAACGATATTTGCGATACCAAGTTCAGCGGATCGGCTCTTTATACAGCATTCACAGGGCGAGTCAGGATTCCATGGCTCCACCCGTCCATATCTGTTTGAACCACCCATGAAACTCACATATGCGGAGCATCTCCAGTACTTTATCTACGGCGGAATGATTTACATGGCACTGAAGGAATGGAGCAAAGCTCGTCATTTCCTAAGCATTGTGATAACATGTCCTGTGGTGAATGCTGTTAGTTTGATCATGGTTGAAGCCTACAAAAAATGGGTATTGGTGAACCTAATCGAGAATGGCACGGTAAGATTCTCTATCCTTTATTATCGAGGGATTTCTAACCAAACGCTCCAGACTGCATCGGTTCCCAAGATCACCTCGCCTCTTGCAATGAAGACATATAAAGCACTTGCACGTCCTTATGATGCACTGGCAACTGCCTTCATATCAGGGAAGTGGGAAAGGTTAAAAGATGAAGCGGAAGCGGGGCAAACGATATGGAGCGACGTGAGTGTTATGTATCTCAGACATGGTCTGGATCTGGAAAGTTGACATAGTTTTGCACATATAGGACAACAACAACGGTCTCGTACAACAAGTGCTTCTGAGTTTCCGCAAAAAAGCAGTGCGCGGCCTCGGTGCCACTTTTGCCTCAGTGACTACAACAGATGTCTCGCAGCGAGCATTATCGAACAGCATGGACGTGCGAGAAACCGAGCGGTATATTGTGGCCCTCGCAGTTAAAGAAGGCTTCCCTGCTTCTCTGATACACCCGTCGAGAGACCCAAATACGTCAATGCTCCGATTCTTGACAGATCATTCCGAATCAAGCATCGGCCTGGAAGTTTCTTTAGAGGAACAATTGCGGTCACAGCATCAAAAACTCGAACTTCTTATTCAGAACATACAAACCAGTGATAGGAAACTGGAGCTGAGCAAGGAGTATATCAGCCATCTGCGTAAAGCTCAAAAACGTAACGATGCCGCTTCCAAGGGTACTGTTGGGTTCAGCGGGAGGAAGAGGGACCAGAACGTTGATCTTGATGAAGACATGATGGATGAATTGCAATGATTGCATTCCAGGTAGAGCAGCTAGACCTTGGTTAGATGAAATAAGAACAAGCCTCTGCTTGATTTAAAGACATATCATTGAGTCAGTCAGCTATAGATGAATAAACAAACTTCCGAAAGTCAACCCAGGACATAAAACGAGTACGTAGATGCTCATTCAAAGGCTCATGCAAGGAATCAAAAACACTCATAAATTCTTTTCACATATTCTCGTCTATATATCATTATCGTCTGATGGGTAAAGGGTATCGAACAACCCGAATCTCAATAAAAAAAAAAGCAAAGGCAAAAGAGAAGAAAACCGAACACGCCTAAACAATACCGCTGACAACTGCAAACACGACCACGCAATGCTTCCCAAACGCTTTTCCAGTTGTATCAAGCAAACAAAAAGTTGAGGGAAAAATACAATAAGAAACAAAAACGAGACATGAGAAAACATCCCGAGCCTTCGAGAAGAAAAGCCATGTCCCCCCTGAAACTATACCGACTGACCGTGAAACGCGGTGAGTTAAATCTTCAATCCCAGGATCGAAGCGAGTTGACAAGAACAGCGAAGCCATAACAGTGGCTCTGTTCGTCTTGCGTCATCTTTGTCTAACCCGTGGTCGGCGCTGTTCCTAACTGCAGAATGACTAACGTAATTATACAAGGTGTCATTTTCTTGCTGCTGTATAATCTCAGGCTTTTTTCACGCTTTTAAAGGCTGTTTCGGTTTTGGCCGATTGTTCCCCATCATCCACATGGCAAATGAGCCGGCCTCAGGTCTGACTTTGGGCTTCTTAGGAGCGGGAGCTATAATCAAGTTAGTTTTTTCTCGAACCTTGCGTGACTGAAAATAAATCATTGAACATACCTGCAGGCTTTTTGGGCTCCTCTGGTGGTGGCGCAGGAGGCTCTTCCGCTGGTGGTGGTGGATCAGGCTCTTTTGGCTTTTCTGGTATTGGCCACATGTGCATGGTTATAGTCCAATCCGGCTCGATAACGGTCTCCCAGACCTGTGGCAAGATAATATCACCACTCGGGCCGACTAGGTCATAGTGTCCTTCTGCAACGTGAGGTCCAATGACATCGACATGTAGAAACGCTTGACGAATAAGCTCCTCCATTCCCTACAAAAAGGCGGTGAGCAATTTATAGTTACAAATCGTACAAAAGAAGAATACATACCTGCCATGTGGCACATAAGTGGAAGGGGAAGTTGAACTTTCTTCCCACGGCGTCTTTGAACTTGATAGGTTTCTTCTTCTCGGGTGGAGGTTTCTTAGCTGCAGCCTTTGCAGCTTCTTCAGCAACCTTTGTCGCTTCGGCGGCTGCGGCGGCAGCAGCAGCAGCAGCCGCTTCATCAGCGGCCTTCTTTGCCTCCTCTGCTGCCGCGGCCGCAGCTTCTTCAGCGGCCTTCTTGGCATCTGCTGCTGCCGCTGCTGCTAACTCCTTGGCGGCCTTTTGAGCCGCGATAGCCGCTTCAGCAGCTTTTTGTTCTGCCTCTGCCAAAGCTGCAGCTCTTGCATTGGCCGCCGCTTCATCTGCGATCTTCTTTTCAGCTGCCGCCCTCTCTTCTGCTGCCAATTTATCTGCCGCGGCTTTCGCTATGGCTGCTTCACGAGCTGCATCCCTTGCCTCCCTTTCTGCACGTTCGTCCAATATCAACTTCTCCAGTCTAGCGATCGCTTCGTCCTTTGCAGTATCTGATTGAGAAGTCGCCGATGGAGATTCAGGCTGACGAGGTATCTGATTGAATAGGGGGTGAGCGAGCATCCCCGGAGGCATCGGCGGGAAGTTGGGATTGAACGGCATGTATCCATTTGCGCCGTATGGGATCAAATCAGGACTGCCAAAGGGGGGACCGCCAAAATGTGGGTTGCCGTGGGGGGGAACCATATGGGGTAGAGGTGGTACCTCCGGTGGACTTTGTCCTCGGCTCCGGTCGTGAGGTTGGTGTGGTGGAAGATGAGCGGGATGAGGTCCAGGATGGCCGGGTAATTGATCATGGCCGAAAAAAGGCGGCATGCCCCCTGCATGGGGTGGAGGAAAATGAGAGCCACCGTAGCCATAAGGCGGTGATGTGTTCCCATATTGGCCTGAGCGCCCCATGTGAGCAAGGGGACCAAACCGAACTAATTGGTCTGATGGTGGAAGGACAGGACCGGCATGCGGGAAATGTGGATGGCCAGCTGCCCCGTTCGGAAACACATTGTAGGATGGCCCCGATGATGCACTCTGGGCGTAACCACCGACAGCTGCCGCGCCTGTAGGCGGCCAACCCCTCCTCTCAGGCCGATGTCGAGTATAGTCTTCCACAAGGTCTTCGGCCGACTCACTGTCGGGAGATTCTGGCGAGCGATGGCGGCGTGCTGCCCTTTGTTGGAAGGCTTCTCTCTGTGGACGCACGTCTCTGCGCGAGTATCGGTGGCTAGATCTAGAACGAGAAGCTGGTAGAGTCTCGCGATCACGACTATGGCGCGAAGTGCGGGGGTGAGATGCTTCGGAGGATCCTATTTCATCGGGGTATGATAGATGAGCCCATTCACCGATGCTGCCTGTGACGGATGGCGGAGACACATCAACCACATCAGAGGAGCCTTCGTCGTCAGTGTACGACTGTTCCGACTCGGACGTGTCCCCTTGATCGCTTATGTGGATATTGAGCCTTTGTTTTGGAACCGATGACGGTTTAGTAGGGTATCTTGAATGCGATTTGAACATGGCAACTCACGGCATCGATGAGAGTCTTTAACGATAAGTTGTTTGTTGTGTTTTGGGTCAACAAAGAGCTAGTGAACGGAGATTGAAGTATTATTTATTGTTGCTATGCTCTTCATGATACGAGGGCCGGCGAGTTCAGCGAGCTATGGATAGATGATGATAGATCGAGGACGAAGTGGTTAGTAGAGAAGACGAAAAGCGATCAATCGATGCAAGGTACATGACAGTTATAGTACGCTGGGTGAGCCTAAATTCGCCTCTTTCGGAGCGTAAAATTTGTGTGGGAAGAAGACAATTTGGGAGTCGACGATGGGGATTAAGTGCCTGAAGCAGTTGGGCCGGAGGCAAGGAGGGGCCGCGGGCGATCTGGAACCCAAACAATCCAATTGGGATTAGTGTGTAATATGATACGGAGATGACAGGGAAATAGTATGGTCGTCGGGTAAAAGTATCTCTGTAATACCATGACAATACACCAACCGTCTTACAACTCAATGTCAACTGTTACACTACCGAGCATTCCCAATGCTGCAAGAGAGTCAATTGAGAAGACTAGGACGGTGGCTAGACCAGATCGATCTTCATCTCAGTGAAATGTATAACATAGTGGACTAGCCTCATCACATACAGTTCAGTTATTATCGAATGGAGCTCATGCTAGCGAACCAGAGAGAAGAATATGGAAAAGCGCAACAAAACGCAGCGCAAATCTCGCAGAAGGCTGAGATGACGTTGCCTACTGGTTTCGGCCAATATTCACACCACGGCTTTGTCTTCTCGACTGCTGTCGTGTATGTAGTTGATTCTGACATGGCTGCCCGAAGCAGCCCACTTTACTCGGCGTGACCCAACCAGTTGACGATGCATAAGCATCTCGATTGAGATGCTGGCTAACAACACAGGGCCCAGTGCAGCCTTATGGAGGGAAAACCGGAAGACGGTTGACTCATACCTAGATAAGGGTCAGCTATTGGTCTTGGTGTTCGCTTTATGTGAGTCGAGGAATCTAGAAATAAAAGCGTGTAGAGTTGATGCGGTGTGATCGGCAGGTTGTAACAATTGTAATTTACATTACAGACAGGCTGCTATTGGCTACACAATGAAGGGGGATGCAACCACCATGCAACTAACAAAAGATCAGAGAAAAGATGGAAGCGCACCAGGAGAGTTTGGAATAATTAGAACAATCTCATGTAGTTATTATTGCATGCGTTGACATGGGGACACTATCTCTGCTGCACTAGCTTCTTTAAAGAGACAAGACCATCCAGTTGGCTCGACTGCTGTGATTGTATGAGCTTCTCTGCTTTTTGTATAGCCAAAGACCTCAATTCTTCTAGTGTGCTGATAGATGGGACATCATCCCCAGTGCTCTGCTCAGTTTGTATGTGGCGGATCAATTCCGATGCAGTCTACGGAGTCATCAGTTAGTATACCCTGACATGTCCTTGCCTACCATAAATCCAAATCCATGCAGCAAAAGAATAGGACGGTCATACCTTAATGAGACCATATAGCCCTCTCACATAATCGTCACATAATTCGAGACTCCGTAAAAAATGTTTGACCGATCTTGCTAACGTTTGGGTCGACGAAATACTCCGGTCGCCAGACGTCGTGGATATGTACAAGATCTCTCCAAGTCGCGCATGCAGCTGTTGCTTGATGTCAACCCCGATTCATTCTTTCCAATGACAGTGTGGCACAAAACTTACGTTCCATGCATTTGGAGTAATAAGCAACGCTTCCTCGAGACTGAAAATAGCTTGGGCGCTCATTGCATTAGATTGATACAAATCTGCGAGTTCACACCATGCCTCAGCATCTGTTGGGAAAGCTTCCAAGTAGTCCACCAATGCCGATACCGACTCTTCATATTTGTTCATCGAACGTAGGAGCGCGATACGACGCTTCAAGATGGGCTGTCGAATACCGTGCGATTAGCACGCAGGGTCATTCAAACACAAACCATAGTTCAGCAGTTGCTTACCACATTGACAGCGTTTTCCGAGAGTATTTTGTTATAATCTTTCAAAATCACTTCAAGAGCGGCGGTATCCCTTGCCGTTGCTTCTTGGTAAAGACCCCTTAGCCCCATTATCCGCTCATTGGCCGGGCCAAACCGGTCAGTGAGGCGATCAAGGCACAGATGCGCAGATTTATCATCGTCGGTGCGTAAGAAAACGAGGAAAAGTTGCTCATATTCAATCCATTGGTCTGGGTCCTCAGGCGCAGCAAATGGTAAGATCGAGGAAGAATAGGGCTTCGTCAAGAGGGTGGAGGCTTGTTGTGAGAGGTGGAGAGCGGCTGCCGGATTTGACAGCTGCAATCCTCGGTCAAGATCTGTCTTGATGGTCGCCATTGCTGGAGTCTATATCGCGCAATCATACAGAGGCGAGGTTAGAAGAGAGGTCGAGGAGGCACATGTTTTCTCTTGAATCAATAGTGACAACTGTAGCTCGAGCCCGACAATTGACTGTTTCTCCGTAAGCTTCTTCGATGGTCCCGTTAGGCGGTGTGGAACTGCTGGCAGAATACATGCACTGGCCAATCAGACCATCCCAAAGCAGGATGATGTATTGAGAGAGTCAGGAAGGCACCGCCGGAGTCTGTCAATATTCAACCTGGAACAACACGAAGAGAGCTCTCCCCTTCGCTCGGGCCTGCACTTCCATGGGATGATTTACTTTTTAGCAAACATCTTTCACCTTCTCCATGAACGGATTTCTCCCACTTGCCGGTAGACACAACATAGAAGCGGCGTGGTGGGGTGCTCTAAGCTGTTATCATACTTTACCACGACACTGATGAGATTCGGCGGTCATTATAACAATGTATGTGCTTTTTGGCCCTTGATTTAGAGGTTGAATAGTGACAGAGCAAAATAGGTTCGAAAAATCTCTTTATGACCTCATTAGAGGTCTGCGGAGCCACAAAGGGAGCGAAGCGGAATATATACAGAACAGCTTGAAGGAATGCAAATCCGAAATCAAGTCTCCAGATATGGGTTTGTTTTTTAGAATATTCATTCCCAGCTTCATTGCGTTTTGATTCTGGCCTTGTCTAACAGAAAACAGATAAAAAGACCATCGCACTCCTCAAGCTGATATACCTCGAAATGTTCGGATACGACATGTCTTGGGCATCCTTCCACGTCCTCGAAGTGATGTCTTCACCAAAACACCTGCAGAAGCGGATTGGTTACTTGGCTGCCGCCCAAAGTTTTCGCGCCGAGACAGAAGTATTGATGTTGGCGACAAATCTACTGAAGAAGGTAGAGACCAATTTGCATCAAGGAGCTTCATCATGACTTGAGTCTCACAGAGGATAATAGGATATAGTTTCATCATCCATCGTTAATCTATCGTTACCGCTCGCAACACTACCGCACATAGTTACTCCGTCGCTCGCCATGTCTCTTTTAAATGATCTCCTCCCCCGACTCTCACATTCGAATGCAGTGATTCGGAAGAAGTCTATTGTTGTGCTTTACCGCTTTGCCCTGGTTTACCCTGAAACACTCCGGCTGGCTTGGCCAAAACTCAAGGAACGCCTTATGGATGATAATGAAGATAGTAGCGTCATTGCTGCCGTTATGAACGTTATATGTGAGCTCGGTTGGAGAAGGCCTCATGACTTTCTACCTTTAGCTCCGAGGTTTTTTGAACTGCTAGTGGACAGCGGGAATAATTGGATGGCCATCAAGATAATTAAGTTGGTTAGTATCCTCAAGCTTCATGGCCAGTGTTCGTGCTCGCTAATTACCCTAGTTCGCAACTCTCACGCCCCTAGAACCTCGCCTAGTACGAAAGCTACTTAGGCCTTTAATAAGCATTATACAGACGACGACCGCCATGTCTCTTCTCTATGAGTGTATCAATGGCATAATACAGGGAGGTATCCTTACAGAAGCTGAAGGGACACAAGAAGGTGATGAAATTGCAAGCTTGTGTGTAACGAAACTCAGAGGCATGGTTGTCATGGATGCCGACCCCAATCGTGAGTTGATCCTTGTGCTTTTCTCAAGCTGAGACGATAAGAACTAGGTTCTAATGGCTAAATCAATATTACAGTGAGATACGTCGCTCTTCTTGCCTTCAACCGCATTGTCATATCGCACCCACATCTTGTTGCAATGCAGCAAAACGTGATTATGGACTGCTTGGATGATCCGGACATTTCTATTAGACTTCAGTCACTTGAGCTTGCAGTGCAAATGGCTACACCAGATACATTACAAGACATTGTCAACCGCTTGTTGAGGCAGTTACTGAATAGTAGAAAATTGGAGACTCGACAAAATGCCGACGGCGATACTGTTGAAGGTGCCAGTGGTTGGCGGGACGCGGAATTTCTGGATTCTACATCTTCGACAAGTGCAACCCATGCCGTGCATGATTTACCAACCGATTACAAAAGCGACGTCGTTACACATATTTTGGATATTTGTTCCCGAGACAACTATGCGGATATCGTTGATTTTGAGTGGTATGTTGAAGTCTTAGAGCAATTGCTGAAGCTTTTGCCTCATCTCAATATGAATAAACGTGGTCAGAGTGACGACCCTTTGAACTACCTTCCCAACACAGATATTGCAGTCAGGATAGGTGCGGAGCTCCGAAGCATTGCAGTGCGAGTAAAAGCTGTTCGAGAGAAGGCCACTAAGGCAGGGGAGTCATTTCTCTTCTTGGTTGATATGCAACAGGCTTATCAGAGTGCTTTATTCTCCTACGTTGGCGCACTTGGTCCGATTGCTTGGATAGCCGGCGAATACTCACAACTTTTGTCATTTCCTGATCGCATTCTGAACATTCTCATCAATCCGAATAACAAATCACTCCCTGGAAAAGTCCTGATCCTTTACCTACAGGCAATGCCTAAAGTGTTCTTGCGATTAATATCCTCGGAGAGTGCATGGCCTGCTAGCAGCAACACCGAGTACTCCATTGTCCTCTCGCGTCTGATCACTTTCTTGGAGGGCTTGGGAGCTCATCCAGACTTGGATGTGCAAGAACGAGCAACTGAATTCCTTGAACTCCTTCGTTTGGCGAAGGAAGCGTTGCAACCGGACGTGAAAGACCTTCACGAATTACCTTTCTTACTCGCAGATGTCATTCCCAGTCTTTTCAAAGGTTTGGACCTGAACTCTGTATCAATTGAGGCTCAAAAGAGGGTCCCACTTCCAGAGGATCTGGATCTGGACCAAACAATAAACGTCACACTGCCAAAGGTTATCGACGACAATTATGATACATGGGCTGAGGGGGAGACTTACAATGACATAAAGAGCTTTTATTATGTCCCTAGCGGCCCTTTGTTCCTCCAGAAGCAGATGGGTCTAGAGACTCAAATTGATATCAGCTTGGAAAATACAGATACAAGTCATGGAAATCCGAATAGGATCCAAGAACGGTTTAGTCGCCCCGAACGGAACAGGGATGATCCTTTTTACATTGGATATAGTGAAGGTGTCGCTGCTGATACAGTCAATTCCTCCTATCAAGTTCACGACATCTCGAATAAGGAAGAATTGGATATAGATTCTATTCCAATCATCGACCTTACAACCATGGAGTCAGACACACACTCCCAAAGGCCGGATAAAAGCTCTAGAGGCCGCAGCAAGCCACGGAAGTATCAAATAGCTGCTCATGAAACCATTGACTATGATGGATCACTTTCTACGGGATTGAAAAATCAGAAATCCGACTCAAGGACTTCAACAGGGCGAAGTCTCCTACAGGTGGATACAAGCGGAATTGAACGTTTAGCTCTAAGCGAAGCGCATGGATCTCCATCGAATCATGACTTGCAGCCTGAGCAGAGAAGTGAAGAGCAAGATTTGGAAATGGCCGAGGCGATGCGAAAAATAGAACGTGCCCGCCTGGAAATGCAACGAGCGTCAGAGCGGATAAACGTTCCAGGGTTACCCTCTGATGGCCAACTTATCAAGAAGAAAGCTGTTAAAAAGAAAAAGAAGAAGAAAGTCGTGAGCGGAGAAACCTAAAATGGCAAGCAGATCGTCTAGATGATAACACTTGGCAGTGAAAGTCTTGTACAGTTTGTCGTCGGCAAGAGAATGGGTATATAGAAATTCAGGAATCAAACGCTCTTCAACGTAGGTACGGGACCGTACTGGAGAATATATGAACACAAGCCGCAACATGGACGAAAACAGGAAACTCCTCGGTAGATGGCACTCAAAAAAAAAGAAAGAAAACTGTTATTTCTCCTTGTGTAATGGTTGTTTGCCCCCGTCACTGATGTGATCAATCATCGCCCAAAAAACGACATGATTGCGGACCATATTTCCGGGACGACTCGCAGGAGTTCGAAGATTAAGCCTCCGCAGACAATGAACGCAAGTAAAACTAAATGATTAAGAGAAAGTCAGCGGATTTATCTTCAAGACAACGTTGGATTCTTGGATCGCCTACCTATCCACCCAAAAGATATCGGGGATTTCTGTTTGGGACTCTTCTTGACAGCAGCCTGTGGTTTCCCTCTCTTTGCGGCCTCGTGCTTCGCAAACTTCTCATTTGCCTTCTTCTGTCGAGGTGTTTGAGCCTGCAATGTGGTAGAAAACAAGTTAGGAATCGGTTGGCATCCATCGAACTCGTAAACTAACCATTGCTAGCTATATGATGTGACAAGCAGTGATCAAGATGCTTCGTTCAAGTTGATTGTCAACAGCAAGGAGAAGTGAATGGAAAAAGAAGAAAGATAAACAAAGAGCTTCAAAAACGAGTGTCTGCCTGATTGAGCCGATATAGATCAGGTCACGTTGCAAACTGGATGAGGTGCATAACTGATGAGCACCGATGTAGTATAGCTGTCCATATGGCATAGCTCGATGTCGCAGCGCACTAGTACTATCTAATCTAACTGCCACGGCCCGCCCACAACTGCCACTTAGATTACAGCACGCTAATACAAGTCCGCACGGCTACAGGGGAAGAATGAGGCTGCTCGAAAAAAAAAAAAAAAAACTACGTACAACGACTAACATCAGGAGCAAGATCAAAAATTCAGAACGTTCCCCTTACCCCGCTGAATTTTATCGAACAAGAGATTAGTATTTTGCTTTACGCTGAATTTTAGGCGACAAAGCTATTTGAATGGCCCTGGATACGCCAAAGCGTTTATTCCATGACCAGGGCGCATGTTCAGTCCTTCGCCGTCATACGGAGTTGAAGACCATGTGAAATATCGATGCTGGTGGATTTGACGATGAGACAAGTTCTCACCTATTGAAATTTAAAGCACATAATCAGGTATTATTATCCTACTATTTATATACGGTTTTGTCACGGCTTGACGGTCTCTTTTCTCCTACGGGCTGGTTGACTCCATAGCCAGCCTCATAGATTGCAACAGAGTCAAGCTCTTGCGCTTCTGCAGCAGGTAACTTGTTCGGTGGACGACGCCAGAACATTGTAGCGGGTAGTTCTGGCATCGGTTTCGCCGCTGTCTCGGTCTCCTGATTGATCTTCTCTGTGCAGTTGTCCTGCCGTCGTCGCCTTTGGAAACCCCAGAAAAGAACACTCAGGACCATAATTACGCCACAGGCGACTCCCACGCCAACTCCAGCTTTTGTACCCAGTGAGAGCCCGGGTTGTGAGGTCGACGGATTAGGGCTGGCAGTGCGTTGTCGGCTATGGTCACAGATGCCCACTTGCTGCTCAAGGCGCTGTAATCGGAAAGTAGTGGTGGTGCATAAGGCCGAGAGGTGGTATACGAGACTAACCCATAGTCCGATTCCGAGGCACTTCTAGGAGAGCATGTCAGGATGCGTATATCAAACCAAACGAAGAGCCAGGGAGAGTGAATCCAAATACTGTTTCCGCCATTCAAAAACGATTGCACCACTCCAAACGTCAGACATATTTGATCCAAAGATTGCAGCCTAGTCCTCGAAGGTCCGCGGGTTGGAGACGGCACAGCCATCCTCTGAAAAAAAAAGGGGGTAAAAACAATGGCACATCTATGTCTCCTAGATCCGATGTCAATTGACCATAGTCGGAGGCATTTATTGACCCTTGGCTACACCATGACTAGTCATTAACACCGAGGAAGTCAATTGCTTCGCTCTTACTGCCGCCACATACCAAGTAATCCGCCATTTGCTGAGCCCAATTATCGTCGTCGCTTGTGTAATACCCGATGGGTATATTACGATACTGCCTAGCTACAACATAGGCCTTCATATCTCGAACTGCTCCCTTCAAGAATGGAGTGAGATCGGCCTGGTTGGCTGCAATGTTGTAGATGAGGGGAATGAGTGAGACCCGGATGGATCGCATACATTTATCAATTATCTCGTTGTTAGCAATAAGGCCAGTAGATTGTCGTATGACGCCATCGAATCGAGAACCGCCGTGTATAGATTGAAGCCGTTTGTTATCCAGGTTGAATTGAGTTTATGACAGAAGTCAATATCCCTAGAGAAGGTTTCTGGTATTCGCAAGTACTGACCAAGTTCGAACTGGGGTCTAGTCCTGACATGTCCCCATCAGAATAATCTCGCTGCCTTGCCATGTTGCAATGATATAAATCTCATTATCCTGGAAGGCCTGCATGCATTTATCATGGCTCTGAGCTGGATCGATGTAGTGTACGCTGATGGCGTTGGCCCCAAGCTCCTTAATAATCGGCGCATCGATCGCACACTGGTGGGCATTGGAATTGGTCAATGTGTCAATGTTGGAAGCAGAGTTATCGCCGATGTACGCAACGACTATTCCACTTAGAATAGTGTGGCAGGTTTCCCAGGGCAGGCCGTTTGTCATTGTGCACCTTTGATCTGAAAACGAAGGCTGGATTTTAAGCCATTCCCGGCAACTGTCACGACGGGAAATGCTATAATTCAATGACTGACGGCAGCGTGAGAAACCCCCGGCATGCAGTTTAGGAGCCTCCAAAAAAGTGGGTGCAATATCTAGACTCTAGTTGACGGCCATGAAGCATGGCTAACATTAAGTACTTTGCGGCCCTGTACGAAGTACTCGTATGTAGTCATAACTATTTGTTATATATAAGTTTAGATAGGTCCCAATGGTCAACACTGAACCCTCATTGCCTTCAAATTCAGTTAAGTTACTTTTTAGCTCCCCTGTAATAATCTTAGCGACTTTAGTGTGTGCGATCGACTGTTGCAAAGTTCTCTTGATATTTTGATAGCCAATCCCTCAGGTCCGCTAACTGTCAGTGATTGTTAGGGCTAGACACCTAAGCTCTGGTATCACTCTTCGGCAATTCGTGCTGTAGTGCTTTACACTACGTACTAACAGAAAGAGCCTAGCTATAATACAAGTATGCGCTGGCGTGAACGCCAGCAGTTGCGAATGCGTTTAGAAATGAAGATTTTGGACTAATCAGATTACGAGGATTGTACGGATGGAAAAGGAAAAGAGTGGAGATTTGATTTTTAGTATGAAGCAACAACATCAATTTGTTGCAAATTAACAGCTTGAACACGACTGCAAAGTAGTTGTCAATCATCCCGCGGTATCTCATTCTTTCTCAGACTGGAAAGCAGGTTCAAGAAGCGTGACTCACCAGATTGTCTTTTGACAACTTTAAGTTCGATGGTTATCTTAAATTCCTAATATAAAACATAGTCCTTCATGGCATTCTCATCAATCAATGATGCAAGTTTGGTGTAAAATAGCGGCTTTGCTAGGACCGGAGGGAGTTCAAAGAAATCACCACATATCACAATATTCAAACCCCTAAAATTCATGGCTCGCTGATCCAGAAAGATCTCCCGGCATCAGGAATCAATCAGGGCCAGTTGGGAAAGGCCCATCATAGACTTCTCATTTATGATAAGATATCATACTCCACGGAACTGAGCTTGTAGTCTGGAAACATTTCATGGTGCCACGAACAGGAAGTCGAAATAATGAATATAATGTATAACCAGATATATTAAAAGCAGCGACTCCTGTTGGCGCTGCTCGAACAATTGGAGAAGGTGCGCCCCTTGCACGCGCTACAGCTTCTAGTGTTGCAGATAGCAAATTGATTGCATATGATTTCCCAGTTCCAGCCTTGCCATCCAGATTGACGAGTAGTTGATCCATAGAAAGATCATCTATTGTTTCTGTATAGTGATTGATAATCAGGTTATATAGTAAGCGCTGTTTCTCTTCCAAATTCTCTGCTAGAGCTGAGGATTGGACTCTAGATTGGCAGGATGATTCTCTTTTAGAATGCTCCAGAAGTCAGTTGGTGTGATATAATGACCAACATGGTGTAGCTAATCATATGCTCGGTCAAGATCACGATGATGAAGACGATCTGGGTCTTCAATCTGCTCAATATTATTTCCCAGAAGTTGCAACACCAATTCTAACCAAAATTCCTGCGTCCCGTCAGATCGGGATTGTAGAGGATCAAAAAGGATCAGCCTCAGGCCGTGGAGCTTCTTCATAAAAATCAGGTTCATGATCATCCCTATGATTTTGACAGCAGTATTCATATACCTTGGCATAATTCTGAAAAACCTCACCAGTTTCAGGATTGTTAAGGAGATATGACAAACTTCTTGAAAGGATGGTGAAGCATGAGCTTGACTCGGGCAAAGTTCTCTGGCTATTGCCTTTATTTATCCCGTGGAAAGTATTTCAAAACCCGGTCAGGAGTGTTATCCCAAAGGCGACACATTTTTTAGCATTCCGGAAATTAACGCGCTCAAGGAATGTCAAGAAATTGATATCTGTAAGCTCTGCAGGCGGATGCATATATTCTTCAAGCGGTGACTTTGTAGTCTTGACACCGTCAGACCCCTGCTCTTGGCCATATTGAATGTATAGAGTTTGACGCTCGTTCTCCAGATAAAGATGCACATTGATAGCCGTTCGTGAACCCTCTGTTAGGTCCATTCCTCATAAGATATGACTACTCTCCTGTGCAGACCAATCTCTTTCTCCAATCAATTTATTCATCTTGGTAGCTATGGATATCATCGGGTTGCGACTATTGACATTGGGAAGAATCTGCTTGATGAGATTTCGATAGGATGTCGTCCTTTTCTTAGCCTTTGTTGAATATTTAGCAATGTAATCAGACATTATACATGCCAGTGCATGGAGAAGCATTGTGATTGGCAAGCCATGACATTGCAATTATCTGATTGTATGCATTCAACATTGAATCATTCCTGGGAGGGCACGGATGCAATATTTGTTTTGATTTTCAGATGGTGTATTATTGCCACAATAGTAGCATATATCTTCCTCATCGTCGAACCGGTCATCGTTCGAACGTAAATTCTCGCACTGGCAATAACGGAAATTAACATGTAATAAGCGGACGAGGGGTGGATGTAGAGGAACGGCTGCTGCTTGCAGGATTGGAAAGACTACTGAGTTGCAATAAATTGTTCAGGGAGGGTTTGATAATCCTGTCTGTTAATAATTTATGTCAAAGAAGGGGTAACGGCATCTGAAGCATGTAGCAGTTAGTAGCTGGTTATTTTTTTCTTCTAGGTATGAACTAGTCCTTGGGCTTCATGGTGTGGCAGCTCGAGCACTTTCTAAAATCCTCCATGGAGTCAAAGTGGGCGAATTTTAGAGTATGCGTTATATTGGCAATGTTGGATGAAGCTTTTGGATGAGAAAGCTCGGGAATCGGATTATCTGCTGGCCGGCACAGGCCGGCAACTTGATTGGTTAGAATATGGCCACGGGAACTATCCCCAATAAGGAAATTTTGTGAGTTACAGAAGACCAATCAGTGTACACGATTTTTCTTTTTCAATAATGCTACTAATATACTCATGCTACGCATTCGCAAATAATATTGGGTCATCGAAAGGCTATCCCAACTTTCTGCCCTGCTAGAGCTGGGCTAGGGCTACCGCAGGGCCAGAACAATGAGAATATCTAATTAATCATGACTCAGACCATCAAACGTTACGAGCTTTGGCGGGGTCTGCGGAGAAATTAGTTGCACACTAGACGGCCCGTAAATACGAGGTCGAACGGACCATGCGTTTTGTCCTTGGGAGGAATACTCAAATTCAGCCACTCACTCACTGCGATGAAGGGCTTATTCAAGAAGTCCTTGAAATCGCTCAGAAAGCCTGGAAAAGGAGAAGCGGCAGCTGGGATCCATGTAACCCTAACCCCACTGTCCCCTTCCCCAGAAACTCCCATCGACGACGACTACACTCGGCAGCTCCGACTAGCATCACAAAAACTCCAGAAGACAGTCCAAAATTACCGTGAACGGCACTCAAAAGGTGCACAAGAAGGCTTGGGTGATCCGACACAATATGAGTTCAATACTGCCTCGGGTCCAGAGCAATTAGCAAACCTAATACAAACTATTGTTTCTCAAGATACACGGAAGAATGGAATTTCAAGACAAGTTTCTGAGACGGCTGGCAAGATCTACCCACTCGCCTCGCTGGTACTGAGACTGGGAACTGCTGTCGGAGAGGCATTCCAACCCGTAAAGGCGTTGATGAGTTCTTTGACCGTTGTTCTTGATCTCGCGGAACAGGAGCGCTCCCGGGCCAAGGACTTCTATTGCACACTTCAGAGAGTAATGTACCAATGTTCCCGCATAGCAGAGATCCAGAAGACAGCGGTCGATGGAGAATGGAACCATCTAGTCATACAAAAGTCCACGCAGCTGCTCACGGCAATTATTCGATATTTTGACGAAAGCATTACTTTTTTTAGCCAAGGGTTTACCCAAATGCTAGGATCATCGATCCTACTCGGGCAGGGTAGGTATTCTGGCGTTGAGACAGCGTTGAATCAAGCTATTCTCGAGTACGACCAGGCTCTTTTGCTTCAGATTGCAGTTAGTACCGTACCGAAAAGAACACAACTTGATGACACTATTGCCATGTATCACAATGCAGAGAAGAACTTGGATAAATCGGAGCTTTTCGCGTGGTTGAAGAGCTCATACTGGGAAACTGAGGCCCAGTTTATGAGTGCGTGCAAGCGACTACACGAGGGTTCTTTTAATTGGATATCGAAACTAGAAGCCTTCACTCGATGGAGAAGGGAAGAGTCTGGAAGCCTGTGGTTGACAGCAGCACCAGGATTTGGAAAATCAATGCTAGCAGCATATATAATACGGCGATTGAGAACCGAGCATCCCAGAGCTCCTGTTCTATACTTCTTCTGCAGAGGTACCAATCCGCAGTTGAACACATTGGAGCGATTGGTTCGCACCCTCGCAGCTCAACTTGTAACGACTGTTCCATCAACCCAGGAATACTTCCAAGATTTGCAGGACCAGGAGTATGCTTGCGACGATACGTTACTTCTTTTTGAGGATCTAATCACGAAACCTCTTTCAAAGGCTGATTCAAAGGTATTCATCGTAATTGATGGTATCGATGAATGTCTCTCCATGGAAGAAGAATTCCTGCATATGAATGAAAAATCCATTACTCTTCTTGAGTTACTGACTAGATTACAATCTCAATGCCTTTTGACAAGTCGGCCCATATCTATATCAAAGAATAAACTCAAGCTATGGCTGCATCATCGACTCACCACCGAGAACTTGGATGATATCCGGTCTTTCGTATCGAAGCGAGTGTGCGAGTCTACGGTTCTACAGAAAGGGTTTGAAAGACTCGGCCACCACGGAGAAAGCATGGTTGTCGAAAAAGGACAAAATAATTTCCTCTGGGCATCCACCGTGCTTAGCCTGCTAGACAAGCCAGGCCTCTCACCTCAGGATTTCAAAATTCTACTCAATGACAACCCAAGGGAATTGAATCTGGTGTATAATGAAGTACTGGATCGATTTGACCGAGCCGGCAGCCTAGGGCTGGCACAGCTTGCCGTAGGCTGTGTTCTGTTTAGCCAATCTAATCTGACAATCGACGCTCTTGAAGTAATAGTGTCTATCCTGCATGGCGAGGTATTCGCATTTCGTGAGTTTATTGAAGTGGATTGTGGGTCGATTTTCACGGTTATTGCTACCAAAGATGATCGAGATATTGTCCAAATAGCCCATGAAACTTTCAGAGTATTCATCACAAACCGAGGCTCTTCACTGCCCCGTTCATTGTCAGCTTCTTCTTGTCATCTTTCTCTCGCAATAGCGTCCTTGGAATGCCTAACTGATCCGAAAAATAGGCAACTAGACTGTATACATGATTATGCAGTACTTAATTGGTTTACTCACTTCACGAAACTCCAGGGTCAACAGGACGACAGTTTTCACGGGCCGATAGATATTGAAAGGCTACTCGTCAGCGTACACAAACTATTTACGGTCGAGGAATTGTTTTGTACTTGGCTGACACGATTTGTTCTGCTCACTGAAGATGAGACAAGGTCACTCCTCCTGTGTTATCATCTCTTCGACATACGCCAGAGCATACTACACTGGTTAACTTCCACTGAGTTCGAAGAAGGCACTTCAAGTTTTTCTCAAAATCTTTCAGCCCGTGAGACATCTGCTTCAGCCTTAAATTGGAGAAATGGCATAGCAAGTGGTGAAATTCAAGACCTCTCGCACTTTATATGCAGCTGCCTGGCACGGACTTGGCTAGGGACGAATTGGAAATCATCCGGCCTCAGCTCGAAAGTATTTATCCAGACCAAAAAGGCCGCCCAGATCTTGTTGTGGGATGAGATTACAGGAGATACTGATCGATCTCTATCCCACACAGACTACACATCGACGACGGTGTCGCAAGTCAAACTTCTAGGAGACCTAGGAGGATACTTACCATTCGTCGGCCTACATTCGGGCAATTATGCGTTCGCCTATATGGCTGCAAATGACCAGTCTTGCCCTCAGTTTTTCCTATCGGCACTTGACGAACATCCAGACTGGTGGCATTTGCATGAAGGTCTGGGCCAGTGGTATTACCGAGTGCATGACAGGGCAAAAGCTGTTGCTGCTCTCGAGAAGGCAATGAAGTATAATCCTCAAGCACCAACATCGGTCACGCATTTATATTGGACCGCGAAATGTGACCTCTGCCTGGAAACAAGCGATGTGACAGGTGCGATCGAGACTCTTCGCCGAGCAGAAGAGCTCTGTTCCGAAAAAGAAGCGTACCAATATCGGGCACGGATGGCCCAGATCTTGGAGGACAGAAGCTGCTGGGAGGAATTAAAACTGGTTTACATTGATGCATTGGAGAAACGGTCTCTTTGCCGTTACGAGTACTGGACAGGCCTTTCAAAAGCGTACAGCAAACTAGGGGATTGGAGAGGTACTCTCGATGTTCTATACACAGCTATGCAAGACAGAAGTCAACACAGCGAGCGCTACATGCATTTTAAGAAAATATGCCGCTTAGCAGAGGATTTAAGAGACTCCTTCTTGTTCGACCACTCCATAGAAGTTCTTCGCTCTGCAGTGACAAACGACCCGGATAACGAAGCTAGGTATCACACTTTGTTGGCTAACACATATATGGCTGCCCGTAGGTGGCCGGATGCTATTGAGTTATATGAATCAATTCTTAACGGAGAGAAAATTGATTCAAGTGCTCGAAACGCAATTCATGTCGATGTCGGAAGCGCATACCTCGCGATGGGTAGGCTTAGGGAGTCCGCCGCTGCTTATGGGAAAGTTGTTATCAATGATGACGCGACACAGTGCCTGCCAGATGTCCTAGCTTTGGGCTACATGATTATGGGTCAATTTCCGGAAGCAATCCGCATTCTCAGGAGATGCATCACAGTAACACACACGGCCGCTTCCGCCAGTTTCGATGACCTCTTCCAAGCCGGCTTACTCATGTGGATGCAGTTGAATCTAGGCAAGTGCCTTGAGGCAATGGATCGATGCGAGGAAGGCAAGTCAGCTTATGAGGCGGGCATCAGAGTCATTGGAAACATGAAAGATGACATGATAAGTATACCAAAGCAGGATGATTCCTCAACTCCCATATGGCGATACCAGGCGCGCTTTTTCCTGATCTACGGTGAACTCCTTGAGCGAATCGGAAGTCGGACCGAGGCAATCAAGCAGTATGAAATTGCTGAGACTATAATGTCTAAGACTCGTTTCGTCGAAGACGATGACATATTAGAGTGGGAGTATGAAAACTGCCTGCAAGCCCTTGTCCAGATCAGAGGATGTATCACCCGCCACAGCACAGCCGAAACGCTGGGGTTGGACAAGTTACTACAGCTGAGAGTTGTTGGGCCCTACAGGACTGAATGGTATTCATATATGAATGTTAGTATGCCGCAACATCGTGGAGGCGATGATGGTTGGGCTGCCAGGATACGACGACTCAAGACAGAGGCATCTTGCTAAAATCCGGGTATATCATCCCCAACAGCCTGACGAACGATTTTGTTTAAGTCATAAAAATAGCATGCATTTTAAGTAGACTTGATAGAAGAAATATGTCCCGTCAAAGTAGGCGAACTGGCGCGAATCAAATTTTTAAAATTACGCCACCAGATCCGGCCGGGAACGGCTGTAATTAACGCAGTTTATCGTCTGGGTCAAGACTATCGATCGAGCCTAGTTTTACTAGGCAATATATACACTCTAGGTCTCGCGAGGGTCAGGATAACCCGATGGGACGAGGATTCATCGAGGACGTGAGGAACTTCACGGCCTCACAAAATTCTGGTACGGAGATCCTTGTGGACCTCAAGCAGCTGCTTCAGGATGTTCAAAATGATACTGCGGTAATCCATATACGATCAGAACAATCATCAAGCGCGTCAACCGGGTTATCATCCGTGTCCCCGTAGAAAGCATGGAACACTTAGAACTGGCAGGCCAGCCTTCGAAGCGCAGCCGTATTAGCATCTCAAAGCGCCTCGAGTGGGGAGTGACCAACGGGGTGCAATTTGACCCTAAAAAGACTGAGGCTGCCGGCGACAACAACGTGTTCGGGACGCGTTATACCACCCTCGACAAGGGCCCGAGAGGCCTCGGGCAGCACCGACAACACCAGTGTGACGGCCAGCGCGTGTGTGTGTGTGTGTGTGTATCTATTTAACGGCCGTGGATCGTGACTCGCACGCTTTCCACCAATCCCTACTGGGACATTATTATTATTATTAATCAAGGGAATCATTGCGCGGTGGGTGATATCGGAAATAGGCATGACCGGGTGCACGTTCAAGAGAGCCATCGGTTCGAAGTTCCTGAGGAAAATGGAATCGGCATGATATGTTATTCGAGTTCTTCTCTTTCCGAAGACAATATGTTTTAGAACACGAATGACGCTGTACACTATTAGCGATCTGAGAGAGATAAGAAACTGTATTCTGTTGATCAGAGGACGGAATTTGTAGAGGAGATCGCTCATTCCCGATATTGACTTGAACGCCGGGCTGAGGATTCAGAGCGGAGATATGCAGTCCCCAGAACTCGATAAATAGCTATCGTAGTCGTTCAGAGATTTTCTCGATCTCAGATTTCGGGGCCTCGTCGATCCAATACAGCCCATGAACATGCACAGAGCCTCGGCCTTGCCACTCATATCAAAACCAAAAGTCAACAACATTGAATTTCTTATCCAGGACCTCTTTACAGAAAGAAGAAAAGCGGATATGAAACCAATTCGCAACAATATGGGGGTTATCACATAGGTTTTCCCATGATATATGGATGCGTTCTGTCGCAGTTCCGTTCTTCCACTCCTGATAACGAGGAAGATGCCGCATCAGGTCATCCCAGTGCAGATCCGCCGCTGATAGGGTAAGGAATAAATGTGCAGGACCAATATTCTTAACCATGGCTTTCAGCTATTGGTATTTATTCGTCTAGTATGGCCGTGTACCACGAAGCGTACCGGAACGCCATATAATAGAATTTACAAGTGCATCAGCCTCTAGTCCCTCATCTGCAAATGCATTGCGAAGATCATCTGCTGTAACTTCTTGACCTCTCACAGTCCGCTGCTTGACAAAAAAGCCTGCTCTAGAATTTACCTGCTGCCTGTGACGGCTGGGCATGGCTCTGCGTTCCCGTCTCAGTTCACGGATAGGGCTAGGAGCCGTGTAACCCTATCCGCGCCGTATTGGGAAGTGATATCAACATCAGACGTCGGAACTGGATAGGGAAAGGCGCGTTGCACAGAGATTTACATGAGAAGCGAGAACCAGACCTTTTACTTCATTTCTTCCTTTTTCCCCTTTATGCTTAATATTGCCTGTCGACAAGCACCTCTTGTACGAGATAGTTAGCTAGAATAGCGTACTCAAACCAAGCAGATTGGCACCGTCACACTGCCGCATTAATGTGTTGAAAACGACATATCTGAATCGAGGATGCCTTGCGAATCGACCATCACGGAATTTCATCAAATGCTTGATATAATCCTCAAACGATACTGTGCGTTGCCGGGGAGTTGTAAACTCCGCTTCACCACGAGGGAATAGAGTTGGGAATGCCCAAGAGAGTAATGGCTGGGTGCGGTTAAACTCTATAAGTGGTGTAGATCGGAATAGAGAAACTTCGAGATGAGCATGACCTGATTCTGGCTGGAGCTGGTCACGAATAGCAGTAAGTTCATCTCCCTGTGCTAAGAGATCTGGCACTGCGCTACGCTCAGGTAGCTCAATTTCCTTGGAAGTGTCATTAGGATCTATGTTGACAGGGTCGATGCTTTCATTAACAACTTGATCAGAAACGTCACTATCTTAAGGGAGGGCATCAATAGCTTCCTGGGAAATCTCAATATCACTGTACCCAGGATGATTGTGACGAAGAAAAGCCAATCATCTAACAACATTCTCCCGATAAACGCGGAAATCATGAATGAATTAACATTGTAATCTAGCATCATCAGAAGTATTAGCAGGACGTAGTAAAATCACTGGGGGCGGATAGCTGAAGTGGTAACAGTTGTCCTTGGAGCCTCCATTCGGTACCCATCTTCGCTGATTGACATGGCCGTAGGTTCGACTCCTACACCCCTCACCAAAACAATTACCACAAATTATCGTGGCAGCTGCAAGTGGGTGCTGCTGCCAAGGCTCGCGTGCTAGCGCATTATATCTAGCTACCGTGGGGCTTTGCCCTAAGAACCGCACCAATTCTCGGGAACCCTTTTAAAAACCATCCGACCCACCTACGGGACAGGACACCCGAGGCTAGCCTAGCTAGTGGTTAGTCCCTTATGGGGCAAGACTGTGACGGCCAATAAGTAGGCTGCGATGCCGATATTGGTAACTGGAAGCTCAGAAGTGGTTGGAGAGTGGGCGGTAGTGGAGCAATAGGAAAGATAAGGAACTATTGTATCTAGCTTGAGAGGACATATATTATTATTATTATTATTATTATTCAAGTTTATTGTCCGTACCCAGCCCTATTGGCTATGACAGACCTCTGGAAGCCTTGGTGAGACCCTACAGGCCTCACCCCTATCAGAATCCTACATACAAAAATTCAAAATAAATCACTATCTCGTCCCCATGTGGCCGATATGCCAGGGACCTTTGGGCACTCTCCCTAGGCTAATCCTTCCGGAGATCCCTTATAGTTCCAAACCCGTGGGCACACCTAATCAGTACAAACTCTGACTAGTGTGCCCTCACCCCTATTCATCCTCCAATGTGACACCTAGGCCACCTTCCTCCAACGTATCCCACCCCCACGCATCACTAGACTCAGCCTCGAGGCATCTTGTAGACACGTCCGTCTCTATGCCTGCCTTGTACAGCATTTATTTGGGCCCATTCAGATACTGCAGCTCTCCTTGCTTCCGTGCAAGCCCTTCTAACGTGCGCCAGAGATAGGTGCTCAAAACCAGGCGCGGTTTGTTTACTAGCTGCACGTTTAGCAGCTTGATCAGCCTGCTCATTCCCTTCAATCCCTGAGTGGCCTGGGACCCATTGTATTGTGACTGGTTGGCCTCTCAAGGCTAGTTTCTCAGCTGCCCTGTGAGCCCTAAGAACAAGGGCTTGCCCAGGGCCTGGCCTTGTCGATCTGAGGCGATCAATAGCATTCTGTGCGTCAAGTAACACCCAGATAGGACCAAGAGGTTGCCTCTCCAGTGCCCATTCAAGGGCTGTGGCTACTCCCACTAGTTCTGCGTCAAAGACCTCGTGTCCGTGGCCCATTGGCACTTCTACGTGTTCCCAGGGGCCTTCAGGTACAGCCTGTAAAGTGACACCGGCTCCTGCACGTCCTGTATCGAGTCTGGAGCCATCGGACCAAAACGTTGTTCTAGCACGCTGTTGATTAGCCTCTGTTAGGGCCTCTTCCTTGTCAAGTACTCGGATCGAGCCTGGGAAGCCTTGGAGCTCGCATTGTTCAGTTCTCTCAATTCCTCCAGAGGGGTCTCTGTTCAACCGTTGAGCAAGGTGCTTTGCAAGCCTTTGGCCGAGTCGATTTAGCACCTTGTTGTCTCTAGAGGCCCATTCCCGGTCGTCCAGTGGTTGCTCTCCAGGTTGTGCGTGAAGGTCACCATGTCTGAGGGTGACTGGAAGTATCTGCGCTGTAGGATGCGTGTCAGGCAGAGCTAGTAGCCTCGCTGTATATCGAGCTACTCTAGCGTCCAGTAAGACTGTCGCTGGCTCTAACGCTGCCTCTCTGATTAGGGCTCCGATTGGGGTTTTTGGGAACATGCCCGTAATACCTCTGGCTTGCTTATTGATTAGAATCTGGATCCTTTGTGCCCATGTTTTCTGGCCTTGCCACCATATCTCAGCACCCCACAGCAATTGGGCTTGCCTCTCTCCTGAGTATGTATGACGTGCACCTAACCAGTTGTCATAGCAGTTCACTATCCTCGTACGCCTCCCCTGTTCTAGCACGTCAACCACCATAAAATATGGATGGTTAGCTAGATCTGTACGCGCCTCCACCACTAATTCTCTCACTAAATCTCTCCGAATCGCTGTCACTACTCGAGCATGTTCTCGAGGACCCTCAGGCCAGTAGAACAGGAAGCCAGGATGGCTTATCTGGTATTTTCCACGTACTGGGGGTTCCTGGAGACAGGCTATCCCGGCACCAGCCTGTAGTGCTGCTTCTAGGGCTGTATGTACTACAGCGCCTGTACGGGCACAGTTATGTTGTAGTACTATCATAGATCCTCACTTTGAGGCGCTTCAGTGGCTGACTTGAGCTCTGGCTCTAGTGGTTGTTGGCTATTTCCCTCGTGAATATCAGCCTCTAATTGCATCTCAGGCAGCAATTCATCTTCTTCTGGAGTTGACGTCTCCTCCTCTAGAGACTGTCCAGGTCTCTCCTCCAAGGTCAGTACCGGTTTTGGAGGCACTACCGCGAATGTCTCATCTAATGGGATGAGGTCTTGTAAGGATTGTTCCCTCATTCTCCGGATAGCCCTTTGACGAGCCTCCCTAGCTTTAGGGCACTTAGGAGATGTAGCCTCGTGTGCACCTTTGCAGTTAGCGCACTTGATCACTGTGTGTTTGCAAGGTTTAGCTGGCCCAACCCTACAATCCACTACTGTACATGAGTGCTCTATTGCCTCATGATCACCTGCGCAGATCGCGCATTTAGGAGACCTGCCACCACAAGCCATGAAGCCAGAGTGGCCAATTCCGCAGCATCGAGGGCAGATACTCTCAGGATTTGACTCCCAATAAGGTGCTACTCGATGGTGTCGGCCTCCAAACTTGATGCCTTTATTGATCAGTGTTCGAGCTTCCTCCAAAGAACCTACTGTGATCACAATCGTGGCAAATCTCTGGTTGCTAGCCTGTATAGTCTTGGCTCTTTTGAGCCACGTTGGCTCTCGTTTAAGCCTATATGGTGTTCCCAGCTCAATCTCTTCTTGGGCTAGTGCTAGGCCTTGGTCATTATACATGTAGCGGCCCACAGGCACTGCCTGTACCTTAACACGGTGCCACTGTTCGCTAATCTCCACGGAAATAACTGCTGGATCTGTTTGCCTTACAGCGGCTAGTAGAGTATCGTTGTAGACGGGCACGAGGGTGCTGCTGCGAGTGCCTCGCTCTAGGAGCACTGTTAAGGCCCCTGAGGCCGCGTATCCAGAATCGACTGCTCTTACAAAGTCAGGAAAACCTGCCTTTGCAAGGGCACGGTTAAGGGCCAAGAGAACATCAGCTTTCAATGCGGTCGGAGCATCTTTAGGATATCGTCGTCTGAAGATGAGGCGTCTTTCCTCCTTGCTCCGGGTACTCACAGGCTTCCAGTCAGTTATCGATAGAGCCTTAGAGGGTGCTGAGGCCTGTTTCTTATACTGGACGGTTTTCCATCCTCCAGATTGGGTATTATTCGCGGCAATAGCGGCCCATTTCGTAGGTGCGGGCTTGGTCAGTGGCTTAGCGGTAGTTTCAGGCTGTTTGGTGGTCTGCGCGGCGGTTCCAAATACTTTTTTGGGGCCCTCAGGTGGCTGTACGGCTTGTTTCGTAGCCTTTGTTGGATTCTGATATCGCGGCTGCGGCTGAGGTGCGGTTGAGTTTATCGCGCGGCTCTCAGGCGCGGCATCTAGCTGTATTGGGGTGGACGCTAAACCTCCCGTGGAAGCGGCTCTTGGCGGTGGCCCGTGCGCCGCAACCTCACGCGTTGTGTCACAGGGGTCGAGTGGTAGGATTTGACGGCTTTGTAGCGCGTTCACGTAAGTCTCTAGGCTCTCTAGCCTAGCGTTGAGGGTGGTAATAAGACCCTGTTGCATGCTGATCACGTTTCTTGCGGTTGTAAGCTCGACGGAGAGCTGTTGGACAGCCTCTTGCGTTTGGCTGTTGAGATCCTCAATCAGGCTCATCACGAGGCTGTTCTCTATGGGAGCACTTGTTGCACGTATTGTGGCAAGTGTAATCTTTCTTTTTGGAGCTGCGTTCAATCCAGATCTAGTTATTGGGGTCCGAGATCCTATGGTCAGCCTAGAAGCCTTCCTTTTCTCGAGGGTCGTTCTTGGAGTCTGTTGCGTTTCTCCAGTCTGTCGTGGCTCTTGTAGAGTATCTCTATTATCCAAAGTAGGTTCTTTGGACTGATTCTGGCTGTCTTGAAGTCCTGCAAACAGTGCAGGGGCATTTAAAGGCAGCTGTTGCGGTTCCTGGGTGGGTGTCGAGAAATCGACCCCAGATCCAGGTCCCATGATTTCTGGATCCCCAGCGGCCCGTGGAGGCCTCTCTGGGTTTTCCATGAGGGTGTTTCGATGCAAAGAAGCCTGCAAAGGCCCTTGCAAAGCTCAATAGGCGTAGGAATAGGCGATCGATCTGGGCTTCGAATCCTTTGGTTACAATCCACTACTGTACATGAGTGCTCTCTCATATTGCCCTCTAGGAGTGTGATTAATGTGAACAGTTGGATGTATTTACCACTATCAACTCGACGACAGCGATCACAAACACCTTCTTTAAGTCGCATATTGAACTACTTTTCATCGCAACGCTCGCAGAGCTCTATTGTAGAATTGTCAAAGGTAGCATGAAACTTTTGAATCAAGGCCTAGTCGCTTTGGGTCAGAGTAGGTTGCGTAAGAGAATTGGGATTGCTAGGCGTATAAGGAGGATTAGATTGCTGAGCACTCGAAGCCTGCTCAGATTCCGGAGGGGGCTCAGTAGCTAATCGGAGGGCATGGCCAAGATTTCAGCAAGTCTATTATTATTATTATTATTAATCAAGTTTATTGTCCGTACCCAGCCCTACTGGCTATGACAGACCACTAGAAGCCTTGGTGACACCCTACTGGCCTCACCCCTATCAGAGTCATACATGCAAAATTCAAAAATCACTATCTCGTCCCCATATGGCCGATATGCCAGGGACCTTTGGGCACTCTCCCTAGGCTAATCCTTCCGGAGATCCCTTATAGTTCCAAACCCTAATCAAATAATAGATTTGTCTCTTTTCTAACTTTCTTTCAAGTAGTTTCTCAACTTCGTATTCTTCTTCATCTGCTTCTTCATCACTGTTTTCTGGGTTTTTTGTGGGTTCCAATAATGAGATATGAAATATTGGGTGTATGTGCATTCTGGCTGGTAATTGGAGTTTATAGTTATTATTAGCGAGTTTTTCCTTAATCGTGAATAGTCTAAATTTGACTATGTCGAGCTTGTTGCTTGGTCGCTTGCTCTTGATGTTAAAAGTTTTTGATCCTGGTATTCGTCGTAGTAAGTAAACTCTCTCTCCCACTTATAAGGCTGATGCGTCCTCGCGCTTACTGTCGTAGTATCGTTTCATTCTCTGCTCTGCCCACATAATATCTCTTGACATTGTCTTATGCATCAATTGTATATGAGCTGATTGAATTATTGCTTCTTCTGATATTCCTTCTCTTTTGACTGTCTCCTAACTCATTCTTGGTATTCTTCCGAGGTTGGCGAAATGAGGAATTTGTCCTGTTGATGCATTTGTAGCATTGTTTATTGCAAACTATGCTAGCGGTAATAGTTCTACCCAATTTTCCAGATTCCAATCAAGGTAATGTCTGAGGTATTGCTTAACTGCTTGAATCATTCTTTTAGTCTGTCCATCAGTCTGTTGATGATTTGCGGTTGATAGGTTGTGTGTCATTCCACATGTTCTTGTGATTGTCTGCTAGTAGTTTAATGTAAATAGCTTGTCTCTGTCGGATATAATCTTATCTAGTAGTCTGGTCCATGCAAATACTTCTTGTATCATTAGTATTGCGCATTGTTATGCTGTGAGATTCTTCTGTACTGGTCTCATAATGATATATTTTGTGAGTCTGTTAATAATAACAATTGCATCCGTATATGTAAGTCCTGTAATTGGATCTTTCAATGTTGGTAAACCTTGTATAAAGTCGACTGTAATCTTTTGCTATAGTTCTTCTGGTATTTCTGGAATCTGCATTTTTCCGTATGGTTTATGGTTAATTGGCTTGTTTCTGTTACAATATTCACATTTTCTTATATAGTCTTCAACGTGTTTTCTCATCCTTGGGAAATAGTAAGATAGCTGTATTTTTCTCATTGTTTGGTCGATTCCTTGGTGTCTATGTGCTGGTAGGTTGTGGTGCATCTTGATGATTTCAGTAATTATTGTCGATAGTACTAGTATTGATCCTTGCTATAAGGCTAATCCACTCTGTTTCTGTGCTTCTTTGTTTGCAATTGCTGTCGTAAGTATCTTGTCTTGTTGTGTTGCTTGGATCATATAGTTATGAAAGTCATGGTACATACTCAAAAATTCTCTTAACAGCGAGATCCTGATTTGACGACGAACCACGCTTATTGAGCTTTCCAAGGGCCTTTGCAGGCTTCTTAGCATCGAAAAACCCTCATGGAAAGTCCAGAGAGGCCTCCAGGGGCCACTGGAGATCCAGAAATCATAGGACCTGGATCTGGGGTTGATTCATCGACACCCTCCCAGGAACCGTCACAGCTACCTCCAACTACCCGTGCACTGTTTGCAGGACTTGGAGACTGTCAGAAACAGTCCAATGAACCTACTTTGAGCAACAGCGACGCTCTACAAGCGCCACGACAGACTGGAGAAGCCCAACAAGCCCCAGGAACGATCCTCGAGAAAAGGAAGGCCTCAAGGCTGACTATAGGATCTCGGACTCCTATAACTAGGTCTGGATTGAGCGCGGCTCCGAAGAGGAAGATTACACTTACCGCAATGCGTGCAGCGAGTGCTACTGCAGAGGATAGCCTCGTGATGGGCCTGATCGAGGACCTCAACGGCCATCTGCAAGAGGCGGTCCACCAGCTCTCCGCGGAGCTGACGACTGCCAGAAACGTGATCAATACCCAACAGGGCCTCATTACTACTCTCAACGCTAGGCTAGAGAGCCTTGAAACTTACGTGAACGCGCTACAAAGCCGTCAAATCCTACCACTCGACCCCTTCGCTGCAACGCGTGAGGTTGCGGCGCACGGGCCACCGCCAAGACCCGCTTCCACGGGAGGTTTAGCGTCCACCCCAATACAGCTAGATGCCGCGCCTGAGAGCCGCGCGATAAACTCAACCGCACCTCAGCCTCCACCGCGATATCAGAATCCAACAAAGGCTACGAAGCAAGCCATACAGCCACCTGAGGGCCCTAAAAAGGTACCTGGAACCGCCGCGAAGACCACTAAACAGCCCGAAACTACCGCTAAGCCACTGACCAAGCCCGCACCTACGAAATGGGCCGCTATTGCCGCGAATAACACCCAGTCTGGAGGATGGAAAACCGTCCAGTATAAGAAACAGGCCTTGGCACCCTCGAAGGCTCTGTCAACAACTAATTTGAAGCCCGTAAGTACCCGGAGTAAGGAGGAGAGGCGCCTAATCTTTAGACGACGATATCCTAAAGATGCTCCTACCGCATTGAAAGCCGATATCCTCTTAGCCCTTAACCGTGCCCTTGCTAAGGCAGGTTTTCCTGACTTTGTAAGAGCGGTCGATTCTGGATACGCGGCCTCAGGGGCCTTAACAGTGCTCCTAGAGCGAGGCACTCGCAGCAGCACCCTCGTGCCCGTCTACAACGATACTCTACTAGCCGCTGTAAGGCAAACAGATCCAGCAGTTATTTCCGTGGAGATTAGCGAACAGTGGCACCGTGTTAAGGTACAGGCAGTGCCTGTGGACCGCTACATGTATAATGACCAAGGCCTAGCACTAGCCCAAGAAGAGATTGAGCTGGGAACACCATATAGGCTTAAACGAGAGCCAACGTGGCTCAAGAGAGCCAAGACTATACAGGCTAGCAACCAGAGATTTGCCACGATTGTGATCACAGTAGGTTCTTTGGAGGAAGCTCGAACACTGATCAATAAAGGCATCAAGTTTGGAGGCCGACACCATCGAGTAGCACCTTATTGGGAGTCAAATCCTGAGAGTATCTGCCCTCGATGCTGCGGAATTGGCCACTCTGGCTTCATGGCTTGTGGTGGCAGGTCTCCTAAATGCGCGATCTGCGCAGGTGATCATGAGGCAATAGAGCACTCATGTACAGTAGTGGATTGTAGGGTTGGGCCAGCTAAACCTTGCAAACACACAGTGATCAAGTGCGCCAACTGCAAAGGTGCACACGAGGCTACATCTCCTAAGTGCCCTAAAGCTAGGGAGGCTCGTCAAAGGGCTATCCGGAGAATGAGGGAACAATCCTTACAAGACCTCATCCCATTAGATGAGACATTCGCGGTAGTGCCTCCAAAACCGGTACTGACCTTGGAGGAGAGACCTGGACAGTCTCTAGAGGAGGAGACGTCAACTCCAGAAGAAGATGAATTGCTGCCTGAGATGCAATTAGAGACTGATATTCACGAGGGAAATAGCCAACAACCACTAGAGCCAGAGCTCAAGTCAGCCACTGAAGCGCCTCAAAGTAAGGATCTATGATAGTACTACAACACAACTGTGCCCGTACAGGCGCTGTAGTACATACAGCCCTAGAAGTGGCACTACAGGCTGGTGCCGGGATAGCCTGTCTCCAGGAACCCCCAGTACGTGGAAAATACCAGATAAGCCATCCTGGCTTCCTGTTCTACTGGCCTGAGGGTCCTCGAGAACATGCTCGAGTAGTGACAGCGATTCGGAGAGATTTAGTGAGAGAATTAGTGGTGGAGGCGCGTACAGATCTAGCTAACCATCCATATTTTATGGTGGTTGACGTGCTAGAACAGGGGAGGCGTACGAGGATAGTGAACTGCTATGACAACTGGTTAGGTGCACGTCATACATACTCAGGAGAGAGCCTACTTACAAGAAGAGCCCTCACGGATCTTGATTGGGGACCAATTTTAGAGGGTCGATGCCTCATTCTTGGAGACTTCAACGCCCACAGCCCGATGTGGAATGTCCATATCGACCAGAGGGTTAACGCAAGATCCCTCGAGGATCTAATAATGAGGCATGACCTCTTTATTAATAACGACCCTGACGAGCCAACAAGGCCTCATAAGCTTAGAGATTCTACAGCATCATTTGAAACATCTACTGAGCCTAGGGTCTCAATTATTGATCTCACAATCAGTAGTCAAGCCCTTGGCCCTCTATCTGGATGGGAAATCGAAAGCCAGAGGCTCACGCCATCAGATCATGTTATGATCTGGGCTAGCTGGGAACCTCCAGCAACTACGAGTACAGAGCCCACAAGGAAAGAAGTCACAGGGTGGCAGATAGAGGCTCTACTAGGAGACAAAAAGGCTCTGCAGGAGGCAAAAGACACCTGGAACGAACTAGCAAGGACTCAACCAATACTAACAGACACAACCTCAACAGAGGAAGTGGAACGTGAAGCCGAGTGGATCGAGAGAACATTGACAGAGGTCCTGAACAAGCACTGCAAACAGATTAGGCTTTGTGCTCGATCTAAGCGGTGGTGGAACAGTGAGATTGAGGCAGAACGAAGCGTGTATTCCAAGGCTTGTAAGGCCTACCAAGCGGGTGAGATTAGCGACGAGGAGCATCGAGAAGCACGTAAGGGCTTCTATTCACTGATCAGGAGAGCTAAAAGAGAGTGCTGGGAGGGTTTCCTTCAGGGCACGTCTGAGGGCTCTCTGCCAGATCAGAAACGGTGCTGGACAGCCTTACGCTATACTAAACCACAAACACAAGGCACCACACCAGCCCTCACCAATGAGGCCTCAGGGGAGGTGATTGCAGCCACCTTTAGCGAGAAGGAGGAGGTTTTTAGACACCGTGCTTTTCCACAGGCTCCAAACAGTAACATGGAGTTACAGCTTCCTGAGCGAGGATCGGCCCACAAGCTGGTTAACGAGGAAGTTGTCAAGAATGCCCTCTTTAGCCAGGGACTAGAGAAAGCTCCAGGTACAGATTTACTGAACTTCAGGGCTATCAGGCTCTTATGGAATCTAGACTCAGAGCGTGTGGTTAGCCTGACTAGGCAGTGCCTTAGGCTTGGGATACATCCACGTGTCTGGAAAACAGCCAAGGGAGTTCTACTGAGAAAGAACGGTAAAACCAACTACACACTGGCTAGTGCGTATCGAGTGATAAGCCTATTGAAGTGCCTAGGCAAGGTAATTGAGAAGCTCGTAGCAGAGTTAATTACAAACTTTGCAGAGGCTCAAGACCTCTTCCATGATGGTCAATTTGGAGGCCGTCGGCAACGCAGTGCAATTGATGCTGTGGCATGTCTAGTTGAGGAGATCCATCAAGCTTGGGCAAATGGGAAGCTGGCTGCAGCTCTATTTATGGATATTGAGGGGGCCTTTGACCATGTCATCCTAGCAAAACTGGTAGAGGTGCTCAGAGAGGCTAGCGTGGATGGAGATCTTATACATTGGGTGATCTCATTTCTATCTGACCGGCGAGTCACTCTTGTGATTGATGGACACGTGGGAAAGGAAGTACCGATAAGCTCTGGGTTACCTCAGGGCTCTCCGGTGTCACCCATTCTCTTTGTTCTATACGTTCATGGGCTATCAAGAGCCATTGAGAGGAGTGTGCCGGAGGTTCGATGTCTATCCTTTGTGGACGACCAAGGCCTAGTAACAGCCGCAAGCTCAGTGAAGGAGGCTTGTAGGATCCTTGAGAAAGCCGCGGAAGTAGCCATCGAGTGGGGGGTGGCTAACGGGGTACAATTTGATCGCAAAAAGACTGAGGCCGCTTTCTTTTATAGACGACACAGACGTCAAGTGGCCCAAAACGTATCTCGAGCCCGGATCAGGGTTGGAGGCGAGTTGGCAACTGTCAAATCTACAGTACGGTGGCTAGGGATACTCCTAGATAACCAACTTACATGGAAGAGCCACTACAACGCTCGAATTAAGACAGCAAGAAATACGATAATCAGGTTAAACTCACTCTGCAGAGCTAATGGGTTACCTCCAGCATTAGTGAGGCGCATACAGAAGGCTACAGTGCAAGCCCAATTGCTATGGGGTGCCGAGATATGGTGGCAAGGCCAGAAAACATGGGCACAAAGATCCAGATTCTGATCAATAAGCAAGCCAGAGGTATTACGGGCATGTTCCCAAAAACCCCAATCGGAGCCCTAATCAGAGAGGCAGCGTTAGAGCCAGCGACAGTCTTACTGGACGCTAGAGTAGCTCGATATACAGCGAGGCTACTAGCTCTGCCTGACACGCATCCTACAGCGCAGATACTTCCAGTCACCCTCAGACATGGTGACCTTCACGCACAACCTGAGAGCACCACTGGACGACCGGGAATGGGCCTCTAGAGACAACAAGGTGCTAAATCGACTCGGCCAAAGGCTTGCAAAGCACTTGCTCAACGGTTGAACAGAGACCCCTCTGGAGGAATTGAGAGAACTGAACAATGCGAGCTCCAAGGCTTCCCAGGCTCGATCCGAGTACTTGACAAGGAAGAGGCCCTAACAGAGGCTAATCAACAGCGTGCTAGAACAACGTTTTGGTCCGATGGCTCCAGACTCGATACAGGACGTGCAGGAGCCGGTGTCACTTTACAGGCTGTACCTGAAGGCCCCTGGGAACACGTAGAAGTGCCAATGGGCCACGGACACGAGGTCTTTGACGCAGAACTAGTGGGAGTAGCCACAGCCCTTGAATGGGCACTGGAGAGGCAACCTCTTGGTCCTATCTGGGTGTTACTTGACGCACAGAATGCTATTGATCGCCTCAGATCGACAAGGCCAGGCCCTGGGCAAGCCCTTGTTCTTAGGGCTCACAGGGCAGCTGAGAAACTAGCCTTGAGAGGCCAACCAGTCACAATACAATGGGTCCCAGGCCACTCAGGGATTGAAGGGAATGAGCAGGCTGATCAAGCTGCTAAACGTGCAGCTAGTAAACAAACCGCGCCTGGTTTTGAGCACCTATCTTTAGCGCACGTTAGAAGGGCTTGCACGGAAGCAAGGAGAGCCGCAGTATCTGAATGGGCTCAAATCAATGCTGTACAAGGCAGGCATAGAGATGGACGTGTCTACAAGATGCCTCGAGGTTGGAACCTTGACCCAGTGGCAGGAAAAGCTCCGAAAAGATTGGCTAGTCGATACTACCAGTTAAAGACAGGACATGCTCCAATTGGTACCTATCTATACCGGATAGGCCAACGGGAATCACCTGAGTGTCAGGCCTGCAAGGAACCTCATGAGACAGTAAGGCATGTACTCTTTGAGTGCCGTGGACGTCGTGCAGGACGAAGAACTCTCTATCAAGCCCTCAAAAAAGCAGGCGTGCCACTGCCTACAGCGGCTGAGGAAAACCCCGAGGCTAGGCTATTTGCTGAGCCTAGAGCGACGCAGGGTTTGCTGCAATTCGTGGCTGAAGCCAACCTATTCAATGATAAGGAGCGGACAGCCAGAGAGGCTGAGTCTAGTGATGCGTGGGGGTGGGATACGTTGGAGGAAGGTGGCCTAGGTGTCACATTGGAGGATGAATAGGGGTGAGGGCACACTAGTCAGAGTTTGTACTGATTAGGTGTGCCCACGGGTTTGGAACTATAAGGGATCTCCGGAAGGATTAGCCTAGGGAGAGTGCCCAAAGGTCCCTGGCATATCGGCCACATGGGGACGAGATAGTGATTTATTTTGAATTTTTGTATGTAGGATTCTGATAGGGGTGATGCCGATAGGGCATCACCAAGGCTTCTGTCATAGCCAGTAGGGCTGGGTACGGACAATAAACTTGATTAATAATAATAATAATAATATGACTCTCTTACGGCTTTTCCAGAGGCTCGTGCAATGGCATATAAAGCTGAAAATGTTCAGAATGGCTTCAAAGCTACTGGATTAGTGCCATATAATCCAGATCATGTTTATGAAAAGTTTACAGTTCAACTTCGGACCCCGACACCCCCTCCTAGTCGATCAAGTAATTCACAATCTTCTTGCCAGTAAACGCCTCAAAATCCACGTCAATTCAACCGTCAGACGGCAACAATAAAGAAGCGTATTAATGATCGTACGATAGGTCCATTTGAGGTGGTTGATCAAGCGATAAACCGGCTGTCCAAAGCATACGAAATGAGCAGGAATGAGCTTCTGATTACACAGAAAGAGGTGCATGATTTACGAGCCGCAAATGAGAAGGAAAAGAAAAAACGTAAAAGGTCTAGAGCTCAGATATCTCATGAAGGATCTCTTACAGCGCAGGAAGCCCAGGAGCTAATAGGCAGTCGGAATGAGGCATCTCAACCTATCCCGACTGCACCTCTCAACCACGCCTACGAGCGCCACCGAAGTGCAGTGGGTGTGGAATTATCGGGCATAAAATTAATCGATGTCCAAATCGTACTACTAGTTAAAAAATTGTATTTATTTTGTATGTGGGTGAGAAATTCAAGTTTGAAATTCGTATAGAGCGCGTTTTCCGGAGAAAGTGATCGGGTGGGTGTCCGATTACGTTATTTCTCGCGATAATTAATAACAGGATCCTCCCAATCCTTGCCAGAAAAGAATTGAAGTTTGTTTTGTGGCGCAATTATTGTCCTAGAGATCACCAGGAACACTGTCTGTCATGTTATAATATTTGCGGAGCTTTTCTTCTGCTGCACAAAGAGCCTTGAGCATCAATTGCTTCCAAGGAACCTTTTTTCTTTGAAGCCGCTGGATAGATGCTTCAAGATGATCAAAAAGTTTATTGTAGATACTAAAGACGCTGTGGATAGTAACATCTTTAGTCTTTGAGAGAGCAGTTGTAAACTTGAAGAATGGTTGTGTAATCCAAAGGAGATACTCAATCTGTCGCCACTCCTCCTGATTAAGCATCAAGTGAGGAAGATCGTATTGTGAACAGAATTCATCGAGTCTGAACATCTTGAATTGGAACAAGTTTTGGCGAATTAGTCTGAAGGTTGCAGAATGCTTCCCTACGCTGAGGGCTAGCATTTATTATTATTATTATTATTAATCAAGTTTATTGTCTTCCAGAGATCCCTTAGTTCATTCCAATTAACTGATCTGCCCCTTAACGGGACCTCATGTCTTGGCACTCATGTGGTGTCTACGATTATGCGGATATCCGGCGCCGAACCCAGCCCAGCATGAGTGTTTCTCATTTTCTATATAAAGTTATATGAACAACAAAATCTTGTTGTCCTTTTCTCTTTCTCTCCTTATATTGTGTTTTCTATTCAAGTATGCCCTTATAGTGAGCATTAGGCGGGACTAGCCCATAACATAATATACTCTTAAGCTTACTAACTGACAGAGATAGACGTGTCTACAGGAACGATCCATTCACCGATTTCTTTACATTAAAGGGCCTTTGCAGGCTACTAAGCATCGACAAACCTCATGGCAAGTCCAGAGTGGCCCCCAGGAGCCACTGGTGACCCAGAAATCATGGGATCCGGATCTGGGGTCGATTCATCGACACCCACCCAGGAACCGCTACGGCTGCCTCAAACCACCCCTGCACCGATTATAGGACTTGGTGACAGCCAGGAACAGTCCAACGAACCAACTCTGGATAACTGCGACACTATACACGCGATACAACAGGCTGGAGAATCCCAACAGGCTCCAGGAATAACCATCGAGAAAAGGAAGGCCTCTAGGCTGAGTACGGGACCTAGGACTCCTATAGCTAGGTCTGGATTGAGCGCGGCTCCAAAGAAAAAGATTACACTTGCCGCAATGCGTGCAGTGAGCGCTCCTGCAGAGGATAGCCTCGTGATGAGCCTGATCGAGGACCTGAGGAGCCAGATGCAAGAGGTGGTCGACCAGCTCTCTGTCGAACTTACAACCGCTAAGAACGTGATCAACACGCAGTAGGGCCTTATTACAACCCTCAATACGAGGCTAGAGAGCCTAGAGACCTACGTTAACGCGCTACAAAGCCGTCAAATCCTACCACTCGACCCCTTCGCTGCAACGCGTGAGGTTGCGGCGCACGGGCCACCACCGAGAGCTGCGTCCACGGGAGGCTTAGCGCCCACCCCAATGCAGTCAGACGCCGCGCCTGAGAGCCGCGCGATAAACTCAACCGCACCTCAGCCTCCACCGCGATATCAGAATCCAACAAAGGCTACGAAACAAGCCGTACAGCCACCTGAGGCCCCAAAAAAGTACCTGGAACCGCCGCGAAGACCACCAAACAGCCCGAAACTACCGCTAAGCCACTGACCAAGCCCGCACCTACGAAATGGGCCGCTATTGCCGCGAATAACACCCAATCTGGAGGATGGAAAACCGTCCAGTATAAGAAACAGGCCTTGGCACCCTCGAAGGCTCTGTCGATAACTGATTTAAAACCCATAAGTACCCGGAGCAAGGAGGAGAGGCGCCTGATCTTTAGACGACGATATTGGAGTACAATTTGATCGCAAAAAGACTGAGGCTGCCTTCTTTTATAGACGACACAGACGTCCAGTGGCCCAAAACGTATCTCAAGCCCGGATCAGGGTTGGAGGCGAGTTGGCGACTGTCAAATCTACAGTACGGTGGCTCGGAATACTCCTAGACAGCCAACTTACATGGAAGAGCCACTACAACGCTCGAATTAAGACAGCAAGAAACACCATAATCCGGTTGAACTCACTCTGCAGAGCCAACGGGTTACCTCCAGCATTAGCAAGGCGCATACAGAAGGCTACAGTGCAAGCCCAGCTCCTTTGGGTTGCTGAGATTTGGTGGCAAGTAGACTTCCGCATAACCCAACTTGGGTCGAAGGTCTCGACCCAAAACCCAACCCGGACCCAATGCTGGGGCCCCAATAAACCCCATTAAGACCCAATGTGACCTAACTTTTGCATAACTTTGATCATAAAGCTGCTCAGTCATCAAAATAACATACTGTTTTTTACATCTGTTCTAGGTTATACCAACTATCACTATATGTTTGTGGTATAAGTCTCTTGAAAATCCACAAAATAACTTGAGATTCTTTTCGTCTAGACCCAGTTTATAACTAATTACCTATAAAAATGTTAAGATTAAGTAGGTTGGGGGAGCTGAACATGGAAGCTTGATATTCTGGCTAGTGATTGTAGAAATATATATTTACTAGATGCAGTAGCAGTAATACTTAAAGGATCTTCCTGGGCTGAAAGATACTACTCTAAAAGTGTCGGTTTATCCCGGTCCTAGATTAGCTTAAACGATTAGGGAAAGGGCTCTCCGACTGTACTACTAGGTGAAGCAAATAGTGGTGTTCCGCAGTTTTGTCGAACCGAACTCGATTCTGCCGGACAAAACCGATTACGGTTAGCGTATCCCAAAATAATCTAGCGCTGTACTATGCCTAAAATAATATTAAGTAAACCTCCGGAAGCTCAAATCCATATCAATTTACATGGCGTATATAAAGATTATAGATTAGAAGTTTATATTTTGACACCCTCACCGTTTAGCTATGGCGCTCGTGTTATCAAGAAGACAGAAAATACTTATAATTTTGATTATACTGCTAAGTTTACTGGCTGAGGACGAACATGCTGGTAGATTACCCCTTCGAGAATCCTATTATACACCATTCATATTCGATATTGATATGCTTAGCGATACGTGCCTACGAGAGAATATACGGTTTGGATATGCCTAAATCTAAAAATATTACAGTAGCTAACTCCGCGTTCTATTATTAGATTTGACCGGCAAGAATTCTGTCAAATTCTTCCTTATTTTGAGCTTCATACAATTTCATATACTGGACGAAGAACGCCGTCGCCCTCTATGGCTCTTGCAATATTGCTTGCACGCCTGTCTTACCCTCGACGAGTACGAGATCTTGAGATTTTTTTGGGCGCTCATTTGGCTATATAAGTACCATTTTTAATGACGTCTTACAACACCTTTATCGTCGGTACAAAAGGCTATTAGAGTGGCATCCTTTACTTACTCAAGAACGCTGTAAAGCGTACGCCCAAATCCTTGAAGCTCAGGGCGCTATTCCTAGGGGCTGGGGTTGTATTGATGGGACTTTTAGGGCGACATGTCGGCCATCTAAAAATCAACGTATTGCCTATTCAGGATATAAGAAACGCCATGGCTTCAAATATCAAGGAATCATCACACCAGATGGCATGGTTCTCTCACTAATTGGGCCCTTTGAGGGTAAGATTGCAGATTCGAATATATTCCAAATATCAAGAACAGACGAACGACTTGAGGCTATATAGCTGGCAATGAAAAACAGCTACTTTTATATGGAGATATTGGATATCAGGGATGTCCTTTTGTCCTAACACCATTTCCGAAGATTGGGGAATTATCTGCACGTCAAATCGAGATAAACGATAGGATAAGCGCTCACCGAATATCTGTAGAACAGATATTTGGGAAAGTTCAAAACCAGTGGCATGGAAATGCGCTTTATGCCAATAAAACAAGCCGTTGCTGCTTATTATGCTGTATCTATTTTACTCACTAATATAGCCTCATGTTTACGTGAGAATCTTGTGAGTAAAAGATATGGAATTGAGACACCTTCGTTAGAGGAATATCTTGGTGTTCTGGATAATGAGCCCTAACCCGTACGCTTTTCCCCTATCATTGAGATTAATTTATCGAGCTTCTCATCAAGATTTTTATACTGATTTTGAAGCTCTTTGACATCCCCAGAAAGCCGTTCCAATTCGCTTTTTTTTGCAACCGATTCAGGCTTTTTTGACGCTTGTCTATCCTCTTCTAATACGTCAACTAAGGCGAATATCGCTTCCTGGATAGACCGCTTTTTTGACGGCCGTGAGGCTGTAGCAGTCTTACGATATCTGGTACTTTCCTATTATCAGACCCAGTATCATCCTCAGACGGCTTAAGCTCCTCTGGCGCTTGCTTCTTGGATTTTTGCAAGCCTGTTGAGACCAGTTGGTCTCGATATGCAAGCACCAACTGCGAATTTTCCTTATATTTGTTTTTTTCTGCCAACTTCTCAGCCTCATCTTTCTCATATCCGTCAATAAAGTCGTTCCATTGATCGATAAGCTCGTCCAACTCAGATGTAGCCTCCGCCTCTCTACCAGTAACGTATTGAGCCAGGTATAAGCGCCGTTTCTTAGAGAGCCTCTCGATATGAGATTTGCACGATTTCCACGAATAAGAATGTCCAATAAGGCGCACAAATCTATCCTCAACAGCTTCCCAATATTCTCTCTTTGGTTTATAATCAAGTTTGAGGTCCAACGCGCATTTAAACAGCAGAGAAAGCTCTTCATCTTTGAGCGATCTCCCTCGCTTGTTATTCTTCACTTGAGATGCCGTATTTTGACTAATGGAAGCCTCATTCGAATCCGAGTCGTCAGTACTGTTATATGAAGTGGCTTGCGAATCGGTGGTACCCTGGGTATCGGTTGTAGGCTGCGAACGGACTGGCGGCGGTGGTGAGGAGGTTATTATAATAGATTCGGTGGCCTGCAGCGCTGCAGCTGCTATATTAGCAGCCAATTGGCTCTCATTCGAGGTTGAGATTTGCGAATCCATACATATACTTTTTGAAATTGCTTTATGGATATTGTGCTAGTAAAGATATGTATGTAACTAACATTTAAATTAATTCCAAGCTTACGTACCCCAACAGGCCAGAGGTTTAGTCACATGACTTAGCGTCTTGGCGAAAGTTCGACAAAATGTCGAACTTTTGCCAAGAAAATTATGTAATCAGTTTTCACCGCTTGCTCCTTTGAGAGGGCTGGGCGCCAAGCCGAGTTCGACAAAAGTTCGACACCCAGTGCGGAACACCACTAATGGAATAGATTTTGATTCCTACTACCCTACTTGATTTCTACAAAGGGGGGTGCCGGAGGTCTGGCAATATAACCTAGGGCTTTGTGCTTACCGCCCGGCAGTATATAGATTGCCTCATTGATTGCTTCAATGATTGCCTCATTAGAGGTCAGTTACCCCTGCGAGCTCCTTATACCGACGTAGATTGAAAATTTTCAAGGATCTGAAAGGGATGTTGGGGTGGGAATTGGGGGTTTTCTGGGTTACTTGGGTTATGACTGGGTTATTTGGGTTCTTACTGGGTTATTGCTGGGTTTTCTGGGTTAGACCCATAGAAAGGTGGATCTTATAAACTAATTAAACCCTATTAGATTTTGTCAAAAGCCTTCGTATTCTGAACTTGGTGACACCAGTTAACTAGTACAATTTGTATAAATTCTGTTGTCTGTCTGAATACATGAGGTTCTAAAGCTAGGTTCGTATAGATATTTTGGCGAGATGTGTAACAACTAGTAGACTTGGGGTGCGGGTGAGATTAGCGACGAGGAGCATCGAGAAGCACGTAAGGGCTTCTATTCACTGATCAGGAGAGCTAAAAGAGAGTGCTGGGAGGGTTTCCTTCAGGGCACGTCTGAGGGCTCTCTGCCAGATCAGAAACGGTGCTGGACAGCCTTACGCTATACTAAACCACAAACACAAGGCACCACACCAGCCCTCACCGATGAGGCCTCAGGGGAGGTGATTGCAGCCACCTTTAGCGAGAAGGAGGAGGTTTTTAGACACCGTGCTTTTCCACAGGCTCCAAACAGTAACATGGAGTTACAGCTTCCTGAGCGAGGATCGGCCCACAAGCTGGTTAACGAGGAAGTTGTCAAGAATGCCCTCTTTAGCCAGGGACTAGAGAAAGCTCCAGGTACAGATTTACTGAACTTCAGGGCTATCAGGCTCTTATGGAATCTAGATTCGGAGCGTGTGGTTAGCCTGACTAGGCAGTGCCTTAGGCTTGGGATACATCCACGTGTCTGGAAAACAGCCAAGGGAGTTCTACTGAGAAAGAACGGTAAAACCAACTACACACTGGCTAGTGCGTATCGAGTGATAAGCCTATTGAAGTGCCTAGGCAAGGTAATTGAGAAGCTCGTAGCAGAGTTAATTACAAACTTTGCAGAGGCTCAAGACCTCTTCCATGATGGTCAATTTGGAGGCCGTCGGCAACGCAGTGCAATTGATGCTGTGGCATGTCTAGTTGAGGAGATCCATCAAGCTTGGGCAAATAGAAAGTTAGCTGCAGCTCTATTTATGGATATTGAGGGGGCCTTTGACCATGTCATCCTAGCAAAACTGGTAGAGGTACTCAGAGAGGCTAGCGTGGATGGAGATCTTATACATTGGGTGATCTCATTTCTATCTGACCGGCGAGTCACTCTTGTGATTGATGGACACGTGGGAAAGGAAGTACCGATAAGCTCTGGGTTACCTCAGGGCTCTCCGGTGTCACCCATTCTCTTTGTTCTATACGTTCATGGGCTATCAAGAGCCATTGAGAGGAGTGTGCCGGAGGTTCGATGTCTATCCTTTGTGGACGACCAAGGCCTAGTAACAGCCGCAAGCTCAGTGAAGGAGGCTTGTAGGATCCTCGAGAAAGCCGCGGAAGTAGCTATCGAGTGGGGGGTGGCTAACGGGGTACAATTTGATCGCAAAAAGACTGAGGCCGCTTTCTTTTATAGACGACACAGACGTCAAGTGGCCCAAAACGTATCTCGAGCCCGGATCAGGGTTGGAGGCGAGTCGGCAACTGTCAAATCTACAGTACGGTGGCTAGGGATACTCCTAGATAACCAACTTACATGGAAGAGCCACTACAACGCTCGAATTAAGACAGCAAGAAATACGATAATCAGGTTAAACTCACTCTGCAGAGCTAATGGGTTACCTCCAGCATTAGTGAGGCGCATACAGAAGGCTACAGTGCAAGCCCAATTGCTATGGGGTGCCGAGATATGGTGGCAAGGCCAGAAAACATGGGCACAAAGGATCCAGATTCTGATCAATAAGCAAGCCAGAGGTATTACGGGCATGTTCCCAAAAACCCCAATCGGAGCCCTAATCAGAGAGGCAGCGTTAGAGCCAGCGACAGTCTTACTGGACGCTAGAGTAGCTCGATATACAGCGAGGCTACTAGCTCTGCCTGACACGCATCCTACAGCGCAGATACTTCCAGTCACCCTCAGACATGGTGACCTTCACGCACAGCCTGGAGAGCAACCACTGGACGACCGGGAATGGGCCTCTAGAGACAACAAGATGCTAAATCGACTCGGCCAAAGGCTTGCAAAGCACCTTGCTCAACGGTTGAACAGAGACCCCTCTGGAGGAATTGAGAGAACTGAACAATGCGAGCTCCAAGGCTTCCCAGGCTCGATCCGAGTACTTGACAAGGAAGAGGCCCTAACAGAGGCTAATCAACAGCGTGCTGGAACAACGTTTTGGTCCGATGGCTCCAGACTCGATACAGGACGTGCAGGAGCCGGTGTCACTTTACAGGCTGTACCTGAAGGCCCCTGGGAACACGTAGAAGTGCCAATGGGCCACGGACACGAGGTCTTTGACGCAGAACTAGTGGGAGTAGCCACAGCCCTTGAATGGGCACTGGAGAGGCAACCTCTTGGTCCTATCTGGGTGTTACTTGACGCACAGAATGCTATTGATCGCCTCAGATCGACAAGGCCAGGCCCTGGGCAAGCCCTTGTTCTTAGGGCTCACAGGGCAGCTGAGAAACTAGCCTTGAGAGGCCAGCCAGTCACAATACAATGGGTCCCAGGCCACTCAGGGATTGAAGGGAATGAGCAGGCTGATCAAGCTGCTAAACGTGCAGCTAGTAAACAAACCGCGCCTGGTTTTGAGCACCTATCTCTGGCGCACGTTAGAAGGGCTTGCACGGAAGCAAGGAGAGCTGCAGTATCTGAATGGGCTCAAATCAATGCTGTACAAGGCAGGCATAGAGACGGACGTGTCTACAAGATGCCTCGAGGTTGGAACCTTGACCCAGTGGCAGGAAAAGCTCCAAAAAGAGTGGCTAGTCGTTACTACCAGTTAAAGACAGGACATGCTCCAATTGGCACCTATCTATACCGGATAGGCCAACGGGAATCGCCTGAGTGTCAGGCCTGCAAGGAACCTCATGAGACAGTAAGGCATGTACTCTTTGAGTGCCGTGGACGTCGTGCAGGACGAAGAACTCTCTATCAAGCCCTCAAAAAAGCAGGCGTGCCACTGCCTACAGCGGCTGAGGAAGACCCCGAGGCTAGGCTATTTGCTGAGCCTAGGGCGACGCAGGGTTTGCTGCAATTCGTGGCTGAAGCCAACCTATTCAATGATAATGAGCGGACAGCCAGAGAGGCTGAGATTAGTGATGTGTGGGGATGGGATACGTTGGAGGAAGGTGGCCCAGGTGTCACATTGGAGGATGGGTAGGGATAAGGGCACACTAGTCAGGGTTTGTACGGACTAGGCGTGCCCACGGGTTTGGAACTATAAGGGATCTCCGGAAGGATTAGCCTAGGGAGAGTGCCCAAAGGTCCCTGGCATATCGGCCATATGGGGACGAGATAGTGATTTTTGAATTTTGCATGTATGACTCTGATAGGGGTGAGGCCAGTAGGGTGTCACCAAGGCTTCTAGTGGTCTGTCATAGCCAGTAGGGCTGGGTATAGACAATAAACTTGATTAATAATAATAATAATAGTAGACTTGGGGTTCTCACTGTTCCAAGGAATACTACTGTGACGTCTCAAGTCGAGTTTCAGGGGCACTAGATGAAGTTTTATGCGTTTGAGGATGGCTTTTGGATTCTATAGCTGGTTGGAAATCCCAGATCATCTAAAAAATACCATTCTGTCTAACAGATTCATACATTACCTTTCTATATTGCATTTGCTTATTTTACTCCCTACTTTTAAGGTCGATTTACTTTCTATTATCCCTAAATATAATTACTTTATGAGTATCTATCTTCTTCCTTACCTTCTAAGGTATCTACCAGGCTGATTAATTATGTCGCAAAGTCAGCTCTGACTTCGCATCCTCCTTTTATAATGGTAACATAGATAATCATAGCTATCTAACATCATCAAACCACCTGGCTACTCCATCTACTAGTCAATATGCACTAGACATCTCCGACCAAGACTTTCTCCGACCAAATATTCCTCTAGCAATCCCCTCTTTCTTCACACGCGTTAGACCTGACCGAAGGAAGGCCTTTCTTCTCTATGATAGAATGGCGCATAATGACTGGGTGGATTGGTGGCTTCAGACCAATTTTGGGAGAAAGAGCAAGATTAACTGGGATTCGACGCGACATGCAGAGATTTAGGGCCATTATCACCAGGTTGCTCATAGTATAGATGGTGTGACGCTGGCCAATACCTTGCATTTGTTGCTAACTAGGTGAGCCTATCTACGAAGAATAACAAGCATGAAGAAGGAAAGAAGAAGAAAAAAAACACAGCGCCCCTCTACGCACAGCTCCTTCATATGATCCTTTGTGTGGACGGAACTTCCCAATACAGTACCGCTCCCAATATAGCATTGCTTAGGGCTCAAGCCCTATCTTGAGATAGCGGGAAAAGCCTCCTAGGATGACACTGTACGGAAGGCTCCGTCGCCAAGCCGTAGAGCTGTCAAGCCGCAGGGCTGGCTGTCACAGATGGTGCGCTAAAGGTCATGTGTCAACGCTGTGGAGCTATTCTTGAGCACCCCTATACTATCAACTCAAAGACAAAGGGCAAGATACAATATCATGGCACATCAACAATGCAGAAGCAGCTTAAGATAGCAGGGTATTTAAAGAGTGAACGAGGGAAGAGAGCAGAGATAACTGAATTTCTTAAGAATAGTGTATGTTCTTATATTCTTACAGATTTCTCTTTTAATACTTACTCCTAGTTGTGTCTACTTTGCTAACTTAATTTATATACTAATATTAGAGAGAATCTTCTACTAATATATCTTTCTCGCAAGAAGCTTGGGAAGAAGATATCTTACAGTTCCTTATACTTAATCGACTTCCATTTCATCTTATTATTATTATTCAAGTTTATTGTCCGTACCCAGCCCTATTGGCTATGACAGACCTCTGGAAGCCTTGGTGAGACCCTCCAGGCCTCACCCCTATCAGAATCCTACATACAAAAATTCAAAATAAATCACTATCTCGTCCCCATGTGGCCGATATGCCAGGGACCTTTGGGCACTCTCCCTAGGCTAATCCTTCCGGAGATCCCTTATAGTTCCAAACCCGTGGGCACACCTAATCAGTACAAACTCTGACTAGTGTGCCCTCACCCCTATTCATCCTCCAATGTGACACCTAGGCCACCTTCCTCCAACGTATCCCACCCTCACGCATCACTAGACTCAGCCTCTCTGGCTGTCCGCTCCTTATCATTGAATAGGTTGGCTTCAGCCACGAATTGCAGCAAGCCCTGCGTCGCTCTAGGCTCAGCAAATAGCCTAGCCTCGGGGTTTTCCTCAGCCGCTGTAGGCAGTGGCACGCCTGCTTTTTTGAGGGCATGATAGAGAGTTCTTCGTCCTGCACGACGTCCACGGCACTCAAAGAGTACATGCCTTACTGTCTCATGAGGTTCCTTGCAGGCCTGACACTCAGGCGATTCCCGTTGGCCTATCCGGTATAGATAGGTGCCAATTGGAGCATGTCCTGTCTTTAACTGGTAGTAACGACTAGCCACTCTTTTTGGAGCTTTTCCTGCCACTGGGTCAAGGTTCCAACCTCGAGGCATCTTGTAGACACGTCCGTCTCTATGCCTGCCTTGTACAGCATTTATTTGGGCCCATTCAGATACTGCAGCTCTCCTTGCTTCCGTGCAAGCCCTTCTAACGTGCGCCAGAGATAGGTGCTCAAAACCAGGCGCGGTTTGTTTACTAGCTGCACGTTTAGCAGCTTGATCAGCCTGCTCATTCCCTTCAATCCCTGAGTGGCCTGGGACCCATTGTATTGTGACTGGTTGGCCTCTCAAGGCTAGTTTCTCAGCTGCCCTGTGAGCCCTAAGAACAAGGGCTTGCCCAGGGCCTGGCCTTGTCGATCTGAGGCGATCAATAGCATTCTGTGCGTCAAGTAACACCCAGATAGGACCAAGAGGTTGCCTCTCCAGTGCCCATTCAAGGGCTGTGGCTACTCCCACTAGTTCTGCGTCAAAGACCTCGTGTCCGTGGCCCATTGGCACTTCTACGTGTTCCCAGGGGCTACTAACTACTTAATAGATACTATTCATATTGCGCCTCTTGCATTCTGGAAAGAGCATCAAACTCGCTTTCTAGCAATTGCTGCCCTTGCGCGGAATATACTCTCCTTTCCTGCAACAGACGTGGGAGTTGAACGGCTCTTTAATACTGCTCGGGATGTCTGCCATTATCATCAAGGGAGAATAAAGTTGCAGACAATTGAAGAATTAATGATGTTTCTTTGCACTTCAAGGTTTGATATAGAATAGCAGGAGGCAAAGCTTCTGGAGAAGTTCTTCTCCTATGAGGAAATGGAATCTGCAAAGGATGAAAAGCTTGACAAGATTGAGATAGATCTAATTAGTGATACTGAAGAGCAGTATACTATAATTGATGATGAGATAGGGCTAGACGAGATAGGCGAGGCAGATGAAGTAGGTGAAGCCCAGATACCACTGCCTAGGAACAACACCCAGGTACGGGTCTCAGGACGGAAGCGCAAGAGTCGAGATGACGATATCTTTGAGTATCATTAGTTAGTGTTAGCACGTCAATATCAAGCCTTATAATAACTGACCTTCAATGAGGCGATCATTGAAGCGATCAAGTATACAGCTGGGCGGTGAGCACACTGCTCTATAGCGCTGAACTCCCGGCACCCCTTTCTTAGAAATCAAGCAGAATATTAGGAATCAAAACAGATTCCATTATGCTTCACTTTATTGGACCGCCCTTTCTTCAAATCTATTGAGCTGATCTAGGACGGGGATAAACCAATAGTTAGATTTCAGCTGGAGATAGAAATATATTATACTTTGCCTTCTGATTCTTTGATATTCTTTAGTCTTTCTTGTTCTTGCTTCTCTTGATTTAGCTGTAAAGAAAATACTGAATATTACAGACAAAAAATGCATAATTTATATAGTCACGGGCCTTAGCATATATGTTACGTTTGTAACCCAAGTTGGGGCCCCGGACCCAGGCTGGGTCACCCAAGTATAACCCGGACCCAAAGCTGGGTCAGAGTCTTCGACCCAAAACCCAACCCAGCCCGGGTTGGGTCCGGGTTGGGTCCGGGTTATATTGGGTCATGCGGAAGTCTAGTGGCAAGGCCAGAAAGCGTGGGCACAAAGGGTCCAGGTCTTAATTAATAAGCAAGCCAGAGCTATCACGGGCATATTTCCAAAGACCCCAATCGGAGCTCTAATCAGAGAGACAGCGTTAGAGCCAGCGACAGCCTTACTGGACGCTAGAGTGGCTCAATATACAGCAAGACTACTGACACTGCCTGACACGCATCCTACAGCGCAGATACTTCCAGTAACCCTTAGATATGGTGACCTCCACGCACAACCTGGAGAGCAACCGCTAGACGACCGTGAGTGGGCCTCTAGAGATAACAAGGTGCCGAATCGACTCAGCCAAAGGCTTGCAAAGCACCTCGCTCAACGGCTGAGCAGAGACCCCTCGGGAGGAATCGAAAGGACTAAACAATGCGAGCTTAAAGGCTTCCCAGGCTCGATCCGAGTCCTTGACAATGAAGAGGCCCTAACGGAGGCTAATCAACAGCGCCCTGGAATGACGTTTTGGTCCGATGGCTCTAGACTCGATACAGGACGTGCCGGCGCCGGTGTCGCTTTACAAGCTGTACCTGGAGGCCCCTGGGAACACGTCGAAGTGCCAATGGGCCACGGACACGAGGTGTTTGACGCGGAACTAATGGGAGTAGCTACAGCACTTGAATGGGCACTTGAGAGGCAACCTCTCGGTCCTATCTGGGTGTTCCTTGACGCGCAGAATGCTATTGATCGCCTCAGATCGACAAGACCAGCCCCTGGGCAAGCCCTTGTTCTTAGGGCTCACAGGGCAGTGGAGAAGCTAGCCATGAGAGATCAGCTAGTAACAATACAATGGGTTCCGGGCCACTCAGGAGTGGTAGGGAATGAACAGACTGATCAAGCTGCTAAACGCGCAGCTAGTAAACCAACCGCGCCTGGTTTTGAGCAGCTGCAGTATCTGAATGGGCTCAGTATATTTCGGATAGCTTATAACGAACTGAAGTTATAAGGCTTCTAAGTACGAAAGGCTTCTTGAAAGCAAAGTCTTAACAAAAAAGATGAATATCCGGTTCGATAGAAGAACGTATACTCAAGTTATCACAGTTAATTCAAGACGGTAAAATAAAACTAGATACATGGTAAATGAGTGTCCTTATATATTCATCCGTCGATATATCCATGATACAACATATTTTGTCGGTGATCTCTTTGATTGTATCGTTGCTCTCATATATTGTATCGCCGATACAATATATCTAGTCACTGATTAGTTCCCAGTTCCGGTAATCCCGTGACACGCATATTCTTGGGCTAACTTCTTCGGGTAAGTGTGATAGTTTATCCATTGGCTGTGACGTTCTGATTCTGACAACTAAAAGATTTCGAACTGAATGTTATTATGTCCTAACTAATGAGAATCCTAAGCTTGGGAAGAGAGAGGAAAAGAAGAAGGGAAGGTCTAAGCTACAGGCAAGTTGATATGATCTCGCAAAAAAAAAAAACCTCGCGCACCTATGAAAACGCACCCACGCAGGTAAAAAGTACTGCTGGAAAGAATCTCAGTGAAAATAGACCTCCTTGACAGTCTATTTACCAACTTTCGCCTGCTCAATCGACGTGGTTGAAGCATGGGCCCGAAAAGAGGTAAAAAGGGCACTCCGTGGCCAGAACCACGGTTTGCAGATGACCCTGATATACGCGCATATGTAGCTGCAGCCATCAAAGATCTCGAGGCACTGAAGAAGCACCAAGAAGCACTGGAGATTGGCATGCCCCGTGAGCTCTCTACTTCCGTGGTTGACGCGTTCTTATACCTGGCTCGAAGGGTGAAGAATACGCCTACGAATGAGCAACTAGCGCAGCGGCTCGCGAAGGTCGAATTACACGTGGAAAAGACGCAGAAAGAGGTATCTCAGGCCTCTCGAGAGATTACTACGACCAAAAGCAACACGAACCGCCTGGTGGAGGCAATATGCCACCCAACATCCCCAGGGACACGTACCGCGAAAAATTCTCCAAGCTTCAGTCACGTGACAACTAGCTCAGAGTCGTACGTACAGGCCTGGGGACGTAAGGTGCCCTCGAACCCTCCCACGGTCCCTAGCGTGGGATTGAGTAGTGGAGGAAGCTTGCCATCAACCCCATATCCAAGCCAGGAGGACCTAGAGGTCTATCTGGAACATACCGATCCAAATATCCTCAACCCGATACGTCGATTCCCGGATAAGGTGGTGGAGAAGGCAAATCTCGCAATACGCAGCACTCAAGACACCACCATCGCACATCGACGAATTGCGGCAGCCCGTATACTACCTAGTGGCGATATTATACTCTTACTAGGCACAGTGGACGACGTCGACCAGCTTACCCGCAAGAAGGACTGGATTAGGGCATTCGGAAACGAAGCACGTATACGAAAACGTACATGGGGCGTCGTCGTACACGGCGTCAACACGAATATCAACCCCAAACAGCCTCAATTCATAACCACGCTTACCTCAGAGAACGCCCCGGTGTTCGCGCAGCTTCCAGCCTCTATGAATGTCACACACACGGGCTGGCTCCTAAGCGAGTATAAGATCAAGGAACAGAAGCTCACAAATGCCCACCTTGTAGTCATATTTGATGATGAAAGGATTGCTAATTTTGCAATCCAACGCGGCCTTATTATTAAGGGAAGACAGCACAATGTCTCAATATACGACAAAGCAGCCAATCTCCAGCAGTGCTTCAAGTGTCAGATGTATAAACATATCGCCAGGCACTGTCAGCGCCAGATCTGCTGCGCGTACTGCGCTGGATCTCATGATACAGGGGATTGCCCTACACCGAAAGAGAAAGAATACGCTAAATGTGCTAATTGCACCGCAGAAAATGTCCATATCAAAGATCCTGCCAAGAGACTCAATACGAAACACTTTGCGTACGCGAGGGAGTGCCCGATACGAGCTACATGCCTCGCAGAGGCACATCAACGACGTACATACGGCCCACAATATCACACTCCTGTGATACGACCTGGCAATAGTCAGCCCGGAGCCATCTCACCAAATGACCCTACACCAGCTGAAGCAGCCAATACAGAGCGAAGTCCTCGCGCACCGGCTCGTACAGCCACCACACGTCGATCTGCCAACTCAAGAAGTAAGAGCGCAGCAGCCGCCCGAAAACGAGTGGCAGAACGATCTGAGCCCGAGCCGATAAGCCCTACATCAGGTGACCCTACCAATAGATCCTCGAAAAAGCCTATGAGAGCGCAGTGGGATAAAGATCTAGTTATAGATGCAGATCCTAATCCTGAACCTAAGACAGGACCTGAGACCCAGATCAAATATACATATAACACACGTGCACGTCAGAATACGAAGCCTCCACCAGGAACCCCGGTTCTGCAATCAGATATTGCTCCACTAGAAATTTCACATGTGCAAGCTGTTAGGACTGTCCGCCGAAGTAAGAGTGTGCGTACGATCCCAGACGATGACTCATCTGAGGATGAACTTACCCAGCCATCAATCCACGAAGCCCCTCAGGATCCAATCGAGCCAGCTCAGGAGGCTGATACGCTAATGACCACGAACCTTGAAGACAGCACCTGGGCTAACAATCAGTAATGTATCGTAACACCAATCGACTACAAATCCTGCAGGCTAACTGCTGGAAATCGCGGGACGAGGTCCAGATGCATCTCTTTGGTGAGAGCGAGGTGCAAAATTACGATATCCTGGCTATCCAGGAACCCTACATCAACAAACATACCGACCCACTAACAACATACTCACTAGCGCTCAAGGGCAGCTTCCATATCCTACTGCAGCCCACACCCAAGGAAGAATACAAGAAACGCCCACGAGTCTGTTTCTACGTCAATAGAGGGCTAGATCCAGCCACATGGGAGGTCCAATACCATAATAGAGATCTGAGCACATTGACACTTCATACAGCCGCCCATGGAACCATCCATATTCACAATGTATACAATCCAGGAGTCAATAGTAACGAGGAATCTGTAATTAGCGCCCTGCAAACCGCCATGGCACCTAGGGCGCAGCATATTGTATTGGGGGACTTCAACCGACATCACCCGCTGTGGGCGGGCCCGCGGTACCGACACGTTGACGAGGAGGCCACTGAATTGATTAATCTTATGGATGAGCATGGGCTCGAGCAGCTCTTGCCACCAGGCACGATCACGTACGAGAGGGTTAACGCCAAATCTACAATTGATCTGGTGTGGGCATCGCACAATCTAGCCAACCGGGTAGTGAGCTGCGACACCAAGCCAGAGTGGTGGTACGGAGCAGATCATGTCCCAATCTCCACTCAATTTGACCTTACAGCTATACGTGTTCCTCCATTGGTTCGCAAGCAGTGGAATGCAACAGATTGGGACCTCTTCCTTAAACTGATGGACATATACAATTGGCACCCAAGGGAGCTCAATGACAATGAGGCGATCAATGAGGCGATCCGCTATCTAGTTGAGGCAATCAATCAGGCAGCTGAGCAAGCGACACCTACAAAACAGATCAGCATCTACTCACGAGCGGGCTACACCCCAGAGATGGCGAAGCTTAAACACCACGTATCTAGGTGTAGACGACACGCACGTCGTATAAATACAGATCAGGCATGGGAGGACTACGCAGAGGCTAGGAAAGAGATGAAACGGCGCACCAATGAGCTCGCACGAGATCTACATCGCCAACGAATTGAGCAGGCAACAGAGTCAATAGATGGATTCTGGAGAATTGCCCGTTGGGTCCGCAATAGGGGCAAACCACGTGCCACGTTTACCCCAACGTTACACTACAATAACACGAGTTACACAGCCCCAAAGGAGAAAGCAGCCCTATTCCGAGAGGTCCTCCACCCAGAGCCCCCGGAGGCAGATCTGTCAGATATTGGGCCACAATATAGATATCCCAAACCGTATACGATGCCACCAATCACGTTAGACGAAGTCCGAACGGCAGTAACCAACGTGAAGCCCGACAAAGCACCAGGGCCAGATGGAATCCCCAATCTGGTCCTACAAAGGCTGCTCCCTACTATCGAGGCCTATCTCGTTAATCTCTTTAATGCATGTCTACGTCAACAATACTGCCCTGACCATTTCCGAAAGTCGACAACAGTCATCCTTCGCAAGCCTGGAAAGCCTGATTACTCTGATCCAAAGGCGTACCGCCCAATAGCGTTACTGAGCACGATTGGCAAAGCACTAGAATCAGTGTTAGCCAGACGTCTCAGCTATCTAGTGGAGCAATATAATCTTTTACCAAAGCAACATATTGGAGGACGTCGCGGCCGCTCATGCGAACTAGCAATCCATCTCTTACTAGAAGAGACCCATAGTGCGTGGAGAGAGGGCTCACGAGTAGCCTCAGGGCTTGCACTTGACGCGGCAGGGGCTTTTGACAACGTCAATCATATAAGGCTGATACACGACCTACGAAAGCGCCAGGTGCCAGATGACCTGATTGGCTGGATTGAGAGCTTTCTAAGCAATCGCCGCACGTCAATCACACTCCTAGAGGGCAATATGGGGGAATTTCTAGTCAATACAGGCATTCCGCAGGGCTCCCCATTGTCACCAATCCTATTCCTATTCTTTAATGCAGATCTTATTGAGCAGATACTCGCCGAGTGCCCGGACGTGATTGTACTTGGATATATTGACGACATCTTCATTATGACATACGGGACCTCCGCCGCAGCCAACTGCCACACACTCACCAAAGTACACCAGGTTGCAGAGCGCTGGGAGAGGACACATGCCTCTAAATTTGCGCCTGCCAAATATCAACTTACCCACTTTTGGCGGAAGCACCAAATGGTGCCTAAGCCGAGTGGTAGGCTGGATGTACCTCTCATAATCAAGGGAGTAGAAATTAAGCCTACGGACTCAATCAAATATCTAGGAGTTTATCTGGATACCCACCTCACTGGGGAAGTGCACGTACAGGAGATGAGAAAGAAGGCTGCAAAACTGGTGGCGGGATTAAGCTCAATCGCAGGATCGACATGGGGAACGCCCCTGGTTCATCTAAGGAAGATATACACGGCTGTCCTCCAACCACAGATCATGTACGCGTGCTCCACGTGGTATATACGAGGTGGAAGAGGGTTCACCGGTGCGCAGCGAGCTGCAGAGCAAGCCATCCGATCGATCCAGGATCAGGCTCTTCACCAGATATCCGGCGCGTTCAAACGTACGTCACGACAGGCCCTAGAGGTCTGTCTCCATGTACCACCTGCAGAGCTCACGCTCGCAAAGCTGGCTGAGGAGGCCTGCCTGCGGATCATGACCTCACCACTTCGATCTACGCTTTACCAAATACGTGGCCAAGCCCACTGTAACGACCCATACACGTCGCCACTTCATCGATTGGAAACAGCCATCGACCGCAAACTGGGGAGTGATACTAGCCAACGCATCGAGACAATCTACCCCTTTGTAGTGCCACCGTGGTGGGAGCCACCAGAAGCAAGGATTGACGATACCCGTGAGGAGGCTATCAAGGCTATTGAAGCAATCTCAGGAACAGATACAACAATACAGTTCTTTACCGATGGGAGCGGCTTTGACAATGGGATTGGGGCAGCGGTCTACTCATCAATAGGACAGGCTTATAAGCCAGTAGGCTCATCTGACACACATACTGTTTATGCAGGGGAACTGGAGGGAATCGATGCGGCATTGGAAATCCTACTCCGAAGCCAGCCATGCGACGACAACCCACACGAAGCCACAATCTACACAGATAATCAAGCCGCAATACGCGCCACGTGCTAGCCAGGGCGGTCCTCTGGGCAGTATATCCTTCGACGGATCGTACGACACCTGGGCCTCCTACGCGACAACCGATCTCGATGGCGTGTGTACGACTACAGTGGGTGCCAGGCCACGAAGGGGTCCCAGGCAACGAGAAAGCAGACCAGCTGGCAAAGTTGGCTGCAGTCGAGGCGACACGGCGTACACAGGAGAACGCCCGCATAGCCAGGATCAGCGCACCCAATCAGACTACACCACACGCCGCACGAATGTCGTATATTCCAAATCAGTCAACTATCCTTATGGCAGTGTGTCGCCAGAGGCTACATGCAGGCTTTGCAAAGAGGTGGAAGGAACAGTGGGAGCATGCCAACCATGGACGGCATCTCTATCGGATAATCAAAGCACCAACGAAGATGGTGTTGCAGCTGCACGAGGGATTACGACGGGCTTGGAGTTCAGTGTTAATCCAACTACAAACAGGTAAATCAGCGCTACGCAGCTTCCTAGCGAGTGTACGGATTGAAGACTCACCTCAATGCGAATGTGGCCTTGGGGATCAGGATACGGCCCACGTCCTCATACGGTGTCCTACCCATATAAACCTGCGTATGGAGACTCTCTGGAAAGAAGCACGCGAAACAGATTATCGGAAGCTCCTTAGCGAACCTCAGTGGGTTCGGCAGAGTATTGAATTTATGATGCGGACTGGTCTATTGACGCAGTTCCATCACGTAACCCCCTTAACAACCACGCGCTCACAGTGAGTGCGACACTACCCTGATGAAGAGTAACCATGTTGATTCGGCTTGGACGGATCAGCCACTTGACACGTTTGGAAATAGAACCGGGCACCAAAACATAAATATCACGTCACCCCGCACCGAGATCCTTCACTCATTTTGTATATATACACATTTCCTTTGTTGGTTCGGCGTTCTGTTCGCTCGTTATCTGTTGTTGGTGGTCTTCGGATCTGGATACGGATACGTGTCGAGACTTTCGCGTGGAGTTGACTAAGTCAGCGTCAAGCCGGAAGCGTCTTGGCACGTTGACGTTGATTTATGCTTTTATACGGTAGTACGCCCGCTGCCCAATTAGAAGGCGCCGCCGGCCACTAGGCTTAGATGCGTGTATGAATCAATCAATCAATCAATCAATCAATCAATCATATGATCTCGCAATTCTGCCATTCTAGACCGCTTTCCCCATAAGGTCTTATAGTAGTAGTAGTAGTAGATTTGATATACCTGCTGTAGCTAGCCACGGTCTAAAGAGCCGCTATCCAGGTGTGTGCCTAAGCCTGCAGGCACCAAGAGATCCGCAGCACAGCCATGGGTAGTGCGCCATAGGGGCGCGCCACAGAGAACGGAAGCTAAGGAAACAAGACTAACGAATGCAAACATATCAAACACATAACCAATTCGCTTCAAAACCACATATCCTCATATCTTACCACCCACACATCTTCGCACTCTCATAACATACAAACTGTACGGTTTTCTCACATTCCAACAATCTCATAGAACCCACGAATCTCACCCTTCGCAAATCCGACCCTTATGTCCCCTACTAACATCCCCGTTGGCTGGATCCGAATCCCTCGATCCAAGGCTCGTGTTCGTGTCAATATTGGTCATTACTAACAACGAGGCTGACCTGGAGCGCACGTCATCTTCGTGTGCATTCGTACGTGTTCCCACGTCAGTGTCCTTGTCGTTTGCAAGCCCTGATTGAGCTGCTGTTTCTGCGCTTTTATACATGCTTACTACTTCCGGATCCACCCCACGGAATTGATCTAACACTTGCGTATCAATGATAAACCGTGCGATTGCGACTGCAGCTGTCTTTTCGCTGAGCAGCTTTTGCAAATCGGTCGTACGGTGGAATCCATAAGCGCACGTTCATCTACATACAGTGGGCATTCCATGAGGATATGCTTCACGGATTGGCCAGATAGCCCGCACGCGCAGTACGGATGTTCTCACTTGTTGATTCTCCAGAGATAGTGGGGATTTGTTTGATTGTTTTGTATACTTTATTTTCTTAGCTTCCGTTCTGTGGCACTCGTGCGCTCCTACAGTCCACCACCCCGTGGCTGTGCCACGATTTTCTTGGTGCCTGCAGGCTTCGGCACACACCTGGATAGTAGCTCTTAGACCGTGGCTAGCTACAGCAGGTATACCAAATCTACTACTACTACTACTAGAAATATAGCGCATGTCTTTTTAACGCAGTGGAATCCACATCTCCATTGTTCAGATCAAATCCTTATCATCAAGATTTAGCCTGGTAATTAATCCTTCGCTTCTAACAAGAGTTACTACCTATCTCGGTTGTTTACACGTAGGCAAAACCTCCAGAAGCTATCTCCAAGAGTCATTTACTGTATACTTCGCCCCAGTACATCCATTACCCACTGTGTAAGACCGATTGGGATCACTCTCCCAGACCACTGAGCCGTCCTTCTCTTTCTTCATGAATTTGTATTGAAACGTGGATCCAACAGGAAGATCAAGTGATACACTCCAGACTGGATTTGTTGAAGTATACTGAGTCGAAGCAAGAGGTACCGCATTTGCCGAATTCCAGTTTCCAAGCTGAGGAATGGATCCCGCAATGAAAATATTCTCCCCATACGACGTTGTCACTAGCTCATTGAAAGTTATTGGAAGTGATGTGGCCGACACGCAGCTGCTCGTTGTGCTCGATGCTAGGCTCATCGTAGTAGTCAAAGTTGTACTTGAGGGAGTGCCGGAGGAAGTGCCGCAAAGCCCGCTTCCCGTTACCCATGAGGCGGGAACAAGGACTCGAGGAAGACCCGAAGTCATTGGGACGGGGATGTTGCCATTGGAGTCGACTTTGACAGACGAGCAAGTGTACACCTCTATCAGTTGGGCGCCGGAGTTGTAACCTTGGTTGGCCAGTTCGAGTGTGTATGAGGCCCCGTTAGAGCCGGAATTAGAAAGGACGGTGATAACTTGGGAGCCACTAGAGCCTTTGCGCATTGCAATAGTATTGCTATCCGTATAAAACGCGTTATTCTGTAACAAGGCTTTATTAACGTGCCAGGAGAGGAACGCTGTCGATGTACATACCCGTGTAGTGAGATAGCTGGAATCTTTGGATATGGCAAGGTTTCGAATCTTGTTGGCGGTGGTAATGAACTTATATAGCTCGGAGTCAGTTGCGTAGCCTGAGAGCCAAATAGCTTCACGATTGTAGGGGTCATTGCCCCCGGTATAGTGTTGTTCCTGGCCGGAGTAGATAGTGGGTATGCCATCTGCAAAGAAGACATAGGCAATAACGCTCTTCGCCTGGGACATATCCGAAGTGTAGCTACAACGGTTAATAGGTTATCTTTCAGGAGTCTGTGGTACAGTACCTAGGAAAACGAGGATTGTCATGATTTTCAATAAAGCTTCCTAGCAATGATGGGTCTTTGCAATCAGATGAAACAGTGTTAATCATATTGACCAGGTCGCTGATGCTCCCACTGGAGGACTTGAATGCATTGAGGAGAGGATAGTAACTAGTTTCATTCAGTCAGTAGGAGGCTAGATAAACTATGGTGATGGCTCACATCGGGTAGTTGAAAACTCCGTCAACATATCCCTGGTAAGGACAGGTATAAGCAGGATCTCCATGAAGAACTTCCCCAACCGTGTACACTCCAGCAGCCTCGCGGTACCCAGTCCAGAAATCCTTCTCAACATGCTTGACAGTATCAATACGAAGGCCGTCCACTACTCCATATTAACCCCATACCTTGCACTGGCAACGCTGAGAAAAGTTGACTGGACTTACCAGTATAGTTGGCTACAAGATCCTTAACCCAACTGTACCAAATGTTGCGCACCTGATTGCTTTGCGTGTATAAATCAGTCAGAGAGACGGTATCGTCTCCCAACCAGCAATTTTCTACTTGATTCTGGTCGTCGTAGTTGCTGATGGGACAGTAAGAATGGAAGTAAGAGGCCGAGTTGAAGGGTGTAAAAACACTGAAGTCAGTTGAGGCACCAGGTCCGTTATAACCCTATTCTTCAAGTGTTAGGTTCCCGGAGACGGGTAAGGGGGACCGTTAACGTCGTACCATATGATTTGCAACAACATCAATCATCAGGTACATTCCTTTGTCATGCAAGGCCTTCGACAGCGCCCGGATATCATCAGCTGTACCAAAGTTTGAGTTGACGCTATATCTATTGTCGTTGTCAAACGCTAGAAACAAGCGGTGTAACAAGATCCTTGGGCACATACATATCCTGTTGCCAGTAACCATGGTATCCAGATCCCTCACTCGTCGCTTGTGGGATTTGCTTCGTGATCGGCGTGATCCAAACAGCAGTGAATCCCATGCCTTGAATATAATCCAACTACGAAAGTTAGGGGCCGCGGTATGTTTCATGACTAAAGAGTAAGGTTGGGGTAACATACATGGTCGATTATACCTTGCCAACTACCGCCACAGTAAGCCTACAGCCCCATCTTAGCGCTTGGATTTGGATACCTGAAGGAACATATACTTACCCTCTGGCTGAGGTCACAGGGAGCAGAGGTTGAGCCATCTGTTCGTGCAAATCTGTCCGTCAGAAGAAAATAGATAGACTGACTACGCCATTCAGCTGCACTTAGTGCGTCCACGATCTTCCCAAATAAGGGTAAGGTCGTCGCTAAGAGTGAAAGCTTCATCTTCCTAGCTTAAGGACAGAACAGTTCAAGCAAGGTCCTAGGTGATGACATGAGATGCCCATCATGAAGACAGTGCTTGGTTCTTATATAGGTGCCATCACTCAGGCGTGTTCACCGATTAGCGCACATTTGCATACCAGAACGTTGCGGAGATGAGCAGAGTTGACAGGCTCGGCATCTGAAGACACGAAATGTATATTTGCATATTGCTAAGGGCTTGGTATACCCGGTGTGTTGCCATCAATGTTGGCTCCAGCAAGGTACTTTCTATGAGTTCTCACAGATGAATATGCCGGCAACTCGGCATCGTGGCTGAATAGAGTAAGAGCCTCAGAACAATTACCGAAATCACTCCGCATGAAGTAGGATTTTCAGCCAGAGAGAATCTGCAGAAATATTCCACTCAGCATTCAGATCGCTTTCCGTCATCCAATGATTCCAGCGGTCAATTTGCCTAGCGCCGGCACTTAGTCCAGTCCAGGCTGAAGATTATATGCCGGAGTAATTATGGGGAGGCCTCGGGCAGTCACCGGAGAAATCAGCCTATCATGAAAGTGTCGATTGATTAACAAGATTCTGGATTTACAACAATCCGAAAACCTAGCTAATGAGTGTTTGCCCCATCTGGGAACATACCCGCACGCTGTAGGAAAAGATAAAAGCTTAAGCGTCATCAAGCAAGTGTAGGAGTAAACAGTTTTAGGCTGCCATAAGCTCCACCGGATCACGAGCACTTCACTCTGGGACTCAAACCAGATTCTTGAAAGAACCAGCGCCCCAGATACCCATAATCGCCTTGGCGGCTGTATCTGATCTCATGTTTTCGGATCAGAAGACACAAGCTGTTACTATCTGTACAGAAATGACAGTAGACCGACTTGGTGGGCAATAAAATACAAACAGTTGTTGATGATCGACTCGAGGCCCCAGCGTGGCCTTGGTCATGTTGAGTGGCTGGACTGGACGTGAGTATAAATAAAATATATGGTCACATTCAACCACGAGTTGCAATACAAGTCTGCCTAAGTATGAACTTTGCCGATCATAATGTCAGAACCACTCCGGACGTTCTCAGATCCTGCGCTGGCCCTGGAGGCTTTTGAAATTGCTATATCCACAACAACGAGTACTAGCCAGGGTGCCCAGTACACAATTCCCTCCTCATCCACCAGTGGACGGAATTTCATTGCCAACATCGACGATCCGTAACCTGTCAATGCGCAGGATGCCTGCGCTGGCTACAGTGCATCTGATGTTCGGAAAACCGACTCCGCGTTTACTGCATCTCTCAAGGTTACTGGAACGCCCTGCAATGTTTATGGTATCGATGTTGAAAACCTGAAATTTACCGTTAGCTATCAGATTGGGGTTTGAATGTCGAAATTATTCCTGCCGATATTGAATATTCCCAGTCAACATGGTATATCCTTCCGGATAGTCTCGTTCCCAAACATCGAGGCGAGAAAGGCATGTGCGTCGAAAAGAGTGAGCTCGCTGTCACCTGGTCCAACGAACCGAATTTCAACTTCCAGGTGGTTCGGAAAGAGACGGAGACGTTTTATTCGACACGGCCAGGTCAAAACTGATTTATGAAAACCAATCTATTGAGTCCATCACTGTCTTGCCAGAAGATTACAACCTATACGGTCTCGGAGACCGGATTCAGGGATTGCGGAGTCCGGATAAAGCGACCCTGACTACATATGCCGCAGAATTGCCGGCCCATTTGCCAGGTAAAGTCATTCCAGAATTCAAGCGGAAATTTGATTCCTATTGGATTTTTGCTAAATCCTTGTCATCACTAGTAACCTGTACGGCGCTCATCCTTTCTACCTCGATACATGCATGGTAGCGTGAAGTGTCCGGTGACAAACTGCGTCACCCTGTCAAAAGTAGCGAAGCTCCTAGCCCCCAAAAACATGTCTCCTACTCTCACGGGGCGTTTCTTAGAAACGCTCATGGCCAGGAGGTAAAACTTCAGTCGCGAGTCTGCATGGCGTACGATTGGCGGTAGCATCGATCTGTACTTCTACGCTGGGCCCTCTGCCACTGAAGTGACCCAAAGCTACCTAAGTAGCACCGTCGGTCTGCCGGCAATGCAGCAATATTCCACTCTCGGTTAGCATCAATGCCGCTGGGGGTATCGTAAATGGACTGAACTAGAGGAAGTGGTAGCAAATTTTGATAAGTTCAATATACCTCTAGAGACCATTTGGTAGGAGCAAAACCCGGCCGGAAACACCCATCATGTTGCATAACAATAGCTAATCTCCTCCGACAGGACCGATATTGATTATTGAAGGGATATCGTAACTTTGAGAATGACCCAGTTCGCTTCTCATATGAAGAACGCAAGGCATTCCTAGACAGATTGCACCAGTCTGGCCAACATTACGTGTCTATTTTCGACACTGGAATATATGTTCCCAACCCTAACAACTTGTCTGATGCGTAAGTTTCATGGCTCGTGACTTTTCCTTTCCCAGTCTGCAAACGAAGCTAATGAGTAATCAGATACGCGCCATATGACCAGGATACCGAGCTTTACATCTGGCTCAAGAATCCTGATGGCAGCACGTATATTGGCTCTTGTTGGCCTGGTTATACAGTCTTCACCGATTTTCACCATCCTGAGGCCGGTTTTGGGGAAATGAGCTGGTACAATGCCATGAAAACGTAGAATTTGACGGAATCTGAATGGATATGAATGAAGCTTCCTCCTGCGTTGATAGCTGTGGTTCCGACTCTGTTCATTGAACCCTGCTGTCCACGTTTCAAATTGCCTGGCGATCCAAAATACCTTATTTTCGATTACCCGGAAGGTTTCAACATTACCAACACTGCTAAGGCTGCCTCTGCATCTGCAGCATCCTCAAGCCAAGATGCAGCAAATTCCGCCACGTAATCACCGTCGCCCACTACCACCGCAGCGTACCTGTAAACTACCCCGACTGCTGGTACTCGGAACATCAATTGGCCACCATATATTCTCAATAATGTTCAAACGGGGCACGATCTTGCCGTTCATGCCGTTCATGCCGTCTCTCCTAACGCTACACATGTTGACGGTACTGCGGAGTATGATGTCCATTCATTGTATGGCCATCAAACAATCAATGCGACATACCAGGGTTTACTCGCGATAAACCCGAACAAACGTCTATTCATTATCGGTCGCTCGACATTTGCTGGATCTGGCAAGTGGCCTGGTCATTGGGGTGGCGATAACTACGCGAGGTGGGCATACATGTACTATTCATTCCATCCCACAGACACTTCAATTCTCACTCTACGGGATTCCCATGTTTGGAGTCGATACATGTGGCTTTGACGGTAACACAGACGAATAACTGTGCAACAGGTGGATGCAGCTGTCTGCATTCTTCCCCTTTTACCGGAATCATAATCGCCTAGCTGCCGATCCCCAGGAGCCGTATCGTTGGTCCTCAGTTATCAAGGCATCGCAGGATGCTATGTCAATTCGCGATGCGTTGTTGCCATATTTCTACACCCTGTTGCAACGGGCTTACACCACTGGCTCAGCCATCATGCGGGCTTTGGCCTGGGAGTTTCCCAACGATCCCTCTCTTGCCTCAGTGGAAACTCAATTTCTGCTTAGTCCTGCTCTTATGTTTGTTCCAGTTCTGGAACCATCTGCCAGTACTGTCAATGGAGTTTTCCCTGGTGTGGACCATGGAGAGAAGTGGTATGATTGGTATACCCAGACGGCTGTGGATTACGCACAGCCAGGTGTGAATACCACCATCGATGCGCCACTCGTCCACATTCCGGTCTTCATCCGCAGCGGCAATGTCATCCCCATACAGCAGCCGGCACTGACCACCCGAGAGGCGCGAAATACTCTATGGTCATTGATTGTAGCGCTTCTTGAGAAGGGCAATGCTTCGGGATGTCTCTATATGGATGACGGAGAGTCATTCAATCCTAAAGCGAGCCTTTACGTTGATCTTACCGCATCCAAATCGAAAGTGATTGCTATATCATCCGGGTCCTGGACTGAAAGGAATGGCTTGGACAAAGTGATGATTCTGGGCGTCAATCACGCCCCTAATAATATCCGTTTTGATGGCACCAATATCAGCGAGTCTGCTCAATACAACTCTACCTCCCATGTTCTAACCATTGCTAGCTTGCAGCATAAGACCGGACACGGTGCGTGGCATGACGATTGGGTGCTGGAATGGTGATTTTAATCCTCTATCCGGTGTAGCGTAGAGGAGCAGTATCTTTTTTTGTTCCATTCTCCGAAGTCATGAATCATTATAAGACCACGGAACTCTATCCCAATGTTCATCTAGATGCTATACGTGGTCCCGGAGTAAATTAATTAATGATGTAGCTGAGCGAGATGGAAAGGTGATTGCGTTATATTTTAGGGTCCAACCACTGTGAGTGACCCGGGCATTGGTGTACAGATGCAGTGAGAAACATGCTCAGTCACGCCGAGAGATAAACCAGGTGACCTTCCAATCTACATTCCGGGCACGGTAGACACCCAAGCTAATGGCAATAACGATGCTATGCCCAGTTACACTAGGCAAAAGGACACAACAAAACCCTTATACAGCAGATTTAGGAGCAATAGCAGCAGCACTAGAATTCCTTCCAGTTGGGACATGCCACAGGTGGATCACTCTCTTTAGCAGCAACAAATCTACCCTTGCAGCAATTGGCCAACCTCGTCAACAGTCCGGCGAAAGGATCATCTAACGGATACATAAACTGGTTCAGACCTTGCAGAGAATAGATATGAATGGAAACGACGAGCAAGAGCTGGAGCACATAGATCAATGAGAACAGAATGACAACCAGGAAAACAGCCGTTCCAAGCCAAAACATCGGCCTTTAGAATCGCCATCGCCGCAAGATGCCAGGACTGGATCCTTCCAGAAGGCATTGGAAAATACTCAAAAGCTATTGACACTGCGCTCCCGGGAAAGCATGTGAAAAGCCTATATGGTGGACGGAATTAAAAACAGCAAAAACTCTAGTCCAGCTCCGGACAAAAATGACAAGGCTCAACAACTACTTAAATAAGATAGGCGCAGTACACTCGGATCTCTGTGCCTGCGGCCAAGCAAGCGAGACAATAGAACACTTTCTATTCCGCTACACGAGGTGGATATCATTGAGAGCCTTCATGGATCAATCCACAAAATCAAATTGAGGCATCTATCCTTCTTTCTTGGTGGAAAATTACGTTCAGACTTAGACCGATGGCAGCTAGATATGGAGACTGTCCACGCAACAATCACCTTTGCAATGGCAACAAGAAGATTGGAACCGGAGCTAGAATCCGAACTTCAACCAACCCAATGACTCCCTCCCTTTTTCCCTTCCCAGGTAGACCTTGCTGCAGCCGCCGAAGATAGGATATTGCACACCTGGAGAAAAATAACTTTTAAGGCCATCTACCAGGTAACACTTTTAATAAGGAAACCCCTATACCATCACCGACAAGATTGAAGACTCCAAACACCAAGTACCGAGTTACAAGATCAAAAATATGGGCTATCGCGAGTTCAGGCCAGAAATGTGAGAAAGATTATGCAATTAGAGCACTATTAACTTAACTACTTCCCTACCTATAATGTAACTAGTGGTTAGTCCCTCCGGGCGTAATAAACTTCATTCATTCATTCATTCTACATTCCGGTCGGCCTTTTGATCTTTACAAATCAACTGTACTTTAAAGTAGCATTCTCCGGAACCTCGGAGTAAGATTGTTATAGTGACACTATAGATAATTGCTAATTTTACACGGCGAAGAATGAACATAGATATAAACAGGTTCGAACGTCGAGGGAAAGCGAAAAGTGGACAGCGATACGCGTCGCTCTAAGCCCTAAGCCCTGAGTTACCCGTTCCGCTACCCAAATTTTGTCATCTTGAGACACTATTCCGAATCCGGTATTCCAACTGCCTGGTTATCTCAATCGGTAGAGTGTCAGACTCTTATCCTTGAGGCATCTGAACGTTGCGGGTTCGAGCCCCGCATCGGGCTGTTAACTTTTTTCCCCCTTTTTTTGCCTTATGTTCTACGTATGCCTCTTCCCCATACACTCAAGTCCATCGGCCTCTCTACCGAGCGTCTTTCCGCTTCGACCACCGAAGGCAAACATTCTTATGAAAGGGACATGTTTTTGTCGCCCTAGACCCAAATATGGCGAAGAGGGGGGAGGACTTAGCTGGTCAGGTTGTCCAGGCTGAAGGATTGTGAGACAAGAAAATGCATGTATTTTGGTAACCTGTGCTATCCTTGTCTTTCCCTCCAGAACATCTGTGTCTTCATATATGTTACTCCAACATGTTTGTAAATTATAGTCCCTTGCGCAAATGATTCCTTCTGGCGATAAGATACGGTCTTCGCTATATACTATATACATGGACATTTCCGTGATTACCGGTGTGGAAGCAATGGCTTCCACTTATCCATTGCAGGATCCATTCCATCGAGCAGATTCGTCGACGCGTGCATTGCTGTGGCGCTTCGTGCTGGTGGCTGCGGCGAAATATGTTCACGTGTTTCCCATGTTGAAGGTCGCGGAGGTAAACGAGGCTTAGGCTCCCAAGTACCGCCGCCAGTGACGCCAGCAGCGTCGTGTTGAGCCTCTTTGGTCATTGTTGAGTTTGAAGGCTTTTCTTGACTTAGTGCAGCTGTCTTGCGTGGTCGCTGTGGTTTAGTCACCGCACTATCTGCAGCTTCTGTCATAGAGTGCTCTCGTAAATCTGCAATATCAAGTAACATTTGAGGGTTAACCCAATCATGTTCATCACTTTCAGCGAACGGATTTGGTTTCCCAACAATATTCGGCACTTTTCCTTGCATAGACGGTGCAATACCCGAACGAGCCCCGGAGCCTGTATTCACAATCAGCGAACTGCACGGCCTGGTGAATTGTAAAAGCAACCTTACCGTTGTCAAGCCACCATTTATGACGATCCGAACTTGGCGGAGGTAGTCCCTGAGAATTGGCAAAAGAGCGCGAAGCTTCGTCATCGTTTTCCAGGAGATCACCACTAGTCATCATGGCTCCAAATTCGACACGATGCTGATCATATAGTACTCGATTGAGCTTGTCTTTCTGGACCTCGTTAACAATGCTAATTGTACAGTCAAACAAGGACGAAACAGGCCGATGGTCTGATGTCTTTAGATCGGCTGCTGCATAATCTATTTGCTTAAGGCAACCTCCTTTCCATAACACCCGATCACACCACGCTGGTATACGCGCTTTGTCTCTGTCAATGCATTAGCGCAAGTCCTTGCATATATGTCATTTCCACTCACGAGGTATCGTAGTTGTCGGTTCCCAGGTCGTACTTATATGTCGGAGGGAACCTTATCAGCCCTTCAGAATAGAACGGGAACGTTCTTCCTGCCAGCATTTGTAGATTCAACTAGACCAAAAATTAGAACAGAGTTTTGGAAACTAGAACGCGCATTTCTCGGCTCAGCATACCTGATCATGATCATATAATCTGCTAAATTCATTTTTCTTTATCAGTTGTCGCACTTCTTGATTCTCGAGGCCAATGCGATAATTAAAGTCACCTAGCCAGATAATAGCATCATGATCTTCAATACTCCTATTGTATCGGAACCTCAGGCCACCGCTAATTGTCGCATAGTCTCTGTTCCTTTCATCATAATTTGCAAACCCTGCAGCAAGATGGGCGGTTACCAAGCATATTTTGGTATTTGAGTACTCGAGACGTATCGCGCAACCTCCCTTATTCCCTGCCATCCCTGAAAGGCCAGTCTGTAGGTCACAATTAGCATGTGGAGTGAATACTTGAACTGCATGACTCACCTTTTTCACACTACCCTCTACGTTTTTGATATCACTGAGGGCGTCTTCTCGCACATAAACGAGGAGGGCAGCACCGACAAGTTGGCCGCTTCTTAGCAACACATATCTATTATTTCCCATGCGATCCGCATAATCATTGAGGCAATTCTTGACCGAATTCTCCCATGTCATTCGCGGTCTTGGATCAGTTGACATGATCTGCTGGGGACTGAGTTCCACTATTTCCTGAAACGCAACAACGACCAAAGCTGGGTTGTCACCACCCTTTTCACGCATCCATAGGAGCCATGGTGAAAGATCTGTCGTAGTACCGTCGCCCTTCCCGTTGACATTGAAAGTACCCACCCAGATTCTGATGTTTTTCGATGATGTATATTCATCAGCTCGACGCTCAAGTTCTGCCGTGACGATGTCATTAATGGGGTCGTAAAGTTCCACGGGTACTTGGTTACTCAGTCGGCCGAGTAAAATATCAATGGTATTCTGTCGGGCCTTGTCGGCGAAGTTATTGACGTAAAGGCGAGTGGCACTTTTGCGAGCATCTGCAAAAGCACCAGCTAACGACATCTTACCATGTCTTGTGAATGATGATTTGAGAGCGCCAGTGCCGGCATAAACTTTGGATAGCGCGTCTCCATTATCGGCCCATAGAGTTGAATGTCTCATTCGAATTTCAGGTACCATAACACCTCCCCTTTGGTGAAGATACATTTCCAGAGCCATTGAACTGATGATTGTCTGTACAAGATTGGTCCTGTCAAGACAGTCAAGACAGTTGGTTCTAAAAACGCCCTCTTGCTGTAGGATCACCCGGGACACTTCCTGATTGCGACGAGAGGGAGATGACTTTTCGTTGGTGTTGGTTTCACGTAAAGCGTACCCAAATCCATCAAGAGCGCTCTTCAGAATCTCATATATTTGGCTGCTCACCTCATATCCGAGTGGGCCCCTTGCTTCTGCGTGGAAATCAAAATCGGTCATTCGTAGTAGATAATGATCAAATGACATCGTTGACTCATCTTGATGTGCAGCGGATCTCTTTGCAACGTGCTTACGAAACTCCGACGATAAACTCAACTCACTGCTCTTCGCATCACTTAAAAGATTCACAATATGAACAGCGCCATAGTTCAGTTCCAGAAAATCAAAATGCCTATCGAAAGCATGCTGTGTGGCCTCGAATGAGCGAGAAATTTCAATCTTCTGTTGACCAGGAATGAGGCCTGGTGTCTGTTCCCAAAAGATAGGTACAGAGCCTCGCACTTGCGCGTAAGAGAATGTAAAGCCTGGTGGACTCCATAAAATCGTTTCGGTCTCTACAAAGTTTGCAACATTTCCATCGTCATCGATTCCACGAGAATTGAACCTGGTGCCGGCGCGACGAGAAGACAAACGTGATATTACAGTCAAGCTTGACGGTAGATTTGAAGCCAAATGCGATATTCGAAGTCCAGCGGCTGGTATTGCCAATGTTCCCGCAAATCCTCTTATGACCGATGTCAGAATGCGAGAATTATCAAGTTTTTCCCGCTCGTGCGTTGATAGACGGCTGCGAAAGAGCAACAAAGGGTCTATCATGTAGGAATTCCAAAGCATGTCTTGGTTCAAGCCCTCGATACCAATGACGGATGAGCCAGTCGACCTGAGCTTTAAGTAAGCATGAGTTAACGCGAGAAAAGCAAGCGTGACACTTACCGGTCCTGTACCCGCTCAGTAAGATTGAAATCACGGCTATAGTAGAAGCTGCCGTCACTGAATAATTTCTTCAGTGCAATAAACGGGTGGTCGGTGATTACGTCTTTGATATCATGAAGATCATCTGAGCCGATGTCTTCCGTTGCAAAACGCGATGAAGCTTGGTACTCCTCCCCATATTCATAATCTGCACGGTTAAGACAGTCTACGCGAGAATTAGTTGTTTTCTATCTTGCACATAGTTTCAGTGAAGAGGAAGATACAGACAGAATTCGACGTTCTCAATTTTCAGCACTGTTTCTCCGGGTCTCACAGTTGCTGCCCGAGAAGAGCTGGTTACGACACAAATGAAGACATCGCGATTCAAGGAAATCAACCCCAGAGTCCCCCAGCCCTCTCCTAGAAGTCGATATCCGTGAAGATCCACGGACGACCGGAAAAAGGCCTCAAGGAGACGCCGATTTGGGTCCTGATGTTTAGTAGAGCCGTTGCGGCTGGAGTCTACATTGGGCTGGGTGATTTCAAGAACACAATCGTCCGTGGCGAGTGCGATAGATCGTCGAGGTTGATCTCGACAGAGCACGCGCAAAGTTGACATTGCTCATGGTAGTTGCTGGGCGCCTTAGTAGTTCCTATTTTCCTATTTGGAAGAGTTAGCTATTAAGAGGGTTGGAGAAGTATTCCAGTCCGTCCAGTCAGTCTGGTTTGAGTGAATGTTGTCGTTATGCTTAACTAAGCCTTGTCGATAAATTCTCAGCCTTGTCCCTTGAAGCGTTCTACGGAGTACTGTCACAGACACATTCACTTAGAGAAGAAAGAAACTGTATGCATCCTGTGCAATCAAAGGAGTTATATGAAAAAGGCCGTTCATCGAAGAATTTCAACTACAGGTGATTGCTTGAGAATTATAAGAGCAGATGTCATGTGACCATGCTACTCCAAAATAGGCATGGCTTAGTAGTTTTGATAAGACTATCTACCCAACCGCATCAAAAAAATATAAAAAAAAGTGAAGATCAATCAAAACACTAACTCACCGAATCCTTCGCACGCTTTAATACACTGCAATTGATCTGAGTCATTTCAAAGATTTAACCATATAATTTTTCTTAAATCTGCGTTTAACCACTCTCAATGGGTCTTGCCGCCCCTCGCAAGTGAGTGTTATGTCCAGCAACAACTTATGCCACAGCTACTTATTCGTATATAATCATCGATAGGAGGGTTAAGATATCGCACGATCCAAATAATACAACATGGGCCCAGTCAACAAGTGGCTTCGGCCATAAGATAATGACCTCGCAAGGATGGACACCTGGAAGTTATTTAGGTGCGCGAAATGCAAATCATGCCGATACTTTCACGGCAGCTAGTGCATCTCACATCCGAGTGACACTGAAAGATGATACCCTTGGCCTGGGTGCTCGTCCCCGGACGTTAGGAAATGATGACGTGGCGGCGATAGATGCATTTCAGGGATTGTTGGGTCGACTCAATGGGAAGAGCGACGTGCAACTGGAACAAGAGCAACGCAAGCGCGATGATACGAGGCTGGCCTTGTATGCGTCAAAGAAGTGGCAGGCTGTTACTTTTGTTAGCGGTGGCTACTTGGTTCAAGAGAAGCCTGATGATGTCTTGAAGTCGAAAAGCAAGAAAAAATACCACTCATCGAATGACACCACTGTTGTGGATAAGGCATCCTTCGGTAAATCAAGCGATGACAGTGTGGACGATACTCCCTCTCAGAGCGAGGACGCAGTATCGTCTGTAAAGGCTGGGAAATCTAGCAGAACTGCGGAAGCAAAGGACACGAAAGAAAAATCGAAGAAAAAAGATAAAGAAGGGAAGAAAGAGAAATCCGATAAGAAGGTGAAAAAGGAAAAGAAAGACAAGAAGGAGAGGAAGGAGAGGAAGGAGAGGAAAAGAGAAAAGGAACAAAAGAAAAAAGACGAGAAGGACAGCTCCAAGAAACGACGGCGTGCTGAGGAGGATTTGGACAGCGAAAGCTCAGAGTCATCCAGTTTAGATGAAGCAGACAATAAGGCCTCCCAGCAGAAGGCTACTAGCACACAAGCGCCGAGACCAAACTGGAGACATGCTATTCGCGGCCGACATATTCAACAGAAAAGAATGGCAATCATGGATGACCGATCATTGGGCGAAGTAAGTATCCAGCTCATCTGTGTGACAATCCAATTTCTCATCTATATGCTTACATTGGACTAGATTTTTATGATCAAAGCTTGATATATTCGGCGATTAGCAGTATACTGCATTTTCAACCCTAGCTCCTGCCATTTGTGAGCAAATGATAGGACATTATACTTGTACATAGGAAGACACAATAGGTTATATAGGAATCTCTGTAGACAGATGAACTGATTGACACATTTGAAATTTCAAAGTCGATCCCATGTAGTTAGCTGGCACATTACCAGTGCCTTAATTTAACCGCCTGAGGCACACACGATATCAGTTGACCCACCGCGCCTTATCGCTAACGTTGGCGGAATCTTGGCATGGGGCCGCAACGTCATTGCTCTCTGTGAGCTTGATCTACTCCAGCTTCATCTTATTTTCAACCTACATTTCTTTTCTAGATTATAGATCCCATTCTTGTTCATATCTTGCCTTATACGCGAATATCTGATGAGCCATAATGCTATTTACTTATCGATGATCCGTCTACCTTCATAACCACTTTACTATGGCAATAGCTGAGCGTAAAAGTAAGGTCCAGCACAATGGCCTTACGAACTCTCATACCGACAAAAGGAATGGCACATCTGAAAAGCACGGGTAAGTTGCTCGAAGAGCGAAAGAGATGTTACTATTTGCTAATTTGGCTTCTGATCTAGAACACGGTGGGCCCCTCTAAACATCGGCCTCGAAAGACGCCTGCAGACCTTTGTCGTTCTTTACCACACATTGACAATGGCCATATGCCTGACCTTATTCTTCTTTGTCTGTGCAATGCCCTTATTCTGGCCTTTGCTTGTTCCATACCTCGCCTACATCCTCTTCTCCAACGCGGCGACATCCGGAACCTTGCGACGCAAACAGTGGCTTCGCAGCTCCCGAGCCTGGAAACTTTACGCCTCCTATTTCCCCGCCAGATTACATCGTACACAGGTACTGCCGCCTACTCGAAAATATATATTTGGATACCATCCTCATGGAATCATTTCTCACGGTGCCTTTGCCGCGTTTGCTACGGAAGCCCTCGGATTCTCAAACTTGTTCCCAGGGATCACTAATACGCTGCTCACGCTGGACTCCAACTTCAGAATACCGTTTTATAGGGAATACGCCATGGGTATGGGTTTGGCCAGTGTGTCTCGCGAATCATGTGAGAACCTTTTGACCAAAGGCGGCGCTGACGGCGAAGGAATGGGTCGAGCAATTACTATTGTAGTCGGGGGTGCACGCGAGTCACTAGACGCACAACCGGGCAGCCTCCGACTCATCTTGAACAGTCGCAAGGGCTTCGTGAAGCTAGCAGCCCGCACCGGCGCTGATTTGGTCCCCGTTCTCGGATTCGGCGAGAACGATTTATACGATCAGGTCGATTCAGAACAGCATCCTTTTATCCATAAGATTCAGATGCTGATCAAGAAATTCATGGGTTTCACCGTGCCGTTGTTTCATGCGCGCGGCGTGTTTAACTACGACGTCGGCCTAATGCCCTATCGGAGACCGCTCAATGTTGTTGTTGGAAAACCGATTGAAGTCATTAAGCAACGCCATCAGGACAAAGTTGACGAAGAGTATATCAACGAATTACATAATAAATATGTCCAAGAACTCACTCGACTATGGGATGAGTGGAAGGATGTATATGCATCTAACCGGACTTCTGAACTCGAGATCGTTGCATAACGGGCTTTTTTTTTTGGCTTATAATTTGGAGATATTCGTATATTTGATGATATTCATATGATTTCGATTGCTCATTGGCGTTGCTTGAACTTTTATTTGCACGGTATATACTTGTTTCCATTCATTACAGTAATTAATATTCAATGTTCACATATGACAACCCCATTACCTATGTAAAAACAGGTCCTAGTATATTGGGTGGTTTTCAGGATTGTTACAGATGATTGCTAGATTCATCTGAATAAGATACTACTAAGGCACGATAAACGACCAGTGCCAGTTCCCGTCAATGTTTTGCCATGACTTATGTCTGATGGCTTTATTCCAGCCCATCATCACAGCTAGAAGCCGGCATGATGCACTACTCACACCACATATAACTCGGTCACTTTGACCCAAAACTGCCAAGTCAAGGAGGTATGCACGACCAACCCATTCCCGAAGCTTCAGCGACTCCTCAGAAGGGCGCAGGCGACGCTGTTCGGCAACGCTTTCAACACTCAATGTCTTCGGCTTAGTTGGTCCCTGGTTGGACGGAAATGGACCCCCAAGTTCAGAATAGTCACTTGCTTCAACACCGAGAGACCAAAACATATCCTGATAGAAACCGCCTTCCCAGCCGACATTCTCGTTCAAGAGACTCCCCTGGGACTTGTCAGTCGCAGCATCCAGCGCTGCCTTGTTTGCCAAAGCAATGTAACTTTGAGCTCTCTCTGCTCCGCCCAGCTCGAAGGAAGTATATACTTCCGGATCATCTGATGCTAACATGACCTTCGAATGTTGTGCCATTGACTGGGACAATGCGGTATCCCCACGCGCTTGCTGTAGGTGAGCATGGAAGACTGTGCTGACTCGCTTCGCGTACCTATCAAGAGGGATATAGGAGTCTTTATATTGAGGATCAAGAGGATGCGAGTCGCCGTGGCGAACGTGGATGCCAATCGCGACACCACCTTTAGACCGTACATCTCTGTTCAGTCCTTGGATACGTCGCTGGAGATAAGAAGCATCATCCCCGATGAGGTTGAAAAGGGCACCATAGCCACTACGAGCCATATCGAATATCTCCCTCTGCCGGGTTTCACTCACGGCAAAAGGACTTTTGAAATACTCCTTGAAGCTATCACCAAAAATCCAGTGTGCATTGGAGGAAGACACAATGAGATGTCGTGCTTGAAGGGGACAAGGAAGTCTCAATTTTGGGGGAGGTTGGCGACAAGTCGGCTTTGGAGGCGGTCTGAAATATTTCGAGAATCTACCATAAGCCCAATTGGTATCGTCAATGAAAAAGCTGCGTCCTTGTTTTTGTGCAAGCCCGTAGCTTATCCACAAGTTCATCAGAGTGGTACCCAGACCTGCATCCTCGGACTGCATAACGAATGTGAGACTGCTATGGCAATATATCTTTGACGTTTTCTGAATAAATGCCTGTTCAGTAGACAGTAACCCTGTTGACTGTCTAACCGACTGGCTGTCGGTAGTATCTATAAAATTAGGATCGTACCGAGAATAGTCGAAAGGTTGATATTTGCCATCAGAAACCTGCTGAGATACCTGAAGGCATTGAGAACATAGTTGTCCGATCTGTGGCGGAGATAACGGAAATTCCATGCCAGCTGGAATATGGACGGACCATTTCTGGCGGCCCTGTTCGTTCGTCATTATAATAGGAGATGCTGAAACCGGAAGTATGGAGGGCAGTTGATAGTTCCTGTCACGGGCAAGCCACTTCTGCACGAGACTCGGCACACTAAATAACCGAAACAGTGGGATATGTAGGAGGACGATTACTATTGCGCACACGGTTAATAAGCGGAGTATGCGGAATGCCCTGCGTTTTCCGGAACCTGGGAGTCTTTTCCCATGACTAGGTATGATCGATGGCAGAACGGGAGATGGCAACGGTGAGTCGATGAGTGGCACTAATAAGCTATTTTTCGAAGTGAGTGCCGGTGAGTGTAAGGTAGCCGTCCGCCGGAGAGACATCTTGGGCGGGTTTTGTCGAGATGATATGATCATCGTGCTGGGTTTAGCTACTAGACAACAAGAAATCGAAGGTGACGATCCGAGAACAAAGCCGTATCAATCAGGTGGATTCAGGCATTGCCTGTTGTTGGTAGCGGTACAAGGACAACGAATATTCCGATATGGTATGAGAAAATCGTCACTGCAAATAGTCTGGAAATTGCACCGATACAGCTTCTGACGGCCCCTGACCACTTGGATAGTAGCCGAAGTCAGCAGAATGGTTGACGGCCCATCAATTATATGTTCGGTTACTGCTCATGACAGCTCCTCCAGAAGATAAGTAAAGTCGAATCAATGAAAGTTTTCCTAAGGCGGTGGTGGAAATAGCGCGGGGAGTATATTGCTCGAATCGAAGAGAAGTTGAAATCAAAGACGAATGAATGATTCGCAAATGCCCTTGAACATCAAGTCAAGAAACCGAACGGTAACATAGAAACTAAACAGTGAACCCTGCAACCAGGCATGGGATTGTGTAGTGTATGTATGAACAAAACTCACACATGCAACGCTGTAAACCGCCTGTGGGACATGAAGAAGGGTTATAAACATGATTTCCACAGTCAGCCAGTCAGCCAGTCAGCCCGAGGTAAGGCATGTTGTTGTAAATAGTAATATTTCACGGGGCTATAACAAAGACGTGGCGTTGTAAGCAGAGAGCTGAGTGGGCGAAGGATTGTCGAAGTGAAACACAGGGCCGTTCTTAGGGAGCTGCTCTGACGCCGGCGTTGTTGCCCTCTGTGCGTGGATTGGGTGGTGCCTTCCCCCCAAACCCCTGGCCTGCAAGGCAGACGCTAGTGGGGCGGTTACAGTGAAACAGTTACATAAGCCAGCTTCTCCAGTATCACTTTCCATGGTCATCACAACTTTACAACTTCACGTCTACACTACATACTGCCCAACACGCATACGAGCGAAAGGAAAGCGAAGACAGTTTGAATTTTTCAAGCGTCATAACGTACACATTCAACAAGAAACCTGGGGTATCAGAAAGCTAGCCGACAACCCGGCCAGGAGAAACGAAACAAGGAAGAGACATTAGATAGACACGCCTTAACAAGAAACAAGGTCGTGGCAGCATGGTAGGAGTATACAATCGCAAGGGGCAACGACAGAAGAACATTGAAACAAAGAATCAAGTATGCATGGGAGAATAAATGTCCAGTCATCCTCAAATACTTTGCTGCATTCAGCAGCCTCTTTGTTTATCAAAAGGGAATCCCAAGCGCCGCTCAAGAATGAAGAGCTGAACGAAGAATAAAGGAAAAAAAAAAGGCCGAACAAATGCGGAAGACTATGTCCTTTTTGTGTATCGGATAATATGGGGATATCGTATCATCAATATGGGATTTTTCAGAGGCCGAACGCTGTGGAAACGAGGCAAATGGACGTGGTTGTTTTAAACATTTTCTGGTACCTCAACGATAGAAGTCCGCGGGTCAGGAACGCTGATCGCAGGCGGTTTGGGTGAAATCGGGTCTGGATGATTGCCTGTTCCACTGGCAAACAACAAGCTTCGGCGAGAAGTTTTGTTCAAGTGACCCTGCTCAACACGATCTTGTATCATCTCATCAAGCATGCGTGACACCTCGTCAACACTTTTCCTGTTCGGGTGGGTTTCTCGCTCTGAGATACTGGCCAGTGAAAGGCCATTGACAGAGCTGCCGGCACTCAGGGGGCTGGCAAGCGAGCTCGCATTGCTCCCGTTGGTCTGATGACCGCCAAATCGCTTGTCCTGGCTCGGAACATCTATAGTCATTTGAGCTACATCTCGCTGACGGGCTGCAGAACGAAGAGCAGTGAGCATCCGGTCTTTGTCGTCCAGTTGAATACGTAGCTCGGAAATCTCCATGTCCTTTTCACGTAGTAATGCCATCATGTCGGCATCGTCCCCGTTCTTCAATTGTGCTAAACCCATTGACATTCTTGAATGACTTGAGCGCCTCGCTTGAAGTAGCCGTCGTTCGAGTGTAGATATGTACCGATTCTTATCTGCTAGATCGGCTTGTAAGGCAGTCACTTGCATCTGAAGACTCGCATTTCCATCGCCAAATTCGCCAACGGTATCATCGTCCTCGTCCGGAGCCATTGACGTACGTCGGAATTGATATCCATTGCTAGGCTCAGTACTGTGCAGAGACTGTTGTGACACCGTCCGTCGCAACGAGTTCGCGCCAAGTGTAGATTGACTCGATGAAGAGTAAAGGGACCGTGCACGGGTTTCATTCATACCAGACATGGTGGACAATCGATCAAAGGATGCCGTACCCCCATGGCTATTAACACCGGTGGACTTGGATGAAAGAATAAGCCGATTGAGATGCTCAATTCGCTCTTTAAGAGCAGTGCGAGCAAGCTGCATTTCGAGCATTTGTTCTTCGTGCCGAGCTTCAGCTTCCTTCTCCATCCGTTCTTCCTCCATCTTCATGTCGTTTTCTGCTTGAGTCTTGCTCTGGTTCTCCAACTGAGCACGTAGAGACTGAATTTCCATTCGATACCGCTCGAGTAAGACTCTGCTCCCACCATCTCCATTTCCTCCATACGCCTCTTCCGCTCGTTTAGCATGGCTGACAATATTGTTCTTTGCCCTGGCGGCAAATTTCAGTGTGTTGAGTGTCTCGTTGGTATGTGTGTTTGCAGGGGCGGCGCTGCCGGATGCGCCTATTTGGATTGTACAGAGAATACTGACGAGTGAATTGCCCGACAGCGCTGGTTGCAATAGCCTTGTTAACTTACTGTCACGGTAAGGTAGATGCTTGCTTTCCTTATCTGCAGCACTGGCGGATTTATCTTTGCTCTCCGAAAGCCTTGCAATGACAGTTCCCAAAGTAAGCAAGCTCTTGTTAATGTGAGCACCCTCTGTCCGCCTCTCTTTATTCTCTGCAGCACGCTCGGAACCAGCGAGATCGATTAGGCTCAGAGTCGAAACTCTGACGCCTCCTGGACCCACGGCAGACCGCTTGTCTTGTGTTGAATTTCCGTTGGGCACTCGCTCACGACTTTCAACCACAATTTGGACAACAGCATGGCTTCGTGAACTTCGTGCATTAAACTGCGTGCTACCAGTCCTACGTGCATGATCTCCACGCGCAATGACACGGAGAAGCTGGGTAGGACTCTGCACAATTTCCTCCTTCAAGGGTGTGGCATAGACACCTCTCTTACTATCCTCACGCAACTTGATTTCTTCTTGTGGAGGCGCATTAGGTCCAGTTGCACCTGCACTCGAAGCTGAGAGTAGATCGTGTATCTTCTCGTTGTAGATCTCCAGATAACTGACACGAAGCAAGAACTCTCGATGGGGGGTTTCGCGAATGTATGAAAATATGTCGGTAATAGCTAATGGGATAACGCCGGGCGACGAGGCCGTTCCTTGCATCGAAAACGTCTTTCCGGTTCCCGTCATTCCATATGCAAAAACAGTTCCATGGTAGCCTTCCATGACTCTCCGGACCAGACGCTTGGCTGACGCATCGTAAACTTTAGAATTGTTGTCATGGGCAGTGAAAACATTATCTACAACGTTGTTAGCGAATAAAGGGATTATCGAACTGTCGTAACTCTTACCATAAAGATAGTCGTAGCTCTCCTTTCCTCGAAAGGCGATGAGTGACCTTCGCCCGTCCACCATCCACTCTCCTTCTGCGCGGGGGTTTTCGTTTGCACCGGTATCTGGGCGTACCCGCACGCTGACGATAACATTGCCTTTTGCTTCCTTTGACCGAGCGCCCTTCTTGCCCGCCGCCAAACTATCTCTGGAGTCATGTTCCGTTTCCTCGTTTTCATCAAAGGTCGTCGCGCTGGTCGAATACGAGCCCTGCGCTGACGAGCTTCTGCTGTGCGGCGGAGAGATGCTGAATTGACCTTCTGAATCTCTGCTGGCTGCCGCGTTTAAGACAATCTTTCCATCACTGCTGTTATCAAGGAGAGAAACGACTTTAGAGCTACGGTTGCTTGCAGTGGTTCCTGAACTTAGTCTCGACTGTTTTCTGGGTTTCATTGTGGCGGATTTAGTGATATCCGGGGTGCTGCGCGCGGTCGAAGGAACATTCGAAGTTGAACTTGATATCGAGGCCATTGATAGTCTGCCGTTTGACTTTGGAGGTTGGGGAAAGGCTGCTATACTGACAGACCTTCGCAAACTCTTATCGGCTCCATTTGACGTCATTGTGCTGGAAACGGAACGCATGGAAGAATTCGATTGAGCATTTCCGCCAAGTGAAGGTCTCGTAGGTGGACGAAGCTTAGAGGGTGACGGCGACGCGCTTCTCTGGGAATCCGAGACGGTAGATAACGGTTTCAATCTTCGAGGGGGAACGCTGCCAGTCGGTGGATTACTCGCTTGGCTTGATGACCGAGGCAGGGCGGACGGAGTAGCCATTGTGATTATCCCCGATTCTTTTTGTGTTCCGATTACCTTTTTTGAGGAGATGTGTGTGTATGATTCAGTCCATGGAATGAAATCACCTTGTAACGGTTTTCGCCGATCAAAAGGCCTTCCCCGGAAGTCCTCAATTTACTGCAACATCTGATGTCTGGTCAGCAAAGCATGTTTCGAGACTGAATGCCGACAAGAGGGCTATAAGATGATATTGAATAAAGGGACGTATAACGAAAACTTCATTTGCATGCCTAATACTGTCTCTCTCATGAACAGACATGTCCATTTGCTGTCAGACCTGCAAATGCGGGCAAATTCTAAACTCACTCACATCACAACAAATATTTGAGACTCGCAACTTGACGTTATTAGGGGCCGAAGGATTCAATCGAGGTTCTTTCTCTATGACTGACTCGGCGACATGAGAGTGGCTGCGTAAACCGCGTGGTGATTGCGATAAAATATTGATCAAAGCGTTGTTTATCGTGGGGGCTTCCCCAGTTCGACTGTAGAATAACCTCCGTGATAGTGACAGCAACAACAAAACGCGTCCAATGCACGGTTCTATTCGAGCGATGCGGTTGAAAGAAAAGATAGTCGAGGCGGATGGGTGGGTTCAGTAGAATATAGTCGAGTTTTAGCTGGAGACATGGAGAAGGTCAGAAGTTGAAAAGGTCAAGCAGTTCATAAGGGGTAAATTAGTCTCTCTCCGAGCGGGCGCTGATAGGCTCCTTCCCGAACCTTTTCTCCCGTAGCTTATCCTCAAGGGGCCTAAACAATCCTCCCTCGCCTGGCAAATAGGACTACAGGGATTGGTGCCTATCCCAGGGTTGCTTGTGCATTCACACTGCAATGTAGTTTGGTCTGGCAGGGTGGCAGCAACGCACGGGAGGACGATTTTTGATCTACTCGACTTGAATGATAGTGTTTCTTCCTTTTCAAGGATGAAGAGCCCTTATTATCTGCAATGGATTATGTTTGATACAGATAATGTTTGGTCCAAGCGTTAAGCCTTCAGCTAAATGCACCAAGTGACTGATAGATCGCCGTCCGAAAATCCACATCCTCGCTCTTTATCGTCTTGTGCGACAGTACAAGTTACAGGGGGTGTGCGGAGTATTTATTTGTTTTGATCGTGTTTCCGGAATGATCGTAAAGCTCGTGTCAATAATTTAACGGTCGTAACAGCGTGTGATCGTCAGACCAAGTATAACCACGAACGCACGAGTATACACTTAGGGAGGACAGCCGATATTACTTAGGTATGTGACAGATAAATATATATATGGTATTGATCTCTATTATGTAGATCACCTCTATCAATAAGCCAGTCATAGCGGGGAGAGTGTAGAGAAAAGAGTTTTGAAATCTGACGCGTCTGGGAGAAACCTAGTTGGTAACAGCATTTCAGCATTTCCATGCAATCCAATCCAGCCAGCAAAGGTGACAACAACCCTAGACAAATGTGGAATTCAGTCCCCGAGTCGCTGCTCCCACATAACCCTGTCCCATATGGCGGGGAAAGATCCTTTCCCCGAAGGTCTTGGGGTTGACAGGATACGGCCATTTGTTGGTCACATACGTCTAGCGGGCCAGGATGCCTATATGTTCTTTAATATGGCCCGATATTTCAGTTGTGGGGTCCGACACTGCCAGTTACAATCCATGAATGCCAACAAGCTCAAGCAGTTGGCCATATCGAGCAACATACGAATGACGGCGACTGGTAAGATGCTCATTTGACTCCAAAGTCCAGCTGCCGAGCAGCATTTTTGAACCGGCCCTCGGAATCTTCTCCAGCTCGCCGCGAAAGATCATTGCCCATTTTCTTCGAGCCCCCCGACTTCCTTGGCAGTGATTCCTTGAACGTCGGTTTAGGCTCGCTCATCCACCAAGCATGTTGCAATATCTGGCGTACCGAGCTCCGCTTACAGGGATCAAGGGTGGTCATAGACATCAACAAATCAGCACCGAGAGGGCCAGCTGTAGGAAACTGGCGTAAGAAAAACTCTCTCCCTTGTAAAGGAGTGATTCGATCTCCAGGAGGTACGTAGTTGGGCAATCGGGTGACACCAGGCCAGTTCTCCTCCGTCGGAGTTCCGAATGCCTCACTGATCTTGGCGATTTGGTCCATATCAGTGTTTCCCGCCACAAACGGCACACGAAGAAGTAACTCTGCGAAGACCATACCCATCGACCATACATCCACTACAGCAGAGTATTGCCGCGCACCGTATAGGAGCTCAGGAGGCCTATACCAGCGAGTAATAACTTGGTGCGTCATATTCATATACGGATCAGCGAATGATCGCGCCAAACCGAAATCAGCAAGCTTCACTTCGCCATCTGACGCAATTAACAAGTTGTTCGGTTTGATATCACGATGTAGAACGAAATTCTCGTGACAGAACCAGACACCCCTTGCGAGCATACCCATCCACGCCTTGACGTCTGCCACACCGTATTGGATATTGCCATCCTTAATCAGCATTTCGAGGTCTCCTAGTGGTAAGTATTCGAGCACAAGATTGAGGTTTTGATCCTTGGACGAGAAGACATCGTGAAGAGCAATGATGTTGGGATGAGACAATTCTTGTAGATACTTGATTTCTCGAATAGCGTCCATTGAGAGCCCGTCGCGATATTCTGCATTGACTTTGATCTTCTTGATGGCAACAAGGGACGAAGGGGTATCGCGCAAGTGTCCGAGGTAAACGACGGCATAAGTACCCTCACCGAGCTTATTATCTAAACTCTTTAATCAGACGAACAGTCAAAAGACAAAGAAGTAGCCATTCGTACCCTTGACGTATTTCCGCCTCACATTCTCGTTCATCTGCTCTGCAAGCTCCAAAGCTGCAGTTGCGTTGTTTAAATGTGATGCAGTAGCACTCTGGCTCTCACTTCTTACAGCAAGGCTTTTGGCCTTGGAAGCCGTAGACGTAGATACCGAGGCACTAGATGGCGATTGTGAAATAAGAGGCGACACCGCCATCTTTGAGCTCTAGCTAATGTAACGAAAAGCGAGGGAGATTCGGTTAATAAGTGAAGACGAATATTGTTAACGCATTAGCATAATGATATAAGGGAATGAAGAGCGATAATCTGGAAATGGGCAAAAGTAGACGATATCATGTTGAATCCAACATTTGTAGATTGATGAGGTGAGAGCTCAAGCTCCGCGGGGCGGACTATTATTGATCCAGCCAGGGGCCTGTCCGCCTTCAAATCTTGCCGACGCCGATTGGATAACATTTAAAAAAACGACCGTCAAGAGTTCTGCTCAGGACTCAGGACCCAGGACTCAGCGCCACAGTTCAGGCAATCGCCAAAGCTCGTATACGGCAGTCCTCAGAAAACAATTGATGATATACGGGCTATAGATCTAATTGAAGGAAATCCAACATGCTCAGTTCCAGTCGCCGTTTCGGCATCATAAATTCTTCAAAAACCATTCTCAGTGCCTTCACCGCGCCCTCCTCTTCCACTTCCACATTAACGTCACAATGCGTGAGATGCCTTCATCAGAAACGAGCAGCTCCCGTAATTCCTCAACCGACTCCATTCGTTCCTGATGTACCGACATTCCTATCCCTCATCGGCCGCGAAATGTCCAAACACGCCAGCAAATTCACCTCTTGGGACAGTCTCTTCTCCCTTTCCTCCGCAGAACTACAAGATCTCGGGATTGAACCGGCCAGACAACGACGATATCTGCTTAGACAGCGCGAGAAATTCAAGCATGGCATCTATGGCCCTGGTGGAGATTTGGATGTTGTCGTTGACGGCGCAGCTCAGCTTCGTGTTGTTGAGGTGCCCGTCGGATCTTCGACAAAACAGGGGGACGAAGTGAATGGTACGTTGCCGAGTGCATCCGCCACCCTGTCGCCGGGAATGCGAAAGGTGCTTGTGAATATTGCCCCAGATGCGGAGAAGTACGAATACAAGCCGAGCGATGTGATCAAGAAGTATGCGCATATGAAGATTCACCGAGGATCTACAGTGAAAGGACCATATGTTCAACCTTTGAAAGGCACGAATGGCTCCGCGGTCTTGATCAAAGCGACAGAGGGTATGTGGGAGGACAGACGCGGTCACAAGGTGGATGGTGGTGAGCGACGACGTGCTGAAGTCCGAGCGAAGAAGAGAAGTGCAGAGAGAAGGGCTGCTAATGCGTAAGCCGGTACCTTCTGTGGACTGTGGCCGCATTGAAGAATAATCTTGAGATCTTTTTTTGATGGCCCAAAGGCCTATGTCTATCTTTACTGCGTCATGTCATGGGGATATTTGTACATTATGTTGGACTACCAGCGGGCCGTGCGTTGTATGATTTTTTCGATTCATTAGAGAACATGTTAAATCTCGTTATTATCCTTCGATCACTGTCAATATTTTAAGCTAGGAACGATCATTGTGCTTGAAATTTCCAAAAATGTCTTAAAAGGTCAAAAAGTTCATCTCAATTGTATGTTTTGATTTGTTCTATGCATTAATAAGTTCTATTCGCCAAGATACAATTCTCGAGGTGGTCTCAGGCAATCTCGTTATCGAACAATATACAAGAATGGAATGTTACATGGACATGTGCATGTGCATCCCCAAGCCTAAGCTCTGGACATACAGAACGCACACGCTTCCTCATATTATGTTTGTTGTAATATATAGCTGAAAGTGATAGGAAACGACATTATGAAATCATATAAATACCTTACTCCTGGAAAAGACGGCTTACTAGTAATAGCATGAGTGATTTAAGCCTTTGTAGTCGCGTCCCTTCTCTCATATTCAACGACCGAGTTCGCCCAGGGCCGTGAGAACAAAGACTATAAGAATGTCCATTAGCACGCGGTCTAAAGTTGCGATAGAAAAAAGACTTACAGAATAATCAGTGGCCGGAATGCCTTCCACACCTGGCAGATTCTTGAACTTGAGCAGTCTGACCAATGTAGCACAGATGGCACCCAGTTGAACATATGCAAATTGTTCACCGATGCAACGGTGACGTCCGGCTCCAAAAGGCAGGTAGGGGCTTCCAGCACCTTTGCTGATGAGACCATAACCATAATCGACCTGCTCGTCATCTTCGGTGGCCTTGACACCATCCCATCGGTGAGGGTCCCATTCCAAAGGCTCGGAGAAGTGCTCAGGGGATCGGGCAGTGACTCCAGGGGAGGAGAGAACGTTGTGGGAGGTTGGAATGACATAGGGGGTACCTTCAACCGGAAGAGGACTCTTGACAGCACGGAGAATAGAATGAATGGGAGCATGTAAGCGAAGAGTCTCCTTGATAACGTTGGCTTGAAGTTCAAGCTTTTGCAAGTTCTCGTGGGTAAGTGGGGGAAGATCAGCTCCTAGAACCCTGATCTGTTCCTGGTACAGCTGTTCGGTGATCTTTGGTTGCGAGGCCAGTCGAAGAACGATCCAAGAGATGGTGGAAGACGAAGAGTGTTGACCAGCCATCAAGAGAGCAATCATCATATGGGCAACCTCAATATCAGGGACCGGAGTTCCATCCTTGTAGGCACAAGACATTAAGTTCCAAACCATGTCCTCAGAATCCTTCTGTCCTCCAGCCTGACGGCGCTTTCGAATGATTTCCATGTACGTCTCTGCCATTTTCTTCTGGGCGGCGTCACGTTTGCGGTTGTGGGGGAGAGGGGCCCAGGGAAGCATGAAATTGATAGGGGCGAAACCCATATCGAGATCGTGATACAATTCAGCAAATGTCGAGTCGAACTTGTCTCGCACCTCCTTGCCTTGCAGTGAGCGGGAAGCAGTGTAAATCGTGATTTCTGCCATGATTTTGCCGACATCAAAGGTTCCGCGAGGTTGTTTGAAAGCATCTGCGTTCGCAACATACTCATTGACTTCCTTCGTGATCAATTCGACATAAGAACGGAGCGCTTCCGAGGTCAAGCCGAATTTGACAAACTGTATCGTCACCAAGGTCATTAGTAAGGCTTTCAGGAAACTGCTGACAGTATTACATGGTGCTCACCTTCTTCTGTTCCATAAGCTTCGAATTGGGGCAATCGTACACCACATGCTTGCCAAATACAGGTGTTGTCAGGGGAGAGTACACTTCTTCCGCGCACACATTGCGCAATTTCGCGTTCAAGATGAAGTCGTTGCCTTTGGTTCCCAAGAAGACTGTGGTCTTCTTACCCAGCAAAATGAATGTAAAAATGTCGCCATACTAGTTCACAGAAAACAGTCAGCGAAATTGTCCTGTTGATTTTCGGCTGTCATGAGCTCCGTCTTACCTTGTTGCGACAGTCGAAAAAGAACTTGTACGGGTCCATGCCATAGCTGATCGTGTTTCCTATGAATGGGAACCAGTGAAACACAACAGGAGGCTCATTTGGATTCTTGAACAGTAACTGCGACAACACATTGATTATAACACTCAAGACAATCACGGTGGCAAACCCGAGTCCAGCGAGCACGTAGATTGACTGCGTCGAGCATTGTTCGCATATTCTATCGAGGGCAGCGGCGAAGAGCCCCATGATGGATGACTGTCTTGGTTATAGACGTGTAGGATCGCACAACGAGCACACAGCAAAAGCCCGAATAATCAAAAAGCGCATACGTGCACCGAAGGAGAGTGAAAACGGGTTGGTCAGTGAGCTGAGGTTGTTACTGATGGTAAATTATTTTATTGCCAAGCTGCTTATCCACTGATCCAGGGGTCGCAGGGGCTGACTAACCGAGACGGGAATAGTGGCTGAGTCCTTATTACTTTTACCCGGAGTCACGCCACGGAGGTCCAATGCCACCGCCGAGAATACTAATGTTATATATTATTGGTGAAGTGCACAGCGCAGCGAGGCCCAACTGGCGTACCAATCAGGAAATAAAGCGAGGGGTGTGATTCTTCATTATAGGACAATTCCCTGTTGGAAACAGCACAACTTTTGTCAAGGAAGCAGAGACTCGAGAGAAATTCAAGCCTTTAGTTGAGAAATTACAAGATCATCTTGTTTCTATCAATTTCACGAGATTAAGGGTAAAAAAAAATAATCTCCGGTGAATCTGACAACTAATCACCGAAGGCACATATCATTCCATTCCTAATACTAACCGCTAACCATTAATATACACAAAATTCCTCCCAAAGTCTTGTCATTTCTTTTTACATCAGGCTCTGATTGCCTCGAGACCCCTCAACGCAGACATACAAGACCATTAAAAGACTCCAGTAGAGGCCTGTTAAAATAAGAATAATACGGTTATCTAGCTGGAGCCTAGTGCTTGCGATGGCCCTTGGAAGGAGGGCGAGTGCTTGCCTCATCGTCGTACAAGACTTGGTCTCCGCGACCTCCCATATTCACGAATTCAGCTGGCGGACGGTTCGCAGCCGGTGACGGTTCATGCTTGTGTTCTTTCGGCTGGTGCACGCGTTTGTTGGCTGGGTTCTTGCGAAACACTTTGACCTCTTCATCGTCATCTTGAACAACATCATGGACTTCCACATCGACGATTGAACTGAGCAGTGTTCGTTCGCGCTCGACTTTTCGTCTGGAGAAATCAAGTTGGTCCATGGCGCCGGTCAACCCGTCAGTACTGTCAGCGACGCTTGGAAACTTGCCAGTTATCCATGGGTGCTCGAGGCATTCATCTACCGTAATTCGCTTTTCAACGTTCACAGTGAGCATGCGATCTATTAGATCCAAGGCAATGTCCCCTACGGAATCCCAGTAAGGGGACGGATAGTCGAATTTACCCATCTTGATCTGTTGCGCCAGGTTATACGGGCTTTCAGGAGTATAAAGCTCATCGGAGAAAGGTGGAAAACCACAGAGGCAAATATAAAGTACCACGCCTAGAGACCAGATATCGACAGCCTTGGTGTATCGTCGGTGCCGGGATTCTTCCAGAATCTCGGGAGCGACATCTGTTTCGTCAGCAGTCTGTATCGTTTCCTTTTGATCTGTTTCTGTACTTACAACTTGGCGTTCCACATCTGCAAAAAAAAAAGAGTCAGTGGTGAAAACCCAAAATGTCAAGAGAACGGTGACTCACAATGTAGTAGTGAAAGAATCTTCTCCAATGATCTTGGCTAGCCCAAAATCTGCCAACTTCACATGGAGGTTCTTATCCGCAAGAAGGATGTTTTCGGGCTTGATATCACGATGCACAATGCCCCGATCATGCTACCAAACAGTCTCAGCCGTGTCTGTAACGAATTAATGTATAAAGCTTGCTTACCAAATATTTCAAACCATTGAATAGTTGTATAAATACTTTGCGAGTCTCGCTCTCTGATAGCTTTTGCTTTCTAACAATGTAGTTGAAGAGCTCACCTTCAGGAGCAAGTTCAAGGACCAAGTACGCGCCGTCTCGCTCATCAAACGTATCTTTTAGACACAAGACGTTCGGGTGATTCACACTCATCAACAGAGCAATTTCTTGCTGGAGAGCTTCGGCTTGTGACTTTTGTGACTCGGTTTGCCGCCTTTCAAACACTTTAACAGCAAATTTCTTACCGGTAGCCCGCTCGACACAAAGGTAGACTGTAGCAAAATGACCCTTTCCAAGTTGCTGAAGGATTCTATATTGTTGTCTGAATCCACTCGTGTCCCTCGTTCGCGGGTACCGGAATACAAATCTAGCCTCGTCAATGATTGTGACCTCATCACCATCCTCGAGTTCCCGGTTCTTATTACGGCCTAGGAGGGCCTCATTAACGAATGTTCCATTGCTGGAAAGATCTTCGATGACAGCGACAACGTCTCCGTTTCTTGTCTCATTAAATATCAAACAGTGACGATTAGAAATGGTAGGGATGTCCAAAACGAGGTCTATATACAAACTTGTTAGCGCATATCCTTCGCGCTATTGAAAAGTGTCAGCTTACCGCATTCAGGGTGACGTCCAATAAGATAGCCACTTGGAGGATAGGCCGGCGGTTTGGCAGAGTCTGGTTTCTTAGGCGCATTTGACTGCTTCTTCGAGCTCCGACTCGGCGAGCTTGTTGCTTCTCTTTCGGTTTGACCGCACGAACCGCTTTCACAGCTGTTCCTTTTCTTCAGCACCAGAGCATGCCCGGCCTTATCATCCAGAGGAATTAGGTATCCCCAGACACCTTCCGCGGCTTCGTCTTCTACATCGTCTGCGAATGCTCGGGGCGGGTACACAAACTGAGAAAGTGCTTGGGTGTCACCGGGCGGAGACGAGAAGACTGGCAGGCTCTCTTCAGGACTTGAGAGGCGGCGCCCTTCTGGTGTGATGGTCACAGCTTTTTGAATATCGGTCGCTGTGGAGTCATGGTGTGTCAAAGGCGTCGGAAGGTAAGTATTCTTCACCGGGGTTTTCGCGTCGGTTGTTGGTTCAGTCTGAGAAACCAATCGTTCTGAACGCCTCGGCTTTTGTGACTTTTGGACACCTGATTGGTCTTCGCTTTCCTGCAGCAATTGTGACAATTAGCAAGAGTGCTTGTAGATAAGACCAAAATATGGACAAAGAGGGCGACATTCATACCCGACGACGCTTCAGCGAGCTTCGCTCATTGCGAGGAGCCATTCTGAAGGAGAACAACGACGCGTGTAACGAGGCTATGATATCAGATGTTCTCGAGATGATTCAGGCAAAGAACCGAGGACAAGCCAACACGTGGGCGAGTATAAAATGGAATTTTATCTCATCATTGAATGATGCAACAGTCTTTTCAGCACAGTCTAGAAGAGGGAAGTGATTAATTGAGCAGTGGAGAAAATACAGTAGTTAGTCAGGCGGAGCCTCAGCAGACTCTCGTAACTAAGCCTCTTAACCCACACTTGGACTAGGCAACGATGGGCCAGATTGATATATTTCTCTTCCCTTGAGCTGCAACACATACTTTCAGCATACGGAAAAGAGGAGGATGGCGACTAAATTCTTGTATTTATATTGCTAAGCACTTTCAAGAGCCGGTACACAAATAAACAATAGGAGACTCAACCATCGCGGCTCATGATATCATACCCATCGCGGCTGAACCTTGGCCCGTATTATGCTACAATAATTAGTAGAAAAATTAAATAAAATAAACATAAAGAATAATATAGGAGTCTAATGATAATAATATGAAATATAAATATATATTTATAAGTCCAGACACTGTCCACCTATCCCTGCCGGATTTGGTCCAAGCTTTCTGTAGCGGGAGGTGCCAGGGAGTCTTTTTAGCCAGCCTCGGAGCTTCCATTTATTCGCTATCACAACCTCTTTCAACAGCGTCTCTCGCCAATGTTCCATTGCTGATGCTAACCCTCTCGACATAATATAGTTGTGGGCTCTAGACACAGTTAAGTCCCGGCTCGGGGCTTGCTATAATTCACAATGGATGCGTGAGTCTATCCCCGCTACCTTCCTATATAACTGATAATACTGATAATCCATTTTGGATATGTACCAGTCTTACCCCCGGTCTCAGACGCAAAGCATTCGAGCGCCTCGCATTTTTGGATACCTTGGGCTCCCAGGAAAACTCTTCGAAGCCTAGTGTCAGTCAGTTAATCAACGAATGCAGGCCGCAAAGTTCGCAGTCAGGTGGCTTCAAGGATGGGTTTTCCCAGGGACATGGCAAAGCTCCGATGGTATGCTTGCACGACGATTCAACGGCGCTGATTTAATCTAATGCGCAGCAATAGGCTCTTCGAGAACTCGAAATTATCCTTTCTCTGGCCAAGACCTCCGCAAACGTGACTCGCCATGACCAGATGTTGAATCTCACTTCGCAATTCGCCGCCCACTTGACAGAGTCCTACAGCCAGAGATTTCGAGCGTCCCCTTTCTTGCACGACATCAAGCCATCCCCTTGGGAGGCTCTGACACATGGATTGACGACGGGCCTCCTAAATCTGGGTCAGAAAGACACCTCGGTCCGCGAACATGCCAACAGTGCCATCATGACTTATCTGAATAACTGTGCGCGGGCTGTGAAAGGAATGGTCAAAGGGGGAACCGAGCGATCCGAGTTTGAAGGTGCCATTGGACCAGTCGAAATTTTGATCACCACCCTTTCATTGGTCGGCTTCTTGGAAGGCGCCTCACACTTTACTGAGTTGTGGAATGCAACAGAAAAGTTAGCAATTATTGAGCTGTTGGAAAGTATACTGTCCGTCAACCTTCTTGTGGCCGTGGAGACCGCAGCTTCAAAGATTCGAAATTCGAATGCGATAGATCCCACGTCGCGAGAATGGAAGAGATATAATCGAAGATACGCCGCTCATCGACGACCATTGGGTGCTATGCTATTACAACAGTGTTTCTTGCGCTTTATAAAGTCCTGCACAGTCACCACAGTGCTAGGCCACGCTGCTCCAACTGATGTGTCATTCTTAGAGATGTATGCAGATGGAATCCCCTTGGTGAAGACTTCCAATGAAGCTGAAGAAGCACTCGTCAAACACCTTGTGGGCGTTCTTACTGATAGAATACAACTTCTTGAAGACGGTGCCGACTACCTACAGATTGGCTCCCAATGGCAACAGGAGCTTGCTTTCTCGGTGAAGTCATCTTCCTTAATCGCGTTCCTCAATTGTATGACTCTGAATGAAAAACTTGCTGATACTGACTTGCTGCTTTCCTGGCTCGAGGATACAGTAGCCGACGAGAATCAGATGGCAGCCTTTGATCTGGGAACCACGGCGCTCAAAGTCGTTGCGAGTACTGCAAAACAATTTCCCGCCAATGCTTCTAATCTGAGCCATCTTTTGTTAAAGTTTATAACGCAAGGTGGCGCGAGCCAGTCAATTGTCTCAGTTGCAGCCAGCTGTCTCGCAAGCATTCTTGAAGTTTTGTCGCAAGATTTCGTGATCACCACGCTGTATTCGCTTGGCAACGTTTTGAGCCCGACAGCGGCGGGCGTTGAGCGTCCAGTGCAACTCCCTGTTGAAACCTCCGAGAATGGTCCTTCTGTCGACCCCTATCATTCAAATGCCGACAGCGTCATTTCCCTCTCTTACAATAGCGAGGAAGATTCCACGCTTACGCACCGTAACGTTATTCATGCAATTGTCACTATTGCCGTCCACAGCGAGGATGAGAACATTGCAGCTCTGGCTCAATCCATGCTCCTTCAAAAGATCGGAAGGATCAGCGTCGTAGCAGATGCATATATTATCCAAGAGACTGCAGCCCTGGCTTTGGTCAATAAACACTCAGAGTTCCAGCTTTTACTGAAATTCTATACTCGCCTTCACCAAGAGGCACTGCTTAGGGGTCATACCATTATCATCGACGCAGTCCATAACGCAAGAAACCGTCTTTCTGTGGCACTGAGGCATAGTCCACCCCACAAAGCTACCTACCTCATGCATCTACTCGAGAGTATCATTAGCAAAGGAGATGTGTCAGATCTTGGACAAGACCGACATAAGGAGATTACTCTATCTCCTGATGATATAACTCCATACCTCAAGCCACTTGCCTTTTTGGTATCGGCCGACGAGGGCAAAGAGAGTGGCTCTATCGAAACTACGCAATATGATGAGGATACAGCTGCATTGTTTCGCGACACTTGGTTCAACATTGCCGTGCATGGGATCTCGACCCAGTCTGATATTGGTCGGCGGTACAGAAATGAGCTATGCGCTATAGCAGCGAAGTCGCCTCCATTGGTTCCCGAGAATCGGACTGAGATATTGGAAAGTGATGTTGAGCTGAACATCATTCTGAGACGTGGCATGGGACATCAACGGCTAGCTGAGCAGAAAAAGCTATTCAGTAGTGAGCTCCCAGAGCATGAAGCTAGTCTCAAACGCATCAGCTATCAAGAAATAGTCTTCTTGAATGCAAGCCTTCTGATTGAAAGTCTTCGTGCCTCGGCTGGGGATTGTACGAGGATCCTTCTCTACTTCCTGGATCCAACACTGAGTTCAACTGAGTTGGGTAAATACATGAAAGCTGTTGTGGATAAAGTCATCGATACCTATTTGTCCAAGACCCTTTCAGGCATCGGCGAGCGCTTTGCTAGTCCACACTTATCTAAGCAACTCGCCGAAATTTTCGTTACTGGCTGCCATCGTATACACCGAGTCCAGGAAGTGGCCTTAGACTGCGCTAGCAAAATCATAAGTCGGTCTCCATCCGTTCTCTGTGATCGAAGTCCGCTCTTTGCTTTGCTAGACCTTCTCACTATCATGTGGACGTCTTGCCTAGAGAACGACTTGGACGAATACGGATGGCAGTCGACTTTCACAAAAGGCGACGTGACGGTTGAGCTATCTGACAACCACGAATCTAGGAAACGAACTTTGGACTTATTTTATTCTCGCGCCAAATCTTGGATGACAGTTGCTATCAATCTCGCTCCTTTGGACGTGAAAGGTCTCCTACAGGTACCAACTCTCGACCTCCCCAATACGTCTCATATTGACTGACCTATAATCTTAGACGTATCTCTCTGAGTACGAGGACGATGGGGCCTATGGCCACATTTCATTAGGCCGTTCATTTGCTCTTGAAATGGCATCTCAAATACCTCAGAGTGACCAGCGACTCAGTAAGTCTTACTAAAAACATAATTGCTCAATGCGATATTCTAATATTCTGCGTCAATTAGGCCACATTGAGCGCTACGGGGCCGACAACGTCAACTGTGCTTCTGATCTGATTGCCCAATATACTACTCGCCAAGAATATAGGTACTCTGAGTTCTCTCAAGCGAATGGAAAGCGAAAGGAGAATGCCCAGACCAGTAGGTTTTCCGCTAAACAATATTGATATACACTAACAATGTCAAGCTGTAGACGGCACAGTCGACCCTTATCTCACCCAGTATATTGAAGCGATAGAGAACCTTCTGAAGCAGCTTTCCCTCAGAGCATCTGCTGGTTACGATCTGTCTAGCCACGAATTACAGGATGCTTTACGAAAAGCTGCAGCGTTGCTTTGCAGGAGTTATGATGACCTTCCGTCAATTGCTCATTATCTAGTTGATATACCATTCCAAATCTTCACCAAGGAGTCGATTAAATTCGGCGTGTCAATCTGGCTAGGTGTTATCAATGAGAATCCGAAAACTGAACCAAGAATATTGGCGGAGGTGGCCTCGGCCTGGGAGTCTACCACTCTATCCAAGAAGGGGATCTTCAGTCCTACTTTCACGTAAGTATAGATCGATACTAGCGACATTCTCGCGATATGTACTCATCTGTTACAGTCACCCGGATCCGTTTTTCACCGCTATAGAACTTCTTCCTTCGGATAAGACAGCGCTTCTTCGAAAGCAGCAACAAGCTCAGGACGTTCTATCTCCTCATTTGCGCATTTTGCAGTTTTTCGAGAGCCACTTCAATGCGATACGGCTAGCGAGTCCACATTTGCAACGCATCTTCTCACGAGTGATCAGCAGAACACTTGTTGCCATACAATGCACCAATGGCCACCCTCTTTCGCGAGAGGTCCACTTCCATATCGTCTTGCTGGGATTGAGAATACTTCAATACTCGACCACTCAGAGCCGTGCTTACAAGTGGAAATTGAAAGACCTCATTTTATCGGCTGCTCTCAGCTGGTTCAGACATTCCCCCAGGTTAGTATAATGTATTATGTGAATTTATAGATGAAAAGCTCACCGAAGTCGTTCCTAGGTGGTCCTTTGGTGGTAACCGTCTTCAGCTAAAGGCCGAGGACAGAGTGCTGAAGGATGTTGAAGATGCCTTGAAATACGCCGCAAATCTGTCCTCCTCAAACCTTGGTCGCCGCCAATCGTTACGAAACAAGCAGGAGCTACTACAACTTCTGATTGAAAACGAAAGAATGCGTCTTAGAGTTTGGCTCTACCCCCTTGAACAGGAAAAGAAGCATTATATAACAGTCTTTGGAAGTAAGAGTCAATCAGAGGTAAGCGCCTTCTTCTATGGCTTGTTTGGCGTTAAATGTTGACGAAGGTAGACGGGAATCATTGATCAGCTATTGCACACTGCTTGGGCCGAGAATCCAAGCTTAGCAATCCAGATCTGCACTCGTTTCCCATCACAGAAACTGCACGACGATGTGCGTCGACTACTCCTCGACTTTCCGGAGAAGGCAATGGGAGTTCCAGAAAGTCTGGAAATGATGTTTGGTACTTCTTTACCTGCAGATGTTACCCATCAATTAAAGGTGAGTTAACATGGCTCTATTATAATCTAGCACTTATCTTTCTCATGACCTGCAGCTAACGTGTTGCAAAGTATCTCTTATACTGGAGCCCGGTATCTCCTACTGAAGCTCTAACGTACTTTCTGCCTGCCTATGGAAATCACCCATTCATACTTCAATATGCCATGCGGGCTCTAGAAAGTCATTCTATTGATGTCAGATTCTACTTCGTCCCACAACTCGTACAAGCATTGCGCTACGATGCTTTGGGCTATGTTGACCGATACATCTATGAGTCTGCCAAACTCTCACAGTTGTTTGCTCATCAAGTTATTTGGAATATGAAGGCAAACGCTTACAAGGACGAGTATTCTGAAATTGTATGTTTCCATTTGCAAACAATTCCCTTATGAGAGTTCTAGTGTTCTTTGCTAACTGTGAAAAGCCCGACGCGATCAAACCTACGCTGGATAAGTTCATGGATAGACTAGTGACCAGCTTCTCGGATGAAGAACGCGATTTCTACGAGCGGGAATTCTCCTTTTTCAAAGAAATCACAGACGTTTCCGGCAAACTACGTCCATACATCAAGAAAAGCAAACCCGAAAAGAAACAGAAAATCGAGGAGGAACTCCGCAAGATCAAAGTGGAAGTTGGCGTCTACCTTCCCAGCAACCCCGACGGTATCGTTGTGGGAATTGATCGTAAGTCAGGAAAACCGCTGCAAAGTCATGCAAAGGCGCCGTATATGGCCACGTTCCGAATTCAAAAGACAAAAGCACTTGAGGGTAAACCAAGGGCAGAACAGATACAATCTGATAAAGAGAATTCGCATGACCAAGAGACATACGAAGTCTGGCAATCGGCAATGTTCAAGGTCGGAGATGACTGTCGACAAGACATCCTAGCGTTGCAATTGATAGCAGCCTTCAGGAGCGTGTTCAATTCGGTCGGTCTAGATGTTTGGGTCTTTCCCTACCGTGTCACAGCAACTGCACCCGGATGTGGAGTTATTGATGTGTTACCGAACTCGATCTCTCGAGACATGCTTGGCCGTGAGGCAGTCAATGGACTATACGATTACTTTGTCTCCAAATATGGTGGAGAAGAATCTACTAGGTTTCAAGAGGCGCGCACGAACTTCGTTAAGAGCATGGCATCGTACTCGGTCATTTCGTATCTCCTACAGTTCAAAGATCGGCACAACGGCAACATCATGATCGATGATGCCGGCCACATTATCCATATCGACTTTGGGTTCTGTTTCGATATTGCACCGGGCGGCGTCCGGTTTGAACGGGCACCATTCAAACTAACCTCTGAGATGGTAGCAGTCATGGGCGGCGGCCCACATCTCGCGGGCAGCAGTTCCAACGGTAGCATAACCAATGGCATTTCCACGGGCAGTATCAACACTTCGAACGGTGCCGGCTCATCACCAGCGGGGTCTTCGGCGCTTCGCCTTCCCATACCTGGAACACATTCCCACGATCCAACAACCACTCAACCTTATCAATGGTTTGAATCGCTCACGGTAAAAGCATTCCTCGCATCTCGCCCACATGCGACCAAATTCATCCAGATCGTCACTATGATGCTCGATAGTGGTCTACCCTGCTTCAAACCGGACACTATCAAAAATTTCCGTGACCGCTTCGTCCTTGACAAAACTGAGAGGGAAGCGGCTGATTATATGCGAGAGTTGACGCGAAAGAGCTACTTGAATATCTCAACAAAGGGTTACGATCAGTTCCAGTTGTTGACTAATGGTATTCCCTACTGAGGTGATTGTCGGCTTACTACTTCTCTTGGGTGGCGCCACCCTTTTCGATATATGCTTGTGTATAATAATAATATAACCGTAATACTACCTATGTCATTAAAATCTTTTCCCAAGCACCGCAAAGCAAACAAACAAACTCACTCAAGTGCCTGAGTAGATTTCATACAGCTACGAACTTGGGTCACGACAGTAGTGTGGATGACGATGGAGGAATAGATACAGCTTCCATCCATCCAACCTTCACGTCATTTCTTCAATTGGTTCAATTGATCCAAATTTGTACTAAAACAGAATGAGAACAAACATTTCCTATTCCAAATTCCAGTCTGGGAGGAAAAAGAATTGCTAAGAGTTTCGAAGCTCGACAGTTAGCAGACACAAGAAAGACGAAATTGCACACAACATCAACTTATATACAGCATTCAAGCGTACACCTCTCAGCTCCAGTGGAAAATATGGTTACGGCGGAAAGCCAAACACAACGCCTGAAACGACATCCGTGTCCGTTTTCGATGTTTTCGAGGGACAAAGGAAATAAAGAAATCGACAGATTAAATCTCTCATGAACTCCTTTCCCGATTCCGGTGGGACAATGATCATATATAAGGTGCGTGCAAAAGTAAACAAGTCTCTTCGTCCGATGCATTTGCACTGGAGAGTCGATGATTGGATTTTGCCATGACCACTAAGCAAAGTCAGGGGTATGCGCTTTCGTTTTCATAACTTGTGTCTTCGCGTACGCAGAAGATTGATTTTGTGATTCCGAAGTGGACAACGCCATCGCTTGATAAAAAAATCAATGCACGAGATCGGCTGATGCCCCTGAGATCAAGTTCAAGAGGACTTAGACTGAAATGACTTCTCTCAAGCCAAGTTGACTAGCCTGTCCTGTGTGCTGATGAGATGGATAATATGCCGTTAAGTATATGCAAACGTCCCGAAGATAGATGAACCTAATCATAACTGAAGTGAACTAATCCATAAAATCAGCTCGGAGGATCTTCTCCTGGAAGAAATCCGGTTTGTTCTGCCGCGGCTCTCTGGGAATCTCGTGTGTGGGTTGCTCCATGATAGCGATTGAAGCAGCCCGCTGATGATACGCCTTTGAAGCGTTGGGATCATTTGGGTTCAACATCGCTGGCTGGGCGTGTGAGGAGGTAGGCATTGAGCCTCCAATAGAAGGAGCCCGTTCGGCTCTGGTCCGGAGGGCAGCGGACCAGTTGAAACCCTCGCCTAGAGGTCGCCAAGAGTGGTCAGATCTCTCATTCTTAAGCTTTTGAGTGCTAGTACCTGCAGCAGAAGCAGAAGATGAAGATGAAGACAAGGAAGAATGATTATCTCTTGTATAAGAGGAACTAGTCGACGACGAAGTATGACGCCTCGACATCAAAGGAGATGATCCAGAAGAGGGATATCTACCGTTTCCAGAACCGCTTCCTCCACGCACATCCCTCAATGCCTGAGCACCAAATGAGACGCGCCTAGCCAATGGAGACGTCGGATTGTTGGCAGGAGAGTTGTCATTGTCTTCGATAGCGTCTTCATAACTCTCTGAGCTGGATAGACTCTCCCGACGGCCCACATAGGCGCTGAAAGGCGATGGTTGGGTTGGAGAGCCAGAGAGGCCTAATGTAGTAATTGACATCCGTCGTGGACCGGACTGAGCATTGGCCGCCGCGGCCGTTGTGATAGGGTTGGGGAAGGAGGAGGCATTGCCTGTCGAGTTGCTCATGTTGGAATTGTGTGGCCTCGAGAAAAAATCACCGAAAGAAGTTGGGTTAAAAGAGAGGCGACGTCCAGATGGAGATGTCGAGGTTGGAGAATGAGTTCGATCGCTAGACATGACTAGGCGACAATCAAGGGGTTCGCGAGACGGGTGTTTCGGATTTGAATAATTGCAGCTCCACGAGTGAGGTAGGGGAATAAAGCTTCCTTTTGGTAGAATCAACGTTGAAAGCGTACGATGGAATGTTTCAGGTCATGGTGCGGTGACGTCAAGGATACGATCGATCACCGAACTGCTAGACAAGATGGAAGTCAGTTGCCAGGTTGGACATCAAAGAGAGCAGATCGCACAAATAACGAAGGTAGGACCATTCAGTGGAAGGGGGGGGCGGGAGGTATTTAAGAATGAGAGATTAGTAACCCGGCGAGCGATAGATAGGAGGACAGTATGAATGCAGATCCAGAGTACGGGGAAGTGCGGCCTAAGAAACGGGCGGTGGAGCAAATGGCGATCCATCCATTGAGAAGTGTGGACTCCAGATCGGGATACATACGTACTGTACTGTGTACACGGGCTGCTTGTGCTTGTGATACTCGAGATGGAGTTATGATCAGAGGAAATGGAGAGAGAGAGAGGGAGGAAAGAAGTAGAGAAGATGAAAAAGAAGAAGCTGGAGAGATGGATGTGGCTTATATGAGATGGAGGGTCTGTCCTCAGGGAAGGAGCGGGCGGGGGAAGGAAGGAGCGGCTGGTCCGGAGGAATCTCATGGTGTGCACCGATCCAACCAATGACCGGCGCCGAACCATGTGCCTCCACAACGTCTCTCATGTTCTTTCTAGATAACTACATATTATATATTCGGCATCATGCGACTTCGTGTGTCACTTGTGTATCACAACTGCAGCAACGACGGACGACCTGATGCTTGATGGCTCTCATATAATCAGCTCAAACATCCAAAGCATCCAGTGCGATTGATCCCAATTGTGAGCCGTTGAAGCTCTTACGTGTGGACGAGTTAAAGTTAGCCGCAAGCCTAAATAATCAGACTCGACACACCGTAGCTGCTTTCGGCTTAGCTGCAGACAATGCCTTACTGACACTCGCTTTATCTCAGCAGTGTCTGTCTTTGTCAGGACCGCGGCCAGCATAGTCAACGACCATGAAAGCACTTTATCAGTTCCCACGTGAACAGAGTTCTTTTTCAGTTCAATATTCAGACTCGCCACGACGGTCGGCGAGTCTATGACGTGAACGCACCAAAGACTCACTGCCGAGTCCTATTTGACTGTCTGCCGGAAAACCTTAGGGAATTGACATATCGCCGCGTTGTCACCTCTCAAGCAGACCCCGGGAATCCTTGAAGAACAGATCCTTGTTTATGATGTTGGTGGCCCACGATCCAATCGCATGCGTCCAAGTGATGATAAGATTGACATGCTCCCAACCCCGCACTTTCTACCCCGGACTGGATGCTGGATGGCTTAGCGGTTAGCGTCACACAGCTTTGTTCCATGGGATGCTAGACCTCGAACCCTTGAACTTAGTTGGCTTGGCTGAAAATGATAACCCAATTGACAGAATGCAGAGGAGATGAGAGCCATCAATGCTGATTCGATCATGGTTGAGACATCCAGCGATGGTCTCGACATGCTACTTTCATGCCGTCGCATTCAAGACCCTGGATCTGGCTTGCACATGTGCGACAACTTGGTTGATAAAAGCATGTGGCCGATGGTCTTCATTACCGTGCGCTTCCCAAGTCCATCAGAGAAGATACAGACGCTTGGATGCGATTGAATTCATCGTCACCCGTGGTACGCCGTTCGAGTCCATGAATATTTATAATCTCGGACATGTAGTTAGCGAACTGTCGAGCTACGTCTAAAGGTGCGTATACAGGGATTTCGATTCATCATATCCTAACTATCTTATTCATGACTCTAGAGTTTCTATGTCTATGTATCGATATTTCAACAAGCAATGCAAAAAGAAGGGTATATTGTTTTGCATTGAAACACAGATATGCATGCACCCTCCTTTCCCTCCTAGAACGCTGACTGGCTAAGAGCAAGAGAAAAACATCCACATATATTCAAACACCCAATGAATGCAAGAAGCCATTAAGAAAGAGAGAGCATACAGACACTGATCAATCTGTACGTAAAAAAAGGGGGGAGGGGAAGAGAATATAAATAAAAAGACAATCAAAGATATCGTATGCTTGGATTAGAAGAAAAAAAGACATGGTTTGATGATGACATAGTTCCCTCCCGTTATCCGTATATGTACCCGGGCTCCTCATTATGTATTTCCTCTTTTTTTTTTTTTTTGTGGAAGAAATAAAATAATAAACACATAAGCGATAACCGTGTGCGTATAAGCGTATTCGTAAGATGTTACCCGTTTCCTGAAGATGCAAGAGCAGAGAGTGTCTCTGTTTTCGTAAAATAAGAGAGTCATTAATAATGCGATCGAACGTCAACCCGAAAGGAAGGAATGACGGTTCGCTCCTTCCTCGACTGTCGACAGTCGGCTCTTTCCCGCAAACTCGACTGTGACATCCGCCCCAGATTCTTTCGACAACATCAACTTCCCCCTTTTTTTGATGATCCATCAACCTCCCTTGTCGAATATTGAGATTTCGTCAATATGGCCGCTGGAATCCCGGGCCCTGCTGTGCGCCGGACGACATCGCGCTGGGATGAATATGAAACAGCTGGATCAGCTTCCGTCCCACGCTGGGTTCAATTTCAGTGCCATCGCGAGCAATCTTGACCTCCCGGTTGGAGTTCCACGGATTGCGAAGACCTCGCGTACGATAGAAGGGAAGTCTCTCAGTGGAGATCCATTCAATTCGAAACGGCTTCCCAAATGTCTGGCCACCAGCTGCGAGATCCTCTCCGCCCAACTCCGCCGCACCCTTCTCGTTCTTAACATCTTCGCCAGGCCTATTGTCATCGTTCTCCTCGTCGTTATCGCTGTTGTCATTGCCCTGGCTATCCGCACCGTCGTCGTTATCATCGTTGCTGTCTTCGGATGAATCCGCTTCCCAAAATATCGTTCCGCGCGCTGAGTCGTCGATAATCCGCCCTTTCGGAGCCGTTTCTGTCGCTTCAGTGGGAATCACCTCCAGATCATCAGCTTCACTTGGAGGAATCTCGGGCCGCGGTGGCGCCTCAAGAGCGAGCGCCTCATCATCAGTGATGGCAGACACCATTCTTGCATAACCGAAATACTCTCCGGATTTATTCGCTGAGAAAATCAAGTACACATTGTCCGCAGACTGTTTAGAATTTGTTAGGAAACAAATGTCACACACACAACATATACATGAATAAAGAAGGGCCAACCTTACCTCATATGCTCGGTTCAAAGCTGCTTCGTTGTGAGTCTGTGTCGCCCAGATGCCACTTCGACGACTGAGCTCTAAATCTTCCAATGTCAAACTTTTGACGATGAAGAATCTATCGGGGACTCTGGAAGGCCGTCGGGAATGGCTGACAAGACGCTCCTCTGCCGCCCTTTTCTCCTTCCCCTCTTCTTGAGCCTGAGCTTCTCCCTCATCGCTAGGTCGAGCAGACAACGGGTTGTTTTGGCCAAAACTAGCTGCAGTGGCACCTCTACGCAATCGGCAGACCAAACGTACTCCCTGGAACCTGGAGTCATGGAATCTAGCCACAGCTGCAGCACAAGCAGCCTCACTTTTATAGTTCACAAAGGCACAATTGCTCTTGGAAATCAAGAACACACTTTCAATGTCGCTGGTTGCATCTTTGGAAAAATGATCTTTCAGGTCAACAACGTTGGTCGAGGGGGGAAGATTGCCAACCCATAAAGCGTGTCCCGATTGCTTGGGTTTCCGTGGAGGACCTCGTGGTGGTATGATGGGAATAACTACAGATGATTGCCGTGCAGAATTGTGACCTATGCCATCCGGAATATGTTAGCCAATGTCCATCGCGCTACGAAACATATACAGATATCGCAAGAATTCACATACCCAAAGCGGCTAGAGGAGCCCCCGACTGCTTCATGCGTGATGATCCGTCGACAATGGTTGAGGAGACATCATAGCCCGCCGAGGCCCTTTGTTTCTCCGATTCCCTTGTAGTGATTCCCAGCTGAGCCTGGCGATAGTGATGGAATATTTGCGTTTGTCCTTCTATGCGCGTATTCGGCGTTACACCTTGCAGCTCGCCGTATCCAGGACTGTACTGGTGCTGCGTATAGAATGGATGACTGTATCCCGGAGAATGTGGATGCATGGGCGCTCCACTTTGATGATGGGGAGTAGGGTAGGGCGAGTAAGCTCCCTGAAGCTGCGGGTTCTGGTGTATGTACGCATTGTGGAAAGGCGGGGAGTAGGGCATGTTGTAAATTGCACCTCCTGGAGCATTCGGGCTGGCGTAAGGCATCTGCGCAACTGGGTACATCATTCCCTGTGGCTGATGAGTTGGAACGAATTGCATTTGGATGTTCTGTTGCAGAAACGATCGTGACGGACTCTGATAAGACGGCAATGCAGATACTATCTCGCTCATGTTCAATGACGGCGGGTTTGCTCTGTGAACATCAGAAGCCGAATGCTCGAGCGAGGCTGATTGATGCTCATTTGTTGAATCTGTGGTCTGGCGTGAGATTCCTGGTGGTTCGATGCTTTGTGTCAGGTCCGAGGAAGGATCACCTGGATAGTCTGTTAGGCGACTACACTGATACAGGCAACTCACAAGATGGACATACCTAAAGAGCCCTGGTCGCTCTTCCCCGAGATGGGTTCACGCTCGGGTAACATAGTCTCTTCAACGATCCCATCTCCGGAACTCTGAGAGTGGTCCGATGAAACATCGCCCATGGAGGCTACTAGCGTTTGGAAAGTATAGGTCGCGATGTATAGCAGACGCGTCTTTGTGATCGAGAGAGATGAAAGTTAAGTCACTTCTCTCCAATCCACGTGAAATGAAAATGGCGGCTATCGACAAACTTCAATGGCCAACCGGCTTGGTCACAGGTCCTACATATCGAGAGGAATGTTAGCAGACTATATCAAAGAAAAATCGGATACTGGAACAGAGCAGAAAAGAAGACAAGTGGCCATAGAAGGACAGGGTGGCAACGGTCATCAACCCTCTCAGAGGCCTGAACAGCACTCTTTCCCCGTTACAGAATGGACACTGCAATGGTAACGAGTGAGGAATAAACTTATATGCCTCGCGACCCCGACTGGTATGAGGCGGGAACCTTTTCCACTCAGCCGAAGTCTGGTACTCAGTGTCCGAAAACTGCCAGTGTGGTCTTTATCCACAGCAAAGAGATATAGAGCGGCTGTATTATCCGAGAAAGCAGTTACGGCGGGCTAAGCCGAGCGGGGTGACAGTGTTTGTTTAGGGAAATCGGTACAGACAGAATGTGTGTGTGTGTGTGTGTGTGGTTCGAGACTTTCGAAAAAGAGGCTTGGGTCAAGGAATAATCTCTCGAACGCACACGAGGAGCCCGTGCAAGACTGAAACAAACTTGTGGTTCGAAAAAAGTGATAAGAGAATGGAGCCACCGCCGAAACAGTGTGCACAAAATGAGGGTTGAGAGGATTGGATCAAGATGCTGTAAATGTTTGGTCCAATCAGCTGCTCGCACAGCCAAGCAGACTGGCAGCACTACAGGGGGCAGCGTGATTCTCGAAGCACAAATTGGGCAGCCACGGAAACCGGCCAGGGGAGTCGGAGCCACCTTACCTGCTGTGATTAACGAGCCGGCTCCTTTTTCAGCCACAACCTCCTAGAGGTGCTGTCTGTCTGTGCTTTTAGATGAGCACTTGGGTTGGCTTAATCACGGGCCTGTGGACGTTTAGAGTTAGGTTTGTGTCTAGAAGTTTTGCATCGTCTCACTTATGGATTGAGACGATAGATTCAAGACTGGATATCTTGTTGTTGCCATCGACTGAGACAACAAAATGGTGATGGAACTTGATGGAACGGAAGAAGAAACAACTTGCGGGATACTTACCTTTTTTTTTCTTTGCCGCTTGTGAATCGAGATGTCATCCGAAAAAGTAACTCGCACCACAAAGACACACAGGTACAATGCTGCGTTGATTGTGGAGGCAGGATAATATCAACTCCGGGGCGAGAAGTATGCTCCTGTTATCAGAAAAAAAAAAAAAAAAAAAAGAAAAGTATGAGCCATACAACCATCGAACAAGGGAATCAAGTGGAGAGGAGCTTCTAAGAGACGTGACCCAGTGCTGTAGGGTAGACCCGCAGAGGCTCTTTTTTCCGCAGAGCTCTTACAAAGCACCAGATACGAATGATTGAATGTGCTGTGAGATCAGGATGAGGCAAGGATATGTTTACCTACCAGGTTCAATTGGATCAAGGTAGGGCTGAGCTTTTGTTTACTCGATCCCCACAACAGTATATGATATGATCAGTCAGTGTTTGGTGGCGAGGATACTGATAAATGACACGCAGAGTCCAGTTTCTGAAACTCTAGGTTAGTAATTACATTCCGCACAACACGAGAAAGAGAAGAGCTCTTGGCTTGTGTAGAAGACACACCAGTGGAGTACATTCGACCCAGGATCCCCTTTTTTTTTGCGGATGAAAGTCGGTAGGCTGCACTAAGGGACGGCTGCACATGGAGGCCTAGACCTCAATGCTGCAGAAGTGCATTGAAAGCCAGGGAGAGCTCGAGATCCACCGGAACGACTTAGACTCACTTACCAAGTGCTCTAGTTCATGAGGAATCGATTACAACGGTGGCGTGGAATGTTTTAAAGCAAACAACAGCCACAATTGATCAGCGTCTTTCGGCACGTTAGTCTCTTCGTGACGGCGCCAAAATTCAAAGTTGAGCTTTTTTATCTTTAGAAGCGGAGATAGAAGCATCAACGTCAGATACGCCACAGACTAACTTGAGCTGTTACATGCAGATTGACAAGGATTGACGATGGAGCTTGACGGGAGTTTGTATGGTTCGGGGTCCAGATAAGCTGAATAACCTATAAGAGACACAGGTTTGACGAAGAGATGGAGTATGGCAAATTGATGCCAATGAACAAATTTAATGCATAGCGGAGAATGACAACGAGAAAAGAGAATACGAGCAAAATCGGTAAAAGAGTGAGGTTAGGAAGAGTAGGAATTGCAGTATCGAATCTTCTATAAAATACGGGAACGTACCTCTGGAAGTTTTGTAGGTACCTTTTCCTTGCACGCCTGACCCGTTTTATGCAGCCACAACGAAAAAAATACACATATGGGGAAAGAGATCATTTGTCGTTACCGAATTCAGACAGCCTCGGATCCAATTACTTTATTCCCATTTCTTGACAGTTTCCACAATTTCAAATTTTTGGATGGAGGATAAGTACTCCATATTAGTTTTGAGAATTACTATATTCGGACAGTGGAAAGTACCTGACAGCTTCCTTTAATAGAAAAAAAGGGGGTCCTTTTGATACCAGATCTACAAATACATCGAATCACATAGCGCAGTCCTTCCCATATAAAAATTTGCATCCGGACTGGCAGCAGAAGATTGGAGAGCCGTGAAACGGGTAAACTTACATTACGAAAGTGGCTCAACCCCTACCACAATTATGAATTTCTGATTTGCAGATCGGTGTGGCGTTTTTCAGTGCTGTCTCATGACTCGCCGGTATTGATTGGTACGATGGCATGAGCGTTGTGGTGGCTGAATTCTATTCTGTTGTATGGCTTCGAGATGCTTCACTTTTCTACGATATACGCTTCTTCCCTCGGCTTCGGGGGTCATGGAATCGAGCCTTATCGAGACTCGGGAGCAGCTGCCCCGTGATTCGCCACCTTTCATGCTTCCTAGCGGGTTATGAGCAAGTACCGGAAGTGGGAACAAACTGAGCATTGATACTTAGTTCAATACCAAGGCAACTAGTCTCCTGTTTCTCATGCCATGGCCTTTCAAAGTGTCAGGTCGTCGGTTGAATCAGCCACGCAACGTGATTGGTGGGGTCCTTCCCGGTCGTGTATTGAAAATTACAGACCTACATACTAGGGCTGCTTCAGTTTCGGCCTGCACATGTATCAGTTCTTTCGTTCTTTCGCGTTGTCTTCAAGTTTGTCTCGTTTATTTGCAGCATCATCAAATATTTCGACTTTCCACCAATCAGATCATTGGTTCTATCTCTGGTGGCAAATAGAAAAAACTGCCAAACCAAGAATTGCGGTACGTGGTAACATATTTTCATTCTTACGCGCGTACCCTCCCTCATATCATCGGAGATCGAGAAACGGGTACAGTACCACTAGCCCCGAAGCTTGGATTTTGTCCACTCATTTGGGGCTTAGACTCTTCTAGTTCATTCTAGCTGTAATTTTAATGGGTGCTAAACTAGATCCATGACTCAACAGAATATGGAGATACGGTGAAAATTACTAGTTGCTCCACGTTGGAACCATCCGGACATCGAACATTCTAAAAAGTCAAAGAAACAAAGATACTCGACCAGTATAACACACTTTGAAGTATGTATCCGTAACTAGAAAATATGAATTGTCTCCCCAAACTGCCTAACAAGGCAAATAGAATTCAAGCTAATACAGCAGCGTATCAGGGCAGAAATGAATACGGAAGTAAGCAGTTGTGTTTGACCAGGGCCGGTAAGAGATACCAGCCAATCGTTTAATACATCCCTTGCCGCTTTCGGCATGGCGCATACAGAACTGATTGTATCTACTATATGGATGTATATACTCAATACTCGATGCAAAACAGTAGCGAAGTTACAGCACTGAGGACGCAGGTCATGTTCAAGCTGTTAGGTATTTGGTGCCTGTATGGCTACAATGCAGTCTGACGGTTTCACGCTGGACGCTATATAGTTTCTAGAAACGGTTCGAGTTAGGGCTAAGGTAGATTCAGTTTCGAGTATATGGGGTACCTTAAATACGATTAAGATCTGACAATGCAAGGATATTATTATATTCCTGCCAGGAATCCCTGCATGAATTGACGTTTTCATTTTTAGAGTAGGAGGATCATTCAGCAGTCATCATCTGTTCGCAGTGATATAACTATTTTCTAAAGATTATGTCCCATGAGCTTAGGTCCTTTTCATCCTCAGCCATGTGTATGTCATACTGGTACTCTTTTCCGAGAAGAGACGCTGATTCGTGCATAGACAGTATAGTTTATATAATCATGCATTAAGTTGGAGGTAACGTGCATAAGTCGATGATCATCTCCGCATACAACTCGACTGCTTCGACAAAGTGTATCAGAAGGACAGAATATCCTTCGGGATTGATGTGCAAATTACACTCGCAAGAAATTAATCATGAGACGTAGAAACATGCCAATGTTGATAATCGTCTGTTGTCTTTTTTGATAGTCTGACATGTGAAAGCGCGCTATAGTGTTCTACGAGCAATCTGTCTTGATCAATGGTGCCTGAGCATCAGTCACGAGATCCATTGTAGATCCCCCCATCAAGCCAAGATTTTCGTCGTGTGGCAAATCTGTATGGAGTAGCTGCAGGACCCGTTATGCCTATGTCATTGTTTACTTCCCGTTTTAAGTACAGGCTAAGCCCCTCCTTCGGCTTCTTTCCAATCCTTCTTCCTTCTCTTCTTCCCATCCTTCTCGATGTGAACCCCTCGCTTTGACATACTCACCCTCAAACCTCGACCGCTTATAGGACAATCAAATGTCTTGATTCCCATGATCAGCCTCGGCCAGCTTATGTATTCGGAAACCACCCGCTCCGATCCGCTATTGTCGTACCATACGAGCCCGGTAGTTTATCAGCCAAAAAGGCCAGCTGGCGAACGATGGAGAGCAACAAATGAAGCGTTCGCCACTGCGAGAATCTAATGGGAAAATGCTCCCGAGTCCTCCAGTTTCATTCGATAGTCTCTCCCTGGAAAGGGAAGAGAAGCTGGCGCGGAACCTAGTTTACTACCACTGGCTGATTCGTCATGCGCTGCCACGGTCGAGACGGATACCCGCGGAAAATTTCATTTTCAAATGCCGTGTATGAATCGTGCTACATACTTCTTCCGTCTGGAGACACAGTATCCTGAAATAGGATATTGGCTCATCCGCTGCTGGAAATATATTTACTCGAATCGCCACCTCATAACTCGGCGCGACTGTTGCGGTTGCCGAACGTCTTCCTTTCTCGTACGTTGTATAACACGGATCCTGAAAGACCGGACGGACACACAAACAGGGCGAACTTAAAAAGATCTACCAGAGGATGAATGTTTCTTGTATCTTACTAAAGTAGGCAGGTAGTCCGTTTCGTTATGATATATCATTGCCAAAACAATCGAGATACAGGTAGATCAAGTGGGCATATCGAGAAAATCATTACTAGGATGTAAACACGATGCATAGAAGCTAAGCACGAATGCAGACGAATAAGAAGTGTTGCATTGGATAAATGCAAATCTTGCGCAGGTTTACTCCGTACGGAGTACGTGTCCTAGGATGTAGGTCGAGAGCAATGTTTGGACGACGTTGAATTAGAGCTTGACTACAAGGCATCTTTTGCCTGACTCCCCGGCTCGGGCGAGAAGCAAGGACGAAAAAGTCGAGGTTCGACAAATGAAAACGATGCGAAGTGGTCGATAAGCGGGTAAGACTGGAGCCAAAAGAAAAAGAAAAAGGAACGGGAACCACGATTAAAGTGGGGTGGGGCCTATTGAGCTGTGGATCATATGGATGTCATGTCATTGTGGAGATAACGGTTTTGTCCAATAAAAGGCTCTAATAAGCGCCACATCAACGTATGCGGCGTTTTTATATGGAACTGTGGAGAGAACTTTCCCCAGACCGCACCCAAAATCTGACCAATCACGCTTTCGATCGGCATTGAGTCTCTACTTCATCCTTTCACTCTCACTCGTTAGGTGCACTCGTATCACCTCACTAGGAAAGATGCATTCTCCATTGTGGCTTGAAACGCCACCGCAAAGCTGCTACTCTTGTGGCATGTGACCATTGACATGTACATGTTGCATGACTAATGTGCTCGAGGCTTGGACTCCCGTCAGACAACCATCATGTTCGACTTCCGTGCTTTCCATTATCAATCTCTAAGCTCGTTAATTCGGCTCTAGTAGCCAATTGCATCTCTTCTAAGATCCATTTCAGCGGATGAATCGGGTGGCAAATATCTCACCCAAAAAAAAAGTACACAAAGTTCTCTAAGATACACCGAGAAACTTCTGTTTGGATACCTTCGCCGAGTGTACAGAGCCGACTCTCCGAGACTGCTGCCGTGTCTGCGCCCATGGAATCAGGTCTTATGATTTGTTTACGCTGATTGAATTGAATGGATCTAGGCATTGTGGCTGACGAACGAGGTTAGCGCTACAACTCATAACATGTGAAGCACTGTATGTCGATATACTTACGAAAATACTGCAATAGTGGATACAGCAACGCACGCCTCTGTCAAAAGAGCAAAAATTGCTCGTTCTTCGCCATCTTAATGACAAAGTAGCTCTGTCATTTGACTCATCTATGCCGTATGTACTTCGTATATTCGTATATACTTGGAGAACTCTATATCTGAAGCTCCCGGATCTTTGGTAATTGTGTATCACATTGTGGAGGCCGTGGAGTCAGTGGGATTTACGGGAATTGTACCGATTGTAGATAATAGTCCTACAACCCATACATGATCAGTGCATCCAGTGTCCACATATGCATGTACATCCGTATTCCGCGTGGATAAGAATTCTACCAGTAGAAGTGGAAAGAAAACATCTGCCTGAAGACAAAGACGACACCTAGGAGTTCTATTTTAAGTTTGTGACTCAACTTCATCTACTCTTTTCTCTGTTGGTTCAGCCACCGAGTGTGGCAGTTGAATCTGGCGATCCCTACAGCCGCCACTGAAAAAGCCACTTTTTGATATTAGAACACACTGGCTAGACGCCCAGCTGCATTTCCAACGAGGCTGCTAGATCAAAGTGGCCCGTCCTCGTCAGCTTCGTATAACACGACCACTCACGGGCTAGCACGCTGAGGACGCTCAGAACTAGACCCATTATCGTCGTCAGACCTAACGAGAAAAAAAAAATCACTTATGAATCAAAAGTTTTATGAGTCAATGTCGTACGATTCGGTATACCAGTTGCTCCGATTGTTTTTTGCACGGATAGAGAAGGGTGAAGAGACGCTGGGAATTTTGCCACTGTCCTTTTTGCCTTTCGGGGTTGATGCTGTTGTCCGGGTTTGAGAGATACTGTCCTTCGAAGGGGCATATGAAGAAGGATTTCAGGTGCCTAGGTATGGGTATGCCAGGAAGACAAGCATGAGAGAGGTTGTAGTGGCCTTGGAAATACCAATGCTTGAGGTGCCTATCGAGAGAAAATAGTCATTGAGCAAACACATATCATATTGGAAAGAAACGAGACGGGCATGGAGTCCTTATTAGGTGTATCTTCTCTAGTGTTCACATTGGTATCATGTATCCGTATACTGAATCATCAGTATATTATATGCGTCCATGAACGTATCAGAAATACCTAGATAGCAGGGCAAATTCAATGAACCCACTGACAATCGAGCAAAAATTTGGCAGAGTATGAGAAGATTTAATGTTTCGCAACTTATTAACATTGAAGAGTAGGTATCGAAAACGAAGGACAGGAAATAGATAGGTCCATCAGATATCATCTGACATAACAATAATGCATGAAGCGTTACCATAATGAGACGGAAAGTAGTATGTGATGAGCAAAACAAAACACGAAAGATAAAAAAAATAAGAGATCATCATGGGTTGACCTTCGGGAGAACGGCCATTTCATAAACATTGCAACATTGAGTGGGAAACAAGGAACAAAAACAAAGGTATCGTGCAATTACATAGTATATATCCAAAGCATCGAGATGATTTTATCCTCTTGCCTTATTCATTTATCAACGCCCAAGGATGAAACTTTGCCTGCGAATCTTGCACCGGCACTACCCCTCTTCTGGAGTTTTTCTCGCTCCTTGCTGTCAAGCGGCGCAAGGGCATGGGCCGCTGAATGTGCTTCAGAATTCGACCCTCCTCGAATTAGGGGTAGGGATGATAGAGTATCGGCCGTTGATCTACCAGAACTTGGGATATTATTATTGATTATGGCAGTTGATGTTGATGGCGGAATGGAACCTGAAATGGTAGCCGTGCGTTGGCTAATGTACAATTGCGCCGCTGGCGAAAGAAGAATAGGCGCTGGTTGCTGTGGGATCTCTGCTCCGTTCTGTACGAGGAGTTCGGCGATGGGGAAGGGAATGGGTTTGGGTGGTGCTTGTTTGGCGGTGCTCACGGGAGAGAATCCAGGCGATGTAGATCCAGGAGTGGCTGGATCGGCGGCAGCAAGAGCGAGAAAGACGGTGTGCGTGTTCCGTGACCGATCTGTAGCATTGACGTTGGCTCTCAATGCTATGCCGTAGAGAACTCCTTGTATATCATTCTTCTTGATCGATGCCAATAGTGTCTCGTTAGGAGTACTATAATGAGATAGTCCTGCCACTAACGGTTGTACGTATGCGTGTTCAGCGTACTTGGCAGTGATAAACTTCAATCGCTGTTCACGAGAAGATTGCGGTTGAGGCTTCAACGATTGATCTAAAGTGGCCTCCCAGATCATATTACTGACCCGGTTTCCGATTTGCAATAGGATTTCCACAATGTCATTCGAGAACGAGTTCACATCCAACGTCAACGACCGAATCTTTGAGATATGAGTCCCCAAAGAACGATGGATACCGCTGCATTCTATGCACAGTACAATCCCGAGGTTAATCGATACCCATTCAACTTTGAGCGTAGACCCGCAATCAGCACACCACTTATTCCCATGGTCAGCATCTCGAATAGTCTGCAATAATTTGCCGGGGTTTTCTTCATAACTATGACTGTCACTCCGAATATAGCTTGGTCGTGCACCAACAGTTGTCCGTCGGTTGACACTATTCGCATTTGCCGATGTGGTAGTGGAATAAGAATGTTGTCCCGAATAAGAAGAGCTTTTACCAGTCAGGATAGAGCCAATGTCACGCCGGATGGAATTGCTCTCGCTGTGCGATGATGGTGGAGGCATGGATGGTGGCGCACTCTGCCCTTCAACCGCACTTTGTAGAGCGTTATTGATGGCCGTTATCCAATTACTCATATCTTCTTCGGAAGTTGCTTGATATATGCGCTTATACTGAGGAGTAATAACCTCAAAGCAAAAACGACGTTCAGCATTTCTAGCCTCGCGAACAGAGGCCATGCGAAGGTCGATGGGTTCTATATGCAAATCTAACCGTTGCTTCCAGTTACTATATTCGGAAAGTTTGCCCTGATCCAGCACAATCCAAAACCTGAACACGATGTATTAGTAAAGACTCTAAAAGCAAAGTCAAAGAAGGGGAAAGCCTACTTGTGCCATGCTTGTTTATTAATACCCTTAGGATCAATATGCGAGCCAGGCCGCGATAAAGCCCAGAGCAAGCCTTCCTTTCTTTGAGGGCCACCTTGTTTGTCGGGACCAGATACCGACGAGCTATCACGTTCTTCAAGATCGCGAATGCCCTTGAAACGGTTTGCGCCACCAGTAGAGCTGGCATTGGACAGAGAGCTCGTAAGACCAACTTGCCCAGGAGACTGAGCTGTCTGTGAAGAGACTGACGATGCATTACTATGCACGTTTCTGAGCTGGGAGCCAGTACTATCTGCTCGATTGAGCTCTGTTTCCGGCTGCTGTGCACTATTTACTGCTCCAATTGCAGCCGAGGTACTTGCACTGTCTGGTTCCACATAAGTCTTACTGCTTTTCTCCAAAGCACGTCGTTTCTCTTCTCTTTCTGTCCTTTTGAACTGGAATTCCTTATCGGCTTGATCAACTTCTCGTACCAATGCCTCCAGTTGTGGAAGCATATCCTCCACTTTCTTAGCTGTTGACAGATAGTTTCTTGCTTGTGTTTCTGCATACTTGGTGAGATGTGACAACACTTCTTGTTCCTTTCGACCACCATGAAGATCCTGCATGAAAGATGAATAGTCGAATCGTTTCAGCTCAAAGTTGCGTCGTTTAGTCTGATACTTGGAATCGCTCTCAACCCGTTTCTTTTCCTTTAGTGAATCCTGCCGTTGTCCCAAGTAACGACCGACATAGGCGTAGTAGTCCCTGCTTTCTTCGTCAAAATCTTTTTTCTTGGATTCTGCCTGCTTGATATCATTCTGATATAGTTTGGTCAATGGCTCGATGACGAGTTTCTGGAGCTGAACAGCGTTGAGTTGTTCATATTTCAGGATCTCCCGCGCAATCTTCTCAAAATAATGCTCCATGGCTGGCTGAATAGCATTAGCATTGGAGGTGGACGCATCGTTCAGGGCAGAAATGAATGCGTTCACGGCATCGTTGCAAGCTAACTGCGCCACATGAGCCGCCTCGGCCTTCTTAAGAACTTTCTTAATCTTCGTTCGCATACTCCCTGTTTTCTGCTCGAGTGCTTTCATAGTCGCACGAAATAATGGACCATCCTCCACGGCGCTCATATCCTCACCTTGTCGTGACGGAAGATCGACTTTGACCGGAGCGGGCGTGTTGGGGACCGGAATGGAAGAAGACGACGATGGTGGATTAGGGATTGCAAGCTCTCCATGATTAACCGTCTGTCCTGCCACGCCGAAAGGGCCTTCTGTGTCGCTCGAATGCGACAAAGCCGACTGACTGGACGGCACGCGATTGCGAGAGGGATACCCAATATCCAAGTGCGGTGGTGACATCAATTGCGGGCTAGAGCCAGGGCGCGATGTGTTTTGTATCCAAAACGTAAGATTCGCCAAGGTGTTTAGGCGGTTGGTCCTTTGATCATAATCGAGAAAACTGCAGCTATTGCGCCACCCGCCTCCCTTATCTTCTACCGCCTTGGGTGGTTTCCATTTCCAAGTCCACTCAAACTGAACCGAGGGACTCCCACTAGTCGAGAAATCGCCCACCAACTGTACATTCGAATTGTTTTGTAAATTCGGGTTCGCATGGAACTCTCTTGTGATCAAGTTATCGAGTTCCTTGATGTTGGACGCATGCGCAAATGTTAGGCCCATAAGATTTGTATCCGTAGTCTCTGGTAGAGAAGTTGCCACTCCATTGATGTTGGAATTGTAGACTTGACCCGACTGTGTCTGCCTGATTATGAACGTGAATTTGAATGAAAGTTCTTCGTCATTGTTCAACCGAAGGAGGAAGGAGGGTATCGAAGTAGACTGCGGAGGGTCGGGGTCCTGGATACGGGACACATTAGAACCATCGAAATTTGGACATCTGACAGATTACTATACCTGCACATATTCAACGGGAGAGTCATCGCCAGAATCACGCGCCGCGATATATCTCGATGCCGGAAATGCATTTGGTGTAATATGTAGTAGTGCTCGCCCATGCGAATTCAGAACAGTTATATTTGCGATCGCAACTACACAGTAGCGTACGAGTTAAACACAGAAAAAGACAAACAAAGCTATGGCGACGCCGAGAGAAACTCACATCTATTCTGGTCCTTGAAGAACAAGGTCCCCGAATCATCGATTTTGCTCGAAACAGTTCCCATTCTCCCCGACTGATCATGGAACGAGCGCAAATGGCAAGCTAGTATTTCGCAAATGCAAAGTGACAGGCGTAGCTCGACAAGTTATGAACATCGAGCACCAGAGTGTTGCAGTTTCGTGTGAATCCAAACGAGTGACAAATCCTTAAAAGTCGGAGCCAGGTCTCATCTCAGCCTTGTATTGGTAGACCAAAACAGTTATATAGACTTGAAGGACGGTGGCTGGTATGGCATATGAAACGCGGAAATCGAAGATTCACTAGTCGAGGGATGAAATATGTTTTATCTGTTTGCCTGGTAGCGAGTGGCTTGGTTCAGGAGTATACAAGGACAGGTGGAACAAAAAGAAGTGGTTGTCACGCAGTAGTGAAGGCTGTCTGTCTCAGAAAGAACACATGACGAAAGGGTCTGGCGGGAGACTTTGTTGCCTGGTCATTGACTGAATGGCCGAGTTCAAGTCAAATGAGTGATGAGCTATATCGAGTGATGGTGCCACCAGTAGTTGGAGGAAGAAAAAGGTGAGCGCGACGACTCCAGATGAGAAGATGGTGGAAGGGAAATAGGAATGAATGTGGTGGTGGTGGTTGTTCCAGCAAAAGTTAGGTGGGGGAGATTCAGCCCCATACTCTCTTAGTCAAAGGCTTAATTTTGCCTGCCAAATACAAAAATACAAATATCCATCGATATTAGTTGCCTAGAGTTACCTACAGTCCTATGTATTTTTTATCTCAACTCGCCTGATCCAATATGAAATGCCACTCACTCGACAGATGCCACAGCCACGGTACTAACATGATCTTGTAGATCTATTGGTTAGTGAATAGCTGCGAAGTTACAAGGCCCGTGTGAGAGCTAGGACGACTTATCACAGTTAACCCGCAGCTCTGCAGTATTAATCCCAATTTTATTCGACATGCCAGCATCAATATAGACAGGGAAATCAACCAGTGATCTCAACCAAACCAGCCATGACCTCATGACAGAAGAAGTGAGAACCTAGCCAGCCAGTCTCAAAACCGACAAAAAGCGAAATATACAATAACATACAGAATGAATCAAGATCAAGAATATTATAGGAATAAGTCATGAGCAAGCCATCAAGGCAAAGAAGAAACAATTATGGTCAGAATCATCAAACCGTACTGTAGATCGTGGGAAATCATTCATGCCTCAGCCGCTGCTGCCTTGGCCGTGCTATCATTTGACGCCTCTCCGTTTGTGTTTTCGTTGTGAGGTGGCTTTTCATTTGATGTTGCCTTAGCATGCCCGTCGACAGTCCCATCCGCTTCGATCCAGTCCCGGAATTTGCTTTTAACGTCCTTCAAGTCATGTATATGGTGCTTACCAGACTCAGTGCCAGTTGCCTGTCCCGCCCGCTCGAGCAGGTCTTGCTCATCGGAACTGGACAGTGATGACGAAGAGCCATTCACTTGCTGCGTATAAACCATGTTGCCTCGAGCGCGTTGTTTCTCGGCTCTTCGTTGCTCTTTAAGACGGTTCATCCGTTCCGCGTCCTTTTGGCAGTCAAGCGTCGTGATCTGAAGGCCGGGGAAGTTCTTGGACAAGAATTCACGTAGAAGCGGAAGCTTCTCAGCATTCGGTCGGTATGTACCACTGTCATTGTCGATAATCAATTCATAAGCCGAGCAGTCATCCTGATCTTTTTCTGTCACGTCGACTTCATCTGATCCTAGTTCCGTGCCGCTTTCACTAGTTCTCGGGCGGCTGCTGGAAATAGAAGTTATAGATTCTCGAAATCGACGATGTTTTTTGCTGGGTCGCACAAAGAATTCTCCGGAAAAGGCAACGTAAATAGAAACGTCACTGTGCATAGTATGTTTACTCAGCAAGTCAATGCCGAATTCTTTACCAGTCTCTGTGAATCGAAGCTGGCCATCCAGAGTCAGGATATAGGTAAAAATACGCCCCCCACGACCGTGATCGACAAAGTCCAGGAAGAGCTTGGTCAGTTCCGTACACGGGCCAGGGAATGTCCCATTCATGGTACTGCGATCAAAGTTGTAAATCCGCGCATGTTGGTGATGCAAGGCACGGTTCAAAATGCGTCCACGGAGACTGTGGGAGGTGAACATCCCTGCCACAAATGGCTTGAACTCGACATATCGATGATACAAATCATCAGGTACGGGACCCTCGAGTTGGATTTCGATTGCTTGGAAGCTGATGACAACATTAGTGAGTCGATTTTATATATTCTTGCTGACAACACATACTTATATGGAGTTGTCTTTCCCTCAGCATTTTGATTCTCTGATGTCCCAGAGGTTCCCAAAAGCCTTCCAATCAAAGGTGAGAAGTGCTTGAACCAGTATATCGGCCCAACTGTATATATATATGCACCGTTATCAGATTCTGTCCGCCCCAGCCACTCGACACTAACGATAAGCTCTGCGTTCAAGTCCCGTGAAGCAGATAAAGCCGCCACGACCGTTCTCACCATATAGGCTCTTTTGCTACCGGCGCGTTTCTTTAAATGATAGGCGCCCTCCTTGATTCCTGCCCAGTCATCTGTTATGCGATCTACCACCACGTGGGCGTTTCCCAACTTGTCGTCATGGTCTGCCGGATCTTCATCATAGACTCGGCATTTGAGATGAAATCCGGACGCAGGCACATTTGCAACAATCCATTCCGCATCCCACACCGGGTTGACGTTTCTTCTTATAGTAGGCGTCCGAAAGATGAGATTGGGATCTTGCTTGTGTCGTTTCGGGAGATCGGTCTTCAATTCAGCGTGCACGAAGGGATCGGACGATAAGGTACCAAAGTCGGCTGCGGGTAAGTTATTGGCTCGATGAAACGTGAATTTCAGTGTATAGCCGGGCGGAGCATGTGGGAATGGAGTATCATCGAACCCTCCAGGAGGATTGTTCTCTTCAGCCTTGTCGTGGTGGTCGGCAGGTCTGAATGCTAGGGCTTTGTCATGCGCCTTTTCTGTTTTCTCGACGAATTTGGGACCATAGCGCTCGATCATATGTTGTCGCTGCACTTCTGGCGCGACCTCAGTACCCATGGTTCCTTTCTTGGTTCTTCCTTCGTAATGTCACAGGAGCAGTTCCTGCTGCTACTCAGAACGATTGTATGATAGTGGGATGGGGAGTTTGGGTAAAGATTGCGATGGACTGCAGTGCAGTCTCAGTCAACGAGGTACAGGCAGAGTCGGCCAACACTTCAACGAAATTGCGACTACCGTTCAAGAGAAGTCAAAATGATCTTTGTCGGATAATCGGCAGATCAAGTGATACCAAGCTTCGCTTGGCACAATCCGTCAGATCAGAGAGACTCAGATCCGAGAGACGATGATGTCGACGGGAGAGATGAAAAGGTGATCGTCAAGAGAAGAAAGAGTGGCTGCGAGCTACAGTTATGTAGTCACTGCGCTCTGTGCTATTCGGCAGGGCATTGTGCCGATATCCATATTAAACATGGTTGGTTCTTCCTTTTGACTCTCAGCTGGAACGTTTTTTTGGGGAGTTCGAGGGGCACCGCATGTGACGTAGTGACGCCAGATTGACCAATCAGAATGCACCAATGAGCAATCGCTCTTTTCGTCTGTTCCTGTTTACTCTCACATCTCCCTGTTTATTACTAGATTTCAGTCGAAGTGAGCAATAGAGAGTCGTTGGTTGTGTAAAACATGCGCATATTGTCTCAGGTCATGCTCTAGTGCTATGAAAATCCAGACATAACAGTATGAAAAATATACAAACAGACACCTTCCCATGGATCTTCATGATATGTGGCCGTGCCCAACCTAACTAGTAAGCCATTCCGCATACATGGTGCGCACCGCCTCAGATCCCGTGTGGCTGTGACCAAACGCCTAAAGTAACCATTCCTTGCAAAACCGTAGCCTGCCGTGTCGCCTAAACATAGCGCTGATTTGCAGATGTTCAATTCGCTTTGTCGGACTCTACATTGGGGAAAGAAGCCAAGAAAGCGATGGATGCTGCCACTTTACGAGCCTCGGAACAGGAACTGCATGTCTTCCGGAGTCAGTTTCTCTAGCGCATCTCCCTGGTCTTTGTTGATAGTGCCGTTGATCATGTTGGCCTTCTTCTCCTGAAGAGCAACCATACGTGATTCCACCGAGTCCTCAATGCAGAGTCGTGTTATGACACAGGGCCGGCGTTGCCCGATTCGATGGCATCTGTCAGCACTTTGCCATTCAGCTGCAGGATTCCACCATCTGTAACCAATTCCCGGTCAGTACTAGATCCTTAGATAAAACAAAAGGTGAATTGACTTACGGATCGACAATGAAGACCCGAGATGCCTCTGTAAGATTCAAAGCCACTCCACCAGCCTTGAGAGAGACTAAGAAGACTTCGACATCGACGTTCTTCATAAAATGGTCGATAGAATTCTGACGTTGCGCTGGAGTCATACTGCCGTCTAACATGACCGTATTGAAGCCGGCTCGGCGCAGACGCCATTCGACTAATTGCAGCATCGAAGTGAACTGCGAGAAGACAATCGACTTGTGCGTCTGCTTCTTGCTTCGTAGCTTGTATAGATCGTATACGAGCATCTCAATCTTCGTAGATGACGTCCAGTCCTCCATTCGGATCCGGTTGATGATCGAGTTTTTCTTAACCACGTCCTCTTCTTGCTCAATCTCAGGCTGCTCGAAATCAATTGACAAAGGGATATGGCACCGAGGGCAGTCAACAACCGAATCCGCATCAAAGGAACGCATATAGTCTTTAGCACACTGACGACAGAATTCATGATGACATCGAGACCGAATTGGGCTTTCAGCAGGTTCGTCACAAATGTTGCAAACTAGCACATTCTGCCCGCCTTCACCGTGCTTCTTAAGAATCAGGTCTGGGTGGTTTGCTACCTGCCGCATTTGCATGATCAATCCGAAAATGTTGGCATAGTTGTTAAGCATGACACCACGGCTAACGTAAGTGTCGAACTGTCGAGTAGTATTGGTCATGATACTGGTAGAGAAGTCGCGTTCAATCTCGCCGAAGAACTCATTGTGTATAATGACACTTTAAAATATGAGCTTGATTCTTATATTCCACACTGATGAAAAGGAAGTACTTACCGCTTAGGTGGAAGTTCCATTGACGATGTATGATCTCTTTTCAGACGTCGAAGCATGATTCGGTCCGTGATAAGACGGAGCTTGCGTAGGGCATCCTGGCGAGCCTGTCCATGGCTTTCCGTGACTGGAATTTATCAGTATTTAAAAAAGGTGCCTTTGTTGAAATCTAGTCTTACTTGGATTGAGGATTTCCTGGTTGAAGACCGACACATGACTGAATCCACTGTGAAAACTATGAGATACTGCTTCATTATCTAACGGGAGATAATGGTTGGTTACCTGTGATGGCAATGTGTGCATCTCTTTTCGGCGTCTTGAGACCAGTGTAGCTCCTGACATTTGCACACTTTGCAGAAATAGCATGCAAATGGGCGAACTTCAAGGAAACGAAGTAGAGAGAAGAACTCGCCAATGCGATTCTGAACTGGAGTTCCTGACAGGCACCATTTATACGTGGATTTTAATGCGAAGCATGCACGAGCAACACTGGTTGTACGTTGCTAATTGATGTCAGATGACTGTGAACAGCAATAAACCAATGTCACTTACTTTTATGCTGTGTGCTTCGTCGAGAACCAGACGATGGAAATCAATTGAATGTATCACACCTGCAAATATGGTCAATGTTTGGAAGCTCATAACATGAATTGAGCAAATACGTACTGTCTTCTTTTACAATGCCATCCTCTCGATTCCAGCCTTTCATTTCTTTGCGGTACATTGACTCCAGGCCAGAATCTGAAAAGAAAAAAAACATCCCATCAGCTGGATTGAGACAATAGAACAAGTAGGTAACTCACATGAAATCATGATAACGTCGTAAGCAAGGAGGTCCTTTCTTTTCAAATGCTTCACTTTATGGTTTGAGTTGTGATAAACGAGCACCTTCAGTTTGCCATCAGTGTATTCCTGTGACTGGTCAGAATTGATTGCATACCCGCTGCCGATTTACTCACGTTGATTTCTGACTGCCATTGCATCAAAGCAACAGGAGGCACTACAACTAGAGATGGCTTGCCCACAGGGTAGTCAGACATGAGCAAGGACACCGCTTGGATTGTCTTCCCCATGCCCATCTCGTCGCCTAGCAATCCTCCTTTGTATTGGGTCTTTTCCTGTTGCATCATCCAGTTGAGGCCTTCCAGTTGAAAAGACTTGAGTTTGCGGCTAATGCCCGCTGGCTGTTCTGCCTGCTGAGGAACGATTGCTGGCATGTTTTCCAGATCTTTCCACATGGTGGTTATCAACGGATGTTGCTTCTCCAGCTTTCTACGCTCTCTCGCTGCCTGCCATGGGTTAGTATAGAAAACACATTGAATTCGAGGCATCAATCATACCCGGCGGCCCATGTGATAAGGAAGCGCTGTCTCTGTCTCTCTTAGAGCTCGAGCTCGGACCCGGCTGCGAAGTGAATTGTTAGGATTTCGAGCTCGTCGAGTCGCGGGGGGCGTAACAACTGGAACTTCCTCCTCTACTTCAGGAGACGCTTCGTCCGCCTCGCTTGCATCATCGTCAGATGGAGAATATGCATAGTCGTCTGCATCGTCCGTACCATGCCCATCATCTAGCATACGCATATCACCGGCATTCTTTGTCTGAGATTTAGGTCGAGAGCGTAAGGATCGCCGGCGGCTGGATTGAGGAGACATTTGCTCATCCCAGTCAGGCAATAGTTCATCCTCTGAGTCTTGAACCATGGGCGTGAAGTCTGCTGTATCGAGAGTATTCCGTTGACGTTTGATTTTACTTCCTCCATATTCTTCAAGTTGCAATTCACGAGCCAATGCCGCATCAGATGACTCAGTAGCGAGCATTTGAGAGACAGTTCTCTTTCCTCGGGTGGAGCTTGTAGACGCAGACGAAGGCAGAGCAAGGGCACTGGCACGGAGCTGCAGGGCTCTTCTCGAGGCACTGACCCTTTTTCTGGTCTTTCTACTAGTATTGTTATCAGATTCTGGCGGGGAGACGGGAACGCTTGTAGCGGGGGTATCAAGAATGCTGTCCTCGCGTGAGGTCGAATCGACCGATGGCGGCGAAAGTGACGAGGCAGTTGATAGGGAATCTTTCGCTTTGGCTGGAATAGCAACCTCGACTATTATGGATGACGTTCTTGTAGTACGACGAGTAGATCTTGGAGTCGGACCTGGAATTGATGCTGTGGTCGTCTCATCGTCGTCTCGAGCTTGAGTGGCCGACGCACCGCGTGCAAGCCTGGCAGAACTGCGTCTGGTCGTCATCGTAACGGTCGCTGCCTTTGTAAGAGGCTGGGTACATACATAAAGATGAGCTTTTAGTTTCTGTTCGCATGGTTTATTTCGACGGTATCTCAGTCTTACCACTAGATAGATGAACGATAAATCTAGCAACTTTGTACGGAGTGAGAACCGTCTTTCAAAACTAATAACGACAAGTGTGCTGGCTCTGCCCTCGTATGGTAACAAGTTCTACCTCGAGAGGTGTTTTTGACAGAGAAGAAGGGATAGTTGAGATTGATAAATCTGGATGGAAAGAGCAAGCGTCTGATTGGATAGTTTTACCCGTTCCCTCGCGGCAGAGACGTCCTCATTGGTGGGCCCGTGGTTGCCTGAAGCACACCCCTTATCCACTCGGGGCCCGCCTGCCTCAAGTGCAATAAAGCGTAGCGCGGGAAGGCGCGATCAGTATCGATCGGAATCTGGGAAGGAGCCAAGTCAAAGAGACAAAAAAAGTCTTCTTTCTTGCCACCTCCTTGATGGGTACTCGATCTTGGTTGTAAAAGGCCCAACGCCTCCCAGGAACACCTCGGTAGTTACATGCCGATGGAGTTCTCGTTCTCTTCCTCTTTTTTTTTTTTGTGCATCCTCGACTACTCCCGTACGCCTTATCGGAACTCCACTCTGCCGACTCTCGCGTTAAGTGGAACGCGAAAGTGTCACGAGTTCCTGTGACTTTTGCCTCACCAAAACAGGCATAATTGCACTGATCGAGAGGAAGTCACTGAGTCGTACGAGACATTTATTCTTGAGGAGTCACCAATATGTAGGTTGCTGATAAACAAACATCTCTTTATTTATTTATTATATGGATGAAACGAGTCTGACAATGAATTCTACAGGTCGAACAGGTCTAATCGGCGGCAGAATGGAAATCAGATAAGGGGACCGTGAGTTGGATCAAGACCGCCATCTTCACTGATGCAAAGCTTACTTGAACTCTGTATGCAGACATTCGGCTCTCACTGACTTTCTAGCGGTAAGGATCTATTTTTCTAGTCTATATTTCATGCTTTCTTCATTGTCACAGGCTCCGCGAGACACCAAAGGCAACAGATTGTTTATAATCATGTACTAAATTTGACATCCCTAGTCAAACAATATCTCCGCAGCCCAGATCCAGAATGATTATCAAGAGCGTCTACGTCAGGCCGAGCGTCAGGCCGAGCGTCAAGCCGAGCGAGAGCAGAGGGAAAGTGGCCAAGTCGAAGAGCAGTATGAGGATGAGAATACTGGCGAGGCTCCCGAGGAAAAGAAGAAGAGGAAACGAAAAGAGGCTGCTACATTAGCCAAAATCAAACAGAGCAAAGAATTTGCACGTCGCAAAGCTCGCAAGGGCGATGACACGGATGACGATGAGATAGCTCGAGACATGATGTTACAAAAGTCGAAGCCATTGCCGGGACAGTTAGACAACTGCGAGATTTGTGAGAAGAGATTCACTGTCACACCCTACAGCAAGACCGGTCCAAACGGTGGCCTTCTTTGCGCCAAGTGTTCTAAAGAATTGGCCAAAGATGAGAAAAAGGCGAAGCCGAAGAAAACTGCTCCTAAGACGGGCCGTCGTCAGAACCAAAGCAAATTACTAGATGGCATTGCTCAGCAAGGCGCTCCAAGTCTGGTGGAGATGTGCATAAAGGTAATGCATTTTGCAGCGGTTTTGCTGAATGGTATTGTGGCTAATAAGATGTGTAGAAAGTCGCAGACAACATCAACGACGTGGAAGAGTTTGGTGACTTGCCTCCACAATTACTCCATCGTTTGAGTCAGATTCTATCCAAGAGACGAGTGCTCACTCCTCGGACACTTCAACTGTTTCTCCGTTCAGATTTTGATGCGATCAATATCTACGATTGTGGCAGTAAGTCTATCGGTTGATATCTGGTATATTTTGAACTCTTGCTAAAGCATTCTAGAACTCGAGACGGATGATTTTGAGAAGATTTTTGCCTTTATGCCGCATCTAACACATGTCAATCTGCGCTTTGCAGGTCAAATGAAAGATAAAGTGCTAGAATACATGATGGACCGTCAGCTCAAGATCAAGCATCTCCAACTCGATGCAGCGAATCTCGTCTCTGATGGTTGCTGGAGACGACTCTTTATGAAGCTTGGTGCTCAACTCGAGGGATTGAGACTTTCAAATCTCGATTCTTCCTTCGATGACGAAACTGTCGTGACCCTTACGAAACAATGTCCAAATCTTCGGCGCTTGAAACTAAGTCACTGCTGGAAAATCGGCGACGAAGCGCTTGCTGCTCTGGGAAATTTGTCCAGCCTCGAGCATCTCTCACTCAACCTACTGCGAGATGTGCAACAAACCAATGTTGTCAATCTCGTCGATAAACTCGGACCTAAACTACGTACTCTGTCTCTACAAGGCTCTCACGACTGCGACGATAAGCTACTGGAAACAATACACACACGTTGCTCTCGGCTTGAAAAATTGCGATTGTCTGATAACGCAGTCTGTACTGATAAGGGCTATGTGAATCTTTTTACGGGATGGTCGAACCCGCCTCTGAAGTTTGTTGACTTATCTTCGACACGCGATATCGATAACTCTAATCCGGACGGACCAGCGGAACCTGTTGGACTGGCGTCAAAAGGTTTCGTGGCTCTGATGGAGCATTCAGGATCCAAGCTAGAAAAATTGAACATCAGTTCGTGCCGTCATATTTCTCGTGATGCCTTTGAAAAGGTCTTTGCTGAGGATCGGATCTATCCTGCATTAGCGGACCTGGACATTTCGTTTCATACCGTGATGAACGATTTCGTTGTCGCATTACTCTTCAAATGCTGTCCCGCGATGAAGAAGTTGACGGCATTTGCTTGTTTCAATGTCGTTAACGTCCGCGTCCCAGCAGGAGTGGCATTGATTGGCGGTCTTCGAGCCCAAGACTCGATCATCGTCGAGGGAGACTTCTAAATATTCCTTTTCAATCGAAACAAGTCAATATATCCACAGCATGTCAAGAACTCGCTGGAACTGTTATTCCCTTTTGTACCTTTTTCCGTGTCTCACATGCTTCGTTCCGAATGGCTCGGTAGCCGCGGGGCTAGTCTTACTAAATGTTCTAGATCCCAAGGGTTTTGAGACAACACTCCCTTCTTCGTTACCACGTACCATAGATGGAGAATTGCGTTGCGATCATTATATAAATAGGAATGTGAATAGCATTCCGGTGACAGACACCTGGCTGCTCGTATTACCCGATGAGTTGTAAGGAATGTGAGATGCATATGCAGTGTGTACATAGTATAGCCATTAGTACCGCAGTTATAGACCAGACCAGTCGAAATCTCATTGCCCCTTTCTTCGTGACACAACGCAGATGGTTATTTTTATGCCGGCCCAAATGCAAGACATATGATGCCATGATCATCCCAGTACACAGTAGTAGCGGGCTGAAAAGGTCTCGCATGTGCCAGAAGAGTCAGAGACAAGTCGAGACGATCCACCCGAGCTTATGCGCTAAATTACATAAGCATCCCTCTATCAGTGCTCCGTGATTACGAGATGTATCCTGTCGATCTCTGTGTTTTCTTATCACGGCATGAGGAGAGGCTCAAATGGACGAGATAATGTTTATGCAAAGATAGAGGGGATTGATAATAGTAGTGCTCAATATTTAATTGATATGGCGAAGATGACGACGCATCGCATAGAATCTCCAACTCTAAAAAGGGGCTTCCCCTGATTCAGATCGCGTATTGTAATTACCGCTGGAACCACACCACTGGCAGCGTGAAGGCGTAAAATACGGTATCGCGGATCGGCCGATGAGACCGGCGGTGGCCAATCAGCGGGGTGCTTTCCGCCACCAGTCAGCTGTTGATGCTCTGTCCAAGATTTTTTGGCAGCCACCGTCTCCTCTTATGTCTTTTTTCTTATTCTTGAGAAATACAGCCTCCTTCTCTTTGCCTGTGCAACTCAGGAAGACGCAGAGCAGTAATTGTAGAAAAGCGCATTCAGTATCTGCAGAACGAACCCAGCCAAGCCGACAAATCTCTGGTACTATATTTGGGTCGATCTTGTTGATAATACTAGTGGGCCTGTAACAGATCAATTAAATACTGGAGATATCGTAGGCCGAGGAAAGGCCTGGAGAGCCGTCAACGACTGTCAACTTGACTGGCAGTTCATAAAATAATTAAGGAAAACAACCCAATTTATACTTGTGCATTCACTCAAGCTTGGCTACATTGCTGCTCGAAGTCTGGCCGGAAACGGTGGGTTCCTGGCGGCATAAACATCGCCAGTAGGAGCATGCCAGAAGGGCCACGGCGCTAAATCTCATGAAAACATCGATACTTTCTTCCCCTTCGTCTGTCTTCTCGACTGGAGCGATTCAATTTCTGTTTCATTCATTTTTTTTTTTTCCCTTATTTTTTCTTTTCGTTCTTGTCCTTGTTCTTGTACCGTCGTCTCTGCACATTGTCCCGCCATTAATCATAATAATATTATCGTGCTACTCGCGGACTCGGTCAGAGCCTTCCGTTGATTCCAGTGAATTCCTTTGCTGCGACTGCCCCCCAGCCTGCCGTTTGTTGTTTCATCAACCACCGAATCGACATCTACACGGCCCCTCGATAACCTCGACGTTGAAAGAATTCCTCGCCGAGGCAGAGTTTTCATAAGAAGAATAAAAGCATCTCTCTCTATACAGTCGAATCTCGTCTTGAAAGCGTCTCCCCGTCTCCCTTGCGGCGGTGTTGGCACCAGGCACTCGAGTCGGGCCTTTTTGTGTGTGTCAACAGGACAGTCCAAAACACCGTCTCAATGCCGATCAAACTCCCCAAAGGTTTCGCACGGCGAAAGTCGTCTGGTAACGTCCTCGACGAGGCGGAACATTCACCTGAATCCTCGTTTCGAGTATTCGAGCGTCCGAATGGTTTAAACAAGGGCAAGACCTTTACCACTGGTGAGGGTCGATACTACCGCCCAGAAACTGCGGAATCAGATAATATATTTGCCGGAATCGAGAAACCTCTACCTCATAATAGGTATGTCCCACGGTTCTAGCGAGTGGATGACGAACCTTGGTCAAAGTGTTCCGTTTGCTGACATACTTTGGCAGGGCTAGTGGTGGTACCAATAACTCCGCATCAACAGGTCTCTACGACAGCTCCTCTTCTGCTCGATATAGTTCATCTTCAACCCTGCCTTCGTCCACCGACGTCCCTGTACATAATGACCATTCCCGAGGAGTTCATGACTTGCCTGTGCCACCGGTGCCAGAGTCTCCCTCTGTGTTCTCCCTGCGTGCCGCCGGCCGGACATTCTCGTTCGGTGCGCGATCGCTACGTACATCTACACCCGTCTCACACTCGCGCCAGCAGACAACGGCTTCTCCATCGACTACCCGAGATCGAGCGACGACTGCAAGCTCCGCCAGCACGGCCATTCCTCCCAAGTTGTTAGACTCTGATTTGACTATTGGTCGAGCAGGCGATGACGACGATGGGTTTGGTAGCATGTTTGAGAACTTTGGCAAGCGAAAAAGCGCTATATTATTGGATTCTTCGAAATCTGTATGTCTATTGCCCACAGAGCGTGTTCCTTTATTCTAACAATATGTAGAGCGATACCCATACCCAACCGAAAGATAAGCCGAACGACCGAGGCGTCCCGTTAGCTCCTATAATTACAGATCGACGGCAGGCTGTCGAGCCATCACCCTTATCGTGGGATAGTCAGACATCTACTAATGCATTGATGCATGGAAACGATGACCGCGACAAGCATGAGGGCCGGACAGCAACACTGCCTCCGTCACAATCCATAACATCCGTCAAATCCGTAGCCCCCGAATCACCCGATAGCTACGATTCTGAAGACTCGCCATCGTTCATAGCTAACAACGATGACGCCGAGATTGTTCGTCAATCTATACTCTTGTCTAGTCGGGATCCCCATCCAGCTACCTCAAATAGTCCCCCACATGCAAATACGAACGAAGAAACTCCCCTATTCGAGAATGATGAGATCACATCTAGTGCACATTTAGCTTCGCAGTACGAGGAGCGACTTGCCTCGGCACCCAACACTCAGAACAAGGTCATGACACCCGCTCAGTTCGAACGCTACCGTCAACAGAGAGAAATGACACGCAGATTGAGCACCGCGTCCAAGAGTGACGGTTCGGACGCCGGAAACGATTATGAAGATGACGAGGAAGATGAAGATGAAGGAGAGAAGACCCGAGAAGCTGCACGGCAACGCCGCAAGCAAGAAGCCCATCTCTCCGTCTACCGTCAGCAGATGATGAAGGTTATTGGACAACACGCTCCCGCCCAATCGAGCAGCTCTCAAACACTGCGTCCGATATCCGAACAGGGCAGCATTAGCACGCCAAACTTGCTCTCGCGCTCGTCGATGCTCGGTTTGCCCACAATTCCACAGGAAGGCGGTAAGAGCAGCGATGGCGAAGACGATGAGGATGTACCTCTTGCAATATTGGCCGCACATGGATTTCCCAATAAGAATCGGCCGCCTACTCGGTTGACTGCGTCGAGCTCTAACCCGAACCTCCGCGTATCATATGCAGGATCCCCTGGGCCTTCCGCGAACGATAACGGTTCAGAAGCTCGTGCTAACTTGCCAGTATTTGCCCGCAACCTACCGCGAGATCCATATTTTGGCGCAGGCATTGTCAATGCTCCACAGAGGGAGAGTTTGGCAATGAGTGGTGGGGCGCCTCCTTTAGGAAGTTCGCCATCTCAGGCTTCTCTACATCCTGGTGGTCTCGTCGGTGTGATTGCAAACGAGGAACGTGCGCGGGCGATGCGCAGAGGCAGCCCCAATGCTCAAGCTGCAGGCATTCCTCGTCCGTACTCGGTCGCTAATATGGCTCAAATGAATGCTCCAGGTCCTTGGACCAACCCCGGAGGTTTACTTCAACAGCAGCAACCTCCAGTGATGACATCCGGAGAACAAGCGCAGATTCAGATTTCTCAACAAATGACGGAGATTATGCAGGTGCAGGTACAAATGATGCAGCAGATGATGCAAATGCAGGGTCTTTCTCCTGGACAGCAACCACCCCAACTCAATCCTAATATCCTGTCTGGCATTGGTCAGCCTATCAATACAGCCCAACGTCCGATGTCAATGGCATCGTCATTCCACCTACCCGCTAACCCACCCCAAGCCGATCAGCGCACAATGAGCATGTTGGATCCCAACATGTCTCGATGGAACCTCAACCGGCCGGCTTCAATCCATCCAGATGCAATGGGACGACCCATGACACCGCAAGGTGGTTATGGATACGCTCCATCCATAGCTCCTTCTGAGCGTAGCAATATTGGATTGGCTGCTCGGTACCGTCCAGTTTCCATGGCCGGACAAGAGCAGCAAATGCCTCGGTCATCAACGTTCACATCGTCAACTCTGAAGCCATGGAACAATGAGAATCCGCGACCAACATCGGTTTCTCCCAGCCACATGCAGCCTGGAGAGCGCAAATCAACTTCGCTAGCAACTGTGACGATTCGACCGGTGGCTAACACCAACCGACAGTCTATTTCTGGGAAACAGAATGTCAAGCCTGCAGTTCCGGATGAGGACGAAGATGAAGCTTGGGCAGATATGATGAAGAAGCGAGAGAAGAAGAAGAGCAGCTGGAAGTTGAAAAAAGAGAACTCGACTTTGGGCGATCTTTTGCACATGGTCCATTAAATAGTCATGTCAAATCCCTTGACGGATACTCGGCGATGGTGATCATTTTTGAATCTTGACTATTACCTTATACGTCAATTTCTTATACTTCCATGGTGTCACAATACGATTCTCACCAGTGATATTCCCTGTTGCATTTTTTTTTTTTTCTTTTTCCGTCCGAGGATATGTCTTCTCCCTCAGCAAGCAGCTCTACGAAGCATGTCCTGCCTTATGTATAATCCTTCATTATAAAAACCATGTTGTTACATTGCGTTTCTAATTTGTTCGACGGAGTTGAGCAGCCATTCGGGTCATGATTTTTTTTACCTTCTTTCTTCCTTGTTTTTATGACTCAAGCAACAAGCAATATTTTTTCTTTCTTTCCCAGGGAGAGCTTTTCAGGATAATGAAAATGGAATACTTTTCTGTCATCATTTAAGCAAATGTATAGATCTTTTTCATTTATTCATCTTCTATTTATATTCAGTCTTTGTCACAATTGGAAGAAGCACAAGTAAAAATTTATGCAATATGATTGGCTGGGTAGTCACGTGCTGATACTGATAGATCCACGGTAGACGACTTTTCCGCCTAAGAGTTGGACGGATTGTGCAGTCTATCAATCGATCTCCTTTTTACATTTGACTGGTAGATCCCAACACCTTTGGTCATTTCAATACTTTATATTAATCTACCTACCATCTGATAATATAGTCTACCCGATATCTACTTGGATATTCCCGTCAAAAGTTTCTATTATATCTCTTTTTTACCAGCGAGAGCCGACCGAAGACGCCCTTTTGGAAGGCGATTTCAGGCAGGCTTTTGATTTGCTATACTTTGCCTATTGAGCTTTGAGTTGATTGGGTAGAAGCGTGAATATGAATGCTCCAGACAGGTAGGCTTGCTCTGGTCTGTCTTTTGTCCTCATGGACTTGCTTCGTTCTTGCCTATCAGGATGCTTCCCTTGACTGTCATCTTTCCTCGTTCATTTTTATGTCTACCCTTCTCTTCTCTTCTTCACTCCTACCTCTTCGTCACTCTCTATCTACCCTTGATTTTCACCAAGTCCTACTACATCCACTCACTCCTCTACACCATCCCATGACTGACATGCCGTGGACCAAAAATGGCGAAGCAGCTGCTGCGTCATGGAACGGGAATCGCTATCGAGATTACTCGGCTCCTCCGCCTGCTGTGAATGTGCCTAGAAAGTATTTACTCTTATTTCCATGTCGTGTCTCGTTTTTCCCATGTCTTTTCGCTCTGGGTTGGAGGACGTGATTTGATGTTACTACTGTTTTGAGCAACTCGTCTCCATTCTCCTGGTTTTCTGGCTGCTGACATCACCCGATAGAACAGAGAGCTTCATTCTAGGAGAAGGAGAAAAGAAGATTGAAGAAAAGGCAGATACACGTATGTATCCGTTATTTCACCGGTGGTCTTGGTGCCTAATTCAGATGACTAGGAACACCATCAACGTCTATATTCACTCTTAATAAAGAAGACCACTCAGTGGGCAATCTCCTTCGTGGCCGTCTTTTACAGAATCGCCACGTTACTTTCGCTGCTTACAAGGTATATCTCTTTTCTTGAAACAACACATGTAAAGATTTAGCTAATGGTATGAAGATTCCCCACCCCCTTGTACACAAAGTTGAGCTTCGTGTACAAACAGACGGCGAAATAACGCCCAAGGAAGCTCTACTTGCAGCTTGTCACGACACTGTCCGAGACTTGGGCACATTATCTCGAGAGTTTACCAAGGAGTTTGAACTGAGAAAGATGGTCGGGGCTTCTCAGCATCAAAATGGGACTCAGGATGGTCTTTAAAACCGACATTTCTCTTCGACAAAATATTTATGATATGGGCGTTTGTGTTTCTTCTCTTTATATCTCTGCGGGGTTCAGGGATGGGTTAATTAGCATTGAATGAAGGGCTTGGGATAATCATATCTGATTTATCACAACTATTTTCGAATCTTCTATTGTAGCATATGAGTTCCAGATCCGACCAGGTCTTCTTGGGAGAACGCGTAGGAGGCAAAGATCACATTTTACAACACCGTATTCGAATCGGTTAACAACCACGCTGAAACATTTCGATTCGAACAGAATTTGAAGATTCGTGGTTGAGCTCTATAGGATCATGGAAGAAGTTGTTGACTTTTCGGGCAGGAAGTGGCTAGCGCATGTTGGCCTGAGGCTCACAATTTGCCATCTTTCTCAGGTTCCCGTTTGAGTTTCCCCCCTTCTCCTCGGGACAGCCGTTATTGTTCCAAGCAAGCTTCTGCCATCTCTACTCTAGCATGTCTGCGTTCCCTCGCATCCTCGTGCTATATTCTCCAATCTGTGCATGATTTTATTTTTTGGTTTCATGTCTATAATATCTGTATAAATGTATTCAGCTTCGAATTCGTTCCTCGGCGGCGCAAACAGCGCTCGCCAACAGCAACAACAGCAGGCATCACCATTCCAGCAGCAGCAACCTGCTGGATTCCCCCAGCATGGCCTAACTGCTCAACCCACGGGTTTTCCTGGTGGTCAACAACTCCAACCTCAATACACTGGTTTTCCAGGTGCTGCTAATCCTACGGGTTTTCAGCAACAACCATATGGTCAACCGTCGCTCCAGCCACCGCAACAACAACAACAACAACAACCGCAATTGCAGCCGCAATTCACCGGTTTCCCAGGTGCCGTCCAGAACCAGTTCGCGCCCAGTCAACCATCGCAAATTCCGCAGCAACAGCAACAGCAAGCTCCAGCTCCTCAACAATTTCCCAATGCATCCGCGCCACCCCCTACGATCGCCGTTCACAAGACATCAGCGCAGATGGCGCAGTCTTTCATTCAAGATAGCGCGTCAAACCGACCTACTCCTCCGCCGAAATCTGGGCCAAGAATACCGAATATGAGGTTGTCGTTCATTACGGCGGAAGACCAAGCCAAGTTCGAGCAGTTGTTCAAAGCTGCTGCTGGTGATGATGTGACCTTGGACGGTGGGTGCTTACTGCGGGTGTCGCTTGATTATTTCTTACTAATATTCGTGGAATAGGGGACAAAGCTAGAGATATCTTGTTACGTTCGCGCTTACCTGGGCAGGATCTGTCTAAGATTTGGTAAGAAGTCTTCTGAAGATCACAGGATATGCGATCTAACAGACTTCTAGGGTTCTCTCAGATACTAATAAGACCGGCCAACTTTTCTTTCCCGAGCTCGCATTAGCTCTGGTCAGTGAGATCATGGAACAAGACGAGTGATATTGAATGCTGACATACTCATAGTACCTCTGCAACTTGAGACTGACCGGCAAGGACATTCCTTCGACTCTACCCGAGAAAATTGCCAATGAGGTTTCGTCAATGGTCGACATCATTTCCTTCGGCGTCCCGGATACACAGTCAAGCATGCAACAGACTAATGCTCCCAAGTTTGATGCTCCTCTTATGCAAAACTCTGCAGCGCCCCCTGCTCCAAAACAACCCACGCCACAACAACCATCCAACTCGCAGCTCCTAAGTCAGCTTACCGCTCAACCTACTGGGTTCTATAATCAGGCGACTGGCTTCCAGCCGCAAGGTCTAGCACCACAGCCTACTGGTTTCCCGGGTCAGCCGCAACCTGTTCAACCTCAACCCACCGGTTTTCTCAGCAACCCGCAGGCAACTGGGTATAACGGCCTGCGCCCTCCTATGCCACCGATTCCTACTGGCTTTGCTTCTCAGTTATCCCCTTCTCAGACCGGAATGGCTCCACTGACTGCCCAACCAACTGGGGTACCTGGTCAGTGGGGATTCGTCAACACTCCCGCAACTGGACTACCGAACATTGATGCTCTCAAGCAACAACTCATGCCACAGCCCGGCCGCGAAGGAGGCTTTAGTACACATGGTCTTTCTGGTAATGCAAATATTCCATGGGCTGTTACTAAGGAAGAGAAGAAAATCTACGATCAACTATTCCGTGCTTGGGATGGTATGAATAAGGGATTCATTGGTGGAGCTACTGCTATTGAGATTATGGGTCAAAGTGGATTGCCAGCTTCGGATCTAGAACGAATTTGGACACTTGTTGACTCCAACGACAAAGGAAAGATCAATCAAGACGAGTTTTGCGTTGCTATGCATTTGATTTACAGGAGACTTAACGGTTATCCTATTCCTACCCGCTTGCCACCAGAGCTGGTTCCGCCATCGACAAGGAACCTGAATGACTCGATCGGTACTGTCAAGTCTTTGCTTTCTCAGGATGCAGAAGCCCGCAAGACAAGTGGTGCTTTCCTTCAGCCACAGAAGACGGGTGTTAGTTATCTAAAAGATCACTCGTTCCGTGGGGGTGCTACATCACCTGGTGCAGCAGGTCGTCGTGATGCCACGAGATACCAGAATAGGGACGAAGTTGGTTATCGTTCCAGTGCCCGTCGTAGAGTTGGTAATGGTGGTCGTACACCTTCTCCAGCTGCTTCGTCTCAGGTCTCGGAAAGATCCGATGAGGAATTAAGTGTTGATCAGTTGAAGAAGAAACTCCACGAAACAAAGATCATGTTGGATGCTGTCGATTTTAGAGATCAGAATCAGGCCGAAGAAGATGATGCCATGGACCGCCGGGATAGACGCGAGGCTGAGTCTCTAATGGACCGTATTCGCCGTGTCCAAGACGACATCGACACTGACCCAAAATCCGCTTTCCGTCATGTGGACTCCGGGGCAGAGCGCCGTTCACTACGCCGTCAGCTACAGTCTTACCAGGACAAGATTCCTGAAATTGCCTCTAACGTGCGCAAGGTTGAGAGAGCTATCGCCGAAGCCAGACTTGAGCTTTTCCGCTTGCGAGATGCTAAAGCCCATCCTAACAGTGCCCTGAACATCATATGCACCGGACCTGGAGCACTATAACGGAAGCCGACAGGATCAAAGCTCGTGCTAGGGCTCGAATGCAGGCACGTGCCGCCGAGTTGGCTGGTCGCCCTGTTCCTACTTCATCCGATGATGAAGGTGCAGCTGGCCGCCGACTCGAAGAGGAGAATGTAAAGATTAAAGCTGAGCGTGAGCGCAATGAGGCTATGACTAGAGACGTGGAGGAGAGTGTCAAGGAATTTTCTCAAAGCCTTGAAGACAGTCTCAAAGAAGGCAGTGAGAGTTCTACTCGCGAACATGAGAGGCGCCGATGGGAAGAGGCTCTGGGAGTGGAGGATACGATTCGAGACTTTATCTACGATTTGCAGCGTGGTAGTCGTACAGCCAAGATTCGTAAGGAAGAACAGACTACTCGTTCTGTATCCAATGAGCTACCATCGGCGACAAGATCTGACCTACCGTCACGACCCGCTCTTCCACCTTCAACATCATCATCCGCATCCCTCACAGGTCAAACTCACGAGGAACGTGTTGCTTCTGCAAGGGAGCGTGCACAAAGACGCATTGCTGAGCGTATGGCTGCTGCTGGGCTTAAACCTAGCACAGACTCCGGCGACACTCTACTGCAGCGCCAAGAGCGCGAGAGGAAGGAGCGTGAAGAGCGTTTGAAGAAGGCGGAGGAAGAAGATGCTAAGCGGGAGCAAGAAAGACAGCGTCGTCTCGCCGATGAACGTGCTCCTGCACCGGCGGCTGACAAAGTCGCTGGCAAGAAACCTCCTCCGGCACCTCCATCGCGCAAGGGTCGACCAGATAGCGCGCCTGAATCAAAAATTGCCGAAGAAACAGCAAAGGCTGAAGAGACTGCGATTAAGGAACAAGCAATACGGAAGGAGCAAGAAGCACAGGAAGCTGAAACAAAACAACTTGAGTAAGTTCCAACACACATAATGGAGACTATTTCTAATTTGTACTATAGGGAAGAGGCTCGACGACAGGAGGAAGAGCTGCAGAAAGAACGCGAAGCTCATGAGGCACGTCTTCGCGCTCTCGAAGAACAGGTCCGTGCCGGTAAAATCAAAAAGCAGGAAGAGAAGAAACGGAAGCAAGCGGCAGAGCGAGAGGCAAAAGAGAAAGAAGCCAGACTTGCTGCCCAAAGAGCCGAATTGGAAGCAGCCAAGGAGCGTGAGCGTCAACTACAACGTGAACTCGAGAATCTCGAGGAGAGCTCTTCCGACGAGGAGGGTCCTGAGGAGATCACAGGTCCTCGAGACAACCATCCTGCTGCACCTGTAGCACCCGTATACTCTCCGCCTCCAGTATCTGTGACTCCGGCTGAAGCAGCTGATGTTCAACCCACACCACCTGTCAACGGTTCACCATCTAGCAGCCGTAGTGTTCCTGCAGCCGAGTCAAAGAACCCCTTCTTCCGACAGCTGAATCAACCTGCCGAGGCCCCAGCAGCCGAACCAGCTGCAATCACACCTTCAGAAAGTCAATCTACAAACCCATTCTTCAGACTGCAACAACAGCAACAGGAGGCAGGCACAAAAGCTGCAACCAGCCCAGCAGCCATCCCTGGTCCACTTGAGCGGAAACCTCGAGCACGTCCCGAACAAGACGATGACTGGTCTGCCGCTGGATCTGATAACGAATCGTCCGATGACGAGGATGATGATCGTGTAGGAGGTGGAAGCGCAAAACAACTTGCAAGCATCCTCTTCGGTACAATGGCACCCCCTAGACCCTTGAGTGCAATGGATGATTCGAAGTCGGCAACTCCTGTACAAGAGAGTAGTCCTACCATGGTGCCTCCTCCATCAGCACCACCAACCCTGCCAGTTGCAGAGGCTCCATCCTCACCTGAAAGTGATACTCCCGCGGCAGTGGCAGCACCCTCTGCTCCACCACCGCCTCCCCCTCCTCCACCCCCAGGCACTGCTGCTCCACCTCCGCCACCGCCTCCCCCTGGCGGTGCACCCCCCCCTCCTCCACCACCACCCCCCGCTGGCGGTCCTCCTGCTTCAGCCTTAGGCGGTGGTGGTGGTGCGCCTGACCGAGGTGCTCTATTTGCATCTATCCGAGCTGGAACGGGCTTGAAGAAGGTTGAAACCAAAGATCGAAGCGTAAGTGTTGTTGCGGGCCGCGTACTGTGATATTGAAATACTGTTGATCTGGACATAAACCTGTCGTTTTTCAGTTTATAAATCGTGCACTTTTTTTTGCTTTTTGATTTATTTTCGCTGGTTTGAATACAATCAGACAGCATTGGTTCGATGTAGTTTTACTTGTTAGTTGTTATTAAGTACCTATACTTTTCTGTTCAGATAAGCTTCTTGTTGAACTACCTACCGTAACTGGAATCCGATAACGTTGGCGGAGTGCATTATTCTGATTTGAAGGTGTCGGGGTCTAGGTATCTAGGTAGATCTTTCTTGATCTGTGCACTGTCTGCTTTCTCCTTCATTCGTACTCTCTTCTTTTGTCTGGTATAATATTCGGTGCATTCATATATACTGAAATAAGACATTAAATTGAATCTTGGAATGAATATGTGCAAGACGAACAGAAAAACACATCAATTATCGACTGGCCAATAATTGAATATACAATGTAGAGTAAGTATAAGAAAAGTGTACTTGATGAGGGAAAAGATCTATGTCACAATCTCAAGGATCACGTTGCCAAGCGTACTCAGTGACCAAAGCACAATAAGCCCACAGCCGATTTTTCGATCCATTTTCCAATGATTCAACGGTACCAGAATCAACAACCCAACCAGAGTTAATAGTAGAGTGACACCACTAATTATGAGATTTCTGGAGATTGTGATCCTGTACGGAGCATGGCGCGATGCTTCTTGTGTGATTGTAGACAGTGTTGTGGTATCAGCATTCGAGTGTAACGTCATATACAGCCCCCCTATACCAATACCAAGTAGAATATTGAGCATGGGTCCTCCGAAGCAAGCACTCAGGGCCATGACTGGGTATCCCAATCTGGCTACAGTGATATCAGCCACTAGGTCACTCAATGAGTTACCCACAGCAAAAATGGTGAGACCCAAAAGTGAGTCGCTGATATCTAGAATGACGCCAATAGTTTTCAGCAGACTAACGACTTCGTCTGCTATTATTGCGATCCAGCAGATGCCGACTATGAATCCAATGAATGATAGGACAGGGCGAAGCTGGTCGGGTGCTTGTGATAGGTTATCATGTCCTTTGAGGAACATATTGAGTAGTACGGCGCATACTAGTGAGACACCTAAACTGACCGGAATCGGGATAATAAGATTTCGTAAGTCATGCTCGTCATCCAACAAGGTCCAAAAGGCTACTATCGTAAAGAGAGGGGATGTGAATACGTGGATCGTTGTGAGAACTCGATGCCAAGTCCGCGCTGTCGTAGATGAGGAGCCATCGCCCAGCTCAGGTGGCCCGGCTGCCAATTCCGAGTCGATTCTTGCTCTGTTAGGAAGAGTGTTTGAGTCCTGTGATTGCACCACAGAGGAGGTATGTTCTGTACTATCGCGAAGCCCGGTGCCGAGTAACTGATGATCCTGAGGCTGCAAAGTTGGCGACTCATCAGGGAGTCGAATGATCGGAGTGGGTTGACGTGGATCACCGTCGGGAGCATTAGGAAGAGCGGATGAAGAACGACGGTTATCCGTCTTGTCATTTGTGGCCTCAGCTCGACTAGGATCTATGACGGGGATTGTAATAGTTAAAGAAAACACACTGGGCGCCGCGACAACACTTAAGATTTTTGCCCAAAACGACTTTGATCTCCAATCACAAAGTGTCGGAAAGAGAGTGAAGAACATGGTTCCAGGAATCAATGATGGATAATACCACCATCTCGGCATTCGCTCTTCCTGGCCGAATGCGCTCTGGTATTCTCTACTTGGCGAGTAAGAAGCGGCCGGAAGATTCAAAACAGACGGTTTAGGTGATAGAGAAGCAGGAGAATCAACAAAAGGAGGAAATCGTATTGTCTCGTTATCACTTTCATCTGATTGCTCAAAATTGATGGACTGTGGAAGAATGTGACCAAGCGGGGAGACACCGCCAGGTGATGGGAGCTGGTGGGATCGAGGTGATATCTGATAGTTAGGCGAATGAAAGGGGCCATGTGGAACCGTCAGGCGATCAGCTAGTGGTGATGCAGGTGATCGTGGAACAGAAAGAGTGGAAGGAGTTGATGGTTGATGTTGTAAATGCTGAACTTGGGTGCCATGTTGTAAAGAAGCATTGTTAGAGGACCCTCCAATCACAGGAATCAGCGTCCCACTATGCTCCTTCGCATCGTTAACCGTGGTGTCTATACGCAAAGTAGGAGTGTCATTAAGCGAAGCAGATCGACGTCGATCGGAGTGTCCCTCTCGTCGTTGGAAAGGTGATCTACCCTGACTCGACCTTGGCAGTATCCGAGGAGACGGGCTGACAGAATCAGTATCCACGTAATGGCCAAGGTCTATCGTATCATCATGTATGCTTTTTGCCTTTTTCAAAGATGAAAGGACAGATTGAAACTCTAGAGCACCAACTAAACTAGGCCGGATCGAAGTGGTCGTTGGCCGCCGCGCAAATGAAGGTGGTCTTGTCACACGCATATTCTCCCGTATCTCAGCAAGATATCGGTTTCGTGTCTCATCGTCTTCTTCGTCATCGTCCTTCCATGCTGACCTTTCCAGTGCTTCAAGGTCGGGAGACCTCTGGCCCTGTAACAGGTTGCTTGTATCTCCACTAATAGGCTCCTCGTCCGACGAGTGTTCTTCTAGGTCCAGTTCCTGACTTTGAGGTATGTGAAAGTGTGCTCGTGCAGCGATTTCTCTGTCGTATTTCCGCCGTTTACGGGTGAGGTACCAATGCCAGGACACAACTAGTATAACGTAAAACACATAAAGACCAATCATTGATACACATTCCCAAACATGTAGTTCGCCATCAGCTAGAACGATCACTGTTAAAATCGCGGCAAAGATGAAAAATGCCACGTCACGTACAAAGCTTCGACGGGCGACTCGGAAAGGTCTAGCTAGAGCCATTGAACCTGCCACCACGGCAGTGATGAAACAAGCAGCCCCAATAAGCTCTCCAATAGCTAAGCTGCCGCTATTGGAACCCATTGCTGCAAACGTCGAGAAGACATCCGGACTACCATTCCCGAAAGCGAGGAAAGTGACTCCCGTCAAGCTTTCACTCATCCTAAGGATGCTGGCAATTGCGCTGAGATTGATACAGAGGAAGTCACTAGCAGCAATACCGATGGTGCTGAAAAGGAGCGACAACCATGCTATAATTATCGCAAATGCAATTGGCTGTACATGGCGAAGCGAGCAGTAATATAGCTGAAGATAGGGGAAGATCCCGTTCTCATCCGGACAGTTGCTCTTGACGAATGCACATTGATCGTCTGCATGACGAACGAAACGGCACTGCACGGTGTTAGCTCAACTCCGTGGTCTAAATGATAAGAAACCGGGAAAAAGAGAATCTGTCATACCTCTATCTCTTGCTCAAACGGGCCGAGTCGCGAACTGTTTATCTGAAGTTCTGAATATGCCATCCGCTTCTGAAAGCCATTGTCCCCAGTTAACAATTGGCTCTCAAAGTATCGAGCTATCCAACTTCCGAGGGCCAAGGTTGATAGCACTGCAATACTCAAAAAGAAAGGTCGAGGGTGGTATCGCTGGTGCATCCTCGGACGCAGCTGCGGTAGCGTGAATATTTTATGTTGTTTGAGCATCACGACGGTGGCATTGTGATTGACCAAGTTTATGTGCCGTTCGAGAATTGACCAGGTATATATCTTTGCAAGACATACCTTGACAGCGTCAATATTATCGATAATATGTATAACATGCAGTAACTCGTATAATTACAGTTTAGTCATGCATGCCATATGGAGACTCAACCGTATCGAAGCGCTCGAAGAGACCAAAAACAACCCAGTAGGCTAATTAATAGACAGTAAGGAGCATAGAATATATATAAAAGCCACAAGGAGTGGCGAGTACAGGGAGGAGGATGAAATGTTGTTGACTGACAATGGACCAAGACTTGATGACGACGATCTATCGATAACGCACTGCCAAGACCCGCTGCTGGTAGCATTACGTGAGCAGATACACGTGACAGCTCTTGTGGTGGCTCCCGCACGCCGTATGTTTTGTTGACAAACCGCGGAACCGATCGCACCTGCCCGCAATAACATCGTCAAACAAGAAAGAACGACATCGACCGCCGGCAGTATCGGATGCGAGCGCATCTACACTACAGCTGATCTTAGATACCGCTTATCGACAATACTCGGAGAAGATGAATAGCTGAGCATCGTTAGATCTTTCTACTGTATCGTTCGCTTTTCCAATATATTATACACGCTCGACTCGCGATTAATCATGCCTCGTGTTGTGAATCCATCAAAGAGCCATCGCCGCTCCAATGGCGGTGCTTCGACCCCGCAGAAAAACTCTCCCATTAAGTAGGAAAGAACGATGCTGCAAGTGTGAGAGACCGGCTAACCTTTCTTTTTTTTGCTCACAGGATCCCTCTCAATGATGATATGGGAGAGAAGGCTGCTCGAATGCAGTCCCGACAAGCTCTGCATGATCGCCAAATGAACCAGATCAAGGCTGCTGTAAAAACGCCTATGCCCCCACGCAGAGCCTACGACCGTGCCGATAGCCAAAGTCCAGGAACTCCACGCGGCTCTCTTCGCCGAGGTCGGGAAAGCGACGTCGATGGTCGCGGCAGAGGTGCAACTCCAGCCAAACGAGTGCCAATTCTCGCCAACTTTGAAGAGTGGATGAAAATGGCGACTGATAATAAAATCAACGCTGCTAATTCGTGGAATTTTGCTCTGATCGATTATTTCCATGACATGTCATTGCTTCGCGAGGGAGATGGCGTCAATTTTCAAAAGGCTAGTTGCACTCTCGACGGTTGTGTAAAGATTTATACCAGCAGAGTCGACAGCGTCGCAACTGAAACTGGAAAACTTTTGAGTGGCTTGGCGGATAGTCGAGATCGCAAAGCTCCGGAAGGCGAGGGGCCTGAAGGCGAGGAAGAGGAAGAGGAAGAAGGCGAGGACGGCGTGCGGAGAAAGGCGAAAAAGAAAGTCAGTATCAATGTGAATCTGAAATTAAGAAATTTTTACTAATAATATATGCAGACACGTTCCCATGAGGCTACTCTCGCTCCCTCGTTTGCTTCTTTACAGTTGAAAAAACTCGAGCTTGAATTTGCGGTGGACCCCCTTTTCAAGAAAGCATCGGCCGACTTTGACGAAGGTGGTGCCAAGGGCTTGTTGCTGAACCATTTATCAATCGATGGTCAAGGACGTATCATTTTCGATAGCAGTGATGATGTGGATGAGACAACCAACGGTGGGGATCATGCGCAGGATGATGAAATGAATGGCAGTGCAGAGCCAGAAGAGTCGCAAACCAAGGAACCGGAAGGTGACCCGATGGATGTTGACCCCGTGGAGATTGATATATCCTCCCTTGGAAACAGGTTCTTCCCAGATTTGGATCGCCTCTCCGAACAGGATATCTGCCCGTCCCTTAAGAATCTGGACCTGGGCGATCCTAGTGGCTCTCTTGATATGCCATTGCTTAAGGCTCCTGAAGACTGGCGACAAGACAAGAACAACGACGAGTCTGATCCGGCAAGGCGCATGGGCGATGCTTCTGGCATTATGCTCGATGATGACAATGCAGTGGGTTTTGATGATGATGACGGAACATTTGCAGGATTCGACATTGGTGAAGATGCTGGCTTTGGTGAAGGTGGAGAGGCTTGGGCGCGAGAGGCAGCCCTGGAGCCCTTGCTGAAGGTTCATCGCATGGATATTGGTGGTGAAGACGATCCGGAGGCTGCCGAAGAAGGGGATCCTTACACATTGTCGATCTCTCACCAGACAGCCAATAAGGAGCACGAAAACATTCTCAGTTACTTTGACAATGCCTTACAGAAGAACTGGGCCGGTCCCGAACATTGGAGAATCCGCAAGATCAAGGAGACAAACGCTGCCAATTCCACAACAGCCGCGCCCAAGCAACGTAAAGAAAAGGAGCCATTTGTGATTGACTTTTCTGCGCCTCTAGATGCTACAACAGCCGATTTAATCTATACACAAGCAAGCTCAAATTCTGCTATCTCACTTCCCAAGACACAATGGAAAACGAAAGGACGCAATCTACTTCCGGATGACAAGCATTTCAACTCGCAGCAACTGTTGCGCCTCTTCCTCAAGCCTAAGGCTCGTATGGGATCCAAGAGATTTTTTGGTGGCCGCAGGATAGGCGAGACAACTGAGACGCGCGTTCCTGCTGCGGGCGAGATGGATGAAGCTTTCTGGGCTAATCACAAACCTGAAAATAGCGCACAAATAGAGGATGAAAAGGTCGCAGGCACTTACGATGCCGACTTCTTTGCAGACGACGATGGACTTGCGTTCCCTAACGGACTTCCGATGGGAGATGACGATGACGACAATCTACCGTTTGCAGATGCTCGAGAGATGTTCTCTCCTGCAGGTGATATGGACGCCCGGCCGACGACCTCAGCTGGTGATGGATCAGGAGCTACGGGACTGACTGCCCTACTGAATATAGTTGGGGCAACACCGGGATCGGCGCTTCATGGTGGAGGATTCGGCTCACAGTTGGTGACGCAAGGTGGTCGCCGTGTTCGGCCCGACTACGTTGCTTACGCACGTGTGGCCAAGAAAGTTGACGTCCGACGTCTCAAGGAAGAAATGTGGAAGGGTATGGGTGATGGGTTGATTGAGTCTATGAATTTCAACTCTGCCTCAGATGCAGCAGCGGTCATTGAGGCGCCTGAAGAACCTACTGATGATGACGGGCCACCGACACCTACACCGAAGAACAGGCATCCGGACGGAGACCACCCAATGCCTGATATTGCATCCGAAGTCGAGAAAAATGGTCAATTACGGTTCACAACTGTCATGAACTCTCTCAAGAAAGTGTATCCGGAACAGTCATTACGGGATATCAGTACCTCATTTGGATTCATCTGCCTGCTGCATTTGGCAAATGAAAAAGGCCTCGTTCTCCAGAACGGCGGCGAATATGGTGAAGGAGAGGGAACTTTGGAAGAGATATATATTTCCAAGGATGTCGGGGCAGTGATTGACGAGGGAACCATGTAGACGAGGAATAGAGGCGAGCATTTTTACGTGTACAAAGCACGTTGCTTTTGTGGAGTCAGGAGTTGATTATTAATGACTGTTCAATTCATTCATCTGCATTTATACCGCATTTGACTTGAGTGGCTGATAGCTTGTATAACTCCAAAGACATCATGGTGAATGCCTCAGGCTTAAGGAGGAAAGATGCGCGGACCACTCGACGATTATGGATGGCTGACATAGTGCAGCCTCAGACCAGTTGGTCTTTTCTACGACGAGGAATGCTCTAAATCATGCAATCGGCGTGACCATCCCGCATTGATATGTGCAGGTTGAATTCTTTGTCGGGACCACACATGCAGACAGCCCAACCATCGGACTACGGGATACCCGGCTGTAAGTATTGTAGAAACTAGAAAATCATCACACAGACTGTTTAAGCCTGATCTACCCGTGATGGATTACTGGCCCACTGCAATAGTGCCCGCGGTTCGGCAGGCCCCGTGATTGGGCTGCCTGAGGCTCTGCGTCTCGCCCACCGTGCCAAGCCGACTCTTCACCGCCCTGATTGGCTGCTCGTTTGTGACGAACGTTGCATATATCACGCTCCGGACAGGCTCAGCGAGCACTGATTTGCCGTCCGATTCATCCTGCTTCACTGTCTGTGTTTCCCCCCGCGCTATCTTGCATTAACCACTACCCAATCGATGGCCAGATTCTGCAGTTGAGCGCAAAACAGGCACACAGTAGCTATTACAGACCGGCCAATCATGTCCGGTGTGCTGCTTCGGATCTTCTGTCGAGCACGAAAGCCCGGCGCTAAACTGACCGCTGTCAGTCAATGGAGTGATCATGCTGTGCCAGATGTGAGCAAAAGAGGGGAGCATGCATTGGCTCTGGATTCCCCGTTTCCCATGGCACTACGCACATAGATACATAGGCCATGGCCCTCTCTTACGACCGGAATCTCTCCTTCTCACATCTCAAGCTGTGCTTCTCTTGATTCTTTTGCTTCAGTAATCGCATTGCTTTGAGAACTGCGCAGGTCCGCGGCCAGATGATTTCACTCCATATTCTTATCGACTAAATCGATAACCAAGAAATACCTGCCAGCTCTGCTGAGAGCCCACAGCTTCACAGCTGCCACATCAAGTCGTCGAGAGCAGGATCTCTCGTCTGTCGGTTCATCATGTCTAATCAACAAAATCCCATATCCATCATGCGCAGTTCCTCGAGATCGTCCTCTTCCTCCTCTGCTTCCGACTTCAAGAGCCCACGCACTGCACGATTCGCAGAGGCAACGACAGTAATCTCGCCGATTGATCCGTCGGAAGGAGCTCGATCGCCTTTTGCAGATCCTCCGGCTTCCACCATGAAAGAGGCTCAGCATCATGTTTCGGACGTTGGATTCGGATATGTGGCTGACAACGATCCCTCGCGATACGCCAGCTATCCTCCGATGACACCTGCCTCGCCTTTGAAAAGTGCCCTCAAGACTCCAGGGACAGCGAGGACATTGAACCCGTTCAGTCCCACGTTCCGTGAGGAGGTGAAGTTGGAGAAGGAAGAAGTGAAGACGGCAAGAGAAAACAAGCGAGATTTGGTAAGTCGAATTCTTTTCTTGTACGCAACAAATACTGACAAGGTCTCAGAAAATCAAAGTCAGAGTCAGAGCCGCAAAAGTTCTTTTGCGAACTGTAAACTTCAGCTGCTCTCTCATTGTACTTTCGCTCCTGTCAACTAGCTTGACCATTTTCAGAGCCACCAAAGACCTGCCTCCACGCAGTAATCTTCCACCATGGGCTGTAGGAACAAACCCCTGGCCACAATATCTGCTCCTGGTCATGGCGTGTGTTTCTCTGGCCTCTGCTCTACTAGTGTTCTATGGATACTGGAAAGGTGGCCACCGCCGTGCCGAAAAGGTCGCTGTATGGTATTCCGTCTTTTCAGTGGGTTTCTTCACCTTTAGTACCATTATGTGGGTAGTTGGAGCAGCCATCTTCCAGAGCTCCAAAGCAAACGGCAATGGTAAAGATTTATGGGGATGGGCGTGCAACGATAACCTCCGTCATCAACTCTTCGCGGACCAGGTCAACTATTCCTTGGTCTGTCGTCTGCAAGATTGGTCGCTGGTGTGTGCCATCATCGAAATCGTCCTCGAAGTGATTGTCATCTCTATCTATGCCGTTGTCTTCTACCGATTTTACACCAAGCAGCGCCTTAAGAAGACCATGGATGTCCGTGACAAGGCTCGTTCAGATCTGTACCTTGCTCAACTCCGTGTTCAGTCTGCACCGAACACACCTGGATTCTTCCCCATGACACCCAAATCTCCCTATGTCTCAATGGCTGCTGCACAACAGTATCACCACGACGTGTATTCCGCAGCTGAAAATGGCGAGAGCTACGCCGTTCAATACGCAACACCAAAGTCGCCTACGCGAGCAGTCACGAAACCATTCCAACTCCAACCACCACCTATCCGTGTGCAGAACCCGACACCAAAGGTTGCTCAGCAGGGTTTTGGAGGAGTACCCATTGCCAGTCAATCCTCAACTCCCGACAACTCGAATGAAGAAGATTTGTCAGAGAAAGTCAATGAGCATGTTGGTGCTGCCCCGGGTGAAAAGACCTATGATGCTGTACCAATTCCGGGAGCATATGCTGGGCCATTAACGAGTCCCAGCTACCCTCCACCACCGGGTCAAGGTCATGGATTCGACTAGAAAATGGGTTGAAAGTTCGGATATATTCAAAGTAGATCGATAATACTGTTATGCTTGCGTCTTTTCTTCGTGTATGTTATTTTGTGTTTTGATGGTACTATATTCCCAGGCGCTTGGCGATATCATGGCGATTTTTTTTATGTTTCCACTCCTCTTGTCAATTTGCTAGGCGAATCCATTATTACATAGTGACGATAATTCCAGACCATTGAAGTTGAAGTTGAAAATATGAAGTCTAGAAGTTGTCGGCCAAGCCAAGAAAAGGCTGTGATCGTGATCCGCCTTACTTAATTTTCAACCTTTAAGTTATTCCCTGGCCAACCCAGACCTCGAGACTGTTTCCTCACTCAACTGTACTCGAGTTTCTACCACATCTCAATCAGTAAATACAGGAATGCTTCTTCGTTATACCGCTCCCGTGTCCAGATTTTCTAGGACCGCATTAACCAAAAATTGCAACAGTATGTCCTTCCCAATGCATAGATGCAAACAGCTCACAGATCGAAGACGAATCCCCTTAAACGCTGACTCCTGAATTTACTTACTTAGTACTGCCCCACCATACTAACAGCAACATCTCCCTCCGCCACATTTCATCTTCTCGACCAAAGACTACTACGACAGCTACGACTACTCAGAGTAGTAAATCGCAACTGAAGATTCTTCCGTTTGTTGCTATCTTGGTAATTGGTACCGGTTCATACGTTTTGTTGGTTAAATCTCGTGCTTCTACGCGCAAATCGTCTTAACCTCAACTCCGCCCCTCTATCAACTGTCCAAAATAAGGAGAAAAAATGGCGCCAACACCGCGCTTCTCCTCCGATAAAGTCACGGTAGTCTTCGTCCTCGGTGGCCCCGGTGCAGGCAAAGGCACACAATCCGAAAACCTCGTCCGCGATTATGGCTTCAGTCACCTCTCGGCCGGCGACCTCCTACGCGCCGAACAAGTTCGCGAGGGGAGCGAATACGGTGAATTGATCCGTCATCATATCCGGGAGGGCACAATTGTACCCATGGAAGTCACCGTTGCCCTACTCTCGAACGCAATGGCCGCAATTCTCGAACAAAACAGCTCCAAGGCTACACCTGCTCGATTCTTGATCGATGGATTCCCGCGTCAGATTGATCAAGCGCATTTCTTTGAAGAGACCGTCTGCGTGTCTAAGTTGGTCTTGTTTCTGAGCTGCCCTGAAGAAGTCATGTTGTCTCGGTTATTGAAACGTGGTGAAACCAGTGGTCGGGATGATGATAATATCGAGTCGATTCGGAAGAGGTTCCGTACTTTCGAGCAGACTTCAATGCCTGTTGTGCGTGAGTTCGAGGAGAAGGGCAAGGTTATCAGTGTTGAGGCTACGGGGTCAAAGGAGGAGGTTTATGAGAGGATCAAAGCCGAGTTGAAATCCAAGGGGGTTGATGCTTTGTAGATTCTTTCTGTCTATATGAGTGGAAGTGATGTGCAGATGGTTTAGAGGTTTATACATATGTCTATAAAGTAATATACTCGTTTATACACTTATCACCTCACTATATTCACAAAGGACACTAGCCTGTAGAGCCCTGAGTGCAGGCTGAGGCTGAGCACTAACTCACTCGCGTCAGGTCAGCAACAGTCCAACTCCTCCGAGTAACTAAAATGCAGTGCAACGGAGTGAGGCAGATCTCATACTGCTCCAAACAACTAAAATTGCAGTGCAAGCATGGGGGTAAGAAGAGTGTTAGTACATACTAACACTGACTAACCCCGTTAAGTCAGCAACAGTCTAACTCCTCCCAGTAACTAAAATTGCAGTGCAGACTTGTTTTCGACTGCTCTTGCATTTTGATATGATGGTCTGCCCGGGTGAGGTTCGAGTAATTAACCTATTAGATCGGTTAGTGCTCCAAGGCTATATAGTTGGAACTTCGTACTATCATTTTGATATAGTCGAGGCCATAGTTAGCTGTTATGTTAAAGCTCTAGAAGACGCTGCACACAAGTAAACTGGACTCTTCCTGGTCTATTCTCAAGATAATAAGTTCTTCATCATCATCAATGCACATTATTCTGCATACATCACATAATGTAGGAGAAAGAAAAGAAAGAAGAAAAAGGAGAAACTTTTTTCTTTCCCACATTTGCAACTAACTCTTTCGAAGACGAAATCTTAAACCGGTTCTCCAAGACAAATGAAAAAATTTTTGCGAAAAGAAGAGACAACATTAAAACAAATAGACAGACAAATATGCTATGTTTAGTCACCCTCGCCTAACAGGTCAACTTCGTGAGGTTGTGACTGGTGCTGTTGATGCCGTCTCCGATCTCCGGTTGATTTCTTATCACCTCCCTTACCAACTGCGCCGCCTTCTTCGGCGGCCTGTGCTGCAGCCTGTTGCTGCTGGAGTTCACGTGCATATCGTTCCCGTTCAGTTCGAATAACGCCAAGAACACCTTCCAGACTGCGGCGCCAGACGAACAGACGTCCCTGAACTTCGGCCCATTGCTTCTCGCCAAATACTCGGTACGTGGCACGATGAACCAAGAACTCGGAACGCAACTGAGATAGTTTTCCCTCGACGAGTCCAGCACGGATAGTGTCGATAACCCATTTTTCAACCTCGGTATCGGCGACGCGAAGTGCGGATGCTATCGCGGCATAGGGCAGGGAACGGGATGGAGTCGAGGACGCGAGAGAAGTAAGTGTTAACAATCGCATCTTTGTCTGAAGTGCATCGCCAGAATCCGCCAACACGCCGCCGGAAATCGAGCTCAATGGAGTCGAAGAGATAAAGTCATCATAGGCATCGAGTGTGTCGGCAGCGAAAATCTCAAGAAGCTCGAAAAGAGATGTGTCGCTAGACCGAAGAGCCTGGACGGCATCTGAAGCGGAGAGAGATGTAAAGTCAAAAATGGCAGGATGCGCAAGTGCAGATGTGAGAGCGCGAACGGCGAGCTCCCGGTTTTCCTTGCTCGATGCTTCATTGGCATCGATAGCCTGGAGGGCTTCGACAATGTGGGCATGCGCAAATTCACTGTCGCCAGCAGCCTCGGCAGCGTCTGCAATGGCCAAGTGCAGCTTCTGGGCATCCTCCTCGTCTAATTCCCAGGAGGCGAGCCAGTTGGGAAGCTGGTTTACCAACTGTTCTTTAAGGGCTTCGTAGGCGGTGGTCGAACCTGATTGACGGATGACGGCGACAATCGCAAGGAAGACATGGTACCGGCTGGAGTCTGAGGGGGCGAGAGTATTGAAGATGGTGGTCAGGATAGTAAGAGCCAGCGACGGGCCGAATTGTGCTGAGGATGTGACGGGTTTTGACAAGTAAAAGCAAATTCGCGATAGGAAGATATCCGGATCGGAGGATTGCTGAATCAGATAGACGAGGAGATTATAAGCGGGGATAAACTCTACAATACAGTCATGTCAGTACATGCATTTTTCACAAGGAGAAAAAAGGCGAAATACCCTTCTCGGGAGCATTATTCAAAACCGCCGCCGCAGCAACAATCTTCTTCAAAACCTCATCGCGTTGACCCAAATTTGGCTCTTCTCCATTCTGTTCCTGTTGACGCAACGGCTCGAGCAAAGGGGCAATCTCGGCATTGACACTGGCACCTCCTTCGTTGGATCGGAGCACGTTGAGATATTGAGCGAGCTCTTCGCACAGCTCCGTAAATGACCCCTCAATAAGAAGGGTGTTGGTAGGTGCTGGCATTTTGACGACTGATTTCTTTATGTCTCCTCGACAGACGGATAGAGTCAGTCGAGAGAGAGAAAGAATTATTCGGGAATAAGGACAGATAGAGTCGGCTGGCTGGGTTGGGCCGATCGGTTGTTCAGTCGTGAAGTCGACTTGGTTGTATCGATAAAGTGTGGGAGAAATTTCAGTTGTGTGATTTCATCTCTTGGCGAATCAGCGTTCATTGCGGCCGGAGCGGAGGTCGCCCTCAGAACCAAAACGCATCAACCTCACAAATAAATCTCCCACTGAAAATATTATTACTTGATTCTAAGATTTTCTACTAATTGAAACAAAAAGAATACATATCTGCTCGGTACGAACGAATCATACAATTCGACGTGGCTAGCGTGTGCCTAATTACCTATCAACACTATCATATGCAATAAAGAGAGACATCGATATCATAACCATGCTCTCGTATCTCCGCGTCTCATGACTAGAGTAAACTCAAAACACCCAAGGATATCGTTCAACAAGAAAAGAGAAAAAAATCCACAAACTCCATGCTAAAGACTTGGAAAAGTCCTCATCTTCGCAGAATAACTTGAAAAGAGGTATAATACTGATTTTACTCTTCGATTAAAGAAACACTTATCAAGAGCGAAACCTTCACAATGACCACAGATCTGTGACGGTGCACAGATCTTTTTACATCATCATGCCAAAGACTGCAAGCATGGCGGCAGCGAAGAAACCGGTTGCGTGGTCTGCAGAGATTTGAAGGGACGCAACGCCGTGAGAAGTAGTCGCACTGGCAGCGGTTCCGGACGCCTTAGTGGCCGAGGCAGCCGAGGTGGTAGTAGCAATGGTGGTGGCTGCGGCAGTTGAGACAGCGCTAGTAGTAGAGGGAGCAGCAGAGGTGCTTGAAGCGGCATCGAGGATGATCGTGCCACAAGTCGCGTTAGCCTTGCATTGCTTTTGGGCATCCAGATCGTTGGGGTTGTTCTGGATGCACTGCTTGTAGTTCTCCTGGCACACGTAGAATGGAATGGTGTTCTCGTATGGGTTTAGATCGGGAGTCGTGCCATTGCTGCAGGTGCAGTCGAAGTTGAGAGTAGTCTGTTTACAAATTAGTCACAAAAATACAGTACTCAAAGAGTTGAATTCGAGTGCTTACAGAATCGCAATCGTTGGCCGAAGCAGATCCTCCGCAGACTTGAGGGCAGGTGTTACGTTCACCCTGGCACCATTGTCCTGCAAAATGGGTGGTAAGTCAAGGACTCGGGCACTGTAATCACAGGCTTATCGAATCGCAATGGACTGTACGTACCCAGAATCGTGCTCGAAACCTCACCCAGGTTGAAACCAGTTGGGAAGGTGAAGTTGTAATAAGCAGTGGTCTCGGCCACAAAAGCAGCAAGGATCAACACAGCGGATGAACGCATTTTGGCGGAAGGTGGATCGCAAAGGATTTTCGAGATCAACAGTAAGTTATATTGAGTACGTAGTCAATGATGATACGTAGGATAAAGCGATTCGAATGCTGATGAGAATGCGGAGTAGAGTGAAGAAGGAGAAAAGAGGAGGTGAGACAAGAAAAAGAGGAGGAGCTAAAAGAAGAAGCAGTCGCGACGGGCGTGCCTCAGGAAAGGAAGGAACGGAAAAGAAAAGGCGGGAAAGCAACAACAAGCAGGGAAGTGGGGAATATTGGACGAACTATTCCTGGTCAGTTCCAAGGTTAATTCTGCTTATCTACATAGCAACCGTTACTTGTACAAGTTTGAGCACTACGTAGTAGTAATCACTTCTCTGTACACCCTCGTTGGGATCGATTCTCAAAACAACCAACTCAATTACCCACCTCTCCCTGAGGTGTGACTCTGAAAATCTGACACGAGACGATATCCTAGTCCAATCATGCTGATGTTCCTGGAAATCAAATTTGAAATCGGGGAGTTCGCTTCGTAAGTTACCGTATGTTATTGTACGTAAACTGAGGGCTATCTCGGCCAATCATTAGCTGTTACCTGTGAAATTAGCTCGCATTAGTGTCTGTCACCATACCCACTGTGTATTTAATACTCGCCCATACCCAATCAAGAAACGACGTGGAAATGAGTGTATCAAATGCATCCTTGTATGTGACAGTCGCGATCATACGTCGGCAATTCTTCGTTCCTCTAATTAGTTCAAGATCAGTCCAGAAAATGGACCGTCCCGAGACCCAATGCACTAACCCGTTTAAGAGCATCAGGTGATCTCCATATCATTCAACACCACGTGACTTCAAGTTGCTATTCGATTGTTCTTATCTGATCCTGCACTGACTGAGGTTCTGCTACATAAGCTAAATCATGCTACTGAGAGCCCCCTCACTATAGAGCAGGCTCACTCCTAGCTAGACTTTCCTCGGAGCAACGAGGTCTCCCAGAAGGACAAGTAGAAACGCTCAACCAAGAAGCAAAATGGGCAGTGTTGTCACAAGCACGACTTCAAAAATATAGAAATCAAAGCTAAAATCCTAGCTCTCTCTTTCTCTTTCTCGACAATGCGGACTTTGTTCCAGCTATATCTTCTCTCCCATTTTGGCACCTTGACCGATACGGTGGTCCATAGCCATCAGACTCAACATCAGTAACTCCTCCCGCAAATCTGGTCCAGACAGTAAGTAAAGAACATGTTCTAGGGGAACGTTCCCCAAAGTGATCTTCGGGAAAGCACTAAATGCACCCGATAGAAGAAGGGTTGAAATCTTCAGATCACATCAAAAGCGATGGGTCTATTATCTAGGGCTAAACCGATAGAGGTAATAGTGGGGTCAAGCTCCCCGAGATGACAGCCCGATTGGATCACTCTTGGATGTAGCTTCCCGTTAAGATCCACAGGTAAATCCCCCCAATACTGGCTTTGTCACAACAATCATCCCATGTGTTCCTTACAGATACGACAGCATACGTATATTGTAGATATTCCATATTTCCAATATAATTAGCTGATGGTATATATGGTTTCTGAAGATGAAGGGCTATGTTTACATAATTAGTGCCTACGCCGCTGCTTTACTTGTGATTTCCAATTATACACTTTGGTTGTGTATCAATACGTCACGGGTATCCGTTTTACCGTCCGTAATAAACACCCAACAAAGTCAAAGCACGTAACCGAGGCACATATTCAACTCCACAAACTGATACGAATAGCATCAAAACGCATAGCACGAAGCAATTGAACTTCTCAACTACTGTATCATACATCTGATTATAAGCGATCCGTTTTGACTGCAATACCACATATCCCCACATCAGATTCATGTCCACAAAACCAGCGGCTCTGTTCGAGCCAAGGCCCCTCACAGAAGCAGAACTGAACCACTTTAACACCATACCATGGGCCAGATCAATCTTACAGCAATCACTAAACCTGCAAGAAAACGGAGACACTGAAAATAGTGAATATGTCGTTCTCAACATGCCCGCTCGCGTGTTCAAGGACTACACCGACGAAGATGGTTATTTCGCCGGTACACTAGGCACAAAGGAAACAATCCCATTTTTAGTGACTTTATGTCGTCGCAATCTTGAGCAAGAGGTTTCCGCTTCTTTACCCACACAACCTCCACCAGCAGCGAATGATCCCAAGTCCAAAACGCCTTTTAATCCATCCCGGCCGCCGGATACGATCACGCTTGTTTCAATGTCCACGCCGGGATTGAGTGGACATCCCAGAACGGCGCATGGAGGTGTGATTGCGACGCTTTTCGATGAGGCCATGTCACACACCATTGAAGCTCATTTGTCGCTGTCGCCGAAACCAAGCACTGTTACTCGGGAGAGGGACGCGATATATACAGCGCAATTGAATGTGCGATATAGAAAACCGGTGTATACGCCGGGATTACTGGTTATTCGGACGTGGTGTATTGCGCGGGATGCTCGCAAGTTCTGGGCATTATCGAATGCGGTTCAGGAGGAGCAGGAGGATGATGGAGGTCAGTTGGAGTGGGTTAAGAGGAGGACTATTAGTGCAGAGGCGTCGTCTTTGTGGGTTGTTACGCGAAATGAGAAGCTATAGTTAGCTCATAGCATATAGAGGCGATAGAGCTGTTCATATGCATACTAAAATCATTATGGAATTATTATGGAGAATGCCTGAAGGTCACAAATTGGCTTTCTCAGCATCCTTGCCGTATTTCCTCCCACTGGTATTCCGTTCAATACTAACCACCAACCCGATATGAGAACACAACGCAACAATCTCCCCCTTTTCATCTAGGATAATCACCTCGATATCCATCCTTCCGTTCCGGACGGATTTCATAACTACCCGAGAATACAACCAATCAACTCCCTGCGGAGGTAGACTCTTCTTAAAATCGATATTCAACGTGACAGTCGGGTACCAAAACGGTGGAATTTTCGGTTTTGATGCCGATGATGATGACAAGGCCGAGAGCGCTTCAGCGCCTACTTCTTCCAATGCAGCAGGGAACCAATCACTCAGAAACGGAAGAGTCTCATTCGTCCATTTCCCATTTCCGGCAGCTGCCGAAGCATCAGACGATACCGTGCGGAGTCTCGCCCATTGATCCAATACACCCGGTTGTTTATACTCGTTCGTCGGCCCAAATGTGATGCATTGATGTTCCACCTTTCTAAACTTGGACCAATGTGTTGGGCCCGTCTGTTTCCATTTTGATGTCTCGCTGCCATCTTTCTGTGATAGCTTCACATCATCAGCACGAACAATAACTTCCGGTGGTCCGCCAGGCATAGGAGGATACAATCCCCACGTCATCGAAGGATGTGAATATCCAACATCCGACACTGAATCTGATATAGTGATATACCCTACCACTCTAGCCGTTCTCTTTTTCCCGTCCGGTTTACTATCATCATCCTGAGAAAGAGTAACATGAATCGTGGACGTCCTCAATCCCAATTTTGAGTCTTCTACTGTCAACACTGCAGGGCCAACGGCCGTTCGACGCAGAAACGTGATTTGCATTGATATGGGGAGAGGTTGGGAATTGTGTCGTGTTGGATGTGTGTGTTTGAAATGTGTTGTTGCGAGGCGGTACAGGATTGACATTGTGTAGCCGCCATGGGGGACTTTTTTTGTCAGTTTCGATCAAAAATCAAGAGATGATGACATACCGGCTCCAATGGTCCAGTCTGGATGGAGATTTGTGGTATATTCATGCGATGATACCGGGGTGACTGTGATCGCATCCTCGAAGGTTTGCGTGTGCGGAGAGGTCATTGTGTTTGTTCTTTCGATGTCGATGTGTTCTATATATTCTATTTGCAGAGGTATATAAATGACCGCGTCCAGTAGTCCTCTACATTGAAGCAAGTCTATAATCTGTGCAGAGGTCAAACTATGAAATTTACAGCTGAATGTCGTTGATATGGACCTCGGCTTCGTCATGTTAACTCCGCCCACTACTCCATAGCCGGCTGTTGATTATCGTACCTATACCGTATTACAGTGTAAATAACACAAATACAAAACAGTAAAATTATTACAATAAACAATATCGTGTTCTATGTAATCAACTAACATACAAAAACGCCCGCCGTCCTTCCGTACCATCTTGTCGAATGCATTGCCTGTAATTGTGTATCATTGTATCGTGTATCATAAATCATACATGTTAATGGTTTATGGTGAACGAGAAAAACTGAGTAGAAAGAAACATTATCTGAGAGAAACGAAAAAGAAAACTAGCATGGGGAGAGACGACCATTGCTATGTTCTATCATCTCATTACCAGTACGATTGAGAAGGTCAAAATTAGGACTGAGTGGATGCGGCAAGACGCTGGAGACAGGACAAGACACCTGTTACTCCCTGAGTAAGAGTGGCCTTGGCTTCTGTACTCCTCGAGCCCAACGTCACCGTCATGCAGCTCTTAACAGCCTTGGATTCTGCCAGCTTGTTCGCCCAGCGGAACACTACTTCATCCTCACGACTGTCTCCAGCGACGAACAAGAAATCAGGCTGGCCTGCGTAGCCTCCTTCTTTGCCACGCTCAATACTATACCGCCATACAAGCTCTGCTGCGCTCGCCTTGTTTGTTCTGGAAGACTGGATGATCAACGCACCGTCAACCGGAGTGACATGTACTCCCTGACTGGCACATGCATCGTTGATATGATCGGCACATTCGGACGCTTGACGAGCCGCAGCAACCTTGTCTTCTGCATCGCCGTAATGGAACACGAGCGAGCAGTGCAACTCCTCTATCCAGCTGTTTTCCGTCCGTTCTCGGAAGTAGTTGAGAATTCCCTTTGTTCCGGCCTTCCATTCCTTGGTGTGGTGATCTTCGTTAAGTTTGATCCAGCTATCCTTGGACGGCTCACGAATGAAACATCCATTTTCGGCGATCAATCCTAGTCCCGAAACCTGTCGGAACAACCGTTCCATTTCTTCAGGTCGTCTGGCGCTCATCACATAGACGATGTTTCTAGGATCCTCGAGTAAATCAGTAAGAGTAACCAAGGCTCGTTGCGGTGTCGTCAAGATAATACTGGTTGGTGAGCCCCAAGACGCTAGCGTGCCCTCGTAATCGAGAAGAAAAAGTCGGCGACTGGATCTGCGGTATTCCTCTTCCAGACGCGAGACTGACAGCCGGGGTACTGCCATTGTCTCTCGTGAAGAATGCTCGTCCCATACCTTTGACAGCGCTTCGCGGAATGACTTGACCCAATTGCGAGTAGAATTCTGAAGCACTGCGCTGTGCAGCTTCCGCCACATGTCTTCCTTTTCGGATTCATTGAGGGTAAGGGCGGTATGAATGGCTTCTGCGCACTGGCGGTAATCCCATGGATTGACGAGTAGAGCATGGTCGTCAAAAATGGACGCGGATCCAGTGAATTCACTTAAAATTAGAGGGCCATGGGCCTTGGGACCGTATTTTCCGTCCTGACAATAAACAAACTCGTGGCTTGTAAGGTTCATACCCTCTCTAAGACTGGTCACCATCAGCGCGTCGGCAACTGTTATCAGAGCTAGATACTGCGCGAAGCTGAGATCTTGCTTTAAGAAAACTAGCGGCTGGTGGGCGAGGGTTGAGTGTGTTGAATTGATCCGCATCGCGATATCAGATACAATGGTATCCAGCTCTGTTTGCTCGTTGGTCGATGATGCAACTTGGATGAGCACAACCTTATCACGGAATTCAGGGTATGTATTCAAAAAAAGTTCATAGCTCAAAAGCTTCTGGCGAACTCCGCGGATTGAATCGAGCTTGTCTCTAGAGACAATCAAGCGCTTACCCTCGTACTTTTCGGAAATAACCTTGATCCACTGTTCCACGTCGTGACTGCGGCGTCTTTCGTCCCAAGAGGTTGGGTCGATACCAATCGGAAACTTGCCCACGTTTACAAATCGATCCTCCAATTGCACACCGTCATTTCGAGCCTCGACACACAATATGCGACTGCAGGTCTGGAGGAAATGGCGACAGTATTCATCAATCTGGAATCCAATAAGATCGGCACCTAGCACACCCTCGAGAAGCTCTTTACGTGGAGCCAAACATCTGAAAACCTCTGAAGATGGGAACGCAACATGCAGAAAAAATCCAATCTGAGCGTCTGGCAACAATTTGCGAAGCATTGCCGGAACAAGCAGCAAATGATAATCATGAATCCAGATAGCGTCGCCTCGTCGCCAGTTCTTGGCAATGCGCTGAGCAAAAGCCTCGTTGAGCTTAACATAATAAACCCAAGAATGATCCTCGTATGCTTTGCTCTTTGGGTTATCTGGGATCTGGTAGTGAAAGACGGGCCACAAGATAGTCTTGCAGAAGTGAGAATAATGTCCGTCAAAGTCGGTATCGCTCACATAGACAGCTAGGGACGAGTATTTATCCTCCAATGTCTCGGCGATCTCAGATTTGACATGACTATCCAAGGCGTCAGTCGGCATGCCCAAAGTACCGACCCAAACAGTGTCATCCAACCCAGGGTCGGAAAACGAGCGGACTGCATTACGTAGGCCAGGGTTTCCTTGTTCGGCAGATTCAATGGTCCAATCCGCATTGGAGAATGAATGAGAAGGAACTGAACGCATAACCTCTCCCTGTGCTTTTTGACTTTCAATGCCCATGGTGGGTGGCTTTGAAATCTCGATTGTGGGAGGTGCCCCTTCAGGAATCGGTTCCTGGTGTTTCAAGATCGAAGGAGATGGGAGCGCCATTTTCAAAGGACGAGGTTGGTTGAATGTTTGAGTTGAACCCCACGCAGGGGAATGAGCTTCGCTTTGCGACAAGACATTTGGTTGCCCATTCGAGGTCGTAGGAAAGGGATATTCGTTGAGTGATTCGAGTCGTGTATTGGTGAAGATTTGCTCGTAGTCGGTGATGGCTCCTGGAGTGAGTCCTTTCTTTATGGCTTCATCCTGACGCTTTTGGAAAAGAGTTGCAGCGGCCGAAGGGCCAGTGCGTGGCGGAGATCCCTTGAAGGACCTGGACGACTTTGGGCTGGATGCCTTCGAGCCCTTGTCCAAGTGGAAGTTGACGGTGTAGGGAAGGAAGCTTTAAACGATTAGCATGATACTCGTGAATCTCGAAAAGTGCAGTCAGTTAGCATTAACGTACAGTGAAGCAATGAAGATAGTCATTGTGACGCGAAAACACTATCACGAATTTCTCAGCAATAGTTTACCCGTGCTTGGGCATCCACTGTCTTTTAAGACAATAATAACGACAGCATGCGTGCAAAGCAGCAAGACGGCAGGCTGTTGCTAAGGGATTGATGGATATGAAGATGCAGCTTGATAAGAAGGAAGGAGTGTGAGAGGGGTCTTTTTCCTTGGAGTAATAAGTATTTAAAGTCGAAGCTGGGAAAAATAAGTGGAGCCGGGTTGAGGTACATCTGATAATTAATACGTCATGTGAAAATATATTTACGGTTGCGATACAGGCAATTACATCAATACGCGCCCGAGTACTATGGCTGACTCGTCTTGACCATAGCCGGTGACAATACCGGTACTTATTTTAGGTCCCGCTATTGCATGTTTAGGCAAATCTTTATTGATGCAATGACTCTCTCTAACCTCTTTTGTGTTATATATAGATATATAGAGAGACAATTGATTATATTCTCTACTCAGATTCATCACACGAAAATCTAGAACTGTAGTCATATTATCGAGACGATAATGATATCAGGACTTGGCGGGACAGACATGATGTAACAGGTGGGCTGTCCCGAATAGGCGCCCAGTCTGGATTCTAGCATGTATGAATACCTGATATTTCCCGTCTAAATGGCTCATCGCTCAGTCTAGATGCAAGACTTTTCTTCCTATTGGCGGATAGTCGACAGCCAATCAATACGGCAACGTTGGCACGTTGCTTTGGAATTTAGGCTCAGCAAAAAGTAACCCCGGACTCGTTCTCTGCATGAATCCAGGGAACTGTGCATCATTCGGAACGAACCTAATTGCCTGGATGACTAAGGCATTAAAGTCTAACTTAACTTAACTTAGTTGATTTACAGAACGCCAACACGTGACATGCAGGGTGACTAATATGCGCTAGTTTTAAAGCAGCTAGCGTGGATCAACTCTAATAATGAATGATAGTGGGGGGAACGATGCATGACATTTTAACTCCTGCATCTCCCAGACTTGTCGAGTCATACGGTATATACCGATATCAACTGATCGTGCTAATATCGAAACCCTGTAAACTCATGCCCCTCCGCATCACATCGGCCCCAGTATCTGGTATCAAAAAAAGAAAATCAGTCGCCACACCCCGGAATCGCGCATTCCCTTTCGCAAGTCATGCACGCTCCAAACCAGCTGTGCGCGGAAACGCGCAAACAACGACCAAATCATTCGAGCTCCACGTGGAGGAAGAAGCAGATGGGTTCGTGAGCGATTCCGAGCCGTTGCCTGACGTTGGTGACTCGCGGTATTTAACCGAAACCGTCAAATTAAGCGGCGTTATCCAAGCTATGCAACATGTGAAGAATTCCATGTTTGAGGAATTACCGGAACGAAGGGCGGGGATGAATAGTACTCGTATTGCGGAGGTGTTAAATATACGTCGTTCATTGCCGCCGCTGGTTTCCGTTGCGCATTTACATACGGTATTGCAGTCTCCGACGCAAGTGGAACGAGAAATCGTTTCGCTTGTTCAGTCTGGTCAGTTGAAGAGATTGATCGTACCGGGAAGAGGTAATAGTGCAGCCGGTTTGGGGGATTGCTTGGTTATGACAAGTGACTTGCACGATTTGGTGCAGGCAAGTAGTGATCTGGATCAAGCCTTGAAGGGTATGCATAAACCTATTGAATCCGAAATGGTACTCGCTGACTGCTGGTATAGATCGTTTTTTGGGTATTCTTGACCAAATGTCGAATACATCTGCCATCCCTTCTTTGGCATTCTCCCGCGAAGAATCCGTTGCTCTCGTGCGAGCTGGGTTTCTAGTGTCAGCATCATCACTATCCAAGGACACCGTCAATCTTACCTCTGTACGTGCCTATTCTACAGATGCCGACGACACGAAACCAAACTCAGTGCAATCCCGCGCCCCAGCTTTCTTTCTATCTCTCCCCAACACAGGACCTTATCTACGACTCCTGAGCGCTGGCCGCTCTCACTTACTAACTCTACTAAAACAGTCCAAATACCACGAAGCACCATTGACACTTCTGCGTGACCGCTGGGATGGCGCCGTTGAATCAAATCGCAATTTCAGCGTTGCTAAGCGGATTAGAGGCGAATTCAGTGGTGTGTTACCGGGTAGAACGAAGAAGTGGAAGGAGTTTAATGGTATGAGTTTTCGGTGGATATTAGAGGAAGCCCTTGGAGCTGGGCTTGTGGAGATTTTTGATACTGGGAGCGTCGGCCCTGGTATACGTTGTTTGTAGAATATCCCCGGAGCAGGTTTCTACACCAAAACCATGATATACATCATCCAACAAAGCAGACTTAAGATCTCTTCTTATCCACCCATCCCAGAAACAAACCCACATCTGCCACGATAGCCTTGGGCACTCCACCCATCGTCCAACTCCGCTGCACCCATTGCGGAATGAGACCACCGGCATCTGAAGTCGTGGCCATAATCCACTCAATGCGACGGTTTCCGTCACCATTCCCTGCAACAGGAGGTAACAATCGAACACGTTCAACACTAGCATAATGCGCAAATATAGTATTTTTTGGCGCCACAGATAGAATTTGTTGTTTGATTGCATCTGGCACATCGTTGTTTGGCGCATCTTTCTGAAATAAGAGCGGTATCTGTATTGTATAGAATCCTTGGATGGGATTATCATTGTCCTCATTGCCGCTAGTTTCAGGTTCATACGCCGAGATAACCAGCGAAATGAACGTTCTCGGTGAAATGAGACCAGCAGGTTTAAAAGTATGCGTAATCATGTTAACTACAATACCGTTAGTCTAGATTCACATCAGAACCGGATTTATTGAGAACAAACCATGCATATCAATACCCTTCCACCCCTCCAAACCCTCAATAACAGGCCACCGCACCAAATTCTCAACCGAAGCCACACTGGGCGTATACTCCATCTCATTCTCGGAATGATTCTCTCTCAACCCTCTCTCAAATTCAGTCCATGACGCACTCCCCTTAACCGCAGAGTCTGCATGGATACTCTTGCGACATACCCAGTAATCTTCCACTCCGCTTCCCGGGGAAGAAGTGAGAACTTGGACTTTTGCAGTTGATGATGCTGAAGAGCGAAGTTTGCGATCTGGTCTGAATTGTTGTGGGATTGTGGTGGAGATTAGTGTTTGGGTTTCGTTGAGGATGGGGGTGAGGAATGGTTCTAGTCGTTGTCGTCCTGGGGTGGGGTCGAGGGAAGGATAAGGTGGAAGAGATGAAAAGGGGAGTGGTTTTGACATTTTCTTTTTTTCTTCCTGGTTGATTGAAAGTACACAGAGGTAGTTATTGTGGTGGTATATTGGTGATGCTGGTGATGTTATGGCTAGTATCAATGCTGTTCTTTGTTGATATACCAGCTCGAGGTATTCACGATTATTGACAAGTCATTGAGTGTATCGAATATAACTGAAAGGTTAACTTGGCTGTATACTGATATTGATAGACCGAGTCATCGGATCTAAGAGTGAATACTATCGTGGCCACGGACATCACGTTTCAATATTTGTCTCATGTAACTTAACTTATATGATTGGCCACGTGACTAATCAGATAATCTATATAACGTTAGTTACACACCCCGATTTATCTAGTTTATACGACATCAATTTGATTGTAGACAGATATAATGAGATGTGATATAATGTAGGTGGAGATTCTCAAGACACGCAATAATAAATCTGCCTAATTGTCGACCCAGCATGAGAGCAGTAAATGAATCATGAATTGATAAACCGCATGAGTTTTAGTACGCCAACACGCCTCCTGTGGCAATCCGGAATGTGCAGAAGTTAATACCCAACACGCGAAAAAGGAGAAAGAAGGAGATGCAAAGCAACCAGGTGTAACATCAACTGCAAATGTAGAACATTGTAACGCCCGCCCAAGCCGCGTCCTGACATGCATGTCATCAGCATCTCCGAAAGAAAGTGGACAAAAATCATGAGAAAAGAAAAAAAAAAGAATAATGTCAATAATACATTCGCGCAATGCATAATGTGTCTTCAATCTTACTAAAGGGGATATTGAAAAACCATCTCAAATACAAGGATCCAGAAAACAGAATACCAAGGCAGAAATAGAATCGGGGGTGGGCAGCTCGGATCATTCAAGCATCTCATCGCACACCAGCATTTACCGGACCCGATTGTGCTGAACTCGCTCCTTGATTTTGTGCAGCGAGTTGCGAACGTAACGATGCCACTTCCGACCGGAGAGTGCCGAGTTCTTCGTGCACGGATCTGATATATGCCCACAACTTATCTTCCCGAGACTCCCCTTGCATGTTAGTCTCCGCAGCACCGCTAGGTGTCGGATCAATATTTGACTGAGGCGGTAAAGGTGCGCCCAAACTGCTCGAGTGGCTGTGAGTACCACTATGTTTAGCAGACAAAGACCCGGGCCCGTTCTGCACCGACCCTTGACTGTGCAAAAACCGTGAGTCTGGAGCATTGAGACCAGGTGGAGGTGGCAGCTGCGGCGGCGGGAGACCCAGAGAACCTTGGCCATGTCTGAAATATTGTTGACTCAAACTGGGTGAATGAGGTCGATGCTGCTGATGAGCATGAATTGCTGCCGCCTCGGGTGCGTGGCTTACTTGCGAAGAAAGTGGATTTGGCGAAAGGGGCTTAGGACTTTCTGTCATATTGGGTGCGGGAAAGGAGGTAGATGTAGAAGATGAATGCGCGGTTGCAGGGAAAGTCATAGTTCCACTTGTGGAAATGGGTGAGGTAGAAGAGCTTGAACCTCCGCCATGGTTTGTCGGAGGTGGGAAAAGACCACGGGGAGGAGGCGGCGGCGGTGGTTGAGTTGAAGCAATTGGAGGATATGTGCTTGGTGCTCGATTCTGAAAAACTCCCGGTGCGCGTGGCATGGGCTCGGAAGATACATTATTATGCTTACGTATACTTGGTAGACCAAGACGACGTTCCTCTTCTTCGTCCATTCGCTCGGGCTCAGTATACATAAGACCATCCATAGTGTCGTCCGCTCCAACGGCGTTTTCTCCAAAATCTTCTTCACCTGCATAACTTCCCATACTTGAACGTCGTCCAGCGCAGCCCCCTTGGCCTTTGTTATGCCGAGCTAAAGCATCTCCTCGCGCAAACCTGCGACCACACTTATCGCAAATGTGTGGACGTTCTCCTGTATGCAGCTTCGTATGGCGTTTTAGATCGTGTAGACGTCTAAATCGTGACTGACATGTCTGGCATACATATGGCTTCTCTTGGCTATGAGTAAGGAGGTGAGACTTCAGATTATGGTGGCGCGTGAACTCAGTTGAACAGTAAGGACATCGATGTTTTTTTGTCGAAGGCGAACGAGGACTACCTTTATGGAATCCGGAATGAGGTAGGCTGAGACCACGGCGCGGGTCCAGCGGGTTATTGGCGGGCATTGGATACGAGAACGCTTTGTTTGCATCATCTGCCAAGTCGGTCTGATGGCGTGGTCTGTCGCCGTCTTGAGAAGCAGTGTCCTCAATCGGGCCAGGACTGGCCACAGTGGAAGTATTCATCAAGGACGCTTGTGTTGCCGTGTGGTCACCAGCACCAGACGGCTCGGCGAAGGGGCCAGAATTTGTATATGAGTCTACTTGCATGTCATCGGACGGCACCTGCGCTGGTTTGGCGCTTGTGTCGGCGGACCCATGAAGAATAGTCGGAGCGCCGGCGGCATCTTGAGATCTAACCTCATCTTCCTTTCGAGCTTCGCGGGCAGTGTTCAATGCCTCCTGGGCTACACGTGGGCTATCCTGATGCTGTGTATCCTGTTCTTTCCCAGCCACAGATGGTTGATCTGCTGTACCAGCTCCTGTTGAGCTAGCCATGTTGACGGTAGTTGTTGCGGGAGCAGAAGTTTCGAAATTAGGAGATGGCGATGTGCGTAGGCCGGCACTCGCAAGGGAACTGAGATGCGATTCCGGTTTTGGAGATTGTTTAAGATACGAGATCTGCTCGGAAGGACTGCTGAGTATAGCTGTAGCCGCCGGGGATATCGCGACAGGTTCATTACTTGTTTGCATTTGTCCCGCCATGAAGGCACCGTGTATCTTGCCCGGCGGATATATATGGTGAGGATCAGAGCGCGCTTCTGTTATCACGATAGTAGTCATGTCAGTTTTGCATTCAGGGTCGAGTGCTATCGGTGCAGATTCGAGGGAACAGAAAACAAGGCTGCAGATAAACAGATGTCGCGATAACGAGAGCAGTTGAAACAATGGTGAAGAAAGTAGAGCAGATTAATTCCAGAGCGCAATCGACTCTTGAAGTGTGAGCAGACGGGGGGAGCAGCGACAGTAGTTACGTACATGTACCGTCGCGTGGGGCGGGCGATGCGGTGTTCCTGAAGCGAATGTGGCGCAAGCTGATGGACGGAGGGTTCAGCTTCGCCAGCCAGGGTAAAAGCGGAGGCAAGAGGGCGCAGACCAAAACAGGAATGAATGGTTGAAATAGGACGAGAGAATCAGCCTTGCGGGAGAAGAAAGAACTGTTGTTGGTCGGCAATGGCTTTCGAGGTTGGTCTCCGCTTGCTAACTTAGACGGGCCATGGAAACTTGTCCGGCTTCGCTGAGGATTGATTATGGTGTGCAGCAAAGGAACCCCCAAGTAAAGCTGCCAAGAGGACAAAAGTACGAAGGCAAAAGACAGGTCCAATATTTGCTCTTGATTGCGAGCAACGTGGTAGTACTACAACGGAATCTTGGACAAATGCCGCAAAACGTGTCGCAAGGTCGCCCAGGTAGGCAACGCGGGAGGCAACAGGGAAGAAGCAAGAAGGTTGGGTTTTTTTGTCTCGGTGCGCTGCGAACGGGAGTGGCAACAGCCAATGACGAACTGCGGCGGAAAGCAGGAATGAGGAAAGCAAATCAGGATTGATCTGATATGAGAGTGAATAGAGTCAGGAACGTCAAGAGAAGCAGGGCGATGGGAGACTAACAGTTGAGTCAACCGGTGATGGAGTTGTACACAATCAGATTAAGCTGATGATGCTGATGGCCGCGCCAAACCAAGTTCGTCCGTACAGAACCCTCGTATTTGATTGAGTACGTACGGTACTGTCGTACGTTGTCACAGCCACCAGCTAATACGGGCTTGGCAGGTGCCAGGCCAAAATCGTGGTGGCTGGTAATGCCAAGACGTACTGTAAATGACCATACCGTCATGCGCCTTACAATACAATATAGTATACTATATATTAGCGCTATCTTCTGCTGATCTCAATATGGAATTCCCTCAAGGCGCATTAGTATTCGGGTCTCCTGAATAAGCTAGGTGAAGCTCTAAGAGCTAGCTATGTTGAAGTTCTGAGCAAGCCACAAACACAATCCTCGTGCGCCGTACACGATCATCACATCGTTTCCGACTGGCTTCCATCCACAGACCCGCTAACGCGATGGCAAAAGAGCCGCGTGCCGACGGCAATTGGATGAAAACCTTGATCGGTCAGATCATAAATAGGACCAATAGAAACCACGGATGTCAAATCATATGTTCATGAATCATGAATAATGAATAATGAGTCTGATAAATGCTATGTCGTATCTTGTAGGCCTAGCCGTTGTTTGCTTATCCAAGCCAAGCTAGGTACGGTAGTTACAACGAGCCCCGGTTTCATCATGGTCTAGTACTTGACCAATGATATGTCGCAGGCTGGCATTTCCCCGGCTCCACAAACATTACCGTACGTACGATGACGCTCCAAATTACACGCTTGCCAGAAATGGAATCACAGACATATGCAAACACATATGACAGTTGTTGAAAGAAGAGGCCAGGTTACTACGGGCTATGTGCCATCAGTCGAGGGTTGCAGGTATGGAGAACGTAGATTATCTCTCTACATGGAAAAGAGTTGATGAAGAAGGGAAACCTTGCTCATACACATGACTAAACTTCTAGTGGTCATGCGCCGTCGATCAATATGGAGAAATTGTGGCTCATCCGATCTCAACCATAGACAAGAGAGAGGGTACATACGTATATCAGACTTTGAACGCAATAGAAGACTTTCTTGTAGGTCCTGATGGTATTCTTCGAAAGGTATCAAAGTGAGAGCCATACCTATCGAAGCTGTGGAGTACTGGTGGAGTCCGAGTTCGCGGCACACGAAGCGACTAACCCGATCTGGAAAGACTGAAATATATCGATCTCCTCCAAGCACCTAACCTCTTCATCTGATGAGATCCTTCAAGGAAGCTCGCTTCTAGATCTCACGTCGCAGTTATATGCATCACGGCTAAGGCATTCTCTTTATTTGCATTATATGTGCTCCGTGTCCTTCTTTCATCGTGTACAGTCTCTTTGTCTCTCGTTATCACTCTATCTTATCGGTTGGTAGCAGAGCGCAAAACCATTGGGCACCAGAATCTGCTCCGTAAGCTGTTGAGGGCGGCACTTGCAGCGCAAGCGTTCCGATTCATTGATCCGTGCTGTTGGACTCATTATATCATTGTTTGAAACTAATACCATCCTTGCGAGAGGCTGGTGGGTGTATCAAGCTTATCGACCAGCTGTCGCAATCAGACGTCGCGCGGGCAATCACGACTCACCCTTACAGAGCCCGCACAACATTAACAGTAAGATACTGCTACATTCATAGCGGTCACGATCTCCACTTCTGAAATACCCGGTCAAACCTCGACATGTACGGTTCTCAACCTCCTCCGCATTATGCGGGGGGTTACCAGAACCCACCGCAACCCGAATGGCAATCTCATCAACATACGCCTTCCGCTACATACAACCCCAGCACATATGGACCTATTCACCCCACCACTTCACCAGCTCCTCCAGTGAGTCCTCCTAATGTTGATACAAGTAGCTGGGGTGTGCGGTACAATCATCAACATATGGCGCAGGGACCACCACCCCCTCCATTACCGGTATGGTATCATGATATAGCTACATGGCATCTGTATACTAACAGATAGACAGCCTCGGCATAACGATATATACTCTGCACCGTCTCCTCCCCCGCCGCCACCTCCGCCTCGTCCAACTTCAACGTCGATTCAAGCAGCTCCGCCTGCGAATTGGGACTATAATAATACCACATACCCGCAGTCGACTCAAACTCCGTCGGGGCCTCCTCCAAAGCCGCCTATACCACCTGCTTATCAGACTGAAATGCAGCAGACCCCTCAACCATGGCAGGCAAATCAACAGAGCTACGGCCCACAGTACTCCCACCATCCGCCAACACATCACTATGATCCGAGCGCGCAACCAGTACATCAGCCTCACAGCTCTCCATATACATCTGCTCCTGATCCGGCAGGAACAAGCTACTATCAAGCGCCGATTCCTCCTCTCGGAAGTCCACCACCAGCCAACTCAATGTCACCACCGTCGCAACCTCCCCCGAATGTTCTCCCTCAAACTACCAACCCGCAATGGGCAACAGCACAACCTAGTAATCCCGTCGCGGGAGCATCAATACTCGGACATGGCGGGGTCTCAGATTGGGAGCATTTGACTCCTACCGCTGGTGATGTAGATGATTTATATCAGGGAAATTCTAGCTCTAAACAGCCTATGATACAACAAAGTGGTTCGACGCCCATTCTACAGGATTCTGCACATACTTTTCCTCAATATCAGACTCCCGTATCTCATGTGCCCAGCTCAAGTTCTCCTGATCAGACGAAGTGGATACCGCCTGTTGAAAGTCAGCTTTCTAATGTACAGGCTACCTTTCACCCATCCCATCCCTCAAGGAATGATAGCGTTCAATCCCAAGAAAGCGCTGTATCTCCACAAGAAAGGTCAGATACTATTGACGGTGTTATTCAGGCTTGGAGCCAGAACCCTATCTCGCCTATTATTAAACCGCAGGATGAGCCATATGCTAGAAGCCCGATACCAATGTCTGCAAAACCTGCTTCCCCAACAGCTGCACAGCCTAATTCTCCGCAGTCATTGTCTCCTAACCCACAACCTGTCCAATCACTTACTAGTTCGGCACCTACGAGCACTCCTCCGCCAGCGACGGGTTCAAGTAGTACTCCTGGAGCACAAGGCGAGCAGGCAATTGCTGGGGCAACAACACCTGGCGCTTCTGAATCTACTGTGGCCCCAGTCAAATATCTCGATCCATATGATGATCTCGACCCGTGGTCGAAATCTTCCTTGCATCGCTATGTGACAATGTTGCGTAAAGAGGCGGTGGCAGAGTCTGAAGAGGAGAAATACAAGATCTTCACTAGCTTTGTCGCCAAGGAGACCAGACTACGAGAGGTCTTGTATAGTATCGAGACATCCGACAAGGAATCCACTCCCGCCCCGCACAGTGAAGGAGTCGAAAGTATGCCTACGGCCTCTGTGCCTGTTGATTCCGGACTTATTCCCGTACAGTTGGAAGCGAGTGCTCAGCAACCTGATCGAGGTCGACATGCGTCTGTAGACTCTGATGACATTCCATATAGTCCTGGTGGACGACCTATACTTAACAAAGGCCCTGTACAAAGTATCGCCAAAGAGCACAACAGTCTTCACCGGTCAGCATCGAATCCTCAAGGCAAAGGTAGTAGTTACTTTGGCGGTGGTTTAGTTGTACAGCACCAGGACGAGCCTGCTCTCAGATCAACATCGGTACCACCCTCTATGAATACCTCGACAGTTCCACAACAGGTTACTCCGCTGATCTCAGAACCTCCTCGGCCTGCTTATACGCCTTTCCGATATGCAGAAGGCCCACAGCGCGGTGGGGAGGATCTGAACATTGCTCAGCCAGGCTATCAAGCCTACTCAGCCTTGCGTCAAGCATCTGCTGAAAGTGGACGTGCTATGGCGGTACCAACGCTACGGACTCCAGAAAAGCAAGACGTGAATGTCCAGAAATCCCCAGGAAGCATTCAAATGGACGAAACGTTTCTTGGGATCATCCGAGAGAAGAGTGTTTCTTATAGAGGAAAAAATGAACCACCTGTGAAGGGAACGGGTCTCGAGGAGCTTGGCGCCTTGATTCCAGATCCATTCCCGGTGTGGGAAGAGAGTGTCGAAATCAGCAACATAAGAAAGAAGATGGAAGTCTATTCTGATGATTTTAGGTATATATACGTGACTACTGAAAACTGGGAGCTATCTGCCAGAGATCGTCGAGAAGCTATAGAGAAGGAGCGCCTCCACCGTCAAGAAGCATCGGAGGCGCATATCGATGCCCTTTTCAACGAGAAGGAGATTGGCTACGCTGATATAAACCCTCTTGAGGAGGAGTTCCGACAACGAGAGGCTCGAATTCAGCTGGAGGAAGAGCGCAAGGAGCTTGACAGCTACATCCGGAGAGTCTTCAACCCGGTAGACACGCGACTCAAGGAGGAGATTGTGGAACTCAAGGCACTGTATCAAAGAGCATTGGACGAGCTTACCTACGACAAGATCCATTCAAACAGCAATTCGAAATACCAGATATCGCACACAATGAAGACGATTAATACGTTAGTCAGTAAGTTGGAAGACCGATACCAGAAGCGGCTCGACCTTGGTCTGGATCGAGAACGACATCGGAAAAGGGCAGAAAGACGACCACTAGTATTCCTCGGGGATTCCCGAGCACTGAAGAAGCTGGACGCCGATTTTGAAAAGATGGAGAAACAGAACATTGTCGAAGCTGCCAAAGACCGGGATGCGAGAGCGAACAAGTTAACGGATGTGTTTGACGAGGCCATTCTTCATGCCTTGGGTAATCATCAGAGTGTTCTAGATGAAACGGCAACGAAGACGCGTAAACTTGATGTGGGCATTGTTGAGCGGAGCAATCTGTCAGAGGTGGACAAGGAGTTACTGCTACGGTCGATTTCTGCGCTAACGAAATTGCTTGCTGAAGACGCCGAGTCTATGTTGACAAGCTTCCGGGAGGCTGATAGTCGGTTGAACGAGGCAGATTATAACGTCTCTGTGACTGAGGCTCAGTACGCAAACGCGGATCCCGAGGTATTCCGTCGACTAGAGGAGGAAAAGAAGAAAGAAGACGACAAGATCCAAGAAGACCACAATTCGAAGCTGGAGAGCATCAAAAAAGCCCCCGCCGAGATATCGAGTAAGATCGACTCAGTCTTGATTGCAATGCGCAAGGAACCCGGTACAGGCCCGGGACCATGGCGACGACCTGCGTCACTTGCCAACAATCTTTCTGTACAAACACCACCACAAACGCGCTCTCGTTCACCATCCACGGGAGCACTACCAGACCGCCATGAAAATCCCATTAATGAGGAAGAAGCTCATCCCGTCGAAATCCTAATGCCGGGTCCACCACCGCGACGATCATCGGCGGAAACAGAGCAGCAAGAACGACTTCGAAAGGCGCTTGAAGATGCGAAGAAACGAAATGCAGCGAAGAATTTTACTACTTGATTGGTTGGAGTTGGGTATGCATATACGAATTGTACTTAGAGATTTTATGATGTACGGCCTTATGATACCTTGTTATCTGATTGATTGACGATGATAATAACGAGTCAGTACACCTTCCCCGTGGTCGATAAGACCTGCGTAACGATATAGTGTAATTCAATTACATGGTACATTACCGGCTATACTTACCTTCCTCTACACAAGTGCGTACTGTCGGCGGAGATAGCGGATGTACATCGGTGTAATAATACGTAACAAACGTAACAATATGTCCAACTTCTAGGTCAACTTCGGTACCCTAACTCCCATGAGGTTCCAGCACGAGTCAATAATTCATTTAGTCCAGCCCCCCTTTAGGTCTGACCCCCTGAATCTCATATCCACAGTAAAGAGAGAAAATTCTAGTTAACGGTCAGTTCATAGTCAAGGAAGCTAGCCTCGAAAGATCCAAAATCGAAGCAGGGGTTTCTTTGTTTGCCTGTTGATCAATGCACCTTACAATATGGATGGGCCCGGCTATCAATGGCCGAGATTTGAGCAAAAAAACGTGGGATGCTTGCATGATCCATGGGTTTGGGCCTGGGATGGGACATGGTACTGGGTCCGTGTACTTTTGCTTTTATTGAAAATTTGTTGCATTCTGCTCTGTTTTCTCTAGTTCATGGCTGCTTGAGTCTTAGAACATTCAATAGGTATGGATGTACACAGGTATGTAATATATATATGACCTTCTATATAGTAGATCCAGCTAACTCAGAGATTCATACAGGACCGAAAGTAAATCACAGAAACGAACAAAACGCTATGAAACATCAATATATGAAATGAAACGAGAAAAAGCCTATCGCGTCCGTTTCTGACTTCCACCAGCTTCCGATGTAGCCGGTCTTTTCCCACGAGCTTGTGTACCACTGGACTGTGCATCATGTATCAATGACTTCAACTTGAGCAGGAACGAAGGCGGAGCTGGTATAATCTCGACTTTAGCCAGAATGTCACGCAAATTCGGTACATACGACTCAAGCACGGATGCAGGAACTTCCTCCAAAACGTCTAATATGAACATTCCTCCTTCCCCTTCTCCCCTCTTTCCATCGTCGTCGCTGGCGCTCTGTCCTATCAATTGCTCATACAGATTTCGATCATCGTCATCCTCACCGGGAGGCGCCACCCTACCCCAAGACTTGTTCTCGAACGCATCGATGTTTCGCGCACTCACTTCTTGGAGCAACGTGATTAGTGCTTCTGCCGCGCCTTTTGTTCCATACGGTATTCGAGCCAGGAGATTATTCCGGATTTGAGCTACGTGCCGTCGCAGTTCTCTGGCAACTTCGCTGACGTTGTCCAGTGATGGTTGTCTGTCACTTCCACTGGGCAGTCTTCCCGTTCGTCGATATTCGTCAAATTGCATCAGCAGATTCCGGGACTTTTGATGGACCTTGTCGAAATAAATGGCCGCGCAGGCTCCGGCCGGCATTGCCTTGCGGATACTACTGTAGACATTATCGTCATGGACCGCAAGTCGGAAGATGGTTGCTTCGAAATCCCCCTGTACGACGCATTGTTCTGGTGTACGAGGTGTCGGTGTTGAGCTCGATTCTACCAATTCCTTTCGGAAGTCTTCCGGCAGAGTCACTTTGTTGAACGCGGACATGATATCGCGGACTTGTTCCTGTCGCGATAAACCGCCAGCAATGGTCTCTCCGCTACTGGTCCTGGCAGTTCGTTCGCTCTCGGGGATAAAAGGCCATTCTAGATGGTTTGCTAGAGATTCTAGGCGGTCTTGTAGAAGAGTGTGTAGAGGAGGTAGTGTTGGAGAAACCCCATCTCTAGATAGCGGTAACCCTGGAGGCGGGTTATGAGGTGAGATGCTGTCATATACCTGGTCTACGAGCCACTAGACCACCGTCAGCTTGCCTCATGTAATCAAGATAAGGACTAGACTTACAAATATGTGACGGCAAGCCATATCCGGCCGATTAATATACTCCGAACATGTACATTCGGCTCCTCCATCTCGTATACGGATTCGAGGACGCTCGATGAGCTGAAATTCGTAAAAGGGAGAATTCTCCCGACAGTATACCACGTCAAAATGACCTGTTAAACCCGCTAATGCTCGGGCTCTTGACTCAAGCTCTAGGTTTTCAATATCGTATACAATTTTTGATTTTGCCGCGAGAATCATGGACGCCATTGTGTCTGGGCTGCTCTCCTCTTCCTCTTCTTCGTCGTCACTGTCGTTGTCACCCTGAGAATTAATCTCATTTTCTAGTTCAATGTCGGCCTCTGCTCTTTGCTCTTGGTTATTTTTGTTACCTCTTCTAGCCCGTCCCCACCGTCCTTCCCCTTCGTGTCTCCGATTCGCACGAAGAGAAAGTCTCCGTCTTGACGCAGAAGTATTGCGCGTAGGTGAATTGCGCGTAGGTGCAGGATCAGAAACCGGAGGTAGCCCAGAACGTCGTTGTCGTCGTGATCGGTGAGTCTGAGAACGGTTTGTGGGCATATTCTCACCAAGAGACAACCTCCCGAGCTGTCTCGTAGGGAATGGAGACATACAAGACGGGATTGAACAAATAATTGAGTATCAAGAAACTCCAAGAAATGACGCAACAAGGAGAAAAAAACGGTAATGACAATCTTGCAAGCAGAAGCTGATTCAGGGTCGAAGGTATTTTTCTTCCTTTCAAGGATAGGTATATAAAGTTCCTGCCCGGACCACTGATAAGGTAATAGTTGTGGGCTCACTCAATTTTCAAGATTGTCTCCATTGTTATACCTTTTTATCACTCTTTTGTGTCCACGTCTACGCCGACATAAAAAAAAATTATGACAAGTAGGATTAAATCAGCCGCCGGGTGTTTGTTCTTGCACGCCGCATTTTTGATGAGCAGCTTGTCAAAATTTTCGACCTCCTATTCTCCTATCAATTTATTCAGCTCTGGCGGTATGCATTGTAGGTAGGTAGATAGAGAGCAACGTGGACGCCATATCAAGGTTCTGGAATTTGCTTCGCCGCCGTAAAACACTCCGAGAAAATGGAGCCAAGCAGTCTTCTTTCTTTAACCAGACCGAGAATAATCGGCGGGAAGCCTGACAAGCGGCACAGGATTATTTTTGTCTGGTCTCTTCATTTTGAACCGCGTCTTTTTCCTGGCACAGATGCGTTGCGTCAGTGACTAATTTGAGTCCAAGGCCATGGCTTATGGCGTAGCAGGGGGGGAACACTGGGGTAAACGAGCGTTGATTATTCAATGAAACAATAGACATTTTCTTTTCTTTGGTCTTGAATTTTGCTTTCTTCATTTCCGGTGTATATGTGTATTTTTTCATTTTCGAGATCAGATATCCAATTATTCCTGCGCGGCTTTCCATAGACCTGTTTGACGGCGCTTAAATAATTGGGATGATCGAGAACCGAACCACTTTGTTCAGGTCGGTAGAAGGCTGACTGCGCGATTTTAATAAATAATATTGAACAAATATTAAATTTTTATTCCTTTGCCAAGGATAGAATTCTGAGAGATTAGGTTGTTGATGAGAACTTGGATTTGAAGCTGGAAAGCAGGACAAGACAACCTTATATGGGTAATATCTTATATCTTCTCTATTGCATCAATTACTTACTATACATCTACCAAAAATTGCCATGCAGCTAATTATGATGAAAATGTCAGTCGGATACATAATCACACAACCCTAAGCAACCATCCCATAAATGAGGAATTTAAGCATATGCATGGATATCATCTTCGGAAAGGCACTAGAGCATGCTAGGGCAAGGTTGCAGAGCCGTGAGCATGGTGATGGGAAGCAGATGCATATCTCCACTTTTGTTTATCATTTTACATCATGCTACTTATGTGATGAATCATCGACTTAATGATCCTGTTAAATGATGCAGTTCAGCCTAGGGCGCAGTCATGAGGGCTGTAGACACTACATGGCACTTGACGCCAAGGCACACATGTTGCGTCAATAATCAGCCTGATCAAGCGGCGTGTAAAAGAGGAGTCATACTATCTGAAGCAGATGTGACTGTGTCTGTAGTCGTAGCTCTAGCAAAGAGGCTATCTCGAACGATGCTTATTCGCAGCCTCTGATTGGCCGACGCATGTTGAAGTGGCCGAGGCCTCCTGCAGGCACTCAGGCGACAAAATATGGAGAAGGCTTACTCAGGGAATGCCTTGCGAATCAGGCGTGCACGAGGCACGCCTGCCCGAATCAGGCTGACTTATGTAATCTGTTTCTCAGCCTCAAAAGAGCCAATCAATAAACGCCCAACCTCTACTTTAGGGCTTAGTCCTTGCAACGCCTTAAGAGTAACAATTGCGGGGCATCAACACAGTACATCCCACTATGCATTGATACTACTACCTATGTGTTCACGATGCATATATTCTGGGCTATGCAGGAATAAAAACAGTCACAGAGGTTTTCCAGCCAACGACAACACTAATAGCTGCGCTGCAACCAGCACAAACGCTGTGAAAACGGCCAGGAGGCCCAAGCCATCAAGACAAATCAAGAACCACCCTCCCTTGCAACTTGCCGTGCTCCATCCGCTCGAAAATGTTCGTCAGGTTCTCAGGCTTATCAATCTCATAATGCGCCTTGATGATTCCTCGCTCGGCAAATTCTAGCGTTCGAATGGCTTCTCCACGGTTGCCCACGGCTGATCCGGTGATGGTGAGTTGCTTGGTGGTGATAACCCCTGGATTGGCACCGCTGATATTCACATACTCGCCTTCGGGAATGCCTACGCAAACCAAGGTGCCGTTGAATCGGAGGAGGTCGATTGCCTGTGCATAAGCTGCATTGGCCGCTGTGCAGACTACTGCAGCGTGAGCACCCAATCCACCCGTTAGGGACAGGACGTGCTTGGTAACGCCTTCCTTATCGAACTTGGTGAAATCAATAAAATGCTCAGCGCCGGAATCCCGGGCAAGCGCTTCTTTACTTCCATGATCGATAGCTATCACGCGAAACCCCATCCCTCTGCTTGCCAATTGACACGCGAGATGACCGAGACCTCCTACTCCAGAGATCGCCACCCACTGCCCCGGAAGGGCCTTACTACGGTTCAAAGCTGCGTAAACCGTGACTCCAGCACAGAGCATCGGTGCAGCATCCGCCGACGACAATCCGTCAGGAATCCGTGTCGCATAATTCGCTGGCGACAGCGCATATTGCTGAAATGTGCCTGGCGTATAGTATCCACTGACTTTCTGATTCAAGCAGTTCCCATCCAGACCTACGAAGCAAGCCGGACAATTCTGACATGCGCTCCATACCCATTTTATGCCTACCCGATCCCCAATCTTTAAGCCAGAGGACTCGGCGCCGGGTCCTAGTTTGACAATCTTACCAACGCCTTCGTGGCCGCCGACTTGTCCTGGTTGTGTAGGGTATGGGAGAGATTTCCACTTTGCCATGTTAGTGACTCGATTGGAGCGAGGCGTAAGGATTATGGCTTACGGTGTTGGTCATGACAGCCATATCCGAATGGCAGACTCCAGAGTGAGTTCTGAAACGCATTATCAGCATTGGCAGCATTTTGAGTGACTAGTGGATAACTGGGTACTAACAGATTTATCAAAATCTCACCAGCACCAGGCTCTGGTACATCGATCTCCACCACTTTGGTGGATATCTTTCCTGGCTGATCATAGACGGCAGCCTTCTGTTTTTGAGGAATAGAAATAACACCGTTCTCGGCCATGTTGTATACAGAGTAATTTAGTTATTGCTTGGATAGAATGGGTGATGCCTGATGAGATGCTAGATGGAAGAATGGAAATCATCCGTCTACTCCTCCCTGCTTTTTAAGACTGACATCCCAGTCACTAGGTTTAAGACCATATTACAAGTCTCCTCCCCGGACCACCGAGACGTATAATTGTACCTAGGTAGATTGTTCTTCACAACCGAGACTGCCGGTACAATACAGAACTGGAGTATGGAGTATCCGTGCATGCATACATCCTATTTCAGTCTTTCCGATCAAGTCTTTCTTGTTCCGGCAACTGCATGCATGGTCGTACAATAGCAATCTCTACAATCGGTCATGACATCAATCCACCTCCAACTCCATACTCAAACCAATTATCCATCCCAATGCCCATCAAGAGCATTCCACAATGCTATCATAGTACTAGACATCACAATCTGCCCCACAAACTGGGAACCATCAAAAGCCTCAAACTCCACAATCTTTAGATAATTGATAGACTGCCGTACTTCTCCTCTCTTAACGGCATTTGTAACGGCATAGCCTGCTAACAAAATGCGGGGAAGTGGGGAGGAGACTAGCGTATGACCCCGCAACACAACCCTAATACGTAGTGCAGATAAGTATTGAAGCGGAATACGTTCCGTCAATTAGCCCTAGCCCTAAACCCTGTGAATTATGAGGAGGTCGTTCATCGGGATAATTCACACCGAGAGGGAATGCTACACATGAGAAATCATATATATACTGTATAGTAAAAGAGTGCCCCGGAAGACGTCATAGAAAGCAAATCAAGGAAAAGGTAAGTAATCTACTAAGTTGTAAATTTTAATGATACCTAGCCCAAGGAATGTTACGCATCTAGGCAAGAGTTTGAGCCCCTCTCTGCCAGCACACACCTACTCATCGGGTAAACACCCCATCCTCTAGATCGGGCTCTGAACCAAACAGAAAGAAGAGAGTTCTCAAAATTGGGACCATTACCGGCGTTTATACAGTACTGGTCATCAGTTCAAAATGGTCATCCATATTATTGATTCACATATCCACATCTGGACAGAAACGCAACTAGATGCGCTCGCCTGGCATAGGCCCAGCCACCCTCTGGGCTCGCAACATTCTGTTGAAGACTATTTATCATCTGCTGCAATCACAGACCAAGAAGGGAAATATCTATTACGCGGGTTCGTCTACCTCGAAGTTGATCGCATATCATCTGTTGAGGAACAAGGAAAAAAAGGATGGAGTCATGTTCTCGATGAAATCTCCTTTCTAGCTCGGATAGCTCGCGGAACACCTGTGGAAGGTGAAGGGCATGTCGAGGATCACAAGTCGTTAATCCTTGGGTTTGTGCCCTGGGCGCCTGTACCTGGTGGTCCGGCTGTCTTGGAGAGATATATTTCTCTTGTCACGGGACGTGTAGCTTCTTCAATTGCTCATGATAAAGAAGATGAGACATGGAAGAAATTGAGAGGATTCAGATACCTTGTCCAGGATAAGCCGGGTGGGACAATGGTTCAACCAGACTTTGTCGAAGGATTGAAATGGCTAGGGAGACAGCGTCTGACATTTGATCTGGGCGTTGATGCTAGACAGGGCGGATTGGGGCAATTGAAAGAGGCTGTTGAGCTCATAAAGAGAGTAAACGATGGAGTGGACCTAGAAGATCGGGTTGTTGTCATCATTAGTGAGTACATACCTCTTTTTGGATCACGAGTTCGAAAGAGGATACTGACTTGTTAAGATCATCTGTGTAAACCGAACCTACACATACCCCCAGACAAACTCAACAATCATCCAGACTTCCTCGAATGGAAGCAACTAATTACCGCCATGGCAACACACTCCACAAAAACATATATGAAGCTTTCCGGCCTATTCTCCGAATTCCCAAAACTTCCTCTGGAGTATACGCAAGGAGATGAACAAGGTATCATAAACTATCTTGTTAATCATGCTCAACCCTGGACAGATGTCGTCTTTGATGCCTTTGGTCCTCATAGAATTATGTTTGGATCTGATTGGCCTGTCTGTACGATTGGTGCGGGAGCGACAGCTTCAAAAACCGGGGGAGGGAAACGGGGGGCTTGGATAAGGTGGATGAATGTTGTGGAGAAGATCCTTGAGAGACGTGGATTGAGTGAGGAGGAAAGGAAGGATGTTTGGGGAGGCGTTGCTGTTAGGGCTTATGGATTGGATAGTACCTTGTAAGAACTCGATAATATTATTAGGATATATGGATCAGTTTGTGATGCAGATAATAATAATGCATTAAAGACTATGCCTGTGTATAAATCTACTTATAACCACTAATAAAAGCTTGTCTTCGCTGAAACTCCATCCCAATGAAACCACCCGCTTCAAATGCCCGAACTCCAATGCAAGAAATCCAACATGCTATAGACAATCACCCGCAAGCAATGCTTTAAGAATACCCTCACCTGGTCCAGAAATCTGGCTTACAATCTCTTTTTCAGTCACAAAACAAGCTAAACCTTTCTCATCGCTTCCTCTGGAAGGAGTCGAGGAACTGCTTCCACTCTTAGATGGTGTGCGGAGGATCCCTGACCCGCCGGCAATAGTACCACCACGACCACGACCCTGAAATTCTCCAACAAGACCCAATGTCTCCAGACTACCCACAACATCCTTGAACTCCGTTGCAGTAAGGGGATGGAGAATATTGTCACTGCGGCACAACGAGCAATAGGTATCAAAGAGCTCTCGCACAGTGGGTGCGTTCACTCTGGACTTGGACGGCGTAGCATAAATCTCCATGTTACGTCGCTTTCGGTCGAGTGCCACCAAAGCACACAAGGCTGCTTTTTGCTGTAGATTCAATCCCTGAAGGCGCTGTGTAGTACCTTGACCAAAGACTGCAGCAGTGATACGAGCAACGTGAGCGATCGATGCTCTAGGCGCCGTGAGAGCAGTATACGCATTGGCTAGAGTGCGTGTCGAGGCAGGTGTCTTGGGAGGTGATGATAGGTTGGCATTTTCTGCAAGGGCATGCTTCGATGGGCTTTCCGGAATAGAACTCTCTTTATCTAACTTGGTTTGAGTCTCTTGCTCGATGACATCGATGGCCCGTTTCACCAGATCAAAAGCCTTGCGTAGATCACCTGTTTGGGAAGCAACTTTCTTCGCACACAACTGTATAGCTGCTGGCTGAACGAAAGGAACAAAGTCACCGCTCGCTTTGGCCTCACTCTCGGGTACTAGTGATCGCAAACGGGTATTAATAACGTTGGCGATCTGAGCTGCACTATAGGGCAAGAATGGAAGCAGGATGGGTTTCAAATTGTTTGCCTTGAGACGAGGCAGAAAACGATCCGTAAGGTCTAAAGCGTTGGCGATACCAATCAAGAGCAGCTTCGACTTGCTGTTCAGTGACCACTCGAAGAGGGAATAGAGAATTTCTGGATCGGCGGTAAGAAGATGATCAATCTCATCTAATGTCACCAAATATAAGTCTTTCGACTTTTTGGTGGGAACAAACATGCTCCTGAGTTTTTCAATCTCACTCACTGAAAACACGTCGCAGTCATCGCACAGAGACTCGACAAGTTTTCCATAGATGTCTCGTGCAGCGCGCATACTCACACAGTTGACATGCGCGGATTTGACAACAGCATCCACATTCAGATCCCGACACACTTCATCGATCATTGCGCTTTTGCCGGTTCCAGGAGGCCCACTAATGTAAATACAGCCTCCTTTTCGTGATTGCATGCCGTTTTCAATAAATTTCGAGAGTTCAGCGCGCTCCTTCTCCCTTCCGATCAGACGTCCAGGATTTGCGCTTCGTGCAAACATTTGTCTGGCCGGGGTGTAGACTGTGTTCGCACCTACTGGAGTGCCAGCATGACGAGGTGTGCGAGGTGTCAAGGATTTTCCCACGACCTGGACACGATGCTTAGGAGTGACTGGAGGAGAGTTGGCAAGCGCATCGCGAAACCGCTTCGACTGAGGAGTGCGAAACTCAGAGACCACAACATTTTCGGCTGTTCATTTGACAGTTAGTAAGACAGCATAGAATATTTATAGCATGAGAACATACCGTCCAGTGGCTTCGTGGGCTTAAGGTGCGTGTCGCTCTTTGATGGTGATAAGGTATCGTTGTTCTGAACATTACGTTTCGAACGACTATTACCGTTGGTTGAAACTTTGGCGCTGATCTGGTTCGTGTATTGTGGTTCGCAACTTTCGATAACCCTAGATCTGAGGCGAATAGAAGAAGTCTGGGTGTTGCTATCTTCTTCATGAATCTTAGGTGTACGAGCTCGGCGCTTGCTACTAGAACGAAGAGGCAGAGTGTCTGAAATCGCAAAATTAGTAAATAAAGGAGAATATTTATCCAACAAGAGCTCTTACCCTCAATATCCACAGCAGTACGCTGCCGCTTTCCCAATACCGTAGCTGCCATTTTTGATGCTAGTCGTATTGTGCTTCGAAAAAGCGGCGATGTGTTTTTGAAGGAGAGAAGGTACACTCGGAGAGCAGGTACATCAAGTTATATCCGAGACGCGTCGCGCATTCCCAAAACGTCAAAATTGAAAGGGCGCGACTCGCGTTTTAGCCGCGCTCGTGTGGCTTGAATTTGGTCATGTGACTTGTCCGCTTTGGGCGGCACGGTGGTCTCCCCAGACCATAAGTGCAATTCTGCGATATAGAAATCTTATGCAAATCTGCACTTCTATCAGGCTTCGGTCACCGTAATTGTACATTATGCATAATTTCCCAGGAGTCGGTTCAACTTGCCATAGCAGCGGAAAGGAACAACTTCTTCACCGGATCCCCACCAACGCCTACAGATGACGATAGCGAACATTTACAGCTAGCAACTTCTACATGGTATTACTTTCTCACATCGCATACGAGCCTTTTTAATTTCCGTTCATCTCTTCACTTTCTGGTTTTGCTTGTGGTAGGTGCATCTAGGGAGATCTCTAATAATACCACTCAGTTAGGCGTGAAAATCCGTCAATCTGCACCGGCTTTTGTTTGCCGCCTTCACTACCTAGGAAGCTTGCCTTTACTTACCAGATCTTCCTCCTACACACACATCTTGACAACTCTCACTTTATCCCACCTTGCCCATCATGGAGGGCGACGTGGTAGCTCAGTTCCAGGAAGTTACAGGCTCTACCGAAGAGCTTGCAAATCAATATTTAGATATTGCAGATTTCGATATCCAACAGGCTATGCAACTCTACTTTGAGAATGGCGGGGCACCTTTAGGACCGACACAACAACCCGCATCTGCCGCAGCCTCTCGTCCCAGCAATGCCATCAACATAGATTCAGAGGATGATGACCTCACGATAGATGAATCTCGATCATCAGCTCCGACGCGCCAGCCTGCCGAATCCACCTTTGAAGACGATGCCGCCATGGCTCGCCGATTACAAGAAGAGCTGTATGCTGGCGGCGATTCTGGAGACAACGTGCGAGCACCTATTGCAAGAACGACAGAGACTCTTGTTGGTCCTGGGGCAGATGGCTACGGAGATTATGATCCCTTAAGCCATTTTAGAATGCGACAAGGCGGTAGAAACAGTCAGTTGAGAATCTTTTTGCCACACATGATCAGTGATTGTGTAAAACTAATCGTCTTTATGTTTTACAGCTCGCCCAGGTATATTTAACCAACGCGACACGTCTATTTGGGACGAAAGCTCTGAAAATGGAGCTCCATCACAACGAAGCGCTCTAGCTCGCGCCACTGGAGGTGCTTCAGAGACGTCATCCAAATCAACCTTGCTAGCTGAGATGTACCGACCGCCGTTCGAATTGATGTCTAGACTGCCCTGGGATGCAGCTCGTGAGGAAGGGCGAGAGAACGAAAAGTGGCTACTCATCAACATTCAGGACCCGTCCATATTCGACTGTCAAGTGCTGAACCGTGACCTTTGGAAAGACCCAGGTGTGAGGGATACAGTCAAGGAGAATTTCATCTTCTTGCAATACAACAAGGACGATGAGCGGGGTTTGCCTTACTTACAATACTACTTTCAAGGGAGTGATGTGTCGGACAATTACCCGCACATTGCTATTGTCGATCCTCGAACCGGAGAACAAGTTAAAGTGTGGTCCGGGGCACCAGTCATCAAAGCTCCAGATTTTCTCATGCAACTCCACGAGTTTCTAGATCGGTACAGTCTCAAACAAAACGCCCGCAATCCAGTTGCCAAACGGAAACCCGATGTTCCTAGAGAGAAGAAGTTGGAGTCGATGACTGAAGAAGAAATGTTGGAGATGGCGCTCAAGAATAGTCTGGAAGGAAATGCTGCTGCTGAGAAGTTAGCCGACCCGGATGAGCTAACCCGAAGCACCGGTGACCTCAAGGGCAAAGGAAGAGCAGATGAAGACATTTCTATGGCTGAAGAAGAAGAAGAAGAAGAAGAAGAAGCGGCGGCCGAACCAGAGGATCCTAATGTTTCTGTTTTTCGATCTATTCCTTCTGATCGGGTTCATACGGAGCCACCGGCTGATCCAACAACTACGACTCGTATTCAGTTCAGGCATCCTTCCGGTAGGGTCATTCGTCGGTTTTCGCTGTCAGACCCTGTACGGCGGATTTACGAATGGCTCAAGTCAGAACCACCTCTCGAAGAGAAAGCAGGGGTTGTATTTGAGCTCAATGCCATGGGCAAGAACCTGATCGACGAGCTTGATACGACCGTCCAGGATGCTGGCCTTAAGAATGGTACCGTGATGATAGGATATTTGGAAGACTGATCTAGACTATTACTATTACTAGCCACCAGGTCGAATCTGCATACATTGAGGCGTTGGAATTCAGTCTACGAATTCGATGGATCTGTCTACCATCTCTATTCTCAAGACACATCAGCATGCTTGCCTTCAACGATATTAATGACATTTGCCTGTCCATATTTTGACTAGAAAGGGCTATCAACACCTTTTTCGTGTATTAGAACTGATGACAGCTTTGACTGCAATGATAACGACCTGATTTAGATGCGTACCAACAGCACAGCCCGATAGAGTTTACTGATCGTGCCCTAACATAGTCTCTGGCCTGTTGTGATAAAAGACATACCACAACATGCTGCGTAACCAGAATACACAAAATCTAGATAAACAACAACAGAGTGGAGACTAGTCAGCCAATAAATGCAACGGTGTACCTGAAGGAGCGAGCTCCTATACGTCGCTTGTGAGACTTTACGATGTATCAATACAAGTGCCGTATTACATACAATACAACAACTACCGGACCCCGCCAATCGCACCTCCCTCGATTGTTTACAACTTTACAAGCTGCCGCCTTTTAGCCGCTACTACAGATGGGACGATGTGACCGGCATGTGTTTGTTGTTCATTTACTTCTTGTTGTTATGATTCTGATGATGTTTATGGTGTTATGATAATGTCAGTTGTGTTGTACGCTCCAACTGATTGAGAGGATGCCCATGAGCAAGTGTTGGCATCTGCACCCAATAATTTCCGAGGCAAGCGATATCGAGCTACCCAAAAAACAAAGCGCTGCCTGGGCCCTGGCCTGAATGAGTAGCTAATTGTTGGACGTCAGAGTGATCAGAAATCATTATCCTATCTTTTGAACTAATTCTTCAAGATCAGCTACAATTTTGAGACCAATCGTCGAACAACTCTCCTTCTACCACGAACTTTCCCACCAGCTTCCAATTATTTTCTATACTTCAATTCAATTATTCCTGGTGAATATATTTCGAATCCTATTGAAAGATTCGGACCCCGACGTGATATAACAATACCACTATCTCGAGCGCTCACGGGAAACAATCGCGGGTCCATTACCACTCCTTGCTGGCGCCCTTGTTTACAAGGAGCAACGACCACATCCTTCGATTGTCGATGCATAAGCGCAGTTTCGTAAACGCATCGAAGAATTTCATATACCATACTCGATTCCCAACTTTCATTTCACCAAATCGCCTGTCACGTATCCTGTGGAACAACGTCATTGTATTGGACGCAAAATGCAGGCGGTTGCAGATCCAGAAACGCTATACACCAAGCAAAACTGCCTTGGTACGTTATTATTTCACATGCAGGGCACTTGCTTTCTTTGTTCGTTGTACTAATGCTGCGTTTGAAGGTGGTGGAAGCTTCGGTAAAGTCTACAAAGGGTATGTGATCATTGAGTCCCGTCCGTTCATCAATTACATCGTTCTGACTCTTCCTCCATGCAGAGTCGACAAGCGCACTGGCCAATCTGTTGCGATCAAGATCATCGACGTCGAAAATGCAGAAGATGAGGTGGAAGACATCATCACCGAGATCTCCATCATGTCGACCATGAACTCACCTTATGTGACCAAATATCTAGGCTCATATCTAAAAGGATCCGACCTTTGGATAGTGATGGAGTTTTGCGCTGGCGGAAGTTGCTCGGATCTTTTGCGGCCGGGCATTATACCTGAAGACTACATCATGATCATAATAAGGGAGCTACTCCTTGGACTGGATTATCTCCACAGTGACAAGAAGTTACATCGAGATATTAAAGGTATGACAAAGCTCTGTTGACCTGCTATGGAGATATAGCTAACTTGATCTCCATAGCTGCCAATATCTTGCTCAGTGGAAATGGTCAAGTGAAACTCGCTGATTTTGGTGTCTCCGGTCAACTCAGTGCCACTATGACAAAGAAGAATACATTTGTGGGGACACCCTTCTGGATGGCACCAGAGGTCATCAAGCAATCGGGCTATGACTACAAAGCCGATATTTGGTCGCTAGGTATCACTGCCATTGAATTGGCGACTGGACAGCCCCCTTACTCCGATATCCACCCGATGAAAGTTTTGTTCTTGATTCCAAAGAATAATCCCCCGACACTCCAAGGTAATTTCAGCAAGATGTTCAAGGACTTTGTGGGTTTGTGTCTTCGACGCGATCCGAGAGAGCGACCCACTGCGAAAGAGCTGCTCAAACATCCATTCTTGAAAAGAGCCAAGCGCACAACCTATTTGACTGAGTTGATCGAGCGGCACGAGCGCTGGCAGGCAATTCACGGACGAGGCACTCCGGATGACGACGAGGATCGTACCTATGAACAGCCGCCACCATCAAAGTCCATTGAAGACGATGAAGATTTGTGGGACTTTGGAACCGTTAGACCAGCCGGTAGGAATGCCGGTCTTCAAGCGTTGACCGGCGCAGCAGCAAATGTTCGCAATCAGGCCCATGATCCTTGGTCCTCAGACACCAGTCGATTAGCGAAGAGTGAAAGCGCCGATGTTGAGAACAGTTCTAAAGAAACAATTCGCGTCAACAGCCCACCGCAATCTCCTACGAAACAGAAGAGTTCTATACCGAATTCTTTTGCATCACCGACGAAAGTCCCACTACCCCAGTCTCCGCAAAAGCCGCAATCAGTTCATGCTTATCCCGGGACTCCATCATCTCGCCTAGAGAAGTCTTCATTAACCAACAAGGAGAATGATAGCCCATCCACCAAGGATTATGACAAAGCGCTTCAACAAGCTCTCGCCTCAGACCTGACCTTTTTGAATCTTGCTGAATCGCCAAATACGACTCCTTCTCGGCCGCAATCTCGACAGCAGACAGCACCTACTCCTATTGCTAGCGAGAACATAAACCGAAAGCCAGTTAACAGCCAAGTATCAGCTTATAACGCCCCAAACCAGCACCAACCCTCTTCTACTGTTCTATCCGCTCCCAATCTAGTGGTCCAACGATACGTTGGATTACCCGAACAAAAAGCTCTCCCTACCTTTCAACCGCTTCCAACTCCACCAATGTCAACGCCCCAGCGGCCTCGACAATCGGAGTCAGCACGGACTCGCGAAAACAGAAGGAGGAGCGTCGACTCCCAAATATCAACAACATCATCATTAGGTGGTCCGAACTCCGCGGCATCGGATAAGAACACCCTCAGCCGGGAAGTTATCATCCCCGCTCTCGATCATGCACTTCGCTGTCGAGCAAGAGGTCTCGATAATACCTTGACCGTGATGGCACAAAGCCCCGGCGGAATGTCGCTGGAAGCCTCACATCGTCATCAGTACGCCCATGACAGAATCAAAAGACTAGCAGTTAAAGCTGCTAGTATCTTCAAGGAGATTGATAGACTGGATCAGGAAGCACCCGTGGACATGGAGATGGGTCAGTCATCGACTACCGAAGCGTTTATCGATGCACTCATCAGATACTGTGAGGTTGATACTGTTGATCCTGAGGCGGGCAACTAGACTTTCAGTCCGGATTGTCCACCATGATGATATTCCAAAACCTCATTCTACAATATCTCTTCCTTTTGTTGGTTATTGCTCGCTTATTTTGGTTTATTGTGTGTTGAACACTGTTTCTGTCCTATTTTTATGTCTCTTGTTTCAGTTATCATTTGGAGTTTCATTCTACGGTGGGCTTAAGGTTGGGTTTCTTTTCAACTTTTGGGAAAGCAGAGGTTATTGAGTATCCTCATAACAGAGCAATACATACTTGTTATTACATACATAGTTGTTATACAAACATATTGCACGTTCCTTATTGTACACTCTGTCACCATTTACTTTAGAAATTAGGGCTTTGCATGATATATCAACCATTTTATTCTAGATCACAGACCTGTTAACTATGAGGTTGCGGAAATAGCCAATCCGTCTCAGGGGTTGGCACTAGATAATTCGTGATATTAAATTCATTATTGTTTGCCATCGTCGTGGGCCCATTTATAGACATGGGATTAGTCGTGCTCAAGCCATTAGTGTTGTTGGTGTTATTACCATTTCCGTCAGGTGAAGTCATACCCAGTGCTGATAATGGTGTTGGCATGTTTGGTACGCGAGGCACATTGAAGAATCCGAATACGTCAAGATATTCAAAGTCGGTGTTTGTTAAGCTTCGACTCATCAGAAGAGAGCCATCAGCGTCTGCGTTCTGTCTTTCTGAAGAATTAGCAGACTGCAATGGCACCAATCCATTTGAGTTGGATGCAGCGCTACTTTTGGGACCATGCTGTGGCTGTCGGGAGATCAAAAAATCGAGGTCAAAAGCGCAACGTCGCATATCCGCTAATATCTTGACAGAAGACGGTGTGACGCGCTCGCTTTCGGTGCCTGCCGTTTGCTCATATTCACTATACTCATCGAGGACTCGCTTTAGAATCGTGCTATATCGTTCTGCGACTTTCCAGTGACGGCCCATTTGCGCCAGTGTGTCCACAAACAGATAGATATCTGGACTCACTGTGTGAGCAATTGTTGATCCATGAACGAGTAATAACCGGGCTGAAACCCAAAGAGAAAAGGCGAATGGCGGACCAAGTTTGTCAAGCATGTTGTTCTCGACAACGAGTCGGGTCAGCGTCAAAATGTTATCGACCGCTAGTAGGCAGCGTTGACTGGCACTATAGGAGGGTGTGAATATGGGAGATCGTGTAGTGGGATATGCGGCGGAAGAATGAAGGCGAATCACAGTTCTGATAGTTGTAAGCAAGTGGAATCAATTGCATTCGAGCAGATTTGAGTACTTACGTTTGATATGTAGCATGAAGCATCACCCAGTCACATTGAAGTCCCTTTTTTCTTTTCATGCTTTGTAATAAACGTGATGCATTTCCAAAAGCATATTCAGTAGGGAGATTGAACTCCCACGCAGAGAGTTCGTTATCCAGCTTGCGATAGGTTGCTTGCCATTCTTCCACGTCTGAAAGCGCCCCAATATCCACTGGCCGCTTAAGGAACAGGTGTATGCGCGAAAGTATGCTTAGAATCTCGATATAAAATCCAAAGGAATCTACATTGTCTCCGTGATTAGAATGATTCCCGTGATCTCCCGCGGCACGGAACCATCTTGTCTCAACCGGCTGGTTTCCGATGAAGTATTCTTCTCGGCAAGGTAGTTTCCGATTAATTTCCTTTTCGTCCAGAGCAAAGTCAAATGCCGTAGCTATGGTTGAGTATCGATCCAGTAAATAGACCATCCAGAATAGGCGCCTACGGCTCTCGTCTTCAATCCATGTCTCAGAGTCAGGTAGGACATTGGCTCTTAAAGTATAGATGGACGGATAAATTGACGCATCAAGGCCCGAATTCCTTTCCACAGCTAAGCCTATTTGAACAACCGAACGGGCTATCAGAGCCAAAAGTTTCCAACCCGGTGGTCCGTTCGAAGAGCCAACAAAATCCAGTGACAAAATGACTAACGCTTGAATGGCTTTAACTGAAGAGTTCTCGATACCATAAAGCAGAACTCGCTGTTTCGACGATTCATGATAGCGCTTCCGGTTCGCCTCATTCAGTCTCGGGTCGAGAGAAAACCGTAGAGCCGTTGCAACAATGGCATGAAGAACCACGCGGTCCGCTTCCTCCAACGGAGACGGTCCGAACAGAGTATCTAAAGTAGTTCGGCGATGCAGGATGGGGCACCAACTATTGACGTGCTCAAAGTATAGATCAACTAGTGCATAGAGTAAATCATAAGGGGGTAATTCAAGCTCGGAATTTGATAGCGACTGCTCTTGATTATTGAACAAGCTGACAGGAACAGTCAATGAGGAATCGTTGTGAGAGAAGTCGGTACCTGTTCGGTCAGGAACTGACGGAACTTGAGAGTGTGGAGTAGAGTGAGAAATTCCGTTGGAGACCATGGGAGTGTGATGTATTTTAGCAGACATTGCTGATGGACTACCGCCTGTCGCATTGTGATGACTGAGGGTTGAGTTGGCTAGTCTTTGCGCTATTGGATATGCCGATGGCTCCCCAGGAAATACTGAATTTTGGGGACTGGGTCCCGTTGCTGCTGAGAGCTCCGACGGTGAGGTATGAGAGACATAGGAAGGTAATCGTGGTTCTTGACATTGATTGTGGTTGTCGTGTTGTAAGTGTTGATTGCGTATGATATGTGTCTCGATCAATTGAGCTTGTGTCTGTATAATCGCCTCGAGCCGGTCTGTTCATTGATTATAGTCAGCAATCGACACTGAAGATGGGTTCGGCAAATGTCTGACCGAGTCTTTGTTCCAGTTCCTTTCCGTAACCCGCTCGCAAGCCTGGTTTCCTGCGCTCTTTATATTCGCAAGTTTGCCCATTACGCGCGCACCACCCGCAGCTTGGTTGAGCTCGGTCTACATATAAAAATCAGCAATGACCAACAATGTGTCTTATAATCCGTACCACACTTGACTTTTCTTTGCTTACACAATTCGCATCTGCAATTGTCAGTTCACATGATGTACAAAACTAAGTGTGTTGCTTGCGATTTTAGCCTTTAGGAAGAGAAGGTGCAGCGCAAAGATGCAGGGCAAGTATATAACTCACGAGACCATCAAGGGACGCTTTCTTTTAGTCCTACGCGATTCTTGGGCGCCATTCGAGCCCATGAACTGCTCGTTATCAGACTCTGCAGCGGATGATTCCACGTCTGGACTTTGACCTTGCTCATAGTCAGGCATGGGCCTGTCCCCAGTCTGTGAAAAGGACCTACCAGTAGAGTTCATGATCTAGTTCGCTCGAGATATGGTCGTAAGCGTACATGCGAGAGTATGAGGGGTATCCCCAAAAGAGTGCCAGTTCCGTCAGACCCGCAGCTTGGCAGATGGCACGAATAATTAGCCCATGCTCTTGGAGATGGAGATGAGAAGGAGAATATAGCATTGAGTGTTAGGAACAAGCAGAAATCTGTAGATTCGGCTGCACGTCTGACAGAAAGGAGCGCTTTCCTCGCAGCGTAAACCTTGATTGGCCAGACCCCGCAACAATAGGAGCTTAGTCAGAATAGTAGCCAATCACAATGAATCTTCCCCAGATTCTTTCTCCGCTTCGCACTAAGCCATTTCAGGAAGACGTTCTTCCTACATAGACTGTCTACGGAGAACTCTCATTCTCGCGAAGGAACGTGTCTGTCTGCAAAGCATAATTTTCATGCATTAATCATTCGGCTAACTAGAGCTTTCTATCACCACGAACCAGCAAACGAACCTGACGCGAAGATTCTCAGCGTCGCGGGGTTGCAGATGCTCGGGGTTGCATTACCCCGAGGGCGAGTCGCCATCACCACGGACTTATGTCCGATGTGGTTGAGTATTTGGTTGAACTTCTTCCTTAAGAACTTCCCCCTTGCTCTTTATAGAAAAGTATTTTTCAATTGATTCTCTGTTTGTCGTTTTTTTCATTAATCCAGACACATAAACCAGCATGGCTTCAGTATCATCCTTTCCCACAATCAAGCATGTACGATCATTTATTATACAAGGTGTGGGTTCCGGAGGAGACTACCACAATGTGAGATTAATATGTGCTTCAATTGAGACTGGGCCATGCAAAATGCTAACCAACAACGATTTCTAGGTGAAAGGAGGCCACTGGCTTGTCGATAGCTCGATATCGACGCCAATGGCTCGATGGGAACAATACCGCGCATCAAGGACCAGCTGGGGTATTAATGTCTTGGGATCGTTCTGCGTCGAGATTGAGGCTAGTGACGGCACCAAGGGGTTCGCTACTGGGTTTGGAGGACCTCCAGCATGCTGGCTTGTACATCAACACTTCGAGCGCTTTTTGATTGGAAGCGGTATGTTCTGGACATTCATGTCGACGTAGAACACATAGAAGGCTAATTAAGTTGATTGATTAACAGATCCCCGTGATATCAATGATATGTTTGAGAGAATGTACCGCGGCTCAATGTTCTACGGGCGTAAAGGTCTCCCTACTGCAGTCATTTCTGTCATCGACTTGGCTTTGTGGGATCTTTTGGGTAAGATTCGCAAAGAACCAGTTTACAAAATGATTGGTGGCGCCACTCGTAAGAGATTACATTTCTACTGCACCGGTCCTCAGCCCGCGATAGCAAAAGAAACTGGTTTCATTGGCGCCAAGGTTGCCCTTCCGTATGGACCTGATGAGGGTATTGATGGCCTGAAGCGAAATATCGAGTACCTTCGTAAGCAACGAGAAGCTGTCGGTCCTGATTTCCCGCTCCGAGTGGACTGCTACATGTCATTGAATGTGTCTTATACGATAGAACTCGTCAAGCGCGCCGAGGCTGAGGGATTGCACATTGACTGGTGGGAGGAGTGTCTTTCCCCTGATGACTTTGACGGCCATGCTCTTCTTAAAAAGGCCCATCCAACAGTCAAATTTACCACTGGTGAACACGAATATTCCAGATATGGATTCAGGAAGTTGATCGAAGGACGCAATTTGGATATCATCCAGCCGGATGTCATGTGGCTCGGTGGCCTTACAGAGTTACTGAAAGTCTCCGCCATGGCAGCTGCTTACGATATTCCCGTGGTTCCTCACGCATCCGGATCATACTCGTACCACTTCGTCGTATCTCAACCCAACACTCCATTCCAAGAATACCTCGCCAATTCCCCTGATGGCAAGAGCGTGGAACCTGTGTTTGGAAATCTTTTTTTGAACGAACCCATCCCGAGCAAGGGATATCTGGATGTGACTGATCTCGACAAGCCGGGATTCGGCCTTGAGTTAAACCCAAAGGCTCCATTGATTCCTGCTTCTGCCCTTCTTAACCCAGCCCCTGCTAAGAGCTTACCAGCATCAGCCTCGACAGAGGAGCCGACCAAAGAGCAAGTCAACGGTGAATAACGGCTAGTATAGCTTGGATTCGTAATGCAGCTAGACTAACACACATGTGTTTATTCACATTTAGCAAGAATATATGGGCCATGGCTGTGAATATTTGGTAGATCATCTTGAAATTATTCAATTGATTAGTTTCTTTCCCCTAATACCATACAATAAGCTATATTCAAATACCAGCTCTCCCATGGACACCATATAGGTCAAAATACTGATATTTCGAGTAACGTTGGGCCTTGGAAGTCCTCCAGCAACCAATTTTCAGAAAAAAAAAAAAAAGGTAGAGCTATCGGCAATATACCCCCATGTGATTTCGGACTCGGTGTGGACTACCCCGAAATACCGAGCCGTGATATCGAATTGTGTGGGGTCAACCAGAGAAGTAACTCCATACAGGCAGCTTTTCGTGACAACATGTGTGTGCATATTACCGGAACTTAATCCTCAGCTGGTGAACCGCTGAGAATGAATTTGTCTAGGTTTTCGGATGGGACTTGTATATATTGTTACCTGGTATAACTACGGCGTTGAACGCGAAGGTTAGGGTTCCGGGAAATAGCTTGCGGAGAAGAACATCCCATCAAGAAGAACAGCAACAGAAACTCCAACATTTTCAACACCCTAACAAAATATCAAGAGAAAATATGGCACCCCCTCAGCTTTTAGTAGGCAAAGTATGCGGTATAACGGGTGGTCTGACTGGTATCGGCAGGGTACATCCCCTTCCCACTCTCTGTTTCAGGATTGAGCTGACAACAACCAGGAAATAGCACTAGACTACCTTCGACACGGCGCAAAAGTTGCCGTTAACCATCTCGGTGGGCCGAATGATGAGTCGTTGGTTAAATCATTCCATAAAGATGCAGAGGCCGTGATACGTGAGCTCAATCACAGCTCAATAGACGGAACGAGACAGTTCATCACCGTGGCCGGCGATATCTCTAAACCTGAGACAGGGGCGGATTTCGTGGCCAAGATTGTTGAAGCATTTGAGCGGTTGGATGTGTTCATTAGTAATGCTGGCGTCTGCCAATTTGCTGAATTCTTAGAGTACCTCGTCCTTTCCCACCTCCCGAATTAGAACAGAGATGCATACTAACGCAACAAAGAATTGAACCCTCCCTCCTCTCCCAAACAGTAAACATCAACCTCTGCGGGGCATTCTACGCAACACAAGCCGCAGGCCGCCAAATGGCTCTTCACCAATCCCCTTCTGGCGGCTCAATAATCGGCATAAGTTCCATCTCAGCTCTGGTAGGGGGTGGTCAACAATGCCACTACTGTCCCACCAAAGCCGGCGTTTTATCACTCATGCAGTCCACCGCAGTTGCATTGGGGAAGTATAATATCAGATGTAATGCGTTATTGCCGGGGACGATTAGGACGCAGTTGAATGATGAGGATATGAGTGATGAGAAGAAGAGAACGTATATGGAAGGGAGGATACCGCTGGGTAGATTGGGACAACCGAGGGATTTAGCGGGACCGGCGGTGTTTTTGGCTTCGGATGAGCTGAGTGGTTATGTCGTAAGCTTTTCTCCTTCTTTGCTTCTGCTCGGTGTTGCTTTGAAAGAGGTAGATGGGTTAACTTGGCTTAGACTGGTGCACAGATATTGGTTGACGGCGGTTTGTTTGTGAATCTACAATAAGCAAGATTGATACCGCGCCAGCTAATCCTGTCTATATTAATATATGCTGTATGCTATTGGCACATGGCCCGGAGTTTAGACTCACCAAAGGATAAAATGGGACAGGTTTGATACTCGTCCACAAAGAAGTATCATCGACTATAAACGGTGATCTTCAATGGATTCATGGACATATATGAAACGCCTTCTTTCATAAGATGATAATTCACTATATACTTGGTTATGCATTCGCCACACCATATCTCGCTTAGTCTGTAATCAAATTTCCAAGTATCTCCATGGCGATAAAATTCCTCCAACAACCAAAATGAGCCGCCCTGGCGTTTGCAGAGTTGAAGTCTAGGCATAATTCGATCATCCTCATCACAAAGAGGCCTTGATCCTGGTAGTGTTTCAGAAAAGTATTCCTCGTCAAGGTACATGCCACCTTCCTGCAGCATGGAACGAAGACAATGATATGATTTTATATTTGAATTTCCCTTACCAAGGCTCTATAAATAGCCTCCATTCATCCAAGAATGAATAAGAGGGGAAACGGTGTCTTTGGCAGGACAGGGACCGCGAAAACTCATCAGTAGATTCTATCTTGTAAGGTCGATCCTCACATAGGCTCAAAGAGAAAAGTAAGTTCGGAGAGTATCAGGACGCCAATAAGACTGCTCTAGAATATGTGCGGTTGAACTATCGGACGTGATAAAACCATCAAGATTGGGTAGGAATAGAAAATAAAAGTAAAGGGATAATGATGTCGGAGTTTCACCAATATTTATACGGTGAATGTCTACTCCTCTATCCATAAGATGATGCAGGATGTCTGTGCTAATATGAGGTACTCTAACCACCTCAAAGGCGAGATGTTCCCAACCCTCAAATGGCTTTTCTGGAGGGATTTCAGAACGACGATCGAAATCGAAGAGCAACTGGAGGCTCTTAACATCTGACGACCGTATCGAGATGTAGATGCCCCATTTCATGCTTCTAGCACTATGTCCGCCGAGAATCGGCTCCGTTTGATACTTTCGGGGAAAGAAAGAAACGACACCGTACCTAGCAACGTGTATCTCCGGGATCCCTCCGTCGGAAGATCTGTGGCGTGAAGATAACACTTTCAAAAATATCCTATCCATGAGAGTTAGGTTCAGATAAATTGATACAATCTTCGAACAAATGTAGCATCTCCAGAGCTCCACGTTCCAGGTTATTAAAGTAGCGGGTGTTCTGCACATGCATTAGGCCAAACCAAGAACGATGACAAGACATTTACTTACGAGTTCCCATAATACAAGCTTGCCGCATTATCTGCGCCTTGCATTATAAGGAACTTGACCAAGTCAAAATGGCTGTTCCTCATGGCATACTGGATTAGTTGGAAAGCATTAGCTTATTCGTTCTAGTAAAGAACATAGCATGACGAGCTTCTATAAGAGTTTCCAGCTGATATTAAAATGAGATCCATCATGAATAAGTGAGATAGCACATACATGTAAGGATGCCCACCGGCAACTGTCAACATCTAGAACGGAGGCAGAGGAGACGGGCAGCATCCACGTCACCAAGACGGCAAAATTTGAATATAAGTGCATCGTCTGGCACTGAACGAACTGTGAGTATGTTGTACTTCCATCCGGTTCGAGAATTAGTAGTGATAGCCTCTAATCCGTGTTTGAATCCGATCGTGATGAGCCAAGACGCAGGATGGAAAATAAACGATGTCGTGGTTGCGTATTGCGTACAGCTCTCACCACCTGGTACCGTCCTTATGGTCTGTCTCTGGATTAGTGTCCGACAAATTATTTTGCCAAGTCCGGTACAGCACATCGATTCATGGAAAGATTCTACATCTTGGGAAATTCGGAACGTTCGCTGGTTGCTTTTCGCTGCCTCAGTAACACCCGATATCAAGACGCTTCCGGCCAAAGGGCTTGTAATATTATCCTTGATTCGACGCAGCTCCTCTTGGAGAGCATTCAAATGGTGTTTCATGTCATCGATATCAGAGGCTACCGATGTGAAATTCCACCGATAGTCACTCTGACCCTCGACAGACGCATAAACAGAAGTCATTTGAAGTCGCTGTAAAGTAGATCTTCCGGTTCCAACGAGCAAAAGTGTATTCCTTTAAAAATTTGTTGATAGAATCTCGAGAAAGGCTTTGCAACAGGCTGTAGCAGTTGCCGCGGCATACTCCTGCATCATTTTATTCTTGTGGCTGTCCGCATAGTCGCTGACTCCCTTTATGATGAGACAACCTAGGCTGTCGCATACCCCTGCCTCTTCCATTTCAAAGCGAACGAGTTTTGCGCTTTTTGCTAGCTCATCACGATGCTTTTCTGACTTCATCACAGTATCCCCAGAGCTAGAGCACGGGGAGAAGCATTTCTTGAAGCAAAACGGTTACGCTTCACCAGCACCCCATTGCGGCCAAGCTTGTTGCAATCGCTTTCAAGTGCCTCGTCGCAGACAGGATCCTGGGAAGACTCACAAACATTGCAAACGCAACTCTTTTCGGGACTTGGAATGTGATGTTTATGTCGATGGCTTGCTTCATATAGTATGTCGTGTTCGGCACCTGGATAATCCCATCTTTGATTTGGTTGTCGAAAATCTGCAAGGTAATCTGATAGCTTCTGCTGGAACTTGTTCTGTAATCGAGATGTTCTCAGGGCAGATAGAAGCGTGCGAATACGTCGGTCTCGACCAATAGTGTCTATAACTCCTCCCTTGGGTTGAAACCTGTCGGGATATCGCTTCCCGAGATCATATTCGACGATGCTGGGACTGATGATAAGGTCCCCTAATATAATCTCTGCCTCTCTCGTATCTCCTGTTTTTCCCGAAGGGTAGGGCAACCCCCCCGCAAATACCAACCAGTAGCGTCAGGTATACATTCGTGAAAGTAATTTATTTGTAGACTCGATGCGACACTAGCAGCGCTTCGTTTTCCCATTTCTAGCAAACATGCGAGCACCACGTTATGTTGGCAAATTCTACCAGCCCGAAAAAAGTTGCCGTCTCTGTGTTCCTTTTCAAACGTTGCGTAGTCATAGTGTTCGTCAAATAGAGCCTCTACGGCATCGAATTCAACGGGCAAAACGCGTATAATAGCGATTTCGAAGTCGCCATACAACTTTGGTATCATCTCGTATCACTTTAATGCATTATTAAAAGAAGATGGACAGATAGATGCAATCATAAGAGTTTCAAGATCGAGCTTGAGAGATGAAAGACGATCGTTTAGTTCAGCTGCATCAAATGCTAGGAGCCATGCTCTGCATCGTCTCACATGACTGTCTCGAGTACACGTATTTACCGCATTACCACAAAGTGAGGCTACACGTGCATATATCTGACGCTGGTCATACACGTAAATACCAATCACCATAGTGGAAGTGTAAGTGACAAGGCTGAGAACTCGAGGCTGTGAAGCATTGCATACATGACCAAAGGCAGAATCACAGCAATTCGAGATTTTTTCAAAGCATCCTCAGAAAAGGATTGGAACTTTCTGGTTCAGTTCAGGAGAGTTTGCAGGTCGAGAACGATTCTCCTTGTCATATAACTTTGAGGATGCAGTCTGATTAAAGAAAGTAGTTCCATATGGCGCTAAACTTATTTAAGGGATAGTATATAATGAACTCGCTTTATATAGCGAACCGACCACCAATCTTTAGCTAAAAGCCATAATTCGTTAAAGGAGCTTCGAGGAGAGAAAAGAGGCTACCGCACATCTCATTTACGAATAGCCTACATACGTACATACATATCTCATGCCATCCAAAGAAACAAACATGAGTAAAAAGGAAAGAAAAGTAAAGAAGAGCAAAAGTGACAAGAAGAGAACACAAAACAAGAACGAAAGCAAACGCAATCAATTAAAAAGAAAGGAAGAGATAAAGGGATATATGTATACAAGAAATATATCACACTGTCCAAAAGAAGAGCATAATCGGAAACAAGATCAAGCGAAATCTTCCATCGGCTTGTCTTCTAGCGTGACGCCTTTTAATTCGCCGTCGGCGACGAGACTTGTCCGTTTAGTGATGTCGCTTGGGGGATGGCTACCGCCCGCACGACGAACATGTCGGCCGCGAGTCAAGGAGTCTCGTTTCTCGATAGGTGCCACACTAGCCGTGGGTGTGGGCGAACCTTCTGAGCTATTGATATTGTTGGTCTGTTCTTCGCTGGCGTCATCAGCAGCTTCTGGAACAGGGACAGGATCAGAGAAATCAGTAATAGTGGCCGAGACTTCTGCCGGCTTTTCGTTATGCTCTTCCGCTGCGCCATTAGGAACGTCCTTTTCTTCGGCAGGTTTAGATTCCGTGGCGACGTGTAGATCGGTTGATGATGGAACATCGAGACTTTGACGTGGGTTTCGACGCTCTGATCCATGTGGACTACCGACGTTGATAGGGAAGCGGCCTGATCCCTGTGATCCGTCAGTGGATCGGTCACGGCGGTGTCGAGCACCGGGAGCTGGGCTGGTGGCTCGACTGCGGCTAGCGATTGCACGGTTTCGAGCCTCGACGGCAGCTCTTCGGTTGCTTTCGTCGGTGCTGATTGCGCGTGGACGAGCAGAACCAGCACCGGCTCCTAGAGTACTGCTAGCGCTGGATTGGCGCTTGAGCTCACCAAAGATAGCGTCCTTGTGATCGAACAGGTCGCGTATCAAGCGATAGCTGTGGCGTTCATTGAGAGTCAGGGTATTCTCGAGGCGAGGTCGAAGAATGCATGGTGCCAGTGTTTGAGCCAAAGCAGCGATATATGTCTCATCAGCCGAGGTCAGGTCGATTAACCGTGTGAAGTGAGTCATGAGAGCATCAAGCGTAGCTATATTGTTAAGTCGGAGCTGGCCAAGTGTGCTTTGTAACACTTTGATTCTGCCTTCTTCAGAAGTTTCGTTGGCCGTGGCGGAATATATTGTTTTGACGATTTCGTAAACTTGCGATGAAACAAGGGAATCTATTCACGTTAGTTAGCTCTTGCTTCCTCTCCGCCAGGGAGAAAGGCCTACCAGGAAGTTCAAGGAGGTATAACTTTAGAACGCTAGCAACAATGGGTATCTCATATTTTTCAAGAATTGCACGATGGTCTCCGGCGCTGTTATTCAGAGCCTGTCGGAGATGGTGGGTGGCTGCAAGAGGAACGTCATGCAACCAGATGGCTCGTCGTGCGTCGTCGCCTTCAAGATCAGGGTAGTCTATAAACGTTAGCAAGATCCAAAGCTTTCAATTATAGCTCACGCTACTTACGGTTGTCGAGGAATGTCAGTATATTGGTTACAATAACAGGGACTCGCTTCCGATCAGCTCTAGCCCTGGCCTCCAAGTCGACACCGAATACTTGATCTAGGGTATTGCTTAATGGAAATGAACAAACGTGTATACTTAGAAGACTTACCTCCCACAGAACCATAATAGTTCTCATAGGGCTGCACCTTCGGAGCAAATCCTCCTGTACGGTAATTCTCAAGCAAGTACCTCAAATCCCCTAACGGTTGAATGGTCTCTTGGTACAACATCATGTGGTCCACCGTGCTCTGCAAACCCGGAATAACATTGCTGATGGCACCAGAGAAATCCAGTACCACAGACTTGATTGCTTTCAGACGATCAAGTTCGCATCGCTCCATGAACCGCAAGTGATCAATAATCTCCTCTTCAAGAATGCACCGTATCTGATCCAGCTTGATGACAGCAGTTTTGTAGCGCTCGTCTGTTTCACGAGCCTCGCGATGAAGCTTTTCAGCAGGGGTTTCGTCCGGATACGGGTTGTTCAGAGGATTCCAACCAGAGAGCATTTCCGAAACACTTGACATCGTCGGCGATCCAGCCGCTTCATCATTAGACATAAGCGATGTCATGCGGAGTAAAGGTTTCTTGTTTTCCGGCATTCCAGTGAGCTGGAAAACCTTCGATCTCCATTGGTAGTTCATACGGCTGCTGTTGGCAAATGTGCTTCCCATATTTCCGATCAAACGCAAGAATCCAAGATCCACCATATCCTGACCAATCCGCTCAGCGTGACTGATACTAGAAGCCTCCATTTTCTGCTGCAAGTACTCGACTATATCGGCACCCGTCGAGGTGTTCTGGTACGTGCCGAGGATTGGCACTTTGACTTCTCCAATCTTGATTGTATTGAGCATATCGGTCAAGATCTTCTTAATTTCATCGATGCTGTAAGACTTGTCGCCCAAATCGAAAATTTCAGGTTCATCCGACTCCTGTGGATCCGTCAAGACGATTTTAGGTGCTGGCGGTTTGCCTTTGGGACTAGTAGCCTCGGGGCTCTGGAAAGCAAGCTTATTTTCCTCCTCCAGGTCCTCGACAAGACGGCACTTGTTGAAGTATTGACTGCGCAGCTTCTTCACCAGTTCCGTCTGTTTCATGTGATCCTTGATACGCGCTTGTAGATCATCGTGCGAGCTCTGGACTCGAGCGGCGTGCTGATCGCACCAGCGACTAAAAGGATTGACGACGAGTTCGCGAATGTTGGATGCGATTTTTTGGTGATTTTTGGACGCTTCGATCATTTCGCCGCGAATTCCATCGTAAGCCTACACATACACCAACGTCAGCTCTAGATTCAAACATCCCGCTTCATGTCTCGGTGATAACCTACCTTCCTCACACTAGCTCCCTCATCTTTCGAAAAGCCAGTAGTTATCCGATCCACAGCAGGAGTGATATCTCCCAGCCGTGTACTATACGCCTCTTCAGCATCGGCTCGCAGATTCGCAAGTATCAGGATCTGTCTGTTCTCGGCAATGCCCTGTTGAAGCTTCGAATACAAAATACCCAAGCCAGAGGCATAGTCAGGCGTCCAGAACGAGTCTGCGAAGCCTGGCATTTTGAACGGTTGGCGTGCCGAGTTAGCCGCTGATTGCTAATTTGAATACTGTTCGAAATCCTAATGGAGGCGATAACACTGGGAAAACGAGATACGGCGAACGAGTTGTGATCAAGCACTTGTTGCACGGGTATTCTGGCCTTTGGCGATCCCAACTGGCTGAACAAAAGAAACGGAACAAGTAGAAGACTCGCAAAATCAACAAAGAGAATGAATGACGCTGCGCTCAGGATAGACGCAGATGCATATGTTCAGGAAAACAGTCGTGTTGTTTTTATTTTGTTGTGCCAGCTGAAGCTGAACTTAACGGTCTTTGCCTAGCAACTTGACTGAGTGGTACGTACAAAGACTAACTAGCCCAAGGAACACAGAACTGTTTAGCTTCAAGTCAGCTGATTGGTGCTACGTCAAAGGCTTGGTCTCAGATCAAGATTACCTAATGCCGCTGTCAGCGAATGCTGATTGGTTGAAACGGGACCGACCCACGTGGAAGGGCTATTATTAGACTCTCGACGGAAGTTATTCTACATGGTCATTAATTCGGTTACTTTGCTTGACAAATGCTGAACTCGAAAGGTGTTGGTTTAGATAGTGGGAAGTTAAACTAACAACGATGCTCATTTAACATTATATTTATAGCAGAGACCGACAATGTAGTCTAACATCGCGATGCTGAGCCGAGGGGAATACACGTCTAACAGAACAAATGCCAAACCTTCTTCCATACGGGCCATTGGGCCTGCTCGGCACGCTCTTCGTCGATCAAGTGCCGGATATCCAGATCACGGCGGCCCGTGTTCAAATCCATCTGATGAGCCTTGATGAACGGAGTGCGGTACCAAAGCTTATAAGGGATATAGAAGGCAATGACAATGGGAGCTGCAAGATATGCAGAGAACCAGCTCTTCGTGAGTTCAGCCGCACTCATATCTGCGTAACCGACAGGGGCAAATCCAACCCAGAACTGAGCGACAAGGACAAGAACATTGAAAGCAAAGCCCACCCAAGATCCATAGACGCCAACCTGCGACTTGAAAGGCAGTTCATCGAGAGAGTGGCCCTGGGCTTTCCAACCTGATCGGAAGCGAATATGAGCCAAGCAAATGGAGCCCCAGGTGAAAATGGATGAGAGACCAGAGATGGCCAGCATCCATGAGAAGGCTTCACCTTCCTTGTCCGAAGCGGCAAGGAAAGCTAAGAAGCCGAGAAGGGAGGCAACAATAATGGCAAAGATGGGACGGCCTTGGCGATCAATGTACGCCAAGAATCTTGGCGCTTGTCCTTGCTCGGCAAGAGCAGCAAGTGTACGGGAGGATCCGTAGACGGAAGAGTTACCGACAGACAAGACGGCAATCATGATAACGACGTTCATAACTGAAGGGAGACCGCTGATACCGGCGTTTTGGATAGCAATGACGAAAGGAGATGCCTTTGCATCAGCAGAAGAGGTTCCACTCAAAAGACGGGGTTCGTTGTAAGGAACCAACATTCCGACGATGGTTAGAGCCACAATGTAGAAGAGGGCGATACGCCAAAAGACTTGCTTGATAGCGCCGGGGAGAGATTTACGGGGATTCGCGGTCTCAGCAGCAGCCAGACCCACCAGCTCAGTACCAGCGAAGGCAAAAGCGGCATTGACAAAGACACTGCAGAGACCCTTGAATCCATTGTGGAAGGCACCTGGATCATACCAGTAGTGCGCACCAATGTAACCGCCTTGAGGAGCGCCGCCACAGTTGATGACGATGCCAAGGATGCTGTGGAGGAGCGTCGTCGTTAGCACAAGATAACAGTTGGAGCCAATGCGGGCAAGATAAGAGAATACTCACATAAAGCCGATGACAGCAATGACCTTGATAATAGCGAACACGAATTCAGCCTCCCCATACCCCCGGACACCGAAAAAGTTGATGACGATGATCAGGACCAAGAAAATCGACACCCAGGCAGCAGGAGAGATACTAGTGTTCCAGAACGAAATGGTAATTGATGCAGCGACAATTTCCAGGGGTAACACAACGAGCCATTGCAGGGCGTAGTTCCACCCCATAGCAAAACCCCAGGCCGGGTCGAGGAAGCGGGTCGAGTAAGCAGCAAAGGAACCGGCGACGGGGAACAGAACGGCCATTTCTCCCAGGGCATGAACGGTGCAATACAACATAGCACCAATCAGGATGTAGGCAATGACCACAGACGCCGGCCCTCCGGCGGCCAGCACGGACCCAGATGCGACAAACAGACCAGTACCTGAGATCAGATCAGATCAGATTAGCTACGTATCATGTCATCAGTAGACGGGATTTGCTTGCTTACCGATGGAACCACCAATGGCGATCATCTGCAGATGACGGCCCTTGAGCCGACGCTGCAGGGGCGAATTGGCGGTGTTCTGCGCGGCTGTTTCGAGATCAAAGACATTGCCATCGGCGCCAACCTGGCCTGTTTTGGTGACATGGGCATTGGGATCGCGCTTGAAACTGTCGATGAACCGCTGGCGGAAGCTGCCAGCGGGTTGAGTTTCACCGTAGGACGGTGCCTCCTCAGACGACGAGATAGTGTGGCCGCCACCGACCTCCTTGGATTCGTATGATTTGTCCATGGTGGGAGCAATAGATAAGGAAATGAGGCTTGAAGAGTCCGGTAGTGCTCTGCCGAAACCTAGTGTAGTAGTGTTGTTCAGCAGCCACTGACAACGGCGTACTGCGCACAGTGGCGTCTTTTTATCTCCTGTAGTCTCAGACACACGTTCAACGGCCTTATCAGTCGACGGCTGGATGGGTGCGGTCACTGCAAGGAGGAGCAGATGAAGAAGAGAGAAAAGAGAAGAATGGAGGTGGCTTGTCTTATTAGTACTGAGATTAAATTCCCAACGTGTAAAAAGGGCAAGAGCGATCGGCCGGCCACTGACAGTCGCGGCAGGTGGCAGACAAGGCACACTCCTTCTCTCATATACTTTTTGCTCTCGTCACCCGGTTACGGAGGACGCCGTACAGAGTTCGGGATTAGTCTGGAGTAGGCTGCTCCACTTGTACTGATTATGGTTATTGCTCTGGTGGAGAATCCTATCTATTACATACACAGACATAGCCGGCGCGTGGTACGTACAGTACCTGTACGTACGTAGAGGACGTATAACAACTAATCAGTGTCCAGTACGAAACTAAAATCTTGGGTGGCAGCTGCGCGTGATTGGGTGCCGGAGACACGCTGTTTCCGGCAGGTGGTCTGCTATGCCAATGAGGCTCTGGCCAGTGTCAGCACAGCCTGGCCACTTGGCGGACAGCCAATGTAGAGATGCTCCGGAGATGCTTCCAAAAAGTTCTTTTCCAAGCCTTCGTTCTTGCTTGCGTACGTGAGTGGAAGAGATCAAGCTGATAAGGAGACTGGATTAACATTCTTGCCAAGCCGCCGAAGCATCGTCCGCCTCCACTTTCTTCCTCCCGTCTCATGAGATCGGACGGTTCTTATCAGACTACGTATCCATACAAGATGGGGTTCATGATGCATACAGGGATTGCTGAGACTTGCCCCATAGATAAAGGCGAGCAAAAATCCCTCTCATGACAGCAAAGAAACTGTCAAGTTTCTTCTCCCTTGGAAAGAAACAGCACTCTTCCGTTGATGCGGACTGGATCCATTGCTTAACCTAGGCACAAAAGACACGGCAATCCCGAAGAAAACATGGCTGGGGTGGCTGACTCCTTGGCCTATCATTTGCCCTCCCGTGTAATTTCCCGAACCTCCAGAAACCCTCCAGAACCTTTGTGATCACTGATCTGACGGGGTGGCAACGCATTTGTTTAATCTTTTTTTCCGTGTTCCCAGAGAGAAGATGAGGACTCGGATCTCGCCAAGTGCTTGGACCTGTCCATTGCTGGCGGGAATTTTGTATCGTCAAGGCTCAACTGGTGATGTGCCTCTTCGTATCATGCAAAGGATATAGACGGAATGAATGAACACGAGCTGGCGCTGATTCATGTAGACTGCTAGCTTGAGCTGAGGTTACTTCGTCTGCTTCGAATGTATGGGGTAAAAAAGTCTACTGATAAGGGTGGATGCCTTAGTTCAGCCTGAACCGGGGGCGGGCAGCCAATAAGAGCGCACGGAGTCCCTTAATTGAGTTGCCATTACTTTGTCTCGTGACTAAAACAGTAAAACAACGCAGATCGTATCGGGCAATACTAGCGGTAATCTATCATGGGTCCAACCGCCTTCGATGCGACGTTGCTAAGCCCTTTTCGGAATATAAAAGCAGGTCGATCAGGATATCTGTGCCAAGAGCCCAGGCATCCAGGCAGCTTCAATGTGAGATGTTGGTGGTACGGACATGGGGTAGGTACGGAGTACAGCTTATCCCTTCGAGCACTGATAAGACCTGGTCCACAGTGGAGATATCACTCTCCGCGCTTCAGTTCTTGCGACTTGGCGTGTTGGCGAAGATGGACTTGCTAATTGCACAGGCTAACGCCATCCCAATCACTGGCAATCGTCAAACCTATTCGCACACGAAAGTCTGTTGCTGCACTATCCGGGCAGTTCGAGAAGGAAAACGAAGATCGCTTTCCGGGAATCAAGGTTGATATGATGTCTGAACGCCGGGAATTCGCACCCAGCAATTGGAGCAATTGGAGCAATTCCAAGCAATTCAATGTCTGCCAAGGCAGTCATTTCTCTCCGCGTATCTAGGTAGGTTTACTGAGGAATCCTTTTCCTCCTTCAGGGACAACGCAGAGTACATCATCCCGGACTTGCGTACCTGAGCTACCCCAAGTCACCGAGAAATCTACGATCTAGATATAACACCTGTCAAATATACTTCATGCAGCTAGCATACATAGCTCAAGTCGCACAACGTGGCCTGTCGATCCCGTCTGGTACCGAATCTTTCTGACGCCTTGCTTATCGTCTTCTAGAAGCCTTCTGTATCTGGCTCTGGCTTATCTCGTGCATTGTATCTTCGATAAGGGCGGCGTAACCGGCAGATACAGGCCGAACGGAAATTTAACAGCGATGGGTTCAATTGGATTGATCCGAACGTACATTCGATAGGTGGCTTGGGGATGGCTGCAGGGATTGATCCTTTGAATAGACGATAGATAACGATGTGAGAGATGATAAGACGATATACCCCTAGTCTAAACTAGGTATGGTGAGCCTTGCGCAATGAACGTGTGGAGAGATAGCACTGGCAGTTGCAGAAGTGTCGAAGACGTATCATTCACTTTTGATCATTAAGGAATTAGCTAAGTAGCTTGACATATGTATGATATTCATAAAATGTCCTTTGCTCTCTGTCTATGAGCTAGAGACCGGCCCTTCACCGCCCGGAATCAACTATTGACGTAAAACTCGTCAGCGTCTCTTTCCTCGGATACGGTGTTGGCAGAAGACTCACCATGCAAACATTGTTACCGTTCAGTAAGATCTTGGGAAGCTTTTCTTGGTTTCCGGCATAATCACTGTAGTGGCTTGAAGTTAAGAGACAAATATTGACAGCAGTCTGCTTTATTCATAAGAACATACAACTCGGTCACGTCTTCCAAAACCATATCTATCATTTGTTAGCACGCTCAAACGACAAAGCGTAGATTTCGAAGGTATACATACTGACGTAATCATCGAAGCCGAGAAGAGTGCCTGAAAACTCTGCAAATGATAATCAGCACAAAGCTGTCCTCGCGTGGTCTTGCAGCGCTTGAAGCAGACAGACAGACTCATCATACCTTTGTCGCCTTTCATGACCACCCAGATCTTGGAGCCGACACATTTATCAATTAATTCTTGTTTGAGATCGTCAGTAATCAAGACAATGAACCATTTGGCACGATGCGTAAATCTGCCCTTACCGAGGGGTAACAGTTGCGAAGCCATTGTGTATCGAGGTATTTATAGCAAGTCGTGCCAAAGGAAAGCGGGAGAGCAGACAATGATATCAAAGTATCCGTGTTTGATGACAGGCTCCAAATAAGAGATGTTCAAAAGAGCGTCGTTCGTGAATATTGTCTAATGCGAGACAGCAACTCTCGAAGGCATGCAGGTCGGGACTAGATTTGATGCTCTGCTTCGTACTAGCCATTTAAGGACTAGTGCCCATCTACCCCATAAATTCAAATTGGCATAAACCTTTTAGATGCTCTTTAACTTCCCCCCTCAACAACTTCGTTCCGATGATTTACACCATGTTTTTACCAACCTTTTCGACAACCTGATTCCAAATATACTGTTGTACCTTGCTACTATTTTTACTGACAAGGATGGTTCTTTCCAATGCGCCTCAGCGTCAAACCCGTAGCAGTTTGGCCATCCAATGGCGCTGCTTACCTGCGGAGACCTCGCAACTACCCCGATAGCATCAACGTGCGCGACTCCTACGAACGACAATCGACTCAATCGTGCCGATTCTCCCAATCGAGTACTTGCCATGGCGAATATACCACCATATTCTCTCCAAATCGCTCTTGCAAATTCGACAAGTCGCTTAGAATAGGCGGTGGATTATGGCGATTTTCCACCTCCACACCTGAAAGAAGCGATGGCTTCGATGAGGATGAGGAGGTCGATTTTGCTGCCAGCACATCTGATATAAGCCGTATGGTTCGCCAAAGAGTGAACCCTATCAAGGAAGCCGAAGAACGGGCTCGAAAGAAGAGAGAGGAAGAACAGCTTTTGATGCGGCGGAGTGTAGAGTTATTTCAGCGGGCTGACGAGTATGCGGACGGGCTACGAAGCGCAGTCAATCTGGTTCAGAAAATCAAACAGCATGCGGGAGAACGAAGACGAGCTCATGAACAGTGGATGAGGCTCTACGAACAAGTGATTACGAGCAGTGCATCTTTGGTCAACGGTGAGAATCAGCTATTTGAGGAATACTTTATCCTCAAATATTCCAGGGCTGGTACTGTCGGCTCATTCATTGATATCAACGCTACGATACTCAAACATGCCCAAGCTGAAGTATCAAACAGCCGCCAAGCTCTTAGACGCATCGAGTTGGCGTCTCGAAGAATCGACCTGGAATTGCAATTAACACGGCTTGCAGACTCACTTGGCTCAGTAACCGAGAGGCTCTCTGATTACCATGTCACACCTATCGCCTCGGCAAGAAGAAACATGGAAAACATCCTCATGCCGCTTTCTAGATTCCACGTACTATATGCAAACCTACAGACCTTGGGACACAGATTGGTATCGGGAAAGGAGGCCATTTTGTCCCTACTCAGAGGTATAACTGTAAAAAACCCCATGAACAGATCCCGTCATACCAGGCTGCAGTGCAAAACATGGAATGGGACCGAAGCGCTTTTGCAAGCGGTTCATCAGTATCGAGCGGCGAAGCGTATATCGCGATGGCGTGGTCCCCTAGGGCGAAGTCACATTCTTACCATGGCCCAAAATTATAACAGAATCTCGGTTATAATGATGCTCGCACCTGATTTGGGAGTGAGCATAAGGCGTTTAAAGGCTGAACTCGCTACCCACGGTCCAGCATCGCTTTTGGCCCACTGGTATCTTCATCGATGGAAAGAAGGTGCTCCGCGTAGTGCCGATCTCGATATAGCCTGGAGACATCTCGACGTCTATCATTCCTTCGACTTACTTTACGTGTCTACTCGGCTTCTACGCAGTAAGGTCAGATGCCTCTCTGCGGTCATGGGTGAAAGCGGAAACTTCAACCCCACGTTTGTAGCATACTTGAAGGAATGGACTCAGAGGTTTGCGGTTATGAACGCTTCCATGTTACAAGACCTTGAGTTGATGAGTTATTACACCTGGCTAAGATTAGAAACCGAGGACAAGGTCAGAAGGCTAGGCGGGGTCCCTGATACCATTTCCCGAGACCTGTTTACCCCTAAAGATCCTCTCAGCGCTGACCTACACCGGTTTTTCCGTTATGTTTATGCTATCGGGGACGGTATACTTCAGTGCATGAACCTTGAATTGGCTCTTGATCGGTTCAGGCTTCTGAAAGGGCCCAAAACGTCTGATCTGATTAAGCTCCTTGAATTCTCGCCATATTCTAGAGGTTTGGTTGAAAATTTACCATCTATAGCCGAAAATGCAACCACAACAGGAGTATCTGCCGGAAGGCGGAAAACGGCACCTTTACGACAAACGAATGAACGAGTACCAGCAGCACGCTCACTAGCGAAATACTCAAGATCGTCTCTTGCGCTGGCCCTGACCAAGAAGGCTATAATATTGATGCGTACAAAAGCTACCGGATCGGGAATCATTTCATCTGCGACAGGGGCGAGTAAAATTGCTGCACCGCCTAGTCGAGGGCTTTGTACAGATCCCAGAGCTTTTGTAAACGATGACGGGCGACAGTGCGGGGTATCGAAACCAGATCTAGCGCTGATCAACAAGAATCGAAAAGTCCAAGCCGGATTATCGTCACCTGGTCGAGTGGAGGATAAAGAGGCGGCTGGTTCTTTGGTTTCGCATACAGAACATCCAGTTATAATGTTGTCTCATGGAACGCCAGATAATTTCGACGAACCTCCCGTTATTGATTCTGACGCATCCAAACCTCAATACTGGAGCTACACTCAGTACAGAGCGCCAAATGGGGAAAAGATCCCCGTTTATTATTGCAAGAATCTTGAACAAGCCGAACGCGCGGCAGCACTATTTTCTGCAAGCGAGGTTTTAGGCTTTGACATTGAATGGAGACCCCAAGCTCAAACCACATCGGGAATCAAGAGCAATGTATCTCTAATCCAAATCGCCAATGAGGAACGCATAGGACTGTTTCATATCGCGCTGTTCAGGGGCAATGAGATCCATGACTTGGTTCCGCCATCACTCCGACAACTACTCGAGTCTACCACTACCGTCAAAGTGGGCGTATCCATCAAAGCAGACTGTTCACGTGTCCGGCGGCATTTGGGTATCAATACCCGGAGTCTGTTCGAACTCAGCCATCTCTACAAACTAGTCAAGTACGGCACAACACAGCCGAAATTGGTTGATCGACGTACTGTCAACCTCGCTCAACAGGTTGAAGAGGTGTTAGGTTTACCCTTGAAAAAAGATGGTGATGTGCGGAAAAGCGATTGGACTAAACCTTTGGATTATGCTCAAGTTCAATGTAATCCTCCTTTCCACTTTATATTTTGGATTACTAACGTATCCGCAGACGCCGCATCGGACGCTTATGCATGTATATGTCTTCATCGAACACTAGAAGTGAAAAGAAAAGCATTAACGCCCATCCCTCCATTACCAGCTTTTGCTGAACTCAACCTCCCCATTCTTCTTGTTGAGGAAGATAAACCCGAGGTCGCAGAGCCAGAGGACGAAATAGTTGAACTTAGCGTGCGTACAGAAAAGTCATTGAAGTTGAAGGAGGAGGGAGAAAAAGAAAAGGCACTTGTCAAAGTCGTCAATGAGGGAAACTAGACGATTTCGATTGGTATCATTTGATTGCATATATGCATTTGAATGTTTCCATGGAAGTCTCCTTTCTCTATACTCCATAAAAGCACATCTTGTCTATGAACATATCACCACCCTGTTTTGCATTTCTCTTCTTGAAAGCGAAAAATTGCATTCGGCATTTGTCTAGCGATGCGATACTTTTACAGATATACCAATATTTCGTGTTCTTTTTTGGTCAAGTACGAGGTCATGTTCCAGGTTCAACACGATCATATATCCCTAATAATATCGTATGATTATAGTATATATACAGATAAGATTCCCACGCCGTAGAGCTCGACCCAAACGCCATTGCGTAGATCCTTGCAATGAATGTTTATACTCCAATACCAAATATTAACCCCGCACTGGCAAAATCTTCGCAGGAAGAACCTCCTGCCTACACAACGGACACTCAGGCTTCTCCCTTACCCAATCCCTAGCACAAATCCAACAAAACACATGTCCACAAGTAGTCACACTAGGATCCTTGAACGGCTCAAGGCACAACGTGCACTTCTGGTGTTGTCCTTCTGGTATCCATGAAATCGCCTGCGGGTTTTCGGAGAGATCGTACCGCGCCATTGTAGCGGTTAGAGTGGGGATAGATACTGGATTTTGGACGGAGAATAACGGTGCGCCTCCTTTTGACACTGTTGCTGTTGCTGTAGGTTTCTCGGTTTGGGAAAGTTGCTGTAGGGTTTTGCGGACGTGGACTATGCCTTGTATTGTCATTTGTAAGACTAAGAGGACACCGAGCACTTCATAGCCGACCCGCTGTTCGCTTTCGCCGATTTGTTTTGTGAAGACGTATCGAAGACCCCAGAGACGTTTCGACAGGTGATAATATGCACCTGTAAAGTAGAACGTGGCCAGACTCAAAGCATATACATGCGAAGGCGAAGTCAAGGAATCAAAATGCTCGAGTATATATTCCTGAATGCACAGCGGGTTGAATAATGATTGACTCTTCCTTTTTGTCGTCTTCGAACTCTCAGTTTGAAACAATGTACTTTTCAACGCTGCCCTTGCCTGCGCTCTGGCTATACTTCGCTCTAATCGTGCTCGAATCTTCGCCCGTATCGAAGGTAACGATCGCCCCAATACCCAGGGGATTATAATACTGCTAAAAATATACCCGGCCCTCCGCGCGATTGAAGGTAATTGTAACGTATCAGTCTCAAGCTGCACAACGTCGCAATATTCTTCCCCCAATGTCCGATTCCCGATCAACGTCGTGAGGGAGAAATAGAGGAGTTCCGTCAGGTTCTTGATTGTGTCAGCATTGCCGTGGGCGTATCGAGCTCCCTTGATGGAGCGTATAATTGATTGTGATTGGTTCGTTAGGGTTGAGATGATATAGGCGTCCTTTTCATGAGATCGTATAATGTCTGGGGAGGTTGCGAAGGGGTAGAAGTGTGATGTTGGAGCGGAGTTTGGGGTGGTGGATGGCGATGCGCCGGAGGGGATGTCGGAGCTATCTGATGCTTTGTCAGTCATTATTGCGGTGTATTAGTCGTATATTCGTAGACAACATCAGTAGATGTAGTCGCGAATAACAGACTGAAACCGCAATCTGATTTATCATTCAATAAGTAGGTCGTAACTAATGCATTGTTGTTCATCGTCGTTATAGTTCGTCTTCATTCCGGCCGAGGTCCTCCTCGGCATTGTCCACGTGACTACTCCGGGAGCTTGTTTCCCTTCTCGGCCACTTAATATCAAGTTGTCATGTGACTTTACCCTGTCGATCTTCCTCGAGTCGACACCAAACTCTGGAAAAGTCAATACCGACAATCCAACTTAACTGCGCAGCTGCAAGATCAATCGCTAACGCGCCGTCCTGTTATATGTCTACATTCACATCAATGCCTTTATCATGATTATATTGGCCTGACCGAGACGCTTGTCCTCCCCTATTCCTCGTCTCGATCAGCTCTACATCGACCATACCTTTAGGAGAGAGAACTCTCCCCTGTTTATTGTAGCCTACGATGGCCGATAACGGAGCCCAACCCCCAGATGAGCTAGATCGCTTTAGCAACTTCTTTCCCCTACCGTTTCGTGTCGCAATTCTTCTTGTGGCAGGTAAGCACGCGCCTCAAGTCAATGGGTTGTATCTAGCTAAATGATGTCGTTACACGACGCTAGGCTTTTGGGGATGGGGTATTAACCTCCACTACTTGTCACTGGCGAAAATAGTAAGTTGGACGGAGCCTCTTGGTTCAAGCGCATACTGATTCATGACCTGTAGGATGTTCCTGCTCTAATTCGATATCCCTCTCGATCTTCACCCCATCAATTAACACACCATCAATCGACATATCGCCTAGCGACGCTTCTCTCATTACCTCTAGGAGTCTTTCTACTTCTTTTCTGGATAATAACCCACGGCTCGTCAGAGAGGGTACAAGCATGGGAAATCATTCCCCAAAGCTACATCGTTCTATTCTTGGTCATTCTACTATTCCCCTTCCATCGTCTTTCACGAAACGGACGCAGTAGATTTTTCGCCTCTCTCCGACGGATCAGTGTAGGCGGGTTGGCCGAAGCGCAAGATGGGAAATTTGGAGATGTTCTTTTGGCGGATGCGCTGACGAGTTATTCCAAGGTTCTGGCGGAGATATATATCAATTATTGCATGTTTTTCTCCTCGAGTGAATCGAGCACAGGAAAACCGGATCGGATGTGCGGGGGAAGGATTGTAGTTCCCTTGCTCATTGCGATTCCGTATGCGATTCGTTTCAGGCAGTGTCTGATTGAATTCTTTCGTGTGCGACGAGGCGGGCATAAAAGTGACGGCTGGGGTGGACAGCATTTGGCCAACGCGCTCAAGTATGCTACGTCGTTTCCCGTGATTATATTCAGCAACTTGGAGCGGAATTATAGCCAAGAAACGACCCATGTTCTTAGTGAAGTCACTGTTTCGCGTCTATGGTGTGTCAATGCTCGTGCCAAGTCACATTGCCCATCAAATCTCACCGTTATTTAGGGCCCTATCATGTTTCATCAACTCCGCATACTCATTCTACTGGGACGTCACAAAAGATTGGGACCTCACCCTCCTCTCCTCAAACACCCGCACCTGGCGGCATCAGGACTACCCATTCGGCCTTCGGCCACGCCGCATTTTCCCCCGGGACGAAATGTACTACGGCGTTGTTGCCATTGATTTGATTCTGAGATTTACCTGGATGTCCCGCCTTTCACCTCACTTGGATAAAGTGAATAACTTTGAAAGTGGGATTTTCCTGCTTATGTTTTTAGAGATTGCTAGACGGTGGATGTGGATTTTCTTTCGAGTTGAGACTGAATGGGGTGAGTATTACCTTCCATACTATGTTGGGAAAGGTTTGTTAATGCTTTTCTAGTTCGGAGTAATCGCGGTCCTGCGCTGGATGATGTATTACTGAGCGATTTCAACGGGAAATTTGATGACGATTAAAAACAGGCGGTAATGTTTTATAGACATATTCCGGATGGTGTTCTGGCTTGTGTAGATTTTTTATACCCCATTCGCTGTAAATGATGAATAAAGGATAGACCTTTTTATACTTCCACCAACCCGAGATTAGGTATGTACGTATTTGCAATATTACATTTTCTGAACTATATAATTATGAAGATCTCTGACACAAAATGTACAATCCAACATCGAAGACACGAAAAACGCCAAATTTGCCCTAACACACCAGATGACATGTACCGTCATAAAGGGGGTAAAAAGCCGACTCAAATAGACGAAATGGAAACCAAGACATGAACGATAGGAAAGAAAGGGATCCGGATTATGTACGTATATAGGAGACGGATCGAAGACGAAGAAACAGTATTATGTAGATACATGCATGTCTCTTTCCTGTCTTTCAAATAGCAGGAGAAGAGTTCATTAAGTGATCACGGTCCGCTGGGGCGAGTATGGGGGGGATGGCTATCGAATAGATCCTCGAGATAAGCACTCGGCGCTCTACCCTGAGGAGGCGCATTCAGATTCAATGAACTCGTAGATGCACCCAGATGCGATGACCGGTTAAAGGGGGCATCAAAGCCGCGACTTGGAGGTGAAGTCGGTGTTCCCGGCGGGCTCCGTCCAAGATTGACCTGACTATGACTACCCATCGCAGTATTGCCAGCCGCATAATATCCAGCTGGTAAATACGTCGAAGTCCGATTGAGAGATTGATGACTTCCAGCGCCCGCCGTTGGCGAAAAGAACAGGCTGCTTTGCGTGGCAGGTGTCTTGGTTGATACGTGACTGTGTCGATCGGATCTTGAGAGTTTCTCCATATTCATCGATGTGCCACGAGTTCCGCGACGTGATGAACGACGACGACCACTGGCTCCGGAACGACGGTGGGATTTTCGTCTACTGCTTCGTCGTAGAACGGCGGCGCCCTTGGCGTCGGGTTTTGTTTGCTGGTAGGCAGCTCGTCGGACGGAGCGGTTGATTGACCATGCAACCATTGCGCGCCATACCAAGACTGATAATCCGATGAATCCTAGTGCGGCTCCGACGGCGATGAAGACGGTGCCTTCGGGTAGATTGGACTCTTGCATATACGGTGCATTGGAGGTTGGCGGTACGGTTGCGGTAGGGATGTTTGTGAGTGTGGTGGAACTTAATGGTGGGAGGCCTGTGCCTGTCGAGGTCGACGACGTCGTCGTCGCTGTATTTGTTCCTGTTGTTGTGGATGTTGACGATGTAGTCGAGGTTGAAGATGTCGAAGTGTCGGTGACTGTACTCAGTCTGGGAAGACCGGTGTCTGTGGCTCCATGGACTTGGATGAGTAATAGAAATGTCGCTACTAACACGAGGACAAGAGGAGATGGCTGAGAAGCCCCTCGATTGCGAAAAATATTCATTGTGATAGCGGATATGTATAGATAATGTTGGCGCAGAAGGGTCGATGGAATATTCCAGGAATGGAATGTTGATCGGTCAATTATCGCACGTCTCAGCACGATCAGAACGTCATTCCTGACGCCGTCTCTGTCCCACAGGCAGATCTGCTCAGGTCGCAAAAGAGAACCGTCGTGGTTAACCAAAATTGCGTCCGTTCAAACGCCCCAGGTAGTCTTCGGAGCGCCAACAAATGAAGCGGGCTAATAGCCGGCGACTGCGATAAAACGAAGGATGCCGAGAGAACGAAGAAAGAATGTCGTGAAAGGCAAGCGATGGGTACGTTTAACGAGTGAAAATGGATCAATTCAGTCTGGTCGATGTGAGAGGGGTGATGAGGCGCTTGTTTCTCTGTTTAGAGCTAAATCAAACCATCTTTCCTGCCAAGCCGCCCCTGGCGAAGAATCACGTGAATTCTGTATGTACGTAGTTCTGAACCATGTCTCAGAATATTATTTAACAAGCTATCAGGAAGCCTCATCGTAGTGATGGCCTAAGAGTTCCTCGAAACTCATAATCGCACGAAAATCTCTATTAACGACACCCATTACTCCAGAATAACAATACAATCAAGTCAATTCGTTGCGATCCCAATATACAAGACGGTATACAGTCAAATAACGAAAATGCTGAAAGAAAACAAGTCCATAGAAACCAAGTCGTCAACATGAGAATTTATTGCTGCTTTTTCTGCGAATTGGGCGAGGTGTCCTTTTCAAAAGCAGCATAAGGAACTTCAAGGCCAAGCAGCGCAGAGATGCCGACGTACAAGATCGTAACAAGGACGAATGCGACGACGAAGCCCATAAATATGCCTAAGTCATGGTATTAGCCGTGTCTCAATGGAAATAAATGTAAAGATGTAAAATTACCTGGGCTCAGGAATTGGTATTTCTGAAAGAGTGATCTGTCGTCAGATGTGTCATCCTTTCGAGCGGACTCTGCGAAGTCGCGTTTCAAATCTTGGTGAAGCAGCTCTTGGGCTTGGAGATCATCATTAGCGCTGTATGTGATCGATCCTGAGTCTTCATCTTCGTACTCCCGAGGTGAGGTGACGTAGATGAGCGTATATTTAGAGGATGGGATATGGTCGAGAACATCCGCGAGTAAGGCATCTGTACCAATTGGGGTCAGCTCCCATCCTCATTGAACATGAAATAAAGTAGAAATACCGTTCCGAGACAATTCTTGCAAGCGCGATCCGTGCAAAGACAGAGCAGGGAACGAAATGTCTATAACCCTAGGTCCACCTTCAAACTCAAGAGATGTGCCACTTGCTCCTCCATCTATCCTGGTTACTTGCGCACCGCATTCTTCTTCCAAGCCACTTCGAATCGAAGTTGGATCCAAACTACCCAGTACCTCTGTGACTGTTATATTGGAGCGAATCGCCTTGTCATTTCCCAACACCTTTTCTCGAAGTCGTGGTGTTCCCTTTGAATTCGAATAGTCGGCAGCATGAACGCCGGGCTGGGTCGCAATGATATAATAGTCTGACGGACAGGTCTTTAAGCTACTCCAGACATCGCTAAGTAGAGAAGTTGCGGATGCGATATTTGACGAAGAGGAAAGCAAGCTGTTGTTTGTTAGCACCAGTCTAGCAGGGAAGCGGCCATGCTTACTCTGAAGTGGAAAGAAGAATAAAAGGCGAAGTGTCTTTGAGAGCATCAGCAATACCAGCTCCAAGAGCTAGTAGTAACAGCTGTCTTGGATTCATCATTTTGATTATGTTGCGGTGTCTATGAACGGGGTTGAAGTCCTGACGTTCTTGAGCGGGCGGATTGAAGCTACGAACTGTAGGCCAGGCTTGGCATCGTGAGCTACGTATCCGTTCCGCAAGGATTTTCCGACAATCTATTTTATCGGTATCAAAATTCGAACGACTCTGCAATTGTCCTTTGGGACAGCTGATAGTATTCGGCACTATGGCACCTCAGGCAAAGCGAAGAAAAATTGACAGTGAAACTGAAGAAATCAATTTTGATCCCGCAGCCAGACATGAATTCTTGACGGGTTTTCACAAGCGCAAAGTGCAGAGAATCAAATTAGCACAAGAGCATGCAGAGAAAAGAGCGCGGGAGGAGAGAAGGGAGGAACGAAGAAAGGTACATAAATTTTGAAATGTACTCGACTCTTTGACTTTGGCTGATATCTATCTGCGCTGTAGATCCGCGAACAACGAGCAGCAGAAATCGAACAAGCCCTCAATGAATCTCGAAAAATGCTACAACAGATCCGAGACGATGCTGAATCTCAAGAAAGTGACAACTCTGACTCCGAAGAAGAAGAATGGCAAGGGTTCGTGGAACCTGCTCCGGTAGACTACGAAGAAGAATACATCGACGAAGACAAATACACTACCGTTACGGTTGAAGAAATGGGACTCTCGAAGGATGCGCTTCACAAGAAAGATACACCGTCTAGTGATGTTGAAGAGATAACACATAAAGAAAAGAAGGAGGAAGTTCCACAAAAACCCAAGGCGACAAAGAAATTTGGATCAAAATCAGGTGTCACCAAGAAAAAGAAGAAACAGTTTCGTTACGAGTCGAAAGAGGAACGCAAGGTTACAAGAAGAAAAGAGCGAATCGGCAGTCGAAAGAAAGCGAGTTCTAGACGGGAGCGCTGATAAATTCAGCTTCATAGATATTTACCACGGAAGGAACTCGTCTTGGTTGTATGGAAACTTTGATTAGAATATCCTTTATTTACCAGATAATACACCGCGGAAGGATGACACACGGAGGTAAACGAAGCTGAAAGAAGAACAACCAGGACAGACAACACGCCTCAAATCAAAGAAATCACTTCCAACATAGTGGTACACTGTTCCATCGACCGAAGACCCAGAACGAGTCTGCGGGGAAGAAAGAGAATCACGCCGTCGGGAAACAGGCTGTCAACAGTCTGAAGCGGGTAACAGGGGGGGAACACTGTTGTATTGATGATGATGATGGTGATGGTTATAGGTCGTTATTTAAACATTGCTGATTGAAACCTCCAACTCGTGCAATTCCTTCTGGAGATCGGTGTATTTCTTAGCCATCTCCTCGTACTTGGCTTCCCACTGGCTGTTGGAGACTTCCAAAGCTTGAACCTTTCGCTCGTAGTGGCCAGCCTTGACATCAGTCTGGCGGAGTCTGTTCCATGTTAGTTAGATCTCCTTTATTCTTTAATTTCTCGAATTGAAGACACACTTTTCATTGGTCTCACGCAGGTTCTTGTCGGCTTCTTCGGCCTCCTCCTCGAGTAGCTGGAGACGTCTCTGCAAGGCCTCGTTCTGAGTATCGTGCTGGGCGCTGACATCGGCCTTGTCCTTGTACTCCTTCATGTTCCCTTCTATCTTCTCAATTTCTGCCTCGAGGAGTTGGTTGCGGTGCGTCAAGGAGGTGATTTCTTGCTCCTTGGCCAAGTTCTCCTGTTCCAAAGCTTTGATCTTGGCCTTCAGCTCCTCGACCTGCGATTGAGCCTCATCCGCCTCGAGACGGAGAGCGTTCATTCTCTGTAAACGACATGATTAGTATGTTGTAGACACTCCAACTTTGTTGCTCTCGGAGAATTCGTTATTCTGCTGATGCTGCTGTTGACCAACAATAATAATATGAGCTACCCCGCTAGGGGGTGACCGTAGGGGAGGGGTTTTGTATACACACCTCTCTGATCTTGTCCATCTTGAATAGTGGTTGACTTGACGAGTATGAAAATAATGTTCTTGAAAATAATCAGGTAGTTCGCTCAGCGAAATTCAGCACAGTATGAAATTAGAAGAAGAAGTGAGTTGGAAGGCAGTCGAATTGCTGAGTTGTTTTCCCAGCTGGAGTCGGTGCTAAGCCTACTTAAGGAGTCTCCTTCCCGCTCCTGTGTTTGGATGCCTTGGTGCCTTCTTTTCGTGCTTAAGGGGCTGGCCACAGCCTGATCGGGTTAGACCAGTCGGGGAGTGGGTGGTGACTCAGGGAAGGTGCGACCCGTCTCCACGGGCAACCGCCAAATCAACAAAAGTACCGTCATTGCCGCCTTCATCTATCAAATATCTCGACTCATGGTTTAAACAACTCTCCATCAACAAGTATGCTCGCGCGACGAGACCAAGAGAATCTGGTGCACTCGCACCAGGTGACTGCGGCATCCAAACCCTTGAATCAAAGCGTTCGACAGCTACAACCAAAGACTCCTGGCAATAAAGCCCCGAAAACTCCATTCAAGGTCCCGCTACACGATGAAAACGAACCACTACCATTTGGAAAGAATACCGTGAAAGGTAATGGAGGACTGAGGAAAGTTGGAAATGACGCCTTCGTCACGCCGTTGGGTAGGTCATTCATTTCTGTGACTCTCCATATGTTTTAGAAGTGCTAATGCTGTGTAGGTCCTCGAAATCGCGCCCCTCTCGGAGCCAAAACGACAAACGCCAAGGCAGCGACATTCAAGACTCCCGGTCGGCAGTCCGACTCCTTGAAGACACAGAAAACCAAACACAGAGGTTCCAGTACCAAGAAGCCAAAGAAGGCGGAAATCGAAGTTCATCAAGCTCAACCACAAGTTGTCGATGCGTCCGACGTCGATGATGTTCCTGATGTTGAGTATGCGCCACCCAAACCGAAAGGTAAATTGCACCCTGACCCTACAGACTATTTGCTGTCTCGTGTACTGATGTCACGCAAACAGACTTACCTGATCCTCCGGAAGATATTACCTACGACACCACGTATCCCCAATTCAGAGGACGCAATATGACTCGGGGCTGGGGGGAGATCTACTTGCGAGAGGAAATCGGCGAAGATGGCCTTACTGCTCGTCAACGCAAATTCCAGGAGGCGTCACTTGCTTCCGAGAGGAAGTTGGACGAGATGATTCAGAATGAAGTTGACGCTATCAACTTGCAGGATCTTCTCCTAATTGACGAGCCTGAATTGCGCCGCGGAACTGGTTTCACTGAGGCACAGAAAAAGGAACAACCTCAGAGTTCAACGGCCGTGTTACCAACACGGGCAAGTACTCTGAAAGCACGCAATGCTGCGGCTGCTCTTTCCAGACCGGGATCCTCTGCGACGGTTCGCAGCGACAGTACCAGGTCTTCTTCGGCAACGGCCAAAACCAGCAGTTTGTCATCATTTCTTCCAGCGAAGAAAAAGACTCTTACTCCCAAGACCAATGGGTCAAACACTCGACATGCTATTGCTACGGCCAGCTCGCGTACCTCTGTAGGCTACTCCAGAGGCAGATCAGTGGCGTCTGCCCTTTCGAACAAGCCCACCGTCAGTGGGAAGATACCGGCTAAGCCGAAAGCCGTCATCAGCCCGGAAACATACGTGCAACTCTATGGAGCCCCTCCGTTTGGAAGTGAGATGTGGGATCGTTGCAAAGCAGCAGATTGCCTGCCGGAGGATGAGGTTGTCCCTGGCCGCGATGAAGATTTCGGTCTTCCCCTTTTCGAAGAGGACGAAGAGACACGAAACTTCCAACTCACTTTGTAATTTTTATGGCATTCAAGGATGGAAATAGCGGGGTTCAGAACTAGGCGACAAGATGGCGTATGAAGGGCTATTTTTACTTGAGACTTTTTACCATTGACAGAGTAGATTAACTTGTCGGATTATTGAGTATGAATCGGCGTTATCGGGTATCTGTCCATTTGAGCATTGGTCTACTACTGGTTTATGGAACTTTTTTTTTATGTACAAATATCTTAGTGTGAATCAGAAATTGGGCTGAGATCATGCAATTCATATCTCCTCTCCAAGGTCACTATTTAGTGAATATTACGACTGGTGTCTAGTCCTTGAGTAAACGTGTAATCGTACTACATCCTGCGAGGAAATTTAACGTCAATACTTGGTCAAATAAATGAACTACTTTGTTACGTGTACACTATGCCAGGCAACATCTTTTATCTTGCGGTGTAAATTGCTGGAACGAAGCCCCTGGTACCAGCCATTGTCTAAGCTTAGAAGTGGGCACGAGCTCGGGCTGCTTGGCGACCAATGGGTCACCCTAGCCGACTATTGCTCTCACACCCATCCCGCACTTTTTTGCCAAAACATCACACACGGTCTCACCAGTCAACAGGAACAAGCACTCAATTGACTGTGATACAATGGCAAGAACACATTCAGAGTCCACCGAGGACTTTGAGTTCATCGAGACTCCTCCAGCTCCCGCATCTCCTGCCCCTGAGGACTGCGGAGTGAGAACAACTTCGGTACGGGATCCTGAAAGTTTGAACGTGGCCTTGTTGCTCTCCAACTAACTCCAATTGCAATCACAGTATCCTGCCATTAAAAATGCCCCCCTTCCAGCAGACTCTGCAGGTAGTGACAGCTTCTCCAATGTCCTCTTGATCATCCTCTTGATCGGTGTCCCGTTCTACGTTGCTCGCCAGTTCCACGGTGGCTTCTACACCACTATTTTCTTCGCCATTTTCACAACAATTCCTATTTTGATGGTCTTCTGGACTGTTGCTTCTGCAGCTTCTCCCCGCAAGAATGAAAAGGCTAAATACCCTGGTCGTCCCGTCGAGCACTACTTGCAATTCCACAGCGAGCATGACCGCATCAAGTACCACGGCAAGAGCAAGATCCCCATGACAACTTTCTTCGAGAAGTACTTCGATGGAGACGTTGACTTTAAGGGTGATGCTTTGGATATCCTTGAATATAGACACGACTGGGCAAGCTTCCGCTTCACCTGGCAATTGTACAAGCATTTCTTGACTGGCTTCCTCCCGGAGATGCTTATTCATTCCCGCTCTCAAGGTGAGTAAGCTATTGTTCCGGGAATATGATTCAGAACTAACGATACGTAATAGATGAGGAACAGGTTCGTGACCACTACGACCGCGGTGACGACTTCTACGCTTGGTTCTTGGGTCCTCGTATGATCTACACTTCCGGTGTTATCAGCGACATTAACAAGGAAGAGACGCTTGAGGAGCTCCAAGATAACAAACTGGCTGTTGTCTGCGAGAAGATTGGTCTTCAGCCCGGCGACACTGTTCTTGACCTCGGTTGTGGTTGGGGTACATTGGCTAAATACGCTTCTGTTCACTATGGTGCTCACGTTACGGGTATTACCCTCGGCCGCAACCAAACCAAATGGGGAAACAATGGTCTTCGCAAAGCTGGTATTGAAGAATCTCAGAGCCGAATTCTGTGCATGGACTACCGTGATGCTCCCTCGATCACTGGTGGCTACAAGAGAATTACCTGTTTGGAGATGGCCGAGCACGTCGGTGTCCGTCATTTCAGCTCTTTCCTCTCTCAGGTCTACGATATGCTTGACGATGATGGTGTCTTCTTCCTCCAGATTGCTGGTCTCCGTAAATCGTGGCAGTACGAGGATCTCATTTGGGGTTTGTTCATGAACAAGTACATCTTCCCTGGTGCCGACGCTTCTACTCCTCTTGGTTTCGTTGTGGACTCTCTCGAAGGTTCCGGCTTTGAAATAAAAAGCATTGACACCATTGGCGTTCATTATTCTGCTACTTTGTGGCGTTGGTACCGCAACTGGATGGCCAACCGTGAGAAGGTTGAGGCCAAGTATGGCAAGAGATGGTTCAGGGTAAGCTTTCTATCAGATAACGTTCCCTCTGCAAAAATCTTACTAACGATTTATATAACCAGATCTGGGAATACTTCTTGGCTTCCTCTACCATCACCTCCCGCCAAGGTGGAGCTACTTGCTGGCAAATCACTCTTGTCAAGAACATCAACTCTACTCACCGTGTGGAGGGTATCCCCTCTCAGTACGGCCTTGCAGGAGCTCGCCAGGCTGCCATTGACCGTGTCGGCCATGGCAAGGTACCCAGCGCTCACATTTCTGCTAAGCAGTAGATGTAAAGTCAACTTGAAACAGTCTCGTGCATTCGCACACGGACTAATATACTAGGCCTGACGCTTGATGGTCTTATATCTACTTATCTGTCTGTTTATTTACGAACGTCTACGTGAGTCGACGAATATATTCGTTAACGAACCTCTCCTGTTCCATGTTTTTAGGAATGAAAGACATGACCCCCAAAAAATCCAGATGTCAACTTTGTATGTTTTACGCTTTCTATACATAGATACTTTGTTTCTATTGAGGCTTTTGTGTTTTGTAATGAACTCAGAAGGTGCAAGTCGGAAATTTGTATCCTGGTGTTGGGCAAGGGGAACGATGGGTGATGTTTATCTTTTATTTCGTTTTTAATTCTAACTTGACAGAAATAATGACATAGATTTCTTATTTTGTCACTACGCATAAGCAGGTATTGCTATCGAAGCCGGCAGGACATCTATATTTATATCAAGACCCTCGAGACAAAAGGATTCATGTTATCTGTACATTGGAGTACATTGGAAGTACTCAAAATCGCAACGATACATACGCCCAAATCAACATTCCGCCTATCATCTAGTCAAAATGGCCATGTAAAAGCATTTACTTTAATCAACCCTCTTGTACAACTTGGCCTTGTCCATGCTGGACCCAGCGCAGCATGAGGCAGGAGTATTCTGGTATAGAGTGGAATGGTTAAACGACTGTACGGAAGCGGGCACATCCAGAGCCGGGTTCTTGGTGAAAAAGCCATCTGGTTTGAGCATGACGCTCACTCTCTCAACGGGCATGACGGGGAAATCTTCGATACGGGGGTTGTGTGTGAGGCCGAATGCTAGTCACCATTGCGTTAGTTTTTGAATAATTGATATATTTCGAAGAAAAAAAAGGGGGGGATGGCTTACTATGCCACAAAACAAGATCCTCATTTTCCACAGTTTCATTTCTAGCAACCCACTTCTCAACACCCTCAGATTGTCGGCTCTGATTCGTAAACTCGCCAGCAGCATACAACTCCTCTTCCTGGAACTTCGTCACCCAGATGGGTTTCGTCGCAAACTCTGCACGGCGGTAATTGAATGATTTGGGACCCATGAGAAGCATTTGAGCGGGTGATGTTTGCAGTTTGTATGCAACTGGTTTGTAGGTTATAGGGTTGATAACGTTGTCGTTGCGGATCTTGAAGACTCGGTGACGGTCAACAGATGTGTTTGCTGTGCTGGATTTCTTCAAGATGGTCTCTTGTGCAACGTAGCCACATCCATGGGGGTTAAAGTCGTCTTCTGGTAAGGGGACACTATCTTCGTAGATGACGGTGTTCTTAAATCCGTCGATGGCAGGATCGATACGGTATGAGAACATGTGTTGATGGTTTGCAGCTACCACTCCAGGACCGACGTTTGTGCCCCATGGGACCGTCTGGCCGTTTTCATTGTCTAGAGGGGATGTGGACAGAATACCAGTGGCGCGGACCTCGAGCTCAATGCCGGCTGCTTGGTCGAAGATGTAGGCGAAGATGTATTCGTAGTTTGCCACAGTGCAGATCATCTGAACCACTAGTTGACGGTTGCGCACGACCGTGGCTGAGTTGGTCCGGTAGTTGGTATGCTTGTGTTGGAGGCCGTTGTCTTGTTCATGAAGGCAAATTACGTTCTCCAAGAAAACGGGTTCTCCTTTGCTGTCTGTTCGCCAGCCGTTGAAGTATTTGATGTGGCCTAGGCAGTCGCATCCCAGTGATAGCTGGTTGGCGGTTACACCGAAGCCAACATCACCCACATCGAAGGCTTGCTTGCGATGAAATGGTTTGCGGGGGTCTATAAGCTGTCAGCAATAGATTACAAGGTTTGAATACAGTGCGGTGTGCATACCTCCATATGGAACTGTCATTTCACAAAGAGACAGTCTGTAAAACAAGTTACGACCGTCATATGTAACGTTGTTGATAACCAAACCGTCACGGGTATTGAAGCCAACCCTGAATCGCCACTTTTGCCACGTGACAAGGTTACCGTCCACATTGAAGGAAGGTCCCTCTGGTTGCTGTACAATATATGGCTTCAAGTCTGTCCTCAGGGGTGTATCGAGTAGTTCGTGTGCATACTGGACAGTCTTGACCGGTTTCCATGGACCAGTAGCCGTGATCGAATGGTCGACACCTCCTGGAAGATAATCCATTCGGACCAATTCATGTGTGATACCATCAAATACAGGCGAGAATTTGACGGGGGTGGAGTAGTGGTTGTTCTGAGGATGGTCGACTTCTACTATATACATATAACATTGGAACAGACGACGGTCCTCTTTGGGGTCATCTGTGCCGTAGATCCAAGGGTCGTTGCATACTGTAACACCAGGAGGTAGTTGCAACTTTTCAATTTCTTTTTGAACCGCAGGGTGTGAGAGACAGAGGTGTTCAATATCTATCATCTCATCCACATCCACGGGGCCCTATAGCCGTAAAAGTTAGCCTCGTCGGTTATCCTCACGGAAAAGGAATACCACAAACCTGAACATGCTTGGGCATTTCCTTTGCATAAATCACAGTCTTAGTATCGGCATTAAGCAATGCCTTGTAGAAAACGCCAGTATCCAATCGATGGAAAAGAGTCTGTAGCACACGAGCTGGTTTGGGCGGTAATGTTTGGCCCAGTCTTTCGGCCTCGATATACGGGATGACATCCTTTTTGAGAGGCTCCTGTACATCTATACGCTTATATCGTAATTTGACGCCTGGAAAAGCAGCCTCCAAGATCTTGACGGCCAGTTGAATTTCCGTGGGGGTCAGAGGGTCGAATGGATGCAATTGGGGCAAACCCGCCTGTGATGCTGCCTGTGTAACGACCGACATGATGAAGATGTCCGCTTCAAAGTGAGAGATTACTATATATAACGATGTATATATACTCTGATATGAAGGAACAAGGGAAGAAAGCAACAAAAACGACGGGCGGATGGCGAAATATAAGATATAAGTATTCGGTGCCTGAGGCCAAGTAATTCCGATAATTATCGGATATACATGCTGTTTTAGGCATGAGTCGCGCCGCGTTGCTTATCTTATCGCCTATCTTCGCTTGAGGGCCTGGAGACTTCATCTCGTCTATCTCCTCTATCTAACCCATTGAGTTCTATGAATTGGTAATCCTTATCTGGTTAGTGTTCTCCATTATCCGGGGTCTAATATATTGTATCGATATCTATGGATTTAACCTGAATACGTATGTGGGAAAAGAAGCGGCATTGCTGGAATTGATAAGAGCGAAGATAGAGTTTTCGTTATCGCCTTCCGATAAGCTTGGCGCAGGTCCTTCCGTATAAGGATTAGCGCCTGTCGTTCCCCTCACGATAATCGCAGAAAGGATTTCAGAACATCCCTCGTTCATCTGTGAGACATGGGGAAGTAAGATAAGTTCTATCATGATCCAGACGGGGTCCCTAGCGCGCGATTCTTACCTAATTTAGTCGTGGATGGGTAATCGCTTCTTGATCTTTTCCATACCAACAGCCGAAACCTGCAAAACTCACGCCGAGAGGGTATATGCAGGTATCAGTTGAGCGATCAGGACCCCTTCATCTCATGACACATTAGCAGCGGTCATAATATTTATATTATAACACATGGCGGCTTCACCTACCCCGTCAGACATCTCACTGACAGGATTGTCGCCAACCCGAATCGAGTCACCCTTCCGGGTCAGAGGAAGCTGGAGCCGGTCGGGATGCGTAACTTGTAAGAAGAGAAGGAAGAAGTGTGATGAACAGAAGCCAAAGTGAGTATCAATTTTTCTTTGAAGAATGCATTAGGAACTAAGAGACAAAGCAGATGTGGAAATTGTATCAGGTTAGGACGTGATTGTGAGGGCTATGCCAACCTATGGATCACGCCTATGAGCACTACCACATCTACATTCAAACAGCAGAAGGTCTCAAAAACAAAACGCAGGAAACTGTCAAATGTTTGTCAGAATGAGAGTATTCCGTGGTCACCCTCTTCGGAGTCATATCAAACAAGTAGCCCAAGTGAAAAGGGCTACTGTGCAACCGGCCCGCTTACTCCAGAATCGATCGTCACAGTTGATGTGTCGGAGACTCAAGAAAGTGCAGACACCTCTAGAGCCATGACTCTTTGTTCTGATCATGGGAAAACATTCGGGAATAGCATTGCTTATGCGCTCCCATTATTCCGTCCCACAGAATCATTCTACATACAATACCACGTCGAGCGAGGATCCCGACTGGTATCAAACCTGGAAATGAAACGGAACCCCTTGAATGAAGTGCTGATTCCACGAGCATTATCATCACCGCTCCTCTTAAATGCGCTCTGCACTTTATCAGCAGGCCACATGGCAAATTGGGGGTCTTCAAACCGAGACACATTGCGAAAGGCAGAAATGATGTATTACGGCAAAACATTATCTGGTATTCGGAATGCGTTGACAGATTTGTCGCAACAGGTTGTCATGAGTCCGGCTTATATTACTTTGCTTGAAGAATTGCTTGCTACTGTTGCATCGCTATGCAAATATGAAGCTGTCAGAGGTTCGGTTAGATCTTGGAGAGGACATTTGGAAGCATTGCAGAGTCTTGTAAGCTCTTGCGGGGGTTTGATTAATCTCGATCGAGAGATCGCGGATTGGCTGTCAGGCTTGTAAGCTTTAGTTTTCTTATCTCATTCATTTCACTGGCCTAATTATATACTAGGTTGACATATTGGCAATACATGGCCAATCTCATAACACCGAATCTCAAACCACGATTGACGTTCTGTGAAGGTCTGTATACCAGTCCCAAAATAGACATATACTTGGGATGTAGCGAGCAAATGGTGAAAATTTGTTCGCGAATTGCAGATCTTCGCAGGGTGAACGATTTTGCCTTTCTGAGTCAAGAGATTATTGATATGTATGTCTTTCCCCCCTCCCAGGATTTGGAACATGTGGAAGAACTTTAACTGAAAAGTCTTGCAGAAATGAGTACCTCACCAACTGGTCTTGCAGGGAGCAATCTTTCATTATTCCTGAAGGCATCACAGAAGCAGCATTCGAACGACTAGAAATGGTAGCAAACTGTTTCCGCTATGCAGCATTTATATTCTTACATTCGAGTTTGGAGAGACTGGCATGGCCTGCCGTCACTTCCACCAGTCCCGTGCCAGAACTCACAATGTGGGATGAACTACGTTCCGAGATCTCGCACTCAAAATCCGAGGCACTACAAAACATCATGACTCTACTCCATTCCAATCCACCAGATACTCATACGGAATTCTCAGCACTGACTTTCCCATTATTCATCGCTGGATGCGAATGTGAAGGCAGCGAAGACCAATTACCCTCAATTCTCAGCGCACTAAAAACCTTGGAAATCAACTTTGGAATTCAGAATACGAGACGAGCCCAGGAATTGATTGAGCTTTATTGGGGGTCAGAACGGTTAAGGCAGAGAAGGCACTGGTTAGATCTATTGGAGGATATGGATTGGGATTTACTCTTGGTTTGATTCCAACAAGAAGAACAGTCCTCCAAACTGAATATAACGAAATTCCACAAAGCTGTCGCTAGAATAGCTCAATATAATGTACATGAACTGTATCAACAAGAAAGACCAAAAAGTATACGAGGCTGGTCTTATAGCTTAGCCTTCGGCTTCTCAGCTTCCTTCTTAGCTTGCTCCTTGAGCACTCGTCGCAGAATCTTGCCGCTGACACTCTTAGGAATAGTCTCGACAAATCGTACGCCACCTCTCAGGCGTTTATGTTGAGCCACTTTGCTATGCATCCACTTGACAATCTTTTCAGCCTCCTCGGCATCACTGGCACCCGAAGCTTTGCTAACAGCACTTCGAACAACGTATGCTCGCGGAACCTCGGAACCATGTTCGTCGCTGTGCACGCCGATAACGGCGACGTCGTCAATCAACTCGCTATCGACAAGGATACCCTCAAGCTCGGCCGGCGGTACCTGGAAGCCCTTGTACTTGATAAGCTCCTTGACGCGATCCGTAATGTAGAATTTGTGATCTTTATCCTGATAACCGACATCACCAGTCCGAAACCAGCCATCCGCCGTCAGGCAACCTTCTGTCGCTTTCTGATTTTTGTGATATCCCAAGAAGACATTTGGACCACGAACCCAGAGTTCACCTACTTCACCGGCGGCGACTTCCTGAGGCTCCGAGTCGTCTTCTGGAGAAGTCATGTATTTGGCTTCCATGTTCGGGACTAATTGGCCCACAGAACCGATATCTTTGTTCCAGTCTTCCCAAGCTTGAGTATGTGTTGTAGGACTGGTCTCACTCAATCCGTAGCCTTGCTTGATACCGACTTTGATTCTCGCGGATGTAGCTTCGACAAGTTCTCGTGTAAGCGGTGCTGCACCGGAGTTCATCATTCTCAAGCTGGACAGGTCGTATTTATCGACGATGGGGTGTTTGCCCAGCAATAGAATGACTGGAGGCGCCACGTATACAAATGTGATTCTGTAATTCTGCACATGCTTGCAGAATTTTTCTATGTCAAATCTGGGCATCACAAATACGGTCAATCCGGTGAAAAGACTAAAGTGAATCATGGTCGTCAAGCCTAGAAGTGGTCAGAAAATGCTGTTAGGTGGATTTGATGTAACTCACCATAAATATGGAAGAATGGCAAGAATGCCAAAATACGGTCTCCCTGGCCGTCGGCATTGTCATTCCAAGAGAGATATCTCCCTTCGGTGTTCTTGCCCTGCAAAATGTTGGACACCATGTTCCTGTGAGAGAGCATGACACCCTTTGGCAAACCCGTAGTACCAGACGAGTATACCAGATACGCAACATCTTTCTTGGGATCAATCTTTGGCCGACGAAACCTGCTTGTGCCGGATATGTTTCGAATAGATGTGAAATGCTTAACGACACCACTGGGATCTCGCTCGTCGCCAATCAATATAATCCGATCTTCAGGCAGACCCACTTTCTTCGCAGCTTCGCGCGCAATAGGAAGTAAAGGACGCTGGGTTGCAAGAGCCTTTGCTTCAGAGTTACCAAGTTGAAAGGCCAGTTCTTCAACAGTATAGGTTGGGTTTGCAGGAGAAATCACGCCTCCAGTCCAAGCTACGCCGTACATGACAGCTGGGGTGTCGACACAATTTGGCGAGAAGATGGCGAGGACATCGCCTTTTTTCCAGTCCCAAGTTGCTTTGAGACCATGACCAAAGCTCAATGCGGTTTCCCGCAGTTGTGCGAAAGTGTATGACCGTTGAGTGTCGGCGTCAACGAAGAGATCTAACCTGACTGTTAGATACTGACGTATTCACTATTTTAAAATGTCGTGCTTACTCTTGTCATCTGGAAATGCCCGATCTTTGCGTTCAAACAGGAACGACCAGATATCGACATCGGGGATTTCGAAGTCTGGATAAGGCGACTTCACCGGCATCTTTGACGGAGCGAAATATCTTTTTTTATCAGGTCTATTTTGAAAACAGTGTACAAATAAAAGTAAAAAATAAAACCTAGAAGGACAAATGGGTTATATAATAAGTAAGCACTGTTAAGTAGTCTAACTAGGTAGGTCACTAGGCATAGCCCCACAAATCTGGGCAATCCGGGGATATTACCGACGCTGTGATTGGCGGACGTAAGATATGCCGGGGTATTGATAAGAAGATGCCTCGGTTTGACGGCTAACGCTTAGATCTGGCTGTTGTGATTGGTTGAGTGGATCGAGCTCGGTAACTTTTGAAATTCAGCGAATCAGCATTCAATATATCTCCCGTAAATCCGTCATGCGTAGTTATGCATATCATCACTCTTAAGACAGAATAGACTGCATAACATCCGTGCCGTAGAGTATGATGCTTGTGTCGAAAGACGAGTAAAGAAGCACATCTGGAGCGAACATGAGCAAGAATATGCCTCGCGGCGATAGCGTCACGGCCAAAATCGAGATACGTACGAGGATATTGGCCGTGTAGGTTTCAACCCTAACCCTGTGTCAACCTCACCAGCTGAGTTGGATACACTACATAGTACGGAGTAGAAGCTTTTTTTTTAGGGTTTGCGAAAGTCACGTTCTCTCATATTTGGCATCATAGTGGGGGTAAAATGTATGCCGCCCGTGCTTTTTACCCCTCAGACTCTCTCTTTGTCACTTGAAATAAGTTCCTCTTTTTTCTGTTGCTTTGCCATGGGCTTGATGTTATCGTCGGGGTTGACTTTGGGTGCAGGCATGCTGAATTGTCGCTACCCGGCTCATTGTATCGCTGGAAAGTACAAACATTGATGCTCTATCCACTGCGAGACATACACTACATATCCACACATACAATGCGGTCGTGAAGACTAATATTTCCGTCATATATCAGCACATCATCGCTGTTCATGCAAAAGATTTGCCATCTGAGTAATTTTTTCTCTGCTACTTCTGACCAATTTCATCTCATCCTTTAAGCCCTGTCCCTCTTCGTTCATATTCTTCGCATATTCTCATCATGGTAAGCGACGATTTTGATGTTCCATTTGTGGCCTCAGGCCAAAACTTACCTGGCAGCCCCACTAATCAAGCGACCCAATCACCTTTCCGCCTTCCGTTTTTCCTAGGAATAACACTTCCCTTTTGCTCCCATATAAACCATTTGTTTCTCTTCTCTATTGCCTTCGGGCATTTGGTCAATTTGAAACGATACAGAGAAGATTAGCATGGCCCCTGCACTAAGGATGACACGCTCAATCAAAGAGAAGCTACCAGTTTTTTTCTTTTTTTTCTTGCAAGCATATTTGAGGTAGGAGTGTTTTTGCCGAGGGTTAGTGATGGGTTCGATTCCGGCCGCGGACGATGTGAGATCGTTATTTTTTCTTTTTACATTTTTCGTTGCCTTAAATTTCAGGTATAAACTATCAGTACTTGGAAAGACAGCCATGTAGGTTTCGAGCAGTCATTTTCAAATTTGAAACAAACAGAATGCATTACTATCGCATATTACTGTATCTGATCCTTGTAAAACGACCATACGCCTTTCACCATCCAGAAATGACATCGCTTAACCTTCCCCATATACAAAACACATGAATAACCTAGGCTTCAAAGCTCTTGCAAAGACAGAATAAAGAACGCTTTGTCCTATATATCCATATCGTCATCAAAGCCATCAAGTTCCACGAAAAGTAGACGAGTGCCATTACCGGTAATTTGCCATACCTAATTTCCGTTAGCAAATGATGCGTATTGTCATTCAAGCTACTTTCAAGAGTACTCACATCCAGTTCTTGATATTCTTCGATTGTCTTCGTGAGCTGATCCTCCGTGAAGCCCTTGGCAAGAACTCGCTCCCTAACTCTGCGGAGACTGAGCTCTCCTTCTTGTCCGTCCTCAGCCGCAGCAGCGCCACTCTCCCGCATACCACGGATGAGGTTGTAGATCTTGCTGCTAGGTGTCTGGTCTCCCTCTGTGCTCGATTCATTGGAAAGGGACGCCTTGCTAACCTCAACAAGTCGAAGGGCCTCATCGACGTCATCGGTGACCACAGTATCGCTGAAACGCAAACGTGCCAAAGCCTGTGAAAGACGCACCACACCGAGAAGTGTACGAGGACTGACATGCGAGAATTGGCGCTTGCTTCCTTCGTCCTTCTTTTGTTGTTTACGCATACGCACATAGGCACCGACCATGTAGTCCGATACTTCTTTGGGGACTACTGGGCGATAAGTGCGAGCACGCGCCACGAATTGGCGAACTTCATTGGGGCTGAAGACAACACCAGTATCGGAAGTTTCTGGATGTTTGTTATGCATGTGAACGTATGTGACGTGGTTTGCCAACTGCTCGTCGTCATGCCTGGATGGAGTGTCCAGCATAAGGAACATGACGTCAAAACGTGAGAGAAGGGCGGCAGGAAGGTTAATATTTTCCACGGGAGAGATGCGAGGGTTGTAGCGACCATACAGAGGGTTAGCTGCAGCCAAAATAGACGTCCTGGCATTGAGTGTCGTGGTAATGCCGGCTTTGGAAATAGAAATGGTTTGCTGTTCCATAACCTCGTGAATGGCGGTTCGGTCTGAGTCGTCCATCTTGTCAAACTCATCGATACAGCAGATACCGTTATCAGCAAGTACAAGAGCACCACCTTCCAGGACCATCTCATCGGTGACTGGATCTCGCATAACCGCAGCTGTGAGACCGACGCCACTGCTTCCGCGACCAGTGGTGTAGATACCACGAGGGGCGACCTTGCAGATGTAGCGGAGGAGCTGGGATTTGGCCACACCAGGATCACCCATTAAGCAAATGTTGATGTCTCCACGGATATGCATGCCATCGGCCATATCCTTGTTCACACCGCCGATTAACAGAAGCAACAAGGCCTTTTTGACATCAAGATGGCCGTAAATTTCAGGAGCGATAGACTGAGAAAGATATTCGTACAGCTGACCTGAATTCTTGTACTGTTCCATCCTCTTTATTGTTCGGCTGTCCATTATCATACTGTCGTAGGCCTTCTTGTGTTGAGTAACGAATTGCGCTTCCAGATAAGTATCGGTCAATAGACCAGCGCGAATAGCCCTAAAGCCAGTATAAGGTGTGGGAAGGAAGATTCCAGCAATATCGACAACGTCACCGGGGTTCAACTGACGTGTTAGACTGCCATTGCAGTGTACTGTCAGAGTTCTGGGGATATGTCCAACGGGAACCTGATCTGCCATCTCTTGAATCTTGACTTCCTGGAAAGGAACGAATTTGGAGGCTCGTGTAGATAGGAACAGCTGGCCCTTGGAGTTATTGGTAACACACTCCTCAGAAGGGCATTCGGTCATAGGTAAGAATGACTTGGTTGTGATAGGCTGAAACACTTCACTACCGCATCGATCGCAAGTATATGCGTTTATTTTAACAGCTGGCTTGACGTCGGACACTCGGGTCACAATACCACGCACAGTAATCAGGCTACCGAGATGTTCTCCTCGTACATGACGGACGGCCAGTGCTTTTGAGCCTTGTCCGCTGCTCGACTCAGACACAGTCAAAGGTTTGAAGTTCAAGGTGTATCGACGTGTCAATTCGGGAGGAAACAGCGCTTGCGGTGGGCTGGCATCCATCTCGGCTTCAGCAGCCATTCGAACTGTTTCGTTTCGCCTGTCTCGCTGCGACATGATGATATCAAGGACGTCGTCTTTAAAACTGATTATTGGTCAGTAAGCCACCATATATGCTGCATAATTTTTCCAAACTCACGATATCTCTTTTGTTTCTCTAGGCATCACAGCATCGACGGCTTCAGAGAGAACATCGACATAGCGCTTAGTGTTTGATTGAATGGATTCCACCAGCTTCAAATCGGTGTCTTCAGGAAGAGATTTCTCGTACTATGAGGGGTAGCAAAGGTGAGCATCGATCAACATATCAGCGCGCAAAAATTTGGGTGGAAAATACAGTGGCTATGTCATCCAGCTCAATCAAGATATTATTTCTATCCCTGTTTGCGACATCTTGGAGTATCCGCATGTACTTCAGCTTGGGATCACGAGGTGCGCCCCCCTGGGTCTCAACATCATCCATGAAATCATATTCATCCTCAGTACGATCGCCATCAATGCGCAGGCCCTGGATGGCCTCCGTCGCAGCGGCTTCTGATGCTGATTCGAAGCTCTTGAAGCCCTTCAAGAAGTCCTTGAAGGCCTCCCGTTGAGCGGCGTAGTCAACCGGGGCAGGATATTGAAGGAGAGCCATATTGGCGCTGGAAAGACGAGAACGTAGATACTCGACTGTTTGCGACCGGATTGTGTGCTGATGAAAGAAATGTGTAGTCCTGTATGGCCTGCATACAAGTGTTTTCGCAGTGTTGTCGAAGAAAGTAAAGGTTGGTGGGCATCGGCGCTAAGCCAAAACTCGCAAAAGTGAAAGAACGCGTCACGCGACACGTGGAACGCGTCCGACATTCTTTAAGTGTCCGCTATACCTTAAACATAATAGTGTACAAGTCACGTGCTCCGGAGCGGATTAACCCTCGGTTCGGCGGTCGGCCTTCCCCATGGCGGCTTCTATTGTGGGCCTTGGAGAAGCTCAAGCCGAGAGACATCGTCGCAAACTCAGTGGACTTTCCGGGGGATTTACAAATCATCATTCATTCTTTCCTTTTGCTTATCTGACCTGCTTATAGGGAGCCTGCTCTTGTAATTTGAAAGCAGGCGCAGATTTGACTTTTTGCGTCATGGCTCCCAGCAGAAAGACCGCCACGACTGCAGAAGTTGCTTTGGTACCCCTCAAGTCGTGTCTCGTGAATTTACCAACTCCAGTCGTTTCACTGCTAGTGAACGCCAACGCAGTAAGAGTGCCATATCGCCATATACCTTAACAACTTGCACTTACAATGCTATCTTAGGCTGCCCAAAATGTCATTGTGGAATTACAGTACCGGCCGTCGAATTCGCAGTCCACCGCTCAGAAGTCAGCGTATTTGGGATGGACGGGAATGCCGAGTAAGCGCAAGCTGGCGCCCGTGGTCAGCAGAGATGGGATCAATTCGAATTCATCTGCGAGAGAGCAGGAGGTCTCATCTATCGAAATTGACACCACCTTCGCTAGGGTATTGGGTTTAGCGGAAGGCCAAAAGGTGGGTAAAAGCCTCTCCGATTCAAGAAGATTGGGCATTGATTTCGCAGGTCGGATTATTCCTACACCTTGACAATCCTATTGCGCAGACCGTCAATATAGAACCTTTGACACCGGCCGACTGGGAGAGTTAGTATAAACCATTGCATCTTTAGAAGATTCCTTCTGACAAGACATTCAGTTATCGAACTACACGCCTCATTTCTAGAGTTGAACTTGCTGCACCAAATCCGAGCCCTTCCCAATCCCGGATATACTAGTCCAGGGTCAACTCCATCGAACCATTTACATCCACTTACGTTGCACCTTTCCCCAACATCTACCGCAAATATAGTTGTCACGTCGCTCACTCCTGCGCCTCCTTCGACATCTCCTTTTGCTAAGATTGCACCCGATGCGGAAGTCATAGTTGCACCAAAAGTTCGCCCGAAATCTGGTAAAGCAAATAGAGGGGAAAATCGAAGCACGACTAGTAACAGTCGCAAGAGTGTTGGTGGGAGAAGTAGCAGCAGCACTGTGCGGCCGAAAACTCGGGCATCCGAATCCGATGAACACGCAGTCTATCTTCGAGGTGTGGACAGGTTACATGTCGAAGACTGGTTTGACGAAGAGAATTCTGGCCATAGCAATGACGGCCTGAAAGTATGGGTTGATCGAAGTGTACTATCATCTCGCGAGCTTCGCGGAAATCAGTGGGTGGCTGTTTCTATCATCCAGCCAGCAGGATTGCAGCCTCCTGTCGACCCGCAGCAACAGTTGCAGCAGAAGGAACAGGAATCGGGTGAGGCTGGACGGCCATCGGCAAAGATTGTGGCCAAGATCCAACCTTGGGATGATGCTCCTGACTCGAAGCACGTTAGTCTCTCGTCACGTCTCTGCGAAGCCCTGAATTGCTCGGGTATCATGGGCGGTATTGTCCGCGTAGAAGCTGCACCCGCTCCGCTAAGCCCGTCGTCTATCAAAACGATCAAAATACACCCTTTTGTCTCAGATATTTTCAAAAAACGGGATGGTCTTAAATTTGGCGGAGAAACAGCTGCCTCTCGAAGCGCACTAGCAGAGCGAATCAAGTTTATATTTGGCAGCACTGGTTCGGATTCTGGCTTCATGTCAGGACCTCTTACGGATGGAATGCTTCTCCCAGCTGTTGATAATCAATTTTCTGCCGGAGCTTTTGACGGCGGTATCTTGCGCTTTGACCCACCTTTGAAAAGTACGGAAGCTTCATCTGTGTCAGGATGGATCTTGGGGTCAGAGTCTAAGTTCACCATTGATGTACAGCCGGATGTCCCCAAACCGGTAGACGCTACATTATCCAGTATACCTACAGACGAGCGGATATCTGTATCGCCACCGGCTATGGTCGGGATCGATTCGCTCATTAACCAAAGCTTAACGAGTTTGTCAAGGGGTTCGTCTATCCTGTTGACCGGAGGTCTCGGATCTGGTAAGACATCGCTGTGCCACTTGCTAGCAGCCCAACTACGAGAAGAACAACTTTGCAATGTGACCTATTTCCCCTGCCGCAAGTTGGTTACGGACGAAACCCGTGTTTCTACCATTAAGGAGACCTTGACCAGACTATTCATGTCTGCATCGTGGTGCGCTCGCCTTGGTGGGACAGCTCTTGTGATCCTTGATGACTTGGACAAACTATGTCCTGTGGAAACGGAACTTCAAGTTGGAGGAGAAAATGGGCGCAGTCGCCAGGTCAGCGAAATCATATGCTCGATTGTTCGCCAGTATTGCACAACAACATCTTCCGTCGTGTTCTTAGGTACCGCACAGTCAAAGGAATCTCTGAACAATATCATCGTCGGTGGCCATGTTGTGCGAGAAATCTTAAGCTTAAAAGCTCCGGATAAGGAGGGCCGACGTAAAGTGTTGGACAAGCTGATGAGTCAAGATAAGGATGATTATGCTCTTAAAGGTCATCACCGCAACGAAAGTGGATCGACGGAGGAGTCATGGCTGGACCCCTCAAATCCTGGAAGCCGGCCAGGTTCGTCTGGAGCAGACGGATTTGTGCTGGCACGAGACTTGGATCTCCTGGATTTAGCGGGCAAAACGGATGGGTACATGCCTGGAGATCTTGTGTTGTTAGTTTCTCGGGCTAGAAACGAAGCTTTGATTCGATCGGTGCAGGATACCAGTGCAGATTCCACAAAGATCGCATTGACGATGGGCGATTTTGAGCGAGCCTTGAAGGGATTTACGCCTGCATCTCTTCGAAACGTCACATTAACATCCTCTTCCACGACCTTTTCTTCCATAGGTGGTCTTCATGCCACCCGCCAAACCCTTCTAGAAACCTTGGAATACCCTACGAAATATGCTCCTATTTTTGCGCAGTGTCCTCTTCGCTTGCGATCAGGTTTGTTGCTGTATGGCTTTCCCGGCTGTGGTAAGACGTTACTTGCTAGTGCAGTGGCTGGTGAGTGTGGCCTGAATTTCATCAGTGTGAAAGGTCCAGAAATTTTGAACAAGTATATCGGAGCAAGTGAGAAAAGCGTCCGTGACCTTTTTGAACGCGCTGAAGCTGCACGACCTTGTATTTTATTTTTCGATGAATTCGATAGTATCGCACCAAAGCGTGGACACGACTCGACTGGTGTTACAGATCGAGTGGTCAATCAGCTGTTGACGCAAATGGATGGTGCCGAGGGCCTTTCTGGCGTGTATGTACTAGCCGCAACATCAAGGCCGGACCTGATTGACCCGGCTCTGCTTCGTCCTGGACGTCTTGACAAGAGTCTTCTGTGCGATATGCCCTCGCATGATGATCGTATTGACATTATTAAAGCCGTGAGCAAGAAACTCAAGCTTAGCCCTGATGTCGAGTCTCGCGTTGGTGAAATTGCTTCTCGGACAGAAGGATATTCTGGAGCTGATATCCAGGCTGTCATCTACAATGCCCATCTTGAGGCAATCCACGATCTTCTAGGTGATCGCTCAATGTCAGCGTCAAATTCAACTACAAAGAAGACAAATGGCACACATGCCAACGGGACAGACGCATCAAGCAAATCGTTTATACAATTCCTCTACTCCGAGCAAGAAGCAGACAAGTCGAACGGCGGCGTCAATGCTAAACTTGAACCCCCAGCAGTGATCGCTGCAAGGTTGGCAGCTCTGAAACAGGCACGGCGCCGTCAGCGACAGGCCGAACATGGTACTCATGCCGATACCGCCGAGGGCCATGAACAACAACGAGCCAATGGTACGGTGGTAGATGATGCTCGTGACGAAGTGATTATTAAATGGGAGCACGTTGAGCGCTCATTATCGACGACTCGGTCTTCCCTCAGTGATCGTGAACGGCGGCGCTTAGAAGCTATTTACCGTGAGTTTGTGGTTGGTCGAAACGGGGAAATGCCGAATGGCGAGGGTGCGAGAGAGGTTGGAGGAAGGACAAGCTTGATGTGATGATCTTTTGAAAGATCCTGTATATATGGACATGCTTTAAAAAATGTACGCGTATTATATGACGATTTGTGTATAGCATTATCTATCATATTAGAAAAAACAGTCCAATTATCTAAAGCATAAATTGTCTTCGTTGTATTGACATGGGTCCCAGCCCTAATCGAAATGCAACAAAGCCATTGGCGAGGCAGATTCGGCTGAGCATGACCACAAGCAAAAATTCACTTAGGAATGTCCATCTTCTAGAATAGATTTTTTTCTGTACTCTTCTAATAATCCAACTTCATTTTGTTTGACTTAAAAGAAACTAATTCCAAACATGGCATGTACAGATGCTGGAGAGTCAAACCCTGACGTTGCTGGATTAGGAGTAGGGACAAACATCTCTTCGACAGTCATGTCAAGAGAGGGCTAACAAGTATATACTTGTTTTAGATTATCCTTTCATTTGTGATTCAAGCCGGAATCTTTTTTTGTGCTGTCCATATGGTCTACTATCATTGATAGGAGCGAGGCGAGCTTCCTGTTTACTTTTAATCCTCCATTCGCCATCTCTGCTAAATCCAAGGGCAAGCCTCGTGATACACATTTCAACCAGGAAAAGAACGAGGCGCTACGTATACCGCTTCAGTTTCAGAAGCTGGACAGATATCTGAGACTATCAGTGATTTGCAGACATTAAACGGTAAGCTCTTCACTCTCCATGTGACTGACGACTAAGTTTGGTTCAAGGGATATCGTTGCTTATTGGAGTTATGGCTCAGCATTGCAGTTTGAGTCTCTATCATTATCACACTATCTATGACATCGTAGACTTGACCGGTATGTTCTCCAGTGAGGATACGGCTTCAAGTAGAGATTACAGACAGCTCTTTTCCCAGCATTTCACTCTGAGCTGCTCTAATAAATGTGATTGGAAACAAAAATGCGTACATCGCCGATCGCGCTGTTTTGGTCGCATTCTACATCTCTCTATATCTAATTCCCGTCATTATGTTTGGAATCAAATTAGGAGCGTAGAACGACAATACAGCTGAGCAATGCTACTATGCGGATTGGATTTCGGCGCCCAACAGACCTATTTTATCTCGCAATAACCTGTTACTATTTCCTTGTCAGTATGTTGTCCTGGGCATATTTCGTATTAAAGATACATCCACAGCTACGCCGATTTCGAGAGATTTTATGTATTAGCGGGTCCTGAGAACAACACGGATAAAAGATCGTTACTTAGACTTGTATCTGGAGTACTTTTCGGATGTTGTAAACTCAATACAGGCAGAAAATTTAAGTTTGAAGGAACCGGTCTCTTCTATCTCCTCTATTATACGGCGTTATCGACAATACGACCGACAATACTCCTGGTTCATGTTAACACATGTTGACCATAAGTTCACGGTTCTAATATCAGCAATGGACAGTAACCACTACATATCCATATGATCTTTGTCTTGCGGGCAGCAATTGAGCACCGCCTAAAGGATGATTCGGAAAATTATTGGGGATTCGGCTAGGTTGCAGCTCTGGTGTTGTTGGCATAATCGGTTCTTCAGGGGCTTCGAGCTATCTTTGGTATGGATCCCCGTAGTGCTTTAAGTGGCGTGTACTCTCACTGATACTTACTTAATAGACTATCGTAAAGCATTGAAAGAGAAATCGTTGAGTACCCTGCCTGTTAGGAGACTTAACATTTGAGGGTCGCTCTATAATTAGGTTGCAAGATGGCCCTTCACTGGGAATGCGTTATGGTGAATGCACTGGGCTTGGTTCGGTCGGTCGTTGAGAGGCGCAAAAGCAGGGAAATGGAAGAATCTTGGTTGAAAACTTGAAGCCTTGGCTGGATTCAACCATATGAGTCGGCACTATTACTTGGCTACTGTCTAAGACGAGCAAATTTGACTTCCCATAATGGAGCCTGTTTTCAAATAGATCGTCGTCAAACTGTCTTTCGACAGACCTCACCTAGGTAGGCATCAACTCACAGGAGGGCAAGAGGTTGACATTTTATGATTGAAATTCTATTTTCAAACAAGATGCGTACCAGGAGAAGGGTTGGAGTTGTAGAGTTTTCTTAATTTCATTGACTATCATATATATGTCACAATCCGATACCATGTTGTATAGTCCAGGTGTTGAATGTTATCTGATTAGTAGTCTAATACGTATGGTATATTGACTAGCGTAGTTGACTGGCGTCCACCGCAGCCTGCATCACAAACACATATGGTTGATCGAAACAAACATCCCAATCCATTCTTCCCGAAGCCCAATACCTCTCAATAACCTCTTTTCAGTCAGCGTTACATATGTGCAAATAGATCGACTCATCTCTGACAAGCGATTTCAACACAAATGTACGCATCTCTGTGCCACTATGCACAGCCTCCACCCCAAGCACTACTAGCGGCCAAAGTAGGAAGGTTTTCAGCTTGGAGACGGTAGAGCCTCGTTAAGAAGTGTCTGCAACAGACTCGTGCATGTGTTACAGGTTTCTCGGAGGAAATGAGTATGAGGGAGAACTGAAAGGCTCCGCAGAGAAATTACGCAATACAAAGCAACAGTAGCTTGGTATATGCTACCTATGAGTATCTAGTCTTTGTATGAGCATGGTTTAGACTCAGCCCACTGTTCTGGTAAGAATGTTTGGATGCGGCCTAAAATCTCGAATGCCTCCGCTCTAAAGTCGTCAGCGACATCTGGCGAATGTTGTCTCGATACCCGCAGATGAATTTATGATTTCATGAAATATGTGTGATGGTGAAGGAGCCGTCCTGGTAGATTGATAGAACGAAATCGAGTCCATCAAGGAGCGAAGGGGACATGACTAGGTCTGGTGCAGGCGAGTATGTGTCTCCGATGACGGCAAGGCTGTACAACGGTCAATTTCCGGTACAAAATATTGTCAATTTCGCGTACTATACAAAGCAGAGAAGCAGCGGTTGTGTACCAGTTGACCCGGCTAATGCACGAATGCCGCCACGTAGTATAATTATCTCCTGGACGCCTCGGAGGTGAAGTCGCCAATGGGGGGAGACGCCATGCTGGTTCTTATAGGTTCATGAGTGATTTATTATAATAAATACAAATAAGCGGTTATAATAGAGCCGAGCCGACTTCCAGCAATCACAAAATTGCTGGAGCATTTATGACTCGTATTGATCTCATTGCTGAGGGACAGAAGAACTAGGCCACGGTAGTGAGAGAAAATCTTGGCCAAAGAATTACTCCTAACTTCAACGCCGTTCGTGTCATCTCTTATTTGATTCATTAGATGAGCAGTGGCTATGCAGACGATGCTTAGCCGTAAGTAGTCGGGATATGCAAGACACTTTGAAAAATTTGGAAGGGGGGGTAGGGAAATCCGAAAGATGGTCTTTTGGGGCCAAGTTCGGTCATAAGCAGATAAATTGGGTACATGCATGTATTGTCTTTTCCGATTTGTGTCAGCCAAGTGTATCTTGTCAAGCTATCTAGACCATCTGCCTGGTTTTCCCTGGCCTTACAGTATTCGCAAGCTTGAATTAGTATATGAACTTCGGTCTTTAGCTCAAACGACGGACTGACTACATCTCCACTGAAAATAGATAACTCCAGATCTTTTGCACCGGTACTGGACTACTGACTGGACTCTTTGTGGTTCGGATCATGGTTCAAAGATTACTTCATAGACTTCGAAGACTTTCTCGTCCGAGATTTCACCTTACCAAGCGCAAGCCATTTCAATCTGTTTGGTTCTTTCTTGCTGTAGCCAGGACAGATAGTCCCTGATGAAACGCACCGCCTACCTGCAGTAAGCGTAAAGTCACAGACCAGACGACGTCTGAGACATTCCCAGCAGTGGCGCTTTCGTCCGCTTTCCATCATACGCGATGCGCGACGGAGATTTTCCGCTGTTTTTGGAAAATCCTACTTGATTTGAAAGGGGGATAGGATTGTCATACCAAAATGCTTTATAAACGCTATCTTAACACCACGAAGGGTTCAGCGTTTTCGACTAAGAATTGTGTTGACATCACATCCATGGGGCTGTGTTCGGTCAATCCTGTTGCTAATTGGATAAGGTATGTTCGATAGATTGATTTTTCGCACAGCGAGGCTTGACATAATCCACTATTACAGCCCTTTGTACCGTACTATGTAGAAAGTCACTGCGTAGTATTTTTTGGATAGGAGTGTAGTTGAGAAAAACGCCCTCTGATGTTCTTGTTGGGTGGGTCCGGTCCGCAATGCATACCCGATCGGGACAATATGGTTGCCAATATAGAGCCATTTATGAGGATAGGCCCATATAGCACAAAATTTTTGTCATTGATTGGTCCTTACTTCAGTCCCTGAATTGTATGTTCGTAGAAACGCACTCCGAGTGTAGAATCAGAAAGAGAACTCGCCAATTTTGTATAGATAGAAGTTATATTAAGCCTTGTCAGCTCTTCTATCAAAAAGGTAATCTATGCGAGTACTGTGTGGCTGAGTTTGAGACTGTAAGGTATATAAAGGGTTCGATACAATGCATTATCCTTCATCTTAAATTCTACAGAACAAAATATTGAATAGTTTTCCTTATACTCAAGTCTGCAGACGCCTATACTCTCTATATACTCGTGAGTTACCTTAACAGGTTCCCAAAATTCTTGTACTCATTCTGCTTCTTACAGGTCTCAAGCTCCATACATACCCCCATCAGGCCAGACCCCATCAACTCCTCTACCAACAACAAAATGTGCATCGCCCTAGGATTACTCGCCAGCAAAAGCGGAAAAGGTGGCTCGAAGGGACAGCCGCCACGTGTTGTTCGTCAAGGAGGCCAGTAACGAATGGATATTGACCCTTATTACATTCTCCTGCCGTCGGGGCTTTTCCAAAGGCCTTCCAAACTATCAGAATCGTTCCTTCGAGTCCTTAAACGTGTTGCTAAAAGCTATTACCATTATCGAAAATGTGGTAGAGGAAGGGTGTTAGATATGAATAATAGAAGGACATTTTGGACTTATTGAACAACTGAATGATCATTGTCAACATGTTACTTCCTACTTTGACACTTATACATCATGTACTATGCTGCATTATGCTTCGATTTTCGGTACTGTTGGGCCAGGATGTATTGTCAAATAAGAACCATGTTATCCTAATTGTAGTTCATCCGCTTTCTGCCAGTCTAGTAAAACTCTTTGACTTATCCAAACTAAGATGACAAAGGGCCTTTATTACGCAGTATGGAATATGCTGAGAGGCCATGGATGACTGGGCCTAGGTGGTAAATTATACGTCGAAGAGTCGTTGCTCGTCGTTATTCAAAAACTATACGTCTACAAGGCGTCAGCTTGGAAAGATGTCAAAGTAAAATAATGCCTCATTGGTATAACTATAAACCTAGGAATTTCGCATATCACTTAGTACTAAAGCTAAGATCGACCTCCTTGGCTTTGATACTTGGTATTGAGGCCATCCACGGCCAGCTAGGGCTATACAAGGGATCCACTTTTCGGGCAACCAGCGCCGGAAAGTGGATCTCTCAACTCTTTACAATCATATTTTCCTGTCCGGGTAAAATTCTTGATATCCCATCGTTGGAGCTAATGCTGCTTGATCCACGCCCTCTTCAACCTTGAAAATAGTATTTGTGCGTTTCGGTATCAAAAGCAAGACGTGCTTATGTTTGTGGAGTTGATCCTCTTCTCAGAAATAAGCCCATGCTATCTTAATGCCCAAGCTGGAGACGAACAATGAGAACTTTGGAAAGATATGAGAGTATTCCCTCGCCCCCGAGGGGTGCAAACTTTGATATATCTTACAACCATTACATATCTAGCTAGCTATCCCCCTTGCTCTCCGGAGTCAGTCATCAATATTAGGAATTCCACACCAGATTGATCGCGCTCGTAGGCTTGCTTCGTGTTATAGCCTTGCTTACGTATCCCGTGTTTCGTGGTCCAGGACGTAGCTAAACCAACAATTACCTTTTATCTCAAACTTTGGGGTTATGGGGGAAAAAAGGAGGAAAATGGTCCTTCCAGAGAAGATTCTGAGCCCCGTTCTTGGTGTGACGTCTGAAGCCATCCATGCCGCAGGCGAGCGCTTATTATCGCGTAGACAAGCCGCTTCTTTCGCATCTCCAGACGAGTTATACACCACAGATTGTAGTGGCTGGCAATGGCATTGATCAAGTCCAATCTAATGAAGTGATCAATCACATTGAACAGCAACATGACGGCGACACAATCAAAGTCGAACGCGGCCCCGAGTTCAACTATGCGAATAACCTGAATCAGGACGAGGTAATCCGGGAGCTCGACGAGATCATAGATAGCGCCCGCCTAGCACCCACGGAAGAGACAAAAGGTACCTCTACAACTGTCGAGGAGTTAGTAGATGTCAAAATCAACAAATGAGAAGCCATTATCCGTGATCTGACTGCCTGGGCTGGACAACCACCAGTGCAGCCAATTCCACGTCTCCCATGCCCATTTATTATTCCTCAACGACGGCCCAGAAAGCGTGGACGCGGATTTGTGCGTGCATGTGCACCTGTTCTCGCGGATTGCGGTGTTAGTGAGGGCTTGTTTTTGCAACTGCTAGAGGATTACGATCGTGTTAACGAGGTATGAAGCCAATGACTCCTTCGCAGATCCTTGATGTTTGAAATACTTCATATACTGACAAATAATACAGGCCTCGCACTGGATCGAAGTATTCTACATCGCCGGTAGTGTGTTATCCTTAGTTCCCAACCTCGCGGCACAAATCACCAGTGCCGTGGTACAAGTAGTGGCTGACAGAGCTCGAGAACTACAGAAGCGCCACCGCTAAAACTCCTTTCTTGACCGTGTCAATAAGAAAATCTTGATGCTGAGGGGCTTATATGCTATGGTGACCGCATTCAAGGATCAGGTTCCTGGACATGAGCAGCAGCAGGGACTACTAAGCGGGCTGTCCGTTTGCTTGGACAGAATCTTTTCGCAAGTGAACGACGGGATATTGATCAAACAATTGAGATATTTAATAATCCGGATCCAGGCATCTCCAAATTAAAAAAACGGATTGAATGACATTAGGCTTGTGAGAGGAAAGACTCAAGGGGAGGTTGAATTTTCTGATACTGCGGCATTGGTATATCCTGATCTGAATCAGGTAGCCTTGGAGAAGGCGAAGAGTCAGCAGGAATACCCGAGAGATTGAGAAGTGCTGGGGAATGATTCAATGATTACAGTGACCGAAGGGCAGGCACACGCTTTCTACGTACGTTCGTTGTCCTTGTTCCCTGACAAACAAGTACTGATCAGTCAAATACGAAGCGAATCGCTCTGGATCATCTTTAGTCGTACCTTCCGATCAATGGAAACTCCTCAGATCTCGCCTCAACAATCCTAATCACCCTGCAAACAGCGGATCATTGATCATACCGATTCCGGGCATCGATAAAATGATGGTTACGACCCAGCAACAAGTCCAGGCTGGTATCAAGCATTTTGAAAAGGGAAAATCTTCCCCGAGAGAAGAACCAACAAATGGACAAGTACCAGATCTTATGAGTAGAAGGATTATTAAGAAAGTGTTGCAGGAAGGTGTGCTGTATTTGCTGGCTGTTAATCTGCCCAGTGACGATGAGGTTCAGGAATCTGTTACTCAGCTTGAGCATATCATTGCAGGGGTTGAGACTACTGTCTTTTCTCAATAGATCTGACAGAGGTACAAAATTGATGGATTCAATAATGCTTCCAAATCCCTCTTGACCCAATCTCACCTACATGACCATCCGGATCCTCAAAATAGACACTTTTCCCACCAAGCTCCCAATCCATCGTACCCAACACACGGACACCACGGTTCTGGAAATGCTTATGCCATTCCTCTACATCCTGGGGGGATTTGACCGCAAAGCAGAAATGTTGATTTAGACTATTGCGGCGTTGTACTTCGTTGAGAATGTTAGAATCTTTCGGACCATGACTGGGGATAATGCCGTGAGATTTTTCGGTATTTATTGTGATGTCCTCCTGTGTTGATCCTAGCTTGAAGAGGAGTAGAGTTGTAGAACCGAGGTTGAATGCGGTTACTCGGGGCTGGTTATTTTGTTAGACTGAGGAGTACCCTGACAATTCCGGGGAACTGAGTGAGATTGATCATACACTATTCAGAAAGGGCTCCATATTTAAAGCCGATTTGTAAAAATTAGTCGACGCCTCTATGTCGCGGACGTAGAGACATGTTTCGAGGATGTGTGATATAGGCGGTGGGGAAGAAGCGGAAGTAGACATGTTCATGAACGTTATTATGCGTCGGTTTGAATTGCAGGTCCAATAACGAGCAGGCAATCTACTTGATCGTAAGAAGAGCATTTTAGCAACGGGATTTATTGAAGATATACAATTGGTGTTGTCTGGTGTTGTCTCGTGATGTCTCGTGATATGACTAATTGTATGTGTCTAGAACAGTGTTGTGATGACGTAAGGACAAATCAGAGCCTCCAGCAACCGAGTCGACAAGCTTCGTTCCATTTAGGCACTCTCCCTCATCTTTCTCTCTTCACTTTGACTTCGTCCTCTATTTCATCGCTTCATACCTGTTTTTCATTCATGGTATTGCTCCCACCACCGAGTATATTGATCCGCGTCACTTACCTCTATTACCAAAAATAGAGGAGCTTTTGATCACTAATTTAGCATCTTTATTTAAACAGGTTCGTAAACGAGACCAGGGTTGTGTTTATCACCCAATCCCGTGGTGAGAAATGCTTTGAAGGGGCTCATATTTATCCTTTCTCAATGAGCAAACACCTTGAAAGTCCACGTTCAAGTTCTATGGCCAATACAGTAGATCTTGCTACAACGAACAGAAGGGCCCTCAGGGCCAAGGTGAATATATCCAGAAGTGAGTTCAATCTAGACATGAGGGCCGCCTCCAATACATTAATACAATGTAGTATTAACAAATCGGAAGATTTTCAATTCCACATTAAGATCATCCAAGCTGATATTAGTGGAAATATGGAGCAGCCTTCCTTTCGTTATAGCCAGGTTCGCCAGACTCTACTATGCTCGCGATGTTCTATTCTGATGCGGATGTCACTTCATAGCAAGGAATACTATTCGATGACAAGAACAGAGAAGGTGGACAACCTAACAACTATAGCTTTAACTCCTCATAAAGCATGGGATTCATGTCAATTGCACTTCTGCCTATTGACACTAGTCCTGATAAGACCTCAATGCGAGTCGCGCAGCCTACATAACAAATTCTCGAAGATTTACTAGCTTTAAATGAAAAAAAAAAAAAAGAACGGCACGGTATGCTCCTCGTCAGCCGCGGCCATAGCAAGCATTATCAAGGCTTACAGATTTCACTATGGTCTAGTCAGTGAATGCGAAGGAAAAAAAATAGCATCCTCAAATAACCGAAATGGAATCTAACTTTCAGTGCAGCGACGAATCGTCATATCTGTGATTCATTGCGTGGGGACAAGTTCTCTCGTTCACCTCTTCAACTTACTATCGCCCCGACCCTATCGTGCAACGCCAAGCTCTTCGACTTCTTCGTCTCAATTTGACGTCTACGCATATCAGCCCGATAACTTCAGGAGAATTTATAATGATAATGATAAGAAAATTGTTCTTTGGTATCGATTTGGCGACGCTCACAGATGATAACAATGACTGGGAAAGAGACATAAGTGGCAGAATGTGTGCTTCTAGAGTACCATTTGTGAAGCGCACCATAGAAACCCCTTCATCGTGTTGAGAAGAAGAATAAAAATCAAAGATCTTACAAATCCTTATCCGAGCCCATGGCGTTGTCACCTGGCGTCGTTCGCTACCTGGTAAGTGTTTTCAATTCCCTATAGTAACTCACCTCTCAAGGACATTCAAATATATCACAGAGTCAAGGAGCGTTGAAATAGTCAGCCCTTACACAGCTACACCGGCAGGACTATTAGCGCGGAAACCAGTTGCAGCTCTGTCGACAGTATAGATGGCCTGCCTGCACAGTTCCCTTCGCACCAGGAAGTCGTTTCTGATACTGTCCAGCAGCAGTACCAAGACCCGGCGTTAAGTGCTGGGCTGGAAGACTGGGCGTTCCAAGGGGTTGACATGGCATTATTTGAGAGTTTGACGAGGGGAGTTGATAATGGAATTGGCTCAGGAACAGGGAAAAGCAACTTTTGAATACAACAGTTTCAAGTTACACCACTACATGGAAAGTGTGCCAATTTAAATAATTCAGGTGGGCTACATTCGGACGTGAGGTTCGTGGCTTCGCGAGGAAAGATACCCTGGATAGTGGGACAAGTACCGACTCTCATTATCCGTGGAGAAATATGAGCTACCGTCAATATTCATCATATACGAGCCATCACCACATAGCCTCTAATCACGCCAGTTTTAGCCTACCAGTCAAAGAGTTTTCCCGGGGTTTTCAATCTTCCCATCGTCATACTCCACTTGTTTAATTCAGCCTCTTTCTCTCGTAAGAATCCCGTACAACCTGCGACAGTATGCCCGGAAAGGTCCTCCAAGTAGATATTTTCTTTCGAATAACCGACATTGATTAGCATGCGCTCTTACTCCTCTTTTGTCATGAGATTCGCGTAAGGGATCCCTGCAGCCAGACACATTAAACGCAGACGAATCTTTTTCCAGAAATGTATATGAGATGGTCTGAGGTGGTAAACAGTATCCAGACCCGGCAGCCATGTATGTTCCTTTGCATTCGGTGGAGCAGTATATGGATTCAACTCTGCGCAAAAGATGGCTTCCTTGAGTGCGTGATCCCAGGAAGCGGGCTGACCAGCATCCGTCGCAAAGACCTGTACATTTGGCGTCCACCCTGTAGGAGACGTAGGCTTGCTATTGGGAGGTGTTTCGAGACGATTTCGGGCAACATCTACTTGAGCTGGTGTGATTTTGATTCCCACGTATGAGTCAAAGAGGGAAATTGGTGTTTGTTTCTCGTCGTATTTGAAATAGGTATTTGTCGACCGGTGAAGCTTCCTGTCAAGTACAATAATTGATCGCCGCACCCAAGTCCGACGTCGACTAGTTTGAAGGTCGCATGCCGCCCTTGCTCCAGCTTCGATTGGACTTCCGTTGAGTCAAGTAGTGTGCCTGCATCCACCGGGCTCTTGTCCTCATTTAGCAGCCCGGCTGCAATCAGGACTTGTTCGAGAAGAGCTTCACATGCATCGGGAAATGACTTTGCATCCTGGAAACGAAATCAGGGGTGCTCACACTTAAGAATAGCTGGTTATTACATTCTATGTACCTTCCAGTAGCCCATATTCATCCACATGTGCTCTGGGGGCAGGGTCACATTGGTGGAAGCATGATCCAAGGCGTATATGTCCTCATGACCTCCAACCATTGACTTGAACGCGCGTCTGATGGAATCAAGCATGATGAATCTATAGATCCAACTGTAAATATAGAACATCGTACAAGCATAGATCTCGGGTTCGAAGTAGAGTAAGAAAGAAGAAAGTAGCAATTCGGTACCTAAATACAGCGAGCTCACGACTAGGAGAGCTTTCTGTTGCACAACAAAGAAAGAAAAACAAATTCCCGGCCTATTTAGAACAACTTTATATCGCCAGTATACTTTCTTTCATAGTCCTTAGCGTAGTTGTACAAATTCATTGTTGTTTTCTTTGTTATACAACTGCCCGCCTACATCTTTTCCGAACAACACCTCGGATACATCACGACGCAGACGTCTTGGATAAAGTCGTCGGATTATGCGCAACTCGATCGCCGTGCTGATCTATGAAGATAACCTGCATCCATTACCCTCTATTAGCACCTTTGCTTAGAAGACTGATAAAAGGAAAGAAGAGACTTAAATACCTTGGGCGGATTGGCTACTTCTTCCTGTCGAGCTTCGTGTTCATCCATGACGATTTTCTGGACCTTTGTTATTGAACAAATTAGTAATAAGTTCTCATATGGAGTTAAAAGCATATGAGAAGAATAGGGTATGTACCTCTCCCTCTCGGACACCGCCACGATATCGTGTCCAGACATGGTCGCCTTCATGGATTTCTTCGTCTTTTCTGTCTTTGACTCGTTCGACAGACATTTTGGTGTGTTTCTTGATGTAGATTGTGTTGTATATATATACAAGGCAGATATGTACAGAATCTGTATCGATATTTATTCCGCCAAGTCAGGCTTATATATGGCGAGTGATGTCGATTGACATCATGGTGATGCATGCTGATTCATTGTTTGGTAAACCTGGTCCAGTACCTTTTCATAAGAAGAGTTTCCCAATATGATAAATACTAATAGTTATTAATCCATGTATAGAAGTAATTGTTGAGAGTCATCGTATGTCGCAGTAAATGCATCCGCTTAGGGCTAGGGCTAGGGCTAGCCTGGGTCATGAGGTTGCCGTGTTGTATCGTTGTTGTATCAGTAATGCGGTGCACCATGCACTCTGCACCTTGAACAATATCCCAGTATTGGCGACCGGCGAATACTATTGCTCCGAGATTATTGTATGTGTCAATTGCAGAAAGGGGCCTCAATGTGATCTTCAATGATCATCAGACACCATCTGCAGAGAGTGTGATTGTCGGTTATATCAATGTCCATAGTAATGTCTCGGGTTGTTTGAGAGCACGTACTGTGTATGTACTATGTACTAACTATTTGGACTAACTAAGTTGCCAGTTGTCGCATAAGGTGGTGTGTAAGCTGCATGTCGTTGTACACCGGTTGAGGCCAAGTTACTCTTGTATTGTGAAATAGTCCGACCGGATGTCGTTATGATCTGGTCGGTAATCTGTGTAGCAGTCATTATTATTCGTTCTTATGGAACAGTAGTCTCGTTAAATATGTCCAAACAGTAGCAACATATCGAAGCTTATCGATCGCGATAAGAAGTGATAAGCATGTGGCTGTATGGACTCTGATTGGCCAGATAGCGGTTCTGGCCGTTGCAACTGTTACATCTTACAAGCTGCTACGTACGTTAAATACCGTTACCGTACAGTCTCTATACACAGTTTGTATGCGTAATCTAAATACAAATTACTATCGGGGTCCTGTTGAGTCAGTGTGTCTTGGGTATGATGGTAATCTGATTGTAACGATAATATCAAACACCCCTTACAGCTCGGAATGAGGCCCCAAGTTACTCATTGTCCAATGTTTCATGTTTCAGGGTCGTCTATTTTCACCAGATGACTAACCAAATAGACTTGCTAAGATGCTAGATGTAACTCTATCAGAACCTAGCTCTGTCTGTAGCCACTCCTGGCTTGAATAGGTGTCAACCACGCGGCAAGCCTTGGCATGTTTCTGGCAGTGGCATAGTAGTAGATGTAACTGTCTCAAGCTGTTATACTCACTATTGTCGTTATTCTTTGATCCGTTATTCGCCGAGGGAAGAAAATAGAAAGATCAGATGCTGACCGAAGAAAAGTCATGCGTCGATATTCCTAGTTGGAGTAGTAGACCTCTATTTAGCTGAATCAGCTCTATCGTCCTTACTATGGTAGTTAGCTTAATCGTCTTCAATTTTGAGTAGCGTCTTGTACTTGCGAGGGTCTGGGTCGCTGTGGAGAAGCCGATTGAAACTGGAGATCGAATGCGACGTTGAAAGAGGAAGCTGCGGGAGATCGTTAGGGTTAGCCCTGGCCATCAATCACGAATAACGAGCTGATATCGGCTCATAGCAACAACGTGGTACATAACATTTATGGCCATAGATGGCATAGATGGGCACCTGTCCACCTTATCCAGAGGAAAATGAGAGCAACGATGCCATGCAGAGCTCCACATCTTTGTTTGGCTGTGTTACACCGCCCAATCAGCCAATCAGATGCTTCGTGTTAGTCTCTTTACGGACTAGTGCATTATTCTCAAATGTATCGACCAGCAGCCAATCAGATGCGAGAATCTGGTGATATTGGACGAGACGAATATGAATCTACGCATGAATATGGTATCATTATTGTCGGTTTGATATGATATAATATCTCAGGAGTAACTGACTGGATAGAAATAGTCCATCCAGCCAACTGACGCGTTGTACAGTACTACAGCTGCTATACCACAGCTACCATCTACAACCTCAGAGCTGTAACGTTCAATGCCTTCAGTATCGCCATCATATACGTACGTACGGATCCAGATGAAGCATTCGCCTGTTGGTCCCGTGACATTTGCTGGAACCACTGTCATTCACACCATGTTAGAGGCCACGGGTCCATAGACGAGTCGCAGTCGCAGCCTCTTAACACTTGTATGACAACGTTGCGGGTTGATCACAAAGATAGCAGTCCTACCTGGTATCTACTACTCTCTGAACACTTGCCATCCAATTCTCAATCTACTGTTCATCATTTCAGATTCATAAGAAACACGACATACATGACTGTCGATGTTGAGTCAGCCGAATCGGGTTAGCACCACTAGCAGATCGGCCATTGCTACCTCACCCCGTCATACATACTAAGAAATGTTACTACCACCTTGACTCGTTCGTTACCACTCTTTTCTCCATAAACAACTTCTTCTCTCCTTACTTTCTTTCGTCTCTCTTTTCTCCCTGTCTCTTTTCTCCGTCCGTCCCCCCTTAATTGTCTATCAGTCCCCTTATCTTTTGACTACTTAGACATCCCGCTCCGCTGTCGGGATTCTCCATCTACTCCCCGGAATTGGAGTAACAACATTCCATACCTGGCTGGTTCCCGGAGCAGAATACCACTTGCAAAAATAAAAACAAGTCTATAACTACCCTAGCAGGAGAACCCAATCAAGGGACAATTGATTTTATTTTTCGATCTTCCTCTCTCTCTCTCTCGTCGCGAATATCTACTTGTCCTTCCCCTCATATCACGGCGACCCGCTCCCTCATAGTCTCCAACCCTTTATACGTACAACTAACCACCTCTTTCCTTTGAGCAGGCTTAACAGCTTGCTCAGAGGAAACAGGTGCCGGGTGCTCGCGTTCGTCACGATTCTCCCACGAACGAAGAATATCCTCTCGCCCCCGTCAACATGACATCGTCGCTCGTTAAGGTACTGCATCGCATGCAGGAGCTCTTCCATAACCTAGTCGCTGCCCTCGAATCCGCCCTCTTTGGGGAAACTTCCTCTCGTCGACAGCGTTCTGTATACGGTCATGGTCGGAAGCGACGTCGCTCGCTCGACGAATTGGCGCAGGAAGTTGATCGGCTGTTCAATGCACACCTAGACATTCAGAATATGCTAGCCATGTCCGCCAGGATCAAAGATCAGCTCCGGTCATGCTTGCAATCGAACCCTTCCTGCATGCTTCCGTCGTACAACCATGCTTTACCTACGGGTAAAGAAACGGGCACTTTCCTAGCATTGGATGTGGGCGGGTCGACTTTCCGTGTTGCCCTAATTGAGTTGAGTGGTAGAGAACACGGCATGAAAATTGTTAGCTCGACGTCGATGGTCATTGATGAAGATGTCAAGGCGTTGCAGGGTACAGATTTTTTCGACTGGATGGCAGAGCGTATTGATAAATTCTTGACTGGAGTAGACGCGAAATACGGCCGGGAAGAGGCTCCCTTGTCAATTGGACTGTCGTGGTCATTTCCTGTGGATCAGACATCCGCCAGCAGTGGAAATATTCAGGGAATGGGTAAAGGGTTCCGCTGTTCGGACTCGGTACTGGGACAAGAACTAGGCGGTCTGATTGTGTCTTCGTGCCAGAAGCGTTCGTTGAATGTTCGCATGGATGCTATTGTAAACGATAGCTCTGCTACTCTGCTGACACGTGCTTACGTCGACCCCAAGACTCGCATGTCGCTTATTCTGGGGACCGGTACGAATGCGGCTGTTCACTTTCCTGTTCATGAGATCGGTCTCGCCAAGTTTGGCGCCAGGCCTCCTGGTTGGTTTGATCGCGCGAAACATGTCATTATCAACACCGAATTGAGTATGTTTGGTGGAGGTGTGCTTCCGATGACACGGTGGGATGATTACCTAAACCGCACTCATTTGCGTCCAGACTTCCAGCCCTTGGAATATATGATTACCGGTCGCTATCTCGGCGAGATTGTGCGATTGATTATTGTTGAAGCTGTTGAGACAGCGTCATTGTTTGGTGGTGATTTGCCTCATTCGATGAAGGAGCCGTATTCGTTAGACACGGCGATTGTTGCATTTATCGAAGGCGACACTTCTCCATCACTAGCTCCATCTGCAGCTCTCTTACAGAAGAATCACACTTTCTCTGCTACGCCAACAGTAGAGGACCTCAAGTTCATCAAACACGTCTGCAAATGCGTGTCAAACCGGTCTGCCGGTTACTTGTCTACTGCCATCTATAGCATGTGGTGTTTGCGTAATGAGGCTGAGTTTCCGGTTGGCTCGATGACCGAAGCCGTCAAGAAGATTGAGCCACAGGAGGTCACCGTTACGGAGTTGGAGCAACCCACCAAGACTTTGAGTATTGCCTGCGACGGGAGCGTGATTAACAAATACCCCGGCTTCCGTGACCGGTGTCAATCATACCTCGACATTCTGACGCGGGAGAGCGCCGACGCAGGCACTCAAGCCGAAGACAATCCTTCAATCACCTTGGAACTTGCTCATGAGAGCGCCATTTTTGGCGCTGCAGTAGCAGTTGCAATTGCCGTTACAGAGCGGGAGTCCCTGATCTTGTCACGTTAACCATTGCGATGATTTCTTTTTTCTTTTTTTTTTTTTTCGTTTCTTTTCGATCCTTTTCCTTGCATAGGGCGGCGGTGTTTGGAATGGGGTTTCTATTTTACTCATAAGATTTTATATGCTACTTACTATCTTCCGACATTGTAATGGGGTCCCATTCTTCATGCACATACACATCTTGATCTCCATTTCTTGCCGTTTCATTCTGATACTGTCAAACAAGCTAGCCTATTGTATGCGTTCATCAGACATGACTTTTGGTTGTCTGTCTATCTGCATAGATTGGAGTCTGAGAATAAAATCTTTCATCTTCTACTAAGTTTCCTTTCAACCTAGTCAAATCATGAACACAAATCAACCAGTAAATCCAAAACCCTCTTCTTCAACGCCTCTAACTCCTTACTCGATATCTTCGATGTCTTATTACAGTCTAACGTCGTCGATCTTGACTCCCCTTCTGTTCTTTCTTTTCCTTTCCCCTTCCCTTCATAATCTTCAAGAACTAAACTCCGATCAATACAGAAGAACGGAACGCCCAATCTGCGCAATTCCGTCTCCATGGATCGCGACATGTCGAGCGATGCTTGATAAACTTTTGAGTCGTACGCTTTGAGTTCGGAGGCGTTATCTTCCTTTTTCCTCTCTATTAGTATCTACAATGCTTATATCGGCATGACACAGATAGACGTACAGATGAATTCTCATTAGTACTCGTAGGAGTACCTGCACCAGCAGCACCAACAGATTTCCTATCCCGCTATCAGTACATATACACCCAGAACCTGAATGAAAGAAGGGATAAAAACGAACAGAACCTCCTCAAGCCTCCTCTTCTTCTCTTCTCTTGAGGCTTGTTTCGCAATCAACGCTTCCCGCGCCTTCCACCATGTTCGCTCATGATCTCGTTGTGATTTGATGAGGTGTTGGATGCGGACAGAGAGGTCTTTGTTTTGGCTTGTGAGGTGCATGACATGTTTTAGGGCTGAGGGCCAGGTTGTTATGGCTGATGGTGGGGGGAGTTCGGGGTTTAGACTCGGGGTTGGCCTTTGAGGGGAGGTTGAGGTTGTATGGGTAGGTCTTTTATGATGTTGTGGCTGTTGAGGTGGTGGTGTTGATGCCGGGTTGGCGAACGCAGATAACGTCCTGAGGACTGACGAGAGGTCTGGATTTGACGATGACATGGCTACTTTCCTACTGATATGATGCTGTAGAAGTTGTGTAGGTACGTTTAGAAATCCGATGTCAGATGTTGATATAGAGTGGGTCAGATCCGGAGACAGTCGATCTAATTGGCCAAGACCCGTCAAGTCGACGACCTCTAAAAATTTCCAGGCGGACCGACGGACCTCGTCTACATCAGTTCATCATTCCCACGCTTGATGAGCCCATAAAAAGCGTCTCGCTTCATTTCTCCCCTCCAGTTCCCGACACAAAGTGTCATTACGGCGCAATGTCTCGCTCAGCAGCCGACGCAACTCGCTTCACGGCCACAGGGCCGTACGTCAGCTCCAAAGCTCCATACCAACTTCCAGAATCCTTGAAATCGAATAAACAATCAACAACTTCGCCCACATCGCCATCTTCAGTATCCTATACTTCTCCCAATAATCAGAACGCATCCTCATCACCGTCCGGCGAAACACCAAGAGAGAAAGTTGAGCGTCTCCGTGCTCAAGCGCGCGCCGCCAGACTTGCGCAGAACGGGAATGCATTCGATAGGATAATTGAAAAGGGTCGGAGGGTGGCTAATAGTGCTCACAAGGTGATGATATATACCCTCATCACTGCTTCCGGTTCGTCCTGTCCCTTCTCCAACCTCTAGGGCAAATGCTAATTGAAGAAGGCGTCTGCGGCGCTCTGACACTCTACTCCGTCGTATCCCTTACAATGTGGAATCGCCGTCAACGCGAACTCTGGCTCGACAGACAACTACAAGACCTCCAAGCCGCGCGCGAAGCATACGTCAAGGGAACAGCAACTCCCGAACAACTCGAGATTCTCCGCAACGAGAAAATCGGCGAAATCGAAAAGCAGAAGAGGAAAGAGGCTGATGAACAGAAATTGTGGAATCGGGCGAAACGGTTTTTGTTTGATGGGTTGAAGAAGGAGGATGTTTCGGATGCATCTGTATCTACTGCAAGCGGTGCAGGCACGACGGCGGCGGTTAGTGAGTTGATAAATAATAAGACTGCGAGCGAGCAGCAGACGACTTCGTTCGGGATATTGGAAGCCGTGAATGCGAAGAAAGCTGAATCCGCCCAGAAGCATGCGGCGTCGACACAGCAACCTGGGTCATTAGATGTATTGGCCATGAACGCTGAGACGACAGCCAAACAATCCGTTAAAAGCTGGACGAGCTGGATCTGGGGACGATGATTCCTTTTTCTCCTTCTGATTCATCAAAAGAATGTATTATTGACTGAACACTTCGCTCTTGCCTGACAGCTTGTATTCATCTGACATTAGTTGGGTTGGACTAGATCTATTCACATTCGGCGTTTTGCATTTTTGTTTTTCTATTGTTGTATTATTCCTGGGATGTTGAGGATGTGATGGTATACTTGCCGAGTTATGCTCATTGAGGTATATAGGTAGGTAACTAATAGATGTACATATATACAATCTCATAAGTTTAGTATTTTTATATACGAGAATATTTTGTATAGATGAGGGTAGAGTCATTCATTTTCATGGATCATACATCACAATAGCTAGCATTGCTTAGCCTTTTATAGAAAAGAAATACACTTTTAGCAAGACTAGGCACTTCCATTGGTCTTGCTCTTGTTCGTAGCACGACGTGCACGAACAGCATCAGCCAAATCCTCAAGTACGACCACAGTCGTCTCCCAATCAATACAGGCATCAGTAATACTAACACCCTTCTTGAGACCAGACGGGCCCTCGGGAGGAACCTTTTGATTGCCTTCATTGATATTCGACTCAATCATCACACCGATAATCGCACTTTCACCCTCGCGAAGTTGGTCAGCAACCTCCTTCGCGACGAGAGGTTGATTACGATGGTCCTTCTTCGAATTTCCGTGTGAACAATCCACCATCATGATTTCGCGTTGCTTGCGGGCTCGTAGAGCCTCGCGTCCAGCTTTAATGCTTTCCCGGTCATAGTTGGTCCCCTTTGTGCCGCCGCGGAGGATCACGAAGCCGTGCTCATTACCGGTTGTCTTGGTAATGGCTGCGAGACCTTCTTTAGTCACACCAAGGAAATGGTGAGGATGCGAAGCGGCGCCGATAGCGTCAATGGCAACACCTAGGTTACCGTCTGTGCCGTTCTTGTATCCGATGGGGAAACTGAGACCAGAAGCCAACTCACGATGGAGTTGGGATTCAGTGGTGCGTGCACCAATGGCGCCCACGGAGATCAAATCGGCAAGGTACTGGGGGGAAATGGTATCAAGCATTTCGCTGGCAATTGGTATGCCGAGACTGGTCAGGTCTGCGTACAACTTGCGGGAGACTTGTAGTCCCTTGTTGATGTTGAAGGATTCGTTGATGTCTGGGTCGTTGACAAGTCCCTTCCATCCAACTGTTGTACGGGGTTTCTCGAGGTAGGCGCGCATGATAATACATAGGTCACCGGCGAGTTTGTCGGACAGTGCTTTCAGGCGGTGGGCGTATTCGATGGCGGCTTCGGGGTCATGGATTGAGCATGGTCCGACAACGACAAGGAGACGATCGTCGCGCTGTTCAATGATTTCAATGGCTTGATTTCGTCCTGACTTGACTGTCTCGACTGATGTAGCGGGCTATATTCATTAGCCATAGTCTTGTCAATTGCTAGATGTTTGGATGACTCACAGAGGGAATTTGAGTCTGGAGGTAGTGAGGAGAGAGAAGGGGATCATAACCCAGGACTAATTCCTATTAGCTCTACTCGCTTTCTAATTAGCTCAGTGAGAAGCATACCGCGGGTATCGTCGTTCTGATCTGTTTTGGCTTTGACAAGGGGCATCTTGTAATTGATGTAAAACTAAACAAGTCTGAAAATATACAATGAACTCGACGTTGCTACAAAAATAAAGGAGTAGCCGTATCTGCTTTTAAAGAAAGATCAGCTTGAATGACTCATAAAAAGTCAACTCGACATCCCAGGTAGTAATGCCACCATTTTAGATACGAGACATGTCATCATTCCGGGGCCAGGATGTCCGATCATGCATTCACATACCTGGAAAATTGAACAGCACCCTTGATGGTGAATCTAGAGAATGGCTCCTTTGCTCAACGGAGAAACTGTGTCTATCAACTGTTTCCAAAGAGCCAAATCCCTTGAACGACAGATCGTCTCTGAGTATTTTAAATATTTTCTATGCCCCGCTTTCGGCGCGGGCAACAATTCTCACATGATGAAACAGCTCCATTGTCCAATCACAGGCTCCGGATTAGGCCACACTGCTCCGGTGCGGCGGGCGGGCGGTGAGTTTTTAATGGCAGAAAATCGACGATGACTCATTGCTTTCCAGCCAATCAGAGAGCAGATATATGAGATTAGGAATAAGGGGAATATTGAAATGGAAGAGAAGACAACGTCGTCAATATCAACAACAGACTTCAGACTGCAATATCCGGCGTGACTTACACATAGCTGTCTGGACCAATGTCAGCACATAACAGCTATGGCTCATCGCTGAGTCATCTACCTGTGGGACTCTTCATTGAAGCGGTCTCCTACCTGCTTAACCGCGACATCAAGAGCTCGCCTAACATGCAAGAAGTTTAGCCAGATCCGCAGCTGCATCTGAACAGGGTGTTCTTATCAGCAAATCCACTAAACATTGAAGTGTGTCTCGCAGTTACAGACTACGAAAACTATCGTCGCAACGCCGTCGAAATTATCTGGGACGACTTCCCGATGATCTCGGGACAATCCGTGTTAGTGATAGACTTGTTACTCGACAACTTCATGGCAGATGATTTGCATTTACAAAACGACGTACAGCCCACGCCTGAAGGCGTACCTAATTCAGTCTTTCGGTTGTTTGCTTGAAATATAGAATGCCGTGACCTGATTTATGAGTTATGGAATATGCCGCTTGAGGATCGGAATCCCGACCCGCTACTGATGTGTCATGGAGTTACTATCAGCGGCTTGTACAGCAACAGAAAGTCGTAATACGTGCTAATGCAGATGCCGAAGCTCTTAAGGTACGGAGTCAAGCGCTTTTCTGCACTTCGCAAAATCACAATCATTATCATAAATCTACGGACATGGCCCCAGCTGACCGACAAGTCAGGTGAGCCTTATATTTTGCACCTATGGAATAAGGAAGAAAAGGAAAGATGGCGGGGTTTCTGCGTGACCACTAGCGAACTCGCCATCCTGCAGGATCATAATATCTCCAAGCTTGTTGTCGATGTCTACTCGCTCCAAACCGATCTCAGCTGCCGTATATTTGATGAGCCATGCAAAGAGTACGATGACTCCGTGACCCTACTGCGAAGACCAGGATTCAGTCGCCTGAACCTGGCTCTTCTGGCTGATGGACAATATTTTGACGATGCATGGTCATCCTTCCGTAGTGGATCTCCGGCGTGCTTTGGCCGAGGCATTAGATCTGAAGCATTTCAGTTTGAATGTGAGAGCGGACTATTACCATGTCTCTGGTATTATCGAAGATACCGAGCGAAATCTCATCCCTTTACAAACAATTCTACCACTTGAGAAGTGGAAGTATTTACGGCATTTGGGTCTCTCAGGTATCCTAGTGGAAGTGGACGGCCTGATTGCCGTTCTAGCAGCATTACCCAAAACAGTACGGTCTGTAAAGCTGAGCTTTTACACTTCACTAACGAAACGGGTGACCCACGAGAGTTGCTTGGAAAAGTGCATTGCGAAAGTGCATGATACACTGGGCTGGTGTGAGCGACCTGTCGCCGAGAGACCCGCGTTAATCGTACCCGGGTTGTCTTGTGGTGCGCCACCTATGCAATGCACTTGTCTAGACAAAGCTGTGAATGACTTCATATACAGGGATGGGATTCATCCGTATAACATGCCGCAAAATCTTTCCCCCTATAGTCGATGGAAACATGCACGGCTGGCAATCGAGCGATATCCATTTCAGCCCGGACTAAACGGTTCGCCAATGGAAACTCGTGAATGAAAATCTTGCGGATCAAGAATAATATCTTGATTGAGAAGATCGAAGTAGGATTCCGGAGTCGAACACTTTCACTTCGCTGATAACACATTTGACAGGTCGACTCTCGAGTCCCACTTCTGAATGCTTGACGACTTACTTGGGCCACAGGTGAACATGTGGAACTAGCGCCGCGTTTGTATGGGCTGCACTTGGATAGGTGACGCTGTCGTTGCCCCATCTCCTATTGTCGTAGCTTTGATGGCATGGTGCTCGATTCAGTTGAGCACGGTTCCAGTGTAGGCCACGTAGAAGTGTACTAGTACGCAGTATGGGCTTTCGACGAGGCCAGTACAATTTGTGCCGGTGGTTGGGTTCCTTCGTAAAATCCGTCGGGCCCAAGACCGACAGTCGAGATGATATGCTGACATGTGTATACTATATACAAATTCTAGAGCAAAGCAGATCGTGCAGTTGCTTATTTCGCCAGTGGCACGTGTTGGGACAACGATGCCGGTGAAGGAGTTCTACTAAGCACAGGGATGTTGCTCTAATATTCCGGGTTCGGAGTCCGGTTAAGCCGATACAGTGAATAGACTACAGTAGGACTCGTCTCAGATACACACTGAGCAGGACATCGTAGAGCTGCAGATAGATAAACACTCTAATTAACGCATACTAATAATATTTAGGATCTATTTGACAATCTGCAATGCCCGAACAATGTGTATATATTGACCTTCACCTTGATAAGCGATAAGAAAGCTCTGTTGCCGCCGCTAAGAACTTAGTAGCTCGCCGCACCAACCAGTGGGAAGCCTGAACGAAGCTAGACTCTATTTTGATCACCATCTTCCATCTGAAACCAACGTCTAACAGCTTTGCTTCCACAACCAACTGTCCCTGAAGAATAGCCTGCCTTTCATCTTGTTAATCCGAGGCTGAGGCTGGCGAAAGACTTTTCGTCCATGCATTTTATCTGTCTCATGTCGGTTTTCGCCATCATCTCTAACATCCCGCCTCGGCCGCATTGAATGTTATTTAACCTGGCCCAAAACCTCTACGGCGTTGATGAACAAACAAAACAACTGTGTTTCCGGCTATAGAATTGTTCGAAGGAAGTAACACGAAAGAAAACATTTTCAAACGGCTAAAATTGACGCTATGTCTTCTGTTCTTGCAAAAAGGTCGAGAGAGGAGGATGATTTGAGTCCATTCGGCTATGGATACAAGGTTCGTAGTTTTAGACTGGATGAGGTCGTGAGATGGAAGACTAACATTGTGTCTTTATAGAAATCGCGTGTTGATCAGAACCCGAATGCAATATCTACCTCATTTCCGTCCGCACGGTTCCCTTTCAGCAATCCTACTCTTTCGCCTCCCCTGCAACCCACCGAACCATCAACAGAAATCGGCAGCAATATAACCTTCGAAGATATCCTCCCGGAGCCGTTTCTTCAATGGCGCGAAGAAAAAAAGCAACCGTCACATTCATCCCTGCAGGCCCGCCGCCCACCAACTCTGACCCTGGATACCGCCATGGACGTCGATATGGTGCCGCCGTCACCACTCCCAAATGGTGACAATCTATCGCCCTGGCCTCTTAGTGTAAGAACAAAGGCTGTCTCGAATCACCTCCAACCGTCGCCAATTCCTCATCACTTGATCAACCAATCCTTGACTATCAGTGGAGGCCGCACATCTACGCCGATATATAGCCATTTCACATTGAACATGAACACGGAGTTAATGTCCGTTCCATCTGCAGATATTACCAGTGCAGCTCCTGCGCTTCCCTTGCAGAATACAAACGAGTCGAACTGGTGGCGACGGCGGCGGTTACCAAGCCCCATTAGCGAAGCCGGTGACATTCTTTCCGAGGCCGAGCCTACAAATAATATATCCAAAGAAGCCGGTGATCAAAATGACTTTCCTGATTCTCCTTCTTCCATGGATGTCGACGGTGACGATCCACCATCAAACATATTCCTACGAGTTCCAGGGCAAAAGCTAGGATTTCCCACTCATATACCCTCTGCAGAGACAGAGACCAATGGTATACCTGCATCAACAGCTATAGCCGAGCCAATGTCGAAACGTGCACCAGTCACAGCACCCAGACGCGAGAAAATCAGCTTCTCAATGGGCTATCGAGCTGATTGTGAGAAATGTCAAATGAAAGTACCTGGGCATTATAGTCATATCGTTCGATCTTAGCATTTGCGATATCTTTATCTTTCTTCTTGATACGATTTTTATGAGTTATCCACCGTCATGATGAATAAGTTGTTTTCAACCTTTTCTATTCTGTATTATACCCCTATATATATACTGTTCCGGGTCGACGCTCAGGCGTTTTTCACTGTTTGAATCATAATTAAACAATAACATTTACACAGTCAAGTGCTATGTTGGAGGTAGAAAGTAAACCGTGCAGCTATCCGAAAGCTGTCTATATCCGGGCCCACATCCGATCTCTGCAAGAAACAATTCGCCATTGATCAATTTCAATCCTCAACACCTTGAAACATCGCGTGGTTACAATTAATAAAAATACACGGCTGTGATATATATAATTTCCTCTCTTTTGCTATTTCATCTTCCGAGTGATTTTTCTACCAGATTGTGCTGTTCCTGAGCGTTCTTCTCCTCACTTCTGTAGTTCGTCTTAAATATTTACCCCGGCATTTGTCTCGGCGGGACTGTAGCCGATGCGTCCAAGTCAACACTTTTGTTCAAATAGTCGGCATCGGCTCCGTTCCTTTTCTGTTTTTTTGTTTTTTGTGTTTTTTTCTTTGGTGGTTTTCTATTTATTTTGATCCTTCTTGCGGTTTGGTTCTGCTTGTTGCCCGGACGAGACTCTCAAGATACTACCTAGGTATAATCTGAAGTGCTATCTGGTGCAACCGTATATACAGCATCACGATATCAATAAGCTAAAATGACCGCACCTATTCCCCGGGGCCTGAAACAGGTCCTCCAAAAATCCCCCTCAGATATAGTCATCCTCTCATCTGTGCGCACAGCAGTTACGCGCGCCAAAAAGGGCGGCTTCAAAGACGCCTATCCCGAAGAACTACTCGCACATGTCCTCAAAGCAACATTAGCAGCAAATCCGAACCTAGACCCAAAACTCATCGATGATGTAGCCATTGGATCTGTGTTGCAAGAACTCGGTGGCGCGAAAGCTGGTCGTATGGCGCAGATTCATGCTGGATTTCCGCATTCTGTTCCGTTTCATACGATTAATAGACAGTGCTCGTCTGGGTTGGCAGCTATTACGACTATTGCGAATGGGATTCGGGCCGGGGCTATTGACGTTGGTGTTGGTGGTGGGATGGAGTCGATGACTCGAAATTATGGATCAAGGGCGATTCCGACTGTTTTGTGGCCTGAGTTGAAAGAATCGCCTTCTCAGGATGCGAGGGATTGTATCATGCCTATGGGCTTGACATCAGAGAATGTCGCTAGTCGATATGGTATCTCCAGAGCAGACCAAGATGCCTTTGCCGCTGACTCGCATAAAAAGGCCGCCGCGGCACAAACTTCTGGTCTGTTCGATGATGAGATTGTCTCCGTCCCCACGAAATTCTTCGATGCTGAACATCCGGGTGCACCTCCACGAGATATCACAGTCACCAAAGATGACGGTATTCGGCCAACCATATCCGTTGAAAAGATGGCCACACTCAAGCCTGCATTCAAAGAAAACGGCACCAGTACAGCGGGAAATAGTTCGCAGGTCAGCGACGGTGCAGCAGCGGCACTTCTCATGCGTCGCTCAACAGCTACCGAGCTTGGTCTCTCATCCTCCATTAAGGGGCGCTGGGTAGCCACAGCAGTTGCTGGTGTAGCTCCCGATGAGATGGGCGTTGGTCCGGCGGTAGCAATTCCCAAGCTCCTCGCTCAGACTGGATTGCAAGTTTCAGATGTTGGAATATGGGAACTCAATGAAGCCTTTGCTTCACAGGCATTGTACTGTGTTCGCAAATTGGGTATCGACGAGGCTAAGGTTAATCCCAAAGGTGGTGCTATTGCCATCGGTCATCCGTTGGGTGCTACGGGTGCTAGACAGGTGGCTACATTGTTGCCTGAGTTGGCAAGGACAGGGCAGGATATTGGCATTGTTAGTATGTGTATTGGAACGGGGATGGGGATGGCTGGATTGTTCGTGCGTGAGTGATTGGTAAGAGGCACCTAGGTGGTCTTGTATATATATCGAAGAATAATTGTTACTGATATATAATACTTCAATGTTACAAATATCACGTCATGTGAGGTTGATGCCTGAGTACGTAGACAGACAACGGTTCCTTCTAGATGAAAATTGCCCTAGCTGCCTACTTCTGTACTTCATATCTCGTCAAACTATCATTCTAACCCATACCATCACCCATTTGTCGTATACTCTTGTCAGTTGATCATCTACACTTGACATATTCCAATCTCACAGGAACAAGTCATCAAGATGTCTAAAAAGAAAGCCAAATTCAGAGTTAACAAAGAATTCCTACAGACACTGCTCAGTCTCCTAGAGCTTTCCAATGCTCCCTCTAGCTGCAATGACGCAGCAGATGCCGTGTTCGGCGCGATCGACTTTGAAAATGCAGATAACATCATAAAAGGGAATTCTTCAGAAGTAGGGAGCCAAATCGGTCTTGCTATTATGGATACTAAGCATCAGAAAAACGTTTAGGGTTGGCTACCAGCTCAAGAGACGGACAGGACACTTTTTTAGAAGAGGATGATCTAATAACGACGGTCAATTTCGCTACAGGCCTTGTTACTATTATGAGAAAGCCACAAGGAGCTTTACTTTTCGGAGAGACCATACATATTGACAGGGAGAATATGCTTGAGATCCAATCTTGTATACCACAAGATCGAGGGGTCATTCTAGTCGATCATGGTATAGAGAATGATCTTGTGACCCTTGACACCTTGAAGTTCGATTTTGCGGCATACTCATTCATGTGCATAATCGATACCTTCTGGATTGGTTCCTGCCCATTCCCTAGTGGGACAAAGGCTGCCAGGAGGTGAGTCCTGGTTTTCACTATCTATATATATAGCACATTATATACATACAGACGTCTTTATGTAGGTTTGGGCCTTCGGCGCTTTTACATAGCTGCTTCGGGCGGTAATGGGTGGACGCTGGTGCGCATTCGCCATGAATCGTGTCATAAAGGCACGTCCCACGAACTGAGGGAAACCCTGTGGGAGAAACCTCAGAAGCATCACGTAGAAGTCAATCGGCTAGGTTGCATACTAATCTAGAATGGGTTTGAAAAGTAATTTATATGCGAACTAATCACGTGATTTAGGTTAACCAAATCGAGTTAGTGTCTCGGACATGCTTCGTAGTTCCGCAGAAAAAGTCGAAGCAACCCAAACAACTTATCGCAAGAATACACGAACAATGCGCCCACCAGTACGGTTACTAAAGCCACTGGAGGCACCGAGCCTTCGAAACTCGAAGAAGGCATTATATGTCTGCTCCAATTGCCGATACGATGCTTCATACCTCCCGTCATCCTCACAGCGTCGCCATGCCAGCGGTTCCGGAAACACTCCCTTCACAGACAAGCTTCGACGACGAATCTGGGGAACCGATAATCCTCCTGGCTTGGAAGATCCGTACGGTGGCGAAGGCGTGATTGCAAAGGAATGGGCGAAACGCAAGGCTCAATATATGGGTAAAGATGCACAGCAGAAGCAGAAAGGAGAGGAGCAAAATGCAGTGGAACTACCCAGGGCGGATGAAATTGAGCCTGAAGAGGATGAGTCGCTTCTACCGGATTTTACGCCTGCCACGACGGCTCATGATTTGCCGAGGATGGGCCATTTGAGCCAATGGAACGACTTTCCACCAACTGAGGGTGATGTCTATCGTCCGTACGTTAAATAACATCTACAAGAGTTTTTCGGATTGGGGTTGATTACTAACACATCTACTATGACAGATTTATATCCCGCCAAAAAGCCCTGACCAGCGCCCATTTCCGCTCAGCCGCTCAATCTGTCGCCATTGAATTGAGTCTTTTGCACGAACTCAAGAAACCTCTGTCGCTAGCTTGTGATGTGCCCAGGCACGATGAGATGATTTGGGAAATGATTCAGAAATGTCAAATAAACAAGTCCAGCAGCACTACGTCACTGGATGCCATTTTGAAATTTCCCAATAAGGAGATAAAGGATACACTCCTCTTTGTCTTTAACCAGCTTGGAGAGATTCCAGAGGCTCAACCTGAGGCTACTGTTGAAGCTACTGAACAGCCAGAAACTGAAGAATTGAAGACTGAAGCAGCTGTCAAAGAAGAGATCGAAGCCGAGGAAGTCGCCGAAGTTGAAGAACCTCAGGAGATTGATGATGCTGTTTACTCTTATGCGTTAAAAGCCAAGACAGCCCCTGAACACGAGGGATATCTCAAATTCTCACTCTCTGACCCAGATGTCAAGTTTGCTGTAAGTCATTTGCATCTCGTTTATCCACCTCATTGACACTAACTTACTCCGATCTAGTTCTTCAAACGCTACTCCCAGATAACCGGCCACCACATGCAGGACATCTGCGCCTACAAGGCCAAGACTATACAAGACGTAATTGACCACGTCGAAAAGATCTACTGCCGCCCCAAAAAGCTAGCGACAGAACTACAAATGTTGAAAAAGGAACTGGATATCCCGAACTTGCACATCCATTCCAAGCGCTATACCAAAGCAGTTCAAGATCGTGAAGTGGGTAGAGCGAAACTTGTGGAGGCGGCTTTGAGAGAGAGGGGATTGTTGAAGGAGCAGCAGGATAAGCAGAGCAGGTTCCAATTATGATTATAACTAAGGGTGCGGTCTTTGATTTGTGTGGGTGATACCAGTCAGGCCTACGTTGCCATTCATATATGTATTTTCCAACACCTTTCTTTTCCGTGGACTCTTGCCTTTCGGAGGAGTTTCTTCTCGTTTGGATGTATTCAAGATGTTGCATATTTTGCTAGTGTATATTAGAATATGATTGAATCTGTTTCAGGAATCAGCAACTCATCGACCGATTATCAAAACCTAAGTTCCAAGCCGCAGAAGGTACGCATAAGGAGTTTTGAGGATGGTGATTTAATTCAATCTAATTCAATCACGATTATATACAAAAGTCCACAATGGGTCACGGTCTCACTGCACTAGTTCTCTACAAATGTTCAGTAACCATTTGACCTTAATTTAGACTTGTCGCCCTTTTCACATAATCGCTGAACTCCGTTAGGTGTGACGGTGCCAATCTGCTTGGTTTGAGTACGCTATTCTAGCTAACTATCTCGCACAAGAGGTGCTTGTCGACAGGTAATATTAAGCATAAAGGGGAAAAAAGAAGAAATGAAGTAAAAGCCCAGGTTCTCACTGCTCATGTAAATCTCTGTGCAAGGCGCCTTTCCCTATCCGGCTCCGATGTCTGATGTTGATATGACTTCCCATACGGCGCGGATAGGGTTACGTGGCTCCTAGCCCTATCCGTGAACTGAGACGGGAAGGCAGAGCCATGCCCAGCCGTCACATTAGGCCGCCGACATATTCGACTTTACGCACTACTTCGAAGGTCCAAAAGTGTACTCGGACTTGAAATGTGCTTCTGATTCGTCGCGCGAATTGACGGTGTTGATGATGGTATCTTGATAGTTGATAGATTATATGTTATCGATGAAATGACTGAGGGTATGTGTGCTCCATCAAGCTCTGCGTGAGCTGATTAATACTCCGCCTGGAATCATGCCAGGAGGAACAACCTTGACAGACGAGGTGGAATTTAATAAAAATTTCCCTCCATGTTTTTGCAAGAAACGCTAGGAATGAATCAAAAATCCAACTCATCTCCGCGCATTGGCAGGTATCGAAAACCCTCTCGTCATAAAATCTCCATCTTTTATTTTCGGCCTCTCCTTATCATTGTCATTGTGGAATAGACTCTGCAAATTCTTGCTTCGAGCCATCTTTTGCCTCTTTTCCCTTTCCTGCTCTTCTTCCAAAACTTTGGCTGTCAAGAGGGCCGTCGAGGCGTTCTTTATGCCCAATGGTACAGTACGTGCTACTTGATCAGTGGAGTCAGCTTTAGATTTTGACGCTAGCGCAGCGGGTTCTTCAGCAGCTGAGGGATTGCCGCTTGCATGCTTCTTGCGCTTCTTTGACCCGGAGAGCTTTTTGAGGGAATGCGCGAGTCCTTGTTCGGCGAGTTTCCGGCCTCGCGCCATTAATCGTTGTTTATCTGCTTCCTTTGTAGGTAGGATGACGATGACATTATCTTCGCTGTAATGTTCGTTGCACTGCAGACATGTGTCTCCCTTCATTTCCCGAACTGCTTCTTCGGCAAAGACATGGCCACAAGGCACGATATAAACTGACTTGACAGCAGGGCCGAGCTGCTTGGTGGTAACAGGGCAGACCCATCTCTCACCACCTTCTTTTGTCGCGTCGCTTTCAGCATCAATATCGAACTTGAGCTCGACCACATCCTTCAAACTCTTTACTCGCCCCTGCAAGATCTCATCGCAGTCCGCCTTCGAACTGATATCGTCGTCTTCGGTGCCAATCAAATATTTCAGTATTGAGTCTTTGTTATATAGGTTTCCAACCGAATCGGATACAATAGGCCGAAGAAGAGGTTTATGCGACAGTGGGCATGTGGTCCAATAGTGCTCGAGTTGTTCGCGTTGGGCCTCTTTTACCTGTGTCACGGATGGCGCTTTTGCGGCCTCGCGGACCAGTTCTCGCCGAGTAGGGATACTATGATGTCGTTAGTTTGGAAATTCTTAACATATACAAAGGAAATTGAGTCTTACCTTCCACCGTCATTACCCATGTTAGCTGTAAGTGATTAATGTTAGGATTGTAAAAAACTCGCCACTTCTACAGACATAAATGCTTGTCGGGAATTCAAGGCAGAAAAGATGGTTGATACATGACTAAGCATACAGACCCACCGATAAGCCAAGCTTGCTCACGGACCAATCAGATGCAATATTAATGCTATTAGCTCCGCAAGGACTCCGTACAAGCTGTCCAGTACTCGACGAAGCATTGACAGACAACAACCATTCATTTGGACCAGTTCATCTAGGAACAAGCTCGATGCCGCTATCATGAGGAGTACTGCTAATTTGTTCGTTCTTCTGGGCATTTCGATATGTACCACCGTAATTGCAGCCTCGGGCGAAGCCTCATCCCGCCCTCGAGGCGTGGGACCTGAATGTGAGCATCCCTACCGTCTGGTAAAGGACAGACTGGCTTTCTTCATTCAAATATATGCGGCAATAAGTGGCTAACATATTGAGATGTCCAGTTGCAAAATTCTATAAAGATACAACTACATTCACCTGTATATCGGTCCCTGCCATAAAGATACCATTCTCGGCGGTAAACGACGACTATTGTGACTGTCCGGACGGCAGTGACGAGCCTGGAACATCAGCATGCTCACACCTTTCTCGTCTCTCCCCTTTAACTTCTGCCGACCACCCTGGCACTGATGATATCGATCTCACACCTGCATTGCCTGGGTTCTATTGCAAGAACAAGGGCCACAACCCCGCCTACATCCCTTTCCAACGAGTAAATGACGGAGTCTGCGACTACGAGATTTGCTGCGATGGAAGCGATGAATGGGCTCATCCGGGAGGTACTAAGTGCGAGGATCGGTGTAAGGAGATTGGCAAAGCATGGCGCAAATCGGAAGAAGCGAGACAAAAGTCTCTGAATACAGCTCTGAAAAAGAAGAAAGAGTTGGTTGCTGAGGCTGGCCGGTTGACCAAGGAGATTGAAGACCGTATTGTTGATCTCGAAGTCGAGGTCAAAGCTAAGGAGTCTAAGATTCGGTCTATGGAAGTCGAGCTCGAAAAGTTGGAGAAAGAAGATCGTGGAAAGGTGGTCAAAGGTGCAAAGAAAGGTAAAGTCGGTATGTTGGTGGGCTTAGCCAGGATGCGGGTCAACGAGCTTCGGGAAGCTCTAGGCGAAGTCCGTCAGCAGAGGGATGAAAGCCGTGTGCGAGTGAAAGAGCTCGAGGAGATTTTGTCAAAGTTCAAGGAAGAATATAACCCTAACTTCAATGACGAGGGTGTCAAGCGCGCTGTGCGTAGCTGGGAAGACTATGCCGCCAGGGGAACTGCGGGCGATTACTCGGCGGAGGCTGCGAAAGATCGTGATTTGAACGAAATTGCGCAGCCTGATAGCGACTCATCCGGCATTGACTGGGCTCATTGGGAGAACCAAGACGAGAGTGAAATTGATATTTGTAAGCTGCTTTCCTGAAGAGGGAATACAGTCGCGGATACTAACTAGAAACAGTTTACAAATTACTGGCATACTTCCCACCAGTCGTCGTGGAGTTCCTTGAAGACAAGTATACCAGTATCAAGAGGTTCCTCGTTGATAATAACATAATCCCGGGTGCCGAGAACGAAGCTCAAACTGAGTCAAAAGTGGTCACGGAAGCCAGGGATGCTTTGAGATCGGAACAGTCCGCTCTCGAGCAGACGTTGAGATCGATCAACGACCACAAGGCTGATCTCGAAAAAGATTACGGTCCCGATGGCATCTTCCGACCCTTGAAAGATGTCTGCATCCAAAAGGATTCTGGAGAGTATACCTACGAGCATTGCTTTCTTGCGCAGACCAAACAGATCCCTAAAAAGGGTGGCGCGACTGTGACAATGGGCAAATTCCATGCCATCTCGTCCATCACCGTTGATGATGCCAATACCGCTGGCGAGATACGACAGGTAGAAAAGATTGCATTGGAATACACGTCTGGACAGCAGTGTTGGAATGGGCCGGCTCGTTCAACGACTGTGATTCTGGAATGTGGCGAGGACAATGAAATTTTGAAGGTTATGGAAGATGAGAAGTGTGTCTACTCGATGCTTGTAACTTCTCCTGTTGCTTGCGTCGAGACCACCAAGGAGAAGACGAAAAAGGTTGGAAAGGATGAGCTGTGATGAGACTTTTCTGCCCGTTTATTCTTTTCATAGAAAATAGATTCCCTTATTCGCCCATGTACTTGTACGGGAGTGCTACATTTTGGTGATTATTTACATATCTCCTCTGGTCTGATCTTTTGTCAATGAGCCACTCACGAACTCGTCTCCAGAAAAGCAATATCATGCCTACTCATTTTGCGCATCAGTAAAACTCTTCAGTCCCCTCTCAAGTAATTCAATCAGCCCCTTATCCTTAACCTGCGCATCCTCCGCGAAACTCACTCTTCCAGTCGCCCATTCCAACCAATCCCCAGCCCTTGCACCAGCAATGGATCTCAATAATCCAACGCTTACATCAACTACACCTGGTCTCTCATCACAATGCCAAAACGCCGTGGCCCCGCAAGTACTACAAAATTCTCTATAGACGCCGGGGCTGCTTTCAAATCGTTTCATTGTCCCTGTTTCGTATGTGAATGTATCGACTTGATTGATGAATAGGTTGGCCTTGGGTATGAATGCCCATACTTGAATCGGGAATCCACTGGTAAGTCGACATGAATTACACGCGCAAGTACCAGCGAAGTATTTGGTTTCGTTGGCACGAAGCCACCATTTCACGTCCTCGGTATTCTTTGGGGATCCAGAATGATAAGGAACGATCATATCCGGCCAAGGAGACCAGGGTTCTTTGGACTGATCATTGGGACGTGTGACTGTGAAGCTTATACCTCCACAGTGGCATTCAGCTTTCAGATGGTCCTTACCAGCATTTCCTTTCCCTTGGCTCCCTACATTATGGTCACGCAATGTTGATGGCGGTATAGAAGTGCTTGCAGTACTGACAGACTCAACAAGACATCCCGTACCCTTGTCGTTTACCGAGCCTGGCATGAAAACACTAAGACCACCATCCCGAGTTCCCTCGACACCCCAATGCACCGCAACACATCCTGCATCAGAAACAACAGGCAGTGCAGCGGGGACAACAAGCCCCGCAGCAATCAAATACCTGTTTTCTGGCTTCAGTTGTGCCAGCACATGACCTCCACAGATACCGCAGAACCACCGGCTGAGTCGAGTGGACTGAACATACTCCCGTAGATACGGATTGGAGAATAGTAACTCATTGGAGTAGTGGAGTTTTGAATGGGGCGGTAGCGTTGGCTCCGGTGTCAGCAAAGAGTAGTAAGAGGTACAAAGGACTCCGCTCGTTGCGCGGCAGGCGAGGCAGTGGCAAAGAGGGACCTCATTTGGGGATTTGGTTAAGGATGCTAGGGTTATCTGTTGGATGGATACTCTCCCGCATAGGCAGGAGATTGATGCAGTTATGGTCGTATGTTCAGACATCTTGTCATGGTATGCTTACTTCCTCAGTTGGTACACTACATACCTATATATCTGAATCTTGAGATCATAGGTAGACATAGTTGTGCATGAAACGGATTATCAAGGCACAGATCGGTTTGCTAGGTAACAAGGATTATAAATACGTAATAAGGTATGCACTAGATGATGATAACGGAGGCAGACACCGTAGTCTTGTTATCTCGCGGTTCTATGCTCTATTGGTCTGCTGGAGACCGCCCAAGAACCCGATGAGATGTGAGGACAATAATGGTGTCGTACCCCGCTGTTTGGTTGGTATTCTTATTAGGAAAGTATTGCAGGTGCTTTATCTCTTTTGGGTTGTGGCTGGCAGAGTCGCCTTCCTTCGAATGTCCTAGCACCATAAGCTCTTGATAATGTGTAGTACCGTTCTCTTAACGAAAGCTAGACTCATCATGGGCAAGGCCCATGCAAAATCCTTTAGGCAGCTTTGGGCACTGTTACCTTGATCAAATTTAAGCCTATCAGTGTCGTTGGTGACAAATTGATTGACCCATTTGTGCTCTTGGGCCCCTGTAATTGCAGTGGTGGTACTTCCTACCAATCATGTTCCCCAGTCCAATACAGCACTTGGTGCTAGTCACAGAGTTACCCTCAGTAGAGTAGGAATGGTCATATTCAATACGCTTTTTCAAAGGACCTTTGGAGACGAGCCTGCCTCTCATTTGGTGATTGTTGAGGACCTTGGTGCCCACGGAAGCGGACCGCACTGCGAATCATGGCAGGCCTCGTTAAGTAGAAAAGGGAAGAAAACCCCACGCAAAAGTTGCTGAATTGAAGCTTTCATTTTATGTGCCTTTTCCTTCAAAGCTTGATCGACGGGAAGCGGATGCCCAGCGATGAGTTGTGATCTGGTCATATGGTGTAGCTGCAACCCGATTATATGGGGCGCCTTTGCTTCGGCTGTATATCTCTCAAATCCACTCGAGTGATTTCCTTTGTTGATCAGTTTAACTAAGTCAAAAAAGCAACGAATGTCTGCATTACCGGTGCCGGACTGGCGAATAACCGCATCCAGTATAAAGCTCGTGAGTTCCATATGTCCACTGTCCACCATACGGGATGGATGCAACGTGCGGGAATTGTTTGTCATTTGACAACATAATATCCGGCATGTCAGGTTTCTTGCATAAATTCTAAGAGGGTCCATGCGGTTCTTGTGAGCCAACTGCGGCAAGGTCTTTTATCTGATCGGATAAGTCGTACTGTTACTGAATGGAGAGATTGGCTGCACCCCCTCCTCGCCTTTATCTGCAATGTCTCGACTCAACATGTCTCTTGAGACTCGGAGTAGTCTAGTTGAAGCAAGGCTTGTAATAAGAGGTTGTTTGAAAACCGCCTGTGATAATAATTTGACTGTTTTCGAGCGATCCAACCGAATTCTCTGCAATGAAGGCTCCGAATCTGCCATAGTACGCCTAAACTGACCGTCGTAACAGATATGTACTCAGATCCTTTGCGTATATTTCCAGATTTACAAGTGATGCGTCGAAATAATTCAGCCGTCCTTGCGCTTCCGGCGGCAGCAGCGTCGCGGTATGAAAAAAGACCTGAAAACAGATCGATCACCTAGGGTTGACTTGGCAGTCTCTTCAAGTCCATGAACCAATACCGTTGCTCCTTCATGAGGGGCATATCGTGACACCACGTAGTACAGTTGCAAAGTACTGTACATGGGTGGATCATTGTATGTTAGCCAAGGAATACCAAATGCGTAGCAGGTTCCTCATAGGCCCTTAGCAGGCAAAGCCACATGGCTACCTCAAACATGCACGTATCTAACCTTGTCGATATGCAGCAAAGGATTGGACACCTGATCATTATTCTCCTTGATAGAGAAGTAACGAGCGTCATGGTCTGGCGCCCGTGATCGGCTGAATAAATGGATATATAAACCCCGTCTCTCCTGTCACTTCAGCAAGATCAAATCCTCTTCCTTACTACCCAACAATCGATCATCGATTTCATCCTCATAAGAAAGTTAGCAACCAAACTTCTCTTCAAGAAATTTATCTCAAAACCACCCACAAACCAATCAAAATGTCTCCCTGTTCTTGCAACTGCTGCCAAGGCGAGTGCAACTCCTGCTCCTGCGGAAGCTGCAGCGTAAGTTTTTGATACAGCCTTTGGATAGAGATTGAAATGAGTATTGGGCATGTCACTAACCACTGTTCCAGCACTAAATGGCAATATCTACACTGCGTCGTCCATGATCTGATCGCGGAACGCTTCTCTTTTGTCAAATAACGATCTCGGTGCTATCTGGACGAAAATAATGGTTGGAGAAGAATTTGAAGGAATCGAAGTGGTAGTTGTTCATGTTCGTTCATTTGTGATTGACTGAGGGCTGCGCTGGGGTTATCTTGAGGTTCTATCATCGCCTGTCATTACTCACGGAACACATCTAGTCAATACTCAAAGCAGAATTCCTGCAAAAATCCTTTCTTCCTTGTAGAAGTAGAGATGAAAAGAAGATGTTTGGAGAAGTTGTCGTCGAGGTGCGTTCCTGCCTTGGTCGTAGTTGCCCAAAACAGGCACAGTTACCAGATCGGGAAGGTGGCACCTTGAACAGTATCAGCCAATCAGAAGTAGGCTATTAGCCATCGCCAAGACCTGCCGTTACGGTCACCGCCTTCCTCAAGTAAGGACTCTTCCTTTAGTGTCAAAAAATTTCGTCTGAGCAAATTAACTGCATCTTCTCGTGTCTGCGTGCTTTATCGTGTCACCTGACAGATATCCGATTTACTCTCTCAGTAGATCAATGATTGGATCAAGAACCTAGGAGCACATACGATAGCCAGGATGGCGCCGTTCGCGTACGAGTTTCGAGGAAATGGAGACCGACCTCGAGGCGGAGATCGAAATGGAGACTCGGTCAGAGGCGGAGATAGTTATAGACCGAGAAGAGATGATGGTGAAAGAGATAGAACGCCGCGCCATCAGTTCACTTTTCGATTTCCCAAACCTACCGCTGACCGCCCGTTACTGTCGCGAAAACGTGAAACTACTCCGGAACTGCTCGTTGGTCAACAAGAAGGGCAAGACCAACCACGATTCAAGTTTGCTCAGTTGGATGAATTGACCGATAGTGATGAAGCAGCGATGGAAGAATCTTCCTCCGAGAATGAAGATGCGAGTGGCTCGGATCCTCCACGCAAGAAACGCGCTATTGAACCCGCAGTCACCGCTGCTCCTGAGCGGCCGAAGTGGTCGAATCCAGATCCTTATACAGCCCTTCCCCCTCCAGATGAGACACAAACTAAACGACCTGATTTTGTGAAACTTATTCGAAAGGCTCGAATCTCAGCAACTGCTGCGGAACCACTCATCGGCGGTGATGCAGTCACTACCAACGAAGACTTCATCTCTTTAAAAGCCGACGATGACGACCTCGAAGAAGACAATTCACCACCAGAAAATGCTCCTTTGGGTCCAAAGAATCGCCAGCAACCTCAGACTGAAGGCGTGAGTGCAGGCAAGAAGCGCACGCGGGATGACCAGATCAAAGTGTTCACTGGAAAGTCAGGCAAGATTAGCTTCACTCCAGAAGGAGACATCGTCAGCATATGGAAGGCCCGGCCATCCGACAATGGGAGCCCCTGGCTTGAATTGATGGAGCCTACAATGCATATTGGTACTAGGTAAGCATTTAGTGTCTCCTTCCTCAAGAAAGGGTGGTCTGAAATTACTTATAACTGTTTAGATTACATAACGAAATCCTCGCTTTTTATGACTGGGTCAAACCCCGCCCGTACGAAGATGTGATTCGGAGAGACCTCATTAACAGAATACAAGGTGTATTCGATTCTCAGCCAAAGTTCCGGGATATGGAGATTCGGTCATTTGGATCGTTCGCGTCTGGGCTCTATCTTCCTGTGGCCGATATGGACCTGGTCATACTCTCGCCCAGTTTCAAACGCTATGGAAGGGAAACTTTTGTTCCTTACAGAAGAAGTTCAGCAGGTAGAATCTCTATCTATGAAGTCGCCAGAGTGATTGAAAGAGCCAACATCGTGGCTTCTGGGTCAATGGAAATCATTTCTGGAGCTAGAGTTCCCATTCTCAAGTGGATTGATCGTTTGACCGGTTTACGGGTGGACATGGCATTTGATAATGATAGCGGTATTCGTGCTATTCAAACCTTTGAAAAGTGGAAAGAAGCCTACCCGGCGATGCCTGCTATTGTTGCCGTCATCAAGCAATTCTTGCTTCTACGAAGTTTAAACGAGGTTCCCACAGGTGGTTTGGGAGGATTCGCTATAATATGTCTCGTTGTTAGCCTACTACAGCATATGCCTCATCATTTGAATGGCTATGGCCCCTCTCTTGGCAGTATTCTCATGGACTTTTTTGATTTCTATGGCAACAAGTTCGATTTCACGTCGGTTGGTATCCGTATGGAGCCGCCAGGGTACTTCAACAAAGTAAGTTGACTCGCTTGAGTCTTTTTTCTTACTTAGCTAACATCATTCAGGTTGTCTATAGCAACGAGAAAAAGGTACGGCTGTCCATTGAGGATCCTAATCGACCAGAAAACGACATTTCCGTGGGCACAAAAGAGATAGGCCTTATATTTCGCTGCTTTTCCAAGGCCTACGACGTACTGAAGTCTCGAATGACGTCGCTCGCAGTTTCGCAGAATCAGACGCATGTTTGTTTTTTGGACACCATCATCTCAGCATGCTACGACGAATATGCAGACCAGCGTGCCCATTTGCGAAAAATATTTGAGGTCGAGCCCAGGTTCATTCCATACCGTGGAATGCTCACACCTCCACCACCACCGCTAGATAGCCCTTCGGACTCAGAGTATGACCCGGAGCATGCCCCTGTTCCCCCCCCTCCACCTCCACCTTCAGCTCGAACGCAGCCTGAGCTGAAGATCAAAGGCTTGGGAACCTCGAATATCAACGAAGATAAAACGGCTGCCAAGAAGCAGAAGAAAAAGAAGAAGAAAGCACCGAAACAAAATTCAAAGGCGAAGAAGGCATAGTTCCCTGTTTCCGTTGGTCCCGTCTTCGCCCTGAATAATGAGTGTGTCGACAACGCGATGCAAGTTTATTATGCTGGAAACGATGGTTACAGTGGTTGCGTATGAAAGCGTTGGAGATTGGTAATGATCCAATCAGCTGACCTTGAATAGGATGTGTATTCTTCTTGCAATTGTATATCTATATTGGGGTTGTTTTCTTACTTACTGCATTTCGAGATACCCAAGGGCGTGACGGGAAGGCGTGTTGTGATCATGATTCGTTACTATCTTTTAGTTTCTTCGAGAACTTATACGGCCGTACATCGGGGCGACAATCCCTACAGGATACCCTTTGACGCCAACAAATCCGAAACAAACTTTTTTAACCTACAGTGTTTCCTATTCTTTTCTGTGTTCCGAAATTTGATGATTGCTGACATATTGAATATCTACATAGATGACCTGTGGTTTCTTGATCCAATCGATGGTCACTCATACTGAAATGATATCAATTGTGAAATGTTTCCGCATAGGTGCTCTGCTAATTGGAGAGTCCTGCTTCAAAGGGAGAGACTGCAAAGAGGCATTTTGACTCTGTCGCAGTGTCTCCTTCTTTTTCCCTTCTCATCAAGTGAACGCTTTATGTGCTTGCTTGGAGAGGATGAAGTCTACATCTTGATGAATAAGAGATCAGTTTTTGGAGAGAAGAACCTCTCGAATAGGATATCTCCTTCACTGCACATTCAGTGTATGTATGCTCTTTTCTCTCCTTGCGACTATATCTGTGGTTACATTTACTATCACTGCTTATCTAAGTACGAAAAGTTTACCCCGCAACGAAATCCTTCTCCACATACCCTATTACCCCTTTTGCCTAGGTACGTTGACAGCTAGATATTAGGCTATTTTGAAGCTAATAGCAGGCTAATAAGAGAGCCCTTGTCACCTGCAGTGACTTTTTATCTAGTTACTCCAACTTGAATTATTTCAATACCTTACAATCAAGCTATTTCGACAAATCGTCATACACATTCACTACAAGATGAAGTTTACTGACGGGATGTGGTGTCTCCGTGTACGTTTTCGCTGCCATAAATGTCGTTACTGGATGAATAGCTCATATTAGCCGTGTAGGAGGGGATCTCAATCGACTGGATGAGCAATGTGGAACGATTGTCAGTAGAGCAAGATGTTGTGCATCTATTGTTGAATAAGTATCAGCGCCATAGAGGGGATACTTTGAATTCACGTCTGTCTCCCTTTTCTATATGATGTATTATGTACTCACGATTTGCAGCGACGATATCTGCTACAGTCACTTCTCCGCTTGAGGGGATCATCGGGGTCAAGTTGGTTCATTGGTATGTATGCATTGCCAGAATATAATCAATATTGAAATTGAGAACGTTGTATTGTTTCAGGGCTGGTCAAAATGATAACGGACCTCATTACCAAATCGCATCGAAAACCGGCCATACTACGATCGACCAAACGGACGGGCTACTTCTTTATCAAAGCGGACCTGCGAGCCTCAAGATTAACACAGCCCCCAACGAGTTAGGTTTTACATGGTACGGTGATTCCGGCCAAACATTGACTGGCCACTCTTTCCGCTCTATTGGCTATGTCAGAGATCGTACAACGGACAGAACTCGCTGGACTGATGGGCTATATGTGGAACATGACGGCTACATGCTCGCCGAACTCAATCTGGGGGTAAATGAGAAGCTTTATGGGTTGGGCGAGAGATTTGGCCCATTTGTGAAGAATGGTCAGAGAGTAGACATCTGGAATGAAGATGGAGGTACCTCATCGGAACTGGCGTATAAGAATATTCCATTTTACCTAAGTTCCAAAGGATATGGAGTTTTTGTACGTCATACAGGGAAAGTAAGCCTTGAGCTTCAGTCTGAGAGGACGACAAGAGTCAATATTTCGGTCCCAGGGCAGGAACTGGAATATTATATCATCTTTGGAAGCACACCTAAGGAAGTGTTAAGGCGATATACTGCTTTGACCGGACAGCCGAGCTTGGTACCTACTTGGAGCTATAATTTGTGGTTAACTACCAGTATGTTTACCTTCAGCTAGAACTTTATTATCAAACTGATCTATTCCATAAGGTTTTACAACGAGTTATGACGAGAAGACCGTCACCGGATTTCTAGACGGATTCCGAGAACGCGACATACCCTTAGGTGTCTTTCATTTCGATACTTTCTGGATGAAGTCGTACCAGTGGTGTGATTTCCAGTTTGACAAGGACTATTTTCCCAATGCCACAGCATACCTGAAGCGTTTGAAAGAACGTGGTTTGAAGATCAGTGTGTGGCTGAATTCATATATTGCACAGGCTTCACCATTGTTCAAAGAGGGTAAAGAGAAGGGATACTTTATAAAGGTATGCAGCGGATCCACTTAGACGTGTCATAAAATAACGTTGCTGACAATTCCCATTAGCGACTTGACGGTTCTGTCTGGCAATGGGACATGTGGCAGGCCGGTATGGCCATAGTCGACTTCACAAACCCCGAAGCCTCGAAATGGTATACAGATCATCTGATGCGTCTAATGGACATGGGAGTCGATTCGTTCAAGACTGACTTTGCGGAACGTATCCCATTCCAGAATGTTAAGTTTTATGATGGTTCTGATCCTGTGCGCATGCACAACTACTACTCAATACTATACAACAAAGCGGTCTATGAAGCCATGATAGGTCGGGTAGGGAAAGCAAAAAGTCTTCTATTTGCTCGCAGCACGGCTCCCGGTGGCCAAGCATATCCTGTCCACTGGGGCGGAGATTGCGAAAGCACATTTGAAGCAATGGCGGAATCTTTACGTGGCGGACTCAGTTTGATGTTATCCGGGTATATTTTCTGGGCATCAGATATCGGAGGATTCGAAGGAACGCCACTACCAGCACTATACAAACGCTGGGTCCAGTTTGGGCTCTTATCATCTCATTCGCGTCTACATGGTTCCAGCTCGTACCGCGTCCCTTGGATCTATGGCGAAGACTGCAGCGATGTGCTCCGGGATTCCGTGAAGAGGAAAATTTCCTTGACACCATACATACTACAAGAGGCCCTTCATGGACATCAGACTGGCGTTCCACTTATGAGAGCCATGTTTTTAGAATTTCCGGATGACCTAAACACATACACTATCGATACCCAGTACATGTTTGGCAGCAATTTACTTGTGGCACCTGTCTTCACTGAAGAAGGAACCGTGACATTCTACGTTCCATGTAACGAGGAAGACAATCACAGAGGCAAATGGGTCTCCTGGTTCGATTACAATAAAACATATGAGCCCGGTCAGTGGTACACTGAAAAGCACGACTTTTCTTCCTTGCCGATTCTAATTCGTCCTGGTACTGTGACTCCAATTAACCCAAAGCTCAAGAGTCCTGAAGATGATCCGTTGGACGGTTTTAAGTTAATTTTGAATGGTTCCATTGACTCAGAGAATTACAAGATTGAAATTGTGAATCCGGAGAATACACATGAAGTTCTGAAAGTCATAGACATTTGCAAGTTGATTGATGATTCGGAAATGAGTCAGAAGACGACGAGGGTTTATACTTATTTCTGAAAGGAATTCCTACTCTCAATGGTAATAACCTTCAACGTTGGAATATAAGATCTTCCTATCTTCCTAGGTGATTCACTTTCCAAGGTTACATAAGTGCTATTTATATCAACACTCTGAAGTTATTTTCTTACTTTCTACTGAGAATCCTTTTTCTTCTTGACACAGTCTGTAAATTAGTTCCATCGGCTACACCAGCACCATCAGCACCTACGGCCTTGGAGCACCGTCAGGACTATCAGTACTATTCCATTAGCTTGAATTCCACCTGATGTTAGCTTGTTAGCTCTAATTTTCAACAAGTCTAGGATTATTTCCCACTTATGAAGAATGATCGCTAAAAAAGATTTCACTGACAAGAGGCTCTAGGTGATCGTACAAATGAGGTAACCCTTTCCTAATCTGGCAATTTCCTAAAAACTCAAAAATCACAGACCATCTACTTCCTAAATCATGCATCGGCTTCTACCTTGACAAAAATATCATCGGAGCCTCCCTCCTCCCCTGGTTCGGGCTTGATCGCAACCCATTGATTCTGTTGTGGTGGTGGTACCCAAGGCTCCGGCTGTGCAGACATCAAAGTATCCCCGGATTGATCTGTAGGAGGAACATCTGGGGAGAGCGATGGTGGAGAGGGGTACGGTGGTGGTCTTTGGCAGCAGCCCGAGAAGCAGAAATCCATCTGATCATTCCATTCTGGAGGGTTTGCTGCAGTTGTTACTGTAGGAGGAGCGGCGGCTTTGGGATGACCTTGACCAAATTGTTCATTGTTGTTGAACATGTGATCGAAAATCTGTGGAGCCCAGCCTGGGTTAAATGCCATGTTCACATCTTCTCCCGAATGTAGTGGCGGCATTGGCGCGAGATACAAATTGGCGTAAGGGTCAACCCGAAATTGCTGTTGCTGCTGATGCAAATCCGGCATTGTCATGTAAGGAAATGTGGCAGGGTCGGAGGACAAGATTGGCCCTCCAGAAGGCGTCCAGTATGAAGCTGCATTTGCGAAAGGATCATAAATCACTGGTGTGAAGCTGTTCATCTTTTCCACTCCCATGACTCCGTAATTCATCTTGCTTTCCTGCTTCATAAACTCATCCGGAGCAGAACGCTTCTTGAAAGTGCTATCGGAAGTGTAACTGTTTTCATAATTTGCGCTCTCGTATCCACTAGCCTTGTCGAAACTCTTGCCCTTGTCGTAAATGCTTTTTCCTTTTGTAGATTGCTTGGTTGTTTTCCCATACTCGGGTTTGCCGTTCGCTTTCTTCGGTTTTGCGGGTTTTGAGGCAGTAGTCGTTAAGCCTTCCATCTGCTGCTTGAAGCGCGAATACCGCATTCGTGCTGCATGGCCGTTGGAAATTTCTAGCTCCGTTGCTACGAGGCTCCAGTCGATCTATGAGAGGTCAGCAATTGAAAGTTGACATGTTGAGGATGGAATTAGCGACCCACAGTTTTGAGGTCCAGCTGTTTGAGGATTGTGTAGAGGAATCTGGTGGCATGGCCTTCGGTTGGCATAGTTTTGCTTCTTCTTATGGTAGCCATGATTTGAAGAACAGCGCTCTGTTGTTAACACAGAATATGAAGATTGTTGGTAGTAATCCTGAGTTCAGTGTTAATTTCTGAGAAATGAGAGTCTAGAAGAGTGATTTCCAATATTTAGGAAAGATATATGATTCTTAACTAATTCAGACACTGAATGGAGAGATGGGGATGCTCTTCTCCTTAATAACAGCTGCCTTCTAACAATGATGATTATGCCTAGACTTCCTGGAGACATAGAGAACTTGTTATACCTATGTTCCATCTTTGTATGCAAATTTTGAGGCCTTTGATAACCGGCTAAAGGACCAAAGTCCTTGTGACTTTGATATAGATGAGAGTAAATTGTTCAAACAGATTTTACTTCTTTCACCTGGACCATTTCTAAGGCTGTCGTCAAATCAAGCTTTAGGTCAGCTACTCTTTTATCAGCGCTCACATCTCGTAGTCCATCCATGAATAGAATTGTCCACTTTATCTAAATTCATTGCGTAATTGAGAAACAAATTCAGTAACCACTATCTGAATTTAGAATAAGTACAAAGAAAGTAAATGAGACAGGCCTTGAGCCTGGATTTCTGACCGCAGATATATTGCTTGAAAGAACATTGTGGCGGACTTTTTCGCATGTTCTTTATGCTTCTTAGCAATTGGACAGGATCGCGGCAAGACAGTCATTGATCAATACTTAGGCCTCTAATACAGAAGGAGATATTGGTTTACCGGTGTGTATTCTTCCAGATAGTGGCGTCGAAGATCTGGCCTGTTGTCTTGATTCGAGACTTGGAAGAAAGAACTGAAACTTCTCGGTGGTAGTACTATTCTTAAATCATTATTCGGATGAAATAGATCCCTCGTTTCTACTGACTTCTAAGTATTAGCTTCATGGGATGTAGTCTCGAGAACTTCTTCCTGTAAAAGATTCTTTGGCTGTGATTGGTTAGGTTGGGTGGTAGTCACCTGATGATCTGTAACCCTGTGGGTGTTAATCGATACTAGACGTCAACCCAACATACACTACTCATTCTTACATCAAAGAAGGAAATACAGATGAATGTGACAAAATGAACTAAACTTATTCATATACATAGTTGAAAGAAGATCTATTTGCCTCCTACCAGCTTGTAAGTGACAGTAAGTCTTGCAAATTTTACTTCTAGGTTTTTGGATTCAAGAGATAGAAAGTCGATCGCAACAGAGAAAGCTTGGATCAGCAAAGTCAATTCAGGTGGTTTAAAGGTACTAATTCCTGTAGTTAAGACTTTCCAATCACCCTTCCTATTCCTAAAACCACCACAAATCTCCAAACTCCCAATCATCCTCTCTAAAACTTCCTCATAATCGCAATGCAAATGATGATTGCATAGCTCGTGAGAAGAACGAACTGCAATACCATCAATAACGTCAAATCAATTAAAAATAAAGATCTATATATGAGTACTTACTGCTTGTGTAAATTCAGTCTGAATCTTCTGAAAACAACTGTTTCTTGACACCGAGGTGAGGTGTCTGAGGTGGCTTAAGTTCAGCCTCCTCCTCCGGGATTCCAAGATGAGCAGCAGGGGTCATTTTTTTCTGCTTCCTAGAAGAAGGAGTCTTTGATGGTGTTTCGGGCGCTTCTTTACGTTTGCGAGAAGCGGACTTTGGGGTAGAAGAATTAGCCGATGGAGTAACTGTACCGTCGCTACTCTGAGCTTTCAGTAGTTTTGCGTAGTTTTGACTGTTTTAAATAAGAACAAGATGGGCGCGTCAGCTAACTGCTTGATAGATAGAGTAGGAAATGTAGGTTCATTATGAAAGCCACGACTCCGTCATGAGATGGAACGCGCTAGGAGAGTACCGGATCATCATAATTTGCAGACAGAATGAACAGGGAGGTAGATCAGAGATCCTGAGGAGATGAATAGTAGTTGGGAAACAAACTTACCGACACGCGTTAGCTGAAAACCCCGGGCCCATCTTTTTAGCCACCTTTTCCCAGATCTCACCAGAGACCTGAGGGGTGACCTCTTGCAGGGTCATGATAAGGAATTTGCCATTCACACTGTCCGTCCAGTTAACCATCTTGACGGTGATTCGAGTGGTATGAGAGAGATGTAGGATTCAGAGCTTTGGAGCTGGTAGGTAACCCCGGAGTGAATGCTAAGTTGTGGTTATAGATGAGTGATGAGGGAAGATAGATTGAGGAAGAAAGAAGATTGATGGGGAGGAAGTAAAAATCTGTAGATAGAGGGGGAGGAGCTAGTAAGAGCTGACAACAGCAGAAGTGGAGTCAACTCGAGGCTGGTCTACAATCAAGATTATAATACCATGTCTTAGATACAGAGAAGCCCTGGTAATGATAGTTGCCCCAGCCCCCGGTTATTTCCTTCCTTTGAATATCATTCTGGGAAAATCTTTGCTCTTTTCTTGGCCCTTCTTCTTCCATGACCTACATCTTCATCCTCTGCCTTGACATCAAGATTCTCTCGATATCAAAGAGTATCAACTTCAAGACTTGAAACCAAAAGACATTATCTAAAGCGTGCCCAAGAGGCAACAAGCATCACCAGCTGCTCGAAAATCATGGCCCCGGCAAAGGATTCTGTTAAAAAGAGAATTACGTGGACGGAAGAGTTGACTCAGAAGGTGAGACACATCAACAATTGACTTCAAAAGCCTGCTTAGAATCTTCACTAACGACTAAGTACATAGATGTTCATTTCAATCATTAACACCCTTGAGCCGAGTCAGATTAACTACGCTAAAGTTGCCGAGCAACTCGGAGAAGGTAACGAGATCCTCTGATATCTGTTGCATATGGCTTGCACGCATGTGTTCTTCGAAATAGAACCAGAATGCTGACAAATATGTGGGATAGGGCACACGCGGGATACGGTTTACAAACGTATATATGATCTCGAAAAGAGATACAGCAACCAGGGAGACGGTTCGACTGTCAGAAGTGTGAAGCCAACTCCGACGAAGCGTAAGATCTCGAGCGAGACTCACTGACTTTCTCAGCATATTGGATGCGTTATTCTCAAAGCAAAGCATAGTCACCTCACCGAGGAAGTTAAAACTAAGACAAACGAAGAGTTGGAGGAGCAAGTCTTTAATCTGCGTGCAAAGCTTTTCAAGTTCGATCGCGAGTCTCATGAGTGAAAGGGACGTGGTATCGGCGATGTTGACTTTTGAAGCACAAGGCTCGCCTGGTCATGCGCAGAGATATGACGCTGAAGGTTTGCGCAAACTACTACAGTATTATCAGCCGGAAAAATATTTTCATAAACCACTCAAATTGCCAATCCTATAACGGGAAGTCCGTTTTTGGCCGAACGGTCTAATTTTCAGTAGCAGAGTGAGCCTAAAGTCACTTTTATCCCCCCCTTCCTGAGATTGGAGGTAGGGCAAGTCAAGCAAATGACTCTGGAGACTGCTTTGGCAAAGGCAGAGGAGAATATCTTTGTTTGTAGCTCCACTTACTGGTGTTTGTATGTTAGATATCTCCTGATTTGAAGAGTTCTTATGAGAAACTGGGTCCACCTACCTGTTTGTTGGGATATTGATGAGGGCTTTCTAATTGGATGTAACGAGGAAGTGGCTGATATCTGAGATAAGAATTGTCGGACTTGAGGCCGCTTCCAAAGCCGATGAAAGAGCCTGTTCCTATGACTGTGTCTCTATCAAAAGCTGTGGTGAGGTGAGAGATCCCCAGTGCTGATTGGTCAGTGGATACCTACATCGACTTCAGAGGGGTATTGGATTGTAGTTCTAGAACGAGATAAACAAGACAAAGAAACATCTTCTCTGTTTGATGTTTCAGAAAATTTCCTCGTGTTAACGGGTTTTCCCTGCTCGCATATTGGTTGGTTGACTTACTGGCAAACAGCGATACCCAGCCACCTCACTGAGCCCTAAAACCTCTCCTCCTCCCTTCCTCTCTCCTTCTTCTCTACGTTCTCTTCTTCCTCTATCTACAGATCTCTTCTCTGTGAACAACGCCCTTAACCTTCACTCAAACTATCTTCTACCATCTCTCTTATGCTACAGTCAACCAGCCAAAGCCTTCAAGAGCAATTTCACTTTATCCTTCAAAGATAATCTTAATACTCTATCTTGTTATCCTAATCTCACTTTCTTACACCTCTTCGATTCGGTTCATCATCGCCATTGAACTCATCTCAACCTCTCAAGCATTCCTCTGAGCAAGTTCACATTATACCAATACTGGAAAATCAGCCCTAACTAACAGCTCTTACCTCCAGGATCTTTACTATAAGGCAAAGTCCACATCACAAAGTAGGTAAAATGGTCAATTGGCAAGCATCTGACGCCGGCTTCCGCTTTTTAGCGGCCGTCTTTGCGGATCCGTCGATCAGGGTAAATCTATCTCACACACTGATATCTACGCTCCTCACTAATCAAATGCAACTCCTTTAGCCGGATGCAAACCAAGTAGCCAAACTTTTCGGCCGGGGAGCTACCAGCCGCGCTGTTGATCATCAATTTTCAAAGATCCGTCGAGCTTCCAAGGAACTAGTGGCGGAAGCGCAAAAGAATGGAGTTGAGATCTCAGCAACACCGCGAGCGGCTCGTACCCCTCGTACGCCCCGATCTGGTGGAGTTTTCAGATCTGGAGCGAGCACAAAGGCACATTCAAAGGACAAGGGACTGGATACGCCAACGAAGTCCCGAAAGGGAACTCTTTCTGCTGGCGGACTGTCAATGATGGACGCGATTACTGTTGACACGGACAAAGACGACGAAAGCGTCATAAGCGTCGCAAAGTTCGATACGATGTCCATACAAAGTGACACCAAGGAAGAAAGTGAGCACGATACAGTGGAACCGAAGCGTGAAGCGGACCTTACAACTCCCAGCATCCAGCTTTTTGGTCAACGTCCTACAACACCCCGCGTGGATAGCCGCAGCAACGGTTATGTTTTGGGAACTGGAAAGAAGTCTACTGTGACTGCAAATGTAGCGTCGGAATTCAGCATGGACGACATCTTTGGAAATTATGAGTGAGCGGGATTAGAATAGAAATATTTTTGTTTTTTTGGTGCATGGGGGGAAGATACCGCTTTTTATCTTACATGGTGTTAATTGCTAGGTAGTTGGTGACATTTCAATATCACAAGATTGGGTTTCGACAATATATCCTCTGTGTAAGGCCTTGTAGGATAGGCTAATCAAACTTCGAATGTCCGTAGATAAAGTCCAAGGGTACCATTAGTGAAGGTAGTACATGCTTCCTCTTGCTTCGGTCGAGAGACAAAAGATACGATTTAAGGTCAAGTATATATGGGTAAAGAGTACTCCAACCAATTGGATATTTTGTAAGCTGTGCCACTTCTAGTACGATGTCTGCCATAACTACTGTAGTGTGATACGGGCAATGATAGGGGATTTCATTCATAGTAGTAACTAATAGTAGTAATACTAATATTTGAGCAATGCCCTTTGCCTGTTTACTTCGAATATTCGTCGATGAGAAAGCAGGATTCCACCCCTGACTGAGCCCTTGGACAATAATTGTACATCTCGATGATAATTTGTGACTTGATGTATCCCCGACCATGCAGTACACCTCTACCCGAGCCAGAAACTCCACCATAGACTCCATAGTAAAAATAGAAAGTAGTTCATAAAAAATAAAGAAAAAGGAATTCGACAGTTGGAAATCGTGACTCGAGACATACTCATCGTATACGACTGTTCTCACCAGGCGTGTCGGTCATTGTCCGGGTCCCAATCTTCTCCTTCCCAGTCCTCGTCACCGCTCTGCTCTGAATCTAGAAAGTCGCCTTCGCTGTATTGGTTCTCCGCAGGACGCAGGGCATCGATTCTGAAAGTTACGCTATCACACATTCCTTGGACATAAACGTTTGAGGATCCCGCATTGTCTTCTGCATTATCGCTGTTGACATCATGACCAGTCTCCTCCATTTCGTCGTCCTCCTCGCCGTTATCGACTCCTGCAAGGCGTTGTCTGGCTACGCGAGCACTATGCCGATGTGAGTGCCGCTGACCCGTAACCCCTCTAGAAGCATGAATCGTGTCGGAAGTCGTGTTGGCGGCAAGATCTTTGCGGAGAAAGGTTCGCTTGAGCTTGTCTTCCCAGAGCTGACGAAAAGAAGCTCTGTCTTGCCAGTTCATCTGCACTGTTGCCACAATGTTAATCTTTCGCAGGTCTGGGAGGTCAGGAGCAGCATCGACGAGAGAAGTCAAAAATGTTGCCGCCCGAGGTTTGTCCCATTGGCGAAGATGCAAAAGCTCAATCTCTTGAAGTGTCCGAGGCCAAGTTGGAACCTCGCCAATTTTAAAGAGATTCTTGAAGTGAGGCATCCCATTGTAGTGGGGAGGCCAGTTGTGCATAAGAAAGTCAACAGAGAGCCTCTCAAGGTTTGGACATGCATCCCTCAGAATAGTCATGAAAGACATATTGAGATGTCGGTTATGTTTCAGCACTAGCTGCCGTAAACAAGATCCACGGTCGGTCAAGAATGCACTGAATGCTGTTGTGCCTACTTCGTCACAGTTGTCAAGAGTAAGTGAGCTCAATGTCGACGGCATTGCGGAAAATAGCACCTCATTAACGGCTCCACAATCGGTAAAAGACACAACCTGTAGATCTGGCAGTAGACATAATGCTTCCCCAAGTCCCTTTTCAATGGCCGGTTCATCGGGATACTCTTCCATCCTCGATGGAACAACTTCGTCGGAATGGATGTGGAACAGGTTCAAACTGCGAATGCCTTGAAAGGTCGTCTCGTGGTGACGCAACAGCATGGTATCAATCAGGGCTCGCGTCTCCATGTACCGGATATTCCAGTCAAATGTATGTAAGCGGACATTGCTTGTTTTCAACGTCTCAAACAGTGCTGAAGGATAGTTCCAGCGGGGAGTACGATCTGCCCACAAAGGCTGTTTGCCATCATTTGAATCGAACAGCCGAAGTGACTTGATATGTGGCACTTTTTGTATGAGTTTGCAGATATCAAAGTAACCGTACGTTGGCCCTGTTTTGTACACAAGGGTTAAGCGGACATCGATGAGAACTTCCTGCACCTTGGCCGGGTAATTCACGGAAAGACGGTCGTTGGGCTGCGACAGGAGAAACAGGATTCTATGCGCCTTGAGAGATCCCATGAGCACAAGCGTGTGATACAGAGCGCTCAGTGCTGGGTCTGCAAAGGAACGGCATAGTAAAGCGATGTCTAGCAGCTTTTTTGCCGATTGCGTTTCCACTCCTTGCCTGGTGTCTACCAGCGGAGGAAATGCATACAAAAAGATACTCAATAGCACCTGGTAGGGTAAAGTTTGCCAAGGAGGTGCCGACTGATTTACCTCAGTCGTCGACTCGGCCTGTCGACGCTTGCGAGGTGATTGAACGGGAGTCCGCTTTCTCTTAGTTGGAGAAGCCTCTGCATGATGCTGCCGTAGCCGCGCACTAGTACGAGATGGTTGAGACGCAGATTGCGAGTTTCTGCTAGGAGGCGTAACCATTTCGGGGTAGCGAGCAATAACGCTGTCCAAGTCCTCATCCGAGGAAGGCTCTTGATATGTTCTTGGCTTGGAGACAGTGCGTTTGGGGCGGCTACTTGATGCAGAGGCAACAGATTGGTTGCGGGTATTACGACGCCTAGTAGAAGAGCGTCGCCATGTAGCGGCAGTATCAGAGTCCTCTTGATCGTCCTCGGATAAGCTGGAGTCTGTCGCTGAAGTTTCGTTGTATGATGCGATTTGACGTCTGCTGCTCCGAACGGGGTGAGACTGTGTCTCCACTGCGGTAGTACTCGCAGCGAATCGCCTTGAAGAAACCATGATACGAGGCTGCTAAAAGCGCTTTAAAAGAGTTAGTCAGTCAAGGTGGGTGGTCAAGTAACAGCAAAGTGGGGCAGCTTCATTAGCTCCTGCAGCTTGACTTTGGTGAAACTCTGCATGCGCTGAATGACTATTAACAATATGACTTGGTTGAGCGACTGGAAGAGAGAAAGGACACACTGGAGATGGATTTCGAGCAGTATGTGGGAGGAGAGCAAGAAAGAAAGAAAGGAACAAGAAAGAGAAAAATGATGATGGAGAGTGCCCCGGTGGGGAGGGCAAGAGCCGGCCGACAACAATTCGGAAGGAGCTCCCAGAAGGGAAGCACGCGTCATGATTGGCTGGCTCCCATTTGGTGGCCGAATGGGGCAATTCCGGCAAAATAATCTTGCGCTCTTATCTTATCTCTTATCGATTAGATAGCGAACAAGACTTGGGGTCATGTGACTGTCTGTGGTCCGTGGCTTTGTGGTTAAGTTCTCGGGTTAGGGTTGCCACTGGATGAGCCAGCGGCAAGCCCCGCCTCTTAAAATAGAAAATCAGGGGACTAGTCCCAATAGTGTCCGTGCTGGTCTCCTCCGCTCTCTTTCCTCATCGTCCGTCTCTTCTTCCTTTATCACTCCGGAACTATTATTTATCGCTGGCTGGGTGTCATGTTCTATCATCATTGCTGCGTTTCAGGATAGCGGCAATGTTATTACGGTATTACTATAGCTCTTCTCCTCTGCGCTTGCTTTCTCCGACATGAGATATCATTGATACGTATCTATCTGACTTTCCGTTCCGATCACTCTGATTCGCTGCAACGGCGTAACATCTCATTCCGGTGATCATCATATCAGCTACCGGACGTATTGTCCAGGTCATTTTTCATAATCTGCGAACTTACAATAATATTTGTATACGCCCGGAGTACATCAAGCCCACAATGGAATCTCCATTCAAGGCCCCAGTGCCGCAACCGGCCGATGCGAGCAACTCAATTGTCATCCAGCAGTTCGCCAGGTACCCGCCTGTCTTTGAGACGCCTATGCGCAGTGACTCCCCAGGAAGTACGACAAGCAGGCTTGCTGCATCTCAGTCTCCGCCATTGCGACGCAAAGAGACTCCGCGCAGCTTACAGTCATCGCCTAGAGGGCCCTTGTCCGGTGGAGTCATGCCGCCCTCCGGACTGCGTACAGGCATTTCCATGTCACCACCAATGACTGATTTGGCCTCTCGCCAGACGTTTCCAAGAGACTCCGAGGGCGAGGGAGACGCCGACCATCGGGTTCTACCTTCACGGGAGGTTACGGATGAATCCATCGATGACGCCTATGTGGCATTCATTATGTATTGCAATCCTAACGTGCCGGCCTCTACTGATTCCAGTGAATTGCGAAAGACCTTCCGAGTGCCACCTCGCAGTGACGGGAAGAACTTTAGCATATACGTTCTGTGGGAACTAATTCGAAAGTTCGACCGCAAGGAAATCAAAACGTGGATTCAATTAGCGATTGAGTTGGGCGTTGAGCCTCCTTCTATTGAGAAGAAGCAGAGCACTCAAAAGGTGCAGCAGTATGCTGTCCGGTTAAAGGTAGGTTTATTGGCTGACTTAAATCAAGTTAAAAAGTACTGATTATGAGTCGTACAGCGTTGGATGCGTGCAATGCATGTGGACGCGTTCTTTGAATATCTCCTTGGACATGATCATGACTACTATAAACAACTCCCTTTATCAAATGCTCCCGCTAGTGAGGACCGTGATGGCGTTCCCTTAGAAGAAGACTTGGCGTTGAGGGCACTGGTACCAGAATGGAAGCCGAAACGAGGCAGAAAACGCGCCGAAGATAAGGAGAAAGAAGACTCTCGCTTTACGAAACGGCCTCAACTGGATACGTCTATGGCGATCTTGGATAACAACACGTTGGCGGCTCATGCGGCTAACTTTCCTCAAAGTGCCATCCCATTTAGCGCTTTTCCAGATGACATGGACGCACCTAATGATCCGTGGGTGGCTACTGCGTCCACATTTGGGACTGATCAGAATTCAGAAACCATCTCTGGTCAAGATCTTCGTTGGCGACCCTTCGAAGGAGATGGGTCTCCTCCGGGGTTTCCTCGATCCGCGATTATACCCAGGAATCACCAGAATGAACCGTCGTCTGTCGTGGAGCCGCGTTCTGCATTGACACCTTCCACCGGGGAGAAGTCTCGTAGCAGAAGACGCCACGGCCCAGCTGTTTCTTCTGCATGGCCTAACACGTCAGGATCGATGACGGGCAAAATACGAGGTCGCCCACCAAACCGTGGGTCTGCTCCTGGCGGTCCATTCTCATCATTTCCAGTCAATCCTGCGCGATCAAATACGCCCGGTGATGGTCCTGGTCTGCAATCTTCGCCCGCTATTGGATTGGAACATCTACCACTGGCACCACCGCGCAACTCAATGTCGAATTCTGTCAGTCAAATAAACACCAAACCCGATAAATTACAGTTGCATGTTCCACAAATCAACGGTCGACCGGTTCGCTTAGCCACGCCGCCAACTGTAGTGCTCAATGGCATTAATGACGTCTCTAATAACTTCAATTCATTCCCAGGACGCCGTGACTCTGTCGCTACATCCATTGATGCTGATGACGTCGCGTCTCTACCATCTGTAGCAACAGAGCGAACAGCGCAACCCGGGAAAGTCTCTATCAACGATGTCACCCGTGCGGTTGCCAATAAGATCTTGCGGTCTAAATTGATTGGCCGAACTATACCTATTGGTGCGGACGAAGCTCGTTCTCTTGCACAAGCAGCAGTGCAGAGACTTGGCAATATATACGGCATGCTTCCGATGGATTCAGTTGCCATGTTCTGTGCTTTGTATTTCGGCGTTGCCCAAAAACTAGGCCTGGCTCGTGCATCTCCAGCGACGCTCACTGTCCAAGTATCAGCGTCAACCTCGAACGGGTCTGATTCATATGCCGTCTATTCCATATTCATAGAAGACGATCAACCGGGTCAGGGGTTTAGATTCAACACCACTCTAAGCGGGTTGACGTTGTCACTGAATCGCGCAGACTCCACTTTCAAAAACAATCTGGAATCGACAGGATTTCAGACGGATGAAGATGAATTTGAAAATGACGATTTTGTTGGTGGGGGTTCAACTGATGAAGGCAGCTGGAAACAGCGATATATGCGCCTACGACAGCAGATGCGTCGCAAAGAGGCTGCTATACGAGAATACAAGAAAAACATCTTGCAATCTGTGATGGCTGATCTATAGTTAACTTTTGGTTGTGGTTAGCAACTACATACGATACCCATTGTGCGCTTTTCTCGTTGAGAGTTCCTCAGAATCCTGGATGTGATATGATAAATATGTGTAGAATTACATACTGTTCTATGAAGTCGATTGTGATAGGCTATAGATCGCAATTCACAAATAGTGGAGGCCGAGGCATTATTAGACGGATTTGCCCGGTCACATCGTCTAAGCTGAGCTTGAGAATGGAAGTATAGGTCAATACAAAGTCGAGCTCTATAAATCCACTTGTGCAGGATCTTGCCATTAGTTACTTGATACAAAAGCCCCAACTACCAACCACCTCTCTATCTTCTTTCATACCTCCCCTGCTACCATCGGTTCTCTTTAATCCAAACCTCAGCCCCCGATGCCTAATAACATCTTTTTCACTTCATCCTTTTCCTGCCGGACTTGCAAAGCTACACAATTCTCAAACACATTTATCAGATTATCCTCTGTTTCAACTTCCTCCCGAGGAGCAAAACAAGTCTTTCTTTTCAACTTTCCATTTTCAACCAAGCTCCAGCCGGCATCCAAGGTTTGTTTTGGCAATCTTACTTATGTTCATGAACCAAGTTCAAGCTTCATATCGTCGCTCCATTGATCGATCAACAAGCAAAGCTTCCTGCATACACTGAAAATGGCTCCTCTCTCTGACGAAGACCATATTGTGTTCCTGCTCTCCTGTCTCCGCAACTCTGCAGGGCCGGTAAGTTGTGTCTCTCTTCGTATTTAAATGGTTAACGGGTACTGAATTTCATCATAACAGGTCGATTTCAACAAGGTTGCTCAGGAATGCAGTATTGTGAGTGTTGGAGCTGCGTAAGATCCATCATTTCCCACTCAGTTCAATATACATGGTACTGATTACTTGTCTATTAAAGTTCCAAGCGTTTGTCTCGTCTTTCTCAGAAGTATCAGAATGGTGTTGTTGGTGGAGGAGATACTGGTTCCAATGAGGAAGGAGGAGTGAAACTGAAGGATTTCGGCGATAACGAAGTTTCACCATCCAAGAAAACTCCCAAGAAAGAGAATCGCAGTGGCAAGGGCGCTGTGAAGATTGAGAAATCTTCTTCCAAGGATGTTACTGCTCCGCGTGCTGTTGGTGTTGGCAAGAAACGGTCTCCTGTCAAGAGCAAGGCCAACGCTACTGCAGCTTTCACCCCTGCTGTTGAAGGGACCGACCTGAAGACAGACGACGGGGATCATGGTTACGGTGATGATGATGCGGACGCAGAATTCGTGCCGGGTTTCTTCAATGAGGAGATCTTTCGTGGTATGGTGGGCGGAGAGCATGATGACACTGACTAGATGGAAGGGGTATCAAGTTCACAGGTTTCTGGACCTGATAATCATTTGGATAGGATGGAGATATTAGGGGATAGGTTTCTTTTTCTTTTGAAGATTTGGCTGCTCTCCATGGACATGCCAACTACGAAAGTTATGTAGATCCTTTAGAGAACTTGCTAGCTAGACTTTCAATTCAGTCAGTCTTGCTACCTTGGTTTGGAAATTATGCCTATGTAGAGTTCTCCCAAGTGTGCTTGAGTTTTTACGGCTCTTAGACAGTCACCATTGAGGATTTTGAGTTACAAGGACCACTTGGACTCACTTGATGCCGTGGACACTTCTATCTAAGCAAGCCAATGGCTTGATAATAGTAATGTATGACTTGGGGAAATTTGACGGCGTCTGCCACCAGATTTTTTGTATTTCTAGTACCCTATTACTGGGCAAAGGAAAGCTCTTACTAGTGGGCTGGGACTACCACCTCATGCAAACAAAACAGATGGGGCTGGGGAGTATAAATAGTCACTGGTCCCCTCTTTTCCTCCTTTTTCTCCTTCATCTCTTTCTCTCCTCTGCACATTTCCTCTTTATCCCTCTAATTGATTCACATCAGTCAACATCCACACTTCGCTTTAAGATTACTGAAAGGTATGAGCTAACCTACTCGCTCAACTACTGAAGTCATAGATGAGCTCATTACTGACTGTCTTTCAAGACCTCGACACAAAACCAAGCACTTCATCACCAAAGATGCCTCCCAAGAAAGCAGCAGAAACCACCGACATTCAAGTCGACCCTGGAAAACCAGATGAAACTGCTATGCTTTTCGCTTTTGAGGTTCTCAGAAACATCAATAACAATGGGCAGGTAAGTAGCTGAACGTCTAGCCCTCACTTCTTCTTTTGCTTCTCAGAATAGCTCACTAAATGACTACTTGATTTTCTCCAGCTCGACATCGCTGCATTGTCCAAGACTATGGGTCATACCAATGTAGCGAGCACTCGAAACGCGTTTGCTCGCTACAAAAAGCGCTGGGGATTTGGAAACATTATCACCAAAAGCGCAGCCGGCACCTCCACCCCGCCGGAGGAGACTCCTTGCGCTAGTATGCCCTCTTCTTCCCCTGATTTCATCTTCCAGGAAATGTCTAACACATATATGAACTATACAACAGGCGTTCTAAAGCCCAACAATGACGCAAACAAGGTCACGAAGAAGGGTGGTCGTCCGGCGGGGATGAGTGCAAAAGGCGTCTCTTCCAAGAAGCAATCTGATCCCGTCAAGACCGAGGTCTCCTCTGAGGTCAAGGCGGAGCAATCAGACGAAGATTGAACTCGGATACTTCAGTATAGGCGAGGTAATCATTGCCATTGTCTTTACCATATTTTGTGTTTTCGGCGTACGCCAAATAATGAACATTTTTTCTTTTTCAGTTTCAGGGGGCGTTAGAAGCAAATCACAATCTTGGGTTCTTGATTAGTGACTGGAAAATATAATACCATTGCCAATTGGTGAGTATTTAGCAGAAAATCGATGATTTTGACATTGCTTGAATCTCTTTTTTTTTTGTCTAAAACCTCTGTAGTTGTCTGTATCGTGCTGTTTTGGCTTCGTGTGATGGTGTGTCGTCGATCTGCTGTTTGAGGCCTCAAAATGATTTACATTACACACTAAGACAATTTTGGACTAGAGCAAAATCTGTGCCTGAATTCCGGGGCAGCAACCTGACTCCACAATCTTATCAAATCAACTGATCTGATCGATGCTCTGCTGCCCAAACTGACCAGCTTAAAACAACCTTTCAAAGCTTTTTCAAAATGTTTAAATTATCGTGAACGAAAGAATCTTACTGTCGTCCCCGCTGGTCGAATTTCCAATCCTTCTCCTTCCTCAATAAATACTTTGTGAGCTCGACTATTCTCCGTCCGGCTTCATGGCCGCAGAGGAACCCCAAGATAGCGCGGGGCCTTCATCTCCACCACCCCCGTTACCAGAAGGATGGTAAGTAATTTATCTCTGCCTGTTGAATGAAGCTTGTTTGATGCTAATTCATGCCGCAAATAATAGGCTAGCACAATGGGAAGGCGTGTCACGGAAATGGTACTACGTCCAACGCGCAACGGGCAAGTCACAATGGGACATCCCCACAGAACCCGTGATATTAACGCCATCTACCACACCTGGTTCAATTGGTAATGGTCCAACGCAAGCACCCAGAGTCGGATCGCAGTCGTTGAGTCCACAGACTCTGGCGGCTGAGTCGCCGGATTTGAGTGCTTCGAGGGGTCTGTTTAGTGGTAATTCAACTACGAGACCTGGTTTGTCTGTATGAAACATCATATCTTTTCTATCCGTCGATGTGGATAGACAAAGGAAATGCTAATGTGTGGTACAGGGTGTGCTTGGATCTGGTGGGAATTCAGCAATAACGCAGATAGCCGATAGAGTAATTGGTAGGATTGCGAAGGATTTCATTCCTGGTAAACATGGTATTCAATCGTCGCCGGGCGTCTCGAATAATTCTAGCTCGCATGGGTCTTATGGATCGGGGCATAATACATTGCAGAATCAGGTAGGGCAGCCAGAGTGTTATTATCCGTTGTGTGACAAGCTGACAGTGATCGCAGGCTGGACAGAATTCCTTCGGCTACGCATCTACGGGTCAGTCTGGTACGTATACGGGGAGTGCACCACAATACTATCCGCCAGGACAAACGGGCCCCCAGCCAAGCGATATCCCTCAACATCCACCTGCAGGTTCCTCAGCATATCCATCTCAATATCATGCCGGGAATCAGCCAGTCCAGCCTAATCAGTTCTCCTCTGTGAATCCGGGATCACAGCAGCCGTGGCCGACTCAAACTTCATTCTCTCAAAACCCTCATCCCGCATATCAGCAGCCAGAAACATATGGGCATGTCAATAATCTTTCCGGAAACATTCCACCTCAACCAGAATGGCAAGCTGGCGCACATCCACCTGTACCTCATTCTACGAAACCTGGGGGTCCTTTACCGCAACCTGGCTCCAATATTTCATCTGCAATAACTAATAGCCACCCACCACCACCGAGTGGTAATTATCAACCTCCTTATCATCAACAAGCCCCTCAACATACGACTCAACAAGGACCGGATCCTTATGGTCATGGCCAGTACCAGTACCCCTATCAACAGGCCCTGCACGGAAACCCAAGCATAGGAGGACCTACGCAACCAGGTCAACAACAACAGCAACAATACGCCAGCACTTACCAACAACACCCCCAGGTTCCAAGTTCCCAGCATTCATCACCATATCATTCCAATAGTGGACCGATATCAGCACCTCCACCTGGTATTCCGAACTTCCAACAGCAATCAAACCAGCTCCCACATCCTAACAACCTGATATCACCACCGAACCAATACCCGCCAAACAACATCCCAAACAATCCTCCCTCACATACCCCCGCGTTTGCCGTAGAGCTACCAGACAATCAAATCAATCCCAAGCATCAAATGATGAATATGCAAAACCGTCCGCCTAATCAACACCAATACGGTCAGCAGCAACAGGTATACCCACCACAACTCGATATGCCTCAGAAACCTCACCAGCCGCCGGCCCCCAATTCTGCCATGGGCTTGGATATAAGACCTAGTCCTACCCCCATGCGACATACGCCAACGGATCCGTCATTTGTGAGTGGACCGTGGACGTCGCCGCCTGCGACTATAGGTCATCATTATCCGCCGAATAGGTATAACAATCCTGGTGGCTACTAGAAGTTTGTATTATGTAAACTTTACTTTGCTATGTCCGAGTGTTTTTTTTTTTGGCAGATTATCGTTCTTGCTGTCACTATGTATACGATCATGATTGCTCGGCGTTAGAATGTACACATGATGATATCCATGAATGAGCTTGATTGGGGCAGCAGTAAATTATAGACCATGACTACTTTTATCCAAGTTCAGGCTCACATTACTCAACAGGTCAACTCTGCAAATCCTACTTGAGCAACGAAATGATTGATATGTAGCTGTTCCACCAGCCAATCACATCAATTGAAGCTTCGCTGTGGGTCCGGATACTATGAAGGCGGTGAAAACTTCTCCAAGGGAAAAAAAATATTCTGCCGTTTTTAGTCCATCCCGATTAAAAAGTCAAAAAAGAATCCGTCGCATTTATTTGCTCTCTACAATCAATTATCTTCTTCTCTGATCTCATCAAGAATAACAATCAGAAGAAGACGGAAGAAAATGGCGTCTGTGTATAAATCAATATCGAAAAAGAAGCAAGAGCGCCTCGTCGCCGACGAAGTGGACGAAGATGAAGATGTGGATATGAACGATTTGATTGATGAAGAGACGAGTGACAGCGACGATGAAGATGAAGAGGAAGATGGAAGTAAGGAGAATGCTGTGAATGACTCGAATGGTCAGCAAACGAATAAAAATGAAGGGTTCATGCCGAAGACTCGAGTATTGATGCTTACATCTAGGGGTGTTACGCACCGGTACGTTTTCCACATTTATATTCGCTTCGAAGTCGATATCAACTACTAATTGGATACAATTGCAGACACCGATATTTACTTTCCGATCTCTCTGCGCTACTTCCTCATACACACAAGGAGAACAAGTTAGACACCAAGAAAAGTGGAGGATATAACATGCTACTTAACTCACTCGCTGAACTACACTCTTGCAACGTCGTCTTCTTCCTCGAAGCCCGCAAACGCGGTCAGGATCTATACCTGTGGCTCTCGCGCCCACCCAATGGTCCTACCATCAAGTTTTCTGTCACAAACTTGCATACCATGGGCGAAATGGGTACTGGGTTTGCGGGAAACTGTTTGAAAGGTGGTCGCGGCGTCGTCGTCTTTGACAAATCCTTTGACGAAAAGGGCCCTGAAGCCGTCGGTCAGACCGGTACTGAGTACCGTGGACTTATCAGGGAGATGCTTCGCAAAGTGTTTTGTGTCCCTAAGCGTGGTGTCAAGGGCATGAAGCCATTCGTTGATCGCATTATCGGTGTGTTTGGTGTTGATGGCAAAATCTGGATCAGAGTCTATGAAATCCGGGAGTCGGAAGCAGGAGCCAAGAGCAAAGAGGAGCAGGCAGATGGAGAAGGAAACAAAAAATCAGCCAAGGGCTCAAAGACTAGTGGGCCGGAAGTCTCACTCGTCGAAATTGGTCCCCGTTTTGTCCTCACTCCCATCGTCATTCTAGAGGGTAGTTTTGGTGGGCCCGTCATCTACGAGAATAAGGAGTACGTGAGCCCGAACCAAGTCCGTCGCGATATACGTCTTGAGAAGGCCAGTCGATATGCGCAAAGGCGCGACGTCCAGACCGATCACGAGGTCAAGAAATCAGCCTTGGGTCTCGGAAAGGAAAGCAGAAAAAGAGATGCTTTAGATACTAGGGAAGTGTTTGGCTAAGTCCATAACAGAGTTCTTCGTCTTTCGATTTTCGTGGAGATATCCTTAGGCACATGCATTATGTTCAGTTTTCGACTGTGCTGGCGGCGTTTGGTGTTAGTTGATATACATAGGTATTGAAAAGTCTTATCTTCCTTAATCTGCACCCGGTGTGCATATTTTTTGATTGTATCACATCTCATGTTAGTTAACATATCGATACGTTGGGGCTCCCACTAGATGCACGGGTCCGCGCACATTATGTAATACTGAAGCTTATGTAAGCACAAAATTACGGTATTGGTCTTACTGATGGATTCTCAATAATTACCTGCAGCACTCTCTCCCTTATCAACATATGGGCCTATGTCTACGGCCAGCTCGTTTCCAGTCGATTGTCTCCCTCCCGAAGCCGTCTACGAGTCCTGAGGAGCTTATTTATATCAATTAATACGTGGGCTCTCACCAGAGGTTATGCCTTTACACAGGAAGGTCGACAAGAGAAGAGAGCGGGAGAGTTACCGCTACATAAGCATGCGGTCAAGGCCGCCGACAACCTGATGCGTCGAGAGAGCGCCGAAAACAACCACTAGCTGTCCCTATAACCCTAAATAATCCCTAATCTTAACCCCTTGAGAATCTATCAGCAAGACTAATACCGTAACTTTATGCTTACATAAGCTTCATTATTAACGTAATCGGACACTGTGACGGCTGCAAGAATCGCTGTCGTGTGAGCTCGGTCCTTTGTAGTGCCGCTCCGTGGCCTCGTTGAGCCCTAAGCCCTAGCTGGCCGTACAACGGGATATCCCTTTGTTGTTACGACTTCCTATTTAGGCACCGACGAGACGATACGCGCTTACAAAGGGCTGTAGCGAGCTCACACACAGATTCTTCCTTTCCCCTTCTTTTCTGTATGCTTAGTTTCTTGAAGATGAGCTACCCTAGAGTTTAGGCCTGAGCAAATGTCACAGACACCACTGACACCAACCCGCCAGTCTGCGTATCGCATATAAAATAGCCATTACTACCACCAAGATATTTCAACAAAAATATATATAAATCATAGGTGAAAATTAGATATATAGTTTGTATGTAGGCTTTGAATGATAGACCGTTCTAAAAACTTAGCGATTGAGTAAGTATTAATCAATATTACTGTAACATACGACCAATCCAACCAAGTGATATTCACTATCTAGGTGCCAGTGCTGACGAGAAACTGAGTATGAAGAGGAAAACTATCTATCAAGGAGGAACAGCCCGTATTTAAACCTCTACCCATATTTACTCATTGATAGTAACGTCCATCTCATACAAACCTCTGTTGCCTCACCCGCATCTCAATAGGGAATCAGTGCGTATCAATAACAAATGACAATGCCGATTGATATCACATTTATTGATGGAGACCTTAATTCAAAGGATTCCCAATCAATAAGTGACGCCAAGCCGAAAGCTAGGGCTGAGCCGTCACAATTACATGATATTACAAAAAATCCAGAATACTCCGTTGTATTTTAGTATTTTTCGTGAGTCAGGAATATTTCGTAAAAGTTTTAAAGTACATTATTAGCAAAGCTTATAGCTGTATATATCTAACTTTCATCTATGATTTCGATATATTTTTGTTGAGATATCTTGGCAGTAAGGGCTATTTTATATGCGATACGCAGACTGGCGGGTTGGTGTCAGTGGCGGGTGGGTGTCCGATTACGCTACATAACGTGCGCGGACCCGTGCACCTAAGTTAACGTAATTCCCAAGCGAACCGCCCACCCAAGCGACCCGCCCACCTCCCCGAAAAATAACTCTCTATATTGATTTCTCATATTTCAACCGTCAAAATGCCACCAATTCGCAAGAAAGATCCCTTAAAATCTGCTCAGATAGAGGGAAAGATCCAGTTAGCTATTTCTGATTTGAAAAATGGAAGAATTTCCAATATTCGTGAAGCTACAAGGATTTATGATATTCCTCGTACGACTCTCCGAGATCGACTCAAAGGCATTGAATATAAAGGTGAAAAGCGCGCCAACCACCATAAATTGACTCAATCTGAGGAGGATTCACTTGTCAAATGGGTTCTTGATTTAGATCGACGTGGATTACCTCCCCGACATTCTCTTGTACGAGAAATGGTCAATTATCTTCTACAACAACATGGAAAATCACAAGTTGGAAAAAACTGGGTGACCAATCTGATTAAACGCCGTCCGGAGATTGATTCTAAATTCGCAAGGAAATATAACTATGAACGTGCCAAATGTGAAGATCCAAAGATAATTCAAGAACATTTTGACCGCGTACGAGCTGCTATATCTGAGTATGGAATCTTACCAGAAGATATCTATAACTTTGATGAGACTGGCTTTGCTATGGGACTCTGTGCATCTGCGAAGGTTATTACTGGAAGCGATCGATATGCTCAGCCAAAGCTTTTACAGCCTGGAAATCGAGAATGGGTGACTGCAATTGAAGCAACAAATTCAACTGGTTGGGCGTTACCTTCGTACATTATTTTCAAAGCAAAGAAAAACGTACGATTAGGTTGGTTTGAGGATCTTCCAGATGATTGGAGAATCAATATTAGCGATAATGGTTGGACAACAGATCAAATAGGATTAGAATGGCTTAAAACCCATTTTATTCCTAATATTAATGATCGTACAATGGGAAAATACCGAATGTTGATTCTTGATGGCCATGGAAGCCATTTGACTCCAGAATTTGATCGTACATGCACTGAGAATAATATTATTCCAATCTGCATGCCACCTCATTCTTCGCATCTATTACAGCCTCTTGATGTTGGCTGTTTTGCAGTTTTAAAACGGTATTATGGGCAGGTTGTTGAGCAACGAATGAGGCTTGGATTCAATCATATCGACAAAATGGACTTTTTAACAGCATTTCCACAGGCTCGTACAGTGGCATATAAAGCTCAATCTATTCAGAATAGCCTCGCAGCCACTGGATTAGTGCCTTTCAATCCAGATCGAGTTCTTCAATATCTTAATATTCAATTGAAGACTCCAACCCCCCCTCCAAGTCGATCAAGCAATACAGCATCATCCTGCTTACAAACACCTCAAAATATACGCCAATTTGTACGCCAGTCAACTACAATCAATAAACATATAAATGAGCGCACAGGAAATCAGAATCAAGAAATCAATCAGGCAGTTATACGGTTGTCAAAAGCCTACGAAATACTAGCGAATGATACTTTACTCGTACGGAAAGAAAACCATGATTTACGAGCTGCGAATGAAAAAGAGAAGCAAAAACGCCAAAAATCTAAGAAACAGATATCTATTGAGCATGGGATTACTAGTGAAGAAGCTCAAGCGCTTGTACAAGGTCACGTTGAGGCATCTCAAGCTGTTATGGCTGCTCCAGTTGAGCCGGAGCTCCCAGCTTCTCAAGCAGTCGTACGCCGCCAATTTCGCTGCAGTGGTTGTGGTGTTGAAGGACATAAAATTAATCGATGTCCTAATCGTACTACTAATTAATTTTTTGTATATAATTTGTATGTGATTAAGAAATTGTGATTTGAAATCAATATAGAGAGTTATTTTTCGGGGAGGTGGGCGGGTCGCTTGGGTGGGCGGTTCGCTTGGGAATTACGTTAGTGGGAGCCATGCGTTGGCTGGTCGCTTACGTAAACACAACCATCAGACTGACTTGGCGCGGGCGTATAAATACATAAAGGTGTCAGCCGCGTCCGAACCTCTTCATTTCCCGTTCCTTCAACAACCATCAAGCTATGGCTGCTCATAGGACCAACGGTCCTGCAAGTTTGCAGGTCCGTTCTATTCAGCATATATGCTGTAACACGATGACTTGTCTCAAATTTGGTACACTTGAATCCCCCAAGGAAGGGGTCAGCTTCAAGTAGATCATTCGGTGCCACTAGTGACGGCTTTTGAGCGCATATGACGCGCGAAGAAGTCGTCTACACTCTCATATTTTGAGATATTCATTTGCTTATTAATTAAAAATCTTCGGTACATCATTGCATTATATCGAATACTATTCAGAAACGACTCAACGCTATCTTAGACCGATTATCAGACTTTCACTTACTAGGTATGCGTCCTTTGTCAGTTATCGGCTGATTCATCTCATACTAACTCCTCTTGATATCTACAGAACCATTCTCAATCATAGCATCTACTAGACCTTCCAACGGAGCTCTTCGCTCCAAATCTTCCGCTCTAACAATTCCATCTCCGACGTCGTGAATCTAGCTTCTACCAATCGTCGACTCCGTCAGGTTTTTGCTTCATCTTCCAGGGTCACCATTCTCATGAACGTCGCAGATGCGGAGTTCGGCCCAATACACGATATTATCCAGCTTATAACTCAAAACGCTAGTCAACCGGCGCATCTTATTCGATCTGCCTCGCAATCGGATGCGTTGCTGAAACAGGTTGTTCGGATTGGCCGCGTAGCGCAGAAATGGGAAGTTATATATCCGTTGAAGAAATGGAAATCCGACTATGAAAATCGTCGTCTTTTGACGGATGAGGAACGTTTTCGTTTACGGCGTGCGATTTATCGGCTGTGGCTGTATAATCGTGCTTTTCATACAAGTCAGTATGACCGTTTCTCGCGAAGATTGCGACCCGTTGTGGTTGAACGATCGCAATTGTTGCATAACTGGTCGACGTCAGAATTGGCGGAAATCGAAGATGTGCGCATGGTGATTCAGGATGTGGTGCAGAATCATATCTGTCCCAGCAACGGCAGTATTCAGCGCAAGTTCCATAAACGTTATCCGGAGAACCCAAACCCGTTATCTTTCAATATTCATCTGAACTATCGCCCAGAGCGATCAAACTTGTCCACGGGATCTTACTTTGGTCTTCTTGAGAACAGTAGTGCTATTTCAAACTATGACTCATTGTTCCACAATCACTATCACAGCAGTAATGCTTCCTCGTCATTATCACCATGGTCAAAACCATCTTCGTCATCCACATTTGCTGCCAAGCTTCGTACTGATCTCTTTCATGACCCCGGTCAGGAAGGCTGGGGCGACGAAATCCCGCATTATTATGTGGTGCAGGATATGCTCAAGCTTGATCCGGGAGAAGTACTTTGGCTACGAGATCATGCACCTTTGAAGGAGGATGTGGAGTCTTATGTGCATTCATTGGGTGATTGGTTTAGAAATAATGGAGAAACTTTTGTTGATACCTTGCTGTGGGTTATGAATGAGCGTGGAGAGGATGTAGAGGGATTGAAGATTGCTGTCGAGGATTGTGAGATGGGTATTGTGGCATAGCATTAGTGGATATAGTGCTAGATTCATGAAGTGTTATACTGTTACTCAACATCCATTACTTCTACCGATTAATCCTCGCTCTTAAATAGCTTCGACACCTGTAGTACGAACAAATTCTTTAACCACATCATCCCAGACCTTCTCAACAGCATCTCCACGGCGCAAATAGCCAATGTTTGAACAACAGCAGGGCCACCTTCCTCTCCCAGGTTGTCAACTGTATATACACCACTACCTTCTTCCCACTAATGCCCTTCGCAACTGCTACACCCTCAGGTGAAGCTATATCTCCAGAAGAGTGAGACGAAGCCGGATACTTAGCACTCGTAGCGTAAAACAAATGCCTCTGCCCAACCTCTTCCGGCGGAACGCTAATAAAAGGTTCCAAAATATTGGTTACAATATTGGCCACCCTTATGATTCCCTTAGTCCCTCGTCCAATATTACTCTTGACAAAAGCCGGGAAATCATGCACAAAGGATACTGTTGGAGCTTGGTCAGCGAAATGGGCCATGGTGAGAGTTATGAGGAAAGTCATGTGGCCTCTAACAGCTGAGAGGGGAAGCTTCCAGGCTTGTAGATCATCCAAGTGGATTTGACCTTCTTTTGTGCCGGCAAAGACGGACAGCAGGCGCCTGAGGCTGGTGGCTTGTTGGAGAAGGGGTAGTAAATTGGCAATGAAGCGGGCTCTAGAGTAGTGAGCGAGGGCTACGGAGTAATGTAGCTGCTCGGAGGTTTCTGTTTCGTCCACTTATAAGAGAACGTTATACTAAGAGTCAGTCGGAATCGGATTGCTTACTACCTCCGGTAGCCAATGATCCCTGACTTTGGAAAAGCAGATTAATTGCTGTCTCGTTGCCCTTAATCTGTTCACAGACTTTTGTCGGCCTCCATGATGAGACTGAGGTCTGCCTGGATGAAGGTATTTCTCCCTCGAGTTTTGTTGTCTTCGGATCTACAATGATGCTATCCGCAGCTTCCTTTGACCGCCCAACTAGATACACTCTAGGCTTGACGGTGTGTCAGACAAAGGCCCTCATTGCCAGTTCACTGATGCCACTGATGGCTCCGACAAAGACTCAGTCCGGATAGGAGTGCAGTAGCAATTCGCTTGTTTGAGGAGCGTACTTTGGCGAGTTCAACCATTTTCGACGTTTGATTTTACACTTCAGGGGCCAATATTTCTAAAAACAAGGGAATTATATTCGTATCTAGACATTTTTCTTCTCTCCAAGGCGGTGTTGTTATGCAGCGTATAGCGTATCAATTGCTTGATCGAGCACATGATGTTGGCTGGAACCTTATCAAGCCGATATGATAAGACGATAAGACAAGTCCGGGGTTGGACTAGCACGTGATAATCCCCGGAGTTACCGTCATCATCTCCGCTCCCGGTCCGCTTCCTTCATCGAGTCATCCAACCAACCACTCCCAGTCACATTGAATCACACCTCGATATCCAGCTGACAGGACATCCAAGTCATTGTCTGTTTGCATTTAGTGCCACGATATATGCGAATTATTGCACTGACATACGAATATCAATCCATAGACAGCTCTGAACATGAGGAGGCCGCCCATGCGGTTTCCCCGCCTTGCGGCCAACTTCGGCGGTCCACAACGATCATATTTACACACTGTCTACAGGCCATGGCGTATACCAATCACCTCATGCTGCTATAATAGCAGGAGTTTCTCATCGATAAGCGCTCTTCTGTCATCTTCCTTCAATCGCTCCGATTTCACCAGTCAACCTTTCACTGGAAGCTATGAAGCTGGACTTCCGACTTCCGGACCCTTGGGCTCCGCACCCGCCTTTGGAGCTCCAAGACTGACGCCTAGAATGCTCAAGCAGTATCTCGATCAATATGTTGTGGGACAGGATCGAGCAAAGAAGATTCTGAGTGTGGCTGTGTATAATCATTATCAGCGTATAATGGAGTTACAGCGACAGGAGGAAGCGGCTGCGGAAGCAATGGCACAAAAAGAGAGACGAGAGGCGATGGAGGCTCATCCGCTTGATAGTATGTTATTATCTTCATAAGTTTGAGGGAGAAATAATCGTGTTAACCTTGAGTTGATGAATTCACAGGTCATCAACGAACGATCCACATCGGCTCACCGATGCAAGATATGATAGAAAGCCGGCTCGGCCGCTCATCATCGTTTACCGATACTTCCATGACGCAGCTCGAAAAGTCAAATATCCTTCTACTAGGACCTTCAGGTGTGGGAAAGACATTAATGGCCAAGACTCTAGCTCGGGTTTTGGACGTACCGTTCAGCATGTCAGACTGTACGCCGTTCACGCAGGCCGGTTACATTGGAGAAGACGCTGATGTGTGTGTACATCGACTGCTTGCCGCCGCCAACTATGATGTGGAAAAGGCAGAGAGAGGTATTATATGTCTCGATGAAGTTGATAAGATTGCAACCGCTCGAGTCAGTCACGGTAAAGATGTCAGCGGAGAAGGTGTACAGCAAGCCCTCCTCAAGATTGTGGAGGGTACCACAATACAAGTACAGGTCAAACCAGAGAAAAATAGCTCTCGACCTGCCGGCGGAGCTCCGGGATCTTTTCCACCTGGTACAGCTCCAGGTTCTGGTTTCAATTCTTCATCAACTGCGTCTGGCCCTCCACCACAAAAGGGTGAAGTATACAATGTGAGGACAGACAACATCCTTTTCATATTCTCTGGCGCTTTTGTCGGGCTCAACAAGATAATTATGGATCGTATTTCGAAATCATCAATGGGATTTGGACAACCAGTTAGGGCATCTTCCATTTCATCCGGCAATGGTTCTTCGTCCCAGGATGCGTCCAACGAAACACCTATCCCTATCGCTCCAGGCTCTGAAGAAGAAGCTCTATACAAGAAGTACCTACCCTTTTTCACATCAGCGACTCCTCTCACTTCACAAGAAGAACCCATATATTTTAACCCTCTGGACCTTTCGACGCCAGCAGATCTACAAAAATACGGCTTCATCCCCGAACTCGTCGGTCGTATCCCAGTCACTACAGCACTTTCCTCCCTTAGTCATTCCCTCTTACTACGCATTCTCACCGAACCCCGCAACTCTCTCATAACGCAATACGAAACCTTATTCGACCTCTCCGGCATAAAATTAAGCTTCACCACCCCAGCACTCCATAAAATCGCCTCCAACGCTCTTACAATGGGCACAGGTGCCCGAGCCCTACGCACAGAACTAGAAACAATCCTCTCAGATGCAATGTTCGAAGCTCCCGGATCATCCGTGAAATTCGTCCTCGTCACTGAGAACGTGGCAGATCGACAGGAAAAACCAATCTATTTCGGACGTGGGCAGGGAAGCCGATTCCATTCCATGATTGCCGCTGAAGAGAGTGATTGGGAGAATAAGATGCAACGAGACAAGAAGCGGAACTCAACCAACCACGGCAATGGACATAAATCTGGAAGTAAAGTGTTGAGTTTTGCAGAGTATAGGAATCGGGCTTCTACTGCTGGCTGATATGCATTTCTGAGCATGGGATGTCACATATATATGGTTTTGTATTTGTTATTGACAACCTTGGAGATAGTTGAATTCATTATTTGAGATATTCCCATCAGTCATCCATATAATTTAGTCACATCATAAAGCCCCCTCAATCAGGCCCAATCGCGTAATGTATCATACACGTCAGAACCTCAACTATTATACAACATAACAACCGTAAATAAGCAAATAAGTACACGAATACAGTCTTCCACCATTGAAAACCTGATATGTAGGGCTGTTGACGATATTGGCCGAGGCGGATATTATTCGATCGGATATTGGCGGCGGATACTATTCGACTGGCGGATACGATATCTGCCATACCCGCGCCGATACTCGAGTTATCCACCATATATTCAATCAATGCTCAGCCAAGAGGCGCAAGACCATAATTATTAGCTCAGAAATTGCTCTCGTAACTAGTTCTGTAAGTTGTCTACCTGGATGAAAAGTGTAGCACAATCAATAATATAACTAGGTGGGATCATTTAGGCGCTTTATCACTCATTACATTGACAGTGAGCTATTTCCTATATACATTATCCATCAACATTAACATCCTTATTATTTCGGAATTCTGGACGTTCGCTATCTTAGCAAATGTGACATATCAAAATCAACTGTTTCTATCTCGTACACGGATATGACCAGCGACCACCTTGCCGTAGGCTCTGAGGTCAAGAGGATCGGACCTATCCAAGCAATTGGTTACCAACCCATTTAGGAAGTCTTTCTAGCAGAACGTGACTAATAGACGATATCCGCGGCGATTACAAATATCGCCGATATCTCTGGCGATATTATTCGCCGTGATCTGGAAAGGTGGATACAGATATCGAATATTTATTCGATGCTTTTGGTACGGCGGATACGAATATCGAATATACCTAGATTAAGCCGATATCTGTATTCGCACTAGCCCTACTGATATGAACACCTTTGCCATCGAACAATACTCATAGCAAGAAATTCTCATAGTGTACGTATATACTACCGGGACTGCCGACGATTCGAAGATGCTGCAGGCGGCCCCTTGTTGAAAGATGCAAGTTTATGAGCTTCCGAATTCCATGTCGCCGCTGTCTCATTAAGTGACGGTCGTCGCGCATTTGCAGGTGCGAGTGTAGGAGGTAATTGTGATTTGGAGTGTGGAATCCTTTGAGTATCCGAATTCCATGGAGCTACTCTGTCATTCAGGGATGGATGCGGTATTGTTGGTGTGGTTGCAGATGCCCCTGACGCTGGGACTGGTAGTGCTGCTGCGGCTTTCGATGGTGACAATGCTGCTGACGACTGACTTAACCATTTTGCGTAATAGTCTTTGTTGATATTGGATTTTCGGAAGAAGTCGTTTGCGCCTTGGATGATCTCGATCTATTTCGATATATGTTAGTTTTCATGGGAGACCATTCCATAGGAGATTTGAGAGAAAAACTAACATGTTGCCACTTCTGCCAGCGATCCATCGGTTTGTTATGGGTGATGATATTAAACTTTCGCAGAGACGCTGCATTGAGAATAGCCCAGGCCGCAAATACTTCGCATAAAAGATCTGCGTCTTTTTGCTGCTCCATTTCTTGTGTTTTGTTCGTCCCTGGTCCTGAGAAACCATCTGCAGGCTCAATCTTGGGCATTTCGGCCAGCGATACAACGGGACTTTCAAGGGATGGGTTATAGAAACAGTCAAGATCGCGCGCTTCAACCGGCCAATTTGATGAATCACCATAGCATGCAGTGTCGCCTATAAGAACGGCCATTACGGCGAATCTAGGAAGCAGTTCAGCACTCGACCTAATATACGAAAAAAAGGGACTTGACTTACCGAGGATCTTCTTCAGACATCCAATCCAACCACTGCAAAACATTTGGACGAAACATCATTTTAATTGTGCCCGGAAACTTTAATATAGAAGCCTCCCGAAACCAAGCTAGAACCATGATCGCTGCGTCTCTTTCCTGCAACATGAAATCCTCCGCCATGAGGTAACCAGTTCCTTGAGGGAAGAGTCTTTGAAAATGCGTCTTTGGCTCAATATTTGGGATGGCCGTGGCAAGAGAAACGTTCCAAAAGTTAAAAGAAGAGCCCATTGTGAGTTTATGGAAGCCCGGCATATCGCTGTAATGCAGAAATGTATGGTGAAACTACAATCAGACCGAAAAGATAAGCATAAAAAACTGTGTGTGGAGAATTCTGCGCAGACACTCACCAATGCAACTCCTGAAGAAGATTTCGTAAACTTTTCCCAGTCATTTTGTTTGCGATTAGACAATACAATCGCAAAATGGTTCTCAAGAAACTGCTCCAAAACCTGAAAGTCCGCATCTGCATCTTCCGGAAACCATAAATAGAAGCAATTTGCCTGTTTAACGGTAGCATGACTGGTGACAGCGGCGATATTATCGTACGTGATATTGTAGTTAGTTAGGAAGAAATTCTCCAAGACTACTTTAATGTTTTCTGGATTGCTGATATCAAGCATATGGACATCCTGACCTTCTTCAATACCCTGATTCGAATACTGCTCGTTCAGCGTCAAAGGAGCGGGTGATGGGACGTCAATGTCATTCGAGACAGGGGCATGTGATGTTATAATTTCTATAGAATCTTCATTAGCCTCAGGCGTCGAATCAGATGATGTGTCCATAGCGTCGAAATGTGCGTCGGCCGAATCGTCTTGGTCAGTAGCGACAGGATTTGAGAGAATATTTGATTGTCCGCTTGGGGGCACCCCTGGCGCTTGATCTTCGCAAATAGCTGGAGCTTCTGAACGAGAGTTACGGGCTAACAAGACACGCTCTTTATATCCTAATGACGAATCATCGGGCCGAGATCGAGGTGTAGAAGGAATGGCTTGGGATGGAAAGCGCCAAGTGTTCAAACCCTCCACCTGAGGCTTTCCAGCATCTTCATAACGGCCCTGTCGTTCTGGTCTCTGCGATATCTTTCTCGTCATGGATTCATTTTTAGCCGGCGCGACTTCCCGTAGATGACGCGGGAGTATACCTCGAATGCCTGCAATGCGTAGAGTACCGCTTGGTGCGCAATAGTTTCGCCTGTTAAGAAACTGAAAACTTCTAGTTGCAGCTGGATAACAGATAAGAGTTAAACCATAATCTGGTTTGGAAGGATCAGGGCAGATTCTTGCTATTGCGACAATGTCCTTGTCTAGCAACAAATTCTCCAGGCCATCTAACCCAGGCTTTGTGTCGGGATAGGAACGGATAAAGCCATTAAGAAAGACTTCATTATTCAACTGCCTTTCGTTAGACTAAATGGTCGAAATCAAGATATACGCCATCTTACCTCACGTGACAAAGATCGAAAACGCTCTAACGTGCAAAGCTCTTCGAAGCGAAGCCTGATCTCGAGATCGTATTTGAGTTGAAAAATTATCTCTCGAGCGTAGAACGAGCAATTGCAGAGGAGGGTATCACCTATCTCAACGGCTTCGGGGCCATATGAAAGCCGAATAAGAATATCTGTTGGGTCGCGCAGTTGACGTTTTCCAACCCAGAGCGTTCCATTTGGATACCAGTTCAGCACGCGTGAACAAGGTTGATTTTTAGTTGGAAAATAATCCGATTTCTTTTTTGTCTGACCTTCTCTAACCCCTTGCGCGGAATTGTTGGTTGGTTTGTTGCTTGGCAGCGTGGTACCTGCGGGTAGGGTACTTGGGGGTATAGCTGGGGAGGGCTCTGCAGCGTTTAATTGTTGCGATGGGAGCACGGGACTCTCTGTCGATACACTTGGAGTTTGAGGCACGGTTGTTTGTTGAGCCTCAGGTACTTCATCTTGCTCCACAAAGAGACTATTATCCGAGTCTTTTTCCTGATGCTTTCTAAGAAATGAAGACATTTGGAATGGAGACCACGTCTTAGGACTTTGTAACTCTAAATCATTTCTGTTAGGTTCGGGGTCTTGTCGAGAAGCTTTTTCGAATCGGTGTGTGGTCTGAAATAGCTTCCACGTTTTGTTCTTGTCCGCTGAAGCACTGGGTTGCTGCCGCGCACGATTCAATACGTTAGCAAGGTCTCTTCTTTGAATACGGCCATCCACAACTTTGATATCGACAGGTTTCGGAGATGCTGCTCTTGGTCTTTCTGTTTGGCGAGCTGTTTGATTGGTAGGGCGAGCAGTCTGCTTGATAGGGCATGTTGGTGGGGGTCGCGCTGTAGCTGGTTTGGGTTGGTTGTTGATGGCTATGTTGCCAGGTTGATTTGGAGATCCTGATTGAGTATTATCAAAATTTGATGGACTATTCTGACCAAGACTCCTGCGAGCCATAAGAGGCTCCTCGTCAGAAGACGCTTCTGAGGAAGGGGCCACCGTATCCGGCTCTTTGGTCGGTTCGGCAATTGCTTGACTCTCGTTCTGGCTCTCTTGATTTTCTGAGGCCGGCAGACCGAGTCTCGCACGTTTCTCTCTTCGCCGTCGTTTACGCTCCTGGCGGGCGTTTTCAAGAGCTTCACATTCAGCCTGCCATGCTTCAACGTCAAACGGTTGTATCAGACCTCGTCTTATCTGTCGTTTCCTGTGTTTCCACTCTCTTAATATTTCCTTGGTGTTGAAGGATTCTCTCGGCTCCCAGGTGCAACGCGAGTCCGAGTAACCTTTCCACTTAACGAGGTACATTCTTTGGCCATTGATTATTTCCTGTGCATGAATGGTTTCGACCTCGTATTCATCTTGAAATTCGCTTTCCACAGTTGAGGTGAGAGATATGTCATCTTCATCATGCTCAACTGCTGCCACTGTCGAAGTGGGCACATCGTTGAGGTCTGGTGTTTGTATGCCCAACCCTTGAGGTCTGGGAGGCGACGCCATTTTGCCTTGCGGAATTCATCAAGTAGTCATCAACACCATCCAGGACTAGCAAGAGATTATATGATATGCCGGTGACAGTAGCTTTCAGTCACGATGAAACAGTAGGTAAATTGTGGAGATAGAAATGAATTGATGTCTGGGCGCTGGGCGCGTAGCGTAAAATATTCCCGTCTTTGTGATCGTCAAGGGACGACCAGTGTTGCTACCATTTCGATAAATCAGATGAATCGGTGAAGCTCTCTTTTTCCCAAAATATAATCTCTAAAATCTCTCTTTCAGAGTCGGCCTCCTCAGTTACTAGACATGCTAGTGTAAACTGCGCAAAGTAGACAGTACAAACGGTTGATTTGTGAGCCGAGTTAAATGAAACATACAAGAGGATTAGAATGTCCTTTCTTCGTGCCACACCATGCAGTGGAAATATTTATTCAAGGCAAGTACCGTAAATGCTTCCTGAGAGGTTGTATGAGTAAAGACTTATAGAGGCCAATCATCTATGAATGTTCAGGAACCAAAATGATTCCGCTGCTAGAAGTAAATTTGATATAGGTCACGTGATCTGATTTTTGAATGTATACAATTCGCTCCTTGACGCTGGAAAACTACCAGAGCGGAAGAAAACATAAAAAATATATGAATACCTAATGGTTATTACCGAAAGGGAGGTATTGGTTGTAAGTCGTAAATGCGTCTATCATACATATGTACCCTAGAAATTCCTCCAGCCTATAACTCCGTCATTGCTTTTCGACCATCATAAGCGCTGAAATGTAGCAAAAAAGTTCGAAAAAACTATATGGGCATTCCCTTCCTCGTTAACACCTTTTCCATACGTAACTTCATGGTATCTACCAATTTGTTGATCTCCTTCGTGGTTATCTTATCCCATTCTTCCAATACCGCGATCTTTAACTGGATCTGATCTCCGATGCTTCGCTTTTGTAGCCTTTTTTTCAAGAGGAGTAGGACGTCTTTGAGAACATTCAGATCAGGCGAGGTCGGCGGATTCTGTATATAAGGTAGATGCAACGAGTCGAGATAGGCGTGTACCATATTTTGAGGGGCCGTCGCATGTTCGTATACCTCGCTGGCGTTGTCAAGATATATCATTCGGCGGGCGGTCACGATAGGTTGGACGTGCAGTTGTATGATTTGTGATATATAATCACGCTGACTCATTGCAGAAAGGTCGTTATCTTCGGTTTCGAGAAAAATGAGAGGTCCCTTGTAATCATATCCCACCATTGCCCAGCAATGAAATAGGGCTTTATCAATCTCTTCCCTCGACTGTAGACAATCTTCGCATAGCCGCTCATCCTTCCTATTAAACACTTTTGCTTTCCGGGTTGTCCCCAGACCGAAATTGACGAAATCGCTGAATAGCATTGAGCGCCATTCGTTCTGCCATTTGTGATGCGCCAAAGCATACTGCATCCTGGTCTCTCTGGCTTGTTTCGATAGCCATTTCTGTTGGCAGGCTATTCGTTTACAGTAACCTTCCTTAATCATGTAATTTCGGATTGTTTGTAAATGTACGCCGTCGACGCCAACCGAGTGGCCCAATTGTTCCCAGGAAACATCTCCGTTCGAATTCTCGAGCAACATAATCATCTTTTGTGTGAGATCGTCGCTGATCTTTTTGGGCCGCCCGCGCTTATCGGATTTTTTGGAGACTCTTGATTTAGATGTGGTCTGCGCATTGTCCGGATCTGTTCTTGTAGGATGTGGTTTGTTCGTTCTTTCGGATTGCGGATGTTGTTGCGGCATCGGATTGCCCACTTTCTGAAGATAGGTGAAGGCGGTTGGCATGGCTATATCCGGGTTTGAAGGCCTCGAAGGCAGTGATACGCCCGTAGGGCCCTGGGTGAGAATCGGTTGCACTCCTTTCAACATGGATATATCACTAATTCGTAAGCTTCTCGTCTAAAGGTTTTCATGATCGCAAATTCGACCGGAAATTCTATCGCGAAATGTCACGTGAAAGCCGCTAGTCCCGATTGGGCCAGACGGGCAGTGTTACAGGCATCGACATACTCAGACCACCACAAGCTGTGTCACGTTTTGGTTTTGCTAACTCGAAACAACTGACTCTTTGTGAATCACTCTCAGGTATTCTTCTACCCACGCCTTCAAATTCTGATTCCGATCTCTCCCTCAAGATTGGATTCTAACCTTCGCAGGTTGTTGCGGTCTACGTTCCACTTCCCCCCCGTTTGCTCCACAGTCCAGTCCCTATCTTCCTACACCACGTCTATTTGCACTTCGACAAAACCAAGTAAACAACCTTTTGATCACACGACGTCATGGCTAACGACGAATACGATGTGAGTTATCTTTGTGGTCCATTTATGGTCGGATTCGATAGGAATAGATTGTTAACTTGAGTTCTGTTTAGTTTCTTTTCAAAGGTGACTGAACCCATCCCTTACCGTCAGGGCTACAACGACAACTATGACCATGCAACATACTAACGCTTTTCTAAGTCGTCCTTATCGGAGACTCCGGTGTTGGTAAATCCAACCTCTTGAGCCGATTCACTCGAAATGAATTCAACCTAGACTCCAAGTCCACCATGTAAGCAACCTATGATAATCGCAATGACGACCACACAGAAAATATGGTAGTTTACTGATATCTCATATCAAGTGGTGTCGAATTCGCCACACGTTCGATTCAGGTCGACTCGAAAACAATCAAAGCTCAGATCTGGGATACGGCTGGACAAGAGCGTTACCGTGCCATCACCTCCGCCTACTACCGTGGTGCCGTTGGAGCTTTGCTCGTTTACGATATTAGCAAACATCAGACTTATGACAATGTGACACGGTGGTTGAAGGAGTTGCGCGATCATGCAGACTCTAACATTGTTATTATGTTGGTTGGAAATAAGAGTGATTTGAGACATTTGCGTGCGGTGCCCACGGAAGATGCCAAGCAATTTGCCAGTGAGCATGTCGGAGCTGATGACCATAATATGATACTGACGGGAGCTAGGTGAAAACAACCTTTCCTTTATTGAGACTTCTGCTCTTGATGCCAGCAACGTTGAGCTTGCTTTCCAGAACATCTTGACAGGTGAGTGCTAAGTTTGAGGGAATTGCGCAATGGGACTATATACTGACGTTTGTGATCTTTAGAAATCTACCGCATCGTTTCCAGCAAGGCCTTGGATCAGGGCGAAGGTGGCCAGAACCCCCTCGGCGAACGCCGTCAAGTGGTCGAAATAAGCAAGACTCAAGACACAGAGACAAAACAAGGATGCTGTTAAAGAATGACTGTCTGTCATGCAGTCCAGACTTTGGAACCAAGACGAAATGCCCCTTCTCTTCCCGCCAGTTACGTTATGATTCATAATGTGTCTATTTTTTGGGCAATGCTAAAATGGAATTTGGGTTGTCTGAAGTTTGATGATTTTATGTTCCTGATGCCAAGGTAGTTTCGGGGAGCTCTTTTTCTTTCTTTTTTCGAGCCGGGACAGGGAGTTTTGAGACTTCAAATAGTCTCTGCAGAACAGACCGAATTGAGAGGTGTTTTTTGCAGAGGTTACTGTTTTTGCGGTGGGTTATACGCTTTTTGTTCACCAAGTTTCAAGTTCCAGATTCTTGTTTTTATTCTTTCGACTCTGTTCCATTCTATCTAATCAATGATAAACGAGAATGTTCGATGCTTGCTAATATACAAACTTCTTTTTCTCTCTGACTTTGACTTCGCTCAATTGCCACAGAGTTGGAACAGTGACGCTGGAGGTCTCCCTTGATAATGTAAACCACGCAGCCTGATGAGCTTTATTGGGTTGAAGGTCAGCACATCTCGTGGACATGAGGCTGAATTGATATTAGTTTTGGCCAATCAACGGCGACCAATTCAGCCACTAGTATTATTCCAGTTAGTCCATATATATATATCACGTGCTCTGTAGTACAATCGCGGGACAACCAGAAAAGATTGTGATAGCTTCATCCATGCTCCAATTTCGTAACTTGCTCAAAATGGCCACAGAAACCGCTTCAAAAAGGCTCAAAACTGCAGGACCACTTATCGGCACCCACAAGTATGTTCCTGTTCCCCCGTGATTGAATAGCAGCATGCGTTTCTCTCGAAAATGTTAAAGAGTCCTACCCCGCTAACTCACTATCCGATATAGTGGACACTTCCATGCCGATGAAGCTCTGGCAGTCTACATGCTCCGTCTCCTACCCGAGTACCACTCTTCACCGTTAGTACGAACACGCGATTCCGAACGTCTAGCAGAATGCCACACCGTTGTCGACGTCGGCGGTGAATACGATCCCGCCAAAAACCGTTATGATCACCACCAACGCACATTCAACACGACTTTCCCTAATCACAAAACCAAATTGTCATCCGCAGGTCTCGTGTTTATGCACTTTGGTCGTGCGATTGTGTCGCAGCATACGTCCCTGCCGATTGATCATCCGGATGTGGAATTGCTGTATGAGAAGCTCTACACGGATTTTGTGGAGGCGCTGGATGCACATGATAATGGTATCAGTGTCTATGACCCGGCGGCCGTGAGCGCCTCAGGTTTGGAGAAACGTTTCAAGGACGGTGCTATCAGTCTTGGGTCCCTAGTCGGGGACTTGAACTACCCAGACCCGGTGATCGCAGGTGGTGAACCACAGGATGAAGATGGCCTGTTTGCACGCGCAAGCACATTCATCGGCGATGTGTTTCTACGGAAACTACGTCTAGCCGCTTCGACATGGCTCCCTGCCCGCGCCACCGTGAGCGAGGCATACCGTAATCGCAAACAGATCCATCCCAGCGGACGGATAATCGTACTTTCCGGAGGAGGTGTCCCATGGAAAGAACATCTATATAACTTTGAGACCGAATCTCAATGCGAAGGAGAGTCGGAACAAGTGTACTACGTTCTTTACCCGGAGAATTCTGCGCCGGATGCCAAGTGGCGGGTACAATGCGTACCAGAGTCGGAAGGGAGCTTTGTCTCTAGGAAACCGTTACCGGATACATGGCGGGGTGTTCGTGATCAGGATCTCGACGGAGTGATTGCTGCTGAGTCGCAAAAGGCCGGTAAAGAGGGTATTCCATCGGGAGCAATTTTTACACATGCCAGCGGTTTTATTGGTGGTCATCAGACTAAGGAGGGTGCACTTGCTATGGCTATTCGGAGTTTGGAGATGTAGACTAAAAGTTTTTTCTTTGATGTCCTTCATAATGAAACGAAAATGTTATGAGACTGTCGTGTGCCTTTATTCAGTCGTCTGACCGTTGATTAATCCCTGTCATTGGCCAATACAGCGGCTGAAATATCCTGTTCAGCCACTGAATCTTTTTGAATAAACAGAGTCACTATACAAAATTCTCCTAACAACAACTCCCTCATTGGCCGGCTTGATCATACATCGCTTCTCTCTTGGTGGGCACAGTGATCTGTCCAATCACATAAAATATCGCCGCACGTTGTTTCTCGGTTGATTAAGACTTTTTCTCGAGTTTCCCATGATTTTACATGTTTTTGTGATCGACTAATGCGATATTATATACAGACTAAAAAATGGTCGATAAGTATGGTGGCGAACGTGCCCTAAAGCTTGTCTATGTTTGGCTCTGCATTCAAGGATTCAAGGGATGTTTAGTCTGGGCACCTTACTTATGCTTAAGTTTAGTACGTTCTACTATCGCGGATTCGTTCCGTACTCCTTGCTGTGTATTCGATACCGCTGTCTTGATGGTCAGTTCGTGCCTTCGGCAGTGGTCTCTGGGCCTGATCGAGTCATATGAAGTGGCAGTTAGAATCACCACTATTCAATATTCTCAACTGCAGAGTCATTCATTGCCATAACAGTAATCTCATCCAATCTCGCCAACACCTACCCCATTCCGACATCCACTTCTTTGACCTCGGGCACTCCGTTCCCTGGATCACCGGCAAGCCCTAACTCTCCACATCACACCTTTTTTTAGCCTCAAATGAGTCAAGACTAACCTCGACCAGTAACGACCACTCGTTTCAGCCATGTGCTCTGTACAATTCTCAGACAGTACATAAAATTTAGTTGGGTATTTATGTATCCATGGTTGTATTCTCGTGTAAGCGTATGTATCCATGGGTCAAGATAGGAACACCCGAGGAGACTGGTCTCTGCAATGATCAATCAGGGTTTGGAGGGTGGGAAGCAGATACATACATATGCAGCTAATTCATAAAGGTCTTTTCGTCTCGTCTTGTCACTATGTGCTCCGCAACGATACACAAACCCGCATTGTCCTACTTATCAGACGATCATCAATCAGGTCAGGAGACAGGCGGCTAGTTCCTATTACCATGCTCTTATATTACTCATTATGGAACCAATGAAGGCGTGCTAGTCATTCGTGATGTTGTTCATGCAGGGCTAGAAGGGAGAAGGACTAGGGCTTACCATGCATTTCCATTCATATAAAGAATGCGCCTCTCGATATTTTCTTCCGAGACGATGGAGGATATAAATGCCAGAAAGACTCCAGTTGTTCAAGCCCTTGAACATCAGAATACTGAAAAGGGCAGTATAACGGATATAGAGAAGCAGCCACAATATAAAAATCAGGCAAAAGTGCGATCACGACACACAATCCATGAATCGGGAATCATGTTACTCTGGATTGGAGTCATAATATCAGTCCTGATATACTGCAGCAAAGCAGCCAGCACTCGCCCTGTGAACAACAGCAATGACAACGACACCACTAGACGAGCCACCAACAACCCAAATGACTACACCCAACACGTAAACATCTGGCTCGGCACTCAAGGCGGCGGAAACGACAATCCCGCCGTCTCCCGCCCCTTTAGCATGATCAAACTCGGTCCTGATCTTTTCGTCTCTGGAACAGATGCGTACTCAGGTTACTTGCCGAACGGCGCGTTCTCGGGTTTTAGTCTGATGCATGAACAGGGTACGGGTGGTGCGCCCAAATACGGGACTGTGGCTCAGTTACCGCTTGTCGGTGATGTGTTGCAGCCATTATCTAACCTGACGGTGGGAAGAAAGGGGGCGGATGAAGGTTCTGTCGGGTATTATAGGGCTACGACGAGTCAGGATGTTGTTGTGGAGTTGGCGGCTGCGAGTAGAGCGGGGATGTATCAGTATACATTCCCTAGTGATGGGGATGATGAGAAGAACAATGTTTTGGTGGATGTATCGCATATTTTGCCTTCGTATAGAGGCATGGGGTTGAGTCAGGGGTATGCCGAGGGAGAGATTAGGGTTGCTGAAGATGGGCATTATGAGGGATACGGTGTGTATAATAATGGTTGGAACAGGTCCCCGGATTGGACCATTTACTTCTGTAGGCCGTCTCACGTCTATACCTTTCAATGATGTGCTGACAGCATAGGTGGATACTTTGACACTGCCCCCGTCAGCAACAAGACATACACCGCAACCGATTCGACCGGAAGCATCGAACAACCCAGTGGACATGCCCAGTCCAACTCCAGCGCTGTCAGAATAGGTAGCCTGTTCACCTTCAACTCAACACAAGTCACATCCCGTGTCGGTATATCCTGGCTTTCCACCTCCCAGGCATGCACAAACCTCCAAAACGAGATCCCTTCCGGCACAGAATTCACCAAAGTAGTCAACGACACAAAATCAATCTGGAATGAACAAGTACTATCCAAAATCACAACGTCAGCCACAAACTCGACTACACTGGAATTACTCTATACATCGCTTTACTACATGCATCTGATTCCTACGAATCAAACAGGCGAGAATCCAGGATGGACGTCTGATGAGCCTTATTATCAGGATATATTCACATTTTGGGTATCCCCTCCCCCCATCTTCTCCTCATGTACGTCTGATACTAAGCGAAGAAAGGACCTCTTCCGCTGTGGCACATCCCTAATGCAAATCCTCCAACCAATCGCCTACGAAGAACAAATCCGTTCTCTAATCGACATCTACCGTCACGAAGGTTACATGCCCGACGCCCGTTCCTCCAACTACAACGGTCGAACACAAGGTGGCTCAAACGCGGATAACGTGCTCGCCGACGCATACGTAAAAGGTGTTCGAGGCAAAATCAACTGGATAGACGGCTACGCTGCAATGGTTAAAAATGCCGAAATGCCTCCTCCAAATACAATCCCACCCGATCCACAGGCACCGGATTCATCAACCAAGGAGGGTAGAGGCGCATTACCGGATTGGAAGGCATACGGCTTCATCACTCCCAAATATACCCGTGCGGTCTCACGGGCGGTTGAATACGCATACAACGATTTTGGTCTTTATCAAGTTGCGTTGGGATTACAACTTACCGCCGACGCAGAGAAATATCTGGATCGATCGCGGAATTGGCGTAATCATTGGAATCCAAATGCTACCTCTTTGGGGTATTCGGGGTTTGTGGTTCCGAGAGATTTGACGCAGGGGTTTCAAGATATTGATATCCTGGCATCCGGGTATTGGGGTGATGCATGCTACGAAGCTAGTCCGTGGGCATATTCGTTTACCGATGTACACGACGCAGCGCATATGATTAAATTAATGGGGGGTGAGAAATCATTCGAAGCAAGACTCAACACTACATTCCAACAAGGCGCGGATGGGACATATATTTTTGATCCTACCAATGAACCGTACGTCCCTATTTCCTTGAAAGTTGGTCGAAACTAATGCATGTAGAATGTTCACAATCCCCTATTTATACAACTACATAAACCGTCCGGACCTCTCAGTTTTGCATTCGCGTCACATCGCAAAAACGTACTACAATACAGGCGTAAAAGGTCTTCCAGGGAATAGTGATGCGGGCGCAATGCAGACCTGGTTGCTTTGGAATATGATTGGCTTGTATCCTATAACGGGTCAGACGACGTTTTTGATTCATTCACCTTGGTTTGAGTCGATGAGTATTGATCTTGGGGAAGGAAAGAGGTTGAATGTTACGTCGACCGGGGGTGATAATAATGGTGATACGGACTACATTGTGAAGAGCGTTAGGGTTAATGGGCGTGAGTGGGAGAGGGGGTGGTTGAGTTGGGATGATGTCTTTGTAGATGGGGGATTGGTTGAGTTTGAGCTGGGTAAGGAGCCTGTACAGTGGGCAAGGGGGGATGTGCCTCCTAGTCCGGCTTCATCATAGATACTTAGGACATTGATGTGCATAGTCGTTCTATTCGTGTTCTATTCCGTGGGTATAGTCGAAAAGGCATCCAGTGATATAACGACAATATCAACGTATACTAATATTCAGCCAACTGCAACTTCTTCCCAACCGGTCTTCTCCTCTCAACCTTCTCTCCTCCAACCCGTTGCCTATCACCGTGCACACCTTTAAGTGCATGTAACAACATTCCCGCATCAAAGAATCCATCTAGAACAGTCAGCCTATGCACCTCATAAAGCCCAGAAGAGAAACTTACATCCACCCATCCCATCATCCTCTACATCCCCACTATCCGTAGTCGGTGTCTCTGTACCTCCGCGTCCATGACTTACATCCTGCCTTATAAGTCTTCCACGTCTATTCTCCAACCTCTCCGACAAAATCTCCATCTCTCTCGCTCGACTCGTCCGCGGACTAGTCGTCTTACGGCTCGTAGCCCTAATCAATTTCCGAATTTCGAGCAAATACGACTCCAGGGTATCCATCAACCGAGACGTCTGTCGATGTTTGGACGACGCACAGATCGATATTGAGTCTTCTTTGATTATATATCCAATACCGAACCCGTCGCCGGAGGTAGGACCAAATCCGAAATGTCGTAGAGCCGGGTTGCCGCAGTTGGATGTTGACAGAATTGTGTTGTTGATTTTGTCCCAGCCGGCATCGTTGAAGATGGCCGGTACGGTGGGTGGTGGTGTTGGTCGAGCGCGCATGCTGCTTATACTGTTGCTTCTGCCACTGCTGATACTTCGTCCACTGCTGCTGCTGGTATAACCCCCATTCTCGTCTGATGATGCCCTGTCGTCTAATGCCATTGACTCATCGACCGATGATGTCCCATCCAGTGATCGCTGCCAGACACAGAACAACGCGTACAAATGTCGGTCTTGTCCCTGAGCTTTCGCGCATTCCTTGGTAATGGCAGTATGTCTTTCCGTGGCCTTCTTCAATGCAGCCACTTTAAGTTCAGCTGGGTTATCGCCCCAGAATGTCTTGACAAAGTCGACAGATTCATTAGTCACAGGCCTAATAGCTTCTGTGCGACCATGCAAAAACATCTTCGTCATAGCCGGTTCATACGTATTCTCAACTCGACCATACAACCCATAATAAGCAGCTTGAAACGCCATTTGCACAAACGCATCTGGCGAGAAGCCTGCAGAGGTAATAAAACTCTTTCCATAACCAGAGAAATCAAGGACTTGGAATTCATGTTGGTGCAAGAGATCTGCCAGATGTGATTCGGCGAACCGAAGGGCAATGCTGAGCTCGGGGATCATGTCCCATTGGAGTTTGCGTGGTGTTGTGCTCACGTTACCAAAACTGCGGGGATCTCGTTTAGCTGGATCAGGGCTGTTGGATGCCCATAATGAAAGAGCTTGACCATTGATCGTTTTGGCGTATCGAAGGATTGTGTCCGTGTAGACATCACTGGCAAATCGTAAAACGGTATGGCCATCGACACCGGTATGCTCGAAATTGATACCGGCGCTACCGTTTTGACAAACTATAATCTGAAGTTTGTCATACCACCGGTTGATACAAGTTCCAATCTGGACGCCACGGACGATTTCACTCGTGCCACAAAGCATGTTTCCACACAAGTCGGCCGTGCTGGTTGGTTCCATATGGTCAAGACACAGGACAAAGATAGCACTGTCAACGATATGCAGGCATTCCGCATTATTCGACCCGGGATCCTTCGTGAGCAAATCTCTAAGTCCAGACCATACTTTACGATTCTCCGTACTCAAGATACCAAGAGCCTCCTTGGCAGCTTCTTGAATAGGGGTTTGTTGTGCATCATCGAGTATAACCTGCAGATTGATCGTGATATCTTTCTCGCTCATGATGAGATCGTTATTGTCATCTAACACATCGAACCAATAGAATTGGCCGCGGCAGAGGACCACAATGTGTTTGGCTGTGGCATTCTGGCCGATGATACAGCCATTCTCAGTGGGAACGCGAGCGGTACCAAACAACCGAGAATACTGATACATGCACAAAGGCGTGGTCTTGACTTTGTCGGGAGGAAGTTCCTCACGACGAACTGCGCGGACAAACGATAGTGCTGAGGAGACAAGCGAGGCAGCACGGGTGACCTGATTGTTTCTGGCAGGAGTCGGGTCATCTTCAAGTAGAAAGAAGGGATTCAAATTTAAAACGACAGCTAATCAGTCAGTATCTTCTCAACCAAAAGTGCTTGATGATCTTACAATTATCAAAGTTCAAGTACGAATCGTACCCTAAACAGTCAGTCATCTATAGTCCAAATGAGATTACTCGAATCGATATACATACAAAACTGTTCAATATAACTAGTCTTTGAAGAAGCATACTTCTTCAACCTCTCCTGCAACTCCGGTCCATCGGTCTTTAGGAACTCGCGTACGGCAGCTTTAGTCTCTTCATGTTCTCTAGGACTCTGCAATGGAGCCAAAGACTCGAGATACTTCTGACACGTACTCTCCAAATCTGGAATAGGCAGTTTTGGTAACGAGTCCTGATACGCAAACGTGACACCTTTCTTGGCCGGTGTCGGTGTGGACGTCGGCGTTGACGATGTTTGGGCTTGTTGTGGTTTTATTTCTTCAGGTTGTGTCTGTTCACCTGATAGTTTCATGGTGGAAGGTAGTATGGCCTCACTTCCTGAAGAAGTCATATTGAAGACCTTGACTGCAAGACGTGAGTAAGCCATTGTTTTCTTTCAGTCAGATCAACAAGCGTAAATCGCGGCTAGGAAAGTCGGGACAGAGAGAAGACGCAAAGCGCTGCGATAGAAGTAATGGCAATCTTGGAGACAGTAGTACGGCATAGCCTTGTGACTTTACTGTCATGTAAATAGACAGGCAAAGTATGTATAGTCACGGGGTATGTAACGGCATGTGACAAGCAGAAAGTTCGTAGTAACGAAGACAAGAGAAATATCAAAGCAAAGACGACATCAAGGAGACAGATATACATACTTACTCAGACCTCGAGAATCCGGCTCAATCGGCCGAAAGTGGATAACACAACTTCCAGCGTGGTTTGCGTCGTCCTTCGTGGGGGGTGTAGGTCACAATGAGGGGATGCAACGTCCGGGGGAACGGAACAAATCTGATAGTAGCAAGATAGTAACGGTAGCTTGTCGCTTCTCGCAAGGTACGTATGGTTAATAACGACTGCCGAACTTTCTGATAGGGATTTGATGGGACTTTTTAAATTAAAACTTGGCGCGCCTGATGTGGAGGTCCGATATTCCTAGGTCGAACGGAGCGGATAGGATGGTGGTGGTGTTGCGGTCCAACGGAAGCTTTCTGTCTCTCACTGCTCGGACAGGAAGGGTGTCTGTTCGAGGATGTAGGAGCTAGAAAGTTCTTCAAATCTCGTACAATAGCCAGAATCAATCCGTAAGTCGTCCTTCGTCATAAAGAAAAGAAAGAAACTTCGTCCCGTCCCCGCAAGATGAATCCGTATAACAGGACAGCTGCAAATAGACGACTGCAATACGTATTGAGGCAATGATCCAAGCGTCTCCGGGGAAAACCAGTATGGGATCGGTTAGTCAAGTTAGACCTAATACTAAACACAGAACATAAAACCGAGGGTGTTTCATAGTTCCAGCAGTGTTATAGTAACAAAAAGTCCGGAGAAAGAACATGCGGGGAGGAAAGCAGCAAATGACGTCCTTCGGTCGAAGGGAGCTATGCCCCCGCCTTTAGTATATAAGCCATTATTTGACACATTATTAACTATGCGCGGTGGCTTAGTGGTACCCCGTGGGCATATGTACCCCAGGTATCTGGTTCGACACTTCTTGTCGTCTTATGAAGTTGGATGATATTGTCCAATTTTTTTTACCTTTTATTTTTGCTTATACCCTACTTTATGCTCTAGACAGATCTAATAATTATCAAATTGACTAGGCGACAATTTTCAATTTGAATACTATATGTATCGTGTTCTCTGCACTTTACCAGTATGGGTATTATGATTAATGTACGAAGATGATCAGATGATATAAAAGAATGAAACCAAACGACAATCCTCTAAAGAGTGCTTTCCAGTGCAAAGACCTGCTAATGTTAGATACCTCCTAAACATACAGATAGGATGAACATACCAGAGCAGTCCTCGTAGGAATATAAACCTGCAAGAAATTTTTACGTCCATTCCATGGGAAATCCGTGGTGAAGAATCGAGTTTCCTTTTGATTACGGCCGTGACCACCAAAATCAGTGTCGTCCGTATCCAGGACAATGCGATATGTGCCTTCCTGCTCAACACCGACGCGGTAATCGGTGAAGCTCTGCGTGGGATGAAAATTGAATACCCACAATAATCCCGCACGCTCAAAGACGATAACTTTGTCGCTCTCGTTCTTCAGGCTGACGTATGCTTGTGGCGAGTGTAGCCAGCCGTATTTCTCCTCGGTTAACTGCATGGCGCGATCAAAGTCGTTTAGGAATCGGTATCGAAGTAAATGATCCTCTGTCAGATTCAGCAAACGACGTGCGTACCAGAAGGAATTGTTGTTTCCGGCGCGAGGGAAATCGAGCCATTCGGGATGACCGAATTCGTTGCCTTCGAAATTGAGGTATCCTTCACCACCAAGGGCGTGCGTTACCAATCTGATCATCTTGTGGAGGGACATGCCGCGGTCGATGACGGGGGTTAATGGAGTTAGAACAGACATTTTGGTGTACATTTCCTTATCGCACAGCCACATCATGAGTGTCTTGTCGCCGACGAGACTGTTGACAGTTAGTTGGGTATCACCGCAAAGATAAGGTAGGGCTTACGCTTGGTCGTGACTCTCAGCATACGCGATTGTCTTCTCGCCATGGCGACGGTTAGTGAGAGTAAATACTAAATTACCCATGTCCCATTCATCGTCCTGCTTCTCTTTGAGCCATTTGATGTACATATCCGGAACGGCCATGGCAAGACGATAATCGAATCCCACTCCGCCCAGGGATAATGGTAGACAAAGTGCCGGCATACCAGAGACATCTTCGGCGACTGTGATAGTCTCTGGGTACAACTGATGGAGCATCTCGTTGGCAAGCTGGAGGTACATCACACTGTCAGAATCGACAGCGGGGCCAAAGTACTCGTGATAACCACCGGAAAAGCCTCTACTCTGGTCAGCATCATCTCAACAAGTAGACAGGCTACATACGTTCCAATCCCGTGATGGGTGTACAGCATGCTAGTAACACCATCAAACCTAAACCCATCAAACTTGTACTCCTCCATCCAGAAACGAAGATTGCTGAGCAGAAACCGCAGGACTTCATGACTGCCATAATTGAACAAACGACTATCCCACAGTTCATGTTGACCTTTACCTCCAGAATGGAAATAGAGGTGGTCACTGCCGTCAAACATATTCAACCCATCCAGCACATTCTTCGAAGCATGGCTGTGCACCACATCAAGTAAAACCACAATTCCCATGCTATGTGCAGTGTCAATCAATTCTTTAAGATCCTCGGGGGGTCCGTAACGGCTACTTGCCGCGAAGAAGTTGTTAACTTGGTAACCGAAACTAGCATAGTATGCATGTTCCATAATCGCCATCAATTGGATAGCATTATACCCCAAGTATTTGATCCGTGGCAACATCTTCGTCGTAAAGTTCTTGTACGTCGCAACCTTCGTCTCCGGCGAGGAAATACCGACGTGAGCTTCATAAATACGGAGACTGGCAGGTTTCTTAGGCCGATCATGTCGGAAAGTATATCTCTCATTTGGCGGGGGATTCCAAAACACAGCGTCGTAAACGGGCGAGACGTCAAGGTCCTGGGTGACACGTTTGATCCACGCGGGGATTCTATCGATTACTTCCCCGGCGCGAGTGACCATGGTAATCTGGGCTCAGTCAGTTGGGGTTTACGAGAGCGAACATGGACGGAGCGGTGGGTACCTTGACTTTGCTTCCGTGAGGTATAGCTGGGACGTCATCCTTGGCTGGGACGGTGATTTCCCAGACACCAAAATCATTCGCCTTCATGGGATGAGCTTTTCTGTCCCAGTTGTCTAGATTCTATCAGCATTGCCTAGCACACGTCGATCCAACGATAGGCTTACTGAAATCGCCAATTAAATGGGCTTCAATCGCACTAGGCGCCCATTCTCGATAAACAACATCGCCATTCTCTTTGACATTGAATCCGAATTTTTCGTAGCCCTATATAGCGCCCGTCAATTCGGCCCATTGTTCATAGGAAACGCAGCACGGACCCTGCTGAACTTTTCGAGACCACCTTCAGTATCATTGATTTTGCTAATCCAGCTCTGGGCGTAAGCGAATCGAGTCTTAAGGGCGTCTTTGAACGGTTCGAGCCAAGGATCGAGCTTGAGGACACCTATGCCGAGCATTGTTAGCACGCCGTCGAGATAATAGGGGAGCGGGGCAGCAGACCAGTGCCGTCGGGCTGCTCAGTAGGAGCTGCCATGGCGTGGATATATTGGTTATGAACAATTAATTGACAGATAGAAATTGAGGATGGAATAATCGTAAATGAGAATTAAATTGATAGATCGAGAGTTTGTTTTTTTGGCGAGAACAGGAAAAGCAGGAGGAGAAAAGCACAGGCCGTCTGGGGTGACAGCTCCACTTGACATGACATCATCTTACTCTTAATTCATTCTAGTCAATTGATCCTACTAAACTTCACTTTTTATCTATCCATGAAATCCTAGTCAATAATCACCATCAACTTCTTCCACCATGTGTCTCGCACCGGAGGAGGTCGCTCCGCCGCCATAATCTCTTCCAACCCCGTATGCAAATCAACCTCTTCCGGCCTCCAAGCCCACGGATCCTTCCAAAAGACAATCCGATGACCAAAATACAATACCAAAAATGCAGGAATGCCAATATACGCCGTGAAAAAGCTGCTGACCGACCACTTGGACGGGAAAAATACAGTAAATCCGTTGATCAACGTGAGGAAAACGCAGCCAACAATGGCAATATATGCGCCGTAAGGTTGTAGACGCGATTGGTACGGACGTTCAACGCCCTGAGTCTCGGCGGCTTTGCGGAATCGGAAATAAACGACACAGCAGCAGATCCAGGAAATAAAGCCGGAGGTATTGGTGAAGTTGACGAACCAGTTGAATACGACGGAGCTGGATGTACCGACGGATAGGTATGCGAGTAACGAAAACATGGCGGAACAAGACACTGCTATCCAGGGGACACCCCATCGATTACAGGTCTTGATCACGCTAGGCGCGTTACCGGACATGGCCAGTCCATACAATGATCTGGAGGACATGTACAAGAAGGAATTACCCGAGGACCAGGCAGAGGTCAAAACCGCAGCGTTGACGATACTATCCAAGACGGGAATACCAGCGTTCTTGATACCGACGACGAACGGAGAGGAGCCTGCGCCGGCGCCACCGTTTGTCAACCGACTATCGTTGGAAGGGCAGATGACACCAATCGCCAGGACAGCAAGAATATAGAAAAACACCAATCGATAAATATACCTCCGAGCGGCGCGCGGCACGTTACGTCGCGGAGACTCCATTTCACCACCGGAAATAACAATCAATTCAGGCGCAAAGATGAATGCAATCGCACTCGAGACCATGCATTGCAACAACCCGACAAATCTCCCCGCATCTCCATGAACAATATACGTATTAAACGAGCCGGGATCCTTCCAATAATGAAAACCCAGACGCTGACGATCCGGTCCACCGCCCCAAAAGAGAATAAAACTGAGCATCAAAAGTCCGATAAGAGTGAGAACCTTGATACTGGCAAACCAAAACTCGGATTCACCATAGAACTTGACCGGTAAGAAATTCAGGGCCACAATGACCACCAACATAACCGTAATCCAAACCGCGACATTGACACCCGGGTTCCAGTAATTAATGACCAGTGACGCGGCGGTGATTTCGTAAGGGACCAATATCCCAATAGAATACCAATAGAGATACCCCATCGCAAAACCCAGACTGCGCGACACATAGCGAAAACCATGATAACTCATCGTACCACCGTGCACGGGCATATAGGCGCCAATCTCGGCAATAGCAGTGACAAGACAATACACAAGACACGAGATAAAAAGATAACCCAAAAACAGCGACGCAGGACCTCCGATGGCGAGTGATTGTCCTGCACCGACAAATAGACCGGTCCCAATTGTGCCGCCGAGGGCCATCATTTGTACATGACGACTGCGTAGACCGCGCTCGGTGGAGGTGTAGCGTTCATCGAGCAGGTCTGCTTCGACGAGGGCGCGGACGGTGTTTCGCTTTTCGTCTTGCACTGAGTGCGAGACTTGGGTCTCGATGGGGTTGATTTCGGGTGCCATGTTGCTGTCTCACCCTACTCTTTTTGCTATGAGCATTCCCTCAACTTTGAAGGAAGGAAGAAGGGAATGCAGAGAATTATATACTCGGCCTCTGCCCCATCCCCAACCAGCGACCTGCGCACCTTATCCAAATACGAGTCTCGGCATCCCAATAAGGAAAGAATATGCTGTCGTATCACTCCACAACTTATCTCTCCCCATGGTCTTTTTGTCGACCGAATCAAATCAATTCCATAACATAAGCGCAACTGACAAGAAAAATTTCCAGAATGAAAATCCCCCGCAAATCTGGGCGAATCAGATAGTCCCGTATTGTGTGCATTTAGGGTAAACTTAGGGTGTAACCGAGCCGGAGACCGGAGAGATAAAAGGTACACCGGACCGGTTGCTTTGACTTTGTTAACGCGTTTCGGGTCCTGTTATCTGATAGATAATAGCATTTCTTTACTGTTCATATGTAATAAATATCTTTGAATGGTTATAATAGTATATAAAAAATACGGTGGGCGAAAGTAGGCCACACCATACCGTCTCATTCGATTCTCTTTTATTTAACAACGATAAAAAAATTCGTGGCTGTGGACGATACAAATGGATGGATGCATATCAGCGAGAAAAATGTGTTGTGTTGTGTTGTGTTGTGCGAGGACGGGAGGATCAGATGTTGTGTTGAAACGGGAGTGAAAATTTTTTCTCGTGCTTCAGCCATGCCGTATAACGGTACACTATCTATTGAACAAATCGGCGGTGCTTTAGGGCACCGACATTGGGAAAACATAAGGAAGAGGGGGGCGGAAAGAAAAATAGACATTTGAGATTTGAATTTGACATCGGGTAAAGGATAAAAGGGAGATCGGAGAAAAAAGGGGTCATCAAAACATCGTGATATAACAGTAGGCATAAGTAATAATGGGAAACGAAAAAAAACGCCCAGATCATGCAGTCATCAATCGGATACAAGTCACAGTAGGAGGAAATCGTAGTGACAGATGGGATGGTCGGAGAAAAGGTGCCGGAATATATGTGATTTACGTCGTGAGGAAATTTTTAATGAGATGAACATAGTCGAGGTCAGGTCGGGTCGAGGAAGGTCGAGGTTGTTTTTGGGTAAAGAGGAGGAGTCGGGGTTATGGACTTAAAACTTCACAAAGATCCTCTGTCGTGTCCATGCCAAATCCAGCCATATCAACCGAATGTAATGAGCCCGGTCCACGACCCAGAGAAAGTTCAGACGACGCATAGTCATGTTTTAATCGCTCGTGAGGCCCAAAGAACGGCCGATTCTCTTCTATAGGCGTCGTCCCATCACCACCCGGACCCCAGGGTCCATGTTGCCAGAACCGAGTATTGGCTTGCTGATCTCCAAAGAGGTCGTGATGATCCGAGAGATGTCGAGGTACAATAGATGAATCATGGTCACCGTGACTGTTAAAATCGTGCGGTGATGGGAACCCAACCAGATGAGGACGACTAAAGCTCGACGTCGGCGAGTCTGCATGTAATGGAAAGTCAAGCCGATCTAATCGATCCATCCGATCCATCCCATTCATCGGGAGATCATCAACCGCCGTAATGTCGATGATCGGGTTATTATTATTGCTGTTGTTTTGTTGAGCAAGAGCCGTCGACAAGCGGAAATTCGACGTCGAACTCTGTCGGCTATGACTTGGGGCTCTTTCCACAATCCGTTCCTGTACCCAGCTGCCACAGGCCTTGACGATTTTTTCCTGGTCGGCCGGTGACAGCGACGCAAAGTAGTCGTTGGCCAGCGATGGTTTAGAAAAAGGCTCCTCATCCACAAGATTATATTCCTTCTTAGCCCATTCAGCTACTCCAAACGGTGACTCGTACGGTGATTTGTAAACAGCGGGTGTTTGGGCTTGTTGTTGTTCCAGGTACGCGAACCTCCCAGCCACCCGACCGGCGGCATAATTGGGCCGATCAAAGGGCTGCTGTTTTACATAATCGGGCTCTCTCTTGGGAATAACATCGAGCTGGTCGCGATGAGTAACGACGGAAAATCGCAGCATTCGAAGTAAACGGGTGACTTCTTCCGATCGCATGTTGAGTGGTTGGAGGGGCAGCAAGGTGCCGTCGGACGCCTTCGGCTGGACACGTTGCTGCGCCATGGCCAATTCCAATTTTTCCATGCCAGAGGTCGGCGGCACAGAGCCCATAGGCCCCAAGAGGGTCTCGACGACCAGCTCGGGGCTGACGATGGTGTACCCGGCGAGAATGTTGGCATGGTCGGTCATTTGCGCCAGGCGGCGACGAGCAATCAACTCCCGCACATTGGCAAAAGTATTTGTTGGCGGATCGGGCTGGGGCTTCGGAAAGGCGGCATAGGGATTCGGACGGACAGCATTGGCAGTGTAGAAATTGGCATTATTCAGGTGATGCAGCGTGTGGTGATGGGGTGGTAGGTGTCGGTAGGCAGGAGTCATTGCAGTGTTTGGGGAGCGACGCTGCAATGACGAAGAAGAACTGGGAAGCGTTGTGTTTGGAGGGGCAGTGAGGTGGTGGGGGTGTTTACTCTGGCGAAATCGGCCCGCGCTAACTGACAACGCCTTCACCATCTCCAAGAAATTCGACCGCGCGTTGTGGACCGTTACACTAGGGTTGTGCGTGAATTGTGCCCTACATTCTGTCGACGATTCCCCAAGATAGTACCACATCTGCTCCGGCTTATAAATGTCCACTTGCACACGAATCGCTTCTGCTGGAAGTGGTGCCGTCTCGAATTCCGCCCACTGGAACGGTGCGTTGGCGTCGCAGAACGGTGTTCCCGGCTGAGGCAGCGTCGTCGACAGATCACGATGCGTCTCAGCCTTTCGCACCAGATGAGCAGGAAGCGGCTGTGTTCCTGGTGGTAACGGAGCAAAATTAGTCTTGCGAACGACCAGAATCCATCGGTACGGCAGTTCAATAATGTCGCCGCGGGGCAGCACCTTGAGCTTCAACATTCGCTCCACTGGCCGGTTTTCCAGCACAACAGCTCCGTTGATTTCTTTATCAGCCTGGAACTGCAGCAGATCGCCCATCGACAGCCGACTGGCGGCCTGGAGCACTTTCCGGTCTTCATCAGACGACTCCGACGAGCCGAGTCGCTTCTGTCGGTGGTATTTACATTTCAGGTCAACGCTAGGCACATAGTACTGTTGGCCGCTATCTGCAATCACCAGAATCGAACCAAACTCGACCTGTACTCCAGCCAGAAGAGCGCAAGTGGGGTGGTACGCCCGCGTACATTTACCAAAATTGCACTGAAAGCAAGCTCCCCGCACTTCGCGGCAAAACAAGCATTTGAGACCCATTCTTGCTTTGGGGATCTTGTCAATGTCACAGACAACTTCCCGTCCAGAGTCATCGCGAAGGATTGAGGTTTCTTCGATATAAGTCGCACAGCGTCGGTGGGCATGTGCTTTGCCGTCCTCTGTTGGTAACAGATCCTCATAATCCATGTCGTTAGGACACAGGACACAAGGGATCTTGCGAATGGCGTGATTCTGCATACGAGCGCGCTTCGAGCGGGGTTCGTCACCCTCATGTTTGCGCTTCCTACCACGGGATGATTTCTCAGGCACGCTACGGGGAGGCGTGAGCAGGTCAGAAGCACCATCGTCATCGCTCAGGTCACTATCAATGTCTTCATCATAGTAATCAGGCGTGGGTTCGCCTCGCAGCTTCCGCTCAATATCGTTGACGTCAATCCAGACGCTGTCGGGCTCGCAGTTACATTTCTTCGCGATGCGGCCATAGTCCAGCCACTGTTCCGTGGCGAAATTGACTGACTCTGCGCAATTGTATCCCAAATTGAAACCGGAATGATAGCCATACGGATAGGTGATCATGAACTCGCCTTCGTAGTGGACAACTTTGTTCACGGTGATTCCGAACCGTGTTTTCAAGATGCTGGGAGAGACCAAGTATGTCTTGTGACGAAGAAATTGATCGCAGTTCTTCGCATCACTTGGCCAGAAGCTTTTCATGGCTGCTTCAAAACGAGGAGCATCTTCTTGAGAGATGCTGTACCATTGCTTCGGAGCACCGAAATGGATATAGTTGATACTGTACAAATCGACGTCCTCCAAATGCCACGCAAAGGTCGCCTTCCACATACCGAGATAGAGATAGGCAGTGTTGACACCGGGGACTTTCTGTCCTAACACGTCGAGCAAATTGGGAAGCTTTGCTACGTTCCAAGAAGTGGTCGAATCATCAAAGAGCGAGCCAGGCATGTCTGCCCCGTACATGGGGTTGTTGAACATGAGCGATTTCCAGTATGCAGTCTCCAGCTCGTCACATCGTTCCGGAGTGTACTCGTCGTTATCGTGAATGCGATAATCGAATCCTTTGAACGCTTCTTCATCCACTTGATCGAGCGCTTCGCCTCGATTGTGCTTCCTCCGCGACGATACCGACTTGGGTTGTCTGCCCTTGCGTTTTGCAGCCGGAAGAGCCTCTCCATCGCTGAGGTCTTCCGTCTTGGTTTCGACTGGGTTAGATTCTGGAGAGACTGGTGTCGGTGGTCCCTCCAAGCGTGATTTCTCGGACTGGTCCTCAACGGGCGACTCTTCCTTGATCTTGACTTCTCTCGTTCGTTTCGGCGGCCGGCCTGGACCACGTTTCTGTGAGCCGGAACGGACAGTTGTAGTGTGAGTCTTGACCGCAGCAGGGCGGGGAGCTTTCTCTTGAGTGCGGCGACGTTCTCCTCGTCTTGCGGGGGGTTGGTGGCTTCCATCGTCGCATAGGGCTTTCCATTGTGGGAGGTTGTATGATCGCTGCTTTTCGATGTTCGCCTGTGTGTATGTACCGTGAGCGCCGTGGAATTCCTGCATGATTGGATTCTTGACTCGAATGCTCTTGACTGCTTCGTCTAGTGCGGGAAGAGAATCCCTCCTGGAAGATGTCAGCTGGGATTGTTGGAGCAAGGGACACAGACAACGTACCATTCCTGCGGCGGGATAACTTTGACGATGCCGGACTTCATGCCGTATTTATCAATCTTCTGGATGAAAGCCTGAAAGTCGTGGAATTGGTCCATGGTCTGCAGCGATCAGTATCCTCCTTCAATTGATCTGTAATAGGCAGACTCACCGGCTTAAACACGGGTATCCTTCCTCCCTCGTAGTAATGATCAGGCTCGATATCCTCTTCTACAGCTTCCACCGACGCCGCAGCCGCATGATGATCCAAGTCGAGGTCGGACAATTCCGAGGGCACCCCTTCAGCAACATTTTTCTTGCCGTCGGCGCTGTTTGGAGGTGTAATGGAGGCGGCCGTAGTCTCGACGGAATGGAACGATTCCAGCGCCGGCGCCGGCGCTGGCGCTGGCGCTTTCTGGTTCAGCGCAGTCGTCATCACTTCTTCCCCTTTGATAATTTCCTTCGTAGATGTAGACGCGCTGCCGTCGGATTTGTGACCGCTGCTCGACGGCTGGTGAGTGTAGTTACCCCCCCCCCCAGCGGTTGGGGGATTGAAGGTCGGCGGAGACTGACGGAGCGGATAAGGATTTACGCAAGTCGGATAGGTCGAGGAGCGTTGAAGTCGAGAAATCAGTAGAATTCAGATGCTGAATAACATGAAGCCCCTCTCAGCGCCGCCGAAAATAAAAAAAAAAAAGGGAAACCAATGATGCAGCTGATGCAGGCCAGCGGCTGATTGGACGTGATAGAGTAGTGAAAAAAAGGTAATGTATGAGATTTGCAGTAAAGTTGCTCAGGCGGGTATTGGCCGATGGATGGATCAGGTAATTCAGTGGATCCCGTTGTCGTGTCGTCGTCGTCGTCGTCGTCGCTAGACTCGCTACAATACGGTGGGTGTATTCTGGATTGAAAGAGGTATTAGATTCAATAGATTGACAACGAGCGACAGATCTGTTCGGGACCGAAGCAACAGCGAATGGGTTTATCAGATGTGGCGTTGAACATAGCCTCAGGCCGAAAGGGAGCGATGATGAGGGCCACGGCGGATAAGGAGGCCCTGAGCACGCTATGCCGGATTGGGTCGGGGTTGTTCGTACTCTGTATCGACTTTTTGACGGCGATATCAACTAGGCTGCGCGTACAAGTATTTGTTGAGTTGTCCTCTGTATGGGTAATGAAGAAGATGGAGATAGACAGTTTGTTTTCATGAAGCATTCCTGTGCTCGTCATATCGAGCCTCGTCGGGCCGGATTAACATACTTCCCGGGCTATACCTTCCCTTTCCGACACCCGTTTAAGACCGACTTCAGACTTACCTTAGCTATCATAAGCTATCTCTAGTTAAGTCCTTTCAACAGCTTCACGTGTGATCAATACCGTCTCAGTCATGGCTTGTATTCAATGTATTGACAGTTGGTTGATCTGACATGCAGCTACGTACTATAGTACTAAGCTCTTGGCCTACTACCCCGGGCATGAGATACAAGGTAGACCCTCGTTGTGCATGTAAACCGATCAATTAACTATTATATAACTAGTATATGAGATCATTATACATGAACTACTCCGTATACCAATGTGAATTTTCTGCGTCTATAGTAGATAACGACAATGACAAAAACAGACAAATAATCCTTATCTTCCTGCGCCGGACGGACTGCTCCATCGAGTCTAGTCCTAGACCGATATAGGCGACGTTTCCATGAGGATTCTTTGCTCTTATCAGAGGATCACCAGAACCTTATCAATAATCAAGGTACTTATCGTGTGAGCAGCTGCCTTCTTAAACCAGCGCTTCTCCCTTCTTTCTATACTCCGGATTCTCAAATTATATGGATATAGACAGTCAAGACACAAAATGACGGGGCAAACAAGCAGTGCGGATGCCGCGCTCGAGCGCATGGGATACAAGAATGAATTACCCCGGAATTTGAGCATGCTGAGTGTGCTAGGCTTGTACGTCTCCCTCCCGAAATATGAACCATCCACCTAACGAGATAGGTCCTTTGCAATCATGGCCGCCCCCTTCGGTCTCAGTACCACATTGTACATCACGCTGGTAGACGGCCAATCCGTAACCATCATCTGGGGCTGGGTATTAGTGACCCTAATCTCAATCGCGATCGCTGCCTCTCTCGCCGAAATCTGTGCCGTCTACCCCACGGCCGGCGGAGTATACTACTGGAGCGCAATGCTCTCAACGCGGAAATGGGCACCGCTAATGTCGTTTATAGACGGCTGGTTGACGCTCGTCGGTAACTGGACGGTGACGCTGAGTATCAATTTCTCCGGCGGACAGCTTATCCTCTCCGCGATTTCGCTATGGAATGAAGACTACGTGCCGACGCCGTATCAGACTATTTTGATGTTTTGGGCTGTTATGCTGGTGTGTGCGTTGGTGAACATTTTTGCGTCGAGATGGCTCGATTTGATTAATAAAGTGTGCATCTATTGGACGGCTGCGAGTGTGATTATTATCTTGGTGACTCTGCTGTCGATGGCGGATCATCGTCGGTCAGGCGAGTTTGTTTTTGGCCATTACGATGCATCGTCAAGTGGATGGTACGTCTCCCTCCCCCCTTCCTTGCCCCAACCAACTACTCTGTCGATATTTCTAGGCTAACAGACTTAGGCCAAATGGATGGGCATTCTTCGTCGGCCTTCTCCAGGCAGCGTATACCCTAACCGGCTACGGCATGGTCGCAGCCATGTGCGAAGAAGTGCAAAACCCCCATCTCGAAGTGCCCCGCGCCATTGTCCTGTCTGTTGTCGCCGCCGGAATCACTGGTCTAATCTATCTGATCCCTATCCTCTTCACTCTCCCATCCGTTGATATCCTGCTGGCCGTCGCCAACGGTCAACCCATCGGGCTAATATTCAAAACCGTCACGGGCTCTGCCGGCGGCGGATTCGGTCTCTTATTCCTGATTTTGGGAATCATGTTCTTTGCAGGGATCGGTGCACTTACAGCAGCCAGTCGATGCACATACGCCTTTGCTCGGGACGGCGCAATCCCTGGATTTCGGGCATGGCAAAAAGTCAATAAATCGTTAGACGTGCCCGTGAATGCAGTTATTCTATCCGCTGTCGTGGATTGTCTACTTGGATTAATCTATTTCGGCTCCAGTGCTGCATTCAACTCTTTCACTGGTGTGGCTACAATCTGTCTCTCAACGTCGTACGGAGTCCCAATCTTGATATCGGTGTTACGTGGTCGTCGCGCCGTGAAACATTCCTCCTTTTCTCTGGGAAAATTCGGATACGCTATTAACATCACCACGATATGTTGGATTGTCCTCGCCGTGGTTCTGTTCTGTATGCCCGTTTCGTTACCCGTGACCCCCTCGACCATGAATTATGCTAGTGTCGTGTTTGCGGGGTTTGCGTTGATTAGTGTGATTTGGTACTTTGCGTATGCGCGCAGACATTTTACGGGACCGCCTGTTATGGCTGATTTGGTGGATGAGATTGGTGATAGTGGTACTCCGGATGTTGGGGTTGTTGCTGGGAAAGCTGTTATTGATACAGAGGCTGACCCGGTTGGTGAACCCGAAAAGGTTGATAAATAGTTGTATTAGATTGGAATGCATATACAGGTAACCCAGGAGGTGTTACATCTCCTGCATGGTTCATACATATAGATCTACCCGCGTGTGTTCATCCGCACTTCTCTATCTCCACAAGTGAAGATATGCAAGATAGAAGAGATATGAAATGAACGTATAAATCAATTGATTGATGTAACTAGTGAAATACTCCAACAGAAACGCCTCATAAATCATGAATGACATGCATGCATCGCATCGCTCACTCGACAAAACGCAAGAATCAATCAGCAAATTAAGCAATCAAAAAATATCCTCAGGCCACGCAAACTCCTTTGACGGAATCCTCGCTTTCATCGTCGAGGTAAGCTTCTTCGGCGAAACACCAGACTTGGTAGAGTCCAACAATTCCTTCGGAACAGGAGGGACAGGCGGAATATTCTCGTACCCGTCACCACTGCTACAAGTCCATCCTTTATTCTTCTTCTTCTTCTGTGCTGATATATTCCCTTCCTGTTCTTGGAGATGTTTCCCTTCTTCTTCCTTAGAGGCAACAGCGTCAGCACGAAGATTGCGAGAGGATTGTTTCGCTTTTAATCGTTGACTGGCTTTGGTGGTTAGACTAGATGCGCGTTTGTCGCGTCCGGATTTGAGTTTGTTGCGTAGTCGTTTCTCATTGCTCTTATCTCCTTCTTCCTCGTCATCGTCATCACCATCGGGTAAAGGGTTTCCGCAATCGGCGGTGTAGTTTTCTTCCAGGTCGATTGTCCCCGTCGGCATGGGGATGGGTGACTTTCGTTTACGCGAGAGACTATCAATAGGTGGCCATTTTGTGACTCTTTGACTCGTCCCCGGTTGGACGTAGCCTGCTTCCAGGACTCGTTCAGAAAGCAGTGTTGGTAGACCCTGTCTGAATTGACGGTCGTGCTCGTCATCAACACAGATTGTCGGAATAGGCGGTTGGTTGTCATCCGGAACGTATTCACGCAACTCTCGCCGAGCACGCTCTAGCTTGTCTTCCAGATTACTAACCCGTTTCAATAATTTGGCCTGCTTATGCAACTCTCTGCGAGACTGTCGTCGCTCCATCTGTTGGTGGTCTCGGTCATCATTTCGCTCAATCGACGCCCGCATACTCATAGGAGACACATCCCGGAACCGTATCGCCGGAATACTCAGATTAGAAGTCCTCTTCCTCAATTCTGAGAACGACTTCAGCTTCAACACCCCTCTTTCAGGAGATATGGGTCCCAGTCCGTCAGGGGATATACCAACAAGCGTATCGTCCTGGGATATACGGCTTTCGTTAGCAAGTTTGTAGCCCATTTTCTCCTGGATTGATTTCCATGTCTCATCGGCAACGCCCGCGTCAACCTGATTCTTCGTACTGAAGGTAGTGTTGGTGCCCCTATAACCCGACTTTTTCAGCTCAGCATAAGCCTTCTCCGCTTTGGCCTGTCGTTGCTTCATAATCTCCTTTTGCGATTTTGCGGCTGCGTCTTGCTCGGACTTGTTACCCTTTGATCCACCAAAAGGATGGAAAGCGGAAGCAATAGCCTTTCCAAAACGGAAAATTCCCGACGACCTCTTCTCCAAACTCTTCCTATTTTCTGTTTGGCCGACATCTGCATGGGTCTGACGATCATCCAGAAAAAAGATACTGGGCGGCTTCTCACTAACACGATCATTCATACTCCCCTCAATAAACCTCGAACGACGAATCCTCAACACCGGCGTATGCTTATTTTTACCAAGCGTGGGCGTAGATCGTCGTGCACTCAAATCAATCTTCATTCCGTTTTCGTCATAGGCGATTTCGTTTTGTACCGGCCAGCCGTTTGATCGGCCCCGTTTAGCTGAATGGACTGATGTTGTATCCTCTGCAGTCTGCTCTTGTAGAACATCTTCATCAGCATCGTCGAATCTCCCCGATATATCAGATATGCTATCTGGGAAAACCTCTGCAGGCGACAATTTGCGTTTATGCTGATAACTCGATGCCTTCGTCATACTGAATCCGTGGTATCGGTACTCGTTCTCCGTATCAGTAAAAGTACCATCAGCCTCGAGATGATCAACACGACTATCGGAATCGTCGTCGCTATCTTCGAACACGAGCGATTTCTGTAGGAGCGGGTCTGCTTGTAGAGGGTCGAATTGGAGATTGATATCTATGTATGGCGTGTAATGATATGGACGCTGGGAGTGCTGTATCTGTTAGTATACTTCTGCCTCGTGATGTATCATGTAAACTCCTCGTGCATGCAGATAACAACAAACCTCCGCAATCTCCGTTGAGGTTTTCTCCATGGCTCAGTAGACAGATGATGCGATGCCTTCAACCAAAAATGTAAAAACAGTAGACTTACCAAAAATCAAGAAGAAAAAGGAACGAAATCGTGTCGTATCAAATATCAAATAACATCGCCAAAAAGAGCATCAAAACATAACTTCGCTGGCTCGCAAATATGCACGAAAAAGAAAAATAATAATAGAAAAATATGTAAATTCCGCTGAATGTTCGTCCTCCAATCTGATGAAAGTCTTGTCTGATGACAATGTAGGGATGGTAAATATTGGTCTGGTATGGAGGGGAAGTTTGGGGTTTGTGTTTGTTTTGGTTTATTTACTTTTGGACTTGGCCGTTACGGTAGATAAGATAACGACCAGCGTCACGGGATTAGTTAGACATGACATCTCATTGGGTACTATCCATCAATATCATTATTTTAGAACTACGAGTAATTCTCGAATTGTTTCTCCTAACGTGTTCTTGCTTGATCATCCACGAACTAACCAGTCAAACGATGAATTGAATCTTTCCCAAAATCTCAGCAATACAATATAACATGTAAATAGAAATTTAACTAGAAGCAGAAGCATACCACATAAGGAAGCAGACAAGGAGAGATATATGATATAATAGATGATATAACCAAAAAAAGACCATGCCGACAAGGCGAGTTCGTATCTGCTTGTAATGAAGATGCAGTGCATGTATGAGAAAAAAAAAGAGTTGAGGCAATCATATACAGGAAGAATGAAAACAAATGTTGCGCCAATGTTGTCAGCAGAAATTGAAGGAAGAGTGTCTTTTCCTTGCATCTTACAAAGAATAAGAATGAAGTCAAGGAATAAACACCAGTCGTAGTCCCGAATATAATCCATGTATATATATATATATATATATAGTCAAACGAACCAACACCCGGTCAGGATTCGTCAGATAAGAAGGAAGTTAAACCGAAAGCTGGGTTTTGCTGGACATTCTACCATCTGCTCGCCTGTATTCCATTTGTGGTCGTTCCCAATTATCTGTTTCCGCTTCTATGAATGAGTCGCGTTTTCCGGACACTGGAACTATGGGTTGATGACCGATGCCAGCGTAATCATTGTCTGAGGAACGGATGCTTTTATGCATGTGACCATCGTGACTATCGAATGAATCTTCGTGGGTACGTTTGGCGATTGTGGGTTTGATGGCGTAATAGGATGGTCTTCTTTGTTGGGAGATGTCAGACGCTGAAGGTGGAGGTGGTGGAACAGCGCCGGCGAATTGATCCAGGGAACTGATTGGTGGTAACATGATATTAGACGCAGGAGTATGTGGACGCGGTGGAACGGACTGGGCGGATGATGTGGTTGCGGAAGACGGGTAGGGTTCGGAGGACGGACCGCCGTATGTTGGAGGATCGATGGGTGCTGGGTTGAGGATTGAGGGGAGATGGTGAGGACGTGTGGAATAAGAGTGCGGTGTTGGTTCGTATTCGGATGCATTGGATGGATGGCGGGAACGCGGTAATTGAGGTTGTGACGAGTATGTTGACGTTGGCGTTGAAGGGCCAGAAGCGTAGATGGAATGCGATGGTGGTGGGGGAGGCGCAGCTGGCAATTGAGGTGTTTGATAAGAAGTCGAAGAACCAAAAGACAGATATCCAGGCGCTGCCGATGTCGAAGCAGGTGCTGGCGGTAGTGGCGGGGGAGGATGTTGGAGCGCATGGTGCTGATATGGAGTTGACGTTGCAGGCGGCGGAGGCGGTCTTGAGTGGTGTGTTGTATATGCAGGATATTCGTGTGTAGAATCTCGACGAGGAGTCTGACCCGGGTAAGGATATGGTGCATCAACAGTGCTGTTACTGGCGGACCGCGGACGTTCAACCGGTGTAGGAGTTGTGTAACGGGACGAACGACCGTATTCATCGTTGTATTCACCGTAGTCCTTACCGCTGCTCTTCTCACCGCGACGTCTCATGCGCACGTCACGACGAATGCGTACACGACAGCCTTGTTCGGCGACAACGCGGCTGAGCGAAGTGCTGGTCGCCAATCCCGGGAACTTCTTTGCACTGTATACCTGGAATGGGGTCGACTTGACCTCTAGCCTGAAGTTCAAGAACGCCTTGGGTGCACCTGGTTTGTTTGAGGTGGTCACTGGCTGTTGAGCAGGCAAAGCCGCATCCTTGTCGGCATCCTTTGGATCCTTGACCTCTTCATACAGGTTGAAATTGAGTCTGTAGAATCCTTCATGTCGAACAGACAAGTCCGGGAAGATGAAATATCCTGCTTGAGCCGGACGATCCAAATATGCAATGCCTGCTACGGGCACGCCTGTCAAAACAGGACATGTAGGAGGTTGTCCAGAGACACGGCCTTGTGCGATCGGACGGGCGTTTTCCAGCGTAGCAAACAGGAAGAAGTTGGCATTATAGGCAAATGTAATATCGGTCTTGTTCATGTCATTGTCGAGCTCAGATTCAAAAACACGCAATTCAACGACAGGTGGAGGGTCGACAGGACGACGGTCAGCCGATGCTAGTTCTGTTAGTTTGTCACCATTCGTCTTGTGTTCGTCGTGTACATACATTTTGCCCCAGCACCGCAAGCACGAGCCCTCTCGGGCTGCTGAATAACCTTGAGGTTGTATGTGATTCTCTTTCCTTCCCGACTGACCCGACTGAAGGTATGCTCAGTCTCGTTGATAGGGGCCATCAGGCCTGATCTTGCAGCCATTTTGCAATGCAATAGCTGAGCGAGCGAGTCGCTCTGTGGTTGGAAGAATCGAAAGTCAGCCTGCTACCTGATTCCCATATGCATTTGTATGTCGGTCTGATCGATCGAGTCTCAAGGTTTCGAATCCAGTATTCGAATACCGTTGACGATTGCGCTCTATCGAAGTTTTGTCGATGGCAACCATCAGATGATCCTCTCAATCTTCCGTCCTATTTTCCTCGTTCTTTCTTTCTTTCTTTCTTCTTTATTCCTCCTTTCAGCAGCCCGTCGTACCGATGGGATGATGACCAGGTAGAGGCTGGTACGGAGTAGAGAAGAAGTGAAGTTCTGCAGACGACAGCGAGACCGAAGCCGAGAGCACGGACACGGACTGGCTAAATTGCTCTAGGATGCACTAATGCACATTATTATAGCCGTATTGTAATTACGCTATAATACGATGGCATTTATTCAGTGCACGGGCTTATTGCTCTTCTGGTATGGTTTGTATCACTAGTTTTGTTGCGAGTATTCTTCTTTTCTTCAGGCTTAAGTTATCTGTTTGCTGAGTTGCTCAGGCTGCAGTGACCCAGAACAAGGGCACCACACAACACGAGGGCATCAACCATGGTCCAAGACGTATTATTGGGCGGTATTATGCTTCTTGATTTGCCGTGAGTGGACCAGAATTCACGGGGTACAACTCCAGAATCAGGCGTATCCAGAGGGCCCTTCTCTACGGAGTAGACTAAGTAAAAAGGCAAAAGATGGCTTACCAGATTCGTCCTAACAGTGACACTAATACTCGCTTTCGATACAGTCGACTATGATACAACGGCGTACAGACAAACTAGACCGTTGTCCAACCATAAAACATACGGAGTGCATACGACGGAATATCTAAATCTAACAATATTGATCGTCACGCGAGGCGTGTATGGTAATCGCAATACAGACCGGGACAACGGGGTGGAGTGACCCGGCGGGCGGCTAGCTCCACTGTCTTAGCATGAAGAAGTATGTATATATGTATGTATGTACATAAGTAAGTAAGTAAGTTAAGTAAAGAGTACTAATTACCAAGTTGGGTTAACATCATTCCAATCTGCAGTTATCTTCAGAAGTGAGGAAAAAGAAAAGAACAAAGAAGAATCAACTAACATACAGCGGACAGAGTAGTATGTATGTAAATAATAATAATAAATATGTTGCTACGTAAGTTAAGTACTCTGTAAGTAATTCGTCCAACCGAACTCAGGCTGACCAACAGGGTGTCGCGCAGTGGATCATTCTCCCAGCCCGTCGTCGCGGGTCGCATGGTCCCTGCGCAGACACGATTGATTCGTTCCCAACGCTGCAACACCCCTACTTCCGGAAACGGAAAGCGCTTCAGTTCTGCACCTCGATGAAAATAGTTAGACACCCCCTTTATCCAATCATACCCTCTACTATACGCTGAGCTAAGCGAATCCGGTATCGGTTCGGAAAAACTTCCCCTAATCATCCGATTCAGCGGTGTTTGGTCCTGACTCGTTGACATTCCCAGTCCTGTGGATTTGGGATGAGCCCTTACTCGTGGCCGTCTCCTTGATGTTACTGGTCAGCCACTTCTTTGTCTGATTTCCTCAGCTTGCTGACTTTTGGCAGGCTTGTGAGTACAGCCAGCCATCCGCAGACCATACTCCCGTACGCCTTGTGGTGTCTTCAGTCGTATTTACTCTTCAGTCAAATCGAGAGTGCGCTCTGATTGTTACCGCGCTCGGCGCCGTCGATCCGGTACCCAGGCGGATGTACCAAGTTTGCATGCGAACTGCGCTGTCTTAATAATACATTTATGTAGCAAATAATTCTCCGACTTATGCGGACATGGCGTTACATATTGTTACGTGGTTACATTACACGTACTACGGAGCTGGTGGGTATTCCCAACCAACATCCCTGGAAACCTTATTGATCTCAACTTTAGCATTGAAGCGGACACCGTATGTTTGTACGGAGCCGTCGGGAGTTATTATTGACTCAGTCAGCGACTGCGTTAACTTGACTTAGTGAGTAGGGTAAGATATGCGATGAATCGTGGTTTTTTTGATTTTTGGTCTTTTTTTTTTTTTTTTTTTTTTTTTTTTTTTTTTCCTTTCCTCCTCCTCCTGATGGTGTAAGCTAGTAGCAGTACTACATCAATCCAAAGCAAGAAAGTCTCAAAAATGAGATCGATCAAATTGACAGTGCGGGGCCGTCAGCCAAGACTATCCCGGATCCGGACTAGTGCGAGTACGGAGAACCCGAGAGCTTATTTGTACTGAAACTGTACTCCGTACCATTACACGGTAGTTGGGTCTATCGTCTTGCCGACTTTTGTTGTAGTTAATTAACTTACGCTCTCTCCAGCTGAATAAGCGACCAGCCAAAAAGCAATCAATCCACACCCATAATTCAGCTTCACCCCGGGTTTCAACACCAATTTTGAGAATCAACTCATGTACGACGAACCTTGTTACTCCATGACTTCCGTCATTCCATACGGAATGCATTGATCTGGAAGGATTTATCGAGCCAAATCCTTCAACATTCTAGAACCCCCAAACTTATTCGTGGAATGTTAAGAATCCATGGATATGTGTCCATGTATTGCCCCACTTGTTTCGTTTCATCCTTCTGGATGCGGCGGTTGATTCAGTTATCGATCTGGTGCTTGCACATTGCATCTACATAATGCATACATACTCTAGGCATGCTGTTTGATGCAGTCCGTAGATAGGTTACCACCTAGAGTGTAATAGATCTAGCCGGTTCGACTCTCAACTCTCGAAAGTGTAGTTTGGTCTCGATGCAAAGTCATTGACATCATAAACCAGTGGTTAATCCTTGAATACCTTTGTAAAACTTGTATTCACTGAATACCATTCATATGCACGACATTGCAGAATTCGATGAGAATGCCATGAGTCGTCCCATGGACTCGAATGACGGGAATAAGCAGATTCTGCTCATCTCGAATATCGTACAAGATCGTACCGGACGATCGGCCACATGACGGGCGCCGCTAGACCGGTTTGGGAGTGGATTCCATTTTTGTCTAGGCCGGAATGGTAATGTATTCGAGAATACTCAGAATACAACTGTCCTAGTATGAATGGCGAGATATGAACGTTCCTGCACAGTCATTACTGACTGACATTACATCTGTCTACGTATGTGGTTCTACGATTAACCTACTAGGTAGGTGAACATATATGCCAATGAATCAATTCAGCTGCTGTCTGTTGCACAATTCAACGTTCTCTTGGTGTCACCTACCCGGTAAATCTCACCGGTCCCTGTTCTATAATCGACGAGATCGCAGAAGATACGTATTGTATATCCAGATCTCGATATCTCTGATATTACCATATCCTTGCGACCGTTATCCAATGCATCGATCCGGTCCACATGCCGAACGTTGACCCCCTTAGAACAGAGCATTATTCCACCAATGTATGGCCATGCATGAATCATAAAAAATCGAACCCGTTGACTTGAACATGTGTTCTCGTCGAGTTTGACCATGTTATCGTCCACAGTGGATACTTCTAGACCCTTGAATCGAATACTAGTACAAGTTTGTGTCGGAAAAGGAATGTGGGTATCCTATTCCCAAGAACTTCATGCCGCACGGCCTGTGGTCCGGCTATATTGCCGTCAATTAATATGTAGAAAGTCATACCATTCGCTATAACTTGTCTTTTGACTTTGTGACTGGCTGACACTTTGACTGTGTAGTGCCTTATGTGGAGATGTGGAATATGATGTATCGGAAAACATGTCTAGACTGTTAAGAATCAGGCTCAATCGCCGATGGTTGTATCCACTGTGACTGAGGACCGTTGCTTGTCTGTGCTTTGGCTGTCGGTCCGCGTGTACTCGCTTGATAATCGATATCATACGCATCATATGCGTCTAGCACATGGACCTCTGGATAGGGTTATGCGCTATGAGGGAACCGTTACCGCTTCTCACTGAAGACGTCAACCTTGGAATCGGCCGGCCATATTTATTAGGCCATACTTGTTATATTCGATACTTGGGTATTGACAGCCACGCACCGTTGTATGCATACGCCTCTTTAGATAAACACTATCAAACAACTAACTAACTTCCTCCATACCTATTATGCAAGTTGGGATATGCCTAAGTCCTTTATCGCCTAGGTACAAATACCTACATAGGCGAAGATAAATTCTCCGACCTTTCGACCTATCAGTATTGCCTTCATAGCTTTGTAGGCCTGAAGGCCAATGGCTCATGCGTATCCAGTGCAGAATATGTACCTAGATATGCTGCATGCATAACAGCACATCGCATTGCGTGGGACTACTGTGGCTTACCTTGCTGTATACCGATGGGGCTGTGTATCTGGATATGATATAGACCAGATTTAATTACTAGGAGATGTAGGTACTGAATGTCAAATGACAGACGGACCCTTACGTTGTATAAATTTGAATCCTGTCAGTCCTTGCATTGATATCATATTTCCCTACCTGACCGCTGCGTATTTGAACTCTTCTTTTACTTTGATCATGAAACCATATGGATGTATAGAAGTTATCATGACTGTAGACGGCATGTCAATAAATGTATAGCCAGAAATTGATCGGTGGTTACGGAATTACCGATATGATGCCTTGTTCCTTATGGCAGGGCAAAATAATTGACAATCGTTTGTATCAATTCATTTTCTTCCAGTGAAGGTTCCACGCACAATATCAAAATAAAATTTGAGGCTGGCGAGGTAGGGGAATTATTGTCACGTGCTACTGGAATATAACAAGTTGAGATTTGTTTTCTCCCACGTCTCTCTCCTTCCCTTCATATATTCCAGTTTCTTTTCTCCTCTGCTTCACTCTTATCAGCCAGAAATATGCCTCAATGCCTACATAAACCACTCAAACTGCTTGGGATTTCTTAGCCCCAGCTAAGGCACTAGAATTGATGCCAATCGATCAATCATCGATAGGCATGTGGAAACCATAATCAACCCAACTACGTATCCTCCACGGACCGCCGCTTGACACCGGTTACGCGAGCGCCGTTCAAGGAGGTCCCGTGGAAGGCTATAAATTTGTTCAACGCCGAAGACTGGAAGAAGACACAAAACATTGTCGCCTGTATACCCCAGGACTTGCCTGTTGTCAATTGCCGTGCTGCGACAAGGTGTGGAGTGTTATTGGTAAACAGCAGAAGAAGACTCTATCTTCATCACAGAAAGCGTTTACTGACTTCCTCCGGCATCTGCTCCCAGGAAGTCTAGTGTCCACAACCTGGCTGCCTCTTCTGAAACATAACGAGTGGAGGGAATGGTCAAAATTCCTTGGAGAAGATGCATTGTAGAACGGCTGATTGTGACAGCCAGCCCTGCGGCTTGACAGCTCTACGGCTTGGCGACGGAGCCTTCCGTACAGTGTCATCCTAGGAGGCTTTTCCCGCTATCTCAAGATAGGGCTTGAGCCCTAAGCAATGCTATATTGGGAGCGGTACTGTATTGGGAAGTTCCGTCCACACAAAGGATCATATGAAGGAGCTGTGCGTAGAGGGGCGCTGTGTTTTTTTTTCTTCTTCTTTCCTTCTTCATGCTTGTTATTCTTCGTAGATAGGCTCACCTAGTTAGCAACAAATGCAAGGTATTGGCCAGCGTCACATAATAACAAGCATCACCCTTTTCTTCTTCTTCTCTCGTACATCAGCAAAGCGGACCTCCTCAGCGTTCAACGCTCTGATCGAGAGAGCCCTTCTTTTCCTCTTTTTCCCCTTCCTTTCCTGGCGACTCTGTGAGCTCGCAAAGCGTGTGACCTCGTCATCAAGCTCGAGCAGGGGTCCCCTTTCTTTTCTCTTATTTATTTTTCATATTTTTCCATATCGCCGTGACGCGTTAAGATGCCTCGATCGGTATACGGTCACAACGGCGGTAGAGCACAAGCATCTGACTCCCCCGAACCGGAGGATGCGGAGTTAGTTCTAGATGTTGATGAAAGTGACGGAGCACCGAGCGTGGGTCAGCCAGAAGATGATACGGCTGGGCCATCGGGTGGACGTCAGCACACTAGACGCCTCACTATTGACATAAACGACATGCACGACCTCCTGATGGATGAGGTTGACAGAGCAGGATTCGCTGAAGGATTGAATTTCCCAACGTTCCGAATGCTCTTTGAGCGCCATCCCGAGGCCCTTTTTGCAGGACTCTGTGACCAGTTTACCCGTCTGGAGACAAGAGCTGGTAAGGCCCCAGCACAGAATGACTACGTACTCTCCGATGAAGCGCGTGGAGAGCTTGAGCGTCTCCGAAAGCGTACCGACCTTCAACACCGCGCGATGGGGGAACTTATCAACGAACGTGACAACCTCCAGGCACGTCTCGAGACGATGGAACACCAGGGACGTGAAGGAACTGTCTCGACAGTGATGACCAGTCAGAAGAAATCAACCAAGCTTCCCGATGGTCAGGTTTTTGTTGATGGAAAGGATCCGAAGTTCGAATCGTGGCTGATCGATGTGGAGAACAAGTTAGAAGCGAACGCTGATCACTATCCAACTGCTCTAGCCCGTATGCAGTACGTCAAGAGTATGTGTAAAGGTGAAGCTGCTGATCATCTTCTTCCGCGTTTCCGTAAGGACTCACCTCAGCGCTACCGCGACGTGGAGGATATCTTTGAGCATCTCAAGACTATCTATCAAGACGCAAACCGAGTTACGTCCGCGAAGCGTCAGTTCCGCCGCTTATTCATGAACGAGATGAAGTTCCAGAATTTCTTGTCGAAGTTCGTGCTCCTCGCCCAAGAATCGGAGTTTCCAGCTGCCCAGTGGAAGGACGAGTTGTATGAGCGACTCTCTCCTGAGATGCAGGTGCAGATGGTGAAACAGAGCTACGACGACACCATGAGTTATTCGACCTTTGTCCGAGAGTGTCACCAAACCGCAAACCGTTTAGAGATGATCGCCGAGAACGAGAAGCGTGCCCCAAATCCTCGCAGTAACAAGGGCGGCCACGGAGGAGATGCTACCAAGGACAACAAAAAGGACACAGCAGGAGCAGAGAAGCCGAAGGATGGCCAGGGTAAACCGAAGCTCACCTGGAAGGAGAAGCAGCAGCTACGGGTCGAAGGAAAGTGCTTTATCTGCAAGATGCCGGGTCATATGTCGGGAGACTGCGAGTTCAATACCGCCAAGAACCCGGACCTCAAGGCTCTGGAGCCCGCGAAAGAAGCGATCAAGGATAAGAGCTCTGATTCGGAAAACGAGTCCGCCTGAGAGAAGACTCCTTCTTAGGCGAGATCTGTGCCACTGATGCTTTGGATCTGTCGCAGTTGATTGGTAATGATCGGGAAAGTTTGACTGTACCTATTCAACTAGCAAAGAATGGATTATCGATTTGCACTAAAGCATTAGCAGACACTGGAGCCAATGGCTTTGCCTTCTTAGATATTTTTCTCGCGGAAAGATTAGCTCGACATTTCAGCCACCACGTGGTTCCGTTGAAGCAACCCTGTCGCGTGAAGGGATTCGACGGTAGGACGAAGAACGCGATTACTCACCTTATAGTGTTGTCTCTGGTGGTCGATGGGCGAGTGATGTATGACCTCCCTTTCCTGATTGTTCGGTTGGGAAAGCATGATGTTATCTTGGGACGGATGTGGTTGGCTCGATATAATGTTATGGTGGATTGCTCCCGACGTCGCTTATTGTGGCCTGAAGAGGTCTCGTTAAAGGAAGAAATCCAAGCGAAGCAATTTGTACGACTACCAAAGAAGTTGCTGTTGCGGGACCGTGAAATTGAGATACGCCACCAGGAAGATGCGGACCGTCGTGACCGGCAACTCGAAGGGACCTCGAGTTCATCTCGGACCCTGCCAGTGAATCATGGAAGGACGTACCGTCGCAGCCATGAGTGTGAATTGGACCGAATGAGGAAGGAGCTCCAGAAGTCTTACGAGGAGCTTCCTCTGCCGGAAGAAGTCAAACCAGTCCTCAAGCCCAAACGGGTGCGATTTCGAGATGCGTACCCAGAGGCTGATATAGCTGTCATTGGCGGAGCGGGTTTCCAGCGCCATATGAACAATAAGAAAACGGAGACCTTTGTCACAAGCTTGAGTGAGATTGAAAAGGCGATCGAGGACAAGAGACAGCTCGAAGACGTCGCGACAGAGGAGCAAGAGATCAAGAAGCAACTCCCAGAATGGTATCATGAGTTCGCAGACGTTTTCTCCAAGATCAAATCGGACAAGCTACCTGAGCGAAAAGAATACGATCATCGGATTGAGCTGGAGCGCGAAGTAGAGCTGGGATATTGTCCTCTGTACCGAATGACGGCAGACGAATTGGAAGCGGCCAAGGAGTATATCCTTGAGAACCTAGACAAGGGCTTCATTGCGCCCAGCAACGTACCTTTCGCCTCGCCGATACTCATGGCGAAGAAGCCCGGTGGCGGACTTCGGTTCTGTGTGGACTATAGAAAGCTCAATGCCCTTACCCGAAAGGACAGATATCCCCTGCCGCTAATTGATGAGGTTTTCGAGAGGATTAGCAAGGCCAAGATCTTCACCAAGTTGGACATTCGACAGGGATTTCACCGTATTCGCATGCACAAAGATTCTTCAGATCTGACGACGTTTAGGTGTCGATATGGCACATTCAAGTACGAGGTTATGCCGTTCGGATTAACTAACGGCCCGGCAACTTTCCAACGATTGATCAACGACATCTTCTTGGACTGTTTGGACAAGTTCCTGATCGCATTTATTGATGATTTGTTGATCTATAGCGACAACGCAGCGGAGCATGAGATTCACGTACGGACAGTGCTGCAACGATTGCGCGATGCTGGTCTCCAAGCGAGCATCAAGAAGTGCGAATTTCATGTGACTACGACAAAATATCTCGGCTTTATAATCACCCCCGAAGGTATCAAGGTTGACTCAGAAAAAGTTGAATCGGTACTTACTTGGAAGGTTCCCACCACCGTATTAGGAATCCAGTCGTTCCTGGGCTTCTGTAACTTCTATCGGAAGTTTATAGCTGAGTATAGTCGGATAGCGCAGCCGCTGCATAGACTTACTCGATCGAACGTTCCTTTTGTCTGGACTGACAAGTGCCAAGCGGCTTTTGATAAGCTCAAGGTTGCTCTGGTATCCGCCCCAGTGCTGGTACACTACGACCCAACGCGATTGACGCGTGTGGAGACTGACGCATCGGATGGAGTGGTGGCGGCAGTGCTCTCCCAGTTATGTGATGATGGAGAATGGCACCCGGTGGCATATTACTCCTCTTCAATGTCGTCAGCTGAGCACAATTACGACATCCATGATAAGGAAATGTTGGCAATCATTAAGGCTTTCCGGGAATGGAGACCAGAGTTGTTAGGACTACGTCAGCAGGAGCGTTTTGAGGTCTTGTCCGACCATCGAGCGTTGGAGTATTTTATGACGACGAAAGCGCTCAGCGCGCGGCAGGTACGGTGGTACGAATTCTTGCAGGAGTTCTATTTCATTCTAAAATATCGACCGGGGAGAGCGAATGTCCTCGCCGACACGTTGACACGTCGAAAAGATGAAGGTGCTCGCAATCTTGATCACAGGAATCTGACTCTCCTTCCTTCGGAGGTCTTAGATGAGCGGATTACAACTGAAATTGTGATATCAGAGCTACAAGGCGCTTCTGCGGATAATAGTGTGATCAACCGAGTGCTCAAAGCCAATGAAAGATTCGCCTTGACACTAGAAGCAAAGGAGTGGGTGAACAAGAAAGATTCGGACTGGCATCTTGAAGATGACCGTCTACTGTTCAGGAATCGATTGTATGTCCCCGACGATGAGGATTTACGTGCGCGACTACTCGATGAGTTACACCGCACCCCTTCGACAGCGCACCCAGGAAGAGATAAGACAAAGGCGTTAGTCAAGGAACGATTTTACTGGAAGGCATGGAGCACGGATGTAGTGCGATATGTGGATAACTGCAAAACGTGTGGACGTACTACGACATGGAGAGACCGCACCCCCGGACTTCTGCAACCTCTTCCTATCCCGGAGAGACCGTGGCAGCACCTGTCAATGGACTTTATGGAATTGCCAAAGGATCGTTATGGCTACGACATGGTATTTGTGACGGTTGACCGTCTGAGCAAGAGACCGGTGTCCATGCCTTGCTACAAGAAGACCACAACCGCAAAGGAGATGGCTCGACTCTGGATTCGGTATGTGTTCCCGTGGACCGGCCTGCCGGATAGCATTGTCTCAGACCGCGGAGGACAGTTTGTATCGGAGTTCTGGAATGAGGTCTGTCGTATCTTGCGGATCAAGATCAAGCTCTCCACGGCTCGGCATGCGCAGACGGACGGTCAGACGGAGATCGTGAATCAATATCTGCAGCAGCGGCTACGACCTTACGTCAACTTTGCAATGGATGATTGGTCCGAATACTTGCCTATTATTGACTTTGCGGCATCGGCGCTGCCCCAAGCGTCAGTAAAGATGTCGCCATTTATGATTGAGAAAGGCTATCAGCCCCGAATGTCGTTTGACTGGAAAGATCCGGCACCACCACGGAAGCTCACTTTGAATGAGAAGGAAGCACAAGCTTGGGCCCAGCGGATCCAAGATGTCTGGGACTTCGCTCGGGGTAATATGAAGTTGGCGCAAGAGCGACAAATGATACAAGCAAATAAGAAGCGGAGGCCTGTTGATTTCAAGGTGGGAGATCAGGTCTACGTCACGAACGAAGGATGGGATACAGGTCGACCCGGTCGTAAGCTTGGCCACCAACAAGAGGGACCTTTCCCGATAGTGCGACAGGTTGGACATGCGTTTGAACTCGACTTACCGAAAGGCATGAAGGTGCACCCGATATTCGCGCCGGAGAAGCTCCGACTTGCTACTACTACCGAGCCCTTGAAGGGTCAACAAGAGGATGAGAGCCCGGAGTTAGAGATCAATGGTCATTCGGAGTGGGAGATCGAGAAGGTTCTTGCAGCACGGATTATGTGGAGGAAGCTGCGGTATCGTGTGAGCTGGCTAGGCCGGGACCCAGACCCGAAGTGGTATCCCGCTGGTTACTTGAAAAATGCGCCATTAGCGTTGAAGGCTTTCCATGACGACAATCCAGAGGCACCGGGACCACCAGTTCGACTGCAGGAATGGCTTCAAGCCGCGGAGGAAGACAGGTTCGTGGAGGACTACGCGGATGACGATGTTCCTGTTACGGACGCTCGCGGGCAAGCGTCTGGTGAAGGGGGGGGTAGTGTGACAGCCAGCCCTGCGGCTTGACAGCTCTACGGCTTGGCGACGGAGCCTTCCGTACAGTGTCATCCTAGGAGGCTTTTCCCGCTATCTCAAGATAGGGCTTGAGCCCTAAGCAATGCTATATTGGGAGCGGTACTGTATTGGGAAGTTCCGTCCACACAAAGGATCATATGAAGGAGCTGTGCGTAGAGGGGCGCTGTGTTTTTTTTCTTCTTCTTTCCTTCTTCATGCTTGTTATTCTTCGTAGATAGGCTCACCTAGTTAGCAACAAATGCAAGGTATTGGCCAGCGTCACATGATGCCGCTCTGACATCCCACCAACCCGATGTCCTCAGTGAGGTATGAGTCTTACTCAATATGAATGCGTAAAGGAAAATGTTACTAACACGCTGTACAGACCGAAACCGCCTTGCAGCAATACACAGACTATCTAAACAGCGTTGGGATCACAGCACATTACCACGAACCCTTCTTTGAAATGATAGAAGCCGTGACCCATTGGTTCCTAAAGCACGACCATTGGAGAATGTAGTTGAAACCATGGGAACTCTTGGTATATTGATTTGGGACTTGGGAGGTCTTCTGTTCGATAGCCAGGTTCTACTGTATAGCCATGATTGCCGTGTAGATTGTCGCATAGAGTTTAGTCCTCCTTGCATTGATCTACATATTTCTCGTTTGACAGCTATGTATCTAAACACGCACATGGACAATGCTGTCAAAATTACATGCATATAATTTAATACACCGAACTGATTGATTCTGCTGTATCTTGCTTAGCATGTTTTACCCAGCCAGGACGGTCCATTGATTTCAGTGCTTGGATAAGACATCTCTCCCAGTACGAGGCAGACTTGGGTACGAAAGCACATGTCAAATCCAAGCCACGCAGTCATACCTTTAATTCTGTCAGTTAAGGGTTACAAACCCTGATCTATTAAGTGTATCAAGGGCAAGGGGTTGTTCTGTAAGTGTTTAAATTAATGAATCTAAATTTATCTACCAATTGATCTATTCATTCCCTGCATGTACTAGTGTGTGTATCGAATATGTAGCTACAACATACCTACCTAGGTATCGCTCGTACGTATTCAAAGAATTCATGAATACCAGTCACACGATCGTATCTTAATCTTAATCCATGTCACTTTGACAGGTGCCACTGGCCACTAATAGTAGTATGTACGGCGTCCAATACCAGCCCGTTAGACACACATTGATCCCTATATTAATATCCCAACTATAAAGAAAATCCCCGTCGTCAATCCTCCTCGGATACGTGCGCCCCGAACCCGCGAATACAACGGTTTTTCCTGATTTGGAAGTATATACGGCACTGTATGATCCCTGCCCTATAAGAGGCGAACTATTGAGTCCACTGTCCAGAAGGAGGGGGGAAGGCCTAATTTCTTTGTTAGAACGCAGGTTTTACTATTAACGAGTCAGTTTTAGGTTCTGCTATGAAGTCGTTAGTTCTGTCATATTCTGGTATGGATATAGGTATCTCGGAGTTTGGATATATGATAAGTATGTTAAGATAACGCGGAGATTGGACAGTTGACAGCCTGTAGTTATGCATGAATCATGAGAGAGACGTTAGAATTATAATATCTCGTATTATAATCGGAACCATACACGTGCCTTAATTTCTGTGTCCCATACACGCTGTTATCTCGCTAGAGTCAAAGCTAAACCCGCCATCCCTGTCCTTCCAAGGTTGCTGACAGTTTGACAGTTGCTATTCAACCTGATTCACGGTATTGATGGGGGCACCGTTACGCTAGAGGGGAGATAATTTCGGATTAGACTTCTTCATAATCATCCTAGATTCCTAGTACGTAGTTCTACTTTTGACACTTGTGTGGCGTTTAAAGATTTAGATAAGTAGATGCTTAATCCAGCGCTTTAGGTTTAATTAAAAGTCCCAGTCTTTCGAAATAATAATCAATAAAGCCATACAGCCAATTGGACTATAATGAAAGGAAGGTTGCTCCATCTTTCTGCTAATACAAGCTTGGATGACTTCAATATAGAACTGAAGAGTATCTGATTTGTTAACACTGAAATGTGTCAATATATTGGAGGCGCCCTTCATTCCTAAGTCGAACTCACTTCTAGATATATGGACTTAGGCTCTGAAGAGTCGTCTGTTCGTTATAGCCAGCTTCTACTGTATGTATTTTATGGTATCTGTATAAGTGTATGAGGTCTATTTACTAACATACATGTCCCCCCTACATGCTATGTAACTATTTCGGAGCATATACGTTTGCTCTTTATACGGTTGGCTTTCCTGTAAGCTGGATTATAAGCCAGCACAAGGCATGGGCCCTGAAAACTCTCATGGCTGGCTTCAGCAACATCGCTTCCATACCAGAGGCGAAGCTCCCATGGACAATATTGGTGGTAGCCATAGATGTCCAGTTACACCGCCTATCCATGATCACCTGAGGAACTAAGTGTCCAACACAAGCTCAATGAGAAAGCAAGACTGTTACCATTTCTTACTTACCATCACCTCAAACTACGCTATTTAATGTATTGAGAGACCAACTGATGCTGCTCTGACATCCCAAGAGTACCAACCTGATATCCTCAGTGAGGTATGTGTTTACCCAGAATGAAGGCGTAGAGGAAATGGTGCTAACATGCTGTACAGACTGACAGGGTCCTGGTCAAAATCGCCTTGCAGCAATACGCAGACTATCTGAACAGTGCTTGGATCATCCAGATCGATCTCTTTGACCTTGAAAATCTCGTCCTCAACAAGCAACGCGTCTTCAATTTCGAGTACCTTCTCTGATACAATCTACATGGAAACGGAGCGGATTGCAGGACCCAATTGTTGGGCATGTAATACGACTCGTCCAGGCATTGCTCATGTGGCTCTGAAAGCTGATGACCAGGTGGATAGACTTCATCTTCTCTGATGGATAATAGGCTAATGAACCACGCCATAGATAGAGATCTGGGAAAAGCCGAATGTTTACTGCAGACTTCAACTACAGATCTGTTGCTAATACCATCCCTCTGTGTTCGATCTGTGATGGTTAATTCGATTTGGCACTAGACCCAGGACATGTCTTCTTTCCATTCGAAATACAATTCTTAGTCAACTTTGAAATCGAAGATCAAGATCGACGAGTGCCAAGTGTAGACGAAACAAACAGAAGGCCTCTCAGGACTCAAATCAATATATGCAGAAGTGGAATTTGATTTGGGGATGAAAGGTACCCCAATGCCTTATTATCTCTTTTAGGATTAATGTATGAGACGCTACCCAGGGACTTCGGGCATCCCAGCACAGATTCAATAAGAAGCCCTGTTGTTCAAACCCCACGAGAGAACCCTACAGACAAGACATCCAGGCGGCAAGGACAACGTTTCGACTCCGTGATTTCACACCAATGCCTATAAATTCACCCTTGATTTACCTAGGCTGGAAACTTCAATGTTGGCTATCACGAAAGAACGGCCTCTCGGTATTTATACTAATCACAGGTTAGATAACTCTGTATGGAACTGAAAAGCACCTGTATAATTATTACTGATATATGGTGCCCTTCATCTGTGACGGGCCTGGCAGCTGTGTCGCGTTGGCTCTTCGACGGAGCCCTAAGCCCTAGGGAGTTCCAAATCGGGATATCTCTTTGTCTTCACAATTTCCCGATTAGACTCCGACGAGAGCCGTACGCACACATATAAAAGAGATCTCTGCCTGCGGCTAAGCGTGCTCTTTTTCTTTCTCTCCTCATGTTTAGTTTTTGTTCGACTAGTTGCCTCTTAGGATAGAAAATGAATGCCGTCACATCATCCCTAAATTAGGATAACTTTTGGATATATTCAATGCTGACTTGGCTTGATCCAGACGTCTTCTCATCTATATAATCTGCTCAGCCTTCAATAGCGCTAAATTCCTGTATCAATACGAACTCCAAATTTGAGAATACCAGCCATGGCCAGATCGACAAACTTGGCTTCCCATCGTTCTGTTGTACTTAACCGAGATTACTGTTACGATATATCAAAGCATGTCATGCATGTCGTGTCCACTAACTGTTCGAGTCAATATGTTTGCAGCATAGAGGAATCTCGGTTAATAAAATCGACACAAGCCATTGCTGTCTCCATATCATACATTTCTCCGGGAGAGTCTAAATGTCAAGAATGTTATTATTTTCTAAATTTTCATCCCTTGCATCATCGCATGTGAAATCAATACTGAGCAGACCTGAATGCAAGAAACAAAGGTAAAATTGGCCGGAACGATGCTGGATCAGCCAGCCTATGGGAACATCTTCCTGTTATGTCAAAGTGGACGTCCCAAAAATGAGGTTCTACATACCGCTGTCAAACACGGTACGGGTGCATTCTGACAGGTGACAGATCATAGACTCTAGGTGCGTGTAATATTACTAGTATGTATACAGCCTCGTGCTACTGTCGACCGCTACCAAAGCCCCGCTGAAACTCCATTTTATCAGTTGTTGACTTGTTGCGTGTTGGAGTATGCATACCGCCTGCACTTGTCCTTACTTCTGTCAAGTTGTACAATATGGGTCCAATGGCCCAAATCCGAATTCTCGGGATGTTAGTATGTTTCTGCGGCAAGGGACTCAATCATGTCCTTGACAGACGCGTGATGGGACGGTGGTTTCCTCACTTTGGTTATTGTTAGGGCTGTATGCACATATTTGACATGCATGATCACACATGCATTGTATTTCCAGGTATGAGTCTGTACCTAGGTACTGATAGATGATGCAAGACAAATGGATTGACCGAATATCTCGATGCAACAGATAGGATCCGCAAGCAATGCACAAAAAACTGCGTTAGCCGCTGGGATTACCCAACGAGACGTGCCAGGTATGGGGAAGCTTATCCAGAGCCGGTCAGTCACGATTACAGCAATAGATTGTGGAGGATACGGCCTGTATTATTCCCTTAAGGTCTGGAGTGATCAAGGTACAGCTTGGTATCACATCTATCTGTCAGGAACAGCTCAGATTGATATAGGCAACTTTTCGAGTCTCCGGATGCCATTGCTGTCATAGCCCGGCTAGCATTGTGCAATATCTGGGCTTAGAAAGATGGTAGAACTGAGCCAGCATACACAGGTCAGCTTGCAACTACAGCTCTCAGTATGACAAAGGAACTGGCAAGAAAGGCAACGTATTGGTTACTTCTAGTTAGCTTGTGCGTATAAGAGGGCTGGCAGTAAATTTTTGCCCTGGGTAAAGAGGACATACTGATTCAGCATACAAACGGGGCCAATCAATGACAAGAATTCCAAAGTCACAAGGACCCGAGATCATGTCCTGGAATAGTTCTGACATGCTGACAATGTTAAAAGGTCATTACTAGTGTCGAGTATAGTAGCCGTTCAAGATCAGATAGGACTGACGCTCTGCACTCACACTGAATTGATCAGTTGCTTCTCCTTGAACCACGTCAGATGAGGTACATCCACATGTCTATCCTTATCTGATATAGGCGTACTGTTGCTGACTTCGCTCGTGAGTCGAACTACCTTCCCAAATTAGTAACTTCCATACCAAGCCCTAAGTGCGCAGATGAAGTCCACCGTATATTGTCCAAGTCCAGAAATCCAGAGGAAGGTCACGAACTCCCCTTAGAACTGAGAACGAATAATATATTCTCCTATTTAGGAGTAAAAAAACCACGAAAGCTCGATCTTCCCTATTGAATAGTAATCCATGACGATGATTGGTCGGCGCCAGGCGCGTCGCGATAACGACCGCAACCAAAGAATTTACTACCTTATGGCATAGTTACGAAAGAACAACCCACACAACCTTCATATGGATCTCCTAACCATCCTACCCAATTTCAACACAAAACCATACACACATATTCTCCCACCATTAGAAAGAAGACACATCACCACCGTCGACTTGATAACGCTCGATTATCTCGAAATCGCGAAACGCGCGCATGTCCCACCGGCTGATGTACGGAGATTGTGCGCTGACGTCGTCATCGGATTGCATGGTGATTTGGGGTTTGGGATTGGCTCAGCGAAGGGCTCTAATAATGACGGCGATGATGATAAGCTTGGTGAGGGGCAGGTAGATGGAGGGAATAATAGATTGGATTTGTCGAGATGGAATACTATCAGCACATTGGACACTGCGCTCGATGAGTTATTGGGCGGGGGAATAGCGACTGGGTATTTGACGGAGATCACTGGTGAGAGGTGTGCTATCTACCTTATTCTTGCTCTGCGTAGAGTCAAGTCAAAATGCTGATGTACTTGACAGTGGAAGCGGAAAGACGCAATTCCTCTTGAATCTCTTGCTCACCGCACAACTCCCCTCACCAAAAGGCCTTGGCCGAAAAGCAATCTACATATCCACCGAAGCACCACTATCAACTCCCCGACTCTCTCAAATCCTCCAATCGCATCCCTACCTCTCCAAACTCCCCGCAAACGAGACGCCCTCGCTAGCAAACGTGCTATCCATCACGGCCATCGACCTCGAGACTCAAGACCATATATTAAACTACCAACTCCCCGTCGCAATATCGCGGTACAACGTTGGATTGGTGGTTATCGACTCTATAGCCGCCAATTACCGTGCCGAACATGCCTCGAATAGTATGCAAGGTCTCTCCGCGCGATCCGGCGAATTGGCGAAACTGGGACATATGCTGCGCAATCTCGCTGTGAGAGAGGATGTGGCTATAGTTGTTGCGAATCAAGTTTCGGATCGGTTTGATATGATGGTTGACGTGCCACAACAACCATTACAACATCATGGACGGTTTCCGCGGAGTAGTCAGACGCCGTTAGTTAATAGACATACGAAATTGGCCATGATGGAAGCGAATGATCAGACTCCGTCTTCGTCGCCGGGGTTACTGTCTTCGTCGTTACCTTCTTCGCCATCTCCGTCGTCGCAATTACCGCCTGAAGACGAGGCGTTTGATGGCGCGTATATAGTCGGTCATCCAGTTCGGAATGAGACACTGAGTTTGTCCCTTCAACAGAAATTCTTCACCGGTTGGGGTGATGGGTCTGAAGTCAATGAATCGCAGAAGACACCTGCGTTGGGCTTTGTGTGGTCAACGCAGATTGCGTGCCGAATCGCATTGAAAAAGGAAGATGAGATTGATCTATCCCGCGTGGCTGTACCTATACAGGCGTCGCAGCCTCCTAAAAATGGAAGCGAACTGACGAAGCCTGAGATCAAAACTGCAAGAGATGTTTCACTACAATCTTCCCCTCCTCAGCCATCAATATCCTCTCAAACCGAAATCATCAAAAACGAATCTCCTCCAACCACCACCGTCAGTACCGTTACTCCTACGACAATAGAACGAATAACAAAACGACGCGTAAAATTCGTCTTTGCGCCCTGGACATCTGGGGTTATTCCCTCCGACAAGTCTACCCGGAATGATAATGAACTAGAATTCGAGATATGGAAAGGTGGACTACGGAGTATTCCGAAGACTGGGTGATACATCCATCCACTAGATAACATAGAAATGTAAATAAATAACCTACATACCTATGACCGAATGAATAAAAAGACGATACGAATCTATGATTAATCAAGAATTTAAATGCCCGCCAACCGTGATAGACGAAACGCATTAAGGATGGTCCAAAACAAGTTTTTTTTCCTGGGGAAAAGGTTCTAGACTTCCCCGCATTAACTATTGATTTGTCTAAAACCATTTTCCTATGTATATAGACTTTGGAATGGCCGGATTAACTGGTTTTTCATATCGGATGTATTTTTCTCCTTAACATATACAACGGATCTTGGACAGTTGAGCACACGCATTATCTTTATGCGCTATAAGAATATCTTTGAATGATGACAAAAAGAATATAATTGTATCCCCTGAACGCCTCGGTCTAAGTCATTGTCGACAGATATCTACAGTTTTAGAAGATGCGCTTCGACCCGGCGAAGGTTCTATCTTGAATCTTTGAAACAGGCAGCAGAAAACGCAAACAGAAAACGGTCGACCTGTTTCCTCGTTGCCAAGCAAGTGCAATCATGCTCAAGGCTTATGATGAAGCTTTAGCAATCTTTGCTGGTGGCAAACCGCGGCCGTTCCTGTTGCGGAAGAACATGACACCCTTGCTTACACCCTGAGCTCCCTCGTTGGGCTCAACCCATTGGCAGGTACGTGCGCTGGTCCACAGGGCCTTGAGGAAACCAAGAGGTCCAGTGTGAGCCTCGCTGCGATAGTGCTTGCCCATGACCTTCTTGACGGCCTCAGTGGCTTCGTCGGCATGGTAGAACGGGATGGTGCTGATGTAGTGGTGGGCGACGTGAGTCTCGATGATTCCGTGGAGCAGTTCACGGCCAATGAATCCGAACTCGCGATCAATGGTAGCAGCGGCACCACGGACGTAGTTCCAGGACTCGTTGTCGTAATGAGGAAGAGTAGGATCGGTGTGTTGCAAGTAAGTAATAGCCACTACAGTCTGTTAGTCCATATCAAGAAAACTTCAGAAGGAGACTTTCTTACCAAGCCAGTGGTTGACCCAGAGATAAGGCACACCATACCAAACAAGCAGGTTGAGCCAGCCAAAAGTCGATCCAATGTAATACAGAGCAGCACCAACAAGACCCAGTCCCAAATCACTCAAGACAATGAGCTTGGCATCCTTGGCTTCATACAATGGGCTGCGAGGGTCAAAGTGGTTGACACCGCCGAAATATCCGTTGCGCTTGCCCTTGCCACGACCTTCGCTCTGGCGCTCGTGGTTGTTATGGCCGGTCACGTTGGTGAGCAAATACATGGGCCAACCGAAAAGTTGTTGCAAGATCATGTTGGTGGCAGTGAGAATAGGAGTCTCCTCCATAAGCTCCGAGATTTCGTGAATGGCTTTGCCGATATGAGAGGCGAATTGTGCACGGGTCTTGGGCACAAAGACCATATCACGACTCAAGTTTCCGGTGGCCTTGTGGTGCTTGCCGTGGGAGATCTTCCAGGAAAAGTATGGCACCAAAAGAAGAGAGTGGCAGATCCAGCCAACGGTATCATTGAGAACCTTGGAAGGAGAGAAAGCCTGGTGACCGCACTCGTGAGCCATGACCCACAGTCCGGTACCAAAAAGACCCTGCACAAAGGTGTAGAAAGCCCATGCAGCGGAGCGAACATAAACGTTGGGCACAGTTTCCGGGGTCACATAGTTGTGGAAGAGGTAGAAGGTGGCACCGAGGCAGAACAAATCCCTAAAGACATATGACAGACTCCTGATTGCGGAGCGTTCATAGCAGTGAGCGGGGATAGCGTCACGAATCTGCTTGATCGTATAATCGGGAAGCTCGAATTCGTTGCCATAAGTATCTACCATCTTTGTGTCCTTCAACTCCTGTACCTCGGAGGCCAGCGAAGACAGCGAGGTGCTCGAGGGCGATTGACGAGGGCTGTCGACGGGCGAGACGGAGCTAGAGCTAGCCACCGAGGAGTCGGCGGTCAGATTCCTCTGGAGCGCAATGCGCTTGGGGATCGCGGTGGACGACATGTTGTGATGTGTCTATGGGAGGCTTCAACCTGGGTACGACGTTAGTCAATGGTCCTGAGTCTCAGTGTGTGAGCGACTAACCGACGTCCAAACGAAACCGCAACTTGAGACACACACGGGGTAGCAAGAATTATCGAGGCTTGCTTTTGAGGGCTCGAAAATCTCGACGAACAAATATAAAGGACAAGACTTTGAGGCGACCGAGTGAGCAAAGAACAAGGAAAAGACGAGGAATTGACGAGAAAAGCAAAGGATAAATACCTCCCAGAAAAATCATATGAAAAAGGGAAGGAGGCGGGCCATGGCCGAACAGTCAACCAAGGGAAGGACTGTATTTGGTAATTTGCTTACGGTTGCTGCTGTTCATACCCGCTTATCATTCTATCTTAGTGGTATGGCTATGGAGGAATTGAATTGAATTTGTCTATTTGAGATCTCTTATTGGACAGCTATGAGAAAAATACCTGAGCAAAAAAGCTCTCAACAAATCGGCGCAAATGTAAAGAAATTCTTTTTTGGGGGGAGGCAAAAGACAGGGGTAGCTTCCATGTAGCGGGGGAGAAGAAAATTACACGGAATCTAGTGTAAATAGATTACAAGGGATGGTAAAAGTGCGTGGATTTAGAGCCATGTGCTTTAGATTTATGGTGCTTATGGTTGGATCACTGGCTGCCAAGACTGATTAGATAGGCTGAATGGGTCAGTGGCGGGCTTGGCACTCCATAACCGAAAAGTTTTTTTTTGCATTTGATTGGCCACTAGTACATATACTTTTCCGGGAACCGCTGTTAGTGTCCGCCCACTTTGTATTGCTGTAGTACAGAGAGATGGTACGATACGGATGTTCTCTGCTCCATCTGACCAGAGTAAGAGTAGCAGTAACACAATCAACAACATCACGTTCTCGATGTTGAGGCTGATGATCATGACATTCAGCCTGCAAGGAGCCTATCATGCGATCGTGCGTCGTCAACTTCTTCGTCAAGCAGCAGACAGAATATGTGGAAAGTATCGGCACTGTACATGCGGGTAGTCCGTGGTTCATTCAAGACTAAGTCAAGTCAAAGCGAGCCATCGATGAAAACTCATCAACCTCATCACTGACTTGATACATCATGAAACTAGTCATGTTGTCCATGCATGCGCGATCTCGAGCGGCTTCATCTGACCTCGGAAATAGTTACGAATTGGTTATTTGGTGAGGATCGCAAAGTTTAAATATTGGTTTATATGCGAAGAGTGCGTCAAGTGTTCTTGGTGGTGGCTAGATACACCAATGCTTTTTCGTGATTGCCATCAATATGCGAGTTTCAGCTACAAATGTGAGGCCATACCTGGTGTCGCCGTAGCGGCCCGTACTCACCACCGCAGGCGATCTTCTGCGGCTTTACTTCGGCTAGCCTAATCTAGAAACAACCTAGATAGGCTTAGTCCGACGGAGAAATACCTGGCCGATACTCAGTTCGTCTCACGATCGGAACTGACTTCAATGATGAGATTCATGAGACACCATTGGTGTGCCATAAGATCAGTGATAAAGTCATAGAATACCGACGCTGAGATGGACAGTGTCCAATTTGAAGAATAGATATGACACCAAGGGTTGATTTGAAGATACACAAACTACAGATATCGAAGTTTCCGTACGCCCGTGTTACCAGGGACCGATACTGTCTCCACCAATCACACAACACTACACGTCCCACCGATCGGCTTCATCAAATAGAAGCAGTCTGATTGGACAGCGGCAAGCTCGAGATCGGTGACAATAATCTTAAAAGCAGGAAAGATTCACATGCAAATAGACAATTCAAAGCCTCAAGATCATGATAAGAACAATTTATATGCGTCCACGTGTCACCGAGTAGATTTGAAGCGTTTATGAGATAAGTAAGTCAATTGGAGAGAAGTCTATCACGCTCACGAGAATGCAGCTTGGATGTGATGTTGCTGACACACCGCCATCACATGCAATTGACCATTGACCATTGAACTTCTCTACTTTTCGACCTCAAATTTTACGTATTTCAAGAATTGAATAAAGTAAACAGTCACGTTGATCCAAACATTCTGATGCTATAGATTAACGGATTGCATGATCAAAGCCCGTTTAGGAAAGTCAAGAAAGTATGTGCCACTCTATGAATATAGTAAGTTAAAATGCTTACGATGGGTTCTTACTCATCTTCATTCGTTTCGTTGGGGAAGCCACCGCCCGTTTTGTTGAGTACCGAGGGATTTAGCTTCGAGGTCGTGGCAATAAGTTCTGTTCCTGGTGCGTAATTTACGTACTGATGTGTATTAGTACTTTTCCTCTTTCGGATTTCTCTTTGGTCTTTGCCCCCTCCGTTATCGCCCGCTGTGTCTTATCAGGTTGATGCCTTAGGCAATAACTTTTTTTTTGTGAAATCGGTAACATGCTTCTATGACTTCCAGAACAACCAGACAGCTAATATACCGCCGTCCCCTCGACGTAATCCGCATCTCGACAACAATACCAAGTATCACACCCCGTCCCCGAGGGACGCCAGGGATACCCATGGAATTTGATTTCGTAATACCCTCGTGTCTCGACTTTGTGACTGCTCACTTTATCTCCAAAGCGCGCGGCAATGGCTGGTCCTAGGGATGGAGGCGCGTTGATGATGTTGAGTAAGTCGGAGCTGTCGAAGGAGATTCCTAGCCAGTGTGATGTTGGTCGTTGGGGTTGATGGGTATAGCGCATTATTACGGTATCTATTGCATTTCTTAGCTGAGGTTTTCGACCTAGACTACTAGTAGAGGCATGTACCTTTATCGAGACTCCCCTTCCTCCATATATCAGAAGCCAATTGCACTACCCATCCCAAATCATAACACGTCTTCAATACAGCTATAATCACCCGTATTGCCCCTATTCTGTCCTCAGGTAATGGTCGTGTACCGCCGCGCATCCAGGGATAGCCACCAAGTTTGATCTCCGTGGCTTGATCGTATAAACGCACCTGTGGCACGCCTTTTACGGTGTTTGCGCGAATCACGTCGGTGATGATTCGGACATGTTCAGGACGGAAGTTGAGGAGGCGGATGCGGTCGGACATGTGTAGAGAGACACATGCTAATTCTGTGCGGGATGGTGAGGAGATATTTTGTGGGGATTTTTGTGCTGAAGATGTCTTCTTGTCTCTGTTGAAATTGTTTGAGCTTGATGAGAGATCGTACGGTGGTGGTGGTGCAGATGTATCGTCAGTTGATGGATTCATGGTGGGTTTGGACTAGTTATCCTGAAATATTCGCTGTCAAATATTCTCAAACCTTCAGAATGACCATGCAATGGAATATATGGAACTACTGTATTGCTGCTCCTACATGCATGTGTTTTTTATACGAGGTAGCTGAGCTGAACGTTTTAGACCGGGGCCAATAGTTATTCTCAGCTGCATAGCCACAAATCTGTAAAAAGTGAATATTCAGCATTGATACTGTCGCGACTGAAAGCTGCTGAAAAAAGAGAGTATCCGAGGATTGCAAAGTCCCATACATCGCTTCCATTCAATAATGCCGCAGCATGGATATTAACATTTCTCATGTCTATGCTCCTGTCTAAACCAACCCAATTGGTATATAACTATATACACATTTCACAAACGAAAAAACAGCAAGACAAGATTATACAGCAATCCGAGACTCAGACTCAATCAATCCAGGACTCCCAGACTCCAGACTCACGGTCGTCTTCCGCAAATCCGGTAGCACAAGTATCGTCTCCGCATGGTTCTTATAATCCACTTCATTCGGTATTTGACGTCGCTGTTGTTGTGTCCACGGTGCTGCGGCCACTGTCGCTGGTGTAGTGACAGACGTTGGACTCGTGACTGACGGCGATGTTACTGGTGCATTCGTTCTGTTGCCAGAGGAAGAAGCTCCAGTCGACATCGTTGTGGATATATTTGCCCCCACAACCGTAGCGGTAGAGCAAAGGACGAAAGTCTTAATCTCAATAGATGGTAATAACAAATGTCCCGCTTTTTGCGGCAAAAGCATTATAGCGAAATTTCTAACCTCGTCCTCTGCCGCGGTGAAATGGCCTCTACGTCGTCCACCAATGAGCCATTGGTCTTGGTTGACGTGTAGTTCGTAGGCGAACTCGAGCTGTTCTCCTGATTCTGGTTTTTCGGTTTGTTGCGAACACCATCTTCGTGTATGGTGGAGTATGAGTTCTGCGGGAATCATGTGGCCGACTGCTGCGTGCGTGAATTCATTGTTATCGGTGGTTAATAGGCGCAACTCCGCTGTATGAACAACCTGGATTTCAGGAACTTCAACAGGAATAACGATTTGGCGGGCGAGCTCAGACTCGTTATCCTCTTGTAGGCTCAAAACGGAATTCTCCCGGTGCCATTTGACCAGCCAGCTGCGGACTTCGTCTCTAAGAGACTCCCGTAGCCCCTTCAACACCGTGTCCCAATGCACATCTTTATACGACAGTATATCCATCTCCCTTAACAGACCGATACTCTCCATATCCGACGTCGACAATTGCCCTCGGAATGCATCCACAATATGTGGCGTCAAGAGCCGAGTTAAGGGCTTATACTTGCTCTGCGCAAGAGCTGAACTGAACCTCTGCTTGACTAAGAAAAGACACTCATCATCAATGCACGTATATCGCACTGTTAGTCGCAGAGAATTTCGCTTTGTTGTCGAGTTCGCAGCCGGTGCTCGGTTTCCCTTTGGCTTAATTTTGTATATTATAGAAGCGGGTTGCTTAGGGAATACATCCAAGGAGAGAGGCCCCTTAACACCGCTTTCGATCTCGTACAAATCTGAGTCGGGAATATCACAGCCTAGAATCCGAAGTGGAACTAGCATTGCCGGGCTCACTGTAAAGCGAGAAAGGAGAACATCGTCTCTGAAAATGTCTTGCACGTTGACGCTTATAGGTAGTGTAGATACGACCGAACTGGAAGATATGTACGTGAAATGGCCTGCGTCAGTCTCATAAGCGACTTCTAGTCTCGCTGATAACGTAGTATGATTTTCATCAACGGTGTAGGGTACTCGGATACGAATCAACGTCTCTTGCTCAAGGTTGATAAATTCAATACTTCCAGAGTCCGTGTTCGGCGTCATTTCAATGTCCCCTGAGATTACAGCAATCTCGGAAGTCCTCAGACGAAGACCAGCAGTCGCTGGGCGGATCCGAAGTAGCCCTTTTGATATATTGTTCCGTCCGCTGTCCAATTCAACTTCAAGCGTTCGAAGTTCCTCAAGGTTGATGGAACGCGGCGCCACAAGCCTTGCTTCAAGTCCATTAACTGGTGGATAGCACCAGATGGATGGTCGAGTCTCAGCTTCGGCCGGTTCAGAGTCCCTGAAGCCCGGAGGGAGAGCCGACAAGCTGACATGTCCAGTATGTGTGAAAACAAGATTCTGCACTCGAATCTCGATACGGTCGACGAATAGTTTACCTTGCAAGGTTGTCTAAGATCATCTTGTTAGCGACTGATATCCCTAATCTCGCGTGAGATATCAACTCAACTCACCGAAGAATCAATGGCCAGCATCGAGGTCTTCGATTTGATAACAATATCTCTAGTGTTCTCCAGCCAAACTTCATTAGAAAGTGTCCCAATTGCACCAACTAGCCTGATCTTGATCGAATCCGCTACAATGTCCTTATCGAATAAGCACCGCAATTTGATGTGCATCTGAAATCCATCTTTGTCCTCGTAATGCTTGATCTCAGGATCAACCACGAGATCACCAAAGAAGCTAGAGAAGGGAATATTCACTTCTTTTGCAAGACTCTTCGAAGCCTGCAATAACTCGTCAACGTATGGACTAACATTACTTTCGAAACTTGTATCGGATGCAGCGAGTGATGCTTTCTGTCGTGGCGAAAGATCTGATTCAGTATATGATGCATATTGTGACAAAAGCCTTAGCATACTGCGCACGTATTCATCATTTCGATCAAGCTCCTTCAAGCATCGGGCGTACAGCTCCAAGATCGCGCCTTCGATTGAGATCCAATGGCTACTTTCGTAAAACGGCGCTACTTGCCGGAAGAAGAATGCAGCACTTTCGTAATCTTTTTGACGAAACCTGAGGACTGCAATATCTGTCATTGCAGCTTTGGAGGAACGGATTTGGTTGGCTGAAATGTAATGGCGAAACATGTAATCTGTAAACACTTCGTATAGAACGTAAAAGGTTTTTCTTGACAATAAAGCATGTTGCAATACTGGCAAAGAAAAAATGTTGTTGTTATAAGAAACGGTAGTTGCATCTTGAGCCTTTTCAGCCTTTCCGTTGGTGTCACTGTCGTCAAGCGGAACATCATCCATATCGTCTTCAGCGGCCTTGAATTCGTTGAAAAGCAGACCAAGATCTCCCCACTTTTGAGCCCAACCACGTCGCTTGCCCATTTCTTCAAGAACTCCTCTTCCTAACTGATACAGTTCACCTCTGCCAGAAGCGAGGTCTTCGAGACCCGTTTTGTTTGTTGGACCTTGTTTGCCTCCAGAGGCAGTACCAGCCGTCATCAACGAGCTGGATCGTTTTGGAATGTTAGATCTCGAGTCCGCTGGAGCGGCAGACGAAGTTAAGGAGCTCCCCGTCTGTCGTAACGAAGACTCAGGGAGTGAAAGTGAAGGGGTGGATGTTTGAGACAATACTTGACATGACGCCGCATACGTCCATGAAGAGACCAGGTCATCTATAACAGCTGTCATTTGCGCTTTATCAATTTCCTCTGAGCCTTCTGACAACGCGCGTTCGATATCATATCGGAGAGTCCTAGCAGCCATAATAATGAACTCCATTGCTCTATCGCAAACTTCGGCAAGTAATGCAAGATCATCTGCACCTACAACAGCCGGATTCGAATCTTGTTTTCTTTGTAAGAATGGTGCCTTGGCAGCTTTGAGCAACAAGCTCAATTGTCGTGAAAAGACATAGGCGCGGAAATCAAAAACAGAAATGTTGTTCGCCAAGATCATCTCCCTGTAGGGTTTCTTTGAGGAATCAAGAGGGAAGTACTCCTCGGCGAGGTCCAGTGATATATCAGTCTCTGTCTCACAGGAGTCTTCATCCTTGTCATCTTGCGCTGAATTTTGCTGTTTTGAAGCTTTTAACGCACTTAGTGCCTCTTCTTTGCTGTCAGAACTGTAATCAAGAAAGCCGCCGCCATGTTGGTCCCCCGTGCCCAACAGATAATCTGTTACAGCGCTTTCCAGCCCAGCTGCAAGTTCATCGTATGCGACGAGAGCATCTTCCAGCAAACCAACATTCTCAAAACCCCTCGCCAACCCTTCTTTCAAGATGAAAAATGTGCAAAAATTCCAACCGGGTAAGCTCCGTTGCGAGTCTTTCTCACGGATATCTTCTTCATACTGAGTCACACGCAAATCGAAAGAAGTCAAGATCGCCTGTTTGATCTTGTCTATCAGATCGTTGAGTTGGTCCACGAATTCGCCATGGTCGTGCTGTTTCAACGTCCTAGAAGGAAGACGTATCTGCGCTACTCGGTCCACGGCTGTCTTCGAAGACCCATTGAAATCTGCCTTGACCTTCTCCAGCACCGAAGTGGAACCTCGACCAGGCCATTTAGATGCCGCCTTCTCCGGCACGTCCCCATCCTGCAAGACATGCAGTATCAACCATTCGCAAGCATCATGGTTGTCCTGGCCTCCACCGCTAGTTTGCTGCGACGACGAATGCGTCTTGATCCAATCCCTTAATAATTTCCGTGACGACGCTTTGTACACCTCATTATCATCACATTTCAGCAAATAGATCCTTAAATACGGAGTCTGTCGCAAGCCGGGGATTTGATGTCGTCTATGAGGCGCAGCTACGCCTGGCGTAGAGTCATTGGACGACCGTTTCTCGTCGGAAGAGCCAGGTGGGTGGGAAACAACAAGGTCGATATTCAGCGATTCAATAGAACGAGCCGGTCGAGTTGGGGATTTCCAATGAAGATTCTTTAAAGGTAGTCTTGGGGCGAGAACCGATCGAATTTCTGGAAATAGTCCAAAGGGGTCTGTGCATGACACTGTAATACACATAAAAATAATTGTCGTTAGCCTCAGCGCAATATCAAATCAGACATAAACATCGTCCATTTGGAGAAATAGTTATATACCAGTAACCTTGCTCAAACCAGTCTCATTTGTCGGGTCCATTCTTCTACCCAAGTCTGCAAAGCAATAGAAGTAATATAGATTAAGACATCATCCCAGTCTCGTTGATTTGGCGTGTAGCACCTAAAGCTGGGCTGTGCGCACAGTGTGTTCCTGAGCTCTTGCGGAGTTGCGAACTCGCGATGCCTGGAGGAGCTCCGCACAGACCACATCTTGGCAGGTCTGCGGTATGCCCTAACCCTAGGTGATTTTAGCCCTAATTGTACGAATTCGTCAAGCAAATGTTCCTGTCCTGGGTACTTGCGATGGGGCTCTCCATCTGTATAAATCAAGGGAAAATTGCTAGTATACATGGATAATGAGCATAAAGAGTACCAGGATCAACAAGTTACATACGAATAATATACTACGCCCGAACTAATGGCTAGGCGTGGCCGTGTGGAATTGTTGCGATTTGAAGCTGTAGTCCCGCCCCAGAATGAGAAGAGAATGAACTCTGTTCCTTTTTTTCCCTGTAGTTATTCATATCCTTGCAATCCTGAAGATGAGTTAATGGTTATCTCGTTGTCTTGAGCTTCAACCTTTCAATGCAACCTTATGATGGTCTCACTACTCTTGAGCATCAAGATCCCTAGTTCCAAGCGGACAAGTTTGCATCGTTTCTCAACTACCTAGCTATAGCATGTGGTGAACATTTTTATTCCGGACGAACAAGGGAATAAATCCAAGTGTACCCTCGCCGAGTATACAACCGCATGCGGCAGACATGAGCGCTATTTCAGAGACGTACCAGCATCGCACGAAATATACCCTCAAAATAACTCCAATTAACCTTGACAGTGTTATCGACGGTGGCAGATACATCCCTGAGTGGAGTGTTATATAGGTAGCTAAATGAAGAAAGGAAATGAGGGTAATGATTGAATTACCTATGGATAAAGAAATCCCACTAGGAATCCACTTCCCCCAATTCTCGTTTCCTGCCAGCAGTCGAAGCAGGCCAAGACTAGCCGATAGAGAAAAAGCGATAGGAAGGGTTAATGATAAACCAGGGGGAAGATGCCTATCATCAACTAGTCGAGCTGTGTTAACCCATAAGTAAGCGAGGGGAACTGGCATGGACGGGCTGGGAATCCTGTCATTGTATGCATGGGCGATCATGAATTTATAGATACCGCTGCTAATCAAACCCCCAACTGCTGACCCGAACAGCTGGGAATGGAACATAATTCTAGGAGAGGCTCCTACTAGATGAGCGGTTTTCAAGTCCGTCATGAGAACGGCCGACTGCCATAGACCAGCCTCGGTTATTCCTCCAAGAACCATTGATGCAAGATTTCTCGTATTGGATTTGGAGATTATTAGGCCGAACAGGAATTGGCAAGCATTGCCTGTCGAGAAATCAGCATCACAACAATAAAGATAGCAAGTTATAGATCTAATTGTTAGTTGTTAGAGCTGATATGAAATGAAATAAGCATACTGAGACTAGTGGAGGGTATCGTGTCAGTCTCACCAGCAGACTGAATAACAATCAGACATAATGGCATTGCAACTCCAATAGCTGCAATATCCGCATAGATAGATGTCTCAAGCTTGAAAACGGCATATGTGCAAACGACGCAAAGAAACGTAGAGCCCAAAGACCAAAACATCAAAGACTTATTTGTAACAACATCATCGTTCGGGATAGCGTTGGATTCTATGTTAATATCAGGAGCATCGTCATTCGTGAACGAAGAGTGTTCTTCAAGCAATGACTGCCGACTTCGATTCTCTTCTTCATCTCCAGTGATATTTCCGAGAGATGGCGACAACGTATGCGGAACCGATCTTGACGAAGGAAGACTCGATCGACGCCATGCGCGGAACTGTAAAAACAGCATGACCACTCCATGGATTATACGGATGGAGGCATCGCCAAGTAAGCATGCCATGCTGACCCAAACAAGCCATCCTCGAATGCCATTTTCCATGTCATCAATGGGTCCCGGTGCCCAACCATAGGTTTTCGTAATTGGGGAAAGAATTCCCCAACCTATGATAGCGCCACAAAACATGGAAGAGGCAACCGGCAAATCTAATAATATGCCCAGAGAAGTGAATGCTGGAGACAGAGTGATGAACCAATTCCAGTCTCGAGCAGCGGTCAAACCAAATATCGGGAGTTCATTTAGGAAGGGAAAATGACAAGAGACTAGAACCTGGAGGAAAATGGGTTATCATCTGTCATTCGTGAATCTCAGGTTTTAAAGTGTCTCACCCATATAGCGGCACCGAGGAACCCTTTAGATAAGATGATCATCTTTGATACCAAATCTCTGCTTGACTGCTCTCTGATATCTGCTAGAGCGTCATTCTCGGCATTTGTGATGGACTGGTTGTTTGAATTAGGTTCACAACTGGACCTATCCCACTCCGCATTTCTAGCAGTTTCTCGATCATGATGTAGGATCCCAATCAGAACACCGGTTGCATAACCGCCGGGAAACCGTAACCGTAGTCGTCGCAGGAAGTGATATCTAAAAGGCGCAGAGAAAACGCTGCCGAAGAGGGACACGCCTATTGACCATAAAGCTAGTTCGAAAAAGGAGAAATGACGCTTGCCACCTTCTTGGGGGTTTCGGAGGAAATCAAACGCTGGAATTATACTAAACAGACTTGCTGCCATGGGTATTCCCGCAATAGACGAAGCTATAGTCTGGACCACGGCGTTTTCGGTTGGCGAAAATGTATCTCGGAGACATGGGGACAGGGCACGGAAGATGGCAAAAGACATCAAGGCCATGGGTGCTGGCATGGTACTTGTGATTCCTATTTGTAGACCGAAATGCATGTTTGCAACACAGGCCAGGGAGCCTAAGAGCATACCAACTGCCATCATGGGCCATGTCAGAGATGTCGGCCGAAACACCTCTTTGGTAGCCATAGGTAGGCAAAGCGCTGAGTCGCGAGTCCGAAGTAAAGTAATGAATACTAGCAACCTATGAAGCTTCAATTAGAAGGGGAATTATGATCGGATTACGAAGGGAAGAATATATAGGACCTAGCGCTGCCTATCTACGCTGTCTAATTCTTGCCACTTAGACATAAGCGTGCCTCAGATTATCAGCTACCAGCGCCCGAAGTTAAAAGCACAGGGTATGACAGCCTTGTCAAAGAAAGAAAAAACAGCCCCATGGCCCAGTTGGTTTTGAAAGGAGGGACCCAACTTCCTTTTCTCCGTTGATTGATACCTACGAGGCTCCAAGTCATGGGTTTCCTGCTGGAAAACAAACACAAGCAGAAGGCACTCAATTCTAGATGATATCTATAACCTACTCTTTTGAAGGACTCGAGCAACTTTTATGATTGTTCCACCTAGTGGCTCGGCTCGCCTTGGTGAGAATTAAGCTCTCCTAAAATACAGATGCAGGCCAGCAGAGAACCGGGCCAAAAAGCCAAACGTAAGTCTATTTCGAGGCACAACCAACTTTTGTGCAGCTAAAGAAATTTTCTAGTACTTATGGCAAGGTGGCAACGATATGCGGACACCATCAGCTCTTACTCGAGGCTCTCTGCAGCCGATTCCCTATACACTGGCACACATTTTGAAAGTCTCGCCTCATATTTACAAATCCCCTTCCAGCCCTCAGATTCAAGATCCGATGCTAGTCCAGTGGGCACTGAACCTCAGTTCCTGTCTGTATACGATATGACCGTCGATAACCGATGGAGAGTGACACATTTCAGAAGCGTCAACGATTTCGAAAGTACCAGTTGGGTTAATTCAAGTCCGAGGATCATATTCATGAGAGGGCTACCTTCTCCAGAATGGCTACTGTCAATCGGAGTTAAGTTTGAGTTGGATCCTGAATTCTTCCTACGCCATCTTGACTTCTACAAAGGGCCGCCGTATCATTTTGGTTATCCTTGTCTACCCTCAGCAAACGAGTGCATGACTCGTCTTCGTGTGACAACTGTTGGGTACTATAAGATAAACTTTAGCATGAAAAATAGCCATGCGGTCGTAGAGTCAATGCAAAGAGAGAGTGCCGGTCTGATGGACGCATATCTTCAGAAAATCAAGACTCGCCGTCATTCTCGGGTTGGTGATTCCATCTTCAGGGACATCTCTGTTCATGACTCAGAGCATTTTACAATTGAGCAAGACATATCAGTCTACATTGGAACGTATCAAGATGACTGGATAGGTGAGCATTGTCTCTATGATTACAGTATTTTCACTATCTCACGCAGGGTACATAGTCTTCGTCTGGCTTGACAATGGGGAGGAAGTAAGTACCGAATTGACGCAATGGCTAAAGGAATCATCTGCGTTATTTAGATCATGGCAAACAGGCTATCTTCCCATTGTACAATGTCAGCCTGGTATCGCACTACGAACTCCACCTGTTTCAACCAGGGGTCGGAGTTTGTCGACTGTTAACACGCCCCAAAGTGCATCATGGCTCCATCTGAACTACGGCCAAAGCTTGAGCTCAGACTTGGCCGGAAAGAGTCCGTTCTATGCTCTCTACCAAGTTTTTTGCTTTGTTGCGTCGTCAGAGATCCAATTTCTCAATATGCTCCAGTCAAAGATCGAAAAGGAATTGAAGTCCTCTGCAATTGTGCAGCAAAAGAACCCCACATTGTCGTCTCTTCTGTACAACCAGCAGGTGCTCGATAGGCATATTCAGCGCATCCGGGAAAATGTTACATTCATTCAACAATATAAGAATCTGGACGATTACAAGGATGACGATGCAACCCGGTTGTATGATAAAGTACTCCGGGATTTTGAGCATCTCCTCGCCCGAGCAACAAGCCTGTCTAAGCAGTGTAATCGCGGCATGCAAGTCATCATGAATAATGCAACCATCAAAGAATCTCGCAAAGCCATATCGCAGGCGGAAGGAGTCGCCATGCTGACTCGGCTAGCATTTCTTTTCATCCCGTTGAGCTATGTTTCATCTGTATTTGGTATGAATTTTGCACAATTCGGACAAGGTAAATTGAGCCTTTGGCTCTGGCCAGTGGTGTCAGTTCCGGTCTTTGCGATTACGTTGCTATTGGTTCGGTTTGATGTCTTTGACTATTTCAGCGGATTGATTAGCAGCACAGCAGGGAATATGTCATAGTATCTACTATCCCAAGCTCGTGCCCGCATCATTTCCTGTTTCTGTGTTGACTAATTCTATAGTATGATATATAATTACCTATGTATATATACACTGGTGAACAGCCTCGCTAGCCTGACCTTTTGCCGCGCTACCCGAGAGCAGGGTATGGATATATTAACCGGACTTGTGATAGGGGATCTATATATTGAAGGGAAACCCCAAAACCGGCTCTACGTTTATTTACGAAGAGGCTGACGCCACCTCAGCTTCTGGTATCGTGAGCTTGACTGTTGCTACTCCGTAACTAGAAAGTCGAGATGCATAAAGGGGGATGGACAAACGGTTTTATTTGAGATACCATTGTTACCATCGTATTACACGTATAGGCGGCCTTTCATTTCGATACGTGAAATTATCCATACACGTATCTTTGCAATACATGTCCGACATCCAGACGCTGGCTACGACGACTAGAATGACAGATTATTCAAAGTACTGTGCTGTAAATAATCCATAGATTAATCTGCGTCAAGACCGCCGGGTAACTATCCTATGCCTTGATTTATGCCTCCCAAACGTGCGTACGACATGCCCATAGGATGAGATCTATACTATCTACATAAATTATTAGTCAATAAGCATGAGAGAATTCCGATTAACAGACACACAACTACAGTTTCCCTGTCATAAGCCCTCAATTAGAAGCGGCGGAGGCTTGACAGGATTGAACATAGTGTCCCAGGCTCCCATGACTTGTATCAATTTTTCTTCGTTATTGGCACACGCAATGGCAAGCATTCCGAAAGCTCGTCCGTTGTATTTTAGATAGCCGAGAGGCAGTGAAGCAATCGGATAACCTATAGCCGGTAAGAATTTTTCATCCAATCTCCTGCGTCTTCGTTGGAGGTGCTTATACTCAGACAATTGACATACCGGCGGCAGCAGCAATTTTTGTCATTTGGCTGTCGGCTGGCCCAATGATGACATCAATCTCATAATCTTTGAGAATCCGGTCAATCCCATTTGTTCTTCCAATTTCACGGATATTTCGTAGATGGGTAACATATTCTCTGGCTGAGAGGTTCATTGATGTTGCATCCTCGATACGGGCCTGATTGTGATCTGTGAAATCTAAGAAAAGATCAATAAAAAAGAAAAACAAAGGTATGCTACTGACTTAGTGGGTATTCCACTTCCGAATTGGTATCTGCTTTAAAGATTTTTAATTCGTGAAAGTCCTTCAGAGAGGCGTATTCAAGATCAGCAAGGTATCGCTCAAAATCAACTGGAAAGTCCGATACTAGACCAGTCAGTGGGAAACAGGAATCGGAAATAGGATAGGTCCACTACTCACGCAGTACTGCCGAAAGACTATCAATGCCATGAAGGCTAAAATCTGTCGGGGATACCAAAGGGACATTCTCAGCAAATCTTTTAGCAGTCTTACGGATACTGTCATACGCCACCTGAAATGCCGCAGACTGGGACCCATTATCAGCCTCGGATTTGAATTTCTGCACAATCATAGTGGTCTTACCATTTCCTGAGTGGCTTCCTCTACAGGCTTCAAAAATCCAGCGTCATGCCACCACTTATCGTAGTCTAGCACTCCGACGGATATGTCTGACCAAGAATCTTGCGATAAAGATGATATGAAACTATTATCTGGGGGTTTCTCCAAAAGTACATCCATCAACAAAGCCAAGTCATACGGTGACTTAGCCATAGGACCTGCGGAGTCACATGTGTTCGATACTGGAACGATGCCTTGTTGGGAAATGAGTCCAATGGTCGGTTTAATGGAATAGAGAGCACATCTGCTCGCGGGCCAAACAAGTGACCCGTTGGTCTCAGTCCCAATGGACAAGGGTGCGTATCCAGCTGCTACCGCAGATGCTGACCCGGAAGATGAGCCCGACGGCATCTGAAAAGAAGGGTATTAATGAGTCAAATGAGCATATGGCATAATAGCCAGCATTCTTTGATTCCGCATACGCTATGGCCATCTTTAGAGTCTCCTGGGACAACTCCTCCACGAACGTAGGGCGATTGGGTTTGCCCTCCAACGGCAGACCAGCCGCTAGGGAGATCCTTGCCCCTGTCATCAGGAATTAGAGTTGGGAAAGACCGTAAGATATCTGGGCCTTTTGGACTGACTTGAAATTTGACAGCTCCTATATCTCAGTCATGGATTAAGTGGGCACCAGTGGTAAGAAGTTGTAGATAGAAATACTGACGCTGAGATTTGCTTTGCCCAGAATAATCAAACCCGCATCGGTCAGCTTTTCTAAAGGTCAGACATCATTGTTCCAGATGTTATGAAGAGTGTTCAATTGTCTAGGACTTGCAGTATTAACTACTGATGCGTTCTGCCGGGGTCTCGAGTCCATAAGGGCCCAACTCCCGGCTGTAGTCTTCATTCCCAAATCAGGGTGAGTAGCAATGTTGTCCTTTTGCCAGATTGCTGATGAGAATCAGTCCGGAAAACAAATATTCAACTACTTCACAGGTCCTACCTTGATAATGATTGGAATCCCATGCAATGGACTTCTCAGCCTTCCCTTGGCATGTTCTTCGTCCAGTTTAGCTGCAATGGCTCGTAGACTCTCCTTAGGTGCTACTGATATTAGGGCATGTAGATAAGCTTCATGCCTCTCAATCTGTTCGAGGTATCGCTCGACCAGTTGCACACTATTCAAAATTCCGTCGTGGAGCAGGCTTATCAATTGCCTCGCGCTAATGGTGAGAGCATCAAAACTTGCCATTGCTCTTTTCTGAGGTGGGTGGGGTGTACCTAACTCCCAGTCATTCAGTAGGTTTTGAGATGCCATTCAGAGACATGTGTCGGGTAGAAAAGGGGTCGTCGATCTTATCATGAGCTCAGGTAATACAGGCATTGTAATCTGGACCAGGAGAGGTATTATATACATAGGTATTTGTCCATCTAAATGTAATGTAATTACCTACTTCTCGTCAATAATGAAGTGGAACCGTATCGGAGTAATATATCATTGATAAGACACCGCAACAGAGATTACCAGTAATTTTGTCCACCCATGACGGCCACAGAGAATTTTAAGGCTGGTCGAATTGTTCTGTGTTCATAAAGTTATGAATTTTAAATCTATTAGTTGGGCAAGATATTGATCGCGCATGATAAGATGCCCAACTCGTACTGCAAAAGAGGGGTAAATATTTCACCTTAGATATTAACTTATTTATTACAGGCATCATTGAGATTTGAAACCACTTTGTTGCATTCATCTCCTCCTTCACTTAGAGAAAAATCTGAACGTCTGTTCAGTAACGCAAACCCTGCAAATGAAACAGTCAATACAACTTCAAAATGCTACCTTACCGGGCAGGACTTTTGTGCGGCGATTAGACTTATGTAGTGCTGTCACGGCCCATTCAAGAAGCCTCAAATCGCCTCCTGGAGCCCCCATAAGGGAGATCACTATCGGTAGCTTTTCTCTTTTTCCAGTGATGCGAGATTCGTATTTAGTTTCCGAGACTGAGAACCCCATCAAAACCTGCTCAAATACATAAATACTGAAAGAACTAATATATGGTGCTTACTTGGAATGGCCAATTCAGGTGCCCCAAGAATGGCAGCAAGATAGGTCGGTCGAAGTCCCGGAACCTCCGGGTTGCTATTGCCAGGGTATTCATCGCGGTATCTTGGTTTGATGGAATCAATATGAATTGCCACGAGCATTTGACAGGACGATGCATATCGCTCCAGAAACCAAGACCGAAAAATGGACATGCGTTTCAATATCTCCGTATGCTGTTCCATGCTGACTTGGCTGCCCAGGGCCCTTTTTGTATATAAAAAGATAGTGAGTATAAGGGCTAAAAGAGAGTAGCAGGCCAATAGGCATACCAGTACCATCTCACAACCTCTGTCACAAAGGGCTCATGACCATGGAGCTCGTGATATCGATCTCTAAATTCATCGAACGAGTGATAAGCCGCATAATACCACCCATGGTGCATTAGCTCCAAAGAGGATCTTGTCAGCAAATACGAAGTAGATACGAGGGCGGGGTCATAATGCATACGTTGTAAAGGTACTGGTGTAAATCTTTCTCCTCGACGGGTGCTGTGCTGCGCCAATCATCTTGGATGGAGATAGTATGACACGGACATCCGGTTGCTTTACATACATCGTCAAGGAAACTGTCCATTGCGTGAAGCTGTTCGACATTCTCCTCAGGCATAAAATCAGTTGGATATAGAATCACGAATTTGCCTTCATCTGTTGAAGCGTTGTTGCCTTGCTCTCTCAAAGGGTGTAAAGCTCGAAAGATATCGGGGAAAATATCAAGATCTCTTCCAAGCCAGCCAGGCATGTCAACCCCCGCCCATGCGTTGACTAATCCTTTGCCCGATATTGAATTGGTTGAAGGACGGAACCCAAAGATCCCAGTTTGAAGCGCCGGGATTCGAGCACTTCCAGTAGCTGTTTCCGTTCATATACCTATCAATGACTGACGGTCAAAGATGAACAATTTGTAAATGAGACGTACTGTCACTACATATTGACAGATCAATCCAATCGTAGGCTGCAATTGCAGCAGCACTCCCGCCACTGCTGCCACCGGTGATTAGGTAGCCATCTCCTCGCGGATTGAATGGCGCTTGGTAGTCCACACTTTGAGTCGGATGCTCCATCATGGCAAACGAACTGAGATGGGTCTTTCCAACAATAGTAGCGCCCGCTTTCAGCAATAAAGATATCGTTTCTGCGGTATTTTGTTGTATGGGATACGTTTCAAAATACGCACGGTTTCCGAGAGTCGTACGAGTACCGCTAAGGTGATAATTGTCCTTGACAGCAACTCTCAACCCTTCAAGGGGCCTTAATAAAAAACTCAGTTGGTTTTATTATCTCCTTTTCAACTGACCACATGCCATGGAGATTGATCCATACCTGGTGATATCCTCGCGGACCGCTGATGGGAACAGTGTTGCCGAATAGGACCTTGAGGGGACAGTAATCCCATGTGCTCGATAAGCATTTCCAGCTGCTTCAACTTCAACGAATCGACTAGTGGCCAGAATCAGAAATACATCTATGTAAGCATAGGTTGACCTACCCATCCTTTTGTAGAGAAGGCCACAGGGCCTGCACAAATGCGAGCTGATTGTCAGGATAGACTTTAAATACCGAGTGAAAATAGCCTTTAAGGAGATAATATGGCCCGCTCGCAATACCCAGGTCAGGCTCATACACCACTTTGGGCGTAATATTCCATTTCTCAAAAACACGCTCCACATCACGCTCCAGATGCATATGATCCAGACCGACGCCGCCAAGAACGATGCACTGAAGAAAGTCAATGTGGAAGACGTCGTCCTGGTCTAAAATGTTCTTTGCCCATTCCAGCATCCTTGCATTGACTTTCTGGTCCTTCGGCACCTGTATGTATGTCGCTAGTATGGGCGCCTCTTTTGAGCTCTGTAGGAGATATTCATGACCGGCAGTACTTGTCGAAGGCGTTTTTGAGATGTGAACGTGTTTGAAAGTTGGGTTCACAGATATTGTCGGCCTAGCGAGGTATTGGTCGTTATCTATTTTGAAGCTAATCCAACTATTAATTATGACCGGCTCTGGTTCATGTTTTGAGGTACGGCTATCAATAATATGTTGGGATCGACTGGCTAAACCGGCGAGATGTGCCCCGATGTTTAGCAATGAAGAGAACACCATGTTTTATAATTCGTTCAAAAGTCATAACGTTACTTGGCAGGAATTGTTGTCTTTATCGCAATGATGGATATTGGAACGTCCGTTGACGCGAGGATTTGCGGTATTAGATCAGATGAACCCCGCAATTGGGCCCAAGTCCTTGGTGGTACCTAGAAAGCTACAGTATCTCAATAGGCCCTAATCAATAATGCACTCCAGTTACACTAGTTACGAGAACGTCTGACGGTATCAGCCTAGATTGAGTACGTCCTTTTTCACGTCTTTGATCATGCCTGTTTAAGTAAGTGATATTCTCGCTTCATATATTTGGTACAGAAGTGTGAGGAAGGGTGGAGGAATTCATTTACAGCGCATTGCGTTGGTCACTGTCTAGGTACACTTATTACTGTTCTTCGCCCTAATCAAGGGGTCACCATATACTTAGGCCTCAGTCCATACTCTCTAGCTAATCATTCGAGCTTTCGGTGTCATATAGAATCTTTGTTTCCTTGACACCGGAAGCTTGGCCACCGTTGAACATCATGGCTCCTTTGGGATAAAAATTCGCTCTGCTGTTGCTCGATTCAGTCTCGGTTCTTGCGAGAGAGTTGATAGCAATATGCTCCCTCACGGAAGTATTCAGCTTCCATGGTTGCACTTGGGTGAAGTCGGCCATCGTTCGAAGTTCACTTGGCTGATTGTTCCATTGGGATGAGAAAGAAGATATCAAAGAGTTAATAAGAACTTGATGGGGACCATATATCTTACATTTCTCGATTGAAGTTTTTGAAAAGATAGTATGTAGCTAGCTGTCTTGTTTAAGACTTGTGGTGAAAAGATATGAGTTGGTAGATTGCATTTCAGTATGAGATCTTATCGCCTCCTTGCATAATATAGGCCTGTACCTGTCATACCTACGATTTTTTACAGTCGAGGTGATGAGTGGGGGTTTCTCAGAAGGAGGCCCAAGTGATACATAACTCAATAGTGTGTCATTGGATTATTCAACAACTTATCCAATGCTTGATTTTGTGCTACGTTTCATGGAGGTTGCTCTACTCACCCATATAGAGCATTGACGGGTGAAATTTTTACTGTTGTTAGATGTGTTGGCACTCACTGATTCGGTGAAGGATTGGCAAAATGACCAAAAGGAGGGGAACCATGTGATAACAAAAATAAGCTGAATGATGAGTGTCTATATACCTATTTCGTGAGGTTTTCATACACTTAAAATCTAGGATGAAATTTTTGTGTACAGTATGTTTGGATACAGTACAATACGTTATTACGGGTATGTACCCAGGTATCTAAAGCACAATCAGCCTGAAAGAAAAGAGCAAATTTACTCGGTCAATTGTTGTTTGGAGATAAAGTTCAATGGAAGAACGGTGTCAATGCATAATATGCATGCGAACTTTTACCTCTAATGCAGACATATGTAGCTACACGCAATCGGGTTACATATGGAATGTGTATTCGTAGTTACATTTCCTATCTAGGGAGGTTTTTTCTTCGTTGCTCATACCACCCTTACCCTTCACTGCGGAAATAAACATGTCTTTTAAGTAACGAATACCTTGTTATTTCATTCATCGTAGTATACCAATGTCCGAACCTCTATGCTCTCTCGAGGCGGGTCATTGGGGCGTGCCAGAGGATTGGAAAATGCGGTATGAGGAACCCCTAAGTCGATTATTAGTTATTTAAGTCCGTTTCCAAATCTCGGAGTTTTAGCAGAAGAAGACAAAAAAGATACCTGTCAGTCCACCCGAATCAGACTGCAAAATCACCCAAGCTTCCGATGGCTTTTGGTCACTCAAATACTTGAACTTGTACGCGCTTGACTGATAGACTAGGCAGGTATCGACGACCTTCTCATAGTAGACCATATCCCTCGGTTCCAAGTCTGATTGCGGATCAACCGTGGTGTTGTCAACCATCATCAACGGCCATTGTTTGACCGGCCCGCTCAGAGGCTTCCAAACCCTAATGAAAAAATCGTTACCGAATGCGGTAATTTTCTTATCGCAACCGATTTTTAGGGCAAAGGTCAAGCATACGTGATATATTGATAACGCATGTTCAGCAAAGGCGTAACATCTTGATTGTATTCTCTCACAAGATTTTGCGTACCTTGTGGAGTCGTGTCTTATAATGCTGGTCAGCAGAGCCTGCGGACGTAGACCATAGCTTACCAATGTGAAGCAAAGTTGCGGGCTGTTCCCATTCATATGGCTGGCCGGTGGATATTGGGAATATCTCGTGGCTTTTGCGCACCTAGACTCCCAATTATGAGTTGCTTCTCATTATGAGGAAGAGCGCGCCTATACCACATAATCGTGCACCTGGACTCGTCTGGCACCCAGGCGCTTTTTTAGGCTCTCAGCTAAATGAGGCAAATATTGCACTTCAATCACCTGCTTATCATCGAAATCTGTGGAACGCAAAGGCACATCTAACTCCATGACACAAAACCCATTCTTTTCGATAGACAAATCTTGCTCGTGGCCTCGAACATCTTCTACCGGAATGCGATCATGTATGGATATGTGTAGATTCTTCTGTGGAAAATTGTCGGGAGGATGGAAGCGGAGCTCAAAAGGCTTTTCCCTTTTGTAGAGCTCCAGTCTGTCCAGACAACAAATGCTAGTTTCAAGCATTTGCGATTCACCGCAACAGGTTTCAAAATATGAGATTTGGGATTGACTCACTTCAGGAATAGTAAAGCGGAAGTAAAATGGTAACGGTGAATCGCCTCTTATATAGGTGCAAGCAGCATGTTAGTACGGACTAGTTAGGTATGTACCAACAAGCTAAGTACATGTACCTGATATACACGTATTATGTTATTACTTCTGTACGACCATCGTTTTGATGCCTGAACCTGACAATACCATACCTACACGTTGGGCTACTGATGTATTAGAGCCGCAAATCCCCAAATTCCACCACTTTTAACAGTAAATCATTGTTGTAAGTTGTGAGTTCGTGGCTTTCAAATAGCCTCATAACTCGAGATCGATATCGGATCTCACCGTGTTTCAAATGTAGGATTCGAAATGGCGGGTGCTGCCAGTTCGGTTCCCAAGCTTCACGCAATATCCCAATGCCCAGCCCCGAAAACCATGTAAGAACAAAGGTATGTTTGAAGCTCCAATTACTGATAATTTTCGGCATAGTATCGTACTTGTTCCAGGGGTAGGAACAGCGTCGCCCGATACATGGTTCCAAGGCAGAGGCCAAATATGGAATCAACTTCTTCCAGATGATGTCTTGCCATCGCCAATTGCGTATCAATTCAATCATGGCCTTCATCTGAACGTTCATCCTCGCCTGTGGGTGGAGATCCTCGACAAAGGATTGGAATTGCTTGAAACTTTGTTGGCTTTGTTTAACACTCGAGGGAACGAAGTAAGTCGCTCCTTGACCGGGTGCTGTGGTGGATGATACTTTGTGTCCGTAAATATTGACCGGATAACAATTCAGCTTCGTCACTGTCCTATCATCTTTATAGCGCATAGTTTAGGAGGAATCATTGTAAAACAGGCAATGATCTCACCCCTCATACGGACCACTAATACTAACGTCTCTATATGCAGTGCCTTACAACTGCCCTCGAACAAAAGGGTGATTTTGAAGAAGTCGTCCGGACTACTGCTGCTTTTGTCTCTCTGGCAACGCCACATACGACTTCCGAAGAAGTCAAGGACTGGTGCCAGCCTCAGCTGCTCAGTGAAGCCAAATCCTTTCATAGGAAGATATATCCAACAACTGGAGACGATGCAAAACGGCTGGGAAATCTCTGTTTTCGATTTGAAGCGGTAGCTAACCATATCCATGTCTTAACACTATGCGAAACCAAACAGACGGCAATAAAGAGGTTGTTATCAAGGAATACCAAAGCACTGGTTAAGACCTCTCTCTTCAACAATTTCTTATCTACGCACGTGATTAACTTTGTTCCGCGTTTCTAGATTATCCCACCAAGTCAGTGTAGAGTAAACCTGCCTTTGGAAGAGTGCGTTGATATTCAAGCCAACCACCAGGATGTTGCCAGGCTTACACCTAGTCATCTGCTGGAGAGATCAGTACGGAAGGCAGTCGCAGCAACTCTGGCTCGTATTGAAACAGAGATTAAGGACGGTATAAAATCCTTCCAAATTGATTGAGTTATTGCAAATTGACCGTTCCCGCTAGAATCTTTACCTATGGCCTTGATAGAGTCTACAATCGCCTATCATAACTCGGCTGATAATAGGTCGAGCCCAAGTCAAAGTGAGTCGTTCCCAAGGTTCTTATCAGAAAAGGCCAAGTCAATATTCAATTAAACGGAAAAGATCCCAGGACGATAAGTACCAGCCGTCAAGTGACCGGGACATCAAGCGAAACGAGGAAAGATGGCCCATCCCTTTCAGACTTTTCCACAACTAAAAGGGACCCGTTACTTCCATGCCACATCATTCCTTTTACCAAAAATAGAGACTTCCACGATCGAGTGGAGGTGCTACAGATGATTGAAAAATGCTTATCACTGGTGGACGAAGATGGCCTTGATAGGAAGGAGCTGAGAACATTTGCGTTGTGTGGCCCTGGTGGTATGGGCAAAACGCAGGTTGCTAACGAATATGCCATCACCCATATGGATACCTACGAAGCAATTCTATGGGTTGATGCAGAAGAGCCAACAACACTGATGGATGAATTCAGTCAACTCGCTGAGCATCTTGGCCTGGTGTTGGAAGGCTCACCGGATGCAAGAGATCAGGCCCTAACTCGAGAGCTTGTCAAGGGGTGGTTGGCCAAGCCAGTGAGATCGTATAATCGTACCGACAATAGTGCTGTGGAAGAGGTCCCATGGTTGTTGGTATTTGACAACGTTAACAACCCGGATCTCCTATCAGACTTGTGGCCACCGGACGGTAGCACCGGGTCGATCCTCATTACCAGCCGTGACAACCTGGCAAAGACACAGTTTTACCAAATTAAAAATGGAATCGACTTGCCACCAATGAGCCAAGACGATGCTTCAGATCTCTTGCTCAAGCTAACCTGGCGGGAAAATGATCCTGAGGAGCAACGGCTAAGCTTAGACGTTGCAGACATCCTGGGCGGGCTGCCGCTGGCACTCACTCAAATGGCTGGAGTAATGATTCGGCAAAGTCTTTCTTTTGCGAATTTCCTTAACAGGTATGGAGAAGAAGAAGAGCACGCAATTCTCTTCAATCTTTCTCTCGAACCGAAACATAAACGCGCCAACTACGGCCACACCCTGGCATCGGTATGGTCTTTAGAAAAGCTGGAATACAGCTCTGGTCTGTTGGATGTCATGGCATTCCTATATCCTACCGGCATTCCTGAGAAATACCTTGAGGGTGCTGTCGGCACGACACGTCTAACCGACTACCCAAAAACCGTGACCGCATACCAAAATGCGCGAAGCGAGCTGCTCAAGTCCTCCCTGGTCATGACTGACCGAAGTTCTTCCAATCTTACTATACACCGTCTTATACAAGACGCAGCAAGGGCTAGAATGGATACGTATCGTATCACTACAGCCTTTTCAGATGCTGTGGATATCCTTCGGCTGTTTTGGCCAGAGGCAGAACGGGGTGTTCGACACCATATTGCGCGTTGGAAGGACTGTGAGGTAATCTCACTTCATATTGTACGCCTCAAGGATCATTTTCTACGGGCGCCGAAAGCATTAAAGTTGAGATGGTCGGGGAATTTAAACTTTGCCATGTTGATCAATGAGCTTGGTTGGTATGATAAATTGATCCTTCATCAAAGTGATCTTGTTTTAAAGCTGATCAGTGCATTTCTTCTCCAGGTACTTTCAGGAGCAAGGACGTACGGAAGAAGCTCTTGGTTGTTACCAACTTTCTCAAACCTGTGTCCAGTACATAGAGGCCCGAAATCGACAGGAGAAGAATACAATCACAAGAGAGGATGGCGAAAGAATATTTTTCCTTCTCTCCGAAATCCACAACAACATTGCAGGCTCTGCAACCGAGCTGAATGATCCAGATAAAGCATTACATCATTTCGAGAGATACAATCAACTGCTCAGAGACAGATACGAGAAAACCGAGGACGTATTCGATTCCAGACTGACCAGCTCGTATTATAATTTAGGGATGAGCTACGCAATGAAGAAGGATTATGCTAATGCAGTCAAATACATCGAAATAGCCCTTAAGGAAGCGGGACGCCTACAAAACCCTGAAAGTGTCAAAGCTGCTAGGAGCCTGGGACTGATAAATCTTGCCCTAACGCTATGGCTTATGGGTCGCCACGAAGAGGCTTCTTCCATGCTAACGACGGCCTTGCGTGAAAGGGAGGAATTACTGGGTTCCAATGACCGGGATTCAATGATGTGTGCTACCTACATATATTTCTGCTTGTCTGGTTCACTGACTGATCAATCCCATAGCACGGGTCGAGTTTTATACGGCCTGGGAAATGTGAGACATTCTCAAGGCTTACTTGAAGAAAGCCTACTTTATCACGAACGCGCTCTTCTACATTTCAAGGAAACAGTGGGCAGCAATCATCATCGAACTGGGAACTCGTGCTTCAAAGTCGCTCAACATTACTCTCGAATAGGAAGATTGTCAGAAGCAATGTAAGTGACTTAATTACCTACCATCCTAGTATTTTCGGACAAGTTACCTAACATCAATGGGTGATCCAGTAATCTTCTGGACCAAGCAATCAAGATCCTCGATCGTCACGAATGCTACGTTCCCGAAAAAGGACGCGCTACGTTAATGAAGGGCATCGTGTTACAGCAACAGTCCAAGAGCGAAGAGTCAAAGATCTGTTTTCAACGGGCAGCAGCTCTGTATGAGATTGCTAGCAAGAGAACTATCATTGAGGAGGATTTGACGTTGCAGGATTTTGATGCGTATGTTCATATATGGGGTCGGTGATGAAAGTGTTGACATCCATGGATGTTGGTTCCAACCTCCTGTTCCATATGGCTGGAAGAATCTCGATGATAGACCCAAGAAAGGTCCTTATCTTACTTTTTCTGTCTACATATACGAGCAGTAGAATCTTAAGCATAGAAAGTCGAAATATCCTCAAGTTACCTCCTCCCTCTAATAACAAGCTTTTCATTTTTTAACCAGCCCTACAGTTCTGAGTCTGGGAATTAGGTCTCAAGAATTACTTCTTTTTCTGGAAGTCGATAAGCTTCATCTAGTCAGGCTTATTGCCTATTTTTCAATACTAATGGCACATTATTGAGACATACGCTCCACTAGTTAGGAAAATACTGCCGTTCTTGAGAAGTCCGGATGAACTTTAACGTATTGATCTCATTTTCGGGGTTGCCACAGAGTGAATCTCATGCATAAAAATTTGCACATTCTTAGCAGCCCAGGTGAGACCGGAGCTAGGATATTCGTACAGTGTGACATCTAGACATGAAGGTGGAGAATCTGCTCTAATCAATTAACGAACGGCAAAGATAACTCATAAAACCTTGACTTAAACAAAATTACATTCGTAACTAATGCTTGTCTTAATGCTAATAATATAATAAGTAGAACATATGTACATGACATATCACAATTCGTAAGCAACTCCGTGGAACCCTCAAGATTCTTCGCACGGAAGTAGGAATCGTAAAACTGAAAAGGGGTAAGAAAAACAACATGATTAATGACCTTTCATCTGGCTGGTGCATGCAACTGACTGAAAACCCCCCCCCGCTTCGAAGAGAAAAAAAAGGTAGAAAAAGGATATCTATCGGAAGTCACAAAAGCAAGAAAATTGATATTAGACACCAATGGGAAGGGAAAAAGAAAGCCAGGCTAGGGGGAAAGGGGACCATAATCCATAACCTTAGTCGCCTATGGCGTTGCTGCAATAGCACGATGTATGTAACGAGTTTTGAAAAACTCATATCCCTCGGAAATACCTTGCCATAGACCCGGTACGAAGTTTCGAAGCCATAGCCCTAAGAAGAGAAGCAACATTGGGATCTAAAGAACATTCATTAGCCGACTGATCCAACTTTCAAATAACTAAACATCAAGACTCGGGGGGATTCTTACCCAAAAGAAGTAGAGATTCTTATCCTTTGCAAGTCCCTTCATTTTGCGAGCTTGTTGCTTTTTCAATTGCTCCTGTTGCTGACGAGAAATGACAGTCTTACGCCCAATCCGGATGTCGGTGAGTTCCTCTTCCGATTCCTCCGTCTCCCCATTGGAGTTAGACGGACCAGCATGATCTTCAAAGTGCTGATCAAGCGCTGCGTCTGTTGCTGCCCGAAGCAACGAGGTCTTCTTGAGCTCAAGATCTCGATCTTCGTCGGCCTCTTGATGTGGGTACAACTCGTCGTATGCAGGTGGCTCGTTCGTGGCGGTTGGTGAAGAGTTTCCAGTAAACATCTCCCACCACCCATCCTTTGAGGACCAAGAGGACCCGGGTCTATGAGGAACAAGGTTACTGATGCGCCGCATCATAGGATACGCCTGATAATCAGGAAGGGCCGGCATCGGTGGCATTGGCGGAAGAGCAGGAAGGTTGGGGAATGCTCTGCCAACGCTTTGCTGGAATTGATTGATTTGAGTTGCAAGTTGATTGCGCCATGCAACTAGAGAAGCGGGTGGAGCCGTATTAGCTCCGGTCGATGTCTCATCATCTGCCGTGACTTCCGGATTGACACTATCAGCCGGTACACTGTCTTCACGAGAACGGGTATAGTATAATGAAGGTCCGACATCTTGGTGGACACTCGAACGCCGTGAAGACGAGATATACACATTCAACTCCTCCTCATCCGTTTCAGTTGCCTCTTCATCATCGGACTGTTCCTGAGTAAGATTGAAAGATTCGGATGCTGAAGAAGCTTCCCAGAACGAACTCAATGATGCTGAGCTACTAGGACGACGACGCAGAGAGGGTGAAGAGCCAACGCTCCGAGACCGGTAGTGACGAGCAGGGATAACCGCGGCTTGATGAGCGGGCAGGGAAGTCGCAATATCTGCGGATGTGAATCCTCGGATGCTTCGTGCCATAGCATCGGCACCCGCAAGTCTGAGACGGTGGACAATATGAGCGTGTCCGCTCAAAGCGGCGAAGTGCATCGGTGTGTGGCCATTATTGTCTTGAACATCCGGATTTGCACCTCTCGCTAAAAGTCCAGCTACGAATCTTGTCAAACCCAATGATGAAGCAAAGTGCAGCAACGTTTGGCCAGTCGATGATTTCATGTTGTACCTCGGAGCACGAGGGCTGTCATCCAGATCAATGAACTCTAGATAGGTAAGCATCCTTGAGTCCAGGTCGCTCGTCTGGCCTTGGACATTGAGGTTAGGTATCTGCCTTTGTCCACTGCTACCTCCTTGAATGTCATTTTGTAGGTTCCACAATGCAGCCTGATCGCCTCCCATGATCCGTTGGGCGGTCTGAAAAGCATCTGACGGGTTCCGTAACTTCTGGCCTAGAATACTCAATGCCAATCTGTACATCTGAAGCTCCCGATCGTCTACATATCGGAAGAAGTGTTGTTGCTTAGGAAGAATTGGCTGTGCCTGGGGCACCTGACCAAACGTAGGGTGTTCATGTTTGAAGACAACTGGGACAAGACCAGGTTGCAAAGCGGGTGGTGTTAGGCAGTTTAGACATTTGTCGCCCCAGAATGTGGTTGTTGTGGCCAGAGTATCGCCAAAGACAACCTCCATACCCGGGTAAAACCCACTGCCTAAAAGTGTGACCTCTGTCCCTCCGGTTGTTGAGCCTTCAGCTGGAACAAGCTTATGAATAATGGTCGGTAACCGATTTCCCGCATTTGTCAGGTGAGGCCAAGCTTGGTTGACGGGGTTTGGCCCAGTAGACAGGTTGTGCGCCGGTTCAAAGAGACTGCGTGCTGCTGTCAATCCTGGTGAACTTGGACGACTTGCATGAGTCGAGCTAGGCGTTGACATGAAGTGATGTTGAGCAAGGCCGTCAAAATTCGGCTGAACGCTTGTAAAATATGAACCCTCGTTATTGTTATTCGGGGTTGGTGGGCCATTGCTAAACGGACCGGAGACACCAATTGGTGTAGCGAAAGGTCTCTCAGTCGGAGAGAAAAAGCCATGAATGTTAGGAGGAACTTGGTTGTTCGCCGAGGAGCCACTAGAAGAGCTCGCTTGGGGACTATCCAGTCTAGTCATAGTCAATCCTGTGGGTAGCTTGCCGGAATTGCTGTGCTTTCGGCGTTTGCTTGAAGGCCCACCGTACTCGGATGGAGATGTCTGTCGAGAGCTGTTGCGTGGTGTGAGAGAAGCCGATGAAGTTCCGCTATTTTGCGGCATGGAGACAAAGGGTCCTGATGTCATCGGATATTGAGAAGCCATATGTTGTGGAAGGCTTTGAGAATCTGTGCTAGGCGAGATGCGAATGGCTTGTTGCCCTCCAACCGGGGCCTTTGCCAATTCGTGAGAGGAACTAGAAATGAACACGCTGGTACCAGGAAGTTGAGTACCATCGGTCAGTGGAGCACTAGGATTTGCTGCTGCGGAAGAATTCGAGCCTGCTGCATGAGTCTTGTGATCGTCTGTAATCATGATCGAATTGGTCATTGCTTGGGCGATAACATTATCCAAGTGATCTTTGATGGTAAGAATGACTTGAAACCCTGTCTTCTCATTTTGATGGCGACAGTAGCAAGCTATTCGCATAGGCAGCTCAACTTGCATTGCACCAGGGGGAGTGTATGTCACGGTAGATTCTTTGGCTGGTTCGACCCATTCCTTGATTTCGCTGGTATTGAAAACAATGACTCTTTTGTCCTCGTCCTTTTGGAAAAGTTCGTCCTCGCCAGGTTTCCGCTGCTTCTTCCTTGATGCTCGCTTTCGTTCACGCTGAATACACCCTTGACAGATCTTGACCTCGCCGCCTTCCAGGGGTTTGTCTTCATCATCTTCCTGAATATCAGTAGTGGAGACTGTTGATGAACGTCGCTTGACGACTTCCCCACGAGCTCTTGCGTATGCCTTTTCTAGTTTCGACTTATCTTGCATCGCACTAGTACACACGAGGCTTGTATGCAGCTCAAGGGTGTCCGGAGAGCGTCCTACGTCAGGCTTGGCCAGGAACTTGGGTTTCGATATAGTATGTGTAGGTAGGCGAAGCTTCTTGACACCAGCGGGAAGGGGAAACAAAGTGAGTCGAATCGGAATTTGTGTTTCCACCCGAGACTTGAGCGAAGTTGGGTGTACATGCAGGATTGGACGAGAAGGGACTCGAGCCACCGATTTAGCGTAGAAGGGAGAAATATAGTCCGACGCCTCAAATTGTCCATCATTTGGACCGATCGTCATATTCGTATTTGCGTGCAAAAGAGCGTTATGCGCAGAGAAGCTATTACCATCGACTGCTGCAGGTGGATCGTCCATGATTGAAGAGGGCGAGCGGCCGCTCCATTGTGATGAGGAAATAGATCGAGTGTTAGGGTGTAGCCTCGACGTCATTGGAGACGCTTCTCTGGAGCTATTGGGATAAAACGGCGAGCCGGGATGAGATGTCTGTTGAAAAATAGGGGTGTCCCGTTAGATGACTACCTTTTCATTCTATAATCGAAAATAAACCTTACCATGAGTTGCTTAGTTGAAGCCTTTTGCTTCTTGGCTGTCTGAGGGGTATTTTTGTTAGCCGGCATGGGACTGCTAGCCGCACTGTCAAAGTCAAACGCCGAGTCCATGACCCTGTTACTCGATTCGATGTCAGAATACTTTGTATCGAAGCCGTTAAATTCGCTCTCCAAGCCGAATAAGTTGTCTTTATTCATGAATGCTGGCCATCCGTCGTTTTCATACTTGACCGCACCGTCACTGTGAACGGCGGAACCAACAGATGAGTTACGGGCATGGTCCCTTGTTGACTCTACCGACGAACCGGGACTCGAATTATCGCCTGTGGAATCTGAGGGCGAGTCGAAAGAAAAGGTAAGAGGGCGCTTGAGGGAGTTGGCGGTCTGCTGTTGTCTTCTAAAAGACATTTCGGAAGGGGATACGTATAACCCATTGTGATCGGTAGTCTGAGACTCAGGTGAGCGGGCGAATATGTCGTCAAACTCCCTGCCAGCATCACTCGGGAGCTGTTGAAAATCGCCGCTATTCATGAAATCCATATCGCCATCCTGATAAATCCCATTCATTTCCGTGTCCAGCACTGTAGGATCCAATGTAGCAAACATTGGCGATGACGCTTCTGGCGGTTTCATGCTAGTTTAATCGTGTCTGATAACGGGGTAGAACCGAAGGTTTTATGATAATTCTCGAGAGGGGTTCTGTCACTAATAGGACCAGTTCCAGCTCCTTGAGCCGCGTATTGTTTGTTTTCTTTGACGCGGAGAATTTCAAGGGGCGAGAAACCGATCCCGACACGCAGGCACCAGGGACGTTCTTTATCAGAGACAATAAATATTCATATCGAAAAAAGAAGGGCGACCAGAAAAGAGACACGAATCAGTCGTTACGACAACGGTGTGTACGGGTTCTGCGGAGCGGAGATGCGTTTTGGGAAAGTCGGTGTGGGTGTCGTCGATACCAAGTTCAGGCGATGAGTTGTTTCTATTCCGGAGAGAATGGGTAGCCCGCAACAACACCACCACCAGAGCGAGGGCAGTGGTTGGACACTGTACTGAGGTTGCCGCTTTGACCAAGACCAGTATAGGCTTTGTTGTTTTGGCAGCCAAGGACAAGGAAAGTGATGGCAGACAGGAGGCGGCGTTCTGGAATCCGTTGAGTTCTTTCTGATGGTGGATTTTGCGGTTGACACTGCCAAGCCTTTCTGCTTGGTATTGTGGCCTGAGGGATAAGGCATCATAGGCGATTATGTAAGCCACAAAGAATGACATAGCAGTGTCTACGCTAGTCCTTTTGGATAATAGCCATCCAATCAGAACGCGAGTATTACTCCCCCAACGTCCGAATGCCCCACCTGTCAAATCGCAGCCTCGGTAGTCTACCCAGGCATCAACATTCGACTCCATGACTCAATGAGATCGGATCTCAACAATTTTGTTGATGAGATGTCGAAGCTGTCTGATAGTTATCTCATTTTCTGATGAGTAAACAGTATTCCACGACATTCTACAGAGCCGCAGAATGTAGACGGTTATGGCCTCAACAATTTGATCAAAAAGTGGTTTGCTTCGAAATGGACTTTCAGCAATTACACGTCTTTCTGACTTTTTTGCTTTTGCAAAGTGACGAGTCTCGATCTTGTGATCTTGTGCTTGCTTCATTGACAATTACTCCGTATTAAGCTATCGCTTCTGCATGAACAGACCATCGGTTAGGCTACGGACAGGCTGCACAGGACCTAAATATTGACTAGTCGGCACACAGACTACGAGCATGCACAATGAGATGTCATGGCATGCCGGCAATGGATGAGCTAAGAAGATGATCGCCGTCAGTCTCAAACCAAATGCAACGCCATCACCATCACTTTTTGATATATCGAACTCGAGTTCCCGATGTTCCGCCTAGGATATCTGCCAAGTTGCCCATTATGGCCTGATGTGACGTCTGCTTAATACTTCGTTGTCTTTATACATGGGAGATCTTCGAGTCGAGACTATTCCAGACTGACATGAGGTTGTTGAAGAAGGTCGAGAATGGCCTCAAGAGTAAATGATGGCTAACCTCGAAATATTGGCCATGACTAATCAGGTGCTAGATTACAAGGAATGCTCTTATGTTTCAGACCACCCTGATACGTCCACAGTCAAGTCAACTGATTGTATATCGGAATGATACTTCTTGCCGAGCTCATCTAAGAATCCATCTTCACTCCGGATAGTCGTTACCCAGAAATGAATCTCCAAGTCTGTGTTGCCAAGCTGTGAAACGCTTCTCCGGGACAGTTCAGGTGCCTGGTAATGTTTAGTAGAAGTTCAGTCGAAGATAGGAACTGCCTAAACACACATGGTTCATTTTGAATCCTTGAAATTCGGCACAACTGCAGGTTCCATCCTTCGTGAGGTTTGCAAATCTTTGAAATAGTACACCAAAGAGAAAAGAAGAATCACCAGACATTCCTTGCCAGTCTGAGGCCGAAATTACGCGCTATCCTTATATTTGTGCCGGGCGCTTAAGGTGTCAGGGCTCGCCTGGTGTGACACTTGCCCTGCTTGGCACGCGCTCTGATTGGGCCAGACTGGGGTACTCCCCTCTATCTTTATATCGACGACCTTGACCTCCATCCACTCTGTTTCATCAGATTCAAACAGTTACGGTCAATTGGGCGGAACACACCGAATGACTGTCAGATGCATCGCCCTTCTAATTGGTTTCGAAACAAAACAATTAATTGCTTCCGATGAGATCTCGCCATGACGAAATACAATCATGTATTTTCCACCAGTCATGACTGTCAACCGACTTCAGGATGCCAGCACATTCCACCGACTGCTGCACCTATGTTGGGGATTCAATTTAGGCTAAACAATGATCAGGGCTCTGTCTGGCTTATGCCGATTGATTCTCCATTCTATAGGGTGCTTCAAACATCCCACTCCGGCCTAGACCCTGATCAGATGAAATGACAGGAGTCGGCCATGGATACTCGGTACTCCGGTAGCACCGCTCTATCATGAGCTTCTCCAAAGACAGAATATAAAATGCGACTCGATCCTGTTCTTCAGAGTCTACCATCAGCGGTCATTCATTCCAGCACCTTCACTTCTCTTCAAAACCTCCGTTCTTTCTATTCCTTCGTTGACCGAAGCTGCTTAACTATATTCTCTTCTTTGTATCTATAGCCTACCTTCTAAAAAGCTCGTTGACGAGATGCCTTCCACTAAAGTTGCTGCTCTATCTGCTGTCCTGGCTCTAGCCTCCACGGTTGCTGGCCATGGCTTCGTGCAAAACATTGTCATTGACGGTAAATCGTAAGTGCCTTGCTTTTGTACTATCGAGTTAGATAAATACTTACACTAAACTCAGCTACACTGGTTACCTCGTAAACCAGTACCCCTACCAATCCAACCCACCAGCTGTTATTGGGTGGTCAACCACTGCGACCGACTTGGGATTTGTCGATGGATCTGAATACACCAACCCAGACATCATCTGCCACAAAAATGCCAAACCCGGCCAGCTTTCTGCTCCGGTTGCCGCAGGAGGCAAGGTTGAGCTCGAATGGACAACATGGCCCGAGAGCCATCACGGCCCTGTCATCAGCTATCTCGCCAATTGCAATGGCGACTGTACTACCGTGGATAAGACGAAGCTCGAATTTGTCAAAATCGATCAGCGTGGTCTCATTGACGACAGCAATCCTCCCGGTACATGGGCCGCCGATCAACTCATCGCCGCCAACAACAGCTGGACTGTAACCATTCCTGAGAGCATCGCACCTGGAAACTATGTCCTTCGCCACGAAATCATCGCTCTTCACTCCGCCAACAACGCAAACGGAGCCCAAAACTACCCTCAATGCATCAACTTGCAAATCACCGGCAGCGGAACCGCCAACCCATCTGGTACCCCCGGTGAAAAGCTCTACACCCCAACTGACCCAGGTATCTTGGTCAACATCTACCAGTCATTGTCGACTTATGCTATTCCGGGCCCAACTTTGTGGAGTGGTGCTGCAGCACACGTTGTTGCTACTGCAACCGGTTCTGCTACTGGGGTTGCTTCTGCGACCGCTACTCCTACCACTCTCGTGACTGCCGTTTCATCACGTACCGGTGCTCCTTCGGTGGTGACTCCTGAGGCTCCTTCAGTAACCTCCTTCGCCCCAGTGGTGACTGTTACTGATGTCGTTACTGTGACTACCGTCATCACTACTACTATCTCTTAAGTCCGACGACTTTCTAGAACTCGATGGCTTGTCATTGCTGACCTGCATTCATCTTTTTCTGAATACAAGTCTTCAACATCGCATTTTTAGTTTGCTTGGCCAACTTCCACAGTTTCTTTCTTTCTTCTGAATCTTCTTTCCAATTGTATATTTTTTCAATTTCGTTTCTTATACGTCCGATTTTTCGACATCATTTTTAGTTTTGACCAAAATTGAACATTGTTCTTATACTTTACCAGACTGCAAGATATTCATAGTTAAGTCGAAATTGGTAAGAAGTAGTCACATTGACTCATCCCGAGTCATGCTTGGAGCTGCTTTGTAATGGAAAGAATGTCTTACATTCACGGAGAATGTAGAATGCTAACTATACATTGGGGAGAATTCCTCGTAACTGATACATCTGCTTTCTCAAGCAAGCATCTATTCATTTGTAAGTTGCAATACTTTATATTTTTCTAGTTTGATTTTGACCAATCAGCTAGGCCGACAGCGCAGTTTACTTGCAGAGCTCCACCCCGCATCTATTTATGTCATAGCAATAATCATCGCCCCGAAAATCTTCAGACAACACACCACTTTCGATTTATATCCAATTCCTTAATTATATCGTTACAGGAACATAGCTGTCAGACATCCAGGCTACAGTCAGCATGTTCAAGAAAAAGCCAACAGTGAGTCTCAACAAGCTACACCCCGCAGATGCCCCTCATCATGTTCCACGAAGCTTTCAAAAACAAATCCAAAAATACAAAAATAATGATTTGGCTAATGTCCTCGTTCCAAACAGATCAAAACGTTATCTCCCCTGCGCTCCTCAGATCGACGAAAAATAGCCGATCAGATTATCAAGGGATACCAAATTTCCATTCCTACCACAGCTCCTGTCGAAGAAAGCAATAACAACAATGAAGAAGGAGCCGCTACGAAAGAGACAGCTCCAAATCTCACAACGATAAGAAATGCGCTTCTTCCGGAAAACTCGCTCTCTGCGCGATTCACCACAACCGCAGGACCAGATCTACGAGAGGTCCAAGGAACGGTATACGCCGGATCGCATCCCGAATTCGGCGGCGAAGAGAGAATATTATGGTTTAAGATAGAACATGGACCGGGTGCAGATGGACGAATATATCCCACGGTCTACTCACTATGGCACAATCCACGCATTTTGCCGTTACTACATACCCCATCTTTTGTTATGGGAAAGCTTTTTGGAGGAGCGGATTTGATGACACCTGGTTTGGCTAATAGGCCACCCTTTCCAAACAGAGCTATAAAGGGGGCTGCTGTGGCTGTTGCTACATTGGATAGTCCCACCGTGCCAGTGTTTGTGGGAGTTTGCGAAATAGATGTTTCTGCTTTGGGAGAAGTTCACGGTACCAAGGGTCATGCGGTTCGTGGTTTGCATTGGGAAGGGGATGAGTTGTGGTCTTGGAGTTCATCTTCTAGGCCTGGCCAACCGTCTCCTGAGTATTTGGAAGGTTGGGGCGAGGATATCAAAGATGTTGAGGATGCGGTTGAGGAAATGACCTTGAAAGAAGAGCAAGCGGAGGCCCCTGCTCATGTGGAAAACGCACAACCAGATACTGAGCAAGATCCTGTTGAGCCGGAGGCTGAGCCAACAGTGAAAAGTGAGTTTTGATTTCTTGTTTTACACAAATCAATATATCTAACCAATCTAGAAATCGACGATGCTTTCGTGAAAGCCTTCGTATATTCTCTCTATCAACTCAAAAAAGACAACCCCAATACGCCGAACCATGGGTTAACACTCCCTGTCCAGCCGTCCGCGGTGATATCACGTCTCGTGACTCCATACCTGCCAATCTACTCCTCACAACAAGCTCAATACTACCAGATCAAAAAGACAAGCTGGAAAAACGTGAAGAAATTCATCAAATACCTGGACAAGGAACGACTCGTGAAATCCAAAGACCGCAACGGACAGGAAACAGTGGTCATTGACGTAGACTTTAACGATCACCGAATCGAACAATTTGTTCCCTACAGACTACCTACTAAGAACATTGTCGAGAATTCCGGAAAAGCAGTATCCGGGAAACAGAAGGGGGCTGAAGAAACAGGCACTGATCCATCAGTGGGACAAGTACTCACCGTTCAGGTTCTGTACAGACCTACCTCAAAGCTTACACCAACTCTTTTCCCTGCACTTAATGCAACCGATACGAAAAACTACTATAAATACTCGGATATATCAAACCACTTAGATGAGTACCTTTCATCTCAAGATCCGCCACTTGTGTCCGAATCCAATCGACGAATCATCAAACTCGACCCCTTCCTAGCCAACACGGTATACACATCCTCCTCCTCAGAAGACAAAGCATCCCTATCCCGCGGGGAAGTAACTCGAGACAGCCTCCTGAAACGAATAATATCCGACTCCTCCCTCCTATCCCCCTACCACGCCATCCTAAAACAAGGCCAAACAATCTCAGACGTGAAACCAAAATCAGGCCACGCGCCCAAAATTTCTGTCGTAATTGAGCGACGAGCATCCAACAAGACAGCCACAAAGATTTCGGGGATTGAGTATTTTGGTATTATTCCTACGTTGTTGGCGGAGGATTTGCAGAAGAAATGTGCTTCTAGTACGAGTGTTGCGCAGGCGACTGGTGCGGTGAAGGGGATGATGGAGATTATGGTTCAGGGGGACCAGAGGAAGGCTGTTGAGATGGCGTTGGAGAAGAGGGGGGTGAAGGGGCAGTGGATTGATGTGGTTGATAAGACGAAGAAGAAGAAGTAGAATATCTTATGAACTTGGATGTGCGAAATTAGATTATATGGATATTCAGAAAAATTGAGGATGGAATCATTCGCATGATCAGCAACCGGTTAGCATCGAGCTTCACCAGGTTCACCTCCTTGGTAAAGGAGTGATGGCATCAAATAGGTACCTACATGTTTAAATCATGTTTATACTTTGTGATGCTTGCCTACATAGGTATCTCGATTCAAACATGAAGCTTATGCTGGAGCTTACTCCGTACTCCGAAGGTAGCCAGGTAACAGCTATGCTTTCATAAAATGCCTTCTACATCTTATAATATCCATCACCTGGGCAACTAGGCGTACTTAGATATATCATGGGGCCGTAAAATATCTACTAGCATTACTGCGCAACTACAACCTTGAAGTACCAATCGAAGACTTAGGGTTACGCATATCCGTACAGTCTCAGCCCTAATTGCGGATCAATTCAGAATGACAGCCCCCACTTCTGATTAAGATGATGAAACTCCGACGAGGACCTCAGATATCTATGGCTTTGTGAAAGTTGGATTCATTTGATTTGTGATGAGACATACAGCCTGTGAAGATGTGGTTGATCGACGCTATACATGGAGTTAGATCTATCAGCATGACCTGAACAGGTCAAAAGCCAGTCTCTACTGTCAACTTTTTTTTCCTTCGGAGTGGATGAATAAATGCACTCGTGATTGCATAGTATAATCTTTATGCTCCATTTATGCCTGGCTGACATCCTTAGCATCAACTTGCCCTGAATGTGCACTGTCCTTCAACCTGTCAGGTCTATTAATGAGTCAGGAAATCGGTGAGAATAAGAGCAGATATGCTGATCATGATGGTTCAAGGAGAAGATATAAAGACAGGAAAGGTCCTTCGTATCGATGAAGACCTTTCTTGAATCATCAACATCAGTAGTAGCAAGCAGACTCACAAAATCAATCAATCATCAAGAAAGAAAACCCAACACTCCCAAAATGCCTGTCTACCACATCGGTCAGTCCCATACCCCCAAAACAGCAACCCCAAAACTAACACAAGACAGTCCTCTTCCACCTCAAACCCTCCGTAACAGACACCCAAATCACCGAATGGACCCAAATGGTCAAAACCCAACTAGGCCAAGTACCCGGCCTCATCTCCATAGAAGTCAACAGGCCTCTTCCAATCTCCGTATCTCGCACAAAGGGATATGATATGGCTCTTGTGGCTGTTTTGGAAGGACCGGAGTTTGTGGAGGGGTACTCTACGTTTGCTGCTCAATCTCAGTATGTCCTATCTTTTCCTTTTTCTTTTTCTTTTTCTTTCCCTTGGGGGGTGTAAAATGGAGGAAAGGCTAATGGATTTCATTTTGGGGGTTTAGGGCGCAGAGTTTCCGGGAGCAGCTTTTTGATGATACTATTGCTTTTGATTTGCAGTTTTAAAGCTGTGAGTTAAGGATCAGGTGCTTTGTGTACTGCGCAGAAGCAATCGGAGTTGTTGTGTTGGTTATCTGGTCAATTGGTCTTATCAGAATGAGACATCAGTGAAGAGAGAGTAATCCCATGCTTCGCTACATTTGATGTTAGGCACCCCACCCCAGGTATGAGCCATAGTACCATACACGTATTCCATTGTAGATTGTGTAGCAAGCAATGGCTCTATATCAAGCAACAGGTCGAAGGTATACATATTCAGCCACACAAAAAAGAACAATACATCAAACCCAAGAAAGGCAGAAACCACTGCCAAATCGTGACCGTGACCCTGAAACATAACGGAAACATAACGCCGTGGGATGAAATAAAAATAATATCATGTGGAATGACTTTTGATGACAATGAGCGTCCTATATGTCTTTTGTAAATCAACCTTCCTTCACGTCAACTTTCTTAGCGGCATGCTCGTTGGTAGCTCCGTTGGTATCTTCACGGGCTCGCTTTTGACCGGAGGTAGCTGGTTCCTCAGTGCTCTTGACGATAGGAATTCCCCTGATTAATGGGTTAGTGGAAAGGTAACTGTTGGCGGAAAATTTCATAACGTACCGAGCATCCTTTTGAACAGTTGGCTTATCTTCACGGAAACCACGTTTCTGATCCTCGTCACGGCGTTCCCGCCAGTCCCGACGGTCGTTGTCGCCACGACCACCCCGACCGCGGCCTCGACCGCGGCCTCCACGACCTCCACGACCTCCACGGCCACTATTACGGTTACCAGCTTTGATCTTGCCCGCTTGAATATCCCTGACCTTCTCATCACAGTAGTCTTTCTTGCTCTTGATAATCAGATCTTTGCCATTCCACTTGGGAGGAGGATCCAAAGCGAGGAATTTCTTCTGAGTCTCCTCCGTATCGAACTCGACAAAAACGCTTCCCTTGAAGGTCTTATCAAACGCTCGACGTAGACGGATGGCATTTGTAGGGCCGTAAGGAGCAAAGAAAGCTTCAATTTCAAACTGTGTCTTGGGGCCTTCTTCACCGAATCCTTTAACATAAACGCTTCGTCCCATAGCCTCGGTCTCAAACACTTTGACAACGTTGGGGTCAAGGAAGTCGTTTACAGATTCGGGAAGTGGGACTTTGCGCTTGACTTTGGTGTCGTTATCAACAAGGTTCAGGACGGTGGAGGTCTTGAGGGCCTCGACGATGGCACTGAAAGGCTGGAATCGGCGCATTCGCTTGAAGCTGTGGAGCAGGGAAAGTTCAACGGGGTGATTAGCACTTCCGCCGACCTTCTTCAAAAGGAAGTTATCCATTGGCAGGTTGGAGTCTGAGAAGTAGAATTCGACCTGCTCGAATTAGTACCATAGCCACAACAAGTAATTCTGCTGTACAAACCTGTTTCCTGATCTCGTTATGATCATCAGTTACTTCCTGAGCGGTAAGATCGGATTTGATATTTTCGCGGTAGTTACGTCTGGGTCGCTCTGCTGGCTTCTTCTCGTCCTTTGATTCTTGTTCGGCTTGTTCTTTGCCGAGCTTGGTTGCTTCCGCGATAATACGAGCTTCTTTGGCAGCCTCATCTTCTTCAGCAGGAGCTCCTGACTCGACCTTCTTCTCTTCATCTCCCTTCAGCTCCGCGAGGAGGTTCTGAACATCTTTGGCAGCGTCAGCATTGCCGTTCTGAGGCGTCTCGGTGGCCTTGACTTCTTCGGCAGACATGATATGTAATCGAGCGCGCTTTGCGCCAAACGAGCCAATTCGGTGAAATTAGATAAATGACTTCAAACACTTGTTTTTATCGAACGAGGAAGAAATGCGCTTGCGAATATATCGGTGTCGCGATGAGTCAACGAAGAAGCATAATCGGCGCGATAAGAAAAAAAAGTACGCGGTGGTGGGGAAAATTTCAAAGGAACACATGGTACGAAAAGGGATTAGCGTCATATGTGCTCTTTCGTCTCCACCTGCCTAATTCAGTAATGTATCTGATGTGGTCTTTCGAGCTCTTCCTTGGAAGATATCTTGCAATGTGAAAAAGTTGCAGGCCTATTCGAGTTGCGATGGCCTTTGGAGTTGTGAATTGGATGTTCCCAGCAGGACAGCTACGAGGATGCCACCGGTGTGCTCCTTCCCAGATGACGGCACCAGCAGTATGTCCATCGGGAAGGAAGTCATCTTCCCTGAGTGCTGCTCTGCAACTGCTTCATATGGGTAGACATGCTGCTGACGATGTCCCCCTTTCTTCTCATCTTCCGATTCTTGTACGGGCTTCATGTCTGGCTTCCGGGCGTAGGCATCTTTTATCATCAAATTCGGAGACCCTGTACCATCTTTTCGTTTCAGCTATTTCCTTCGCTTGACAGAGATAGTGCAATCAATCGTTCACTGCCTCATGACGCAGACGAACCGCAACAGAGACTAGGTCTGACTCGGCTGTTCAAGAGAGAACCGGTTGCAGACTCGCACGATGGATGACTTGATGGAGTCTGCGCCTCCACGGCGAGGCCAATGGTTAGTTGCTGATGTGCGTCACGAGTGTCCTCAATGCATAGATTATCTTGCTGATTAGTCTTGTAGATTATCTACATAACGCTGGTGACGCCCCTCTTACTAGCGGCCTTTGTGGAATGGTTCCTCTGGCTCGCGGCATTCCTCTTCGGTCTTGTGAACGTGTACCGCAAAGCTGAACATTGGACTACTCGTGTAATTGCGGTCTTTATCATGACCGTCTTTTCAATTCTTCGGTATGTGTCTTGATCACCAGACTTTTGCCGTCCAACACATCTGACTCCTCTAGATCCATCTTCCTGCCCGTGATGATCGTCACCCTTCCTCTACCAACCAACATCACAAGCCACTTTTCCTGGGCGATGGTTAACCTCCTGCAATGGTTCGCCTTTTATACCTTCTCGGTGCTGCTCCTGGTTCCGTGGGCACTCTGCATCTACAGGCTCGTGACGAACGAAGTCGGCCGGGCCAAGAGAATCGAAGATGTTCTACACGACACCGTTTCCCCGAAGGTGGTAGTCGTCATGCCTGTCTATAACGAGGAGCCAGAAGTGCTGATCAGAGCAATCCGTTCTGTGGTTGGGAGCGACTACCCTTCATCATGCCTCCACGTCTTTCTATCATTTGATGGAGAGCCGTACGACGCACTATGGGATACCGTCTGCATGCAACTTGGAATTCCCCTGGGTATCAGTAAAAAGGCCCCGAGTATTGACACCATCTACCACTCGGTCCGTGTAACGGTTAGCAGGTTCCCTCACGGTGGCAAGCGGCATTGCCAAAAGAGGACCTTTAAGCTCATTGATCGTATATACGCCGACTACCTCAGTCAGCACGACGACTTATTCCTCCTTTTCATCGATTCGGATTGCATCTTGGACAAAGTATGTATACAGAACTTCATGTATGACATGGAACTAAAGCCGGGAAGTACACACGATATGGTAGCGATGACCGGGATCATCACATCGACAACGGAAACGATGTCGTTGCTGACCATACTCCAAGATATGGAGTATATCCATGGACAGCTGTTCGAACGCTCTGTTGAGTCTACCTGTGGTTCAGTGACGTGTCTTCCTGGTGCTTTGACCATGCTGCGGTTCTCGGCATTTCGCAAAATGGCCAAATACTATTTCGAAGACCAGATTGACAAGATTGATAACTTCTTCGATTACATCAAATGCCACCTGGGAGAAGATCGCTGGCTGACTCATTTGTTCATGGTTAGCACCGTCAAGCGAAACCAGATACAACTTTGCACGGGTGCTTTCTGTAAGACGCAGGCTGTACAGACAATGAGCAGCTTAATCAAGCAGCGTCGTCGCTGGTTTCTAGGATTCATCTCAAACGAAGTCTGTATGCTTACCGATGTGAGGATTTGGAGACGTTATCCTTTACTGTGCATCATTCGTTTCATGCAAGACACCATTCGGACCACAGCGCTGTTATTCTTTATCATGATACTTTCAGTGTCCACCACTTCCACTAGCCTTGCGACCCTGCCGCTCGGTTTCATTGCTATTTCCTTGGGGTTGAATTACGCACTAATGCTCTACTTTGGATATATCCTACACCGGTTCAAAGCGTGGTTGTATCCATTAATGTTCTTGCTGAATCCGTTCTTCAACTGGCTGTATCTCGTCTACGGGTGCTGTACAGCTGGTAAGCGTACTTGGGGTGGACCACGAACAAACGCACCCAAAGCTGATGAGCATACCACACCTCGTGAAGCTGCGGAACAAGCAGAAGCCCAGGGTGATGACCTCAATGTAGATGTTTCCACCTTCCGCGAGTATGGCCATGCCGCTGCAGGTGTGCCACTACATCCGGCGGAGAGTGTAACGGATCGTCTTGCCGTCGATCCAAGCCACAGCGGACCTCGCGACGCCCGTCTTGAATCGGAGCTTTCCTTGATGCGACATGATCGAGAAGAGTCTGCTATGCCAAGAATTCCTCTGCATCCACGAACTTCGTTTGACTCGGCGACAACTGACAGCTACTCGGTCACCCTTCCGCGGCCTGTGGAGAGCCTGATAGAGGAAATAGATCGAATAATGCAGGAAATCCGTGACCCCGACAAGCAGACTTTGAACAGTGATAAAGAAGAACAACCCACAACACCAGACTGGAGACAGAGTTTCCGTAACGGCAACAACCTGAGTTTCCCAGGCAGGCAGCGAAACTTCAGTCCACAATCTTCCCCAGCGATGTCAACATTGTCCCGTTTTGAGAGCGCATCGACGGATGTCAGCCCGGATCCTGTCAGGCAATTGACACCGTTACACATTACCCCTAGCCCGTTGGGTCAAAGTTGTCTCCAAAATACTGTTCCCGAGGATGACAACACAGAGCAAACTGTACGAGCACCATTATTTGGCGGGATTGGTAGAAGGTCCATAAGGAGGGGACGCCGGTTCTTCGCGTTGGGCAGAAAACCAGGAACGGACTGAGCTCAAGAACTTTTCTTTTGAGAAATTATGAGAATGAACGCTCTCTTATTCATATCATGCGAGTGTATACTTAGGACTTAGATTAGTTGTTACGACGCTCTTTTGGTCCGCCATCTATTTTTCCCAGACCTCGAAATCCATACAGTCTGTTTCGATATTCTTGGTGTTTTAGCCCCTAGTCTGACTACGTAACTAACCTAAACGCAAGAACACCGAGCGGCCCACCTCCATCCGGAAAACGCGCTATTTACAAATTCCAATCCTGAATTTCTAACCCAAATACAAAATAAATACAATTCTTTAACTAGTAGTACGATTTGGGCATCGATTGATTTTATGCCCGATAATCCCACATCCACTGCACTTCGGTGGCGCTCGTACGCGTGGTTGAGAGGCCTGATGCTCGGATTCGACTGGTACAGCCGAAATAGGTTGAGATGCCTCATCTCGACTAGTGATTAGTTCCTGGGCTTCCTGCGCTATAGGAGATCCTTCATGAGATATTTGTGCTCTAGATCTTTTACGTTCTCGCTTCTCCTTCTCAATTGCAGCCCGTAAATCATGCACCTCTTTCTGTACAATCAGAAGCTCATTAAAGCTCATTTCGTACGCTTTATACAGCCGGTTTATCGCTCGATCAATCATTTCTAATGGGCTTGTCGTACGCTCATTGATACGCTTCTTTAATATTGTCATTTGGCGCTTGAATTGACGTGGATTTTGAGGTGTTTGTAAGCAAGAAGATTGTGAATTGCTTGATCGACTAGGAGGGGGTGTTGGGGTCCGAAGCTGAACTGTAAGCTTTTGATAAACATGATCTGGATCAAATGGCACTAATCCGGTTGCTTTGAAGCCATTCTGAATATTTTCAGCTTTATATGCCATTGTACGAGCCTCTGGAAAAGCTGTAAGAAAGTCATATTTATCAATATGATCGAATCCAAGCCGTACGCGTTGGTCAACAAGCCGTCCATATTGCCGCTTTAGAACGGCAAAACAACCCACATTAAGAGGCTGCAAGAGATGCGAGGAGTGAGGTGGCATACACACTGGTATGATATTATTTTCAGTGCATATTTGATCAAATTGAGGTGTCAAATGGTTTCCATGGCCATCAAGAATAAGCATCCGATATCTCCCCTTCGTACGGCTTGTTGTATGAGGGATAAAATGTTTTTGAAGCCATCGTATTCCAATCTCATCTGTTGTCCAGCCATTTTGACTGATATCAAATCTCCAACCTTGTGGGAGAGTCTCAAACCAGCTTTGTTGATAATAGGTTGTTGCTGTGAAAATAACGTACGAGGGTAAAGCCCATCCAGCGGAATTAACTGCTTCAATTGCTGTAACCAATTCGCCATTGCCAGGTTGTAATAGATTAGGCCTTCCATATCGATCGCTGCCTGTAATAACCTTTGCAGCTGCACAGAGTCCCATAGCAAAGCCAGTCTCATCAAAATTGTAGATATCTTCTGGCAAGATCCCATACTCTGATATAACCTCTCGTACGCGATCAAAATATTCTTGAATTACCTTCAGACCTTCGCATTTAGCACGGTCGTAGTTATATTTCCGTGAAAACTTCGATTCGATCTCTGGGCGACGTTGAATAAGATTATATACCCATTTCTCTCCGACCCGTTGATTTCCACGTTGTGAAAGAAGATAATCAGCCATTTCTCGTACAAGAGAGTGTCGAGGAGGTAATCCACGTTTGTCTAGATCGAGTATCCATTTGACAAGTGATTCCTCTTCAGATTCTGACAGTTTGTGTCCGTTGGCGCGTGTTTGGGATCTCTGTTGAATATTATTTAATCTGTTGCGTAGAGTCGTCCGAGGAACATTATAGATTGTTGCAGCTCGATACACACTTGATAGTTTTCCATTTTTTAAATCGGAAATAGCTAATAAGATTCGTCCTTCTTGCTCAGCTAAATTCTTTTTATTTCCATCGCGAATTGGTGGCATATTGACGTGTCGAATTTCATTACATGGAATCAAAATAGGGTACGCGCCTGGAGTGAAACTGGCGGCGCTTACCGATTACGTTAACTAGTTAATTCAAAGCGGTGAGGACGCAGAGAATTCTGCCACCGGAAAGTGAGGCGGTGAGGCAGCTGGGCAGGCTGGCAGGCGCTGGAAGGTTCGATAAGACTCCAGAATCATCACTCTGTGATCCAGGCAAGCAAAGATTTAGACGGCCAGCCATTCTGACTCACCCTCCCACCAGATCACCGAGTTGACACGTATCCAGCTGCAGCCTTATGCGTTGAAAAGAACTCATCCACGTCGAGAAACGAGTAGACAGAAGGAAAAAAAGTTTCTACGCTACGGACAACAACAACTACCTGCTGGCTCCACATCGGCCACTCCACTTTGCTGGTGCAAATTCCTTCCCCTCCAACGACCATTATCAGATATAGCAACTTTTTGCATCTCTCTTCTTCCATCATCAAAGTCTTTGATTTCGATCCTCTTTCTCCCCTTTATTTCTCTTTCCCCTGTCATATATATCAACCGTCGATTGATATATTCGCGCCATGTCTGTGATCGGTATTGATTTCGGTGCTCAGAGCACTAAAGTTGGTGTGGCCCGCAATAAGGGTATCGATATCGTACGTACCTTCACTTGCCCCTCCAAAATTCATCCCCCATGATTCCACTGGATCCGAAAGCTGGGACCATGAAAAATTCATATGAGGACATGATATACTGACTGTTGATTTTTTCTCTACAGATTACCAATGAAGTCTCCAACAGATCTACGCCGTAAGTTCATTTTAAGCTCGCTTATCCCCTTAAAAATTCTGCGAACATGGTTACTGACGGCTATGCGATTTAGGACCCTGGTGGGATTCGGCCCAAAGAGCAGATATCTAGGTGAAGCTGCAAAGACACAGGAAGTCTCCAACCTCAAGAACACCGTCGGCAGTCTCAAGCGTCTCATCGGTCGCACCTTATCCGACCCGGATGTGCAGGCCGAAGCGGAGTACAATACCGCAACCTTCTGCGAGGTTGAGGGCCAGGTTGGTGTTGAGGTGAACTACCTCGGGAAGAAGGACAAGTTCAGCGCTACTCAGTTGGTTGCTATGTACTTGAACAAGATTAAGCAGACAGCTTCGAGGGAGATTAAGTTGGGTGTTTCGGACGTCGTTATCAGCGTCCCCGCATGGTTCACAGACTCACAGCGACGAGCAATGTTGGACGCCGCCGACATTGCTGGTCTGAAAGCTCTCCGATTGATCAACGACACTACCGCTATCGCTCTCGGATATGGTATCACCAAGTTGGATCTCCCTGGCCCAGAGGAGAAGCCTCGTCGTGTCGCTTTCGTTGATATTGGTCACAGCAACTACACAGTCTCTATTGTGGAATTCCGCAAGGGAGAGCTTAACGTCAAGGCCACTGCATGGGACCGCAACTTTGGTGGTCGCAACTTCGACAAAGCGCTCACCGATCACTTCGCTGATGAGTTCAAGGAGAAGTTCAAGATCGATATCCGTTCGAACCCCAAGGCTTGGGCTCGTACATTGACTGCTGCCGAGAAGTTGAAGAAGGTTCTTTCCGCCAACGCTCAGGCACCTCTCAGCATCGAGTCTTTGATGGACGACATTGATGTTCGTGCTATGGTGAAGCGTGAGGAGATGCAGGAGATGGTGAAGCCTCTCTTGGAGTGTATTTCTATTCCTTTGGAGCAAGCGCTTGCCGAAGCCAAGCTGAAGCCAGAGGACATCGACAGCATTGAGATGGTTGGTGGTTGCACACGTGTTCCTATCATCAAGGAGACTGTTAGCAACTTCTTTGGAAAGCCTCTCTCTTTCACTCTCAACCAAGACGAGGCTGTTGCTCGTGGTTGCACATTCAGCTGCGCTATTCTGTCTCCTGTCTTCCGTGTGCGTGACTTCTCCGTACACGACATTGTCAGCTACCCGATTGAGTTCACTTGGGAACAATCCCCCGAGATCCCAGATGAGGACACCAGCTTGACGGTCTTCAACAAGGGCAATGTTCTTCCTTCCACAAAAATTCTTACTTTCTACCGCCGACAGCCTTTCGATTTGGAGGCTCGGTACGTTAAGCCCGAGGCTCTCCCTGGCAAGGTCAACCCATGGATCGGCCGTTTCTCTGTCAAGGGTGTCCAAGCTCAGGACAACAACGACTTTATGATCTGCAAGCTCAAGGCTCGTCTCAACTTGCACGGTATTCTCAACGTCGAGTCCGGATACTATGTTGAGGATGTCGAGGTTGAAGAACCTGTTGAGGATGAGAAGAAAGACGGTGATGTAAGTTTATCCAACCAGTCGACAACGTCTACCGTACTAACTCATATCCAGGCCATGGACACCGACGCTGCTGAAGGTGAAAAGAAGACCCGCAAGGTCAAGAAACAAGTACGCAAGGGTGACCTTCCTATCTCCGCCGGCACATCTGGTCTCGAAGAGGCAACCAAGAGTGCTTGGACTGAGAAGGAGAATGCTATGACCATGGAAGACAAGCTCGTTGCCGATACCGACGAGAAGAAGAACGAACTTGAGTCTTATATCTATGAGCTCCGCGACAAGGTTGAGACCGACTACGCAGAGTTCTCCAGCGAGGAAGAAAAGGAGAAGTTGCGGGCTAAATTGACCGAAGCTGAGGTAAGTTTTTTTGGTCTCTGCATTCCGGAAAGATTCTTTACTAACGGATCATAGGATTGGCTCTACGAAGAAGGCGAAGATACCACCAAGGCAGTCTACGTCTCAAAGATGGAGGAAATTCGATTCATTGCCGGGCCCATCATCCAGCGATACATGGACAAGGTCGAGAATGAGCGCCAGGCCATTCTCAAGGCTCAAGAAGAAGAAGCCGCCAAGAAGCGTGCCGAAGAAGAAGCTAAGCGAAAAGCAGAGGAGGAGGCTAAGAAGGCCGCTGAGGGACAAAAGACGGAAACCCCAGACGCCGAGATGAAAGATGCACCAGCTGAGGGTGAATCTAAGCCTGATGTCGAATAAACGATAATATCCCATTTTTTCTCCCCGCATACATCTTTGTGTAACCCCCTGGATTAGAATTTGCAAGAAGACAGTGTTCTATTTGACATGATATATGATGCCTGATTTGCAATCACTATTATCCTTTTAATTCTTGGATCTTCCGTTCCTTTTTCCTAATGGATCAAGAAGCAGAATACAGAGCAGAACGGATTGTATCTCTCCTTAAACGACAGACTTTGATTTCATTCGTTCTCTCACACATAAAAACGGATATTTGGTGGTGGAGCCTGTTTATTTTGGTTCGTTTTTCCCCCCTCAAGACTTAGAATAGATTATTTTTCAATACACATATTGGTTTGACCCTAAATCTAAATCTGACTAAAAGTACTATATCTAGACATTGAGGCTGGACCCGCTTCAAGTCATACCTCGGCATAACCCTACGGTGAAGGCGGACAACGGTTATCGGCTGTCAGTTGTACTTAATTCCGCTTATTTCTTTGGTCCATCTCGTGTACATATATCCAAGATACTCCCTGGTATATTTCATCAGACGAGGAATAGTAACTATCTCTTCTCTGCGGACAGTTCTCAGGAATTTGTCTCAGTGTACGATCTTCATCTTAGGTGAGTCACCAAAGCAGCTTATCAGATGAAGCTTTCCCCGCACTTTGTCTCAACTGATTACTGACTTGATCCTCACTGATAGATTATATTATTTCTCTTGTCCTGTTCGAAGCACTGTGTATATACCACGGTCTCGTAAAAGCATATCACCATGGCTGTTGACCGCCTCTCATCGATCCTGAACCACTTGAAGCCAGGTCACTCTGGTATTTCGGCAATGTGAGTATACCTCCGCTTCCAATATCAAGATAATCAACTGACAAACCACTCGTATTCTAGTACAACGAAAAACCCAGACGATATCGTGGTTACATTGGCAATCCGAACTCCCATGACCAAAGCCGCCAAGGGAGGTTTCAAGGACACATCTCTTGACTTCATAGTGTATTCATTGCTGAAACAGCTCGTTGACCGGTCACAGCTGGATCCTGCTCTTATCGAGGATGTTTGTTTGGGAAATGTATGTCATCTATACCTCCTGTTGATAACTCACTGGATATACTAATAGAGTGGATAGGTCGGCGATGGAAGAGCAGCATACCTAGGACGTGCCGCTGCCCTCGCAGCCGGCATCCCACACACAGCAGGCGCCTCATCCGTCAACCGATTCTGCTCCTCCGGCCTCAAAGCCATCCACGACATCGCAAATCAAATCCGCACCGGCGCAATCGATATCGGTGTCGCACTCGGCGCCGAATCCATGACCTTCGGTGACCGCGGAGTCGACACTTTCCACGAAGAAATCCTCAAGAAGCAAGAAGCAGCCGACTGTCTACAACCCATGGGTCAAACGTCGGAAAACGTTGGTGACGATTTCGGAATCACCCGCCAGATGCAAGATGAGTATTCCGTGGAGTCGTTCCGACGTGCTGAAGTTGCGCAAAAGGCTGGTTGGTTCGATGATGAGATCGTGCCTATCACTACCAAGGTCAAGGATCCGAAAACTGGGGAGGAGAAGACTGTCACTTTGACCAAAGATGAGGGACCGAGGTATGGAACTACCTATGAGGCGTTGAGTAAGATTCGGCCTGCTTTCCCGCAGTTTGGGAATAAGACTACTGGTGGTAATGCCAGTCAAGTTACCGATGGAGGTAATTTACCCCTTGATCCCCCTGCGAAAGCCCAATCGTGAAGTCCTAATGCTGAATTATGATGTACAGCCGCCGCAGTCCTCCTAATGCGCCGCTCCAAAGCCATCGAACTCAACCAACCCATCCTCGCCAAATTCTGCGGTGCCACAGTCGCCGGTGTCCCTCCGCGAGTAATGGGTATTGGTCCCACAGCCGCAATCCCCAAACTTCTCAAACAATTCAACCTCAACATTGCCGATATTGATATCTTCGAAATCAATGAAGCTTTTGCTTCGATGGCTGTCTATTGCCTCAAGAATTTGGGTATTGAGCATGAGAAACTTAACCCCCGTGGAGGCGCGATTGCGCTGGGACATCCGCTAGGTGCGACGGGCGCGAGACAGGTTGTAACCATGTTGAGTGAGGCAAGGAGGACGAAGAAGAAGATTTTGATTAATAGTATGTGTATTGGTACGGGGCAGGGCATGGCGGGACTTTGGGTTAATGAGCAGATTTAATTGAGTGATTCATATCCTAATTTGATATTCGCTTGTATATACATTATGCTCATTACGCTAAAAATGCTTCCATATACAAAAATCATTAACATGTACATAATCAAGTCTCTCCTTCAGTATTAGACCCCCTCCCTCTCTGCTGCTCCCTCTTCAACCTATCCTCTGCAGCCCTAGCCATAATCTCCCTCCTACTCAACGCCGACGAACCCGTATCCCCTCCTCCCAAAACATATTCACCCCCTGTCCACCCACCATGATCAACCCATTCCTCACCACTCCTCTGCCCTTCACTCTCCCAATCCTGCGGATTATAAAACTCCTGATCCGACAACTTATGACCCCCCCTCGTCCAATCCCCCCGCTCAACTTCTTGTTCAATCTGTTTCGTCAAATCCCAAAATTGACGATCGTGTTCACTATGTACGCAATGCGCCAATTCATGACAAAGCGTTTTGCGGATTGTGCGATAATCTCTGTATCCGTCGTAGGCGTCTGTGCGTAGGCGTAGTTCGATGACTTCGCCTTTATTTCGGTTTAGACCTAATGTGCGTGATTCGTGTGTTGTATGTTCTGCCGGATTCATTTCCGTGAGTAAGGGGACGTAGAAACGATGTTTTGCCATGGCGAATTTTATGCCCGGGTCGTCGCGGAGTCGTTCTAGAAATTTTAGACTGCGTTCCGGGTTTGGAAGGTATGAAAGTGGTTCGCAGCGGCCGAATGTGTATGATGATGATGACGGGGAGGATATCGTATGTAAACCACCCGGTGGTCGGCGCGTAATCGGCGGATGCGGTTGACGACGTGCTTGTGCCCGTGCAGCTAATAGCTGTTTATTTGTTTGAATACTTTCATTCATAGAATCTATATCCGCTGGTTTTGCGCCGAGAAGAGTAATCTTGAGTTTTGGTGAGGAGAGAGGTAAATATTCGAGGAGAGGTACTGTATTTTCAAAAGGGGGCTTTTGTAAGCCCAGTTTTCCGGGTGCAATTAAAAGTTTTTGGTTTTCGATGGGGATTTGGAGGTCTAGAGATGAGGAGATGCTCGTCGCAAGGTCGTTGAGGGTCGCTGTGGCTGGCAAGGTGAATGTGTATGGTGATCCATGGTGGTGGATTGTAATGTTTATTGTTGATGACTTGTCGTGATCTGACATGGCGAATATATGTTCAACTGGCTGATGATATGTACAAAAGATTCGAAATATAGGAAAATGCGAAACAAAGCTCAAATAATAAGATTGAAGGAATGTTCTTAAGACGAAACATGTGATCGCCGCTTTGAGGTAGATCCGGCTTATCTCCGATAAGTTTGTCAGCAAAAAGAAGCCTTCGAGAAGGTGCTGCAGTCACGTGATCTCTTCTCCATTCCATTCCATTCCTATCAAGCTATCAACGTCGAACGGCCAGCTATAAGAAATATCTCATTAAGTTCACTAACGCGATGTATGTACTCGTCCTTGATAAGGAGAGCTGCAGGGCATGTCACTGGGACACTATTCAATCATTCGTGAAGTAGTACCGGCACCATGCAACCTTTTGATTGCTCTAACTAAGCACCTAGTCGACAGACCCCTCTGAAAATCTGAAATACCGTTCAGCATACAACAAGGCCCCTTTACGGAGTTGGCGCTTCATGTGGTTTTCTCCAGTTGACCCTTTCTTGTCATCGACCATGGCATAGAGACAAAGGAACAACTGTCCGGTCCGGATACTTCCGCTTATCAGCATGGCTGCCATGCAGGGAACCCAGAGTCTCGAAAGGAGTCGACTGTGGGATCTCCCACCGGGAATCATGATTGAGATTATGAAGTGGTGACTTGCGGATTTCTCGTGTCTATGCAGTCTCATCAATGCTTCGTCACGCTACAAGTCAATATTTATGGCATATTCTTGAGACATCGTTCAGGACAATGATCTCCAAGACTGGAAGAGGGTTCTGAGCGTGCTGTACTCCGAACATCAGCCGCCAGGGCAGCCGTTCCAGCCGAAGGAATTTGGGTCTCCCACATATTTCGAAGAACATATTGTCGTTCGAGCACTATGGCGATTACAAGTGTTTCTGGACATGAAGACCTCTTGCAAGGCCGATAGGCTGGCTCATTGGCCGGAAGAGGATCGCAACCACCTAGACACGGTGGATATCCCTGAAATGTCGCGCCTCTCTCGTGGTTCGGGGTGTAAGTGGCATACCGTGTGTGAGATGGAACAAATTCCCACCGTGGTGGACTTGATATACGACAAAGACGTACTGACACGCTTTTTGCGCCGCCCCCCTCTGCTTGTGCGCAATCACGGTTATCGTCTACCCTGTTCTCACAAGCTCAGTGCAGCATTTGGGATAACCCTTGGGCGGTGAGTGCTTATAGGTATTGATACCAGGATTGAAAAAAGAACGATGGGTTGCATATTCTACTCCATGATGACCAGCGACAAAAGACCTCCTTTAAAGAAGATTTCCTTCGATCCATGGCGCAAACTTGGATTTGCACTTTGGCAAACTGAGCGAACGGTAGAATTAGGGTTTCTGAGGCCCAAAGAATCACGCTATGGGCTAATGAACTCTAACGAATCATGGTTTATATGGCGGAGTATTCTTACACCAGAAGAAGATGTTGAAAGATGGATAAGGAATTTCCATCTTATGTAGAATATTTGCATCGCCCGGGTGCTCATTAATGTAATTCACTCTCACCATCAAGCTTAACTGCCACTCTATATCGCGGAGGCAAAGAGACTAAAATGTAGATGCTCAATTTTGTCTCAGAGGGAAAGTGAAAGGGAATAGGAACGTTGAGAATCTCCAGGGGTCAACTTGGGGGGGGGCCATATTCTTGACGAATGGTTGCTTCTGATAGCCTGAGATCTAGGTGCCCAAGGTGGCTAGTTGACCTTCAAGATCGAATGACCGATCTTTCTTTCTCGTTGGAAATCTAGCATGAAGTTATCTGACCGATCGCCTCCTACCTGATATAAAACCTGGCCGGCTCAAGATGCGAGAAGAACATGTGAACGCTATTATGTAAAAGCTTCATGTTTAGTCCTGGAATGATCATGTTTCTCTTTTCCTATTAGTGGAGAGAGATACTGCTCTCGTCAACTCGATACCCCAAACCATTTATCTCGCCGAAGAGAGTCCCGAGGTCGTTATTGTGATTGGCCGAAATGGTGCAGGGTAGTCGTAGCCTTGCACACCAATGTCCAACCTCACCCTTGTCAATGAAAGAATTCATCCGGATTCCTCCCATATCTTAATCATGCATCGCAGGTTTCTGATTTCGTATTTCCGGAGATCATTGAAATCATACTTGATCGTTCAAATTTAGCAGCAGCTTTTGATATTGATAATGTGCAAGAGTGGTGTCACACAGGACGACTACACTGGCATGGATCTGTGCCTTGCCGCTGGAAATGACGGCGGCGAAGTTCACATTGGATAGAGTCCATCCTTCGATACCCCAGCCAAGTACTGACCATAACTCCTATACTCTTGGGAGGGTTAGTGGTCACAATGTGGTCGTGGCTTGCCTCCCCTCAGGTGTTTCCGGAACTACATCTGCTGCAATTATGCTGGCCCACATGCTTCCAACATTCCCTTCTCTACGATTCGGTTTGATGGTGGGAATCGGGGGTGCTGTACCCAGCAAAACTGCAGATATCCGCCTTGGTGATGTGGTCATTAGCATGCCAACTGCAAACTCTGGGGACGTGACACAATACGACTATGGAAAGAAAATTCGTGACGGAGTTTTTAAGCGCACAGGCTCACTCAACAAGCCGCTTCAATATTGGCAGTATCCCAAATACGCAGTGACTCCATAACTGGATGCCCAAGATTGAGAAGACTTGTATCAGAAATACTTCAGAAACACGAGAATATCCGAGACCAATTCTCGCTCTCTGCCATGGATTGGCTATGCAAGTCAAGTTATGATCATGAGAACGAGAACGAGAAGATGGGCTGCTTATCGTGTGATCAGAACTTCAGAACCAGCTAGTAGACCGTCGACCGAGGGAAACCAGTGAACAGCTCATTCATTAAAATGGACAGGGTCATATTCTCTTTACCACTTAAAAATCGAGCTCGTTGAACAGAATACTCTTCTTCGGCAGCTGATACATACTTCCTGTGCTTGACTTGCTCTGGCTGTCTGATATGGTAGTCTTGCTAAGAATTATGGAAGCGGGTCTAAAAGATTAGGACTCTAATAAAAGCGTCTAGAATCCTCAATGTCTCGAGATAATATCGCCAAGGGCATACTCGGCATAATCGGTTAGCGTCTCACAGTACGCAGTGTCATCGACAAGCCTCGGAGCTCACCGAGCCTCTATAACATTGAATTACTCGTGCTGACTTTTTAGCCTGTAAGATTGACTGGATTCTAACCCTACTCCTAGGGGTCAAGGTGGCGCACTATCGACTTCGCCTGGCCGGTACTTATAGAAAAGCCAGTCATGTTAAATGAGAACTAAGTTCATGATATCATAACTATTTACATTGTATTAAATGTATATACCTTCGACCATCCACCAATTGCCTCGATAAAGCGGTTCGATATTGTTTCATCGCTTCGGTGACAGTATTTGAAAGCGATAGCCAGTCTCGTATTCTGTAGATTATCAATCGAATAGTGTCGATTTTATGTATGACAAGCAGTACGCACTACTCAATCTCGAGTTGGTATTCGGAGTGTTCGTGATGTGTTGCACAGTGCGGTGGATATGCAGCCATTCGTATGTTGTACTTCCAATACGAAATTGGAAATATACTGTGCATGTTGGTATTCAAGGTACTATACCTTCATAATCCATTGTCCCACGCTGGGACTCCATGTGTGACTACCAATTTGTACGTTAGTGTAACCTCACACCAAAAACCAGCCAAGCTTATGTCATACTTTTGAAAATGTGTCCGCGTGAGCGCCTGGACAGAATACTCCTCCGTCAACAACTCCTGATACTTGTACGGCACAAAAGCCTTGGTTCCTTCAAACTTGGACTGTCGCAACGGATACAAATCATCCGTTTGATATTCATGTTTATTCTTGCATTCCCACGTGTGCGGTTCATCCTCTGGATTAAATCGGCTTAATGCCGTGATGTCGACGTATAACCCATTACTGGTATCGATCCAGCGTGCGTCAATGATGTTGTGACCCGGTCCTCGGTCACGGAAATATGCCCATGGGTTTACGTCCAGCAAGTATTTGCGTTTGAATCTTTTATCGTTTGAGATGTAGCTGGTGACCGTTTGATTGAATTCTCTGGCCATGCGGGCCAGAGTTGTGTCGAGGACTTGGGTGTCGACGTCCCAGTCCCAAGGGAGCAACTTTCAACATCAGTCGATTTCACGTAGTGTGGCAAAGGACGAGAAGAATACCTACAGCGCCATTCCACCACCAACCCAACAGCGTCCCATGCGCAATCCATGTCTCGAGCTTATTCAATCGAAAGAAATCCAAATACGCAATCACCATATGATGCAGACTCTCCGCCCTTTCTTCCTCGGAGACCATTCCGTGGAAATATCGCACATCGTAATGGCCCAGGCGATCATCGGCGCCCAGTTCATGTCCCGCCGGTTCATGGAAGTACTTGTCCTCCAACGAGCGATCCAACTCTAGGTAGCTCATGCCATCTAGTACAGGCGGCGGTGGAGGAGGGAAAGGAGGTTGTTGTTGTTCCTTGTTTTCTGTGACAGGCGCACTAGTAACGATCTGCGACAGGCACGGTGACCCCATGGCGATACCGAATAGTATTCTCCGAATGCTCATTTTTTGTGCTTGGGTTTATTGGCATTTTTGTTCATGTCTAATGGGTCCGGTAGGTCATCGTATATGCACGTTAATTTGACTGAGAAACGACACGATTAACGAAGTACAGTAACGATGCTTCAAGATCATCGGGGAAACAGGTCTCTCGTCAAATATCGGGGGAAAAAAATAAAAAATAATAGAATATTTACATCGCTTCTACCGCAGGGGCTAGATTCCGGAGATAAAGGGTAGGAGAAATCCCTTGATAGGAACCAGTATGCCAAGACCTCAGCCAGAATTTTGAATGTACAGCTAGCCTACCGGAGAGACATACGTCGTTGCGTGCCTTGAATGTGATACTGAGTCGGTCAAGGTCAACCAGAAAACGAAACGCGAAATCCAGCGATTTCGGGGCTACTTAAAAGAAGGGCCTTGCGATTTAGCCTGCCTATTTTACGCACTAAGTATCTGGTTTTTGCTATGGCTCTTGTGGAAGAGCAACTGGGGCTGGCAACGTAGTAAACCACAGATACCAAGAAACCAGGATACAAGAACGAGGAGAAGCCAAGACCCTATATTTCCTTCATCACGTTTCCTTGATTTGACCGTTGGTCTTTAGGAGTAAGGAGCACAGACTGGTAGCATGCCTCGGTTTTCCCAATTAACTGACTGACAGGGTACAGCTGAATGTCTGAACAATGAGAAAAGACTCTGTTATCAATCAATCAGGAATTTGAAGACGCGCGTGCATGCCTGCCCAATCAGGTTAGCGGCCCAGAGCAAGATTAGAGGCGCCAAGCCACTCCGGCTCCTATCCGGAAAGATCGCTTTATTATTGGTCGGGCGTTTTATCGATTGGTCCAACTGGATACCCGGACCCATTCTGTCTCCACATCGGACCCATACGAGCTGTATCCACATAGTATCTGGTTGATGACGCGGTAGATAAAGGCTTATATACATACAACTATGTAGTACTACATACAAAAGCAGAGTTGCCGTTTTCGGGTTTCTAGACAGTGGCACAGTGGTTTAGACGGATATGGGTACTGATGATGCTTAACTCCGACCTGATTCGTGTCATATCGACAGCCTCGTCACTACCTACTCCGCTCGCCAAGACGTCTTAACGTAGCATCTGATCGATCGATAGACAGCCTATCGATTGGGAAATACGGACGGATTCGTTAAGAGGAACAGTCAGAATATATGTATTTATTACCCGGTCATTCCTAGTGCAATATCTAGGGCATTTGGCTAATGACTCGTGAAGCGTTGATTGCTTATGGTATATGGCTGAGAAGCAGCATGCTTAGGGTCCGGTATACGCGTCGAAACATGCATGATTTACATAACTTAGTTCACTGGTAAGTGAATAAAGGTGTCGACCAACCAATGAATTCTCAAGCAAATGATTGATAATAGTTAAAACATCGAGCTGATTAAAACCAGTTGCCAAAACAATTACGCCAATCCGTATTCCTCCTACCTACTTGTTAGCCAAGCAGGTTATTTTGCCAGAGTCACAATCCCAGCACAATATTACTCCATCGCAGCAAATCGGAAATCGTACAAGCAATTACTCTGAAAGACCTCGTTCAAGGCAAGCATCCCCGGGACAGAATCCTTGATGTAAAGGATTGTGGAATCACTTAAAGCGAGTTCATTGACGGTGATGCTCATCATCACTGCTGACCACGCTGCCCACCTCAGACCAGCTGGCAGGAGTCATTACTCCATCGGTAGGCTGTCCCCATTCACTCAATGTGCCATCCGAGGACAAACCGTCATGGACATGTTCGAGACTACCTGGTATCGATGATGTAGTCGATACGTCGTGCTCGACAAACGGGTTGGAAGATTCTGTAGAGGAATGTGACCAATTCGGATGAGCGTAGAAATACTCGGATTGACCGATCTCAGAGTTGTGCGTGGAATTTGATAAATTCGCAACTGAAAAATATTCCGAGTTCTCCATCTGGCCGCGATCCGACGTTATCTCACGAGTGGTTTCGGGAAACTCGGAAGTCGGGGTAAGATCAATTAGCGATTCTGAAGGGTGATGCGATGAAGTCTCAGATGGTAAAGCGATATGAAGACGATCCCGTTCCATAGCCTCTACCATTTCATGCTGAGCTTGAAGACGAGCATTAGTAAGAGCTTCCGGCTCTGGAGATCCACCACGCTTATGCAATGAACTCAGATTACTGGTATCAAGCGCCGTTGACTGCGCAGCCGCATGGTCATTTTCAAATATACCACGTGTATCGTCCTCACCGTCTTCAGTCCGTAATCTACCATCCTTATCCACCAACGCATCAAAACTGGTAGCTGCACTGCTAGACCGAGTACTCCTGCGTCGACGCGACTGATTGAGTTGTCGCCGTTGCTCTATCTCTTCTCGCGCTTTACGTCTTCGTTCCTCGGCTACTTCGCCGCTTTCTTCGGTCATGGAGATGTCCTCGGAATGCACTTCCCGTGGATGTATTTCATCGCCCAGGTTATAGAGGGCGACGGCTACCTTGCGGCGGGATTGGTTTAACCATCGTCGGAATTGGGGGCTTTCGTAGACTGCGATACCGGCTGCGACGAGGACGGATACGCCGATGATGATTCCTGTGACGATGTCAATGACTACACTCCTGAAACCGAGATTATCCCAGCCTGACATCATATCCTAGAACTGCAGGATAAGATTAACGAACCTTTTGCTAATGGAGCTGGCATAATGTCAATATGTCAAGTGTGCTGTATAGAACCATAGATGTTGCAGAGCAGAACAAAGTAGCTCGGCGGCAACAGCGACCAAAATGAGGTAGCCTTGTACGGCTCCTCCGGCTAATATGACGATCCGGTAAAGAGGATAAAATCAGCCTCACTAATCTAACACCACAGCCACAGGATGCAAGCCAGCTCCAATCCCAATGGCAATCCACGACGGTCGATGGTTTGAAGAAGGTTGAAGTTGACTTTTGGTGGTTGCCTTCTTAACCCCTCGGAGACTCGTCGGCTCACCGATAAGCCCGATAAGAGTGGATTGGATGATTAATCAACGGTTTTAACTGACTATCGGAACCCCGCTGCCGCCCCGCCACGTGATTGAATTAGCCCCTATCCGCTTGCCCTAAAACGCGTCCGTTTTAGTTTTGTACTTTATCCGCCGGCCTTGATCAACGAACCTCGACACGACGCATACACATGACAACGGCGTCGTTGTCTTTCGGATTTCAAGTACTCTATTTTAAGCTAATACAACTGTTCAATTTTCAACATGTCAAGTTCCACGCAACGCAATCTCACGCTCACGGAGGAGCTGGAAAGATTGGAGCAATCGATCACTTTGACCCTCCAAGGTACGCGTGAACACCATACTACCAGCGAGGAAAAATACTGATATCCATGCAGAAATTGACAGCAATTTTTCCCGTGCTCATCGAATCGTCACTACCAGTATCCTACCTATCGTTGAGCAGTACGCAGAACACTCCAAGGATGTCTGGGAAGGAGCCAAAGTAGGATTACAAACATTGATCATCTGTGAAGCATTCCGTAACTGACCGGGAAATAGTTTTGGAAACAATTCTTCGAAGCAAGCGCCAATGTCTCCCTATCAGGCTACGAAGAAATGCCAAACGAGGACACAACAACAACCACAGACCACGAGCAAACGGTAACCGAAGACTCGACCAACATGACACAGACAAGTCTGGACGATGAAGCTGTATCTTACCAAACTCCTTCATCCGAACATTTGGGTCTGGGGCATCAACTTCACCATGATGAAAGCGAATTGGATATTTCGGCACTTACTATTTCTCCTTCGCACAGTACGCCTCGACCGCGGGCTTATGTAAAGGGTGGTGAGACTCCTACGACCGGTGGATATCCTGCAGGCTACTCTGAAGACGAACCTGATCGCGCTGGATATGACGACTCGGCCCTTCCAGAGGGTAATAACGACAGTGGGCTAGTCACACCCGGAAGACATACAAACGAAACACCAATGTCCTCCCCCTTCATCCCACCGCCCACAATCTCCCGTACAACCCAACCATCAACCTCAAAGAGACCAAATACGAACAAATATCAAAAACCAACAGATCCCGTCTTACATCATATCCTCGACAAAACATACCGTGTCCAAGCCACACCATTATCAAAGACATACAAACCAACGAAATTCTCCGTTAGCACGCCCAAAGAGAAAACTTCCGACAATAAGAAATTGAACTACGATGACTCGCCAATCTCTAGTCCTGAGCTTGAAGCTCCGAAACTAAGTGAAGAACTATTTGCATACAGAGGATGGAAAGGCGCAGGGCCAAATACACCCGGCACAAATCGAAAGGCTTATCGTCGTAGTCCTCAGAAACGGACACCGAAACCTGGGATTAGTGTTTTGACGCCTGCCAAACCTAGACTATCACTTCTAAGCAAGGACAAGAAGAAGAAGACTACTACAGGCGGTTGGGAAAGTGACGAGGACAATTTTGATGATGATGATGATGAAGATACAGCCGCAGCATTGGGATTTAGTCCTCCCAAGACCATGCAATTCCATATTCCACATAGTCGGTTAATGAAGACGCCCGGTAAGTTTTATTTGCTATCTTGATACTGGAATTGTCAGGCTGATACGTAGAACAGCCAAAGAAGCGTCCAAACGCATCGTATCGGATCTTCTTGCTACAGCAGGTGGTGGTACGGGGACTACATCGGATGATATGACGGATGATTTTTATAATAAGTATCGAGCAGTTGCGGACGAGGAGCATAGTCCTACCGTTGTACGGAGTGGAGGGCGATTGGAGGATGATACTTTCTAGAACAGAAGTTAGATATGTCGCTTGCTTACTACGTACCTATGTACAGGGCCATATACAGCTAGCCAGAATAACATTATACTACTTCAGAAAATTCAGAAAATAATCAAAGAAAAGAAAAAGAACGACCAGCGCTCTCTCAATTCTCAACTCCTTCTCCCCCTTTCAAAAGAGCGAGTAGAGCTTCCACAAGACTAAAAATGGGACTAGATCATGGTACTAAATAACATGCAACGAAGAACGAATAAAAGACAAGGCAAAACAAAACAGAACTAGGCAGGCAAGGAAAAAGAAATTTTGTGAAACATATAAAAGGGTATAATCATGAAAAATAAATACAGATACTGAATCGAAGAAAGGGACAAAAACAGGGGGGACGCCTCCATTGTGCTGCTCATGATAACGCTCATATGAGAAAAATAAAAAAGAAAAAATAAAAGGGGAAACAAACAGGTGGCTTTGTGTCCATGACTATCCAAAATCATAGCTCGAGTGGTTCGGCTTTTGTAGAAATATTGGTTTGGCCCGCGCAACGCCATCCATCATCCAGAGGTGATAATGATACAGATCCAAGGCGAGTGTCTACATGAAGATCTCTTGACAGTTCTCCACGATGAACTTCAAGGCTTCATTCTTCTTCTGGACGTCCGTCATCTCTCGGGCAATGTCCTTTGGTCTCATAATTGTTGGAGCAAAAACGACCGCGATGTTTTGACTGGTCATAAGGTTCGTCTTTTCATGTTCCACGACGCGCTTCAGGTGGAAGATGAGAAATTCCAGCACATCGCGATGAACTCGTGGAAGCCCATCGAGTGATGCACGCAACGCCTCGACCCGAGCGGATTGCCCAGAAACCTCATTTGTCTCAATGACACTATCGTAGATCTCGTGTGTGATCAACGGCGTAGGCAACTTGCGGAAGTACTGCTTGAGAGCGGATGTGACGGCGTGGATATCAAGGTCTGGATCAGAAATGTCGTAATCATTTGCGTGCTCGAATCCTTCTCGAATAATCTGGGTGACGGTCGACGCGCCAGATTTACGATAAATGCCCTCTTCATCCATTCCTACAGGCTGTCAGTAAAGCTCAGCACAAAAACATGCCATGGGATATACCTCGCAACTCAACCTCTTGAATGCAGCGTGTTACGATGGAAGGGATGATGCTCTTCTCCTGCTCTAGGCGTTGTTCCAAATCGACACCGAAAAGACCTGACCGAAACCGTCAGTATAACTATCAGATAAAAACCAAACAAACTTACTCTCGCTGGTCAGAGCAGCATCAACCAACGCTGGTGAGCTTCCATTTGTCTGATTCTTCCAAGCAGCCTGTCGCTTCTGATTTCCAAAAAATCCAAACCTGGGCTCCTGAGTTTGAGACCGTGGCAGTGGCGGGTTGACTCCCTCGACTTGCTGAACTGTTCCGTCGGGACCGATAATCTCCTTTTCGCCCGAGAAGGCTTTGAGTCCCTTGGAAACACCCTTGGCCACACTCTGCCCTCCTCGTTTCCAGTTGAATTTACGCACCTGTCCTTTGCGGATACTGACAACCTGGGGTCCAGGAACGATAGTCGCAGGCTCGGCCTCGTCTTGGATCGTCATGGTGGAAACTGACGAAGCAAGATCGGCGGCCTTGGAAGCATCAACAGAACCTGTAGATTTTTCTTTGTTGTGAGAGTAAACGCCTAACCCATTTGTGGAGCGTGTTGATTCTGTGGCTGAGCTGGCTTTGTAAAGACCTTGAATCTGATTCACGAGCTGATTGTTCAATTCTGCCAATTGTGCATTCTTTGAAGACAGCTGTTCAAACTCTTGAAAACTCTTATCTTTCATGCGTGAAAGATTTGCCACTTCCTCCACGATGTCATTTCGGTTTTGCATGAGCTCTTCAATCTGTGGAGCAAAGGAGTCTTTGAGCTGCTGCAACTTTTCTGCAAAGCTACGGACAACACTGTTTGTGATTTTTTCCAGATCCAGAGGAGCAGCGCCATGCTTTTCTCTATCAAGATGTTCTGTGATTGCAGCAAGTTCGCGCATCACCACTTCCTTCTTGGTATCTAAGACCACCATGGTTGATCGCTTCTCGCGCAATTCAGTGTTGGCTTTTCTGACATCTGCCTGAGCATTCAATGCTCTCTCCAGCTCCGCAATCTTCTGGTCTCTTTCTACTACTCGCTGGCGCTCTCTGCGCAGCTCACCCCTTAACCAACTCATATCCTCCCGTTGTTCACTTGGAGAAGCGGTGTCAGGGCTGCTGACATCTTGCGCAAAAGGGCTACCAATGACTGGAGATTTAGGCCACTTGCCGTCCTTAGACATGACCGAGCCCTTATCACTATAGCTCCGACCATGGCGCACAGAGTTCGTCATCTGTCTCTTGAAGGATTCACGTTTACCTGCCTGGCCCTCGGCTCCTAGGATTCGAGCTAAATCTTCGTCCAGCGAAAAGTCACCGCCGCCACTATAACGCAGCAATCCAGGTGATGAATTAAGGTTATTCTTGACACCATCCGAAAGAGAAGGAGCGTGCGACCCGTTACGAGTGTGATAGTTGTCCAAAGAAATCGGTACGTTGGTAGGTTCTGCCGAAGCATTTCTTGATCCTTCTGATTCATCTGACATATGAGTCAGTTGCCGAGAAACACCAGATGGTTCCTTTGAGTCGCGGCCTTGTTCTGTAGTCACTGCCCCCACATTCGTCTTCTTTTCGACCTGACCGGATGGAGATCTAGGAGTAGAGCCAACATCCTTACGCTGGATTTGGCTAGAAACGAAGTGCTCCAAAGAGTCTCCTCGTTTTGGAGGGAACTGGAGTGTGTTTAACTTTGGGAAAGCTCTATTAGCATCCACACGATTAGTCTCGATTTCAATATAACTGTTACGATTCTGTCCGGGTGATCGCACTGGCGGCGAGGAAATGGATACTGAGGGGCTTGTGGGCTTTTCCGTAAAGGACTGGGGCGGCTTGGATGATTCGGATGAAGTTGCGGTAGCGGCTCCGGGAGAACCTGTTGATACAGACGTTCCTTCTTTGGCAGTGTGAAGGTCGGACTTGGAGCTATTGGTTGAAGCAGATTTCCGCCCTCTCGGCGCTTCCTGTAATTTGAATCCATCACTGCTGTCAGTCTTCGTCTGAGCGACTTTCGGCGTTGGCTCTTGTCGCCAGCGGTTCTGATCGGTGGTGGAGTCGCTGGGTTGGCGCTCTTTTGCTTGGAAGGCAATATGAGGGGCAGATACTTGACTAGTTTCTGTACGGTCAGCCGAGGCCTGGCGAGAGGACGTTGCTGGATGTGAATTGTCCATGTAGTCTCGTGGATGGCGAGTTTCTTCTGGAACAGGTTCACTACGCGGCGTCACACGTTCTTCAGGTGTGGGATCGAATGCGACTGGTATTAAGAACTCTCCGGCATCAACATCCGACCTTGTAGACATGGTGGACTGGCGCTTGTTCCCATCGGGGCGGTATGCACTGGAAGGGAGGATAAGATTATCTACTCGGCTGTTAGCACTTATCTGTCTTCCGTAGTGGTATGCATTCTGAGAAGTGGTAGTAAGAGCAATTACCCTGATTATGAGTAGGTTCTGGTTGCTGAGCGGGAGGTTCCTCAGAGCGAGTACGGCTTGACGTACGCTCATCCACGGGATAACCACGGCCAGGAACGTCTGGGGAAGCAGAATACTCCCTGGCCGGTAGTGTCTCAGGCTCGCGATTAGCCCGAGCATCTTCCATAGTCGGTGGTAGAGACGGAAGCGATTTGTCATATATAGTACTTGGCTTTTTCGCGGCCGTCTTTTTCTTGCGACGTCGCTGCATAAGTGACTCGTGGCAGTCCATGCAAAAAATACCCTGGGACGTCCTCGCATAGCGAAGGTTTTCGATTCTCCGCTTGCAGTTTCGACATTTGAAGCAGTTGGCACAGAATGCCTGGTCGCCCGTCAAGATGGCCAGATCCTCTATCTTGTTCCCGCAGGAGCTGCAGCTGTATGTGCAGTTGCTGCATATTAACGAGCCGTCGCCGAGCAGTAAGAGATGAGCGTCCGAATCTAAAAGAGTGTTACAGGTGTTGCATCGGAAACAATCGATATGCCACCTATTGCCCGCTGAATACGAGTTAGCAAGGAACAGTGATAGCCGTGATATGAGATTTACCTAATTCAAATGCTTTTCCTTCCTCCAGAATCTAAAATTACACTAAGATCAGCGAAACAGTCTCGTGAGAGTATATGAAGCGGTATATACCTCTCCACAGCCCTTGCAAGGATAGGGAATATCATCCTGATCCATAGCGGCATCAGAGAAGCCAGCCGGGGACTCCATCTTGTTTTATAGATTTATTCCTCAAACAGCTCTCGAGTCAGTGAGCGCGATCGTTTTCCACCGCCAACGACACAAATAGACACAAGATGAAGACTATCGAACGCCCGCGCATGGAAGGGGTGTCGTAAATCCCGTGTACTTTTTACGAATCACGGAGTAGCGGGAGACCCTGGTACGAGATTGGTAAATGATCAGTAATCTTGACAACTTGATAACTTTGACAGTGAAAAGAAGACAGAATCAACAAGCGCGCAAAATCCCGGTAAAAGGGTTTTGGCTGTGCCTTGTGGGCCGGTACGTATCATGAAACCGTCCAGGTAGATAGATATGCGCATGACGGATTGCCGCAGCAAGAATGCTCGGGAAAGGTAGTACGTACTGCACGAGTAGAGAAGAAGGGAGGCAAATTCCGCCAATTGATGGCAATTCAAGAAGACTATAAAAAAGAGTGTTCGGCTTCGACCGAGCTGTCCAGTTCGTCTCCCCACGAAAACCCCAGTTGTATTATTAAGGAGGGAATTGATTTCGAAGGATGAGCGGCGTGGGCTGTCGTCGAGTCAGTGCGCGCGCACGGCAGAGGGATTCCGGCCCAAGTCAAATGAACGAGGAGGTTTGATATTATATTCTGTCTGTTTATTTGAGTATGTATAGAGGCGTGGAATCCAACAAAACAGAAAGAAAAAAAAAAAAAGAAGTTAATAGAAAAGGGTAAAGAGAAGGAGGGAGGGAGATTGCTGTGGAGGTGGATGAATTGGCAGAGCGAACGTGCCAATTATTGACGTTCTGGACTCTGCCGCCTGCGCTTGCCAAGTAGCCAATGCTAGTATTTTGTCTAGTATTTCCTACTAGCATATCTCTACCACATCTTACTAACTACTAAACTACGGTCTTTCTTCGCAATAATCATAGAACAATACACATTGTCCGACAAGCGGCCCGCTAGCTGTTAGTACGCACTCACCAAGGCAGAGTCGACAAAAGGAGTGATAGTTTATAGAGCATCGTCCCATGGTCCTCAGTGGAGCAAGTGAAACAGTTCGATATTCGTTATTGTTAAGCTGCTATTCGACTATGGACGGAGGATCTGCGCCGCAGTCAATATAGCACCATAGTTAGGTCGTATATGCGTACGTAGTAGTTCGTCCCATAGTCCATCGCTAGTTCCAGGCACATAACCACCCTCGGAAATAATACCCTATGCAGCATGCCAGGTTGAAGCTGGATAACTCGGTACGAAAAGATCTGGCTGTGTTTCAACATCGAAACCACGAACGAGCAGAGGGGCACGACGTTGTTGTGTAAGGGGCGATAGACAAGACGGCGCGATGATCCGGCAGGGCGAAGATGACATGCCGTGCACATCATCAATTAATCTTTGATTTGATGTAACTGATTTTCCTCGATAAATTATTTTGTTATTATTGAATATATTATTATTACCTTATGATCCGACATTATTAACGGCGAGGGTTCCTGTGCAATCAAAGTGATAGCCTTAGCTACGTTCCGATATTCTTAAAAAGGATCTCACGCATCTTACCCCTGACAGCTGGAATGGATGAATTCTGACAGGAACATTCCAGTTCTTGTATCAACGAACGTACGTACAAGACAATCTCGACTCCAGAATGCACGGAGTAAGAAAATCTGTAACTCCCTCGCGAGCAAAGTCAACTCGAAGGACAACTCACCCTGAAACACGCACGAGCCCGCGTCTACAACTGCAAGCCCCCTACGCTTACTATTTAAGCGGCTAGGCTAGGCTGGGTCCTAACTCCAGCCCCATTCCTCGCTTTGGGTGGAATTTATGCCCTGGCGCTCCAATCACCTCTCCGTATCTATCGTCTGAATAGGGGCATCGTACGGTCTGTGAGTTGCTATTTAACTCAGGTCTTACTTTAAATATTTATATCTATCTAATTAACTTCGTTATTCCGAAATTAATGGCGGTTATTGGTTAAGCGGTCTGTGTTCTAAAGATCTACTCTATCATAGGGAGAAACCTAAGAATATGCAGTTTCAAATATCTTCCAATCACGACCAGCAAACTGTAAAGAAAAAGATGAAAATATTTTCCACACATTGGCTGAATAGAGTCTCCGCTAGCCTCCGCTTTCCCTACTGCGAGGTAGTAATATTGTGGTTTCATCTTGCTGCTCACGGTTCGCCGGTTGATCAAGACGACAGGAGCTTTACTCCCGGTTTGTCATATAGCCCTAACTCGCTCTAACGCAACCCTAACTTAACAGTTACATACGTACACCCTCTTCTGGCATAGCTTCCAATTCTGAAGATATGTATGTATGCAATCAGGTTGCTTACAGATGGCAAAGATCACATGCACAGAACCTTAATGCCGTAGACTTGTACAACAACAACAGCACCATCATCCTCCAAGATCCGTAACTACATACGTGGGACAAAAGGGCAAGCTAGTTTCCATTCTTAGTACAAATCTAAATGCAAGACATTCTTAGTGTTTGAGTTTCAATGGTTTGCTTGACTTAATCCACTTTAGTTTCCCCTGACTTACGTTAAGAGTCGATACGTAGTCATACAAACTCGGAGAAGACTGCTATCGTAACCTTACCTAATTTAGTTCCGACAAAAGCAGCGATGCTCCCGTCAGCCTCTCGTCCCAGGACGGAAATAGGTTTTGGTGAGCTGCATTTTCGGGGATAAGTATAGAGGTAGAGTTACGTACATCCATCGGATCACAGGCACAAGCTGATACCTAGGTACGAAGTACGGACATTGGTATATTTGACTGTATTCTTGTTTTTAGGTCTGTCTTTGTCCTTTTGTAAGATCCATGGCTTGTTCCTAGAAAAAGATTGTAGACTTTGCAGAAGAACAATATTATATTATCATTTGAAAGACTCACTCCCTATCTCTAGATAGTTGGAAAAACAAACTCCACGCTAAACAGAATGCTTTTATCATAATCACAACGCATCACCAATAAATAATAGACCTTGCCAGAGACAAGAAGCAAAAGAAAGTACAAGAACATGAACAAGACATCGCCTACATCATGGTCAAATAGCCTGAGACGACTTCTTCGCAATAAAGTAGGTCAATAAATTACGTTGATCGTTCCCAGCAGGATTGATCATGCGCCAAAACATCTCCTCATTCTGCACCATGTCATGCAATTCCACACTAAACTCAGTAATGGCTCGTCTGACATCTGGTTGTGATTGCGCAAGACTGGCGTTTGCAAACCGGCCTAAGCGTTCAATCTCGCCACTGTTCAACTTCCTGTGGTCTTTGTTGAGACGCTTGAGTAGCCCAGAAAGAATATAGATACCCATTGTGATGGCGCGATCGCTTTCGTCGTCATGATTTTCAGTCTCAATCAGATCAAGAACGGCGAATATTACATCCACGGCCTCACAGGAAGCAATGACGTCTTCGGCCGTCTCTTCAAGACCGCTCACAATGTGGTGGGTAAGTTCGTAGTTTTTGCGTGTATTAAGCAGTGCAGTCATCACCCGGGGATAATGATCTGCAAAGTAGGCTCCATTGTACGCAAACATGAGTCGGATAGTAACCAGGATTTGTATCTTGAGATCCATAGACTTAGGTACCGATGTTCGCTTGTCATCACTGGGGGCTTCCAAAGCATCAAGCAGTCCCAACAACATCTCATCATACTTTGACTCGTCAACAAAAATCGAGTCGTGGTATTTGATAAGGCCCTGCAGTTTGCGGTAGCCATGTACGTCCAAGGCCTTCGCTTTGATGCGGGAAATACCCTTGTCGATCATTTCTCTGGCTTTGGCTGGATCCTTGGACCTAGGACTGAGACTTCGACGTCTCTCAGCCGCAATCTTTCCCAAAATTCTATGACTGATCTGTAATTGGCCTGGTGACGCGACATTGGCGTTGAGCGGACTGGGCGTCGCTGCCTGCTGCTTCACTACGCGTGGCGTGGCTGCGCTAGGTTCGTTGACAGGAATCTCTTCCAAAACGGGCTTTTTATGGGCAACTGGACTCTGAATAATGTTATTGGGGCGAGTCATCTCAGGGCTGGCTTTTGATTCTGGGTCTTCATATACTGTGAGCCCAGCCGGTCGTGGCTGTTCAAGTACTAATGACCGAGGGGCGATAGGGCTTGGGATATGGCTTGGCCTATCTTCGCTTCCCTGACGTGAATGACGTGCGCGAGGCGATACCAAGACTGAAGGTGTGCCATTTGTTTCAACACTGTTTGTTCGCGAGTGTATGATAGGGATGCGAGATGGAGATGTAACTGCACTAATGGAGGCACGTAACTCATGTCCCGCGACTGGCGGTTCTTCAAGCGTCATCACATCGTGCTGCGTTTGCATGATAGGCGTGGTAGGTGTGGGAAAGGCCTCATGATCATCTAATACAAGCACATTCGACTGCTGAACAGAATGATGATCCTCAAAATGCGGCGATGGCTCGAGTGCCTCATTCTCTATTGTGGGATGCAGTTGAGCGATATCGTCAGAGTCACTGCGAGGCCCAGCCCCAGAGCGGAATTCCCCGTTCTTCAAGCTTGAAATATCGAGTTTCTTAGGTTTATTCCTAGAATTACTGCTCACCGGGGCAGCACCAGCTCTTGATTTGGGCCGTGCCGGTGATCTAGCACTGGGCGTAGCGACTGATTTCGGTCGTACTTTTGCTGGACTAACCTCTGGACTCAGCGGCTTCCTACTGGAAGCTGCACTCCCTGGTCGTCGGTCAGAGTATGGATCAGCCGTGGCTGGTCGTGTAAGTTCAGGTCGTCGTGGCTTTACCGCAGGCCGCATAGGAGCAGACGATAGGGAAGAAAGATGGGTCCCAGTTGGAACAGTCCGTACACTGCTCGCAGACTTGGTTGCTGCCGGAGTACGTGTGGTAGGGCGCGTGGGCTTCGTGTCAGTAAATGAAGATTGCGCTGATTCGGGTCGAGGTGGGATGCTTTGAGGGACATTCTTAGCAGCAGCAGCACGCTTCTGTGCTGCGATGGTTTCTTTAAGAGTTGGTCGCTGAGAAGGTGCCGAAACACTACTTGCCAAGACTGGGCGAGAACGACCTTCTGGAGCAGGTGCTGCATTGGGGTTGTGAGGATCCTTCTCCAACAAGGTTTTTGATTTAGCATCCAGTGTTGATATGATTCTGTAGAGTATTAGTTCAGATCTGCATGTTCAAGAACTGGGAATCCATACTCTTCGGCTCGATCAGGCCAGATCTTGTAGAAAGTCCAGAAAGTACCACGCATGCTCTCTCGGACTCCTGGATTTGGATCGCCGAGGCATTTCTTGATACATTTTTCCACAAGATCAAGGCCGCCACCGTGCTCTATTGAGCTTTTATGGCGGGCCTGTTTGTTAAGAAGGGTCTTCAGCCAGCCCGCGGCGAATAGACGGGGTTGAACATTTTTGTCCTGACAAGCGAATGACAGATGTTGAAGGATACGAGGAACGTAAGTGACGTTCGAGATGATGGCATCCACGGTGGCGTTAGCATTCTGTGCACTGATCTTCTTCATTCCAGCACATAACTTTATCATATTCTGCAGTAAAATCTCAACCATGTTATCAATCCCTGGTCCACACACTTTCGCGATTTCTTGGATGAGGAGGCAGCCTGTAGTGGATAATGTTGTCCGCAACGAGTTTACCACTTTCAAAATCCCATCAAGAAGGCTTTTGATACCAGCAATGAAATGCTGAGAGTATGTTTGAGGAGCGTTGCCTCGGACAAGTCTCCGAAGGGTCTCGACCGACTTTTCACGAGGAATCCAATTGTGCTCTGTTTCCCTACCCTCAAAGTGTGGCAGCATATTTCGCAGCATATCGTCTATTTCACGATTCGAGTCCACATAGAGGGGTTCAATGTATTCACCTTCCAAAGCAGCCGAGGCTGAAGCAGCTAGAGAGTCAGTACTGATACTATGAGATAATCCCGAATGTAAATCAATTTTTGGAGCTAGTCGAAGAGTATGTTCTGAATCTGTTCGAACAGAAGGTTAGAATAGATAGTGCAAGGAGTTTAGGCAATCAAAGTCACCTTCTCGACCAATAGCAGCGCGGCTCTGCGGGCGTTGGGAGAGGACAGAAGTCGGTCGTGGAGGATCGTCACGATGGCGAGAAACCGCAAGACTACTGCCAGGGCGACGTGTCTCCGAGCGGCTACTTGCTAACACATCATGGTCCGAAAGCCCTAAACTTGAGAGAATTGCCGCAACGATAGACTTGCGCACACCATGTTCGGACAGTTGCCGTTTCAGGTCAGATTTAGCTCGAGATGGAGCGTTTCTGGAGGTTCGACAGGAATTAGTGCATTGCGACAGAATAAATCAGGGCACATAGTAACGCACTGGAATATCTCAATGATAGTTGTCTTTGCAGTATCTCGGACACCACTATCAGCATCCTCTAAAGCAGCAACAAGCGACGGTACATGCGCGCGGAACAAGATGTTATGTTCTCTCGTCATCTGTGATCGATTACGTGAGTTGCACGTTGCATAAATTCACCGAAAATAAACTCACAGTTACTAGCCAAATCATACTCATCTCCCTGGCGCGCGCATTCTTGCCAACCAGAGCAGTCCCAAGAACATGGGCCTCCACCTCTTGCGGGGCCGCAATCCATAGATCGGAGAAAGCCTGAGAAGCCTGAGTGCGAAGGCGCTCCTTGTGGTCTCCGAGGCGCTCTAGGCATATCGGGTACAATTGACGGGCTTGAAAGAGTACCAAATGGTGGTTTTCTTGAATGTACAATCGCTTGAGGAGATGGGCGAGTGTGGAAAATGCTGCGGACGATAGGGAAGAGTGCTGGGCGGAGATTGCAAGTCGCAAGCTCTCGAAAAGTGGAAGCGCAGCTGGTTCGGGGACATTTTTCTGTTTGATTTCGGATTTGATATTTGTGAGCGCTGCGATCTTAGCGTCGATCGAGACGTTTGGGTTTTTCAGTGTGTTCAGTAGTTCTGTAGCTCTGGCCTCCATTGTGGCTATTTACTGTTATCAGGTCGTCGGAAGGAGAAACGTATGCTGTGTATGCGGATAGCACATAAAGGGCAGGTACAACGATCTTAGTGTTTTGAGATCACTTTCGCAGTCGCAGATGATGCGACTGTTGAAAGGAGACTTGAAGCCGCGGCGACAATGGAGACTCGTTGAGGCTTATGTCGTGGGTAGTTCTGCAACGTCAAACAGGTCAATTCCGGTCGAGTGAGCGATAGCAGTAAGTATAATGCTTGATTATTTTGAAGTGATGCGCTGCTTCAATATCGCCGCGGGGCGATGCTTCACGTTTGTTTGTTTTGGCCGTATGCGATGACAACGCGGTGAGCTTTGACGGAGGGCTTACCAATGGTAGTCGCTATCGCTGGTAGTCGCTATCGCTGGTAGGCGCAGTAAATGCGTATGTCTTGTATATGTCTCTTTTGTACAGTCCGTAATTGCTGTTGGACGTTGTTCAGGCTGTTCAGAGCAAAGTCGAGGTTGTTCAGACGTCAGGAGGTTGCCCCGGTGGTTCTGTTGACAAAGGGAAACACCGATTAGCCGCAAGCTTGGCAAAGTCACTTAGTAATAGAGCCTCTTGGCGCGATTAGCAGAGACGATCAAGCTGGTAAGAGTCGTAAGACTACAGAAATCTCAATATGTTTGGAGCAGAACGTTTTGTTTTCAGTTATTCAGGGTGATTTCAATTGAAGGCAGCTGTTGTGGTCTGGCAACCACTTGGTGCCTTAGGCGATGCGGGGTTTACAACAGCCTATCAAGGTCAACCGTACTTAGGTTATGGCTAACCTGTTCATCTTAACAGCCTAGTTGTCAGCTATCTCTATGAGGGTATCTCAAACTGATCCTTTTCACTGAATCCACCCAATTTTGTTGGTTGAATTAGCCAGCTTGGTGCGGAATACGTCTAACTACCCCGAACGACTTACGACCGCGATTATCTGCGCGCTGCCTCTAGAGACAGAAGCTGTCGAAGATCTTTTTGACGACGCCTAAGACAGATTCAGCAAGCTCTACAAGAAGCAACTCGGAAATGACAATTCATATGTAAATGGAAGGATTGGGAGGCACAACATTGTCCTATGCTATATGCCTGGAAAAGGAACGGGAAGCGCGGCCAGTGTAGCATCAAGCCTAAAAGTTAGCTAGACAAAAGTCCAGCTAGCACTAGTAGTTGGTATCTGTGGAGGAACTCCAATCCATCACCCGAGAAACATAATTTTCTAGGCGATGTCGTCGTGAGTGAGGCGGAGGTTGAATATGATTTTGGAACGCTGTACCCAGGTGGTTTCCAGCAAAAGACTGACGTGAAGGACACCCTTGGAAGAGCAAATCGAGAAATCCGAACACTTATCGCTGGCCTGGGAGCAAGTCAGTCTCGGAGAGAGTTTCGGGACCTGATGCTACGGTATCTGCATGCCATCCAGCAAAAAGATCAGAAACAAAGTGGCGCTATCCAAGCTCCATAGATGCTCTCTTCGAAGCTTCATATCACCACAAGCACTATGAACAAATAACCTTTCCAGGGTGCATCTGTTTTAATGGCAACTCACGGGATAATATCTGCAAAGAAGTTCTGGAGACAACTTGCAGCAGTGCTGTAAAGAGGAGCGAATCTATCGTCGACGGCACCACACAGAGGTAGACAACCCAATGGTCCATATTGGGACAATCACATCTGCTGGTGGAGTGATGAAATCAGGGGATCAACGTGAGAAAACAGTCAAGTCGGACCATGTAATTGGTCTTGAAATGGAGGGGGCAGGAGTGTGGGATAATATTTCATGCATAGTCATCAAAGATGCGTGATTATGCAGACAGTCACAAGGATAAGTTGTGGAAAGCATATGCTGCAGCAACTGGGGCTTCTGCTGCAAAAGTGTTCTTAGGTGATTAGAGACCAGGTTCGAACGAAGGTTAGTTCTCTTATACTGTCTTTGGTAGAGACGCAGCCAGGGAGAGAGTATCAGCGCAAATCATGCTCTGATGTGCAAATTTTCTTCTCCCAATGACGCCGCTTATAAAAAGGTTCTCGGAACTAATCGTGATTCTGAGACAGATTCTCAAGCCACAGAAGAACATGGCGAGGACAGCGGATTGAGACTCGGTTTTATTTCGACTCCGGTCAAATTAATCTTATCCCTGGCGACACACAAAGGTGGATAGGGCCCATGGAAGTTGATTCTCTTCTCTTTCTCCATACAATTGATCATAAAAACTGCATCTACTTTCTCAGCCAGCGGACATACGACGCGATAAACTTTTATACGCACTTTGCTCGAACCCTTGCGGAAGCCTTGGAATGGGTAAATGAGCAAAGGAGAGAGGCATTTCCTGTGGTGGATTTCGAGCTTTTCAGAGCCATGAATATAGCGCGAATTGCCACAAATAATAATTTAGGTATTCACAACGATGCTGTCAAGATAACTGTTATTGATGCCATAAGAGCAGCAGGGGTCAATCAAGAACAACTCAACAAGAAGACGCTGGTTCATCAAATAATTTGCCTCAGGACGACAGTCAGCTTCGGTCTAGAGCTGTTTTCACTGAACAAGAAGGGATCACTTTTGCTAACAGATGGCGAAGATATTTTGATGAGCTTCTAGGCATCTTCAGAATGACCGCATCGAGGAGTTCTCCAGAGCCAACTGCTTGCAACATTAGGTGAAGATCAAGGGCTTGCTGCTGGTCAACTAGGACTATATTTATAGTCAGAGGTAATGTAGAATTTATACTTAGTCAACCATCCTATCTCCTACTCTCTGGTTGGATCTTCTTACGGCTACAGATGGTTAGCTCTATGTTGGACGATAAGAGATACAATTGACGAAGTTCTACAATGACAAATTTTAGTTCGGCAGTTACTACTCTTACTTGGTCTGTCATAGCCCATAGCGCTGGGTATGGACAATAAACTTGATTAATAATAACAATAATAATAGTTACTATTACTCTTCCTAACCCTAACCCTGCGGCGCACGATCTCCAGGTCTTACAGTTCGGGATGACTTTGGACTTACAATTAGGGCTAGTTGCTGACGACAGTATCATGGTTGTAATTCTTCCTGGTTCTTCCAAATATGCTATGGCCCACATTATACTGTTCATCCGAAGGAGTAAGCCCCAGAGGTCCTGCTAGTACGTATTGCATTGGGTGGGGGTGACACCTGCAGGCTAACTCACCTTCTTTCAACTACATCTCATGATCACGACCTCTGAACCCAGTGTCCAGTACCACCAAATTGAGTCTACTGATTTACAAACCTGAGACTGAAAAATATCATATGATCGGACAAGGGCCGATAATTGCTGGCTAGCCAACTCACTAAAGTTCTCACCTGTGATTCATCATGACTACGACCAAAATCCCAACTCCCTCACCTCTCCCAGTCCTCACCAAACCCCCTACTCATCAGGTCAATAACGGCGCTCAGCCTACAAGAAAGGAGAAGATTCCTAAGCCAAAATTAAGACTGCGCCTACAAGACGCACGTCACCCCGCAGCTGCATCCTTTTTCGGTCGCATACCCGACCTAGAAGCTGTCCTCGACTCAGCCTTGACGGCAATTGTTGAGCAACTATACACTTCTCCCCGCAGACACCATGATAATGGCAATGATGCACTAAAAGCATTTATCCCATCATTTGTCCCTTTTATACCCCCTACTCGCTCCGTGACCATCATATTGGAAGACTTTGATGGCGTCGCCTACACCAACGGCACAGATCTCGACGATGATCACAAGGAAATTCATTTCTCACTCTCATACATCGACCATGTCTGCAAGAATAACGCCCAACCTCTCGCGGAATTAGAAGGTGTTCTCACCCATGAATTAGTACATTGCTACCAACATACTGCTCCTACAGCCTCAGATGGCAATAATAATAAAGACAACAATAAAGATATCCCACGACCTCCTGGCGGTCTTATTGAGGGCATTGCGGACTTTGTCCGTCTAAAAGCGGGTCTCGGAGCACTGCATTGGCAAAAGCCCAAATCTGCATCAGACCGAGCGTCTGGTTGGGATGCAGGATATCAGCATACGGCTTATTTTCTGGCGTGGTTGGAAGATGTGCGTGTTGGTCAGGGAGCGATTGGCATGCTTAATGATCGGTTGCTGAGGACTGGGTATCTGGGAGAATTGGAGGATCAGGAGAAAGATAAGAAGCCAGGGTTTTGGAGGGGTTTGTTTGGTGTTGAGGTTGATAATTTATGGGAGGAATACGGTCGATATCTAGACAAGGATGTCCGAGAAGGGATAGAGTGATGTACTGATCAAGAGGACGACGCTGATGTTAGTTTCCAAAATATCTAGCTTGATATCTGAATCGAACGCTGATGTATTGTTTACAATGTCACCTGAATTTTCCTCGGAGATCTGAATACTATACAAGACATGATGATGATGATGATGATGATGACATGCAGTGGAAAAATCCGCGCCCATGCAACCTCATACCGAAGATATAAATAACACAATAAGGAAAGAAGAAGAACAGACTCACAGCGCCATGGATCCTCGGCACTAAGACGAGAAATATCAATGCCGATCCTTATAAGTAAATGCCCCCTTTGAGAGAGTCTCAACAATTATTTTATCCAAAAAAGAAAGACCTTAGACGAACACCTCTCCATGATCCACATACACAGGCTTCCATGGCTTCGCACCTTCTTCTTCCGTGGAACTAGGTACTCTGACCTCTAAGGGACTATAGAGGTACCAGCCCTTAAGTGCTGCAACGGCAGCTCGAGTCCTGGCCTCTATAAGACTTGCTCCAGATCCTTCACCTAGTTTGTCTTGACCAGAGAAGACCCCAACGTTGAAGACGGGATGTCTACTGTGTCGACCGGTCTCACTAATGATCTTTGCAACCGGGGGTTCGATATTTTCTCGGTGGCATAGAGTAGCCAAATCGCGGGCAGGCTGTGTGAAAGAGAATAATTTGGACATATCGAGATGACGGGATACGATATGTTCCTTGAAGAATCGTTTGGCCGCGGGACGGCCCGCATGTAGATAGATGCCACCCACCACTGCTTGGACGAATGTCGATGTGGCTTTCTCGGCAGTTACGCCAGGAAGAGATTCCAAATCCGGGAGTTGCGGTCGAACGTATTTCGGATTTTTGGTCTTGAGGTCTGGTTCGCCAAATATATCACCGTGAACAACGCTTGATGCAATTGACTTCCTCCAGTGTGTATTCGGTCGTGTGGTTTTCTTCGGGTCTTGTACGATCTCCGTTCCCGGTTGCACTCTCTTGAATTGGAGGAGACCCGGATCAACCTCTGGGCCAGGTACAGCAGCTAATTCCACACCCCATTCTCCAGCTATGGTTGCCAAGGTCCTTGGGCCAATATATGCGTACATTGCGGCGTATATGACGGTCATTGGAAGGCGAGGATAGGTACAGATGATATGTTCAGTGGTATATTGAGCAAGGAGATCATGGCCAAGCACAGCCAAAGATGCGTTGTTAAAGTGGGGATGAGGATCTGCTGATGCATCTCTTAATGTTCGTGCTAAGGTCTCGAGAGGAAATTTCTTGGGTAGAGCAAGTCGAGAATGTAAAGCGTAGACTTTCGGCGATGGATTGGAGAAACCTGCTCTGGGGAAAGCCTCGGGTATTTGGGTGTTCTCGACGGGTTTAAGTTCCTCTGATAATGTGTGATCAGCCGCATGACCTTCTGGTACTTGTGCTGCTGGCGAGACCGTTGACTGGTGTCGCATTCTAGCATTCAGCCGCCAGCACAATTGACCACCCGACACGGTCCTTGAGGACGGCGACAGGACCGAGCGGCTCCATCGCTGGAGCTGCAATCTTTTCATCGGGTGCCCTTTGTTGAAATATATCAAAAGTTCGGCACCAAAAAAATTCAATTGACGCGGAAGGAAAGCGTTTGGCGTGGTTAATGACAAAGGACAGCGAGCGGAGATCCCATATAACTTTTCGGAGAAAAATGTCAAGCTGCGCTACAAGTCACGGGAACGGAGAAGGAGGGAAAACCACAGAATGGCGCTAACCCCCTTGAGGGCTAGCTTCAGGTCACGGGCTATCCGGCCGGAACCAAAGCCAACGTCAAATGAACACCACTTGATTTCAGATCAAGCTATCAACCACTCTTTTATACTTGTCCGCCGTTCAATCGCTTTCTTGAAAATGGGAGGAGGCGGAAAAATTCCGTACGTTAAGAAAAACTCGATTTTACCGCCAATTGCTCGTGTGAGCTGACTGATCAGCAGTTATCCCAAAGAGGTGTGGTCTCCAGCTGGTGGTTGGTACGCTCAACCAGGCAACTGGAAGGCCAACACCGCCGTCATGGGCCTAGCTATTGTCGGGATTGTCGCAGCTACATGGAGTCTTAGTGCAGAACGCGAACACCGTGATCGAATGCCTGAGCCAGGCCGCTTCTTTCCAAGCCGAAAGTCTGTTACCCAATTGAATCTTACGGCGGTTGCAGCATTCGCTGACAGTCATTTTCTACAGTTGGAGCAAGCAGATAATTGAACACGAGCGTCAGAACGCTACGAAAAACGAGTCATAAATTGAGAGGCCCGTTAGCGGAGGTTAAGGGTGATATCCATTTTTTTCTGTCTATTTTCGATGACAAGCGGATATGGCTGCGGGAATAGATCTCGACGATCTACAAATTGATTGATAGGGGAGGCGTTAATCTATCACCCATTCATGGTCTTGCGGAAATTGTTCAAAAGTTTCGCATAACCACTGTGTATAATTACGGAGTCGTTCATTGAATTCAGTTCCGTTCCAAGTTTCACGTCCATCAGCCGTTGTTGAAATTGTAGGCACTCCGATCTGCTCTACAACAAACCCCGCTGTGACGGTAGCGCAGATAAGAGCTTGAGGAATTTGGCCGTTGTTGCCCCATCTGGCTTTGATCTTATCCCACTCATCTGACTTTGAGAGTATATCGTCCATAATGCGGCCGGGCTCCCGGTCATTGCTGATCATACCCTGGGCTAGCGCACCAAGGAAAGAGTTTCCAGCGCCAGTAGGATCGACGACTTTCGATTTTTGGTCTGGTCGAGGTTGGTGATATGCTGGAAGCCACAATCCCTTTTGACCTTTTGAGTAACTGTAGCTACCGTCTTTACCTGCTCTGATAACTAGCGCCCCTTTATTTTCCGGACCAATGCCGGATTGTAGAATCTTTTGGACCAGTTCTCGGTCAATCTCGTTGGTTTCTTTCCATCCAGGACGTCCAAACATCATGCCCAGTTCCAGTTCATTAGGGCTTACCAGGTCGACAACTCGACAGGCGGTAAGAAACTTCTCTTGTTCTTCGGGAGCGCATAGGTCAGGAACCGGTTCCCAAACAAAGATAGGCCGTGCAGACTGATTCGAGGAAGCTAACTCTCGCCGGTGGAGAATCTCCTGGACGATGTGAATACATCGTTCAGATGAACACACCATATGAAATGTCTTTGACAAAAGTTGAGCATCGGACAGCATGTAAGGCTCCAGGCGTTTTTTAGGTGTTAGGTATTTGAAGTCTTGTTTTGTGAGAGCGAACACTACACACCAGGAACACAATCTTACCTCTCTTCTCATTTTCGCCGTATCCATTCCATGCTCTTGTAGTCAGTCTATCCTTGTCCTCCCGAATCGCACAACCCGTATTCCATGATAAGATCGTGTCCATCATGTCTTCAGGAAAGTCAGACCCGGTATCCACTATCCAACTCACGGCCTTTCCATGCTCTTTCCCAGCAACTATACGAGCTCCTACGATTGCGAAAGATCCTGCCCCTCCTATGATCCCATATACTGACGGAGTAGGAGGCTTGAACTCAATGTCATCTAGAAATACGTTAGGATAATTCATGAAAATACGAAAGACATCAATTCATCCCAGCCAAACATTAGACTACTTACCTATAATAAACATTCCCAGGGTACAGAAGTCAACCTCTGACCTATGGTTTTCGTCGGACATTCTGATAGATATCGTCGATTCGTTTTGGTCACAATCACCTTAGGCTATAAAATTGAACCATCCAGACGAACACGGTAGCTTTTGGAAATTCAAGGTATTGACGAATCACTCACCCTGCAATTTATGTCAATTGATAGCTGTTGTTGTTGCCCGTTGGGAAAGATCCGAGCTAAGTAGATGTTGCAGCCTCAGAATTCAGGCAGAAACTTCTATGACAAGGTGTTGTTGCGCAAGTTGGCCGCTTCGGAGCCTCACCACTTCAACTATTTACTTCAACATTCTATCTGCCTGGGCTACAGCCACGCTCTTTCTGTCGTCATTTTTCCCTTTTCACCCATAACAGCTGTGCTTGGCAAGCTGTAATAGCTTTCGACATTTCAGAATTCCGCTTCTGTCCTGAAGCGGGGACGAAGTGTAGAAGCAGAACCCCTGACTCGAGCTTGAGCCGTTGCATTGCTAGATCTTGAAGTCGACACTCCAGACAACCGCAACTATGGCTGGAAATCAAATGCATAACATGACGACTCTCATTAAGAGGTATATATCCGTTCGACTTTGCTATCGTTGCAATCTCTGGGAAGTAGAATGGAATACACGATGCTAACAGCCGTTCAATATAGGCTTGAGGCAGCAACCTCTCGCCTCGAGGATATGGCAATGTCGTTCGAAGGAGCAAGCCAAGCGAACCACGTCAACAACATCGCAACTACTACACAACAAACGGCCATAGAGCCTTCGAAGCAAGCCCCTTCGCTGCCTACCCCGGTACCCGAGCCTGATCCACCACAAATTGAGGACTTTGATGCCCTAATCAAAAGCGACGTTCAAGCATTCGTTGATCTTGGAAAGCAGATTGGGGGACTGGTTGGAGATCAGGTACTTATCTGGAAAGCACGCATATAATGAACATGGGTTGACATAGATCCTAGGCCGAGGCAGTTCTTCAAGCATTCCAAGCCGAACGTACCTTTCTTCTCGTGACCACCAAAGCAAAGAGACCAGACCCCTTGGCGCCGGAACTAATGACCGAACTTCATAAGGCATCTGATACTATCAATAATATTCGCGAGTCCAACAGAAGCTCCCCATTTTTCGACCATTTAAGCGCTGTTGCCGAGGGTATTGTTGCGCTGGGTTGGTTTTTCGAGCTCAAGCCGGCGAACTTCGTCAATGACATGCTGGGTGGAATACAGTATTATGGTAACAAGGTCTTGAAGCAGTACAAAGACAAGTGAGTATTCAAGATGAATGGGTTCTATGCCTGAATTGAATGCTGATCGTCGGATAGGGAGCCACTACATGTTCAGTATATTCAAGCATACTACAAGGTCTTCAGATCGCTTTCTGCCTACCTCAACAATCACTATCGGACTGGCTTGACGTGGAACAACCAGAGCAACTTTGATGCATTGGATGCATTGAAACAGATACAATCTGGCTCTATCAAAACTGCACCTCCTGCCCCTGCACCAGCCGCTGGTGCACCACCACCACCACCACCTCCACCACCACCACCCCCTCCGCCGCCGCCGCCGCCGCCAGCTGACCTTGGCGCCCCTTCTTCGCAGCCAAAGCAAGGCGACATGAATGCGGTCTTTGCTCAATTGAACCAGGGTGACGCCATCACATCCGGTCTCCGTAAGGTAGACAAGTCTCAGATGACACACAAGAACCCCAGTCTCCGAGCGGGATCTACCGTACCCGAGCGATCCGACTCTCAAAGCAGCTTAGGTTCACCCATAAGCCGCGGAAAGTCACCTGCACCTGGCAAGAAGCCCAAGCCCGAAAGCATGCGAGCCAAGAAACCTCCCCGAAAGGACCTAGAGGGCAGCAAATGGTACGTGGAGCATTTCGACAATTCCTCTGAAGTGGTTGAAATCAACGCCCAACAAAATCAATCCATCCTCATTTCCCGTTGCAACAAGACCATCGTTAAAGTGAACGGTAAAGCCAACGCAATCTCAATTGATAACTGCACCGGCCTCTCTATCATTGTTGAGTCGCTGGTTAGTAGCTTGGAAGTCATCAAGTCCGCGAAATTTGCGTTACAGGTTGATGGTGTCGTGCCTACTCTGCTTTTGGACCAGGTTGATGGTGCAACGGTCTATCTGTCTCCTTCAAGCATCAATTTGGAGGTGTTCAGTAGCAAGACTACCGGAACGAATATCTTGTTACCGCCCAAGGAAGGCACTGATGGTGATACCAAGGAGTGTCCTCTTCCAGAACAGATTAAGAGTTACGTCAAGGATGGTGTGCTTGTCAGCGAAATTGTTGAACATGCTGGTTAGGTATGGTCGTTATTTTTTTGAGTTTCTATATGTCTTGTAACACCTGTACTGTCTCGAAGATGTTGTGATCTAAACAGTGCCTAGTATATTCCTGTAGATTAAATTTCAGTCCGCATGTGTTAAAGATGTAGTGAACTTCGATTACCATTACTGCTGAGCATTTGGAGATTATGCCTCTTCAAGCTCATCTATATTATCTACCTAGGTATAGATAGCCAGCTCTCGACGCATCCAACCTTGGAAGTCATTCTTCTATGAAACTACCAGATGTTGCTCCATGAATCAACGCACACTGCGCCGGATGCCCTCCTGCATACTTACCCTTGGACGATATCCGAGCACTCTTTTAGCCTTGCTGATATTAAGTGTGCGGATAAGGGTACTGAATCGAATACTTTCACGAGTCATATTGGGAGTCCGGGTGATCCCCGAGATCGCCCACACGGTCCATTCACTCACAAGCCCCATCATGAGTCCCACCCATTTGAGTATGACCACAATCTCTTCAGGACGCACAGCGTTGCCAGTCTCAGAGGCAACAGCTCGCTGAAAGTCCCAGAAAAACCAGGGGTTATCATTAGTGATGTGGAAGATCTCGCCATCCACACGAACCGTGGGATCTGTGGGACGAGGATTACCCCAAGCGTCCAGTAGGGCATGAACAGCTGGCAAATACGCATCTGCGAGATTGCCTGCATACACGAAGTCGTAGGGATTTTGGCCATTGCCCATCTGAAATCGTGACCGGCCTTAACGGGCGACTGCGACCATTTTGCCCAGGGAACCGACACCATGTTCGCCGAATACAAGGCCAGGACGTATCGAGCAGGTCAATAACCCTCTATCGTCGTGTCTGCCATTGCGATTTGTAGCTTGTATGGCATCTTCAGCACCGACTTTGGCAAGACAGTATATTCGCTTCTGTTGCGGATACCGTAAGATTGGCCATTCCTTCGTGGCATCAATCAGGTCAGAGTGGTTATCGTTGATGAATCCGGGAGTAGATGTGTTGACCAAAGCTCGAACGGTGCTCACCTTGACGGTGGCTTTTAGGAGGTGCTGGGTGCCATCAACGATGATGTGTCAATAAGCAGACTCAGGTGCATTAGAGAATTCGGGGGATGCAATGTGAAAGATGGTGACTGGTTGTACGATCTGTATCACGCACTTTACATCCTCTGCTGATGAGATATCGGCCTAGTGGTAGTGGATATTCGTATTGGGATGCCGGCCACGGTCAATGTTCACATCGAGAAAGTGGATGGTGCAATCAGGCTCCTCTGCAAGGATTCTAGCAATGATGTGGTATGCTACAAATCCGTTGCCTCCAGTCAAGAGGACAGCGTCCAGCTTGGGTTATCAGACGGAGTCGACATGAAAGATGTTCAAATAAGTCCACGGATGAACAAGTAGCGGCGGAATTGATTGTTCATGGTAAGTGAAGAGAGAAGCATCAAAGCAATTAATGCATGAAAATAGCTTCAGAGGTCCAGGTATTATTTGCAGCTGCTTGTTCCAATGTCGACCCAACAACTGCTCACTCGAATTGTTGGTGTTCGGTCTCGATTTCTCTATATGGCTCTATCGAGCCCAATGTTTATTGTTCATTCAGCTGGCAATAAATACCAACCAGGGTCTAGGCCGGTTAGGGCTTGGTTGAGTTTCCAAACCAAGCAATCAAGTAGCCGTGACACTGTTGGATCTAGATCTCATTCAGACTAACTGCTGTCGGATAGATTGTTTCAATTCTTCGGGCTTGCTGATGGGACGACTGATCATCTCGCGCGCAATCAGCAACTTGCAACCGTTGCAACGTAACATCAGCGAACGGTACATGTTCAAGATATATAGGGAACATATGGCCCCAATGAGGGAAATTGAGCCTTAGAGCTTTGCAATAAATGAATAAATATTACCATTAAATGGCATTCACAATGAAACTCCTCAAATGCCTAGTCCTCGGCATCGTACTTCAACACGCCTCAGCAACAGTCGGCTTCACAACCTACAAGGAGATCGATGAAGGAGCAGACAATTCCGGCACAATACTATATTCGGATCTATTCAACCGATCTAGCACTTTATTCCTCTATATTCAAATAACCCCCGATGGGGCGGAACACACTGATATTATCAACGACTTCAAGACTCTAGCTCAAAATTACGGCCAACATGGAGTTTCAGTGATTCCTCGAGTACGCTATGGATGGCCAAACGGGACGATTGCAACCGAGCCAGAGGAAAGCATTCTCATGGATGATGTCTCGACATTTGCTAGTATATTTACGGATGTTACAGGAACAATCAATATCCCCGTTATTCAAGCTGGGTTTCTTGGGGAATGGGGAGAGTGGCATATATGACTCTCTCTACTGACACAAGGCAGAAAATAAGACGCCGAATATCATTGACTGACTGTTTTTAGGATGGTAGATACTGCCAATCTCACGGCTCAGCAGATACACCAGAAGACCTCGCCATCAAGATCAAGATCGTCAACACTCTGCTCTCAACAAGCCACAAAGTCGCGCTTCGATATCCCTCTGACCATCAGGCTTTATTCAATGGTAGCCGCTCCGTGACCCTCCACGACGACTGCATATTTGATGGAGGCTTCAACGGTACTGATGGTGGTACTTGGCCATCTGGTGACCGTCAAACCTGGATTGATTACATAGTCCAAGTAGCGGGGAACAATACCTTTGGCGGAGAGGGATGCAACGATGCTGGTGATGCGATGTTTGATTGGTCTGATTATACTGCTCTGTGTGGCGGTGAAGGTATTGCTGCGTATATCAATACTCTGCAGATTGCGTATATGAATGTGAGGAGGACTCTATAGACCTTGCTTATAGCCTGACTGACTTACGCCGTATTCAATAGTACGATTATCCACAGCCATATGAAGAGCTCATTGAGGACCCGAGCCAGAGCACCTGTGTGGATGCAATCCAGGCAGCTTTAGAGTCGTGGAATTGATGGGTTGACTAGTGAACCGGCGACAATATTTTTCGCTTTGTATGAACTGTGTCGCATCCGCCAGCTGGCGATGAGCAAGTATCCACCTAGATATCAACTTGGAATCAAATCCAAGTATCAATACGTATTAAGGATATATACATTCTTAACCAACTCAGAAATAAGTACATGATCGCCCCTTTCTCAAAAGGGCTGCTTTCCACAAGCTTATGTCTATGCCAGAACAGACCCAGCACGAGAATCAATATGACGGTACCGCGAACATGGTGAATAAACATAACAATTTATTCCTGCAAATCCGTGTAGTTCTGTTCGCTACTGCAACTCCACTCCCTCAGTCTCTGAGCCAAAAGACTCTCGCCGACACTGGAATACCCATTCGGAGAGGTAGCGAGTTGGTGGAACCTGCCGTAGTAGTCGCTATCATTGCTCATTTCCGTGTTATTGTCGATGTCACCAGAGTCTGCAGATTTGAGCGGTGGTGGGGAATCTAGCGACATCTTATCGGAAATTGGATGTGTGGTGGGAGAGTTTCCTGTTTGCCAGCTATCGTCGTTTGAAAATAAGGACGGATCGGCGTCTTCGATTGATGATCCCTGCGGTGGAGGAATGTTGAGTTTGAATGGCACGGGTTGTAATTGATTGAGATTCGAAGAAGTAGATGACGAATCAGGATAAAACTTATCATCGAAGAACTGATTCCCAGAAAATTTAACCCCGGCGCTACGTCTCCGATGGCTCTTGTCAATAGCAGAATTGTGACCAGAGTTACTGGAGTCCTTCACCGGCTTGTAAGGGCTATAACGAGGATCTGGATGCTGGATTTCATTCCGCAGTTTCTCTTTCCCGTCAGGAACTCTGTTGGCGAAAACGACACGTATGGTCGAATGGAGGTAGAACCGGCCCTTGCTCGGGGAGCAAATGTTCAAGTGAATAAGATATCGTAGAGTAGGCTTATCTTTCGGATCGCTTGTCGGATTGAGAGAAGCTTCGGGACGGTCAGTTCCTAGGTTCTTTCGTGCCGTCAAGGGCATATCTATTATGGGGCCTGCAGAATAGCTGCGTTGTCTAATGAATGTCTTCGTGCCAGGGTCCATATCGTTGAGATCATAAGGCACCAAGAACAGTTTGACGGCCGTTTTGTTGGGATTTTTGATAATGATTTGCAGCTGACCGCGTTGAGGGATACGATAAGAGCCCCCTGGAGGCACTTTCGCAGTATCAGAGCGATTCGATCGCTTCTCACGTTTTTGGCGCTCGTTGCAGTCCGGACTGGGTATGGGGGTGCTTGAACTGCTATTATCGTAAGCGGGTGTCTTTTGAACACGAGATCGCTTCTTCTCGCTCGAATTATCGCGAGGTAGAGCATTTTGGAGATCAATCAACCCAACGTAGGGACTAGGACTGTCGTCGGAAATGGAACGACCGTGTCCGGATGTAGGATAGCTATAGAAAACAGCGGGAAAAGGCACAGTGATATGTGGCGGGCATCTCAAGCTGGATTTACATTTCCCCTTGCCCAGAACGCCAATCTGTGCTGTAAAATCCAGAGGCTGTGATGGAGTCGTGGACATTCTCCCACGCAAAATGGACTCTTCATATGAGCCAACCATAGAGGCATGTATGCGAGGAGACCATTCTGATGCAAAGGATGGTCGTCGCAACCGAAGAGGCGTTTGAGGCGATGATGATGCAGGTTGCAGACTATAAAAAGATGACCGATGTGGTTGATAGGCCTGAAGGCGCAAACGATCACTTTCATGAGCTGAAGCATATGATCGGCTCAAATCGAAGTTTCGAGATTGATTGAGTGGCGAGTCATGTATCTGCATGAACGTCTCTGGCGGAAGTGTCCGCCGACGACTGCTCTTGACGTTCTTTTGAGGAGAATCAGTGAGATCATGCTTCGGCGAGAAATCCAGATCGGTATTGTTCGCTTGATGTACTAGAGGGCTGGTCGGCGCTTTGAGGACGTAACTAGATGAAAAAGATCCTAGAGAAGGTGCCCGGGACCTCGCACCTAGGACACCCTTGGCATGCTGACCGGTCAACGGACTCGATTCAGTGTCTCGGGGTAGAAATCTCGCAGAGGTGGCATGACTAAACCATGGAGTAGTGGGTGAAGAGCCATATCGCTTGAAGGAAGGAGGCTGTGGCGGACTATTGTACCCGACAAAGTCCGGGAAATTTGCTGTTTCCTGAATTTGAGCGACACCCTCTCTGAAGTCACCAGAATGCAATGCAGAACGTGGACGCTCGATCTCCGAAGGTTTAGCTGGCTCGGACCTATCATCAAGGTTCGGCACGTCCGACCGGACGTTGTCTTTGTCTGACGCCAAGTCATCTTTCCTTTGGAACTCTAGTGACCAGTCGTGCAAGGGTCGATTTAACCGAGTATTGTAATTCAGAGCCTTGCTCTCTAAATCTTTATGCGGCCAAGTGGGACTTTCTCTTCGCTTAATAGACTGAATGAGCTCCTCTCGGCTTCTGGAATGTAGCGCGGAGAAACGATGGTCATATGCTAAAGTATTTTTGGACGATGAGTCGCTCATTTCAATCTCCTTGAATTGTTCGGTTTTCCATTTTGGGTCCGCAGAATAGTCCGTATGGTTTCCGGTTTCACTGTTGGTGAGTCTTGCTGTAGGTGTAGATCTTCCCGGGTCATGAAATAATGGCATCTTCAACTGTTGTACAGACCACCAGTGGCTATGATGGATATAACATTGCAAGATGTGATTCCGACAGGAAGGGATCTTATCGAATCAAGAATTTTAGAATGGCGAACACTTGAAAATCCCAGACCTGGTCCAAAGTCACAATCGGGTGGCGGTAAGAGGATAAAATGTCGTAATTTGATGGCCGTTTGACAATCCCGGGAAAGCGAGAAAGACCCAGAACGTAATATAGCACAGCAAATTCGCAATATGGAATCGCCAGAAAGTTCAAACACAGCAAGACGCAAAACGAAGCAAGGTAGGTTGGAGGAATTAAGAGTTGAGGTTGAAGAGGAGTAGATGGTTATCGGGTGACTGAGCAGGACCCGCTAACTCTTTATGAAGTCAGCGGGCGATCTCCGGCGTTGTCGGCACTCGGAATGCCTAACTATTAGGTCACTTTAGCTGTCTGAGTAAGGTGACTCGTCCCAGCAGAACCAGCGCATCCCGGCCCAGACAGGTCTCGTGGTGCCAATGGCCGTGATATACGGTGTTGGTACCCGACACAACAGCCACAATTTGACACCTCTTCTCCTTGGTATAACTAATAGAATAGTATTCAATGTAGACAATATCAAACTAATTATATAAGATTGTACGGAGTAAAGAAAGAGCAATCGATTTAAACGCATCTTGGCGCCTTCTTAGCGTGCCGGGTGGGGCTTACCATGTCTGCGGAGTCAAAAAAAAAAAAGTTCTACACTCAACAATCAACAGAATACATCAACTACACGATCAGTCAGCTAGCTGCCAATATGTCCACGAAACGATCCCGCGATACCGATGATGTCGCCGATGCACATACCAACACCGCAACAGAAACCCATAAACGCAGAAAAGGCTTCACAGTCGGACCCGAAAATCTACCCGATGGCACATATCGTCGCAAAGGTACTCATTTCTTCGACGAACTACTAGACACTGAAAGACTCGGTTCAGCTAACCCTTGTCTTGGATAGCACAAAAAATAAAACGAGACCTCATTCAAAAAGCCAAAGTGAAAAAAGCATATGCCAAAATCAAAGCCGCCGAAGAAGAATCCGCTGTTCCAATAACGAGGAGGTATTATGAGAATGAGGAGACATCGACCTCGACAGACAACAAACCCGCAGACTCAGCGGCTGGTCTAGAGCTACATCCAGATCGTCAAGCCATGCTCGACGCACCGGAACCATCAACAGAAATTCAACACAACAGAGAAAACAAGAACAACAATCGAGAGCGGAATCGTCAGAAGCGACGCCCAAAACCCAATGCTTTCCAGAAAGAAATGGAACTAGCTGAAAAACGCAGAAAGGAGCAAGAAGCGCGTCAGAAGGAAAGGGAGCTCAAGGCTAAAGAACGGCAGGCGATGGCTAGGGCAAGAAGACCAGATCAATTCGGAAAGCGGAGGTTGGGGAGGGAGAGTAAAGTGTTGTTGAGTAAATTGCAGAGGACGCTAGGTGCCCAGCAACCATAAATTAAAAAGTCATGTTTTTTAAATCAAGATACCCTTACCTATACATTCGATACAATTGAGGAATGACGTTAATGGATTGTATGGACTATCAATGATTACTGCGTTGTCCCTTTGACACCGGTTCTCACTTTCCTAAAACAAGTAAACTCGCCCTTGGTATGCTCCCGTAGCTTCTTCAAAATACCTCTCATCTCTCCCAACTCAGCCTGTAACATTGTTCGAGCCTCGTTATTTGTTCGCCGGTCAAGCTCGAGATAAATCTGACTTTGAATCGAAGACGCCTCTTCCGTAACATATTGCGACATGGTTTGTGCAATAAACTCGGTGTCTAACGTTGCCTGCATAAGCGCAGGAAGCGTGTATTTAGGACGGGATTGGAATGCTGTGAGCAATGAAGTGGATATCTTAGTGACAAGATGTGTAAGGACGCTGGTTAACAAAGGATTTGCCTGAGCTGAAGATGAAGAGGTCGATGAGAGGGATGTCCCTGGCTGAACGGGGATGGTTGTTGTGATTTCGGTGTGGACGAGGACGAGCGTCAACATGGTAGTGTATACGTATGGCTTGACTTGCTCGGGTCGGCTTGTGGTTGGCACCCAGTCGGCAGCTGTGATGCCTTCTTGAATGACAGAATGCAAGGTTGCGCTTGTCGGGTTGGTGTATGATTGGAAAAGTCGGTCGTCAATCTGCCCGAGTACGTCGCGAATGGTGTTTGCTTCATCGGTCAATTTCACCGAGAACGCTGTCTCAAAATTGGATACTAGCTGTGGCACGAAATCTGACTGAAGTGCTTTGAGATTCGATAGGGTCAAAAGCATTCGTATGTTCTAGTGGTTATCAGTGTCTAATCAATCAGCATGGAAACAGTAAACTTACCCTATTTCTTGCATCCACATTGTCCGTGGTGATAATCGTTGATGCAGCATCAATGCTTCTCACCGGAACTGTAGGTTTCAGAGCCCATTCCTCTTCTTCACCCACCTTGACCGGCCGCTCGGCATTCTCAACAATACCACTAAGAGCTTTGTAAACACTGGTCACGAACTGAGTTCGCACCATCTGCAATAATTTGGCCGGTGGCGGCGTGACAACATTGACTGATCCAGCCTTGCTCATTGCTTCCGAAATATACAGTATCTTTTGCATTCCAGATAGCACGTTACTTTCGAATGCAACGAAGAATCCTGGCATCTTTGTGAGTTCGCGTCTGTCTGGATCGCGGGTCCAGTCTTCGAGCATCTTGCAGTTTTCGGCGTCTTTATTCCATGCCGCACAGGCAGCCCGCACGCATCTTTCGCGAGCGATACTGACAAGGTTCTTCAGTCGATCATAGGAAGTGCTTCCTGCCTCTATGGGAGACATTGCTGACATATCACTCGCAGCCGTGCCGATAAGAATCAGGAATTGGCTCAAATAATGAACACCACTCAGGGAGTTGGAATAAGGCGGCCAGAATGCAAACTCTTCCCATGCTTCACCACGCCTTGGTGACGGAGGAGGCAGGTTCTTAGGGTCAAGTTTGAAACGAGATTCAGTGGGCGTGATACGGCTCATAGGACTGTTAGGACTCGGTGGTAAGGGTGAAGCGAGAAGAGAAATGTCTTCTGGTGGCGGATCAACAAACAAAGACAGAACGCTTTTCCGGATCAAATCGACCAGTTCGATGATGCCGTCTTGTAACTGTTTCACGCCGTCATTGGAAAGTCGATGGTGTTTGCGACTTTCACCTTCAAAGCCCGCTGGCAGCATTTTTTGTTTGCTTCCGTTAATGAAAGATTGAGCCGTCTCCCAAAACTCTGTAACTTCACCAAGCAACCCAGTTTGCATCGAAAGCAGCTTCGTAAGATAGGTATGAATAGATTCCCATAGCTCAATGACTTGATCAGTGTCCAGACTATCCTGCGACTCCGTCCCCTCACGCGTGGTTGCACGTAGATATGTTGTTATAACCTGGGTGCTGGGTTTTTCTCCAAGCGCAAGCCGCCGTCTGAGTATCTCAATCTCGACACTAGAGCGCTCACAAAAGGCGACAATCTTCGATTTGAGCAGATCGTACCGACTCAGAAGCCAGATCCAAACAGGATTATCCTCCACTCCGAGTTCCAGGAGCGCACCAATAAGTTCCATATGCTCTTCGACCGGCCCTGCGGCTGTCATATGGGAAGATGAAGCATTGACATCACTTAGACGATGCCATAAGTCCCGCTTAAATGACTCGACCTGTTGTTCGACATCAACCCACATTCGCCCAGTCGCTAGCATGGTATGACTCTCTTGATCTGTCAATTGGCGGCCCCGTGTTGTTGCACGGTCTGCTAGCTGTCTAGCTTCATTTCTCAACGTTTTAGCGTGGCGATATTCCTCGAACACCGACTGATAGTCTCGTTGTTTGATCGCTCTCGAAATATTGCCTCCAACTTCATATACTGCTCGATTCTTTTCGACTGCATTTACTAATGAATAAAGATTCTGCTCGCGTTCCCGTCCGCCCAATGCCGGACCCCATAGTTCTTCTGCTTTCACAGATGCCTCAACCAATGGTGTTCGAATACCCTTCACTCCGTATTCAGCCTCCTTTGTTAGGGCAGTTTTCTTCGTGGCTGGCGCCGGGGGTGGAGGCACGCCTCCAACAAGCGAGTACCGATATGAGCTGCTTGCCCTTTGCGATTGAGGTCTAGCTTTGGCTGCTCCTTGGTCCCTCATCTCCGTATATACACTATCGATAGTCGCTTTTGCGCGCACGAAACGCTCGAAATTGGCTTCTACGAGCACCTTCAACGAAGCCGATTTTTGGTCAATGGACCGAGAAAGAAATTCAAGGCCTTCGAGAAGCGACTCGGTTGAAGCATTTTGATGCGCCTGGGCTAGAAATAGCGCGGGTGAAAACGACGTCGAAGACAAAAGGAACCGGCTCCGTAAACGAGGGTCATCGTCGACAGGAATCCGCTGCTGCTTGAGAATATACATCACACTGTCAGAAGTTCCCAGCGGATCGGGCTCATCCTTGATAGCGACATTGTCACCCGCCGCCCCTGTTCGAATTGAGCGCGTACTCAAAGTCCTGCTGTTGAGTCCGGCAAGCGCCGAATATCTCGTTGATCGTCTTTTCAGTTTGGGACCAGCGCCGGACTCTCCTTCTTCGGGTTCGGAAACGTCGCCCTCATCTAGTTCAGCCGGCCACTCCTCCGGAAAGGGATTTTGGATGCCATAATGGCTGGGGACATCGAGATCGTCCGCCATATCGACCCGGTAAGGCCACGATTCAAGCGGGACCCTGAAGCTGCAAGTTGTAAAGACGGTAGGCGCCGCAGCGGAGCTGCAGCTCTCCTGGTCCTGAGCCTACACTAACCTGAAATCCACTAGACTGTAAGAGTCAAAATAAGTCGCCCAGCCATGCTACGTCGCAGGTTCATGTCACAGTGCAAGGTCCGAAACGCGGAAGTTAGGAGGTTTTGGGACCACTTGTTTTTGCGGGTAACAAACGGCAATCGGAACTTGGACAAGCTAAACCGGATAAACTCTTCCCTTGACACTACGCTTCTACTACGTACCTTTTTTCACCTCTGTTCTTTCTCCATCTCTCGTCGAAAATTTCCATTTTCTGGGCGGAGTTTGTGTGAGCATTATTCAATAAAGTATTTTCTGTTGTTTCTCTCTTCTCACAATGATCTCTGCTCGTGCTTTCGTGGCGCCCTCCCGCCAATGCCTGCGGGGACTGCGAACTGTTTCTGCTCAAACCTCTCCATTTGCACAGGTATGCCCGGGCCAAGCTTGATCTTATACCTCAATTGCATAGTGCTAACTTCTCCGGACTCATTGCAGGCTCGTGGATATGCTAGCCGTGTTGGCGCATTCAAGGGACAGAAGGGCTCAGATGTATGGTCTCCAACGGTGTTTCGTCTGCCGATGCTTCCGCGACCCTTTGCGAAATTGAAAATGGTCGACTAAATGATGTGAATAGGGCAACTACACTGTTACTTTGATTGAAGGTGATGGTATTGGGCCTGAGATCTCTCAGTCCGTCAAGGATATTTTTGCTGCGGCAAAGGTGTGTTACTTTTGGGTGTTGGAGGAGGGCAAGAGCTTACTTTGTGTGTTATAGGTCCCTATCAAATGGGAACCCGTTGATGTCACACCCATTCTCAAGGATGGACGAACCACAATCCCAGATGAGGCTATCAAGAGTGTGCAAAAGAACTACGTTGCTTTGAAGGGTCCTCTTGCGGTTCGTTTTGTGTTCTTCTGGTAATTGGTTACGGTACTTACTTTGATGACAGACCCCCGTTGGAAAGGGACATGTTTCATTGAACTTGACTCTTCGCCGTACTTTCAACCTCTTCGCCAACTTGCGACCATGCCGCTCTGTTGCTGGATACAAGACCCCATACGACAACGTCGACACTGTGTTGATCCGTGAGAACACGGAGGGTGAATACTCCGGCATTGAGCACGTTGTTGTTGACGGTGTTGTTCAAAGTATTAAGCTTATCACTCGGGAAGCTTCTGAGCGTGTCTTGCGCTTCGCTTTCCAACACGCTCAGTCTTCTGGAAAGAAGAAGGTTCGCGTCGTCCACAAAGCCACCATTATGAAGATGTCCGACGGTCTCTTCTTGAACACTGCCCGCGACGTTGCTAAGGAGTTCCCCGACGTCGAATTCGATGCCGAACTTCTTGACAACACCTGCTTGAAGATGGTCACCGACCCTACACCATACAACGACAAGGTCCTTGTCATGCCCAACCTTTACGGTGACATTTTGTCCGATATGTGCGCTGGTCTCATCGGTGGTCTCGGTCTTACTCCCTCCGGGAACATCGGAGACGAATGCTCCATCTTCGAAGCTGTCCACGGTTCTGCCCCCGATATTGCCGGCAAGGGTCTCGCTAACCCCACTGCTCTCTTGTTGAGCTCTATCATGATGTTGCAACACATGGGTCTTAACGAGCACGCTGAACGCATCCAGAAGGCTGCTTTCGATACCCTTGCTGAGGGAAAGGTACGTTTAACTCTTCAACTAATGCACAATTAGGTACTGACTATGATCTAGACTCTCACTGGTGATCTCGGAGGCACTGCCAAGACCCACGAATATGCTGGTGCCATCATCAAGCGCCTATAAGCATCTTTTTGAATATACCTGACTCGCTCCATCTTGTACTATTTATGCCTCTTTAGATCCGGTTCGCCCCAGCTTACGAAATTCCCATGTTGCATGTAAGACGCGATCTATCATGTAACAGTTCTTCCTACTGTACTCCATGTGCTAGTAAACAAAATAGATCAAATCATCAGGCTTTTACTGTTACGTCTGGCTTACTGTGCATTTAGATTTGTGGTGGACTTGTTGTTGTAGGCGTTGAGTAATGCAGGAATACTTATTCAATCCGTAGTCATTATAGCACATCGCATTTTGGTCTCTATCCGAGCCAGGTAAATACATATCATACTATACAAAGCAATGCTCTTTTGAAAGAGAGCCAAGCTATCAGCGTCGTCTCCCAGTCCGCCTCGTAGTCGTGCTACTAGCAGCAGCACTCTTTTTATCTTTTTTCGACTTTGCAGTTTGCGTCCGCGTGCTTCTGGTCGTTGGTGAACTTGCGGTTTCTGCATCAGCCTCCTCGCCATCATTATCGCCTTCAGCTTCGCCGGCATCGCTATCTCCTTCCTCGCCATCTTCCTCATCCGCATCCGCATCCTCCATGTGTTCGTCCTCGGTGGCGACGCTCGATGAAGATGGGCGCTCAACTTCGACTTGTAATCTTGTCGAGCGTGTACCGCGAGTGGATGCTCTTGTCGGCTTTCCGCGTCGGCCACGAGAGGGTGCGGGGGAAGAACGCGGTTCTAAATTTGAAAGTCAGCTCTTATCCTTACAAAACGGCTACATGTCTCCTACCATCAGTGTCAGCAACCGTACTACCCCTCCTCGATTCAGGATGGACAGATGTCTCCGCCGGTGATTCTGATCTTTCTGCTGCAAGGCGTTTCGCAAACATCATCTCGCCGTATTCGTCCTCAGGTAATTCAAAAGGGCAGTATTCTGATCCGTCCGACTCGTCCGCGTCTCGAGAGATGATCGAGTCCTCCTAAAATATAATTAGTCGTAATTGCCGACAGCATTGGTAGTGAAACTGACCCTTTCGTCCAGCGCAGGGAGATTGTAAAGCGAACTGAGCTTTTTCCAAATTCCTGGAATCCGGGTATGCTCCTCGTCTGCAGGTGCATATCCTTGACTTTTCATATACTCCGCAATAGCCAACATTCTGAAGTGTTTATGCATTCCTATTTCACAGTCGAAGAGTTAACCATTGTCCATAGACTTCTCAGATAAGAAGAGGCATGAATACCAACTGGCTTCCATCTTACGATGCTTTTCAGCAACGCTGTTTCCTGTTCGTCTGTCCATGGATCATTGATTAAGTCATTCTCTGTGTCTGATTTTTGTGCGCTGCCTGTTGTACTATTCGCGGATGTTGGCTGCTTTGTGGTCTCGACTTGCGGCGTACTGGATGTTGCGCGCGATGAGAGCTTTGGTCGTTTTCTCGGTGGCATTTCGAAGAGAGGCGGTAGATCCGTGATAGACTAATTGATATAATCTCGTGTTGTATTTCGATTGACAAAACAACGTTTTTTTCAATGTAGATCGTCAAGGTTATGATAATTATGTCTTCGACAGTCAGCTCTTTCAGACGCGGCGGAAGACAAGCGGGAATTAAGCAGTGGTCCGTGCAGGAAATGGCACTGACTATGCCGTCTTTAGACTAGCATCCATTCACAATCTGATTTGTTGACGCGATCCCCGTGTGAGTTCTCTCGTAGTGTTGAGCAAGCCTATGGCGTAGGTGGAAACATGGATGCTGGGGATGATATAGAAGATTCTTTCAAACTCAAGGATCTTTGGCAGACCTCGAGCTTTGCACTTGAGACACTTCCGCCGCTCGAATCGACCCATTTCGATTCGGCCCTTTCAGGTACAATTACCCTCATCTTCTCCGCGCTTAACAGTGACTAACAATAACTACTTTAGATATTCCAAATGGGCTTTTTAGCTCGCCATTACACGACTTTAGTAAAAATGACTCCATACTCTACGAAATCAATGTCTTCGGTACCGATGATACGGAAAACCTCTCGGTCGAGCTCCCCGACGTAGCGCAGTCTAGTACGGACGATGACAATACGGATATCAATTCTACGAGTGAAGATCAAGACCAAGATCAAGACAACCCATGGAATATAGGCTCCCTCCTAGAATATCTTCATGAAGCGCCAACGGGTGGACCGAAACTTGCATCCTGGGATGGTTTCCTGGATCGCCATTATAAGGAACCCGCATCCGCATATCTGAGCGAATTCGGTAACAGAGGATTTGACGCAGCATTATCACATCAAGCTACTGTCAGTGGGCTGGAGAACGCCGGCCGTATAATACGATCGTCGGTATTCTTGGATAGTCTCATTCGTCTCGGACTGGGATGGAATTCCATGCTTTTTCATTATAATGAGCAGAAGAGAGTCTTTGAAAAGAGTATACAGGACATACGTATCACTGGACTCAGTCTTAAAGCTCTTGATAGTATGATTAGTGATATTTCACGATGTGGTACGGATGTCCAGAGAATACGAAAATTTGTACGAGCAAATCCATCAATCACTGACCAGCCTTCTGCGCTGTCAAGCTTGGCCAGTGCTCTCTCTGTATTGCTTTACAGCCTTGAGAAGCAGCTTTCTGGACACTTGCGTGTCAATGTCTCCTTGATACAGGTCCACAATTTGTTTCAAAAATGTGGTCACCTGGTGAGCACGCTGGCAGACATAGCCACAACAGCAGAAAAAGCCCGTAGCGAAAGCGATGTTATTTCTGTGCTTTTGTCTAAAAGTGAAGATTATGAGCAGCGGGTTCCCTGGTTGGCAAATACTCTTCACGAACTTATACGACGGTGTACAAAGCCATGGCTATCGTTAGTTGAGACGTGGATTGGACTGAAGAGCGAAAAGCTTCTTCTCGGTCAAGGGCAATCAATGAGCAACAGCTTCGTAGAAGTTGAGCAATTTCGAAATTTGACCGATACAGCTCTGAGACCGGCTACTGTGGACTATATCTATCACCCGGAATTTGTCCCTTCGTCATTACCATCTGAGCAAGCACGTTTGCTGTTTGAGACCGGAAAGGCACTTCGTTTGCTTAAACAGAATCAGCCGGATCATCCTATTTCAAGATCCGATATCGTCGAAGCTGCAGAAGCTCCGAGCCTTACATGTGCATTCTCTTGGACACATATCGAAGAGATACAAAGAAGAGCTAATGAGTACGAAAGCCGGCTTCGTCGGGAGATAACGAGGTACAACGGTGGTGATACTTCACGGCCTCGTGCTGGGACAAGGCATGGAGAACCAGAGCATGGCAGAAAGGAAATGTATTCAGACGACATCCCTGACAATAATTTTGAGCTCATTGACCTCGACGACGAGCAGCACGTCACTGGGCTACTTGCCAGCAATGCACAGATGGAATCCGATAAGTTGTATCAAGATACCGAAGGAAATGAGTTCTTCAGTCCACAATCACTAATTCAACATGATGCAGCCTTTGGACCACCGTTGGGATCAGTCTTGTACCTCTCTCTAGGTCCAACTCTCGCAGTGCAAGCTAAACTGGTCGACTTTTCTTGTCTACATTTACTCTTCAAAAAATATAAGCTACGATATCATCTTACATTACAATGGCGGTTTCAGCTTCTAGGCGACGGCACATTTTCTTCGCGGCTATCCCACTCTCTATTCGATCCCGAGATGTCAAGCGGCGAGCGAAGATCTGGTGTTGCACGAGGTGGTTTTCATACAGGTTTACGTCTGGGAAATCGAGATACGTGGCCACCCGCTAGCTCCGAGCTCCGACTTGTTCTCATGGGGCTATTGAGAGACTGCTATGATGCTGGTGAAAGCGAGTTGATTCTATCAGCACGGCCAGACGCAGAGGGAAAAGAGTTACCAGGGAACCTCAGTTTTGCCATACGTGACCTTACCGGCAGCGAAATGATAAAATGCAAGGATCCCAACGCGATCGAAGCCCTAGACTTTCTACGTATGCAATACAAACCATCAACCACACTCGAAAGCGTAATAACACCAAAATCACTCGAAAAATACGACCATCTCTTCAAATACCTCTTACGATTGTTACGCATGGTCTCCGTCGTCAACGGTCTCATCCGCGATTCAACGGCACGTACCTCTCTCTCCGGAGATACGCATAACATCTTTCAAGAATTCCGGATTGAGTCTCACCATTTCGTAAATGCTCTGAATGATTATGCCTTTCAGGTCGCGATCGGCATGAATTGGCATCGTTTCGAAAGTGCCTTATCTGCTATCGAATCCTGTATCGACCGTGGCGATATAGACGGCACCATCGAAATCGCTGGCTCCTTGCACAAATTACGCAAATACCACGAAGATGTCCTCGACCAAATCCTTTTCTCGCTTTTCCTAGTAGACCCGAAAAAGCAAAGTCGCCGCAGTTCATCGTTGAAGCAAGTGGCCAAGTTACTACAAGAGATATTCGGCACTATTCTGGCATTTATGCCCCTTTCGAAACTTGATGGGGAACATGGGTTACGAAGTTCGAACGAAAAGACTGTTTATCGTCTTCATGTCACGTTTAGGAAACAGGTGGGCAACTTGGTTCAGTTCTTGAGGGAATTGGATGGAAAGAGGGCTTTGTCGACTTCTTCGTCGAAAGGGGGTGATGCATCTCGGGGGAATGCAGGTGGTATGTCTGCGAGAGGGACGTCCAGTATCTTTGAGTATTTGCTTTTGCGGCTGGATATGAAGCAGTATTACTAGACACGTGGTTGACAACATTAGAATACAGAATGTGGAAACGAGTTCATCAACTGTATCATAATTCGTCGTCACGGTATGTACGTTCTGTCGCGATGCAAATATGTAGCACATCTACATACGCATATATCCAAATCAAACGCCAATGAAATGCGCCCTCTACACAGACAATTTACCTATTTAAAAGAAAACAAGATCATTCTCATCCCACCCCATCTTCAACAACCCTTCCCTAACAGCCTTCTCCATCCCTTTCGGGCCACAAATCAACGCCAAACTATCGCCCGCGGCTGAAGGAGCAGCATATTGTCTCAACAACCCCTCTCCTATTCTTCCCTTGAGCCCCTTCCAGTCACCAGATGGCCTTGTAAGTGTATGCACAATCGTGCAACGCATATCGTTCATCGAGGCGTAAGAATCGAGTTCTTCGCGGCATAGAATGTCTTCTTCCATTCTGTTACCGTCTAACACGACACACTCCGTGGGATCTTGTGTGTTTGTGACAACTGCACGTAAAACCTGATATATAGGCGTGATACCGCTTCCACCGCAAATCATTCGGAAAGATTTGACGGTTCGTTCTTTATCGTTTAATAGGACTCGACCGTGGCCAAGATAGATGAGTTTTCCTATGGGACCCTTGATGTCGACGTTGTCGCCGATTTGTAGTTTGTCGAGTGCCATGGTCATTTTCCCTCCTTTTTCTGTCGTGGTAGGGTTGTAGATTTTTACGAGAAGGTCGAGGGTTCCTTGCTGGTTTGTTTCGGAAATAGGGGTGTATGCGCGGATTATGGATTCTGAGGTCGTTGCATCTTTCAGTTTGACCATAAGATGTTGCCCTGTGGGTAGACCGAGGGGTTGTAGGCCGTAGTCAAGCTTGAAGATGAAGACGCGAGTATCCCATGATATGGAGCGTTTGGCACATAGTTCTGCTTTCTTCCAGGCCTTGGGTTGCAGATACTTTTCATCGGGCGTGTCTGAAGAAGGTTGATTTTGGGATTCGGCGTGCAAGTTTTTTAAAGACTCCTCGTCTAATGTGCCAATATGATAGTCTGGCATCATTGCTTTGGCCGTTTCACTGTCTGTAGCCTTGTCAGGGTTGATCCTTGTGCTAGAATGAGCAAACTTACGAATTGCAAGGAATTCCTCAGATACATCCATGCCTGCTGCGGACACGATGCTCTGAGCACCACCGGGATGACCTTCCAAAAACTTTGCGCCATCATATACCTCACCATTCACAACGAACCAAGGCTCTTGCCCTGAAACATGAGCCTTGAGCTTTGCAAGATTGATAACACGGTCAAGGCCTTCCTTCTTCATACTAATCTCTTCCACTGCTTTTTGATTAGACTCTGCCTCTTCAGTATTCATAACCTCGCCCCAATGACCATTCGCAAGATCTCCACCAGCTCTTTTTACTCTTTCCATCCATCCACCGGGCATAAGAGCTGGTTGTGTAGGATGCTCAAATCTGATAACATCGCCATCCTTGACAATTGCAACCCTGAACCAAGGATTATTCATCATACCTAGAACAGACCAGTACATATCTCGTGGTTGAATACTGAGAGCTTCATCCATGGCACGAACAAGAATTGCGTCGCTTTCGGTAAGGTCAGTGACAGGAATATCGAGATTCCAGAAACACCAGCAGAAACATGTTTCGCGCCAGTACATGTCGACTTTGCCGCCAAAGAGATCTGATTCGAAGTCGCGGTATTTGTCTTCGGGATATTCTATGTTTGCAAGGCGCCAGGCTATGAATATGTCAATTTCAATTGAACGTAAGGTCAACTGACGACACGGGTGACTTACATTTTCCTTTATCTAACGATATCTCAACTCTGTTGATTCGTCTACCGCCTCCAGCGTATGCGTATCCCCTTGCAGTATACGTCGGACCGGCAGTTGCAGGCATCAATTCTCCATCATGCTGAGGATACACCACAGCTGAATTGACATTAAGGTCATAGATAGCATATCGATCATCATACCACCACTTGGACTCTATGGCAGATTGTTCTGGTGAGACCATTGTCCTGGAGTCTATCAGCAAGCGTTCTTATAGCTTCGTTGTAGGAGTCAACTTACGGAAGAACTCGATTATCATAGATGTGGTACCAGTTATCGCTAGGCTTGTCAGTCACAATCAACTTTGTCAACCACTTGACGCTTCGGCCACCGATTTGCCCTGGTACTACAGCCCTAAGGGGCCGGCCGTGGTCAGGACGGAGATCTTCGCCATTCATTTTGTGGGCGAGCATAATGCCTCGATTGGGATCCATGACCCAGTTGAGCTTGACTGATGTACCGTAATATCCGTTCGGCTGAGAGGGAGTTAGTATGCAAGCCATTAAGACTTGGATGGAGATATGTCATACCAGTTTATCTGCCCCTTCCATACAAATATATTTGGCCGTTCTCATTGGCTTTGCTCGTTTAATGATGTCCCGCATCATAGGGCCCGTGAACAGGGCGGTTGAGACACCCGCTGCTCCCCATGAGAAGCCTTTGGACTTGCGAACTTGGTTCTGCTCTTTGCGTCGGTTGCCGGCGCATACAAGAGTTATGGGAGCGGTGATCTGGTCGAATTCTTGCAGGATCTGTTGAAAGTTGAGGACAATGGGGTTTTCAACAAGACTAGAATACTGTGAGTAAATCACAAACAGGTGAAGTCAAGGTGGACTTACCCTTCGATGCTAAGTTCCCAGCTTGGGATGTCTTCATCCCGAACTCGTGGGACCGGTCCATGATTTCTGACGTAGAATAGCTCTGGGGATGTCAAGAAGCCTTCAAACGAATTAGTCAGTTTCTTATACCAAATCCTGCAATGCGCGATACGAACCCTCTTTAAACAGTGCTGTCAGTGGAGGCTCAACATTGAACGGATGAACGCCAGTCAGCCTAATCAAACGAGGATCACGGGGTACATGGCTATCTGGCGTGTCCCGATCCACACTCAAAATCTCAGTTGGTGCTTTCGACGGTGGCGGAAGAGGAATATCGGGTAGTATTTCAGAGACGGTAGAAGTGCTGTCGATATCACTTTGTGATATCGACGTGTTATCGGTGTCACTAGAGACAGGCAGAGAAAATTCCAACACTCCCTGCTTGTGTTGGGTGTATGTCTGCGTTGTTGTAGTAGCCATTTCTATCTTCACAAGTAGCAGATATCATTCTCCGTCTATTCACTGCTACAGTTCAACGAGTCTTGACGTATAAGAGAGTTGAGTTTGTAAGAGAAGTAGTCAAACGAGAGCTACTGGACTGGACATTAGTAGTAGGACAGACTTAGGGTTGGACCCGGCCGGGACCCATAGGGCTGGAACTGGAATATAGTGGTCGTTCTGAGCCACAGAGTCGCAAAGTGATGCCCCGCGGAAATCCAGCGTACCCCAACACTCGCCGGTCAAAATGACGATGTACGTACTAAGAGAGACTTCCAGAACAGCCGGCCATGCCCGCCATCTGCTCCCACACCCAAAGCTGAAGCAATTATTGGTCCACGGCAGCCGCGAAAATTCTTCTCTAGACAATGTGGATACAGGGAGAGTCTCGAGTCCAGTGGCAAGACTTTCAACGCATTATTTCTGTCTTTTCGTCCCCTCAGAACATTTCCACGGCGACGATAATGGGAGGTTACTCAATCGGGAGACTGATTAGGGCAAAATGCACTCTCTTATCTCCCGCCAATCAGAGAAACCCAAAATGCGAGTTTATCAGCTCCACTCGTTCCGCGGAGCCTTTCTCCTGGTAGATCTTTGAGATCTTAAAACATCAGAAGATGCTTGCGTGATGTAAATACGTAGCGACTGCGATTGAGGCGGGCACCTACCCTCCGCTATCGTAGGTCATGTCACCGGCAATCTGGATAGTACGTAACTTAGAATTAAGGCCTATTGCAAATATCTCAGGGTCGTCCCTTTTGTATCTTATATGGTTGGGCATTGCATCTTCCAGATTAAATCTACATAGACCCCACGGGGCTCTGCTTCTTCCATTCATTCTCACGTAAATTTGAAAGTACCACAGAAGGCGGCACAGTGACCACCATGGCGCCGTTGATGCATTCAGATTCGTCGATAGAAGGCGTCATTCCTGGCGTCGACAGTCATCGTGAGAATGCGGTATCTAGTCGCAAGAAGATTGTCATTGTTGGGCTTGGAATGGTCGCTATTTCGTTCATGTACGCATACACCGCATTCTAGCAATTTCATTCATTCCGAAGAGACTGACGTGAACAGTGAGAAAATCATGAAATGGGATGCCGAGCGACGACAATACGATATAGTAGTGATTGGTGAAGAATCGCATCTTGCATATAACAGGGTCGGGTTGTCGACTTTCTTCGAACACCGCAAAATCGAGGACTTGTATTTGAATTCACAAGAATGGGTGAGTTGAAGGGCTATGTGGTACAAAGTTTGCACGTCTGACTGTAACAGTACTCTTCCTTCACAGATGGATCATTCAATTATCACTTAAACACACTTGTGACGGAGATCGATCCAACGAGAAAACAAGTACATACATCAGCCGGAGACTGGATATCCTACGACCTGCTCGTGCTTGCAACCGGTTCCGATGCCGTGCTTCCAGAGTCGACACCTGGCCACGACGCCAAGGGGATATTTGTATACAGAACAATCGATGATTTGGAACGATTAATCGAATTCGCATCTCATCACAAAGGCGAAACCGGTGTCACGGTTGGCGGTGGTCTGCTCGGTCTTGAAGCAGCCAAGGCAATGACAGATCTGCAGGATTTTGGTAGCGTCAAGCTTGTTGATAGGAACAAATATGTCCTTGCACGACAGCTAGATGCCGACGCTGGGTCATTGGTAACCGAGAAGATTCGGGAATTGGGCTTGGATGTCATGCACCAGAAGAGAGTTGCGCGCATAGAAACGGATGAGGGGAACAATGTTACTGGTATCACGTTTGCAGATGGCGAAAGAATTGATTGCTGCTGTATCTGTTTTGCAGTATGTCCACCGTTCAATCTGTTTTAAGGAATATGCTGATTTGGCATAGATCGGAGTCAGACCACGAGATGAATTGGGTGCCAAAGCCGGCATTGAATGTGCTCCTCGCGGAGGATTTGTCATAAATGAGAGGTATGAAAAGACCGATCAGACACTCGGAAATGCCATTGACTTTTTAGCCTTGAAACCTCTATATCGGATATCTACGCCATCGGAGAGTGCGCCAGTTGGGAGAACCAAACATTCGGTATCATCGCCCCCGGAATCGAAATGGCAGACGTACTTTCCTATAACCTCACACATCGAGGCGAAGATCCAAAGGGATTCCAGCGTCCGGACCTGAGCACAAAGCTGAAATTGCTTGGCGTCGACGTAGCCAGTTTTGGCGATTTCTTTGCGGACAGAGACGGGCCCAAATTCTTGCCTGGCCGACGAGCTTCAACTGAACGAATCAGACCGTTTGAGATGTCAGAACAACGGAAAATCTCTACCAATAAAGTCAAGGCGTTGACGTACAAGGACCCTTTTGGTGCTGTCTATAAGAAATATCTCTTTACGATGGATGGAAAATACCTGTTGGGTGGTATGATGATTGGCGACACTAAGGATTACATCAAATTGAACCAAATGGTAAAGTCTCAGAAGGAGCTGGACGTTCCTCCCAGTCAATTTATTTTGGGCTCGCAGAGTGGTGGAGAGGAGAATGCCGACGATCTGTGAGTCTAGTGCGGTTGATTAATTGGTAATCGTACTGACAGGTGTAGGCCCGACGATACCCAAATTTGCTCTTGTCACAATGTCACCAAAGGTGATGTTGTGGAAAGTATTAAAAATGGCACTTGCTCGACAATCGCACAGGTCAAGTCTTGCACCAAAGCTGGAACCGGGTGTGGAGGCTGTATGCCCCTAGTTCAGTCTATATTCAACAAAACCATGCTTGAAATGGGGCAGGAGGTTTCCAACCACCGTAAGTTGATGACCATCTTCTGTTGTCAAGATACTAATGATATCTAGTATGCTCCCACATCCCCTGCTCCCGCGCAGACTTGTATAACATTGTGGCCATCAAGCAATTAAAAACTTTCGAAGAAGTCATGAAAGCATGCGCAAAAAACCCAAACTCACTTGGCTGTGAACTCTGCAAACCAGCCATTGGTTCCATCTTGTCCAGTCTCTACAACCCTCACTTAATGGACAAACCTGTCCACGAACTTCAAGACACAAACGATAGGTTCTTGGCAAACATTCAACGGAACGGAACGTTTTCTGTTGTCCCCCGTGTCTCTGGGGGTGAAATCACTCCCGACAAACTCATCACTATCGGCCAAGTTGCGAAGAAATATGGCCTTTACTGTAAGATTACTGGTGGGCAGCGAATTGATATGTTTGGTGCAAAGAAGCAGGATCTTCTTGCTATATGGACTGAGTTGGTAGAGGGTGGTATGGAAAGTGGTCATGCTTATGCCAAATCATTGCGAACAGTCAAGGTTTGTTTTCCGTGCGCTTGGACAGGACAGGAGCTGACTGGATTAATAGAGTTGTGTGGGAACTACTTGGTGCCGATTCGGCGTCGGTGACAGTGTCGGTATGGCTATACGACTTGAGGAACGATACAAGAGTATTCGCGGGCCTCACAAATTCAAGGGTGGTGTGTCTGGTTGCGTGAGAGAATGCGCCGAGGCACAAAGCAAAGAGTAAGCTCCATTCCTACATTTATCGAGATTTACCCACTAACCCGTAATAGCTTCGGCCTGATTGCTACCGACAAAGGCTTCAACATCTTTGTTGGCGGTAACGGAGGTGCTAAACCGAGACACGCCGAACTTCTAGCCAAAGACGTACCTCCCGAAGAAGTAGTTCCAATCCTCGACCGTTTCCTCATCTTTTACATTCGCACCGCCGACAAACTACAGCGTACAGCGCGATGGATTGAGAATCTCCCCGGAGGTCTCAAGTATTTACAAGAAGTAATTCTAGAGGACAAGCTCGGTATCTGTGCAGATATGGAGCGACAAATGGAAGAACTCGTCGGCAGCTTTTTCTGTGAATGGACAGAGACCATCAATAACCCTGAAAGACGAAAATACTTTGAACAATTTGGCAACACCGAGGAGACTATTGAGACGATTGAAGTTGTTAAGGAGCGTCACCAGAGCAGACCTGCATACTGGCCCAAGGACGGCGCAAATGAAGACTTCCGGGGTCATCAGTGGTCCAGCCTATCGTGGCAACCAATCATCCAAGCCAGCCATTTCAGCGACTCCAAACCAGAAGTATCATCTACCAATGTCAAGCGGGGTGATACACAACTGGCAATCTTCAAGATCAAGGGCAAATACTACGCCACCCAACAAATGTGTCCTCACAAACGCGCATTTGTGCTTTCTGACGGCCTGATCGGTGACGACGACGCCGGCAAATACTGGGTATCCTGCCCCTACCACAAACGCAACTACGATTTGAACGGTGAACAAGCTGGTCGATGCTCCAATGACGAGACCATGAACATTGCTACTTTCCCTGCCGAAGAGCGGGAAGATGGTTGGGTCTATCTCAAATTACCGTCTACAGAAGAACTAGATTCTGTCCTTGGGACGGAGAAATGGAAGATTAAGAGTACTGAATCTGAGGATCCGTTTGAGAAAGTGGATAAGAAGTACAAGGGTACGAGGGGGAAAAAGATTGGTGATGTCCATGTTGCCGTTAAGGAGGTTTCTCCTTGTGGCGGTGGTAATAGTATCGATTGGTGATGTATACGAAGTCAGATTACAAGGTATGAACATGTGTTATAGGGTTACTGCCTACGGCGTTTGTTGTTGTTTAGGATATACCATTAGGATTATACTTCTATATTTCTCCAACTGTCGTCTGTAAATGTATCCAAAGTAGGGCAACATAAATCACGTGCGCACCATTAACCACTTCCGTCAGGAACATCATCCCTCATCCAATCACAATCGCCCAATTCCTTATCAACAAGCGGGTCTCGGTCCCCACATGGTCGAATCATTAGCGGCTTGACTCTTGGCTTATCAAAATCCATTCTCCAAACACTTCCATGAGGCTATCTAATCTCTCGATGAATCTCCAGCTGATTTTACATCGTACGTAGTCATATATCCACAAATATAATATCCACTGATTGTCCGGAGAAGTCCTCCGCGGACGCCGACGTTTATTCAGATGTGACTAAACTTTGTTATTTTTTGCCTTATGCCTTGGCTTGCATTTTGGATAGTTTCCGAGTGTTATGTTACTATCCATGAATCTGCTAGCTATCCAGTATTTATCGCATCGCCGCGACTCCGGATAGCATGGTTAGACGTATGTGAAGGTCTTGCTGCCTTGGCTGGCTAGGGTTGGTGTTGGGCTCGAGTCTCTAGACACTGGACAGAAGACTGATGTACGTTTGCTCCCGTCCAATGGGACGTAAAATTGTTATCTTGAATTATTTTTGGTACGTATTGCTTTTTTCTCCGCGTAACCAGGACGTTGTAGATCAATACACGTCTACTCCGTGCTCCGTACTCCTTATTCTTCTCTTTTTCAAAAGGGTCAAACACATGTGTTTGACGTCCCAAACTGTGGACTGCATATCTATAGACGTACGGCTCCTTCTTTAATGCGCTTCTGGCGCGAGCCTTCTAGGCCTCAGCCTCCTTATCAGTCCAAACTCCAGAGTCAAATTTAAAGTACAATTTAGTGTCCAGCCCTGACGCTACCTCTCCCTTAAACGTTTTGAGTTTTGTTATATCAACCTCAAATGTCAATCTAATCGCCCGCGGAAATGCTTCCGGTGAGCTCTATAACTCCAGAACTCGATATAGATTCACTTTGATATGATATACTGTGGATTGTGGATGATGTCAAACATATATCAATATTCATCTATATATGTCCATTGTTCTTGCTTCCATGGTTCACTTGACAAAATCATCATCAACAATACCTGATTCGATAAACCCCAAACAGCAACACGGAGATACCGATATCAATGGTACAATCGATCCACCCTATACACCGCTTTATTAACAAGAAATTAGCTAGAATAGCCTTAACAAACTCACATTGTTCGACTCAACTTCCACCCCATACTTAAATCACCATCGGGTGACCAACCGACACAATGCCTTCCTCCAACATGATTACAAGCATGTTCAAGGCCCCTGAAATCAATCCCCTCACATACAAAGCATTATCAATCCCGATTTTAAATCCGATCAATCGATATGGAAGAGTATTTTTCTTCTCATGGCTCGGATTCTTTGTTGCGTTTCTGTCGTGGTTCGCTTTTCCACCTTTGGTGAGATTGTCCCTTGATGTCTATGCAAGTTGATGTGCTGACTGGTTTAGTTAACTGCCACTATTAAGAAAGACCTGGGTATGACCCAGGCAGATGTAGCCAATTCTAACATTGTAGCACTATTAGCTACGTAAGTACCTGTTGGACACTCTATCAAAGAGATTCGACATACTAACATTGAATAGCCTGCTCATGCGATTCATCTGCGGGCCCCTATGCGATAAATTCGGCCCTCGATGGGTATTCATCGGCGTCTTATTATGCGGCGCTATCCCCACCGCTATGGCAGGTCTGGTTACCAGCCCCGGCGGCTTGATTGCCCTAAGATTCTTCGTCGGCATCCTCGGTGCCAGCTTTGTGCCTTGCCAAGTATGGACCACGGGATGGTATGATAAGAGTGTTGTCGGTTATGCGAATGCCCTTGCGGCTGGATTTGGTAATGCTGGTGGTGGTGTGACTTAGTATGCATTTCCCCTTTTTCTCTCGTTGAGAAGAAGTTTTTGCTAATGGTATGTACTAGCTTCGCAATGCCGGCAATCTTTGACTCGCTTGTCCATGACCGCGGTCTCTCTGATCACAAAGCCTGGAGAGTCGCATACGTCGTCCCATTTATCATCATCACCGCCGTCGCATTGGGCATGATTTTCACCTGCGACGACACCCCAACCGGGAAATGGTCAGAACGCCATCTAGGAGGCGCCGAAACTCCCGTCATCGCATCCACAAACCCGGACTATCCCAATTCCCGATCAGCCCTTTCTTCCGGCACAACAACTCCAAGGGTCCCCAACGAAAAGATTGACAGCAAAATCACTTCTTCCTCATCCGACTCCGAAGCTCAGGTCGATAGTTCTAACGGCGCCGTCATTGACGAATTGATTGTCGCACCAACATGGCGCGAAACGTTACAAGTCGCTTGCAGTCTTCAAACAGTTTCCCTCGCCGCCCTATACGCTTGCTCCTTCGGTGCCGAATTAGCCCTCGACGGCGCCCTGGGCAGTTACTACTCCAAAAACTTCTCACACATGGGACAGACCAAATCCGGTCAATGGGCAGCCATGTTTGGTCTTTTGAATGTCGTCACTCGTCCTCTTGGGGGTTATATTGCAGATGTTATTTACCGACATACTTCCTCGGTGTGGGCTAAGAAGATTTGGTTGACGTTCTTGAATGTTGTGACTGGTGTATTTTTGCTGGCTATTGGCCTTACCAACCCGCACAGTGAAGCCACCATGTTTGGATTGATGGCTGGAATGGCGTTTTTCCTTGAAGCTGCTAATGGGGCTAACTTTGCCTTGGTGCCGCATGTTTATCCTTTTGCCAATGGTAGGTCTACAAACATCTCAGACCTGTGAAGAAGATTCTTGCTTACTTTCGATAGGTATCGTCTCCGGCACAGTTGGCGCATTCGGAAACCTTGGAGGTGTCATTTTCAATATTGTCTTTAGATATAACGGCACCCACTACGAGCGATCTATCTGGATTATGGGGGTCATCACCTTGGGTATTAGTGTCGTGCAATCCTGGATTCGGCCTGTTCCCAAGGAAGCCCCCAGTGCAGTAAAGCATTGATATAACGATACATTACCTTGTTACGAAATTATTTTTTTTTTCATAGACTATTCCAGGTTTAGCAAGTACTTGTTGCGACTTCTAATTCATCGTTACTCTTCTAAACGCTTCTATTTCTTCTATCGTTGAAGTCGGTCGACTAATGGATTGATTGGCTTACCCTAGCTAATCATGGACTGCGGAGTCGCTGGGTCTAGGTTGCATATGGTGACGACGATGTACAAATTCCATGTCTAGAGTTGCAGCGGGTTGTCTGGGATAAATATATCGGAGCTGGCCGGTCCAATAATGAACTGTCGCATACCCCTCTATCCCTGTAACTAGAATAAGTTCAATGACGGGCAGAAGATGAAACTAAGACTCTCAATGTTGGAGAGGGGTAATCTTGATATTGGATCGGTCGGCCAAGCGGAACAACGATATGAGCGCAACACAGTTCAGAGACTGATAGTTCGTAGTCGTATATTCATCGTGAACCACATAACTGTATAGATCTCTGTAAATGTAGGATGACAGAGACAAGGATAGGATGAAGTGTTGAAGATGACACAAACGCTAAGCCGTATTCGGCAGAACGGGGCCCGCGCTCGGCACGTGTTTTGGCAGACTAGTGCTATTTCAAGCCCTCTCATTGGCTGCTGTCCCCACGTGAGTGCATGTCGAGCCTGAAGTTAAAGGCAACAAGGCAGAACAAGAAGCCATCCGTGGAAATACCGAGCTGAGGTTCATTCGGTGGGTTTTGCGGGGAAAACAAAACAACGTCGCTTTGGACCCCGATCTCCTTTCATCTCAACTTGTTCATCTAATCCTTACGTTACACGACAACAGAAAAACCGTCTATGGATGGTGGTGCTGTCCCATGTCCACGCCATCCTGTGTCCGCGAGAATGAGTTATGTCGTCGTTGGAGAAGGAGACTCCTTTTATCACCATGAACGAAACTGAAACCACCACCAATCCCGCCACAACCTCCAACAATAAACCCATCAATCCGAGGTCTCGTATATTTCGTCCATGTCTGACTTGTCGGCGACGCAAAATTAGTGTTTGTATTCTTGAAAATTTATATCCGGCATGTCCCTAGGCTGATTTGGAGGATAGTGCGATAAGACCAGACCCAAATGCAAGAGATGCGCGCAAACCGGATATCAGTGCGAAGGATACGGCGAAGAACGCCATTTCGTCTATGTCATCCCAACCCGATCCTCAACTCCATCAGACGGTAGCGGAAGCGGCAGCAGCAGTCGGAAGAATAGCAGCGGCAACAGCAAAGACACTCACAACTCGAAAAAAGTCACACTCCGATCCTCTCGGCAGTTACCACCAGAACACCAGCAACAACAATTATGGCATCATCATCAAACACAGCAGTTTCGTTCGCCACACACTCCCAGTGCGACGACGATCCATTCACCAGCCGTCAACCGTTTACAGATTGTATCCTACTTCGTCGACCGGTATCTTCCCAATCGTATGGCGCAGCAAAACGGGAATGTCACAGCAATGACATGGTTAATGGGTCTACCGCAGTTGTTGGGAAATTGGAAGATCTTAGATATGGCTCTTTCGGCTTTATCACTTGCATATATAGGGGATATACACGGAAACCCGCAAACGTCGCGCCAGGGAGAACAATATTATAATCAAGCTTTACAACAAATGAGAGTCGGATTGACTCGCAATCAGATAGATGAAGGGATGCTTGCGTCCTGCATCTGCCTGTCAATGTATGAGGTGCGTCTACCCTTTCCTTTGCAACGAATCTGTAGGCTGACTACTTGAAGATATTTCATACCAGTGAGGGGGGAACGAACGGGTGGATGTTTCATGTAAAAGGGGCATGTCGATTACTCGAACTCAGAGGCCCACCGTCAGCCACAGCGCCTCTTGATATGAATCTCTATCGTCGAATACGAGCTGTAGCAGTAAGCTCTTGCCCGCCCAATTTGTCTGCCTGTGACTAATATTGTAGCTCTGGGACTCTTATGCAAGTGGTGAAACTTCGTTTTTGGCAAAGCCCGAATGGCGCGGCTTATCCGACACACCTTACGATTTATTACTAGATATCCTCCTCCGTCTCACCTCCTTACTCTCAAGGGCAGATCAGATCGAAACCATGGCTACAAAGGGTGATGAAACCGGAGCAGCAGAGGCTGCCCAAAGATTGATGTGGAGATGTCATTCTCTGAGAGACGAACTAGTCACTTGGTACGCAGATTTCCAGACTAAGGAGACAGGTCCACTCTTTTACCTTGAGCCCGAAGAACAACATCCGTATCTCGATCCCGATTCAGAATTGAACGGTGTATTCCCGGATAGTGTCACATTTCAGACTCCTTATATCGCTCAATTATTACTGCTATATTGGTACGGCGAAGTCATCGTCCACGGCGCCATGTCAATTGCCCATCGATATCTCTGGGGCCAAAGCCCAACAAATCCAGAATCTTCCGGAACAACACCATCCTCCACCGCATCACCATCTACAACCGCATCAGTCACAACCGAAAAACTCACAGAAGCCCGCCAACAAATGACAATGCTCGAAGGCGAAACATTAGCCAACATCGAAATAATCGGCGAATACTTTGCCGCCAAAATCTGCCAGGCCATGGCCGGCTGTGGTCGAAACAGTCTGCAAGGGTACGGGTTTCAGACTGCTATGGTACCGCTTTGGGCTGCTCAGCAATATTACTTGGATCGCTCGACACGCAAGTATCTGTGGTGTCGAACTGTGCTCATGAATTTTAGCAGAAAGGGGTTTGTGGTTGCACAGAACTTGGGCTCGTTGGCCTTGAGTCAGTACCCTGGTCGGTATGTGAGTGGTAAATCTGTTGTGGAAGAACATATACTATAACCTCTGCTCCCGATATAGGCAGAGATATTTATTTTTTGCTTGTTATTTTGGAGTCTGGGAGTCATGAATCATGAGAACACGATGGAGTATAGGGAAGATTTCCAACGAACTTTCATGGATAACATATTTGACTGCTGTGTACTTCTTGGGACTGTATCATATGGTTCAAATGTTTTCAACTGGATTGCGGCTGGGTTGGCGAGGATGGAGTGCAAGGACTATTGAGAATGTCATATTTGGCTTTATGTAATGATAACTTATCACTTCATTTACAAAATTAATGTTAGACTTATATATTATGTATACAATGTACTAGCTGCAATGACGATGCTGACTATATAACATTATCATGGGTATCATTATCCCATGTATTGACCAAGCTTCATCCAAACCCTAGCCCAAGCCAAAAAGATAAAAGAAACGCCAATCCATCATATCCGTCATATCCGTCAAACGCCTTGCAATGGGTGAACAGCGACACCAGAAGAAGAAGAAGGTACGAGATAAGACAAATAAGCAAGCAAAGGAAGAGAAATCAATCAACAGCAGGAGTCTCCAAATCCTTCAAAAACTCCCACCCAGTCTCTTCCTCCGGCTTCTCCGGCTCAAGACCAACAGCTGACCTCAAAGCCCTAACCTCCGACTGTAAGGCCTGAATAATCCTCGTCGGTGCCTGATCCTCTTCACACCTCAACCGATACGCGGTCCGCAACATCTCCGCCAACCGCATCGTCTGCGCATGCCAATGATCCCGATCCAAACGACTGGCCAAATGAGCATCGCGCTCGGCTTGGAGGAGGGCATTATATTCTTTCTTTTGTGCGAGAAAGTACATGTTGTTGTTTTGGCAGTAGTTGCGGATCTGTTCGACCATTATGCCCATGCTGGTTTCGAATTCGCCGATTAGGGTTGTGTTTTCGAATTGTTCGCGCTCAAGGGCTTCAACAGTTCGACGTTCGCGGGCTAGGGCGCGTTCGAGCTCGGCGATTCGAGCGGCTGTTTCCCATCGTTTCAACACAAACTTTCTATGGAGCTGGAGCTGGCGGTGGGAAGAACTAACCTGATATTTCTCCGCTGACTTGATTTATATCCGGACTCGTGCCCTCAGCAGTAGATCGGCGCTGCATCCTGTTAACCATCCTCTCCTTCACACATTCAAGCAAGATACACACCATTATCTCCTCAGCACTAGCAACAATGCCCCTCGTCATTTCACGATTATTCTTCAGAATATCGCTAAACTCCACCACCATATCATATAAATTATTCAAATCCATCTGATGTCCCGCATTCATCGGTAGACCGTTCATCATCATATTATTGTTATTATTGCCCATATTATTACCACCAACACCATTTCCAACTCCTCCACCGCCGCCGCCGCCGACACCGTTCATCTGTTGTGGGGATGGAGACATTGATTGACGAGACATATTTGCCATATTCACGACGTTAGGTGAGTTGTCCATATAATTTCCCATTGCAGCGCTGCTGGTGCTGTTTGTGGTCCTGTTGCTCTCTCGTGTAGGAGCGTCAGAGAACAGTCCGGGAAAATCTAGGGGCATACTGCAGGTTAAGTCATTTGAAAGGTTTGGTGGAAGTTCTGCAAGTTGTATTGTGTGTGTGTACAAAGGTGTTTTGTTGTTATACTCACTTAGTTCTTCGTCACTTCGTGTAAGCCATTGAGATGGCGTTGACAGGTCTCTTTCTATTGGACAGGAAGTGAGTCCAGAGTCTCTGAAGCGCAGACCGCCTACTTGACGAGGACTAGTCAACTAACGTGTTCTATATCACGTGATTCAATGTTTATCAGAGAATGTTTTGTGATTTTCTCCTTTTAAAGCTAAAGTATGTCTTAAAGGGTGAGGATAGTCTAATCTCTAGCTGCTTCGGTCAGTTGGGAGACCAATTTCGAGATGCTATATACAGGTACCCAAAGGCTCGAAGAAGCAATTGCCAACAGCACTGGTGTGATAAACGTCTGGTATCCATGATCATAGGCTGATGTTTTGACATAGCTGGGCGTCTAAAGATAATGCCCAGGCAGTCTAGCTTCAATCGTCGATGGATGCTGGCTCCGTATATAGATGAGCCGAGCTAGTTCCATGCCTATCGACCATCTACAGCACGATGGCCGTGTACGGGAAACATTGTACTTATCTATATGGCTGCGCCATGCCTCAAGTCATATCCAGCAGCGCAGCCAATCTTTCTTCATGGTCTGTAGAAGGAATTGTCTCAGACCCATCATCACCCGTCCGAACAACCCGACTACTACTGACCCTTCCAGCAACCCTTGCCACCAACATTCGCATTTTATCAATCTCTCGAACCAACTCACCGTCTCTTGTAACTAGATTTGGTTGGATGTTTTCCTGTGGATTCTTGAACGGCTCAAGGAGGGCTTCTAGCTGCTTATATTGGGCTAATTGTTTCTGTTTTTCTTGTCGTTTGTTATGTAGAGCGACGAGACGTTTGTAGAGGGCTTCGTATCTGCAATCTCGTATCAGTTATATATCGTCGCGTAAGGATAAGACGTGGAGAGTATACCGTTCTTTCTTCTCGGGCGAGGCATCGTCTCCACGGTATTGCGACGGTAGTTTCTCAATGACTCTGAAACGCGATTAGTCTATGATAATTGTGCACTTCGTGAAGTGAATGCGTACAAATAATTCGATAGATCCGAGCCAATTTCTATTCCCGTCGAACCTCGATTAGGATTGAGTATTTCGCTCTTAACCGACTCCCAATGCAAGCTTTCAATCTGTCGCGCAATGTGTTGGATTGCTTGATTCGAATAAACGACGCGATTGTGCTGCTTTAAAACCGTGTTCACTAGGAAACAATTATCAGTCACCAGTAGCTTTAATCGCTGCCATCACGTTGAACGAACACTTTTGTAAAACTTCCTCGACGACCTTATCACTCAAATCATCCTCTGTATCTGGAGCAAAGTCTCTCCATCCTTCCTGAGGCGCAATGGACGCGGAAAGAATTCGAATTTGGTTTCGAATGAAGGAGGTTTTGAGTTCTGCTATTGTTCGTGATTTCTCCATAGTGGTCTGTTTTGTATGGTTGTTGTTTGCTTAAAAAGCGAAGATGCAAGCATGTTGATGTAGGTCACGTGTTGATAAACACGAACGCGATTGTCATCCCCGCGTCTAATGATAAGGACGTTCTCAACTAATGGCATTATTTTCATACCGATTGCCCTTCTACATGGCTTTTATGATAATAGGATTGGTAGCTGAGTCAAGATGAGACACGATTTGACCTTGGATATCTAATTGTCTAACAAGTGCGCCTCTTTCTATTTGATAAATCAATCGCTGGAACGTGCAAGTAAATCGTACCGGCTATATTTACATCTTGCCTCGGTAAATTAGGTTATCAACTTGGAATCTGACAACGATTCAATCTTGAAATACCTGCAGTCAAGCCCTTCCAATGATGCGAACTTGTGACTATACCCCTTGATTAATCTATGTTTTCGAAATCATGGCTGGATCAAACCCGCCTCGTGCATTTCTTTTTGACGTTGGCGGAGTTTGTGTAAGATATATCTTATCCCGCGCATCCAGCCCGTGGCGAACAGTGCTAACAAATGTATAGGTCGTGTCACCATTTCAAGCAATTCTAGACTATGAGAAATCGAACGGAATTCCTCCAGGATGGATAAATTTCAGCATCTCACGAACATCACCAAACGGCACATGGCACAAACTAGAGCGCGGTGAGATATTACTAGATGCCAACTTCTTTGAAGGCTTCAGGCGAGATCTCCAGCAACCTCATTTATGGAAAGAGTATCATCAACGATTGCAACAAAAAGAAGGAAACTCTTCTACGATGGCCGAGAGTCTTCCGCCTCTGCCCAATATCGATGCAGAGTTTCTGTTCTGGGAGATGATGCGTGTATCTCGTGAACCAGATCCGTTCATGTTCCCTGCCTTGGGGAAATTGAAGGCATCGGGAAAATACTTGATGGGCGCATTGTCTAATACAGTCATCTACCCACCTGGTCATCCCTACAGTGAGGATACAATAGGGCTACGGAAACAATTCGACTTTTTCATCTCTTCAGCACATACTGGTCTCCGCAAGCCACATCCAGAGATATATGCGTATGCACTGGAAAAGATCAATGAAGTTGCGGCGCAGAAGGGTTATTCTCCGATCAGTGCATCTGAGATTATATTTCTGGATGATATTGGAGAGAATTTAAAGGCAGCTAAGAAGGCTGGTTTTGGAACGATCAAAGTTGTGCTTGGAAAATCGCAGGATGCGGTCAAGAAGTTGGAAAATATCACTGGTCTTCAGCTGTTGGATAGTAGTGATAGGCCAAAGCTATGATATGCATATTCGAACTGGAATATTTGTATGAAGTCGTAAGATGCTTGATTCTTTCCAGCTGGTGTATTCTTCGATGTTGTGATGCTGGCTAACCTGTAGATATATCGAGGGAGATATGCTGAGTCGCATAAAGACATAACCTCTATCAAGAATCAATATTAAAACTTCAAATTTTTCTAGAATTGAATATTCTATCGTGCCCATAAAATTGTTGATGTGTCGTCGCCCACCTCAAACTGGAGATGGTTCGTGGCCGACCTTTTTACCCGCAAAAGCTTCGACTGGCGCTAAGCGAAGCACCCGCACAAAAACCCTATCTACTTATCCCGCACTCTTCCTCGAATTTTTTTCCCAGTCTTGCAGTCAAGCGTACTCGATAGTCAACAGTCTACGACAAAACCGTCAAGATGGTGAGTTGATACGATCCTGACAATGGCTGATTCACGCCATTTTTATATCTCTTAAAAATCCTCCGAATTGTGTTCTTAGAGTCGTGCAAGATGCTTCGGAGGGGGGATTTCTGAAGCGCAAATTGCTGACTCGCTTGTAGCCTTTCACCAAGCTCGTCAAGAACAGCGCGTACTACAGGTGGGTTTATTATCTTCTATTTCCGGAGATGAATTGTGGTTGCTGACATTATTCCAGTCGCTACCAGACCAAGTACCGCCGTCGTCGTGAGGGAAAGACAGATTACTATGCCCGTAAGCGCTTGATCACCCAGGCCAAGAACAAGTACTCTGCCAGGAAGCACCGTCTTGTCGTAAGTTCACCACAACTGTGGTCTTGAGACTCCAATTTAACACTCGACAGGTGCGCTTCACCAACCGCGATATCATCACCCAGATTGTCTACTCCGAAATCACCGGTGACAAGGTTATCGCTGCCGCTTACGCCCACGAATTGAAGCGCTATGGAATCGAGCACGGTTTGACCAACTGGTCCGCTGCTTACGCCACCGGTCTCCTTCTCGCTCGCCGTGTTCTCAAGAAGCTCGAGCTCGACGAGACCTTCGAGGGTGTTGAAGAGGCTGACGGTGAATACACCTTGACCGAGGCTGCTGAGACCGACGACGGTACCCGCCGCCCCTTTAAGGTCTTCTTGGATGTCGGTCTCGTCCGTACCTCCACCGGTGCCCGTGTCTTCGGTGCCTTGAAGGGTGCTTCCGACGGTGGTCTCTTCGTTCCTCACTCCGAGAGCCGTTTCCCCGGTTACGACATTGAATCTGAGGAGCTCGATGCTGAGACTCTCCGCAAGTACATCACTGGCGGTCACGTTGCCGAGTACATGGAGGGTCTTGCCGATGATGACGAGGAGCGCTACAAGTCTCAGTTCTCCCAGTACATTGAAGATGAGATCGATGCCGGTGATCTTGAGGAGTTGTACCTCGAGGCCCACAAGGCTATCCGTGAGGACCCCTTCAAGAAGGATGAGGACGAAGGTAGCAAGAAGAGCAAGGAGGAGTGGAAGGCCGAGAGCAAGAAGTACCGCACCGCCAAGCTCACCAAGGAGCAGAAGCGCCAGCGTGTGCAGGAAAAGATTCGCGAGTTGGCCGCTTAAATGGACGACTTGCAGTAGATGTTCTGATGGTTTATACTCGGAAAATGTCTTCTGTTAAGAGATATGACGCAGAACAACAAAAAAGTATTGATCTTCATGCCCTTGATGAAATCTTTCTTTCCACCTTTTTTTTTCCTACTCGTATCAGTGTTACGGTTCATGGACGATATCCTGTCATGTGTTTGCATTATATGCGGTTTTTTTTTCTGGAGCAAATAGGGCGGCTACAAGGATTTTCTTTTCTGTTTAGACTCTTCCATGAACCTGTTTTAGCCTGGTAGATGTATCTCGTAGGAACTCTGGGATAGGAAATAGTAGCAACTGTCTTATCTGTAAGATCAGCTACAAAAGTCAAACCAGGAGATAGGCTAATGTTAGCACAGTATGGCGAGAGTTCTTGTGGAGAGCGATTAAACTCAAAAAACCGTTGTACGTAAAATTGTATTCAGCTGGTAATACAAAATACCGGATGTATTGTCCCTTCTCAAATGCTTGTGCAGTGATTGGCCAGTGGCGAACTCAGTGCTGGGGAACCCTGATCCAATCCTATAATGCAGGGTGTCGGTCACATGACTCGCCTCCAATTGTCTGATCTTCCATGCATTTTCATGCAAGAATAGGCTGGTGTCACATACTTGACTTCTAAACTGAGTATGATGTACATATTGACATGAACTGAATATGTCTTGTGACAGAGACCGCTGGGGTATATAGAATGTATTTGTAAAACCTCCGATGACGGACTGGCTTGTCCCACTTGTTCAAGCGTTACGGATCTGTACGGAAAGCAGCATGACTGTCATGGTATTTGATCGCGCAATCCCACGAATCATAACATGGCCTCGCGGCCCACAAGGTGGTTCTCCGTACTTCTATCTCTGTAACTTTACAGTCTTGCTTACATGCCGACAGTGCCCCGGAGTACTTCGCATCAACCCTATGTACTAAATCACTGTCTTGTGCTTAGGGTTGAAATTTTCTCTCTTTCATCATCTCCTTTCAACAATTTACTCTTGGGACATGTGCACTGTGTCACCGACTGACACATCTATTGTCATTGTCAAAATCATATCGTCCTTTGCTATGCCAGCCCATAGCAAGTAAAGATGTCACCCTTATGAGAGATAACGTGACATCATCCCACACCTGACCTGCAACTCCCCCATATACCCCAGAGAATATCACGACCACACTCAGCCTTTCACTTCTTGGTTAATACTTTCTTGATCGTGTCTCTCTGCCCACCCTATTGTGAAAGAATAATTGCGGGGCTAGGGGCAACATGGAGGGGCCCAATACAGTGGATGTGAGCTGGCTCCATCACTGTCATCGAGGTATATACTCTCCATCGTCGCTGTATATTCGCACAGCCATACTAATATATATCTGGACATAGCGGATCAGTTACTGCGGACCAAATCCACCTCCTCAGTGCATGACAAGCCTAATGGACAAGCAGACCCCAAACTTGAACAAAGCGGCTCAGACAAGAATATATCCCAACGAGTAGCCAACGAGCCCCCGCGATCTACGAATAACTCTCAACATAAGGCCAACGGTACTACTACTGACCGCCCCCAGTCTAATACGCGCAATGCGCCAGACAAAAAAGGAGCCAATGCTTCGGCTACACCCACCAAAGGAAGTGCTCCAAAAGCGGTACCGGGAAGGCGGAATTCGTGGATTTCAACTATCAGCTCTAAATTCTCTACGGGCACTACTCCGCCAGGACAAGGCGCCGCTCCCCAGGCTTCTCCAACTTTGAGCAGCCCACCCATCAAACCAGACATCAACCCGTTTGGTGCGTCGTTTTCTCCCAAGGATAAAGATGGCATGAGCGATTTGGCGAATGCCTTTACGTCCGCTTCGTCTTCGCCGAAGAATCCTTCGTTTTTGCAAAGTGCGTTTCGGAAACTTTCATCTGGAGCTGGCGTGACAGGAAAGTCTACAAATCACGGTGGTATATGTGAGCGCCGGATAATGAATGTCGACCCCAACCGAGACAGGTGTAAGGTTCCCGAACTAAACCAGGGAAAATTGAAGCGGGTCGCGTTTTGTGTCGATGTTGAAATAGCTGGCTTTGCATCGCGCGAAGATGATGAAGTGACCCGACGGGAACCTACTAATGTACCTACCCCGCAAGCGTCCAAGTTGAAGAGCAAGGATAAGAGCGAAGGACCGATTCTGAAGCATCCTGATGCGGTTGTCCCGGAGAAAGTAATTCAACCGAAACCAGGGACCGCCGATCAGACCCAGCCGACTCCAGCTGCGAACGGTGACGCTGCCGCTGATGCTCGGACCAAGGAGCCCCCTACTAAGAAACAGGAAAAGAAGAAACGTTCAGAAGAGGAAAGAAAAGAACGCAAGGAGAGGAAGAGGAGACTGGCAGAGGAAAATGGAACCATTCCCATGCAAATCAGACAAGGGGAAGATGAAGTACCCGCAGCACCATCAACAGCGCCAAGCGGTTCACGATCCAAGACACAGAGCCATCCAACCACGGATCCCGTGCGTATTTATCGCCGTTGCTGTCAGCTTCGTGAGACACCAGTTTTGAAGAAGCTTGTGGAGCAAATGACTTCACCATCATCGACTCTTGTTGAGGCTGCTGGCACAGTCGCCGTTTTAGATCTCACCGACTTCCCCATGACGCTGGCAGATATCGTTACATTCAGTGACTGGCTTGCGATTGTTCCTGTGCGCAAACTGATACTTGAGAATTGTGCTCTTACAGATGAAGGAGTGCGTTCAATTTTGGCCGGTCTTTTATCTACCAAAACTATGCAACAAGCTCGAAATAGACGCCGATCTACAAAAGAGAAGCTTGCATCCGTACCTCCGCCTTTTGGAGTAGTGGAAAAGGTATCGTTGAAAAACAATACCAAGATTGGGCCTGAAGGTTGGCGTCATATTTGCCTGTTTATACATCTTTCCAAATCTCTCAAAGCGATCGACCTTTCTGGTATCCCATTTCCGAAAAAGATGGGTGGTGGCGATGGCCCATTAAAAACAAGTGATCTTGGAACGACACTCGCAAACTCGCTCACGACCCGTTTCGGTGGCGATTACCTTGAGGAGTTGCTTCTCAGCGAATGCCAACCGTCCACCGAAGATATAGAAAAAATATGCAACGCTGCAGCCGCTGTTAAGCTCAGACGACTGGGTTTTGCTAACAATGATATAACTCATGAAGGATTGGAGCATGTTGTCCGCTATCTTCGATCTGGCAAATGTGAGGGAATCGATTTAGGAGGAAATGATTTGCACGAACATTTAAACCTACTGGCGGACGCCATCGATTCGGAGAATCCCCTGATAGCATTGAGTTTAGCAGACTGTTCATTGACACCTGCCTCGATATGCCCTCTGCTCCAAGCATTTACAACCCTGCCTAATTTCCGATTCATCGACTTTTCACATAACCCCGCGCTATTCACTACTCAGCCGGATTGTTTATCTATGCTTAGGAAATTCCTGCCTAGGATGGCAGCCTTGAAACGCATACATCTGGCAGATGTGGATCTTTCACCTGATCATGCAATCGCCCTTGCGGAGGTATTACCCGAATGTCCAAGTCTTGCCCATCTGAACATTTTGGAGAATCCGCGAATTGCAAGTCTCGGGTCGTCGAGCGATCCTGCGGACCAAGAGGAGGCATGTGCTGTCTATGCTTCACTGATGGCGGCCGTTCGAGTATCGCGTACTTTGATCGCTGTGGATATTGAAGTTCCTGGTGCAGAAAGCAATGAGGTTGTCAAAGCATTGGCCTCTCAGATTGTCGCCTATTCTCTTCGAAACCTCGGTGCCCTTGAGGAGCTCAGCGATAATAGCCAAGTGCAGCGCTCAGAAGTGCCGATTCCTGAGGTTCTGCAGCATCTTGTGGGACATGCTGACCCTGTCGCATCTACGGAAGATGAACCTGCGCCAAATGAAGATTACGTTATTGGAGGAACAGGGGTGGTCAAGGCACTTGGCGTGTGTCTCGGCAACCTTGATCGTCAACAAGCTGAAATCGGAGGATCACGATCTGGAAGTGGCCGCTCAACACCTGTTCCGCAGGTCACGTCCTCTCTTAATAAAACTAAGAAGGCCCGAGACATGTCGAAGAATTTGCTTGGATCTGCACGTAACATTCAAGCTAGGATCAAATTAGCTCTTGTTCGGGAGGATAGGGCTGGCAATGATGCTAACTACAGTGAGTTATACCTAGTCTTACTGCTAGATATTATTCTAACCTATGAACTAGGGCGATTGCAATTCCTCGACCAAACCCTTCAGAGAATCATTGAGCGTTTCGAGGAAGAGTTCCCCGAATGCCGTGTACCCACAAGCAAACAAGCAGAGGAAACATCCTCGCAGCAATCCAGCGAAGACAGCCATGAACCTACCTCAGCACTCGATAGTGTATCCTTCTATGTTCCTGATATGTCAACTGCGGAGGATGAAGAACCAGATCCGTTCGCTATCCGTCTATCACGCCGAGGCTCGAATACTTCCCTCCACTCTCGAGCACTAACATCAGAAGAAGGTCGTCTTCACAGGATCAGTCAAAACCTCAGAAGAGATTTTCTTAACCCTTCGCTCATTGCTCCCGAAGACGGCGGCTCCGTACCTGTTGATGATTCTCATATCAACGCCCTTCGCGAGAAACTAGAGAATCTCAAAGGAGACGAAAAAATGGGTAATCATGTTGAAAGTGTCGGCGCAGAAAAGGCTTTCCACGAGCTGGGCTCTACAATGGAAGAACTATGGATCATTCAGCAACAAGATCGGGATGCGTTTGAACGGTGGAAAGAGAGTCAAATTGCTGCTCAGATCAATGCCGGTTTACGATCGCATCCTTCTCAGGATAACCAAGAAAATTCATCATCGCAACCCAGCAAGTGAAGTCTATCAGATGTACAAAATGAGCTACATCTCTCTCTATTTTACTTTTGTTTAGTTTTCAAGCGACATGAAAGTTTTTCTTTTCAACGTACTGCTTTTAATTGATGAGATATGACAGCGCTGTGTACCAGTCTTTTTCCTCTTTTTCTGGCGTTTAGGAATATTTTTGATGCTTCCTTATGAATGCTCATCCATTGGCAACAATGTATCATACTTGTCATGATTTGAGCATCGCTTTTTTTGATAACCCTAAAGGAGGCAACGTCATGCCTGTCATTTCACATGCTAACAAAAATCCGGGGTTCTCCACCCTTCAATACGGAGTAATACGTGCTACAGACATTTGTATGTCAGCGAATGCCTGTTTACACACAACACGATAACCCTAAAATGTGAAATAAGCTGTTGTCAAGATTCTGTGAGCAATAAGGACTAATCTCCGAATATGACTCTGGAGATTACAAAGTTTAGGACTCAGATATATGTACTGGTCAAAAATACATGTATTGTAACCCGTAACATCTCCGTAAGTACATCCTCGGCAGATTGGCCTGGGCGGAGTGAACTAACATCCAGCATCTCCATTCCATTCACATGTTAGAACTCTTTTCAACCAACATCAACTATTCAGTGTCCTTACACGACCTAACCAATCAGTAAATCAACTATATAGCTGTCTATCAGCAGTATTGAGCATGGTCTATTACTATCCTCGTCTCTTGCGTTGTTCGACTTGATTTTACCGAGATCATAACGACTCCTCCGGAACACATATCTACCTACATGGGTACCTAGGCAGTCCCCTCTGCTTCGTCTTCAACCGCCCAAGATGGCAGCGCTATCAAAGATTCTCCTTCCCGAACGCTCTATCAAGCAGGCCATCTCACACCTAACGAGTCTGTACGTGAAACATCGCACCCGGGTCTCCCGCGCGGTCTATCTCGCGCTGTTCCTCGCCCTCGCGAAACGAATCCACAATGCCATCGCCGAACAAAAAGCAGCATCACAACGACAGGCGGAGATGCGTGAACGGCCTGGAACAAGCAGTCTTGATAATAACAACACAGAAAGTAAGGGATCGGGAAGTAGCGGCGCAAATAGGAAGAAAGTGGAAATCAACTTTGAATTCTTCAGAAATCTGTTGCGATTACTACGGATCGTAATTCCGGATTGGAAAAGTAAAGAGTTCCGTCTTCTCTTGAGTCATAGTGTCTTTTTGGTGTTGAGGACCATATTGAGTATTTATGTTGCCGAGTTGGATGGTAAACTGGTTAGCCACTTGGTTCGCGGTAAAGGGAAGGAGTTCTTGTCGAGTCTTGTGTGGTGGATGACGGTGGCTATTCCTGCTACTTTTACGAATTCCATGGTAAGTTATCCTCAGGCTTGTTCGAGGTGTTTCGAACGCTGACGAGGTAAGCTATCTTATCACCAATGCCGTCTGGCGCTGCAATATCGCAAACGGCTCACGGACCATGTCCATGATAAGTATCTGTCAAACATGACATTCTATGCACTTTCGGCCCTGGACGATCGAATAAAGAATCCGGATCAGATGGTCACGGTAGACATTTCCAGATTCTCCGACAGTTTGGCAGAGCTATACTCAAATCTAGCAAAGCCGGTTTTGGATATGGTTCTGTATAATTATCAACTCTCAAAGAATGTTGGTATGGAGGGCTTGTTCATTATGAGTCTTTTAGTCCAGCTGTCAGCCAACATGATGCGCGCATTGACACCCCCCTTTGGCAAATACGTTGCCGACGAAGCTCGCCTGGAAGGCGAGTTCCGATTCCAGCATACCCGATTAATAGATTATAGCGAAGAAGTCGCTCTCTATCACGGCCACGAAGCTGAGAAGGATAACCTTGACAAAGGTTATTTTACGCTTATAAAGCATGTCAATCGTATTCTTCGACGACGGTTGTACCATGGATTCATGGAGGATTTTGTTATCAAATATTTCTGGGGTGCTTTGGGGCTTATGCTCTGTAGTGTTCCGGTGTTTTTCAAGATTCCGGGACAGATCAGTCAGACTATGGGTGATCGAACAGAGAGTGCGTTCTCCAGCTCATTGAAACCGGAAAGCTTTTACTAATGTATACAGGCTTTGTCACTAATCGACGACTCCTCCTTTCGTCGTCTGACGCATTTGGTCGAGTCATGTTCTCATATAAAGAAGTTTCAGAACTCGCCGGCCACACCGCTCGAGTTTCGTCGTTGCTCGACGTCATGGACGACGTAGCCGCAGGCCGCTTCGAGAAGAAACTCGTCTCATCAGCATCCACAGACGAAAACGCAGCCGTTCTCGCAGGTCGAGGAACAATCACCGAAAGCCCTTCCATCGAATTCACCGATGTGCCCATTGTGTCACCCAACGGCGACGTTCTGGTTCGAAAACTATCCTTCACTGTCTACCCTGGCGACCATTTATTAATTGTCGGACCCAACGGATGCGGTAAATCTTCCCTCTTCCGTATCCTGGGCGGCCTGTGGCCCGTTTACGGCGGAACAGTGAAAAAGCCCAAATTTGATGATATCTTCTACATCCCCCAACGCCCCTATTTGTCTCGCGGCACCTTACGACAACAGGTGATTTACCCAGACGGCGTCAAAGAAATGCGTGCCAAGGGCGTTACAGACGCCGATCTATTCGAGATTCTCTCCATCCTCGAAATTTCCAACATCGTCGACCGCGAAGGCGGCTGGGACGCAGAAGAAGAATGGCGCGATGTTCTATCCGGCGGACTCCAGCAACGCATCGCCATGGCACGATTATTCTACCACAAACCGCGATACGCGATCCTAGACGAATGTACGTCTTCAGTCACCCTCGAGATTGAGAAAGTCATGTACGAAACCGCCAAGAAATTGGGGATTACATTGATGACTGTCTCGCATCGACGGAGTTTGTGGCAGTATCATAAGAAGATTTTGCAGTTTGATGGGCAGGGGGGTTATATATTTACGGATTTGGATTGGGAGAAGAGATTGAAGCTGGAAGAGTATGCACTCCCCTTCCACCCTTTCGTTTATTACGAAATGCTAATTGGATTATAGTGAGAAGGAAGATCTTGACTTGCAGTTACGTGCTGTGCCGGATATTGAAAGGCGGATTGCTGAGCTGTCGGCGGCTTGAGTTAGTATCGCTGATCAATGATATATGAGTATCTATGCATAGACGTATAGAATCCGAATCTTGACTTGCTCATTCAATTCATTAATTATGTATTAGTTATATGTATGATCAATCATGTATAACGCTAAGCCACAAACAAACAAACATTAAACGGAGCAATGCTCATCGTGCCATCTATTTCCCACTCCCATCATCTGATTTCGTCACTTCATCCACTTTCGTATTAGCCCTTGTCTCCTCTGACTCTGGAGACGTACTCGTACTATCGGTTACATCGTCTTTGATTTCCCCTCCCTCCACAACAGAAATCTTCGAAATACTCGCCGTCGGAACATCATCATGATCATGCTCATCACCCTGAATAACCATCTGTTTCTGCCCCAACGGCGACTTCGGAATCCCATCCGTCCCACCCGCAGAAACAGAAAGAACAGAAGTCGAAGATGCCGAGCCTCGGCGCGGAATATCTAATGACCCCTTACGACTGGTATACGACTCTGTGTCGGAATCACTGCGATGATGGTGATGGTGATGATGATCTTTCATACGCAAGACGCTACTCCACCGTTTGCGCCGGCTCATGCTTCGGCCTAGACTTGTTGAGGATGATGATTCTTCTTCGCTCTGGTGGCGGGATGGCGGTGTCTCTGTTGATTGTTGAATGGTGGTGATATCGTTATTGGGTTGATGATTGTGGTCGCTCAATTCGGTCTTTTCTTCGTTAACGCTGGGAAGACCGGTTGATTTCCGGGGGGTTGTTTCTGAGGATGTTCGGGGTGTTGATAATGTGCTACTAGTAGTAGCCGTGTTACTCCTCCTTTCTTGCCATTCCCTGCGTCGTTCGCTTGCCCATGCGCCCCATGAACTGATATAAGCGCCCGCCTTCTGTCCAGCTACATTCATCGATGCCTGCGCCTGCGAGATGTCGACAGATGGTGGACGACGACTGCCAAACCACGAGAATGAAGAGGAGTTCTCACTTGTAGGCGAGACTGCACCATTTCGTCCGGATTGCATAGACTCGCTTCTAATACTTTTGTCGTCGGAGGACAACCGCTCTGTGGTGGCCGCGGTTTTTTCTTCATTTTTCTTCCGCTGCGCTTCTCGTAATGCCTCGATATCTGCCCAGAAACTGTTGAAAGCACTGCTCACTTTCTTTTGTCCCGAGGCTAGTGTCTTGTTGAGTGCTTCCCGGCCCTCGCGAACACGCTCATCGAGATGAAGTTCGGACACCTGTTGCGCCAGCCGGCGCTGAATATCATCAATCGTAAGTCCTCCTGCATAGGGATGTCGAGGCTCAACAATAGAGAATAGCAATGCATCGGACGTTAACCGATGAAATAAAGCATAATTTCGCGTCGTCTGCCAATGGGCGATAAAGTCTGCATTGAAATCCAGCGTTGGGTCTCCCTCTGCATCCGTTGATTGTCCCTTGCTTTTCATTTCTGCTGTTCTGCCAGGTGACAGGGGTTGTACATGTTGTCGATTGTTGATGCTTGCCAGTAAAGCTAAAAGATATTCTTCAAACTGCAGTCGAATAAACTCCTCGGAGCCGACATAACCATGTGTCTTGGGTTGTTCAGGGTGCGCTGGGTCCCATGTCTCGTTGATAGTTTGCGTGAGAAAATCAACCCATCGTCTGTCTGCTGCTGTCAACGCTAGTGCTGTCCTCAGCGAAGGCGAATGTATACTGATGCTTCCTTCATCTAACTGCATACATATAAGCATGGTCACATCCCAAGGCAAGGCAAGGAACATACGTTGATCAAAATATCGCTATAACGATCTTTCTGTTGAAGTAGTAACGAGTTTGTCGACCCAACGACATACGATTTTGTCCCGTGATCGGCCAGTAGATCCAACTGCTGCAAGGGTGTGTAGGGACCAAATATGCTTCCCTACATGACGGTCAGTTCTGCTTGTTATCAGATATATGCATAACCCGCCTTGCCAAAAAGCTGTAACGGCAGTCCCATATAAGCCAATACTAATTTTAGACAGTCAGTCAAACAAGCCCCATATAATGGCTGGAGTAATAACATACACGAACTCCGTTCACTCGTCTTCAGAGATGTAGCCTTCTCAGCATTCTCGGCATATGAATCAAATGTCGGATCAGCGCAGTCTTGTAAGTTGCTAAGTAAACCGGGTATCAAAGATAATAAGGAAAACTGTATCATGCATAGACGTTCGCAACGAGAGCCAAAGAATAGCATCTAATATTGTCAGTAATGAGCTTGCATATAAGATAGAGTGTACGTACCTTTGGCTGTAAAAGTAAACATTTAAATAGAACAAGCGTTTGCGATTTGAAGGCGTGAATCATTTCTCGTAAGGATAGACCTGGTCTGGTTAGTTAGAAGAAAACAACGTCCAATAGATCTCCTACCTAGATATGTATCTTTTTGTGCCTCTTCATTCTTCAAGCTCGCGATCAGGCTTTCACGGAATTTCTAAAACCGATGAGCATATTGCGAGTCATGCATGCATTGTCAAGCGCAACGAACCTTGAGAATATCAACATCGGAGAAATCCCTAAGACGCTCCTATCTTAGCCATCATCTATGAAACCACATAACAACAGCGTATGGTTGGTTATATACCTCTGCGCAAACCACGCCGACGTCACCATGGACAATTTCTCCCTCAACGTCCCAAAATGTCTCGGTCCATCCGTCACAACCACCACAGCCTTCTGGACTGTCGATCGAGTCACATCCGGTGCGCGTTTGATTAATGAACTTGCGGGGATCTGTCTCGTGCAGGATATGCCGAAAAGAGAGGTCGCCTTTTGTGTGGAAGTGGCTTCGCGTCGGAGAGTGAAGTATGAGAAATCTTCCGTGGAGCTAATTCTTTATCAGTACATTTTGTCTGTTGTTATGCATCTTGCATACTGTAAAAGTACGAATCCGTGTTCCTTACTGCTTGCCGACGAGCGCAAGACAACATAAGGAAAAGGAGGTAACTCACGCATGTGCTCCATCCGACAATGCCATGAATGGCAATAATGACCAGTCATTTTCTACCGCAGGATTCGATCCTTCATTCGCAAAACATAATTCTATCTCGGGGCCTCTGTTTCGCATTCAAGAATCATCAGCAATGCGCAATTCATACACGACAGACGGGGCTCAGGCCGTGGGTCTGCGTAACCAAAAACATTCAACGGAGAAAGGAAAAAAAAAAAAAAAAAAACATACCTGGCATGATGAAAATCTATAACCAGGACAATCGGATCCTGGCGCATGCTAGATTCTTGAGTCATGCTCGAGATCGAAACTGTCGAGGTTTTTATTTCCTCTCGATTGTTCAAGGCTCGGAGTAGACGAAGAAGGTTGGACGGACGGGACTAAACGCGTTTGAGGAATCTTATCAAGCTAATTAATTATTTTTATGATCGTCACCCCTTAAATCGTAAAAACCTGACTTTACAATGGATATTATTTGATGCCATTGAAGTCCATGACCTAGCGAGTTGTTGAAAAGTATTATCTGATACGATTGTTCGTATGTTATCTCCGTAGACACACATTGTTATTTCAATTCATGTGAGGCGATCACTGCGGGGAAAACTGTCCGCTCAAAATTCTTTGGTACATGATCTGCACCACGAGCAAGTTAGGCATATACAGAGAATATACAGAAATCGGAATTAAAAGCGACTATTAAAAACAGCATGGCCCTCATTAAGTCACCATATGAATAAAACTTCTTCTAGTCGGATTCCCACATGCTTTGAAACTACCTCCAGCGTGTATCTATCAAAATCTGGTCCCTTGACTGATTCACCACATGAACGCATCAAATAACCCAAACAAACGGCTGAAATCGGGTAATATCGAGAATGACGCAGAAATTTGTTATAGACATATCGCATGATATTGTTTATATCATATAAGGGCCGCGGGGGGGAACTCAAGGCGGAAATTAGCGCCAAATGCTTGCCCAAACATGTAAAAGCACAAAAGGTCTCAACCCGAACACCGTGGTAGTGACTTCGTATCCGTAATGGATCGCTTCATTTATTCGCGTATGTACGACAAGGAAATTCGTCATGCGATTAGGTCACTGCAAGGGTACTTGAGCGGGATCGGCGGATTGGTCAATGTTATGATAGTCCAATATCTCGGAGTACCTACAAGAAGAAAACGCCCATATTAGTTACTTAGCGACATACGCCTCGGTTATTTCTTCGTACATCATGATCTTCCAGGTGTCCACGGGTAAATCAGCGTCATTGAACGACCAGTCGAACTTCTCCTCGGCGACCGGTTCGTCTGTAGGGTCGTGGTAAGGAGCCAGATATTCATGGGCAAGCGCATCCCCGGCTCGAATTCGCTTCTTTGGGTCAAAGACGAGCATTCGTTCAAGCAAGTCAATAGCTATTGGTTTGTTAGCTCGGAAGCTGGAAGATGAGGCCACGGCGGAATATACCTGCTGGATCGGCGTTCTTGAACTTGTTAGCAAGTGGCTGGCGTTCACGCTTTGGTAGAGATTGCACAAATCGGAGAGTCTAAAGATCGTTAGCTGGGGTCAGGAGAAATCGGTATGATAAGCACGGACATTTTCGCTGCAAATAGTTTCAATGACATCGTCGGGAGGAGTGCCTAGAAGTTCGGTGATGATGGAAAACTGGTGAACATGGTCCTTTCCAGGGAACAGAGGCTTTCCGTCGAGCATTTCAGCAAAGATGCAGCCGGCACTCCAGATATCCACCTCAACGTCGTATTTCTGCCATGTAAGCATGATCTCGGGGGCACGGTAGTATCTTGTTGATACGTATCCCGTCATTTGAGGATCTTGAATTCGAGCAAGACCAAAGTCGCAGATTTTCAGGTCGCAATTTTCGTTAATCAGGATGTTGCTAGGCTTGAGGTCGCGGTGGACAACACCAGCGGAGTGAACATATTTCAGACCGCGCTATAGAGCATTAGCAATCCAACACATTTGACATGTGACAAGAGCGAGCGAGCGCTAAACGTACCAAAATCTGATAGAGGAAATATTGAATGAATTGTTTTTCGAGTGGTCGCGAAGTCAGGAGTCGGTGCAAGTCAGTTCCTAGGAGCTCGGTGACAAAGTAACTGTATGCGAGCAATTAGCGCAATGTCATCATATAAGGCCGAAATTAACGTCGCATACATGTCTTCTAAAGGTGAAATGAAGATATCGCTGAGGCTGATGACCTATACGGGAGTCAATAAGGTCTGTCCTACAAGAATAGGACAAGGTCACGAACATTCTCATGCCGCAAATGCTTCAGAAGCTTGAGTTCTCGGTATGTGCGTTTCGATAGTACCGGAGTACTGAACGGCTTCATAATCTTCTTGACCGCGACGGGCTGGCCAGTCAACTGATCTCTCGCAGAGCTTGTGTCGTCGTTAGTCTCTTCGCCCATGCGATTTCTGGTCACGCCGCCATTTGGGTAAATCTACATACCAGACCAAGCCAAATGCACCCATTCCGACAGGCTGGAGATCGGTATATCTGTTGTTGAAGTATTAGCATGGTCTGTTGCTGAGGGTAGCGATGTGGTGAAGCAATGCGCACCTGCTGGTGATCTCGAAGGTCGTGCCAAAAATCTGGGCACGCACGAATTCCGCCATGATGGGCGCGTTGACGGAGTGGAGTGCTTTTTGTAAGAATAAAACTGAAGAGCAGAGTACTGCGACGTCTTCCCTTCTCAGCTGATAACCGTTTTCACTGTGGCGCAGAGACGTTGATTGAAGGCGAAAGATTCAAGAGCAGGTGCTGGGAGGAATGCGGAATCAAATGCGGGAGGAGGCGGGGAAAGTCCGGACGTCTCGAATAGACAGGATAAAGAGTATAGATCTGTCAGGGACGAAGAATCGTGAACAGGAGATGAACAGGAGATGAACAGCAGACAGAAACAAGACTTCTCAAGAGAGGTTTAGGAGTAGACAACAGCGTGATTGAAGGGTTGATGTTGTTAAAAAAAAAACCTTAGAAGGTGGTGGTGGGGGAGAGACGAGACGAGAGGGAAGGAGCGACTAAATTGGGAGGGGGGAAGGAGAGAGGTAATGGCAACCGGGTTGTGGGCCAATCAGAGAGCGAGAATGGGTATTGAAATTGCAGAATTGGCATGCAAGAAAGGGCTCTTTCCCTCTGGTACTGGGCGTTCTAGCTCCTGCCAGTTTTCCCAGAAAGCAGACAAGAATGACGTTGTTGAGGCCGCCCAATGCGGCTTGGTCGCTGCAAAAAAGGCAACGCCGGCGGGTCGCCATCGCGCCTTCCCGGGCGGCTGACTGGCTGACTGGCCTGGTCGAGACTCTTATATCTTCGGCGGAATTCTGTCGTATTTCCTCTTCTAACGCTCCTACTGCATTGAGATTCGATATGGTTAACCATCTACTACTACTACAAGACTCCCTTGAATCGGCGCTATTGGGGTAGAATGTCGGTCAGCGATGTATGTTTATGTCAGCTAAGGCTAAGCCCCAGGAGGAAAGTTGTTCATTATTTCTCAAAACTTTAACAAATCGTGAGGAGGGTATAGACGGGAGCTCGACTCTGCCAAAAGCCACATGTCTGTCGGCGCTGTATGCAAGTCAAATCGCGCGAGAAACCTGCCCAAATCTTGAAAGCGTACACTACGCTGCTTAGCTGGCACAATCCGATTCGACAGGGTCAAAGCTCTTCTTTCATCCTATCTATCGGGTATGACAGAACACTGCAACCTTCACGAGCATGAGTCCAATTCCTCGTGATGTGTGATGAGAAGCGTATCCAACTCCAGAAAGGGCATCAATGATCATGAATAACAGCTGACTGATGCCGGTTCGTTGGAAACCTGCCCTTTTCGGGTATGGGCTGTTCTGACTAAGATTACATCATCCCTTCCGGTCCACTTGTGAACTTTCCCACTGTGGGCTCTGCTCGGGGAAAGTCATGTGATCTCAGCGTTCCCAGCAAGTGTGCGTAATCTCCTTGACTAAATCTGCGATCACATGACTAAAAAGCCAAGCCTCATTATCGACTAATCACTTTGTTTGCCATTCACTTTAGATACATTGTCGCTGGATGTCGATATTTACCCCGAGTCCGTGGCATGCTTCGCATATTACGACGATGCTTGATTTCCTCCACCAGTATCCGAGGAATCGACCATCACCTCTTGGACATCGCCTTTATGCTGTTTGTTATCTTTATTTGATTTTGATGGGTCAGGATCCGCTCTTGGTACATATTCTGGCCGCAGAATCAACTGAGGATCGTTCCAGAATGGATAGACAGTTTTGCGGTTGACCGTTTCAAAAAATTCGGGTTTGGGTGACTCAAAGCAGTGAATAATGTGTTTGCAGATAAGGAACCGGCTATGCAGGAAGGATTTACAGGAACAAACCCAGTTGACTGGGTTAGCGTGGTATTCTGTCAACTTCTCTGGTTGAACTGCTTTGCATGCCTCTTTCTTCCATTGCTTCTTGAATGCCTCGCGCCATCGAGCTTTGAATATGCGGAATTAGCCGTTTGATATGGCTGTCATTCGATGGAAAGCATCGGGAAGAACCCGAGTCGTTAAAACCCATACCACTAGGTCAACTCGGGGCCGATTGAATCGATGAAGATAGTCGTGTTTCAACGTTCGCCAGTGTGACTCTACAATCATCGTGGTTTTCACTACTGGTATCTCAGCGGGGTCCGCAGCTCGAGCCCAAAGCTTCCACTGATCTGGGCTGTACCAGTTGACGTACAGATAAGCCCAAAGACAGTAATACCCACGGGCCTTACACCAAGTATGCATCTCTGTCGCGCATTCGCGGTGTAGAGTATCCGAGGATTTGTAAGTGCCGTTAGAATCAGGAATGAGGGGATGGAGATTAAAGTGACGGCAGAAAATGTCTAACACTGTATCACAGTCCTCTTTGGTGGCTGGCTCCAGTCTTCCCATTTCGCTGATTCTGTCACCCTTTGAGGGACATTCGCAACCACCAAATCTATGGCCTACAGGCCGACGTATCGGGAGTGAGCCCCAACAAATCTCCAAACCAGGAATCAGCTTCTGAGCTTCTTCCGGCCGATAGTGACCTTGCGTATTAGTACTTTTAGATGAATTGAGCCGCGTGCTTACTGCCCGTTTCACATGCCAGTAGCAAAGTTGAACTTTGACCCCTGGCCACACCGTAGTGACCGCTGCAATCTCTGACGGATCTTTGTCAATTGCGACGCATCTCGGATTGAATCCAAAAGCTTTTAGTCTTTCAAGAAATTGCTGAATAATAAATGTCATTGCCCCTAGATCTGCACGCACAGGTTTTTTCTCTACTGGGTCAGCCTGGGGAGGCTTTAGCAGCTCAACTAGACAATATGCAAGCGGGACCCCAGTACCTTCAACTTCCGCCAACACTGCAAATAGGTCCATGCCACCACTGTTGGTTCCGAACATGGAGTCAATCAATAATTGAGGACCGGAGTTGCGCAGTTTATGGATAGGTTCGGAGGCAAATAAACCTAGTGCCCTCAGGTTTCCTGCCGTAAAGACTCCATGGTGATCGTGATAGCGCTTGTCTTCAGAAAGAAGCATTTTAGCAGAGGTGAAGGGATCCGAGTGTCGCTGCCAGATCTCTGCGTTCGCCTTCTGCCACTGATAGTAGATTTGATGTCTAGTCACAGGTTTCCCTTCAGGAATTTGTCGAATCTCACGGTATATCTCGGACGGAGTCTTGGTTGATACAAGTGAACTAATCATTTCTTGCACGACTGGCGATAGTTCGATGTCTTCATAAGGAGTATGCCACATGTGATGGATCGAAACAGATATAGTTCGGTTTTGTAGGCATGGCCGTATTGTGAGCTTGCTTTGGCATGGAAATCGCGTCATACGGCGGCCATCCCGCTGCTTCTCGACTTCCACTCTAGATCGATAGCCTCTAGCATGTATCAGATCCTGAGAGCAGTGATATTGGTACGTGCAGCTTTGAAAATTCGTTCCCGTATGGGTGAAGCGGAATCCCCCTTGTTTCCAAATAAAGTCCGTGAGATCACGCATGGCGGCATTCATTTCAGATCTAGGATATGTGCTACGGTCGACATCGCGCTCATTATCTTGTGCAATCTCTGGCATGCGTACGGAGCCGAACTGAACTGGTAGAGTATCCAAATCGAACACGTAGCTCCCGCTTAATACCAGCGGTTGGTTCTAAGGTAAACGGGTTAGTATAGCTTCAATTGCAGATCTGTCTCTTCAGACTTTTATATCCTTGTTCGTGGAACCATTTACCTGCATTTTCCAATTGCGAAGTATCTGAACAAAATTCTCCCAGTCGTGAAGCTCCAGAGAACGTTTCCGGCTATGACGCCTGCATGTTTTGTTCCGTTTCCCTTTCTTATTCGTTTCGAATTCATCTGAAGTATAGAATCTTGCACATTTACTACAAAAGAAGTTGTCCACGGCAACCTCTGGGGAGACCATTGTGGACGAGACGTTTGATATGATCTAAAACAACATTCAAAACGAAGCAACGCGTCTGTAAACAAGAAAGCCAAAAGAGGAAAAGACTACATCACATGATCGCAGATTCAGTGAAGGAGATTACGCCCCCATGTTCCCAGCAAATGTGACGATGTACTCCGTACGTCATTTTGAATATCAACGCTTGGTCAGCCACGATGAGTTGATAACACAATTAAAAATAGATTCTCCATCGCGCAGGGCTAGTTAGAACAAATAGGGCTGTTGGCGATATCCGCCTCGGCAGATATTATTCGACTGCTAGTCATGCCGGCGGATACGGTATCTGCTATACCGCGCCGATATTCGAGTTATCCGCCATACATACATTTAATCAATCATACGGAGAGAAAACCATACGTGATCGTGCCAATGCTCAGCCAAGAGCCACAAGACCATAATTATTAGCTCAAATTGCTCTCATAACTAATTCTATAAGTTGTCTACCTGGGTGAAAAGTATAGTTTGTGGCAGCGACGCTGATTCGCGCGTCCGCGACGCGCCCGCCCGATCGGGACTAGCGCTCCCGTGGCCGCTGGAAATGACCTTCTTCCGGTTTAGCGTGCCCATCTCGGGTCTAGCGCCATAGATGGGGCTCGCCTGAAGTATATAAACCGCGAGTGCGTCGCCCGACGACGACGGCCGTTCTTCTTTCACATTTTCCTTCCCTCGACCGATAGCGACGGTATCACCAGCTGAGAACTCATGTCTCACTGGGCCCATTGTGCGCAGTACTGATCCCCGTCCAACCGCTCACTTTTGGGACTTTGTTTGTAGTGTGAAGGGGGGGATCGTGACGCCGTTGCAGAGAAAAAGGAGACCTAGCAGCGAATCAGGTCGTTGCAGGCTCCAGGCGGCAGTGGGTGATGCGTCAAGGAGTCTACGATTGGTCTCGGGGAGACGGCTGGGACAGCTGAACACGGAGTCAGTTGGATCCGCTTCTGTGCATTCAGTTCGAACAGCGACGCTACTGGTGGTATCCCTAATAGGATGCCGCGTCACTTCCACCAGCGCCGCCGTGATGCGACAGTGATCAAAAAACGCCTCATGATGGGAAGAGCGAAACGCCAATGAAGAAGTCGCCGTCCATTACGGTGACCCTTTCACGAATATAGAACACGTCAGCAACGAGTCGCAATTGCTGTTGATAGGTTAGGTCTCACGTCCTTTCGGCGCTCCGGACGGGGCAGACTCTGTCGATGTGACAGTGGTGTGCAGTGGTCGTCTCACTAGAATCAATCCCATTCCATCGCTGCCAGTGCTGCCAATCACAAAAATCGCGCATTGAGTAGATGGATTTCGGACGCTGAGAACACGTCAGCTGCGAGAAGGCGACTCTTTGCACCGACCATGATGATAGTTTTAGTCATTCCGTGTACGGCAAACTTGTTCAGGTGCTCATCGATTAGTCAAGGGTGAAGATGTCGACCATCCGGTGCGATACTTGAAAAGGCGGGAGGTCGCATTTTCCTCGGTCATGCTCAGTTTTGCCAACCTCATTTCTCGCTCACTTCTACCAATATCTTCCCTCTCCCCATATCTCTAGAGCCTCTGTCCTGTTACCATGATGATTAACCTAGACGGTATTATCCCATATCAACCTCCCCCGCCTCCCAAGCCTTCCATATCCTACAAATCCGTACCCCTGCCGTCAAAACCCCCTCCATTGATCCATCCTCTGCCACAGAAGCCCAGTTCCCGAGATCAATCACCCTCCTACCCTGACCAATCCCCTTGGTGTCGTAAAACCTCACCGCCTTTGCTTGCTTGGCGGTGCCGCTGCCTAAGGCAGATGTTAGATTAGCTAAGCTGTCCAGCCAATCAGATAGATGATTTCTGTCAGCCAATAAAGGAGAGGGATCCACCGAATAGGGGGTAAAAGATATCTCTTACCTTTACGGAGTACGGTACTTAGAGAAAGAAACAAAAAAAAAAAATCAAGGGATTCCATACGTTCTCATACATAATTTGATACATTGAGATATACCGTTAGAGATTGTTACGTACAATCCAACAGCAGACCTCTGAGTTAGATCCGTGACACTGCATCCATATTACGTAAGTTGCGAATACTAACGTAATCCACAAGCGAGTTGGCCACACAAGCGAGTTGGCCACTTTTCCCGAAAACGCGCTCTATTATTGATTTCAAATCTCAATTTCTAACCACATACAAATTATATACAAAAGAATTAACTACTAGTACGATTTGGACATCCAGTTATTTTATGTCCTTCAATACCGCAACCACTGCAGCGGAAATGACGCCGTACAGGTGGATGAGAGACTGGGAGCTCAGGCTCGGCCGGAGCAGTAGAAACAGCTTGAGATGCCTCAATCTGACCTTGTACAAGTGCCTGAGCTTCCTCTCTGGTAATTCCATGATCATGGGATATTTGCTTTTTAGATTTTTGGCGTTTTTGCTTCTCCTTCTCATGTGCAGCCCGTAGATCATGGAGTTCCTTCTGTGCAATTGTAAGCTTATTAATACTCATCTCATAAGCCTTTGATGCCCGTGTAAACACTTCACCAATAGCCTCAGATGAACTTCTTGTATGCCGGCTTATTCTCTTCTTGGTTGTAGTCATTTGGCGCTTAAATTGACGTGCGTTTTGAGGGGTTTGCAAGCAGGATGATTGTGTATCACTTGATCGACTTGGAGGGGGTGTTGGAGTCTTCAATCGAACAGTAAGCTGTTGATAAACTCGATCTGGATTGAATGGTACTAATCCAGTTGCTGTAAAGCTATTCCGAACAGTTTGAGCTTTGTATGCCATCGTACGAGCCTTTGGGAATGCAGTAAGAAAGTCGAGTTTATCAATATGGTTGAATCCAAGCCTCATTCGCTGCTCAACAAGCTGTCCATAATGTCGCTTTAAAACAGCAAAACAGCCAACATCAAGAGGCTGTAAAAGATGTGAAGAATGAGGAGGCATACAAACCGGAATAATATTATTCTCAGTGCATGTACGGTCAAATTCAGCAGTTAAATGGCTTCCATGGCCATCAAGAATCAACATCCGATATTTCCCCAATGTACGGCCATCAATAAGAGGGATAAAATGAGTTTTAAGCCATTCTAATCCAATCTTATCTGTCGTCCATCCATTATCGCTAATATTGATTTTCCAGTCGTCTGGAAGATCCTCAAACCAGCCTAGTCGAGTGTATTTCTTTGCCTTAAAAATAATGTACGAAGGCAATGCCCACCCAATCGAATTAACTGCCTCAATTGCAGTTACCCATTCTCGGTCACCAGGCTGTAATAGCTTTGGCCGAGCATATCGATCGCTTCCAGTGATAACCTTTGTAGTCGCACAGAGTCCCATAGCAAAGCCAGTCTCATCAAAATTGTAGATATCTTCTGGCAAGATCCCATACTCTAATATAACCTCTCGTACGCGATCAAAATATTCTTGGATTATTTTTGGATCTTCACATTTGGCGCGTTCATAGTTATATTTCCGTGAGAATTTTGATTCAATCTCTGGGCGACGTTTGACAAGATTGTATACCCAGTTTTCTCCAACATGTTGGTTTCCGCGTTGTGAAAGAAGACAATTAGCCATATCCCGTACAAGAGTGTCGAGGAGGTAATCCACGTTTATCTAGATCTAAGATCCATCTAACAAGCGATTCCTCCTCAGATTGAGTTAATTTATGGCCATTGGCGCGTGTTTCAGCTCGATATGCCATGCCATGTAGTCTGTTTTGAAGTGTTGACCGTGAGACATTATAGATCTCTGCTGCTTTTCGTATAGAGTGTATTTTTTCATTTTTTAAATCGTAGATAGCTAACAAGATTCGTCCCTCTTGTTCAACTGAATTTTTTGAATTTTTATTGCGAATTGGCGGCATATTGACGTGTTGAATTGTGTAGAATCAATATAGAGCGCGTTTTCGGGAAAAGTGGCCAACTTGCTTGTGTGGCCAACTCGCTTGTGGATTACTTTGGGGTTTGGGTGCGCTGGGCACGTGCAGGCTCACCGCTGTTTATCGGGATCGGTAACCATTAACTATGCCTTGTTACCTGGATTCCAACATTTTGTCTCTACAATTAGACTCACTCTATTTTCAATCGTTTCATCCGAGTATTCACAGATTCCAAAATGAATTGCCCTTCGCGTGCAGATCCTGATGCTGTCGCCAATGGATGGAACCAGAACCCTAATCCTCTAGCTCTCGACACAAATGCTGATGGAAATGGCATTGTGAACCAGCGCCGCCGTCACAGAGATGACCTGTCCACAGGGCTTACCAGTGATCTATCTGGCTCAATCAATCCTGCCTTGGAGTTGATCCGCTTGGACTCAAAGGCGAATAACACCATCCAGGTTGCCAACCAGGCTGGGGGAAATGTTTCCCCCAGTCTGGCATCCAACGATGGCCATACTGGCAATCGTGGTTGGCATTATTTCAAACACGTTACACATTGCGCCCACACAATCAGGAAATTCGTCAAATTTATCGGGCCTGGTTTCATGGTTGCCGTTGCATATATCGATCCTGGTAGACTGGAATTCCCCGGCTGTAAACATAGAAATGTTCTTGCATCTTCTTACACACTGTCTAGGAAACTATGCCACTGATGCTTCTGCTGGTGCCTCTTTCCGTTTTCAACTTCTGTTTATGGTCTTACTATCCAACATCATTGCGATATATCTGCAATCTCTCTGCGTCAAGCTCGGCTCCGTCACCGGGCTCAATTTGGCGGAGAATATCAAAGAACATTGCCCGCGTTGGTTGAACTACACCCTTTACTTTTTCGCTGAAGCCGCTATCATCGCAACAGATATTGCTGAAGTATGCACCGCAATTAGAAGACAGCCTCAAAATAAGGAGCTAACAAAGGACAGGTCATTGGAACTGCGATTGCCCTGGATATGCTAGGCCACATTCCTCTGGTCGCGGGCTGTGCCTTGTCTATTCTAGATGTTCTAGTACTTTTGCTATTCTATAAACCTTCCGGTTCTACCATCGGAGTGCGGGCCTTTGAATGTTTTGTTATTCTCCTCGTACTCGCCGTCGCGGTTTGTTTTTGTGTGGAGTTATCTTTGATTCATGTGCCTAATGTCGGTGAGGTTTTCAAAGGTTTCTTACCATCTTCCACCATCGTTCAGTCTCAAGGGTATGTTTGAGATTATGTTTGAGATTTACCTTATTTCACACTTCCTACTTCACTGACTAATAGTATTCCAGTTTGGTCCAAGCCTGTGGTATTTTGGGAGCCACTGTTATGCCCCACAGTTTGTATCTCGGTAGTGGTATTGTCCAACCTCGTCTCCGAGAATACGATGAAGCACATGGCAGTTTCAATGCACCTCGAGACAATGACAACGATGTGAAATACCGGCCATCAGTGGCAGCGATACGCTATTGCCTTTCGTACTCGATTGCCGAGCTGGTCCTTTCCTTATTCACTGTTGCACTGTTTGTCAACAGTGCGATCTTAATTGTATGCGGTGCTTCCCTCTACAACATGGCTAGTGCCAATTCCGCGTCTCTGTTTGGCATTCATGATCTGCTCTCGAATACGCTAGCTCCCGCTGCTGGCACTATTTTTGCATTGGGTCTGCTATTTTCGGGAACTTCTGCTGGAATTGTATGTACTATTGCCGGGCAAATTGTCAGTGAGGGCCAACTCAACTGGACCGTTCGGCCATGGATCCGCAGACTGGTCACACGATCAATTTCTATCACACCAAGCATAATTATTGCTGCAGCAGTAGGCCAGAACGGTTTGACTCACGCGCTACAAGGTACCCAAGTTGCACTCAGCATCATCCTTCCGTTTACCAGTGCCCCTTTAATTTGGTTGACCTGTCGCAAGGCAGTCATGACTGTATATGATCCTTCCAATATTACGGGCGTCAATATGCAGAACAATCTGTTGACTGCTATACTTGGCAGCTTGATCTGGCTTCTGATTGTGGTGTTGAATGTGGCGTTGATCGTTTTGACGGCCATTGGCGTCAACTAGTGACAGATTTTTGCTACAATCTGTCACCCTTGGTGGAGAAGCGGGCAAAGGTCGATCAAGTTGGTCTGCCTCAGAGATTGATGGTCTAGATCAAGACTAGGAACAGCAAGATGTGTTGAAGAAAGCATCCGAACTCGCGGCAAGCAAAGAGAGTAGAGATATATTTGTCACTTGAATACATATGACTGCTTATTGAGTTGCTTATGATACCTTCTAGCCCGACACATGCCTTTCAAAAACGCCATCATCAGACTAGCCAAGCACTTTTTGCCGCTCCTAACTAGTAATTTTAGTGTATTGCTATGTATCACTAAAACACGCTAATATCCACTAGGCCACTTAGCCTATATATCTAGCTAACCACCCCGATTCCCCCTTGCTTGAAGAAGCGAGAGTCACAATATTAGGAATTCAGTATTACTGGCTCAGTCAACCTGTTGCATTAGCTGTCCTCATTAGATTTTGCGATCTAATGAAGGTAAACCAACAATAATGTTTCTATTCCTAGCCTTCTTCCTGTATAGTGCGCCTTGGTGACGCTAAAGAGTCTCGGAAATACTGAGTAATATCCATTATGTTAGAGTTCGACATTAGTTACAGAGTACTGTCTTCATCTTTAATTTCTTTAGTTGTTTCGACCACCTCTCATCTGCCAGCCGACTATGTTTAAAAGGAGCACCACCAAAATGACATCTGCGCCCAGCGATTATATTGGAGCTTCGGGGTCTTGTTATCAATTTCAAAACGTACTTCAAGAACGGCTGCACATGGGTCGCGTCTAGCTGGCAACGTAAGTATCATCATAGAGGATTCTTGTAGCATCTTCACTAATGTATCAATAGATCCCGGCCAGATAAATTTGTTTTGAAAGATATACCGAAAGATATATTCGACAATTTCCGTGAAAACATTCAACCCCGGTTACACGAGAGTCCATATATACGATTGCCATATGATATCGTACCGGGCCAGCGAATATATATATATACAAATATTTGACAGATGATTTTCTTAGCCTGGTCAAAAAAGGAATTTCACTGCGAGCGAGAAAGCAGATTCTCCATGATGCTTTGTTAGGTATTGCTGAGTTACACGATCGGAATATCGTTCATCTCAGTAATAAAGCCTTCTGCCATGTTTAGATCCACAAGATTGTTCAGATCATTGACCTTGAGAATGCCGCCTACCTTCCTAAACGTAGGTGTATTAAAGGCATGCTTGCTGGAAATGAAAATTGGCGAAGTCCAGGAGCACATTTCAAAGGTGAACTTAACAAGCCAACGGATATTTTCTCTTTTGCGATCGTTGTAAGTAGTCTAGAGGATATTTAAGAGGTTTCAGCTAACAGGCAGTCAGTGTATATACGCTATGCTTGGACAAGTTATTTTTGGTCCTGATCAGGACTTCAAAAAAACACGAAGCGCAGGGTGCACTGCCCACTTTCATTCGCCTACAACGCCAAGTTTCGTACTGTTGGTTTACCTTCGTTAGATCGCAAGATCTAAGAAGGACAGCTAATCCAACAAGCTGACTGAGCCAGTAATACTGAATTCCTAATATCGCGACTAATCCTAAGAACTAGGGGGATGCGGGTGGTGAGATGTAGTTATCCTCCGTACGCTATAGCGCACGGATAAACTATATCCCATTCCCGCGCCGAGATAGGTAAGATTGCTATACCGACACGTACTTTGGAGACATGCAGGGAATAGGAGGCCTGTCGAAACATATTGCCGACGATGATATTAGCTGCCAGGTCCTGCAGATGTTATGGGACGAAAGGGCTGATGAACATATTCATTACCGACCATTTGTCGATTGGCCTGACGTTGACCCATCGTTCAAAGATCTTATTCAAAGACTTACGAATCTAGACCCCATGAAACGACTCACAGCGCGTCAGGCATTGGAACATGGTTCTCGGGATAAGGGACTGGGCAGAATACCCAAATTATAACGTAATCAACAAGCGAACCGGCACTTTTTCCCGAACGTGTACACAATATTAATTCCATATTATTCAACACGCCAACATGCCACCAATTCGCAATAAAAATAAGAAAGATTTAGCTGAGCAAGAGGGACGAATTTTATTAGCTATTTCCGATTTACAAAATGGGCGAATCTTACGCGTGGCTCAAGCTGCAAGGATTTATAGTACACCCCGGGCGACTCTACAAGACAGATTAAACGGCACTCAACAAAGATCTCAAGTACGCGCCAACAGTCATAAATTAACTCAGTGTGAGGAGGAATCGCTTGTCAAATGGATACTCGATCTAGATAAACGTGGATTACCCCCTCGACACTCTCTTGTACGAGAGATGGCTGGTTATCTTCTTTCACAACGCGGAAACCAACAGGTTGGAGAAAATTGGGTATATAATCTTGTCAAACGTCGCCCAGAGATTGAATCAAATTTCTCACGGAAATATAACTATGAACGTGCTAAGTGCGAAGATCCGAAGATAATCCAAGAATATTTTGATCGCGTACGAGAGGTTATATCAGACTATGGGATCTTGCCAGAAGACATCTACAATTTTGATGAGACTGGCTTTGCTATGGGACTCTGTGCGATTGCCAAGGTTATCACTGGAAGTGATCGATATGCTCGACCAAAGCTATTACAGCCTGGTAATCGAGAATGAGTAACTGCAATTGAGGCAGTTAATTCGATTGGATGGGCTTTGCCTTCGTATATTATTTTCAAGGCAAAGAAATACACTCGGTTAGGCTGGTTTGAGGATCTTTCAGACGACTGGAAAATCAATATTAGCGATAATGAATGGATGACAGATAAGATTGGATTAGAATGGCTTAAAACTCATTTTATTCCTCTTACCGATGGCCATACATTGGGGAAATATCGGATGTTGATTCTTGATGGTCATGGAAGCCATTTAACTGCTGAATTTGACCGTACATGAACTGGGAATGATATTATTCCAGTCTGTATGCCTCCTCATTCTTCACATCTTTTACAGCCTCTTGATGTTGGCTGTTTTGCTGTTTTAAAGCGACATTATGGATAGCTTATTGAGCAGCGAATGAGGCTTGGGTTCAATCACATTGACAAAATCGACTTTCTCACTGCATTCCCAAAGGCTCGTACAATGGCATATAAAGCTCAAACTGTTCGGAATAGCATTACAGCAACTGGATTAGTACCATTCAATCCAGATCGAGTTTATCAACAGCTTACTGTTCGATTGAGGACTCCAACACCCCCTCCAAGTCGATCAAGTGATACACAATCATCCTGCTTGCAAACCCCTCAAAACGCACGTCAATTTAAGCGCCAAATGACTACAACAAAGAAGAGAATAAGCCGGCATACAAGAAGTTCATCTGAGGCTATTGGTGAAGTGTTTACATGGGCGTCGAAGGCTTATGAGATGAGTATTAATAAGCTTACAATTGCACAGAAGGAACTCCATGATCTACGGGCTGCACATAAGAAGGAGAAGCAAAAACGTCAAAGATCTAAGCAGCAAATATCTTATGAGCAGGGAATTACTAGAGAGGAAGCTCAATCACTCGTACAAGGTCAGATTGAAGCATCTCAAGCTGTTACTACTACTCCGGTCGAGCCTGAGCTCCCAGTCTCTCATCCACCTGTACGACGTCAATTTCGCTGCAGCGGTTGTGGTGTTGCAGGACATAAAATAACTTGATGTCCTAATCGTATTAGGAATTAATTCTTTGTATATAATTAGTATGTGGGTTAGAATTTGAGATTTGAGATCAATATTGTGTACGCGTTCGGGAAAAAGTGCCGGTTCGCTTGTGGATTGCGTTAAGTTAACTAACGTATTCTACACGACGGCAAGCGGGACGCCGAAAACCGCTCCTGGCCACCCGTTCCTCTGCCGCCGTCCACCGCCTGCCGATTGTGGGCATGATACTACCCGACCGGGCCTAGCGGTGCCAGCCCGTCCCGTTTGGGAATAGCGGGCCCGAGCGTCTATATAAACCCAGGTGCGTCCCTCGAACGATTTCACCTCGTCGTCTCCTTTCTCTCTTCGTTTTTCTCAATTTCACTTTCCGTCACACCCGCGGCTGAACGGCACAGCGTCGCATGGACCTTGCGCCAGCCACGTCAGTGATGTCTCAGCTCCTCCAGAATCGCTACCACCCAGCCTGGCCAACGCGACGATTGGACTCCAGTTCAACCATATTTGGCGAGTCTGAATTTCGAGACTGTCATCGACCGTCGTATCCCTGCTCCTGGTGGAGCAAGAACGAGGGCGATGTGATCGCTGCTCTTGTCTGCTGAACAATGCCGCCGCCTAGGATCACTGCAACCTCACCAGGATCCCAGGACTGAATTCGCGAGCCGAATGAGTCAGGAAAAAAGGAAAAAGAGAGAACGCAAGACGGAGAGAACGACGAAAGAGGTGTACGAATATGTTGTTGCAACACTGCACTGGAGAGCTGTACTGATCCTACTTCGAAAAACAATGCGTCTGACAATACGCAACAACATGAACCCTTCGCCCAACTTACAGGGGTCGCGCTTTCCGCATCTTGTGACCTTGTGACGTTAACAAGAATCGGTTTTTAGCTGATAACGGGTTTCCTTCCTTTCAAAGACAATGCTCTCGACGTAGCAGCCAATGGCAAAAATGCATCGCGCGGGGCTGAAGCTCACACCGGCCTGTCTTTCCAATTTAGGGTCCTACATTGCCAGAAATTGAGCATGTATCATTGTCGCATCACAACCCATTGCAGCGCTAGCGTCAATGGGGTGGCTTTCATTCTGATCCACACTGGTAATGAGATCAGACGATGGCGGTGTTGGATTCGAGTCTCGAACACGCCGTATAGACTCATCCGGAAGGCATGATCCAGGTTATACTCGGTTGCTGAGCCTTTCTATTGGCAGAATGGGAAATTTAATAGGGGCTGCCGGATCACGACTCTATCGAATCATATGCACAGGGACGGTGAGTAGTCTTGGAAATCGGGGCGTGAGGCTGTCTTAGGCTAGAAGATCGGAACCAAAATGCGACACTGGTCCTCTCGGCTGACATGGTACTTCCAGCCTTTCTCGACATAAAAAGGTGATAGATTTCCGCACTTGCGACTCTCCTCAGTTCCTACTTATTGAACACAAGGCTCAAGATTTTGACCGTGAATATAGCCAACTCTCGATTTCACGTGGATAATTTCCGGCCCTATGAGAGACGTAACAGGAAAGCCCCATCTCAGCACCATCAAGAGACTGTATCGCGATACCCAACCCCAGCATCCATCGCTGAATCCTTCTTTCCCCGACTTCTGCTTGCCCTTCCCAAATACTGAAATCACGCCGCACTGCGTAACTGATTACGGCCTTATATCATATCCCACCAGATCGGAAACAATCCTTCCAATCGACCCGGCGATTCTCAGCGACGAGACGCCTTGCGCATTGACATACAGTCGGCAAGATAGTGGCGTTAGCGGTTTCATATTCCCCCGATGAGCTGTCACAAGAATCAGACTCTATACGGGACCACTTTGCAAGCACTCCCGATCCTCAGCCTGGAAAACAGAGTACCAGTCCGGGAGCTGCTCCCTTGGACGATCCTCTTGATCAACAGACTCATCTTTCGCGTGCTCATACAACCGAACTAGAAACTGGCACGGCATCCACGTTGCAACACACTTGCGGTGACAGTAGCCAAGAGCTATCATTCAATAAGAGACGGACCGCGCCGGGGTACGATTCAGGACAGCCATCCAAAAGAGTTTGCGCCCGCACCACGCCAAGGGAGAATGTGAACACGCCCCTCATCCCTACGCTTTGTTCTTATTTCTTGACAGCGCCTGTGGACGACCGTTTGGAGTTTCTTTCCTGGCTGTTCGATGGTGCGCTTTCGCAGTGCATGTCTAGATTTCCAACCACCCCGACGGCTTCCAAAAGTGTCCCGTCCTCGACGAAAGGTCGGAAGGGTACGTCATGGGAGTCGGAGGAAATTGAGCTTTTGGTTCAGCTGAGGAAGGTAGAGAAGTTGCCATGGTCGGACGTGGTGAAGCGCTTTACGGCACAGTTTCCCGGGAGGACGGCAGGGTCGATTCAGGTGTATTGGTCGACCAATTTGAAGGATGTGTACATAATTCCATTACTGTGGACGATCCTTTGGTCGCTATCTCAGGAGGGGAGATGACGATTCTGGTGACCAGAATTTTTATGATTACGTAGTTAATACTAGTGTAATCCGCCCAGAAAAGCATGGCGTTGAGGGCATACGAGAGGAGCAAAGAGGTGTAAATCATTCAAAGCTCAACATTGACGCCATCAAGCAAACCTAGTCTGCTATCTCACGAGATGACGCCTCGGCATTTCTCATCTCATCATCAGTTGCAAAGGAGAATCGAGAGAGGCAGCCAGATTCTATCAAAGCATTCGCAATGAACTTTTCCTTGGTTATTTTCCCATTCTCTACAAGCGCTTTATTCTCCTCCATCTTTTCCAAGGCGTGATCGTATTTGGCCAACTGACTCACCTTCCACATTGCAAAGACATCAAGTGCTTCCGCGTCGTCAAATGCCTTTTCGTACCAAATGGATTATGATTTGATCTTGTGCTGGAAGCAGGAAAACTGACTGTGTCCCCTTGGGAACGTAGGACCCTGGGACGAGATATCTACTGGCGCGCTAACTACAAAAGGTACCGTCCTTCACCGCCTGGTGCACGGAACCACCTGATGCACGGTATCGCGTCACAACGCGAAAAACAACACAGATTTCAAAGCGCGATAAATCAGTCAAAATGGGTGCAATTGAGGATGCGATTGAATATTTGAATTCCTTAGGAGAATATAACAGATGAATATCACTTTGACTGCAAAAATGTTTGGTGTCAATCGTTCAACGCTCTCGAGAAGATACCGAGGTGTTACGGGCTCAAAAGAGGAGCAATACGACAATCAACGATTACTCAACAACCAACAGTCTCAAAAGCTTATACAATGGATAGATATGCTCTGTGAGCGCGGTATACCACCTACGCCTTCAATGATTGCAAATTTCGCGCATGAGATAACCGGTAAAAAGCCTGGAAAGAGCTGGGTTTCTCGCTGGTTAAAGAAGCATCCAAATGCGTTGATTTCTCGCTATTCTACGGGCATTGACAGCAATCGAAAAAGATTGTGCATGGAGTTAGGCTCTATATTTTGAGCTTATAAACCAGAAAATTGAGCAATATAATCTTCGACCAAATCAGATTTACAATATGGATGAGAAGGGCTTTGCAATTGGGGTTATGACAAAAGAAATAAGAGTTTTTTCTTGGCGTTTATATGAGAAGAAATATAAGCAGTTTCTTCAAGATGGGAATAGAGAATGGATTACTACAATTGCTTGTATTCGCGCTGATGGACTTACTATCTCTCCGGCTTTGATTTATATGGCCAAATCCGGTAATCTTCAGGATTCATGGCTTCAAGATTTGACAACACAAAGATGCTATTTTGCAGCTTCCGAAACAGGTTGCACAAATAGCGATATTGGGTTTCACTAGCTTCAAGAGATCTTTGATAAGGAAACCAAATCTCAAGCAAGCCGAGGATTACGCTTATTAATCCTCGATGGTCACAATTCTCACGTCAATATGAGATTTATTGAATATTGTGATAGAAACAGAATCTTATTGGCAATATTTCCGGCACATGCGACACATACTTTACAGCCTCTTGGTGTTGGCTTATTTGGACCTCTTGCCACTTACTATACGATGGCATTACGCAAATTTCTTGATGAAAGCCAGGGCTTGAGCCGTATTACTAAACGTGACTTTTTCGGCTTTTCTGGGCGAGTTGGGAACTATCTTTTACTAAGAAAAATATCAGCTCTACCTTCAAAAATACGGGCTTGATTCCTTTCAATCCGGAGATCATATTACAGCGATATAATGAAAAATCCACCAGCTGGCCAAGTTCATCTAGTTCTACAGCTTCAATTCTCTCAGCTGAAGATTGGAGATATATTCGTCAATTTGTTAAAGTGGCTGAGGGCAAAAATCCAAGCAAAAACATGAAAAAGCTAAACAATACGGTTATATAACTTTCTACAGAGGTTGTACTGCTCAGATTACGTCTTAAGAGCCTAGAGATGGCTCTTGAAAGAGAGAAAAAGCGCCGGATTAGGAAAAAGCCATTATTATTGGATTTACCTAACGAAAAGGAAGGTGGTACAATCTTTTTCAGCCCTTCAAAGGTTCAGCAAGCCCGAGAACTACAGCAACAAAAAGAGGATCAAGCCGCGCAGGAAAAAGCTAGAAAAGATGATAAAAGACTTCAACAACAACTTCTAAAGGAACCTAGAAAGCAATAAAAGCAAGAAAGAGCTCAAATCCGTCAACAAATACGAGAAGAACGCGCGCAACAGGCTGCTGAAAAACAACGCTAAAAGCTTGAGCAAAAAGCAGCTAAGAAAGCAGATTTACAGTTTCAAAAAGATGCCCTAGCTACAGCGAAGCCCCGTACGAGCCGAACGAACCTAAATTCAAAGAAATTGAATCCCAAACAGAGCACAATCAATAATATAACTAGGTGGGATCAGCCGGCAACCCTGGCTGTCTAAGAAATCCCACCTGATGGATATATCTAGATATATATATCGAAAGCTGTAGTTGGTTATGAAGTATCTACTATCTACTAGCAAGGTGGCTAATTTGGAAAAGTCCGTATATTAATCAATTGTTGGATCATTTAGGTGCTTCATCACTTATTACATTGACAGGAAGCTATTTCCTATATACATTATCCATCAACATCAACATCCTCATCGTTTCGGAATTCATTGAGTGTCTTTGAATTCCCAGTATGTCTCTTCCTGCATTGAATAACCTTTCTACTGGAACCTCAGAGGCTGGAATTGCTAAATAATCTCTAGCAGCAGCAGCCATTCTAGGATATTCACCCTTGTTTATCTGCCACTAATTACATAACCAATTCGGATCCCGTATGTTAGTTATTTATATTGACCTGAGGGCTGATAAGATAGTGATCAATATCAGAAAGTAGAGGTTGATTGAGTGGCTGTAACCTCTTTAGTAACCGGGACTCTACATCATTATAGTTAGTGTTGTACTCTAGTAGGGATTGTCCTATAGTTAAGCTTGATCCCATAGTCGCAACTGAATAATCACGGTGGAGGTTATCATGGAGAGCTTTAAGGATCTCCCTCCTAGTAGCTTCATCTTCCAGTTCGTCGAGGAGGAGATCACCTTTGACGCGAGGATCCAAGATAAGGGCAGTGTAGTATGTATCAGAAGCATCCATAAAGGTATAGTACTTTTTATACTTCTTTATACCTTCCTTCACAGCCAATGATATATCTTCGTCAAGATCTAGGAATCTCTCCTTGCGCTCGGATGCCTCATCGAGTAAATCATAAAGTTTATAGTAGATTGGGATCACAAGACTAATTTGAGGTTTCTTTTCTGATATGAACAGAGTTAACTCATTGAATTTTGAAAGGATATTGTGGATCTGCGAGAGCCGAGATCAGTCCATTGTAGTAAACTAAGGAAAATCTGTCTGGAGTTGTAGAAATTTATCGACCTAGCATCTTGCCTTCAACGCGTCGTCTAACATTCGGAAAGTGGAATTCCATCTTATATCAACGTCATATTCGATATATTTGCTTGAGAGATTAATAATCTTGCAAACCTTATTCCATTTTTGCCTTTGTTGGGGACTTCGGTGTATCCAAAGGGCTAGGATACAAATCCTTGCTAAAGATTCCTGAGACACAATAGATAATTGTTCCCCTTCCTTGAAATGATCATATACAACATGTGCTTCCTCCATGTTGCTAGATTTTAAAGTCTTCAGGATATCTTTGACAATGAGATTTAATATGTAAGCTAAGCAACGGACGTAACTTTCTAAACCGTGGAAGAGAGGATTAACTCCAAGTTTTTGCCTTAGATTTTAAGATAAAATTAAAACCATCTTCTCGTTGTTACTGGCATTGTCTCCAGTTATTGTAGTCAACTTAGATTGAAGGTCAAGTTCTAGAAGTATATCCTCAACTGCTGCAGCCAGATTCTCTCCACTATGTGGTACTAAAAGTTCTTTGAATTTAAGAACTTTTTCTCGATAGTCAAAACTCTCTGTAAGCCAATGGCTAATTATCCCTAGGATTGGAAGGTGGATTTTGCTTGTCCAAATATCAAGAGATAAGGCAATTGTTTTGCAAGATAACCTAAGTTTATCCTTCAACTAAGCATGTTGTATATCAAAGTTATCCATAATCCGTTGTCGGAGGGTATGCCAAGAAGTAAATAGAAGTGCGATACCTAGGATATTAAAGAAGATCTGCTGAAATTCTAGGGATTCAATTGTTATAAAAGATTATTTATCAATAATAATCTAGTGGAGGATATCCTTTTCTAGCTGTTGTTAGCAAGTAAGGGTTTCTTCCTTTTTTGCCCATAAGCTAGGCAGAGTTCCCGTTAGACTTTTGATGGGTTCAGTGATTGAAGCACCAGGAGAATAAATAGAATGCTTTTATAAGAGATGGAGTGTCATATTGCCGGTAGAACTCTGCCACTTTGAATCTGTTATAACCCAGCTACAATACTTGCCAGTATCTTTGTCCACAATAGCACACTGAATATCTATATGCATCAACTTCTATTTCTTGTGCTTCTTTGTATACCACTCACGTGAAACCTTATGCTTGCTAAAGTAAGTCTAGAACCATGCTTCCTTTTTAGCTATAGGTAGGAGATTTCGGGAGGTATATGTAATAATTAAAGAATCTACTGCTCTTGAAGTTGTTGGACAGGATAATGGCTGTGAGGTAGATTCTGAAGGGTTTATCTCAACATCAGGGATGCCAAGAAATGAATTGTATTCTAGCTATATAAGTATAGATAGAATCAGCGATTTAGGGGATGGACTTGAAAGTCGGTCTTCAGGTCATGCTTCATTGTCATAACTGTCGTTTAATACAAGGTAGTTTTGATGTTTGCCCCAGATTTCCATTAGATCAGTAGATAGCAGGTAACAGAACTAAGCCAAGTAAAAGAAGCTATACAGTATAATTGGCAAATATAATAGCTTAAATGCAATTAATTCAATTTGACAGGCACTATAGTTGACTCGTATATGAAAGGACAAGCTGGAGAAGAGAAAGGATTTTACAGTGCGAGGTGTCCTAAACCTTCGCTCTCTTAGCAAACGTGACATGTCACAATTAACTAGTCCTGTCTCGTATACGATGTGATAGTGACTATCTTGTCGTAGACTCTAAGGTCAAGAAGATTAGATCTATCCAAGGGAAGTTTTTCAAGGAGCACGTGACTAATAGACGATATTCGCGGCGGATACAGATATCGAATATTTATTCGACCCTTTTTGTACGGCGGATACGAATATCGAATATCACTATATTCAGCCGATATCTGTATTCGCACCAGCCCTAAGAACAAAGATGGTACCGTATGTCGCACATAACTATGGGAAGCCTCGCAGATCCTATGGCCGTGTGGCAGGGCGAGTGTTTCAGATAGCGAACATCGTACGGAGGACTGTGTACATGTTGTCAAATTGTCAATGATAAGATTAGCAATCGACAAGTGACAGAGTGGGACTCCGCATGTAGAGAAGCATTCATGAAATCTCGACAAGAAAAAGTCAACTTTCACGAAGGACTAAACCCCCACCGCCCAACCAGGTTATTCTTCATACTGGATAACGGGGAGCAGATCCAGCACTCATAAGGGGCGCTGTATGCAGCCAGCCCCAAGGTATTCAGGGAGGAAACAAGCGTCGATTTCGGCATAAGCAATACACGCCCTAGACGACTATGCAATGTTTCAACATGCTTCGTGTTTCATTGATGCTGTACTTCTTTAATGAGACATTTGATGCTATACACGTTCCTTCCGACGGCTAAATTTAGGACGGGTAGATCCAGCCACGGAAACACCTCTGAAACATCAAAGAACCACGAGCTTGCGTAGATCTGCTTGACATTTACAGTACTTGAAACATTGCTTCAAAGTTCGAACTGGTCCGGACGTATCAGGGTTGTCGTGAATTGGGGTTTTCTGTGACTTTTGCTCAGCATCAAAGGCGCATTAGGGGATGAATGACCCCTTTAATTAAGCCGGAGATAGTATCTTAAGGTAGAATAGCAGGAAACAATGACTTCTCGGAATCTAAAGAGTAGTATACCCTCTCTAAATGGCGATCATCTGATACGTGACAGATCGTCTACTCCGTAGTCCTGTGCTCAGTTTAGCCGGTTTGTCTTCATCTGGCAGTCTACGAGGCTAAAAGGGGGGTTAGGGTTGAACGAAACAATTAGGCTATGAAACAAGCGGAAGCACAGACCCTTTACGACGGACAAACTTGTGATAAACTAAATTCAAAATCGACTATCGAATTGTGCTAGTTTATTTAACTATGGATCAATCAATGATTCATCACTCGAATCTTTGGCCGCAAGCACTGTAAGCCTCCTCACCATGAATGTATGCGCTGCTCACAGTCAACCAGAGATAAGATGTCGAAAGGCCATGGCAGCATAATACCCAGGTTTATTCACCGGCATCGCACTAATGGGAAATAGGCAATGCACGGCGACAGCCTAGGGCGCGCAACATGCGTAGGCGCCAATCACGGCGGGAATCGACTGGTAGGCTGAAACCCCAGGCTCGCACATATTCTCGACCTGAAGACAGCCAAGGTTTACTTCACGAGTCACATTGCCTCAGATCGACAGACTCCGTACGGTTCATAGACTCTGGTGGTTAAATTGAGTCCGAAGATGATCTGTTGAGCAAACGAAGTACACAGCTTGTAATTAGTAATATATATATGTATGTAATGTATGTATTTCTGTACGCATCACAGACTAGCTAAATATGGTTCCGTCTGGTTGAATCTCCAATATGATTGGCTTTTATCTCGTCCCCGCTGCCCACGTGAGCTCGCAAGACCTCCCGCAATGGTTGGAGTAAAGTTACCGTCTTGTAACCCGCTTACCTGGGGCTTTTCATGGAGAAGGTATATTTGTCAACTTGATAAGAGATCGTACATAATCCAGGTTGTCAATACGGCCGATATGAACCCGAGATGGTTGTCTCGACCGGTAAGTTTATTATTATTTATATATGCATACATAGAAAGTTCCAAGTACAGACTCGAAAGCAGTGGCTCTCAGCGAGGCATACTCCGGGGCAGAGACTTCTGCCAGAAAGCGCCCACGGCGCCCTATTAAATGGATCCCATTAGGTGGATCAAGTCACTTAACCATACTATGTAGTAAACCACGGAGTTTTAAGTTGAGGATGTTCAAAGCTTCATACCATGTAAGTTAAATCGGTGTTTATTACCGGTCCGGTCACCGCAAAGGACTTCGTATGTATCATACTCTGGTAGTGTGGTACTACAACGGCAAGTGTCCAGTGCGCGGTACTAATGCGACGATCTTTCAAACTGCGTATTTGGGTCAAATGGCTACGAGTCATCAGCTTCTTCCTTTTTTCTTCCGTCGCCAAATTGCTATTTTTGTTTACATTTATTGAATTAATCAAAACACTTTCAGGTCACGCTGCATCGTCCAGCAGATCGCACTTGTGCCGTGCCGTGTTATTGTTAAAACGTTGAAGAGGCTAACCGAGCGGACCGTCAGCCCAGAGCCATAGCCACGTACTTGTCTAGCGCTCGGCATCTCAGCTGGGCTGCTTTTCCTTTCCCACTTAACTTCTCCTCCGTCCAAGCTCAACCACCAACAACCTCCAAAAGATCGCTCTCAGCCCATCTCACCCGAACCACTCACATTGAGCCATCTCTTTCTACAGCCACCTGCAACGACTACACTTCTCCTCTTCCTATTCCGCCTCGACTTCGCACCTCGACCGCCTGAAGAGAGCGCCGCATCCTCATTCCGTTTGTGCAGGCGCAAGCCTTCCATACCAGCGACACCAGCGTTACCACCTCAACTCTAATAATCACAATTTTCGCAGTCGACGAGTCTTCCTCCAAGCGACTCGCTTTTAATCTTTATAAACTTCACACGGCACGTGGAATCAAAATAAACGAGAAGAAAAAACGGTATTCTTTGTTACTAGTCTTCAGACGGCTTCGAGCCACCGCGGCTAGCTTGGGGTTTCTGAATCGGTGACACCATCAAACTCTTGGGGGCGGGCGGACTGGACCTTTTTATCTCATCGGCACTACCACCAGTTGATTGTTTTTTCTTTTGCCTTAACAACGTCGAGCAAATATTCATAGAATCGGTCGTCATGGGGGGTTGTGTCAGCTCAGAGTCCAATGCGGACCTCGAACAAAAGAAGCGAAGTCAGATGATCGACAGAAAAATAGAGGAAGACTCGAGACGATTACGACGGGAATGCAAGATTCTACTACTCGGTACGCTTTCGTGGGTTTGATAGGTGAATGCTGAGATGAATACTAATTTCTGGGTGCAGGCTCCGGCGAAAGTGGGAAATCGACCATTGTCAAACAAATGAAGATTATTCACCAGAATGGATACAGCGTCGAAGAGCTGACAATGTACCGACTGACCGTCTACAAGAACCTTCTCGACTGCGCCAAATCGTTAATCGAGGCCTACGAGCATTTCGATATGGAGCCGACTAGTCAGAAAGTGCGGGATTTCATCACATACATTTCCGAGTACAACATAGATCCCGACCCTTCTATACCTTTAGATCCGAAAGTTGGCGATGCAGTGACGTTTATATGGAGTGATCCGTGCACCGCTTCCGTTATGGAGCACCAGAGTGAATTTTACCTAATGGATTCGGCACCTTAGTATGTCCCTTTCTGATTTCGCTTGAGAAAGTCGAACTGACGGTGAACAGCTTTTTTGAGAATGCGAAGCGAATAGCTGCACCAGATTACATACCTAATGAGGCCGATGTTCTTCGGGCGCGTACCAAGACGACCGGTATCTACGAGACGAGGTTTACCATGGGTCAGCTCAGTATACAGTATGCTTCACTCTTGACCCTTAAAGACGCAATTCTAATTCGACTATAGCATGTTTGATGTCGGTGGACAGCGCAGCGAACGGAAGAAATGGATCCATTGTTTCGAGAACGTCACATCGATTATCTTTTGCGTCGCACTTAGTGAATACGACCAGGTTTTGTTGGAGGAGAGCAATCAGGTATGCAGTCAGAACTTCGTGGCAAAAAGAAAGGTGGAGCTAATGGGTGTTTAGAATCGAATGATGGAGAGCTTGGTTCTGTTCGACTCGGTAGTCAACTCGAGATGGTTCATGCGCACGAGTATAATCTTATTCCTGAACAAAGTCGATTTGTTCAGGCAGAAGCTCGGTCGATCACCCCTCAGCAATTACTTTCCAGATTATTCCGGAGGAAACGATGTCAACAGGGCGGCAAAGTATCTATTATGGAGGTTTAATCAGGTCAATCGGGCTCATCTCAACCTATACCCTCAGTACGTTCGCAACTTCTTCCCAATCCAACCATCCGCATACTGACATCACTTGTCTACAGTCTCACACAAGCCACCGATACAACTAATATCCGTCTCGTTTTCGCCGCCGTCAAAGAAACCATCCTTCAAAACGCCTTGAAAGATTCCGGTATCCTATGATAATGATGATATCCCAAATACTTCTTGCTGGCCAACGTCGTATCGTCTTTTTTTTTTTCTTTTCTTTTTCAACTTTTTTGCATGCCACTCTTAATGAGTACCTTTCATTTTTCTTCTTTGGGTTAAGGAGCGTCGTGTTATTTCATTTTCTCTTTATTACTGCAGACCCTTTTAACGATCACTTTGAGGTTTTTGTTTTCTCCCATCAGCCTCGACGCCAAGAATAATCTTTGTGCTTCCCATTTGATATCCCAAGGACCATTTCCACGATCTTCTTTTTTTGGTTTCTCTCCTCATCATACCGAATACGGTATCGGCGTTTTGTTTTGTCTTGTCTTGTTATGTTCTTTTCTGTTTTTGCTATCTTCTTACTGGAGGCGTTGTCCTAAAATACAGCTCATTCATGATGGAAATTTTTTTTTCTTTTGCTGTCATTACGTCCAAGCAATATTCCTCATATTCCCAGTGGGAAATAAAGATTTTCTCAGTTTTTTTTTCCTTTCTTTTTTTGATAGATAAGCGAACTCGAAGGCTTATACTATTACAAATCGAATTCCTTGGACTATACATATACCTACCTACCTGCTAATGCCTTGTCATGTCCTTGTCATTTTAAGTAGGCTTCCTGTTGGCAATAACTTATCCTCTCTGGGCGTAATCTACGAGCGATCGACCTCCTGAACCTACTCTTTAATTGTCTTGTCTTCACTTAACGGGCTGCTAAATTCTGCTTAGGGCACAAAAGGGCCACTTAACTCCGATGAATGTCCCTCTTTCTTGCAGAACGATGGGTATAGCCCAAAACGGTTTGTGATTGGTTGACGGCGCCGGGTATTCTAGGTATGACATCATATCGAGCTTTAGCTGACTTAGGGTTATTATGGATCGAGTACAAGAGTTACTTGGGAGTATGTGTGATCTCGTAGCATCTTGGATGTTATTTATATGTCATTGACGATGTGGTGGATGAGCGTATCTCTATCTAGAGTTGCGACATATGACTCTTCCATGGAGTATTTATATGGACATCCGCATTCAGCTCCGGTGTCAGACATGCTAGATACTAATAGCTGGCTAGACGAGGTACGTCATTTGCTACAGTTATCAGGCCATTAGAGTCCTTTGCATATAACGTCCTCCGTACCTTGATGCTATCTGAGGCGTTCCGGAGTGGTCCGGCATAACACTTAGTCATGCTTACCTAGTTAAAGTAAGTCAACTTAAGTTAGCTTACCGCAAGTGGCACTTTTCGATTACTACTCCATGGTCGCAGGTGTCTATGTTAGCTTTCATGACAGGGTTAGCCACGGCTACTGTCTAAAATAGGGCGATGCTTTTTAAATGTACTTGAACTTGGCTCTGTGTGTATATACATCTCAATATCAATGGAAAACAGGTGTAGTTGTCGTTGTACTCTCAGATACAGGACTCCACCTCCGCACAACCCGGTCTAGACCAGCAACGACACTACGATAGTGGCACTGATAAAATGATAGGCCCCACTGGCCATCGTACGACTCTCAGGACATGAAGCTCAATCATTGCACATAGTATGATTGTTATTGTTATTTGATAGAGGTATTAGAGGATAGCTTCTTCCTTCTTTTGGCCTTTTACTTATCTGGGAAGCTCCGTGGGACGCGCCACCTTCCCGCTGTCTGAACCGTGCCTACCCGGTAGAAAGAGACAAAAACAGGTATATGTATGTTCTACCCCTCACTCTGGTGTAGCTTCATTGTTTCTCCTCTTCATCTCCCCTGTTCTCTCTGCTTTGGCATGTGATTTGTTCTTGTCTTGCTTTTCTTTGCAACGTTCGAGTTTGTTATATCTGCATCATACCGATTGAATTTCTTCGTCGAGAAATAAAACAGAACGAACGAGATAAGATGTCTTCGAAACCTCTATCGCGAGAACGCAAACCATCCATTGGTGTCCCCGTGGCCGAACTTCAGGCTGTTGGCCCTGGTTTCAGCCGTCCCAAACACAAGAGAACGTTCACGGGCTTAGGTCCTGTCGAGAGCAAGCTTGTCGAGGCTAGTATTCCGGAGCATCTCCGAGAAGTGTGAGTTGTCTACTCGAATGTCCTGCCGACGATTAACGCTGACTGTGAATAGATGGAAGAAATATGTATGACTCCCAGAAGCTCAGTTATATCGAACGGAAATTGCGAAACAGGAACAGCTAACACTTACCACCACGTACAGTCCGCTACTGGGTTTGAGAATAAGGATGAATTCGAGGTAATCTTGGCTCATATCAGGATACACCGGCAAAGCTGACTCTATACAAGCGGGAATTTGTTCGACACGTCGAAACGACCTTGGCACGCTCGCTCTACAATTGCGATGATCTGTGAGTGTTCCAGCGGAGACAACATAAAATACATGCATTGCTTATACACCTGTTAGAGCGGCCTACTCCGGTACCGCCCTCGCATTTCGTGATCGCCTGATTATCGAGTGGAACAAGACACAACAGCGCCAGACTATGGTCGATCAGAAACGCGTTTATTGTGAGCGGCTTTCTCAACCTGGTAGTATCCATGGCAACGATATGCTGACTTGCCAGATCTGTCGCTCGAGTTTTTAATGGGTCGTGCTCTTGACAATGCTATGCTGAATGTGGGCAAGAAAGAGACCGCAAAGGGTAAGAAAGAAATCTATCTCAGATCATACACAGAAACAACGTTGCTTATCTCCCGTCAAAACAGAGGGCCTGGAAGAGCTGGGCTTCCGAATCGAAGATGTCATCAATCAAGAACATGATGCCGCACTTGGAAACGGAGGTCTTGGTCGATTGGCTGCTTGCTTCCTTGATAGTATGGCAACACTCAACTACCCAGCCTGGGGTTACGGATTGCGCTACCGGTACGGTATCTTCAAGCAAGAGATCATCGATGGTTATCAGGTTGAAATTCCAGACTATTGGCTAGATTTCAATCCCTGGGAGTTCCCACGCCATGATATTACAGTCGACATTCAATTCTATGGTCAATCTGTCCGGCAGGAGAACGAGGATGGCAGTATAACCTACAACTGGCATGGTGGCGAGATTGTACAAGCTGTCGCATACGACGTGCCAATCCCTGGCTACAGTACGGAAACCACAAACAACCTCCGATTATGGTCTAGCAAGGCAAGCAGTGGCGAGTTCGATTTCCAGAAATTCAATGCCGGCGAGTACGAACTTGCCGTATCCGATCAGCAACGCGCCGAGACAATCTCAGCGGTCCTATACCCCAACGATAATCTTGAACGCGGTAAGGAGCTTCGATTGAAGCAGCAGTACTTTTGGTGTGCCGCCTCTCTGTATGATATTGTGCGCCGATTCAAAAAGACAAAGCGAGCCTGGAGTGAGTTTCCGGATCAGGTCGCTATTCAGCTTAATGACACTCATCCCACACTTGCCATTGTCGAATTGCAGCGCATTTTAGTCGACCTGGAAGGTCTTGAATGGGACGAAGCATGGAAGATTGTCGTCGAGACTTTCGGATATACCAACCACACCGTTCTACCAGAAGCTTTGGAGAAGTGGTCTGTTCCCCTCATGCAGCATCTGTTGCCACGACACCTTCAGATCATATATGATATCAACTTGTTCTTCTTGCAACAAGTGGAAAGGAAATTCCCCAACGAGCGCGAGCTCTTGGCTCGAGTCTCTATTATCGAAGAATCTCAGCCCAAGATGGTGCGCATGGCCTACTTGGCCATTATTGGCTCTCATAAAGTCAATGGAGTTGCTGAACTTCATTCTGATCTCATCAAGTCGACAATCTTCAAAGACTTTGTCAAGATATATGGTCCAGATAAATTCACCAACGTCACAAACGGTATAACCCCTAGAAGGTGGTTGCACCAGGCAAACCCTCGACTGTCTAAATTGATTGCGTCCAAGCTGGGTAGTTATGACTTTTTGACTGATCTTACGCTCTTGGATGGTATCGAGCGCTATATTGACGATAAGGAATTCCGTACGGAGTGGGCAGATATCAAGACCGAGAATAAGAAACGACTTGCAAAACACATCAAAGACACGACTGGATATACTATCAACCCGACCTCCCTGTTTGATGTTCAAGTCAAACGTATCCATGAATACAAGAGACAGCAGCTTAACATCTTTGGTGTGATTCATCGATACCTGAAGATCAAATCAATGACTCCAGAAGAACGCAAGAAGTTGGTACCCCGTGTGTCAATCTTTGGAGGCAAAGCGGCTCCTGGATACTGGATGGCAAAGACCATTATCCACCTGATCAATAAAGTGGGCCAGGTCGTGAACAACGACACCGATGTCGGTGATTTGCTCAAGGTAATCTTCATTGAGGACTACAACGTAAGCAAGGCCGAGATCATTGTGCCAGCCTCGGACATTAGCGAGCACATCTCAACAGCTGGAACAGAAGCGAGTGGAACTAGTAACATGAAGTTTGTGCTCAATGGAGGGTTGATTATTGGAACATGCGACGGGGCCAATGTGAGTTGAAACGATGAAAAGCTTATAATTATTTATGTTCATGACTGACGTGAACAGATCGAAATCACTCGTGAAATCACCGAGTCGAACATTTTCCTCTTTGGAAATCTTGCCGAAGACGTCGAAACCCTTCGCGAGACTCATCGATACAAGGGTTTCACATTAGACGAGGACTTGGCCAAAGTATTCGAGTCCATTCGATCAGGCACCTTTGGCGATCCCAAAGCATTCGAATCATTGATCGCCTCCATTACTGATCACGGAGATTACTACTTGGTTTCTGACGACTTCAAATCGTATATCCAGACCCAGGCTTTGGTTGACGAGGACTTCCTGAAACAGGATGAATGGATTGCCAAGTCCATTACCAGTGTTGCTCGAATGGGATTCTTCTCGACAGATCGTGTGATTAACGAGTATGCAGAGAGTATCTGGAACGTGGAGCCACTTGTGGTTGAGTGAGTGATTGATCTCTAAGCGACCTTCATTCGCAGCGAGCAACAAGAGGTGTTTGTTCGGTATATTTCCATTGGCACAGTATTCTTAAAAATTTATTGATTAGTTGATACAGTTTATATATAATGATGATGATGATGATGATGATGATGATATCATATCTCAATTGATTACTCTCAATAGGCACCTACATAAATGATTTGTGTTAAGCATGCCCTTGGTGTTATCCCTTCGTGGCTTTTCTTTTGTATGGGTTGTTGGCTGGTGATCGTCATTGATCGCTTAATAAGCTCGATTTAGCCCTGGCGGGTGATGTGCTTTAACTTAACCTTACTTTTCTCCCTTGACTTGTGGAAATCTCTAAGACCTAAAACTGCATCGCGGGGGGGGCCAAAACGAAGAAAAAGGGAAAGTCTCGATCAGATCCTTCTGCAGGTTGCATTTTCGTATTTCCCCATCACATTCTCTCGCTTTCTTTGAGCGTCCTTGGCGTCTTTCGATGGCCTGATCATGAGTGACGATGGTGGCATGCTGTATTCTCTGCGTTGAAACTCGGATCCGACTACAGTATCTGATTTGCGTTGCTCCAAATTTCATATGCGCGCAGCAAGCAAAATATTGTGGGACCCGTAAGGAATTAAATCAATATTCTCGCATCTACAGACACGTACTGCAATTGGAGAGATAGTGTGTCTATGAGGGAGCTGAATCGTATTGTTCCGATTACTTGAAAGGATTTAGTATCTGCCTTTACATCACTCGATCTGTGATTTCCCCACGGCCAAGCTACAACACTATCGGCTTTGTGTTACGCGATCTCAGTGACACCTTTCTATGAGTACCATGACCTCCGGCTTCTACGAGGGGGGTACCAATCCCTTACACTACGCTGAATACTACCAAGACTCAAGGAAAAAGGCTTGTGCGGTATGTATGGCATATTCGTCGATGCTGTGTAAGCTTGCTATCTAACGTGCAAACGACTTTGTCTAGGCATGCAGACACAAGAAGAAGCGATGTGATGTAAATTCCAATCGCCCCGACTGTTATCTAAAATTTCACTGCGTATTAACTGGTTGCATAGGCCCTCCGCCCGTCTTGTTCGGCGTGTATTAAGAGCAATATCGAGTGTGTGTACTCGCACCAGGCGAACTCGTCGAGGGCGTCCGAGTCGTCTTTTTCATTCAATCTACCCACTTCGACTGATGTCGCTGAACCCAGTACCACTGCGATTTCTACTTTGCCGTCAATTGCTCCAATAGGGTTCTGGGATGTTGACTCTTTATTACTCCCTTCAAGAACAAGTGGACTTAATGCACCAAATGGGCTCTCGCCTCGCCTCGAGCAGGATGTGCATGCGGGACTACTTGAAGGTTACGAGGTCGTGAATCACCCAAACGTTTCACCACATCGCGTCGAGCCCTTGTTCAGCGGGCCTCAAATGTTCGATGCCGTTGAATTTCTTCCAAGTGTCAACTCTGACTCTCCTACCTCGTCTCCGACGAGCAGTGTCCTGCCTTCGCAGTCACAGCTGCTGGAGCTAACTCGTATCTTCTTCCAACAGCATCATCCATTGTTACCGTGTATCCATGCACAGGCTATCCTGGATCGGATCTCGGACCCTCAATGGGCGGAGTCGTCTCCCTTGATGTGGAGTATTCTCGCTACTGTTGCGCGCAGTAGCGAAGCAATCGAAATTCTAGCTCAGCGAAAAATGTGGTATGAACGTGCCATGTTCTTATATGAGCGGAGTGTAGTATCCAACGTAGGTTATATTCCATTCACGGCAAGAAGTATTACTGAGATAAAATCATAGGGAGATGTTTTGCGGAACGTCCAAGCAGCAGTCTGGAACGTCTATCTCCAATTCATGGAAGGTGACATCCTACAAGCTTCTCTGCGCCTAGCCCAGGCTTATACACTGGCTTGCATGCATGGATTTAATCGAATAGACGATGATCGTAAACCGACACATGTCAAAATACCTCTTGCTCATGCCATGGAGGAAGAAGAATGTCGCTGGACAATGTGGGCTTTTTTTCTGCTGGATCGACATATAAATTACCTTCACGGTGTACACTTTGTCGTGAATGATCACATGTTTTATGTGAATTATCCTTGCAATAACCTGGCGAATTCGCCTTCGATCGAGATTGCGGTAAGTCAGAGAAAAATGCTGAGAAACCTCAAGTCTTCCCTCTCATCCTCATCATCTCTGCACTCATAGTAAACCCCAATGGCGAAAGTCTAATTATCTTCTCTAGGATGCCGAGCTATTTTCCCGAGACTTGGAATTATGGAGTCTAACACTTCCCCCGGGCAAGTCAAGCGGTATGCCAATAACCCGTCTCTTCCAGAAAGCCGTGGTCCTCCTAGGACGAATTGTCGAATACGAGAATATCGTACCCATCGATGCCGACCAAAAGCAGAGGGCAGCCGAGTATCTGAAATTGCAATCCACCCTGGTTCAATTCTGGATTCCCGTATCCACGCATCTATCCAATGCCTTCCATGATCCATACGTTACCTGGCTCAACATTATCCTACACACCTGCTCCATCCTACTAAACTATCCCGTATCAGTTTGCGGCAAAACGGACGGTTTACCTAGTAAATTCGCCCAAGGCTCTGCCAATCATCAGGGGTTTTTACGCGCGTTTCGCGGCGTACAAGCAATCGTGGATTTACTCAAACAACTCCTCACAGCCAACCAATCGTTGTCAACACTTCTCAACCCGCTTTTAGCGCCATCATACTTTTTGTGTTGTCGGTTCTTGGTTGCCAGATGGCGTCAGACACATGATGAGTCCTATCGGATTCAATGGGGGTTGGTTGTTGACTTGCTTGGTCGTATGGCGGATAAAGGGTTTCATCTCGCCAGGTTGTTTAAAGATACTGTTGCACGGGATGTGCAGACTGGAGGACCAGCGGGGCCTTTGGTTCATTTGGGACTTGAGGATGGAATGGTAGAATAATCATCTCTAGATGGAATGTTCAGATATCGTGCATGTCAATGCAACAACTCTTTTCCGGAACCATGAATTCTCTGATCAAAAGATTCCAATAGATTTCTCTATTACTAAACATAAAGGTGCCAGATCGAAGGTTGGAAATAGTGAATATTGTCTCATTTATTGCAAAATACTACCTATGCATCAAATATGCCATATACTGGGAAGAAAAGGCCATATACCTAGCTATGAATGAAAAATTGTGCTAAACGTAGCATGAATTTCCACACCAAAACGCACACGCTGTATTCTATGTAATATGATAGATAATTTGTCAAAAGACTTTTGGATTTGTTGATGTGGGATCCTCAAGATGTAAACTTGTGCTGCTTAGCAAACGCAGAAGCAATCAGCAATGTACCTGCACATGCAAACATCCACCACCATCCATTCTGAAGACTATCCGCATACGACGCAATAACCTCAGTACGCAAGTCTCCCGAAAACAGTTTCCGTACTTGCTGCACATCCTCCAAGATAGTCTCAATCTGTGAAGCCGGGATAGCCAGATGAGTAAGTTGACTCCGCAGCTTGTTCTGGTAGACAGCAGCAAAAATGGCGATACCAAAGATATCACCCACAGTCTGCATGAAAATGACCAATCCCGTAACGACGCCGATGAGCATGGGTTCAACAGATGCTTGGGCACTGATCAACAGACCTTCCATAGCTGCTCCCAGGCCGATACCAAGAATGATTAACTCAATCACCGCTTCTGCGCGACTGGTAGTTGCGTTCCAGCGTGTGATGAGGCCGATGATCAAGACTTCGAGTGCGGCGCCAACCCAGGCGTTTGCTAGGCTTATGCCCCATTTACTCGTTACCCATCCCGCCACGGGGTTGCCAATGGCCAATCCCAGCATCAGAGGTAACAGGCCAACGCCGGCAATAGTGGCCGAGTCACCAAAGACGAGCTGGAAGAATTGCGGCACGTAGTACATCATGCCTAGTAAGCTCGCGCCGTAAAAGAATTCAGCCACAAAGATGGCCATGATGCTGCGATTGCGGAAAAAGATTGGTGGAAAGATAGGATCGTTGACGAAGTGTTCGAAGATACCGAAAAGAATGAGGAGGACAACGCCCCCTACCAATGTGCCGATAACTTGCCCGCTCTTCCAGGGGAAATTCACACCTCCCCATGAAATTCCTAGTAGAAGCATCGTCGTCGCTCCGATCATCGCGACAGTACCGATGTAGTCATATTTTCGAGCCTTTTCGGCGTAGTTGACAGGGGTACGCGGTAGTCTGAGCACGAATAAGGTGATGAGCAGGCTGATTGGGGAAATGCAGAGGTTAATGTAGAAGCACCATCGCCAAGTAACGTATCTGTTGTAGTCAGTTATGTATCTATACTCCTGGATGGATTACAGAGGTCTACTTACTGTGAGAAAACACCTCCGAGAAGAGGACCAACAACATCCGCAATACCCCATACAAGTGAAATAAAAGAAAGGTATTTTCCCGCATCGCGCAATGCGACTAAATCCGCAGTAATAATCACCGTGACCAACCCATATATACCACCACCGCCAATTCCTTGAACTATGCGAGAGGCAATCAGCATGTTCATGCTGCTAGATCCACCACATAGACCGCTACCCAGTATGAATACCAGATTAGCAAAGATGAAGAGATTGCGACGTCCAAAGATCTCGGCACATTTGCCGTATACAGGTAGACAAAGTGCGAAAGAGACTAGATACCCTGTTCCGAGCCAGGAGGAGTCGAGGTAGGAGTTGAATTCGGAGGCGATGATGGGGACTGCAGTGGCTACGATGTTAAAGTCTAATGCGGTTAGGAACATTCCTACATTCAGTCTTTGGATATAATCCGTTAGTATGGATACAATGCGGGAAAGTAGGGATTAGTTTTGTGACACGTACCCTAGCATGACAATCCAGAACTGCTTCACGCTCAAGCCAGCTTTGGCTCCGGGTCGACTATCATCAAGAAGGCCATTTTCTTTGTTTCCATGCTCAACCGATGGATGACCATTCTTCTCAAGGTCCACCTCCGTGGTTGAAGATCGACGATGGTCTGAAGAACCTCCATCTCCTGGAATTTGCACTTGGGTGTAATTTTCCTGCACGGCAGCAGTCATAATTCGTTCTTCTGAGTAGCTATGTCTATGATGAGTTGTATTGTTGCGAGTCGTGACTCAGGGAGGCGAACCAACCACTACACTCTGGGCTGAGACTTGAAAGTGATATCTTCGAATAGGGAACTTTGCAGACGACCTTGGAGTCCTTAAAATTTATTCCTATGCCCACAGGCCAATTATCAGGAATGTCAACTTTGGAAGGCGACGACGAAACTTCAAGTGAATTATAGGAGCCCTTGAACATTGGAAGCTGTGGACATCCCCGAGAATTACAATGAAATTCCAGATTAATAATTACTTCCTTTCAGCCCGCAAGAACAGGCGGACTTCCTAGGGCTGGACGTTTCCGCCGCCGCCACGGGTCGGCGATGTATCGTTGGTAAGCTCTCCGCCCAAACATGACCGACGGCAGTCGATACAACACCTGGGCAGTGTATGATTTTCAGCTCCACATCTAGGGCTATAGGATGAATTGCTTAGCGGCGGAGACTAATGCATGCATGTCGGAGTTTTCCACTTTACAGCGGAGTTCAAGTGGGTCAATTCCGCCTGGGTCCCCACGCCGCTCCGGTTCTACTACGTTCTAGTCCTAACTCCAGCTATACATGGACTCTAAAGGGTCTGCTGATGTATGTGGAAGGTTATGGAATCAGATGGAATCTCTATGCCGAGTGAGTGTCCCGGAAATCGTGAATATGTCTTTTTGTTTCGTTCATCAAGCAAACATGATTAATCCAGCGAGACAAGTTTTAACTTTTGAGGCTCAAATATTCTAAGCTTTGCATTCAAAGTACGTTAGGGTTTAACTTTGATCCCGGTCTCGGACACAACTCTATCATATTTACAATTTACTATACTTGATCTGCAAGGAAATCATTCGCAGATTTGATTCAAGATGAGCTGCGTTTTTCATATTCACACATGGCAGCGAAGTAACGGAAGAAAAATATCATATGGCTTCAGCCTTTCCCCTAATTACTCGAACTACCTAGTCTTCCTCCATCCCAAGAAACTTTGTTTCATATGGTCTGAGAAAGATGCAGTCAGACCATGTAGAAGACCTTTCTTGCACGGATCCTTCAGATCGAACGTCAGCGGCGCCTCGTATTCAGCGTATATCTTACTCAGGGTCTTAAAAGCCAATTCGCACTCCTTGGCCTGTCGGTGATCACTAATGCCCCCGCTAAGTATCTCCCGAGATCCAACCGCATAGGCACCTCCCGGTTGGTCGAAATAGCTCAACGCCAATTGTCCATGCGGCTCACCGTTGGCAATGTCCAGGCTCACTGCGAAGTAGTCCACATCAATGAGTGGGGATCTCGTGTTGTTCAGCATATAATTGACTGCGTGGACTTTGCAGGTTGTGGCTCCACAGCCGCCTGATGTGGTATACTCAAACCAGTCAATGCTATCAAGTCCTGCGTCCGGGGAGCAACGACTGGTATCCGTTCCTGGTTTAGCGGGTAACCACCTAGCTCCGTTATTGTTAACTACTCAAAGATGTTTGGATTGAGTACGTAACGAAATTTCTACCTACCATCCAAAACTGAAGTAGCCCGTAGGCGTCGCGTAGCAGTAGAAATTCGCTGTGTGGAAGCTGCTATCCCTCGGGTGGTCTGAACCATTGAAAGGAGATATAATTACCGAGGTGCCATGGAAGAGAACTTGTGCCCAGACAGATGGGACTCTCGAAGTCAGAAGAAGTAGAAGATATTGCAAATAAGCCATGGTAATGGTAATCGCACGTCTTGGCATCTCTGGATGATATTGTGTAGATGTTGGAAAAAGACAAAAACACGAATGTACTAAATTAACTGCGAGCGAGTATCCTCTCGGAGAAGATGTGAATGACTGAATCAACTGAAAAAGTTTGTCAGAATCCCAAAGACTCTGGAATTTATGTTTCGGATTTTGATTTCTTGTTTAAGTGTCTAAGTGCAGCCAATGACGTCTGATGTTGTCCATGAAAGTGCCTCTGAACGCTAAATAGGTATACCTATTTTGCTTGTGTCTTACCCGGGTTCGAATCCTAGTCGACATGTGGCACGTATCTACAAGCTGTATAGCTGGCCTTTGGAATTGGTCTGCTAGTCGATGTCTCACATCGTACATCGATGAGGTATGTATATTTGCAGTAGGCTCCTGCATCAACGCTGATCTTCAGAATGTTCGAGGCCGCTCAAAAATTGGAATCCCTGATGGACCATGCAGGTCTTAAAAATCACCGACGTTGATGATATGCAGATTCGAGTACCCACGTTTTAGTCTCCGGGGGATACTCCACCTGAAGATCGAAAATTAAACTTTGTTCTTAATCATGTATGGTAACGGTATGTAATGGGTTGTATCTGACGGAACATGTATTGATCAGCAGGTGTGTACACTCACAAGACAGAATGGGAAATAAAGCTTTGATTTCTCTTTGGTAATCTCTTAATAGTCATGGGTATATCCTAGCTGTAACTCTTTTGCGAGAATAGACATTCAAATATTAAATTGGCTCGGTGCTCACTGTTATATGTCCAGAGAGGATATACTGGGAATGCATTTAATGGATTCAGCAGTGTAAGACCTACCGAGACCGGGAATACTCTTCATTAGAGATATCATTGATTATTTTGACAGTCTCGTAAGGAGTTTGCAAAATCGCTCTCTCAACTCACCCATCCAAGACGAAATGCTAGACTCAAACCCCAGCGTCATTCAATTTGGTCCAGCTGGCCAACGCAATGTACCGCTCATCTTGTTTCACGACGGTGGTGGTACCACCATGTCGTATCATTATCTTGGTGACCTGAATCGTACTGTGTATGGAATTCATGATCCTCGATTCATACATGGACGTCCATGGCGAGATGGTATCCCAGAAATGGCTCGAACCTACGCCAACCTGGTAAGATCAGTTGTACCACGCGGACAAGTCATACTAGGAGGTATTTCTCTCTATGGCTAGTATGTTCCAGATATCTATTTACTAACTGCTCAACAGGATGGTCCCTCGGTGGTTACCTTGCCCTGGAGACCGCCAAAGTGCTCGAATCAGCAGACGAACACAGCCACTGTATCGAAATCATTGGTATCATTATGCTGGATAGCCCTTATCCTAACCGGGTTCCAAATCCTCCGAATACAAGATTGCAGCCCAATAGGCCCTTTCTTGAGAAAACATGCCCCCCAGAACTGTCAATGCTAGTGACCAGATCCATGAAACGTGTCGGCCAAATGATTGACAAATGGTCAATCCCAAGCTGGTGGGAGGATAACGGAATTCAGCCTCCACCCATCTTCCTCTTGAGATGCACACAGATGGTTCCGGTGCAAAACTCGGATGCATCTATGACTTCTTCCGATTACTCTTCTGATACCTCGAATGAGAGCGAGGAGAGAGTTATTGTCGCCGTTGACCGGTTTAGAGCTCATAGACTTCTGGGATGGGAGCTTTATCATGATACTGAATTTATTAAAGCGGTGTTTGATGTTCCAGGACATCATTTCAATCTTTTTGCAAAAGAGAACGTAAGTACATCGATTCGTCCTTTAGCATGCCTGACAAGAAAAAAGTTAATACGAGACTTTTTTTTCTAGAGAGATACCACAACCATGCAATTAAAGCAAGCCTGCAAAATGCTAGAACTGCCTTATTACAATAATCGGCAGATAAGCCGGACTCAGTAAAATGAGCCTACAAAGGGGTGCGGTGAAGGATAGAAGGTACCATGACGCACGATTTTGTGTCTTTTCTTCGGTTTCGTGGTTGATGAAGAGATGTGTCCACTAGATTTCGGTGAATTTGTCTATAGAGACTGGTAGGAAACGAGTGAAATGTTCAAATAAAAGTATTTCCTTCTTTTATTTTCAGCTATCAACTATCAACTATCAATCATTCCCATACATTACATTTAATTTGCATTTCAGTCGTCTTCATGAATGTACCAGTGATTTGAAAACGCTGATGCCCTTTGCTTCAAGTCTCCAAAGATTGCATAAAATCAAGAGCGTATAAACTTCAAGACCACCGGAAAAGCAATCTAGTTGACTTTCTCTCACTTAAGCAATCTCCCTCCGTTTGATTCAATAATTGATCCCGTACAAAAGCCATCTTTCATAGCATAAAGGTAAGCCTCAGCCACATCCTCCGGTTTCCCGACTTTGCCAACCAAAGTTGCGCTAGCCATACTCTCGAGAACACTGTCAAGTCGATCCGCGGAAATATCATTAAACAGTTCAGTATGTACAGCTCCTGGAGCTACACAGTTGACACGAATTGGCGCCAAATCCACTGCGAGACCACGCATCATACCCTCAGTTCCAGTAGAGTACGCCACTACCGCTGTCCAATTAGGCATAGGTTTCAAGGATTGTGAGCCGCTGGTCAGGGTAATAGATGATGTTGAAGATTTTTTCATATAGCGAGGAGCTAGTTTCGAAAGTAAGAGTGGTCCCATAAAGCGAACTGTACCCATGCGTTGAATAGTATCCACCGTGAGGTCAGGTACTGGTGTAACTTTGATTGCATCTCCCGCTGTGTAGATAATATGGTCAAGGAGGGCTGGATCATCTCGCTGGTCATCTGCCCTTTCACTGGGTGAGTTCTTAGTTACCTGTGCCAGTAATTTCGCGATATTCTCATCCAAATTCTCGGGAGTTCCCAGGTCGCATGTGTAACCATTGATTCGAGCGTGATAGGTAGGATCAGGGTATGCTTCCCTCAATCGTGATAAGGCGTTTTGAAGCTTGTTTTCTCGAGAACTTGAGATAATCACTGTGGCTCCATGTTCAAGAGCCGCTTCAGCCACAGCGAAACCTATACCGGATGTGCCCCCTAGGATGAGCACGCGGGATCCGGCGAGTTTGGACATATATTTCAAAGGCATGCTACCGGCCATTGGGAATGTGTGAAAAACTCAATCAAGAACTAAGACTGTGTGTTGATTCAAGTATAATTTCAATTTAAAACTGAAAAGGTACATAAAAAGAAACGAAAAAGAAACCAAGGGGGTGTTTCGACTGTTTTATATATGACCCACTGTCGGAGTTGACCCACTCGCTGTGGGGCGTGCCGGATATCGGATGCCTTAGGCATATATCTCATAGAATAGACTTGGAAAGCGAGACTAATCAAAGAAAGCTGGATGCTATGCTTTGGAACATGGCATCAATGATGAGGATGCTATTTAAAGCTATATCAAAGTAGCCAAAGGTGGGAACAGTATTAATACGGAGAGGCTGTCCTTTCGTAATAGCCAGGTTCTATCGTATATACAAGTCGAGATATTATATCTAGTATGGGCCAATGGGTGGTTCGGGACAGGCCCTTCACAAACGTCGTTCATGAAGTTATCTTCTGATCTAGCGAGTGATCCTACTTGGCCAATACTTAGCCACCTGGAGTTATTATTTGGAGTATCTATTTCGCATATTCTAACTTACAAAGGAAACTCTAGACACAGCACACTTCTTTGTTCCTATAAGTAGTATACGCAACAAGAAATTTGTATGTTTTTTTCCTTCTTCTTCTTCTTCTTCCTATGTACGTTATCATCTTAGGAATGAACTTATAGTGTTTCATACGACGAGACTGGCCTGTAACGTATATGCCCCTTACTTCTTCTCTTCTTGCTTCCTCTCTGTTTTTCGCTTGTTGGCGTTTAGGGAATCTTCTGATACCTTTGTGTCGTTGGCGCCGGTCTCCTGTCGATGTTGTAGGCGAGCCTTTGTTCTATGTCTGACTTCACGTTGCATATAAGTAATAACTAGTATTCTAGTGGAGTATCTATGGTCTACTTTTTTTTACCGGGGTGGACCCAGTATTTCTGGTGGAAGAGGGGTTTCGGCAGCAATCGCAAACAATTACCACGAGGTGGCCCACAAAGTACCTCCGGTCTCTAATACATGATTAGCCTGTGTCAGCCTCGTATAAAGTTGATCAAGGTTAGATACCCGTCGTAGACAAAGGAGTTGGGCCAGAGTTTACCTTCTCGTGCACATATATAGACTTCATTATCCAGCAATTTGAATGTCGAGCCCCTTCTCGATCTAATAGTGAGGCTCGAAGACGCTATTTCCAACATAGAATTCTGTATAGCCGATTGTCTAATATAGGAGGATCTGTTTCTCTTTGTTCGGGTTAGACAATATCCATCATTTTTTCTTTTGAATAGAACCACTGCGTCCATGTAGATTCCTGCCTTGCTCTTTTCTTTCCCTTTTACTTGATTCCTACTCCATTCTTAGGCTCTCTAGCTACCTTCTTTGTCAGACCATGGAGGAGGTATCTCCGATGTGATGCGAAGGTAATCGTAGACAACAATGTTCCGAGCTTCAAGGTTCATTTTGATGATTTCACCCTTTCCAGTGTCTGACTGCCTTCTCTTTACACAACAATGGCAACCTCTAGCACAGTGCATGAATAGCGACTTCACCCTATGGATTTCTATTGAAAGGATGCCGATTCAGGCAGCAATTGACCCAGACTTCAACTTGCCTCAAAAATACAGCTCTGGTCGTTCCTAGGCCACCGACATTAGCTGCCTAGAGCAAGTCAAGAAATTTCCCTCAAATAACATTTAGGCAAGCATAAATCCATGGATTCTGACTGAGAAGGTTGCGGTCGAATTTGTCGCCGCGCGGATACCAGGGAGATTTACAACTTGCAAGATGGTTATTGTTACTCAATACGGCCAACCAGACTCTTCTGAGTTGTTTTATATAGAGTTATTAAGAGAGGAGAACCGAATTTCCCTTACCGAAGATTTTGCACACAAATCTCTACCTTAAAATAAATGCTTATTTCTTGACCCCGGGAGCTTGTGTCTAAGCTGCTATAAGCTAGCTATCTTCCAAATAGTCCGTCTTCTTCCAAAGTTGCAACCATTTGAATAAGTAGCAGTGTTCCATACAACATAGGTAAAATATACTAGTATAACCATACCCCCTTTTACAAGCTTCAGCTTGACTCTACCTGAGGTACTAAGCAAAACTCATCTCGTACCGCCACCTTTTGGCACCGGTTTTTCTTTTCTTTTTTTTTTTTTGTGATACCAGCATTGCAACTAAGCCTTGTCCAGCCCCGAGCACAGCCAATAGTATGAACTAACAATCGTCAGAAACATTGTATCGGAAGAAATACGAATACGCATATTGACTTACGCTGGCATGAAAATCAAAAGGTGATGGCAGTCCATTAGCCAGGCTCCATGACCAAGTTACTCCCCCTAATGATGGACCGATTGCCCGGGATAGCGAGCCCACTGACTGAGCCAAGCCATTAAAGATTGTGAGTTCTTGAGGAGATACGATATGGTTCAACTAGCCAAAAGCTTTGTTAGCAATCTCAAATTAGCAACACCGCCGCATGGGAAACCTACCACAACCTGTAGGCTTGTGAGACCAATAGCCAACACTGCGTAACGCACCACCATCAATATCAGTAGACAAGTCCACAATGAAGTACCGGGCTCGCCTTGGCTCCCATCAGTGATATTTCCGAGTTCAGGAAGCAAAGAGAATAGCGGATAGATAAAAACAAAAATGATGGCGGTAAGACGATAGAGGGACAAGAAACTGATCTTGGTCTTCAGCCATGGGAAAATCAACAATGCGGTGCACATTGATGGCCCTGCAACAGAGAGTGCCTTGGCTATTTGTCGTGGGCGAAACGACAAGCCTGTACCGTGTCTTAGGCTGGATGCCGCGAATAGTGAGAATAATTCATCAAAAAGGATCAGGTGGGTGAAGTAGAACCTTTGAAGTGAATTAGCAAATATGGCCTCTCGAAGATTCCTGGAGTAAATCTCACTTACGCTGTACTTATTAAGAAAGCGACCTGTGATATACGTGACTTTACTAAGTTTCCAGACTCAACACCAGCAATAGAATCTTGAGTGTCAGCCATATTGTTCTGGCTGCCTGACCGTCCGATGGCATTGTAGACCCTCTCCGTGGCCGAATCGTCGTAAGTTTGCGCCAGCAAAGGGTCTGTCAATCCTGGGTTTCCAGGATCCTCAGAAAGTGATCGCTCCAAAGTCTCGTTGAGGAAACAATAGGTGACTACACATGCACACAAGCTAAAGATGCCACTAAAGAGACATGGTAGTAGCCATGGAAAGGATACAAAGATGTTTCCCGGACCATAAAACCCTAGATTGGATACAGGGTTGGCAAAAGTGCCCCCTATCACAGGACCGACTATGACCATTAGTCCAAATTACAAGCATTCTTGCAACTATTAGCCTCTTATACTTACCAACCCATCCTAGAGCAAGTGAAAATCCAAAAACACTAAACACCTTACTCAGGTCATATCCAGTCTGTTTTGCTAGCTCTCCGATATAGGTTCTCGCTATAGGAAGATTGCCGTTGAGAAATCCGCCTAGTGAACGAGTGGCCACAGCCCATGCAAGAGACTGGGAAAATCCAAACAGAATTATGCTCAAGGATGTACCCAGTAACCCACAGATAAGTATAATACGTCTGCCAAAACGATCAGACACCAGGCACCAAAGCGGAGATGCTATCATTTGAGCAATGAAGAATGCAGACGCTGCGATATTAAATTTAGCAATCAGTCAAACGACATGTCATCAAATGGAAGGGGTCATTCGTACTTATAATTCCAACCCGGGAACCTATTTGGGCCTCTTCATATCCAAATCCTTTCACCATGAAATACACGAATGGTATGAGGGATGTCGATGCTAGCGGCTCTGCTACCACAATACAGGCGATTATGGCTATATTTCGAGGGACACAGCGGGGATCTTTTCTAGTAGCCATGTCTCTTACAGAAAGATAAAGAATAAATTCAAATGTAGAATAAGTAGGCTGCGCGCAATAATCCAGATGTTATGCTCGCCTTTTCTTGCAACCACTACTTTATATGCGTTCAGGAATCAGATTGCCAACATTGAAATCGTGTGCGGTTCCGGGGCGGCCCAAACGCAGTTGACTACCTAGGTACCTAAATGTTGGTGGAAAGAGTGACTTAACCTGAACTTTCTACTGATTTCTTCTCCGTTGTCCTGACCTGACCTAGACTTACCTAATAAAATTTACAGAGAATTTTGTATCCGTATTACAGTAATGAAATGTAACACGGCATACCTGCAAGTACTATAGGGCCATGCTGCCGCCATGCAGCGGCCCCCAACTGAGGACACGGCCGATGCAATCCAGGCTCTGGACAAGATGCATCCCCGCAGCCATTGATGTCATGACATATTCTAAGTCTCAAATGTCACGCCATTGATTATTCGGCGCCACGTCCGAACTTGGGCGACTTTAAAGTCCTCGGAGATCGGCGCCGTCCCTTTTGTCTCCATTTCGAAATGTGACTTAAGCTGATCAATGATCATGTAGGGTTGAAAGGAAATATATGATCCACTTTTTGAAAGATTTCTCAACTTTACAGACTGTCATTGGCTAAAAGCAAGACAAAACATGGCGGGAGCTAGATTTCTCTCCGTCCCGAACTGTGGAGAAAAACTTTGACTCTATTTTACTCTAAAACAACTACATCTCAAAACATATGCAAAAATGTTGGTATCACGAAATTTTCCTTGGGGGCCAAAAGAAACTGAAGGAAGTCAGAAGAAATGCAATCAATCGGTAAACAGGAGATTTTCCATAAATGGCAAATATGAACAAGTGTTCAGTTGATGATCAACCAGGCCATGACGAATTCTTGCAATACCAATTTCAATCATAACCGAAGGTAAAAAAAAAAAGCGAAATACGAGGCAATGCTCCAAGAGGTGGAGTAGAGCTACAAATATTTCCGGGAGAAACGTAATGCTGGTACATGTCTCAGAACCCACAGGCTCCAGACGACCTCGGGATGGCAAGTACCTAAGTATCTTGAAGCTATCCTTGAACATCTGAATTGTCCACGGATACATATAACGAGCACCCCCGACAACTAAACGTCAAAAGTCCTGAGAACCTCCAGAGGTCGAAAGCTCGTTCGTTGCCCATCTTCTGACTCCCCTTCATCGTTTCGTCGAATTATAGAGAGACCAACATCTTTCAAACCTAGACATACATCAAGATTGTCCATCACGAAAATATGGCACCATCATTGGATGACATTGCTATCATTGGGATCTCTTGTCGATTCCCGGGTGCAGACTCTCCTTCCAAACTTTGGGAGAACCTGATAAGTGCCAAAGACGTCCAGTCTGAGATAGCACGATTCAATTCGAAGGGGTTTTACAAACCTGATGGTGGCCCACGAAAAGGGTTGACAAACGTCCGACACGCCTATCTTATTGAGGAAGGAATTGATCGATTCGACAATGCTTTCTTCAATATCTCTCCTCTTGAGGCCGAGGCGATGGACCCACAACAGCGTATCTTATTGGAAATTGCTTATGAGACCGTCGAGAATGCTGGTATTCGCCTTGAAGATTTTCAAGGCAGTGACACTGCTGTTTTTACGGGTTAGACTCTAATTTTCTAAGGGAAAAAGCTGAATACAGTATCACTGACTCGGTCCTTCCAGCGTCAATTGTCAATGATTATCATGCAAGTCTTCTCAGAGACATCGACCAGACACCCAAGTACCAGGCGACTGGCACATCAAACGCAATTCTTGCCAATCGCATCAGTTATGTCTTCGACCTACATGGAGCTAGTCTCTCTATTGACACAGCTTGCTCCGGTACACTTGTTGGGCTTCATCAAGCAATAGCTGCTCTCAAGGCCGGAGAATCGAAGATGGCTCTTGTGTGTGGTGCGAATCTAATCATCAGTCCTGATATGTTTGTACACATGTCAGAACTGGGATTTCTCAGCCCTTCTGGTAGATGTCGATCATTCGACGCCTCCGGTGACGGATACGCGCGGGGAGAAGGCGTAGCCGGCATCCTCCTAAAGCGGCTTTCCGACGCGCAGAGAGATGGGGATCCAATTCGTGCTGTCATTAAAGCCACAAGACTGAACCAGGACGGGAGGACGCAAGGAATGACCATGCCATCAGGCGACGCGCAAAGACGTAACCTAGAGGCGCTGTACAGCCGCACAGAGTTGGACCCAGGTAGCATCCAATATGTGGAAGCTCATGTAAGTATTTTACAGTATATAGGAGGACCCAGTATACTGGCGAGGAAACTAACCTTTGAGAATAGGGTACCGGTACTGCAGTGGGAGACCCAATTGAGATGGGAGCAATCGATGCCGTCTTTGGAAAGTCCCATACCGAAAGAAAGCTCATAGTTGGGTCTATCAAGAGTAACATTGGCCATCTCGAGTCTACTGCTGCTCTTGCCGGAATAATAAAAACAGTGTTGGCAATGGAAAGAGGTCAGATCCCTCCACAGATGCATTTCAAGAAGCCTAACCCGAAAATCAATTGGGACCGAATTCTCGTACCTACGGACTCAATAGCATGGCCAGCAACAGCGACAGGAGTGCGTCGAGCGGGAGTCAATTCTTTCGGATTTGGAGGCACCAATGGCCACGCCATCTTGGAATATGATCCGTCACTGGAGAAAACATCACCGGTTTTTAAAGATAGACCGTACCTTTTCAAAGTATCTGCAGCCAATGCAGCATCATTGCAGCTGACAGCGGCCTCTTTAGCGACGTACGTTGAAACGGTGAAACCGAATCTCGGCGACTTATGTCATACGCTACTCGCACGTCGTTCAACTTTGCGGCAATCCTGCTATGTCGTTGCATCTTCTCATGAAGAGCTCATTGACAAGTTGAGAGCAGGGCAATCAAAACTCCTGACACGTAGTAACAAGCTAGTGGAAAAGACTGCCTTTATCTTCACTGGTCAAGGCGCACAATGGTACTAGCTCTGTTTCCTAAACTTATTATTGAGAACATGGCTAACTACGGTGAATAGGCCGGAAATGGGAAAACAGCTATTGAAGTGCTCTCCCCTCTTCAGAACCGTCATCGAGAGGTGTGACGAAACTTTGGCTAATCTCCCCGATGGCCCATCCTGGTCAATCATAGAAGAATTGCAGAAACCCAAAGAGACATCACGTCTACCCAAAGCAAGCTTCTCCCAACCAATTTGCTCCGCTCTGCAAATTGGTCTAGTTGAAATGTGGAAATCTTGGGGCATTACACCGCAGGCAGTTGTCGGACACTCTTCCGGAGAAATTGGCGCAGCATATGCAGCCGGCTTGCTGTCTCTGGAGGATGCTATTATAATCGCTTATTACCGTGGCCTATATCTTGGCGAAAATGCTCCTATCAAAGTAGAGGGGCAAAAGAAGGGGGCCATGTGCGCTATTGGTCTCGGACAGAATGAATGCCACAGCTTGTTGCAAAAATACAGCGGTCGTATTGCCCTCGCCGCTGTGAATTCGCCAAGTAGCTGCACTCTATCTGGAGACGAGGATGCTATCAAGGAGGTTGTGGAGTCATGTGCAAAAGACGGAACATTCTGTCGAGCCCTTCGTGTCGATATGGGTAAGTAGACTCCACGGTCTTTTTGCATGGAGAAAGATTAGCTAATTTTTTGTTCCATCAGCGTACCATTCTCATCATATGCTCCCACTAGCACCAGCATATGAAAAAGCCATGCGAGCTGTAGGGGTATGCAGCTCTGTGACATCGAGCCAGACATGCGAAATGTTTTCGTCTGTTACTGGACGCCGGTTGTCAAAGGCCGAAGTGACCCCAGCATACTGGAAGCAAAATATGGTTTCGACTGTTCATTTTTCGACAGCAGTTTCGGAACTGGTCCAAAACTTCCATCCAGATGCTGTTATAGAGCTTGGACCTCATCCAGCTTTGAGTGGTCCAGCTCGCGATACCATGGCCAGTGCGGGACTATCTGAGATACTATACTTCTCCTCATGCTACAGAGGCAAACCTGACTTGGTTGCCCTTCTCGAAAGTGTTGGAGAGATGATTCCAACTAGCATGCCTATTGATTGGAAAGCAGTGAATGCTCTCGAAATCGTGGAGAACACTCATTTCAAACATCAGGTAGGCAGGGTACTTACAGATTTACCCAAATATCAGTGGGATCACTCTTTAGTTCACTGGGGAGAGTCCCGACTTAGTCTGAACGTTCGAAACCGAGAATTCCCTCGTCACGAGCTACTTGGTGCCAGAATTCCTACGGATATTCCTCTTGCTCCAAGTTGGACAAACGTGCTTACAAGTTCAGAGGTAAATTGGCTAAATGAAGGCGTGGGCAGTACGCCGAAGACACTTTCGATCACCATTTTCGCCCTTATGGCCCTCGAGGCTGCTCGTCAAGTCCAAATTGCGAATCAAGTTGAACTCCCAGTTGTATGCTTAAAAGACGTGAACTTGAAAAAAGCCCTTGAACTGGGAGATGGTCGCATAGAAACACTATTTCATCTTCATCAAACTGAGGAGAAATTTCAATGGCGATTCGAAATCTTCTGCTCAGCTGTTGGAAGGATTGATAATACTTCTTGGACAAAGTGTTGCACAGGCACCTTCTCCTTCTCAGCGTGCATGTCACAGAAAGAAAGTACCTCGCTTCAAGTGGTGAACGATGAAGAGCTTCTCCGGTATATTCAGTCATTCGACACCGTAAAAATCCCACCTGTGGAGGACTTCAATATTTCTGCTCAGGGCGCTTCAGGGAAGTTTTGCAAGAAGATTGAGGGATATGAGTGCTATCCGGTGCACCCTATTCTTCTGGCTCAATTATTAAATGTTCCAGAGATGTTGATGCTCAGCTCAGATCTACCCGCTTCATATTTTGTACAAAGTGTTGGCCTGATTGAGCTTCCACTAGGGCACGGACAACTTGAAACTGGTTCTTTCGAGACATCACTTCTCAATCGCTCTGTCAATGTTGGCTATGCAAGTCTGAAACTGTCCAACCAGAATGCAACCCTCATGTCAATCGACAGAATACAATTACAAATGGAAGGACTGGTGATGAAGCAGCCGCCGCTACAGTCGAAATTCTTCAAACGTACAGTGCTACCAGATATCACGTACATGCCACGCTCCTCTCAAATGTCCGTCGACAGCTTGATCAAACTCGTGACTCATAAATGGCCAATGTGCGACTTTTGCTTAGTCGATCTCGCAGCCGGTGATATAACTACTATCACGTCAAGCATAAGAGGGTTCAAACCAGGAGAGCGCCCCCAGTTTCGATCTTTGGATGTTGTTGGTAGCCAGGTGCCTGTTCTCGATTCACCTCGAGTACGCAACTTAAAAGAGATAGAGAATTCTCGCAAATTCCACCTATTTGTTGGCCCAGTCAAAGCCATGCGACCAAAATTGCCTCCAGTTCTTCAAAATGGATTTGTTTGTCTTCGCTGGGAGGATGAAGACGACGAAATCTATCTCCGGAACAATTTTATGGAAATCTGTCCCGTCACAGGCCTTGGGAGCAACAATTGGGTAATCGCACGACCACAGCCCCCCCCAAATGGTGTGATCCAGCCTAATAAGCTTTTGATTTTCGCGACATCTCACGTTGCTCCGGTCGTATCTCAGGAGCATACCAACTGTGAACTCGTACTTCTGGATGATCCCCAATGTTTAGCCACTTGGAAGGGAAATGTCCAGTCATCCAGTGGAATAGATCCATTCGATGTCATCGTCTTCGACAGTGATGAAAAGTCACTTCTTACAAAGTGGTCTGGAGCTGATTTACTTTCCTGGATACGGCCTTTACTGCAACGAATTGGCAGTCTGCTTTGGGTCTCAGAACAGCACAAGTCTGATCCTTTCCAGGGTGTGGCTGCAAGTTTTGTTAAGACGCTGAAGGCGGAACAGCCAATGCTTAAAGCCGCAAGTGTTGTGTTCCAAGATTGCGGTGATCAACTTTTCCTGGCAGAGACTGTATTCGAGATTTTCGATCGATTGATACACAATGATGCTGAACATGAACTCGTTGTGAAGGAAAAAGTAGTTCATTGCGTGCGGTATTACCCTGACGACGTTCTTAACGCTACAGTTGGCTTGCTTCCCCCGATTTCTACCAACTTGTCTCTCCAATCAAGGTCATACTCTTTAATGGTTACTGGTAGACAAAAAGTTACGCTAATCAGTGAGAAAAAGGGTGTTGACGAGCATGCACCCGACGGAGCAGTAAAGGTTCGGATAGGCTTATCTGTAATAGACGATGCGGACCTTGCTCAGTTTACTACAGGCTATACTATCACGGAAGAATGCGGTCTTGGCCATTATTTCTACGGAAGTGTCATCTCATCACGGGATGTACAGTTCCCACTGGGCTCAAAGGTCGTGGGATGGTGCTCACATGCTCATAAAGATACTGTTGACGTACCCCCGGACTATTTGCATATCGTTCCAGATAGCGTGCCGGCAGCCGATGCTGTGGCCCAGTATGCTGCTATCACTACTGCGGTGTTACTTGTTCATGGAGTTGCTAGGGCACGCCCTGATGACTCGGTTGACATCAATATCACAGGAATCATGGGTGAGGCACTGAGGATTGTTTGCGACAAGTCGAACATTTCAGTGGTATCAAGCGATCAGGCCAAGAGTGCAGACTTCGCGATCTCTTTTGACCTCAAGAATGGCTCGATGCTCAACAACCGGCGAGCAAATACAATGAAATTCATCCATACTTCTCAACTACGTGAACTATCCAATAAAATATTCTCCGAGTGGAATGGATCGACCAATAAAATCTCCGTGTTCACACTCCGAGACCACCAAAAAGCGTTTTGTGATGCCATTGAAAATAGTCCCTTTACCAGTGTTATTACGCATGAGAAGATGGACGAAATTGAAGACGCGCTTGTCTGCTCAACGCGTCCGTTTCTGTTCCACAGTGACGGCGTTTATGTTTTAATAGGTGGTCTAGGAGGTTTGGGCCGGCATATTGCTCTCTGGATGGCCGAGCACGGGGTTAGACATATCATCACAATGAGTCGAAGTGGAACGGAATCCGAAGAGGCGCAAACGGCCGTTCAGGCTCTTCAGCAATTTGGAGTGGAAGTTAAGGCACTCAAAATTGATGCAACGGACATTGCAGCAGTGGAAGATGCCCTGAGCCAAATCCGCAAAGCTTCGCCAATCCGAGGTTGCATCAATCTTGCCATGATCCTTGCAGATGCTCCAATTTCGACCATGTCGCCTGAGCAGTGGGATCGGGCAGTCCAAGTGAAGATTCGATCTACTTGGAACATGCATTTAGCCACCCTAGAGGATAAGATGGACTTTTTCATAATGTTTTCATCCATTTCTTCAATCTTTGGCAACCGCACACAGTCCAATTACGCGACGGGAAATGCCTTTTTGAATGAAATGGCTACTTATAGACACTCGCTTGGTCTCCCAGCTACTACCATTGCTCTAAGCCCTGTCACAGGAATCGGAGTCCTAGCGAATAATGAAGAGTTATTGAGAACGTTCCGAGTCAGCGGCTTGGAAGCATCAGATGGTGAAGCCCTCCACAAGATCATGACAGCAGCTATATTAGAGTCGTCATCCCAGGACAACTCTGTCATAACCGTCGGATTCCAGATGTTCGAGACGATGGATGGACAGATACAAGCAAGTCCGGATCAAACACAAATTTACTGGAAAGAATACCCGGAATTCTCTTCCCTAATGGACCACAAAATCAGCGATGCTGGCTCTAGTGACAAAGTCTCTCTACGTGAGAAACTGTTACAAAGTCAAAGACCAGAGGGTGAGAATTTCTTGTTAAAGGAGTTCATGGCTTGCTTGCAGAATATCATGGGCCAGGATCAGCTAAGCTTTGATCCTGAGTTGCCGCTTTCACAATACGGTGTTGACTCACTGAATGCAGTTGCCATTCGATACTGGTTCTTCAAAGAATTGGATCTTGACGTCGCAGTCTTCGATATTCTTGGCAGCAAAAGTATCAGAAAACTGGTTGTTCGTGTTTACCAGAAACTCAGAGATGAAGGTTCCAAGAACCAAGCTAGTGTTTCGCTCCCACAGCCAAAGCGTCTAAAAGACTTGAAGATAAGACCACTGTCGAGCTCCCAGAGACGAATCTGGTTCCTTCAAAATTTCTTACCGGATAAGACAGTGTACAACTTGCTCTTAGTCTGCCACATAGACGGATCAGTTGATCCTGAATTACTAGCTAGGACGTGGACGGTATTCATGCAAAGGCATGAGGTTCTCCATTCGAGGATTGTTGACACGCCTGACGGCCTGCAGCAAATACCGAATGAAGAATTTGAGTTCCCGCTGATTGTAATGGACTGCCTTGACCACAAATTCAATGAAAATGTCAAACAACTAACGACTGGAGCCAAAAGTCACATTTTCAACCTTGAGAAAGGAGAGGTAATCCGGGGCTGGGTTCTCCGCTCCTCGGAGCACGCTCGCTTCTTCCTTGCTTCTCATCATATTGCCTGGGATCGCTCCTCGGTACCAGTTATTTTCTCTGAGACAATGGCAATTTACAAATCTTTATTGAATGGCCATGATCCCCAAGCTTCACTGCAACCTGTTCCATATCAGTTCATTGACTACACTGTCTGGCAAGAGCAATTCTTGAGTGAGAAAGCTCTTGTCCGACCATTGATTGACTTTTGGAAGCAGACACTCGACGGTGTACCAGAGGCCGTAGGTCTACTCCCGCTTTCAAAAATTGACAAACGACCAACGATGAAGCAATACAATGTCGGAACACTTACACGAACTTTGAGCACTTCCCTATCGTCGAACATCAAGGAATTCTGCAAGCGAAAGGGAGTTACCCCGTTCATGTTTATTGCTGCAGCACTCTCATCACTAGTAAGCCGTCTGAACGGTGAACAAGATATAGTCATCGGCATCCCGGATGGCGATCGTGGTCACTCAGCCTTCGATAGGGTCGTTGGTTTTGCCGTGAATATGCTACCGATAAGAAGCAAGATCCAGACGGATGCGTCATACGATACAATTCTCGAAAATTATCGCAATACTTGTCTACGTGCCTACGAACATCGAGCCATGCCTTTCGATTACCTTGTGCAGATACTAGAAGTCCCCCGACGGACAAGCCACACCCCTGTTTTTCAAATTACGGTGAACTACCAGATCCAGGGCTCATTTCCAGAAGCCGACTACGGTTCATTCAAGTATATCAAGTACGATCACTACAACGCCAAGACTCAGTCAGATCTCTCGTTAGAAGTTGAGGAGCTCTCTTCTGGAGAACTACTCTGCACATGGGAGTTCGACGAGGATCTTTATGATGTTCTGGGGGTATCTGACCTGGCAGATATGTACCGTGTCTTTATTGAGGATATCATTGAGAAAGATGGTCAGATCAAGTTGGAAGATGTCCGCATCACATCTGATTCTGATTTGGCTCAAATTAAGTCTATTTTGCAGCCAGGGTATGAGAATGAACCCTCTTTGGAGGACCTCAACAAGAGCTTGTTTCCGGAGCTGTTCCGCCTCGCGGTTAGCCGATACCCTGATAAGTTGGCTCTGGCTGATGAGCAAGGGTGTCTCACATATCGCGACCTAGAATTGCAAACTAATGCGATAGCTAACCGACTCATCAGCAGTGGCACCAAGGTCGGGGACGCGATTGCTATCTGCTGTGAACAAAATCGTGAATTATTGATCGGTATCTATGGCATCTTAAAGGCCGGGTGTGGCTATGTTCCAATTGACCCCGATTTTCCCGTTGAACGCATTCAGTCAATGATCGAAGATACCGGTGTTCAGAGAGTTATGGTGGAAAATACAGCTGATGCGAAGAGTCAGCGGATCCTTGCTTGCGGTATCTGCATCTCACATATTTTTGAGATCCACGCCACTCGCACAGCAGTGGATGCGGACACGAGCTCACCGAAACTGGATCGTACAATCACTCACTTGGATCCCCTATGCTGCATCTTCACAAGCGGAAGTACTGGCCGCCCGAAAGGTGTGTTCTTGAATCACGGACAGCTACGATATCAAATGGAAGGATACAATAAATTTATTGGTGTAAACTCGGAGAGCAGAATCCTTCTGTCGTCTGCTGTGGTCTTTGACCTCCACCTTGTGGCCGTGTATGGTACGATACTACGCGGTGCTAGCGTATTCGTCGCTTCAAGAGAAGGTAAGAGTCTGCCCGGTTTCTTAATTGAGCATAACTGACCCGGAACCCCCTAGCACGTTATTCGCCTGCAAAGATGGTTCACACGCTCGTTGATCAACGTATATCAAGTTGCATATTCACTCCAACACAAGCAAAGATGATATTCAGTGCACCGAACAAGGTGAAACTACTCCAATGGGTTGATATTAAGTCCTTCGTCCTTGGAGGAGAAACAATTCCTCCATGGTTTGTGCGCGAATTTTATAAGCTCCTGCCACATGCCAAACTCTACAACGGCTACGCACCTTCGGAAACGACAGTTGTGAACTCTTTAAGACTGTAAGTTCTGCATGAAAATTTGACAAAATAGGATTTCTATGTTGACCTGATGTCGCAGTATTCCTCCCGAGGATTCGCAGAGACCGAGTGTGCCCGTTCAGGGACCAATTTTCCCTTCTCGTTTCTACATCCTTGATAGCAAGATGCAACCAGTCCCAATTGGTGTTCCGGGAGAGTTATACATTGCAGGACCAAATGTTTGCCATAGGTACTTAAATCGGCCTGAAATAACAGCAAGGGCGTTCTCAGAAGATCAGTGGGCACCCGAAACAGAGACAACACTCGGCTATGGTAAGATATATCGTACTGGCGACATGTTACGTTTGAGCCGTGACGGCACTGTCGACTTCCTGGGACGGATTGGCAGTGATCGCCAAGTTAAAATTCGAGGCATGCGCACAGAGTTGGAAGAGATTGAGAATGCCATTGTCCATGCATATGACTCTGCGGAGGACGACGAAGATATTCCGAAGCTGGGTCTTGTAGCAACTGTGTATCATCGCATTGGAGATTACGACGGTGTCTTAACTGCGTATCTCACAACAGCCGATGGTAGCGTAGTATCTGAACAAGAACAGCAAAAGTTCATAGGATATCTTCGCCTCTCATTGAAATCCGTCCTACCGCCACACATGCTTCCTGCAGCTTATGTATTCGTTCCGGATCTTCCACGGACCGCCAGTGGAAAAGTCGATTACAAGACCATCGTCGCGTGGCCTGTTCCCTCAATTTTGACCAATAATTCAGCACAACCAGTTCATGGTAACGTGCTCACCGAAACTCAATTGCTAATTGCTTCTATATGGAAAGAACTACTCGCTATTTCTGGTGAACTGAATGCAAGTGACGAATTTTTTGCATTGGGAGGGCACTCCCTGCTCATGGTACCGCTTCAGCAGAAAATTAAAGAAGCTTTTGGAGTCTCGCTTAACCTGGCCGATATGTTTGCCTACCCTTCAATCTCTGGATTCGAGGAACTCATACTAAGCAACCCTGGATATCGGTATGGCCAGGGTCAAGCTGGCACTTCTAAGTCTAAGGTAAGCCATTATTCCCGCGGTTATAATGTAACATCTACTGACGACTCTCAGAACACTATCGATTGGGCGAAAGAAACATCCCTTCCTGAGCATACTGAATGGGAGATCACTGATTATCAATTCAAATCACCTTTAATCCTGGTTGTCACGGGGGCGACAGGCATGACCGGAGCGCATTTCGTGCATCATACCCTCACCACCACTAACAATATTGTTCACTGTATCGCAGTTCCTAATAACGAGAACGTGATGGACCCGAAACAGGGAGTTCTGGACGCTTTTGTTAAGTGGAACTTGGAACTTCCCAACACCAAAGCTGAATATTACGAGCGGATCGTAGCGTACCACGGAAGCCTGTCCGATCCACTACTTGGGCTGTCCCCTGCTCAATGGAACTTCCTAGATAGCCAAGCGGATGCAATCTATCATCTCGACTCGGAAGTTTCGCTACTGAAAAATTACGAAGATGTTCGCGCAGGGAACGTAGGTGCCGTGAAATGTCTCGTAGATCTGGCTCGGGGCAAGTTATCTGGGCGAGTCAAGCCACTAAACCATTTGTCAACGTGGGGAGTGCCCCATTTGCAGACTTGGGCGACCACGAAACTGACAAGTGATGAATATCTGACTGGAGAAGAAGAAATGGTCAATATGACACCCGGTCCAGAGAGTAGTTTGGGCTACCTCAAGTGCAGATGGGTCTGCGAGTCACTGTTGTACCTAGCTGCTGAGCGAGGATTGCCAGTTCGTATCTACCGGTCTTGCATGGTTGCAACTAATCCATCCTCCCAGAGAGGCCTGGATCGAGCGGACATAAACAGACGTATTTTGGAGTCAGTGCTTGAGACGGGTCTAATCCCTGATTTCAATAGCGGCCTCGGTGGTGGAATGAGCTGGATTGATTTACAGTTCCTGATAAAGAGTATCGACTTCCTTTCACGCCGTCCAACTGACAATAGTGGAAGACGGGCCGAGATTTATAACATTGTATCCGATAATCATATACGCTACAACAAGGAGTTAATTCGTGTGTTGGGAACTTCATACCAAGGTAACAAATTGCGTGTAGTTGAACCAAAAGAATGGGCAGCAGAGCTATACAAAACTGGAAATCCAGAGATGGTGATGCATGCGGAAGTTTTGGAATCGTGGTACAACGCTCACTGGGCGCCTATTCCATTGAAAGCGGAAAAGACATTACAATTGCTGAGGGATGAGGCTGGTTTGGTGCCGCCGAAAGTAGATCGGCAGTTTGTTCTCGAACAAATAATTGGGCAGCCTGGATTTTGAGTGATTATCTAGGTAAAGTTGAGGATGAGAATGTGGCTAGTCTTTAAAATACACAGGTAATGAACCAAATGAAAACTCATGGTAAATGAGTAGAGTTTATAGGGTTACATTACGAAGGTCATGTATAAAGATATTTCATCTAGCATAACTTATCGATCCTTGTAGCAGGGCACTCAGTGTGTTTAACATAGCCCGGAAGGTCAATGACTAGGGTATGATATATCACATGACACCGTGTAAAGGCAGCAAGAAATCATGACATCTGGAGGAAGGATTGGCTGGGCATATCCGCCCTTGTTTAGAAAACTACCACTTTATAGAAATTTAAGAAAGCAAGTTCACAACCTTAGAAATTAGAACCTTTCACATCACCATTCATTATCCTGAGTTGCATTCATAACCGAACAAAAAAAGAAAACATCATATCATATAAGTAAAAAACGACTCTACATACCCTACCCTACCTTATAAGTAAGGGAACTAAAGAAGTTGTATAACACTGTGAGACAAGATAGAATCCATGTTTTGAGGTTCATAGAGGATGGTAAAGTAATGCATGCCACGAATTTTAAATTCAAAGAAAACAAAAGACGATGTCCGCTTATAAGTCAAGGAGTATAAGACACGTAAGTTAAGCAATGAAAGAGAGGGGGGGGAAAGTTAGGATTTATGCAATATAGGCCAATTCATCATTGTCCAGACGTTCAATATAATCTTTCTCCATAAGCGCTTCGATGTTTTTCTTGATATCGGGGATTTTGGGCGGGAAGCGTGCTTTGACTTGTTGAATGACTTCTTGGACGAGTTGGACGTGTTTCATTTTCTTGCGTGATTTCATGATTCGGACGATTGCGGACTGTTTCATGTTAGAAAGAATTGTGGACTATATGAGGATGAGGAGACATACCTGAAGAAGTAGTTTACGGTCCTCTTCAATCGTCTTATGTGTATCGTCGGCTTCGGTCTTTTGCTCTGACTTGATTGTAAGGTTCAGGTTGACTTTAACTTTCTTGTGCTTAAAGTTATAGTTTAGTGAGAATGACACTCCAGGAGCCGGCTTGGACCCTTCAGAGTTGGCTAATAATACTTTTGCCTTCAACAACAGAGTAATATTCGGCTCGAGAATCTCATTGGCAAGTTTGGTGGCCTTTTGAATCTCGTCGTAATCGAGAGAGTCATGTTCGTTGTAGAGAAGTAAGATCCCCATTTGATACGTCGACACTTGGAATGTGTAAGGGACTTTGGCGTTTTTGATGTAATTAGCCTTTATTTCACCTCTGCAAAGCTGCCATAGCCATGTTAATTTACGACCGCTGTGCTTGTCAAAGTAGAAATGTTGAAATCGCTCTGCCGTCTTGACGATTTCCGTTGGCGGAATGAACTCTGTTGTGGGGGCATTGAGAGGCCAGAATCCTGTACCCAAAACCTGATAATGAGGATCAACCATCTTCTTTCGGTCCTCTTCATCATGAACCTTCTCTTGCCAATCCTTGTAACTAGCATTCAGATCCTTGGAAATTTGGATATCCTGGAACATACGCTGCAGCTTGTTGGTATACTCGAAACCGCATGCCTCCTTCAGCTTGCTAATCATACTAGTCTCCGCATCTTCCGAAACGGAAATGATGTGCACCAACCGCTTGGCAAGAGATTTCGAGTAGAACTTTTGAAAGACGTCCTTGTCTTCAATATACTTGAAAACAGTCATAATCTGCGTGAGCATCTCCTCCAACTCTGACTCTTCGGTGGCCTTGGATCCCTTCTTGAGCAAAGAATCTGTATAACGTGCCAGTAATTCCGGCGACTTGGAAGAATTACTCTTGCAAATGGAGTTGCGGTTGACAAATTCCCGGCAAGCATTATCCAGAGACCTAACAAATTCGGACTCACCCGCAAAGGCAGCGTTGACAAGGTTTTGGTATCGAGAATGGACTTGTAACAAAGCATCGACATACATCTTCGGCTCGAAGCTCTCTCCTTCAGAAGCGACCTTCTCAACTGCAGCAGTACCCGCATTGCGGACGTGCCTCTCGAACTTGGCACGGAGAGGGTCGAGACCGTCCTTGATCTTTGATAACAATCTATACATACGGGCCAAATCATCTTGTCGATCGTTGTCGAGAAGAACCTGAAATTCGTCGCGGAGAAGATCTGAATGAGCAGAGACCAAAACGTCCAAGCACGTCTCCGTCAGCCGCTTCGTGATGTCCGGGTGCAAATAAAGTCCGACACGAGCCTTCTCCTCCTCCAATCGAGTTTCTGCTTTCTTCATATACTCCACAACGCTATTTTCAGAGACGAACTGACGGGATTCGTTCTCATAGTAGACACGGGTAGCATCGATGAAAGGTCGCTCAAAGTAGAACCGATAGACCTCGAGAGTCGACTTGGTGCTGTCGTTCTCATCCAGACCCAAAGAAACAAATGAATCCACTATGCTCTTAATCTGCGACTGTTCAATCGTCTCACCGTTACGTTGTTTCTCAACGAGATTGAGTACTGCAGCCATGACCCTTTCTTGGACCCGCTTGAAGAAATCCTCGCGCCATTTTACGAGATGAAGAGTGTATACATCGTAAATGTGTTTCTTTCCTTCGTCAATCTCGCGTTTCACCCAGTGTCGATTCAAGTAGCGGAACAGATGGTTGATATACTTGGCAGCTGTCGTATAGCGATCCCACTCCCGAATATAAAACCCTAGTAAAGCTTCTTCAATGTGTGTCTCGGAGTCCTGATACACGTCCTCTAAATGTTTCGATAAATATTGTCCGAGGAGATTGTATAATTCTTCGCCAAGGAGGTGAGCTGGAAGTGATAAGTCAGCAGACGTTCGGACAAATTTGTATCGACAACATACCGCCACGAAGAGCTTGTAAGCCTCCACTACTACCAACAGCTTTCTGTGATGTGCAAAAGTTATGAACTGCCCTAGACGATATTAGCTTGGATTGGTTTAGCGGGGAGGAAAGCGAGATCGTACGTGTAAAGGCCCATGTACTATGTAAAGACACGCGAGATTAGCATTGCATTCAATCGCCAGTATACGATAGCCACCTACTGTCTTCATGTCAACACCTTCCTCCAGTTTCAGCATCACACTATTAATGCCATTTTCTAGATAAGTCCATCTATACGAGCGTTAGTCAACCAGCTAAGATAACGTCGGTCGGTCGGGGTATCTCCGAATACGTACGTGTCTTGGACATCGTCCTTCTGGGGTGTCGCCATTCCGGTAAGCGAATTGTACTCTTTCAGGCGATCTGATCGGCGGACAGGGATAACAGGAGCTTCAAAGGCAGCACTGGTTAGACTCATTCTGTTCAGCTGATCTAAAAATGTTTAAATGAGGTTTGCAATGAAAATTCAAAACGAAGCGGGATGTTTTAAAGGCCGGAAGAGCAGAAAAGATGAGTTGGAGATATGATGGGATCGAGCGAAGTGAAGTATGAACTCGTGCGGGACAGGCAGCAAGAGTTCTCTGAAGAGCAAACAAATAAGCTGGATATGACGCCGCCATTCTCTTTGGCACATTGAAACTCAAAGTTTGCTGTCGTCCGAAGTTGATGGTCGCCCGTCCTGGAACAAGATGAGGGAACCATGGAGGAGAGTTGAAGCCAAAGGATATAGACTTCGCGGGTATCTTGAAGCAAGCACGCGTACAACAAAGGATATGCTATAACAAAGCTAACTTTAAATAAAACAAAAAAGGCCAACGGCCGCAAGCGAGAAGGTATTGTACCTTTGAGGAAAAATGGACGACTCACTAGATATTCAGTTTGAAGACAGGGCCGGCCGCTGCTGCTGACTGCCCTGCAAAACAGCGACGAATGCTGATGCAATAACGGCAAAGGGTCTATGAAAACAACATAAAAAGAATCAAAGCAGAACGATGAAGAACACTATATTGAGCAGCGGAATGCAGAAAAAAAGAGAAATGAACGAGTCGCAGCCAAGAGGGTCAACGGGGAGTGTTCAGATGGTGAATGATGCCAAATGAAGATGATAAGCGCCGGATCAAAGTTAAGGATAGCAAGGCTTCCAGTGGCGGAACGACCTACGGAGTAGTCACGGTGGTGACGCTAAGCCCTGAACAGAAGTCGCCTCCTTCTGCTTGGGCGACCTTCAGAAGGCAGCCGCGGGCTTTGATTGGCTGCGGCTACTGAGATACGCGCTTTACTGTATCTAGCTAGATGATATCTCATTTTGAGCGAATCAGATCGAGATCATCTGATTCGATCTTTTGTTTTCTGCCTGAGGTGCCCGCCTCTTCTTCAAGCCATACGGAGTACTATGGATGCCTTACAAGCAGACTATGCTATATAACCCTAACCTTACCCTACTACCTGCATATCTGCTAACTTACAGGATTGAGTATCGTTACTCTCCGGACGTATGAACATATCTCAAACGCCTGTCCGAAGACCTGGTTATGCACCAGTCGGTTTGATTACTGTGTAGCTCTACTACGATTCGAGTCAAATGTGATTATTACGTCATATCGACAGATCGAGTCCAAATTTACAGACTGTCACCGTCCAGATATCTAGTGGACAAGCAGATCAAAAGTTCTTCGAGTTTTATATTTACAATATATACAAAATCAACACCATGTCACTTAATCCGCCATCGGCAATAAAAATTTCGCGACACCTCATCCCGGCATGGCGCTCAATCCCCAATACATCAATCCAGAACAAACCCTTACTCATATACCATTCCGCCTTTGAAAGGGACGTCTCCGCATCCCAGGTTTCCAATTACCTGAAGAAAGTAAACGTTGTGGTTCCACAATGGCAGTACTCCATGTACAAGCAGAGTCATTTCCACTCAACAACCCATGAAGTCCTTGCCGTCGTCTCGGGACGGGCTCGATTATGTTTTGGCGGAGAAGATAATCCCGAACGGGTTGAGCCCGTGGTTGAAGCTGGAGATGTGATGATTGTACCGGCTGGTGTAGCGCATCGCTTGTTGGAGGATCAAAGTGGTGGGTTTACTATGGTCGGTTCGTATCCCAAGGGGAAGAATTGGGATATGTGTTATGGTGCTGGAGATGAGAATGAAGATGGGATCAGAAACACCATCTCGAAATTGGATTGGTTCGATCAAGATCCGATATATGGCCATGATGGACCGGCCGTTCAGGTATAGCTGGCACCGTGTGATAGAAAAAGCTCGCAAAAATCAAACAACTTCCGATGCTCTGAATGGTTCGAAAGGGTAAACAGCACGTTAAAATGAATGGCCTAGTCCGCATATAACTAGATAGTTCCGCATTATAAACCTTGAACGCCGCGCTAAATGTCAAGAAAAAGCAAAGATTGAAAGTAACGGTCGGGTAGTAAGCCTCATTTCGAGACTCTTTCAACCAACCGGAAAATACTGATACAAAAAGTGAGCAGCCATGCAATCAGCGCAACAAGAAGAACCGATGCGAGTGCCTTTTGCCGGACACATAAGGCATCATTTCGGTCATCTTGTATATCGTTGATCACTGCATTTGTGCAAGTCCCTTGCACATCATCCAGAGATACAAAGGCAAGGCTGAGATTGGCTGCGTCGAAAACGATAAAAAATAGATCTAGCAGAATCAATCGCATCTTGGCCTTTGGAGAGCGAAGGCCTAATGGCTTGCTGGCATATTCGTCGTATGTAATGTACACTAAATAAACCAAAGCTACCGCATCAACAATAATTGCCATGGCTGCCGAAGGACCTTGATCTCGATGGAAGTGGCTGGCCAATGAGCGGATAGAGCCTCCAAGTGCTAGAGCACATAAGGAGAATATCCAGACCGTAAGTCGCAGCATCAACGGCACCATAGGACTGCGTAGCAAGTGTCTTTGAATACGCTCAAACAGATTTCGCTGTTTTGGAGACCAAGTGCCAGCGCGGCGGCCTTGTTCGGCATCCGACCCATCATGACTGGCACCCCAAGGCTGGGAGTAATCTCCAAGATTGCTGTTCAACCATTCCCAAGATACGCGTTTCTCTTCCGCACCGAAGTCTTCGCGGGGATAAGCAGCTGTCCGAACAAAGCGTTTCCAACGTGATTCTCGCGTTTCTGGTATGAAATTACCATACTCGTTTTCGATTCCTCTCGTTCTGTTGCGGTCCGGTTTCAACGTCTGGTAAGGCGAGTGATTATGTTGTGCCACGAGGGCATCATCTATTTCGGCAGGTAAAAGTCTCGATGCAGCGTTCGGATCATCATCGGGAATATCAAATGATCTGACCCAAGCTAAAAATGAATGAGTAAGTGTATCTATGGCCGGTATGTTGGTCCCTAATAGTCGATCACTTGTTACATACCAGGCAGAGTTCGGACAGGAGGTGGTGACCTGGCCTGAGTGGGGGGATCATTGGACTCTATAGTAAGAGGAAATGATGACTGTGCACGGATGGTGCCAGACGTCTTTGGTGGGAGGAGAGGATCAGGTTCTGGAGATGTGATCGGTGGTTCTCGCGCATCTGGGGCCATTGCATGCGACAAAGGGGCATGGCAAGGGGACCAGTGCGCCTCAAGAAATGGATATGCGAGTTAGTATTATATTGATATTCGTAAAGTCTCCGAGACACTGTTCCTGACTGAGCATGCACGACAGATCGAAGATGGAGAACGTTGAAGTTGGGAAATTGAGATAAGAACAGCATCCAATTGGTTGTCAGTCAGTGGATAGCCGATCCGGCCCGCATGACGCCGGCCAGCCCTAGGCAACGCGGTGGGTGCCTGAGCCTGCCTGGGGCACCGCTAATTACGAGCCAGTGGAATGACGTCTTGAACACATGTGCGAAGCTACGTAATAGCTTAGAGTCCTCCCCATTTCACCTTGAAGATACAACTTTTTTTGAGAATATTACCACCACAGGAATAGGTACTTTCAAGTTGTGTATGAAATTTGCACATTGATACGTCCGATTGGTGCGCAAAATCGTTGCAACTCAGTTGTTGATCCACTGCTACGATGCGGTTCTTCCTCGTCCCCATCTCGACAAAACGAGCCTTTATATACTGTCGTCCTCCAAAAACAGTAAATACCGGATACGTCGATCGTGCAACGAACAAAGCTGCTGAGATATGGGCAAATTGGGAAAAATCTGAGAAAGGCTGGAAGAAGCAACTCGTCAACTACGGACATGTCATCTTGCAAAGAATACCCTACGAGGAATGGGGTTTGAAAAGTATACCTCCGCTCAATGCCAGTCGCGAAATCCAGGAAGCGCAGCAAAAACAGAAAATGGATGTGATGTATCCCAAGAATGCGATCAAGAGTGAAGATGTGTTTGGTATTTTGAGGAAATTGGGCACAGAGCGTCAGGAATTACATCGGAGAAGGATGTGGTGGTGTATAGGGATTGCGCCTTTAACTGCACCCATTGCGATCATTCCTCTGTATGTCTCCATTCTAATCTTGACACTAAGTCCGAGGCGCTGACGAACGATTTCAGAGTACCGAATATTCCCTTCTTCTATCTTGTATATCGAGCCTGGTCGCATTGGCGTGGTAAGTCCGATATTAATATTGTTGGTATTTACATTCTGACCTTTCTTAGCCTGGAGTGGTTCAAAGCATCTCATCCACCTCCTTGATCTCAACTTGATCAACCCTCATGCATTCCCTGAACTCGAAAATTTCTACGCAACTCGACTTTCAAAAAATGGAGTTCCAGCATACCAGGAGAAAGACAATATTAATAACTCGAATGAACATACCAATAAAGATGCCGAGACAAATACTTCAACCTCTAAAGCTGACGCGCCTACCGATGAACGACTACTTTTGGAGATGAAAGATGGCAAAGAACTGGGCGAGATTCTAGAAACTCCAGCCATAGCAATCGAAGTGGAGCGCGCAGTTCTGCAGGTAGGGCAGAAGTTGAAGCTCGAAGAAGAGAAAAGGAAAGAAAAGAAAAGTCATTAGATGAGCATTTGCATGTACTAGCGCGCATTGGGTGGGGTTTAATGAAACGGAAAGGGTGGTCTATGTGAGGGTTGAGATACCCGTGACTATGCTATACAATGGAGCTTATGTGCTTTTATATAGATTTTGGTAAACGTTTACCCTGTTTAGGGCATCATGTATGATAGTTGGATGTTATGGTCTTGGAAATGGAACGAGATACCTTGTCCGGTATACAACCATTCGGATGGTGAATAGAAAACAGCATATTCTACAAACACGATGACTCGGCATCCATTCCAATATTCTAGATTACTACATGTACCTAGGTTATATATACTATGTACGTACCAGATTTCCTTTGCCGAGTGGGGTTTTCCTTTCTCAGTTGCCGCCGCTTTTGTGAGGGCACTCACAGTCAACCTCACTGAGTAAATTTCAGTCCAGGCTCACGCTCACTGAACTGCTCACTTCATCACGTGATCGATCATGGTCGCTCACTGAGTGCTCACTGAGTATATTCCTTCTGTTTCAATTGAAGAACTATTATCATAGTGCTTAGAAGTTACTTGTAAATTATCCATATACCTTTTATACTAATCACCTCTACACGCAGCCCCTAGTTGGGTTATAGAGGCCTCGAACCTAGCATTTACTAACAGAAAATGGTTAGATTGAGGTCCTATTTCCAAACCGAGATTTCTGATGAAGTTTCTACAATGGCCCAATCCGGATCTTTCAAACTGTATAAAATTTCTAAGCGGAAGGGTATCTAAGGGGTGAGATTCAAGGTTTGCCCTTAATGAAGGAACGCATAACGGGTTTATTCAATATTCGTTCAGGTGTGACAATGCTAATCTCATGTATTCGAACTATCTAGCACTACATACAGAGTTGCGTGTCTACTGAGAATATCAAGCATGAGAAAAGGAAGAAGAAGAAGAAGAAAGCCAACTTGCTACACCAAATCCTACGTAGACTCGGGACAACGACATTCCCATTCGGGGAAAATTATCAGAACTTTTGCCGTGAGAATTTTCCAGTGGATTCGATCCACTCTGATGTACCCCATATAATACTATCCCGCGTGCGTCGGTTCCTAATTCGGTAACCGTGATGGTTCCCATCAACACCTTCACCGCCCGGCAGTATACCGATCGCCTCAGCCTCAGCCTCAGTACGCCGTCACAGCTGGTAGGAGCTGTAGACAATGAATATCTCAATTCTGGTGTTTATAGGATGTTGATAGTCTCAGTTCAGCTAATTTTACTGTCGGAACGTGAATATCAAACCCTACACGTTTTGGCACCGGATATAGTTAGTCTGACGCGGCACGTGCGTGCCGCGTATATCTAGCTATCCCCGTCCCCCTCGTTCTTGGGGCAAAAAAGCTTCGATTTCGAGTTGATAGGCGACTTCCTTATAATTATTTATGTCAAACAGTCAGAGGCTCAAATTCCTCACCCCTCTCTACCACCTAGCTCCCAGGAGTGCGGCCTTTGACGCGTCTCAACGCGCCCGGCAACACCATGGCGCGTAAAGGCCCTGGTACAGATGGCCCTCTACAGATAGCCCTCCTGGAATCCATGTCTGCATCCACGACAAGAGCTTCTGAAGGACAGAAGATCTTCAGCCCTATAGCTACATTCCTCAATAAATACCGCAGCCAAACCATCAGCCTTGCCCCTCACCTACTGAGAGCCCTCACCACTCTAAGTGATGACCTCATCTTAGTAGTCCAACAACATTTCAACGCCTATATCAGCAATATCTTGACGACCTCCATTCTACCTGCCCTATCCCCTTCCCCTTCCTCTTCCCCTACCTCAAATTCCTTACCCCCTTCACTCCCTCCCTCACATCCCCCCTCAGGTCTTGAACAGTTAACTTATGCGACTATTACCCAATATACACCGGTCAAATCAACTCCCACTACTCACTCTAAAGCCCCTATTAAAAAGCCTATGCCTCTGGTAAAATAACCCCTTCCTGACAACTAGCTCTTCGTACATCTCCCAGCTAACCATGCAGCTAGAAAAATAGAAGCCTATGCTATCTACTCTAGTCTACGGTCTCAATTAAACTCAAACAGTGCAGCACTAAAAGAAGTTTAAGCTATAAAGACTGGCTTTGCACTATGTCCCTCATCTCCAGAAGCCCTCCTAGCTTTTGAGGCCCAAAAAGAGATTATCTCTACATTCTTTGTTAACTGCCAGATAGAACGCAGCTCCCAATGGGTCTCATACCGAGTCGTCAATGTGCCTGTGACGGCTCAGCCCTAGCTTTCGGCTTGGCGTCACTTATTGATTGGGAATCCTTTGAATAAAGGTCTCCATCAATAAATGTGATATCAATCGGCATTGTCATTTGTTATTGATACGCACTGATTCCCTATTGAGATGCGGGTGAGGCAACAGAGGTTTGTATGAGATGGACGTTACTATCAATGAGTAAATATGGGTAGAGGTTTAAATACGGGCTGTTCCTCCTTGATAGATAGTTTTCCTCTTCATACTCAGTTTCTCGTCAGCACTGGCACCTAGATAGTGAATATCACTTGGTTGGATTGGTCGTATGTTACAGTGCCAAGGAAAATTAGCCAAATCTTGGATAATCAATACTCTCTAATCTCTGTCAATCCTACACTACTATCCTTAGAAATTAGTGAAACTATAGAGCTCAAGCCTATATCTATCAGTGAGACCATTACAAGTGCTACTAATCTTAATACTCTCTCCTCAAGCTAGTTTATTAACTTCCTAGAAGGCACGAAATCACCACTGCCTATCTGTCAGAAGAATCAAGAATCCGCAGCCAATGGATTGACTAGATAGTGTTACACTACTGCACTACGGAAGCAAGGATTATCCGTAACCAGTAGGGTTAGGGTATCAGAGATATCAGAGATATTCTATGATGGATATGATCTAAGTATCAGAGAAATCAGAGAAAGTCTATGATTTCTATGTTGATGATGGAATATATAAGGACGCTCATTACAGCATGTATTTAGTTTTATTCTATCGTCTTGAATTAACCGTGCTAAGTACCCCTTAGCTTTGACAACTTGAGTATACGTTCTTCTATCGAACCGGATATTCATCCCTTTGTTAAGACTTGCTTTCAAGAAGCCTTTCGTACTTAGAAGCCTTATAACTTCAGCGTGTTATAAGCTATCCGAGATATACTCGACGGTAGTTTGACCGAAGTTTCCGACACTATCCAGCTACATCTTTTTAGCACTATCACCAATGCTTGTCACCTCTCTAAGAAAATAATAGTTATTTAATACATATGATGCTGGAAATAGCATAATGCATGATCCTGTGCCTGCCCCTCTCAATGCCAGCTATATAGTTTCTTAGAGCATACTGAAGAGGGCCATGTTAATTACTGCACAGCTCTAGAGCCTTATCAGTGTCCTCCTAGATGCACACACTATCATAGACTATATCTAGCTGATTTCCTAGAATATCTCCTACACTCTAAAGGCTATACTAAACATACTAAAGCTTAATAAGCAGAGATCCACAAATCCTGCACCTTAAATCTTACAAAAGCTTGAACTGAACAAGGATGCAGCTCTTAGCTCTCTATAGGCATACAGGAAACATCTATAGCATTAGATAAGATGCTATCTTAGCCTCTAATCTATAAGATTATCTCTCCTTTCTATTTAGTAATCCCCCCACCTCACGCCCTAACTAAAGATCCTCTAATTACAGCTTATGCAGTCCATTTTATAACCTCTCAACCATAAAACTGGTTCACCTCTCTTCTTAAATAGGAGCTATAATCTATTACTATCCAACTCAAAAGGCGCCTCTCAAAATCCTACAGTTAAATGTAGGGCACGCGCCAGATGCACATAAAATAGCTCTCACTTTAGCATACACTAGTAATATTGATATTATTCTAATCTAAGAACCATATACATTCAAAGATCTTAGCCAACAGATCATAAAAAAACACCTATCATATGAATGCTTCTCCCTAACTGACAGTTGGGCAATAAGCGGTCGACCACGAGTCCTCACCTATATCCAGAGGAAGAAAGGCATTCAGACCTCTTAGCTTTGCCCCTTCACAACTGACACTAAAGAGGCCTTAGATCTCCTTTTCCTTCAGATTTTCTCACCCACAGAAAAGTCTACTCTAATAGTTAACATCTATAACGCCCCAGCAGGCTCTATTAGAGTAGGTGAAGCCGCGAAAGCTCTTATACCCTGCCAGAGGCATATTTCCCTTAAGCAATGATACTCGCAGGCAATCTTAACCTACTACATAATAGATGGCAGCCCTCACTATATCGCAGCCCCACACCTTCTGCAGAGCTATTTATTAACTAGCTGGACCTCCAGGGTCTAGTACTTATCTCTAACATAGACTATCCCACACATAAAAGGGGTAACGTGTTAGACCTCAGTTTTGCCTCAAGCTCTCTAGCACTTGCGGGAGCTAAAACTAGTATAGCGAGCCACCTAGATGCAATCTCAGATCATTAACCACTAATTACCACTATACCATAGGATCAGAGATACAAGGAAACAGCTCAGAAACTGAGATTTAACATACTAGACCACACCTGCTTCCTTTCACTCCTCGCCTCTAATCTTACTAGTATCAAGAGCTCAACCATAATAGAAGAAGACCTTGATGCCCTTGCCAAAAAACTGACATCTGCAATCCAAGGAGTATATAGAGGCTCTGCTAAGAGAACCCTGACACAAAGCATAGAACAACCTTAGTAGAATAAAGACTGCAAGAAAGCTTTACATAACTACCACTTAGGCCTCTGCTCAAAGACAGACTTCCACAGGATAACTAGATAGTCTTAATAACAATTTTAGCGAGAGAAGCTCTCTACGGTAACACAAATGAAGGATGTCTTTAATATAAGTAAATAGCATAAGTCCACAGGCACCTTCTGAAGCCCTCCACTAAAGGATCTACTAAGACCTAATAGCTTCCTAGCAGTTACTATACATGAGAAATAAAACATACTAGTCCGCAATCTTCTCCAAAACTCAGCTGAGGCAGAAGATATACTGTTGGACTCCCTAATAGTCCCTACCACTAGTCTCTACTTCCTAGACATATCAATGACATAGATGGAGAAGTCAGTACTTCAGGCAGGAAACACAGCCCCTAGCATAGATGAAATCCCAACCTGTATACTCAAAGTAGCATGGCCTTTGATTAAGGATAAGATACTAATGCTATACCAAGGGTATCTAAAGATTGGTTATCACCTAAAATACTTTCAACACACAATTTTAGCAATTATCTAGAAACTAAAGAAGACTAACTGGTCCTCACCTAGATTATACAGACCAATTGCCCTCCTCTTAGTCCTGGGCAAAGGACTTGAGCGCTTAGTGGCACAGAATATAGTATAGACCTCTATACACCACAAAGTATTAGCAAGGCAATAGTTTGGGGCTCTCCCACTAAGATCTGCAACTAACCTAACTACATGCCTAAAATATGATATTGAATAAGCACTAAATTAAGGCATGACCACCTCACTCCTCACCCTAGATATTAAAGGTGCCTTTGATGTCATGCTTTCTGGCAGACTAATCCATAGATTACATGAGCAGGGCTGGCCTACTAATCTTATTCTCTGGATTACCTCCTTCGCCACTGGATAATCAGTTCAGATCTAACTCAATGGAGAGATTGGCCCCTTAACAGACATTGCCTGCGGTCTTCCACAAGGATCCCTAGTATCTGGCATCCTTTTCATACTCTATATAGTGCCTCTATTCCGTCTAGGAAACCCAAGGAACAGATTTAGTTACATGGATGACGCAGCTAACCTAGCAATCTTAACATCTCTTACTACTAACTGCGAAGCCTTATCAGACTCACTTCAAGAAGCTCTTAACTAGGGAACTGCAGAAGGCATTATATTCGCACTAGATAAATACAAGCTTTTTTATTTCTCCCAATATAAAGTAGACCAGGACCCAACCCGCACACCTTCAGTGAAAGCTAGATCTATTACAATATTAGAAAACACTAAACAGTTATATTTATGATGGCTAGGAATCCTCTTTGACAAAAAGCTAATATTTAAATGGCACATTGAAGAAACAGCATCTAAAGCCCTCACTGTGGCTAATGCCCTTCGCTCTCTAGGGAATACTGTCTAAGGAGTTAAACCTCATTTACTATAGTAGGCTATATTAACCTGTGTACTCTATAAAGCATACTATAGTGCTGAAACCTAGTGGCTAGAACGTACTTGCCCTGAGCCTTCCTAGACTTTAAACTAAGTTAGAGAACATCTTAAGAAACTAACTAAAGTAATACTAATAGGCGCAAGAGCAGTCCTTCTAATCTTCCATATAACCCCAATTCCTGTCCTTTATCGAGAGTCTGGATTCTCTCCACTAGAAATTGAATTAGATCGAATAGCCCTCCTTGCAACTGTCCACCTATGACATCTTAATCCTTATCACCCACTTCTAAGACACAAAGAATAGATTGCTAGTAATGACTGACAAACCAGCCAATTTACCCACTATATACTAGCCCTCCCTAACTCCAAACAGATAAACCCCCTCCAATACACTCCCTGGCACCCTCGCAAGTCTTATGAGAATGCCTAAGCTCGAATAGGAGCTCCCATAGGACACACTAAGGAATAGGCAGTGGCTAATTTCATAGCTTTCCAACGTACCATCCCTAACTCAGATATTATAATCTTTTCAGATAGATCTAGACTAGTAGACAGACGTACAGGGGATAGCTATATTGGAGTTCAAGCACACCATTAGTTCCTCCGCTCCTCACTCTCATACAGACATAGGAAAGAAGTCTTCAATGCTAAAGCAGAAGCTGTTCTAGCTGATGCTCAAGCAGCAATAGCATACCCAACAGCTCAATTTGCTACTAACTTATGGATCTGTCTTGACAACCTAGAAGTTGCCACACACCTCCTATCTCCCTCTATGGGATCCTCTTAAGAAGTCTTTGAATCCTTTCACACCCTTGCAGCTGCCTGGCCACTACGCGAAAGCTTCCACACACCAAAAGTAGATTAATCCAAATCCAATGGGTCCCTGGACACACCAAAATCCCTGAGAATGAAGCAGCTGATCTCACTACTAAGGAAGGAGCTATCTCTATCCCCCCCTCTTCATACAAGTCCTTATACACCTCGCTAAAGAGATACACCAAGACTCAATCCCTTTCCGCTGCTTAGACACAGTGACAGACTATAGCACCACAGATATACTAAGATCTAGAAATAACTACATCTCCTAAACACCCTGGAGAGCTTTAACTCAACTAACTTGACCTTGGCTACATCATAGTAGCTCATACTAGTTATGGAGACTTTACAGACTACCACGAACACTTTAATCATAATGATGCTTATCTTCTCTATTGGTGTGGAGCAAGAAAAGCACCTCTACATTTCTTCTTCTACTATGTAGCTAAGAGACGATGCGCTAAAGAGTCTCTTATTTGTATATAAATCCGATAGGACCTGAAGCCCAAGATTTACCCCTCGGCGGCCTATGTCCCAGTAGGGATCGGTGGGAAGCGTGCGAGTCACGAACCACGGCCATTAAACACACACACACACACACACCTCGTTCTTGGGGATCAGTCACAATATTAGGAATCAAGATATCTTCATATTGTCGCGCTTTACTACCGTCTATGCTTCGTGATACGGGTCGTAGTTAAACCAACAGGTATATAGGCAGATTTGAAACTGGCTTCACTTGTTTACACTCTTTGATTTATTGGATTATCATGCTATACTGCCACGATATTGCTGCCTTGGGCTAGTCTTATAATAATTAAAAGTATCTACGTATTTATGACTGTGATAGGTAGAACACTAACTGTGACGGCTGGGCATGGCTCTGCCTTCCCGTCTCAGTTCACGGATAGGGCTAGGAGCCGTGTAACCCTATCCGCGCCGTATTGGGAAGTCATATCAACATCAGACGTCGGAGCTGGATAGGGAAAGGCGCCTTGCACAGAGATTTACATGAGTAGTGAGAACCTGGGCTTTTACTTCATTTCTTCCTTTTCCCCCTTTATGCTTAATATTACCTCATGGGACTGCCCGCCATACAGGTAGACGTCGGTACCGCATTGGGCCTAGCGTGATCGTAGCAAGGACATCAACCTCGCACGCCACGGATCTCAGATAGCTAGCTAGACTTCTCAATATCACTCTCTCTCTAGCCCATCATCATTACCTGTCGACAAGCACCTCTTGTACGAGATAGTTAGCTAGAATAGCGTACTCAAACCAAGCAGATTGGCACCGTCACACTAACTAGGCTTTGACTGGCCACGCTCAAGGAAGCAATATCGTGTCAACTGGTACGAGCCCCCGATTCTCAATTTCGGTCGGCGATAGTTCGTTACTATCCACTCTGTACTGCAGTTGGCTGCTTTCTTTTCCTTCAAATGTTCCCTTTGATATCCTAGTTATTTACTCCATGACCAAAACCGTACTCTTGAAAATTTTGTGATGACGGTAATGACAAGGTGTTGGAATTATTTTAATGATTTGTGTCAACTAGAAGCATACATATGCTAGCAGGCATTCCATGTTCTAAATCTATTGGTCATGACCATTCGTCTGAATTGGAATAAAAGACCCCTGTATATCATACGCCCTCCATTTATCTGCCCAAGCTTTTACTTCTTCGTAGTTGCGACACTGCCGCTGGAACCCCCAATTCTGGTTTCCGTTTACTCTCTCCACTGTTGGTTCTAGGCTCGAATCTGCTGCACATATAATTCCTTGCCGTAAGTAATCAGAGCAATGTCCCGCGTGCGGAGGGCGATTGATTCCCATGTCGAAGTCTTCCTTTTGGGCTTCAGATTCGGGTTAGCGTAGTAGGCCCGGCGGATGAGATACTGGATGAACACTAGAAATACCACTGTATGTAAGTTAAAATATGGAAAGGAATGCTTACTAGGCAATGCAACTGATGAAACACGCCAACCATGGATGTATTCGGAACGAGTTGTGAATGGGATACGTATCCCACACCGTCTAAACAATTAGTATTTATGGGAATTTCATACTCATGATGAAAAGATAATCAATTCCAAACGTACTGGGGATCATGGAGTCCCAAACAGGTTCTTGTCCTCCATTTTTAGGCGGCGGCGCCTCGAACTCAGGGTAATGGCGTACATCTTGCTTTACTAGACTGGAAATTGAGACTAGACTACAACCGTCAATAGTTATCCAAAGATTGCTTTTGACGGAGACTTTGCTTACCCAGTGGAATACATTCCTCACAAGCGTTAGCCATAGAAACATTCTCTGGAGAAGTTATAATGACCCTGAAAAAAAGCCCCGCGACAAAACCGAGAAGCACAAGTGCTGCTCCCAATAGAAGGATTTTAGTCTTGTTAGATGTTCGGCTCTGTTTAGGAGAGACACCATCGTCGAGTTCGTCGTTGACAAGTTGAGAGTATTGCTGTTGATTCATCATTCTGGTAATGGACGATGGTTGACGATGCGTTGAGAAGAATGATGGGGAAAAAGAATATTTGAAATAGTGACGATTAGCCTGGAGTCTGTGAAAAGATACGCAATATATTCTTCAGGTTACACTAGAAGAATAAAAGAAATAACGATAAATCTGAATACTAGCTGGACTGATGGCTTGTGCTTAAAAAATGAAATTGATTCTAATTCTCAGCTACATGTAATATTTCCATTGATTCACACGACAACAAATGTAATCCTTGACCAAAAAAATACCATTGATTTTCACTTGTTTCTTCCCTTGAGTATATCATAAAAACATGTGAATTTAGTAGGTGTCCCCGATGGCTTTAAGGTCGACCTCCTCAGGAGAGTAGACGCGAGTAACTGTTACTGTTAGTAATTGGAAGATCTTGAAAAAGGAGTCTATACTTACCTGCATCATCATGAGGTTCAGCAATAGGAGCAGCGACTGTAAAATGAGTAAGTGCGAGGATAGTTAAGAGGACAGCCTTGTAGGAATGCATGTTGTCGTTTTCTAGACAGTCAAATAGTCAAAAAGAGGCTTCACGAGAAGACCAAAGCAAAGACAAACCTTGCAGAAAAACCTCAACGTGATCGGATCTTAATGAATACTTTGTTTACAATCCAAAGTTGTTGGATGAAACAAGGAGAACTTCAACAACGCCTGAAAACCTATTCATAAAATATACCTCTGCTTCGGCCCCCTAGTCGCCTTGATGTGTCATGTGGTTGTTCAAGACTCTCTCTTTTTCAGCTTTAGGCCTTAGCATTACACAACTTATGGTCTAGCGCCTTTGCTCGAGTGGGTTACACGCATGCAAAAAGAAAATTGTATGACTGTATGTTATTAACTACGAAGTATTGAAAGGGGTCAGGTTATGTCATGTGAAATTTGAATAATAGTGAATCGAGTCGGCGAGGATGATATGCCATGAACTTGTCTTTACCTTCAGAAACTGGTACAAAGTACACATCACGACCTGCTCCCCGAAATGCTCTCTTACAAGAAAGCAGCTCCCTACTCGCTCCTCCCAGACTCGGAATACCCGGTGAAATTGGGTCAATCGCCGCTGGGCAGCAGATCCAGGCGCTTCCGTATACTACTACCAATTCTAAATCTTGTCTTCGTCGCAGCATTCGCATTGTCCTTGGTACTGTTGATACCCCGTCCCATACCAGAATCGTGTACTCATCCAAGTTTCCGACGAGAATGGAGGACGCTTAATATGGAAGAGAAGTTGTCTTATATTGGCGCTGCGCAATGTTTGGCCAGAACTCCGTCTGCATCTCTTAGGAATGACAATGCGTCTATTCACGATGAGCTTGCACTTCTACATGGCAAATTTGGAAACTACTGTCAGTTATCGGCATAAATCTATCTATATTGCATGAGTGGCTTAGTAACGGGTTTTCCTTGGGTAAATGTATAGCTCATAATGCTGCTCCGTTTCTGCCATGGCATCGGTACTTCATTTATGTCTATGAACAGGCGTTGCGAGAAAACTGTGGCTATCAGGGCTCGTTACCGTAAGTTGTTTGACCTTCTCTTCTATATAGTCTTCCATTTCATGCCAGTTTTTCTTACATTTAGCTATTGGGACTGGACCCTCGACTACCAAGATCTTTCCAGAGCCCCTGTCTGGAATCTAATCGACGGATTCGGACCCAGCCGAGATGAATATGGCTCCGAAGGTGTTGCTGGCGGACATTGCGTGGTTTCTGGCCCTTTTGCAGGACTGATGCCGACCTTTTTCGAGGGTGTCCGTGATCCCCATTGCCTATCTAGGGGCATCTTAGACAAAGAGACGGTCAGGAGAGTCGGAAATCTAACCGTACGGCCAACCGTGCTAGCTCGTCTCGCCAATACCAACGGAAGCTACTTCGACTTCCTCATTGAGCTAGAACACACGTCGCACTTAGTGATTCCATATATTCTCCAGGGTGACTTTTCGAAAATCACCGCGCCTAATGGTGAGTTTCGACTTCCGAGGGATAGAGTCTAGAGGCGTACGACACGTATATGTGACATTGTTACTAACGATGAGCAGACCCCTTGTTCTACCTTCAATTTGCCCAAGTTGATCGTGTATGGTGGAGTTAGCAGCACCTATCAGAGCCTCGTCAAAGTGAATATAATGGGCCATCGAGAAACGACTCCTCCGTGGAGGGTGTGCTAAGAGATTTCCTTGATTCTGGGGACTTTCTTCCGATGTGGCCACGTGTTGAAGATGTCATGGACACTGAGGGTGGATTGCTATGCTATCAGTACGATACAACTGTATGGGAAGAGTCGTGGGTAACTATTTGAATTTCGTGAGCTAGTATGAATATTATGAGATTCTATTAGACGATTTTGACCATAGATATATGTAACACCCAGCTAAATTGTCCCATTTTACACATTATTCAAGCACAGTCGATGATCGTATTGCCTGCTCTGCAAAATGCACTTCCAATGTCACTAGCCTTTTACACTATTCATCTCATTCCATTTTTTAGCCGAAAGATCTTCACTATTATGTCATTCGAAGTATATTATCGAAATGCGGCTGTTTTTTTCGGCATCCTAGATTAACGTTCTACCATAAACTCGTACACCGCAACATCAAAATATTATTTTGATAGGAGGCAATACCATATATTTAGAAATTTAAGTCGTGTTCATGGCACCAAACAAAATTGACAGAGAGCAAGCACGGTACGTGATATATCTAGCCCTTGTTTTTCCTCTGCGTCCAAAGACTCTCCTCTACGCCTGCTGTAGTAAGTGCTGTCGTGGATGGTTTCCATTCCGGGTCAGCATATGCTGGATATCATCCACGATGAAGCATTTGTGCGGGATGACAAAGAGCATCATGCCATACGTGGCCCGATGAAGCGAAGTGATCGCCGGGTGGTCTTCCTCCATCGTTTGAGTCGCTCTCACCAGGCACTTGAAGTCGATACCAGTATATTTCACTCATCCTTTGACTGTCAACCTACATGGGCCAGTATAATCCCTCCAAAGCTGTGCGCGTTGAAGAAAAGGGGTCGTTGCTAGAGCTAATAATACTGTTAGCCTTGGGATTCTGCATAGATAGTCTATGGAAACAATTACCTCTTTCGTGTTCCCAGTCTTCTTGATCTCCTCCATCAGCTCCAGCCCGTAGTCGAGGATGGTATCGATCCCGTGGCTTGACAATTTTGAATTGTAGCCATAGATCATCGTGCGACACTGGGGCAGATCCTTTGACAGGAAGTCACACAGCCACATCCGACCGAGGTTTCCCCTTCCCTGCCATGATCCGTAGGCGTGTCCGTCCAGTCCGGCGATTTTATACTGCCGGGAGTAACCTTCAGCCAGATACACACGAGTTCGGCGGTCTTCAGGGTCAAGCTCTAAAGTGCGACTGTATTCATCGCAGGCGGCATCAAAAAGCCGATATGCATCAAGAGCCAAACCAAGACGTGCGTACCACCTTCCATCTTCCTCAAATTTGAACCACCGTGTGAGCTTCATGATATTTTCTCGGCATTAGACATAAATTCCGAATCGCCAAGAGTTGCTACTATGGGGGTGCCAACGTAAAACGGCCTGTTCCTGTTGCGGTGGTCAGTTCGTCCCAAAACATCGCTATCGCGACGGACAAGGGTCTGACGAGTAGATGAATACTCACTATAACTCTGCAATTGTGAAGCAACAGAATTATATCCCTGAAAGTGTCAGGTCCAAAAATGTCCCATCTTTTACTGAGACTATGCAGAATATTTTTGAACAGATTGGAGTTTGAAGCACGGGCTTTAGAGACCCATAATCTCTGATCTTCCGTCAGTGCCTTCTGAACATCTTCATCAATCCAATCCTTGAGTACGGAAAGCAGCGTCTGGCTGAACTGTCAAATCTTCTCCCTGATGTATTTGATGCTTCCCCAGTACATTGATGCGGAAGCCTTGTGGGAAATGTGAAAAATACGGTAAAGCAATTGGAGAATCCGTACTCTTTCTTCCACTGGGAGCTTTTTTACGCTGATTATAGCCTTCAGATGATATATGGCATGGTCCTTGCTCCAGAAGTAGTAAGGGTGAAGTCTGCTATTCACGACGATGTCGTCCACAGCGTAACCCAGCAGTCTTGTAGCGATTCTTGCATGAGCTTCATCTCTGTCAATTCTATAGTATCTAGACAGTTTCTCTTCATTACAGAAGAGAAAATCACGAATGCTGGCGTGGCTAAATTGGACAGTGGTTGAATGTTTATTGTGAGCGAAAATCTGGTAGATCTACCACCCTCAGCTCTTCGCTGTCGGCAGAAGCCCCATCAGCATCAACAGAAGCTTCATCCTCATCCTCTCCGTACTCTTTGACTTTTCTCTCACTGAATCCGCTTTGAAGAGTCTCGGCCGTTTTGCCATCAGCCCTAATCAGAGTCACTAAGGACCCAAATGTCGTTCGTAGGTCAGTCTCAAAGTCTGGCCAGTCATTCCAGTCAATAGGATCAACCTGAGAGTCACTGCTATCAATTTTTCGAAGAATCATCTGAATCGTTGTCCCCATCATTAGACCTGGGCATGGTGCTCATCGCTGTCTGAAGCTCTCCCAAAGTGAGAGGACGTTCCGCACAAGCGATCCAAGATAGCATTTCTTGAAAATACTCCTGCGGAATATCAGGGTCTTGGGTAACCCGATCAATGGCGTGTCCAACCATCTCTAGTAAGTCATTGGGAGCGGTATGTAAGGCATGAATGATATCCGACTTTTTTTTTGAACGTGATTTCAGCCAGGACCAATTTTACCCATTGGAACATTCCATTTGCGCCTTCTTCTAAAGCTTGCACGATTGTCTGTTTAAGATCGCTCTTATCTTTCCGACTGAGTCGTCTGCTCCTTATAATGTGCACTTTGTCCACTTCTTGCTTGATGTACCGCCGAATGTCATTCAAGTCTCGGTAAGTCGACACATCAGTATGATCTGTATACAAACTGCTCCGACTCCGCACATCTAATAATGTCCATCTGCAATTCAGGGCGCCCGATCACAGCCAACTGCACTCGTAGCTTTTGCTCATAATCTCGAGGCTGTTCGAGGTCGTGTAGCAGTCTGATGAGAGTATCGCGCTCCACTCTAGGAGCCTCGTCCAACCCGTCTATCACGATAAATGCTGACGTGCCGCTTTCTGAAGAAGCAAAATATTTTAAAAATATACCTTTCCAAAAGTTGGCTGTATTCCTGGAACTTTGAGGAGAGCTCCTTCCCATGTCGAGCAGAAATTGTCGAAATAAATAATCATTTTGAGCAACTTGTAGTGCTATACTTCTCATGATATTTCCAACAGATGTCGAGTCTTGATTATTCTCCTTGATGAAACAAGAAATTCCCATTCCCAGGAATATCGAAATATTGGTCCCAATTCTATGGGAGGGGAATCTTATACCGATTACCCATGGGAGAATCCCATCCCAACGGTCAGCCTAATTACCCCGCTGCATCCCTGCGTCTTAGCCGGGCAAATAATCGGAGGGCTAAAGAAGTTTATTAGTTAGTATACAATAAAGACTGTTGAGAGCACAGCCCAGCACTATAACAAGCCTGTGCGCCTTCGAACACCACGCTGCTGGAGGCCAAATCGAAGGATGGGAAACTCATTACATATCCTATCATGACGTGAGCAGGAAGAATTAAGGGATAAGTATAGCATCGCTCCAGCTTACCGTCCTCTGTATCTCTCTCTATGTACGCTGCCCAGTTTCGAGGTGTAATTTCTCACGGCTTTTCGTGTTCTTTTCCTTGTGACTACTGCTCATCAACAAAGTAGGCTATTTATGACTGCAATCCAATACATATATATCATCGAGGTCAAGCGGATCAGATTGCTCAGCTTCGGATCACTGAGCATGCCCGTGAGCTTATGTAAGGCTCACTGATCTGATCAGCGCGGTCAGGAATGTGCTCAGTTTTACTCAGTGATTAAAAGCGGCGACGGGGTGAGCAGGTAGAAGGTGGCTACTATGAGTATGTATATGCTATACTCATCACCACCTCTGGAAACCTAAGACCCTCCTCTACACAATTTTGTTACCTAATCTTCACTCTACTTGTAGGCGCTATTGACTCAGACCAACTAACTTTTCATTAATCACTAGCCTTCTCCCAGAGTCAACAGGAAGTTTGAACTGAGGCTATCATCGGCGACCCATGTTTGACTCACTTTCAATCATGACTCACCCCAATTGACCTATGAGAATTTGACGTTTGGCAACTGATTATTTCCTCTATATAACTGGTAATAAGGTGAGGACACCGGATCATAAACTCTGGTCTATTTTCACCGCATAATAAAGAATTGGAAGGGGGTCACTACCACAACAATGTCACAACCACCGACCATACAATCAACGCTTGCACAGGACAAGAATGTAACCTATATCGATACCATACAAGCATACGATCAATGGGCCGATGTAAGTCAACTGCTCGAATCAATATCCTGAACCAGATTACCGACTTATCAAACAGGTCTACGACACAGATGGCAACTTCCTCCAGGCCCTCGACACAATTGAGATGATGTCTCTGCTTCCCAATTTCTGGACTCAAGTGAAGGATCGAGCAGAAAAGACAGGTCGTCCAGACTGTAAACTGGTTGACCTGGGGTGTGGTACAGGCAGAAATACATTGCAACTCCTCGATATCGTTTCTCAAGATACGCAAAAAGAAAAGATTCACATCATCGGCGTCGACGCCTCAAACGGCATGCTAGATGTGGCCCGACAAAGAATCAATGATTTCCAGAGCCCAACAACGAGCATAGAAGTGAAATTAGCACCATTCGACCTCCTCGCTGCTCAATCTCCAATAAACACCCAAGCCCGCGAACTTCTGCAAAATGCAGATGGAATTATCTCAACCCTCGTCCTTGAGCACATCCCCTTGGACATCTACTTCTCGACGGCAGCATCAATTCTCCGTCCAGGGGCATATTTTTTGGTTACGAACATGCATGCTGATATGGGTCGATTGAGTCAAGCCGGCTTTGTGGATTCCGTTACCGGTAAGAAAGTTCGTCCATCGAGGAGTTATGCGCATGATGCTGGGGATATTTTGGTGGAGGCTGCGAGGGCCGGATTTGAGGTTCTTTCGTTGCCGTCTACTGTGAATACATCGACTGGTTCTGAGATCGAGGGTGTGCTGGAGAGGAAAGTAACACAGGATATGGTTGAGATGCTTGGACCGAGGTCGAAAAAGTATGTCGGTGTTACTGTCTGGTTGGGTGTATGTTTTAGAAAAGTCTGAAGGTGAAACTAGGTGCGAGAAAAGGGTGTCTTGTCTTGTCCATTATAGTATGAGTGTTGTACATATATTCTACATGTCTATTGTGTATTCAAGATCTCAAATCAATGCCAAAGAACGCCGTATGAAGCTTTCCCCCCCCCTCCCCCCGCGTTCTTCCATGCTCTCCTGTCAAGCAAAATACTGTTGCAGCAGAACTCTGCGATGTCGTAAAAGGTTGTCGTATTTCGAAAGAGAATGCGCTAGTTGGTTATATTTCCATCCCATACTTTCATCTAGTATGAGATGCGTGTATGCAAAGACATTAGCATCAAATAGTCCGGGTTGGATGCGATTAAAGAAGTAGTCGTTGTCACCGAGCAGAACAGAGAGTGCTTCAAAGGCGTTATCTGCGTCGGCTTCTAGAACATTGACGTCGATATAATCCGAGTATTTGAGTAATTCGTCCCTTGCGGCTTGTTGTAGTTGAACGGCTAGGGCTGTTTGGACAGCTGAAGATGAGGTGGCGGGATTTATGTATCGTTTTCGAGCCACTTGGTTGAAATTAAGGGCATTAAGATATAACTGATGGAGCTGTAAGATACAAAATTAGTGGCTAGATCTGGTAAAATAACGTAAGGTCAACTCACCCATGCATTGCGTATTCGATGGTCAATCAATGATGCATAAACATCGAATCGTATATTGAGCTGTTGCTCTTCCTCGCAATGCACTTGCTCAATGGCCCATTTCTGTAACTTATTTGAAGGAATTGGAGATTTCGTGCCAGATGGTAGGGCTGCATAGAGGAAAGGTAGGGCACCAGTTGGAGAAGCGTGGTTGTTTGAAGGGATAAGGTCAAAGTCTATACCGACGAATTTCAGATAGGCCTGTCGCAAATCAGTCAGCCTTGTCCGACCACCCAAAAGTTCCAACGGTATATAATGTATAAACACACACCTGCCACCTGAGACATTGGGGATTGAACGACGGTGCCCCTTTAGCCGCCTGTTTGGGATCGATAAAAACGAACAGTCTATTCCGCTCAGGGCTCCCGCTGGTGTGCACATTTCCTGGAATGCCTTCAGCTTCGTATGTTGTTAAAGGAAACTTGTCGAATATCCGCTTCACTGGCGCAGGTACGCCGAATAGCTTTTTCGGTGGTACTGCATTGGAAGATGTTGGCCGAGGAGGCTCAGCTTCATGCTCGGTTCCAACCGGCGAAGCAGCGTCCGCACGGGTTTCTGAGGTCATAGGTGTAGCAGTAACTCGTATAAGTTTCTTATAGGTATGTCCAAGATGATTTTCACAAAACCTGGTTGGCCGCTCCAACGTGGAGGAGAATGATCAATAAATCTGTATGCTGGCAGCTGGCAATATCTAGATATAGCTCTGACCGCCTCCGTCCATTCACCACTCAGCAAGCCGGGAGCTTCACGGACTCCTATTGGACAATGATGCGGCTCCGATCACGTTCTCTTGGCATTTTCGAGTCTCAACCGGCGGTTATCCCGCTTTCGGAACAATGAATCCGTTGCTTTTGTCGCTCCGGTTCTTGCTTCCTCACTGTTCAGTCACTGATTTGATGCTTTTCTAACTTCGAGATTGCATGGATACTGCCGGTCTGATTCTTCATTCATTCATTTTTTCATATCCAGCCTTGGTGGCTAGTCAAGCACTTTGCGACCGTGGTGCGGGGGTCTACGGCGTTAGTCATTTTTTTCGGCCCCAATCGATGCGACTCGTTAATAACATGAGTTTCATGTATCTCACGGCTTGGTGGAACTGAAAAAAAGAAAGAAAAATAGCTGGTATTTGCATGAAATAAGCACTGACTGGTCTCAATCATGCCTCTGGACGAAGAAGGCGCCAAATGGTCGTGGTAGGTGCCCTGGGTTTCCCCGGGAAATGGTTGCGTGATGTTCTGTTCTAATATGCGGTGACCAGTGAGCCATGTATGCGTGGACATCGCTCGTCAAAATGTCAACACTTCGACCGTCTCATGATGAAAGTCCCCAAAGCTGGGCGACCATTGGCGAAGTGTCCACATCCTAAAGGGACGTGTAGTTGTGAGAAGGTATATGCGTTTATGGTCCGGATACCTAAAGGTGTGTATTCGCAGATCTATTATTCCGTGTGATTTGTCATACTGACTGACTGTATACAGGCTCGACTTGCTTGTGTAGACCGTTATATCAAGTTCCGGCTAGTTCTGCGACAGAAACACCGTCAGTCCCAGCGACTCCCCGTCCGCCGTCACTACCTCCTGATCCTACTTCGTCTATATCAAAGACAGCAGCTGCAGGTCGTGTTCAGAAGCACACGCGCAAACAAAGCACATTCCAAAACCCGTCGGATAATATTATCAAGGCCCTGGATTCAGAACTTATGCAAGCGGAGCGTAAGAATGACTTTGGAATATCGGAGCAGCCGCCTACGCTAGATCGCTCTTCAGCCTATACACCTGTCTCTGGGAATTCACACACGCCGTCTTACAACCCGAGCCAAAAATTACCAGAAAAGGTTGCCGCGGAGAGCAAACCCGGTGGATGTTGTTCTGCTAAAATAGAGCCTGTTACTCCAGCACCGGAACCACAACGATCCTGTTGCGGGGACAATGCGACGTCCCGGGAAGAGAAGGAACAATTTCCAAGTATTTCCAAAAATCCTTCAACCCCGGCGTGGAACGAGTCATTCTACAGTTCCCAAAATTTGGCCTGGAATACTCAACTACCGAATACCGATTTTACCTCTCAGAACAATACCTATACAACCACGAACCTAACACGGCCATATTACGCAAATCAGCCACAATCAACTCAGCCTGCTATACCTCGAACGTTCCAGAATTTGGATGCACATTACCAGCTCAATATAAGTGGCCCGCCTATGCATCAATTCTATTTGAACACTGCCACATACCCTTTCAACATGTCACTCCCGTTTGTCAATGACAGCAATCACGATTGCTCGTGCGGCGATAGTTGTCAATGTCTGGGATGTGCTAGCCATCCATTCAACGAAACAACACGCCATCACGTGCAAGAAATGGGATATATGATGACCGTAAAAGAGGACGAAGAGAAGTCTGGTACTTCAAGTCCCTTTGCAGGGCTGAACAGTCCACCAGCCATGCCATCCAATATTCCAGCAAATTACAACCTTCCGATACCATTAAATACACAGCCGTCATTTACAGACGACAATACTTTACCTTCAACTTTCGACAACACTATCAATTCACCCACCTTCGCCCCAAATCAGTTCATGCAGCCCTCCGAGTATTATACGCTCGAGTATCCTGTTGGCTTGAATCTCTGCTCAGACATAACAGGGACCTGCCAGTGTGGTAATGACTGCAATTGTGTGGGATGCATCACGCACAGCGGTCACGACGGAGTTGTCCTGGACTCAATGCCACCAGAAAGTCAACCGATGACCAGTAAGCCTACTCCACAGCAGCGGTTTCAGGACTACTACAACCAGGGCTCCGACATACCGCGTTCAATGGACCGGTATTCTCCATCTGCTTTGAGTCCACCGGTTGTCGAGACGCCGCTCGTATAAAAATTGATCTGCATGCATGTTCAGCCCTGAATGATTTTATGACGAACCAAGGATACCCCTACTATAAACTAGATGGCTACAAGGAATTGCCTTTGATGCATGATTACTGTTTTCGAGAAGAACCAATAACTTGACCAAAATTGACAATTACAATAGCCCCTCTCATACGTAACAAAAATTGGAAATAGGCATGTATTGACAAAAGAGATAACAGCGTACTTCGCCAGAGATCGAGCTTGTGATATAAACGGATTTCCCATTCTCACGTCGCTATACATATATGGTACATGAACAGTTTGAAAAAAGCACACTAGTCTATTGTTCAGTAACTTGCAAGAGTAAAAAGTTAATGCAAATAACCTTGCAGCAAAAGCTTCAACTCGTAGAACTTTGGCCATGTAGAAAGCAGGGAAAACACAAGAATGGTGGTTGATTGTTTGATTTGCGGTAAGACGTTATGATAGTTCTAGATCAGAGGACATAATTTTGATAAGGGTTTTCGACGACCGGGTATAATCTCACGACCTAGATTGATGCACAGCACTGGTGACAGGGCCATCGCCTCGCCGGAAAGCAGCTGATGAAAATAATGACCTGGTTAGCAAATCACGCAAAACTAGACGAAAACCGCACTTCCAAACTGTACAAGGATGTATACATACAATCGGCTTCCTCATATGCGCGACCAGCGCCAAAACCGAGACCGACCCAGGCTGGCCAGGCTCTCCGCTTGAAGAGAAGAACTGAGAGAACAACACCGAATCCGAGGCCGATAGAAGAGCGGACGATCAAAGACGAGATGGCGCGGTCCCACTATTTGAATCACAAGAAGGCCGGGTTAGTTGGAATAATCCAATTCCAAGGTTGAATGTTGAAGCAATTGGACAGGAAAAGGAAGCATCCTATCCTCCATAGCTGGTTGTCCGGTCTCACTTACCTTCTCATTAAGGAGAGCCTCGCTCACGGGCTTGGTTGAGCGCGCAACCGGGACTGTCGGCTTGGATTCGTTTGCTTCGGCCATTGCGACGGGGATCTCTGTTGAAAGTCAGCTATAACAGTCAATTTTAATTATGTCATGCATAGAGTACTGGCATATGGAAAGAAGTATGTACGGAAATCCGACGTTGAGGAATTGCTGGGTTCAATGTTGTTGCATGTACGTAGTTTGAGCTCCCCTTGGCGGGTTTCTGGTCGGAAAAACTAGGCTCGGCTTTGCTGTCGTCATTTTCCGTGATGGGATTGGCTGGTCGCCCGATAGCACGGGAGCTATTAACGCTAGCTCTAATATAGTATAGACCGTTATTTTTTTGTCGTTGATCCATATCGATAGGAAAGGAATGATGGACAATTTATTTCTTTGGATAGCCTTATCGACAGCCTTTTGTTCATTACGGCGGCGATCTGATCTGGTGCTGCTGCCATGGCTTGGAGCAATGATGTAAGTCTTGTTCTTCGTTAATTAGGTTTGGAATTGATTCATTCTAATAAGTTGTTCAACATTTCAGACTGCCGTTCCGTCGCAGGAAGCGCTGTTAAAACTAGAGAAAAGTACAGAGGACAGCGACAGACAACTAGCTGCGGCAGCACAGATCTTGAAGATAGACCTGTCCGATATCACTTCTCAATTACCTGAACCTAGTACATTCGAATCAACAACTCGACCGGCTCCGAAGGAAGAATGGGTGTTAAGATGGTTGCTCAAGAGACTCAAAACCTCGACCTATCGAGTACATCCTCAGTCTTATATTCTTTTACAAAAGCTCCTACTGCGAATATCACGAAGAGCAATTGCATCGACGTTTGTGGAATACAAGTTTGCGCAACTATTAAAAAACATCGTGGACGATCTGAATAACGCCGTCTTCATGTCGTTCCCGGAGGGTATAATCAGGACGTCTTCTGACTCCGAGACTAGTGAGACTCTTGAAGGATCTCCCGTTCGGTCGAAGAAACGCAAGAGAGGAAATGAAAATGCCGATGTGGACAATGATATTGTTATGCACGATGCAGCCTATGGAGAGCCACAATCGGAACGCGCAATTCTTGCCTACAATCAGTTTTCGGATGCTTTTTATATTCTTATGGGCCTAGTGAATGGTCAGAATAACCGAGGAAATGTGTCACAGTTCCATTTGCAGCAATCGTTACGACTGGATCCTGCAGTTGGCGCTGAGATTTTGGGGAAGTTGATTAGGCTGTCCGCGGCCATGATCGTTGAATATACAAAGGAGAAACGAAGTAACCTGCTACGACACTTGCTCAAGACTACTACTGCATATTTTGCTATGTGGGATCTCAGAAAGTCGGGCGTCAATGGTATCGACAAGCGTTCTATCAATGTGAGTATCTCCCAACTATGTGGGACGGCGTATACTAATCCTTTGCCAGACTGCATTTTCAGAATCTTGCTTCTTGGAATCACTGAGGCTTTATCGCATTGTACTCTCGTCTGGAGCGGACAGTGAAGATGCTCGTTTCATTACACACTCTATTGAAAAACTCATTGCTCTTCATGTCGTCGTCCCCGCACGCAGCTTGTTTATGGAGAGAGGTGGATCTGGAATAGACTACTCGAAAGGTGAAGATCCTGACTGGAGCGCCGTCCAGCCAGTGACGGCAACCTTCAAACCTCTCTTTGAAGACCGCTCTCCAGTGAATATACATTGCAATAGCAATGGCAATGGCTCCGTGGACCAGAACTCCTGCGTCTTTCCTGCAACATGGAAATCAGCTGAACTCATTCCGACTTTCTACGATATTGTTTCGAGGTCTGTGCCCAGAGACTCGTTTCGTCGCCAAAACACAGAAGCATCATGGCTTGAGACAGTCTTCGTGGCACTGGCAGAGCTGGCTTATTCGAGCACTCAAAAATTCAGCGGTAACACTGTCGGATTCATACCACTATTGGAGCAACTCTTCATTGTTGTCCGTGCTCGGAAAATAAAACTATCTTTGCATACCCTCCTCACTCATGCTTCTTATACCGGACTTCTGAAAGGAGAAGAAGATCCTAAACACGTAAGCTGGAGTCTGACAACATTATTGATCGATCTTGGTGCCGATATCTTTTTACCTAATTCAGGGTTCAAAGACTCAGGTCGTCTTTTAGACGCCTTATTTCAGTCACTTCATCATATTCGAAGTGACATGAGTAATAAGGAAACCTATGAGCTTGTCAAAAATGAGGTGGTCATACCTTTGATTCGAGCCTTTGCTACTGCCAGAGATCTTCCAACTTTCGCCGGGTTTTGGTATGAGCAGCTGCGTTGGATCGAGACTGCGCGGAAGACTGGTGATAAGCACTTCCAAAAGTCGACATATTCAGTGTGGGAAGACGACAATGTTCTCATTGTCTATCAAGACACACTGAAGAGTACGCTGAGCGACACATTTTTGAAGTCACAAATCGAGAATGCGATTTCGACTGTGGTTGCAGAATCAGGATATATTTCAGGCTCACCAGATTCCTATGCCTATTTCGTCATCCTTGAAGCCGGTACTCGCATATGGGGGCACAACGGGCTTCCCGGTTTGCGCATTGACCTGGTGACCAATCTGATAGAGGGACTACACAAGACTCTATCGAGTCGTAAGGGGGATAGGCAGTGGCTTTGGCGTATGTGGAGAGTTGCCAGGAACCTCATGCCAATAGGCCTCAAGAGCACATTCAAGATTCCGAATGAGCTTGCAGACAAATTCAGACGTGAAGCTTTGGTTGTGGCAAACTTCTCAACGGGGCCAACGAAGCTCAGATCCGGGTGGAATGGCCACAGAGAGAGTTTCGAAGCTTGTCGTTTTCTGTTGACGGCAAGCAAGGATTTGTATCCTAAGGCTTCGTCCGAACAAAAAGACATTCTCCATGTCATCATTAAATGTCTTACCGGTTCGTTCGATTCCATCATAGAGGCTAAGCTGGAGGGATGGAATGGCCGTTATCAAGATATTGATGGGCTACCTCAGCAGGCGACTGCTATCATTGAGTGCTTACTACAGCATCCGGATCTATTATCTGAACTTGGGTATGAAGACTTGAAATGCTTCGTCAAGTTCTTTTGGGACCTTACTTCTACTATCGATCAAGACTGGAGTCAACACCAAGTACCTGAAATTACCGAATGTGTCTCGTTCAAGCAGTTATGGCGTGTTTTCCTATCCTATGAATACCTCAGAGACAGCCCATCATTGGCCTTGGGAGTGGCTCGTGCCCTTTGTGAACTGTTCATGAAGATTATAGAAAGCAAAAAGCCGCAGCCAGTGGTCCTACGGTATCTACCGGCCATCATTCAGGACTTACCAGGTATACCAGTTCGTTTCGGAGAGGTGCCTCTATTTAAAGACACAGTTGAAGCTCTCGTGACGAAAGTCGACTGCCCTGCGGAGCTCGTTCCGTTTATGGTATCCTTGATAGACGGATGGTGCCACGAATCGCAACGGGTTGGGCCAAAGATACTAGAATGGATTACGTCGGACATTCCTCTGCAAAATTCGTGGACGGATATGCGGACAATCGAGTCATTTCGATCGCTGGTTCGTACAGTGTTTGAGTGCGAATACAAAGCCTGCAAGTCTCTTGCAGACACTGGCAAATTCTTGAAGCGTTACTATAAACTCACGACTTCCCTGGCTGCATCAGCTCCCACACAACTAGGGCTAAGTGTCGATGGCAAAGACCAACCGTCAACGCTTATACCTGTCTTTGTGGCAACAAGCTTGCGCTTGCTGTTGGAACATAAGGTTGAACTACCCGAGCCGAAACAATTGGTCAACATAGCTCGTCAACGTGACAAGGTTTTTGATTTATTAAGGAGTCGTCTTGACAGTTGCTCCGGAATGTTACAACGGAAATCGCATATCAAAGCGCCTATTTTACTTGCGACGACGCACCAGATGTTGGAAGACTTTGACGGTATTGCAGTCGAGCGGAGTATGAAAATTGACAAGTTCATGACGGGGGTTGAAGAAGATAGTTTGGACATGGATGGCTGTATAAAGGCTCTTACCCAACGGTGGAGGATTGCTCGAGCAGCCTCTAGTAACGATTTTGATTTCAATGATTCGTCATTACTGAAGGGTGTTGGTCTCTACAGAATGCATGCCTCGGAACAGACATATCTTACCAGAGAGTTAGCTAAAAAGTTGAAATTGATAAGCAATCGGGAGCGCATCGAGGTGATCCACGATTTGAGAACCACTGGATTCGAAGGTTCGGAGGGAGCTAGTCGACTGCTGATCGGTGGACTAGCCGTGTCAGTACTTTCTGAGATCACAGAGAAAGACAGTGCTGAAGCGCGAGAAGTATCGTCTCTATGCACTGCTGCCACGGAGGTTCTGCAGAATAGCATTGAAGAGATCGATCGCTTTTCTTTGGCGGCGGAGTGTGTCGACATTATTCTTCGCTTACATCCGCGAGGAGTGACCCAGTTCAACATTGATAACTGTCTTACCGCAGTTACCACGACAATGTCGAAAATCCATTCCATGCGCGAGACCGACAACCCTATCTCGATCAAGAGTATTAGTACAATCTATACACGTCTCTGTCGTATACTGGGCACTGTTGTGGGACTTTATCGACAGCAGCTCGGCGGACGATTCCACCTTTTGATCCCGGCACTACAGAGTCTTCTCAAAGCACTGTTCGCTCCGAAACAGAAGCGCGGTAAAAAGACTGGACTAAACCTCGGTATCCCTCATGCCGTACAATTCACACGTCTGCTCACGTCTCTCTGCGATCCTACCGTATCAGCAGTATCGCGACCAAGCCGCCCTGCCGGTAACAGTAGTAGCAACAGCTTAGTTGACCAAACCAAAAAGGCCAAGATGATTGCGGGTCAACATCTACGTATCCTCATTGAAAGCTATGCACAGAACACGCTGGATGCGCCGCTCCAGCCGGATATCAAAACGGCATTAGCTCCGGGATTGTATGCGATATTGGACGCAATGCCGGCGGAGAGTAAACGGGGACTGAACGCCGCGATGGATATTTCGTCTCGAGCAATTTTCAAGACGTTGCACGAGGAGTACGTTAGGTTTGGCAAGTGGAATAGCAAGGGATGATTGCCGACATGGTCCTAGTTGATAGCTGATAAATTCCGAATCAAGTGATAACTCGGCAAGGAAGACTCTTTCGCAGAATGCCTGCAGTAACCCTAATCCGGAACCGGACTAGGGCCACGTGCTCAGCACTTTTTAACCACGCAAGTATTCAGCCGTTTGACCTGAAATCTCCAGATAGGCAAAACTTTAATGCATGGAGAGGATGAAGTCAAGATAAGCAAAAAAAAGAAAAGAAAAGAAAAAAAGGCAAAAACCAAATCTGGAGTATGGGTGGACTTAAGCATCGGCACATACGGCATACTAAATAATGGGGAATTACTCGATCAGATCGAGTCAGCGAGGTAAGCTTATCTCGGGTTGCTATCTCTGTTATCAGCGAGATTTACTGGAGAAGGTTAGCCTAGGAGCACAGAGGGCGGGAACGGGGTCCACCACTGATCCTACATTGTGGAGTACAATATGTATACTCCGTACAGGGCGTGGCTGTTGACATATGATGATGGACTCGTCTACAGTAGAATACTCTATATAGCTATGTAGTATGTATATGTCGGGAGTTTAGAGAGTACCTAGGACCTAGGTATTGAGATCGTCTGGCTGGTTGCAGATGATCAATAACCGCACAAGAAAAGCGCAGGACAAGATCTACATCCAACGTCGTTAATGATATCCCCAGAATTAGAGTAATGTGGTGCATCGGCCAATCACATGACCCACAGAGACATCTTATCACCCACGCCATCATGACCACTCACCATCTTATCTATGCCTGGCACACTCGTTCTCTTATCGCTTCTTTTTTGTTTTAGTATTCCTCCACGCGAAATGTATATCCAGTCTAGTTCTAGATTAGAATGGATACGATTAGAATACACTATTCTGGGTTCTATGGACCCTTTTTCTTTCCTTGTTTTTTCCCTCTTTTCTCGGCTCCGACATGGTCAGGTTGTGCCTATATCTAGACCCATGCCCACCCACGATATTTTTCTGAAATCCAATGGGTCGGAGGTTTTTGTTCTATTTATTGTCTTGTTGATTTCTTCACTCGTCTTACAATACTTCTCTGAGGCCATTGAGGGTTGTAATCCAAGCCTTCTTCTTCCTCTCTTATTTCCTATTTGACCTCTGTCTGGAGCCTGGATTCTTATGCCCATCATGTCTGTCCGTCGCTTCGTGAATAAGTTGGCGGTCGACAGCGAGCCTGGTTTAACCAATGCTCAGCTGATGTTGACAAATGACGATTTGCGACCGGGTATTTACCTCTCTTTCCTCTTTTATATCTCACGAAATTATTCGCTAACGTGGTGGATTATAGTCCCGCCCGAACGCAGAAAATGGGACTGGTGGAATTTCGTCGCTTTCTGGATTGCTGATTCCGCCAATATCGTATGTTTCTTTCCTATAAGTTTCGATAATGACAGCAAAACTGATCGGGATAGAACACATGGATGATTGCCTCGTCCTTTATCCAGAACCAAACAAACCCGAGTCTCGTGGCTTTATCCTGGTGGCAGGCTTGGATTTGCGTTTGGATCGGTTACTCCATCTCCGCCATCCTGATCGTTGCTACTGGTCGCATTGGTGCTCAATATCATATCTCGTTCCCTGTGGCCTCGAGAGCCTCGTTCGGCATTTGGGGTTCGTTATGGCCGATTTTTAATCGTGCTGCGATGGCTGTACGTTTGTTCTGAACGATCTGGCGATTTGGACGTTATCTAATACCAGTGTTTAGTGTGTGTGGTATGGTGTTCAGGCATGGATTGGAGGTACTTTTTTTTCTTCTTCTTCTTCTTCTTCTTCTTCTTCTTATATTCTCTGGACGAGTCTAATAGACTACAGGTCAATGCGTCACTGTCATGATTGAAGCTATCTGGCCTAGCTACGCCAGAATCCCCGACCACCTGCAGGGTTCTGGCACCACTACCAAAGACTTTGTCAGTTTCTTCCTCTTCTGGCTCTGCAGTTTGCCCGCCATCTGGTTCCCAGTTCACCAGATTCGTCATTTGTTCACGATCAAGTCAATTTACACCCCGATTGCTATGATTGCGTTCTTCGCCTGGGCCATTCACCGTGCGCATGGCATCGGCCCTATTATTCACCAGCCCACTGCCTTACATGGAAGTGCGCTCGCCTGGGCCATTGTGAAGGGCATCATGTCCTCTATTGCCAACTTTGCCACTTTGATTGTCAACGACCCCGATTTCTCCCGTTTCTCCAAGAAAAAGACGAGTTCATTATGGTCTCAACTGTTTGCCATCCCTATTGGATTCGCAATCACATCTTTCATCGGAATTATTGCCTCGTCTTCGTCGACCGTCATCTACGGCGAAACTATCTGGAGTCCACTTACTTTACTGCAAAGATTCCTCGAGGGAGCCAGCTCCGGTGAACGTTTTGGCATCTTTGTCATCGCTCTCGGATTCGCACTCGCCCAACTCGGAACGAATATTGCAGCCAACTCCGTCTCTGCCGGTACTGACATGACCGCGCTTCTCCCCCGATTCATCAACATTCGTCGCGGAGGCTACATCTGTGCCGCCGTCGGCTTGGCCATGTGTCCCTGGAAACTGTTGTCCACCTCAAACAACTTCACAACTTACTTATCTGCTTATACCGTGTTCCTCTCCTCAATCGCCGCGGTCATTATTACGGATTACTACTTTGTGCGCAAGGGATACCTTGAGCTCCGCGAGTTGTACAGTGCCCGTAAGCATTCGCCATATTACTTCACATTTGGATTTTCATGGCGGGGATTCTGCGCTTATATCTCCGGTATTTTGATCAACATTGTCGGCTTCGCAGGAGCTGTGGGCGCAAAAGTGCCTATTGGCGCACAGTACATTTACAACGTCAACTATTTCGCGGGATTCATTGTATCCGGTACCATTTACTATCTGCTATGCTGGGCCTTCCCCATCCCCGCCACAAGCGATACATGGAACGAGGTCGATGTGGATGTTGATCATCTCACGGTGGCATATGGACAGGAAGTGGGAACCGATGAGGAGTCGAGAAGTATCCCCGAAGAGGATACTCTAGCATATAACAAGAAGGATAAGAGTCAGGGCTACTCGACTTTTTGATTGACATGTCACGTTGTCGACAAATTTTTGTTCTAAATTTCTTTGTTGCTATGATTTAGATTGTTGTCACTCCCTTAGGCAGGGTTCGTTATGACTCATGCTTGTCATTAGATGAGGGATTTTCATACCCTGGTAGAAATAGTAAATAGGCATCAATCTATACATATATGATACTATCTCAAATTGGAGTCACAACACATGTTTGAAAGAGGTCGACTAAGCCCGAAAGAGTCGCCGATGAGATGGATGATGTCATTGGCCCATTTTGTTTACCCCAAAAAGTCTTTTGAGCCTCAAATTGTTCTGTGTTGTCAGGGTTTTCATCTGGATGCTGATAATTGCCTCATGAGCGTGTCTGCCTACGTTACTCGAGTAAGGTGAAGCAGGAGTATAAATGTTGGGCAGCTAGGTACCTCACTCGCTCTCTTCAACAATCGTTCTCGGCGGGGTCCAGGCAGCTTACAACGCTCATTCATTACAAATCGTTCACTCCAAGCTTCCCATCAAAAATCACCACTTAAACAAGAAAAAGATGTCTTCAACAAGCGCCCTCCCCCTGACCCTCAAATCAATCAGCTCAACCAAACTCGAAGAACTCTCCAAACAACGCGCCCTGTTCAACCAACGCAAATCCGAAATCCTAGAAGCCGCCAACTCCGTTCCCGAAAGCGACCTACGCCGCAAAGTCCAGATTTTACTGGAAGGCGTAACTCGTCTTGCTAGTCGTCCCGAAGACGCGTTTGATCGTGAAGATGAGTTGGATCGGCAGGATGGGAAGAAGAACATCATACCCTTCCCGCTAGCTGCTTCTACTCATTCATCAGACTGGAAACGGAGTAGAGATGTGAATATTCGACGATTCTTGTTTCAGAGTCATTACGACAAATCTATCTCCGATGAGGTTTTGCGTGGATGGATCAAGAGTATGGAGAGTGATTTGGAGTTTCTGTCGGTCAAGTATGAGCATGCGACTTTTTATAGTGATATGGTTACTGAGTGGCTCTCGAATTTTGATACAAAACCCAACGATGTAAAATTGCCAACTGTCGATGACGAGAAGGGCGATGCCAAATCTGATGAATCTGCGTTCGAGGAAGTAGGTCGCGCGGCAATGCATGAACAACGCGCTGTTTGGGAACAACTAGTCTTTTCGCCGGCGGATGTTGACTCTCAAAGTGTTGAGACCTATCTGGAGCGACTCTTTACAGGGACAAAGCTATCTCAACAGGCTCTTAGAAGACTCCGCGAGCGCATCATTACGTTCGGGTCGCAGTTTCGCTCCGAGGCAAAAGATTCTTTCAATATCGAGTTACTCAAAACTGTTAGTCGGTCGCTACTGGGCAGTGACTTTCTATCTCCGGAGAAAGTTATGATTTTGAAGGAATTCTTGAGAAATGACGAGGTTGCTCAGGAAGTGGCTGATGTGCTGAATTTACGGTTTGCTGCCCTGGATCGTTGGAACTGGTCGCCAGAAGGAGTCCCTGTTGAGATGCGTCGTCAGTTGAACGGAAAATATCGTGTGTTCATGGATGAGGATCTCATCGATGCGATACTCTTCCATTACATTGGTCTGAAGTGGTCAGTCGAGTTCCGTGAGGCATTTCTCCAATTCTTCGATTCGCGTGCATGGAAATCGAATGCGAAAACCATTCCAAAGGCGAAGATTGATCGGCGACAATATTTCACAGGCCAATCGACCACAAACGCTTCAGTTGATAATTTGCGCAGGAACATGTATAGGGGGAGTTATTTCATGAGTCAACTTCCTGGATCATTGGACGAAGGTAAGCGGGGCTATGATGACGATGACTTTGGTGATGACGAGAATACCAATACAATGCGGGCGTCCGCCATCGAGACAAAACATTCGCTGCTTCATTTGCTTATAACAGAGTCGATTATCCACAACCGACTGCGGGGCCAGTTTACTGTTATACGGTCTGACTTTAAATGGTTTGGACCCTCGCTTCCTCATGGGACCTTGCTAGCGGTTCTGAAATTCTTCGGTGTCCCTCAAGATTGGCTGGATTTCTTCAAGAAGTTCTTGGAATGTCCACTCAAGTTTGTTCAGGATGGACCACAACCTGCGGTGAGAATCCGGAAGCGAGGTATTCCGATCAGCCATACTTTGTCAGACGTATTTGGAGAGGCGATTCTCTTCTGCATGGACTACGCCGTCAACCAACATGCAGATGGTGCCTTTTTATACCGATTACACGACGATTTCTGGTTCTGGGGAGAAGAAAAGACATGCCGGAAAGCATGGAGGGCAATGACTGATTTCACCGCGGTGGCTGGATTGGAGTTCAACGAAGAGAAAACAGGAACTGCTCGGATCGGAAGAATGATCAACTCGCAAGGTCAGAAACAGCGGCAACGACATGATGAGGAAGCGGAAGATTCTTCGTCAAGCGAGGAGGATTTGAAAGAGGAAGATTCCGAGTCAGACACTGAAACGTTCTTAGACGACGCATTCGATCCGTTACCGCGAGGTGATGTCCGCTGGGGATTTCTGAGACTGGACCCAGAGCGAGGTCGCTTCCTCATTGACCAGGAGCAGGTTGACGCCCACATAGAAGAACTGCGACACCAACTTTCTGCATGCAAGAGTATCTTTGCATGGGTCCAGGCGTGGAACAGTTATTTTTCACGGTTCTTCAGCAACAATTTCGCCAAACCCTCATTCGCATTTGGTCGCGAGCATATTGATATGGCAATCAACACCTTGAGTCGTATTGAACGAGAAGTTTTTGCACACACTACCTCCACAGCTTCTGGAAACAACGGTGTGGTCGATCATTTGCGTCGAGTGATCCGAAACAGATTTGGTGTTGACGATCTGCCTGATGGATTCTTCTATTTCCCCATTGAACTCGGTGGTCTAGAACTTCATAACCCGTTCATCAGCCTTCTCGCTATGAGGGAGGGTATCACACAAATGCCCCAGAGAATCATTGAAGACGTCTACCTAGGGGAAGAACTTGATTATGAAATAGCAAAGAAAAAATGGCAAGTAGGAAATCTTGGTACAAGTACATATCGCAACAGCATATCCTGGAAGAGAGACGGCAGCGATCCCCCAGAATCATTCTATTCCTTCGAAGAACACACAGCCCATCTCGAAACAACCAGCCACAGGCTACGAGCCGCCTACGAAGAACTCCTCCGCGTCCCTGAAGAGATCGAAGTCGGTCAAAGCATAGACATCCGCAGCGGTCACATGCTTCCAGTCGAGAAGAAGAGAGGACGCTTCAACAGAGCAGAGTTGCGAAAATCGAAAGACCGCATCACCTCGATCTGGGACGATATGCTTCCGTATTGGAAATGGGTGGCTGAGGTTTATTCCGCAGGTATGGTGCAAAAGTATGGTGGTTTGTCGGCTGTTGATCGCGCTTTGATGCCGTTGGGGGTTGTGAAGGTGTTGAGACAGGGGAAGGTTCGATGGCAGGGTTAGTGTACATATAGATTTATGATTTATGAGTGACGAAATAGAACTGTAGGAATATATCCATTAATTCTGCTTAAATGATACTACTGAACATTTGATTTTGAAAAGTCTGTCAACAACCTTCGCATACGAGTCTTTTCCTCTTCACCACCAAAGATACTATCAACACCCCTCTCACAGAGAGCTATCAACTCCTCACGACCTAGTCCGAAATGCTCCGAAGCTAGTAAATATTCCTGCGAAACCGGACTACAGAAGAATCCCACATCATCGGTCTATTCGAGTACCCTTTAGCTGACAGGCCATCGTAAGCAGATGATGGGAAAAACTCACGCATAAAGCAATAGCACACTCCGTCCTTTTCCACCAATACCCAAAATGATGATCCTCAAACCCTCCACCATGAATCATCTTTGCATGTACGTTGCACGACATACACAACTCCAACGCAATCTTTTTCGCGGCAATCTTCTCCTTAATCTCGTCGGGTACATGGATTACATGACCTAACCGATCCGGTTCAAACGATAAAAGAGTCTCGAGTTCCTGAGATACATTCTCATTCGAGTATATGGTTTCCGCAAAATGGATTGTTGTGCCTAGATGATGTTCTTTTGCACGCTGAAAAGCGGAGCGAAATATTGAGACGGCCCCCTTTAGTGGGTTTCCGCAAAGGTCTATGCCGACTATGGTTGGGTTTGAGGGGTAAGCGATGTTGTTACGGTGGCGTATGGCGATGTTGACGACTTCTTCTGCTGAGGAAGTTGTGTCGTGACCTCGGTCGATAGAGAGGATTAGGTAGATTGACATTGTATCCATTGGTTTATTATCTTTCCGCTGCTCATGATCGAACTCGCGAATGCCCTTCAGAACAATATTGACATATTCATCTTTTGATATGAGTACATGACCATACTCATCACGAATTTCTCGAGGGGTAGTTCGTAATTCCAGGTATCGTACCCCATCAGCTCGGAAATCATTTAGCACGGACTTTGTCGTATAGAGTATAGTCTCAGCGTCATTGACGAGATTGTAGATTGACTTAGAGAATACATCGAAAAAACTGGAATTTACTGTCAAAAAGTTGCGTATCTCCCTGGGGAGTGCTGAACGAACATATCAAGTCCATAATTAATCTTTCCAGGTGGCATAAGTACCCATGGATCCTCAACTGCAAAACTTGGGTCTTGAGCTTTTTTGCAAAGCCATATTTCATGGAGGCATTGTCGCGTTATGCTACCGCTTAGATGGGCATGGAGCTATTCAATAGTCGTCAGAGAATGGAAACATCAATGTCGCGAGAAATGGATAGGCTGTGGACGATTGTAATGGTGGGATGAAGTTGTTCATACCTCTATCTTTGGTAGGCATTTTGTAAAGTCCTCGCTAACAGAAGATGATGCATTGCTCATTTTTGAAATTCAGATGACATATATATTTGATTTTTCCTGTATGGGGAGGTCAGTTGGGTTAAAATACACTGCGAACGCCAGAGAAGTAAGGTCGATTGTGATGGTGGGGTCATTTCCTTTTCCCTCGGCATGTCCAACTGCCAGGTAACACCCTTCTCTTCATAAACTGAAATGAGGATGAAAAGGATTTAAATGCTGGTATTGTAGGCACACCGTGGAAGAAAAATTCCAGGGAATCTTACATTTTTATAAAACTGACTTCGGTCCAAGTAATATGTGAACAGAGATCTTCTCTCAAGGTCGGCTTTTTAGGGCTAGAATAGTGGATCTTCTTCCTATAGACCAATCAGAAGACTTTATGTGCGCTTCCTAGATGGGAAGTCTGTTGAAGCTTTGAACAGGATCAATTCCATGCCTCCATAAGAATGTCTGACTAAGTGATTCAATTGGAAGTTTGGTAGTAAAAGAGTAGCTCCGCTTCATCGAGGGCTAGGTCCAAGAACGCTTGTTCAAATAGTTCTACGGCCATGCATGTATTGAGATGATTGGATCAGATAAGATGAACTCAATAGTTCAGAGCCAATGAGTCACTCTATCTACTTAAAAAGTCATGGAGTGACGAGTTCTATTGTAACATTTTTCTTTTCAAACTCTGAAAGTAGGTTTTCAAACTCAGTGCGGTTTCCCCAGTACTATCGACTCTCGACAGCTAGATAGTAGACGTACCTTCTATAGCGTAACCATGCCGGACATTGGAGGCCTTGCTAAGAATGGTAGGTATTTATTATTATCAAGGAAGTACTTAACTGATCAGGCTCAGAAAACGAACTACAGAGAGCGGCTTCGCACAGAGCTGTGGATTATCATTCCAGTTTCTTGGATCTGACGGACGACACAGAGTCCAGGCCGGTATCTCCTTCAAATAGACTTGAACCTGATACTTGTGATTATCCATTTCTTACCTACACTGGGAATGCAGAACCACCATGTCAGAGCTCATTGATCCATGTGACCATTGAGAAGTGCATCGCCCGTGCAGCACCAGTGTCCGAGGGAAGCCATAATGCGCAAAGACCAATATCATTTCACGTACCCAGGCATGCCTTGGAGCATGTTGGGAAGTGGGCTCTCTGCTCAAGAATCCCAGAGCACCAAGAGTACCAAAAGTACCGTATTCTCTGGATCGACGGAGGAGGTTCTCATCCAAATCATATACACGAGTCTTTACCGACCGCAAGCGAGTTGAGTAGGGCTCACATGGTTTGCATCTTTTTCAAATGCACTCCAGATCTTGGCCATAAAGACGTGAAAACATCACAGGAAAATATGTCTGGTCAGGAGGTTATCACCGTAGCTTTACTTTACGGTATCATCGTCCAACTGACGAGTCTTCTTCCTGAAAATATCAAAGAAGATTCAGAACTCCACTGTATACAACTTGCAGCGCTTGATGGGAGTCTGGGATCTGCGCCAGTTGCATTGTCAGCCATTAGGGTTCTTTTGGATCATGCTGTTGCCAATCCCATTGCTTTCATCATTGATGGGCTACCATTTGCTGAAGGTCCAAGTACAAATTCATTCTTGAGGGAGTTGGTCGAAATGTTACGCCACCGGGACAATGACCCGTGTACTTTGCTACTATTTTCGACGGAGGGGGAAAGTGAGGTGCTTTCGGAGACTATCAAATTACATGAGAGACTGAGAGTGTGAAAGATTTCAGAAAGATTTGAAGATTGGATGGTAGGTTCGCTTCAAGCTATCAGTGGATTGCTCTCATCCTGAATGCCCTAGTATGTCGAGGCTGTTATAGTCCTGTCACAAGTAGCTGGTCTCCAGCATTACATCCCTAGGTAGGTAGATAGTGCGGAATAATCATAGAAGAACTCAGAGAAACACATAGGAAGATTGCCATTAAATGCACTGGATATGAACACAAATATTCATGTAATATTCAAAGGATCTTATGACCGACACTCCTATACTCTCAGTAAGAAGACGATTGGTCGTCAACCACGTCTCATAGAGACATCATATCATGCATATCCTCAACAGGTCCCATAGAAGGATCATACCTTGTCGGCCTGCCGTGCATCACCTTTTCCCATGTGGGACTCTTTTCGTTAGTTTTGGCCCACAGCTGCAGCTCCTGAGGAACAAGCTCGGCATTGCCGACTTCAATGCAACGAAGCACAAGCGGCAGCATGTGGCTGTCGAGAACAGTTGGACCAACCTTGTTGCCAAAGATCCATTCAGCGGGGGTTTTCAAGGCGCCGCTTTGCCTGCGGAGCTCTATGATCTCTGCAAAGATGGTTCGAAGATCTGCACGAGCCTTGGCTACAACATCCGGATGGAAGGCGATGCCATTGTTTTCATTGTGGCTAAAATAAGTGAAAGAGTCAATCAGTAATGACAACTTGACAGCATTTATAAGTATAGACGCGACAGAGCAACAGTCACAAATCGATTCCGAAGGATAGAAAGAGCACAACATACAATTTGAGCTTAGCCTCAAGAGCCTTTCGGTATTCCGGACTGATATCAGTCCTTTTAAGGAAATCCTCCACTGGTGAAGGATTATGCTGTATCATCTCCGGTGTCGGGTTTTTGTTGCTGAACGAGAGGCCATAGACGGAATGAAACCTTTGCAGAAGGTCCTTAATGACAGCAGCATGTTCATCTGGCAACAAGTCTGGGTAATGGTTCTCGGCCAGGTAAAGTGAGATAGATATACTGTCGGTAAGTGGTTGCTTGAGAACATTCCCGGTCATGGCAGGGACCTGGCCTTTCGGGTTCACCTTGGTGAGGTAATACTCGCTCAGATTCTCCTCCTTGCCGCGGTTGACAAATTTGAGAGTGATATCCTTGGGTGGCTTTGCACTATGTGTGGTACGACCAAGTTGGATGGTGTGGCGGGCCATCATAGAGTAAAGCGAGAAGGGGGAGGAGTAGAGTGTGTATTCCGCATTGGCGAGGTCGGTCATCTTGTCGATGTTTGGGATGATATGGTTATGCTCAGGATAAGGACGACTGAAACAATTTTTATCAGAAGTATTCGTGTGTGTTGAGCAGCGCTATACAGTACCAGTGGAAGGTGAGTCATCAACTTTGAAGGACATAGCTGAGGAAAGGTTTCAGGAATCCCGAGGTGTTGCCCTAAGAGTTCGACCGATCAATCTCAGCCATGAAGTATACCCTCGGAATAGTTTCGTTATAATTATTAATAATTACCCCGCAGTCGGAGGGGTAAAGCTCTTTATCATTTACAGTTTCTTTCACTCCTCGAAATTCATAATTCCCGTTGAAGGAGTGTTCTGATTTTTCTGATTGGTAAGCTGCAGTCTCTGGGGCTTTCTTCTCCTACAGAAGTGGGAAATAAATCAAGACAAACGGCCAAGGCTAAGATCAACTTGGCTGCTATGTGATAGTTCCAAGACAAGCTAACTTCTTCCCTGGTACGTGACCAATTAAGAATCTGCATCTTTGCAGGGTGCTGTTATACTCTTCCCTTTCCTACGGTATGTTGCCAGTACGAAGTTTTTCTCCTATTGGCTTCGAATCAATGGAGAGTATATGCAAGGATTGCAGAACTACGCCCTTAAGATCAAAGGTACTAATCTCTTTGGATTCCACCTCCAAAGAACCACCCAGCCTCCCAGGAGTGAGGAAAGTCCCGTGAAAACGATTAGAGGCCCGTAAGCAGTGCCATAACCAAACCGCGGACTGGCCGAAATAGCTCCAGCGTTCAGCAGTCCCACACCAGCAAATCCTCCACTTGCATATCCAATGCCTCTGACGCCATTTAACAACCCATAGAGCATCCCGGGGTCGACTGCTTCGTTCCTCTCGGCAGACTCACGCTCCATCTGCTTGAGCATCCCTCCCCAGGTGGCACTATAACCACTGGAGAAGAATCCGAACGTCATGGAAAAGACTAAAAGGAGACCAATGTTGCCTGGTGTGGTCAAGCCCCAGAAGAAGAATGTGAAAAGAGCGCAGCAGACTGGGGGAATGGCAGACACGGTCTGCGCAGAAAGATGGATTTTCTTATTGTCACTCAGCCATCCAAAGAAGGAAGAGGCAATAATGCCGGGAGCGTTGAAGAGAGCTAACATGAGGGTGCCTGATGTCTGAGACAACAACGTCACATCTCGAGCGTAGGTGCTCAAATATGACTGTGGGATACCATACCCAGAGCTCTGAAAGATAATAGCAATGCTATAGAAATAAATAGACCGGTGCTTGAGAAAATGCCACGGGATCTTGCGTGCTCGGGTCCTATGTATGGAGGTTTTTGACGGATGGGTCGGTATCATCAAGATAGCAATGATACTTGTTCCGCCCATAATCGCTGTCCAGGCTTTCAATGTGGTCTGATAGCCATAGGCATCAATCAAAGCTCGAATTATGAATGGGCAGCTGGTACCAACAATATTCTTGCAAGACAGAACAATTCCGTATGCCACAGCACGGTTACTGGTCGTATACCATTCCCCGAGAGAAAGTGTTGTTGGACTATAGATGAGGGCGCATCCCAATGCAGAGGTGACGCCCTGAGTTGCAACCAACTGCCCAACAGTGGTGCTATAAGAGGAGACAAAGAGGCTGGCACATGCGATCACTGTGCCACAAACAGCTGCAACTTGACGCCAACGAGCCCAGTGTCTGGTGAACAGAGCGAATAGGAAGGGCATGGATAGGTACATGACACCATTAGCCGTAGTACCAATCACGCCGGTAATGGTGCGGTCTCCTTTCAATGTCCAGTTATTGAAGTAATACTCCTGGAAGACACCGTAGCTCATAGCAAAACCTATGTGTAGATAAGTTTCTAGCCTCTATCATGCAAACGCGTTGCCTCAACGTACCCCATATCGGCAGTTGTATTATGCCCGATCCTATAAGGACGCTTAATTTTGTCCTCTTTGATTCAATTTGCCTGGAATGACTCTGTTCTGGTGATTGTTCTGTATCCAGAGCACCTGTGTGCAACTCCGGGAGCGAATGCTCTTCATCCCCGGTCATCATCGTAAGTCATCTGGGCATGAGCAATTGGTAGAATAACAATTAGAAAAAGAAGTTCAAGATAGAGAGCAGGACCATCACGCCAATAGGAGTCTTAGCGTGTGGAGGACCGGCAGGAAGCCCGAGATCGCCCTCGACTAGCCCTTATCTCCGGGATCGCTTATTCGTTGATGGGTGGGCCGTCGGTTCATATACCGAAAGCCTAACTTATTACTGAATTACGTTCATGCGGACTGAACTCCGCAGGTTTCGTCCAGGGTTAAAGTAGTCCACTGCTCGAGCATATGGAGAAGTTCTTTGTACGTATCTGGAGGAGTATCTCACGCATTGAACCAGACAAATTGATCTTTGGTATGTCCAATGGCAAGATTTGAAACACTTCTATGAATTATATTTGGCGTTTGACTAAGTAGATGGATGCAAACCACCATTCAACTATTTCTAGTTGCACGGTAATCTTTGACTCAAGCCGGAAGGGATTTCTCTCGCCGCACCAGTAAGAGCCGGGATAAAGGCAGTCGAGCTTCTCAAGGGATCCAACCCACCCCGGTAAATGAAGTTGTTTAGGACATTGCCAGCCAGGATTTGTAGGGTCGCCTCAAGGCGTCTAAATCCTGGGCACCGCGGCAACGATACCAAGTTTCTATAATCTTCGTAAGGTCAATCAAAGAGGCGATAACTCAGTCCCGACGTGTGGGGAGTGTAATGTACAACAACAAACTCTGAGACGTTACAGTTAGGCATCTTCGAATGCTCATTGATTATGACGCAAAAACCACTCCATCATCCATAGATTTTCTCTTCCTAGCTCCAAGAGTGTAAGTATATATAAGTCGCATATTTTTGAGTCATGCCACGGCCATAGACAGAAAGGATTAAGTCACCTGGTTCCGTAAGTGGCACCATCCAGAACTCCATGAGCTACAGGAGTAATTGTGACCGGTTTCAATTTTGGGGAAAATGTAAACCATAGCTACAATTCTTATTGTTGTCATCAGACCCTGGGTGATATTTCTGCTGTTATAGTAGCTGCAAATAATATCCCACGAAGCATGAGTTGATCTTCCCGTTTTCCAGTCTTTACCACTTGATATCCGACGATGGACATTTTTTCTCGTAGGAGCCTGGACCATATCTCTACTACTCTCTTCCCAGTCTGAATCGCGTCCCGGGACATAACTATGAGACTGATATTGCCTCTAGTGATCTTAACCATGCCATACTAAAACTTCTTGTAATCTGCAATTGCGTGAACACCTCAATATTACATGGATTGGTAGAAGAACGTCCTCTTGAAATGCAGATGTGCCGTCTGCACTAACATCGAGCATGTCAGATATCACGGTTAGGCAGATAAGACAATCTCGATCTCAAGAATTCAGCAATCACACGTATGAGTGAGGCCCGTGGCGCGTCAACACGTAATCCATGACCAGGTGACATTTCGCATAGTAGGATGCCGACAAGGCAGAATCTAGTCCGCAGTTTACTTCCGAAGGTGGCTCGATTCACCCGGTCTCGAGTACAGATTCCCAGTATCCATCTTCTCATTGGAGTTCAAAAATCATGATGTACATTGGTGAGTTAAGGGACCACCTCCATTTCTGGATTCACCCTACATTAGTGTCCTTATGATGCCAGCAATTCTATGACACTGAGGATGATGTATCAGTCAGCATCCGAATACATGAACAGAGGTATGACCCCAAAACTGACTCACAGCGGCTAACTACGTAGGCAGCCAAACTAGACTGAATACAATCATTATCCAGTCTCCATCCATGCCTAAATCTAATCCATGTCGAAAATTCTTGGCAGTCAAGAACAGCTTGACTTGATAGTTTTGCAATAAGCAGTAGATTGCAAACACAATTAGGCACGAGTACAAGCTATGAACCATGCGCCTAGCGAAATGAGTCTGCATGCGATTGGTGTCTGATGAGGAGAGCTGGCCCGCTTGTGGTCCCTACACGACGTGGCAGTGGGAAATGTATATGGCCAGGTCGATTAGCGTCAAAAAAGGGAAATATACAATGAGGGGAAGGTGAGTACATAAAGGAAAAGAGATACTTCTGGTCATCAATTTCCCAATGTGAAGCAAAAGTGAGTCTCGCGAAGTCCTAAACAGTTTAGCAGTTCCTCGGCTGAAAAAAATCGCCGACCCGGCTGACGGATTAGGCAGTCAGTCCACGTGACAAAGTAACGTGACCGTGGCGGTGAGTGGTTTGTGTGGCGTTTCCGTCACGCTAAGCCCCTCGGCCGATCGTGCCTAACGTGGCGGGCTCATGCCAGATTATTACTAAGGCTGGGGAATTAGTATGCTGAAGTCCTGACTCTGTTATTCGCGCCTCTTTCAATCTTCATCTCTTCCTTGTCCATGAGGTGACTCATCTTGACAGTCATTGCCTACACGATATCTCGCTACATCCAGGTAGACAGGCTCCGGTTTTCGAGGCTTCGACCAACCATCGTATCACGACTTCCGAGCTGAGTGGAGTCATCGCAGTCACACGACGACACCACAGCATTGTGTTGGCTTCGAATCTCACTTTTGTAACCACAGCATTTGATCAGTCGTCTAAGAACCCCAGACTAGGCGACCAAAATCCACCGTCGATAGTCGATATTTGTCGCCGTTGGCGTTGACCTTTGAAGCGCCCGCGTCACATTCCCGCGCCTAAGGCCTTACCGTTTTGGGGCGGGCCGGAAAACTCTGGAAACCTGAAATCTCAGGTGGCAAAAATTTTCTCCTTCGTGGATGCCTTACGACGAAGTATTGCCTCACTTCTATAAACGAGTAGGCCCGCATTCCCCTTCGCAAACTCACCTCATTAGCTCCCATTTATCGTCGTCGCGTCCAGAATAAACACCATATTTCTCAGTCGCACAAACAAGCAGATTATTAATCCATCCGGAAAAAGGGAGATTACAACACGAAACAAGTCTCAGACTTCCATCGAGAAGTTGCAGTTCTCCATGTCGGCTGTCATGGGAGACGGCACAGATTATCCCAGTCCAAGAAGTGAAGGACCTACCGGGCCCAGTACAATTCTCATTCCTGCCGCCGAATCACTCTCTCCATCTACAAAGATGACCGACCCCTTGTCAAACCTCGCAAACGTCTCTCCAGATGCAACACGCCCGCGTCTGTCGGTGCGACGGTCCCGCGACCCTCCGAAGAACGAGAGCAATCAGATCTTCTGCGATCACCCTGACTGCCAGTCTAATCCCCCTACATTCAGGCGGCCTTGTGAATGGAAGTAAGTACTATCCCGCGTCGTTCCCTACAAACCCCGAACCTAGGACATTGCTAATGATCTATCTTATTTAGTAAACACATGGACAAGCATGACCGACCGTACAAATGCATGGAACCGGGTTGCGACAAGATTCAAGGCTTCACCTACTCCGGCGGTCTTCTCCGCCATCAACGAGAAGTCCACAAAAAGAATGCCACAACAAAGAAGGCCCTAATGTGTCCCTACACCGATTGTAACCGCAGTACTGGCAACGGATTTACGCGCCAAGAGAACTTGAAGGAGCATCTTCGCCGTCGACACATGCATACAGAGGGTGGAAACTCCCCCGAGTTGTCCGTCTTGACTGTCGCAGATGTTGAAGGCCTTAAGTCGACATTTTTAGACCCCACAGCTGGCCTGAAGCGTAAACATGACGATACAACCGATCCAGAGTTCAATGGCGTTGATGCAATCGACGAGACGAACAGCGTGGATCTTCACAATGAGGTGAAACGGCTGCGCCGCGAAGTCGAAGAGAAAGATCGTCGTCTCGAGGAGCTTGAGAAGATAGTCGCAGGGTTGCAACAGTCGATGCCTCATCATGGTCTATCCGTTGTCCATGTTCCTGGAGCAGATGTATAATGGTGCGATACTGTCATTCTCTCGCCATGGATTACCTCCTTCCGGTTCTGTTGTCCTCCATTTTCCTTTCCCGTTATCTTTTCTGTGTACGGGTGCATTGTTAGGCGTTGTGCAGTTTCCATGGTCATGATAGCTTTTGACTTGGCTCATATGCATCCTGGACGGCTTGTGAACGAGTTTGATTTTGCCTGGGGCGGCGATCTTTTTTTTTTTTTTTTCTATTTTTTCTTCTTTTCTTTCATCCGCTCAAATCGTCTCTTCCTCGATTAAGAGTCGAAAAGCGCATCTCCTAATTATCATCCCTTCTTCTTCTCAGTCATGGAGAAGTTCGGAACATGAGAGACTGTTATTTCTTTTTTCTTTTCTACTCTTTTCCAGCAGTTTAGATGAGTCCATCAGGCGGTGGAGGCGTTCATTTGTAGTGTTTCTTTTTTTTTATCTCCCTGTCTCTCTCCTATGGTGCTATATCCCCTTTCTTCGTATTGTGGGCTGTTTGTTCCTTCCCTTCTGTTGAGAGTATTCTTAGTTTGAACAGATATACCCGATCTCTCAGTTAACGATAATGTCACCACACTGCTGCAGCTTTGTCTTTGATTCCGTCGAATCTTGTAAATAGACGGGTCTCCCTTTCGTACTTTTGTTTTACGACTCGATGTAGTTTCTAGTAATTCTGATTGGATGAATTATCCAAGCCAGGTCAAATCCAATGACATTGTATATGCAGATGACATGCATGGGTCTGAGGAACTATTCCAGTAGTGTCTATCTCAGCATCTGCTATCCTGGTATGCAGTAGAGCTGTTGCCTACGCCGTCGATCCGAAGATAGAGATGCTATCGCGGAGGCGATCATTCTTCCAAGGCAACATACACTCACTTCCTAATCATATAAACATTGGACAGCGTGAGCAAGTCAACTTAATAACTAGTTAAGTTAAAGGAGATCGGACATGCTTATCTAATGCATAATAAATGACTAATCGGGCTAGGCCAGGCACCCATCTGGCCACTATGACATCTGATTCGCCAGATGAGCCCGTTAAAGTCAGCCACAGCTCCACTTCAGCCCTTTCTTTGAGATCTCAGTGACTTCCTCTGTACTTACTCCTTATTCTTCGAGGCTCGATTCGAGTCTAAGGTATATAGAGCTGGGCCTGACATATAGCTCACTTCATTCGTGGTCGTATAGTGATGTCAATGTTTCTTTGACACATCGCCTAGACGGGAGAGCCACTGCATCACGTATTAATCCTGCGCTGGAGGCTGTAGCTGAGGGCTCAGCCGCAGGACATGCATATCTCCACGGCTGCCGACACCCCAATGTCAAGCGTGCAAGGGCCCGCTATGGCACAACAGAACCCCATTCCCCAAGGCCCTGGGGCACTCTACGTTCCAGTACATGATTATCATACATCTGTCCCCATTCAACGACAGAAAGCTCTGGTCCCGCCCTTCTCGCTTGGCGATCATGAAACGGACAATTTGATCATTCGTCCACCGAATGAGCATATCTTCGAGATTGGGGAGTTTGTTCCCCAAGGATTCTTTGACCGTGTTGATCAGTCGTGGTTTCTACACCATGCATCTAGATCTGAGTGGATGTACTCTAAGCGTCGTGAAGCGCAGCAGATTCTCCCTTTTCTATACTTGGGCCCAGCATCTGTTGCGCGGGACAGAGACTTTATCCGAAGTGAGGGCATCACATTACTGTTATCCATTCGCGATAAACGATCTGCAATTGCCCGTTTGTTGTCCGGCACGAAGGTAGCTGAGGAGTTGGGCATTCAGTCAGATGCGATTGACGTGAATAACGAGCAAGAGCTCATTAGCCTGTATCCGAATATCATCCGAGGCATCAACCAACATATATCATCAGGAGTTTCCGCTAGGTCCGGCATGCCGCCGAGAGTTCTCGTTTTCTGCGAATCTGGCAATGGACGATCTGCAAGCGTAGTGATCGCTTATATAATGACCATGTTGAATATGGATATGCCCTCAGCAATGTGGGCAGTTCATCATCGACGTTTCTGCATTGATGTAGATGAATCTATGCAGACGCTTCTTCAGTCATACCAGGTCATTCTCGATGCGAAAAGGGAAGTCGCGAATGCACGTCTACAGGAAGCTTATACCTCTTCGTCTCTAGCCGTGCAACCGCCATCTCATCAAAATGGCCAACTTGCGAGGAAACGGAGTTTTATCGAATATGATGATGATAATGCTGCTATATCCACCGCCGGTAGCGTAAACGGCCATCTTGTTCAACCGAATGCGATCCGGGTGGAGGACAACACGGAGCATCTGAAGCAAAAGCCCGCTCCGTTCACAGAACGCGTTGCCTGATTGCTATAATATCAAATAGTTCTTTATTTTATTTTCGTTATAGACTTGTCTATTCGCTTTTGCGGGGGATTTGCCGGCGTTTTATTTTCGCAAAGACAGGATGAGGCAGTTTTTGCTGGGTTGGGCGCATCAGCAGCAACACCAAACATCAGAGCATGGCGGTTCTGGGTTGGACAACAGAAGAGCACTTTGTACGATTAGCATATGGATACGAGAATCAATGGATTTGAAGGAATATTCCGTATCTTTTGCTTATAGACACAGAACGAGTATCGAGACTGCGGGAGGACGCCGGAGATTACCACAAACAAAAAGTTCACAATCGGATCCCACCTTTTGCGCCCCATCATGTGCGGCATCAAACCAGGCGGCTTTCTCTGGCGGGCACTGAAAGCGCCTAGATGCTCTTTTGCCCAAGGGGAAATTTCGCACAATGGCAGCATTGCCCAGCAACCGGCCTCACCGATTAAGAGGGGGTCTCCCTCTTAACTGACTCAGTTATCCCTCCCCTCTCTGTGTGAATTATTCAGCGTCAATCCTTCCTCACTCAGTTGATATTCTTTCCCTCGTTTGTCGCGAAAGATCATCCTTTTCGTAGCAATCTCGTGCTCTCGTATTCGAGAAAACTTCGTCAACAACCAGCAATTGTCAGTCCCTCCCGCCCTTGACTTACCTTCCTTTCAATATTTCTTTTCCCTCTTACAGCCTGGTACGTTCGTCTGGGAGGCCTGAGCTGACCATGAGGTTGAGAGAAACAATCCGTGCCCCCTCACGGTACGAGGATGAATGTGAGCTCTCGCCAGGTGTTTCTCGGCGTCGACTGCCACGACGCAGAAGAGGAATGGCAGAGGAAAGGTGTATCCCTTATGTTGACTTCAACCCGAATCTGCCTCCTGCCGCGTTCCCTACCCTCGACCACCCGCGTCCCGCAGGACAGGGCCCTCCTTCCTTCACTCAGCCAGAACCCAGTCATGTTCCTTCTTCGTCAACATCAAGCTCTTCCTCTGATGATGCCGATAATGCTGGTTCTGTAGCTGACAGACATCATCTAGACGCGTTCAAGTTGTATTGTCGTGACATCCCCCCAGAAGAACTCGACAATTTCGTCGCGAGTAATGGTCCTCAGAACCCACAATACAGGAGAAACATGGCGCTGTTAGCAAGAGAAGAGAGCTCAGATCTCGAGATTAGTGAAGACGATGACGACCAACGATGGGTTGTCCGTGAAGTACGTATTATTTGTTACTTATCTTTCATACCCAAACTGATATTCTCATGCTAACTTTCTACCCATCTTTTCCAGGAACAAATGCCTGAGGATCCGCAGTGGCACGATCTTCCGATTAGTTTACAGATCGAGATTGCGGAGAACATGCTCGAGCACCACATGTTGTCCACAGTTCAGCTCCTGCTTGGTCTGAACCAGGATGATATTGAGCAACTGACGTGCAATCTCCAGCGACACAACGAGGATCTCGAATATGAAAATCTTGTTCTTGAAGAAATGCGCGCTAAGCAGTTGGAGGCATTGATGTGTCTCGATAATTCCGATCTGAAAAAACATGCAGTGCCAGCGCGGCTCGTCATGGCCAGCAAATTGTGGAATCGCGCCCATCGTGTGATTCGAAAGCGGTCAAAGTGGAGATATTTGCTTTGTCAGGTGGGAGATCTTTTGTTGGCACGGAAATTTCTGTCTAAGCGAGGTTTATCTATGATATATGCGGGGGAATGGGATAATCAATTTGTTGCGGTTCCATCATTATCCAATACAACGGGCGTTCCTGAAACAATGGAATGGAAAGGGGCTAGGGAGCCACCACCAGATCCAATTAATGCGGCTGGAAATGATGGGTTGTTGTCGAATAACACACCTCGCTCTTCCACTGCAGGACGATCTAATGTCCAAATTGCACCTCCCAGTACTGTCACAGACCAGCGGGGTGAACAATCAACAGCAGAACAAGGGCATGACTCGAGGACTTTGGAGAACGATCAACAAGCTTCCAGCAACCGACATGATAGAGAACTGTTCCTACCAAATCAGGCCCTTGTGCGTCTCAGGATTGGTCCCAGAAATGCTGCTCGCATACATGTCGAACAAACAACTCAGCCATTTACGCCACCTCGTCGACACAAAGGTCCTTCGCCGTCTGCTAGTCCCCGCCCGCAGAGCATAGTCACAGAGGCAAACAGTGATGATACGATTGAAGAACCACCTTCTGAGTGGAATACGTCCGATGAGCTGCACAACCAATATCCAATGCCTGTGCTTCGCAGGATTGGTTCCTGGTCGACAGATCGGACTCACCCCCAGCCATCAGAACATTCAAATTCAACAAGGTCGTTGTCGGGAAGTTTCGATAACAGCATGCATCATGGTCCGTCAGCAGTACAACCCAGAGCTTATCAATTCAATCAGCCCAATACAAGGGATACGCATGATCCGTTCACAATTGATGCTGCGGGCTCGATTAATTCTAGCCCTCCACGATCATCAGACTTGCCATCCAGAATGGAAGGTATAGTTTATGAAAATGCACGAGCACCGAGTGTGAGAAACACCATTCCGACCCCAGCGGCATCCTCACCGACCTGCATGACGACGACAAATCGGACAGTTGACAAGAATCAAGCTGGATCTCTAACGGTGAATCCCGAAATGTATCTCGCAACACCGAAGTCCTATCGCACTGTCGCTCGTGACACACAGTTCCAGTCTAACATTTCGGCACACCAAAACTCTTCATTTGCGCTAATTGACGAGGCACAGTCCAAATCTCCACTATACTCGATGCCCCCATTCTCCTTAAAATCACACGGAGAGGTGACACAGACAGATACGGATGAGCTTGCTGCATCTAATGCTATGCAAGTTCTCCGACTGCTGAGCCCAATCAAGGTAGCGAAGGGAAATACCGACGAAGCCAGCGAGGTCGTGGCTGATCAGCCAAAGCCAGTTACCAGCACGAAAATGGCAAATGAAGTACGGCAGGAGGTTACAGATCCATTGTCAATGAAGCAACAACGAAAGTCCGTCAAATATACCAACCCACTTTTTGGATTTGATAGCTTTGAAGTTTACGCAGACAATCAAGCACCACAGGATGTCAATACTAGCCACGCAGATCCGCAGGGTACGGTGACGACCCCATCGACGAATCCATTTGGAAGTGAGAACTCCGGGGTGGCAGATAGCTCTAAAACTCAAGTGGAGATATCATGCGCAAATGAACCTGAAAATGTCGATGCGAACCAAGCAGTCGCCAGAGATGTCCCCAGTGATCACCTCTCACCCATTTCTGGAAACGCCCCTGTGGAGACATCACCGTCACCCCGAAAGACGCGGCAATCGACAAATAAGGAACATCTCGCGAGCATAAAGCGAGATCCCAGCGCTGAGTTGAAAAATGCGCAGCCAAAGCGAAACAAAAATACCGATTCGACCACCAGCCCTCCTCAGCGCGCCACTCGCGGACGAGGACGACCTCGCAAGAACAAAGCCTAGCAAACAAGGGAGTACAACTGTACAAATATCGGCGCATTAATGGAGAAGTACCACTTACATCCCAGTCTCCTGGCTTTCATTATCTTTCCTTTCCAATGTACAGATGAATGTTTGACATGTACGAATAAACGACCGTCGATGCATCCATGAGTCTTGAGCCCACGACAAACGCACACTCTTTTCTTTTCGGACTTGTCAAGATTATATTCACTTTCCAAATACCCCGTCCCTCATTCTTTTCCCAGTTCTTTTATCTGTATTGTTTCCTGGTTAGTCAAATATGCGAAGTTTGGCACTATTATCATTGAATCACTTCCACCTGCTTTGAGTCATGCTCTCTCATGTACATCTAGTCATGCATCGCCTTCATAGATTTCACAATATTGAGTTCATATTTTTTTTAATTACTTTGGTGATACTCGTAAAATCGTTCCACTTACTCTCGTCCGCATCAATTTTCACGTGATGTCATCGAGTCCTGAAAGTACATGCCCCAACCTTTCAATATAATTCCAACCAAAAATTCTCCTGAGAAAAAAAGGACTATACCCTGACACGATTAACATGGAATGAAAAATGACAAATAACTCCTGCATCCCAAAATTCAAGCGGAAAACGAGGTACAGATCGATCGCCAAGGAAATATGTACAAAAGTTGGGTTTAAATTACTCACGTGACAACGCGTGACTGCAAATCGCGTTTTTCGCCCCTGTTCCCGCGTTGTCGTTTTACTTGGGAGCTGAAAAAAGGGAGGAGGCAAATGCGAATTCTACGACGACGAAACGGAGGCATCTAGTGGGAAAAGGTTGGATTTATACAGTCTGATGTATCCAATTTCAGGTGGAATCATTGGGATTTAAGATACATTTCTTTTTTTTTTATCTCATCCTTCTTTGATACGATTCGTTTACACAAAGCAGAAACTGGAATCTCGTCTTTGTCGCACATCTTCGTCCTCTAGGTTTTTTGGGTTTTCTGATATTCCCTTGCCAATAAATACTCTAATCCGAACGATACCGAAATGTCAGGAGTAACGACGCCTACAACGTTACCTGAATCGCTTGAAGAAGCGACGGCGAATTCTAGTGCGCCTTCGCAACAACAATCAAGTCCACCCACTTCGCCCGCGACCAAGTCCGATCAAGAAGATATGAAGATGGACGATGTTGATAAGGAGACTGAATTGGAGAAACCTGATGGTGCGGTGGGAAAGGGTGACGATGATGAGGATGAGGATACGGAGGGTATGGATATGAAGGCTAGAGCTTTGTCGAAGTTACTTCAGACCAGCTCTGTGAGTTTTCTCTATTGATGTCCTGTGGGGCTTGCGACTGACAGGTTTTTGGTATCAGGTTTTTGTGGCTATCATGTCCGATAAGATGAGAGCGCAGCAACAACAACAAGAGGCAGCAAGGAAAGCTGCGGCAAAGAAACAGGCTGCACAAGCCAAGGAAGCTCCATCGACAACCGGGCGACGCAGTACTCGTTTAAAAACCGGTGACGATGCAGAGAAAGACGCCGAAGAACACGCTAACCGTACACAATCAAAGAAAGCCCCTGCAAAAAAGGGTGCGAAAAAGAATGCTGCGAACAACAAGAGCATATCGAGTTATTTCAAGAAAGCTGATGTGGAAGTCAACGGAGATAATCCCAGCGTGCAGGAAGCATTGGCGCAAGCAGCAGATGAATTGGAAGCGAAACCGTCGGCACTCGGCGAACAAGAAGGCCTCGTAGCCACTGAGCAACCGTTGCTAGTAACCGGCGGGAAAATGCGCGAGTATCAATTGGAAGGTTTGGAGTGGATGAAGTCGCTCTGGATCAACGGATTGTGCGGTATTCTCGCCGACGAAATGGGTCTCGGCAAGACGGTTCAGACGATCTCGTTAATTGCCTTTTTCAAAGAGAATAATATCTCTGGGCCTTTTCTGATTGCAGCACCGCTGAGTACAGTCAGCAATTGGGTTGATGAATTTCAGAGATGGACTCCTAGTATCAAAACGGTATTGTACCATGGCTCTAAGCCCGAGCGTGCGGAACTTCGGAAACAGATGAAGTTGAAGGATCAGAAAGATGCTGATTTTCCTGTCATTTGTACATCGTATGAGATTTGTATGAATGATCGAGCCTTTTTGTCTCAGTTCTCATGGAAGTATATCGTTGTGGTAAGTCCTTTCAAATTTTTGGATGTTTGCACCCACTGACAACTATTTTAGGACGAGGGTCATCGTCTGAAGAATATGAACTGTAAACTGATCAAAGAACTTCTCACTTACCAATCCGCAAACCGATTGCTTATAACTGGAACACCATTGCAAAACAACATCTCCGAATTATGGTCGCTCCTACACTTCTTACTTCCCGAAATCTTCAACGACCTAGACAGCTTCGAAAGCTGGTTTGACTTTTCCTCTGTTTTGGACAAGAATGGTCAGAAGGATGTGATCGAAAGACGCAAGCGAAAATTGGTTACTACCATGCATGCTATTCTCAAACCGTTCCTGTTGCGACGAGTCAAGACCGATGTTGAGACTAGTCTCCCTAAGAAACGAGAGTACATTCTATACGCTCCATTAACCTCGGAGCAAAAGGAGCTCTACAGGGAGATCCTGAGCGGCACTGGTCGTCAGTATTTGGAAAACAGGGCCATTGAACGTATCGAGACCAGAAGTGGACGAGTCTCGCGCTCGACAAGTCTGAAGAGAGGAGCGGATGATACGGGATCAATGGCCCCATCCAACAAGAGCGTAAAGTCTACTCGGTCCTCAACACCAAGCAGTATTAGTGGTCGGACACGGAAGGGTCGTCAAAGTTACAGGGAAATTGGCGACCGGGAATTCAATGCTCAACTCCGCAAACTCGAGAACGGTATTGAGGACGAGGAAGAAAAAGAAGACAGTCTCGGTGAAACGGAACAAGAAGAGATTGAGCGTGCCAAAACCATCAAATTGGCCAAGAAGGAAATCGGTAGCAAAAAGCTTCAGAATCCAGTTATGCAGGCCCGTTTGGCGTGTAACTCTCCACACAACTTTTACTGGCCCTGGGGCGACGATTCCTCTACGGTTGATGAAACGCTCGTCACTGCGTCCGGCAAGATGTTACTTCTCGATCGGTTGGTGCCTTGTCTCATGCAAAAGGGCCACAAAATCCTCATATTCTCCCAATTTAAGACCCAGCTCGATCTTATCCAAGATTGGGCTACTCAGCTCCGCGGCTGGAATTGCTGTCGAATCGATGGTGGAGTAAGCCAGATCGATCGTCGGGCTCAAATCAAGGCTTTCAATACCGATAAGAACTTCAAGATCTTTCTACTGTCCACCCGTGCGGGAGGACAAGGGATCAATCTAACAGCTGCAGATACCGTCATCCTCTTCGACTCAGACTGGAATCCGCAACAAGACCTACAAGCGCAGGACCGCGCACATCGAATCGGCCAAACACGTCCAGTCATAGTCTACCGCCTCGCAACCAAGGGAACAGTTGAACAAACCCTCCTAGAAAAAGCAGACTCCAAACGTCGCCTCGAACGCCTCGTCATTCAAAAAGGCAAATTCAAAAGCTTGCTTGAAAATAACACCAATCAAAACGACGTGGAGGATATCCGCAAAGCTCTCGGTGAAGACGAATTCGAGCAATTTCATATTCAGTCTGATGATCCAGAGTCAATTCTTTCGCAACATGATCTTGATATCTTGACAGATAGAAGTGAAGAGGCTTATTTGCGTGCTGAGAGGGGCCTGGAGGAGAGTAGTGGACGCGCTTTTCAGGCTGTTGAGACGAAGGAGGATCAGGGGTTTATGGCTGAGTTGACTGTTCGGTAATGTACCACTATTTTTCCTTGCTGGGTTTACCTGTATTGTACTGTTCTACCGGATATGGAATGGGTATTGGCAGGGCTTGGTGTCTGGAAGTTATGTTCTTGCTTGGGAGCTTTACTTGACACCAGATTATTAGTGTTATCTTGTCTTAGTGAATATTGGCGTTCTTCAGAGAGAGAGAGCACGGGCGGTAGCATCAAACGATTGTTTCATTATTATATGGAAACAAAGCTGTCTTTTGACATTCCACTTACCTACTTACAGGGAACATATATGATTGAATTCGTTAAACTATCTACATATACAATATAGACATTAAGCGATGGAGGCATATCACCGACTAGCCTTCTCATCCTCAATCTGCCTCCTCAAATCCGCCAACACCTCATTCCGCCGATCCAGATGATCCTTCAATCCATCAACCTGATCTGCCACCGTCTTAATATCCTCCCTCAATCGCACCAGATCCTCTCCATCTTTCGTCCGGCCCGTTCCCTCCCTCATCTCACGCAATTCCCGCTCTTTGTACTCCAGTAATTGGAGAGCTTCCTTCTTGATAATCGCCCAATTCGGTCGTCCATCATTCCGCGCCGACGAAGATGAACCGCCACTGCGTCTCTCTTCCGAGGCGCGATTAGCAGCTTCCAGCTTCGCCTCAAGTTCCGCCAATTCGCGCCTGAGACGAACTTTCTCCCATTCCTCGTCTTGAATCGTGTTACTAAAATCCGTGCCCTGGGGCCGATAACTCGATTTCACTCCCAATCGACTCAGGTACGTATCTCCGAATTTGGCTTTCCGGCCTGTGGTAGTCTCTGTGTCGCCGTCTGCACCCCATTTTTGCGCGGGTCGCACGTGGTCTACTTGGTAGTCGATTTTATTGGATTCGAATGATGCGCGGAGTGAAGGTGGGACGGTACGAGGGATGCGGAAACCCTCGTGGCGGAAATTTAGGATATGGAGGAAGGCGAGTGTGGCGTCCTTGTTGATGGACGATGATGCTGCGGGATTCACAAGATTCCATGCCGATCTGATATCGGTGTCGGGGACGTCCAGGGAGTCATAAAGAGGTTGTAACGAGTCGACTGTGTCCGGCGTCGTTAGCTGTTGTGTTAGAGCAGGATAGCGAGCATTTATATGGTACTAACATGTGATTTCTCCCCGGTGGTTTTTGTTCGCACTATAGATCTCTTCGTATTTCGCCTTGTCGCTAGGACTCATATACCAGTCAAACCCATCCTTTAGGCCAGGTGTATCGTCTTCGTCTTCTATCCGCTCAAACTGTTCCTGACTTCCTGTCAATGCCGCACTGGCCTGGACTAGATGCGCCTTTGATTCTGGAATGAGCCAATCTGGTAACGCTCGCGGAACCTCTTGATATTCCTATCCAATTGTCTTTGTTAGGATATACTCCACTCCGAGTCCAATATAACGGCCTTATCACCGTCTATCAGGAGGCAGCTCACCCCATTAACAAGATCAAAAATCAACCTCATCGCAACACAAAACTCCTCAAAATCCAACTCTCCATCTCCATCCACATCCGCCAAATCCCATACTTTTTCAAGCTGTTCGTCTCGTAATCGACTGTTGCGGAGCACGCTGGCGGCTTGGGAGTTGTTGAGACGGGGCTGGCCGTTGGAGAGTGAGGAGAAGATCTCCCAATATCTCTCGACTTCCCATTGTTCAATTCGTTTTGCCATTATTGCTGCTTATCATATAGAGGTAGTAAATTCGGCAGAAAGTGAGCGCGTGGCTCAGGCAGACTGGTGTTTTGGATGTGAGTCGGATTGCTTGATTAAGGTGACTTTAACCCACTGTCCGCCCTGGCCGCGCTCGGAGCTGGCATTAATGTCTTGAGCGGATTAACCTATCTCCGCATGCATCATTTGTTTACGCATGCAATTTTAGAAACATTTTGATTATTCATAGATTCTTCATTCTTGCAGCAGGAATATATCGTACAGTCACCGAATCATCGAGTCATAAGCAATCGCAACAAAGGGGAATCGTAACATGGAGAAAGTGCTGAACATCAAATCGCAGAAAAGTATTAAAAAAAAAAGCAAAACAAAACGGACAATCGCGGAGTTAAAGGCTAAAGACGTAAAAAGGAAAGAAAAGGAAACAAGAAGGAAAAGAAATTCAGGGCAATAAAAAGAGGCAATTAATAGACGCTGCTTCCAAATGGAGCAGTCTCCTTCAGGTCTTCAACCAAGTCCTCGACATTATTGAGATAACGGCCAAGAAGTTTCTGCTTCTCCTCTGTCGTGCGAGTCTCGCGCTTCACTGGACTATTGTCGCCCGGTGACGAGTAGCTCTTCGCAAACGCTCCAGACAGCTTGCTGGGACTTCGGTGCAATCCGAGCACTGCCGTGTTTGGTGCGCTAGCAGCAACTGTGGGAATTGTAGGCATCTCCGGCATCAGATAGAAATAGAGAAATTCCACCAATTTGAGTTTGACTTCTCTAGAAGTGGCGCGCATTTTAAATAGAGATGTAACTGTCAAGAGTCCGTCTAAGGCCTCGAATGTGCGGGTGTTTGCCGGTTGGTCCAACAGTGCGGTCACCAAGGTCAACAGTGTAGACGACTGAATAGCAGGACAATTGATGGGGTCCAGCAAGTCTAAGAGGATATTCATATATATTTCGCGCGCAAAGAGTGCTCGTGATGGAGGATGGAGGAGGAGGACCCCTTGGATCAGGTCCAAAGTTGAGATGATGAGGAGATCATTTGCGCCGTTAGTTCCGCGACCAAGTAAATGTTCGAGGCAAGTAACCAGACGTATGGCAACTAGGCATGGGATCAGTTGATAATTTCTAAAATAGCTGTTTTGCTTTAACCCACCATTCCATTGAAAGCCTTCCTGCAACTTGAAGAATTCGCGAAAAGCCGGATCATCCGATAATTCGTTCAATGCTTTCGGCGCAGGTGGTGCTTGGCCTAAAGGAATGGCTGACTTTCTCTTCTCTGCTGAAGTTTGCTTGCTCCGCAAAAGACATATTTGCGCGAGTAGTCCTTCCACCTGACGAAGACCCTTTCGGATTTTGTTGGGCTCGTATGAGGAGAGGTAATCGAAGGAATGCGTCAAGAGAGCCTCCATTGCCGCGACAGCAGTATTTGACTTAAATTGAAGGGACAGGTGAAAGAGAGAATAAAAGAAATTGAACAAAAAGACAGATAAAATATAAGGATCAACGGAGAAGAAAAGAAATCGTCACTGGGAGTTGATAGCTCGTATTACGTCGTCGGCAAGGAAGACAAAGGGCCACCACCAGATGTCACCAGGTTGGCCTGAGCAGCGATAGGGCTGTGGCTGGCTGCAACCTGAAACAAGCAGAAGCAGAGGCTAATTTTTAATTCTCAGCTCCATCTGGAGTAAGAAATCACCTAGGGCGATCGCATCTTGATGCATTACATCAGAAACAGCTGAAGGTAAACAAAGCAGCCGTTGGCTGGGTGAATTATTCTGCCACCGCCTTGGGGCCCCACGTGATCTTGTCGCTGCTTTTGATCTGTTTTCTCTCAACTTATCTATGTACTTCAGTTAACTTAGAGCTGTATCATCAGTTGCATGCATCGGAGTTCCCTCTGGATGTATCAGCTGGGGTGTTAGGTTCCACACAGTAGTGTTGGTCCATTAAGAAGTCATTCCACGTTTCATGTCATACAAAGAAGTATTCGCCGACATCTAAGCATCCAGACTCCAGACCAGACTTGAATGCAAGTGATCACTACTAGTGATGTGCATTGAATGGTTCTGGAAGATGTCTAGAATGTCACTGAACAAAGAAACAATGGAAAAGAATCATATTGTCCTGACAGAAGAGTTAGAAGAACTCTAGAGAACAAAACGAAAATTAGGGCTGAAGTGTTCCCAAGGTTCCTGGCTGCCTGGATGCCTTATTGGCCCCATCACATGTCAGGACGCTTCAAGGTTACACTCTTCGCATCAGCAGTCCAGTCCATCTTTTGGACATAATATTCTCTGGACATCTTATTTTCATTTATCATCGGACATCTCCCATTGCGTACACTCCTTGCATAAGTCTTGTTTCTCATCCATCCTTTTGCATTCCACTACAGAAACTGCAGGACATTTCTGTGACAGCCCCGCACTATATCACTGACCTACTATTGAGCTTAAGACATTGCATTTACCACCCATTACTATGACTTCCGAAGCCAATCCCCACCACTACTCCCAATCGCTACAGTCTCCCACCGCCATCCCACCGCGGACAAGCTCCAACGGCGTCGTAAATGGCATCCCAACCAGCCCCCGACAAGCTGCCCCCCTCTCCGAAAGCGAATGGATGTCGTCGTCGAAGCGCAAACCACTGAGCACAACGAGCAAACATGGCCGAAACAGATCGAGTATGGATTGGACAAAGGCTAAAGAGGGTCTGTGGACGCAGGAAAAAGAGAGTATCATTATGGGCCCGTACGACTATATCTCGAAGCAACCAGGGAAGGATATTCGCAAGCAGATGATTGCTGCATTCAACGCGTGGTTGAAGGTGCCTGAGTCGAGTCTGGCGATTATTACTAAGGTTGTGGCGATGCTACATAATGCTTCCTTGCTGTAAGTGGTTTATTTGGAAGCTATCATAGCTGAGCGCATCACTAAACATACCCCTTGATAGCATCGACGACGTGGAAGACAACTCCGTTTTGCGACGAGGCATCCCGGTGGCACACAATATCTTCGGTACAGCTCAGACTATCAATTCAGCGAACTACGTGTATTTCCTGGCGCTACAAGAAGTCCGCAAACTTAACAGTGTCACGGCCATGGACATATACACCGAGGAGCTTTTGAATCTGCATAAAGGGCAGGGCATGGACTTGTTTTGGAGAGATACCTTGACCTGCCCTACTGAAGAAGAATACTTAGAGATGGTCGACAATAAGACAGGAGGACTGTTTCGTTTAGCTGTTAAGCTGATGCAAGCCGAGAGTGATACTGGAAGGTATGTGCTGCATTTTTACCTCGTGCAGCACTTCATTTCTAACAATCGATTAGGGATTGTGTGCCACTCGTCAATGTAATGGGTCTCATCTTCCAAATCTGCGACGACTACCTCAATCTCTCAGACAAAACATACAGCAAAAACAAAGGTCTCTGCGAAGATCTGACAGAAGGAAAATTCTCATTCCCCATCATTCACAGTATCCGCGCCGACCCATCCAACGTTCAATTGATCAACATCTTGAAACAAAAGACCAAGGACGAGGAAGTAAAACTATACGCAGTAAACTATATGGAAAGCACGGGTAGTTTTGCGCATACCAAGAAAGTTGTCGCACAGTTACGAGACAGAGCTTTGAAACTAATTGATGAGATGGATGGGGTCCATGATCAGGCCGAAGCCGAAGATGCTCCACGGGAGGGACGATTTGTTAGGGAGATATTGGAGAAGATTGTTGAGCTGACGCTGAAGGATAAGGAGAAGGAAGTCTAATCCTTCGACTTGTACTTGTATTCTCTGGCGTCACCTGATCTTTTGATAGGCTTCGTCTTTCATTCTTTGGACATTTTTATTTTGTTCGTTGTTCCCAGTTGCAGATATTAACGTGTTATGACTAGCAATGAATTATACCCCTTACTGCTGGGCGGCTTGCTCATTGGATTGGTCCTTCTTTTCAAGCTACTGTTCATCTCGTTCCCTCCTCAGGTATAACAGACCATCAAACAAATCCAAGCATTCGAATACCCTCATAAATCCCAGCAATATCATTAAATTGGTATATTTCACAAGTATCCAACCAAATACATAACTCAAAACAAACGATACGCAAAATTGGGTATCACATCATAAATTTACATAACAATACAACAATCACCAAGCTTCCGCAGCACCCTCGGCAGAACCTTTTCAACAATAGCCTCAATATCATCCTGTTTACCCTGTTGTGGCTGACCTTGGTGATGCGGTTGTTGTTGACCTGGATATCCACCACCACCACCATAATGGGGCTGTTGTTGATAAGGTTGATGAGGTTGAGAGAGTGGCATCTCAGCCGGACCACCCGCCAGGTTGATATAGATTCTCCCCGCGTTCTCTTCTGTGGCGTATTGTAATCCCAGTTCGCGACAGACTTGTTCGACGCGCGGTTTTATTTTCTGAACGTGGTTGGTGGAGTGATTTCCTCTACCGACAATGCTGTACTCATATATCAATAATCCCGCCTCCCCCAACAAAGTCCCTGAAGAAAGATGGGGAGAAAACATACACATGTAAATGCGTCTGCCCATGTTGACGCGCATACTTGATCCGCTCCTCGAGGATATCCTCCGCTTCCTCTACAAACTGTCCATGCAAATCAATGGTATCCTCAGGCACTCTTCCAGAGGCATTGTTCTCTCTAAATATGAACTCGGAAGCTTGTTTGTTGTATTCTTGCATTCTGCGGCCGTGCTCTTTGCCTTCTTCCGAGAGTTGTTTGGCGCGGGCCCCGTCGCCATCTTCGTAGGCTTGTTTTGACTATACACAGGGATCGATTAGTCTTCTTTTTCTTTCCTTATTCTTTCTTTTCCTAAGATAGAAAAGGAAAGTATACCCTTTCGAAACAATTGTTGCGCTTATTTGCTTCTTGTCGCGCGAGGCTTCGAAGGCGATCGTATTCTTCCTCCGCTTGACTGGATTGCTCGTGATTGAAGGCTGTCGCATAAAGAGTTAGCGATGGAGAATTGGCGATTGCCATTGGATTAACCTACCGCGCGCACCAAGATAGTTCATCTCATAAGACATTTTAAATCAGTTCCTCGCCCTTGAATATACGCACGTACTAAGAGAATCGAAGGATACTTTGTGAATAAAGAGATCGGACTTCAGCCGATGAGCATTGGCCTCAATATGACCAATCGCCAAGATCAGCCAATGAAATTGACAGGAAAATAGAAATGCCGAGATTGACTCGAGATCGCGCTATTTTTGGCGATCGGCAACGACATCGATCGTTTTTCTTTCTCTTCTTCGTATGAATCGCATTGTTCACTCCTTGATAGAATGGATATTGTGCTAGAATGAGTCTATCCTGGGTCTGTTCACTTCTATATTTTGTGTACGGGCGAAAGACTAAACCTTCAGGGTTTAGAGCTGGGTCCTACTAGCCTGACACGATCTAACTGATAAGTTAATAACTAACAAGAAGAGATGAAAGGAAATGCAAGAAACACATGTATAGTATAATAACCAACCCCAAAGAGTCTTAGAAACATGCCATATAGTCATCACTCATTACTTAATCAGCGGACTGGTTACGCCGACCCTTGGATCCAACGCCAGCCAGGTACCCCTTCGGAAAGATGCATTGCATTGCATTTTAGGGTACACTTCATCGATACTCAAACACACGCCTCTTCCACGTCTTTCCTCCATCTTCGGGCCTTCTACGGAACAACTGTATGGATTCACTATACTTGAATATTGTCCGGTGATCTGCATCCGCTGCGTCGTCAATAGTATTGTTGCTGTTGTCGTTGTTGTTGATGTCGTCATATCTTCGAATGATTAATGGAGTTATAGTATTCGTTCCCTCAGGAAATATCGATGCGAATGGAGATTGGAAAATGTGATGTCGAATATCGCCGTCTTCTTCTTCCTCTTCAACAGGATCAGAAGACCCTTCTGCCAGTGAAGGCGTAGGTGAAGATAATGGTGAAGAAGATGAATACGCCGAAACACTCCGAATCGGCTTTGATTCTGTTGTCGTAGGAGTTTCCATCCTCCTTGAAGGAGATTCCCAAACCAGCGCCGTAAAACCTCGCACTGCTGCAGCTGCAGCTTCAGCACTGCTAACACGAACATCATCACGATCAGTCGCTGTGGTTGTGGCGTCCATAGCGGAATCCGATTGGAGCAGCCGGTCGTGCGTCAAGCTACTACTACCAAGACCACCGCTACTAGTAGTATGACTTGTAGATTCATCAAAGTCCTGACTAATTCGCCTCCCATCTGCATGGTGTCCTCTCGCTAGCAATGCAAGTGTCCCACTAGTCGGTAAAGGGAACGACCTCTGCGCTGCAACTGTAGACAATGGTCGCAATATGTCCGCAGCTGAAGGTGAATTCGGTATTGAGTTAAAAGAGTATGTTGCTGTTTGTGGTGGTGGTGTTGATGTCGGTGAATTGTGTCTGGTAGATTCTTCAACTTTGGTCCCTTCTGACGCTGTTTCATGCATATCCTCATCCTCCTCATCGCCGCGTGACTGCTGGGATTGAGTCATGGCGTCTTCCTCTGCCAGTATGATTTGTTTTTTCGAGTCCCGTTCTTTTATAATCTCCTCTTTGCGTGTCAATTTCTCTTCTCGTGCAGATACTATATGCATTCCATGACCAGCACATATGCCAAATGAGAAACTTGAATTAGATTCCGTGCCGACAAACTTGTCCGCGATTTATATCGGAGAAAAGTTCGCTTGATCTCGGGGATCGCTTGTCTCTACAGGATGACTGCAGCCAACTTCAAGATAACCGGAAACACTCTCTGGGATCTTATGAATGGCTTTCTTCTCTCTTCACTTAGCAAGTAGTATCAGACGTTCCAGATGCATGGTTTTCTCTTTTCTCACAATGCCGCCACAAGTGTTGGATGTATTGAACGATTGTAGACGGTGCTGAACAGCAGGTGGTCGAGTCCTAACCGTAGAAGTATGCGAATCGAAAAGTCTCAGGCTTCTTTTGTCGATTTCAGAACCAATTCCAACAACCAAGATTTGACCTTGGAAACTTTGTCTTTCGCCGCGTGGTCAAAGGCTTCGCTTATATGTCCAGGATGACCTACAACGAACCAGGCTGACGGGAAAGACAAAGACTACTTCCTCCAAGAGATCAAAACACACCACCTAAGGCAAAACTCCGGATACAACTAATATTTATTATTCTTCTATTTCCCCCTCTACCAAATCAAGTACCTATAAAGAGAAAGGAAGGGGGGGGCGCTTTACGCATTGAGTGGATTTCAGCTATGACATCCAACGCCACAGCCGCAATGATACAAGATTTCTGACTAAAAAAGGTGCTTGCCATGGATTATTCCCACATGTCGCTGGCCTGACCCTTGAGGGGGGTTTCTTAGATCTGAGATCCTGGACAGAAAGCTTAAACAGGTTGTTGGAATTGTTGTCGTAACAGGTCTACGGAGTACGTGATAGGTCGCTTGATATGGAAAGAGGCGTGTGCTTCTGTAGTACTATCTACCTAGCTAGGGTTTAAGTTAGTGGCGTAGGAAAGAATGATTGGAAGTATGTAGAGGCGAGAATCCGAATCCGATCTGAAAATAAGTATAATCCACAAAGGCACATACTCTAGAACGTAGGATTATCAGCTAGAAATAGAAGGATTGCCAAATATTCGTGGATATAGTTAAGCTAGGGAGTGGAACCAATGATTAACCCTATGTATCAGCTACGGATACATTGGTTACCAGATCAATCGATAGTAGATACTTACTAGCGGAGGATAACAACCCAAAGAAATCTAATCTAGCATATAGCAGTCCAGCCCCAAATGAAGGGTATATACATGGTCCATACTGACTTACATTAGTGTCTCATCTAGAGAAGCAATAAGCCTGAGACACAAAGGGCGAAAATCGAGACAATGCCAATGCCGAGACGTAAATGACATTCATTTTCAGCTCAGCCATACCACTTTGTCCCACAGGATGGGGGGAGTCAAGGAGGCAACCTGAAAAGCTCATCAAACTCTACACGATTAGAGTTCTTAGTCTGCAACCAGGGTCCCATCATGACCTGGACTCCCTCGTCAAGGACTCAAGGAGAAGGAGAAAATGAGCTGTACTCCCGTAGTAGCGAAAGCTTAGAGCAGAAAATAATGCATGAGAATCGGAATCACCTGATTGGACCGACTATATTACCAAAGCCGGGGAAGAAATTGTGCCCAATCAGAGCACATGACCGCCACTAGGGCTGGGGCTTTCAGCTGCGCCAATTTTGATGCCTTCAATGCCTTGTTAAGGATTCCATTTCTCTCCTTGTCTCGACTCTCCATTGTTCACTAAAAATGAAGCTCTTCATTGTTCCATGAAAACGCCGAGTCATGCTTGAGATCGGAGGTGGAGGCCAATCACAGAGGCCCTGTGGCGTATCATGCATGCGCCACTTGTCTTTCGTCAGATTGTGGCGCAGGCTGTTAACACATCCCTTCTTTACATTTTACTTTCCAATACTCCCAACTACATAAAACGTCCCTATCCACTCTTACGTATGCACTGGAGCGATTATTTTTATTCTCGCCTCAGCCCAGTTCATCGTGATACTCGACCAGGCAGCAGCATTATTCTACGACGATTCTTTCTTTAGCAGTCTCGGGATGGTGGATGGCAACAGTCCACAACTGAGGTCAGCACTGAACGAGGTCAGTACTTACATGCTTATGGGTTTGTTCGGTAAGATATTCGACCAAGGACTACGTATAGAGTCTAATTACGTATGACAGCGGGTGGCTCTCCGGTGCTTTGCCTAGGTACGGGTGAAACAGCGACTTCTTAGGCTTATCCAGGGTTTACTTCTCAGTTTTATTTATAGCTGCACAGGAACGGCTACAGTCGGCATGCCTCATTGCACTCATTTCAACAGGGAGGGATTCGACGATTGGGCTTAACTATGTATGAGCAGGTTGAAGTCGCCATTATATGCTATCACTGCCTGAGGCTACTATCTGCTCGACACACCATGTCATCCTCAAATGAACAATGACACCGGAATTCGTATTTCTTCATTCAAGAGTACGCATATTCTTCACTAAAGCTTGGCAGGGCATGATCGTTGCGACCCTGATCTGACCTTGTGGGAAGAGCTGGATAATATAACCCTGAGGGAACCACCATCTCTCCATAACTAATAGCTATTGCTCACATCCATCATACGCCAACTGGAAGAAGAGTTATAATTCCAGGGTCTCCCTATTTATATTTCACGGCTAGAGTCCAATCATTAACTTGTTAAACAAAGCTGTGATATGGTTTGGCTAGAGCCCCGTAATCCCCCAGAAGGACTCTGACGACACTGTCTCCATGGGAGTTAACGTGATAAATCATGGAAAGAGATAACCAAACACGGTTTATCACTATTCTTATGTTCTAAAAAATAATGATATGTGATAAGATGACTGTGATTCTGCAATTTCGAAGCAAACCCAGATAACGAGGCCTCAAAGAGATGAAGAGTGTTGAAAGGCGAACCCTTCCTAATTAGGAAATTTCTGTGCATTCAACGTTTTGTCGCAATTCAGGATGATATATCCCCTGCAACTCGAATGACAACCTTTCCTATATGTTCCTGATTCCAGACATATTTGAACGCTTTTTTAGCATCCTCAAAAGCGAATACCCGATCAATTACCGGCCGGATCTTGTTCACCTCAATAGCCCTATTCATATCCTCAAACTGCAAACGACTGCCAACCGCAATGCGTCGCGTACTGTGAACGACAGCATGCGGATTCCACGCAGCAACTTCTTTGCTACCAGCATCTACACTACGTCTCCCCACGATAGCCACTTCGCCGCCTACGGCAGCAGCCTTTGAGCTCTGTTGCAGAGTTCCCGGTCCACCGATTTCAACCACATAGTTGGCACCTTGCTGATTGAGTGATAGCTTTCTCACGGTCGTGCCCCATTCAGGATCTTTGCGATAATTGATCACATGATGTGCACCTAGTTGTTTCAATCGCTGCTCTTTTGTCTCCGAGCTTGTTGTCGCGATTGTCTCAGCGCCCGCGGCTACTGCGAATTGTAGCGCGAAGATGCTTACGCCGCCGGTTCCCTGGGTCAGGACAGTATCGCCTGGCTGAAGCGGTCTTGAGCCGTACAGACAGTTCCATGCAGTAAGGGCGGCGCAGGGCAGAGTTGAAGCTTCTTCATATGAGAGATTAGAAGGTATATGGACAAGACTGTCTTCGTTAAAGACGGCATATTCGCGGAGAACGCCGTCGGGTAGTGCGCCCAGAGCTGAGTCCATGTGTTGTTGGGACAGAGTACCGCTGATATAGCCCTGGAAGAATGTAGGCATCACACGTTGTCCTGGTATGAACCGTTTGACTTTGGCTCCGATACTGATGACTTCCCCTGCTCCGTCTGAGACGGGGACTACCGCGTCTGACTGTTTCCAGTAATATGTCCCCTATTACATATCAGTATATGCAGTGATATGGAAGGTGCCAGATGGAAATGTCTGGTAGGAAACACTCACAGTGGCAATCATTAAGTCTCTAAAATTCAGCGATACTGTATGTATTTTGATGAGGACTTCATTTTCTCCTGGTTGCGGAATACCAGTCTCCTCGAGTTTCAGAGCATCTATGCCGCTTTTACCGTGTAGAACCCATTGCTTCATAGTCCGAGTCGTCATTTTGCCGTTGAATATTTCTCGGCACTGTGCAAGTACTGTACCTAACTGTTAATATATTTCGTATGAATGCCAGCTACCTAGGCAACATATATACTCTTAACCTACAGAAGTATATACAGTCTACAATGATAGTCAATGTATCTCTCAATGTTCTTTAAATTGAAGGATACTGTATATATTTCTCCCCAATACGTTGTATAAAAATAATGTACTACCAACTTGATGAATTGCACCGTCGGAACAATTTTCCTGCATTCGGCCTATGCAATCCCCCGTTGGCGGTTAGGGCAATCCAAAAAGTCTCCGAACTAGGGATAAGAATTGTGCCGCATCCTCCTAGCGATTAGCCCTAATTTGACCCGAAATAGAGGCTTTACAATGTGTGCTTGAGATCGTGACAGGAGACTTTTTGATAAAAGGAGCTCGCAAGCAGCTCACAACAGGTGAGGATCAGATGCACATGTCAAAATTATATTCCTAGATCTAGATAGACTTTTAATTCTTTCAGTTCCCAGGTAGTGCACGTGGCTCTGATGTTCGATATCCAAATATAAAAAGTAGTTGATAGGGCCCCTCTCGGATTGTACTTTTGATCGCAACTCGTATTTGACGCAAACGGGTTGGGCTAGAATCAAAATGTCATTTAAGAAGCATGATCGTCAGTATGATATTGTCGTGCTTGGAGCGACAGGTATTCCATTAAAGCTTACACCATTAATGTGGAGAGACCGTACTGACTTCCCATTCAGGGTACTCTGGCCTCTTGACAGCCGAACACATTGCGGTCAATCTTCCATCGAGCCTGAAATGGGCGGTAGCTGGTCGGTCGTCAGATAAGCTGCAAAAAGTTGTCTCTCGATGCAAGGAACTTAATTCACATCGTATCCAACCCGGTATAAGATACAGAACCTGACCGTTCAACTCTAGATCACAGCACGCTGACTCTGATACTGATACTAGCAATTGAAACCTATCACCTCAACCACGAAGAAGTCGCCCAACTGGCAAAAAGGGCATTCTGTCTCATCACAACCGTCGGTCCCTACGCGCTCCATGGAGAATATGCATTCAAAGCCTGCGCTGAAGCAGGTACACATTACATTGATTGCACGCCCGAAGTTCCATGGACGCTGGAAATGATTAAGAAGTATGAAGCTACGGCCAAGGAATCTGGTGCATGTATGATACCTCAGTGCGCCATGGAATCAGCACCGTCAGACATTCTCACTTGGGTGGTTGCAGAGGAGATTAGGTCAAAATTTTCATCTCAGGTTGGAGATGTCGTGATGGATCTTTATCGGTTGACGTACGCTGCTATACATGATAATTACTCTTTCGGGGCAACAGCTGACAGGAAGTCTACCATATAGATCAATCCCATCCGGTGGGACACTAGCCACGATCCTGAACCTCTTTGGCCATTATCCACTCAAAGCACTTCGCCAGTCGATCGAACCATATGCATTATCACCTGTACCAAACAGTAATGCACGCCCTAAACGATCCCGTCTGTCCTCACTCACCGGCGTATACAAAATCCCAGGCCTCGGACTGCTATCAACCAGCATATCCGGTAAAGCGAACGAGGCCATCGTCTTTCGCACTTGGGGATTATTCAAGCAAGAGCCTGGTTTACAAAAGGAGTTCTATGGGCCCAAATTTACCTACCGCGAATTCATGTATGCGCCTGGCTTCGTACGGGGTATGCTGACGCACTATTTCATTGTAATGGGGGGCTATCTCCTGTTGCTAGCGCCCATTCGGTCATTGATTAGACAATTTGTCTTCAAACCGGGAGATGGACCGGATATCCAAAAGGCGAAGGAGGAAGTTATCGAATTACGAGCGGTTAGTAAGCCTGATTCTGAAGCTGAAAAAGACGAGCAAGTTATGGGGAAGCTTTTATATAAGGGGAGTATGTACTATTGTAAGTTCTATCCTCTGTCCAGCGAGTTGTGAGTATGATGACTGCAATTCTTACGATTTATATAGTAACAGCTACATTCCTCGCAGAAGCAGCCGCTACAGTGCTGGAAGAAGACGATTCTTCAAGGTTGACAGGGGGCATCTATACTCCTGCATGTCTTGGACAGAGATACGTTAACCGCCTGAAAGCAGTTGGCGTTCAGATCAGCACGGAAGTACAAAAATTGTAATGTTTATAAGACGAGGAATATAAGGGCTACATTATTCCTGACGAAACATAGATCTATTGGTACCAAATGTACATAGGATTCGCAAGGGCATCCATCTCAGAGGTCCATCCGGATCCATTGATACTTGTAGTGTAGTTATTGAGTTCTTCCTAGAAAGTCATCCAGACATCTTTATCAACATTAAACACCTATAAACTACTCTTGATAAACGTTAGCCTGATAAATTGTACACATATGTGTATCTACCTTTCACCCCTTGAAGGGTACGAAGTCCATACAGAGTTAGGGTTAGGGCTTCACGACCGGATCTACTTGTCGCGTCGCCTCCCCCCACCCTAGACCGGGTGGTGGTCGGCCCGGACTCAAGGGCCAAAAAATATGAAGTCTCATGTAAAATGTTTTACAGTCCACCAACGCCATATAAATTGCATATAAAAACTAGACAGGTGTTAAATATAAGCATTGTTCACCTATCTCCCTGAGTATCAAAGAAAAACCCGCTGTTTTGAGGCTCTGTTGAAGCCACTTCTTCCATCGGCTGCGGCACGCCAACGACATGGCTCTTATAGATTTTCAACAAATCCCCATCATGACGGCGTTTTATGAGGCGATTCGCATCTTTTACATAGAGTGCACCACTCGCTTTGACTTGGCGCTTTGTAGTTTTTTGATTCTTGCGCGTTGCTATATCACGAACCTTGGCAAAGCTCTCACGGTGTAGATCGCCTAATTTGGCCAAGGTGAGACTGCCTTGATTAACCACTTTTATACGGCGTGAAAGGCCTGGGCTTACTTCGTCAAGAATATCCTTTATACCGTCAATCGATTTTTCAATCTTATTGACATAGCGACGTAGTTTTACGGCCGTTGATGGTGGAGATATTGATTTTGTAGTTGGTGAGCTGGGAATAGTGTCATCCGCCTCGCTATATATTTTTAGTGCATCCCCTTCAGCAACAAGTGCTTCAAATGCTTCCTCTGGCTGAAGCATCATATCAAGTATAAGCCGAGGATTAGAGGCCAAATTCCTCGCTCTCTCAGCATGCCGAATCGTTCGTGTGTAATGTCTTTATCTGGATATCACGTAATTCTTCAAAAAAGTCGTTTTTATTAAAATCGAAGCCACCTAAGCGTGCAATCTTGTTCACAACCCGTCCATGAATATATTTATATTGCTGAAATAGCACTCCATTGAGCGGTTGTAAAAAATGCGTAGAATGAGGTGGAAATTGGAATGGGCGAATGTGCCAAATTTCACAATATTGCACGAACTGTATAGTAAGATGAGTTGTATGATTATCCATAAGAAGTAACCGCCAATCCGGGAAGGCCCCAGGCCTAGAGAAGTGGTCAAAGTGTTGAAGCCATTTGAATGCGATCTCATCTGTGATAAATCCATTCAAAGCAGGTGCAACTAGCCAGTCATCATCTTTTATATGCCGGTACCATTCCTCCAAATGGACCTTGCCTTTTGGAATCAATAAAGGTGGTATAATCTTTCCTTCGGCATTTATACCCTCAATGACAGTAATTGATTCTCGAGAGGACAGGCTAGATACCCTTTTTGATGTTTTTGGATATGCTGTTACCACCGCTTCATCTTTTCCTTGTCCAACAATGAATCCGGTCTCGTCGAAGTTCCACAGATTTTGAGGGCGAATTTTGTATTGTTGTATAGCGAGCTCGAGGTCAATAAACCAGCACTCAACCTCACCATAATGCTCTGCAACAGTACGTTGCTTTTCTTAAGGTTTTTGAACGATTCGTACATATTGTTTTGGCAGGCGTTTGATAAAATCGTGTACCCAATTTTTTCCGGCACAAGGGGCCTCTCCTAGACCACTGAAATCTTTGCCGAGCAAATAATTCGCACTTTCTTCAATTTGCTAATTCGTAGGAGGCGCACCTATATTATCTAGATACTCAATCCATAGAATAAGTGCCTTTTCTTGATCTAGAGATAGTAGGCGCCTCGTAGGTGGGCGTGTTGAGCGAGAGGGTAAGCCATGCCACCGACGGGACAGTTTTTTGCGAGACACCCCATATTCACGCGATAATTTGCTAAAATTCGGCTTTTTTTCGTGTTGACACGCACTGAGGGCCTTTGCAATCAATTCCTCCTCTTCTTTATATAATTTAGGGGTCATTTTGGCTCTGGTTTTGATGTTTGTAAATGCCAAGTTGAGATTTTGAAATTTTTGGCCCTTGAGTCCGGGTGGCCCTTGAGTCCGGGCCGACCACCACCCGGTCTAGGGTGGGGGGAGGCGACGCGACAAGTACCCCAAGACAAATTCAAGTAACTTACCAGAATTAGCTTAGCGTGGATCCACTGAGGGTAGAGCCGAAGCGGCGAAGCTAAGAACACCATTACGTTTGTATACATCTACCACCAAGCCTCCAGATGCGACAGATAAGGCTCAAACAACAGAAACTACATAAAACCAGATCAGCATAAAGCGTGGAACCTACTAGGACAGCATTTGATCAGCAAAGAAGAAAAAAGAAGGAATAATGACTCGAACCATCCTTCAATCGCATCCCATACATTCAGACTCATCTCCCGAAACAGACACCTATACAATCGACATAATCAACTTGAATAATCTGCTGACACGCCTAGAGCAAAATATCTTTCTATCTTCATCAGCAGAGCACAGACTTTTACAACAATCGCATTTTCAATGCGCACGGATAGGTGCTGTACGTTTCTTTGCATAAGATAAGACATTTCCTTACTTGGAATGGGCCGTGGCTGATCTATGGTTCTAGAATATTGACTATGCGCAAACCCTCATAAAGAAAATCGAGCGTTCGTTACCCTCGGTAAAAGCGCCTGCGATACGGCACGAGCGAACGACAGATCTTGCGAAGAAGAGGGGACGATATGAAAAGATAAAGGAGAGATTTGACTGGATCAAGGAGGACGTTGAGAGGAGGGTTGATCGGGAAGAAGGAGATGTGTATCAGGAGGAGGATAATGATGATGATATATGGGAGGGCCTGAGACCGGTTGAGAAGGGGGCGGCTACAGGCACGGAGACTGAGCTTGAACCGGAAGTATCAAACAATATCATATCCTCAGAAGAGACAACGATATTACGACAGCGGCGACACGATAAGACCCTTTCCCCTACAACAACTCCATCAACGACCGCCGCCATAGCCAGCGGAACATCGACATCACCACTCCCCAAGCTAACCCCTACAACAACTGACCACAACAAAGAAACAACCCTCTCCACCCACCGCGCCGAACAAGAATCCCTAACAACCAGCCTCCTAACCCTCGCCAGCCAACTCAAGGCCTCATCCGAATCATTCCAAACCTCCCTCGAAAACGAAAAGGGAATCCTCAACAGAGCCGTAGAGGGTCTAGATAGGAATATGACGGGCATGGAAGCCGCGGGGAAAAGAATGGGGGTATTGAGACGGATGAGTGAGGGGAGAGGGTGGTGGGGGAGGATAATGATGTATGCTTGGATATTTGGGTTGTGGATTGTGGCGTTGGGGATTGTTTATTTGGGGCCTAAGTTGAGGTTTTGAATATGGTACTTCTTTACGTTACTGAGGATGCATTAAGGTGGTGTTATAAAATGATTTATACCACCCTACTTCTACCCTCTTTTATCAATAAATTGAAGAGTTAAAAGGAAACTTCCATTCTCAATTTCACAGGTAGGTTATCCTATGTATATGAAAAACCAAAAGCGCATAGAAAAAGACATCACCGGAACCGATCTTCATCTTTTGATAACCGGGCGTAGAAGTAGAGTAGAAACGGAAGAGGTATAATCAGACAGACATCAAGTGACGAGAACTAATAGGAAAAAAAAGTGATCGTATTGCAGACAAACCAAGAAAATGATATGCACATCCAGTAATCGAAAAAAGACAGACCAAACCAGCGCTCGATTTTCACCTGTCGGGATGAAGGGTGCTTATTGATGAAGTGGGTTGAGATAGGTTAGATGATACATCGAAGCTCGTTTGCAGGAGAAAAGAGCACACAAGAAAATGGATAAAAGCCTCGAAGAAGTACGTCTCAACGCCAAGTTTTGTATCACGTAATTAAAAAAGAGAATAGAAGAGTAGGAAATGGAAAAAGGGGGATATAAAAAAATATGCAGAAAGAAGGGAAGAAATGAAGAAACCTCATGTAACAATTCTAAAACATTCGACATCGGTAGCCATAATATCTTACAATGGCTCATTCATTATATCAAACCACACAAACGGAGATTCTCTTGGATGATAATATCTGTAGAGAGATGTTAGTTGAGCAATGGTTAGATTAGATAGCTAAACGTACCATTGACGGCTGCCATGACGAATCGGATTTGGTTTGTATCAGTAGCGCAAGTGAAATGTGTGTAGATTTGTTTCTGCTCGGCTTGGTTGAGTGAGACGAAGCGGTTCAAGATATAATCGCAAGCAGCGGCGTAGTCGGCACCACCTTCGTAGTCGGGGAAATAGTTCTTCATGGGGCTGACGGGAAGCTTCTCCTTGAAGCGGTCGATCTTGTTCAAGAATAGAATGATGGATGTCTTAATGAACCAACGCGAGTTGCAAATCGAGTCGAACAAGGTCAAAGCTTCTTGCATACGGTTGACGGTTTCATCTTCGAAGAGGAGCTGATCGTATTCGGAGATGGCGACGAGGAATAGGATGGTGGTGACATTTTCAAAGCAGTGAATCCACTTCTTACGTTCGGAACGTTGACCACCGACGTCAAACATACGGTAGGTGAGGTCACCAATAATGAAAGTGGTCTCAGTGATACCAGTAGTTTTGACACGAGAACGAAGAACATCTTGGTCACTGGGGAGGTAGTCGGGTTGAGCGATACGCTCAATGGAGTCAAAGTAGCTGGCCAGGTTAGATTTATCACCACAACTGGACTTTTGTAAGTGGGTATCAACATACTATTTCGCGGAGTCGTTGAGTTGGTATTCGCGAGAGCGGCGGAAACACTCCTGGACACCAGCATCGCGCCACAAAGCCTGGATGGCATTACCAACTTCAGGGGGCAGGCTGTCTCCCTCAATCTGGGAAGGCTGCATGAAAATGGTCTGGACATGATATTCGGCACGTGGGTCCTCAAGAGGAAGTTCGAGTGATTCCATCGCCTCCAAGATGACACGCATCGATTGGACGGTGTTGCTGTAGATGATTTCCTTGAATGATTCCCGTTCATCGCGAGAGTAGCCACCCTCGTTGATAAGCTTCATTTGCTTCAAGATGGTGGATTTTCCAGATTCACCAGCACCTACAGTCTGTTAGAAGTGATCAATTTGTCATGCAGGATTATAAACTCGCCCAAGAGCAACATCTTAATCTCATTGCGCTGCATCATCTTATCACGCTTGAGCTGGTTCTCGATCTCCTCATTGCGCGCCTTCCCCTCTTTATCCTCAGTACTCATTCCGCAACCCATGGTGAATAAAGGCTCGTTGAATTCGTCAAAAAGTGGTTAAATAGACGGTAATCGTGGATTGGCACTTGAGAGTGATGACTTCCTAGCAGAACTTGGTTATGTTAGATGATATGAACAGAGAAGAAGCGACGATGAAAGTATGTGTCTTGGACTTGAAGCGGACGTTGACGTGGATGCACGAGTCTGAAGAAAAGTTTATTGGGGTTCCAAAGCAATGGATCCTAGCGACCTTTGTTTCAGGTTGCCTGACAGGGCGATAGCAGAAACGTTTGAGACGGTCCCAACGAAGCAACCGCAGACCCGGAGACAGTACAATAAGACACAACAAACGAATAGGAGTATCAATACTCACCAGCCTGGTTTCTGCTCACAGTTCAGTAAAGAAAATCGACGTCGAGGGCGATGCGGAATTGTAGATTAATAATAACAATAGATAGTCGACGACCTGACTTCTCCTGGCTCGACGAGTCAAGGGAGAGCTAAAGCAAACGGAGAAGGGCTGAAACGGAAACCGACGGGCAAAACAATAGCAAAAAAAAAAAAAAAGGAATACAATCGTGTGTATGACTAGAAAGAAATACAGCACGATCCAATCGACTCCGGGGTAGAAAAGCGATCGATCGAGGTTGGTTGAGTAGGAGAGAGGAAAGAAGAAAAGGGTTGTAGTTGATTACTACGTACTACTAGCAGTGTAGTTAGTAAACGAAGGGGAGGAGGAATGGGACGGCAGGGAAAGGGAAAGGGACTTAAAGAGGGAAAAAAGGGTGGTACGTTACAGCGTACTAATCTTGCGTAACTTTACAGGCCCATCCTAGTACTGCCGTAGTCCGTTTTGGGAATCTAAGTGAGTATGGCGAGTGATTGATTGGTGGAGGGAGTTGGACGAGGATCTGAGGGATTGCTATTATTGGTTGTTGGTGATGAATTAGGTTATGATCGGTGACTTGATTACCGATCAATACAGAACATTACAACAATTTGCCTGATGCCTCGCATCTCTTCTCCGTGCTAGCGCCATTGATAATCTCAGACGAGTGCGTCAGTATCAGATGCAGACAAAGAGATGACGCACGCTTTGCCAGGCAGTTTCACTGAACCTTGCTCTCAGTCCACACTGTGACTGAAAAGCGATCTTGTTTGAGAAAAATTGAAAAAAGGAGCAATCCCTTCAAAGGGGGTGTGAAACGACCAGATTGACGACGGAGCTATCTCAGACGCTGATTGGCTGCCTACTGTCCAGAACGGCATCCTTTTCAGGTGGGACTGCGACGCTCTCAGACTACGTGACTTGGGGATACCCTGGCCGATATCCAAATCCAAGTACGCAGTTACAGCATCATATGGTATCAGGATCAGAGAATATTCCATGCCCCTACGCCAGCGTGTCATGTACTTAACGTATGTTGAAGTACGGAGTATAGTTCGCACGACCATACTAGAAGTATTAAGTAACTCCGTACACAGCGCGAAACACCAAGTCAGTTAGGTTACACAAGACGCGAAAATCATGACCCTGGGCATGATCCCCCTGCCATCCTGCAAATCATGAGAACCACCCCATTTCATAGTTTCAACAGTTAATATATATCGTAACGGAGCCTCAATGAAGAATCGATATCTTGATAGCTCGATAAGTCAGCTAACACTTATCAAGGAATTAACGGGGACCCGTCTAAGTTATGTCTGGCAGCTGTATCATGCAAAAAACAAATTACGAAGATTCAATAGTTTGATCTAGTCCAGTCTAGCCTCAACAATTCAGGTGCCAGGGGAGTCTGTGACTCGCTCTTCATTGGACCGCCTCAGACGACAGTGGGGCTGATGGATGAAGCATTAGACTACCGAGACACTGTCTTATTGGCTAGGCTTCAAAGAAGTGGGAACTATATGGGGAGCCATAGTCTCCGCATTCGTCTTAGAGGGTCCGACTATTCCGAATTAGGTACAGTGTTTACTGATTAGGAATGGTCAAGGAAGAAGCTAAGAAGTTTTTGAAGCATTCCACACATGGATCTTTTTGTGGACGAAGTTTTTCTCTTTTGTATCTGGTGTAACAAATGCCGAGTTTGCTGAGTGCTGCTAGGGTCTTGAGATGGGATTAATGATTAATATCCTGTCGCCACGTGCTGCTGCCGGAACCTTCCGAGGTCACGCAGGACGGTGAACTGACAAGTCTAATTGATATAGTACTAGTAATTATGCAGGGTGACCAAACTTCGGTCTTTCAGTCGGTAACTTCACCTGACACTTATATCTAATTAATCAAGATTCATATCAAATATCCTCGCTATGACACCTTCACCAGCACAACAACAGTTAAAACAAAATCAACGCCATGAAAACTTTTCTGCTTTTTTCCACCAACCTTCTCCTCTTTAGCAGATATCAAAAGCCTAAGTTTCCTCATTTCCAGACAAGCACGTCAATGCAGCTCGTAACTCATCCACAATCTTTTCTTCCAAACGATTCTCAGCACCCGACGCTGCATGAATAGGCCTTTGACGAACCCACTCCGCCTCCTTTTCAGTTGTAGCCACCATTCTTGCGCGTAGACTCGCTCGGCGACTGAGCAATTCCTCAATATCCTCTTTCAGTTGCGACTTATCCCATTTCAATTCCTGGATTGCTTGGCTATCGACGCCCGCACTGGGTCCGGCTGCTCGATAGCGCTCGAGAATAAACGAAATGAGTGACAGAGAATTTGCCTCGGATGCCATGGAGAGACTGATTCGTTTCTCATTTTGAGATATTGTGCTTGCATGGGTACTTGCAAATGATTCAGCCGCACGGGTCAATCGTCCTTCAAACTGATTGAGGAATGCTGCTACTTCTGGTGCAGCGCGACTGACGTTGAAAAGTAGGTTGAGGCAAAGAGGTAGAAATCCTTCTCTCCATATGGCGTAGAGGCGAGGCACTGGGTCAAAAGGACCAAATGCTTTAGTTTGTGAGAGAATGCGGGTCAGTCGGCTCGTGGAAAGCTTCATGAGCACTGCCTCTACAGCCAAGTATTCTGCTAACATGGGAATGGCCGACAGTTCTACCAGGAATATGATGCTCAGTTCTCCGTACACCGGGTCGCCTTCAACTGTCAATTGGTCCGCCCACGAGAAAAGTGTGGTTGCGTATCTGGCCGTATCGTTATCCTCAATGTGGAATACAATGTGCTCGTACAGTCGTTCTGCGTCCTTGACTCGTAGAGCCGTTTGTAAGATCGCCGTGATAATGGCAAAATCTTTTGGTGAACAGCGCTGTGGTTCGTCATGCAAGTACGTCGTAAGCGAGCGGAAACCTTGTGCTATCACAACTTTGATCACCTCCAGCACAATGGACAGATTAGGTGAAAGGTTAGGTTTCGTCTTCGTGTTGTCATTTCCTGGAGCACCAGACGATGACTTTCCAACATGAAATTGGAGCGCAAGGAAAAGAACGTTCAGTAGCCCACGGTAGTAGTCTGTATGATCATGGATCAAGGCATTCTCGTACGTAGTGCCACATGCACGCATTGCTTCCCATACAGCTGCCAGCAGCCCCATCACCTCTGAACCCTTGGCATCGAATTCGACCAATTTCTGGAGCATTGACAGAGCAAAATCTACCCTTGACTTCTGTAGCTTGGAAAATATAGGTTCCTCGGGGGTCGGGCGGGTATTTGCAAGCAGGCAGTTCTGCACAATCAACGCCATTGACTTTTGAATCTCTCTATCTGGGCTGAATTCTGTCGCATGCTCAATGGCGAAAAACTTCCAGCTGTTGAACAGTGTCTGTATGAGTTTTGGTTAATAATGCAATTCTACATGTTTCTTTTGGCAGCATAGACTCACCACTTGTGCCTCTACTAGCGATAAATTGAGGTTTGCCCGTTCAAACTCGCTTGCGAAGCCCTGATCCTTTTTCCCCTTCCAAGAAAAATCGAATGAAAGCAGCTTATCCGCCAGATATAAGTCATAATAATAGCTTTTACCCAACGGTCTGATCTCAAGTTTCGTGCGTTTCAATTGCTGAAGTTGGCAACCTGCATATTTCATCTCAAAGTTCCTCTTTAGATTGGCGTGGAGCGACGCGTTGTATCCAGCCACATCGACGGCGTTCTGGGCATACCAAAAGACTAATGGGACGAGCATTGTAACAAACGTTCTATCTTGAGCCTGCTTTGCCGAGTGCAAGTAGATAGCACACAGATTTGCTGTGATGGCGGCAATTTGGATCATGTTAATTTGAGACATGACTGGCTCACTCTCGATCTTCAAGTGAGAAACATAGTTGACAATGGAGCTAAAGAAACTTGAATGGTTGCCCAACTGAGGTGTCGCCCAAGGCCAATGTTCCTGCGAGCAAGAGACGAATTCAAGTAGTGATAAAGAAACCATGGGATCGAGAAGATCAATATTTGCCAAAGAATCAAGGGCTGTCTTGAGGAACGGTGTATTTCGCATCCTCGGTGTCTTCTCGCCGCTATTTTTGAGCTTCAACGAGTCGCGCGGCGAGCTTCCTGTAAGCAGATAGACGGCGACCCATTGTTGACGTTTACTGACAAATGCAGATAGCAGCCGCCATATTGACACTTGCAATGTCATGTCGCGGAGGGGTTTATCAAACTGGGCGAGTACATCCAAGAAAAGACATGTTGATTCGGAGCCCAAATGACCAAGGAAAGATGCAGGCTCGTTTTCAGCATCCAGAGCTGCTTTTGTGATTAAAAGCTCCAATAGGGTCACAACAGGAAGGCGAAGGCGATCGTGAGAGTTGTAGAGTTTGACCAGGATAGGAGACGCTTTGAAGAGTTGGTCTTCGAGGAGAGATACGGCAGATCCGCTCAGTTGCGCTGCCTGTACCAACCTTGTAGCCAAGTCAAGTGTAGCGATCAGCTGTCGTTCAAAACGTTGTAAATGGTGAAGATAGACTGAGCTAGAAGGAATCCGTAGCCCATCTAGGATAATCCGCAGAACAGGATTAAGTGGCAATTCTTCTTTCGATTGGGGTCGTAGCACATCCAGGATGTAATCGGCTGTTTCTTGGAAGATCGCCGTAATTTTGGACTGTTGGCTGTCCGTTTCATCAATACCGTATGTATAGTAGATGATCCTCTCAAAGTTCTTGGCTAGAGTAGCTTCCACCTGAAGTCTATGCTCTGGTTGGTTAAAGCGCCAGTTACCAGAACTGTTGTAGACCTCAATCATTGAACGAGCAAAGTTCGATAAGACCTTGCTAATGACATGAGAAGGGACGCCAGCATTCCGATCCAAGGGATCTGCTGACTTGGACGCTGTGCGTGTTGTTATCTTTCGTATCGCGGCGTTAGATATACTATCTTCCACGACAGCTTCGAACAAATCCACGCAACTGAGAAGGAATGGATAATTGCCTGATGTCACCTCGGTCGCCGATACAATTGCTGAGAAGCGGCTTCCTTTACCACCAGGGCCTAACAGGCTGCTTCGAGATAAGAATGGCCATATGCGACTAGGAATGATAGCAAGAACAACTCTAACAAATCGCATACAGGCGACCGTAATGTCAAGCGATTCGGGGGCCTTAGTCTGAGCACCAGCACCTTCCAGACTCCGTTCCAGAATATGAAGGATGACAGATATAATGTCACAGCGTTCGTTCAGGCCTTCACTGGCTATCTCAAGTATCCTCTTCGGCCCAAGCTCATGATCGGTGAGCTGACAGGCGGCTATGAGATCAATGAGTAACCCAATTATTTCGACAATGGGTCCATCGTCAGCGTCAGGCATATGGCCCCCGTGGTTAGCCCATTCTTCCAGCCAGCTACCGAGAAGAGTTATGCCAGAGTAATTATGGTACCACATGATAACGGCGGGTTTCGACTCCGAAACGACTTGGCCGGTTGTTGCTGGTTGAAGCTGCAAAGAGCTTGCAACGAGAGCGGTTTCTGTGCCAGTGGGATCGTTAAATATTGCCGTCGTTGAGGCAATCATGGGAATCGGCTGGACGAGGGAAACGAAGTTGGCGTTCTCATCTTCACGGATGGTCTGGTAACCTTGGAAGTCAGGAGACACCATTTGGGTAAAGGTTTCCATGGCATCGAGCTCATTCAAGATCCGATCAGGACCGCTTGTATTCATTTGATCCTTGCCGGTCAAGGCTCGACATAATTGCAGAAATGGTATGGACTCGTACGGAAAACGAGATCGAGCAATGTGGAATATTCGACTCATGAGATCATCGTCGTGCAGAAAAACAAATCGAGGGTCACTTGGCTGACTGATGTAGTTTCCCTTGTTCGCCTGTGGTGCATTTGTCGATGCGTTCAAAATCGAAAGCGTTGCCGTAACCAGCTCCGGAGAATAGTCAGTGACATGTGAACTCACCCGAATAATTCCCATCAAAGAATCGCGAATCCATAGATTTGTCACTAAATCATCAATGGCGTGAACGGAGCCAACGCTAGAGGCGATATTGCTGATCACTTCAAATACCTGGCCTTTTTCTATAGCCCCAACTGTCAGCACACCGACGTAATCGTCGCCGAAAGCGGGAACTCGTGCAATATCCAGTAGATCCTCGTAAAATGTCTGTTCCAATGAGCGAGCCACCGGTATAGAAGGTTGATTAGACTGGAATGAGTCGACTGCGCTGTGGAATTGTTCCATCTCTCGAGTCTCTTTTGCGGCTTGTGCAATTTCTCGCATTGCATAGAGTATAGTTCCCCAGGCAAAAGCTGCAGGACTAGCACTCAGCACTCCCATATCAACAGCATTTAGCAAAACCTCGTTGATTTCAGTAATATGTGTACGTGACAGAAAATAAGGCTTAGACTTGGACAAAGCTTCATCTTGAGACAAACTGCCATTCATCAGTACTAATGCCAAAGACTCAGGGAGCTTCAAGAGGCCAAGTGTGGTAACGGAAGCGAGGACCTGGAGGGACAGCCTGAGTACCATTGGATCCTCACATGGCTGGTAACAGGAAAGTTAGATATCTCCGCCGACAATTAGATGTAAGTGTTAGTCAATACTTACCGGAATAATAGGTTCCATGAAGCTGTATTCGGCCATGAGCCGCAGCCAAGCTAAAACGACCTCTCCGCTAGTCACCACGTCACAAGCTTGAATATGCAGATAGATTATTTGCATTATGTGCACGACCTCATCAATAAGCGATGTTCGCCAAGCATTCTCTGTATCGATATTGCTCTCGGAAGACGACAGCCATCCACCCTCGGTCTGGAAATCACTCAAACGTTTCTCGATGGCTTTGATAGCATCAAGCAGAAAGCGGGTGCTCTCAGCGTCCCCTGACCTATCTTTGAAAATCTGCTCTCCTAAGCGGGAGAGGCTATCCGTCCTTACAAACTGCCGGGCGTCATGTGTAAGGGGGAGATGACTAGCATCAGCTGGGACCTTCCCATGTAAGAAGGCGCAAAGTAATTTCCTCGAAGTTTTCACAATGTGACTCTTTTCCGATAGATAAATGTTTTGTAACCTTATGCGCCTCGACTTCTCCGAGGAGAAGTCCGTATCCGAGCCTCCATGAACCTTCTTCAAGACCTCCTTCAATTGAGGACCAGCTAGAGACACACGAAAGCTATCCACACTTGCCGCATCTTGCAGGCTTGTCGCTTCTTCTTCAGAGAATCTCCCCAGCAGCCGAGAGTTTGGTCTATTTTGCCATTCTTGGACTGTAATTCGGAGCGCCGCTACTTCGTCGATACCTGCTTTTTGACTCAACCACAGAGCATCTGATTTAATCTCGTCAATCCGGTAAGCTGCCTGGGACGACGTATCCACGTGAATCGCGGCTGTTTTGGACTCAAATTCGGATTTGGATTTCGCGGAACGTGGTTCGAACGGTATGAAGCAATTTGAGAGCAAACGAAGGCTTTCCGGCTGTGATAGGAAAGACGTTATGTAGTCAACATCGCTGTTCTCATCTGATGAAGCGAGGGCGAGGAAAACTCGTTTCCAAGACCTATTTCAATTAACAAAGGTATATTTAGCGTGTTATACTCAAGATATGCCTACAGAAGCTGTGCGTCCCCAGAGAAACATTTGTCCAGGGACGCGAAATAGGCTTCCGGAGCCGGAGCCATTACTGGAACAGCTATATCATTATCCAGGAATGAAAGACGGTGAATCGACTGGAGAGAGAAGAGCAAGCCAGTTGTGATCGTAAACTGGCGAATGAGCGAGGTGGCTGGTAGTCTGGAGCTTTTGTCAAGCGTAGATATTCAGATCTTGCATGAGCTAAAAACAAGCTCTTACCGCCGCAACAATCGATTTACCGCGACACGCTTAATTGGGTTTAGCGCCTCTTCGGAAGTATCCATCCATCCTTTTGGGGTTCTCAATCTAAAATAATCTTTATCAGAGCAACTTTCTGAACGATCAGTCGACAGGTGGTACAGTCAGTCCTCTCTACGACGAATCATTGTGATTGCGCGAGTCTCGTTTCGCATCAATTTTGGCTTGGAATTCACTTCTTCCATACTCTGTAATCCGTGCAATTCCGTTCCTTCAATACAGCTTGTGTATAAGAGCGATCCTGAATCCGTGACTCACCTGGGTCGACTTGCGACCAGAAACACTCACCTCGAGATTTTCCTCTCCCCTCCACGCCCAAGGCTAGACAGGTGATTGATATCATTGCTCCCTCGGCTTCTCAATGCTAACTCTGACGGTTACCAGCAATTCACACCCAAACCACAACAATGGATAGCGGTCTCGTTGATTATTCGCCCCACCATCCCGCGGAGGTAAAGAAACTTGACTCTGCCTCCAACGTGATCCTCATTGACAACTACGACTCCTTCACTTGGAACGTTTATCAATATCTGGCGCTGGAAGGTGCCACAGTCACAGTCCATCGCAATGATCAGATTACCCTGGAGGAATTGATTGAAAAGAAGCCGACGCAGCTCGTCGTAAGTCCTGGTCCGGGACACCCTGAAACCGACTCGGGTGTTAGCAGAGATGCTATCAAGTACTTCAGTGGGAAGATACCGGTCTTTGGTGTTTGTATGGGACATCAATGCATTATTTCCGTGTTTGGCGGCAAGGTTGATGTTACTGGTGAAATCTTGCACGGCAAGACTTCGGTGTTAACACACGACTCAAAGGGAGTGTATACTGGACTTCCGACCTCGTTGAACGTCACCAGGTATCATTCGCTCGCCGGAACTCATCCCACTCTTCCGGATTCTCTTGAGGTATCTTCATGGGCAAACATAGATGTTGGCCGAAACCCAATCATTATGGGATGTAGGCATAAAGGTAGGCTTCCAAGGACGTCTGTATTTGGGATAATGAACTAACAGTGAGTGCAGAATTTGCCACCGAAGGTGTACAGTTTCATCCGGAAAGTATTCTGACCGAGCATGGAAGATCGATGTTTCGAAACTTCTTGAAGTTGCGTGCTGGTACTTGGAAAGAGAATGAAACCTATCTTTCCACAGTTTCCACTGGCACCAAAGGGGACAAAAAGACGTCCATCCTGGAGAAGATTTATGTGCACCGAAAAGCAGCTGTTGCAGCTCAAAAGCTGATACCGTCGCAAACCCCTGAGGATCTTCAGGCTTCCTATGACCTCGGTATCGCGCCACCACAGATATCATTTCCTGCCCGGTTGAGAAAGTCGCCATATAACTTAGCACTCATGGCTGAAATAAAGAGAGCTTCTCCTTCAAAGGGAATAATCGCTGCTTCAGTCTGTGCTCCTGCACAAGCTAGGAAGTACGCTGTGGCTGGCGCAAGCGTCATTTCAGTTTTGACAGAACCGGAATGGTTTAAAGGCAGTCTAGATGACTTACGCGCCGTACGACAAAGCCTTGAAGGACTTCCTAACCGTCCTGCGGTTCTACGCAAGGAATTCGTCTTTGACGAGTACCAGATTCTTGAAGCACGCCTTGCTGGTGCCGATACAGTGCTGCTCATTGTTAAGATGCTTAGTGTCGAATTATTGACAAGACTCTACAAATATTCACAAAGTCTCGGAATGGAGCCGTTGGTTGAAGTCAACACTCCGGAAGAGATGAAGATCGCGGTTGAACTCGGCTCTCAAGTGATTGGAGTGAACAATCGCGACCTTACCAGCTTCGAAGTCGATTTGGGTACCACGAGCCGACTGATGGATCAAGTTCCAGAGACCACCATCGTCTGTGCTTTGAGTGGTATTTCAGGACCGGCTGACGTAGAGGCGTACAAAAAAGATGGCGTGAAGGCTATCCTGGTCGGAGAGGCCTTGATGCGGGCGAAAAACACAATGCAGTTTGTATCTGAGTTACTTGGCGGAAACGCAGCACTACAATCATCCAAAAGCTTGCCGCCTCTAGTTAAGATTTGTGGGACGAGAACTCCAGAGGCAGCTCGTGTTGCTATTGAAGCCGGGGCCGACTTAATCGGGATCATTCAGGTTGAAGGCCGCAAAAGGAGAGTATCCGATGAGGTTGCTTTGCAAATATCAGAGGTTGTCAAAACGACACCTCGCCCATCTAGTAGCCCGACTGTTGATGCTGAGGCTTCAATATATTTTGAGCACTCAGCAAAATTACTTCGTAATCCTACTCGTGCGCTTCTCGTTGGCGTTTTTGCAGGGCAACCTCTGTCATACATTATTGAACAACAACGCAAGCTAGGACTTGACGCCGTCCAGCTGCATGGAGATGAGCCCGTCGAATGGGCCAGGTTAATACCTGTCCCTGTGATTCGAAAGTTCTCTCCCGGTGAGCCTAGCCTCGCGCGTCAGGCTTACCATGCGCTCCCTTTACTTGATTCAGGTACCGGTGGCTCCGGAGAGTTGTTAGATTTGTCATCGGTGATTAAAGAACTCAAGGGTAACGATGGCCTCCGCACCATTCTCGCCGGTGGTCTTAGCCCTGAGAATGTAGCGGAGGTGATCAAAAGTCTAGGCACTTCGGCCTCCAAAGTCGTTGGTGTTGATGTTAGTAGCGGCGTTGAGACGAACGGTGCTCAAGATTTTGAGAAGATACGAGCTTTTATCTCAGCGGCAAAGGGTCACTAAAAACACGCTTCCTTGTTATAATAGCTCACATTCTGAAGTGACATTTACTGTCGTCGAACATACAATCAATTTTCCTATACTTTTTTATTTCTCACTTTCTCAAAATTACCCATTTCCACCTCGCTTGATCTCACCCATTTGGTGTCTTTCCAGGCCAAGCTTCACTTTACTTCCCCTTATATCTACTCATCCCATCTCATAACTGACGCAAACCTCTTGGGTTTGCTCAACTGTGACAGATTTCTCGCTCCGATAGCAGCTATGATTTTTCAGGTGAGCTGAACTCAGTACTTTCTCAGCTCAAATTTTGAGGCAGCGCTTTCCTCCCACCATCGAGGATCTGTTGATTGAAGTTAAGCCTTGGAATATCTTTATCGTCCATTTCAGGATCATTACTCTTCTTCTTACTCCTTATTACTGCCATTTACTCCGTTATCTCTCAATTCCTTCAACTATATTCCTACCTGCGTTACATCTACTTGTCTACAATCATCTACCTGAATCACAGCTCAACTTCAAAAAAGCGAAAACGTCTTTCGTGGGGTCCCACAAGGACAGCGACAAAATCCCTCAGTGGCTGAGATCACAAGGTGGTGAATATTCTCGAGAAATCGATGAGTCCGTAACTCATCTCATAGCGACGGAGTCGGCCATAGAGGATGACGAAAAGGTATGAGCTACGTTTCTATTCTTTATACATTGAACCCAAATGTTGACAGATTTAAACGGCACACAGTTCAGAGAGCTAGAGACCTCAATATCAACATCGTGGCTTATGACTGGTTCGAGGACTCCTTGATGTCCAAAGCGTACCGGCCCAAACGCGAGGGACCTTACTTACAGAATCTCATTTGGGAGAGCGCAATGACAAATACAAAGTGACCAAAAGGGGTGACAGCAACAAGCGGACAAAGCGTAGAGGTATCGATATAGGTATGGGAAAGATCTTCTCTTACCGCATGTACAAGCTCGCTAATGTGATGCTTTGCTTAGAGAAAGTCCTTGGAGAGTTTCAGAATGAAGCACGAGCTGTTGTCTCGGATATAGAGAAATGTAAGTCTCCTTCCATTGTTCTATCAGTATCCTTCGGACTCGTCGCTAACTGTTCATTACTTAGTGGGATATCACCTCTATATCGACAAGAACACTGGAGTGAGCTACTCCGCTACTCTAATCGACATACGCTTGTCAAACATCGTTCCCGCAAAGAAAAATTCATCGTTGGTGTTAGTGTGCCAGACCTTTTCGTTACTCGGGCCTCAGAATTCGCATGAGGTCCGAGCACCAATATAAAATCCATTCGTTCAACGAATTCAGGTGTACGAAATGAACAAAGAACCACACACGTATACTACGTATGTGAAATACACTCGTGTCGGGGTAGCAAGCAAAGACATGCTCGCTCCGAAAGGGAGCAGTCTAGATTCCACTTTATTTGCGTTTAAGAGATTCTTTCATGTAAAAACCGGGGTGGAGTGGAAAGATGGCTTTGGCAATTCGAAGCTGAGTTCTGGTACGAAACTCGATAAAGAGGGAAAGATTCATCTTGAACCTCCGGAATGAGGTTGGTGGCGTTATGAACAGCCCTGTAGCTTGATGGGTGCTTTAAGCAATGACTTTGAAATATCGATTGAGCAGGGGCTTGGAGGAGACAATCTATCTGAAGGGACGGATGAAGGTGATATTGAACACTGATGCCCGCTGCTGATTTGAGGCGTTCTTTTCCAATCGGGGCCTGAGGGGTCTGAATTGAAAGTTTGCTGATCGATGGAAAGCTGAAATTTACAAATTCATCAAATCAAGTTAGCCATATTCAAAGGAACTTAGCATGGAATTTCAAATCTCATTTCTTCTCATTTTGTCAAATGAATTCCACAATCACTATGTTATAACAAAATATCACTACCAAGAACCATACCAAACCATCAAAGGGACACTCCGTAATACGCCGTAATCACACACTGTGATATATGCAAAGTAGAACGCAATTGCCTATAGGTAATCCTTCTTCCGGCTCGTTCTCGTATATTGAGTAAGAGCCCACTCGACATCACCACCAGCATTTTTCTCTAACGTACCGCCTCGAATCTCGAAGAGCCGCATGGTCATACGAGGCCCCACCTCGGCCAATTCAACATCCTGATATCCTGTCTTAACAAAGACGTGATGCCGAACCTCAATGGCATCTTCTCTATTCCGGAATGTAACAACTCGGTTTCCGAGTTTTCCGCCGCCTTCTCGGGGAGGGAAAAGATGCTTAAGAATCTGAACAACTCGCTTTCCGAGTTTTGTGGTGAATCCTTCAAAGATCAAGTGCGGGTAACTCTCGGAAACAGTTCCTCTAGATGAATCGGGAATATCGGCTCGCAGCATAACGTTGTGCAATGAGAAGCTAGCAGTTGGTCCATGAGGAAGATGTGATATCGTGATTGCGGTAGGTGTGCCACGGTGTTCGTGCAAGAGGACCATATCTGTAAGTGCGGCGGCGTTCGCACTCGATACCAAATCAGGTAAGACAAGATTACCTCTGTTCAACCGAATAGAGGTCGGCAGCAATAACCGAATTTCTTTCGCGAAAGTGCTGAGTCGTGCTGACGGAGATCGAGATGTGGTGACCAGCGGACGAGGATCTACCAAACCAGATGTGAGGGCATATTCATCATCAACGTCCATGAACTCGTCATCTTTGCCTTGACCCTTGGAGGAACCGGAAGGCAGAGATTCGTCGTATTTGAAGTCTTCGCGGAGCTGGGAGTCATTAACGATGGAGGGATCGAGTGGTTTTCCAGATGCCAAGGCGGCTTTGAGCTTTGCACGCTTCTCGGCGATCGATGCATCTCGCAGTAAGAGCGCTAAGAGGATATTTAGTATTATGATGTTCAGGGTTAGGTCATGTCATACGGACCTTTTCGGTAAAGGTAATCCCTTCTCTCTCGTGCTTGTCGGCGCTGAATCAAACATTAGTCGATAATTCATTGAGAAGGAAGTCTCAATAACAGGCGAAAAGTTTGACTTACAATCATGGCTGTGGCTTTTGTAGACTGACTTGCTAATGAATAGGACAGGAGATCCAAAAGCTATATTTTTTTTTATTCTGCCAGTAAAGAATTGCGGTTATGGTCGGTCTCACCTCCCTGGAGGGGAAGCGGAGGAAATCGCGGCCTCTGATTCGTGGCTGCCGCATTACTCATGTATCACCGCCTTTGCGGAGGAGCTTTTCTTTGGCCGCCACACAATTTGGGTACTTCTGCTCCTGCTCCATCACCAATTCATTATTCCCTCGCTTCCGACATTCCAGTCATGTCGGCTTGAGTTTCTCGATAAACTCTGTCCTGCCGACTCAAAAACTGTTACTATCCAAGGACTCCTCTTAGCTCACCACAGAAAGACGTTGTACGACCCCGCGTGCTCGCCGCACCTCATACACGAATTCAGAGCCCTTATTTCCAAAGTCCGACGAATCAGTCAGCTCGTTATACAAACTCCTGGCCTGGCACTTTCATCTTAAGTCTACGGCCGACCTATCCTGAATGCTGTCAACCTGCTATTCAAGTTTTCATCTATACAACTCGTCTTCCGTCTCATAAACCAGAAGTGAATGCGTCCCCGCATGATCTTTCAACAATGGACGCGTTCACGAACATAGGAAACCATATGGTTTCCGACTCCGCCTCGACGATTAACGCAGATGATGGTTATTCTACGGTCGACCCTGACGAAAGCCTCCTAAGCCTGGCTGGTGGCGCCCGACGCAGGAGACACGATGACGAAGACGACGGTTCCGATGCTTTCGATGACGATGAACTGGAGAGTCTTGCAAGCGTTCCTGTTGGTGGTCGGCCACAGAAACAGAAATATGAAGAAGAAAAGGAACTTCCACCCCATGCATGCGCGTGAGTAAAGCATCCCAAATGAATTCAAATACGATACTAAGAATATGTAGGTATTGCGGTATACATAACCCAAGCAGTGTGGTGAAATGTCTTACTTGCAGTAAGTGGTTTTGCAGTGCGCGTGGAAATACTTCCTCCTCGCATATCGTGAACCATCTTGTCCGTGCGCGACACAAGGAAGTCCAGCTACACCCAAGCTCTTCTCTGGGTGATACGATTCTTGAGTGCTACAACTGTGGAACGAAGAATGCTTTTCTTCTTGGTTTTATCCCTGCCAAATCCGACACCGTCGTTGTTCTTCTCTGTCGCCAACCATGCGCCGCCATGCCATCGTCGAAGGACATGAACTGGGATACATCGCGGTGGCAGCCCCTTATCGAGGACCGGTCTTTTTTGCCTTGGCTTGTAGCAACGCCTTCCGATCAAGAACAACTCCGCGCTCGTCATCTGAGTCCACAAATGATCGCAAAGCTGGAGGAGATGTGGAAGGACAATTCATCCGCTACTATTGCCGATCTAGAAAAAGCCAATAGTGTTGACGACGAGCCTGCTCCGGTTCTACTGCGATATGACGATGCATACCAATATCAGAATGTTTTCGGTCCTTTAGTCAAGATAGAAGCGGATTATGATCGCAAGTTGAAGGAATCCCAGTCCCAGGATGGGTTGGTAGTTCGATGGGATCTCGGTTTGAACAACAAACACCTCGCTAGTTTCGTTCTTCCCAAACTGGAACTAGGTGATGTGAAACTCGCGGTTGGTGATGAAATGCGCTTGAAGTATACCGGAGAATTACGTCCTAAGTGGGAAGGGGTTGGTTATGTTATTAAGATACCCAACAATCAGTCCGACGAAGTTACGATTGAATTGCGCGCTAAGGGCGATCATAAGTCTGTTCCTACGGAATGCACCCACAATTTCACTGCAGACTATGTCTGGAAGGCAACCTCATTTGACCGTATGCAATACGCTATGAAGACTTTTGCGGTTGATGAAATGAGTGTTTCTGGATACCTATTCCATCGACTTCTAGGTCACGAAGTCGCCGCAGCGCCTATGAAGACTCAGATGCCAAAGAAGTTCAGCGTTCCCGGTCTTCCTGAGTTGAATGGTAGTCAGATCAACGCAGTCAAGAGTGTTTTGCAGAAACCGCTTAGTTTGATCCAAGGCCCTCCAGGAACCGGAAAGACGGTGACATCAGCTACGATTATCTATCATCTTGCCAAAATCAATGGAGGTCAAGTCCTTGTCTGCGCTCCTTCTAACGTTGCTGTCGATCAGCTTTGTGAGAGAATTCATCGTACTGGGCTGAAGACTGTCCGCGTTACTGCCAAGTCCCGTGAAGATGTGGAATCACCTGTTCGATTTTTGTCGTTACATGAACAGGTCCGAATGAATGATAGCAACATTGAGCTCAACAAACTCAATCAGTTGAAGTCAGAGTTGGGTGAATTGTCCAGCCAAGACGAAAAGAAATTCAAACAACTTACCCGCGCTGCTGAGCGAGAGATCCTCACAAATGCCGACGTTATATGCTGTACATGTGTTGGGGCTGGAGATCCACGACTTGCCAAATTCAAGTTCCGCACAGTACTCATTGATGAATCTACTCAGTCTGCTGAGCCCGAGTGTATGATCCCTCTTGTGTTGGGCTGCAAGCAGGTTGTACTAGTTGGTGACCACCAACAATTGGGACCCGTCATCATGAACAAGAAAGCTGCCAAAGCTGGTCTCAATCAGTCACTCTTTGAACGTCTTGTTATTCTTGGGTGCTCCCCGATCCGGTTGAATGTTCAATATCGTATGCACCCTTGCTTGTCAGAGTTCCCATCCAACATGTTCTACGAAGGTTCTTTGCAAAACGGCGTCTCGATGGCGCAACGCCTCCGCCGTGACGTCGACTTTCCTTGGCCGGTAGCAGAGAACCCCATGATGTTCTGGTCCAATCTTGGCAATGAGGAAATATCTGCATCTGGAACTTCTTACCTCAACCGAACCGAGGCTGCTAATGTGGAGAAGATTGTGACTCGATTTTTCAAAGCCGGAGTTCAGCCTTCAGACATTGGTATCATCACTCCCTATGAGGGCCAACGCAGCTACGTTGTTTCTTCTATGCAAGCGACTGGTACCTTCAAGAAAGAGCATTATAAGGAGATTGAGGTTGCGTCAGTCGATGCGTTCCAAGGCCGAGAGAAGGACTTCATTGTTCTCTCCTGCGTACGTTCTAACGACCATCAAGGTATTGGTTTTTTGAGCGACCCTCGTCGTCTCAATGTCGCCCTTACGCGTGCCAAGTACGGAGTGGTTATTCTGGGCAACCCAAAGGTCTTGTCCAAGCATCCTCTTTGGAACTATCTTCTTCTCCACTTCAAGGAGCGCAAGTGCTTGGTTGAGGGGCCATTGTCCAACCTCCAAGAATCTCTTGTGCAATTCAGTCGCCCTAAGCAGGCGTACCGAGGGCCTCAGAGGTTTCACATGGCCTACAACCATGCATCCAGTATGGCAAGCGGTATGTCCAACGGTAGAAACGGAGGTCGTCCTGAATATCATGACACGGGCTCTGTAGTTGGCTATATCCCGGACGATGTATCCTCTGTACACTCCTCAGCCGTCGGGGGTGTTGGTATTCCGTCCGGCTATCCTCCTATGTTCCAAAATTTTGCAGAAGCATGGCCGTCGCTTCAAGGAGGTCGTCGCGCCAATGGTGCTCGCAACAAGGGTGCTCCTAGTGTTGCTGGTGAGTCGGTTGCTGCTACGGAATCTGATGTGACGAGCAGCGTGATTGACGGTAAAGGGGGCCAAGGTGGAGTCAGTCTTACTGGTCTCAGTATCAACGACATGACAAAACAACCTAGCTTGAGTCAATCGGATAGACTCAAACGTTACGTCGAGTCAGGGGGCCGTGATGGCTACAAATCAGGAATCAACGATAGTGGCAGCATTTTCGGAGGTAGCTCGGCTAGCATTCGCGTACCTCGTGGGCCTGGACACACTCAGGACGATGATGACGCTCGCAGTGTCTCAACGGCATTTGCTAGTCAGATTGGTGGTAATTACGACTGAATGCATTGGCCATGGTAGCAGTAATGCATTCATCACTTCTCGAATTTCGCGTATGCCATCCAAGGTCTTCGGTTGGGCACCACAGGTCGTCTAAGACTATAGACTATGTCTTATCACCGATTGAACACAAAGCGTATAATTGATATTTCGTATCAAACCTACGTCTTGTCGCTGTGGCAGCCAGGCTCTGAAGATCTCAATCTGCGTTTGCGAAATCTGGTTGAACTTCCCCTTGGGAGATTTGTGTTCCCATCATGTCGACATGGCATCTGTTGAAGTAGTCGTTGAGATCAATATATGCTGGACGAGATTGTATAGTGGTCGGTCTTCTCGGCGTGTTATTCGCTTCGTTTTTGCGCTGGTTGCGATCACCTATCAATCCGCGCAGTTGAGGAGCAAGAGAAGGAAGGTGGTTTTTGTCCAGAGAGGTGAAGATTCGTGGATGATTGAGTTTGATGTTTTCAGACAGAGGAGTACTATTGCCATTCGTTTGAGTACAGGTGTAGAAACATGATATGGGGGATAGCTCTTATCAATTACATTTCCGACACCCGTCAGTGCCAGAATTGGTTGTTAGTGTCTCAATATAGCCAGTATCAAGGATGTTTCTATACAAGTTCTACTTTTCTTAGAGTCCTGCAGTTACGGTATGACTTAGTAGAACTTAACTCGTTTATGATGTTCAACTGTATTCAACAGTGGTAGACCACAGCAGAGCGCTTGACATCCTTGGACTGAGGCTGGACTAAAACAAGACTTACGGCTAGGGCTAGGGCTTGCACGGATGACCCATGATCTCAACATCGTCCGTTCATCACATAACTATTATGTTCTTCGATTTACGATAGCTATACATTTATTGGAATCAGGAGATGACGGTAATATACAGTACGGCAGATTCGAAGACTGCGCTATGGACACTTCGAGTTTGCACTTTGCAGGCAGGTTCCTGACCCCGATACATCCGGATGTTCAAAGATATTTCTACAACCCCGTTGGTACTCGGTTTACTTCATGTGCCGGTTTGATATGTAACTCAGACTAGTTGAGTCCTATCGAAGCAGCGGTGGGTTGATTCGTTTTGTAAACAACCTCATTCGATGGACAACCTAGGTATCACGGAGAAGACAACAAGCAGTCATAAAGAACAAAGGATTCTTTCTTCATACTTAACAAACTTGGAATACAAAAGCGACAAAGCTATTCATTCTCATGCATCTAGACCGCTAGTCAGTTCCCTTGTTCTCGGTTAATAGTAGTACGATTCATTTATGTATCATGTTAGCCCCTTTCCGAGACATCTTGATACAATTACATGCATCACCTCCAAAGCTAAACTATTACATATGTCCGTTCATTTTCCACAAATCTGGAATAATGTGCGGAGTATGAGCAAATTTTCTTTTACGTATCTCCATAGTAAATTAACACTTACCCGAACTCGTCCATCTTTATCTGCAAGGAATCAAAGTGTATCAAAATGAGTACCAAGGAACAAGCAAGGGCTTGGCTCTGACACACAATCTATGTCGCGCGATCACTGACCGAGAAAGCCAAGTTGGCTACAAATGGGATATAGACATTGAGATGGAGCTCTATTCATTGTCTCATTTTTCGTTTGAATAGAGACTTTTGTCCGATGTCCGATGTCGAACTGCCGGAGATAGAGGGGTATCAGATCTGGAGATTTGGTGGATCGTCTCACTGATAGGGTTCGTTATGCAACCCCTCCTCCAATGTAGGCATCTCTCGTTGTTCCTACCTATGTAAATACTGGGTACATACGTACATATTAGATGCATATGTATGTGTATCGACTCTGCTGCAAGTAAGGCCAACTTTTTGATTGCGTATTTTCTTTTCATGAGGAAGAGACATTGGTCTAGATTTACGCGACGCGCTTTTGAAGGCTGTTTTTATACCCTGACGTTGTACATTTGAATATCTGGGTAGTACGAAGTTCCTCAATATTCGGCTTGGTGAAAGGTTGACAATCTCCTCTCTTGGGTATACCTACAAGAGAAGCCGCTCATGATCAATGCTTTGCAATATCAAAATTCCGGATACATCTCTCAACATGCCGGCCGAGTACATATACCGTTCGCATCGGTCAGGATCCGACAAAAGTCATAGGCCAGCACTACGATCTCGCACGCAGACTTTTGTTGATTTGTCAAGCAGATTTTCTGCTCTGCCAGTGACATCTTCCTCATTCTCTTCTTCGACGATATATACGCACGAGGATGCAGGTCGAATTACCACCGCGTACGCCATCACGGTTACTGCTATCAACAATGGGAAAGACAACCTTCCTCGGAGAAGAGGGGGGAAAAGTGTTACGTACGTTGCAAACACAGATAACACTCCAACAGCTGCTGTTCGAGTTGTCACTATCAAGAAACCATGTCTCGTCGACAAACCTTTACCGTTGACCCCTCTTGAGACACAAATCCATGCTGTAGAGCGTCCTCGAATATGGAGTCAGTATGCCGGAGCCAGTGAGAAGAATGTCAAGCCGACTTCCCGACCTCCTCGTGTTAGTAAAACGCTGTTCAGCAGTGTTATTGAGCAGGCCGGTGAACTTGAACTTGTCGACATAAATGGAAACAAATTTCCGTTTCGGAAGCTATACTCTTCCTCATCTGGCTCTATGGAAAAAGGACGCCACGAAAAGGTCCTGACTATTTTTATTCGTCCGTCATTTTGTTGCAGGGTAAGTCCACTCTTTGCCAACTTCATCCAGAAACGATGGGTCTAACAGACAAACCAAAGCAACAACTACGTCGAAATTTTATCAAAGATTTCCTATCATCCCTGAGAAGCATTGATGAGCTCCCATGTGCTACCAAATTGGTCGTTATTTGGTGTGGAAGTCATATTCGACTGAGAAGGCTGATTCAGTCAACCCGATTCTCGTTTCCAATATATGCGGATTCTAGTGGTCTCGTATATCAACATCTCGAAAGGACATACGCAGTAGATGGCGGAGAACCTAATCTTTTAGGGTCACATCACACTCCAGGTTCAGCCGTGGCAGCGTTAAACAGCTTAGTTCAGTCGACCAGACTGATGAAAGGAGTGAATCATTTGAAGCATAGGGCAGCAAACCCTGAAATCGGAACAGCCTTTCTCTTCGAGTCTTTTGGGACTGTCAAAATGAGCTGGTCTCATCGAATCGCAAGTTCATCTGCTCATTCAGAGGTAGATGTCATACGACGAGTGCTGGGACTCAATAGTTACGGGGGCGAGAAGGAGGCAAGGTACATAGTATCCCCAAGAGATTCCAGACGGAGTAGTCGAGAAGAGGCGTTCGGAAGCGAAAACTCAAGTCAGCAGAAAAGGTTGCGTTCCACATGTGGACTCCCGGCAGGTAGATATGTCCATCGCCGAGCGGTATCTTGTACAGAAGGGTTTCAGACATGGCGACCGCGAATTTCTTGTCTTGCATGTTGAACTAGTTCCAAGTTGATCCGAAATGGGTGTTATGATAATGATGTGAGAATAGAACAGTATAGAGTTCAGTCAGTTACGCGGCCATGTTCGTGGACTGCAAGTCCCGGAGACACGTTTCAAATAAAACCAATCAATCCGGATAGCAGATAAAAACCTTTGGGGCCTAGAGGCGCTGCATATTCGCGTGAGTCAGTGAAGTTATACGCGCAAGCTGGATTATGGAAGGCCACGTAACCAGTGGGTGCTGATGTGTGAATATGTGTTATTAGCGCACAAAAAGCTATCGGAACAACATTGGTCCAGTTGAAGTTACGCGCTTGTATTCGGTTCCTCCATGTTAGATACTCAATTTGTTGATCAAGGTCCATCAGCGGCGAGAGGTATGCAAATCATCGGACATCCATATCAAATCGATGATCGTCGCAATAGTCGAGCGACTGTGCACCTTTAATTTTTAGCTTTGCACCGATTATTATTTGGTCAGAAATGGCATATATAAAATAGTCGAAAATTCTTGAGCAGTTGTCATTGTTGTGTGAGTCAAGAAGGAAAAGAGATGACGCGGCATCGGAAACAAAAGCCTTTGAAAGCCACGCAAGTCGAGAAAATCCCCCTGAACTTCCCTCCTCCACTCACTCCACCGTTCTAATCCCTTTCCAATGCTTATTTCTGCGCCATGCTGATGGTCAATTGTTATGGTCTATCCCTATCCGATCAACGCATCACATCTTGTCACTGATAAGTCGGTGGATCTTTCTCCACAGCATCGGCGTGCGTCATCTCAGATTCTTAGGGAGGACATCGCGATTCTAGACGTTAACTCAGTCATGAAGAAGCCAGTGACTTTTCAGGATGTGGACCTTCGTAGACTCAGTTACTAAGAATATGGAGAGTGCTGAGATCAACGACCGGTGGGGGAATGACTGAGAGATTCGTATAATACTGACCAAGTCTCTTCAAATTTGCAGTGTTTCAATCTGGGACACAGCTCCTTGTCGTTCGTTTTATATCGCGTTTCATCGATCTTTTGCAAACTGCAGAGCTTTGTCACTCATTACCACACGCTAAAATGCCATCTTATATGAGGCCGATCATAGCAGCTTTGGCTGCTGTACCGTATACTGCTGCACAGACCTTTACCAAATGCAATCCTCTAAACAGTATGTTTTCTTGTCAGCATGACATCCATGAAAATCTGTTGCACGTACTAACGAGGGATAGCAACATGTCCTCCGGACCCTGGTCTGGCAAACTATACATTTCATACTGACTTCACGACCGGCGACTCAGCTTTTGATTATTGGAATACGACTTCAGGCTCTGTAAATAGTACACAGCAAGGCGCTGCATTTGTTATCAATAAACAAGGAGATTCTCCCACTATACAGACAGATTTCTATTTCTTCTTTGGTCATGTCGATGTTAGGATGAAAGTCGCTAGTGGCACGGGTATTATCAGCAGCATAGTATTCTTGTCTGATGACCTTGACGAGATTGACTGGGTACGTCACTATCCCTTGTTGACAGATACGAAGCCTCAAAGCTGAAAATTCAACGTATAGGAGGGAATTGGGACTTATAACTATGAGATCGAAACCAACTACTTTGGCAAGGACAACACCACGAGCTACGCGCGCGCTACATATCCCAACGTCACCACTCCATGTGACGAGTTCCATATATACAGCATTGACTGGACTCACGAACAAATCCAATGGTTCGTTGACGGAGATCTCAAACGCACACTTGCATATGAAGATGCACTCAATGGCCAGAACTTCCCACAAACACCCATGGTGTTGAGACTCGGTATCTGGGCTGGCGGTGACCCCAGTGCAGGCGAGGGAACAGTTGAATGGGCAGGCGGCGAGACGGATTTTAGCGATGCTCCTTTTACGATGTATGTTGAATCGGTCAATATCACAAATTACTATCCTGCTGAGTCCTACACCTACGGTGACACCACCGGCGCTTATGCTAGCATTGTCAAGTCAAATTCAAGCAGTACTAGCAACTCCAGCGAGACAGCGTCGACGAAAAAGAATGGGACTACCACACTCGATACCAACAGTGCTAGTTATACTGGCTCAAACACGTCATCAAGTGCCGCCTCAGCAAATTCCTCGGTTGCTACTTCAACTGCCGGCTCTGTGGTTGCAGGACTGACGATGAGCCCTGTAGCTGTCATGTCGGCTGCTGTTTTGTACTTATTCATGTAACGCTGTTGTGATCCTTGCAATGCGACTATCATACAGCTAGAAATTATGTCTCAGACGAGTCCATTCAATATTTTAGTCTATATTACCCACTGATAAGCTGTATCCATGACATTCATAGTAATCAAATATTGGAACTAATCTTCTATCACGATCGTCATTCCCATCATTGCCACTGGTACCAAGGCATAAGGTAGCAATGCATACAAACGAGTCTAGAGTTAGAACGTCTATTGTACCTTTTTCCAAATGCGATGCCCGCTGATGCTTTAGGGGTGGCAAATTTTTATACTATGTACCTTACTTATAAGTCTAGTGAAAATGATGTCAAACTCAATTGCAACTTTCTTGTTCGATAGCTCCCTGCCCTATATGCACCTAAGATAGGACCACAGGGATTAAAATTTCCGATGGTTAATTCCACCAACCGGCAAGTAAGTCTGGCTTGTTCTAATGTCGAAGGAACATAGAGAAGGAGAAAGGAATGAAAAAATTTTCTTCTTTCTGCATGGGGAGTCAAAATTAACCTTGCCACTGCCTAAGCTAGGATGTATGTACTAGTCAGGAACACCCTATCAGTCTATGATGTTACTGTCGCATTTTGATAAGAGGAAAAAAAATATGCAAGACTACATAGGTAGGCACACAAAGATTGATGTCGGACAAATCTCATAAAAACAGTTGAGACGTAAAATGATATTGTGTCCTTTTCGTTATTGACCTCCAGATCGAAATGTCCAAAGTAGGAAGAAATTACCCGGAAAGGAAATTTTCTCTATCCTCATGGATGAGAGTGGTTAAAAGAGGAGTACGCTTTAGAACAACATAGAACAGAAGAGAGAAACAGAAAAGCAAGGAACGGGCAAACGCCTCTTTTCCTCCAATCTGGTTTTTCCAAACATTGTTCTTGCTATCTGAGTTAGTCCATAAGTGACTGTGGATAGCAACCGGGTCAGCCCTAACTAAGTTTATCTCAGTTGATACCTGGGTAGATGCTATGCGGCCTGCGAGACACAATTCATCTTCCATCAACGTAAGTATAATAGTACTCCCTCTGCCATATTAGTGTACGTATCTAACCTAATCATCTGGCTTACCAAACAGGCAACACTAATGTCCAAACAAAACCCTCCATTTTGGCGTTCAGCTCGCCGCGGAATTTACCTAGGTATACATGCCAATATGCATCGGCGTAAGCAGTAGTTAATCAATGTGGAAGGTCCAGGACCAGTCCAGTCCGATTCCGAAGTCAACAGATCCATGGGATTTCCATCCTGACTAGAACCGATGCTCATACCCTTAACCTGGGGAGTACAGATCTCGACTACCTAAGGGCAATCCAAATCGATCATCACAACAGCGATGTCATGAAATTCAACTGATATTCATAAATTAGCTACATTTATCCGATATCATCTGCGTACTCACACAATCACCATGGCCCTTATCATCCAAACGAGAAAAAGAAAATAAAAAGTTCCAATCTCAAGCTCGAGCCCCTTGAATACCTACATACTCGCAGCTCGCTTTGGTCCCCATGTCAATTTTTCCCCGCAATTTGCGTACCCTAGTTACCCTACTTAACGTACATAAACTAAGGCTTTACCTAAGGTACCGTGGGAACATTAGTTACATTTCGTATACACAGGACCTAAATGGGCCGTACATACATGAAAAGCCGTGACACGGCATGTTTGGCTCGGTTATTGAGTTTTTGTAGGGCTAGTAATGTAGTACGTATCATGGGAGTGGATTTACCAGAGATAGTGTAATGAGTATGTATGCAGATAGCGGTGGATTTGATTGAATTGTTCCATTTGGCCGCGCATTGCGCCGGAAATATCAACCGTCGATTATTCTCATTTATCTTGGATATTTTTGAACTGATAACAGGAATAGTAACCTCGGTAATGGATCTAACTGCTTGGTTCAGACAGATCCATATTCATTCAACTGGTTACTGACATGTTAACGTTATTGATTGAGGCATTTACATAAACAGGTTTCTTCGTTGATCGTTCAGGTATTTACGTCGGATAGATAATAAACTTGTAGCTCTTGAATAATATTAATGGGATATTATTATCAACCACGGAGACGAGGATATGTTTAGAAGCACAAAAGCCAAAGGAGAAGTCATACAATGCCTACAATAGCCTTCCTTCCAGCGCGGCCATGGACTCTCGGACTCTGGCTTGATTGATAATCAAAGTCAAGAAAACGGAAATAGAAACTTGCATTGCATACAATAATATCTGCATACGAAAACCATCTACTAGAAGGCCATGGAATTCCAGCTTCGGAAGTGCCCAGTCTTTTAATTATTGGAAGGAAATCATATCTATTACCCGCGTTTTCATATATTTTTTTGATCAGAGTCAGGTGGCCTGACCTGATATATCCGTGTAATATAGACAATTCATTCCGGTAGTTATAGGTGCAATGGTTATAGTTAGCATGATCAGTGCGGCTCGTGCCGTTGTTAGTACTGTATCACCATATGGCCAGCCTCATGTGATATCCGAGCCCTGACTGACTTTCAATCAGCTCTTTCAGCCTCAAAGTCATAAAACGTGGGTAGCACAAAGAGTCTTCGAAAGATATCGCAATCCCATATTTCATCTGAACGAGTTCGGAACTCATCGGATACCTGCATGAGGGGCGCTGTCAATAGCTTTGTCTGACGCAGAGAAAAGAGATTTACTTGACGCATAATGAATTATTCTCCGCATAATAGCCAGTCAGCTCATTACGCAATTTACAATCCGATATTCGTAGTAGAGTGAGGCGATTTAGTTTGGGAGCTTGGATGTTCTGCTTTGCAGTTGGTCCGCTGCAGGAAGCCCTAAGTAGTATACTGTAGATATATGGTTAGTTTGGGTCAACTCAGCGATAACACATGGAGTAAAAGAAGAGAGGCTCATGCACTCGGTGTAGTACGTATGCTCCAACTGCCAAGATAGGTCATCACGTCTATGGATGATAACGTGGTTTGATCCCAATGCCATGCAGATGCAGGCACGCGAAAGGGGGGATGGCAACATCAATGGATAACAGATGGCAGATACTTGAAGGATTGATACACTGTGTTCAGGCCCCTCCTGTCAGCAAGTCAGTCAGCTTCTAATTTATAATATTCAAACACCAAGTGATATGACTGACTTACTGATACTTAGCTGCAAGGCTACGAATGGGGCCTTCGTCTCTCCCGCACCACCTGGACATGGTCAACATGCAATTAACTAATAGTCGGATCCAAACGAGACACGAGGCGCAACTTTCCAGTCGCCTGGGTACTTAGCAGTATTTTAGTACGTCCGTCCGTATCGGCTCTCCGAGTCATCAAGACAATAAGGAAATGCAAACCGTGAGTCATCTCAATGCCAATCCAACCGTAAAATATGTTGCGCATGGAACGTGGCCCTAAACATCTGAGTAAGCACGCCGTGGGTTAAGTTGATTCGTCTTTTCTAGAAATAGCACATCATTCAACGTGGTGATGCTGAGCATGCTCAGCCTTGGGGCTACGACTCGTAATGTATCTAGAATTTACTGTATACATACAAGTATTGTCATTACCATCCATCCGACTGTTTTGGATAAATTAACCACCTTTTCTTGAAAATTCTCTACCAAATTTGCCAATTACGTTGGCATCCATTCGTTGATTATCCGTACAGATCATATTCTTATTGGATGTAATTTCTCAACAATGGAAAAATGAGTCGATGATGTCATTCATTATCCTGTATGTTGGATTGGGAATGCGACGGTACGATGGTATCCGGAGTATTACCGGCGGTTATTTTGTTCCTCTTGTTGATTGATAACAAGGTGACCAGCAGATCTTCAGTTTATTAGAATGTGCAGGCATAGAGAGAGCGATCTTCGACGTTCGCAATAATTGTCAGATGATACTGATGAGAGCAAGTTGATTGGATACGTCATGCACCAATCAATATTCAAGTGCGATAGAATTAGAGAACGATAGATTTCTGAATGGAAGATTTCACACGTCCGCTTTCATACAATTAAATACGAGAAATAATTATCACAAAACATCCACCCAATGAGCATACAACTCGGCTCCCTCAGAGCTTCGCTCCAAGCTTGCCGTGCCGCAAACGGTCTCCGTCCAGGAACAAGAACTTGACACCGCCAGGGAGGCAAATACTCGGTAATTACAGTCTGATTTATCAGCTCTGAAGCAAAAGGGGCAGATATCAGCACATTTCTCAGCTATTCTCAAATACTACACATACTTTGTACTATGTACAGGACATGCATTATGCTAGTCAAGTTACTCTACAACTAATATTTTCATGGATGTGTCGGCTTATTCCGATAAGGTACAAAGCACCGCCACTGTGTGACTGTTGCCGTACGGGCCGTAGATCGACTTGTTTAGTATGCTCTAGTATGTATTGTGCTTTGTATTGAATACTATTTAATACGATAATTACAGTACTGAAATGTAAACTGTGCGATATATATAGATAAGCCCGTATTCGGCGGGGATACGACTCCGTGCCCTAATCGATAAGCTGATAGGATCGCGAATAGAGAGACGACAGCCCTGTGTATGGAGCAAAGATAACTACGTACTAAAACTTCATGAGAATTAATTAAAAACAATCAACGTATATGTTCCCATGACTCCATCTCTTCCTTGGAATATGCATGCTGTACGAAAGAATGCAGCTTGCATATACCACTAAAAACAGACAAATAAAAGCAGATTGCACCTCGACCGTTGAAATTTAACTAATAAACGACAAATCAGGCGTGCAGGAGTTAAGTACGTAGCTAGTGAGCTAGTTAGCCAGGTCTTCCGAGTCACGCGGGCACCACCCCTCATCGTTCTGAAATGATTTCTGTCTGTCTTTCTTGCCAATTACAGGTGGTAGTTCTGCTTTGAGTGATTATTGATCGCTGATGTGTTTAAGGATGCGCCTCGGTATTTTGTACATGATAAGGGATTGGTCTATGGTTGATCGCGATGACGGCTTACGAGTCTGCCGGACTCGGCATATTGATCATTTGGCGATTACAAGGAAGCTGCCTGCCAACGCTACATGGATTGATTAATTATTGAAATCAACCGATTGAATACATCCGTGGCACAGCTAGACGACCACGTACAGTCTTAGAGACGGTAAGCAGTATGCGGGGTTCAAGCAATCCCACCTCATAACTTGACAACTTCGCAGTAAGGACGTCTGGAGGCTACCTTACCATTCCAACTTACCCTGCCTGCAATGCAATCCTTCCGACTAAACTACGTACCTAGTGATAAAACACCCCTGTCCAAATCATGCAGCATGCGGCGGTTAGCAGCAGATTGAAGTGCGAGCATGGTTTGAATGATTTGACGTGCATACATACTTAAACTACATGGATAGGATGGGTAACATACCCTAGTCATCGGCACGCTCCGGGTTTCGTAACGTTGCTTTTTATGCCTGTTTTTGGGAGCAATTCCCTTGTCTTGGTACCGTATGACTTCGTACCTACCTACTACCAAGGCATGGGGGTGGTTCCATAAATACGAGGTCGTCACGGGAAAAGACTCCGAGGAGTATGGAGCACGTAGTCCATGAACCTCTGTTCTGAGCGAACACCTGACGATCAAACAGAAAAAGAAAATAAACTTGGGGCTCACCGCTATCTTAGGCAGATCTAAATCTTTCACTTGCGTATATCGGATCTACGTATCTTTTGAGGAAACCCGACCATGTTGAAGGAGCGGTGTCTGCTCCTAAAAAAAACAATAAACTTAGCCCTAAGCCTTGGCTAAGACATTCAAGTTTCAGTACGTATGACATGGACAGGAAATGTTTCTATGATCCGAATGTCCGAGATATGAGACAAATTCTAACTTCTCGTTTCTAACGAAATTACCGTATACGGTAATTATTCGGTGAATATTTTTTTCTGGCATATGGGAGGTTTGACTTTGACCGACTTTCGGTTCGAAGTCATTGGATGTTTATCTATTCTTTGTATCTGACTTACTGGTTACTCCATATAGCATAAGTTACGACCAGCTGTCATCAATATGACTATCGTGCGAGCTTTGTAAGTACATTACAATTACAGCACACGCCTTCGAAACATGTAGGCCCTCTACTTCAATGTTTTTAGCTGCCAGCGAACGAATCATGCCCCGCATGATAGGGCAGAGTAAGTTCTGTGGCGTCCAGTAAGTACGGATTCCATGGATGCTTCTAATTTTTTTCTTTTTTGCTTTCTCGAATCTTGCCCGGTCGAGGACTAGGCGAGTACTGACAGTATGGGGTACACGGCATATCAGCTGAATATAGAACTTGCATCTCCACTTTGCGCAGCCTGCCCTATGGCTGTCAATTGATGAAACAACTCATCATTGATCAGGATGCGGGACCATGTCAGAAAAACAAATCTTGAAATGCCTCATCACCAGTTGTATTCCGATTCTGCCAATGAAATAATTTTCCTACGGACCAGCTTAATCTCTTATTCTAGTGTTTTGGTGTCAATGATTCATCATCCCAGTGCCGGAAATGAGGGCCGAGTTTCGAATTAGGGTTGGGTTACGTCTAAGGCATCCCTTATATTTCAGGGATCACAACGAAACAGACTGCTGAATCAGTAATTAATCAATCAATCCAAGTTTAGTCGGGCTTCTTTGAAGTTTGTGGCTATGTCCAGTTGGTTGGATTTTAAATTGGCTTGGGAACATGTTAGTCAGTCATCGAGCTGAAAGTTCAGTGGAATAGATGGGTTCCTTTGTTAGGTCAGGAGAGAAATAGGATGATTGCAGCTGGTCTCCCAATGTAGGTTTTCTTTGGTATGTTGGGACCTCTGCTAGGCGTTCAGCAAAGACTTTTCCGTAGTTAACTAAGTAATTCCCGAATCTCTCTCCACATTCTCCCTGAAATCATTAATTTCTAGCATCATAGCGCAGGGATATAGCGTTCTATGATCATCGAACAGTGAGATAAGGATAATCTTAGGTGAAACGGTCGATTCATTGCTGGTAAAGTTTAATACAATGTAGGTAGGTAGGTATGTAGGTATGTATGTATGTATGTATGTATGGTAAAATACGTGTTCTCTTAGATCTAACTATGTAGTTGACTGTGTTGGGTGACAGTAATCTAAGAGTTGTCATCCAGCATGCAGCGAAACGGCCACGATGGATTTGATTTACTTGGGCATCATGTACTCTGTTTCCCTTCCGCTAGTCTCCGTCTCTCGTCGAGTCGTTTGAATTCTTCGTCCAGTATCAGCTTTCCATTCCGTTTGTGAAACGTTGAAGTTCTTGGTCTGATCTTTACTCCCAATAGGAATCAAGCATAGCGACTGTCGTAATATGGGTACTATCGTGATGCTTTTCTTGGGCACCCAGGTGGTCATTTCTCAAATCTGCTATATAAGAAATGCCGCAGCCTCTTTCCAGTTCTTTCTCTTCAAAAATCCTCTTCAAAAAAAAATTCTAATTCAGAAATTGAATTCAAAAGTCAAAATTTCGTCAGTCTGCCGTCAAAATCAGGCAATCCATATCGACCCGTGGGAGAGTGACAGGGAATAATTAAATTACACGCAAACAGGATTCATCGTACGATACCGCTGTTTCGTTTCATCGTTAATTTACCAACACGGTAATATGGACCGCAGTGTCGGGACATGACACTAATTAGACTAAGCAGGGATCATTGACGAAGCAGGCGTATTTTACACTACATACCAGCCCGTTGGTTGATTGTTTTACCTTTTACCTTATTTTATTTTTATTGTTACATGGTAAGTTTTATTTTACATACATACATACATACATCATCGTCCATACAATGTCACCTTTCTCTTGACAGCCTCAGGCCATCACCGAAATTTCTAGTACAAAATTGAAAATTGCAGGAAAACTGGACGCCCCACATTGCCCAGCTGCTGCCTCTTTTGGTGCTTCCGCTCCTTCCCCCCCTTCGTTCCTTTCCATAAGGCAAAGAAGAAGATCGTCACTACTTCTATATCTCCCTCCCCTTTCTCCTATATCTTGACCTTCGTTTCGATTCACTTCACTTCACCGTTAATTAACATCGTCAACTCCTTGCGCAGAAAGCTTCTCGACTGCCAATTGCTTACCTCCGAGAATAACGTCACCTCCGGAAACAACTTTTTTTTTTGCCGAAACCCCCCCAATTCCGTCCGCCAAAGTGACTCAGTCTCTGTTCAACATCCCTTGAAACAGGACTACGCAGACGGCATTTTCATTTCTCCTCGACGGTAAACTTGCAGAAATTATCTGTACATATACGCGTCGCATCTATCGATATATCTGCCGTACTCCTCTGTCCAGCGCAATCGTCCATTCGTCCAACAATAAATTTGTTCATCTGCAGGTTCCCGCCCGCGCATCGCTTCAAATACCGATCCTCGACGCTTTTTTCTCAATTTGAACCCCCGCGTTACGACTAAAATCGAGCCGAACTTGCGGGACAAGGCAGCGCTCTCGTTGAGCTAAAGAAGGGAGAGACAAAAGTCATTTTCAAGAAAAAAAAATATAGAAGTACTATCAACTTGGCGCATTCAATCAATCCCTGCCTGCGTCTGTCCGCCGAGTCTACCCACACGCATCGCCATAATTACCACCACGCTCTTGCCCGAAACGATCGCTGCAGATTAGTTCAGACTTACCGCTTTGGATTACTTGCATAGCTTTTGCTGCGTTGGCAAAAGGAAGAGTCGGTCTCCATATCCCACTTACTAGTTACATGACCCATTTGCGGCCGACCCAACATCGTGCCATCCCACGCTCGACTTCATTGCACGCCTTGTCGCCATTCGCGGACTTGTTTCTGGCTGCCTCACCCCCCTCATTTTTAACGACTTAAGACGCGACAGGCTGACGACAATCAAGACGACCCATTGGCATCCTTCGCCCCGCTTCCGTGCTTTACGGTGGTGACGCGCCGAGCCGAGCCATACCTTTCTTTCATTAGATTACAGACGCTGCACATTGCTGGCTTACGTGCATAAAAGCCGCATTTGGAGCGTCATTGTCCCCTCTCGCCTATCGAGCAGCCTGATACTGGCATTGACACTCAATTGAGGCCTGATTAATCTATCAACATTACTTGCAGAGTATAGCACGCTCTGGTTCGCTTCAATTGATCGGCATACCAGGAATTCTCTCCCGAGGAATAATATTCGTGGATATTCTCAATTGACATCCCAGGCAGGAGGACTGTTCAATTGCCGCATCAGCCAATACAGAGCTGAAGAAAAAAAAAAGGTCTGGAGTTCGCTGTTACAGTCTTGGGTGGTATAAAAACGCATCGCACGGTCGTACGTCATTGGAAGTGACACAAATTCACTTTCATATCTCGCCTTACTTTTCCTTTTTGACTTTATAAAAGCAAATACATCGAGGTCGTTTCGCCCCGTATCGGCGCCCTCGGGAAGGGCTGACTCCACGTTACTGCAGCATTCCAAGATGCAGATAGCTAATCGCTGACCACGTACATCTCTGGGATCCGATTCTCTCTGAATCTACCTATTTTTTGTTTTTATTACCGCACAGACCGGATACCTACAGGCAGCTTCGTCTGCTTACTTGTCCCGTGGCTGGTCCAGGTGACTCAGAGTCTGACACTGGTGTCGCTCATATCTTCAGCTCTTCCTTTCCGCCATGAATTCCACAACTTCCTCTTCTTCCGGCAATAATAGCGTCTCGTCTAAATTGTCAACGTCTTCGCTGGCCCGGGGCCCGAAATTGCAGAATGTTCTCACGTCAGCATCTTTTGGCATTGCTGCCAATATCAATACTGCTTTTTCCGCCGCCTCATCAGTCCCTTCGAGCGCTATCACTTCTTCCACAACAACATCTACTCCTACCACCGCTACTACCACCACGTCAACCAGTCCTACTTTTGCTCCTCGAACTAGTTTCTCTAATGCTTCAAGCCCCGCTGGAACACCTTATATGCTTGCTACTGACAGCAGTCGTGGTCGTTACCTCCAAAGCACATTGGCATCGCCGGCTCCCCTCGAGTTGGACGAGTCCCTTGACAACATGATGGCTGTAAACAGCATTCCTTCTGTTCCGCCCCAACCCATTGATCAAGTCCCCATTACAGCAAAGGGAACTACAGGCCTGATGCGCAGGATCTCTCGAGGCGCAGCAAATAAATTAACGAGACGTCGTCAATCGTCCACCCAACGTGACAAGCGAGAGAGGAGCTCCGGCCCTGTCATCATGCGAAGACGAAGTGACAGCAAGACTCATCCTCTCACCGGTCGAGAAAGTACTCTAGATTGGAGTTTCGACGACGAAGATAACGACCTTTATGAGCCATTTAACAGCGGCTGGGCTGGCTCCGAAGCGACCAGCATCAGCAGTGATCTCCCTGGCACTATTCTGCCTCGTGAAGCCGGTGTTGTGGCTCCTAAAGTCGATTCTGTACTTCAGCGTGGCACATTACTTACCAAGGTCACCAAGAAAAAGAAAAAGCAAGTTCGCTTCTTCTTGGACCTTGAAGCCGCAAAAGTACGATGGGATTTGTCTAACCCTTCCAAAAGGTTCTATATTGATGATATCAAACAAATACACGTTGGTGCAGATGCTCGCAACTATCGTGAGGAGTATCAGGTTTCAGCTGAAGCCGAAAGCCGATGGATTACAATCGTCCTCCACGACCCCGATCGATCAAAGGGGTCGTCCAAGTTCATGCACCTCATTACCCCTGATGACTATACTTTGGAACTCTGGACCGCTACTCTTGAGCATGTCATGCGTTACAGGATTGGTCTAATGACCGGACTTACAGGATCCAGTCAGAGCGAATCTTCACTACGTAACAGCTGGCAGCGCGAGATATCTAGAATGCACTCAAATAAACTGCAACCTGCGGAAACCGAATTCTTGGACCTACCTGCCATTGAGTCTGTCTGCCAAAGTCTGCATATCAATTGCTCAAAAGATATGCTTCGCGCTCAATTTGCCAAAGCTGATGTCACAGGGAAAGGTAACTTGAATTATTCAGAATTCAAGGAGTTCATTGCTGGTCTGAAAGAGCGCAAAGATTTGAAACAACTATATAAACAGCTTGCATTGAGCAACCCTGAAGAAGGTCTGAGTCTTGACGAGTTTCTCGAATTCCTTCGCGTTGTTCAACGGGAAGATATCATTCGTGATAGGGATTACTGGTCGTCGATCTTTGAGAGGGTTGTACGTCGAACTCGTGCTAGAGCAAACAGTCTGCCGGAGCCTTCAGACACCAATCTCCCACGAATGAACTTGGATGCTTTGACATCCTTCCTCCAGTCAGAAGCAAACGGCATATACTCTTCTCATGCGCCTGAATCTCGCTTTGATCGTCCGTTGAACGAATATTTCATTTCCAGTTCACATAATACCTACCTTCTCGGTCGCCAGGTAGCTGGGGCCTCGAGCACAGAAGCTTATATTACTGCTCTTCAACAGGGATGCCGCTGTGTTGAAATCGACTGTTGGGACGGGTCTGACGGTCGTCCCATTGTTTCACATGGACGTACCTTAACGACTAGTGTCTTATTCGCTGATTGCATCACTGTGATCAACCGATACGCCTTTATTTCTTCTGACTTTCCTCTGATCCTGTCACTAGAAGTCCATTGCAATCCGGAACAGCAATTCGCAATGGTGAAGATCATGAAGGAGACATTTGGAGAGCAGTTGATTCTCGAGCCTCTACTTACCAACTGTGCAATACTCCCGTCACCAGAGGAGCTAAAGAACAGGATTTTAGTCAAAGTCAAAACTTGCGATGAGCCGCAGAGCAGCTTTCTCCCTGAGGAAGTCCCTACGAAAAGCAGTTTTCATGGTCGCAAGCGAAGCTCCAGTACCCCGTTCTTAAGAAGCACAGGCTACGAAAGCCTTCACGGCGCCGCCGGTATTCCACTCTCGAGTCCTCCATCAATCGGGCCACCATTAGACACAAGCATGCCAATGCCCGTAATTGCCCCAGGACGTCGTTCGGGAACAACCACTAGCCTGAGCAGTGCCACAGAGGATAGCGATAGTGCACTGATCAACGCCAATAGAGAGAAGAAACGGCGCCAACGAAGCAAAATCACTAAGCCGCTGTCTGATCTCGGTGTCTATACGCGCGGTTACAAGTGGCACAGCTTTGCTGCTCCCGAGAGCAAGCAATACAATCACGTCTATTCATTTGCAGAACGGGCTTACGAAAGTGTGTGCCGTGACGCCGAGAGTAAAGCCCTGTTTGAGATTCACAACAGACGTTTCCTCACGCGAGTCTACCCGTCAGCCTTCCGCTTAAAGTCATCTAACTTCGATCCGACGTCGTTCTGGCGGAGCGGCGTTCAAATGGCCGCCCTCAACTGGCAGACGTACGATATTGGCATGCAGATGAATCAGGCAATGTTTGCTGCTGGCACTGATCGTACTGGCTATGTGCTCAAACCTGAGGCGTTCCGTCGGCCTGCTTCCGCGCTAGATGCATTCAGTGAAGGGAAACTCGCTACTACAGAGCGGGAAATTGTTCGATTGTCTGTTGATATCATTTCAGCTCAGCAGCTCCCACGACCACGAAGCATGGGACCAGACGACAATATCAACCCATATATCGAAGTTGAGATGTATTCAGCTGATGATCGTGGACAGTGCGTTGCCCTTGGTGGCGGCGGACAAGACGTATCGGCTCGTAATGGCATGTCTGGATTAGGGCTACCGCATCGCCGTCGAACCAAGATCGAGGCAAGCAACGGGTTTAGTCCAGTGTTCAATGAGAAGCTGTGGTTGGCTGTTGAGACCAAATATCCCGATCTTGTCTTTATTCGTTGGACGGTTTGGAGCTCACCTGATGGACGTACTGGTGGAAGCAGCAGTGCTATTCAGCTTGCCAGCTTTACTGCAAAATTCAGCAGTCTGTCTCAAGGCTATCGGTATCTCCCATTATATGATGACAGCGGAGATCAATACTTGTTCTCTACGTTGTTCTGCCGAATCACCAAGGAGGAATTAGTACCAGTCCAGCGCTTGGACCTGGACGAACTCAAGGCCGAGCGAAAAGGACTGTTACAACAGATCAGTCAGACTGTCAAACGAACTCGCTCCAAAGACCGTGATCGAGCTATGAAAACCGGTGCTGACCGAGTTGATTCTGAGTCTATACGAAGCAAAGATTATTCTCCGTTCTTAAGACCCGTGGGGTCTGCATCACCGACAATTCCACCATTGAATGCACTTTCTTAAACGACAGGAAGTGCGCTGCTTATTCCTTTCCTTTTTTTTCCTTGTTCATTACAGATTGAATCATTTGCTAGCGTCATATTATGGAATCAGGTCAACAGGGATGGCGTTATATTATAAGGAGGGACAAGTCCATTCGGCATCACTGCATAATCAATTTTTCGGGCATCATCGTTATTTTCTTCTTTTTGCATCAATATAATTCTCGAATCGCTGGCGATGGGACTTGTTTCGAAGTGGCGTTTGTTTTCTATCATGTACATTTTTCATTTGTTTGAGATTCATCATCATATTGCCATGGAAAGGTGTCTGTCATCATCATCATCATACATCAACATATTGTTTGTTTGCTTTGCATCGGGACTGTGTCATCCAAACTTTTGCTCCATCATCATCTTGCTTCTTGTGTTTTGTTTCCGACGAGCAGCATACTGGATTTGTTTACTGTTTGTGTATCTACATACTATTCTCATCTGACGATACCCCCCAGCCAAGCCTTGTTACGGCCCGTTGCTCTGTGGACTGATTGTCTTGATAATGTATCTTATAGTCGAATGGACTTATCTACTTGCTTCAGTCATGGGTATCGTAGATTAAGTGATAGGGCTGGGCTAAGCCACAGAGTGGAGCCTAATCTTTAAGGCCGAGCTGAAGAGGATCACAGCCCCCACTAGTCTGCGATAGGAAGCAACCTGCGAATATTGTTGCCTCAGTTCATGTATTATTCATTTCTCTTCTGTATAAATATTTGGCGAACGTCGAAAAAGTCAGTGTATGTGTCTATAGTTAAAGAAAGCCGACATGACAAAGAAGGGTATCCAAGAACAGCACACCGACCAGTCTGATATTCAAGATCAATCGCATCAAAATGCGGAGAACCATGACAACAACATCTTCGATCAAACATTCACCTCAGAACCACCACCATACTCCAGCTCAATACCCAACACCGCAATCCCACGACAACCATTAAGGACACCAACAACCAGCACAACAACAACAACTTCGCCAACCCCATCATCAACGTCAGCAACATTCCCCCTCATCGACTTCTCCAAATACTCCATCCCCGACTCCTCACTCTCCAAAGACGGCTCAACAATCTCAACATACCACCCATCCTTCTCCACCAACCCGGCAAACCTGGTCAAATTCATCCAGGAACAAGCAGCTTTGCCTCCCTTACCGTATATCCACATTCTAGGTGACGATCCTACAGGTCTGCAGCGCGATTTTGATATTAAGATTAATATGTTACCCATGTTTATGAATCAGTCTTTTGCTGGCGGAGGAAAGCAAAATCAGTGGAATTATGTCCGATTAGTGGCGGATGGAGAATTGGCGTATCGCGGGAGAAGTGATGCTGCGATTTCGCCTGCGGTGAAGGGTGGATTGGATGAATGGGCTAAAAAGTTTTGTAAGGAGAGTTCGGCTGTGAAATCGTGCGTCCCTTTACGTTCTTTCTCCATACAGGCGTATATATACTTGTTACGTGCTAATGACTGGGCAGATTTACATTAACCCGCCAACTCTCCAACTGGAATACGAGTTATATCGAAGGTCAAATCCGAAGTCTGATCGCTTCAACCGGGTACAACAAACCCGTCACTATCACATTCCCCGTCAAATATTCGAAAATAGTTGTCTATCCACCCAAATCAAGCAGTTTCAATAGCTTTTTCACCACGTTGATGTCACCGTTACTTGATAAGAAGCGGTACGAGGTTGTTCGTGCTGTGTGGCCGTATGCGTCGTTACCACCTGGTCCTGAAACAACTAACCGTGTACCGGTTGTTCAGAGCGAGGAGATGTGGTGGGAGGAATGGAGGGATGTGCTTCGGTGGGCGATTGTAAGTAAGAAGTGTTCTGGGTGGGTTTCGGTGGATGATATGTTGGAATTTAGGATGGCGCCGGGGAATCATTCTTAACCCCTATATGATTTACTAAAAGCGTATAGTAGTTTCATTATAAGCAGTTTCATTCATTAGTATAATCTATCTACTCTTCATGACGACACCTTGGGCACATATTTAGCAGCAGCCGTGTCGAAGAAAGAGCTCTTTTCCGCCAAATCAGTAATGAGCACATGTGATGGTTGAAGAGATTCCAATCGTCTGCCAATATATCAGTATACCACATAAAAGTCATATTGAAAGGGGAAAACGTACGACTTCAATTCAGCAGTATCTTTACCCGTAAGCACATTCAAGACAATCGTATTAGCAATCAACTCCACATCCTCGGAGTACTTTTCCAGAGCCGATGTCAGTGCGGCTTCTGCCTCTGGTAACCGTCCCAGATGTAATTCGGCAATGGCTTGACCGACAATGGACAAGGGGGCGGTGGTGTTGGGGTTTGAGGCTAGTTCTTCGTAGACGTAGAATGCGGATTGATATTTTTCGCCGCCCTGTTCGCTATGTTAGAAGTAAGTTAGGGATTGTTGTTGGAGGGTTGGGAGACATACAACTCGTAATCCAACCCATGACTCTGCGATATTGACAAGGAGCGAATCTTGTGCCCAGCGCTTTGCGGCGGAGACTTCCTTTACAGCGAGATCGACGCGGTTTGTTTGGAGGTAGATCTGAACTGTAAGAGCGACTCTGTATAACCACATCAGCGATGCTCTCCCTATTTGTGTATAGGGTGGTGAGACTCACGCTTCAAGATTCCCCTGATGCCTCCCAAGCAACGCCAACGCCTCCTCCGTCAATCCTTGCGCCTGCAGCACCGTGCCCACCAAAACCTGTACAGTTGCATTCTCACTCTTCGTCTCCGCCAATTTCTGTGCTAGAGCCAACGCCTCCTCCGTATTCCCCGCTACTTGTAGTGCCAGCGCCTTTACAGCCGCCAAATCTGGGACGTCATCGTCGTTGTTGGTTTCCGCCTCGATTTCACTCAGGACATCTTTCGTTTGTTTCAAGGCGATTTTTGCGCGCAGTTGGAGTATTCGTGATGGGAGGGCGTTCTCGGAGGAGAAGGAGGTGGTGTCAAAGTCGATTACGGTTTGGTATTGGCCTTGGTGGAAGGCATTGTGAATGTTGACGAGTTCTGTCAATTAGCTCATATATCGCCGAATAGGAGATAGATGTAATGCCTACCTCCTTCTGCTGAAAATGGATCCATTGTGGTTGTTGGGTTTGTGTTTGTTGTTCATTCATGAGTTGCGGACACCTTATGCTTAGTGGTATCGTCAAGGTTAGCCGGAACATTCTAAAGGGAAAGTTTTGCCGAGCTATATATCTTTTCGACAGGACCTTATTTTTCATAATTACAATCTTCAATTACTAATGTTTATGCATATATTTGCTAAAATGACAGTGCCAAACTGTATTTTTTTTTTAAATCAAGGCTACTTGAGTATGCTACAACTTCGATCCACCTAGTCAATGCCCATTCGGCAAATCCTCCCTCCCAGTCAACTCACAAAACGCCTTGAAAGTCGTAAATTGTTGGCTGTCATCTTCAGTCGTACTCTCAATCACACACTCAGCATTAGCACCTACGAAAAACACATATCCTTCTTTCACCTCTTCAATCTTTGCAGGTCCCACGCTAATCTTGCCCTGTCCGCTGGTGCAAATGACAATACTTGGTCCTGGGATAGGGTCAAATGTTGCTTTGGCGCCCTTCTTGTTGAGGTCTGTTTTGATAACGGCGAATTCTTCAATGGCAGTGGGGTCGTAGAGGATTGTGGATGATCCGCTCGAGTAGGCCACTGTATTCAATGTGGCGTAGGGGTACTCTGTAGGTTGCATTTTTTGCTCTTCGATAGGTGCATACGAATATGTTAGCATACTCGTGAGGGTGGAGACATCTTTGAATTTTGGTGTGAAACCTGCGCGGACAACATTATCGGAAGATGCCATGCATTCGATGATATCTCCGGAAATGTATGCGTGAATGTCGTCCGCTTTAAGGAACATGGCTTCTCCTGGGGCGAGCTTGACGAAATTTAGGAAAAATAGAACAAACAGCCCGATATCATTGGGGAATTGTCCGTTCAGTCGCACAACTAGTTCTGCGAGCTCAGATGCACCGCTTGGATTCGTCTCGGTACTAGGGTTGATTGCGAAACTGTTGGGAGAGTTCTGCGCTTCTGACACTAGCTCCTTGGTCGCTTCTTCAATCTTGTCCTGAGGCGATTCAATCAATGATGCGAATATAGCCTTGAGAGCATCTTTGTTACGATTAACTGTAGCTTCGTCCTGTGCATTTTCCGACCCCTTGACAATCTCTTCGAATTGCGCCGCTGCTTGTTGTCCGACTAGAGAACGAAGTGGTTTCACGCGGTTCAGGAAGTGCACGATCTCGGAGAGCGGTCGAAATCCGCAGAGCCCCTCGAACGGCGTGATGGCGATAGTCATTTCGGGTTTGTGGTTGTCATCAGGATAATTTCTTGGGTCACGAGCATGCAATTGCTCGGCCAGCTTTTTATTCGGGTGGGCCTGAATGCTCAGTGCCTTGTTGATAGACAAGACCTTGAACAAGAATGGCAATTTCCCGCCGTATCGTTGGGTGACTTCCGGTCCCATGAGCGCTTGGTTATCTTGTACAAGGTCTAGCAAGGTCCGCTGTGTTTCGACATCTTTCGAAGGAAGTGACGGATGTGTTCCCATCCATAGCTGTAATCACCCTAGGTTAGTCACCAAGTATAGTGTTCAATTGATGAACTCTGGCATACCTCTGCATATGGTTTGGCTTCTTCAATACTGAAATCTGAGCCAGCTGTGGCAGCAGCATATTTGGCAGCAGCAGACTGTTGGCCAACCTTTCCTGCACAGAATGAGCTTCAATATGTCCCAGATGTATTTTGCTGATGAATCTTTAGATACTTACCCCAATCATAGCTGTTCACACCTGGTATTGTTAACTCACATAGTAATAACTAGCTAAATGAAACTCACCACATTGTAAGCGGATCAAAGGCACCTGCATCCTGATTTGCTTGCTTCGAATGATTCCACTCAAAGGGGATGGTTATGTCGCCGAGAGATACTAGACCTGTTCTGTCCGTCTGTTTGTTTTTGAGATAGACCGTTCTGACACAATTCCCTTCCTCTTTGTCTCTTCACACTTCTCAATTGATCTTTTGGTGTTAAACTCTTTTGGAATTAGATATCTCTGTGAGTCAAATTTGTTGTCTGATATTTAATCATCTCATCCCCTCACTCACCCCGCTGTTAGATACCTCCGTGCCAGGAACGGTTAGTCTTGCTGACACAGGCTTAGTGTACAGCTAGCTTCTTCACTACGTCATCAGCATCCCGTGATTTCTCCTACCCTAACCCTCATGCTTACCCGAAAGAGGAGGTCCCTCAGCAAAATGCAGCTTCGGTCTGGGGCCCAGTTAGGCGGTGAACAGTTCGATGAGGAGCTACCAGCCACCACCGCCACATCTGCCATCAGCAAGGCGGAGGAGAGTGACAAGCATGGCTCAAAGGCGGAAGAGGAGACTGAACATGCATCCACTCACGCACAAGGAGTGCCAGACTACGTGACTGTTGGAGTAGGAGAGGCCAACAAGAAAAAGAAAAGGAAAGCAAAGAAAGCAAAGAAAAACAAACAGGAAGCAAAAGTTGAGCTCGAAAACAACAACGCGCCTCAGCCCTCTGCTCTAGTCCCAGTCCCCACCAATCACCAGGGGTACAATCTTAGAAAGAGCACCAGTAAAGTCGACCTCGACGCAGTTTCTAAACTAGAGACCAGCCAGTGTGACGAGGAAAGCAAGGACAAAGACTCGAAGACTTCTATCAACCAAACAAAAGCAGCACAGGTGCCCAACATGTCGCGCAATCGTCCTCGTGGACCTCCTACTAACCGGGACAATGGCATTGCCGCAAATGAGGAAATTGATATGTGGAACAAGATCATTCAGGACATTCGCAAAGCTAAAGAAAAGAACGACAAGCAGAAGGTGATTGCTGAGCAGATCGCTGCACTCAACGAGAAGATTGCTCGCGAGGGCAACAGTAAGTCGCGTTTTCTACAGTTGGGCTCATCTATGTAAATCTAAGATACTAACACTTACAGAACCATTACTTGCTGAAATCAACCAGCTCGACAGCTGGTACCGCCAAGTCCTCAAGCTAAGCGAAGAGGAAAAGGCCATTCTTCTAGAAGAGCCTAGTGATGTGATCAAGAATCTGGGTCTGCTGACTGCTCTCCGCTCCGCATCGGAAGCAGAGACTACCATTAGTCGAGCAGCTTCATTGCCCAAGTCTAGTAAGCAAAGCATTGCGCGAGATGGCACTGCTAGCCATGCATCTAATTCAGCTTTGTTGTCAGACAAACTCAGCCGTGTCAAGGGGAGTGCTCAGCGTAGCTCCAGCGTGTCGAGTTCTGGTCATGCTAAGGATGGTCGTGACTCGGTTTCTGTCAAGTTGGAAGAGGGCGTTGAGGCGGCCAAGGGAGCCGTTGCGGAACGCAGCGGTCAATTTTTTATCGGAGCCGAGGTGGTTTTTAAACATAGCAAGAATAGACAGGGCGTCGAAGGCGAGGGTATCCAGTGCATCATCAAGGGCATCTCGGGAGAGGGTTACAAGAAGCGGTATTACAAACATACGTTCTGAACTATATGCCTAGAAGTTGCTAACTGACTACGCGCATCAGATACGACGTCCAAGACCCCGAGCCCAATGAAAATGGTGAACAAGGAGCCGTCTATAAAACAACAGCCGCATCTCTGATTCCCATTCCCCAGATAGGCTCTGCTTTGCCGTCTTTCCCCGTTGGAAAACAAGTCCTTGCGCGTTACCCAGATACCACCACTTTTTACCGTGCTGAAGTGATGGGCTCGAAGAAGGATGTGTACCGTCTCAAGTTCGAAGGCGAGGAAGACGACAAGGAGATGGAGGTGGATCGACGATTCGTTCTTGACATTCCTTCCAAGTAGTTGTGTCTTTAGTCAAGAAATCATTTATGGCGTTATGACATTAGGACGGCGCAAGTTATGGCAATTGGTTGGGTCCGGTCTGGAGTTTCTTTGGCAGATCATATGATGTTTACGATTACACGAGATTCATATTATGATGCTCCGATGTACATGGTTGGCGAGGTTTGATTCAGGAAACCATCAGACAGCATAATGAACGACGAATGGAAATGTGTGTACTACAGAATGGTAGGATTGAGCCGCTTGCACCTCGGCTTATTCGGTGACACATTAAATCGGCCGATATGTATCACATTCTGTAAAGATAGAAGATGCAACCTGATTATCTCATAGGTTTTATGTCAATTGATTCTGACATACTCATAATGAAATGAAACTAAAATAAAAGAGAAAAGCGACGCGGCTGATTCAGCATTGGATAATTGCCAAATTAATAATTTCTGGCGGATTCTGAGCAATGGACGGCCAATCGGCCGCGATGGCGTTCCCCGCATAAAACTCCAAGAGAAGGACACTGACATTAGGAATCAGTCATACTTTGGCTCTTCCATATCACAATATTCTTGTTGTATTTTCCCTTTGATTCAGCTCGTCTTTTGTAATCGCATTTCACGGGTTTATCTGAACGCCTTCGACAGTCAATTGATAATTCGGCATCGCCACCATGGCGGAGGAATCGCCGTATATCGCTCCACAACCGCGACATCCGAATGCCGCCTTCGACGGTCTTGCGCTCGATCATTCCGATTCCTCTACGTCCTTACCAGCAGATTCGCACGATATAACCAGTCACAGAAGTCTACTAGGCAGAGCCCTAGCAAGCGAAAATGCCAGCCCAAATGCCACACCCGCTCTTCCCGAATCTATCATTTCCCCAGCCATTACACCCCCCTCCACACCGGGAGGTACCATAATTCGCACGCAACAGGCTATTCAAGTCCAGCCGAATGATGCTGGAACCCACAAATATGTGCACAAGGGGCCCAAGTTGATGGACCGACTGCCGAACGTCGAATGTATCGTTCGCGCAAGAATCCCCACCACAACGGGTGCTGAGATGTTTCTCCATTTATACCAGAATGATGTTGATAATAAAGAGCATTTGGCCATTGTGTTTGGGAATCATATTCGATCGAGAAGTTTGGACCGCGTGCAGGAAGGGGAGACCGAGATGGATCGTATGATACGGGGTGCGTACGTCGGTAGACTACATCCTGGTCGGGTGAGCAGTCGGTTTGATGACGAGGATGGTGTGAATGGGGGAGAAGCAGCGGATAAATTAAGAAAGAGTCTGCAGGCTCCTCTTGTCAGGATTCATTCGGAATGTTACACGGGCGAAACGGCTTGGTCTGCTCGATGCGATTGTGGCGAGCAACTGGATGAAGCTGCGAGGTTAATGTCGATGGCATCAGAATCGCCTTCGGCCATTGGTATGAATGAAGACGGTCCGATTCTCGAAAACACTGCTTTGCCGTCGTCTATTTCAGCTCCCACCTCCAAAAACGACGGACCGGGAGGCGTAATTATCTATCTTCGACAAGAAGGCCGTGGCATCGGCTTGGGCGAAAAGCTCAAAGCATACAATTTGCAGGATCTGGGATCTGATACCGTCGAGGCTAATTTACTTCTACGCCACCCCGCAGATGCGCGCAGTTATGGTCTTGCTACTTCCATGCTTGTGGATTTGGGACTTGGTGCTGATGCATATCCGGAGGGTATCCGGTTGCTCACTAATAACCCAGACAAGGTTCTAGCTGTGGAAGGCCCCAATAGAGAAGTTCGTGTTAAAGAGCGAGTGGCTATGATACCGATCGCCTGGAGGACAGGCGGACAGAAGGGTATAAGGAGCAGGGAAATAGAGGGATATTTACAAACTAAGGTGAGTCGTCAACAATCTCCTTAAGCGTTTTACACGTGCTGATATTCGGCAGATTGGCAAAATGGGCCATATGATTCGATAGCGCATAACATGGCTTGTTGCATAGTTAGTCGATGTTTATTTGGCGTCTGGTGTGTTGTAGGTGTAAATATAATGTCTATTTTTTATATTCTTCGAGTGCCATAGATGCCTGACACCTAAAGCTAGTACAAAATCATGGCGACCAATCAGCCCGCGCGACCGGCAAAGGTAGAAAGAAGAAAGGAAGCCACACTTTGGCCGCTGTTCAAAGATCTCATTAATTTCTGCGTCTCTAGCATTCACCTGCAAAAGTCCCGATTAAGTGCCGATTCTTCGATCTTATTACTTGCAACCTCAGTCGAACGGGTCGCTTTGTCGACTCGCACCTTACCCGTTCTTCGGTAACATACCACTTGATGCGATCATCTCGAGCTTGCTTGCCCCCGCCGCCGAAGTGAGCGCTTATATTGAACAACCCAATTACAAACACATTGCAATACCTTGAACTCATTTCATTTCGCTTTCGGACCGAAAAATCGTCGGCTCAGCACAATTTTGCCGTTTCGCCGGCGTTCATGGAAACAGAATAGAGAATGCGCCCGATGGGGTATGGCGATGCTAGTTTGAGCGAGGCCTTCGATCATAGCGCCATATCCGTTCAAAATCGACGAGATTCAACAGCGTTCAGAAACAACTGGTAATCCGCAATTGATAGACGAACCATGCAGTCACCAGACGTCAAGCCCGAGCAACCCTCGGCAGAGTCCATAGGCGCACTCAACCATGCAGTGGAACATCAAATGGAACCAATTGACCTACCAACCCATCATCATAACGGAAACATGGTCGCCGGAACAAAACGCAAAATCAACAGCGCAAGTCCTCGCGGAGTGGCCAATTTGACGCCAGAGCAACTGGCCAGGAAGCGCGCAAACGATCGGCAGGCGCAGCGAGCGATACGGGAACGTACAAAGGCACAGATTGAGGCATTGGAGCGGCGAGTGCATGAATTGACGTCGCAGCAACCGTATCAGGATATACAGAATTTGGTGTCGGAAAAGGAGAGGATCCTGAAAGAGAACCAGGAGATTAAGCGCCGGTTGAGTACTGTGATGAATATACTGCAGCCATTGGTAGAGAGAGATGGTATTTCTTTCTATCCTGAAAGAATTATATTGTAATGCGCTAACATAACTAGGGCTTCAAATAATATCTCCAACAAATGCCACGTTATCGTCGACCACAGTACCAATAACGACTAATGCCGGATTAACACCAACGAACGCCCTGCCAATACCAGCAGAAACGACGCACCCATCCCCGCTCACAGATCGAAGTCATGACACACCAATAAGTTTGGAATATCATCAATTGGATCACTCCTGGACGGACTCAGTTGCAGGGAACTTGTCTCCGACTAACGTCGAACTTCAATGCGCGCCTCGACCGGCTACCGTCAGCGTGATGAGCGTAATCCCTAATCCGCAACTAGCGACGCAAGAGTTTGGCGAAAAACTTATTCTGAATTTTTTGCTGGACAATCCTCGTCACATCCCTAAAATTAGAGACATTCCGAAGCTATCAGCAGAGCACAGCCATAGTCCTGATTCGCCCAAGATCGACCCGTCCGCCTCATCTACTACTAGGGCAGGGGTCTCAGCCGGGCCAAACGATCACCGTCTAGCAAATTTAATAGCTATCAACAACCTCAAACCTACATGTCCGCTCGACTCCATCTTTTTGGATTTTCTCAAAAACCGTCGCGGCGAGTTGACGAGTGGCACTCAACAACGACTTGCCTACCCGAGTGTATCATCACTTTTGAATCCTGCCGAGAGCAGCACATATTCCTACTCCATTTCCAAAGTATTCAGCGACATCCTACGCACATTTCCCGACATATCCTCCTTACCAGAACAAGTGGGCACACTGTACACCATGTTCCAAATCATGCGATGGCAGATATACCCTACACAAGAGAACTACGACCGCATCCCGCACTGGCTCACACCCCGACCTGCGCAATTATTCAACCCTCATCCAGCCTGGATGGATTACATACTCTGGCCTAAAGTCCGCGACCGACTGTCCTATGCATATCAGGACTATCCCTTTGAGAACTGGTTTGTGCCTTATACACGCACAATCTCGTGTAACTGGCCGTACGAACCCACGGATTGCCTGCTGCATAACACAGACTCGGACGAGTTGCTCATCAATCCGGTGTTTGAGCGGCATATTCGAGACTTGAATAATTGGTCTGTTGGGACGGAGTTTGCAGAGGCGTTTCCGGCGTTGGTGGATGCGGTTAGGATTAAAGCTGATGGGAGGAGATCACGGCCATCTTGATTTTCTTCTTTTCTTCTTCATTTCTTCTTTCTTGGGTCTGTGTTATTGATAGCTAGGGATTTGTATAGTACTGAATTTTGATATTGTACTTATTTAATCATACAAAGCAAACCATTAACTAGTTATCCATCTAAACATAAGATATCGGCCGATATATGATCAATTGATAAGATCGATAGCTCCACTTGCCGAACTAAACTGAATTATTCTCGCGGACTCATTTGCCTATCCCGGTATATTTAAACTGATATCTCAAGCTATTGACTCAAAGACATAGGTATATAAAGTCTGACTCTGAGAGTGTAGATCGAGATATCTCATTGACATATCGACAGCCATCAGTACCGTTGCGCCAGAGACCATCATGGCAACTCAAATCGGCTGGGTACACCAATCCATACACATCGTCATCTCAATCTGAATGAATCCAGCTAATATTGGCACAATAGTACGGCCTGGGCTCCATGGGTCTCGCTATGGCAACAAATCTCCAACGCCATCTCTCCTCAACCCAAGCCCTAAGCCTGCTCTACTCTAACCGCACGCTCTCCCGAGGCGATAGCCTCCAACAACTCGGCGCCGTCCCTCAATCAAATTTCAAAGACCTCGTCTCAAGATCAAACATAATCTTCACCATGGTCTCAAACGATGCTGTTTTAGAATCTCTAATCAACACTGCTATTGAAAGTCCAGGGACGTCGATTGCCTCCAAAATCTTTATTGATTGCTCAACCGTTCATCCGCAAACCATCACATCCATTTCGAGCAGACTATCATCGAAATCCGCCTCATTTCTCTGCGCACCCGTCTTTGGAGGGAATCCCGTCGCAACAGCGGGAAAACTAGTCTTTGCCCTTGCAGGCTCAACACCCGAAGTACGACACAATATCATCAAACCCCTAATCCAGGACGTAATGGGCCGGAAAGTAATTGACTGCGGCGAAGATCCTGCAAAGTCTTCTCTACTCAAGATCGCAGGAAATATTGTTACTGTCTCCCTGATGGAGACCGTGGGTGAAGCACAGGTCTTTGCGGAAAAAACGGGGTTGGGAACGGAGGCGATGGAGGAGTTGATTAATGAAGCTTTTGGGCCTATTGCCGGGGGGTATTCGAAACGGTATGCCTCCTTTTCTATTATTTGAGTACTGTCTAACCGAGTTTGAAGATTAACGACAGGCGCTTATGCACCTGAGCTAAACACACGTCCTGGCTTCGGCGTATCACTCGCCATCAAAGACGCAAATCACGCATTGAGTATTGCGCAAGATAAGGGTGTAGAATTGCCGTCCGTCGAACTTGCGAGGGACAATATGGCCTCTGCTAGGGATTATGCCGGGGAGTGTTTGGATAGTTCGTCCATGTACGGCATACTAAGGCAAAAGGCTGGATTGGCGTTTTGGAATGAGAAGAGTAGACAGGGCGGCGGGAAGTAACCTCACCTACACTCCGTGAAGGCTTGGATTTATTATTAGATAGAATATAGATACTAATACATTCAAGTTGATTTTGACTGGTTTGATTGATGTCTATGTACTAAACCTGACGAATACCTAGGTCAACGCATCGCACGACCTCCATTCAGCCTACGCTATATAACAAGCAAACACGCAGAAAAAGACGATAAGACGTTTTACTGTCGCGGGCCCAGTTTGTCTAGGGCGCGGACTCCTTGCTCTTCCCACTCGGCTTTGGTTACCCACATGTCTTCTTTGTCGGCGATCTGTCATACCATTAGTTTGATACTCCTGTTGTAAGGAGGATAGACATACCAGGTTGGCCAATACAGCACCACCGAGGAAGACCATGTGTCTTCGTCGTGGTGGATCTTCGATGCGCACCTTGAATTTCTACCCAGACATTAGAAATGCGCAACTACTGCGTAGGGAGAAACTCACGTTCAATCGTTCAGGATTACCCTGTAACACCCTCGTCAACCACAACTGCTTCAACTCCTTCTCCAGCCTCGACGGCAGCCCCGGATACATTGAACTTCCACCACTAAGCACAATAGCCTTATAAAGACTACTACGCACATCCATATCCGTACCCTGTATCGTGTTAAACAGCAATTCCGCAATACCTGCCTGATCAACATCGACCAGATGAGGCTGGAACAGACATTCCGGCGCCTCGAATCGCTCACTACCGACTCTGATAACGCGGCCGTCAGGGAGGGTATACGACTCGACGAGCACTGTCGTATCTTCTGAGAGTCTCTGGTCCAGTTCAAGGTCATACGAAACGTAGCACAGTTTTTCCTTGATTTGGCGCACAGTCTCGAAATCGGCGGTTCGGTTTAGCGCATATCCGCGACGGAGTAAGAGCGCAATCAGGTTTCGGGTTACGTCTCGTCCGGCGACGTCGAGGCGGCGGATGTGATGGTTCAAAACGGTTGATTCGAAGACGGGGACGATGTGAGTGACACCATCGCCAGAGTCGACTACCACACCACTACTGAGACCTATGTAATTGATTAGCATCGTTCGATCGGGCCTTATGGAGGGGCTTACCCTGAGCATATAAAGCCAAAACAGCCTGAATCGCAACGTATACACCACCGAATCCGTAACCTTCAAGCATCACCTCGGCCATGGTTTGTCTGTTTTTGAGAGGGTCTGCATATATCAGCATCAACAGTTCCAGCCATATATGATCTTTTCCAGTGAAGGGGGAACACACTCATCGGCGGTTCTGTCAACAGAATCTTCCGACCCGTCGGATCAATCTTCATCTTGTCATAGAATGTGTAATTCCATAGATGTTGCATATCATCCCATTTCTTCACAATACCATTTTCCATCTACCAACCATTAGCTCCCCTTCATCTCGCTCATTGTAGTTTGACATACAGGATAACTAATCTGAAGCATCGACCGAGCAGCCGCCGCTTCATCTCCACACATAATATCCTTGAGCACGATATCGCTTTCCCCTTGTTCTTCGGATCGAAGGATTGGCCGTCCGACTATACTCGGGAATTGATGTTCTGGGAAGTTCTTTGGACAGTGACACCTCACGTTAGCTTTAATCTGCAGTATTGTGGTGGTGCGATTGTGTGTGGCTATATACCTGCGCGGCATATCCGACTTTGAGGAAACCGGTTCCTCCGTCCAAAACTATATTCGAATACCAAGTATTAGCGCATTAATTCTCTCGAATATCGCAACTAAGCTACCCTCGTGCATTGGATGCTTGAGCACGAGGGCAATACATCCAAAGCGGGATGGATGAATAAACAAGCCACCACCAGGTCTAACTCACCAATAGGCGCGTCCGTCATTGTGACTTTGTTGTGCTGTAGTCGGTCTCAAGTGTCATAAAAGAATTGACATCAAGGAATACACAGATTCAATGCACGGAGTTGTCGTGATGCTCTAGGGGTGTTGTGTCTAGGCGGGGAAACTGTCAAGTCGGAGAGCAGCTCAGAGAGAGTGACGATGTGTCCGCCCAATGAGGCTTAGCCGGTGTTTACTCCACATGTTTCCACCACAGGCATCCATATACAATGATTTTGTACGAAGTAACTATGCCTTGTATACGAAAGAATAAATAAAGGCTATACAAGCTCTAAAGAATGGCTCCGCCCATGCATTACATACAATAACTTCCAAGTACAACGACTTAATCATCGCTATCTGAATCAGGTCCATCCTCTATCAAACGGCGCTTCCGTTCCTCGTCAAGCTCTCTGTACGTGCTGTAACTCAGCAACAAAAATGCAACAATGATGAGAACGCCACCGGACAGAGCGGCAGCAGACAAGGGTTTGCCGGTTCGTAGCCAATCCACGATGGCAACCAGGAATATCGTCAATAGTGCTGCTACTGACGAAAGGACCGGTGAGGTCAATGAAATCAAGATTAAGAAGGAGCCGGAGAATGCTGGAAAGAAATCAGTTAGTTATTGTGACACTTCGTCGGTGCTCAGGGTATACGTACTGGCATTTGCCAAAACAGAAATCAGAAGCATCCACGCCGCTTCACCAGTAGGCCAACGGAAAGTCTCCAATCCCGTCCAATGCAAGATAGGTAACGGGAACCACAAGACCAACAATGTGAACGTTCCAATCAAACTCCCCACTGTATTCGCAAAGATCATACTTCGTCCTGGACTCGTGCCTTCCGGGGGACATGCCAGTTTCTTATATAGCACTTCATATAAACCATATAACACACTTCCAACGCCAATAACAATATTCCCCAGCATGCGATTATCAGCCGAACCTTTGCTCTCGCCAGCCTCTTGACCAGAGTCGCCGTAGGCAACGACCAAAACGCCGATAATAGCCACCAACACGGAAAAAATCTTATCGAAACGGAGTTTATCTTTTAACAGCGGAACAGAGAATGCATAGGCAAAAAAAGCGGAGCAGTTATATATGGCGGTCAAATCGCTGGCTGTCGTCATATTCACTGCAACGTACCAGGAACCGCCGGCAATGGTCAAGGCAGTTGTTATGAAAGCCGTTGTTTTCAGCATATAGGGGACTGGAGATCGATGATCGTCCCGCGTGGTAAGATGCAGGTCCTGCCGCTCGATCATCTGGGCCGTGGTGCGCAGTAAGAAGACATGTCGTCGCCAGAAAGCGTCCCACGATAATTTTCGTTTTTGGATTCGCAGAACCAATAGTTGGACTGGCCATAGTAACGACCATGAACCGTGGGTTAAATACCTAGCACAGATATCAGATGAGAAATTAGTGCCTTATAAAAAGGAGGCAAATGACGCACAGCATGCAATACGGTTTATCCCAATGGAGCTCATGCTGAATATACACCGCAGTCTCCGTTTGAATCACAAAACTAATCAAACTCAATAACAAGAACCCCGACGCCAACACATACTTCCGCCGAGTCAGATTCCTATCTTCTATATCCGGCGTGCGACTGCGAAACGTCGATCTGCGAGACATATGCGGTCTTCCTAGGAGACGATCCTGGGATTCCGCAAAGGTGTTTGATTCCCGTCGCGGTCCTCCGTCTTCTTTTAGTAATGGTTGTTGCGAATGGGCGTTGTTTAGGGCTGGGCGGTGGAACGGCATTTCGGGTTCGTTTTCTTCGCCTTCTGCGTCCCAGACATTGAAGTTGTCGGGATGTGGATGTTGAATAAGAAGGGATTCGTCTTCTACCTCGTCAATAGGCCTCGATAGGCGTGCGGTTTCTGAAGACGAAGCCACAATGACGGTTTGTTTATCGAATAGATAAGTAAATCAACGACCGTAATTTGTAAGCCACGATGGTTAACTAAGTGGCTACTTCGGCGATTGGAGGAAGCGGGGCGGTATGATCAAAACGAGGGTTGTTATTCGGTAGGTAGTGACAGTAAGCGTGACCGGGTTATGTAGGAGACGTAATCTCAAGGTTCAGCTTGTTCCGAGTCATCTGCAGCAGCGAGATAAGTGAATGGATTTGATATGCCAATCGGCCAGGTATGTTGGTATCAAGGGACGCTAAGGATGGACTAGGCGGTGCTGATCTGACCGCGTGGGAGTCAGTGTTCACGAGGTTTATTAGGTGCAAATCCAAGTTGGCTATGATAATAAGAAGAGATGAGATAAATGGTTCGATAGAAATGGTCAATGAGTATTGCGTCAGCTGTATTGACAAGTAGGGTCTGAAGACTGAAAGGGATGCGAGGAAGTACAATCCGGGGATCAAAGTGCAACAACCAATCAGACGGGGACATGGCGCCTGATGGAAACCAGGTCGATCAATCAGGAAGTCACGTGTTATTACAGCCTGAGGCCTTAGGCATCACGGCAACTCATGTCGATATCTGTCGGATATCTACGCCTAACATCACTTCAAAAGCCGGGTGCAGGTACCTTTCAAGGAGAAAAATGATTTAATCATATAACCAGACGTCATTTCACCTGACAGAGGTTAAAGAGCAATGCCAGCCGATGAATACTCCACCATCAGTGGAGGCGGAAAACTGAAGCTCAAGGGCGTCAAAGATGGCCGGGTAGACAAGACAAAGAAGAAGAAGAAGAAGCATCATAAACCTCAGGAAGAGGGCGCTGCGGTTTCAGCCGGGGAAGAGACAAGGGCGGAATCGACAGAAGCAGCAGCAGAGACTGGGCAAGAAGATGTATCAAAAGAGGTAGCTCTGGGCGCCCAGAGTGATGGCAGGAAACTGAATGAGGAGATCTCAGACTCTGGCGAGAAACGGGTTGTATACAAGACTGAGGCGGAGAGGAAATACGAGGAACAACGGAAGAAAAGGGTTCGTTTATTCTGTCTACCCTAGTCGAATATTACTCTATACGAAGAAGGGAACTGACAATCAACAGTTAAACGACAGACTGCGCCGAGAAGGCGTCAAAACACACAAGGAACGAGTGGAAGAATTGAATCGATATCTGAGTACGCTCAGTGAGCATCACGACATGTATGTCCAATTTTTTTTTTCTTTTTTTTTGGTTCTCTTTCTTTCGTACCTCTTCTCTAACTGGCAACTGACGATATCTTTTGCAGGCCCAAAATCGGACCCGGATAATGCGGTTGTACTTTATCATTCCTGTTTTTTCTGTCTCCTAGATTTCCTGTCATGAATCCACATACGCAATAACCACGTCGGAAATACCTCCTCCGAAACAAATCAAATAAACTTCATCCAGCCTTACGACATCTTCATAAAAATTACAAGATTATTAATAGCAACATACGATGAATCCATTCCTCCAGCCGCTGACGACAAAGATCCCCAGTTTAGCCGGGCAGTTGATTGGACAGAAGAAAGAAGCGGGTTTGGTCCCGTGTCTTTGCAGATCAGATCTCAAGTCACTACGTGGATGTATTCATTTGATGACCGAAGATTCAGTTGATTGTTGATGTGTCTATTTCTCTATATTTATTGAATCTTATTGAATCTGGATGTGGTTTGTCTTTGGATGAGGTGACGGGTTATCGGTGGATTAGATAAGGGGTGAGTCATAGATAGACTACCCGTATATCCTACGATGCGATAAGCTCGAATCAGGTCAATATGTGTAGATGTAGATATGTCATGTTTAATATATATTATCTGACAAGCACCCCAATCGCGAATAGCCGTCCTTGATGGTCCTTGTACCATGGCCACGGAAGCGCCAGTAACGCTGCTCTGCGATCCCAAGCCCAGACCGATACTGCCAGTTATAGCGACGTGGTGTCCGAAGAGTCAGGAAGGAATATCGGCGTTCGAATCGGAAGATATGGCAGAGAGAGGACGACAATCCGAAAGAAATCCAAACCCCCAGTCCTAGCCATAGTCATGTCATAGAGGTGAAACGAAGATATAAAGAGGGAAAAAAAACGCCGTACAACTCCATGCAATCAGCTCGCAAAACCCGCAAATATCGGGCTGAAAAAAAAAAAAAGAAAAAGAAAAGAAAATCCGGGTATTGTATAACGATAACCGAATCGCTCAAAATTTGAAGCAAAAAGTGTGCGAAAGGCTTAAACACCCTTGATGACGGTCGTTCGCTCGCTGTTGAGTTTATCTGCGTTTCGGGCGTGGGATTCCTTCTTGCAATCTTCCAGGCCGCTGCAGGCGTGCGATTCGAGCATGCGATGCTTGTCGCAGAAGTGGCCGTTGCAGAATGTGCAGTCGCCGATGATGCGTTGAGCTGCGTTTTTGCATTCTTTGAAGTTGCAACGGGGTTTGCGGACAGGCATGATGTGCTGAGTTGTTGTGGGAGATGTGGTAGAGGTATGCGACGCGTAGAGAAAACTCTTGTAGAGTGGCGATGCCAAAGAAGGAGGAGGAGAGTTTCCTAGCTCGGTGATGTGTCCGATAACGGCCGAGAGATAACGACAGTGAGCTACCGGAGGGAAGGACTCAATATATATATAAATATATATATCGGACACAGTATGTCTCTGAGAGTGAAGTGGGAGGAGGAGTGTGGTGAAGAAAAGAACGGGCTAAAGCGCAACAAAGACGATAGATATAGGCAAGAAGGTTGGGGATGAAGGGGAAGCCGACGGTATATATACTGTGACAGTCCGTAAGCGGTTAGACCCTTAATAATAGGAGTGACTGACTAACATAAGTAAGGAAACCTTGGGTCGGCCTGTCTTGGGTGGACACGCTGATGAGGCGACACGGCGATCCGACAGACCCATTTATTAGACAATTCACGTTCTAGCAATATTACCAATCAATATTCTTGAGAATTCTTACGGATATCATGGAGAGTACAGAGCAGCCGGATTCGGAAATAACGCGGAACACAGACACCTCAGGCAGCAAGGTACTGCCCGAGATCAGCTTCCTACACGTTTCAGTCGGTTACATCTTGTCCATCTGTTTTCGAGGAGGACCTTAATGTCTTCAGACGGTTCAATCGACTGAGTATCGATGAGTCATTGTAAGTATGCACGCTCACGACAGACTTTCGGGCAATGGTAATGGTATCATTGCTAGACTCGAAAAGTCATTATCAACAGCTACTCCATAGCTACTATCGTTAGACACTAGTTGAAACGATTCAAACAGTAGTAAAGTGGACATCAGACAACGACGTGGCAAGCAGAATTTGTACTGTACTGTATGTATCAGGTGATGCTCAAATCTTATCGCGGGTTCACTAGCCACTAGACCTAGCCATGCATACCAAAGAATCGACTACTCCATACTTGAAAATTGGCACATATTGAGTTAAATAAACGTCGTGTACATACGCTTGGGCACATCAACCTACGTGGCAATCCATGAACGGCGTGATAGTACATACATATATTTTATACGTATCGCCATATTTATTTCAGTCTGGTAGTCATAAGTCAATCAATCAAACGGAATCGGTCGTAACCCCCCACCACCCATACGCTTCCTCATCTCCTCTCCTGCCGCTATAGTACTAGGAACCTTGATACCACAACAATCCCCCCAAAAGTCATCTCCATGCGTATGATTATGACCATGGCCGGTCTGCTGCTGTTCAGAAGATGACGACGACGACTCATCCGACTGCTGCTGCCCCATCTCCGGAGACGCCGCAATCAAACTCCCAAATAAGAAATGCTGCATAATCGGTAGTTTCCCCAACACTTCCTTGACAAACATCTTCTTCATCCCGCTCTCGACCTTGAGCCAACTCTTTGCGCCAGAGATGTCGTCTAGCATAGGACTGTGCCAGCGGAGACCCTTGACCGTTTTCACGCTGTCGACCCATCGCACTTGGTCGAGGTACACGTATTTATCGCCTTCTTCGTCGAGGACGGCGCTGCTATGAATGGCGCGCGGTGTGATATATGGATGTCCCACGAGCTGGGAAGCTCCGAATAGGAAAGGGAGGAAATGATAATCGTCCAGACCCCAGACACCATGCGACCCGGCAGGCTCGAGATAATACGTCGTCTGTATTCGGCGCATTAATTGCATATAGCTATAATAAACCTTGAAAACGAGCATGGGGAAATCCGCGACGGAGATAAATCTTAATTCGTACAGACACAAAAGCCACATCATGAAATGCAGTTCATGTCCAGAACCATAGTCGAGTCGATCCCGTGAGCCAAGGGAATGAATTAAATACGTCGATACTTCATCCACTGCTTCTGTATTTTCGATCCCCAATATCTCGCGATGCCATTCCGGGCACTGTGAAGCATTATCATCGAAGAGGGAACGGAACGCCGGGTTACCGAATCGAGATCCTCCTTGGTCTAGTGCAGGGTTCTTTTCAACCAGTGATCCCAGTAGGTCGATTATGCGTAGAATCTTTTCAATGTTTTCTGGTACTCGTTCGTTCTGGATATCCGTAATAGCCCGCCCGCGGACTTTGTCTGATAGACCGAATATGAATGCAAGGATAAGAGTGTATGCGGGAGAAGATGTGAATGTCTCGAGGTCTTTTGGCGAGAGGATACGACGGGTTGGTCGACTGAATGTATGCGAAGAAAGATCCATAGGAGCTGGGAGAGGTGGTGTTACTGGTGTCGGGTCTTGTTGGTTTGTAGGAGGGGAACGTCGTGTTTTGCTGGCGCGTAGCTCAGCTAATTTTTTTGATAGATCGGGTTTTGCGTCTGTACTCATTTTGCAGGTGGCATTGACATGAACTTTGTGAAAGAAAATTAACAGATCATGCTTCTTTTTGTTGTAGTTGTTGTAGTTGTAGTAGAGGCGATATGATCAGGCAAGAGGCAAGTAGAGCTCTGATTACATGAGCCACCGGAAACGGAGCCGCAGATCCCGAGGCTAAGCGTCATTGGTCAACCCCGGATATCCCATGACTGCAATTGCTTCACGAGACTGAAGTCTCTTCAGTCTGGCTCTGTTTATTCAAATTCATATACTCACGTCTCTATGTAATCGAGTCTGCCCTGCAAAAGGTAGGAAGTTCCTGTCTATCGGCTATAGACTAAACTCGAAGACTCAAGTGACTGACGAACAAGCAGTTAATCTCCATACATAACCGTGTGGCTTCTTTTTGCGTGATTGGCCCAGAAATTGTGCATAAGAAGAACTCTATCGAAAACATAGCCGACTAGAAAAAGGAACACTGTTTACTCTCGGGAGTTGACACTGCTGGAGTCAACACCCCACGCCAATCCACAGCATAGAAAAAGAAAATCGGCCCTCGAAATGGCAGCTGTCAATGGAGTAGACCGGAACGATTTCCAACCCACCGGCCAATTATTCAGAGACCACGGTATCACTGCTTCTACACAACAGGGCGCACAGCAAATAACCAGAAAACCCAATGACAGCACCAATCAGACTCCTAACAGCAACAACAACAACCCAAATCAAGCGGACGAAGGAGACGCGGCCGCGGAACATTCGTGGTATCGTCGCATAGCCGAGAAATACGGTACTTTAGAACTAGACAATAAAGGCAGTGTTGCACGAGACCATCTGGCTCTAGGTATGATCTCTCAATATTTCCTTGCATTGCATTCAACTAATACAGTGGCAGAACGAACATTCCTCGCCTGGCTCCGAACATCACTCTCCTTCGCCTCCATCGGCATCGCAGTAACCCAACTATTCCGTCTAAACAGTTCCGTACCATGCACCAACCCCGGCCCTACATCACAAACCTCTCTCTCCGACAACGCCAATAACGTATTACAAAACTCCATACGATCATCACCATCTCTCCTCGAAGTCCTCCTGGCTCCCCCTCCGTCATACTCATCATCATCACCAGATACAATAGACGTAATAGCCAACACAGCGACCACAAGCGGGCAATACGGAAATATCGGAAAACCGCTCGGTGCAACTTTCATTGGTATCGCAATTCTCATTCTGATTATTGGGTTTCATCGCTATTTTGAGTCTCAATACTGGATTGTGCGTGGGAAGTTTCCGGCGAGTAGAGGAAGTGTTGCGCTGGTAGCGTTTGTGGCGGCTGGGTTGGTGATTGCGAGTTTTGTGGTTATTTTGGTTATTGCGCCGACGGCGAGGGAGTTGTGATTTTCTTCTTGTTTATTTCTATGATTGTATATATTTCTGGGGATTAGTACATATTGAATTTTGTCATTGCACCTATCAAATAACGCCGGCATTACCCTCGCAATTGAGGAGGTATCACTAGAGCAGACCGAAACAGACAGGGAAAAAAATTCATGCAGCAACCTCCTTCTGCCCAGCATCCGGATTCAAATAATTCTCCTTCTCCGCCGCCTCATACTCCTTAATCAAATCCACAACCACTGCCTTTGCCTCATCAAACTCACCCAACCCTTCTGCAAAGGGTGCTTCCTTTTTGTACTGGTCCAAAAACGCATTTCGTTTTCGCAGTCTGTCGTACTGTTGCACAATTCGTTTGAAGAGCGTCGCGACTGAAGTGTGGTTGGCAAGCATCAGTCCACTGACGCGATGCGTGTGTTGGATATACGGCGATTTCTTGGTTAGGGCAACTTGGATACTTGCTGGACCCCAGGGGATGAACGAGGCAAGTCGTCGTTCACGGATTCGGAGTAATGATTTGTGGACGTCGGTGGGATCGGCTTCGCCTTGGATGATGTTCAAGATACTGATGTAGCAGCTTGATTTGCTGGGTGTGACGGACACCATACGGTTTTTGGGTTGGAGGAGTCGGCGCATGACGTCTAGGACTGTTGTTTTGCGGACCGTCTTTGCTTGTTCGATGTTGTCGCTTGTGAAGGGTGTGTAGGACGTGACGAGGAAATGGGCTCGGGGTGTGGGGATGAGTGATGCGATGATGCCGACGAGATCGTTGTGCATGTAGCCTGGGTAGCGGAGTGTGGTGGTTGACGCCGACATGACGGTTGAAACCTGTGAAATTAGTATAATGGATAGACACAAGTATAAGTAGACATACTAATTGATTCGTTTGTTGAAAAGATGGCTCCTGCACATGCATTCTATCGGCAACAATTCTCGACAATGCACCATTATCCAGGACAACAACCGAGTCGGCATCTTGTGTCAATCGTCGCATTGTCAAGAGACTGTTATAAGGATTGACAACAACATCTGCCGCTTGCCCATCTGGAAATACTGAGTATGTGTGAATCAGTTTCTTAGGGAATCGGTCGTTCATCCGTTCGAGCATGTAACTTCCCAAGCCGGAGCCTGTACCTCCAGCTATGGAATGTAGCAGCATGAAGCCCTACACCAGTTACTATCATCTCCTCACACAGCAAATTAAATCATACCTCCAACGAATCGCTCCCATCAGCCTCCCGGTCAATCATATCGAAAATCTCCTCGTGAACATGTTCGCCTTGCGCGTAACCTGCAGCCCAGTTGTTTCCGGCGCCACTGCCTTGAGGGTCTATAAAGAAGTTTTCGGGGTTGTAGATGTTTCGATACGGTCCAGTTTGAATGGCGTTTATCACCTTAACAGTTAGGACGACATTAACAGCTAGTGGATCGGACGTACCCTAGGTTCGAGGTCAAGCAAAATAGCTCGGGGGATATATCTCGTATCGTCACTCTACACAGAGCTCCTGGTCAACTTGAAAAATAGTCAAGGTCAAGAGTAGCCAACAAACCTGATAGAAAAAAACATCCTTCCGATCTCCGCCCTCAGTCGCAAACTCCTCCAAATTACCGTCTTGATTTATTCCATGTTCGAGACAGAGTTGCTGCCAGAATTGACTGCCGACTAGTAACAGTCAGATCATCCTTTGAATAGAATCGGCAATCGATGTAGCGGGGTTCAAACGCACCGTTATTGCCGCATTGGCCGGCTTGAATTGTGATGATTTCTCTGCTACAGTCAATATCCGGTTTAACAGACAGAAAGTCAAATTGATCATACCTGGGCATTATATGTCGTTATCATGAGTTGGTTCTGTGAAGAGAAAGAAGGCGCGTTGATGATTACGCGTTAGGCCGCGCGGAGGTCAAGATATGTGCCTTATCGCCTTATCGTTATCAATTATGCCTCAGGCATCAATATTTAGTCTAATATTTGAATTATCTCGTGTCTTTCCAAATACTAACTCATATTATACAGTTCAACTATAAGCCATTTTCTTCAACACCTTAGCCACATCCATTGTAGCATCCATACGCTCCTTCGACCACGGCGCAAATTGCAAAAATCCATGCGTCAAATGCTCATAATGGTGCCAGTTAACCTGCACTCCTGCCTCTTGCAGTTTACTTCCATACTCTACCGCAACATCCCTCAACGGATCCCATCCGCACGTGAATAGCGCGACAGGCGGTAGATTAGCCTGCAGGTCCTCGACCTTTTGCATGCCAGGACTCACGTATCGATGACTCGGCGGATACGCCCCTTCGCGCGGCGATTTGGGAAGATAATGATCTGCAAAACTGAAAATCCCATTACAGACCAGATACAGACTTCCTCCAGTATTATTCTCCGTTGCCGCTGGTGTATCAAATGGAATTCGCGCTTCGGGATACAACAGAATCTGACCAGCCATGTTTTTCAGTCTCTGATCTTGACGACGCAGAGCAAGGGCAGCCGTCATGTTTCCTCCGGCGGAATCGCCGCCGCCAAAGACGAGATTTGGATTGATTCCCCGGCTTTGGCCCTCGGGGCCTTGTGCCCAGTCGATCATGCGGAGAATTCGTCTAATTGGGTCGGGAAACGATGTTCTGGAGCGAGGTGGTACTCGACACCGATGGTCTGACTATTGTTAGCATTTTTTGCTCTTCTTATATCATGTCGATGAGTGTGGGACGAACTATTACATCTGCCGCTTCGGCAAGTAATCTCAATCCATTCTCAAACTCGTCCACCGAGCCAACCGTATATCCACCTCCATGCATATATACGAGTACAACCACCTGCTTATCCTCGCCATCGTCCTTGGCTTTGGATATTATTGCTCTTGGATAGAACAAACGGATCGGAATCGTACCATGAGGTCCTCGCACACCCTCAAACTCTACCGCTCCAATCGGCGCCTTCTTATCCTCTGGCAGAGCATGGAATCCAAGAACCTCCAAATGGTGTCTACGTTCTTTATAGAAATCGGCTTCACCGCCAAGATGGAGGTCTGATATGTTTTGAGGAAGTCTGCCAGAGACGGGGCGATTGAAGAAGAGCGCGTTGCTGTTTTGGGGATTGGCGCCATTGGCTCTAGTATAAAGTTAAACCCAGGATAAGTGTATGTTCGGCTTCTGTACCTATATCACCTGGTAACTGATATATACCTTCCATAAGAAAAGATAGACAGTCTTGATATTTCCCAAGGTTCGATATGTCTTGCTTCAACATGACACAATAAAGGGGGAATATTTACATCTCGGTGCTATTTTTGAGGACCGGCTATCAGTTTTCACAATCTATCAATTACACAGTAAGGTCATAAATTCAAGATGGATTGGAGACAGCTATATCTACCAACTAGATATCTATATACGATTTGATCTAGTGGTTAATCAAAAGTTATATTAGCATTAGGACGGATAGCAACCTATATACAAGCCGAATCGATATCAAACAGGTCATCAATCATCAATCATCAAACGGCTACATCGTGTGCACAACGACTGAACTAAACCCGAGATTTGCAGGAATTCACAAGTAATCCAACTCCAGCTACAACGCCATCCACTATATGCACATTCTCCCCTTCGGTTTCTCCATATGCTTTTATACACCCTGCGCGCACCGCCTCTTCCATTCCAGCCATTCCAGCACAACCCAAGCACACGGCTCGCACTGGATGCGAAGACCCCTTGAGGATTTTCTCAGTAGCATCAATGATCCGTCGACGTACCTCCTCCGGCGGCGTTTTATGTAACTCTACAGCTGTCAACCCCGTAGTCTCCACGCCCGCAAACCGCGGCACCGAAGGTGGTGCAGGCGACGGCGTCGGACTCGTATGCTCCGCATTCAACAACTTCCTCCTCTTCTCTTCACTCTCCTCCGGCCCATTAATCATAAACCCCACAGCCTTGGTAAGCTCCTCCTTCCACACCGCGCCGGTCGTGACAATGCCCCAAGTATCCTGCGACTGCGCCTTATGGTGACTCCAATCCGCCAAAAGATGAAAACTGCTAATCAGCATCAACGAACTGGTCACACTAGCCTCAAATATACCCGTAACATATTTCTTTGCTTTACCCGGGTTTATTTCCTCTTCAACGAAAACGTGTAGTGTCCCCGAGTCTGAATGTCGCGCTTTATTTTCAAGTGCTTTTATAGTTGATCGTAGCATGCCCACGAGCGGATGCGCCGAGTAGCATGCGACCAGAAAGGCGTCGTATTTGGGTATGAGTGGTTCCACAAAGGGACGACAGTGGTGCGCTGATTGTATCGAGTCTTCACCGGAATTGATACTGTGCACGGGCTCGATGACTCTGCCGTCGGGTAAGGTGACGTGTTTATTTGGTGCAGTGAAATAGTCGAATTGGATGTCGTTGTAGTTGAGTCCCTGGACGATGGGTTTGAGGGACTCTGTCATTTGAGTTGAGGTGTTAGGGTTGATGATGAGGATTCGGAAGGGAGTTGAGCGAGAACTGGTGGGGGTTTGGTTCCTCATGTTGATGATTTTATCGTGTTATCGAGTGTGGTTTATTTGTTCTCGGTCCTGTCTAGAGCGAGCAATCTGAGCTCTCGTGCCTAAGCACTGTGGATGTTTAGATGACGACGGGAAATTGGAAACCTGAAAAAGTTTCTCGGGACAAGTCGAGATAGCTTATCTGATGCTCATGACGTATGGCCTAGAGAAAATGTACAATAAGACAATACTCCGTAGTTATATTATATATATTATTATTTATAGCTATATTATAGTTAATATTAACTACCAACATGTGCACTCTGTCTGACACAGGCCCCTCTATTTGGGTGTCTCATTTACCCAACACAGAATTAAGCTGCAACCACAGACGTCTCACATCGCCGACTACATATCCTGACGATATTTTGAAGAGTCGAGAATATGAAGCTATAGCCGGCTCCAAGACAAGACAAAACAGGGGATATTTTCAGTGCCCCTTCAATGTTATTATCGTTTGCTTCAGATGGAACAATTATTGCCCAAAACTTTTGTGCCAGTATATATAGCATCAATGTATACCTTCTAAAACGATCTTTCCATTTTTTAAGATCCCATATCATTAAAGTGTCCTAGCTCCGAACGTGTCTGTTTACCTCTAATCATCTTATATATAAATCTCGTCCGATCTGCAACATCACAACTAATAGACTTCAACCGACACGATGCTTTTACATATATTCAGCTCTGTCCTCTTCATCGCGCAAGCCATAGCTTTGCCCCAACCAGCAAACACATCCGTCAACCCTAATGCCATCACCAACACCACATGCACAGCCCCTGGCGTGTAAGCCATTCCACCTACATCCTTCCCCCGCCCCCCGGAAAAAAAAAAAGAAAAAGAAATAAAGAAAGCTGACAAGTTCCAGAACGCTAAACAGTCACAATATCAACGTCGCCATCCTCGGAATCTGCGGCGGAATCGCAGGCAAAATCGAACAATGCCAGGGCGCGCCCACGACGACCAGTGGCGCCTCGGGCGATGCGCGCTTCAATCTGCAGGTTGAGACCCCAGGGACAACGATTATTGTTACCAAGGGGCGTTGGGAAGGGTGTGTTCGTGCGGCGAGGGCTGTTTGTGGAGATAGTCCGTTCTCGAGTACGTGTATTGGAGGCGCGAATGATAATAAGGATAATGTCTTGTTTCAGCTGGTGAAGCAATGATACAACTGAGATATCAACATCATATTCGTCTATATATATATATCCAATGTACACTAGATAAACTCACTGAACGTAGTGAACTATATCAAAATCACTTCTTAAAAAGAGCCGCTTGCGTATCATAAGTATACTTGAGCTCATTATGCCAATAAGGCGCCGTAGTAGGCTTAGAAACCAACCACGCCTCATCCAAAGCATCCACAACCTCCTGCGGCAAAGGTCCCTTCTCCAGATCGGCAAGATTATTCTTCAACTGCTCAAACCCGCTTACACCAAGAATCACACCATCATCCCCGCCTTTATCACTCCATTTTAGAACCGAGTGATGTCGAAGCCAGCGGAATGCAATCTCGAGTGGTGTCAGATTGTTTTTGGAGGCTGTGTTTTCGATGATTTGGAGGGCTTTGAAGGTCTCGTCCTTGAAGTAACGCTCGCGATATCGAGGGCCGGAGATGGCGACGTCGCTGAATCGGCCTTCTTCGGGTTTGATGTCTTTGCTCTTGATTTTGCCGGAGAATAGGCCGCCCGCAAGAGGGTTATAGATTACGAGGCTTATGCCGTATCTGCGGAGGGCGTGGATGAGTTCAGTCTCGATTGACCGTGCTAGCACCTATCAGTATGAAGTCCCTGACAATCTGGGAGCTTGAAACTTACTAATGGCATTGTACATGCCCTGGTAGATGGTCGGTCGAACCCATCCTCGCTCAGTGCACGTAGTCACAATCTCCGCAACCTCAAAAGCCGTATAATTACTCAACCCCAACTCCACAAACTTCCCTTCCCTATGCAACTTATCAACTTCCTCCAACGTCTGCGCAAACGGCACCGATCGATCAGGCGCATGCAAGTAGAAAATATCAACCTGGTCCGTGCCCAGCTCCTTCAACGAAGTCTCAAATAATCGACGCAATGTCTCGGGTTTGTGCAATCCTGGTTCTGTCGGGTACACCTTGGTAGCAATCTTGAGTCCGCGCTCTTTCCAGCGGGCTTCACGGGTGAATGCTTCCTGTTTACCGCCGACATAGACACGCGCGGTGTCGACTTCGTGATAGCCCTGGGATTGGAAGTAGTCGAGGTGTTTGTTGTATTCGTCGAGACTGGTGATGCGTGCACCGGTGGTAGGGTCTGGACCGTAGGTCATTAACCCGAGGATGACTCGGGGTTTTCCTGTTGAGGCGATGAGAACCATTTTGACTGATTTTGAGACGATCGATATTATTACTGATTGTCTTGGTCGAATAGGATGAAGGAAGAAAGATGCTTTTAAAAGTGATCGGATAGTACTCCGAGCGGGGTAGAACCCCTCTATATATATTACTCTTATTCAAGATTCGTCATTTTTTTGACTCTGCTCCTCATTGATAATTACTGCGATATCGGCTCCTGAAGTCCAATTCACTGTATATACGTATTAAATGCCTCGTTCTCGGAAAACCGGCAGCATCTATGTACCTCTAACAAAAGGAGCTCGGTCAGGCACACGTGTGAGATTGATTGCTCAGATGGCTTGATATATCGAACAAAATGAAGCTCATTTGAAGCTCAGCCAAAGGAAAAGTCACAATCCATAAATATTACCAAATTGAACATTTGCTTCTCCCCCAGCGACGATTCCCTTCCAAGTCGTCGGCCTGCTTGGCTGTTCCCCCTTGGCATACTTGCTACCGAACTGGCCGTGAAATTTCTCCTTGACTTCTATATCAGTATAAAAGTCCCTATTATTGGCGATTTCTTGGTCCAGCGCTTCACGAAGGAAGGAATCATCAGAAGTGACAATCTCATTGAGCCATAGAATACTATCCTTCCTGGCATTCTTGATAGCATGGACTTCATCAGAAGCAAGCGACCCTTGCTCCTTTTTCAGGGATGGGAAAAGATCGCTCAGTCGGTGGATTTGAGTGTGCACTGTTTGTAGCATTATGTCGAACGTTTCCTTCTCGTAGACGGTTACGGAGACATTATTTGTCTCGGGTAAGCCCTTCGTCGGTGCTCGGGATACGTTGATTCGTTGCAAACCTGCATACAAGGATTGTACCCCTTCGGTCGACTTTGCAATTTGGGTCTTCGGGTCTTGAGTCCGGGTTTCTTCCTCTGTTGCCGTGTCTTTGAAGACTGATTCCTCTTCCATTGCACTATCTAATGCTCTGGCAATGGCAGAGAGGTAGGCAAATGACTTCCGGATAGTCGTTTTGAGCGCTCCTCCGTTGACGGCGAAGAGGTCGATATCTTGGTGAATCCCATGGCTGTTCCCCAGCGGTTGAAGTGAGTTATCAATGCAGATAGTCGGCAAATCTCGAGACCGTAGTTTGTCTCGAACGAGCCACCCGGAGATACAGCTTGGAGTCTGCCATAGCACTCGGTATATTTTTGCTCGACGTCTTCGAGGTCGCCTTCCTCGGTGGTGGAGGGTTTCTTATCAGATGTGTCCCCCATTATGAAATCGTCAGGACGATGTGGCAAATTGCGGTCGTAGGGGCGCTACAAATCACTTTATAAGCCTGATTACCTAGGGGTAGCTTTTGACCGTTCACAGTGATTGTGCATAAGGCTGAATACGTGGCTTACGGAGATTGCATACAAATACATGCGAGTTACGAAATCTACAAGAATAATGGCATAGCATATAGCCTCCTAGCTGAATTACTCAGCCCCATCAAACTCATCAAGAAAGTCTATGGTGTATAAACAGCAATTTTGTTTCTACTATTTCCCAAAGAAATCCTTCATGTACTCCCCCTGCATATTTCCTACAACCACATGCGACTTTCCCCCCGCAGTAATATCCTCATAGACATGCTTTGCACTTCCAGACACATTCCCCACATCGCCTACAAGCATTTTTACCTCATCAGATGCTGATACATACTTGTACGTGTTTCCCGTAACCTGGGTTGTGCCCCGAAGTGCTGCCATACATGCCCTATAGCAGTAACCCAGGACAATATTTTGTTGCTCAATAGCTTGCAGAATTCTGGACTCTTGTTCCTTTGCGAGCTCGATTTGCGTGTCAGTTAGCTGAGGCTCATTTTGGGTAGGAGTAGCATTTGCTTCGAGAAATGTCTGTAGTCCGATTTGTAGGCCTTGCATTTGACCTGCAAACCGGCTTGTAGCGTTTTCGATTTTGTTTTCCAGTGCCCGAGTAGTCTCGAGATCCTTTGTCGTATTTTTACTGTACGTATTTTCTTTTTCTTTAGTGGCAGTAGAAAAGAGGGGTAATTGGGGTCCTGCTTACAGCGTAAGAAAGTCAAGACTAATAACAAGCGTCAACTTGTAACTCGCCAGCCGACTTTGAAATGCGACGATCTGCTTATTTTTGAACTGTAATCAGATCCTGTCTCGTAAACTAACCCGAGAATTGTTCGTGGAGTTCCGCATGATCCCTTCGAGGGTAGCTCTGAATTCTTCGCATGTATCACGGCATCCTTCTAAGGCTGGTTTGGTCTCTGTTAGATTCGAGGCTTGTGCCTCTCACAATCTCGTCCCATTTTCATTGCTGTCTGTTTGTTCGAGGCCTTGTTCTAGGGACTTTATGATTTGACATAATGCTTCAAGGTCCGCTTTGATATTGATGAAGTTTTGAGGGGGCGTCGTGGATGTCTGAGATTAGTTGATAGAGTAGTTGACTGCTGGAATATGCGAGGCCAGCTATGCCAATTACACTCGCGGCTGCACTTACTCCGTCCATTTTCGGAGGGATGACTCTTTTTGTTGTTGATAAATGGAAAAGTCAAAATCGCAGTTGAATGATTCTTTAAGTAGTTATTTCTGAGCGGCTGAGGATGATACCTAGCTCAAATGGAAATACGCGTAGATATATATATGTGGGTTAGAAATTGAAAACTGAAATCAATATAGTGAAAGCGTTCGAAGAGAAACCGGAGTTATGTATTTACTAGCAAGAATTATCTCAAGAAGATAATCGATGGTCTTGTCCTAATCTCACCATAGTCACGTGTTCGCCCAGGTATTCTAATTACGTACCTCCTTTATACATCATGATTTCCCTGTTTGATGGAGCTATCAGCCTATCACCATCAGAAGAGACACCGCCCGTCTCTCACTAGACGAGGAGACGCGTGCTCTGTATAACCGCGCTATCACAGAGCCCGCATCCCTAACAGACGCAGAACGAAGAAAGATCACCCATCGCCCACTCCCAGAGGAAGAAGACGCCCTCTGTCGACAAGCATGTGGGCTGAACATGACCGAACTGGTTGCCAAAGCCATAGATACACCTGTACCCAAAACACGACAACAGCAGTGACAGTGGTACTGAAAACACCGTCCTCACCTATCAGGAAGCCCATCTTGTAACGGCCGGGGTGGTGCTCGGGCAGGCCGGGCGTCTCCTGTCTGAACGAGCTCGACTCAGCGAGGCAGATCGCGATCTGACACATAGAGCTGCCGACACCGCTCTAACCGAGGAAGAAAGCCGCGCGTGAGAGTGCGCTGGCGGTCCAGATGCGATGGTGGACCGCACAATCAGAGGCAGTCAAGTGCTTGAATGACGATGAGATTCGGAATATCCGCTATGCGATGCGAGTGTCGTGGCAGGAGCGGGTTGTTCAATCTATTGAAACTCAATCTACAGGTGGTTCTCCTTCTGGCTCTAGTGAACATGGAATAGTGGGTTGCCATTGGCCTGGTAGTGTTTTACGATCCCCGAACGTACATCTGGGTGTAAAAGTCTGGTTGAAAGAACAGTTTACAATGGATTACATTGTGTATCAGTGGTCGTGAATGAAAAGGCCGTTGCCGGATTCACTTTACATTGGCTGGAGGTTCCGGTTCTAATCCCTAATGACGATAATACAGTCAACTTCAGTGCACTGGCGAGCAGATTCCAGCCCAAGTTCCCTGTCGGCCTGCGATTGGATTGTTTCCCGTATGTGCTTGAGGAGGGTCTACACTCAGCTAGACCATATCTCTGGCTAGGTGAGCCTGTACCTAGCTTTGGACCAGATACGGAGAGAGCGACAAAGACAGGGACAGTTTGGGGTACAGACAGGTGGGGGAGAAATAGGCCCGCTCAAGGTGGACATCAAGCATATCGCACCGACGCTGTTTGCCCGGCTGCTGAAGTGAAGTTCTCTCATGAAGCTCCACAAGAGTCAGAGTGTGGACACGGGCAGCAAGATAGCTTAGGATACAAAACATAACATCCACCGATACTTCAAGTTGAAGAACGCGGCAGTGTGGCTGAGCTGCCGTCAGGGATGCGGACTCTGAGGGATTCAACACCATTGACTATGATACGTAGATGGCTCCGCTCGCATCCGCGGTTTATCCCATGAACTCATTGAGAGACAGGTTCTACGCACGATGGCCAATGGGAAGCAACTGGACGGTCGCCTTATTGACGCGAATCGAGGCTTCCGGTCTATCCATATGGATAGGGGCTTAGGGTTAGGGCTATCCCAATTCCGTCTTGAGCTGGGTGATTTTATGAAGATATGGACTTCGAGAGTTCGAATTGAAGCAAATAAGCTTCAATATACCTCACCCTGAGCTGCTGAATCATTTTAAGGTCTTTTCAAAAGCCACACAAAGCTCACCAAGTGATTACCATAAAAGCAACCCGTCCTTCAGACAGCCACACGTATCCACATCCACTCAGCCAACTATGTACGATCGCGCCTCACTCTTCGTATCATAGTACGCAGTGGACCATACAGTAAACGGTCGCACACCGGCTCACACGGACATTAAACGCCAGATAAAGGGCGCGTAGAAGCATTTGTGGTCTGTAGACCGGGAACGCGGATGCTTGGTGCGTAATAATTGAGGCATTTGTCGAATATGGATAGGTGAAACACTAATCCATGCGAAAGGATCAATCTGATCGACAAATTAATTATACGCAGCCTGGTCCATCCGTTCGTGCAGGTTGAAACTTGGGAATTAGGACTTGAAAGGTGACAAGGGTAAGACTAAGACATCTCGGTGGAGTCACCCTTGTTCCGTGGTGGCGTAGTAATGAGTTCGTCTGGCTGTGGCTATGGCTATGGCTGTGGCTGTGCTGTCTCAATTGTTTTCGCTGAGAGGACTGATATGATGATTCTCTTGATCTGCTCCCTTTCTTGTAGATGAGTTTCATTCTCCGTATGCACATGCAAGTCGTTCGGTCTTAGAAATGAGGTCATTGGATTCAATCAATTATTGAATGCCTTTGTACCACATCGCTAGACATACAGGTAAGCCGTAATAAAAGATCTTTGCCTACCGGACGATAAATCCTTGGATAATTCTTGCTGGGGAACGATTGAAAAGACAATTGTCTCTCGGCACAGTTTGCCTTTATTCCACATGTTAACTTATTACTCTGCTGACGATGTTGAACTTGTTAGATTTCTGAGCATCTACGCGAATAGCCCCACAAGGGCATAGTGGTCCAATGGCAGCGTTTGTTCGCGAGTAAGGGGGTCATTGACTTTGGAGGAGGTGTTGCTGATTGGCTGATCGCACGCTCCTTTAATGTAGGCTTTGCCAAATCGAGTCAATTGGAGATTGCCCAGCAGCCTCTGATTGGCTGTCTAGGCAAGGTGCCAAGGTGGACCACCCCCGGACTTAGATCCACCAATCGTCGGATTCCTTGATTTCATTGAGCTTTTCCTCCGATGTCAGATTGCTCAGACTGCCGAGTATATAGCAACTAACTTGGTCTTGGGTAGACAAACGTAGCACTATCAAATTCGGAGTATGCTGCACGACCATTTTCTTAAGGAAGGGCACTTTGTGAGACCCTACGTTACATGGCCAGCTTGAATCATGGATACAATTCCATTATTAATGTTGAAGTTATGAGCTGGCAACTTCAGGCCAGGGATTGTATCTCCAACCCCTAGCAACGGCCGACTAGTCGACATTAATAGCACACTAAATGCACAACACATATCAGGTGGACCGAGTCTTCCAATCAGCGGCCGCCTGTGCCTGGGCGACTTCATTAGCCTTGTGCACGCCGGCCTCAGGCGGCAACCCGGGCTTGGCACTGGGCTCTTGCCTGCTCCCCCAAACAAATCCTCTCCTTCTCTTTTTGCCTGCGTCGAGACAACTGCGTACAACCTCGCTCTCTTCTCCCTCTCTTCTTCCCTGCTCCCCACCGCCCTCCCAGAGCCTTTCCTACGGCTTATTCTCCCTTCTCTTTTTTTTTTTTCTCTTCTGCTTTCTTTCGCTTTATCCAGTTTATTCATTTCGTTCTCTTTCACTGCGCCTTTTATTTGCATTTCTTTCTCGAGCGAAACTATTGAACAAATACATCTATCCGTCTCCAAGACGGTTCAAACCTCTGGCCCAGCTTTGTGGCCGTCCGTTCATTACGAATCGCTTATTGTTCAAGACTTATTCCGCCGCCCGAGATCTTTCGACCTCATTCGAGATTTTGCGTCAGCTCGCCTCGTATCCTAGTTTCAGCTCCCGCTCGTGTCCAACCCCCGAACGACTACATTCGCAAACCTCACTTTAGGTTTACCTTTCCGCTCCGTCTTTTCCGACCGACCATTTTTGATGTTGTCGTTCCTTTGGTGAACGGCCTCCGGCTCTTCAATTACGACTTTCGACTACCCGACAACTGCTCAAAGGAAGTCGGGTGGGAGTCTGGAGGCCTGTATTTGGATTACCGATCGGCCAATACTCTCAATGTTTGTATTTGGACTGTGGCTCTACAACAAAGGCATTGTTTCAAGTAACGACCAGTCACTTTCGTCTGGTCATCAAAATCGTTGAGTGATTGTATGATTCATGGCGTCAATGCCATCTTCTTTGAAGGTTCCCGTCGGGACCATGGATTATAATCCAGATGATCTCGACGGTGTAGCTCTTCACAACCGGCACCCTAATTCCTCGTTCGAATTTCCTCCCAGATCCTCTTCCGAAGCAATGCACGAATACACGCCTGCTCCACTGCCAGCTTTTTCGTTCAATCCAGGCAATATGCATGCATCTACTCCATCCACATCAACAGTCACAGCTCCCCGACCTATCGGCCACAGACGACGACCCAGCGAACTGATCGGGGGAGAAGGACCCCCAAGCCCTCGGTTGATGGGCACAAGCCCCGGAAATACTGCTGATGGAGAGAAGGCCACTTTGCCTCCGCCATTATTGAGCGCCGCCCCTCGTGGTCCCGGCCGGAGGGGACATGCTCATCGCCGTTCCCAGGCCATGTCAAGCATGGACCTGACCGCTCTTACGCTCGCTTCGCCGTCAACTGCACCTCAAACGCTGACAGTCGGAAGCGCCCCCACGACACCTGCCGATAACAAGCACGATTTTCACGGTCACATGGCCCGCCCAATGTCCCGTTCCGCCATCGATTTACTCCCTCAACCTAGTCCACCGGGTTCACCTGCGAAACAGCTGATGTTCCTTCGTCCAGGTGTGGCTTTCCACGACAAACCACGTCCAGTATCGATGATATCCACGGAAACGTCCAGCAGCTTATCTACCGTTCGGCCAAATCATTCCCGAGTAAGTAGCGCAGCACCGAGTAACAACAACCTGGAGGGATCTTCTTCGGCGGAGACAATCAAGGCTCGGCCGAAAACCGCCGATGCAAGTTTGCTTGTCTCTAAACTATCCAAACCGTCCGAGCACTTTGGGGAAATGCCTTTCTTGAGAAGGTCATCTGTGGGTATGGGACCATTAGGTCTAGGGCGTAAATCGTCAGAGACTGTAGATGGGTCGGACGCTGAATCCATAAAAGAGAAACACACTTCCAAAAAGAGCAAAAAGAAGAAGCAGAAGAAGAGAAAGAGCGGAGGCAAAGCAACTCTTGAAGAGCAGAAAAACCGTCGCAATTCATTATCTACGGAACGAACACTTGATATTTCACAGGACAACTCGGCCGAAAAGTGGGAATCAGCATCCAGCCTCAATTCGCGTTCGGGCGCGGAAGACAGTAATCCTTGTAAAGGGGAGGAATGTCACAACAAAAAGCAGAAAAAAGTGCGCACTTGGGCTGGCGCCATATTCCCGCTCAAGAACAAGCGAACCCATGTTAAACGACCATTGTCCAGACGAAGCCCTACACCGCCTCCTATTCTCACTCGAACCAATTCCAACTTGGAATCAATCGAAGTCAACTTTGACGAAGACAATACGGTTATCATACGAACGCCCACGAACCCGAATATACCAAAGCAGACTACTCAGGACACAGAGGAAGAAAGCGACAAGGCATTTGAAAATGCATGGAAACCACGCAGCTTCTATGAACAAGGTCTGGAAAACAACACATTCAGTCCCGTCATTGATCTTGATGCGGCACTAGGTCCCTTCAATACTCCTGAAATGGGGGCCAGTAGAATAGCAGGAAGTGCATTCTCGCAGGCAACAAAACGGATGTATAGCGGTGGCCGACGAGGTGAATTCGTTGGTCCTGAGATGCGCTATCATCGACGCGCCGAGAGTGCTCCGGAAATGCCTCCCTTTGATCGCAGTGCGCTAATCGGATTTCCTCGCTTGGGTAGTGACAATGCTATGGCTAACGTGGATGTTTTCTATGAAGAAGAGGAAGATGCGTTTTTAGCTGAGAATCAATCTCCTAAGGTTGAGGACAAGGATCATGCCGATGGGGAGCAAGTGGATGCGGAGGTTGCAAGTGTCAGCGATGAAGAAAGTGAGAGGGATATAGCTCCTTCGAGTAGTGAGACATTGCAGGCTGCTCAACGACCGACTTCCGCACGGGAACTTTTTCAAGACGATGGCCTCGGTATTCGGGTTACTGACGACGCTGCTGTGGACGACGGACCAGGCGATGCTGTTATTGAGGATGAGGCAGTCAAAGAGAGCAACAGAGCAACATCACAGCATCAAGTACAGAACAAAATGTCCGTGGAAATCATTGAAGCAGAGCAGTGGGCACAGCCCCGCGTGCCGCATCACGCAAATAGTCCTGATATATCTCCAACTATGGTAGCAATTGAGAAGCGGCCTTGTTCATCACCCCTTGATCTTAACTCTGGTCTTTCCCAGTTGACACTTCCTTCACGACACGCTTCGAGTTCAGCTTTTCCGTCACCAGACCCCTCCAACATGTCTTTCGACGGACCAAGATCCGCAACAGCATCATCCATGACCGACCATACCACTTTCAACCATTCACTACACGATCAGAGGCAGAGCTCGTTTGAGGACGTCCCGTCCTTGAGCAGCAGTGCATCAACGCGGACGAATCCTCGAGGGCGGTTTTCATCCAGCTTCTATCTTCATTCATTGAGTGACAGACGCGAATCCTTTAATGCTTTACCACCTCGCTCAAGCCATTCAAACTCTGCAAAACGGTCTAGTCTTGTCAGTTTGTCCAGACTAGTGGGCGGCTCGTATGGCGAGAAGAGCAAATTGAGCCATGAAGAAAAACCACCAGCAGACGAGGCCGAAAAGACTCGAAGAAAGAGTAATCGGGTTAGTCGGTTAATGTTCTGGAAGTCGAAAGACAAACAGAGTGACTCCTAATCTCCTTTTATCGTCACTTTTTCGGGTTTTCTTTTTTTTCGTTATTCTCATGGCAGGCTGGGCGCATTGTTACGGCTGTTCTTTTTGACGAAATGTCCCACATTTCAATATGATGGGCATTGGGTAATGGCGGCGTCTTCTCTTCTCTCTACAATTTCTCTTCTCTCATATTATTCGAGTCTATGTATTTATGTCGGCGCATAATTTTCTGGATGTACAGCCATTGTGGACGATTATCTTTTTTCAGTTCAATTATTTTTTTGTTCGAGGTCTTACTCATGAGTCGTTGTCATATTTTTTTTTCCCCTCAACATTCATTACCTTTCATTCTTGAAGAGCGAATTCATTTTACATCTTTTGTTGGCATTGTTACTGCCATTCTTCATCATGATTATTTTTCCCATCATCATCAGAAGACCCTCATTTTGAGCCAGATTTTCTTCTTTTTCACATTTTTACATTCGAATTCCATCTTATCATTAGTTCCTAGACGAATCAATGACATCTCATTCTACTGTCTATAAATCCTATGATCGTATTCTTCGAAATTGGTGAGTTCGAGTCAATCAGACTTTGTATTGGAAATTGATTAGATCCTGTTAAAAGTGTTAAGAGTTTGATATACATAATAGATGTGGAGAAACTGATTCGTTACATATAATTGGCTTCTACAGCCCACATCTCCCCACTAGGTCGACTACTTTTTATACAACTTCAATCTATTACACATCCATCACGAGTCAAAAGCAATAATTTGCCCTCCCCAGATATAAAGGGAGACTTACATAAAACATGGCAGGACCAACCACCAAACCCGGAAAATCAAAGGGCAAGCCAAAACCCGCAAAAAAGCAGCAACAATCAGTCTCGACAAAGAAACCATCCTCAAGAAAAGAGGATACAACTACCGAAGACCAGATCGATTTCTCATCAGCAGCGAATAGTATCTCCTCAGATGTGCAACAAGCCTTACTAAACGTATTCAAACATGCACTTTTCTCTTCTGGTACTTCCTCCTCAACCACAGCAGAAGACGGGGAAGAGGATATGAGAACGCAAATTCAACAACTCAAAACATATCTGTACAATAGAGACTTTGAGTCTGCGTTTGCGGACGCGTCGCCTTCGTTGTTGAGGGCTTATGCATTGAGATGGTCTGCGTCGAGGTGTTTGGCGTATTGTGGGTTGTTTCGGGGGGTTCTTGATTTTGGGTTTGCATTTGATGGTGTTCAGGACGGTGGTGGAGAGGAGGAGGTTGCTGTGTTGTGTATTGGTGGTGGTGCTGGGGCGGAGATTGTTGCGTTGGCTGGTGCGTGGAGGGTATTATATGATGAGGATTCTGCGAATGCGGTTGAGGGGATTGAACGATTATCTTTAAATGAAAGTGTTTCTGAGGGAAACAAGAGAAAGAGGAAACTATCCATAACAGCCATCGATATCGCAGAATGGTCCGATGTTGTCCACAGACTGACGACAGCAATACATTCAAACGTCCCCGGTACAAAGACATGTCCGACGCCACTGATCCAAGATAGAGGCAGTATCAACATCTCATTCCAAAAACTAGATATCCTCTGCCTATCCGAAGAAAATTTGAGGTCTCTTCTTCATCGCCAACGACTTATATCACTCATGTTCACGCTCAATGAGCTCTTCTCAACATCAATCTCCAAAACGACACAGTTACTTTTACGAATAACGGATATAGCGAGTCCGGGGACGATGTTGATGGTTGTCGATAGTCCGGGGAGTTATTCGACCTTGTCCTTGTCGAAGAGTCAGGTATCAGATACACAGCAGCAGCAACGACAATATCCGATGAAGTTCCTGCTTGATCATACACTTCTAAACGTAGCGGAAGCGTCGTGGGAGAAGATAGTCTCGCAGAACTCGAGATGGTTTCGGAAGGATGTTAATAATAAGTTACATTATAATGTGGATTTGGAAGGTGGACAGGGTTTTATTAAATTGGAGGATATGAGATTCCAAATTCATGTTTATCGAAGATTGGCTCCTTCGAGTAATGAGATAAAGTGAAGAGGTCCTGGATATTGCTACATACATGGAGAATTAAACGAACTAATGCACATGATTTTTGGAAAAAAGAGATATCGAGATGTCGGGGGAGAAAAAAAAAGGTTAAGATCTCAATCCCAAAAGTAAACTCGTCCCCTTACCCTCTTTCCCCTCACCACCACCAGGCAAATAAGTAACGTTAGGATTACTAGCCAATGTAGCCGCAATCTCCTTACTAGCATCAATCCGTCGAATCTCAATCAGACCCGTACCAGCCTTAGCAACAGCCTTGGAAATAATCTCTGCACTCTCAGCTTCACCCTCGGCACGAATAACATTCGCCTGCCGTTCCTGCTCGGCCCGCTCAACGATAAATCGCGCTCGCTCAGCGTCCTGTTGTGCGATTTGTTTCTGTTCGACGGCTCGTGTGAATTCTTTACCGAAGGTCATGTGCGTGATTGAGACGTCTTCTAGAGCGATGTTGAATTGTTCGGCGCGGCGCGTGAGATCTGTCCGGATTCGGTTGGAGACTGCTTCTCGTTGGGTGATGAGTTCAGCGGCATCGAATTGGGCGACGATGGCTTTTAGGACTTCGTTTCCGATGGAGGGGAGGACACGTTCGTCGTAATCTGTACCGTAGGACTATTTCTGTCAACTACACGATCCACAAAATGTACAAAATGTACACAGCGAAGGCAACATACTTGGTAGATTTTGGGCAAATTCGGCACCTCCGGACGATGCAACACTCGCAACGTCAAACTAACCATCTGCAAATCCTTGGACCCCGTCGTCGTAGAAATATTCCGCGGCTTTGTGCGCACATCATAGATAATACTCCGTTGAAGCCAGGGGATGAGGAAATGTGTCCCCTCGCCAACCACTTTTTCCTGAACGCCGGTCAATCGGTCGAATATAACTGCGCGCGAGCCACCCTTGACGTCGTACATGGAGGCGTCGATTGCCAAAGCGCCTGCAATAGGTAGTGCAAACCATCGCAGGAGTGCGTTTGGTGATGCCATTTTGATTATATGTTCTTTTCTGGGAGGGATGATGATGGATAGATGTATGTTGGAGATTAACAATTGATGGTGTTTTGAGCTTCTTCTGCCTGCTGTCACCGCCTGGAGCTGATTCATTCCGTAAGGAGCCTAGCGTTTTATAAATCAACTAGTCTTGATTGAGCAACAAGGACCGGTTCCGATTCATGACGAAATGCTGAACTTCACCCCTTCATCTCTTCTTCAATTCTTCATTCTGTATCAATTGAATTCTTGCCTTGTCAGACAAGCTATAGGGATTGAAAATGGTTGGAAAAGCTGATCCAAAGAATGGATTGTGAGTATTTCATGAGCCTATATTAGGGTTACTTAGTCCGAGTAGCTCTATATGCCATCTACAACGCGTGATCAGATGAATATGCATATGAATATACTAACATATCTGCAGCTATGCCGGCGGATTCGGTGCTCTAGGTACAATCCTCTGAATCCGGTTATTCTTGTTTTGTCATTTCCCGATTCAGTCTCCTTACCCCTAACCCTGACAGTCGTACAAACCGGCACTTGACTGACAATTCAACCAATACAACACATCATGATTTCAATAACCTCAAACAAGCAAAACGACGCGCGGTGACTAATACATGAATGTATCCAGGCTGTCCAACCCCTCAACGAGGAATCGCCGCATATACTATCTCCCCGAATCGTCAAAATCCCAATGCTGGCGCACTCCACGCTGCGATTTTCAACACTTTCCGCCGTTTCCGCCATCAAGTTCTCTACTTTGCGCCTCCGTTTATTATTGCTTATGCGGCGATGAATTGGGCTGTTGAAAAGTATGCTTTCTTTCTTTCTTTCTTTTTCTTTTTTCTTTCTCGGCCGTCAAGTTGTATTCTAGGGTGGGAATGCTGACTTTGTAGGAATGAGTATTTGAACTCAAAGCCCGGTCGACTTGCTGCCGGTGTGGAGGAGTAGGTAATGACTGGTTGATGGATTTTCTGGGGACACAAGGATTCAGAGACGGCGTTATGGATTGTATGTTATGGGTCTAGGTATACAGTCTAGCAATGGTGATATTGGCGGTTGCCCTAAGTTAGGTACTTTTATGATCATAACTCAATAGAGATCTTAACCTCATACATCTCCAAATAAGCCGTACCCTTCCAACTGAGTCTTTTATATTTCAGTATACACTGACCATAACATAAAGAATTATTTTGTGAACAAAAGAGTAGAATTTCCTATTCCAGCCAAAGATGCGCCGTTGCACCCCCACTGATTAGCAGCAGTCTGGGCGGTCGAATGATTTGGTGGGCTAAACCGGACAACCCCGCCACGACCAGCCAGTTGGGCAGATGGAGAAAAAAAAATAGTTGCAAAAAATAAGAAGCATACAAACTTGTTTCTTTCTTCTTTCCTCTTTTTCCTTCCTTCTATACAGTTGTTTATGATATCTCGCTTTTTATTGTCCTGTCGTGGTATCTCAATAACTCGATTCTCGTGCCGTCAATTGACCCCTCTTCTTCGATCTTGTCCTTCTAGGAATAAATCGACTATCACAATGAGCGAAATCACGCACCCTACCATCAAGGGTATACAATCCTGCTCCTCAGAATCTACCGATTGAATTGACTAACACAGAAACAGATGGTTGGTTCTCCGAGGCCTCTGACATGTGGCCCGGTCAAGCCATGACCCTCAAGGTCAAGGAAGTCCTCCACCACGAGAAATCGCAATATCAGGACGTTCTCGTCTTTGAGAGTACCGATCACGGCACTGTCCTTGTTTTGGACAATGTCATTCAATGCACTGAGCGCGATGAATTTTCGTGCGCCTCCCCTCCGTCTCTTTAGGGTTTTGTTGGTCTTCTGACAGGAGTAGATACCAGGAAATGATCACCCACCTCGCTATGAACTCCCACCCCAATCCCAAGAAGGTCCTCGTCATCGGTGGTGGTGATGGTGGTGTTCTCCGTGAAGTCGTCAAGCACGAGAGCGTCGAGGAGGCTATTCTCTGCGATATTGACGAGGTACCCTTCTTTCCCCTCCTTTTTACCTGGCCCAAAACTAATAGCAAATGTATATAGGCCGTCATCCGCGTCTCCAAGAAATACCTCCCCGGCATGAGCATCGGCTTCCAACACCCCAACGTCAAAGTCCACATCGGCGACGGCTTCAAGTTCCTAGCAGACTACAAGAATGAATTCGACGTCATCATCACCGACAGCTCTGACCCGGAGGGACCTGCAGAGTCGTTGTTCCAGAAACCATACTTTGAATTGTTGAATGGTGCTTTGCGTGAAGGCGGTGTTATTACTACTCAAGGTTGTTCGTGGCCTTTCCTTTTGCTATTTTCCTTTTCTTTCTTTTCTTTTCTTACCCTTCCTCCCCCTTCCTTCTTTCCTTCCTCTGTAACTTCTTTTTTTTTCCTTTCAATTTTATATGGCAGAGTACTGACCCATCCAGCCGAAAACCAATGGCTCCACCTCCAACTCATCACCGACCTCAAAAAATCCTGCAAAGAAGTCTTCCCCGTCGCCGAATACGCCTACACCACCATCCCAACCTACCCATCCGGCCAAATCGGTTTCATGGTCTGCTGCAAGGACGCTACTCGCAACGTCAAGGAACCGCTCCGTACCTGGTCTCGTGAGGAAGAGGAGAAGTTGTGCCGATACTATAATGCGGATATTCATCGGGCGAGCTTTGTGTTGCCTAATTTCGCGCGCAAGGCTCTTGAGTAAATTATGTTTCTAGAAAAGGGGTTGTTCGGTTAGGGTATTCTACAACAGATATTAAATATAAGCACTCAAAACAGTGTCTACATTATGTTCATTCATAACATCAAGTCTAGATATAACCGATCCAACATTTTAACCCCCTCATAATTAACTTAGATAAGTTGTTGGAAAGCACGGTTAATGGGTGAGCGGGGCTTGACACCCTTGTAAAAGTCAATGGTGGCAAGGGCACGCTTGCTGATACCCTCCGGAGTGATTTCGAATTTCTGCAACAGTTAGCATATAATCTTCTTAAATGCAGGGGAGGAAAAAAAAAAAAAAAAAAAACTCACCTCGTAAACCTTCTTGTATGGGCCAGAGGCACCGAAGCGGTTGATACCGAACTGCTCGTGAGAGTAGCGCTCCCAACCAAGAGTAGAAGCAGCCTCGACGGACAGGATGGGGATACCGTCAGGAAGAACAGAGAGACGATACTCCTTGGACTGAGTGTCAAAGACTTCAAAGCAAGGAATGGATACAACACGGGCAGAAACGCCGTGCTTGTCCTTCAAGTACTGAGCAGCATCAATGGCAATGCCGACCTCAGAGCCAGTGGACACAATGATAACGGCGGCATCAGGAGCATCAACAGCAACGTAACCACCCTTGAGAGCGTTCTCAATGGACGAGTTCTGGAGTTGAGGAAGGTTCTGACGGGTGAGAGCGAAGATGCTAGGAGTGTGCTTGGAGGTAAGGGCGGAGTAGTAGGCGGCGCTGGTCTCGTTGCCATCAGCGGGACGCCAGACCATGAGGTTAGGCAGGGCACGGAAGTGTGCAAGAGTCTCAATAGGCTGGTGGGTGGGACCATCCTCACCAAGACCAATGGAGTCGTGAGTGGCGATCCAGATGACGCGGACCTGTGACAGAGCCGAAAGACGGACGGCACCGGCAGCGTAGGAAACGAAGTTGAAGAAAGTACCACCAGCAGGGATGACGGTACCATAAGCTGCGAGACCGTTCATGATGGCACCCATAGCGTGCTCACGGACACCGTAGCGGAGGTAACGACCACTCCAGTCACCAATACCGTACTCCGGGGGCTGGAAGTCGACGGCGGCCTTCCAGCGGGTGTTGTTGGATGAAGTCAAATCAGCGGAACCAGAGAGGAGCTCAGGAACAGCGGCGTAAATTTTCTCCAAGACAGTCTCGGACAATTTACGAGATGCAATGGCAGCATCGGTGGACTTGTAGGTGGGGAGGTTCTTTTCCCAGCCCTCGGGAAGCTTTCCAGCGAGGCGTCTGGTCAAATCGGCGTGCTCAGACTTGTATTCGCTTGCGTACTTCTGGAGGAGGTTGTTCCATTCTTGTTCCTTGGCAGCACCTGCGGCAGCAGTCTTTCCGTACAGGTCATAGACTTGCTGGGGGACGACGAAGCTCTGAGAGGGGTCGAATCCGAAAGCCTTCTTGACATTCTCTGCGTCATCGGCCTTGAGGGGGTTACCGTGGACACCACCGGTACCCTGGAGCTTGGAACCGAAACCAATGGTGGTGGTAATCTTGATAACGGAAGGCTTGTCCTTGACCTGTTGAGCCTTGCGAATGGCCTCCTCTATTCCTTGAAGATCGTGGTCACCATCCTTGACCTCAAGGGTGTGCCAGCCGTAGGCTTCGAAGCGCTTCAAGACATCTTCAGTGAAAGCACACTTGGTGTCACCGTCTATCCAACCGTCAGCCTTTATTTCTGCAGCGACCAAAGGGGGTTACCTACCAATGGAAATATGGTTGTCATCGTAGAGAGCAATGAGGTTACCGAGCTTCAAGTGACCGGCAGTACTGGCAGCTTCGCTAGCAACACCCTCCATAGCACAACCATCACCGAAGATGGTATATGTGTAGTTGTCGAAGAGAGTATAACCGGGCTTGTTGAAGACGGCGGCACTGTGAGCTTGGGCAATGGCGAGACCAACAGCGTTGGAGAAACCCTGACCGAGAGGGCCGGTTGTGACCTCAACACCGGGGGTGTCGTGGGCTTCAGGGTGACCAGGGGTCTTGCTGTCGAGTTGCTATGGAAGTCAGCTTGAAACCCAACTTTAGCTATGAAGATAGCACATACACGGAAGTTCTTGAGGTCGTCGATGCTGAGATCATATCCGAAGAGGTGGAGAAGAGCATATTGGAGCATACATCCGTGACCGTTTCTAGCAGGTGTGTATTGTTGGCAAAATTCATCACTCCGTCAAATTTGGGCAGACAACTCACGAGAGAACGAATCGATCCCGGTTAGCCCACTTAGGGTTCTTAGGGTTGAAGTTCATGAACTTGTGGAAGAGGACGTGGGCGGTAGGAGCCAAACCCATAGGAGCTCCAGGGTGACCTTTTGATAATTAGCATTATAATGGAAATTGCCCCGCGGAGAAACGAGGTATATTTACCGGAGTTAGCTTTGGCTGTGCCATCAACCTGTAGGCTAAATTAGCATGCCAGAAGAATTGAGCCATCAGACAAAAGCTGCCGTGCAGAGCTTTCAACCCTCTCTCCACCGAACCCTAGAATCATACACGCGGGAGGGTAAGGGGAAAAAAAAAAAGGATATGGCGAACTCATTTCCACTCCCCAGTGTACGATTGGCGGACGGCGGTCCTCCGAGAAAAGCGTTGATACAAGCACGGCCGCAACGCCGACGGAAGCGGGTAAAAAGCGACCAGAAGAAAAGAAAACATACCGCGAGAACACGGATGGTATTGACGGCCAACTGGTCAACTTCGGTGAAGGCCATGATTGTGATATCTGTAATTAATCGATAATTTAGTATTGCGAATTAACTCGATTGATGATGAGAAGTGATGTTGATGACTGATGAAAGAAGCAGGAAAAGATGTGTTGTTAGACGGTGAGGGGCAGAGGGATCGCGGGGCAACTTCAATTAGGTCATACAAATTCAGAACAGTTCAATTGACAGAAGGCGATACAAAAAGGACGAGTACTTTTTGTATTGGATTCTGATGAGAATGATCAAGATGGATGAGAATTTGATGAAGAGGAAGAGAAGAAGAGAAGAAAGGAAGAAGAAGAAGACGAGGCAGGATATGTGACGAAGGGAAGAGGTTGGTGGGGCAATGATGTATGCTCTGGATGCTGGATGCAATTGGATCTCTAATTACCCGGCCAGGATATGATTATGAATATGAAAATAACGATAAAACACCTAAGTTACTCCTGAGAACGAGTCTATACTTATAGCAACAGACATGCTGCGGGGCATCGTAGTCCGGTGTACGAACGCTGAGAAGCTCAAGTAACTCATCAATTAGTTAATCTTAATATGGCTTAGCAAAGCATCACCTAAAATCTGACTAATGAATTATAGCTCTGTTGCAGTGTTACTGGGTACGGGGTCCTTCGGCTAATGACTTCTCATGCCTTTCTTTTGTCGAAGTTGTTGCACATGTCGAATGCTGACTGACTGACTTACAGGCTAGGGTATCATTCTCTGATTGGGCCAGTTCGTGGCTATGACAGCAGTATCTTGTTTTGTTTACAAAGCAGAAGATCTAAGCATCACATATTTTATGTACTATATACTATATACTATGTTACATGCGAGTGGCGATGGTATCACGGAGTAGAGATTAAAAGCCTATATCCGCCTTGTGACTGACAAAGCTCAGGTGTGTTTCGAATATCAGAAATTAGACCCTCCATATGGTGGTATATCCTGTAAAAAAGGATCCCAATCTGACCAGTTTATTATGAATGTGTCATTTGACAGCATCCCTTGGCCTTCGCCAAAGATTTCGGCCAGGTTTTCGGTACCCATGAAATGAAACTGCGCGTTATCTGTGTCGGTATTAGCTGGGAGGGAGTCATGTTGCGCGAAATCCGGGTTTGTCGTCGAGTAGTCATATAACTGTTCCGACTGACGCTGCTGTTCTTGTTGACTGGTTGTAACAGTCAATCCCAGATCTTCTCGACCTGGTGTACCCTTCCTACCCTTCGAAGCAGAATAAGAGTACTTGTTCAAGAACTCCACCATCCTCGGAGACGGAGGAGTCTGTATTCCCAAGCGCCGACATTCCAAAACATTAACATTCCACGCTTTGGCAGCAAGTCTCAAACAGACGATGTGCAATGGTCCCCGAGCCTCAGGTCCAAGTCGTCCCAGATATGGTAGGAATAAATCATCAAGACATTGCCATGCTTGTCGCGTATCTTCCAATACAATCGACCTCTTTGACAGTTCTGAGATGATATACAATAATATAGGCCAGGGGATATGCCAATCCAGATGCCATCGGAATCGCGTCAGAACCTCGCTATTGCGTAGTTGTTCGTTATGCCTTATCAAGTCCAAGCATGTCACGAATAATTCATCGTTTTCGGCCTGTGATAGCGGTGGGAGTTTCAGATCTGGTACCCAGAGATGAAATGGACGGCTCACGACTAACTGGATCACGGAGATGATTGTATATGCCGAACCGCTGACAAGAATGTGTAGAGGGATAGACGGATCACAAAATCGGACCACTTTCTCTTGAACAATATTCCTAAAATCATCAACCGCTTTCTGTCTGCGTTGAGCTTTCTCATCTCGAACCTCCTCATCAGTCCGCAAAGGTGTCTGAACCGTCGTCTTCCCAGGAAACATAGACTCAACGAATTGAGGTTGACCCTGGTGCCATTTACTAAGTTCCTGCCGTAACTGGCAAAATATCATATCTGTGCCAACATCATCCCGCTCAACCGGTGGCTCTCTCATATTGGGATGAAGCTCACTGTCGTTAACGTTCAAGGGGAAATGAGTGTCGTACGCGGGTAAGGGTGCAGACACAAATCCGAATGATCGAGCAATGGACCTGTCCATGTAAATGATGTGCCACCATACACGACGTCTCATTTCGGTCTCAAAGACTGAAAGTCCTAATTGGGAGCCATCTCGATGGAGACCCATTTGCTGTGCGATTCTGATCGCGGTGCCGCTTAGACACCATACTGTTCTTTGGTCGTATGTTGACCGACAAGAAACCTTCATGATCATTAGCATTCCGAATCGTGGTTTTGGTTGGGGAGGGCATACGAGATAGAAACAAAAAGCCTGTAACAACACCAAATCTGTAGTCTTCAACAATCCCGCATTAGCCAACGCTTTCTGCGTCGCTGTACGGAATCGAGTCTGCAGCAGGCCTTTATCCTGACCAAACTCTTTCTGCATCTCCTCATCCGTCATTGATAGCAAAGCGCAGCTGTAAATCGAGAACAATAGAGCCTCCATCCCTTTTCCCATGGAGCCCAAATCACCTATCGCGTTGAGCATTTGTTGCTGTAGGGAAGGCGCATGGATAATCTTCGTAAGTGGATTGACATTTTCCAGAAAGATTTGCCATAATTTGAAGATCTGGACTGGATTAGGGTGAAGACTGGTTAAAGTATCGCTCGATGATACAGAGAATAATATATCGTATCCGTTGTCAAGGGGATATGATTCGTTTTCAGGCTTTGGAGATGGGTTTGCACTTTCAGTATCACTCTCATCTGGTATATAATCTGAATCCTCGAGCTGTTGCGGTCAGTCATAGCAAAATTTTTTTCAGTCCAGATAAAAGGATACACACACCTCGTTTCCCAGAGTACCCCAAACATCACTATAGATAGACCTGTCAATATCAAAACTAATTTCTTCTCGGAGTAAACCTACTTCTCTAAATAAAGCGTCTTCCCTCCCCTCGCCACAAACTGTCCTCTAAGAGGCTGCATCGGCCCCGGCCCATTGACCGTATTCGACCTAACATTAGCCTCTGAAACTTTGAGCCTACTCATCCCACGCTGCATCCCATCCCCGCCACCACCATCAACATCAACCCCAGCTACCTCTTCGCTCTCAATAACACCAGGATCAATCCCATACCGCCGTAAAACATTCTCATAATGTCTCAACCTTGACAACAACGCATACTCAGCCCGTCGTTTGTGATGACGAGCCGGTATAGATTCGCGAACGATGCATTCCGCGTTTGATTTGAGACAGTTTGAGCAGGGGTGTTTGCGGTCACATTTTACCTTTCTTTTGCGGCAGAGGGTGCATGAGGGGCTTTTTGTTGTTGGTTGAAAAATTCCTGGGGTGTCTGTCATGGTTCGTGGTATCTCCAAAGATTTTTTGGCTATGTATTTGTATACATTTGTTTTGGTCGTGGGAATGGATTGGTTGATGCCTGATGCAACAATCGGCTTTAGTAGTACCTGAATGGATTGTGATAGTGAGTCATGTCACAACTAAATAGCGTCAACCGAGTTCACGAACTATTCTTTCGAAAGGCTGATTATATAAAGTAAGTGTCGTCGATGATAAAATGTCACCGAATAGATGATGGTGAGCAGAGGAACAACTGGCGAGCAATTACCATGGATTGCGCTATGTCCAAAAGGGCTAAATACCTACTCAGCCTTGGGAGTTGCTCAACATTTCAAGAATTTACAGCTTAGAGAGAAATATAGAGGCATTAAGATTCGACTAAATCATATGTACATCGACTCCCGGCATAAAACAGTGCTGTCGGAAAAGACGAAAAGATGACAATTTCAGAAGATATTCACAGCAAGCACAACAATTCATCACCAGACGCCTATATAAAACAAGTAAAACCAAATCGTGAGACATCAGACCTACTACTCACTTCGTCCCACCTCCTCCCAAAGTACCAAAACTCCATCAACCAGATCCAAAAAAAAAAAGAGAGAGAGAGACGAGTAAGCCGAACTAAGCTATCAAGGACCGTTCCCAGCCATCAAATATACCCAAATCGACATAATCTTCATCAGCAGACGGTATCATAATCCCCTTGACAGCATCGACCATTTGTAAAGACTGCGGCAAGTCAAAGTCCTTGAATGGAAGAACATCGTCCGTAATAGCTCCATTTTCCGATGGATAACCCGGTGCACCTTCACGAGCATAGGGTACATCGCCACTACTACAAGCGGACCAATCTGATGAAGTATCCTGTGGGCTGAGTCGGACATGTTGCTGCATGATCGGAGCATAAGCCGAGGCAGTTTGATGAGGTGAGTACTCATCAACCGGAGCCTGTGAACCTGGTTGTTCGCCACTGTCTTGTCCACCGTATATTCCATTGAAAATATTCAAGCTACCGTGATCGAGATCGCTGAGTATACATTCCCACTCTGCTGACGATAGCGCTATCTTCGAAACATCGGTAGAGGACATGGAGCGAAGTGAGTCCGCATTGAGAGGATAATAGTCCACGTTGACACCCGACGATAGATCGAAGGACTTGGGTCGGTTCAGGGGTTGTGGAGGCTCCATTGGGCTTAACCGCTGACGGGCCTCTTGGGTATATTTATGTGCTGCAGTGACATTAGAAATGGTATTCCTTCTTGACATCTGCCCTTCTTTTGCCGATTTCGATTCACAGCCAGGCTCGGAACGGGCCTGTGACGTTTGTAGAGCCTTCTTTATCTTCAAAGACCGTTGACTGTCGGCTCCAGATATAATGTTGGATAGTATCCGAAATTCGGTCGCAGCCGCGCTCGACTCCGACTCAAGTTGTGCTTTGACATCTAGGAGCAAGTTCCGGCTTTCCTGGATCAGCTTGCTGCCTCTTTGCAGATTCATATCTTGCCACAGAATGCCAAGACCAGAGAGGTAAGCCACCTCTTGGCGGTTGATGGCTAACGATAGGCTTAGACGTCGTTCATCGAGGAGCTGCAAGATTTGGATGATGTGTTTGCTGGAGTCGGTGATAGTCAACAGAGCCGGACCCATCACGTCCGAAGTACCAAAGCAGGCTGCAGGACGATGAATCAAAATACGGATCAGGTAGTATACCAAGGACTAAACTCGTTAGTTTTGCATTATATGGATTGGGCGAACTTTTTTTTTGAAAAAAAAGACTCACTAGTAAAGGAGATCGGCTGCCTGTCACATTCGTACTTGGCCGATCCTGGATAAAAATCAATTTGAGATGGGTTGGGAGACCCTTGTTCCAAGTTTCAAGCTCCTCTGATAGCCCGTGTAATTTTGTCAGGGGGATTTGAGAGGTAAGTGCCGGCGGATAAAGAACCTCGAGTGCTTTGCCCAAAATCCGAGAGGCCTCTATCAAAGCAAGCGCACTTGACATGCGGGTGCGTTCATCAGGTAGACCAGGCAGCAAGCCGTCTTCGGTAATGTTCTCGTCGTCAATGTCTGCCGGAATTTCAGTGGCGATATGCTCATCGCGGAGCATAACAGGCAGGCCAGTCACGGCAGCGGTGAAGCTAATATTGTCAGTTGGCTTATCGGATAATAGATTTGTTGAGGCATCTTACCGGTCCAACATATACTGACACCAAAAGACTTTCTTGCGGGTCTCATAAAGCAACGGCTCATGAGCAAGATGCTGCTGACTTTGGTTGAGACCAAGAGACTGAATCGTGCCGACGGAAAGGGCACGATAGCGAAGTAGAGACTGATAGTCTCCTTTGGTTAAGAAATACATCTGAGCGAGGACCATGCACTGGATGGCAGGTACAGACATGTCTCCACTAAGAGCCTCAAGTGGTGTGTACCAGTTATTCTCGAACAGCTTTGGGTCTTGGTTTGTTCGCGACTGAGAAGGGTTAGCTTCGGACTAATGTTAAGTGGTGTTTTTGTGATACATACCATAGAAGAAAGTGCAGCAATGCCAAAGATAAGGTTCAGTTGTATAACGGTAAAAGGCTGATCTTTCAATAGAGATGGGTCGGCAAGATAGCGATCGTAGGCTTTGAGAATGGTAGAACGGTGCACCACTGGGTACAGAGGAGCCCATTCCTGGAAATATATATTTACAAGTTGATCTGACACAAGTCTTGGCGGTGACTGCAGAGACAAAGCTTTGCGTTGATAATTCCTGGCCGGCAACGCCGTCAATGCCTTTGTCGAGAAGGAAGACGAAGGGACACCCTGTGCTTCCATTTTGTTTGTCAGTGTTGACGAGAAAGCGCGAACACTAGACGGTCCGGCGAAGGGTGAACTGCTAGACGGTTTGGTCGGATTATAAACCGTAATGACGGGCTCGGCCTCAACTATAGCAGGTTTTACATCTTCAGACGACAACGGCGACCGCGATTGTGCACAGACTGCAGCCGACGAGGACGAAGGAGAAGGGGTAGAAGATTGAAGTGAATGCGTTTTCTGCCGTGGCGACCCGAATGAATGAATACGCGACAGCACTTCAATCTTCTCGTCTCGTTCATCCAATAAATTCTTCAAATCTCTGACCTCGCCCTCGAGCGCTCGAACACGGTCTTCCAACGACTCGGTATAGCCGCGTGGGAAGGCTCTTCGGCTCAATTTATCGCTGGTCTTGCACTCGAAGCCGACATTTTTGCATTGCGTACAACACGGTCGAATTCCATCGCAGCGTATTTTTTTCGAACGGCACCGATCGCAGGCTTGAGCGATACGGCTTTGGGAGTTGGATCCCATTTTGATCACTTTCATAGGGAGTATTCCGGGCATTTTGGCGGATTATTTGTAGTATAATTTGATATGTTGTCGAATACAAAAGGTTGGCGTGACCGGACTGTCGTCCGCCAAACTGGGGCGATGAGTCGTGACGAATGGGCTCACCGGGGATGAGGGACGGCGAGCGCAGTATATAGTATATAGTATATACAAGCAGAATCGCTGCAAGAGCGAGTCATAGATGCGTAGTACTGGGTAGTAATCAAGAAGTCGTGGCAGCAGGGAGTAGTAGTACGATGAGAATAGTACGTACAACGGTAACGAAGGAGAGAAGTGGATTCAGAGAAAGTACAGGTGGAGAGGGAAAGACAAGGAAGCGACGGAACTTCTCTTGTTCCGCCAAGACCGAAGTCGCCGATCGACGGGAGAGAGGGTTGGCTGCCTTAGTCCAGAAGCAGTCTAGCCGCGGGGTTGCCCCAAGTTCTCAGAGTTTGGGGTCTTCAAATCACGAGGACGCGCTCTGGAGTAACGCCACGCCGGCAGCCAATCGCAGAACGCCAATTAATCGTCCATCGTACGAGTTTCTCTTCATGACCTCAACATCACCCCATTTTTGCGCTGGATCATTTTTATCATGATTCATGAAAAGTCTTCTTCTTGTTCTTGCTGCTTGAGGAATACCTGGACTGTCTCGGAAGACATCAACTGTTCGATCTGTGGAATGTGAGCAATGTGAGGCACGAAATAACTCGGGGATGATTGACTCACCTCACTAGCAAGCGCCTGGACTCCTCGTCGTAAAAGCCCCGTTTCCCCGACCCTCAGCCTCCCGATCATCTCATAAACTGGGGTACGAACTCCCGTCCGAGTTCCATCGGGATCATGCTCTACGGTTTTGAATGCCATCTCCAATTCGCCTCCCAACATCTCCAGACGGGATTGCAGACATTGCTGCACAAGCACTGCTGCGCGTAATTGGAATAGATCCCACTGCGGATCCTGCGAGAGAACTTCCGTAAGGTTGCGTGGTGGTGTCTCCGGAACAGTCTGTCCAATCACGGTATCGCCTTTCCATGACGCTTTGAGTTCTACGGGTCCCTCGTTAGTCTGCATCATCTCGACAGAGAGGCCGTCTTCTTCGTTCACGCAGGCCCAGAAGATAAAGTCGCTTTCCCATTTGATTTGGCCGTCTTCTACGGCCAGTCTCAGACCGGGAGCGATTTTATTTGCACAGATTTTCTTCTTCGTCTGCTTGAGTGGATCGTCATCTGGAATGTCGAGCGGTAGGAACAACTGTCGTGCATCCTCGACTGAGCTTTCGAGAAAGCCATAAGAAAAGATCATTTCCGATGCCCCTTTCTCATCCCCATATCTACCAACGTTAGCACCTTTACCCTTTGACCCCTGGGCGATAGATGACGACATACGTTATAGTAACCTCCTCCCCCTTTCGAAGCTTCTTCCCCCATCTCAGCTGCAACACAGCATTCCGCTCACCATCCGTCTCATACAACGCAACTGTTTCCTCGCCCGATGCATGATTAGCCATATCCACACAGGGAACCATCACATGTCCCGAGCCTGGCAAATCCAACGCCCTCGAACGATACATGGCATCCACAACCTTCCAATCATCTAGAGTCAGACCGTTCTCTTCATCCCACCATTCCCGCTCACACCACGCAATAGATTTTGTGGCCTCTCGAAGACGATCAAATTCTGCTTCGAGAGCGGCCAATTTGTGATCAACCGCGTCTTTCAGAGATGTGCCGTAGAGTAAAACCAATTCATCCTCTGACCACAACGTAGGAAGTAGTGTTTCGCTAGATAGGAATTTGATATACTCTGACCAAGGGTTCGTCACGCCTATTCTGGTCTGCGTATCACTTGAATAAGTGATGTGACAAAGCAAAAAGATGAGAATAGCCCCGCGAGCAGTCTATCAAAAATTTAGCAATCCTTTCCCCCAAGATATAAGAAATCTGCATACCCGCCCAAGATCACCACACCCCTCCAAAACCTCCCTCAAGTACGGATCCGATTTCGCAAATTCATGCACCGAATCAAGCGACAACACCATATCAGGCGGAACCGTAATCAATATCTCAGGTTTATTTCCTTCCTGTAACTGTTGTGCGGAATATTCCTTGTCAGTTAGAGCGACTATTCCAGAGCCGTTGGCGAGTTTCTCAAAGCCGATGTCGTGGAATTTGATGTTGTTGAGACGGGCCCATGCTGGTAGGGCTGAGATGGGGAGGAGGGGTCTGTTTAGCATGTTTTCTTTTTTCCTTTTTTTTCTTGATATCTTGCGATATTGAGGTTGAAGAGTGGTATTGGTTAGATTGCAGCTTCACTAGCTTCGTAGAGCTTGCTGGATGTTTATGGTTGGTGGATGCGGAGCACAGAAATTGTGTGATGTATGTTTGGTATTGGTGCGTACTGACTGTAATTGTCAAGTCATACGATGCCTATGTTCATCACCACATCATATGAACTAATATGGCTTTAACAACCCGAATATAGACCAGCATTTACTTCTAAAAATATAACGATCTCAGCTTTCAAATAAACAGTCTCATAATCGCGTATCAATCACTGTACTATGCAGCATCGTAATTACCACCCCGCGAAAGCTTATCGATAAGGATACCCAAGACGTTCCGCATCATTGCACCATCCCGACGTCATGAGCTTGGTACTTCTATATAACAGATACATTCTACACATACAGTGCTCAACTAACCCCAACAGTACAACTACCTCAGAATTGAATTGAATACAACCATCAAAATGCGCCGCTCTCTAATCCCCAACCCACCACGCCCTTCCCTCTTCCCCCTCCGCGCAATCCTCCAGCCAGCCTCCATCTACACTCCGCACAGCATCCGCGCTCAATTCTCAACCAGCAGCTCCCAACAAGAACGTAACCAAAACCAAAACCAAACCTCCGAACCCCGCTCCTCACGCTCTTCGACCATCAAAGGCCACAAATTCCAAGAATGGAAGGGATCCTCCACATCAGACCACGCCGTAAACCGCGCCGACAAAAACGACGTCACCGACCCCCTAGTTGAAGGTGTATCGAGAGGTAGAGCAGAGAAAAGGGAAAATTTGGGGATTGCGGATTCTACAATGAGTGGTGCTACGACGGAGAGGGATTTGGGAAGGAATGCGAAGAGGGCGAAGGAGAAGAATCCGAAGAGTCCGGAGCCGATTATTGGGATAAACGATGAGAGGGGGCAGGTTAGTATTCTTTCTTTTTTTCTTCTGAAGTTGTTGTTCGGCTAGCTGACACGTATATAGAAAGGTCATTGAGTTGAGATGGATCATGTATACGCCTTGCCCTATGTATGATTAGAGCTAAATCGAATATTCGTTTCATATAAAACCGTTATGACGTTAGCGGCCAACTCGGAAAGAGAGTACCTGTATCATTGTCAGTTGCTATTCTTCCAGTAGTAGGATAAACGTACATCATGTTTCCCAACTGCAACAATCTCATCCTCAGAAACACGTACTCCTCCAGCTCCTTCAACATAGGCTATAGGGACATCACCCATAACTTTCCGCGCTACGTCTCCTACTGTGCTGTTTCTATGTCTCGTTAGTGACAAAAAATCTTGAATGTAAAGGAGAGACAAACTTTTTAACCAAAACACAATCTCGAAATACAGCATTTGACCCTGACCCGGAGGCAAATGTATGAATATTCCGCACGGGAAATACAGGCACAAGTCCTAAAACCTCCGCAGCCCGTGAGAGGCATTGCACAACACCAGTAGAGCCGAATCGATATAGAACCATATCTTTAAGATTTTCAACACGTCTGCGCACGTCAGTATCTCATAAACAAGCTAAAAATAAGACAAAGACGTACTGCTTCAATTTCTCGTCCATCTCTTTCAATCCTCCGCCATCAGGATCACCCATTTCAATAAGATCTTCTCGCGTATCGACGAATTCGCTTCCTTCAACGTATTTGACGTATTTTTGTTTTGCGAGCCTTCGTAGAAACACTTCTGATATTGCTGAGCACAGCACGATTGAGTTTGGGTCTTGCATTCGGGCAATTTTGCTTATATTCTGTGACAGTTAGCTCCTTGCTTTAGGGCGGCACTCTATGGGTGTCCAAGTGAACTACCTTATCTGCATCCGGGTGATCAATCTTATTCAATGCGTAAACGGTGGGAAACTTTTCGTCGACGAATGCATTTACCACTTTTTCAATCGTCTCGTTCGACCAGTCTTCGAGAGGTTCTTTTACATTGAGACGATCGAGACATCGGGCCACTGTTTGTGGAGTACTTCCGTAACCGGAGAATTGGTTTTGTAATGTTTCGACTGGATTTGCCTCTGTTGTTGTTAGCTATAGATTTCGACAAAATAGTCAGTGTACATACTTGTTGCGACGTGTTTCCGCTTGATAGAGCCCCTGAGTCTGTTAGAATTGGCCGACGACGGAAAAAGGACGATAAGAAATACCATTTCTCCATTAAATTCCCCTGAACCCATCGCACAATCTCCGATCTTAACCACACAATATCTTGTGAGGGATCATATCCTCGAGTCTCCTTCCCTGAGCTGCATTCAGCAATCCAACCTGCCAGCCAAAAGGATCACAAATCTAACCTTCAGCATCCGTCGTCCCACTCACATCAACAACATGAATCAAAGCATCCGCATGTCTCAAATCGTCCAGAAACTTATTCCCAAGACCCTTCCCCTCGTGCGCTCCAGGTACCAATCCGGCAACGTCGAGAAGTTCAATGGGCACAGATCTTCGTCCGCCGGTACATCCGCCGTAGTTTGGGCGGCATTTATCTGTCAGATTGAATCGTTTGCAGGCGCAGTCTATTTGAAGATATCCGATTGCTCGTTGTGGATCGATTGTTGTGAAGCTATGGCAATTAAGTCAGTAACAAAATTGCGCGAGAATCATAAGATGCGGCGTACGGAAAGTTTCCTGCAATGGTACTCGCGCATTAGCATATATCGACATACCAATATGTTAGTAGCTATACTAACCAACTTTAGACGAAGCATCAGTCAAACTGTTCAGAGTCGTCGATTTTCCACTAGAAGGCTTTTGTTGCCGATCTGGTCAGCGCGGAAATGGCGTGCGGGGTGTGTATGGTCGGACATACTTTGCCTACGAGGCCGATTAACGGATCGCGAGGCATGATGGAGTATCTGAAATTGGATATTGGTCGGATATTATATACTCGACGGCAGCTGTTTCTTGGCTATGATGCTAATGTTCAATTGAAAAGATAAAGCATGATGCATTCACAAATTACAATTTCTGCCGGCGAGGTTGGAAGGCGGTGAGTGGTGGGATGTTTTCTGCCTCAGGTTTCTGCTCTTCAACTCTTCAACTCTGCAATCACTCTCTATCAATTCTCAACTGGACCAGACACAACAGCTCGTTGCTTGTGCAACGCTGACCTTTGACTACGTGACACAATATTGCTCAAAGACTAAGACGAAGCTCAGCGTCTAGCCGGATCACTAACCTGACCTGGCAGTGTACAGAGTAAGATGGATGGATACGAAACTCTACCAAGAAATCCTACCGATTGACGTTATTCGAGAACACGCGACACGTATATTCTCGATTCGAGTATCCCAAAAGTGTCCACTGCCATTTTCTTAGCCAGGTCGTATTACATCAGTCCTTCCTAAACGAGCTACACATGCACCACGGTATACTTCAGTATACTTCAGTACACTCCAGTAATCGACGTCAGTATGGAAGTCATCGAATACAGCTCGGATTACTCCACAGCACCTCTGTAGATATTACTCAGATGACAATGGAGTTCTCCTATCGATTAGGCCCGCCAAATAATAGGAGATATGAGGCAATAGGGGGTTGATACGGACACTCCCATTTTTTTTATTTCGAGGCCGTACGGGACCCTTACGGAAATTCCACACACATACAATTTTTTAGCGTACTATCCTACTTCAATTAACATTTGTAATTTGGTATAAGTGATCCTAACACCTAAAATACTCATCTCAAAGCTCTAGGGAGTCAGCTGGCTCGTACGCTTGCTTATACACTGGCTTACAACTAAGAATCTCAGCAGAAGGTGACGCCTGAGGGTATAAAATCTTATATTAAAGTTAAAACGGGATCTCAACACCAAGAAAAGTGGATTTGTAGAGATTTTAGGTGAGGATAAGGCTTCAAGATATCTATTATATTCGATAGTGTTGGTGTCGGGTTAGGGCATAAGTTCGGTCAGTACTCCGTATTGAAAGATGTTTTTTGTAATTGATCGGGTGCGCTAAGAAATTACTAGGCGTATGGATACTTCATGAAAAATAAAAAAGTGGAAATTTCTTGGAAATTGGGAGTGTCCCGAGTAATATGGGAGTATCTGTATCAAACCGAGTCCCTTGAGGCAATGGTGAAAGGGTCGGGTTTACGTCATTGGGGCACCGCTGCCAGAAACGTCACATTCTCTACAACGACAAATATATAAGTAACTTCTTCGGCTTACTTGACTTTAACTTGATCAATCGTATCAATCATATCAATCAATAAAAGCAACACCAACACAACACTCTTCGCATCCTCTACTTCAAGCTACAAACACCAGTCATACAATAAACATCATGTCTTCCTCCAACTTCCACACTACCACCCAAGACCTACGCAAGCCCGAGTCTCGCGTCTCCAAGGCTCACGGCGGCCAGACTCCAGCCGATTCAGACATTTCAGTTATGAAGGTATGCTATCCCACTCTAATCATGAACCGACCGAAAACTAACATATTTACCAGTCCGTCCTCGACTCCGGCACCAACAAACAAGAACAAATCGAACGAGCCCGCAACAACCTCCCCCTCCCCGACCAACCCCCCGTCGCCAGCGACTGGAACTCAGCCGACCAGCGAACCGTCAACGTCGGCTCCGGTCGCTTCGAAAGCTCTGCTTCAACCGGTGCTGGTTCCAGTGCCCTTCGCGATCCCGCTACTGTCGACAGCAGTGTGCGCGTTGATGGGGAGGAGTATCACAAGGCTACTGAGCCTGGATCGAGTGTTGGTCGACAGGGTCAGGAAGGGTTGGATAGTTTGCCTAAGGATGCTCGTACTCGGTAATTGATGAGCTACGAATGTTATGAATTATTATGTATATTAGGAGTTGCTTTAGGTGCATGGGTTTATGATAGGATTCAGCGGAAATTCGCGTGAATGAATTGACGATGTTCCAATTTCTCGATAAATCATACATACATTTGTAGTCGCCTAGTCGAAATAGACGGACCACCATGATAAAATAACCCGGCGTGCCGCGTAGTAGCCCTAATTCCTACATAATCACTCCAATATGAGCCTAGACAAGCTGTATGGCATCATATTCAATGCTTATCAGATTGCCAAGTCGACCGGATGCAATGATATATACATCATGTATGATGATGACATCATGTTCTTCTTTGGGGGGGAGGCTCTGGATCAACTTGCAATCAGTTCCACTAAGGATTATCCATACTGATAATCCAGCAATTAAGAGGAAAATGAGCTTGACGTTATCGGACCCAGCACGCCGTAAGTGTGACATCATGTCGACAGTCTGCGAGTCTTTATAATGGCGGCACTTCTCTTCGTTCTGTACAGTTCTCTACACATATCAACACTCTACTCTGTATCAGCACTCGAATCTCCTTGAAATATCCTCTCCGTCGACTTTAATAGGCACGCACACACACCATGGATTTGCAAGGAACTCCCATCGGAAACTCTACTGGTGGCACCAAGGCGAGTTACCACCTCCCACCAACATACCTACTATCATACTGACAGTTACGAAGGTCACCAGCGACCCAGCCAGCAACATCTCCATCCAAGAAGGCCCCGGCCCCGTCCCCAACGACTCTCTCGCCGGCGAATCCGTCCGACAAGGCGGCGCATTCCGCCAAAACCCCAACAGCGAACCCCTGGGTGTATCAGGCTCCAAGGCCACCTTCAACAACACCAACACTTCCGGCGCAACTACCCTCCCTTCTGCCCCTCAGGCCGGTGCCCGCGACTCAGATCGCAAGGAGCGATATCCAGATGCTCTCGGTGGACAGGGGAATTATCCAGGAACTCACCTTCCGGAATCCGGATATGCAGGTGGTTCAACACAAGCCAAGCGCGATATGGGCATTGGCGGCCATCAACATCAATACAACACGACTGAACATGCTCAAGCCGGCGGTAGTGGTAGTCAATCCAACGCCGGCACTGCACCATCCTATGTAACCCCCGTCGTCCAGAACGTGGGCAACACAAAACCACACGGCACAAACATCAAAGAAGGTGGATTCGATAGCGATCCCAAGAAGAACGCCAGCTTCAACTCGGATATTGGCACTAATAACGATCCTGGTCGTCTTGCTGAGCAGAAATTTCAGAAATATACGGCCGAGAGTGGTGCGAATGCTGCTTACACGAATCCGACTGTGGATGCTAATCAGCCGTATGGAGTGCTGGGATCTGACCAGCGTATTTAAAAGCGATACTCTTGTAGCAAACTATGCTTATGTATTATAGATTCGATGACATGAAATCACGAAATATTGATGAAATCCCGTTACATTAATACATACATAACCTTTGAAATCTCGCCATTGAACTCAAAATGTAAATAAAATTGAGGCTTGAATTATATTTATTATCAACCAACAGGGTCTTCTTTGCAGCCTCACACTGTCCCTTGCCAAATTGAGGCTTGAACTCTGGCTGTTGACTTCGCCTGTCACGTATACCTGCTCATCCACGTGGTGGAAACCCTAACCACTCTTTCTTTTCCCATTAGTAATTCCCATGTTTATATCAAAGGACCCGGGTACGCCACATGAGTTTATTCTGCCGACTTTCTTTTTCTTTTTCTTTCTTAAATTTTTGCAGAATGTAGCTGTACCGATTTCATTGGCGGAAAGATGAATTACGACAGAAACGTGTCGATTGTTGTCATTGTTGGATCGAATTGACTCGATTTCGGGTGAATGCAAGCGACGAGTCTACTATTCTTCGTAGCTATTGGATCGGTCTGTGATCAGTGGTTATGATTAAGTTAGCAAATACGATGTATATCATATTTGTCAGAGTTGTTGTTGTAACTAGCAGTTGTCATAGACCCAGGCAAGTAAGGGTCCAGATTTCACTTTTGATCGGCAAGGGGCATTTTGTATGTCCATAGGCATGTTTCTAGCGCGTTACTCTACATTATCAACAAGCCAAGACTAATGGCATGGACTGATGCCTCGGCAGCTTTTAACCTGTACGTACTACTGAGGATATTCATTCGTGTCACGGTTTCATTGCTTAGGTTTGTTACCGACTGGATGTGTGTGTGTGTGTGTGTGTACGGTTTTAGGGTTGTACAGCACACGCCACAGTGCCACTATGATAAAATACAAGAATCAGAGTAAAAATTGTCTAGCTGAACCAGAAATTGACTTATTGACTTTGGGTAGAAAAATTGCTAACTGAAGGTATGGTATGGCTACCTAGCCCTAATAGCCCTAACAAGTATCTCGAGTATATCCCCACATGTAAGGCTCTCAACTCAATTAGCAATATCAGTCATGAATATTGGCATGCAGGAACATTACTCATTACCTTTACGAAATTATACGAATTGGACCATGCATAGCCGAGAAAAGCGTTTCATGCGCATTTTTCGCTCAAAATTTTCTCCCAAGAAAGCTTGTCTGATGTGGGCAAATCTCTGATTTTAGTGTCTATATTCTGTCGTATATTAAGTTCTAACTATAATAGGACTCCACGCATAACTTCAGCCTCGAAGTAATGTGGGGATTAACTGTTGGTTTCTTACCGTCATAGGAATTCCTTCATCTGCAGTGCATACATGTACTTGACTTTGACGTCTGATAATCTTTCTATTTTTATGAGGTTGTAATTAAATATTAAATAGTAAAATCCCGTCGATCCTCGTTACTAATCATAAAAATATCACTCCTTCGTTCTATACGGTCGTTACGTTTGGATACGGTTATTCTTACCGCACCGTTCGGCCTGTATTTCCCTTCCGTCTCCAGTTGTATCCATTCAATTGGAATGTAGCCGCTTTCGTCGTCTTGTTCTTCTTCTCGTGTCGCTTTCTTTTCCTTCTTTTCTTCTTGATTATTAGTTTCCAATGAAACCGGGCGCTTTTGTTTCTCGTTCGTATAGAAAGGAAGAACGTAGGACCACTCGGAACACGAAAAGGATTGCACTCCCTCAGCCCTTCAGCCACAACCAACACACGCCTGTGGAACTTTAAATATACATACCTTCGATTCGGCACTTGGTTTCTTTCTCTTCTTCTTTTCTACATTTCACTCGTTCATCTTGCACATCGACATACGTACATACACCCAAGATGGCGCCTACTAAACTCATCAACTTGATACCGGAAAGATCGGCCGAGGATATAGCCAAACTATCCAATGATGCGGTACATTCAGTCTTCTCCTGAGTATTTAGAGCCTGTTACTAATTGATTTCTCTAGAGTATATTGAAGCAATTGATGGGAGAGCACAACCGGCGCATCCAATCGTTACGAGAACCATCACCGCCTCGAGTGGAATACTACCCTCGACAAAGAAAAGAGTTTCACGAGTCAACTGTCTCTCTGGAATGCGACAGTCACACCGGATGTCATGCGCGAACAGGCAGTGCACAAGATGATGGACAAGCCAGTATAACTACGACTTTCAACGGACAACAAGTCTCTTTCGCAGAAGACGATGACGACGAAGCAGACAGCTACGACGGCGACGGCGACGGCGACGGCAACGACGACGACGATGATGATGTAGAAGACGACCTCTCCCTCAGCTACGAACAACTCAAGGAACTTTATAGGAATTGTCATTCCAGTCCCGAAAATCGATATAGTTATCTCCTCAATTGCTCGCCATATAATCATCCTCAAGAAAAAGAACAACATGCTACCATAGGACGTATAACTCCTGCTACTACAAACTCGCACTCGATATATTTCAACTCCTTACAAACACTACCGACACGCACAGACGGACTTGTAAATATGTTTCTACGCGCTCCGGGAACGTTTACATTCATTCTAGTTTCGTTATTGGTTATTGCCATTGTCCTGGTCGAAATGCTGGATATATTCTGCTATAGAAGACGACGAAGAGCGCGTGACGAGGAGCAGAATTTCAAAATGAGAAGGCGACGACTACGAACGAGGGGGATTCGTATCCCTACGGTTACGGTATATGACTCCCCTGCTGTGTATGGCGGAGAAAAAACGTCGTGACGGTACACATTCATTCTATTTACATATGTCTTATAATATGTTAATACCATTTGTATAGTACAATCATTCATCAGCGTTTCCTTTCTTCTTTCTTCCCCCCCCTTTTTTTTTTGTACGGTTAGCATTTGACTACGATACCACCATCATGCGACATGCATCTTTTCTTCTCATCACAGTGGAGTATTGTACTAGCGTCTGGAGAACATTAGACTCTAGAGCGCTCCGAGGCTCATATCGTATGGATCGCTGCATTATCTTTATTCGGAAGTCCAGTATGTCTTCTAAACCATCAAGCATTGGATTCACGGTGTCTCAGATTACGTAATCTATCCATCGGTGTTGGATTACGTTAGAGCGACGGGTCCGTCGTGATTCGGTGTTCGACACTCGTCAGTCTGCAAGACAATAATTTATTGAGGAAATTCTCAATGAAGACAAAAACGTCTTAGTCTTAGGCAGCCAAGTTCTCCTTTTCAGGCAATTTACATGAACTTCCGTTTCTGTCGTAGTTTCATAACGCTAGTCCATATATGGCAAGACGTCACGCCAAGCCTGAAGAAGCCCTGTTAGTCAGCAGACTCGGCTATTGTGGCCCACAAACCAACATTTTCGTTAAGTACATTCTTTGAATTCTTCGACAACCTCACGCCCAACTCTCATCTTCGTCCTATCGCCCTTTTACGACAAGGTACAGCAGCAGCAATCACAATGGCCAAGGTATGACTCTTTATACAAGATCTGTTATGAATGCTCGCTAATGATGTACTGCTACAGGCTAAGAAATCCGGTGACACCATCTCCAGCCGTTTGGCTCTGGTCATGAAGAGTGGAAAGGTCACCATGGGCCAAAAGTCCACTCTCAAGTCTCTGCGATCTGGCAAGGCCAAGCTTGTACGTCCTTCATCTATAATCAAAAGGAAGGGAGAAATAGTCTAACTGAAACAGATCCTCATTGCTGGAAACTGCCCTCCTCTGCGCAAGTCTGAGCTTGAGTGTAAGCTTCTCCTCTGATCCTCTGTATATATGCCCATAACTAATTCTGATGATAGACTACGCTATGCTTGCCAAGACTCCCGTCCACCACTTTAGCGGCAACAACGTGAGTCCTATATTCCCCGTCCCAATCCCATAAATGAACCCGAGATATACAACCTTGTATGGGTATATCGTACTTCGGAGGCAAACTCCGTTGCTCAGAGAAGAGTGCTGTTCTTCATACCTCCTCTTTTCTCAGAGGGTTACGGAGGAAAGCCACTCGGAGAGCGGATTTTGCTCGGAGAAGGGATCACCTTTTTTGCAATAAAGGGATTCTGGAGAGCTATTCTTTTTTCTAACAGTTGTAATTTCTTGGAATGTATAGATTGAGCTTGGAACTGCTTGCGGTAAACTCTTCCGGTGAGTTTGGTCTTCCACGGTTCATTGTAGGATGGATTACTGATTTCGTTCTTAGTTGCTCTACCATGGCTGTCCTTGACCAGGGTGACTCCGACATTCTCTCCCAGGAGGCTTAAATGATGACTCTTGTCCGATGACCCTCCATCCAAGGGATGTCATGAAATTCGACGATTGATGAGAGTCAAGGTTTCGTGAACATGCATTTATACCGAATTCGGTTCTTCTGGATCCCGTCGCATGTTCGGTAATATTTTTTTACTGTATACCCAAAACAGTCATCTGGAAGGAAAAAACAAAATTAAGGAAATTGAAGAAAGTTTTGGTTTCCATGATAATTTATCTTTTTTATGATACCACGATAAGCGATGTTCTGCTTTTGACGAACTTGTCTCTGTCATTTCTTGTAGATGTAATATCAGTAAACCGACGTAGAGTTTAAGTGACTGTATATATACTACTTGGCGTTGAATTTGCGTATTCCTCGTCTAATTCGATCTTAAGAATATCATTTTATTCCTGCCTCTTGAAATACACCACCAAGAACGCCAAGATTCCAGAAGAAAAAATCTGATGATGATATCACCCATGGGAAAAGATGACAGGCAAAGCAAAGAAACAAACCCTTTCCATCATGCCAATCAATATGAGCAAGGGACGAAAACCGACAAATAACAGAAATATACAAAAACTCTAGATCTAGAACTAGATCAGATCTTGACTTTCTCCTGCTCCTTAAGAGCCAGTTTCACTAGCTCGGCATAAACCTTACTAAAGTCCTCCTCATCTGCACCATCTTCTTCCTTCTTGTCAGATTTCTTGCTCTTCTTGCCTGATTTCGGCGTTACCATAACTACACTTGTAGGCCTCTTGGTAGCTCCGGCAGCACCGAGTTCGGCGCGCGACGTGACGAAAACATAGGGGATACCGTGATCCTCGCATAGGACGGGGATATGGCTGATAACATCGAGAGGGGAAATGTCTGCTGCGAGAATGACGACGCCAACAGGGTCTGTGATGGGTGCGTTCGCTGCTGGAGTGGGAGATTTGCGGAGGGCTTTGACAACTTCTTTGACGCCTCGTTTGAGGGATTTGTTGACTGCGGCTGTGCCATTGTCAGCTCAAGTATCTACCAAGATTTTGAGAGGAAAGGACATACCCTTCTTCACCGTCTTAAACACCTTCTTAGCAGTCTTATCCTCTGCCAATGGATTGGCAAACGGTACCAAAGCACCAATTGGCTTTACGGTGACTTCTGCGATTGTGCCATTGACAACAGCCCCCTCCGAGACATCTTTCTTCTTCTCCAATCCTTCAAGGACTTGGGCTGTGAGTTCCTTTTCGACGACTTCTGACAACTTCTTTTCCTTCTTCTCTTTCTTTTGCTTGTGGACGCCGTCGGTTTCGGAGCGCTTCTTTTCCTTCTTCTCCTTCTTTTCTTTCTTTTCGGACTTGTCTTTTCCCATTTTGCTGGCTTGCGAGATCAAATAATTTATAGTCGTTATATTAAAGGAATGAGCGTGGTTTTCGATAATGATATCGCTTTTGCGGTAGAGAAAAAAAAGTTGTCTAAAAATTTAGTTCTCCGCACCAGAAGTTCTTGGCTCGCGCTAGTCCTCGTTGGGCTTCGAGCTTGACTATCCGCGTCTGCGCAAAACAATACTTCCCTGGCATTGCACTCTCTGAGAATTATTCTTTTGACTATATTTCTTGCTATAGAGATCACCTAGGCATATTGTTCGTGCTTTCTATATCTGACCTGAGCGGTCGCTCAGACCGTCTATATAATGGCCTCAAATCCTGCGTTTCGCCAATCCGTTCGGCCATCGCAACCCGTCAAGAATGGTGAGATGAACACGCAGTCAGCCGTTTCCCTAATGAGACTGACTGATAGAGGCAGATTTCGAGAACGAGGAACTGCGTGTTCAGGTGAATACATTGCGCTATGAACTGGACAATCTCAAACAAGAGCGAGATCTCACCGAATTGCGCCACGAGAAAGAGCTACGCGACTTGCAACTCCGCGCGGACTCGGATTTTAGGAAGGCTCAAGTACGTATTATACCCTTTAAATACGTTCCGTATGCTGTTCAAGCTGACAACCGACAGACCGCAGAAGCAGCTAGTAACCGAGCCAACCAAAAAAGCGAAGCACTCGCAAAAGAATTAAAAGAATCCCAAGAATCAGCACTCAGCGAAAAAGCCGTATTTGAACGACGTATCCGCACCTTACAAGATCAAAACCAATCTCTCCAAGATGAGGCTACTGAGATAGAAGCCCAGCGGGCCGATCAGGAGAGACAGTTCAAACGTCAAATCACCGAACTCGACACGTTACGTATCACATTGGCTCAAACATTAGATGATGTGCAGCGGGGTATGCAAAATGTACAGAATAGTCTGCACTCTGCCAATGCGCAGGTGTCGAAGCTGGAGAATGATGTTGCGACTTTGGAGGCTGAGAATTTGCGTCTGAGGGCTGAGGGGAGTGGTGCTGAGGAATTGGCTGTTTTGAAGAGAGAACTCTCGGAGCAGGTCGCACATATCAAGAACCTGGAATCTACGAATCGCGAACAGGCGGCAGAGCTACGACATTTACGAAAAGTTCAAAAAAATGTTGAAGTGGTCGAGGAACAGAAGAAGTCACTCGAAAATCAATTACAATTGATGTCTAATTTGGAGGCAGAATTTGGTAATGTGCAGATTCAAAATCAAGTTCTCGAAGACGAGCGACGATCTTGGACCAGTATGCTCGAATCAAATAGCGATTTTGCCGATTTCGATTCCCCAGAAGCTGTTGTGAAGGCTCTCGTTGAGGAGAGAATTGAAAAATTGACATTGATCGATAAACTGGGAAGTGTTGAGCCACAACTCTTAGAAAAGGACGAAATCATACAAGGACTCGAAAGTGAGAAGCGGCACCTCAAACAAGAAATTGAAAAGCTGCGAAGCGCTGCGATAGCGCCCGGTGGTGCTCTGGACAGTCGCGCAAAACTCAGATTGGAGCGTCAGCGAGCACTAGCTGTTAAAGAAGTGGAATATTTGCGCGCGCAACTTAAGACATTTGATACGGAGGAGTTGACGATGCATGAAGAGGGGAGTCATTACGATGAGCAGAAGAATCAGCAGATCGAGCAGCTGGAAAAACTCGTTGATGAATACCGGGTCGAATTACATAAAGTTCATGAAGCTCTATCAGCTCTCGAGAAAACATCTTCGCAGGACGAAGGTACTCTTCCGGCTACATTTCGAGGACTCAAAAGACCTCTATCACCAGCAGACAGCGACGCAGAATCAGAGCGCATCTCCATCCTCACCCGCAAAAACCGCACACTCCAAGAAAGTCTCTCAAAATCCGAACAAACCGCCAAAGTCCTGCGACACGAACTCGACGCCACAAAATCCCATCTCAGTTCCCTCCAAGAACAATCCCGCACCCGCATCCTGGAACTACGCGCAAATCCAACATCCGAAGCAGAAAACATCAAAATGACCACTTTACGAGCTTTACAAGCCGAGAACCGCGATTTACTCGCTCAACTCCGTGGCGAGAACGGCAAAGTCACCCGCGTCATCCCCGTCAGCACACTCGATAGTCTAAAACTCGAAATGGCCGAAATGGAACGCACAGTCGCCGAAAAGGAGAAACGAATGCGTCGTCTCAAGGAGATATGGACTGCGAAATCCTCCGAATTCAGGGAAGCAGTTGCTTCGGTGTTGGGTTACAAACTCGATTTCTTACCCAATGGTCGCGTACGGGTGACCTCCATGTTTCACCTGTCTCCTGCTTATCGTCACGGATCTGCGAGTGCATCATCATCCTCCGGACCGGGAAGTATGGGTAACGGAGAAGAGAATTCGATAATATTTGACGGCGAAAATGGGACTATGAAAATATCCGGCGGCCCGAATAGTCTTTTCGCGCTTGAAATTAAACATCTGATTAAGTTTTGGGTTGAGGAGAGGAAGGATATACCGTGTTTTCTGGCGGCGATGACGCTGGAGTTTTATGATAAGACTACTAGGGCGGCGAGGGTCTGAACTTTTGATTGGAGTTTGTTAATGTACTTTGTATATTTCTTGGGGCGGGTTTATGATTTTCATGTCGTATATACTTTGAAGACGCGTATGATAAGGAATAAGTCATGTCTAGATGTCAAGCCTGACGCATTACACTCAGTTTGGTATAAACACATTAGGTCTGGTAGGGACGGTCAACGAACGTTCATTATATACAAACGAGCACAATTTTGCCAAACCACTGCCAATTTGACGAGCCGTTAATGACTGCTGGTATCCAGTGTATGGCTCATAATCGACGGAGGTGATATGTATGTGCAAGCAATGGAAAATTAAACAAAAGACTAAAAATACGCGCATGCTAACTTGGGTGTAATATTCAAAAAAAATTTCCAAAAATAGTCAAAAAAAGAAAGTGATCGGACGTCGTACTCCATTAACCGACGACACTGTTGCACTGCGAACGATAACCAAATACGTCGCAACAAAAGAGCTTTTTTGCAAAAGGTATATAATCATCGTTTCCGGTCGTTGCGATCAAAGGTCAAGATGCAACGTATTTCCCCGCGGCTAACTTGCGCAAGGTATGAACTGGCTTCCAGGAAGTGCTAATGGATGCTGATTGAGAAGGTATCGAGCCATCATCAGCAAACGGATCGCGCTCTGCCTGGTCCGTAGTTCCCGGACCTGCAGTTTCGGCAAGACTCACACCCAAGCGCGACGTTGAGTCTGTCGTATGGTGCTCGAACTTGGCTTCGACTTTACCCTTCCGTGGCCAGCTTGCTGACGTCGTGAATCGTGCCAGGAGCTTCTCTTCTGATCCTACCCGGACTTCGAGTTCGGGGATTTTCCAAACAACCGCAGAGTGCTTGCGACGGAACAGCGCACCCGTGTTCGGATACATGACAGCCCCCGTTGCACGAACCACTTCCCGGGGTTGCTTGGTTGTTTCGTCCTCGGGACTGAGGTCTAAGTTGACCGTGATCATGACATTCTTCAAATGTAGGGAACCCGTTGCGGGTTTGTCCACGAATGCCGGGTTGACGGAATAAAACACTATGACACTTGCCTGAAACTCCTCAATGTTCCACACCGGCCTAAACAACACCGGAGAATACGATGCTAGATCTGGCGGGGCAATATGGACTTGGTATTTGAAAGCGACTGTTGGAATGGCACGAGCAATTTTCTCCACGGCAACATTGTATTCCCCTCGCTTTTCGTCATCAGTCTTAGAAACCTCTGTAACGAAATGAGGGTTGGCAGCGACTTTCTCGAGCAAAACAAAGTTATCCAAGCGGACGACATGTTCAGAAGTCGTTGACCCTGGTGTGGCATTATATGCCAACGCTAGCTCACCAACAACGAATGATTTCGTCACATTACTGTTTTCAAACCAACTGCTTACGGTTTCGATGATGGAGGCATTCAAGCCAGGTTCGTGAAGTTCTGGATGAGAAACCGGTCCTGCGATAGTGTGTAGGGTGTGTGATGAGTGAATCGAAGTTGTATCTGACATTGCTCGATCTTCGTGAGACGGAGTTGCTGATATTGGAGCAGGAGACTCAAGTTGTCCGCCAGGTGAGGTAGCTGCAGAAGTGCTTAATAAAGATGGAGGCAGTATTTCCGCAGCTGTGGATGGTGCTATGAAAGCTGTGTTTCGGACATCGCGACGGCCACGGATGGTGCCCGCATTTCTCCTGAGTCCGACCTGCAACCCTTGCTATGAAATAATCAATATATATGTTCCCAAAAGGGGACTCCCAAATCTTACCATACGAAGAGCATTTGCCGTTTCATTCAAGGCCTGCTGTGCTTGCGTCTCGTCTTCTTGAATGGGCTGGTCCCGAATAGTCAAGTTGAGACCGGTGTCCTCCAGTCTAGAGCGTTTCTCTTAGCGGTATATCTAGGTTCTGAAAACGGATGATTACATACCCTGATGCTTCTCTCTGAGCTTGAGTGATGTCATCAACCAATTGCGGTCTCTCCGAATATCCCTCGGAGTCCACATGGATCTAGGCACGCGACGTTAAGATATTGGAAAATAAATGGAGGAAATGCACATACCTGATTTGCTGCCGCTGTATCAGCGTGATTGGATGCCAATCCATTCGTGGTTGCAGCGGTTTCATTTGTTTCCGGGATGGGAGTAATAGTGGTAGTGTCCTCGGTTTGAATATATTCATTGGCAGTAGATGCAGTAGGGGGTGGGCTGCCTATGGACTCGCCAGCAATGCTGGGAGTGTCCCGGCCCGGAGGAGTAGAAGGAAGTTGCGTGTGCACATTTGAACTTGAGTCTCCTCGTCGGAAACCAAAACCTGGTCGACTCTTCTTCTCAGTAGGAATGGAGGTGCCAGAGCCTAAAACGACGCTCTTTCGTCGGTTCATGACGGTCCCTAACCTACGAAGACCTCCCATCCTTGGGGTATGTCGGGGCTCGGGAACTAGATCACGTCAGCTATCAATGCAAAGTGGCGATTGAGCGTCCGAATAGATACCTGGCGGAGGCACGCGAGCAGCACGGCCTGATCGGTTCGAGTGTTGGCTCGCAGCGTCGTCTTGAAACCTCGGGGGAGGTGGAAGGTCCTCGCTGCTTGGAATAGCAGCTGGTGTAACACGTTCAGCAGCTACCGAGCTGTTTCGTGTCAGGACTGGTTCTCTGCCTCCATTTATTTTTGCGGCGAAAGTCTTGATTTCGTCCTCCGTCTGTATATTAAGCAGCACATTCAAACAACTTTCTGCTGTCTGTCTACTACGCTCGATTTGGTCCACCTCATGAGTCTGCAGCTGAGTGAGCACATCTCGAAGGTGATTAAGTCTGCTCTCATCGATGGCTTGAAGCTGTTCAAAAACAAACGGCGCCTGTGACTCCCACTGCTGAGTGGCCTGGGTTACGGAAGCAACAGCGGCCGCAACCTTGTCTGCTCCTTTGGCACCTTTCTCCTTTGCCTTTTCCAATTTCTTTTGTGCGGCTTCCAAGCCTTTTGCCAGGTGTGTCAGATCGGAATGGATGGTCGGCATCGCACTTAGTTCTTGGTTCCTCGATCCATACTCTCTGAGCGGCCTTTCCACGTCTTCTTCGATCTTCGCGGCGAGAACTTCATGAGAAGCTGCGAGTGCTTCGGTAGCGGAAGTTATGCGATTCCACGGTAGTTGAAAAATGCTAGAGCCGTTCTGTAAGCGCAGTCCATCTATCCGCCGTAGCAGCACTCCACTTACCCCAGCGCGGCACCTCCATCTAGCTGCGGTCTTCTGGCCAGTTTGCGCAGGCCTTGAACGTATAATTCCTCGACGCGTCTCCGTTCCTATAGAGCCTCGGATTAGTTTTCCTTGGTTGTGATTGCTGCGAAGCTCGGGATCAATCTACCTGGAGCCAGTCTGCAATGTCGGTATTGACTTTATTGATGAGACGAATGCGATCATTGAGAACGGCGGTGGCCTGGTTTGGCTGCAACGAGGTCTATTAAACAGTGCAATTTGTTAGCAGCTTGCGACGGCGGAATGGATCTCGTTGACGTACCAACAATGCAGGGTACTCCTGCCTTGACAGTTCCATAGCTGCGACGTCTATGGCAACGCCAAGTACATAATAGACAAGGGAATGCAATAGCTAGTAATAAACCAACGAGCGAAAAGATAATCAATGCCTGGCATAAAGCTCTATAAGTTGCAGGTTATCCATAAATCTATATGAATCCAAAAGAGCGAACACCAACAGCAAAGATGGAGGATGCGATGGGCTGTCAGGCGAGCCCGGAAGTTGCTAAAGGCGGGAAAGACCCGTTCGTGGTGTGTGATTGGCCAATCCGGAAGCCCGGGGAGAGCGCAATGAGGTAACTATGCTCGGATTTTTCGTGACCAGCGACTTCTCGGACTTACTCTCTGCATGTGTTAAACCTCTTTACCATGTTCTATCCTTCACAGACCATCACTTACAACGCTGCACAGCTCACTCTCGAGTACTGTGTTGCATGATGGCCATCACATTGGGCCGAGCTGGGGTGCTGGGGCTATCCAATCAGCATTCATCCATTCTCCTCCTCGGATGATCCATCGATCGCCGAACCAACTAGTTAGCCAGTTACTATGACCAACACAATGACGGGGGACTGGAGAGTTTCTTGTGAATTCAGCAAAAGGCTGAATTGGATGACAGCAATGTAGGTAACCATCATGATAACATTATCTTCTATCCGACTGTATTCTCATTTCAGCGTAGCACAACCGCCTGTCGCAACAACTCGCCTTCATCGACCTTTGCGGAAACCCAATCACAGGCTGTCGGTTATGAAAAGGAGGCTTATGACAAAGCAACTTCAGAGGTTGGATTCGCTCTTTTGTTTTATACGCTAATTATTCGTTTTTGAGCTACTGGAGGACTGCTCACATGTCACAAATAGGCAGAGTACGACCGATTATGTCAAGAAGCCATCGACAAACTCGAGGCTCAATCCTCCAACATAGCAGTAGTTGATGATCCGAGACTACGATCAGACGAGCAGAATGAATCAAATGCAGAAACCGTCAAAATTGGGGCATATCAGAAGTGCGTCCATCATGCTGACGGACTAATGTCCACTATTTATCGGTCGAAAAGATCTACCGACGGTACATTCGTTGCTCTGAAGGTTACCACCCCACATCAGATGGGCCCTCCTCATGATTCCAAAAGGGAGGCACGTATTCTTCGAGGTACATCCAGTCACAAACATATCATCCCGCTGCTCGAGACTTTTGACCTAGCCGGCGGTCGATTTATTCTCGTTTTTCCCTTCATGCGATACAATTTTGCCGAACTCTTACACAAAAATGTTTTAACGACACTCCAGGTTAAGGCTGCTCTGAGAGATCTGTTCCGAGCCCTCGACCATGTGCACGCACTCGGCATCATCCACCGAGATGTGAAACCCTCGAATATCCTCTTGGATAGCCCAGACGGTCCGGCTTATCTAGCTGATTTTGGAATTTCATGGAAGGAATCGGATCCGGGCTCTGAACCTGCAGTGAAAAAGATCATTGATGTCGGTACGACGAGTTATCGGCCCCCGGAAATCCTCTTTGGTTCAACACACTACAACACATCCTTGGATATGTGGGCGGCCGGCTGTGTGGTAGCAGAAGCGGTGGATATCCGCCATCGCCAGCTCTTTGACTCGGGAGATCTAGGCAGTGAGCTTGCACTTATAAGATCAATATTCACCACTTTGGGGACCCCCAATGCCCAGGTGTGGCCGGTACGAGTCAATCTCATCTTTTTCTCTGCCAAGCCATCTAACGTTAACTGTGATAGGAGTCAGAAAAGCTCCCCGACTGGGGCAAGTTTCAATTCTACGAATACCCTGCCAAACCTTGGGAGGAAATCTTGGAGGGAGCATCTTCTGAAGGGCGTGATCTGGTTAGCAAGTTGGTATGCTATGAGTCTTCTTCAAGGATGACTGCTGAACAGGTATTGGACTGTGGTTTTGTCATATTAAACGAGGCTAACAATATCCAGGCTTTGCGACATCCATTCTTATCACAGAAGGAAAGCCAGTCTTGAGGGGGAAGACTAGAGAGTATAGTCTGTAGTCTGCCTCGCAACGCGTTTCAGACTTTCAGTTTGTCCACGTGACCGATCACAGAATTACAGCAGATAACTTCGATTCCGGGGGGTCATGCTATCTAGGTCATTATTATTAATCATTGTAATGCTGGACGTGTCCACTCAACTCGAGATTCTCAACAGAGGAAGCATCAAATAAATATTAATCACGTAATGAAGGCTTTTATAAACCTAACTAACTAGTTATGGATCGAGATCCCGCTCGGACCACGTTCTGGGGTACAACTTACTTCTTAGAATAGCAGGTACCTCGGGCCCCACTGTGACGGACAACATATATGCGATTCATGCAAGTCATCTTTTGTTCTTATGTACCACAAGATCTTGATGATAATCAGTTCCTATCAGTTATCTTATTCCATACAAGGTACATCATCTACTCCGTACAGAAGAGTGTGTTCAATCCACCAAACACAGAGCCTAAGCAGATCCGCGGCTCTCCGAGAATACGCACAGTCCGCGCGAGAGACTGTGATATCACAGAGGCCGCAAACAGAAGACCAATCAGATAACAAAAAGCGCGGAATTGTTTCGGTTAGCCTTTGCTTGGTATGTTCAGTCTAAGCCGCTTTTAGCAACACGAATCTCCGACACGGCCTCAGCCGAGAATTATGGCTACTGATTGGTTCGTTGCTGTGTTCGTTCCTGGACCGGTCCTATTGCTAAGGTTTAGTGTATGCGCCACAATACCGCCGCATTACCAGGCACCAATACCATTGTTACCGTTCCATTGCTCATGTTACACGCGTAACCAGCGTTTCCCTCAAGCAGCCAATCAGTCTGCTTTATTCAGTGCCACCTCGTTCATATCATACAGAAACCGTATTAACATACGGCTCATCAAACTATGTTTCAGGTTTGGCCCTGGGGCATTCCCTACTAGCGTTCTTTTCCTTCTTCTTCTTCTTCTTCTTCTTCTCCAAACTCTCTCTCTCCCCCCCTCGTGGACCTTACATTCTTTCATGTGGTGATCACACCACAATCCAAACTTTCTGCTGTAGCCTGGCTGCTCGTCGCGTTCATTGTATGTTCGCCTTTGCAACTTGACCTGCACAGGCTGTAGTCTGACTTTCGTTCTCTACCCCACGTTCTCTATTCATACTCGTCTTTGTTTTGGCGCTGGCTATCGACCCCCAGCGCTGTGTCGCTCACTAAAACAGTACTTCTCGTCTCGTGTGGTCGACTTTTGGACGCCGTCTATATCGTCTTACGCTGATGACTGTTTTAAGATTGTCATATTATTACGCGCCGATTAGTTGTTGAGACTTTCAGAGTTTACATTAATCGAAGAGTTTTCGCCATGTCGCACGCCCATCTTCACCGTCATGCAAAACGCGATTTCATATCAGATATTGAGAGTTTCTTTGGAGTCGGTGGTGGAAATAGCTCCCCCGATCAACAAACGGTAACAGCACCGGTCGTTTACGTGACTGCATCGCCTACCTTCACTGGTGCAATTGGTGGTTATGTTACAGGCACTCAGCCGCTTGACACTCCTGCAGAGTCAACTTCAACAGCAGGAAAGGGTAATCCTGTAGCCCAATCAACCACACACACAACGACAATTCCCCATTCGGATAAGACAACCACGACCACCAAGGCTCCAGAGACCACAACTCATGCTCCGTCAACCACGTCGACTACATCGACTCAGTCGACTCAGTCGACAACTTCAACTACGTCTTTATCGGATCTGTTAACCACCACTACCGAGCCTCCCCAGACAACTTTCTTGACGTCCTCTTCCACACAATCCCAGTCTTCCACTACTTCGTCAACGGGTACTGTGTTAGATCAATTTCCTTCTCCAACTGCTTCTGCCACAACATCTGCTGCGGCATCCGCTTCCAATGGTCTCACAGGAGGTGCCAAAGCGGGAATTGCGATTGGTGTTTTATTTGGAGTGGGTGTTATTGCTGGATTGGTTCTGTTCTGGTTGCACAAGCAGAGGATGAACAGAGAAGAAGCAGCTGCCGCCGCTGCTGCTGCCGAAAATGAAAAGTTCACCCCAAGTCAGCCTCCTCCTATGACCAGCGCTCCGCCACCACAGTCAATAGCAGCTTATTCCACTTCACCAACGAGTCAGACCGCTCCTCAAGTCAGCTTGCGTCCAATCACTCAGTTCAATCCTTTATTCAATCAGCCTGCTGGAGCCAATCCTTATATCGCTGGTGCTGCCGGTTCTGCTGGCGCCGCGGCTGCTGGTTTGCAAGTCAATCAGCCAGCTGAACGTCCATATAATGGCTCAGCACATGTTCCCCCGCAGTCTCCTCGTCAAGATCCATTTACAGATCCAGTCAATCCATTTGATAATGGAGCGCAAGCCCCCTCTCCTCCTTTGCCCCCGGCCAAGGACGCATCATCCCCGGTCAGAGATTTGACACCTTCGCCTACCGGAAGTACTCACAACTTGCCTAGTCCTGTCACCGAAGAAGGCCCATCTCCTGGATCTGCAGAAGCTGGCGCTGTCGGTGCAGTCGCGGAAGCTGCTGTTGGAGCTGCTGCTGTCGCCGCCGTGGCCGCTGCAAAGTCTGAAGATAAGCCAGCCGAACCACGGACTCCTTCACCTGAATACGTTGAAGGTACTGGATCACGACCTCAATCTCCTGTTGTTGGTGGGGCTTCAGTTGTTAGTAACGTTCACCGAGTGCAAATGGACTTTACACCCTCCTTGGCTGATGAAATGGAACTTCGTGCGGGTCAACTTGTGAGACTCTTGAAGTCGTACGATGATGGATGGGTAAGATTAATTCTCCAACTTTTCATAGACATTTCATATACTAACATGCGAATAGACTCAATGCTCTAGCATGGATGGCTCAGTTAAGGGTATAGCACCACGCACATGTCTCTCCGCACGACCGCTCCAGCCTCGACGCCCACCTGGAAGTGGTGGTCCTAATGGCCCTGGTCCTCGTGGTCCACCCGTTATGGGACCCAATGGGCTGAATGGAAGACCCATGTCCCCAGCAGGTAGCGGCATGGGACCTCCACCGCAGATGCGAGGAGCTCCTCCCCGGTTCTACAATGACGGTCGCCCTATGACCCCAACTGGCTCCGGAATGCCGCAATTTCCACCTCCTCCTGGCACTCCACGATCCATGTCACCTGGACCCGGTCGGGGAAGCATTGACGTTCCGCGCCCATTGACCCCCGGAGGCTCGCGTCCAGCTAGTCCAGCCGGAGGACGATCACGTAGCAACAGCGCAAGTGTCGCTCAAACGGGTGGACGTCCTCCCGTGCACCGAGGAAGTCAAAGTCCGTTAGCTCCACCAACTGGTCCTTTACCTGGTCCTCCTGCGCAGCCTGTTCAAACTCCCACCGGACCTCCAGCACCACCGCAGGTTCAAGTTAATGGACGTCCTGAGTCGCCTATTGAGAGAAAACCTGTCCCCGGTCAGCAATAGTCGTACGCTTGGCTCTGAAGTTTCCATTCCATTCTACATTCGATACCCATTGCCAAACTATTCTATTTCTGTAGGACTTTATTTGTCGGTTCTCAACGTCGGCTAGTTTTTCCATGCTTTTTCCTTTCCTCTTTTACTTGAGATTTGGCTATGCCACCGATTCTCTTGTTTTGTTTTTTTTTTTTTTTCCCGACTTGCATTTTCGTCATTGTGAGATATTGTATGTTCATTGTATCTGTATATAAAGCAATGATGCGATAGCAGCATTGATGATTTCGAACTGGATGGTGTATTGAGTAGATAGTCACAATTCCATTTCTGAATGTCTTTGGTTTGTCGATGATGCCTAGATAATGGTATCTATAGAGGTATTCCGCATCCCCTTTATTTATGCGCAGAGCCAAAAGTCATACAAGAGACCTGGAAACATGAAATATTCAAAGTCTATTCGAATTATCTACATAGTTTATAAGTAAATAATCATGATATCTATATAAAACACCGTCTATGTTGAATTCCAGATGCGATGGCAACTCATCTTCTATTTCCTCCCTTTTCCATCCATGATATACAATGTAAACCATCAGAGATGAGGCACTCCCAAACTAGCAAGGACCAAATTCGCAATACTGAGCACGCCCTCACCAAGTATAAGCCCTGACGCGAGGACGACCACGGTCGACGACGAAGTATCTTCTTGACTTGGATCAAGTGGCGATGGCTGTGCTTTCGTCGTCGATCGTACTTTAGTAGGCTCAGATATGAGAGGGGATGACGAAGTGCTGTCTTGTTCATCAGTCGTTGCTTCGTCCCGTGTGTTATTGGAAGGTGCGTTAACAATATGACCCTGATCCGAAGATGGAGGTAAAGGAATACGATTATCAGCGTTTCTTCGAGCCCACCACCACGCAATCACGCCTCCAATAGCTCTTGCGAGCGTAAAGGAAGGTACATTAAACATTCCCACCGCAACGGCAATACCACCAGGCACAAAAGCTACCCACGAAGGCGGAGGAGAACCCTGTGCACCACGTCTAACAGTAGACACGATCTTCAACACCGTAGTCCCCACGAAAAACGCTCCAAAGATCATAGCAACCTGCCACGCCATAGGCGGCAAGCCCTGACCGGTAACCAATCTCGCCGTAAAAATCCATACAAACGCAGCTGGGATCTGGAACTGGTCACCAGGTACAGTATATACATTGACGTACATCTTATATACGGCTGTAGATACCACGGCACCAAAGACGCTGCCGATAACTTGCCCGTAAAACTGGGCCTTGGGGCTTGCGCCTAGGATGTGGCCCGTTTTGAGGTCTTGCATCATGTCACCGGCTTGTAGGGCACCGGCTTCGGATACTGCTCCTGCAAGCAGATTTGTGACTATAGCGGAGCGGCGGGTGTGTAGTGATGATGGCGTGACGAGCGAGAAAATGAGTTGGGTCAGTTTGCTGATTCCCGATACGGGGTTGAGGTCTGTTTCGCCGAGGGCGCGGACACCCATGATTGAGAGAAGGACAGCTAGTAGAGTGGCGAATGTGGAGAGGAATGGGGTTATGATATTGCCAAAGGCGATGTGCATGCATATCACGTTCAAAACTAATGTGAGTGGCAGGAAAATAGCAATGGTTCTGTTTGATATGAGTTCCGAGGAAGGAGCATCGGGCTCCTCTATTTCGTTCTCTTCTTCTTCTTCGATATTTAATTCTTCGGCTTGTGCAGGTGAATGGAGAGCTGAATATTCAACGTGCGCACGATGTCCTCTTTCAGAGATGGCGTCTTTTAATCCCTTTCGTTTTATGGTTTGCAGCTTAGATTTCAGCCATGGTAGAAATCCGTATGAGGTTCGCAGTATGAGCCAACCGAGATTAATAATCGAGTCTGCGAGCATGATTGCTAGAGATACCCATATAATCCATCCTTTACTACCGTTTGCCCAGTCACTAACTGGTCCTGGTGCCCAGTTTTTGTGTTTGGCGATAGGAGACAGGATTGCCCATCCGAGGACTGCGCCTAGTAGCATGTGCATTGAAGTTGAAGGGCCCATGATGATTCCTTGTCCCACGTATGCGGGAGAGGGGTTAAGAGTCCATAGCCAGTTTTGAGCTAGGGATAGACCAAAGATTGGGAGGTCGCGAACTTGGGGAATGAAATATGAGAAGAGTGTCTGTTTTACGTTAGCACTTAGAACGGACTTCTCCAATAGTAGGAATAACTAACATAGAAGGCTGAGACGGCAAATGCACCAATGAGTAATCGAATCTTTGATCTCCAGTCCCTGCGGCCATCACCCTTGATTGGAACATCAGAGACAGCTCTACCTGCAGCGCTAGACGTCGACAGCGTTCGACTCTGCTGAGGCTCCGCCGACTTCTCATCCGCAGAGGTCCCATGCAACATCCTAATCATCAAAGCCGTTGCCGTGCCACTCGGAAATTTCAGTTTTTCTCGAATAATAACCTCTCTTCGAAGCGGAACTGCAAATATAGCTCCAAACAAGCAGACTCCAAGACTCCAAATCACCAACTTCCAGAAACCGACGTTTAATGGCCCCCCTTCACCGGTCCCTCCATCACCCAATTTCCCATCATCCCCTTCTTTGAGAAGGAATTCGAGAGCCGGAATGACGCCCACAAATCCACATCCCAACGGCATTGTGCCCACGGCACCAGCAACAGTTTGAATGAGCACATTCTCCACTGGCGTAAACGGAAAGGAGAGATGTTTCGATAAGCTTTTAAACACGGCAAATCCAATCAGGGATGACGGCATAGTCATTAGACTCATCCATCCTGTCTGGAGACCGAAGTAAGTATTTGAAAATATAATCAAGGTGCCGATTCCGAGGCCAACAATCAGTGAGCGCGGAGTGAAGCTTTGCGCTGATGTGTTGGGCGCAGATCTATCGCTAATACCATTGTTATTGGCGATATTGACATCAATATCAGCAGCGGTATTATTGTCTCCGCTTGAGGTGTTCCCCGTGGTGGTCATTGTGCCATAGTTCATTGTGTCATTCATTAATCAACAAACACCACGGTGTGTCTCCGATCGGTGTGGCTATTGTCGAATGACTTCTCTCATCGAGTCGACATTGATTTGGATATCAAGTACATAAAGGAACGACAACGAAGAGTTTGAAGAGTAGCGGATGAACATTTCTCGTGATTTGAGTCCCCTCATTCCAATGACGACAGTCGCTGATTAATCATCATGGATGGAGTTAACTTAGTTATATGGGGGTTAAATTTTTTGAAATCTATTAGGATGTTATATAACTAAAAATTTTCTACAACATACATGGACTTATAACTCAGTTGGTTAGAGTGCCGTACTAATATCTGCTCATATCACGAGTTACTTATTAGTCATGCGGAAGTCCACAGTTCGAGCCTGTGTTGGTCCAATTTTTTTTTCTCCATTTGCCCCCCCCTACTCCGGGCATCGTCTATTCTTTATTTTCTTAATGAGGATATAAATCTTTGTTTTGTTTTCTTTTTTCAGTGTCCAGACCACATATTGAGCAGTCATTTGTTAAATTTAAGTGGTTACTCGGTCCTGGAGAATACTTCTATCTATAACAATGCAACAGCCCTACGACGAATGGCTCACGACCACTTCTCCTCGAGCCCTCTGCCACCATTGACTCTGCTTCCAGGTCTCTCCCTCCTCTCCACCAAATAGTGCACGCCACTTGCACATGAACCAAGGTGCCACCTCCCAGCTACGCATATCCCACGGTTGGCCCTGCGCATCTCCCGCTGCTAAAGACTTACCACGGTTACTACCCAGACTACTCCAATAGCAAATCCCATTCTCAACAGCCACATCTTTCTTCAACTCATGTATATCAATCATATGCGGCTGCGTTGCTAACAGAGTAATAGCATGGGCCCTGAAAGCAGGAATCGGGATTATGTCCATGAAAGCCGGATGCGGATACAGAATTTGAGGAAGAGTAGGCTTGAGGTGTGCCGGAGTTGTCGGGCTGGTGATAGTTGCAAGGATCGTGTTTGGGTCATCTGTAGGTGATAACAGAGGCTGATAGAACGGTGACGGCGCAAGCTTTTCGACCATGATGTCTTCTACTTTGAATCCCATACTTTGAGCGTTTCGAATGCATGCAAAAATTATATGAGTTCGTGAGAATTGGATGCATTCCATCCATGGATCTGGTAGACGAGATGACGGTGGTAATACTTGGGAAGTAGATCCGTGACGCAGGGATTCGATGCCTGCGGATATCACTCTGCCGAGGTCGAAGCCTTGAACTGTGAATTCGTCTTTTTGTCTGTTTCTTTGGCCAATGCCATTACTATCATTCGATGATGATTCCGATGGGATATTTGGCTCCAGGGGGAGGTCGGTGGGAGATGTAGCCAAGTCCGGACAAAAAATAAAACCCTTTGCCGCAGCGCTTGATTCTCCTGAAATCACGGTGCCCCCTGTATGTGAGGATGGTGCATTGTGGTCTGGTCCATTAGCTCTTAATTGATTCTATTGATGTGGAATAGTCCGTAGGGACCAGCTCACTGTAAGTTCCCGTGCGTTCGTACTCTTTCTCAAAAACAGTACATGAGATACTGTTGCCCACTGTTAGAGGCCAGGTGGGAAGTAAGTCATGAGAAATCTCATTCTCGAATAATGATTGAAAATCACTGTGCGCTGTCCAACTCCAATCAGATGATGACAACAACAAATCATTTGACATATCAGCCTCATCAGGGCGAGAATTATTTGTTTTCTCTTGATTGTCTTGTTCTAACCGTATCAAGGATGATATTGTGCTGTTTTCCGAAGTAAAATTGGCCTCTCTCGTGATTGTCGTGCCATTTACTTGACAACTACTTCTTGAGGGCCAGCATATCTCCGAAGCTTGGGCTGACAGCCTCTGCGACTCGCGCTGTAAGCCATGCGGCGATTGCGTCGCCCTCAGTCTTTGGCCTAGGTAATCATCAGGTTAAAATATGCATAGGAAGTCGACATTGCTTACACTTACGATAGGCTCTTTGATTCAGGCGATTCTGCTCACGCCGGGCTGGTGTCACGATACGTTTCCGTGCCTTTCCACTATCACTGCGCCGGTCGTTGGTCTTAGGCACTGCACTCATGTTATACTAATTAAGCAATTGTTAGTGAAATAGGAGGCATGAAAAGGGTAATGACAGTAGGGAATGCTCGCTATAGTCTGACTATCTGCAGCTTATCTGCTGGGCTCGGCGTTAGGGCTTTACTGATATCTCCGATAGACCCTAATCATTACTTGCACATGTTTCCACCCGCCCTGCCGCTGTGTGGCTTACGGGACATGTAGCTTACAATGCAGATTGGCTTACAGTGTTACATCGAACCGCTCAACACATAATGATGAGGCTCTAGAAAGATGGCATGTGTGCTCTAGCTAAGTGGTGAGGTCGAGGGTTGATATCAACACCTCGCCTAAAACGGGCTAGTCCCGATATGGCACCCAGGCAGGTCATATCCTGTCACATTTATTCTGACATCTATGTCTCCTGCCATGCCTCTGTGAACTATCGTGGCTGACTCATAAGCAGGGAAGTGATTCAATCCCGAAAAGACGAGCTGTAAGCCAAATATTTCCATTCGTCACTTGAATCAAAGGTGGTGAGATGGAATATATATAAAAGATGTCGCAATGGCTGTGCTTCGGGGTAGCTGGCCTCGATATTCTCCAAAAATACCCGTGGATCAACATAAATATTGAACAACTTATTATCATCCTTCTCATTCTCTAATCCGATCACTTAGCAAGCTCTAAACCACAGCCCAAGCAATCATGAAGATAATCGTCGTGATCGGTGCTGGAGGGAACCAGGGAGGCTCAGTAGCACGCACTTTTCTCAACCTCCCTCACTGGAAGGTCCGCGCCATCACTCGTAACCCTTCATCTCCGGCTGCCAAAGCTTTGGAAGTGCTCGGTGCTGAGGTCGTGCAAGCGAATCTCTCTGATCCCGATACTCTATCGCAGGCCTTCCATGGTGCACATGCCATCTTTCTAAATACAGATTTCTGGGCTACCTACAGGTCTTTCGTAGCCACGACAACACCTAAGGAGAAAGGTCCTTTAGATGGAGAAGAATTTGACCCCGGCAAAGTCGCGTATCAGGCAGAGGTTTCCTACGGGAGGAACGCGGCTGAAGCAGCAGCCACAGTACCAACGTTGGAATGTCTTGTCTATTCGGCCCTTCCAGCAATGACGAAGTCGACTGGTGGAAAGTATAAGTCTCATCATGCGGATTCCAAAGGGGCTATTGCCGATTATATCGAAACAGAACTCCCAGACTTAGCGAAGAAGACTTCTTTCATATATCTCGGCGCGTACAACACCAATGCATTGCTTTCGCCCGTTTTGGATCCATCGGACGGCAAATACAAGTACTTCCTACCGTTGAGCAAAGCCGCAAGAATGCCAATAATCAACCAAAAGGAGTCAACGGGACTGTTTGTAAAGGCTTTAATTGAAGATGAGGCACCCGGCACCAAGCTATTGGCATACGACACTAATAGCTACTTGACGTACGAACAGATTCGTGATATTTGGTCAAGGGCCAGTGGCAAGGAGGCGGATTTCGTGACGGTGACCGTTCAATTTATGCATGAGAAATTCAAAACACCCATGGAACTTATACAGTCTGTGCCGGCCCTGGAGGAATACGGCTATACCGGGTCAATGAAGGTAATCGAGCCGGGTGATTTGAAGACTGCTGTGAGAACCAAGTCTTGGGAGGAGTGGATGATGGAGAGGGACTGGAAGGCAATTCTCGAGGCTTAGATGTGGTCATTGCCCAGGTGCCTTTTATGTCGCTAGATGTCTCCCCTGTTTGATAGTCATATTGTTCGAGTTCTACTAGATTAGCCGTAAAGTCTGATTCAACCACAAGATATTGGAAATGTGCATCCGTAGCCTAAAAAGATATAAAGCCCCTTTCTCAACATTTCCTCTCTGTCCTTCTAGTATCTACTAAGAAATTCAGTAGTAAAAAACAAAAAGAAGTGTCTGGTCACTAAGGGGGTCGAACCCTTGACCTTGGCGTGACTGCTAAGTAAGGCACGTCTATATTAGCACCACGATCTAACCAACTGATCTAAGCGACCCGAGCGTCTGGCCACTAAAAATGAGGGTCCATATGGGTATACTAAGAAGCAGCCAATCAGATGCTATAGAACTGAGAATGCATGCATTAGTTCCTGGTGGCGCTTTCAACTAGGTCAAATTGGGATTAGATTGAAGATAATTCAGACGCCAACCTTAAAGGGAGACTGGACGATCGAGGACAAAACACCAGACGATAAACTTGGATTCTGCCAATTCAGGGGATATGCAAGAAGATCTTCTCTATAGAACACTGAATGGATTTACTTGCTTGACTGCCGGTGGCACAAACACAATTCGGACTGCACTACGAGGTACTATGTAGAGGTTTTACTGGGACTAAAGACAATGTCAACCGCGGCCTGTCATTGGTCCGTTATCTCCGAATGGGTCTCAAGGCAAAAATTTTCCTGCCTTTGACATGGACTTATAACTCAGTTGGTTAGAGTGCCGTACTAATATCTGCTTGCATTACAAGTAACTTATTAGTCATGCGGAAGTCCACAGTTCGAGCCTGTGTTGGTCCAATATTTTTTTTCCTTTTGCTTCGTCCATTCTGGCTCCATTCCACAGATATCGTGCTCTTTTCTTTCTAACTCAGATGGATTGTCGATCTAAGCGTCTGAATGATCCCCTTTGAAACACTGGCTACAAGAGTCCCAAAGCTAGACCAGGAATTGTTGTAAATAATATGAGCCTATATATGAGCCTTGGAACACTCAAAAATCACTTACCAGAAGCCCCATTAAGGGGATCTCCTTTTTGGTGGAATGGTACAAAATTTGTTCCAATAGGGATTCAGTACTGTGACAGACAGCGGCTACTGCGCGACATGAACTACAAGCTGCAAATGAAATGCACCCTTGGAAGTAACTATGTGGCTGACGGCAAGACGATTACTTTCCCTTCTCTATTAATGGTTGGTTGGTTGATACATTCCATGGATTATGGAATAGGTTATTAGACCTGGCTAGTTTTATGCTGCTATGCAGACTTGTCACATGGGTTATACCCTGTATTAAGGTCAAGACCTAGGTTGCCGTACGAGTCACGACAGAACCTAGCATAGGATAACCCTATCGTTCTCTAGATATGTCAGCTCATTCGTAACAAAGGTCATACACTGCGCCGTGGGCATGTGTACCAGAGCCGCGAACCCGGGCATCCGTGTTATAGGTGCTTGAGGCCCTGGTTCAACAGACAGCTCTTCAGTCCCGGTTGCTCCCACTACACGACTTTTGCCTTGATAGGAAGTAGTACAGAACATATATCAGGCTATTCGATATCAAGAACCTGCTTCAGTCCTCTTTTCACATCATTCTCTTGCAAATTATTGTGATCCGGGTCGCGACATCAGAGATTGAGTGATGGATGAAGGTACGTATCTCATTTCAGCCCAAATGTGCTTCATGTATTCTACTGAGGCTGATTCCTAAAAGAGCGTACAATCACAATTCCCGATCCAGGTCCACCAAAATGTATGACAAGGGACTCTCGGATAGAGGAGATGATATCAGTGTCGAGGCTGAGGACAATGTCGACAAAGTGATGAGTTTGCTGAGACGGCATCTCGGACTTGGCGGCTACATTTCATCACACTTTTCCCGAAAGCAAATCCAAGGACGGTGTGATTTTTCTGATGCTCGCAGCGGGATATACTCGCCAGCAAACCACGGAACTTCTTTTGAGTCGAGGTGCAAATATCTTCACTGAAACGAAGGATCTTAGGGCAACTGCTCTCAGGTACGCAATTTGGGGTGATGCATCCGTAGGAATATGTGAGTTATTGATTAACGAAGGTGGAGAGGAGCTCATAGAGATAAAAGAAAAGGAAGGTAAAACTGCTCTTCTACTTGCCGTGTATTCTGGAAGTGTCGAGCCATGGACTAAACGGCACTCAAGCCAACGCCCACACCGACGGCGGCATGGCTGGCTGGTAGTAAGGATTAATACGCCTGCTAAAATTTCAGTATGCTGGAGCCATGCAACAAAATGGGTAAGAAGCTTACTTACAGGCGCATCTGTAATTATGCTACATAGAACAGTGGTTCAAGAATCTTCCAGGCGAATATGGGCAAATGAACCTTCAGCATTCCCCGCAGCGTGGCGAGCAATTCGGTATAGGTATAACGCCACCCCATGGCAGTGAAGGAAATCACGACAGACAAAAAAGCCAACAACCTTGACAGAATATGGGGCTTCTTGTTGGTGATGAAGGAAACAACAAAATAAAGGAAGACGAAGCGGTGCCAATGGTATCTAAAAGACGAGACTGGTCTTCCCTGGGGAAGCTACCATCTCTGATCGACTCTAGAAGGGAGTATATCCCGGCTTTTCGCAATCGAGAAGTACGTCGCACATTTTTAGAGCGTGTTCCTTAGTATATACAAAGTATGACCGATCGAGAAGAGTTCGAGGAGGGATCGAAAATGAAAATGGTAAATTGAGATTCACTGAGAGGAGAAGAGCATCCTTAAGTACCACCGGGGTATGTCTCTGGGAAACGTCCTTGGCCTAAAGGCAACAATCTTCCAATTCAGGCATCATCCTGACAAAGCTGTCATTATCTGACTAAAGTTTAACACTTACCATTATTTCTAGGGCTTAGGACACATATTTCTATTTCCTGACATATATCGCTATGTTTGATGCAATATGTCTATACAACAACATTTGTCGGATTACCGAGAAGAAAATTCATCACATTCTCAGGCGACATCCTCGCATAATTCTTCGCCGTCCTATCTGCGCACCATGCTACATGAGGACTCGTCGTCAAATTCAGCTCTTCTACGCCTTCTGCCAGTAAAGGTGACGTTTTCACTGACGCTGGTTCGATAGCAAAGACATCCGTTGCAGCGCCATGTATACTCCGGTACTTGAGCGCTTGCAAAAGTGCAACCTCGTCAACGATTCCTCCACGAGAAACATTGATTAGAACTGCTTTATGTGATATCTTCGCAAACTCGGCGGTTGATATCATGTTCATGGTTTCCGGAATTCGAGGGACAGCAATTACCAGAACGGTGCTCTTTTGGAGAACTTCGTCAAACGGTATTCGCTGTATATCGGTGTCGTTGCTGGTAGAAGGACTGTCCTCTCCCTTTCGACCGGCGATCAAAACCTTCATTCCGAGAGCTTGTGCCATCTTTGCTACTCTCTTTCCCACATATCCGTAACCTAAGATACCCATAACCTCTTCCTCACATGTCAAACACCAGTCTCCATCTCTGTCCGCCATTCTATTTGACAACATTGAACCGACTTTAAGCCAAGTGCCATCTTTAGTGGCACGGTCCATGCGCACGACATTCCTTCTTGCAGCAAAATACAAAGCCATGACATGATTCGATACCGATTCCACATTAGATCCTGGGCAATTACTGACTCGAATTCCGCGTCTGCGACAGGTTTCCAAGTCCACGCTATCTGTCCCAACGGCAGTAATGGCTATGAATTTGAGTTTTGGCGATACAGCTTCGGAGAGAGCCTCGGCATTGATACGTGTATAGCAGAGAACGAGGATAGTGGCATCCCGGAGACGAGCATGAAGTTGGTCTGGTGTTGTGTTCGAATAATGTTCTTGAGTAAGTGTTATGCCTGGGGGCGCTGTGAATTGATGGGAAGGATCAAATAGTCCGGCTTGTAAATGCACTAGATGGTGGTGCTCTGCCATGATTGTTTTGGCGGAAGTGAAAATCAACAATGGATCACGACGAGATTAGATGGGAAGATAGTTCTATATTGTTTATATAGTTCATTCGACGAGGGCCCACTGTTTGATAAGCAGGATTGATGTTGATTGCAACTGTTACTCATATACACCACCAATCAGCAACCAGAATCATACGCTACCCCGCGTTGCAGCACGCCCTGGGACAATTTATTCTGTAAACAGTAACCATGCAATGCTTTCTATCTACAATACCGCACAGTTTCATGGGTGAATATAGTAGTCACAAAAATTGTTCATTCAGCTTCAGCGGATTCTGAAATCCTCGATCTTCCCATGTTTGCATTGTTTGCAGATACAGATTTTGCTGCTCTTCTTTGGATGGTATCTTTTGCTCTGCAACACCCCTGGCTTGTCGCGATTCGTCTGTTTCGAGCATTGTCGCGTCATCGTCTGAACTATCGACGAACCGATATGTTCGAAAATCACAGTTTTCCCACGCACTCGCTGTTGTCCAAGAAACATTAGAATCTTCCAATTTGCCTTTTCATCTGCTTCTAAAATAGGGTATGAGTGAAAATTTATATTCACCATGTTCCTCAGCCTTGATTCCACTCCAGTCTTGAGTAAAGTAGTGAAGGAATCCGCCATGACAAACGACGACTACTTCCTTCTCAGGTCTTTGCATCAGCCATTGGCGTGCAGCGCGAGCTCGGCTTATCAGGGCATCAGATGAAGGTGCCCATTTCCCAGTCTGTGTACCGAAGTTAGCTTCATGGACTCATGTAACACATGCCAACGAAGAACAGGCACTTTTTTGTTCCAATTCTCCGGAACCTGACTAAGATCCAAAGAAGAAGGCATGGGCACAAGCCGACGTTCAGCAAATTCTCGCTTTAGATCAGCAACGTCACTGCCAGTGTCGCAAGCTACATCGCTAGTCTCCTGAAGTTCGGCCACAGCGACAACTCTAACACCGCGCTTGATTGCTGGCTGAAAGGAGTACAGTGCCGTTTGGAGTGTTCTTCTAAGTGGAGAAGACACTATAAGGTCGATAGAAGATTGATAAGGAAACCGAGCCTCAAGATCTTGACACTCTTTTATTCCTGCTTCTGTTAGTCGTGGGTCGGGGATCAAGTAGGCATCGCCTCCCTTGTTGTGTTCGCCCTGTAACGGTTACTTCAGCCTCGGTCTCAGCTCAATTCAGAGAATGCATACTTGTGCATGCCGCACGCAGTGAACTCGGGGCGCCATCTTGAACAGTCTTATCTTAAGTTACTGTTCATTTAGTTGATGTGGAAGCAGGGAGTTGCAAGACGAAACTTGAGAGGATACTTCCTCATTGGTGATACATGTCCCACTTTCCTTTCGCTTTATGATTCCTGAACACTGATTTGCTGATATGCAACCACTAGTTTGTTTTGGTACTAGCGCCATAATACTATTTACATACATAACCCTAAACCCTAACAACCTAACGAAATCATAACCCTAAATCAACCATGACTTAGTTTTCCAACCACATAGCACTCTACATCCCATCTGGTATAAATTATGGTGTCTATTATACATTTGCAGCACTGCTTATCTTGAATTCGTAGTGATTTGTCTATCTCGTATGCCACTATGTATCATTGCATTTCAAAGGGTGTACCGGTACAGGCAATCTGACGTCAAGCATAGCAGAGCCACTTGACAGCTCTTGTACAGATTTCCAGAAATACAAATAAAGTTATCTAAAGCATGATCCACACATGTTTCACGACGCGCTTAAAAGCCACATATCTAAGGCCTGGCGTTGTTGTGGAATGTTGCTGTTACAACCGCCCCCATTGGTTGATTCGAACGAGAGATCAGTTCTGTCTTTCTAACGACTCTGTTAAAGTCTGGTCATTTCGAGTAGAGTACTCTTTCTCGGCCTTGGATAGAGCACATGTCGATATCAGCTGCTTCGTTGCTTCTCAGGGCTATACATAGAATTGCAATGGTGACTGCTGATTGGTCGAAGTATGAAGACTGATATATCGTCTGAACTTTAATTCAACCTCAACCTCATTTCTTCATGCTAGATTCCCTGTAGATTACTTTAGATATAAGCCACAGAATTGTAAATATCATGCTAGATGGCACAGTTTCTAACGGCTTGATTGGTGGTTGCGCTTCCCTAGCATGAGGCATACGACTTGCCACTCTCTAGCCACCAGGAAGGCTCCCCGGAGGCGTAGATTAAGTCGAAGATATGATCTAATTTCACATTCCTAGTCTCGAATATACCCGCTGCCACGCTGCTGACATGCCTCGGTGCACACGCAAAAGCTCCGACATGGCGGGTTCTCTGTAGACGCGACGGAATGTCACTAAGCATTTCTGGAATGTGGTAGGCGTTCTCAATGCTGTTGATCAGGCCTTTGATTGGATGAAGAACTGAATATTCCATTTGAGAAGGATAAATTCTATACTCAGAAAAACGCGAGGTTGGGACTTTGGCTTTTTGATTTCATTTTCTACCAGCCATGGATAATCATGCCTAATGAGATGGCCTAAAGTATGAAAGTGATGTCTATATAACGATGAGAAAGCTTACAGCTTCAATGATTGATTCTCACTCTCATCATCAGTGTCAAATAACATCTCATCAGCCTGGCCAAAGAGCATATTGTATTCAAACTTCAGTTCGTCACTGGGTATTTCGACCAACAGCTTCATTTCACTACTGTTCACATTGCAGTGCGCCAATATCAACATATTCAAGATGCGTTACTTAACAGTGAGTACCTCAATCGACTAAAACTGTATGTACCAGTATCTAATATGACTATTTAGATACTTTCCGCACTATACTTCACCCTTTTATACTCGTTACCCACTCGCGCCCTCACCGGGGGCAAAGCATGGGTCAACTTCTATAAAGATTGTCCCAACGAGATACTAGAGATCGAAGAAGTCACAATCATCGTATCTTCCCCGAAACAATCGGCAGGAAACCGAGCACAAAGCCCATCATCACCTAGTGCATCGCACTCCATTGGAGCATCATCATCCAGCTCAGTCTCCATTATTCCATCATCTTCTGCAATCCCATCAGCATCAGCATCAAGCATAAAGCTACTCTCAGCATCAACGTCTTCATCCTCGGTACTCTCCCCAAAGTCGAAATTCCGCTCTGCTCTCGCAGCCCGCAACACTGAAAAGTCCACAATCCGCTCTCCATTCGTCAACATCACCCAGGGCCAATGCGAACCAGTCCCCATCGTGACGGAAAGACACATCGACTCAAGTTCCGTATCCGTGGGCACTGAACTTCTCACAGTCACCCCCTTTCAAGAATGCAATATTACCGTGCATGAAGTCCCCGGATGTATTGATGATCCCCTGCTTGTTGCTCCTGTGAAGAATCGAAAGGCGGAAAGTACTTGTACACCTAGGAACTTTGGCGCGTTTAATGATGTGTGGGTCAGATTGGATTGCTCGGAAATCGGTACTGCCTTGAACAAATTCGATACGGCTCAGGATTCCGCCTCGAAAACCCGGCCGCTTCAACGTGTGTTTTGAAAAGTTGTTGCATCACTGTTTCATGGAGGTTCTCTTCTATCTTGTTTGTTTTTTCGGCACGTGAGTTGGCTGGATATGAGCTTACGATTGAATGGAATTTTGGACTGGATTGCATGTATGATTTGCATTGGAAAGTTTCGCGATGTGTATGTACAGATATTTAGCATCTTCAATTGTTCTATAAATAAGCTAAAATCCATCGGTGGAATCATATTGATCATAAATTTGGTCATGCAAAGTACTCAACTTCACCAAAATGTCACGTTGAAATACTGATGTAGTCGCATATCTCAACTTTGTAAACGAGGCATTTCATGTAATGGCCGCAAACCATGGACACTAGCATTCATCATTATATACCATCTAATGCACATCATGCGACCAACAATTAGAAGCCAAAACTGTCTAACAATGAATTTGCGTCTGGCTCTTCAAACGTAGTTGGCTTAGCCTGCGGTTTAGTAGGTTTAGTCGCGCCTTCATCACCACGAGGGGCCATCTCGGGCGGAAGTCGAACGGGCAGATCAGCAATGACGAGGCTACTACGTCTTCGGAGTAATTTTCGATAGTCCGTATCAGCTTTGCCTGAAAAAGCTGAGGTCGAAACACGCCGAGGTGGCGCTCGTAGGAATTCCCAGTGGGCTACGAGATCAAGGGCTAGCAGATCACAGCCCATACGGTCATAGAGACGTGCGTTGCGAAGCACAAATGCCCATTCGTCGGTGGGTGCGATTTGCGTTGCACCTTTGAGAGTTTGTAAAGATTTTTCACGGATTTGTCTGTACAGGACAACTAATGCAGGATCGTTCGAGAGGTACGATCGTGCCTGTAATGAGATCATACCAGGACTCCCTGGTGATGCAGGCGTGGGCGGGATGAGAGTATCGACAGGAGACTATAACCCGTTAGCGAATATTTTACTTCTGCAAGTGTGTGGTTCTTTGCTCACAATTAAAGCACGGACCGCTGAACTGCGGCGATTGAGCATCCAAAATGCCCAGCATGCCATCCAGCGGTTTCCCTCTGAAGCTGCTTCTACGAGGACTGTTTCCTCCAGAATTTCTTTCAGCACTGGTCCGTCATCACCTTCATAAGCCCGCGTAATAGCTATCGCTAGTTGAATGTCCCCAATTTGGTTGATGCAGACGTTTGCGGCTTCACGTAGATGATCTGCTAAAAGGAAAAAAGCGGCAGAGTATTCTGCAGATGATCAGCAAGGATTACGATGAGCTGCGAGCAAATAACCAAACTCACCAAATCGCCGTTTCCCAAGCAGAGTATAGGCGTTCTTCAATGCCGCTGTCCTCCATCTTACTTCCTGGAAGTTATTCGCCAATAGACGTTGAGTGGCTCCTTGTTCACGATTCCAGGTTGCCATGCGCCACAAGCCTTGCAGGACATTCTTCTTTCGTAAAGCTAGATAATATAGTGAGCAGTCAACTGGGTTCTTTTCCTCCGTTTTTGTATACTCATTGCGAGCAACAATTTCCAGCTGGGCCCTCTGCTTATCATTAGCACTGAAGCAGTCAACATCTTAGTTATCACTACTTACCACAGCCGTAACATCTGATAACCACATGAATATACCGCTTTCTCTTGCTGCTTTCCATAAAAGTTTGCCACCAAACTGACGAGAGACAAGGTCCGCCAAGATATCTTGACTTTCACTGTAGAAAGCCCATACTATCTCTCGCCACGATACCGTGTTCTTATGAGCGACACCTTGACTTCTTCGTAGCATGTGCTGGCGAAAGAACAGCAAATACCGAGCAGCGTTCGCGTCCATGGATCTACGGTGCTTCTCCACCATCGCGACACATTCTATGGTGTCTACGAGCCGGAACTGCTCCTGACTAGAAAGCTGGGGTAGACTGAAGCGTGTCAAGTTCTCGTTAAGGATCACAGCCACTGTTTCATCCAAGACTCGCGGCTCGTCTTCGATATAACCGTGAGAAACTTGCATTTCTTTCCACTCAGAATTTCGCAGCTCCTAAGTTCTGTTAGTATAGTTTTCTATGCGCATGGTCTAGAGACCTTACATCGTCATTTCGGTAGAACTCTTCAACCGGTATTCCAAGCAAGGTGTCAATCTCATCGCCCTCAGTGTAGAATTTCAGCTTCTTATGAAGGCTCATAAGAATGAGATGAGCGAGATTTATTTTGCCAGACAGAATGCACTGCGCCAGGAATTGAGGATGGTAGACAGGAAGTGGGCCGTTTAATCGACTGACAATCTCCCAGAGCTTCACGTCTGAACCCTCGCGGACCGGAATACGAAGCTTGGAAATCAGATGATTATCCACCTCAACCGCAGGGTCATACACAAATAGCTGATTTCCAGCTCCCACGACAAGATTTCCACTGCCGGACCAGCAGGAGTCTCCAATGGGATGTGGAGTTAGGTCTCGAATACGGATTTCGCGGACAGCAGTCCAGGATGGACCAGCGTCCAAATAATCATATCTGAGTTGCGATAGTAAGACAACCTTATGAGAAAAGCCAACGGCTAATATGGATTGTTCATCCGGTGTAGATGTCCAGTCAAGGTCGCGAATCATATCATGGTCAGGAAAGCGCTCTTCGAACTCTAATTGAGCACCACTCGTATCCCAGATAGTGAGGTGTGTTCGTCCTTGGTCGACTAGTGCAGCTTTGCGAATCGCACTTCCACTTGCCAGCGATGGTGCCTGGATACCTGTTTCAACGGTGGAAGTCAAAAGCCAGTCTATTTTTCGATTCGTCTTGTCCACCTTAGCTGCCCATGTGTGGATAGTTCCTTTCTCGGTATATGAGAGCGCCATGTCCGCCGCGAAGAGGTCTAAAAAGCCGGAATGTCGTATCATCTGCCCAGCTGGGTCAACTGCTAGGATATAGGCCACTTCTGTATCCAACCCCATGTCAAAAGTACAATACTGTTGTAAAGAAACCGATTGTTTATCGGTTGGATTGGAGCATTCCTTGTTAGGCAATTCAAGCTCCCATGCGATGCCTTTCATGTCTGCGCCTATCATTGCAACATATACATTTGGATCCGACGGCTCAGACTTCGGCACAGTCAAAACGCAGAGAGGTTTGCTTGTTGAAGTAAACTCGCAAGAGCCTATTTTCACAGCTGGAGACACTCGAATATCCCACAGTGAGATTCTTTTGTGATGGAGGTTCACCAGAAAAGAGCCTTCCTCAATTACACAAGTCCGATGTATATGCTCTTGCGACGAAAGAGAGATTGGAGTCGCTAGGATGGAATGAGGGCCTCTCATCATCTTTTGGCGCCAGATCATAGCATTATTGTCGTCAGTGCGAGACACAAGAACACGGCCACTTGCATTTCTAACGATTTTCTTGATCGGTTCGGTATGCCCAGACCATATACCTTGAGATTTCAAGCGGTGTTTTCGTGGTGTCGGATCAAAGAGAGCATCGATTTGAGAATCAAACCATTCTATCCTTCCATCAAAGCAGTGCACCAATATTGATAAAGAGTCTATAGCAGTAGAGGCGCCGAATGTGTAGAATTGTGCATAGTCCTCATGTAGAGGAGCCCCCTTCGGAAATGAGAACTGCACGCCTTCTATGTGTAGGATGTTGAATACATCTGTTGCTGATTTCGGTTTACTTCCAATATTCTCCAAAGCCCAGGCACACATATGACCCTGGTCATCAATTACTGCACAGATCTCTGGGTTTTTGGTCGCAACGTCCACAAGATGCTCCAAGGCCAAGTTATTCTTCTCGGTATTCTGTTGTACAGCTCGCTCTGTCGCAGCGGCAAAATCCCGACTGTCGATAATGAAGCCATACCGGCGAGTTGATAAGTTCTGTGAATTATCCCGTGGTTGAATAGATGTGTTCATATCTATCTCAGTCCATAGGTGCATCGCCGATAGGTCCTGGTGATCTGAAACTGTCCACACTCGGATCTTGTTATCTGCGCATATCGTATAAAGAACATTGTCCATCGACTGTTCGCGATGCCTTGGTTTCCTCCAATGTATGCCGGTCACCGTAGCGGGATGAGGAAGGTAGAATACCTCGAATCTAACGGCGTCGGCGCCAAACGAGAGTCTCCTCCACAACTTGACAAGTCGATCATATTTCCCAGTCGTAGCTACCAACTCGGCATCAGGTGAGAATTCAGCGAATTTCGTAGGACCGGCCAATTTCTTCTTCCACATGAGACGGGGATCATCTTTCAGAAACCACACCGAAAGGCACGAATTGGCTACAAGCAATTCTTCCGAAGAACCCCATGATAACGTATTGACCTTTTCATCGTCATCCTTTGCGCGGAAAGTAATGGCTAGCGACCACTATTGTACCGATATAACATATATTAGCTCAATGCTCCAACCGTTGTGATGTGCTTCTCGGTCTGTTTCGCAGGGGACATTCTACCTTGAGGGATTCGCCTTTGAAGCCATTAGGTCGGTAGATGTAAACATCCGGACCGCTACTAACAGCAATTTGTCCACTAGATTCATCGATAGCGATTGTCTCTAAGTAGTTCGAATTGTCGATGTAGATGGTTTGGAGGAGCGTCTGCGCTCCGGTCAAGATAACGAGGGCATGACCGGAGATGTATGCCTGCAGTAGAGCAAGTCAGTATTTAACTTGTTTCATCTGGTAAACCTCGGGATCGCCTTCAGAGTGCGCCTTACAACAATCCGTAGACCATCCCAGAGCGCCGTGCTGAGAGCTCGCAGCTTCGACTGAGGCCGCCCTGGTAGTACCGCACGCATGGAAAGGATGATCCAATTTGGAAGCCCACGGTCAATGGGTCTTCGCCAGCACTAGACCATTGCCAACAATATTCGAGTAGGAGTGTCAATGAAGAATTTTGTAGCTGGAGTTGGAGATGTTGTCAGGTTATACAAGAGTGGGATGCGGAGTTGAATTGCTGGAGCTTCACGCGGCAGTTGCGCGTGATTGGCCCGTCGACGTCAATCATCTAAGCCAGCAACAGGCGAGACCACCACAACATATTAACTGGTTATGTCTACAATTAATGTTATTTCCTGTTATTGCAAGTATAGGTATTTATGTCAAGTTTGTATTCACACGAAAATCTTATTTAAAATGCTATACTGAAGCTGCTATTGAGCTTTCGTTCCTCATACCAATATACCCGATGCCATGCGAAAACGAATAAAACGCCAAAATGGGGTATCTAAAAGTAACACGCTGCGTGACCAAAAGACAAAGAGATTATTTCCCTTTATATAAACGTCCGATGAGTAGGATGATAGGATGTCAGGGATGTCATCACTCTCGTCTTGTTGATGATTTCCGTCCTTCTGTGGGTGACTCGGGCTCTTCAATGGCAAATCGAACAATTGTTCCCATGGAACCACGCCGAATTCGAGACTTGTTCTCAGAGCCATATCTGTCTCCGTCTAGTGCTGCACGAAGACGAGTTGCGAAAGGTGTGAATAAGGGAGTTGCAGGAGTGGTAGACATTTGAGAAAGCATACGCGCTCGAGCAGCTCGTCTGGAAGGGGACGACAAGTACCCAGGGGTCGCAATCGGGGTTGTCGAGGCTAAACGAAATTGCGGTAAAGAACCTAGTTCGCTCATGTTCAGCGTGTCTTCTGCTGACTCGGCTACTATAGCTGAGCCCGGGGTCTTGGGTTCGTGCGTCTCGATATCAATGTCAGATGGTACGAATGCTTCTCGTTCGCTGCGTAGCGTTCTGACCTTGGCGCTCCAATGCCGAAGCATATTTCTGTGATGTTTCCTCGATATACGGTCATGTAAGGACTCTGCCATCTCAGCTGCGCTTCGAATTTGGAAGATGCGAAGACTGAGCTTGCGCAGCTGTGCGGAAACAACGCCAGAGATACGTATCAAATCCAGAACTTCGGCTTGCTCTTCCAAGCCGCGATATATCTCACACTCATCCATCCATCGCGATAACTGATGATAAGCAAGCTGTCTGTGGTAATACACCTCGGCGTCCTGCGTATCCTGAGTAATCTTTGCGGTCTTTTCACGCCAACGGCTGACAAGCTCAGTTGAGTATATCAGTAGCTTCGTTTGCATGAGTTCATTGGCTTGATTGTGAAGATTTGTCATGCGTCGCGACTTGTCGTACCAAACACGCAAGGCACTCGCTGCAATATTCATTTTGACCTTCCTGCGAATCTTCACATAAGCTTCTTGCCGGCGTTTCTTAGATGCATCTAACGCAGCATTGTGCCAGAGTTTGATAAATTTGGTCGTAATGAAATAGAACTGAGCATCCCTAGACCACTTGTCCAGATTCTGAAGATGTTGGTGCCTAGAATTCCAGATGGTGAGTGCTTCCTGCTCAATTCGAGGAACGTAGAATTCCATAGCGGCATATTCTCTTTGACGTTGTACTGCAAGTTTATTTCTCCAACAATCGAGGGCAGATCGTGCTAAATCCTCATTATAGTGTCGGAAATATTGGTTTTCGCGCTGTAACAGCTCTTTCGAGGTATCCCGAACAGTGAAAATGAATTGAGCGAAAGCTTCCCTTTGTATGCGTTGATCTCTTATTCGTTGAGCAAGACGATATCTTTCTGCCAAAATCCATCGATAGATGGCTTCCTTCTTTAGTCGCTCATCAATGCGCTCTTTCAGTGCATAACATCGCAAATGATCATTCCAAGTGGTCCAAGTGTTACGCAAAACCCTCAATCGATCCGCTTCCTTTGCGTGCTGCACGCTCTCTGTCCGTAATCGCCACTGTATTAGGGTAGTTTTCAGTACTCTCGAATCTATTTTTGTAGCGATCTGTATAGCTGCGGGTTGCAGTCGAGTCTGAGCTCTCCATACTTCCATCTGGTCTCCTAATAATTTCTTCCTATAACCCATGTCTGCGTCCAGTTGAGCAGCTTCAACCGACCTGAGTCGATACGACCATGTTTTCAGTGTTGCATGTAGCAGCTCCTGACGAAGACCATGGTCTATCTCTGCCTCACGTTCTCGTTGTCTCCTTAGGGCACGGATCCAAGAAAGAAAAGCACCTTTCATTAGTCGAAAGTCACTCCACTCGGGCGCTCGGTGCTCATAGTAGAAATTCCAGAGCAGCATCATCAGGTACTTTCGTTTCCGATTATACTCGTGAGCATGAATTGCATGGTCATCCAATGTCCTGATTTGCTGAATTTTCCTCCTCCAACCATCGAGTGGTTTTTGAATGGCAAAACGCTCCGCTTTCATTACGTTAACAGCCGTTATCTCGCGCCAGGCGTTGAAGTACTTGATGCTCAAGATATGTTCACGAGCTGCTGACGCCTTCGACAGTTCATCAGATGTTAGCTGCGCCCAATGACTGAATGCCTTGGTCATGAGATACAGATCCCTTGCTTTTGCAGCCCGGTTTTCTAGGTGTCGAAAAAATCTCTTCGTACGAGAATTTTGGCGCTTTTTTTCTAGCTCTGCTCGCCACAAGTCAAGAGCTTGTCGGAGAAGCGTTGCTCGGTCCTGATTGACAGCTACGGCTTCCATATCTCGATTTCTTTGCTGTGAACGAACGGCTTGGGTTAGCCAATGTATGAGAATGTTTCTCGCAGTTGCTCTTCTCCGATACGTCGAGAAGCTAGATGCGTCTCGCAACATATCAGACAGGCTAGGTTTAGGATTCGCATCATGGATTACTCCTATGTCGTCTGAGTAGAAGTTTTGGTTGGTTTGAGGAGAATGGTTCCCGTCCATTTGTCTCAAAATATCTGAGTGACCTTGAGAAACTGAGTGTGAGGATGAACTCAAATGTCCATTCACGGATGTCTGAACAGGATTATTATCGTTGTGTAACCCTCTCGTTGGATCCAAACCACCCATCAACCGACGTCCCATTTCCAAAAACTGGGCCAGCAACTGGTTCTTATCGAGCGAAGTTGCTGGGTCTTGCCGAGTTGGTTTGTTTTTTCGAGGTCTGTCATCGATCTCCATGAAGTCCGGCTTCCCGGGATCCAGACGAGACATTGAAGACCTCGAACTTGGCCGGTTTCCATATCTTTGTGTCGCATCTTCACCGACATCATACATTGAATTGAACGAGGCCCTTCTTTTTCGATGTGAACGTTGTGTTGTATCGTCACCGATCCGGTCGGTGAATTGTGGTTCGCCTTGGACTTCCTGGACGGATAGATACTGCGCATACCGACTGAGTTCTTCGGGTCCTGTGTCATCGAATGATAGGACAATTCCCATGCGCTGCAGGACATTTTCAAATCTTTCGAATAAGGATTGATTCGCAAGGCCTCCGGTGCCCATTTTGAAGAGGAAGTGCATGCAGACCTGGTCCGGGTCTGCCTCAGGACCGCCATGTTCGGCGATAACCTCATCGTACGCTGCAAAGAGTGCTCTGTAGGGTAAACGTTCGACATCAGGATTCTGCTCAGCGCGAGTAATAATCTGATAAAGAAGCCCGACATCTATCAGACCAATCACGTTATGATCAGTATAACAATACATCCAGACAAGATTTCTCGGATACTCTACCTTGATCTGAAAGAGCTCGGTCCCTATCTAGGATAGTCGGACGTTGCGCGGAAACTAGAGACATTGGAAGAATGGCAAGCTATAGCGCTTTTTGAGACACAAACATTGACGCGAGGGCCGATCAAGGTCATCGCGGCGGCGATTATGAAAGTCCAAAAGCAGAAAGGGTATCAACCAAGATGATAGAATTCAAAAGCGCGCGATTGAAACTCGTCTTTATATCATTTCTTCCAAGCATGCATTTACTGGCCAGAGCCATCGAGTGCGCTTATTGTCAAGTGTTGTTTTTGACAAACATTCTTTCTGGGAGATTGCGCGCTGGCGGTACTCCACATGGATAATGACCGCCAATAGCAATTTTCTAATCACGTGACATAATCCGAAGTCCTGTTATGTAATGGCGGCAACAAGCTCTTCGTTCACCCATCAATATCAACATCTATTGATGTGATCAGACCAAATACAAAAAATGTCGAATAAGGTCCGGCCTCTTGAGAAACTTGCTCAGGCTGCATCTCAATGCTCTGTTGAGGTACGTCTTATAAAGTTATCCCATACTATCGTACTAATTCCTACTTATAGGCTGTCGCGTACGGGAAATGCGTCGTTGCCGATTATAACGCTGTCCAGAAGGACATGTGTGCCAAAGAGTTTATGCGATTAAAGAACTGCTTCTTGGTAAGATTGCGCTTCGTCAATGGTGAGAACTTTTTAGGTACTGACCACCAAATCAGGCGGCTTCGAAAAAGAAATGATTAATGGAAATATGTATTTGTATTCAATACCGGTATCCAGCTAGAAATGACGAACCCTAAAGAATGATTTGAAATATTCTTTTTTTAAGACGTGGGAATCGTACATGAGGCCTCTCTAAAACTCATCACAGCTTGAGAAGCCTGAGCAAGAAGGTTGCTTTTTGAACTTCTTGCTCCTCTTCCATGATGAGACCTGGCTCCTCCTCCTTTGGAATTTCTCCTGCCACATGCGTAATGACATGATGATCAATAGGTCTTCTCAACACCTTCTCAAAAGCTGCGGATTGGGTCTTGAACACTCTATCCAAACCAACGTTGTCAGGATCAGAAAGTACTTTATACTCCATCTTGACATCATCCGTAGTCTGCAGGCCTGCCTTCTTACGTAGTCTTTGAACACGGCTGATAATCTCTCTTCCGAGACCTTCGTCTGCCAATTCAGGGTAGATATTGACGTCCAAGATGGTAAGGACGTCACTATCTGAGTTCGTCTCCATGTTCTGAGAGGTCTCATCTTCCTTGATACCACGCTTCACAACCAGATCCTCTTCGGCAAGTTCGATACCATCAACGACAATGCGTTTCTCAGCAACAAACTTCTTGACATCATCGCTAGTCAAAGAGGGCAAGAACTTCTTCACTTTTTGCGCATCCTTCTTGAGCTTCTTGCCGAGTGTGGGCCAGTCTGCCGAAACGCTGTATTGCACGTTGTATTTCTCTTCGTCCAAGGACAGGATAAGATCCCGGACGTTCAATTCCTCGACGATATAAGACTCAAGAGACTTGACATCATCCAAGTATTGCTGATCCTGGTGAATGACAACAAGCGTCTTCAGCGGTTGCCTCAATGCCAAAGTACGGCGCTCTCGAGAAACTCGGCCCAACTCAATAACTCTCTGCATTCTAGCCACACGTCTCTCTATAACTTCGTCAAAGAGCTCTTCACGAACCTGGGGATATGGCTGGAAGTGCACACTGCGGTCGTCTTCACCGCGTAGTGACTCTGGAATATGAGGAAGAAGACGCAAATAGATGGTATCAGTGATGAAAGGGATGAATGGCGCCAAACCGCGCACCAAAGTGTATAAGACCTCGAACAAGGTGTTGAGCGCATGTTGTGTATCATCAACACCATTTTCACCCTTCAGACGTCTTCGGTTGAACCTAATATACCAGTTCGTGGTGTTATCAATGAGCTCCAGAAGTCTAGGGACCACCGTATACAAACGATAAGCAGACATTTCTTGGTTGACAAATTTGAGAAGACTTTGGCAGCTTGCCAAAATCCATCGGTCCATGACGTTGGTGTTGGTGACCTCTGCTTTGGGGTCGAAACAGTAATCGATATTTTCAATCTTCTTCAAGAGAGCCACCTGTCCTTCGAAGAATTTGTAACTGTTCCACAACGGCAACAGCACCTTGGAGATGATCTCCTTCACGCCTGCTTCCTTGAATCGGAGGGGTTCCGCTCGGACGACAGGAGAATTGATAAGATAAAGTCGTAGGGCATCAGAACCGTAGCGATCCATGATCAAAGTTGGATCAGGATAGTTCTTCAGCCGCTTAGACATCTTCTTACCGTCTTCGGCTAACACAATACCATTCACAATGACATTTTGGTATGGCAATTTTCCGAACAGATGGCAACCCAAGACAGAGAGTGTATAGAACCAACCACGCGTTTGATCTGTCAAGGAGTTAGTACTGCAAGAAAATCGAAAGAAGAAGAAGTTGAAACTTACCAAGACCCTCAGCAATGAACTGGGCGGGAAATGCGTCCTGGAATGTATCTTTACGTTCAAAAGGATAGTGGACCGATGCATAGGGCATTGAACCACTCTCGAACCAACAATCAAAGACCTCGGGTACACGACGAAGCTGACCTTTACCTTGCTTACTGGGGATGGTGATGTGATCGATTTTGTCCCGATGCAGATCAGTCAATTCACCTTCGTAACCGCTGAGTTCCTTCAATTCCGAAACGCTGCCGATGGCGACAACCTCTTTGAAATCATCACTAACCCAAAGAGGGATTGGTGTTCCCCAGTAACGATTCCTAGCAATATTCCAATCTCTGGCATTTTGAATCCAGTTGGCAAATCGCTTTTCCTTGACGAAAGACGGGACCCAATGAGAGTCTTCAATTCCTTTGAGCATGGTGGGAATGACCGGTCCCACCTTTACAAACCACGCTGGCACAGCTCGGTAAATAAGAGGAGTATCTGAGCGCCAACAGAATGGGTAGCTGTGAGTAATTTGGCCGTCGACAATCAAGCGGCCGGTTCCCTTGAGGTGTTTGATGATAACTCTGTCGGCTGCCTTGACATGCTGCCCAACGAAATCACGAACTTCAAATGTAAAGTTACCTGTTTCGTCCACAGGGTTTGGTGGTAGTACTTTGTCTGATATAACTCCATGTTCCACAGCAACCCTGTAATCGTCTTCACCAAATGCAGGTGCTTGGTGGACAATACCGGTACCGGCATCAGAAGTCACATATGTATCATTGCAAACACGGAATCCGCAGTCCTTGAAGTCGTCTATGAAGTAGTCAAAAAGCGGCTCATATCTCCAGCCCTTCATAGCCGATCCCTTAAATCTGTCAACAATTTTGAACTTCGCCTTCTTGGGATCTTTGTAGAGTGTGCGGAGTAGGGATTCCATCAGGATGTAGTGTTTTCCCGATGCTTCGTCGAGGACCTTCACGTACTCGAAATCGGGGTGTACGCAAAGGCCGACGTTGGAAGGGAGTGTCCAGGGTGTCGTTGTCCATGCCAACAAACACACGTTTGGGTCATCAACTAGCGGGAAGGAGACCACGACAGCCGGGTCGGTCACATCTTTATAGTTTTGAGAAGCTTCGAAATTACTCAAAGGCGTGTTGAGGGCTGTTGAGTATGGCATAACTCTATATCCACGGTATACCATATCCTTATCCGCCAATTGTTTGAAGATCCACCAGACTGATTCCATGAAGGTAGCGTCGAGGGTACGATAGGGGTTATCGAAATCGATCCAACGGCCGAGTCGTTCGATCGTTTGTCGCCATTCTGAAGCATATCTCATCACGATTGCTCGACATTCTTCGTTGTATTTGGCGATACCTAATTTTTCAACAGCTTCCGAGCCGGACATTCCGAGCTTCTTGTCGATTTCGTGTTCGATTGGCACACCATGTGTATCTATCCATCGCAGTTAGTTGAATGACTACAACACATATCACAGATAATATTACCCCAGCCAAATCTTCGCTCACAGTAGTGACCCGTCATCGAAAAGTATCGAGGAATGATATCCTAAATGATCGCAAGTCAGTTAGGACTTTACAGGACGATCTGCTTGGATGAAGCACGTGCCTTGATGGTACTTGCGAGCAAGTGACCATAATGTGGAAGACCAGTTGCAAAAGGAGGTCCATCGTAGAAAGCTATAAGTATCATGCCTGTCAGATATCCTCCCAGTTCTGGCGTGTTTCATGAGATGATTGCTTACTGTATGGCTTCCGGCCGCGGGAGAGTTCAACCTGCCGGCGAAAGGCGTCGATCTCTCTCCACCGCTTGAGGACAGTCTCCTCTTCGGCGGGAAAGTCAATAGACATAGCTGAAAGTATATCACAAGTTTATCACAGTCAATTCCTAGGAAAAGCTGTGTATTTGGGGATACAAATAGAGGCGATCGTAAGAGAGGATAGCGGGGATGAGTCACCCCGCTGCACTTTTTTTTATTGTGCTGCAATCACACTTGGTCCGAGCGTCTTCTATAATACTAGCTAATTACGTAGTAAGATTAGTTAACTAACTATGTGGTCTTGAGATTCCACATTCAGGAATAGCCTCAAAAGACCACTAAATTATGTGTACATGGCAACAGATAGTAGCACGCACACGGGGATTTCGTAATCTAGTCATAACTGACGGTCTATATACTCCACGGGTATCATCGCGACTTTTATTCATCATCTTCTTCCTCGTCCTCGTCATCGCCCTCCTCATCCTCATCTTCTGACACTTCTTCACCGAGTTCTTTGAGGCGTTGCTGTTGATACATTAGTCACTATATGCCGCAAGTCAGATCTGGATTCTGGCTCACCTTTTCTTGTTTTCTCTTCGTCTCCAAGTCACCAAATACGATGAGAAGATCCTCCAATTCACTCTGAGCTTCTTTTCGCGCGGTTTCTGCTTCTGTTGCCCTCTTCTCTGCTTTTTGCGCAGCTTCCCTGGCATCCGAGAGTTCCTTTTCAAAGGCTTGGGCACGTTTTTCAGCTTTTGATGCTCTCTTAGTAGCTTGCTTGAGTTTGTTTTCAAAGTCGCCGTATCTAGTCGAGTGCTCGTCTCGTATTTTCTCTAGCTCTTGCATATGATCCTTGCTAGATGCCTTAAGGTTTCTTTCCAAATCAGAGATAGACTTCTTGAAACCGGCCACCTCGTCCTCATGACGCTGACGTAACCTAGCATTATTTCGTTCGTAGTCTGCAGTAGTATCTTTCAGCTGACTATCAATCGCTCGCAACTGTTCGTCATGCTGCTTTAGTAGATCATTTTGTCCTTGTTTGTGTTGGCCTTCCAACTTTGACAATTCGTAAGTATGATCTTTCTGCAAGCTCGAGATGGTTTGCTGGTGGCGATCTTCCAGTTTCGACAGTTCCTGCTGGTGATGCTCTTCCAATTTCGACAGCTCCATCCTATGATTCTTCTGAAGACTGTCGTTCAACCCTTTGTAATATTCCTCCAATCGCGAAATTTCTACTTCATGATTCTTCTGCAGGCCCTCGTTGATATTCTTGATGCGAGCCATCTCATGGCTTGTGGATTCCTTCGTTCGTCGATGATCCAGCTGTTCTTGCTCTAGCTTCTGTTGCAGGTTCAGCAAATCCAGTTCCAATTTTTGTATAGTCTGGCTGTTTTGCTCGACTTGTGCCCGAAGTGAATCAACTAATTCCCGGGATATACCCTTCTGGACACCATTAGTCATGACTGGGACCTCCAACCCAGGCTCGCGGTCGATTGCGCGCAGGAAGTGGCTGAAATGGTCCTTCAGGAACTCTATAAAGACGGCATCGAAGAAGATGCCTGGAAGGGTCCCATCATGATCACCTCTGCCTGTGCGTGGTAAAACCTCAAAATCTCGAACTAGAGGATCCTCTCGAAGTTTGGTTATCTTATCAATGTACTGTTCCCTGCCCAGCCCGCTATTGAGCAAGTTATGAAGTGTCTCTCTTGGAATAGGAGAGTCCTTTGTAGAGAATTCGTAAATGATACCCAACAGAACACAGGATAGACCAGGAACAAGAATATTGCCAACACCACTCTGCTTAATCTCACGGATCAATGACTGGATGATGCTACCCTCTCCCAAGAAATCGTTCACTGCATCTGGGTCTTCGAATAGCCAGCCACACAAGAGCATCAAGTATGCGACGGAAATCCGTTCATCATCACCCCTCTGTAGGCCTGTGGTCAAGTTGCCGGCTATTGTCTGGATACATGTAACGACTTCTTCGCCCTTTTCTGCATTTCCTTCCGTGACCTTGAGGGCAAGCGCCTTGGCTTCCGGATCTTCGAATAATAAGTGGAACATCAGAACCGAAGCGATCCAGTTACCGTAGGGATCAACTCTTGTACGAGACTCTGGAGTCTCTAGTAGGGTCGTCAATATGTTAGGTATCTGATCGTTTCCGCTCATGTGACCGTCAATAGCACGTCCCAGGAAATGTAGACGTATGCCATTGTGTTTCGCAAAGAAAGCTTGGATACATTCACATGCTGCGAGTCGAGCTTCTAGTGCGTAAACTGGTGCCGGTTCGAGCGTCAATTTAAGTAAAGCTTCAATAACGTTAATTTGGACAGGATTATTGAGTTTCAAACTGCCATTCGTCGCTTCCGTGGCTGCAGATTCAGTACTCCAAGTTACTTCGACATCTGCAAATTTCTCTTGCAACGATGAGTTTCCGCGAATCAAACCCGCGCAGGTCTCTAAAGCCTACGATTGATTAGCAATTGACGGTACAAAGAATGGAGATGTAATGTACCTTTGCAATGACAGGGACATCGAAGTCCTTACTGAAGGCAACGAGCAGCACCTTTTCCATGATTCCTGCTTGCCAAAAAGCCGTCTGGTTTGTCTTCAGTATCCCGCCCTTAACAAGGAACAACTGGATAATCGCTAGCAGTCCCCATAGATTCTTATCTCGCCGCGCTGTCGACCATGCTGGCAGTTCTTCTTCCGGTTCTGGCGGGTTTGTCACATCCGTAAGCAGGGCGGCGAGTTTCTTGACACATCCTGTTTCTCTGAAGTAGGTTTGATTCGAAACATTGAGTCGCAGTAGGTTTGCCAGCAGAGAGAGGCAATCCACTACTACTTCAGATCCATGTGATAACGACCCTTCCGCTTCAATGAGGTCGAAGATACGGTCAAATGCGTTTTCGAACGCAACAAGCTTTTGTAACTCGGCTGACGAGGGAGTGAGAGCAATAAGAAGAACAAGAGCCTCTACGTGAGAGCACCAATATCAGATCCCATTATTTGTAATAGTCTGAGAATAGTCACTTACCGTTTCTAACCGGCTCTCGAACATCCGATAGTACGTTCACTAGTCTCGAAATGCCCAGCGGAGCGGTAAAGATGCATTCCTGGGTTCGATCTGGTCGGGCCGCACATATAGCTGAAATCAATTGCAAAGCATATAGCCGGGAGTAAAAGTCCTTGGTTTCGAGGAGGTCGAGTAGAGCTGTGATATTGTCTTGACGCTTCCATGTCGTTAAATACATTTCTAACCGTAGATAGCAGGTGTCTTTACCTGGGTGAATTCATCTGCAAGCCATAGTACAATCTCTTCTGAAGCTTCAGGCTGTCCAATAAATCAGCTTCTTAGTTCTTAGAGCCGTCCACAAAGCCAACCCAGAAAGAGAGCACTAACGCTGTTCTCATCAGGAGAGAATAATAGCAACAATGTCTCCAACACCACTTTCAAAGTATCCACATCTTCAGCATCTTTTCGGACACTTGCAATAAGGTCTCGAAGCGACCCAGAAGCCACACTGGCAGGGTAATTTTTCGCAAAGCTCCGTAACCCAAGTACAGCTGCTCGACGGTCCTCCAGTAAAGTTGCGCTTTGTAGTCTGTTCGATAGTACGCTGATTGCATCAGTGGCCGTCTGCTTTGCCGGCGCTTGCGATTCGAGTATTCGAAACATGTTAATCAGTTATCATGGTCAACGAGACCATAGCGCGTAATCAATGCATCTGGGGGCTATTTCAATGTGCAATCGTCTGATCCTGTTGACAATATCAATTATTTGTTGTTTAGTTAAGAGGCCAGGTCATAATAATGCTTGTTTGAGCTTTCCCCGATTGAGAGTAGCCAAATTTAGCTCGCATGGATAAGCGGAAAAACTTTGCACCGGAACCGGCAGCGCATAATTATTTCCGATCGCACCTCGACTTCGGTCCCTAATACGCAGCAGGTTCAGCGCTCAAGCTGAATTTTGTTTTCTGTGCATCTGATTTTTCCTTCTTTGTGTGTATGTTCGACTTGGGTTATTCGACGTGCGGAAAATAAACTCCAGTTGGTAATTTGGGACGTGTGATCAGCGGCCATTCACTCTTCATTGTAGATGGATTACAGACATTGAAGATTTCAAACCGGGCGATTACTAACAGTGCCTACTGTTATAACGACATCATGGGTGTTCCAGCTCTTTTTCGTTGGCTCTCCAACAAGTACCCCAAAATTATTTCTCCCGTCATTGAGGAGCAACCATATGAAGTCAATGGCGAAGTGATCCCCGTCGATACGACGAAGCCGAACCCTAATGGCGAGGAAACGGACAACTTGTACTTGGACATGAATGGTATTGTCCATCCATGTACACATCCTGAGGGCAAACCACCTCCAGCAAACGAACAGGAAATGATGCTGGAGATCTTTCGCTACACCGACCGAGTCGTGAATATGGTTCGTCCGAGGAAGCTTTTGATGATTGCTGTTGGTAAGACTTGACCTTTCCATACCCTTGTTACTTTAAGGCTATATGCTTACTATATTTTGTATAGATGGCGTCGCCCCCCGTGCAAAGATGAACCAGCAACGCTCTCGACGATTCCGCTCAGCGCAAGAGGCTAGAGAGAACGATCAAAAGAAGGAGGAGTTTCAGAAACTACTGGCCAGACAAAACGCTGCTAAGGGAATTGATCCGGACAACAATCTCGAAGAACAGGTCATCAAGAAAACATGGGATAGGTAAGCCATGACATGATACTTGAAAACTATGGCAGTGCTAATGTGTTTTATTTTTTTCAGCAACGTGATTACACCCGGCACTCCATTCATGGATATTCTCTCCGCGTCTTTACGCTACTGGATCTCCTATAAACTGAATACCGACCCCGCATGGGAAAAGGTACGTTTTCAAGTTCTATATGATTGCTAACCTCAAGCTAATGCATTCCAGTTGAAAATCATCATCAGTGACGCTACAGTTCCCGGAGAGGGCGAACACAAGGTTATGAATTTCATTCGATCGCAGCGCCAGGATCCCAGTCACGATCCAAACACTCGTCACGTCCTGTATGGATTGGTTAGTACCAGAAAAGGTTCTTTTAATCCAGGTTATATACTAATCTTTTTTTAGGATGCCGATTTGATTATGCTTGGTCTTGCGACCCACGAACCTCACTTCCGAGTCTTGCGGGAAGACGTGTTTTTCCAGGAGTCGAAGCCCAGAACATGTCGTCTTTGTGGACAAACTGGTCATAAAGCTGAAGAATGTCGAGGCCAGGCAAAAGAGAAGAATGGCGAATTTGATGAAAAGCAGAAAGCTGCAGTTCTGAAACCTTTCATTTGGCTAAACGTCTCCGTGCTTAGAGAGTATCTTGCTATCGAGCTTCAAGTACCCCAGCAGCGATTTCCCTTCGATTTGGAACGAGCTCTCGATGATTGGGTCTTTATGTGTTTTTTCGTCGGCAACGATTTCTTGCCTCATCTCCCGTCTTTGGATATCAAAGAAAATGCCATTGACTTGTTGATTTCTATCTGGAGAGAAAATATTCCTCTTATGGACGACTATGTGACGAAGGATGGTATTGTTAATTTCAAGCATGCACAACTCATCCTAACTGGGTTGGGCAAGCAGGAGGAAGCAATTTTCAGGCGGAGAAGACAGGCAGAGGAAAGGAAAGCTGCCAATGAACAGCGTAGGAAAGAAGAAGAGAAAGCGCGCAATGCTGAGAGATCTCAGAAACGTCGAAGGAGCTCACCAGACTATACAGCTGGAGAGCCCACTATTGCTGCTCCACCATCCAAAGCTCGAAAGTCAGGTGAAGGCTTCATCGCGTCGACAGAGGTGACATTGATTACCCCCAGCCGAGGACACTTGGATAAGGAGACAAGGCAGTTGACACACAGCATGGTTGTCAATCGCTCTGCTATTTACAAAGCCAATGAGGCGAACAAGAGTGCTGCCGCTGCTTTGAAAAGCCAGTTGCTGAAAGGTAAACTAGCAGTAAATGATGAGGCTGAGTCTGCAAACAGCGATGGCCCAAGTGGAGAGGACACGGCTCAAGACGAGTCACAGGGAATATCGCCGTCTGTCTTAGGTAAGAGAAAGGTAGAAGATCTGGCCGATGCGGATAATGGTACCCCCGGCAGGGACTCGCCAGTCCCAGCTGGGCAGTCAAAACCCACAGATGAAATGCCTCCTGATACAGTACGACTATGGGAGCCCGGGTATACCGAGAGATACTACGAACAGAAATTTCACGTTGATCCCAGTAATGTGGAATTCCGTCATCAGGTTGCAAGATCATATGCTGAAGGTCTACAATGGGTCCTTCTTTACTATATGCAAGGATGTCCTTCCTGGACCTGGTACTATCCGTATCACTACGCACCATTTGCTTCAGACTTTGTCGATATCGGTGATATGAAGCCGAACTTTGTGAAGGGCAAACCGTTCAAGCCTTTTGAGCAACTGATGGGTGTATTACCAGCTTCGTCGAATCATGCTATACCTGAAATCTTCCATGACCTAATGTCGGATCCCAATAGCGAGATCATCGACTTTTACCCAGAAGATTTCCCAGTTGATCTCAACGGCAAAAAGTTTGCATGGCAAGGAGTTGTTTTGCTTCCATTCATTGACGAGGTTCGACTACTCGCTGCGATGGAAAAGAAATACCCATTATTGAGTGCAGATGAGCACGCCCGGAACACTGTTGGAAGCGACGTTCTCCTGCTTTCTGACCAACACCCTCTGTATCAAGAACTTGCAATGAACTTCTACTCCAAGAAGCAAGTTGTACCGAAGTTTAAGCTGAACATGCGTGTCAGCGAAGGACTGGCTGGAAAAGTGGAACGTGACGACAACCATATCCCTCACAGCTCTCTTAACCCTCCCTATGATGTTGACATGCCCTCTCTAGATGAAAACAGATCTATGATGTACGTTATGCTCTATTTTGCTCCCCGACTCACTCGATGCTAACATTTAATTAGGGTCAATTACGAGATTCCAAAGTCGACTCATCTACACAAATCGATGCTCCTTCGAGGCGTGCGATTCCCGCCTCCGACCCTAGATCAATCAGATATATCTGCTGTCAAGGCTAAATCTCGATACAACGGCGGCGGGCGAGGAGGCTACCGAGGCAACAATGGTGGCGGCAGAGGCGGAAATCAGTACAATCCTCCAAGACCGGGTATGAACGAACGAGCAAACCCATTTGCAGCACATCTGGATCCATCCTTTGTCCCACCGCCTCAAGGCGGATGGGTTCCTCCTGTCGGCGGTGCCGGCTACTCTCGTGGCCCTCCACCTCCTCCACGCGGTGGCAGCTATGGTTATCAGAACTCGTCTCGGGGCTACAATAACTCTGGTTACTACGGCCAAGATAACAGCTACCAACGTGGTTACGATCAATATGGTTACTCTGCTCCTCCGGCAGACTATAATCAACAGGGATACTATAATGGACCGCGAGGTGGTGGCAGCAATCGTGGAGACCCGAGGGGCTACAACAGCAACCAAGGAGGGTACCAGTCCCAGGGTCGTGGCGGCTACAACTTCAGACGCGGCGATGGCTATGATCGATACTAATCGTATTTCTAAGCACGGTAAAGCGTATACCCGTGTGGGGCAGTGTTACAACCATGATCTACGATTCTACGGAAATGTATGGATTACACCGATTATATCTCGATGAAGGGGAATACCTGTGCATTCAGCTTAAGAGCTAGAACATCTGTATGATACCCAAATTGAGCTGGACTCAGCAAACATGTTTCTCAAAGGTCTTTGTATGATTTCTATAGTTTACCTACATTACCAATATTATTGTATGCGGCTATACATTTCCCCGATGGTGCATTAGTACATCCATTTGGCCCCAAGAGGCTCTGTCCAATGCCGATGTTAGGGCACCTAGTTGGTCTGTCGATAGGCGGGCGATATCGGAGTCATCTTTTTGCTCTGTATTTTAGCCATGAAGCTCACGACTTGATCCACAACAAGATCAGGAACAAGTAGATTTCTCTTCTAGTTTTTCCTAGAGTATAGTAAATAGCTTAAGATAAGAATATTCTAATAACATCATGGAATAAGTAGGGTAATCAACCATCACTCTAATGGATCAGAGTGATATGCAACTACGGCCGGGACGGCCCCCATTGAAAGGCCGCTAAACCCGTTTGGTGTGAGGTGAACACCGTGAACCTCTTTCTCGGTGACTCATGCAGTTAACATTTTCTCAACTCAGACCAAGGATTGACCTCGTATTTCGGTTTGTGGCTAGATAAGACGAATACGCGAAGTCAGCGCTACACCTGCCTGCAATTACGATTTCGACAAGGTGGTAGATTATCACCACTTCTCCCCGAGAAGTGATCCCGAAATCAAATTGACTTACACCTACAAAAATCTCCGCAATGAATTGAAGCCCTCCGTTACTCATCCATTTGTACCTACCGAGCTCGTCATATCACGGAGATGTCTATGAAAATGGCGGATCCCACAAAGATCTCGATCTTGGGGCGGGAGAGCATTGTTGCGGACTATAGCATCTGGGGAACATACATTGTCCAAGACCTGCTAACCAATCTCTCCTCAACCACCTATGTCCTAGTGACCGATACCAATCTCGGCTCGATATATCTTGAAAAGTTCTCAAAAATCTTCAACGAAGCCGCCGCAGCGTTGTCACCGCCTCCTCGTCTCCTTACCAAAGAAATCCCTCCCGGCGAAAACTCTAAGTCTCGCCAAGGAAAGGCCGATATTGAGGATTGGATGCTTCAGCAGACATGTGGTCGGGATACAGTTATTATTGCTCTGGGTGGTGGTGTCATTGGCGATCTACTCGGTTTTGTCGCCTCGACCTACATGCGGGGTATCAGATTCGTCCAGGTCCCTACGACGCTGTTGGCGATGGTTGACTCTTCTATCGGAGGAAAGACTGCCATTGATACTCCCTTGGGCAAGAATTTGATTGGAGCTATCTGGCAACCTCAACGAATCTACATTGACATTGACTTCATCGACACCCTTCCAGAAAGAGAATTCATCAACGGCATGGCCGAAGTCATCAAAACCGCAGCAATCTCCGATGAGAAGGAATTTGCGGCTTTGGAACGACATGCTGATGCAATCTTGAATGCTGCTCGTAGCAAGGCCAGAAAGGGACGATTTGATGCAGTGCGACAAGAGTTGAAGGATCATATTGTAGCGTCGGCACGCCACAAGGCGTATGTTGTGACTGCGGACGAGCGTGAAGGTGGCTTGCGCAATCTCCTCAACCTGGGTCACTCAATTGGTCATGCGATTGAGGCAATCTTGTCCCCTCAGGTCCTCCACGGTGAATGTGTTGCTATTGGTATGGTCAAAGAGTTGGAACTCGCGAGATACCTCGGCATCCTTAAGCCAGTCGCGGTTTCTCGAATGATCAAATGTCTTTCCAAGTACGGTCTGCCCACGTCTTTGAAGGATCAGCGTGTGAGGAAACATACCGCCGGAAAACATTGCCCTTTGGACCAGTTGATGGCGAACATGGCCTTGGATAAGAAGAACGATGGTCCCAAGAAGAAGGTCGTTTTGCTATCAGCTATTGGCCAAACCTACGAGCCAAAGGCTAGTGTCGTTTCGAACGAGGATATCAGGGCTGTTCTGGCACCCAGCATTGAAGTGATCCCTGGTGTTCCCAAGTCACTCAACGTTGTATGTGCACCTCCCGGCTCGAAGAGTATCTCCAATAGAGCCCTTGTTCTTGCAGCTCTCGGATCGGGAACAGTCCGAATCAAGAACCTTCTGCACTCGGACGACACAGAGGTTATGCTCAACGCTCTAGAACATCTTGGAGCCGCGACATTTGCCTGGGAAGAGGAAGGAGAGGTGCTGGTTGTGAACGGCAATGGTGGCAAAATGCAGGCAAGCCCAACAGAGTTATACTTGGGTAATGCCGGTACAGCCTCGAGATTTTTGACATCAGTTGCAACGCTCTCCGGTAAAGGATCTGTTGATTTCAATATCCTTACTGGAAACAATCGTATGAAGCAGAGGCCTATCGGGGATTTGGTCGATGCACTCACTGTAAATGGTGCTGAAATTGAATATCTGGAAAAGGCAGGCAGTCTGCCATTGAAGATTGCTGCATCAGGCGGATTCAAAGGCGGTCGTATCAATCTTGCTGCCAAGGTCTCTTCTCAATACGTATCATCGCTCTTGATGTGCGCACCGTATGCCAAGGAGCCGGTGGTTCTGAAACTGGTTGGAGGCAGACCGATTTCCCTGTCATACATTGAGATGACCACCGCTATGATGCGATCGTTTGGAATTGATGTTCAACAATCGACCACCGAAGAATGGACCTACCACATTCCACAAGGATCATATACCAACCCTGCAGAATACGTTATTGAAAGTGATGCCAGTTCTGCAACCTACCCGCTGGCAATCGCTGCAGTCACTGGCACAACCTGCACAGTCCCCAACATTGGCTCGGCTAGTTTACAAGGCGATGCTCGCTTTGCGGTAGACGTTTTGAGACCAATGGGTTGCAAAGTTGAGCAGACTGCTACTTCCACCACAGTCACGGGTCCAGCAGATGGCGTGTTACGCCCGCTACCAAACGTCGATATGGAACCGATGACCGATGCTTTCTTGGGTGCCTCTGTTTTGGCCGCGATTGCGCAGGGCGAAGGATCAAACCACACAACCAGGATCTACGGTATTGCCAATCAGCGAGTCAAGGAATGCAACCGTATCGAGGCTATGAGGGTTGAATTAGCAAAATTTGGTGTTGTGTGTCGCGAACACCCTGATGGACTCGAGATTGATGGTATTGATCGATCTACTCTGCGACACCCCGCTGGGGGCGTCTTTTGCTACGACGATCACCGCGTTGCATTCAGCTTCAGCATCTTGGCTCTGGTGGCCCCTATGCCCACACTCATTCTCGAAAAGGAATGTGTAGGTAAAACATGGCCAACATATTGGGATGCTCTCAAACAGAAATTTGGAGTTCGGCTCGAAGGCAAGGAGCTTGATGAGAGTGTTACCACGCATCATGCACCAGCCGATCGGTCAAATGCATCCGTCATTATCATCGGTATGCGTGGAGCAGGGAAGACGACAACGGGCCGCTGGGCTGCGAAGGTACTCAATAGGAAATTCATCGATCTTGATGTTGAATTAGAGCAGACCGAGGGTAAAAGCATTCCGGAGATCATCAAGGAACGTGGCTGGCAGGGATTCCGCGATGCGGAACTTGCACTGTTCAAGCGTGTTTTAGCTGAGCGGCCAACAGGTCATGTTCTCGCTTGTGGTGGTGGTATCGTCGAAATTGGGGAGGCGAGAAAGATCCTTACTGATTACCACAAGAACAAGGGTAATGTTCTATTAGTCATGAGAGATATAAAACGGGTCATGGAATTCTTGAATGTTGACAAGACCCGACCCGCTTATATCGAAGACATGATGAGTGTGTGGTTGCGACGGAAGCCATGGTACCACGAATGCAGCAACGTGCAGTACTACAGTAGGCATAGCAGTGCACCGGAGCTTGCCCTTGCCGTTGAAGACTTTGGACGGTTTATTCAAGTCGTGTCTGGCAAGATCGATTACTTGGCAGCCATTAGAAAGAAACGTCTTTCTTTCTTTGTGTCTCTGACTCTGCCTGATCTACGAGATACTGGTGATTTGCTACGCACCGTTGCCTCCGGTTCAGATGCTGTCGAATTGCGCGTCGATTTACTCAAAGACCCATCGTCGGATAGCGCTATTCCTTCAGCTGAATATGTGGCTGAGCAGATCTCTTTCTACCGCAGTAAGGTTGCGCTGCCGATTGTCTTTACGGTTCGCACAGTCAGCCAGGGAGGGAAATTTCCTGACGACGCCCACGATGCTGCATTGGAGTTGATTACACTTGCTATTCGCAGTGGCTGTGAATTTATCGATCTCGAAATCACATTCCCTGAAGAGTTGCTACGCAAAGTGACCGAATCAAAGGCTCATGCTAAGATTATTGCATCCCATCATGATCCCCAGGGCAAATTGAACTGGGCCAACGGTTCTTGGATCCAATACTACAACAAGGCTCTACAGTACGGAGATATCATCAAACTCGTCGGAGTAGCAGAATCCCTCAAAGACAACACCGCGCTAAAGGAATTCAAAGACTGGGCTGAACAAGCTCACGATGTACCCGTCATTGCAATCAATATGGGCGACAAGGGTCAACTCAGCCGCATGCTCAACGGGTTTTTGACTCCGGTCTCTCATCCCGCTCTTCCCTTCAAAGCCGCTCCTGGACAATTATCAGCAGCGGAGATTCGAAAGGGATTATCGATCATGGGCGAGATTCCAGCTAAAAAGTTTGCGATTTTCGGAAAACCCATCTTGGCCTCTCGTTCGCCTGCAATGCACAACACACTCTTTGAGCAGAATGGATTGCCGCATGTATATACCAGACTCGAAACCGACCAGACACAAGACGTGAAGGAATTCATCCGCTCACCGGACTTTGGCGGTGCATCGGTCACAATCCCACTCAAGCTAGACATCATCCCGCTGATCGATGAGGTGTTGAACGAGGCTGAGATCATCGGCGCAGTCAACACCATCATCCCAGTCGAAGGCAAGGACGGCACCACTCGCCTCATTGGCCGCAACACCGACTGGTCCGGAATTGTGCGCTGTCTCCGCGAAGCCGGCGCACATAGCAACGAAGGCAAATCCAGTGCTTTGGTTATCGGTGGCGGAGGCACAGCCCGCGCCGCAATCTATGCTCTCCACCATATGGGCTTCTCAACTGTCTATGTACTGGGCCGCTCACCAGAGAAGATCCAAAATATGGCATCCACTTTCCCCACGGGCTTCGATATTCGCGTCCTCGAAAACGCGGATGATATCGAGACCATTCCCCGTGTTGCAGTGGGTACTGTACCCGGTGACCAACCCATTGAGCCGAATATGCGAGAAATCCTCTGCACAATCTTCAAGCGCAGCGGCCAAGATCCTTCGGCTGATGGAGCAAGCAGCGTGTTACTAGAGATGGCGTACAAACCATCCGTGACTCCATTGATGCGTTTGGCGTCTGATGCTGGATGGAAAACCATCCCGGGTTTGGAGGCTCTTGTTGGACAGGGAGTGTATCAGTTTGAGTACTGGACGGGAATTACGCCGGTTTACGAGGTTGCGCGAGTAAGTTTCTGCTGATCTGATGATTTATTGACTACTAACGTTTGATAGAATGCTGTCCTCGGTACGAACGAGAAGTAATTCCTTGCTGTCAATATTAGAAGCTTATCACATTACGATAGAATATCATTGCACAACTTTTCTACCATATACGTATCGTAATTGCATATCGGCATAAATCTTAAAAAAATCCATCTGCCTAACTCAACGCTCAACATCTGTCTCAACCCTCAACCTGATATCACACAGCCACTATCTACGTGTCTTATCCACCGGTCTCTGGATCCCCTCTCTTCTATTATTCACTTTCACCAAATAGGCAAATCAATTACTCAGCGTATATCAACATAATCTCCCCAATCCGATCCTCCCGGTTCCGGCCAGATGTACGTACTCGAGCATTATGTCCGACAATCTTCACGCGGATAAACGCGGAAGTACGTAGTTGAACAACATGATGACCAATCCAAGCGTATCCATCGTATTCAATACAATACCTCCCGCAAATGATAACGCCCCAACTGTATACAGAATCAGGCAGAAAGGCATCGATTAATGATAATCCACCAATCATTCGGCAATAGAGTGTAACCTAAGAAGGTGTCGAATGCGGATTGTGGCTGATTTAGTCTTTCCGCTTTTGCATGAGTATATCCATTGGCCAATCGAATATCCACGAGAAGAAAACTCTTCAATATTATAGCCCTATTGACATATGAATATGATATGGACAATATTCGATTCTTTTCGATCATCTTCTCTAATCACACCACTCCACAAACTCTCTTTCTTTATAGATATGTACAAGTCATACGATAAGGAGCCATCTCGAAGAGTGGAGAAGAAGGTGGATTCCGGAACGGGACCACTATCGTTCGCCGATCATTTGGGTTCCACATTTTTATCTTCTTCTCATCTCCATACCTTCATATTATTGATGAATGAATATGAAGGATATCGACAAATCAGTAGGCTGTGCAGATTGATATCAGTCCAATCAACAAGACTCTTCATGAATGCGATTAAAAATAGAAGTGAAACCCTAGTCCAGTATAACAAAGCCACAATCTTAATTGAATAACACCGATCTACCCCTGTCTTTTCATAACATGCTCCATGCCAAAAGGTGGAACCGCTGTCGAGTATACCCTCCCTACCTTATCTGTATGAGCTCGGTAGTCTATCATCGACATGCAGATATAATAGTTGTGTAAGACATGCACATACTTATGCATCTATCCCAGTCATATCGACTCTATCAAGCTCTACTATTACCGAAAAAGGAAGGAGAAAATAGATCTACACTCGCTACACTTAAGACGTAGAAAATATGTAGGTAAAAGTACAGTCTTGTTCTATCTATAAGTCAATAAGGTCATCTCATATAATACAAATCTTTGTACAAATCAAACAAGCAGCAAAAACACACCACCTTTTTTTGATCCGTATGTACCGAAATTTCCCAAGTCATATCATATAAAAACACACCATCCAATGCAATAATCAATAAGCAATAAGCAATAGTCGTAACATGTACATAACGTCAGGTCAGTCATAATACACTCATCCCACCCATCCGATATTCCGATAATGCTAAGAAAGACGAAACAAAAACACGCTGTAAATAACAGAATCTGGTCATGACATGACGTCTAGTAATTATGAAGACGAAAAGATGGGGTCAACCGGTGAAATGATGAAGTAAAAAAAGGGAGTCGTAGCCGATGACGTCAACGGCTTTTAAGGTATTAAGGCCACTATCCGTGCTTAGGTAATCGGCCTGCCGATCCGAAACTGCAACAAATGGAACTGAACCCCGATGCGGTAAAGCGTCATCGCAATGACGTCAGTGGAGGGCTTTGGCCCCCTCCGTCATGATTATCTGCCTGAAGGATAAGGCTCAATCACGCCCCTTGCGCCGTTGCTTCCCCGGCCAATCCACTTCAGGATGCACGACTCGCATATGTCGCGTAAGTGCATCGTTGCGCGAAAAGGTCTTCTCCTCCGTGCACAGATGACATCGCACTTTCTGCTTGCGCGCATTGTGGATCGTGTCCTCATGTCGGGTCAAATCATACGGCCGTGAGAATATAGAGTTGCATGGTTTGCCCGTAGATGGGTTGATTCGCTCGCACTTGTGGGGCCCAGCTTGAGAATTCCGTAGAGCCAATGATGAATTGCTATCACCATTCCCGCCAGCCATTGTCTGCCGGTGAGCTTCGCGCTTGTGCTTTTGAAGCTTCGCCGGTGTCTCAAACCGTAATGTACACCCGTGGTACGTACATGTGTATGTGCCCGAGTCCGACGAGGTGTCGTTGGGCCGCTTAACCGAAGTTTCCATAACACCGTCGCTATTCGTAGACTCCATCGTAGGCAGCGACGCAGGGAATCCTGGCGTCTGCTGCTGGAGTAGACTGTTGTTGGCATGACGCAGATCTTGTGGTTGAAGCTGCGGCTGCATAAAATTGTTCAATGGCTGTTGGAGGCCAGCAGCTTGAGTAGCGTATTGAGTCGGAAACGTCTCCATGGAATTGTAGGCTAACGTAGGCTGGAAAACACTGGTGGCACTCTGTCGGCGCGAGGTCATATTGCTACCGCTAAGAGACATGTCGTTCGTCGTAGGGAACAGAGCTGGCAATCCATGAGCAAGCTCATCAGGGCCCTCATTATACTCCAGTAGAGCATCCTTGGGAGAGATAGTCTTGATCTGTCCCTGCTCGTCCTGTTGGGTACCAGGCAACTGCAAAGCAGACCCCAAACCAGAAATCTGGAGTCGAGCCTGCTGTTGCTGTCTGAAATCCGCAGCAAGAGGAGACCCCTGACGGAACGGCGATCGCTCCCGGTTGATCGAGTTGCCGGCCGGTGATTGAGAGCGAGCTGACAGATGGCCTTGGTTGGCAGCGTTGAGACGATCAGCAAACAGATTTCGGTACGGCGCATTCACCATGTTGTTCGAGTTGGCTTTGCGCATCTGCTGTGATGACGAGGATGACGTCGTTGGAACGACTGTAGTATTGTAAAGCTCATCCTGATAGATATCAGAGATGGTGCGATTCAATTTCGGCACGCCCATAGGCATCGTGGTTTGGTTATTATTATTAAAGTCTGGATTCGTATCGAACTGTAAGTATTCACCCATCCACCGGTCAAAGTCAGGAGATCGGTCCTCACCATGGACAACCGCCTTCGATCCATCATCGAATTCGTCATATGTAGTTTGCGGAGTCACCGGCGAATTGTGGTGACTCAGACTCGAGACCGAGGGCGCTAAGGAGTAATGGAAGGAGGTATCATCCTCGGTTGTCGCCGGATGACTGTTGCTGTTGTTTCCGTTATTATTATTGTGGCTATGCTGCTCCATGACTGCTTGCCTCATTGCCTGTTCCGCAGCGGCAGTGTCGCCATTATGCGTAGAAGGGTCGTAGTTCTGAAAGGCAGGAGCCAAAAACGAGTTCTGAGTGGGTGTCTGCACAGGAGTAGGCAGCGACTTTTTCGGGTTCTGATACTGGCCGGTAAACGCTGTCGTGGCCTGTGGCGATTTCGATCCCGTCTTGCCGGAAGAACCTGAGGCTGCTCGCTTGTGGGCGCCGTGGAAGCCCGCAAGACCTTTCTGCGCGTGGGCTGGGCTGAGCAGCTGAACGTTGGCCTCTGTGTCCCAGCTACCGTGGGCGTTGGGTGAGATACCAGACTGCGCCAACATGGGAGACTGTGCCATGAACTGAGAAGAGTATGGGTATTGAGCGTTGGGATACGGCGACGGTACTGCTGCCGGGATATGAAACGCTGGATTGTAGGATGAGACGGCACTCATGGACGGTGCTTCGGACCAGGTGCCGTCAAAGACGGGGAAGTCTCCAGAGAAGTTCGTGGCTGGAGAGTGAGCCGACGAGAAGGCCGGCGAGGACGAGGAGAAGGTAGGAGACGGACAGGCAGACGAGGAAGGTACGAATTGTAGTCGAGGCGAGTGGAAGGGAGACTGTAGTTGTTGTTGATGGTCGTAGAGGTTATTAGGAGGAAGCTGGTGGTCTTGTAGGATGGTGTTGTCGTTGGGATAAGGCCACTGAGAGTAAGTGATGAGGTCCTTATTACGTGGGTAGAGGAGCATAGTTCGGGTACGGAAAGACCAGATGTGGGGACGCAGAGGGAGTTCTTTAGGGCGGAAGAGGCTTGCCACTCGGGGGGGGGGAAGCTGAATATATAGTCGCACTGGTGGGAAGGTTTTCCTGTCGGTAGAGACGATCCGCGGTTACGAATCTGCTGCAGTCGGTTTCTTTGGCTGGACGACTTATTGTGGCCGTGCACTGTCGACGCGGAATTAACTGTATTCAGATCACGAGTTGATGCAGTGGTTACTAGTAAGCCATCGAAATGGGTGGAAGCTTTCCGATGGAGGGATAAGTCGGGAGTGGTTCTAGACAATATGAGTCAAGAATAAGAAGATATTTCCGGCTGAATAGGAGATAAATCGGATGATGAGTAATTGTGTATGGTAGTTGGATGAATTATTTGTTACCTACTACCGGGGCCGGCCTCGACTGCATTATTATAAAGAAAACTCTGTCATGGTTTAGACTTGCTGAGAATAGCAACCACATAGTACCGATGACGTTTAGCTATTTAGAGAACGAATGACAGACCCTAGTATTGACTGATGCAGCTAAAGCTAAGGCAGGCTCCACTCGATCTTCCTCCGTCGGTCACAGCCGTCCGTTGTATTGACGCGGTATCGTTACCGCCAACGTAAAGACTGTTACAGAAAGTACGAGAAGTGACGCTCTGATCTGATTGGCCTTGAGTCATGCTCCGGCTCTGAAACATATTTCCGCTTTCATCCACCAATCAACGTCACCCACGACGGCATCAGCCACAGTTGGGCAACTGGCATGTCCGTGATTGGTAAGCATCCATCTGGGGCTTTCTGACTGGACAATCGGCTCCAGTAACGAAAATTTTCTTCGGCAAATTCTGTTGAGCAAGTCCCCCCCCGGCCTTCACATGCATGGAATGTGGCTCGAGGTTTGAGGTTTGAGGTTTGCAGTCCCAGGAGCACGGGAGCCTATCACCCATCCGAACTCAGCCACAATCGGGCCACGACTACTGATCGGCACCAGATCTGAACCCCATCGACCCTTTCGAGCGACCAGCATCAACGTTAAAAATTTTTCGTCTCATTCGAGCAATTTGATTCGCGGCTGATGCACTGACAAGGCAACAAAGTTTTCCCACGTTGTTCTCCATTTTATCTGCATTAGACCTCTTCAACCTCTCTGGGTCTTAGGCAGTACAGTAACTAACTCTGCAGTACTCAATAATACGTACGCAAATCAAACATACTATCAGCTGACTATGGTACGGATATCGCCGCCTTGATTCGATGCTAAGATGATTCAGAGACTGTACTCATTGTACGAATCGATTTAGGCAGGTATATAGTGGTGTGACTCAGACATGAAGTCTGTGCAATACTTCGGAATTAAGCGAGATTGATCATGTAGTCCTCAGAGCTGTCTTCTTACTCATACGCCGAAATGCCGAGGCTGGCCGAGAGCGCGTGACGGTGGTCAGCTGACTCGATCGCTAACCCGTTTTTCAGTTTCTCAGTCAGTGCTTGATCATGGAACTACTGTTAATTCAATATCTACGTTCTGACAAATGTATTTCAAGCTTGTATCAAATTGGAGGTCACACGGGCAGCGGACACAAAAGGTGGACTTTTTTCGTCTAGGTCATCCCGACAATATGATTGGCTCAAGCGAGCCGAGTAGTTTAGTTCATGGTCCGTGGAGAAAGAAAAGAAAAAAAAAAAGAAAAGACATCTGGCTTTTGCGGGGTAGTACCTATCAGCTCGGACACAACTCGGCTGATTTTACCCTAATTCTCAATTTCCCAGATCTTTGGAATATTGCCAAGGGTTGGGTTGCCATCGAACCGAGTTTCTCAGCTGGAACTGGATTGGAATGTAGCTTAAAAACCAAGCCCAACACATGTATACAGTCACGAGATGCAGTCCAAATCCCTACGGTGTATTTGTTCACCGGACATTGTAAGGCTATTCCTCGGACCGGATGCCTACCGGCAAGCCGGTCCTACAATGGCATGAGCTGAGGCCTGTGTCCGTATATGGTAGTACTATTCTCCAGATCGAGTATGGGGTTGCGGCATCGGTACAAACGTGCCTTAGGTATTGATACACTTATTCCGCGTCCTGCCTGTTACAGCCGAGAAATGTAGAAGCGAACCGATCACTCTACAGTAGCTGCGACGACAAGTGTACTCATCTATGCAACTGGAAAATTTTCCTCAATATCGATGTTTCTCATAGAATGCAAATACTACTACTAAAAATGGTTCGCGCAATGGACCCTTAGCCGATGGTCTGGACGCGGCCCTCAGTCCCAGGTCTAGACCCCGTCCATGCCAGGTCCAGAACGACCCCAAGACTTGAAGATTCAGAACCTGCAAGACAACCAACGCACGCTGAATCTAGATTGATCCATGTATGAAAATTTAGAAATTCTCGATGATTATTAGCGTTATTGTTTATGCGAGAAGCATAACTGATATGCAGGGAGTCGACTACTGCTCGACACAAACGTACGCCGTTTACGGAGCGGAGTGACGGCCGTAAGACCTTACTACCAAAGGGCCGATGCATATACCGGCATCTAGATTATTAGCTTGTATACAATGTACACTCGTATGCTAGTCCTACCTACCCCTTAAACTATTCCAGATTCTAGATCGGCTATAATACCAACTCCAAATCATCTGAACTGTAAACACCGTCTGAACATGTACAGCCGACTCCGTCTCCCATAGCTGACAGTCCTATCCTGTTTTCAAGACCGGGGATATCAGTTGAATATCCATACAACTATCTCCGCGATCTCGCTCCAAATCTTGATTACCGGTCACAACAGCTATATCCGCGTCGGCGATCTGATGTACTACGCAGTTCGAACAGGGATGGATAGCGGATATACGCTTATAAAGACCGGACGCCGTATAGCACAAGCCACAGTCTCTTCCAAGTACATTATCTGGAAAAACTTAGCATAGATCTATAATCTCAACAATCCCACCAACAGAAAAAAGAAACGTAAAAAATCTACCCTCGCGCAGAAATTTTCCGACGAACATGGGCGTCCAACGGAATAAACACAGTTCATTACGTATCAGTACACGGCGCAGTAATACAGAAAACAAGCACACGGGCCTCCGCGGAACCACACCTCCAGAAACTCAACCACTCTCCATGATCTACGCTAATGTACGTTTTCGGACGCTAAAAACACCAGAGAAAATTTTTCCCACACAGCCAGGTATTCTGGAAACTTTCTAATTGTGGATGCCGGCCGAGACGGAGTAGTAAGTCCTAATTCGGTAGTGTACTATGTATGTAGGAACGGAGTACTCCGTATTTCTCTTATTTGATTAGGAACCGCATAAGCCTCGTCTTTAAGCCTCAACCTAATGCTTGAAAAAAATTTTTCATCCTCAGCGTTGTTATCATTTATGTCTGAGATTTTGACTCAACTCCTGCATGAAAACATTCCCACTACTGCAATATGCTAGTGTTGGATATCGATCAGGGATGCCATTCCAAGCTGAGACTGTATCTTTTAGACAAGGCGAGAGGTTTCAGTTGCATGAGTCGTTGTATTGGCATTGGTAACAACGTTGATCGCGCTGAAACCTACCGTTTTTAGATGCTTTTCACCGATCTTCGGATATTCTCTTTCCCTGTATGTACACGTAGACGCACTCTTTACGTGAATCTTAATTGATTGATAATTAAGGCTAATAACACCTATCCACCGGCAAAATGACAAATTGATAATGAATGCCTGTAGTAAATGAATTTCCCGAGGCTGATATATATCGATTACTCGGAGTATCGCATAATCATAAAAACACCGACCTCGGGAAATCGTCACCCTATATCTGTCTTTCTAATCACCGTACTCATGTCGTACAAGACATGAGTTCGTCCGGTAGTCGCAAAGTTAACCGCATGGCATACGGAGCACGGAGTAGATACCGGCGTTGATACCGGGATCATCCGAGTGTTCGGCCCTCTGATAAGTTGATAACCTTAAGATTCCGGTACACAGACCTGCCTGCAGCTACTAAATCTAGATGAAAAAAAAAAAAAAAATTTTTCTTTCAATTCAACGATTTTCAGATGAAGTGGCTTTTTGTTTGTTGAGTGTTACTGTCGCACTCCATCTATTCAATATGACTCATTCTTTCCACTCCCTCGCTGGGGTTATCTAAGACAATTGAGCTTAAACTACAGATGTTACAATCCCACCCAGGATATTTTTTTTAGATATCTTATCGATAACAACAGTGGACATCCGGGGGCTGTGCCATCAACAAGGGATAAAAATCCACTGGCAAAAGGGAAAAAGGTGGCTTGGTGGGGGTCACATCTTCTCGGAAAGTTCGGCAGATTCTCTCAGTTTCTTTTTTTCAACACTTCCCGGATGGGTCTAGGGTCCACTTTTTTCTTCTGGAAGGATTGTTTATTCTATTGATGGTTACTATTGTTAGTACAATCTATGAGATGATAAGAATACATGAATATACATTCTTGATGCGTGATACTCGATAATGTTGCATACATAAGGACATCAGTAGTAGTCAGAATGATACGGGACTTCCAGTGTAGTTATGCGTCAGGCACTTAGGCACCAACAACTACACTAACCACCAACGAGGCTAGAGTCTGAGGCTGAAAAGGCCACTTTGTACAGCAGCTACGTATAATCAACAATGTTTACTAGATGATCATCCATTGTGCAATATAATTTCATAGAAAGTAACACTCATCGTACACTTTCTCAAAGAAAATGAATCCAGAAAATGTACCGACGTATATCAAGGTAAGCTACCTGAGGTCTACATCTCCAAATCGTAAACACAGGTACGATCTAAACATGCAAATCAGGTCAACCAAAAATATCTCCTTCCAAAGACCTTGAAAGAATTCAATTTACCCTGGACATGGGTACGTTATCCCTCCAGCAACCGAAGTGTCTATGTCAAGTGGCTGTCTCTCACACGCGGACGATAACAGGACGACAGCGACAGAGATTACCTAATAATCAAACAATACATCAGCCAAGATCTCCAAGATGCACTCTTTGAGCATAGTCGACGACTCATGGAACGTAAAGAGCGTCTACACAGTATTGGCCGAAAGGTATTGGATGAATTGACTGATGATTATGAACGGAGTGACGACGATGACAGCGATACGGATGACGATCTGTTCGGGTTACGAGCGGCGCTGTTGGTTGATCTTGAGGATCAGATTTTTCTAGGCCCAAGGCAGAGAAAGGGAGGACCGTATGTGTCTTTTTCTGTGTTGAGTCCTGTTATTACGGTTGAGAATTTACGGGGTGATTTGTTTATTGCTGTAAGATTTAATGTTGAGACGACTATACTTGGTTATGAGTCAAATAAAGGGTGACGTTATTCCCCGAGTTCTTTCGTGGAGGAACTGACCGTATATAGTGATGGTCATGAATTGTTCTTCCACGATATATGTCTGCAGTATCTCAGCAGCTCGTCGAAGGAAGATCTTCTCATGAAACCGGAATCTGATCCGTCGAGTTCGCTTGTTGTGACGAGATCAACGAATACGCAGATCAACCCGCAAGCTAGTCTTTCGCTGTCTCAGTCGCCTTCGGCCAGTGTGTCGATAGGGTTGACACGCTCGAGTGGATTGAGTGTGCAGTATTCGGTGAATACTTGGTATGTAAGTGCGCATCGCGTTGTTAATGGTGAGTACACCTCCGTCTCTATCGAGTCGACAGCTCAATTGGGCATAGGACAAGAGTCAAGCAAGGCGAAAAGTACGAAGGAACACCAGAAAACCCAATCTCTTGCATCAGCGGAGGAATTACCTAGGTATCAGTGGTTCTGGGCGGGTACTCACGAAGACACGAGAAAGCTTACGCCAGACTTGAAGCATACCGTTACTCGACATGTTGTAGTCAAACGCAAGCTTCAATTGGTCGGTTTCCCATTCAGCGATACAACGAACCTTGAAACACGTACCGAACAAGGGTTGCCAAACCCCGAGATGCAGATTCATGAACAGCAAACAAGGTCCAAGCCGGAAGCGACCCCGGAGACCAAGTCATATGATCATCTGCTTCAGGCGTTGCAGCATCATTTTACATTCAAATTCTCCGCACAGGTACAGAAATTTCCTCCCTACGCAATGTTCGCTACTTACAGCCATACAGGTCAGAGTGAAACGTCGGTACGGACGCGTGCACCGTCTTCTCGTCCTCAGCGGCAACGAGGTCAAGGGAAAATTCTTAAAACCAGTATATACAGTAAACTTCACTCTGCGACCGCCATCCGACTGGTTCGATGAGTTGATAAAAGATGGATGTCGTCGTGATTCTGGTTCTATCGACGAATCAACGGTGATGACAGATAAAACCGGCACGAAGCAATCTGTAGATATCGTCGGCACTGAAGATGGTCCAGATGGAAAAGAGTTGGAGAAGAAAGTCTCCGACAGTGAAGACAATTCTGACCCATTCGTCTTTCCCCTGGGGCCCACGGTTGATGTCGAATCTATGCTAGAAAAACTGAAGGACAAGGTTAGAATCTCCTTTTGGGGTGATGAAATACATGCTAACGTCACCAAGAACGCCGGAAAATGGGATCGAATACAAGCCAAGCGCTTGACAGATATCACTGCCGATCCACCGTTGATGGACATTCACGAGAAGAAAAAGGCGCCTGAATTTTATAAGAAGGTGGAAAGTATGAAGGAAATTATAAAGATGCGACAGCAGGATATGCAGGAGATGGATAGAGAGCGAGAGGAAAGCAAGATTCCTGATATACCGGCTCTGGATCTAGACGAACGGAGACGTGTTGCAAAACGCGTCGTGCGTTGATGGTCTGCCGTATCTCATAAGTCAAGGCTGGAGTTGTGCTCGACAAAAAGCTGGTGTCGGCGCTGCCCATGCTCTCGGTATATTTTTCATCAGTCGTATATATGTCGGTGCGAATCTTGATTCGTACGAGAGTTTCCCTTGGAGTATCGATCCTACCGTGTGCATATCCGAGACGAATGGCTGACCGAGAACTTAATGCGATGCCATTCTCCTATCTGCACATCCAAATGTAGTTACTGTCTCGTTGAGAGATGTCCACTCGTAACGGCGCCATGATATCGCACTAACGAGTCTAGTGAGCTGGTGATGAGTAGCGATACCATGCTATGCAGGACTGATAGCAGGGAGCACTCATTCTGCAAGTCCAACCATACATGGGCTGTAATTCAAAAATAGCATTGATAGAGCTTTGAATAATAGGAGAGACCAGTCCCACGAGGCTGCCCGGAACGCCAAGACGGAATCTTTGATTTCCGTTTCTGCCTGAGGCAGTAATATTCGGCGGCGACAGCTTACCTATATGCTGTGATATGCCGACGAGTACGTGCTGTATCTTGAAATAAAATCACATTCGGGTTTTATGTGCAGTTTTAAATATGGATACACGCAACTCCCAGTATGATAAGGCGTTGTTGTGTGGTGTTATCGTTGAGTGTTTTCCCCGACCGATGCGATTTGTATGTATCCGCGTAGAAGTATTGTAGATTCAAAATTTATATTGAGGACCATGGTCGCCCATGTCTATTCGTGTACTTTCTAATGGTGTAGGCATATTCGTGGTAGTATTCTCTGTGTGCCGGGCAGTTTTTACATTTCCAGCACCATTCTGAGTCGCGCGCTATTGCTGTCTGGTTGATTGAGGTGGGTTTTCAACCGTGAAAGTGATATATATATATTTATATACACCACCAACGCATTTACTCTACGACATGACATTACAACGCCAACAACCGACCCAAACTATACCAAAATACCACACAATACACACGAAATCGATGCGTAGACTACGACTGAACAGGTCCCGAGCAAGAATTAAACCCAAATATATACGAAATCGTGGATATTTTCAACATATACCAGCATCATCCGACCGCGAAATATCAACGGCAACAGCCCAGCATACGAATTGCCTACAATAGTTTCACTAGGCAGACTGATGCTCAATTGAGAGCATAAGTAACTACGTAGTACCGCAGGCATACCTTGAGATACGTACAGATGGGAGAGGCCTGTCAGGATCATAGGGTATGCATTGCCGCTCGCAACAGCAACCAAACGGGGACCAAGTATACATAGGTTCCAAACATCAACAACTACAGCGACACGCCAATAACCACAAAGAGTGAATCCGACCGCACGAAAGCACGACTACGAAGTTCAAGAGCAAGAGCCTTTCAAGTTCATTCATTTCATGTGCGATGACCGAGCAGTCGCAACTCCAGTCCACCTAAGATAAACGGCCGCTATGATACAAAGATATTGAGACCCGTAGGTCACAAGTCGACCAGTGTAGACGAGGTATAATTTAAAAGTAGTAGTAAAAAGAAAATGCAAATCCCAGACCCATAAAGACGTGAAGAAACAGAAACAAAAAGCTATTCAGAGAACACCCTGACGACCGTGTCATACCGAAACCCAACCCAGAATAACGCGTCACCACAGCGGCGAACACACGCGTCGACCGCATAGGCAAGGCGGTGTCAAAACAAGGAAGAAAAAATCGTCTAGCCACCGAAACCATAAAGGGTGCCTGAGAAGAACAACACGTTAGAACGCGTCGAAAAACACGTGTAAAAAGAGAAGTAGACTTACGGCCCTGTCGCTTGAGAGCATAAACAACATCGAGGGATGTGACAGTCTTGCGCTTGGCGTGTTCAGTGTATGTGACAGCATCGCGAATAACGCCTTCGAGGAAGGTCTTCAGGACACCACGAGTCTCCTCGTAAATCATGGCGGAGATACGCTTAACACCACCACGGCGAGCGAGACGACGGATAGCGGGCTTGGTAATACCCTGGATGTTGTCACGCAAGATCTTTCGGTGACGCTTGGCACCACCCTTGCCGAGACCCTTTCCACCTTTGCCACCTGTAGAGAAGTCAGCGATGAACTGAAGATGTTAGTGGAAGAGTCTGAGGTACTCACGTCCAGTCATTCTGATAGATGTATTGAGTGATGAGATAGACAGGTAAGAAGTATTGGATGCGTAACGCGTTGATGAGCGAGTTGGATAAGTAAGACTTGAAGATGGAGACTGGAGATGGAGAGGAGAAAGAAGGAGGAAGAGAGAACGCGGTGGGAGATATTTCTATTGAAAGAGCCGTACGCGGGAAGGTGCCTGGGATCACGCGCTAGTGGGTGATCTGGCCAATCAGGTTGATCTGGAGCGGTTCTCACTGATCTCACGCTGGCACACTGATCTTGCCATTGCCAGCCACGGCAGCGCGGATCAGTAATTTTGGCCGGTGGAATCCGCATTCTGATCCAGCTAATAATCGACTGACAATTTGATTCGATTCAGAAATACCGGTTGTGGTTGGGATCAAACTGGTATTTGCATTCTGTGATCCTGCATTCTGATTGGTGGGTTGGCGGATCAGACTCGCTTACGTACGCTCCCGTGACTAGCGCCCGTCAAGCATTTCTGATTTCCCTAACAAAATTGCGTGTCAGAATCACGCTTATCGCAGGCAGCTTTCCCGCCCAGCTTTTCTGATCCAAATTTGCGACCGCCCACAAGGCAGTCGCCCAGATCACCCACCCGCCCCTCGCCCACTACAAATACTTTTCCCCCGCCCACTTTCTCTTCCTTCTTACAACTCTCTCATCCATCCATCCACTCGATTACTATCCATCCACAACACCATCACTTTTCATCAACAAATTTATCTCATTCATCAAATAAAACACATACACAATGGCTCGTACGAAGCAGACAGCTCGTAAGTCAATTTTTACACCTCACTTTCCCTTTCATCTCGCTGTCTTGTTGTCGCTGGTCACGCGTCTTTGGCGATGCCGACCGTGACGCGATGACTTTCTCACTCAACCTTACATCTCACTAACACTTCTCACTAGGTAAATCCACCGGTGGCAAGGCCCCTCGTAAGCAGCTTGCTTCCAAGGCCGCTCGTAAGGCTGCCCCCTCCACTGGAGGTGTCAAGAAGCCTCACCGTTACAAGCCTGGTATGTCGCGCGTCTTACACTTTTACTTGACCCAACTCATTCTAACAACTCTCAGGTACCGTCGCTCTTCGTGAAATTCGTCGCTACCAGAAATCCACCGAGCTCCTCATTCGCAAGCTGCCTTTCCAGCGTCTTGTTCGTGAAATTGCTCAGGATTTCAAGTCCGACCTCCGCTTCCAATCTTCTGCCATCGGCGCTCTTCAGGAGTCCGTTGAGGCTTACCTTGTCTCCCTTTTCGAAGACACCAACCTTTGCGCTATCCATGCCAAGCGTGTCACCATCCAGTCCAAGGACATCCAGCTTGCCCGTCGTCTCCGTGGCGAGCGCTCATAAATTCCTTTCTTGTTCTTTGACACGATGAGTCGGTCTACCACACGACTTGCGGTTAATTGGGTTGGCGATCACGGGGGCTTTGCTTTTTCTTTTATTACTCTTGTTCATTTTATCATGACTACTGGCGAGAAATGACGGGTTTTTGTTTTGCTTTAACGGGTTAACTGGGTATTCCATTTTGTTTTTCTTTCAGCTGAAATAGCAATGGTCAGAAGGCAGTGGCCGAACCACACCAAAGGTCCAGTCCATCGAATGTATATTATCGAGACCAATCTGATGACAATAGACTTGATGTCTACAAGCATGTCGATACTCTTTCCTTGCTATGATCTTAGGTAGCTCAGCCAGTAATGAACGCGTGTTCAGTATGTTTCTATTCGAGTAGTCTACGCGGTCGCGTTGACGCGATGGTATACGACCCTCTACGATATGACCGTACCTTGTATGTGTAGAGCTGCGGTGTATATACTATCCGACCGATCATCCATGTCTCCGAATAGTTTCTATGTGAGTTCGGTAGTGCTGATGTCGACCGTCCGAAGCCTGTCTGGTGACGGCCGATGACGATCGAACAGTACATCATGCCCACACGAATCGATTTCTAGACGTTGTTATCTCGGAGTATCAAAGAGCCAAAGGCCCTCGTCATCTATATCTGTGTAAGGGGTAGGTGGGTGGCGGTGACCGGGGTTCATTAACCGAATTGTCGGTGTAGATACTGTACTCTGTCCCCTATTCGACTTGATTATTGTGCGCGAGGCGCATTCGTAGTATGGCAGTGATCGAATCGTTCAACTGATTTTGATTTTTGCTTTTCATGCCTTTAGAAAGAGTATGCGTTGCCGTGGTTGGACTGGAGGCTGGCGAAGATTCGGCGACGCGTGGGGGATGGATCTGGGTCCAGCGATATATATTTGCGCCACGATCTCAGGAGCCCAGACCCAAGAGATACCTAGGTAGAAAACAGATCTCTCGAGGACACTGTGAACACTGAAGACGATGCAACTGAAAGGTGAATACTCGATACACACCAGGTTGCAGAGTCCACCTGCGCAACAGAGATAGCATCGCGATTGCCAATCTGAACTGATGGTGCTCCGAACAACATACGACACAGTGAATACGGTGAGAATACCTGGTGAGTCAGGAGACAAGTTTTCCCAGTTGTCTTACTTGCATTAGGTAGACGCTGATCTGCAAAAATGCCACGATTATAGGATTCATCTCGAAGATCCCAGAATCTGAAGTATCAGATCAGATATCAGATCAGATCAGATCGATCTGACAGATGTTGCTGCCTCAAAATTCAGTCATCCACAGGCCCAGCCAGTTACGTGCGTAAGGTTGATGTCATGATTTGCTAACCGGAAGTCGGCACGTGTTTTCGCGGCCTCTCATCCAGAAATAGTTTAGTGTGCTCACGGGACTCCGTGGACTCCGTGTGATTGGCTGGTGCTTACGAATCCCTTCGGCTCTTCATGCTACAAGACGATTGTTGACTCGTCTACGGAGTACAATCTATTCACTTTATCCAAGACAAAGGTGCTAGACTGCCAGCCAGTCAGCCAGCTAGTCAGCCAAAACCAACAGTCCGATGAATCAGCGTTCCATCGTGAATCGTGCATAACTCGCCGGATTCTTCTTAGCCGAGAAAACTACAAAGTGGAGTGACCGCCACGGCCGGTTTCCCAGAAACAGCATAATTCGTCTGGTTTCCACAGGCCAGAGATTGGAAATGGACTAAAATCTCGTACGAAGCAACGCATTTTATGATTGCGGTGGCTCCATATTGTGCAGAATATTAAGGGTGGAAATGGGGAAATAAAAGGGCTCCTGATCTGTGGCGAAAATGTGATTTAAGTACATGGCATGCCCCCTTTAGGTCTGTTAGTTTTTGTTGGTAGAATCATTGCAACTCAATTAGACGACACTTACCCGTCATATATCGCGATTAGTAGTGATATCATCATACATTTGGTTGTATATAATTATTCGTGGTGACTGCCTAGAACGGCAAGCCTACGACTTCCCTTTTTGTTTTTTTTTTTTTGGGCCGAGGGACTCCAGCGCAACGGCAGTAAAAAAAAACAAAAACACGCATAAACACCATGGCGGAAACTGTCACTCCTACACGAATACCCTTCTGGCGCAAAGTCATCGACCAGGCTGGCGTCACCCCCGAAGTCGCCAACTATACTTACCCAGGCTCCGGTACCAAAGAAGACCCTTACATCATCTCATGGATCCCCAACGATCCCCGCGATCCCATGCGATTCTCCAAAACGGCGAAATGGGGAATCACCATGTTGGTAGCCGTCTCAACGCTCGCCGTCGCCCTCGCTTCTTCGGCGTACAGTGGTGGTATTCTACAGACGATGCTGGCCTTTGGTATTAGCCAAGAAGTTGCAACACTCGGTATCTCGCTGTTCGTGCTGGGATTTGCCATTGGACCGTTGGTGTGGGCGCCCATGAGCGAACTGTTCGGTCGACAAATTCTTTTCACCGTCACCTATTGCCTGCTCACTGTGTTCAGTGCTGGCTGCACTGGCTCCAAGAATCCCCAGACCTTGATCATCCTACGTTTCTTCGCCGGTGCTTTCGGTTCCTCCCCGCTCACCAATGCCGGAGGCGTCATTGCCGATATGTTCTCGGCCTCTGAGCGAGGGTTGGCTACGACCTTCTTTGCTGTTGCCCCTTTTTTGGGTCCCGTGCTCGGTCCTATTATTGGGGGTTTCCTGGGAGAGTACGCTGGATGGAAATGGGTGGTGGGCTTCATCGCTATATTCGCTGGCGTGGTCTGGATTATTGGAACTCTCTTGATTCCTGAAACCTATGCTCCTGTCCTGCTTCGCCGGCGCGCCGCCAAGTTGCATAAAATGACCGGGAAGGTATACGTGACGCACATCGACGTGCAACGAGGCCACGTCTCGATTCAGCAGGCTCTCAAGGCTTCTTTGCTGCGACCGTGGATTCTGCTGTTGAGGGAGCCGATTGTCTTGCTTCTTTCGGTCTATATGGCCATCATTTACGGAACCTTGTACATGCTCTTCGGTGCCTTCCCCATCGTCTTTGAAGGAACCCGTCATTGGAGTCAGGGAATCACGGGTCTTTCTTTCCTTGGTGTCATGGTCGGCATGTTATTCGCCGTCATGTATAGTATTTGGGACAACAAGCGTTATCTGAGAGAAGTCGAGAAGCAAGGTGGATTCGCAGCGCCCGAAGCCCGTCTCCCTCCCTGTCTCGTCGGCTGTGTTGCTTTGCCCGTCGGTCTGTTTTGGTTCGCATGGACTAATTATCCATCAATCCACTGGATAGTCTGTATCCTCGCTGGCGTCCCTTTCGGTTTCGGCATGGTTTTGGTTTTCCTCGGCGTCATGAACTACCTGATCGATGCGTACACCATCTTCGCCGCCTCCGTACTCGCCGCAAACTCCGTTCTTCGTTCTCTGTGTGGTGCCGCTTTCCCTCTGTTCACCACTTACATGTACCACAACCTCGGTATCCACTGGGCCTCGAGCGTCCCCGCCTTTTTGGCCCTTGCCTGTGTCCCGTTCCCATTCCTCTTTTACAAGTACGGCGCCCAGATTCGCGAGAAGTGCAAGTACGCCGCCGAATCCATTGCATTTGTTCGCAAAATGTTGCAAGCCGCCGCCGCCCAGGATGAATCAACCGATGGCGAGAAAATCGAAGAGCCCGAGTTTGATCGTACCGAAGCCCCAGCTCCTCACGACGTCAGCTCTGAGTCTGGGGATGAAGAGGCTGAAGAAGAACCCGCTCGTCGTATGTACTCGCGTGCTTCACGTGCTTCTACTCGGACGGCCACCAGCTCTCATCGCAGATTTGAATACGAAGGCAACCCGTACGACATTGATCGCGTCAACACAAGGGACTCGGACTTTAGCATCATTGCGCCTGGGAAGTCTCTCTCTTAGACCGTAGCCTCTTCCTCTCTATTTTCATTTTCTTCTTTTCTTTTTTGAACATACGACCTGTGGGTGATTTTTTTTTGTTAACTTTTTTTTTTTTTTTCAAAAATTCTTTGCAACCTTATAGACCTGTCATTATACCTGCATACGGCTGGAAGCCTGAGGAGTTTTCTGTTTGTTTTGGCGTGATTTTGATATATAGCATACGCCTGGATACGTACATATATCTAGTCCGAATAATCGATAATGTTGATGATCTATCTACTTTCTCTCAGTGTAAACGGCTGTTCGGCACTGATATTTCACGTGATTCCTGATTGATAATCTGATCTAGATCAGCCCGGCCAACCACAGATCTCCGATGTAAAAATATCATCTCCGACGGAGTTAAGATTCTGTTCTGGTCGGTTCTGTTTGTTGTACAGAGTATCCCGTCGTGCTTTTCCTCTGTCTACACTTCTTCTTCATTTTTATCTTGCGTGCTGGCGGGCTGTTAATCTGTTTGGTTTTCGGTTTATGTGGGAATAAATTCCGGCGCCACTATTTTATTTGTTGCCTTGGGTCCAGCCTCTGCGATTCTCACCGATCCGTATAGTTTCTCAGCTACGATCTCTACAGATTGAAAATTCGCCAACGGTACGATACACATAGAACTACATACAGACCTGTCGCAATGCGCCGAGTTGTATCAGACCTGCTCATATCAGCGGGGCGCCGACCCAGCAACAATTTGTCATCACTGCGAAATCGAAGAACGAACGGTAGTAATCCCTCACAACAACGACGGCACAATTCGAATAAGTCTATCGATGGGCCTGACTCCATACCCACGAAAGGATCGTCTGGATCAACGACGTCGTCCACCGTCTCTCCACCTCCGACCTCAGCGACGTCGGCTACTTCACCACCATTATCAGTATCCCGAAGTCGCCGCAGTGCATGGGAACTCATAAAATCAGGTCCCATCGGTCGGTTCGGTGATTGGTACACAAATACGCAGCACAAGAGGCCGTACGTTACGCAATTGGCGAGTTCGTTGATCATTTATCTGGCCGGGGATTTGAGTGCGCAGTTACTGTTTCCATCAGAAATGAAAACGACGGAATCCGTTGATGGAGGGGAACGGGAAACGGTCGCGACGGCGGGATATGATCCGTTGCGCACGTTGAGGCATTTGACTGTTGGTCTTGTGTCGAGTATTCCTTCGTATAAATGGTGACCCTTCACTCCCTTGCAAGGTCTATGACTCTCTTACTGACAGGGAATAGGTTCATGTTCCTCCACCACAACTTCAACTACACCTCCAAATTCCGCTCCATCTTCACCAAAGTCGCCGTTCAACAAGCTGTCTTCACTCCAGTTTTCAACACGTACTTCTTCAGCATGCAATCCTTACTAGCGGGCGCAACAATCGAAGAAACATGGGAACGACTCAAACTTGCTGTTCCCAACAGTATTAAGAATAGTGTGAAGCTGTGGCCGGCTGTGACTGCGTTTAGTTTTATGTATATCCCCCCGCATTTTAGGTCGGTGTTTGGGGGTATGATTGCGGTAGGGTGGCAGACGTATCTTTCTTGGTTGAATCAGAAGGCTGCGCGTGAGGTTGCGGCTGCTGAGGCTGCTGCTTCTTCTGGTGTTGAGATCTCTGCTGTGAGAACTGCGGACGATCGAATTTCGCAAGCGGCTTGAGTTTTTTTCCTTTGGTTTTGTGATACCCTTGATTTTTCATTCCTCCTTTTCCTTGCTTGGTTTTGCATGATAGATTGCACTGGCTTAGATTTATAGACGATATATAGTTCCGTAGAACATAGATCAACATCAAAAAATGATTGGTAAATATTTCCCAATCCGTCCAACGCGGGTCACGCGTCATCCGAACATCAGAATCCTCAAAGCATGTCTTGCATCTTCTGCCGCGGCCATAGCAAGCAATGTCCTGCCCTGCTAAACAAATCGATATGCGATCGAACAATATCGACGACAACAGCAGCGACTACGGCTGCGAATTCACCCCAGACGAAGAAGAGCTGTTGAACGATCTACTCGCACGCGTCGCCGCCCCAGCTATCCTTACCACTAATCCTCCAACCACCACCACCGAAGAAACCCCATCCGAAATCCCTCAAGAATTTATCAAAGAAGTCCTAGATGATTTACAACCTCTATCCGACCCGCTAATCGTCTCCGACATCGAGGATTATGAAGTTCCTCATGCCGCCCGGTTCCCTAGGGTACTGGGTCGGGAAGCATGGAGTCCTGCGCGGAAATGGGGTTGGCAACAGAAGCAGAATAGTACTACAATTGCGCGGAAGTTATGGTCTTCGAGGGCAGTCGACGTCCACGCGGAGGTCGTTGGTATGTCTTTTTCTGTCTTTTTCTGCCGTCTTTGGTTTTCTTGCGATTTGGTGAAGAGCTGACGTCCTGACGATGTAGCGGTTGGTAGAACGCGAGGGATCTCCTGAAGGGAGAGAACGGGATCGAGAACGGCAGCGAAATAGGGAGAAGGAATGGACAGCAGTAGAGAACCAAGAACGATCTGACTCGCAGACGGAGTCTACGTCGAATAATAATAATAATAACGACGAGGATAATGCAGTGGCAAACCACCAAGAACAATCACCTATACAACGATTCCGAAAACCGCCCAACAAAGCGTTTTCAGTATCCGATTTGATTTCCCCAGCTTGGTGCGAGTTGCAATATTGGTATACACTGACGAAACATGGCCGAAAACGAAGGACACCGGCTATGATGCAAGGTAGCGCGGTACACAAAGTCCTCGAAGATGAAGTCCATACCACCGTACCCGTAGATATAACTACAAAGGAAGATGGATGGGCATTGAGGATATGGAATGTAGTTCAGGGACTTAGAACACTTCGACAATACGGATTGACGCGTGAGCTTGAGGTTTGGGGTCTTGTGGAAGGTGAAATTGTCACTGGTATTATCGATCAGCTTTCATACGTCTGTCCAGACCCGAAGCTTGAAGCGAGTGCTGCGCAGCACTATACGGAGATGGAAGCCGCTCGGGCTGCGTTGCCGGAGTATCAGATGTCGATATCGGATTATTTCATAACCTCGGGGGCGGGAAAGCCGTTGGATGAGATGTGGAAACAACAACCTGAAGAACCTGTGACGAACAAAGATGTGGACGATGATTATGGGACGGATCTCGATCAGTCGTATCTCGATGTTCCGAGGATATATATTACAGATATCAAAACTCGTGCTAGTCGTTCTGTACCGACGGTTAAGAGTACAGGGTTTCGTCCGACGCATTTACAGTTGCAGCTATACTACCATATGCTCAATCGATCCGTGACCAGTGATGATGTTACAATGGAAATGATTGCCAAACGCTATGATCTGGACCCCGAGCGTACATTCTCCGACGCATTCATTGCGGAAGTTGGGGGCTTGAATGAAGAGTACTACGATGCTTCATCGACCCTGAGCTCGGATCCTGACTATATCCCTGGAGGGAGTAGTCAAGACTCTGTCAGTATATTGCTTTCGCATAATAATTTGCACAGTCTTTGGGACTTGATGAAGAAACATCTTCGGTATACGTTTCTGCCTACCTTGCACAATCAAAACATCGCTCCATCCATCCCCGCTGCGACCCAGCCTGCATCGTTGGCGTTATATCCGACTGTGTTATCTCCAGTATTAACTGCGAAATACCTGTCGTCCACAAAGGCATCGGAAGACGGTGTCCCCGATGAACTGGGCAGTCGGTCATTCCTGTTTGATCCTTCAGATCTGACGTCTTATACTTCCGACCAATTGAGTTGGTGGCGAGGCGAGCGAGCGCCGCGAGGAGTCGAAGTGTTTGATGCGTGGAAGTGTCGGATATGTGATTTTCGGGAGGAGTGCGATTGGCGGATATCGAAGGAGTATGAGTTTGCTACGAGGCGGAGGAGATTGTCCAAGACTGCGATGGAGATGCTCGGGCAGGTTTAATGCACTAGTCGTCATACAGTTGTCTAATTTGGCATATGTATTTGGTCTGGGATTGCTATTTATGATTGATACGGTATGTACATAGTCTCATATCATGCCCGCAAGCATGCATGGCTGGAGTTCATGGTATTCATAACTGGAATGGAGAACATCTCAAAACGATTATCAAAACGGATAAGCACGAACTTCATCCTCCTTTTCAAGATCCAAACCATTCGTTAGCTGTTCCTCATGCTTCTTATCAAGAAACTCCAACAAAACCTCCGCATACTTCTCCTTACCCTTATATATCGACACATCATCCCCCCACGACCGTATCGCCGACGCCAATCTCCCCGCCACATACGGCTCCTTTACAATCTCAGTAATAGGCTCAAAATACGTCCTGATTGTAAACACCACCGCTCCAGATCGCGGCAACCGTCGTAACGACTGCCTCTCCGACCTGAAATAATGATGCTCAATGGCGCGATTCTTTTGCGCCGTATTCCACGAAATTCCGGGCTCATCTTCTGACCCAATACTGGGCGACCACGCTAACTGGTCGTCAACTTGCAAGAAATAATTATTTCGCAACACCGCATCTTCAGGTTTCAGTCGTCGGAAGAAATTCATCATCCCCTTTTCTAGCTTCTCGCGGTATTGTGGCACGTCGCCGGAGGTATGGATTTCGCTGAGTGGCATGCCGAATTTGTCCTCTAGACGCCAGAATCCGGCTAGTAGGATTGCCCCCGCGAGGAGGTAGTATTGTCCGTCTGGCTTTTCTATCATGAGGGCTAGATCGTCTTGTACTAGGCGCGCGCAGGTGGCCATGGGATCTTCGGGTAAGGGCCGTTGGAGGATGTTGAATGTTTCGCCCGTGAGGAGGTTGTCGATTCCCACGCCGGTTTTGCGGTAGAGGCTTGGGTAGCGAGCTGGGAGGTATGATGCTCTTTATATCATTGTTAGTATGTGATATTCGTCTTGGGAGGGTGATGACGTACAGTTCTTCGAGGAGTTCGATTGCAGCGTCCATGGCTTCAGGGGCTGTGCGGCAGCATTTTGAACCTCGTTCTTTGATTCGACGGGCTTTGTCGGCGTGGTAGCGAGGGTAGTGGTTATCCAATTCTTCCCCTAGTCAGACTTTCCCTCGTTTAGATGCTAGGAATGACTTACCGATCCATTCATCCCATTTCATGTTCCTCAATCCCATGGTGACAAAGTACTTCCTATTCACTAGTCAGTGACATCCACCACATGGAAGCGTGGAGAATACATACGGTCCATATCGGAAAGGACGATACGGCAACGGCCTGGTCGTTTTTACGTCCCAATCCGGGTACGGTGCTGGATCAGGTCTTTTGAATGAAGACGGTGTCCATTCTAACTCTATCAGCCGCCATCCATTCTGTTCTAAGGGAAGGGGCTGTAAGACGCACCACCGAATTTCCTCGTCACACGTCTAGTCTTCTCAACATCAGGTGTTGACGGCCTCGTTGCCGTTGCTCCTGTCTTTATGTATCGAGATCGTAGAGTCTGTAGAGATATATATACAACCCAAATCACTGAAGCAATGATCGTAATGCTGAGGACAGTATCATGTATTTGCCCTCGGTTTTGGTAGAGAAATTGTTGGACTTGAGTACTTGTTGTACTGATATATTGGGACATTTTGTCGGTTTCCATTCCCTTCACTAGCGTTGGTTCAGTGTAGACAAGCAATTCATGCAAAAGAGCGGAATACTGTACTACTAGTAGTATACATAGAAAGAAGAATCACATCGTACAATACTCGATTCTAAAAGATTGAATTATGATATCTACAACTGATGGCTATGATTCAATCTCAGATCCATAGATAAGAACTACCCAAAACGGCTGCATAGACCGTTATCAAGTTCACAACAGTGAGGGGTTAGAGCTTGAATCAGCAGCTTATCTCGTCTATTACAACTAACATATATTCAATGTACCTTGAATAGTGCAGGGTAATCTTGACTGGGGTAGGTAAATCCGACTCCAACGAGAGAATTGGTGGGGGGATTTTTTTACTGTTTTAGGAAGTTATTTGGTCATTAGGGTCTTGCAGACGAACGAGATGAACGCTTTGCGTTGATTTACTGGATACGTTATTGATATTGATAGAATTCTTGTTAGTATTGATTCGATTGCACTTCAATGATGTTGTTTTAATGGGTTTACTTGTATGTTCAATGGGTAAGTGCGTCGAGCAACCTTATCACTGAATAGTGTCATTAGTGCTGGTTGAAGTAGATCGGATCATCATAACCACTTTTGAGCGGTCTATTCGGATGGGCTGTACACACACTTATATACATACAAGAAGAGATGCTGTGAATACCCAATCCTCATGGATGACATCACACAGAATTGAGGAAGCATATCCACCATCTCTAATATTCTCAAGACGGATTCTGTCTCCGTCGCAAGAGGCAATAATCTCCCCATTGTCGCTTGAATCGACGAGGAACAAACGGCAGATTCGGAACCCATAGTACTCGACCAAAAGTCGGAGTTTCTGATGCATCTAGGAATTGATGGCATGCCAGTATCTCCCATTCCTTAGTGTTGTGTATATAGTCTGGTTCTAGGCTCGTTGATGGCCTACTGGGGAAGTACGAATCAACTAGGAACATGCATTGGGAGATGTCGATCTGTTTCGGAGTTGGTCAGTCGATATGTCACGAAATATATAATAGAATGACTTACGTATTTTGACGGATCCTCTTCATTTCGATCGTTCATACCCGTAGGATTTGCAGATATACCAGCGAGCAGTGTCTGCACGCCGCTAGCGTCAGGAAACTCTCCAGGCAACAAACCCGAGAATTCACTTTTCACAAACTTGGCTCGCATGGAATGAGGCAGGAAGAATGAAGAAGGAAACCTGTACCACTCCTTTCCCAAGCAAAGAAAGTCACCCTCTTGCGCAAGGCCTGGTGTGTCCAACGAATCATAGACTTTCAGGGGCGCACCATAAGCAGTTACCATGCCCACAGATCTCAAAAGTCCCGCGTTGATGGATAACAACATGAAGGCTGCAACAGCGATAAATTTGACCTTACCTGGGATCAAACCCATTAAAGTACCGGGTTTGTTTGTTCCAATATATGCCAGAATCAAGTGAAGCGCAAGTGCTGCATTGAGAGCAAGGAAGGGATATGCGGGATACATAAACCTCTCTTCCTTGTGAGGTTGGACGGTGAAAATGGTTTGCCAGAGGTAGAAAGGAGACACAAATGCGAGGGATCGTAGAAGTGTTTGACTGGAAGAAAAAGCTTTCCTACCAAACAAGGATTGTAAGACGAATAACGGAGCGATTGAAGCCGCCAGAATAAACCAAATGTTGAAGTTTAAGAGTAAATTCCGAATGTAAAATGTCCACGGCTCAGTGCCAAAGATGTTCGGGCCTCTTCCCTCGCCTCCGAATATATTGTATGCAACGATATTCCAAGGAACTATTGCGAATTTTTCGAAGAAAAGGGAGTCGACTCCGATTTCCAGTCCCTATTATTGTTAGCAAGTCATCATTATCATCGGTCAGAGCCATACAAGGATCACAATGCACCTAATGCCTCCCTTTACAATCTGTCTGAACGTATGTCCAAAGTGACCCGAAAACATAGATGTGAAGACCTCCTCGGCTAGCAAAGGAAGAAGCAGTGCACCAGAGAAGGGCCAGCCAATGATAGCACCTGTCCCAAACCACATAATGCCCTCAGCGATCTTGTTCTTGCCTCTCCGATCCAAAAATGCCGCCAGTCCTAGCATCGATGTATACATTGTAAATGTGGACGGCAAAAATGCCGTAGACGCATGAAAGAAACCGGGACTGAAAACGGTGATAATCAAGAAAAGTAGACCGATTCTTCGATTGAGTGTTCGTGATATAGCGGAATAGAGACGGGTTTCGCAAGCTGCGCAGATGAACGCAAGAACGGCTCTGATTACATAAAATTGAGTTCTCTTGTGCGGACTATAGATCCTAGTTATCATTCCAATTACAGCATGGAGGCTGACGTATAGCCAGCTTCGGATGGAGTATTCGGGCGAATATTCCCATGTCTGCAGTCCGTAACCATGGTCAAGGTAGTGTGTTGGCTCCCAGTAGTTGAAGATCTCATCGCAATCTTGAATTGGAGCATAGGCAGCTGCAAGTGCATTGGAAGCGAGAAAAGTGTAAAATGCAACGTTCAATGGAAGATAGAATGGCGAGGGCGTTCTTCAGACACGTATCCTTAGTAAATATCTGCGGAGTTTCGATGCATTGGACCAGGCGCATACCTCTTTCGACTCCCAGACTCACTGTGCGAGTCGCTAGAATGTTCATCTTCAGAGGACGACATTGCAGCCAATTGATCTCTAGAGAATGTGTCGTTTTGTCCTGAGTTGAACGAGACGTCACGGAAGGGAAAATATACGGTTCTTATCGATAAGCTTGTGCGGGTCATCAGCCAATCAGGAAGCTTAGCTAGTTTTGAGAAAAGTCTCCGCCACATCTTTTATCTTTTGTTTCAACTTTTTTTCATCGAATCTCTCTGTCTGCTATCTTTGTCGGCTGCGACGATAATTTTTTAATTTTTCTGACAGGGAAAGATGGAGGATCAGCCGGATATCCAGATGCAACTTGGAGAAGGGCAAATACAGCCTAAGACAGAACAACCAGAAATTTCAGTCCTATCGACAACACCGCTAGAACCCAGTAGCGATTTTTACAATACTCCCTTAACTGGCCAGACTCCTGTCTATCCTGCGAATAACACGACCTCGAATTCTGACGAAGCCACAATCGAGTCCGAAACTAAGCCTGCACCTCCGACGGACGGCCAAAATACGGAAAATACTCAACAGAATGGTGATCTTGCGAACAAAGTAGCCAGCACTGCTGAACAAAATCTTGGTGCGCATCAAAATGAAGAGGTACCGACGACAGACGCTATGGAGACCGATCAACCCGCAGCGGACCAGCCTACTACAACCGAAGAAGAACATCCGGAGTGGGAGATTGACTCCTCACCGTACGAATCATCATCAGATAGCTCTACAGATTCCTCCGACGACAGTGATGAAGACGAAGAGGACTATCCCATTTTATCAGCTGAGGAAACAGCTCGGATACTTATGCAGGCAGAAGGCGGCTCAGATGATGAAGGTGACAACAAGGCCGGTGGTGGATCTCAGTTGCGAACGGCCAACGAACAAATCGAGGAAGCGCCTCCGATCCCCGATATAAAGGTGACCGAGGATATGAAGATTGTACCGCTCGGTCATCTCGAAAGCCATGTGGAAAATCTTATACTTATTAAAGCCACCGTGTCTGGGGACTATCAAGTTCTCGAAAGCAACTCCCTCCTCTGTCTTGAGGATAGGACTGTTATTGGTGTGGTTGCAGATACATTGGGAAGAGTCGAGGAACCTCTTTATACAGTTAGATACCAAGACCCGACGAAGATTCAGGAGCTTGGCCTTGAGAAGGGAAAACAGATTTTTTACGTCGAGAGCCATTCCGAATTTGTCTTCACACAACCCCTCAAGGGAATGAAAGGTAGCGATGCTTCCAACTTTCACGATGAAGAGGTTGGAGAAGATGAGATTGAATTCTCGGACGACGAAGCGGAAGCGGAATACAAGCGAAGGCTGAAACAGAAGAAGAAGGAAAGGAAAGATGGCGGGAAACCGAGAAACGCTCCAGGACCCTCGCCGCTTAGTAGAGGTGAATTGAACTACGACGATGATGGAGATAGAGCAACTGAGGATGGCTATACTCCTTTGGCTCGTCCTAAGAATTACCACGAGATAATGAACCATCCAGAAGCTCATACGGAGTCATCGTCTTCATACCAGAATAACAGAGGCAACTTCCGAGGCAGAGGGCGTGGCCGAGGAGGCTTCGACAGAGGCTCCGGACGTGGTAGAGGCAACGATAGACGCGGACGAGGCAACCATCACAATAACTATTCGCAAGATAATAGCCATCGTGCAGACTACTCTCGCGAGAATTCTGCTACACCTCAATACCAGAATTATTCTGCACCCCCAGCAGCTTTACCTTCAGTGGCATTCCCAGCTCAACAATACAGTCAATATCCATCTTTCCCACAACCTCCTCAACAACCTCAGTTCCCACAATTCGGACAAGCACAAACAGCAGGATTGCCACAGTTCCCGTTCCGGCTGCCATTTCAGCAGACTCCGTACCAGCAGAACACGTATCAGCAAAATCCTTATCAAAGCGTACCGGCTGGTGCTCATATAAACCCAGCATTCTTCGCTGCGCTGCAACAACAGTTACAACAACAACAACAGCAACAACAGCAGCAGCCGCAACAGCCTGTTGCTCCTCCTGTACCACAGAATCAATCGGCATTCAGTCAAGTACAAGAGCAATTGGATATCTTACGGCAGTTGGCGGCTTCTAGAAATGCTAATCCGCCCCAATAGGAAAAGTTTTGTTTGCTTTCTTTATACCCTTGGTATGATCTCTTAAAAGCATTTGGTTAGGAGTTCTTGTTTATTTCGTGGCATGAATAGATTTTCTACTTTTGCTGAATTACAATTCGGTTCGTGATATTTTGTAGGCTTCTTACAAATTTGTATGTTTAACTAGGTGATTAATTGTGCCATTGTAGTAGCAATATAAGTTGACAATAGGTAGTCAGGACATGATACACATGGAATGACAGGTTGCGCGTAGGTAGCCGAAATGCAAGTGTTAAAAAATTTGAATGACATGGCTATCGTGATTAGAAAGCAGCTGGCTTATACGTCTTCGCCAATACCCAAAAATTCTCCATCTTAGCCCGAGCCAAAGTATCCTTCGCAGCGCTATCAGTTTCACAAACTCGTGCGCCTAGCCACTTCCTGAACGCTCTCGTTTTCTGCTGTCCTTCCCATAGAAGTGTACAGGTGTTAGACCCAAGGTCACGCAGTTCACCCTTCTCATCCTCGGGATTTAGCCATGATGCCGATGACTCACGGTTTCCTCCCTCGCGCTGTGGACCGGGACCAGAATTTTCAGTCCAGTCGATACGGTTAAGCATCAACTTTTTGTATTGGTTTATCGAATGAGCACCACCTTCTACAATGAGCAAGTTGAGCTTTGGGTGCATTACGCAAACACCCGTGAGTGCCATTTGCTCAGCGTTCTTGCTGATCTTGAAGCGATGCCGTCCATTGGCAAGACAGTCAATCTTGAATACACACACATGAATGCCCTTCTCAGCATCCTTTTCCTGCTGAGCAGCAAGTTTCTCTTTTCGCTGCTCCTTTGTCAATTTGCGTTCTTCGTTAGCTGATTCGTGTTTTTGCCGACGCTCTGCAATTTCGCGATTAACGCGAGCCTCTACAGCCGTGGGATCCTTCACGGCTTCCTCTCCGAGGACTCGCATTAGGTTAGACTTCTTAACCTTTGGTGGTGGAGCAGGTTCGAGACCTAATCTAATCTTTGCTTGCTGTTCCTTAAGATCCGCCATACGACGCTGTCGGCGCAGTTTCGCTTGTTCTTTTGCTGTCAAATACATAGGTTTCTGTTGCGGAATTAACTTCTCCTGGGGAGGATCCAGCAAAACAGGATGCTGAATGTAGATTGTAACAAGCGAGTCATCAGTGTCGACTTTTATATTCTTAGGATCATCGATTGCAGAATAGTCGCTTCCGTTGACCAATCCTTCGTCCCACCACTCTAAAGCTGGAGGTGCAGGAACTTCAAAGGCTTTTTCAAGGCTTAACTCTTCATCTACACCGGCTTGGCGCGCCATGCTCGCGATTCGCTTTTTCATTTCCTCCATCTGCGCCTGACGCCGTAGAGCTGCAGCTTGTGCGATGTATTTTCCTTTCTGATTGAACACGAGCTGCTTGGACAGACGAGGTTTCGATGTAGCGTGAAGACTGTCATCATAATAAGGGTTTTGTTTAATTTCCTCTAATGAAGGTCCGCTTAGATCCAATCCTGGCTTCTTCGAGACGGGAGTCGTTGAGCGGCGATTTGCCATGGTCGTAGCGAATTTCGGCTGAGCCGCGCCACGGCCTTTTGTTCCTCGCTGGTCTTGAATCGTATCGGCCAAAAGCGCAGGATGAAGACCGACTCCCAGGCCACCTCGTGCCTTCGATAAATCATCATCGTCATAGCGATTGGGTGGTTCGATGGACGTGGGAGCCACTGGTGACGGGGTAAATGATGGTCTCTGTTGAGTTGTAGCAGCACCAACCTTCCCTGTGGCTGCAGCGACCCTTGCTCTCATCTGTTCGATACGAGACATCGCCGTTCCGGTAGAGGTGGCAGGAGGTGCCGGGCTCGGTGAAGCTGATGCGGAATCACCACGAGCCATATTTATCCTGGCTCTGACTGCTTCAGCCTTAGCTCTGGCTTCGGCGAGCATGCGATCGATGTCGACTTGGCCATTTGGCGCGGAGCCATTATTACTAGGCATAGGAGGGCCATTATTGGATCGCGTTCTCTTCTGTGCGTTCAGTTCTTCATCCCCCGGGTGACGCCTCTTCAGCGACACATCAGCCATGGTGGAGATGCAAGATACAACTCACCCGCTACAGTCGACTGTAATGTCGAAAGAATGAGAGAAATACTCGACTGATGGCCCCGTTGATTGAAGGGTCAGGATACTGATGGGGTTGTTTGGCTCATGTAAGTGACATAATGGATGAGACCCAAGTGATTGCTCTTAAAGGCGCTAATTCTGTGCCGTTAGGTAGCCGCCCGGTTATTGGTGCACTCGGAAGGCGGTGAAGACTAGCAATAAATTTTCCCCAAAAAAGTTTCTCTTAGCTTCGCCCGCAAAAGATTTGAAGCATTAGCAGAAAAATTGCGAGGCCTTGCAAAACGCATTTTCTGTTGTCCGAAGCATGGATGTTGAGCTCTGATCGAGCGCATCAAAAATGTCTTCTTTCGCCCGTCCTGTCGCAAGTGAGCTTGCGGCAGTTGACTTTTCAGTCTACTCGTCTGAAGATATCAAAAAAATATCGGTCAAGCGCATTTTCAACACCCCGTCTTTGGACTCGCTTCACAACCCTATACCTAACTCGCTTTATGATCCGGCTTTGGGTGCTTGGGGAGACCATGTGTAAGTGTTGTTATTATTTCCATATTCAATAATTCCATACCGAATGGAGCTGATCCATTCGTCTCTAGCTGTACCACTTGCCGTGCGAGCTCTTGGTCGTGTCCAGGTCATCCTGGTCACATAGAGCTACCTGTTCCCATCTGGAATGTGACATTTTTCGACCAGATGTATCGTTTACTTCGAGCAAAATGCGACTTTTGTCACCGCCTGCGAATCGCTCGAGTTGAAATCAATGCTTACGCCTGCAAATTGCGACTCCTTCAATATGGATTGGTCGATCAGACTGCTGAGATTGATAAAATTGGCGAATACGGACAGGATGCCGCTGTCGACGCGGACGAAAACGGAAACGTCGACCCTCAGACAAAGATGGAGCTACGGAACAAGTTTGTCAGGAAGTGCATCCGCGAGGCTCAGAAGCAAGGCGACAGCGGCGCTTTTTTTGGAGGGGCAAAGAATCCTGTTGCGGCCGAGCAACGAAGGGAATTGATCAAGGAATTTTTCAAGGAGCTCGCTAAAGGCAAAATATGCAAATCTTGTCACTAGTAAGGATCCTCTCACGATTATATGATCCGCTGGGTTTCTGATCATTTCACAGTGTCTCTCCAGGTTACCGAAAAGATAGGTACGCCAAAATCTTTCGCAAAGCTATGTCTACTAAGGACAAAGTCGCAATGACAATGGCCGGAATGACAGCTCCTAATCCTGTTATCGTCCTTGAAGAAGAGAAGAAACTTCTCAATAAACCCAAAGAGCAAGATAAACAGAACGGCACTGCAATCAGAGAAGTTACTGAGCTCCATGGAGCAGAAGAGGAAGTCGTCCGAGCGAACGCTGCAATTAGTCAAGGCTCAATAGCTGGTGGTCAAGAAGGTGGCCAACAGTTTGTCTCGTCACCTGAAGTCTATGCCGCTATCTGCCTACTATTTGAGAAAGAGAAGGAGATTTTAAATCTGGTATATAGTTCACGGCTTGGATTTAAGATCTCCCCGGATATGTTGTTCGTGCGAAACATTCTTGTTCCACCCAACCGTTTCCGCCCGCCAGCACAACAGGGAGGTCAAATTATGGAGGCCCAACAGAACACACCCTTTACCCAGATCTTGAAGACATGCGACTTGATAAACATGATCAGCCACTCAAGACAAACTGCGGAAACGGAAGGTACCAGAATGCGAGAATATCGCGATCTGCTTCAAGCAATCGTTACTCTTCAAGAGCAGGTCAATACCCTTATTGACAGTGATCGCGGCCCTGGTGGCATGGCTGCTGCGCGACAGGCCAACGGTGTCAAACAACTCTTGGAAAAGAAAGAAGGTCTTTTCAGAAAGAACATGATGGGAAAGCGTGTCAATTATGCTGCCCGAAGTGTCATTTCGCCTGATCCCAGTTTGGAAACCCATGAAGTCGGTGTTCCTATGGTGTTTGCTAAGAAACTGACTTTCCCTGAGCCCGTCACATCTTTCAACTTCCACGAATTGAGAGAGGCTGTCATCAATGGACCAGACAAATACCCTGGAGCATCGGCGATCGAGAATGAGTCAGGTCAGGTTGTGAACCTCAAGTTCAAGACTCTGGATGAGCGTACTGCTCTGGCAAATCAACTTCTTGCTCCGTCACATGCAAAGATGAAGGGTAATCGCAACAAGAAAGTATACCGACATTTAACCACTGGTGACTACGTTATCATGAATCGTCAACCGACTCTTCACAAACCTTCTATGATGGGCCACCGTGCGAGGGTCTTACCAAATGAGAGAGTTCTTCGATTACCATACCCCAATACAAACTCATATAACGCCGATTATGATGGTGACGAAATGAACATGCATTTCCCCCAAAATACGATAGCTCGGGCCGAGCTTTCTATGATTACGGATGCTGATCGTCAATACATATCTTCCACCGATGGAAAACCTCTTCGAGGTTTAATTCAAGATCATATTACAGTATCTACCTTCTTGACAAGCCGAGATACGTTTTTCGAAGAAGACGAGTACCAGCAACTTCTGTATAGTTGTTTGCGACCAGAAAATGCCAACACTGTTACTGACCGAATTCAGCTGGTTGAGCCTGCCTTTATCCGCCCTCGGCGTCTTTGGACTGGCAAACAAGTCATATCAACCGTTCTGAAGAATATCATGCCACCGAACAGGAGGGGTCTCAACCTTCAAGGCAAGTCATCCACTCCTGGAGAGAGATGGGGTAAAGACAATGAAGAAGATAGCGTCATTTTCAAGGATGGCGAGCTTCTTTGCGGTATTCTTGATAAGAAGCAGATTGGTGCTTCAGGAGGTGGTTTCATTGACGCCATCCACGAGATTTACGGCAACGCAATCGCAGGAAGCTTATTGAGTATTCTGGGACGACTTCTTACCCGCTTCCTGAATATGCGAGCATTCAGTTGTGGTATTGAGGATCTTCGATTAACTCCAGAAGGAGATCGCAAACGTGTTGATATTCTTGAGAAGGCTGCCACCCTCGGACGAAACGTTTCATTGAAATACGTCACGCTTGATCAGAACCCCGCTGCCGATCAGGATGCTGAACTCAGGCGTCGTCTTGAAGACGTCTTACGTGATGACCAGAAACAGTCGGGCTTGGACAGCGTCTACAACTCACAGACAAGAAAGCTTACCTCGGATATCGCAGCTAGCTGTCTTCCACATGGCCTTATCAAACAGTTCCCTTGGAATCAGATGCAACTGATGACTACAACCGGTGCCAAAGGTTCAAGCGTTAACGCTAATTTGATTTCGTGTAATCTTGGACAACAGGTTTTGGAAGGTCGCCGTGTCCCAGTCATGGTCAGCGGAAAGACGTTACCATCTTACCGGGCTTTTGAAACTCACCCGCAAGCCGGCGGGTACGTCTGCGGTCGTTTCTTGACTGGTATCAAACCACAGGAGTACTATTTTCACACCATGGCTGGTCGTGAGGGCCTTATTGATACCGCTGTCAAGACTGCGAAGTCAGGTTACTTGCAGCGGTGTTTGATCAAGGGTATGGAAGCCGTAAAAGTTGAATATGACTCTTCTGTGCGAGATACCGCAAATGGAGGATCTGTCATCCAGTTTATCTATGGTGAAGACGGGTTGGACGTCGGCAAGCAAGTTCATCTACAGAATTTCAGTTTTTTGGCGAACAATTACGTCTCAACAATGGCTCAACTGAATATGACCCAGGACTTCCATGCTCTAGAGAAGCCGGAAGTCTTGCAGTGGCATAAGGATGCCATGAAGCAGGTTAGGAAGACTGGCCGGTTAGATGCCAAAGATCCGACTTTAGCGGTGTATCAACCTGGTGGACACTATGGTAGCGTTTCCGAGGCTTTCTCCTTGGCTTTGAAGAAGGTAAGATCAATCATTATGTTTTTATAGACGAACAGTGAGCTAAAAGTCACCTTACAGTACGAGGAGAGAAACCCGGACAAACTTCTCAAAGACAAGAAAGCAGGCATTACTGGTGCACTAAGCAAGAAAGCTTTCGAAAGTGTTATGCATATGAAATACTTGAACAGCGTCATCGATCCTGGTGATGCTGTCGGTATCGTTGCTGGCCAGTCTATCGGTTCACAGACCACTCAGATGACACTCAACACGTAGGTACCTACATAGCTGCCTGCTTTACTTGTGCTAATTCCGTTTTAGGTTCCATTTGGCAGGTCACAGTGCCCGAAACGTTACTCTCGGTGTTCCTCGACTTCGAGAAATTGTGATGACAGCAAGTAAAAAGCCGATGACTCCCACCATGACTGTAGAAGTCATTGAAGAGTTGAGCGAGAAAGCTGGGCAGTCCTTCGCAAAGGGTATTAGCAGACTTAGCATTGCAGAGGTTATCGATACTCTACAAGTGAGAGAGAGCACGACATCTGGCAAGGGTGTGAAGGCCAAGATTTACGACATCGACATGAAATTCTTTGACGCAAAGGAGTACTTTGAAGAATATGCCATCACGAAGCGTGACCTTGTACGAGCACTCCAAGATGAATTCATTCCTAAATTCATCAAGAAGATCAGAGCTGAACTCAAGAAACGCGAAGACGAGAAGGATCTCAAGGGAGTATCAGCTGCTCAACCTGAAATCGGTGTCTCTATCGGCACAACTGAATATTTCGATGGCGCTGTTCGGGAAACGCAAGCAGGAGGTGCGGATAATGATGACGATGCAGTAGACGAGGACAACGAGGACGATGAAGAAGACGCAAAACGTGCCCAGAGCAAACAGAACCGTGACAACCAGGTCAGCTACGAAGCACCAGACGATGACGAAGATAGGATCAGAAGAGAACAAGATGAGTCCGACATGGAAGACGACGATGAGGACAATGGAAGTAAACTGAGACAGGAGAAGATATCGGACGATGGAGAATCTGATTCGTCTGACGAATCCAATGATGAGGATGGATCGGCAGATCAAGCGAGACTAGACCGACAGGATGCAAGGATGCGTGCTGAAGAGATCACGGGAAAATTCGACGAGATCAGTGTCTTCAAATTTAACTCCAAGGACGGGAATTCCTGCTTCATTCGCTTGGAGTACTCTGTTGATACCCCCAAACTCTTGGTTCTTCCTCTTGTCGAAGACGCTGCTCGCCGTGCTGTAATCCAGGCCGTTCAGGACCTTGGTTCATGCCTTTACACCCCACCTGATAAAGAGAAGAACGAACCCGCCAAGATCGACATTGAAGGTGTCAACCTTAAGGCCATGCGCGGTTACCAAGATTACATCAACCCGCATACCATTCGAACAAATTCGATTCACGACATGCTCATCTTCTATGGTGTCGAAGCAGCCCGCTCTACCATCATCCGTGAGATGTCAGACGTCTTCTCTGGTCACAGTATCACGGTTGACAACCGCCATTTGAACTTGATCGGTGACGTTATGACTCACAGTGGTGGATTCAAATCCTACAGTCGTAATGGCCTCATCAAGGAAAGCAATTCACCCTTCTCGAAGAGTTCTTTCGAGACGAGTGTTGGTTTCATGAGAGATGCCGTTCTTGAGCGGGACTTTGACGATTTGAAGAGTCCCAGTAGTCGCATTGTTGTCGGTCGCCTTGGTAATGTCGGCACTGGCGCATTCGATATCCTGGCTCCTGTTGCATGAAGTCTGTATCTTACCATTCTCCATGTGTTGTACCTTCGTCTGTATTCCAATAACGCTCCTGCATACATCAACATATTCTCAATTTTCTGTCCTATGGAGTTTGGAAGCATATTCTTTCCCTTTTATTATGATTAGATGATGTCTATCTTGCATTCCTGTAGAAAAGAAGTCTTGTCAGTGATTGTCGATTTGCACAGAAGAGATGAGTAGTATATTGTGTAGAGACAATGCAAATGTTCATTATTGATTCCAATGTGTTTCCAGAAAAGAGATCTTAACTCTAAACCCTAATCTTAACAAGAATTCTATCCACAGAAGTAAAGGTCTTATTCTGACGAAGTACCCCAATTTTCGATATCTAAAGACTCAATAATTTGACCAGCTATCGGATGTGATCACCATACTATGCACGCTAGAACTAAACGCCATCTCGAATTCTGAAACTGATGCCTGTTGTACACCCAAAAAGCAACTGATCATTAGTGAAGCGTCTAAAATCGCAGTAGCTAAATTTTTTTTCTAGGTGTCCAGCATCATCATTTCCTCGTCAAGGTCATCATCGAACTCATCCTTGTCAGGCTGAGGGCCGTCCGCACCATGACTCCCATTCCTCGGCGGAGCGACGGGCTCTAGTCCTCTCTCGACGCGCTCCTCTTCCATTTTCCGTTTCGCAATTTGTTCATCAAGCTGTGCCGGTGTCCAGCTGGAGATACCCTCATGATCCTTAGCTTTGAATGGTTGAGCCATCGTCCTCAAGAAATTTTTCGCCGTGGCAACGGCCATGTCAGTACTTAGATTGACTTCGCTTTCTAGGATGGTCTGATTGATCCATTTGGGGAGTTGATTTCTCTTGCGGGCGAAGCGTTTGTCTGCTAGGACCATGATACCGTAGTCATCTTTGCCGCGGATAACACGTCCTAAACACTGTGAAGCGTGTCTCATGGCTGATACAGTGATGAACTGTTAGGTATTCTTGCAATACAACAAGTACTAATCACGAATTGAAGACTTACCATCGAAAGAAAGAAAATCGTTCTCTCGGATGCCGTAATTTTCTCTCAAAAACTCCAACCGTGCCCTCAGGATTCGTGACTCGGTGTACTGGAAGGGAACACCTATGCAGATAACTGCACGTCCATATTGATGATCGAAATCGACTCCTTCTGCCACCTTTCCTCTGCTCAGAGGATTAGTAAATTAATCGATTTTGGTTTGATAGCATCCATGTAACGTACCGTGCGACAGACATCAAGATACTGTTTGCAACACTTAGCCTCAACATGAACTTGCTGAAGTAGAATAGGGAAATACGTACGCTCCACGGCCATTACAACATGCCGTTCGATATGTCTCAAGAGCTAGAGATGACTCTTGCGCATCTGGAGTCTCAACCAAGATGAGCTTATAATTCCAAATCATGTCTAATATCCCCATACCAGACCAAACATGCAGTGTAGATTCCATGTAAAGGTAGGACGGGAAGAAGACCACAATGCCATCAGGCACAATCTTAGCAAAATCCAGCAATAATGTGCCGTAATTGCGCAAATTGCTTGGATCATTTCTTGTTTGAAATGAGGAAGAGATCTGTGACTGATCGGATCCCCTAGTGACTATCATTGGAAGGAAAGACCGACGGGCAAGCGTCATAGTATAAGACTCCTGTAGCACTGGAGTGAAATTGAGCATCTTCGGGAACATGTCGAGAGGAGTAAGGGTGCCTTAGATAACAATAACAATTAGTAGAGTTAGTAAGCAGTAGATGTGTGCACCTACCAGACGTCACGACTATGGACGAGAACCGCTCGCACACGGGTCGGAAAGCAATAGCAGCATCTAGACATGCAAGGTGTAGCACCGGATTAGGGACTGTAGCTGCTTCGGACTCAAATGGTTCTAAAATGAGTAGAAATCCGCGGTCATAGGTGCTGACAAGAGTCGCAAACATGGCCACTTCCTGAAGAGGTTGATAATCTTCTATATTCATAAGTTCGAGAGTACGGACGAGAGAGGTTAGCCGCTCCGAGCAGAACTTCAAAGGCTTTGCCTCGATGAAAACAAGCTCGCGTAAATGTTGTAAAAAGCTCGGTGTCGTTTCACTGATAGTGTGAGTTACTTTCATTCGTGTCATGAGATATTGTATAAATCTTTGTAAAAAAGCTATAAAGTGCTCAGCACGGCGAATGTTTCCAGGTACAGCCTCTTGAATCGGGGTTAGCAAACGACAGTTATTGATACGCGTTGGAAGGGGAAAGCATACCGCTGAGAAGATCTTGTGGTAATACAGGATTTGACATGATCAAATCCTCGTCTCGCGCTTCTTCAGTTGCTTTCAAGCCCTCGACGAGTTTCGTATATTCTGACTGTAACTTTTCGGCATCTGAAGTTTTCATTTCCTCAATCTTTCGCTCAAGATTCTTGGCACCTCTTGATGCTTTACGTAGGGAGTCCTCAGTCAAGTCGATGCTGAATAGATGTTAGTACATTGTCAAAAATCTTGGATTATTGTGTCCCACCTGAGAGATTCAATAGCAACGTTATCGATGTTGTGAGCCTGAAAGGACGTTAGAAGATAAAGTGCTAGTATAAGGGGATTTTCGGCTCATGCGAACCTCATCGAAAACCACAATACAGTCCTTCGAAAGTTCTCGTGAGACTCGTTCTGCAATCTTGGGATCCAAAAGATAATGATAGCTGTAAATTATGACATTGCAGTATGGCAACTGGATTATGATTCGTTAGTTGCATGCAAATATAACCACAGACAGGAAGTTGACTCACCATGCGTCTCACTGTGAAATATGGGCAAGTAACTTTTTCTTGACAATATCTCAAGAGATCACTGAATGTGAAGACACCCGGCTCAATCAGATTATGTGGCTCTAAGAGATCTAGGTTCTTTAATTTCGAGCCCGTCAGTTATGTTTTCACCGTGCGGTAACCTGAGAAACCCACATCATGATACGTGCAAGTCTCAACATCTTCACCACGTTCCTTCTTTTGAGCCACAAAAGAGGCAGTAAGACTTCGGCATCGAGCATCAACTACCGTTCCGCTCTTTTCGCGCTTCACCGATGGATGTAGACACAGATTCTTTCGACTGGAAAGACCAAGTCCACGAAAGTCCTCTGTATGGCCTAGCTCTAACGCACGATATTTCATAAGAGCCTTTAATTCATGAAGAGCCTTGTCTTGTCTATGTTAGTTTCGAAAGTGGCAATTTCTTGAAGCGGGTGCAATACCGATCTCGCTCATGGTTCGAGAGCAATATATAAGTTTTCTGGAGTCGCCATGGTGTTGTTGATAGGCGACAATAAGTGATAACAGCGTTACGGTTTTTCCTTCGCTTCAGTATCAACTATCTGTACAGATCGATGGAGATATCGACATCCTTACCAGTTCCAGAAGGCATTTCAAGCACACAATGTCCACCGGCATCGAGTGCTTTTTTCAAGTCACACATATACTGCCTGATGACATGTCAGAATATTACTCTTCCAGATGAAAGTCTTAGACAAACCATTGTTCAGGATAGATCTTGGGATACGGGAAGAGCACTTCAATCTCACTGGAGATAGATATTCGTATCAGTCAAAGTTGATTATTTGTCTTAAGCTGGTGGTGCTAACTCTATCTTGAACCTCATCTTGGCGACATGAAGACGGCGGTTGAAGACGCTCCCCGAAATTCCTCAACGAGGCTACCGGGGATATGAGGATCAAACCGTATAAAACGAGTTCTCTTTCTGTATATTTTGTAGGCGATAGCTGGAACAGACGGCCCAAAAGGTGAGATGAATTATCCTGCGGACCTGAGGGCAAGATCAGACTTCCAGCCCTTGATGATAGAAGTATTGAAAGTGAGATGGTGGGGCGTTGGGATAAGAAGAAGTTGATAGAGCCGTGACCAGTCTAGCCTGTTTAGGGCTAGCTCAACACGAAGGCAGACACCAAGGCACGTGATGTCAAAGCCTTCCTTAAGTAGGAGCCCGCAGTGGGGCCTTAATAATGGAAGGCCTGAAAAGAAGAGAATCAAGTTCCTCTTTATATCTTACACATACTGTCCGGCTTTTTAATGACTCAGAGCTGGCGCTTTATTTTATATTTAATTCTTACTGCTCCATGTATATTTGATCAACTTTGTATATGCGGGAGCGATACATGAGTGGCATCGTTGCGTCTTTGGACCCCGCACGATGAGCAAGAAATTCAAATCCCAGGCCTCCAGTAGTCGAGCTGCTGCTGGCGGATTTACCAATACGTTTGGAGGATTCTCAAGCGGCTCATCGTCACTAGGAACTGCACCCTCGTCGCTGTCATATGCGGCCGAACCTCCGGATCTGTCTCGCATCTCAGATCCGAATCTGGTGGTGGCGTTCAAGAATCTGACCAAGAAGGATGACATTACCAAAACCAAGGCGTTGGAGGACATCAAAGACGCGGTTTTGAAACTTGGTAACCGTAGCGATGAACTCGAAGAAGGATTCTTAGAGGCTTGGGTATGCTACCGTAACCTTATACACGCTGTGGCAAACATCATAGTAACAGGACTCACAGACTAAAGTATATCCACGCAACTCAATAGAGAATGCTCGCAGAGTGAGGCAACTTGCTCACACAATCCAAGGGTTGATCGCCTCGCTTGCTGGTAAGCGAGTGGCTCGTCATCTTCCCAAGGTAGTCGGTGCTTGGCTCGCAGGGCTGTATGACAACGACAGACATGTCTCACGTTCAGTAGTGGAGTCGATATCACAGATATTTTCGACGGATGAGAAGAGAAATGGTCTTTGGAAAGTTTTCCAATCTTCGGTTTTGGAGTTTGTTGAGGATGTGATCCTTCATCAGACTGCTTTGACACTCAGCGACGAGAGAATCGTAAAGCCCGATGATGCTGAAGCCAAGTTTGCGAGAGTCTCAGCTACAGCACTTCTATTGTTTAATCGCATTTTGAGTATGACTCTCATGTCGCCGAATTAGTGGCCTCAGCTAATGAGATTTCCAGGCACTGCCTCACCAGAGCAAATAGCTAAAGATCGGATGACCATCCGGACCATCCTGAACAGCAAAAACCTCTGGTCATTCACTCACCATGCGGACCCGTTTGTTCGAAGATCAATCTACAGTTTGCTTCGTTCTTCCTTAGCACAAGTTATTGAAGACCTGGATTGGCGAATGATCAGCAGCAGCATTATATCGCAAGCTCTACCAACCTCTCAACTGGGATCTGCTACTGAATTTTCAGAGACACTCTTGCAGTTATCGCAGAATAGACCACAGCTATGGACCACAGACTTCACTGGAAAGACCGACGCCAGTAAAAGATTGCATCAGTATATCAAGAGAGGATCTCAAGGTGCCGCTGAGCTGTACTGGTCAAATCTGGCTGAACTGTTGCAAGTAATTCCAACAGAAATGATCAACTGTTATGGATCAAAAGGAGACAACGAGACACCTCAGATTGGACTTTCGCAAGCGAAAGCTTTGATGAACGACTTGTTGACTGGCCTGACTTCTAGGGATGAGCCTCGACACAACCTTAAGACAGGCTGGGCTGCTTATTATGATATAGGAATCTGGCTGTCAACACTTATTCCAGAGAATGAAAGAGGCGAACTGGTCACTGAGTTCTTGACGATGATTTTCGATCCCTATGTCAATGGCCACGGCGAGCATCAGTGGATACCACCATCCATTGCCTCAGCAACATGCACTGTCGCTTTCCTGAGACTTACAAACCATGGTTATGACCCAGAATTGAGGCAAGCATGGGAAGCTGTTACGCAAAACTTGTTGCAAGCGGTGAAACTATCTCTACCAGAGCAGTCGAAAGATTTCAGATCTTCTCAGGATGGTATTTGCACCAAAGCCACGCAATACTTCAAACTTGAGGCGGCAGTGCTTTGGAATTTGGCGTCACAGGACAATAGTATTTCGAGTCTGTTTGAGGAAAGCAGCTTGCTTTTGCTGAAGGGTTCGTTGCAGGTACTTCAAGCGCGGAATGGAAAGCCGTACGGTGCGGCTGCAATTGTGGAAGAAGCTGTTCGTCATGTTCCAGAATTTATCAAAGACTCTAAGGATGTCATCAATGATATCAGAGATGCGATCCCTCAGCTACTGTCAACGCCGTCTGCAGATAGAATCATGTCAGTGATCTTAATGTGCAGTGACTGGGAAGGGTTTGAATCTGTATTCAATGCTTCCCTCGAAACAATGACTGAAGCAACTCCGCAAAGCTCGGGCGGTGCTGCACTCCAGAAGTTGCTTTCCACGGTCGATTTCCAAAAAGTTCAAGAATCGGCGCACTTTGTCTCAATTGTTTCGTCAAGTGTTGAAAAGGCTATCGAAGGAAATTCTTCACAGTGGCCGTTTGTTTTCTCAGTTATCGAGAATAAAACAGCACCTAACGAAATGATCGACAACATAGTCACGGTTTTGGTGCACGGATTGTCGTCGGATGAGGAGACAGTGATTTCTACGCTTTCCGGACTATCTAGCCTTGGAGGAGAAAAGCCAGAAGCCCTCAAACGCCTCCGAAATGGCAAGGAAGGCTCTAGGCTGGTGGCAAGATTACTTTATCTTATTGACTCGCCGACCGAGGGAATCAGCCAAAAGGCTGAGGACCTAGAGAAGAAGCTGCGGGAGACTGTATCGGCGGATGTCACTTCAGCGTCTACCAGGGAGATCTTGAAACATGAATTACAGGAAGTGGGCCCACAGTCATTGTCGTAAGAGTATTCTGGTGTTTATCAATGACTATTAGTACTCACATGTTACTTCCAGGTTCGAGGTGTTGTCTGGTATGGCCCGGGACTTAATTCGGAATACGGAGTCCAAGGACCTCAGTCCGCTACTCACAGACATATTTCCCTCATATGAATTGTGGAAAACATATCTAGAACCATTCTTGAGACTTCCTATCAGACATTCCACCTCAATCATGAGTCCTTTAGGCGGGACTGTTTACCTTGTTGCAAATGATTTACCCGGAACCGGTAGGCAAGACCTAGAGAATATACAGAGAGACTCTGATGATGCGTCATCTGTATTTAGGTTGGCATATTATGTTGTGAGGATTCTCTCCTCCCAAGATGTCCTTGTCTCACTGGACGCCAAGCAACGCGAAGGGCTATTTTACTACCTGCCTCTTGCCCTACAATTGATTGACGATGATGTCAGTATCGAAGGCTCGATAGGAATTGCTGGACTTGGGCTCTTGGAAGATAGGAACGAAGCTTTGGAAACTGTTAGTGAGGGGCGCTCTACGATCAGAAAATGGATTCAGTCAGAAGCTCGCCTGGTTGATGGTAGTCGCAGCGTGTCAGAAGATCTATTGGTCTTGTGGGAAGAAAAAGTCGCCGAATTGGATAACACGTCACCTGAGAGTTATCGTATCGGTCAAGCATACGCAAAGATCATGTCTGAAGCAGAACTAACCAAGACATCGGATGCACTTACGAGCCTTGCGCGAGAAATTAGGAAGTATAATCCTATACGTGCGGCTGCAGAGCTTGCTGTTTGGGGCCCAGCTTTGGCATCTTCATCAGCTGGTACCCGGTTATGCAGTGAGCTGATTGCAGACGCTACTGGTTTCAAACCTGGCAAAACCTCCGAAGGTAAATGAGTTCCGTCAATTTAAAATTCTAACATTAATTCTAACATTAATACTGACCTAAAATAGGCCCTAAAAGTATTGTTTTTTTTAATATTCTTGCGCAAAGTATGAGAGAAAGCCTAGACGCAATTCCTACCCAGCGTATGGTGTTCCTTGTCAAGAACCTTGTCTACGTTCTACAGTCTAGCCCAGATTCGACAAGTGTCAAAACCGAAGCATTCAAAGCTTTGTCTGTTGTTTTGAGACCTCTTTTTGAGATATACGGGTCGCACTGGGCCGAGTCAATTGACGCATTGTGCAGCACCTGGACAGAGATTGGCGGCGGAGACGCATGGCTACCTCTCTTACATTCTTCTCTAAGACTTTTCGCCGTCCTTAGGGATCTCGTCAAGACTGGCGCCAACGACGACTTGACGGATGCATGGAAAGATTACAAGCAGGACCTCTTTGAGAGTCTTATCTCAACCTTGAACAAGTTGGGTATGTTATCAAACTCTGAGTAGGTATGTCTGTCGCTGACAAGAGTAGATTCTTCAAGTGTTGTCTATCACCCTCGGGATATTACGGCAGATCTTTTGCGCCGCGAACTTGTACATGTCCCAATAGATTCTCTGACAAACAAAAATGAAATGTTCTCGTTGTTGGCAGTCGAATGTAAAGTCATTCAGCAGACAGCGTTTGAATTACTACATCGGCATATCCCACAAGCCCAAGAGCAAGTGTCATTCGATGTTGCCTTGTCGAAAACGACTGTCAATCTTCCAGATGAGCTGTTGTCTTTACTACTTGAGGTACCTCAAGCGAATCTTGTCACTTCACTGAGCGACACAAAGACGTGGTTGAGAATCAGGAGTTACTTGTTGAGTTGGAAACTGGTCTTTGATCATTTCTCGAACGCTGTCAGTATATTACCCCTTTCCAACATTGTATCGAAATAGCTAATCTTTTATGGTAGTCGCTCCCTGTGCAAGAAAATTACGCCGAGAATATCAAAGAGCATCAGATTTTGACACCTTTGTTAGAATTTACCTTTGACTTCCTACAAAAGTCTCACGGAAAACTAGTAGATGCTTCGAAATTCGACATCCGGTCATGGGAACCGATTGAGGATCCCGGCGAGCAAGATAGTCAGTGGCTCCTGATCCATCTTTACTATCTTTCACTCAAGCACCTCTCTTTATTCACCAAGAATTGGTGGATCGATAGTAAAAAGCGGATCAAGGGTCCTGTAGAAACCTGGACACAAAAATATGTAAGCGCCATGACCGAACTTCTGACGAAGATTTCACCACTAATGCAAATCTGATATAGATCACGCCATCAATCATTGAAGACGCACTGACAGGGGTCTCCACATGGATTCAGACACAGGAAGAAGATTATGAGCGCCCACTTTCCGTCAAGGTCTCACACCGAGCCGCCGAAATTATCGCCAGCATCCCCGTCGATGAAGACTCTCCGCCGGTAGCAATGGCAATTTCCCTTCCGCCCGCCTATCCACTTCAACCCGCAATCGTCACAGGCCGAAGCCGTGTTTTGGTTGACGAAAAGAAATGGCGCAGCTGGATGTTGATCATACAGGGCGTCATCATGTTCTCCAATGGCAACCTCGTGGATGGCCTTCTTGCCTTCCGAAGGAACGTCCAAGGAGCCCTGAAGGGACAGAGCGAGTGCGCTATTTGTTATTCTGTCATTTCGACCGATATGCAGACACCCAACAAGCGCTGCGCGACATGTAAGAATGCCTTCCATTCTGTCTGCCTCTTCCGATGGTTCAAGAGCAGTAACCAGAGCACATGTCCCCTTTGCCGAAATAATTTCGTGTATGTTTGATAAGCTTGTTTTTATTTTTGGGAGGATTAGTGGGCCTTTGTCACATCTTGCATTTTCAAAATGTATAATATTAGATAGACGAGCATAGACATGAACACTAGATTTCTGTAGTAAGCTTCCTGATATACTGTCTTCCTGGTTGTAGATTCCTGGTTGTTATTCGAAGTAGATGGATCTCTGAACAGTGGGGCATTAATAAGTGATACCCCACCGAAAGATGCATGATCAAAACGTCTTTATTCTTGCACGTCACTTAGTGATGCCCTGTGAGATAATGGAATGACCGCATCAGCATCCTGAAAAGTACACCAAACTCTCCATGTCGGTAAACCAAATCCCAAACCTCAACACCCTTCGACGAGGGGGTGGGGGTCTCAGAGCCCGTCTACGCGGTCGAGGTCGTGGATCTGGAGGCTCTACATCAGACGATACACAAAGCCAAGCAGCGAATAATACTGCTGCGGCAAAGGATAAGATTATCCAGGGCACTGATAATGATGCTAGTGTCTCGAGATTGAGTGCTGTGGAGTTGGGCTACTTGGATGATGTATTTGCGCGAGCATTGACGCCGTCAGGTGGAGGGCCGGGGTCGAGGAGGTTCCCGATTATCAATAGAGGTGAGTGTGCCATATTATAGTCTTGACGGTTAATATACTGTGAGAGACTTATGTTAATATCTACCTCTAGGTACATATGTCCGAACCACAGCAATTGACCAACTGGTCAATTGCTTCCTGGATGAAGATGGGAAATCACAACACGCCACCAAGAAGCAAATAATATCTCTAGGAGCGGGTTCAGATACGCGTCCGTTTCGAATATTCAGCAAGAAGCAACGCAGCCAACTCGTCTATCATGAACTTGATTTTTCAGTAAATACATCGGCGAAGATCAAGGCAATACGTTCATCGCCGCTGCTTCAAAGAGCCATACAGGCCGATACAGAAGCTCTATCAACAGCCGGGAATGAGCAGTATATCGCTGATGATTCTTTGCATTTACCTAATTACCATATACATCCTATCGATTTACGGGCCCTTGCTGCTAAATCCTCTGCGAGTACGGCGAAATCTGCGATGAATGACTCACAACAGCCAACTGAAGACCACAACACCTCTACAGCGGAAACCAAAGAACTTCTCCCAGGAATAGATCCAACACTACCGACACTCCTCATTTCCGAGTGCTGTCTCATATACCTATCACCCGACGACGCAGATGCCGTGATTGACTACTTTTCGCAGACAATTTTCCCACCAACAACCCCTCTAGGCCTAATAATATATGAGCCTATTCGACCAGACGACCCATTCGGAAAAACAATGGTATCAAATCTCGCTGCAAGAGGAATCCAATTACAAACCCTGCACAAATACGCATCCCTACCGGCACAACGACAACGATTTGCGCATCATAGATTAGGATCTGGTCAGGGAGCTGTAGATATCGATTTTATATGGAATTACTGGATTAGTAATGCTGAAAAGGAGCGGGTTGCGGCCTTGGAGATGCTGGATGAGATTGAGGAGTGGATTTTGTTGGCACAGCATTATTGTGTGGCTTGGGGATGGCGGGGTGATATTGGCAAGGGAGATTTTGCTTTGTGGAAGGGAATTAGGAGCGAGTGACTATAATATACAGAGAATCAAAGGAAATGGAAATGAGAATAGCAATGGCATTGCCGGAAGTTAGGAACAAAATGCGTCGTCGTATGATAGCTGCACTGACGTCATCGGCTGGTCGAGTTTATTTGGAGCTCCCCGCACTACAACAACTCTCTCTCCAACATATTCTTCGTTTTCACATCTACACCAATCCATTGAAGGAATTCTCACAAAAAAAAACTGATAGCATCACATCAATTGATCTATAAATCAACAACATGTCCGAATCCCTCGCCGCATTCCGCAGACACCGTCGCGACGAACTCGCAAAACTCGCCGACCAACACCTCCAGCACGATCTCCAAGAATCAGACCGCGATGCCCTCAAAGCCGCGACCACACGAGTCTCAACCTGGACTTTGATTGGGTCCGCGGTTGGAATTGGATTGGGATTCTGGGTCGCTTTTCGACTCCGGAGTGCTCGGAAGAGTATGTTTGAGGCGTTTAAGGCGGCGGAGAAGCCTGTTAAGGTTGTGTTTGCGGATGGGCGGACAGGTATTTTCTACCTTCTCCTGATGTGGTGAGATGTTTTGGGGGAGGGGCATGCTAATGTGTGATGCCAATGCAGAGAGTATCCCCGATATCACACCTTTCCTGAGACCGTCTACACTGGGAGATTTTGCGACTTATTTCTTTGCTTCTGCCGGAGGATTGTTCCTAGGCGGAGAGCTCGGTATGTCCATATCTTAACCCTCTAGTTGCGGACACTTCCACTAACAGAACTGTCAATTATGTACAGGCCTCCTGGGCGGCTCAGCGAGTGCTAGCCGCAGCATCACCAAAGACCCCGAAATGCGGAAAAGGATAGAAAATGCGTTCCGAAAGTTCAGAGCGGATGTATTGCGCAGGGAAGCTGACGAGCTTGATCGGGATGATAATTTGTGGGACAAGATGTTTTGATTGAAGCTGAGATATGGAGAAGCTTTGTTTCTTATGTTCAAATACCAGGGTTAAACGAATGCTGGTTGGATTATATATATTCTATGGCATTACCTAGTTAATATATGCCGTGATATACGTTTGACTTGACAATGACTTCTAGATCTGTGAATGATCTGTAATAATGGCTATTTGCCCTGCGTTGTCCTTGAGGAGCCCTGGAGGAACATGAAGTACCTCGAGATAGTCAGCGGATCCGGGCATGTTGCACATCATCTAGAGACCGCTAAGAGGCGAAAATATCGGATTACCAGAATTTAGCTATGTCTCTTCTATGAGAGTTTCTTTTAGATTAAGGCAAAGGAAGAAGTGATGAACAGGTGCCCCGAATATGGATAGGGAAATTTAGTACACTCGTTTTGATAGAGATTGTATTCTACAGGGTAGATCAACTAGTACTAGGCCAGAAGTAGGTGTGTCTGAATATACAGTATCTTAGATTCAAAGGCGAAGGCTCAGATTAATGTCATCATATGGTAATATACAGGGCTTCTGAGAATTTCTCTCATGAGAAAAGCAGTTTTCATTCTTCACTCAAGTGCGAACTTGAAATGAATGCTTGGAACGTCCGAACTATTTGCCGGCATGGTGAATGTCAAGTTCCAATGCTCGAATTCACTATTTCAGTCGAGTTAGAGAATTAACCGTGATATATTAAGCAAGGGATCAACTTACTGAATGATATTGCATGTTCCTCCAACCAAACCACAGAAAGATACTTCAGGCACTGGGTTAACGCTGCCGCCCACAACTTCAATCTTCAAACCGTCGACATCCCCCAGACCAGAAATATCTCGCTTCGCGCCTAACGGATTCGTAGCGAGAATAAAAGTGAAGCTACTAGTAGCGTTGCCGAGAGGATAAGTCAAATTCAAAGCGTACGGAGCAACGTCTGCCTTCAACGCTGTTTGTGTCGAGTACAAGTTGAAATATCCAATTGATCCACCTGGGCGTATCCACTGTACGACAGAAGGGCTGAAGGAAGTCGAGTCTTTGGAATAACCGCCGATAACACTTTGATTGAATGAGTCGGTGCCGATTGTTAGTCGTGGGGACAGCCAGGTGGTAATGTTGCGAGGCTCGTAGTCTGCGGGAGGAGCATACGTATGTCCGCTATAGATATGCTCGCCAACGAAAGACTTAAGTCGGGAGATGACAGTCTTTGAGACAAGAGTCTTGTGGAAATCGGAGAGTACGGCGATGACTGGTGCTAATTGGAAGTCATCGGCATGTGTCATGGTAGCGATAGGAGACTTGTAGCGCCAGACATGATCCTTTCCGATCAAGGCCCAGATCCATTCCGACATGATGGCTACATAGTTGTTCATATCGTAGCCGTAGGAGCGATCCCAGGGACCGGCAAAGTTTCGCATGTTAGGGTTCCATAGCAAGGACTCGTAATCCCAGATACTCTGGATCACGCGTTCGGCATTTTGACCAATAACTGACCCCGTAGAGTTTAAATATTTGGCCGCGATGGTGAGCGCGTAAAGCGAGACACCGGCATAGGTTGGACCGTTGAATTCAGAGAGAGTGTTGTTGAAGTCAAAAAGGTCTAGGAATTCCTGGGCCCATCTGTCCCCTGAGGTGGTCATATTTGAATCGTTCATTTTCAGACCAGTCCAGGAACTAGCAACAGTTCTCATTAACCAGGCGTTGGAGTATGCGGGATACAGATTGTCATCATCGACACCACCAACGCGGTAAGTGTCGCCGACGGCGCTGTTATATATGCTTTCGAGGACCATATTTTGCACATCAGGTGGTAGCAAGCTTCTGAACTCCTCATAGATAATAATCAAAGCTGTACCAATGAAGCCTCTCCAGTTGGGGTCCCAGGAATTGTAGATCTGTTTTCTTAGTCAGAGTGTGCTTCTGTAGCGTCACCTTGAAAGGGGATTGGGATGTCATACAACTGGATCATAACTAGGACTTCCGACAGTGGGCTGCTCGGGATACACTGTATAGTCACCATACCACAGCACCGATGCGTTTTTCTCTTGATCACCAATGACATTCTCAAGGATCTTTATTGCCTCTTTCACATCATCTCCTTGGTTTCGTTGAAGGAGTCCAAGGGAATACCAAACTGTTGATCGGGTCTCGTGAGGACCAGCAGCGAGGGGATAATAGAAGTAACGTAGATATGAAACGTCAGGATCGTAGATCTGGTCCTGAAAGGACATGGATTGGTCGAATAGAGACTGTGCATGGCCGGACAACTCAACCGAACGCACAAGGGTGGCGCTCAGGAGGCTGCATAAGAGCCAGTTGATGCTGCGCAACATTTTTAGAAGACCAATTGAAGTATGGTTTGGCGGCACCAAGGATGACGAGCCATACAATCCTACAGAGAATAGTGCGGTAACTCGTTCACCTTCATAGCCTTATACATGCGACTTGTCGGCTTGCTCGCATCTAATCCGTTGATAGGGCCCTACATCTGGGACCCGACTAAACCTATCTATCGTGCATATCTATGTGGAGAGAGGGCTTTTATGCTCCACATTGTTATCTGATTCGTTATCCGATCTTGCCACGTTGCAATGGGGAAGCGATATGGTGTGGTGTTTGAATTGAGTTGATCTAGATTGAAGCTGGGAAGTTTATTATGGGATAGCCTTCGGGGAAGTCCGGTGAAGCCCGGCCCGGTGCTTATCAATGGTCACGAGACACGGCTGATAAGCAGCCTATTTCGGACTAGAGCAATCAGCGTTTCTTCCTCCATACTCCACAATCATGGGGCACAAAATGTCCATGCTGGATCATGATCATAAAACATGGCTGTCGCCGCATGTCAAGCTGATCTTTGCTCTTCGAAGTCATAAGACGTCTTCAGAATTACGCAAATATCATCAGCAATGGCGGACTATACTACCAAGGATGCGGTGGTCGAGGCCAAGGGCACGCCAGAAATGGACGCAGACGAGTTACGATTGGCCCAGATGGGTATGTGACTGCAAATTAACACTGCTGTTAATGGTCTATATGCTGACTAAAAGTTTTACTTGAAGGCCATACTCAGGAACTCAAACGTCACTTCAGCATCTTGTCCCTTATTGGTCTCGCCTCAACAACCACCATCTCTTGGACTGGACTCGGTCTGGGTATTGTCACTGAGATTGGTGCCGGTGGACCGGGTGCTATTATCTACGGCTTCATTCTCGTGACAATTCTGCAAAGCTTTCTCGGCGCCTCGCTGGCCGAATTTGTGTCCAGTTATCCGACCGAGGGTGGCATGTACCATTGGATTGCTGCCATTGCGCCAAAGAGATACAGTGCATTCCTAAGTTTTATTACTGGGTGGTTGACTGTTTGCGGCTGTAAGTTAAACCATAGATGAAATTCAAAAAGTGTAGAAAGCTCATGATCACCATCAGGGGTATTCACCACCGCCTCAACGAACTTGATCTTTGCCCAAGTTGGTATGCAACCCCCTACTTTCACATTGCTGGAAGAAAGTAAGATTAGCTGACAAGTTTGTAGTCCAAGCACTTTACGCTCTGTATCATCCGGATCTAGTCATCAAGACATGGCAAACTTTTATTATTTACCAGATCCTGAACTTGTTGACAGCGGCTGTGGTCCTCTTTGGCAACAAAATTATCCCGGCCCTTAACAGGTTCTCTCTGTTCTACCTACAGATTGGCTGGTTGGTTGTATTGATCACAGTTGTGGCATGTGCTCCAACACACCAGAGTTCCGAGTTCGTTTTCAGAACCTGGATCAACAATACCGGCTGGAACAATAACGTTATTTGCTTTATCACTGGCTTGGTCAATCCTCTTTACAGTCTGGGTGGACTTGATGGTGTCACTCATATCACCGAGGAGATGCCTAATGTATGTGCCTCCTTTTGTCACTTATCGTCCTTATTAACTTTTGGGAACGTATTGCTAATATCGATTTAGCCCTCGCGTAATGCACCTCTTGCCATTGCCATCACTTTGACAATTGCCTTCACCACTGGCTTGACCTACTTGATTTCGCTGATGTTCAGCGTTCAGGACTTCGGTGCCCTTTCTACTACTAATACCGGTCTCCCCCTTGCCGAACTTTTCCGTCAGGCAACACAATCAGCTGGTGGCGCCTTTGGTCTGACATTTATCCTATTTGTTGCATTGGGACCTTGTGTTATTTCATCCCAGCTGTCTACATCACGTGTCCTCTGGGCTTTTGCTCGTGACGGTGCCATGCCTTTCTCTGACACCTGGGCACGCGTGAGCAAGCGCTTCGAAATCCCCTTCAACTCGCAGTTGTTGGTCGCCGCTGCCAATGCAGCTTTGGGATGTATCTATCTTGGAAGCAGCACAGCTTTTAACAGTATGTTGGGTGCCGCTGTTACTATCAATAACGTCGCCTACTTAATTCCCATTGCCACGAACATGCTCATGGGTAGGTCCGGCATGCACAAGGGCGCGTTCCATATGGGCAAATGGGGCTGGATCGTCAACGGTGTGACGGTGGCCTGGCTGCTCTTTGCAATTGTTTTCTTCAGCTTCCCGTATGCCATGCCTGTCACAGTGCAGAACATGAACTATACATGCGTCGTTGTTGGGGGTATTCCTCTTCTGGTCTTGGCGTGGTGGTTCCTGGGTAGCAAGAAGTATAAGGATAGAATTGCCCGCGCTAAGGAAGAGTAAAGGCGGATTAGAAGGTTAAGATGCTTTTATTATGTTGAGCGGCCCAGGGTGGTCGAATGAAACTAAAGAATATTATGTACTACAAATAGTGACTAAAGAATATAATGTACTTCGATTTAAAATACAACCATCAAAAATTTGACGAATCATTGTATGAGCAAGACATAATACCTATGACATAGACATTTATAGAGATCTACCTGTAGGGCATTGAAGAAGGGCATGGATACTCTGGCACATCTACAAGTCCTTTGAAGACGCGAATGACGGTCTTCGAGTCAATTAAACCTCCAATTCCTTGCGTTTTTAGTAGTCAAATAAGAGGCAATCTGCAAAGACATCAAGATTTAGAACCCTAACTCCAAATTCTTCTGAATTCAACCAGCCAATTCGTGAAGGACACCCATGCATGAGTGAGAGAGCGTTGACATGCCGTTCTTAGAAGGGAGCCCCGTTCCACGAACAATGACAGCTGAACTAGCTCAAAAAAGCAGGTTGTTAAGATTAATCAAAGTAAAGATAGAATTTAGGTAATACGTCTATCTTCAATCAACTATGATCCACGTGCTAGAGACCCTCAGACCCATTTACCCCGGTTTTTTCGGTGTTCTCTACAGATGTGTTAGGGGGTGGTATAGACGAACGCCGGGTTTACCGGTCCACCCGGGGTTTGCCGGTGTCGCAGCTCTTGATCAGCCCTGTCGGTACGCTTGGCTAGGACCAATGTAAGATTCATTGGATATGGTTGCTTCTGCTAAAGTTGCCAGATTTAGTGACAAGGTCCGGTGTATGACAGAATCAAATAGGTACGTAAGTCGGGCCTGCATGCCCTAATTTCCGTGGTGGAAACTGAAAAACAACATAGACCTGAACTGGATGAGAATTTTGACATTCATTCTATATCTTTCATAGCATAGGCAAACAAAAGGTTGAAAGCGCTGTTGAAGAGACCAAGACGAATTGATAACCTGCAAGCGTGCAATCCGATTCTACCCTCACCGTTACCGCGAACGTCTCCATATACTACCAACAAGATGCGTCTTATCGTTCGAGAAACACAAGACCAAGCAGCACAATACATTGCTGATTATATAATTAGTAAGACCTCTCTTGAATATTTGCAAAGCTACAATATCATCTTGAAGCTTACCGCCACAGAACGGATCAATGGCTTCAGTCCCACAGCAGAAAGACCTTTCGTCCTCGGCCTGCCCACCGGTAGTAGTCCATTACCTATATACAAAGCTTTGATCCAAGCATACAATCAAGGTAAAATATCGTTCCGTCATGTGGTGACGTTCAACATGGACGAGTACGTGGGTTTGCCGCGCGAACATCCGGAATCGTATCACTCCTTCATGTTTTCGAACTTTTTCAGCCATGTCGATATCGACTCGAAGAATGTCAATATATTGAATGGGAACGCTCCCAACCTGCGCGAAGAGTGTCTTTCATACGAGGCGAAGATTAAGGCGCTTGGTGGAATTGAGTTGTTCCTCGGCGGAGTTGGTAGTGATGGACATATTGCATTCAATGAACCTGGTTCGAGTCTGGCTAGTCGCACCCGAATAAAATCTCTGGCTTATGAGACCATTGTGGCCAATGCACGATTTTTCAACAATGACTTGAGTTTGGTGCCGCGCATGGCTCTCACAGTCGGAGTACAGACAATCATGGATGCGAAGGAGGTAGTCATCATTGCGTCCGGAACCTCAAAGGCACTCGCTATTCAACAAGCGATTGAAGGTGGCGTGGGTCATCTGTGTACCCTTTCATGTCTGCAGCTTCATCCCTGCAGCATGGTGGTCGTGGACGAGGACGCCACTATGGAGTTGAAAGTCAAGACGGTAAAAGTATGGTGACCTCTCTTTCGAATGGTGTTGGTACTCAAGTAACTAACCCGGCTTGAATAGTATTTCACAAGTGTTGAGCGAACGATCCTCCAGCAAGGCCTAGATGACGAACCGCCCAGAAAACGCGGTGACTTAAGTCTGAATACCAATGTATCGAGTGAACCACTAGAAGGCGACCTAACTCCAGACAGTATGTCATCTCGAATTGGAGATCAGAAATTCTTCGTCCACAGATCAGCTACTATTCCATTCGCATTAACTTAATGTCGCTTCTTCATTGACATTATGTGCCGGCCAGTCTGTGTACATCATTTGTTGAAGGCTGGACCGGTCAAATATCTGCCATGACAAATCAATAGGGGCGCCAACTGTGAGGTCATCGTATGTATTTTGTTGTTGTCGAAAGTCTGCCGAAGCAGGTGTATGGACGTTGGTGAGGCTGAGTTCTAAACGATTTATGAGTTTGTCACAGAGGCTGGGTGTTGTCTTGTTCATTCTTTTCAACATTTCTAGATGTATCCTTATGTTTGTGAGATCTATAGACAGGTAGTTAGTGTTTCATCATTCGATTTTTGGGGATTTAGAAATGTCGGTATAAGCTGCATACCATCATGTTCACCAGCACCACCTTCAATAGCCTGTACAACAATAAGTGCTGCCCAGGTAATCATGATCAGGTCCCAATTGGACCAGATCGAGTCATCATGCGAGTGTAGCTTGAGCGTTGCACGAGCCGAGAGAAGCAGTTCATATTGCTCTTTTGGCGTAATGCTATTTGACCACAGGTCACAACCTCTGGCTGGGTGATATATAGACAAAACTACAAGTCGATGGAGAACATATTGACGGAACACAAGTTTCAGATCGTGGTCGGAACCTTCCAGACCTTGACTAAAATCAACTAGCCATTCGTCTAGTTGCCTGGCCCAATCTCGGATGACAGCCGCATCTACGGCAGTAAAGCTGTTTGTCAAAGCCACTGCTGTCGACGGCTGATCTGTAGTGAAACAAGACCAAATAGTCGGTAATCCACGTCCGGTGAAATGCGTCAATCCAGCACGCATCATTCGAGATAGCCTATAGAGTTGATCACGCGGAGAGGTGCGAAGACCCGGAAGAGGTGATTCGATTGGTATAACGGGACAGGATAGATGAAGAGAGGCATGCTCAAGGTCAATGATTTGTACACCACTAAAGAGCTTACGCCATTCTCGCGATGTCTCATCGATATGTGCCGGACAATGCTCAAGGATCAGTCGATATGCTATCGATATCCATATTCCAGTTTCACGAATAGTCGCTTCCGTGAGGAGTCCAGCAATCACAATCCCAAGCACTGTTTGAAATGCCCATTCTTCACTATCCTCTGGCATCTGGCCGATTTTTGTGCCGGGAATGCACAGCTGAGCGATTGCGTTGCATAGAACAATGAAATAGTGCGGTGCTATTTCCGCCATATCTGGAGGGCCTCTCATACTCGAGCAATATAATATTGAAGCCAGGAGAATAGGTTGCGGCGCAGAAAATGTTTGTTTGCGAGGCATGAAATGAAGGCCAGGCATTCGGTCATGGAACCTGTAAAGATGACCAGTCAGTGCCACCTTTGATCAACGATGTAGTGATAGGAACCTACGATAGCCAAAGATCTCTAACAGTATGCCTTCTCCATATTGAGCGCGGTACAAAGCCTGGCGCACTACTCTGCAGGATTACAACAGCATCCCAAAGTGCATGTAAACTGTTGAACTCGTCTGGGTATCCCTCGTCGTCATCAGACCCTTCGCAATCACCACAGTCTATATGTTCTGAGGGTGCGTTGTGCGCTTCAGACAACCCCAGGGTATCTTCGATAATCTTCAGCCTACGTAAAACATCTGTCTTGAAACCACTTTCACTAGCCCTAGTATTAAACTCCGGTAGTGTTGCAGCATTTGCACGAGGCACAAAAATACAAGGCAGGCCGGAACGGCGACATCGACGACATCCATCACTATTGTCTTCAGCGATACATTTCATCTTCTGTCGTCTGCAATTAACTGTACCATTGCTATCTTAGTACTATGGACATATTGATTCTTGGATTCCTGGAAGAATACTGACTGCACGCCTTTCGAGCCCTCTGCTCTGAGCCGTATTCCTCTTCCTGGGCATGACGGCCATTGCTGTATTCCACACGAGGGCGTTTATTATTGGTGGACATGCTGGTTTGTTTCACTGACTGAAAGTGGGTGTTTCGTGAAGCTATTTTGGGGTTGTGGTCTCTTTGCCGGCAAAGTCAGGAGATGTTCGGATGAAGTCCGAATAAAAGTGGAGAGTGGGTCTGCAAGTTGGGGCGATTGCGAGGGGAAGTGCCTGCCGGTAATTTCCGGCCATCACCGGCGGTTCCGGTCCGGATCTTGCATGTATCTTCTTGTCGCTAACTACGCAATGAAACATTAGCAAAATTTACTTTCTTCTCTAGTGTAGAAGAAGAAATGCAAGCCATGGCACGCTTCTATCTTTAATCAAAGGAACGCAATATCTCATTGGACTCGTCATGTGTCGTCAAAGCAAAATACTTTGATCCCTGTCGCTATCGTTGGTAATGTCACCAGTCACTGATGACCAACAATCCGGCTTGCTGGCTCGAGCCGAGCGTGTTGCTGAGGAATTTGCCCTTGGTCGTGAAGATGTTCGGCGCATTACAAGTCACTTTGTTCGCCAAATGAGTGAGATTGATACTTTGATGGTGTGGACGTGAAGGAATTGCTGACAGACTGGTAGGGGATGGACTCACCCATAATCGCGCATGGCAACTACCCAGCTTCGTGAGAAGTGTACCGACAGGGGCAGAGAAGGGCACTTTTCTTGCCGTTGATCTAGGCGGTAGTAATTGCAGGATATGTCTCGTGCATTTGCGTGGCGATTCTACTTTTACAACTACTCAGACCAGACACCGCGTGCCGCCGGAGGTTATGGTGTGTCAAAGCTATAAGCCTCTGTTCGATTTTATTGCAGCGAAAACAGCAGAATTTCTCGCCGAAAACCTAGCATCAAATACCAAAGGCTACGATAGAGCACACGGACGCGCAACGCCGTACAGATTAGGATTCACATTCAGCTTCACCTGCGAGCAAACTTCCCTCGCCGGTGGAACTCTTATTCGTTGGGATAAAGGCTGGGATATTCCAGAAGCAGTAGGAAAGGACCCTTGTGTGATGTTGCAAGAGGCCATCGACAAGCTTGGATTACCGGTTCTAGTCACAGTGCTCGCAAACGACAGCGTCGGCACACTCTTAACAAGATCCTATACTGCGGGCTGGAAGATTTCTACGTTGGCTGCAATAATATTTGGAACGGGTACGAATGCGGCATATGTTGAGAAATTATCCAATATAAAAAGACTCGGTGTGAAAAAGGGGTCAGCTGGGGAGATAATGGTTATCAATACTGAATGGGGTTGTTTGGACGACAAAATGGAAGTTTTACCGCGAACTTGCTATGATGATGAGCTTGACCGGGAGTCAACTGATCCTGGTATTCAAACGTTTGAAAAGAGGGTCTCGGGAATGTACCTGGGAGAGCTCCTAAGACTCGTACTAGTTCGATTGGTGCAAGAGGATTCTTTTGAGATGTCAATTGATAAAGAATCACCACTCTTCCAAAGCCAAGGAATCGATAGCTCCTTTCTATCTGACCTGGCGATTGCAGGCGATAAAGACTCATCGAAGGCACTATCACTCGTCGAAAGCAAATTATCAGCGAAGAATGTCACAGTCAACGATGTGAAGACCATACAAATATTGTCTGCTGCTATTGTCCGCCGAGCAGCACGTTTAGCTGGAGCATCGTTGGCAGCTATCATTATACAGAGCGGTCGACTTGAGCCTCCATTAACAAAGCTGAAGTACTCCGGCACCAAGGTTACAGAACAAGAAGCCGTGGAATCTACGAATACGCGCATGTCTAGCATACAACGATTCCGTCACAATCTAAACTTATTATGGCGTCGAATCGTCAAATTCTTAGCCCGCTTGAACATCTCACAGGAACAGCTCCAGTCTGCCGGTTCCATTCAGCAGCCTGATACAGAAAAGTCGATCATTGACATCGGCGCCGATGGCTCAGTATTTGAGTTATATCCGACGTTTGAGGCCGATATGCGTGGGGCACTTATAGAGGTACCAGAGATCGGACCTTCTGGCGAAAAGCGTGTCCGTATTGGGCTTGCAAAGGATGGATCTGGCGTGGGAGCCGCTCTGATGGCACAAGCAGCGCTTGAAATGGAAAAGAAAGCGCAACATTGAGCATTCAAGGTTTCAAGAAGTACTTTAGAATACATAGACAGGCTATAGAGACCAAAAAGCATTTAAATGTGAAATATACCACTTTAAAAGCGAGAAGTCCTCTGGATATGCCAAAGTTAGCATCGATCAGTACTTGCTTGTCCTTGCAGGTCGACATTTTTTTCAACCATCCCGTCCCTAATACTCACCAAAGTCCCGAGAAGTTCAGAAATATCCGGAGCTCCGTCAAACCTAACCTGTCCTTGTACAATAACAACTGGCACTCCTTTATTCTCAGCACCCACCAAATTCCGAGCTCTTTTAAGCTGAACCTCAAGTTCTTCGCCACCAATATCCTTATCCATCCATCCATCAGCCTCCTCAACACCAACACCAGCATCAATAGCAATGGACCTCAAAACTTCCTGATTTGTGATATCCATTGCCCTTTCATGGAAAGCGCTGCATATCCTATCTATCACTCTATCCCTGACTTCCGCGCCCCTTCGACTCTGCACTAATTGAATCAAACGATGCGCCTCCCTCGTACCCCCAATTTTACCCTCAAAGAAATTGAACGAGATACCGTAACTGCGTCCAATTTGCATGATGCGATTATACGTCAGATTCTGATGTTTTCGAAGCGCGATTACGCTTTCAAAGTTCGTTTTGTTTCTACTTGGTAATGTCGGATCGAGAAGGTAGTAGGGGAGATAAGTTATGTTGAACTCGTCGGCTAATCCGTCGGGGATTGTGGTTCGATATAGTCGAACTGTTTTTTCGAGGGCACGATGGGCAATGAAACACCACTGCTCAAAATTAGCATCATTGTTGGGTTTTGTTTGAGAGAAAGGGACGAATGTACCGAGCATATTGGGTCGGAGACGATTTCGATGTTGAAGGTAATCATCTAGTTAGATGTCAAAAAATGCCGTGTAGGAGTGACGATGATTTGCTCACCTTCTAGATTGCCAGAGCAGCACAATATTCACTTTCAAGGTTTCTGTGTTCGATATGAGGACAAGAGATGCATAGCTGTCGATCTATATATCCTCATTATTGGCTTATCGGTATCCCAGTTACCGAATTGCCGAATCACCGAATCAAGTCGCTTGTCAGTAGATTCACCTGGAGATAATGATCGTCAACTCATTTCCTGATACTGAGAGACTTCTATAAAACGACTGTTGAGACATGAGATTAGGTCTTAGGGCTCCTGATTAGGGTTTTAGATAAGAATCACCCTACTTGGGATACGGTTACATCATTGTCTTTTGAGGTCGTGTTTGTAAATGGAGATGTCTCAATGAAAGTTCTGCAGTATTTTCCCCAGTGACATCCATGCTACTAGGGCCTAAGAGATAAGTAACCTGAGGGTGAACTTTTTAAGAGAGGACGTAGTATCTAGAAAGCCTGAAGTGGTCTCCGGGTTGTACTCAAATCTATTCCAGTTACATGGTAGGGAGCGCGCCCCACTCACTGTCAAAGGGGTATATATATGCCCTGTTCACAGTGAGAAAGAATTGCATTTACCTACGACTTCTATTTTCAAATCAAGATACACTTTGTATTTTCTTTGGGTTTTACTCTCATAGAAGATCTCTCACTATGCAAACAACTAATAATAGAGCCGAAAGTGCAAGCTCCATTGCATCGGCTTTTGCATCACTCTCAAATGGAGTTACTGAACTCCCTCCAAGATTTGTAGCACTAAAGCGAGAGCTTGTTGCAGACAAAGAGGATGCAGTGCTAGCAGGCTGGAATCGCCTTCTAGAACGTGTTTCTCTAGAGAAACTGCAGAATCTCGATACAAGCATTATTCCTGAAGTTGAGTTCAAAGACATTGCAGCGAACAGCGGGAATATCCCTAAGGATATTGTCAAACGGCTTCGCGACTGCGGCACTATTGTCATCAGGGATCTGGTTGAAGAAGCCCAGGCCTTGAAATGGAAAGAGCAGATTAGGAACTATGTGAATAAGAATCCTCAAACAAAGGGGTTCCCGGTGAACGATATTCAAGTCTATGAGCTCTATTGGTCCAAAGCGCAGTTAGAGGCAAGAGCTCATGAGAATATGCTCGCGGCCCAGATTGCTCTGAATCGGGTTTGGTCTGCTAAGCCAGAAGATGCCGTCGATCTTGAGGTTCCGCTCACGTACTGTGATAGAGTTAGGATGAGGAAGGTATACGCACTGATCTTATCGATGTTCCCGAGAAAGACGCTAAAGTATTTGTAGCCAGGTGATCGCTCTTTCAACCTCGGTCCACATCTTGATGGTGGATCACTCGAACGCTGGGAAGACCCTGAATATCGCAAGTGCTATGCCAAAATACTCAGTGGAGACTGGGAGAATCATGATCCGTTCGATGTGACTCATCGCCTGAAAGCTACTGTGGACATGTATAATGGTCCTGGGGGTTGCTCAGTCTTTCGATCCTATCAGGTACACTAAACAATCTAATAGTCGACGCCAGGATCATGTCTCCACACTGACTCCGTTATCTATTAGGGATGGCTTTCTCTCTCCGACTGTAGCCCTGGCTCTGGAACCCTGCATGTAATGCCCGATCTTGTTGCATCAACTGCCTATACACTTATTCGACCATTCGTCAAACAGACCGCAAATGGGATTGACTGGGAACTTGGCCTTGACACGCCGCACTTTCACGGTACAGCCATGGGTACAGGTCAAGAACTGACTACCGAATTTCATCCTCATCTCAATCCGCACGGCTTCGTATCAATTCCTCGTGTCCGTCCCGGCGATGCAGTCTTTTGGCACTGCGATGTGGCACATATGGTAGAAGCTGAGCATGGCGGTATAGCCGATTCAAGTGTCTTGTACATTCCATCTGTGCCATTATGCGAAGTCAACATTGCATATGTTAAGAGACAAAGGGAGAACTTCATACAGGGTGTGGCTCCGCCGGATTTCCCGGGTGGCGTGGGAGAAAGCCAGCACAGAGAAAGAGGCCAGGATGAGGATGTTAAATCTATTGCAGGAAGACGGGCAATGGGTTTCCAGATGTTTGAAGTTCATGATCGCCTTACTACAGGGCAGAGAGTCGCTGCGGAAACAGCCAATGCCATTTTAGGATTCAATTGAGTAGGGCTGAAATATGATGGCTGAGCAGCTCACAATCTTCATACTGAACCGGATTCTTTTGTTGAAATTCGTTAGTTATTATGGTTCACCCCGAAGTCCCCCTTTATACGGACGAGTTAATATAGATATATTATGACGAGGAACATATCTCAGTTCTCCAGAGGCATAGTTTACCCAAATACATGTTAGTCTCTAAGGCAATGCCCCAACGCCCGTACACTGTACTATGGCATGACCGTATTCATAACCAAGCACCAGAGGATGTCCGTGGAAAATTCCGTTGTGTTGCTAATTCATGCAAGATGATTCTTGTGCACAATAAATCATGATTGAAATAAGGAGACAAAAATGCCTATACAGAAATCTGTTGACGGGTCATTGGAATGGCTTCCCCATTTCCGGCAAACTCGGATCAACTATTTGCCATGTAAGATCAAACACCGGCTCAACTTCCTTGGTCATTCCTTCACCTATATCGTCACCTTGAAAAGTCCGGAAGGAGGAAGCCTGGAGATGGCTTGGCGAGTGATGATACAACCCTCAACTGTGGGCTGTAAGTCATCAGGGAAGGGAGATATGGACTCAAACAGCTTGCTGGAGGCCGTGCTTGCGTATTCTCTGGGATAATGAAAATAATCAGTGACTTTGAGGAATATTCAAGGTTCAAAGGTGTAAGTAACCCCTGAAAACTCTCCAAAGACGAGAATGATTGATATGACGGATGTTGTTCTCCGTCTGCTTGCTGACTTTGGGCCAAAAGGGGCATGCCGGTCGTGGCCCTCTTTCCTTTGTCACCTAAGATAGAAACTTGCAAACAGAGTCTGATGAGAATTGGCCAAGAAAAGAAACATGTAGCTCACCAACTATGCAACGGTTACACAGCTAACCGCTCGAAATCGCTTGCTACCTCACTGCTTGTTCCCTTTGATTATCGGTATCTCTGTAACAAAAGATCAATATTAATATAATGTTCCAGACTATCATTTCGTGCATTTCTATGGAGTCCGTATATGCACGAATGATGTGACGAGGATATTCTCTAGAATTGGACGCTGCCCCCCGAGCGTTAGACGGTATGTGCGTAAATTTATGGGGCCTAAATTAGACCCTGTCCGAGAGAAGATACGTACACCAGCAATGGTTTCTAGAAAGATAAGGGTTAGGGCTGTGGAGTTAGGGCTAAGGGTTATCAAGCATCTTCACTCTGTTATCCAGCTCTCATTCATCATTCATAATTTTATGACCTGTAAATCCTCCGTCTCCAATCTAAATCACATCTGCGCGATTGCCCTCTCAAACAACTTTCACAGTTCCGACAAAGGCAGCGAGACATCTGACGAGCTGGAGACATAACTCGCGATACATTTGTTTCACATGTCAAAAATTTCCAGTCAGATCGAGAATTATTTTACCGAGACCCATGCGGTCAGATTTTGGATACATCCATATGTTGACTCAGATATGTACCGATGGATCCTGAGGATAATTGCTCGGTTGCAGAACAACATGCATCCCATGGTTGCCGGTATCTGTGGACACTCATCCCGGGAATGAAGATTTCTCCATTTCCCCCAGAAATGTATCAATTTGTATATCGTTTAGTACTTAGCAAGTTGAATGCCTACATCGACCATGTTCAATGCGAGGCCGTCACACATCTGTAAACCTGGTAATGTGATACAGTCTCGGAAGGAGAGAGACATTTCAGCATCACTGATATACTCCATATCGGGATGAATATGGAACGATGAGATGCACTGCTACATAGGAAAGTACCGAGCAAACAAGTTGCGTGTAACAATGGAACCTAGATGTCTCAAACTCCGTTTGGGTTGTCTGATCAGAATGGTCTTCGGAAAGCAAAAGAATCGGTGAACGACATGGTATAACATAGCTCTTTCTAAGCGAAGAAGTTCTGTAGGACAAGGTGATACAGAAGAGAAGTCACCGGTTTGCTGTAATTGTATATACGTTACTGATTCTATCCATGGGTTTGACGGCTGACATACAGTATTTATCTGACACAAAATTACCTATATCAAATGCTTATCCGACTCAAAAAACTACACAACAAAACCCTTCTCTTTACTATCTCTAGTGCCGAAAGGATAGTCTCTGGGGACGGAGACAAAGAAACAGAGCCACAAATCGATGAGGTTTGTCACGGATATCTCCAAAAAAGTCATGTCAGAAATATTAAATCTGCAACATCCTCATGGATGCCACCGGCGAATTAATCCAGATTAAGAAATTACATAAGTATAATCCATGTTTGGAAGTTTCATTCATCCAAGGATATCATTTGAGGATGATCTCGGATCTTTCCGTATAAATGTTACTCAACACTCACGGTTGACGCTTTGACTTTCTATCTGGACTGAGTTCACAGTAAAATATGCAATATTCCGGAACCGTTGATTCGGGACTTATATACTTAGGTATCTGTACCATATGGTGTTCAAATGCGCCGCCTGCAGTTGAGAAAATCCCTCAAGTTTCTCCTTATCTGCCGTAGAATTTGAGATACGCGATTTGGATAAAAAGCTGAAATATCTACTGAAATCATGGCTTCGAATGATTCCATTACTTCCGATGACAAGTATGAGTCAAAACGTGATGGTACGTCGGTGAACATCAGTGTGATGAGTGCTGGAGCAGTCACAGTTCACTCTGAAGAGAACCCACCAGTCACCAAGAAACAGTGGCTTCTGGTACTCAGTTCCTTTTTCGTGTTTATGAATACATGGTGAGTTTGATTATCTATTTTTATTGGAAATGCCTGGTTAACCACACCAAAAGGGGCCTCCTGCTTACATTCGGTACCTTTCAAACCTACTACCAGCAAGAGTTATTACCGCACAAGTCAGCATCCGACATATCCTGGATCTCAACCATCTGCGCTTTCATATTACTGTTCAGCGGCGTGGTGACGGGAACTCTATTTGATTATGGATACCTTCGGCCACTGCTGTTTATAGGGAGTCTGCTGGAGGTGTTTGGTCTCATGATGGTCAGCATTTCGACAAAATACTATCACCTCGTTCTGGCTCAGGGGATGTGCGTCGGGCTAGGAGCGGGTATGCTCTATATCCCGAGCGTTGCGGCGACAGCAGCGGCTCTTCAGCCGTTTCGACGGGCTAAATTCATGGGCTTGATTTCCACTGGCTCTGGAATTGGTAGGTCCGGCGTCCTCCTGTACCATTCGGTTTGGTGTTAGTTAACTGAACGTTCTCCCAGGGGGCGTGATATACCCAATCATGTTTCAACGACTGCTTTCCTCACTCGGGTTTGCTTGGGCCATACGCATCATCGCTTTTCTGATATTCAGCACTTTTCTGATGTCTTACCCGATCCTCATCTACAAACCACGAAAGAGCCCACTCGTTCGACCATTTATCGATGCCGATGCCTTCAGTGATACACCATTTTTGCTCATCATTTTGGGTGGATTTCTATGTGCCATCGCCTATTTTGTGCCGATGTTTTACATTCCTCTGTATGCCGAAACTGAGATTTCCGGATTTCGTGGGCACCATGTCGAACTGACATTTTACCTGGTCTCAATTGTGAACGGAGCATCCGTAATTGGCCGTCTGATTGCAGGGGTCTTGGGTACTTTGACCGGTCCAACAGAAACAACGGCTTTGGCTGTGGGTGCGAGTTCTATTGTAATCTTCTTATGGATTTTGGTCAAGTCGGTAGGTGGAATGATTGTCTGGGCAACGGTTTGGGGTATAGTGTCTAGTGTCATTGTAACATTGCCAGGCGCAATGGTGCCTCTCTTCTCTCCCTCCATAGAAGTTATTGGGACACGAGTGGGCATGTTTTGGGCTGGAGTGGGAGTTGGAGTCCTCATCGGAAGTCCCATTGCTGGGGCTATGGTTGACCTGCAGCCTGGGGATATACAGTGGTGGCGATTACAGGTATTTTCAGGTGTACTCATGGCTGCTGGGGCGTTGTGTTTTGTTTATCCTGTCCTTTATGTGCGGAAAAAGACGCAGAATTTCATCTGACAAAGAGCGAGAGCAGACTTGGAAATGGAAATGAGGCATGGAATATCATAGATTTGCCTAGGATATTGGTAAACTATACATATTGGCGGTATAAAGACACGGTAGGGCTCGTAGTTAGCGCTGAGTGAGTCCCTGGTTTGTAGCATCCATTCCAAGGTTCGTATATTTGACAGTAGATAGCTACGTGTCGTCATTGTTTGTTGTACATTTCTTAATTAATGGAGAATATATGTTATATAATTCTTCCTCTATAAGTACCAGTGATGTATTTCTAAAAAAAAGGCAAAGAAACAACAAAGAGGGGGCGACAAAAGGCAATGCTTGTATACAACACCAAGTAGAGATATTTACAGCGGTCCTTTCGGCGATTATTCTTTCTATCTTTGATTAAGCAAACAGTTTGTGTTTGTCCTGCTTGTGATATGTCGAAAGTAATGGGAGGCGAGTGACCGCAGTGTCGGACATTCCCAGGCCACCGAGACTGTAAAAGTGCATCCAGATTGCCCCATGGAACAAAGCAAATAATGAATCCGTATAAGACATATGTATAATATTAATTATGCGATATTCGGTAGCTACCGAAGGATGGGGCGTCAAGACATAAATAGAAGAAGGCTGTCCAGAATAATTTCTCTCCCTTGCCCACTTTCATATCCATGCAGTCTCACCATGGTGCTGGAAACAACATTCGATTGCCTGCCCAGCTGGGTTGGACAAGTTGCTTTTGGAACTACCCTCGTCAGCCTGGTTCTGTGGCTCTCATCATTTTTCAGTGCATTCAAGAAGTACGATCGTAAGACAATGACTGAGGACGTGGAAAATGATTCATCACTGTTGGGTATTGATGAAGTGCTTGTGTTCCCAGGAAGAACGTCTCATACTCGACTCTCCCCTGTAGTTCGTTCATTCTGGTTTCATTTCCTCATTGCGGCAGTCCCTATCAGGAACTGCAGGTCGAACTGGTTCGTGTCAGTCGACAGTGACACCAAACCATGGTGGCATCGAGGCTGGCTCCGAGTTGACCCTCCAGATCATCTTCATCGAGGGGAAGACGAGAACGGATTGAGCTACAAGCTTGACAAATTCCTTTCCTCAAAGGTACGAAATATGGGTTGCGCATATACAATGGCACTTTCCCCCTCCTTACTAAACGAATATCGTTAGCAATACAATCCCGCCGACTATCCCACAGTATGGCTCGTTACATCGCCAAGGTTTCTAGGATACAAGTCCGACCAGGCATCGTTCTGGTACTTGTATACTGCTGACGGAACTCTTGACATGATGATTATCGAAGCGAATAACAGCTTCGACGAGCGAAAGGTATGGGTAGTACCAGCGGCCCAAGAGCATGGTATGTGCAATAACACAGCGACAAAGACACACAGACGGAAATTCCATCAGTATTGGCCAAAGGAATTTCATGTCTCTCCTTTCAACTCAATACACGGTTCCTACTCCATATCTACGCTGGACTCGTTTTCGCCTGGAAAGCCGCTTAATTCAGCGAATGCTATTGATCTCACAATCACACTTCTGGAGTCACAGCGTCGTCCCAAGTTGGTGGCTCGCGTTTGGTCCGTATCAAAACCTTTGATTCCATCAAGAGTCTGGGTTCTCTATGGATATCTCTTTCTCGCATCATGGTGCTTGACTGCAGCTTTAGTCAGTGAGTCTTTGTGTCCTTGCTTCTACCGCGTGAAATTAGCTAAATGTTAGCTTGTTACAGCGCCACGGACTCTTTTTCAGGCATTCATCCTATCGAAGAAACATAAGCTAAGCTTTCGAGTCCGACCTGAACCGAAACCCGGGACGTTTCCTCGCCGTAATACGACAGCTGAAGGGTATGTAGCCAACCCCCTTCTTCCCCTGAAGTGTTTACATAAAAACCTATGGAATCTTTGGAGGCCTACGAGTGGTGTTGACAGTATATGCTAGATACCTCCGCGAGATATTCATCGATTATCTTCGACAAATCATGAACAAGTCACCAGAGAATTTCTACCTCACTTTATCGGAACCCGGCTTCGAAACCATCATTCTCAACACACGGAACGTCGCTTGGGATTCACCTCTTTACCACATATCTGTACTGACACCGAAGTTCTATGCTACCATAGTAACTTGTCCTACCATTGAGACGTTCCTCTACACTGCCTTGCTTCACAAGGATGATGGACGACGAACTGCGTGTACAGATACAAAAGATTCTGAAGGTTTGATCGTGCTGCTGAAATATGTTGCGGCATATTTCTCGCTTTCATCCCGAGACCCGAATTCTGTCCTGTGGAATACTACTGATACTGCGAGTAATGGTAATACGATTACGCGAACCTGGATTGTCAAGTCTCCAAAGCTAGCGATATTATCTCTACTTTCGTTGATATGGTTCCTTGTTACACATGTACGGTACTGGCTCTCCAAATCGAGTGGTGAGGGGTTGCGGTTGTCAAACACAGTCACCGCACCAACTTCGGTAACGGAGAGTGGCACAAAGGTCCAGATCGATGAAGAGTTGTGTTCACATGCTGATACCTATCGAAATGGAACGGTTACGGATGACTCGAAATGTTTCCTGGATCATTTTGTGCGTGAAAACTATGGACCTGCTGCTCAATTTGGGTATTTATGGGCCCAGTTAAACACTGTTATGAGAGAGCAGATTCTAGGGATTACTGGTGGAGGTTGATAATCAAACGAATAACGGAGTTTTGGCATTCATTTTCAAGTGAGAGAGATTAGTATAATCCAATCTTATTATTGTTTTATGACTGTTATGCACCAATAACTAGCTAATAAGTATATAGTCGATACCGGTATGATCCTTACATCATACACCGATTCCTTGAACTATATTCACCATATCCTTTTTGTAGCTGAGACTTCCTATTTGCCCATATCTCCCATGTGTTATCCCTTGCCACTGATACTCACCTATTCACCTATCGATATCCGTCCACACCACAATCTGATATGATGAATGGTTAGTCCACGACTTTCAATCAATATGCGTACGGCTTCTAGTCCAGCCTCCGCCAGTTGTGGGAGTGCTTGATTCATGGATGAAGAGGGATTCTTCCTAGCTGGAGACTAATGATGACTTTATGTCTCTGCTTACCGCCCCGTACGCTGTAAGCAGTTGTATATTGACTATGTTTGCCAGTGGTGGATAGACTAGTTGCTTCCTTTGACGTTGATAGACGCGCTGTTGAGACGAATTGTCTGCATAGACGCCAGTCTCAATAATGGTTTAGCCAAAGCCTCATCGATCGGATTCTCTCATCCTGCTGTTATGATTGGGATACTTGCGCGAGTAACAATAAGGAAGAGACGACCACGGAGAAGTCTTGATAGATGAAGACCGTTTCCGTGGTTGAACGACAAGAAGCCAAGGGCAGGTAGATTGGCGACGAATCCTGAGAAATTAAGCTTAATAAATTTCATAAATAAATTCATCGATCAGAGAAGAGGTAGTGTACTCTTGGTTAAGGAAAGTGTGGGTGAAGTTTATATGAGCACTCCGCCGATAACGATGTTGATAGTAGCCCTAATATAAGCAGCCTGGTGTGAGATACTGGACAGAGGACGAGACTCAAGGGCATGACTTACAGTATACTCCATCTCATGAACAGCACAATCGAAAGCTTCTTCTAAGTTACCTAAGTAACCGAAGATTATAAGAAATAGAGCGGTCATTCTAGTCTAGTGCTATATGGTGTGTACGGAAAATACTTGATCTTGTCTTACTGACGATGATCTAATGAAGCATTTGATTAAACAAACATGGATTTGCCTAAAATATTTAACAGTTAAAGCCTTCAATCTAACAATGAAACATAACAACTAGAGAAAAGTATCCATACAGCTCAAATATTGATACAGCATATCCCGACCCATGATATTTCCTTAGTTATACAATCAAAATTCATCATTACTAGCCCCAACCATATCCTGCTCACTTGTAAAATGCTCCGTATCCGGCACCAAATGTCCAGTCTGATCGTAGTCAGTCTCAAACTGCTTTTCGACCGGCAGGGCAGCGAGATCATCATCCGAAAAGGATCCGGTGCTTGTCTTTCGAGCTTGTTGTTGAGCCTGTCCTTGTCTATGCATGCTCCAGGAAGGTTTTCGTTTTTGTTGTTGTTGTCGTTGTTCTTGGTCTAGCTGTTTGTTGTCCATGTTGGATTCGTCTGCGCTCAGGGTACTCCGGAGTCCCTGATGATATTGTTTTTGATCGTGGGACCCGGGGAAGTGAGGTAGATGTTTGCTTATTGACTTCATTGTGGAGACGATCTTTCAGTAGAATTTGAGCAATTGATGTCTTGAAATGATATAGGTTTTGTTTGATTGCAATTCACAATAGAAGATTGGAAAGGTCTCGGTGCCAGTAGACATCTCCCTATTATATAGTCATTTGCCCCAGCTGACTGACGGATCACATCCCTCGCTATAATCGTTATTACGCAATAAAGTGGTATAGTCATAAGTTTAATAGAAGGAAATTCCACAAGCCCAGGCTGATTGTCACTGATCAGTGGCTAACGATAATGGACCGATTCGAGGCCGTTTTATAACAAACTGATACATGTAACTCTGCTCCGTTACTCATTTTCGTCTGGAATATGACGGCTAAAGTCAGCTTTCAAATGCCTGAAGATTAGTATTCATGTTACTGATCATGAGTTAAACTCTCATAAAAGAATACATACAAGATCAAAGCTCTGATTCTGCTATCATAATCCGTGTGGATGAATTGAGCACATTCCGTGACAATACCAAACAGGAGTGTTCTACACGGTAAAGAACAGTCTACCACTTAGATCAGGCTCTAAAAGCCATCAACGTAGAATGTCATGACATCAGTTGAGTCTTACGTGGCAAAGAATTCGGTCTGGGGTTGTGTGGGGATGGAATTCTCCAACATCTGGGGATTCCTCCAACACGAAATGAGTTATCTCTATATATATCCAATCAACATAATCATATACAGTAGAATTGAACCAATTGCACCATGCCGGGGCTATCAATTCACGCGCCAGGCCTGGTATAGTCGAGATGCTTGACACGCTTCCATACTTCACGTACAGTACGCTCCTGTGACTCTCGACCTGTTTCTGTTGCCGATGGCCCGGCAGGTCTGTTATTGATTTTGAATGTTAATATTTAATGTCCATTCGAAATGATCAATGGAGGAAACCGACCTGATAGCCAAATACAACCGGCTTCCGAGCCTGACATCCTCAATCGGTGCCGTATCTGGATCTTCCGGCGGGTTGGCCGTGGTTATTAACCCTCCGGCTTCTAATAAAATCGCAATACCAGCAGCGACATCCCTATACGCATTCGCGGATCGATTAAAGAATGAAAGAAGAGGCAACAGAGAAGACTAACCACTCCCAGCATCCTCCTTCCCACCAGATATCCACCGAGCCCATAGCCGTATATGCCAGGTCGAGAGTCGCACTTCCCAGACTTCTCACACCATGTACCATTCCTCTTAACCCATCAGCATTCTCTCCACCTTTTTCCGCTGCCATGTTTACGAAACTGTCAATCTTCTTTCGCAGATTACCTCCAGGAACGTTTCGACGATCTTTGCCCCATTCACAAGAAAATATACATTTGCTTGGGGCATTCTCAGGCATGGCTGGAATTTTGAAGTGGTCTTTATTATGGTTTGCAGTATTATTCCTAACGTTCCCAACCAAGGGTAAACGGGTGGTTTCGTTCAGCCAGGCGCCACGACCAATGCAAGCTGAGAAGAGCTGGTTGAGCATTGGCGCGTAGATCACCCCGATAACTGGTTTTCGTCCGACAATAAAAGCAATGCTCACGCAGAACATGGGGAACATATGCGTATAGTTGACTGTACCGTCGAGGGGATCGACACACCACGTAGGATCCGAGGTTATGAGGTATTCTCGAGCAGAGGACGATGTTTTCGCATAGGTTTCCTCGCCGATGAATCTACAAGGAACCCAAAAAGTTAATTATACTGTCTGGGCAAAGGGTTTGATTAGGATAGAGAGTTATCACGAACTTATGACTTGGATACTTGGCCGAGATAGACTCGTGTATGAACCGTTCAACATCTGCTTACATTAGGTAAAATTCTGACTTATCGTCTCAATGCAATCAACTTGCCTTATTTCCCTCTTCATAAGACAGAAATAGAGCGCAACGATTGGAGTATATGAAGACTAACCCTCATCAACCTGCGTGACAATATCAACCGCATTGTCCTTTTCTTCGAAAGCCAAGTTGCTCGTCATATTCGCATTGCTCGCAACGCTTGATGATATTTCTGATATAGTGCCACCGACCCTTGCGTGTATGCCGTCCATCAATTTCATTCCGGCTTTTTTGCCGAGATCAATTGCGAACTGATAGATCTCGTCAAGTTGGGAGCCGGTTATTTCTCCGCAGAGTTTGAGAGACGACGTTGACATGGCTGCGGCTGAATTAGAACAAGTTGAAAAATATCTACAGTTATAACACAAAAAGCACTATATGTTCTGCTGTGCGGGTTCAAAAATACTGAACACAACGAAGATTTGTTGATTGAAGAAGACTTATCTAGACTTTGTCTGCGGGGTTGAAAACACCCGTGGGATAGCCACCATCTCCCGGCTTATCCACATCGGATAAGAACGTCTCCGGTCTTACTCCAGACTCTTGCTACAAAAACAACAACATACATTCAAGACGATATAAACCAAGCCCATGATTGAATCGCTCAATACTCGTTAAGCTTTGCTGGCCCAGCTGGCCATCTGTCACCCTTGACTGGAAACGCGCGCAATATATCACCAATCTGCTTCATATCGGCTTCAGTCAAATCCACATTTCTCGCATTTTCCAATAAAGTCTCCCGAGTTCTTGCACCGACAACAGGCACAATAACGGGCATACCGGGCTCTGTACCCTTCTTCTTGACCCACGATAGTGCTAGTTGTGCAGGAGTGCATCCCTTTGAGCTTGCAAGCTCCTTGATCTTCTTGATAAGTTTGAGGTTATTGTCGAAGTTCTCGGGTGCGAATCGTGGTCGGTGTTTCAGTATGGCGGGAAGATCGTCATAGGATTCGAATTTGCCAGTCAGAATACCACCTCCAAGAGGAGTATGTGCAACTAGCACGACACCGTGTTCCGCACATGCCTCTGCTACTCCATTACTGAAGACTTCAGTAGACCAAAGACTTATCTCAGCTTCGACCATATCAATCTTGGTAATGCTCGCTGCACGTCGGATGGTCTCTGCTCTCACTTCGGTAAGCTGTATACCACCAATTTTTCCTTGTTCGCGCAATTCGGCAAGAGCTTTCACACTTTCCTCCACAGGAACATTAGGGTCGACACGTGCAAGTCCAAAGACATCAATCTTGCTCAATGTTCCTTTTAGAATGTTTAATGATTGATTCACCGATTGGCGCAGTCTTTCTGGAGAACAATCCAGTTTGAAGGTTGACATGTCGGCAACACCACTCTTGATGCATAGCACGAATCTGTCCGCATCTTGAGGGTGAACAGTCAAATAGCGCTTGATAAGGTGCAGCGAGTTATTTTCCGGTGTGCCGTAAAAGTCGGCGCCGTTCCAGACGGTCATGCCAGTTGAAATGGTGGCTTTGAGGATAGGGAAGGTCTCGGAGTCGGGGAGTGGTGTGACGTGCCACGTGAGACCTGTGGTTTATTTTTTAGTATTCGCTCATGCGAACAGAGATGATTGACAGGCTAGAGTGCAATAATAGAGACAACGTGACAAGGGCAGGCTTAACTTACGCATCAGACCGAAGCCATCAAGGCCAATGGGTTTCCCGGCAAGAGAGTACCTCGTTGTTGGGCTCATAGTGATTGAGAGGGTTGAATAAGTCTGATAATTAGTGATTTTCAAGGATCCAGCTCAGGATACTGATTGCCATTTATACTGCATCCTTTCGTCTTGCTTCTCAAGGTACCAGGGTGAGAACAGGAGAAAGCGGATTTTAGATGTCTACGAACGCTGTTAAATCCGTTTAAATTCCGTCTTTGTCCGAATATAGGGACACTTGACAATTTCAAGTGCACAGACATTCAAGCCAAAATGCATTCTGCTTAGACGTTCTACCTCACAGAAATGAGCGTCATAACCAGCTACCTACTACATCGGGAATAGTGGCATGTCTACCCGAAATAATCGCTCTCTCCCACCAAAGGCTTTATTGGTGCATCCCTGGACAAATTTCGTTGAGTTTCTGGGATATTTGTATTTTTTCACCGTATTAAGCTCCTCAGGGTCCATTCTATAAGAGTTTCCGAGTTGGATTGTCTTCCCAGTTTTTGCGATTCGAATCTTAGCTAATCATGTCGAGGAAGCTTGTTGCGTACACCCAATTAATGATTACTCATATCCCAAAGAGTGTACTGTCAGAGAAACATGACAGTGTATAGCTCTTGACTTGCCATATGTCTCTGGATTTGGTTGTGAGTGACTAGGTACCGGACCTGACTGATGTGAGAAAACAAGCTAGGCCTGGACAGCTACTGGGTGCACTTTGAGTTCTACCTCATTGCTTAGTATTACATTGACTTGAAATAACAGAGACTAATAATACTATGGTAGTACCTCTTCCCCTTTCCAATCCCAACAATGACCCCTACCATCATTCGTCCCAGGAGGTATCTTACATAGAACTTGCAATAGTTTGACCGCGGCCTCATCAGGACCCAAAACATTCCTGCTAGCCTGCCAATAGTCGCGTGTGAAATTCGTTCGCACTGTGCCCGGATGTAGAGCCACTGCTAATGCATTATTACCGCTGCGCGTCCTTAGATACAGATCGAACGTCTTGGCGAGTTGGAAAACAGCCGACTTGCTAGCACGGTACGAGTACCATCCTCCCAGTGCATTGTCTGATATTGATCCTACACGAGCTGCCATCATAGCATAAATAGCATGCAGGGGCAATTTGAAAGGCGAGTCTTCCTTTTCTCCACCCGTAGACGGAGAAAAAGGTTCCGTAGAGAATGACTGAGCTGATTTTGTTGGTAGAAATGTATTGAGATGCTTCATCAGCAATAATGGTCCTAACGAGTTGACCTTGAAGCTCTCCAAGGCATCGTCGTAGTTGACCTGACTGGGCGATTTTTCCACACGAAGTACGCCGGGTATGGTTAGAGATAGGCGTAGTGGGATGTCTCTGAACTGTTCGCGAAGACGAGAAGCTAGTTCGGATATACTCGACTCATCTTTACAATAATAATAATAATTAGTATTGAATCAATGTAATGTCACAATGCTTGCACCATAGCAAGTAAATATGTCTACTGGTTCAAACTCACCTGTGACGTCAACTTCAAAGACTGTTAACCTCTTCGCCGCATCTCGTTTTGAGTCAACAGATTCTACAAGCTTATTATGTAAAACATCGCAATCCTTTCGGGCTGTCGCACATATCGGAAGGTCGGTGTGGGCGAGAAGCTGTCGTGTCAAGGCGAAGCCAATGCCACGGGAGGCAGGAGTAATTAGGGCAAACCCGGCACGTGCCGAAGCCATTAATGTCAATTGTAGTGGAAAAGAGCTCCTAGTCCAGGGTATTGGTATTATGCCTTTCATAGGGAAAATAGTTTATATCAAATAAATCAATTGCATCACGTTCTAAGTATGACATTCGAATTATGCGCTGATGTGGCGATCTCGATGGCTGAGTTTCCACCTTTTCCAGCCCTTCGATTGTGACATCCGGATCGGTTAATATGCTACTTCAATACACCGTTAATTTGCATTCTCCGTTAAAAGGACTTCCTAAGAAGCTATATTTGGACCTTCACATGGTCTTCTCGCACATAGAATGACTAGAGCTTCACGAACCAAGCTGTTGATCAACCGCTTTATATTCTATATAGGTTCTAGTGGTCACGTTCCATGTATCTCCACCTGTCTCAGTTGAGAATCTTGACGAGGCATTCTTCAGCATATCTTTCGGTAATTGAGAAAAGAGTCTTACAATCCAGCTGTCATAAGACATGAATAGATGACCTAGCGTTATACAGACCTCCTCAAGGCATCGGGTGCTTGCCAGCAGAAAAGACTGTGTTAGGTAGGCATCATTTTGTTGTGGTGAGAAAGGAACAAAGTTACTTCCATGTCACCATATTTGACGTCAATCCTGGAAGCTGTCAGCCATATCTGCCCTATGTCTCGGATAAAAGTCAGATGATGCAGACGATAAGTGACACTATCTATAAATATCACGGTTAACTTGAAAGGCAAACATGTCAGAGGTTGGTTATATCTTTTTCCAAGTAAGGCATAAAAAGGTATACCACTTACTACGTATTGACAAAAATATGTGACACAGAAGTGACATTCTGAGGTTGCAGTACAACCACGTTTTTGTGGATAATGAATATATTGAGATTTGACTAGAGCAGTTGCCTTTGGCATACTTTAAGCCCCGAAAAAATCGGGACGTACTGAGATTCTTACCTATGTATTTATTGCAAGTGCAGACCTATCTAGGTAGAACTCCAGGCTGAGTTTTTTGTGCCGTATAAGCTGTGCAGCTGCAGTTGTTCTGAGTCACCGGAGACAACACAAATACTTCATATATTGACATCTGTACGACATGATTCCATCTTCGTCCTTTTGCAAGAGCGAGCGCTCTCTCATACTACCTTTGCTATGGATAAGAATATTAGTTTCTTGGTTTAACGAGACTTCGGATTCCAGCAGCACCCAGGGGTCATTTGATCTCTGTCACGCATAAAGAGCGGTATGAGATGTTGAATTCTTGTCCAAAGAAACTTATATAAAAGATGTCAACTTCTCTGCTCGTTCGTTTGTAAATCTTCATTGAACACTATCAAAAGCCCATTAAAACTTCAGCTGCTACCGTCAATCGAAGATTGTATTACTGACCAATATGTTGTTCAAAAGAGTACTTCTCTCTTACTTCCTTGTAGGAGCAGCTACTGCGATATTCATTCCAGCAGAGCTGACCGGAGGAATTATCATCGCGAATACACCAGCAGAAGAACAGCAATCCAACCTCATTGAGCTCCGGGATTCCATCCCAGCTCCCGCAAAGTTGCTGAAGAGAGACGCCGATGCAACAACTAGTACTGCTGCACCGTCCCCTACACAACCCGGACTCATCTCAACCTGCAATTCCTATTACCTCGTTAAACAAGGAGACTACTGCTCTACTATTATATCTAAATTCAACAACTTTACACTAAGTCAATTCTATACTTGGAACCAGTGAGTTGAGAATCCACCGGCGATGTCTGCTTGCTTACTGTGATGCTTACTGCTTGTGTTTACCAGTGCCGTCAAGTCAGACTGTTCTCAGTTGTTAGCTGGATATTATGTCTGTATAGGAGTCTCTCGATGCTCTTCTAAAGCATCCGAGCTTCAGGCAAGGGCAGATCCTACTCCTACTCCAACACAGTCCGGAATTGCAAGTAACTGTGAGTTAATAATGCTCTAACTCAAGGCACCGGTGCTAAATTAGGCCTTCCCACCATGCCAGGCAATAACTACTATGAAGTTGTTTCGGGTGACACCTGTATTGGCATTGCTAGCCGTTACGGTGTCACTTTCTCCCAGTTCTATAACTGGAATCCAGCCGTGGGCTCGAACTGTCAGCTTCTTCTGGAGGGTTACTACGTCTGTGTTGGAGTTTCACGTAGGTCGTCTTCTTCAAATATCAATCGATCAAGAGCAAAAGTCAAAACAGTTGACTAAGAAGCATCTAAGCAACGTCAACAACATCCACTTCAGGCTCTTGTACCACTACCACATCACTAACTACGACAACAGCAACAATGCCTTCGCCAACTCAACCCGGAGTCACCTCGGATTGCATACAGTATTACGAGGCGCGATCAGGAGATACCTGCGTTTCGATTGTGCAGAAGTATAGTTCCTATCTGACGCTTTCACTGTTTGAAAGTTGGAATCCTGCGGTGGGTAATGATTGTACAGAACTTTTGGTGGGATACTGGTATTGCGTGGCGACGAAGAGTGTGCATGGATGAACTGATGCATGCTGTGTGAATGATACCGGTTTATGTAGTTAGTGATACGCTTGTCGTTTTTCCTAAGTTGCCAGCAAGGTGAAGTTGTAGCAGGACTCGAAGCCGCTTGAAATTGACTACTGAAGAGAGATCATTGATAGTAAAATGGGTATAAAAAATAGCATGTATGCTATACGCTTTATACCCACTAATGGATTTTGTACACGTATCTATTCATAATAGAAGTGTTCTATCTACGCCGATACCAAAGCAGGGACAGGCTCAGTCTTTTCTGAAACCGAATGAGTAGCAGCAGTGTTAGCTGCTTCAGCAGCCTTGCGCTGGTCCTTTTTGCTCATCTGCATCGCCCCCTTCGCTATAGCTTCCTCCGGCAAAGGGCGAATATATGGCTGACATACCCACCATGGACGACTATATTCCGCAATTGTGGCCTGGGATCCCTGAAGCTCATCTGCGTCCTCTGCTTTTTTATCGAATGCTTCAGGATTCTTCTCATATTCTAATATGCCTTCTTTGACAGCGTCTTCGACCATGCTCAAGATCCGCTCAAAAGATGCAATGTCACCAGCATGCGTTCGTGCCAGTGCATCGCGTATATGTGTGTGTTGTGAGACCAGGGCGCGTAGAAGCTGGAACAAATGACCCTGCATGGCGACGAGATTCGGGTCGTGAGTTCTCTTCTCTTTGCTGCGTTTCTGCTTCTTGCTAGGTAGATCAACGGCTTTTCCATCAGCATCGTTTTCAGCTTTTCTCTTCCCATTCACTTGGCCGTTTTGTTCCGTGTGATTTTCTGTGTTTTTGCTTTGCTCGGTAGTATCGACAACAGGATCCGACTGCAAGAAAAGTGGTTTGCGCTCTGGCACAGGATTGCCGAGGACGTATTCATGGATGATATCCATATACCGCCTAAAGACTGCATCCATTCGGTAACCTCCTCTCCCATCGCGACCACGCCAGTATTCTCGTCCTTCATTGCCGATTTCAGGAACCTTGCTGAATATAGTAGGATCCGATAAATTGCCTTCCGCGCTCATGACTCCATCGGCACCTGTAGCTTCCAGACAATGCTCGATATCACCATGATTTAAAATATTCCCGTTCGCAAATATGACCGTCTTTGGAGGGAGATTCTCTCTCAGATATTTGATATAACTCCAATCTGCGACTCCTGTATTGTGGCCCTTTTGCTCTCTTCGTCGACCATGGACCGTAATTATACTGGCGCCGGCTGATAGTATCATCTTAGCGTATTCCAACGTCTTTTCTTTCGTCTCCTGGATTCGAAACTTGGCAGTAACAGGTACCGGCAACTCCGTATGCAACCTATTAATCAATTTATAAATCAGATCCCAATCTTCCTGCAAAAATGCGCCGTAGTGTCCCTTTCGTGCAATTCCCTGCGGACATCCAAGATTGAGGTCCACCGCGTCACAGTATGGAGCTACAAGACGAGCAGCCTCTAGAAAATCATTTGGGTCGTTTGCGCAAAACTGTACAAAGAGTGGTCGGTCAATGGCTGGGTTACCGTCGAGAAACGGGACGTTCGGATCGTCTCGACGGACGGGCTGGAAATGTTGAGCGCGAAATCCCTCTGTTTCATTATATAGCCGGGCATGAAACATTGGCGAATACGCAAGAAGACGTTGCGGTTCGTCCTTTGCCATGAAAGATCGTGTGAGCATTCTCCAGGCCTAAGACAAAAGAAGGTGTATCAGTAAGTTGGATCTTTAAAGAGTGAGGAGTCGATGCGCACAAATTCTGATCTATCCACCATAGGTGCCACGATAAATTTCGGGCTCCCAATGCTCTTATAAAATTCCCTCCCTGTCAATTTCGCGGGTCTGTTTTCAAGAACGCTTGCTGTAGACATCTCGGCAGCTTGTTGCGATATTTTGAAGATTGAGCTAGCCCAGTGTCGGATTAATTTTTGGCTCCGATAGGGAGCTCTCAAGCTGAGGTAACCTATGTTGAAGAATGTTCTGGCGACAAATAACCACAAATATATGTACGATCTGTTGTTATGAAGTATGCATGTTTCTGTCGCGACTTTTTCTTGGTCTTCAATTTTGGCTCTATTTGGCCCGGAATAAAGACGGCCCGGTTTACTTATCTTATCGGCCATCATTTTTGTATGGGTCAGGCGCCAAGGCACAAACAATGCCAACAACTTCCTGACTACAGGCAGTCACACCAATTGCCTCGTTGAACGACTACAGCTTGATTGACGGCGATTCATTCTTTATACAACCACCCGCCGAGTCTCAACCCTAACATTTGCAGTGTTGATACAAGCTAGAGGCCCAGCAAGGGAAAGTTTGGCTCAATAAGAAGACCTAGATGGCTTTGCATGGAACCAATGGAGGTCAGTCGATCTGGGTAATCTATATGACCGATTGATGATTGACATGCTCCATACAGGTTCAGCAATAGTAACTGTTTCTACTGACGGGAGCTACATTGTGCGCGTGCATGGCAAAGAAGTTTCAGTACATTCGGCTATTCCAGTAGAAGGATCGCACTTCCTTCGGTCTATCAAACTACAAGAGGCTTTTTCTTCCCAGCTCAAATTCGTGAAAGTATCCCAGTCAGACTCAACAGCTGATGGAAATTCCGGAACCCGAATGCAAATAGAAGACGAAAGCCAGTTGAACCTTGTATCACAACGACGCCTGTTGTGTGCTTCCAGCAACCGGATATTAGTCTGGCAAATCAATTCGCTAGAATGGCATGCTGATATCGAAAACATCGAGCCCAGCGTGGGTACCATTGAGTTCGGTGCCAGTGATGATGAAGCCATTCTATTCCATTCATGGAGCTCAAAAGTAACTATTTTCAACCTAGAATCGGCGTCAAGTCTGATCATCAAGTCCCCCAAGTTCTACAATCCCAGCAGCATGGGACATGGGTATCGACCGCTTACGCGACAACTTGCCATACTATTGAAGCCTGAAGCCAGCGATCTGCTGACAATCCATGAAGCTTGTTCCTATGACACGATCGCCAAAGTCACCCTGCCAACAGTGGACGCGCAGGGTCTAAAGTGGAGTCCGGATGGCAGATGGATTGCGATCTGGGACGCGGCTAGTAATGGTACGAAGGTACTTGTGTACACGGCTGATGGACAGCTCTATCGAGCATATACTGGAAGAAGCGATATAGAAAATACACATGACCTTGGCGTGAAATGCATAGAATGGACACCTCTGAAACGACGGCACTCGAACAGTGAAATCCTGGCAGTTGGTAAATACGACGGAACGGTGGATCTACTTAACACTCGTACAGTACGTAACATATTCTACGATGTTTTGATCACGAATTGTGTACTTCACCATGCTAAACTGACGAACAGTTCTCATGCTCAACCACACTTTCACACACTTTCTCCATAAACGACAAGTCACCTCCAGTCTGGCGAGAACGTATGTCTCCCGACGGGAAACTCGAATACGCCGAAGCAGCATCTTCATCTGCATTCGTTACACCCGGGAGCGACTCTACCATCCAGCTTCCCAAGGGTGTTTCATCACTTCAATTCTCGCCCCATGGCGAGTTATTAGCCACAATAGAGCAGACGCAGCCGAATATTGTGTGGATATGGGCTATGACAGCTACGCCAACACTTGAAACAGCGCTTGTACATGAACACAATGTTAAAAATATAACATGGCATGCGAAAAATCAAGAGCTACTAATCACCACGGCGAATAATACACTTGCCGTTATCCATCTGTGGTCGAAAGAACGACCTCCTGTGATAGCGGAAATTCCTATACCACGGAGCGAAGCTGGTCGATATAGCGTTACATGGGTCAAGTCAACTGTACCGGAAGAATCGTGTTTGTTCTGGTTCAACAACACCGACGATGCTGTTCTGGGGTGTGTTATAGTCGACGATCAGACGAACACCCAGGGTCGTGCCTCGTTCAACTCACTATATATGGTGAGTCGAAGCGGCTTAATGGGGGCGCCTGCAGAGACCTCTGGAGCAAATTAAAGAATATTTCCATGACCGTGTAGATTTCCTTTACAAGCAGAAGTGAAACGCTAACAAAGAGTGATTTTCTATGGTTCTTTGATCATAGCTTCATTATTCTTATACTTCTCAGCATGATACAGTTGTTGAATTGGGTAGAGGTCAGATTATATAAAGCTTTCCTATCCCCTCACTGCTCAATAATGGTACAAGATAACTTTCATATTCTGTCTGTCTGTCAGGAGGGCCTCACATCCTATTCAATTCTTACTACTGCATAACAATGTCACAGCTTATAGTGCTTCAGTCTCTCCGTACGGTACTGCCGAATATTCCATCGAGAACAGAATGAAAATGACTACCGTTCAATCACTACCACAACAGAATCAACGAAGGACATTGATCCTCCAGCTGGTTGGAGGCGAGAAAATCCCGAAGTCCTCATTGGTTTTGCCCGACAGGCATTGCCTAAACCCAACTACAACTTTGGACGAAAGCGATATGTTGCTCAAGTTCGCTCCACTTGATGATAAATGCAGGTTTTTGGATGCTGAGGGAGATGTGCTGGCTGCTGCGATCACTCATCTAATCAACCCTGTGAATATGGATTCTCCAAAATAAGAAACATTATTCCACCGAAATGCATTAGAATGCACAGGCTCTCGAGGTTGCGGGTATTGCGGTATTTGACTGGAGCAACATGTTCATTGGTTGATTTGTTGCCCACCCCCTACTATAAAGGAATACGGTCGACAAGTTGTCTCTTCTCGCTATAAGTATCTCCTCGAGATTTTTCAAGTCAGCAACGGCCGGCCATTATGAGAGGGATCGTTGACATCAAATTAGAGATCTACCAACATGATGTCCGAAATCTAGACATTCATCCACGAAGCGTGATAGTGCAAAATATTGATTCTACTAGTCCAGATATTGTTATCGTCGACTTCGGCGTTAGTGTCATCGGTAGATCTTATAATCCTGAAGGGGGCTTGGAGGGAGCAGGCGAAATTACCAGGGACATATATAAGCCCACGTGTTCGTTCGGGGATGAAAAACGAGAGACACCATTTCCTTTTGGACTTCAAAGAGTGGATCACTTGGAACTGGAACGCCTGGCTAGTAGCTACAGCGCGAGTATGAAAAGGATGAGGTTACTGACTATATGAGATCTCAGTGGGGACCTGAATCGACATATGTTAGGAATCCCGCCTCACTCTGCCTGATCTCTGTTCCATACTATATCTTACCATACTAGATCATCTAGTATGCGCGCAGCTTTTTAGTCTAGGTTGTTCCAACAACATATGTATGGCCTCTGGGATGTGGATACATTTTGTACCACACCACTGCAATAGCGAATGAATAGAAGGTGTTTCTAATCTTCAAGACGTAATGAAGTGACTGAATTGCAGAAGATAGAAGCTGTCTCCTCTCGCTTCGCTCGAGAGACAGAAGGGACTATTTAAGATCAAGTACAAATGTGTACAGAGTGCTCCCCAGCCAATGAAATAATTATAATGCTACATAGAATATCTGCTCTCGCTCCGCTCAAGAGATAGAAAAGGTTCGACTAAGCACCCTGACAATCAGGTACAAAGTGCTCTAGTCAGTGAGATAGTTATACTACCGTATTTGACCTATGTGGTAGTTATGGGATACCGCTGCTTGGTCAGATGTTATCAAGAAAACGGATTATATTAGGGGGATACATATAAGTGGAGACTGGGTCTGTAGTCACGTGCACAATCGCTTAGGGCAGAGAAGCAGCTTAGTCATCCCCCACTCAAATTTCACACTACACTTAAAAGTTCGACTTCTTTCCGACCTCCTACTTTTGTCCCGTGAAAGACCTTCATCGACAATCATACAAAATGGTGCGTGTCTAACCTCGACCTGTTGCCAATCACGAGACATAGTTATTAGGGAGTCATTTAGCTAATTCTTATTGCAACCTAACAGGCACCATCAGCAACCGGTGGCAAGAAGCAAAAGAAGAAGTGGTCCAAGGGCAAGGGTACGTGATGAATGTGTTTTACTGCGATTCAGTTGTGTGTGATCGAGATTCGAGATTGTTGTGTTGCGCTTGACAGTTTTTATCGAGTACTGGTGTACGGCACGAATTTCAGCAGGGAAATGGAGGAGAGACAATCAATCGATCCTAAGACGACCGACAATCTCGAGCCTGGATACACGCGATATGAAAATTGCAATCCAACAATAAATAAGAATTTGAAAACTGATCATCTTTCATAAACAGTCAAGGACAAGGCCCAGCACGCTGTCGTCCTCGACAAGACCACTTCCGAGAAGCTCTACAAGGATGTTCAATCCTACCGCCTCATCACCGTCGCTACCCTTGTCGACCGCCTGAAGATCAACGGCAGCTTGGCCCGCAAGGCCCTCGCTGATCTCGAAGAGAAGGGTCAGATCAAGAAGGTTGTCGGACACAGCAGCTTGAACATCTACAGTACGAATTTCTTTCCTGTCTGGTAGCTCCGCAATAGCTAATAACTATTTCTAGCCCGCGCCGTTACCGCCGAGTAAATTGGTCAATTTTCTTGCTCTCTTTTTACGGTTACGGTCTCCTTTGTTTCGATTGTTTTTCCAAAATACAAATTCAACGGGGTGTTTTTGTTTGAATCCAGTGATGACTTGATTGAATATCACAAACCATGTCTATTATTTTCGTTTTATACGGGAATCCACCGTGATCGGGGTGGGCATGAAATCGGTCAGGACAAGTTCGGACAGCAGAAAATGTTTGGGCATGTCAGTTAAATAGAGATCTCGAGAATCAAAAGTTCTAGGACTCGCAACTTTTAAGTCTGTCTGATTATACTAGCCGACTAGGTATGATGTTTAAGAATGAGTAACGCCGATAATGCATGCACTGTATGATCCTTTCCTGTCGTCTCAAGGCATTGAACCATCCCCCATGGTCCCTAATTATAACTGTTTGTTCAACTCACTCCTCTTCGGCCTATTCTGCTGCGCACTCTCACACAACTTCCACTCCTTCTTCTCCCTAACTTCCTCCTGGTCCTTCTCAGGCACAACCTTCCCAACCGCAAAATACTTGTTATGATTCGAATAGAACTTTACCCAATGATCAACCTGCGCCGCCACTTTCTCCCTCGCCTCCTGAACCTCCCTCTCATGTCTTCTCTTCTTCTCCCCGGGCGTCAATGACTTCTCACGATGCGAATCATCCGCATCCTCAATGGGGATATACAGCTCCTCGACACCGGTCATGTCACCCGTTAAATCTTCCTTGAAACAGCCCGTTACAAATGCGCGTGTAGCATCGGTGCCGACGAAGAAGTGATATCCGCCGCCGGGGCCGTAGATGCGCGGGTTCGCGGAGACGTCGATTATTGTGCCGTTTAGAGCGAGGTAGATGGGTAGAGAAGGGTCGGAGCCGTCGTAGAGAGCGAGTTGGGATGGCGTGAGGTTTATCGGTCCTTGCTAAACACAGGATGTCAGTACAACTGAATCCCTAGAGATTCATTTTGGAAAAGCTAGACGAACCAGAAACTGCTTAATGCCGTTATATCTCATCCACCAAGGTCTTTGCTTCTCAAATCCCCAGATATAACTCTCCCCCGCTGTAACATAATAACTCAACGCAACCGACAAAACTATAAACGTGACAATCACGCGTAAAATATCAAGAACAGAAATATGGAAACTCTCGTCATCGTCATCAGCATCATCTTTCACGACATATTTCTTGTTGCTCTTTTTGTATTCTCGTTCTAGCCGGTTGCGTGTGCGTTGTTGTTCGGTTGTACGTGTTATTTCGACTTCTTCGTCTGTGTCGACTTCGACGACTCGGGGAGATGTTGTTGTGTCTTCGGCCTGGGCGCGGCGGTTGCGTAGGTTTGAGGACATCTTGGATGTGTTTAGTTGATATGTTGGGCTATAGATTGTGTTGTCTTTTGAGTAGGTGTATACTGATAATTTTTGAAGATGGCTACATCCACGGATCAGATGTTTCCGAGAAGCTTCCGCCCCGAGATCGCCGTCAACAACATGAGATGCAGAGTGATTGGCCACAGCTTGAATTGAACAGGGGTTACGATTCATGCCATGTTTGATTATGAGAATTACAATAGAGGCATATATCTTGGTTAGCAATACATTATCGCAGTACAGAATGTCCATCATGCCATTGAAATGTACAGTTGACGCAGAAACCCATCTTGTTTTTACAAACGACAGGTATCAGCCTGTCATTGTTATCTAATCAGTCCCGATAGTCATATTTATTGCTCCTCATGAACCTCTTCTACCGTGTTTAGGTCCTCTGGCTGTTCCCATGGACGGGAAAACACTTCATTGAGAGCCTCTTGGAAAACACGACAGTTCATATCAATGAGCCCTTTCTTCTCATTGGCATCGGGGTTCCGAATTACCGAGACTAGACAAAGATACCTGAACAATGTCAATAACTTAGTATAAATTAACGACTGGAATGGACACATACTTGTTCATCTCCATTAAATGAATCATGCTGCGATCCTGGAGGATGACATGAGACTCCGCCTCGCGCATTTGCTCCCCCTTTGGTTTGCGGTCGGTATGTTCCCAAGAGTATAGTTCAGATATATCAACAATAACGTCAATATAATCAGAACACATCTCATAGCACGACATATCAACCGGACGAGTATCAGACGCGATATAAATCTTGCTTAATACATCGAAAAGATAACATTTGTCGAACCCGCAGTTGTTAGCAAGAATATTGATCAAGTTTTCGAGTGTGGATAGTTGTGGAATAAGCTTCTGTATCACTTTGCTAAAAGCCTCAAAGACGGAATAGTCATAGATGGATGTCAGATAGTAGTGTACAGGCGCGTTTTCGTAGCCTGCATCGCTCAACTCGTCGGATATGCGCTGTACAATGTCTTGGAAAACCTCTGTCCGGAACTCATCCGCAAGTGCGTCGACCTTGTGAATGAAGACCTCAATGTTGATGTTCGGATAATATTGTAATACGAGCAAAATCGTTCGGTTTAGTCGGACAACTGACTCCAGATAGTCGTCTTGTGCGTCGATCACCCAGACCAGGGCACCTATAGAGCCAAAAATGCTTTCCAAGTCAAATGACGGGTCAAGCAATTCCAGCTGACCGGGGAAATCCCAAACCTGAAAGTCCATAAATGAACTACAAACCATTAGATACGTGACATCACTTCGCCGGATGGCTTAACTCACTGAATGGAATCTTTCTGAATTCGGGTTGTGGATTCAAGGAAAAGCGTCTCGTTTGGGGGCATCTTATGGAACACGACGCTCGATATCGACGACTTTCCACTTCTGCTCATCGGTTAGAATCAGAAAATATCCATTTCCAGGCGTATCGACATACCGTCGTAGGCCCATTAATAGGAGTCGAGGCTTGCTGTCTCGGAACTTGTTGTCATTGGGATTCGGAATCAAGCCTGCCTTGATTTGAGCTGCCTGATTCGCTTGCTTCGCGCGCTGTATGTCCTGTAGATGATTTTGCAAACTTAGCTGGGCTCGTGTTTTGATTTGCGCTGGCCGTCCATGCAATACAGAAGTATCTGAAAAGATACTTCTGTCCTGCCCATGCGGAACCCTTGGCCATTTTTTGGGCACAGGAATGACCGAGTACTCCTGCCACATAATTGCAGTCAAAACAACAATGAGGGATTTGACGTAATAAGCCTGCAAGTGCTAGTCATATACAAATGACCATCGGTCTCTTCCGACGGAGCATCATTGTGATTGAGAAATATATATGACACACCCTCCGTATCAGGCCGTAATGAGCATGGGAAAATTCAACAGACTGCGAAATAGCTTTGGATGTAGCGTATCGAGTGTAGAGATAACATCAGGGTAGACTTCAAATGGAAATAACGGCAAAATGATTAAAGCCACTAGTCCGGCTCCAGTTCCTTGTCCTCGAAACAAGAAAGCTGTTCTGTGGCTGCAACGACTGCGATCATCAAACTTTTATATCCATAAATCAAATGACGTTTGAAAGACACATAACAATATGTAACATTGGAGATAAGGCCGGGGGGTGTGATTCACTGATGGCGAAGAAGCAAAAAAAGACAACCGGCGGAAGCCATGCAATGAAAAAGTGGTCACTTACAGCCATGTTGATTCGCTATTTATCTAGGTTTAGTCAGAAATCAGCGGTAGAAAAACACTACTTCCTCCTTTCTAGTGGCCCAAAATCGACAGGGGACAAGGATCAAGACATACTAAACTGGTATATACCAGCAAATTTGCAACAACAATTGCGTGGTCGATGGGACCGTAGCAAGGAACGGATCGGAATACCGACAACAATTGGGAACGGAGGCCAACTATGAAGTCGAAGGCAGCTAGCGGAATATCATCGAATTCACTGTGTTGGAACAAAATCAAATTATTGACAGCACCAAAGATACGGACGCGTGTTGCCCCGATAGCTTGTCCTATCAGCCGTCACTATCAACGGAAATATAGCTACCGCGAATTTGATTTGATATCTGGTCGACTGATTCTTGCTTTTGTCGCTGAGCAAGGCCTCTCCCTGTTAGTCAAATAAGCTGGCCAGGATCTTGACAGGTCTAGCTGGTCAGGGCTTTGAGCAATTCGGATAAATGCCAACTTAATGCGATTCTGATCAGCCGCACTGTTGACTCTTGATGGGTGTTATTCCGTTCAATAGTCCCACTTTTCTGGTGAACAAAGACCAATTGCGCCCTTGTGAATAACACTAGGAAATTTTGACGTCAAGCGATTTGTCGCGAAGTGAATGATAGTCGTTGTAGAACAAGTTGGGAGAGGAGGTTGAGTCAAGAGAGTTAGAAACAGAAGGAAGTGGGGAGCTCGTATGTGGTTTAGCTTATCTATAATATGCTAACCGTATTAGGTATTTTAGGGTTATACTTTACCCTTAGGGCTTTGATCTATTCAGCAACAAACTAACTATATTCCAGCTTTTACTTGTAGAAGTTTCAGAGCTGGAAGGAGTAAGTCACTGATACTATAATAATATCCTACATAATACACTGAGGTGACTGATATGGAAATGACGCGATAACTTGCGGTCTTGGTAACTTTGGGTCCGTTCATGAGTCAGTGAGGATAACAGGAACATAAGGGGATTTTTTTCAGTACAGACAGATTTGCAGCTATAATGAAGAAGAAACATTTATATTCACATACCCTCTAAGTTAATGCAGTTGAATGTGATCGTGGTGGATAGCTAGGAACCTTGGAATTTTCGAAGGATAGTATCTAAACCATCTGAGCGGTAATCGCAAAGATATCCTCGGTTTTGCGTTGAGAATACCTAGGTAAACGATCCATAGAACTCAAGAGAAACTTTATATGCATATTTCCGTTCGTAATAGACTTTCTTGCAGGCTAATCTCTTCAGCAATTTTCCGTGGTAGATTCATATATGGACAGATCACAATGACATATTCCTGAAAAGGTGCTGAATATATGTTAGTAAGTAATCCGAATAAGTGAATGCATCAGAGGCATAGGCAAGGTTAACAACATAAATCTGACTTGGAGTCACTTCAGATGCCTTACTTCACGCTTCGTTGCTTTGTGTGCAGAGGGGGCATTGATTACAAGAGTCGTGTGAACTTTCGTATGAATAGAGTCTTTTTTTGAGAAAGAAAAAGCTTGGAATAAGTATCTCAAGCAACTTCAACATAATAATGCTCACCTTATAAATACTAGGGATATTATGAGCAAATACTTCAGTCCCAGTCATGCCCACTGGAGCGAACTATATCGTCTAAGTAAGTGCGCGATACTGATCGTATATTACCAGGGGAGTATAAGTGTTAGGAGCGAACTTGGTTTAGTAACATATGATACCGTGGAGAAAAGATTCCTACTCTCGGGAATAGGCCAGTATGATTTATGTGATGGAATTGTTGCAGCTGCAAAGGACCCCGACAAAGCTGCTATTGGACCAGGAGAAATAGAGAACAAGCAGTATATGGTGAAGGACTACAATTTCAGCCAGTTTTTATGGTGGGATAGCAGCGTCCGGCTCATCAAAAATTGTGTCCCGGACTGGGACCGACGAGATGTCGCAATGCAAATGGGGTGCTGGAAGTTGGTTGAATGGCAGCTAGGTCCTTCTCTTGAAAACAATCTGAGGGCTTTCATCAACGTTATGTATTGAAATTTCTCCTGCAAAAATATAGAATCCCCAAGGCTCTGGAACTAATTGAACGCAGCAGGGTCATGAAGAGAAAAAGAAAATGGCGCCATTTCGCGCTCTCTGGATTTCAATATCTTCCGAAAGAGCTTCTGGAAGTAATTTTGGACTATCTGACCTGCAGAGAAATATAAAAGCTAGAAACAGGACTGGGAATCCTTATTTTAGAGAGATATTAGCGTCGCTGGGCTGCTTTATTTCTTGTTGAAATAGACGAAACTTCAGGAGATGATCTCAGTTGGCGATATTTATGCACGAAATGGAAGTGGATCAGCAAAAGAAAAGAGTTTGGGGAGTATCATCGTATCGTGTGTATGCTATGTGGTCGAGTCAAGCAAAATTTCTTGGAAAAAGTGAAGGAAGGGATCCGGGGTCCTACCTGAATACTTAAGAGGTTTGATATGTCAATGATGGGAACTAGGGAGTCGATTCTCAATTATTTGGATTTTCTAGACTCGGAGCTCTCTATGCATTCACATTTATTTATTCGGTGTTAATCAGCTTTTGTCTGGGCTATGCTCTGAAACATGTAGCAATAGGAGCGAATGACTCGATTGCTGGTTGTGCTTGGATAAGAGTTGCAAAGGAAAAGAATTCCAGGATACGCTTGTAACGTCTTACCAATTTCTTGTCAAGGCATTTTGAGCTTTTTTATATCAGCAACGGATTTTTCTCTCGTCTTTGTCTTCATAATTGCTCCATAGAATTAATAGCAACTCTATTGAAAAGTAGACATAGGGGAGCGAGGAGACCCAGAAATCGAGTGCTCTACTCAGGTATTTTATCCGGGTGCATTCACAATTCGATAACATGACACTATGATGTCTTTTCAATGACCCATGCATTACCTGCTTGGTCGCCCCCATCTTTCAAGGCCCACTGAATAGATTCAAGCACTCTGTTTTGGCAGACACTGGCTGATCGAAGTTCATATGCGACGTGAGGATGCGGAAGTTCATATACCGCAAAATGGTGAGGTAACCCTGGGAAAACATGGATTTTGGTCCGGACACTGATTCTTCGTAAATATATGCGTAAGGAATACGGACGGAAAACACATACCCAGCTTTTCCTAACCTGCTGGCATAAATAAGCCCGTCATCGCGCAGTGGATCACCCCCTGCTATGATGATTGCTGTCTTTGGCAAACTACCTAGCACTTTCTCATCGACCAGTGCGGGATTAGGAATTGGATTAGCAATGTCTTCAACCCCTAGAATGGACGATAGCCACTCGAGTCTTTCGGTCGAGAGACCAAGAGCATTGGAACACTGGACTAGTGACGTTTTGTCCTTCTCGATGAATTGCCCATAAGGAAACGCGTTGGGCTGGATCAGCCACGGGACTATAAGAACCTGACCTTTGATTCGAACGGCATTATTCTCGTTGTATATGGTAGTATTTGCCGTTGAGAATTGCTGCACCACATAGGCAGCCAAATTTGCACCGGATGAGATACCTCCAATGACAAGGCTGCCAACATCACCGCCGTAACTACTCGCGTGATCGATGATCCATTTCATTGCGTCCCAGGCATCATGATGCGGAATTGGGTGTTTTTCTTCGTGGACATGTCGCGGGCATGGATGCACGACCATGATATTAAGCTTCGTGGCGATCAAGGCACATGCAGAGCGTTCAGTATCGATGGATCCGTGAAGGAAACCACCTCCATGGAAGTATACATAGATAGGACGTCCTCCTGGACTGTTTGTATCATTTCCAGTTAGTCCAATCTGGCATTATCTCAGACGGCTCATGAAATATCATGCTTTTATCTTCATTCATTTAATACTCCTGGGACATGGAATATATACCTACGGAGATGGTGTGCCAATTGGGGTATATAACCTCAACGGAATACTCGATCCATCACGAGTTCCGACTTCATAATCTTGACATGAGAATTTCCCTTCCAAGCCGTGCGCTTTCAACTTGACCTGATCATGCGCTGCTCTTGCATTTGTGCCTGTGATATGCATCTCGGTGAGAGATTCTTCTTCCGACGGTTTGGTCCATGGTTGATTTATGATCGGATGTGCATATAAATAGGATGTCCACTCTGATGCGGGTTCGCCGTAATTTGAAAAGTCCATGACTTATCGAAGCTTTTTCTTTCTTAAGATAGCCGGTATCGTGAACCTTTTGCCAGTAGGGGTTTATTCCTGGAGTAAACGAAGGGAGGGGAAAGCCATTCTTTAGTTAGGAGGGGTAGTACGTTCTCATCATTTAGCTTGTATCCATAGGACAGGGATCAGTATGATAGGGCATAGATGTGTAATCACTAGGCCTTAAGCAAGCGAATTCTTTGTTTTCTCTTAATTTACCTAGGAGACTCTCTTATTCATGTATCTGGCTGAGATATGTTAAATTTTTAAGCGCTCTTGTAGAGCTGAAAAATAGAGTCCTTTATGTTAATGGAATTGAAACAAGATATTATGGATTAATGCCATCAATTATGTGCTGAGGTAGATTTATTCTTTGGAGCCGTGATTATAGCTCTATTTAAGGAATCATCCATCCATGGAAGTGTAGCAAAATCGCAAATAACTAAAAACTAAATATGCCCTCAGATTGGTATATTCAGGCCAATAGATAACAAATAGTAATCAACAACTTGTTACAAACACATCTAAAGCCTTCCAATATTTACTCTCATCAACGGCGCATTTCCCTTGTACTCTCATGGAGTCCCATCGGACTCATATTCTATACTAGACAACCCAATAGGACCGTTATTACTGGAATCCATAACCAGATACCGAGATATCCGCAATCACAAAATTTCCTCCAAGAAATCTGTATAGGAACGCTTCGTTGTCCATTCCTTGAGAGCTTCGAAGTCCCGGCACTCATGAACTCTACTTATACCACCAATCGTTGGGTCAGCAGAGCACTGTATCTCTTGTCGAAGGGTATCAAGGCAATGAGTGATATGATCCCAGGGATCAAGCTGCTTGCGTCCGCTGTTGAATTGGTAGAGGCTGGTTCGGATAACAGTCTTTGGATTCTTTATCAGCTTTCCTCTGAGGTTATTGAGAAGGCCTATCTATCGACTTACCAGACAATGAAGTTGATGAAATGCGGCAACTGTATAGATAGCCTTTCCATCCGAAGCGTTTCCTTGAGCTGTGGGCAGATGATGTTTGGCAGCCCATTCATGTTCTACTTTGATGGCCCCCAAACCAGCTAATAATATGTTCACATATTGTCAGAATTCCACAATGCACAATTGAAGTGGCAGGACAGAGAAGACTTACGAGGGAACAGATCTGCCCAAAGTTTGTTTTGTTCTTTGAGATTGGCGTCAACGTATGGGGTAGTGAATCTGTATGGGATACGTAGGAGACGTCCGTTAATAGCTATTAAAAGACAGAAACAGTCAGTCATCGAATATCACACAGGGAACATATATGACATCCGAGTTCTCACGTTGCTCTTCTTTGTATTGTAGTTTCTGCTGGTTATAGAGACTAAACCAGAAAGCATTGGTGACCACAATGGTAAGAATGAAGCCTAACCAAATGAGCTTTTCCAGTCGGTTATTTCCATGGACATTGACATAGTTTCGAAGAAGATCTGTATCCTCCTCTATGTCGTTAGATGGCCTATCGATAGGTTGGTACTCGGTCTTTGACGACATGTTCAAGAGATGTATCTTGAAAGCAAATTTTCTCCTGTTGTTCGAGTTCACAGATTCTCAATGTACCTAGTTAGAGCTAAGTCAGTCAGAATTGATTAAGTCGAGGAGGACTTGAAGCTACTCCGGGAATGTCAATTAGAAGACAGATGGAGTATGCCTTCCAATCCATTCGGGGCCGGATCGAACGGTATGGTCGATTCATGATCTGTTTCACCTCGAATCTGCATTATTGCCCATACGATAAACCTAAGCGTAAACAGCCGTTTGAAGATAAGAATCACCGAAATCCGTCTGCACGCTGATAGAGGATGTGACGTTGCAACACATACCATTAACCAGGACAATCAAAACACTACGTAAGATTAGGTCTTCAGATATTGGTTTCTTGTGATATGAATGGTCCGTGGATTTTGTATGTTATTCAAGAATGCAAGATGATTTACAAGTGTCTAGTGTACATTATTTAGCGGCATCATCATGCATGAGATCCACTCGCTACTCATGGAGCTATACCCGTGTCAAGATCAATCTTCACGTAAGTTTTTCCTTAACCGTTGATTGTATTATCTTGCTTAGCAGTTGACATGCTGGTTTACTCTTCGAAGTTACCAAATACTTTTGTTCGTAAAACCTCAAGCTGAATATCGGGTTGGGGGCCAGATATGATTTCGCGTTGACTCAGCGTACATCGATTAGGGTTAGGATGCATTTTGTATATATATTTCTTGGGTACTTGTCTTTACATCTGTATCGCGGACTGTTTCAAGATTGGGTTTATTATACTTGAATTGCTTGAATTATATTTTCATGAGAAAGATGTATAGTAAATGTCTTAATACCACACCTGAGAGCTCTAGAAATGATCTTTGTACAGTATTGTGTTGTTAATAGGAGATATACTTGGATCCAGAAGGAGCTGCAACCTGAATGTGAATGAGTAAATACCTAGGTATATCTCTCATCTCGTCTAATCATGCAGGTCACTGAGCATGACTTGTGGAGACTGTTCTCGAACCTGCTGCTGATGACAGCTCCAGTATGTGGTACTTCTGCATCTGTAAATATCCTCTAAAAGTCGTTTGCAGGAGAAGTTTTAGTAATATCGGAAAATAAAGATTCATGTACCCAAGCTACTTGATGGGTGAAAATGTCTCTATTTCTTTCTAAGCGAGGTTCACAACACATAGAACCTTGAATTGTCACATACACAGTTCCGTCACGTTTCTATCAGAGTCCACCTGCTACTCCACTGGTGGTTGAGGCACTCTTCAACGCCACAAACTGTACCATCAATGGCGACAGTCACATTAGTGATCGAGCGATATCGTCCGTCATTGTATGTCTTAGCTTCCCAAGTGGCAGCTGCCACTCTGAATGCTGCGGCAAAGTTTATTGAAACTGGAGAGGAGGCTGTTCATCCTTTTATAATCCTATATGTTCGGATGTTGGTTGCAACACTCGGGTGTACAGCATATCTATTTTTAAGGAATGATAACGAAACCTCAAAGGCACATTCCTTATTGGGGACACGTGATGTTCGATGGCTTTTGGTGCTTCGAGCATTTGGGGGTGTCTGTAGTGCCACAGGGTTTTTCTGTAGGTGCTCTCACTTACCTTTCAAGCGACCTTACATAGTCACTATGCTAATAAGAGGACTTGCTTCTCATCTCAGTTTCAATGATTTACTTGACTCTCAGTGAAGCAATAGCTCTGACCTTTCTTGGGCCGTTGGGATCATTGATCCTGACGAGATATCTGTCCTTCGCTACAGTGAATTGGATCGATTGTGTAGGGGCTGTGGGGGCTGTGGTCGGCGTTTTGCTTATAGCTCAGCCAGAAGGTCTCCTCGGCACCTCCGAAACAGTATATAATGTCTCAGAAAAGGTCCAAACTCGTCTATATGGCTTAGGATTTGGTGTTTTCGGGTTCTGTGGGGGTGTAGTAAGTGATGGAAACCGGAGCATGGGTACTTGCTTGGCTACAAACTAATGAGTATACCTGTACAGATGGCACTTACGTCGATTCGGAGAATTGGAGCCAGAACTCATCCACTGACGAGTGTCAACATTTTTGCATGGTGGCTCATGGTTGTGAGTGGAATTGCCGTCATGTTGACCAAGGGAATAACATGGCCAAAAAGCCCACTGGTATGGATGGTTTTATTTTATATAAGCATCTGTGGCGCGCTTATGGTATTCATTCCCTTTTACTAGGCTTCTCTTTCAGTTTTACAACACTGCTAACGCCAGGGCAAAACAATAGGAGTTCCTCCTAACCATTGGGTTATCGAAAGACTCATCCTCGTCTGCTACGCTCATGATATACTCTCAAATTATTTGGGCTCTGGTGATAGATCGCGTCTTGTTTCACGTGATAGCGAACTCTTGGGCACTCCTCGGTGCCGCAACTATAATCAGCAGCTTATTTCTTGTGACCATAGTTGGGCAAGGTGGGAAATCCAGTAATGTTATCGATTACTCGAGATCAGGTAGCGTGGATGTCGAGTGCCCCGAAATGGTGAGCTTAGATGTACATGAGAGTCCATAAGAATACAATTACAGCAGTTATGGATCTCAAGATAAGGATTTCGCATAGAGAACCACAAATTAATAAGGAGTCCCTTGCTACAGGCCTCTAATTTGTCACAGTCTAGCAATTTAAGCTTTATTTTCATCTATTATCTGATTGATGCAGCTAGACCACTCTTTATTCCTGCCCGGTACGGATATGCTGAATACCTCATACTTAGGTAGGAGAATAAAAGTCGTATTCTCTATAGACTACGCCCTTTATACAGCAATAACAATTTTGCATGCTGTGTCTCGTATTCAACATGGTGGGTAGATAATCTCCAAGTACGTTTCTACCTCGTCAAGATCAAGCGCAGGCCCAAACAACATTTGCTCCGTGAACGTCTTCATGCAATGTTCTGTATGAGGCTCTGAAACTGCCTCAGCATCCACCGGCCACCCATTAACCAGCGCTCTGGTCAACTTCTTGAACATAAAGAGACAATGAGTGATGTGCCATCGTCTCTCGGTATAGATAGTCTGATTGACTGATCCCAAGAAATCGGGATCATATGAGCCAAATTTATCCCCTTCCACACCATGATATTTTGTATAGAAATCCCATTCACCTAAGGCCTGGAATTCGTCCACTAATTCGCGATCGATACATCGGGGTGGTAGCCATGCCGTGACCAGCATGTCAAATTCACATCCTCGGGCTCGAGCTTCTTCAGGTGTTCTCCCACATGGTAGAGCCTCAAAATGTTGAGACCAGGACAAAGGACCCGACGGATAGGTCTTGTTGTCTGCAGTCAGGACTTGGTAGTTCAGATTTGTAGGTGCCGGGACAACTCTCTTCCAAAGAATGAGCAGAACGATGACGATGAAAATGTTTTCAAAGATGAAAATGCAGGGCCATATCCATCGGCGACTGATGGCCTGGCGGTGTGTTTTAGGTCCGGAAGACAATTCTTCGTCGTGAAGTAAAGTTTCATTCACATCATGATCCGAGTCATCCTCTTTCGGAGGCTGCAATTTGTCATATTTCATTATATTGCTAAGTACGGGTGAGATCTCTACCAAAGCACAGAGGAGGGTTGGACTGGCAATGGGAAACACAAGATGATGATGTGGGAGACATGAGCCGGTCTCTACCTACGTACATAGATACATTGTCATCAGCAGTCTTGCAACTCGTGAGTTCGGACTACATACCTTTTCCAAATTTGGAATTGTGACCAGATACGGAGATACTCGGAGTTTCATGAGTTTCGTTACATTGAAAGAGGTGAGCATGCAGCTCTCTTCCTGCATGCTTACTCTCCTTCCCGTTTCGGCTAGTTAGGGCAAACAACGTCAAGTGACTCGAGATCTCGGAGGCACCAACGACTTCATCGGAAAGAAACGCATGTTCAGAAGGTTGAACTTGAGAAGATACAATTCATTTCTTCTGCTCCTTATTCTTTTCTCTTTTCTGTCATAATGTTTGGTGCTCTATACCGCATCAAGATGGACGAAGAGGAAAATGAAGAAAAGGAGAATTTGCTTGAAACGGACACCACAACGATAAGGCCTCCAGCGAAGAGAAACAATCAGATTCTTCGTCTGCTCTTTATAATTGGTGTATCGTTGAATACTTTGTTTGGGATTCTCGGTATCTTTACTTTCGCCTCGTTTCTCAATTCAGGCAAGTCGTCATACGAAAATGGATTCGACACGGACTTAGGTAGGTAGACAGACTCTAGCACCCTGTATAGGACTCCTAAGTTGACAATATTCTTTAGAACCTGCTAGAGAGAAAATTGATCTCATTGTGAAGACATTCACTGGTGGTGTAGAGCTGGATGATGCCGGTAATTTCTACACGGATGACGGCGGACATGAATACGTTGGGCCACCAGGACCAGAAGTAGACGAAGCATGGGAAACTCTCCTTGGTGGCAAGTCCCCTTTAGAAAAAAAATACGAGAACAAACGTCATTTTAGCTAATTGAGCATATCTACTATTTAGGCCTAAACCTTGACTTGGACGAAGATGAAGTGGTTCTGAAGGGCTCGACTTTCCAGTGGCCAGAGTCTGGCAACTATTTCACTGGGATTGATGTATACCATTCTCTTCATTGCTTGGTATGTATACTTGTCAATTCCCTTTCTTGGTTTCTGAATCAAAGAAAAGGACATTCCTTCTTGAAGATAGCATGAACTGATACTGATTTGCACTAGAACCGCCTTCGACAAGCAATCTATCCTGAATATTACACCCGTATCTTTAACCATCCATCAGATCCATCACGTAAGAATCACATAGGTTTGCCTTCCCAAAATCACGAGTTATGTTAGATGTTACATGGGCTGAAGAAACCCTAGATCATTGCATCAATCACATCAGACAAGCAATTCAGTGCCACGCAGACTTGACGCCTATGGAATGGAGACTTGACGGGAATAAAATAATTTTGAAGACGAATACTCAGCACACTTGCAGAAATTTTGAGCAGATAAACGGCTGGGCGCTATCTAAGCGTACGAAGTTCGAAGATATTCACAGTTGGCGTAATGGTAGCCTTCAGATTGTGGATTAGATTTAGAGATTAGTGAAGTGTACATAGTTGTCTCCATAGCTTATGCACATATTTTATAATCAATTTGTGCATACTCCGACTTTACATAGATATAAATGTAGATCTCATATTTCCAAGGACGCGGGTTTGAGTGGGAGGAACTTGGCGAATTTGATTATTTAGTGGCAACACATGTTCTTTCCCAAGCTCTGCCAAACCCTTGAGTAAGAAGGGGATACATTGCTCGTACGATAATAACGAGAAGTGCATAGCTTCAACAACGGGTTTCATTCGAGGAAGTCACACAACTCCAAGCGGAGCCAATCCTACGAAAGTAACTGGGTCTAACTACCTTGATTCAGCTGTCTGCTGCATACTTATTGATCAGCTTGCATGGTAACCTTACAAAAAGTGCGTTATTGGGTATCCTCCATACGGAATAAGGCTGTTTAGATCTGATTACTTATGATAATGCTGCATGCTCTACGCATTAGGCCGAAGCATGCCAAGCAGTGATAACAGCATTGCTTCTGACAGATGTAATATGCATGATGACTGACTTAGATATCCGTTGATATTAGGCTCCGGTTTGTTATTCGGTCCAATGTTGCGATGAGAAGGCATACCATTAGACATAAAAGCAACCTAATAGACCGTTCTATATCCAGATCAGAATTTTTCTCAAACAAGCCGACATCCACAATCAACCTACTCCAACAGGCCTTCTCATACTTCCACATCCTTGCATTTTCCGTTCAAGTTCTTTGGAGAACAGCACATATCACCGCAACAATGCAGTTCAAGTACCTCTTCAGCATCATTTTCGCAACCATGGCTACCGCAGCTGCTATCATTCCTGATGGCTGCACAAGCGTGGATGAGGATGGCCCAGTTGCTCGAAGCCCTAGTATGCTCGATGCACGATCACCTAGAGTGAGTTCTCTCCCAATTCCACGTTTACGCACTAGGAAACAGAATACTGATATGTTCTTTCTACTATATAGCCTCAAGGAGTGAGTAGCACCACAAAGACTTCTTGAAAGTTGATAGCATAAGGCTATAACCGAATGATTTATTTCAAGGATACTAATATAGAATGATGCTTTGCAGCCAAAGTGCCCTGTCGTCGGAATTTCCAACCCCGTAAGTGGTTCTATTGATTTCATGAAAATGTAGCCGAACACGTTCTAACTTAGCTTTTGAACAAAAGGAGGCCGAAGAATAAATTAATTCAATAATACGACAGACCGACTTTGAAGAATCAAAGGAACGTACGCTGAAGGGCAGGCTTTCAGGGGTGTTAGGGTTAGGGCTAAAGCTATGAGACGAATTTGGCTGAACGTTTATTTTGTCCTTTCAGAACATTGGAAGGCATCCTGTCATGTTTAAAATATGATAGGTCTCGATATGTTTAAATAGCCTTGGCTTCTCTTGTCCAACCGAGTTTAGTCGGTGCTTGGTCTTCATGCCAGGATGATGGTTAATGATCCCGTACATATGAATATGAATGAATTCACATTGTGGTCTGTGTTTATACTGGATGTGTTGCTGGGTAAAACTTATTTAGATATTATCTAAATACATTACACTATCTAAGAAGTAAACCTTGAAGAGCTTCAGACGCCATTAAGTCAAGCATCTGCGACTCCTACAATGAATTCTTCCTTGCAATCAGTCGCAGTTCTCAGACTTATAAGAACTCACTGTGTGATCCACTTAGTTCATGAACCACAAGTCGCGATGTGAGACTTTGTTGAACTCGATATCGTACTTAAGCTACCTATCATCACCATCTCCTTCTGAAAATTCATCTCTCGAGCTTTCCGACTCGGAAATATAAGGTTGAGGCAGAAAAGAAATAAAGCGACGCTTCATTCGTCTTAGAGAAAGTTGTGTTTCTTTATCCTCGGGAAGAATTCCTATATTAACGCCGAATTTGTATAGTTTCTCGACATCTGTGATCATTTCGACTGCTCTGGAACTGACTCGCGGTATACCCGGTCTGGAAAGAGAAGGATCGTCGGATTGACTGCGTGCTCCTTTTTGGTCACGTTGTCCGGATTGACAGTGAGATAACTGAAGATACTGATACTACAATGTAACTTTGTCAGACAATCTTCAAGCTTGTTGAGATGTGTTAAGTACCTTGGAGTCTATCGAGCCTTTACTCCTAGATGACTTCCTAGTTCGTATGGACGGCGGAGGAGTCATCCAGGTGCTTTGTTCACTGTTATGCTCTTCTGTTGAAAATGGATGTGAAACCGAGCTTGATATATGTACGGGCTTGGACATTGACGAGTCACGTAAAATGTGAACGTTTTGTGGTTGAGGCTCCGAATCCTTGTTTGGTCGAAGCGTACGAGGGGGATTCATAGTCGCGTGCTCGGCCATTGCTATTCGTATGGGTACCGGCAAAGGCCCTGCTACAGGTATTGGTGATATTTCATACATGCTGGTATAAGAAGGGGTCTGATCATGATAGTTGATCATTGTCGCCTCACTGCTGCCGTAATGCTGCTTTCCTTTTTCTTCACGCGGATTCCGGAAGATATCTCCTCCACACTCGGTTAAATGAGATTTTTGTAATTCAGACTCTTCACAACCGACATTGGGAATATCGTTCCATGGCGCAGTTGCTGACGAGCTAGGTGTAGTCCAACTCTGTTGATCTAAAGGCAGCATCGGTTGGTACGATGGCAAACTGTCAAAAACACAGTCCTTTGGCTTCCATTTTTGTCTTTTCCCTTCATGAGTAGAAAATTGAGTTAGCTTATTTCCTAGAACCCATTTTCATTTCTTATTTCACTTACGGTATCGCCGTTGCGATTCCCTGTTTTGCCGCCGTCTTTTCTCATCGGTTGCAATATCTGACATGATATAGACTGGTCTCTGTTTGGTGTGCCTCTCGGGGAGTGTTTCTCTCATTGATTTAATGAACATTACTTTGATCTCTTTTGAATCACATGTGGGACGTAAAAGCTGACCATGTATGAAGAAGTGGGTAATCAACCGCCCACGGCCAGACTTCCGGATTCGCTATACTGAGTATGTAGCTATTTCGTGTCCTACGGTGTCCTATAGTTATCAAAACACATACAATATCGGGATAAAATGAGACATCATCTACACTAGCTAGTATGTTCATTGCTTTTCAATTGCGCTTATCAATAACGAATCTAGGTACTCGTCCACGATCTATGAGCACTCCGCACACATTTAAGCTTGAATCGTAATCAGCCATAAGTACTAGCACTATTAATCCAAATCTTCAGACTACGAATTATTCCAAATCTGTATAAACAGATTTGACGTACATTTTGTCTTTTCTATCAAAGAAACTGTAGATGTTGTGGCGCGCCATCTATCCAAGTTAGGGCTAATTTTGCGGGCCCGGTCCTGATCTTAACTAACAAAAGTCGATACAAGACATTGAAATCGAAGACTAATGATTTGACCGGAATTATCTCTATTTGGCCCCAAGGATTAATTAAGTTTTAACGGCGATTCTGTAAATTTTGTAACACATCTATTAGTCAACTTCAGTGTGGCCTCGCAGGATCACAGTCAGTGCATCAACGGAGGTGGCAGTAATCCAACCCTTGTACGTAGAAGTCTATTTACGTATCTCTAACTGCCAAGAAGTGAAGATTGTTGTCGTCGTTGGTCCAATTGGTTCGGGATTCGAGATATGTTGCGGTGGAGTAGTAAAATTACTCAGTGAGTCAGTGAGATGTATCAAGCCGAAAGAAAGAGAGGAGTAGGAATGTTTCAATTGCCCAGGTAGGCATGTGGCAAAGAGGCAAGAAGAGCAATCTCCGCATTTGGTTATAATTATTGGTAAACTCAAAGTAGACATTGTCCACTCTGTAGTGATTGATGTCCATCGGGTGTCCTACGCGGAGTACTTACGGATCCTCATACATAGATAAACAGAGATCTGAGAGCTTACCAACACATGATTGTAGATTGGCTTACCTATTATCTCGGGACATAAATGGATTAGGGAATTAGCTTCGATCAGGCTCACCCGTACCAGGAGGAAAGTCACTTGACGACTTTCAGGCACACACGCGATGGCGATGTAGCACGCAAAATACATGTTCTGCAGCCAAGAAAGTAACTTCCGGGAAGCCGCAACTTTACTTCAGATGGACGAGCCAAGCATCGTGTAGTGAAGCCCATCTGGGTTAGAGAAGCGAAGGCGAAAGTCCGCACGATGGTTCAAGACCAAGGGCAACTTCCTGCAGAAATCAAGTGCAAATCAAGACAAAATGTTCGAATATTAGGCCAAGATCCACCGGGCTCCTGGAAGCTGAATACTAAGTACTAGTTACGTGTGTAGTCAGGATTACTCAGCTCGTTATCTCAATGACTACTCAGTATAACAGCAGCCGAGGCAGATAGTGAATCCAAAGAGGGGCAAGATTTACATAGACAGAAGATAAATATATCTTGTTAGTAATAAAACAACTCAATTGCTACCTGATTCAAGATGGTCTCTGCAAGATTACTATTCCTGCATATGTAGGATCACCAGTTGGGCGTTTTTTACGTACAATAAGCTAGCTACTTATGTCTACGCCCACAGCTTGGATTCACCTAGTAGTGATCTTCAACTGATGATTCGCCGGATAAAAAAAAGATTGAGATAGCTGCAGTAGTATGTACACTAAGTACTTGGCATGATATTGCTTTCTTCCAAACACAGCACTGAAAACGATCAGCATCATGGATGTGCCGTCTAGCAGCCTCAAAAAAGCCCTAAGACGAACCATACCCTAACCCTATACTATCAAATCTAATCTGTAGTCAACCATTATCTGAATACAGATTTACTCCGCTTTCAGTTTACAGGTCTCCTAAAATCATAGGCACTCCTCTACTCCTCTGCGGGAGCTTTCCAGGCTGTATCCCATGACCATATATTCAACCCGACCTTAACCCCTGACTTGACCGGCAAACTGGCATGATAAACACCATTATGCCAGGATCCATTAGGATAGAAGTTCTCCCAAAACACAGCTGATCCCTTGACCGGCTTAAAGGTCACTCCCTGAAAGCCATCTTTTGCCTCTTCATCGCATTCAATTACATCACACCACCTCGTATCGTTCGGTTGCGTCAGGAACGGGAAATTGGTACCTCCTCCCGTACAATTGTCAGTGAGGTAGATCATGAAGCTTGTAACGCGGTTTCCCTCAGTGATATAACCGTCCGGATCGTAGTGATAGTTGTAGAATCCGTTCAGGCTGTATCGTTGGACTGATAGAGACTCCACATAGGTGGTGTTGCCGCGCCAGCCTTGGAACTCTCTGGCTCGCTGTGCGAGACGACGGGCGATGGGGTCTTTGCGGTCCATGATGACTTGCTCGGAGCGGCGCATTTTTTCATCCATGATAGGTGGATTGTCAAATCCCCCGTAGACCTTCGATGGTTGATATAAAGGCTCGCTAACAGTGGCAAAAGAAGAAGAATGGTTACTTGCTTGTTACAGTTGACACCAGGTCAAGGCCGAGCTTACCTATAGTCAAGGACATAGTCTATCTCGTCCTCACTTATGAAATCCGGGATGTAGATAACCAGGGGATCTCTTGAGAAGATCTGAGCTCGGTATTGATGCTGATCATCATTCTTGAGGTTTGGAAAGTACTTCAGAATACTTCTGGGGACGGTAAGACTGAAACCGACACGACCTGTAGCCGAGACATAGAAACTAGGCACTAGAAGCCCGAGAATTGCAACAATGGCAACAGTAGCAAGAGAAAAATAAAGCATAGAAGAACCTTTCGCTCTTTTAGACGAACCCATCTTGAACCAGCAACCGGTGAGTGAACCTTGGAAGTCGCCTTTGGGGTGAGGGCTTTATTTCTGTCTTTAAATAAAGTGAGGGGAAGAATGATAAGATCTTTAGCTATCTACTTTCGGCCCACATCAGCTAACTGAAGTTACGGGCACAGCATAAAGTAACTTAGTAAATGTCGGTGTTAATAGTGAGAATGCATACAATAAAAATTAGGGTTATTCAGAAGATGTTAGGGCAATATGGAAATGTGCGTGAAAATAAGTGCTTATCTTATCTCCACTGATGAATTAATTCTAGCCCTAATATGTTGCATGTCTGAAGGTATGACCATTAAGATTTCAAAGCAAGGATTAATGAACTTTGTTGATTTTAGGATTGTCATGGTCATTTAAAAACATTCTAATCCTGTAACTATATAATTTTGATTATGTATGTACATATTACCTGGATTTATATAGGCTAGACCTTGAAACTTGAAAGTAGCAACATTAATAACCAGCAACAGATTTATCTTTATCATCTTTACCAAAAATACCATCACCCAGATTTTGCGAACACTCTGATTGCCATTGTTGGGGAGTAAATTTGTCCACGATCTCTTTGAACGCTTCCAGGGTACAGAAAGAGTCGTCACCAGGTAGATGATTAGCAGTTTTTGCGACGCAGCCCGGGATTTTCATGGGTCGGTCGTTATAGCGAATCCGGACATAATACTTTTGCAAGGTTTTGCGACTAGATTCTTCGAGGTCCGAGAGAGGAACGCGAGCAGTAGACGAGGGAGACGTCGAAGGCGTAGGATTTTGTAGAGGGGCGGGGACACGGGTTTTGCTAAGGAAGGAGAACAATCCGGCATTCGCAGTTTGTGATGATTGTGTCGATTCTCTTTTGTGAGCAAGCTTTTGCGATTCATTGTTGGTTGAGAATAATTCGAGTGATATGTGAGACGTAAAGAAGGGCCACCTTTCATTATCGAATGCACCCAGACTTGATAAGACCGCGGCAAGAGTCGTGTCATGACAGCCACTCATAGTAAATTTGATTGGCACCCTGGAACCCTCTGGGACAGAGGAAGCCACTTCACTGCGCCAGCCTCCTTCCAGAGCGGTGCTTACCATGCGATCGACGACATCTCCCATCAGGCCACCAATGCCGAGACGTCGGTATTCCACATTTTCCTTGTAACCTGCGTACCATTCCTCGACCGCGATCTTGTCGATAATTTCTAAAGCTTTCGCATCATAAAATGCTGCGGGGAGTCTTGTAGCCGGTCCATGAGCTAGTGTGGCATTAATGGTGTCCATGATACCCGAAAGACGAGGGTGAGAGTCAACAGCGACTCGAGGAGAGCTCGACGGCATCCATTTCGAGAATAACTTGGTCAAATATTTCATGTCATCAGTATCGTTCCCTATTATTAGATTGCATCAGATGACTTGGCATCCATCAAGTAGACGAGAATATAAAACGTGAATACTGACACCTTTGGGCGGCTCGTTCGGCAAAGAGCCTCGAAAGTTGTCTGAAACGCCGGCAGTTGGCATCGTTGGGATATACGGTTTCCTCCGCAAAGGCTCGTGTTACGATGGCTGGTGTTTCGAAATCTGCCGTGCGCGCGCTGGCAGGATACATCCCCATAAAAGCCTGTTGCATTGATTCGAGCGCGCGAGGGATGGGACTGGTACGAAGGTACATATCCTCCGCGTTGGACATGATTTTTGGCATGAATCCGAGCTGATCCACGTAGAGATGGCGTAAGCGCTGTCCGAGTTCGAAAGTGGTCTGGCGTCCTTTATCCGTTAGCTCTCCGGCGTGACTATATATCGGGAGCGTTAGCCGCGGTGCAAATACCTGTCATGTTTAATTAAACAAACTTACCAAATGGCCTCAGTCTCTCCGGCTGGGCCACGTGTTGAAACCGCCTCGTCATCATGGCCGAACGTCTCGATTTTCCTTCGCCATTGTAACGTATCCCAGGTGGAGAGATCTTTACTTGTCGCGACCATTGAGGTCATACGGCGTGCGACAGCACAATATGGCCAGTCTCAATGATATGTTAGCCCACTTTCAGAGGATACATAGCGATGTGATCGGGGAACAGGACGGTTTACATGATGGTAGGCCGGCCTAAGCGGATATCATGTTAGTGAGAAGCTATGCACAACTAATCGGTACACGTACATTTTGAAAGCGAGCCGAAACTGGTGTCCTTTCGCCTAATATCCGGTTAGTTTCAGCATGAAGTTATTGCTTTTCCATGGGTAATGTACCATGGCGCAGAAACTGGTTGACAACACGATTGTTAATCAAGATCACAAGCTACCCGGAGTCCGCCCCGACTACAAGGGAGCACCGAATGACGTACCACCTGGACCAATTGAAGCTTCAAATGCGAAGGATAGAGTGCGGCCAACTCCTCCTGGGAGTAGGGCTCTCTGAACTTGATGCTCGTCATTGTGAGTGTCAGTTGAGCAGCTGTGAGAGAGAGAGCTGTTCGTCCAAAGTACCTGAGACTGACCGCCCTGGCTGCTGCTAGCGGGGAAGTCTCCACCCAAACCGTGCTCGGCCCGGGAAGAACGTTTGACCGCAGCGTCAGGTTTGTTTACTGCGAAAATGTCAGGCACAGATTACTCACCTATCTACATTGGCATGACTCTTTTGATTGCTGTAGCTTTCTGACCATCCTCAGTCGCAACCTGTCTCCGCTACTGTTTGAATGTACAATTTTTGGTGATCACTTTGGAAATACATATTCGCAATAGTTCAAAGGCAGAGATCCTAACCCGCCAATCCGAACTCGAAGTCTGACCTCGACAATCTCCACGCCATTGTACCTCGAGGCTGCATTGGTCACTTTTCTGAGTCGGCACACGGTGTCAGATGTGTATGATACGAATTATAAAACTGGCACAGCAGCCATCATAATATCATGAGTCGGCTATTGACGATTCGGCAAGCCGAGGAGCTGTGAGTTGGCACTATGACGATGAGGGGTACTAAGCTTGACATTGACCACTTGCAGGCACAAATCGATTATAGCATACCTTTCAGCAAACAATCTCACTAATGCTGCCGCTGCGCTCAGGGCAGAACTGGGCCTCTCCGAGGAAGTCTTCGATACGGGCACCATGGTCAAATATGAGACACTATTAGAAAAGAAATGGACGAGTATCGTTCGCTTGCAGAAAAAGGCATATACCAACCATTGATCCTACGCCGTACGTCTCTCGTGGCTAACTGTTTTTCTTTCACAGATAATGGATCTGGAGGCTCGCACTGTTGCATTGCAGACCGAATTGAATAATGCTACACCCACATCACTCTCGAAGCGCAATCAAGACCCGGCATCGTGGCTGCCGAAAGTCCCTGCTCGTTATTCGCTAGAATCGCATCGAAGCACCGTCAATTGCGTCGCATTTCACCCTAAATTCTCTTCCATTGCCTCCGGCTCAGACGACTCCATGATCAAGATATGGGACTGGGAATTAGGAGAATTGGAAGCAACCCTTAAGGGTCATACAAGATCAGTACTGGGTGTAGACTATGGCACTGCTCAAAGCGGCGTTTTATTAGCATCTTGCAGCTCTGACCTTTCTATCAAGATATGGAATCCGTCAGATGATTATAAGAATATACGGACGCTGCTAGGCCACGAACACAGCGTCAGCGCAGTTCGGTTTATTCCTGGCCGAAACCTACTCGTGAGCGCAAGCAGAGATAAAGACTTACGAATATGGGACGTCACGACTGGCTTTTGCGTCAAGACAATACAAGGACACAGCGGCTGGGTACGAGACGTTTGCCCATCTTTTGATGGGAACTATCTCCTTTCTGCTGGTGACGATATTACCGCTCGGTTGTGGGATATTACAAATATATCAAATCCAGAAGCCAAGTTGACGATGGTTGGACATGACCATGTCATTGAGTGCTGTGCAGTCGCTCCCCAGACGTCATATCAGTACCTTGCGCCAATGGCTGGAGTGAAGAAAGAAGCTGTTTCCAAACTGGGTGCAGTCGAATTTATAGCAACTGGATCGCGAGATAAAACAATCAAAGTCTGGGATCGTCGCGGTTCCTGCCTCATGACTTTGGTAGGCCATGACAATTGGATTCGAGCGATTGTCTTCCACCCCGGCGGAAAATATCTCCTGTCATCTTCAGACGACAGGTCCATCCGGTGCTGGGATTTGAGCCAAGACGGGAAATGCGTAAAAACACTATCAGAGGCTCATGGACACTTTATCTCTTCTTTGAGATGGGCTCCAAACGTTGTTAAAGAGGTTGCTAATAACGCCGATTCCGGTAATGGGAAAACGGACAGCAATGGATTGTTGAAAGGGAAGGACAATCCACCGAATGTACAAATTCGTTGCGTTGTTGCATCGGCGGGCGTGGATTGCAAGCTGAACATCTACGCTAATTAACCCCTCTTCACTTCTTTTGGGCTTATGAACATAAAACAATCCCGAACTCGACCCTTGGCCCTTTAGAGAGTGATTATATATCAGCGACACGGAGCAACCGCATGCTTTTCAGTATAGTGGCGGCGGAGGCGCATGTTACGTTCTTGCAAGTTGTATTGAAAATAATCTTTACCCTGTCAAGCAGTCTATAGTGTTTGTATTCCCAGCGATCAACGAAGATACCAATCAAATGTCATTTGCAACTTTCGATTCTCATATCTCGCTTGGTTTCCTAGATACGAAAGAAGAGAAGTGAAATGTAAGCTTATCCAATGGACGTCAGGTGAGATGTTGACCAACCCTGCATTAGGCAACTATTTATTACCTTAGACGATATATTAAAGTTGCCCAGGTAACTATGAACTTGCATCCTCCCTCAATATCTCGGTCGAACGCCGCAGTATCCATGGATGGTCATCATTGCTTATGAATTCGAGATAAGCAAGTCAATCCACATATTCAATCCAGGCAAGGCCGAAAACTGAAGCCTTTATCCATAGACTAACGAGACCATAGAATGGCAGTCATCAACATTGAAATGATCTTCGACATCGTATGCGCTGTAAGTACCATTCATATCACCTCAACCGTACGAATCACATTTCCAAAACAGAGCTCATGGTTATGAAAGTGGTGCTACATCGGGAAACGCACCCTAGACAAAGCCATCAGCATACACCAAAGGACATACCCAGGCGGCAAAAACGACATCTTCAACATAACCTTGCAGCCTTACTACCTGAATTATACCGTCGTTCAGTCACCAGATCGATCCCCCCGGGATGTGGCAACAGCAGCAGCAGCAGCGCCAACAATCGACAAACAAGAACTCGCAAAAACAAAACTGAAGCACATGAGCGAGCAGCAAAAGATAGCTCTGGAGCAGCGGATGAATCAAATCGGAAGTTCTGTGGGCATTCATTTCAGATCAGGAGGGAAGATTGGAAGTACGCGAGCAGCCCATCATTTGATTCATCTTGCTCAATTAAATGACCAGAAAGGCAATGGCCAAGGGGCCTCAAATGCTAGTGTCGCTAATGCCCTCGTTGCAAGATTATTTGAGGCTTATCATGAACTTGAGATGGATGTTTCTGATCGAGATGCACTGCGCAAGATTGCAGTAGATGATGATATTGCACTTGATTCGGAAGCTGTGGGTGAATGTTTAGATTTTTGTTTTGATGCTTCTTCATCTTCATTTGCGTCATCTGTTCTTGTATCAGATGAGAATGGTGGGAAAGAAAGTATTGTTGATAGACGAGCTCGTGAAAATCGTCTGCGGACGAATACTAGTGTGCCGATGTTCATCATCCAGGGCGAGTATCGTATTGATGGTGCACAGGATTTGATGGAGTTTGTGGAGATATTCGGGAAGATTAGGGAGAGTACTAATTCGATTTGACGAGAGTGTGGGATAATAATTCTACCAGTTTGGTATTTTGATATGACCAAAGTAGATCCTTATGTATGCGCCAAATCGCCTTTATATAGCAAAGGCAGGTCTACCACCAATCTCTATGAGGCACTGAATATGACACAAGAGAAAGGTAACAAATAGTAATACACATATGAGTAGGATATAAACGCCCCAAGATGCTTTATCCTTTATGCCTTAGTATCCTTTTGCTCTGGTTCTCCCTCACCCTCATCAGACCAACCACTCTCCGACTCACTAGCACTCCAAGCCGACTTCTTGGCTTCGGTAGAGAAGCTACGAGAGGAGAGTCTTTGCGGTGATTTCACACCACTCTTCTTTTTCCCAGTCCTTGCCTGTTTCGCTTCCAGAGCCATGCGTGCCTTTTCCCTCGTTACAGCACTTTCTTCCTCGGCTACTCGATCAAGACGTTCGATGAGTTTCTCAAATGCAGGCATGAACATTTGGGCAATGGGTATATCTCGTAATTTCACGCCCATGTAGTCAAATGCCATACAGACGGGCATCTCTGGCCTGTCAAAGTCACTCTCCAACGCTTGAGTGACTTCATCGTCGGCCCCGTCTTCGGGAGGGTCGTCATCGGGGATATCCAAAGTGCCCTTCTGCATCTTAAAAGTTGCTCTGGGGTTGTCATGCTGCGCTCTTGGTCTACGACTGGAGTCTTCCATTTTACTGATTTTGGCGTATCGCTGACTAAAATGGGTCAAAAGCACCAGTTTCGCGTTCATCCATCTTCCAACCATCATTGCCTCTGACGTCGTGCTGTGTTTCTTCGCAAGAGCTTGGCCTTGTAGATCGTCTTGGAAAGTAGCTTCGTGGATCAAAAGAGTGGAATCCCTGCCCATTTGCGCAAAGTTCATCGACGGTCGACAATCTCCAGAATATGATACTTTGAACCCATCTTCCCATTCCAAGGATAAGCCCATGGCATGCCTGCAATGATTGACAAAAACAGCGTTGAGACTGACGAGGCCAGTAGTTGCCTGTAGAAGCGGGGTGAGATGGCTCTTTGGGGTGTCAAACCTCAGAAACACCGGATTACGGCCGTCTTCTTGAGTGGTTCCGTCAGGCTGAGTATATCGATAAACCAACGACGTATAAGGCTTTTCAATGGCAGGTGGAAGAACTGCCAGGGGCAAGATCTTCTCAAATCCAAAGTTCTCCACTCCGGCGTACTCCTCCAAATATTGTATGTACATGGTTTCACCAACCACAGCAAGTCTCTTTTGTTTCAAAACTTCAGTCACGTCCTCTGGCGCGGATCCCGTGCTGGGAGATCTGGCTCCGTAATTGACCTCATACCATTCTTTGATCACGGCAACAGAACCAAGGTGGTGGTCAGCATGCATATGACTGATCCAAATCATACGAAGGTTTTGCATGACTTCGCGGAACTGTTCAGGTGGGTATGTTCTTTTCAGCTGTCCAAGCGTATTTTCTCCACAGTCAAGTAGGTAGTATCCCTTTCCGACCACCTTCAAAAGTGTAGCAGAGACATTGCGATGTTTACTTGGACTAGATGATCCTGTCCCTAGTGTAACAACTTCAGACTCCATCGCCAATGGAGGGAGTTCCTTTCGCAAGTCCATAACCTGTCTAACAACCTCATGGTTGGTAAGTCTCCTTCTGATAACGTTAAGACGCTGTTGAACTGCCTTTGGTATCCGCGTAACGACATCACGTGTATCCAATTGGGGGATCAGTTCGCTCTCGTTGATACCAAAGTTGGGTTCCATATCCAACAAAAGACCCGGACAAGAAACCGTCCAATCTGGCTTTTGAGTAGTAGAAGCATTTGAATTGTGTCCATTAGGGCGAGTACCAGGTTGGGGAACAGTAACATTATCATGATACGGAATGGCAAAGTTTTCGCTGTTGATCTTAGCAAGGCGAAGTGAGGACTTCGCGGCAGCCATCATCGTCAAACGATTGGGACAAACATCAGTTGAAGAGACAACATGTTCGCAACCCTTCAAGCCAGAAATGAAATCCAAAAGACGAGAATCTTCAGCAACGCCAGGACCAAGAATCCAGAAAACAGATGACAAGGTTTCGGTCAAAGTAGGTGATTTCCACTCGGGACGTGAGATAAGGTCATCAATGTACAGTGTTGATGGCAAATCAATGAATGCAACAGTTCTACCAGGACGAGTCGGTCCCAAAACCATATCCGGAGTAACAACGGTGCCGTCTTCAGTAGTGTAGCTAAGTCCTTTTGTGAGCTGGGAGAAAGCAGGGCCTCTTGGAACACCCAATTCTATTGCTTTTTTGGGGTCGAAAGCTCCTCTTTGGTCGTGGTTGCGAACAAAATAACAGAGAGACTCGGATGACGGAGTGGTGGGAGGCAGCCTGTCCAATGTAGCGGCAGGCCATGGTCTTCGGACTAGAACTTTGATATTGGGAACTATACCGGAACTTCCAGGAAGTGGTCCTTGATACCGCTCGAGATCTTTGGTTTCGGGGTTACGCACAAACATCGTCGCAGGCAGTTTGACATCGTACAGATTTTCCTCATACAAAGCATCGAGTTTCCAATCACTGTCAAACATATCCTTCACAATATGTTCACGCAGCAACTGATCCTTGTCGCGAGCATCAGAAGCTGTAGATTGTTCGCTGTCACGTTCTTCGAATTCATTCAAACTTCGCTTCCGAGGACTCCTGAATCCGGCGCGACTTTCAAAATGGCGTATCTCGTAACTCGGCTTCAGCGCCATTGCCCAAACTCTGATATTTTCATCCACAAATGTGGGCTTCTGAAACGGGTCTTTGTCATTGCTGTTCCCTCGCTGATCACGTGCAAGGCTTGTTGAATCATACTCCTTTACTGAAATTGGCAAAGCCTTCCTGAATATGAATCTCCGCGCCGTCGCTAACATGTGGCTCACATTCCTGCCACCGTGTATGGTCAACCTAGATAGAGCAGCTTCCACTTTTGATGTTTTCGTGTCACCTTCTTCCAAGCCCTTCAATCCACTCGTCCGCGAGTCGGCAAGTGTAAGGATCATGCCCAATGTACCGCCGTAGTTGTGCCATGTAGTCTTTCCCGTCACAAACATATCATTCAAATATGAAAAAGGGAAGCCATGTTCAATAAACACTCGCTGCGTACCTTCCGCCAAATGTCCAAATACATATCTTCGATTGGGATAATTCAGGACAATGGTGGAACCGGGGCTGTCGGCCGTCGGGGTGCTAAGCACCTGGTAGAAGAACTTCATGGGTCTGCTGACTAGATAATCCGGCGGAGGCTGGCGAATATCCTCAGTTTGGTCATGCAAATGGGAATCAAAAATGTAATAACGACTTCTCACTCCGGGGCCCTTTCGAGGTTGGATTGTCGGGACGATCTGCGCGCCGGACAGGGCAGGCTGCTGCTCAGCGAGCGATTTATATAATTCTTCGATGTTGGAAGTTGAATTCCTGTGGAAGTCTCGCAATGAATTGGTCGAACAACGAGATAATAGCCTAGTCGCAGATACCCAGATCGTAGGACGTGCTGTTCGGGGGGTTGTTCCGCGGAAGGTGACCCTTCCGATTCCTCGCAGGGAAGCCAACGTGGCAGTTGTCGAAGGCTAAAACTGGGGAAGGTGTGATATCAAACGATGATCAAGCATCTCAGGCGAGATATACTTGAATCACAAGTGCGCTCAATCTGTTGAACACATAGGAGGCAGTCATAGATTTGAATGAGAAAGGGAAATCTAACGGAAAATAATTATTTTGCCAAGCCTGGAAATTCTCGCGCTAAGCGTTTTTGCTTTATCGAGGCATCGACTCTCATTGGCCAGCAGCTTCGACTTCACTTCTGCTTCTCATTTTCCAGACTACAATTGTCTTGAACTCATATAACTCGACTATTCGAGGATTTTAGAAATGTTACTTGCAGTTGGGGCAGTCTGGAGAAACTGGCTCTTGATGCAAGCACTACGGTGTCGCGTGCTGCCTAACTGTATAACGAGCAACACCTACGCGTCGTCTACTTCAAGCACAAGTTCATTCTATGCCTCCCCTACCCTACCGATATCATGAGCATATTCAAATCAATAAATAATTGGAGACCACCCCAATACATCCTCAAACCATTTATCACTCTCCAAATCCATCGACTGTATCCAAGGTATCCCATCCAAATCCGGCATATCAATAATGACACTACTAGCTGAAGCATCAACCCCAGCATTTGGCGCAGGTGGAACAACAACCTGAACATCATCCGTTTCAGGACGCATTTCAGATGAAATATTCCACTTAGCCGCAACCCACTCCCGAGATCTCCTCAAAAGTTTGGAGAGTAACTTGAACAAATCATCATCAAACTGCAGACCGGCTTCTTTACTCGTTTCATCTAGCTTTTTGGGGATCCATTCTAGAGCTGAAATAATATTGACGGCTTTGCGTACTAGTTGACAATCCCAAGCTGGATCGTCAAGTGTTGATAGGTATTTCAGTATTGCGGTGCAGCGAATTACCTGAGACCAGAAGTGGAATGGTAGACCGATACAGTCTGATGGAGGGATGCGGTGGAATGCTTCTAGCCATGTTTTGACGGATTCGACGGATTTCCATAGTGAGCCTATGCGTTCGTAGCCGGGTACAAGCGTGCCGTTGTCTATGTTTTGTCCGGTTGCTGTGTTGAGAAGTGAGGTATCAGGATTAACTGAGCGAGATGCCTGCTCTATGTAGAGTTCGACGTATTGGCCGTATGTAATCAGGATATCTGCTGCCATCAGCAATCATGCATCGCTATTCCACGAAGAGGAGTCCTTACCTTCTTGCCGAAGTTTTTGGGAGAGCGCATCTCTGAAATCCTGCAACTGTTTCTGCAGGGATTTCAGATACAGGTATGATGGAATCGGCATGGTAGCAGCAGCTGTTTCTATACGAGCACGATCGGCCTCGTGCTGCTCTCGAATATGGGCGGCCCTCTGTGTCAGCAACTGCAATCGCACTTGAAATATAAACGCCTCGTCTGCAAGACACGACATATTCCTCTCAAGGATGCGCAGCGCTTCTTCCATCTGAGGAGTCCATCGCAGAGCGTCTATACGCCCAAAATGAGACGAAATACTGCGACAATATCCGTCATTAGCAAATCCACTCTCCTCCCCAATATGATACGGCAGCAACATACTTTGAACTCAAAACAAAACAAGCCAAAACAACCTTCTGCTGCTCCAGAAAACTCTGAAGTGTCCCTCCACTCGCAGCACTCGCAGCTTCCTCATCACCCTCAGAATACCCCTGCGTAAGCCTGATAATCAACTGTACATCTGGCGATGAAGGCTTAAACAATCTCAAATCACATACCAGAGAAATAGCAAGCATCATCATCCTAGAAAGCAGATTTGCGCGACCCAGAAACGCGTCGGTGCTCCATGCAATATACGTTAGTATACCCAGCAATAGGTCAATACTAGACTGAACCTCAACCAGCGCAGAGGTAAAGACGAGGCGTTTGAAGTCTTCAGCTCGTGATAATTTCTTTTGTGTTGAGTGCGTGGTAACTACCACTATAGCCTGGAATAGAACCGGCCGCTTGACACGGAGCTGCCATGAGGTTAGGTCAGGGGGTATGTTGAAAAATGGAAAATGTGGCAGCATTCGAGTCCGGAAGAATTCTAAACATTCCTCAGCTTGTTTGGGTGGTATATCTGACGAGGAGGTCGGAAATGACTCCGTCGGAGGTGTCGGTCCTTGAAGGGTAGAACCAGACGTCGTAGAATTCGATGTATCATGTCCACCGGTAATAAATCGGTTTATATCGACAGGCGAAGACCCAGAAGAAGAACTAGCGGTCGCTTGTAACATAGACATCAAAATGTCAACTTTGCCTTCTAGCTGTGCGATTCGCGCATCCGATTCTTGGGATTGCTGGGATTTTTGAGCATTTCGTCTGCGAGCGGATTCTGATGGTTGACAGTCCTTTCTGAGACGGTGGCACCTGTAACATAGTTTCAGTAATCATGTACATCTTGAAAAATATGGGTTGCGTGTCAATACCTCTCACAAGGCCCATTAGAGCGCGGCACACATCGACACTTTGCCTTGAAGCATTGCATACATGCTAGACCGTATGTGCTGATCCGACCAGGGCTGTGACCACGTCTGTCCATATTGTACTTCAATTACAATAACAACAAACAGTATAGCGAAATCCGAGTATCCTTTGGATTCTTAGGAGATATAAAGGTGAGAGGATGATCCCAACGGAATCCTACCCGTCCAACCCCGACAAAAACGGACTTTTCTTCCGGAGTCCGATTAGGGTTTCGATAGGGCTTACCAAAATAGGAAGTTATCTTGCATATAAATTCCTCACTTCTTCTCTACCAACGCAATCAAATTAGCAACTAATTGAAGCCAGTATGTCTAAGAAAACAGTCTTAATCACAGGCTGCAGCCAAGGAGGCATCGGCGCCGCACTCGCCAAAACCTTCCACTCAAAGGGCTATCACGTCTTCGCAACAGTACGCAACAAATCCAAAGCCGACCCATTTCTCCAATCCGACGACAACAACACCAAATCTATCTCGATATTAGATTTAGAAATCACATCCCCCGACTCAATCAAAGCATGTGCAGAGCTTGTCCGAGAACGTACAGGCGGATCTCTGGATATTCTCGTCAACAATGCCGGGATGGGACTTTGTCTCCCGTTGCTGGATACTTCCATCGATGAGGCGAAGAAAGTGTATGATTTGAATGTTTGGGGTATTCTTGCCGTGGCTCAAGCATTTACGCCAATGCTTGTCAAGGCCAAAGGCGTTGTTTGTAATATTAGCTCTGTTGCTGCTTGTTTTCCCTCTGCTTGGGGTGGTGGGTCCCATCTCCTATTTTCCTGTCAAAACTCACCTTGATCTAAGAATATGAGTATAGGAATATACAACTCCTCCAAAGCAGCAACAACCCTACTCTCGGAAACCCTCCGTCTCGAACTCTCCCCTCTCGGCGTACGAGTCATAACTGCCATGACAGGGGCCGTAAACACGCAATTCTTCGCCGATAGAACGGATCTCATTCTCCCCGAAACCTCATATTATCAGCCCATCCGAGACGTGATCGACCGTGAAAACAAAGGTTTGATATATACGAATAAACAGGATGTTGATGTATATGCCAAGAATTTGGTTAACGATATTGTTTCTGGGAAGAGCGGGTTGGTGTGGAGGGGACAGTCTTCTTCGATGGCTTGGTTGTTGTCGGCGATTTTGCCGGGGAGGTTGTTAGCTTATTTGGTTAATGGGGATAAGGGGCTTGATGAGCTTGCGCGGGCTAATCGTGCCTAGGTATGAGATGTCGAGCTTCCGAGGGGAACTACAAGATTGGGGTAATTGTGTAAGACGTCTGTAGGTAACTACTACATGATTTTCGAATATTGTTCTGGTCATATCTGTATATCTTGAAATTCTATGACCATGAAAGCATAAAGAGGAATATCATGTGGTCAATTATAGAAATCATCTCAAGCCTGGGTAGATACTTACCAAAGGTGAGGAAGTTATCCCCTAGATACACTGAATTTCTATACAGGAATAGGGAATCGATAAACTAAGATTCGTAGAGGAATGGAAATTTCCTTTAAAATGTAAGCGGTGTTTTCAGCTAAGTACACATATGGCTTCAAGACCAGGAGAAACAATTTATACACGAAAGATGGTCAGATATTTCAAGCAATGAAAATGTGATGACAGAATTTTCTCAACCCAAGGCTCGTCCAAACCTAACACCAGGGACAATGATCACGTTCCGTAATGAGGGAGTATCCTTTGACTACTCCATACCCGCAGACTCCATATTGAAAGGATCGAACAAATCTATAGCGAACACCAAAACAATATCATAATCATAATCACAGAAGATGGTCTGTCACTCTGCATACGCGTTCGAATGCAGCGTCCATGCTGTAACATAGCCGTTTGAAGTCGCGCACTGACAACTCTGAGATGTCCTCCGATTCTTGGTCCACAACAAGCTTGTATTGGGAGGGCTTTCCGGAATCAACCTCATTGAAAAGAATGGAAGACTGACCACTTAGTACCGCAGGAACGTTATCTAGAAACAAGGCAAAACACGGGTCTGTCTCGTCCAAAGCTTCTATTGCTCTAGTGGGTTCGCAAGTGCTCACAGTAGTTGGTGGAGCGATAGGAGGTTGCTCAAGCTGGGGAACCTCTACCTTAGACGACTCACAAGATGAAGCCGGAGTTTCAAAGCTAGATGACTTTCCAGACAGTGCTTCTAGATCAACCGGCCCCTCTGGGACCTCGAGGACAGCAAAAACTGAAGGGTTGTAGTTCATGTCGATGCCCGAGTTCCAGCCAGCAGCATACAGATCCATGTGGTTATCTGGGACTATGACCATGTTTACTTGGGGACCAGCAACGCTGGTAGGAACGGGAGCCTGAGATACCATAGGTTGATGTTGGGGTTGGGCGACCTGAACAGGAGGCTGTGCTGAAGCAGGTAATCCGTTGGCAGTCAGATCATTCAAGACATCCGAAAAGTGTGGAGAGGACAAAAGAATGCGGGTCAAATCAGTAAGACGGTTATTTTCCTCTGCAAGCGCATGGTTTTGCAGACGCAGTTCGTTGTTCTCATTCGTTTTGGATGCAACTTCGCCCTCGAGTTGAGTGATGTATTCTACAAATTCATTAGTACACGGACAACACTAGAGAATAGGAATAGATAATACCCTTTCTGCGAGAGCGGAAAGCACGGGCAGACACCTTGTTCCGTAATTGACGTCGCTCCTTGCTGGTAAGCTTTTTCCCTTCTTCACTGGCTAATAGACGCTCGTCTTCGTCCATATCCTCTTCATCTTTCTTCTGTTTTGCCATTTGAGGCAGGAGCGATGTCGAAGCAGATAGACGGTTATCTTGACCGAGATTGCTTTGGCGCATCTGTTGCAACAGACGAGAAATCCGCTCTTCAACAACTGGGTCTGTTTGGCGAACTGGGCGAGTGGAAGGCTGTGGTTGAGGTGGTTGAGGTTGTTGAGCTTGGCGAACGAGCTGTTCCGCATGACGTTGGCGCATTTGCTGTTGCTGACGAATGATTTCTGCTTGCTGCTTCTGCTGTTGGGCGGCGCGTGCCATAGCAGCCTGCTGCTGATGCATACCTGGATATACCCGGCCGGCCTGCGGTGCGGGATGAGCAATGATAGACATCTCATGGCCACCCAAAGTATTGGGATCGATGAATTGCTGGACTCTGACCGTATTGGCCAGAGGAACGAAGAAGTTTTTGTTGTTGCCGTTCTCGGCTTCAATATCCATTTCGGAATGGCCGCGAGACGGGGCGGTACCAAAATCGACGGTTGAATCTTCACGTTTCATGTGCATACAACTGCCATCAGCCATGGGAAAACCTTGGTGTCCAGCACGCACGGTTCCTAGAGAATTATCATTATATGCCATGGCATGGGCAACTGCGTCTGGTGGAAACCCAGTCTGTTGTTGGTGATCTCCATACTGATGGCTTGGGCCGTTGTAAGAGGGACCCATATCATTCAGACTGGGTTCTGGAGTTACCATAGACGGCTGAGAAATAAGGGAAGGATCCGACTTCATGGACTCGGAGGTGGGATAAGCGGTTTGATCGAGGTTCAAAAAAGAGTCGAATTCGAGATCATGGGCGGAATTAAAGTTGGGCAGCGGCGAGGCTGTCGAAGAAAATTCGGCTAAAGTAGCCATCTTATCTCGCTACCGGGAGACGAACGAATGATTTAGTCGTATTTGGCGATTGTTAACGGTCAGATGAATTGATAACGATTAGAGGTGCCTGGATGAGGACAGATATATTGATTGTCGTGGAATTACTTCGAAAGCCCGGATAGTGAAAGAGCGTAGAGTCGATGGCGAGAAGGATAATAGTGGTGTGGAGGTTGTAGTCGTGATGCGTAGAGAAGGGCGAGAGAATTGGAGAGAGAAATGCTAGAATGGAGGAAGGAGTGATTGTTAAGGGGAGTTTGGGGAGTTTGACAGGAGGAAAAGCGCGAGTGGGAAGTGGCTTAGCTCGGATTGGCAGGAGGTGGGGCGGCCGGCGAGTCGGACAGTCGGGGCTTGTCGCTGCGATATTCTGGCCAATCATATGAGCTAGTAATTAGAGCTTCTTCCATAAACGGCTAGACCATTTCTCGCCTAAGAATAGTGACGAGACGCGTGTCCTTCCTGTTTGAGAATAATTATTTATACAAACTTCACAAATGACGCCTAAGGCACTTTATCTTGATTCTCTCCTTCTTCTTCTGCTCTAGACGAACTCTGTCTTACTCATATTTCACTCAAGCTTTTTCGTGGCTTGAATAATTTCTCCATTTCATAGTGCAATCTCTTCTTTCTGCCAGGTATCGTTGACAAATCAAGCATCTGTATGTGGTGGAACTCACGCACTGACAGCCACAATTCTGGCTTCGGATTGATCAGTCATCCCCCGGTTTCAGACGAAGCTAGCACAGCCTAGAGGCAGAAAGTTGGAAGTTTTAGACGAAATACAAATCATGAGACGGTTCTCCGAAGCCAAGACGACTTAGCAGACTGGAGGCCCCGGTCAGCTTTAATACTACGAATGCTCCGGATTTGAGCAGTCTGCAGTTTGACTGGGACTACGTAGGGATCCTTGCTCCGATCCGGTCTTCGAACTGTATAGAACGGGAAGATGTCGTTTCAGGATATATCAATCGCTTACAGATACCTTCGACGCGCAGTAACACCTTGAGGTCGAGTGAGTGCAATTGTGATAAAGACCCGTTTTGGAGCATGTCTCTATGATCATCAGGGCGCTATCATCTAAACCTAGTCCCATGCACAGATCATCGAAGACTCTTAATATGCATCTCTGCCACGCATCACGACGTCGAGATACGTAACCCTAACACAATTCATGCCATCAAAGCTTCAATATCCTACCTGCAAAATACCATCCATTTTGGTAAGTTCGACAATTTCAGAGGTCACCCGCTGAACTCATTACAATTGAGTGAACCAATGTTGTCCATTGAACATTCTCTGGTTCGAGTTATGCCGGTTTGCTAGCATAGGATCGCGAGCCTTACCATATCATTCGGCTCGCACCCGTTTTCTGTTTTCATATTCAACACAGATTCCGGACGAAGATACTACTACATAGTACATATCATGGAAAGTTCTCCAGATATACAGACTTGATTTCCAGTGGGCTCTTCGGAAAAACAAGAGAGCGCCCCGTGGAGATGTTGGTCTGACTAAGCATGCACGTGGTTTTATCTAAGCAAACGTCTACTCTTTCCTAATCCGGCATAGCTTATCAGTGCCCCGGCCGCTCTGCCCGGCCATTGGTCGAATCGAGTGTGGGGGACTGATCTTGGTAAGAAGAATGTCATTGCTATGATCGATCGGTGAAAATATAAGAACCTGCATTTGCCAACTTTCACAATGAGTATAAATAATCGTTCAGTTTCTAACATACTCTCATGATCATGGCCGGTCCGTCAGTTCTGCGGCGGAGTGTCTCGCACATGTGCTACACATCTGAGCTCCCGAGACTACGGTACTCGGGAAGGTACACAGTGACACATAGACATTTGCGACGACAACACAGCACTGCTGCTGTTACAGTTGAAGAGCGATCACCGTTAACAACCGCCGAATCAACCTCGTCGCCGACATCTCCGAGAGCAGAAGCCATCAAAACCGCAAAACCGTTCTCCGAATTTCTAACCGATACCTTCCACCGTCAACATGACTATCTCCGCATCAGCGTCACCGAGAAATGCAACCTACGCTGTTTATACTGTATGCCCGAAGAAGGTGTGCCGCTATCACCTCCAGCACATTTACTCACTACGCCTGAAATCGTATATCTCTCCTCGCTATTCGTCTCACAGGGCGTCACCAAAATCCGCCTAACCGGTGGCGAACCCACAGTCCGAAAGGACATCGTGCCCATGATGCAGTCAATAGGAGACCTACGAAAGGACGGTTTACGCGAACTTTGTCTAACCACCAATGGAATCTCCCTCCACCGGAAACTCGACGCAATGACCGAAGCGGGGTTGACAGGCGTTAATCTCAGTCTAGACACATTGGACCCATTCAAATATCAGATCATGACTCGCCGAAACGGGTTTGAAGCAGTTATGAAAAGCATCAACCGCATTGAAGAGATGAATTGTTCTTTCAATGCGGGCATCAAACTCAAGATTAATTGCGTGGTGATGCGTGGATTGAACGAGCACGAAATCGTGCCTTTTGTCGAGATGGGTCGGGAGAAGGATATTGAAGTCCGGTTTATTGAATATATGCCATTTGATGGCAATAAATGGAGTGCAAAGAAAATGGTTCCGTATCAGGAGATGTTGGACATCATTCGGAAAAGTTATCCGAGTTTAGAAAAGGTGGCAGACCACAAAAACGACACGAGCAAGACGTATCGTGTACCCGGATTCCAAGGAAAAGTTGGATTTATCACTAGCATGACGCACAATTTCTGCGGAACATGTAATCGGTTACGCATAACATCAGATGGAAATCTGAAGGTTTGTTTGCACGGTAATGCAGAGGTATCCCTCCGGGATCTGATTCGCGAAAAGAACAACGGCCTACCAATCAACGACGACACAATGGAAGCTCTCGACTTGCTTGAATCAGGCCGCTTGACGGCTCGTATTCAAGCAGAAAAGAATCTGTCGGATCGGGAACGCAGATTACTCGATGTGATTGGCATGGCGGTCAAACGCAAGAAAGCGAAACATGCAGGTATTGGGAAACTTGAGAATATGAAAAATCGGCCTATGATATTGATTGGTGGGTGATTTCCTTGTCTTCTCAATTGGATATATGAGCATATATCGGCGCTGGCGTCCATATTTGCATGTTATGATTTATGATGTATATGATGATACCTATCAAGATGATTTGTCAATGCAGCATTATAATATAGACTAACGTGCATATCGTAGATAACTCTATACTTCAATTCAAGCACCGTACAAGGATGAACACGGTGTATAGCACGCTGGTTCCAACACATCTCGTAACCTCATCAACGCACCCACTCCGAACATATACCCAACATATCCGAAACTCGTCCACCAAGAAAAGCAAGGAAAACCAGACCGCCCATGAAGTCAAACCCAACCACCCAGTTCTCCCACACCTCAACACCGCCGGACACATGCATATGACCAACGTAGGCCGCAAACCAAGCACACAACGCTACGCCCGGGCTACATGTCTTATCCATTTCACCAACGACATCACCTACACAACCCTCACCCAAACCAATTCCGACTGTTCCTCAACGGGCGGAACAATGACACTCGCAAAAGGGGACGTATTCGCCGCGGCACGAGTAGCGGGTATAATGGCCGCTAAAAAGACGCCTGATATAGTACCCTTGTGTCATCCGAGTATTGGGATTGATAGTGTTAGTGTTGACATTAACCTACTTGGGCCGGACACATCTGGTAGTAAAAAAGAAGAAGAAGGGAATAAGTTTGGAGCAGTCGAGGTTATAGCTACGGTTACGTGCGAGGGACGTACGGGGGTTGAGATGGAGGCCATGACGGCTGTGATGGGGGCCGCGTTGACGGTTTATGATATGTGCAAAGCGAATGATAAGGGGATTGTGATTGATCAGGTTAGATTGTTGGAGAAGAGGGGTGGGAAGAGTGGGATTTGGAAGAGAGATATTTAGATATTAGAAATTGTCTCAGTTTGAATTGTAAGGGAATGAAACGCCGCAAATGCATGACTGCGCCGGATGGACAAGACAGGTCTGATAAACTCCAAACACCATACTAAACATCGCCCAAACGCAACACGATCAAAAGAAGGGGGGATTATGAATGCTTCGTATAGCACCCTTTACACCTCAACATGACCCTATCACTCATAGGCCCATACACCTGAGGGCCAGCCCCAAACACCTTCCCACAATTCCGACAATTATGATGCGACGCCAACATCTCCATTAGATGCGTATCTCTCTTTTGCAGTTTTGCCAGCGACTCACGTAATTGTTGCGATTCAGCCTTTTTGATTTCCAGCACCGCCGTGCGTTGATCCTCAACGGCTTTACGGGATCGTAGATCGGCTTCATCTTTGTACGAGCGGAGAATTTCAAAGGCGCATTCGCCAAAGTCGGACAGAACTTCGGCCATACCGGGTTGAACGAGTAAGGCATTCAAATTCTGGACGCAATAATCTATCAACACCGGTCGTAAGGAGGTGTCGTTGTGCGGAGTAGATGTATACACAGCACGAATGATTAGTGGCAGATTCAGCTTTTCGACAGGTGTACGATTCAATTGATTCCGGAACATTTTGGAGGATACTTCTTTCAAGTCTCTGATGTCGAATTTGTCGCCGCTGGAGTAGAGTTGGACGTGTGCCAGGATGTCTTCGGTGGTTGCTGGGCGGCCGCTTTGGTGCTGGTTTTCGTCGTCGTTTTCAGAGTCTTCGGAGCCGTGGCAGCTTCGTTCTGTGGATGGGGCATTTTCTACAGATTGTCAGAAAGAAACACGAGTAGTTTATAGAGAAGGGACGTACCAATCTCTTCACACTTGGTAATCTTATCAGTTTCGTAGATCCCCGTATACAAGAACGTCAACACGGACTGGAACACATCCGGATCCTCATCCACAAGCTCCAGTTTCTGTATAATCCCCTCTTTGAAATTATCCTTGCACATCACTCGAAAATAGCTCGATCGAGGACAAATCACTAGACGGTGGACGTGGAATTGGCGGTCGCCGCATGTCACCAGGAAGTCGGAGTACTCTCCGCTCTCGAGATAGCGACCCCACATGGCCGAGATACCTTGATGAGGTCGTTCTAGGTATTCTTTTGTCAGTCCCATGTTGGTAATATTTTGGAGATAATTGACAAGTATGTTAGGAGCCGAAGGGCAGAGACCGGGCTATGTAAGAAGGACATACAGATAAAGAGGGGCCGGTGAATGGCAAATGGAGACCTCGTGATCGTAGCTATGTACCGGGTATCCCGATAACCCACTCAGAACCGGTTTGTTTACTGTCAGATCTGACGTTGTCAGACACAGAAATATAAGTTTTCATAGATGTACTGACAGCGGCAGGGTTGAATTAAGCAAGTTGGAAAGAAGAAAAGTCAGGTGAAAGCGTGACTCGATACTATATTTAATGGGCAAGCTTCCCCGCCATGGCTTGTCTTTGCCCAGCCTGCTATCATGAACACAATAACATCACGCCTTGGTTTGCAATAGCTACACAAAGTATAGGGGCGGGGGCTGTGTATACTACGCCGTAAATGATAACTGCGCGGGGCAAAAGCAAATCAGCAGCTTTGAATGGTGAAAGAGGGGTGTCTAGACTGTCTTGGCTTTGTTGATGTTGGCTTCTCCTCTAGCTGCCAAGAGGCTGACCGTTCAGTTGATTTAGAGCAGATGGAGTGCGCAATATAATATGGAGAGTTGTTGCAGAGAAGCTTTATATCTTAAAGTCAGGTGCCTGTGTCTGTGCTTGTCAACCCTTTTCTTTCTGCCTTTTTCTGCCTTTTTGCTTTTTTACACTGGCTTCCTCACGACAAATTCCTCCAACCGCCTCTCCTGCTTCCCCTGCTCATCAAAATTCCTCTCATCTAACCACCGTTGATACCCCGCCTCAAAACCACCATCCCCCGACCACTCAGAATCCAACATCGAAAACCACGCCGTATCCCGATTGCGACCCTTGATAATCAGATGCTGCCGAAACAATCCTTCATACAGAAAGCCGTACCGGAGAGCAGCCTTTTTGGATGATTCGTTCAGATTGTTGCATTTCCAACTCAGACGACGATATCCGAGGTCGCGGAATGCGTATCGCGCCAGTAGGTAGAATGTCTCGGTGGCAGCTGTTGTCCGTTGTAAGGCGAGCGAGTACATGACATGGCCTACTTCAATAGTGCGGTGGACATGCGCGATGTCTAGGAAGCCAATATATCCTACCACCTGAGTTGAAGTAGACTTTTTGGTAGGAACCCTGATAGCCCAGATGACTGGATCTTCAGATTTCTCCCAGATACCAAATTGAGTGCGTAATTCTTCGACGTCAGCTACAGGGCCTCCAAGCATGTAATCCCATAGCCAGCCGACTGCAGCTCCGCCGACATGTGGGAATAATTCCTCCGCATGTGAGGCCTGCAGCGGCTCTAGAGTCACAGTGCGACCCTGGAGGATGACGCGACTTGGGCGCGGGGCTGGTGTAGGGTCTGGGACTGGGAAGCCCAGTGGACGATTGATTGTCATATTGATCGAAAGAAGAAGGGGAAAAAAGGGCTGTCGAATTCAGTATTTTCGACTGTAGGGTAGAGAGAGCCAAGTTCATCTGATCCTTTCTCCAAAGATGGATCCCCGGACGTACATATACGAATGAGTCATTCGACGGCAGCCCTAATTTGCTCGTGTTGATTCCATGAGTAACTTTACCGTCTAGTAAGTATACTATTCTGAACAAAGAATGGATGATTCTGCCTAGGTGTCATTGACAAGAGAGTTTATTGGTTGTCATCGCCGAGTATATTACCAGGGTTAGGGTTGACATCTTTTATATCATCTGCGTACGAAGACGAGATGGCTTTGATACGATAGAGTAATAATAGCAATTATGATCACTAATCAAATCTAGGTACTCAAGTACGACCGGGCTTCAGGTGATGAAATTAGATCGAGACATCATCAGCTAGCTAACATCTTAACAACCCTCTTCTCCAAACTCTTCTCGAACTGATTTACTCCATCACTCTGTTCAACCAGTTTTCCGCCTTTCAAGACATATACAGTCCTCCTTCTAGGTGTTTCGGAGTCGTCTTGGCTATCTCCATCAGACTCGGCCTCGAAGTCATCGTCTAATGGCGCATCCACATCTCGTTTCCCTTCGACGACAGCTCGGACGAGGAAACGATCGTGCGAGACGATGAGAATGGCACCGCTGAATGTTGACAATGAAGATGCAAGGGCTGTGACTGTGTGGAAATCAAGATGAGTAGTAATTTCGTCCAGGACAAGGAGATGAGGGAGGTTCCGTAGGATTTTAGCAAGAGCCAGTCGTACCTATACCAGTCGTATTAGTATCAGTCATTTTTCGGTTCTGGAGGGATACAGACCAATTGCCCACCTGATAAACGGAATATAGGTACATCAGATGCTACGCGCCCAGGGAGTCCTAACGACGATAGCAAGCCCCTCGCTTCTCCTTCGTTGAGTTGGCCATTGGCATCTCGCAGAATATACGACAGTGCTGTCAAGGTCTGGTCCGCAAGCCCTTCCTTTTGGAGATCTCCCACCGAATTCTGAGCGTAGTATCCGATCTTCAGTCGTGGATGGCGTGTAACCTTCCCCGAAGATGGCACCGTGAACTCTCCAGTCAGCAATTGAAGTAATGTAGACTTGCCACACCCATTCAATCCCATAATACCCACCCGATCTCCCAGATGAATTGTCAAGCTGATATCGTTAAGCACAACAGGCTTCGTACGTTGATACCTAAACGCAACATTCTCAATAGAGATCAACGGACCCGGAAACCTCAGATCCGGAGCGTCTGGTAAACTAATCGCAACCCCCTTTTCATCCTTGGGCACTTCAATTGCCGCGCGTCGAGTCTCATGGTACCCTACATGATCCCTATTCAACTTGAAGTGTCCGCCAGTTGCGCTGACCTGGATTCCCATCCGATCGTCGATTTTCTTCTGTCGTGACTTTGCCATTCGCAATTTATTATCATCGCCCGTCTTTTTGCCGATTTTTGTCGTTTCGCGGATAGTAGCTTCCATATGCGCGATTTGCTTTTCTTGAGCCTCTTTCATCCTTCCCCAATATAATTTCTGGAATTCAAAGTGTTCCTCATAAGCGGCTAGATTACCCTTGAAATAGGTTAGGGCTTGATCTCGCAGGATGATGATTTCTTCGCAGACGGCGTTGATGAATGCTCGGTCGTGAGAGACCAGCACTAAAGTTGTGCCTGGTCCAGACTGTCGCATTTGCTTCAGGTAATTCTCCAGCCAGATTACGCCGAGTAGGTCTAAGAAGTTTGTTGGTTCGTCGAGGATCATGATATCGGGTTCTTGTATTAGGATTCCGGCTAGCATGCATCGCATACGCCAGCCTCCTGATAATGTCATGAATGGCCGTGAGAGCATGTCTTCGTTGAATCCTAGACCTAGTAAGATTTTTCGGGCTTGTTTCTCGACGTCAATGGCTTTCATCTGGTCACGTCAGCCACTGTCTGCTTCTGAGTATGTGCGGAGTACTCACTGTTTCATACTGAGATTGGAGATCTTGTAACATGTCAATTGCAGCTTGCGTATCGCTCTGGAGAGTCTGTGCATCTATACTTGCGGTATCTTGTTGCAGTCTATATACAGGTCAGTCTTATATAGCACCAACTCAATGCGATGTAACTGACAGCTCGGTAGATGAAGCAACTCGATTTTCAATCGACTTGAGCTCCTTTCTAGCCTGTAAACCTCTTGCACCGCTTCTTATACTTGCATTTTTCTGCGCCAGAAACAGCTGCTCCATCAACTGCTTGTGCCGTAATTTTCGGATAGTTAGGACAGGTGCAAGAGGATCGTCCTGTTCCACGCTATTCGATAGCACTGATACCTTATATTAGACCCAAGTCTCAGATACCGCATTTTTCTGAATACTAACAGCTTATTTTCCTTTGTACCTCAGTCCTCATCGTATCACATGAACTCACTTGCTCCAGAGCAGTCTTTTGACTCGTCGATATAGAACCGGGCTCTTTCAATGACTCTGTAAGACTGTCAATTTCATGGTTCTTATTATCCTCAACCTCAGCATCAGTCTGCTGCAAAATCGCAATGCGAGTCGAGTATGGAACTCCAGGTATAAGCTTTTCTGCTAATGCTCGAAGAATGGCTGAAACTCATTAGCCGTTGCCCTAAATCATTCATATGAAAGTTACACACTAGACTTTCCGCTTCCATTCCTCCCTACAAGACCATAATGAACGCCCGCTTTGAGTTTCAAGTCTGCATTGGAAATAAGTTCGAGACCGTCTGCTTTTGACTTTGATTTGGCCTTGGGTTTCTTTTCTGTTGTTTCAGTTGAGGATTGTTGTGGCGAGTGGACTGTGATGTTGAGGCCTTGGATGTCCACCTATATTTCCATTGAGCAATTCGCCCATCCCTTCCCAGGTGGTAACAAGCGGACAATCGACTTACCTCACGCGAAGGCCTATCGTCTAGGAAATGGAATCGGGTCTGTTTGCATGTTGCAATTATATTCGGAGTAGTTGTTATCATTTTGAGACTCTTTAAACAAAATAGGGATCTAGGTAAAGGATCGATCATGATAGTGTCAATCTCAAGAATCCATCGAAATAATCGAAGTATATCTATATATCTGTTTTGGCTATGACCTCGTCTTGAATCCACCAATCATAATGCTCAAAAGTGACTCATTTTTGGTCAACCATACAAATATATTGACCTATATCTCAGCCATTCAGGAGGGTTTCATACTTAGTTTAAATCTATATATTTTTTTCATATATCATTCGAATTGTTACGATACTTGAAGCTAAAATATAAGATAATGTGGATCGAATCTGGCACCATTGTGGAAAGTGTCCCCGCAAAAGCCCTAATTGCACAGAGATCAGTCCCTACATATACACTGGCCACATCACTGCATGTCACTTACAATGGATTAGAAATATGACATGAACTCTCAGTATTGTTCAGGGATATAATTGATGTCTATATTAAAACATTTGGCAACATACCTGGAGCATAATCCAGATATGGTACAAGAAGGCAAGTAATACAGTCAAGGAAAAAGGAAAAAGTGACTGAATGTCTCAAATGAGAAAAGAGAAAGGGAAGGAAAGTGTATCAGTGGGCCGCTACTATCATGCTTAAGCATCGTATGCCGAATCATTGTGAAATGTAGGAAGAAAAATGATGGGAAAATTGGTCTAGATTACTCAATTCAATCACCACACTGCACTCGGTCATTGGGAAAGTGCATGCTTTCAGTCTCATAATACGACTGGTCCCGAGCTCCTGTCGTATCAAATTCATCTTGTAGTGATGTAGCGAGTCTTTTGTAGTACCCGCCGAAGAATAAATCGCCAATTCATAATCTTCTGGAGTTGAGGGAGAAAGAGTAAAATCCTTCCCATCTCTCACGGCAACTCTAGCATTCATGCTACGTGCTAAGTTGAGCATGCTTTTATGTAAGTCCCTGGGGTTGAACGCACGAAAGGTGGGAGCAGAATATCGCGCCACAAAGACGATACGCTCCACATTGAGGACGAACACATACTCATCAGTTCCCTCTGGAATTATTATTTTAATCCTGAATATTTGTGTATCCCCCTTCTTCATGACGATGGCGTGTGTCATGCGGTCAAGGCCCGTCATCTCGTTCAGGCCCATTCCGAAGGGCTGTCCAATATCCTCGGAGACGTCGTGTCTCTCTGGAAGCCAATCGAAAAGTTCGGCGCTGCGATACTCCTCTTCCCGTTCAATTAATTTTTTATGTGGCGAAATATAGCCAGCAGTCATTCTGAGCCGGAGACTGCTATCAAGACTGCTGGCGTGGATCTGTCGTTGTTTATTAGGTTTGCACACGTTCAACCGCTGTTCGACTGAGATAATTTCGGTAAGTAATTCAAAGATTAGCATTTAACCTGAAGCTTGTACACTTTCTACCACTTTGCACACCGTTGGAGGGACAGGCATACTCACGTCTAGATTCAGTACCTTATCAAATCAGATTTACTCTCACCTCTGAGCTGTGTGATAGCCCTGGCTCTGACATGGATACTGAGAGAAGGCATATTGCAAACAACAAGTAGTATAAATTCTTGAATTTATAGCCAGTAATCATCGAAACTCATCAAGGCAGGGAGTAAGTGGTATCCTGTGACTCATAAATTGTCCTACGTAGTCTTCTTTAGCCATGAGTGACTCGACTCGCGTAAGACACGATGTTATGTTCCAGATGTGTTTTCTATCTAATTTTGAGGGGGATAATATCGAAGTTACCCAGCTGGGCGCGGCTCACAGGTAAAATTTTTTGGAAGAAGATTCTAATCAGACTTCCTTAATGACACTGGGAATCATTTTGCACGTACAGAATGTGTGGAACATCTGTTTAAGCCCTCGAAGTGCAGGACTACTTGAAAGAAGTACTGCTAGATCCTTATTGTCAATGCTCTTCTTAAATGTGCCCGACTACAATACTCGTCTAAAATATTTCCCAAATAAATAATTGTTGCAATTTCCCCTAAACATAGGTAGAGAGCGAACCCACGTAAAGATTCTGCAATAATTGCCAATACTGACTAATGACAGATACAGAGATCTACGTCAACCAATTCTAAATCCTTTGTACACCCTTCATTTGAGTATTCTAGAAGCAAAGCATTGTTATCAGTGTAACCAGCCCAGTGCAACCCCATACTATTTAAGTAATGGACCATGACTCTCTTGAATATATTAGTGGATCTCTACAATAATGACTCACATACATCAGAATAACTGCTGAATACCAACGTATACGATCAAAGTTTGGACCTTTTAGGGCTGAGCTCCCAATATCATCACTTGTATCGCCTATCTATCGCGCTATGCGCCTAAGCAGAGCTTTAACTTGACGACATTTATTGGGTGGTTTCAGATATATTTAAATTAGGTGTGGCGTATAAGCTTATTCTCAAAAACATGTTCATTGATGAAGTTATTGACCCTCATATAGGCTTCTTAGGGCTACGCTATTGTAGCCACAGACGTTTACGTAGATGCTTTGGCCACAAAATCCAATACATAAATAGCTTTATGAATACAAATATGCTGTGAACATAATTATTCAGGTTCAAGGTTTATATAATTCTACTTCATCTATTTGCACTGCACCTTACGATGATTTTCCAGCAGTGACTATGAGTCCTCCACCCTTCTCCATCCCAGGTCACTGAGAGTATCTAGTGACTAACTCCTCTTATAGTGAAATTTGCATATTTATGTACAGCGGATAAGACTTACATTATATGTCTGATGTTTAGTAAGATTTGACACAAGAAAAAACACTGATCAAGGTCCATAATTTGTTTAAGTGGGCTGATTCTTGTCTACAATTCGGACATGCGTGCACTTTTCTTCATTCCCAATTCATAAACGCAGCTGAAATATTGAATCATTGGCGAGTCCCTTGTCGTCCAAATTTATCAAAGCATTTCATAGGGATTGTGGAGAGAACAAGTAGCCATCTATCCTTCTTCGTAATACCATTTAACGCTCTCGGGGTTGCCGATAAATTGTTATGAACTTGGGTTCCATCAGCGACTTCGAAGGACTTCGAAATTGTACTATTTAAGAATTGAAAGGAATGCTACCGTTGGCGATGATCTATCTGTCACATTGTCGATCAGTTCTTGAAATACTGTAGCATGTAGAGGCGTAATTATAAATTGCATGCAACGTCGTGAAACATTAAGATTCTAAAACGCAGTCCCCATTCATAACAGACTACATGCATGAGTAATAGTTCTCAAGTCCCTACTGCAGGTACCCTGACAGTAAATTCAAGATGCTGGCAAATGGTAGGACAGATTATCCTAAAAATGGTTAATCTTAGTCGTCAAGGCTCCATGCTTTTGACTTGTCGAAACATGAAGCATTTGATTGCTCCGGTGGATTCGATTTCTGACATTAGTGGCTCTACTAGTGAGTTAGTGACTCGTGGGGGCAATTGCTTGTTTAGCATTGCCCAGCATCCACGGGTCAATTGATGATATGTGCCATCAGTCTAGCCCCTTTGCACCTTGCGTAGTATCCAGTAGGGAAGTTTGAAATCAGATTTGCCGTTGGAATATGGTTCTGATTGTTGGTCGTACTCTTTCATCTGAAGTCAGGATCAAGAATGTTCAATCACCGATGTCACTAATACCTGGAGCATGGTTGTAGATAATGCTACAACGGCAGGGAAGGGAGTTACAAGCACATTACTAAAGAACAGACTATTTAGTACATGTTGGTCAGCGAGTCATCTATCGTCAGCCCCGAGTTAGGGCGATTTTGGTAGGGTTGGGCCCTAAGTTCGTCGTCCGGCATGGTGACATCGGCCTACCGAATGACTGTCGATCTTCTTGGATTTCCGGAATTCTAGATCACGTACTCTGTCAGTAACACCTGTTGCTTAGCAGAACAGCATACTGCATTGCATTCTTGCTTTCCGCGTGCACTGAATTCTACAGAGAGGCTTTATTTCGAAAGAGTAGCCTCGTTCTTGACGTTTTACGTAGTACACTGTAGTACGCGTCCTTTTCCCTCACATTCCCCTGCATATGCCCATGATCACGATAACTACGTAATGAAGCTGTTTCGTGATTTCCATTTGGCTGTCTGATGAGCCTGAGTAATATAGTCTTGAAAATACGTCTTCCCCGCGAGTTGAAACACTGGTATCGCAACCCCGAAACAAGCGACGGGCTCCATTGAGTCCCATGCCTAGATCTTGCGAATGCCAGGTCGAGATCTTCTGGGCTACTCCATACACAGTTATAATTTGATAATCGTGTTGCGTTTATGGAACCACCAATGACTACTAATATTCACAAGTCACGCCAAATTAGTCAAATAAACCCTACTCATTTCCAAAAATACTTCTTACGTACTACTAATGGAATGGCACATTCCTCCCCCAATATGGCTGACGGGTGGCTTGCATTTAACCACGGGGCCGGGATGACTAGCACAGGCACGTAAGTTGCATCTGAACGTTGAAATTATTTGATCTGTCTACTGTTCCGTGTGCCTTCAAGTCGAGGTCTGTGGCGTGATTGCGGTCCTATTGGAGATTTACATACCCGGGCAACCTTCTGTTCCTACAGGGCCGTAACCATTCTTCCCGGTTGCCCAAAAGAGTTAATCCGGGATGCTTATAAAGAAAATGTCACACCTGAGTGAAGGAACCTCTTCCGGAAAGACGCTTTATCCCCATGACCCGGCACATCAGTGACAGCTTGACCCAATTGGAATCGCTTTCCCCTTGTTTTTCGACTAGTCTTACGAACCAACATGGCCATGATGCATAGTGTTGACAAGGTAGGGAGGGCTGACTTGTGCTGTAACATCGATCTACAAGCTTGACTAGTGATAGCAGGAATGCAACACTACTGTAGATGTAGGGTTCTTATTGTGAGTCAAGTATGGAAAGATATTTAAAGAGGTCTCCAGATTCCCTCAGACTGTTCTTTTTGTTTCTTCACCATCGCAAACACCACCACCAACAATCTTATCCAAGATCCAAAGGTCCTTGACGGATCCTGTCCATTCCCTCCTTTATAAACAGTCATTCCCTGCTAAAACAAATCCGATTGATCTCGGTCTTTAGATTTTCGATAACATTCTTTGCACATATTCAACAAAGTACTTTCTCTCACAACAAAATGCATTTCTCTACTCTTGCTAGCGCTGGCCTCATGGCAACAACGGCCATGGCCTTCCCTCACACCTTGAACCGCTTCAGCTCCGCCAAACGTCAAGCCAGCGGTGCCCAGAACGTTGTCTACTGGGGACAAAACGGTGGCAGTGCAGTTGAGAACAACGATCTGTCTACTTACTGTACCTCTGATGCCGGAATCGACATCATCGTCCTCGCTTTCTTGTACCAATGGGGCAATGGCGCTACCATCCCCTCTGGCACCATTGGTCAATCTTGCTTCATCGGCACTGATGGCACTGGCCAGAACTGCGATGACTTGGCTTCCGCCATCTCCGCTTGCCAATCCAACGGCATCAAGATCATTCTCTCTCTCGGTGGTGCTTCTGGCGCTTACTCTCTCAGCTCTCAAGACGAGGCTACCACCATCGGTCAGAACTTGTGGGCGGCTTACGGCAGCCCCAACGCAACCAGCTCTTCTTCCTCTACCAGCGTCCCTCGTCCCTTCGGCAAGACTTTTGTCAATGGTTTCGACTTTGACTTGGAGGCCAATGCCGGAAACGGGAACTACCAATACATGATTTCCGCACTCCGCAACAACTTTGCCAAAGACCCGGTGAACAAGTACTACATCACTGGTGCTCCTCAATGCCCTATCCCGGAACCCAACATGCAAGAAGTCATCACCAACTCTCAGTTCGACTACCTCTGGGTCCAATTCTACAACAACGAGGGTTGCTCCACCGACACCGGCACCAACTTTGAGGATTGGGTCAGCAACATAGCCAACACCCCATCATCCGGAGCCAAGATCTTCCTGGGTGTCCCTGCCTCTGAGGACGGCGCCACTGGTACTGCCTCTGGCGCTAAATATTACCTTGACCCCAACGACCTTGCTACCCTCGTTAACAAGTACAGCAACAACTCCGCTTTCGGTGGTATCATGATGTGGGACGCTGGTTTCTCTGACGGCAATACCAACAACGGTTGCACTTATGCCCAGGAAGCTCACAGCATCCTCACTACTGGTAAGGCTTGCTAAGCAGGTTAGCACACCTGGTAAGATTGAAAAAAAAAATGCAAAGAGGAAGAGTGAAATACCTCGTTTTTTCCATTTCACTAATACCCATTCTTTCGTTGTAACATATTTTTGGACTTTATTTTGATCTTGTGCTTTCACTTCTACCTTCGATCATTGATTGATTGCTGGACACTCGAGGTCAGGCAGTGTACAATCATTATATATTCATGACTATGTATGTCTGATTAGCATTTTGTGGAAATTAGATCGCATTCGCTCCAAATATCTGATCTCATCAATACAAGGCTGCAAAGGTACCACGGCAACGCGTAAGAGTGTAGGTAACATAAATCGATCTGATCAGCATTGTCAATGAAACAGGATCCCAAGAGCTAGGTTCCAGATGGCCTCCGGATACCCTCTTCATCGGCAGAATAACTTCCTGCAACATTTGTCCAATAGCTTAGAAAAACCCCCGAACATGAACAAAGATGCAAAAGATCAAATTGCATAACAATCCAGAAAAGCAAGTACGAGTTACGCAAAATTAAACAATATCATCAGTCTTTTCATCATAAATGGGGCCCTGCGCAACACTCCTAGACCTAGCGCGTTCAAGTCTCATTGCAGCATCTTCCTCCTCCGCCCAAGCCAAAGATTCGTCAGGTAACATAACAGCCTTGTCAATCGCAACGGGCAGACCACGATGTCGACCACGTAGCATCACCGCAATCAAGATCAGTTTACTGATGGTATACCAACCGCCGCAGAAAGAGTAATTCTGGTCCGGGAGCCCAACAGAGATACCCACGCAACCGTAGCCAGAGACTACTTCGAAGATAATGTTGAAAGTGGAGTATGAGATTGGATCCTTTGTGAAGTGAGGACCTTCTGCGATTGTAATGAACAGTATAGCGAGGCAGATCCACCAGATGTCATGACTGAGCTGTGAACGTATCTGTTGACGAACAAAGTAACTTCGTGATGTATTGTTTTCGCCAGCTTGGCCCGTTGACGGGTTGCTGTCGGCTTTTTGACTCTGCTTTCCGTTCGATCCATGTGAGATTATAGCTTTCGTATGGCCAACAAAACTGCCCAAGCGAGCGTGATACCTCTGATCTTCGGCCAAATAATCGTCGGCATATATTCCCAGAGATCGCTCCTCATAAACATTTGTGTTTCGTATGGTGACCAGAACCGGAAACGCAGAAACATACATCATCAGCACATAGAGAACGAGCAAGCCCTGGTGCAAGTCAGCAATTGTGACCACGTAAAAGCCCCCAGACCGCACAGCGAAAGCTTGGAAAAGGCCGTCTAAGACGCGGTATCCACCAAGAATCTCTACGGCTGTGTTGTTTATAGATAGGACTTCGAAACCAGCCCAGTCAATGCCGTTGAAAAGGATTATCGTTGCGAGGAGATACCACGTATGCCGTTTCGGGAAAAGATGGGTATACACTCGCCGTGGATGGTCCAATATAAAGTCAAGAACAGCATTCCACTCTTCACACCACTTGGTTCGAGGTAAGACATGTTTCATAGTCCATATACTGAATCGCAAGAAACAAGGATATAGCGTGTTTCCAGCGAGAATCAGTAACCCCATAGTAAGAAGTACATAGGAGCTGAGTCGAGGCTTGTTAGCAGAGTGGAACGCTCTGTGATTCTTGAGTAGTTAGCCTTACCAGGTCTGCAAAGCAGTCATGTTTGCGTCCAGCAATGACATGCCATTATTTCCGAAGGCAGATATAGCCAGGAATGAGCCGGTCCAGAATGGACTCAGCCCATTTTCGCGAGCAACACTAGGTCGATTGACAGCGAACCATGTACCCAACCCTATAAATCCTAGGACATTGAACAGGACAAAGTATAGAGGGACGATGATGGAGAGGAAACATATCGCTCTGTATTCCACTCCGCCGAGCTTATCGCGCTCGCTGGCTGTAAGACCATGAAACTGCGAGTTGCGGGATATCAATCCCTTCGAAGCAAAGTATTTCTGGGGATTTCTGGTAATAATTTCGAGCAGAGATGATCTTCGTTCATCATCAGCAACGAAGCTAGGTGCGGCATCTTTTGGGTCTCTTGCATCTGGGCGTGCGCCAACCCCAGCCATTGGAAATACCCGATGTCTAATTTTATTCCGTGATCTTGATTGAATGGTGAGTTGATCATCGTCAGCCCATCTGATAGCATCTGCATCATTCATGTCACTCTGCGAGTGCGTCTGAGTATTCGTTTGACCAGTTTCGGAGGACAGTTGGATCGGGCCATCAGTTGTTTCACGGTTCCCAGCCGAGTCTCCATTTATAGGACACGCATTGTTTCCTTCTCCTGTCAGGACCCTCTTTTCAATTTTAGGCAAGTTAACTCCTTGGAGTGCAGCTAAACGACGCCGTTCACCCGCCTGAACAATGCTCCGAAATCTGGACTCAAAAGCACGCTTACGGACGAAGAGAACCGTACTTGATATAAGAATAGGATGACCCAGAACAATGAGGCCAAATAGAATAGCTTGCTGAAATGAGTTGACGGTAGAGAGATTGATCTGACTACATTAGCTTGAAGCACTTGGAACGGTCCGGATAAACTTACAGTGTTTAAGCCGGCTCCAGTCATTGCACTGACGCAGAGAAAGAGGGCGTCAATATACCTGACGGTCTGAACCGGGCTTGCTGCCGCCCAGAATATCACGCTCCATATCAGGCCCATGACAATGAAGTAGGCGTGATGCAATGTAAGGAAGTTGAGTGGCGGAAGAAGATTCGCCATTCTACGAATGGCCTTTCTCTTCGGAACTGATACACTGAGTCAGTATCTATCAAATAACTGGCAATCAACCCGACAAGACTTCTCAGTCAGCAGATAATCGTGGGGAGTGCTCACCGGTCATGTTGGCCGTTCTGACTTGTAAAGGCCACTCTTCCCAACGCTAGAAAGCTCACTTGTAGTTGTAGTAGATAGTTAACTCAAAAGATCACCACAAAGATAATTCTTCTGACAAATGTCTTAACCGTAAGATCCTCTATGTTCGAAATTCGACACAATATCTTCGATTAACATAATGTCCTGAGTAGAATGATTTGATGTGGCGGTGTGCATGTAAATAATCAAGCCTGTGTTAGAAAACAGTCCGGGTCAATACGGCCATTTGAATATCTTTGATATGTCTTGAGATTCTCGGAAATATGCAGCAGGTTGCGGCGACTGAGTAAGAACTTGATCTGTAAGAGTGAATATTCCTGTCGGAAAAAAGATTGGGAAGTTTCCAAACTTTATGAAACTGAGGCGCCACTGCTTGAGGCCAAATTCTGGCGGGCTCCACTGTGCCTCAGAAACTTTTAGCCTCGACTTTAAATTCTTAATAACTCATCTTATGATGAGCTGTCATGCTCCTTTCCTCCTTAAGCCATCAGATAAGAACATTCCTTCCAATAATCATTGCGGATGGTATGCTCAATTACTTGCTTGATATACCTTGCAGCATTGGCGCCAAAATCATACCATGCTGCCCCGCCACAAAGAAGCGGTCTCGTCTGCATGCAACTACGTTTAAGCGAGTCTCAACTCTCGGGGAAAAAAGGACAATAATAAGACTTTTGCGGTCTATAGACTATGTACCCAAACCAACGCCGGAAATCTAGGATATCCTTGAAATGCACTCGTTCATGTTCTTCACTCCTCGTCATCGTCGCCGTCACTCCCATCGCTGGCATCGTCACTATCGATATCTGACATGACATCGTCTTCACCAACATTTTCCCGTTCCTTTTGTCGCTGCTTCTCTTCATCTTGTCTTCCTTGTTCAAGAATAGCTGCCTTCTCCTCCCGTAGTTTACGCTGAGTCTTGACAAAGGCACCAAGAGGAGTGGTCTCCCATTCGGTCTCCTTGAGAAAGTTGTCCACTTCGGCCCTGTTCTTTGGAGCAAAGTTGACTTTGGCTCGGCGCTCTTCGATCCATCGGGAATTGAGCTCAACCTTTTGCACCAAAAGTAGAACTGATTGATTGATCTTCGAATTCTTGTTGCCCGTTGACCGTGATCCTGCTTCTTTAAGCCACCGTTTCAACATGACGACAACTGGCAATGCCAGCTCAGGGAAGGCAATATGTTTAGTCCAAAGGACAAAAAATTCTGACAACAACTCAACAACCTGTTCACCAACACCGTCTTGATAGACGCGGGTGCGGAGATATGACTTGGCTGCTCGGATAGATGTGTTGAAATCCAGTGGTCGCAATGTGCTCGACTTGGGAGGCTTTCTCATTTCGGCGGAGTTGAGTACTTCCAAAAGGGTCGGAGCCAATGGAATATACGTACCCGTAGCACGAGAGATTCGTAGGAGAGCACGCGCAAGCTGGAAGCGCAGAGGGAAGTATTGAGGAGTGGGGATGAGCCGCATAGCACCAAGTGTAATTTGTACAACGGGATAGATCAAAGGTCGCAAAGCGGACTGCTTTCCAGCTTCCGCCTCAACCAAAGCATTGCAGTGCTGAGATAGCACTCGAGACCAAAAATCAAGCGAGTGCACATATTGCCAGTTGTATATGGTCTTATAGGAGTCTTTGGTCTTATTCGTGATACTGCTCCTGAGGTGAATTGCGAGCTGACGAATGAAGCTGAATCCTGTAGTATATGAGACATTCTGATCAATGCCCCAGATCTCTGCCGCGGAATTCTTGGTCAAATTGACTCCTGCGAGGGTATGGACGTTGGTATTTCGGCTGCCTTTGACGACGCCTTCGTATGTCGCTTTGAGGACAGCCTCACGAATTCCAGCATCGCCAATTTTCATCAACCGGCGCATAATCAAGAAACCGGTAACACGAACAGCTTCAGAGTTGGTGTTGTCAGACCAGATATTAACCACCATCTTCACAATAACTTTCAATACTTTTCTAAACTGGAGAAGATATGGCAACATAGGCTCGATAGATGCAACCGTCAGCTTGAGAGTAGAGGCATCAGATAGGTTCGTAAGTAGTTGATGGACAGACGATGTGTGTGATTTGATGAGTGGACTAAGAGTTTTGAATTTCTGCGACTCGGCTGCAACTTTGACTTTACCCCCTGCGGTTTCTTTGACTGGCAAATGATGGGCTAGAACCTTTGGCACGGTTTCCAATGCCGTAATCAGAACCTGGTGGTAGACATCGGCATCCGAAATGGTGTATTTGGTATCCTGGTTGTCGGCGTCATTTACATACGCTGCGGATCGAAAGGCAAGCACAACTTGTCGAAGGGCTCTCATGGAATTTTGCTCCTGCAAAGATTTCTGCCACTTTTTCACCTCGGACATGGTAACGATGTTGTCCTTCATAGCCTCAGATTCTGCGACCTTGGATTTCTTCTTTTTCTTGGCTGGCCCTTCCTCCGTCTCGCTCAACTCATCGACTTCAGCTAAATCGCCATGATCACCGAAATCAAGAAGTTCTGCATCGTTTTCTTTCAGATACTTGTAGAACTCTGGATCTTTCTCTTTGAGCGACTCCAATTGTCCTTTATGTTCCTCAAAATCCCCAACGCTACTGGCATCTGACTGTTGCGCCGAATCCAAGTCTGATCCAGGTTCCTCCTCGGCACTCTCAGCTTCAGACTCAATATCCTCAGCAAATTCGTCAGTGCGCTTCCGTTTACCGATCTTGGGAGTCACGTCCTTCTTTTGTTTCTTGTTTCCTTTGCTATTCTTAGGGTCTGCGATATCAAACGCCCCAGCGAAGAAATCATCGACGTTCATTTCCGCAAATGCCTTTTCCTTGGCCAGTTCTTCAGGATCAATCACCTTCTCGGCTGCTTCTTTCTCGCGTCGTTCGGCATTTCGGACTTTCCTCTTGTCGTTGATTTGGTGTCGCTGCCTGATCTTGGCGAATTCTTTTCGTCGTTCGAGTACATCGCCCAATCGTCGTTGCTGGAACTTCTTCGTTGATTTCTTGACACCCATTTTGGCTGAATCAGTAGCACAGCGCAATGTTAGCGTCTGTGCAAATTCAGTTCAGTGGATGGATATCAAGTGTAGATGCCATCGATGTTGCGGAAAGACGAAAAAAAAATCGATTTGTCTGGCAGAAAGTCGTGCACGGACCACATCAGCTCTCCCCGCCTTCCATCCTCATTCCAAGGGGATCCTCACTTCCTCGGCTTGCATTTTAACAACATTCACGAATTCATTCATCTACAAAATCGCAAAATGCATTCCCAACGACCGTTATCCTATGCGCCTACCCCCTACAGTTATACTCCAAATCCAGCTTTGTCCGCCACAATCAATCTCGATGAAGTACGTCGCGCGCCTGGTCACTTCTGAATGGTGGAGCTAACATTAAAAAAGGAAGTGAAATTGGCATCGAGCTCCGCCGAACGCGATCTATACGAATCTCTCGCCGAAATATATAGCATTATTGTCACCTTGGACGGATTGGAGAAAGCTTACATTCGCGATGCCATTTCAGAATCTGAATACACGGAAACATGTGCTCGGTTATTGAAACAATACAAATCGACGCTCGCTGACGAGACCGTATCGCGAGAATTTGTCGACTTGGAAACGTTTAAACGCATGTGGCAGGTGTGTGATAATGTGCTGATCACTTGCAAGTGTACTTTGTTGACTTTTATCTATAGCTGGAATGCCCTCGAGCTACCGAACGTCTCCGAATCGGTTTGCCGGCCACCATTGAACAAGCATCCCATGGCACCCACACTCCGAGCGGCGGTATGCCTACCAGTGCTCCCGCTGCAGGCGCTTCCGGAAGTCTCATTCTCATAGCAACTGAAAATTTCATCACTTTCCTGGATGCCCTGAAACTCAACATGGTCTCGAAAGACGCTCTGCATCCATTACTATCCGAGGTCATTCAATCCGTCAACAAGGTCACGGATCGAGATTTCGAATCACGGGGCAAAATAATACAATGGCTGATTACTCTCAATCAAATGCGCGCGACGGAGGAATTGAGCGAGGAGCAGGCACGCGAATTATCCTTCGACATCGAGCAAGCATATCAGGGCTTCAAGGCGACGCTGAATTGAGGATCGGACTTTGTACGAGCGACTTTGACATATATTCTACTACACTGAGAGACTCGAAAATACGAAATCACCACAGCATCCTTATCGCAACCTTGGTATGGTTGATTACGTGTCTGAAACTGACCGCCTTGCGGGTTTACCGATAGATCCGCAATCGGCCAAGCTCCACGAATCGAGTGTGACGAAAGACCCACGCCGATAACCCTACTTTTCCTATTCAGGAAACAGCAACTTTTTTTTCTCCATCAGCCCAACCCGCGGCTATCTTTGTCTTCCGACAAGATAAGGGCGGATCTTTTGTTCCTATCACTAGACTTCACAATCGTCCTGCATGACTTTAAGCCATCGGGCTGTATCTTGCCCTTTGCTGGAGTCTATTCACCAAGATGATCACCGCTGATGAAGATGAGCCTCTTCACGGTATGAGGATTGACCCTTACCCCTCATTTGCTCCATCTCGTGGGTATGCGGTATAAATAGGCTGATATAAAAGTCACGTCGATAGTCCTCGATCTGCCGCAATTATATACGAAGCCAACAGCCATAGAAATTCTAAAAGCACTTGATCATTTAGCTATCCAGCCAAAGAGCTTTGGGTTTGGCGCGCGTGATGTGGCTAGGCGAAAAATTAATTCTTCCGGTGTTACCGAGTACCTTACGACCATTGTATCCAGTTCTCTGGCCTGGTTAGACTCTGATGACTTGCGAGAACAAATATGGGATGTTGCTGCCGCAAGGCTAAGTGAGCGCGCAGGCCGAACAGGTGAGTTTCGGGAACGATGACTGCTGCGCGCGCCAAAGTACTTACATATTGGTTATAGCTATGCCTGCTTTGACAAGACTGTTCCATATTCCCACTTCATCCGGAGAAGAACTAGCTCTCACATTACACGAACCCTCGCTCACTTCGGACAATCTTGGGATGAAAACTTGGCTATCATCATATTTACTCTCACGTCGTTTGGATTCAATATTTGAGTCAGTACCCGAGCTTGTACGGTCAGAATCATCAACATCATCAACAAGCACCAGACTCAGAGCTTTGGAGTTGGGGTCAGGAACAGGACTCGTCGGTTTATCTTTTGCTGCCCTGCGAGAAGCGTCCGCTTCAATTCACCTGACCGACTTGCCCGCCATTGTTCCCAACCTAACGCAGAATGTCGAATTGAATTTCGATCTACTACAAAAGACCAATGCGGAAGTTACAACAGGGATTCTGGATTGGTCTATTCATCCAACCCCGAACCCAACGAAAGACGAGCTTTACGATGTCATTCTCGCCGCTGATCCACTATATTCTCCTGATCATCCTAAGTGGCTCGTTCAAACAATCAACACATGGATAAGCAAAGGACTCGATGCGCGTGTAGTAGTTGAGTTGCCACTACGAGACGCATATGCACCCCAAGTCGATGAATTTAGGCAAAGGATGCAGGACATCGGTCTAGCCATTGTCGAACAGGGTAATGAAACAGGCTATGATGACTGGGAAGATGCTGATGGGCAGTCGATGGAAGTTCATTGTTGGTGGTCAGTTTGGGGATGGAGCGAGAAGTTTTGATTATTCTTCACGATTTATGATGATTCCGATATACATTAATTAGATAGACTAGACTAGACTAGGGCCCTAGACTAGGGCCCTAGACTAGGGCCCTAGACTACCACTTCATAGATTCAATAAATATTTTGGAAAGAGCGCACACCTAGGTACGATTCCGGGCAATAGATTGGGTATATTAGACAAAACATCAATAGACCTAGGTAGCATAAAACGCATCGCTCCTAGCGCGTATATAAAAATCACGAGTCCTCATTCGAACTATAATTCGACTTGCTCGGAGTCGGAATACATGACTATCACTTGCGAGAATGAAGCCAAGGCTTCAAAGCCCCTGAACATTCCCGATCCCACTCTCTCCGTCTTGAAGTCTCTTCCTTCAACTGGTCACTCATGATCTTTCTTCGAGAATTACCCATCAACAGACGATTCCAGAACTTGAAAGCGAAGTCCGTATCCCAAGCATCGCGGAAGCAGGTTTCGGCGATTATATCTCTTTGTGTGCCCGGAGGCGGCTCTTTTTCCCACCTTGTTAATAATGCGACTTTTGAGAAGGAGGGAAAAGGAGGGGAAGGAGGAGTGGATGGAACGTACTAATCGTGACGCCCTCGAAATCATCTGGCGGTGGTTCGCCCATTGTGCACGCCCAAAGTATAGGCGTCTCGTGATTCATGACTCGGAGCATTGATGGATTGAGGAATTTACATATTTCTCGAGTTTCACTTGGGGTCACTATTGGTATTATGTCAAAAACAGATAAAATAAGCAAAGACTCTCGGGGTTAGTTTGCTCAACCTACATTCATGTTCCCGACTCTTACAAAAATCCTGAGGATTCAGGACGAAATGACAAGACTGTCCGTCCTGCGATGTATCTGGGGAGAAAGTCGCTTGAGTAACCCAGATCTGCAACCCCCTCCACTGTTTCCGAAGCTTGTCGTCCGTCCAGCTTCCGTATATGTACCCAAGTATAGGAATAGGAGTCCCATCTGTAGCTACTAATTCCGGCTGTTGCTCCATTGATGAGTCACATGGATGAAGAATGAACCGTTTCCAATCGTACCATTCAGCAGAGACCAGATTGAAGCCCTGAGACACGGCACTGGTTTCATCTACCGCAGCCACGTCGCCGGGTGTGCTGTTGAAGAATCCAGGGATATGTTCTTTGCATTCTGAGATGTCAAGAACTTTGTAGCGAGGTGGATTCTATATCGTCGTAGAGTCAGCTTTTGGTCAAGTATACAAGAAGTCATACAAACGTACGTCGAGTTCCTCATGAGGGGAAAGTTTCTCTTTCTCATCCACGAACTTCAGTGACCCCGTTTCTCGATCGTACAAGAATTTCTCAATTTCGCCCTTCTCAGAGTTCACCAGAGCACCCCCAACGCTTGGCCAAGTTTCCCATAATGCCAAATAGTCGACATAACCACCATGCAAAGGCCGGAGGGTATACTTGTTTTCATCTTTGCGCATCCATTCGTCGAGTTGCTGATTATTTGATCCCTTGCGGTAATATTCATATGTTCTTCCCTTTCGGTATTCCTGCGAAGTCTTGAAATGACCGTAAGCGATGTACGGAAGTTCAAGAATCATGCTCTCCTTTCTATCAGAATTCTCGACTTCTTGTACTACCCGAGGCTCATAGCCTCCCTCCAGACCTGGAGACCATTCAATGGATTTGAAATTGTGAACATCACCATTCGGCAACCATTCAAAGACAAAATGCCATTTTCTGCTCTTTTCCTCATCCGAAGGTTTGACCAACTGTAGCGAGATTTCATCGAAAGGGAAAATCACCAGTTCCAAACTGCTGTATGCCAGGTCATAGCAGCCATCAAATTCTCCAAGCGATTGAATTGGGAGCAATAACCGATGGTCCATGCTTCCCAATCTCGGACCGAACGGCCTCCAGTTGTCCTGGTAGATCTGCGAGCTTGAGTCTTTTATACTTCTCCAGAGTAGTTTTCTGGCCTCCAACTCTTTGCCGTTTTTCATGTATGTGTTGGCCACGGCGGGGACAACTCTGTGTTTCAGTAAGTCAGAGAGCGCTTCACGTTCGGAAGTTTTTAGCGAGCTAGAAAGTTCAATTTTTTCTGCATGGTTTAGGAACTTTTCGTACAGATCTAGCACTACCTGTTCCTTGTTACCCTTTGTATTCGAAAAATAGTATCGTATCATGTTGTCCGGGGCCATGTCCAGCCAGAATTTCCCTAGCTGCTCTGTGCAGTGCCAGGTAATGGCATGGAACTCTCCATAAAGCGCCCTTGACATTTCAATAGCGTTAGCCATCATTTCCCTTCTATCGTATTGATCGAGATGCCTTGCCAATGCCAGACGTAAGTTGATTGTACTTCCGTTCTCTTTTCCAGCTTTCAATAACTTGTCACTTGTCCTTTTGTTGTGCATTCCGAAATTCAATACTCTTCGAGACAGGTAAATCAATCTTCCATCGGTCCACGAACCAAACAGATCATCTATACCTCCGTCTCTAGCATTCGGCACTATCACACCAATACTCGTAATTAACTGATCAATATCCGAATCCGGGAGACCCAACATGCTTGTCACGGCATGTTCGAGAGGATCCTTGTTTGATGTATGAATAGGGACGAATTTCGGATATGCCTCAAAAAAGCACCAAAGCACATGGCCCACAAAGTACCGTACGAGAGCCTCCCGCCAGCCTGAATGTTCAGACCAGACCATTCTATGAGTGGCAACGTATTCACCCGCAATATCAATGATATGCTTAGTCGATTTCTTCTCCTTGCGCAATGCCATGATCTTCTCCGCAGCAACCAGAAAGGTCTCAAACCTGTCCCTTTTCACCTCCGCGAGTGCGTGATAATTAAACGGACACAGGTATTGTTTCTCCCATAACCAGACGACCATATGGCGACGTTTTGATGGGAAAAGTGATACGGTTGCGGCTAGAGACTTGGTTAGTCCCCCATATCGACGATACTGACCATTAGTCAAGTCGAGTGTTCCAAAGTCAGGAATGATATGTTTCTCGTCTTCATCATCTGATTCTACTTTTTTAATGGAGGCAACCTTAGAGGTTTCTTCGCTCTTAGAAAAGAGACCACAAGAAAGCATTATACTTCAAACTCTCAGGGAATTTCAATTCATCACATCAAGAATCAGCAGACTGAAGGATTTCGGATGTGAGCGAAGTGTCGAGAAATATGGGAGGCTGAGCTATGCATTAGTTCCTGCGATATAATTGGTGTACCTTGGCGCTATTTTTCAGACAGCACGTGACTTTGCGCCGCATGTCTTGGCATGTTAAAATCTCATTTTATGACATCAGCGGGGATCTACATAGCTTTACTTTTATATCCAGATTATTGTATACTCGCGACATATGCAGAACAGACCTCTTCCTGGTGGTGCATCATCCAATTCGATATAGCGGCTTGATCAATACATTCAAAAAGCAGCAAAGCAAAAGGGCAAAAAGAAACAGCAACCATGGTCATAGGCCTACTCGCCATAACGGCCATCCCCACCGTCACGGGCGTCGCATTTGGCGTCAGCGAACAACGCAAAGCAAACAGTCGAATGCAAGACGAGAAAAGAATGGCCAAGTTTTACATGAAAGTTTACTGTGAAGGAGATTCAGAGAAATCGCGCAGTTTGAATGGACGGAGAGCGGTGTTGCGGGATACTAAGGTACGTCAATTCAATATGTGTTCATTCTACTGTTATCATTCTGACTTCTGTGGTTACGATAGGTATATCTTGACCATGCAGATCCCAATATTCGGAAAATACCATCACATACAGTCGCCGCATTCTTTATCGCATACCCCGATGATGATAATAAGCGCGGAGACGGTCTCGTCAGTACGATATCTGATAATCCGCCCATGCTGAATTGGATATATGTGGATAAGGATACATTAGAACTGAAATATGGGAATCGGACGCAGAGTATAAAACACATCGTCGGTCATTGGGGTTGGACGGAGGATGAGTCGGGTGTTCTATTGAACAATAAAGAGTTGTGGGCTGCTGTTGAAGAAGAGGAGGATGTCTGGGCGTTATATTATGACAAAAATGAGGATGGATTAGAAGGTGTCGTCGATCCCAGTAAGACAGTGGTTGAGATTAGTATAGATAGAGATCTGGTCGTCAAACCGGGTGAGAATGCAGATGCTAGTAAAACTTGACATATTTCCATTATGATCTAGATGGCGCGCTTTGCTCCCCTAATCATCCAACCCGTTCCACTCATCTCCACTATCCACAGTAGCCTTAGCTGAAGAAGACTGTTGAATCCTGTTGCGACTTGCAGAAATAGCACCCTTCCTCTTATTCTCCATTCGACGATCGTATCCACTCTTCGTGCTGATACGTGCTTGCCCAGTCTGCTTAATGTCATGCTTGAACTTAGCAGAGGCCGCACGAGCCTTGACACCATGTCTTTTCAGATCTTGTCTATCTTTCTTGCTGAGGTCCGGAAGTGAATCAAGGAGCCACTTTTGCACTGTTTGTTCCTTGCCCTGCAGTTTCTCACTGGCGTGGATGAGGTTGGCGATACTCTTAACGTATGGGATGTCTTCCTTCGTGTAATATGTCACTGCCACACCTCCTTCACGCCCAGCCCGACCTGTCCGTCCTACTCGGTGAACGTACCCAGCACTTGATGTTGGAATGTCGTAATTGACAACACCATTGATACCGCGGAAATCAACACCACGTGCCAATAAGTCGGTCGTTATGATAATCCAAATTTCGCCTTTGCGGAAATCTTTCATAATTTCGGATCTGCGTGTCTCAGATAGATCGGAGTGTAGAACAGCAATTCGAGATGAACCACCTGCTTCAATCGGGATATCGTAGAGTAACTCTGAATGTAATGCGACGGCTCGAGTAATAGTCTGCGTGAAAACGAGGAATGGTGGACGAAGTCGAACTTCATTAGGAGCGATAGCAGCAGTAGGGTGAAGTAATTGGCGCAATCCAAGCAATTTCCCTTGCTCAGTAGCAGCATAAATGAGTTTGTGTTGAATATTTGGCACGGCTGTGTCTTTTAGGCCAATGACCAGGCGCAATAGAGGTCTCTTCTTCGCGTTGAGCGACTCATGGCGTGATTCAAGTATAGACTTCGTGAGCTCTTCAATACTAGATCCCATAGTGGCGGAGTAGAAAGATATTCCAAGATCAGGGTTGTTGCATGAAGTCCAGATCGCAAGTGTTTGTTCGCGGAATAATGGATCGAGTAACACATCCGCCTCGTCCAATACAAGATGCCGCACCGAGGGAAGCGATTCCGTCTCTTCTGTGTCTTTCACAGTCAAAGCATTAACCAAGGCAAGTGGCGTGGTGACGAGGATGTCACTCTTCGTCAGGTTGCCCGACTTTTTGCTGCCGTTTGGCTTAGCCGACTTGTCACCATCTTCCTCCTGGTCAGACTCGAATTCCGAGCCTGAATCAGATGAATCCTCCTCTTCTTCATCCTTCTCGGCGTGAGCAACAACCTGCATCCCTTTCCTCATTGCTGTAATTTTCACTCCTGTTCCAATCGCCAGTTTGCGCCCCTCGTTGACAATCTGACCTACCAGCTCTTTTGTAGGTGCAACAACGATCGATGTGATCTCGCGCTGTCCAAAGTTCTCCCGATGATATTTCACAGTTTTATTGATCAAAGGGATGAGGAACGCAAGTGTCTTTCCGCTACCAGTCGGAGCCACAGCCAACAAATCCGGTTCATGACCATCCCTCATAGGTGTCTTGGAAAATGACGTATTCCCGAGAAGAAGAGGTAAGCTGCCCATTTGCACTTCAGTTGGCACCGTAAATCCCTGTTCAGCGATATTCTCTGCCAATTTTCTAGATATTTGATATTTCTTTCTCAAATCTTGAAACGTAGTCAAAGGTTCCGGATACACTTGTCGTGCCTCTTTTTGTTTCTTTTTGCTGAGGGAAGCTATTTCCTTACTTATTTTCCGTTTCTTTTGCTTTTTGGTTTTGGCGTCTTCATCGTGGTCGTCAGTCTTCTCCGCAAGAATTTCTTCTAGATCTCTCAAGTCGACAACTTTGATCTTATGAGTTTTCAAAATCGACCGTCGCTCAGACTCATCCATAGTGACGCCTTGAACTTCATGTTCCGAATCCGAACCCTCTTGGGTGTCGTCTGTTTTTGCAGGTGCATCTTTCTTGGAATTTTTGCTCTTTTTAGATTCTTTTCCTGCCGGCGCGGTGGCAGTTCCTGAGGTCGAATGGGACCCACCGAACAAGAGTCGTTGCGTAGCTTCAAATTCATCATTCCTTTCCTCGGCTGCCTGCTTAGTAGCAACTTCATTCTGCCTTTTTCTTTTCCTGTTGGACTGAACATCTGCAGTACCAAAGAGTTGCGGATTCGCCGCTTTACCGGCGGAAGGCAATGGGCTACTTGTAGTCGAAGTGGAAGGTTTCAACTTTGTTGACCTGGTCAACAACTTGAATGCATCCATCTTGTTGTCTCAATATCCCGAAAAAAGGGTTTAGAGCTCAAGAACTCATCAAAATCATCTGCACCATAAGGAAATGGCGGCTAATCCGACTTCTTGAATGTTTGATGAAGATGTATGCGGAAAGAAAAAAAATGTTCGGCCGCTAAATGTATATCGATCAACCAATCAGAAGTTGAGAATTTGGAGATTATTTTATCACATATCGAAACTCGTAAGGCATACACTTCGTTAGCCTATCAGGGCCTAAATGGACCTATGAGCGTGCTCAGCTTATAATTAAGCTTGCTAATGCAGTAAAAGAGGTTCATGTAAGTAGGGTTAGGGTTTATTCCGACCCTAACAGCCTAGATAAGACTTAGTTTAACTAGTTTTCAAATGCTAAACAATAAGGTAATTAATTAGAACACAGAAGAAGTCGGGAGGCCTATCACTGGGAATCATATGATAGTAGGCTCGTATATAGTAGATAATCCATTTAGCTACTATCTTGAATAGACGGTCAAGCACATACGAAGTCACTAATCAAAAATTCAAATATAAGATTTCAACAACCTCTATGAAGTAAAGTAGCGTTTTATAAGTTACAGACTTACAATATACACGGTTGTACCTGATGAGACTCAAATAAAAATTCATCACAGGAGATAATTCTAGGCCGCAGTTAGTATCCGCTGCTGGCATAGCAAAATAACCTAGATGATACCAGGCGAGCTAGATAGCTTTAGTACCGCTATAGTAAGGCACAGCTCCCTATGTACAAGATTAATTATTCATTAATCTCTTTGTTCTTCCGATTTCCATGAGACGTTCGGTACCTGCCTCGAGTCCCTTTTCATGATATGCTCTCGACAATTGTAAGACTGCCATCAGTGAAGGCCCCCGGTGCTCGATTTTTTCTATTTTTGGATCCTTGTTCCATGAATAGAGGAACCGTCGGGGCTCATTTGCGATATCTATTTCCTCCCAAGCCATCCCTGAAAGCCAGTCAAAAAGCGAACTATATATGTATGTTAATTTCCATCCATCTTTCTATCCATAAGAGTCCTCTTCAAATATTTCCCCATTTTTCAGTTTGCCTTTAATCTTGATAGCCAGACGGGAAGATGGGTCAGTTTTCAAGGCTTTTCGGGCATAAGCTTCTGGATGGCGTGTAGGGCTCAGTTCAATTTTGACATATATTCCTGCTTCAACGTCCACATTCTCTGTTCCGATTTGAAAGCGAATTGCCGGAGTAAAGGCCTCGACGAGAAGAACACACCTTTTTACTCTACCCGGATACCAATGGCCTTGTGCTAGAAATTCTTTGCGGATTATATCGCGGTCTTAGCCATGCCTCGATGGTTGCTTCCTGACTTCTGTGATCTTTGCTGCTAGCCTTGTTCCCACTTCTGTCGATGGCCTTGCCTCCCCTTCTGTCGCTGTGGTTCCTGTAAACGCTACTCCGGTCACTTCAGACGATCATTCTGTTCACTATCCAGTTGACACGTACCATACATTTGCACAAAGCTACCAGCATGCCCAACCTTTTGCCTAAGTCGCTGCTCAGGAAGAGCTACATCATCTCCGTCAAGATAATGGCGTGGCTCTGTTTGAATTGAATGAATCGTATCAAGATTCAAGCAACTCTCTTCAATCGTCATTTCTTCGTCTTGACCTCTGTCGTCATCGTTGTCTGTGGAAACATCTTCTAGGGTTTGATGGAGAGGAACAAGCTCATGCTCAGTAATACCATTGATCATATGAAAACATTGTTCCACTTGTTCCATCAAGAGGCAGTTGCAATGACGTTCCAATAGACGTGCCTGTACTTCCAGTAAATCGTGCATAGAGTCTCTTGCTTCCAGCTATCATTTCTTGGAGTAAGGGTGGATTTCTTCTTTCTTGTTGACGGGGTCACCGACAAATATCATGCTTGTTGAACATTCAATTACAAAAAATCATCTGTACAAGATCTTAAACCACTTAACAAGCAGGCAAGATGGCCGAGTGGTCTAAGGTACGTTGGATCGAGATGTATTGTGTGGTACTCTGGCTAATCAGATGGATACAGGCGCCGTGTTTAGGTCTTCGCTCTGTGTGAGCGTGGGTTTGAATGTTTCCGCGGTCTTCACGGGCGTGGGTTCGAATCCCACTCTTGTCATAAATATTTTTCTTTTTACCCTTGCTATGGCCCGTCGCAGCGCCTTACCCACCCCGGCTCAACGGAATCTATTTTTGCTTGCAGTAGCCTAAGCACAACCTCTAGATCATAAGGATAGATGCCTGCATTCCGAATGCCTGTCTTAATTGTACGCCGTGTAAAGGCCTATAAGCGCACAATATAAAAACCCTTGTTGAAAGTCACATTATCATAAGATTGGCCTCCAAGGGTGGTCTAACAGTTCACCGCTTTCCCATCAAAATACTTGTATTATTAAAAAGGCGCGCGATCTAATAGCTATAAGATATGAGTTGTATGAGGTAGAAACGAAAAACATATAATCCAATGTGTTACGGGCTAGTCCCGTCTAATGCTCACGCTCACTATAAGGGCATATTCGAATACAACAGTCGAGGAATTGCCAGTTCAAATGAGCGCCACAGTTATCCATAAGAAGTCGATATCCCTTATTCTCTTCTTCCTCTAATTGTCAAAATGCATAAGCTATTCAGCAACAAGCTCGTCAGATATATATCCATTTAGGAATATTACAAGAACGTAATCATCCTCTATATCACGATACCACTCTTCACATGGGCCTTGCCAGCGAGTCTAATTAACAGAGGAATTACTTTTCCAATTACGTCTATACACTCAATAATTTATAATTGATTCCCGGCTACCTACACTATCAATGACCTCATTACACTCATACAGTAATTACTGCCTCTTTTTTTCCCTTTCCGAGCCGGAATCCAGTTTCGTCGAATTTGAAAATGTTTGACAGCGTAATTTTTTAGGCATCGATTTCAATTCTTAGACGATCGAATCAGGTTTGTAAGACACCGAGATCTCAAGCGTTAGATCTATTCAGGTCTAATGGCTTTTGTACGATTCGTGCGTAATCAATACCTAGGCCCTCGAAAAGCTATCTTTCGTACAATGCTGTAGTCTTGAAGAATAGGAAGAAGAGTAGCAAACTGCTCTACTCCAGATTGATTCGCAACCATACGAAGGCAAATTAGGGCTTCTGATAATTTCCCTTGATCTCGTCCAACAAAGTGGCACAAATTCCAAAAGAAGCTTGTTTGGAGATGTTTAAATATCAAGTGAAAGATGAATACTTGACTCTGTTGATTGAAGGGTTTTCCATATAAAACCATTTTGACCTTCATATGATCGATCAATATTCTTCGCAATTTCAGAGTGTGCCGTTGTAATGAAGTTGTCTACCCTGGGTTCGGTAATCGACAAAAAGCATGAAACTCAGGCCATTCAACAATATTAAATGGGAGATTTTGCGCAATAATTAATAAAACAAGTGCCTCGTTAATCATGTCCTTATCTAGGACTTTTCGAAGAACTTGAGTATCGATCTCTTGTGTTTAACCTGGTATTGCTCGGAGATACAATTGTTGCAACTGATCCAGTGTTGTAGATTGAATGGACCTAATGTAGGTTGAATATCAATCCCATGTTTTTTCCGAAGATGTGATGGCATTCATTCTCTATCCTAAGAGGTAACTAGTCGAACAAAAACTAAGCATGAGGGAAAAAAGGAAAAAAGCACGCTCAGCCGCGGGCAGAGATCACTTTTGTATGTGTGCGTACGACTCTCGTCGGAGCCTAATCGGGAAATTGTGAAGAAAAAGAGATATCCCGATTTGGAACTCCCTAGGGCTTAGGGCTCCGACAAGGAGCCAACGCGATACAGCTGCCAGGCCCGTCACAAAGATGATCACGAAAATTTCTACTGTAGGATTCACACTACTTGCAGTAGAAAAGACGGTTCTTTCCTTGACGCTCTGGTTCTCCCTCTCGAGGAGTACGAGTATGCGACCATGTCTCATGGGCCGATAGTTTCCTAACACTTCTTGGCCTTGATATAGTTGCGTCTTAGGTGAATGGAACTGACAGAAGAGATGGGTCTGTTTCAGGGCCCATAATCTTAAATCGAGTACCACGTACTATGTAGTCAATCAATATTCCCTTATCAACTGTCAACATTTATTGACGACAACACTGCGTATGACTGAGGCACATTTATAATAAGGGCGCCCACGTACGAACCCTAGCCAGCTCACAAGCGCGTCGCTCTGTATAGGCTCTAGGGTAAGTGGTTTCCGCAGGTCGAAAAATATCAATCCCTACCCATTCAGGGTAAAAACCCGTACACAAGTCATGCCGCCATGTGACTGATTCCCAGGGTCCCGGTGCTTCTTCGCATCCTGATTGGCATTCGATAAGCTTCTTCACTAAGCCTATTTAGATACTAAAGTCCCCGCGGGGGTGAGAGCATTGTCACTTTGCCCTAGCCCTAACCGCGAACCTTTCTCTGCATTAGTTAGTATGTTGCATTGTAAGCTGAGTGTTACGGGCCAGTCCCGCCTTATAAATTGCTATAGATTCATTCTTGAGTAGATAACGTACATGAGGAAAAGAAGGAAAGAAAAGAGAACGAACAGCTTTCACTCAAGCTGTTCCGACTCGGTTAGCTCAAACACGGGATTGGGGAACGGATTTCGGGTGTTGGGGAACGTGGACACGGCGGCTTAGTCATAAGCGAAAATTGATTTAACGTACTACACGGGTCATTCGGCCACACGGGTCATTCGGTCACCCGCAAGTCCCATACAAAATGACCTTCTTTAACATCTTGATTTCTCAACGGATTCATATATAAACCATATCTTAGACTTTACGCATGATTCGCTATATGAATCCTTATCAGAAATATCAATTTGGAAGTGCGCCTCTTCTATAAGTCTTGAGATACTAGAAACTAGCCAAGTTATTAATGTAAATTCAATGACAGAGGGTTCTTAATATTTTTAGAGTTTTTAAATCCAGATATATATTATGATACCTATATTATAAGACATATTCAACTTTTAGATACGGTTTATATATAAATCTGTTGAGAAATCAAGCTGTTAAAGAAGGTCATTTTGTATGGGACTTGCGGGTGACCGAATGACCTGTGTAGTACGTTATTACTTGGCACATTTTTCTTCATAGCAAGGGGATTCATCCATAGATTAAGTGCTCATTGGCTATATAGTGGTCCCACAACAACAACAGGCAAGATGGCCGAGTGGTCTAAGGTATGCTAGGTTGGGAATTTGTTATGTAGTATTCTGGCTAATTACTGGGATACAGGCGCTGTGTTCAGGTCGCAGTCCGAAAGGGCGTGGGTTCGAATCCCACTCTTGTCATTTTTGTTTTTGTCCCTAGTTATAGGGATAGGGTTATGACTGCGAGTTATCTGGTTCGTTATTTATTTTTTTTTTTTTTGATATTTTTAGGGTTATATGTAAGCGTTAGCCATATACCTATGTGTAACAGTTGGATAGGACGCGAAGGCTGTGACGGCGTAATGAGGCGATTAGTATACTGCCGGGCGGTGAAGGTATTGGCGGGAACCATCACGGTTACCGTATTAGGAACCGACGCACACGGGATAGTATTATACGGGGGATTGGGCGAATATCTACTCTGTATAGGCTGTACACTAGCAGCTTGTAAGTTGTCAGAAGAATCAGCACATCACAACCAATAATAAACTGTCAGACTTACCCAAAGCGGTTAGCCCAAGAATATGCATGTCACGGGATCACCCAGAACCAGGAACTAATCAGCGATTAGATATATTGTATCGCCGATACAATATATATAATCAACGATACAACAGGAAGTATCACGGATAAGATATGTTGTATCAAGGATACATTGATGGATGGATATATAAGGACGCTCATTTGCCATGTATTTAGTTTTTCTCTACTGTCTTTAATTAACTGTGATTACTTGAGTTAAAAACAAGACTTAATAATATATCTAATATCATCATAGAAAGCCTTTGGATTTGACAGACTATACGGTACGCTACAGCTACAGCTGAGCGGATCACTAGTGATGACCTTCTCGGGTAACCTTAAAAATGGTAACGTAGAGCACATCTATAATGACCAACCTACAACATTAAATGACAGAATGCAGCTAATATTCCATCGTCTATCATACAATAGTACAAAGCGCTGCCATATAAATCAAAGGACAAAGGAAATAGAGCAATGGTAGAGGAATGCGATGATGCGAGAAAAATGGGTTGCAAATATTCTAAAAAGGTTTGTTTTCTCTTTCTCTAATGACCATGTGCGTGCTCAGGCTCTCCCTGGTATCCAACAATATGACGACGGCCAATGATTTCGCCAACAGTGAAGAATCCGATAACCTCTGCTGCTGTAACACCGACAAAAGCCCATTCCTTGGTGCTGAGGTTTCGTGCGCGGCCGATCAGGTTCTGGGGGGAGAACTTGAGGTTCTTGATTGTGGAAGGGTTGCGGAAAGCGTTGATCAGAGGTTGGAAGTATGATTGGAAGGTAGCGAGGTTACTAAATAGACTGTCAGGTGCTGGAAGAATCAATCGTTCGTTGCAGTCCGGATACTTACGGAGGAGCCATCTTCTGGCCGTGGAAGACAATCTTTCCAAGTTCGAGACCAACGCGGGCGTAGTAAACGGTAGGAGGAATCATGCCTGGGTTTATAGTTAGCTTATCATGTCTACTATGACCAGAAAATGGTCTGATTCCAATTGGCTCTCGAAATGCGAGACCAGGTATAGCAGATACTGCACATGCGTGAAGAGAATAAACTTACGCTCAACGAATGTAACAGTCTTGCCGACAGGGCCACCGACCTTTCGCAAGGCATTGCTGACATTCTGGGCGGCGCCGGCAATTGCTGGACCAGCGCTAGACGAGACCTTGGAGAGGCCTTCTGAAGCCTTGGACTTGGCCTGTTCACTTGCTTGCTTGGCTTTGTTGGCCGCCTCGGAGGTGGATGAGTTATGTCTGATGGCGGTTCTGCGGATGAGGAACCGTGATTGCCGGAGGGCGGCGCGAGTTGCCACGGGAGACATCTTGTCCTTATTATAACCGACGGGAGGATTGAATCGACGGCGAGATCTTCAATAGATCAATGAAGGTCTGGGAGGATAAGACAAGGTCCAATGGACTGAGGGTGTGGTGATGTAGCGACCTGTGGTGTCGGTACCTGAGATTGAATAATCCAATCCGGCTCGGAAAATCTAGGGAAAAACTTGACCGTCAGATCACGTGATGTGCCTACCTTTTTGAGGGCGTCATTGAAGACGATGCGCAATTCCTTAGAACACAATCTCGCTAATTCATTGGTTTGAATCATTTGCTAAGATGAAGCCGGGCGTATGCGTCTCTGACATGGATTTCAAAGGGAGTCTTCAGGGCGAAGCTAAGCAGGAGCTTCCTCTGCTTCTAGATCTGCCTCAGTGCCTCACGAGTCACAACACGTCTTGACTTCCTCCCTAAGCTCTTTTTTCACTGGCCTCGTTACAACTATCTGCTGCTTAACTACTCTGTTCGTTATGAGGTACTGGAATCCACTTTGTTTTGATGGCAAATCGAAAGCAGGGTTGAACGAAAAATGTCCGTCGATCAATGTTCCCCTGAGGACCTAGTCGCTCGCTTCTCATGCAGAGGTTATGACTCTTTGAGTAAACAAATCAGCATTGCTCAACCCGCCAAAATCTCAAGACTCCAGCGCTCTGTAACTACCTCATCGGCCAGCTCCTTCGAAAATCTGCCACTCCAGCTTTTACACTCAATCTGCGCCTCCTTGGACTCTCAATCCTTAGAGACTTTTACGCACCTCACTTCGATGCAAAACCATCGTGGAATCGTTCCCAGCTTACCGGGATTTCATGCAATATGTACCGGGTGTTCTGGACGCCCTTGGCCTGTCGAGGATTATTAGTGTGTTTTCCTCCGCTTTGCTTCATGCATCTCGTGTGGGCAGTACGGGCCTTACTTGCTTTTGTCAACATGCGAGCGAGCCTGCCCTGTCTACCTGACGAGAAATCACGTCCTTTGGATCATTCCAGACACCATGGCCGAAAAGTGTTTCGAGCTTACCCACCAACAGCTCAGTACTATACCTTTCATGCATAAGGCATCAAAATACATATCGCCTTATCGACAGCAACGTTTTTACAGCGCCAAGAGTGTAAAACAACTGGCCATCAAGGTTCATAGATCGGAGACAGAAGTTATAGGACTTGGCTCCGCCCTACCACCTCCGAATTCCTCAGATCGGGCCATGAAAGAGTATCATCTCTTTAGATGGCTGCTGTATGCATAATTCAAGCCGTTCAAGTCTAGCCCATTGTTTTACCCGACGTACCCAGGTATGCCCAAGGATGAACGGTCCGGTATGGGAGCGATCAAATTTCCATCACTTTCTTCACAGAAATGTCTTCGGACCGAACTACAGTGTCGTGGATGTGACTTGCTCTGGCAACACAGATTCCACCGTGCATTTACAACATTTTGGGTCCCTTTCAACCTCGACCAGGAATATGTGTTGGAGGAAATGAAGCTTCGGGTCAGAACGATGCCTGAATTTCTGAAACATAATTAGACATGCCGTGGAGTTAAAGTGCTGATGAAGAAGGATAAAGCTCCAAGGACAATTCATTGATGTGACAGCTGGGGTCGGAGGCAGTTGTACGTCACATGGAAATGACGGCGATTGCTACAACTGTCCACTATTCAATATCTCATAAAGTGTGCCTTTTTTTTTCCACTGCCTTTTATCTACACACCGTTATTTCGTTCAGGTGACCAAGAATCGCAACCTTATCAGTAGGAACTCCCAAAGACGATGTTGAGCCTTTACCCACAAGCGAATGCGACATGGCCAAGTGTACGTTTTCCAACAATCATCTGATACTTGCCTCTTGTTCTAATCAAAACAACAGGTCTAAGGTGCAGGTCTTGGGTCGATTCGCCAGTTCTTTGGTGATGGAGAAATCTGTATCTTCGGATGCTCGAGTTCAACAATCGTGTCGATTCCGTGACTCCCTTTTTTCCTCTTCAGGTTGTCATATTGGTCGTTTTGTTTTCTTTTCTCCTGTCTTTTCACGTCTTCCCCCTTTTTGTCCCTGTTATTGCTCAGTGCCGGGTTCTTTATTTCCTGTCTCTTCTTTACTCCAATTTCAAGTCATGGGCAGCAAATTTCTGAGATGACGTGTACAGCTGTACCCTCGAAGGCTATCAGCAGCAGCTGTCCAACGTTTGAGAAATGCGAGAAGTGCTATACCAACATGAGAGCACGATATTTCGCCGCTGCTTAGCATTTTTGATATCCATGTGAAAATCCAAGACAGTACCCAACATATTCTACTCGTAATATATTAAAGACCCTTCCAAAACTTCTCAATAACATCTGCAACCTCCGACACCTTCTCTCTAACTACGACATGCCCTGTCTGCGGAATAACAACAACATCCTTGAATCCAACAGCCTGCAAATCCTCCTTCCTACTCCAATCATCCGTTCCCCCCACAATACTTATATTCTTGATTCCCATCTTTGCCGCCGCGGCAAGATCAGCATGCTTATCCAACACTCCACCATCCCTAAAAATTGCTACTACACTCGCCATATGTCCCTTGTGATTCTTTATTTCCCAATCCCGAACCGCCTCTGCGACGACTTCACCTCTTGCAATTCTCTTTTTCCAGTCAGCGGGGACAATCAATTCCCCTCCTTCCAACGTCTTCAGAATCCATGCCTGCACTTTTTCCTCATCTACCCCTTGCTCTCCGCGTAGGTATGATTGCCCCGCCTCATCAAAGGACTCCGTACGAATCAACCCCGCAGGCGCAACGAGGGCCAAAGAAGAGACTCGATGCGGATACGCAGTCGCAAAGGTTCCTATCGTTGATCCACCAAAGGAGTAACCCACAAGATGCACATTTTCCCATTTCAGATGCGTGATGAGAGAGTCCAGAAGAAAATGGAAGATAGAGGGTGTGTGCGCTACCAGCGGTGTATCGGTAAGTCCATGACCCCAAAGGTCGAGAAGGACTATGTGAGCATTTGGTAGTCGTGACGAGAGCGCTTTTGCCAATGGTTGGAGTCCGATAGCTGAAGTTTGGATGCCGTGGAGAAGAATTACCCGGAGAGTTGGGTTTGATGTGTTTGCTGAAGTAGGAGGTAGTTCATAATATGCCGCTCCGCCGATTGGGGTTTGTAGATATGATGCTGGTGGTAGTAGCTGGCCAAACGTAGAGACAAAGTCAGCTTCAGATGGTGCCTGGATTGATTGTGGGTTGTCGTTGGTCTTTGATGATCCTGGACGGGGAAGGACAATGATATTTGGCATTTTGACTGTACTTGAGTTGTTAGTGGGATATATCTTAAAGCGACTTTTTGAACTTATATGCTGACAAGGTTTTTCTATATATTTAAGGCGGAATCGGTTACCGAACGACCTATATTCTTCCCTAGCGCTTACACAGGATAGATATCATATGGCCTAACACGTGAACATCCCAGTACGCAGTTGCAATAAAATCTTCAAAAATTCAGCTTATTAAGCGGTTCGGTTAACTAACTTGTTACCGATCACGATACGATGATAGAGCTCGTGATATCCCGGTGATTCCATTGGTTGATATAAACTCTAAACCTTAATCTACTATGTACTAGTAAATGCAGACAGTCCATGTGATTGGCTCTAATCAGCTGTCGGTTTAAGTAGCCAATCAACAAGCGATAAATACGCATGTCTTGGCATTACTACCGTTTACAGACTAGCATCTCGGGGCTTATCGTATTAGACCCACTCTGAGCCTCAGTTCTAAGATGCATTCTGATTGGATAGGCGCATTCTACTGCTGCTTCTGCCTCATGACGTTGTTCATTTTCTTCTTCAATAACATCGAAACCCTTTTGACGATGTGAGCTTGAGGAAGCGAAAAGAAATACCAGAGGAGAATGATATCACAGCGCTACTCGGATAACTTCAATCACAACAATCACGTACAATTCCAACATGTAATCCGCATCAGAAACACTACAACTGGGACAGTACAACCTCACGCTCAGCCGTCGCATTCTTATAATCAGTCATCATACTACTCTTCTACCTCCCCGTTAACTTCATCAGATGACAGACCGAACGAAGGGACTAAAGCGACATACTCGCGCCGAAGTCATCGCAAGTCTCGATATGGATGTCGGAATTGTAAGAATAGAAGACTCAAGGTACTTTCCCGCAAAAAAATATTCAAGTAAATGGTTATTGATTAGTCTTACCTGGTATGAACAGTGCGACGAGTCAAAACCAGAATGCATCCGCTGTCTCAAACACGGTATACAATGCGATTATCTATTCTCTCAACCTCAACAGACGAAATCCCAATCCAAGATTCCAACGCCGCCGTATTCGGAACTCAGCAGGAGCAGCATCATGTCACCGGACACGACGGGTGGTAATATGTCTCTTGTCACAGTTGAACGAACAATTACACAGCTCATTGGCATCCACGGAAGTCCAAAGTCCATAGATGGATCGACTCAACTCACCAATCTCGGTTTTCTGAATCATTTCGTTACTGAAAGTACAGAATCGGTGCTCAATCCAAAAATAAAAACAATTATGAAAACGGGATTAATTAGGAGTGCTTTTACGGTGGGTTTATCTCTACCCTGAGGATTCTGGATAACTTCTGATTTTGTGGATAGAGTGCGCATTTGATGCACACGATCTTAGCGGCGGCATGTCTTCACCTCAATCGTATGCAGCCAGGAAATAAAAATCGGGAGTTCCTCGAGGTATTTCATTGGCAACGTGCCGTGCAACTGTATCAAACAGAACTGGCGTGCACCAATACTAATAATGTCAGCGTGGACAACACGGATTCCTTGATCGGAAGCTGTTTACTGTTAGCTCTCAACCAATTCTGTCCAGCTGATTTCAAACCCGAGCATTCCTGGGTCTTCACGTCCAACCCAGCGGACCTGAATTGGCTCGCTTTACAAGGTGGTCTACGATGCATCCTAGGAATCACTCAGCCGGTCCTTAGCGCCAGTATCTGGGGATCTGCTTTTCAAGATGCTGATGATCGGCTGAGAGGGTTCAAAGAGGAGCAATCAGGTCGTGCTGGTTTACGAGACGAATTAGCTAATCTGTGCGAGATCGACGATCGCGCGACATCGGAGAACAACCCGTACCACTGGTCGGTACAGTTGCTGAGCAGAATGATGACTCTCAAGCCGTACAATAGGCCGGAAAACTTTGAGATCTTTGTTACCTGGATGGGTCAAATACTGCCGGAATTCATCACGCTTCTGCGAGACAAAGACGAGCGTGCGCTGTTGGTATTGAGTTGGTGGATGGCGCTCATGTGTGCCGTTTCACCGTTTCAGGTCTGGATATACGGCAGAATTGTACCAGAGTGCAAAGCGATTTGCGAATATCTCGAAACAACCAGCACGGACCCAGATATATTGAGACTGATACGGTGGCCGGCGATGGCTTGTGGATACCATGACTGCAATCCGGCTGCGATCGTGGATGTGACTTTCGACTCGTCGGGATGTTTCTCAAGATGCGAGTCCTGCTAAAGGTTAGCGTAGATTATCGATAAGTTAATATTGACTTCACTATGACTTAGAGGACAGGGGTGTAGCGACCGAAACACTGGCGTGCTGTACGTAAAATAATAGATCAAGCCAACAATAAGAGGACTCAGCCGTGCACATCGCATCCACCCCATCGCCCATATGAGCACGATTTGCAGTCAATCGCCAACATCCGGGTCGAGCATGACATATCCTGATCGATTGAGTCGATGAATCGTCGAACAGAAAGATCTGCGCTTGCTGACAGGGCAACCGAGGCGAGCCGGCAGCCGTTTGCGCAAGAGCATACGTACTCGATGATGATCAGACCCATGTGAAAGTGGAATTATGGAAAACACAATTCTCAATAAACAAGATGAAACAGAAGTACCAGCCACGCATCATCCATGGAAAACAGATATCTCCATGGCTGGACGAGTGAGGTGCAACAGTAACCCGACTAAAAGACCAGGAACGGTCATCATGTCATATATTGTCCGGGTGACGGCACTGATTGGCGGGCTGAAGACAGAGACGCGTGGACCCCACGGGCAGCGTAGCGTCGGCGAGCTTGGACTTACTCGGTGAGCTAAGAGCCTAAGACTGACTAAGATTCCTGATAACAATGCAAAGCAACATCAGTTGAGTGAGACATGGATCACATGATACACTAGACTCGAGACATGGCGCAGACGGTAGTATCAGAGTCAGACAGGTGGGAGGAAGTGCCCATGTAAGGGACAGTGATTGGTGTGACATGAAACGGATAGAGATTTCGAATCGGTGATGCAGCAAGAAGTCTCCCAGGAATAGGATGGAGAGTCGACTTGGATCATGGATGGAGGACGAAAGGGTGGTTTCCCTGACAATAATGGCACCTCAGGCAGCAAGTGGCCATTGCTCAAAATAGAAAACAGTTTAGCCGGATCGGTGGATACCGGCTGCCCAGGCCCAATCAGGGATGGTGACTCGCCTAAAAGAGGCTGACGGAGGCTGGAGTGCCCCACCGGAACCAGCCCCTTATTGATGTGTCTCGCATGCTGATTGGCTGCAATTACAAACCATACGATGGGCCAGCCACCATTTCATCACCATTGGCTGCAGCAGTACCCACCCTTTGCCGAATGCGGGAAGAGGCCATCTTCTGTGTCTCAAACAAGTCAAAGTTTTTGAGCTTAGCCGGAGTTCAAAATACAATAGGACGACGCCTCGTTGCTCGTCTAAGACAATATAAACGAGACACGATATTCTCCGTCTATTGTCAGTGGCCCTTATCGCTGCCAGTGGAGACTCCGGGGTGACTGTCCGCCATTATATAAGAACTGACCTCAGCCCGGTCACTGCTTCATTGTTGGAATACTTCCTCATTCACCCCTCAATACGTAATCCTCAACCTGAGTCACCTTCACCTCTTCCTTGCCTACTCGGAACAGTACAAAGAGGACCGGCCTGCCCTGCCTGCCGCGCAGATTTATTTTTCTACAAATAAACAACATATTATACACTCACTGAATTGTCTACATTGCAAAGCAACACAACACACAATGCATTCTTTCCTCTCGAACTCTGCGGCTCTGCTGCTTGCCGCAGCTATGCCCTTGGCATCCGCTCAGACGTATACTACCTGCAACCCTCTCACCTCCAGTAAGTCGATGCCCTTGTTGAGGTCGAATCATCATCTAACAACGAATAATAGCTTGTCCTTCCGACCCTGGTATGCCCGCTTCTGTGATCACCGACTTCAGTGCCGGCGCTTCCGGTGACTGGGACGTCGCAGCTGGCTCAATCAGCTACAGCGGTAATGGTGCCGGGTTCACTGTCGCCAAACAGGGTGATGCCCCCACCATCCAAACCAAGGATTACTTCTTCTTCGGTACCGTCGAAGTGACACTGAAGGCCGCTCCTGGTGTTGGTATTGTCAGCAGTATCGTTCTAGAATCCGACGACTTGGACGAGGTCGACTGGGTACGTGTCTTTCCTCGGCAGTTCGAAATAGTTGATACTAATGCAACTCGGAATATAGGAAGCCCTAGGCGGTGATACCACCCAGATCGAGACCAACTACTTTGGCAAGGGCTACACTGGTAGCTACAACCGTGCCACCTATGTCGGTGTCAGCTCGCCACAAACCACTTTCCACACCTACACTGTCAACTGGCAACGTGACAGCATCCAGTGGTTGATAGACGGAAGTGTCGTTCGTACCTTGTCTGCTGCTGAGGCTGGCGACTACTTCCCTCAGACCCCCATGCGTCTCCGTATTGGTATCTGGGCTGGTGGTGACCCCAGCAACGCTCCTGGAACTATTCAGTGGGCTGGTGGTCAGACGGATTACTCTGCTGGACCTTACACCATGTATTTGAAGTCTGTCAAGATTACAAACGCCAACCCCGGTGGCTCTTACAGCTACGGCGACAACAGCGGCTCGGCTGGCAGCATCAAGATTGACGGGGCCGCTGCTCCCGCCGCCGGCACTACTACCTCTGTTGCTCCTACTTCCACTCACACTTCTGTAGCTTCTGCTTCCTCTTCCACCTCTTCCACCTCTTCCACCCAGACCTCCACCAGCCCAGCCTCCAGCGCCGGCACCACCACGGGCACCACCACGGGCGCCGAGTCCACCACGGGCGCCGAGTCCACCACTGCACCTTCAAGCACTACTGGCTCCACCAAGTCCACTGCTCCATCGAGCACCTTTTCTTCTATTTCTTCCAGCAACCCCAGTGCCGTCACCAACCCCATTTCCGGAATTACCTCCAGCAACTCGACTCTTCCTGGAAGCAACTCGACCATTCCTCACACTGGCGGTAACTCCACTACCACTGGCCGCACTGGCACTCCCACTCCTACACCTTTCCCTGCTCCTCCCAGATCCAACGGTGGCGCTCAAACCAGCATGACTGGTTCTGTGGTTGCTCTTTACTGCTTCCTCTTCGCCATTGTTGCATATGTCTTGTAAATTCCTTGAGAGTTTGCACATACAATTTTTATCTGTACATTCAAAACACATACATCATGATCATGGCGCAATGAGCATTGATTCATGCCGATCAGCCGAATATTATTCCACAATCATGTCGACGCTTTTACTTATGAGTTGACACGTCTGATACGTTCTATACAAAATGGTGCGATTATGCGTGTACGCCTTTTTAATACCATGCTTTTTGGGTGGGATCTTGGAGTTTTTTGATTTTCAACATTAGCGCTTCACATCCATGGATGATTCTCCGTGGTTTATACCTAGATAGTGTTAGATAGACACAGACTAATATATATATCTCTTGACAATTGAAATCGAGTAGTTCGCAACCTGTAAATCCCCCCTACAGCCGTAGTATGGAAAAACACTAAGACTACGCCTTTACATCAATAGCCACAGGCCCCCTCGGCCCGACACTCCCAGCAATATTAGCCTGATGCATCGTCCTCGGCCCCATTTTGGCCGGATAATCAATCGCAGAATGAAACAACCCATAATTATCCCATATAAGCATATCCCCTTCCTCCACAGGAGCCAACAGGATGTATTCCGGTCTTAAGATCCGGTTCTGAATCCCCAAAATGAAACGTCGGATTTCTTCTACGTCTTCGATGATTTGCGGGGTTTCGGAGCTGCTGCTGCGAAGGAAGAGGCGTCGGGCACAGATGCCGTGGACTTGGAACGCTTTTTCACCTGTTAGGGGGTTTACCCATACCATTGGATACTATTTTCATTAGTATCTTCTTCTCCATTGGAAGGACGTGAGATAGAGAACCTTCTTCACAGACGCAGGATCAAATTCTCCCAACTCTTCAATCGACAACCGTTCTCCTCCAGCCGCAAGACCTAACCCATTACTATTCCCCTTACAATGCTGAATCCACTTATACGGATACGGTGCATACTCAACCCAACTATGATCCACCAGCTTTTTCTCCTCTGGTGTTAAAAGACCGTAAAGCTGCGAGGTACTGAAAAACGCCGTCCTTCCAGGTGGACATTTCATACTCATCCCCGACCCATCAGCCCATTCAATCGTAAGATCGGCCCCGCGAGGAAGTTTTAGGCATCGTAGGGACGTGAACCAGGCCGGATCACGCTCATACAGCGGCGCATCGATATGCCATCTTTGGAAACGGGTGATACCATTCTCGAAATCGGTTGCAGAGGGTGGGGTGGCGTGGAAATCATTGCTTAGTCCGCGTTCGACGGTGTGGTTTTTGATGCCGTAGTGATCTGGGCCTTGGAAGCCTTTGCCTATTAGACGCACGTTTTCGGCTCCGGGGATGCCGACGACTTCTCTTCCTTGCTACGTATCGCTCTTATTAGTCTGAGACATATACACGTATAAGGGGGAACGTACTGCTAACAGACCCCCCTTTGCGCGGAATTTGTCAATGCTTCCGTGACTGTGACCATCCTTGGCTTTTGGGTCAAGCCTAGTAATTAATTCCCATTGCTTCTTTGGGTCGAGATTTGATTGGTCTTTTATAATGACAACTTTATGTCTCCATACAGCGGCTTTGAGACGGTCGAGGTCGTCGTCTGTATCCTGTTAGCTGCCTTCCCCTTTCTTGCGCTATCAAGGTATGAAGGAGAACTACCAGAGACATCATTCAAGTCAACTCCCGTAACGAATGCGCCGAACTGCTCAAATTAGTTTTTAACATGATAATACAGGTGTTATGGACGGCTTACATTGTACTTGTCTTCTGCTTTCCGTGGTATGGCGGTTATATGGAAAGAGGTTGTTTCATCCATTCTGGGCAGTGATCACTTCGTCTAATGATGGGGATCTGATTATAAGATTCATGGTCTGATCTTCATGTAGATGATTCGCTTATATATCTTAGTTGACCCGAAATTTTGCTTTCCCCGCGTTATCTCAAGCCCCTCGGCCGTCTGCGGCCGAGTTCTGTTCCGTTGTATAGCTGTATCTATAAACAGAATATGGCCTATCAAGGGCATCATATTTCTCGTTCTGTATAATAGTAAGAAGACTTAAGTGAAATATTCTTCTTCATCATTTGGTTGTCTCTTTGCTGATAAGTTCTGATAGGTCATGGGTATGCCCGAGAGAAAAGCGGAATTCGCCGTGGTGACTAATGTTGACAGATATAGGGTGATAACTGGTGAATTTTCTCCTGGTGTGTTACGTATCCTCAGAATAACTTCTGGTGTCTAAGCCTTGATATATTCGGAGAAGTGCGATGTTTACCCCAACAAAGCAACTGAAGAACGTTCGTGAGAATGTGCCTTGCGGCTTTTCGTTTGCAATACTCGTTGTATCTTGCTTGCACCATCCAAGCCTTTGTAACCTGTAGCAGCCTCAAAATTGCTTTGAGGCCACCTAACTATTCTCGGGTGGCATAGAATATAGGCATCAGAATGCAAATCTTAGCCATTGTACATTGACAAGCCAATGCATTTAGAATACTTAAGGATAAGTTTCAAGCAAAACAAGCAGATACAGCAAGCAGGTAATAACCAACACACCACGAAGAAGAGGCCTATAAATCATCAGGAATTCCCTTATTTCCGTCGACACGATTTTCTCCATCCCTGGCCACCAGGCCTGAAGGTGGGCGATAGATTACGATTTGCCAGATTACCAGCCTGATCCCAACGAGTAAGCGAGGTGCCAGAAATCGTCGCTGGATACCAACCACTAGCCGAGGTACCTCCAACAGGCAAAATCCCAGAAGCTGTCGCTGGATTCTCACCAGTAACTGGATTATCGCCTGTAGGCAGCTTGGAGTTTTTGACCCTGGAAGGCCCGGACGTCCTCCCCAGGAAGAACGAGGGTACACCAATAACTTTTGCACTGCTCGCTGTGAACGGTGTTCAAATCAATCTTTCTGTAGTCTTCTTCCCATATATCTGAACCCCCACTTGTTTCGTAGAGATAGTAAGCAGACTTTTAAGTGTGGTAACGCAGGGCCCAGGGTGCGAAAGTTCAAAGCAATGATTGCACTGTGCTACCAATCCTGATTGGACTCCTGGAGTGGTCAGGGACCTTACTGCGTTATAGAGAACACTGATGCACCCCTCCTGATATGCAGCATACTGCAATGTTGGTTTGAGGAAATCCAAGGCTTCAGCGCTTGCACTTCCGCTTCCTTCGCCCCGAGTTCCACTACATTATGAACGAGTTCCTTGACAGTAAAGCAATCATTTGCCCAGTCAAAGATAGCTTTTTGACAAGCTGCAAATGAGTTGTCAGAATATTATATCTTGTGGCTGTTGGCGAAAATTGACTCTTGATTGTGTGTGTGTGTGTGTCCTTGGGGACGTGTAATAGTAGTAGTAGTAAATTCATACGCTCGGAGGCACCAAGCCTAAAGGGCTCTAATACGCTATTTGCCTTGCATAGCATACAATGTGGTTATGGTCTCATGTCGAGAGGAAAAGCTGTATCAGCTGCAAAACCCCTCTAGCCCATACATTATGTCTTAAACGTTCCCTTCTTGTCATTATAATCATATTCTTTAAAAGCAATAACCCATCCCTCTTAGACACCAGATTCCCCACGCATCCATTCTCGGTGTAGTTTCGTGAACCTCTTCCCTTAGTAGCAATTTACCAAGAGTACTTCTCAAAATAGGGCTTGAAGTAGCTGAATGGGTCGCTGGCGACAACTCCAGATAGCAAACGAAGGACTAGCGAATCGAAAAGTGGCCGAACCGGTAGTGCAGGTGATTTACTGTTAGCAAAATCTGGTGAGTATCGATTGGTGGCAGGTAGGCAAACGACCACAAGGCTCGTCGTCGCGGCCGAAGTTGTAGACGTGTTCTTTTTGAAGCCCTCCTGCCTGGTCGTTCCAACCGATAAGGGTTTTCCACCGAGTTTCGACTTGCAAAGTTCTCAGCTTCAGCTAGACCATGCAACCCAGCTTACTGGCGACTTTCCACGAGGGACCGGGTCTGGACTTGGGGACGTAGGACCCTAGAACGAAGATATCTAGCTACCGGCGCGCTAACTACATAGGGTAGGCGATGCTGACTATCTAAGGGCAGAATACCAACATTATATGATGAGTGCCTAGAAATGTCACAGACACTTGATTGTGTGTCCTAGCTAGGTGGTGAGGTCTGTCGGATTCTTGGGTTTACTCCAGGCCAATCCTGAATAGTATCTTACAAGGACGGTCAAGAAGAAGTGACTAGCAAGATTGTATGTATTGAGTTTTTTCTGAGGTCTGCTGTCTTCCATACCACAAAAATAGATTTTTTATATATGCTTCGGCACAGGAATTGAGCTCAATTCCCGGCACATTCTCCGTGATCTACAAGACTACAGTATGATATATCATATATGACGTTTTATGAGAAGTGAGGCATAGTGTTCGGAGACCTCTGATTAGACCAGAAGAGGAAAATGACTTGTCTTGTCTCCGGGTTTGTTCAAATGTCCTTGTTTTCCTCGTGGTAGATCTCGCGATATTCTAGCAAGGTCTAGGGTTGATATCAACACCTCGCCTAAAACGGGTTAGTCCCTACATGGCAGGTGTCTACGTGAGTCAGCCTCAGTCAGGTGATAACCTGTCATTGTACATACTTAAATTTTACGAGTCAAGTAGTTAGGGCTAGGAGAATCCTGGCTTAGTGTCTTGATTCAACCTTTAACATTGTACTTACCGACGAGGCTACAGCCAGCTGCATCAGTAGTACCCTCAGCAGAAGTGAGGAGCTTCAGCACTTGAGGAGAGACCTGAATCCCAAGAACTTCGCTAGCTCTCTGTCAATGGAAGCAACCGGAGTGTGCACTGGGATACATTATTACTGTCAGTTGTAGCCGGAAATAGAACTGTAACGGACCGAAGCCAGTACGGTAGTCTGTCGGGCTGATGTCTACTATGAAGCATATAAACCTTAAGGCTATGACCTACTCTTTGTCAGTTGGAATGAAGTTTAAAAACATTTCACCAAATGGCGACCATCTTTAATTGGACTGTTTATAGACTGTAACACCTCGATATCCATGGTTCAGCAAACGCCGGTATTGGTACAGATCGGATAGTCATCCATACCTACGTATCTGCTTTAAACACACTAACCTCGCAATCACCGTAGAGGGGACCTCTATATGCTATCCATTCCAACCTCATGAAGCATATGCCTAATCTCCTGCACACACCCATCCAAATCCTGCAAAGTCATCTGATGTCCCACACCATCAAGGACCTTCACCCAAGCATTCCCTCCAATCAAGTCCTTCAATCCCATAGATCGATCTAGTGGAGAAATCATATCTCCGGATCCTGCTAGCAATAAAGTCGGAGCTGTGATATTGCCGTAGTCAGGATCTAAATGATCCAAACCGGCTACTGCCTCGCACGCTTTTGCGTATGCTTCTGCGTCACAGTCCATCACAGCCCGGCGAACGATCTCACGAAGCTCTTCCCGCGTCTCTGTCGTTGTCATTGAATGCCATTGTTCAGGAGGAGGAAAGTTAGATATGGCAGCTACATCCGCCACGGCAGATATCCCTTCTGTCCGCGCTTTGGTCGCCAAACTTAACATCCGTTCTCTAGCTGCTGGTATATGAGCAATTGAACGTCCAGCTCCGAGGAGCACAAGACCGTCAATTATTTCAGGGTGTGCGCCTGCGTAGTGCATTGCAATGATGGACCCGAGACTGTGTCCGATGATGACGATTTTCCGCTGGCTGGTCCCTTCTCTTTCTTCTTCCCCAGATCCCTGTAGAGATGCCACGATAGAGTCCAAGTCATCGACATATCGGGGTATAGAGAGTTTGACTTCCGGTGACGATAGGCCGGTCTTTCCGAACCCTTCAAGGTCCACGGAGATGAGTCTATTTGTCTCTGGGTATAGATACGGTAGGAGCGGTGTAAATGTCTCTGTTGAACCGCCTAAGCCGTGAAGGAGGATTATTAAGGGGCCGCGGGGATTACCGCTTTGGTTTATGTTGACTTTCGTGCCATTGGAAGTTCGGATGTAGGAAGATATAGATGAGAACATTTTGAAGTGCTCCTTTTGGTTGTGTTGTCAGATTGTGGTTGTCTTTTGGGTGAGGATTACAATAAGAGGTGTTTCAATTATTGAATGTCGATTATGTTCTGGTTTCTTTTTCACTTCAACAAGCATCATTTCACACGGAATATCGGATTAGGGTCGGCCGAGTGTACGGCCGCGTTGTAAAATTGATAGACTATACCTTCCCAATTCCCAAGTCCTATCAGCTGGAAAATGAGATAAGCAGTAGTCAAGAGCTGATAAAATATCGAAAATACTGAAGTACAGTCAAAACATGACTCGGCCGTGGATTAGTGATGCGGAATATGCGACGAGGTAGTGTCTACCTAAGTAGAGAGTTTTGGGTTTATAAGTTGATAGCACTATTCTTTCTCATCATTTACAACTATCAATTAGTATCGTCGCCAACAGAGGTTAATCTGGTAACCAAATTTGTTCAATATGGTCTTCGCTGTCTCAGCAACGAGTACAGAAGTCGAAACACCAAAAATCCTCACCGTGAGGGAAGTCTACACCCCCCTGAAAACAACCAGCAGCAATGGAAGGATTGTCCCTATTCAACATCCCATCGGGAGTAAAGTAGACTTTGGCGCTGAGGTCTACGGGATTGATTTGAATAATTTTACTAGTGCTGATTTTGAGTTGATTTCCGATGCCCTTCACCAGCATAAACTGCTTGTGTTTAAGGAGCAGTCGGAGATGTTGACGCCGAAACAGCAGTATCGATTGACTGCTTGGTATGCCCCCTGAGCGTTTCCATGAAACTTGAAAATATTTATGTAGGTGGCTTATAAACTCATAGCTTCGATCCTGATGAGAAAACAGGCGGTTTCGCCCACGGTGCTGATCCAGTCCTCCTCCAAGAAAACGGCGTGACTATCTACGGTCTCCCAAATCGACCAGCAATTAACGCACAGCCTCAAGTACACATCCTCGGCCGCGGAGAAGTCCCTCCAAATCACTTCGACTTCCCTCCGGGGTTCAAAGTGAAAGGAATCGACCATGTCGACTTCCATATCCCGCCCCATATTCCTCAAGAAGAGCGTGACCAAGGCGCCAGCCGGTTTTATCAGTGGCATTGGGATGGTTCTCTGTACAACATTCCTCCACCTCGAGTGGGTTGTTTACTCGCTGTGCGAACACCGAAAGGTCCAGATGTAACCGTGCACTGGGGCGATGGAACCGGGCGGACGATGAAAATTGCACCAGGAGCTACGGCTATGGTTGCTGGATCACGAGCGCTGGAGCTTTTGGATCCCGAACTGCATCAGATCGTGATGCATAGTCGTATAGAGTATGCTCCACATGCATTTCAGTGGATGTCGACCGCTCGAAGTGCTCAGTTGGGTCATATTCTTGAAACTGAAGACCGTGAGATGCCCTTGGACAAGCTGTCGCCTTGGACAAAAGATAAAGTTTGCATTTATCCTATGGTGTGGACGAATCCAATGACGGGCGAGAAGTCATTGCAAGTCCACGGACAGGGTGCGTTTAAGTTGTATCTCAAAGACCGGCCGGATGGGGAAGAGATGGTTGTGAGTGATCTGAAGGAGGTTAGAGCATTTATGCACAGGTATGATCTTTTTCCCAACTCAAAAGGTATAATAGGCCGACAAGGTCGTTTACAGAATTATGAGTCCTGTTCTTTCCCCGGAAAACATCTATGCACACCCACATAAGGAGCAAGATGTCATTCTTTGGTATAATAGAGCATTGTGGCACAGTATTGTAGGTTTTCTCCGATAAGTATTGGACTGCTATACCAGTGCTAACATGGTACTCTGATAAATAGACTGAGTTTCCGGAATCTTATGGCCCTCGAATCATGCATCAGTGCAATATTGCCGCTTCTGATCATCCTTCTGGATAGAATAGAGTTCATCGTGTTGTGGTATGCTTCCTACATCTTGTCTGGAAGAAAAAAGAACTGTCCTGTAGGGTTTGGTTATATTCAGATTCTGGAGGTATTAACTAGTTTCAATGAGCTATTCTTCACTTTTAGCTTAGTTTACTCAATGATATGACTGAACAAAGATAGTGGACTCTTGCTTCGGCAAGAATTGTGGATTAAAGTATCTATCGACAGCATTAAGGGGTTAAAGCTGTGTCCCTCTTCACTATTTCGCCAGGCATCATCAAATTGCTGATATTGATTTTCATAATCCTAGTACCCTGGAATATCTGTCGGAGCTAGGCCCTATACATGCTATATATTTGAATAATAGGTGCATGCAGTCATAAGATATTTGTAGTTACGTAGACCAAATATCGACGTACATACTACCTCGAAGACTCAGGAAGGTAGTGTATAGCTCGCAACGGAGACCATGTGGAGTGAGACGATGCTCTAACATTATATATTAATCTATTAAAGTGAGTCAAACTAATATCTGAGGGAGCCTGTGTGGGCTATTTGGGTCACTCTTCTCCTGATAGTATAGGGAGCATTTCATCCTGTCTTGTGCTATCTCATTATCGAAACCCTAATTTACCGCCTACCCAGCACCACAACGACCATTAGAAGCCCTCACTTTAGCTTCGGAAGATGAAAAATTTCCATTGCGAATATCACTTACTGAGGGTTGTGATTAAGCAGACAATTAACTATTGAATTAACATATAGGACGTAATGGAGCGTGTTCTTCATTTCATTAAGGGGCGACGACCTAACCAAGCACCTTGATCAACAGGAGTATCAGCCAGCTTTCTCCGAATGCCGAGCCATCTTACTGTCCAACACCGGAGATATCTTTTCAACATCCGAGTCCACCGCTGCCAGATGAGCAACAACCACTCCAGGCACCACAGCAGGAATAAGAGTGCGGCGATCTGGCCAGAAATAGTTCAATGCAAAGTACAGTGCCGTTGATAGACAGAAGCCGTATAGATAGTTGATTGAATATAAATGCTTCAGGCCGGTATCGATGTGAACACTATTAGGCGTAACGGCGTTGGCTAGCCCTGGTAATAGTGGGACTATGACCACCAGATTGCACGCAAGAGCGCGCCAATTTGTTCCAAACTGCAGAAGAGTCTCGTTAAATTACCAGCAAGGGAAGAATGTCGGAGTGGAATAGTTACATACTTGATAGTAATAGATTCCGCGAGGATCATACAAGGCTGGAACGTCGTATTTGCGGCGTTTGATAATCCAGTAGTCGCAGAACAAAATGCCTGCAATCGGGGCCATGAAGATAGCATATGCTCCCATGAAACTGAGGAACGTTTTGCCGTTCTTGATAATAATCCAGGGGCATAGTGCCCACCCTCCAATCAGCATGCATACAACCATTCCACGTCTGATATTGATCCATTTGGGACACATTGTTGTCAAATCTTGATTCCGATGTTAGTGAGCTCCACTTGGTCCACGTGAGGGAGTCCACGTAACATACCATTAGCAAACGAGACTGAATTTGCAGATATATTGTTGCAAATTTGGGCTAGTAGCCACAGTGACGAGCAGAAGAACGCTGCAGCTCTTCCCCCAGGCGACCCCTGCCACCGATTAATGATCTCCAGGGGACTCCAGAGCACGGTTCCGTAGACTCGTTGTGAAGCACTGGCAGCGATAATGCCGAAAAGTCCAGTAATAACCTTGAATAAAGGAATCATAGGCAGTTGCCAAAGGGGGCTGCCCGGTTTCTTGCTAAAGCGAGAAAAGTCGGATATGTTGACTGCCAGGGTTGAGAAACCACCTATCTGCTGTTAGCTTTCTGGTCCTTCGTTGGAAGGCTAGGGGAAAAGGTATTAACAAAACGGCTTATGCAATGCATACCAGTAATTGAAGTCATGTTCATCAACCACAACCAGGCCCGCTGGGAACCATGCACAGTGGGAGCCGCATGAAATAAGTCACTTCCGCCTCCAGCTTTCACACTGATCCAAATTACCATAGCTAACGCCATGGGCGGAACGAGGGCTGATTTGAAGATGAACATGTACTGTAGTTTATGGGTCGGGATGAACAAAAAAGGTGTCTGGACCACGTGGTATATCACATAAGACACCATTCCTTGAGTAGTAATGGCTGCCGATTTGGGTAGGTGATTCGGAAGCCTTGCATAACTGGGCCAAATGGCGGTAATAATCTGAATACGTTGTTCCCATGCATTAGATGATAACAAATAATAACGAGGATATGATTGCCTGGTCACTCACTGGAGTCACACATTGCCCTCCATAGGAACTCTGGACGCCAAACCAGAATAACGCAAGGATAGCTCTCGAAGCAACACAAAAATACCCAAAATATGTTCCATAACTGGCACGAATGGCGACGGGAAAAGGAACGTGTAGATCTGCGCCCACCGCACCGTTGAGTACTAGATTTTGCAGTCAGACGGTCAGCCTCTCCTGACAAAATTGCCTAGTATATCATCCCTGGACTGCTCAAAATAGAACAAACCCACCTGTCGGAATAGCATTACACAGAGCTGCGACAAGAGTTAATAATACGGTATCAGTCGCCGACAAGCCCGAAGCAAACGCAGCACTTGCTGCGGACCAGGTTGATACGGTAACTAAATCTGAAAGCCAGTACTGGGTGAAGGTCCAGCCAGTCCAGGTCCATTTGTCAGGCGGAACAGGGTCCTGATCTGCCTCAATTGAGATGAGAAGTCAGGCAAATTCCTACTCCCCCATTTAAAGGAGACACTTGACAGAAAATAGCGGATTTGCTAACCTGCATTACTCCACACATGGCTCGGGGCAATACTGCTAAGCGTCTTGGGTAAGACCCAGGTGCTTGGACGAGCCCAACGCATCGTAGAAGCTTTCTGTGGTCTCTTCTGTTAACAAAAGCACCCTGATGGCAACTCAAATGTTATTAAACAATTGATATTCATGCCTAACCGGCTCTTTATGGACGTTCAGTCTTGAGACTTGTGTTGTGATACTTCTGGTAGTACTATGTTGATAAGACCCCACACAGAGCGATAAGGACTTTCAGCGTTATCTCCCTATCATTCATAGATCGTCTGTGTGCTCGGCCGAGTTTACGGCGTAGATTTCACAATATCTATGAGCAATATACATATACACCTTCTGTCCGAGATTGCGTCCGATTCGGATGCCGTCTGAAGCTGTATCCTTTCAAATCTCGGATCCGTCCACCATGAATGCCTCCGTCCAACGGAAAAGACTAGCATGCGCCGAGTGTACCAGGCGCAAGATCAAATGTGATAAGGTGCTACCTTGCCGTAATTGTACACGCCGGTAAGAAACACGCAAGAAGAGCTCTTGCATTTTTGTCTGTCAGAGTCTTATACCTGTCGCAGGGGAAGTTCTTGCTACCGAAATGAGCAGTCCAGTTCCCATCGACGAGGGAATCCACGATTACCCCGGATTACTGATAGCGAAACAGCCGATCCATCCAAACTGGCAGACAATTTGACCGCATGTATTCGCGAATTGCAAGAGACGCTCCGGGCGGTTAGGACTGCATCCTCACCGAATGATTCCACTGAAAGAACCGTCTCCCTTTCTGTAGAATCGCCAGAGGCAGCGACACTCGCAACACACGCCCCATCAGAGAGAGGCCTCCTGTCACCAGAAGAGAGCTTACTTACCAATACTCTGCCAAGTCCTGGATCTGCAGAAGCTGGGGATGCTGCTACTATCCTTGAGTTCTTAGCCTGGGGTCGGCGGAAAGTTTCGACTTATGCTGAAGATTTCGTGGGCCACGATTTAGGTGGCAGATCAGCTCAGTTCTCTGGAGACGTGGCACTCGATCAGGATCCAGCCACGAATTTAGAAATATCGCCATTGCACATTATAGACGAATCTTCGCTATCACTTATTCAGCTGTTGCTTCCCGAACAACAGAGCATTGTGCCGATTGTCGAGTACCATTGCAACTGCCTACTTTGGTATCATGGGTCATTCCATGGCCTAGTATTTCAAAGCGAGTTTGATTCATTCCTGTACAAACATCGAGGACTCATTGACCAGCCTGGAATAGATCTACAATGGGTTGGGTTGTTGTTTGCTGTCCTCGCTGGTAGCATGGCCTGCGCTCCTAGGCTCACGGCACGTTCTTGGGGATTTGAAGATTCAGAACGCGCAGTGATTGCTCAGAGATGGTTCAAAGCGGCACTGGTCTGTCTGAACCGGGCTAATTACACAGCCAACCACTCCGTCTATGCGGTTCAGTGTATTGCGACGATGACTATCAGTGCGCACGTGTTGGGCCATTCAAATAGCCACTCAGTCATGTTGGCAACAGCAATAAGGATATCACAGAGTCTGGGCTTCCACAGACTGGGGAATGTAAAGCAGGACCATCCATCCAACACGATAACAAGAGAAACTGGAAGGAGAGTTTGGACACAACTCTGTGTTCAGGATTGGTTCTCCATCCCGTTCTCGGAAAGCTACTATATTCGTCAACTTGATTTCAATACGGAGAAGCCATGTAATTGTATGGAAGAGGATATGGTCCCTTTGTCTGATGATGTCCCTACAACGATGAGTTACCACCGTTTCCTCTACGACATTGCCCTTCTCATGCCCCGACTGCATGATGATCTCTCCAGATCAAACACAACGTACACCAAATACGAGCATGTGCTTCGATACGACACGCAAATGCGCACACTGGTCAGCAAATGTGTCCCCTCATGTTTGAAGAGTGCAGCTTTGGAACCCTCCTGGCCGCAGTATGTGCCCTGGGCTCGACATTGTCTTACAATAACTTCTGCGCACAAGATCATCATGATCCATCGGAAATTCCTTTGGCAGAGCTTTACGAACCCTGCTTTTGAATTCACCCGCAAGACTTGCATTGCGGCCTCCAAGACAATTATTCGCGTTCAAAAGCAGGTTGCGAAGGATAATGGACCTGATTTGTGGATCTATCATGCTTTTAGTGTGGCAGCTAGTGTTTGTAACCTTTCTTGGAAATGAAATTCAGCCGACTTACCATGCTCTACAGATCATTCTTTGTCTGGATCTCCGGTTCCGCGCACCTTCTGACTCGGAATACGGTGAGCATCGTAAACTGGTCTACGATATAATAGAAATTCTGTCCCAAAGCGAGACAAGCATGATTGCCAAACGAGGTGTAAAGATTTTGAAACTACTGCTTCAGCTCGAGCAGGAAAATCGTCGGTCGGGACGATCTAATCCACACGAAGGAAAGACTAACTATGCGAGACCTACCACCAACCGTCCAAATGACAACTACCGAGAAGATAGAGATAACAATGGTGGGAACGGAAGCGGCGATGGCCTTCCTCTAGACATTCACAGACTCGTCGTTCAAGCATTCCATGACCAGGACTGCTCTCAGCCGAGTGACACTCGCAGCGGCAACCTTCACTATCGGCCCAGGGAAGGAGAACATATATCTGGTCCGATGCAGTATTCTTCTAATCCTTCAACTTTTCAAGGTCGTTGGTTCTGGTCTGATCCCGCGGATGACGGCGACGTCGATAAAGACAGAGACCATATAGGTGGTACCTCGGTTCCGCAGTCAGGGTTTGTGATGAATGGTTCTTTGGAAGATATTTTGTTTCTGGCGCAGAATGGAGGTCCATCCTAGTATGTATATAGGTTGAGCATTCAGATAATTCGGGATTTATTTAATGTATAGGTATTCCGTCAAGGATTATCATTGAGTCTAAATTAGCAATACTGAATATTCTTAATAAGAATATTAAAACCAACCACATCCTTGTGTGATGGTGTGGCCGTTTCCGACATACTGACAGCCTGGGTTTCCGGCTAGTTAGGGCTTTACCCGTCGCTTTAGGGTTTTAGGGCTTCGGCGGTACTGTTTCGGACTGTCTTCATACTGTATCATCTCTGATATTCTCCTGCTGAATTGGGGATTGCTCTGCTATTTTCTAGCAAATCTGGTCACGGGTGAGAAGTCGCTGCAAGTCCATGGGCACCTCTACTCATAGTCCTAATAGCTGTTCTGTGTCCATGAACATGTCGGACCTTGCCTGGTCTCTCCTCCCGCCTCTGCTTTGTGTGCTAATAAACACTCGTCTGCGTTCCGGGTTATGTATGTTTCAGTACTGTTGATGGAATCGCCCGAAATCGCTCCAAAGACCCGTCCTCAACATCATCTTGGTTGCTTGTACTGCAATTGTCGGGCTCTGGGGAATGCTTTGGCGCTAATGCATGGATGGTTGTTTGTCCAAATTCGGTGTCCTTCATTCGCCCAGTTCCGACATTCGAGAAGGACATATCCTTGTTAACAAGCTTTCAAGACAATGCATCTTAGGATCAGGGCCAATTTATGTCAAGGATCCTATATACTGTACAGCCACTTCCCCGGAAGATGATCCCGAGAAGATATTCCCAACACAAAATGATCCCGGGGCTTACCACATGTATTCGGAGAGTAACCTGTTTTGGGGATTCCTTTCCTCTGGCGGCTGGCGGCCTGAGTCGCAGTTTAAAGGGTTATTACGATTCATTTAAAGCTATCTAGACACCCACCCACCACGTCGGACGCTTGGTACCAAAGACCAGACGACCATGACCCCCGAGATTCATGAACCACTACTGTACAGACACCAGGATTATTTTGTTAGGGTAGACATGATACTATGCAAGACAGCAGCACGTGCCGAGGCCTAAAATAAGTCCTCAAACCCGCGGAAAACTGATTTCTACTCAATAGTGATCCGAAGGTCGGCGACGAAAAACTGGCAGTTATTGAGTATTAACTGGTAGGATCCAGCATTTTCGCTACAAACAAAAAGGTATTAGATTGGACACTCCAAGAGTGGAAACTATGAGGTAGGACACACTACACCAGTCTATATTCTCCTCCGAGTGTAATGTCTCTCCAAGGCCCTGTAAATGGGTGGGATGTGTTGCCGTCGGTCGTACTGGAACTGCCTGACTCCATTTTCATAAATCTTTCCGACAATGGCGAAGTAATTTCAGGTTAGTGGATCATCGTCAGCTCCTAATCCCGTTTCTTTCTACTTGTTACTTCGTTAGGTCTAAAGGGTATATAGACAGCTATGTTGAGAGCCTACCTCAACTCGTAAACGCCAGTGTGCAGTCCGAGGTACTTCATCTGTTGACTGTGGCGTGTGAAAAGTGCCAGTAGCCCCGACAGAATCGGAGTTTAATATGCTCGAGAAATTCTCAGATTTCTCGCGAGAAACCTGCTGTACCCTGAACATAGTTGTTAAGATTTCTATGAGGATGCGTAATTATGGGGCCATTAAATGTTCTGCCTTGGTCAAAACACTTGATTTGAAAATTTGGAGTATCGTATTTCTGCTGCGACCGCCGTAGAGCCGCTTTCTAGGGGGTTAGAAACATAACTCACTCCGAGACAGCTGGGATGCGAATGAAAGGCTGAACATTCAGCTCACCAGCAAATGGCCAATAAGCATCTATCTGTCGTGTCATCTGCCCTTGCGAGAGCGGAAACTGCGATGCTAGTGGTCGCCTCGTGTTATCTCGCTTTCAAAGTGTTTTGAACATGCACCACAGCCTTTAGCCTGTATGTGAGCTAAGGAGGCCGACTTCCGCAACCGATATGATACTCGTATCATAGCTATCTTACTAGATGCACGCCGAAGGCTGGCTCAATCATAGGGTTCTTGGCGGCAGTAATTGGTGACCGTTTGCCAAAGACTGGCAGCGCTACGACAGGATGAAAAGCGCCTGACAAGGTACGCTGTTTATCAGACACGATTTTGGCTGCTCCAAAGCTAAGCTAATTCTAGTGCGCGTGGCCAGGGGAAGGGGCACCGCCTCCAGCGAGAAAATGGAAGGTTATCTTTCTTATTTCCACTGATCAACAGAGCCTCAACCCTGCCCACCTTCTGGATCTTTTATAAACCCCAGGCTCATTGAAAGCTGGAAGTTCATTACCATTGAGTCGGTGAAACCCCTTTACAAGTTCATCAATGATCAATACCAAGTCTGGGACCCATGCATACTTCTAGACACAGCCACAATCGATGTGACCGAGATTTGGACGAGCTCTACCAGCCAGACAGCGTTACAGACAGAGACGAGTCTCTACCTCGCTTTAGACGCATGGCTCAGCAGACTTCATCGACATCGACGCGCCAATCCTAAATCGTACTACGGCCCGTGTGGGTCAAGTACACACAAGGAAAGGATCAAACACATCTCACGCGGTCCTGGACAGACTCTTGAGGCATTTCCGTATCAAAGTAGCGCACAAGCGGAACTGGACCTGCTTTGCCGGGTCGACACGCTTTGTGGACGGCCAAGGGCCCGACAGCGGCCCGCTGTTTAGCTACTCGGTTTGCAATCATCCCAAAGTTGCAGCTGCGTGGTCGCACAGCTCCGCCACTGGTATATTGCAGGGTATATATTTTGTTGGAGCAAGTCAAGTTCCTGAGCTTCAGGATCTTTTGCTCTCCTTGGCGGGGATGGCAAGCCACCCAATGCTCCCAGCGCTAGTATTTAGTACTAGCCTGAGCGGCCTGATCGAGCAAGAGCACAAAAGCATCAAAGAGAACTTGAGAGTGGTAGAGGTTCGAACACGATTCCATTCATGGGCGAGCAGGAACGAAACCCCGGCGGAAGGGGACTATATCAGTCTTTCGCCTGCGACGACGGGAGCGAAAACGAGGCTCGCAGACCTGCGCCGAAGAACAAAGACACTCCACGACCTATGTGGTTTGGTTTGCGAGAGCTTACATCCTCATTCCAAGGAAGAAACTCACGTCTGGACCCCTCTGCAGCGGCCCAGGGCAGATTTTTTCAAATCGATAGAGGAGTACGCCGTGAGTACTCCGGAGACGAATAGAGTTGCTGGTAGCGGATATCTAGTTCTTCCAGGACCGCGTCGACGCCCAAGCAGCCACAGTAAGCGAGAGAAATCTGACCTTGCATTTCAATCTGTAATGCGCTTCTTTAAACAGCTCTCCATCATGACAGCACATGCCCAAGCTGCAATCAACACAAATATTGCGAGTACAACGCAGCAAGATTCGTTGTCGCTCAAGACTCTCTCGCTAGTCACAAAGTTCTTCTTGCCTGTCACATATCTTGCTACTTCATTTTCTGTCCCCATTCTGAACTGGAGACCTGAGGAAATTTCGGAGGGAAAGTTTTGGATATATTGAGCCTCTGCCATCCCACTTACGTTGATGACGTTTGGAACTTGGTGGGTATGGACGTCCATTCTGGAAAGGAGAGCAAGAATAGCGGCACAGGAAAGCCAGGAGAAGTGTAAAGAGGTATGAGGGCTATACTAGACTTAGTCAATTATACTAAGATACCTAGGTATACCGTAAGTTTTATCGTCAAAATAGTAGGGAAAGTACTATACCGGTAGTACATAGAAAATGCAGGCCTTCTATTTCCTTCATCGCTGCCTAGGTACGTTTAGAATTCAGTTCAACTAACCCTATCAGATGTTAGACTTGACTCGTGATCCGTATGATCAGAGAATGGACCCTTATTTGTGAGCGCAGATACTCGGCTAGTACGCGCAAGTTTACCTCCATCTCATCCTCTTGCCATATTTGCATATTCTTGATGAGAATATTCAAATCACCCACGTCCTTGTGTGATGATCTGGTCGGTTCCAGCATAGTGATGGCATAGGCTTGCGGCTGGTTAGTGCTTTAGTGTTTTAGGGCTTCGGTGGCATTGTTCCGGACTGTGCTTTAGACTGTACCATATCTGATATTTCCCGGCTGAATTGGGAGGTACGTACTTTCTATTCAAACTTTAGGACTCCAAACATCTAGATTCCAGCCTTCTTTCCGCTTATCCTACCCCGATAAAGCCCTGGATTCACCACTGTGAAACTCACGTGCTACTTCGGTATAAATCCCACCGTTTCTCCACCGGGAATTTACCCGAGTCGTCCTCTTCATCCTCTCGTTATTCTCCTTCGTGAGCTCCATTTTTTTCTCTCTAAACAGCCAGAAAAAAAATGGATCGGATAGTTTTCCTGGCCGATCAGTTTGGAAAGACGAAATAATGTGTATAGGAGCTATGGACAAAGTCCGAGGTCGTTGTGGAGTATGCCTGCAACGTTCGAAATTTACCCGGTGGATCGGTGGATGCGCCGTTGTTCCCTGTCGATGTCTGCAATCAATCGTGGTAACATCGATATACGCCGTGCATTAGTTGCGATAGAGTCCTCTGGAGATAGAATAGCGAGGCTCAATTGACAGATTATCCAGGAAGACAAGGGCTGTAGTTATAGTATCCAGGGAGAAGTCACAGTAACCATGTACGAATTTACCCGGAGGGAAGAGCGATGGAGGGGCAAGCACAGCGCCTTCCCCGCGAGCGGATAATTGCAAACCCACCTTGCTCCTTCCTATCGTGGCCGAATGAATAGCTCCAATCATGGAGAAGCTATTTCCTGTTCACCTGATACACTCCATTTTTCTTTTCTTTTCTCTTCATTACCTTTTGCTTTTCTTCTGTGTATAAATGCTGCACTTTTCCTTGCTGTCTTTTTTCTGTATTCAGTGCCTTCTGTGTTGATATCTTAGTATACGGTTAATTTACCAGAGTGAAAATGACCGTCGGTACTACAACTGTCTCAAAACCAAATATTGGTGTCTACACCAACCCCAAACATGATCTCTGGATTGCCGACGCGAAACCTACGTTAGAAGAGGTGCAGAAAGGCGAGGGTCTCAAGTCTGGTGAAGTCACCGTGGAAATCAAAAGTACTGGGATTTGCGGGTATGTTTCGCGTATTTGTCACTTTCCTCCAGTCTACTGACTCTGTGTCGGTTGTAGTTCAGATGTCCACTTCTGGCATGCCGGCTGTATCGGCCCCATGATAGTCAATGGCGACCATATCCTGGGCCATGAGTCGGCGGGTGTTATCGTTGCCGTCGGCCCTGATGTCAACAACCTCAAAGTCGGAGACCGTATCGCTGTAGAACCGAACATCATTTGCAACAAATGCGAACCTTGCCTCACTGGTCGCTATAACGGCTGCGAAAATGTGGAGTTCTTGTCTACCCCGCCTATTGATGGATTACTGCGTCGTTACGTTAATCACCCGGCTGTTTGGTGCCATAAGATTGGAAATATGAGCTTCGAGAATGGCGCTTTGCTGGAACCCCTTAGTGTTGCACTGGCTGGTGTAGATCGCGCAGGTGTGCGATTGGGTGATCCAGTACTCGTTGCTGGAGCTGGTCCTATTGGCTTAGTGACGTTGCTCTGTGTACGAGCCGCTGGCGCCACACCCATAGTCATTACAGATATTGACGAGGGCCGACTGAAGTTCGCAAAAGAATTGGTTCCGGATGCGCGCACTTATAAGGTTCAGATCGACAAGAATGCAGAGGAGAATGCAGCAGGAATTCTGGCTGCTTTGAATGACAACGAGGGCGATTCCATTCGCCCACAAGTGGCATTGGAGTGTACCGGTGTGGAAAGCAGTGTTGCCTCGGCCATCTGGAGTGTCAAGTTCGGTGGGAAGGTATTTGTGATTGGTGTTGGCAAGAACGAAATGCAAGTCCCTTTTATGCGTCTCAGTACCTGGGAAATCGACCTGCAATATCAGTACCGATACGCAAACACATGGCCCAAGGCCATCCGACTGGTCAAGAATGGAGTCATTGATTTGCGAAAATTGGTCACCCACCGATACCCTATTGAAGATGCCCTAAAAGCCTTTGAGACAGCAGCCAATCCCAAGACGGGTGCTATCAAGGTGCAGATTATGAGCTCGGAAGAAGAAGTTGCAGCAGCCACGCAAGCTGCCAACGGTATTTAAGACGAGATAAGTTGGTTATGACATCCGTGACATCTTGCTGGTGGTTTGTTTTCTCCGGAATACATGTATAGACAGAATTGAATGTAAAAATTTGCCGACAGCCGTAGCTCAGCTGAAAATATCGAATAGTTTGTCTAGAGCAGTACTCGGCCCGATCCAGCCCAGATTTATGTACTTCCCTTGTCTTGGCCAATCAGAATAAACATGGCTGCGCCACACTTTTACACATCTCGCACGGCCACAGCAGTAGTCAGACATGGGGATTGCTTACCTCATCGCTGACGCAACCAAATCAACATTAGTTATGATTACGTAGAGCTTCAACTCTTTGCTCACGTTGTATGTGTTGTCGTTGTTTCAGTGAAACATCTTCGCTTTGTCATTTGTGTAGTTCTGATCTTTGCTCTGCTCGCCTAATGACCAGTGGATATTCGAGGCTCGGCAAGCATTCTTGCCGACATTCCTCCTCCGAGCCTTCGATGTCATCGATGGACGATCTGCCCGTGCCGTATCCGTCGCCCTCGAACATTTTACGCCAGTAAATCTGCTTTCTGTGCTTATTCTTTGTGCTATTTTGTTGTATCTAATCAACATACTTAACCCATGACTGATAAATACTTCTTGATATCATTGGAAATACGGGATGCATGGGTGTTTGGTAAGTGGCGCATCTGGTTTATGATCGACAGCCGATAGACTGACAGTTGTCTAACTTCTCACAAGACACAGAACTAACCCCACTATAGCATCTTTCTTGGGTCCTATTTATAAGCAATCTCTGCTGTGAGATGCTGGTATAATTGTTGTCAAAATTACCTGTTGCACCAGTTGAACTAGAGCTGGAGGTATAGCTACACCATGGCTCTGCCGCATCCATCCGGTGGGCACACCGGTAGGGCAGCCAGCTATGACTTGTCGCAGATACCTACGCATGAAGACTTTTCGGTTGGGGAGGAAATACCGATGCCAGTGTACAGTAAGGTTTATGGGCGTATGGACCTTGCCAATGAGGGCCTGAAAACTCAAGCTTCGATAAACGGTGAGTTTTCTCCAGTGATCTTTTGAGCAATACTTCGGAGCTTCATTCTAATTCATATTCGCTTTCAGACGAGGGTCGAGTTAATATTGATATCGATGAGCCCACGTCGCGACTGCGGGCCATGTTCAAATTGCCCACGTTCGGAACTCGTTCAAGAGCAACCACGGTTACTGCACCGATTCTGCCCTCGCGAGACAGGCCACGCGACCAGAATCCTCCGCCTTTGAATATTGTGATACAGGTTGTTGGATCCCGCGGTGATGTTCAACCATTCATTGCACTCGGACGAGTTTTGAAATTCCACCATGGCCATCGAGTTCGACTAGCAACACATGAAAGTTTCCAGGGCTTCGTCGAGGAGAATGGATTGGAGTTCTTCAATATAGGCGGTGACCCAATGGAGTTGATGGCTTTTATGGTCAAAAACCCGGGACTTATGCCAGGCTTCGATGCGCTCAAAAACGGCGATATTCGTCGACGCCGAATGGAGATTGCGTCGATCATCTCAGGCTGCTGGAGGTCGTGCTTTGAAGCTGGAGATGGTACTGGTATGCCTGTTTCGGACCGGAACACCGATTTGAAAAACTTTCATGGAGGGAATGTTCCATTTGTTGCTGATGCGATCATTGCCAATCCCCCAAGCTTTGCTCATGTGCATTGCGCAGAGAAACTTGGGATACCGCTTCATATAATGTTCACGTATGTTGAATTTCTTTTTGATGCTAGCTTTCTGCTAATGATCTTGCGTAGCATGCCATGGTCGCCCACACAGGCGTTTCCGCATCCACTTGCCTCGATCAACCGTTCAAATGCAGACGCCGGCATTACGAATTATGTCAGCTATGCAATTGTGGAAATGATGACCTGGCAAGGACTGGGTGATATAATTAATCGCTTTCGTGAAAAGAGTCTAGGGCTCGCACCGATTAGTCTGATGTGGGCACCGTCGATGATAGCGCGGTTGAAGATACCGCATACATATTGTTGGTATGTACGATAGGCCATACGTGAGTGGATGCTAGACACTAACTTCCCAGGTCACCTGCTCTGATTCCCAAACCTAATGATTGGGGTAACCATATTGATATTGCTGGCTTCTACTTTCTTTCACTAGCGTCCAACTACACTCCTTCCGTTGACTTGGCCGCTTTTCTAGACGCAGGACCACCCCCCATATACATTGGGTTTGGATCGATTGTGGTGGATGACCCTAACCATATGACGCAACTAATATTTGATGCTGTTCGTCTCACAGGACAGCGTGCCCTTGTGTCAAAGGGATGGGGTGGTCTTGGAACAGAACAGCTAGGAGTACCAGAAGGTGTTTTCATGCTTGGGAATTGTCCACATGATTGGCTATTTCATCGCGTATCTTGTGTTGTGCACCATGGTGGTGCCGGGACCACTGCAGCCGGTATTGCGGCTGGTCGTTCCACCGTCATTGTACCATTCTTCGGAGATCAACCTTTTTGGGGGGCTATGGTTGCCAAAGCAGGTGCAGGACCCCAGCCTATTCCATATAAGCAATTGACAGCGGAAAAACTAGCCGATGCTATCAAATTTGCTTTAGAACCAGCAACATCAGAAAAAGCGGCGTCACTTGCGGCAAAGATTGAAGCAGAGCATGGTTCTGAAGACGGTGCTATATCCTTTCAGAATCATTTGAATGTTGAGAAGATGCGATGCTCTTTGGACCCGGATCGTACGGCCGTTTTCCGGATCAAACGTACACAGGTTCGGTTGAGTGCTCTGGCTTTTGCTGTGCTTAATGTGGAGGGAAAGCTGGGACTGGATGATGTGAAATTGTAAGCATCCCTCAAGATTGTCTTATACTAAGAATTAACTGTTTTAGGTATCGGTCCAAAGAGTACATGACTGAAGCTGACCCTACCGATCCTGTCATTGGAGGTGGTGCAGCCATGTTAGACAGCATCGAAGAATTCCTCATGGGTTTTGCAGATTTGTCAATAGATGTTAAACGCAGTCTGAACACCAGAATAGCGAGATCACGCTCTCAGTCCCCTGCGAGCGTTAGCCGAAAATCAGCAAGTCAAAGTCCAGCTGGCTCGCCGACTACAGCAGCACGTGCCAAAATACTCAGCGATGACGACTCTGTTAAGAACTTGACGGAGATTAGTACTGTATCCACGAAAGGGTCTACTTCAAGGCCGCTTTCGGGAGACCTCCATAGTTCCACTGTACCGACTACAGATCGACTATTTGATGATTCTACTCGAGTGGAAACTCAGAGTGTAAATTCCCTCCCTTTACCTAAAGAAACCCGAACTAGGAAACATGCACGTACGATCAATGATATCCACGACATTGATCTCGACGGAATCGTTTCCGCAGGAAAATCAGCAGCGAAGCTTGTAAATGTTGGTCTCAGAGCTCCCGCAAGCTTTACAATGGCGGTCGCCAAAGGCTTTCATAACGCACCATTACTATACGGTGACGATACCGTTCGTGAGCAACCAAAGGTAACTGGTATCAAAAGTGGCTTCAAGGCGGCCGGGAAGGTATGCTTGACAATCGATCCCCGACTATGCTAGTATATGTACTCATGTTGTTCAGGAATTTGGATACGGATTCTATGACGGTATATCTGGCCTTGCGACTCAACCGGTTCAAGGTGTTATAAAAGAAGGTCCTGTTGGCGCTATCAAAGGCATTACCAAGGGCATCGGTGGTCTTATTTTCAAGCCTGCGGCAGGTGAGTCAACATATCGTTTTCGAAACCGTAGGGGACATTGTTCTAACTTGATTATAGCCGTCTGGTCGTTGACTGGTTACCCGATGAGCGGGATTTACAAAGAGATTCAGAAACGGTTTGGCGAGAGTGTGGAAAATTACATCATGGCATCCCGATGTGCCCAAGGACTGGCTGATCTTTCGAATTGCACAACAGAAGAGAAGGAAAACATATTGATGAACTGGTCATATTATGAAGCAGATATCGTAGCAAAGAGAAATGCACGACGCAACCGTAAGAAGAGCAACGGCACTGGGAAGAGAGCCAGGTCAGGAACTATAGGAGACCGGAGCAAAGACGGCGAAAACACTGCATCTGAGCGAGATACGGAATCAGTGAAAGCAGCGGAAAGGGCAAATCGTCGTCAATCACTGCGCCAGCTCTTTCGTGGCCGCTCTAATTCTTCACCACCTCCAAGGACGTCAACACCTGATTCAGCGCTTCCGGATGAGTATGAACATGCCATCCGACATTCGGTGCTTGCAACGTCACAGAGAAATGATACCGAGGATGAAATGATTGAACGTGCCCTGCGAGCTAGTATGACAGAATTAAGAGATGCGAAAGCAGATGGTGAGGAAGAGGAACGAGCGTACAGCCTTGCAGTGGAGGCAAGTATCCGAGAAGCTGAGCGGGTGATTGAAGAAAAGAAAAGGGAGCGCGAAGCACGAGGTACTGTGAGTGAAGTCGAAAAATCGAACCATATCCATGCACCTGAATCGCAACCCCGCTCGAAATCGGCAGATGAAGCAGGCAAAGAACAACGAAAATACCCACCGAAGTTACCACCGCGCAGTTCTGTGTCTGCAGATCACGATGCAGAAATGGAGAATGCATTGAAGGAATCTAAAAAAAGTTACGAAGATGATCTTCGACGAGAGAAGGAAGAAATGGACATTTTAGTTGAGTACGTCAAACGCCAGAGTTTGGCTGAAGCCGAGCAGCAGAAACAGCAACAGAAGCCAGCGGATGTACAGCAGGAGAAAGCTATGGAATCATAGCTATGTCTTTGATCTATGATTGTTTTTACACTAGATCTATGTATATGATACCCAGGTAGATGAATAATGAGTGATGACAAGACTATGGATAGTAAAGGACTACGTAGTTCTTTTGTAAATCGCATTTTACACATAGAGAAAGGTCCCTTGAAACAAATTGAAATGCGAGATGCACCGTTCATATCCCTAAGGGATAGGCCGGTGATTCATTCGATCGGAGCAGGATGCTCGACATTCCAGTCCCTGGACATCACGCGTATCAACGCGCAACAAGGAATGATGAAACCTCTACAAAGTCGGGATTATAAGGTGTCCTCTATTTCTATCCAATGCAATAAATTCTTTCATGAATCGGAGAACAGATATACAAGATTGTGTCAATCAATTTACGAACGGAAACTGTTATCCACCTACATACACTCAACAAAACGGCCTTTAAAATCCCTAAAGCATCAAAAATGCAACTCCCATCACTGCTTCTCTCCCTCACAACAACCGCCCTCCTCATAACCACAACAACCAGCCAACTCCTTCCCGAGATCACCGCATCCCCATCGCACGCACCCTCCAAACAACACAAAATAGGGCCCTGGAAATGTGATCTCGCTCAAGATGGGTCTGGTCTACCGCAACAACCGTATTGCTGTGATGAAAATAGTGTTAAGAGTCGGTTTCAGGATGGGAGGATTTTGGGGGTTACGAGTTGTTAGTATTCATCACTTTTTACTTGCCCTTGGGGAGAACGATGAGAGTGTGCTGATTTGGTGATGATGTAGGTACCGCTGTTCCAGCAGATCAGAATGTGCAGTGTGCGCAGGCGGCGAATGTGTGGTGTTGTTATTCTCTGGTATATTTTTTGGTTCTACTTTCTACTGCTATGGATAGGATGAGTGCTTATTTGTTCCTGTCGCAGAATGCAAGTGATACGAGTCTAGACGAGGAGTGGGTTTGTACGAGTGTGGCTAAATGGAAGCCCTCGTAGGATACGTAGGCAGACTGTTGATATTGAGATTCTTGAATGGGAGGGGATTGCAGGGTTTTGGTAACCTTGAAATTATTTATATTATTACTTAAATCATTTCAATGTTGTCATTGATTGTGAACCTCGTCTATGTATTGTGTTCATGATACGGATCGGAGGGAGATTCTTGGATATGAATGTACTCATTCACCTTGATTATTATCATTAAAAATTGTGTTATGCCTCCTTTCTAGGTGATCTAATTCCCCTTGTACGCTCGTACTCTTAAAATTCTGCGGCTTGACAAACTAGAAAGTAGATTCACTCTAAGAAGTCGGTCAAGATTTCAATACTGCCCTAAGTGGAGATATATCGCCAGTTTGGGAAATTTGGCTTTTGGAGCCGGAAAATATATCTGGATATATATGTTCAATTATCAAAACTAGACCTGTCAATTGCTAGGTATTTTATGTGATTTCATGGGCATATTATCCATCTGCTAGCGTTGCTGTTGTTAGATTGAAATGGGTAGTAGTAGGATTGATATACCCGCTGTAGCTAGCTGCCGTCTAAAGAGCCGCTACCCAGGCGTGTGCCTAACTGCAAGAACGCATGTAAAGGCTAGATTGCCGGTGCCATCCAAATCGTGTATCCTCCAACTTTGGTGGATGAGCAGACTGAATATACTGGCCTTGAATGTGACATTTGTCAAGCTTCCATGTTTCCAGAATCCAGATATCGCTCACCATTGGGAAAATTGATATCTGCGACGAGTGCAAGAAGTGTGGTGCGATTTGTTTGGATCATACACATGTTATGACCAAAGTGATAGAGTATTAATGAAGTGAATTCAACTAAGAACCCAGCTAAGTACTGGTAAACAGAAAATGTAGGCATGGTTCGAACCGAACGAGACCACGTTGATGGAGTGGCATTTCACATGGTCTATGGGCATTTTATTCGCCAGACAGGTACGTAAAACTATACAATCTGCATGTAATAGGCAATTCGGGACTTACGAGGTTGATTTCTCTACAGTACACATCTATCCAATAATCCGAACGACATCCTAAGAAGACCAAAAGTAACAACTAATGGATCTGTTTCAATCCTCTTTGAGCAGCCATCCCATACTTATAAAACAGCCACTTCTTCCCGGTACAATGTCCGAACTGAATACGCTCGTGCGAAAAATCGAAGGCACTCTGAAAGCGAGGAATGCTGATCCGGTCATAGGAGGCAGCCGCAGCATTCATAGAAGTGTTACAACAAATCTGCCCCGCCAAGTCCCAGCCATCCTTTAGGGCTAAGTTCGCACCTACAAATTCAAAGGGACTGAGGATATGGTTGGCGTCTCCGATGAACATAACTCCCGTAAGGTTTGCATCGTGCCGAAAAGCGTGTTTCTCCTTGGCCGGTCGAATGAACGCTGTACCAGGTAGCGTGCCCTGGACGACAGTCTTAAAGGGCTCTTGGAACATGAAAGCCGTATCCAGGGCCTCTTCTTTCAAGATTTGAAATTCTTCTGCGGTGAAGTCGGTTTTCGCCTTGCGTTCCGGTCCCACAGTACTTACAGCCCAGGCGACTCTCTCTCCATCAAATGGATTGTAGATACAGCAGACTCCTTCGCCAGAGGACATTTGTAACCCAAAGTCCCTGTCAATAGGCTTGGGCACTCCGCCCGGAAGATGTGAGATACCACCAATCTGGGTTGCACCAGCGTATTCGGTCTTCATGTCATTGGGTCGGAAGCAAGCTCGGATATTGCTGTTTGCGCCATCTGCAGCAACAAGGAAGTCGCAATCCTGTGTTGTACCGTCGGAGAGGGTGACCCGAATCGCCCCTGTTAGGAGACGTTCAGCCGACGTGCAGGCCAATCCCCAGTTCAAGGTTATTCCGGTGGTCTCAGCTTTTCCCACAAGAATACGCTTCAGGTTCCCACGTGTGATGCGTATGGTGGCTGCCAGCAGGTTGCCGTATGCGGTAGGGTTGATCGATGAGAGCCACTTCCAGTTATCAGACCACACGCGAATGTCGCCGCCATTGAGGGTCCCATGCTTGTAGACTTCAGTCAATAAACCTAGTTGTTCAATAGCAACCAATCCATCATCTTGGCGGGCGCCATTGATATTCAACACGTATGGGTCTTTCTCGACAGACTTGTCACGAGTGTCTAGCTCATACACCGTGACTGTGGGAAGTTTGATAGAGGGGCCCCAAAGATGCTCTAAAGCTAATACAAAAGATAACCCGGCGAAACTTGCGCCGACGACGATAATGCGCTTTCCAGCGAGGAAATGGTTGGGTCGAGCTGCCATGTTAAAAGTTGCTACCTAGCAAAATGCGACTAAGCTGAATATCGGCTGTTTCTCTGTTGTATGTGCACAGGTGTAATAGCAAGCGCTGCAGCACCAACTAAAGACATGTATAGATGAGATACACAACAGGAATCAATGATTTTGGCTTTTTATGGTTACTAGTTCTGATAGGCATCACATTATGTGCGATCAAGATGCTGATAGCAAAATCCTGGCAAACTGAGCGGATGGTCGGAGCGTCGGACGCGGAGCTGAGAATCTGGAGAAAACATGCTGGACCAAAAATTACATAGGTAAGGTGGATGAAGAGATGATCCTATTTCGTATTCATAGGTATTTCCACGGTTGCCAGGACCCCTCCGGTCTGTTGTTACCGTGAGATAGACATCTTATGGGATTGATACGCGCTTCATATGCTATCCGGAACTAGCTGGCTGGATGAGAAGAGTAATTTCTTTTATGTATCCATGGATATAAGAACAACCGTATAACACATATTATAGAATAGTAGTCAACGTGTAAGTAATCTTCTGAGCTCAGTACGTCAAAAGGATATCTGAGGGGTTTTTTAGTGGGGAATAACTGCCCTGGAACATCAAAACCAAAGATGCGAGATATATCCAGATCGGAATATCTCGCCCTATCGATGGGTTAGAAAACTTATCCCCAGAGTATGCACTTGTAGCTTTATCTTACAGCTGAATTAAGAAAGAATACCTATGAATGAAGAGGTTATTGGAGTATTACAAAGTGTGGAGCCTTTTTCTGCTAATAGCCAATCAAATTAAAAAAGCTAGGTAAGGTACGGTTAACTAACGTAATCGGTAAGCGGCCCGGACCCGTATCTATTTTAACGAGAACAAAAGAATCTAAATCCTGGCTTAACGGAAGAACACAACGAAATCACCCTCTACACGGATTCTAACAACGCCGTGGAAGCGCTTAAAAGGGCTTCTACCCCGGCCGTGAGATGGCTAGCCAATCGTTACCCCTTTGTAGGGGATATCCTCGGAAAAGGCGAAGTCGATATCCAACGCCTTGACACTGACGACAATATCTGTTGGTTGCCTGACAACCATCTTTCGGCATCTCAACTAGATTCCGGGTCTCGTCGTCCCCAAGTTTCTTTACCTGCTCCGCTTCGGCGGCAAACCAGCGGCCAGCCTCGTGTCGGATTAGTCGGTTTATTCCAGGCCAATCCTGAAAAGTGTTTTACTAGTATCAAAGAAAAGAAGTGACTAGCAAGATTGTATGTATTGAGTTCTGTTCTTTTTTGTTCATCAAGTTTCAAAGCTGGGCTTTTATAAACATCTTTGGCGGGGTGATTTGTGAGCTATCATGAGGGGTAAACATTGGGCTGAAATCTCGGTTCCCAGATATATGACCTAAGGTGCCTTTTTAGACCTGTAAGATCGAACATCAAGTCTCTCTGCCTCGTTTGTAGTCCAGATTATCTGACACCTCGGTGCGTCTTGAGTGCTGCGCGTGATTGGTGGGTAAGACATACGCGATCCTCTCTCGCAACTACTTTTGGAATCGTATGACGAAATTCATCTCACGCTACATCAAGAACTGTATGACTTGTCAACGCTGCAAGTACTCTCGCGATACCTATCAAAGTTTATTGGAGTCTCTGCCTGTTCCAATGAAGCATTGAAGTCACATATCAGTCGACTTTATCATCGAGCTTCCACTGTCAAGAGGGTTACGACTCAATCATGGTCATCGTTGCCCGCCTAACGAAGATGCGTCATTCCTTGCACAAAAAATATTACCGCGGAGGATGCGGCCCTCCTATTCGTCCAGAAAGTGTGGAAACTTCATGGCTTGTCGGAGACGACTATTTCGGACCGGGGACCTCAGTCGGCGAGCCGCTTCTGGAATCGGCTTTGCAAAGCGTTGAAATCAAGGCCAATATGTCAACGGCGGATCATACTCAAACTGATGGACAGACGAAGAAAATGAATGAGATTCTGGAGGCTTATTTGCGTGCTTATTGTTCCTGGCAGACTGGCAGCAAGATGACTGGATTCCGAATTTGCTCAGAATAATTATCCCTCTACAGCCACCGGTCTCACCCCGTTCTTCGCCAATTCTGGTTATCATGCGCGTCTTGGTTGGGAGGCCGATGGGCGCCTGGAATACCAATACAGTTGGATGAGTGCCAGGCTGATGCTTTTGCGGCACGTTATACGGATTTACGGGATCGTTTACGGGAAGAGCTTAAGTCCGCTCAAACTGTTTGTACTGAGCAGGCTAATCGTCGTCGTCGCCCAGCTCCTCGCTTCACAGTTGGTGACAGGGTCCTCTTACTGGAAATCCGGATAATCTGACAAATACCCCCATGTTAAACCAGCAGTTTATCTGAGACTTTTGCTAGACGGGAGCTATTCCCCCTGCAATCTAAAGGGCAGGCACGGCCGTGACTTCAAGAGTGAGATACGTACAACAAATCCAATAAAGGAACGAAGGTAGCAAACATCTGCGATCTACAAAGACAAGGATTTATGATGACGGGCTAGAGAGAGTGTGATATTGAGAAGTCTAGCTAACTATCTGAGATCCGTGTCGTGCGAGGTTGATGTCCTTGCTACGATCACGCTAGGCCCAATGCGGTACCGACGTCTATTTGTATGGCGGGCAGTCCCGTGACCCCCCCCCCCTAAGACGCAGCATAGTGAATTTACATGCCCTATAATGAGGTACAGACGCCGCTGTTGATTAATTGTAAAGAATATGATCTGTTGGAACTCAGAATGAGCTAAACCAATTTGGGAATAGGGCAAGATTTGCGTATCAAGAAATTTCGAGAATTGGCATCACATTCCGACGCGATATTGAACATTACAAATCAACTTTACAGCCTATCTCTAGAAAGTTCGATTTGCACAAGTGTCGACTTTGGTGATATCACTTCTATGGAATCTTGTATATAAAAACAGGTTCAATACTCCTAGATAGTGGTTGGAGAGGAGTGCCGGAAAATAGACCTAGTTCCTTATACGTATTGTTTAACGTAATTCACCACCGAAGCGGCACCACTACCGAGCCGGCATTTTTTCCCGAGCGCGTACACGATATTGATTTTATATTATTCAACACGTCAATATGCCACCAATTCGCAATAAAAACCGGAAAAATTTAGATGAGCAAGAGGGACGAATCTTATTAGCAATTTCCGATTTACAGAATGGCCGAATTCAACGTGTAGCTCAAGCTGCAAGGATTTACGAGATCCCCCGGACAACTTTACAAGATAGACTCAATGGTATTCAACAAAGATCTCTCGTACGCGCCAACAGCCATAAATTGACTCAATATGAAGAGGAATCGCTTGTCAAATGGGTGCTTGATTTAGATCGACGTGGATTACCCCCCCGGCATTCTCTTGTACGAGAAATGGCTAATTATATACTTTCACAACATGGCAAACCACAAGTTGGAAAAAATTGGATAACTAAACTGATTAAACGCCGTCCAGAGATCGATTCCAAATCGCAAGGAAATACAACTACGAACGTGCTAAATGCGAAGATCCAAAGATAATACAAGAACATTTTGATCGCGTACAAGCTGCTATATCTGAGTACGGCATCTTACCGGAAGATATATTCAACTTTGATGAGACTGGCTTTGCTATGGGACTCTGTGCAACTGCAAAGGTTATTACTGGAAGCGATCGATATGCTCAGCCGAAGCTTTTACAGCCTGGAAATCGAGAATGGGTGACTGCAATTGAGGCAACAAATTCAACTGGATGGGCTGTGCCTTCGTACGTGATTTCAAAGCAAAGAAAAACGTACGAGAAGGCTGGTTTGATGATCTCCAGATGATTGGCGAATCAATATTAGCGATAATGGCTGGACTACAGATCAGATAGGATTAGAATGGCTTAAAACCCATTTTATTCCCTATATTAATGGTCGTACGGTTGGAAAATATCGAATGTTGATTCTTGATGGCCATGGAAGCCATTTGACACCAGAATTTGACCATATATGTACTGAGAATAATATTATTCCAGTCTGTATGCCACCTCATTCTTCGCATCTCTTACAGCCTCTTGATGTTGGCTGTTTTGCTGTTTTAAAGCGACATTATGGGCAGCTTGTTGAGCAACGAATGAGGCTTGGTTTCAATCATATTGATAAAATGGACTTCTTAACAGCATTTCCACAGGCTCGTACAGTGGCATATAAAGCTCAAACTATTTGGAATAGCTTCGCAGCCACTGGATTAGTGCCTTTCAATCCAGATCGAGTTATACAACAGCTTAATATTCGATTGAAGACACCAACCCCCCCTCCAAGTCGATCAAGCAATACGGCATCATCCTGCTTACAAACACCTCAAAATATACGCCAATTTATACGCCAGTCGACTACAATCAATAAACGTATAAATGAGCGTACAGAAAGCAACCAAAATCAAGAAATCAATCAGGCAGTTGTACGGTTGTCAAAAGCCTACGAAATGATAGCGAATGATGTTTTACTCGTACGGAAAGAGAACTACGATTTACGAGCTGCACATGAGAAAGAGAAGCAAAAGCGCCAAAAATCTAAAAAGCAAATATCTATTGAGCAAGCGGTTACTAAAGAAGAAGTGCAAGCGCTCGTACAAGGTCAGGTTGAGGCATCCCATGCTGTTACTACTACTCCGGCTGAGCCGGAGCTCCCAGCTTCTCAAGCAGTCGTACGCCGCCAATATCGCTGCAGTGGTTGTAACGTTATGGGGCATAGAATTAACCAATGCCCTAGTCGTATTAGTAGTTAGATTTTTGTATATAATTTGTATGTGGCTTTGAAAATTGGGATTTGAAATCAATATCGCGTACGCGCTCGGGAAAAAATGCCGGCTCGGTAGTGGTGCCGCTTCGGTGGTGAATTACGTTAGTGCTCGCCTTCGCTTAGTCATCGCTCTAGTAAACCAACGTTCCGACATGATCTATCGGAACTTGCAGTGCACTAGCACAAACTCAGTTAAGCTTAATACTCAAAGATATCTTTATAGTGGAAATATTGATATTAACCTTATTCTGCGCACTCTTCTATCTACATCTTGAGGGGATTGTTGGACACTATTTATGCTTGAGAATCCCATCCACGCAATCTCAAATAGAAGATTCTCGACACAGAGCTGTAAAGTTGATTCGTAGATTCAATCTTGTGACTTCAATTCTCGAATTTTCCTTGTATCAATGTTGTAGGCTTTCCTTGATTAGGTTTAGCTTACCTAATCCTCGACATGATCATAAGGTCACGTGATGGCTAGTGATTGTCGGAACTAAAACGTAATACAATTTCACCAAAAGCACGCCCTTCAGGGAATTATTTGCGAGCCGTTCGGTAGTTCGACTTCTGTATTCTGCTAGTCACGTGATTTTATTTCCAACAGTGATTCCGAGGCATTAGATCATAGTCGTACGTAACTAGAAGAAGAGAAAAAGATAAGCAACACAGAGGTTCAACGTATCGAATCATCTCGATTCTCCTTATCAATACTTACAAGCGGCTGATCATTGATCACTATTACTGAACGATATCAATCGACTGCGCCTATGATCCCATTCGCCGATTTCTTTACATTAACCAATCAGTATCTTGTATGATTCCATGCTAGAGGAGTAAAAGCGATGAGGGGGTGAGCACTAAAACGGAAGGGAAAAGTCGAAGAGGGTCAAAGGAAATCCGGTACGTAGGTATAGATAAAATCCCAGATTACTAGTTTCACACCTAACTATTCTTTCTCTGCATTGTCGAGAGAAAATTAGTTCTTATCCCCCCTCATGGCTCTATCTCTAGATAGTAGTCACAAGTGGCTGTGTTGCATAAGGTATTCAGAAAATCACTGGGTCAGGACCTTCAACGTATGCAATAAAACTATATGAGCATGAACTTCTACCCAATGGTCGCTACAAAGTAGGTTGGGTTCAAATGCTCTGATTGGTTTCAAAAGGGGACTTATTTGATGCATGGCTATGGTTCTATAAAAAGGTCCCGATAACGGGCTACTGCATGTTAGCGCCTGTGGCTGCGTTGTCTCAGGCTGACTTTCTCTTGAAAATCCATGCATCTAACTGGAAATTGTGGGCATGATTTTCTAGTTGTCGTGAGATGCATTGAAAATACGAAACCTAGCTTCAACTAGTATTCTAGGAGAATTTCTAAGCTATCAGCTATAAATACCTCACCAGGTAAAGATGCCATCTTTACAACAGCGTCTATAACTACTCATGTTCTACCGTTTATTTTACGATTATCACACTACTCCAAACCAAGTAAAGAAAGATTAAAAACAGCAAAAGTGAGATGAAGACTCAGGCGCAACCTGCAACAGTCCAAGATTTGGACCAGAACGATAACCTTGTCCTTCACGGCATAAAATCAGCAAGCCGTATCGCAAAGTCAAGATCCTCATCTTCCCCTCCACAGAAAATCAACTTGTCGTATGTTCATAAACAGATACCAATGGATAAGGTCATATACGGCAAATCCATCAGCCGGCCAATCGAGCAGATGGCGAGGATCTTCCAGAGCTATAACCGTGGTGTCCCTTTGACGATATTCAGTCGCAGTCGAGATCGGAGCCGTGAGAGGAATGAGGTTCCAGGATGTAAATTTCGGAAGGTATTTGTCTCAGGTAGATCACCCTTCTTAGGTAACAAGGGGAATTAATCAAACTGACAAAAAGCAGATGACACTGAAGTCCTAGAGTCCAACCCGGCTTTTCGGAGTAAATACGTAGGATTAACAGCTTTTATCTCGGAAAAGGATAAGAATCACATCGACCCCAGGATCTACGTGGAGCAATCATTCATTGATCCAGGCACCGGAAAGGAAAATCTTATAGTTCACGAGCTCGCACTTGGCTCCAACGTCGATACAGATTATGACTACGTATTCAAGGATTGTGTGGATGAGCATCCTGTATTCGGGAAGAGATCTTTGAGGGTTCGGATCAAAGCTGTACGTGCCACCATACCTGATGATTCGCAGCCTAATGTATGTTGACGTATGATTCAAAGCTGAATGAGATGACTTTCGAAAGTTACATGAAAGCCGCTGGATACTACGGCTACGACCGCACGGAATATGCTGTGGTTAACAAGTATATACTCGACAATGGCCTGCCATTGTCAATAAACATCCCTAACTGCATGAATCAGCAATTTCAGACTGTCTCCTTTGATGCTGCCGATCTTCGATTGTTGCTGGAGGCAAAAGAGAAGATCAAGGATAAGAAGCAGGTATCTTCTATTGACGGTGGACTGGAGTTGCTTACATTGCGTGTTCATGGTCTTGGAGAGATTTCTGAATGTCAGCAATATCTGGGTGCTTTGGACATTCGAGTTGTCTATACACCTTTGTGATTTTAAGTAATTGTTAAACCGATTGATGGGAGCAGGACATTCATTCTGTAGCTTTATTTTGTTACTTGACCTTGTTAGCAGATCATTCAAGAAATCACAGGAATGCATAAGTCTTGATTACTAAAAATCTCAAGCGGATCTCCAAGGTTTCTCAGGTAGGTGACCTCAGGCAGACTGAACAAAGGGCGAGGTGAGTTTAAGATTTTAAGGTTGTAACCTTAATCCCGTACCCACAGTGCTACCAAAATGGAGAGTGCTGGAAGTCGGATCCAGATAACATGTCTTTGTCGTGGTGAGGGCCAGTAAAATAACAGCAAACAGTCTCACTTCATAGCTAAGTATACGCCTGGAAAACTTGGAACTAACCTAGCTAAGTGAAATCAACTGAGTGTCACATCGCCATGATAGTCCTGTTATCATCATCACTGATAGAAGTCACAATACCTAATCATTGGGTATCGATGGGCGTATAACATCTACTAGTAACAATTTCATGGAAAAGGTGTGACTCAGGTGCCCTAATCAGGTACTTTAACAAAGATGACAATATTCAAGGGAAACTGAATATTTAGAAGGATGATGAAGTTCCCTTCTGAACGTGGCGTGCAAGACGAATAGGCCTGAGTCTTATCGAAAATGTATTCCCGCACTTCGATGATGCATACAGTCAGGTAGGTATGCAGAATAGCAAAAAGCAAAATCACGGAAAGTAGCGATTGGAGTCCGAAGATAGTATGGCTGAAATAGCCATGCAGGAGGAGCTGCGACCGTGAACCGATACTGAAGGTTGGAATATCAATGGATGTAATAATTGATTCCTTGGAAACAGTCAACGACCCACATCCACTAGAAGCCGATCATCTTCCGTCCTGTGACAATGTCATGAACATGTTTCTGAACGCTCTGGAACTTCATGTAGGCGCAAGTTTCACTTTCCAGATGATTGAACAGTGCGGCCAATGTGACGAACTCCTTCGGACATTTGAAGTTTGGGCAATGATAAACCTGTTGTTTGTGGACTGGCGAATTCAGATGCTGAGTCAAATGTTGTCGAGCATTGAATTCTCGATGGCATAGATAGCACTCCCAAGCGGAGCCATTGTATGCCTGACTGGTCACCTCATACACAGTGGTTTGTTCTTTGTACCACTCAATCTGCTTTTTGGTGATGATGCCGTTCGGATCCTGACGACGGACGATTTGCAAGATCTTCTCACGGTTGAGAAAAGGAGCATTCTGACAAGCTCCACGTTCGAGGTGATGAGTTAACCCACTTGCACTAGTATAGTTGACTTTGCAGAAGGGACAGGGTATCTGGGATCCGCGGTGGATTTTCGAGTTTAAATGCTATATTCCCCAATTAGTTGCAGTATTCGCCATGAGAAAAATAAGAGCAGGTACCATTCTCAAATTATTTTCATTGATGAACTTCCTCTTGCAATCCTTGCAATAGTTCTCAAAATGACCAGTGGCAGTCATGTGTTTTTGAGCAGCACTCTCGGAGAAGAATTGCTTGGGGCAAGTCTCACAACTGTATCGTGGAGCCCAATGATCAAGAGCGTTCATGTGTTGAGAGGCTGCGTGCTGCGAACCAAAGGTTCGGTAGCATGTTTCGCATTCGTAGTCGTCGTACATTTTTTGAATATATCAGGCGGAGACAAGATACACTATGTGATGATTTAGGATTTAGATGTCTATGAAGATAGATGAAGAGAGGTGTAAGGATGAAAGTAGAAGAGAGGAGATGGGGAAGAAGACTCCTTATCTTATCACTGAAAGCATCAGGGGAAGACCGACACTTTGCCACAGACAGACAAATGAAACGCACAATCCTTTGTGTTGAGACAGAAGGCACGACTCACTTCATGTACGACAGAGAGAGTCCTTCTGAGATAGTATTTACTGTTGTTTATGGCACATGATAATTAGCAGAGCATAAGCTCTGCTTGTTGGAACGCAATACGCTATCCCTAATTGGGAACAAGTCAAGGAATCCGCTACAATACTAACATGAAGAAATTTCGAGAACAAGATTCACATACTGACGAGATATAGACATATCCAATCAGCTTTATGTGCCTATGTCTAGAAATTTCGACTGGATATCATCACATGATCTAGTTTGTACAGGACCTTACATATAAAAGAGGTCAACATTCCCGACAAGTTTTATAGTATAGTGTCAGCAATACATGAAAATTCCTAGCTCCAGGTTCTTGTTATTTGCCTATATTCCGTATTCATCCTAGCGTAACCGAGATCAAGAATCAAAATCTCTACTCTTCTTTTCTGCTTTCTGATTGGTCAAAAATCTTTATCACGTAATCAGCCAAGCCGCACGAGCTTACGCTCTGCTACGATTTCGGTGGATAAATGCACCGTAGAGACCTTGTATACAGTGTCGCAGTCATCAAGAGAGCCGATCAAATAAAATCCCGTTCCATCCGAAGAAGAAGCGCGCGAACGTCGTCAATCTGCATTTTCAATGCCCGCGAATTCCCCTGCGACGAAGCACCAATGAGATCCGTCAGAACACTCTGAAACTTCGATGCCCCATCCTCAGAACTGCCCTGAATCTGGCCGGAGACATCAACATCAATACTATTGTCTGCGAGATTCTTGGACCCCACGACAAAGATCAAATTGTACTTCATCGACTTGGCGCGTTGGATCTTCTTGGATAATGACCGGCTGCTGCTGTCAACGTCAATCAAAAATGTCGGATCAGATGCGATAGGAGCAGGCTGCAACAGTTCAGTGGCCTCCACGTCGATGCTACGGTACCCAGAAATCTTTGCAGCCGCTTCTTCAGCTAAACGCAATACTGGCTCGTCATTCTGCACAGTCAGAATGATACCCTGGCGGGGAGATAGCCAGAACGGCCAGCGGCCAGCATATAGCTCAATCAAAATCGCCAAAAACCGCTCCAGCGAGCCAAAAATAGCACGATGGATCAACACAGGTGTGGCTTTTCCGGGAGTATTAGGGTTATAATCTGGCTCTCCTTCTGCAACCTGATATTCAAGCTCGAATCGTTGAGGCAGGTTGAGATCAAGCTGAATGGTGGATAGTTGGTGGTATTTACCATCAGAATCTTGCAGCTGAATATCAATCTTTGGACCGTAGAACGCGCCATCGCCTTCATTCAATTCCCATGGAAGACCACTTTTATCTAGTGCATGTCGCAATTGTTGCTCCGCACTATCCCAAAGCTCTAGGCTCCCGATGAAGTCTTTCTCTGGTCGAGTAGAAAGAACCAAAGTGTACTTGGGTAGACCAAATGTCTTCATCACCATGTTCACAAATGCCAATGCCAAATCTATTTCTTTCCCGATCTGTTGGGGCCTGCAGAAAATATGGCCGTCGTCCTGGTGGAACCGTCGCACTCGGGTGAGCCCACTCAGAGAACCCGAAATCTCGTTGCGATGTAAAGGGCTGAAATCTGCGTATCGCACCGGCAGATCACGATATGAATGATTCTGGGATTTGAATAGTAAACAGTGACCAGGACAATTCATCGGCTTCAACCCGTATTGCTCATCCTCGCCAAGTTCGCCTTCCGTCTCACCGGTCGCTCCCCGACCGCGTACCTCGTACATGTCATCCTTGTAATTTTGCCAGTGTCCGGATATTTCCCATAGCGACTTTTTATATATGTTGGGCGTGAGTACTTCGCGGAATCCATATTGTCGGTATTGTGCACGGAGAAAGCCGATTAGCTTGTTGATAATATGTGTGCCATTTGGGAGAAATAGAGGTGATCCGGGGCTATAAGATGACGATGTAAAGAGCTCTTGCGCGGTACCCAGTACACGATGGTCCGCGGCGGGTGTGGAAGATTGTATATTTGACGGCGCATTAGTGTTATTAGGTCGGGATAAAGAGGAGCGTGCAGAGGAATCGTGTTGTCCGGGACGAGTCAAAGAATTAGAATGACAGGAACAGTACCGTACACCAGCTGTAGAGGCTACTTCTGGAACTATCCGACATCTAGACCATAGTATATTAGTCTTAAGACGCTGCCTGCGGCAGACGAGGGCTGTTGGTCGCATGGCTGGTTGCTTTGAAGCTAGACGTTGGAGATGCTCGTTGGGATTATTTTTGATGTGGAGCCTCAGGCCGCCAAGTATATGTTCCAGGAACCCGATTGGCCAACCAGGCTAGATCAGGCGCCCATGTCAACCATATCCCGCATGTGATCCCCAGTTTGTTTTTATTTACACGAACCATCAATCTTCTCTCCTCGTCAAAAGCATATTCAGGAAAGCATTTTGGCGAGATAATGCTATGATTATGAGACTACACTACCTATAATTCAAGATGATTAGACTTGCCTAAAAACCTTGAAAATCTCTATATCTGCAACCAGCTCAGTGAGCTCCGACATCGCAAATGGCATCTAAAAAGATCAATGTACCTTTGGACGAATCCTGGGTCGTATCAGAATTTGAAAATTCAAATTACAGTCAATCAGTTATCGTTGAAGGCATCGAAGCGGCATCTGCATCTTTTCCAACCGACAATATTTCCCCAGTATCTTCGTTCTCGGAAAGTGACTTGATTAAGGAGTATGAGGATGAAGAACCCGCTGTTGCTTTGCCTTCTTCGCCACCAAATCCTATTGAATCTACCGCTACATTAGCTTCCTCGGTGTCATCAGGACCAGAACTGATAATGCCTTCAATAATGTTTGACACCCACAGTTCAGATCATGGGTCTTGGGTCATTCCTCGCAAGCGAAGTATACGATCTCTTTACGAGAGTCGTAAAGCACCCAGAATACCCAAAGCACGCAGTGAAGCATCTAGTCAAGAACGAAAAAAACATCAGGCAAGTAAAAAAGAGCCTCTACCTGCAACTACACCCTCTTCAGACAAGAGTGCGCGAGATTATTTTGCGCAAGTGAAGGGTTACCTCTCTGAAGATATAAATCGATATCAGCTTCTCAGAGTAGTCCTCAACTCTCTTTTGGTGCTCATGACAATGCACCTACTCATATTCCCAGAATTGTTTCATCAGATGCCGGTCCTTTGCAAAGTGCCCGGGGCTCCCAAGGTGTATAGTCAGACATGTACGAGGTCAAATCGTACTATAGCCGGAATACCCCCTGCGAGCCATCAGTCAACCGTACGCACGCAAATCCAACTACAAAACTACCTAAATCAGACAATACAAGACATGGCACCGCTCGATGTGCTGTTTAAAGACACTGATATAATTCTCCGAGACATATACACAGCTATGCGGCAGGAATATGGTAGTGCACGCCGGGAAATCGAGCTCGAATTTGAAGGCGCCTGGGCTGCGTCTCGTTCCATCAGCCGGACCCTAATAAGTTTGAAAGTGGATATGAAGTCTACTGTCGACGGATTTCAAGCGCCAATTCATCGACTAGAATACCTCAAAGGGGCAGCAAGGTCAAGTCAAAAAAAGGCAGACAGTATATTCATTCGACTTATGGGTCGAGAAAAGTCAGCCTTCGAGAACGAGGAGGAACCTGGCGATATGGCCATGAATCACTTTGGTCGTCTGAGCCAAGAATTGGACACGTCTATCGCTCACCTGGTTCATAGAACAGATAGAGTTTTAGTTCACCTGGCTAAACTAGATGACCACCTTCAGTCGATCCAGAAACTCGGTGTACGCGAACAATATCGTCTCCATCCGAAGCCCACAGACGGAAATCGAATACAAAATATGTTGAATTCTCTGAGTGGATTTATTCAAGGGCCGAAAATATCTGAATCATTCAATAGCGAGGAGCAAGAGAATATAGCACTCGACCAATTGGAGCGGCTCGTGTCATATCACAATTTTTTGGCAGATGTCGTTGGGAGATTGGATAGAGAGCTGAAAGCGTTGCAGAAACTCCGCTCTATTCGTACATGATGCACCTCGAAGCTGAGAATATAAGATTGAAAGGTTCATTTGATTTTCACCCCTATCTTCATTCACCATGATACCAATGTGTTATTATTCATACTCGACGACCTGACGATGTTATCCTTTTATTGTCTTCTTCAGAACATACCCCTGTATCTTATGTACCAGAAATAAGAATGAATATACTTACCACAAGGCCCCTTTTTGTATGAAATACAGTAGACCCTGGATATAATAATGAAGAAAAGTTCTTAGGGTCTAAATCAATATTCCAGAGGCGAGTGTGATTTAGAGATGAGGGGCAATCTGATATAGTACCCTATTTGGTATTGATAATTACAGCGCTCTTCGGTTCTATACCATATATTCCAAGATGAGATTAGCATAGATATGGAGAGGCCTTCCTTTCGTTATAATCAGGCTATACTGTATCCCGCTTCTTGAGGACTATAAAAATTATCGGGGTTAGGGTTAATATACTTCGTACCGAGTGATGATCTCATTCATCATCGTGAACCTTCCATGGAGCTCCACTCCGAAATACCTTTTATCTTTAAAAAAAAATTATCTCTACGCGACAACTCCAAACAATTCTGCGAACTTGCGAACAATATACATAAATGCAGTCTTACTATATAAACAATTACACGCCGCCCCAGGGCTACGAATTAGGGGAACTTCCGCGGCCTGAAATCGAGAATGTGATGGAAGTTCTCATCAAGGTTCACGCTGCTAGCGTGAACCCGATTGATGTCAAGATGGCTGGTGGAGCGACGAAGATGATGACTTCGTTCGAGTGAGTTGAGTCATAACTATCTAGTGTGCACTGATAATGGAATGATCAATTCATTGACTCGACGCGACTCATTAGGTTCCCGTATAAGCTTGGATATGACTGTGCAGGGACGGTGACAGAGGTCGGGTCCGGGGTTACGCGCTTCAAGGTCGGTGATGAAGTTTATGTTCGTCTCCCGGAGAGCACAAGGGGTATGTCAATTGCTTCGATCAATGTTACTTGGACTCTTCGGCCACGGGTGCCAGAGTTAGACCCGTAGCTAACTGGACTGATAGGTTCCTGGAGCGAATATGCAAAGGCTCCCGAAGAAGTCATTTCCTTGAGGCCGAAGAACGTAACGTTTGACGAAGCGGCGTCCCTTCCTTTAACGGCATTGACTGCATATCAGTCCTTGAAGCGCGCTGGCGATTTGAGCGGAAAGACAGTTTTTGTTCCTGCTGGATGTGAGTAAAGTTATTTACGGAGAAAATATCCGCGTGTGCTGATTGTATCATTAACGTATAAAGTGAGCGGTACCGGCGCATACTGCTGTCAACTTGCGAAAAACGTCTTCAAAGCCGGAAAGGTGATTACAACGGTATCGACTGGGAAGATTCCCAAGGTCCCAGAATTACTTGGTGAAGGCGTAGTTGATCAGAGTAAGCACTTTGTATAGCATCCAAAAAGGTCGTTCTTTTGATTGACACGATTCTACCTAGTCATCGACTACACCAAATCAGACCCCAAGACCGAAATCCCAGCTGGCTCCGTTGACTTCATGTTCGACACCGTGGGCATTGCGATGAGTTGTCTCTCCCTCATGCGTCCGAAAACCGGTCACTTGGTATCGATCTCCACCACTCCTAGTGGAGATCATCTAGCGGAAGCTGCTAACATTCAGATGGGATTCCCCTTCCGACACATCCTCAACTTCCTTGACAGCGTACGCGTGTGGCGGTCCAATCGTTGGAATGTCAAATACGAATACATCTTTATGCATCCAGATGGTAAGGATTTGGAGGAATTAAAAGAACATGTTGAAAATTTGAAATTACGACCTATTGTCGGCAATAAAGTGCATTACAAGGATGTGAAGGCTGTCAAGGAAGCTTGTGATGTGGTGTATAAGGCCAAGGGAGGGATTGGAAAGCAAGTCATTTCTTTTGAGTAGTTAGATACCGTGTACTATTAATCTTGGTTTCTGCCTATGTCGTTCATCACTTATTATCTCAAATCAGCTCGAGAATTTATCGCAAAAAGCTGTCTATAGCTAGCTCATTGCCTGATATGGCCTAGCTCGATGCGGGTATGTAGATCTCAGCCTCAGGCATCGACTGACAGAATGCTTCGCGTTTAATTTTGAAGGGATAATTATTACATCAACTCCTCGACTCATGAGATGATTAAAAAAAGGCGCGTCCCTGATAATCTCTATTTCTCCTATATCTTCAGTGGGACTAAAGGTCCTTCAACGCGAGAGTTTGACACTGTTCTCAGTGCCGTTGCTGTTTCTTTCACTTTTCTCTCTATTGCTCAACCCTTTCAAGTTTTAGGGTTAATCATGAATCCCACTAGCAAAGAGATCATCTCTACTATGACTAAATTCTACGAGTTTATAGTCAAACTTCCATACATGGACACAACGGCTGTGCTTTATCCGCCCAACTTTGAGAGTGGTGAACAGCAAGGATGGCCTGATATCAATGCAGAGGAACTGCGCAAGCGTGGCAGGACAGAGGGCACCATCACCCTACTTCGGCATCTACCATATCTACGAAAACCCACAACTAGAAATAGCAAAAAAGGATGGATGATAGGACCAAATACTCATGCGATTGCTTACTGTGATGGTGAGGTTTATGATGAAGAACTGGATAAGATCCAGCCCACACCGGGACATTGTATCTGGCTGGCAAATGCAACAAACACGGAAGATGGATCAGCACTGCTGTTAGATATCGAGAGCGGTAAATGATCGTCCTAGGACCGGCATCGGCCAACTTTATTAACTGGTTACTAGGCACCGTAACCGAATACGCAGTGCGCAGCAGTCGGACAGTCTGCCTCAATATAGAGGAGTACGAGTACCTGTCACAGGAGGATCGCTGGATGGCTCATTTCACGTTACCGGCTGCTCATTTCTTTCGCTTATGGATCGACAAGTATAAAAACTTAGAGTGGATGCCTTGCTTCAAAGAAGGGGATTATGCAGAAACGGTAACGTGGTTTATCAATTCCCAAGGGCTTGAGGGTTTATTAGATGATACAGATTCGGGAGATTCCGATGAGAGTTATGAGCCTAGTTCAGAGAAGTTGGATGATGATGATTACGATAGTGAAGAATACGACCCTTACGAGTTCAACAGCGAGTATGAGAGTGATGGTATTGACGATATCGATGACATTGATGATATCCCGGTTGATGAAGATACGCTGGATTCTAAAGTTGCGGAACTCAAACTTGACGATGGTGAGGATTCAACGCACGGAGTTAGGAGCCAGGCGTTTGACAGACTCGGTCATGAGATTAGGTCGGGGAATAGCAAGCTTCTGACTACTGATAAGTCCGCCCTAGAGGCGAGAGTGCATGTATGTTGAGTTTGGACGAACTGGATTGATTTCTTTTCAAAACTGACAGCAGTAATAGGAAGCACGATCGATCTACATTGGGAATGGCTGGCCAGATTCCTTCAATCGCGATGAATGCCAACGCCAATTGTCAGACCTTTTGAAGCAGATAACCAATTCATCTTGATTATGGTTAATCATTATTGCTAGTCTTTAAAAAGGAGCAAGAGTTTGGAAACGATCAAATAGACTTTATTCCTTTCAGGAGTGCGTATAAGTCTTGCAAGATATGACAAATATTTACTTATCAATGAACAAGGCACAGCTATTTACATATTCCACACTTATAAATCGGCTGATATGTTCAGTCAAGACAACCAAAAGTATATACTAGAAGTGAAAAATGCTTTCGCACTTATTCACCTAGAGGCAGTACGACTCCTAGATTTAGGAGGATGGACCACCGACGGTGATGATCAAAGCAGTGGGGTTAGTTGTGACGAGCTCACCAGAGGCATTCTCTCCATCAGGATTGACATCGTCATAAGAGAAAGCATAGCCCTTGCCGTCAACCTCATTCTCATGCACGAACTTGCTGTAGTAGTTGCATGGAGAAACAGTGTAGTAACTGTCAGCACCAAGGCTAGGCTGGACATCACCACCAGACAACAAAAGGGTTCCACGGTTGAAAGCAGCGCAGAGACGGGGCACGATGGCAGCGTCAACAGCGTTGCCGGTAACCGCGAAGGGACCACTGTTACATCCGAAGATATCGGCGGCAGATGGCTGGGCGAAAGTAACATCACTTCCTTGGCAGGTGAGGTGAGTGGAACCTCCGGACGTGCAGGTCACGTCGCCGGCAGCAGCTTGGGTGTTGATGGTCAAGGGGCTGGAGCTGTACTTGGAGTAGACCTGGGAGACATAAGAGGTCCAGTAGTCGGAAAAGGCGGACGAATCGGTGCTGACATAATCGTTGGGAGAAAGCACACGGAGATATTTACCAGAGGTGTCGGTTTGGCAGAGACTGGCCCATGGGTAACCATCAGAAGCAGTCTGGGCGGCAAGGGCTGTGCAGATGGTGTTCACGGCATCGGATTTCAAACCTAAAGCAGTCTGCACAGAGCCATCGCCGGCTGTCACGGACATACCAAGGATCAAGCCGATGAAGTCAACGTAGCTGATGTTGGTGTACAATCCACCAGCGGCGGTGTTGGTCAATTCAATGAAGCCCCAGTTGGTGTTAGCGCTGGGGTCGGATGGGTTGGTGGCAGAGGGCTGGACAAGGCCAACACCACCGCTGCCGTTGCTCACAACGAAGAACTGAAGAGTGCCGACAGCCAAGTAAACACGTCCGGAGCTGATGTAATCAGGGATGGTGATAGTGGTGGTAGTCCCTTCAGCGCCGATAGGAATGCCAATGTTGGCGGTGATCTGGACCGGGACAGCAGAGGTAGTACCAGCAGGATAGTAAAAGCTCCCGTCAGCTTGCAAGAAAACCACGTTGTTGTTCGAGTCAAGGCCACTGATGTAGGCGTTGACGGCCCCAGAGCCTGAACCAGCCAAGTTGTTCACAATCTGCAAAGGAAGTGCTCCGGAGCTGGCGGCAGCCATTAAGTCCTCGTTCTTGCTGCTGCTGGTGCCCTTAAAGGTACCATTGAGGGTATCCTGGGCGTTGATGATGATGTCCTCGGGTCCTCCGGGGGTGACCTGTACAGGCTTGGGAAGGTTTTTGACGGGACTGGCCAGAGTTGGGCCAACCATCAAAGCGGTAAGCACCGCTGTCCATTGGATCAAGCCTCGCATCACGAACTATCCTTATGAATATGTATATATCGAGACTTGTATATAAACGGACGAATATGTACAGGGGTGTACACCTCCGAGATGCTATCTTTTAAAGGAGAGTATAAATCTTTCCGAAGGAATGGAAGGTTGGAAAAGGAGTGAATGGACAGCTTCTTGAGATGTTTGTTCCAAGAAAAAGATATTCCAGAAAGGGACACTTGACGTTATTTTATACCCATTTCCATTGGAATAGCATCCCTTTTCGATCGCGCCGTTCACGTCATGCTCAGGTTACAATCGACCCCTTAGCACGTTGGTTTATGACCAACAATTGGCATTATGCTATCTAACTGCACGATTAGCTTTAAGGAGAAGAAAAGTCTGGATCACTCTGGGAACCCACCAACCATCCTTGTTACTTAATACAGCCAGTAAGGAAAGGGCCAAACGGCATTATTATCCTGATTCTGTCCTTTACTCCGCTCATTGCTAAGAAAAACCGGGGTCCTCGATCAGAAACGGTCAGTCACGCTCACTGATCAACCAAATCGAGCTTCTATAGGTTCCGCTGCCTGCAGGGGGCATATCAGTCTCGGCAGATAGTCACTGTCTACCTAACCATATCTTTAAACCACGTTTAGGGATTTGGGAACCCTTATTTTCCGTTCAAGGTCGCATCGTGAGCTTTATCTAACTCGCGCCAGGGGATCCACATATTTCCTCCATCCGTTTTATAGTCTTAGCCATGTTCCTCCCGATTGGCACCATCACGCTGACTCAGCCTTATTATTGTGTTTTTTAACTATACGCATATCGTTCTTCATCTCGGTAGATTCAAATGGTCTTTTCAATGTTACTTCTAATTGCCGTAAGATAAAAATATGACAAGAAGCGTGGCTAGAATAGAATTTTCTGGGGTTCAGACAACCGTCCATGGAAATAGTATGGTCTCGGGCCTGTTCCGAAACCATGGATGAGATACCTGTCAATGAACAATTGAGATGGAGAGGTGCTGGCTAAAGAAAACTTGAATATGGCACCTGACTACATATCTAGTTCGGATGTACATTCACGTTGTCATTAAAACCATGGCATGCATGTAATCTTTTAGCTTCACGTATAGACTTCGAGGGTAGCAATACTACTACTTCAACAGCGGGTTTACATGAGTTAGTTAACGTTGACGTTAACATAAGTTAGTACACACGTATTACATAACAGAGTCGACAGTCACTCAAACTACGGCACTACTTTTAATTTGCCCTAAATTCTTACATCTCTTAGTCCAGACTCTAGTGCACCCCGCGTTACATGGTGGCTGGCGCCACGAACGCCACGGGTAGCAACCAAGAGTCGGGATTATTGGGGATAATTGCTTGGTGGCACTTCCTACGGTTAGATGAATGTCAGCATCAAAGCAAAATGACACGCATAGGGAGTCTTAAGTGCACGATGCTTATTATGCTCCGGGATTAGGAAGGTGTTCTGAGTAGTCTCCTCGTTCGTTGCTAGGAGTTAGCAATTAATTGCGGATCAGCTCAAATTTTGGGTTATGTAATGTCATTTGCTAGATTCCTACCATGGAACCGTACCCTCAAAATCAGATTCTGCATAGCTATTGGCTAGAAAATTCTCCGGGGGTTTTCTATGAAATAACCAAGCCATATTTTGGTGAAGTCGGGCCTCTACCTTGTTAAGATCTTGACACCTTCAATCTCCTTCAAAATGCAAATTTAATTCGTATTATTGCGCCTATATATAGCCAAAACAATAGATAAAATAGAGTCGAACCTTTGTTTAGCGAGCGTTTCATGCGGAGAACGGGAGTACAAGAATAGCAACAGCTGTTTATTGACTGTTCGACATTGAACCTAGACCGTCCAAACTACGGTAATAAACGGGAGTCAGGGCCCATGTAAATACTACTCTCCTGATGTTACAGCTTTCTGTCTTTGCACTCAGGATCAAGTCGCAGGAAACACTGATGAAAACAAGATATTAATTAAAACTTTTAGTAGAACCTACGCAAGCCTCTTCACTTATTGCTCCTAATTATGGAGTATGTTGCAGCGTGTTTGCTGCTCTGGGATATTCGTGAATTGGGAAATTCTGTAGTATGAGACTCACTATGAGTACTACGGGCGATCACGTGTGTAGTTTTCTCATCTGATGTGATGTTACAGACTATACGGAGTAGACTCTGTTTAATTGGTGATCATCATCGCTGGACCCCCATCCTTCGAGTTTCTTTGAAGCAGCTGAAAGTGGTCCATAACAGATAGAGCCCAGAAGCCGTATTCTACTTATTCAAGATTCAGATGACGAAAATTAAAATTAGCCTTGCTTAGTACTTGCAGATTGCAACACGGCTAACCGTGCTAATTTCACTAGTCAGTATCAGCAGAAAAGTGGGCACACCCTAATGCCTGTTCTAGTTAACAGTTTCGCTTATTGTATTGGTCGAGACTCGAGCTCAGTGTATGACGGATAAATATTAACTAAGTTAGTACAGAATGCGAAGTAACCTGGACCCCCGACTTTGTAGTTAGTCCGAATGCCGGTTGAGAAGGTATATTGAGTGATGATACATAGATAGATTTCGTATGAGTATCTGAGAATGTTCCCATAGTCAGTCACGATGCTCAAGTTGCGACCCTGCAATGGTGGTATCCATGGATATCTAGATTGAGCAGAAATAATGCAAATTTTGAGGATTTTCGGAAGATAGAACACACTTCAGCTGAGAAGACTAACAAAGGAAGTGGAAAGAAAGTCCAAGATTCTAGGACGCTCATTGGCCGATAAAGAGATAAAGTTGGGCTAACCCGGCTATTCCCGATCTGGTACCAAGATTCTAAGTTTAGGGTTGGGGTAATATCTTCAACTGAACTTCCAACAAATGAAGAGACTTAAGTGACTCATCCACTTATTCGTTGACTAGCTTCAGGTGGTATAACTATTCCTCACACAATGACATCCATTACCCATAGTAAACAGATCAGTGGATAGCGATTACCAAGGCTCTACGGCGTTCGCTCTAAAGAAGATCAAAAAGCATCGAAATCTACATCGTCAAGGCTTTCCTACATTGAGATGTTGATGTTCGTCTATCCTTTCAAGCTTGAAGTCTGTCTTGGCATTTTTATTCAGGATGAAATCTTTATTCAAATATCCATTCAGGAGGGAAACGGAGCTTAGTAATTGACACCTCCGATCCCGATATGCCTTGTTCAGAGATCAGATCAAGCAATATTTCACCCTCCGGACCTGAAGTGAGCCAGGTCCAATAGTTATTAGGAGGAGTCTTTGGGAAAGACGGGGCATATTATGGCTCCGAATTTTCAGAGATGAGAGCATAAATGCGCCAGAGTCTCCCTTGATTTAGGGTACAGAAATACTCCAAAGTCAATATATTCTCGGAATAACAATGTTCTTATCAGTCTGCTTACGCACTATTCTGGCAGCAGCTCTGGCAGTTGTTGACCCATTGATTGTCAACTGTCAAGCTCTTGACAAGCCTGCTCTCACTCCTAACCTCGACTACTTGGAACAGGGAAGCCTTTGCAGTCTCTCTCCAACGCAAAGCACATGGACCAAATTGGGAGCGGGCTCGACTCCCGAAGATTGCAAGACTATTGCTAACAATCATAAAAAGAATCCTGGTGATCTTGAGATCTACAGCGTCCACTATACCGATGTAAGTGGCCGCCACATAAAATAATGAAAGAGCGAATGGAAAGAGGGAGATAAGTTGTCAGCATCCAATTTCAACAGAGCGATGATGCATGGGTATTTTGTCGTTATGAGGATACACCATTTGGTTTAGCATCAACAGTCGACATCTTTGGACTCCCTGTCGCTATGCGTAGCGGGTAAGTTTGAGATATCTGTCTGTCAGAAACACGCAGAGAGTGTCCTATTGATCCAATCTTCCACCGTACAGGTCAGACACGTTATAACCATTCCAGGTAATAACGGCTGCCTACAACGCTAATGGCAATATTGTCTTATTCGGAGCTACCAGTGAGAATATGGATGTCGTGATTCACGAAACCGGACACAGTCTCGATATTCTTGGTGCTTATGGAGAACGACTGTCTGGTACGAAACTCTTCATAATAGTCATGGATGCAGTATCTCTAACTTCCTATATAGGCAGCAAAGAGTGACTTGACAATTACAACCAGGATCCCAATGTCCCCGACAATTACGCGAGGACGAATCAAGCTGAGGTCCGTTCTTTTTATCTTTTCCCAGTCTCCTAGCTCTCTAAGATTAATTTCTATCACAGAACGTCGCACAGAACACTGTTGTTGGTGTCTACGACAAGGTGGTCGCCGGTGGCTTCCCTTCTGCCCAACCTAACTGGCATAATATCTTTCATCGGTACTCAACATTGCAAAGGAGAGCCGGAAATCAGATTCTTCCTGGAGGACAATGCAATCGCCATCTTACCATCTCCACAAGCAAAGCTGCTGCTACAGCTAATGGGGCGAAGAGGCCGGATACCTCCTTCAGAGGGAATTATACCAACATCATGACAGATTACCCTGAATTTAGTACCAAGGAAAGCTGTGCCTTTTAGTTGGGGAAGTATGCCACATTGTGTATGTAGCTAGATTGACTGATATCCAATGAGTCTTGAATCATAATCGGCTTCCTGCATCTACCTATTAAGAGACACTCGCCCAAATATAAGCATAGAAGCTGTTTTTGGGGTCTCAGTGCTCGTTACGGTGGGATTCCTATTAATGTTCGGGTTTCCGGAAGCGACCGAAATCGATAGATTGGGATAGAGACATAAGAATAAAATTCTCAAATTTGTAACAAATTGGAACTTATATAAGTTGGTGGCTAGACGATAATAGTAGTAGTATTGACCTGGCTTAGATGTAACAACGTTACGAGGGATATGTATAATTACATTCGAGAGGGATTACTGAAAGTCAATGTACTGAAACCTATCTTCCGCTATCCTTGAGCATCTGCTATCTTTATAGACATATAACTTATACCAGATCTCCCTTCTCCGAATAGCTCCAACAGTCGAGGTGGAGCTGAAACCATCCTCGAACATATAAACCTTCTCCTGGTGTAGCTGAAACCCAACTTGAGACGTCATGGGTGCATTTCTTAGAATAGTGAGACCCCCAAGCCTGCTGGTTGTTACATTAGAGATTGTGTGCCTCTATGACAAGGGTTAGGGTTACAGGCAATCATTAGCAAAGCTTACGGAATTACCGCGTTTACTCGGGAGTTCCCACTTTTCTCTGATTGGCTCATTAAGATACTACGACTGGTTGAAACTTGAAAGAAACTGTAGCAACGTGACCCCTCAATTCTGATTGGTTGGCTGATACATGGCCTTGGATTCAAACATATAATTCTTCTGTCGGAACTTCAACGTAATACCATTTCACCAAAAAGGACGCCCTCAAAAAGATTCTGGTATTTTTGTGGTATTTGAGAACCGTTCCGTATTTCGACTTCTGTATTCTGCTAGTCACGTGGTTTTGGTTCCAACATTTTCATTTGGTCACATGACTCATATGTTCATGCCAGTTTTCTAAGGTGTCCATTTCTGCTTATTGACGCTCTGCTAGACTTGGGAGCGAGTACTAGAGTGTCCGACGAGACCGCCTAATGTAACTTGGAGACCATGAGAGTCCGCCTTGCACAACACCGGATTTGGACATATTCTTTCATTCGTTAACACCTATTTTTCATCGAGAGAATTGCTAGGAATAATGAAGCTGAAACTCGGTTATTGTGGTGTGATAGGTAGTAGGTGCCGGCTGTGCATATGCACCTAGTGCCAACACAGCCCACACAAAAGTTCGCCATTCAGGCACCTTTTTCCTGCGCCAATCTTCCTGGTGCACCTATTATATAGGTACTCGCTTAGCGGCATTCATTTCTATTTTTTGGCCATCAAATACGGGCGCTTATTATTGATATCCTAAGACTAATCCACCTCTATCTTTCCGTGACCTTAGTCGAGGAGGTGATATAGTCATTGTCCACCTTAATTGTCGCACATGCTAGTCATTGAGCTATTGGCATGATGACCAGACAATCTAGCTCAGAGGTGCAATACTATGAAGAATTCGGTACTTTTAAGCCTTTCCTTACTCATAACCCAATCTTTTGACCTTATCTACGTCCTTATTTATAGTATGGAAGGAAGACCTGTGAGTAAGTTAAGCTAACTGATAGGCTAGAAAACAATCGATATCGTAAGAATAACGGCACCCTTGGACATGTGCTACAGAATTTTGTATGCAAGCTACCTCCATATTACGGATTTTGCTCTTCTCGCACTGACTCGTTTGTCTACCAATTAAGCTCGATAAAAGATGCCGACGACATGTAATGTTCGTGCCCTTTACGGGACATATATTAGTCTAATTGAGGTTGCATTAATCTGCTAACATCATACAAGTTTTGCCAATGCGTCGGATTTTGAAGACCAGGGTCAAAATCCCACCGAGCTGTGTTCATTCTTCCCACCGAGCTTCTGGCGCATTGTCAAAGAAGACCTGAATGGTGCATTCGGATTAGAGAGGCATGAAGGTACCTCCGAGTTAGCTTACGGTGTGTCTCTAAACTCTCAAAAGCTGTCTAAAAGTAGTATTGACATGATTTCAGACGCATGGAGCACATTCAAGATGAAACATGTTTATAAAGAGGAAGACAGTGGAGAGATTGAATATAACTGGTCACAGGTGTCAGTCTTGACTCGCCAATCAAAGACTAAACAGCTTGTGTTATTTATCGACAGTCCACCAGCCGTTGTTGATCAAATTGTACGAGATTGTCTGCTTAACACGTCTCGTTCTGTGGGCCTTGCTAGCCATGTTTCCTCGGCCTTTCATGATCCGTTCATTTGGCATGCTTTATTGATTGGGGCTTTAGAGACCGAGTATGAGAAGGATTATTGGAATTTGAGAAATATCGTACGAGGAAGGGAAAAGGTTTGTAAGATTCTCTCTAAACTCCATTTCCATTTGAAAATTATGTCGCGGATACATTATAATATCGATGAGCTATGTGCCTAACTGACAGATATGTAGGGAAGAGATGGAGAACCAGACTTTCCATTGCTTCATGACCTTGGTCGACATTTGATCCATGCCAAGGAAATATTTGACGTTGCAATCAACACAATAGATAGTATAATGCATCACCACCAAAGTCTTTATGGCGAGTTTCGGAAGGGAAAAGCATTAGGCATCGAAGAACAGACGTCTCGAGAAAGGCTACACAATATTATTCAGGAGAAGCTATACATTTCAGAGAAGGATATGACAGCAAAAAAAGCGAGGGCTATTAGCTTGAATGAACGACATCACAATGAAATCAACTTGGTACGTATCACATCCAATCGGTAGTAACTGCTTTCATCGGATAGAAACCGTTTAATAACTAATCTCTGCTTGTCCTCAAGGGTTACCATGTGGTCACTCAAAAAGCCAACCAATTATCCATCGATATCGCCAGGATCGCGCGACGCGACAATGCCACGATGAAAGCTCTTGCTTTGATTGGTGTGCTCTATCTACCAGGCACATTCATATCTGGCATATTTGGGTCTAACTTCTTCAACTACAATCCGCCAAACAACGATGGCTCGGCAGATTGGAGGATGTCCGATAAGTTCTGGATCTACTGGGTCATTACGATTCCTGTCACCATATTTACTGTGATGTTGTGGGCCATGCTGGATGAAACAGTGATGTTGTACAAGAAATTCATTGGCATAGTGGAAGATGCGATGCAGAAATGGTGGGACGATCTTGCAATATTCAACAAACGAAGAGACGCAGAAGAAGAGTATGACATTGGCGGATTCGGGGCTAACACTGATAGCTAATTCATCGGGTCGAAAGTATGATACGTCCGAGGGTAATTACGGATGAATTATAGGTATATTTAGATAGGCTCAATGGACTGGGTTAGTTCATATTATACCTTTGGAGGTCAACGATTTATAGAGAACACACGCGTTCTTGATACATGTTGCTCATGCGCCCTGTGGAGCTTCAGTTTCCTATATCCATATTATATGGCTCATATTCAGAGCTCCTGTGCACATAAAAATACAGTGGAAGTCTTAGAATAATTTAGAATGTGGCAGCAGCCTGCAGAGACCTCGGGAAACTAATCCACTTCAATATCAACTAAGCTACAATGACTAAAATTTGATTTTGATCCTAGGATTGACTGATCCGTTTTCTAGAATGTCAGTCACAAACTGTTTCTTATCTGATCATACATTTTGATCCCGCTATGATATCACTGTCTGTTCAGGTAATCCGTAGTACGTCTGTGGACCACGATCTTGATCCCCACGGAGACGTAATTTTGGTCCTCGTTCACCTAGAGACCAATCCTGCTGGTTTTACGACTTATGATGCATTTCCAATTTTCCGAGTTACCGCACATCATTGATATGAAGCTTCTCGCAAACGTCGTGGCTATTGCGTATTCTCTCCAATTCATTGACTTTCTACGGTCATTCTTGAAGTTGTCGGGGACTGATGCTCTGAATCAATTTCGGCGCAACTCAATTCTCGGCGTTGATGAAGACATCCTCTTGAGAGACACGATTGCGTGTACTTTCATTTCCTGGAAATTGTCCTTATCCGACGAATTTCACATAGTTATCAAAGCCATCATGTTACGCGCTAGACACCAGATTGGTAATCTGGGACTACCTATTGCTGAATCCGTAATCGGTTTGTTCTATACCTCTCAATCATTTTGCAGCCATTCAAATAATGCTTACTTGACGCCTTGCTAGATACCATAAACCGCAGCGAGAGAGCATACTCACACTACTCATTGAACCTTTGAAGATCCAAGTTCTCGATTTGGCGAGGCGTAGCTTGTACGCTCTCCGGCAAGATCCACATGCATCCATCCGTGGATTTCGAGCAATGGCCCAGTATGTGAGGAATGTGCTAGGATTGGGCCGCTTGCTGCAGTTTCCTCAGAGGCCTTTTATCGGTCATAATGTTGCTCTTGCCGATCGATTTGACATGTTGTTTGTCCATATCCCTGGCTTGGACATTGACAGTTTTTAGGGTTTTCCCTCTCTTTCACACTCGAATGAATCCTGAAGGCAGTGAAGGTTTCGGTGCGTGCACGCAGGCTCAGAATGGCATCAAATTGGTAGCAGGATATAACAGAATGAATCTTAGAGGGACATTCATGATTTGCTTAGATATCGCGTAGTTCATATAAACAGAATGGAATAATTGATTTATAGTTTCTGCTTTTTAAGGTTAAATCCGCCAATCTGAAACTTTCCCCGCATTTGTAGCGCTCCTCCGCGTTCACCTTATCTCGCCCTCTCTAACCCAGGGACTAGATGCTTCGGTTTTCTGTTTTCGAGTAGCTCTCCTTGGACACTAGCCGCTCAATAGCCGCTCAATAGATAGTCCTTGGTTATCTGCACCCAGTGATACTTTCAGTTAAGGTACGCGATACTGTACACCGATCCGATATATCGAATTAGATACCACCAGACCTTCTTTACGACCTTCAACAGCGTACCTAGGTACCTGTTCGTTTCCTACAATACCAAATCTTGAAATTATTGCTTCACCATGGCAGAATCAGACCTTCCGGCCTCCTATGCCTATCTTCCAACGAAACACATCAAACTCTCCCATGTCCCGGTTAACTGCCCAACTGTCACAAAAGTGGTCGTAATAGAACTCAATCGACCCACAAAGCGCAACGCATGGGTCGCTGAAATGGCCAAAGAACTCGAAACGGTCTACAAACTTTTCGACATTGACGACCGTGTCCGCGCAATCGTCCTAACTGGATCCGGAAGCACGTTTTGCGTGGGAGCAGATCTTGAAGTCGGCTTTGCAAGTATAGCATCCAAAGATGACAAAGACCCCGCACCTTCGAGAGATTATCGCGACAGTGCGGGGTGGGTGACCATGGCAATGCACAATTGTCGGAAATCCACTGTTGTTGCTATCAATGGCTCGGCTGCTGGTGTCGGCATTACCGTGACTCTTCCGGCTGCTATTCGAGTTGCATACAAAGATGCGAAAATCGGATTTGTGTTTGCTCGTCGTGGGTTGATTATGGAGGGTGCATCGGCTTTTCTCCTACCAAAACTAATCGGACACTCGCGGGCTTTGCATTTGGTCACTACCGGTGCTGTATACCCTGCCTCACACCCTTTACTGTCAGACTTGTTTTCGGAAATTCTTCCTTCACCGGAGGCGACTGTTGCTCGTGCCTTGGAGATTGCCACCGATATTGCTGAGAATACATCCATCATTTCCACGGCGATCATGCGTGATCTCATCTGGAGAAGTCCGGGAAGCGCTGAGGAAACGCATTTATTGAACTCGCGCTTGATCTGGGATATGTTTGGTAGTGCGGATAATATTGAGGGTACTAAGAGCTTCTTTGAGAAACGTAACCCCGATTTTAAAGGAACATTCAATAATAAGGATGATATACCGCCCGATTGGCCGTGGTGGAATGCAATTAGCTTTGAGAGAACGCCACGAAAGTCGCGATTATGAAGCAATTGGACAGGGTGATCTTAGTAGAATGAACACTTTGCTTATTTAGTTCTATATACCTAAGTACTAGTAATCCAATACATACATTGAAAGTTGACTTTAAACTGAATCAAGACTTCTCCAGTATAACGACCTCGGGAGTTCCCTCAATAGAAGTATTTATAATCAACAGCTCCATCGCCAGTAGTAACTCTCCGCTTATCCTCAACCTTGCCCTCAGCGATACGCTCTTTAGCCGCAATTTCGCGTCTCAAATACAACGCATGAGCCACAATCAACAGTTGCGCAACGCAAACCGAACCCAACGAGAATGAATTTCCCAAGATATACGGCGATTTGCGATAAACCTGCCCTGCAACAATTCCCGCCGTATTACCGATGGTCTGCTGCAAGCCGATAGCCACAGCACGGCGATGATGAGGCGCAACATTGACGTTGAGCCAGGCAATATTGAGACCAGGGCCCAGGTAACATGCTACTACGCAGAGGTAGGTGGCAAAGTACCTGACGGCGTCATTGGTTTTGACGGCAATCAGCAATATGTAGCCAACAATGGAGATTGCGTTGGCACCAAGGAGGAAGGGGACGAAACGTGTGACGCGGTCTGCCCACCAAGCGAGGATGGTGAAGCTAATCACGCCCCAGATGTAGACAGGTACAGTGAGTGCGTTACTTTTCAGTGTGTTGTATCCCATGCTTTTGAGGATAGCAGGGAGGAAAGTACTAAAACCGTATAGTAAAATATCCTGGCAGAATTGTGTCGCGGCACTTTATTGTCTCGTTAGTCTTCCTCGTTTTCCTGTGACAGGTCTGATGTTAACGCACCTAAAGTACAGTTTGGGATCGCGCACTTCAATCCAGAACTGATCCCAGGTAAACTTCTCCGGACCGAGATACTGTCTGGACTGCTCGTTCCGGACTTGCATCATCCATCTTTGTTCCGTAGTGAGAAAGTAGGCATTCGTAGGATCATTGGGTAATCCAAACCAGACCCATACGGCCACGACTATGCTGAAAAGGCCTTCGATGATGTATACCCATCTGTATAAGAGTTAGTCCAGAGCTGAAGAGCACCGCACGAGGAGAAAATGAGATACCTCCAACCAGCCTTTCCGGCCACGCCATCCATTTGCAACAAACCATACGCCAACAAGCCGCCCACGGCCCCCGAAAGAGCAGCACAGCTCATCAAATACGAAACCCGCTTCGCCTGCTCTTCTCTTCGATACACCATCGAGATATACAAATTCAAACAAGGGAACAGACCTGCTTCGCAACAACCTAGCACTAGACGACTGGCATATAGCCCGCCAACGCTAGTTACGAATCCCGTAAAGATAGTGGTTAGTGACCATACCACGCAAAGACCGCATAGAAGGTTACGAGGAGTAATTTTCTTCATGAGCATAGCCAGAGGTGTTTCGAAGGTGACGTATGTTGCGTAGAAGATTGACACGGCAGTGGAATACTGCGCGGCTGAAGCACCAATATCTTCTGGCATGCCTGCTACTTTGACATTTCCTATAATCCTCTGTCAGCTTCTCATTCCTTCTCTTATTGAGGCAGGGGAAGCTGTACCGATATTTCCTCTGTCCAAGAAACAAGTCAAGTAGGCAAACATGATAATCGGCACAAAATGCAGATCCAGTTTGGCCAACAACTTCTTCTCCTTGACCGGGTCAAGTTGGACATTTACCAAGTCCGAGACGGATTGTACACTTAGGTTTCCATCTGAAAGGTTTTGTGTAGGTTGCTTTTGCTTTTCGTTGATGGGTTGCATAGGAACGTTGGACTCAACATCCTCTGTATTCTTCTCGTGATGATTATCCGCCATTGTGTTTGGTATCAATTGAATGTAATACCAGGTCAAAGAACTGATAGTTTTCAATCTTTGGTTGTGACCTCTGATTAAGATTCTAGGCCTGTCTTTCACCCAATATTAACATTCTTGGGATAGTAGAATCAAAAACAGCAAAATGATACGTGGATCTTTCTCGCTATTTTATATCTCTTCTTTCTTAATAGGCAATACCAGCAAAGCCTCTGCGGAAATAAGCCGTACTCGAGCTCAACTGTAGTAAGCTACCTATCCGGCATCAACACCACAAAGCCCTGTCAAGCTCAGCTTATCGTATCCCAATTCGAACAACAGATGATCTGACTTTCATCAGACGGGGAGCTGGGCCGACCGCAGTAACCAGGAAAAAAAAGGCGGAAAGGGAGCAGTGAGGAAAGTGAAAATGGTCATACAATAGCTAATCCTACGTGCTAAGTAGATAAGTCAGGTCCCCAATATACGTATCTATCTATTGAATCCACACCTATAGTAACCTATCTCAGTAGCTATCAGCGTCAGTATAACATGAACAGAGCACGGTGGATATCATGGCAAAATGCCGACTGCCAATTGCACTGGGCTATGAATTAACTCCACTGATACGGGTGAATCCCTGCAGGCTAACTGCGGGGTGTATCATGTCCATATGTAGTAATTTTTGTACGTAAGTAGATACCTTCCTTATATGGCGGTTTGCCTCTAATTATTTATCCTCAATTGGCGGAAATTCAATACAATCTAAGATCGGTGTGTGATTGATGGTTATTTACTGTAACACTTTCGTAGACAGCGAGCATAAAGGGTATGTCAAGGCTCATAAATGAGGCTGAAGTCACTGGCAGCTGGACAGTAGAGGTTATTCCCGGCATAGGCCCCTTCACCATTTTGACTTTCATAGCCTAAGCCTCATCACCAGATGCTTTTAGCCAGGGAAAAAATAAACGTATGAAGGGTAAACCCCTCGGCACTTTTCTATCGCTGCCGAAGGATCGGCAGAGATAAGCTTATCTCATCCACTGTCTGGGCCGGTATAATTCGGCATGTCCCTCCATTCGACCGACTCAATGCTCAACTCGATGAAGATGTTTATGGCCGCGGTCTCGCAGTTCAGATATTCCGAATATCAAAAAAAAAAAACATGCCGAAAAAAAACCTCATCCTCTCCACACTTAGCACGTGGGCTATCCAGGATCGTTCATGCACGTTACTTTCGGCAATCGGGGAGCGAGCATGCGTGATTGGAATGCTTGGAAGTCGACTGGCCGTGAAGCATAAAATGATCTCTACGGGATGATACACTATCGTTCATATCCTGGAAGATTCTTATTTTCAATTGTCAATATGCTGATCACGCTAGTGTGCCGGTTTACCATTTCCGCCCTTAAGCTCATGTGAACTGCTATGGGGGTTGCGAGTATTACCTAGACTCCTCAGGTGCCCATTGCTTTATAACTTGAAATCACTCAAGAATATTATACATTTCCCCAAAGTCCTTATGCATTCCACTTCCTATCCATTCAACATACCCTGAACACATCCTGGATGTCTATTTCAACCACACCCCATCACTCTTTTCTGTAAATAATTTGCTAATTACTCCGTTGAAGTTTTTCCCATGAATAGTCACGGAGATCGACAAGTTTCAAGTGAAACGATGTTCACTCCGATTTTTCCAACTTTAGCCATAAAGCCTCGAGTTGACTTTGAACCTGAAGATTAGAAGTAACACCAAAGATCCACCAACAATACACAAAATATATGCATCGCTCATTGATCGCACCACAATACCAACCACACGGCTTTGCTCGTATTGGGGCAGGCCTCGTAGCAGCGGGCTACTTGGATCAGAAATGATGGTTCTGATAGCGGTCCTCGACAAATTGGGCAACAGCTTGCCAATACCAATGTGAGCTTTATTAAGAAATACGCTGCTTGCAATACTAATTGCGATAGCTGGCCCTCCTAGCTAGGTAAAGGTAATCCATCCAGTGCTATGCGGAATATCAGCCGGTGAAACCATGATTGAAGCAACCGCAAAGTTGAGCGGAGTGCTTGCACCGGAACCTAAGCCAATGAGAATCTCATAACCGTATACTTTGGCTAATGATGTGTCCTGGTTGACGATATAAAGCAGAGTGGCGCCTGGCACGTAAGTTATGCCCGCAAGTATGTACCATGGAACATAGTAACCGGTTCTGCGACGAGCCAACCCGATAAAATAGCAATCGCGGTGTGGAAAGCCATGAAAGGTAGCATTAGTATTGCAGCAAGGATTGCGGAGTTGGCCCTGACGAATTGAAAGTATAGATGTAAGAAGTAGACTGGAACGAGGACACAGGTGGCTGCGCAGGCTATTTCTAGGAAGAGCACAATCAAAGAACAACTAGACATGAGGAACGGAACTGGGAATTTGTGGTTATCGACGCTCGTTCCAATTGACAGAATCTGCTGAGCTAGGAAAGCGGAGAGGAGAACAAAGGCGATGACAAACAGGGCGATTATTCGTCCTGAGTTCCACGCATACTCAACTCCACCGAAAGAAATGGCCATACCAATAGACAAGATAAGGCCGCAGGGTAATACAACGCCAATGTAATCAATTTCTCCAGCTCGTCGCTTAATAGTTTGCCCTGGATGTGGGTTGAGGACAGGAAGGAGGAATAGATAGACCGGAGCACAAACGCCGCCGACGACCAGATTGCTGCATTTCGGTAATTTTAGCAATGAATCGGACTGAAAAAAACATACTGACAATACTGACAAATAAAACTCCCATATCCAAGTAGCACTGCTCAAAGCGAACGCTCCGCCAATGATTGGGCACAATACAGTTCCTGCTCCAAAGGTGATACCCGACGAGGTTCAGAAAAAGCGGCCGCTCTCGTTCCGATGTCATTTGCGTTAGAAGGGCCATGGATCCAAAATACCTATATATTTCAGTCAAAAAACGGCTTTAGGGAATATGAGCTCACATTCCAGCACCTCCCAAACCACAAATTACGCATCCCATGATAAGTGCATCCATCGCTGGCGCAGCTCCGCAAACAGTGGATCAAACAGCGAAAATAACAAAGCTCGAGCAGAAGGTCCATTTGCTGATAAATCTTGCATATACACCTCCCCTATAATGTGCAATTTAGTACAGACCTCCCTGGTAGATAACTTAGGGATTGTTGGCGCTGCTCTCTTACCATAGTAAATTCGTTCCCCAAGACGACGCCAGAAACGTAACCGGAAGCCAAGCTAGTTTGTCAAGGGGCGAAGAGTCCTTGACCACAACTGGCTGGATTTACGCTGCAATGGTGTTGTCCTACTGGCGACAACTAGGGCCCAGGAAACCCCGTGGACATCGTGGAGAACTTGGACTGTCAGATTCGTCGTTCTCCTTCTCATTCGCAATATTATCGGTAGTTTGGGCGCCTCCGTTAAGTGGGACTGATCTGGTGTACGAACTTGAGTCTATTTCAGAATTAGCGTTCGCCATGGTTTCTTTCGCGGTGTCTGCCATCACAGTGATATGTTGTTCTAAGTCTCCGAATTGCTGTTGAAAAAATCTCAGGAAGAGAACACGAAGGCTAAGCAAGAAGTTATATTGAGTGACCAGCAAGTGCTGAGTAATTGCGAAACTAGACTTGGGCTTTGAAAGATGTCAAAATATATGTTTAGATGCCAGGAGTCAGCTGCCCAGTGAACACTGAAACATAAACCGACAAACTTCAGTACATGCAAATGTGGTACTATCTTGCGTAAATTTGATTATAAATAGATACCATGTTACCTAGGTAATTTTTTATAAATGCACATTCATTGTGTCGCACACTGAAAGTTGACGCTCACTACTCCTGACTTGAACAGACAGTTAGGGCTAATCGTCCAGATTAGGCAGCGCTAGGCCTAACGCGGTAGCACAGACTCATTTCGTCGGCCGACCATTATCGGTCGTCGGATCTGTATCGTTCTTGTGACTTGCAAGTAGCTGCCGAGTAGAGAAAAGTGAGTGGCTTGTAATTATTTTAGATGTGCTGTCCTAAATGCTTGTAAGAAATGACTAGATAGTCTAACTAAACTACGAGCCAAATGAAATGAATGCACACAAAACTCGTTCAGCTTAACCAATCTCTCCAGGCATAAAGCTACTATCTGGATCCCGAATAATCTCTTCTCAGTCTGGATCAATCTCTCCATTATCATAAACAAAATCTGCTAAAGATCTGTCTTGTAATAAGTGTTCTGGCATTTGACTCTAGTTCCAATCCTCCGAAGTCTGCATCGCGAAATTGCTTGTCATATTTGCTAAATCACCACAGAGCCCGGGATAAAAAAAAAGGGAGCTCTCAATACTTCAAATAACGTGGGAGAGTATTCGAGCTCCAGCTTCAGCCTGATTACTGACTTCCACGAGATTTTGTAGACTATCCAGTGCATCTCGAGCTGCCTGCAAGCATTTTGACCGGGTCAGACCGCACGTCACGGCTCCTAGGGGATGTGGACTCCTTATATTTTGAGATTGACTCTCTGTACCAATAGCACCTGGAAAGTCGTTATCCGCACACAGACGGAGCAGGGGCACTGCTGCATCAAAGGTCGGCACAATGACTCCTGACAATCTCGTATGGGAGTCGCCCATCATACCATGTAGAGTCCGAACGCCTTCCAGCAGAGCAAGTGATGCAGCAGCTAACGCCTTTATTGTGCATTATAACAAACTGCTTATGCCCGGAAGACAGAATTTGGTCAGATCTCTGAAAGAGATCGGGCCGGAAGTTCTAGCAAAGATGCTCAAAAATGACATTGTGAAATAATTCCCGCTGCTTGGAAATTGTAGGTATACGTTCGTCCCATTGCATATCTGGTTGAAAAGCGAAAGGGGTGATAATTCTAGAAGAAAAGCACTACAAAACTTGTCGTATCGCTCTTCTGTTGCTATTACAGTGTATTCTTCGGATTCTTTGACTGAAGAGCCGTGGTTTCGCCAAAATTGAGCAAGTTGAGCTAGTAGTACGCGTTCGTTGAAGACATCTGGTGTATCGGGTCCGAGTTTCGGGGCATGATGTCCTCAATTAAACGATCGGGTAAGAAGGGTATACGATCGAGGCGTTTGACAAGCAGCTATGACAAAGGAATGAGATACCATAGATCAAAAGGATCGTGAAGAGGAAATACTCATCCCGTATGTGGATATCACAAATTGCCCGACGTAACATGCCCTTCTCAAGCTCATCGGTGCCGTTGGCCCATTTTATAGTGCCTCGATGTAAACCTATTTGTTATGCCGCACGTGTACCACAGCTAAGCGATTCCCAAAACATATTCATTCGACCTATACACAAAGACCCCAATCCGCCGAAGAGGATATGCAGTACGCGTACCAGGGAACCTCGTGAATCGAGACGGACACATATTGGTGTGAGCACATCAATGACTTCTTCGTGTGACTTAAGAATATCTGCCAACGCTACCCCTTTAATGCTGTCAATATTATAATCCCAGGAAGGAAAGAACTGTGAAGTATAGCAACATATTCTCAGGAAAAGGACCGGGAATTCAGTATCAGCAACAGATGATAGCCTGTCTAGATTCCACCATTTTTGATATTGAGTCAGGAGCCAAGGTGCATATAGAAGTTGCTCTATCCTGTAGATAAGGTCAGTAAGTCATCAACAGGAAAGACTCAGCCAGCGCACCAGTTGACTTTGGTCACGAAATATCGGACCAGAAAATCGAGTATTGGACGACTCAACATCTTGTCCAGCGTCCTGCGGACCTCAACCGCAGTCTCATTCGATATAGGCGTATCTTGAGAGCATCAGGGTAGTCACCTTCATGTACTAGCTAGACTCACAAATGAATCAGTAGGCTAATTTTTTGAATCTGTCGAAGAATCATCCCACTTTCCGTGACAGGGCCATGGTATTGAACTCGCTGCATCCATAGTAACCGTGAGTTTTAGCCAGAGAAGACTTAGACCTTTCCCGGGAAATTGCATCATTGCCCAAAACTGGGAGATGATTAGAGCTTTGAACATAGTCATTGTCAAGATGCTCGCAGTGGTCAATGCCAATTTGCTGATCCTCATCACTTCTCTTAACGGCCGGCGCCGGTGGTGTAGAAGAACAGACACAGCGTTCTGGCTGTCGATGGCGAGTGCATCTGTCACAGGGATATTGACGATTACACTATGACTGATTAGCAGAATTCCTTATAGAAGGCACCGTGCTGCGGGACCTTTTGTTTTCTTGTATAACAAGGGAGGCAGGAAGATACTTCGCGTTTCTACTTGCTTGACTGCATTGCTATTCTTCAGATTTCACGGCTTGTTCGCCAGGGATGGCATTCTGCGTATTCTGAACTTATTGGAAGCAGCGAGGTAGTTTAGTTAGAGATGTGTGAGGTGTATGCAGATCCGATGCTTATCCTGTGTGAGCCTGGCCTGTTTAGTGAGCATCCTTGAGCCGGGGCATTAATAGCGCCGCACGAATCATTTATAGCCAGCTCCAATACTCAACGTGGACTACACATATGTGAATGAATGATCAACCAAGTATATTCTTATTTGACTTCAATTCTGCATTACGCTCTCCAAATCTAATCACAAATGCCAAAAGGCTGTCTCTAATCCACCTCCATCCGTCCACAGCAAGGCGATTATATATACATTTATCGCATAGTCACCTAGTAAGTCATTATTAGCACCTCTTCCTCGCCAAAACAAGCAGCAGATAGGAAAACTTACCAACTCCTCCGAACTAGTCGGGTGAATAGCCACACAACTATCAAAGTCCTTCTTCGTAGCACCCATCTTAATCGCAACTCCAAACCCTTGAAGCATCTCACCAACTCCAAGACCCAAAATATGTAATCCAACAACTTTCTCCTCTGGTCCAGCACAAATAATCTTCATCTGAGTTGGGTTCAATTTTTTCTCTTCTGTGGGGAAAGGGTCGTAGAACATGGCTGTGAAACGGGTTGTGTATACTTTGATCTTGTCGTCGCCAAAGCGTTGACGGGCTTGGGGTTCTGTGAGGCCGATTGTGCCTACTTCCGGGTGAGAGAAGACTACGGTTGGGATGTTTTCGTAGGATAGTCTGGCGTATTTGAGTTCGGGGGTTCCGAAGAGGCGGTTGCCTAGTTGACGGCCGGCGGCGATGGCGACTGTTCATGTTAATATACTGTTTGTATAGTAATGGAAAGGATGGAACTTACCAGGTGTCAATTCGGCCTGACCTGTAACATCACCCAAGGCGTATATACCTTCAACACTAGTATTCTGGAACTCGTCCACGATAACGTGTCCACTACGGGACTGCTTAACTCCCGGAATCTCCAAGTGAAGATCCTCCACCTCTGGAGCTCGTCCAACCGCCCAAAGAAGCTCATTAACTTCAATCTCATCCCCTTCCACACCAATCAACTTCAATACCTTATCAGCACCCTTCCCATCCTTGAGCAGCTGAACTTCCTTGAAACCCTTGTGTTGCTTATGAACCTTGATACCAACGGCCTCATATCTCGCCGTCATAGTCTCCTGAATCATGGGATCAAATTTCCGCAAAAAGGTATCACCACGAATAAACATGTGTGTCTCAACACCGACCGCAGCTAAAACACCAGCTAATTCAACCGCAATGTATCCAGCGCCCACCACAGCCCACTTTTTGGGCAATTCCTCAATCTCAAAGAACCCATCGCTTGTAATACCGTGCTCCGCACCCTGAACACCAGGCACAATGGGGTGTCCACCAACAGCAATCAGAATATGTTTGGCAGTATATCTAATCTTGGTCTCGGTGCTATCGGCGGCAGTTACTTCAATGACTTTGGGTTCGACGAAACGGGCGCGTCCATGCACCAAATCAATACCTTCTTTACCCCAGTTATTCTCATACACGCCGTTCAACTGTTTGATTCGAGAGTCGCGAAAGCGCTTGAAAGAGCCGTAGTCGAATTTGATGTTTTCGGGGACGTCGTAACCGTAGTGACGGGCAGCGTGGAGCTCTTCGTTGAGAGAGGCGAAGTGCCATGTCATTTTCTTAGGGACACATCTATCCAAGACGTTAGAGTGGTCTAGTGGGAAAAGGAGAATGAAACATACCCGACATTGACACAAGTACCGCCAGACCGACCACTCTCAACAATCAACGTCTTCGCACCATACCACCCCGAAGCTCGTCGTGCACTACCACTACCACCACTTCCGCCCCCAATCACAATATAATCGTACGTTTTGGTCTCGATAGGCGCCATGGTAGAATACGACGCGGACGATGGAATCTGTCTAGACAGAGAAGCAAGACGCGGAAGTGCTGAGGAAGTTATAGAAGATTGTCTTGCTGCCACGGGTCGAGATATAGGAGTAGATCTGGAAGAATCCAGGGCTGAGGAGATTCTTGTTATTGTAGTTGTAAATTTCCTTCTGCTGACAATTGAATAGGCTTGCGACGGACGACTCGGAATGACGTGGGGAAAGCGGGCAAGCATTGATGCCGACGCGATAGATCAAGCAGAGGAGGGGTGAGAGATAAAGGACAAGAAACGGTATTTACAACGAGGGGCAGCTTCAATTGACAATTATTACCTCCAATTCGTCATAGGTTACCAGCAAGGTGTCACTGAGATGAGGGGGTCCGGCTTGCAGCTTTTTTTGCAAGTCGGCTTTGTAATCTTAGTCATTCTAGACTATGGAAATAGCTATGCTTAATCGGGGCTGCTTTATAAACTGGCCAATCATCTTATCCATAACAATTTGTCATCATTCAGCTCCTTTAGCCTCTTCCAGTCCAAGATCTCTAGACCTACTGAGTACAGACTCAACGTTATAAAATGCAAGTCCGAATACTGCGTAAATTATACTCCGTACTCAGCCTACAAACCAGCTTGCTAATAATGCGGTAAGCGTGGCCCTAACCCTAACTAAGCACCTCACCCCACTGGTGCCTTATAGTACCATATACAGCTTAGTTAAAAAGGTAAAAAGCTGCTTGTTAAAAGTAGCCAACCAGAGCGCAGGCAAGGCTTAGTGTCCCATGCCTGAATGGATTCAGGCATTCAAGCATTCTAGACTAGTTTCCTTAACTCATCTCGGCTCCAATTTGAGGTGATTGCGCCGCATTCCGATGATAAACTGGCTTACTAAAGAACTGAACACTTGTGAGATATTACTGATCCATGCCCGCTTCGTATACGATTGCTGTTTCGTCTCTATGATGTAGTAATTGTATGTACATAAACTCATGTAGCCATGACCATTCATTAAAGCAAGAGGCATTTAAAACACTTAATAAATCATGAGAGGTATCGATGATGAACATGCTCGAAAATATTGGTTGAACAATATGATGAAAGGAAGAACATTGCAAACAGAAATGCGACACACGACAGAAATGCTAGCCAAACAGATAGATATTGATCGCGGAACAATGGTGCCCAACAGGTTGAACAGAGAATAGAAAGACAAATTCTCGATGTGAAATCGAAGATCATGCCAGCTCGTATGACATCTCGTGTTGTTATGGTTGATCACGGCGCCCGCGCCTCAATTCTTGATTATAAAACTCCCGTCTCCGGCTAAACGTAGAATAGGTGATGAATGTAAGAGCCTAGCAAGCGTACACTAACCACGCAGTGGAGAAATTGTTGACGGATCTTCTAGTAGAGGACTTCCGGCAACAGCATCCAGCGCCACTGCATGCAACGCTGGCTTCTCAGGAGAGCCCATAAGGTTGTTGCGGCGACGGTCAAGAGCCCCAGAAACCCATGCAGCCACTTCCGAGTCTTCTGTTTCATTGGGAGAAGGTTGGGGAGACGGGTCGGGTGACTGATCAGATGAGGTACTTTGCTCGTCGTCGGCTGGTGAAGTCGTAGTAGGCGGCTCCATCAATGAAGTCAACCAAGGGTGTCGAAGCAGTTGCGCGTAATTCGGCCGGTTGTTAGGATTCTTATCGAGACAAGCACGTACGAATGATTTTGCATCGTTAGAAAACTCGTCAGGCAAGGTTGGCGGTTCGCCGTGTACAATTTCCTGGACCGCATTAGTAAATCAGGAAAATACTCGATAAAAAGACTTCGTTGCACTCACATGTAGTTGACTGAAAATATTATTGTACGTCTCAGGAGGATATGGATACCTTCCCTTTGCACACTCAATCACCGACAAACCCAAACTCCAAATATCGCTCTGCACACTGTAGGTTCCTCCGCCTGGAGCTCCACCCTGCTGCATGCCGCCGCCAGCTATCCGCTCTGGGGCCATATAGCTTTGGCAACCGATGTTCGTCTTTGCAATACTTGCGACGAGGTTGCCGCTCACTCCAAAATCGCAAATCTTGACTTGCCCTCTGGTATTGGCAAGTATATTGGTCGGCTTGACATCACGATGTATGATGTTGTGATCATCTTTGAGGGTCTTTAAACCCATAATAGTGGAAAGTGTCACTTTTCGTAGGACATCCTCGGGTATGCCGCCGTCGTATAATCGATCTACGGAACCTCCGTCCATATATTCCACGCACATATACACTGCACCTTCTTGAAAGAAAGCCCCATAAAAGTCAATGATGAACGGAGATACGCATCTATGAAGAATGTCCAGCTCCATGATGATCTGTGTTAGTTTCTTCTCGTCCAATTCCAATCGGATCTCCTTCATAGCCATGACGACTCCGGTCAGGTTGTCGTTGGGTTTCAAGACTGGAGATGAAACATCTTGTGACCCGGTTGTTCGGCTCACAATACCAGACAAGCCCAGCCCAGGTTTGCGTAAATGAGGCCGGCTATGTCGTACTTTGTACACTGTACCATAGTTGCCCTTCCCTAGCTCATCTAGTCGATCCACTTCGTCCAACGATATGCTAAAACTCTGGCCTGAAGAGAATTCAATGCCGTTTCCATGGATGATTGCTTTATTCTTGAAACGCAGAGTACCTGCTTTCGTATCAATGAAATCGGAGTACTTGCTGAATGCAGATTCAGTTGCGCCGTCCGATCCGGTTGCGTTGCCATCGCTTGCTGCTGGCGATGTCCTGCTAGTCGGTGATGGGGCAGTCGCATCGGAGAGCTTCAGCCCCGGTTTCAGTCGTTTAGCTGCCAATCCACTTGGTCTGGGGCTTGTGGATGGAACAGTGGGGGCAGACGCCCAATTTGGTGGATGTGGTCGTCCACCGGGAGGTAACCGTCCTGCCAACCCTCCAGTAATCGCACCAACTGGCACGCCATGGGGAGAACCGTGAACAGGACTTCCAACACCACTAGAAGGTGATCCTTGTGCTGACGAGGGAATACCACCAGTCGATGTAGTATGGGGGAGACCAGCTGGAGCACCTTGCCTCGACAGAGAAAACGCCTTCATTCTAGCCATTATGTCTTGGTTTAGACCACCGGACTGTCCGCCCAAAGATGCAATCGGTCGTTGGGGTGGAACAACGCCTCGCCGAGCAGCATTTACTTGCCCGAGAGGGGTCGATGATTCGGTCATGTTCACTTTAGATCCGGGCCGATATGACAGTAGTGATTTTGCGGGTGATGTCTCCAATGGTGACATTGGGGACTCTGGCTCTTTTTCGGAAGAAGGGGAAACCGGTACGTCCTCGACGACCGGCGTTTTCTGATCGTTTTCCATGATGAGTGTGATATCAAATGAACTCAATTCCACGGGAGATCCAAGGTATTCTCAGCGGCAAGACGCCTTGGAAGGCGCCTTTACGGCAGCCGAGGAAAATGCAGCGTTATAGTCGCCAGAACGACCAGGTAAACCAGTGATAGATCGAATATCGCTCGTATAGCAGATATAATTTTGAGGACTTTGGCACACGGTTGACTGTGTGGGTGGTGCGAAGAACACGAGTTGAGAAGTTCAATGCGGGGTTTTCAACTCTCAGGCATCGAACGGCATAAGCTTGGTTTTTTGAGCACGCACACGCAGTAACGTTGACGGAGCAGGAAAAATGCCGATAGGCGGGAAAAGCAAGAACGAACGGTTTAGACGATTCTGTCACAGTTTGCAACCATGGGAACAATACTCGACGATCAGACAGAGCAAGCAGCAGCAAGACAAGTCAGTCCAAAGACGGCGACGGGACAACGAATGTATTCGACAGTGAAAGGAATTCGAGATCAAATATCAGGGCAGAAGGAGAGGACACTCGAATACTAATCAATGCGAAGGTGGGGGAATGACCAGAGAGTGTGTAAAGAAGAGTAAGCAAGAAGTAAGAGGAAGGGTAAGAGTTGGAGATGCTTTACCCAGCGATTTTAGTTGGCAGGGGAAGGCGCGGGGGGGCAAACTGCGAAAAAACGGGGCCTCAGGCAGAGCAGGCAAAAAGAGTCCCGCGGATATAGGAAAGACGTTGCCGCCGCCCGCCCGTGGTACATTTCATCTATCTATTGGTTGAGGTTCCTATGGTGCCTTGAGTTAATAATATCTCAGCATGATGAAGATACGTATCAACTGTTGTCTATCTAAAATTATGCAGTTATACCGCAGCAAGAGAAGAGTGGCGAAGGGAAAAAAGGTCTGCTCCAATGACAGCGGCGGGTTCCCGGCAATTCCGCCGCTTAGAGTCATCACGCATAAAAAAGGACATGAGTAAGCTGGACTATATAGTTCGTGGGATATTTGATCATCTGTGTAATACTGGTCTCAATTCCATTCCAAGGCATATTGTACCATACACGAACTATGTCAAGTAGGTACCAGATAAGATCAGTGGCTCAGAATTCCGATCAATTATTGTAGCACATATCGCGGGGTCTGATTGGCGGGTCGCCGACCCCGCCTACCAAGTCGTGCTCGTAATCAATAAGTTAGACTATCTAACAGAGGTCAAGACAATTGAAACTTGATTGTGCGATACACCATTCATCCTGTCGCCATTAAGCGAGACAGGAGTATGTTTCCTTCAACAAACTGCAGATCATGACGTCGCCTAACGTACATGGCTGTTCAATCGATAACTAGCTGCTGATATGCTCAGATCTGTGTGTGGCTTTCAGGGAATTGACACATGTGGCTTGACTCGGGATCTCCAAGGGTATGACGCGAGAGTTCGCTCCTTTAGAATAGAAAGTGGCTTCCACATACATCCTTTAGGGTTATTATCTTAGGGTTGTGGTTTATCAGGCTAGGGTATGCTCTAGAGATCGGTTACGCTGGCCGGCAGCACAACTTAACCAATCCGAAAGCACGCCCATTGCTTGATCGGAATCAATAGCTAATAGAAAATTCCCTGGACCATCTATAACGGCCTTGGTGCTAGACGCGTGCGATACATGTGCAGCAAATGGGGCCATATCTGGATAGTGGCACTCCGATCTACGTAGTCGTCGCGTGAGAGGTCGCACATAACGGTATAGCTGTTCTTGAATGTTAGCGCGAAGCTCAAGAAGATTCTTATAGCGGACTTACACCCACCACCGCCAGCCTGAGCCTCCTCCAGACATCACATATCGATCCCGGCGGAGATTGTAGATGAGACGCGCAAAGGAAAACACGGTGATTCCGGCCGCGACGGGGAAGTCCCAGCACGTGAGAGTCGATGTAGGTCAGATGTAGTCATGTTTGGTCCACTCAAGCATACCGATTGGATTTCCGTGTTCAGCTCTCATGTTAATACGAGTCGACGGCATGCCACCGGGGCGTAGCAAGTTAGCAAGTACAACGACCAATGATTCTCACTGCTTTTAGGCCCGACTGGACCTCGGGTATTGTGAACATGGATAACGGGGGTTCGGTCCTCTTGAACTACTTGTGGAGGAAGCAAAGGTGCCATTGTCGAAGGTCAAAATGAAGTTGACCCCTGTACTAGGGTCCAGCTTTCTCTTCGATTCACACGCAATCTATCTGCACTGCTGCAAATTGAGCGACTGTTGAAATTGGAGTATGATGTTTCAACTACAAGGAACGGGCGATGGCAGCGCTATAGCGGTTCGCGTGAGTCTCATAACCCTACTGCCGCCAATGGCTCCATTACCGGCTTTGAGTAGCACACAACATCTTGACCCACGAGGTCATGGGCAAATACGTATGACAGTGCAAAGACTTTGAGAGACGGGGTCAGGTCCCTATTGTCCAATCAAGAATACCCGACGCACGTGGTTCTGCCTCCTACCGCCTCAGATGTCCCCCCTTTTCTCACGATATTTGACTTGTCTAAGTCTTCTCTGGAGTCACATCCTTGATAATTTTCTCTCACTTGTCCTTCTGATTCGAATTTTCCACAGCACTGCTTTGGATTCTGGAAGCATAGCGTACTTCTAACAAGCCTCCGTGATCGCCTGTTGTGCAAACCCATCGTCTACGAATACTGTTATCCCACATGAATAGCCCGTCGTCAACCTATCCGACAATGATATTCTGGTCCAAACCAGAATACAGAACCTAATCAAAAATCAGCACGGGCCTCGAGCGACCTTTCCTAAGTGCCTGCTCCCCCCCAATGTTAGAATGGCCAACGGAATGGTAAGAACAAGTTCCGAGAGAAGCATTGCCCCCGCAACCAACCTCACAAACGTAGCTCCAACAGTTAATGAACAGACGTAATATTCACATGGTTAACTGCAGAGTATGCATTCGGCCTGTCCGGATTCTTCCACACATGCCGTAGCTCTGACCCATGTTGCCTGCCCCTGGGGAAACATATGCCAGAGAAGTCATGTAACATATTTCCTGTTGGCTGGCGTATTTTGACTTGTAAACGCGAATTGATTCACTGCCGTTTCCCTTCTCCCTTTAGTTAGCTCCATGCTGAGTGTTCCTCTGGGCAACATTAGTTCTTAATCTTGTGTTCTTTCGTGTCAACAACTTAACAATCAAAAGCGTAAGTCATCAGATCTTGTCCTAAAATTATCCGTGCCTGAGATCAATTTTGCGCAGTTAACTGGGTAATTACTGACCGGTAGAATGATCCCGACTAAATGTCGATAGTATATAAAAGTAGTGAATCAATATTCGCCATGCCAAACACTGGTGATACAGTTGGGGATAGCAATCCACCATCGGGATCCGTGCCTTTGGTACAGTGCGGAAAATATATTCATCCGGACCCAAAGCGGGATAGCTGGTTCCCTCAAAAGGGCCAGCGTTGATAGATGCTAATTTATGATTGGCTCCGGCGTCTTTCATAGACTCATTCTCGGCGTACGTGCTCTGGTCCAATCGCATCGCACTCAGCCACGAGCCTAGGCCCGCCTCCAGTCACCGAGACGTCAGTGATACTGGCTGATACGCAGCAGTCAGAGATAAACAGGCAGGCACTGCAATGGCGTCTTCCATCATCGGTTGCTCCTTCCACACCATCGTCTTCTATCTCCATCTTCCCAATTCCATTTATTATCACCATTATTTCTGACCTCTACTCTGATCAGGCCGTCGTCCGTTCTCCAGGCCATCCGGACATCCCTGGACAATCGCGACATGGCCATCTTCACGGCGCCAACGTCGTTTCGCACCGCTCTCGAACGTCGCTATCTCGCAGTTGATGGCGTCCCCCAAACCGTGACGAGTGCCGCAGCGCACGCAAGCCATCCCAGCTTTCCTCATCTTCTTACTTTAGTTTTCGAAGCCGTTCTTGAAGTCGTCTGCGTCAGTTTACCGGGATACATTGCAGCCCGACAGGGCATGTTCGATGCCGATGCTCAGAAGCTGGTCGCTAATTTGAATGTGGCTCTGTTCACACCATGCCTGGGTTTGTTTAATCTCTAGTTTGAGTGAACATGATTATTACTAATCTCGTGTGTCTAGTTTTTACGAAGCTGGCATCTCAGCTCACAGCTGAGAAATTCACCGATCTCGCCATTATCCCGGCTATTTTTGTTGTCATGACTGCAGTATCTTACTTTTGCTCATATATTGTCGCCCGACTGTTTCGCTTCAAGAAGCGTCAAGCAAATTTCGTGACTGCCATGGGAGTACGTCTCGCCATCTCTGAATGACATCCCATCATCGGGTCAAATAAAATCCAGGAGCTAACGAAGATAGGTGTTTGGCAACTCAAACTCCTTACCCATCTCCCTCGTCATTTCTCTATCTCAGACGTTGAAAGGCCTTCATTGGAGTGCTGTTCCAAATGATAACGACGATGAAGTCGCGGCGCGGGGCATCCTCTATCTACTTATATTTCAACAACTTGGCCAACTGGTTCGCTGGACCTGGGGCTATCACGTCTTGCTTGCACCCAAGGAGCGGTTCATTGAGGAAGGCGATGTCCATTCTATCCACCATGGACAGGAACATTATCTGGATAACCCTCAGCAAACGGACCCGGACGAGCCTTTACTTCGCACGGGAACAAATGATAATGAGCATGGCATCGTCCACACGACTTCAAATTCGGTTACTTTTGATTCCGGCGCTCAGACTCCAGTCACCGATCGCAACCTCTCTTACACCAAACTGCCCAGTAACGGCTCTGATCAATCGCCGCAGCACCGTGACGTAGTCGACAGTGACGAGGATGAAGATTCGGACGAGGACCGCCCACTGCCTGTCATTGGGCCTCCTCCCAACGGGCCATTTCTACCGCGACAGAGCTCGACTGGTCATATCTTGACATTTCCAGATGTTGAAGTGCGCCGCTCTTCCACACCTGTGGCGAAGGGGATCCAAGGGTTTCTCTATCGATGGAGACGATCTATCAACAAGTCATATGCTCGCATGGGTAAATATGCGGTCACAAAGGGAAATCAAGCCTTGGAAAAGCTCCCCCCTTCGGTACAGAAGTTCCTGACCGTGACTACATCCTGGATAAGCCGGTTTCTGCATGGGGTTTGGGAATTTATGAATCCTCCTCTATGGGCTATGCTTATTGCAATTGTGGTTGCATCGATTCCTTCTTTGCAGAGCTTGTTTTTCGATGAAGGCACTTTTGTGCGCAACTCTATTACCCGTGCCATCGATCAGAACGGACAGGTCGCTGTTCCTTTGATTCTAGTTGTACTCGGTGCCAACCTGGCTAGGAATACATTGCCAGAGGAGTCGGTTGAGGATGAAGAAGAAAACGCCAAAGAGGAGCGTAATCTCATCATCGCATCGTTGATTGCTAGAATGCTTCTGCCGACTTTGATAATGGCACCACTGCTAGCGTTGCTAGCCAAATATGCTCCCGTTAGCATACTCGACGATCCAATCTTTATCATTGTTTGCTTCCTCCTTACCGGTGCGCCATCTGCTCTTCAGCTGGCCCAAATCTGCCAAATCAATAACGTATTTATGGGAGCAATGTCTAAACTATTGTTCCAAAGCTATGTTGTTTGGTAAGTTTGCACTTTATTCACTAGATGATTACGTACTAATCTGCATACTTCAGGATCCTCCCATCAACCTTGATTCTTGTCATGACTGCTCTCGAGGTTGTTGAATGGGCTACAGCCGCCCAATGAACTTAGTTGATCGATCTGATTCGCCTACATTGATATTACTATGCCTTTTTCTTTTCCCGCCGTTATCTCCGTCCTCTTTCTGCATGACATTCAGCGCTTGCATGTTTTCAATTTGCATTTTTTAAACGTGATATCCCCGGCCAGGAGTTTGGTTACCCTTTGTTTTTTCTCTTCCTCTTCGATATTATCACACAAGAACGAACACGAACATTGGTTGGCGCACGATTTGTGATTCTGGATGTTGTACCATAGCTCAACTAGGTAGAAAATTATCATTAACACTTCTGATGTCTCATTGAATTCCTGCTAGATCATGTCTCACCATCTGCACTTCAGGAAGCAACGGTATCACAAACCCCGACTCTTTTCCCAGAATCTCGCTCCATTGTTGGGATCCTGGGGATGCCATGTTGCGCATGGCACTTCAATGTTACATTTTGATTGCTATCTTAATCGCCGAGGATACGTCCAAATAGCTTCATGATGTAACTATATAATGGATAAGGGAGCAGTGGACTCGTGAACAAGAAATATTGCGATACATTATCGACTTAGTTGGGAAGTTTTTCAGTCCTTGCAGCTGGAGAAGTTGTCATCTGCCTGCTACTCAACCGATATAAACGAGATAGTTACGGTAGCAATGTAACTGGATCCAGTGCTGTGTATCTGTCTAGGACACATGATGTTATATGGCCTTTTACAACTATATCCAAGACAAGGTGAAGATTAATTTGCATGGCTAAGCGCTGCACTTTGAGTCCCTCGGCCTCCAAGCTTGGTGTCACAGTGAACCCAAGCAGGTGAAACATTAGGGTTTCTCCTCCTTCACTGTCATCGTTTTTCATCTGTATACAGGCATTTTCATGTGAATTTGGTTTGCCTCGCCAACCTGCATTGATATGAGTAGATATTGCATCCACGTCGAGCTCGTCTATAAAGAAGGGCTTTGTCGCTCATTGATATAACCTCATTTCAAGACGTTTCTTAACCACCCTCGAAATCGAGTCATCAAGAAGAAACCAGCTCCAATCTTACTCTCTATTCTCTTAGCTCAAGACAGTCAAACGCAATTCACCAAAATGCATTTCTCTCCAGTGATCTTCACTGCCCTAACGCTCCTCAGCTCCTGTACTTTGACAACCCTTGCTGCGCCAACAGACGTGGCGAACGCAACCGAAGCAACAGAGGACCTTGGTACCAGTCCCGTCGACGAAGGTCCACTTGCCAAGTATCGTATTTATTGCAACAGCAGAAATCAGAGACGATGTGAAGAAGGCGGAGCAGCGAGGTGCTGGTGCGACTACTATGGCGCGTTCCACTGTGATGATCGGCGATGCCGAGAGTACTGTGGATGTGCTCGGTTTGTTCTCCTTTCTTTTCTCTTATATATGTCCATGAGTGTCTATTAGATGGCCATGCTAATCCGCGCATAGAGTCAGCAAAATCACAAGATCTTAGAAGGAGCTGACCAGCCTGCATCGCTCCACAGTCCACGATTGTACGGATATCGACATCAATCTCCATGCATACGTTGATTTATCATATTCTGTAAGAAGTCAGGTTGTCTCTGGAGGTATCCTAGTGGATATAGCGTATGTAATTGATGCAGGTGTCTTTGAAAAGGTTGTTAGTGCCAATGCTTCCAAGTATTGGTTTAGTGTCACAGTGGTCTGTAGTAAGGGAATGATGAAGTTCCGGGGTTTGTGAGGGTGTTCTTTAAGCTCCCTCTTCTACCCTGAGTAACTGAGGCTGTGATGTTTTCGAGCGAAGTTATATGAAAATGGACATTCATTGCTTATGATGCGTATTCCGATTTCAAGACGATCCCGCTATTAAAGTGAGGATACTGTAATTTATGGTAATTTAATGGTAATAACTATAACAGTAAGTACGGCGCTAATCCCTGTTCAATGCCAAGACAGAATGGATCTTTTTCACCAATCAGCATAACCGGCGGCAAATCCAGCCAATAAGAGCTGCATATATGGATCCTCAATGACGATGATTCATCTCTGCACCTTCCTGGCAGGCAACAAATATTTTGTAATTTTTATTTTTTGACCTCATTTTTATCTTCATACTATGTAAAAGAAGATCTCGCTGTTTATTCCGCACTATCTACGAGCAAGATTTGAGTCTATCACGCGACAAATAAGCCTTGGTGTTTGATCCATACAATATCTCTGCTTATCTTCTGGTCCAGGTATCCACTACAAACACTAATACTTTTCCAGCTTTGAACCGCGGGGTTTGGTCTTTCTTTCGTCTAACATCTGATCGGTTCTAGCTTTTTCGATTAATTGTTTCTTTTTGAACTATTCTTGTGCTTGTTTCGACTTCTTCGGAATATCGGTCTTACTTGTTTCTTCCCGCCGGTATAAGCGTCAAGCGTGGATTGGCATGGATATTGATCAAATACCGGTGTAAATTTCCTGTGTCAAATTCATAAGAGAATGCCGAGTTCTTCCCGTGAAGCGCCTAGTCACGAGACTGATAGGAATGTTGACAATATCTCGTCTGGTACGTTATGAGTGTATGGTGTGTGTCCAAAGGTCCTGGTTTTGCGTGGGGACCTGAAGGATGTAAGATTCGTACATGGACTTTCTCATATTATTCCTGCAGATTCGACGACGAGTTGTCAATAAAGACGCTAATAGATCTGCGCAGAATCACGTACAAATGACAATGTCGTGTCTCACCGAGGAGGCTCTCCAATTGATCCTGGCGACAACACGGGCGTAGTGATGGCGACGAAGCAATTCAAGGCACCTATCGCGAAACGAATCACGGCCAGATCGCCGATCCTGCATCCTTCCCCAGCTTATTCACTTCACAGTCAAATGTCTAGTCTCCGACTGGATGCTCAAGAGGATGACGACGAGACGGACGTTACACCCTCCAGCAGGCCATCTGAGCAAGCCTTGTTCAACCAAGTCTTGACTTGGCTTCACCAGGAACAAAGTAGGCAGAAAAGCGCCAACGATGGCATTATTACTTCCAACAATAGCAATGGTCAGCTTCAGCTGGAGGGAAAGCGGCATTCGGTTGGATCAGAAAAGGGACTTGCTCTTGACCAGCTGGAGAGCATTCTTCAACATTACGCTGCAACAACAACAACAAAGGACCATGCGAGCCCTCTTCAGCACAGGCGATCTAAGAAACACCGTTCCAGACCGAAGGGGTTAAGAAGAGGGTCCGGCTCGGAATCTGATTATTTCGATGACTCGGTCGTGCCTAGTGTTGACGCTATGCTGGACAATTCAAAAACACTGGCATATTCAGGCGGTGCAGTGTCAACAGATCAGCTCACGCTTACTGCCGATCAACGAAGTCGATATATGAAAGATCAATCCCACTGGTTGATCTTCAAATCGGAGATTTTGCGGTTGATTCATACTCTCAGACTCAAGGGATGGCGCAGAGTTTCTATGGAAGATAGTTCCGATATCGAAGTGACCCGTCTCAGTGGTGCGCTCACCAATGCAGTATACGTTGTGAAACCGCCGCCTCCTTCGCCTCCGACACCGAATGCTGATGGGACCGAGAAGTTGGCACCTCGAAGACCTCCTCCGTATGTTTCCTGCATTCGAGTTTTTGTTCTTGTGTTAACGATGGGCTTAGGAAACTACTTCTTCGTATATACGGCCCGCAAGTAGAGCACCTGATTGATCGAGATGGAGAACTTCAGATCCTTCGTCGGCTAGGAAAGAAGAATATTGGGCCACGAGTACTCGGCACATTCAAGAACGGACGATTCGAAGAATTCTTCAACGCTCATCCATTAACACCCCAAGCGTTGCGCAACCCTCAAACTTCAAGACAGATAGCCAAGCGCATGAGAGAGCTTCACGATGGAGTTGAACTGCTTGAAGAGGAACGTCTCAGTGGACCAGCCGTGTTCCGGAACTGGGATAAATGGGTCGATCGTTGTGAGCAAGTCATATCCTGGCTTGACAAGGAGATTCTTACGGGTCATCTGGACGGACCAGAGCCATGGCGCAAACGTGGTTTGATATGCGGTGTGCCGTGGGCGACGTTTCGAAAGGCCGTAGAGAATTATCGGATTTGGTTGTTTGATCACTTAGGCGGTATCAAGGAGGTCAAGCGACAATTAGTTTTTGCACATAATGATGTATGCTTGTACCCTTACCCTACCCTTTTTACCTCGCAGTTGATACTAATGGTTGCAGACTCAATATGGAAATCTTCTTCGGCTCGAACCCGAGGATCAATCACCCTTATTACTCCCAGCTAATTCGCACAAACAATTAGTTGTTATAGACTTTGAATATTCCTCGGCCAACACACCAGCCTTGGAATTTGCAAATCATTTTACCGAGTGGTGCTATAATTATCATGATGCTGAAAGACCTTGGGCATGCAATACGCGTGCATACCCAACACCAGAAGAGCAGCATCGATTCATCTCCGCATATGTCTACCACCATCGACCACAACAACAGGGTATGGGGACTTCCCCGCTAGCTACACCAGATATTGCGCCATCGTCCATCCCCACGCCACGATTAGCGCCATTTTCACTCGATGCACCAGCCATGAGCCTATCAGCGTCATCGTCATTGATCACATCCGATACCCCGCAGGATAGAGTACTATACGAAGAAACATTCGAGGCTGAAATACAGCAATATATGCGACAAACGCGGTTATGGCGAGTTGCGAATTCAGCTCAATGGGTCGCATGGGGTATTGTACAGGCTAAAGTGGCAGCTCTGGAAGAAGAGGAGGCAGCTCAAGCAGCTGCTTCTTCTCCCACAGGCGAGTCAAAAGAAAATACGACAGTGAGCCAAGAAATGCAAAAGACTATCGAGGAAGCGGAAGAGAGTGAATTCGATTATTTGGCCTACTCTCAGGACCGCGCGCTTTTCTTTTGGGCTGACGTGCTTTCCATGAGTCTCATCCGTGAGAATGAATTACCTGACGAGCTTTTGGAGGCTGTCAAGCAGCGGATGTTGAACTATTAATCTTCACTTCTTCGACTTGTCGTAATTTCATCTTATCTAGTCTCATTTTGTATGATGCAGAGCGTATATAATATACCCCAGTTAATCATACATCTTTGATTTGTTTCTTCTTTGTTACAGACCTAGGTATGAACGAATTTCCATATCCGCTCGACGGATATTCTCGATATCACATAGTAGTAGTACAAGCACTTCATCTATCATATGAACACATACGATCATCAGCCAGGTCATATCTTATCATACAATCAACAAGGAAAGAAATCAGTACCCCTTCCTCCTCGCCTCTGCCTTCCGTAACGTCTCCTTCTTCGCCTCCTCAATCCACTCCTCATACTTCCCATCCTTAACCTTCTTCTCCACCACTCCCTTAGCTACCTCACCTATAAATCCAACAAAATTCGAGCGCCGCAACGTATTCTCCCACGCCCATGCCCTCCTCTTCGCATTCTCCCGTTCCAATAATTCCGTATCCCCGAATTCTTGCGCTCGAATTCTTAGATCTCGTACTGCGGCCATCAGGTTAAATCGTACTTCACCAGCTGGATATCGCGCAATCCGGCGCTGGAGGACTTCGATTACTTTTTCGGGGAAGGATTCGGTGTCGCACTCGCCGTGGTTGATGGGGTACGGCTGTAGACCGTCTAGTTCGTATAATTTCCCGTTTACAGGCGTATAAGCAATGAAATGGTAGACATCCCCCTCATCGTCCTGAGCAGTTCGTTGCGTTTCATCTACAAACGGACTTGCTCGCGCAAAAGCATTGTGCGCTGTACGAATCACTTCAGAGTTCGAGAGTGCTTCACCTAATAAATCCGACGGAAATCCCTGCGTGAAACTCTTGAATGATGATAGCTCTGATCCGATATCGATCGGATACGCAGTGCCGCCTCCCGCTGTGTTTGGTTTGTCCTGGTTTAGTATCACGGATAAAATGGCTTGTGTTCCGCATGCGTTTTGGATTGTTTGTGCGGCGAAGAAGAGTCCCTGCTCTGATGCGGCAGTTTGGTCGTAGGTTCCGTCTTCGGGGGTGTTGGCGTTGCGTGATTGTCTGCCGATCCATTTGAAGAGGAAGATGACACCGTAGACGGGGCTGTACGATCTCTAATTAGTGAATATACAGTATGCAACAGAGAAATAGGTGAAGCGCACTTTAGTGAACGTATCGTATCAGCATCAAGGGAAATGAGTTCTTCGAATTGAACACCCTTGACGCCTAGATTTTCGATCAACGAGGTGAATACGCCCTGATGCGCTCCCAGTTAGTCGTTATCTACTGCGTATTAAAGTGGGTTGACCTCACCTCGTCAGACTCAATAGTACTCCAACCTCCACCGTCGGCCATATTTGTTGATTGTGTGCAGATGAAGATTCTCTAGTAACTTCGTTCTATTCTCAAAGGTCAGATCGTATCGAAGAATTAGAGCCGAAAGCAGTGCTTTGATTACTCCTGTCGCGTTGCGAAGCTTGGTAAGTACGTAATGTCGTAAGCGCCAACCGTCGAATATCGCAGCTTATCCAATGCGGAGGGAACACCCTGTTAACTTGGTTGCCTCTCAATATATGACCTTCAAGACAATAGGAATATTATCTGCTTTGATATTCTTCAAGAACGACAAGCGTAGAGCTGAAAGCAAAAATGGCAGAGGGAAAGCTTGATGATTAAGGTTTCAAAGCTTTGTTTAGTAAAGGAAGGACCTGTGAATTTCCGTTTCCCGTTAGTTTTACCTGTTTTAGACTAGTCCCCAGATACGCCGTATGGTCATCACCGCCCAGCCGCCCTCAAATATAAAAGCCCATTCCCTCGCCGTTCTAACCTTCAGTTCTTCCATTTCTTCATTCGCCCTCAGTTTCTTTCGCTCAGTCGCGCCATCGATCCATTTCTTTAAGGATGTCGTATTCACTCCTATTTCTGATCGGAAATTACAGTTACGCCCTACTGCCCAGTTTCACTTCCCCCGTCTGTATACGCTGGCGATGGAGCTGATACGGCCTTCCTTCATTCCACTCCCAGAACGTGAATAGAATATGTTTTGTACTTTCTATTTTCTGAAGTTTTCTCAGAATCATCTGTTCTTTACTTGATTTCACTTGCACCGGTTGACTTCCAAGATATTGGCACATTCGATTCCCCGCTCTACGGAAGAGAGATTATATAACACTCACTTACTCTCCCAGCGGGCTTACAAGGCTGATTCTGGCTTACGCATATCTCATCTCCTGGGCACGGCCATCACTGCTGCATTGTGTTTCGCACTAGTTTTGTCGATTTCGTGTGCCGTGCTACGGTCAAATAGTCCAGCTGACGACGGCCTTACACTAGGGAGAAAACAAAGCCAATGGCATAAATGCCTCACTCGTGAGTCCTAGTTCAGGACTACGGTGTGTATTACACAGCCTCGGTGATGACTCGCTTTGGAAATTGCAACATGAGTTAGCCGGTGATTCTTGATGGTTTTATGGAAGGTAGATGACATTCTGGGACATCGGGGACTATGGCCGGAGAAGCCGTGTGATCATCTTGCTAGATGATTCGTCTTCGCTTTTAGCTGGCAATAGCTTACGAGTGCGGACACTGGAACGTAGGATTTGCAGAATTTGGAGTTGGAAAGAATAACGAGTGCCATATATACTGTATTTCTACGTGTTGAACTACCAAATATATAAATCCTCTGTCCCACCTTCACAGACAAGACTAGAAAGGCACCATCCAATCTTTCTTCTGTTGAAGGATTTTACAACCATATTGTTGATATGTTCCGTTAGATTTCCTATACCGCGCCTCTCTCCTCTTTTTGCCCCAATACGCAACCACAGTTCTCGGAAAATAAACGCTCTACAAAGCGTGGCAGAGGTATTGGGAAACAATCAAGGGCTCCCTTCAATATGTCTCTATCCAAGACGTCTCGTCTTTTACTTACAATGACTAGCCATACTCGAAAGCGGAAGACAATCTCCTAGGAAAACTCGTTCAGCTACCGCGTGTACCCGTAAATATATCTGGCTAAGAAGACGCAAAAACCGCCAAAGACAAGCAGGCGTGCATAGCTGTTCAGCTTCCCTGTTGACAGCCCGTGTGCGATTGCAAAGATGCTGGTAAGGCCAGGAAAGAAGATATTAACAATAGAGGCTTCATATGCTGGCATAATTTGGAAGGACAGAGTATCAACGTTAAAAGCATGCATAGTGAGGGTAGTTTGGAAGTAATCAAGAACTGAGGTAATTCTCAGTGGATTATTAGAACATTGTATCTGGGTTGCAAATAAGTAACTGCTTTCGCAAGTAGTTGAGGGGATGCATAGCTCTTTTTATACCTAATCAGCTACAGTTACCCATCAACCCAGGAAACAACGCTGTTCCCCATCATATTGTAATGCATGGGCATATTGACTGTCCAGACTGTTGATCATAGACTTGGAATGGTGCTTAGTCGCCTACGGAACGTCGAAGATGAGACCATCATTGAGAGCAGGCGCGCGGTACTGTCGACGAACGAATCAATCAATCAATTGACTACTGCCGAATACTGACCACGCAGCGCCTCATGGCGGACGCGATGGAGGGAGATCCGGCAACAACAACAACAACAACAACAACAACAACAACGCGTTCGGGACGCGTCGTAACACCCTCGACAAACGCCCGAGAGGACATTGGCAGTGCTGACAACACCAGTATTGCTAAAACATCTAGGAAATTAATGACTCAAGTGGAAGTGAATGCGGTAAAGAAAGCAGCAAGCATCATTGATGAGAAACAGAGCGCCAAAGACGGAAGCAAGACATGCTCAGAAAGATATGCCAGTACCTAGAAAGTACCTATCTAGGGGTCAAAGGGCTAAAAGAAACCCTTAGTAAACAAGAAAAATTGATCAAGGAACAGTCCAAAATGATCTGGGAACAGAGCAGCACAATTAACGGGCTGCAAGCCCAGCTGGATACAACCCCAAAGCCAATCTGCAGAAGAATGCAAGCAACTCCGGGAACAGGTAGAGACTATCGCGAATATCCCAGTCAAGGCAAACCAGATGCAGACTAAGCTACAGCAATCATACGTAGGTATGATCAGTAGTCAACCCGGTCACTAACAGGACGCACTACCAGGCCCTCTAGGGCCTCCTACATTTGCCAGTACATTATTCTGCACAATGGACACATCTCACGTCGGAGAAGAAGACAAAGCTAAAGCTTAGATAGCCATTGTTAGAAAGATGACCGAGAAATAAACACAGGGGAGCGAGGAAACGAGGAATTGGCAATATGCAGCAGTGGTTACGGACCCTAAGAACGCAGACCAAGTCAAGGTCATCTGCAGACATGAAGACGAGATCCAACAGGCTAAAGAAGCTGCTCAAAAGCTAAAGGTACCAGGATAGAGAGTACTACAAGACCAGCTATACCTAGTCAAGATTGACAATGCTAATCGGACAGCAGTCCTGGATGCGGGCAGGAATATCCTACCAGGGGTAGCTGAGGCCCTAGGAAAAAGGAAAAGAGAATAATGTTAACATTGCTAGGATCTCCTGGCTCAGCAAGAAGAACTCCAACAAAGCATATGGATCTATAGTAATCTATATCACGAAAACGACCAACGCCAAACGCCTAATACATAGCAATTACTTTGATATAGCAGAAGAATCTGCATACACTTATGTCTTTGGATTACGAACAGGACCAGTTCAATGGTATCACTGTCAAGAGATAGGGCAAAGGCTTTCTCTTGCAAGAAAACTCAGACCTATACTGAATGTACAAATGAGGGACACCGCCATTGTACTTGCTAGGCTGTAATCCCTAAACGTGTTCTCTATGGAGGCCCACTATAAATTGTTCAGCAAAAACTATCAAGTGCGCCTCTTATAACCTGTTGGGCTTTTGACCAACTAGACCAAAAAGCTGCGCGCATACTAGATGATCTAGTATGGATGTAAATAGCTGGCAAAGGTGATATGTGATGTGAGGTGATATTCCCAACATAACCTAATACATAAATTATTGCGCATCCTATAATTGAATGTGGGCAACAGAGATGTGGTACAATAAAGCAGCCCTACATTCACCACACAAGACTATTTTAAGAGATACAGATTACAAGCCTTTAAGCTGGGCACCTGGGCTACTACTAGATCTGATACCATGGCCCTAGGCCTAAAATCAACTTTAGACTAATCACCTCGGCTCTATTAGAGCCTAAGTCCCCTATAAGCTTGTTCACATGGAATCCAGCCAGCAATAGGTTTAAGATAGCAGCCTCAATTCCCTCCTTTGCACTCGTCCCTACGGCCCTCTAACAGAACTCCACGTCTGCCCCGTCCAGCTAAATACTTGACAATATCAGTATCTCGTCCTCGCTGGCTCCGATCGCTGCTTATCGAGCAAGCAACGTTGGCAATAATATCATCATTATTATGGGTCGGAGTATGGCTGCATGTGATGGCTCCGCTACGGTATCAACAGCGGGATACCGCGCGCCTGTTAACAAAGAATCTCATTTGTATGATATTTGTAAAGAAATCGGTGAATGGATCGTATAGAACCAGAGGGTCGATATTGTCCAGTAATAGTGATTGTAAGTATTGATAAGGAGATGATTCGATGCGTTGAATTTCTGTGTATTACTTGTCTTGTTCTCTTCTAGTTACATACGACTCAGGGGGTGAGACTATAATTAGCCTCGGAATCACTATGATAGTACAGATTCGGTTCCATCAGTTAAAGCGGCGGCTTCCCGCTGGGAAATAGTGGTGGAAATGACACCGTAAGAGGGCCTCAGTAGCGGTCATTTTCAGAGTCGATTTCACAGGTCCTCATATTCTAGTTATAACTTCTGATTGACGTGCGACGCTATTCCCAAAAGGTCATACAGCTGGGTGCAAACAATGCAAAAAAACATCACACTTGCTCATGTATTGTTTGGCAATCTTGGAATGATACCTGGTTATCAAAAGGGTACAACAGAGTAAAAGACCTTCAGAATGCTGCTATATAGAGATACGTAGTGACATTGTAGGTATGGAGGCACTTGTGTACCTGAGTATATTTTTGACCTATATATAACACAAGCGGAGAATGGAAAGCAAACATCGCACCCGGGAATATCTTAAAATGACAGCTGAAGGGTAGTCAGATAGATCTTTTTATCCAGCACAAATGCATAATACCCTTTTTGCCTTTTGTTTTCTGTTCGCCTGTTTATCCCCCATCGCCTCCCGCTCGCCAGAAACCAAACCTGTTGGAACGCCTGAAAACAAGAATCTAACACCCGTGGCAGATTTTTTCCTTATATGAATGAAATCGAAAATGATATATAAGTTCCTGAGGTATGGACATGAGTGGCGATGTGTCCGGAGGTTGTAGTGGACGAGTACCACTTGATGATCGGTATGATGTGTGCCGTGGACCATAACCCTAAAACCGCACCTTGCAGTCGTAAATCGTAATAACAATGCGATGTTTCAGACGGCAGAATGTTGATGCAGGATGGGTTATCCGGCCCTTCAATCTTGCGTGACGACATTTATCCGCATTGATAACGACACCCCATAATTCTCTCAAGTCCAAAGTTCCGGGGGCACAGAATTCGAGCCTGAGACAGACGCATCATGACTAATATTAGGATTGAATGATCCAGCATGCTCAGTCGTAGGCAGACCATGGATATAATCGTTACCATATGACGAGAAGGCAGGCGAATGCTCAATTGTTCCTGGTCGACTATAATCCGATAGCGAATCATCATAATACTCCGAGGAAGGAACAGTAGGACTTATATAAAACGACGAAAAGCTGTCACTGGATTTATATGCATGCGAAGATAAAAGAGGAGGCGGCGGGCTGGTGACTGCGTGAGCAAAGGATGAAATCGTGGTCGGTGTGTAGGGTGCGCTAGTCACGAATGATGTTGAAGGGTATTCATCGAATTGGTGATATGGACTGGGCGGGTTTGGCAATATATGATTCATGCTGTGAGTTTGTAGAGGAGGCGTCCATTGGATCGGGGTTTTGTACTCGTTCACGCTATGTCGAAGTCCATCCATCAGTGCCGTCGCGAGTTGTGCTATGTGAGATGTCTGGAATCTGGATTGTCGGGCTTGCAAAATAACATCGACATTCTCAACCAGATTCAAGGTCATACAACCAAGATATGAGCCTTCCAGACCAGGAAAGAAAGGTTCCAAGACAAGCGCCGCCGAGTAGAAATGCGCCAAAACAGCCAATGCACCCAAATCACCCTCGCCCCCTCGAAGTAATTTGGTAGGTAACCATAATATCCATGCTCGCAAAGACTGTAATCGTGCAAACGAGATTTTAGGTGACTGAAACGGTATTTCGCTGCGTACTTGTTTCATAAAGCCTATCAACTCTGTTATTGTATCGTAAAACTCTGGAATATGCTGCAAACGTTCTTGGGAGCGATGTAGATCGGCAATAGTGCTATCGATGTTTCCTATCTGGAGTGTTCCGTTGGGAGAGCTATTAGGGTCTGCTGTTAAACCTCGTATTCGTAATGCTCTCTGGTTTTCTAGAATCTGGGCGATTTCTGATGATTCTTTCCAAGATGGGTGCATCGAATCCAAAACCTATAAAAATTGCTATTAGTAAGTACTATTTTCCCGACTTGTATCACAATCCTTACAAATAATATCCCTTTTTGCAGAGTGGAAATGGAGGTCCTATAACACGAGTAAGCCATCGTGCTTATGACCAATCGCTATGGTCAACCTACCAATCAACCGCTTGCCATGACAAAACCAACGAGGCAGCAAGTATTGCGTCACAGCCTTCTCTGGAAAACGCTCCTAAAGCATCTTGCAGACCTTTCGAGGCAATATTCCGGTGGTGATGTGACAGATTTAAAGTCTCCTTGCTCCCAGTCACATATGCCATGTGTAATGCAGAAAGGGCGAGAATTGAGCTCATAACATAATCACTCATGACGGCAATAGCGAGTAGTCTATTGGAAATCCAATGATCGTTGTCAGACACAATCTATCACAAATTCTGTCAGGTTGAGTCACTAACCGTGGCATATTGGCAGACCAAACAGTCGTGTCACCAAGACCTCGGCGATGCAAGTCAATCGATAAACCGGCAATATGATAAATAAGTCGAAGGGTCGACTTTGAAAAGCGATGCCAATCATTTCGAGGGCATAGAGCAAGCTCTGGGAACGGAGGGACTCCTGTTGCTCGCCATTGCTCGATTTCAGCATCAATCCCTGGAGTCAACAGGAGGTTTGGCGGGGTAGCTGTTGCTGGTATTGAGTCATCACGAGCTGCTTGTATATCCATGTAGTCGCATCTGCAGTTATGTTTGGTACAATTGCGACTGTTTGGCATGTCCGCGATCAGCCGACGCTGGTTGCTTCTTGGATGAATATACTCACCATTGAGGAAATGTCTCGTCGCATCGTATATGCCTCCGCTTGCAAGTCCTACACCCATTACGCGACTTGGTATGGCTTTTTCGGGGTGGACCTCCTCCAGGACCAGGCATTACTCTTGATAAAAGCTGCGTTGAGGGCTGATATTGCGCAAAGTCTGTCAGAATCTTGAAGTTGGATTCGCTCAAGAACTATTTCCGAATTGGCTTAAAAGGCCCCCAACTACTTATGACTATGTGTGTCGCGATTGATATGATTATGTAAACGTTTTCGTAATCAAGTGCTGGAGGAACACAACAGATTGGAGATTTGGTGTTGATGAATCTTTGAGATCGATCAAATGTTGAAGTCTTCAGTAAAATATAATATCCTGGAGATAAGCTGTCGTTGCAGAGTACGTAAATTTAGGTTCCAGCGTCTGTCGAAGAAGGGAAAACCTCTCAGGCTGATGACTGTATGTCGGGTTCCAATTATCGTATGTTGCATATACTTGGAGAGAAAAAGGGTATGTGAACAAGGTTGGAGTTAAAAAGGTTGATGGATGCCAAGTCTGTTGAATTTGATGCGGCTGATGATAATGATGGTGGTGACGATGGATGGTCGACCCTGAAACAGAAGACAAGTGCTGAAGTTTAGCTTCCTCTCGTCCGTTCTCGTTGGCCCGGACAATTGGATATGTCAGTACTATATAGTACTAGCGACAACTATGCTATTGTACGTAGGGCCAAGGAGTTGATACCGTTGAATGGCCCGTCATGATGGAATCCGGGTCAGTTGTAGTTGCAGGTGTGCAACCAGAAATGTCTATGCGCCTGGGCGGATCAATACAGCCTTAGTGTTTACAGTTTTTCAAGGGCCGAATTGAGTATATAGTAGCCTAGCAGGACGAACATTCAGTAACTGGTCGCAAGCCCAAGATAGTACAGCCGAAATTGCTTTGGTCTACTGTCATTCGGCAGAGCGGTCCATAGTTGGCTTCTCCACAGCTAAGGCCCTTTCAGCTGTTCCAAAACCATGTGGCCTGTGTCTCGTTTGGGGCCGCTTGGCACGACGCTCCGTGGCGGAGTCGAGGTGTAGTAAGTGTGGTAATCGGCCGTCTTGTTAGGCTAAATTTTGAGTGGTTATGCATGTACCCTTGACGATTTTCAGACAATTGATGATCTTGAGTTTGAGACACGATCAGGGACCGGGATATTATTGGCCGCAAATAAGCGATACCGGGATGTTCTTTTGGAAAGGATTAGAGGTGATTGCATAAAAGACTAGTTGGTAGGTTGTAACAGGGCCGAAGAAGCGCCGCACGAAGATTCGGTGGGATCTGGGGCGAAGCCATCAAATAATAAGATAGCGACTTGTGAAGATGTCTTGGGTCTAAACGGAGTACCCTTTTTGCCCTTTTTTTTTTTTCTCTTCTCTCTAAGTTTTGCCTTCTAGTGACGGGACTGGCGGGGCCATCAAGGAAGGATCTTAAACCAAGGATAATCTTGATCGTCATTCGCCGAGCGAAGCATCGGGGGGTAGTTTCGACCCGGGCTAACGTGGTCATCATCAACAAGCCAACAGCTTTACGGCCGCATATTACGTAGTCGATGAATATGTACGACGTCTGAAACGGTTAGTGAGAATCGTGGCCCCAAGTAATCGTGCTGCCAACTTACAAATCATCAAAGGACCATCAGATTGGCCTTCTGACCAGCTAGCTGAATTGGTTCACAACTAGGCTGCAGGAGGGTGGCAGAGACCGGCCAAGCGGATGAGTCAGGAATTTCCATCTCTTTTTGCTTTCTTTTTTGCGTTATAGCATGGGTCCCCCATTTTCTCTTTTCGGGTGAGTGCTGAGTCGGAATATTTTTCGAGTGAAGAGGTCCAGACTAGTCTAGGAAAAGCAAGCGATACGGACACGTGATTGGCCAGAGTACCTTCCTTCAACGTTCGGGCGACGGATCTCGATGAGCTCCTTCCCAAATTACTGCCAAGCCACTATACTTCTTACGGCGTGCTTGGCGTGAGACTAGTCCGAATCAAGCTCAGTAAATTGGGAAAAAAGCGACCACATTGGCCTCAACTGTGCTTACCTCATCTCGGTTAGTTCCCAACTCAACTTTCTTCACGGTTGATATCCCCGTCTGAATCTCTTAGGTCTTTTGACCCTTGAGTTATGACATTTAAGTTAAGTTTCTCTTCATGCAAGACTTTTTATCTAATTCTCTGATTTGCCGGGTATAATGGGCCCATCTTATACTTTGCTAGTGCTGACTCTGGATAGCCACAAGTCGCTAATTCCAAAGCGGCCCATTATTGTAGAGGGCCCCTGATGTGAGCCGAGGGGATCGACCATGACAGAGCCTCAAATACGAAGAACAATAGAAGTGGCCAGTCCATGAGGGGCATTAAATTGTAATTGACAGAAGCCGTGGACTGTTGATCTTCGCTTTCCACGTTCCATCTCGTCACCTTGTGCATCAACTGCATAGTGTCTGCAATTGTACATAAGTACCCTTCCTAACTGGGATTAGCGTCACGCTGCGATCGCAATCGTCGAATGAAACGGGAGAAGCAGAAAAGAATAATGGAAGCGTCATGGCCGTTTAGGCTAGGAATTTGTCTTGGATTTGTTGGAACTAGTATACACTAGTCAATTATACGCAAGCTTACTTTAATTGTCCACATGCTCCGCTCAGTCCATAGAGAAAGAATGATACGTGCTGTAATACAAATACATACAGGGCCGTGTGAAGTTCCCGGAGACGCTTTTCCGTTATTTTCGCCAACTGAAGCCACCAGGATTCAGTAATGTTCTGGATTTTGAAGGATGCCTAAGGCTTGCATTGAAGCTGAGTATTCGATTCACGCAATAGGAAGGTGAAAATAGACTCGTCTGATATCTAGTTAGTCCTTATTTATGATATTAATATATATTTGTTAAGAATGCCCAAGTGACACTTGACTTTGAGCGTCATACGCTCAAAGCCATACTTGCCGCAGGGCTAGACCCATCATGCACGTTTCGAGAATGCAAGTCGTTGAACATGACTACGGAGTGCCTACTCCGTACTCCGTATATGGTATTCCGAAGAGACTCGAGAAAAAACATTCTTCTCACTGCGGTTAGTCACCTTGGAGTTAATTTTTTGAGTAATCTTGGCTTACAGACGCTCGCTTGGAGAGCGCTCTGAGCGGTTCAGTAAATATTAGGTTGCCTGAACCTTGGCTCTTTCAGGCAGGCGACTTGATTAGCCTCTTTTTCTATTAAGGCTTGGCGGCGGAGGTGCTAGGGTCGTCATCTCCAAAGATCTTGTTTCAAATGCTCGAGTCCATGGTGTAGCTTTGTACAATCTACGAAGACTTTTAGATTAGTAGCAAACTATTTACAATTGCAGATGGCAACATGTCTGGAGTACATATGAGTACATAGCTGGTGTTAGGTTAGGTGTTAGGAATATCTGACCAATTAGAAGTGCATCCGTCGGGCCCATCCGTGGCGTATTCAGCACAATTCTATTGGCTCTCAATATCAGACACAATCGGGTCTCCACAGCTCAATCTTCGCACCTGAAAACCCTAAACCAGATAAGATAAACCGATTGACCCTTGATTAAACCCCCCAATTTCGACAAGGAAAAAGCTCAGCAAGAGCGGAATTTTCCGGTATTCCTCTCTTGTACAAGCCTCCTCCTCCCGTCCCAAGCCTCAAGCCTCAAAGGTCCTTCGCAGAGTTTAGGGACTTTTAGTGGTCGCTCGTCTGCATGAGAGCGAGAGCGAGAACGAGCAAGTGCACGCTCTCTGCAGGTCTAGCGCACAATCACGGCTGAAATTGCCTCATGAGGAGACACGCTTCTCGGCGTTTGCTCACATTCTTTTTAACCTTGTCAATGAAATTGTCATACAATACGGAGTATCATAATCAGTCTTTACTCGCGTCGGTTACTGCAAGCTTATTCTTCTCTTCTTGTTTCAGGGTAGGTAATCAACTGCAGGGCAGGAATTGGAGCCTGAAATGTGTCCCCCAACCTTCGAGGGCAGGCCACATAATGAAACAACTGCTACCATTTTCCATGGTCATAATATGAGTAACCAACAGACTGTGCTCAATCTCAGCCGTGGTTCGTCTTGTCTACCTATATTTTTAGCCTCCTAGCTCAGGCTTCTGATTATATCATCGTTAGACCTACCTATTCAGGCAATCGGTCGAAACGGCTGATAATTGGATTCTCTGAAGCATGAAGGTATCTAAGCGTCGATCACCTCCTATCATATCATGTACATACGTACGTATGTATACTCTGTCTTGTTTGAGTTTGTCTTGAGCCTCGACTTTGATTTCTTGAGTAGGTTTGTTAGTGGAACTTTATACCAAAGTAACAATCTATTTGGTGTTTTTTCTTTCCGCGCCAAAACCGTCCGTAAGTTGAATGTTGAGGTCGATCACCGATGATTGATTTGGGGAATGTCAACATCCTCGTCTTACGTAACGTACTCCTTGATCTCTGTGAGTAAGCGGGCTGTGGGTTGGATGTTTCAACCTGGAAATATCTCCCTGTTAAACTTTGAATAGACGAGCCGGCCAGAGGTACACATGATTGATTGGATTGACAAATATAGCTTAAATCAAAAGAAAAGCTTGCTTCCAACGGAGGTCCATTTTCCTCAATGGCTGACTGTTCTGTTTTCGATTCATCTCATATCATACGTACTCCCGAGGTCTTTTCTCTACGAGTAAGCAGGTGGTGGTTTGAGTCTGTGTGGTGGTCTGGAAATTAATATCTCCATATTAACTCTTGGTGGATGATAGACGTCATGGAGCTGACAAATATAACAAGTCAATAAAAAAAAATCCTAATCCCAGAGCTCCTTTCTCCTCAATAATCTATTGTTCTGTTTCAAATGATTCCCTATCATAGACCAAGCTGGTTCCTCGGCATATTTCACATCGAACACATGGTCAGTCTGTGTAACACCGGTGAAAGACATACTATTCAAGCATGCTTGAATGAAATGACATCCAATACTGAACACAGTATGGTCACACAAGACAAGGAAAGCCAAAGAAAGGATGCAGTTTGCTACGTAGGGCCATCCTTACTACTGTACAAGTCTGCATCCTGCTACGTATTTATTTCCCTCTTATTTCTATTGTTCAAGGTATGTCTGTGTAACCCCAATGAATCCGATTCGAACCACGCAGCGTATGTATGTCAGATGTTACATGCATAACACCAATACAGGAAGAACACACCCTTCCATATCCCTATCATGCTGAAGCGAATATTCAATAGACCGAAAGAAAACGGGATTGTATCGGCAAGTCCGTTCGTTGAATTGAATCACCTTCTCCATTAGGATGATGCTCCGATTGACAGAATAGATCCTTGAATCAAACTCGGATTATCATACATATCTACTCAGTAGATTGACTCCGTTTAAGCCACGGCTTTCACAAACCGATTCATCTGAACATTCTTGCTGACGCAGCTTGGTGTTACCCGAGGTTCCGTTCGTCATACGTCTAGGTATGATCGGGTTGTACAGTGGCTTGCACATGTTCTCTGATTGCTGATTGTCGGTTCACTGTCGGAAGGATTGTTCAGATCTTGACTGATACAACAATAACTACCGGTTGGGATGGGGATCTATTACATGGGATACAGATCTTGGGCTTCAATTAATAGGAGGTCTTGTGACGATGATAGCCACACTCAGTACGATCCAGGCTGCAGTTTGCATGTTCAAGGTCCTTCGTTTAAATGATCGTTGAGTATCTACTAAGTATAACGGTCTAGGTCTCGTCCTGTCGTAGAATCCTGATGCTTTCGGTTCCAGTTTAGTACTCCTGAGTATTTGGTGTATCCACGAAGAAGTGTCTTCGTGTCCAATGTATGTTGCCTATACGCGTAGATATCTAATGGGAAATTTGATATTTGACTCGTGAAAGTGGGAAGATATCTCAAATGCTCCTTTAACTTTAAGTCATAACCAATATATTTAAGCTTATTAAATAGGATTTAATAGTTAATTAGAATATTAATAGCCATACTCAACTAAAATATCTTATATTTTACTAGCTTAGTATTAACTATAAAAAGAGATTAAAAATTAGATATCTAGTATGACACTTGCCAATCTGCTTGATCCAAATACGCTGTCCTAGCTATCTCATACAAGAGGTGCTTCGCCGACAGGTAATATCGAGCATAAGGAGGAAAAATAGAAGAAGAAATATTGATCCAGACATTTGCGAGGCTTTTCATGTGAGGCACCTCTCCCCATCTGGCACCGATGTCTGATGATTTTCTAATATGGCGCCGATAGGGCTACAGCTCGGTGCCCTATCTGCGAGCCTGGAATGGGAGAAAACTCGCGCTTAGCTGTCACATTATCCCCTTCCTGAAATGCTTGCCCTCAAGCGTTCGTAGCAGGAACGCGATCTTCCTTGTGATCTTCGACAAATCCGCCTTCCTTGGCGACTTTTAACCATATATCCAAGCGAACTGGTGAACCTGGCTTGTTGGAATACTGTTCATGGAAAGCCCTCAGGGCCAACGGTGCATTCTCTAGATATCCAGTAGGATACCACTTTGGATCCGGGTCATAACCTATCCAACTGACCTTATAGCGCAGGCTCTTCCACATAATTCAGGAATTCAATATTTTGTCAATCACCCACTTCAAATTCCTGTTGACCTGCAGCTCCGAGATGGTTCTTCCAATTAACCCTATAGTGGCTCTATGGAGGCGGCTACGTGGAGCTTGTCAGATAAGAATATCCAGTGCACTTTGACACCCTCTAGCAACTCCAGTTCGTATGCATTACTGACTTGATGAACAATCTTAAATAGCCCCTCACTCTGGTAATCTAAATTCCAGCTTGGACGACCTGTATCCCCTCCTTCGTTGTTATTATAAATCTAATCGTCTTTGGCAAAGCTGACATCTCTCTATTTTCTATTTGTTTGCCGTGTTTGATGTTCATATACTGTCTTTACATTCTGCTGAGCATACTCCCAGATATTCTGAATCCGCTTTCTCTGCTTCTTTTCTATTTAAGATGAGACTCCGGGACGGTCCCAGTTTAATCCAATTAAAGGATTCATTGTTGATAGCCTTTCTTGACTATGAATAAAGACATTCTGTTACGGGCTAGTCCCGCCTAATGCTCACTATAAGGGCATATTCGAATAGAAAACGTAACACGAGGAAAGGAAAGAGAAAGAAAACAACAAGTTCTTCACGCATGTACAATCTTATATAGGCAAGGGAATCGGGAGCTTCTGACGGGCTTCTCTCTAGGAATAGCCTCATGTCCGGGTTGCTGAGATTGTTGGGGTTACCGGAGATCGACAGAGAGCGCTATTGTCAATATCCGGCCGGATATTGGGTGTCCACTCGTGATCTGGGAATAGCTTCATGTTCGGGGCTGTCGGGGATCGGCGAAAGGCGCTATTGTCAACATCCGTGAGGGCTTCGCCCGAACATGCTCATGAGGTCAGCTCATAACACATTCCCACAGACTCTTGAGGGAGACATGCTGCTGTAAATCTATAATAGGAAATATCTGAACTAACTATCGTCGCAAAATTGACGCAGGGTCAGATGCGCTGCTGTAGATATTGATTTGTTATCTTAGTTTGTCTCTCAGCTTGCACATGCCTCGCTGGAGACTTTTTAATCTTTATATGTAGGATTTAGTAGACTTTATTCTAGAATTTAGCTATAAATTGTCCGCCTCTATCTGATATAATACTATCTGGTAATCTAGTCTACGGAAAAATATATCTATTCCGCAGTTTTGCTATGTTCTTTGCTGTTATTGTCTTTCGGCATAGTATGGATACTAGTCGCTTGCTCAGGCGATCTACTGTAACAAAAACTGTATCGTAACCGTGTCAGTCCCTCGGGAATTCTATAAAGTCTACAGACAGGCGCTGCTAGGGTTGATCTAGAATAGGAAGTAATTGAAGCAATCTTGGAACCCAATCTCAGCTTGTATTCGTACATTTACATGTCTTGCGGTTATGTAAATGACTTACTATGTTCTTGCTGAGCGCCGGTACTTAGGTATGATTGAGATAGATACCAACAGTAAGTGAGATAGTAGAGCACTTTCTATTCCATTACACAAAGTGGACAACAATGAGAGAAGGTATACTACGGTGTATAGAAACAAGAAAAGGGAGTTTGTCACTCTACCTTGGAGGAAAAGCATGATCTGGTCCAGATTAAAGCGGTAAAAAGAATTAGATATACAATGTTAATAGGAAGGCTTGACACAGAACAGGAACATAAACAGAGTCAGTCATACTAGAACGAACATTAACTAAGCGTTCCTACTTTCATGTACGGTAGACTCCGCTACAGCTGCACACTTAGAGAAGATAGCCTTTGAGTTGGTCTATCAATCTTATCTCACTAGATCTTGGGAACCCTAGTTCAATGAAGTCTTAATTGCAAATACCAAGACACCATGCCAAAGCAGGAAGAGCATGGGGCTTTTAGGAGGATAGGTCGGAAACACGAATTGCATGTATCTGGCGCACTATCGTTCCCGATCACTCGATGCCTCCGATCACTCGATGCCCGTTTTACCCCGCTCCTACAAATAACATTCAAAATTCGATAATATGGTCAACGAAGCAGATATTTTAAAGGCAATTAGTGATCTAGAATCGCAAAAAAACGCCTCAATATGCCAAAACTGCCAGAAAATATAATCTTGAGCCTTCGACCCTAAGGCGCCGGTATAAAGGCCAGACCGTATCAAACTCCTTACAGATGCCCAAGAAGAAGTTCTTCTTCATCATATCTCGAAGCTCTCGTCGCGTGGATTACCTCCAACGCCTCAAATTCTCCGAAATCTTGTTGTAGAGCTTCTACAACATGATGTTGGGGAGTGCTGGATTCGTCGATTCTGTCACCGCTACCACGATCGAATTGACAGTGTTTATCTGAAAGCAATTGATCATTCTCGCAAAGTCGCTGATAACTCAGTACATTTTGAACATTTTTATAATACAGTATGAACTTTTTGACTGATTTCTTCTTTGAATTTTCGTTGATATGTTATCTAACTAACAAATATACTAAAGCTCACAGAGAAAGTCAAAAAATATCGCATCAGCCCATCAAATACCTATAACTTTGATGAGAAAGGATTCAATATAGGCCTCTGTCGTACTGAAAAGCGGATTGTCTCAAAATCTCAGCTCTGTTTAAAGAAATTACTTGGTGCAATTCAAGACGGGAGCACAGAATTTATTACTCTTATTGCATGTATTTGTGCTAATGGAATAGCAATTCCTCCAGCTCTTATTTACCAAGGCGAGTCAGGAGATCTACAAGATACTTGGCTTAAAGATTTTGACGGCTCAAGAGAGAAGGCATACTTTGCAACTTCTGAAAAGGGTTGGACAAATGAAGAGCTTGGATTTTCATGGCTAACCAAGATCTTTGACCCTCATACAAAGGCAAAAGCAGGCAATTCAAAGCGCCTTCTGCTTACAGATGGTCATTCAAGCCATGTTAATCTTCGTTTTATCGAATACTGTGATCGAAACAATATAATTCTCGGTATTTTACCTCCACACTCTACGCATCGATTACAGCCGCTTGACGTTGGAATCTTTCCACCTCTTGCAGGTGCTTATTCCCATGAGATTGATCGACTTACTCAATCGAGTAGTGGATTTTCAAGGATAACAAAAGCATCCTTTTGGCGATTATTCTATGCTGCATGGAAATCAACTTTAACATTGCAAAACATTCGATCAGCTTTTGCTGCACCGGGCATTCACCCTTTCAACCCACCAAAGGTTCTTAACATTCTCAAAAAAAAGACGCCATCGCCAATCTCAAGCGATATTGAAAATAAACGAAAGTCTCCAGGATCTGTTCGAGCAATTCGTCGTACACTCAAAGCCATTCGACAGGAAAAGAGTGATCTATCGGAGGCTACACAACTTGCTCTTAAAGCACTTCAAAAATATGCGGTACAGAATGAAATACTTGAACATCAGCAGCAAGGCTTGGTCGATGCATTAATTGGAGAGAAAAAAAGGCAGAAGCGAGGCCGGCCACTGGGTTTAATTAATAAGGATAATCCCGGTGAGGCACAATTCTTCTCACCAGGTAGAATTGAAGCTGCACGACAGCAAATACAAAATATTGAGTTACAAAAGGAACAAGGAAAGATCGAGGCAGCAAACCGACGTACACAAAAGGCATTTGCGCGCCAACAGAAGGCCCAAGAGATCCAGGAACGGCGAGAGACTCGAATCCGTGAACGAGAGGAGAAAAGGCGTCAAAAAGAACTTGAAAAGGAGCAACTTCGCGTGGCCCGGGAAGCCCAGAAGGAGGTAAAGCGAGCTAAAGAAAGGCCAGCAAAGCAGGTAAACACTAAAAAGAGGCGATACAGTAAGGTTATCGAGAGTAATGAGGAGGTTTCTTCAAAGAGGCCAAAAACAGGCATATCTCGTTCTGGGCGAGCGATCAACCTACCTATACGATTTAGGGATTAGATACTTATGCTGGTTTGTTCACCACACATTTTTATCTAATAATCTTAATTTTAATAATTATAACTTCATTTGTTGAAGATATATTATAAATTATAGAGCTTGGAGCAATTTTCGGAAGGGCGGGCATCGAGTGATCGGAGGCATCGAGTGATCGGGAACGATAGTGCCCTACTGGTAAGTTATAGGGTTAACCCCTCGGTCCCCTCCAGGCGTAATAAACATCATTCATTCATCCATTCATTCATCCATTCATTCATTTGCTCCAGTGTTAGCTGATAACTACTTTGGTACTAATTAATAATTCATTCTTTGCTAGCTGTATACGTACACTTAAACTATCTTAGTCTTCACCTAATAGTTGCGACAGGTCCGAAACATTAGACCCATTGATCTCACCTTAGTATAGAGACTTCTCCTAGGCGTTGTCATTCTCTGAATTCTTATTAGCTTCATCCATTTTCTCTATAGCTTTCAAATCACGGGTCTTCTTAAGAGACACTTATTAACTTAATAGCATGGCAACTTGCAGTTGAAGTATTTATTCTTTTCTATTAGCTGCTTTCATTCAGCGTATGAGAGGTTATTGCGAGACGCCTTATCTTTGGGCTTAGAGCTGGATTTATTACCAGTACAGTTACTATCCTTGTTGTTAGTGTTTCTATAGTGATGGGGATGAGCATAATTTTCTCCCTCTGCTATCTATTTTAACTGATTGGTAGCCGTGTGGTATTCTTGTATAAAGGCTTCATAGGAAATTGAGCTATCGATGCTCTCTTTGACCATGGCACACTGCATCTCAAAGGACAGCTTGTAATAAAACTCCTCCTTCCATTCTGCATGGGAAAATCCTGATTCTTGTGCAAGTAAACTTTGATAGAAAGGTCTAAAACTTCATCTCTTTCATGACCCATTGGTGTAGTTCCATCTTGGCATTGATCACTTGATTCTTGTCTAAATACGGAATTTTTAAATAATTGAAGATCTCCTGGATGTTACAGTACTACTTTGGGGAATCCTTGGAATTGGGGGAGGAGGTGATTTGCGGCTTTACTCTTACATATACTCTTTACATAAGCCGTACAAGTGAGAGCAGCAGGATAATAATCAATATTAGCCTCGAGCTTGTTCTCAACATCGATAAGTTATAATCTAAACTTTAGATCTTGTCCATTCGAAAGTGGCTATCCATCTGGGATCTTAATGCTCTTCTTTTTTCCACCTATAGAGACTGCCAACTGCGCATAGCATTGTTACGCTCCTCAATTAATTCTACTATAACGCGGTGATGCTTCTTTAACTGGTTTTTGAGATTTTTATTCTTCTCTAGGATGGTCATATCACCTACCTTAGTATTGTGTTGGTGGCTCTCTGCCTCCTCCAGTCTACGCTCTAACATGGTGGGGTGATTGTACAAAACTGTTAAATAGGATATCTAGATGTTGAGCTGTGAGAGACTGGAATTTGTTCCTACTCAAGGGTCCTCGGGTTTTGTCGTCCAAATCAAGTTCTTCAAGGTTGAGTGTCAGACGTCTACCAGTCTTACTAGTCTTTACGTCTCTTGTAGTTTTATCTCTAGGAGCCATCCCGACTGCCCCCTTCTTGGGTAGGTCTTGCTATATTGTTAGCTTCTCTAATCTCATGTAATCAATAAATGAAAATGTAGGAATAGCATATTCCCGAAGTATTCAATATGGGAGGAGATAAAAGGGGGATAAAAGGAAGTGAGTTAGAGGCGGCAGCTGTAGTTAGCCTAGCTTGGTTAGCTCGGCTTTGTTTACCTACACCTAGGTAGCTGAGCTCCTTTGGAGACTGGAGGAAGACACAACTGAATACAACAACCTCGAGCCTACACTTTACCTGTGTGCACACCCCTGTGATACCAACAGAAAAAGTGGTAATAGAAAAAAGAAGAAGAAAGACTTAGTGCTTAAGTGTTGATGATTAGGCTTTCAGAGTACAAAAGGGTAAAAGGGAGACATAAAAAGTATTCCTACGATCAGAGTGTTAGGCAATGAAGATGCTTGCTTTGCTGATTTGCATGAAATAATGAAGTAGAAAGGTGATTCTCAATATTATGTGATACTTGTCAATCTGCTTGATTCGAATACACTATCCTAACTATCTCATACAAGAGGTGCTTCGTCGACAGGCAATATCGAGCATAAGGAGGGAAATAGAAGAAATATTGCTCCAGACATCTGCGAGGCTGTTCGTGTGAGGCACCTCTCCCCATCTGGCACTGACTGATGTTGAGATGATTTCCTAATACGGCGCCGATAGGGCTACAGCTCGGTGCCCTATCTGCGAGCCAGGAACGGAAGGGAACTCGCGCTCCGCCGTCACATCTAGTGATTCCCTAGCTCCGGTATGATTACATACAGATTTCTATACACTTGTGTTACAGAATGTTCCATAATTGCAAGTAGCAGTACCTTTGTATGGTGACTAACTACGTACCCCTAACCCTACCTGGCCCTAATAATAAGTCCTAGCCACTGGTTTTTCTGCTTGGGGCAAGTCGCTACGATCATGGGTATCTCTGATGGCAGGATACTTAGAAATTGATAACGATGTCTTCAATCATTGCTTGGATCAGCGGGCAGCGGAATGGTATAGTTATAACTTTGGATGAATCCGCGAGGCCAATCCGAAGTCCCATTGATCGACGCGTTACAAGACGTGTCGGCGCCGGAAAAGAGATGCCAGTAGACATGAGGAGGAATCCTATTGATAATTGGTTTCATACAGCTGCACATACATAGATTGCTCCTGCTGCGGAGATATTCCAGCAAAGCAATTCATATTCTCTACTAGAGAAAGGCTCCCGAGTTGTAGCGCTAGTGAATTTTGGAAGCTATACCAAGCAGAAGTTCTGACAGGAAGCACTTATGATCGTATAATCATAATACCCACCTTAATATTCACCCTTGTGGTTACATTATGGAATACTTAATCCCTCGATAGTTCTTGCTTTTGACTCTGTATGTCACATCCACCAACCAATTTGGATCTGACTTTCCTCTTTCGGTGAATCCTCGGTATTGCTATTCGGACCTAGCTGTCGTCTAGGGCCTGGTAGATTATGAGGTTCACGACGGTGACTCTAATATTTGTCGACCTAGTTACAGAGTGAATGAGCGATATGCATTCTAGACCTAATATGTGTGTATAAGGTATCCAAGCATAATATAAATATAGCGACCAGAGAAAATACGTTCATGTGATCTCCAAGCCCTAATTGATGGAGGCAGTTGAATTGTACCGTGTATTGGTAATACTATTTCTCTAACTTGTATCGTTGTCGATACAGAGTATTACCGCAACCAGATACGTGGTAAAATTTTACCCAAATTAGGAAATATTTGATATCATCACGCAATTCCTCCCCCGTCGTTGGCAATGTTCTCCTACACCATCTAGATAATAACGATTGGCCGGCAAGACACAGCACGTTTATAGACAAAAGCTGAGGATAAGAACGGCGATTTGACCGAATCACAATCATTGTCGTTGCCATGCTCAGTGAAATCACGACATTTGGTCTCCTCTTCGTACAAGAGTGGGAATGCCCCATCTTTATAGAGCTGATCTTAACGTTAATATATAGCAAGTAATCTATACTCGCATTTAATACGCTCATTTTTCTTATCTTGGGGTAACGGATTCAATCTAGACAAGAAATGACGCGACAAAGATCCATTTCCCCTCCTATATCGCAATCTTGTTCACGTAAGCCATCAACGAGTCAGCCAGATGTCCCTGTTTATAATGACTTCTTTTTGTACATTGACTCCTGTTACCGGAGGTGTCTTAATGTCCTCATATGCGTAATCGGTGTCGTTATCAAATCTATCCCAGTTCAACTTGCCGTCACAGTACACCCACAATTACCGACTCCAACACTCACTCAAACGGGGATACCTATACACATGAGGGACAATCGCGAAAGTAGCTTTTTTCTTCGCAGGGTTCGGCGACCACTTTCAGTGTGCAAAAGTAATATACTCAAAATGGCAACGACAACGACTACATGGATAACGACGACCGATTCTATATCCCACAAACATGACTTTACGGAGTCGAGAAACGATTCATATTTGAGAAGCAGCAGCAGCACTCTACGGCCCTTACCCCTTACAGAAGAACAAAATATTATAAAGAAAGAGGCATATACGGAAACCGCTGAAATAAAGACTACAAACATCGAGCAACATTCAGTTCCTGTTCCGGTTGTCGATAAATTGGCTGCGACACAGAATGCGCTGCTGCTACATGCTATAAAAGAAAAATATACGCTTGTGACGGATCATGCGATTCCCTCTATACATCATCAGGATGAGATTCTTATTGAAGTTTCGGCTATTGGATTGAATCCAATCGACTGGAAAGCGCCGTATGTTCTTTTTTTTTTTTTTAATCTCTTCCCGGGAATAAAATAAACGAGCAACAAAAAGCTGATGATTCTATATAGTGCTTTTAACTTTGGTATTCCTAGTTTACCCTGGGTTTTTGGTCGCGATTTGGCTGGCAAAGTCATCAAAACCTCTTCTTCATCTTCCCGACTGCAAGTTGGCGACCTTGTGCTCGTCCCCTCGACAGATTATCGTGACATTCGCAAAGCGGCATTTCAAGAATACGCCGTGACCACGCACTATAACGCAGCTAAGATTCCGCCGACAACATCGATACACGGTGGAGCATCAATAGGCGTTGCTTATGTAGCGGCGGCGTTGGCATTGGGAGTTTCGTTTGGTCTAGACTTTGGGCTTGCGCGGAGCGTTCCGGGACCGGACTTGAGGACTATATTAAAGAGTGTGAATGCGCAGGATATTCCAGAGGATGTTCGTCCGGAGTGTCTTCCTTCATCAGAAGCAGGGGCTGAACGAGTGAAGAAGGGTGATTGGATAGCTATATGGGGAGGTAGGCAATCTCTTTTCCCTATCCAAAACTTTGTCAGCTGACAAAGTACAGCATCTACAACTACAGGCTACATAGCCTTACAACTTGCAAAACTTTGCGGACTCAAAGTCATATGTATAGCAGATATCGCCCGACACGGGCAAAGACTTCATGCTCTCGGTGCCGATATCCTAGTCGATCGACACGATACCAATCGCGCCGTTGATATAATCCGAGGAGTCACAAACGGTCAATTACGATTCGGCATCGACATTGTCGGACGCGACACAGCCACCATTTTAGAAAAGGCATTATCTCAACCTCATAAAGAGGGAGGAAACGAGCCGCAGTCTCACTTATTAGGTCTTACTGGATCACCAAAGGAGAAAAAGGACGGGATTGTCTATCATACTGTGCCTATCAAAATATTCCATGAATCTCCGCAAGTTGGTGAAGGGTTGGTTAAATGGTTGGAGAATCTGTTGGAGTATAAGGCGTTGACACCACCAGAAGTGGTTATTAGAGACGAGGGCGGTTTAGGCGGAATTAACGATGCGTTGGATTTGTTGAGGAGTGGTGAAGTGAGTGGGAAGAGGATTGTTGTTGATTTGAGAAGGGGCGATGTCAAGCAGAGCACCATTCAATGATCTCGCTCCGGCGTCGGATTAACGTGTCATTCAATGTATATGTTTACGAATTTGCATTAGTATAGATTTGAGTAGAAAAAATGATACATTCTAGATAGAAGATTGATATCTCGGTGGACATGTGCCATGCAAACAGCTTTCCTGATGCTTATAGTAAGATGCCTTCAAAATCTCTATCCTCCTTATATAACCAGGTTGAATAATACCGTCGACGGACGTATCAATATGATGCACTCTTTTAAAATTTTCAACACGACGGCTTGTCCGATTTTTATTTCTTTCAAAGCTTTCTTGATTATCTATGGCGGTCACGCCATTATTCGACCGTCTTGCGTTCAATTTGTTAGTATGTAATTTCTGTATTTTTTGTATCCGGTATGGTTGTAATTTTGGTCTTTTAGGGCTTCGGAAGTAGACAGCAGTGAGGGGTTGCAATTCTCGCAGGTGAACATAGTTTTAACACTCTAATGAACATCGTGCTGCTTAACGAGTGTACTAGATTGACTGTATTAGGTGTAGACGCTGTACAATATCTGTAACCAGGCATTGTTTCGACGCTGTTGATAAACTGACATGAACTATCTAATTAACCCTTTACTATACATCCCACCAACCCTCAAAATGCGTCCTCAAATCAATATCATCCGTCTTTTTTAAATGCGGCGTCAAGTTGACACTGTCATCATTCAAACTCTCTCGAGTGGTCCACCCATTCCCAAGCCATGCGAATCGATTACCACTCTTGTTCGTATATGTATACTCGTAATCCTCCCATCTGGGATCTCTCAGGATATAGTTCACAGCAGCTGCGCTACCAGGGAACAAACCAACTACACGACCTCCAGGGATACCACCATTGTACCATGATGAGCAGTTCTTATTGCTTTCCGATGAATCGTCGTTCGCGGTCCACACAGTTCGCTCATAGAATTGCTCGGCGTACTCTTGGAAGTCATTTGTAGCCTCAAAAGAAGGTGTTATAGTGGCTATTCCCTGACTGCGTAATTTTCGAATCACTTTGGCGATGTATGTTACTTGATTTTCGACACTGTTGGGTACGGTGCCACTGAATCCGGAGGACGCCGGACCAAGAATCCAAGCGATATTGGGAATACCCGGCGCAGTGACTCCGAGGTAAGTCAATGGATACCCGTAGAGTCCATCGGGCTTCCATGCCTCTTGCAAATTGATCCCGTTCGCAACTATGGGGAAATGTGGCGCCATGTCGATATGCGCACCAGTAGAGCAGATCACGACATCCACTTCCCTCTCGGTTCCGTCCACAGTGACAATTCCCTTTTCTGTGAATTTCTGAATCCGGTCCTGGATATAGCTCACATTCGGCTTCGATAGAGCCTCCAAATAACCCGGTCCCGGAGTGGGACGACGACAATTAGGCGGGAAATCAGGGATAATCTTATCCACTAAACTAGGGTCAACTCGTTTAAGCATGAGTTCTGTCCATTTGGCACGAAGCTCCTTGTTTTGAGGGTGATTCTTGAAAATAACACCAAACCGACGGAAGTAGTCTGCTTCCACCTTCTTGCGATATTCAAGATATTTCTCTGAATCCCTGAATGACTCCTTATCTTCTTCGCTGATGAGATTTGGTTCAAGTCTGCGTACGCTGGCTGCATTGAACGAGTCCACGACCCAGGTACGGTTGCGGGCGTAGTGATCAATGTGACTACCTATTGGTTGTATAGATGGTAGAACTTGCAGACCGGAAGCGCCGTTGCCGATAAGTGCGATTCGTTTTCCTTTCAAATCGACGTTGTGGTTCCAGTTTGATGAGTGGAAGAGCGGGCCTTTAAATGATTCGATGCCCTCGTAGTCAGGAAGTTTCCAGGCATTGAAGTGACCTATGGCGGATATGACAAAGTCTAGTTTCTCTTCGTATACCTTCATCTACTTTTAGCTTCGTTGATTCTCCAAAAAAAAGACGAATTCACAATCTTACCTTATCAGTATTCAAATCTTTAATAGTCAATTTCCATTTGACTTCGTCATTGAACCATTCCACTTTCAAGACTCTTTGCTTTGATTTCAAACGTTCATAAACACCATATTTCTTAGCCACACCCTGCCAATATTCCCGAATTTCATGACCCTGTGCGAATTCCTCGGTCCATTGAGTATTTGGTGCGAAGTTGGATTGGTATACATGCGCAGGAATATCGCAACGAACACCGGGATATGTATTCTCAAACCACGTTCCGCCCTATGAAATGGGCATCAGTCGCTAGAACTTGGACAAGTAGGTGTATTATTGTAACTCACAACATCCGCATTCTTGTCGTATACAGTCAAGTCGATACCAGGTAGCTTTGCACTTAACAATGCTGCTGCAGAGATGCCTGATAAACCTGCACCGATTATCCCGACTTTGATATCGCGAACTTGATCGATAGGATGTTCCTCAATCGCGAATTTGGGCTTGGAATTGGTTGCCTCTTTTGCCTCAACCTTCGTCTCTGGAAGAGGGGAAACGCTTGTTTTCAAGGTCGTTTTGATTTCATTCGAGTCAATCGCATGGCCGTTTACGACCGTAACGGGGACCGGATTCTCTTGGACGAGAGTCATTGCGGTAGAATCGCACTATCAATATTCACCCAAATATGAGATAGAAAGAAAATTATCAAACATCATGACAAGAGGTGATCTCGCCAGAGATATACCTTTTGAAACAGTGCATCTATGTTCCGAGTCTCGCCATCATGCAATCACGTTATTCGCGATCCGATAGCAGAATATCGAATGCCCCTCAGTGGATCGAGACTTCTTAACAACACGATAGTTACTTGACAAAGAGCGCTGCTATGTGTGTTGCTGTAAATTACCAAGAAACAAACTGTTCTGTGTAATGAACCGTACAGTAAATGTTATTTCAATACAACAGTTGAAATACCGGAACATGTACTGAAAAGAACGTATCTTATCCGTTATTAGGGCATCTACAATCACATGACATACACTGCAAACTGAGGACTTGCGACGATCTTACATTGACGAGAAAACAAGCTCCACACGCTAATTCACCCAGAAGATCATTCCTAATTAAAACAGTCGAATTTCCTGGGTCGGAAACTATCGCGATTGAGGCCGTTTCCCACCAGCCTAAGCTACACGCCGGCTTACCTTCCGAAAATCAAGGATCTCTTCCCATCGATAGTCAAACTTCCTAAGATTTGTGCTCGGCTTTCGCTGTAGTGAGTGTACTGTGGAGTACTATGGTGTCATGTATATGTTCAAGGCTGATTCTCTCGTTCAGAGCATGGGGTGGGTTCATGCCAAGCAAAAAGTTCAACGAGATACGTGCTTGATCTCAAAAGAATGCTCCGAAATGCGCAGGAAAGCTACGTCGAGTCAGAGAGAGTTTTTACGACGCGTTAGGTACTGATAAGTAATCTTCCTGTTAGCTCGTTATACACTACGTGAGCTATCATGTGAACCAGGAAAAGTACATAAGTAGAATTTGAGAAAGTATATATAGCAAGTAATACCTCTGCGGTTCTCCTCCAAAGATCGACGATCAGAAAGCCTATCCTTGTAGAAGATGTCGTCTGAAAGTCTTGTCCCTCTCTCCCAGGGAGCTGGATATGGTGTTGTGGTGGGCATCGGTCTGGTTTTTGGTATCGGCATGGTACTGGTCAACCGTTTTCTCGAGCGATATCTCAATGAAAAGTCAGACCATACGGAGATGTAAGTCAACTAACTCGCTCGGCTCAAAATATCTGTGCATACTAATCATTTTTCAGGTTCATGGTTGCGAACCGCAGCGTGGGAACAGGGTTGACAGCGTCGGCTGTGGTATCGTCTTGGATGTGGGCGTATGTACTTGCCCGTTACACATTTGCCAGATTATTACTGAAAAGGACCGTTTCGTTTAGGACTGCTATTATCTGGACTACAGCCCAAGGCTACCTGTATGGAATTGCAGCTCCATTTTGGTATGCGGCTGGAGTTTCCATCCAGATTGCGTTGATGACAGTTTTGGCTATTCATGCCAAAGTCAAGGTGCCGTAAGTATTACATCCAGTCAACTAGTGAATTTACTTGCTGATTAATGTTCAATAAATAGTAATGGACATACTGTTCTAGAGATCGTGCGATTGCGTTATGGCACGGCGGCACATATCATTTACATCTTCCTCTGCTTCGCCACGAATTTATTATCCGTCACTGCAATGATTCTCGGCGCTGCAGGTGTAATAACCTCACTGACAGGAATGCATATTGTTGCTTCAACCTTTTTATTGCCCCTAGGTGTGATTGTTTATACGGTTGCAGGAGGACTGAAGGCGACTTTCTTGACTGATTATGTGTATGTCTATAGAGATATTGATACATACAACGAGAGTGCTAACAAGTATAGGATAGACACACGCTGATTGTTATGGTAATTCTGGCATTCCTCACTATCAAAGTGATCAACAATTCAGCCATCACCGGCCTCAGCTCTTTCTACGATGTGTTAGTCGAAGCGGACAAGACAAGAGACATCCCGGGAAACTATAAGGGCTCCATTCTCTCATTCAAATCGAAGAGTTCTATTATTTTTGGCTTGGTTCATTCTTTCGGAGACTTTGCTCTGGTATTATGGATACGAGTTTTTGGCAGAAGGGTACGTGGCCGATCTCTAGGAAACAACTAGAGGCCTCTGACAACATGTTACAGGGTTTGCTGCCGATACAGCAGCTACAATGGTGAGCTCCCAGGTTGGCTAATGACCTAAGCAAATTCTAACTAAAGACACAATAGCCAGGATATATGCTAGGAGGAATTGCTTATTTCGCGGTGCCGTGGGCTGTAAGTACAATTCATCGGTGCTAGCGATGTATTCAACTAATGCAACATAGGTTGGAACAACCACTGGTCTCGCTGCGATTGCCTTGGAAAGATCTCCTATATTCCCAACGTACCCAAGAGTAAGACTCCCTTGAGTACTTCCTGTACAGATCGATACTAACTAAATATCCGACAACCAGTTGATGACGACGGAAGAAATCAACGCTGGCTACGTCCTCCCGTACACCGTCATGGCCATAGCCGGAAAAGGAGGTGCCTGGGCATTACTTCTCGTCGTGTTCATGTGCGTGACCAGCACAACTTCCGCTGAATTGATTGCCGTTTCCAGTATATTCTCTTTCGACATCTACCGGACTTATATCAACCCGAAAGCCCAAGATCATCAGGTCATTCGAGTATCTCACTGGACGGTTATCGTTTTCGGGGTTTTTGCATCTGCGTTTGCAACTGCTCTTCACTACGGAGGCATTGATTTGAATTGGATGGGATACTTTTTGGCTACGATTATCTGTCCGGGGATGTTTCCGTTGGCTTTTACTATACTGTGGAAAAAGCAATCTGCACCAGCTGCGACTATTGCTCCGCTTTTAGGCTTGGTGAGGCACTTTTGTAATGCATGATATACCATGAATTCTAATGGGTGAAATCAGGCAAGTGGTATTGCGGTCTGGTTGGGAACTGCGTACGCATATAGTGGGGAGTTGAGCATCTTATCCACAGAGGCACAATTGCCTTGTCTCTGGGGAGCGCTCACTTCGACGTTCTCTTCGGCAATCTACTCGATTGTGATAACCTATATCAAGGCATGATCATACATTTATCACCTTCTACCTGAAATTCTAACTGAAGAACTATAGCCCGATGACTTTGACTGGAGAGTGTTCCTACTATTGAGCGAGGTCAAAGACGAAAGTGACGAAGATACCTCAACAAACAGTCCCGTCAAAGATATTAAAGATCTCAATAGTGTCACGCATCCATATCCGCCTCAGGAGTTGAAACGAATGAACCGAGCTGCTACTCTAGCAGCTATCTTCAGCGCGATAATCGGGCTTGTTACCTGGGTCGTATGGCCATTGCCATTATACAGGGACTACATATTTGGTAAATCAGTACGTTCTGATATAATGTCTTCATATATGAATGTATCTTCCTAGCTGACTGATTTAGTTCTTCATGGGTTGGACCGCTGTTTCAGAGATATGGTTATTCTTCTGCATTCTGGTTGCGGTCGTATATCCAGTCGTTGATGGTCGTAAAGTCCTGGCACGTGCATTCACCCTGTTCTATCAATCTCTCTCAGGGAAGAAAGATTTACAGTCAACTAGTCCGCAAGGTGAGACCTCTCCATCTCCTGCAGAGGTGAAAGAAGCTGCTGTCTCCGTTCAGAACCGTTCGGGGGTTTTGGAAAAGTCGGACTAAGCTCTTGCATGGAAGTCTCCTTGAAGGATCAAAAAATGGGAGGATATAGCGATTAAGTTGTCTCGCTTGGTGAGAAGTGGTGAGAGCAGGTATATAGAGCATAGACTTAAAATACAATACAGTACATTATTTTTACATGAATTGTTTATCTCTCAATACATGTAATTTACGTGTGTATCTGTATCGTGACAATACGTCTGAGACCCAAGGTAATAAATCGTAGCCACTCCAACCACTCAACTTCATGAAAAGAAACATCGGATTGACTTCCGTGTATTTCGCTTTTGTCGAACGAGACATGTGAATTGGTTTAACGGTCTCGTGGTGAATGTTGATGGCTCAAGATGGAGCTCAGATGGCGCAATTTCTCGGGCTCTGCTGAAGAAACGAGAGATACCGAGAGATGCCCTACGTAAGTATCTGCCCCGCGATGGACTACTGCAGATAATACTTAGTGAGGTACATGAGAACGTATAATTAGTTGCGTGACATAATTTAGCAAGAGGGGTAGTAAGGACCTTTGAGGATATCTTAAGAATCCCTTCTTTCGCTCAATTTCTTGCGCTCTGGGAGGTCATCTTTGCTGCTTGCAAGATACTCAGATCAATTACCAACATGGCAGAAACAAAACCAAAACCATGGATTCTCAATGCCTTTGCCATGTTCTCACCTGGTCACTTAGCTCCTGGTATGTACTCTGCCCAGCAACGCAAAATAGGACAGTTGTGCAGCACTAACAGTTTGAATTAGGGCTATGGAAACATCCCCGCGATCAAGCCGGCGACTTTGCGAATCTTGATTACTGGATCAACCTCGCAAAAATCCTAGAAGAAGGAAAATTCCACGGCTTGTTTCTCGCTGATCATCTCGGAATCTACGATGTATACAAGGGTCCTGCAAATCGTGAACCGGCTCTTCTCTCGGGTGCTCAATTCCCAATTGGGGATCCATTGTATGTACTATCGGACCCCCCCGACACTACTTTAAGCCGAATACTGATGAACGGGCGTCTATAGCCTTCTGATATCTGCCATGGCATCCGTCACGAAGTCACTGGGTTTCGGCGTCACGGCATCCACTACCTACGAACTATCGCCCTATGCTCTAGCTCGCAAATTCTCCACACTGGATCACCTCACACGGGGCCGAATTGGCTGGAATATTGTGACCTCTTTCCTTGACAGTGCAGCAAAAGCATACGGACTTGATGAACAGATTCCGCATGATGAACGCTATGCCCGTGCCGATGAGTATTTGGAGCTTACTTACAAGTTGTGGGAAGGAACGTGGCAGGATGGAGCTGTAAAGAAGGACCCTGAGACAAAGGTTTACAGTAATCCTTCGCAAGTTCGGGGAATCGAACATAATGGGTATGATTATCTCTGAAGCTCGGTACTCTGTATGCTGATTCATCTATTCCAGGAAATACTTCAAGAGCACCGCCGCGAACCAGCTTCCTCCGTCCAAGCAACGAACACCCCTTCTCTTTCAGGCCGGTGCATCATCGTAAGACTTTTATCTTCCTAATCATATATATCTAATTAACTAATTCATCCAGAGCCGGAAAGAAATTCGCCGCCAACCATTCCGAAGTAATGTTTCTTCCTGGTCTCGAACCCGAAAAGACAAGAATAATCGTCGACGACATGAGGTACGATCCAATTTTCCCCCCCTAATCAATACGTCAAAGGAATTTACTCAACTAACGACCATAGAAAACAACTAATCGAAGTCGGCCGTAAACCCGACAGCATCAAATTCGTCGCCGGCATGCTTGTCGTCGTCGACGAAACAGACGAAAAAGCCCAAGCCAAATATGAAGAATACCTCTCTTACGCCGATTTTGAAGGAACCGCCACCTTATTTGGCGGCTGGACGGGGGCTGATTTATCCAAATTCGAGGACGACGAGGACTTTGCCTTTACATCCGTGGCGGGTATTCAATCCTTGATTCAGAGTTGGTCCAAAACGATCCCCAACTCGAATGGATTGAAATGGACGAAACGCCGTATATTGCAAGAATTGAGTCTAGGAGGTGTGCATCCGCGTGCTGTTGGGTCACCGAGTACGGTGGCAGATATCTTGCAGCGATGGGTTGATGTTGCCGACGTGGACGGGTTCAATTTTTCATATACCGTCTCCCCGGGAACGTTCGAGGATATGATTAAGTATCTTTGGCCGGAGTTGAGGAAAAGAGGTGTTATCTGGGATGATTATGAGGTGCCGGGCGGTGCGACAAGGGAGAATTATTTCATGGATGGGAAAGGGCCGAGGGTTCGTGAGGATCATCCTGCGAAGAAGTTTGTGTGGAAGTAGACCCATTTTCGGGTATTTCAAGTCTTCAATTTGTAGAGTATTTATACCATGAGTCAGCTAGACATGCAAAATGAAAAGAAAAAGAGTTCATATAAAGTAACCATCTCCTAGTGAGACGGCTATGGTCTAATCTATCTAAAAAGGTGAACATGAATCAGACCACATAGTCTCTTCAGTTCGGGAATCAAAACAGTTTGTAAATGAAAAAAAGAAAATCGAATATAGAAATCTCTGCTCGGTCTCGTATATGTCCATGACGATGGGAAGTAAAAAGCCAATAACACAGCCAGAGCAAGCTTCCTGCATGGGACATAATCAGCAAACCAAGGGAGACATCTGAAAGAATAAGAAGAAATATGAAAGGATGTAATGTTCCATAGTACAAAAAATGCCAAAAGACAGGGGAACAGTAGCAACGGGCTAACGGAAAGATGTCAGCAATTTTTCTTCTTGAACTTGACTGAAACATGCTTTTTTCGTTCGTGGTGGATGTATAAAATTATAAAGGCTGAGTCAAATGTAGCATGAGGAGAAGCAGTCAAAGAAAGGGAAGAAAAGCATACAAGACGTAGGAATTTTAGGACATAATTCTGGTCGCATGTGTATACTCATGAGAATAAGAGCGAAAGACATGTACTGCGTAATATCTTCCACGAACTTAATAGCAGAATGAAAACTGAAAAAATTAAAGATTATCGCCCGCTGAATGATAGAGAAGAATATGAAACGTAAGAAAGGCATGGGAAAATAGGCCACATAGACATTTGAGATGCGTCTAGATCTGGTAGCTCGACTTGAGTCGTTGAGTTACTTGTGGAGGTAGCGTGGATAGGAAGGAGTCAAAGCTGGGAATCAGTTCTTGGTAACCTTTGAGCACCTGCAAATAAGATTAGCAAGGGCCTTAGAGTTATGAGAGTGAGCTGACATGCCTGTTGAAAAGATTGATGTAGATCTCGGTACTCTTCCTGAGCAAGAGACTTCTGAGGGAAAGAAGCTATACTGGTGAAATACTCGCCCAAACAGCTCTCCATTGCTTGTGGGTTGTGCATCACAACGCGGTTGAAGCCAAGGAACGCAGTCGCCTTTTCGCGTGAAAAGTCAACTTTCGTCATGGACTTAATAAACTCCTGAGCAAACTGTTGCAAGTGTGGAGCAAGCAACTCTGATTTGCTGATACCCAATCGGCCTAGAGCCACTGCAGCATTCTCATTCACTGAATCAATGACCATTTCGTTGGAGATGATAGCGAGCAATGCAGGATACAGCTTTTCGAGCCAAGGTCCCAGATCAGCCTTTTCGTCCAAGGCGATTTCACCGAGAGACCAGCAAGCATTGTTGACAACACTGAAAGCCGTTTCGTCTACGAGCGACTCGAGATCAAGTTGTTTGATTAATACAGGCATGATGGTTGGAATGTATGGTTGGAGCTGTGGGAAAATATGGATGGCACAGTCGCCCAGCAAAGCGTACGATGACTGGCGCACCTCGTTGTTAGGATCATTCATGCAGTAGCACAGCAGGTCGAAGAATTTTGGCTGTGAGTTTGCGACCAGTTGGCTGATCTCGTTAGATGGAACGGCTTGAATAATAGAACTCATCAAGTCAAGGCTAGTGATAAGGAAATCCTTATCTGGTTCGTCAATAGAAGGATCTTGTGCTGCTTGAACAGATTGCTGAATGTTGTCGTATACAATTTTGGAGCATCGCTGGATAATTGGAGCCGCGAACTGAGTAAAAACCTCTCCATAAGAATTAGCAACGTAACCAAGGCACTCAAGAAGAGGGAAGAGTTCCTGTGATTGGTCGGATATCCTGTTGTATCTATCAAGCAAAGCTGGCATCAGAAGATCGACGAGATGGGGTTTAGCCAGCTCTGACTGGACGCAATCAGCCAAGGTCTGAACACAGTCGTACAAGATATACATGTTGCGATCTTTGTATTTCTTGAAACATTCGACAAATTGTCGCAGGATTGGCTCGCAGTATGGGATCAAGCTGGCATCAGACTTTTCCTCAAGGCTGGCAAATGCAGATGCAGCAGCCTCCTGCACTTTCTTGTTGTTATCAAGCATGCGGCGAAGAATACCTTCCATCATCGGCTCGAAATATTGAGCGGATTGGTTGGGACCTTCGAGATGAGCAGCCCATTCAGAGTATCTACCCAAACACCAGCAAGTAATCTTCCGGACCACAGGTTCCGGGTCGTTGAGTAGAGAAATAAGGTATGGAATCAATTCGGGTAAGTGAGGAGTAACAGCATCCATACATCCATCAGCAACGGCACCAAGAGTCAAAACAGCCGCCTCACGGTTCGGCCACTGTTCATGCCGAAGGGTTTCTTTGAGGTATGGGAGAATAAGGTCGAAAACAGGAGAATGGTAAACGTTTGAAAAGATATCCAAAGCGGCAGCTGAGCACTTCCTCAATGTCCAGGCATCTTCAGGGTCATCGTCATCATAGTCAGTATCATCGTCGCTCAATTCTCCATCTTCCCGCTCTTCGATATGTTCTGGTTTTCCGCTTGCATCTGTACTTCCTTCTAATCTGGAACCCTTAGCCTTCGCGAACCGAGGTTTCAAATCTTCGGCGCGATCCTCTTCTTCGGCATCGTCGTTCTCCGCAGCCAACCGCTCCACCTCATCCTCGTCATATATCATACTCCGGAGCAACAATGGGACAATCTTGGGAAGGTATTGACCAAGTGCTTGTTGCAAAACCGGCTGCTCTCCAGCCGTGAGCCAAAACTCAGCTGCGTCCAGAGCAAGTTCGGGATCTTCATTGTTGTTCTGCTGAAGAATGATATAGTCCACCAAACCCGACATATGAGGAATAAGCTGCTCCGGCGCAATCTCTGCCAACTGCCCAAATGCTTGGCAAACGGTTCGGCGCACGTCTGTGGATGGATCGCTAGCGAGGCGGAAAAGATTAACCATGAAGGTATCAAAATTAGCAATCAAAGCGTGGGGCTTCATCGATAGGAAGATTTGAATTGTGCTGAGGGCAGTTGATCGAATCATCGAACTTTCGTTGCCCGTGAACTCCAACAAGCGAGGGATAATGACCTCCAGCGGTCTTTGACCGCCGTAGTCCTTGTCCAGGATTTTGCGATTGTCTTCGCAGACCTTTGCGACTGCTGACATGGCGGCTTCCTGAGTCTGCGATGTCACGTCACCCGAAGCGTTTGAAACAAGAGACAACAATTCCTGCAGCACTTCAGGCCAGGCAAGTAATCCTCCTTTTTGGATCAATGCCGTTATTATAGTACCCGCGGAGCTGCGAATCTGTGGGTTTGAATCTCGCAACCCCAATAAAGTCGCTCGGCGAACGAACACTAAGCTCTCCGGCGGAATTGCATTGTAAGCTATTTGTATCTTGGTTTTGAGATTGACGGCCGCCGAGAATCGGACAATGTCGTATGTGTTCTGATCCATGTCGACAGCCGCTGGAGGGATTTCAGTGCAAAACAGAAAGGTCAAATAATTCACGAAATCTGGGCTCGCTGTGGCTCTAGTGAGCATCTATACATAGTTCAACAAACATTAGTCCAACCATCCCTTCTGTTTCACTCTTCTGAATCGTGAAATACGACGCGGGGTCTAGATGGGACACCTGACCCTAAGAACGAAAAGAGTAAAGACATTTCAAACATACCATTTCAGCCTGTTTCTGAAGAGTCTTGTTATATGAATCCAAAGAGTCCCTGAGATAGCTGGCGAGCTGCCTCAATGGCTCTTCCTGCGGTTGCCATTCCATCTTTGCAAAATACTATAGACGGACCCGTCGCAGATGATGAAAAGGAACGAACCCACAACAATCGTAATTTCTGAAGGAGAAGGAACAAACGAGCACCAATTATCTCATGTAACTGCCCTCTATTCGAGAAGTTCGACGACTCAAGGTCGGCGCAAAGCTTGATTGTTGGCAACAAAATCTTTCGAGGTGGGAGGAACAGCGGGCTCGGCGGGGAAGTTTTTTGGTTCTTTCTGTCGTAGACAAGACGGGGCCGTCCCTTTGTAAGGGAGATAAACCGACTTCAGCAACAGCCTTTGAGAGAGGATAGGTGAAAAGCAGATGGAGAAAGAAAAGGAAAACTGAAATCTGGGGTGCAGAGTAGACAAGCTCACAGAGAAAATAGGTTGTTGTGTAGTCCCCTTTGCTGCCAAATCTGTCTCTCTGTGCAGGTGACTGGCAAGTGGGGTGGTGGTGGTCTGACCGCCTTTGAGTACCCAGCCATATCGCAACTGTTCACATTGTTGATGTACACAGAAAAAATATAAAAAAAAATAAATACAAAAATAAAAGGTTGATAGTAAGAATCAAATAAATTGAGTATGTGACATGATTATAGAGAATTTTGTAAGCATTATTGCTCAAAGCAGGGTTCCCATTGTCTATCTGACAATCTTAACCAACCAGTGACACTGTGTGAGACGGCATCTTTCATCTCATCATGAAATTCTAGCCCAGCCAGATATGGCTACTAATGAGTGCACGACTATATACATATATACCTAACCCAGTTCTGCTGATTATCATTGTCTCATTATGCCCAGACCAGCTTCTTAACATCATAAACAAGCTGCTCCAGATATCCCGTCCTCTTCTTAGCCTCGGCCAGCGAAATAATGTCTTTCTCCTCGATGATGGACTGGCTGTTACTCTCGTCTCCATCTTCTGCTCTTTGTGCTACCTTGATGGCTCGCTCGATCTCTTCACATATAGATTGAATAGCAACCTTTTCGCTAATGGCAGCATCCGAGGACGTGTTGTTGACTGTCGCCGAAGTGGACGTAGCAAGCGCTTTGAAAGCCATCAATCGCAGGGACGTCCGTTTTGTGCCGCTCAGCCAGGAATACAAGTTCCATTCCTCCTTTCTTTCGGACGTGTCTTGGAGATCTTGGCTGAAACTGCTCTGAAGTGACCGCGTGTTCACTCTAAAAGCACTGGAGTCGCTGGCTTGGTAGATGATTACCATACCGACATTGTGTTCCTCGTCGGTCTGAGCATCTGTTAAAACGGAGGTTATGTAGGTCCCATAGTGAATATGTCGAATGTCGCTCAGAGTAATCCGCTCAAACGAAAGGACCTTATCGGTATTCCAATCAAATCGACAGTTATAAAGCGCGGCATCTGTGAGCAATAGAACGGTCTCTTCAAAAGGAAAAGTTCGCAATGTGTTGGGCTGTCGAGGACTAAGCATAGCCCAGCCACCGACCAGCTCCTCCACATGATTGTCCACGACAAGCTTGCTACATGTCTCAATGGCGTTTTGTCGCAATTTCGTGATCGAAATTCCAGGATCAATGGTTTTCAGGTTATCTTGGAATTCGCTGAATACCTGAATGGACACATTACCAAGCAAATAATCAATACATGCCTGGGAGAAATAATCATTGACGATATTGTTGAAGTACCGCGATAGTGTCAAGCCGAAATCGTTCAGTGCTCCCCGATAATTCCTCTTTCTGGTCCGTGTATAATCACCCTTCAAAGCTGCAGTTGAAGAGTATTGTTTCGATATCGCATCTCCATTATCAGCCCAAAGAGTATTAAACCATTGTGTTGATGCGTCGCCCAACAGATCGATCGTATATCCCTCACTCTTCAATGCTTGTTCCAATGATCTCTGGCCAAAAGCGCACTGAGCGACTCCAGTACGATCTAAACAGTCCATGCAGTTAGTGCGTATAACGCCCGTCTGGTCCTTCAATACTCTATTTCCGAGTATTATCGTCTCCCCAAAGTCCATTGAAGTATCAACAAGTTTATCCACAAGGTACTTTACATTTTCGAACTTCATTCCGCGGCACTCATGATGGAAATCGAACCATTCAAAGCCTAATTTTAGATCACCGGACGTTTGGTTCTCATTGAAGTCTCGTGTGTAGGCCTCATACGCTTCGCCAATGTTCAGTTCCACTCCATGCCTATCGACAAGAGACACTATCTGTACTTTGCCGTATCTCCTGGCTAGGTCTCGGAAGTGACGAGCAAAGGCAAGCCGATTTGTCTCGTAGGTATGATGGAGCACAGGTATCGGTTTGAGCGAGTAAGGCGATTGAGTGAAATACAGCGGTATAGATCCGCGGACTTGTATGAGGGAGTATACTTTTCTTGATGGATCCCAACCTGGAGTGGATAGGATTTGCTCGGTCTCTACAGTATTGGCTGTATTGCCCTCGTCATCCACGCCGCGTCGGAGATATCTCAATCCGGGACGTTGGATAGACCTTCGAGATATCAACGTCAGGAGAAAATTCTGCTCCCGTGAATCTTCTGCCAACGTCTCACTTCTGGTCTCCTCTTTGACTACCGTAGCTGGCGGGGGTAAACCTTCCTCGGGATCTTCAACATCTTCAAGTGACTCCGCATGATTCTTTACAGACGCAACCGTGAATTCACGCTGGCCCACGAAACCTTGTATTAGTGGCAACACAAATGATCGCGCCGTGTCACCGCTATCGATAAATGGCTGTATTAAATGTCTATTCCAAAAGTACTGTGATTCGATATTTAGCTTCGGCGCAAAGCAATTCAATGGGAGAAGGATTGTCTTACTAGCCGATCAGCAAGTACATGTAGCGGCAAATGAGCAGCTCGAGGATCCTGACCAGAGTATCGTCGAGTCAAATCATAGTCATAAGAGAAGAAGAAATTGTTAGATGCAAATATCAGTTTCGTATATCTTAGCAATTTAGGCATAAGCTCTAGGGCCTTGCTGGACGTAAGTCGAGACTCGGATTCAACTTCCTCCGCAGCCTTTTCGACAACTGGTGCTGCCTCAGCTTCGGTTGAAACCTCATCGGATTCCGGCGAAAGAGGTTCTCGTTTTGATGGACATTGAACATTCGCTTTCTCGGTATCAAACGGAGTAGGATCGGACTGGGACCCGCGAGATGTCCCCGGTGCTCCCCATCGCTTCCTAGAAAACCAATCGAGCGCAAAACGACTATTACGGCCTTTATTCCCAATAACGTCTTGTGCAACCCCACTTTTTGAAAGCTCCTCCTGAGTATCAGCGCTCACTGCTGGCGTGGCTATTACGCCCTCATCGCCGCTATCAGTCTCGCTACCAGATAGCTCGCTGGTGGAAGCCTGGTCAGACTCTTCTCCACCTTGCTTTGAGATCTTTTGCGCCTGGATGATAGCGCGGTTTGCATCATCTTGGGACGATAGGGGGATAATAGCGACATTTGTAACCGCATAGATCGGCTTTCCCGATATTTGCGCGACTTCCTTGCGCTGTGTAATTGGTATCAGAAACGACGACGAAGCAATATTAAGCAATCCTAATCGTAAATTTTAGCACAGTATAGGGAATTATATCAGCTTGAAAGTGAGCATACCCACGAGCCCATACGCTTCCAAATACGGCGACGTCAGCTTCCCGTTGGATTCTTCAGAAGAAGCTTGCGAAAGCGACGTAATCGACCTCGTCTTGTAATCGATCTGGACTGACAGGTTTGAATTAATCGAATTCCGCTGTCCGCGATCATTCTGCTGTAAAATGAGCCCGTCGACTGTAGCGAAAATAACGAACTTTCTCACGAGACTAGGCATCTTGCGTGTTGACAGCCCCGCTGTCGCAACTTACCCGGCCGAGCAGGAAATATTGATACAATGAGGAACCAGTGTCGTTAGTTGTACGCACCGGAGAGGGTCGGCTAGACTCCAATCGATTGAAGCCGGTCTCGACAAAAGGAAAAGCACTGCATATTGAACGCCAATTGTCAAGTGAATGAAGTGAAGTACATCCGGATGGCTAGATCAAGTGCCCACCTGCCGGATAACGTCAGCCGAGCCTCTCATACTTTGAATAAGCTGCATTCATACCCCTTACCCATCGCCCAATGTCTTCGGAAAATATAAGAAGAGAGCCGGTACGGTACACATGTGAACCAATATCCAAGATGTTTTCTAGAGTACAAAAATTGGGTGACGGTGTGACAACGATATATACATCATGAGCCCAGCGCGACAAAACACCCTCACTGACCTCAACTGAATAAAAGAAGAATTGGTATAGCAAAAGAAAGCGCTGAGACTGGTCATCACCACCACCTGTTTTGGGACCTGATGCAATTTTCCTCCATTCCTGCCACCGATATTCCAACCTACTTATATTAACCGATCCCAAAATTAACGCCAAAAGAATTCAATAAAGTACAGAAACGCAAAGACGGGATTCCACAGGAACCTGTGTCTAAGCTTGGGTCTGGGAAGATAGACAACTCGAAGAAAAAGGTCCATTAAGCATATAGCTGGTTGAAATGTCGTTGAATAAAAAAAGATCATGCACGCATCACGTAATGTCGATTGACTAATCCTTCTGAATACAGTCATGAAGACACCACATTTCATCGATCGTCCTGTTTGGAGTGAAATGATGATCTGCTTTCATCGATATGCGATTTGCGTGTTGACCCCGGAGCACCATCGTCTTCCTCTCTCAGTTCAGTCAACCCTATAACGCCGTTCTCGGCGTCATACGCTCTCATAAGCCCTTCTCTGTCACCCTGTCCATTCAAGAACGCAATGCTCGAGGAGCTTCGCCGATGGGGATCCATGCTCCGGCGTGCCTGCATTGATCGCCTGGTGCCGAAGCTTGCAATTCCATCGGTAGGTACACCGTCGTCTTCGTCGTCTTTCGACGCTAGGGTTTGTCGGCCGTCTGGATCATGTCGAGACAGGTTGAGGAGATACACGCCAGAAAATATGACAAGGAAACCACAGAGGAGAGAGATGGTGTTCACAGCGTCGGTAGTATTGAAACCCTTGAAAAGGATAAAAGAAGCACACAATGTAGCCGTCGTGAAGGTGACGTAGTAGAGAGGATTTACGCTATTTGACCAGTTAACCGGCTAATTGGGCAACAGCTGAAATTTAATGGACTCACATGTTTGTGGAAAACTCGCTCAAAGCTTTGTTGAAATAGTTCATCTGTGTAAGGATGCAGAAAGCGGTGACAATCGCAAAAACGTAAGTTGAAGCATGCGTAAATTGATTGTTGCCGTTAAAAGTAAGTTTCAATGCAATTCCAAACGCCTTGATTGACATCACAGACACCGAACCGACGGTTGAGCAGATAGAAATATAAATGAGAGGATTCTTCTTTCCATGAACTGGCGCAACACGGTAAATCATGACGGTCGAAAAGATCGCTACAGCGGCACAGTAAAGAAGGAAGCCTGCCAATCATCAGCAACACAGACTATGTTATAGTATTCGCGTAGCCGTTGCATACCTGGACTCAGGGCATAGTCAAGAATCTCGTCAATTGTTTCAACGGGCTTGTCCGGAGGCGCATGGAGAACGATAACAACCGACCCGAGAAGGCACATGGCACAACCAAGTTTGCCCAGCGTGCCTAGTCGTTCATTGAGAAAGTAAGAGCCGAGCACAGCACTATTTATTGTCAATTCCCTGACTGCAATAGCACCAGAAGTAATCAACATACCCGATCAAAACGCTTAGAGCTCCTAAAGGTGTAACCAATATAGCCGGCGCGAAAGCATATGCCGCAAAGTTCGCAATCTCTCCAATAGCCACTGTATATATTCAGGATTAGCGGTTTTCTCAAGGCGGTACATTCGTGCTCGGACGTACGCGTAGCTATTCCTCCCCACCATATTGGGCTTCGTAAATATGAAAAGCCCTCTCCTTCGAAGCCGTGAGTTTCCGAAGCGTGCAATAATCCCTGGTATTGGCGTTAGCTGAATTGATCGCGTGAGATGAGCCGGATTCCGTTCGAAGACGAAGAATAAACGACGCCGAAGCATTGTACGTAACGCACTTTTTTAGTAATCACAAAACTAGTTCCTGAATCAGATGTTAGAGGCCAAGGTCGCAAAGAACAGAAGCAATGCTGGATCGAGGAACCTTACCTATCGCTAACGTCGAGACAATGGCCAATGCCAGTCCGACATACCTAAACAAGGCATTGCATTAGACTTCTGGTCGATTTATTTGAAAGACAAAATTGCATCAAGCCCTACTTGTCTGAAACCATATTCTATCACGGAGCTACTGCCCCAACGTATCGAATGCGCCAATCTGGTCAAGATGCGAAGCGACGCTCAATGGCATGCAGTAGTATTCCACATGCACGTATACCCGAGAAACCGACGATGCGCGGTACAATTCCCTGAGTTTTGTATGCGATGACAGCAACGAATTCTAGTGTTGTCGGAGACGGTGAAAAGTATATCGACTCGTAATTAGAAGTTGGATCGTGTAAAAGATCGGAGATGGTGCGGAAATGAACCAGCCACGTTCCGCTAGCCTGCCGTAGGGTTGTAAGAAATCCGGCGCAGAATCACCTCAATCGATCTGATGGCGGGATATGGAGAGTAAATGGGAGAGTGTCTGGTAGCCGGCGAGGTCGATGAGACAAAAGAAGCAGTTGTCAAGTTGTCCAGATCCAAGACAAAGCAAGAGATGTAGTTGGCCGGATCGCTCTCAGTGGGGGGTGCGACGAGTACGCGTGTTTCAAACGAATGACAAGCGGAGGACCGAGGCAAGCGTAAACAGAAAAACATAAAAACACTCTGAAATGAAATAATTAATCAGAAAGATATCGGTGCGTGCGATGATCCTGTGATAGTTCGTCAATGAAAGCGATCAACTGAGCTAGGAAAAGACGAAGCCACAATGTCATTTGATTGACTGGAGTCTGTGTCAGATAAGTGGACGGTCAGCTGAAACTGGTAGGCCTTAGAGCCTTGGAGCCTTGGAGCCTTAGATGGTGTGATGTTCCTGGCGAAAAGGGAAAGGCGCGAAAACGGCCAAAGGTGGCAGTGCTTAGCTGCCTTAGGCCATACGCTAGAGCTACTGCGCGGCCATCCTTAATTGGTCTGAGCATTCAGGGGCATCTCCAGGCGCTCCACAGTTGCTGCAACGCCCTGAAGACGATCTGAAACTGATCGATGACATACAGATATTGCACTGTAGCTAACTTAAGTTACAGAGTAGAGTTAATGAATGAAGCCTGTGTTGAAAACAGCCCTATTGCCCCTCAATCTGCTAGAAAATCGACTATACAGCCCTATATCACATTGGTCCTAACACTGACACTCGTGACAATTACTATGGTCCAAGACCATATTTTATCCATCCCATGTACTGCCGAACGCCGATGATTCGCCAAGGTATAATGAATTAAGCAAACCATGCGCCATCGTCAAATGCAACCCTATGTAGTAGAACAAATTCCTTAATGGAAATAAGTAATAAAAAACGCCAGGGAAAGACAAAAACAAAACAACACAGGGGGAAGGGGACAGATGTGGAGGGACACAGCTAGATCCTGCCTTGGTTACAGGTGAATCACCTCTAGGTAGGAGAGAGATAGGTAATACTGAGACCCGACGTTGACGTACCTATATATCAGTTAAAGTATGACGTATGATATTCACGTACCTTTATGCAAATCACCATCAATCCAAATGTCGCACTGTTTAAACCCTACCAGTCCAAGGCCGTTGCATACTAAGCCCGAGTCCTGGTGGCGATATTGAAGTTGACTAAACATCGAATTGAACTCACAGAGCGACCTCGGATAGAGAACGTGCAATAACAACGACCCTATGAAGACCGAGTTCGCTTTGTACCAGGACTTGACAATCCGTCAAAGTCAATTTCCTCCTCTTCGTCAGCACGGGATCTCTTCCCAATCGTGCTTCCTTGGCGCTTTAGCTCAGCGTTCTGCGTGTCGTCATTGGTAGCAGTCGCTTGTTCCACGGAAGTAGCATGACCATCGTCGATATGCGATTCATCAAGGCCATTATCGTCTCCCGTTTCGCGGTGACTTGCTTGTTCAGTATCGGCAAAAATGTCTTCATCTAAGCTGAGAAGGTCGTTGTCTGGTAGCTCAGGAAGATCTGAAATTTCCTGAGCATAATCGTGGCCCTCGGCCGCGTCGATCTTCGTACCAGTCCACAAGTTATCCGGCATGTCATCGTTGTTATCTACTAGTTCATTCGATGCGGATACTGTTTTGCTAGAAGCCTGGTCGAATTGATCAGCCACGTAGGAGTCATCATTATGCCCATCTTGCGAGACTAAAAGCTCTTCAGTATATTCAACTCCAGCCGCTGGCTCTTCACGATATTCCTCCTCGGCGTAATCGTCATAGTTTTCTTCACCGGTATCTTCACCATATTCGTCTTCCTTCTCGGTGAATTCTTGATCTGCGGTCTCTTCATCATCTTCGTAACCACCTCTCTTGTCATGTTGCTCAGTCGTAGGGGCGACTTCGGATGGATCTGTAGGTCCTGCTGTGGTGACATCATTTTCAGTGGAAGCATGTTCTTCACGATCTTCTTCGTCAACATGAGCTTCGAGCACTACAGCATGTTCATTCAATGAAGGGTCCTGGGTTCCACCGCCAGCAAAGTCAGTACCGCCCGCAACTACGGCATCTTGACCGGTAGCGGTTGATTCCTCCTGTTGTTGATGTTCAGACCCTGCACTCGGCTCGTTGTCTGATGTGTAAGGAGGCACGGTTTGCCCGATATTATCATGTGACTCCGGGTGTGGCTGGGTTTCAGTAAGTTCCTGACCTTCATTGTTGAGCTCACCATCCTCTTCTTCGTCGTGATGCTCCTGGGTGTTGGTCGTATCAATGCCAGCTTGCTCCGATTCTTCATGTGCCTCTACAAAGTCATCCTGAGCATCTTGTTGAAGGTCTTCGCGGGGTGCATCGTGACTTTCAGCCAACTCATCTTCAACACTATTGTTCTGTGCCTCCTCTTCTTCGCGGTGAGTCTGCTCGCCATGCTCATCTTCTTCAGGGTTTTGCTCTGACAAATCACCACGGCTAGAAACTTCCTTGTCTTCACCTTCCTCGTGCTCATATTCTTCTTCCCAGTTCTGTATATCGGAGATGCCTTTGCCTTGCATTGCCGCGTTCAGTAATGCTGCCAACTCCGAGGACAGGTTAGCTCTCGTATTGAGAGTTAGATATAGGGGCTCGGGCTGCTCAATGCCACTGTTACGACATAAGTGGAGGTATGTGTCAACAATCTGGGATAGCGTGAATTTGCATACGTGAGTATTGTCCTATGTCATCATTAGTACTAAGTATGAATAGGAAGGTGAGCCGAGCCATGACTTACCTCGCTTAGTTCAATACCTAGTGAATCGATATGAAACACTAACGATTCTTCATCAGATGCATGATCTCCAAGAATTGTACGGCACTCCTTGAAAAGCCGATCAATATTTTCATGCGCCAATCCTTCGTTCGCAAGGAAGTACGTCTCTGACGTGTCACCATGGAGCGGTGGGAACATGGAAATTTCACTTTCTTGATAGATAACTTTCACTGGGTGAATGTGCGGCTTATGTTGTTGTTCTACAAAATCGTGCTCATTTTCGACGACCACTAGGGTTTCGCCTGCATCGTTTAATCTGTTATTCTCGACATCGTCCGGCGCTCCTGCTAATCTGTCTTCGATACCAGGATCGATGATGGCGGTATCTGAAGGGACTTCCTTGGTTCCTTCGGCTACCTCATGAGCCTCGGCTGGATCATCAGGATGATGCTCGGTAACAGATTCGCCTTGTGCCTCCGTGATCGTAGATGGCTCCTCCACCTTTGACTCGTGTGGTCCCTCTTGAGTCGTCTCCCGATTAACAGTTTCTTGCAAAGCAGTCTGCGTTTCTTCTACAACTTCTTCAATATTCTGCTCTCCCACATCTCTGCTCACTTCCTCTTTCGCCTGATCGTCCGCAGGTTCAGCGGCTTCCGTTAGATTGACTTGATCCTGTTGCGTTGTGAAAGTCTCAAATGTAGAAGGAACAGTCTCGTCATTCTCTTCGTAATCTTCATCCACCATTTCAGACTCGACCGGCTCTTGAGTGGTGAAAAAGGTATTCTCAGCGTACTGCATATTACCATCGTTATTGTAGGTAGAAGTATCAGTAACTGTCATCTCAGGTACATCATCCATCATATCGGAATCATTAGTTAAGTCTCCTGCGGCTGCGCCGGGAGAAGCATCTTGTAGATCGAAGTCGTCGTCCACATTAGAAGGTTGATCTTCCATGATGTCGATATCGATTTCAAAATCGTCCACATGGCCAGTGTATGGAGACGCCATCTCCATGGTGTCTGCGAAGGGATCCTCCATGGCTGGAAGACCGAGTGAAGCAGCGTTCATAAGTCTTGGTCAAGATGAATCTTCGTCGACGCGTCGTGCTGAATGGGATCGTAAGGCTGTAGGGGGGGCTACCAGTCCCAGGTAACCAAAAACTGCCAAACCAAATAAAGCAGGCCCAAAGATAGACACTCTGTTACGTCCAGATACAAAGAGAGAGTCCGTCACATAGATGAGCAGACGTTGTTAGAAAATGTAATGAAAAGAAAGGAGTTTGACAAGAGGCGTTGAGTCGGAAAAGGTAAGAGTGACCCGCAGTAAGCGAAGGCCTAGTGGACCAATCACAGGCGGAGGCGGTGACAGTCCGTAGAGAACAACAAAGCGGGATGGCGGACAGACAAGAGTACAACTACGAACTCAGCTCATCTGGCCTGTCGTTAACGACCCCATTTTCTTCAGTTACCTTTTATTCTTCTGATTAATAGTATTTTAGTCGTTTCAATTGCTCGTATTGAGCTCAGAGTGATCATGGTCAGTTTTCCGGACGTGTGTTACTATCGCTACAGCTCCTAACCCTCCGCCGCACACAGGTCGTTCTAGCAGCCTCGATCTGCACCCGTGGGGGAAAAGCAGTACTTTCACGTCAATTCAGAGAGATCGCACGATCGCGTATTGAAGCCCTCCTGGCATCTTTTCCGAAACTCGCAGACTCGGGCACACAGCATACTACAGTCGAGCAGGACAATGTGCGCTTCGTCTATCAGCCCCTGGACGAGCTATACATCGTGCTTATCACCAACCGGCAATCAAACATCTTACAAGATATTGACAGTCTACACCTGTTTGCTCAAGTTACTACTAGCATCTGCAAAAGTCTAGACGAACGTGAAATTACACGAAATGCCTTTGAATTGCTCAGTGCCTTTGATGAGTTGGTCACTCTCGGCTACCGGGAGAATCTCTCTCTCAGTCAGATCAAAACCTTCTTAGAGATGGAGAGTCACGAAGAGAGGATTCAAGAGATTATTGAGAGGGTATACTATTGGTTTTCTGGTTTGACTTGTACGGGAAATACTAACAAACATGCAGAATAAAGAACTCGAGGCCAGTGAGGAGAGGAAGCGGAAAGCGAAACAATTGGAACTTCAGCGAAAAGAAGCTGCTCGCACAAGTCGTGGCATGGCAGCTCGACCTCCTTCATACCCCGTTTATACTCCGCCTACCAGACCGGCCGTTACAGATACCATCGATACCTACGAAGCCGAGAAGAAGAAATCGTTTGCCAAGTACGGATATTCCCCGTTCGAGTTCAGTTCCGAATACTAACTGAGAGTAGGCCAATACCAGTCCGCGGTAAGGGTATGCAGCTCGGGAAGAAATCCAAGACAACCGATATCTTTGAGAAAGTTCGCGAGGATCTCGGTCCGGAAGCAGAGGAGTCGGCTCCTCTCGTTTCTCCACAAGCAGCTACACCAGTCGCGTCTGAACCTCGAGCATCTTTGTCGGCTGACCGAGCAGCTGTGCACGTTACAGTCGCGGAGACAATCTCTGCGAAACTGACTCGAGAAGGCGCATTGAAATCGTTTGAGGTCAAGGGCGATCTACAGCTCCGAATCTCTGACCCAGCACTCACTAAAATCAAACTCGACTTACTCACCAACACTAGCCACGGCGCACAGTTCCGCACTCACCCTAATGTGGACAAGGCTTTATTCACTAACTCAAGTATCATTCAATTGAAGGACACTTCTAAACGATTCCCCACCAATAATTCTATTGGTGTTCTCCGATGGCGCGTTGCCAGCTCCGGCTCGGAGCATGCGGATGTTCTTCCAATCACATTCACCGTCTGGGTCAATAAAGGATCAGACTCGACCACAGTCACGGTGGAATATGAGCTTACTGGTACGGATAGCTTGCGGGATGTCTCTGTGACAATGCCATATGGTGCCACAGAACCATCAGTTACTAGCTTTGATGCTGTTTACGAAGTTGCCGGTGACAGTCTCGAATGGAACATTGGCTCCATCGACACGAGCAATGCTTCAGGCAGCTTCGAATATGAAGTTGTCGACCCCGATGCCGATGAGAATGAGTTCTTCCCAATGAGCGTTCACTTCTCCAAGACAGGTCCTTTCGTTGAGGTAGACGTCTCTAGCGTCTCCCTTCTTGATATGGATCAGGAAGTCAATTTTGCGAAAGATGTGAAGAGCGTTTCCGAAGGATTTATAATTGAGTAAAAGTATCTACTTGAGTTAATGAATGAGCCGGTTTGCGCGGTGTATGGTTGGTTTTTGTTTTTGTTCGTGTCTCAAAGGCCTCATAGATGCAAAAGTGATGTTGTGGATGCGCACTTAATAATGCAAGGTATATTTGAAACTTCAAGTCGTTAGCTTTTGGAGTACATTACGCGGCAAGACTCGCGTATAAACCACCATTTTCGCAGAGGTTCTGTGTCATTACAGTCTTCCGATCTCTAACGTGACTTTAGAATGACTTTCAATTTAATCCTACACCTTGTTCCGCCGAACACTTGCTTTCCGGCAGAATAACTAAGTTCGACAAGCGGAGGAGAGTCTTTAGCCCTAACGGCGTCGAAAGAGGACTGTCATCCAACCACGCATCTACAATATCAAGATTTCATAATCCACTATTGATAAGTTTAAATGGATAAGCGTTATGTCAGGGTGCGACTGTACTGCCTTTTACACAGAGTCACTATTTCATGAGCACCATCAGTCTTTGCTATCTTCAGGCCTGGAAGCACCACCTATCAAGGGAAAATCACGTCTTATCGTATTATTGACATACATATATTCACTCTTTTCTGCTCGCTGGTTTCTGAGGCCTCCTGTATAGCAGAATAATATGACCTTCGGCTTTCTGTGACGAATTATTTGTGCCAAAAGTTGATGGCATCTTTGATCCGGAATTGTTTTTCTGTCATGAACGCATCGAGTACAGACACCGTATGAATGCTTCGCGCTCCTTTGGTTGAGAATCAGATGAGCTCATCCACCACCTGCAGTGTCGGACTATCTCGAACAAATCTCTCCCACGTTACTGTGTAGTTATGTGAGCCCGATGGCCGCTCCAAAATTATCAATATATCCGATAGGCCGGATGCGAGACGGAGTGTTTGTATAATTTCAGCATCATAGCAGTAAAATTCCTGCCCAAAATCTCTGATCAAGTCTACAATATCAAGGTCACCTTTTCGGGGGAGACAGACGGGTGGTTCTCTCTGCATACTTGTTACTGATTTAGGAATCGGCACACCAAGACAGCAGTTTCCGATATGAGCAATATTTTCGTCAACAATCCAATGTCTTTATCTTGAACAATAAGCTCAGACTTAAGCAACCTCTATTTAACGCATCAGTTAAACAAAGATGGGGACAGCTTGAGCAGGTGGACATAAATGTACACAAAACTGAGAGGCGGAGTTGTGTCGGATTGGTAGGTTTATTCCAGGCCAATCCTGAGCAGTGGTTCACTGGGGTGAGAAATGAAGAAGTGACTAGCAAGATTGTGTGTATTGAGTTCTCTGTTTCTGTCTATCCATCAGGTTTCAAAGCCGGGTTTTTATAATTTTTATAAACATCTTTGGCGGGGTGATTTGTGAGCTATCATGAAGGGGAAACATTGGGCAGAAATCTTGGTACCCAGATATATGCCCTAAGGTGCCTTTTAGACTTGTAAGATCGAACAGCCGATATCTCTGCCTCGTTTGAAATCCGGATTATCTGACAAGTTGTGTGGTTTGTATGCGTAGAGGTGTGCAGTCTCGATACCCGCACTGCTTGATTGACTCAGCCTTCTCTAAATACTTAGAACATAATACCTCCATCTCATACATAAACCGAGAACTTATCTGAGGCAGCTCAGATTCCCGCGCGAATAGCTAATCGTAACACCTAACATTTTTCTCCAATCTCGTCATGAAAACGAGACAAGTGATATCAGACGTCTCTGTGTTCTCATCTCCGTCATTGAATGTATTGAAAGCCTTGTGGCAGAACCAGGGTTGGGCATTCACTTTTCCAATTGGACATAAGTCTGGCATATGGGTTGCTCGGGCTGCCCTTTGGATTTACAGCTGTTTTCTTTACCTACTTCAGTTTCAACCGTTATTTAAGAATCAAAACATAAGACTGCGATTACCAGGTAAATCTATAATTGATCTTCGATACGGTTGCTCCGGTTATAATAATTTTGAGCACTGCTATCACCTTTTTGAATACAAATAATCCGATGAAACCACTGGCCCTAACACGCAAGCTCGGTGGTGATGCGGGTTTAAGGTCAACTAAGTCCGCTACTTACCACTTAAATGTCGGCCTTTAAATAAGAGAGACTGATTGATTTCCTCCGTACTTGCTGTTGGTTTTCTACAAGTGTTGGTACCAACCCACGAAGTATTGGCCACCGAGGTAATTAGGGCAAAAGTGGCCCGGAGTTATGATCCATTAATTCCGCCTTCCTAATATAGTAATTTTTGAGACGTTCGAAAGCCATTTTTGATCTTCCATTCTTGTGCTAATTTATCAATATATGAAAACCCAAATAGATCACATTCTGTAATAAATGCAAGACTTAATTTGCATAGTCACCCCCGGCTTTCTTATACTATGCCGCCACTCCTTGCGTTGAAGTCAAGATCTCGAGATACACCAACTATGTCATGCAAAGACTGGCTCGACATCCACGGCCATTTCTACCCTCCACAAGCACCCGGTGAGGCAGAGGCACTCGCTCAGTCCATGCGAGATGCTTGTTTCATGGTCAACGGTCCCGTGACGTGGGATGTTCAGTCAATTCTAGACTACAATGATCGAGCAAATATCCAGATGCAGATGCTCTCGTACATCCCACAAAATAGCCCCGAGAAACTTATAGCTGCTAATACATACGCAGCAGCCGTGGTAAAAGAATACCCTGATCGTTTTGGGCTTCTAGGGGCGCTCCCTACTGACGATCCGGACCTGTGCTTAAAAGAAATTGAGCGGTTGAGCACGACTCTTATACCTGCCGATGGCTTCGCAACATCTACAGTTTACAATGGCGTCGGATTAAGCGATTCTCACCTTGATCCAGTTTGGGAGGTGCTCAATGCTCGAAAGGCAGTTGTGCATATTCATCCAAATGCATACGCAGGACCATCACACGGCCGCCCATCACCGCTGATCGAGGTGGCTTTTGATACAGCGCGGACATGCGTTGATATGCTCTATAAGGGAGTGTTCCGTCGATATCCGGAGATCAAATTCGTTCTTGGTCATTGTGGTGGCGCTCTACCTGTCCTCTCTGGTCGACTGTCGTTGCTCGGTACAGAATCTTGGGTGCCGAATCCGAATAATCTTACGAGAGAAGAGATAGAGAAGCAACTCCGTGGTCTCTACGTTGACACGGCTGCCACTGCGAAGACGGGACTTCCACCTGCTGTGCAGATGGTGGGCGTCGAACATGTCATATATGGAGCAGACTGTGGAGTTCCATGTTCTACTGAGCAGACCATGGAGGAGAACAAAGCTGATGTACTGAGATGGGAATCGAGTAACGGTGTCTTCAAGGGAATGATTATGACGAACGGATGGCATCTATTCCCCCAAGCGGCGATCAGGGCCGGTATAGAATCGGATCTGAATCTGTGTATTTAAGTGGTATCATTCTTCCTTGCTTCTCAGCATCCATGACATCTCTTACTGTATATCTTCAGCAATTAATCTTACAATAGAGCTCGTTTCATGTTGAGATCTGAAATTCCTCGTGTTATTGAGCGCGGGGCTTTACATTGGTCGAGACCCTAATCATAAGTTCCTCATTATACCAGAACTTACAGGAAATATTGTTCTTAATTATGCATAAAGCGTTTGAATACTCGAATCCGAGTGACTATTGATGAATCCCTAATGAGCGGTAAAAGACGTCAATGTGGGCATCTTTTGATACTTTGTTCTCCACCCAGTTTCCAGCGGCAACCTAGGAATATAGGGTTTTAAATCGGATGGTTCATCGAAGCTCAGTCTGTGAGCCCAACAGTTTTTTTCAGGGGAAGATTATTGGAAGTTGAATCTAATGTGGGCCTTTATCGAACTTCAGACATCCCGGCAATACAAGCGCCAGCTTCTACGCTTCCTCAGATGCAAGATGAATCTCAACTCAATGGCCAACCCTCACTGGGTATGCAGTGAAATCCTCGAATCCTTGCCACATTCTTACTCAATAATACTGTCGCTAAGCTTTAAGATGTATCGTGGACCAAGTCAATTTTAGGTCTCTCAACGCGTCATAGATGAGGCTGCCTATGACTTTGAAGCTTGAAGACAGACATGGATGCTACCACATGGAGTATTCCCCTATAAGCTATCCATGGACGACGATGCTTTAAGAGAGCACTTGACACATTCTTATTCATGTATATCAAACACCCCAAAAAACTTTACCTAAAGCTAGTGGCTACCGGAAGCTTCCGTTACTCTCAGCAAGCATACTGCATGATATGGGGTCGGTTTTCCCATTTCTATATCAATGAGCTTCTATATGTCAAGATATTCCATAAAGGAGTACAAGATGCTGCTATCACGAAATTTGTTGCATACTTGCCACAGAAGTTGCCTCTCAAGGTCCATAACTGAATATGTATCGAACGGATATCCACTCCGAAAGCTCTCCCCAAGTGCTCACGTTCTAGCCCAACAATTGACTTCAAATGCAAAGTAAGGATTGGTAGGTTTTCCCTTACATAATACACGATATTTTCAACTCAATGACTTCTTTGGCCGCAGCTCAATTCCGAGTGTTCGCCGCCAGGGGCTCTTTCTCTGGGTAGCCTCATTCGATGTCGAAAGGTATGAGAAGTTTTTGACATGGATATATGGGTAGCGTTTACTTTCTTATGACGCTAGACCAAATTGTAAAAGTAAGCAAGCAAGACAAAATTCTCAATATTCTCTAGACTCCTTTATTAATTGAACTGTCAATTGATCTATCAGCCCATTCCATGATCTAGACCCATCTGCATGAGTCGTGTGCTATAACCAGTTACACTCATTATTGAAACCCTTGATTCAGTCAATACAATTTCAAAATCAGGTGACTATATTGCCATCAAGTTGTCTTTCTCGTCTCGTCTAGTGGCTGCCAGTGTGAGATCAAATGTTCATCGATGCTTGCCTGCGGCAATCCCCAATTCGCACCTTATAGCGCTTTTCGCCCACCTGGGACTTTTTCAACCTATGATATGGATGGATTGGGATATCCAAGATGGCAAATGCAACCAACTTGCTATTCACTTCCGTATCAAGAATCTGATCTATGCAGTCCTCCTTCAGCTACAGTAAGTTGACTCGGATAGCCCGCAGATGTTGTCTTGTATGGCTGAACATACAACTTCGATCAGGATGACCGACATTCTCCTCAGAAAGAAAGCGAAACAAAGAAGATGGCCATTCCTCGACTGCCCGAAGGAACAGAAGCGTCACTGAGCTCCCTAGGACGTTTTCATCGTCGTCATGTTCGTCGAGCATGCGAGTCATGCCGGCAAAGAAAGACTAAATGCACTGGGGACAAATCCGGATGCCGGAATTGCAGAGAAGCTGGAATCATTTGTTGTTATACTGATGGTAAAAGGGAAAAATCCAAGAGGTGTGTCCTGAATTGTGCTGCCGTGCTCCTATGATACTAAACGATATACACAAGACAACTCGCAACCCTGTCAGCCAAAGTTCAGACATATGAGGAGGTTATTAGAAAAATGAGCCTACGCTTCGGAGTCTCTGAGGAACAACTAATGAACAATGCTATATCTTCTGTATGTCCGACCACTCCGATGACTGGTCTATCCACCTAACCCCAAAACAACGGCAGGACTCAAAACAAGCTGTTCTCAGTGAGCAATCTGATGCATCATCAACATTAACCAAAGCTCGCTCTATCCTCGCTAGCGATGGGTCCCAGCGCAGGTCACAGTCTCCATCGGCTAGATCATCCGCTGGTACTGATCGAGTGGAGGAGGATTTCAACAAGGACAGCACATCTCGAGCTACCGGATATATTGGAAATAGTTCTGAGATGTGCTGGTTGCAAAAACTGCGCAAAAAGGTCAATGGTGACGTTCCAGAGACAGGCCAGTCATCTCCTCCTCCCACACCTCCTGGGAATGATGACGACGGTCTTATTGCCTCAATCAACTTTTACGCAGATAACAAGGAGTTTGACTTAACCGAAGACGTTCAGTCGGGTGCAATGCCTCCCAAGGACACTGCAAGCCAGCTTCTCAGGGCTTACTGGAGGTCTATCCACCTTTCGTTTCCCATCATCGGAAGGTCCACTTTCCAGTCACAATTCAACCTTTTCTTCAGTCAGCCGGGTGTCAAGCCCGGAAACAAGTGGCTGGCTATATTAAATCTTATCTTTGCCACATCTGCCGTGTACGCCCGGCTCGTTGGGGCAGATTGGAAGTTGGAATTGGAGCATCATAGTGTTTACTTCAAGAGGGCACGCATCTTGAGCATGCGAGATACACTTTTTGATCATCCGGATTTACAACAGCTTCAAATTGAAGGCTTGACATCTTTTTACCTTCTATCCACGGGGCAAATCAATCGGTAGGCAAGAGAGCCTCTCCAAACCAAACGTCTATCCTATACACAGACATACTAACTGCTCATTTTATCAGATCATGGAAAGTGTCCGGTAGTGCAGTTAGGGGAGCAATATCTCTCGGACTTCATCTTCGGAACGTGGGATCAACGACTTCAGACACATCGAAAGAAATTCGATATCGCGTCTGGTGGGCGTTGTACACTCTAGACCACATGCTGAATGTTATAACTGGTCGACCATCCTGTATCGTCGATGGAGCCTGCACAACACCTATCCCGATTCCTTTTGATGAGACTGAATTTCAGAAACCAGAGGCTGCTCAGATGCTCAGTAACCATACAAGAAAGGGGTCATGGATTAATGACTGGAATCCATCCTCTTCTAGCTTGCCAAGTCCATCTCAAAACGGTGAATCATCGACCGATAACACCGTTGCAATCAAATCTGAAGGAGAATCGTCGAGCAGTATCGAGTGGTTGAAATCGCTACCAGTATCATGCTCGTTGTACTTCTTTTACGTTGCCACCCTTGCCTCTATCTCAAAACGAGCAAACATGAAGCTCTATAGTGGCGAAGCAATGCAGGCATCTTGGGCAAGCCTCGAATTTACGATCCAGAGCTTGTCCATGGAGATTGATGCATGGCTCGCTAGTCTACCTGAAACGTTCGATTTCAGACTCCCCACGCCTGACAAGGAAAAACTGACGATATCTCAAAAGATGGGAATGGCTTTTGCATACTACAGTGCCAAGATCTCGATCAGTCGACCTTGTCTCTGTCAGCTTGAAAAGGACTGCCAGACTGACGGAGCATATGAGTTTTGCAACAAGACAGCCGCAGAATGCGTTGATGCTGCTACGCGGATGATCAACATACTACCTGCAACTATGGATACAAGTACGTTGTACAAGATATCTCCATGGTGGTGCACTCTTCATTACATTATGCAAGCCACCACTGTGTTGCTTTTAGAACTCTCGTTCCGAGCCGAACACGTCCCCGAAAGAGCCGGCGAGGTCTCGCAAGCATTGAAAAAAGCAGTCAAATGGCTATTTGAACTGTCTCATTCGAGTGATTCAGCTCATCGAGCATGGAAGCTCAGCGATGAATATCTTCGCAACCTGGCACCACCATTGAATCTTGACATTAGTGATCTGCCAGATAGTGAGATCCTGATGGACTCGTCGAACAATTTTGTCTCGGTATTGGAAAACTCGTTGCTGGACCAACAGGTCCCAGCTTTAATGCCGTACCTGGAGACAGACACCCTGGACTTTCTAGAGACACAGCAAACAGACGGCGAGACTCAGGGAACGATGCAGAACAACGCTTTCGACGATTTCCTACCTTATGACCCGAGCACAGGGCAAATCACCGGGTCATTCTTCCCATCATCATCGACGTCTAATCTTGATATGGACTTTGATTATATGTGGGACAGTTCTGTATTTTGAATGACTCTCGATCATTCTATTATTGTACAATCATTCATCTCATTACATGATCCCGGAACCCTACATAACATTCTTATTCTGTCATTACGCGAATCTATATGTGTATATTCGAGACTGTTCATAGAATGACTGTGTTTTGACTATAATAGGCTCTTATTTGTTTATCGACATTGTCGGATATTCCGCGTTATGTTATACGCGCCGAAGTACTACCTAGAGGATGAACATACCTACTTTTCTACACAGTAATCGAAAATGGGAGATTCATATAATCGGCGTCTTCTTTATACATCCTTTGTGATATTTCAAGACGCTCCAATGTGTGCGAATGTAGCGAATTAAATTTGCCTTCGTTCACGAAATCAATTGAAGCCCTCCACCAAACCGTACCTGATCGACCCAGGGGAATCAAGATGGATATTTTGGAAGTGGCCTTATCCAGGAACCATGGATCCATCGTATAGTCTAGAACAGTCGAGACAACATTCTAGACTACAAGATTAGCAAACTTGGCGAATATCGTTTCAGAGGCTCAAATGAACGATGATTCTCAAGAGAAGTATGGTGTTTTTAGGGCTTGCGGTAGGCCGTGGATGGGAATTTCTTGTATGGCAAGTGATGATAAGTTCAACAAGATAACCAGGTATGCAATGTCGACACAAATAAGAGATCAGCGGCGTGCAGCTTCTTGCATGACTAAACATGGAATGGCGTTGACGTCGTATTCAGCAAAAGAAGGCTCCAATTGAGAATCATCACCAACTCAGGTAACTCAGGTGGATATTTACATTGTTCAACAACCGGCGGCAAATCAAAATCTATATAGATAGGTGAGAATAATATGGTTACCACTTCATTACCGAGCAATTGGGTTATGAACTTGAGTGGTTTGGGGATGACAATATTCAATTGCGCTCAGACTCGACTTTTAGGAATTGACTCGAGTGGCTCAAGCCTATCACCACGAGGTACTGAGGTTTATTGGTCTTGTTGTGCTCAACAGTCCGATATTTCCTTGATTAGTTGATAGGGAAACGAGAGTAAAGCTTTAAAGGTTCAACTCTCCCAGTTCCTCTTCTTAGCCGTGAAGAAAAGCCTTGCTTCTTCTCTTTGCTGCTGTATAATATTAACCGGTGACGTCGTACTCGGTGCCACCGTTGTACCATTCTTGTCCAATGCAACAGATGACTTTGAAGTGTTTATGATGTCAATATATGACCTAGGGCTGCTCTTCCGGATCCCCATGATCTTTGCTCCACGAACATCAACTTTTTCGGCTCTTGACACACCAGAGGATCGCCAGGAATCCAGGTTAGCCTTTCTTTGGCTACCGCGCGTGCTCGACTTCCACATCATGACATCCGTTACTCCGACGAAAGCCCTTCGGTGACCAATAAAGCCATCAATACAATCTAATAGTGGAAGTAAACGCCGCCGGATTCCGCATCCGGTGTGATTGATATCAATTTGATAATCGGGTATTTGCCGCAGAGACGAGGTGATTGATAGTATATCAGTAGAGGCTACACCCGCCGTACGGTCAACCGCTTCATCGTAAGGACGGGTTTTCTCATGCGCAACTGATGTTCTCACGTGGCTCTTTTCTTCATCTTCATTATCATCATCGTTGTCGTCGTCTTCTTCTTCGGAGCCGTTCTCGTACCCAGGGTCAATTAACGTAGAGCCTACGAATATTGTCTTGGACCGCATCGTGAAGAACCGAACCATTTCACCAAGATGAAAGGAGTCACAGGCTTTGGAATTGTCAAACCCCCAACGGCACTGAAAAGGCCTAGAGGTCGACAAAACAGCTGTCATAAGCATATTATGCTTCGGTTGTGGCCTCTTGTGCTCGGCGTCGTTTTCCAATGCACCATATGCGCGTAAGAAATGAGCTTGTAAGTCTGTTATTGTGTTCATTATACATTGTCGTCGGTAATATAATTCTTCTTTTCATGATTGTCAGCTCGTCTCGGCAGAGTATCAGGTAGAACATACCTTCTAATCCATTGTCAAAATAAGACCAGCGGTGTCTTCCAGACTTGTTGAGTCCAATCCCACCATCGAGCCATCTGACTGACCCGATCAATACCAATGCATGCGAAGCTACTCTAAAAATTGTATCATGCTGTATAAACATTGCTATGTAGATGATTTGCCGCAACCTTTCGTCGCTAAGCTTCAACAAGGACGAGCTGAACACCTCTAGAGATGGGATGCCCTTGATAGAGGGTCGGTAATTCGCATGCTCCAAAGATACACTAACCATGTCTGAAGAGCTAAACACGTCTGCAACCTCTATCAAACCAGCAATCACTGGAACGGGTTGCCGAGCGATCTCTGATTCCATTTTAGAGATGAGATCAACATCATGGGCGGACAGTAGTACTTTGAGAAACAACTCGAGACTTTCTATCCGATGCTTGCCCATCAGACGGAATAGATTCAGTCCGACCAGCGGCAAACGCTCCGTTGATTCTTCTGCGGAAATATCATTGCACCCGATATCAAGTGTGGGTGTCGTCGACGCTCTACATTTGCTTTCAACGAAGCGTCTTCCCTCGGAGAACTTGTTCGGATCCAACAAAGCAGAGAAAAAAGGACTGGTCTCTATCAACCTATCGCTGGAGACCTGCCAGCGGTGATGTGTCACGTTTTTTTGTGAGTCGGTATCGATATATTCTAGGACAGCGTCGCCGTCACGGGATATTATTTTATGTATAATCTTCGAGCCATTCTGGGCGACTTCTATTCCACGATAGTCAGACGTGAAATTTGTCGGAGTAGCCACGCTATCCCTCTTTTGTGAGGAATTTGCTGAGTGCTTACTCAAATGGCCTGATGATGGTAGCGGAGGGAAGTCAGACTCCATGTTGAAAGCTCAGTACGTTGACACCAGAAGACGTGCACGAGGTTCTTCGTCTGCAATCACCAGTCTGAAGCTGTGGCTAGAAACATATCCGCACAGTCAAGGTTCTTATGGCAAATGACCATCATTCTGAGCTCTGCTCAATTTCAACGCTTAGAACATATCGCTCCTGCTTGGAGATACACACTATATTTTAACTTAGTATGTAGTTGATGTATAAATAAGAAGGACAAAGTTGCTAACATCGAAGAAAGTATTCATCGCCACTCCGCCGCCACGTGATCAGTGCACTATCAAAAATAACCCTAACCCTTTGATGCAAACGTAACCGTACTTCATTTGTCATTGGCAGCTCGTGTGCTTATACAGTCCACCATGATTTTGATTATCCTTACTCAAACTTGGCTTATAATTGTTGGTTTACCTCATTAGATCGCAAGATCTAATAAGGACAGCTAATCCAACAAGCTGACGAGCCTGATCAATATGGTATGGAATTCCTGATATTGATGACTCCCCCCCAAGAGCAAGGGGACGGGAGATAGCTAGCTAGATATATACGCGACACGCACATGCCGCGTCGGACTAACTAATATCCAGTGCCGAAACGCGTAGGGTTGATATTCACGTTCCAACAATAACATGCCTTCTGCTCATAGCCGCTTCGGTGTTTGTTGGAGGACAGCGATGTTGCTATCTGGAAAATAGCCCTCCGCAAGTAAGACTTTGATCGTAACATTCTAACCAACTTTGACAATCAAGAGCCTAATTTACTTTCCAATCAGGAGATCCCCAAAGCAGCATATCCAAGTATACGAACCGAAGGATCAAATGGGTTAGGACTGGGACCAGGTGATGGCAATCGATTGCATTCTGTCTCGAGCAATAGTGTCCAGTCCTGGTTTCCCATCACAAATGACATCGTGTATCAGATTCCCGGAAACATCTGCAAGGTGAAATGTCTGGTATTTTCGATCTTCAAGACGGAAATCGTAGTTTCGTTTGAACTCCAGGAAGAAGCCTGTAGCTTTTATTGCCGGTAACATGGATGGCCTTTCCCTTTTGCTCATCATCAACTGTGGGAATGTAAATGGCCCAGTGGGCAGGTCTGATACCGTTGGAATAGACAGCAAGATGGACTGCACAAGAATATCTCGAGACATGCTGTTTGAAGAATAAGCACCGACTGAAGTTATTTTCGAAAATCAGGAACAGCCCAGAAAGAGGTTGTAGTAACTTCCAAGATTATGACTCCAACCCACTCTCTCTAGTTGTAGACGACATTATCAGGCAGAAGAAGTCAAGTTTGAATAAAGCGTAATCGCTCTCATCTGTTCGAACAAAGAATAGGGCCTGAGCTTCAGGAGTTCAGACCATAGTAAGGCACAGTAATTGGCAGGCTGAAACGTTGATGCCTTAATGCCTGAAAAGAAAGGATTGTCGTTTCCTAAGCAGATAGATGACTAAGCAGCTAGCCCCTGAATTCCAGTTGCCACATCACGTGCATCAAAATCGTATGACCTCCGGAAGAGCAAAAAAAACTAACATTCAGGGAGACATCTCCAGTTGTGCTTGTCTGCTCGGACAAGTTGTAATCAATAAATTCTCCCTTTCCATTTCAATTTACGACGTTTCCCAGTTCACGCCACCTCGACTTGTGCGAGCCGAGCTATCCGTCCTCCTTGATTAAGACTTTGTTCCTTCCGCCTCGGTTCGCCGCTTGAATTCCCGCTCGCGATCTTTGTACATGCTGTTTCGCGCCACACTCTGATTCCTTATTCTTAACGTTTTCCGAGTCCTTTTTCTACAGCCCATCATGCCTGGAAAGACTCTTCCAACGTTTACTGAGGCCGAGGTGCGATCCCACAACTCCAGTAAATCCTGTTTTGTGACAATCGACCTGAAGGTTTACGATGTGACCGATTTCCTGGAGGGCCATCCAGGAGGCGAGGAATTGATTTTGGAGTATGCCGGAAAGGACGTTAGGGATATACTGAAGGATGGGAACTCTCACGACCATTCCGACTCTGCGTACGAGATCTTGGACGAGTATCATATCGGTTTTCTCACCAATGGCACCTCCAATGGAGCACAGGCCAATGGGAACCCAAAGGCTGTCTATGAGAGGACAGGCATGGCACACGAGGACGATCTTTCTGTTGAAACCGATGTTGTGTCCGATTACAAAACGCATAAATTTCTAGATTTGTCAAGGCCTCTGTTTCCTCAGATCTGGTTCGGGGGCTTCTCGAAGGATTTTTACCTTGATCAAGTCCATCGCCCACGACACTACAGAGGCGGAAAATCTGCACCCTTGTTCGGAAACTTTTTAGAACCTTTCTCTAAGACCCCGTGGTATGTTATACCTATTTTGTGGGGGCCTTGCGTGGCATATGGTACTATGATAGGTGTTACTGGGTTGAATAACAATGTTGGCTCCGTCGGATACTTCGTTCTGGGTTTATGTGTGTGGACGTTGTTGGAATATGGAATGCATCGCTTCCTGTTCCATATCGATAAGTGAGTACCTTTATTTGTCTTCTTCGTTTTCGAGCTTTTCTGATATGTTCTTTAGATGGCTCCCTGACAATCGTGTCGGGATTACTCTTCACTTCCTGCTACATGGCATTCATCACTATCTACCCATGGACAAGTATCGCTTAGTCATGCCACCAGCATTGTTTATGCTACTTGCTGCTCCATTCTGGAAAGTTGCGCATGGAATCCTCTTCTTTAACTGGTATGCCGGATTACTCGCGTACTGCGGAGGCGTCGCTGGGTATATCATGTATGACATGACTCATTATTTCCTCCACCATCGCAAGTGAGCTATTCCCATGATCGAGACGTCGTCTCGAATTATCTACTAATGTTTGAACAGTTTACCTGCATATTACAAGGGGCTCAAGAAGTACCATCTTGAACATCACTTCGCCGATTATGAGAATGGATTTGGCGTCACTAGCCGATTCTGGGACCGTGTCTTTGGCACTGAGCTTGAACTACCACCTCCAAAGGTCATCAAGACACAGTAGTTCAACTCATCGACTGGCAATCAAAATGCCCAACTCTCCTCTGGCTCAATGGTGTCAATATCATTTACCCTAATAATACTAATGCTCCTTGTTTATACGGGTCTTGCTCAACTTTGTACAATGTTTGTCTTGTCCGAAGGCCATGTTATTTCATATTTATATATATCAAGCGATTGATCGAACGTGGTTTAAGATTTCGCTTGTGTCATGACTAAAACAAACAGGGTGCATACGGTTTCTAGTCATTTATCCACCATCACAATGACTAGACCACCCTCATGAGTGGCGTTTTTGCTTATTATGTATTTTTATGCATCAATCAACTGGCTTTCATGATAACATAGAAATTGATGTTGTTGTACTTCTTACTGCTGCTGTTTCTGTAAGGTCGGCATTTAGGTCTTTTCAGATTCGTCGAAGAAGTCAATTCCGTAGCTCTGATTGGCTACAATGTTTTTACTTCTCCACTATATCACGTGACCATATATTCTACATAGTACTAGTCGACCGGTTTAGTCCATGTCCGCCACGGTTTCTTCACTATTCTTCTATCACTCTGCGCCTCCTAACGGATACTGGAAGGTATTACTAAATCCTGAGAACATTCGATTCGAATTATCGAGTTGGTTTTTCTCAGAATATTGCAAACAGAAGGGTTCGCATTTTCACGCCAAATCCCACTTTCGTGTCTAACACCACAGAAAAGTGACCCAACTTCCCATTCCTTACCCACCGGTTTTTCTTGACCTTCCATCAGAAAGCCAACTTCACAACATCACTTTCCAAAATGTCAGGTCTCGACGTTGAAGCCCTTCTCGAGTCTACGGCTGCTTCTCTGAACGAATCTGCGGACAAAGATCGCGATGACCGCTCAAAAGTTGACTCAAACGATCGCCATGACCGTGATCGCTCCAGAGATAGAGAACGCCGACGGAAAGATGGTAGTCGCGACCGTCGTCGTGACCGGGACGACAAGGATGAAGATATAAGAAGCGAGCATGGCAGTGCTAACGGAAGCCATAGAAGCAGACGCAGAAGTCGCAGTCGTCGCCGCGACCGCCATGGTGATCGCTCCGGAGGTGATTACTACCGCGGTGGAGGTCGTGCTCGCACAAGGTCACGCTCACCTGATGATGATAGATATTACCGTCCGAGTGGCCGCTCTCGACGAGACCAACGTGATGATGACAGACATTCCCGCCGGGAACGTGACGGCAGGAGACGTAGCAGAAGCCGCGGACATCGCAGTAAGACGCCGGAAGAAGAACTAAATGAAGATGAGCGCGATAAACGTACTGTATTTGTTCAACAGCTTGCTGCCCGGTTGAGGACCAAGGAACTCATTGCGTTCTTCGAAAAGGTGGGACCCGTCAAAGAAGCCCAGATCGTGAAGGATCGTGTTAGTGGCAGGTCGAAAGGGTAAGTTCTATTCCCGAAAAAAATCAAACCAAAGTGCATTTTACTGACTAGCATCCAGTGTTGGCTACGTCGAATTCAAGGACGAAGCATCTGTCCCACTTGCCATTCAGCTCACCGGTCAAAAACTTCTAGGAATTCCTATTATAGCCCAATTGACCGAAGCGGAGAAAAATCGACAAGCCCGCAATCCTGAAGCTAGCAGTGGTCAATCGGCCTCGGCGCCGTTTCACAGGTTGTATGTTGGTAACATTCATTTCAGTATCACTGAAAATGATATCCAGAATGTTTTTGAACCATTCGGCGAACTTGAATTTGTCCAACTTCAGAAAGATGAAACCGGACGTAGTCGTGGTTATGGTTTTGTTCAGTAAGCATTACCTTTTGTTTTTGAAATGATCATATACTAACATGCATCGATAGATTCCGCGATCCTAACCAAGCAAGAGAAGCTCTCGAAAAAATGAACGGGTTTGATCTCGCCGGTAGGCCAATCCGCGTCGGTCTTGGAAACGATAAGTTTACTCCCGAGTCGACAGCGAATCTTCTACAACGTTTCCAGGGACAAGGACACCACCAACAATACCAGGGCTCAGCATTCTCTGGCAACGGTGGCCGTGGTGCTCAAGCGGGAGGCGCACCCAGCAACTTTGACCGTGCTGGTGGCCGAGACACAGACAAGGGGACAGGCGGAGCAAGTGCTCTAGATGACACAGATGTTGCCGGTGTGAACTTCAACAATTATAGCAGAGATGCATTGATGAGGAAACTCGCGAGAACAGATGAACCCGAGCCTTCTGCAGACGAAAAATTGCAGCCGTTACGACCCAAGACTGAACCCAAGCCACTACCCGTAAATGTCAACATGGCAAGCCGCTGTGTCTTACTTCGAAACATGTTTGACCCTACTGAGTAAGTCTAGCATTTTCCAATCTCACTAGCTTAGGTAGCACACTAACAACAATTACAGAGAAGAGGGCGAATCATGGATCAAAGAATTAGAAGACGACGTTCGCGCTGAATGTGAGGAGAAATACGGTCATGTTGTTCACATATCTCTAGATCCGAACTCGCAGGGAGACATTTATCTCAAATTTGACCGCGTCCAAGGAGGCGAGAACGCCATCAAAGGTCTCAACGGACGATTCTTTGGCGGTAGACAAATCAGCGCTCAGCCGGTCGTTGATGCTGTTTATAGCAGTCTCTTCTCTCGCACCAAAGCCATCTAACCGACCCCTTTACCTACAACGCCAAACACACAAGGAACAAAAATGTCCAACCCTGCCAAATACTTCCGCTTGGTAGGTTCTTTGATTCTAACCTGTGGGTAGGATTCAATCACCAGCTTCTTGCTGCGTTGTTACCCCTTGAACTCTTAAAGTTGATTTGCCGAGACTGGAATTATGCTACCCCCCCTTTTTTTGGTAGGTGCTACCTCCAGACTTAGATCGACTTATCATATTACTACTATTTGTTTTAGAAGCTAGATGCGTTTTTCATGTTCACTTGTGCTTTTTATGAGATCTTTTAGGAGCATTATTCGCCGGAGCCTACGTTGTCGATTTTGCTTTAATCTTGTGTATATTTGATAAGACTTCGTTGGAAAAGACAATAAGAATTCTTAAATCGCATGTTGTCATCGTAGAGATTTCTTGTACTTCTCAGTCATAGTTTATTATCAGACTTGGTCATCGTGTTCAATGTTAGCAGCTAGCTATCGTAGTATCTCTTCTTGAATTCAAGCAGCCTAGGAAGCTCGACCATATTCTCAGATGAAGTCAGCTAGTTGCCTAGTTAGATAAGCAGACTCTCACATTCACATTCATGTTACAAAGAGTTGCCTCTGATCATGGATGAGACGAATTTAGTGTGGATTCAGGCACTTGGGATGAATCTCACTTCACCAACAGACTGACAAGGAAAGGGGAAGGCCAGAGATACAATTTTAGATACCCTAGTAAGGAGATATTTTGCTGCCAATATCAGTCCATTTCAAGAGGACCTTTCCCTGAGTATCAGTGGTAAGAGAGAGGACAAGATCAGTGAGAGCAAGTAAGATATCAGATGTAGTCCTCTCAATAGCCTCAACCTATGACCACGTGCCTACAGGATACCCCATCAACTTGGGCTCCTGGTTCTCAGGGTGCCCTGCTTGAGCCTGACGTATTCTAGCATTATCAGGTGCATAAGATGGTGAGCTCCAGCTTGTGCTGATATTTGAAAAAACACTGGTTTCCTTTTTGGGTATCGCGCCATTTTGAGATCCATATGAAGACGTTGTGCAATCTCCCCCTTGAAAATCTTTCTCTTTGACTCTTCTTTGAGGTGAAAAGGGTCAATTTTCACAGTGTCAGCTATGTTTTTTAAAATATTTTCAGTGCGCTGTGATCTTTGTGGTCAGCTTTCATCTTGCCCTGGCAAATTAATCTAGGGCTTGTTCTCATCCAGTCATTTAACATCCAGAGAGCTTCTTCATGATAGTCTTCATTTTTGGCCTCAGTTTTTGGCTCTTTGGACAGGCTGATGCTGTGCTCTGTCTTACCAAAGCTCTACAGTAGGTTATTATCTCCTATAAAGACTTATTTGTTAATAACTATAGGTGATCGTGAAACTAACCTCTTTTCAGTAACCATCCCATATTGCGTCGTCGACTACAAATCAGCATTCCTGCCATGAACGATCCCTTTGGAGAAAACTGTGGCCTTAGGCCGATGTCGTTAACAAAAAGTAGAGGAAATTACTCCTTAGAATGGACAGCTACCCCTCAGCGAGGTTTTCCTTTCTCCCCCAGTCTCAATGCCTCACGAGACCTTTTCACTCCCCTACCCACACCACACCACATACAACTCCTTCTTGCGGAATCCGAACGTGTCAGGATGTCTCTCGAGCAAGATCTAGCTTCTGCTGAGCAGGAGCTTGCCTCCCTTAAGGAGAGCCTAGCTGCGAAAGAGCAAGGGGACGAAGCTGTTCAGAAAGAAATCAAGCTTAGAGACGATCAAATTAAGTCGCACAACAAACAGATCAAGTGGCGAGACGATCAAATCAAGTCGCACAAAGAACAAATCAAGCTTCGAGATGATCAAATCAAGTTGCAAGAAGAACAGATCAAGTGGCAAGACGAGAAGATCAAGACACTACACGCTCAAATGAGTGGTCTCAAGCTCCGTCTTGACAGACAGAACGCCACGATCAAAAATCAATCTCGCACCATTCAAGATCCTAGGTCGTTGCGTCAACGTCGTATGGAGGAGACTCAAGTCGCTCAAGCACCTCCAACACAACCTTGGGTGACTCCAACACAAGGTGCTCAGTCAGTTGTCGGTCCTATGCAATCATTGTCACTCGGAGAGACACAGCAATACGCTGCTAATTATGTTGACAACACTCAGTATTTTCAGCCCCAGGGACAGCCAGGTTATGTAGAGCATCCAGGCTCACAAACGACATACCAGATGTCCTACCCGATGGAATCAACCAACTCGTACACGGGCAATCAGTACGGATGGAATGGCACTATGGCAGGTTCACAATCGCAGGGAATTTTCCAGCCTACTGGACCTATTGCGGCTCCAAGTCCTATGAACACAACCTTACAAAGTGCATTGTATCAGGCAGCGTTCGCTCCACCGGCGCAATCGAGAGTTCCAAGTGCAAATGATGGATACGCGGGTATCGAGTTTGAGTCAAAGGCAGCCGCGTTCGGTGGACGCTTTCACTCTCTGTGGGCGAAAGTTGATCAGTTTGCTAGAACATATGTCGTGGATACTGACCTGGACCCCGAAGAGCTTTCGGTAGCATTGAAAGAACTCATGATGCTTGATCCTGATGCAGCCGTTGCTGTGCAGTACCTGAATCATCCAGTGATCAAGCATTGTTATCTCTCCAAAGTTGTCAGCTTATATCTGTGTAAAAAGTTTCTCAGATATACCGAAATTGTCAAAAGGTTCCACCCTAATATTGACGCGGACATTTTCCATCTGAGAAAGCAACTCACTTTGGGTATGCCCTATCCCCGTTGTCCTCTCCTCCAAACTGATGAATTACTGACTGGGAACGTGACAGATAACCCTCAAGGCGTACGCAGCGTCGCATTGACAAAGCTTGCGCAGGAGATATCTTTGGCGCGTCAAATGCCAAATTTCGCAGAGTTTTGCTCTCAACGCACGGAAAGTTATACTGCAGAATTGGGGTCAATGCTGGAACCATTGGTGAAACCATCCGAAGACAAAACTCGCATGCTCGACTCCCTCAGAGCAATTGTTTCGGAAGCTCAACACATTGGGATTGATCTTTACTCTTGTCCCTATGATGCCAGATATCATTTTCCGGAATTCAAAGAAACATACGATCCGACTGTGATGGTCAATCTTGATCCTGCGCTGCACGCACATTTTGTCAAGGGCAGAGTCACAGTGTCCGTTACCCCATACATCAGGGTCGGTTTCAATCATTCTGAGCCTGCACGGGTTCGCAACGTGTGCAATGCGAAAGTATTTACTGGACTTCCTCTTGAAAAGGCGAGTGCGAATCGTTCTCCTAAACAAGAAACTTGAACTTCAGACTTGGACTCGGTTCACTGTGTGGATATGCTATTTCTTCTTCTTGGGGTAAAAGGTTTGCTTTGTTTTTCCATGTTTCCGAGATGACTTTTTTCAAGAAAAGTCTCTCATGGCGCTGTGATTCAGGAATTGGAAGGTTGGGGAGTTTTGAAAGACCAAAAAAGGGTTTTTTGATTTGCATTCATTTTCATGTGGCTTTTGATCAGACCAACAGTAAACGTTGGGACTGAAATACAGAGAAGAATGATGATTAAATTGAGGTGAAAGTGAAAGTGAAGTTGAAGCAGATTGTAGTTAGTGCTGCCTTTAAGTACTGTGGTTACGACATCATCTGGGGAAGGAAGGCTTGGCCGGGGATCTACCTTTTTCAACCTCCGCTTCCTTTTCAACCATTCTCACTCGACAGCTTATTGACACCATTTCTACAATTCATCTATGATAATCACTACCAATATGCTCTCTGATGCTATCTACCTATGATTCAGGCGCGATCACGGCCGGTGGCTGTCCATATCTGGACTCCGGCCGATAGTTACAGTGGGTTAACCCATCAACGAAGAAGCAGTATAATGAAGGTAGAATCTTACGCGCAGAACAGGTTTTATTGCCATTTTTGCACGTCGGTATAGTTATCAGAGGATACCATGTAACGTGACCAACCGCGGAACCCATTCTGCTAGTCGGCGATACTTCCACGATTACTTTGTCACGCATCTTCCGTCGTCTTCGTTACATCCCGATTCCCACGGACCGCCGTCTTTCCACAAACTCCCTCGCTCAGCATCGACACCACACACTAGCGAAAGCAGTCAATTATCTCCAGCATCAATACAAACACCAATTGGGGTCAGTCGCGATACCACTGTAGTGCGAATACCTCTACGCAGTGCGAAACACCACTTCGGAGCATCCGTTTCGCGAGGGTCACGAACACACAATGAGGACACGTACCAGGCTGGTGTGATTGAAGTACCTTCATTTGCGAAACGATCTCCGCTGTCATTGACCATTCGGCGGGCGTCGGGCACTGAGTCGACCGCTGTTACCTCCGGAGCAGACAGCGCAAGTGGAGATCCACAGGTGTTTTACTTTGGTGTGTTTGATGGTCATGGAGGTTCTGAGTGCAGCGACTTTCTACGTGATCACCTACATGAATACATTCAAGACAGTGCTGCGGATTTTGAGATCCAATCTACTTTGAAAGATAACACTGCGTCCCTCGAAAGGAAACGTGAACGGCGCGGTAGACAAGATGCCGTTCCCCTTGGATTACATCGGGCTGATTTGCCCATTGTCCAGAATGCGAATATTAAGAAGATAGAGCAACTCGAGACAGAGTTGGTTGAGTCTTGGAAGAATCTTGTCGGGGGTTACTTCAAACGTTTCAGACCAGCTTACTTCACATGTATAAAAAAAGATCCTACCCCGAGAGATCTTTCACAGACGCTCGGATCGAATCAGAGCAGACAAAACTCGGTCGATGGCGTTTCCATGGAAGAGGTGATGGAATATGCCTTCCTGAAAGCCGACTTTGATTTTGTGTCGGCCCAAGCGGCAAAGAAAGAGGACGATGCTGTACAGTCGGATCAGCCACTGAACGCAGACGACATACTTTACAGTCCAAGTCAATCCCGCCGTGAATTCATCGGAGGACCAAAAAGATTCCCTGGAGGAAGCACTTGCAGTGTCGCCATGGTATCGACTCCGACTCCGACCCCATTCTGGAATCCGGCAACGCCTTCCTCACTTCTGGTATCGCATGTCGGTGATACTAGGGTTCTACTATGTGATACAAGTACCGGTGCCGCCATTCCTGTGACTACAGACCATCACCCGTCCTCACCAATTGAGGCTAATCGCCTTAGGCGGTATGCAGCTACCTTTGTTACCGATTCCTTTGGCGAGGAGCGTGTAAGCGGACTCGCTAATACTCGAGCTTTTGGCGATATACATTCAAAGCGTATCGGTGTGTCGGCTGAACCAGAAATTCGTCGCATTGAGATGGCTCCTGCCGAGTTCTCCTTTCTCGTCCTCATGTCTGACGGTATTAGCGGAACTCTCCATGACCAGGAGATTGTGGATATCATCAAAGAGGCTCGCACGCCAGAACAAGGTGCGCGTGATGTAGTCAACTTTGCCACTGAGACCAGTAAGGATGCTGACAATGCGACTTGTCTTGTGGTGCGACTCGGTGGTTGGGAACGCAGGCTTGAAGGTGGTTTAGGCAGTATGGGCACCAAAGAGGCTCGCGATTTTCGAAGACAAGAAGCAACAGACCCCAGGCGATCACGTACCTAGATCAATCCATTGTATGCATATTTGCATGCTCAACACCGCATTGTTTTTGTATATACAGACTTGTGTAATATAAGCTTCTGAGAATTGGATGGTTATTCCTATGACTTCAGACATCCAGAGCAACATGTAGAAACAACATGATGCGTGAAGCATCATGACCTTATCATGATCGATCTGCATTAGTTTGCAGCCTGGGAGCCTAAGGTACCCACCAAGGAACGGCCGGAAGTAAACTTGGTTCCTTCCCGCAGATAAGCAAAAGCTGACTTTCTCGACTGTTCAACACCATCACTTCTACTATCCTCTAATTAATCCTTATCATTCATCGAGGCTCGTGCTTACATATCATTATCGCCTAGCTGACTTACAGTGCCTGGCTCTTATCATTTCTCTGCTTCTTGTCGTTCCTTTGCATTCTTACACTCCGACATCTCATTGCACGTTCTCCCCGTTGCGTTCCTTTGCATCTACACGTCTCGACTTACTTTCGACTTTCAAGCTTAATCTATACTCCATCCCACCGCTCAGTATCGGATCATTCTCTACAGATTGAGAAAAATCATACCCCACCTTGTGGTTCCTGTAAGTCGCAGCACTACACAAAATCATGGACGGATACCCGGACAAATCCTTCTCCGCATTTTTGCTCCCCCCTTTCATCAAGGACATTGAACTAATGACAATCAAGCTACACGCCGCAGATACTCGTTCGCTCGTTTTCGTATATACGCTCTCTATCAATTGTAAGGGGGTGGGACATCCAACACCGATCGCCGCGGAATAAATCTACCAGCATAATCGTTAAAAGTACTATTGCACAATGAGCGTCCGAACGCGAAGACAAAAGGCTGCTGCCACGGCCGCTGTTGACGAGCAACCAGCACCAACAGAAAATGGCGTCGCCCATGCTAGTTCTACGCCTAAGAAGGTGGAGAAAGGACCACAGGAGAATATCTTCTTATTCTGGCCGAACCTCGTCGGTGAGTCGCGGCAATCTGCCGGCCTTTTTACTACATGAGTTTTCAATGCTAATGGTTTCGCTCTCAGGTTATGCCCGAGTCATTCTGGCTGTAGCATCGCTCTACTACATGCCCCTCCACCCACGAACGTGTTCATTCCTATACAGTATCTCCTGTCTACTGGATGCCCTGGACGGATACCTCGCGCGGTTATTCCACCAATCCACAACGTTTGGTAGCGTCCTAGACATGGTCACGGATCGTTGCACGACTGCATGTCTTTTGGTGTTCTTGAGCTCGGCATGGCCCCGCTACTCGATCATCTTCCAAGGCCTAATCAGCTTGGATCTTGCCAGCCACTATATGCACATGTACGCTACCTTGAGCATGGGTGGTGCCGGACAAAGCCACAAGGCTGTCGACTCTAGCCGAAGCTGGATTCTGCACAAATACTACACAAGCAGGGTACGTCACTTGTCCATTGAGTCTGGCTTATGACCGGTGATCTGACAATTGCAGACTGTGTTGTTCCTCTTCTGCCTCTTCAACGAGCTATTCTTCATTGGCTTGTACTTGCTTTCTTTCTCGTCACCGAGTCTTTCCCCGTCTCTCCTGCAGCCTCCTCCACACACCGAGCCGATGACCGCTCAGCCTGGGAATCCAGCCCATCCACCAGCGGACACGCTTTTTGCCAGCCCTTGGAGTGCCGGTGCACTTGAATTGGCTCGTGCAAACAAGATTGACAGCATGTTACCGTGGGTCATCACCATCGTCTCTTGCCCGATCATGGCAATCAAGCAAGGCATCAATGTCATACAGCTGGTCAAGGCTAGCAACTGGCTTGCTGAGGGAGATCTCGCCAAACGCCGAGCTGACCGGGCCGCGGGAAAATTGGCGTAGGCACGACGGAACTGTTGCGTGTCCTACATTGAAGAATTTCTTTTTCATGCAACCCTTCTGCGAAACTCCTTTCTTCAGGCTTCATGGCAATGAGCTCGGTTTTTGGGTTTTCTTCGGGCCGAAGACTACTCAGCTTATACTTTTTAATAACACAATTCATTAATTCAATCGTTTCTGGAATGATTGAACATCTGGTCTAGAGGGGTGGGTTGATTATCGTGTACATTGATCGTCATATGGAGGAACCGGCGTCATTCGAATTGGTATTGTTATGTCCAACATTATGTCTTTTAAAATATTTCGTCAGTTCTCTTCTACGTATCGTCTTTTGTCTGAACGGTGGGTGGCTATATAGGTTTGGGTCATACAATATCAACATTGAAGAATTATAACATCTGATCGTTCCAAGGTTGTTGATCAAAAAGTATATCTGGACTTATGCACCCTCGAGACATCTGCACTAGACTCCGACAACTAGCTTAGAACGAACTGAATAATGATGAGCTATAAAAAATGCGTCAAGCGCTTCAAATATACTTACTAGATGATGCCAACATGCTTCCTTACGCCGAATCGTACTTAGCGTAGTACGCAGTCAGAAAGATCATCGACAGCTCCGGCATCGGAACACGCGGGGACCAATATTTAGCCCCGCAACTACCCTTACGACTCTGATCATTTTCTGATCCTACGATTGCTCTCACTTCTTCGTCTTTCTTAATATTCTAAATAATTGAAAGGACGAATTGTACTACGATTATCTTATACAATTGTCATGGCTCCTTACAATATCGTTGTTTTCGCTGGTGACTACTGCGGTCCGGAGGTGAGCTACTTACTTTGATAGTCCGAGACTTAGCAATTACTGAAGCTAATGATGCCTGAATAGGTGACCGCTGAAGCAGTAAAGGTAAATAGCCAATTGAATTGATCTGAGGAGTGAAACGGATTGGCTGATAGAATGCTTGACAGGTCCTCCGAGTCATTGAGAAACATCGCAGTGATATAGAGTTCAACTTCCAAGAACATCCTCTCGGTGGCGTAGGCATTTCTTTCTGATCTTCGAGTTCAATTGCTGATTATCTCATGGAATAGGCTTCGATAGATGCTCACGGTGAGCCATTGACGGACGCTGCCTTGACAGCCGCCAAAAACGCAGATGCGGTTATCCTCGGAGCCATTGGAGGACCTGTACGTTATATAATATCTTCGCATGAGGCACAAGGAATGACACAAGGGCAATATCTGATATGTTTTCATAGAAATGGGGCCACGGCACCGTCCGCCCAGAACAAGGTATTCTCAAACTCCGCAAAGAAATGGGCACATTCGGCAACCTTCGACCCTGCAGCTTCGCCGCCCCATCTCTCGTCGACATCTCCCCCTTAAAAGCCGACGTCTGCCGCGGCGTCGACTTCAACATCATCCGCGAATTGACCGGAGGAATCTACTTTGGTGACCGCAAGGAAGATACCGGTGATGGCTACGCTCTCGATACAGAACCATACTCCCGACCCGAGATTGAGCGTATCACCCGCCTCGCTGCCCATCTTGCGCTCCAACATGACCCTCCTCTCCCTATTTGGAGTCTGGATAAAGCCAACGTCCTCGCTACGAGTCGCTTGTGGCGTAAAGTGGTCACGGAGGTGATCACTAACGAGTTCCCGCAGTTGAAGTTGGGTCATCATCTTATTGATTCTGCGGCTATGTTGATGGTTAAGGATCCTCGGAAACTTAATGGTATTGTAGTTACGAGTAATTTGTTTGGTGATATTATCTCCGATGAGGCCAGTGTTATTCCAGGTTCTTTGGGTTTGCTGCCCAGTGCTAGTTTGACGGGTGTTCCTGATGGGAAGACTAAGGTCAATGGTATCTATGAACCTATTCACGGTAAGTCTCGTTCCCTACAAATGCAAGTATCCGCGCTGATGCAATCGAAGGTTCCGCCCCCGACATCGCCGGCAAAGGCATCGTCAACCCCGTCGCCGCCATCTTGTCAATGGCAATGTTACTTCAATACTCTCTCCAACGACCCGCTGAAGCCCGCCTCATCGAGGAAGCAGTCAGAAACGTCACCGAAGCTGGTATTCGCACAGGCGATATTGGCGGAAAGTCGACTACTGTGGAGGTTGGTGATGCTGTCGCTGCTGAACTGGAGAAGTTGCTTCAATAGTTGTATGCAAAACTTGTTCAGGTTTTATCGCCTTTTTACGAAAGTTATACGAGATTATAAAAGTTACATATACGTAATATAAGGTTGAAAGCACTGAGTGACGGAACTCCATTGACTGGGTATCTTGACCTATACTAGCAACGTATACATAAAAAAAAGCATAACCGAATTATAACGCCTTTCCCATCCATTAATACATAGAGAAACCCAAGAGTGAACTTATCGAATGACAGGCTCACCCATCCAATCCGGCTCATCAAGGCCCCGGATTTTATCTGCAGGCCCTCCATCTGCAGCATCAAGCACATCTTCAGAATCATTCTGAACGGACTTGCGTCGCTCTGCTTGGGCTACAGTCGCAGCCGCCGCTGCAGCAGCTATACGGCGCCGATCATCGTCGTGTGCAAAGACTTGAAAGCCTCGTACATGTGTATCCTTGCCGTTTTGATGGTTTTCACAGATACGTACTTGGACAACCATGGCTCTGAGGACGTTACCTGCATAAGGGTCATCGGCGTCATCGTCATCGTCGTCATCCTCCTGTGAATCGTCGTACATATCCCAATCATCAATGTCGATGGTCCCCGAAACACCCTTCGACGTCCTCGCATTCCGTGTCCGCCGCCGATTACTTCCCACAACATGACTCCTCCTTCTGCTCCTATTATGGCCCCCAACCCCCTGAAGAGATATATTAACCCACCCAGCAGGCGTCTCACCTTCCCAAGTCGCAAACTGAACAAGATCATTCCCACCCATTCCGGCAAAAAACAACATCTTGGTAGGTGTATAACTTTCATCAAGCTCAAAGTCGAGATATACGCGAATCTTGACTATAGCAACGACTTTGAAGAAATGTAATGTGAGTGTGTGCGGTTGAGGGCCGTCAGATTGCCAGAATTGTTGCGGAGAGGGATTGCGTAGTGCTGCGACTCCGCAGCCGGGCTTGTGTGTCGAGACTGTCCAGGATGCTAGAGAGGAGATTTCGCGGAGGTCTGGTGGTAATGGAGATAACGATTTTCCTGTAAATATGATAGTCAGCATCAATAGCCATGCTTCTTGGAGGGGGTGAGTGCATACGCCGTGCCCCTTCATTTTCATCATCCCCTTCTACATCCTCATCATCCAGCTCGTCATCATCTATATCTTCATCATCATCCTCCCCATCATCCAATGCATCGAAATCAATCGCCCGGGCCCTGTCGTCGTCGACAGGCTCATTCTCAATATCACTATCTTCAAGTGGCTCCGGCATAGCAGCTGCGGGCTGATTGAATCCTCGCCGTTGCTGCTGTTGTTGCCATGCAGGGTTCCCAGTGGGAATAAATTCAACTTCTTGCTGGAAAGCTTGAGGTGTCGCGAAATTAGGCGTTGTTGTCGCCACGGCCGCAGCCACTACTGGTGGGGGTTGAGCCAACGAAGGTGTTGTAGGAGCTGGAGGGGCGCGTCGAGGAGGTTGTCGAGGCATTTTTAATTCTGAATTGGTGCGGATGTGTCCAGTAGAAGCATAATGGCGGGAAATATCAGATGAATCAAGGTGCAAGATGAGGTGAGGAGTAAGAAGGCAGGTGCTAGGAATTTTTGCGGAGTTGTTGTTTACCTCCGAATCAGCTTCCCCACATTTCTGCTTATATCCTCTGGATAGATACGTATGTAATTTGATCTGAACGAACGAGTAATGAAGTTCTATTATTGCTATAAATCGGCCAATTGTATATAATGTACAAGACAAATGGTATTTGAGCTGAAACAAAACACATTGTCACCACATGCAAGAATCAAACCACCAACCGTCCACCATTCTATAATTTTATATGACCAAGCTTTTCTCCAACCTTGATCTTCTGACCTTGTTTAATGTCCCAAGTCCAACCACCTTCTCTGCCGCCATCCCAACCTTCATCGAAGCTCTTACGAACTCCCATAGGAGCTTCAAAGACGAGTACAATCGTACTACCCAGCTGGAACCCTCCCATCTCTTCACCGCGCTGCAATGGATGACCATGTAGGGCCCGGCTAGCATTATAATAAGTTGCTTCTGCAAATCCAGTGTAAGCCTCACCACGTTTTGCTGCCTCAACCGCAGCCCTGTCAGCTGCAGTATCTGTTGTCAGACTGTTCGTCCGCAATTCGGCGTCAAAGTTCAATTTTATAGAGCCCACGTTGGTTGCACCAACGGGTATATAACTGAAGAATCCCCAGCGCCAACGACCCAACAGGACAACTCGTTCGTTCAGCACGAATAGTCCCGGGAGCGTACGCTGAAGGTACGGCGACACGGAGTAGAGTTCACCAGCGAAATGCCGACGGCTTTCAACGACCCAAGAGACTGGAGAGTGGAAACGGTGGTAATCACCAGGTGCTAAGTAAATCACACAATAATATAGAGCATTGTTTGAGGCACTAGGAGCATACCAAGGACGACCGTCACCCAATGCTAGGTCTGCCTCGACTTTTGCTTCGGACGATGGCCCAGATGCAGTCGATGCATCCATGGCTGTTTCTTTCTTTGGTTTCTTCTTTGAACCAGACAGTAGATGAGGTAGAGTATATGAAATGCCATTGACCGTGGCAAATTCTTCATCCATGGCCATGTTCCCGGATTCGTGCTCCATGTCTGCAGGCTTCACCCCATGACTTTCAATTGCTTCCCTCGAAGGACTGGCCTCTCCAAGCAGCGCTTCTAAGCTATATGTCATACCCTTGACTTGCTCCACCTCACCACGTTCAATCATGCCAAAGGATAAGACTTTCCCGTCAGATGGAGATACAATGCCATTTGGGTCTTGATCTATCCGGCGCGCCCCAGGTTTCAATTCGCGATAGAAAAATGACGCTAAGTTTGGATAGCTCCGAAGATCTGGTTCTTTGACTTCGTCCAAGTCGACACCAAATATCCAAGAATATAACTTAAACCCCGGAATACGTAAAGGCATTGGCAAGTCGAGCTCGTTAAAACGTCCCCATAACCGTGACAAGGCTTTCAAAGGCAGCGTTGACATCACTTGCACCTGCCAAGGTCCTGATGGCCGTATTCTCTTCCGCCGCGGTGGTTTCCCATCTTCTTCAATCTCTTTATCCCTTAGTCGCTCTGTATCCCTCCTTGCTCGATAAAACTGCCATAGTCCGAGAAACGCAATACCAAGGCCAATAGGAATCGGACGCCATTCGATTTTTGTGTCTCTCCATGCGCGTCCTAGGCGAGATGTAAAGGATCCGTTCCGATCATTCTTTGGGTGGTTCTCATGTCCTTCGCGACGAATTCCCGATGAATGGAATTCTCGGGACCTGAATGCCGGCTTCGTTTTGTATATCAATGACTGTTGAAATCGAGCCGCCCGCAAACCTCGACAGACCGCAATTGATTGACCTCCCATACATGTCACCATGGCGTACACGACCGGTTCCCAACCGAGCGGATACCGGTCATAAGGGCGCAATAAAATATGGTGTAAAAGCAGACAGAGAAAGATTTAGAATATTTGTCTAGAAATGAGGTCATTGGATAGGCACTTCTAGCACCTCACCGCCCGGCAGAATCGGGTGATCCTCCATCATCAACTCTTGGACTGTCAACAACACGAATGGTTCTCCGGGCCATCCTCGATCTGGTTCCCATATGGTCTTCGTGAATTCCTCCAATCTTGCGTGGAAGGTGTGTTGAGGTTATCCCTTGCATGGGAAGTCGGACTGTACCGTTTCGCTGCTTATCCTGGTATCTCGCCGAAGAGGACAGATTGTTATGTCACTTGCTCACTGCGGAATAAGCCGAGCTCCCGAAGCTGTTGGCAATTAGTAAATCTTGCACTTCTTTCTCTTAGTTTTAGACCGGGTACTCACTATTTACTGAACCAGATCCTCGCATACCGTGATAAGAATGCAGAGTTAGACCATTGCTGCTAGCCAAAACGTATCCTGGTGACAGAATGGACGGTGCTCAATCAGAAGACGCTTCGGTTTCCTCGCCAAAGGAGGAAGCTTCAACTATCTCTTTGAGGATATTGTCGCCATCGTTCGAACCAAACCAGCGCTTGTCATTCGACAAGCTATCACCATCCACAACCGTTGGAGAAGTCAAGAACCTTATCGTGCCTCTCGCTCCGAATCACCCCACCCCAGACCAACAGAGGCTCATTTACCGTGGGCGGCCTCTCCTGAACGACAGCGCTACCCTTCAGACGGTCTTGGAGCCTCCATTGGTGAGTGACTGCAAACTTCTTGCGACAGGAATGGCAGCTAACTTAAGGCTAGGATGCGGTACATACATTGCATCTTGTTCTACCTCCCGGACCCGAAATTTCGAACAACATCTACGTATCGTCTGACAGCGGCTTGCGCTATAGACACCCTCCAGGTCGAAGTCCCAATCTCAATGCCCATCATTACACAGATCCCGTTGCTACAGCTACCGGTCTACAAGCGCCGGGACAAACGTCAACTCTACCACCTCTTCCAGCGCTGAATAATCCAGCGACGCAGACTGCAACCCCGATTACAGCGGGCCAGCAGCCAAATGGAGAAGCAATGCGACAAGTTCTTGAGCAACATAGGCGAAGGGCAGAGGAGCTCAACCTGGTTGTTGATAGAGCCAGGGCTTTGATAAACACTCACACGACTCGTCTGCGGATTCAGGGTATAAATATACCACTCGGTGACAATCTTGGTCAAGCGCACCGTCCATCTTTGGACAGTTCTGCGGCGCCGCCACCAGGGACGAGTATACAAGCACCTAATTCACACGCAATCGGTACGGATAACTTTATAAATAATGCAGTCTCCCAAAGTCTGGTGTTAGCCCGCATTACATCTCAAATTATGCTATTCGAGCTGGAAATCGAGCGAGGTATAACCCCCTCGATAGACTCTATCGCGGCAGTTCGCAATCAGCTGTACGCTATTCTTGACGCTCGCTACCGTCAACCCCCATCAAGTCCATCGGGCATCGAGGTTGAAGGACTACTGTCGCGTCTGCAAAATGTCACCGCTCGTGCCTATCAGCTTCGCCAACTTGAGCATATCCGCACTTTGTCTGCAGCGAATACCAGCCGTATCGAAAGTAACCCTCAAACTACCCAATCCTCTGAATACTACCTTATCACGACTCCATCAGGGGAACAGATGATGTTGACACCTCCGCCTTCGACAGTCCAGACTAGTCCAGAGACCGTTCTTGTGTTCCCGGATCGACAGCCAGTTAGGAACGATGTCGATCCATTAGGCGTTATGAACAACGATGTCTTACATAACGTCGTCCGGCAGGCGGTCTTGAACCAACAACCAGTACGAAACAATAACAACGACCAATTTGCACAGAATGTCCGACGCTTTTGGCTCTTTTTACGTCTATACTTTTTCTGCTATCTATTCACCGACTCGAATACTTGGGAAAGATATCTCTTCGTGGGGCTGGCCGCACTCATTGCGCTATTTTCTGAGTCCAATATCACAAGTCGGCTATTCAGTATTATAGTACACCCAATCCAACGCCACCTGGAGGGTCTTATCCATGGCGAGCCTCCTGCTCGAACGGAGCAAAGTAACGACACCAATAACGACAACGTTGATAATAATCAACCAGGACAGAATCGAGCAGCAGCAGCCGGTCAACAAGGCTTTCGACGCATTGAGCGTGCCTTTGCTTTGTTCATTGCGAGTTTGATTCCGGGTCTGGGTGAGCGACAAGTAGAAGTTGCAGCTGAAGAAGCAGCACGTAATGCCCGAGAACAGGAACAAGCTCGTATAGATGAAGAAAATGCGCAGAATGAGGGACAAGCTGAGGGCGATCCCGCAGTCGACCAAGGTGAAGTACCTCCTGCAGTTGCGGAGGCTACTGGTAATGCTGAGGTGCCACAGCAGCAGCAACAACAAATTCAGCAAGAGTAGCCTTCTTTCTTGTTTCCTATATGATTGTTTGAAGCTTTCACTGGTAATACATGTACATTTCTTCATCTGGGCCGTATCAGGAGTAACTTTGCATTAGCGGTATATCTGAAATATCAACTTTTTCTAAAATGCTTCTTTGATCGTAAGTCATTAATCAAGGTAGTTTATATGTACGTTTCACCAAAACCACAACTACACCGTCCTCATAGTCCTCCTCGCAAAAACCAGCACAGGAGCAGACCGTAACCCCTTCCGAACCAGTCGTGACACAACACCTTCAACAAATGAAATCTCTTCCTCTCGCCCAACCTCATTCTCCAAGAACGTTTCATATGCTATCTGAAGAGGGAAGCAAGTCGACGCAGGCCCAAAGAGTTCCATTTCATCTTGTAAGAGGTATTCCATACTGAGACAAATCTGTTTTGCGAGTGCTATCTTGTGTTCTTTGGCGTGTTTGAGGTTGAGAGGGTGTGAAGGGATGTCGTGAGTTATATCGTAGTAGGGGAAATAGCAGATGAAACGTTCGAGTTCGGAAAGGCAGATGATGCGGAATGCCCAGAGGTTAGTGTATACGTTTGCCATGGTTACGCTGGTGTAAATCAGCGGTTTATCCTGGGATATAGAGGTTTTGGATAGTGGGAGTTCGGATCTATCGGAAGGCCAGTAGCACTGCCTGTCGATGCCTTGACAGTATTCCATTTCCCAATTCTCGAGGTCAATCAATGTAGTGACTAAATGATTGATAAGGTCTCTGGCTTCAACATCGAAGTTTCCTTCTTCGTGTGCTTTATCTAAGAGATTGTCGCTTTGATTCAGAAGCGAGGGAATAATCGCACCCTTATCGAGAAGGCTCTGCATTGACGATGCTCTACAGATGGAGAAGGGAACATCAATCCATTTTGGGGAGGCAAGAAACGTTGTTTGCCGGAGTTGAAAAGCATCAATTAACTGACTATCATTAGCCAATGCTTCAGTACCCTACTCAGGTAGGTATGTTTGAGGGACACGAACTAGAAGCGGCCTGAAACCAGCGAAAAGAGTATGGAGTACTCCGGCTTTGCATGCATCCGCGCCGTATGCCCGAAATAACTGCCCGGCGCCTTTCAAGTGTGCTTCCAATGCGACAGAAGTACTTGGCATCATGAGCTATATGATATCAATATGCGAGACAGTGCGGATGAGCTTGAGAATGATATAGCATACCTCCACCAAACTCAGGCACATAATAGACGCCAATAGCTCCACATCAGACCGCTGATCCACAGTAACACTTTTCCGCAAAGATCGAAGAGCCAATTCATAGCTCTGGAAGCTTTCGATATTGTCCCTGTTTGGGTATAGTTTCTGAGTCAAGATAGAAGTTGCTAATGCTTCGACAGCTGCAGTAAGAACTAGGTTGCGAGTACCTCCTCTCCCGCTTCGAAGACTAGGTAGGACTTCAACCCATGCGCCACATATTCGGGGCTCTTTTGTGAAGTGCAGGTCATTGTCTATGGATGTCACTGAATCCTTGGGCACGTAGTTTCGTACGACTAGGGCAATGAAATCGTCGTGGCTAGGTCGAGCAAGCAATGACTCCCGAGAGGGATTCAGTGATGGCTGCAAGCCTTGTTGGACGCTTGCATGAGCATTTTCCTGGACTTTTAGTGTTTTTCGATGTCGCCGAGTTTGACTCGTCTCTCGAGTATTTCTCTGCTTAGAAGCGGATACGAACGTCGACGAATCCACAAACGTCCAAGGGGTTTGATACCCCTCACACACTCGGCCCGAATAAACGCACTGGCTACATTCTGGACGCTTACCATCGCACTAGGCCAGAATCTTTGTTAACTAGATGATATATAAACGGGAACATGCGGACGTACCCCTAGCTTTCTAGTCCTACATGTCTGACAGACGGACCTATTTTTGACCTTCATTTCGCAATCAAAGCTCCACTATGTACTGAGAGTAGGATCTAATGCCCACTATCAGCCATCTTGAGGCATATACAGAACGAACAAGAAAGAAAGAAGAAAGATGCCGATGTTGACAACTTCGCTGACCAATCATGTGGGGCCAATCGGTCTTGGCGGAATGTGTTTCCCAAAACGGAAGCCCTTAACCCTAACCAGCCAACCATGCTCGGACATCTCGAATCGTATTCACAAGAGTGCATCACCCAGTTTGCTTGACTCGAAGTGGAATATATAAGCCCCGATATATACGCTGGAGGGGATCCAAGAATCAACATTACGAACAGTCTAACTTTGTTCATCTTACCGGATAACGTCTGGCAGCTACATAACAGCACTATTATTCTCCTATACAATACTATCATGGCTTTTTCAAACAAATCCTCCCTCACAATCACCCACATCGGCACAGCAACAGCCATCATCGACGTCGACGGCGTAAACCTGCTTACCGATCCATTCTTCTCACCTGCCAATACCGAATGGGATATCGGTGTCACCGTCCTCAAAAACACAGATACTCCCGCCATGAGCTTGGAGACGCTCCCACCCATCGATGCAATCCTACTCAGTCACGAGGATCACCCTGACAACCTCGACGAACTCGGGCGTCGTCTCCTCGATGGCCGGAAAGTTTTGACTACTATCGACGGTGCCAAAAAGCTTGCTCCGAGACCTGGTGTTAGAGGCCTCCAGCCCTGGGAGACAGTGACATTGGTCGCTGGTGGAAGAACGTTTCGAGTAACAGCTACACCATGCCAACATCTCCCGGGGGGTGAATGCACGGGTTTCATTCTCGAGTATGATGGATTTGGCACTTCTTCAGACGGACGGCCGAATGCACTCTATATCTCTGGCGATACCGTCTATGTCGAGGAGCTCGCGGAGACCATTCCTAAGAAATGGAACATCACGGTAGCTATCATGAACTTTGGAAATGCACAAGTTCCAATGCCGGGAGGAGGATCACTCCAAGTTACAATGGACGGAAAGCAAGGTGCTCGATTGTTTCGGGATTTGAAGGCTGATGTCCTTGTGCCAATGCATTTTGAATCTTGGGGCCATTTCACGCAGTTTGGGAATGAACTTAGACGAGATTTTCAGGATGACGGCGTTAATGATAAAGTGTGCTGGTTGACGCCTGGTGAGCCGAAGAAGATTTTCTGATCTTGGCTGTAAGTTGGTCAGTACATTCATGTTCCTACTTAGCTCATCTGTGCCTAGGACTATCAAATATCATCCATCGTATTAGAATAGTGTATATTGAACTCTTTCTATTCTGGATGCACACTTTTATAACTTGGCTGCCTCGTCCGCATTTTCATTAGTGTTCATTGGACCCGTATCGAAGGATTCTTCGCCATTAAAGTGCCTTCAAAATCATATTAGCCATACTTATAAATAAAAATCAGGATTTAGAGAACAGAAACTTACCAACCCCTCTCCTCCCCTCCACTCAAAAAACTACAATCGCAATTCCTAACACAATCCCACCCTCCGCTAACCCCTCTACCACATTGCCAAGCAGGGACTCGCACTTCAGACTCGGGGAGGAGTTTGGTTCCCTCTGCGAGTAAGGATAATCCTTCTTCTTGCGTGTAATACTCAGCATTTGGTGGAGGAGTATGTCGTCGGACATAAGTACTCAATCCAGCCGTATACACTTTAAAATCTTCTATATTAGGATCATCCGGCATATTCCCTGTCAAGGCCCTACCCATAGCAATCAGTGTAGCGGCATGCGAGCATATAAGAATTGATTTGCTACTTAATGCCTCCTTGTCATTGCCGTTACGAGCTTCTTGTTCTTCTTCGGCGCGTATATCTGCATCTGCATCGGCAATGATAGCTGCTAGAGTTGTAGCTACACGGTTGTGTAACTGTGGTATCGTTTCTCCGCGTGTTGAGGGGATGACGTGGACGATGTCATTGTAACCAGACGCGGGGTCAGGTATAATTGTGGGAAAATGCTGATGTAGCTCGGATATGGAGGCGGGTGAGGGATGATCAAAGTATGTTGATGCACCAAACCATTCTCTAATATCAATTAGTTCTCATCCATATCCCTAGTGCTGACTTTCGTCACAGTGAGAGTGTTTGTACCCAAGCCCATTCTCAATCCTGACGCCCCTCTTCGTCTTCCCCGTACCAGAATCTTCTACATCAAGCGCCTCAACACTAGGCTTAATAGTCTGCAAACACCGATAAAAAGGGCTAGAGTAAATCCTCCATGGTTTCGGTCCAGGATACTCCCCCGATAGAAGATATGCCGCTAATTCCTGCGATTGTCGGACTCCGTGCGCTGTTAGTGTTGGGTCTGCTGGATTGCCGGTTGGTGTTAGGAAGGTACTGTGATATATGCCTGTTGCGTAGTCTATTGTCCAGTTCATGCGATGCTATATACCAGGTCAGATTCAAGAAATACTAAGACAATATTCATAAAGCTGGACTTACTCCGTGACGGACAAGGTAGATTGTGTCAAGAGGCATATTCGCCTGCCAATGTAACGATCGTAGTTGTAACGTCTATAGACGAATTGATGAAATATACAATGACGCGGTATGAACCCAAGCAGCAAATATAATCCACAGTCAAGTCAATTCTTTGTTACTTTGTACAATGAGTACTGCGCAGGGGAGATTGGAAGAATTGTCTCCATCTTCAAGCTTATCCGTCGCGGAAACCTGTGGGGCGATAAATACAGCCAAACCTCGGCTCTCAATCTCTACTTACGGGTATAATTGTAGAATGAATTAAGTGGCATCTGTCTTTCTTTCAGGCTATCTAGGCATCATCAATAAACAAGAAGACATCATAACATATGCAAGGTATCATATTAACACCGCCCAAAGACTGTCGACGCCGTCATACAAGAATTTAGCAGAGCCCGCTGGAAAGATTCGCAAGAGAAGACTTTTTTTATTGTGATCTATTCCATACTAGATAGTTGGTGCGAATCTAGTAGAAGAAACCAATGATCTTTCCAGCAACGTGCTTGCGACGAGCCTCCTCGTGGTCCATGATACCAGCAGAGGTGGTGAGGACGACGTATCCGAACTGACGAGAGGGGAGGAGCTTGACAACCCACTTCTCGAGGTCACGGAGCTGGACGTTGTAGCGGGGGGAGATGACACCGGTCTTGTTGAGGCTGTTTCGTTCATTAGTATATAAGCACCTTCCAACAAGTCTTCAAGAGAGACGGGAACGAACCGTCCATTGAGCTGGACAACAATCTTGCCAGAACGGTGGTCATCAATCTCCTCGAACTCGCCAATGTAGCCTGTAACTTCAAGTTAGAAATGTAACGGAAATTTAAACGTTAACAAGCACAGCGAAAATGAAAGGTCCGGAAAACGTGTAAGATCTCCATCAAAGAATTTGAATAATTCTCCTTGGTTTGATATCTCGGGTACTTAAAGGGCAGACGTCGTAGAGTGGGTTTAAGATCGAGATCGCTGCCTAGTTATCAACCCGAATGTTTCCTTTTCCATTTCCCTCGCTTTTGATCTTGTATTCCGACTTTGATAACACGTTTTCCGAACCATGTGCTGGAATGCTCGAACGGGTAGAAAGAGACGTACCGTGCTTCTGCATGACAGTCAAGAACTTGACAATAACCTTGGAGGAAGGTCGGATCAAGACCTGACGCTTGCCAGCCTTCTCGGCATTGTTCATGGCATTAAGCGCGTCGTTGAGAACTGAAGTGCGAACCATCTTGACGGTATTTTATTTATTTTGTGGCAGAGATTCTCAAATCGAGCGGAAAGCGTGGAAATGAGGTATCTATTAGTTAAAAAAGATGCAAAATGAATAGAAACTGAGAAATTATCTATTCCCCCTCCTTATAAAGAGAGGAGAAAGATGATTTCCAGTTTCTCATTCACATCCCACATCGTTAGCCTCCCATCGAAAAGCCCATCGAGCGCAAAGAGTGCCCCTTTTAACCATTTGTCTCGTAGAATCTATTTCCTCGAGAAGAAAAGGCAAATGGGTTCTTCAGCCCGTGCCGATTTTGCTGAGAGAGAAAACGTATCATCATTGCAAAAGACACAATGATGATTGTCTCTCTCTCTCGGGCTAGCCAGGTAGAGGGGATCTGAAGATTTCAAAAAAAAAAAAAAAAAACAAGGACTGCGGTGATAATTACATACCTCGATTATTTGACGGCACGGCGAGTTGATGGGCGAGGAGACGTTGGAGGTTGTCGATGCTGTCGAACAGGAAAAGAAATCTTCGTGATGGGTCTCTTCCCGCCTTAGCGTTGGTTTTCGCGGTGTGGGTTTTAGGGTTGTTGCTGGCTATGCCCTATAAACCACGTGATTTGCTTATCGAATACGATGAGCGATTGACCAATCAGGTGTCAGTAATCAGCATTTTGAGGAATTTCGTCGTCTACAGATCGAAACTGACTTAGTATGGTATATTACGATTGATATCTCAGCTGGGTAACAAAAGAGCACATACTTGCCTACCAGTCATCCATCTTACAACATACTCAACAAGACAGAACAAGATAGCATTGACAACCAACACCTACTTAATCATAGGCAAAGTCGATCTAATCTCCAGACTACCTAAGCTGCTCAACGTTACACCATTTTCCGGTTTTCCTTTTCATACATTTTGCTATCTTCCCCGGAATAAAGCAAACAAAAAAGACGAGATAAGTTGCAATGCAGAAAAAGAAAATAACAGTAACAGAGATTTTCATGATCTCTTGTGTATCATAAAAAGTAATACATGACTTCTTGGGCATACATGATTTTGGGATATAAGATAATAGAGAAAAGTCTTAAGGTGTCTAATTAAAACAATGGAGTATGTGAATATAATGCTGAGAGGGGGTAGCGTGGGTGTGTTGTTTCTTCAGAAGCCTTCATGGCTCAGTGACTGAATGCCTTCTAAGGTGATAGGGCGAAGTTCGGATATTCCGTGTGCATTCAAAGGGCATTATGGGCATGGGAATCATGGATGCAGGGGGATGTGGGCGACAGAGAGGTGAACAATGATTGCGGAAAGGGGAACTATGCGATGTATAGGGAAATGGGGACAGTGTGATAGGATTGTAGATTCCGAAACAATAAAGAGATCAAAAGGATAGCAACGTGATCACATGGTCCATGGACTGATCGCCAAGTCTCCATTCGATATGAGTTATAGAGTCGGGCTGGCACACTCGGAGTCAACTGGCTGATAGCTTTGAGCTCGATCGACTTGACCAAGAATACCGTGCAGACACTGAATGCCTGTGTGAGCTGGTACCTGAGCAAAACCTAGGATATTATTCAGGACAAAGCTCTTCAAGACATAGCAGCGGCAGTAGCGAGATTAATCTGGCGCTTGACTTGCTCACGTGCCCAGCGAGCAGTATCGAGAGTGCGCTGGCTATAATGAGGGTTTGTGCGGACTTCACGAACAAATGAAGTGACCCATTCGTTGCGGAAGAAGGAGGCAAACTCGCCATTGGGGAATGCGTCCGCGATATCACTGAATAATGGTTAGCATGATTTCATACATAAGGAGATATACAACTTACCCAAGAACACCCATAGTAGAACGCATCAAGCCTTCACTGCGCTGGGTATCAATGGAGATAAGATGAAGAAGCTGGAAAATAGCATCGATATACGGTTGAAGGGCACCGATCTGAGGAGTACCCTTGTAGGCCAAGAGAATACCACCCCAAGCATCCATGATACCTTCACGGAGAGAGATGACGTATTGCACGGTGTCGGCATCAACATCGTTGGCGAGTGTGACACTAGAAGCCTGCTGAAGGACTTGGGCGACAACAGACAAATAAGTCTGGAAGTGTGTGCCAATAGCTTGGGCAATATCTCCGAAGGTGACGAGCACGGCGGGTTTGAGTGTATCGCGAAGACCGCTGTTTGTCTATACCAACAGTTAGCTAACAGATTTGCAATTATGACCGCGGCTATAACTTACCAAAATGCTCAACATCTGATTCATAAAGGTATCGCAGAAAGGCTGAACCTTCTCATTCAAAGCGCGGGTAATATCGCCAACCAAGCCCACACCAATGGCGCACAGACCAGGTTCTTCGTGGTTCTGAAGAGCCTTGTAGAGGAATGGCGAGAATGACTCCATATACTTGAGGAAATCCTCTTCCAAAGCGCTGGCAACTGCACCAACAGCTGCGAAAACAATATCGGGAACGCTGGACTTGGGAGGCAAGGTTGAGAGAACCTGAAGCAAGATGTGCATAATGCGGTCCGCTTGGGGTTTAATCTCGCCTTCTAGGCGTTGAATGATGGCCTATACAAGTTAGAAAAATTGCCTAAAATGAACGAACCAGTAGGAACCTACCAGCAAAACGACAGTCAAGCTGGATTGCATCTCCTCCAAAGCAATGCGATCTTCGACACTAACGACCTGTTGTTGGAGAGTCACAGTCTGCTCAAGGCGCTGCAGAATGACATCGGAGAGACTAGCAACCATCGCAAGACTATCGTTGGCGGAATTAGTAACCCATGCGTTGATAACTTCATACGCAGCAGTTCGGAGCTGGTTCTCGGTGTCATGTCTGGGATTATTAGCAAGGTACTTTTCATTATCAAAGAAGGATACGTACCGCTCAGTGAGAGCAAGCAAAGACTTGATGCTCTCTTCAAAATGTTTCGACAAAGGATTGGTCTGGCCGTCACCTTGTAGTGAAAAGTTCTCGGCAATGCTAATAAGAGCCCAGCAGCAAGAGCCAGCAATCTTAGGGGTGCTAGCCAAACCACCAAATAAAGCGGCAATAAGTGGCTGGAGGTGGACATCGACGTCGACACCAGTAGGACAAGCCTCACAGATCTTACCTAGGGCAAAAGCTGTAGAGTCACGGACAATGACGGACTGGTCCTCCATCATACCCAAGAGAACTGGAAGTGCTTGCTTGACAAGAGGTTCCAGAACCTCGATTTCAGGACCATCCATGATAGCACCGAAAGCGGCGACAGCGGCATCACGATTGTGCCAGTCCTCGCTCTTGATATTCTCTTCGACAAAGGTAAGCACAGGCTGGATGATATCACCTTGCACGCACTGAGCATAAAGTTGAAGGGCTTGGTAGGCAGCGCGGGAGACATTGTATTCATCATCAGTGGCATCCTCATCTTGCTTCGTCATAAGAGAAAGAAGAACAGGAACGACCTCACGGCAGGCGATTCTAGCAAAGTTGAAGAAATGTCGGTACATCGAAGGGTCTGGAGCCGCAGCATTATCGTCTTCAATGGTAATTTCCTCCTCGCAAACGGTGCACCAAAACTCAATAGCAAGCTTGGCAACATCCTCCTCCTCATTGCGCATACCCATGATTGTTAGCCCGAAGAGAGCCTTTTCCATATAGAAACGCATCTTATCGTAGTAGCTAGCCATGATACGGTTAAGACAGCCAAAAGCACCTGCCTGGATTCGCGTATCTTCAGCCTGAGTAGCCTCACAGACCACCTGCATAATATAATTCCGCTCTCCTTCATTGCCCATGTTGCTACCAATAAAATCTGTTGCATCCGCAAGAGCCTGCAAAGCAGCAATTCGAACTTCGGCTTTTGGCTCATCGCGACGAGCACCCTGGACAACAGCGGTTAAGATAGCATTTGAGCTTCCAGCCAAGGCAGTACGCATATCCGGATCCCGCTCCTCACAGATGAAACCCAGGGTAGCTAAAGAATTTTGTTTGAGCGCATCTGATCCACTGCCCACATTCTGCACCAAGGTGGGCATCAACTCTGGCCATTCGTTTCGGGGTAGTTCGATAGTAGCGATGGCTGTAACTACTTGGGCGGCAGAGTGACCGGCACGACCATCTTTGGTGTTTAATGTCTGCAGTGTAAACGCTTTCACTTGCGCCTTTGTGGGAGGGGGGACCTGCTGAGCCCATCGGGCTTGGACTTCGCGCAGCCTAACGACATCCCTAAATGTGAGAGAGTTTTTAAGAGCGATACCAGCGGCGGAACGGATATGGCCGGGGGATTCTTCGCTTGCGAGAGCCTCTGAAAGTGTGACGAGATAGGCAGGCTAGATTGGGCAAAAAGGAGATTAGCACATAAATTCAAATTGATCGAGAAAAAAAAGGTGAAGTAACATACAAAGTCAACTTCGGCAGCGTGAATCAACTGCTGCTCGGCGGCCTGACGCGTATTCGCATCTGAAGAGTGTTAGCCATGATCAGCCTTATCCCAAGACAGCCCTGTATGAACGGCGTCTGATATCATATAAACAACAACAAAAACATACCAGCCGATAGGGTATTATTCAACACCTGAGTGACATCCATATTTGCCTATGTCAAAGACAGATTTTCACAATCCGCTCAGATCAGATCCTTGGGTAGAAGGGATGCGATGCGCAAGTCGAGGAAAGGCAGGTAAAGGGATCGAGACTCGAAATTTGTTGTTCTTCTCTTCCCTCCGACGTCGATAAAAACGGTCGACCTTGAGAAGAAGGGGTGTTGAGAGAAAGCCGAAAAGAAGGGAAAGAATGAATACTTTTTCTCTTGATTGCTGTTATTTCTTGTGGATGTATTGGGTCTCTCAAATGAGGTTGTTTGGTTGTTATTTATTGATGGGAAGGGAAGGGAGGGGGGAGGTTCGATGTTCGTTCGATGTGGGAAAAAGATAGTCGATACCGTATCAAACGTAACCGGGGTGGCCGTTTTGTGGATGACGAGGGTTTTTGGCGGGCGAAAGAAGGGACAATGGGTATTATTACCGTGCCGATACCGTATGAATGGCCATATGTTGTAACAGTAGTCGTGTAAGATACCTTTCCGAGCTCTCCAATTGTCACTCTCGAGTAACGATGAGTATGAGAAAGAGCAGAGAATTATACCATTTGGCCAAAAGGCAAAATATCTTCTATATAAGCTATAAGGCTCATGCCTTGAAGCTGCAATGTGGTTGGGCGTGCCCAGGGATATTATCTCCAGAATCGAATTGTTTATGTAGGATGCCTTACTGATACCATACGTCAGACCGTCTGCTGGTCACAGCGCCTTACCGTAGGATTATTTTTGACGCTTTCAATCTATCCTCAGAATGCCATTCTTTTCACAAATATAATGGGAACGTCCGATATTTGCGTACTGTGTTGGATGTTTAGGAATTATCGGCATCATCCATCTTGAACTTGTATTGCTCATGTGATCGGCTACTCCTGTTTGTTGCTGCTTTTCCTGCGTAATTTTTACCCCGGTCTCTTCAGTGGACACTTATCGATTGATGCCTGCAGATTACCTGGGCTATGGATCGGACAAGGCTGGAAGTATCCCCTATGTCATACTGTATATATATTTATCTCTCTCTCACTTCGCAAGGCTGTTAGAATTTCTATTCTCTGTATCAGTGTCCTTGATGCTCGCAACGAATTCAATAATGTATGCTTTTTACCCCTCTGAAAACCCCGCCTGTTCCAAATTTCAGCTCTGGAACGCCAATCCCTGACGTGCATCATTATTTTTCGATATGTTCACCGTTCAATCCTCAGAGTCACTCTCGACCGGATGATCAATATCCAGAACCTCATAACGCATCATATCAGCCGAAAGGATACAGGCAGCTCTTCTCTCTTTTCGCCCGTTGACATTCATTCTGATCGGTTTCGATTTGGGACCGAAGGTTGGGAATGTGTGTATTATGATATCTGCATGATGACCGAAGATATCAAGATCGAATGGGGTTGGAAGGGATTGAAGATCTGTTGTAGTAGTATATTGTGGGAAGGATTCGGTTTCATCGGCGTCGGACGAGGAAGTAGAGATATAGAAGTTGAGGAGATATGACCGATCTATGGAATTGTTAATTTTGAAAGAGTCGACGGAGATGACAGTGAGATATCACCTTTGTTCGCATATAGCAACATAATAGTCCCATCGTCGACAAATTGAGCTTGTTTGATCTCTCCCTTAGACAGGCGCATAGAAGCCACGGAGATGTTCTTTGTTGAGCTCACCCCATTTGTACATTGTATCGTTATTTTGTATATGAGAACTTGGCTAGATTAGTAAAGTGTCAAGTTTATGGTATAATAGACTTACGTGTATTCGGCGCACTTCTCAACCTCGAAGTCACATAAATTGCATACTCTTCCTCATTGAAGTTTTCATATTGCATGATCGTATCAATCACGTTCGAATCACAATCCGGATGTAGCACCAACAGACAATGATGAAGAATACTGCGTCTCTGCGCCAGAGCAATCTTGTCAAATACCTTCCCACATTGAGACCCAAGTCGAGCGATGAGATCATTCAGCTGCGGAGGAGCAGGCCGAGACAGTTCATTCTTGTTTCCGCTGTTACAGTCTCCTTTTTCATCCTCTTCAGCAGCTAAGGTGTTTCTGAATGTCTGGTAGAATGAAAATCTCTCTCCATCCGCGACACTCTTCTGTGAATCGCTCCCCGCTACTGGAGCTGGGCTTGGAGTAGAAGAGATGTATCGACGAAGAGAGCTCTTGGTAAGTGCACCCTCTATATAATCCAGCGTCGCGGCGTGGTCGATCAAGTCACTCTTCTCTAACAATTCTTCCAGCGTTTGAGACATGGGTTCGGCAGTCTGAATATCAATTTCATGGCGAAGCCATCTGGCAAACTCCATGAACTGATGCATTTCGCGGGTGGTCTTCGTCAGGATTGAATGGGACAGAAGATGAAGACAATCAAGCGTCTCAATAACCTCATGGAGATCTCTAGTCTCGAGGCCAAGAATATGGTTGAGTTTGTGGAATTTTGATATACCGATCAGCCGACTGAGAAGGACCTCACATCTCTCTAGAGCAGGCAGTAGACATTCATGTGTCAATCTCCGGACGTTCTCATATCCTGAAGACACTGTCTTTTCCCATCGTTTATGACCCTGTTCAAGTTAGACAACAAACCAACAATTTAGGATTATGGAGTAGCTGACCCTTTCACCAACAATATCCACCAAAAAATCCTTGACCGGCGGAAAACAATTCCCCGTAACAACCAAATGGTACAAAGCAGTGACAAAATCACAATGGCACTTCTCTTGCAACTCATCGGCAACACTTCTCATAAACCGAGCAGGCAATTCATAGACATTCTTCCACTCGAGCGCAATTTGTCGCTGCGTCTGGTTTATATATCTTAACAAATTCTGTAATTGTGTGATCTTAAAAGCTAGAAGTGATAAGTAGCGTCCTGATTTCGTGATGAAGCGTAAGTCGAGTGAAATGACTTTCAGAGTCGGATTAGGGGCATCTTTTGTTTTCTCGGACATTATGATTGCATGTGTTGAACTCATTGGATGCGATGTGTGCACCAATGTCTCAACCTGAGTCGATGCCTGTGCCTTGTTTGCCGTTATTGAGAAATTTCCAATCTCGAAACAGTCAAAAATCCGAAGATGAGCCCTGCCATCGTTCAAACCCACAAATAGAACATCCACAGCGTCGCTTGAGATTCTGTTAAAAGACTGGAAAATAGCATCAATTGACACCCGAGTGCTAAACAAATCCTCACTGAAATCACAAAAAAAAATTAGCACATATGCCATACTCTCTTTTCCGGATCTCGCATCAACTCACTCGCTCCCACTCCCCGGCAGCGTACTCAACCTTGGCAACGAACTCTCAACATCCAGCAATGCCAATTCACGCGGCAAATCCGCTTTAAGCTGCAACGCCGCTTTCACAGGATCTGTATCAGGAGCCAACAAATCCTCAACGGAAATTTGACCATTGCCCTCTCGAAGATGGCTTTGAGCTGCTTTGCTATCTGTGAAATTAACGCCCCAACCAATACACGTAATTCGGATATTTTTAGCATCCTTGTTGGAATTTTCGGGACTTGATGAAGAATATTGTTCCTGATCATGTGGTAGACACGAGAAATGATGCACTGTTTTGCCGGTGTAGGAACTTATAATGCGGAGTTTATTCTCGGCATCAGCGACTGCTAACAAGCGACCTGCAATACACAATCAGTCTTCCAAATTATACCAGAATTTGAAAGACTCTAGGAGATAAAGAAGGGGGAAATACCATCATTCTTCCACCTAATCCCTCTAATCTCACCCTTGACTTCATCCAAATACGGATCCCCCGCCAAATCAGCACTTAGCACTTCCTGCCCATTGAGTCGAAAAACATGTAACTGCTCATCCTCGCTCGCGAGAGCAATCAAGTCCATAGTCGGACAATATGTGAGTAATGAGCCATTTTTGCATTTTGATGGTAGTGTCTTTTCGGCGACTGTAGTTAGTTGTTGTTGTGGTGATGGTACCGTGTTGCGCGTGTCTTCTTCGGTGGGTTGTGTCATGATTGGAGTGTTTGCCCGATTTTATCGGGCATCATGGACGTTAGTTCTCGGATTTTACTTTAATACATGAGGTGCGAATCTTCAAAGTAGTTCGAATTGGTGATGTTCAATTGCAAATTCTTGATGTTGTTTGTTGATCGTCGTTGCCGGTTTATCGATAACAAAAAAAAGGCATCCCGTATTTTGTTAATGTGAGCCTCAGGCCAACAAAGCCAGACAACCACCATTAATAAGACTTGATTTGGATTTGATATGGAGTAATGTTAGATTATAAACAATCGGAAACTCGAGTATACACTCCGTAAATTTCTACAAGTAATAAATATGAATATGATTATGCGGCGTCCCACAGCTAAATCAAATATGCATGAACGCTTAACCTAGCACCTATAATGCAAATAAAACAGAGAAAAACCACCCGCAAGGTATGCCATATAAAGTCAAAAGAAAAAATACATTTATAATCCAGACGAAATCATCTCCCCAAGATAGCCAATCTCTTCCATCAACTCTTGCATCGCTGCCGACTGAGAGCTATAATCATCAGACAATCTGAATTGAGTCTCCTTCGGAGTAGGACTCGTCGACGGGTAGGACGAATCGCCAACGGACAAAGGAGTGACCGCGCTCAGAGGGAGTATAGCTCCCTGTCGCTTGGGGTCTGGTTCATGGAAAGAGAATTCGTCAAAGTCTTCGATGAGTAGTGAAGGAAACTCAATTTCTTCGCGCATATATGTCGAACCCAACTGACCAGCAGAGGAAGAGTTTGCAGACATTAAAAAACGAGAGTGGGCCGAGTCTACCTGCGTTGGAGATGGAGCTATTTCTGCTTCGCTTCCGAGGACAGGCGTAGTTGGGCCACTGATAGCGATGGAAGGAATGGGCGCATCTAACGTATAGTCATTATAAGTATGGTTCATGGTGTCATGCTGGAATTGCTGATCGAGAAATGGCGAGGAATTAGAGAGCTGATCGACATTAAAGGTAGAGGAAGATGTCATCGATGCAGGAGAAACGAGTTCCGTGTCAGTGCTCCATTCTGAAAATCGGCTCTTTTCTGGCGGATCTCGAGGAGAATCGTAGATATTTGATGCCGCAAAAGAGGTGTCATCCGAGAAGTGGCTGTAGAGTAGGTCCATGTCTAATGGCTTGTATCGAGCTTCAATAGCGCGTAATTCAGCGTCCAACACCGAGGATGGTGAATTCGGGAGCGTCGGGAGTCGTTTTTCTCTTAAATTTGGAAGAACTGGTGTAAGTTGGCCTGCCGTAGCATGGGTTTGCTCCCTCGGGCTTACTGCCATTGGCGTAGCCTGCTGCGACAATGCTTCGTCAAGGGTTTCGAGTGGAGCAGTGCTAGAGAAAGCTAACAATTCCGCTCTACCCGTCTCACGCGACGAAGAGTGGCCTTCTAGAGAAAGAGCCAAAGGGGTGTTCTCCCGGCTCGACTTTGAAGCTCGACGAACCCGGATGGAGGGCGGGCCTAGAGGCTGCTCAGAATCAACTTGCGGATGGCGGAAAGGCAATCTTCCAATTTCTACACCGTCAAGCTCTACCGGACTATTTAGTGGAGATGTCAAGCTTGAACTGTAGTTTGAACTTGCGTTGGAAGTTGAAGTCGATGGCACGAAGGGGTCAGCAGGATAAGGATCATGGTGGTTGATACCACGGTCGTCCACGCGATCACCAGGTGATCGAGCACCCGCAATATTCAGAAATGCTGCCCTTAATCCTCTCGAGCGAGGAGGAGACACAGACCTCTCAGCCTTAGCTCTTGGGACAAGTCGGAACTTTGGGCTGTGAGTCGAACTGGATGGCTGAGACATAAGCGGCCTCTCCTCATTAGAGTTCGAGAGATTGAGCAGAGATGATGACGGTACTGTTTGCTGATAGAACGGAGGGGATGTTTTCAAACGTGGAAGCCCTGGTCTGGGCTTGGGCGGAGTGCGTGGGTTCATATATTTGTCCTCGGGATCCATTGTCCGCTGGTCTGACTTGGTCGAGCTGGTACTATTATCACGTCGGTGGAGGTAGTCTGTGCCGGGAAGAATGATGGGTACATTGAGGATGTTGACGGGTTGGCCAGGTAATAGCGGGCATAATGAGGTGACGGGTTCGGCCCTGTTATAGTACTCGATCTCTCCATCTAGCCGATACTATTCATGATATTCATATTCATATTAGCGTGCATCCATAATAAAGTGAGTCTTGGTACGCACGTAATACCAATAAGTCCCTCCCATCTTCAACCCTCCGGTCCGGCCGGGAGACTGACTCGGGGAAGTTCCGTCACGTATAATGTCGGTAAATGTATGGCAACCTCGCCAATGGCCGGATCCCATGCGCCTATCCCGTTCCATCGGGTAGGGGCGCGAAAAATTGTCCCATGATCCTAACAGTTCGACCGATTGAACATTGGATGGAGCACGTCTGTTATAATGCTCGTCAGCATATCGTCTTTCCGGGGGGGTATACCGTACCCACAAAAGAAATGTCATGAGAGTAGTGGACAGCATCTTCTTTTCCTGGCTTTCTGACACAATTGGGAAAGCAATGGCTGATGGTAATCAAAGCAGAGAAAAAAGAAGGAAAGGACAAAATGCAGGACTTGTATATATATACACGTAATCGTACGATCAATAAGACAACTGGCGCATCAATAATGAAAAGAAATTAGAATGAATGAAGGGAAAGAGTGAATGACAGCTAGAAATACAAGCAACGCAAAATGACTGTAAAACAGAAAAGATGGAATGAAATACCGTGAGGCAGAATTGAAGATGGAACAGAAGGCTGAGACCAGGCTTAATATACGTATGGCGGAATGCTAGAGACAGGCTTGACGGCAGGCGCCTGTTTCGAATTGTCGCTGTTGTTTCAATGTTTCTATTTCTGGTCGAAATGAAGAAAGGGTCTGCTCCAGGTCGAATTGGATTGAACCAAGCTATCGAAGTGGAGAGCGAGGGTGACAAAAACAACGCGAACAGAGGGAGTTCATGATCTGTATCATTGACTCTGATCCAGTCGGAGAGGCGATTGGACCTTAACGGTTTGTAGGTCAGAAATAGCGCATAACGACGATGCAGGACTTGAAACCGAGGCGTCGTTAGGAGTCTGATTCAGTAGACGCGATTCATGCAGGTACGTAAGGGACAAGTCGCAAGATGAAAGAAAGATTCCTTTCTGGGCCTCTTCGAGATTGACCTTGAATAAGTTGACATGGCGGCCGGGCCAATGCGTGCGCGGGACGGCCGGATGAGGTCAATTCTCTTGGATATTCTTGTCGAACGCGGGCGCTTAGAGGGGCAGCTAATGCAGGAACCAAGCTAATAGCGTTGCGTGGTTGAGCGAAGTGGGCGCTTGTCTGAAGCATCCTGCGATCAGCCGTATTGTTGTTGTTGTTGTTTACGGGGTGTCCGGATCTGGTCCTTTCGAGTTTCAAGTGACTCTGAGGCTCCGACATAATATTCTGTATACCGTGCTTCACCCGTCTCGAGCATCAACATCAAACTCAGCTAATCCCAAAGGACAATGGCATTATTGAGATGGAGTGGGATAGATGAAAAATGGAGCCAAATGGAGCCCAAATAAGCGGCGCGAAGGGCCTGGTTCATTTTCAGCCAATCATTTTTGTCCGATCACGCGAACTGAAAGCCCCATTTTTCTTTTTCGGGACAGGGGGTTAATTCATGTTCTGATTGGCTGCACGCATATCCACTACTCTTTACTGTTCGGGATGCATCATCTTCAACCATCTTCGACGAGCAATCTGACCTGCCTTTTCCTGCGCAGTACATGGGATGCGAACCGATCAATTCTCCGAACAATCGCATATTCCTATCGCATGCTTATCAGTGCATTCTTTCGATCCAAGAAGCGCTCGACTGAATTGTCCAATAGACGCACAATTTGCAACTTAGCCGCCGACCCCTGTCCTAACTTGGTCTCCTTACACTGGCTACAAATGACAAAATGCAAGGAGCAAGAGTGACGAAACCGCCGAGTGTCTAAGGGCAGTGATTGTAAAGAGTGGTGATCGAAATGAAGACCTGCTTGACGTGTCGCCGAGTTTGTGGAGAATCAGGATGTCAGAGAGCCGGCTCTGCGCCTCTCGGAAGCTGAAAAGATCGGATATCCTTCAGGGTTCTGTGTCGACTCGGTAGGGCAGCAGAGAGTCTCAAGCTGCCTTGACTCTTTGCTCCTCCTTCTACAACGAGCTCAGTTCTCACCCCTCAACAGCTTATTCGAGTCGGGGTAGAGTTCTTTCTCTGATGTCCACGAAAAGCCGGAATCCTTGTAGAATGCCTTGTTCAAGCTCCATTTGTCTTCATCTTCGGTCTGATAAAACATATTTTCTACCGTAAGTTTGATAGATAGGGGACGCTAGGGCTGACCTTTGATCAGTTCGTAGCATAAAAAGTACTACGCTAACTCGCTATACTGCAACCGTTGATTTGGTTTGTCATTAATCTGTAGAATCTTCCAAGATTACTGCTTGACTTCTAATCCCCGAATAGGTATTGGCAAGTCGGGGAGAATGTTGTTGATAATCCAGATTTTGAGAGGTTCGAGCCTTCCTACCGTAAGTATTGTTTCTGCCTAAGGCATGAAAGACGGTCACACCAAGAGCGTGAACTTGTTGTATATACTAGCAGAACGCAAAGCTCCGAATTTGATAAGAGCTCATCCGTCGGCGATGTCCTTTCTTGAAGTCGAGGATGAACATTATGGATCTCCACTCTTTGCAGCTCTCACCATGGGAAATCGAAAAGTTGTTTAGACTTTTCTCGGCGTACATGCCGCCCAGAGAGCTTCGAACGATTGTCTAAGTGACCTCTACGCTATGTACTGTCAGGATGATGTTAGACGCTCCGATATTGGTCAAAATTTCTATTTTTCTAAGCTGAGAGGGATCCTATTCCCCATTATTGGGCTTAAGGACGATACATTATTTAAGTTTGCCATGGACATTTATCCCAATATGCTCGTCAAGGCATATCATCAAGGAGAAACACCACTATTCTGGGCTCCTGAGGTTGGATGTGATGCTATATTCAAGCTATTGCTTGAGAGAAGTGAGACAATACCGATCTACAGGACAAAGATGGTCGGACAGCACTCTTACAGGCAGCAAGGAACGGGCATGGAACTATAGTCAAGCTATTGATTGTGAAACATAGGACCAATATCAATACACAAGGAGTTTATGGTGATACGCCGCTCTGTCTTGCAGCAAGGTAGGGGCGTGAGACTGAAGTCAAGCTACTGCTAGAGCAACCTGAGATAGGTGTCAATCTACGGACCAAGGAGGATGAAACAGCATTTTCACTCGCAGCAAATGGGGGACCTCGGGAAATTTGCAGATTACTTCTGGCTTTAAATCATCCTGCTGTTGTTCCTGAGAAATATTCAGAGCTCTGGTCATTGATCAGAGACTGTTCTCGAGGATTATATTCAATTGAGAGGGTTTTGGATTTCGTCATGAAAGTTCATTTCCCAAGTCGCTTCATATGTAGGCGCCTCTAGCGTCCTTGGATCTTAGGTACACCAATCTTCTGGCATATTCGAGGATACTTGCTAAACAAACTAGCATCCAGAAAACTTTCTCGACCAGCATACAACAACCCAGTCAAGCTCCCCCACTTCCTTTCGTGGACTTCTATATGCTGAAAAAGTGTGTAAGAGTCTCAGCCAATAGTCAGTCGCTTCCATACGGCGGATGCCTGATCCATTCTCTCTGCGGCATATTCGTTAAGAAGACTTCGAAAATGGCAATGCTTGGACATTCATCCGACTCATGGTTTGCACTAGCTGCGTGTGCCGTACAGTCAGTACCCTTGGGAAGCTTGTTACACCATGTTGCCCTTATCAGAGTTAAGGGTACCTACACTATGGGCAGAAGGCAATTAGAATTATATGACTCGTTTTGTCTTTGTATGAATTTCAACCTATAAGAACCTACCTAAGTAGACAACGTTTAGTGATTAATGAATAGAAATAGTCTGTATTAATAAAACACTCTAGAAAGCAATCGGCTGACAGCAATCAAAAGTAGTGAAAAAACAAATCTAAGAATGCCCCTTTTGCCGATCAAGCCTCTTATTAACAGCTCCCAACACAACCTTCAGAATCCCATCACTCGAAAGCGTCCTGCCCGTCTGCCCCTTCCACGGCACAGTATCCACAATATCTCTGACGTGATCACTCTTGACGGCCTTACCCAACTCATCATCCAACTGCTCCAGATGTTTTTGAGCGGCTATATCCGTACCAATTTGGAAGAATTGGATTCCGATCTGCCAGGGGATTGCTTGGCATCGATCTAGAGTTCGGGCTGCATTTAAGATAACGCTTTCTGCGTCGTCGCTGAACACACCGTCTGTGATTACGATGATGTTGATAGGGCGGACGGCCAAAGTCTGGTTTTGGAGTTGACCGTATTCATCCGTGTTGGCAGCCATCTTCTCTATGCGCCGAAGATAAGGGAACAAGATCTGACGAAGACGTTGACCGACGGGCGTCATACCCATTGGTCGAACGTTTCGGAAGATCTCCTGTACGGCAGCCGGGGAGCTGACGTGTGTATATCCGCCGCTCCTGTCAAAGTTGCTGTAATGATTCAGGAAGTAAATATCGATCCCATCGGGGTCGTATTGGGTACAGATCGGTGTGATGGCGGCGATAGCTTCTTCGGCTTCTTTCCAGGATCGACCGGCCATACTACCGCTATCGTCGACGAGGAAGATGGTATCAAATTTGGATAGGAATGAGTATTGAGAGTCATCAGCGGGTCGGGTTCCGGTTGCCAGCGGTGCCGGTTGAGAAGTAATAGTAGTAGGGTAAGGAGGACTTCGGATCGAGTCAGGACTGTACGGCGTCTGTGACGTCGTCGCTGATGTCGGGGTGTAAGGAGGGGGCCCCCAGGGATCGGATTGGCGATGCTTCGCTGACATCGAGTAATCGTTATCATCAAATACTGGGTACGGTGGTCTTGCGCTCCCAGATACCGTGTTCCCAGTACTGAATCCCCTCGAAATGGCATTGCCATGTTTAGATCTGCTATGTCCTGAACCCATATTTGACTTTGACGAGGAAGAGCAAGACCTGATAGAGAAGGTCTTGGATAGTGATGAAGAGGAGAGTTTGTTGTTGAACAAAGGCATGTTGGCGGTGAATTGTCTCCTTCGTCTGTCAGAAATTGGGAAGATAGTCGGAACCTGGCAACCTTTTTTTATTTTTATTTATTTATTTATTGCTGCTTTGTCTGCGGAGGGGTCCCTTTATAAAGTCTTCAAACAAGTCTATGAGTTGTTTGAGTCACTGTCTAGCTCTCTTTCCAAGGTCATCATCCTCGAAACGAGTCACAACCATCATCTTTATAAGCAAAGCCATCTTCCGCAATTTTCTCTCCTGACATTCTGGAATCCGCCTTATCCAACATTTGGCCCTCCCAAAGGGACGATATTTGTGAAATTTCCATGGTACAAAGTAACACACTCCGTGATACGAAACATTTATGAAATTATTGAATTTTGTTTAGATGAATTTACACCTAAGGTTTGACAGGGCAGAGTCGTTGTATTAGCCGACCAATCAAGTGCTTTTCGACTTCACACAGCCCTCAAATCGATGTGACCGTGCCTAGTATGCCTTGCTTAATTTGACCAAAGGATTAAATGGTCTATTGTATAATTCATTATTGGTTCGATTATTTCCTATTGTGGTATTGAATGGGTATCTAGGGCTATGTTCGTTCCCTAACCGTTGGGAGTCTAGGGTTAGGCTACCCCGTGATGGATATCTGATGGGCCCGTACGGCCGGGATACTAGTAGCTTTTCAGGTCTGACCACGGGGTCTGAACATATGGCACTGCTAAGGCGTTTTTAGATCCTCATCGACACGTGGGTATATAATTGCAAGAAAATAAACTCCGACTATCAATATATTAGAATGTTATGGTAGTAGCTCAACAGAGTCTCAACACCGCCTGCCTTCCAAACAATGGTAAATCAGTTCGTAATAACCATGAAACCGCCTTGTAAGGTCGACATCCTCACTATAAACGATCAACAAACTTAGTCGTACCAGTCTCAACCATCGTCAGCTGCGCCAAAGCCAGAGCCTGATCAATCCCCATCTGCCTGCCAATCATTTTATAAGTTTCCTCAATCCAACGACATGTATCAGAGCCATGTCCATCGACACTCACGGCTGTGAATAGCGGGAACAGGAGGGCCAGCCCTCCTGCCGGATTGCTTTTGAATGGCGATCTGGATGGCTGTTGGTCACCTAAAAACCCGCACAGATACGGCACTGTGGCACATATATCGTTAGCGAGTTTTCGAGAGGTATCGCAAAGTCGATGACAGAGATCCTTGAATTCCGGCGTGGGGACAAATTCTGGTTGTGTAGTCATTCGTGCCAGACGATTGAGGAGGATTTCGTTTATGAAGATTCGCCCGTATCGGTAGTGGTTATGTAATACGCAGATGAAAGCTGACTGGTATACATGGTATATCCCATTCAAGGGGGTGAGGTGGACGTCACGAAATACTGGATGTTTGAGAGACTGATCCGGAGGAAGGGTATATAATTCAGCCGTAAATTCAGGCGGCAGTCCATTTACTATAGTCTCAAACGCAGCATCAAGAGCAAATGCGCGAGACACGACGATGGTATCGTAGTCAGTGCTATCCAGCATCGCCTTTTCTTCATTGCGCAGGTCGTTTACTCGAGACATTAGCACGCACATTTGATGTGATATCTTGAATGAATCCGGTGCATTCGGGAGTCTAGTCGCCGTTTCGGATAGTGTAAGTAGCGTTGGAGGGATGGGAGAACGTCTCATTAAACAGGTGACAATCTACTTTCGTTAATGACTGTTCAATACAGCAGAAAATAATACTTACGATTTCACTTCGCATAAACTCAAACATTTGTAATGCTTGAGGCCGGACAAGCTGAGATTTGCCCCGAAGCTCGAGTAGGGCAACGGCGCCTTTTGTATGTTCGACAAAGGCGTCCACTGTCTCTGGTGTTTTACTAGTCAAGATCTGACAATATCAGTATAAGTTCGATTCGAAAAGAGAAACAGAAACACACCTCAAAAAGTGACAAACAAAGGATCGCAGTAAGCGTTGCATCATCCGTGGCCTGTGTAGGATGCGAAATAGCTGCATTTGTACATTTCAATGCCTTATAGTACTCTTCTTGGGCAGTTATTTTCATAGACGGAGACTGAGCCCCTATTCTGGAAAGATTGGCCATGCCCACCGACAGAATACCCTTCATCATAGCCCTCTGGGCCATGGAAGACGTCGACGATACGTCGGCATCATAGTCGATTCCTTTTATTAGACTGCCGTTAAGCCATATAAAACTGTTAACACAGTAGCATATGGCCTGCTGTCTTCGGTCTATGAGGGCGGGCGTGAGTGAGAAGTTATCGGCCTCTATACGTTGGTCAAAACTATTGTAGGTTCCACTGTAGGAACTCTCGACGGATGGAGAGCTTCGCGCACTAGTCTGAATCAGATCGTAGTCTGTTGGTGGAGTCGAACAGTTGTCCCAGCTGCCTAGTGTTGTTACTCCGGTCGTAGGTACAATGGCCGTTAGTGTGAACGGTGTCCCCGCGCGTGAGGAGGCACTGCTCTTATTCGCTTTGGCCTTCTTGGCGACCGAGTTGCTCTGATCACGAAACAGGAGCGACAATTGGTCCCTATAGCCAGGACATACTCTATTGGCCTTGAGACATCGCTGACAAGACGGCGTGGCTTGATCGCACTGCTCACCAAATCGGGTTAGCTCTATAAATGCAGGGATTTGCCTTTTGGGCCGAAAGTGGGATGATGGAGTAAAACCCATGTACATGATCACATATATGCTAAGGGTCCTTCTGTGGGCTGTGTCATGCAACAGAAGACCTTGATATGTTTCTCCATCGTGGCATTAGGCAGATCAATTCTCACCTTGACTTTGCGTGCGCGACAGGCACCGCAGCCTTTGCTGGGTTTACCGCAGTAAACCATGAGCTATATGATTACGCAGATGATCTTTATATAAGACTCGAAAGGGTTTGTGCCCGCAATCCTCGTTTTGATAAGTTGTGGATAGTATCAAACTATCAGTCAAACTGTGCGTTCAATCGAGTCAATCCGTGACGACAGTGCGGCTGAGTATGCGGTCGCCGCTTGAGAGTTCGAACAGCGTCGGGGATCCGCGGCCAGGGATCAAAGGACCAAGCAAAAGATTCCATGAATCGATGCCAAGATGAGATCGTACAAATTCTGTCCAAGTGTCGGGCTAGAAGTACACAATATGAAGCAACTGAACAAATCTGGACGCCTTCAGGCTCGTGGAGTCAATAGGGCGGGCTACGCACTAACCTGATCCGGTATGCATTGCGGGATGCCTTTGTTAGATAGGAATAAGCCAATCAGCAACCGAGAATTATTGCTGCCTCAGCCCTTCACCAACGCAACACACTTCATACATTTTTTTTAACATCTTAGTCGACCACGATTGAGCTTCTTAGTGTGTGGTATACGAGACCCTGTCACTGGCTGGCCGGTTAATTGATCGCTCCATCTCGCGATATGGACCGAATGCGGAATGGTGGCTTGAAGGAAAAAGACGATGGAGTAGAGAAAACATAGCCATCATGAGAAGAAGAGATTGAAGCATAAATACCTGAGATGTCGCCGTTAGAATTTCAAGATGACCATCAACAACTTCTTCTGCAGCAAACATACGAGGAAATCCTCCCTCGTCCATTCATTATACACGCTTATATCCTTTTCTAAACGAGCCGCGACATCATCAATATGGTTGACTACCGGCAGGGCCTCTCTATCCTAGAGATGGTCGTCTATATCCCCGCTCTATTTATGGCCGTATCTATGGGCTTCCGGCACGGTTTCGGACGCCAGGCTGGATGGTACTTTTTCATCTTATTCTCACTCGCCAGGCTGATCGGTAATGGCTGCTATCTGGGCACGATCAACGACCCTACCAACACGAATCTATACATTGCCTACGCCGTATGCAATTCTGTGGGAGTGTCGCCTTTACTTTTGGGCTTGCTGTCTGGATTATCGCGAGTGTAAGCCGTCCTCAATCAACAGGCAGACCGAATACAAGAACTAACATGCTGTAAAAGTAATGACTCCATCCAACGCAAAACCGGCTCCGCATACTGGCCCGTATTCTTCCGCCTCGTCGGACTCATCTCTCTAGTCGGCATGATCCTCTCCATCGTCGGTATGACTAGTAACGACTCTAGTCTTCAAGCCGGGTACACCAGCAGCACCACCCGCGCCGGTATTATCCTCTACATCGTGGCCTGGGTTGCCGTCGTGTTCTTGACTCTTATGATTTGGTTCCGCTATAATGTTATTGAGCGTGGCGAGCACCGTCTTCTTTGGGCCGTGACGATCAGTGTTCCTATCCTTCTCATTCGACTCATGTACTCGATTCTGTCGATTTACAAACATAATTCGACTTTCAATATGTTTACGGGGAACGTGACTGTTTTCCTTGTTATGGATGTCATTGAGGAGATTATCATCGTCTACATCGTGATGTTGACGGGATTGACTTTGCAGCAAAGAGAGAAAGCCGTCTTCGACGCCGATAAGGAGATGTCAAATATTACTGCCGGTCCTATGGAAGGACATGAGCAACAACGTCTCCACAGCTCGGGAGACGCTGGTCGACGTCCAAAACGTGCATTGAGAGGTGGTCCGATTATGATGTTGATTACGTTCATTATGAATAAGGTCGAGCGTCGGACTTGACTCATATAATGGGATTCATCGAGAATTCTCTTCTTTTGTATATTTATTTGCTTATGCGTATGCGTTTCAGCATCTGTTATTTTCCTTTGTTTACGTGTCTCTTTCTTTCGCGATACCACTTGTATTAGACTTGCATCAAAATCTACCATAGTATCATTACTAGACTCTTGCTTCCAATTCAACGAGATCATACATGATGATCAAGAGGAAAAAAAGGAAAAAGAAAGAAAAAACCATAATATGACCCTAGTCAACATAGCCAAGCAAGAATCGAGGAATTATCCATCTCGGAAAAAAAAACCACATTCCTGATCACTTCAAAATGAAATCGTGATAGGCGCGACCAGGAACGAACTCAGTAGCCCAGGGGCGGAGGGTTGACTCCTGAGCATAGCGAGGGTCAAGGACCTGCAGATACTGACATGGGTCCATATCGTCTGGATACCACATGGTGGGAGGCTCGTAAGCGGGAAGCGCCATCTATCATGAATCACAGCCCAACATTAGCAGCCCATCTTCTTGAGTAGACAACGATACTAAGTACTGACCTCCATGTCATGCCAGAAGCGATTCTGCGGATCGTCGTCCAAAGGACCTGGGGGGGCAGTGGATCCTTCAGGAGTGCTCACGAGAAGGTCGGGAGGAGTCAAGGTCGGCAATATTGGGGTTGCAGGCAGAATTGGATAGTCATTACGGCCACGGCGAGTACGGTACGCCTCCATGGCACGGACAACAGAAAACTGTCCTGTAGGTGCAGGATATCCAGCTGAAGGGTGAACAACGAACGGGTCTGAGGAGTCAAGAGGGTTCATAGCTGGGTGAGTCTGACGCGGATACTGCTGCTGATACTGATACAGGTGCTGATCCCGCTCCTGACCTTGACGCAAGTAGCCGCCATCTGCAACCTGTTGATCGTCCTGAGCTTGTTTTCCTTGGCCATTACGACGCTTAAACCAGTTACGCTTCTGGTATTTGGACTGAATGCGTGGATTAGGAGAAGGAGAGTCCGCAGGCTGGGGTGAAGCGGCTGCTCCACTGCCTTCACCACCTTGTGAGTGTCCAGATCGTCCGATTTGGGACATGATGACAGCAAGGTTTTCTGTTAGAAAATCTTCCTGGGTAAATAGTTCTAGAGCGGATTCCTGTATATGATAGAGCTGTCAGTAATCAGAAGCCTAGGAGTATACCAAGTCGTTGGCTAATATTGACAAGGGCACTTCGAGTCTCTGATCATAACACGTACCTTTGTACGAAAAGGGCTGTTATTGAGCTCCTCAGGAAGACATGCTTGAGATGGAGACAAAGACATGCTGGCTCAGGCAGGTTGAGGGATTAAATTTAAGATAAAAATGGTTGCTTTGAAGGAAGACAATCCTGCCGGACAGGTCAGGAGAGAGAGTGAGAGAGTGTGAAAAGTTTCTATGATTCTGTTTGCAAGCTAAAGACCTTTTGAGACTCAAAGTGTCGTATTGAAAAGAATCGTATTGTAAAGGAAACAAAACGACAAAGGGCTTGTGCCCTAGCACAGACTATGACATCGCTACGATGTTTCATAACTTTGTCCATATCTGCTGAGCCATTGATTCTTTGTGGGCAAATGTTCTGTCACAGATTCCGTGAGGTTCCGTGGTCTCTGGCTTCCATATTTTTTTTACAATTTGTTGCCCAGACTATCTCTAGCTGAAGCAGCTGGGCTTCATGTGTTTTGGCTATTGGGATGTAAGGAGATTGGAGAAATCCATATGTCTGAGTCGAGCAAGCGTGGATGGAATGCCCAGGAAGGATCATTGGGCCTGTGGCACATCAACATATATGGCAAGCCCATTGATATGGTTCATGCCCGAGACGGATTCTGCCGACTTCCGATCACTCTGGGTTTTCAACCACTCGACTGTCGATGACACGTCCAGTCACCAACAGTATGCCGGACGGAAAATGTGGCTTGAGTTGTCCAAGTCTCTATTAGCCCCAGCCGATGCGCAGGTCGGGTCACAGACATCTGTACAATCAACGCGTGCGAAATGACTCATCGACCTGCCCACCACTCCTCTCAATCTCCGCAATAAGCTCACGCCTCTCCTGCAACTTCAGCCGGAGAAAATCAACCGTCTTCTTCAAGACTACACTTTCGCTACGACCCTGCCCTTCCAAGCCAGGCACCAACTCGGTGAGACGGTCAAACCCTTCTCGGATCGCGGCGCGACGTTTCTGTTCGGAGGCGATGTGATTGTTCTTCTTTTCTTGCTCTGTCAAGCGCGGCTTATCCTGGTTCCCATCTGCGCCCACGCCGGGGGTCTCGTTGTTTGAGCTGACCGAGTCGCGACTGTGGTCGTTGTTGTGAGCGCTGGTGTCGGAAGACATAGTGCAGTGGAGTTTGGTTGCTTGCAGCAAATAATTCCAAATGATTGTAACCTGTGCGAGTCTCGTTGTTGGTAGAAGTAGCTGTTGCGAAAAATGGTGAAGCGCACGCGATAGTGACACCAGTAAGTCGTTGCAAGGGGAGACTTAAGGTTTAGTTCTCGGCTATACAGCGAGCGGCTCAACCCGAATCCCGACTAAACTGACTAAGTGCAGATCCGAAATGCGGAGAGTCTGGAGTAGACTGTGACAAGGCCAGAAGTATTCTCAGAGGCTAAGCAGACAAGCATACGGTATTCTCGGTTTAAAGGAGTCGGCAATGAGTGAACGTACTGCGTGAGACAGACAACCTGCATGCAGTCAAGGAAGGTGTAATTGCTGCCTGAGAAACAAGGCACCGGCTTATGTAATGTCCCCATTTGCAACTAACATAACGTATCGCATGTCACGACGTCATCAGTCGAGCTTCCAGAATCCGCCCGCTTGTTCTTATCGTTTCCTTCTTAATTATCTTTTTATCCCAAGCCATGGGGCTGTCTGGGTATTTCTCACTCACTCCAGCTATATCTCATGAATTCCATCTGATACCATCGAAAGGAAATCCTGTCCGGTAATCGACGTAAATCCTAACGAGGTCAATTCTGATTTGACCTCATTAACACGTGCAAGAACGTTCCCTCACGAAAAGCCCCGAATACCAGCTCACTTGACAAACCATCAAATTTGAGACACGCTCTAGTCTATGGAAACGCACCAACCATTGCTGCGAGGAGGCTGCTCCTGCGGCCGGAATAGCTACGCCATATCCATCCCCAACGACGCTACCAATGAAGCCGAGGTAATCTTTTCGGGTCATCAAGATCACCGTAAGCTCACTTCCATCTTCCATCTTTGAACTATATGGCCTAACAATTCTGACTCAATTGCTACAGGACATGCTCAAGGAGTTCCCCTGACAGCATGGCTACGAGTTCCGCTCACATGGTTTCGGTCTCAAACACATTCTTTCTTTCCAGATGAGACACATGCTACGATTCGGCGTACATTCACACCCCATTATGCACCGCATACGAAGCGCTATTTCTGCGGCTATTGCGGGTCTCCCTTGACCTTTTGGACTGATGAACCCGAGAGTGAAGCTGATTTCATGTCTGTGGCTTTGGGCAGTCTTTTTGGTGATGATTTGAGATTGTTGGAGGATCTGGATATACTACCTCCCGATGATGAGGATCTTGAACAGCATGTAATTACTGAAACAGTTCCTACGACTCTTGTGACGCGAACGTCATCAGAAGTGGCGCCCACAGCACCCTCATCGTCGTCTACTTCTCGCATCTCATATCATTCAGGAACTCTTGCTGGTGTTCCTTGGTTCGAAGAAATGATCGAAGGTAGTAGACTCGGGCGTATCATGAAGAGCCGACGGGGAATTGGTGCCAGCGAGCATGCCTCCACGACTTTCGAATGGGAAATTAGTGAATGGCAAGGCACCGACACGGGCAGACAGCCGACGAGGGTCTTTACTTCGATAACTAGTGAACGTGGAAAAAGGAAGGCCGATGATATGACTACTATCTAGTCGAGCTTCACAAAGCTGAATAAGACGACAAGTTTTGAGAATACGGCAAACCTGAATTTGAGATTCTTGGAGTTGACTGCCCGTGGTCTGATCAGCAACATACAGCCGCGACCTCCAATGTCATTACTATTAATGAAGTTAACAGGAATAAACGAAGTTATCAAAAATGTCAGATGGATTTCCTTGTAAATTTACCATAGTTCATCATCGACATGATTATCACGTGATATCTTGTGCAACGGCATAATTTGTGCATGCTCGTAGTTTTGAGTCATTTCACTTCGGTATCTAACAGACTAACATCAGATAGAACGGAACATTCGTCTAATAATTCAAGATCAGAATCTTTCTACGTCCCAAAGCGAAGTGCAAACAGCAAAGTACATAATCAGTACAATTCCTCAGTTGATACACCGCAACACCCCGCCATCTCCAACCTCGATATCATCATGTCAGAAAAAGGCCCTCTAGGTAGCATACCACCAGATCCTCCAACATACGAAGATGCCACAGCAACCAGCACCACAACAACCATGACAACTACAACGACAGCACGCCCCCCTCAACCCCGACCACCATTCCCCCTCTCCCTCCCAATCCTCCATCAACTCCGCACCAAACGCGTAATCCTCGCCTCGCAATCCCCGCGTCGCAAACAAATAATGTCCTTCCTTGGTTTCCCAAACCTCGAAATCATCCCCTGCACCGAACCAGAAGATTTCCCCAAAACAATGGGTCCTATCGACTACGTCCTTGCGACAGCCACAAAAAAGGCTCAAACCATATACAGACAGGAAGTCGATAATGCGGAAAAGGGGGAACCGGGGTTAATATTAGCTGCAGATACGATTGTGGTTGATTCCGCGCACGGAGATATGATACTCGAAAAGCCGAGGTCGGAAGCGCATCATGTTGCAATGTTGAAGAGTTTGAGGGATGGGCGGAATCATGTTGTTTATACTGCTATTGTGGCCATGGTACCTCTAGCCAGTGCGCGGATGCCGGGGTACGCGATTGAGTCGCATGTGGAAGAGACCAGTGTACAATTTGATCCGGATGTTACGGATGATTTGATTGTGGCGTATGTCAAGACGAGAGAAGGCGCGGATAAAGCTGGTGGGTATGGGTTGCAGGGGCTTGGGTCGATATTGGTGAATAAAATTGAGGGGAGTTATGATAATGTAATTGGATTGCCGTTGAAGGCGACCTTGCAGCTTATTCAGAAGACGGTTATGAAGGCTGATGATGATGAGTTGTTGCCGGAAGAGGATGGGTTGGATGAGGACGAGTTTGAGGGTTGATCCCTGTCAATCCTTACAGTACGTTGCAAGCCCTATATATCAGATACTCTGGAAGTATGATTATCTCTGTAAAAACGCTCTAATCCGGCGTGTATTCGAACCTTCTTATATAAAATGTACAATAGTCTGAGTCAAATGACAAGGAAAAGAGGTGTGTAACAGTCAGATTCCATCTATGCCGTCCAAATCCTCTTAATCGCCTCAGTGATACCAACATCATTCGTCTCGAATTCGTACAAACCCACAGCGACAGCCAAAGTAGCAGCGCGGAGGCCCCATTTGAACAATGCAAGGGTCTTGGGGACACGTTTTTCGGGCAAGTAGTCAATAATCAGAGCTCTATAGCGTTGTTAGTATATATCTCCAAAAAAAAAAAAAAGAAGAAGGCGGACGTACTGGAATCCGATATGAGAGTGAAGGACAAGGGTAGCGGCGAGGATGGAGTCCATGACTGGGTTGAGGGAGCCACCGACAAACGGGGCGATGGTGAGAGGGACAAGACCGGCAGCAATGAGACTATTATCTGTTAGTAGATCTGTGTATTCGTCGACTTGCTTATCTTTTGCGTACCGCTCAAAGCTCCAATGGTAGCTGCCATGGCTGGGAGAAGTGTGAGGAACAGGTGCAGCATCGTTCACTAATGATATTAGCTATGTTGTTATTATGTAACATCGTTGTCGATTTGTCTTGGTTCGTAACGACGGATCATAACCATATGAAAGAAGTATAACATACTCGTTCCCTTAATAACCTCTATATCAAATAGTTAGCTTCCTTGCTTCATTCTCAGTCCAAATCAAATTGCATCTTCAAACTCACGTGGCAAAGGCGTAAGAATCTCTCTCTTAGCCGAGCTATGGAAAAGTGTGACTTGCGACGTTTTGTTCAATTGCGCCTGGCGAATAATGGTCATAGCCAACGGAGCCGACTTTGCAGAGTTGTAAAGCATCGATTGACTAGCTGGGACTCTCATGATCTGTCCCAGCATGGCACCGGAGGACGGGCGGATGAAGGCGGCCATTGTTCTTGGGAGCTTTCGGGGTGATTTGTTAAGAGTGGCAAGGATCCGAGTATGAAGAGGCAGCGACGTCCAGCAAGCGATATAACGTCGGTGGTGTGGACGTGCTAGACTATTGTGGTGAACTTGAAGATGAAGTGAGCAGGTTCCTCGGGAAAGAATGCGGTCATCCGATTGTGTTGCTTGTGATTGGTGGACGGTAGCCGAATTAGCCCGGCCGCGTTAAGCATGCAGCCGACCTTTTTTTCCGATCTGGATAGTTACGACGACATTCACATTCACATTCATAATTAACAGCATGATACATTTGATTGATATTTACTGCTTAATACTTCAATACAGCCTTGCCAAAATTATGACCATGGAAAAGAGCCAACAACCCATCACCAGCCTGCTCAATACCCTCAACCTCCCAGGTCACAGCTTTAAAAGTACCCTCCTTGATCCATTTCGACACACGCTCTCGATGCTCATCGGCGTACTTGTCACCCATTCCTTTATCACCAACCACGAAACCACGCACAGTCAACCGCTTCCACAGGATATTTCCATAATTCCGCAGCGGGTAGATCTCCTCGGGCTTTTGGTTGTATCCCGCAATCAGACCGCAGACAATAACACGTCCGTAATCCTTCATTGCGTCAAGAGCAGCCGCAAGATGGTCTCCGCCGACGTTTTCAAAGTAAATGTCTAACCCTTCAGGTGCCAATCGCTTCAGAGCCTGCGAGGGACTTTCTTTCTTGTAATTGAATCCAGCATCGAATCCCAAATCTTTAAGGATGAAGTTCAGTTTCTCATCGGAGCCAACGCTACCAATGACTTTGAGCCCTTCGTGTTTGGCAAGTTGACCCACTAGCTGTCCTACAGCGCCGCTCGCAGCGGAGACAAAGATTGTATCTCCCTTCTTCGGTTTACCGATCTCGTACAGGGATGAATATGCCGTGAGACCGGGCATACCCAAGGCTCCGAGGAAGTAACGAATATCGTCGAGACCCAACGGGTTCTGTAGGTGTTTGATACCCGCGACCTGATCGCCGTTTAGGGCAATGTATTCCTGGAACGGGAGTATGCCAACGACTTGGTCGCCTTCTTTGAAGTTTGCATTCTTGGACTTGATGACTTGGGCGATTTGAGTGTTGACGATGGGCTTGTTGAGTTCAAAGGCGGGTACATATGATTTGATTTCGGGTGCTAACTGGTCAGCCGATCTGTTGAAGTTTATTTGGGGCAGAAAGAACTTACAGCGCATGCGACCCCGTAGGTACGGGTCGAAACTGCCGTACAGATTCTTCACGACGATGCCGTTCTCGGGAGCTTCTTCGGGGTAGGGGACGGATTGAATGTTGAGATCCTTTCCTACGACAGGCAGCCCTTCGGGCACGCTGTTATAGAATAGAGCTCTGTTCTCCGGCATGTCTGAATTTCGTTTTAAGGTCGGATGAGGTCTAAGTGTAGCGTATATCACCAAACTAAAGATACAGGACGTTGAACCGGAACTGGGAATGGGAGGAGGCGAGATTTATATTCAAGCAGATGGGTGTCATGACAAATGGGCGCTTGCTTCCACAGGGTTCTGCTTCTTGTTCTCTAACATCACTGGTAGCACCGGACATGACCGCATCCAGCAACATGGCGAGCCACGGTATCCATAATTCTCTCGCACACCACAAGTCCCAGGTATCCATGCACTTCTCGCACTTCTGTGAACGCAAGCCCAACCGTAGGAAGCTTGCGCTCATAACTAGTTACCTTAAGGCTTAAGCCAGAGACCATATGGAGAGCAGAAGCGAGAAAAGAGTTCTCCATGTTGGAGACTAGTCCTATAATCGTATAGAGCCCCGAGCGAATGGAGAGATCCACCCGTTCTGAATCTTTGGGTCTTCCAACGTCATGCCGATGCGATGATGATTTATCTTCACTTTCAATAAGACCCAATATTCTGAATGATCATTGAGCAGGTCATACAGCCAAGGGAGGGATGAGCAGATATCCTCCATACATCTTTTGGACTTCAACAGACCGCCAGCCCTTTGTCAGATCAATCAGACCCAATCTAAAGTGTAACCTTTTTATCTCGTTCTGTGCCTGATATCTCAGGCCACAGCCAGTCCCAGATGGGTTTAGCCTCCACCACATTCATTGATATTTGTCATCTCATCACTTTTGTCAGTGATTTCACTCGGCGCTGTTTCTTCGCCGTACTACGTCCGTACGTACGACTGCCGAGAAACCTGCATAATAATGGAATTGTCTAGAAGAGTCAGGATGTCGGTGTTTTGCCTCTGGTTTTATGCAGCGATCTGGCATGACTGCGTCGACGGCTTCCGTCATATGGTTCTTTCTTGATGGCCAAGAAACGTGCGGGAAGGGCATGGTATTGTCTCTTCGCTTTGAAGTCGACGCCATGACAAGAGCAGGTAAGTGGAGCGTCGTACAAAAGGACTAGCAATATGTCGCAGAGTACTACCCCGCCTGTGGCTGACTATTGCAGCTTCTTTATGACCACCTTTAGTGCTTGATTTTGTCGTGTTAGCAGAACCTGACATCGTGGATGCATCGTTAGCCAAAGGCTGACTTACCGTCTTCTTGACTGACTTTCCTTAGTCAAGCTGACATGAACGAGTAATGTCTTTTGTCAAAGACAAAGTCATTGAATGGACTTGCTCTTTGTATTGTGCTCAAAGGCTTGACCTAGACTGAATCGCGTCAACAATGGCACATGACTCATGAGAATCCCACTCGCCGCTCGCCGCTCGGTGGCTATGTTAATTGCAGCTTTGCAGAGGCTCATTTTGAGTCGTGCACACCGAGGAAAATATCCAGCGGTATTCTTACGTATATGCAGGAATCTCAATGGCTCGTGCAATGGCCCGATATGGAAACTCGCAACGAGCTGGTGCCAGAATGTACAACGAAATAGCCAACTGGCCTCGCCTGCCTACACTATGTATAGATGCTATCCTGCTCAAAATGGACCGCGAATATCCAAATCCGGTCTGTCCGTACCTAGGTACATGCCTCACACGTCAGGCATCATTATCAATAACGGAACGAACGGACCCACGGTCTCGACTAAAAAGAAACATCGGATGTTCTCAAAAAGCATTGTTCGGTCATCTGAACGTCCAGATGGTAAAGTACTACCACACTATCGCATTCTGGACACCATGTGAGCAAATATCTAGACAAGTCCATTGGCTACCTACGTCCTTCCAAAATTTAATGCGGAGGAGTCTATAGACTTCCGCGGAAGGGATTCAGCTTATATATAGCATTTTCGATAGGCAGGATCCATGTATATATCTCGTGTTTGCGTGGTCAACGCGTACAAGAATAGAGCTACACCTGAAGAATCCGCAGTCCAGTATACAGGGATATACGTAGTATGCATCGTTATTTTGGTTCTGTATACAGCTCTCCAATCACGGCTCGACAACACTATTTATGGCACATGCCCAAACAGGTCTAGTCCATTGACACATCAAGTTTGACAGTGTACATGTTACCGATTGGCTGTGAGGCTCCGATTTTGAGATCTTCCGGCGCTAACGGTGTAGCGTCAGGTTTTCAATGTACTTTAATGTACACGAGACTGAATACGCCAGCTCGTATGTGTCGATTCTGGACGAACGACGACGCTAGATAAGTTGATACTCGATAATAGAATATGTAGGACGGGGTCACGAGACGGAGACAACATCTCCGATTCTTATCTACGTACTATCAACGGCAAGTTCTGCTTATCGAAGGCTGAAGCACGCAGGATCGGGTCTAATCAAGCTCAGACACAGATACAAGGAGTACCCCGTAAAGTTTCGTTTGGCGTATATTACAATATACATAGTATAGACTATCAGCTTGTTTCATCTGTTGTTTATTGTTTCGAGCCTGTATACGACGTAATCCAATGTCGGAGAATTAATTGAGAACGAAGAATATTGTGCAGTGGTCGGGCCATGTGGGAGGACAGTAGAGTACAAACTAGTATTAGACTACTTACTAGTAGTGGGACTCGTACATATGATGAAGTCTGAAGAATACATCCTACATAGACTATCCGTATGTACTTAGGTAGTACCCCGTATATTATATATTTGGAACAGATACTCCGTACTATGTATAGTAAGCGTGCAGAAAAGTCGTATGTTTGTAACCGCCCATCCGATCAACCAAGGAAACTGAAGAAACTAAACAAGTCCGCAGTTTCGCTACGCGCGATCCCGGTCAAGGCTGGTCCAATCAGACCGCAGAAAAGACTCGTCTGAAACCCACTAATAGCCCAGCCGCATAACATGATTGGTCGCTGCACTAAGGTTGCGGCGCATAGACCACAGCCAATCACAGCCCCCGATCGTTCGTGAGTTTATTTTTGTACGCCAATCAGGATGCTCCGACTAGATCTTAGCGGTTTCTATTCTTTGCTCATGTTATGCAGAAGAAGGCTGTACATATACTCGCTTGCTGTCGATGAATTTCCTCTTTTCTGATTCTTCTTCTTCTCCAGTCATCAAAATTGTCTTGTTGTGTTCTTCTGCATCCCGAATTCCTCACTATCAATTTCTTTCTCTACGTTTTTGCATTCTGAGCTTTATTTGTATATTCTCTTATTTGTTCCGTCCTTTGTTTAGCTGCTGTTACGACTAAGAGCCTGGCGCTCTGGTCTTTGCCCTAACGTCCTTCTTCGGCATATATTTCCAACTTCAGGGAACAAAGAAAATAACCTTAACCGGCCAATATCCCGTCCAAACTTCTTATAATCATCTCAACTTTCAATTTCATCAACTTCAGCCAGTGCATCAGAATGCATTTCAACGGACTCGTTCTTGCCTCCCTTGCCACGGCTGCTGTGGCTGCTCCTACCAGCAACGTCTTCAATGATGTCTACAACTTCGACGCAACTCTGGAAGAGTTCTATTCCAGAGTGAGCGCTCACATTGGACGATTCGCCGATGGGCCTCCACCTACCAATTGTGACTTGTCCAAGGTGTCGGTGCCCTCGTCGTCATTACCCCCTGCCACTGGTACATTGAAATATGTCGCTATTGGTCGGGGTACTCAGGTATGAACCTGGCCAGGCATTGTCATTCACTTATGGATTTCCCGACTAACTTTGATATAGAACTACACCTGCGCCGACGCTACAGCAGATACCCTTCCCTCTCAAATTGGTGCTGTCGCCAACCTCTACGATGCCTCCTGCATCGCCGCCAACTACCCAGACCTGCTAGACCTGGCCACCGACATTGTCCTCAACTTCTCTCTCCCAGCACCCGGTGTCCAGACTCCCCTCGCACCTGCAAATGTGGAAATATTGGGTCACCACTACTTTGAGACGACGACTACGCCAACCTTTAACCTCAATACTACGCCTGACAAACAGTTTGGAGTGGCACTTACAAGTAAGAAGAACTCAACCACTGCCCCTCAAGGTTCTATTATTGGTCAATTCAATGTCGGTTACGGTGCTGTCCCTTGGTTGTATCTTACGAGTATTACTGGCACTACCGATGGGATTACTTCGGTCTACCGAGTGAAAACTGCTGGAGGTGCTGCACCTGCTACTTGTTCCGGTCAACCAGCTGCTTTCCAAATTCAATACTCTGCGCAATATTTTTTCTATGTTTAAATTTTCATTTCAATTCATGTGGCCGAAATTCATTATATATGTTTACGATGATTCCGAGTGACTGAGGTTACATTACTATAACCTTAAATTGGTGCGAGTGGTCGAAACTTCCTAGGAGTTCCTAATAGCATTTCCCTAAAATTCTGAATGAAACAATCAACATTCCGACTTGATAAGTTGAAGAGACAGAATTAATATTGCTGTGACATCTTCTTGTACTAGTAGGGCAAGATAAGATCCCGTGACCTCGCTATCACCGATAACATCACGTGCCGATAAGCATCCACAAATTAGGCACGGAAACCCACGCTATTCTACCAATAGTCTAGCGTGGTGAAGGTCCGCAATTCGAGAAAGAAAAAAAAAAAGCTTCGACCATCACAAAGTCGCTCTCCATCTATCGCAATACATCCAACTGCTCGTCCGCAACGCACGGCGCGCAGCTTATTATTTCAACTCTTTTTAGATTGGATATATTGGTTATTCCAGCCATATTTTTGACATAAATTCGACGTCTGTGGGCTAGTCAGCTGTTCTGATCGTTGCGCGGCCAGCCTCTTTTTTTCCCGATCGTCAATTTCAGCAAGTTTCAATCAAATCGTCGAGATGGCATTCACACCCCGTGGACGAGGAGGCCCCCCTCGCGGTGGTCGCGGTGGCTTTGGAGCCCGTGGTGGCGGTGGTGGTGGTCGTGGTGGTGGACGAGGTATGCTTTCAGTCTGTAGCTGAGTGAGGGATCAGTCGATTCTAATCGATTTTCATGAATAGGTGGCGGTGCTCCCCGGGGCCGAGGTGGTGCGCGCGGAGGCCGTGGTGCTCCTAGAGGTTGGCAATTACCAAGAACCAAATGAGAACGCTCAAGATACTAATATACATGGTTAAGGAGGTCGTGGTGGTGGTCGTGGTGGTGCCAAGGGAGGTCAAAAAGTCATTATCGAACCCCATCGTCACGCCGGTATCTTCATTGCTCGTGGCGGAAAGGAAGATTTGCTCGTCACCAAGAACTTGACTCCTGGAGATTCGGTCTATGGTGAGAAGCGAATTGCTGTCGAGTCCCCTGCTGAGGGTGATGCTCCTGCCGTTAAGACTGAATACCGTGTTTGGAACCCTTTCCGGTGAGTCTCCTTCTCTTGTTGGGTGTGTAGGATATGTGCTGATATATTTGTCTGCATTATAGGAGTAAGCTTGCTGCTGGTGTGCTCGGTGGTTTGGATAAGATCTATATAAAGCCTGGATCAAAAGTTCTGTACTTGGGTGCTGGTATGTTTATAACCGCGTTATAAGTCTATTGATTACTGACATGATGTAGCTTCCGGTACCAGTGTTTCCCACGTCGCAGATTTGGTCGGCCCAACAGGAACTGTTTACGCCGTTGAATTCTCCCACCGCTCCGGTCGTGATTTGATCGGCATGGCAACGTAGGACACACCTACTGTTTGAGAGTCTGCAGACACTAATTTATCTCCAGAAAACGCACAAACGTCATTCCCATTGTTGAGGACGCTCGTGTAAGTCAACCTTGATCTTTCGCTTGAATTGTCTTGCTGACCGTTCAAAGCACCCCATGAAATACAGACTTCTCGTGCCCATGGTCGACGTCATCTTCGCCGACGTTGCTCAACCCGATCAGGCCCGTATCGTGGGTCTTAATGCACACATGTTCCTCAAGAATGAGGGTGGCGTTTTGATCAGTATCAAAGCCAGCTGTATCGACAGCACGGCCCAGCCGGAGGTCGTCTTTGCTAATGAAGTTGAGCGTCTCAGAGTTGAGAAGATTAAGCCGAAAGAACGTGAGTCATCTTTTTTCTCGGGTCAATGCAAAGTGGAGTAATATGCTAACTTTTTTCTCTTTCTGTAGAACTTACATTGGGTAAGCTACTAACAAACATTCTTCTACTGTACGAGCAGCGCGTTTACTAATATATTCACAGAACCCTTCGAGCGTGACCACTGTATCGTGGCAGGTCTTTACATGCGTTCTCAGTAAATCAGAAGCATGCAACAAAAACGACGCGCATCTTTCTTCTCGAATCTTGTTGGTTTCAAGTGACATTTTTTTTCTCTCGGCGTTGAGTGTATTCTACGATTTTCTGTCTTTTCGCTTTATATCTGTTTTTGGTATTTCAATGGATTGCTTATTACGCTCTTGGTTCTCGAAATTGGTCTTGAGTCCCGACTTGAAAAATGTTTTGTATCTTGAAATCGGATAGAAGATGTACAGGTACATGAATGAGAGCTAACTCGGGAATGCCGATTTGACATCTATCTGTGCCTGTCAGCGAAAGTTCTAATTCCATTCCTAGGAAGGGCTCTCAGCAGGAATATCCGGGTATCGCCTTCTGAGATACCTACCAACTAACCTCTTCACACCATAAACACTATCAATCACCGGAAGCCATGTATGCCCCCATACTGAGCACCAACAGACATCAGGATTAAAACCGGCAAGATAGCTTCTTCACCCTTTCGCTCACTCTCCCGAGAGACCAACTGGATGTAACAATGCGGGGAGAAAAAACAGCATTACAAAAACGGGGCCAGGCCGGAAAAGAATTTATCAACTTCCCTTCTGCTAAGGCATACATTCACTCTGCACTGTTTATCAATTGGTTGCAAGCTTAATTTTGATTGCTGTGAACAATTCTTCTGTATAGCTTATTGCTGTGTGTTTGTGGGTTGTGAATGTTAGACTATAGGTATAAGCTTTTGGCTGATGAATGCTTATCCGGTCTCCGGTTGTTTGGATGAGGTATGCTTGCCTTCTAATATGACCTGAACCCCAGCTTGTTTCTGTATATTATTTTCTATTCTTCGTCAATTTGCTTTTGCTATCAGCAATAGTATTGGGAGATCTTGTCTATTGTGTCTTGCGGATACCTCTGTCGTCTGATAGACATATCATTTCCACCCCGACATTCGAGACAGGCAAAATGGCAGATCCATCAATCAAGGGTTTGAGAATAGTCATTGTCGGTGCCGGTATGTCCCGCCGCCTAATCTATCAGTGTCTCTATCTATTAACAACTATCGTACAGGCATGGGCGGCCTAGCATCTGCTCTAGCCCTCGCCAAAGCCGGCTTCAGAAAGATCGACGTCTTTGAATATGCCACTGATCTAGGCTTCGTCGGTGCGGGTATTCAGCTCGCTCCCAATATGGCTCGAATTTTGGATCGACTGGGTGTATGGGAGCCAATTGCCAAAGAAGCGACGAGTATCAAGGATACCAGCATCAGACGTGAGATTCCTTCATTTTTTTTTTACTACATACCTAAGAGAATTATATTGACAAGCCAAATAGAAGGATCAACAAATCAAGAACTCGGACATGTAGAGTTGGGCTATATTGAAAAAACATACGGATACCCTCATATGGTCGGCCACCGTTTCTCGCTCGCCAACTCCATGTATCAAGGCTGCAAGAAGGAAGCCGCTATCACATTCCATTTCAACACCAGTATCAAATCCATCGAATCCTTCGGTCCCAATCCCGTGGTTATCGCTGATCCTCGCGATGGTAACGGTAAACCCTACAAAGTCGAGGCAGATATATTATTAGCTGCAGACGGAATCAAAAGTAACATCCGCGTGGAAATGCTCAAATTATTAAACATCGACGCGCAAATCAAGGATACTAATCAGGCTGCGTATCGAATCATGATTCGTCGTGATCAGATTAAGAATGACCCCGGACTTCTCGCCTTGCTTGATAGTGACACCGTCGTTCGCTGGATTGGTGAAAGGAGACATATTATCGCTTACCCTGTCGACAATAAGAATATCTATAATATCTCCACGGCTCAACCAGACTCCAACTTCGCAGCTGCCCCGTCAGCGATGTATACAACCCGGGGATCGAAATCGGCGATGTTGGGAGTCTTTGAGGATTTTTGTCCCATGATTCAGCGAATGTTGAACCATGTTCCGGAAGGGGAGGTGTGTGAATGGAAACTCCGTGTTCATGCCCCATTACCGACATGGGTACACAAGACTGTGGCTCTGGTAGGAGATGCTTGTCATCCTACATTACCGCATCTTGCGCAGGGAGCTGCACAAGCTATTGAAGACGCAGCTGCCATCGCTGCGGCGCTGTCACGATTACCAGACACAAAACCCGAAACAGTCAACAGGGCGTTGAGGGTCTATGAAACGATTCGGAAAGATCGTGCGTATGTGCTTATGGAGATGGCTGCGGCTTCGGGTCGAACGCTGCATTTGGGTGATGGTGCGGCCAAGGAAGAGAGAGATAAGCAATTTGCGGCGATCAAGCAGGGGAACGCAAAAGTGCCGGATAAGTGGGCTGATGCGGATGTGCAGAAGATGATTTATGGGTTTGATGCTACCAAGGAGACGTTGGATCGTTTTGATGAGATTTTTAATGGATTGGCAGAGGAGCAGGTAGATACTAAGTAGTCATATATTGATTGGGTAAACAGTATAGAACTATGGCATACTACTGGCAAGGAATCTGCCTCCTTCAAGTGGCCAGTCCAACGCAGTCAGGACATCCCCTCAGATACATCCTGCGGCATTTCTTGTCAGTTAGACAATCTCTTTCAATGTACCCCTCTTTGCTGGCAGTTGTAGTATGCAAAACAACAGGAGTGCTGATTATCTCGTTGCTTGCAGTCAAAGGTTGATATATTTAGATGGTGAAGTATTATAATTAAGAGGTGGATATATGAAGACACTCATTTAACCATATATTTAGTTATACTTTACTGTCTTTTATCAACTGTATATCACCCCCTTTATTTTTCTTTGCCCATTGATCCATGTTTCTCGATTTGTGTCACACAACCGCGTTGAAATTTAGCTTAGCTCTTCGGCGATTGATTCAACAATACCGACACAAAACCCCCTGAGAATTTGAAATTGATAAATTGGAAGCTTGCTCACAACTGCTTCCTTGTTGTCCGATCTTGTTTGTTGGACGGTGTCCGATGAACTCGTGCCTTCTAGCACGGCGAAAATTTGAGCAAAATGCAAAACGAACACGACCAACTGAATGTGTATCCGAGGAGACTGTTTCAAACGAACCAGCCTCTGTTTCGTCTATCGAGAGCGAGGCGACAGGCAAAATTACTCTCATTATGATCGGGCTGTGCTTGGCCGTATTTCTGACGGGCATGGTATGTCAACATTATACTTAGGGCTAGAGTTTGAATGTGACTAAGAGCTTCCCCAATCGACGGGTTTGATGCAGGATCAAACTATTCTCGCAACAGTAACGCCAATAATCAGCGACGATTTCATGCCTTGGGCAACATTAGCTGGTGGTCTGCTATCTGCCTGTTCACGCTCAGCCTCTTCCAACTCTTCTACGGCAAGCTCTACAGCCTGTTCTCAATCAAAATCGTCTATGTGGCTACCATTGCGTTATTCGAGATCGGCTCGCTTATATGCGCAACGAGCCCAAATTCAGCCGCCCTGATTACCGGTCGCGCCATCGCTGGCCTAGGTGCTGCTGATTTTCACCGGCAGCATCATGGTTACAACGAAGGTGATCCCACTATACCGCCGGGCAAGATACTTGGGTGTAAGGTCAGAAATATTCGGCGTTGCTGCAATCGTGGGCCCATTCATTGGAGGCACAATTACGGAACAGACAACCTGGCGCTGGTGCTTTGGAATCAATTTACCCTTGGGTGCAGTCACTATTGTTATATGCATTTCCTTGATCAGGACGCCAATAGATGCTCAGGCGCAGACAAAGAGCTTCGAGGAGAAGCTCCGGCAATTTGACATTCTTGGAACCGTCATCCTAATCAGATCTCTGGTTTGCCTCCTATTGGCCTTGCAATGAGGAGGGTCAACCTATCCTTGAAACAGTGGACGAGTGATCGCGCTATTTGTTGTCGCTGGTGTTGTCGCTATCTTATTCTCGCTCGTTCACTATTCCATTGAGCATCTTTAGGAACCAGTCAGTCTGGTTGGCAGCAAGCTATGCCATGTGCATTACAGGCGGTGTGTACAACGCCATTCTCTATGTGCCAATCTGGTTTCAGCAATTCAGGGTCGATCAACGCTCGGTTCTGCTGTGATATTAGCACCGATTATTGGCGGATACGTGGTCTGCTCTGTAATTGCGGGCATTATGACGAGCCTCGTTGGATACTACAATCCAGCGATGATTGTCGGCACCGTCGTAGCAGCCATTGGAGCCGGGCTACTCACTACAGTCACCCCCAGTACAACAACAGCGAGCCGGGTTGGTTACGGAATTCTGTATGGGTCTAGCGTGGGATTTGGTTTTGGACAGCCCAGCTATGTTGTTCAGACAGTGCCTAAGCAAAATGACGTGTCTATCGGCGTCACTCTCATCACCCTCGTTCAAAATCTTAGCGCGACTATTTCTGTCACCGTTGGTCAGACAATATTCCAAAATACGCTGACAGCCCGATTAGAGACTGTTGCACCAGATGTTGACATGCCATTAATCGGATCAGGCGGAGCAACGAAGCTCATCAGCCAGTTTCCTGCATCAGATAGGTCTAGTGTCCTAGGTGCATACAGCACTACGTTAGTTCGCACGCTGTATATCTCTCTAGGACTCAGCTGCGTGTCCGTTATTGGTGCTTCTCTTACAAGATGGAAGTCGATAGAAAGAGCCGGCTGCTAGTGACAGCTGAAGAAAGACAAACTAAGGAATCAAATAGGAAGGATACACTTGAATTACGTGCGGAGAATGCAAAACCCCTCATATTTTTCCTTTTCTTTTCTTTGTCTCCCTGGTATTCTTGGGTGCATCATCTCTGCCCAACTGTTTTTGCTCCAAGACACATTAAAACCCACCTATTGTATGGCCATATAGCTATGTAGCAAGTGTAGACCATAAATGAGCGGTGTGAGATCTTTTGCGTAAGCCTCGTAGGGATCTGGAGAGGTGCTAGCTCTTACATCCGGGTGAAAGTTCTCTTTGGTCCATACTTCTACCTCATCGTAGTTGTATACCCATAGTTTAAATCATATATGTAATTTAATGAGCTAGGTGCTTCAGAAACTACTTGCCTAACTAGGCAATATACAAGCGGAACACCCATCTATTCAACCTCAACTAACACTGAAAATAGATCCATCCCACTACTATTAATTCTAAATTTGAATCCATTACTAATTGAGAATCCGAGTTGTAAAGCTTTTCAATAGTTTCGGAAGCATAGATCCCCAACGCCCTCAGGTTGCCCGCGGTGAAGACCGCGTGGTAATCTCAATAACCACTGTCTTCCAGGAAGGAGAGTTGTAGCGGAGACTAATAGGTCAATGGCCCGTTGCCAGATCTCAGCGTTTACTTTCTACCAGAGGTAATAGACTTGATATCTTGTCACCAAAATTGCCTCAGGTATCTGTCGGATTTCACGGTATATTTCTGATGAAGTCTTAGTTGACACGCGCAAGAGAATTAGCTCTTATACCATCGGCGATAGTTCAATGTCTGCGTAGAGTCTGTGCCACTTGTGGTGGATCGAAAGGGAAAGACTTCAAGTTCATAAGCACAGCCGCATGCTGAGCTTACTCTCGCATAGAAATCGCACCATCTGTTGGCTATCGCGTTGCTTGTCTTCCTCCGCTATAGATTAGTAGCTTTTGGCGTGTCTCTGATCTTGCAACAGTAATATTTATACATATGACTTTTGAAATTGGTTCCGGTGTATTTATATCGAAATCCTCCTTACTTCTATATAATAATACTTAGATCCTGCATTGGCGCGTTCACCTCAGAGCTAAACCTATCATTAGAAATATCATATCTATCATGGCTTGGAATCTCTAGAGCACGTACAGAGCTAAAATTTATAGAAAGAGCATCTAAATCAAATATGTAATTGGCCTCTAATATATCACATTAATGTGTGACGTTGCCAATCTGCTTGATTTGAGTACGCTATCCTAGCTAGCTATCTCATACAAGAGGTGCCTGTCGACAGGCAATATTGAGCATAAGGGAGAAAAAGGAAGAAATGAAGCAAAAGCTCTGGCTCTCCTTCTCATATAAATCTTTGTGCGAGGCTCCTTTCTCTATCCAGCTCCGACATCTGATGTTGATATGACTTCCCCATACGGCGCGGATAGGGTTATACGGCTCCGAGCCCTATCTGTGAACTGAGACAGGAACGCAGAGCCATGCCCAGCCGTCACAAATGCTATCAAAGGTAAGCAGGTTAGAACAGGCGCACATCTATTGACCTTGATTACTCACCTTCAAAGTCCCAGAGTTACTTGTCTATTTATTATTCCTTTCTAAAGGAGTATTACAAAATTCTCCCAGTCGTCAAACTCTAGATGACATTTCCGGGTATGACACTTATAGTTAAGTTTGTTTCGCTTCCCTATATTATTAATATCGAACTCGTCTGTAGGAAAGGATTTTGCGCACTTGCTGCAGAACATTTTACCTATTACCGCAGCTTTAAGACCTATTTTTAAAGGAGGCAAAGCAACAATAATGCGATGCAAAAACACGTGTATGAAGTGTAAAGATTATTGGAATCAAAACCACGTGACTAGCAGAATACAGAAGTCGAACTACAGAACGGTTCGCAAATACCACAAAAATACCAGAATCCCTTGAAGGGCGTCCTTTTTGGTGAAATGGTATTACGTTTAAGTTCTGACAAGTTGACTAATTCACGTGATCGCAAATTTAGGGAAGTACATTACTGTCATTACGCCCCCATGTACACCCCAAGCACTCAGTAGCACTTAGTGATTGCTCAGTGATCTGGCCCCCAAGCTCCGTGATCACTCTTGGTCTGAGATCGGTCACTGCACACAAAGCGGCGGGCAGCGAGATGGCGCACAAATATTTTTCCTAGGTAGGAATTGTAATCAACAGACTATCCATGGAATGTAATTGTGCCCCTATATTATATGTGTGTGTATCAATTGATTGATTTGGAAACCACTAGAATATCTGTTCATTTATAGGGCATTCTTGGAACTTTCCTTGAGTGTATGCTCAGTAGTGAAGATCATATTGGAAGTTCTTATAAACCAGTCCAAAACGTTTGCATAAACTCAGTGATAGTCATCGGTCTCACCTGCGGACACAGTTTATTCAATGTAGCTTCAAACAAGAAGAGTTCCTCGGTCCCAGCAATGCTAAGCTGACATTCCATGTACTCAATGAAATTATTCTTGGGAACCTCTTGCAGTTTTTCGGACAATTGTGCCTTTGTCACAGGTCGTACTTCAATCTTTTTGCCAATGTACTGTTCGCATATTGCAATGGCGTCTCTAAAGTTGATCGTCTCGCCGGCCATGCCCAATTCGCGACCACTCCACGGCTCTTCGAGATCAATGGCAGCCGTGATAAATTTTCCTATATCTCGAATATTGGTCATAATCAGCGAGGAGAATTGCCCATCGTCTTCCTTCAACGGTACTTCCACCCATGGATTGTCCCCCTCGAGATGGAACAGATACGGACCCTCGCTGAAACCAGCCAGAGCGTCCTTGCGCTTTGAAGGCGGACATCCTATTCCCAAGTAATTCATGAACATCCCGCATGGAAAACGCGCTGCATCGATCTTCCCTCGTTCTACCGACGAGCGAACCGCGTCCCAAGTAGTAAGTTTGGCGGAAAGTATGTCAACCTTCTCATGTGCTTCAGACGATAGAGCAAATTCTGACGGCGCAAAGCGTCGACATCCTGCTTCTTCAGCGGCATGAAGCAGGTTGATTTGATAAGTGATAAATTCCGGACCGGGAATTAGGAGAACACTGATCACCACGTCGATGTCACGTAGGGCGTTGACCAGCGATGTGTGGGATGTATAATCGACTTGGCGAATTTCTACATTTGAGGAGATTCTGGTGTTGTCGCTTTGCCGAGAGAGAATGATGGGAGTATGTCGACCATTGGTGGAGAGGAGGGCAGATACGAGGGATTCGCCGAGGGTTGGGCTTGAACCACCTGCGATTGCAACTTTGACCATTTTGAATTTCGTCTTTAGAGGGAGAAGTAGAATTGCAGGGAAGGGGGGTGTGTGGAGAACAGGCAAACCCTCCCGCTATATACACGAGGCTCGAATCTGCCTCACATTCTCTTCGATCATGTACCCCACTGCCGAGACGTTGTTGCATGGAAATGATGTTGAAGATCATTCAAAGAGAGTAAAATGGCGGGGTTATGAATTATCACTGAGTTTGGAATACGAGGGTTTATTTATATAGCATTATTCAGAGGATTAGGGTTTTGCCAGACAAAATTGCATGGTGGTGTATCACCAGCCTCGGTCTTTCTCCGAGAGTCTATATTCCATCTATACAAGTCGGTCTTTACTCCGTGATATTCATACGGATTCCGTACTGGAAATAATTTCCACCGCTTACAAGCACATTGTAGGATGGTAATTAATAGGTGTCACGTAATTGCACATACGACACCGAAGGGTACTTCTGTACTTGATTTGCGTTGGTATTCTTGCTGTGCCTCGGAGCACCGGCGATGGTAGACCCCGCGAACCAGGGAGATCAAGTACATAAGAAGACGAATACCCCCACGGATGCTGGAAGCTACATTATTCCAAAGATTGACTATTGAAATATCATTACAAGACAGTCAAATTAGCATTGCCATTGTTCTTCCGTCCAGTCCAGTCCACAAGTCAACTTCGTTACATATTGCAAGCATGCCTTCTATACTCATCACCGGTGCTGGAGGCTACGTCGGTCAAGAACTCGCAGCAGAATTACTACGAACAACCTCTTCCGATACCACAGTGGTCATAGCCGATGTCCAAGAACCCCCAGTCCCAGCATCAGCATCCGAACATGCCTCCCGCCTCAAAACAGTAGCAGCAGACTTGACCTCCCCAAAGGTCGTCGACGAACTAATCAATGCATCTTCTCCATACGAATCCGTCTTCTTACTACATGGAATCATGTCCAGCGGCTCAGAAGCAAACTTTGAGCTCGGAGTCAAAGTCAATCTTGACTCAAATAGATATATCCTCGACCGTCTCAAGGATACTATGCCAGGAGTTAAGGTGATTTTCACATCTTCACTTGCCGTCTACGGTCCTACCAAGACCGGATTTGTGATTAACGAGACCAATCTTCCACCCGTGCCGTTGTCATCGTACGGATCACAGAAACTCATGATTGAGATTTTGTTGAATGATTACTCTCGACGAGGGTTTTTGGATGGCCGGGCTGTAAGATTGCCCACCGTGACTGTTCGAGCGGGAAAACCGACTCAAGCTGCGAGCAGTTTTGTGAGTGATATTATCCGAGAGCCATTCCATGGAAAGAAGGCAATTCTTCCCGTTGCGAAAGATACGCCTGTCTGGATCTGTTCGCCGTATACCATTGTCAAGAACATATTGCATGCTTGCGACGTTCCCAAGGAAGCATTTGGCGATTCACGTTCTGTCAATTTGCCGGGTCTTCTGGTTACCGTGCAGGAGATGCTGGATGCATTGGAGCAGATTGGCGGGCCGGAAAAGAGGGCTTTGGTAGAGGAGAAATACGATGCGGATGTAGACAGGATTGTGCAGAGTTGGTCGCCGTTGTTTGATACTGCGCGTGCTAGGCAGTTAGGATTTGCGGATGATATCTCGATGATTGAGAATATCCAGAAGTTTGCGAATTCGCTGTCAACTTAGAAATTAGTGGAGGTTAGTAGTGCATGTAGTGATTAGACTGCAATGGTATCTGCTGCAATGAGCACTGTCAAGAAGTAGAAATAAGTAGTGAGGCTCAGAGTGTAGGGAAGGCCCGGAGCGGGTTTGGAAAACGGGTCATGTGATTGGTCGGCCGAGCTGGCGAACAATTTGACTTCCCGATTTCACTCCAAGTCGACCTCCAAACCTCAACGACCATCCTCGCCCGTCGTCCTGCCCACTCCAATTGTCTCTCTCCCCCTCATATACATACCAGCCAACAAGCACTCATGGCTTCCCGACGGCTTGCTCATCAGTTCAACCAGGCTTTGCGCAACCGCGCTGCCTTGAAGGCCGTTCAGCCCGTGAAGCGCGGCTTTGCTACGCCAGTTGGCCTGCCATCACGAACACAGTCGACCACTGTATGTGCCAATCCAGCGTCCACCATGCAATACCAGAAGCGTGCTGACACTCGAGTTCAATAGTTGTCGAACGGCCTTACCATCGCTACCGAACACAATCCCTATGCTGCCACGAGCACAGTCGGTGTTTACGTCGATGCCGGATCTCGTGCAGAAACTGATAAGACCAATGGAACTGCTCACTTCCTTGAGCACTTGGCCTTCAAGGGCACCAACAAGAGAACCCAGGGACAGCTCGAGCTCGAAATTGAGAACATGGGTGGCCACTTGAACGCTTACACCTCGGTACGAATACCCGATGCTACCGTTTTCGATTGATACTAATCGCTTTGTAGAGAGAAAACACTGTCTACTACGCCAAGTCCTTCAACGCCGATGTGCCCAAGGCTGTCGATATTCTCGCTGATATCTTGCAGAACTCGAAGCTCGAGACTTCTGCCATCGAGCGTGAACGTGATGTCATTCTCCGGGAAGCCGAGGAAGTCGAGAAGATTAGGTAAATCCTATCAAACTGATTATAGATGAGTCACGCTAATCCATCGTAGCGAGGAAGTCGTTTTTGACCATCTCCATGCCACTGCTTTCCAAGGCCAGTCTCTTGGTCGCACCATTCTCGGACCTAAGGAAAACATCCAGAGCATCCAGCGTGATGACCTTGTCAACTACATCAAGACCAACTACTTGGCCGAAAAGACTGTACTTGTTGGCGCCGGTGGTATCGAGCACGATGCCCTTGTCCGGCTTGCTGAGCAACACTTTGGCAGCCTGCCTTCTGCTCCTCCTTCTGCTGCTGCTGCTGCCGTTGCCGCCGAGCAGAAGCGCAAGCCCGACTTCATTGGTTCTGAGGTCCGTCTCCGTGACGACACCATTCCAACTGCCCACATTGCTCTTGCAGTTGAGGGTGTCAGCTGGAACGATGACCACTACTTTACCGCTCTCCTTGCTCAGGCTATCATTGTATGTCGAATGGCTTTGATTTCTATCCACATTTGCTAATCCGCATTATAGGGCAACTGGGACCGTACCATGGGTAATGCCTCATTCCTTGGTAGCAAGCTCAGCAACGTGGTTTCTCACCACAACCTTGCCAACAGCTTCATGAGCTTCTCCACCAGCTACAGCGACACTGGGTTAGTTGCTTCGTATCCTTTCTGATGCCCTATATCTAACATTTCATAGTCTCTGGGGTATCTACCTTGTCAGCGAGAACTTGACTCAGCTCGATGACCTCGTTCACTTCACCCTCCGCGAATGGAGCCGTCTCTCATTCAATGTCACCGAGGCTGAAGTCGAGCGCGCCAAAGCTCAATTGAAGGCCTCCATCCTCTTGTCTCTCGATGGCACCACCGCTGTCGCCGAAGACATTGGTCGCCAAATCATCACAACTGGCCGCCGCCTCAGCGCCGAAGACATTGAAGCCACCATCAGTCGCATCACCGCCAAGGACGTTATGGACTTTGCCAACCAGAAGCTCTGGGATAAGGAACTCGCCATTAGTGCTTATGGTTCAATCGAGGGTCTGCTCGACTACCAGCGCATCACCAACGATATGAGCCGTAACTTGGCTTAAACCAAAATTGAACCAAGCGGGGCCATGTCCTTTGAATCAAAAGAAAACTCAATCATCTAGAGCTCGCGATTTAACCCTCATCTTTTACCCTGACCAATAGACGAATGTGGGCTCTGTGACAGTAGTAGTGTTATAGCGCATAACTTTTTGCCTTTTTGTTTCCTTTGTCATCTATATCTGTACAGTAAATTCAAACTGTCTTTTGTCTCTCTATTAAATGATTCTATTTTCCTGAAAGTTGTCTATTTTCAGATCGCATGTCTTGAGTTAGAGATGCTTGCAACCTGCACAGAGAAGGATAGTAGCTCGTCAACATCAATTTCTCGACCAGCGACTGTAGTCCCAGTGAATACTAGGGACCGATTTCGATCTTTCCTCGTTCAATATTCCGGCACATGCCTACCTAGGTACATGGGCTTTTGGAAACCTGAGGTCTACCTCTGTAGTTTGAGTATGACATCTGAATGCATTATTAACAATCACAAGATAGCTAAAATAATATACCCTGCCGAGAAACAAGTCTCAAAGCTCAAGATGGACGCCCCAGAAATTCCAATTGACAGAAAGAAACATATATATACAAAATGAACATAAAAGGGAAAGGTATGCATCAATTGCTAAAACCTTCTTGTTGCCAATCATCACCATGCAATTTCCCAACAATACCAGCACTACCACCTCCACCAGCAACACCGGCAGCAGCAGCCGCAGCGCCATTAGCAAGATTATCAATGTGATGCTTCTCAATCTCAACGGCACTCATAGAGTACAGCATCACGAAGAGCAGTATATGTAACGCAAAACAATATGCTGCGAAGATATTGCGACTTGTCCGATTTGCTAGCACCACGCGTGTGATTGAGAATACCAGCCGTTCGGGGAGAGACATGCGTTTATATGCCCTTGTTGCTTCGCGGCCTCTGAATGCTGCGAATGGTGATATTTGTGCTTCGTATGCCGATTGATATTTGTCGAGTAAGACGCCTGATGGGGTTTCGTCCGATGCGTATACTGAAGCGGCGCTTGGTCTGTTGGCATATGAAGATGCTGACGTTGATGCGCCACCTTGGTTGCGACTATAGGTTGAGACATATCGAGTCTTTTCGTATAGATTCAGGTTATCCTTTTGGAGGGATGCAATCTCTGAGCGGAGTGATTTGACGGTTGCGTATGTCTTGGACAGTTCTTCTTCTAATTTAGCATTTTTCTGCTTGAATCTATCTCGTTGCGCTTGAATCATTGGCAGGATACCCGAGCCGCCGCCTACTGCTTCACCGGCACGGATAGCATCCATTGTATTCGCAGAAGCAACGGCCTGATCAAAGCCGGAGATAATTGACGACGTAGGAGATGTACCGCCTCCTCGTCGAGATGAAGGGAAACGAGAAGTGTAGGTGCCCGCAACAGACATTGCAGCCGAAGGTAGAGCATTCGTACTCTTTTGCATGCGCAGCAGATCATTTTCAAGCGTTGCACATAGCTGCTGAGATTTCTCTAGCTCCACTTTTGTACCGGACGATTCTTCTCGGAGTGTCTCAATCTGACTTTGGAGATCACGATGAGAGACACGAAGCACTGTGAGTTCATTACTGAGCTTCTTATTGCGAGCCATCAGTAGCTGTTCCAATGAGTTTTCTTTTGATTTAGCAGACCCATTCATACTACCACTGAGTTCTTCCGGCACGTTCCCAGAATCGTCATCGTCACCAGTAGAGAATTCGATAGACTATATCAAGGTTAGCAAAAGTGGTAACCCGATCAAAAGCATCCCTACCTTGATAACCTCGAGCTCCCTCTTGATGTCCTCGTAGTCGGCATATTTTTCGACTTTTGATCGGAATTCATCCTTTTCTGCGCTGAGTTTGGCATTTGTTCGCTCGATTTGACGGATCTTGCTCTCCCAATCGTGTCTTTCGGTATCGCGGTCAAACCTCGCTGCATCGAGCTTCCTGATCAACGCCGAGTTTTCAGATTGCAATCGAAGATATGACGGGTCATCTTCAATTGGCTTCTGTTCGATTTGAGAATGAGACACAGCCTGAGCTAATTCTAGCCGCATCTGTTCATTACGTGCCTCGACTTCGGCCAATCGTAAACTAGTCTTCTCGAGGTCTGAGACGACAATCTCGAGCTCGGCTGCTGTGGCAGTGTTGCGGGCAGAATCAACATCCTCATCTCTACCAAGTCGCTGCGACACCTCAAGTGAAGCCTTTAGCTCTTTGACCAACCGCTCTTGATTTTCAATCTTTTCTTCCAAGGATTTTTCTTTCGCCTCCCAATTGTTACTCTTCTCGGACAGCACCGCTTCCCAAGACGATTCAATTTCTTTGATTTTCGATTCCTGAGATTCTTCAAGTTTCTTTCGAGCTTCACTTTCTTCTTCTAGGCGCTTCTCTGTGGTTTCGAGTTGACGTGTTAATTGGGCCACCGACTTTTGTAAATGTTCCTTCTCTGCGGTGAGTTTTGGAACGGTGTCTTCAGATGCCACCAACGAATCGACGGATGCTTCGAGGAGCGGATATGGATCGGGAGCTTCGGAAAGCTGGGAGTATAGTTGCAAGAAAGCAGACGAGGAGGTCTTGCCATGGGTAGTCAAGAGATCAATGAAGGTTTGGTACGCTATGCCGTGAATTAGTGTTGTTTAATGAACTAAACCTTGAAAGAATTTACCCTTTAGAAGTCCCTTATATTCGGTCAATTTCGACGCATCATCAAGTTTCCTAAAATCCTTCGTCTTCTGAGCAAGATCTTTTCTCTGTACGAGAGCATCTCGTTGGTTTGCGACAATTTCAGATGCAGTAGCGTCGAGTTTCGGTATCGTATTGGTCAGGTCGATGCCTGCAGTAGTATTCGAGATGCGTCAGTATAATCAATGATTATAACAGCCTCCATAGTTCATACCTCGCCACGAAGCTATGGCACGCTGGAACTTGTTCGATTCCTCTGTGCTGGTGCTCTGACTGCCGTTGACATCTGGCTTCTCCTGTTCCGGCAGGATATTCTCGCTGACCGCGAAAGCGTCCATTTTGAAAGACCCAGCAAGCCTTCCACCCTATGACATTCCGCTGTACTCGATAGTATGTGTGCTGCAATTAATTAAGCAGCCCAGAACGAAGAGACGAACGATCGAGGGGTGGGTTATCAGTCGACGCGGAGGATATTCTGATTGCGAGTTGCGGGTCGTTATGTATTGCTTGGCTAGACTCGAAGAGTGCGTAATTTCAAATCCACAAATTTAGCAGCCCCCGAATAACCAGTGCCAAGAATCAGAGAAAAGAAGGGGAAAAAAGGGAGATATCAGTCGTGATTCGTATATCAATGGCATGTACTACCAAGTTGAGGTTGTTGCTTGAAACACGTTGCGCAAGACAATCACCGGATGACTAAGCCGCGATAAGGCCGGCAGCTTCTTTCCCGATCAAGAGCTATCCCCTCAGTGACCTCTTAGGCAACCTTCATTAAGACACTCTCCTCGTGTCTCTGCCCCTCCGATGGGCCACGAGATAACTATACTGATAACTCTGTGAAGCCTGCAAGCGAGCCTTGATGGATAGAACAGTTGGGCCTCACAAGAGGAGGAAGCTATCCGCTTCTCAGGCTCCACCCTATGTTCTACGTCAATTGCTCGATGATGTCCCGATAGAGCCTGAGAGCGGCGAATCGGATGTTCATATTACATGTGTGGAATATTGGAGTGAGTATTTTTATGCTTTTATCATGGCGACAATGCTAACATAGAACAATCAAGATGACAACCTGTACATAGGCACCTCCGCGGCTGAGATCCTACACTTCGTGTCGTTACCGTCTGAATCTGGCGATGAAGCCAAAAAGCCTACGTTCATACTAGCATCACGTTTACAAATTACCGGCAATCCGAAGAAGAAACAAGGAATTCAGCAAATTGTACTACTCCCCACCGCCAACAAAGCGTGTGTCTTGTGCAACGGGGTTGTCACCTTTTACTCGTTGCCTGAGTTGACTCCTGCTTTTGAAAACACCAAAGTGAACTGCCAATGGATTGGAGGTCTTGACTTGAACCGGAATGAGAGTGAAAACCCGGCTGATAAGCCGGTTATCATGATCGCAACCTCGAGCCGTATAATGCTTGTTCGGATCGGAGATGCAGCGTACAAGGTTAGGAATATTGAATTTCCAGGATGTCTGGTTGGAGCGCGGCGGGATACGATCGCGTGTGTTGCCGACGGAAATGCATATTCATTGCTGGAAGTCGAACAACAACAAAAGATTCCTCTTTTCCCTATCTCTTCAACAAGTGAAGTCTTCGAGTCTGGACATGTGGAGGATATCCCACAGTCACCATCAAATCTCAAACGCTCTTCGTCTGCGAGCTACGCCAATTCAAAGATTGACAGGAAGAGTGAACATAGCAGAAGCACCAGTCTGAACACTTTGGCAGGGGCATTAAGTGTTGACAGTGATACCTTGCGGCCCAGCCCAAGCGATCGCTCTAACACTTCAACACCCGGCCTCTCAGACAATGATAGGCCTCAGAGGTCTATATCAAGGGATCGATGCGACATTGATACGACGAAAGATTTACCTACCACTCCGAAAAATTCAGCGGAAGATAAGCAGAAGCCGCTACCACCAGCTCCGAAATTGGACATTGCTCGCTTGAAACCACATATAGTCTCGCCAACGCCGTCGGAGTTCCTTTTAGTTACTGGTACCCAAGAAAGCGAGCCTGGAGTTGGAATGTTCGTGAATACAGATGGCGATGTCGTTAGAGGTACGATGGAATTTCAGCAATACCCAGAAGCAATCATTATAGATGATCCAAGCGAATCAGATCCTAGCTCTGGCGGTCCGGGCTTGTCTGAAGGGTATGTCCTTGCAATTATAAACTTGAAGGAGGAAGAAACTGTCCATAAGTATCTTGAAATACAACGATGGGATGTCGAACCAGGGGAGTATGGACGTCAAAAAGCCCTGGTGCAGATACCGGTACTGGACAAGTCGGGAATTTCTCACGTCGGTATCAAACATACCACCAGTTCAAGTAAGCTCGGTTTCTATGAGCTTGGAGAGACTCTTCGCATGGTCAAGTTGAAAACTCCTCCTCTTGGAGGAACTTCTACCCCTGCTGAAGAGGCTGACCCCCGGACGAATGCAACCATAGAGCAGGTACGCAAGGAGAAAGAGCTCTTTGAGTCTCAGGAATTGACAGACTCCGAGTCTGGTAGGAAGTCTGGGTCTCTGGAAACATTGGAAATGGAAAGGACCAAAGAGGAGTCTGCCTTTGCTCATCGTCTTGAATACATCCAAAGTCACTTGGTCCTATGGTCTGGGAATAAGATATGGAGAGTCGCCAAGAATCCATTGCCTTTACAACTAGAGGGGCTTCTTCAGAGCGCGCAGACATGGGAAAACGGTCGATTTAAATCAGTGGATAGAGATGCAGTCATTGATCTATTGGATTCGATCAAATCGACTGAAACTAAAACCGAAGCCGAGTTCCTCGGTGTGGAATATATCAAACAGAAAGCTGGCTTGATTCTTTTCGCAGACCTACTAACCATGGACCCGAATAGCAGAAGCGAAAGTACGATGCGTGTCACTGAAGAAGTCCTCGTGAATAGCAATTTGGATCCGCGTCTTATTCTATTCATGGTGCCCTTTCTGGCAGAAGAGGTTCTCCAAGCAAAGCAAGGAATCTGGGTTCATCGAGGTCTAGCTCGCGAAGCGGAATTCTACCTAGACCATTTATCCGAAACAAAAGCTATGCCTGTAGTTCCTGAAGAAACGTTACTCAACATGGTCAAGCGATATCTTACTGCTTGGCAAGGAAAAAGAGACTACGGCAGTGTAACAGATGAAACGAACGTGTTTTATAGTGTCGACGCAGCCCTGCTGCACTTGATCTTGGAGCAAGAGGCGCGAGCCAGGAGAATTTCACAGCCAGTGACAGCAGCTGCTCGCAGCGAATTGAACGCATTGGTGGATTCCTGGAAGGGAAATTTTGACCGTGCAGTGGCGCTATTGGAGCGATATCGTCGGCTTTTCGTTCTGAGTCGGCTTTATCAGAGCCGCAAAATATTTGGAAAAGTTCTCCGGACGTGGCAAAGAATTGTCAACGGAGAGAAAGAGGATGATCCAGATGTCACGGTTTCTGCAGTAGAGGTACACGTCAGAAGGTATCTTTGCAAATTACGAGACGCACAACTCGTTGAGGAATATGGATCATGGCTGGCATCACGCAATTCTAGCTTGGGTATCCAAGTGTTCTCAGACGATAGCGCAAAGGTCAAGTTAGAACCTGACAAGGTTGTACAACTATTGAAGAAACGAGCGCCAAATGCTGTTCAGGATTACCTGGAGCATCTTGTTTTTTCCAAAAACGTGAGTCTGCAACCACCGATAGTTCATATGAAATTGAATGACTGACATTGTTATAATAGTATACGCAATATGCGGACGATCTCATTGCATACTATCTCGACACAGTGATTAATGTTTTGCAATCATCTGAGGAAGCGCGCGCATCTCTCAGAGACTCATATTCTACTTATCGTGCTTTACGGCCGCCTAAACCTACTTATCTATCCTTTATTAACGAGAACACGCCCCAAGAGAGCTGGTGGCAGTCACGTCTGCGACTTTTACAGCTGCTAGGCGGGCCAAGCACCGTGTTTACGTCTAGCGCGACTACCAGCAAATTGTCATACTCTGTTTCCGCCGTTCTCGCCCGGATTGAGCCATTCCAAGATGAGCTGGTATCTGAAAGCATTATTTTAGATGGTCGTCAAGGGCGACACAAGGAAGCATTACGACTTTTGACTCATGGCCTGGGCGACTACGATTCTGCAATTCGATACTGTATATTTGGAGGAATTTCAAGCTCTCAGCCTGCAGCTATTTCTCTACCTCCACCTTCGGGGGATGTTGCATATACAGAGCCGGCCGTATTGTTTAAATGTCTTCTATCGGAATTTCTTCAAATTGAGGATGTATCCGACCGAATTGAGAGGACTAGTGATTTACTAGCTCGTTTCTCGCGCTGGTTTGATGTCAATGAGGTGTTGGCTACAGTTCCTGACGATTGGAGTGTTGATATTATTAGTGATTTTCTTGTGCATGTCTTCCGGGACCTTGTCTCTCAGGGAAGAGAGACGCGGATACAAAAGGCATTGAGTGCTAGTCTCAACCTTCGTGTTAGTGTGGAATATTCGGAAGATGTGGAAAAGCGCGGAGGTTGGATTGAAGATGATCAGGGGTTGAGAAGTTCGAAGTCGGGTGTGGAAGCTCGCCAGATAGATGACGATGCCGACGAGGACTTTGGCGAAATGATTGATGCCAGGTGACTCTATCATAAGGGTGTATTTCCGTGATTTGTACATATCTACTTATACCATAAATTCAATTCATTGCACGTTATTCTTCAAACACACGAAAGATCAATCCAAATCCGGAATCGGTAGCCCATTCACAATCTTGACTTTCCTACCCAATCTATCCAACGCAACCTGCGAATTATGTTCTCTTAGGGCTTTCGTCTCCGCATCCGTGACAAGCACAAAGTCATAAGTCATCAACCACGAGCCCTCTGCAACACCATGCTTAGCAGCAAGAGTAGCGTCGACATTTCCCAGGTCGACGACGAGGGTATTCTTGACGCCAAAGACGGCATCTGATGTTTCGTAGGGATCATTACGGAGGTAGAGTGATCTTTCCTTGTCAGCATATCTACCACTCCAGAGGATAAGAAGAAAGAACGTACGTAATCAAATGATCATATCCCTCCTTCTCAAACATAAAATGCATATGACTCGGTCTATACGGATGTCTATGCAACCTCTTCAACAACTTTCCCACGGGCCCATCATGCGGAATCGGATACGGCACGGGTTTTATAGCCTTGAACCAGAACTCTCCCTTTGCGTCTGACAGCATCACGCACCGCCCATCAGGACCTGTTCGATCGGCGTGTTGAACATCGTAATGACCCGTTGAATCGGTCTCCCATATATCGATTTTTACGTCGCTGATGGGGTTTCCCGAGCGGTCTTTGATGGTGCATAGGACGAGTAAAGGTTCGCCGTTGGGATCTTGCGACATCGAGCTTCCTTGCGGGAGTTGGGGTGCTTCGTGCGTGTGGAAGGGGCCTAGGACTGTGCCTTCGGTTGCATTCTGTGGTTTTGGGTGGTCGATTGAGTCGACTAGTAGCGAAAGGCCGAGGACGTCGGAGAGGAGGATGAATTCCTATCCCTTGATTGACATTCATTCCTTGAAAAATCTAGGAAGAGGAATTACCTGTCGAACATCAGTACATATCTGCCCCGTCTCGGTCAAAAACTTGATCCCGGCCATCCATTCCTCTGAACTCAGACGAGTCTCGCGCGCAAAGTCATGGAGATGCGTAACCAGTCGTTCAAGCACATATTTCATGCGCGCATCTTCGCAGAGTGAATTGATTAAGATGACGTTTTCGGTGATGTTGTCGATTGTGAGGTCGCGGAGGGGAGGGATTTTGACGAGGGAGGGGTCCATTTTGTATTCTCCGATACTTCTTATATGCCGGTAGTTCTGAAGAAGTCAAGCAGATCAACTCAGCCAGGCAAAGATATATAAAGAATCCTCAATCTAATCACAATCAGCCGGATAGCTTCCCGATACATCATCCGAGTCGCACGGAGAAGGGTTAATGTCATTTCCGGGGGAGACAAATCATTCGGAATTACCCCTCATTCATATATCCGATCAATTCATGGCTGTGACTGGTCATTTTGTTCCAATTATCTCTTAAAAAGTAGCTTATACATCGGAAATATAATTGCTAGTATTTCCGGGAATACTGAATCAGTGTCTTGCTGTCAGACTGGATGAAGTTAAACTACTGTAGATACTCCGGATTTTCTCCAGAAATCGTCGTGCGGGGGGAAGATAAGCTTTGTCTGTATTCCGATTGGTTGTCAAAGTATCAATATCATGATATTGAGAAGAACATCACGAGAAACGATTAAATACAGCTCCTTTTATATATGCCTGAAAGGAAATCAGCTGGAAAAGCTAGAAAAAAAATAAAAAACCACCAACGATCATGGTATCATACATTAACAAATGACTAAACAGAATGCATAACCCACAATCCATAACTATGCCGCAAATATATCCAGCAGAAAAACCAGAAATTAGATAGTTAAAAAAAAGTTACTATTCACCATCTCGTATGTGCTTCTCTCGACCAACTTGTACCCTCGTATTATGATGGTCAACTGTATCTTTAATCGCCTGCATCAATCTCGAATTCGCATCCGGATCGTTATCCGTCTCGTTGTTGCGGTGATGACTATTTCGGAGGTGATTATTAAGATTATTATTGGCGTTATTTTCATGCAGGATATTGCGATGGTGGAATGAGGTTCGACGGTCGTGATGATGATGTTGTTGAGGTTGTTGAGGTTGTTGAGGTTGATGTTGTTGGATATGAGGGAGATGTTGATGGTGACTATCCGGGTGTTGGTCATGGTTGAGCATGAGATTGTGGATTTCGCTATTTGCTCGTCGAGGAGCTGTTGCTTGATGTTGGCTATATGGATGAGATGGTGGTTCGGATTGTACTAGCACTAAAGCATTGTGCGGGTTGGCGTGCGGATCAGTGTGACTGTCGTGGGAAGGATATACAGTGTTACTCTGCAGTGGATGAGTATGGTCTGTGCCATGCTCATCTTGGTGGTTGTTGTTATCAGGAGCAGCGGGTCGAGCAAACTCCCGCTGTTCTTCGACATGTGCCCGCGGTTGACTGCGAGGTTGCAGATCTCGCAATTCCTCTTCCTTGACATCCTTCCACGAACACTTGGCATGCTTCTTGGTACAGCCCATGCATGCTGTCAAGTTTTTCAAGCAATCCATATGCAACCGCCGACATCGATCACATGGCGGTAAAATTCGTTCTCCTCGTTGGAGGTCCTCCATGCGCGCTACCATCTCTAGTTTGTAGGGACCGCCGTCATCCCGTTCGTGGTGGTTGACCGACTTTGGCTGGGGAAGTAAAGACGGCGGAGTATTTGGGATCGCTACCGTGCCTGTCGAATTGTTGAACACAACAGGAGGTAGCTCAGTCGCATCCGATCTTCGCGGCCCTGCGCGCGAAGACTGTCTGGTCAATGAAGCCGCGCTTTCGTTCTCCGGCGGCCCACGGCCTGCCCGATCCGCGGTTGTGAGAAACTTTTTTAGAAGTTCTGCTCGAGTCGTTGGTGAGGCACCTTTGATGTTAGTGCCGTTTATTATTGTAATATTATCAGTATTGGGGTGATTGAGCATAAATTGCGTCGAAAGAGGATGCTCGTCAGTAGTCTCAGCTGGCCTGCCCGCATTGACAGCAACGAAACCACCTGGTGGAGACGGAGGGTTGGCGAAGCCAGTTCCATTGACTGTAGTTTCCGTGTTGCCATGTTCATGTAGCGGAGGGCTCTGGGAATATTTATTTCGATCATTCTCGCGGCGAGTAACGATAGCATTGCGACGGCTCTTTAGACGATAACTCAATTGTCTTGCGCGCGCGGCGGCTATACAAATCAGTCTCAATCCACAACATATTCAGGACACAACTCACCCGAATCTGCCATAGCAGTGATCTGCTGAAGATTCTTCTCCAAAATCTCCAACACACCCACCTCCTTCTCCTCGTCCTCATCAATAGGCTGAGGCGGTATAAGCTTCTGCGGCATCCCAGACGCAATCAACACATAATCCTCCTCCGATATCTCCACCCTGCATTGCTTCGTATAAAACTGACACACGCGAACTCCATTTCGAGTCTTCTCCAGATTGAACTGTTCCGGTTTATTCTTCGCAAACTCCACGACATCCAACCAAGTGACGTTGGTGCCTTCCTTGCCATTGGATTTGAGTACCCGCGGTGGACCCTCGAACAAGCGCTCGAATCGCTTCATGAGAATCGGCCCCAGAGGACATGCGCCGAGGTTGCCAGCGATACTCTCATGTCGTTGCAAGACACCGTCGTATTCTCCTATTAAGCGCAGGATGTTCGGTAGACTATCGTCTGTTGAGACCAGAGGCAGATTATCCGGATACTGGCGAGCAAGATAATTTATATGTAGAGAATTTGATTGTGTTTTGGGCATCTTTGAAACGTTTGGCGAGAAGTCGCCCGAAGGGGACCGTGGGCGTTTGTTGGACGGGAGTTCCGCCGTCACCGTTCGCGACTCCATGGATGTCGTGCTTTGAAAATGTACAGCAAGGGAAGACAAAAAATAAATCGACCTGATTGTCGGACGATTAGGACTATTGACCGGCCATGTGATGAGAGTCGAATAGCGGAATAAGCGTGTAGAAAGTATACGGCGGATGTGATCTGCAGTGAGATGGAAAGAAGTGCGAGAGGAGTCACCCGGGAAAGACGGCGGCTAGTCGATTATGCCTGAGCCTAGAGAAGGATAGTGTACCTTTGACTTTTTCTTCAAACGGGGAGATAAATCAATCATGAAAGTGCTGGGATGCAACTTGCAAATTAAAGAGAGAAAGGCTGAAACGAGACAAAAGACAAAAACTGGTGGAAAGTCTGGAGGGGGTGGAGGTTCGGAGGAAGAGTTGCGATGCCGGCCGGGACTGCCTCTTAGGGCCAATTACTTGGACTTGGCGGGAAAATTCCCGCACGCTCGCTGATATGTTTGTTTCTCATGCAAGAAGGCATGCATAGTCATTTTGCTATATGCTACGTACTCTACGACTACGTGCTCAGTTCATGTACAAGTATTTGCCATGGACGTCGCTCCAGAAGCCGGTAGCTTTCTATCAACAAATGCACCAACACAGACAGTGTGACATGGATGAGAATGATAAGACAGCTTCCCGACAGGCCGACCTGCATCGTTAGGCTTGAGAAATTGATAATAGACCGGAGGGTGGTGTGTCAACTATCTTGTCTAGAGCGGGCGGATCGGAAATCAACGAGAGAAGGGGTGGATCAGGACTGACCGACGATATGCGCTATTTTCTCCCTCCTTCTGCGCTTGACTTGCTTGACATGCCATCTCTTCGTAGGAAAAGCTTCTTGCAGGCATGTATTTTATCAGGAAAATGTAAAGAACATCATCTGGTCATCTCCGAGTCCAACAACAGATGAAGATATCAAAGAGCGGAGCGTGACTCTTTCAGTTTCCGCCGGGACATTCCGCTGTCTATCGCTGATTGGCTGCGCACACCGAGATGGTTACAGTAATATGGCTGCGTAACATAATACCAAATACGCGATTAGTCCAATTAATTACAAATATAAAAACAAATTACTGGATAGCGGCTGTATTATTACCGTACATAACAGTCCCAGCTTAACGTATCAACAGCTCAACGACCACACCTGATTTCGTGCTTTACTCTTTCCACTCAAATCACCCCTCGCTCGATTCCAGCGCATAAGCCACCCCCATTGACCACTTTACAAGGGTATTGTGTGTGTCGCTCGTTTCTCAATTTCGTCATTTCACCGGGTTCTTTTCTTATCTGTTGCACTAGTCCTCAGGCTGCGCGGGGAGAGAAGGGTTTTAAGTACCATCCTTAATTTGCGCGTGTGTGTGTGTGCAAAATCAACACTAGCTCTGCCACCTGGCTACCATAGGGCCAAAAAAGGCCTCTTCAAAAATCACGACAGAAACTGAAAAGCTCACCGCTCAAGGGCGATAACGCTAACTTCGAGAGGTCACAAGCGTTTTTATATTTGGACCTATCAGTGGGCCCGCGACTGAAAAAACGAGAAGAATCGACAAGGGAGAATAATTGCCAAGGGTCCGGAGAAAGTCACTCTATCTTATCGACCCGACACTCTCCAGGGCTTTCCCAAGCCAGATACAATGTCAGAACGAGGCTCATTCCGTGGTGGTGGTAATCGGGGCCCTCGCGGCGGCGGAGGCGGTGACCGTCGGGGCGGCGGTTCCACCCACAGAGGAGGCGGTAGAGAAGGTGGCGGTGCACGAGACCGAGGACATGGCGACAACCAACAAGAAAAGCCCAAAAAGGAAAATATCCTAGATTTGACCAAGTACATGGATAAGGAGGTTAATGTGAAGTTTAATGGTGGGCGAGAAGGTTTGTCTTTTGTCTCTTGTATCTCAACGGGTGGAAGCTAATGAGTTATCTAGTCAGTGGTATTCTGAAGGGATATGATCAGTTAATGAACCTTGTTCTGGACGATGTCAAGGAGAAGATGCGTGGTATGTTTGATATGTCCTTTCTCGTGTTCCTTGCTAGAGTGTGTTAACTTACAGGTGACAGATGAATCTGGAAATGAGACTACACGTTCACTGGGATTGATCGTTGCTCGTGGTACACTTCTAGTCCTTATTTCGCCGGCAGATGGGACTGAAGAAATCGCCAATCCATTTGTGCAGCAAGAAGAATAAGATCATCGTGTCAGGAAATTTGATCATAATGAAATGGATGATTGATGGATTGGAATGATATGATATTCTCTCTGACATTTGTAATTTCCTAACACATCGAAATGATTCTCCGTACCATATACTTCTCTATTATACCTCAGACAAGATAATTGCCCTCCTGAATTTTCATCATACTCCAACTGTCATCGCTGCAGTCGTCTACCCAAAACATTGATACTCAGCTTTATGTCAGCTGCAAACGACAGTCGACTTGTTTTTTGATTCCATATACTTCCAAGACGGCACTGACGACATTAGTGCAGTCGTCGGGCTGGCTTCAGCAACGCTTGAAAAGAAGATTCAAGAGCTTTCTTCAGTTCTTTGTAACTAACAACAAAGCAGCTCTGCTCGTCTCGACTGATCAACGTCACTTTCTCTTCCGTACCTGCATCGAGTTTGTTCAGACAGTTCAGTACATGTCCAAGGTCCACCACCGCATTGTTCTGGGCGTCCACTTGATGGAACACATAATCCCGGAATAGTTTGAGGAAATACCGCTCTCCGTTTTCGGACCACTGACGGTCGTGTTCATACTCGGGTCTTTCGTTGACGAAATTCATTTTCGTCATAAGTCGCACCAGTCGCCCATTTTCGAGCTCTCGGCTCAAATCCGAAGTGAGTTGATCATCCATTTGTAAGGCCGAGTCGAATGTAGAGATCAACTGAGATGAAATTCCGCTGATAAATATGTCAATGCTGCGTTCCTGATCTTTCTGTAGACCATTCAACAGCCAAAACACGGAATTCTTAAGCTGAGGACTATAAGCACGAGTGAAATGCTCCATTGCTTTATTCGGGCTTCCAATAGTGCCAGCTGCACTAACACCAAGATTCAGCATCAGTTGGCCGAAGTTGACCAAATCTTGAAGCTGGAGATCCTGTATAGATCGTTGTGTGTCGTGCTGTACTACATCCATAATCGCACATGCATTCAACCGGATGCGATTCTTGCCTGTAAGCAGAATTTTGCTGGCATCGATTACCCTTGCTGCGAGGCCACTACTATGGATTGCTTTCAATGCCGATGCAATCTGTGTGACGTAACTCCACATAATTTGTTCCGGGATGTGCGCGTTACTGCGTGTTGTATAGCGATTCCCCGCTCCAAGATGTTGTTCCGCCAAGGTTTTGGATAGTGGATGGTAGTCCATGACGAAAATCAACGAGCTATCTTGAAACACACGTGTGGTGAACGCATCGTGAACCGTAACAACACTGCCGTTGGTAATTCTTTTCCACGCCTGAACCGATCTTATGGCCTTTTCATTCGTCAAGCGAAATCCCTCCAGTCTGCGCAAAACATAGAAGTTGCCGTCTTTATTCGACTGAGCTTTGTATACCCAGCTCGGGAATCCAAAAATCGCTGCATTCTTCTGATGGTTCAGGTCCAACGGGACCAGGGAGTGGAAATAGTCCACGTGTGCTGGTAAGGATGAATCTATAGCAGCTGATTAGTAAATGTTTGTTCGAATCTTCGAATCTTCGAATTTAAGAAGAAACTCACTCGGTAGTGTTTGCAGAGTCGCACCAGCTTTCTTCTGTAATTCTTCTCTGAAATCATTAGGTAGAAAAAGGTCGTGAACATTTCGTTGATACCCGGTAATGTTTGAACTGTGGGGGCCAATGGGTGCGTAAAGATGATACTGCACTGGCTGTTGGAATCCTGTTTGCCCTGCGAAGAAGGCACTACCCATTGAAGCAGCGACCGCGGCCGCTGCATCGTGCGAATAAGGGTTTCCTGGAACAGGATGAGGTGCGACTGCAGAGCCGCCTGCTATGGAACTTTGTTGTGTCACGAAAGGATCATAAGGAGGTGCTGGACTTAGAACGCCGTTTCCGTTGCCTTGAAGGGGAACCTATAAGCGCTGTTAGAGGTGGAGCCTTAGATGTAAATGACAGACAAACATGATGATCGATTTCATGCCCTGGTGACAACCAAGCAGGACAGCACTGAACGGGGTAAGAGACATGACGAGGATAAACAGGGGAGACATCCTCTTCCGATGCGATCAAGCGATGTGGGGTGGATGATGAATGAGGAGACAAAGCAAAAGGAAGGGAAATTGAACGCTGGACAACACGAGGTTGAAACGGATTGGCACGAGCGTCTAAATTTATAGGCAACTCATCTAACCCGTAATCCATTCTGACCAGCGTGTTTGTAGATGAATACAAAGAAATATAGCAGAGATCGAAGAGAGAGAAGAAGAGAAGAGGTTGAGGTTAGGTTGAGGTTGTGGTTGTGACGGTCATAGGACAGATGCGGACTTAAGTCCAGACGAGGAAGGAACTTACCACTTGACCACCATCAAACCCTTGAGGCACAAAGTCTTGAATCTCAGCTACAGACCACTCCGAGCTTCCTGCATCTGAGCGAGCGGATTGTGCACTGGAGCTCGGGCCTTTAATCAATCAGCAGGTGAGCTTTCAAACGATAATATGAGGGCATCGAACCTTTCGGGAGAAATGGAGCGGCGCTCACGGCTTTGGGGGATATGGTATTTTGTTTCTTCGGCGTCGATCCATTCGCAGCGAGCGTCGTCGGCGTAAAACTGGGTGAGTCGACGTTCAATCCCTTCCTTTTGATTAGAGAAGATCCATGTCAGCTGTGTTCCTCGATGCTCAACTCGTTAATTATTGCCGAAGCCTCGGTAGATCTAACCTGTCGTTTTGATTCTGATTCTGCAGTTTCAGAGGATCATGGTTAAACGCGCAACCTAGCGTGAAATTCCAATCAATTGCTATCCAACTTCCGGACACAACAGTGCTGGCATACCCTTATCTTCATATCGGCATTTTCCGTATATAGTCACGTTTCGACACAAGGTATCTTTTGCGTTCTCTTCCGAAGCAACATCTATCAGCATGATCCAAAAGCATACCACGCTGGTCCATCACGAATAACGCACCTCGTCCTCTGAGTTTTGGCGATCCCAGATTGCGGCGGGAATCATCGAGCCCCGATTTCGCCGTCGAAGCCATGGCTGAATTGATTATTTATCGGCGCCAACAGTTAGCGCCAGGCGCTCCCCATTGAATCGGCGTGTGGACGAAATGAAAAACAGTTGAGGCGAAAGAAAGCCGCATTCCTTCTTGTTTCGAAAGGGCGGGAAGTCGAGTTTCGAGCGGGCTTTGTTCAGGCAAAGAGCGGAATCCCGTCATCCAATATAGACGCAGGCAACTATACCAAAAGTTTCCTATAATCTTCGGCAAAATCCTGCCAGACGTCGAATGACGACGAATGCGCAGCAGCAAGACAGCTGTCCTGGCGTCTTGATGAAGCGGGCATGGATGAAGGAGGAATGGCGTCGCGGTGGGGGACAGACTTAGGGACTATCGGCGGAGTGGGCCACTCAGTAATCAACTCAGCAAGTGTCGTGAAACGCTGTTAAGCTGACACATATCAGGATTCAGGACAGATCATAAGCTACGTACGAGTCGTTACTTGGCTTTTAGTTCGGTCTGATGTGCTACCTAGTACTGACACAAATTGGGAACCTAGGATATATACGACTCCTGAGAGTTAGTTCATTGAGGGTGTACGGACTACGTATCCGGATATATATATGATCCTGGTGTACGCCATGAAATAATATGTCTGGTACCTAGGTATGTTATACACTTGTGTAATTGTGAGGACCTTACCGTGGAATCTGCAGTATACAATAGCAAGCATAGACAATAATCATTGTAGCTACTTGAATTCTCTAAGTAAGGCTGGACTATCCAGGATAATCGTCATAGTGCACGGGCCAGCTGGCCAAACCACACGCCTCGAGCTGTCTCTTTCTGTCCGAAGCCGCATGCTACTCGACACTGGACACTGTTCTCGACAACTCAATAAGCTGATATACTCGTCTGCTGTGTGATCCTGAGACTTACAGGATATTTGTCTGCATATGGGACATCGCCCCAGGCGGTCTTGATAGCCAGGATGTCCTCACAGGACGGAAGCGCGGACATTGGAGAGCTTTCTTCGACACAACAAGAAGCTCTTCAGACGTATATGAATGTCACCGGTCAGGAACCAGATGCCGCTGTTCCATTACTGCAACGATCACAATGGAATGTTCAGGTAACTTGTCGTCTATCTATTTCGTTGTACTGACAGCAAGCTGACGCAAACAAGATTGCAATCTCCAAATTCTTCGACGGTGAAGGCCCGGATCCCGTCGAAGAAGCCCGCGCCGCATTGAATGCACCACAAGAGATCCGCCGCACACAGAACCTCATGTACGACATTGACGATCTGCCTCCGCGTGCCTCCTCATCGACATCGTCATCTCGACCCGGCGGACTTGAACCTGCGCCTCGCATTGACACTCAGCCGGAGGATCAGCCGGCATTTCGACCACCATTTATTTTGAGTTTACTCTTTTCTCCTCTTAATCTTCTTTACCGTTTACTATACAACTCGTTCCGGCTATTTGGGACATTGTTCCCTTTCCTACCACGATGGCTGAACATCACGACGAGTTCATCCCCGCTGCAACAACGAAATTTCACTACCAGTGGTCGAAGAGCGTTGGCACCGAAAGATACCGCTGCTAGATTTATACGAGAGTTTGAGGAGGAATACGGCAGTCATTCTCTACCATTTCTCGAGAATGGATACAACATGGCGTTGGAAAAGGCGCATCAAGAATTGAAGTTCCTCGTCGTTGTGCTCCTGTCACCGGAACATGACGAAACGAATACCTGGGTTAGGGAGACCCTACTATTCAGACAGGTAGTCGAATACATCAACGATCCAAACAATCAAATCCTACTATGGGGAGGTAACGTTCAAGACTCTGAAGCTTATCAGGTTGCAAACTCACTCCGCTGCACTAAATTCCCCTTCGCCTCCGTGATCGTGCACACGCCCAACGCCGGCTCAAATGCTATGTCCATCATCGGCCGAATACCGGGGAACACAAACCCATCCGAATTCCTCACAAAACTACGTACCGCAATCTCCCAAAACAAAGAACCACTCGACCGTGTCCGAGCCCGGCGCACAGAACAACAAGCTTCACGCACCCTACGCCAAGAACAGGACTCCGCCTACGAACGTTCCCTAGCCCAAGACCGTGAACGAGCTCGCCAAAGACGCGAAGCGGAAGCCGCCCGACAACGCGCTGAAGAAGAAGCAGCTGCCCGTCTAGCGGCCGCAGAAAAACGAGCCGCCGATCTCCAACAATGGAAACGCTGGCGTGCGCAGAATCTTGGCCCAGAACCTGCTGAAGATAACACGAATGCGATCAGGGTTAGTATTCGATTACCTTCTGGAGAGCGCGTGATTCGAAAGTTTGCCCCCGACGCGGATTTGGAGGAAGTTTATGCTTTTGTGGAATGCTATGAGGTTTTGACCGGTGGTGAAGGTGATGAGGATGAGAAGGAAGCTACAGCGACAGAACCGGTTGGATTCGAGCATAAATATGGTTTCCGTCTTGTCTCGCCCATGCCCCGAACAGTCTATGAAGTCGAAGCTGGCGGCTCAGTGCGAGAGCGGATTGGCCGTGGAGGGAATTTATTAGTTGAAATGATCGATGATGAAGATGAGGACTCAGAAGGAGAAAATGGGGATGTGGATAATGAAAATTTATAGACGAATAAATTTCAACAATTTCATGTTGTATAGCCAAGTTTTGGCTTCTCTTTTCGGGTTGAGATTTACCATTTTCGGGTTCTGATTTGATGTATGCTATCAATCGAATTGGTATTTGTGGTTCTGTTCTCTGCTACAATAGGTACCTCACGGCAGTCCGACACATATATGGATCAATGTGTAATAGGCATCGCACCCATCTATGGGGGGAAGCCTAGAAGGAACTAACAAGAAAAATGTTTTCGGATATAGCCAAGAAGAAAGAGAAATGCAATATCTAGTGTATCTAAAAATGCCTCTAAAAGGTCTAAAAAGCTTCTTATAACAAGAGATAAGACGAAGAGAAGAGAAAAGCAAGAATAGAAATATTACCAAGTAAAAGACTCCTCTACAAAATTTAAACTCATACCGCGTCCCATACACTCCCTCGTCGCAGCCCTAACTTCATCCGTAAACGCACCAGGTCCACAAACAGAAACGATCGTGGCCCCAACCCTCGTCAAAAGCGCCTCTTCAAGCACGACACTCGGTCTACACCGTCCGGGGAACATCTGCACCGTTTCGCTGGGCGATTTGATTTCGTGTTGCGTTTTCGGCTTCGAAATGAATAGTTTGATGATTAGGAGTTGTCTACGATTGGGGAGTTGGAGGATTGCATCCATCCATTCGCGCACCCAGTTTAGGGCTTCCGTGGACCGGATGGACCATATTAGGTAAATGCGTTGGGTGGCTACGCAACCTTCTTCGGCGCGGAGAAGGAGGTCACGGACATGCAACATGTGGTGTGTTATTCCTGCGCCGCCGGAGAAGAGGATTACAGTGCCATAACTGCCCATTGCACATGTGCCGGAGTTGTAGGGTCCCTCGATGAAGCCGTATGTTCGTAGGGTATTGTTGGGGCATTTTAGGGCTTTGTTGTAGAGTTTGCGCGTCATGCCGGTTCGTGCGGCGATGACTAGCGACAAGGAAGTCTTTTGCTTGCTGCCGTGACGTAGCTCATTGATCATGAAATCTTGCTTTTCCAAGTCTGATAGACCCAGTTTATCGTTGAGGTTCTTCCTGTCGTAAGGATTGTATGTTTCCATCCATGCTGCTGTTGGGTGACTAGACGGCGTGACGCAGGTGCTAGGATCAACCCACGCAACAGAAAAAGGATGGGACATCCACAAAGCTATGGTTGGAAAGAATGCATAGACATGGCTGCCGGGTTTGACGTTGATGCGGTGTGGAAGGTGGAAAGTCACCCGACATGCTTCTCCAGGAAGAGCTTTGATAACGACCATCGTAGTACCGCCACCTCTGAGGTTAAAATTGATTGCAAACCGACGATACCATCTCAGACATCTTTCAAATATCCAGATGGATATAATCAGATATATCCACGGAAGTTGAGGTAAAGAATCCAAATGCAAATGAAAATAGATGCCAACCACCGATAATAGCGCAGCAAACTGATGTAAATGCAAAAATGTTTCATAAAATGCGTGTCGTATGGGAGATGGAGAATGAATAATGAGGAAAGCCATCGCGACGGTGCCAACAGCGCCCCAACCAAAGAAAGGTGTATCCCGAATTCGGTTGATTGCGTCCGAGAGACTTTGTTCGTTAACTGCATTGACGAACCATGCTGCTGTATGTACAAGAGCCTCGGTCACGATGATCCGACCAAGCCAGCGATGGAATGTATTGTATGTGTCGAAGCTGACTCCGAGAAGCCAGATGAGCACGTTGTTGCGTCCTGCGAAAAGGAAAAGGGGTATCATATTCAGCACAGCCAGGGTTCCTGAACGGCCACGGAGTTCTGCAACGAGCGCCGCTTTCTCGTTGGCGGAATAGCTGAGTATAGTACAATATGAAATTTGGCTGAGGATGTAAACTGTAATGAGGATTGTGTGTAATCGGGACGGCAGTACTCCCATATTCACTGCAGACGAGAGCTGAAATTCCCGGTGGTGCCTTTTTCGAAACAAAGGGGAGTGTATCATGTGTTTCTTTATCGATGGCCATATTCCTCCGCCATCTAAGCTCCAAAAGTATTGTTGTCGCGGTGTCGCCGAAAGACAGCTGATGTGACGAAGGTACGCATTACCCAACTCTACCATTCGACAGGTAAACACCGTCACTGCGACGATACCCAAGGTACCGCAGATAATTCGAGTAACGAGCACATCTAGAGGTACGTCCACGCCGCTCAAGCCTCTTGAATATTCATAAATATAGGTATAGTTGGTGCTGTAAGGTTGGCCGTCAGGCCCCGAAGAGGAGGAACTCATCGGACTTCCGTCACCGAATACCAGTCAATGCAAACAACGTGTCACTTCTTTCACTCCTAGATATGCTCTGTGTATGTGTTTGTGTGTGTTTTTTATCAAAGATTGCTGTAAATTTTGGTAAGGACATATCTACGTCACCACGTCAGTACATGAGCAACAATATGACGGCATATTCGTTCTTCACAAAGAAATATTCAGGAGTATTGGACTCACAGATGTCAACAATCAAGATTGCTCGATATGGATGGATCTTGAGACCTTCCGAATGCGTACAGGCTGGAATGCGTGGTGGTGATGGTAACAGTGAGGAATGCGGAGATGCGGTTCACACGAAGCAATCAAGATTGGAAACGTCAAGCGATTAAATCAATCTTGCACGTAGACAGGTTAGAACAAAAAGATTGAATCTTATTGGAAAAGTTTAAAAAGCAAGTCGTCCACTGCAGATGCTTTATGATGTCGACATTCTCGACGGATGTCTGTTTTCGAATGTGCGTGGAGAATGAACGAAGGACGAGAGCGTTGGATGAGTTGGTAGAGAGAAGTATATTGCTTAACAATTGAAATTCGCTGTATCCAGTCAATAAGCCTGGAAGATATGACACGCGGCGCGCAGACACGGTCGATGAATAGCACGTGCTGTGGAGCGAGATGTTGTAGTAGCAAAGAGTGCAATAGTCGACTGCGATGGCTATTGACGCATTCAGTAAAATGATGTCAAATAAAGAGACTTGTTCACCGAAGATCAAGGGAGACGATAAATGTAGGTCACCGCAACAAAAATATGATGGTCCTGTTACGCAGATGAGACCGGCTCTGACTTGCCTATACGCAATAGAATCAAATAAATGAGAGGATGCCGAAAGCCAGCCAGCAGATGGATAATAAAATCAATAGTTTATACAGAGAAGCGAAAGCTAGGCGCGAATAGAAAGAAAAAGACATGACAATAGTGGATAGGTGGTTGGGGTCATCAATCATATAAAGACGCTGGTAAAAGTTGACTCAATCGTTCAGACTGACATGCATAAACCTGATATCGTCTGATCATTCGGGTCTCGGCCGTGAATCGTGGTCAATAGTGTATAGATCATGATGGAGGAAGCCACACTGCCATTCGATATTGTTGTTTGTTTCAATCAAGGCGAACCAAACGAAGCGCTGGGCCAATCGATGCAGGCGGCAAGGAGCCGATTGACCCATCAAGGGGTTGGCATGGACAATAGGACCGTTGCATGTTCTTTTGTAGGGATGAAGAGATGAAACAGCCAGTATCAGGTCTAGAATCAGGACGAGGGAGGATTGGTTGAGGTTATTCCGGTCGAAGAAAGAGCCTAGAAACAGCCGCTTTGATTGGTCAGAAGGGCTCGGCGGCAGCCTTTTCTAATCCACCAATCAAATCAATGTTTCAAGGGCTTGGCGGTCAGCAAGGGATTTTTCTATGTTTCATCCACTGTCTGGGATAGAAGACTACTATATCTACTCTGTAAAATGTGGATCAGATTGACTCGCTGTCAAAGATGTACAAGAATGTCCTCACGACTTCCTATCGACCCATCCAGCCTCCGTCAACGGTGATTATTTCTCCAGACACATAACTACTAGCCGGACTAGCCAAGAAGACAACCACACCCTTGAAATCCTCGGGCTTTCCCCATCGACCAGCAGGGATTCGAGCCATGATACCGGCATTGCGGTTCGCATCGTTAATCAGGGCAACGTTCATGTCCGTGTCAATATAACCAGGTGCAATGGCGTTGACATTGATACCCTTGGCGACCCACTCGTTCGATAAAGCTTTAGTCAACTGTGCCACTCCTCCCTTGGATGCTGCATATGCTGGGACGGTGATACCTCCTTGGAACGACAGTAAGGAGGCTACATTGATCACGGAGCCTCTTCGACCGCTCGGAAATTCGGAGGCGCCTCTGGATAGTAGATTGGCACCAAATTCGCGGGCGAGTGTGAAAACCGATGTCAGGTTAACGTTGATGACCTTTAACCGGAGAGTGTTAGTATTCCGTTCGTTGTGTAAACCACTGGCTCTAAAGTTAACCCACCTCATCCCAGTCCTCATCGGGAAACTTCTCACTAGGATGTCTCTTTTGGATTCCCGCGCAATTGAGCAAAATGTCTGGTTGTACACCCTGTTGCACAAGTGTAGGGATGATCTTTTTCACAGCCTCTCGGTCCGATAGCTCAGCCACATGTATCACAGCTTTCCGGCCAAGTTTAGTAATTTCGTCGCGTGTAGCAGTATTCGACTCGTGTCTCTAGTTTTTGTGTTAGAGCTGTGACTGAGCGTTTTGGCGCAATGTCATACCTGAACTAGAACAATGTCTGCGCCAGCTTCGGCGAGTGCAATGGCCATTGCTTGACCTATGCCCCGTGTTCCTCCTGTGACCAAGGCAGTTCTGCCTTCTATAGAAAAGAGAGACGCCATAGCGAATATGTCCCGCACCAACGCCAATGAGCAAATCACAATGCGAATATGAAGCTCTCTGAGTACGTCAAACCAGGAATTCGTTCAACGACCAATCTCTCAATTGAATAATCACACCGAGGCGTAAGACTCGTTCTCGTCTTGTATACGAGTAAAAAGAATCAGGTGACGAAATTACTCGACACGGATAAAAGAATGAGGGGCCGACCTATCAATAGCCGACGCTTCTCCGCATCGGCTATTGACTTCTCCCACATATTTTTCACTCTCTCGTACGTTCTCCATATACTGGTACGTAGTCTTCTCCAGAAAATTTCTCGAAATTGCAATTCGGTCTAGTATATGCATTATCGCTAATATGTCGTACATAGTTAGTCTAGTTACAATGCTTACATAACGAGTAGCTGTATGACTCTTGAATAGTATGGCGTATGGGGACGGCTAGTTAAGCTAGCTTAAACGTTAATCTCGATGGAAAACCTTTACATAATCAGCCTACAGTTGGCACGACCGCTCTTTGGCCTCGCAAGTCACGAGCCTAACCTTCAAACTATGTTCTTTTCTTGACTCTGGTATACTAATTCATCATCCATCGTTTTGGCTGTAGATGAGCTGTCAACGATATGGTCTCATCTGACAGTTTGCAGTCAGACGACTCGGATCATGAAAAAAAAAAATCCGCCTGAGTGACCCTTTAAAACCCACTAACAGGCTAGCCATTCACTTGGTGGCATATAGCCGATAGAGAAAATGGGCCCTGTAAAGATACAGACAGAGCCGGTCTCCAGACAGCACAGGAAACTCGGCCCGGGACAACGCGTCTCGCGAGCATGCCTATTCTGTAGACAGCGAAAGTCACGTTGTGATCTGTGAGTTTAATCGGCCGACTCCTTGTGATTGTATTAGCCGATCTGTCAAATTACCGATGGAATACTAATAGCGACTGTAGGGATAGTGGCGGCAATCCAGGAACTCCACCCTGTCAGAGGTGTGTGCGTGAAGGCCGGGAGTGTATACTGGGGACCTCTAACAGAGGTGGACGACGAATACGCAAAAGCAAAAGTGTTACAGCATCCAAAGAAGATGAAGCTTCAGCACAAAAGACGCCTGAAAATCGATCTTCCGTCTCGGACTATCAAGAGCATAACACCAACAGGGCGTCATTTTCGGCACCTGGATATCCAATTGCCGACCTCTATGTGAACCAGGCCAGCAAACCGGCTGAAACTGTTACTACTGATGTTCATGATCAAGATCAAGAACGTGAAATTGACGGCAACGAATCTGCAGTTAGCTCTGATAGCGCAATTGATTCGGCCGTGCCCCGAAACCCCTCTGATGCATGGCAATGTCTGACTGGAATTGCGAAGCGAGGAGAAGAGACTGAAGAGTTTCACCACTCCACAGAAAGCGCAACGCAACAAAGGCCTCTTAACGTATTCCCCCACGAAAAGGACACTATGGGCGTACCCTCTCACGCACCCGTTGCTTCTGGAATTGCGACATACGAACTCGTCAAAAATGGGTCACTGGATCCAGAGCTGATTTTCAATCTGATCAAGCGTTACCAAGTACATTTCCATCCTTATCAACCACTTGTCCCGCGACGGTATTTTGAGCGTGAGACGCTCAACGCATTTGCCTCGAATGAGAAAAACTTACTTACCGCCGTGCTCACAATAGCGTCCAAGGATCTGCTTGATATGCCTCATATTCATGAGTACTGCTCGAAATATATGCACGAACTCATTGCAAGCATTGCAGCTGGTACTGATTGTGATGTGGAGGCAGTCGAAGCACTGATTCTGTTAGCAGAATGGGAACCACAAGGCCTCCGTCCAAAAATCGAGCGTGTCGGAAGAGGTGAAGAAGACCGTGCTGCTTGGATGCATGTTGGTCTCGCCCTACGCTCGGGTTATTTCATGGGTTTGGATCGTACTTCATTTCGAGGCGATCCAGTCGGTGAGGACTGCGATGCACGAAAACGTCTCGCCTGGACTTCATGCTACATTACGGACAGGTTGATATCGGTCAGAATCGGACGAGCCTTTTGGTCTCGTGGACCAGGACCAATGTCTGGATTTGTGAGTCGGGATTTTCCTTCTTTACTGCCAGCCAAGGAAGGGGATGAGGATTACGCCAAGATCATCCAGGCTACATTGGAGTTGACGCAGTTGTACAGTAATGTGCATGAGATTCTGTATTCGGGAATGCGGTCAAGCAACCAGATGATGCTTATGGGTGATTATATCAAATATGCCGATGATTTTCGCACTGCAATACACAGATGGAATCAGACATGGGGAGGGTTCCAATGTGAGATTCTCCACAGACAAAGAAGACATCAACTGACAGAATGGAATGACATAGGCTCGCCCAACATCAAACTCACTTTACAAATGTCTTATGAGTACCTACGACTATATACCAATGCCTTTGCCTTCCAAGCGGCTATATCTCAAGCGATTGTGCGCAAACCAAAGACAGCGGATCAGCATCATCAAAAGGAGCATTTACGGGCGACCTTTAGCAACGTGGCGACCATGCCCGATGCACGCTTTATATATGAGTCACTTGATGCGGCAAAGTCGTATCTACATATACTTGTCAGTCTGGTGAATCCGGAGGATCATTTACGCTTCATGCCGCTTCGATACTATTTATATAGCATTTATGCTGCTGTATTTTTGTACAAGGTAAGTCAGACGTCTTTCTCTCCATGACCTATGCTAAGATTTCAGGCACGTTCATTTGGCGTTATGTCACCCAAAGAAGAGCTTGAAGTTCGTGAACTAGTATCACGCACAACAGAGACATTACACCGCGCCAGCGCGGGTCCAGACGACATGGGCTCACGATATGCGCGATTACTCGAAATGCTATGGAAACCTCGCTCATCGGTATCCGTAGCATCATCCGAATCCCGTCGCCGCAACGAACTCTCCATCACCAGTCTTGCTAACAATTCACTGTCTCCCGGGACAGCAGGTATAGGAGTGGGAGCCTCCCACCAACACCAACAACACCCTCCTCATCAACATGCACATCAATCCCCACACCAAACCCATCACCATCAGCAATCAACACATTTCAACCCGGCTAATGACTTTTCCTGGCTGGACCTGGGTGCTGTCGGCGATTATGTATCGGGAGATCAGATGACAGCTGGTATTCTAGGCTTTGAGGGTAGTTTGGAGGACAACGGTGGGGTGTACTCTGCTGAGCAGCATCAGCCACAGCAGATATGGCAGATGCCACTTTGGACTGGAGATTCCATGTCTACGAGTTTGTTCTTTTAAGTGTACAGTAGAACCTGGTTATAACGACCAAAGGCCTCTCATGGCCTGAGCCCATATATCCAGAAGTGAGTTCAATTTAGGGATGAAGGCTACCTCCTATATATTCATCTAATTTGGTATTAACAAATTGGATGCTCTTCAGTCCCATATTAAAGTCACCCAAGCTGGTATCAGTAGAAATGTGGAGTGGCCTTCCAATCGTTATAGCCAGGTTCTACTGTATATCTGAGTAGTCACTATACTAGCAGAGCTTACGCTCTGCTAATAAATACTGTATGGTATCGGCTATTCCAGTATTTACCCCACTCGGAGTAAGTCCGGTTCATAGACCGATTGATACGAAGTAGTCATACGGATTAGCCTAAATCTTTATATCAGAAGCGTACCCCATCTTGCGGTCTGTCGGGTTGTACATATCATTACCAAGGGCTATTGCAGCATCATGTCACAACTAAACGACATCAAGGGCCGATTAGCCCTCATCACTGGCGCTTCTGGAGGGTATGTTCTCTAGAATACTCACAATACGATAGAACAGAAAGGCTTTGTTCTGAATGTGTACTAATAAATACAGAATCGGAGCAGCATGTGCCCGCCAACTAGCCTCCAAAGGCACCCATCTAGCCCTAACCTACATGTCCAGCCTCCCCAACATCCAATCCCTCACCATTGACCTCCACTCCCTCAACAAGGACATCAGAATCTCAATCCACAAAGTCGACGTCGGCAAAGCAGAAGACATTGACAAAATGTTCTCCGAAATCGACGCCCAGCACGGCCACAGACCTGATATCCTCATCTCAAACGCAGGATATGGTAAACGTATCCCGCAGATATGGGATATTGACCTTGAAGAGTTCGATTATACGATTAATGTGAATTTGAGGGCATCGTTTATTTTGACGAAGGGATGTGTGGAGTATATGCGGAATCAGAGATGGGGGAGAATTGTGTTTATGTCTTCTATTGCGGCGCAGGGAGGGGGGATTAATGGATGTCGTGAGTCTTCCCCTATCTTCCTCATGAATGAGTTTCTGTGTTGACTTTGGACAGATTATGCAGCTTCAAAAGGGGGCATTTCAGGTATGATGCGCAACCTGTCCACTCGATTGGCAGAATACAACATCAGCGTCAATGATGTTGCTCCCGCCATGATTGGGGATACGGGTATGATTCCTAATGGTGCTGCGTTCCCGGGGTTGACGGAGACTATCCCCTTGGGAAGATTGGGTGTGCCGGAAGAAGTTGCTAATGTGGTTACAATGTTGGTTACGACGGGGTATATGACGGGACAGAGTTTGTTGTTGGCCGGTGGGTTGAAATAGATCAATACTTTTGCTATTACCTATGCATCTATGTACCTATGAAATGGAATGGATATAATCGAACGGCAGAATGTAGGAATCAAAATGAAGACTCAATCAGGACCTTTACAACTGCAACACCCTCTTCATCAACACCCTTCGCAGCCAGCGTGAACGCTCGCTCACCCTGCCCTTCCACAGACAAATCAACTCTATGCGTCACAATCTTGTCTTCCACCCTCTTAAAAGCCTCCTTTTCCAGCAGCTCAATCGCCGCGGGATATGCGTACTTGTCGTATCGGAACACACCGATAATATCCACTTCTCTCAACATAGCGGCACCATGATGAAGCGTCAAAATAGGCGCACCCATACCAACCTGCACCAAAACACCGCCCGCCGCAGCAGCATATATACCAGCTTGAATACACGGCGGCACACCGGTACACTCATACACTCTCGCAAATCCATTAGGAATATTATGCGTCTTCTTGATTTTATCCGCCGTCTCTCGAGCAGTTTTCATCGCATACGCCGTCTGCTCCTCTTGCGGCGCATCCTTTGCCGGCGGCGTCGTAGCTGAACGTTCAATAAGATGCGTCTTGAGCCCCAAACCCAAAGATTCTGCAACCTTCAACCGTCTAGCATCAATATCCGCAATGATAATAGACGAGAAATGCTGAGACGTCGCCAATGCAGCCGCCATCAACAACCCAATTGCACCAGCACCAAACACCATTGCTGCACTCTCTTCACCCAACGATCTCGCGAGCTCCGCCTCTTCTTTCGTAGGTGGATGCGAACGACGAATCGCATGTAAACACACAGCCAACGGCTCCGCAAGCGCACCACCCGCATACGACACCGAATCTGGTAGCTTGTGACACATATCCTCGGGATGATTCGTGAATTGCATCAACGTCCCGTCCAAATGCGGGAACGTCTTTGCGCTTGATCTGAATCTCATATTGGCACAGAGATTGTATCGATCAGAGGCACAATACAGGCATTTCCGGCATGGCAAGCCGACTTCGAGAGCGACGCGGTCACCAACCCGAAGGGTTTTGACGTCTGGTCCTGTAGCGGTTACGAGACCGCTTGATTCGTGGCCGAGGGCCATGGGTCGTTGGACAACGAAGTCGCCGTTGCGGCCGTGGATATAGTAGTGTAGATCAGAGCCGCAGAGGCCTGTTGCGCGGATGGCGAGTTGGACTTCATTTCCAGTGGGAACTGGGGTGTCGCGTGTTTCCTGTACAGTTAGCTTGTGTAGTTTATGAAGCATGAGAAGACATACTAAGCGCAGGTCTTTGGCGCCGTGGAGAATAAGAGCTTTGGATTTTGTTGTTGTCGTCATTTTGAGATGCTCAGTATGAGCTATGTCTCTCTATAAGCTGTTCGGTTTTAGAATGCAAGCTGAATATTTCGAATGTATATGGTGAATCTGTTCCCCGGAAGTGAAAATAGGGAGATCTTGTCAATTATATCACTCAATCTGAGTAAACCATATTACCCCACCTACAGACCAAACCACAAGACATTCTTCACATCTCCATTTTTAGCCGGTAAATGACTGTATTGTATAGGTAGTCATCTTCTGATGAACGTATACTCGGAAACCCAAGCGCGGAGAGAAATCCGAATGAGGGGCAAAACGTAGCCGGCAATTGACTCTTTCTGCTGACGTGGGGGTCGGCTATTGCTCGATTACTCAATATATTGAGACCTGGTGGATATTGGCCAGAACAGCACTGAATCAGCTTCATTTGCCGTGTAAGATATTGATCTTGTGGAATTAGGAGGAATGTACTGAGGGACTGAAGGGGTAAGTCGGTCAGTCATTGTACAATATAAAGTATTAAGAGAGTAAATCAAGTCAATTCGTTATTTCGGACTTTTCGTAAATTATATTAATACACATAACTCTTCTAATTTTCCTGATTTACATTGCATTCACGTGAGTATCTTTTTTTTTTCTTGTTACATCACATCATCATCTTCCCAGAATTTGCTGGCTTGTAGACCACGTCTCTAATGCACAAGACCAGATCGCATCAACGCCTTTCCAACATAGCAACACACTTGCAACCATGCGGTCGCAAGCTGCTCTACTAATCGGCGAAATCACCCATGCACGACCGGAATGGGAGCAACTTTCTTCTAGATTGACACTCAAGGTATTCCTTCTCTCAGCAATTGGTGAAAGATTGCTCACTGTTACATAGGAATTCCCCTTCGGAACACGAGAAGAGTTCCTACGAAACTGCAAAAACGGAGATTACGACGATGTTGTGGTAATATATCGCAGTAATACCTCTACCAAATACACTGGCCGATTCGATAAAGAATTAGTCTCTGCTCTACCCAAGTCGGTGAAATATATTGTTCATAATGGAGCCGGATATGATAATATCGATGTTGCTGTTGTGACGGAAGCTGGTACGTTTTCTCGCAGCTACGCAGTATGTGAGTACTAAGAGTCTGAATAGGTATCGCCGTCTCGAGCACGCCCGTCGCCGTGAACAATGCCACTGCAGACGTTGGCATTTTCCTCATGATTGGAGCTTTGCGCCAAGCTCATGTACCTATAACTTCCATTCGGGCCGGTCAATGGGCTGGGAAATCCAAGTTGGGCCATGATCCCAAGGGTAAAGTACTAGGTATTCTAGGAATGGGCGGTATTGGACGTGTATGCTGCCCCCTCTCCAAGGAGTTTGCAATGAAGCAGAGCTGACAGATACAAAGGAAATGGCACACCGCGCAAAAGGCTTCGGAATGACAATCCAATACCACAACCGCAGCAGATTATCCCCCGAACTCGAAGAAGGCGCCAAATACGTCTCGTTTGAGGAATTGCTAGCGAGTTCTGATGTGTTCAGTTTGAACCTGGCTTTGAACCCTTCGACGCGGCATATTATCGGTGCTAAAGAACTGGCCAAAATGAAGGATGGTGTAGTAATCGTAAACACGGCGCGTGGAGCGTTGATCGATGAGAAAGCGCTCGTCGCCGCAATTGAGTCTGGAAAGGTCTGTCTGCGCCCTGCTTCCTACCGTAGTAACTTACCTACTGACTCGTATACAGGTTGGATCCGCCGGATTGGATGTCTATGAAAATGAGCCTCAAGTCGAAGAGGGATTGTTGAAGAGTGACAAGGTATTTTTGCTGCCGCATATCGGTACGATGACCTTCGAAACGCAAAAGGAGATGGAGTTGCTGGTGTTGGAGAATTTGAGATCGGCGGTGGAGAAAGGTGAATTGGTGACTCAGATACCGGAACAGAAGAAATAGATAGTATGATATAGCTAGAAAATAGAAATCATGAATTCTGAAATGTTTTTCACTTGAATCTTGAAGCGGAACTCCATTTCCGACAGTAGACATAACACGTGACCTCCGTAAACAGCCTAGCTTAGGGCTCGCTTAGGGCTTAACCGTGTCCCGTGCCAAGACCGAAAAAAACCACACGACTCTTTCTGTGCTGACAAGACCCAGTTGGCGGTGATCGGTCCTTGAACGACGTCTTTTTCACTCTCCTACATACTCGACAACCCGACAACGAGGACCATCTCTTTTCCGGCAATCTTTCAAGATGGTGAGTTTTATATCTTTGCGAGTGTGAATTTGTCGAGGACGATCGAGGGGTGATATTTGGTTGTGATTTGTGATTGAGGTTATCAATGATGTTAAATGTTGATGGAATAATGGTGTTGGTTCGATTTTGTAAACGACACATGGAGATTATCACCACGACCGACTCGACAGGATCATCGCAATTTTCACAGCTCTATATTGAAGAGTTATCAACTAACTTACATTTCAACAGGTCCGTTACGCCGCACACACAATCCCCAACGCAAAGAGCGCCCGCGCTCGGGGTTCTTACCTCCGCGTCAGCTTCAAGAACACCCGCGAGACTGCCCAGGCGATCAACGGATGGAAATTGCAGCGTGCTCTCGTCTACCTCGAGAATGTCATCAATCACAAGGAGGCCGTTCCCATGCGCCGATATGCTGGATCCACTGGTCGCACTGCTCAGGGTGAGTGATATCTAGCTTGATGGAGACAATTCCGTCAGAAAATTGGAGGAGAAGGACGAATATCGAAAGATTTGAAATGGCGATTAGAATTGTTTACATCCAGCTGGTGATGCTATAATGGGTTGGATCCATCTAACAATCAATAGGCAAGGCATTCGGTGTCTCCAAGGCTCGCTGGCCCGTCAAGTCCGCTGAGCAGTTGCTCGGATTATTGAAGAACGCCGAGGCCAACGCCGATACCAAGGGTCTCGACACCAGCAACCTCATCGTCAAGCACATTCAGGTCAACCAAGCCCCTAAGGGCCGCAGACGTACCTACCGTGCTCACGGTCGTGTATGTTCTTTCCTATCGCGTCTAATTCCACGCTAATTCTATTATCCAGATTAACCCCTACATGACCAATCCATGCCACATCGAGCTTATCCTCACCGAAGGCGAGGAGGTCGTCCAGAAGGCTCCTCACGTCGTCGCCAAAGAATCTGCCCGTCTCACTTCCCGCCAACGCGGTGCCCAGATCCGCCGCGCTATTACTGAAGCTTAAATGTGTAAATGAGATGGAGTGGGTTTGCGTGCGGTTGTGTCGAAAAAAAAAACATCCTGGAAAGGAAGGGAGAGAAAAACAATCTCGATGAAACGGTCTTATTAAACTTGGCATTAGGAGTTTGAATGAATACCTGTGTTTTTCTAAATTCCTTTTGAAACGAACGAAAGATTCAACCTCTATAAAGAATGGAAAGAATCTTATTCAAGTCTTTTCTTTTGCCAGAAAATGGGCCACGATTGAATTGTTCATGTTTGATGTTCCACAGTCATGGTGTCAAAATCTTATGATTTAATTTTACCTAGGTACAAAGGAATGAACCAACCTTTGCCTATTTCTACTATACACCCATCACACGATACCTAGGAGAATGATTCAACATTGCTACCTAGGTACAAGTATAGAGGGGAAAGTACGCAGTGGATGACGATGCAATTGACCAAACGTCGGAAATATATACTAATCACGCATAGTTCAATACATGGAATGTAAAGGGGTATATATGTGTGGGGGCAGCAGGGGACAAAACGCAAATCAACAAACGAATGGCTATGTTCAATGATATGATACTGTCGAAAGTATATGATATAAAATATGCTGAAACAGGCGCTGACAGAAAACCTGAAATATCAAACGGCACGCCGGGTAGGCTCTTGCTGTTGATGGTAACCATGACCATGGCTATCTTCTGTAGTACTATCTGCGAATGGATTCTCGACATTAAATTCATCCGGGTTGTATTCATAGCGGTTGGACGTAGTAGCGGTGGCAGGTTGTTGAGTGTTAGACGGAGTTAAGGTGGGAATTGTTCTTGTTGAGGGAGCCTCAGCTGGAACTTCGACTGGATCACGGTCGAGCCCGGGAAGTGAGAATGGCGTGTCTAGAGATGCGTGTACTGAAGGACGTACTGAGCCTCCAGCCGTGTTTGCAGAAGAGAGATTTTCATTTCCTAGTTCGGGGATGAGAATTCCGGATTCTCCCCCTTTGTAGTTACCATTGGTGTTACCGCTGACAGGAGGAACAGCAGGGCTAGCGACATTGCTATTGGAACCCGGCGTTGTAACAGGCGTCGAAGCCCCCAATGCCTTCCTAGCATTCAAAAGCGTGCGTTGATACTTCGACAACGCTACGGAGAGTTGCTCATTCGTTTCAATCAAGGTAAGCATCGTATTCTCATCTGGTGGCGGGTTCTCAACGGCCATGTAGTTCTGAATAGATCTCGAGGCGGACTGGCAGCGCTGCGAGAACTCACGCATTAACTCATGTGATTGCACCTCTGCTGCCGGAGTGCTTTGTGCTAATTGGATGAGTAGATTGGCAGATGTTCTTGCCTCGGATATACGCGATGCCAGCTCATCAGCAGGAGGTAATTGTCCTCCTCGGCGAGGAGGACCACCTTGAAGGAAACCCGATTGTTGGAATTGTGGGTTCTGTTGACCGGGTAGTGGTGGTGGCTATATTCAAGCATTATTAGCTTGACTGCGAACAACCTAGCGGAGGAAACCTACTGATCGTGTATAAGATTTTTTCTGCTTCTCCTTCTGCCACATAGCAACAAGGCCCGCTAGATCCTCATCCCACGATTTCTGAGTCTCAAACATATCCAACATCTCACGCAGCATCTGCTGCGCCGGCATATCTCGGCCTTCCCTCAAAAGATCCCGGATTGTGCTGACAAACTTGGCATCAAAGTTGCGTGTGAATGTATGGCCGGGATTCTCGGATAGAATGCGAATCAGCATAATAGAATTATACTGTATTCCGCCTTGAACTTTGGCCGGGCTCGATAGGTATTTGCGTATTCGCGCGGCGGCTTCTTTGGCTGCATTCGCGCTTGATTCGGCGGCTTCGACGATGGCGGGGAGATGGAGGTAGTCATTGGACTGTATGGACGCATGTCAGTACTACAGTCGGCTGAATTTCTTGTACATAAAGGTATCATCGTACAGCGCTAGTTGGTCCGCCACCAGATTCGCAGAAAGCTTTCTTCTCGAGGTATCAGCATCTTCCTTTCTTTGTTGACAGACCCAAATAAGATATCTAACGCACAATTTCTCGAGCAATAATCGCCTCTGGGGAGTCATTTCCGGAGGGAGTTGGCGAAGGACTGTCTTGCGCACTTAATGGAGAAGCTTTTTGTTTGAAAGTGAGATTAGCCTAGAGCTCGTAGATGTGAAGCTGCCGCATTGCGTAGAACGTACTGACGCGCCTCTGCAGGCCGCTAAACATGCGCTTCATGTTGTCGCAGGGGATGCTGTGTGTTGTAGATGAAATGCAAGATTGAAACAAGGAAGATAATATTGTTGGTTGGTCACACTCCGACAGAAGTGCTTACTCGACGTTTCTCTGGAGGAGCGCCGTTTAAGCTAGTCAGGCTTAAAATAGTTTGTATAAGAGGGCCGGAGGTTACAACATACAGTTTTACGTTTCACACTCAACAGCATCCAAATTCGTCCTTTTTTGTAGCCTAAATGACGCGTATACTCAACAGCCACATTGTGACTGTTTGTTTTTCATCTTTATCTGATTGATCTAAAGGAATGACAAGGTTGATAGTGACAACTGCACAGCCTCATGGAGTCCGCGGCGACTCTTTAGGATCACCACTAAAAGTGGTTCAAGTGGCTTGGCAAGCTATCATTGGTACTGTCACATCTTGGAGAATGAAAACAGAAGAATCAGGCGTCGTATAAGATCAAAATCGAATAATCTTAGGAAGACAACATAAAGAGAAGAATTACAGAGCTCATACTTGTAGTAACTATTGTACAAAAGACTGAAGAAGGGATGCATGCATCCTGATTGGTGGGGAACCACCGGGCTTGTACGACCACGCTGATTGGCTGCTGCGCCGCCAATCTTCTTGGTGGGCTCAGGCATCCAGGTTGACTATCTGCGGTGAAAATGTAGCCAGAATAAACTACTCCTTCTATCAACTCACCTTCTACATCTTTCTCACCTGGATACTTTTCCTCGCAAGCGAATTGAATCCGGACATCTGAGGACTACTCTTTGAGGTCCGAACAGCGGCCAATTTGTTCATCTATCATGGATGACTCCTCGCTTCGCCATTCAATCTCCCTCCACCCGCATCCCTTCAATCTTTCTCGAGACTTTCAAGACGCGCGCCGCTCTCCTTCAGCTCATACTCGACCAGTAGCCGCCTTTAATCTCGCTGAAGCTGTTGTTGTGTCGGGCGTAGAAAGAACCGCTGACGGCGAGAGCCCCTCCGATGAAGAACGAAATGCTCCGCCACGATACACACCCACAAACGATCCGCTTCAATTAGCGTCAAAGCTCAAGACGGAGGAAGAGATCAAACAGATTCGTGCCAACACGTCCCGAAAACGAGATCGCGTCACTCCCGCATTCATAGGAGATAGATTCGGTATAACCTCTTCCGGCAAACTGCAAGAGTTCTATCAAGTGCAAAATGAGAATATTGAGCGGTTCTTGACGCCTGTTGAAGAGCATGTGCGTGCTGCGAAAGAGCTCAACAGCTCAAATCAGTTGAAGTTCAAAATCGCCGTATGGGGTAGTTTCGCAGCCAATGTTGTCTTATCTGTCATTCAGATATACGGCGCGATAGCTTCGGGATCGTTGTCTCTATTCACCACCATGGCCGATGCTATTTTCGACCCAATGTCGAATATTACCCTTTTGTTATCAAACAAAGCCGTCACACGAGTCGACCCTCGCAAATTTCCCGCCGGCAAGGCACGTATCGAGACTGCTGGAAATATCTGTTTCTGTGCCTTGATGACTGCGGTGTCCTTTATTATCATCGCATTCTCAATCAAAGAGCTCGCTAACGGAAGTACCGAAGAGACAACCGCGTTCCATCTCCCCTCCGTAATTGCCGTTGCCGTCGCTTTTGCTACCAAATTCACATTGTTTTTGTACTGCTGGGCATTGCGCAACCAGTTTTCGCAGGTGCGGATTCTGTGGGAGGATCATCGTAACGACCTGTTCATCAATGGATTCGGTATTTTGACGTCGGTCGGTGGAAGCAAGCTGCGCTGGTGGATCGATCCTATGGGCGCCGTGTTGCTGTCGTGCTTGGTTTCGTTCTTGTGGTTGCGCACAGCTTATTCAGAGTTCATGCTACTCATCGGAGTGACTGCGGACACGCAGATGCAGCAGTTGATCACTTATATCTGTATGCTCTTCCCTAATCCCTTTTCTTTTTGGTCATAATACTAACATGGACGCAAAGCAATGACACATTCACCCGCCATCACAGCCATCGACACAGTTCGTGCTTATACTTCCGGACCTCGTCTTGTCGTCGAAGTCGACATTGTCATGGATCCCAATGCCACACTCATGGCCACGCACGACGTTGCCGAGGAGCTGCAAATCAAGCTCGAGTCGTTGCCGGATGTGGAACGTGCCTATGTACATGTTGATTATGAGACGACTCATAAACCAGAGCACTTTTTGAAGAAGGAGCTGTAATCATTTTGCCCTGCTTTTCTGGAGGTTTATTCACGTCTTTTTTTCTACGTCGATATCTGTCCTACCAAAGACACGGTCAACCGTATTTTGGTATCATGGAACACAGAAATTGATTTATTATGTATATGTCTTGGGAAACATAAATCTCTGAAGGTCCTCATTTATATAAAGATTCGTAGTATGTTTTAGATCATCGGCCCGAATTAACCCGACATCATCCGATCATTAGCCCTTGTCACGCTTCAGAACAGGAATATTGCAATAAAAGAAATTGTTTAGGAATGATAGGCTCATTAATCGCTACTTTCGTATGTCGGCACGCTCGAGATTCGTTCGGCAATCAGGATTCTATGCATCTGGCGGTCTGACCTAGTACTTGGAATGGAAGCAGATTACAAGGTCTCTACGGTGCATTTGTCCACCGAAGTCGTAGCAGACCGTAAGCTTGTGGCGCTAGGATGATCACGTGACATATGAAGTTTTTGGACCAATCAGAAAGTAGAAAAAGAGTAGAGATTTTGATTCTTTAAAGAGTAATAACAAGCCATTTGACCTCGATTCCGACCTTTAAAATCCTCCCCCCCCATCTCTCACGAAACCAGCGGCAAATTGAAATTTATACAGAAGTAAGTATAGACGAGTTAGATCGGTGTTCTGGAGGCTATCCTTACTTGAAGCAAGCAGGAAGGAAAAACCGAATGAAGAGAGCTCTCGGAGAAAGATAGAACTTTGAGAATCTTAATAAAGAGGTAGCAAATAGTTCGTTGAATGTGAGAAAGTAGGAATAGAGCACTTACTTGATGTCCCCATTGGAGTTTGTCGCCTTTCAGAATCTTAACAACATCCACGATATCCTTGACAATGTTGAGGATGTTTAAACAAGAGTCAAGACCTCCAGGACCTTTCAAGAATGCCGACAGTCTTGTTGAAGAGGCCGGCGACGTGGCCGAGACATCTTCCCAAAAGGCATTTTGACACAGCGACGGTGTATTTGATGATGGCGACAGCAACAGGCAGCAGAGGATATCGAAAGAATCTTCGGAGAGTATGGTGAATAAGGAAGAAGAAGAGAAAGAGGGAGCCGGCAGGGGGGGAGGAGGGGTAGAAGGGGAGATATCTATACCTGGGCTAGGAAGACAAACTAAGCAAACTGCACGAACAATGTAAACGCGATGCAATAGCCACGACGATGATGCGATTGACGATGCGAGGATAGTGACGATGCAACGACAGCTGTGATAATTATGCAATCTTGTCGTCGTCAAGAGAAGTCTGAGATGAAGCATAGTGTACCATGGAAGAGCCTCTCTGAGGTGACAATGTACATATCGGTAGCAATTCCTGGAAGAACTGTGCGCTTGGCTGAGATGGAAGTGGATTAGGAAGAGGGATATAGTCGACCTAGTAGTATAAATGCAATCAGTAGAACCTATTCATCAAGTATATTATAAGACATACATGTTGCTCTGCACGTCGTTATGTATTCTCCTTTCTCATAATCATTATGGGATGTGGCTTTTTTTTGACAAAACATTCATAGTCAAATGCTTCCTCAAATAAGAGACTACTAGGCTTTTTCACACGAGATAGAGCTACATAAGTAAGCCCAAGTGCAAAGTCCCGGTCAGTAATATTAAGCACTGCTTAATCATCAGTAATTCCTTGGGCCTTGTGAACTGTCATGGCATAAGCAATAGTAATTGGGAACCGAGTCCAAGAGCAGGTGATATTATTAGTTGAGAAATCTCGTTTTGAACAAAAAATAGGAACTGCAGGCTTGTTGTTAACTAGACAGCAAGCTGGCCCATTGTAAGAATCGAATTAAATCAATAATATGAATGGTGGAGTCTGTTGAGGGTTTGTAGTGCTAGCTTCCCAAATAATATCTAACATGGTGCTAAAAGCACCATTCCTAAGTCTATAATCTGTCCAAATATTCTCTAGAAGTATGACACGACAACCAATAGAGATATCTATCTAGGCGTGTAAATTGCTGGCTTCATCGCTGGATGTCTTCTTTGTATTAAGACTCTGGTGAGTTGCTATAATATGGAGCACAGGACTTCCTATATCACATAAGCGGTTGTGATTGAATTTGTAAACCTGAGACTTTTTATTATAGATTTGAAGTGCATCCTTGAAGGACTTAGCCTCATGAGGGATAACAGCTTTGACGCGAGTACAAAGCAGTTCCCAGTCCGCTAGCTGAAGTTTGTCCTCGCGGAGATGTTCCAATGTCTCTTTGAATCTTGCAGAATCTGGATCAGTATTATTCTGGCGTCTAATAATATCCAATTTAACAGTGATATCAAACTTGCGATAAAGAGAGTGTCCATAGATCTCTTCCATAATATCTAACTGTTGGTTTTACTACGGTCCGTATCACGAAGCATAGACGGTAGTAAGGCGCGAACACGAAGCGGCCTAACGAGCCTGAAAGTATGAAGCTATCTTGATTCCTAATATTGTGACTAGGACGGGGGATAGCTAGCTAGATATATACGCGGCACACACTTGCCACGCCAGACTAACTAATCCGGTGCCGAAACGTGTAGGGTTTGATATTCACGTTCCGAAACTAACTTTTTTGTTAAAGTATAATGGACGCTGGGCTACAGGAGATAATTAATAGAAATCTCCAGCAAGAATAATGTTCAACCCTCCAAATGGACGCGCAGATTCAGACTCCAGAGTAGGAAAAATTTGTTGTAAGTGAAGATTGATCCAGTTAAGTAGTTTTAGATCAATCATTAATTTTTTATTAATAATAAGCCATTTCACGTCACGGAGATTGTAAAGATTATATAGCCTTCGGGCCGATATTTATCCGTACGGGATAGAACACCTCACTCCTTTGATAGTTTCCTAGAAGAAAAGTAGTTAGAAGAATAAGAACGTTGAGGACGCTCCATCGTGAATCTAACAATCCCCAAAGGGGGAACGTACAACTGATATTTCTACTACTGCTCATAATCCTCGGCAACCAGATCTTCCTCAAGAATCTTAACAGAGATTAACCTGCAAAGCTTGTAGATTCTCAGGAGTATGATCAGCCATCCTACCATAAGCAACAGGCAGTCTAAATAAAGAATGAAGCGTTCGACTATTAGTATAGCAACACCAGTGGGCGCTGCACGCATAACAGGAGAAGTATTAATACCAGCATTGAGAGCTAGTCGTTTTAGAGCAGTCGTAATAAGCATTATAATGTGAGACTTGCCTATTCTAGCTTTTCCATCAAGATTGATAAGCAACTGGGATGGAGTTTGTCCTGCGAGATATTGCTTATAATGGCCAATAACTAAGTCATAGAGATAACATTGCTGAATTTCCAGTGCCTCTGGCGAAGCAGATAACGTAATAGCTAGGGGATGTGGAAACTTCTCTCTTATGGAAGCCTAATAATCGGCGTAAATATATTTATGGGTCCCAGTATGCTATGTCCAGTCCATTTCTCGGTTAATGGTATGATTACCAAGAAGATCCAGATCCTCAATTTGAGTAGCTTCATTATAATTAGGAAACTGGCGAGTTAGAGCCTCCTAAGAGTCTAGAATGATATGGCCACTGTCATTATCAGATTCCTCATGAGTAGATTCTAGTTGCACAAGCTTATTGCCATAATGATTATTATCATAAGAACATGTAAGTTGACAGTATGCATAAGCATCTATATATGATGCGAAAGAATTGCTATTAAGTTGCAATAAATCCTTCACAGCATGGAAAAGGTGATAAAGCATTAGCTTAACTCGAGCATAATTATCAGGCTGTTTTTTTGGGGTCGTAGATGGGAAAATAATTGATCACTCTTTAGAGAGCTTGCGTACGCTCATAGATGTTTTTGACATTCCTAAAATTAAATGTTTATAGGAATTGCAAGTATGTGACGTGCTCAAAGATGGCTTGATGATTTTTGTATTTCTCTAGGGAAGAAAGACCCCGGCGGAGTGATTCCTCATCATCTGCAAAGTTAACAAAGTTAGTGGGTTAATCAGTTTCTGGTCGACAATTCATAGTAATTATAACGCGACTTGAAGCCTATAGAGGTAAATCAAGCAATAAATGTAAGACTTCTTGGGCTGACCAATCCCTTTCACCAATAAGATGATTCATTATCTTACTGACAGCAGACAGGAACAGATTCTTCTCATTAACTTGTAGTAAAAATCCCTTCATAAGATCCTTGTATGATTCGGTCTTCGTCTCTGCTTTTGCCACATATTTTGCAATGTATTCCAATAGAGCCTCAGTGCCAGTGCATGGAGCAATATCAATATTAGCTAGCCAGGCCATTAGCATATACCGATTCCAGCTATTAATCATCAGGTCATTGCGAATAGGGTAAAACCTATAGAAATGATGACCTGGAGTAATTTCCACTGCGGCTTCATTCCTGATAGAGTGAGCAAAGTGAAAGCAGTAAGAAACCTAATTCGATCCCTTCTTCTTTCTCAAGCAGTAGCTAGTAGAACATGCGTGACATTGAACACTATTCAATATCTGTGATAGATACTGAACGGTATTATGCTGGTTGTGAAAAGCAAGCTATAGAGGGGAACGCTCATTGCCTGCATTAACAATAACGCCAGGTTGGGGATTAAGAGCTGAGATAAGCTCACCCCAGAATTTGGTGAACACATCTCGGAGTGCCTGAGACATAGTGGCTATTTCTAATAGAGGGGCATTCTCAACCCAATATAGGCCTATGAACATGAACAGATCCACGTCCTTGCCACTCATATCGATACCAATAATCTACCACTTTGAACTTCTTGTCAAGAATTTCCTTGCGAAAGGTAGCAAAACGTATATGGAACCAATTCGCCATAATATGTGGGTTATCGCATAAATTTTCACGAGAGATTTGAATTCCCTCTGATGATGTCCCTTACCTCCAATCGTAATAGCGAGGTATATGCTGGAAGATCTGCAGCTGATAACGTCAGAAAGAGATGGGCCGGCCCGAGATTATGCACCATAGCCTTAAGCTGTTGATGCTTGTTAGTCTAAAAGGGCCGCGTGCCACGTAGCATTCCTGAGCGATGAGAGATTGAGTTAACTAGTGCTCGCCCTCTGGATTATCATCTTCAAAAGCTGCACGAAGCTGGTCTGCTGTAACTTCTTGACCCCCAGCTATTCACTGCTTAACAAAAAACCCCGCTTTTTTATTGGCCTGCTACTATATCATTATATTAAAAACAACATAATGAAATCGGGGATGTCAAGCAAAACGGCCATTGTCGAATCTCATCAAATGTTTGATATAGTCATCGAATTTGACGGAGTGTTGGCGAGGAAGGATAAACTCAGCCTCACCACGGGGAAATAGCGTAGGAAAGGCCCAGGAGAGCACCGGTTGAGTTCTGGTAAACCCAGCAATAGGCGTAGAACGGAATGGAGGCATTTCCATATGCATTTATCGTGGCTGTTGAGGTTGCAGCTATTAAAAGATAGCTGTCATCTCGTCCTCCTTTGTAATGAGATCAGGAACAGCGCTATGTTTAGGAAGTTCAATTTCTTCTGAACTGTCATTCAGGTCGATCTCCACAGGATCTATCGTTTGATTGAAAATTCCATCTGCAATACTACTATCTCCTGGAAGCATGTCAATAGCTTGTTGGGAGATTTCAATGTCACGATAGCCAGGGTGATTAGACCGTAGGTAAGCTAGCCACTTAATAGTATGTTCTTTCCATGCTCAAAAATTGTGTATAAACTGGCGTTGAAGTCTTTGGTTAGCATTGGTATTAGCTGGACGAAGAAGAATAACATCCAGGTTATAAAGAAGTAGAGGAAGAGTGTTATAAACACGCGTAGTATCCTATAAAAAGTTAATAACATGTCCACTATACTTATACTGCTGACCTTGTACTCGACACACTTGGATAACCACATGGACGCAAGAAATAAGTATCTCCTCTGTCTATGATAACTCAGGAAGGTCTAATATATGCCCTGGGTACAAATTATTATTAGCACTAAATAGGTAAATGTCCTTGCCTTTGTCAGCGCAAACACAATAATTACAGATACCTTGACCATTTAAACAAAGATTGAACCATCTCTCGCAATAGTGTTAACAATATTCTAATTGTTGCTTGTCTAGGGACTTGTGAAAGTTCTTGATATAGTTGAAATCAGTCTCTATAAGTGCAGGCTGGAGAAGGGCATCGCGATTCCCAGGAATATAAGGAGGGTCCTGTTCAGAGTATTCTTGAGCCAAAGTAGATACCACTATAGGAGTGTCATCAAAATGGACGTTACTACTCTCAGGAACATAAGATAGGTCAGTCTCAGCATAGATTATAGAGCTGGCGCGACATAGGTTATAGTGAGCGTGTTCATTAGATTTGTCATCAAAGAAGGCGGCGATAGGAACGTCTTGTTGATAACTAACGCAGGATTTATGTTGCTCCTCGAAGGGGATGCTTAAATTTTGGCAATATTCACAGATATTAACACCATTTGCGATTCGCCAACTGAAATAACGCGGTGTCTGACATATAGTACATACAAAATGATTCAACATAATAGGATGGCGTAGTGTTAAACAGAGACTAGATAGTCTCTTCGAGCGACGAGCTTTATAGGGTAGTAGAGTAAAGTGCGCAGGTGCTGTCCTTATGACAGGGGTGGATGCACCACTACTGAGTATGGCAAGAGGGTCTAGCGTCGACGTTGCTAGGCTACTAAACGTAGCTGGAGGATCAATAATTGATGATAATAAGCTCAATCCAGTAGTTGTTCTACGTAAAGTAGGACTGACTGGCTCATTTCCAACGAAAGCAAGAGGATCAGGGGTCAAAGAGATACCTGCACTCATCGCTGTCAGAGGATCTGGTGTAGATGGAGTTTGGCTTGTCTGTTCTTAAGTAGACCTGGGTAATTCTTGCTCTTGTTGCTGTGCAATATAAGCATCTAGGTCCTGAGTTGTTTAGACGTCCTTTCTAGCTTGTCGAGCTGCACGATGAGCTCGTCTGTCCCATTCTCGACAACGATGAGCCTCTGTATGACGTGGTGTATCTTGTGAGTGAATGCCTCGATAATGATAGGAGGGAATAGGAGAGCTCTGTAAAGGCGTAAATGGTATTTGCTATAATCCTTGCATTTCCTATATCTGTTGAGCAGTCAGGTGCTGAGAAATAATATGACATACAGAGCTCTGTGAAGGTGTAGGAGAAGGTTGCTGTGCCTCTTGCATTTCTTGAATCTGGTGCTGAATTGGCTGAGCAGTCAGATCTTGAGGAGCAATACGACGTAGGGAAGCAGCAGTTGGCCAGATAAAGTGAGGGATATGAGTCTCCTCAGCTGGAGGATCAGTGGCTGCAGGCTCATTGCTTTTGCGTTTTGAAGCCCGATGATCCTGTTTTCTAGATCAACAGGTTCCACACGTTTTCCAAAGGCGCTTTCCTGTCTTACTTTTGAACTGATTGATGGGCTTGCCAACGAGACAACTCGAGCACTGTCGAGTGTCCTCAGCCATTAAGGCGAGGAAGGATTAGGAACGAATACAGTGTGTGTCAGTATGTAAAGGGAGAACTTGTATGGACATCAAAAAGATGGATAGGGAATAATGAAATGAGAGAGATGGCATTGCTTGAGGAGATGTCGAGGTGAAGGAAAGTGGTGTTCGGCATGTTTACAAGAGAAGGTGGAAATTACACGCGGAAATAAAGCCCTAGATTTTAGCCCTAAAATACAGAAACGGAAGAATCACGTGGCATTCCTTTTTGTTAACCAATAATATTACGTTGTTCTGTTTTCATCGACCAATCGGGTTGGATCTTAATGGACCAATCAGAGCAAAGTTGGATTCCCGAGCGATGTGTCAGATAATCCGGCTTTCAAACGAGGCAGAGAGATCGACTGTTCAATCTTACAGGTCTAAAAGGCACCTTTAGGCATATATCTGGGCACCTAGATTTCAGCCCAATATTTACCCCTCCTGATAGCTCACAAATCACCCCGCCAAAGGTGTCTATAAAGGACCCGTCTTTGAAACCTGATGGATAGAGAGACACAGAACTCAATACATACAATCTTGCTAGTCACTTCTTTTCTTTGATCCTAGTAAAACACTTTCAGGATTGGCCTGGAATAAACCGACTAATCCGACACGATGACCGTAAACTAGCAGAGCTTACGCTCTGCTAACAAAGTGCTATGAACCGCACCTAAGTGCCTATGGGGTATCGATATGCATATGGACTTGTACCGTATTCAAGCAGTGTACAAGAATGCCGAAGCAGAAGGGAGTCAATTGATCATCCAAAATCCCCAAAGTACCTCTGACGAGCACGCTCCACGGCTAGTTCTTCCAGCATAGGTTGCAGAAGTTTATCGATTTCATGAGTCCAAAATGAATTCTGCGGATTCACTTGACAAGCTGTTATGTATTCCCAATAAGATGGATACCAACCAGCAGTTTCCCAGTCAATAATCCCAACAATACCATCTCCACGGACCAAATATTGAGACTGCTAAGATCGCCATGTGTAAAAACACCAATGGCCATCTGTCGTCGTCTTACTCTTGCTGCTTAATCAATTCTCGGACTTCTGGATGAAGATGACCGTCGTACTCCATACCTCCCCGTAGGTGTCGATGGAAGTCTCGGACGAAGCGCGACGGTCCAAATGTCAATGTGGTCACCAGCCTGGCACACGGCAATCATAGAGTTGCCCACCATCAACAGCGGCTATTTTCATTTCATCTTTAGAACGAGGAGGTGGAGGCAGAGTTCTCATCTACAATCATCCCCTTTAATTGCGAAAGAAGTTTCGCCTTCGATTCTCCACTTCGCTCATTCACCAACCAAGCCCAATCATCTCTCCCTTTATCCGTTCCATGGCAATATATGTACGCCGTTTATGTGAGAATGCGCAGTATATCTTGGGTACTGTCTGAGCGATGAAGCGCATGGTTACTGCTTCTGATAGCTGGACTAGTCGTCCATACTTCGCAAATGGTGTCTGTTAGCATCAATACACTTCCCTTGAAAGGCCGGATGTGATGGAGCATTTTAATGGCTAGCATATGAGATAGAGGTAGAAGAAGTTGTCTTTGATGGGGCCCTGGTTGTAGCCATAGTGAGCCGAATAATGATAGCATCATTGTCTGGTTGATGGTCCCAAATCACTTAGCCAGCCAGGATGCATGTAAGGCAGCGTCGAAGAGCGTTCCTGGTACTTTAAGGTTGAAGTTGATATCGTACGCTTTGTATGATGGAATACCCCTGGCTAGTGGGGCATTTATCGTTTATTGCCTCAGGCAACTAGTCAAAGAACTCACAACCCTAAGAAGCCATTGATGATATGCCTACGAGAATGGAGCAGTGGCTTAACCTCTTGAAAATCGCTTATGGTGTATCTGCAATGTATTTTCATTCTATTTCCTCATGCGCCATGCGATAACAGGTGCATAGCCCTCGTCTCAGAGAGTTAACCACATTTTTGTATGTACACAGATAGAGCAAGTTCATAAACAAACCTAAGCCTCAGCCTTCGGCTCCTCTGTCTCTGTCTTTGACTCTTCAGGATTTGGGTGCGATGCGATTTCGGTTTCTTTTTTGGCGCCCGGGTAACGAGAACCCTTGTCCTTCACTTTCTTCACCTTCTTCTGCACGGTTGGGGGAGGGTAGGCCTTGAGAGTTATTTCTTGCCATTCTGGTGAGTTTTGGTAGGCTTGATGAATAGGTGCCATAAGGTTGGTTAAAGCTTCTGCTACGGCAGGTTTTAGGAGTTGTGGTGTCAACTGTTCAGTACGTTAGCTAGGTATGTTTGACTCCGAGTAGCGTCAGGATGAGTATAGAACATACAATATCGTTCACATAATCATCCTTGAGCTTTTGAATATCTGTATAGATCAAGGGCTCGGCATCTCGTCGTTCCACACGGAACTCATTCTTCCCGCTGAGCTTGGCTGCTGGCAGCAAGACGAACTCGACGATTGCAATAACGCCGTTATTTTCGATGACTTTGGGAATGGCCTCAGACTTGCGGACCTTTTTGGCGACAGATTCGGGAGGGTCAAGAAGGTCAATTTTGCTGTCTATTGGATTTTAGTATGTGAGGATACGAGGGTTAGGGTTATAGGGGCTCATACCTGGATCACTGGAGCTCATTTTACCACCATTAAGACCTGCAACCATTGGTGTTACAAGATGGGCGCGCTAGTTCTTTTAGCTTATTGCTAGTTGTCGATTAATTCTGTATTGTCTTACCTTTCGATATCCGAGTTTAGGTAGCCACTCTGTCGCCGCACTACAAGTGAATAAGGTCAGCGAAGAGCAGCAGAAGACACTCGAGCCGAGAAACTCACGCGAAAAGTTTGCGCTGATCCAAGCCCAAACATGAAGTTAGCTTAGAGTATAGGACATACAAGGAAGATGCGACATACCCCCTAATTCAGCATCGACCTTGAGATACTCCTCGTCGAGGACCTGCAGGATAGGGTAGAGAAGACCACTCAATGGCGCATTGGCAGATTGTTTAACAATCTCAGCACCGGCCTTCTTGGCGTCATGTTCGGAAGTCAAGGCTGCCAGGCGGTAGACATCCATGACATAGTCTGAGTTGCGCTGGTAGGAACTTCCAAGCACAAACTCGAGTTTCTCCGTCGATACGCCTACCGACTCGAGAATCGCTCTGATCACTTTCTCATAGTATTTAACACGGTTCTCGACCAGTTCAAGAGGGGCTTTCATAGAATCGAGAAATGCGTGTACGTCGGCGAGAAGGATCACGACTTCGCATCCTGCGGCTAAAAGTTGCGCAATCTTAATTGCGGGGGTGAAATATCCAGTGTGAGGTCGTCCGGTGGTCGCGGTACCTTAGACAATATCTATTAGCTGATATACTGGGGTTGGGATGAAGGTGAAAGAACCTTACCCCAGTATATACGCGGGTTGCGCCCCTCGGCGAGAATGCTCTCGACGATTTCAGGGTTAAGAATCTCCTCGAGATTCTCGCGTATGAGATCAAATCTGGCTTGTGCGGATGCGTCCATTGTGAACCTGGAAGATTGACTATTTCCAACTTCCGACAGTAAAGGTAACCCTGAAGAATTGCCTGCAACACTAGTACAAAGATTAGAGCGCAACAAAAATGAGTCAAAGTGTAGCGGGGCAGTCTACAAAATAGATCGGCAATATGCCGCCGGATAAATAGAAAAGCCGAGTTTTCATACACTAAACCTATTATGTCCAGGTACTTAACTTTAAGGGAAGGCGGTGAGATCTTGAGGAATCGTTTTTTAGTATGCAGTTTCCCTTAGCACTAACCCTTCCGAGGATGGATGGCTATAGCGGAATCAATTTACTATGTGGGCTGAATAATAGCTGGCACCGGTACAATAGGTTACTTTAGGGCGTTGTATTGCGTTGTTGATGAAATATGGGGCGAAAGTCATGATCTAGTCATGTATTCTTGATTAGTTAGGACTATGAGGGTGCCATACCTCGTAATCAGCAATGGGAGACCTGCGTGTAGAGTCGTTTGTAGCCTGGATACCTTGATTAAAGCATGTCGATTTGACGCTTTCAATCTGAGATTATTTGTGTTTTCGTCACCAACCACAACCGGCTTAGCGGTCCGTTCAAAGCGGCTCCCCGCAAAACTTTATCGGTGCCCCACTAAGGTCTACAACGGCGCCATGGCAGGAGGCTATCGAAGACAGTGTCAACTGAATCAAATATGCCATGACTCGGCGGTGCGAAGGGGTTAAAAATGTTGCCATAAAAATACATCTGTAGGATCATATATATCCAAGTAAAACACTATGGTCGGCGCCCAGACTCGGACTCAGGTCATCGATCAACGAGAACAAAGGTAAGGTATCACTGAAAGCAAAGTTATTCATGGTAGGAGTGCTCCCCAGCCCCATACTTGTATTCGGATCAAGGTCGTTGTCATCTTGAGGAAGGCCGGCCAAATGCATCAAGCTCTCTGGAGTAGGCATAAAGTTTTGTGGGATGACAGCAGAGTTGTTCACGTTGTTCACATTGCTGTCGTTATAGGACGTATTTTTGGTTGGTGATGCTGCTGCGTGACTGTTGTTAAGATGGAAGTGCTCCTCGGTACTTTGGTTATGAAGTGTGGCCGTTGATAAGTCTGAAGGAACTAGACGTATGGCCTGGATATCGCCAAACATAGTCCTCACATTCAAGTTCGGGGACCGCAACAATGTGTCTGCTCTTTGGTGCGTGTACATCCCGACAGCTTCCTTCAAGTAGCAACATATCTCACAGTATCGAGCTGACTGTGGGTTTTTGGCACCTAGCTTTCGAAGAATTGAAATTGCAGTGTCAAGATTACAGTTGAGTGGCCACCCGCGTTGATCATAATTGCCGAAAATTGCATGCCCCAGACAGAGGGCAGATATGAAGACGCTATTTATAATGAGCGGTTGGCGCTTAGGCATATATTCATCAAAGACGATTTCTTGAGCGAGTCCTATCCCCTTGATGGCGGAGTCGATGCATGCATCTGCATAGGTTGCGATCAAATCCGAATACGTCTCAGGATCTTGAGTGCTTCCAACCTTCTTGAGTCGTGTCCCGACATGAAATGATAGAAATGGTCGGCAAAGTAAAATGATGGAATAATAATACGCCATTGTGACAATATGAGTCCCCAGTTTTTGGATGCTTGCTTTAGTGCTTGTATCATTTCTTAGCAATCCATCAATCTTTAACATTGATGGTAGTTCTTCCGTCCACTGGCGGTGTTGTTGTGATATGCTTCCTGCCAAGTCGAGTGACACGGCTCTTCTTGAGAATACTTCGACTAGGATGCGTTCAAAAACCAGGCATATTCTGAATATCGCGGAGTCCTGCTGTGTCGGTACAGATCTGTCATCTTTATAATCACCATTATTGATCTTGGCGAACGATTTCGACCATGGGATATTGCAATCCGCTTCCGATGTTGCAGGGGGCCGCCCCATTGATGCACTCAGAAACAGATCGCAGACGCGAAGCGACTTCCAAGCCCGTTCTCTTGCTCCGCCACCAAAAGCTCGGTTTGTCTCGTGCCGGTGTATCCCTAGCGCATATGCTGCACGAGCGGCTATTCCTATATTTGTAAACGCCCCATTGCGCCGACACGAAGCAAGCATATAGTAACTGATCAGGGAGAATGCCACCACAGTCATAAGGCTGGGGTCATCCATGAGATGAATGACAGCTTGCTGGCGACCATAGTTGAAATATTTCTCTGCAGTATCATCATCCTCATCGTCAGCAGCCCGTCCCAGAGCGCCGATAGCGAGAGCCAAAAACATCACGGGAGTTTCTGGTCTATCACGCCGATTGGGGTCAGCAACCCAGGGAGGAATGGCGGATTGAAGATATGAAATGTCGAAGAAATCAAAGACGCCGCTAACAGCTAGCTCGTATTGCTCTGCAAGGGCTAATGATCGTTCAAGTTCTGGCTCTGGCTCGGGACAACTCCCGAGATGGCCGGTGAAGTCTTTTTCGATTATGTATTGTTGCTGAGGGTCATCGGTGAATGTGCATGACCCTACACAATCAGCCGCTATCCGTTGCACGATGTGAAGATATGATAACGAGGCTGATTGTCCAATGTAGACTATATGACTGTCAGTCACCGACCCGAAAGGACAGAACAGAACTAAAGGCTCACTCAATTTCCCCTTTGCATCTGGCAACATCCGAGATTGCTTGGGTATAGGGGCGCAGTCGACTATAATTGGCTCGGCAGCTTGCTCCGAATGCGCTGCGAAACCCAGCAATGCATCGACTTCACTATAAGTGGAGTCTCCAAATGTGGGTGTTTCTGGTAAGTGATACTGAGATGGGCTCAGAATCGGCCTCGACTTTGTTATGTTGCTGCGAGAAGAGGTATTGAAGGATGGACATGGTGGAGTGTACCGACAGTCGTAGTCCTTTTTACGCAGGCGACAGTGACCACAAGGTAAATTGCCGTCGCATTTCTCTTTACGCTTCCTACATACCTGGCTCCCTAACAATTAGATAATGGCCTTAAATGTGAGGAAGGAAAACAACATACATCGCATGCTCGTAACACCCGCCTGCGATTGTGTGGATCGACTCTAGCGCGAGGCATCTCGTTACGTGTGCTCACATTCTCTTCCCATGCAGGGTTAGTAAGATGATTGCAAGAACATGATCATGCAATATGAGGGTAGCCATAGGTATTTCTCGGTACTTTTCTTCGGCTGATTAGTCTTCGGTGGGACCTGAGATGCGGGGTACAAGTATGGGGGTATGGGTCCACATCGGAAATACCCCAGCAATACGTAATTTGGTACGAGCAATTTTTAGCGACGAAAGTTTCATGTATTTGCAATTATGCTTGTGGATCTATTACTGCTTTCACGACTTTCCCTGCTGCAACATCTTCCAGTGCTTGTTGGGCCCTCTCCAATGAGTATGTCTTAGTGACGCATGATGCCAAGGGGAATTTCTGATAGTTTGCTTGCACCAGGTGGGCAGCACGATAATAACACGAAGGCGAACAGTATGTCGAGCCGATAATCTTCAGTGCCTTTTGGACAACGTCGAATGGAGAGATCTGTACTTTGGATGAACCAGCCCATGTACCCACCAGTAAATATGTGCCACTTCTAGTCAGAAGTTCAATTCCCTCCTCAAACGCGGCTGCATTCCCGCTGCATTCAATCACTAGATTCACACCCCTGATTCCAACGATATCATTGATATGACTCTTCCGCGCGTTGACTGTCTGAAGTCCTTCCTGGTGGAAGTCGACAAGTGCAGTTGCTCCGAAAGATTTTGCCTGTTCAAGGCGCACTGGATTACCCTCGATGCAGATGATGTGTGCAGCACCTGCCAATTTAGCCATCATTATGGCTGCTAACCCAACGGGACCTGCACCTTGAACGACCACATTGCTCCCTCCTGGGATCTGGCCAAGATGATCAATAGCCTGGAGAATGGTCGGCAGAGCACACCCCAAAGCGATATATGCATCAAAAGGGACATTCGGGTCCACTTTATAGAAAGAATTGTTCGGCAAGAGAGTGGCTACCTGCGTATAGGATGCCCATACGGTTGCATTCTCTGCAAGGGACCAAAAAGTACCGTTCTCGCACGCAGTGAAGTCCTGCGAAATGGTACAATGATAGCAAGCATTACACGGTCGAATGGGATTCCAGTAAATCACATCACCAACTGCAATTGGATTGCTAGCATGGTCTGTTTTCACCCCAGCTCCTAGTTCAATCACTCGACCGAGGCCTTCATGCCCGAGTACTACTGACCCAGGCAGTGGTTGATCACCTTTCCATAGATGCACATCCGTACCGCATACTCCGGCTCGCAGGACTTCTATATTGATACATAGTGGAGATGGAGGTGGAACTATACGTTCTCGTATTTCGAGTGATTTTGCAGGTGATGTAAGAACCAGCAATTTTGACTTGGTTCCTGTTATCATTTTTCGATCAGTAAACCATGCTTCAAAGAATGCTTTTAGAACTAACCAGAGATCGACATGTTGACACCTCAGTAGAGTTACTAGAAATCCTCATCGAAACCTAGAAAGCAAATTACTCAACCAGCTGACAACATATTATTATGAACTTTCACTCCTTTGCTCTAACCTGTCTATAGAGCACATCCACCCACCGGATCTGTCTGATCTACCCCGCAAAATACCGGGCAGATGGGTGTCTCCTTTCCGGGGAACATAACCGGGGTTTCTCCACTGATCCTACTCCCCTACTCCCCCCCGCAACTGACTTCGGACTGCCAAGGGGTTTGATTAGTATTCAATGCTTGATGTAGATATGGGCCCAATTTTATGGTCTCATTTTGTATACTCGACATAGAACACGTAGCATTGCTGACAACAAAGTTCTGTGGCGACCACTGAGATAACTCTTACTGAATGGAGAGCTGGAGCACTTTCCAGCCAACCGGATAGTGCACCTAACCCTAATCACCCCTTACCTATGTACAGGAATATAAAAGCCACTAATCGACCATTAAATAATCAATTACCACAATATTTCCGCTTATCCTTAAGGGATAGCATTTCTATCGATCTGATACTATCTTTTTATTGTGCAGCCATAGCAAGTCTGCTCTTGCCACCATGTCTCCGCCACCATTGAAGCCCGTCAACCGAAACCCTAACAAGGGCAAGGACGAACCATTCATTCTCCCTCCAAACGTCACATCGGCCCAATTCTCAAAATTCCTCAAACGCTGTCGTGAAATATGCGGCGTCGAGAATGTCAAGGTCATTGAGGCCGAAGAGCAATTGGTTGACGGCTCATACTATGAGCCCAACAAGACGCATGATATGCATCACCTTGTTGATAGGAACTATTTCGTATGCTCTGCTACCATATCGCCACGGGAGGTACCCGAAGTTCAGGATATGATGCGTCTGTGTAATGAATTTGAAGTTCCCGTGTGGCCGGTATCTATCGGTCGAAATACGGGTTATGGTGGCGCGGCGCCACGAGTGCCTGGTAGTATTGTTCTTGAGTTGGGGAAACACATGAACCGTGTTTTGGAGGTTAATGCCGAGGATGCGTATGCTTTGGTTGAGCCTGGTGTTACTTTTTTTGCGTTGCATGAATACCTCGAGAAGAATAATCTCAAGGATAAGGTTTGGATTGATGTGAGTTCCAAGAGTTCCTCCGTCTTTTGGAGACCCCCCTAATAACTGAGGATGCAAGGTGCCTGACCTCGGAGGTGGATCTGTTCTGGGTAATACTATCGAGCGCGGAGTGGGTTATACGCCGTATGGAGGTGAGTGTCCTTTACTCTCTTCCTTCTAGTTAGAAACTGATTGACAAACAGATCACTGGATGATGCACTGCGGCATGGAGGTGGTTCTACCAACAGGTGAACTAATCCGAACAGGCATGGGTGCCATGCCCAACTCACGCGATGATGTCAACGGAATCAGACCAGATGAACAGAAGCCGAACCGAGCGTGGCAACTGTTTAACTACGGCTTTGGACCCTACAACGATGGCATCTTCTCACAGAGTAGCTTAGGTATTGTGGTGAAGATGGGAATTTGGGTAGGTCTACATCCCAGGTGCTCCTAAATAGTGCGTGATCTGAAATTTGAACAATACACAGTTGATGCCTAACCCCGGTGGTTATCAAGCCTACATGATTACAATCCCCACGGATAAGGATCTCAAGACGGCCGTGGATATTATCCGTCCTTTACGCACAGTAAGTTAGAATAGAAGTTCAATCTCTAAATCAGCAAGCTGACAGCATAATAAGCAAATGATCCTCCAAAATGTCCCAACATTACGATCCATTCTCATGGACGCCGCAGTTGCACATCCCAGGTCCCATTTCCTAAAAGAAGACCGGCCATTTACCAACGCAGAGCTAGATCAGATCTGCAAAGACCTCGACCTCGGTCGATGGAACTTTTACGGCGCCTTATACGGACCGCAGCCAGTGCGAGATGTCCTCTGGAGCACCATCAAACAAGCCTTTTCAGTTATTCCAGGTGCCAAGTTCTATTTTCCAGAAGATCGGAATGAGCCATTTTCGGTGCTAAAGACGCGGTCATTGACATTGCAGGGTGTCCCCACGTTTGATGAGCTTAGATGGGTGGATTGGTTACCCAATGGCTCACATCTATTCTTTTCTCCTATTGCCAAAGTCTCTGGAGATGATGCCATGCTACAGTATTCCGTGACTCTGAAACGGTGCCTTGAAGCCGGTGTTGACTTTATCGGTGACTTTGTCATTGGTATGAGGGAAATGCGTATGTGTTGTCCTCCAAAATCCGGGTATATCATGCTGATATTACCGAACAGACCATATTGTATGCATCACATTTAACAAGAAAGATCCCGAATCCAAGCGGAGAGCACACTGGCTCATCGAGACCCTAATCAAGGACTGCGCCGAGTACGGCTGGGGAGAGTACCGTACTCATCTTGCTGTTATGGACCAAGTTGCATTGACGTACGACTTCAATGACAATGCACAGATGAAGCTCAATGAGCAGATCAAGGACGCTCTCGACCCGAAGGGTATTCTCGCTCCAGGCAAGAATGGCGTGTGGCCTAAGAATTATAATAAGGAGGAGTGGAGGATTCCTAAGAGCGTCACTCTGGATAAGACTCAGCATACATTGTCCAAGAAGCGGTCTGGATGGCGTACGCCTGAGAAGTTATGAATAGGTATTTAGCTATTTTTCGCTTAACAAAATGGAGTTTTGAAGCACAATTAGTCTTTTTATCAATCGACTCAATATTCCAAAGTTACGTCTGAATAGTTTGTCTCACTCATGAAATCTACGGCACATTACTTCCTGTGTTACTCTGCAGATAGACATGGCGATCAGCACGCTCAATGTAGTAGGCCCTAATACCGGCTTAAGCTCCCATAATATAGGTCATCTAAGTGTTGGTAAGGCTCATAAATTTATTCGAATGTAAGCCAGAGAACAAATAGCGCTATAAAATTGGTATAATACTTGATTAATTCATTGCTAACATTACAGTACTACTTCCCACCACCCAGAGCATCAACTCGCACCAAGCAATTATCAAAATAGCTCTCCAGACTCCTCACATCACTCAAACACTTGACAGCCCCAACATATCCATCCGGCCTAATCACAACAACAGCTCCTCCATCTTCACTAACACCATATATCTCGTACAAAGGTTCCGTGCCCACCGGTCCATGGAAACTCATCTCCGCAAAGTCCTTGAGACAACTTGGCATTTGATCCCACTCAAAGTCTCGCGTTCGGAACGGGTGAAGAGTAACTAGCTCGATTGTATCTGTGGGATAGGCGGGGATAATGTCGTGACATATAGCTTCAAGGGCTTGTGCTGATATAGATGGTCTGTTATCATTTTGACGATCAACGAGATCATGAGTTGCGAAGACAAAGATACAATAACGGCCAGTGGAAGGTATTTCATCATGAATATGGCGCAAGTTTGCATCCGCATAGCGACGAACGACTGTATCGAGTAATCGTCGACCTGGCCGGAGGATACCAGAGAGATAATCGTCTCCAGCAACAGAACTCTTCGTACTGTTGATAACACCGCCATTCTGTGTTGAGATGTCCCGATCGACAATTATGCTAGGCTCATATTCAACTCCGCATCCACTTGTGAAGCCGCTTCCGTCACTGAAGACCTTTAGAAACTCTTCATGTGTAAGACCCTCGACTGAATCCTCAGCTCCGATTTGACCGGAGAACATGGATGAGAATTTTGAGTCGAATTCAATAAGTTGTCTGGCAACTCCAAGACGCTCGGATTCGAATGTGTTCAGTACGGTCCTTGGTGTGTTCTGCTGATATCTGGCGTTGCTTAAGGAGGCATGTGGCGCAGACTTAGGGCTCAGACCATGAATCGAGTGGGCTAGTTTCCATGCCAGATTATAAGAGTCCATCATGGACACATTCATACCTTGGCCGGCTTTTGGACTATGTGTATGACATGCTATGAGATATCAATATCAGCACAGAATCCATATATCATTTGTTTGGGAGTGAAATACTCACCATCCCCAACCAGGAACACTCTCTCCACCCCATTTTCATCTTTCAGTGTGGAACTAGGCGTCATCCTCTGTCCGATCTGATATGCAGCCCACCAATCAACAACCGTTCCGGGCTTGATTGCAATTTTATACGGCGCAAATACACGCTTCCCTTGTTCCAGTATACTCTCAAGAGTGATGGCTGCACGCCGTTGTCGCGCTTTAGCCTTTTCATCCAGAGTGGCCCCTTCCTCAGCTGCTGGAGCAATTCCATCTTTGATTTGCACATAAAGACGAGTGAGATAATGACCCGAAGCAATACGCTCTCGCGGAATAACCATAACAGAACCAGTATCTGAATGAATCGCGCACCGTTTCCTGATATCCGGAAAATTTGTGTCGGCCACAAAATCAACTACACCCCAGATGTGATCTGTAGTATCACCGTGTAATTGCAAGCCCATACTTCGTCGCACTCTTGAATGTGCGCCGTCAGCACCGACGAGATGCTTGGCTCGCACAACCTTGCGTTGGACAGATTCGTCGTCACCCATGACATCAATCTTGACCCTCACCGGATATTCCGAGTCAGTAACAGGATCTAGTGAGAAATCGACAAACTCCGTGGCCCTGAAGATTGAACGACTGGGAGAATAGGCCTGGAAATCTTCTTCTAGAATCCTTTCAATCCGTCCCTGATGGATGGTAACTTCATGTTTGTATCGTGCTGGAACAACTACATCAGGCACAAAAGCCGTACGTTCGATACCCCCACGAGTGCTGGGGTTCCAAAACGCGACTTCGGACATGTGGCATCCATCATCGAGAATTTCATGGTGTAGGCCTAATGTTGAAAAGACTTCTAGAGTGCGTGGCTGAAGACCATCAGCCTGTCCGGCCTTGAGGGTACCCGGTTTCTTGTCAAAGCATGCTAGCGAGTCGGAGAGACCGTAGCGAGCAAGCAACAATGTGAGAAAAAGACCCGCTGGGCCAGCCTATCACTTGATTAGTCATGTTGCTTCATCCCAGACATCTTGAGAGAACATACTCCGATAACAACGACTTCAAACCTCTCGCTATCATCCTGTCCAATATTTCGACTGCTATCAGGCTGTGCTGAAAGACGTGGTAATGGACGAGCACGAGATCGTTTAATGCGAAGTTCTCGCGATGCATGTGCTGTTTCGTGAAAGACAGGCATCCTGAAGCCTCTTTTGATATGCTCTTCGAAAATATGTGAACAACGACAACAAACTTCAAAATTTCAAGTATACCACCTGATTACTAACTGCTCTTCTTGCCGTATTTATTTATTTTCTTATCATGAAAAGTCGTACGAGTAGAATGAAGGTCTTAGTCCGCTGACTTGACGACGGACGAATGATGCCCGAATTCATTTACTTCTGGGGTTAGCTCTACCCCGGAAAAACCCCTTAGGGTTGTGAATCATTGATCGACCGGATATACAAGAGATATATCCGCATCGGTTGCGTTCGGGAAGGGAATTCGGCATGAATCAACCATTCTGATTAATTCATTCGAGCATGAGACGGATAGAGGGTCATAAGTTGTCGTTTCTAATCAATTGGTCTAAGACCATCCCGGGAATTTACCTATGTATTAAAACTCCCCCTGGTTTGAGGCGTTTATTTCTTCACGAGTGACATAGTTCCCATCTTTGCTATCCTGCGTATCTCGACAACCCCGGTATTTACCATTCTCTCTTCTTTTAAGTTTCCTCCTAACGACCATGTATGCGGGGATGCGGGGGTTGGCCAGAACCCTCCCGAAATCGTGAAAATAGCCCTAATTTCCCGGATAGGACACTTCAGGTCCCGAACCGGTTGGCATCGTTGAGATGAGGATTGTTCGATCATGGATAGTATGATCATAGGGTAAATGATGATAAAGATGTTTACTATAATTATGTGATGACTGGTTTATAACGGGCCATTGCCGCGGGCTGTACTTCTCGATCCTCAGCATTTATCCTCTCTTTTGCAATCTACCTCGCAGCTGTGAAGATAGCAGACAGCAGAGTAACCATGAGTCCAGCAGAAATAGAACCTCTATCCCCTCCTTTGCCCATTCTCACGAATGGTAAATCCGTACGTACACCCATTTCCAACGGTGGAATTTCAAATGGCACAACCACCGAGTTATCAGACCTACACATCAAAGACACCCCCGTGGAAAATTTCCGCAAAATGCGTGTCGTGATAATCGGCGCCGGGTTTTCAGGAATATACTGTGGTGTCCGAATTCCTGAACGATTACGCAATGTTGAGCTGGCCATTTATGAGAAGAATGATGATGTGGGCGGGACTTGGTATGAGAATCGGTATCCGGGGTGTGCTTGTGATATTCCTTGTGAGTTCCTCTCGGCTATCTTTAGTATATCTGCAGTTTGGGGTGGCGATTGGCTGACAGTAGTTTAGCACATTCGTATCAATATACGTTCGCTCCCAATCCAGCATGGAGTAGAGTCTACGCTAGGGGGTCGGAGATACATCAGTATCTCAAAAGTGTGGTGAAGAGGTACTCGGTAGACAGATTTGTGAAATTGTCTCACCAGGTTTTGGATGTTGAGTGGCATGAGGATGTGTCGAAGTGGTATGTTGTTTTCATTTTCCATTTCGTAAAGAGAGGGTCACTGATATGTCTGAGAGATAGGTTCATTACCGTGCAAAACCGGGTCACTGGCGAGACATTCGTCGACAAAACAGATGTCGTTATCAGTGCTCGTGGGACACTAAATGATATTTCATGGCCTGGTATCCCGGGTCTTAAGGACATGAAGATACCAGTCATGCATTCAGCAGCATGGGATGACAAGTGCGAACTCCTTGGTCTTCTAGGTTTCTCGTCTAATGAGCTTAAGCAGACAAAAATTCGAAGGCAAACGTATTGGTATTATAGGTAGTGGTAGCAGCGCCATACAGATCATTCCGGCCTTGCAGAAAGTCAAAGATACCCAACTCACATGTCTGATTCGTAGCAAGATCTGGATCGCGAATCCGTTCGGCGCGGAGATATTGAAGGAGCTGGGTATTGAGAATACAGAATGTAAGTTGACGTAGTCCACAAGACTTGATATAATCACTGACAAAAACAGTCACACCAGAACAACGAGCCCGCTTCGCAAAAGATCCAGAATACTACCTGAAATTCCGCACAACCCTCGAACGAGCCGCAAACCTCGAACATTCAGTCACCCTGAAAGACTCCCAAATGCAAAATCTCGCTCGCGAAGCATTCACATCCCTGATGACCGAACGTCTCTCCAAAAAGCCCGAGATCCTAAAACATCTCCTCCCAGATTTTGGCGTCGGATGTAGACGTCTCACTCCGGGGCCAGGATTCCTCGAAGCCCTCGTCGAAGATAACGTAACCGTTACCAACGCACCCATCAAAAGAGCATACGAAAATGGTCTCGAACTCCAAGACGGTACAATGCTGGATCTCGATGCCCTAGTTTGCGCAACTGGATTCCGAACCTCCGCACCACCACCCTTTCGTGTCGTAGGGGTAAACGGTCAATTAATGTCCAACCGTTTCCACCCCTTTCCAGAAACATACATGTCCCTCGCCACAGACGGGTTTCCAAATTACTTCATGATGCTCGGACCCAACGCCGCAATCGGTACGGGCCCTTTGACAACCATGATGGAGATGACAGGCGACTATATCGTGAAATGTATCCGAAAAATGCAAAAGGAGAATATCGTTCGGATGGAAGTTCAGCGTCGTCGAGTTAGGGATTTCTCGGCTGTGGCGGAGAATTATTTCAAGAAGACGGTATATCTGGATAATTGCTCGAGCTGGTATAGGAATGAAGGGGGTAAGGGGCCTAGGATCTCGGGGCTTTGGCCGGGGAGTGCGTTGCACGCGATGGAGACGATAAGGTCACCACGATGGGAGGATTATGATTATAAGTATGAGGGAGAAGATAACGAAGGAAAGGAGGTGAATCGATTAGCGTGGCTTGGGAATGGCTGGTCCATTGCGCAGACGGGGAATGGCGAGGCAGGAGAGTTGGCGCATTTCTTGCAACCTGCGTTTGTGGATGTGCCTGCTAAACCGCTGCCAGAGGAGACTTTTGTGTATAAGCAGAAACCGTTTTCTCATTAGTATCTCAATACATAGTTGAAGCAGCGGTGTCACATATAACATAGGTCACGCATTCGGCTTCGTCGTACCACTGGAAGTTCATCGAAGTATCCAGGACGTGTACGATCAATGCCGCAATAATTGGTTTAACTCGCAGGCTTTCCAGTAAAGATTAGATCTCTTGAGTCGGAAGATGGAATAGCTTCATCGTGTTTCTAGGGTTGTATAAGCACTCCACATCCTGCTGCTTAGGCCGTAGTAACACCGCCAGGAATACTTCTCGAGACCTACCGGGAGCTAATTAGGATATCTTCGTATGATTGCGTCGCCTGCATCTGGTTGCAAAAGTCCTTGTCTTAAGAAAAGAAGTATATAGTAGTTGCAATCCCTCAATATTGTTGCAAGTTTGATAAAGTAATCACCTCACCTCTAGTAATGTATTCAGCTCTGTCAAAACATTAGCACTTGAAGATATTGAAGAGCAAGAGTCCTCAAGCAGGATGCGATGACTGTAGAGTCCACCATACGAGAGTTTGAACCCAAGGTCAAGTTATGTAGTAGAAATGGTATCATGTATTTAAACTACTACCTAATACTAGCAGCAATAATCACGGTCTATCGCCTCCAAATCAAAAGAATATGAAGAAACCCCTCCCAAAAAGCCCAAAATATGTATAGTTGTAGAAACGAAAAGAATTGCCAAGAAAGATTTTATTGTTCAAACAAGGCTATCGTCGAAGCAAACGAGCTTGTATTATCCTCTTGCTTAGCCAACGATGTACCGTCCGACGATGTGATCATGTTTGTACTAGCCTTTGTGCTGAGACCGTAGATAGAGATGGGCGAGCAATCGATCTGAACAATGTTTTCTTGGCAGGATTCCGTAGCCAGACAGGTTTGATCGTAGTTTTCGAAGAAGCTGTACAGTCCGGCTCCGTAGATCAAGGTGTCGGAAGAGGAAGTCACTCGCAGACCCCATGCTTTACGACAGCTGTCAGTAGTACAAGTTGAGAAGTCTGGGTCATTGAAGGTAGTCTGGGCTTTGAATGGTGTGAGCGCAGTAGGGTTGGATTGCCAGTATCTGGAATCTGTTAGTATGTAATAATTCATCATTGGAAGGAAACCTACGGTGTCTCCGTCTGGATCAAAGCCATAAAGACGTTCTTGGCATTGCTGATCTGGTATTCGTAAAGTTGGCTGTGCTCAGATGCAGTGCCGTACATCCATACAGCATTCTGCGACTCAATGAGCACACCACGTCCGTTGTAGATGTCGATCTGGTTGTGATCACCCAGATCAAGCTCATGGTCAGCAACCCAGAACCAACAGTTCTCAACATATGCGCTAGCTGACTTAGTAGCGTGGAAGAGCATGAAAGCACCAATGCAAGCATCATTCGCTGCATGAGTTGACTTCGGGTTTTTAGAGCAACTGTCACTCTGGAGCCCTGTGCCGGCAGATCCGCCGACGCGGAAATGAACATCCCACATTGCGGCGGACCCCTGAGACGAACCTGCAACATTCCACTCCATGAGAATGGCACCTGGGACACTACCCTGAGTCTCAAGAATAAGATCTTGCATCTCCACATTACCAGTTTCGCCCGGTTGACCTATTTGAAGCATGGGGATCGGTTTGCTCTCGTCCGAGAATGCTTTACCAGATGCCATAAGGAGCGGCCAGATTTCACCGACAATTTTGATGTTCTTGGGGACCTTGATTGTGGATGTAATGATGTAAGCACCATGGTCGAAATAGACAATCTGATCGGCAGTAGCGCTATCCAAGACCTTTTGAATGGCTGCGGTATCATCAGTCTTGCCATCACCTTTGGCCCCAGCGGCCTTCACGCTAACAAATGATGAGGCTGGAACATTCTCATATTGAGGCTTGGACCTCTCAAAGACCTTTCCATTCGCAACAAGAGGAGATGGCTTGCTTGCAGCAGCTCGAGTGGCTTGAATACGAGATTTGCTCACGGAGGAGGGGGCACAAGTGCTACCAGAGGGTATTGCAGAAGTATGTGCTGAAGAGCCGGAGCCAGAAGTAGCTGTACCTGGAGCACTCGCCGTTGCAACTGGCTGTGTTCCTTTAACAGTAGATGGGGCTCCTCCCGGAGACGTGTTTCCACCTGAGGATGGGTTCGCACCCGTAGATGGATTTCCTCCTGGAGATGCGTTTCCAGGAACAGATGTCGCGGCCGCCCCAGACACAGATACAGAGTCTGAGGCAGGGCTGATCCGTGAAGCAGCAGAGGTACCAGGCGAGACAATTGGCGTGGCTGTAGCGTCTGGCGATCCAGTCTGATATACGGTCACAGTGACAATCTCGGGTGCCGGACAGGTGTCGTCTTCGAGGTTGGCAGACTCGAGATCACGTTTGCTGGGGGTAGAGCCGCTGGTGTAGGTGTTACCCTGGACCCAGGACTTGACTACAGAGCCACCTGCCAAAATCGTGTTACCGCCAATACCAGCAACAGCGACCTTGGATCCGGTAAAATCAACATTATCCAAGATCAGATTGCCTCCGCCAATAGGAATGCTGTCTTTGGTCCAGGCAGTAACTATGGCTTGGTTGGTTGTCGAGATCGTGCTATCGAGCATCAGAACAGACCCAACAGTCATGTTTGATGGGCTATTAGACATGTTGAGAGCAACAGCACAGTCATTCACAGTGACAGATTTGAAAGTCCAAGCCCAGTTCCAGTTCATGAAGATGGCGGTATTGCATCCATTGAAAGTCAAGTTGCGAGTCGTGAACTGCTGATTTCCTAAGAACATGCCGTAGTTTCCGCCGTTGAAGGTCAAGTCACTCATGAAACCACCAGAGCCGTTGTCCATGAAGATACCCGACTGCTTATTAGCGTCTCCGCCTCCCTTGACCATCTCAAAGCGAATATTCTGGAGACTAGTGGCCTGACCGACTTGCCAGTGGATACCAGCTCCAGAGCTCTGAGGCATAGCAGTAAGATCAATGACGAAGTTGCGGACCTGACGGAAAAAGTTGTTCTGGTTGGTGTACCAGTTGGCGCCAGTATCCGTGTATGGATCAGAATCAATGACAGCCATCCCTGAGAAGCTAGCGGCAGCCTTGATGGCAGGCAGGTCGGTTGCATCACCGATGAGTTGAGTGTAGTAGTACTGAATAATGGGTTTCGAAACGACGTACGTTCCGGGAGGAAAGTAGACGATGGCGGGGGTTGTAGTGGAAGAGTCGCATCCCAAGCCACATCGGTTACTGCTTGAAATAGCACTGTTGATCGCCGCGGTGTCATCGGTGGAGCCGTCACCTATCGACTGTCAGTAACATATCGAATATTGCAGTCGTGCGGTCATACCTTTGGCGCCGAAGTCCTTGACGTTTCGAAAGATCTGGTAGCTGGTCGAGTTTCCAAAAGCTACTGTACCCTGTCGTTTGATGTCGGCCATCCAAAAGCCAGAAGAAGGAGCAGTGCTGGCCTGAGGCGTCGGCGCGGCCTGCAATAGGGCTGAAAACCCAAGCAACAAAAGCAACTTGACGAGAAGCATTGTGTTGTGTTTGTATTGAATGAACGAAGTGTGAATATGATCTGGCCTGCAGATGTTGTATGAACGAGTGGTAAATGGCTCCTCTAGAGTTGGATAGAAACAATATCGATAGTCTATGTTTTGTTAGATTCAGATGGTGCCTGATTTTGAGGCAACTCACAATGTGTACCTAGGATAATTAGCACTGGCCAAATAGTAAAATAAAACAATGCAACTCACTTGTTACAGGCAAATCAATGGAGCAAATCCAGCTGCCACCGGTACAGTACAGTAAAATATGGCGTAAATAATCGAAACGAAAGAGAGAACGACTGCGGACACCAGCCACAAAAGAATGAATGTTGAGGGTAGGGAAATAAATTGAAGTCAAAGATGAAAGAAGAGGGAGAGGGAATCTGCAGAGTCAAGTAGTAAGCGGGACACGGCAGGGCAAGCGCCCTCCTTACCACGGCAAAGGCCTTATTGATGCCTGAATATTGTATCAAACACTCACTTTATTCAGGAGTCAATTACCTGTCTGTTGGACCTATCAGCGCGTGTTTCTACACAATACACGAGGCAATAGCCACAACGAACATACCTATCAATGGACTTTGACTATCAAATCGAGAAACAATAGTCTTGTTTCAAGACTCCACTCGGTAAACAAGTCGTTTGTGATGATCAGACAACAGTGTGTTTGAGATGTTCAGGGACCAGACCGCGTTGATTGGTGCCCGTAGCCCTAAGCCGTCGAAACGTGAAACAGGAGTTGAGATATTCGAGAGAGTTAGGATATTATTGAAGGTGATGATTGAAAATGATATTTGACTAAGAACCAGTCGAGGAGGATAAATAAATTCAATAAAACAGAAAACATCAGGCCTCTACGCTATACATATATCCTGTCAATGTTTACTCACACAATAGCCCTAGACAACCAAATATCCGTTCAGGAAAGGTTCACGAATTCTGGAATGTCTGGCCCAGGCACTGTCATTATCTGATGATAATCTACGTGAATGGGTAAATTTGATGTGATTCGAGATCTTACATTTTTCCAGTCGATCAGTACCTCTGGTTGCCAGGGTCTGGCCCAGGATGTCGTCCTGACACATTCCACGGTATTCTAGGGTTAGGGCTTAAATAATGCGGAGCAAATAAGTGAGCATTCCACCACAGCCCTTGCCTACATAACCATCATTCTGACTCTTCAAGACTTGTGGATTTAGAATCGGAAAGTAGGAAAATTGGAAAAACAAAATATTATTGGCAATTTCGCAGCTATACTCCGTGGAGTATAGAAATTGTGGATTGTTTCGCCATTCCTTAGTGAAACACCTCCCTACGCCAATCATCTTCCGCACTCTACATAAGCTACACCTACTATCTAGCTTGTAGTAGTTAAGTCCTAACACATACTCGATAAGAAAAATATCATCAAGATTCTATTCGTCCTTAGGACAAATGCTGAACCTTTCCTCCGACTATCGTGCAAAGAGGCAACATATCCCTGAGTTTGGAAAAGTCCTGTACCCGCAAGGGATCCTCCGGCCATACTGCCAGGTCCGCAAAATATCCAGGGAGTAATCGGCCTCTCCTGTCACTCTCTCGCAATAGGTCCGCAGCGAAGGTGGTATGAAGCGAAACCGACTCTGCGGGTGTGATGGCTTGAGCAACTCCGAGGGTACCTGCTACAGTTTCCCGACTGGACATGCCCCAAATAGATCGCATGGCATCAAACGATCCAACTGGGTAATCCGATCCCCCAGCCAACAACGCACCTTGATCCAGCCATGACCGAGCGGGAAAGAGCTTTTCAACACGTTCCGAGCCCCAATAATGAGATAAAATCCCCGCTGTGTCGTGTAATAGAGGATGCTGGATGGTAACCGGGATTTTCAGTCGAATGGCACGCTTCTGTTGCTCAGGACTAACCAAACCACCGTGTTCAAGCACAAGTGTACTAATAGGAAGATACGGATGTCGCCTGAGAATTTCCTCGTAGACATCAAGAAGTATCCCCACCGTCCTGTCACCGAATGCGTGACATCCTACACGCCAACCCCTACAGACCACCGCATCCATGGCATCAGTGAGTTCCTTGGGATCCCAGAAGGTTAATCTGATGTATTCAGCAGGCGCACAGCAATGAGGCGGTGCAGCGATATAAGGTGTTTCCAGAGCGGCAGATTCAATACCTCCATCGAGCATGAATTTCACGCCCCAGATTTGTAACCACGGATCTGTCTGAAGAGAACGGTATGCCTCCATATCGGTTAAAAGCTGGTCTACGGCGGATACAGTCGTTAGACCTATCGCCGATATCAACGCGCGTATACGGACGTGGAGTTTTCCTGCGTCGTGGGTAGTCCGTAACACTTCTAGATCTTTCAGGGATACAGCGCAATCCCGGACGCATCCTGTGCCTGTGGCGGCGTAGGACGCGGATGCTTGACGAATACCCTCGACACGTTCTTCCATACTCGCGCTGGGCCTTATCCTATCCATAAGGACGACGGCAGTATCTTGGAGTAGCCCATTCAGACCTCCCTCCTCGTCCAGACCTATATGTCCTCCTCCAGGCGCTTTAGTATCGGGTGTAACTCCGGCCAAGTTCATTGCATAAGAATTAGCAACAAGATTGTGTCCTCCTCGCCGCACAACTATCGGATGATCTCGACTAACAAGATCCAATTCCCGGAGTGTTGGCAGTCTTTGCTCGCGTAAATTATGCTCTTGGAAATTGGCCGCTGTAACTACCCATTTTCCGGCAGGCGTAATCTGCGTCCGTTCCCGGATCGCATAAAGAAGTTCATCGATAGTTGATGCATCGTGCACGGGGACGTCGAATGCACTCAATCCGGCAAAGATGAGATGAGTATGGGTATCGTCGAAACTCGGTAATACTGTTCCATTCGGATAATTAAGTACATGAGTATCAGGTCCGATACAGTTATCCAATCCATGACGGTCGTCAGATAATGCCCATATGAATCTGCCTTTGATAGCCAAGCTTTTCTTCGGTGTAATCCTCGGTTCTAGGGTGTAGATAGACCCGGCACGGATGAGAATATCAGCTTTGATAGTTGCTGAGCCCGAGTTTTCACCCATTGTGATCACTTCTACACGTTATCACTAATCTTTTTTCTAAACATCAGACAATGCTGCTCGTTCTCTTATATTGATGGCCGCATTTCGGGCCGTGCAATCAACCCCGGGCCGGGGTACGTACAAGGAACGTAACCACAGCCAGCATCAGCATATCCATGGATCTCTTATCTCGCAACGTTTGCAAACCAACTCATGATCTTACCAGTCGTCCCTCTTGATAAGATATGCCTTGACCAACGAGCGAAGATGTCAATTTATTTTATATGGAGAAACTGAGATAAGTATAACCTTCCCATGAATTCATACACTAATGAAAACCAGCCAATGATGTCGTTTCCGTATATGGTCTATCAGACATTGTAGATAGGAACAGACGGCACAGTACCCATCGAAACATCCGTATTCGCACTGTGCCGGAATTTTTGTGACTTCCCAGCCATCTCCGCATTCTTAGAAGCTTCCTGCACCTCCAACATATCAAACTTCTTCTCCGGCAAAAGATCATACACCGCGTTCCGCATACTTCGGATCAATCCGGTACAACTGCGCAAGATACTTGATCTGAATCTGCGGCTACTCAACCAACTTCAACACTCTCGCCGTATTCAAATGCAAATTCTCGCGTGCCTTTGATGTCATTACTTTTTGACACAGGACGCGTGGTTGGTGGTAATCAGACGCTTTCCCCTCGTGATAGAAATTGGGTTCGCGGCTGACGGTATTATCGGCTGTGTCGGGACGGGATTTGTTGACGAAGCCGTTGGGCGTGTATTGAGGGTTTTTGGCGTGGTTAACGCCGACGCGGAGGGCCCGTCGAAGTTGAGGGATGAATAGGATGAGGCCATGAAGGGGCAGTTTACTACCGAGTCTTAGATACGAAAGGAATGGGAAGAAGGTGGAAGTGCTTACCTGGAACTTGATGCAGATCCACTCCGATACGGTGAAATTGCGCATCCCGGTAGAAAAACATATGGAATTGCAGCAAGGGATCAGGACTGTCCTCAATGCTATTTCCCGGGGGAAAAGGCGGCTTACTCAACGTCAAGATGGAAGTTCCTCGGGTTCCTGTCCAGTCGGGATGAGCTTGTCGAACTCGTGGAGCTGTCATGATTTAGGCGAATGCACTCTTGACCAGTAATAATGGGATAGACATACCGGAAACTGATCCTTCGGCCAGACTTTCGTAACATGAAACGGATCAGACCCAAGCTTCGTGGGATCTGCTTCATTCGGCTGCATAATCTGCACATGCGCAGTCCGCTTGATCTGTTCACTGGCTTCAATGGCCTTCTACAAGTCGCGTTGGGGGTAATCCGGGTCCTCGCCGCTGAGGGATGGTGGCTTCGTCCGCAGTGAATTGTTTCTGGCCCGTGTTCGGCGATGAAGTGGTGTGATGTAGACGAATTCGCCGTTTTCGTTGACCCTGTTACGAATTGGTTGAGGCGTTGAGTAGGTGGATGTACGGGACTTTACCACTTGAAGGTATGGCAGCCATAGCCGTGCATGTTCTTCTAGCCGACGGGGGGTACCGTAGTCACAGAAGAACATCATACCAGCCTGGTTTCTACAACGTCACTTTAGCTGTGGCCATAAGCTTGGGGCAAAGCAACCTACCCTTTTATCTTCGCGAGTATTAAGCGAGTCTTGATCAAGTAGGAAGTTCTGCGGGTTACGGTACTGTGACCGAATAACGTCTGGTCCTTGAATAGGGTCACGACAGAAAAAGACGGACTTCATATCGTTAGTATATCTGTGCTAATTGAGTAACATGTGACGGGCTAGGCAACGTCGCCGTGCAGGAGGACGGAAGCCCTAAACCCTAGGGTGATATCTATAACGGGAATATCCTTCTTTCTTTGTCTTCGGGATTTCCTAAAAAGGCACCGAGGGGGCCTTTGTACGAACTTGTAAAAAGTGCCTCTGCACGCTGTCAAGCCAGCTTCTTTTCTTTTCCTCTCCATGCTTAATTTTCTCGCTGCAAGTTACCCTTAGTTAGAGCTTTGGAATGAACATCGTCACAAACAGGCTAGACGTACAAAGTTCAATCCGACGATGTCGTTAGCTTCGTTCGCTGATGTAGAGCTTGATAGCGAAACCGCGAGGATTTCTTGCCGAATCGGGAAATTCGCGTCTCAACGTGACAGTTGAGACGATTGGGGTTTTGATACCGGGAGAGCGAAGAAAGTGTGCCTGTCAAGTCAGCTTGTTATTCAGCAGATGCTAACAAGACTCAATTTGGTCAAGTTCGAAATGTCTTTGGTAGTCTCCAAATATCCTAAGGCTCTGCTTCCACCTACAATACATATCAGGTAAAGACCCTTAGCATCAAGGGCAAGTACGTACACTAATGAACCATCCTCTCCGATTCCTTCGACCGATTAAAATGCTGCCGCTTCTGCAACAAAAAGATATCCGACACCGACGGCGGTTTGGCCTATGACCTCGCCGATGGATTGTAGGGGATGAGTGGCCATTTTGGAGTTTATGGGATTCATGAGTTTGCTCTTTTAGAGATTACCTGGGTGAGATTTATCTGATCTGGGGATGTCTGGGGACATTCTTATAGTGTGCTATAATTTACAATTTACTACCTTCTCGAACTCACTATCACGGTGAGAAATATATCCCGCATCTAGAACATCTAGACCGTAAAGATTAGCATATATATAACTACGATACTTGAAGAGTAAGATGCAAGCGGAGATTGCCTCGGTATTGTATAACCCTAAGTACTTCTACGTAGCATCACGATGACAACAAGATTTCAGTCACATTGCAAAAAAGCGGTATTACAGATCGCAAAACAAAAAACAGGAATTTGACTCGAAAATGAAGAATTTACAAGTAATTTTAGTAATATGGCTGGTCTTATTGGCGGATCTGGGCCGAGCAAAAGTCGATGTAATGATATTGGATTGTATACCTTCGCACCCGTGAATATAAAAACACACTGAACACCTTACTCAATACTCATAATTGACAATTCTAAGTACTTCCTCTATTACCCAAATCTACAAGAATATGCTTCTGTCTCGCTTCGCCAGAACTACACCCCAAGTATCCAACTTATTTATACAAACACGCTGTTTCAGCGCCACCGTTCCAGCCATGACACTCATTTCGCAAGCCATCAAGAACGACCACCGCGAGCTAGAGGATGCATATAGCAAGATCCTCAGCGCCGCCACGGACGATGAAAAGCGTCGATGGCAGAACCAGTTTACCTGGGAATTAGCCCGCCACTCCATCGGCGAAGAGTTGCTTGTTTACCCTGCTTTTGAGAAGAATCTTGCCGATGGGAAGCAATTGGCCGATAAAGATCGTGCTGAACATCAAAAAGTTCCTTATCCCTCTCCACCTGGCCTCTGCGTGAAGGTGCAGACTGACAGACGTACAGGTCAAAGAACTCCTCTACAAATTCCAAGGCCTCCAACCCAAAGACCACGAATTCACACCAACCCTAAGATACCTCTGGTCCGATCTGTCGCAACACATCAGGGAAGAAGAAAAGCACGATCTCGTACAGCTCGAGAACGCGCTCCAACAAGCCGACTCTGAGAAATTGACTACCAAATTCAATCGCACCAAGAAATTTATTCCGACTCGTAGTCACCCCGATGCTCCCGATAAGCCACCCTTTGAGACTGTGGCGGGATTGATGGCGGCACCGTTGGATCATTTGTCAGACCTGTTTAGGAAGTTTCCTGGGGAGTCGAAGAGTGAGTTGCCTCCTTAGATCAGACGTTGGGTTGTGTATATGAGGGTTTGAAATGCGACGGTGGCCTCGGGTTAGGGTTGCTATCATGTACCGATAAGTTTACTATGTATGTACGAAGTGATTTTGCAATGTGATTCCTTTTATGTTATTACCTCTTCTACAATATGTAGATGTAGCAGTATTCAGGTGAGGATCCGCTGCTCTCGTAGGCATGATACTATCGCTCAGTCAACATTCTCCGAGCCACGTTTCCCAATCTCTCTACCCCCTCATACAAAACCTCAAAGCGCTCATACGCAAAGCACAGCCGAATACTCCTCTCAAATCTCTGGTGATTCTCACTACAATCATCTTGCACTTGAAACATTGTGCCACTACCAATCATCAACATCTCATCTGCCAGCGCTCTCTGAGCTAAAAGATCACCTGTCAACGACAGCGGTAAATCAAGCCAGATGAAATATCCACCAGAGATTGGTTGATTGCCTGCAGGAAGTTTGAAGCCTAGTGGTAAGAGATGATCGTTTATTGCGCTTATGATTCGATTGTAGCGTGCTCTATATGCCGGGATAAGTTCTTGTTTGATGTGTCGTTGTAGAATGCCTGATGGTAAAAGTTGGTCGACGAATGTAGATGATAATTGTGATGGGGCCCCGCCGGATCGTGACGATCCTCTGTCCATAGTTAGTAACGTCCTTTTATATTCCAGAGGATGTCGTACGCCTGTGATAACCCATATGCAAACTTCTCCGTCCCCTCAGCCCAACCTACACGCATCCCAGGTCCAATCAGTTTGCTAAAACTGCCGTTACTCATTGCATTACCCCATTCATCAATCGGACCACCATCCAGATATCCATCCACATCGACTAAACGTGGTACGCAAGCTGTATCCTTTATATCTGTCGCATTTGGATCCGACGGCCACTGTAAGAAATCATACACATCGTCGGAGATAATGAGCGCATCGAACCGTCGAGCTAATTGGACTAGACCTTCCCGGCGTCGGAGGGAAGCCACTTTCATTGAGGGATTTGCGAATGTCGGCGTGAGGTAGATGACATGTTTGTATATTTTGCTCCATGGTCGGGGGAGGGTATATACCTAAAAAAGAATACCGTTAGCTTTTTTTTTTTTTCTAAAAAAATAAAATAAAAAACAACAACCTATATAAATAACATACCGGCTTCGTATTCCCTTCAGAAGCAGCCTTATCCTCCGCCTCCTGTAAACCCCTCTCCAAAACGTCAAGATCAATTCCCTCCTCATCCTCAGGAACACCTCTCAACCTCCCCATAAACCCTGCATCATGAAAAATTCGACATGCAAGATAATACGTCGGCGCAACCATCCATATATTCCTCGTATAAGCCGAGTCTGTAAACACCTGCAATACACAAGCTAGATTCTGACTTGCGCCGCCCGTGACACATAACCGCTCAGCTGTGATCGGATTCCTCCTCCTCTTTTCCGATTCCAATTCGTCGCGATAAAATGATCCAAGCCATGAGGCGATATGCTCTCTCAACGGCCCATACCCTTCATCAGGACCATATTGTAGACCAGACTCATAGATACTCGGTGACGATAAAACGGTCGCAGCACTTTTGGCGAGTGCGTCGACGGGTAATAGAGCGGGGTTGGGCCATCCACGGAAAAGGTCAATTGGGTATTTTGTTTGAGCTTGGTTGATGTGCGTGTCGTTAGATGTACAGCTGTTAGCGCCGCTAGGAGCCTGGGACATGGTAGATTGCTGAGGGAGGCGTCGAATAGTCATTATTATTAATTGTTGATCTGTGTGGAGTGAGTTTGATGGAGAAATTATCGAGTGTCGTGGAGATTAGGTTAGCTCCGAGAAGCACTAACCCTAACTACATTGCCAGCATAATTTGATTTACGTGATTTGAGATTTGAAAGTCTAGTGCACGTACGTACATTTTTGAATATTTCCAGCTTTAGCTACACAGTGGTCAATATGTACTCAAAAGTGTTACTAGGTAAATCAGCTAGCCAGCTTATCTATGCCCTTGAATAAGTCAATCCAGCTTGATTGAGCAGTTACCTGATTAGGAAAACAATCCAGTCCTGATATCAAACCTGCATTTAGATCACATCACCCATGTAAATAAATGTCGATAATCAAAAAAACTATCCAAAAATGCTAGTGACAGTGTGACGCGCAATTGAATCTGGCCGCGTGGGATACTTTCATAACCCTAGCCCGATCCCCTTTTAGCACAATAAGGAAATGTATTTCCTCCCAGTCCCACCGAATTTTCAGCTGGAGACGAACTATTTAAGTCGTAAAGAACTCTAACAGTAAGAGAAACTGATCAATCTCAACTGCGCGATGTACGTACATCCCAGATCGACTAAGACGAACCTTGACTCATCCCTCCGCTGATAAATCTCTCCGAAAGTGTCTGGCGCAAGAGACTGGGATTGATATTACAAATCGCATAGAAAATATCAAATCCACACAGCCCGATCGTACAAGTCCGTCGGTTATTTCTAGAACCAAAATATGATTAAAAATCGGTTATCTACATCGGGATCTTATTTTTCACGGTCAAAATTCAAGACTTTGATTGGTGTTGGACCGGGGGGATGTTCTCGTCGTTAATCAGCCCTAAACGGAACTGTTCATATATGCATGGAAATAAATGGGTCCTCCTACGGACACAAGGTTTTGATATGAGTAATACGATAAATGTATACACGAAAAAAGGATGTGGAAGAAGAGCATCGAAATTTAGGGATTACAAACTTTTGGACGGAGGATGAGTATATTAAGTCTGTGTGTCTCAGTGTTTGTGATGTCACAATAGAAGTCAAAATCAACACTCAGAACAAATTCAAAGTAGAATCTGAAAAGAGTGGATATTTTATTCATTTTGATAAAGCATGACAGCTTCCCCGGAGACCACCTCGGTCTCATCATCAACCACCAACGTCCCCCAAACCACCGGCGATCCCCAAGATCTGGATCTAGCAGAAAAAAACATCGAAGAAAACAAAAGCAGCCAATCAGACGAAAGCGCAGATGAAATCAGAAGTATTCAGGGCTGGCGATGGCTCGCCGTCTGTATATCTGTGTTTAGTACTGCGTTCCTGTACGGATTAGATACCACCATCGCGGCGAATATTCAGTCTAATGTGGTCGAGACGTTTGGCGCTGTTTGAGAAGCTAGCTTGGCTGGGAACGGGGTTTTCGTTGGGGTCGATTGCAATTATTATGTGTGTGTAAGTATATCAATATCATCCTGGTTATCCTGACAGCATCTAACGAGATTCTATATTCAGGGGCAAGGCGTTCGGTATCTTTAATCTACGGGTCTTGCATATCAGCTCGCTGGTCATGTTCGAGGCTGGAAGTGCCCTTTGTGGAGGTGCACCCAATATGAATGCATTGATCTGTGGTCGTATCTGGGCTGGTATGGGTGGTGCCGGCATGTATCTTGGGTAAGTCCATGGGCGACTCGTCATGTATAAGATCGCTAATGAAAAATAAGAGGGCTGAATACAATGGCAATTTTCACAACCAAAGCCGAAAAAGCAGTTTACATCGGTTTGATTGCGCTCTTCTGGGGTGTAGGCTGCATTCTTGGACCGATCATTGGAGGCGCTTTTGCTGATAGCGGAGCAACATGGCGATGGGTACGTCTACACCTGTAATTCTTTAAGTGGATTTTGCTGACGATCCAGGCCTTCTATATCAACCTAGTTATCTTCGGCGCCCTAGCACCAGCCTACTACTTCACGCCCTCCTTCGACCCCCAACCCACCAAATCCATCGGCAAAAAACTCCGCGATGTCGACTGGGTCGGTACCGTGCTCAATGCCACTGTATACGTCACATTTGTGATGGCCCTAACCTTTGGAGGAGCAACTTGGCGCTGGGGCGCAGGAGGCACAATCGGCATGTTCGTCGCCTTTGGCGTGAGTCTGATCGCCTTCTCGATTCAACAGACATTCTCAATATTCACCACGGAAGAAAACCGGATTTTCCCTATCGACTTCCTGCGAAGACCCGTTTTGATTCTACTGTATGTTCTGACGGCATGCTCTGCGACGGGCTTGTTTTTGGCACTGTATTATATCCCCGTCTATTTCCAATTTGCGCATGGAGAGAACGGTATCACCTCCGCTGTGAGATTACTTCCCTTCGTCATCCTGTTCGTTTTCTTTGTCATGGTCAATTCATTTGTCATGTCCAAGACAGGGTGGTATATGCCCTGGTTTGTGTTCAGTGGAATCTTCATCACCATCGGCGCGGCGTTGATGTACGCTCTTGTCAACAGCAATACCAGTAACAGCGCCATATACGGATATAGCGTTATCCTCGCTCTTGGTGTTGGAAGTACATGTCAAGCTGCGTACTCAATTGCATCAGCCAAAGTCGATCCTCACCGTACTTCCGATGCTGTTGGTTTCATTAATTCGGCTCAAATCGGATCTATCACGATTTCCCTGTCTATCTCGGGTACAATTTTCCAGAATATCGCGTATCAGAATATTCAGGCTGCGACAGAAGGGCTGGGTTTCACGCCGGCGGATATTCACGCGGCCATTGCCGGTGCAAAGAGTGTTATCTTTGATGATACGACGGCTGAGGTGAGAGCGGTTGTTGTGGAGGGTATTGTAAATGCTATTGATGATGTTTACATCATGGCTATTGCCGCTGGGGCATTTGCTACTGTCGCGGCGTTTTTGCTTCCTAGGGAGAGGCTCTATATTGAGATGGCAGCTGGTGGTTAAGTGCTTACCATTGGGGTTATTGACAATGTTCTCGGTTTATGCTTCGAGGTTCTGGCTATAGACTGCATATTATGATCAATACATATTTATGGATTGATAGATTGATAAATGCATGGGCGTTAATGTGTTCTTTATCGTGGCATCTGTCTTTACTGATACTCTACGCGCAGACTGAAATTAAAAATGTAATGACAGATTGTCCTTGAATTCAGGTTGGGTTATGTTAATCGAAATACATCATCAAATACCTAACCATTAACTAGGCCACTTCACATGCTACTAGATCACGAGCCTTGACCAAACATATCGAATACCTAGGGAGTTGTTTCAAGTTTCACGGCTTTTGCTCAAGATTTTCTCGTGATTGAACGTTGACTCTTCACCTGATGTACCAATAATCTCATAAAAGTGATGCCATGTCTTCGAGGCGACCTTGTTCCGTCATAAATCCCAAGAAACTGCTGAACCATGCTTCGAGAGCATTGCGCCTACCTACGGACACGGTTATGAGCAGCGTGATAATATTCTACCAGTAGAAAAATCCCGTGTTCGTTACAAACTCCTCAATCTTGAGTATTCTGACATCGCTCAGGAAAATGAACATCCAAGAGGAGATACTCTGATGCACTCCAGGCCAGGTGCGCGCTTTTCGTCGCAGACATAGCTGTGCAATCGATCGAATATCTCTTCATGAGACCAGCTCAAATATTCGTCGAACTTGTGGCCATTGTCGCCCCGTATGTGTAAAACTTTCAGCGAGCGTGGTAGCACGTCAACAAACTGCATTCGACTTTCCTCGGCCTTCCACCCAAGTAGAAATGCGATAGGAATTTTAATGCGTGTTAATTGTGGGAAGGATGAGGGGGACAGCATTGTACTTTGTTCCATCGAGTCTTGATTGGATTCCAAATCAGCGAGCCGACCATCCAAGAATTCGGCACGGATTGATAAATGCTGTAGCGTACCCCAGACTGGTTCTAGGATTATATCCATTTTCTGGCAATCAACATACTATAGGCGAAGTTCACTGTCATCCTCATACTCCGATGGTCTATACTTAAGTATCTAAAGCTTGGGTGTAACCTCTAAGATGTTGCGCAGTGTTGATGGCGCCAATGTACTCCTCTTTAACCCTAGACTTGTCAGCCTGTTGCAGGGTTGCCCCACGAGGTCAATTAGCTCTTGCGGATCACCATCTTCGTCGATGTTGGTATTCATGATACCCTCGCGCTCGTCAACGGAACAGGTATGCTCTCAATACAAGGAAGGTTGAGCAACATCTGAAAGTAAGCTTTGTCAATTGATTTAGAATTGCCAAAGAAAAAGTGTGCTTGTGCCCCCATGTCAAGGTTGGCTTTCCCCAATCTCTGCGTATATTGTTCCAAGAGCACGTATATAGCAATCGAGTCGAACCAAATTCCACATGCCAAGTTAAGTTCCTCAAGATTTTTAAGTCTGCTAATTGTCCAAGCAATAACAATATCTGCCTTGTCCCTAGAGCATCAGCAAATTTCATCGGCGTCCAACTCGACGTTGAGAGTCTGTGGTTTAAAACCAGAAACACGGATATTACGGACACGGTTGGCTAAAGAATGGCCATTTATAATCGTGCTGTAAAAAAGTGCAATAGCAGCGTTGGGATTATTTTTGTCGTCGTAGTTGACTTCGAGGGAGACATCGCAGTAGAACACTGGAGTCACTAGCATTCAAGTGGCGACATGTATGAAATAGTGATAATAGAGCATGACCAGGTGCATGATTGATTATATACCTGATTATCTCTGTTGGAAGCGTATCGAGTGAAGGCATCTCCAGTCAACTGGATTATTGTGTTGATGAATGTAAGATTGTGAGTAGAAATGAACAAGTTGTCTTCGCTATTTTGTACCAGAGACAGAAAGTAGCCCAGATATAGCATGCCCCAGCTGATCAGATGCACTTTGTGGCCTTTATCACAAGCAAACAGATACTTAGTGGGATGACTAAAAGAACCTGATTCCTTTATAATGATTGAGGGATGTTGCCTGACTCACAAACAAACGTGCATTACTGACAAAGACAATGAAAAATACATCACAGAGACATATCGTACAAAAAGGGTATCCAAATGATATAAATTACTGCATCTCATGCACATCCCCATGATCCCCTCTTGGACTATGAGGATCATATTCCACAAACATTTCAGGCGTATTACTTATCGTCGGTAATTCACTCAACCGATCTTCAGGACTTTGAGGTACGTTGGAATATCCGTCCTGTCTGGAATTCAGCGGGTATGATAGAATATTCTTTCCGCTGGTAGTGTCATCTATATCTGGAATTTGCTGCTGCTGTTTTCGTTGTTGGCGTCGACGCCGCACAAAAGAGGCAATACCGGCAGCGATTAGGGCTACTGCAGCAAAAACACCGACAAAGACGCCGGCCACGGCTCCTCCGTGTAGAGAAGAAGAGTATAAAGTACCAGAAGAACCACTTATAGACGTATCCCCCGTTGATGAGCTTGTTGCTGAAGTTGTCGTTGCTGTTGTTGTTGTTGTTGTTGTTGTTGTTGTTGATGATGATGATGATGATGATGAGATCGTGGAGGTGGGGGAAGAAGACGATGGATATGTCGGAGAAGTGGTGAGTGTAGCTGGAATCTCGGCAATCGAATTCCACCCCTTCACTGCCACAGCAGCGACGTCGACCGCAACCGGAAATGATGTAGTTATGCCACTACCATTGTAGAGATACTGGAACGTCTGGCGAGCTGACAACGTTGAAGCGCAATTTGCTTGCACTCCGTGGTCATCAAGAGGGTTCGCAGTATATCCACTTATAGGAGGGCAAAGATATTAGTATACTGTAATAAAAGGTATCATTTTCTACCAAAAGAACCCTCAGCGAAGCATACCTAGGACAACATGTAACCTGAACACTGTTTCGGACAAAGGTCGTAAGCGCTGTATACCACATATCTGGGCACACAAGCGGCTGAATACTTGTCACAATCGCCAATTCTCCTTCTGATGCGGTAGAGTTCAGAGACTCATACCAATAGTATACTTGACGAGGCTGACAGAATACTGGCGGCCCTGTATTGTAGTCAATTGCAATATGTGGCCAAAATGCGAGGGGCTCCGTGTCGACTGCCGTATTGTTGTTAAGTACGAACGCGCGGTTCCAACATGAGGAGTCTGGAGCAGGCCAGGTGGTTGCGAGTGGTAGCCATGATGTGACGGTACCACCAGTTGTTTCTGGTGGAGGTGTTATTATTATTGTAGTAGTGGTTGTTACTGTGGTCGTCATCGTAACAGAAGTAAGGATGTATACAGGGAGAAAAAAGTGTCTTGACTGGAAAATCCTTTTTTCCTCGGGGACCCAAGCTGCGAGATCCTTATTACAGTCACATTGGTGTGACGCTAAGAGGGTCGTTCCCTGGTGGGGTGATATTAGCTGCTTCTAGTCTGCTGGGATGTTCGACATTGAATTTCCGCGAAGCTGGTGGTAGCTTCATCTTGCAGAACTGTCGTCGGTAGATACGGTACTGCCCAACGACCCCCATCTATATACTTCTTCAAAGTCATATCAGCCCCCAATTACTATTTTCTGGACATGACTGTCTGTCCGACCATTTAGCAAGACCGTTGGATTGGTAATGTTCGTTCATCATACATAGTGTGTTGTGCTCTGCTATGCTTCTCTGCTGTGCTTCTCTGCTGTGCCACATGTAGGTACCCCGAAATGGATTAGATATATTGATTGAGAATACGTTCTCATTGGCCCTGGGTATAAAAAGACAGGGATTAAGAGGGCACTACAGCACACTAATTAGCTACGCGTTGTAGGTACGTAATTAGTGTGCCGTAGTTTGCATACGGTGCCGTGAAATCGCAACGACGAAAGGAGCAAAGAGAAACAAATTGAGGGAGAGAAGAGTCTAGCCCGACCAGATAAATACAGGGAACATGTATTTAGTCCCATTCACTTGGTTATTTGAAGATAATATCCGTTCATATGCAATGGAGAGGAGAGTAATGTACTGTCCGTAGATCTACTTGAAAGGGTTTCTAGGGCTCAGCAAGTCACATGCCTGAAATGGTCTTTGTCAGAATAGAATAGAGTTAGTTAGGGTTACTAACCACACCTGATTCATCCTGGCTTATGAGGCCCGCAATAATGATCACTGGTCAAAGTCATAGAAGATACCGCGAACATAGATCCGGTCCATCAGACACGTAGTCAACATGGAGTCAAGCCTGCATCTCAATGGCTCACTAGCGCAGTGATAGCGATATATCCAATGTCCGCTGATCAGAGTTTAGATCGATCTCCGAGGGAGTGGTTCATTTGAAGCTTCATACGTAGTAAAAAAAAAACAAACACTAGATATACAAATCTGTTTATGCTTTAATATCTAATAATAACGCATTAGCATTGGCCGTCCCTGACAAACTCGACAATCTTTTTTTGGCAGATAGTGTGGCTGTTCAGTGTTAGGTCTCACCACGGCACGTCATTTTCAGAAAATAGTTCAAGGCTATCCCCACATTATTTGCAAGACAGCCATTCCGACTGAGACAGGCTCAGACAGCAGCCACGATGAGATATTTGCTGGATTGAGAAGCCGTCGAAAGTGGGCAATCAGGTCTTCGGAGTGGTAGTCTTGATAATATTCGGATTTCCTCGTAAAGGAGTACGTGGTTTGTGCACGTTTGATGTATATCGAGGGTATTCTCCGTACGGTATTTATTATGGTAGTTCCCGCTGGTTCCGCGGTACATCGGAAGTATCTGGTGAACTGATTCAGGGACAGCCCCAAGCACATTCGAGTATTCGCTCGTAGTTCGATTTAGGCTCGTTTGAACGAACTTAAACCGAAGCATACTCACAATTTGAACACCAACAGTGAAAACAGATTATTAATGCTTCGGTGTTAAATTTAGATCATGAGGCTATAGTTACAATACCGTATCCAATACAATGCTATACCGTAAAACTAACTTCATTAGGTCTAGCTCGACCGCCGCTCCCGCTGAATCCTTACTAGCGCAGTTACAGGATACAAAGTGGCATGGCATGGCATAACATCTTTTTTCTCTCCTGTCCTCATTGTCAATTCAGCTCTTATTGTTTTTTCGTGTGACTCTCAGAGACCTGGTCTTTCTCTGCAGCTTTTCGTCTAATCATCGCTCACCAAACGTCGCCCAAAACAAAACCACAGCAACCGTTCTCCATGGAAGAGTGACTCGGTTGGCTAATCCTCTCCATTCTTCCCTGCCCTCACATTTCCTCGTCGAGCTCAGCAGTCAACTAACCACCGCCGATCCATTCCCCTTGGCAAACTCGACGAGAACCACCCAAAACAATTCTCAGCTTGGTTCAACGTGTCGTATTCTGGTTTTCGATCCGTCTTCGTCCCCTTGATCGAGCTTTATCTCTGCTTCGCTCCTTGTCATACCTCTCCGAATCGTCGTCAGCTGTATTCACACCCCGCGAGTCAGGCTGCAGTCAGTGTCCGAGTCCGCCGTCAAAATGCTGTCCGCTCCTGCGAAATCCGCCCGGCGCATTTCGTCGCTCTTCAATATGAAGACAAACAGAGATTCGACATCGTCCTCGACCTCCTCAGGTTCTCCAAAGCAGGTGCCCAGTAACACGCATCTGTCCGTCGACCACAGGCGCGCTCGAAGTCATTCCCGGCCGGCTGTGCGACATGCGTCCTCGCCTCAGCCTCGTTCCACAGAGACACGTCCTACAACAAGCCACGGCTTTGATCCGGATCACCTGGACCTAGATTCTCCCCTTCCACCGCCTCCGTCGTTGCTTGCTATCAACCAGGATTTGGGTGACGACCAGGGACAACAATCACACAGTCGACAAGGTAGTAGAAGTACGAGTGCAACACGAGGGCCTGGGGCACGCTCGCGAACACCGGACGCCCACAGCCATCAACGAAGAAGGAGCTGGATGCCGGGTAAATTCAACTCGGTCGTGATTGATGCCCCCGCTGCGGGCGACAAGCATGACCTTCATGCATTCGATGCGTGGGTCGCGGGGTTGGATCAGAAGATCCCATACGATCTTGCGCGACTCATGCAAGGAGAGCAGGTAAGCTGTTCGTCGGCTTTCGACAGTTATCAGCGACTAATTGGGCCAATTTGCTAGATACCTGAGTTGTGGAATGAACAAGGCGATACTTTTGTATACCTCTTCCCGCAAGGCACCCAGCGATCACCGTCATTCAAGATTGACTCGACTCTATTTACAGACTCTCCCTCTTTGAATTTCCTGGCCCGTGGTACCGATCCGAAGGTTGAATCGTTACAGCAATCAGCCAGAACTCTAACCATCACTGATCCAGACGGTAGTACTGCTCAGGAAGACCAATGGGTAAATGATGGCGCCAGCAGCGGCAGCAATCGGATGGCACTGGTAGAGGAGCCTGCGGAGGAGGTCCAAGAGCTCCATCTCTATTTACCTGTTCCTCTTCATGGTGATGTCTCAAGTGCGGATATCCCACTGTCGGTAGAGGATAGTGATACCTTGATACTCTTTCGCAATCTGTTTGCCTTTCTGCTAGGTCAGGCTCTGATTGCTACACCGCGATACCCGAGTTTATTCGCCGTATTGATAGAAGTATCCAATCTGTTACGCCGGTTTGAGTTTTCAAACTTTGACGGATCGAATTTTGGAGAAATCGCGACATCGAGTTTCGCCAACTACTGTGACGAGCTGCATCTAGCCGACGTTCGAAAGAGTCGCGAGAAGACCATCGAGGCGATCATCCTCGGCGAAAGCTTGCGCTATTACCCGTTATACGTGGAAGGATTTGTCCATGGCGTAGGTAAAATGGAAGAACTTCGAAGTCTGCAAAGTCCAAAGTTCAACTTAATCAACCCGGTGACGCAAAAAAGATTGGAACGTGGAGCGCTCGACTTGGAGAATCGCCTTAAGGTGCTTCGTGTGAAATTGGATGACTTCGACTTCCCAGCCTTGTTTTCTGGTATCGCCAATTCCAATTCAGCTGCAGAAAGCAAAGTTATCCGCTTCAAGCAGTGGAAACTAGCTCATTTTGCGATGCGAAAGCACGTTTTGAGCTACTACCGACAAAAGTACGGGTCGTGGCCACCGAAGGCCAACTCTAAAAAGAATGAGTTTGAGGAGAGCGGACTGAATCGGTTACTATTGAAGGAGGTCTACGAAGATTTTACCGATTTATATGATATGCTAGTAGATCGCACGTCTCTAACGACACGTACTACAGATATGGCAACCGAGGATTTGGATGTACCGGACCCGGTAGAGGCAGTGACGCGAGCTATGCGACGAATGCTGAGCGAGTATGATCGAAGCACCCCGCCTGTACAACCTCCTATTCCGTTTGATATTCCTCAACTTCCCAGTCTACAGGCTATCCGACGGAAACCAGTGGACCCTAAGAATACAAAGGAGCGGCAAAAGAAGCTTCATGATTCGGAAATCAATGAAGTCTTGATGCGGTCGTATACTAGAGAGGCTCTTAAACCCACCCCATTTGTGGAAAGCTTTATGCAATTCGAACGACGAAGTGCACACGGCAAGAGCCTGGATGACCTCATGGATAATCGAATTGGCCAATGGCTCTTTATATATGCAGTGCTCCAATCTCTCCCATTATTAGTCATTGATGTGCTGGACTTGCGATTCACGGAAGGAGTCGAATATTTCCTCTGTGTTGCTCCCCGCGGAGGAGCACCCTGGGTTCAGAACGACGGCAAGAGTGGACGCAGCTGGTTTGGCGTCGCCGGTGGCCAGGGAGTAGTCAGTCTCCCGTCAGATGTGGTCAACAATGCCACTGATGCGGTCTACCGCCGCAGTCACTGCTGGCAAGTTGCCAGTCAATGGGCAGAAAGGAACCTTAACTCGCCCATCACAACTGAAGATGCCTCTTCACTATTTTCCGCGCCCCCAGCACCTCAATCTTCGATTGGATCACTTTCCGACATGCAATCCATGCTCAGTCCAAGTGGTAACATGTCACCGCACACGGTCCCTCGAACGAACTCACCCGGTTTCGTGTCTCATAGCCACCGTAGCTCGATATACAATACATTAGAAGCATTACCGTTACCCGCGGGTGTAATGCCAGTGGAACAACCTGCCAAACCATTCACACGAATGAATCCTACTATGAGTTTCGACGATATCCTCAAGGACATCCCCGGCTCGAAGAGCGGCAAGAAGAAGTAATCCATCCAACACGACAGAGTATATATACTTTCTTTCTGTTTCTAACCGCCTGTTTCTTACTCTTTTTAATCTTACGTGCTTTGATAATCCTTTCGAAGACCAAAAAAAAAGGTTCCTATTAGTGGAACTAGATGGCTTAATGAGTTGCATGCATGCATGGGTTTTTATTCTCATCATACGGATATATTTATCCCTGAAAACTAATATTAGACATAGCGGTTGTCTGTTCTTCTTGAGCGGTGCTTTATTGGCAGGGTTTTATCTTGAATAAAATGGACAAGTTCCGTGCTGCTGAAGTTATATTTTTATTTACCTTATTTATTCGATCTATCTATCTAATATGCATACAATGGGTGGAGCGATTGATTCAATGTTTCTAGTTTTCATAAACTCTTCCCGGGATATTTTCAACAGACATTGATTCATTGATCAACCTTGATATTGTACTAGACATGGAATGAGTAGATCTCTATAGACGATATCTGAATCCCACCGTCTTCCAATCCGTAACATCATCATAATCCTCCGCCTGCAACGTAATATCCATAACCATGGCATCCACATCCTTCCCTGGCACCTTCACAGGTTCATCACCTGTCTCAGCACCAGAAACAACACCCTCCTCCCTATCTCTCTTCTTATTAAGCCAACTCAAATACACCCTCAATGCCGCCGCCAATGCCGCCGCAAGCACATAACAAATCAAAATCGCCTTAAACGCCGTGTTATAAACAGGCGCCTCTTTGGTTCTGAAAAACTGCGGTCCGGCAATGTTACCCGCGCAATAAGCGATAAACATCATCGCTGTCATGGTTTGTTTCTTTGTGACGCCCTTGTAGTTTGCTTGCACGAGGGACATGACGAGAGGTAAAATGGCGGGCCCGGTTTCGATAAGGAAGAATCCGAATAATGGTGCCCCCTTGTGAGGGATGTGTCTGCGCGAGTATATGATTGCGCTACCTGTAACGGCCAGAGCGACAACGCAGATTATCAGGATATTGTTCAGACGCGAATATCGTCCTGCTAACCAGCCCGTCACCGAGATTGATAGTGCGCTGACTACACTAGCGGGTATATTGATGAGTGTTGATTCCAATGAGGTAAAACCAAAGGACTTGATAACCAGATTCGCGAAATTCTGTGTTCCTCCGTTGGGAATCTGAGTTAAGATCGTGATGCAGAAGATAATCCACGACTTGGGATCCATCAGACATTCAACAGTCTGATCCCAGCGCCAGGAGACTTGTTCCGTGCGTCCGGTACCCTTGATAATAGCCCGTTTTGTCATGATCTCTTTCTCGTCTTCGTTCAAGAACCGGGCGTTGGAGATGCTATCCGGCAAGAAAGCGAGGAGCACGAATCCCCATAGAAAAGTCAATACGCCGAGAATAATGAACATCCACATCCATGGATGGAGCGGGTGATGGATATGACCGACTCCATAGGCCAAAAGACTAGCAACAAGGCCTCCGATGGAATTTCCGGCGAACCATATCCCTGTCCGCACGGGAATCTCGTCACGGGTATACCATGTGGTGGTAATGAACATGAAGGCCGGGGTTATAGTAGCCTCAGCGACACCGAGAAGGAAACGCACGGCCAACAAGCCGCCGTAATTTACGCATGCTGCTGTTACGGCGACTACGATTCCCCAAAGGAAAGTGGTGAAGGCGAGGTATTTGGCGACGGGGAGACGGGCAATGAGAACGTTGGTGGGGTATTCCCAGAAGAAGTAACCAAAGTAGAAGATACTGGATACCCAGCTGTATTGTTGGCCGACGAGGTGCTGTTTCTATTAGTATAAAGTACTTCATCGCTTGAGAAGGGGAGACTGACAGTATCATCAATTAATCCGAATACAGACGCACTAGACAAAATCGTCTTGTCCATGAAATTCAACATGTATGTAAAGAACAAGATCGGAATCAAACGCCAGTCAACCTTTCGAACGATGCGACGGATTCTGGCTTCATCGTTTGCAGTTGTGCCTCCTTCGAGACAGGGCTCGGTCTGTGGTAGCGGCATGTCTGAGACCGGTGAGAGAAGAGGAGTGATTTCTTCCGGAGGAGTTGAGGGGACATGTCTCATGATATAGTTACTTAACTAACCACTATATCAGCAGCATATATGTACAGGAAAAGATAAGAAATTTCGTTCTAGATGGTAGAACCAGTCTATCGGATCGCGCCGAATTGTCAAGGAGCTAAGTAAGCGATACTTGACTTTCCTGGTTAGGTTTATCGTATCAAGAGGTGGTCGGAGAGATCCGATTCTTAGCTGCCGGATCTGGTTAATGGGCGCAGTAATGGAGAAGGTTATCTGAATAGGTAGTCAATTAGTGGTGGGATGTTTATCTGTAGTTCTTCAGTTCGCGGTGAGAGGTGACTACTCCGAGTATCCGAGCGAGATATCTCAAATGTAGGCACTGTGGAGAGAGGAGAGAAGACCGAATCTCGTCGGAGTCTCCGATCTAGAAACGAAGAAAAGAAAAAAGATCTTGAGAATAAGTACACCTCAAAGAACAACTGAAAAATCTCCAAACACCTAGTTTGCATTCAATTCAGAATGAACGGCCTCGAAATCTCCCCGTTTATTACTGAGCTCCCCAAAGTCGAGCTTCACATCCACATCGAAGGAACCCTAACCCCTGCCCTACGCTGGAAACTAGCCCACCGCAACAACATCCCATTACCCTATGCCACATACGAAGAACTCCTCGACTCCTACAAAGTAACATACAACCACCGCCGAGAAGTCAACGGCGACAATGGAGCACCGACGTTCCTCGAAGCTTACTTTGCGGGTTGTCAAGTCCTATGCACAGAAGAGGATTTTTACGAATTGGCAATGGACTACTTCCGAAAGGCGCGGGAGATGAATGTGCGGTACGTCGAGCCGTTTTTTGATACTCAGGCTCATACGAAGCGGGGTATACCTGCTTCGGTGGTGATGAATGGATTTCTGAGGGCGAAACATGATGGTGCGAAGTTCTACAATGTCCGAAGTAATTGGATATTCTGTTTCTTGCGTGATGAGTCGTTAGAAAGTGGTCTTGAAGCATACCGGACAGCAAGGCCGTGGGCAAAGACCAAGGACGGTAAAGGGAAAGGCCTGTTTCATGCCGTTGGGCTGGCGAGTAATGAATACGACCGTCCACCATTACTTTTTGAAGAGGGGTTTCGATTGGCGAAAGAGGATGGGCTGCATGTCACTATGCACTGTGACGTGGATCAGAAAGATGCCGTGGACCATGTGCATGAGGCCATCTTCCAAGTATGTGGGGGCAAAGGAAGTGAACGTATAGATCATGGCTTGAATGCCGTTGACCGGGAAGATTTAATCGTGGGACTGAAAGAGCGCAATATAGGCCTAACTCTGTGTCCGCATGCATACCACCGCCGCCAAGCGACCCATATATTATTTCCTAAGATCCGGAAGTTGTGGGACGAAGGTGTCAAGATTTGTATCAACAGCGATGATCCGACGTATATGCATAACGTGTGGATTGACGGGAATATGATGAAGGTGTACGAGTATTGTCAGTTTTCGAAGGCTGATATGGCCCAACTGGTTCGGAATGCGGTGGAGGTAAGCTGGGCGGAGGAGGAAGTGAAGGAAGAAATTTTGGAGGAGCTGGAAGGGTTTGTCGGTCGCTAACTGGGGGCGTCGGAGCGACCGATTTGATCTCGAGAACGAAGTCGAGGAAGAGTGAAAGAAACAGACAGATCCCGTGACTTGAAATGCCAAGAAATTCGGGAAGGACCAAAGTTCGCGGCTGAAAGTACTGCTGGGAACCAATCAGAAAGCTCACTTGTGTGTCACTGACCTCTTTCCCGCTTGGCTCCGCTCCACACCTGCCGTCCCGTACCATACATGTAATATAATACACATTCCGCTGTGTACACAGTGCTGATTTTATACTTTAGTACGTATTTGTATTGTATCATTATCTTATCCAGTTTGGGATAAGTCGGGGAAGCAGAAATGGTTTCGATCTTCGCGATTTGCTCTTTGTTTCTTTTGATATCTACTTGCGTCGATTGCTTTGATAATCTATTCAATACCATGCGATATCTTGTTCTGCGAATGTTCCGCGAAAGCGATACTTCAGATTAAATCCTGCTCAAATAGACCATTGTTCTTGAAATGGCATATTGACGACATCACGCTGGAGGCGTATCAAATTGCCCGAGCAGACAATTCTACAGCGTAACCATGGACCGCACCATGTCGCGATCACGCTCACGGTCCAGCGCCGGCAGCGAACACGGAGACCGCCTCGAACCGCAATTACTCCGTGCCGCAACGAACAACGACATCGAAGCCCTTGAACAAATCGTGCGACTAGCCCGTCAAAAGGGTCAACTGAATCCCACATTTCTAGGACTCGGGTTGGTGAAATCGTGCGAACGGGGATGTATAGAAGCGACACAATACCTGTTGAAGGAAGGAGCCAGTGTTGAAGTACCCGGCAATCGAGCTCCCCCGATTTTCCGCGCTGTTGAGCGCAATTACGTGCAGATTGTCAAGCTTTTGCTAGATGCCGGTGCCTCGCCGGAATTCAGGGATAAAGAAGGTCGGACGGCGTTGATGACTGCGGCATGGAAGAATCAATGGCATGTTTTACAACTTTTGATTTCGAGAGGGGCCGATGTGAATGCGCGGGATAATAAGAAGCGGAATATCTTGCATAACCTTGCCGCGGATAAACAATGTGATTGGGGCGATGATGTTGTCAATTTACTGCTGCGGACTTCATGCGAATTAGATGCTCGAGACGAGCTTGGTAGGACGCCGTTACATTGGGCTTGTACGACTGGCAAAACCCATTTCGCTAGGTTGCTTCTTTCCCGACCACAGGGTTGCCCGTCGGACTATGTTAATGTGACCGAGCTTCGGAATAAAGCCGCACTACATCTCGCGACTGCCCATGACCGCGAAGATGTGGTGGAATTGCTCTTGGAGTATGGAGCGGACGTCAATGCGCGAAGTGACGGAGGCTGGACACCATTCCATAACGCTTGCGATAAAGGATGCGAGAAGATCGTGCGCATATTGTTGCAAGCCGGCGCAGACTTCAACAGCCAATTACTCAATGGAATGACATCTCTACACTTGGCTGCACAAGCTGGACATACGGATGTCGTCAAATGTCTACTGGAACAACCCACCATCCGAAGACGAACTCGCGATACCTTCGGTAGTACACCGTTTCTAAGAGCTGCTCAGTTCAAGCGGAAAGATATTGTGCAGCTATTGGCTCCTTTCAACCATGTCGAAGCTCTCTCCCATGATGCAGTGGGCGCTTGCAAAGGGTTCGAAGCGACGATTGTCGATTTTGGAAATTTCCATAATGAGAATCGAGTTAAGAGAGTATCTGTATATGAATTGCTTTATGGCCGAGATGCAAAGAACTCTCGTAAACAGGCAGTTACGACGTTGCCGGCGAATGTAAAAGCGAGCGAGTTTCGGTGGATACATCTGCCTGCGAATAACATGGCTTGGGTGGAGGCATTGATGACCAAATCATTTATAGAAGAAGGTGCAAGCGATGTCGAGGGATTCAAAGGTCTGGAAAAATCATTTGGTCACCAACATCGCGGTCAACGGCCACATTCACATTTTATGAGACCTTTATGTCAAAGCACTCCTCGCTCGCTGCGAGGTAAGGACGAGCCCGAAAAGGAAGAGGAGAGTCAATCGATTCCAGAGAAAAGTGCTTTACCACAGGTAGTCATTAATGGGCCTGTGGTTACAAAGACTCCCGAGTGGAGCCCGGCACCTTTGAAAAAACGTGAGACTGGACTAAGCAAGGACTCATACTCTCAAGATGACGATAGTTCAGGCCGAAAACTGAAGGCCAAACGCAACAACAAGAGTGGAAAGGACATACCCAAGAACGACAAGAATAAGTCTGCTGGCCATGGTTCCGATAAACACACGCGTTCAGTGACACCACACCTAACAAGAGATATGAGTCTCGCCGCCAAATGCAACATATGCGTGTATATGCCATATTTACACTTTGAATCGGCCCAGAGCCAGCAGAAGATGCAACAGACCATCAAACAAGCGGAAACTCTGGTGCCTTCTCCGGTACCGGGATTGACGAGAGCCTCAACAAGAGACGAAATGCTGATTCGAGCACATATTAATTCATCCAGCACGTCTCTCCATGTTCGTCGAACATTAGACCAATTCTTTTATCCGAATATTGACACCGAGACTCGAGATGGCGACCAGGTCGTTTATCGCTATCAGACGAGATGGTCTGAACACAAAGCCAAAGATCCCAAAATCTTCATGGTTGATCAGCTGTGGATGTGGGTGCTCGGCAAGAACTTGATTGTGACTAGCTTTCCTCAACGATGGGAGCAGCCCAAAAACGATCCTTTAAATGTTCTTGACGGTATCATTGAGGACATAAACTCCAAAACTCGAGAGCCAGTGCGCTCAGTCTATGAGCTAGCTACTATTATTACGGGTCGATGTTCTGGCATGTTCGATAGACATCGCATGGGCGACGAAGACTACCAATTCTTGGATATGTTCGAATCGTGCATTGGCACAGCGACTGATCGTGAAACTACGCTTTTCCGCGAATTCAACGTTGCATCCGCTCAGGCTTCAGAGTGGCTCAAACATCATCGAAGGATAAAACGGTCCATCGTAGAGAATATGTCCAGCAAGGAAAATGACGAAGATCAAAAGGAAAGCGACAGTGACGAAGAAAGTCAACCCCTCTTTGTCGACAAACTTCTCGATATCGGACAAGAAACAGACCTCCTGGCTGAAGCTAAAGACATCCGCGATGAACTGAACATGATCCGCACTGTCCTCGAATACCAAAAACAAGTCCTCCAAGACCTGCAAGACGCCATCTGCGAGATCTATTACGACGAAAACCGATCCCAGAACGATATCAAGAAGAAATTCCGCGAGCAACAGCGTAATATAGACATGCACGTCAAGGACGTCGATCGAATGGACAAACAAACGGAAAGAATCTACATGTCCATCACTGACTTACTAGACCTCAAACAAAAACATGCCAACGCCTTTGAAGCACGATTTGCGCGCGATCAAGCTGCGGGGACCGCCCAACAGGGGAAAACAATCATGATGTTCACTATCGTCACTATCGTGTTCTTGCCCTTATCATTCATTGCGTCCTTCTTCGCAATCAATGTCGCTGAATTTCCACATGATGCACAAAGCGGGAATACGAATATGCCGCTTTCTTATGTGTCGAGGTATATCTTTGGAATTGGATTTTCGATTTCGATTCCCTTGATTCTTTTGGCCCTGTCGGTTGACGATATTCGTCTTGGAAGTCGTGAAGCATGGCGTCGAGTTCGTGAATGGCGTTTGCGTCGTACGAAAACCTCCAAGAACAGCCACCACAGTCATGATCATAACCGAGATCTTTCCCAAGTAACCATGATGAGCACAAAACAGCAGAGAATAATGAACCAAGAACTCGAAATACACCGCATTCTTTGCCGCTCCAAGGCATCTTCGAGGAGGCCAAGCGATGAAGATCTAAATGAATATTTCGGTACTGGTTTGTTGCCCGTGGCAACCAGGGGAACTGCACATAGCAGCGCGTTGCCGAGAAGTTCGATGCATACGTATAGATCTATGGGGAATAGTAGGAGCATTAATAGGGAGAAAGGGTTCAGAATTGGGAATTAATCTTGAATTATTCAAAAATTCATGTATATATGATGAGTTATATGAAATAATGAATGTACGCTACGATCTTCGATACTCGGTCAGTTCTAAGTACTTTCACTCAGCTTGATTACCTAGGTAGGTAGCCAGGGAATTAGTTACGGGCAGCTTACGGTTCTTCACGACCCACGGAGCTCGGGGATAAGTAATTGACACCAGAGGAAAATATCAGTACTTTGTCTATCCGGTAGTATAGCGAGGTAGGTAGGGTAGTAGGACTTTTGCTGTATCAGGTTGAACATGTACTCCGTACTCGTTCTTTTTACCGTGATAAACTGTTGGGATTCTCCCTTAGATAGTCAGCACCGCCTACCTCTTGTAGTTAGCGCGCCAGTAGCTAGATATCCTCATCCTAGGGTCCTACGTTCCCTAGGATGCACACACACAACATAGTCAGTTTTCCTGCTTCGAGCGCAAGATAAACCATCCTGAGAAGCCATGTTCAATTCCTTGGTCTATTTTGCTTCTGCGAAGTTGCGCTTCGAAATCTGGAGTTGATGCATCTGTAGCACAACCGACAGCATTGAAGTGAGCGAATTAACTTCATTCATTCATGATTGGACTCTATCCTTGTTCAACTGCCATTTAAGACTTCCCAAGAAAAATTTATGTTTCGAGATCCTCATGATGTGTTCCTGTCGGTATAGCAATCTTGCCTATCTCGGCGCGGGAATGGGATATAGTTTATCCGTGCGCTATAGCGTACGGAGGATAACTACATCTCACCACCCGCATCCCCCTAGTTCTTAGGATTAGTCGCAATATTAGGAATTCAGTATTACTGGCTCAGTCAGCTTGTTGGATTAGCTGTCCTCATTAGATCTTGCGATCTAATGAAGGTAAATCAACAGTTCCACTTCAATCATAAACTTCACACTTTCTAGGAGAAGGTCGTATCCTAGCTCTTGTAGTTCGTTGGATATAGAGGAACGAACCATGATTTTCACAGATTCCTCAACAAGAGTTGAGAATTGCATTATCTTCCTGGAAAGCGTAACAAGTTCAAAAGAGGCGCGCTGTTCCCTTACTATGTCATGTGATATTTTAGCAGCCGAAGCTGCGAATGAGAATATGGAAGCTACAAAGGCTACATTTGATAATGGATCCAACCACATCGAAAACTCAAAGAATGGCAATCTGGAGCAAAGCTTCGATTTCTTCTTTTTTGCGCCCAAATCTGATTCATGTAGTGGCTCCTGGTTAATTTCGAGTTGTTCCGAGTGCAATCCGGAGGATTCTCTTGGAGGCCCGATAAGTAAAGGTCTCTGCGAACTGTTTCTTATCTGATTGACATCATCTCTCTCCTCTTCGGAAAGTTCTTCCAATCGCAAGAAACGCAGGTACTCGTTGATTTCGCTTGCTAAAGTGTTCTGGTGCCCGTGACCTCTCCCGTCATTGACTAATCCGACCTGTTGTTGTTCCAACGTAGACTATTCATGAAATAGTCAGTGGGCGGTAGGTTACCACGATCTGGACCGTGTTCAAGTTGTCGATATGACACACTTGTGCTGAAGTCACTGGGCAGAGTGAGAACTCTTCCACGATCAGCCACTGGCAATCCTGGCCAGGGGAGAAGGCGCTTGTACACAAGATCAGCGATATCATCGGCTTGTTCAAGCAGATTAAGGCCGCCGACATCACAATATCGCAGTCAATCGTCGCCAGGCTCGACCACGGGCAACAGCTTCTACCAGGACCAGTGGCCAGCAATGCATTAAGCAGAACAATCTATCATCCTAGCCAAAACCGAGATTATCTTACCTGGGATTACAGTCAGGTGAATGAGATTAACGTGCGCAGAAAGGTTCTGTCTGAATTTGTTGACACCATCAGCGGCACTAATGGCCCTCTGGACTTTCCTTGGAACGCTTTTTGCACGTCCACGCTGAGATGATTTCCCCATTGCTTTCTCATACTTGTTGATGGTCCTCTTGAAATCATGGACAATCTCGCCGGGAGAGAAACCAAAACTCATGCTGTTCTTCCTGCACAACAGGGCCCTCATCTAGACTCAATGTCGTGGTTGTACTCGGATTCTTTTGCTGATAGGTAGCCTTCTTGTTCCGACAGAGGCGAAAGCCCTCAAACAACCTTGTCTGTTTTAGGTGTGTTGGTTTAGCTACGTCCTGATAACTCGAAGCACAGGATTACGCAGTAAGGCTATTCCAAAGAGCCCATGAGCCTGATAATATTGATGTTATTCGAATATTATGACTGCTCCCCAAAAAGGAAGAAGAAGGATAATTACATGCAGGTAAAGGGGAAATCCCTAGGGAACCGGAATAGCTAATATTCCGGTGTTGATACTCAACACCTGGGGATTCCCGTACGCACAAGGTGAATGTGGACAAACGTTCGTAATGAATTTAGCTGAAAATCTGAATAAAATAAACTAGTTCCGTATAATGCGAGAATGACATGGCGGATGGGAGGAGAGATAAATATGATGTTGAGATTCAGCCTCAGCCTTACATATTCCGTACCCAGGTGCTCTGCGGCTCTATACTTTATTACTGCCCAGTCGTCGCTACTCTTTTACCTTAGTCTCTGGTGTTGTAAACTTCACTTAGTCTATCTGACGCCCTTACAGATATGTACAAGAAGCAACGACAATGAAGCAATGAAAGCCCTAACCTAAAGGCTAGGGCGCCAAAACTTGTAGGGTGGCAGCAAGAGCAAATCGTAATAAGAATCTATCATCTATTCGAACTAAGCTAAAGTCTTATAAGAGGCAGAACAAAGCTATCTTAAATCATCATAATAACGGTCGAGAGATAGTCCTAGAGGTAGGCAGCAAAACCTCAAAATCCACAATAGGGGCAAGATCGATCTTTAAATCGGATGTGTGCCAATCCCATTAGAGTGCAGCATTAAGTTCGCCGTGTATGACGTATACTCGTGACAATATAAAGTGCTTAAGCGTCCCATAAATAGTGTCCTCCCTGTGGACCGCCTCACCTTCATACTGCCGCCCAAACTCCTCAACCAGGAGCTCGACCCGGCGTAGCTCGCTGATAAGGAGATTGAGAATAATTCGGCGTTCATCCTCTGCGCAAATCTTATACACACCTATGGTTATCGGGGCGCCAAGTACCAGACTCTGGCCCATGGAAGGGAAACTGAGCAGTGGGCTGGATGTCGTGGACCTGGACTGCCCGTTCGAGACGCTCTCATGATTGGTATCTTTACTGTTTCTACTGGCCCTGGTGCTGTCGGAATCCATTTGTGAAGTGTTTGAGACAGATGAGCGTGCGATGGCACCGTATAAGTCGAGGATTTTGAGGATGATGAGCGCTATGGACAGGGCCGAACTGCTGCTCTGGGAGCACGAGCACTGCAGCAATGTATACAGTGTGGTCATTGCTCGGCGACAGGTGTTGAGTACGCGATCAATAGTGCTGGGCTGCACGAGGCTGGGAGAGGTGGTGCAAAAACTAAATGGAAGTGAGAGGCTATGCAGCGTAGATGACACGAGCTGCACACACGTTGTGTTCATGTGGATTTGGTCAGATTCTATTCCAGCGGTTTTAACTGAGGACGGAGGTATGGAAAGACATGGGGACGCCTTATCCATACGATTGGCAGAGGTGTGGCGACTTGCGTCGACATGCAAGATCGAATCCAAATTCCACATCTCCAAACCGCCACTGAGGGAGGACAATATGTCTTTGTTGAAGCTGTGGGCCTGCACAGACTCATTGAGACTCTCGTTGAAGTCGGAGAGGTTGCTGATGCTTAGGTTCTCATCCAGGGGAATATTAGACTCTGTTGCGAAGATATGGTCTGAGAGGAAGTGCGACGAGAGCGGCTCAACGTCGGACATGTCGATGTCGTAGTTCAGTAGGCTGTCCAGCGCGTTGTCCCTACTACCGTGGAAGAGGGTGGGCGCTTCAGTGGAAGGAGTCAAATCAGTGGATGTTGAGGTTAATGACGGAGGAGGTGGCGTGGTAGGCGAGCTCTCAGTCTGCACGGCAACTGAAGTGCTCTTAGCTGACACGTTATTTTTCACAGCTTCCCCCTCGCTATTTGTTGCCGACTTGGACGGCTTCCCCGTCCTCCGCGACACACTGTACACACAGGGCACGCCGGCATGGAAGCAGCGCTGGCAAGATGGCCGCTCGTGATCGCAGCGCACCTTGGATTTAGAGCAGCTGTCGCATGATAACCGTAACTTTGGCCCGTAGACCTTCTTCTGCTTGGTGTCAGACTGACCCTGGCGCTGCCACATCTGAATCTTCATCTCCATCTGGTCTGACGATACTAATTGATCTAGCCGGGTATAGTCTCTAGTATATAACTGGTTTCTCTCTACATCCATGGATTTTTCATACAACGCGTGAATGTACGTAGATGTGCCGATAAAGAACACGAGGAGATCCCTGCTCCGCCACGCTACGGGCGAAGAAGAAAACGAATGGGGTGAGATCCATCTTCTCGTAAAACGCTCGATGGAATTAGCTGCAGCCTGGAGACTCAGCTATCTACAGGGGTTCCATGCAAGTGGCGGGTGCATATACAACTTCAATGTGCATGGAGCTGATACCGATGTAGTATGTAGTTGTAAGGGTCTGGCCAATAGTGTGGCAGATCCCATATTCCTTCTCAATATCTCGGCATTTCCTGTTGTCCTATAATTTATATGTGTGAGAGCAACTTCTGGCTATTATTAACCAGATGGTTCGGTCTTTTAAATTAGTGATTAGCTATAGCGGGAACTAGGTACTGGATGACAGTAGTTACTAGCTAGTTTTAGTATTAGTACTATCAGGTTGCTGACTCAATTCTCGTGATAGAAAGTAAGCTTACTATAGTGTTACGTGTTGTAAGGTTGGGCTCGTATAGTCTGACTGATTAGAATTGAAACCATATCGGACTAATACGCAGCTGTACAACTGTTTCAACGTTGATAAAAACAAAAAAACACACCAACATCTACATTACGATGTTCGTACGTCTTTCATCTTTCCATTACATACGGTACACGTAGTAGTGTAATTTACCCTAAAGCTAGTACGTACTGCACGGTCATACTCTTCAGTGGCACGAGTCATGACAGACAGATAATGGTAATGGGGGATAATCCCGAGATCCCACTATGAATGCTTAGTATCATGCAACTTTAGGGTATACGTAAGTACAGAGAGCGTATAGTCACAAAAGAAGTAAAAGAATATGCCAATCTGAAAAGATATAGCCTAATACTAACTATAAAGCCCATATTATGTAGGCTCGCGAACTGGGAACTGGCCCCAGAGCTCACGTGAATGAATCCACCAACTACTCCGTAGCCCACCAAGTAGTTGGAGAATAGGCTCGCTAACAGGCTCAATAACTATTAGGCTCATTTACGAGCTCGCTCAACAGTCTCACTAACTGTCCCACCAACGGGCTTATCAACAGACTCACTAATGGGGTAATAGGTCTAACCAGTTATCCCGGCAAGCTCCAGCAAGCGTAATCCGTACATTGCATATGCAGTCTATTCCATGTCACTATAAGTAATAGTATATTGCATCTTAATTAACTGATTATATTCTGCACGGTTATTTTGCTTATCGGTTCATATAAGAAATCTATTCATGCTAACTAGAGTTGGGTAAACAAGTTACAGTATTGGCCCCAGAACTAAGACGATGGAAAGTAAAGATAACAAAGAAAAACAGAAGACATCAAATAAACTATTCTTCTCCCTCATGCGGTTACCATGGCATTCAGCTCGGGCATTATCCCGTTTGGCTTAACCGGCACATTCAAATCCTGTAGCTCCGCTAGCTGCTTTATGTTCACTCTAACCATGAAGCCCACCTCATTGAGGAAGTATCGCGAGGTCGTGCGGATATGCCACCCGATATACGCTGCAAGATAGTCGCTGGCGTGGGCAAGCAGATCCGGATATGGTTCTAGAATACGGCGTACTTCGACTATTCTGCTTTCTACAGCGTCAACTGTCTCTTGTAGGCATTCCAGGGCACTCGATCCCGTAGTGTTGGCCACATTGCAAATGTAGTTTATGCGCTCAGTGCCGCGAATAGTTTCCTTGTAAAAGGACAAGATATCGTTAGTGAAGTCAATGATGTCGCAAAGCGGCGATAGCGCTGGAAGATACAGCTTGCGGTATTCGTGCTCCGGAAATGTATCATTGGGGAAGATGGCGTGGGCATATGTCTCTGCAAAGCCTGTCTTTACACGCAAGTAGCGTGGGAAGCGAGTGGCATCCAGCGGCACAGCATCGCTGAAATCGTTCTCTACGTTAGTGCCTTCCACGAACTCCAACGTGGTCTTGATGACCATAGACGATCCATATGGTCCCAAGTACTGGTCAGTATTTTGCAAGAAACTGAGTGGATGTTAGTCAATGGTATAAATTTAGAACATAAATGCCTTATTGAAACTTACCGTGCCAACGAGTCAAGAAATGGTGCCTTCTGTGCCTGTCCGCGCACCAATCGTAGAGAAAACTCGGTCCCCGCATCCCCAAAGGTCATGTACTCCTCATCGTAGATAATCACCAGGAGCGTAATAATCACGCAGTTGAAACGGACAGCAAATGATGTTCGAGGGTACCATGACGCAATGCCAACCGCTTGCTTAGCATACTTTACGGCCCGCGCCTTCAAGCTCTCCGACCATGGCTGCTCTTCAATGTATTTGGCCAGCGCAGAATCAATCTTGGGGTCGTAGTAAGGCTTTGGCAGGTGAAAGTCGATCTTGTCAAAAAACCGGGAGAGGATGGTGCCGTATTCCGAGGCGGAAACCATGAATCGATCGTCGTTAGGTGCAGTACTGCCCATGATGACGGTTGTTTGTAGATTATTGAGAATGTTATCGCCTATTGGAGGATGTGAAATTCAGAAAGGGATACGATGAGCTGAATTTCGGTAAGAGGCCTAGTTGAGGAGAGAGGAACTCATCAAGAATGTAGATACCCTATCTATATATAAGAACAAACTAGAGATGCTTCTTCATTATATCGCAGGACATCCATAGATTAGGAGAGGCAGATGAAACTAATCTTACGAATTATCTTCCAACGCTTAATGGGGTAGTGAGCTGAGAACTAGCCCTAAGCACATAGGCGTAGAAGAAAGACGCTTCACCCACTGGTCTCGGTAGAAAAGAACATGGAGAAATGTCTTCGCGGGAAATCGTCGGGGTTGACTTTTATGAGGTTCCCGAATTCAAGGCAGAAAGGGAATGGAAGACAATGCGTTGAGCTAAATTAAATTTTATTTACGTGTATACCAACTAAAGAGACTGAAGCGAAGTACCTAACTAAGCCCAGCGTTAAACATTGCATGCTACACGGGAATTGACTAGTAGACATGATCCTTCCCCGAAGGATTTTCCCGTTTTAGATTCTAGGCCTCCCTTCTTTGTTTACAACCACTTTACTTCAACCCACGGGGATCTGGTGGACATGATCGGAAAGCGAAATCCTGAGACTTGGAGAAGCCACCTTTGGAACCTACCGAATGCTTGTGGGCCCAGACGGTCGAGGCTACAGAATTTCAGCCCCAGTTGAACGATGGGCATTTTACTGCGGGTAAATAATGCTTTTATGGAAAGAAGGATTTTGCATATCGTATGACATGACCCTTGCTTTACCTCATCTTCCCAAGCCTGACTGGATGGTGTAAAGTATATAGATTTATATAGTAGCGCGAGGACCATGAAGCTCTTCCTGAGTTCTTCCCAGTTGTCTACAGTTTCAGGGGTTCCAGGATATTCTGTGAAGTTTAAGGTTGGAAGATCAGACACAACTATGGCTTTAACAGATATGTCTAGTGACATTGTATCTTTCTTCTCTCTACAAAAAACCAACGGAAGCATGCTTTATAGTCTTCTAGCTGTGTCCCTCGTGTCCATCTTTGTTGTCTTCGTAACTTCAAAGCTACGTTCTCGCAATCGGCCTCCTCTACCACCGGGCCCAAAGGGTCTGCCGCTGATCGGACACCTCCGTGCAATAGCGAGTGACAAGCATAAGTACTGGTACCAGATAGGTCAGGAATATGGCCCTTTAGCTTCGGTGAAGGTGGGTCATCTGACCTTCATCATCATCAACTCCCACGATGTTGCCCACGACCTTATCGTCAAAAGGTTCGCTAACTATAGCGGCCGGGCTCGGACACCCTTTATCGAGATCCTGGACGAATCAAAGGACTGGACCAGCAAGTTTATCCTGACACGGCAATACGGCCCAGAATACCGTCTGCATCGACGCATGTTGGAGTCCGGTATGACAGCAGCATACGCCACTCGTTTCCACGGCTTGATGGAGCTCGAGACATGCCAGCTCCTAAACGATCTCCTCGAAGATAAGGATTCTCGCACTAACGGCATGAACAGTGTCCTCCTTTTCAAGCATATCGAGCGCGTCCAGACTAGCTTCGTCATTGGGGGCACATATGGGTTCCGCACGCCTCACCGTCTTGATCCAAATCTCACTACCATAATCAAAAGCTCGCACGATTCTAACGATATTGCTGTGTCTCAGACATTACTGAACTTCTTTCCGAGCTTGAAGTATCTGCCCAAATCCCTCTCACCATACTATAAGGCTGCGGCCAAGGTGCGTGAATACACCTCACCCTGGGTACATGGACACTTGATTACGGCTCTTGAACGCCCCGGATGGAACCTGGCTAAGCAATCGTATGCCATTGGCATGAAGGAAGGCTCAACTCCACGTGAGGTCGAAGTCAACCTCGAGACCAATGTCTATGGAGGCATCGAGACATCCCCGCGTGAGCTGATGTGGGTTGTTGTCGCTGCTATCACACAGCGAGATGTAGTGCGCAAAGTTCAGGCCCAGCTCGATGAGGTTGTCGGCCCAAATCGCCTTCCCAACTTTGTTGACCGACCCAAGCTGACTTATGTTGACGCTTTCCTGCGCGAGGTCATGCGCTGGCGGCCTATTATGGCTGATTCCATCCCCCACCGAGTTGAGAAGGACGACGTTTACAATGGCTTCCTCATCCCCGCCAACGCTCTCATTATGCCTAACGCTTGGGGCATCAACCGGGACACCAAATACTTTGGGGACGATGTCGAGGAGTTTATCCCCGAACGTTGGTTCACCAACCGAGATGTAAAGAAAGGCACTCTACGAAACGACCTTCCCACACCCGTGTTCGGGTACGGACGACGTACTTGCGCCGGAAAACGCATAGCAGAGGATGGCATGTACATGCAGATGGCACGTCTACTGTGGGCATTTGACTTTCAAGAGGTCGACGGCGAGCCCGTTGACCCAACTGCCGACCTTCGCCACACTTTCACCGTGCCCCCAGCACCATTCAAAGTGAAGTTTATGCCACGCCGGAAGACGGTACGAGAAGTAGTAACGAAAGAGTGGCGAGCATGTGAGACCGACGTGCCGAAGCTACTAGGCGAGATGGACAATCACTTTTTTGATATGAAGACCGTGGATTAGACTTTAGACGCCAACCCTAAGTCGGCGTGGTTCATTTACTTTCTAGATATTGCATTATGGATAAACTCCTATACTCTGATTTATCTATAAGAGAATCCGATACAAGCTTTCTCAATGACAGATTTTTTAACTTTAAGGAGATAATAGAGCGATACATACTGGGCTATTGGTCCGTGGAGATTGGGTTGTCTGTCTCCAAGATCATTTTAAGAATTAGAATGACCTAGGAACCAGCCCCTGGTACAGCAGTTAACACAATAGGTACTTATTAATCTAGCACATAACTAGATATTCTGCGTACACATGTCGCTACTTTACTGAGACGCCAGGATGACCGATTATCAACGGAGTGCTCTGGCTGTGTACAACAGCTTAAATGTGTCTATATGAACTACGTAGGTGGAACAGTATTGAAAAATATACCGTGAATATTTTTGTAAAGACAAAAATCACATCGATGTTGCATCAAGTACTTGGGAGATAGGTACATAACCTCGTCAAAATCAAAACTACTGAGCATAAGGTACGAGCATCACAGATTTACAGATTTGACATCTATATCCACAATTTACCCCCTCTGTACAATTCTACTTCTTTTGCACCTCTGGTACTCGGCTTCGCAGCCGCACAAAGCAACTCTTCGGCTTAGCAACGAAAAAGTCCACAACATCCGTGTCCACTAGATCTGCTGGCAGTGGCAAGAAGTCGAAATTCCACAGCAGAAGCGTGGTAATCAGCTTCAGCTCATGGTACGCCAACCTCTTTCCCCAACACTCACGCGGGCCTGCGCCGAAGCCCAGGGTGGGCCCATTCTTGATATCAAACACTGTATTTCCTTTACCATCCTTTCGTAGCCAACGCTCCGGATGGAAGTCGGCGGGCGGGAACCCACTATGTGTCCAATCGACGGGTGTCTCTTCTTTGTGCGCTTGCGACGACTTACTGCGTACCTCCTCATCCACCTCGATGGCTGGCTCATCATACGAGGGACCCCATAGAGTGCAGAAGATGTTCGTGCCTTTGGGGATGGTGCGTCCCAGGAAATCCAGATCTTCCATGGCCTCACGGATGAGCACGGGTGCTGTGCTGTTCAGCCGCATGGTCTCCTCAATCACGGCATCTAGGTATGGCGCATGCATGGCCAGGAACTCATGGATAGTGGGATTGCGCTTTTCAGATGCAGCAGAGGAATACAGTGTGTACAACTCTTTACGCAGCTTTGTTTGAACATCCTGGCGCACAGCCATTCGGCGGATCATGAATGACAGCACGCTGTGCGTGGTACTCTGTCCCCCCAGCACATATCCGAACAGCGAGTCATGGATCTCCGGTGATGACAGCGCTGGCAGGCGGCTTTCTTTCTTAGCAGCAGCGATCTCACGAGAAACAATATAGTCGACGGCCGCGCGATAGGATGTTGAGAGCCCGCTCTTGGCGACGGTGTCGCGGGCACGATCGATATATGTTTGAAGGATGCGAGTGCGTTCCTTCTGAGCTTTGCTTACAGATGGGCGCAGGTTGGTGAAAAACCAGTACAGTTTTGGCATGGACGCAGTACGAGCGCCTGTGATGCTGTCGGCGATGGTATGCGTTGCTTCGAGAATGCCTGTGGCCTTGTACTCGGGGAAGGGATAGACTTGATTTGATTTAGTAGGGTGTCCGGTAGAAAGGTTGTTTGTTTTAAGACGGTTGTAGTGCTTGACCGTGTCACTTTCTTCATCGAGGATGCCTAGAGCGGCGGCACATATAATGTCTCCTGTGAGGAAGTTGAAGTCTTCCAGCGCGGTAAACGGCTGCTCGTTGGCGATGCGCGCCTTGAGCTGCCATAGATTGACAAAGTTCAAGGTCTTCTGATAGGAGGCTGGGAGAGATACCTACGTTGATCAGTATTGCCCTGGAGATATTTTCTAAAGTCCTATTCAAACCACTCACATTGTGAAGGAAACTTGGCGTCATTAAATCATTGGACAAACTCTTCGCCTTTGGATATCGCGGGTCGCTAGACGGCATACCCACAAAGTGATGAGGAATGGCTCCAAACCATAATCCGGTATTCAGCGAGCCATGATCCAGCAGTTTTGCACGGCGCATCAACAAGTCTTTAGTCTCGCGGAAATCTGAAATGATTACTACAGGCTTGGTGAAGGGCCCCGCGAAGTACTGCGTAATGGGCGACCGCTGACGGCGTGCAACATCTGCCCAGAACTCCATAATGCGCCGTCCTGATTTTTCTAGGGCAAAGAAATGAGGAAGATCCCCTAGGAGACGACGCGAGGATTCCACATCGTAAGGGATGCCTGGCAGCGGTTTGGGCAGCGCACGCAGATATATCACATAAAGGAGCCCCATGACCAAGGCACCGCCGATGGCTAACGGCCGGAGCTGGATAAAGGTTGTGACATTATTGAGGTCGAGGGTTGCCATTGTGATAACTTTAGAAGGGGTATGTGAATGATGCTTAGCGTTGATGAAGCAACTCGTAGTGGTTCCTTATAACTGTTGCAATCCTACTAAGTTTAAAAGGCTTAGTTATTCCTCCAACTCAGTAAGGTAAGATTACTCAAGCTTGCAGCAATAACTGGGACTTCTGCTAATATACTTGTAATCGGGTTCCGAGGCAATTAGAGATCCATTGCCGATTCGCGGGACAATGCCGTACGAGTCTCAAAGCCGCAAATGGCATGTAGGGAAGGTAGATTTCAAAGAGGTAGAGAAGAATTATTCTTTCGCCTTGCTCATCAATTCTCAACCCCATATATTGCGAAGTTTTATTCTACTCGTTCGCCTGTGGATTGGATCTACGTTTATTTTCTTCAGAAGAACAGTATATTAGACCAATCAATTATAAATCATATAAAGGTCCTTCTTCTTTTCCATACATTCGGGATGTTGCTATACGAGGAAGACAATTGACATTGGAGTAGTTGAACACTGTATCGTAAGCAATCGGTTACAATCCTACCTCACTATCTAATAATTGATACACCTATACACTTATACACCTATATCGAGAGATCAGCGCAATGTGAAGTTGTCTTAGCACTCCATCAAATCCTGTCTATCCTAGGCTATCTGCTCATGCGAGCAACATTGACCTGAGTAGACCTGTCCCGCGGATCTCTTACACCGTCACTTGAATACGAACGTTGGACGGGTTGAACTTGAAGTACGTATTCGAAATGCCCCAATTGTGATTGTCTCAGGTTTCGGGAACTGGAGGTTAAGGTTAGCTCAGCTTCGTCGCACTGTCAGCTCTGTGAGGTCCGTATTAGGATTCTGACATCGAGGAATATATCGTTTGTATTGGCCCCCGAAACCTTATACGTACTACGTATTATACACGTATCATTACAAACTATTTTGGTCGATACAAATACAGATACATACCGTTACAAGATCTAACAGCCGCTCCCACATACTTAGTTAAACTCTATTTGTAGGGACCCGCCGCCCCTACCAACGGCCTAAAACGTATTACTAAGCGGCGCTTACGGAACCTTGTCACCTCCGTGAAACTCCCCGGATCGCCTTTTCGGATGCTTGAATCATGATGACCTCCGCTAAACTTAGCTAATACGTACTAGCAGCACCTCATTCTGTGGAAGAACTGGTCGGGCCACTCGTTTGGGGGGTGTTGCGTGTACGGAGGTTCGCGACACCTCCGATCAGCTCTGAAACTAAATTATTCCCCCCGGTAAGTTATGTGGCTGAATAGTAAGCCTGGGAACAGGAAGATATTCCATTGGTGTAGATTCTATGCAAGAAATTCACTGGTACGATGTAGCCGTTTTGTTTGGTCTTCCCTAGGCACATGTAGGGGTGAAACTACTATGTAGCTAGGCGAGACAGGGAGGAGCAAAGATTTTCCACTACGTAGTCATGTAAAAAGTCCATTCCATTCCTGCTCGTCTACTCTTTTCACTCTACTGCTTGCAAAAGAGATTTACGTTATCCATTTCTACACTCATTATTCTCACCTCAGACCTTACATATCGCCATGGCTGGGTCTGGCGTGATAGACGATAAGACTGCCTCGCAGTCGCCTCCGACCTCTGTGGAGATGGACATGAAGCCTGACAGTGACAACTCGTTAGTTGAGAATCAGGAAGAGGAAGAGGAGGGCTACTCGCCATTGGGGATGTTTTTTATCCTCACTGCCCTTACTCTATGCGTGTTCTTAGTAAGTATTATATATATGGTGGTATAAAATTGCATAGTACACCCAGTACTGACCTCCGCAGGTGTCTCTAGACCAGACTATTGTGGCCACCGCCATCCCCAAAATCACGGATGAGTTCCAGCAGCTGGACCTTGTCGGCTGGTACGCCAGTGGCTTCTTCATCACTATCGGAAGCTTCCAATCGACGTTCGGCAAGATCTACAAACTTTTCCCACTCAAAGCAGGTTTCCTTCTGGCCATAGTGGTTTTCGAAATTGGCAGTCTGCTGTGCGGCGTCGCACCAAACAGTACTGTACTGATTCTTGGGCGTGCTGTTGCTGGCATGGGCGCTGCGGGTTTGGGTTCCGGTGCATACACTATCATCGCTTTCTGTGCTCCGCCGAGCAAGCGTGCGGCCTACACAGGACTGTTGGGAGCATCATATGGTGTCGCGTCAGTGGTAGGGCCATTATTGGGCGGTGCATTTGCGCAGAAGGTATCTTGGAGATGGTAGGTTTATTCCCATATATTATTCACGTGTTTTACTTCCGACCTTGTTTCGTCCTCCTTTTACTTTTCTGAGAAATTTATGGCCACCAACAAGACAAGAGAATGCCTTGCCATGCTGATTTTGTAAATCCACCATTTTATGTTATACTAACACTCTCTCAGGTGCTTTTACATCAACCTTCCCATTGGCGGTATGTACCCTATGTCCCAGATGTCTCCTATACTAACTTGTTAGGTGTTTCTGCGGCTATTATTCTCCTCACTTTCAAGGCCCCTGCGAGCGCCAGGCCAGAAAAAACCACTCTGAAGCACAAGCTCCTCCAAATAGATCTCCCAGGTACTTTTCTTATTATGGCGGCGATCGTGTGCTATGTACTTGCATTCCAGGTATGTAACTTATTCACACAACCAGCCACTATTGAAATTGACAAAAAATATTCAGTGGGGTGGACAAACCAAGTCCTGGAAGAACTCGACAGTCATCGGCACCCTAATAGGCGGTTCTCTTATTATCATCTTCTTTATTGTTGTTGCCTCCTTCCAGAGTGAGCGCAGCATTATTCCACCGCGTCTATTCAAGAAGCGCTACATCTGGAGTAGTATGGCGTTCATGTTCTTTTTCGGCGGTAGCTGGTTTGTGACGTTATATTACTTGCCCATCTATTTCCAGGTCGTGGATGGAGTGTCGGCCGCAGCGAGCGGTGTGCGCAACCTTCCATTGATCATTAGCCTTGTGTTAACTACTATCCTATCTGGTGGCCTGATCTCTGTCAACGGGCACTATATCTCATGGTTATACCTCTCGGGAGTACTCAGTACTATTGGAACCAGTCTGATCTACATGCTTGATATTGGCTCGTCATCAGGTCGTTGGATTGGCTTCCAAATCATTGCCGGCGTGGGCTTTGGCGCAGGCGTGCAGCTGCCCATCATCGTTGGTCAGGCGCTTAGCGAGCCGAGAGATATTACTTTGTCGACAGCGCTGATGCTGTTCGCCCAGACCATTGGAGGAGCGTTGCTAGTAGGCGCTGCTGAGGCTGCGTACACAAATACGTTGCTGCGAAGATTGCCGATAACGGCTCCGGGCGTCAACCCGAAGACGGTGGTTAGCATTGGCACAACACAAATCCGATCAATGTTTACCCCTGACCAAGTGCCCGGAATCATCCAGGCGGAGATGGACGGGGTGCATGTGGCGTTTGCACTAGCCATTGCCTGTGCAGGTGTAGCAACATCGACCACTCTTATGGCCCCAAGGACGAATCTGAAGGGTAAGATGGATAGTATCGGAGCTGCGTAAGTATCGATCTAAGTACCATGTTATATTATATGGAGATATAATGCAGATTTCCCTGTTAGATGATAGAGCAAGGCATGGAACAAATATAGAACAGTGATATGATAACTACTGTTTGGTTAGAATTATCATATTATAATCCTTAATAAAAAAAAATATGCTACTTTGTTCGAAGAATTGGGAATAGGAGAGCTTTTTACCGTCGCAAAAGTAGAGAATAATCATAAAGAATTAGCAGTCGACTGCTACTTGTTTCTTTCTTAATGTAAGGCAGAAAATTTGCTTGCACTTTGTAGAGGCTATTTATAAACATCTACCCACGAATTAACCTGTATGACGATAACCATTATATATTATAATGTATGTTTTATTAGTAAACTAATCCTATATTCCCAAGCACTAACAATTAAATGAACGACGTGCTTTATTATCATTTACTCCATTATCTACACATATAATGAAAAAGCCGACAATCCGCCTAACAGATGAAAACCTCTCCTCCCCGTCACTCCACATGCCTGGATACTAGGTATAGCTCCCATTCAAATTACACATTGAAAATATCACCCAGACCATCTGTCGACGCTACCTGCTTCTTCAGGACCTCCTCAGTCTCGTTCCATAACTTCTTCTGCAACTTGGAGCCTTTCTCGCTAAGCACGAGGTCCGAGGGTCTAGTGCGGCGAGTTATTTAGCGATTGATAGACCATGGATAGGGGAAGAATAAAACATACGGCTTGATCTTTCCTTCGCTCATGTACTGGCCGTGGCTCTCAGGTCCTTTGACTGCGGCTGCGTCTAGCACGAGACTGGCGCCCTGTTCGACGCTGCGGCCGACGTAACGGTCGAACTTACGGATAAGAAGGTTCGCATCGCGGTGAATACTGGAAGATGTTAGATTTGCTTTTCGTTTTCTTTCTTCTAGTCATTTGTTGATCTCTTGTTTGGGAAAATGGACTTACCCAGTATCCACTGCCCCCGGATTGAAGTAGCTTACAATTACCTCTTCTCGAGGTGTGCGCACCGCCAACTCCCTTGCCCAGAAGACATTCAGCAGTTTTGTCACGCAATACCGGTCCATGGCGTCTTTATACAGCTCCTCCTTGTTCAGCTGCTCCAGCATGTTATCGGCCGACTGCTCCTCAAACTTGGTGAACATGTGCGTTTCTGCAGAGGTGAAAGTGAGACGTGAAGCGGACCCAAGCTCCTTGGACGTCCTCTTGAGCGTCGGAAGCAGCTCAAGGGCTAGCAACGCTGTTGCTAGATGATTGACTTGCAGACCCGTCTCGAAGCCGTCGGGTGAAGTAGACCATACGAATTTAAAAACACCGGCGTTGAGAAGCGCAATATCGAGGCGGGGGAGTTGGGCTGCACGTTTCCCGATGGCCAGCACTGAGTCAAACGAGAGCAGGTCTAGATGCCAAATATCGATTGTGGCAGGCGCTGAGGGGTGTGACTTTTGGATGGAAAGTTTGGCAGCATCGCCTTTGGCCTGGTCACGGACGGCAAGAATCACTTTTGCTGCTCCTCGTCCGACACATTCTCTCGCGGTAGCTAGCCCTAGGCCTGTGTTGGCGCCTGTGATAAGCACGGTTTGTCCCTTGAGGCTAAGAGTTGCCGGAAGCGTAGGGATGGAAACAAATTGACGGAAGATCGAACCGAGGAGGGTCATGTTGAAGAGGATAAGGTCGACGCGATGTGAGTAGGAAGAGGAGGAAGAGTATGAAGAGTGAAAAAAGTAAGAAAAGTACGAATGAGTGAATGAATGAATGTAGATTTGGAAGTGGGTGTTACCCTTTAAAGAAGTACCCATAAGCCCTAAGAGCAGAAGTGGGTCCGGAACTGGGAGGTGATGGATCCTCCGAGCCTAGATCTAGGTTGTACCCCACGCTATTCTATTTCTAGCTAGGCTACCCGGTGTTTATTTACCGGCCCGTAAGGTCATGTAACACGTATAATCGTGTTGATACATGTCACACTCGGCTTTCTATTTTCGGAAGCCCGATATTGTCTCTTCATTACTATCTAGTAGAAAATATACACTGACGATGATGGATTTGCTAGGTAGATGATAGAGTATCTCTTCAATGAAATATAAAATTTTCCGCTTATCAAATATGACCTTACAACTCCTCCATTGCACCGTCTATGGACCAAAACAATGAAAATTAACTACTCTGCCCAAAACTCCACAAGTTGGCCAAGTTCCACTCGAAGTAATCCGTCGTGATTGGCGCGAACGAAATATGATCCGAATATGGCAGGGTACTGTTTGGAATCATCAGTGTATCAGACATAGCAAATAGATCGCCCTCGATTGGATCAGATGGGTAGAATAGGACTGGTGGATTGCTGATATGCTGCTGGAACATGTCTCCAGAGCCATACGAATCGAGAGATGAAGTTGTTAGATTCTCAACGTTGTTTGTGCCCTTGGCAATATGCGGCTGGATGGAGAATGACTATCAATTGATATACTATAGTACAGGTGGTGTGAAGGACCAGGACCAGTGGGTTACTTACTATAGTAGAGCAGCTTTGTTGTCTAGAGATCTCTGACTCTGGTAATGTCTCATACACTTGAAAGTCCTGGGCTGAGATCTGAGAATTGTTGTCTTGTCTAGGATCATATTCGTCTCGACTGCGCTTTGTCGGCTTGGCTACACCGGAGTTGGTCCGTTCAACCAATTTCCTGGCAACATTGCTCAATTGTATGAATAGTTGAGCAGTGTTTGTCGTGGCGACGTTAACATGGAAAGCGGGTTCCGAAAGCAAAGAGATAACGGTATCCATGAGTCTCAGGTCTGGTACGGCTTGCGGATCCTGGGGATTTTGAAGAGTATTGGCGAACAAGGTCAAAAAATTGGAGATAGGGTGGTACAGAAGCATCCTATGATCTAGTAAATCCTAAAATTCACACTTTATTCTCATGGATAGTAGAGAAAGAAATTAACGAACCAGAGACTACTTTTTCCAACCGCTCGAGTTTCAAAGTCGACTAAGTTCAGAAGCTGAATAGACTGTCTTGCAACCGCTAGACATATTGCGTGGCTCGCATACACGCGTGGATTCAGTCTCCCGTCGTCTTGCACGGTGTCTGTGTGCTGATTATGATGAATGCTGGTCCAGGAACCGTGGTGTACAGAAGCGCGATGAATAAGGGTAAGGCAATTAAAGTATGCGAAATGCATCAAAACAATTGGCAGGACTAGATCTTCCTGGCATTGGATAGGCGTTTCCGGTCGTATCTCCACGGGCAAGTGCTCTTTCCATTCTACAACCGCCTTGTCCAATTCACCAACGAGTCTCATTCGTTCCATAGGCGATTTAGTCTGACCACGAGCTGAGTATAGCGCTGAGTAGATGCGACTTTCAAGTCTTGCTAGTTGCACATTATATCGAAACATTCCTGCTCTAGTAGTTGTACTATCAGACCTTACTTCACCTGAACCCTTTTCAAGTGGCAGGTCAATGCCAATATCATCGTCGTTCATCACGGAAGGGTGCCCTAGTCGTAAAGCAATGGATTTGTCCATAATGTAGACAACCCAGAACAGGTTTTGTCTTTGGAGAATTTCAACTTCGCTCAGGCCCGAGTCGTTTACGCTCCGATGGAGCCCAATTCCATAAGCCAAGCGTCCCGCCGCTGCTACTAGCATGTAGACGGCTTGCGGTTCTAGATTTACTTGCTGCACAACAGCCTAGTAGATCATCAGCAGAGCTCTAAAAGACCAATAAAAGATATAGCAGCGGTTTCTTGCCATTCCAATCAAAGCTTGTATCGCCTCTAGGGACGCTTCTCCGAATAATAAATCGAGCAAACAACCACTAGCATTGCGAAGGTACTTTTTCCAGATTCGATTTTCGGGGTTGTCTGCTGCATTGCTCCTTGCGCGTACTTGGAGGAGTAGACACCCGAGACAAAGAACAGTATTCAGGGATGCGTACCAAGCAGGACCGCTGGGCGGGTGTCCGGAATACTGAAGTTCGTAGTTCTGGTCGAAAGCCGCCCTATCGTACAATGGGATAAGTTTATTATATGATTCAAAGAAAGCTAGAGAGGTTAGTTTCACTAAATATATGAGAAGACTTGTTTAATTGGCATACAATCAACGTAGCGGTCCGCAATATGCTTAGGTGGAAGGGGCTCTCTCTCAGAAGCGAACGGTGGACGATAGAGTTCGGCGGTAGTCTTGTCAGAACGAGTTTGCACATTGGCCACTAACTCATGTATAAATCGTGATAGTTCATCGGAGCCTGTTTTTTGAGTTATCCATTCAAGTCCTTGCGGAGAAAAGAGAGAGAACCCAGATGAGCCACCTAAAGCAAGAAATCAGCACATGACCAGGAAAGAAGCTTCGAGCAAAAGTTACCCAGAAAGCGTGTCTTTCCGTTCTCATTAATCATTAAAGTTGATAATCGATCAGTCAGTTTGATGGGATTTGTGAGAGAGGAGTCGGACGCCGCTGGAGAGGACGCTGCAACCGAGTTCGACTGAGTATCCAAACCAGAGGCGGTGATAAGTGATTCCATGCGCTTGATGCGGTTCTCAATATCAATAAGGGATGTGGACCTGGGAGTTGTCAATATGCCTGGTGCCAAAGCATTGAAGAACATAAGACCTTGTTGGCTGCCTCTTCTTGCGCTCAACCAGCGTCGTGACACATGCTGCCCCGCGGTCAAGGCAATGAAGACAGCTGTCACCTTGCTTTTCACATTTGATCTATCAAGATTACTGTCAGAGTCGGTATCGTGCAGTGAAGGGATATATCAAGCGTACCTTGAGGCGTTTGCACAAGTCACATGAGGTGCGAAGATATGAATTGGAAGTAGGGTGGGGGGGAGCCCCAGCGGACGAGGCGCTGGAGACGCTGCGTGAGCGGGCATCGGGTTTCGGGTCCATATCAGTTAACAGTGACTGTTAGCACTTTGGTGGCCCGGAAAGCTCGCAGGGTTCTATATCCCTCAGGTGGTGATGCCTTGAATTACGCTCGGAGCATTCCGATGGTTGATTTACAGCCAAATACACACTATTACAGGAAAGTACCAAACAGAAGAGAAAAGAACCAATAAAACTTCGTTAACTTTCCTCTAACCGTTGCTGTACTGTAATGTTCCGTAAAGTCCGAAATAGGTTAATTAGTTAACTAACTAACTTAGTTAATGTACTACACGGGTCATTGGGCCACCTGCAAGTCCCATACAAAATGGCCTTCTTCAACACCTTGACTTCTCAACAGATTTATATATAAGCCATATCTTAGACTTGACGAATAATTCCTATATGAATCCCTATCAGAAATATCAATTTGGAAGTGCGCCTCTTCTATAAGTCTTGAGATATTAGAAACTAGCCTAGTTATTAATGTAAATTTCATGACAGAGGGGTTCTTAATATTTTTAGAGTTCCTAAATCTAGATATATATTAATACCTATATTATAAGCCATATTCAACTTTTTGATATGGTTTATATGTGAATCTGTTGAGAAATCAAGGTGTTGAAGAAGGCCATTTTGTATGGGACTTGCAGGTGGCCCAATGACCCGTGTAGTACGTTAGTTTAATCTCTATTTAGTCAGCCGCCCCCAATCGGCATATTCTCGATGAGTAAGACACACAAAGTTGACAGTTCGTACACGATTCCCAAGAGCCGAGAGGGGTTAGATCAAAGCGACAAATGGACGACATGAGACGGATTTCTTCGCAATAAATACGACCTAAGATCGATATATAGACGATTACTGCCGAGCACTGGACCACGCAGCGACTCATGGTGGACACGATGGAGGTAGCTCCGACTACAACAACACGCTCGGGACACGTTGTAACACCCTCGACAAGGGCCCGAGAGTCCACGAGCAGCGCTGACAACATCGGCACTGTTAAAAGTCTAAGAAATCAATGACCAAATGGAATTAACAGCGGTAAAGAAGACAGCTTGCCTCATTGATGAGAAGCAGAGCGCTAAAGATGGAAACAAAAACATGCTTAAAAAGATGCGCCAGTATATGGGAAATACCTATCCAGGGGTTAAAAGTCTAAAAGAAACCCTTAGTAAACAAGGGGAAATGATCAAAGAACGGTGTCAAGTGATCCAGGAGCAGAGCAGCACAAGGAGCTGCAGGCCCAAGTGGAAGCAATACAACGCAATCTGCAGAAGAATGCAAGTAGATAAATAAAGAACTGGCATTGCACAGTAGTGATCAAGGACCCCAAAAAAATACAGCCCGAGTCAGAGTTATTTGCAGACATGATGATGAGATCCACCGTGTCAAAGAGGCTACCCAGAAGCTAAACATGCCGGGATTGAGAGTGCTACGAGACCAGCTTTATCCAGTCAAAACTGACAATGTCAATCAAACAGCAGTCCTGGATGCAGATAGGAACACCCTACCAGGAGCAGCTGAGGCTCTAGGAAAAGAGAATGATGTCAATATTGCCAAGATTTTTTGGATAAGCGAGAAGGAGTCGTTTACAAGGATGGGAAAAGAAGAAAATGACTAGCAAGATTGTATATATTGAGTTGTCTGAGGTCTTCTCTCTTCCATACCACAAAAATGGCTTTCATATGTGATTCGGCACGGGGAATGAGTTCAATTCCCCGGTACATTATCCGTGATCTACAATATGATATATCATATATGACGTTTCATGAAAAGTTGAAACATAGTGTTCGGAGGCCTCTGATTAGCTGAAAATGGGGGATGACTTGTCTCCAGGTTCGTTCAAATGTCCTTGTTTTCTTAGTGGTAGATTTCGGGATATTCTAACAATACTATGCCGAGCAACTCCACAATACTAAGCAAAAGAACAGAACAAAATCAATATATAGCAGAGCTAGGAGCAATAGCAGTAGCACTGGAATGTATTCCAGTTGGGACATGCTGCAGGTAGATCACTATCTTTAGCAGCAACAGATCTGCCCTTGCCAGCAATCAGCCAACCTCGTCAACAGTCCAGCCAAAAGATCATCCAAAGGATATATTGGTTGAGACCTTGCAGAACTGGGGAAATGCAGTTAACACAATCTGGGTCCTAGCACATATAGATATAGAATGGAAGTGACAAGCAAAAACTGAAGCATATAGATCAACAAGAACAGAATACCAGTTAGAAAGATAGCTGTTCCAAGCCAAAGCAATGGCCTTTATAACCGCTATTGACGCAACACGCCAAGACTGGACTCTTCCAGAAGGTATTAGAAAACACCCCCAAGCTATCGATATTGCGCTCTCGGGAAAGCACGTAAAAAGCCTATACGATGGACTGGATTAGAAATAGGCAAGAACTCTAGTCTAGCTTCGGACAGGAACGACAAGGCTTAATAGCTATTTAAATTAGATAGGCGTAGTAGACTTGGATCTCTATGCCTGTAGCCAAGCAAGCAAGACAATAGAATATTTTTTATTCTGCTACACGAGGTAAACAACAATGAGAGAAGTCATGGATCAATGCACAGAATCAAAACAAGGAGATCTATCCTTCTTTCTCGGTGGAAAATCATGTTCAGACTCTGACAAATGGCAACTAGACATAAAGGCTATCTATGTAGAAATCACCTTCGCGATAGCAATAGAAGACTGGAACCGAAACCAGAATCTGAACTTCAACCAACCCAATGACACATGGAGCAATCCCACACCTTCCTTTTCCCTTCCCAGGTAGACCTTGCTGGAGCTGCCGAAGATAGGGCACTGCACACTTGGAGAAAATAACCTTTAAGAGTATTTAACAGCCAAGACGTCAAACAAGGGGACCTCTAACACATCAACCTAAGTATCCAAACATCATGCATACATGTTACGAGAACAAAACCTGGACTATCGCGAGTTCATGTCGGATTGTTGAGAATGGTTATGTAATTAGCGCACATGTTAGTTATAAGGTTAGTCCCTCCGGGGGTAATAAATATCATATTCTCGACGCTGCCTTGGGCACAACCCACGGCTGAGAAAAATACCATCCAAGGACATGCTACAAGTCCACAAACATAATCGAATAGCTCTGTCATATTGCTATCATTATCATGAATGAAGGCTGAAACAATAAGGAAGAAAAAAGAAAGTGAAATACGTGCAACATAGAATCAGGGGATGTCATCACCCCATACTCTCCTGCTCTGACGAAGAAAGTGAAAAGAGTAAGAAAAAGCGGAGCCAGAGACATGAAATGCCCATCAAAGCTAATAGCTTCAGTCGGCTCGACTCATTCAAGAGCTGTAATCTGTCCTCCCTTCCTCCACATAAGCAACGACGCGGGGAACTGCGCAGCTGCAATGCCAATCATAATCCGAAATTGGACGGTATAAGCATGCGCGAATACCGATTGAACTATTTCACGTTGAGTCTCTGGTAGTGTTTCCATAATCGCTGTGTTGTGCAAGAGAGCTTGCAGTAGCTCTGGTGGGAGAATACCTGTGAGCCGGGTTTCGAGCATGCAATTGAGGACGTTGGATCCAATTGCCAGACCGATAGCGCCTCCTAGGAAGCGGAACTGGATTATTGCCCCTGTTGCGACAGCTGGTTTGGTCAGTCCGGTCATATGGACGAGGGTTGATGCTAACGTACCAATGTCTCGTGGTTCTACTACAAATGGTGTAGCCAGGATGAGTATACCAAATGTGGTTCCCACACCTGCTCCAGCAAGAGCCTCATACACATATCCGACAGTAGGGTAGTCCTTTGTCTCCGGTAGGGTTGCAAGCATAGCTACGCCGACGGTATGAAGGACCGAGCTGAACAAAAGCAAATAGATGAAAGGAACACGGAATTTCTTCGAGACAATACCAGAAATCCCAGCTGAAATTGCACTGACTGCAGAGAAGGCAAGTAAACGAACACCTGCATTCAGCGCTGATATTCCGCCGACTATCTGAAAACGCTCGGGGAGCATCACTACAACCATGTTTGAGGGCATGCCGACGAAAAAAGTGACCCTAACAACAGTCAGTATATATCTATTACATGGATGTGATAGTCAAAGGAGACTCACAAAAGCATGCCCATCCAGTTAGGATTTTTGAAGAATCTAGAAGGAAAAATTGGCTCCGGTACATTCTTCTCTCTCGTCACGGCATTTTCCCACGCAAAGAATACGAACCACGCAACACCTGAAAGCACGAGCAGAACAATCGTCCTAGCTTCTGGCCATTTAAACTGGACATAGACCTCGTTCAGCGCGGTGATGAGTGGAAGTGTAGCCGTCAGCAGAATGATTGCACCAACAATATCAATGCGACGGAGGTGCGAGAACCAACCGAGTCGGTGAGGAGGACTGCGTCGACCGACTTTGGCAGGAAGTGCTAGGAGCAAGAGACCGATTGCCAGACCTCCAATTGGAAGACTGCCGTAGGGCCCTGTCAATCTATCATCTTGATGTTTACACAGAATTTATAACTTACTTCATGTAAAAGATCCACCTCCAGATCGAATGTTGCGCCAACACACCTCCAATCAATGGACCAGTAGAGAACCCTAGCGCAGTAGACGAGGCTGCGAAAGCACCCATAGTGGCTAAGGCTGGTTTCGGCACAATCTCGTAGCAGATAAGAATGGATATTGAATATGCGCCTGCTGAACCGATACCTTGAAAGGCGCGGAGGATGATCCTACAACGGCAGTGTATCAGTACCAGAAGAGCGACAAAACATAGGAAGATATAGTCATACAATTGGTCCATGTTCTGCGATGCTCCGCATCCTCCTGAAAAAGCGATAAACATGATCATAGTTGCGATAATACTTCGCTTGCGTCCGATGATATCGCTAAGCTTACTCCAGAGGATGATGAACCCTGAATGTGTCAGACACCCCTCTACTAACGTCAACAAGGAGCAATGGCATACCGGTATAGGTAATCAAGTATCCCGTAACCACCCAGCTGGTCCGATTGAAGCTCCGGAAGCCATTGGCGATGGTGATGAGAGAGGTACTGACGATGGTGACTTCGACATTCACAAGGTAGATGCAAATATTCAAACTGGATAACGGTCAGTGCAGCAGCGACATGAAAGTAGAATAGTACGCGTACCCAAGAGTGGTCAGGTACAATCTCCATCCTTTAAGATAGGTATTCTCCTGATGCCGAGTCGTTGATACCGCGAATCCCTTAGGGGCAGTGGACGTCTGTTGGGTCGTGGCATCCTGTGTTTTTGGCTTCTGTCTCGCTGATTCGTCTGCTGTCTCTGCTGTCTCTTCTGATCTTGGTTGTTCGAGAACGCCCGACATCCTGAATTGTGAAGATGTTCACAATTAAGCCCTAATGAGACAAATAATTGGAATTGAAGGCATACAGAGTGTTTCTACCCTCTTTGTCAGTGATATCTCTGCAATGAAAGTATTGAATTGACAGACAGAAAGTAAATAAAAAAAAATGTTCCCCAGAGGAAAGTGAAGATGAGATGACTTTCCTTTTCTGTCACCGAACTGGGCACAATCGCAACAAATAACTGGCAAAGAGCATGTGATAACGATATAGGATTATATCCAGTCAGAAGAGAGAATCGCTTTTATCTGATAATTTACAACTGCAAATTTATGGCCCTGTGATCTTTCATTCTCATGGGGTACTGGGTGCTCCTTTGTTCACATACATTTTGAAGGTGTCTATAAATAAATATTACTTAATTCATACAATGGATTACAGTAGAAGTATATATAGAATATGCAGTAGTAGTGTTATTAATATTATCTACTACTTATTTATTTAAATCAGGATAGGGATCTAACCAAGTCAACGCCATGTTCCATCCCTTATTCAGACAGTTCCTCACTTGGCATCCACCCTGACATACTCAGCAGCCTCTTCTATGTCTTCATCAGACATCTGAGACGGCGTATATATTGTGTTGTCGATTTCTTCCAACAAATCGCCAGTCTCCGTCTCGCTGCTAAGATGCATGGAGTCCATCTCATCCTCCACCTCGACTACTGATGCATACTGTTCATTTTTTGAGGTAGTTTCAATATCCTCTTGCTCATGTTCGACAGCCTTCCCCTTTTCTTCGACAAAATCTGCGTCGTAAAGGTCATCGTCTATGTTGATGACAACCTTTTTGTTCTGTTTCTCACCCTGGACCTCCTTTGGACTCTTGGGCAAGCGTACGATAAGGATCCCGTTGACCATCTTAGCCGTAATTTTCTGTCCATCAAAATCAGCAGCTCCAAAGCTGAAGGGCATGATTTCGAAGCAGCGCTCAAATGCTCCCACTTCCCGACGACGCCCATTCCAGATCATGGCTGCATGTAACTCTTCGGTAATTTCCGGACGGTAGACTACACCCTCGATACGAACGATTGATTTTTCCGCATCGTACTCCACGTTGATATCAGACTTGTTCGCGCCAGGCAGGGATACGTGGATGATGTATTCCGTAGAAGTATCGAAGACATCTGCAGGAGGTTCGAAGTCGACACGCTCGCTTTCATTCGAATCACGACCGGGGGATGGAAACTCAAATGTAGAGCCTACTTCGGAGATAAAATGATTTAAGAAATTTGTCAATTCGGACGCACCGCCATGATGAGGGTCAGGAAGAACGTCATGAGTTGCACGACCACGGCCACGGTGCTGACCACGAGGATTGCCATAGTAAGGGCGATGACCTCCTCGGTGTCCAAACATGTCTCCACGTCCACCACGACTCGTTCCAAACAGTCCATCTGCCTGGTCTCCTAGTCCAGGAGCACGCTGCAGTCGGTAATGACCGTGATGGGGATGTCCCCATCCTCCAAAAATCGGGTGGCCTCGATGGCCACGGTGATGAGGTCCGCCACGGCTAGGTCCATGGTGTTCACCGTTGTTATGACCTGGATGGTTTCCTATGTTGGGCGGGAACTGCGGCTGGAAGGAGACAGGGGCTCCCCAGCATGGATGTTGTGGATCACAAAACAGAGACATAATGATGTATACTCGACGTGATGTCCAGGTGTTTATGTTTTCATAAACTGATGAAGTTGATAGAAGAAAAAAGGGTATTGATGGAGGGATATAGATATAAAGAGACTTCCTCTTATAACCCAAGATGCTTCAAAATAGGCAGCAACTACATCGTTAGCATGTGTACTGTGGCAAACCGCCACCTCGAGCGCTAAGAGATGGCTTACGAAGCTAAAAAGAAGCTTCGCGACACTTCTATAAAGGTTTTCTGCCTAGATGGACCTTTCAGTGCTTTGATGGAGAACATTCCCCAGACCTTTTCTGACAAATCGAAGCTATTCGAGCGGAGACGCGTCATTCAGCTTTATCTTATCTTATCTTCCATTTATGGATAACGTGTGGCGTTACTTGTTAACTCCGAGGGCTGTGGCGGTGCGGCCACCCGCTCGCCTTTCGACTCTGAAAATTAGATTCTCTCCTTACAGTCAAGTAACATCGAGAATTAATGTTGCTCTATTCATGTAAATAAGTTAACTAATCACAAAGTGCTCCTTGCGAGCGATTGTGATTGTTAAGTGTTCACTAATACAGGCGAAAGATGACACACTCAGGCTAGTCCATATCCGGACTAGTAGTCTCATGACCCGGCAGTCCCGGCATCCGACGGTCATATCGATAATTCATAACATCTTTGCTATACCATCAACTCTCACTTATACTCTCATGGCTCCGCGTTATGGCACTTGAAGCAGGCTCTTCAGCATCAAATTTATCGCAACAACCACCCTCTACACCTCCAGTGATGCCTACCGCTGCTACGACTGAAACCGGCCAGCAATCGCCTCCCCCACCGTTGGCTGAGCCCAACGAGGATCACGAACACCATGATGCCGACCACACGACTGAACTACTAGAAAAAGCCGCGCTGGCGCGGAGCAAACATACATGGTGTCTCTGCTTCACCATCTTCGCGCTCGTCCAAGCTGCCAATGTCGTACTCCAACCGCCCTTGGTGCAACTCAAGGAATTATCAAGCTGCATGTCGTATTACGGCCCCGGATGGTCGCTGGGTAGAGACTGCAGGGTAGAAGCGGTACAGAATGAGTTGGAGACGCTGATAAAATGGCAGCAGCTGTTGGATACTGCGCCGGGCATTTTGTTCGGTGTGTTTTATGGTATGGCTGCTGATCGGTTCGGCCGGAAGCCTGTGCTTGCTCTTGCTCTGGTCGGGATTACGTTGGCTGCTATTTGGACGCAGGTAGTTTGTATGCTTACACGTTCAACTTGGGATGAACATATGGCTAACGCGTCTAGTATTTTGGCCGACGGTATTCCCAACCCGATTGACTTGGTTGTCGGTAGTGTTCCAACTTGCCGGAGGCGGTAACCTGGTCGTGAATGCCATGATATTTGCGATGGTATCTGATATAACACCAGAGGAGAAGAGGTAAACAGATTACTCTTGGTGCGAATTGTGCGGTCGCTGATACTTTTTTAGGGCTTCAAAATTCTTCCGTCTATATGGAGTTGCTCTGCTTTCAGACATGGTACTCTCACCAGCCAGCGGAGCTCTGGCAAACATTCAACCCTGGTGGCCAGCTCGATTCGGCCTAATTGCATTCATAATGTCTATTCTTACCACTCTGCTCGTTCTCCCTGAAACATTCGTCAAGCCCGTCGCATTATCATCGACCAACCTGGAACAAACCACTACTCCATTAGAGGAAGAAGAACCAGAAGAGGAAGAGGATGATCCAGTTCTATATGCCGATGTGCCGAAGAACACACTCTGGCGGCGCGTGCGCAAAGTAGTGTCCAGTCTTCGCGATCTCAGATATCTGATTGCGTCGCGTCAGATTCTTATGCTAGTTCCCTTACTTTCCGTTGGTCAGTTGTACGACCAGTCAGCGGAGTTTTTTTTGAATTATGTCTCCAAACGTTACGGATGGCGCATTTCTCAGGCGAGTTTTTGGTTAACGTATCGCAACGTTGTCAATTTGGTACTGCTGAGCACGATACTCCCAGGCTTGAGTGTACTGCTCCTCAAGCGCGGCTTTAGCGCAGGCAAAAAAGATCTTTGGATATCCCGCGCGAGTATCATATGTTTGGCTTTTGGGGCCTTTTTTATTGGACTAGCCCCGAAATTGTCACTAATGGTCACTGGTAAGTTTCTCTCCAGTCTCACACATTGAACACATACTTACATTATCTAGGCCTCACAATCTTTGCTCTCGGCCATGGTTTTGTCCCCGCCGTCCTAAGTCTCGCAACCCCATTTATTGAACCAGGTCACGTCGGAATGCTCTACACAGCCATGACAATCGGCGAGACTATTGGCAAAATCGCCAACGAGCCTCTTTTGACCGGAAGTTTTGAATTGGGTATGCGAGTTGGTGGGCTGTTGCTCGGTTTACCGTTTGTCGCTACCGGTGTCTTGTTGACAATCACCGCAGTCAGTGTACACTCTATAAGGTTGCCCATACAGCCTATTCATCTTGATTGATTGAATGGTGTGGGTGATGAATATGGTTTTATGTGATAGGGATGATATTGCTACATGCAGTGGTACTTCCGGAAGATATCATGACTACATGTCGAGTTTGGTTTTATCGTTAAGCATGCATTGTTTGCAGGCCCGTGATTGCTAGTCTTTCCAATATATCTTTATATATAATTTTGACATATTCTGTTCTTCCTCAAAGCCATGGATTTCTAACAAGCTTTATCCTGATAATTGAGTTGGGTGATCTGGAGCCCGAAAATCACCTTCCAAGCATCACAGTGGGACTTCTTGCTCTAACCACCGGAGTTCTGCCACCTCGATTTGCAGCAATTGCAGCTCCAACAGAAAACAGTTGATGTTCCGAGGTAGGTAGATGATATATCTGGTCCGTAGATCGGGATAAGTTAAACTATAATCTCAGTGAAGCAAAAGATACGTCACTACAGCCACGGTTTTTTCCTCCTCTTCCATGCTCGCCACTCATCCATATACAAAGACTCTTAATTCTTACAAACAGAACCATACAGTCCTGCAGAGATGCCTCAACACCCGCAGCACGGAAGCCAAGTAGCCCGCGAGCGACTCAACATCATCTGGGAAAAACTCGTCTGCGGCGTAGCCACCGAACGCTCCCGCACAGACGGCCACGTCGAATTTATCAATGACTTCCAAATCGATCATCACCCAGGATTTGACTTTGAGGCTCTGAATAAATCGGGTTACTCTATTGAGACGCGTAGTAGAGCGCTGATATGGTTTAAGCCTTTGCCTGAGGATATGTTGGAGAGATATCCTTGTAAAGGTCTCACGAAGGAGTTTGACGATTATGATTCTACCCAGAATGATGGGAAGCTGAGAAATGAAGATCGCACGAGGGCTGTTCATGATTATGTAGAGGAATGCAGCAGGCTGAGAATGGGACGGAGCTTGTCAACACTCGGAGCTGAGAGATCGTTAATGGATTATCTGAAGATTCATATTGTAGAGTAAGTCCTGATTCCTATTCCTATCCATTCGACTCATTTGAGTCGTATTACCGATGTTTCTATTATTGAGAATCATGCAGATCTCCTAGTCCATACCTCGTCGGACCAGGTCTAGATGGCAGTTACCCCCAACTCGTCGACTACTGGCGCGTAGGCAACATCTACGAAACCATGACAGACACAAACACCGTACAATCCTACCCTCTCTTAACTCTCCAAGCCTGGCACACCCTCAACGGCAAAGAAGACATGATCCTCCTCGGCGAACTATATACCCTCATCTGCGCCATGCGCAACCGCGTTAATCAACGCAGAGCCGATGATCCCGATGAACGAAAAGCTCTATGGGATTTCCCCGCAGATGTCGAATATTGCGGCTTTCAGTTTGAGTCTGAGATACATTTCCCCGTGGTCTTCTTGTCGTATGTTGGCCCGCAGCATGGGAGGATATTTTATGCTTATATGGATAGATACCGGCTAGTGATTTGTCAGTCGAAGTTGTACAGTTTTGAGAAGAAGGAGAGTGCTCCCGTTGATTTTTTTACAAGGATGCTTCTGAGTCGTCCGTTGCAGTATTGAGCGGATTTACAGCTGTTGAATAAATTTCCTTCACTGACGAGAACTGGTGATTGCGTATAAAGCTGTAGGTAAGGTAGGTAGGATAAACGTGAATTAGTACATTTACAAATCTACTATTGATAGAGGGATAACTCCCAATTCTGATAGAATTACATTATTATAATCTGAAAAGTGATCTAAACTTATACAGTTGGAAGTAAGAGAACTTACTAACGGCGGAAATGACACTGCTCCAAGTCCTAAGCGACAAATCTATAGTTCGTTATCATGGCTTTTCTAAAGGCGAACTTGGTCCACCGACTCAGTAGCCTCGGCAAAAATTCCCTGCATAAGTTGTGCATTCTCGTTAAGACCAAGGTAATGCATTTGCTAGGGAAAACCCTTATCCTGCTGACTGAAATACAGCCTTGCGCGACGTTCGGTTCTCAATCAAAAAAAAAACTTACTTTCCTGAGTAGGAGATGTTAATTATGACAATGGACTTCTTTGGCTTTACGTATGGTACCTTTAAGAACATTAGCCTCGTGCTAACCATCGGTCTAGGTAGGGGTATGCCGCGCCGGGGTATGGAATCCGAGTTTCCTGGCGCTGTAGATATTGCGCGAGATACAAGGATTATACAGGTTACGCTAACATATTGCCTACATTAGGGTACCCTAGTTCAACGTGACACGTGTTAGCAACAACACTAGACCGTTTTAAGAGCGAGCTGTTCTAGGCACTTTTGGGCATTATGAAACTAAAGCACGTCACCTAGGCCATAATCACTTCTAATATACCTAGTATAGACCAGTAACAACGCAGGTTTGACCAGATAACAGAACTTGGAAGCGTGATCTCTTATAAACTACGCAGGGGAGCAGAAGGATGAGCAAGTAGGAACAGTATCTTCAAACACAAAAGCTTGGAAAAACGTAGATCTGGAGACATACGTAGTTGGCAATTGGGTACATATAAGAATCGGATTTGGAGTTAGCAAACATAATCACAACCTAGTGCTTCTAGGTAAGATTCCACGGAGTTCGAGTGCGTTTGCGTGCGTCTTTGAATAGAATCACTCTAATAAAAATAGGTCGACATGTTTTCTCCTTCAAATAAGACTAAGTATTCATCCAGACCAGCCCTAAGTAGCCTCTAGCACGAAAAAGTAATTGCCAAGGGGCCGGGGATTAGTAGATACTCAGTGATCGAAGTAAAGACAAACATCATATATAACTAACAACCCTATTTCTAGTGTGTTTGAGGCGAGCAAGGATTGGGTGATGGAGAGAAAGGTAGAAGAACGAGGGCAAAGGTCAAAGGGAGAAAGAAGGCTCTATTTATACAGTATTTAAGTGGAGATAGGCGACAAACATTCACCGTCGGTTCTTCATTTATCTTATGAGAACCGGCCTCTCCGTTGATGATTAATAATCGAGTTGCCCTTCTCTCCTTAACTCGCCAGACGACATGGTTTTCTTTGCAGCTACTCTCGGCCCAACTAAGCTCCGTTGCATTTCTATCACAAATAGGTAAGACGGCTGTATGTGGTTCCGGTGAACCGGACAGACATCATTCCCATATTCGTCTTCATCGAGCTATTCTTGTCGATACTCTGGTATTGTTTGGATTTTAGTGAATAATCGCCCTGCGCCACAATGGAGTCTCCCTCTTAGGGCTATGATTCTCGTAGAGATATTCATTTAAAGCCCTTGGATAACCGACACCCCTTTTAGTTCCAAGGCGGTTCGGCTAGGTTCATTTTCCGAGACTGTAAGCATATCGTCCCGGAAATGACGCCGTCTGTACAGGCTGTTTGTTCGGTGAATTCGATTAGGACTGAAAATCATTGATGTCCATTGAGATCCATCTTATCTTATCTCTTATCTGATCCTATCGCAATCGGCATGAACACCGAAGTATAGAATGAACCAATCAAACCTGCATCACTGAGATATTCCTCTACTCATCAAAGAGGCCTCCAATTCTGAGATGCCTCTGCGTGTTTAGATTTTCAAATGTTCCTAACTCCTCTTTCTCACCGTATTCGAAGAGGTCCAAATTTCCATCACCCACCCGAACACTTCATCGGAAGAAGTCGGCGACGACACGAATGGAATATCTCGGGTAGTCACGGATACACTTATCTTCTCGCTCATCTTGTTCATCTTGTTCACATGGGAGGTCAATTCGGATATCTTTTTTTTTCCCTTTTTCTCCCCATGTGTATGTTTATACATGAAAGAGTGAGAGTTTTGAGAACTTTCTGATTTGCACGTGTCTGTTTGTATTTTAGGGATTACTAAGAGTATGGATTGGATACATGTGAATGATATCATTGTGAGGTCCACCTTACCAATATATAAAGGTTGGATGCCGCTGTAGAATTTTCATATTTATTCGAGAAAACTGTCAATTCCAGGTATAGGAAATGCAATTACTGCTAGTCAATTCATGCTCAGATTGAAATGAGGGCTGCTATGAATCCTGCACCCCTCCGAATAAGGGGGTGGTGGTATGGGAGATCTGTCACGACCAGAAGACTATCGTCTATATTTCGGTGCAACAACTCTAGCTACATAAGAAACAAAAGTACAATCCGACTCTCCTCGACAACCCCCATAACCACGACCAACCCTACTCCAACAACACCAGCAATAACTCTTAGCCAAACCCTAACCCCCTATTCCCAAGCAACCCGTCCAACCACTCCAACCACTCCAACCACTCCAACCACCCAAAACGAAACAATCCTCGTCCTGGGCTCAGGTTGGGGCGGCTACATGTTCTCGCGCAAAATCAATCCAAACCTCTACAATTGCACTGTAATCTCGCCGAGGTCCTACTTCGTCTTTACGCCCTTATTGACGGATACCGCAGCGGGCAATCTGGATTTCTCGTCTATTGTTGAACCGATGCGCGAGTTGAAGAGTCGTGTTGATTTTATACAAGCTGCAGCACGGAGGATCGATTTTAAGAATAAGAAGGTGTTGTGTGAAGCGAGTATTGTAAAATCCGGAGTGACGGAATCCCCCCGCGTGGAAGAGACGGAACGCAAATTCGAGGAAGGGCCCGAAACGGGCCCGATGCGTGGGAAGGAGCATTTACGGACGTGGGAAAAGGGTCAATTATTCGACGTTCCGTACGATAAACTCGTGATTGCGGTGGGATGTACGAGTCAGACATTCGGGACACCAGGGGTAAGGGAAAATGCAATGTTTTTCAAGGACATTGGAGACTCGCGACGGGTCAAGAGACGGGTAAGGGAATGTTTTGAACTTGCTGCTTTACCAACTACAACGGAAGAAATGCAGCGGTATCTGTTGCATTTTGCTATCGTTGGTGCTGGGCCGACTGGCACGGAGTTGGCGGCGACATTGCGAGATTTCGTGTCTAAGAATATGGCAGAGTTGTATCCTGCTCTCAAGGACAAGACTCGAATTTCGTTGTATGATGTCGCACCTACGGTTTTGAGCATGTTTGATAAATCATTGTCTCAATATGCGATTGGGACTATGTCTAAGGATGGGATTGATATTCGGACTTCGCATCATATTCAGGAATTGAGATGGGGTATCCCTAATACCGAGGGACCGCACGAGATGGATCCGAAGGGCTGTTTAACCTTAAAGACTAAAGAGCAGGGTGATGTGGGAGTAGGAATGTGTGTATGGGCGACGGGCAACGCCATGAACAAGTTTATCAAATACTCCTTGAACGAGATTGATGAGTTCCCAGCATCAAGCGCACTACTCAAGGACTCTTCGTCTTTGGTGGATATAAAAGGATGGAGAGTCAAAAAAGCGCCCAAAGTCGGCGCATTACTCGTCGACGGCTATTTCCGAGTCCAACTTGAGCATGAATCGACCGGCCAAGTCGCTGTCTTACAAGACGTATTCGCTATAGGAGACAACGCAATGCCAGAAACCGGTGCGCCACCCGCAACAGCACAAGCAACTTCCCAAGAAGCGAAATGGTTAGCAGAACGATTCAACAACGGCGATCTTAATAAAGTACCCAGTTTCTCGTTTCATAATATGGGCACATTAGCATATATCGGCAGTTCGAATGCATTGATGCAAATACCTCATGAGAAAGTTAATACTAATGGGGGGAAAGATGGTGCCCGCCGAAACCCGTATCTACCAGAAGGATTAACGGGGAGAATGGCATGGTTGGTATGGAAAGTAGCGTATTTGAGTATGAGTATTAGTTGGCGGAATCGGTTCAGGATTTTGTTTCGGTGGACTTTGAATCGAGTCTTTGGGAGTGATGTGTCGAGATTTTGACTAGCAGAGCGTAAGCTCTGCTAGTACAACTACTTGACACAGGGCAGAAAGAAAGAATACTGCATTGGTATCATTAAGTAGACTGAAGTACATAAATCACAACTGAATCATATGCCAATATCATATCGTACACTCATCCAATCCATCAAAAGTCGAGTTTAATAGGCGCGACGACTTCCGCGTCCATCGGTACCACGCATGCGTCGCGTGCCAGCAGCCTATAGTTACAGATTAGCATCAAACCTAACTAGAGAAAAGAAAATATGAGCATACCTTTTCAGCCGGCCTTCCCGTCAAACTCCCCTTCAACCTCATCATAGCTCCCGAAATCTTATCCCCAAGACTCGGCCGCCGACGATGATGATGTGCCGGTGCTGTGCGAGTGGTAGTATGATGATTATATCCGCGACGACGTCTTGTGGCACCAGTGGTAGTTGTACTGCCGTGTCCGTGACGGGTAACTTCTGTCTTGTAGGTTTTGTGTCGCGCGTTGGGGCCCTTCAGACGGGTCATAAGCGTTGGTTTTGTGGTGCGGGTTGTCCGTGTACGACGGCCGAACATTTTGCCTTTTTTTTTTTTTGAAGAAGTCTTAGGTGTAGTATTCCTGTTAAGAGTAAAGTCCTGATTTGTGTTTGTTGGTATTGATAATTGATGGGAGTTGACGTTCTATATATACACATTGGATGATCGAGGTAGACCGATCGATCGACATATGGCATCATTAGCGACGACAGTGGCGTCTCTCATCTCTTAGGGTGTTGAGATGGTTTTACAAGACGTCACTGGTAGTACACTCCATGAATTTAACAGCCACTTCCAGAGACTGTACATATTCCGAGTATAGATTAAGAATGCGGAGATGACATAGTGCCAAGGATCTGAGAGTGGCTGCTGGATGAAAATGAAGCTATTCGCTATCACGATAAGGAGTGACGTCATATCTTATCGATCTCCATCTTAGATAATCGTACACGAACAGAAGGCTCCCACTAGAGCGACGGGTCCGTCGCGATTACGTAAACTTTAAGATTATGTAATCCTCTAAAAAATCCATCTAACTTATCAGAACCTCGGCCCATTCTTCTCTTTAGTCGACCTCCGTGCTATAAATGCATAACCCCTAACAGCAGCCGACATATTAATGGACGTTCGAATAAGGCCTCTCGGGAGTCGTAGATAGATTCGGGAGGGAGGCAATCGTCTGTGAAGGTAGCCATGGTGTTGGTGTTGGTGTTGCAGGCGCTGGGCCGAGGTTCTGATAGATGGATTTTTTAGAGGATTACATAATCTTAAAGTTTACGTAATCGCGACGGACCCGTCGCCCTAGTGGGAGCCCGGACCCAGAATAACTTAACGTAATCCACAAGCGAACCGGCACTTTTTCCCGAACACGTACACAATATTGATCTCAAATCTCAATTTCTAACCCACATACTAATTATATACAAAAAATTAATTCCTAATACGATTAGGACATCCGGTTATTTTATGTCCTGCAACACCACAACCACTGCAGCGAAATTGACGTCGTACAGGTGGATGACAGACTGGAAGCTCAGGCTCGGCCGGAGCAGTAGTAACAGCTTGGGATGCTTCAACCCGACCTTGTACGAGTGCTTGAGCTTCCTCTCTGGTAATTCCCTGCTCATGAGATATTTGCTGCTTAGATCTTCGATGTTTTTGCTTCTCCTTCTCATGTGCAGCCCGTAGATCATGGAGTTCCTTCTGTGCAATTGTAAGCTTATTAATACTCATCTCATAAGCCTTTGATGCCCGTGTAAACACTTCACCAATAGCCTCAGATGAACTCCTTGTATGCCGGCTTATTCTCTTCTTCGTATTAGTCATTTGGCGCTTAAATTGACATGCGTTTTGAGGGGTTTGCAAGCAGGATGATTGTGTATCACTTGATCGACTTGGAGGGGGTGTTGGAGTCTTCAATCGAACAGTAAGCTGTTGATAAACTCGATCTGGATTGAATGGTACTAATCCAGTTACCATAAAGCTATTCCGAACAGTTTGAGCTTTATATGCCATCGTACGAGCCTTCGGGAATGCAGTGAGAAAGTCGATTTTGTCAATGTGATTGAATCCAAGCCTCATTCGCTGCTCAATAAGCCGTCCATATTCTCGCTTTAAAACAGCAAAACAGCCAACATCAAGAGGCTGTAAAAGATGTGAAGAATGAGGAGGCATACAGACCGGAATAATATTATTCTCAGTGCATGTACGGTCAAATTCAGCAGTTAAATGGCTTCCATGGCCATCAAGAATCAACATCTGATATTTCCCCAATGTACGGCCATCAGTAAGAGGAATAAAATGAGTTTTAAGCCATTCTAATCCAATCTTATCTGTCGTCCATCCATTGTCGCTAATGTTGATTTTCCAGTCGTCTGGAAGATCCTCAAACCAGCCTAATCGAGTGTATTTCTTTGCCTTGAAAATAATATACGAAGGCAATGCCCATCCAATCGAATTAACTGCCTCAATTGCAGTTACCCATTCTCGGTTACCAGGCTGTAATAGCTTTGGCCGAGCGTATCGATCGCTTCCAGTGATAACCTTTGCAGTCGCACGGAGTCCCATAGCAAAGCCAGTCTCATCAAAATTGTAGATATCTTCTGGCAAGATCCCATACTCTAATATAACCTCTCGTACGCGATCAAAATACTCTTGGATTATCTTCGGATCTTCACACTTAGCACGTTCATAGTTATATTTCCGTGAGGACTTTGATTCAATCTCTGGGCGACGTTTGACAAGGTTATATACCCAATTCTCTCCAACCCGGCGGTTTCCGCGTTGCGAAAGAAGATAATCGGCCATCTCTCGTACAAGAGAGTGTCGAGGGGGTAATCCACGTTTATCTAGATCGAGTATCCATTCGACAAGCAATTCCTCCTCACACTGAGTTAATTTATGACTATTGGCGCGAACTTGAGATCTTTGTTGAGTGCCGTTTAATCTGTCTTGTAGAGTCGCCCGGGGTATACTGTAAATCCTTGCAGCTTGAGCCACGCGCAAGATTCGTCCATTCTGTAAACCGGAAATAGCTAATAAGATTCGTCCTTATTGCTCAGCTAAATCTTTCTTATTTTTATTGCGAATTGGTGGCATTTTGGCGTGTTGAATAGTATGGAATTAATATTGTGTACGCGTTCGGGAAAAGGTGCCGGTTCGCTTGTGGATTACGTTAGTTAACGTAACTTAGTTTATGTTAACTACTTACTTATATTAATCTCTTTTCTTATTGTCTGTAATGTCATTATAATCATACAATCAGTGCCGCGCCGGATTTCGAGTATGGCCATGGCTCAATTGATTCAGACCCGAGTTGGCCGTCCATCGAAGGACCTATACCAATTCCAAGAGGAGATATCGAGCCGGTTTCTAGACGGAGAAACGATGGAGGATATCGCCGAATACTTAACAAACGAATATCAATATGAAATCAATAGCCGTACTATTCGACGTCGTCTCAAGGAATGGGGCATTAAACGGCGGGTTAGGACTATTGACAAGGAGAATCTAGACAACCAGATTATGATATTATTCTTCCAATGTGGATTGTCAGATGATGATATGCATTCGGCTTTGCAAAAACAAGGTTGTACTATTGGACCGCGAGCACTTAGGGTTCGTCGCCGGAGATTAGGTCTATACCGACAACTTTCAACAGGAGACTTTGCAGCACTCGAAGCCAGTATACGAGAAGCGGTTCAGAAAGAGCTTGACAAGGGCATTATTGAGAGTTATGGACGTGAATATCTCTTCACTTGCTTTTGTAGCAAACAACATATAGTTTCTCGGTAAGTTACACTATATCTATATTCTTATAACACCTATCTAACCTAGAGGTAGTGATCGGCTCTTCCGGATTGTAATTGGATCCCGAAGGGGTCAGTAGGAGGAGAAATGATTTACAACGTACTCGCAGCGATTTTAGCACTCCGGGACCGAATTATCTCTGGTCAATTGATGGCTATGCTAAACTTTTTTTTTCTGAGGATTCTAAATCTATGGGATTGATGCTTATTCTCGATATGTCGTATGGATATATGTTGGGAAAAGTAACCGAACAGGATTTAGTGTTCTCCGCCAATACCTTGATACGCTGAAATCGGAGCGAAGGCAACCCAGGTTCATACGATCTGATGGGGGAGACACCACATTATTAGCAGCAGCTCAGCATGCTTTATATAAGAAACATAACGAGAATGCGACTATCTCAGACTGTTATTGGTATGGCACGAGTACATCAAACCAGCGAATAGAGGCATGGTGGTCCCAATTGACTAAAAGTTGTATTTTCCGATGGTGGGTAAGAGTCTAAATTTGTTTAACATTTCGATGCACTGCCTTACTAATATGACTATAGGATTATTTCCAAACGCTTAATCGCGATCGCCTCTTCGAGCAGGACCAAATTTCCGATCGTATTGCAATATTAGCAGTATATATGCCCTTCATCCGGGACGAATTATATAAGTTTATTCGATTGTGGAATGTGCATACAATCCGGAAACAGAAAAATCAACCTAGTGGTGTTTTTGGAAAGCCCTTCTTTCTGTATCATTATCCCGAGGATCGGGATGCACACGTTTATGGTCTTCTGCCTGATGACAGTCTTCTTAATGGGCTATTAGAGACGGGTGACTGGAGTATGGTTCTATTTCTCCTGACTATAAGACTGCACTTAACATCTTATCTAGATATTGATAAATATGTACCCGAGGAGACTCTTCAATGGTGTTAAGAAAAGCTTCATGAGCTAGGATACATTTCTTTACAACTGCAAGACGTGTTCCCGGATGGATCACGTCGTCACTGCAGTGCCTATTTCGAGCTTCGAGACTGTATTAAGCAACATATGACTACTGGCAAAGCACCTTTAGTTGCTGAATCTGAACAGCCAACTTAGGAATGGCTTCGGACTCTAGCTATAGACGATCAGCGTGATGATACTGTAGAGGAAGCAACTTTAGATTATGAGCTTCAGGAGAGTGATATAGTAATTGAAATCTCTTCATAGAATCCTACTTGTTTTATACGTAATCTTATTGCTCGTACTGCTCCGGTAAACGCAGTGAATGCATATAGAAAATAGGACACGTCTTATTACTATGATGGAACAGCAATATGAACTGTACGACTACACAGTGAGGTCGTCTACAATATCCTTAACGCCATCAAGGATATTCTGGATGTCGTCAATGAATCAAAGGACACCAAACTCTAATGAAACCAAGTAAGTACTCTACTCACCGTACCACGCATTCCGGAGCCATTTGGTTAACTCTCCACTAGGTTTCTCAAAGCTGTGCCTGCTCTGTAGAGCTCCTTTGCTCTGCAGTCCGTTTTCGCTCACTTCAAGTACAGTATCCGGAGCTCTGGAATACCACACATATACTGACTTCAGTATAGATTTCGATTCCCGGTTGCTTTCGGGCAGGGTGCGGTTGAAGAAAGAGGATTCCGGAGCTTTTTATTATCTTTCCATCTAGTCCCATGAATTCACTGCTTCCTGATTGGTCAGAAGACTTCGTAAGCCGCAGTGCTGCATACGCTTGGCGCACAAATTTTCAATTTCCTACTCGGCATATTGAGACACGTATTCGAGCACAGATTTGATCACCTATTCTAGCACGGATCCAGTGGTTCACGGTGGCATATTCTATCTGTTAGAGGCATATTGCAGCATTTTTTGAGCAGCCATCGGTACATTATTCGTCAACAGGGGTTGGTGCAATACATGCAGAAAGTACTTGCTTGTAGAGGGAGGACTTGCTTAAATAACTCGACTAGACTCTTCGGACCAATAAACAGCCAACGTGCATTTATCAAATTTACATGTAGACGAATGTATTACTAGTGAAATACTCATTTTGTCCTTAACGTACGATTAGACTGCCGTACGTACTCGAGTTTAATGTTGTCGAGGCATTATTTGATGAATATTACGATGAACTTATGCCCGCATACGGCAAACAACATTCTCACAACCAGTATGGTATATAAGATCTAAAGCTTCACAACTAATTTTCCACCCGAAACTTGCCCCCGTCTGAGTTTTTCCAACCCTTTTTGAATACCGTCAAACCCACTGCCGATCAGAGTCACTGGAGGAGGCTTGAGATGTGGCAGATACTTCGGTAAATCTTTGTAAAATTCAACGAGAGCTTCACGGTGTGAAGGAATAGCGGGCCTGCTGGGACCAATAGGCGGGAGCCAGGCAAATTGACGTCCGAATAAGGTGTAGGCAAAAATCATCTCACACTCGACTCCTGGAACTTTCGATTTTCCTGTATCAAGCAGCGTAATGACCTTGCCACCATTCGTTCCAATTGCCTTGGAGCAAAAGTCGGATGATTGACCCTCAGAGAAGCAATCCAAAGCAAATCTGATGTCAGGAAAGGTTGCAGTAATGTCCCGAATTGCATTTTTCGACCGATAGTCAAAGACTCTGTCCGCACCGTATTCCCGGACAAGATCGAAAGAATGCGGGGATGCAGTCGCAACAACTGTGTATCCTGCTCTGCTGGCAAGTTGTAGAGCGTAAAGACCCACACTGGTCGAAGCAGCATAGATGAGTACACTAGGCCGTTCTTCCAGCGATCCAGCCCCATCTCCGACGCCGAGTCGATGGTGGAGAGCCAGCATGGCCGTGACGGCTGATATCCCGTATGTCGCCGCTGCTTCGTCACTGATTCCCTCTGGGACTCTCCAGGCGAGGTCACTGTCAGCTTTCAGGAACTCGGCGAACGAGCCACGGTCGGGATATAGCCCTCCATGTACACATCCAGCAACACGATCACCGACTTTCCATCCTCCTTTTGCATTCTTCCCAACCTCAACTACCGTCCCAGCATAATCGCAGCCACAGATGCTATTAGGAGGGGAGATAATGTCGATATGTTTGAAGTCGGTCGGGTTGAGCGCGACAGCATGGACTTTAACAAGGATTTCCAGGTCTGATATAGCCGGAATAGGTACGTCTTTAACTTCAGCTCCTTGTCCAATTGATTTGCCCAGACTCAGATTGAGAATCCGGCTGAGAATATTGCGTGAGGTAACCAAGGCCTTCATTTTATGTTCGGGGATATTTAGGCGTTACTATGCCAGGGTAACCACCCAAAGACCGCAGTGTCTTCATATATCGCCAAGTGGTGATGTCAGGACGGATGTACAGTTCTACCGTGGACCCATAGTTGTCTCGGAATCGGGTGAATAATCTGCCCATCCTGAATTTCCAGCCTTGACCTTTCTTTAAGAGAATATGTTCGGGAATATCAGTAATCATTCTACCAGTATCACGTTGACCTCGGCTTGCCACTTGTTATCTGATTACCAACACTTTGGGCTGCGATAACTAACTAGTTGAGTTGAATCTGGATTACGCTGATTTTAATGGCCTACCCAAATTGAAAATTATATAGCTCGGACTGTCAAATATAACACGATTCTTACAGGTAACCCATTGTCTAATTACTCCCTGTTCTCACATAAGGGTCAAGGAGACGCCTGGCGCTCAAGATGTCTTTTATTTTTCACAGAAAAATCACCTACAATCCCGACAAGGACATTCCAGATCTAGAGAGCAAGGTAATCTTGGTCACTGGAGGAAATAATGGTTTGGGTAAAGAAACCGTTAAAGAGTTGGCAAAGCACAACCCGACAAAGATCTATATGGGCGCACGTAGCAAGGCCAAAGCTTCTGCTGCAATTGCAGAGTTGAAAGAACAAGTCCCTTCCGCGAACATTATCTATCTCGAAATCAATTTGGCATCTTTCTCTTCCATCAAAAGGGCCGCTGCCACCTTTTTAGCGGAGAATGACCGTCTCCATATCCTCGTGAATAATGCTGGTGTTTTCGCCACTCCGCCAGGGTTGACAGAGGACGGGTACGAAGTCCAGTTTGGCACCAATTACATGGGTCCAGCACTATTCACCAAATTACTGCTACCAATTCTGGAGAAGACAGCTAGCATTTCTGAAGGCAATGTTCGAATCATCAACATCAGCTCCGAAATATATAAGTTGGCTCCCAAAGGAGGGCTTCTCCTCGCTCAAGATAAGACGCCACTTACGGAGATCAGTACCGTGGCCCGCTATGGCCAGTGCAAACTTGCAAATATTTACTTCACTAAATCTTACGCCAAACGTTATCCTGCCATCAAGTCTGTAGCCTTACACCCGGGCCTCGTCCAGACCAACATCGGTGGTGAAATGAAGGGCTTCTCCATCATGTCTCTTATTTTTGGCCTTCTCAATAGAGTCAGTTCTGTTGATGTAGCCACGGGAGCCTTAAATCAACTTTGGGCGAGTACTTTCGATGCAGAAAAGGTCAACAGTGGCGCATACTACATTCCATTCTTCAAGGAGAGTAATAGACGGGATATCACGAAGGACGAGAAAAAAATGGAGGAGTTGTGGGAATGGACGGAAAAGGAATTCAAGGAGCATGGATTGTCATCGTAACTCATCTGACCTCTTCACTAAATCAAATCATCAATGCTCTTCTGTTGATGAAACCCCTGACGGCTTGACCGGGTTTCCGTATTTTGATGCAGAAAGGAAAATCTTTTCTTTAAGCTCTAGGGAAGCAACGATCGTACATGGCGCGCACTCATCAATGCAAAGAACTAGTACCATAATAAATGGTGGCATATGCTCAGAATAGCATTGCTCTCTTCTAAGCCCTACTGCTGTGAATGTCTCAAAACATTAGAAAGCCACTTTTCCAGCACCGCGGAAGACTATATACTAGTCACGAACAATGCATCCTCTTATTACTCTAAAGGGACCTAGAAAGATGTCTAGAAACTGGTATAGACTTGGTATATCTGCTTGCGATTTTGCCAGACCTAAACCTTGGGATCTTTACCAAAAGCCTTTGATTAGGCAAGATGGACAGTCTTACTGATTACCAACAGCCGGGATTGGAAGGTTTGATAACTTCTTCAAAGGGTGGTCCGACATTATTGCGATTAATAAAAAATTATTGACTGAGTTTAGGAATATATTTAAGAGAAAGATCTGCGCATAGGCTCGGCTTTTAGTCCTGAGAACCATCTTTCCCCCTGCGGTCACTTTCTGTGAAATCTTAACAGCCAAATGAGCATTCTTCATGGAACCAACGATGATGAGACCTTGGATCGGGAGTCACAGAGATAACTTGGAATCAGTCCCGAGAAGGAGCAGATCATTCTATATCTATTGGAACTAAGACTAGCTCCACAGGTCGCAATTCCTCCGAGCTGTTTAATCAGAGGCAGTATCACGCCCAAAACATCGCCTCCGGCACATTTAAAAGTATAGACCCAATCAGTAGTATCATGGATAAAGAGGATATTACATTACTGAATGATGTGAGTACATATTGGAGCCCTGAGGCTGACGAGAAAGGTAAATGGTCCTCCAAGGTAACAGTAGAAGGACACCAACCTACCATCTCACTTGTTTAGTCTTCTTTGATGTTCTTTTGGAGTAGGAAACGAATTATGTTCTCATTACTTAAGTTTTGATGGGGATCATGGACTCACCACACAGCCACACCTACCGTCTAAGTCATGAACAGAGCTAATGATCATAAAGTATCGTACTGTCTGGTAGCTTCTGGCGATTGAATATGCGACATTTTCTCATTATAGAGGTGAAGATGACACGTTCAAGAATGATGACCATACGCGTCAAGACCTGCCGACTTGGCCGTAGATTTCGTTATTGCTCCCGAAAGGTCTACATTTTGTCTCTACATGTTATCGGGAAGACTATTGCTCCGTTAACAGTTGTTCTGATTAGTGAACAAATATATACTTGGCCAGGACTTCATTACACCGGTTGCCACCTCTTCACAGGCTCTTTGTGGGTCAAGCTGATCGAATCGCCAACAAGTTCACATATTTGAAGTGGATGGAGTGAGTCTTCTTTTTGGATAATAGATTGGCTTTTATAAAGACTTTGTCAATCCACTCCAGTTGAGTGCTATACAAGATCGCTTTATTGATATCTCCTCCTTTAAAGAAGTGCCAGTCATACCACTGCTGTCTTTGATAGAACTGGGGAATAGGCTCATTTATGAACTCCCATCGATAAAAGAGATAGAATGCCGCTTGGCTGATTGTACAGAGTAAAGGCTCTTTGTGTCGTATAACCCCATATACTTAATATTACCAAATTGATTAGTTTTGCCTTAAGATTTCATAATAATTATTGACCAACATGGGGTTGGGCCTTCCTCCATTTGAATAGTGAACATATCAGCGAATTGAAGGCCTTGTACATCCTCTCCTCAGAGTAGCATGGAATGGGAAAAGAGAAAGTCCGTGGCCATACAAAGGTATGATTTCTGGGCTTAAGGTCTCTAGCTTTTAGTTTCCTGATCTCTCCATCCTATCCAACAGTATTGTACGATAGCCCAGATATCCTCTTGGGTATAGCTATTCTGTAAGGAATGAAGGCCTCGGTCCACATATGTCTCCTTTCTCCGCTGGTTCTCATTGGATTTGTAAGATCTGAGAAGACTGCTCACCAAATGACCCCTAGGATTTGGATGAGGATTCGTACCTAGAGATCGCTGCCAGTTCCAATGGTTAACAATGCTACTAATGTAGTTCTGGAGAGTAGAATGTCCTATTTTTTAGATGACTTCTTCGCCCTGCTTATCCATACGAGCCTTGAGATAGCAACTGGGTTTGATTGGACGGTGAAGCACTTCTTTCTCTAGAAAGAGTATAAGCTTCTTCTCTGTTATAGTCTCTCCGTCCGGAAACTTGCGTCCTTCATAGAATTAAATCCATTCCTTCTGTATACGAGAGTATGCCTTGTTGGTATTCTTTGGCCGGTTTTCTCTGGCTTTAAGCGCTACTCGTTATACAATTATATTTGGCTCTGCTTGGACCTCCACCTGGTAGCCTTGCCGCCGTACGATATCGCTGCTAGATGAGGCTTCAGGATTCATATTCGATAGAGATTAGGGAGGCGCTGTACGAGGAAGGCTTAGTGAATGTGCTAATATATCATGCAGGGATGGCCATATTTCCCAGTAGTGATTAGAAATATGGTGAGCTCATTCATACATGCTAAAACTTTGAGGATTTAGATTACCGGCCGCCTTTGCGACCGCCTGCCATATTAATTCTAGGGTCGTACGGTCTGGTAATTGATTCTTAGGAGAAGTGGACTTTTTTTGGTAACTCGTACGGTAACTAGCCAATGATAAGACCCTAGATATCCGAGATATTTAGGGGCAAAGTGGATTTAGGGGGTGCGGGTTCGTAACTGAGGTTGTAACTACGGGTTGGATAAAGACATTGAACTTGTATGGAAATGTCGGAAACTTCGGTCGAACTACCGTCGAATAGTTATATCTCGGATAGCTATTAACGGGTCGAAGTTAATAGGCCTAAGTACGAAAGGCTTCTTGAAAGCAAAGTCTTAACAAAATGATGAATATCCGGTTCGATAGAAGAACGTATACTCAAGTTATCGCAGTGAATCCAAGACGATAAAATGAACTAGATACATGGTAGATGGGTGTCCTTAAATATCCTTTCATGGGCATATCCGGCAGAATCTTGGCTCTGTTGGCTCTGTCTTGGACATATCCTTTTCTAGCAACGTGTCGGATTGATGGGTTAACTCCAGGCCAATCCTGAATAATTGCTTACAAGGATGGTAAAAGAAGGAGTGACTAGCAAGATTGTATGTATTCTTTTTTTTTTCTTCTCTCAGTACATGAGGTTCCAAAGCCGGGTTTTTTATAGACCTTTCTTGGTGGGATGATTTGTGAGCTATCATGAGGGGTAAATATTGGGCTGAAATCTAGGGGCCCAAATGGGGATTGATGTAGTTGATCTCTGCCTTGTTGGAATAGATGGATTATCCAACATATCCAACACAACGGCTCTGTTGCCCTAACCCTAAGGGTTATTCGGATAATCCTAGCTCCGTCATGCAGTAGTGTGCCGCTTACCTGTGAAATAAGTTAACCTTAGCAGTGTGCCCGGACGAATGTTCCTTTGCAAGCGGACGAACTGGATATATCGTCCGGGTATGCTGAATGTGATATTCCATTTTTGCTTAGTAGAGGAACCCTCAGTAAGCCCTTAAAGCCCTCTTATTGGGCAGATGAATCTGGTTCCACTTGACTGTTTCATTAATTTTCAAATTAGGAAAATCTAATTGAATATCTGCCAAAGAAGGTTTTCTAAGGATTGCATTGCTCTAAGCAATACATGGAAGGTTTGACTGAGGGATGGAGAGAAGTAGATATAAATATTGAGCTTTGCCTACGTTAGAGACATCCATCTGTAGGAAGCAACAATTCGATTGATTTCTTCGATATCTTGCATCATCCGACTTAAATCTCCTACGTTCTTGTTTACGGGGAATAAGAAGAGAATACAACGAATATGCCTGCTGAAACACTCTCACTAGCCGGAAACGTCGCCATCGTTACCGGTTCTGGTCGTGAAAATGGTATCGGTGCTGGAATCGCGTTTGCCCTAGCTCGTAACGGCGCAGCTGTTACCATTAACTATGTCTCTGAGTCCTCGGCAAAGCGTGCTGAAGGTGTTGCACAGAAAATCAGGAATGAGGGTGGGAAAGCAACTGTTATAAGGGCGTCTGTTAACGAGGAAGGGCGAAAACTCTTGTCGAGGGTACACTCAAAGCTTTTGGGACAGACCACATTGACATTCTAGGTGTGCAATTTATCTACATAAAGTCCGGAGTAATCTATACTGATAGGTTCAGTCAACAACGCCGGACAGGGAAATATTGGCCCTACCTTGGCCCTATCTCTGGACAAGGTCAGAGAGACCTTCGAAGTTAATCTCTACGGTCCTCTGTTCATGGTCCGTGCGGTCGTGCCACACATGCCTCCTGGAGGACGTATAATCAATATCACGTCCGCAGCGGCGAGAATGCCTTCGGCTACCTACGGTGTCTATGGATCGTCAAAGGCTGCGCTTGACTATCTGACAGCTGTATGGGCAGAAGAAGTAAGGTTTCATCCAACTTTTCTTTCAAGGACAAAACAAAACTAAATATGACTTATAGTTTGGCAAAAGTCGCGGCATAACTGTCAACTCAGTTGGCCCTGGTATCGTTGAAACAGATATTGTTCCTTCTGACCCTGAAGCCCGGAAAGCAGCTTTCGAACCATATGTTCGTATGACAAGGGCTGCTGATAGGCCAGGGACGATTGAAGATATTGGAGATACCGTCCTTTGGTTCGCATCTGAGAAAGCAAGATGGATCACTGCTCAACATATTTCTGCTAGTGGAGGCGTAACAGCATTATAAGAGAGCTGGTCGTATTCCAATGGTTATGAAATTGTGTTGGGGGCCATCAGCAGACTGGAGTCGGTCTTCGAAGCAGCCTTGGAAGTATAAAATGGAACCTTGGAATCAATGATGCGCCCTTAGATATAAATTCATGTTTTGATATTTTGATACATACAGGAATCAATCCATACTTCAATAATTACTGATACTGTCAATAACTATCAGCCATTTCGTACATCTCTCTAATCATATCCTCCTGGTGCTTGAACATTTGGTCCATCCACAAGATAAGCTGTAGAACTAGTCAGACTTCGTCCCATTCAAGATTGCCCATTTGCGTCGCAGTTGCGCATATTGCATCGATATACCAGTGAACTTCCACATTATCCGCGACAGGTGCTGCTACTGTAAGAACCCACAAGCGCAGCTCTAAGTAAGGCATCCAGTAATTTTCATACCGTAAAGAAGCTTTTTCAACAGATTTTATGTTCATAGAGCCCGCTTGGTTTGATTGAGAATTTTACCTGATTAGGATCTTTCTTGCAATACTGCTAGATAACTCTATAAATCTTCTTGGCTTTTTAAGCGGTTCATATCATAATTTCGTGTTGTAGGATTCAAAAAATAAGCTGCCCAGTGAACATCTTGAACCTGTCGAACCATTCATTCTGGCAATTTCTTCTCAAATAGAAGCTATATATTGGAACCAAAAGATGCAGATATAATAGATTAGTGTAGATAAAGTTCAATAGATATCCACCGTCCAACAACAAGACCTGTATGGGATGTTGTTGCTTCAGAAGCTTTAATTGTTTTGTTTATTGGTCGTATAATATTAAGAAGAAGCGTTACTCCATCCCAGAAATCTGTAGACTGTGATGGCATTCATTCTCTATCCTAAGAGGTAACTAGTCGAACAAAAACTAAGCATGAGGAAAAAAAGGAAAGGAGCACGCTCAGCCGCGGGCAGAGATCACTTTTGTATGTGTGCGTACGGCTCTCTTCGGAGCCTAATCGGGAAATTGTGAAGACAAAGAGATATCCCGATTTGGAACTCCCTAGGGCTTAGGGCTCCGACAAGGAGCCAACGCGATACAGCTGCCAGGCCCGTCACATAGACCAGATTGTACAAATGTACATCGTCTACAAATGTATAGCTCTTACAAATGTACATCGCCTACATATGTACACTCTTTACGTATGTAGAACCTTTGCAAATGTACGCTATTCACATATGTATAATTTTTACAAATGTACAGCTCTTACAAATGTATAGCTCTCACCGATGTACACCATTTACAAATGTACACTGCTTACAGATGTATAGCGCTTACAAATATATGCTATTCACATATGTACAATTGTTACAAGTGTGTTTATGAACTAGTTCCATCTACTACGTTAACTAGAGAAAAGGGAAAATGTATGGTTCATCACTCCTGGGACCAGTTTTGAATGGTTCCAAGTAGCATCATTTCCTAGCATGAGCGCGGAACCGTTCCTGAATCAACCCTTTCAGGAGGGGGTCCATTCCTCCTATTAAATTCAATTCTGGTACCAGCTCTATTTCGAGAACATGAGATCACTTCATACCGAGTCTGTATCTTGCTGTTGGTTTACCTTCGTTAGATCGCAAGATCTAAGAAGGACAGCTAATCCAACAAGCTGACTGAGCCAGTAATACTGAATTCCTAATATTGCGACTAATCCTAAGAACTAGGGGGATGTGGGTGGTGAGATGTAGTTATCCTCCGTACGCTATAGCGCACGGATAAACTATATCCCATTCCCGCGCTGAGATAGGCAAGATTGCTATACCGACACTTGCATCAAGTCAAAGATCAAACTTTGGTTTCTAAGCCCAAAATAATTAAGAAATTAATTTTATTGGTTCAACTTTACGCTCACAGTCTATATATATTACAACCAATTAAGCTTATACAGTCTGTTCACCAAAATCATCATGTAGTTGCCTGTGGATGTGACGGCTGGGTTACGGAGCAGGATATCGTACGGGCCTTGCTGGCACCTGGACAGAGCCCTAAGCCCTAAGAGGATGACCTTGGCGGGGATATCCTCCTTTGTCTTCAGGATTTCCTAAATAGGCACCGACAAGGCCCCGGACGCACATATAAAAAGAGTCCTTACGAGCGGCTTAGCGAGTCTTTTCTCCCTCTTTCCTCATGCTTAGTTTTTGCTCGATTAGTTACCTCTTAGGATAGAGAATGAACGCCCTCACAGTGGAGATAATACTACTCATAATCTCTTACCTGCTATCCTGGGAAGTCAAGCACTTATCGCTAGTAGACAAAAGAACGAGAGCAATATGCATTCTATCTCTCTTTTGTTCAGTACGAGTAGGGTTCTCAAGAAGCAGCCTCTCTATACTAATGAGCCTTACATTGTTGACTCTATGCTAACAAGTGACATCTTTCATATATGTGGTTCCACAGTTACTAAAAACAGGTACGAGGTGTGCTATATAATTTGCAACCCAAACTGACCCTCTTTAAGATGTTACTAATTTTGATTTTTTTTAAATCTTCTATTTTGACGCTGGAACACTATGTAAAAATGACGAAATCTCAGTTCAATCTGGGATTTCTGCCAAGAGAATGTCCGCTACATATGGCTATCTTTTAGACTGTGCAAAAGATGTGTAGGAAATAGAATCAGATCCTCAAACATAGCATTGATTAAGCCGCACTATTAAAAGGCCTGTGTGTATTTCTATATCTGAAAGAACTTATAGTGTATTTCTGTGTGCCCCTGAAAAGAAAACCATGGCTAGAAGCATATATTGATCTCGACATGAATATAACTGAGGGGCTGTACACACATCACATGCAAGTGATTGCACAAGCCCTATCTGACAGACCGAAGTGGGGTTTAGACTAAGTCGACAGCATTCATTTACAGGGATTTCAGATTTAGACTGGACAGCAGTATAAGATCTTAGATCTAATATCCCTATCTACTACTCATTTACAGGAGCTGCTGGTTAGTATACGCAGTCTAAAGATGACACAGTCTGAGTCAGCTCTGGAGTTACTTTCACAACAGGAGCTGAACATCGATCAGCTTGACATGTGTGATATAATGATTAATTATGATACCCTAAAATGGGTTTTTTCCTGCTAATTAACCAGCTCTTCACTTAATTAGTTTCCATAATGTTGTTGTAACGGAGGTTCCATTCAAGGAACCTGCATCTTAGTTAAGTGTTGACATTCTATCTGAACTAATCAGTGCTCATAAAGGAGCATAGGGCCAGGCAATGTACTGCCATTGTTATTCTCGGCACAATAGCTGGAGGATTTTATGGAAGAATGAACCTCTTATTTAATCTGTTCATTAGGACAAGCTATTAGAAATAGCAGACATAAATAGGATACAAGTCCTTCTTTTCAAGCATCACAGATCAACTATAAATATATTACGAGTCAGATACCCTATGGATCCTAAAATTGAGCGACGAAAGGCCCTTCAGAAGTACAACAGACGAATGAAAAGCCTTCTTCTAAAAGCAGTTAATATAAGCATTCTCTGCAATGTAGAGATATTTCTTGGTATTTGAATCTGGGAGACGGGCTGTGTCACTACATTTTGCTCAGACCCAGAAGGACTCTGGTCTCCTGCTATCTTAAAATTAGTATATCCTTGAATATTTGTGGGAAGGCTGGTGATTTAGTAACTATAAAGGGTTGCTTGCTACTAGCAACCCAGCGACGAAGTTTCCTTTCAAGAAGTTCTTGAACTGTGAGTATTCCCCTATTGCCTCAGAGTCCAAGGATAGTAGATTTTGGTACAACAATAACTGACTGAGAGGTGTCAGGTGGTAGGATTCTATGCTTCTCCTTTAAAGGAAGCCTCATGTTGGTGGTAGAGGTTTGCCTTTTTGAATCTGTTGTAAACCAGTCGCATTGCTTCCCAGTATCTTTGCTAATAATATTATAATGTATTTCTCGGTCTATGAGTCTCCTCTTCTTGTTCCTATTCTCAACTCATGTATTAGGGAACTCTCTTATACGAAAATAACCCTACAACTATTCATTTTCTTGTGGAATCACGTGGGAAATTTGGGAACCTGCGGCATTAGTTGGAAGCTGAGAGGCTGAGTCTGTCGGCAAAACTTCATCATCTAGAGATTCAAGATAAGAATCGATGTGAGCACTGACTGCTGATTGAGTCGGGTCAGGGGTTTGAGATGGAAGTGCTGGGCCTATTCCTGGATCTTGGGCTGTTGGACTCCTGGATAGCCTAGGTGTCACGTTTTCAAAAGGTTCATCGCTCTGATAGCCATCGTTTAGAGCGAGGTAGTTCAGACGGTTTCCACGAGTCTGCATCACCAGTGGAAAAGATCGAGATGCAAATCTGTGGGAGTGAAAATAATAGGGAGGTGATTGTTCAACGAGAAGACTGGGAGGTGCTAGGTGTCTGTCGATATGAAGTAGGATTAATCATATTGGTGCTATTTAGCGCGAATACCAAGCATTAGAAGGAAAGGAAAGAGTAAGAGGCGAAGTTATCTTCAGCTGTTTGATATCTCCTTTGTGCGTCATCTGATTACTGCACGTGATATATTGTGAATAATTATTCGAATTCGCACAATGAAGATTTGCGAATATTATTCGTAGTATTTGTGAATTGCGAATGCGAATAACGAATATTGCTGATTACTGCGAATATTCGTATTCGCAACTGCCCTACCCCTATTATCTGCATTAATAGCCTTATCGAGACTTATAGCCAATTAAGTAATTAAAAATTTTCTCCTATTATGTTAACACTCCATTGAATTGAATATTAAGACAGGACGCACAAAAAAGTAGTTAATCTCCCCAAACCTAGCTTCTTTTCATTTTGTTTCTGCATATAATTATATCTTTAGCGATGTCTTTTCTTATTGAAACTCGAGGACGTCCTTCAAAAGATCTGACCCCATATAAAAACGAGATCTCGAATTTATTCAATGACAGTGAGACAGCAGAGGCTATTGTAGATTATCTATTAGCCGAATATCGGATCAAGGTCACCAGTCGTACCATTCAGCGACGCCTGAGGACATGGGGGTTCAGACGGCGGATTAAGACCCAACACCATGAAGATCTAGAGAACCAAATCCTAAATCTATTCTACCAGTGTGGGCTATCAGACACTGACATGCATTACGTGCTCCAGAAACAGGGTTTGCAAATTGGGCTAGATGGTCTAAGGAGATACCGCCGGAGGATGGGTCTGCTACGTCGATTTAAAGCCGGAGAAGTGGAAGATGAGATTCGGATAGCAGTTCAAAAGGAGCTGGATAGCGGGCAGATTGAAGGTTATGTTTGCGGGCTTCTTTATACATATTTCCGCAGCAGACAGCACATAGTCTCTCGGTAAGTAAAAACAATATTACTTGATCCAGCTTTCTAATCTTGCAGCAGTGATCGGCTTTTCGAATTGTAAGAGAGATCGATCCAGAAGGAATTACCAGACCGCGGAATGAACTACAGCGAACTCGTGGCGACTTTAGCGTTCCAGGACCAAATTTCCCTTGGTCTATTGACAGACATGCTAAACTATTTTACTGGGGGGTTCAAATTTATACAGGAATTGATGCCTATTCCCATTATATCACATGGATATACGTTGGAACTAGTAATCGGAAAGAATTCAGTGTTCTCCGCCAATTTCTTGATACTTTACAATCAGAGAAGAAACAACCCAGGTTTGTCCGATCGCATAAGGGAGGAGAGGCTACACTCCTAGCAGCAGCACATCATGCCTTATATAAAAAGCATTACTCAGATTCCAATATCTCAGACTGTTATTGGTACGGTACGAGTACGTCGAACCAACGAATTGAAGCATGGTGGTCTCAAATGCCGAAGAGTGTTCTTTTCCGATGGCGGGTAAGCTGTTAGTCCATCTGCATTAAATAATAACTAATATCAAGATAGGACTATTTCCAAAGACTCGTTGAAGACCGACTATTTGCTCATAATAATGCTGCGGGCCGTATTGCGATCCTGGCGGTATATATGCCATTATTTCGGCAGGAAATATGCAACTATGTTCGTATATGGAATGTACATAGAATTCGGAGTATTTGGGAAACCGTTTTTGCTCTATCATTTCCTAAAACCCGGTGTGCAAGATTATGGGTTGATCCCTGATACAAGGTGCAAAGCTGCTTGTGGGAAGGATGTGAGGGAACTTGAGTGAATGGAAGGGTTTGGATTGACTCTTTTTGAGGGTGGAGGAAGGGAGTTGAACGATTATGAGGAGATATACTCTTTATAGGACGTGCAGGAAGTGAATGAGGACGGTAAAATTTCATGTTTTCTAAGGTAACAGCCATGATTGTGGAATGGATATAGAGAGGTCAGGGAAAACGGAACTGATGTCCGACGGATGCACTCCATCCTGCCGAGGGCTGAGAGGTCTTTATATCCGTCTCAGGATACAAAAGGTGCAAAAAGATAATTGTCAGTCTCCTCGCATGTCGCTATCACTGCCACTGACACATCCTCCGTCACCGTCTCCGCCTGCAACAAAGAACGGCGGTATTGACAACGCAGTCGTTGTAATCAACGGACTGGTCAATTCCAATTAAATGACCTAAATCCAAGCTCAAAAATGAGGCATGATCTAGAAGCACGCCCAATGCTACTCATTCTCATATGCAACTCCGTTCCTGTCCCACAATTGAGGTATTGCTAGCCACATCTGTGACTAAAGTCGTCTGGATTACCATCTCGTTGCTGCCACGCATGAATCAAGGCGTCCTATAAGTGAATTTGACGCTTATAAGACCAACCATGGATCAGCATCCTCGCAAATCTGCCTTAATGAATGTGTTAGCCCCTTTCAGCTCTGCAGCCACAAATCAGCTCAGATAATGTGGTATTTTTGCTATTGGCTACACTGGCCTTCAGACCCTAACAGCACTTCCTCGATAAATGCGTCGGCTCGAACAGTGGATATGACTCTATCAAACAGGCATTGCGCAGCATTTCTACTGGTGGAATCAGCATCCATGCACAGATGGGCTCATTTCCAGCGTGTCCAAGATCAGGATGCCTCCCATCCGAATACCACATGATTGAGTCACTTAACTATAAGCCCCGCTCAATAGATTACACCGCTAAAGTTCCTAGCGGCCACACTCGTGCTAGTGAAGCTAGGACTGAGAGGAATTCAGTCTCATCATAGCCGGTACACTGAGAGAACAATGAAGGCAAATCTTCGATACAAGTTATCTTCAAATCATCTGAATTGTAGATAATGTAGCTCACTGCTGTATAGAGCGCAAGGACTGTAATTTCTGTCAACTACTCAAAAATAGTCACGGTGCAGAAGGGGAGACGGCGCAGGAATAAGGTGGATCCGCGCAGGGGGGGAGATGCTGGGATCAGCGATTCGTGTAGTTTCCCTCTAGGCAAACACAGCTAAGAAAAAGGTGAGCAGCTGGAGCGGTAGAAAAAGAAAAAAAGAGACGTAGAATTGACGGTCGTCGTTCGGGGACGCCCTTGCAGTTTATATAGGCCTCACCCGGTGGGGCAGTTCCCGTTAAAGCGGCGAGAGAACCGCTATCCCCCATATGGTATACACAAGTAGTTAAGATAGTTAACTATGCCGACAGAGAAATCATTTCATATCAATTCAATATAACAGCAAACTACTTTTCCCGCTCGCTAACATCCTCAATCCGTCCTTGTCCCCGTCCCTGCCCCTGTCCCTGTCCTCCTCGCTGTCCTTGCTGGTATCCATCAAGTAGCTGCCTCCCCTGCGAATCAAAATGTCTCTCCTCATAAACTGGGTCCTCGCCTAGAGTCTGAGAGAGCGACCGCTCATGGCGAGAGTTGTCTTCATCTCGATACACCTCGTGGGCGCTGCGATGCCCCCAGGTTTGGGTCTCGCCGTTGCGCGTGGAGGAGGCTGAGGTGGAAATGCTGAAGGATGTGTAGGAGGTTGATTTGAATGGCATGTTGTGTTTCAATGAATTTGTTTGTAGGATGGTTGTAGATGGTTATTGATGTTGGGTGATATAGGCAGGAGGGTTTATATGATTTATAGAGGAGGAAGATGGGGATGACATCAATTGACTCTTGACAGCACAATCAAGTAGCTGTAAAAGAATCTCAATTGGACCAATGACTGACTCGTATGCTTATCTATACACCACGCACTTTTATCCTTAGTTATGCTCACGCCCAACAATTCTACAGTATAGCCCATGGCGTCATAACTTCATCCAAGTGCGTGGCAATAACGGCTATCTCCATCAGTTTAAGTTTAGTCGGATAAGGACATCGGCAGTCCACGTACTCTTTACAACGACCTTAGCCGGCTTGCTGAACTATAAGCCCTCGAGGGCTTATAATTGGGGCTGTAGCTATCAACCTGTTGTGCAGTTTCCTGTATTCAAACATGGCCTTGGCCTTGCGGATAAATTTATTTTCCAAAGGAGCCGTCAATTTTGTATTGTGAGTGAGTACTCGACGCAGTCCTACATACTCATTCTGACTATCAACAGGAGATCTCCTACACGTTCCTCACTAATCATGTCTCTTCCAAATGGATACAGACATACATCCACTACACCAACGGGAAACTCAACCAGACCTCCCTTCGACCCCAGCAACCCCATAAAAATAATCCAACCGCCAACGCCAACCTGGACCCTAGGTGACGGCGCAACCCAAAACAACAACGAGCGGAAAAACCACATCTCAATCAACCCGCACTCCCCAACCCGTCCGCCAAGCAAAAACTACCAATTTCTCATATCAAGCATTATCCCGCGACCCATCGCCTTAATCAGCACCAAATCAAATGACATGCTTAATCTAGCACCATTCAGTTACTTCCAAGTCATAAACCACGACCCGCCAATGTTCGTGGTTAGTTTTACGCCTACTAACCCCGACAAGGGTGGGAAGAAGGAGAAAGATACACTCCGAAATCTGAAAGAGACGGGTGAATGTGTGATTAATCTTGTTTCTGAGGATATTCTTCAAGCTGCGAATGCGACGTCTATAAATTCCCAGTACGGGGAGTCGGAGTTTGAGATTTCGGGGCTTACGCCGCTGTTCGGTTTGGAGACTGTTTGTGTACCTCGTGTCAAAGAGGCGATTGTTTCGATTGAAGGACGGTTATTAGAAACGAAAGAAATAAAAAGTCGTGCGAATCCGGATCGGAATGGAGTCACGACATTGGCGATTATAGAAGGAACAAGGTTTTGGGTTCGTGAGGATGCGATTGATTCCGAAGAACAGAGTGTGGTGGACGTAAATGTGCTGAGGCCTGTCAGCAGACTAGGTGGGAATACGTATGGAAGGGTTACTGAGGTTGTCGAAATTAAGAGACCGGTTGATAGATCGTAGTTCTATATACATCTGTGCCTATCTATCTATCCATATACGTAAAGAAGAAAGTTACTGGATAAATTGCAAAATGAACGAAGCAACATCCTGCAAAAATGTGGATGCTTCTTCGTCCGTGTATTGCCCGTCGTTGTAGCTTAGGGAAAGCTCCGAGCGGCCGCGGAAGCTGTCCAGACGGATGGACCTTCAAGTTGTTAGTATAGTATGGGGATGGGGGAAGAATAAACTTACATGAATGGCATGTACTGGTTTAGGAAAAATCGAACAGTATCGATTGTAATTGCGACCTTACCGGTCTCGTCGCTGACTTCGCGGTCGATATACGTCTCGTTGACGCCGTCACTTGTGTACATCTGCATCCATTAGCAGTGAGTGACGAAAAGGGAAGAGCTGAAAAGAAAAACATACCGGTGAAGAGATGCCGGTCTCTGGAATATTATTCCTAATCAACTGTCAGCACCCTATCCATCCCCAAGCTAGGCGTAGTTACGAAGCAATCAACATCGTCACAAAGTTATGAAACGACGTGCCCACCGGCAAAGTATATGGATTACTCAGCAACGTTTTATAAGCATCCTTCGCCACCTTGGTCGCTTGCACCAGGTATTTGTTGATCGTCTCCTTATCCGCATCAACGAGATTGTACTGCTTGATATTCTCAAAGATGACCGGACAACTAGCTTGTACAATGGGGTAATATGTTTTGGCATGCTTCTCTGCATCCCGCAAGAATCGACGTCCGTTCATGGGTGATTGAGCCATGTATATCTGATTGTCTGGCGTTCCTGGTGTAGTGGGTTTCTTTTTCAACAGGGCGAGTAGTACAGCTGCATGACCCAAATGGGCGGGAGAAGCTGTAGGGCCGACTTTAGATTTGACGGATTTGTACGGAGTAGATTGAGTCACTTTCCGAGGCGGTGAAGGTATGGAAAATGACTCGGGGGAGACCGTAGTTTGGTTTGGGTTGAGGCCGTAGTTTTGCTATGGATTGTTAGCTGTTTATTCAAGAAGATATAGTTTGGAAGACGAACCAATCCTCTCATGGCAATGCCAGCGTATTGTCCCAAAGTAGCATCAAACTCCGGCCCAGAAGTCTTGACACCCTCCTTCCACAATGTCAAGACCGGTGCTCCCAAATTCTCAACTTCTTCACCCCATTTGAAGTCCGGCAATTCATCACCGACCTCTGTCAAATAACGGAAAAAGTCACCAACAAAGATACGTTTGCTAATACCATCAAAGTACAAATGGTTAGTATGAAAGACAAATTCGACATTGACAGATCCAATCGCCGTATCGAGTCCATCAACCGGTGCAACAATGTCGATAACAACAGCCTTGGCAGGTCCACTCGCAGCCTGGAAGCGTTTGATTTCACTTTCTGTGCGAATATCTAATCCGGTCTCTTTGCTAGCGCGAACATGAACAACCTCATGAGCCCAGGCGAGAGCATCTTCGTTGCTTTTTGGCGCTTGATACTGAATTAGAGGAAAAATCTGTCCTTCTTCCCACAGCGCAGTTTGAGCAATTTCAGGATGTTCGTAGCGGTGCTTGACGAGCGCCCGCTCCACTTTTCCTTGTAGTCTAGTGAGTGTAAGTCCGGAATCAGCGAACTGTGACGCTTGAAATCAGATAGAGATCATTTGCACCGGCCGCATTGCTCTTCTCAATTCCGACAATGGCCTCGGCACCGTTGGCGCGACGTTGACGGATTGCGGGATCGGTGCTGGAGGTTTACCAGTTGAACGACTCTACCACAAGGGGAGGGACGGGCGGAATTTGGGGGGCTTCTGCGGACATTTTAGTTTCTATTTGATGAAATATATGTAGAATTTGGAGGAGAGATGAGCAGACCGAACTATTCAAGCTGATGGAGAGGTGCCCTTTTTATAGTTGTACTTGTTCCTGCTTAACCTCGCATTTATGGAGTTAAGAATCAATTTTAGGCGGGGGCTGAGCGTCTGAGACCCAATTTTATTGATCATTGTCGGTTTTGCAAGGCATGTATGCCCAATATTTTGCTCTATTCCAATAGCATGGGTCATTCCATTGGTCAATGCATTAAAGGTGAGATTTTAAGCTCGTATTGACTTGCTTCAAGTGGGTGGATGTATGATACGAGACTTGGAATTGATTGGACCAATTTGTAATTGCGGCTGAGTGAAATCACTGCTCGACATGTCTTAAGACAAGGATACTGCAAAATCATGAACTGATTCAGCGTCTGGCGGGCAATAAGGTCCAAATATTCAGGAGAGATCAGCATATCAGTATTGTAAAGTACGATTTATATGTATCATACGCATACCATGCAGAACCAATAGTGGAGCTGCCGGAACCCAAGGATTCCGCTTATCGATAGGGACAGGAACTAGTTAACCTCAATCTACATTTGTCAACAAAGTTCAACGCTGACACGCTTCTCACCGCTATAGCTCGACTACCGCGTCCATACAGCCTTTGTGATCTCCTTGCACTCCGCTACTCCTGCATATGTCGAATATATGACTGCGACCTCGAATTCGCGGGCCTCCGAGTCATTTACTCTCTGGGGATGGCTCTGTCTGTTGGCGAAGGTTGCGAGGATAGGTATGCCGTTTCTCTTCTGTAGTTAAGAAAATAATACTCAGACCCCATCATAGTGGCCGGTCTGATTTTCAAGTCTGTCAAGTATCCTTTATCCAGAAAATCAACATCCAAAAGGTCCTTCCACCATTATATAACTTATGAGGGGATGATCGATTTCCAGTCCAGCTTGACCGCAACTGAGAAACAAGCCGTTCTTCCCGCGACAGCGACTCAATGCATCAATTTTGCGCACCAATATAATCTGCCGTATGAACCATTAACGCTTTCCGATGGTACTGTCGCATTCATGCTCAATGGATCCTCGTCTCCAAAACATTTCCCTGTTGGCGTTAATCCTTTTGGTAGAAAAGCCAAAAAGGCTGCGGTTTTGGCTGCAGAGATGAATATTGCGAAACAAAAACTCAATAAAGTTATTGTATACTTTCATGGGGGTGGTTATGTGGCACCTATTCTACCACAGCATATTCACCTCATATACGGTTTCGAGGATAAGCCTCGTTATAAAGAAGGGGTTGTCGTCTATGTTTTGGCATATAGTATGTTATTTCGAGCTTCATGTTGCTGTAAGACCTGCTGATGAGGTATTAGGTTTAACGTCTGAACACGCGAATCAATACCCTACTCAACTCCGACAGGCCATATCGTTACTTGACCACATCATCAATACAGAGAGCATCCCACCCTCATGTCTAACTCTCATGGGCAATTCTGCCGGCGGTAATCTTCTACTCGGCGTGCTTTTACACCTCTCACATCGCAACTCAAATGTTCCGCCTCTCAGTCTGAAGGACGGAGAACAATTTGCCGCCGCAGTCGCAATCTCACCATGGTGTACTATGGATACATCCGCCAAATCTACGGAGACAAACGCCAGTAAAGATGTCCTTGCCGTCTCGGCGCTGGCATATTGGGGAGGGAACTTTCTCGGTGGTCATGCGCTCGACGCCTGGAATTCACCCTTGGTAGCACCGGCGGAATGGTGGGCTGATTTGAAGGTTGACGAGTTGCTGATACTGTATGGAGAGGATGAAATTATGAGAGATGATACGGAGGCCCTTTGCAAGAGGATAAAGGTGTGTGGCGGGCTCTCATTCACCCCCATTACCTTTTCCTATCAGTGCTAACAATATCACAGTCCGCAAATCCAAGTCGAACGACTGTCTACAACCTACAAGGAGAAGGCCATGAACAAATAGCCATGACCAAGCTCTTAAAATTACCCTGGATTTGTGAATCAGAAAAGATATACACTGCTTGGATGAAGGAGCGATTTTTATAGAATTGTGTTTTACCTGTTCCAGATTAGACCCCAGACACGCCATATAATCATCACCACCCAACCACCCATCAAATATAAATCCCTTCCCTTTATCATTCTAACTTTCGATCCTTCCATTTCTTCATTTTCCCTAAATGCCCCACGCTTACTCCCACCCATCAGCAAACTTGTCCATTTCAAAAGTTCATAACCCCATTTTAGGCAGGTTTTGTGACGATTCCAGACTCTTGCATTGAAATCCATCTATCTCTAACGTACAAAAGGTGCTTGGCTACAGAGAATATTGAGCATGGGACAAGAAAAGAAGGAAACAGCTTCGCTGTGGCTTCTTTACTAGCCTTTATGTGCGCTCTACGCAAGGCAATTGACCTCATCTCTTTATTCAGGCTATTTCCATATAAGGCGCCTTGAGGATTGCTGTCCAAATATCCTGAAAGGGAAACCGAAGCCAATTTTCACATAATTCAAGACCGTCCCAGGCGCAGCACTCGGCATACAGGCATTCCTCCTTCCGGTTCGGCTTGATTTAAATAAGATTACGTAGAAGGAAGTTTCCAGGGGCCACGGGCAGTAAAGCTCAAGCTTCTATGTCGAGGTGAAAGTTACCCAGGTGTGCACTGGGAGATGTCACGCGTGATTTGGACCGCGAAGATACTAAAGATACAGGCCAGCTCTCTCAAGAGAAGTATCTAGCTAAGGCAAAGCAGCTTGCTGCTTGGACCTCAATGGCTTGTAGCAAACTCCTCTTCTTATTCCTTCTCTGTTAAGCCTCTTAACAAATATAATATGCTCATCCTTTGCAATAACGGATAACGCCAAGCGGGTTTTGACGGACCACGAAAACGGTATTCGAGCTCATCTAATATAATCGAATCTTTTCGTAAAATCGTACCTTGCTAGACTGCGTTACAAACCACAAGATATATCAGAGAGATATAAAGTAAAAGTCCAATAATGGTGGGTGAAAACGCAGGTTCATGAAGTCATAAAGTGTCCAGCAGAAAAGGTTTGGGCCGAAGAAAAGAAAAACCTAGCTCTATAGGCTTGACTCCCACTCTATAAGTCGCCCTCGCATTTTTTCAGCCGGTTCATCATGTTTGTTAACTTCTGCTCGGCTTCGCTGAGAAGGGTATTGAGAACATCCCGCTCTTGTAAACTGGCAACTGCAGCATGAAGTTCCTTACACCTGCATAGGAGAGCAACTCTCAAGATATGAGTCCATTCGTGCCACGAGTTGATGGGATAATTTCCAATATTGCAGAACCCAGTCAAAAACTGAGCGGGTTCCTCGCCGCCCTCTTGTAATTGACCAACATAGTCCGTGACTGCTCTTTCTAAACAGTAACAGAGACCCTCTGCAATAAGTACAATTATTTTGGTGGTTGCTCGAGGCGAATGACAATTTTCGCAGGTGAGCCATGAATTGAACTGTCCCAGAGCGAACTTTTGATCCGTCAGGATGGCATCTACGGATAGTTCTGCGATATTAGAGATCTTAGAGTCAAGCTCTCCAAGCATCAAAGTCGCAGACTGAGCGCAATTGCACCCAATTCCTCCGCCCTTAAGAGGTGGACTGTCTCTCGCATGTAACGCCTTTGAGGCTTTCAGTATTGAATTGAGGCATGTATCGCCGCTCGGAATAATGCCACCGTATTGACCAGGCTCTTCGGGCTGAGTCATGCATAGTTGATCAAGCTCTGCGTTGATGGTGGATACGTCAGTTCAATGCAGCAAAGTACATTTCATCTTTCTACTCTTTAGATCTTGACATACCAAGAGAAAAATCACCCCTTAATGGAAACCCGTGGAAAAAGGTATCCCCACAGCTAAAATCGAGTGTTGGAGAGCAACTCGAAAGGTAAGTTGCAGATGAGAAGGATGGATAATCAGAAACAGATGAAGGGTCACTGCCACTGGAGGAGCTTGGTTTGTGATCGCGTCCTGCGCTGGATATGGGTTCACTTGTCCGTTTGAGTCGACCTCGTCTACTGCTCTCTGGATAGATGCATTGGGTTCCGGTGGAAAGACATTTTTGACATCCGTGCTTTTCTCCCGTGCATTTGACCTGATAAATTCTCAAATCCATCAGTCATATGTTACTATATTGGTTTTCAGCGCCTTGAAATATGGCAGAAGAAGGCACAAACCTTGCGGACACGACACTCTAAACATGCAAGCCTTTTTTGAGGACGGTCACTACTCGGTTCTTTAGTGCTGACCTCCTCTTCCTCTAGCAGACCATTGTTGTAGCTGATGGTGGAAAACATGCTGAAATGTTTGAGGTACGAAATCTGGACCAGAGAGGGTTATTGAGGCTTGGCTGGTATGTTTTATGCTACGAGGGTTTTCTTTAACGGCGGAGCATCTATCAGTAAAAGAGAATCAACCTGTGGCTGGCCTGTTCGCCACCAAGATCCAGCGCACATGGCAGATTTTGTACATCTCGTGTACATGCACATAGATGCATGGGTTTGATACGCTACCAGTATTGGGCGCGTTTGATGGTCACTAGCAAGTGTTGCTGAAGGTGTATCTTTTGACCTAACTAGGTCTTTACACAATTATTTTGGCCCCTAAAAGTTACATGCGAGCATAGATTGCATTATAAGGTTTGGTTACACCATTTGCAGTGCATAAATTTCCCGCGTGTTTCTTCTACACCAGTCACCGTCAAGGAATAGGAAGGCCACTCGGAAGTAGACACTCGGCAGCAAAATTAATGGTCTATAGCGGCTGCATTATTGATCATATCAGCAAGTAACTGATTGGCTGGGTATGCTGGGAGGCGGAACGCATGAATGGCGAACCGTCCAAGACATACTATAGTTCTACGTTTGCGAGGTGCAGCTAATGAAACCAGCTAAATAGTGGGTGACGAATCTCAGTCACCTTACATATCATTGGAAGTGCCATGTGCCATATGGGGTGGAAATGCAAGCCACTATTGGTGACTACCCTGTGAAGATAAAAGCCACCCCAAATACGAACGGGGATGGCCGAACGCTAGGTAGTTGATTTCCCCGGAACTAACACTGTTATCTGGGCCTTGGTCTATGTTTCGAGAGCTTATTTTTCGGCAAGGACAGCATTTGTAAGCCCTCGAGGTCTAGACCAGAATTATTTGGATCTGCGAACGGAGATTAAATCACTGCTCGCATGCTTCCATTGAGATTATTGTTCCTAAATTATTGTAATGTGGTCGGGCCGTTTTCCTCCGGCTAAGATTAAAGAGGGATAGATACTAAACTCTATTTCAAGTAGATCATGCGTTGTCAGCAGAATGGACAATGCTCGTGTCGAGTCATTGCCATGTGGAGCCCGTTCGTATTTGGAACGGCGTTTGGATAGTATCATATGTTCAGGCATATCGGCAAACCTACCTGGGTAATATTCAGATAGACTATACAGCGTAGCAGACGTTTTTGGGGGCCGTTGAAATACGTACATGGATCGGATCGGCCCGAAACAATCAGAGGTTAGGGTATAGCCAAGCACTCTTGGCCTGCTTTGGTCTGTTCTGCTAACCAATAAGAGCATCGTTCTCATGGCCATAGCCCGACCTTCTGCTTTTAGCATGCGCTCTGATCTTATATCTCTAAGTGTTCGAAGATCGCCTGGACCGGGGCCCTCCGTAGAGCGAGTGTACTTTAAATAGAGTTAGGAACTACTCCATATTCATCACATCTACTACGGGTTCTTTGTGCTCATGAAAATACATGCACGAAAGCCTGCCCCCATTGATATCTCTCTTCATGCCGCCAAGCACTTGGAAGGATTAGACCCATGTTAACTACCCACCTGGTCAACGGCAATGGACAAGAAGACATTGTTCAAGATAATCTAACTTCCGGACGGATGATAGATGAAGTCCGACGACCTGCCCGGCACCGGAGGTAGACCGATAGTCGCGAGTGGTCCTCAGGTCCCGAGTCCTTTGTAGCGATATATGCCTACTATATACATAACCCTTACACTGGATGTGGCCCTTGTTCACAACAACAAATCTTGGTCTGACGGCTCATACCTTCCCAGAACAACATGGTCCACCTGGCAAATCTTCTCAGCGCTGCTTGTCTTGCCTTGATGGCTAAGGGAGCTCCGAAGAACTTTGATGATTGGGAGCACGGCCGAGTTGCTCTCCAGGATGTTAGTATCCATTTTCGCTATGCAGGCTCTGGCCCACCGCTGCTTCTAGTGCACGGTAACCCTCAGTTCAGCTTGACCTGGCAATTCATCGGTCCCATCCTTGCAGAGCATTACACAGTCATAGCTCCTGATAATCGCGGAGCTGGAGATTCCAGCATTCCACCAGATGGCGACTACACTTCCGAAGCATCTGCGGGTGATCTCAAAGGCGTGCTCGACTTTCTCAATATTACATCAGCGTACGTATTTGCACATGACAAGGGAGGCGGTATGGCTACCGCACTCGCAATCCAACATCCTTCCATGGTGAAGAGGCTAGTACTTGCGGAGTATCTGTTTCCAGGTTTCGGGTACGAGCAGGCCTCAGCGCCCGCTCCATTCTGGGATCTTTACGGAAATCCTCAACTTGCGCTATTTTCCATCCCTGACTTTGCGGAATTCCTGATCAATGGCAAAGAGAAGCCATTCCTGCAATGGTACTTCTACCATGGAAGCTACTCCGGGGTGACCAGCTTCAGTGAAGATACCGTGAATAGATACACTACCAGCATCTCCAAACCTGGCTTTCTTAGAGCTATGCTTGGTCCCTTCTCAACTGCCACTGTCAACGCAGATGCGCAATTTTTCCGAAGTCACCTTGGCCAAAAGCCTTTGGAAATTCCAGTGCTCAACATAGGTGGTGAAGCAAGTTTTGGGAGCGAAGACATTTTAAGTCTTATCAGTTCCTTTGTCTCAAAGGACCTGAGTGTTGCCGTTGTCCCGAAAGCAGGTCATTGGCTAGGTAGGTTTCTTTAAAACAACACCTTATTTATCACATAAATAATGACTAGGATCAATAGGAGACGAGAATCCATCTTGGACGGCGAACCGCGTAGCAAAATTCTTTTCGGAGGACAAGTCGCCTCTGCAGACGGTTGATCTCTCTTCCTTGACTGATAGGGTTACTTTGCAAGTCGGATTCTTCGGCACCTTAAGGAATGCCGCTCTGGGTGCCAATATTGGTATGTAGTATTGCTGTTGTTCTAGCGTTTTTAGGAACCTGCCCAAAGTGTTAGAAAAGTGCCTACATGTACAAAGAAATGCTTTTAAATCTGGAAATGGTCGGGCAAAGGAAGTGCTACTCATCTAAAGGACATACCTATCGAACTGACCGGTTGACATGTCCCACAGAATTACCCAAACCGCCAAATCATGAACAGGAGGTTGATATGGCGTTTACAGATATCGAAAGTGACTTCCAATATGCTGCCATGACCGAAGGTCCGAAATGATATTTTTCGCTTCAACGTGAGAACCTCGTTTCGCTCAAAAAGAATTAAGACCGAGGATGGTAGCTTGGGGATACCCGCAATAACCCTAAGGAAGACTCAGAAAGAGGTGCGAACTAAATTGACTTCAATGAGGATAGAGAATTTACTTCGTGGTAACTTGATTTATCTCAATGAGCATTACTTGAGTCAGAAATTAAAATCTGTCCAGATAATTACACACATAGTCTATAAACCGCGCAATATGTGGAATCTAAGCATATAAGTTCAAGAGAGTACTTGATTTATGGGCAGTAGACCATACTTCAGCTTGCGCATCTTGTTTACTGGGGATTATCCATTATGAAAATGGGAAAGGCCAATTTTCTATTCTAACCACTATGAGTTCATCCATAGGGCGATAATGTATGTGGGAAAGAAAAAGAGAAACGTATGCACACTCTTATTTTTAGATTACTTAGTAGAGGAAGAGGGAAGGGTTTCCATGTTAAGTTTGCATATGTGTAGTGAGACGGGTACTCAGGAAAACCCTGGCCCGTTTCTCGGTATCACTTTAAGAGGCCGAGTATGGGGCCTTGACTAACCAGGATGGCTCGGAGTACACCTTTATACACCACTGATATGGGGCTAAACCATAATACTTCCACTTTATTTGTTGGAACTCAGAATGAACTAAACCAATTTGGGAATAGGACAAGATTTGCGTATCAAGAAATTTCGAGAATTGGCATCACATTCCGACGCGATATTGAACATTACAAATCAACTTTACAGCCTATCTCTAGAAAGTTCGATTTGCACAAGTGTCGACTTTTGGTGATATCACTTCTATGGAATCTTGTATATAAAAACAGGTTCAATACTCCTAGATAGTGGTTTTAGAGGAGTGCCGGAAAATAGACCTAGTTCCTTATACGTATTGTTTAGTGCTCGCCTTCGCTTAGTCATCGCTCTAGTAAACCAACGTTCCGACAGTTATGAGCCTGGGATCCCTGCGAATATAAGCACAAGTATCGTATTGGAGTATTGGATCGACACTTGAAGCTACTCGCAGACGTGAAATCTGATTTATCGACGACCGTTGGTTTTGGTATACATTCGACGAACGACCGAGTGTGAACCCTTGAAGATATCCGTGCCAGGAAGAACGAGTGAACTCGTTAGCTATGGATGAGAATAAGGGAACCGTTATTTTGAAGTCATCGAACGAATGGAGGAGATGGTTAGAGCAGTTGAGAACAAAGGCGACGAAGGAACGAGTCTGGGATTATGTGAATCCATCCCCGTTACGGACACACGAGGTGGAACCGGCACCGGAGAAACCAGTTAAACCCCCTTTTCCAGACAGTATAATGCCGAATCAGAACGAGGATCCAGAAGTTGAGAAGCTTGCATTGATGCGCTTCCAAATGGAATTACAGTTATATGAGCAGCATTATCAACGGTATAAGGACGAAAAGGCGAGGTACGAGAAGCACCAGGAACGATTGGACGCGGTACGATCGTATATATTCGACACGGTTGAACTAGGCCACCATCCCCGAATTCGGATGAAGCAAACCGTTCTCGAGATGACACAGGAATTGCGGGAGGAATTTGCTCTGCAACCGGAGCAGGAGCATGAACTGATAAATGAGAGATATAGAGATTTGCTTACTCCGAAACGCGGCATGAAGCCTAAAGACTGGATCTCGAAATGGGAGAATCTGTTATTGGATATGCAACTAACGGACTTCAATGAGATTCCAGAAAAGAGAATGTCGAGGGACTTTATTCGTTCATCAGCTTTTATTGCACCCAAGTTTGCTGAATCATGGACGACAACACTCATCGAATTGGATACCGGACTGGAAGTATTACATAGGAAGATTGGATTAGACTCAGTACCAGGGATTCGCGATATGATAAAGATTTTCGAACAATGGGTCAAGGCACAACGCAACGTGATGGACCCTACTCGACGTGATGCATCATTCGCGATGTTAGGCGGTAAATCGGATCAGCCTGAGAAGGAAGAAGAACAAAAAGGGACTCAGCAATCCAATCAGCAGACTAATCATCAATCAAGATCACAACGGAAAGGACAATCGAGAAACAGAGAAAGAACGTGTCTATGTGGAGCAAAGCACAACTTTGAGGATTGCCCATATGTCAATGAAGGAAAAAGATCAAAGGATTGGAAAGAAGATGAGGATATTACCAGAAAGTTCAAAGATGTGGAACGCAGTAATACATCGCTGGCGAAGGCACTTAAGGCAGTCAAAGGGAAGCTTAAACCGACAAATTCAACCAATAAAAAGGAATCTGACGACGGCAAGAAGGACAACGAACCGGAAAGATCGAACTTTGTATATGATGAGGACGAAGTTCAGATATCGATAGGTCCGCGTTTTGAACGATCAAGCATGGCAATACAAGTTCAAACAATAGCGACAGCCACAGATTCAGACAAAGACCTCAAGGATGCAGTTATTTTGGATAACGGTACAACGACTAACATCTTCAATGACTTAAGACGGCTTCGCAATATGGGAAATGAAGAACGAATCTGTCTTGTTGGAAATGGCTCAGTAAAGATGTATGGACCAGGGGAAACGATCATCTATCCAACGAATCCGATTAGCAGACAGGCAAAGAAAGGGATATTGGTGAAGGAGGCATGGTATGTTCCAGGAATGCATACCAACATTATCTCTCAAGGAATGGCTGAGGAATATGGACTTTTCTTCAATGGTTTGACCCGAAGATTGGTGACAAAGAAACAAGATATTTGTGGACTGAAGAAGGAAGGAAGGCTTTATCTGATTGAATGGGATGAAAACCGGAAACCTAGGAGTTCTCTAGGAAACGACTTAGCACTTAGTTCTTTCGAGAGAAAAGTATTGAAGGACCCTGGGAATGTATGGCACAAACGACTTGGACATATATCGGAACAAGCCGTTGAGAAACTTCAGGAAGCAACGGAGGGTGCACTTGTCACTTCACCAAGGGCTTTAGGCAGGAATGAAGAAGGATTCAAGGAGAAATGTGAGATTTGCGAACTTTCCTCGGCAAAGAGACAAATAAGCAGAGTGGCGATACCACATCCAACGCGACCGTTCCAAAAAGTATTTGTCGATATCATTGTTATGAGCTTGGCAAGGAACGGAGATGTGTATGCACTTCATCTATTCGACCCTTTCACAAAATACCACGCCTTGGCAACAACCCCAACGAAATCGGTAAATTTTGACTTGCAATGGCTAATTGAGGATGTTAAACGAACATTCCATGTTGTGATTGAAGTCATACATTGTGACGGCGAATCAGCAATCAATGGAAATGACTTCAAAGATTGGTGCAAGTCAAAACGGAAAACCCTTGTGACAACAGTTCCTAATACTCCAGAACAAAATGGGCCAAGCGAGCGAGCTGGAGGACTTATCACTACACGAACAAGAAGTGCGATCCAGGAAGCAAACTTACCGACAGGATTGTGGCCATATGTTATGCAAGCGATGGTTTATATCATCAATCGGACGCCCACAAAAGCAATCGGTTATAAGACTCCATATGAGATGGCGTATGGCAAGAAACCTTACATTGGAAATCTGTACTTGCTTGGATCAAAGGCGTACGTGAGAATCAACACCAAGAAAAGTGAGAAGATGGAACCGAGGGCTCAAATCGGATATCTCGTTGGATACGAGTCTCACAATATTTGGCTAATTTGGACAGAGGGACCACGAGGGACCAAGGTCATTCGAGCAAGGGATGTTTTTTTTGACGAAACGAAGAAGTATGATCCAGAACATCCATTTGCTAGAGAGATTATTAGGAACGGTGTGACAAAAATCACAGAATCATTAGACATACCGAACCTGGAGGACTTCAATGAAGAACGAGTTGTGGAATCAGTCGACGAATATATGAATTTGCAGCAATCCTCCTCAATGAAATTTCCTCTGGAAATCCCAGTATTAGCTTCTGGAAACAGCCAGACAGTCACAACACAGCAACACATACCAGAAAGCATGGAAATTGATGATCAACCTGTCAACGAGCCAACACAGTCTGTTGTGATACACTCTGACAGCCATTTGATACCCAGCCCGTCAGCATCCAGTTCGACAGAGTCGATGCAAGGTCACCAGATGTCAACGAGCAAGGAATTGTTACTGGAAAATCGAATTAGTGAACAGAATCAGGATGACAAAATGGAAATCGACGACGTACGTGGCCAGCAAGATAATCAGTTAGTTCGATTTGATGACACTAAAAACGAAGTCACATTGTACGGTGATGAATCCCAATTTGGCGAATCTGGGAGGGTGACTGGTGAGGATAGTGGTGAGGAAGAAGCTCAACAGGATGAAGGAGCAGAGCGAGAGAATATGGCTCTCACGGCCGGAACAACCACTAGTCCGAGTGGGCAGATTCCCCAAATAGGAAATGAACAGACACCGCTGTTGCAATTGACCAATGAGGAATCAAGAAATCCTGACGTCACGTTACCTGAGCTACTACTATCAACTACCCCGCAGCAAAGAAGCGCGCCAAAGGCCTCAGAAATCGGAGCTGACCTCTCAGAGGGAAATATTGTGACAGGACCACGCCGAAGGATTCCCTCTAAGCGTGCTCGAAGCCCAGAAATAGCGACATCTAAGGCGGAGAGGAAGAGGCACCGAGCTTTTTTCGCGAGAATGAAGTTATTGCAAGAGTCTTCAGCGTATAAAGCGTTTTTGGCAGCCGCAGAGAAACTTGATGGGTATGAGCCGCTTCATGAAGATATCCCACCAGAGCCCAGGAACTGGATAGGCGTCAAAAGACACAGATTTGCCAGGCAATTTGAGGAAGCTGGGAGAACTGAGATGGAGTCATTAAAGAGAAAAGGCACATTTGAAGTTGTCGACAGACCTGAAGGAAAGCAAATCCTACCACTGACATGGGTCTTCAAATACAAATTTGACAAATTTGGGAAGATTGCAAAGTTCAAAGCACGAATTTGTGTTCGAGGAGACTTGCAAAAGGGTATGGATTTGGAAACACGAGCAGCAACGCTTGCGGCAAGAATTTTTAGAATGATGATGGCACTAGCTGCAGTTTTTGATCTTGAGATTGTACAACTTGATGCAGTCAACGCTTTTGTTAACAGTGACCTGGATGAAGAGGTATACGTTTATTTTCCAGATGGCTTCAGAATTCCCGGAAAAGTCATACGATTAAGGAAAGCGTTATATGGATTACGACAAAGTCCGCGATTATGGCAAAAAGAGCTTACAGGAACGCTATTGGAGCTTGGATTTTCGCAAATTCCAGATGAAGAGTGCTTATTTGTTAAAGATGGTGTGTTTTTACTCTTCTTTGTGGACGATATTTGATCTTTACGACAGGAAAAATCGACAATCTCTCTTTGAGGAAATTGTTAAGAAACTCACGAGCAAATATGAGATTCGACAAATGGAGAAATTCGAGTGGTTCTTGAATATGCGAATCGTACGGGATAGAAAGCAGCGGAAGATCTGGATTTGTCAAGATTCGTATATTACCAAGATTGCTAAAAAGTTTGGGCTAACGCAAAACAATACAAAGACACCAATTTCCATCGATTTACAACCGTCAGAGAGTGAAGCCATGAATGAAGACATTCACCTCTACCAAGAATTGGTGGGATCAGCAATGTATGCTGCAGTCATGACCCGACCTGATGTTGCAAAGCCAGTGAACGAACTTGCCAAATTCACTACAAATCCGTCAAAGGATCACATCCGCCAGATTAAACGTGTCATTGAATATCTCTATAATACACGATTCCTCGCTATCGAATTCTCACCACCGGAAAACAGCGATTCGGACGTTGCTATATGTGCTTCGGATGCTTCTTTTGGAGACAACGCCGATCGTACGAGCTCGGAGGCTTATATCTTCAGTTTATACGGAGGTCCTGTCGACTGGCGTGCCACAAAGCAACGATTAGTTACAACTTCAACTACCGAAGCGGAATTAAGAGCGGCAACGGAAGCAGCAATGAAGCTCTATGTTTGGAAACGTGTATTCAAGGCTATTGGTTTCAAAACAGATCGTGAGCTCTCTATTCGGTGTGACAATAAGCAAACCGTGCTACTCTTGACTAGGGAGGACCCTCATTTTCGAACGAACTTACGACATATTGATATCTACCACCATTGGCTACGGCAGGAGGTGCAATGTGGCAGACTTCACATTGAGTGGGTTCCTACAAAGGAAATGATTGCAGATGGCCTTACCAAGGTGTTGAAAGGACAACAATTCTTGGACTGGAGAAAACACCAAGGATTAACAGATATAGCTCATTTAGTGCAAGAATGAAACCTCACGGTTTCCTTCTTGGGAGGGTGTGTTGGAACTCAGAATGAACTAAACCAATTTGGGAATAGGACAAGATTTGCGTATCAAGAAATTTCGAGAATTGGCATCACATTCCGACGCGATATTGAACATTACAAATCAACTTTACAGCCTATCTCTAGAAAGTTCGATTTGCACAAGTGTCGACTTTTGGTGATATCACTTCTATGGAATCTTGTATATAAAAACAGGTTCAATACTCCTAGATAGTGGTTTTAGAGGAGTGCCGGAAAATAGACCTAGTTCCTTATACGTATTGTTTAGTGCTCGCCTTCGCTTAGTCATCGCTCTAGTAAACCAACGTTCCGACATTATTCTGGTGTCATATGACATACTATGTGGAGCTTTTTGATCTTCATTACGCCATACTAAAACAGGATAAGAATAAGGTAAGGCGAAAATATAAGCCTTACAATCCCTGTAATACTAAAACTCTTTTTAGACTTCGATATATATAGGGCCAATAAAATACCGCTTCATCATCGCATTGCCCCCACTTAGGCCCCATAAGTGATTGTCCAACCTCAAAGTTAAATTTATGGGTATTCCAGCGGCAGAGGATGATAATATGCAAAAAGGTTGAAAGGGTCGTACTGCCTCTTGAGCTGCGCTAGACGCGGTAGCTTTGTGGCGCTATAGATGTCCTCAATAGTCTCGTCTCCACGAGCGTAGTTGACGAACACTGTGGGACTATCGTATCCTGTCGTCTTCGAGAGTTCTCCCCGAATTTGAGCTCCAACGGTGTTCGCAGACTCTTCCGTGGCTATGTCTCCAGTAGTCCATGTAAACTGAGCTTGGCTTTTAGGTTACGAAAGTTATGTTAGTGTGAGAACCACAGATGCGAAAGAACAGTCTAGGAACTCACATAAAGCCGCGAACATCTGTCCATGGCCAACAGGTGGCATTTTCTGGCACAGCGGCTGTCGCCTCGTTGGCAAACAGCTCAAACATCAGCTGGCTAGAGCGACCACCAGGGTTCTTTTCAAAGAAATCCGTTATCATCTCAAAGCCTTGCTGCCAGCCAGTTGCATTATAGTCCCTCTGGTTCAAACTAAAGCTAGAACGGGGCTTATTAGGCTCGCAATTGTATTTGTCATATCCACCACCTGCAATAGACACTATTTCGTTCCATGGAAGGGTGGCAGTGACAAATGAGGCGTTGAGTGCGAAAATAGGTGCGAGCACCTTGCGAGCGTCTGCTTCTGTCCCATAGAAAATCCAATCGGACGCAATTTGGCTCTGAAGAAGGTATTGCGATTAGAGATTAAAAGAAACGCTACACGCTGACAGAAATTTTCAAGAAGAACTCACAATGTTGAGAGTGCTGTTCCAGTTGTTGACTACAACCGCAGCCAAATTGACAGGCATCGGAGAGTAATGAGTCTCAATCACTTTGAAATACTCCAGACTACTCTCTGCTGGGAGATAGAAGTCAAGCATAAACACGTTTCCGTCGTTGAAATCGGCCAATGGCTGTATATTGAAAGTTGCTGAAGTGATGACGCCAAAGTTGGCACCGGCGCCACGGATGGCCCAAAATAAGTCTGGATAAGAAGTTTCTGACACCGTTTTAACAATACCATCAGATCCAACCAGCCGCACAGACTGGAGTGCATCGGCAGTCAAGCCAAGATTACCCTAGTCGTAATTAGAAACTCAGCGAAGGGTTCCTTCCTGCCTCATTGACAACTTACCATCATACGGCCAATACCACCTCCCAGGGCGACGCCGATTACACTAGGGCATGAGCAACTACCGGTTTCTACATCAGTTAGTATGACTTTCCAAAGTAGCATGGTGTAGGTGATTCGACAACATACGCATGAGAAATCCAGCATCATACAAGGGGTCAAATATGTCATTGTAAATGACACCAGGGCCAACGGTCATGGTAAGAGCAGAAGAGTTGACCTGAATGGATTTCCAGTGGCTTAGATCGAGGGAAACCCCTTCTTTAAAGGCCCCAAGACTCGCAGCGTACCCATGACCACCACCTCGGGTCAAGAACGGAAAGCCATAAGTCCTGGCAAGATTGACCTACAAAAGATATATTAATTTCAGCACATATAAACAGAAGAAAGCTGAATATTTCACTGCGCCATTTATTGGACATACCACTTTTTTGACATCTTCTTCTGTTCCTGGGCTGACAGCAGCGCTATATGTTGGAGGACTAAAGATTGACCATCGCTCAGTTGCGTTTTCAAAAGCGACAGTATTTGGGAAGGAAATGGTTGTATTAGAAGCCCATTGGTGAACTGGATCGGTAAGTAGCCCCCTGAGATCGATATCACAAGACTTCTCGGGCGTGGGAAGAGATAGGACGCCCTTGAAGGAAATTAGGCCAGCGAGCATAGAAGCCCAGACTTTCAACGTGGCCTTTACCATGATTGAAAATTTTAAACTTGATGAGAAGGGTTGTGACCTCGCAAGATTCCAAGAAGATACGGCTACTTCACCTATGTTATAAGTATCGGAGCAGAGCTGCATTTGGATGCCGCAACATTTGAGATAGAGTACCACATATCGCCAGCTGCCGAAATGGTATCTCCCGACGTTTGTATTGGAGACTCTCTTACTTCAGAGTTGTCTTTCCGGTTTTTGGGGAAATCTAGACAAATGGTAAAATTCTGACCACCATTTCCTTTACCAAACAAAACGGAAGGGTTGCGTGAGGCCCGACAAAACTGATTTTCCAACCAGAAAGGAAACGGGCCGATATTATGGGAGTATAGCTAAGACCGAATGTGACTGAAAAATGTGGTTTCCGTGAGGCTAGTAATTTGTAGACGTATTTCGAGTAAAATTATCGGACTAAAGCTAGTAACATCATGCAATGATTCAAAAACGACCTGGACAAATTGGAAGACTCCCGTCGGTACGGAGTAGGCTCCTTACAGAAAAGTCAACGACAGGGATTTCGGCATTTTCAGAAAGAGACTTACCGTTACTAAAGATCGGCGTGCGGAATAATTATCTGGCCGCCTTGTTGTCTTACGTGCGTTAGGTAACAAAGCGAATTAGCAACAAGATTAATCAAGTATCACAAGAGGGAGAGCCATGAAACTAGCTCTTTTTTTCCTCATGGTTGAAATTTCTCAATATTCCGTGTCGTACGACTGACTTTACCTGCTCGCTAATCTCACAAGCCTTCAGAATGGCTACTCCTCAATTTCGCCTTACACCTGAGAAAGAAGCAAGTAGATCACAATGGTTACATCGTCAATTCCTCGGCAAGACACCCCCATTGACTAAAAATGACGTGGATCTTACGGGGAAGACGGCCATTGTCACAGGCTCCAATACTGGGCTCGGCTTGGAAACTGCTGGTCACCTTCTCGACCTGGGCTTAACACGGCTTATTCTTGCAGTGCGAACTGTTTCCAAAGGCGAGAGGGCACGAGAAGGTCTGCTCGCAAAACGAGATCCCGCCTCTTGTCAGATCGATGTGTGGAATATAGACATGTCCTCATATGATTCTATTACCGAGTTTGTAGAACGAGCGAAAACCCTCGATCGCCTTGACATTGCAGTGCTAAATGCTGGCCACTTCAAAGAACTTGAGACATTCAATTCATCCACCGGCTACGAAGAGTGCATACAAATAAATTACCTGTCCACTATGCTTTTAACGATTCTTCTCTTGCCGCTGCTCAAGGCAAATCCCGGAGCCCATCCTGGACGTCTCGTCATTGTGTCGTCTGATATGGCGGCTTGGGCCAAGTTTACCGAGAGAACGGAGCGACCAATTCTGGCTGCGTACAAAAAGAAAGCCGCCAAGTGGGATATGGGAGAGCGCTACGCAACGAGTAAGCTGTTGGGCCAGCTCTTCATAACCAAACTTGCAGATCAGATACCAGCTTCTGCTGTTATCGTAGATTTGGTCAACCCAGGGCTTTGCTACGGAACCGACCTTGCTCGAGATGGCGACGGTCGTCTCAAGGGTTTGCTCTTCAAAGCAGCATTTCGTACATTTGGCAAGGCGCCTGCTATAGGTGCTCTCGCTATTGTCCATGCGGCGGTCTCATTTGATGAGTCCGCCCATGGACAATATACAGAAGATGGAGAATTAAGACCGTAAGTATAACCTCAATACGTAGAAGATCATTACAAGACTGTGCAGACATAGCTAACGTGGCTGACATAGATTAGCTCCAATTATTTACAAGCAAGAAGGAAAAGAGTTGACCAACCAGGTGTGGGAAGAGACCTTAGCAGAGCTGTCATTTGCTCCTATTCATGAGTCGCTAAAGGCCTTTGACAAGTGAAAGCAGAATGTTGTTGAAAGTGGAGAGCGGATCTAATATTGGTTTTCGTTTAGACTTGCAGGTTTCTCAACATCTATAGCATTAATTAATCTTCTAATCTATTCGCTATCAATTTTTTGACAATATCACATAGGCAGACCTGGATTTAGACGCTGCTGATAGACGATATGGAGAAATGATGTTGATATCGTGCCTTTAACAGTCTACCAATATTGAACAATAATTATTCTCTGTATTGATAGGGATCGGCAAAGTTAAGTTACTGTCTCTATTGTGTCTAACTGTAACTGTAACGGCAAGTTCATGATATAGTTAACTGCATAACTTAACTGCAGTTTAGAGCTGTAACTATTAACTGGCAGTTATGCAGTTATACAGTTATTAACTATACTTTTGAAAAATATATTGTGGAGGCTATTTCTCAATTTTGATTGGTTCAGAAAATTTAACTAGTATTTGCAAGAATATCCTCATATTCTGATCCTGAAAATTTTCAACTACTACGATAAATCACATTCCTACCACTGCTATCGGTGCTGTTGCTTTTCAATTCACAACGATTGGGTTGGAATGAATATGGAGACACATTGGAACAGAACAAATTATCGAATCCTTAATGATGGCAGTGATGAAGAGGCCGTCTTAGAAGACCTTATTCTGAATGATGACCTTCTTGCATTGGATTCTTTTCTTGCAGATCCACCATTGGATGTGCAAGCAAATTTCAATCTCTCAGAACTGTCTATTTCTTCCTCAATCGCTCCTAGCAAATCTATATCTCAAAAGCAATCTTTGCATTCTGACAATGACATCTCATCTCAAGATTCTCAGCTAAGGAAAAGGAGACGTTTGGAGTAAAGTTCTTGGTTAGAGAATATATTTAAGATTGTTCCCTAACAAGGTAACATCTTTATTAATCCACGAACTCAGAAAAGCGAAGAAAAAGGTATATACTGTGAATACCTTGGCTGACATTGGAGAATTCTAGAGTCTAGAAGAGGAGGATCAGCCAGTAACTTGGCTTTACGTTTAAGCTCAAAGTATAACATTACTTGAGATAACCCTAATGGCTAGTCATTACACCAGAAATCAACCATTCTGTCTTTGATTCAACCTAGCAAAGCTCTGAATTATATCTCCTTAATATATATAACAAAAGCTTTGAGACAACGTCTGTCAATGGAGGGTTACTACAATACAGCCTTTTGTAGCTGTTGATACTGCTTCATTCCAGAAAATCTTTGAAGATATTCTAAGTAGTGATCCATCTTCCAGTCTGCAACTGTAACAGTACTGAAACAGTACAACATGATATCTGTGACAAGCCACATCACCTAGGGGGATAACGCAAGGTCTCCTGTCAACCACTCACACATTCATAAGAAGAAGGTTTCTTGTAGCTAGTACTCTTTCTTCTCAAGCTTCAGTCTCTGTATGTTAGCAAAAGTACCTTTGTTAATGAAGATTGAACACACGAATGACCTTCTGCCATATTGATAGTTCCTCCTGCCTAACCATTGGATTAACCTCCTATTATAGCAACTACCTATAAACGCTACATTGAGACGGAATTTATTAGGTACAGGAGCAATGTTAATAAGTAAGAGCTAGCTGAAATACGCTGAAGTATTGGTCTTTCTCTAGATGTTTGGATAAGCAAGAACTAATTATCTATAATTGTAACAACAGGCTTTGGGGTCTCACTATTCCCAGAAATGCACCATGACGTCTCAAGTCGGGTTTCAACTACACCAAGTGAAGGTTTACATGTTCGAGGATGGTTTCAGCTCCCTCAGACTGCACCTTGACGGTTGGAGCTATTCGGAGAAGGGAGATCTGGTATAATTTATATGTCTATAAAGATAGCAGGTGCTCCAGGATAGGAAGATAGGTTTCAGTACATTGACATTCCATACCCTACCTTGTGTGCTTTGCCTTCAGTGATCCCTCTCGAATGTAATTATGCATATCCCTCGTAACGTTGTTACAATAATTGCAGTTATTGGGCACTGGATAACAAGCAATTTTGAGTACAAGGAACGGGTTTCAGAATTTTTAGAAATTCAAGGAGAGCATACTGGAGGCTGAGAGTGTTAAGAATATACTTGTAGAGCTAAGTCTTGAATCGAAACTCTTTAACTCTTACAGCTGATAATGTAAGCAACAACAAGGATCTTTGTGATCATCTACATAGAAATCTTTTTAAGAGGTTTGATCTGGACCTTAACAATGTAGAGATCTAACACTTGACCCTATGATTCTTATGGAATTAATAGCTTTATTTGATTTCTTGTACATATTTTGAAGCAATCTTTCAGTTTTGAAAACCGGGCATATAGAGTCTGCAGGTGAGGTCTGTGAGAAGCTTTATAATGGGAAGAATATTCTAGAATTAAGTGCTCTTGCAAGACATCGAGTTCTTATTTTATAGTTAGCTTGGCCACCTTCACATTAACAACAATGGAAGAACTCTTGTCGAGATACTAGTCTTCTAGAATGATATATCAATTATAATGTCGAAACTCGATGGAATTCAGCATTTCAAATGCTAGATTAGAGTCTCTATTAAAATGATAAATCTTTGAATATCTTTAGGCTTATTCAGTCCTTGCTCAGTTCTCTATGCAGGACTGGAAACGACTTTGGTAGATACACAAAGCCCTACAGCAATTTAATGAATTTATCTGCCAGTTAAGCAGTAGCTGCACCTACAGATGTTAACTTAACTTAACTGCATGACTGCACCGATCTCTGTATATGAAACATCAGAAGAATTTCCAAATATGGTGCTAGATCACATCTTGCCTAAGCTGCTTAGGGTTATAAATATCATGTGATTAAGGCTTGCAACATTAGGTATAGCGGGAATCAATTTTACGCTACACCTCACCTGCGCAAGATCTCAATTGTCGGCCAGATGGTTGAGCAGTAAGAAGACACGAGCGGTCGCTTAGATATGTGCCAACAGTTTTTCTTATGGCCGATACTTTGAAAGTTCCCAGGTTACAAAATATGAAGGAAATCACTACATACTAGTGGCCACGCTAGTGTCAAGTACACCTCCGGACTCAGCCCCTATTCTTGATAAACAATACTGATTGATAGTGTATGAGATTGTGGGGAATTAAATTACGTAGGTAGTTCGTACAATGCTACGTCATTCGGCCAATTAATATCCCATTTATTCTTCACCTGATTGGTATATTCAAGCGAATGCCTGACACCATTAAAGATATATATCTATCCATGAATCAATATGAAAGGCGAAGGCGGCCAAGCAATCTTAGAACTTTTGAAATTGCGCAAGGCTTGAGCTTTGTTTACGCAAACAACCTTCAATGTTGGAACCGGGACATTGACTCCTGAATAATAGTACAACAGTACCCCTCTCTATTCAGAGGCTCCTCCAACTTTGGGGCTGTAATATTCAGTATAAGTAGACTTGTACCTATATGGCAAAAAGAACATTAGTTAGGTCACTAGACAAGCCAAAGCATATCCCAAGGTGTTCAAGGATAAATACCCTAACAAACAGCCCCCTACCCAGTAAGCCATGACATATTGCACTACACTGAGCAGCCAGATGGGCACCCAAAAAGGCGGTGTGGCCAATGTAGCACTATCGTACGAGATGAGAGCGAGTTGGAAGATAGAAGGCTGCATGTTCGCTTTGTAACAGTCCCGCTGATATCCTATCAAGTTGCGTATGAACTTCTCATCAAAGCTATTGTCCAGCCCTTGAGGCTCGGCCCAAACTTTGAAAATTAGGTCTTCTTGATTGCTTTCATGGGACCAAAACTTGTGCCTAGTAAGATATCGCAGTTTTCAGCAATTTACTCTTTCAAAAGCAGGGGCGCCTGGCATAGATTTCTACTGCTGAATGGATTAAGACCTACCGGGTGCCTGCAGGTACTGTCACAATACCGTCATCCTTCGTGATTTTGAGCTGTTTTCCATTTTTGTGTATGCCAATTACGCCTTGCTCCACTTGAAAATACTCCGTCTGTTTCCAGTGAATATGCCTACATCAGAATGATGAGTCTCAAAGATTTTCGAGAAAGTATGTCGAAACTACAGCAGAAGGGGCAAAAGAACCAAAAGGCCTGTAGAAAGGAAAGAACGCACAATGGTGGACCTGAATGCCCATCTTTAACCCATGGATTATCGATGTAGTGTATTTCTCTCACAGCCCATTGGCCCTGCTCATCTTTGAAGAATTCAAAACGAGCCCCATCGTAAGGGGACATTATATAAGAATCGGAAGCGATTACCGAACGAGGAGGGCGCGGGGAGAGCCACAACTGCCATCCCCATGCCATGTTTGTTCGTTAATAGATAATAAGGAGAAATGAGCCAATTGAAAAAGATGTCAGAACTATTCGATTTATTCCAATTGAATTAGCAACGAATCTGTGTTTTTGTTGATCTACACCTAAAAATCTACCAGGTTATATACTGTCATCCCACTTTACTAAAGAAATCATACCACATTCCCTCTCAGACAACATACGACAACAAAAACCGAAACACCTAAGAATATGAGATAGTATCTTCTGCAATTGAACTGCCCACAAATTTCACAAAAATCTTATCTTCCGGAGCTACTGCTCTCTTGGCCGGAGTAGGTGGACCGACGGCTTCTTCCATTTTGGGTGACCGTATAATACATTGTACTATAATTTTTCTCGCCCCCAACTCATTTTCATGCATGCCAACTGTAGATAGACCAGGCTCTAAAGGAGGAACCAGCCAGTACTATTGGTATTGTTTGTTTAATAAAATTATTGATACTAAAATGGTATGGTGAGACATTGTGTTGGAATCTAGAACCATTTTACTAGGCTGAAAATATAGCGCATTCTTTTTAAATCGGTGAAATCCAACACATTTGCGGCTTTTATTTGAAGTTGAAATTGCTCAATCTACTAAAATGTAGCTATGCGTGCGCTGTCACAAGGGTCCCGCCGTCAATGATGAATCCACATCCTGTTACGTAGCTTGATCGGGGACTGGAAAGGAAAATAACGGCATCAGCAATTTCCTCTGCAGTAGCAATACGGCCCAAAGGCACCATGCTCCTGATCCACGTGTCTATGTCAATTCCTCCGTCCCTTGCCTTCTGGATCATTGGCGTCTCCACCCATGTCGGACAGACGCAATTGACTCTGATTCCATGAGCTGCATTATCTAGAGCTGGTAGAATCTGTGAGCAACGCACAGTGATGAATAATGTTCAGAAAAACATGTAACTTACCGGCATTCTTCGTCAAGCCAAGAATGGCGTGCTTCGCGGTTGTGTACTGCACCATTTCTGGTGCAGCTACAAATGAGTTACCAGACCCTAGGGTCACAATGGAGCCACGCGTTGCACCGCGTCCACTGCCTATAGCTCCATTAGGACGGAGTTCCTGGCGTACCATGACCGCTGAGACGCTCCGTAACAATGAGAAAGTTCCCTCCACGTGAACCTGCAGAAATCGTCTGAACTCGCCTGAGTCGGCATCAGAGACTGCTCGTTGGAGTTGAATCCCAACCTTTTGAGATCAAATCAGAATTAGATTTTCTCGCGTAGGATTTTAGTGCCGAGTTTACTCACACCAGCACAATTAACACAGTAGTCAATTCTACCGAATTTATCGACCATATACTTCGTTGCACTTTCCACTGACTCTACCCGAGTGATGTCAAATTGTAGCGTTTCAACACGAAAGTTGACAGAAGTAGCCACAACCTTGCATTCCGTGGCAACGATCTTTGCAGCTTCAAGGTCTATATCGGTGATGAAGACGCTAGCAGCACCATCCTTTGCAAAATTAATTGCGCAGGCTCTGCCAATGCCACTGCCTTGAGCAAAATTCCGATCAGAGAAACAAGTCTATAAAGAAAAAGAATTGTTTGAATTGAGTAACTGTCTCTAGAGACGTATACTTACCGCCTCCCACAATCCATGCATTTCCAGTGATATCCATTCCACTGATATTTCAGAGAGCTTAATTAAAAGCAAGGCTGACAACTAATTTTTTTCCTTCTCGCTTCAATACCTAGGTACGTAATCACCCATCGCTGACCCATTCTCAGGAGGAATAATATATCTATCCCAATCTTCTTTCCCTCAACCGAAAAGAAAAAAAAACTTCTCCAAACCGGGCCCATCCATCCTGCATAATCCGGTACACTCTTTGGGAGCTAGAGGTGACATCGTCTTTTACACTAAGAGCAATCTATCATTGACCCAAGAGAGGCATAAACTATGAGGGAAAAAGCAGCCCCAGCTCCGAGTCGACATCCACGTCTACAAGCCTAACACGGCATAGTACCGATTGGACTCTTACCCGGTATCATAATTCTCGGTCCTTTCCAATTACTCCGGATGCTATCTTCGGACCTCAGCCCAATCGGTACAGGTTCAAGGTCTAGGGTTCTGTACTATACACCTTGAGAATTATGTATTTATCATTCTCATTAGCGTTAATATCTCACGGCGTGGGGGATTTGTGTACCACCGAAAGAGTTTTTCGGCCAACATATCTGGAACTGAAGGTCTTGTTGTGCACCGGTGCGCTCCGGCGTAATATCACGGAGGTTGATAGAGATTCCTCAAGCGAACTGCTTCAGGTTGAAACTGGATTCTAGAGACAAATCCTTATGCGGATGTTCTTTAGAGACAAATTACATGGCAAAAATCCGCCATAACGTATAAGAAGACATCGTCTCTCAGTGGTCTATGATGATTTTTGGCACCTCGTCTCACTTGATTAGACTTCAATTCATCGTTCATGTATTGGAAGGCCACTGCTAAGCTCATCAATACCATTTCTATCCTCTGTTATAGGCTGCTTCTCTAACACCTCAAGATGGCAAACTTCGGAGCCGTTACTCTCTTCCCGTACCTGCTTCCCAAGACAACAAAGGGAGACGACATCCTTACCGATGTCTCTTATCTTCAAGGCGATTTACCAGATTCCTCAGGCCCTTCTGGTCCGTCTAGTGATGTCAACCTGGATAACACGACCTGTATCGTTGGCATGGGTTAGTATTACAGACCTTATGACTGGCTACGAGCATTATAACGAATATGGAACTGACATTGTATTCTCCTAACTTTTAGCATGTCATCTCCCTGGAGGAGTTACGTCACCATCGGGGCTATGGGACTACTTGTACAACAAGAAGTCTGCCCAATGCAAGGTTCCCCTGCAGCGCTACAATATTGAAGGCTTCTATGGAAAGGACAACACAAGAGCAGGTATGATGAATGTGGATGGTGGATATTTCTTACATGAGGATGTTCGCGAGTTTGACCCCTCGTTCTTCGGTATCAACAACCTGGAGGCATCTTACATGGACCCTCAGCAGCGAAAACTACTCGAAATAGTCTATGAGTGCTTGGAAGATGCAGGAGAGACTATGGAAGATGTTGCCGGCTCTAACACGGCCGTTTACGTTGGGAACTTTACCGTGGACTACAACATAATGCAGTCTAAGGACAGTGACTATGTTCACCGTCTAGCTGCTACTGGTAGCGGAACATCTATCATGTCCAACCGCATTAGCCACGTATTCGACTTGCACGGCCCAAGGTGAGTAAAACCCTGACCCTAACCCTTCCTTTTCGAAGCCGTGTATGCACTGGTATGTCATGATGCATAGGCTAATTTCATCCACCTAGCTTTACTCTTGACACTGCCTGCTCGTCTACGATCTACGCTCTCCACCAAGCTGTGACTGCGATAAAGAATGGTGACTGCGACGCGGCTATCGTTGCAGGTGCCAATCTCATCACTTCTCCTGAGCAGCACTTTGGAACCGCCAAGGGCGGATTTCTTTCGCCCACATCGGCTTGCCATACATTCGATATCTCTGCGGACGGGTATGCTCGTGCGGAGGCGCTCAACGCCATTTATATCAAGAGACTGTCCTCGGCTCTTAAGAATGAGCATAAAATTCATGCTGTCATTCGGGGGACTGCTATCAACTCGTGAGTAACACTTGCCTTTTAAAAACTCTCAATGAGTTCAAAATCTAGCTATTAACACTGTGGGCAGAAATGGTAGAACTTCTGGTATCACCCTACCAGATGCTAAGATGCAGGAGGCTGTGATTAGGAAGGCATATCAAAACGCGAATCTCTCGTTCGCTGACACCGACTACGTCGAATGTCATGGCACCGGTACCCCGGTTGGTGACCCTATCGAGGTTGACGGTGTTGCCGCCTGCTTCGCAAATCGTGCCGGTGAGCCGTTGAGGATTGGTTCTGTCAAGACCAATATGGGCCACGGTGAGGCTGCTAGCGGTTTGACCTCCGTGATCAAAGTTGCTCTTGCTTTCGAAAACGGTATAATTCCACCTACCTATGGTGTCAAGGAGTTCAACCCTAAATGTAAGAAGCGCCTCTCTCAATTCTTTGAAAGAGCCTGTCTCTGATAGATTCCCATAGTGAAGCTCAAAGAGCGAAACATGAAAGTTGTGTGCGACAATGAGCCCTGGCCAAGATCCCTGCAACGTGCCAGCGTTAACTCATTTGGTTATGGTGGTGCAAATGGTCATGTAATTCTAGAGTCTATCCAAAGCTACTTGAACGATGCGTTAGCTTCTCCAACTCTTGCCGCGATTGTGACCAACGAAGAGGTAAAGGATGAGTTGCTAATCCTTCCATTTTCTGCCTCATCGGTCAAATCACTGGAATCTCGCCGGGAACAAGTTCGCGAACTTGTCCGGGGCACTCAGGATGCAAAGACGCTCGCTGCGATAGCTGCAGCTTTGAACAAAAAACAAGCACGGTTGCGACTTCGTGACTACGTTCTTGCATCTGCCGGACCTGCCCCAGCCTTGGTCGAGATGGCTGAGGTTGGTGACAAGGCTACACCTGGTAGCAATCCGCTCCCCTTGGCCTTTGTATTTACAGGTCAGGGCGCACAGTATGCTAATATGGGCAAGGGACTTCTTGAAAAAGACGCAGGTTTTAGAAAGACCATTCGAGAGCTCGACATTGTGTTAGCTTCTTTACCTGCTGGGCAAAAACCAGATTGGACTTTAGAGCAGACTCTTCTTGACGACCCTGCTGCTAGCAAGATTAACGATGTTACCCGCAGTCAGCCCATATGTACTGCTGTCCAAATTGCGCTGGTTGATCTTTTACGCAGCTGGGGGGTATGCCCATCTGCCGTAATTGGTCACTCCTCAGGCGAGATTGCCGCCTCCTACAGTGCAGGCCTTCTTAGTTCTTCTCAAGCAATGCTGGCTGCCTACTTTAGAGGCTTTGCTGTGGGCCAGTTGCAATCTCGCGGCACGATGATGGCTGCTGGCATCACACCCGATGCTGCCAATACTATGATTCAAGAACTCGGATTGAAGGAAGTGCGGGTCGCTTGTGTTAACTCCCCTGAAAGTATTACTTTGAGTGGTGCATCTCATGATATAGATGTTCTTCTGGTTGAGCTACAGAGTCAGAGCAAGTTTGCACGCAAGCTTGAAACTGGTAATCGCGCTTACCACTCCCATATGATGGCCGAGATTGGCGACTTGTATGAGTCACTGGTTGCTCCTCACTTCTCTGAAATGCCCAGTGCAACTGCATCATATGCCAAAATGTTCTCTACCGTTGGTGGCTTTTCTGAAGTGCATGAAGTTGTCGAACCTGGAACCAGAATGGCATCTTACTTCCGCCAGAACCTTGAACAGCCTGTTCAATTCAGCAGTAGCTTGTTCAAAATGATCACTGCCAACAAGTATCATTTGGTGGAGCTTGGTCCCCACTCTGCTCTCAAGGGTCCTATTCAGCAGATTCGAACCGCCGCAAAACGCGACAAGGAAGCCGTGCCATACTCCCCGACGCTAGTTAGAAAAGAAAACTCATATGTATGCCTGAAGAAGCTTGCAGGAACTCTGTATAGCTATGGCCATAAGTTGAATTTCGAGATAGTAAACAATCTGCCGAGATCAGTTGGAAGCCTATTTAACCCCAGCCTCCCGACCTATCCCTGGGATTATTCAAAGGGACTCCTGTGGCATGAACCGCGCGGTAGCATTGAGTATCGTCTTCGAAAGTATCCTCGTCACGAGCTCCTAGGCTCAAGGGTCATGGCTGGTAACGAAATTGAGTTCTGCTGGCGCAACATTCCGAAGATGTCAGAGCTAGCATGGGTTCGTGACCACGTGCTGGGGGAGTCGCAGGTCGTCCTTCCCGGAGCTGCGTACATGGCTATTGCTATCGAGGCACTCTCACAGGCTCTAGACTTCAAATACGAGCTTGTGAAGGGTGAAGCGTACTGTTTTGAATTCCAAAATGTCAACATTAGTGCCGCCTTTGTTGTGCCCGACGAGAAGGATCCCAATGCTGAAAAGACGGAGCTGCATACGGTCATGAATGCTCGAAAGATCTCCACCGCCAACAAATCAGAGAAGTGGTATGACTTCTCAATTTCTTCCTGGGTTTCTGGAGTTGTCACCCTACATTGTATGGGAAGCATCCGTGTCGTTAAGTCAGTCATGGGACCAAATGATGGCACCGTTGAAATAACCCCAAAAGGATATGAAAAGTGGCCAATGGGACGCTGGTACACCAAGGCCAAAGAAGAGGGTCTCAGCTTCGGGCCGCACTTTCAATCTTTGACCGGGCTATATACAGATGGCAATCGGACCTCTACGGATTCTATCGGTCTTACTGTTTTGGATCCTCCATCGGCAGCCTCTACTGACATCTTTTATGCTATACACCCCATAACCATTGACGCCTGCTTCCAAGCTGCCATATTCGGCGGGACAGCTGGTAATGTCAGTACGTTGCGAGCTTTCGTCCCAACATTTCTGACCAACTGCCATATTCAGCTTCCCAAGGGCGGTGCTGCAGCCTTTGGTAGCAAAGAGGTAAAGATACACTGCCGCATGGAACGAACAGGCTTTTCTAGCCGTGCGGTTTCTTTCACACTTCGTTCGCCCGATGGCACCCCTGTCATCGACATGCCACATATGCGTATGAATGCTTACAGCGGAAAACCCCCAGTGGCACCAGAAACTAGCATCTATCTCCAGCGTCAACCCTGTCTTCGTATCAAATGGAAGCCCGATGTTCTGCGCCTCCGACCAGGTTCCGAGGCTGCTCTGAACGAGTACATTACCAATTTTGCGTCCAACCAGTCAGAAGACATGAAGGATAATGGAACACTAGTCGTTTTTGCAGCAATTTTAGACCTTCTAGGTCATAAATTTCCTCGCATGAATGTCTTAGAGCTTGGCCAAGAGCGTCAGTGGTCGGCTAAGGATACCCTGTCCATTCTTGGGAAAGACACGGCCTTCCCTCGTTGCAAGTCATGGACTGATGGTACAGTGAGCGAAAATGGGAAAATCACTATCGAGGATTCCAAATGCTCGGAAGGGTTTGATATCCTTCTTGTTCCGCACCACTCTACGTCCAGAAAACTCTGGGTTAACGGACCGGACGAACTCAGTATGCTAGTCTCCGACAACGCTGTCATCGTTACACGGAAAAGCGAAAAAGCTATTCTTCAAATGAAGGAAGCTGGCTTTACCACCGTGGAACTCCCCAATGATTCTCTCCTGGGCATTCGCGGTCCTAAAGAAACAGGAGTGGAGGGTAAATCTGTGGTTTTTGTCAAGCCAAATAATTCTTCATCCGTCATTGACTCTCTAGAAGACTCCATAGCAGCGAATTTGTACAGTATGGGTGCCAGTCAGCTGAAAAGCATTTCCCTCGGCGATATTGGAGAGGTTGAGTTCAACGAGCAAGTTGTAGTCGTGTCTCTGCTTGAACTGGAGCACGAGTTCCTAGCCACTGTTAGCAGTGATGACATGGACCGCTTCCGCAAGATTACTGACAATGTGACAAAGCTATTGTGGCTCACTGGAGCTAACATGCTTTCTGCCCCTAACCCAGACCTCACCCTGGCTAGTGGCCTCTCACGAGCTCTCATGCTTGAGCAGCCCGCTCTGCGGTACATTATCCTGGATATTGGAGCCGATATCACCAATCCAGAACTAGTGACTGCGATCTGTGATAATGTATCGGCCGCCTTGACCTTCCGGTATGCGACTGATGACAGTGAATTCATTCAGAAAGGCGGTATGCTGTACACGAGTCGCTTCATCCCTGATGTGGAGCTAAATTCCTTATTCCGGCAACGTATGGGCACCGAGGACATGAAGTCAATCCCTTTCAAAGACCTTGGCCTCGCAAAGTTGTCTGTCGGACAGGTTGGAATGACAGATACTATCCACTTCCAGCAAATTTCCGAGCGACAAAGCTCACCTCCGGCTGGCTTTGTGGACGTCGATCTTCGGTCCGTTGGCCTCAATGCTAAAGATGTCTATGCAATCAACGGCCGCGCTGACACTAGGGACTGTACCCTCGCCCTGGACTTTGGTGGTGTCATCAAGGCTACTGGGCCAGACGTCTCTCACTTAAAGAAGGGGGACCGTGTTGTTGTTTTCGTTCCAAACCACTTTAAGACTACAGAGCGTGTCAGAGTCGAAACCGTACACAAGCTACTCCCCGATGAGGACATCAATGTTTTGCCTACCTTACTGGTTGTTAACGTCACTGCACTCGTTTGCCTCAGAGACCGTGCACATCTTCGTCCCGGTGAGTCTGTACTTATTCACTCGGGAGCCGGTGCATTTGGTCTCGCGGCCATCAACCTTGCTAAGCTTATGGGCGCTACCGTCTATACCACCGTCGGATCGCAATCAAAACGTGATTATCTTACGTGGGAAATGGGAATTCCTGCTGAAAACATCTTCAACTCCCGTGATGATTCCTTCGTGGATGGCATCATGAAAGCTACGGGTGGTAAAGGCATCAATGTCATTATCAATTCTCTCGTTGGAGACTTAATGCATGCTTCTTGGGCCTGTATCGCTCCGTTTGGTCGATTTGTTGAAATTGGAAAGCGTGAGCTTATTGATGCAGGAAGCCTTGACATGCACAAGTTCCTACAGGGCTCTACCTTCAGTGCGTTTGACTTGTCTGAATTCTTCTATGCAGATGACCCTTACTACCAGCGGGTCGTATATGAGTGAGTCTTGTCATTTTCTCTTTTTTATTACATTACTCGTCATACTTATTGACTTTCTTTCATAGTTACACGACTGAAGTGATTGAGATGTATCGTGCTGGCAAGATCAAGGCCTCACCCGTTGCAACTTTCGATGTCTCGGAGATTGGGCAGGCTTACCGTTACTTCAATAACAAGGACCGTGTTGGCAAAGTAGTTATTTCGATGGCAAATCCCGACAGTAAAGTCCCCGTTGCTCCGCCGACCTATCAGTCCGTCTTCTCTCCCGAGAAGACTTATCTGCTTGTCGGTTGCCTTGGTGGCCTTGGTCGTAGTCTCAGTCGTTGGATGATGACTCGCGGTGCCCGAAAGTTTTGCTTCCTTGGACGTTCTGGAATCGACAAGCCAAGTGCTGCGGAGCTTGTCAATCGTCTCCGAGATGCAGGTGCACATGTAACAGTCGTTCGTGGTGACGTTTCCAATGAGGATCAAGTCAAAGAAGCGGTTGCCGCTTGTGTCAAAGAAGGCCCGATCGGAGGTGTCGTACAGGCTGCTATGGGTCTTAGTGAAGCCCTATTTACGGTTATGTCTAATAAAGCCTGGCACACGGGAATTCAACCCAAGTGGAAAGGGTCGTGGAATTTACACAACGCCTTAGAAGGTCATGACCAAGCCCTCGACTTTTTCCTCTTGACATCTTCCATCTCTGGAAGCTGTGGCACTGCCACAGAGAGCAACTATTGCTCTGCCAACGGTTTCCTGGATGGGTTTGCCCGGTGGCGCCGCTCTCGAGGCAAACCTGCTGTTTCAGTCGGTCTGGGCATGATTTCTGAAGTCGGCTATCTCCATGAGAATCCTGAGATTGAGGCAATGCTACTCCGTAAGGGTATTCAACCACTCAATGAAGAAGAATTCCTTCAGGTGCTTGATTATGGTATTTCTGGTCCCGGCGGTGACGCCGAGTTTGCCAGTGGAAAACGTATGGGCAGCGAACTTGCCCATATTCTTACAGGTCTCGAGTCTTATGGTGTTCGCAAGTTGATGGCTCAGGGCTTCGAGGTGAACAATGGCGTGATGGACGAGTCTCGTACATCCATCTTAGCCGCATCTCTGCTAGCCGAAAAAGATGAAAAGGCAGAAGAACAAGGTGGCAATAGTGGTTCTATCGAGGCTGCTGCTGAGTGGTATACAGCATTACCTGCGAGCGCTGCGCAAATTTTCACATCCGAAGCCAGCTTGCCCACAATGTTGGATGCTATTTTGCGCCTGACCAAAAAACGATTTAGCAACCTAATCTTGATGCAGCTTGATGCTGTTGATGAACGTGCACCACTCCCATCTTTCGGTGTTGACAGTATGCTCGCTGCTGAATTTCGAACTTGGTTTTTCAATACGTTCAAGGTTGATATTCCTTTCCTCGACATTATTAGCTCACAGAAATGTCTTTACAATCTTGCAGAGTTTGTCGATGAGAAGTTGGTTGCAAGCTTGGCAAATTAGACGGACTAGTATCTATTTCTGAGAAACTGATATGATCAGCCGGCTGAGCAAAGTTGAAGCCCAAATGCGATATGCCCATTAAGCTAAGAGGTGAATTCTTTGAATATCTTGGTTGGACTTCGGCTTTTGAGTGTTCCTTCTGAACTTAGAGGTGGGTTCTTTGGAATAACCGGATGGTCTGAAAGGATTTCTTGTCATAGTTATTGAAATTTTTACCCTTTCCTATCTAGATTGGCATTTGATTTTTCTTTTCTGTTTAAGTATATAGACTCAGCTGATTACAATACTTAGATTGGTATTTGATCCTATCCTTAATCCGTAAGCGTTCCTACCTGGACACGCATCAGGTCTTACATGATCTACGCCACACCCACAGAAAAACTCGGTAAATGCCCACTGGGTTCTTCATTCTGTATTATGTTTATCTTTTATTCATTTTGCATACATTACAAATTCAATCAGAATCATGATCCAAAAGTTTGATCAACTCTCTATTGAAAGAAGCTGGCTTCCGCCTTGCGAGTTTGAGGTTTTTGCCTGAAATTCAAATACAAACCCAATTGTATCCGACTTTCTTTAGTTCTGAACTGCGAATTACAATACTCTCTTTTACTACCATCCAAAATAGCATATAGTTGTGGAAAACATGATGAAATATGATGTATAGGACTTTACTTGTAACTCTCATTTTCTCGCTGGGCAAACAGGGAGTATCATTCATGGCATATCAAGCTCAAGAGCGAAGAATGCTTTTCATATATAGGCAGAGATGAACAGTCTCTAATATCCTATCCTTTTCTATGCGGTTTGGAGATGGATATGATGTCTTGGGATATGCAAAACCTACGGTGCTAGTCATTGTGAAAGCAACAATTGATTCATCCCCAGATCTTAATTATTCTTGAATCAAGTAAATAAAAGAATTTGTTGCGGCGTGTAACTCTAGCTGCTACCATACGATAAAGTTTTCGCTAATCCTCGGGCTCGTAGTCTCTCCACTTGAGACCTTCAGGCACTTTCTTCCATTGCATTTCGTCGTCAAGTAAACCTTTCATGCTTTCCCACGCGTTTTTAACTGCCATTGCTCGCTCCTGATTTCTGGGCTTGATATTGGCTGCAAAAGGGGCCGGGCAAATGAACATACCCTCTTGAATATTGTCCACGTTAGGGATGATTTCTTTCCCGCTCTTAGGATCAATGGCCCGCATGAGATCAAATGCCCATAGCGTGCGTGCCATGGCCAAGAAGAGGGATCTATCTGCTATATGGATACCTTGACAAAGCCGTCTTCCAGCGCCAAATACAAAGTGATCACGCTTGGTCGCATCTGGGTTGACGGCTGCTTGAGCAGAGTTTTGATTATCCTGGGCCCAACGTCCGGGATCATACTTTCGAGGATCTGGGTGTCGATGAGGATCGTTCTGAATACCCCTGTCACATTGTGGTCATTAGGAATGAACTGTAGATCAAGAAGGAGAAAATTTGCATTGCAACCATACCAAACGTTGAGTAATACGCCTGCGCCCTTTGGAATATGATACCCCAAGTACGTATCGTCTTCTGCCACTGCATGTGGCACACCCAAAGCAGTGGCCGGCATCCAACGAAGGCTTTCTTTCATACAAGCGCGAATATAAGGCATATCTGGGAAATCATTCAAATCTGGAATACGATCACCGCAGACACGGTCAACTTCAGTTTGGGCTGCCTTGGCTACTTCGGGGAAAACTAGCATGGCCTGAAAGAAGCCAATAAGGATGGCCGCGGTGGTCTCTGAGCCAGCCTGGAGCAGCGATCCACTGAGATAGCAAGCAACTTCATCTGAGAACCCTTCCTCCTTTTGTGCCTGAAGTAGGTCTATGCAACAGCAAGGCTATTATTTATGTTAGTTGGAAGTACATCTTGTTGGCTGGGGCACTTACTCACCTTAGCAGTCCCGCTACGAAGCTGACGCCGAGCATTCATGAGGTGTTTCATAAACAGACGTTTTTCCCGTTCATGATATGCTCTCCCCCGTTTAATTACAGGAAAAAATATCTCCGGTAATCGCCTCAAAATAGGGTAAAAATCAAGCAGGACGGCGGTCTGCGCAATGAAAGTATTCAGGAAAGAGTAGTAAATAGGGGTATTTCTGTTGGACGACTCACCTTGTCTCCATTAATCTTGGAAAACATTTCGAAATTCTACAGCAATTTATCAGTCATTGCCCCATTTTTTCCCTCATAATCTAGGGATATGGCTTCCTCACTTCGAACATTTCCAGCAGATTTGGGTCATCACTTGTTGGAGTTCGATAACCGAAAGTCATTTGGGTCGTCAAGGAAGTCGTGTATCGACGAATATGGTTAAAGAAATCGTTAGGATTTTCAAGTAAACCCGTTAACAAAGCCTTGGACTCGAGGTCTTGATATGGGACATAGCTTCGAGATACAGAAATGTTCAGAACGCCATGGGCGAGTTTCCGAACGGCACGCCAGCGAGGAGTGTTACCCTGGGTTTCATCAGCATTCACACTCAGAAATGAAACGCTCGTTCGTGCATGATACCATGAATAGTGATCGAAGGCCACCGCTCATTATGTTTTGGGCCATGTACATTTCTGGTCTCCCCGAATAGATCGCGCTTCGCTTATCCAATAGGTCTTTGACAGCTGAATCGGATGAGAGAACAACAGCCACCTTTGTCCCAAGCATCAGCGTATATACTGGACCATAAGTCTCTGCCCATTTTTGAAATTGTAAGTGGGGATTGACACTGGGTATTTGGTGCAAATTCCCAATCAAAGGTAAAGTTGGCGGCCCTGGAGGATAGCTACTAGGTCGTCGGCCAATCCTGCTAAGCCGCCAGAGCAACACCGCGATTACGATGAAGCTCAGAGCAACCATCCAAGGCCTTGAAATTAGCATGGTAGCCATTCGTGAGGTATTTGATATATCGTTTGAGAAAAGAAAAATCGACACCTATGTTTTGGGCATGCAAAAACTGTGCATTCGTGATATCGAATCAACAGACATTTGATATCAGTTTTGTTACATGGATATCTCACATCCGATGTCTCCCGGATGTTTCAAAGTGGCCGAAGTCCAATGTCATGCAATAGTCACCATCCCAAAATTTCTCTAATCCGCTGCAGTGTAAATGGGTGAGGTCGCCGACTTCGATTCATTCATTCCTCCGTTCCGTAAGTAATATCGGACCGGAATACGAATGGGTTTAGCGCCGGCCTCTCAGGGGTCCGTATAGGTACCTATCGGATGTTGGACTTCTTTGTTAGTTTCTCTTTTCTTGCTGTGAGGCCCGATTGTTAGCGTGAAGTAGTAGAAGTTGGCACGGTATTCGAAGGATGAAAAGGTGCGAATTCCATGGTGACTCCATAAATCGGGATGCACAGTTTCACTTGAGCTACATTCCCCCTGACATCAAGTTGTATCTCTGCATAAAATTCTAACATAGTATCCTCTCTCGATTAACGAATTTACGCCATAAGACATGTCCCGAGCAAAGAAATTTGCCCTTGTTACTGGGTAAGCTATTTGTTTGATAAAATATGTTACCAAATAGACCAAACTGAGGCACAGCGCAAAGTTGCGGAAAGGGCGGAATCGGTGAAGCACTCGTGAAGGAATATATTCGACGCGGAGTCTATGCTATTGCTACGGTGCTTCCTAACGAGAATAGCGAACACCTCAACGAGGCTGGAATCACATGGTTCCCGCTTGACGTGACCGTTGAGAGTTCTATTCGGAGTCTAAAGGAGAAGATCTTGCCCTTGACTAATGGCTACTTGGACATTTTGGTCAACTGCGCGTGAGTCTGAACCACGTTGAGATCAGGATTTCTTGCAAGTGCTAATCCGAATGCAGAGGGATATGTAAGACTCACTCGGAATAATAGCGAGTCCTGACAACTACCAAGACTAATATGTGTCTGTGTTCTCCTCATTTCAGGTTATACTATGCCTGCTGTCGATACCGACATTAACCCGGTAAGGCGTATGTTTGAAGTGAACCTATTTGGGCCAATGCAGATGGTTCATTACTTGCACGACATGTTGATCAGAGCTTCTGGTGCCATTGTCAATATTGGATCGATTGGCGGCGTCGTGCCTTACGTCTATGGAGGTATAGTACAAGATTATCTGTTTTCTAAGATCTCATCAAGCGTCAATCGTCCTACTAAACTACTATACAAAGCATCGTACAACGCGTCCAAAGCTGCGCTTCATCACTGGTCTAACAGTCTCCGGCTTGAAATGTCCCCTTTCAGGTACGAAAACCTATCAAGTCATGCTCTCGTAACTGCGGATATGTTAACGCTTAAATATTTGTGTTTCAGCGTGAGGGTTATCTGCGTACGTTACCCATATTCTACTGCTCGTGTTTTTTATTTTATATGTACTTATCTAGTACTTTCAAAAAGGTGATCTCCGGCGAAGTTGGAACCAACATTCTGAAAAATGACTCCCATCGAAAGCTCCCAAAAGGTCGGTCAAACTGCACTACAATTTGGAGAACGCTGCTAAGAGCGAAAAGGATCATATTACTCGCCTCTCGCCGGAGAGTTTCAAAGTCATGTGCAGAGAACGGTTAAAAGTAAGAATGGGCCACACACTCCTATACATTGGGATCTGCGTGAAGAGCTGAGACAAACGAATAATTCGCAGCTGCAACTAATCGATTCGAGTATGCATCCAACGTTGTATCTCAGAGCCTGAAGACGAAGCCAGCCGCATGGTTCTGGACTGGCAGTGCCACCACAATCATTCGGTTCTTAGACATGTTTTTTCCGCGGACAATATTCGTATGTATTGGGCATCCTAAAGCTGCCTGACTCGAGGGATGAGAGAATTAATACTAACTTGAATCATTTAGGATTTCTTCTTTTACAGGGAATTTCACTTGGAGAAAATCAGGGAGGCCCATCTTGCCACGCAAAAACGAGCGGAGTAGATGAACAATCTACCAGAAGACAAGCATTCTAGGAAAGTCTAAAACCTCGCCGAGGGCCTTGAAATCCGAAACCTCGCCCGTGGCCCTGAAGTCCCGTTCATGTACATTCGTACTAAATATCCATGTATCTATATAAACTCTTAGCTTCCCTGAGTTTTGATCCATGCAGTGTTAACTTAGAACACGAACCAAGGAGAGCTCACTTGCGTACCCATGAAGGCTTGCTTGAAAAGCATTCATGACATATCTGACGAGCCGAAAAGCAAAGGCAATGCGTCCATCGGAAGTTTCTAGTCAACTTTCGTACATTGAGAAAGCACTGCACCACCGAGACCGAATTTGAGATTAAGTCTTGCATGCAAAAAGTAAACAGCTATTAAGTCAATGGAAAATAGCCTCTGCACTTCACAATTAAAACTTAGCTGATATATACATGAATTAGATACATACCTAGGTAATTGCGGAAGATACGGGCAGTGCTGTGCAAGAAAAAGTAACATGTCCAAGGTTGTAACAGACCAGGAGCAGTTTGTCTCATTGCGTTTAAAGCTTAATGGTTCATTCATTCTATCATTTATTGACAATTCGATGTCCAAGATAGTCCCAATACTCTGAGAGCATTGACTTTGCACTTTCATCACTAACACTATCTGTTTATATTCCGCTGAAGATATGTCTGCTTTTCCACATGTCTACTTATTGACATAGTATGGAGCAAGCTCGTTGAGTTCCTGCTTGAGTTCCTGACCGTTGATAACAATGGGCTTGCAATCAAGGAGAACCCACATCATGCGGCCGGGCAGGGTACCGTTGCCCGAAACGTTGTGCCATTGATGGGCAGTAGCACGATTCACGCACACATCGCCCTGGCGCATGATCTTCTCCTCTCCGGAGTCGAGGATGAGCTTGAATTCACCTTCGATCACGATACCGTAGTCGAGAGAGACAGCACGATGCATGGGCGATAGAACGTTGGGAGCAAAATCCATCATACGCACGACGGAACCATTGTGTATGTGCAATCCTGGCTGCATAAGGGACTTCAGTTAAGATGCATCCTTCTTGAAGATTCTTGATATCATACCTCGTTCTCCGTGGCATATTTAAGATCAGCATCACCATTCAATTCGACAGGAGTTTCTTTGGTCGAGTAAATGATATTAGCAAGGGCTTGGTCGTTGCCAATAACACGATGATGATCGCCATCATCAGTCGATACGAAGATGCCCTTTCCCTCAGCATTATGCCCAGTTATAATGCGGACATTTCGACGAAGTCCCGGTGCTGGGAAAGTCTTGACATAGCCAGCACTAGTTGCGAGCAACTCGGCCTCTGTCGGTTGCTGTCGTGGAGTAGCCATAGTTACGATGCTGGTATTCAGGTTTCTAAGAGAATAAGTCTTTGCTGTTTCTCGTGAGTGATACTGCGATGTGTGTGATTTTTTGATTTTGCTTCGGTCAATCCGAATGCTTTTAAAACAAGAAGCTCTCAATTGCATTAGACACTTCTTGCCCAGGTGTACTTAGAAATAAATTAGCTGTATAAGCACGGAGCTCAAAGAATGACAGTATTCGTCATAATGTCCGGGGTAGACAAAAAGAATTCGGGCCGTCTCTGCAACAACTCATTGCGTCGGTCCGTAGGTTACTGTACCTTACCCTAAAAGGTAGTTATGCTGTGACTGTCATGTACCATGAACCTGTCTACGTCGATTCGAAAACAATCAAATGTGATTCAGGATATTGGGAACCGAAAAATGTGCAGAACAGAAGATTTTCGCGACCGGCATTATGGTTACCATATCGAATGGTTGACCGATAGGTTGTTATCCATAGACAGTGCATATTTTAGTCGACTCCCAAGTCAACTGTGTATTCCATTTTGGTTGCAACTTTAAGGGAACGAGAGAATAATTATTCCATCATGAAAAAACGTGCTTTATCATCCGAATCTAACATTGGTAGGGCTTTGGTCTACGGTTATCCACAGTTTCCCTTCGATGTTTCTCTGTCGGTATAGCCCTAACTCCAAAGTTAGTACCTACAGGATGTGAGACAACACGTTTGATGAACAATATTTGTAAAGAGTCACTGAAGACTATCCTAGAATTGAGAGTTTGGTGTTTTCCTTTTCTTCTTTTTTTTTTCCCCTATACAATTCATGACTTCAGTTTAGGAAGGGTTGCAACAGTTCAAGCTGAGGTTGACCATGGATGAAGTCAAATGTAGACGTATATTTTCATTAGAACTTCATTTGGTGCCATATCCGGGATGATAAGTTCAGAATGGAATACTGCACATGTCAGGTTAGTTTATTATTGCCTCCTCGCGGAATGACTTCAGGAATACGGTTTCTATGAATATGGAGTTACAAAATTCAACCTGATATATTTCTGGTATGGCAATTATTAGAAAATCTCGGCGTGAGCGTAGCATCGTTCAAATGCCCGCATTTTTCTCCTTCAGATCATTCACAATCTTCCACGCATCGAGAAATTTAAATTCGTCCATCGTTTCTTGCCAAAGATTTTCCTTGAATTCATCGCCGCACTTGGTATAGAATAATTTTGGGTACCTGCTCAAACGTTCAGTGCATGTACATCGAATGATGTAACTTCCCTTACTTACGGCTTGATGGTCCAGTCACTCGCAAAGGATCCATGACTAATGTTGCCTCGAACTAGAACTGCGTCTAAGTACGCGGTAGCACCAACATCCGCGGACCGAGCAAAAATCCATTGAGCCACACTGATAATCTTTTGCACGATGGCAGGATGGCCTTGAAAAAATGAGGTTCCGGCAGTCATTCCTGGGTTCGACACATTGACCAGGACGTTATCGGAGCTAACAAAATCCACAAGTTTTGACACAAAGAACATCTGCAATATCTTCGATTTGGCGTACCAAGAAGTTCCGTCAAAAGTTTTGTGGTCCTGAAATTGAGCCAGAATGGACCCTGGAGTCTTGAATTTAGCGCTATACATCATGTCTGACCCGACAATGCTGAGAACTGGAGGTCGTGAGCCACCATGATTTCTGCTTGCTTTGAGCTTTGGGAGCAGCATGATAGCCAGGAGAGCCGTGGATAGGTAGTTGACCTGCAACGTAACCTCATGCTGAGTGGAGGGATTTATCACATATTCACTCTGCATGAGTCCAGCGTTGAGGATGGCTATGTCGATGCGCTGCAAGGTTCCGCACTGTGCAGCAAACGCGCGAATCGAGTCATATGATCCCATGTCGAGAAACCAGACTGTGATTATGGCTTTAGGAAATTTTTCACGCAGCTCAACAGCTGCTGCTTCTCCTTTAGAGACCGAGCGCACAGCCATGACTAGATGAGACAATCCTAGGTCCAGTAATTGCCTTGATACCGATAGACCAAGTCCGGTATTGCTCCCTGTGACAATAGCGACGTTGCCATTGAGTCGAATGCCGGCTGGTAGCGGTTTGGGTCTTGTAAATTGCCGCCAAATGAATCCGAGATTTGAAGCCTCAAACGAGGCTAATTTCTCTAGCTGGTTGGACATTTAAGGTAGGCCTTGAAATTTTCTATTTGGTAGTCAGCCTTATATCTAAACTGTGTGTAGTACCAAGGTTAGTGTCCAGGTGTTTTTGTACTAAGGAAGTTGCTCTTGCACGTGCACTAGAACTTACCTGCACATATGCTGTATGTTAACAATTCAAGGTTTCATAGATGGCAAATGAAATATGATTTTTCTTCCCCCTCTTACTCCATAATCTTTAGACTGAATGGGGTGTTTTTGAGACCGAGAGAGGAATGTTGAATAAAGGGAAGCAACGAAGTCCGGAAACAACTTGAGCCAGGCCAACCAGACGAAGCGTACGAGCCACCTAAGCACTGAATAGGTAGTCTTCTCTTCGCAAATTGTGAGCAGGGAACTAGTCCGGCAGAATGGTCTGGATTTCCGGTATAATCTCAATTGCAGGAGCGAACAAGAAAATGGACTACTCATCTTTTCCGATTCCGTATAGTTTTGTTGTTACCATCACGCCGAAGCATTGCCTATGTGCATGCAAAATGCAAAAGTACGCCGCTATCTAGGTACGCATTCATTATACCGTAAAATGCGCTGGTCTGTCAGCAACCGGCCCGTTTCCCCATCTGGCTCCTGATGCTGGGGCGAAGACCTAGCCGAAAGGCGATCATGGCTTCTTGATTCTTATACTAGTTCACAAGCAGCTAGTCTTATATTAGCCCCATATGCATCAGACAAGCGATACGTACGTAGTCTGCTATGTATCGGCCATTAAATTCATCCGGTTAGTACAGTACCTCGAGCTTTTCTGAATAATTCATGAACAGATTGTATTCATGCATTATTTCTACTTGCTATGACAATGATTCATGACAGTCCCCCACTTTTTCTGGTCTACGAAGCGGTGGAATATCATACTTGGGGCCAGTTTTATTTTCCTTTCAGAAACTGTTTTTAGCAAAATTTTCTACTTGGATTATGATTCATATTAACTACCTAAGCGCCTTTTTCATAGTTCATTGACTATTGGTATCATCAATTGATCCGAATTAGTCTAATAGACATGGAGCTAAAGGAAGATAACAAACACTCCTCCAGCGACTCAACGTCCTCGTCTCCACAGCCTCCCTCCAACCTCACGTTTGCTGGACCGCAAGAACACAATGATAATGGCGGTAGGAAGGTATCATCTGTAAGGGAATATACGATTCTTCCAGCAGAAGAAGTCGAATACCCATCCGGATTTAGATTATGGATTACTATGGTTGCCATGATGCTCAGCATCTTCTTGATTGCTATGGATATGGTAAGCGCTCTTGTTCTTCTATCTTTCGTCTTCCTTCTATTTATGAAATCACCTTTTTGCCTTTTTCAAAGAGCTTGTTTCCGGGTATGGTGAGCTTATTACCGCCGCCGTAGACCATCGTCGCCACCTCTGTCCCTGCGATCACCAACGAATTCAACGGCATCAAGGACCAGGCATGGTATGCTTCCTCCTTCTTTTTGACGTCTGGTGGCTTCCAGTCAACATGGGGAAAGATTTATCAGAACTTTCCTCTTAAAATCAGCTTCCTGACCGCGATCTTCATCTTTGAGGTTGGGAGCACGATTTGTGCCGCTGCTCCTTCGTCTGTAGCATTCATCGTGGGTCGGGCAATCGCAGGCGTCGGAGCTGCGGGCGTTGGCTCAGGGTCGTATACGATTGTCGCTTTCATTTCGGAGCCCAAGAAGAGAGCAAATTTTGTTTCAATGCTTGGTGCCATCTTCGGTATCGGAAGTGTCTTAGGACCTCTCATTGGTGGTGCTTTTTCTACTAATGTTACCTGGCGGTGGTAAGAAACTCACCCCAATTGAACAGACACTTCGCTCCTTTCCTACATACTGTTTCCTCAGCTAACATAACGCTTGAGGTGCTTTTACATTAATCTTCCTATTGGAATTCCCCCGGTCCTCGCTATCATATTTTTCTTTCGTACTCCGACGGCTGCCCGCTCTACAGAATCCTCTTTTAAAACTAAACTGCTCCAGATGGATCCACTGGGCTTGTCGCTGCTTCTAGGGGGTATCGTCACTTACCTTCTCGCCGTACAATACGGCGGCACGTCAAAACCCTGGAACTCTGGTACCGTTATCGGCCTCCTCGTTACTTCCGTTGTGGTGTTCATTCTCTTTGGAATAGTTGAATTTTGGCAAGGCGAGAGCGCGACAGTAATCCCCCGACTCTTCAAGAAGCCTTTTGTCGGCATGTCAATGGTCTACATATCCTTTCAGGGTGGTGCGCTTTTCTCGATGGTCTACTACCTCCCTCTCTACTTTCAGGCTATCCTCGGTGATAGTGCCGTACTGGCAGGTGCACATAACCTAGCATTTATTGTCCCAGCCATGATTTCGGTCCTTGTCGCGGGTATCATCGTCACCAATACCGGGATGATCACTGCAGTTATGACCGTTGGGTCAGCAATCGGAGCTCTCGGCTGCGGCTTATGCTCCTTATTTGGTCTTGACACCACGATTGGAGTATGGATTGGAGTTCAGATTGTGGCCGGCGTTGGCCTTGGCCTCGGATTTCAAGTTCCCCTAACCACTGGTCAGGCCAGCGTCCAGGAGTCAGACCTACCAGCTGTCACGTCCATGTTACTCGAGTTTCAGACGCTGGGTGGTGCCATTTGGGTATCGGCCTCGCAAGCAGTATTTATCAACAGAATGTTGATTGTTCTGCCGGAATTGGCTCCTAACGTGAACCCTAGACAAGTCATAGCTACTGGTGCCGGGGATTTACGCACCGTGTTTGATCCGGAACAGCTCCCGGGCATTCTAACTGCCTATTCCCAGGGCATTAAAGATGCATACCTTCTCATATGTGCTCTTATTGGTGTTTCTATGTTTGTGGCCGCATCAATGCCTTGGAAGAAACTGGATATTAATGTTATCGAAGGCGCCGGAGATAGCGCTTAGTAGGATATGCTGCTTAGGATTTCGCATTTGAGCATCAGCCTTGCAGCTGAATATTTGTATACACAGGTAGTGATACAAAATTGGCTGAACATAGAAATACGATGCATAAAAGCGGTGCATCGAGAGTAGTAGCTCTCCCTAATGAGGACGTTCACCTGACAGGTACACAACATATGAACCAGCTGTTCGAACAAAATCTAGATATAGACTCTCTGGAACCAATATAAATTATGGTTGAAGTCTAAAAACAGGCTAATCATGTTCAGATGTTACCGTAAGAGGCCTCCGTAGCGGCGGTCGTTTTCAACACCAATATCACAGGTCCTCATACTCCATGTGTATAAAAAGCCCTGATAGGGTAAGGGTGAGAGCTACTTGAAGTGTTGCATTATCCTAACCCTATTTGGGGTTGGGGCAAGCACCACGAGAATTTCGATAGCCCCCGGAAACCCTAACCCACTCTGCTAATAAACACTGTCCGAGTCACACATCATCCAATCAAACTGCCTATAATATTACACAGAAGAGAACTAAACCTCCTATGCGAGTCATGCTAGGAGCAATTGCGCAATAAGCACTTCGTTCCCATCGCCGAACAATTGATTAGGGTAAGCCACAATGCGCCGGGTCAAGTGACCACGCAGAAAAATTGCGGGCACCCACGTCGACTCTCCGCGTGGGCTAGACCCTTCCTCCACCATCAACAAATCAGTCAATCCACCAAGTTTATCGATTCTCATCTCTCTGCCTTACACCCTGTATACTTACTACCGAATCTGTCTTCGCGCTCTTGTACTCCACCAAGGGAAACTTTTAGGAACACGACAATAGTGTACGACCGGATGCCAGGGAAAGGGCGACAGGTCATGAATTTTAAAACGGACATTCGCGAATGGAGATTGATCTGTTATTCTTGAAGCGATTTTCTCCTTTCGCATCAGTCGCGAAACAAACATAGCACGCCTGTTTTATTGCACTCTTTCTGATCATTGTCCTTGTCTATCGTGATAAACATCACTGGATAATTCCAATAGCGACAGCGGAAGCAATCCGGAGAGGGCTTTGAAGGAAATAACAACATCAAATGTTGTAATTTTGTCCAAGCCTCGTTCTTTTTCACCCTGTTCGGCGCCTCGCACGCTGCTCGTCATGAGCAATCCTTCTCCTAAGAAAAAAATCAGCGCAAGCAGTGATAGCTCCAAAGCTATCCCTACCATCGACAGCAATGCGCCTCCACCTCCACGTCAAATTCGTTTCGTATCGTCGGACGGACAGCCGCAAACCAAACGAAGACGAGTGACTGCTGCGTATGTTTATATTTAGATTCATGTTTGAATGGGATTTATGCTTATCACAAGTGATTAGGTGTCGCACCTGTCGCAAGCGGAAAATTCGATGCTCTGGCGAACAACCTGGTACGTGAATGCACTTCTTGGCTTTAGAGTAATTTTTTTCTGATTTGTGGTAGTCTGTAAGACATGCAGGGATTGCGGACACAAATGTCTAGGATACAATGACCCTGATAAACCGGAAAAGACGACGCTCCCAGGAACGACAAGAAATGGATACTCTCAATCTATGTACGCCGATGAAGGAGACGAAGACCGGTCCCTTTCCCATTCTCCGACCACTCCACTGGTGTCCCTAGCTGCGCCTGCCCCTAATACATCTAAGTCACCGCAACCAAAGACGATCAAGTTAGAAGCGCCCCTACCTCTGACAACTGATACCCTGAACAATGCGACGAAGGAGCAGGATAGACTCGCGGCTGTGACTAGTCCGGAGAGTAGTGCGTGTATAATGCTGTAACAACGTCATGGCTCATATGCTGATGGAGATTTATAGGTCGCACGTCTTTGAGCTCAGGTCATCGAACCCATGTACCTTATTTCAGATACTTTGGGCCCACGGCCATTGTCCCGGGCTTTAAGCAAATGGTATGATATTAACAGTATGCGAAGGAGGTAGACGTGCTTACGTGAATAGGTTGTGCGTGTTCGGGACGGGAGAAGAGGGAACTTGTCACAGTCATCAGGTAGATCAACACTCGACGTGATTTATTGTCAAGTCTGATAGAAGTATAGACTCGATACGGTCGTTAAAAAGCCCACGGATGGGCGCCACAGGACCTTCTCTGGTCACCGTACTAGCAGAAGGAGAGTCAAATAGCATACCTTTCTACGACCGAGACGACTCCCTGCCCACAAGCAAGCTCGTGACGCATTTATGTGATTTATTTTTCGTCCATCTTGGTTGCAGTTTTCCATTCTTACAGCGGAACCGCTTCATGGCTGATTTGAAAGGGAAAAAGATTGATTCTATACTGGTAGATGCCGTTTGTGCCTTGGCGGCCAGATTCTCTCCCCACCCGTTACTTAGTCCGCCCCAAGCTCGTCCCATTGACGGCGAAGATCTTCAGCCGGATGTCAAACGCTCAGATCACGGTCAGCCCTTTGCGCATCGAGCTATGACTGCTGTCGTCAACGCGCTTTCGTGTCCCACATTATCTGTTGTTCAAGCCTGTCTCTTGCTGGCATACGAAGAGTTTGGGTCTAATCATGACAGTGGCCTGTGGATGTATTTGGGAATAGCTATCCGAATGGCCCAGGATCTGGGAATGCAGAAGCTTCAAGGACTCAAGCATCGCTACGGACGTACTGGTCTCAGGCCGAAGGCTATCATCACAGGTCAAGCTGGTAAACTAGGCGTGGAACAATCTGAAGGCTCTATACCGACTAAGCGGAAAGAAGGTGGTGAAGCATCTGGTGAAGATAGTCAGCGGGCGATGGAACGCGAGCAGGTCGACACATTTTGGAGTGTGTTCTTTCTTGATCGTGTCATCTCTTCCGGCACTGGAAGACCAGTGACTCTGCGAGATGAAGATATTGAATTGTATTTCCCGCTTCAATCAGAGTCCATCCTTTTAAATGGTTGGCCAGCGCCTTTCCCTCCTCTGATTCGAATCATTCATTTGTACGGTCGAGTCACGGACTTGATTAACGCTATTCAAGAAGACAATCACATTGATGCTGAGACACTCAAACGATTAGCCGGCATGGAAAGTGATCTCACGAGTATATATCAACGTCTCTCGCCAAAGTTACATTTCAACACGATGAATTTCCAAACCTACGTTAAAGCTCAAGAAGGAACCAATTTCATTCTGCTGCATTTTTGGTTCCATGCTCTGATCGTTCTTCTGCATCAGCCGACTCTACTGAATTCATTCGGTGGGCAGATTCAGCATCTATATCCAAACAGTCGAGAGTTATCCATGTCTTCGGCCAAGACGATTGCCGATATCTTATCGTTCTCTGAACTTATTGACGCGAAGAGCTTCATCGGTAATCCTTTCACCAGTCAGCCAATGTATATTGCGGCATGTGCTTTTTTGATGGAAAGCGCGTATTATTCCTCGCCTTCATCAAGGTCCGGCTCACCTTCAGTCCTTGTGACAGATCAATCCAGCGCATTCACCGTCCCCAATATGGACTCCTCTAATAGTAGCGAGCGCAAAACGAACACAAAACACAGTCTACTTGCTTCCGCTGCGAAGGAAAATTATCAACGTTGTTATCGTGCTTTGAGGACTTTGCAGACCTACTGGGAGGGGACGAAGTATATTCTTACGGTCCTGGATCAAAAGGCCAAAGGCATCGGTGATCCGTTGTTGTATACCACGGAGGAGATGGAGAGTACAGCTGATATTGCTTATGCGCCGTCATTAGTGTCGCCGAATTGGCAGCCGTCGCTTCAATCGGTGCCCGCTGATACTGCTCGAACGGAGTCGGACAATCAGGCGGCTGCTCAATCTGAAATCGGCTCCCCAAAGATTGATCCTAGTCAAGGTAAGACAACCAAACGAATCAAACGAAAAAAAATCTATATATATATACTAACAATTGGATTTGATAGCCATCGGTTGGGCACTCACTGGAGAAATAAACTCTGCGCAACCAAACTTGAGTTTGTTGTACCATCTACCGGTGCCGCAATTAAACGGAGGATCAGAAGGGCAGATATCAGTTAAGGACGGCATCCCGACAGTCGAAATCCATACGGCCAACCATACTTATGCGCAATCAATGGCAACTTACCCATCAGCTCCGACCAACTCGAATATTCTCAGCACACCTAATCCGAAATTCTCTGGACCTGGTAATAACAATATAATCGCCTCCAATCCGTACTCAGCCTCAAACACTGGACCATCACATGCCATGTACAGCTCAGCTCTTGCTTCATCACACATACCATCTCCATACGCGTTCAGCTCCACCACTGGTACTTCCTATCATCACCAACAACAACAACACCAAGAACCTTACGCCACCCAACAGTACGCTCCTTCTCACATATCAGACACCCTAATTGAAAGCCAAGACATCGACATGGCCGCCTTCCACAATCAAGCCGAATTTCCATTCATATTCTCTAATGATTTTAATCCATATCTGGAATACCTACCACCAGACGTGATTAATTATTTCGGTGATTCGACCTCCTCATCATCAGCGCCACAGCAACAGCACCAATCACATCAATTTGGTGTGGCGGGTTTATTGAGTCCTGAGGAAGGGGAGCAACATCAGCGATGATGATCGGCTGACTTTTATAAGGAAATTGACATGATTCATTTTGATTTTTTGTAGCGTTTAGTCTGCAGCGATTTTACTGTAGGGTTGGGTTTTGTATGTTTATGGCATTAGCATCATATACGTGTATGGATATATGTGATCATTTATCTCGGTTATTTACATCCAGTCCAATTTCCTTCAATCATACATGCAGTAGAGAATCTTTTAATCAACATGGTAACTGGGGTAACTCCATCTGTCAGTGAGACTGGGCCCAGCTATTAGGGTTAGGGCTTTCAAATAGCCCTAGTTTATGTCGTCCCTTAGCTCACTCCACGCCCTTAAGACTACATGTATGCACTTTATACTAGGTAGGTACTTAATCTATTTAATAATTAATGACATGGATCTTCCAATTATGTCGCGCAATGTTCTGATCCGATCTGGAAGCTCACAATGTTGGCTCTGTAAATTGATTGCACTTTCTATTGATATTTGGACAAGCAAAAATAATCTTCCAATTCTTGCTATGATCGGTCATTGGCTCACTGAGGATTTCTTTTATAAAGAAAGAGTCTTAGAGTTCATTGAGCTTCATGGAATTCATAGTAGTGAGAATATTGCCATTGCTATCCAGACTACACTTTCTCAACTGAACCTTGGAGAAAAGCTGATCACTATCACGGGTGATAACGCCAGTAATAATGAGACTATGGCTTCAGAATTGTTCCATCTTCTCAGTAGGACATGTTTAGATAAAGAGAAAATTCAGTTTAAAGGAGTTGATAGCTATATTCACTGTCTAGCTCATATCCTGAATCTAATCGTTAAGGATATCCTTCAAACTTTGAAATCTGGCACTTCAAATGAAGCATCCACTATCCGTGATAGATTTCAAAATGGAGAATATATACAAGTACAATCAGCATTAGCAAAGCTTTGTATTCTCACTCTTTGGATCAACTGCAGTCCTCGAAGAAGACAAAAACGGAAGCAAGTCTGCAAATATATGAGTCTTTCGGGAAAATACATTCAATATGATGTAGAAAATTGTTGGAATTCAACATACCGGATGCTTGATGATGGCGTCTATGCTAAAGTTCAAATCGATCAATTCATATCATTACAGACCGATATCCCTTCTTACAGACAGTGACTGGGAACGTTCATCTCAGATTCATCGCACACTCACTAAGTTCAATGAACTTACATTATTTGTGTCGAAACGGAAGTCACAAATCAGCCTTGCTATTCCAGTCTATTATGAACTTCATGATCTACTATGTGAAGGTTCAGAATCACAATGGTCCTTCAAGGAATTAGATCCTGATATTGCTTCTGCATTGAAAGAAGGTCTAAAGAAGTATATGAAATATTATACTTTTATGAATGAATCTGAGATATACTGATGATGGGCCAGAGAGAGAGTGATGTTGAGAAGTCCAGCTAACTACCTGAGATCTGTGGCGTGCGAGGTTGGTGTGTGAGGTCCGTGACGCGCTAGCCGATAATCGGGCCCCTCGGGTAACTCAAATATGCCAGCGAATCCAGCCAAAAATACCGTGCGAGTTACGCTAGAGCCCTCAGTTGCAGGGATTATTTTGTATGCAGTTATCGCCCAGTTACCCGTTTCAAAGTGATGTATGAGGTCCCCGGAACGCGTCCGCCCTCAGTAATTACGCGTACGTATGGGAATCAAGCTCCTATTTTTATCCACCACCAACTCTGCCTGTATACTGTTGCATCGATTCTGGCTAACCAAATGCAGTGTGGAGTCACGGAAATAGATGCGCTATCGCGCATCGCCGCTGGCCTGATTGTCAGGGTTGGTTACGCGATGGACCGGCTCTTGAGCCTCCTTCCAAGGACGGCTCCTCTACAGATACAGGTCCCTGACATCGCGACCACCAAGATCGAGCCTCCCCGACTGGAAGATATCGCTATACAAAAGGCTCTTAATGAGGTCCTTGAGTATTATACAGTTCACCAGCCTAAGAATACAACGAAAAACTATGAGCCAAAGCAGAAGGAGTGGAAGGTAGTTATTAGGTTTCTCCTTGCTTTTCATATACTCCAAGTGCTAACTCTGAGGTCCTAGGCCTGGTGCAAAAAGATGGGCTTCAAGGAAGGCGGTAGATATCTTCCAGGAGACTATGTTGACGAAGGGAAGCTCCTCCTCTTTATTAAAGAGGAAGTTACCAGCCGCCCTCCACGCCGCAGACGGAGGCTCAAGGCAGAGAGGAAGCGCAAGAGAACAGCAGCAGCAGAAATACTGTCAGAAGGGCCTCCCTCTAAGCGGAAGAGAGAGAAGATCAGTGTTCCCTCTATGGCATTTGAAGAGCTACCTGTTGAGAGCAATGATGACAAGGCTTGCTCTGAACTTGTCCTAATATACAATACTGTACGAAGCTATTACTCTGCTATTAATAAGCTCTGGGCACATCAGACCTCATTAGGCCTCCATAATGTAGTGCGACCACAGAGGATAGCTATGACTACTCTGAAGACATTGATTGCCCAAGGCCAGCACCAACGCCAACATGATGAGTTTACGGACCGTAGGCTAGCTACTATACGAGATGGATATGTTGCTTCTCAGATTCCTGATCTTACAAGAAAGGTCTAGGCCTAGTGCCTAGGATAGAATCAGATTAAGTAACAGTTCCGTACACAGCTATGCTTTCTTTTTGGCAACTCTATGCTGCTAAGATTAAGCAATCGGCTGCCTATAGAGCTGCCAGATCTATTCTCAATGCCCCTGCCTAATGAAGGGCCAAAATGCAAAGGCTAGTGTCTTATTACTGTGATGGACCAGGGTAAAACAAACTAACATGGCCGGCTTGAGTATGGGGCGGCTCTGCGGCATCGAGATCACCAGTCCTATCTTATAGGTGCTCTAGCAATCTATTTCTTCTAGAGATAGCACTATTCTGGAAAGTCGTTCCCTTGTTTCCGGACCAGTCAAGACTGGTATAATATTAAGGTGCTTAAGCGAGATAATAATCACCTTACTGAACCTCTAAGCGATAGCACAGCGGCATCCTGTACCTGACACCTATATAGTGAGGCAGAGATCAAGAGCTCCAAGGTAACACATGCAGGACGGATCTCTGGGGCCAGACTTGCTAAGTTGAATGGAGTCTCTGAAGATCAGGTAAGCAAGCTCTATCATCTCTATCTATTTAAGTTAACCTCCAGCCTCTAGATTTGCCGGGGCGGTCGCTGGAATGCAGACCAGATGACTGGTTGTTACTTGACTACTCTGCCTCGATCCTTTGTGCGTGGTATTGCAGACTTTGACCCTAACTGGTCATCAAGCTATTACTTGCCTTGGGAGACTGTCTGCCCTCCACCAGCATTATTAAAGTGTGTGTGGCTAGACCTGGATAGGTTGCAAGCAGCACATTTAGAAAGGACAGATGCAACTGAGAGAGTAGAGCCAAATATTGCTGCTGGTGGATTTCTAGAACTCTTACAGAGGCTTAGAACTGTATTCTTATAGGACTCTGTACTCTGGCGGATGGAGTTTCCTAGCCACCCAATATTCCGAGACCCTCTCTTTTAGATGGCAGAATATAAGGCCTTTGAGTTAGATATTCATATGGCTGTTATAACAGCCATGAAAGAAGATCCTCATTCTATTGCTATTCAAAAGGCCATCCCTGCTGTAAACGACCGGCTTCGTATAATGACTGCAGCTATTTAGACTGTCCAGGTTACTTATTTACAAGCCCTTTGCTCATTAGAGGACTTAATGGTAAGCCAAATAGATTAACTAACAGCCACTATCAATGACTTTATTGGTAGTACCTTTACCTGTCAATTCGTGCCTAGAGGCCAGATTGTTCCACCCCCTATTACAGGAGCAGCCTTTGGCCCTACAGCGCCTATTCAACTTCCTGTGATGGTGCTTGAGAAAACTTCACAGGCACTGCAATATCGTATGTTGAGGAACACTACAACAATCCCAGAACTGTGGAAAGAGTGGACTGTCGGGCTCAATGGCTAGCTTTCAATTGAGAGGCTTGATGAGCTCTATAGCTCTGGCTGGCGCTCAGGGCCTGAGAGCTCTGCTAAACGCCAGTTCTATTCTCGAAGGAAGACTCTCATTAATGAGATTAGAAGACTGGCTACTGTTGAAGATGCCTCTTTAGGGGATCCCTGTCAAACAGTTGTAGCAAAGTTAGAGGAAGAGCGGATACGGGCTGGTGCTTCACTAAGTAAGGTAATAGATGCTTTAAAAAGGTCATAGTGTTTGTTAGCCAACTAGTAAAAAGCAATTCATTAGACTACTTATCTAATTGTTCACCTCTTTTCTTTTTCAGTCTAGATATCTAACCCTAAGATTTAAACAATACTATACCTTACCTAGCATTCTTGACTTGATTGGTTGTCAGCGGAAGGAGACTCCACTATCTTGTCATACTCTCATAACTTCTTCATTTGTAGGTATTTTTTCTTCTAATTTAGCTACAAAATAAAGCTGCAAGCCTATACTTTGGAGTTCAATTTTCTAGCTCATTGATTAAACAGATGTTGGTATATTGCGATCTGAATATCTTGGTATTGATGTTCCAAAGCAGTTACCGAAAACGCGCTGTAACTCAGTTATTCCCCACTAAAAAGCCCCTCAGATATCCTTCTGATGTCCTTGCTACGATCACGCTAGGCCCAATGCGGTACCGACGTCTACCTGTATGGTGGGCAGTCCCATGATATACTAACTGCATTGATTCTAGATCCTAGGGTTCAGGGAGATCTCATTCTAAAAGTGTTAGAGGAAAAGGAAGCTGGAAACCTCATTCTTCAAGCTACTCGTGATAGTTTACAAGTGAAAATATATATGCCTTCCTACGTGGAAGGAGAGGCACTCCTGGATTTTTCTAGATATCACACTACTGAAAATTCCAACGCCTCTTGACGGACTAATCCAGCTGGTATATCAAGATCAGGTTACATAGGATGAGACAAGTGTTCATTTGACGCACTATTCAGGTCCCCGACGCGTGTTAGAACCAGTATTGTAGATTGTGTCTGGGTAGAGCGTTGCTTAAGACGAGAAATTCCCAAATTGGCATCGTAAGCTAACAGGATTCAGTATTTCACTGTGTATGACTCTTATTATCTGCATTATATCTTGGCAGGGAGCTCTAGTAAGAACTTAATCTTCATGACAGTACGAACTTCTCAGTTTTCAAGTCGTGCCAACGGTAATCTGGCCTACCTCGAACCAGCTCCTCTTCGAGACAGACTATTTCAAGTTGACGCAATTTAAAGTATCATCCGTTGGACATTCATGGGCACATATTTGGAGACACAAAGCAGTGACTATGAGGCCAGTTACGTTGCAATATCTCATGTCTACGCTGATGGCCTTGGTGATCCACGCAGATGCGCATTACCAACTTGCCAACTTACACGGCTACAGAGTAGGGTCAACCTTCTCAATATAGAAAGGAGAGCAGTGGACATGGACTCTGCTAATCTCCCTTTCTGGATGGATAGATGGATACTCTATGTATTCCCGTGAGGAGTGATCTGTACCATATCAGAAAGACGGCTGTTAGAAGTATGGCTGAGATCTACACGCGAGCACGGGTAATTCTGGTGCTCAACACAGAGCTCGAGCATCATTCATGCCATACTTCTTCCGAGGAAATCCTCATGAGGGCCAGCACTAGTGGCTGGTTCAGAAGACTGTGGACCCTTCAGGAAGGCGTGCTTGCCTGCAACATCTATTTTCAGTTCCAAGATGGAGCCGTCAATCTTGAATCGCAAGTACCGCCATATGAAGGCCATGGGAATCGATTCTCAGTCCTCAAAAGGCTCCAGGCGAGCTATCAAGCCATATGCTCGAGTTCGTGCTTTCCGCGAGATGTCGAGAGCGCAACGAATTCGCGAGATATATGCTCTAGCTCACTGGAGAACAACGAGCAGGGATGAAGACGAACCATATTGCTTAGCCACGCTCCTTTTAACAGATCAGGGGACACTACACAGAATAACCGAGACTAAAGACTTGCAAGAGAGAAGAGAGGAATTTACAATGGGCCAGGGACTGTTCCCCGAGAAGGCACTTTTTTTCAGGAACCCAGGATTGGAACGCGAGAGCCCCCAATTGGCTGGGCTTTAAGGAGGTATTTGTACAGAGGAGAACCCGAAGGAATTCCAGCCAACAATCCTCTTGCCCCCGTTGACAAAGCAGGATGGCATGTTCTTCTCGCCGGTATAACTTTCTCTGCTACTAATCTCCCTGTCAAGCTTGTCCAGGGCTATCAGCTGCCCAACTTCACCTTTACAGATGAAGATAAAGCTATTACGCTCGAGGTGTCTAGCTTTTCCTGGCTCCGTGATCAAAAACCGCCGGACTATTGGACTGGTATCCTATCTACCTTTGGGGCCTCTAAGATCGGAATCATCATCGAGAAATGGCCGCTAGAATATCAAGAGCGACAGGCTGGATTTAGAAGCTATTCGTCGACTCGGGGTGCCGTAGTGGCAATCACGGAAGCGACAACGGGCAAGTTTAATTGCTTTTTCTGTGGAACTGTGCTGATTTCTCGCGCTGCTGAGCCCGGTCAAAAAAGCTCGCCTGAGATACTATCAGCTCTACTGCCCGAATTTGAAGCTTCCCTGCTGAAAGATGATCCATCGTTACTCCGGCTGGTGTCCGAATTGCCTAGTGGCAGGTGTTCTCGAGAGGGAGAGAATGTAGTAAATGGCCAGCTTTTTGACGATAGTCAGGAATGGTGCATCAAATGAAGCACCGGTCATAATCACTTCACCACACCCTTGTTATGGGCTGACGCCATAGAGGATTCGGGATGAACTTTCATGACACCGAATCCTATCCGGATATATCTTCAATATTTCCGCATTAGGGAATATTCTGAAAACACCCATGCACCTCCGAGATATTCTCGAATAATTCGGATTCCAACAAGCAGAGAGATCGGCTGTTCGATCTTACAGGTCAAACAGTCACCTTAGAGTATATATTGGGCATTTAAATTTCAGCCGGATGTTGACTCCTCGTGAATACTCACAATTCATCCCGCCAAAATGTCTATAACAACCCGACTTTGGAACCTCATGTATTTGGAGAGACAGACAACTCAATACACAATCTTGCTAGTTAATTCTTCCTTTACCATCCTTGTAAGCAACTATTTAGGATTGGCCTGGAGTAAACCCACCAATCCGACAACACGAAGATGCTTGTACTGCAGCTTAAGAATAGCAGTTTTGCGACCGGCGGTGAAAATCCCAAGCATCAAGGCTAAGCATAACATGAACCGCTGGATGCCTAGATAGAACCCTTTCTCCCGTGTTTGGAGAATTGCCTCGTTGAAAGGGATCATGTCCTCGATGTATACCGGATCGTTCTTACGAGGCTGTGTCCTTAAGTTGAATTCAACAATCAATATGCGATGCCCTACATTCAGTCAGCAGCCAACAATATCAAACTAGTGTCGGATTGGAAGGTTTATTCCAGGCCAATCCTGAAGAGGGTTTTATTTGGATGAAAAGGAAGATGTGACTAGCAAGATTGTGTGTATTGAGTTGTCTCTGTCTATACATCAGGTTTCAAAGCTGGGTTTTATAAACATCTTTGGCAGGGTGATATGTGAGCCATCAGAAGTGGGTAAACATTGGACTGAAATCTAGGTGCCCAGATATATGCCCTAAGGTGCCTGTTAGACCTGTAAGATCGAACAGTCGATCTCTCCAGAGGCCTTGTTTGAAACCTGGATTATCCAGATTATCTGACACACTGCACGCACTGAAAATTTCATATTTCACACTACACCACACTACACTAAAATGTAGTGTGTTTAGTGCGTGTTCACTGAACCTATTCCCAGGCCTAAGTACCACAACTGTTACGCTAAGTTTCATACATAGGGCGATATTGCTCCAGTCGTGAGACGCCATTCAATGGGCTGGGGGATAGAACCTTAATACTCCACTGCTCCTCTGCCAGCCAATCAGTGGGCGGCCAAATGGATCCTGCTCCCCATGCCTCATCAACCTCGCGACTTGGAGGTTGTTGGAATACGGAAGAGAAGCCGTCATGGACCATGCGATCCTCCCACATCACCTGTATATGGTCGTAAACAGGAGCTTATACATTTATATCAGCTAAGACCCGAGCTATTTTATTCAACGTCGAACTTTTTCCCAATTTACTTACAGTAGGTTGCTGTAGTTTTCGGACTACAATCAATACGGCGATGTTCCCACAAACTCGATGTTGGAAATAGCAGACCAAACGAGAAAAACAAAACGTTGATCAGAAAAATCCAGGCGCTTTGAAAGGAGAGTAAGGATAGCAGGACGTTCTTGTTCTTTTCTTGAGAAGTGAAATCTCTTTCTTCTGGTGCTAATAATTCCTTTTTGACATTTGAGTTGTCGGCAGATTCAATATCTCTCTGTAATGGATGCATGGTGCTCTCTGTTATTAAGAATACAATCTTAAGAGATGCTAAGTGAGCACACAAGTGAATGTAGAAGGTGTTATAGTATAGAGGGCTCCGTACAAATATTCATGATGTATTGTGCGGTTTTATTACACCGTATGTATATGTGGTTTTGTCCGTGTATTCCCACATGTAATGTACCCGTAACGAACCGGGGTAATACAACGGAAAGAGGGTAGACTCTACTTCTATAGTTTAGACACCAAAGGCGAAAATTTCCGTTTAAGTTCAATGGACCTTTCTACTGTTAAACCCTTTCCTTATCCCCAATTGCCCTTCTGCATCACTTCTATTGTCTTGTTATTCCATACCAACTTCCCAAAAAGGAAGGACAACACGAGTCTGACTTATTGAATCTTGGCAGCAGAATACCCCTCAGGGCCTCATACCCCTCGGAAATCTTATCGTTACGGGCAGGTCGGAAGCTTCATTACTAGGTAGCTTTGGGTGCTCAGGAGAAAAAGACAGCCCCAACGTATGTCAGAAGAACTCAAGTTGCCGTAGTCCCGCAGAGCGCTGCCATATGTTGAGAAGCGTGGATATCATAGTGCGGCGCCGTATACAATGACCTTCATTGATAACACAGCATTCTTATTCCATCATACCTACTGTAATCTACGTATGGAGGTACATGTTCCGAGCTCCATCCTACCCATCACACAAATACTAAATCCAACACTACGCTGCCTGTGAAGCGCATTGCTCTCATGCCCAGTTCATCAGAACGCAGGTCTGGAAATTCAGGTAGCTTTCCGTAAATGTGTCATCCTCATGAACAAATGTCTCGTTGTAACTATTCTGAATCCGCAATGCCACCATATGCGCACAGTGGTGAGAATGATCGATGTTCGCCATATTCCAGCTAATCGCAGGATAACGCTTTTCGACCGCTATTGCTAGCTTCCGAAAGATATAAGTGCAGTGTTCATCATGCCAGTAACGTGTATATGCAAGTTCCTCATCACCAGACTCTAGCCTCTCGATGTTGGATGTGATGCTTAGTCCCTTATCTGCAAACCACTTGCGATCACGAAACACGTCGTAGTCGTCAATAATGTCAGTATAGTAGCATTCTGGCGGTACCCAGGCCCGCATCATAGGCTCATAACCACATCCTGCCTGTCGAGCCGATGTAGATGTGTTGCCGCAATCTGTATATGTGAAGGGTTTCTTTTCTTTGAGGACAAGCGTGGGAGTGATGAGAAGCATCACCGGAACGGTCATCACCACGGATATGGCAGACACGAGAAAGACATTGAGCGCATTTCGCCACCAAGGCATTTGAGGAGTATGGACATAAAGAACTCGGTTCGCATTAAGGAGATCGTCGGGAAGCAGTCTCCCACGTTCTTCATTCTTCATATCCGCCATTTTGAGAGTCGATTTTGACAAGTTTTTTTTTTGAATGAGATGACTTCGGGGAAAAAGAAACAATTCTTATAGTGATAGGATGTTGAAAACAAAAATACAAACAAGTTAGCTCTCCAGCTCTTACTATCTTGCGTGCAGAAATTGCTTAGAGTTCATACGCAGTCGTTTGCATAGGTGGCTCCAAGCCGGTGAGATTAGCCCTAACTCTTGCCGCTTTTGTGTGGTATCCCGAAAAGAGTAAATTTGAATGACTAATTTACAGTAGTTGCGTAACGTCTCGTTACAAGCCTGTGACCATACCTTTAGCGTTACGTAATCCATAGTATCGGTCATGTTTCGATACAACACCTATTTTATGACGACCCTCTGGCAAAGGCACTTCTTCGCCTGTATCGCCAGGCAGTCAATAGTTAAATACCTCAACACTTTCCTCAGGCATTCTAAAAACCGTTCTTCGTGTCTCTTCGCTCGGCATCAAAATGTTTGATCTGTCCAAATTTCGATCTCTAAGCATATGGGCACCCGGCCGTCGCCGAGAGCAAAAATACACCAAGATTTCGGTTGAGGAGGGAGACACAGAGGAGCTCTTGACACAAAGAGAGATCAGGAATGGTTCCCAGGCTAAGCTTAGAGCATTTATTCTCGCAGGAATTGTTTTGGCCTGTACTCTACTATTGATAATTGCGTGGACTCAAGCGCACTCCGAACCCCAATGGATACCTTGCGGCAGCACCGCTGCCGAAGCACGAGCAGCAAACTGTCATTATGAGCCAATGCAACGATCATGGATCCCAGATGCTTGTTATTTCGAAGAACCATCTTCCGAGTACGATCCTTTCGGTGATCGGCCGTGGTTCTCTGATCGCAACCTAACGATACCGGCAAATTTGGATCGTCTACGGTCCGGGGACGAAGAATTGGCCTTTGTGAGATACTTCCACGACGAGCACTGCCTCTATAGTTGGCGAAAACTGCATTTGGCAGTTCAGCTAGGGCGGCGATTGACCGACACCAAAACATATGATTTGCATCATACAATGCACTGTGCCAGAGGGATCGCTAATCTTATTGTGGTTTCAAAGCAGGATGGTTATAAATCACCACCAAACGAGTACACTGAAAGTCCGCTGATGTTTCAGGAATGTGTGAAAATGTTTTAAATCTATTTACTCTCACATACTCTACTATCTAGGGTTTCAAGTTCCACAGAAATATCCAGTGTACCTCAAGGTAGCCCGTACCGTTGCAGCGTATGTGAGTGCGTTACATGAAATCTGAAAAACTGGTATGTTTCAGAGCTATATAGCTTGTATTGTTACATTCCACTAGCAATATTACAGCTAGATTATATAAATACATGTGTCATAAACGCTCGATAACTATCAGGTCCATTTCGAACCCCGAAATATAATTTGTAAGCACTATTTTGTCAGAGTAGCTGAATAGGCCTGTACACACGGCGAACAACTTTTCAACATTATAGCTAGCATCAAAGTTTGGTACTATTCATTATTGGGCTGTAAGAAGATACATATGGCCTTGTAACCATTTTCCTACTTGGGGGCTTACTGCACATGTATATTAAGCTTACCTACAGACTATCCGAGTGGCGCTTTCAGAACTTTGGAAGTACTGGTAAATATCTATGACATCGAGCCAGTTTTCGGGCTGCAGCCATGATGCTAATGGCTATGATTAGTCATATGCTCCATCCACTTTCCGAGTTAGGAAGGTGCAGTACAGCAGAAGTGCCTAATATCTCGTTTTGCGATGTGAGAATATAAGGTAAAATCCATTACGCGGAAAGTATCCAAGATAGTACAAGCAGGATGCAATGAAGACTCTTAATACGTACACTCCTCGGACGAGAGGCAGTCTATTACGGTTGTGAGGAACGTAATAGTGGAGGTCAAATTTCCAAGACTTGACTATGACTATTCGGCGCAGATCTGACTAAGTGAAGACCAACTCATGTCAGAAGACTTGCAAAGACTGAGTTCTTTCACGATCACTTCTCTATCTTTCACTCACGTCAGCTCGGTGTCCTTCACCTCCTAGCTCGGATCCCGGACCCATGTTGCAACATACATGGCAACTAAGGCAGAAACCCCTCCGATACGCAAAAACCAGACCACTTTCAGCTCATCCCACATACTCATTGCCTCATTGGTTGTTGGCGAGGCCCAGGCTATGCTCATAGCCGAAGTCATGATGATTTGAGGCAAGCAAATGGCGAAATTATGTGCGCCATATACGAGACCACGAATGTTTTCATACTTACCTTGATTAGATTGACGGATACTGTCGAGCCTCGCTTGAAGTCGAAACAATTCCAAATCTAGCAAGGTGTAGGGTATCCACGATGTCACTGCCCAACTGACCCCTACAAGACTGAAAAGTGCCAAGGTGCCAGAGGCCGAGGTGACCCAAGTAGTAGGTTGGTGTCCAGATTGAAGATTCCAAACTTATTAGCACAGGATGAGGGGTATGAGTAAATAGAAATATTTTAGCGCCTCCGGGGTTAGGGCTCAGCTTGGGAATCCCACAGGTTGCAGGCCATTTTTAGACTGCACTCTGCTAGTGCGTCTCAATTTCAGATTACCGTACATAGTATTAAGGTAGATAATGACAATTATTAAGCTACATATTCATATTGACACCTGTCACTATTTATACACCAACTATGGAAAGCATCATTTATATTGACCTCAGAGAATGTACCCAACGACCACGGAATCGTCTTCTCCAAAGTGCTGAGACTTTGACATTTTCGGTTCTCTCGTGGAAGATGGTTGAGTAGCCAATACGCTATTAATATAACCAAAACCATCATGGCTATATCTATAAGATGCACCCGAATATGCAGCGGATCTGTCCATTCCTCAGGAGTTCGGAAATAGGGGTACACCCCATTGGGAGAGAGTTGTGTACCCACTTCTCCCAGGATGGCAAAGAGCGAAATGACTGTCATCCGATTGAATGTTGTCACTTCGTTATCCATTGCCCATGTTATTATGAGACTCGTGAGGCTGAAATACGCTGCTGTGACTGGAAATGAAGACAGATAGAGAATCCATGGACTCAGATTGCTGGCACTCGTGATGACTACTTTTCCAACTCGGCGAAGTAGACCGACCAAACTATCATGTCTGCTGTCTTTGTCCCTTGCAGTTAACGAGACAAATATCGGAGCACCGGGAAGTTTGGATGGAACGGTGGCAAGTATAACCATAAAAGCAATCAACGGCGGAATCCCAGAATAGAGGAATATCAACCTCCACTCTTGCTTCCAATATCGGCTGAATAAACGTATTGCCTCGGAGACGGGAAGAGACAAGAAAGCTGTTGTAAGGGGTAGCATACTTGTGAATAAGCCTATTTTCGTTCCCAGTTTTCTGGGGGAAACCCAAGCTGCCAGGCAGACAGGCACACTAATGAGGATTGATGTGGATAAGGCAGAGACAACGTGCAACATGAGGACAATTTTTGCTGATCCGGCAGCAAGATATTTGAAGCAAGCAAGAATACACCATGTTGCACTCAGGGCCAGAAGTATGTTTTTTAGCCGAAAAAGTCCCCAGATAAGACCAATGGATGCTAAAAAGGGTCGTATCGACGGTGGAAGAACCGCTTCCATCTGAGGTTCTGAATAGTCTGCGAAAAGCTGCACGCTGCCAATGACTGCTGGTCGTCAGATAAGAATCTAGGGTCGCGTTAAAGAGAAAGATGACTCGATGAGTAAACCTACCCCAATGATCCAAATAGAACCAAACATTTGCCAGAAGCACAAATAGAAAATATACATAAAGTCCCCGATTAGACAGTTGCGATTGTTTCGGAAGATCTCCCAGCCCGTCAGAGTGAAGGAGTCGGTTTTTTGGTGTTGCGTTTTGATCTTCATCGTCCTCAGATGATCGTAATAGAGACTCCAGCTCAAAATTATCAGTTTCTTCCATGCTTAGTTCAAAGAAAGATATATTCACCCATTTAGCGGTATTCTTTGCTTTGTAGGTAGTAGTTTGATTTGGGGGGTAGATTAGGTAGGCATAACACCTAGATTTCCGCTCGACTCGAAAGATGCATTGACTTGGCGATAAGTATAATCAGTTTCTGAGCAATCACCCCTCATTCAGCTGTAACCTTGGAGCTATAGACTTGGTATGGAATGGATGCAATCACATCGACTGCAGGGCGGACGGCTAATGATACAGTATTTTAACTGGTGTTACCATAACGCTGCCTTGTTATTTACTGCAAAGTACAGTAATGTATCGAAATGTAACCAATATTGCATAGGAACTACATACCAGACAGATTACCGCTGACTCGGCATGCAGCACTTGGAAGGGAAAAGCATATCTCAATGAAGATATCACTATATTATATGAAATAGTTCCATATATAGGTGTATTTGATGATTACATACCTTCTTCTCAACTAATTATCAACATGCAATCAAGAGCAGTTCTCGTCTCCAAGGTTCTCGCGATTTTCTCTTTATTCTACTCTATTTACATCCTTACATTCTCAAATTGGTCCTTTGTTGGCCAACACACTCAGGTAGTCGCAGAAAACGAACTCGGTTCGCACCCACTAGAAACCACAGTTCTATCATGGAATCCACTTATAATCTACATCCGTAACTTTATTACAGAAGACGAGAGGCGTTATTTCCTGAGTCTGAGGTAAGTTTCCCAAAGGTCCCTTCTAGGAGCTATTTTCTAAGATTCTTACTCATATCAGCGACGGGCATTTTCGCCAATCGGAAATATTTGTACCTGGCCAGGATCCATGGCTGGACAAGAGTCTCCGGGACTCCTCGTATTTCGAACTGCAGGATGCCGATCCCACAGCCCAAAATATTTTCGCCCGACTGAGGGTTATAGAGGGTAACTTCTCAAATACTTACATTGAGAAGACACGTATTCAGAGATATACTCGAGACGGCCATTTCACCTACCACAGCGACGCTGAGGAAGATGATATTGCACTCACCAGAAACGGTAACAGGGTTTCGACCTTGATGATATATCTGGAGGCGAACGATGCTCTGGAAGGGGGAGGAACCCATTTTCCGTTCATTGAGATACAGTCAAATCCTGCCGATAAATGTACGATCATGGAGTGCTACGGTGAGAAGAATGGGACTATTTTTCTTCCTGTCGTGGGAAATGCTCTGTTCTGGACGAACCTGGACACGAATGGACGTCAACATCCTCAGATGATACATGCCGGCCTTCCTGTGCACGCTGGAACCAAGACAATTTCGAATATATGGCTTTGGCAGAAATGGCCTTCCGGTGCTCCATGGACTTGAGTTGCCACATTATAAACATGGCGGGATGTGTACGGATTCTTTCAATGAAGTTTTTATATTCATCGTTGATGGTGACCTCGCGGATATGAATCATGTATGTATCTAGGTAATAAATTACTTCAACCTTGAACGGAGATTGCTTGGAGTCCCGAGGTCGGTTTCCAGTAAATATATCCCAAAAATGGCTGCCATGGAAAGCCTCCAACGATGCAATCTTGATTATGTTGCGTGAATTGCGTGTAACATAGATCATTCAATTAGGGAGATATTCCCATTTTCAGAACCTGAGAACAAATGGACATGGCTTGGTCGTATGTTGCATTTGAGGTCCAACCATCTCTACCCAATACCCGGATATAGAGTCCGAAAATTCCTGTTCCTCATTCCAACCTTCTCCATCCTCATGATGTCTCTGAATTTTTTCCAAGGGAAAATGGATCGGACACTAGGCAGTAAAGCCCGGTGGATCCCAGTTTCTTTGAATTTCCTATAGTAAGCAATGGCTTCTCAGACGAAGGGTACGAGCATTTACCACTTACCTTTGTACCCTGATCAATGACTCTTGTAATAGCAAGATGCCTCTATCCCATGTGTTTACCATAAACAGGATTGGATCTGTCAGTGTTCTGCCATTTGGATATTGGAAGACTCTACTTAAACGAGGACCCCGTTCCGCCGTATACTTTTCATAGAGATACAATAATATCGACTTGGAGACTTCGTTCTTGATAATAGTTTGAACGTCTTTATCAAGCGGCTTGAAGTTTTCAGGAAGTTGTAGAGTCATTTCACCATTATAATCGAGAAAGTGAGGATGATGGTCTTCAAGGAATAAGGGGTCAGCCCGTGTGCTTTGCCAATCGATAACACTGGTAATATCCCCATTGTCATTGACAAATACGTTTGGAGTACGAAGATCTGTATGCCATAAAGATGATCCCATGAGATATGCCTCCTGTAGAAGTAGATGGAGAGTAACAGACAAATATCTTTACAGAAGAGAAATATGTTCTGCCGGAGTGTTCTGACTTTGTGAAACGAACAATGGGTCATTGGGAGAACGTGATTTTGCATACTTCTGAATCCAAGCAATCTCTCTAAGTGCCAGGGCGCGTATATAAACCAGTGAGGATACCCCTGAATATCTATTAGTCTAAATAGGTGAGAGGAGAATGATGGGCACCTACAAGGTCCGCGATCAATTTCCATATTCGCTCGTTCCTTGGCCCTGAATGCCGTGTTCACGACTGGTCCAATAGAGAAAAGTTCCGCGATGTTCGTCTTGAACTTTTACACAGATGGACTTTCCTTCGACTTTTGCAGGAAGAGATCCTGGTGGTGCGTCTTTATTATAGTAAAGGCATCCATATCTTCTCAAATTAGGCCAGTCTAATCTTTTACAACAAATAGAATGTCAACCCACTTACGCATTAAATCTCAGTTATAACAGCTTCTGTTGCATACTTACGATGTCTTCTATTGTTCGAACTTTATGCTCAAGATCCATATCCTTCTAAACGTCCGCAAGACATTTACCGGGCGCATGCTCCATGATGATGTACTCAGCCCCTACACAGTTCGTAGTGTCCACTGCAGAGTTCCAGGAGAGAACTCAGGGGACTGAAAGATTGAGTGTATTTCTCACCTATGGATCTTGTCAACATGAGTTCGACAGCAGTCAAAATCAAGTTAGGTGATCGGCGATGAAGACACTCACAAAGTCCATTGTTGCAACCTTCGACGCTGTCGCCAGAAGAGCTGGCCCAGCATTCGCCGAAGCTTTGGAATACGAGCAACAACCACCGTCGCATCAGACATGACGAGCCGGAAAGACTTATTATACGATCCTTCCCCCAGCTTTTCCATACTGATACAGGACTCGGCGCAAGCCGACTCAATGGCAACTTTTTGTAGCTCAGATATATCAAATTCGCGATACCTCTGTTTAAGCTGGCCCTACTCATCCCACAGCCATCGTCTGCTCGTATAAGCGAAGAATTCAGGCGGATTCCTAATAAGATGAGTCATCACAGGTTCAAAATGTGAATACTGGCTGCGGGTTAGGGCAAGATCGAAACCGGAGTTTGTAAGGTACGCTTTAAACGCAGATGTCTTTGGGGGATTCTTTTGTACACCTGTATCCCTCACCCGTTCTTTCCAAGTATATGAATCCGTTATGAAGCTCTAGTCCGAGAAAGAGAGATCATTCTTCTATGAAAGCTTGGCTACTGCGAATGTGCTGTGGCATAGCGTCCATTTGAGTGCGTATGTTCGCCCATTCTCGTCAGACTATATATATGTATGTACTTCTACATGACAGTATCAAAGTACTTACGACTGGCTTCATTAGAGTATCTATCTAGAATACGCTCAAATATCTGACATGCTTCAGCCAGTTAGATAATACTGACTGGGGAGATGATCAAGTGAAGCATATCTCTGATCTAGTCGTCTAGCTCCTCTTGCGTCATACAAACAAATGCCAACAATCAACTAGATAATTATTTCGTTTTAAATCGACTTTTGCCGAGTTCGTCGCATCTCGTTTCGGGTTCTTTCAGCTTTCATATATCGAAAGCAAGGACACGCAGGAGACCTCTGATAGGAGAAAATAAGAGTTAGAGGGGTTCACCAACCTAGTAAGCGAGCTCGATCATACCACCACGTAGGTAGTGTAGTCAAACTGGTTACCGGATCACTGTAAAGAGTAAGCGACGATATAGCCAATAACATACGAGGTCAGGTAAACCCTCATCATGAAAGATTATTGGCTGGTTACGAGACCGTATGGCAGCAGACAAATATGATCGAAATCATACCCGTGGCGCGGGTGTCTCATGTGTTAAGTATCAAATATCATCTTTTCATGCTAGGTGTTGCAACATGCAAAGTTGACGCGAGATTGTTGAATCAAGCCGGCGTGGCTGCATGGCTGAAACCATTCGATGATACTTGTCGCTTCGCTTCGGAGTGCATGGTGTCCTATCAACCTATTAGCGGACGCACAAGGCCAAGATATTGTTGAAGCAGCGCTTCAGTCGTTTGGCTGCAATGAAGTTACTCGACTCTATGCGACTTACGTCTACAGCGTCAATGCTTCGCTTCTGAGGAACCGCTGCAGTTGACGGCTTCGGGAGCTTCTTCTTTGGTCGGACAGGTCGCGTCTCCCCAGGCTCGAAAACATCGTCGGGTAAATCGAAACTTGCATGTGGTTAGACATTTAGTACGATAACACGACACAACCAGAATAAATACCTTCTGACATGTGTGATACTAAGGTCATTGATCCCTTCCTGAAATCCTTGCCACGAAGTACATGTCGACTTGAATATGTTGGCGTCGGTGGAAATATCGAGGGAGCGCGAAGCACCTGGCTCGAGAGGCTTGAGCTCAAGACCAATGTAATAAGTGGTGGTGTATATTGTACGACTATCAACCGCACCCTTAGTCTCGGGATCCGGGACCTGAATATCCTGTGCGCCGTTCTCGGCAGCAGCAGTATGTGCTGGGTCCTTGGTCTGGTCTGTTGTTTCTGTCTTTGTTCCTTGCGCTTGGTACTTGGTTGACCCGTTTTTGACCTGTTCTGCTTCTGCGTCATCTTTCACCACATGTATTCTTTCAAAGCCTTTGGGAAAGGGATGCGCAACCGCAATGATATTTTTCCTATCCAAAGCACCAACCAGATGTCTAAGTTTGGATTCCACCAGACCTGACCAGACTGAATCTGCTTCTTTGGTTTTGCTTGAGGCAGTGATTTGGAGATAGTACTTATAGTCCTTTGAAAAGAATGTATGCCGAGTGAATAGATCGTTCCAAGTGAGCTGTTTGGCGAAAATCTTGTCGACAATGTCTCCTCCGCGCTGTAACTCGCGTAGAATGACGGCTTTGGTCGATAACGAAATGTTGTGGGTGGCGCACATCGACGGATAAGCAGGCGTGATGATAGGCATCAAGTGGAATCGGTCGGTGTGGTAGATCTGTTCTTTATTTAGAACCATGACTCTTACACTGAAGACAGTAAAACGATGTGTATCTTACCTTTGGATTCCACACTTTGATTTGCAAAGGACCATCCTCAATTGGCTTCAGCAACACTGGCTGCGGCCATGCCCATTTGGTCATAATACGGAAGAACTTGCCAACTATGACAGATCCTGTAGCTTGAGGATACAGCTGGCATACTCGTGCAACCAGCATTGCCCATGCGACACCTCCAGGAAATCCAACGATGTTCGAGTAAATAGCACGACCTAAGACTCGTTAGCAACTTCGCCAAAGGCTATCACTTGATATCAAACATACGCTGTGCCCACAGTTTAATAGCTCTCAATGCTAGTCGGAATGTTTTTTGCTGAGGTACAAGCTCCAAAATCTGATCGGTGACACGAGTGCCATTAAGAGACCGCACTTCCTTGTCATCCAAGCCCCGCAAGTAGTCATTATTCTTCAGATCAAGATTGAGGGGAATAGATGGAAGTATCAAGCGAGCAAAGATAAGATCGAGACTGATACCAGAAAATTCCAACTTGATGATAGGCACGAACGCGTCGGGGACTGGGGTCATCTTTTCGATCGCACCAGGTGGAGACATCCGCTCCAGGATTGGGGGGAAGTCAGAGAAGAAATCATCGATCAATACGTGTTTGGGCGCGACGATCAGGGTGTCGATATCAGATCCTGCTCATCATCAGAATATCGTGCTACTTCCTTCATTGAGCCATCTCATATGGTAGACGTACCTGGGCCGTAGACACCTAGCCGGTAACTACCATACGTAAAAATTTTGCCACCAGCCGCTTCCAGTACTGCTGGAGAAAGACCTTTCCGTCGACCGACTGTCTTGACGAATTCTATCACAACTTTTTGAATGAGTTGCAGTGTCTGTTGTCTCCGCTCTGTCTCTGCGGGCAATTCGAAGTTGTTCTGCGCCTTCAATTCGGCGATCAAGTCATCGTTGGCAGCGAGTTCTTCGGGAGTCGGGAGATTCATGGAAATTGGGGGAGTAACACCCCATTGCCGCGTGGGTTGAGCAGCCATGTGTGCTTGGATAGAAATGGATCAAAGAAAAGGGTAAGGTACACTGTCGCGATGCGAGTAGAGATTCTCAACAGGACGCAAGAAAAGGAGATGAATGAATTAGAGGTAATAATAATAAGACAACAAAGAAAAGAAACGGTGGTAGGGAGTGGCAAGGAGTGATGTGAGCTGGGATAATTACATACAGAAAGGATACAGTCGTTGTTGTTGAAGTCGAGAGTTGATTCCGTTTGGAGAAGGAGCGAGGCATGTGATTGGTCTGGAGAAGTCACGTGCACACAGCCAGTATGTTCTATCCCGATTAGGTTTAGCGTATATACTAGTCGCTTACATAGTAGATGTTAGTAGTAGGGGCTCCGCGCCTGACCAGTAGAATATACTCCCTTGTGCTTCTGTATCTCATTTATCACCTCTCTCTCTCTCGATCTTGAGATACTACTACCAACATCAAAGGCGCTTCTTATGAGTCTTGTGGTGGACGGAAGCGACAATTAGAAAGAGACCATGCATCTATGCGAAGTGTCTTACATAGTCCGGCATCTGACCGCTCTTGAGCATTGGACTTAGTTCTCAACGGTCAGTTACCTCTTGTTTCTCTTCTTTTTGATCAATGTTACAGGATACCCTATTCTTTATGTCCAGAAGAGACAAGAAGTCGAGAATGGTTCGTGAAGGCGTTCTCAGGTTCAGGAATGGTATTCCAACCTGACTAATCTAGTGCCAGCCTGCGATGCGGATATATTGCTGCCTAGATCGCTGCTGTTTGATGAGTCACATTAAAAAGCATTGCTTTTTCTGAATCTGACACATACACGCAAAGTTGAGTCTCGAGAGAAAACGCACCTTGGGAGAATACTCCAACCTAGTAGAAATCACTACATATCCGACATGGCCATCACCATCTCCCCCACCTCACCCGACGATATCAGACCCATCGTCTGCCTTGCTGAATCAGCTTTCCCTGTGTTATACTCCACCCTCTTCGATGGACCACTCAAAGAATCCACTATTGATGCCCTAGGAGAACAACGAATCAAATCACAGTTCAGAGAGAACGAGAAAAGCGAAGGTAAAGGAAAGCCAGCGAATCGATTCTTTGCATTCAAAGCTATCGATGACTCCACCGGTCGGATTGTCGGTGAAGCGCGGTGGATGATTTTTTACGAGGATGAAGTACTCACGAAATCCATTGAAGAAGAGGTTCAGGATCGGCTCTCGCTAGGCGTGCCTCAGATGCAGGTGCAGGCTACAGCCGTGTTTGCGAGATTGCTGAACACGGCGAGGAGGGAAGTCCTTGCTGTTCCTTCTTCGGAAACGGGGTCTGATGCTCCAGTCAAACTTCGTAAGCGAGTATATCTGATTGCATTAGCCGTGCATCCAGACTATCAGAGGAAAGGAATAGGACGCAGACTAGTTCAGTGGGGACTAGACGAGGCGGATAGATTAGGCCGTATTTCCTATTTGGAGGCCACAATGGAAGGGATCCGATTGTACGAGCAAAGTGGGTTCGAGAAGGTGAAGGATATAAGCATGGATTTGACGCCATTTGGGGGGAAAGGGAAATTGCCCTTCCGAGTGAGCTCTATCGATTTTACAGCTATTGAGAAGCCATCGCTAACGACATCTACAGTTGATGATAAGACAACCCCGGTCGAAGCCTTAAGCCCTCCAGTTTCGTGCTAGCTGCTTACAACAGTCACTTGGGTACCTAGACACGGTATATAGGAATTTGTATTTATACTTAGTGCTCGAGACAGAGACCAGATTGGCTTTATGTACTGTGGCACCAATGCACCAGTTGACCAATATCAGATAGCTATTTGAGGATGATTACAGTTTATAACCGCCCAACAACCTCCCACCATCCGTTGTAATAACATCCCCGTTAATATGCAATGCGGCGCGACTAGACAAGAAGACTACTAACCCTGCAATATCCTCCGGATGACCGACACGTCCATTCGGCGACTCTGCCGCCAGCTTCTCCACTCCACCAGCCAATTCCATCAATCCATTCGCCATTTTGGATGGATAGAAACCGGGTGCAACGGCGTTTGTCAAGATGTGTCGTGGTCCCAATTCGACGGCTAGAGTCTTTGTTAAACTGATTGCTGCGGCTTTGGAGGCGGAATATGCATATGTTCCGTGAGGGCCGACGGTGCCGATACCGATGCCGGCTACGGAGGCGGTGATGATGACTCGTGAGGGGTCTTCGAGTGTAGCTTTTTTCTCGAGTAGTGGAGTGAACCTATTGCTGTTAACATCACCTATCATAGTGAAGGGATGAAAGATAGTGCATACTTCTGAATAGTATAAAAAACGCCCTTAACATTCAAATCCATCACCTTACTAAACGCATTCTCGGGATATTCATCGTATGGGGCTCCCCAAGTCGCACCGGCATTTGCGAACAAGATATCAACATGATCGGTTGTCTTGGACACTTCGGCAACCAATCGATCTAATTCGGCCATCTTGGAGCCATCCGCTGGGACAGCGATAGCTTGTGCACCCGGCCTCTTGTTGGGGAGCGCATTGAGCGCAGCAACAGCTTCATCGCATGCTGACGCTTTGCGTGATGAGATATAGACTTTCGATGCGCCCGCTTGGAGGAAACCGCTCGCGACATGCAATCCCAGACCGCGAGAGCCACCCGTTACGACGGCGACTTTGCCTTCGAGGGAGAAGATGGACTCGAAGTTTTTGAGTTGAACTTGGGCTGCTGCTTCGCTGGCCATTGTGTCCGTCAGCTTTTCTGAATGGTAAAATGTCAATTGGGGAAAGAAAGTGACAGCCTGGCAGATCGAGACAGTTTAGTACTTTGACAGAAAATGCGGAGAAGCTGGGGTCTCCACACAAAGGACGACGTACAGAGGTTTGGAGTGGATACAGAAAGGTTAAAGCAATTGCAGTCGGGATAAGAGATAAACCCGATTTATAACTTGCTTGAAAGGGTTTGTCAGCCAGAGCTACACAAAGCAATTGTAAGAGAGTAACAAGGATGTAACCGAAGGGATGCCTCGGCACCGATAAGATAAGATAGGAGCTTATCATATCGGCCTTCCTCACTAACACTTCACCCCGTATAACTACTTTGCTTCAACACGACGATGAGTACTTCCTTGATGTCGCTAATCCGATTCACACACGGTGCTGGATTCCCTGCCCATCTAAATTAGGGCTCTCCATGGATACGCGGATATGGATCTTACGGATATGAACACGTTTTTTTTTTCATGGATAATATCCATGGATATATCCGAAGTCTTGAGATTTCGCGGATATGGATACGGATACGCGTGCAGTATCCATGAATATTCATGGATAGAGTCCACGTGTAACAGGAAATTATTATTCTGCTCCGAGACATCATTTCATAAATAAACTTCTAGGCTGCTTCTTCAGCTTCAAAATCTACCAGCATAATGGACGGATTTATTCACCCCCATCGAGAGAATACACGCCAGCCAGGCTTTTAGAAGCTTGCAAATGGTAGTAGTGATGATGAAGCTGATCTTGAAGATCAGGTTGAAAGCCAGGCTGCCGAAGCTCTTGATACTCTCGAATATGCTACATCACAAAGTAGCTCTCTTACTCCAAACGATTTAGCTTCACAAATTCAGTCATTAACTTTAATGAATCCTTTTCTTAAACCTCCAAGGCCAAAGAGGCAGCGAAAAGAAACTTCATGGGTCTATACCTATTTTGAACAAACATTACTACAAGGGAAGACCTTCTTTGATAAACAGACTAGAAAGATAAAAGCAGACATACAGTATTCTTGTCTACGTTGTACAGCTTTAGAGAAATGGACTACTCTTAAGTCAGTTACCAAGGGTTTAACTAGCAACTTGCAGAAGCATTTAGGGCAGAAGCATGGTATCTATAAAGATCATGACACTTCTTTAGATGACTATTTCTACTGGTATTTATTATATATATCTATGTTAATATATATAGCTATCACATCGTCTCAGAGTTCAATGCTTTCCTATGTTAGAGCTCAGCCTTTACAATCTCCACAAGAACTTCTTGATCAAAATATTTTAAACTGGGCTATCGGAACAATGCAGCCATTTTCAACATTTGATGATCCTCTTTTCAGGCAGATCTAGAGCAATCTTCCAGGATTTTCTTGCAAATATGGATCTTCGAATTCATTTTCCCGCCGTATTGACAAAGAATTTGCCGAGGCTCGGATACAACTAAAGAATGAGCTTGGAAAAATAGAGAATTATAGTACTATTGCACTCTCTTAATAGATGGAAGAGTGCAAATGGCTACAAGATCTTTGCAATTATTGGCCATTGGATTACAGCAGATTTTCAGCCTCAGCATAGATTTCTTGACTTTCAAGAGATAGAAGGCCCTGATACTGGTGAGAATCTAGTATCTATTATCTATAAGGTTCTATGCGAGCTAGACATCAGAGCTAAGCTTCTTTCCATTACTGGTGATAATGCAAGCAATAATCTAGCAATAGCTGAAATTCTCTATGATTTGCTCAAAGCTGATTATGAACAAGGCAATATTCAGCAAGCAATAAGATATCAAGGAGAAGGTAGCTTTATTTGCTGTCTTGCATATATCCTAAATCTTATTGTTAAGGAATTTCTTACTGTTTTAAAAGCTAGTGATGTTACAGGAGACCTTTAGATCATTGAAGATTTAGAGAATAATCTATCTCTTATACAATCACAATGTGCTTTCTCTCGCATACACATTCTGAGTTTATACATCTCTATAACCACAGAGCGAAAGAGAGAGTGGCAGAATCTATGCTAGATAAAAGGGATAGATTCAAAGCTTATTCAGTATGATGTTACTACTCGCTGGAATTCCTCTTATTGCATGCTCAATGATGCTTGGAATGTATGGGCCTTAATGATCTTGAAAAACATATAGCTAACTTTCAATAGGCTGCTCCTCAGATTCAGGAATATCTTAAGATGAATCATATCTTACCTCCTTTTACTGACCAAGACTGGAATTAGCTTGGACAAATCCAGATAGTCCTTGCAGAGTTTAATAGATATACACTGAAGCTCTCTACTAATATTCCACAAATCAGTCAGTCTTTAGCTATCTATTATTAGCTCTTTGATCTTCTACAAGAAGTTCAGGATAGGGAGAGAAACTTCAAGGACTTTGACATAGATATCGCTAATGCAGTTAAAAGTGCCATGACAAAATATAACAAGCACTATACTCTTATGGATGATTCATGCGATATTCTCTATATTATAACGCTGTTGGATCCTCAGTTTAAGAAGCTTGTTCTTGAGCATGAGTTACAGGATGAAGCTAAGGATATTATTACTGCTATGCAAGAGCAGCTTGAGATCCAGTATTCTATAACTTATAAGCCTGAACTTTCTATAGCTTCAGAAGAACCAGGACCATCAGCTGCGTTTCAAAATCCGTATAAGACCATTGTTCAGAGATGATGAGTAAGATCAAGGCAAAGTCGCAAAAGCCTGCAGAAAAATCCTCCGATATTGCATGATATCTCAATTCTGATGTTGTAGAATTTGATAAGAAGAAGAGAAATTGGATTTACACATGGTGGAGAGGTCATATAGATGAATATCCACGCATGGCAGCGGCTGCATAGGATTATTTAGCTGTTCCAGCAGCAGAGGTTGATGTTGAGAGAGTATTTAATACTGGACGGGATCTTCTTAGCTTACGGAGGTGGTCTTTGAGCAGTGGAACCATGAGGAAGCTCCTTATACTGAAAGATTCTCTTTGTAAATAATACTAACACATATCCATGGATCCATGGATCCATGGATAATATCCGCGGATACATCCGTGCTCTTAAAATTTAACGGATACGGATATGGATATGCTAAATTCTCATGGATCTTATCCATGGAGAGCCCTAAATTCTAAATATGGACACAGATCCGCGCGGTACATGACTTGGTTGGAAGGTAACTTGTTGGTTGTTGGTTGGGTCTTGCTCAGCCTCAACGGGAAGCGGTCTTGTTTATCTGTGATGGCTATATAACGATATCGAGCCTCCATCAAACGGGAAATTATCAAGAAACTGTGAGATCTCGGTATATTCCGCTTATGAACCATCGGGTGACTCCTGTGCTTGTTTCTCGGCCATGCTAGATCTCGTCATGAATTTGACGACCTACATAGCCATTGTTGGATTAGTAATAGGTATTTATATCCTCACACGACCAAAATCGACTTCATCGTTTCCTCTACCACCTGGTCCCAAGCCATTGCCGATAATTGGCAATGTCCACCAAGCTCCCAAGTCTCACGGATGGAGGACATATCGTGAATGGAGCAAGCAGTATGGGCCCATTGTTCACGTCAACATGCTTGGACAGCCTGTCATCATTCTGTCTACATCGGAAGTCGTCCACGACCTCCTGGCCAAGCGTGGAGCCACATTTTCAGACCGGCCTCGTCTTTTTGTGAGTTACCAATTTAGCTTGTTAACGCGAACAAGAGCTAATCTGGCTGCAGTTGGCTACCGAGTTGGCTTTGAAAGGACTCAATATTCTCATGATGAACTACACGGAGCAGTTCCGACAGCATCAAAGGCTACAAGTTTCAGTGTTAAACTCGACCTCAACAGCCGCCTACCTTCCATTCCAGACTCTGGAATCACAGCAATTAATGCACGATCTCCTGGAAAATGCAGGCGGCGCTGGTGTTGATGTCCAAGGAATCTTTCAGCGAACAACCGCCAGCATCATCCATATGTTGCTGTATGGCTTCCGAATCAAAGACTCCAACGACCCTGTGCTTCGCACCGTTATCGAACTCAACGACGAATTTTCCGATTTCATCAAGGTTGGCGCGCACATTGTTGACCAGTTCCCTATACTTAACAATCTACCAGGATTCTTAGCCCCATGGAAAACAAAGGCCGAAACTCACTACAAAACCAAGTACGATTTGCGTATCGAAAACTTTCGACGGGGCCTGGAGTCGGACGATTGGACTATATCAAAACATCTCAAAAAGACTGTTGAGAAAGATGGCCTAGATATGCCTATGGATGAGCTGGCATTTGAACTGGGTACTATGATCGATGCCGCACTGGACGGAACTACAGACAGCTTAATTTGGTTTGTGGTAGCTTGTATCACACAGGATCAAGGCTTCATCGCAAAAGCACGCGAGCAGCTGTATACTGTTGTGGGGCGCAATCGACTTCCAACGCCAGATGACAAACCTAACCTGCCATATATCACCGCGATCGTCGAAGAGATATTCCGTTGGCGACCTGCGGGTCCTGAGGGCGTCCCTCATTTGAACCGGGAGGAGGCTACGTATAATGGATATATCATTCCCAAGGGATCCGTTATCATTCCAAATGTGTGGACAATCTCCCGGGAAGAAGCTCTGTTCGGCTCAGACCCCGACGATTTCATACCGGATCGCTGGCTCGAAGAGGACGGCAAAACTCTTAAAGCCTTGCCCACGGCCGTCTTCGGATATGGAAGACGTACCTGCCCGGGGCGATATTTTGCACGCAATGTTATCTGGATTGTCGTTGCCCAATTGCTATGGTCATTCGACATCAAAGCTGGCCTATCCGAGGAGACGGGCGAGTCTCTCCCGGTTGATCCTATTGCGTGTACATATGGCCTTGTTATGCGGGCTTTGCCGTATAAGGCTTCGTTCAATCCTCGTGGTCCTTGGGTACGTGAAGTGATTGCTAGAGATGGTGACACTTACGGTACGGATCATGCCATCATGCTGAATGAGATTGGGGCAGAGTTTGCTTAACTGTAGGCTTAGCTCTCCCTTCTGGCCATCTGCTCTACACACAAAGAACCACTTCATGAGACGAGAAGTTCCGTCGAGTTATATGGCCCAAGCAGAGAAAGAAATCTTCAATAATCATTGGTGAAAATGAATCCGATAACCATTTGTATTCACTACCTTCACAGTATTTATAGTAGGTTCCAAAGCTCGTTGGCAGTAGTAACTACATATTAAGTCGTACCCCTCCGCATGAGCCCAATCGCTCGGACATCCAGAGACGCTCCCAACATGGAGTCCAGGTATAATTGCCCATTTCACTGGTCAGTACATTGGTAATCAGTCAAAGCATGGCCCTGTTGCCCTCTTTCTGTCCATAATGATCCTTCAGAGTCGAGTCAATAATACTCATAGCTTGACACAGCTCATAATCGTGCAATTTCGGCGTGACCACTTGCACACTTAGCGGTGAGTTGAGATAGACTGATCTATCTCCTTGCCCTATTTTCCAGAATATCAGCATACTTGATAGTTTGACGACGGCGTTAGTGTGGTAAACCGTACATAACTTTTTATTATTAGCATCCCATCTCGACAGAACCTTCTCCCCAGGATTCATCTCAAGCCGTAGGTCTGCTTCGGTCATCTTCCGAACTGGGATTACACCAGCCGGATAGTCTAATAGATTAAATGCGCTTGTATAAGACACACACCCGTATTGGTCATGCCGAGGTACCGGGTGAGCTGCTACAGGCAGTATGATAGCATCAACATGTCCTATTTGCCCTGATGCAGACGACGGAGGTAACGACCACAACGACTTCCGCATTTCGATTTCAATTTTCTCGCGCTGCGCGTTCATTGAACATAACTCCTCAATTGTGTATGGCTTTCGACGCGACATGCCCTTCAACGATGGGACGAGCGGTTCATCCGTTGAAAATATCAGATCGAGCATTGGAATGCTACCGTCGACACTCATTAGTCTTCCTGCATTCACGAAGCAGTCTTTCATAATTGGTGGGGTAGGTATATCGACGACTTCAATATCAACAATTTTGCTGTTGGCGAGGATTCGACCGACTTCATTCAATATATTCGTGATTGGAGGTAAGGGTGTAACAAGCCCGTCGTGACGGAGTATACCAACTCGCAGCTTCTTCATGGACTGCACAGAAGTTGAAGGCCAAAAACCAGGAATACAATCATTCGCAAATACTTCCCCCCTCGGAACAAGCTCCCTCATCACAAAATCAATATCCTGCACTGACCGCGCAATTGGACCAGCCGTAGGTTTCAAAGCAACATGCAACGAACCTCCAAGCCCAAAACCCGTTTGCCCTTCATACGAGATTCGACCAACACTAGGCTTCATGCCATAGATATTATTGCACATTGCCGGAATACGGATGCTGCCTCCCAAATCAGTGCCGAAGCCAATCATTGACCCTCTCATGGCGACCAGGACACCTTCACCACCTGAACTTCCACCAGGGGTAAGCTGAGGGTTAGAAGGGTTCAAAGTCCGGCCAAAGACATGATTGACGCTATCTAGTAATCCCAATGTTTGCGGGATGTTCGTCTTTGCGATTATGACTGCACCTAGGGAGTGGAGGAGGTCGACCAAGGCTGCATTTTGAGTGGCGGGTCTGAAGGATAGTGCCGCAACGCCGAGGGATGAGTCTACTCCCTTGATGTTGAAGTTATCCTTGACTGAGACGGGGAGGCCGTGAAAAAGGCCGACGGTTTGACCTGTGCGTGCGAGATGGTCGTCTAATTGACGCGCTTGAGCGAGAGCAGATGAGAACAGTGGCTCAGTTATGCAACGTGTTAATTGCTGCGCGATAGCTGTTCTCTAGTCAAACGTTAGACAAGCTGCAGCAGGGATATGCTCAATAGAGGACGAACGAACCTTGCAAAACGCCAAGGTAACCTCCTCAGCACTCAAGCCCTTTTCCGCAATCTCCTTCAATAGACTCTGGACATCGTATCCTTCTGTAATTCTTACTTCCCGAGCAGTCAGAATGCCACATTTTCTGGGAATATCAAACAGGCTCGTTTCGTATTCATCACCGAATTCATTGAACTTGTGCACAGAATCCGAAGGCGATAGTCGCATCCCGCGAGGGATATATTTGTCGTCTAAGCGCCATTCGGCTGGGATGAGGCTACTACTGACTTGTTCCCATTTGCTGGTGGAAATGTCGATATATGCTGGTTGGGCCATTTTATTGTTTCCATCAATAGGCTCATGTATAATAGAAGAAGTTGGGTTGGTATGACATTTCCAAGGTTTATTAAATATATTGGAATCGATGGATTGCCTCGGCAAGTCAATCTACCCCGACCCCGGATTTCTTTGCGATGGTCCAGTCCATGGATGTACGAACTTAAAACTTCCATTCTTGAACCGAATCAGACAGTCTATCACACAAAATGGAATGTTCTATTAACTATAAAGTGCATCATGATCTACAGATAAGCGTGACAAAGGAAATGAAGTACAACAAATCAAGAGAGATAGTAAGAAGAAGAACGTGGGTAAACTCGTGTTACAAGTCCATCTACCCAACTTTGGTATCTGATGAACGTGGAAATGAAACTGAATATGCGCTACGTTATTCCCAAATCAAATGTCTGGGAGGAACGTAATTGTCTTTTATAGTTAAGCGATCCATTCCCTTTCGTGTCATGTTTCGCTTCTCCGGATCGTGCATGCGAGGTTAAGTCATTTATTTGGCAGGGGCAATCTCAACACCACCGGTGGCACCAATCAAACGCTTGATGTCTAGATAATTTTATCAGCCATTAATCTTAAACATAATCATGCAGAAACAAAAGAAAAAAAAAAACATACCTCCGTAAATGGCGAATTGACCAGCGGTCAAAGTACCAACCATGAACAAACGAGCACCAATACCAGAGTAAGAGCCGCGGAGACCGAGCTCCTTTCCAATCTTGAAGAGACGAGTCATAGTGCCCTCACCAGGGAGACCCTTGGTCTTGTTAATCTTGGAAAGCATAGTGTCGGCAGGCTGAGAGACGATGGCGGCAGCGAAACCAGCAATGAGACCAGATCCAAGGTTGACAGCAGTCTTGCCACCGTCGGAAAGGGTGTTCTTGTCAACAACTCCGTAGATAGCCTCAGAGACCTTCTCGTAGACGACGAACTTGGCCATGGTGTAGGGAACTCTGTACACTGTGTTAGCAGGAACAATCCGAAGCGCAATTTCTCATGACGTACTGCTTGAAGAGGATAGGTCCGAATCCAGAGTAGAAAGCACCGACACCCTCATTCTTCAAGATCTTGGAGAAACCACCGAGGAGACCGTTGGCGAAGGTAGGCTCAGAGACGAGACGGATACGAGTAGCCTCAAGAGGGCAGAGAGCGATATCAGCGAAGAACTCAGCGGTGGCGGAAGAGGCGAGGTAGATGGCAGTTCGGTTGTTGGAGGCGGTCTCATAACCGAGCTGGTTAATCCATTGCTGCTTGAAGAATTCGTAACCTCCAAACTTGAAGGCACCCTGGAGGAAGTAACCAGCAGCGGTAGGACCGAAACCAGTCAAGAGGGCGCCGGCACCCTCGTTTTGGATGACCTGTCGGATACCACCGAAAAGACCGCGGTTGTATGTGACGGGGTCAAGCTGAATACGGGTCTTAACGCTGTGATGTGTTAGTCTTCGATGCAGATAATCAAGACAATCAATCGAAAGTTGTTTGTAGTTGTTTCGCGAAACGCGCCGGGTAAGATGCGGCAAGAAGAAATCCCTCAATGGTGATGAACTTCACCAGCACCACATATCAATCGTAATTGTCGTTGCGTGCTCACTCATCAACATGATAGAAAGAACAAAAGAACAAACTTACACATCGACAGGGGTCAAAGCACCGTGAGTGACGGAGCAGCAGACAGCACCAGCAAAGGCGAATCGAGAGTAGAGGTCGAGACCGCTGAGCTTCTTAGGCTCAAGGGCGGGAACGGAGGCAGAGGCGGCCATTGCGACTTATGTCAAATATACAAGATGAAACAGAAAAGACAACAAGAGAGGAGTTGGGCACTAGAGCGATAAGCAAGCAACACGAAGGATGCAGAAGCAGAAGAATGAAGATTTTTAGAGAAGGGATGATGGATGGACGGAGAAGGACAGCATCAGGGCCAAACAACCCGAAAACTTTTCGCCGGCCAATCGGGGTCACGGGGGCCACCGGCTCGCTGTGAGTGGATAGCCACGGTCACGTGATAGGATTTATACTGACGTCGTCTCTTCTCTTTTCTCTTTTTATATTCAGTCCATCCCAGCTCTACAGATCATGGTTGGTATCATTGATATTCATACAAATTATACAGAATACTCAGTCATTTGGACCGAACTGACTGGAATACCACTACGCAATGCGATGTCTACATTTTCTGACTGTCCGCAATGACAACATCCAGCATACGTCAAGACGGATCCGACACCGAAACCCACCAGACATGCTTGGCAGACTGGCAGCAGACTGACGATACAGCTTATCGACATGTCTTTGCCCGGCAGAATGGTCACTTGGACATGGTGTCGTTGCGCTCTTTTCACAGCTACAGCCTACATGTCAGAATCGGCTAAATCGGATCCCTGCTTAACTCCACCGCAAACTCCGTGTCAATATACTGTCGCGTTGTTTTGACTAAATGGCTAGGACTCAAAGGAAAGTCTTGCCAGTAAAAAATTCTGCGGAAGGCATGTCTTCGAATACAGCTTTATAAATATCGAGGTAATGAAAATTGTATGGTCGTAGGTCGTAGGTCGTGGTTGCTGTCCAATCAGAGAAGGCGCTTATACCAGCCTCTCTGTGGACTGTGATTGGTGGTTGCCCGGTACAACGGAGAGAGGTTAACAATGTGTCCAGCCACCACGTCAACGGTTATCTTGACCGCGGACTCGTGTTGTTTTATCATGAGAATTGCTATTCTCGTTGTTGGAGTATCTGTTGTTGTCTGTTTATCTTGCATTTCTGCTGCAATTGGCAAACCAAGGTAGGGTCATTGGCTTTCGTTGAGCACATACAAGCAGAACAAACAATCTTGGGAGTTGCTTGAAGGGCTCGTCAGACAAGACAGGAATTATCAACGTTTGTAGGTTGAAGGAATCATGGAAGAAGCACGGCTTGACCATGAGAAACCTCTCGGGAATCCAGAAACACCATCCGACCAAGGTGAGGGCCTCACTTCAGCAGTTGCGACAGCCGAAATACCGCCAGATGTTTCCGACACTCCCCAGCCCGAGATGCATACAGAAGATGCAATGGAAGGGCATTCCGCACCTTCAACATCCTCGTCTCGTCGACAATCTGAAACAGAAAGATATCTACAAGATACAGTCGAAGAAGATAGCCCAGCAGGCACGAAGTCATCATCCAGTCGATCCTCGCTTTCGTCAATTCCAGATTCTGTTCTGGTACATCCTAAAGAACAATCCGTATATGGCAGAGACAGCATAGGGGAAATGTATGAGGAGCAAGAGGAATACAGGTCATATGGCAGTCCGGTCCACCAAAAAATACGCGATCGCAATTCTCCCTTTCGACATCCAAGCTCAGTCAAAGCAATACTGATGCAGACCGAAGACGAGGAAGATGAAGATATCATGTCAAGACGTAAATCAATGTTCCGTGGCTCACCTACTTCGGTACGGTCGCTTGGTTCACCGCTTCTCAGACGACAGGGTTACCACTCGGCTGGAGGAACGCCGAAAAGGTCACCGATCAAAAGAGAAAACCCACTTGTCTTATTACATTGCACGATCATTCAGCCAACTGTGGTCCTTGCCCCAGGAATGACTTTGCCGGATAGGCAGATCCTCGAAAAAGTTCTGCCACCTTTGTATTGGCGGCGATGGAAATTGTTGGAGGAAAAGATCATAGCCTCTGGCCTACTACGTGATCGTGGCTTACTTATTCAACACCCTCAAGAAGACTATGGACTGCTAGAGGAACGACTGCTAGAAAGCTTGGAATTGCAGAAGCCGAGATTGGAGAATGGCCATTTCAATAATCACGAGACAAGTGAATCCGAAAGCGAAGATATCTCGGAGAACCCGCAAGACTCAAGAGAAGAGAATAAAGGAGCCTGTGTGGATTGCGGTTGTCATGTGAATCATCGAGACAATTTGAGAAAGTGGGACGTCAAATTCTATGCAGCAAATGGCTTGATGAGGGAAGGCGCCTGGACGGCAGCGTGGAAAGAGATTGAGCGTGTGGACGTGCAAGTCAGTCTGTGGCTGCCATACGAGGTCAAATTCGAGGTCGAACAGAGAATAAAGGAGGAGAACCTTCTCGCAGTGGAAAAGGAACAGATCCAAGTGACAAAGCCGATGGTGAACCAGGCGGAGCCCAACCGTCAAACTAGAATTACACAGGAGGAGATTGATGGCTTGGGCGGCGGAGTCCACGATAGAACGAAAAGTCCCCCAAGGCACGAGCCGCAGAAATTTGAACGTGATATTCCAGCCTATGACCATGTAAGACCTAGGAACCGCAACCAGGATCCCGATTTACATACTCTCATCATCAAGTCCCTACGGGTCCTAGCAAGCGATCGACGAAACATTATTACCGCTGTTAGTATGCTCATCGCCGTCCTCGCAGTCGTCTTTGGCGGCCGCCCGATTAGACGCACTCACGGATCCGACGTTGTCCAGTTCGGGGATTTCCCAGCAGTTAGTACTCATGTATACCTAACCAGTTCTACATCAGTCCTGACTCAAATTTCGACAGAAGTCCCTGTTTCTAAAAGTGAGAGCTGCGTGGAGAGGCTTGGTCAAGTTCAACGAGTGGTTAAAGGGGTAGAGGAGGTTGTTCCATCGGTAGATGCAGTCGTGCAGCCGGTGGAACAACCACACGACGAGATTACAGTTGTTGAAACACATGAACAAGAGGCGATACCGGTGCCTGCAGTTGGAACACATATTGGGATCATCGAACCCCTGACAGAAACAACAACGGCTGAAGTCCCCGAAAACACGCCTTCCATTGACCGTAATGAGTCGGTTGATAAGCTTCCGGAGGCAACCCACGTCAGCGCTGCCGCCGCTGAAAACAATGACTCTGCCATTGGTCAAGGTGACGACTCTTGTATAACTCAAATAGAGAACCCTGCAGTCATTCAAGATGATGACCCTGTTGCTGCACAAGAATATGAAGACGATGAACCCGCTACTATTACCAGCGCCCCTCAACACAATGATTCTACCGGTACCCAAGATGATGAGTTTACTATCACTCGGATAGAGGGTCCTGCCATTACTGAAGATGATAGCCGTGTTCCTGCACACGATGATAAAGCCGACGAGCCCGCTATTATTCTCAATGCCCCTCAACACAACGATTCCGCTCCCGGTCAAGACGATAATTACTCCATTAAGCCCGAGAAAGTTACCATTACCGAGAGTAACGAGCCTGTCGTCGCTTACGAAGATGATCATACCAAGCTTCAAATTGACATCAACGAAACCGTTTGATATCTTCTTTCCAAATTGACGAATGAAACGACTTGCCGCATTTTCTGCAATGTACCTCTTTCAGCATCATGTACTCCCACCGGACTACGTATCTACGACTCTCATCATAGCGTTCTTTGCTTGTTTTCCGATTTTTGTTTTTGATGATTGCACTTGCATGGCTATATGGCAACTATGGGTTGGATAATGAGAATGATGATTGGAGTATATTGTGATTAGATTGATTCATGCTCAGTATTAGTTGAATTATGACTAGCTAAATAAAAATGCGTGATTGAAGAACTCAGTCCACTGTAAGGCATCAAGTTCTGGGATTGGAATATCTCAGATTACCTTCTCGATCCCAGCCAATACCAATCACTTTGTGAGAATACTCGGCATTCTAATTAGCAGAGCGTAAGCTCTGCTAGTATGAGTATATATCGCTATTACTATGCGCATTGTCAGCAATCCTCAACATCAGACCAAATAAACAAAAGTAACTCACAAATTCATCCCAACAAACCTCTCCCTCCCCTCCGCTGCCTCATTAACCCATACACCAACACTCATACTCGCAACCGGAAAGTCCGCATACCCCTTTGAACTTATCTGAACTACTCTCCTCTTACCTATCTTTCCTGTCTTTTCATTATCCTTCCCATTTTTCAAATCCTCCACACCCAAAGCTTGATTATTGTCGAGAAGAACATCACTCCACCTCTCACCAGCATGCCTCTTCCCAACATGCATCCGTAAGTTTATAGCCGTTAACCCATTATTCATTACGCATGCCAAACCCGCTGGATGTCTAGCATTTCCGTATCGCACAAATCCGACACAGTTCCGTTGCAAGAAGTAGTCTTGCTGTTCGCCGTACGCATATAATTTCCTAGCTAATATCATTGCGGGGAGGCCCTGCAGCTCTTTAGGGATACGTGACTGAGTCATGGGTTTCTGTTTTGCCATTTTTGCTGGGACGCTGCTGCATATACCGTATAAATCGCCGTAGAATATGCAGGGATAGCCGTCCTTGCGGAGGAGGATGAGGGCGTAGGCAAGTGGTTTGAATGACGGAGGTATAGGAGCCTGATTGGATGGAATTAGTTTCATGCAAGTCATGACATGTGTGTCTTTGTCAGCTTACTTCCAATGCTTGTTTGGGTTGCTTTAATTGTTAGTCCGTACTTCTCTCTCAGATAGAAAAAGTTATACTCACTGTGTCATGATTCATCACAAATGTCTGCCCTAGACATAAGTTACCAGCCTCGCTTCAGACGATCAGACAGACACATACCACAGCATTCTCCGGCTCACACTTGACCAAAGTCTTCTCAAACACCAACCTCAAATCCGCCCCCCGAGTCTGTGAAACAGCAGATAGCCTCTGACACAACGGCGCATCAAAAGCATACACTTTATAATCAAACCGTTTAAGATATTCCTGTATCTCTAGCACATCTCCGGACCAGAATTCACTAACAAAGAACCATTCCTTCCTCGTACGCCGGACGTGATCAACCAACAACTTTTGAAACTCAGCTGAATAATGTTTAACAGCATCCAACCTCATCCCTCGCAAAGGTAATTGTGCACCAATCCAATTCGTCCAATTCAAAATATCCTCTCGAACTTCCGGATGCGAATGATCCAGATTCGCAAACATGAGATAATCATAATTCCCGTTTTCGGTACTCACGTCCTTGGCCCAATCTTTCCCGGGGGCGAAGATTTTGTAAATCGCTGATTTGTGGTCTATATCGTTGTAGTCTGTACCGTTGAAGTGCTGCCAGTTATATTTCATTTTGCTGTATGTTTCCCCGCGGTTGGAGAAGTCGAAACCCACCCATGCTTCTATTTCCTGGGGTTTTGTGAGGTCGATATTTCGATCTTAATCAGACTCTGTCAACCCTTGATACAGTTTTCCAATCTCTCTCGGGATGGATATACCTTCAGGATCAACAGTAACAGCCAAACACCTCTCCTTCCTATCCGCACCAGCCTTGTGATTCAGCACCGCATCCCAATAAATCCCTATCCCCAACTGCTCCGCCAGCTGCGCCAGGGTCACCAAATCCTGTTTTGTGCCCCATTTCGTCGCCACAGTCCCCTTTTGATCGAATTCTCCCAGATCATAGAGGTCGTGGATATCGTAGCCGTTTCCAGATGGATTCATGGCTTTACACCCCGGTGGGAGGAGGATATTATCAATTCCGATGTCCTTTAGTTCTGGTAGAGCTTGTTGGAGGCGTTTCCAGTGTCGTCCATCGTGTGGAGTGTACCATTCAAAGGCTTCGAGCATGCAGATGTTGTCTTCGGGCGAGTTCCATGATGGCTCCTTCTCGATATTTTGTGCTTGTTCTACAGACGAGATTAGTTTGGCTAAATTTTTAAAATATGGGAATATGAACCTTCAGTCTCTTTCCAATCATTTTGTTTCTGTTTCGAAAAGGCCAAGAAGCAATTAAGTAGAGCATCCATCTCGTTTGATATCGGGTGTGTCTGACCACACAACCCAGGTACTAAGAGCTCGCTTATCCGAAATCAAGAAATGAATGAGAAAGGCTAGACAAAGGATCCATCCTCTTTAAAACAAAATATGAACGTCATCGTACTCGGTCAAGGGATGATAAATCACAAGGCTGGACTCCAACCCCTCCGATTCCCCTTGCCGTAGACCGGTCATAAAAACCCCAATTCCAGCCCATTATTTATTTGATTCTGGACTGACACTGAAAACTATCGTTTCACAATAGATTCGGCCAGTTGAAACCTCAACACCGTGCAGAGATCGGAAATCAACAACAGTCAAAAATTCGTTAGAAATTTGTTTCAATAATTGTACGCATTGCGTTTTGTGGAAGTACCTTGCAAGAAAGGGGGTGAAGCCGTGAAAGATGTGATAGGCCAGATGTAGGGGACCCGATCCCCTTGCGACTTCCATCTTGGTCGAGAAATTCCGAATATGGGAATTATCCGTGCTTCAAGTTCGTTCTTATGTTGTTGACAACTTACGTAGTCAAGATAATAGGTCAATCCCAGCATGGCGCTTGGATAGCATCATGGTGTCTGGTAATAGGGATGTACTTCAATCTTATGAGCCTGAGCAGACACAAGACTTGATTTCAATCAAAAGAATTGTTCAATATTAAAATGGCTAGAGCTGGAAGTAATATGTACATAATGAGTTTCCGGTCTTGCACATCCTGTATAGTCTAAACGCAATAGTAACAAAAATGCACACTTCTAGACAGATTTTAAAATCCGGGAAAGCCGGTCCCGAAGTGTATTCGCCTCTATTTTTGAGGTCTGCGGAGGCCGAAACTGTTCTTCTTCCCTGATAGATTGAAGCTCGGTCTGGAAATCCAGCTCAGACAATGGTATTACTTTGGACTTAAACCAGAGCTTGAAAAAGACATAGAGAGCTAATGCCGGCGTCAGAACGCTTTGTATAATTAGATAGGCTTTTGATCTTGATATATGGACGTACCGATAAATATAAAAACATTCAGATACCGAGTCAAAAACCCAGAAGCAGTAAAGTTGTCTCTGACAAAAACTTCAAATCCTGTCATGGCGTTAGCAGCGGTTTTAACTAATAGTTTTAGGGAGAACGCACCAGAAAAGAACACGACAAGAAAAACCATGATTAGAGTTGCCCAGGCGTTGTAGGGTTGCAGAGGGCCATGATATGGTAATTCTATTCCACGTAATTAGTGATTTATCACAGGGGAGATTACCAGAGGTCATAAACGTACCATCGCGTGGGATACCTTGCGCTTTCAACCCGTAGTAGAACCTCAAGTACGTAATCTCAATCACCATCCAACCAATCAATCCAGCCACAGTGGTTATATTAACGAACCAACCAAAGACAACGGATGTATTCTGACCTACGTTCAGATACACGAGCGGAAGCAAGACGCAAGTCAAGCCTACAGCATAATGCGGAACGCCAAAACGGTTGCACTTTTGGAAGAACTTGGGTGCGTGGCCATCCCGACTCAGACCGTATAGAGTCCTGGAAGCAATAAAGATACAAGCTGAGCCACTGCTGAATGCTGATGTACAGACGACAGCGTTGATAATGGATGGCACAACAGAGACTCCAGAACGCTGAAAGGCTATCACAAATGGCGACTGTTGTGCAGTTCCCGTGGATAATTGCAATTTAGGGTCATCATACGGTCTGTTGGACGAATATTAGCTGAGTGACGTATGAAGTTTGGCGTACACAAAAAAAGAGACCTACACAACCAAGCCGACAATGAATATACTGAGTACATAAAAGAAGAAAACTCGAAAAAACGTCTTGCGCGTTGCGGCAGGAATGATTTCTCGAGGATTTTGTGTTTCCGAGCCCGAAATGGCAACAACCTGAATGTTCCCGTAGCTGAAAGCAGCTGAAATCAGCACGCTCCATATTGCTAGAAAACGACCGGTTGCTCCCTTGTCAATGTATGTATTGAACGCCCCTGGATCATTCCAGTAGCGAAAACCTATACGGTCACGATTCGGAGCTCCGCCCAAGTCAATGACAAGCCCACCGATGATGAGCCCGATAATCAATAAGATTTTGAGTGAAGCAAAGACAACTTCAGACTGGTTGGTATTAGAGACAAACAGTATGCCCATATATGGAATAGTCATGAGCAGCACGTACCTCTCCATAAAACCGAACTCCGCATAGATTAAGCAATACGATCAAAACAAGGAACACAGAAATCCAGACGGCGGGGTTGATGGACGAATTCCAGAACTGTATGACTGTAGCGGCGGCACTTATTTCTGCTGGCACCGAGATGGACATGGTATACCCTATTCAATCAAGGAACGGCCAAGTTAGCCAAATCGGGTACTACTTGCAAGCATTGAACAACTATCATGACCCACAAAAATTCCAACCAGTAGCTGCCCCAAGTGCTGGCTCGACGAATTTCGTTGCGTGGCGAACGAAGCCTCCTGTCGATGGCATAAAGGATGTTATTTCGCCGGTGGTGTATGAGACGCCGGCAGTGACCAGACCCATTATAATGTAAGCAATAAATGCACCTGCAGGCCCTGCAGTTGCAATTACTGATCCGGAGCGTAAAAAGAGACCGGTTCCCTGAGGTATAAGTAGTGAGTAACTTCTTGTTTGATCGAGAGAAAAAAACACTTGAAGCACGAACAATCATTCCCGCAATTGCAATCATATTAATGTGACGGGACTTCAAATCACGGCGAATCTCTCCCATGGCTCCGACTGGTGCTTCGACTGGCGATTCGGTGCCAGTCTCCATGTCGGGAGCATTATGATAGCTACTATCGAAGCCCTTGGGTTCCTCCATCATGATATGCTTGGTCTTCGACATGATGGTATTCAGAAAGAGGAGTGGCCGTAACTCCCAACCCACAAGACTCTCGAGACCCGAGAGTGGGTATTCTGTTGAATCTTATACAGAAGCAACAGGCCAGACTGAGAACAGCTAGAGCCCTCCACTTGGGGGATTAGGTCATTGCTGATTAAGCACTAACTGTATTGCATTTGTTAGCCAAATACATGATTAGTATCTTTGCAAAGGATTGATTGGTGAACCAGCCAGATGATGTATTGAAAACCTTATTTTATCTATAGATACGGTATATAATTGGTTAATCTAGCCGCATGTCTTGTAACCTGATTGGCCAATACTGATAATGTATTGGTATTTTATAGATTGGCAAAATGACTCGAGTAAGACCTACACTATGTTAAGACTTGTATGGGAATTTGTACTAGAATTTGCAGGAAAATTCATACAGCGATCTCTTCAGGAGTGTATGGAATGTAGACCTCGGAATGAGGATTGACATGAGAAGGGGAGAAACGATGCCAAGAAGGCGCCGCCCCTTGTCCCAAAAAAGGAGATTTAACTTTTGACTCAGCAGCCACGTGCTTGACTTGAAGAAATGGCCTGCAAAAAGTCTCATGCCATTTTTACGCTAACAGCTGCCCACATAGGGATATAGGCCAAAACAGAGTAGCTCTCCCATTGTCACAGTAGGCGTCATTTCTTCCATAAGCCAATAATCAAGACAGTCGAAATTGAAAAGGGGTCCCTTTTTGAGCCAACTTGCCATTCAGCCTACAATCTAGTCGACGTAACAGTGGACAGGTAAGGTAATAGGCTATCGGAACGGATTATACGCACAAGTGCGAGCCAATCCATAGGCCAGTTTATAAGCCAGCTGGCGCACAGTCTCATAATAGATGACACCTACTCGTAATGTTTGTTCATTTGAAAAGCCCTAAGTAGGCCTACATATGTATCTCAAGTGCACATTCTGATTGCATGTATGGAATTTTATTGATTATATATACGCTAATTATCAGGCTTGCATCTGGCGCCCGAGCGAGGCGACATCTTGTTCCCATATTCGAAGCCATATTCAAACTCATACTGAAGCCCATCATCGAGGCTATTCTGCCTATTCAAGCTTATATTGGGCATAGATCAATTCAGATTGTTGACATGTCTTAACTAGTCCTCTTTTCATAGTAGCTTGTTGGATGTGCTCCACCGGTCAATTCCAGGAGATAGGGCGGCTGATTGCCGGTGGGGAGATAGACGCCGGCGGCCCACGGGTTGTGGATCACACTCTTATATACGTAAACGCTTGCTGTATGACTTACCCTCCACTGAAAGTCACTGCAGTCATTTTCAACCTCGTGAAACACGTCGAATCAAGTTATGTCGCAAGACGACGCTTTCCAGCTCTATGACCTTCGTGTCGAGGTTGTTTGCCCTCCAGGCGAGAGAATACTCTGCGGAGCCAAACCAGGAGACTACTTCATCCTCCAAGGGGAGATGATGTATTTGCCTCCAAATCAGGGCATCAGCATCTACAGCTTGTGTAATTCAACTCACAGACTCTGAAGACAGGCCGTTACAGGTTATGGAATTGATGCTAACATACTCATAATACTATCGAACAGCGGCAGTGCTCCCCCTTCTACCAGCCAAGCAACGTATCACTCACAAGAACGACTGGATGACCACTGATGCATTGATTGCTTGCCCGGATCCAAACTGCCCCTCACAGCTGAAGATTACAAGACAGGGCATTCGTACCTTCAGCCATGCCGAGACGACAGTGGTGCCCCTTCAACAAAACACAAACACGCAAACATAATTGTTCATTCTATTCTACCTGACGCACTGGATATGTTATGGATCCGTCAGGGGACGGGAAGAAATCCCGAACAGTAAGACCAGCATTGCTAAAGATATTCGTCCATGCACCGTTATTGTCAACCATGCTACGATCCATTGTTTCTAATGGCCCTAAGAACCCTGCGTTATCATGCATCGGGTCTAAGAACGACATGGAACCTGGTATTCCACTTGTCTCATGGATGGGTTGGAGCGGATTATGACTAAACTCGCCAGCTGCACTGGAGTGTTGATGGTTTTTGTTGCCGATATTAGAGCCTGCTGGTCCAGTGTTTTCCGTTTGGTTGTTGTTGGATTCATTCCGCTTCTTTACGGCTTCATCGTAATTTGACAGAACCTTTTCCAAATAGCTCTGTTGCAGGAAGCAGCTGGATCCCAGAGGAGGGGACTGCTCTGAGAGCGTTACAGCGGCAGTGCGAATTGTCTCAATCACGGTAGGTTCGAAGTCGGCTGCTATGTTTGGCGGTGCTGACAGTAACACCTTTCAACGTTCAAGATCAGTACTAATCTCTTCGGCAAGATAAAGGGCTCTTTCGAGCTAATTTCGTTACCTTTATTAAGAAGGCAGCCGAATATGCTGTCATCACGTGTACAGAATCTTGGGCAAAATACAAACGTGACGAATATTGTGCAACTAATTTAAGCATGGCTACTGCGCTTGACAAACTTGTCCACAGCGTTTCTTGATGATAAGTTATGTCATGCTCACTATTCGGATCGAGGATTTCTTGAAGTGGAAGAGCATGGAGTTGAAGGCGAAGGTGGGTGCCATAGAATCGAATTAAAAAGTAATGGGGGCTTTCCGAATCTGTTGAGATTATAAGACGAGTTTATACACTGGACAGGAATGGCGCATACCCTGAGCGCACAATGGCAACCATTTATCTTCCCACTCGTCGATGCGATTGCTGATCATGATCATGAATGAACCCATATTTTGAGACGAGTGGATCTGACGCCATGATCCTAGAAGTCGGAAGACTTCAGACGTCAATAAGCGGAGTGTGACAAATGCTCCCAAAATCACATCATTTTCGATCGCCAGGGGATCTCTGCACCAAGCATCAATTGCCTCGATGAATTTGTTCCGCTCTATCATCCAGGGCTTTCCAGTCTGCAGACTTATGCTACATTTATTAAGTTTTGTCAACTTGAATGGACCCATACAAGAAGCGGGAATAATAAAAGCTAACTTACCTACGATCGTATACGAAAAGCACAAACCAAGTTCTTTCTTCATTTCGTGTCTTCCTGAGGTCTGTCTCTGATGCCGTTGCTACTCCGCCTTGGATTGATGGAGGTCGCGTCCCAAATCGGTGCCAACCGAGATCCATGACCATTCTAATGACATAACCCACATTGACCCAGGTCCGAGTGTCATCTGGCTCCTTCCAATATGTAAGGATGAGAATGGATTGTGCAATTTCCGTAGATTTCGCACCACGACGAAAGCAGTCCATGAATAGGTCCTCGGCGTGTCTGAGTAGGGGCTTATACAAGGCTGGATTGAACATTTTGGCAGACACTGCCAAAACGGCACTCAGGAGAAAAGAACATTTCTGGCGCGTATACGTGAAGGTATGGAGGTTCGGGTCCAGTTGACTGATGTACGGATTGAGAACGTTAATGAAACTCTCGTACAAGATCCCAGCAATGGACTCATTTATCAATCCAAGTCTGATAGGATCTTGCGCCGGGATAAAGAGCGCTTCTTCTTCCTTTTCTTCCTCTTTTTCCACGGGGTTGTCTGTGTTTGCAAGGATATTGAGTAGCGAGAATCGCCCATCGCGTATAGCATTGCTATTCAGAAGCCCGGAAGGCTGGAGACTTGTTGAACCAGTATCATTCGTCTCTGAAGATGTCGCAGCTGGCGTAGTTTCATCTATCGAAGAATTTCGCGTTTTTCTGTTGGATGTACGACTTCTGGCTAATTTGACTCCGGGTTTTCGTCCGCGTCGATGTTCCTGGAAGACGCACTCTAGACTCTTTCGCATACACCGGTCACATATTGTTTCGCCCTGTCGAAGGCAACATTTCATCTTCACTCGACGACATGCCAGGCAAGCGTTCGCTGCTGCGTTCATTGTGGTGGTTATCCGATCGTAAGTAAGCATGATGATTAAGTAACAAGAGCAACCGTGTCTAAAGTGAGTGAAACAATTCGGATGGATCTAAGCCTCGGTCTTATCTTCCTGATACTAAAGGGTTAGGGTTATTTCGCTAATTCCGAGCGCTAAACTAGACGACTCTCTATAATGATTGGTCAATTTTAGCAGCAGACATCACCATCTTGGGAATAGCTCCCATCGATAAATTCAGACCAATTACACGCAGTCCTTACCAAACCACACATTATTATTGATGCTTACTCAGCTAGCTCCAACCTTCATTCGAAGCTTTCATTGGTTGGCCGGAGTCCACATTCCCCTTCGGGAAGTTTTGAAAATTTCTTCGGAGCAGCCGCCATAATATCCCCGCCAGAGGGTGAGACTTCGAAAAAACTTGATAAAGTATCTCAGATGATATTCAGTCCAGTTGACGAGTTTCAAAATGAGTCAGTAAACTTCATGTAGTGTATGCTAATGTAAAAAAATGAGTCGTTAATGTGGCGCATATGAGCACTCAGCACAGAAAATTAATGCCTGAGGCTGCGATTCGCAATAGCTTGGCACGTTCGCGTACCACAGTTCCCTTTTGATGCCTAAGGTGTCAACCTCCAGACCAAAAATATGATTGGCTTGTGCCTCTCACTACAAGCAATGAGCTTTCCACGTGATCTATCACGTGATCTTGTATGTGATGTCATTTTATTGGTACAATCTTCGATCTTTATATCCACTTAACTCCACAGCACCGGCATTCATTAAAGACACCGGTCTGCGTTCCCATAACGAGAGAGAAAACATAATTGCCAATATGGCCCATATCTGCTCTTGAGAAAATTTGATTCAGATGTATGTGATTGTTCGCGGGCTCGTCTACTTGCAGGGCAACCTCCAACTCTTGAATACAGGGACAGCTTGACCTAGAGAAAGCATCGATGGCGGTCCGTCAGCAGCCTAAGCAGGCCAAACAGGCTCACGTTAATATGATGACCGACACAGTTATTGGCAGTTTGACACCGGATGGCTTGCGCCAGATAATGCGGTCTTTACTTGCTCTCGAGCCAGGGTTGACCCCGGTGTTTGAGTTAGCTACGCGAGAGTATATCCGATCCGCCAGAACGCCTTTGATGCCGAATATATTTTCGACATTGGACAGCTCGAACATACCTCTAGTGAATGCACAGTTCGCTGCTGCACAGGCACGAATTCGCTGCATGGTCGGCTGCGGCCTTTGCTATCAGAGTTTAGACCTACTTCGCGATTGGGTTGAATATTTCAGATATATTGGCAACAACTCTAGCGTGAATAATGATATCGCTGGCGAATTTGAGTTGAACAAGAAGATAGCATCTCTCGATGCGGATATCGTCCAAGCAGCGACTGCTGTCCAGAAAACATTGGCAGTAGAGACAGGATTTAGGGAACTGGCACCCTGGGAAGTTCCCCCCGTTAAGGAACTTTACGATAGCATCATATCTTGCCGGCAAGATTGCACACTATGTACAGAAATTGATCGGCCTCCATTCGACAGGGGCATGACGTCCCTGGCTTGTCTCCTTGGGTGCCATGGCCCTTCAGAATATAGTAACACCAAATTCCAATCACTTTCTATTCCACTCAAAGCCGAAGAGACTTTCCTCATTGGCAATCGTGAAGTACCACGCATATTCTCCGGGTTGTGGCAGCTATCCAGCCCTGCATGGGGCTCAGCCTCTGCAGCGAGAATTGCGGAACATTTTGAAAAGACTATTCGCAAGGGGTTCACTGCTTTTGATATGGCAGACCACTACGGTGACGCTGAAATCATTTTTGTATGAAATTCTCTCCTTTCCTCCTGAGGCGAATTGTTTCAATTTTCACGTGTGCTTACTCTTGACGATAAAAAGGGTCGGTTTAGGGCTTCATATCCATACGCCGATAAAATATTCACGGCCACCAAGTACTGCGTATTCCATCCATCGAAAGTATCGCGCGAGATTGTCCGAGCCAATGTCACGGAAAGATGTCAAAGACTTCAAGCAAGCAAGATTGATCTTCTGCAATTTCATTGGCAATTTGTGAGTACTTCTATCTCTCTTCTGTATTTTTACTATGCTAAATATTACCTTTCCCGTACAAGTATGAGGACCCGAGCTACATCGATGCGCTACGATACTTGCAGGAGGATGGACGTGTAGATAATTTAGGTCTTTGTAATTTCGATACTGAACATCTTTTGAAAGTTGTCAATAGTGGAGTGGTTGTTCAATCGAACCAAGTTCAGGTAAGGCTCAATCCAACATACTTTTTGTCTAAGTGACGATGCTGATAACAAAGTTCTCCTTAATTGACACCCGTCCTACAGTTAAAATGGGCCAAGCTTGCGAAGAACATGGCATTAAATTATTGACCTACGGTACTCTTGTACGAAACAGATTCTGTTCCCCCTTCTTGACCACCCTCCTGACTTTGTAATTCAGTGTGGCGGCTTCCTCGCCGAAAGCTGGCTAGGTAAAAGCGAGCCGGGTCTGTATGACGACGATATCACCCCTAGTCAAAGAAAGGTCCGTTGAGTTGCCTCCCTTCTATTGATTGTATACTAACAGCATAAAGTATTATTCAATGATCCAATGCTGGGGCGGGTGGGACCTTTTCCAGGAGCTACTGCGCATATTGAAACCCATCGCGACTAAGCATAACGTATCAATATCTAACGTGGCTACTCGATGGGTACTCGATTTCTCTTATGTCGGCGCAGTCATTGTCGGCGCTCGTATGGGAGTCAGTGACCATGTTGATGAAAATCTGGCTAGTTTCGGATGGTCGCTAGATGAAGCTGATCATCAGGCAATTGATGCTATTCTCGAAAAGAGTAAGAATTCAGGAATTTTTGAAACTATGGGAGACTGCGGTGGAGAATATCGATAGATTGTTTTGATGTTTCATTTATTGCATAGTTGGTGTATACGGTGCTTTTGCTTGGTTCATAGGGCCTCCAAGGTTCAACAGCATGGGGTTGACTCCCGAATTGTTTGTTTTGGGATAATGTTACTTATCACATCTGAATAGTGTCTGCTCATTCGATTACGTTATAGAATATAGATTCTCTGGAAATTGAACAGGATGCAAATTCAATTGTGCACAACTTCTCAAGGATGGCTATACGTAGTATGCAATCTTCGATCCCATGCTCCTATAATCAACTTCCATAGAAATAAGGCTGACTCTGATTCCAAATGCATCTACCAGGGGAATCTGCAGGAAATTAGGAACAGTATGACACGTAGCTGCCTACATTTGATGCCATCTGATACTATTCACATGCCTTATCTGTACAGCCACATCCTTAGCCAGTGCATGATATGGCTAACACAGAGTCAAGTTTTGCAAAAAAAGGATCTCTATAGCGAGCAATCGATCATAGCCATTGGAATTATCAGGGAGAAGAATCTACTTTGCAGAGGCATTGATAGCACTGGTTCCAATCGGGGGTTATCGCATCAATTGACCTCATCTCAACGGATATAACTCGGCTGCTATATCCTTTTGGCTCCTTGAGCAATACGTGTTCAACATGTGCCTGCGGCTCTAACTCTGATAAGTGACGAGGTTTGCACTCAAAAAGCAATGCGTACTCTTAGTGATTGTCGGCTCTGTTAACTCTGAGATGCTATCTACGATGGACCAAATCATGCAGTGCTTCAGTCAGCCACCCATCAAGCCAACAAGGCCCCGTCCGCTAGCAAGGTATCTCACTGACCGGACTGTCAGAACCAGGTTACTGCAACCAACACAGTTGAGCCGCAATGACAGAACCAGCCTGACTGAAAAAGAGGGAAGCACTAACAGACATGACTCGGACGCATTGAAGCCGGTGAGCTGATAAGTTATTTACCGATACAACAGAGCCATTCACAAAGCTATTAAGCATTTATTGACGGAATGCCATAGCGTTTCCTTACTGGTAACGGGCCGATGCGTTAGAGCTAATTAGTTATCAGAATTATAGCAAGGTACGTGTAATTTGGTAGGACTGGTAACAAATGTCGTGCAGTAGCTTGAACATACACCAAAACAATGTATCTAACTAATATTAATTGTTCTTATTAAAAAGGTGTGCCCTGTACGAACTTTAAGTAGCCATGTTATAGCATACAAACAACTTAGCCCTAAGTCTTCGGGATACCGTTCCTCCAGCGAACGGAACCACCATAATATCCTTAGGACACCACTTTATTCCACGTTAAAAAACTGCTATCAGCTATTTACTACCATGCTGGATCATCTAGTATGCATGTAGCTTTTTGGTCTAGTTGGTTAGTCCCAACAGACTAGGCTTGGCAGAGGAGTTGTACAAGTTAGAGCTCAATGCTGGATTCTACTTTCGGCTAACCGATAGTGACAAAGAAGAGTTATGGCTCCGAGTACAAAACTATTGCGACATAACTATTAAGTTCAATTGTTCTCTTTATTTCCGTCTCTGCTTTGTTCTGCGCTACTTCCGTGGTTCTTGTGCGGCTGGCTCGTCTCGATAGATAAGAAAAAGCATGGCTGAGCTATGCCATTGCTTGGGAAATCATGATGCATTTAGTATGAGACATTTGGAAGGCTGGATATCCACCTGGCCAAGTAATTAGGACTACGTATCTCATATATGTACTCTACGTTTTAGGGCAAGCCTGCCAGGGAAGGTTGAAATCTATCATGCAGTATGCACCTACTGTACGAGCTAGTATCCTGCTTACCAAAACTAGTAATTGTGCTAGTACGTACAGAATACAAATAGTGTATATGCATGAATATAAAAAAAGAAACAAACGTGAATTCTAGCCAGTTCTCTAGTGGCTGTTGCTCGTACGATTGTTTCGTGCAGGAATCTATTTCCTCGTCGGTTACCTATCACATTCTAAGCTGGAACCTTTCTAATCGGAGATCGGAAATTTCAAAGATAACATGTTCAATTTTGAATTTCTAGGAAAACGCCAAGAGAATAAGAAATATCTAACTTATCGCGCCGCTATCACATTAAGTATGAAAATATCATTAAACCGTAACTGGGCGGGCGCCTCAGCTCAAGGACAGGCGCCTTGCTGCCACATCTTGACCGACTTCACGGTCATCCCACGAGAGGACCCGTTAGCCCAAGTGGGGTACCATTGATCCATGCCTGAAAATGAGAAGGGTACTGTGTCAGAAAAGATCCAGATAAGAGATTGTGAAGATTCAACTCACTAGCGTAGAAGTCTGCAGGACCATGGCCCGCATCTGTCCAGGGTTTATTCCCAATGCCGTCCTTGAACCACCCATTCGTACCTCCAACGGCGACATTCAGGATTAAGTAGAAAGGTTGGTCAAATGGAGAGTTTGGTCTGCCAGTATGCGACCATGGGTCGGTCACTAGAGAATTGTTCGCCGTCCGGCCGGTGAATCGGCCGCGTTGGAACATGTTTGTGTTCTTGGGGAAAGACCAATACATGACTTGTTGGAGTGGATTATCAACCCACGTAAACAAGTATTCCTCAGACCATTCAAGGCCGAAGGTATGGAACTCTTTGCTAAAGTCTGTCCGGCGAAGGGACTTGCCGCGTGTTGAAAGCCAGAATGCGTCTAAGTCAGAGTTCGGGCCTGGAAACAGTAAAGACTTAGTATCCGGATACGACTAGTGTGGAATTTAGTACTAACCCCAGTGAATGGAACTCGACATGACATCCCGGCCACCGTTGACATAGGAGATGTCGTTTCCTCGGCTTTCCGAAAGATCAATCTCGCCGCTGGCAGGCCATGGTCCATAAGCACTATTCGTAGGCATCATCCCTATTGGAAACAAGGTAAGCTGTTTCTGTTTTAGATGACGATAGATCAGATACTCACAAATTGCTGGCCACAGCCAGTCCCCGGCTGGAAATCTGGCAACTACTTCAACACGACCGTACGTGATAGATTTACTGCCGTTCGTGTTCAAACGTGCCGAGCGAACTGGGTTGATTACATTTCCCAATGTACTGTTCGAGCGCACCGAGCATGCTTCATTTGTTGTTCCTGTGCAAGTACCATCGCCGCCGGCTTTGGTGAGATTCAGCGTATAGCCATTGGTTATCTCAGCCGCGGTGATGGGTGTTGTATCTGTGGTAAGAGTTGGGACAATGTGAAGACCTTCCTCATCTACAAAGACATTGCGGTCGTCGGTAGTAGTCCACTCAAACTCCCCAGTGCCAAAGCCACCGACCTGCAACAGTTAACTATCATTGCGGAGAACGCAGTAATACGAGGGGTATACCTGAACTTCACGAGTCCACACACTCGTATCCAAGGACGAGAAATCATCGTCTAAGATGAGACAATACTGGTCCTTGTTAGCCGGGGAATCATAAGTTGTAGATAAAACCAACTCACGTTATGCTTGGGGACTTGTGTCGTTGCGTGGTAATTGATATAACCACTGACAGCCAATCCGGCGACAAGGAACCCCCAGATGATATAATTGTTCACACGGATCCTCTTCAACCGCTTGTCGTTCACCCAAGGCCGTTCATATTCGCCGGTTAAGAGATAGCTCTTAAATCTCCGTTTCACAGGCGCACGAGTGTAGGTTGAATCTCGAAAAGGGAACTCACCAATACTGTCTTGAGCAGAATGGGTAGCACCGGATGCAACACTAGCCACAACACTGGGTGCCGCACTGTCTGAGAAAGGGTTGCGGACGTCCATTGCAGCAATTGCTTACGAAGTTCAACGTTATGTTCTCATATACATAAAGGAAGAAAGGTCAGAGAGCCATGCTTCCTATATATCACAGTTATATGTCAATTCGAAAGTCAACTTAATAAGATAGTATTTCGAAAACCGGATCATATACTCGACAATGAATACTCCTTATTCTCTCTTGAGTGTGTGTATTGGCCTTTTAGCTGTAGGGTTGCTGGCCCATGTTCTGCTGTTTGGTTAGCGCCTTTCGGTACATAACTGATACGACTTACGAGACATTGGTACGGTACGGAAAATGTCCCGCAGGCCTAATGCTGGCGCTGTGGCTTCGTGGCTTGGACCTGATCAATCGTTCATTGTTATTGATTCTATGAATCGTATCGGGTTTCAAAGCTTCCGAGGACGTCCGGACCATCTTGTTCATCTCGATCCGTCTATCTGGACAACTATCGGTGGTCGGTATGCTTTAGCCACGAGGTATTTTAGAACATGGATATGCCTGCAACGTGTACATTTCAGGTAGTCGTTGGCGAGACTGTATATGTATCATATATGCACGCTGCATGTACTTTCTCTGCATTAGCGACCAAACAAATGGAGATGCTCTGGTAACTAGGCAGCATCTCTTTATCTCTCGCTTATATGTATACTAGCTTATCTTTGGGTATGCATGAGCGCCAGAAACATATCCAATTAATCTAGCACCGTAGCCAACTAGCTATTTGCTGTGCATTAGCAATGTTGGTGTTTCAAGAAAAAAGATATTCAATGAAATTTTATTCCACCTTGCAGTTCTCTTTCGTTCTCTTCGCAATCACCCCCTACACGCATCGACCTGACTCGATACGTTGGATACGAACGTTACCTGCGGGCCTGGCCTTTGTCTTTTCTTCCGAGGAAGCTTATTATACCATTGTATTATGATTTTCCCGTGCGTAGATCGAGACCCTCAGTTACAGAATTCAGTTACAAGATACAAGATCTGCAAGCCCAAACGTTAATTCTCGATTGGCTCCGCTGTGACGAGAAAAACGTATCACGAAAAATTTCCGATGGCTTACACAATGGCGTGGAAAATAGGGCTGTTCTAAATGCGCCGACAATGAAGTTTTACTCGGTTTCTGATAAGAGTTCAATTATAGACTAATCCAATTCACAAATGGCTACTGAGACAGCGGATACCTTGACAGACCTAGCGTCGGACTGTCGCGATGTTGGCGCAAGCTGACTCTGTGGTGACCCTTATCCTTGGATCTGTTTACCTGCAGGTTTGTGTCAGTTCGCTGGCACCGACCAGGCAGTGTTGACAAGGGTATCTGTTTCTAGACCCGGTTCTATATCCTCTTCAGTTTTCATATACCTTCGACTGAGCCCATGGATCCTGAACTCCTCTCCTCCCATTACGTCTACAGCCAAGGTTGACAACCATGCCTTCACTCTTTCCTAGTCGATGGTCCTTTAGGGGCAACAAGACATCGAAGGAAGATGGAACGCCCGAAGAGAGCACATCTCAGAGGGACTCCCTACCTGTGTCGGAAGCGGGGCGATCAATTCGTGGTCAAAGCTATTTCGATAGACGATATACCAACAATGGCATTGACGACGTAGCCAAGTATAAAGCAGTAGGTAGAAAATCCCGAATTGTGAGGAAGCGACGAATGCATAACCAATATTTTAGATGATCAAATTCTTTCATGTGCGATTGACTGCGTACCAATGGCTTCCTTCGCCGATACATCCACAACATAGTTCCACAGGAGTCTTTTTACGCCGGTCGAGGGGCGTGTATATGTCGGAACCAGAGGATGTCAATCCCGTGCTGGTTGCAGCAATTCAGAGAATCAACGCTACGGTTGCTTTCACAATGACGACCGAGACCACGAGTATCATTACATCACAACTTGCGCCAGGCCAAACGGAATTGATTCTTCCCAATGGCTACCAGGTTCAGATTATTGAGTCATATGCCGATATTGCCGGATCTCATTCAAATATGGTGAAGAAGTATCAATATTGCGCCTTAATTCGAGAAGAGCACCTCCTTCTCGTCTGGAATGACGATCTAAATGCTATTCTGAGCCACGCTGCCGATGTAGAAGCAAAGCTGCTTTCTCTGGTATGTGAGGGAAAAAATCGCAATGAATCTTCATCGTTCTAATTTTAATCTTACTAGATCTGGGGTAGCCCCGTCCCGACATTCAATCTCCAATTAACACCTTTGGCAACCCCGGGGGAATCTGTCGTAGCGTCGCCCAATGATTCATCGTATCATCTGGCTCTCGAGACACCGAGAGAGTCACAGCCAGCGGCCGAGGATTCTGGGACTTCTCGCGATACCTCTCCGAGAAGGATGTTGAACGAGGAACTCAAGCACCCGAAAGAGTCATTAGAACGGCCATTGGCAGTGACCAGCGCGATTTTCGTCGGAATGGCCGTGATGCTTCTTGTCATTCTCCTTCTAGGATTTGGCATCTCTAATCTGCTTTTGGAATACTCGGTCGATGGCGGCGCAATGAGATTTGCACTTACGGCGACGATCCCTTTTTTCCTCTTGTTTAGTATCTTCTTCATGATCGTTATCTTCACGGATATCTTCCAAGCTGTCGGACCGATCAAGACGCTTAAGACTAATACACGGTTCTATTCCCCTATTGCCCCCGACCTGAAAACGGCCTACTCCCTGGGCTTCACGCCACCACGTGTTACCATTCAGATGCCCATCTATACTGAGTCGCTTGAAGGGGTTATCAAACCTACCATAAAAAGCTTGAAGACAGCAATCTCCCACTACGAGTCGCATGGAGGTCAGTGGCTTTTTTTCATCCATTGTAATCACTATTAACCCAGTTAACAGGTACCGCAAATATCTTTATCAATGACGATGGCTTTGCCTTGCTTTCCGAAGAGGAGAAACGTGAGCGGATCGACTTCTACCACGATAACAACATTGGCTGGGTTGCTCGGCCCAAAAATAACGAGGGTGACTATATTCGGAAGGGAAAGTTCAAGAAAGCCTCAAACATGAATTTCGCCTTGAACGTCTCGAATAAAGTTGAGGAAGAACTTATCCGGCGTATGGCTCCGAAATTGGAAAAGTCCGATATGGTTGATCCCATGGAAGAAGAGTTGGTCTATCGGGAGGCTTTCGATCACGTTATCCAATCCGACCCTCGCATCCGCGGCGCTGGTGGTGATATCCGTGTGGGCGAATTCATCCTGATTGTCGACTCAGACACTCGAGTGGTAAGTTGAGAAGCCGAAGTTGTTTAGTATAGCTCCTAATAATAAGGATTATCTAGCCTGCCGACTGCCTTCTCTACGGTGCTGCCGAGATGTTCCTGAGCCCCGAAGTCGCCATCATCCAACATTCTACCAGCGTGATGCAAGTTTCGCGGGATTATTTTGAGAATGGCATTACTTACTTCACCAATCTTATCTATTCGGCGATTCGGTTTGCAGTAGGTAGTGGCGAAACCGCGCCCTTTGTTGGGCACAATGCCTTTCTTCGATGGCAAGGTAAACATTCTGTACTAGCACTGATGAGAGAGAATCAATATTGACTCTTGTTGTAGCCGTCCAATCCGTTGGCCGACCAGACGACGGGTATGTGAGCTTCTGGTCCGAAAGCCACGTATCAGAGGACTTTGATATCGCCCTGCGTCTACAGATCCAAGGGAACATTATTCGTTTGGCTAGCTATCATAATGACGAGTTTAAGGAAGGTGTTTCTCTCACCATTTATGACGAGCTGTCGCGTTGGGAAAAGTAAGCTACCTATCAGAAGTTGAAATGAGGAGACACTGACATATGAGCAAGGTATGCTTACGGATGCAATGAACTCGTCTTTAATCCTATCCACACATGGTTTTATCGGGGTCCCTTGACCAAGCTGTTTATGACTTTCCTATGGTCCAACCTACAGCTATCGTCCAAAATCACCATTTTAGGATATATTTCATCCTACTACGCCCTGGCGTCTGGGTTTCCCTTGACTGTGCTCAATTACTTCCTCGTCGGCTGGTTTGAGGGTTACCTAGACAAATTTTATATGGAGTCATGGAAAGGTATACAACCCCTCCCCCGGTCTAAATGCAACGAAATACGAAGCTGACTCTTTTTGTGTTCAATAGTTTTTCTTAGTTTGCTAGTCGTCTTCTCCGCAGCCGGAAATGTTTGCTTGGCCGTTATTCGGTACCGCCTTGGAGAGAAGTCGTTATTGTCCTCCCTCGTGGAGAACTTCATGTGGATGCCTATGTTTGCTATTTTCTTCGGCGGACTTTCCTTCCATCTGAGTCTGGCTATCTTAGCCCACATGTTCCGTATAAATATGTCTTGGGGCACCACGGCAAAGGAGAAGGATGACTCGAACTTCTTCAAAGAAATGCCTAAGATTTTTAAGAGCTTCAAATGGATGTACGCCGTGGTGATCCCATTCTTTCCTGCCATGATTTACTTGGCCTGCTTTGCCCCTCACGGCTGGACAATTACGGAAGTTGGTGCTATTGTACCAATGTCGGTCACTTTGGCATCGCATGCTCTTCTGCCGTTACTGCTAAATCCATCACTGATGGTGTTTAACTACTAAGTGCATGCGCTTACGACGATTACGAGACCTTATCTTTTCTTATTGACACAATTCCTGCATAGAATATGTACACCTACACGTGGAAGTGATAGATAAGCTAATTGATTAATAGAATATATTGATACTTTGCTTTTTCTTATCTCCTTGAAAGTTTTGGATCCTGTTTTCCGAGGTCTCACTTTACGTTGTATGTTTATTTAACTTCAGGCTGAGTATTCCTATTTGCTATGATTCAGCTTCGGCCACGTCAACGCCCCGTATCTGCAACTGCACGCATTTTATTGACATTTGGATCCATCAGGCTTGGATGTGGCTTGGTACCAATGTCTGGGATCGTGTCAATGTATATGGTAATATTCATGTATCAATAATATTACGGTATGAAACAGTGACAATACGCGAAATGCGCTAGTATGGCGATGCGAGGCTTATTTAGTTCCGCGCTAATCAGATCTCGGAGGGGCCTGGATCGACGAGAAAGAAACTTCCCGACCTACATAAACTTATTCTTACGCCTAGACAGACAACACCCCTGACTGAATGCCTGCATTTTGAGCTTTTCATTCGTTAGGTTTTAACACTATCAGTTAGAGCCTCTCGCTTAGGATTCAGCTCATGCTGACATGGTGTGCTTGTAGCTCCATGGGAAAGATATGCATCGAAATTCGAGGGAACAGGAAATCGATTTGTGCTTGACTCCTCACCCTTAAGATGGTGTTTAAGGCTTTTCGTACGTGGAATTGCGCCCTTCTTACGAGGCCCGCTTAGACTTACCGCATTTCGTAAGGTGGGCTGCACACAGTACAAGTCTTACGCCGACAACATATGAGAATTTTATGTTAGCGGGGCAACTCTGCGTTGTATATCTAAGTGAACAAACCCTGGCCGCGACTATGTTGCGAAGAACAGCTCTTCGTTGCCACCGTGGAACAGTCGTTATCGTTGTCTACAGTTATAGATAACAAGATGACGGCTGAGTGGCTACTCTTCCTGACGGCGGCCGGATCGATCCTGGGGTCTGCCTCAGGTCTGCCGACATGGCCCTCCTCGGTAGATGAGCTAGAAGATATCATGTTCTTGAACACTGGCTACCAGGCAAGAGCTTTCCCCGCCGACATCACGCCGTGTTCATTCTCGCCAGACGGCCCGTCGAGGATTTCCTCAGCAGAATGGCTTCGCACAGCTTTCCACGACATGGCCCCAGGTAACGCCTTCACCGGTGTAGGAGGACTGGATGCGTCTTTGCAGTATGAGTTGGGAGGAGACGGCGGGGAAAACATCGGTACCGCGTTTAATAACACTCTACTCTCCTTCACGCCTTTTTTTTCATCTCGAGCATCACTGGCCGATCTCATTGCACTGGGTGTGTATACATCAGTTCGAGTCTGCGGTGGCCCGACCATCCCTATTCGCACAGGCCGCATTGATGCCACTGCAGCTGGACCGATAGGAGTGCCGTTGCCGCAAAATTCACAGTATACGTTCATCCAGCAGTTTTCGCGTATGGGCTTCAATGTGTCGGAAATGATTGCCCTGACAGCGTGCGGTCATACTATCGGCGGCGTTCATGCCAGCAACTTCCCCGAGGTGGTACAGTCTGGGACAGTCCCAAATGACTACCAGCACTTCGATTCGACGACAAAGTTTGATGAGAAGATTGCCTCAGAATATATCGGTGGAAACACCTCAGATCCGCTAGCTGGGCCATTGGCAATAAAGAATACCTACGACTCGGATATGGCAGTCTTTACCGCTGACAATTCTACAATTCGCCTCATGGCCGACCCTGAGTACTTTCAATCCCGTTGCCAGGTGATGCTTCAGCGAATGATTGAGGTTGTCCCTGCTGGGGTGGCTCTCACGGACCCAATTGCTCCTTATGAGGTAAAGCCGAGTAACTTGCAGTTAACAATACAGCCCGGTGGCACTCAGCTGCAATTTACTGGTGAGATCCGTGTCCGAACAACAAACCTCAGCGGTGATATTTCGAACGTTCAACTTGTATATGTTGACCGCGACGGCGCTTCCACTTGCGGATCCTGTGTTATCGGAACGCAGTACGCGGGAACAGCCAATGGCTTTGATGATTCTTTTGTCGTAAGGCTTTCTTCAGCTTTAAGGAGGTTAGTGTTACTGACAGTGATCAACAGTTCTATAGCTTCTCTGCAACATTGCCGGCCAAGGCCTCTATCTCGTCATTCACTGTGCAGGTGACGGCTGGTGGTAATACAGTGACCCATAATAATAATGGGAATGGGTATCCAGTTCAGGACAACATTTTGTTTCAAAATCCCCAAAGCTGCATAGCCGGTTCAACTGACAGCAACGGTAATACCAAAATGACAGTTACTGCCGCGGTAAGGAATCTTATGTCCTGAGGACTTGGTGACATAGTTCTAAGATATGTTATTGCAGGTCCGTAACACAGTCACTTCAGGCACTTCAACCCTCTCTGTAGAGGTCAAAACACCTCGATCCTGCTGTGTTGTTCCGGGGCTGTCCACCGTTAACGTCACGATGGCAAAGACAGGAACGATTGGCGAATACGACCTGTATAGAGGGAGCTATGCTCTTACACCCAAACAGATTACTACATCCAAATTCAGCGTTTCGATCGGGAAATTTTCTGATAGTTTCAAAAGCACAGCACTTACTGGCTCCTGCTCGGAACTGAGTGGCTCTAGTCCGGTAGCGTATAGCTATCTTGGCTGCTACACCGACGACGTCAACTCCAGAACATTCCCAGCCGCGACTACCAGTGACAACAACATGACCCTGACGGAGTGTTCGAACTTCTGCAGTGGCTATCCATATTTTGGAACTGAATATACAACACAGTGTTTTTGCGGCTCTAGTCTAAGCAACTCGACTACCGAGGCTGCGGAGACGGATTGCAACATGCTTTGTGGAGGAGATAGCACAGAATCATGCGGTGGACCCAGCAGGCTTTCCGTCTACACGAACAACAAGTATGTCATCCCAGGAGGAACTACAATTCCGGGCTATCAATATCTTGGCTGTTACAACGACACAGCTGCCGCTCGCAGTCTTTCTGGCACCTACACATACAACAGCAAGATGACAGTAGAGTCTTGTGCTACTTTCTGCAATGGTGCCACTTATTTCGGTGTAGAGTACTACAGCGAATGCTACTGTGGTGACACTCTGGCAGCAGATAGCACCAAACAGTCAGTGACTGATTGTTCTTTTCCCTGCTCTGGGAACAGCAGCGAATTCTGCGGTGGTGGTAACAGAATGAATTTGTACCAGCTGGGCTCAACTATTGTGACGACTTCTTCAGATCCAGTCTCTTCCAGCACGACACCAACCACCGTTGCATCCTTGCCTACAACCGTCACTATCCTAACTACCACAAGCACAGCTGCATCTAGCAGTACTTCGTCAACCATCGTATCCTCATCATCTTCTACAACCGTATCCACCAGCGCTATGTTAACCTCCGATCCCCCACCATCTTCTACGAGCGTACCTGCATCTCTCTCGGCTACCTTCAGCACTACTGGATCTACCAGCGCAACTACCACCAGTGACACTACAACTGCTACAGGGTTACCCGCTGGATGGGCCTACCGGGGTTGCTATGTGGACAATATCGGTGGCGTTCGTTCTATGCTCGTCCAAGAAAATGATAACTCTACAATGACCATCGAATCCTGCATTAGTCAATGTATATCCTTGGACTATACCGTGGCAGGCATGGAATATTCCCAACAGTGCTTCTGTGATAACTACGTGCGTAACAATGCTTCGTTGGCAACCTCGGATTCCCAGTGTGCCATGACCTGTGCCGGGAGTACAAATGAAATTTGTGGTGGACCTAATCTCCTCAGTGTCTATTCTAACGCCGAAATAACCGTTTTACCTCCGCCGACAGCTCAAACAACGGATTTACCTGGATCCTGGGTCTACAAGGGCTGCCTTCAGTATGTCCATACACTACTACATTTCAAGTCTTATCACAGGATCGTGACTAAAGCTGATATTCTCTAGGGACAACGTTAATAACACACGAACTTTCCCCTATATGATTACTTACGCAAACAATAACTCGGCGACTGCTTGTCTTTCTCGTTGCCAAGAGTACGGATTCCAGGCGGCCGGTATGGAGTACGGTGAACAGTGCTGTGGGTCCCTATTCCATCTAGAGAAATTATTCTGTCAGTTTTAACGCATCTTAGTCTGCGGCGACACATTTGACATTGGCCCTGATGTTCAAATCGTCCCTGATTCTCAATGCAACATTCTCTGCACTGGTGATACCTTTCACTATTGTGGCGCCGGAAACCTCCTTAGTTACTACGTTTGGGAAGGCGACACTCCTTTGTACGATTGGACATATGCTTCGGGAAATGACGCTGGTCTTTACCAGTTCCTGATCGGTGGTGTTGTGGTGCCTTTGATGACTACCGTTAATATTAATGGGAAAGTCACCTTCTTAGAAAAATGGGGTACCGGACCTCCAAACACTACCGGTGCCTATGAGCTGGATCTATTTTATGAGACTGATTTTGATAAAGCATGGCGGCCGATGCACGTCAAAACAGATATTTTTTGCTCCGCCGGTCTCGTTCTTCCTGACAAGGCCGGAAGGCAGCTTACTGTTGGAGGGTGGTCAGGAGTGTCCACCGAAGGAATCCGACTTTATTGGCCGGATGGCTCTCCAGGAAACCCCGGTATCAATGACTGGCAGGAAAACCAGAACGAACTCACTCTACAGGATGGTCGTTGGTATCCTTCTGGTATGATCATGGCTAATGGTTCTATCCTTATTGTTGGTGGTGAGACAGGGTCCAATGGCCCCCCTGTTCCTACCCTCGAAATCCTGCCGAAAGTTGGCCCAACACTCTACATGGATTGGTTGCAACGTACGGATCCTAACAATCTGTATCCATTTATGGGAGTTTTGCCTTCCAAGACGATTCTAGCTGCTTATTACAATGAGGCTCGTTTGTTGGATGAGGCCACATTCCAGACGGTTCGAACGCTGCCGAACATGCCTGGTGCCGTCAACAACGATCTCGGCGGGCGTACTTATCCTCTCGAAGGCACTATGGTGTTCTTCCCCCAGTATGCTCCATACACAGATCCTGTGAGGGTTCTCATATGCGGTGGCTCAACTCCCTATGGCGGGGATGCTATCGACAATTGTCTCTCCATTCAGCCCGACGTTCCGGGACAGAATTGGACAATTGAGCGCATGGTCAGTTTTATCTCTATTAGAAACTGAGTTATCATAGCTAACGCCCGTTTTAATAGCCCTCAAAACGTGTCATGACATGCATAACTCCCCTCCCAGACGGCACTTTTCTCATTCTGAATGGAGCTCACCAAGGTGTTGCCGGCTTCGGTCTTGCTACTAGTCCCAATTTAAATGCTGTCCTATACGACCCGACAAAGCCAGTCAATAAGCGTATGACAGTGATGGCAAATACCACCATTGCTCGTCTTTACCACTCTGAGTCAGTTCTCCTACCTGATGGGCGGGTGTTAGTCTCCGGCTCGGACCCAGAGGACGGTACACATCCCCAAGAATACAGAGTAGAGGTGTTCATTCCGCCGTACATCCTATCTGGAGCCCCACGACCAGCATATACCATCACCGAAACTGATTGGGCATACGGAGGCACATACATCATCACAGTTACCGCCGGCAACATTGCAAACTTGAAGGTGTCCCTGATTGGTCTCATCTCAACCACTCACGGAAACAGTTTCGGCCATCGCACTTTCTTCCCAGCATTTACTTGCCAAGGTAATCAGTGTACTATTACTGCCCCTCCGGACCCGTGGACTTCTCCTCCTGGCTGGTTTCACCTGTTCATCCTTGACGGTCCTACCCCGTCCCACAGCTCCTTCGTTCGAATCGGAGGAGATCCTGGAGAACTGGGTAATTGGCCAGATCTTCCTGACTTCAACGTTCCTGGTGTCTAATCCGTCGATATTCATTGCTCGGTGAATTCATGCCGATCTGTCATTACTCCAATTGTGGAGGAAGATATATTTGCAAGCAATTTTACAGTAATACCTATAACCAATGCTGCATATCACGACTACCTAGGTAGTACCAATACCAGCATTTAATTTATTCATAAAGTGAGGTTAGCATAACGTTAGGTGTGCAATATTAAATCAACAGTCATTGGTACTATCAACTCTTCATCTAAGTGTTTTGATTGTTGTAAATTACTATTCCAGAGAGGAAAGAGTCAATCAGATTTGCAAACCCGTATAAACCGGTGTATACTAAGAACAATTAAAGAAAAGCAAAGAAAAAGAAACCTATCTGACGGCCGTCCTGCCTTGCAGCCAATTGCAGATTGATAAAACCCTAACTTCCCGTGTGGTCTCTCTCCAGTTTTGTGCGGTACATTGGCCTTAGTTCTCGTTTACTCGGTCGACGGATACAACGCCGGAGATGATCCGTCCAATATGTCGACAGAAAGCTTCTCCAACGATCGTCAGATATTACAATCTTGACTTCAGCTGCCTTGTTTTTGATCAAGTTCTGTACTACGTCCTGGGCAGCTCCTGGGCAGCCATTGCGACTTGGAGAGATGCGTGGGAATTGACCCACTCAAACACGGGGCTCGCACTGAGCAGGTGTCATTCGTGACGATTATAAACTGCTTCCCTGGTTGAGACCACCCTTCGGGTATCCAAGAGGGTGTCGCAGTTGGGCTGTTGCGGTTGTCCTGCTCTGTTCCATCCCCTGTCATTTATGGCTCCTCTTCTTTCAGGTACAATGAATTGGAATGTATCTTTTGTCGCCAGTCTGAAAACAACGGCCGTATCCGTGAACTCAACCCACTCAACTGCCAGTAATCCTTACTGGAATCAATATTCAAAACCAGACTACAGTTTTAAGAGGACCACTGTCATCAGAGAGGCTCTAGGCTATGCTAACATAGCTTGGTCAGATAGTATAACTGTTTCCACCAACGGTATTTCTTTGGGAGAAAATAGATGCCGTCACGTCGTGAATCCTGACGGTCTCCCAGAGGGTTTGACATTGACGGACTCTGTTGTGCCCTGTATCAAGATCAAAGAATATAGCTTGAGCAATGTCGTCAACAGAGGTTCCCGACACGGTCTTCTCACAGGCCACCTCGGACGCCATGGAATTGAGTGTCGTCAACGACACTCTTTACAGATGCGCCAATCCAGGACGTACTCTGTTATTCGATGTGAATAATTTATGGTAGAATAAAGAAACTTATACGACTTCCCTTCCGAGTGCGAACAAAGTCTCTGCGATCCTACCTTTAGCTCTCATTATCGCCAACGAGTATTCAGACTGTCAGAATCTCACAACGAACCAGTTTGGGTATGTGAATAATTTTCCACAGTACAGGACTTCTTGCTCGCTTGGTAGTTGTTATCTCTTCGCCAATGTTACCATAGAGATTGGTGTAACGACTTGCGAGCTAAGCAAATATATGTCACCCCGAGTCATAGAGGACCAAACACCTCTCGAAAACACTACAATACGTCCCAGCCCATGGTTGCCAGAGCCTGGCTTCTTCCGGATATGATGACTTCTCTTCCTCAAATGAACTCTACCCTGCTGTCGACCTGGAACAACCCAGATCTATACGTCGAGAGCCTCATACGTGAAAGTTATTTGGCTGCGTGGGATAGCTTCCATAATGACTGGGATATAGACGGCACAGTATCCCTTGCGATACCCCAGAAGTCAGAGTTCAAGCCAAGGTCTCTCATGCATGCGTGTATTCGTGGCTAGCTATATCTCTACTGGAAACTGTTGGTGGTGTCTTCTTGATCCATCTGCTCCTGAATCCAGGTTTGATGCAAGAACCCGATCTACCGGCAAGGATCATTTCTGAGCAGGTCAAAGACGCTAAGACTGCTGGAAAGAAGATCATGGACAGCCTGTCTGAGTTAAGCTTTTTCTAAGTTTTGGTGATTTTTTACCATCACGATTTGGTACTATTGGAGTACTCAAGGGAATTTAAGTTTGATAATTCTAGGGATATCCATGGGCACTGTTTCATTGTCGTTGATTTAGGCCATTTGGCCCAGAGAACCTCACCGGGTGGAAGTGTTGTTCGGTCAACTGATGTGGTACCAAAGCGAGTTTCTGATTATTCATAGTAATTTTTAATTTCTAAACCTCCCATCTTTTTGCTGGACTCCGAGTAAGGTTAGGGAATAGCTTTGAGAAAGAGAAGTGTTGGAATCAAGCTTCTAACTACTATCTAGACCTATAAAAGCTAGAAGTCGATTCTGCGTCATATACCTTCTCCCTGTTCTTCAAAAAATCTTTTCGAAACTTACAGGTATTATCCTTCCGGCTAAGTAGCTGAGTAGTTGAGCAACTATCAACTGCCCATTTGACGTGAAATCTGCTTCAAATTCTCTAACTAGTCCATCTTCGGTATGTGATGTTTAAAACTCCTGTTTATGTCCAAGTGTGAGCATGTGACGTGAGCAGTGTGCTTAAATGGAGTTGTATGTTAGGGTTACGGTAGCCTATATTAACCCTCCACTACACACGAGCTGACTGTTTCAGCTTCTACGGCCCTTCGAAATATGTTGATACGTAAATATTTATGTACTTCTTCTTTTAGGATCTCTAGTATCTACATTACATATTAGCCAATTCGAGCCACATTATATGCATTGTTGTGTGTGAGAAGAGAGGGTGTGGATATCCTTCCAACCCCATAAGATTGTCATTTATATTTCGAGCTTAGAGAAACCATAGTCCTTGATCATACTTGCAGAAGGAACTGAAAGGAAATAGTTCTCATCCACGTGTCAGGATATCGATTTCTGAATTCCAATTATGTAATGGTCCGTGGTACGGCAAATGTTACATTGGGGGCCGCTACAGTCATTAAGGGAGCACCGACGATTGAATAGTTCAATGCAGGTACGCGGATGTTTTTTCTTCAGTGGAAGGAGAAGCAGACTACCTAGGAATAAATTATGTGCACAATGTCAGTGAGTTTGGTTTTGGATCAATGTGTGAGAAATCGACATTTCGTGCTTAATTAGGGCTTGTAATTCCAGTTTAGTCAATACGTCAGATTGTCATATATTCATCTCTAAATATGACTACCCACTAAAGTAAACAAGAAAATTAAATTGTCATCAAGGTAGTTTTTCTGATATTAAAGAGTCAGGGATTGCCTGTTTTAGCCTCTATTGGCGAACTCTTGACTAGTATATCCCATTTTTAGCCGTTGTTCCTGCGCAAGGCCGTACGATGTAGTCTAAAAACTTAGCGAAACGTAGTTAAAGCACCGAACACTATGTTCTCTTTTGGCTAATGATCTCAGAGAAAATCATGTCACATTTGAAATTCTACACTTTACAATCAAGTCTAGTAATTCATCCTTCAAGTTACAAACAGCTGGTCAGCAATGGATCCGCCCTACCACGAGGCGTAAGGGCAGATGACAAAAAGCTTAGGCCAGATTTAGGAATTCCTAGGTTCTGGGAAAGATAAAAGGTAACCATGACCCTTACCCTTCTGCCTGTTCTGGTGAGTTTTCTCAGTCGTCCTCGGTCTTTACATTGCTGTCTCTCGGCGAGATCTGTCATTCCTTTCTTATACATCCTTTAACACTCATCTGTAAATATATTCATTCCTTTGAAAGTCAATCTTTATCTACAATATACTTCATTCCTTAGAAGAAATTTGGTTCTTTCGAAATGAAGAACAATCAAATCCTTGCAGCAGCTAGTCTGCTCTTCACCACTCAAGCCCTCGCCCAAAACGAGATTTACAGCGGCAGCGGATTTGGGACGTACTACTACGATATTGTCAACGCAAATCAATGCTATACCGACTTCTCCAATGCCAACTTAGGTCAAGTCGAATGCAGTCTTACGCAGGTCTGGACGCTGGAGGATGTCAACTCGGACTACTTGGTGGCCATGAACCACACCCAGCTTGTCGAAGACATGGGTAAATACTGCGGCAAAAGGGTTATTGTCTCTGTGAATGGTGTGCCATCTGATATGCCACTCTTTATCGGTGATGGCTGTGAGCGTTGTGCTACGGGATCATCAACGTCAACTACTTGGCAACCCGACGGTGCACCAGGACTTGATTTCAGCTACAGCGTCGCTGAGAAATTGTCGTCCCAGGCATGTAATGCCGGCCATATTGAGATTTCATGGGAAATCGTTGATGAGTTGGTCTATCAATTTGACTATGATGGTTCGGGAGGCCCTCAGGGCTTCGTTACTACTACCCCTGCCGGTCCAACAACAACAAAAGCTACCACTACTTCGGCTGCTACGCACACTGGGACTACTACAAAAGCTACAATCACGAAGCATAGCACGACTTTGAAAACTACCACGGCTAGCCCGACTCAAACAAGTGCTCCTTGTCAGGACAATGTCTGGCAATGCACTCCAGACGGCACTTCGCTTGAGCAGTGCATCGGCAGTACTTGGACTATTCGGGAAGTTTGCCCGTCTGGAACGAGCTGCCATGGCACTTCCAACCCTTACTGCGCTTAGTTGGTATACTACTTAAGGATTTAATCCGTACCTCAGTCGAAGCTTGAGAACTTCTGCTTCATTTACATATTCAACATACTTTTTGCTCATATTTCTCTCATTCACTTCATGTATATAGTTTCTTGGTATCCTTTTTGTCCTTGAAAAATTGAAAATATCATTTGATTTGTATGGGCTATCTAATCTAGAGAAGATATATAGTTAGGGTTTGTTTATTTACCCTAAAATGTAGATATCCAACAGCCAATCATATCTACTTTTAGGCAACCAATCACATTCCATCATTTTAGACGAAGGAGGCAAAGGGACCCCCCGCCACTAATCCTGTTTCGGTAAAGCTTCCCCGTCGCGAGAAAAGAAAAAGAAGATCGGACTTCGTTGCGATCTTTTCAAATGTTCTTATACACCGACACTCACTCGTCAAATGATGAAATTCGAATGCATCGTTGCATTATTATCGCTAATGGATGGAGGTGATATGTATATGCACGCTTTCCATCACCTGCTCTTCCTTGGTCAGTTTTTGAAGACGAATCCATCGTTATTGATTGGTTGTTTACAGTTACAGATACAAGAGCGAGGTAGACAAGAAGCGGGGATGATTTTGATGTCGACGGTTCCAGTCTGCTCTGCAGACTCCAGGCAAAGTTCCACTTACATACTCCTATCTTGGATTGACGACTCCGAATCCAAATCTATGTTTTCCAGGCCGCTCAGGTACGATGGCAAGGTTTCACTCCACCATGTGCGGCAGCGGCGAGAAAAGAAATCCACCTCGAAAATCGAGACTCCCATGACTCACGGTTTCAATGCTATCGATTAGGTGAATCGGCAAAATGAACTCATACTTATTCCGAGCGCCGTCTTAGCCGGGGTAAACTTACGTAGTCAGCAAAAACCGAGGACAAGCGACATAGAAAATTTCTTTCTACATGTCAAAAATCTTCGCAATGAACTCCGACTTACCGTTTTCGGGCAAAGCAGGACAAATTGCTAAGAAAAACAATCGCAGATCGCCCCGGGTTCCGTAGTTCCAGGCCCTGTGGATTGGTATGAGTTCCGGTTGTCAATTGGGTAATAACTCCACAGATGCCAAAGGGTGGACCTTAGGAACACTTTCAAGCGCATAATATGTAGTAGTTTCACCATTGCTATACTGTATAAAGTAAGTATGATCCTATTTCCGATACACTTGTCGGATTTTCCAAGACAGAGGCCCACATGGAAATTTCTAGTTTGAGAATTTTGTCACTGGCTTTGGGCATGCATCGGTTTTTGATGTTAGGTATATATAGAGAAGTGGCTAGCTCAGCCATGAAAGAATTTTGGGACAGGTAATAGTAAGGATTAAAAGGTACCTGGAACATATTGACATACAATTCCTGGAAGATTCCAATTGAGTTTTGTACTTCAATACAAAGAATATCAGATCATTTTTGAGACATAACCATGCCTTCAGACGACGAGATACATTCTGAGGCACAGCTCTCGGAGCTCATGCAAACTGTAACACGGACATCAATGCTACTAGAGTTGGAGGCCACTCCCTCTGAATCTGGGTCAGAAACAACAACACTAAGGGGCTCTGCAGTTGATTCAAATGAAAATCCTGACAATAATAGCAACAATGTTACCCACGAAGCCGTACACGGCAATCCATCATCATATCGATTCCGTCGAGTAGCCTCCAAAACGATCGTATCGTTTGCCCCTGATGATCCTGAGAATCCACACAACTGGAGCACCGTATGCTATTTCCCAACACACTCTATCAAGGTAATGTACTAACATTTGTTGTTCAGAGCAAAAAGATCTTCGTCGTTATCTCTGGCATGATGCAAGTCCTCAACAGCACAATCGGTTCCTCCCTCCCTAGTGGAGCCATCAAATACATAGCCAGAGACTTCAACGTCACTGACGAAACCAAGCTCGTTCTCCCCATCTCTTTATTCCTTGTCGGCTACGTTCTCGGTCCGCTACTTTATGGGCCCCTTTCAGAACAATACGGTCGTCGATATCCGTTACTTATCGGTTATGTGCTGTTCGACATCTTCGTCATGGCATGTGCTTTGGCGCCGACGTTTAATGCATTGCTGGTTTTCAGGTTATTCAACGGTATGGCTGCGAGTGCACCAATTGCAATTATTACAGGCACCTTTTCAGACGTTTTCGATAATCCAACTGTCAGAGGCAGAACGATGGCATGGTACATGTCTGTATGTTACTCCCTTTCACCCCAAAATAATTTCTCAAGGATATCACTAACCCTGACATATAGTGCACCGCTGTCGGCCCGATTATCTCCCCCTTCATGTCCGGCTTCATTTCAACCGTCAGCTGGCGCTGGTCCTTCTGGCTCGGTCTACTTATAGCTGGCACTTCATGCCCACTCGTTATTCTCTACCCCGAAACTTATGGACCAGTATTGCTCAAAAGTCGTGCTCGCGAACTTCGCAGGAAGACTGGTAATATGAGTATTGTGGCACCCATGGATCTTACTCCTCATGATCTCCGGGCCGTGTTGACTGTTACCTTGACTCGACCTATCCGTATGATTGCAAAGGAATATATGGTGTCTTTGACTTGTTTGTATTGTGCCTTAGCATATGCTATTTTCTATTTGTACTTCCAGGCTTATCCGTTGATTTTCGAAGGTATGTCTCTCTTCTCCTATGAACTATCTATGTCCTAATTAACTTTCTTTTTTAAGGGATATATGGCATGAGCACCGGTATAGCCGGTCTGATCTACCTACCAAGTAAGTCCGGATCTCCCACAACAAGAACAAGTAGCCGATCTAACCCCTTTCACAGTCGCATTAGGCTGTTTCCTCGCCTGCGGAATCTTCATTTGGTACGACGGCTTCCTCGCCCGCGCCAAAGCCCGCGGCACCTCCTGGGCCCAAAACGAAGACTATCGCCGTCTCCCACTGGCCTGCGTCGGCGGTCCATTATACGTTATTTCTCTCTTCTGGCTCGGATGGACTGCATCTCCAAATGTTCACTGGGCCGTACCCATGTGCTCCGGAATTATTTTCGGTCTAGCCTACGAATTAATTTTCATGGCCATGCTGAATTATCTCTCAGATGCATATCAAGTCTTTGCTGCAAGCGCTCAGTCGGCGTCTAGTTGCTGCCGAAGTATTCTGGGTGCTGTGTTACCGCTTGCTGCTAAGCCCATGTTCTCTGCTGTGGGGATTGATTGGGGATGTAGTATCATCGGATTTGCGAGTTTGGGGGTTTCAGTCATTCCGTTTGGGTTTATCTATTTTGGCGAGAGGATTAGGAATGGAAGTAAATTGATGCAGCATTTGAAGGCATTGAGAGAGGAAGAGCAGAGGGCTTGGGAGGCGGAGCAACATGGATTGCAAAGAGTGCAGCAGGGTACGGGAGATATAGAGAAGGGGTTGCAGGCAACTGTTGTATCTCGATGAAGGATGGTATTGCCGAATTGTTCTTTCTGATCAGTTTGTTAAAACCGTCTCGGAAAGCTGGGAAAACAAAAGCTGAGACACAAGTCTCTTTTGCATTGCTTTTATTGCATAAAGATACCCATTTGCATTTTCATTCCGGGGCGAGCCAGCATATGATAATTGTTTGTGCATTCCGTTGCAGGTCATTATCATGAGAAAAGTTATCCACACTTAATCTAATACTAATGAGCGTTCGAATTCAAAACAACCCTCAATTCTTCAATCATTTCCATGCTGTCAACCTATTGATCCTTACTATCAGTCTGTCCAAGAATACTAGCCAGCGTCTGACTGTTGCTCTCGTACTCCCCCTTATCATTCGTCGGGATTCTCTGCGACGCAAATGCCAAAAACACCGCCTCCCAATGACCGTCTGCAAATTTAAAGAGTAAAGCACCATCCTCATAGATTCCGTTCTCAAACGACGGCAGACTACCCTGGTTCATATGGATGTCATGAATGCCCGAACCATAGGAAGACCCAAAAATGTAAACGGTGGCTTTCTGATTGATAGCATCTGTGAGGATCGGTTCGAGCTCGTCCATGATATCGTTATTAGGGCCAGAGGCTTCAGTGGGTAGCACAGAGCCAGACTTGATATTTACTAAACCCTGCGTGCGGATGTAGTCCAATCCTTGTAGTTTGGCTCCGGCATCGTTGTAATGACGGCTTTCGTGATGATGGCTATTGTTATGACTATGAATATGCTCGCTGTGAGCCCGGTCTGAGCAATGAGCGTAAGTGCTGAGAAGATGGAAGCTTTGACTCAGCCCATCCAACTGTTGAGTGACATCGTTGGAAAAGTTTCTAGTAAGCCAGAAGACGAGACGCGAGTCTTTGTCGGTGGATCTGACGTTAATTGCAGCCTCGATTTCTTTGCTCGAGGATGAATCGGAGGAGTCAGTGAAGTAGAGGTAGATGTGTGGTGATTTAGGGTCTTGTTTCAGGGTCTGCGCTGTGTAGTGAGTGGGTTGACCCACCCAGACACCGTAATGGGGGATACTTCCAGGCATTTTTAATTAGCAGATTCGCGTGTTTGCTGATGGTAGATGAGACGTTGATATTGGCATCTCTAAACAGCGAAGTCCAGCCTTTTAATGTCATTTGATCATCCCTTTCTCTGCCAGTCAGACAAATTCCTCATAGCGGGGTAACCATCAATACATTATGATTAAGGGTGTAGTACAACCAGGAATAACAAAGCTTGTATCTCACACGTGCTTGCATCAAATATGGCAGAGAAGCCACCTGAATGGATAATCAGAAGTAATAGCTCAATCCGAGTCAATCTACCCTGACACTGTACTGCAGCACTAGCAAGACCAAACAAGTTGATCATGTCTTAGCGTTGCACATCCCGCCTAGTTGCGACTTGACTTGTGAGGCATCATATAGATTGGATCGCGGAGCTTACGTATGCTCTGACCCTCCAATCTTCTGCTGCGTCGCACATTTCATCCAGAAAGATAAGCCATTGACATCTGCTGTTATAAGCAATGCCGATCGACGTATGGAAGTTATATATGTACCTGTGTTTCTTCATAATTATAATTAGATTGATTTAATACGTCCTAGTATTTCGATTGAGAATTTGCGCCGAGAACAACATCCCCCGGGGGCGCGTGTAGCTGACACTGACAGTTGCCCATCTGCCCATCCCGTATGACGCCATGATGTATACACTTGATAGGAGAAATTTCTGTGTCTTATACCAGGAAATGATCAAAATACAATCGACAAGGGAAGGAAGAATAGAAGGCGAGACGTTAAAATAAGCTCCGCGTCGAAACGAGGAAAGGAAGTGTTTTATGTCTTACTCTCTAAATGTCCAAATACGCGAGTCCGGTCGTGAAAGCCTGCTGTTAATAATTCTTCAAATACTACCGTATTAATAAAGACCTGATTTCCATAATATACCCTGCTCAAAATCTACCGACCCTCCTCCCATCTCTTCATGATCGCATCAATAATCTTCGCAAATCCTTCCATTTCTTCTTCGACTGTCGTTCCCGTAGCCACAGGATCAATGTTACACCCCACATATACCGGCAATTTCGTCCTGAGAGCCAACACTTTGGCTGTGCGTGTAGCGTAGTCTATGCTACCTGGCGAGTTACACAGGACTGTTGATATGGTTGATTTGGGGTTTGTGCGCTATACTATATTAGTGGGATTCTCTATGTTGGAGAAAGGGCAACTGGCTAAACGGAAATAAGAAAACAAGTATCGACCATCGTCTAAAGACTATAGTGCCTTTTAGATAACTTACATCCGGCATGGCATATACAAAACTACCCATAGGCTTCATGGTTGAGCCACTATCTCCGGGGGTAGTGGTTGATAGAAATACCATGGTTGAAGTTTTCATTGGTGTAAGATGGACATGGACGATTGTATGTGGCGTCTTTGGCAATGGGAATGATAATTCCATTGGCTTGAAAAATGGACTGGCTGTTTCAAATTGGAGCGCTGACAGAACTTCTGATGTCGTTGCCATCTTCGGATGTTTGATATGTTGCTGTTCTTGATTCGGGAATGTCGACGGTTGCACTACCTTCCTATGCCTGGCGGACGAATCGTGAGCGCAGGGCCTTTTTATGTTGCAATTAGAATCCGATTATGGAATGCGAGATGTGGTATTTGTTTAAGTGAGAGTTGAAGAAGTTGAAGCTATGAATTGAGAACCCCACCTTACTATACCCGCAGAGGATTAGTGTATTGTATCGTATTGTATTTGTAATCTATCAGCTAGTGCATGTAATTTATTTTTCATCCCATTCTTATCGCACTATCAATATGAACTTGCTACATCCACAATTGCATTTAACAGGTAATGCATCATCATCAGCACAGGATACTATTTTATTTTATGTAAGGTAATGGGCTATTGCTAGCGCAATGTCTGAGCTCGAACATCTAGAGGCGGACCAGCCTGAGGATGCCCAAAGCTGGCAAGGTGACTTTGACCCATTCGCCGACGACGAGGAGAGACGGGTTCTCTTCGCCGCCTTTGATTCTTTTAGGTATGCTCTATTGAAATTGAAGAATGTGATGCATGTACTAACTGATCGGAACAGGCTCTACCGACGAACAGCTCATTTCAACACAACTCATCGTCGGCGCCAATCATTCTATGCTTTGCCATCAACACACTGGCGAATGCTCTCAGAGCCTCCATTTTCTCTCCTAAACACATTCAACCAAGTCGACGACGCTATTGATGCCAATGCCGATATAGCCGATGAAATTCTCGCCATGGGCCTTCAATCATTTGGCTTGAGTGCCGATCCAGATGTACAAGACCCTCATCAAAATTGGCATGGCACTGCCACCAGTGCAGATGTAGGGAAAGCATATTCGACTATTCGTCAATTTTATCGTGACTGGAGTGAAGAAGGTAAACGGGAGCGCGAGGTGTGCTACGATCCCGTACTTGCCGTTTTGAATCAGTCCTTTGGTGGATCATCGCGTCCACGGTCTGATTACCGGGTGTTGGTTCCCGGCGCAGGCCTCGGACGATTGGTCTTTGACATCTGCGCTGCTGGGTATTCTGCTGAGGGCAATGAGATTTCTTACCATCAATTACTGGCCAGTAGCTGGATCCTGAATCATAGTCGGGGTGCCCAGCAACATGCTCTATATCCGTTTGCATTACATTTCTCGAACATCGTTTCTCGACAGCAGCAACTGCAGAAGATAATGATACCGGATATCCATCCAGCTTCTGCGATGGCTCTAGCTCAGAGCAGCGAAGATGGCTCCAGTTCATTTGGAAATATGAGCATGTCCGCCGCTGACTTCATTCCCTTGTACAGCGGTGAATCGCAACGGAACACATTTGATGTCGTTGCAACGGTGTTTTTTATCGATACAAGCCCAAACTTGATTCGATATATTGAGACGATCAAGAACTGTCTCAAGCCGGGCGGCCTATGGGTCAATGTTGGCCCTTTACTGTGGCATTTTGAGAATGAGAAACGACGGACTACCGCTGATCATGAAAATGAAAGTGAACATGAAGTGAATGGAGGAGAGCATGCATTGACCGTGTCGAATGACGGGATAGGTGAACCGGGTAATGTTGAATTATCAGAAGAAGAAGTTTTCCATCTTGTCCAGCGCATGGGGTTTACGATTGAGGCTCAACAAGCGCCTGCAGACAGGCCGTATTGTGGATATATACAGGATCCGGAGAGTATGTTGCAGAATCTGTATCGGCCTTCGATATGGGTTGCTAGGAAGAATGATACTAGCGAATAGTATATTTCGCATATATCAAAGTCTTAGTTACGACATGTCTATTGACAGAGAGATCGAAATCTCCAGATCATGTAATCGTAGATAGGCAAAGTGGCCAATCACAGTGCCGACGCATTCTTGTTAGTGAAACGATCTATAAATAGATACTCCACCATAATCCTACGATTTATTAACTATCAGAGCGTCTATAATTATCACAGACGAGTATTTCTTTACTCGTCAGTGTCTGGTCGTAGCTGTCTTGCACTTCGATACATACCGATGGCGAACTGTCCGGTATCTCTCTTGAATAAAATAGGCATGTCAAAAGGGGATGGTTATGTCTCCATCTAGACCATAAATGATAAGGCTATTGGAATAAAGAATAGATCAACATCTTTGAGACGAGCCAGCCATCATGCTAGTAGATATCCAACCATTGTGACAATGGGTTACTGTCTTACAAGCGAGTAATCCGGGCAATGCCCAACTCAGCCTCGCAAGTATTTGAAATAAGCTTACGGCTGAGCCCACTGCCTTAGGGTTCAGGCTCCCAAGTTACTTTTTACTTTAGTATTTACCCGAAATTTTTCACAGAGTGTCTCTATCAGTCGAATTTTTGCCCGTCGTGTGATTCCGAATTCACGGAACTGTTCTTTCGTTGTTTGATTGGCATGGAAACTTGCAAAAACCCCGACGTAGCACGAAGTTGGCCCTCCCCGCTTTTAAGGCACGCAAGGACTCTCTTTTCATGTTGTCAACATCTCCAGTATTTGACTGGAAGTGAGAATTATTAGCAAGATATATTGAGAAGGAAGGGTCAAGCGACTAAATTAGATCGGATTCCTGAGGCTGACAACCGCAAAGTTAGTGGATTTTTAAGAAGCTAGCACCAACAACTCCAAGCTTGGCCAATCTCTTTTTCGTCTCTTTCTTCTCTCCTCCATCCGCACTCTCTTCCCTATTTATTGTTTCCATACTCAGAATATTTCCTGAGTATCCCATCCTGCGTCGATTTGGACAAATCTTTCCATCAGGGGAAAATCACAACAAATAAACACTCGATCCGAGGAACAGAATCCGCCCAAGGCTGAATTCCCGCGGCCCACTCCTTCCTCCCTCACTCTCTCCTCATCCTTTCTTTTTGACCTCACGCTCCCTTTCTCTCTTTGAACACCTCGCACTTTTTACTCATGACGTCGCGGTTCAAACAATTCGGGTTCTCGTCGAAGCGCAAGAACAGCAACAATCCGCCTCCCCCGCAAACGACTCCGCCTGTCAATACCTACGTTCCCCCGCCTGCCTCCACCAGTCCCCCGCCGCCCTCAACAGCCTCGACCACGAGTCTCCCCATGAATGCCCAAAACCCTTCAGGTCGACCTCCCAGTTATACATATGCCGGCAGGACGAGCCCTATGCCCCCTCCGCCTCTCAACACTGCCGTCCAACCCAGTCAGTACGCACAACAACCAGCCGTCGCAAACCCTCCGGGATATGGCTATCAACAACCTCCGCCGCCATCGCAGCAACCGCAACCCACACAGCCAATTCATCAGCATGGTACTCCATCTGCACTAGGTCACGCGCAGGGTCTTCGAAACCCGGCCGCCGAAGTGGATGGTACAAACAGAAATAAATCGCAGTTGATTGTGGGTATTGACTTTGGAACCACATTCTCTGGCGTCGCCTACGCCTTTGCGACCAACAATGAAGCGCGCGAAGATATCATCACCGAATGGCCTGGTGCCGGTACGCACACCAAACAAAAGATCCCGACGGTCCTCTACTACGACCAATACCAGAAAGTGGTGGGATGGGGTCCTGATATCGCAGACGCCCTGGCTCATACCGGTTACCCAAAACAAGGAGTGCAGAAGGTGGAATGGTTCAAGTTGCAATTGATGCTGTCGGGAAATACTTATATCGATCCTATCAACCTGCCGCCGTTGCCTCCAGGTAAATCAGAGATTGATGTCGCGGCCGATTATCTGTTCAAGGTCCGACAAGCAATGCGCGCACAGCTCCAAAAGACTCTAGGTGAGGTTTTTAACCGCGAAGAGCGCAATATTCGCTACTTCTTGACTGTGCCTGCTATTTGGAACGAAGCGGCCAAGGCAGCAACACGAGCGGCTGCCATCCAAGCTGGTTTCTTGCGTGATGAAAACGACAATCGGTTGACGCTGATCACGGAGCCTGAAGCCGCAGCCATGTTTTGCGCCAAAACTGGTCTTCTCAACCTGAAGGTTGGAGACGCTATTTTGATCGTGGATTGTGGTGGTGGTACCGTTGATTTGATCGCATACGAAGTCGAAGAGGAGAATCCATTTACGGTAGCCGAATGTACTGCTGGATCTGGCGATTCGTGTGGTTCTACGGCGCTAAATCGCAACTTTAGCAACATATTACGAGCACGAATCCGTAAAATGAATCTACCTGATGGATCGCGTACAGCCGGACGAGTCTATGCCAAGTGTATCATGGACTTTGAAAACAGAATCAAGGCAGATTTCCGCAATAACGGTCAGAAATGGGCTGTTGATGTCGGTATTGAGGCAGATTATCCTGATGCAGGTATTGAAGAGGGATATATGACTTTTACCAATGAGGAGATCTTGCAGTGTTTTGAGCCCGTCGTGAATCGTATCTTGGAGCTGGTGAGGAATCAGATTATTGCTATTCAAGCGCAGAACAGGCTGTTACAGGTATGCCAATTATTCTCCCATTCAATTCCCATGCTAACAGTGGCAGAACGTCCTTGTTGTCGGCGGTTTTGGAGCATCCGAGTATCTCTTCCAACAAATCAAATTACATGTCCCCCCACAATTCCAATCCAAGGTTGTGCGTCCAATGGACTCTGTTGCTGCGATTGTGAAAGGTGCTGTTACTGCTGGTATTGCCGAGCGTGTGGTCACTCACCGCGTCGCCCGACGACACTACCTGATGGCTACATTACAGCCGTTCAAGGAGGGGTATCATCCCGAACAATACCGCGTTCCTAGTCTGGACGGCAAGGATCGATGCAAATATACTCGACAGATTTTTGTACAAAAGGGCGAACGGGTCAAGATTGGGGAACCCGTCAAAGTCAGCTTTTTCCGTCAGGTCGCTCCTGGAGCGACTTTGATGTATGAAGATATTCTATATGCTTGCGATGAGGATGTTTGTCCAGAATACGTCAAGGATCCTCGTACGTTACTTAGTACACTAATTTCCCATGCGCATACTAATAATTTGTATAGGAATCAAAGAAGTCGTCACACTAACCTCAGATCTCTCTCGCAAAAACCTCGAGAAAGATTTCGAGCGCATGGATACACCAAACGGTACATTCTACCGAGTATATTTTGATATCTACCTGACTCTTGACGGATCCGAGTTTAATGCCGAATTGGTCTGTCAAGGTGAAGTCATGGGTCGCTGCACAGCTCGATTTAAGTAAAGGATACAGAAATACGCAGAGCACAAAAGGAGAATCTAATTTACGAAGTCTACGAAACACTACATTTATTTATTTATATCCCTCGTCTGTTTTTGAGACTTGATTTATATTCCCTTTTTGTATTGAATTTTGTTTGACTATTTATGCTGTTGCTTATCTCATATAGAATCCGGGGAACATAGCCAGGTATCTTGTACGGGTAATAACTGACTGAATATCACCTGGGCATTTGAAGAGCTGGTATTTATCTTGAATCGTTTTAGTTATGTTCTAGGCCCTACCTAGGTATCTAGGTAGGTTAGATGCTGCTTCCTATGTTGTTTATTATTCATATAAGTGATTTTTCTCATTAATCCTTGGAATATTACTTGATCTTCTCACGACCAGACAAAGTAGTTCCGTATTCGGATGACATCGTCCTTGAGGTTTCACATCTTATCCTCTTTTCTATGAATTAAATCACGGCATCCTACTTTGATCTGTGGTACCTGACGCGGATATTGACGGCTTGACGGCCCTCTGGTATGTGAAATATCCACACAAACACACTAACCTATAACCTGAAAGGGAAGCCGATGCAGCCCGTGGATGGAGACTCGGCGGAGAATTGGTTCGAGCCCGGAATGCTCTTCTCTTGATTTCATGCATTTGATTTGACAACTATGGTGGATTACATCGCGGAGATAGGGAGGGCTTGTTTATGGTGGTTGCCGGCGCTTACGTTCGACAGGGTAGTTCTATTTGTACTGTATGTATAAGTCTCCTAGTCGAGTTTGCTTCCCTATTTAAAACTGCAATTTGGCAATTGAGATATCTTGGCTGATAGAATTGTTGCATCCAGTACCCAACCCCCCTTTTGTATACGGATATTCCCTGAGTTCCAGAGCAGGAAGAGGACAGCATGTCCCTAATCAAGAACGTCCTCATTATACTCGTCAGTCTGGTTGCATGCTATGCACAGCTTAGCAACGCGGTGCCAATACAATCCTCGACTGAGACCGTATGATACCCTATAACAACAATCAATGAAGATCTATAAATTACTGACGAGCGACTCAATAGGTACAACAATCTACTCAATCCATCCGAGGCAATAGCGCGCATCAAATAAATCCAGCCGAAGAACTAAGTCGCTCCCCATTGCCATTTGATTCAAACCAGGATCGAGCAAGGGAACACTCATCCAGAGCAAATATCATGCCTGGCCTTGATCGTCTCCTTCCGGTATTGGATGCGTTTGGAAATATCGGTCATTCGGGACATAAGGAAGGTGGTAAAGCGCCTGTGCCTGCAGCTTGATGTCTTTCATGTATCTGGGAAATCAGATGAGAGGAGAGTGTGGTGGAGTATGTCTGTTACCATCTATGTCGAGTGTTGTCGGTATGACATATTCAACGTATCGACTCGAGGATTGTGCGAGTAAGGGGCAAGGTTCTCTAGTTCAGGGAGTCTGTTGATGCCTATATTCGATTCTAATTGTTCGCGTGTATTTTGTTTATTTAACAGTTCCACATTTGGTATGGGGGAACGTTTCCGACATGTGTGATAAATTCAACGATGAAGCTTTGTTCACCAAGGCAATGTCAGCCATGAGCTGAACTAGAGTATTCGCGAGAGTGAATGTGACGTAGATGTTGTTGGGGTATTCATTGGATGGATTTGAGAATGTAATAAAGCCTACTGTAATTCCAACTATATAGCTGATGTGATTTCCAGATTCACATCCCAAGTCACACTCGTTACGTCTAGCCTGGCTCAGTGGCTCTCCTCGAGGGGTGAACTAGACTCTTCAAGGCTACCTAGACCTATTGAGTCAGTATGCTATATTTATCCATGAGGCAAATCCCCAGAGGAAAGGACCCTCTGCAATCTCTCAAGATGTGGCTTTATGGCCCTCAGTGGTGGCTCATAATAAGAGGACCTCATCACGCGCTCGTAAGTTCCAATTCCCCCAACACTGGAGTCGGGCGCACAATCGAACGACTTACCCTCGAGTCAATATCACAAAGGCTTCAACAACGCAGCAAAATACGCCGAAATTGAATACGTGCTCAGCCGAATCCAATATCCTGACTTGGTCGTTTCAGCATCCGGCTGGAATGAATGGCTTCTGCTGTCCGGTGCTGACATGGACTCTACTTTTCATCTCCGAGGTTTTCGTGTCGATTGCCATGTTGACAGATAATACTGCAGTCTTCATAGCAACCATCTTCGACCTCGGTAATCGTGAGGTGTTTGGCAGGACCAGACCTGAGCGGGTTGCCACCACGAACTTGGATATGTTAGAGTCAACATTGAATCCTGCGGAATATCAGCACATGGGTTTTCCCTCGCCTCGAGATTGAATTGGGGTGAGTATTTGGCGCTGAACGCGTCCCGACATTAACAAAGCAGACCATATGACTACCAATCAATATGTCGATGAGACGGACAAATATGTTGGAAAGACGTGGTATGACAAGGTTCTCGACAAAAGTGTGTGCGTCGGTGCTGGAAATGCTTTCTTGATTGGCAAGGTCATAGGTTAGATGCCATCGAATACAATGAACCTGACATCATTCAATCCAAGATAATTCTGGTGATGCCGCAAAATGCGACAACAAATCGAACACGGATTAAATTGTGATTGTAATCGTGACACCTATCAATCTGGCCAGGCATGAATCCCTCACATTTCTTGTCATTGCCACTCTTGAATCGGGGTAAATCCAATCATCCTGATAAATTCTGTAACCCCTTAGTTCTGACTTTGAGTCCGAGGCGAAATGTCCGGAACAAAACATGCTAATCGTATCTGGAAAGTGAATAGAGAACCTCATTCTTGTGTTTTGCCGGTTCTCTATATTCTTGTAACCATGAATAGTCGGTCAACCGGGAGCTGGCTGAAACCTCAGGCGAACAGTGGACACAGTGGATAACTGATATTTAATGCGGAAAGCGCGGTAATAATCTATATGATTATATTCTCCGGGAAGATACCAGAAGATAAAAATATTGAATCTATCCATCATGCGATATAGCCGTTTGACGCGGATTGACTGCTGGATAAGGGTCCAGTCGAGGTGCGTGGTGGTAAGATAGATGACAAGAAATGGTGGGTTGAAGACCAGCCAGATCCCTGACAGGTTGGATGGTATTATTTAATCAATTTAATATTGGACAGATGTAGAGACCTGTGTCCCACAGGTAGCATTGATGACTAAATAATTAGAACAACTGGGCTGTAGATGTTCACAAATTGCTCGTATATTCGGCATCGTATGAGGCATTTTTGCTGGTGCTTGCAGTCAATGCGACGACTTCAATTATACCCAGGGCTGTCGGAGAGCACCGATTGTGACGTAAAATCACTGCATCAAAAATGTTGGAACCTGAAGTTCGAGCTCGCCCCATGTCGCAAATTGACATTGTGGTCTCAGCTCTCTAAGGTTCAACCTTGAATCGTCTGACAATTAGATATCCAATCAAGGTTGCATTTGCCATATCAAGACAAGATTGAATGATCCAGGCGGCTTGAAATAAACTCATTTGACCCCCAAATCTCGATGGTTGAAACACAGCCTCTCTAATCTTTGGCATGGAAATTGTGGCTTAGACGTTTGTCAGCCCACACTGACATACGTGTTTTCTTGGTCTCTTCCTCGGAGTTCTATTGTTGATCATTGAGCACGAGACCTTCGACGTGGACAGGATTGAAATCTCCGAAAACGATGCAGAGACTCTGCACATGTTACCCTAATAGGTTGGTGCAGGCACTGTTAGTACGATTATTGGTACCACCCCGCCAAACTAGCCTCTCAATTGGCGTGTGCCTAGGCTACAACCAGCCTTCTGGTGGACTCGCTAAGCTGGATATAGTGAAATACTTCAGCGCTATCCCGCAAAGGACCCAGAGCTATCAGTACGGACCCAAGATTTGCCCCGTTGGTTGATTGGTTTTCGGGATTTCCATAGGCGACTATGCTCACCTGACCTGCGACGACTTTTCTTATTAGATGAGCTGTCTGCTCTGCAATGTCAAGCCAGCTGAGAGTATCAGCCAGAATTGAAACACCAGCCTCATTTGTCGTTTTCAAAAACAAATACTGCCAGAGCGATGAGCCCTGAAAATGACTTCCCATCTGTTTGAGATCACTGGTTCTAGATTCGAAGGGGTGTGCGGCAGAACCGGCCGACAATCAGCGGCAAGCGCGCTTTGCGCGGGAACCCTGAAATATATTTTTATGCCAATCCGGAAAATGCATTCCGTCTGCCGGGGCAATAAAATGGAGTCGGACGGGTGCCGATGGAGTCTATCCAAAGATTCAAAGGGTCGGTGGCAGTCCGGAACGGCTGTCAAGTCACAAACTCGGGAATATTTCTGTGAGGGGCGACGTGTTTGTGGAGTAGTACGGACCCGCTCTGCTGGGTAGCACATACATACATAGTGTAGAAGTGAAAAGGCGGAGATGGCAGAGGCTATCGCTACGTGCTTAGTGTGACAGGTAGAGAATGGGCTATACGGAGAGGAACGAAGTAGATGTCAATGCATCAGTACCAGGTCTCGTGTTGACCAAGACAACAAGCCCCTCGAAAAAGAGATCCGAGGATACTGTACTCCTCCGGCGGTTCAGCAAGGTGATCCCTTGTAAACTCGATCGCTCCGGATCGGCTCCAACGAAGACTATCCAGTAGCATCACTGCAGACCAATGCACGGACATCATCACGCGCCAGAAAAAGGAATTGAGTCACAATTCTTGAAGTAGAATAGCCCGTATCCAGACTTCATACTAAGCCTGAGCACATAATCCACGAACAAACCAAATTCTGGCACCGCGTTGATTCAATCTAAGTCAACTATTAGTCAGTAAGTAACTTCGCTAAGATGAACCAAAACCAATAATTTGCCCGCGGATCAGATCCACAGACCGCCCAGCCCTGAGTTCCTAGTATCACGTTTGTTTCCTTTCCACTTTATCATCCAGGTTTTTGCAAGTGACGACAAGGCGGGTCTCCTGTTAAATCAAGACTCGATCGATCATGTGGCTGCTGTTGCATTTTGTGGGGAGCATGGCCAGGTACCGCCATAATGATGCAGCTATATGCTACGTACTGGCTGATGGCACGTGTGATTGCTGGAATAGAGCACTCTCAGGTACATGTACGTAAGCATGGACTGATCATTGTGAGGCCCAACTATTTGTGTATAAATTTTGGTTTTTCGCTTCATTTTGGGACAGAACGGAAAAAAAGTTTAATCAGAAAAAGCATCGTCCTGATCATTACCTACTGTTGGTACCCCAATTATCCAATCCTAACATCTAACTCTTTCATATTCATTCTTGATGCATTGACCTCGAGCATTTCAGTCGAGTGGTTCGAGAGATTTGGGGCGGTGCTTCCAGTTCCTTTTGTTCTTTCAAGCATGGTGTATTCCGTGTCATTTGTTGCCTTCACAATCGCCAGCGTCTTCATCCAATGGCTGTTCAAACTCTTTCGTCCATCACAAGACGAAAAAGTAACAGAAAAATCGACAGCTCTGGATGTGACTCACAAGGCACCGTATCCATGCAATGCCATCAAGGGCAACCAGAAATTTCGTATTACCATGGGATTGCGAAGGTTGGACGATTGGAATTGGCTCACCGTCGATAAGAACTACTTGAAAGAGCACGAGGTTAGAAATGCTCTACTCAAAAACCAGAGGAGTCAGGTTATCCAATGCCTCCCCGAATCAAAGATCGCTTGTACCGAGGCCCTAGAGGTCGTGGCAGAGTTTCTGTGTGAAAGGTATCCAGCCATGTTCCACATGGAGGAGGAGGGCGATATGAAGAAAATCCACAACCGCAAAACAGGAGAAAGTTTTCTCGTTGGCGATGAAAATGACACAATGGATCCACTTGAGACCGCGGTGCGGCTCACTATGGAAGATTTGAGTATTCTCATGAAGAATGAGGAAGGAGAATATTACCTGTATGTTTCACGTAATATTTGACTTGAGTTTCAATGCTGACAACGGTTGTAGTGCTGCTAGTGCAACACTTTTCCCGGTTGGTTGGACAGTGCAAGAGCGCATAGGATGGACTATATCTCAAATGCATGACCCTGTACCTGAGTGGAAGGATAAAATCGGACATTCTGTGAACAAGTAAGACCATCTATACCTGCTGTAAGCGTAAAGAAGCTGCCTCTGACTTATATTAGGTTCTTCTGTCGGCTCACCCCCGAATCACCAATGGAACGGTCCAACTATTTCTTGGAGACCAGAGAGCCCGATGAGGGCTTGGGAGATACCTTATTCCGGCCGATGGGACTGACTGAGGAACAGCCCGGTCTTTCAATTGAGGATATTCTTCTCCGTTGGGAGCGCCAGACGTTCCGCAGGCTCCCAAGGACCGGTGCCCTCATTTTCAGCGTTAAGACAACGCTCAATACATTCGACGAGCTACCAGTGGATCAACTGCAGGCTCTCGCCACCGAAATTCGTAGCTGGCCTGAGGACATGGCGAAGTATAAGGGACGCGATGTCTGGGGCCAACGTGTGTTGGATTACTGCATTCAGCGAAGCATTGTCCCTGCATGAGTGGCACATCCTAACTAACATCTCTTTCTGTGTTCATTGTTCCTCTTCTGATACTTCTGTCTTTTTTTGTTACTTGATTTTCTCATTGCTGTGATTCATTTTGCGTGTTATCCGCGTAATGCCCATTGATGATAACAAAAGTTTGGGTGGCTGTCTGAATATTTTTTTGAAAGCTTTTCAAAGCGGCCAGTACTGCATGGAATCTGATTACCACTAAACATCAACAGTTGTTTGCCTTTGTGTTTGTACGTACCGTTTCCAGATTGATAAAAGCACTAGCTAGTCAATACAAGACTCACCGGTTGGGAAATATTGAGAATGTGCAAAAAGCAGAAAGACATTGATGTCGAGCTTGAGGTCGGCAAGACATCTGTTTAGTGGAAGCCGCGATGGCTGGGATACCTCCTTCCTAGTCGGGAGTGACTACCTAAGATTTGAGATACAGTGTATAACCTTATTTTAACATACACTCTTGAAATGCCATATTCTTTTACTCCTCATACTGTGCGATTTTATACTCATATGCTGCCAATAGCATGAGTCACTCCCTGGGGGATGTTAACTATAGCTACCATCCCCGAATACAGAATCACACCTCATTCCTCATTTGGTACAGCTCCTAAAGCTGAAATCAATGTCAGACGCTATCTTGGTTAAGGTGAGAACAGGTTATGGGATGCACCCCGGATGATCCCCCCGCACCTTGTATTGTCAGGCGGCAGATTTCTCCGAAGTCCATTATGATTGGCCTCAACGTTATCTCCGTACTCTTTGTCTGGCAGCTGACAATATCCCTGGCCAAGCGTGGGGTATAGGAACCGACTCTTTAGCTTTTACGAAGTAGATCGAGCAATGAGAAAGAATGACAAAAGAAGGCTAAAACCTGTACTCTGGATATCGAGATCTAACGAGGACCCTAGAACGATATAAACCTAAATTTTACACTGCTGTTTTGATGACTGTGCAGACCTCCCGTAGCAGATCAGAGGTCTATCTACTCGATTTTATGGTGGACATGTTGTGAAAAGCAGATTTGATTTTCAGCTAGCTAACAGGTTGAAGAATGCATGATCTTAAAGCGAAGCAAGAAAGAGAAAGAATGGAAACCCTGCCTGAATCGCCCCCAGAAAGCAAATTCACGTAACGTAGCCTTGGTGTCATATGTATTGGGAGCTCTACTTGCGCATAGAAAGAATTCGCTTGAGAATTGGCTTGGGCTTAGGCTTTTGGTCGGCAAGCCACTTGCGAACAGTACTGATAAATGCCCATTGTTCGTGGTTGGCGAGGGACAAAGGGTTGATTCCGTGATCAGGGACGTTGGTATGAAGGCGGAGAAGAACTAGGCGTTCGAATTCTGAAAGCTCATTTGAGAGGGAGATTCTAAACGGAATTTGAATCAAATCCCGCTCCAATCGGTTTAGGGACCGGCCGGATTTCCCGCCGTGATGCCAGCCACATTCAGTAAGGCCTAGCTGATGGATACGGTGAATAAGATCCTGTTCGTGCTCCGGTAGGGTAAGAATGGAGGCAGGAATACTGGGCGGTGTAGAAGTTTCTGTCTCTGCAGGGCGAATAAGACGTTCTTGAGAACCATGAACGGAGTTGACATAGCTCATGGATGATGCATGATCATCATCGAATGGGTTCTGGTATACAGAACCGGTATCTAAGTTGTTAGCATGAGTGATTTGCTGTGACTGTTTTGGGTAAGTCTTACCTTTTTGCTTCATGTCTAATGCCGTAATGCAAGCATGTAAGGTTTGATGCTCAAGAGGGTCAATGAAGTTTGTCTGAAATGTGAAGAGCTCGTTGTATGCGATGAGCTTTATGTATCTTTGATGAGGAAGTTGTGGTGGTTAGGAAAGAAGAAAAGCATTGAGGACAAGAGAAGAAGGATCAATTTATAGCCACAAAGCTGTCAATCTGGTCAAAAGGCCAAGTGAATGCTATTGTCAGGTATAGGGCTTTTTTGTGCAAATGATTAGTCAGGAGCACAATGTCGTGCTGATAATGTATTTTTCTTGCACTCACTCTATTGATGTATTCACTATTGTACACTGCTGCCTAGCTTTAGCGGTTATTATTCTATAATTTAGGTGCTATTTAAATAATAGAAGTTGCAGAAACATCTTCTATTGTCTCATTGACTGCAATGTTCAGAAACATCTGGAATAATGATCCCGGACTACCATTGGGTATCCATGGGACAAAGTGATTCTATGGTACAACTTGTTTCTATTATTCGAGGCTTCTATATAATGAATGACTGCCAAATTTGGTCTATAATTTGGATTCGAGTTCATTTATTGGTACTGGAGAACTGCTTAATCTACAGTATAATCCTCGCCATTAAGTAGACCAGTATCTGTTGCCTGCAGTATCGAGATTTCTAAAAACATTTCAATTTGATTCCCATAAATACTCTCAGTAATAACCGTAGTCTTCTATCCTACTCTCAAGACGGATACGTCGATGTTCCGTATATGCTCAGTCAGAGGCATCACTCCTCTATATAGAGCATCTTGTAGATTACAGATATGTGTATAAGCCCTAGTTGTTAGTTAAGAATTACCCTTTTCGGTAGCTACGTAGGGAATGCAAAGAAGCTCTCATCCCGTACCTCGACGCTATCTGCACTTTCAGATAATTCGTGAGGTAGACTAGATAAATTCAAATACTTCCGATTATAGTAACATAACAAGAAATTTCTACATCCGACGGATGGTCACAAAACATGATTTGATGAGAAAGTTATTTTCAGAATGAGCTAACCCCTAATATCAGCAGGTGAAGTTGTTTCAGCGGCAATTGGAAAAGCCAGATGTAGATAATCACAAACCAGAGCTTGATGGTAAGTTGCTACATAAATCAGTCATTATTTCCAGTCTAAGCTATATACCTCACTGTGTAAATTTCATGTTTTTCAGTCGAGATGCAAAATGCCTTTCAACGGGACGGTAAAATACGATTGGTCAAACCCATAAACCAATCATTTCAAGCACATCACATGGTCGAAACACTGACTAATCGGCCGGAATGAACCGAGGCTCGATCGCGTCTGAGGTGGAAAATGGAAAATTTCAACTTCAATTTATCACCATCAGGAACCCGATATCAAGTATATTTTGAATTTATCAGCTGGAGCCCCACTAATACAAGATGGCGGATGCCCCGGTCGTGCTGCGATCTAGAATCTCCAAATCATGCGATGAATGCAAAGCCCGCAAAGTCCGATGTATACGTATGTACTACTTCGGAACTCATGCTCGGGCTTCGTGAGTTGGGCTAATGGCCGGTCTAGGTGCTCGCCCAGATTCTTCGTACTGTAATAACTGCCTTGTTAGTATCTTCACAACTCGTTCACCACTGTCCGAACCTACCTAGTTCTGAAGCTGATTTGACTACATATAGAGACGAGACCAGACATGTCATTTCAGCCACACCAAGCGAAAACTGAAAGTCAAAACCCCCGAAGCTGCCCCTGCCAGATCTAGTATGTTGCTTTGAGCATTTTGATCCGTGTATGTGTCGTAAGTAGTGCTGATGAGTTTGTGTAATAGCTTCTTTGCCCTATACAAACTCTCCACCTGAGGCAGAGCAGCATGATACACAGTCCAAACCAAGGCCTTCGCCACCAAAGTTGTACGTTGATCGCATCCTGGAAAACCGTGATACCCACGGGATTGGCATGAGACCTGATTCATGTGTTATTAAGGTAGGTAATGCCATACATAGCAGCCCTGAATGCGGTCACTGATGCATATATACAGGCAGGAGAAAGCTTTGGTAACATTTCATTTCACCCGATATTCGCACTACTTTCTCTGACTCTATCTAATAGTGACTAGTTCTAGCCTCTCATTCTTTTCTGAAAGCAGAATTCGGTCGTTGACTGAACGCATCGGACATGGCAGGCTGCGCGAGCTTATTGAGACTATTGGTTCAGTAATAAATGCCAGAATGAACCGGACAGACGATGATGCCAAACCATCATTTCGCTATACCCCGATTACTTTCAAAGGCCCTACTACACCAGTGCAAGTTCCTCCAGAAGCCGCAAGAGCGTACATAGCAGGTACGTATTTCCATACCCTGGCACAGCTCTTATGCTTGCTGTGAGTTAACATGGCAGGTCGATAGCTTATTTTAAACATGTTCATCCTATCTATCCTTTCCTTGACCGCGCAGAATTCGAACAAAAAGCGTTCAGCTATGACTTAATCCACCATCTATCATCGAACGCCTCTTTTTCTGCACTATATCATACAGTGCTCGCCTTGGGAACTCAATATACAGAAGGTGGGTCTTTTGACGCCGGTCAAGGGAAGGCGTGGAAACTTTACCAAGTTGCATTGGGGCTCTTTTCAGATATACTTCTCCCTAGAGAGTCGCTGGTTAATTTACAGGTGAGACTCCTTTCTGCTCAAAACACAAAACAAAGTTGCTAATTTTCTAGCAGGCATTAACCGCTATGGTATGATGACTTAGTTGAAACTTATCGTTTCGTCGCTAATCAGTTATAGTCAATCTTCGCTCAAAATCTTTCCTGCATACAGATAGAGCAGACGCTGATCTCAGAAGCTGCGAGAATGGCCACGGCTCTAGGATTTAACAGATCCACTATGAATGATTCAGCACACAGAAACTTTTGGGTTGTCTACATTCTTGAAAAGACATTTTCATTTTTTGGCAGCTGTAGCTCGGTTGGTTATGCTAGCCTGTGTTTCTCCAACGAATCTAACTGACGACATACTTGCTTTTACAGAGTATCCGTGACATGGATATCGGCTGCCCCATCCCGGAGATACCTGAAGCAGTATATGGAGGTGTTGACTGGTTTTACCTATCCGCTCGCTTTGCTAGATTAGTATCACGGGCGTATGAGATGCTATACACTGTGTCTGCTACGACAAAAACACCCGAAGAGTTCTATGAGTCCATTGATATCGTGTACCAAGATCTGGAGAATTGGCGACTCTCGATACCAAAAGACTTAAGACCCGGGGACACGTTCCGGCCAGAAAACTGCAAGTCTCCTTGGACAATCACAGTTTCTCTGAGGGTTCACTTCTTTTATTCCTCCGTGGTCATGTCTCTCTGTCGGCTTACCTTGCATCTCGGCTCCGACACAGAATCTCCGCGCACTGAAGAAGCCAAAAAGAGACTCATGCATACAGCAAGACACATCATTGAGCTTACACACTACATTGACTTGCAACCGCATACTCCGATTTGGTAAGCAGACCAAGGCTCTATAGCTAGGATGTATATGTAAGTACTTACTGGTATTCCTTTAGGATACTTGGCGTTATGCCACTCTCAGCTCTATTCGTTCTGTTCGACTTCGTGGTTCATAATCCATATCACCCAGAAAGCAGCACGAATCTTAAATTCTTGGACGTTGTCGGCGCGTATTTCACTCGTCTCGAGTATGCGATGGGTGGTTCTCTCCCAAGTTCACTGTTAGCCGAGTTTGCTCTCATTGCACGGCAATTTATCCGTGACATACAGTTGGGCAAAAGTATTCGAAACAGTAATACAAATCGTACCACTCCGTACCAACTACATACAAGGGAAGGACAGAATATCGAACCTAGTAAACCTTACGATCAGGTGCGAGAACCAAACCAGGGCCTAATATATCCACCATCTCAAATAGTGAGTGAACTTTTGGTCAGTGTCCTACCATCTAGTCATGTCTAACAGCGTTACTTCAGCCTCAGGTAGAGCAGATGGCAACTGCACCGCCTCAACTCGTAAATGGAGGTTCTATGTCCTATGTTGAACAGCTATTCTATCCCACGGACGACCTACAACCATTCGTGACCGGCGATCTTGGCTCAGGGTTTGATATGACTGGTTTGTTCGACTCTGTTCTGCCCAATTTCCAGTTCTAATCTTGAATGCGATGTCCCATGTAATATACTATTTTATTTGGGCAATCTTTAGCATAGTGCTGCCCGATATGATCAATATTGTTACACGGTTGTTATATGATGTATAATGTTTAGAGCGGGAAGAGGGAAGTATATGAACCTTGCGAGTATTAACAATATTAATGATGAATAAAACTAACATTACTATTCAGACCGTCCTAAATCAAGCACTTTGGCATCCTTGACCCACTGTGCAGACTACCTTCATATCCTCCAGTGCAACACTCTCTCCAATCCAGAATTTGACCTTTTGCCCATTAACCGGTGCTTTCCAATCCTGCACAACAACATCCCATACGCTCAAGTCCTTTCTGCTTACCGGTAATGATAGCGTTTCCGACTCGCCGGGCGCCAATATTGACGTCTTCTCAAACTGCCGTAACTGTCGGGGGGGAAGATCCACGCCTAACGTATCTTCGGGCAGCTCAACATACAACTGCGCTACAGCCCGTCCAGATCTCATTCCGGTATTGGTAACCTTCATATTGACCGTGAAGACAGTATCCCACAGACCTGGATTACCTCCCTGCGCTCCGCCCGCTCGCGGTGCTGGTTGTGGTGTTGTCTTGTAACCCGTCGGATATGGATACGGAGCCGTTGAGGTAGCTGCTGCCGGGTTATCGAGGTATGGGTACAGATACCGCCAAATGCGATCGAAGTTAGTTGGCCATGCGACTTCCGAAGCTGGTGGGATGGTTGTCGCATACGTTGGTGTGGGCCCCTTTGTTGGTCTGGCTGGAGGATATTCGGTCAACGAGGCGCCTGCTGCAAGTGTCGCATCGGAGAAATTGAATGTTGTGTATGATAGGCCGTATCCGAATGGAAATCTTGGAGTGATATTGGCCTGCAGGAAGTGTCGATAGTCAATATAGATGCGCTCCGTAAACTGGTCCTGGATTTGACTGAACCACTGATCGATCAGACCAACGCTGGCTGGATACTCGGATTCCATATGCGGAATAGTGTACGGCAGATGACCACTCGGACTGTAGTCGCCGAAGAGCACGTCGGTTAGAGAATTTCCTGCCTCTTGGCCGGGAAGATGCGCAACTAGCACTGCTTTGACGGACGGGAGATCAATCCATTTTTCCATGAGAATCGGTCCAACGGTGTGAACAACAACAATGACTGTGCTGTATCTTGCAGCTGCATCGACCACCAAATCATCTCCATCATGCCAGGCATTGAGACCCGCAGTAGTCCTATCACCAGGATTGCTTTCAACGGTGATATAATTCTCCCCCGAATCTGCGTTAATGAAGACAATTGCGATATCATCACTCGATGGGCTAACGGAAGGGAAACTATCAGAAATGTGGAACTGTGCATTTGCCGAAATGTTGTGGATTGCCTGCTGCGGCGTAATGACATAGGGCAATCTAGCACTTCCACTTCCCCAGCCCATCGTCAAGATGCCATTATCACAGCCCATATCGGAGCATGAGTTCAAGCCACCTGAGTTTGGACCGGCGTCTGTGCCGAAAATACTCAACGAGGCATTAGTGCTTAGAGGCAAGGTTTGGTTTACGTTCTTCAATAAGGTTATGGCGTCTCGAGCGACTTCCCTGGCGATATTGCTATGGTTTCCTTGTACATCAACAAATTGATTGACAACTCCGGATGGAGAGAAGAGGGCTCCAGGATACAAGGGACCAGTAGCATCCTCAGTGTTTGTCGAGAAGTTTGGCAATGGGTAATCCTCATCTTGTTCCATTTGGAACCATGTTGCTAGGATTCGTGTGACCTGTGATAGGCATTTTTAGCGGCCTATCGCTTGTCTTTAACAGTGATATGTCATATCATACCATGTCATTTAGTCTTTCAAGGGGCACCGTGCCGTTCAAGATCGCTCTTGATAGCTCGGAGTTCCAGAAAGTATCTCCCAGCAGCGGTATTGCGCCGTCTCCTGGCATGGCCATATCCAAGCCAGCCAATGCCGATGACACGCCACCGAATTGAGCATACCAGTCAGATACCACGAATCCCTGGAAGCCGAGTTCATCTTTCAGAAGGCCGTTGAGAATCTGGCTATTTTGCGTACACAGTGACCCATTGACCTATCGCCAATGATCAGCTCTGACATGGAAACTTTTCTTCTTAGAATCGGGGACAATTTACATGATTATATGCAGCCATAATTGAGCCAACGCCAGCTCTCACCCCTTCAGCAAATGGCCACAAGTAAATCTCGTGTAACGTGCGATCATCGATATCGGACGAGTAGCCCACTTGGACCACATCCGTCATTCGATACATTTCCTGCTCATTCAAGATATAGTGTTTGAGTGTCGCAATTACTCCGGTACTTTGCATACCCTGAATCGTCTGCGCAGCAGCAATTCCCTGCAACGATGGATCTGCGCCAAATCCTTCCCAAATCCTGCCAGACCTGGGCTTGCGACCAAGAGGGCCAACAACGGGACCCATCTGGACATTAATACCTTTACCACGCGCTTCTTCGCCTATTGCTACACCGCGCGCGTACATCAGATCCTTATCCCATGTTGCACCAGCGGTCACGCCAGCCGGGAAAGCTGAGTTGTGGTCCGTATTTCGAATCCCCAGTGGTCCGTCTTGAAGACATAGTCTCGGGATACCAAATCGTAAAGCACTGCCTGTTTGGCCCACGCATGGTCCCATTAAGAATCCCGTTCCAGAGGTAATGTTAACCTTTTCGGCCAGTGTCATGTTACTGACGACCTTCTGAGCTTTTGCGTAGGCATCTGCCCAATTAGCATCCCAGCCACCATTTGGTGTGGGATAGTAATCCGGAGTTGTATAGTTAGATGGAAGACTGGAGCGCTTTATTTTTTCATTTGTTTCGTTAGGATTGGAAGGACGTAATGACTTATCCACTCGAAAGGCAGCGGTACCATGTGTCAAGAGCAGGACCAGCCCTAAGAGAAATCTCATGCTAACTCCCGCCATGGTGACACTAGAAATATGTCTTTCTTCCCCGTCTTGACGTTCAGGTTGTTGAAGAGTTGAAATTTACATTGCCTACTTTGAATTCTCAAAGAAAAGATAATGCAAAAAAGCTAGCAAGGATCGTCAGGTCCCCAGCAAATGATTCTCGCTTGTCCATACTAAGACAGTGATGATAGCCGACTATAACACACGGTATTAATGAGATAACCGACGATAGACCAACTTTTATGATCCTACATGGCGTAGTTCCCCAGTTCGTCTAGCCGGTCTACTTTCCTATTAAAGGTTTAAATTCCCTTAGCACTTGACTGTTTTCCGGAGTTATTTAGCTAGGCTAAACGATCATTTCCCTGTTTGAAAAAGAACAGGGAGGGGCAACGCCGAATAATTGTTCCTTAGTATGGGCGTCTTACTCGTAAAATGAGAGATGCATGAAGAAGTTGGATTTTAATTAACGACGAATTCATGCAGCATGAGGTTGTATCCGCGCATATTGTGGCGCTCCATGTGACTGACTCGGTCACTGGGTCTTTTTTTGCCGAGGATCATACCTTCTGGAGGTGATACAAGGTTGTATGCATACAAATTGTAACCAATCTTTGAAGAAAACAATGAATCGCTTGCGTAATGCAAATCGTTTGCTACAAGCATGAATATGATTCGATAAACAACAGCAGAACTACGTAGATCTTTGAACGATGTGGGGATAGTTCGCAAATCCCAAAATACTGCCGCTTACCCTAACTCCGAATTTTGCTGGCGAGGACGTGGAGTTGATATGGATGCCAATTTTTCGTTTTCCTAAGGCTACTGAGATACGATATAAGGGTCCTAAATTAACAGAAGTACGTACCACAACTGTGGGAATTACCTAGGTAGTCGGATATTAATTTGATTATTGAGATCTCAATGCTAGGGTTAGGGCTTGTTATATCGGAAGAAAGCCCTAAAAACTCATTCTATCATTCGTCTGATGCCAACAATCCGATTGACGTATTCATACATGCTGGGCTCCTGTATTCATAATTATGCTCCAACGAAGAACTTATTCTCCGGCCGCGGTAAACCAAAGTGTTCACGCAATGTCGAGCCCGCATAATCCTTGCGAAACAAGCTCCTTCGTTGTAGCTCCGGAATCAGCTTGTCCGTCACCTCTTCCAACCCTTGGGGCAAGAAAGGAAAGGTGCATGTAAATCCATCTGAAGCTCCTTCCTTTAACCATGTTTCCATCTCATCGGCTATCTCGCTCGGTGAGCCTAAGAATGCTAACCCAGCATATCCTCCGTATCGTTGAGCAAGTTGTCGAATTGTCAATCCCTCCAACTTGGCCAGTTTTTCAACGCCTTCTCTACTCGTCTTGCTTCCATTGGTCTCAGGAAGATCTTCTGGCAATAAGCTGTCGGGGTCAAGGTGGCTGACATCTACTCCCAATGCTATTGATAGGGATGAAATGGCACTGTCGTAGTGCACAAGACTATCTAACTTGAGCCGCTTCTCCTGGGCGTCCTGCTTGCTCTCTCCGACAATAATCAATGCCGCGGGTAAGATTTTCAAATGTTCTCTCTTTCGACCGGCCTTCTCTACTCGTCCTTTGATGTCTGCATAGAGTGCCTTTGCTGCGTCAATATCCTTGGGACTGCAGAACACAACCTCTGCCGTCTCTGCTGCTAACTGTCGGCCCGGTTCGCTTTGCCCTGCTTGCACTATAACCGGCCACCCCTGTGGTGGTCTCGCAATATTCAAAGGTCCGCGTACTTTTAACTCGTCACCGGAATGGTCCAGTACATGCAACTTTTCCGGGTCGAAATATTCTCCAGTCTCTACGTTGCGAATAAAAGCATCATCCGCAAAACTATCCCATAATCCAGTTACAACATCATAAAACTCGCGAGCACGTTTATACCTATCGGTATGGGCCATATGCTCATCGAATCCAAAATTTTTGCTTGATTCCGGATTGCCCGTTGTAACAATATTCCAAGCTGCTCTGCCACCACTCAAATGATCTAAGCTTGCAAATCGTCGGGCAACATGGTACGGTGCGTCGTACGTTGTGCTTGCCGTTGCAGCTAGACCAATCTTTTCCGTCACCGCGGACAGAGCGGAGAGTAGTGTAAAGGGCTCAAAAGAGGTGACTGTATGGCTTCGTTTTAGGGCCTCGACCGGCATGTTCAGCACGGCCAGATGATCAGCCATAAAAAATGCATCGAACTTGGCGGCCTCCAACTTTTGAGCAAATTGACTAATGTGTTTGAAGTTGAAATTGGCATCAGGATATGAGCCGGGGTAACGCCATGCACCAGTATGCAATGAGACTGGCCGCATAAAAGCGGTTAGATGCAGTTGGCGATTCGGTTTGGACTCTGTCATTTTGATGCCGAAATTATAACACACTTGGATCTAGAGTCTTCTCAATATTTGTTGGACATCAGTAATTTTAGTGGTAATGATGCTTTTATACCCCTCAAAGTTACATTTCTAAGGCTATCTCTATCGATCAGATTTATAATCCGGTGTATGGCGTGCTTGGAGTAGCATATTTGCGTGAGCAGCTACCAGTCATGGTTAAGTATGACTAGGTATTGGGTCCCTCTTCTTGATTGGCCTCAGGTCCGTTTATCGCCCCATCTACCGCAACATCTCTTCCTGTTCTTCTTCCCTTCTTTCTCCTCCTCCTCGCGAATCAATTTCGGCATATATCATTTCTATATAGACTACCAGGATGGAACAGACCTAGTTCTCCCAGATCCAAACACCGTTATTGCAGGGAATTTTTGTCACATCAATGGGTGAGACACAACTACGAATGGCATTGCGAAGTATTGCAAGGGGCACCATTGATATAGAGAATAGGAAAATCACGGCGGAAACAGCGTGAAGACTGCGACCTGAACGTTTGGGTACTGTGTTTGCGGATTATTTATACCGGCCATCAGTTACATGGGGGCAACCTATGGTAGTGGCCTTCGCAATAAGCTTATACACATGAGTGTATTAACAAGCTAGGGTCCAGTCGTTCGAACACTACCGACACACATTACAGTTGTGCAAAGTGGTTTATCAGGACTTTACATTGTATAAGGCCATTATCGTGTCCAATATCCTCGATATAAAAAATGACGTACGGTTATAGGTGGCAAAAGCCGAAATCAGCTAAATTGATGAATGTTCACGAGTCGCTTCTCTGAGAACTTCTCACAGCATTGCCATATTGACCTGAGCTGCTCGAGAACTACACCCTTCATGATCCATTAGATCTGACTATCTAGCACATACGACCATAGGGTGTGGAAAACAGGGCTTCCCGTCCGCTCAGCCGTACTTAAGCCACACGCCGGCTGGTTAGTAGTTGGGTGGGTGACCACCAGCGAATCCCAGCTGTTGTATGTTTGTGTTCAACCACTTTTTTGCTGCCAGGAACCATTCCTTCCCGTTGCTGCTTTAATTCCAGCCTTGCCTGGAACTTCTTTGCGGCCCTGGAATTGCTGACGTGGCACTCGGCTAATCCTTCCCATACTACTTTACCCCTCTTTTTCCAGAGTCAGCCCATATTCTTCCCAGCCCCCTTCATTTTACCAGCCTCTTGATTTCTCAAGGTCAATGAGACTAAGTCCGCTAATCAAACATGTATTGTGTACAGCATGTCGACACGTGATATCGTGACATCCTTACTCCGGTCAAATCCGGCTAGAGGCTCTCTGGGCTTCAACAGCCGCCTTCGGGTGCCCAATCTGTTGTAATATTTTCTGAAACAGAAGGGCATGCGTCATGTCGAGAATATTCGCGAGGTTCGATGCGACTTAAAAAGGTAAACTGGCCCTGACTTAATGAGCCTATGCCTACTCATCCGTCTCTCATCATTCGCGCCCTGGTGGTGGAAAATCCCCGCCCCTGCCCTAGATTTTTGCACTCAGCGTAGCGTCATGCATTACTCTTTTTTCTTCTAAATATTGTGAGACTTATTCCCTGTTGACGGTGCTCTACATTTGGTCTACGGAACTAAGTTAAATGGAATGATTTCAACAGTGTTAAATTGTCGCCCCTAATCTTGTGACATGTTCCGCAAAATCAAAGCCTCGAGAGATTCGACCGGAGACCAGCTTCTCGATATATGCAACAAGGAGGCAAGCTGCTCCGCATCAATACTGTCCCCAGATTTTGCGGGTGGTTCTAACATCCGTGCAGCTTTGCGTTGGATGTACCCTTGTCGCTGGCCCAACAACAGAAGTCGTATATCAGACCTCACCCCCTCCTAATACCATTGCCGTCATCGTGAATATATCGCCAGCTGGTGGAGCTATGAAAATTGGGGAGAAATCAGACAATGACCTCGGCGTTTCCGCTGTAGGTAAAGTTGGAACAGAGGATGCGGACGGTTTGGTGATAGTCCCATGGAATGCCGACTGGTGGTTCTACTCGATCGGATCCGTAGAAATACAATATGTAGTAAGAAAATGACTATTGATGGATTATGTTCGATATCATGAATAACCTCACATTATCTGGCGTCGCTGAGAGCTGAAATAAAGCGATATTTCATCTGTAATAGGCATTGATATGAAGGAAAATGAAGCATTATCGTAGGGATCAGTCATCCAGACCTGACCTGTAATTTGGTTAGACATGGCGACTGTGCGCACATCTTCATGTGTCAGCGCAAAGACGCGTCCTCGGAGAAGGTCTGTAGTTGTCAGACTACGATACCGTTGTTGAAGAATATTCCACTCACTTTGTCCTGCTTCCGGAGGTCTTTCTTCTCTACGAGGCGAAAAGCTACTGTCTCCCTGCTCCCCCTGCTGTTGCCCAGAGTTGTGCGTCTCTGATGGCTTTGACAATATTCCTCCTGAGACTGCAGGGCTATCGAATGCTGGTGGTTTCGTTGAAAGTGGTTGCATTCCGCCAGAACTTATGGGGTCGTGCCGATTTTGTATTTGTTTTTCTGCAGGAGCGTCTCCGGTGCTCGTAATATCTAAACTCACGCTTGTCAGCTGGGTGTTTGGCCATGCAATTGAGGGCCTTGACCTTTCTTGGAATATGTAAGCGCGAGACTTTGCAGAAGTGATGATCCGAAATCTCCTCTGTGTTGCTTGAGCTTGAGTGGAAGGCGCAGTCTTGGGGCTTCTTTCATATTGCTGACAGCTGTTTGCCCGAGGCCAAGAGCACCAGCTACCACAAGTTTAGCATCTTTCAGTTGCACCAAAAAATGGCGATATTTGTCTCGTCTCTCATCAGCTCTGGACAGGACTGGTTGTCGGTCCTTATGGATAAGTTGAAAGGCATATTGGATCCGCTTAGCTTCATGACACCTAATGACATGCTCGATAAGCAAATCATCACTCTGTCGCAACTCAATAGTTTGAACTGCTGACAGAAGTTTTTGAAAAGCCTCTTCGAGAGATAGAGACAAGGTTGTCCTTCTACTTTCTGGCATAGGTTTATTCTTGGTAATCCGAGATGTAAGATAATTTGATTCTGGGGAATCAAGCGGGAACTTGTTGGAATTATAATGTGTTTCTCGTGGTTTCTGACTGTGAGGTCACCGGAATGATCTCTCTTTGTCATTGGCCATGTTTGACTTTGAACGACGCTACCTATGTAGGAGTCTGCAAGCCTGTTAATGTGAACGCAGAAAGGGGAGCTGCAAGATGCAGAAAGAGGGTTTAAGTGGCGTCAGAATATTGGCTGTGTGGAATCAATGGGAATGTGATGTGTTTCTGCTGTGATAATTAATGCATGAAAGAACAACTCCCAGTCGGCCCTAACCATCTCGAGCCAATGGTTTCGTTTCACCCCCGTAGAGCGCCGCTCTGGCAGAAGGATATAGGATCCTCAGTCGATGGTGTGAAATAATTATGGGCTGCAAAAGTCGAATATGTATATAAATACTCTTTTTGCCAACCGTATATCATTTTTCTGCTTCGTATCCGGCTACATAGCGACATACTCCTTGGTCAACTACCTTTCTCTTTATTGAAGTCGAACGTTAAATTTTCCAACAATTCAATGTTAGTTCAAATATCTTTAAATGATTGAAATTACGTATCGCACTAACTACATTTGAGATGTGCAACTGGAGGGTCATAATGTGCTCCAAACCAGAATGCGGCGCGATAATATCCACTCTGCGAACCCATGACTGCGGAGCGCACCACTCAGTTTTTGATCCTGCGTCCCATCGAACCATCACCAACACTCCCTGTGCAAGTTGCAGCTTGCCTACTCCGCCATGATAGGCTCAATCATAATGCTTTCTAGGGGGCCCCGCTGCGCCTTAGACTTCGTGGGTTCGGGTAGTTGGGTGGAGTTCCCGAAGTGTGATTTTCAACGAAAGGCGGGGTGGACCCAAAACCATTTGCATCATGGAGATATCTGACAGTCTCGTTGATTCTTGCGCATTCTCCAGGGTGAGGCCGGGAAGCGATATTTCTGTTACTTAGGTGGATCACAACAACGGGGAGTTCATTCTCTTCTGGTAAATGCCCCTTAGCGGGATCATAACTTTCATTTGAGATATCGAATACAAACATCTTGCGAACACGGTAATATTGAATCGCTAAGAGTTTTGTGTTGGATACGGATATTTCAGTTACATCGTAGAGATTGTTTTCGGCGATAACCCGGAGAGCAAACTGGATAATCCCCTCTGGCGACTGTTCCCATGCTGGACTCTTGTTTGACACAATGGTAAGCACGCGGAGTGGACGTTTTGCATTCATGGGGAACTGCCTATCTTAGCATTTTATTTCGGAGGTTAGGTGAAGTTAAGGAGGAAATAGATCACCCACTTAGGCAGAGGCTTTTCAAGCATAGATTATAATATTAGCATCAAATAGGACAGCTCCAAAGAATGGTGAGGGTGCGAGAGGCCATTATGTACTCAAGTCACACCGCCTTTACCTAGCACTTGTCGCTCCTGAGGATTATCTATATTCCGTTTATTACCATATTTGGACTAGTAGACTGAGATTTGTTGGATTGTACGTAACAATCTTAAGCGGTAATTATATCAACGTATCAAAATTATGTATGCACAAGTATGGAATCCTTGATTCTTGTTGTCTTCTAAGTACAGTAAAAGTGGGAGATATCTTTTACCTCCTATTCGGTGGATCCCTCTCCTCAGTGTATGGCTCGTTATTATTGGCTGATAGATCTCATCTATCTGATTGGCTGGATCAGCTTAGCTAAATCCAACAAACTCCTCCAGATAGGAGTGATAACCGAAACCTTTGCGTCTTCGAGACCGGAGCCTTCGTTTTTCATGGCTCGCAGGCGATGGCCTACCCTTTCTTCCCAGAAGCTTCTCTATACACCTATTGCATTGGACGCATGGACATCACCATGCTCGGTTGGAAGGAATAGTAATACCTGATCTGATTGATGATGTCAGCCTTGCAGTAGCACGAAGCTGTAACCCCTCCCTCTCAACCTAGTGAACAGTGCTTTGCATTCTCCTGGCATCATAGAAAGGTTCACAGTTAATCTTGTATGATCGAGACATCGATAATGGACATCGGCACTTGAGTGACCTGACCTGTTTATCCAGTTCCCTGCTTTGACCTATAATAATGTCTTTGACGCACAACAGCTACAAAGTCGCCTGGATATGCGCCTTGCCGCTGGAGGCAGCAGCGGCCCGCGTCATGCTGGACAAAACTCACAGTCCCCTGCCGAAACCCTCCACCGATTCGAATGCCTACGAGCTTGGCGAACTAAATGGTCACTATATTGTCATTGCCTGCCTACCAGCTGGTGTATACGGTACAGTGTCTGCCGCGGCCGTGGTATCTTGCATGCATTCCACCTTTCCTAGTCTTCAATATGGACTGATGGTGGGAATTGGAGGCGGAGTTCCAGGCAAAAACAATGACATTCGACTAGGCGATGTAGTAGTCAGCAAACCGGTTGGAAAGTACAGCGGAGTGATACAATATGACTATGGCAAGGCGGTTCAAGGTGGACAATTCGAGCAAACAGGCACATTAAACAAACCACCACAGGCTCTTTTGACTCATATAAGTCAATTGCAGGCAAAAATCATGACTGGAGACCAGGAAGATGTTTCAAAAATAGTGTGGGAAGTCCTCGAGCGAAATCCTGAGATGAAAGACAGATTTGCCCCCCCGGAACAGCATATGGACTTTCTTTTCCATTCGTCCTATCATCATGCCGACAAAGAAGACACCTGTGGAAAGTGTGATAAAGACAAATTAGTCAAACGACAACCTCGTGCTACCAGGACACCTTATATTCACTACGGGTTAATTGCATCAGGAGATCAGGTGATGAAAGACTCAGAGACACGAGATCGTCTAGCACAACAACATAGGATTCTCTGCTTTGAGATGGAGGCAGCAGGCCTTATGGACGAGCTTCCGACGCTGGCAATTCGAGGGATATGTGACTATTGCGACTCTCATAAGCAGAAACAGTGGCAAGGATATGCAGCTTTAACTGCAGCTGCTTATACGAAATTGCTGTTATTAGGTATTCCTAATAACCGTTCTGATATTGACCTGGTTACAAGCAGTAAAATTCGGCACTGGATCGTCTCGCTTGCAAGAAATTTAAAATTTGTTGGTCGTCAGGAGGAAATTGTGAAACTAGAAGAATTAATCATGGCGCAAGATAGGCCCAGGAGGATCGCAATCACCGGCTTAGGAGGGGTTGGGAAGACCCAAGTGGCCCTTGAGCTAGCATACCGTATACGGGACCGAGATAAGGAGTGCTCAGTCTTCTGGATCCCCTGCACCAGCCGTGCAATGATTGAACAGATGTTCCTGCATATTGCACAAAAACTCGGCCTTCATAATTTGAATATGGCAGAGGTTAAAGAGCAGGTTAAGATATACCTCAGCTCTGAGCGTGCAGGCAAGTGGCTTCTGATTTTTGATAATGCAGATGATGCAGAGATGTGGTTCGCGCCTAGTCATACAGTCCCACCTCTCGAAGACTTTCTCCCTGAGAGTGAACAAGGTTGTATTCTGTTCACTACCCGAAACCGAAAGCTCGCCATGAAGCTGGCGCCGTTTGAAGTTTTTCCAATCCCAGACGTGGACAAAGAAACCGCACTCAAAATCCTAGAGAAAACATTAGCACGCGAGGACTTGCTTAGAGATACTACCACAACAACTACTCTCCTTGAACAATTAGCCTTTCTCCCATTGGCGATTGTGCAGGCATCAGCATATATTATCGAAAACGGTATCAAGTTATCGACCTACCTTGAACTTCTCCAAGAGCAGGAACAAGATGCTGTGGAACTCCTGAGCGAAGACTTCAAGGATCCAGGACGTTATAAGGATATCCAAAACCCTGTGATCACTACCTGGTTGATATCATTGAAACAGATTCAGTATCAAGATCAATTAGCGGCAGACTATTTATCTTTCATGGCTTGTATCAATCCACGAAATATTCCCGAAATCCTCCTTCCTCAGCCAACATCCAGGAAACAGAAAATTGAGGCTCTAGGCCTTTTAAATGCATACTCGTTTATTTATAGCCAAGGCACAGGTTTAGGTATGCACAGACTTGTGCATATTGCGACGCGAAACTGGCTTAGAAAGAATTCATCTTTTAGCCACTGGATCCAACGGGTGGCTGAACATATGCAGAATGTGTTTCCAGATAATCACTACACCAATCGAGGACTTTGGAGGGAATACCTTCCTCATGCATTAGCAATTGTGCATGAAAATGAATTTGTTGTACAAGGGGACAATTACCTTGGGTTGACTGAAAAGATTGCAGGTTGCCTTGCCAGTGATGGAAGATACCAAGAAGCAGAGATACTTTACAAGAAGCTGACGAGGATCAATCAGGACAAAGCTGGCTCAGAACATTCCTCCACTCTGAGAAGCATGGCGAACCTGGCATCAACCTACTGGAATCAGGGTCGATGGAACGAAGCTGAAAAGCTGGAGGTGCAAGTAATGGAGACAAGGAAGACAGTGCTAGGAGCTGAGCATCCCTCCACTTTGACCAGCATGGCGAACCTAGCATCAACCTACTGGAGTCAGGGTCGATGGAACGAAGCCGAGAAGCTGGAGGTGCAAGTAATGGAGACATCCAAGACAGTGCTAGGAGCTGAGCATCCTGACACTCTAACCAGCATGGCGAACCTAGCATCAACCTACCGGAATCAGGGTCGATGGAACGAAGCTGAAAAGCTGGAGGTGCAAGTAATGGAGACATTCAAGACAGTGCTAGGAACTGAGCATCCTGACACTCTAACTAGCATGGCGAACCTAGCATCAACCTACCGGAATCAGGGTCGATGGAACGAAGCCGAGAAGCTGGATGTGCAAGTAATGGAGATAAGGAAGACAGTGCTAGGAACTGAGCATCCCTCCACTTTAACCAGCATAGCGAACCTAGCATCAACCTACTGGAACCAGGGTCGATGGAATGAAGCCGAGAAGCTGGAGATGCAAGTAATGGAGACATCCAAGACAGTGCTAGGAACTGAGCATCCCTCCACTTTGACCAGCATGGCGAACCTAGCATCAACCTACTGGAAGCAGGGTCGATGGAACGAAGCTGAGAAGCTGGATGTGCAAGTAATGGAGACAAGGAAGACAGTGCTAGGAACTGAGCATCCCTTCACTTTGACCAGCATGGCGAACCTAGCATCAACCTACTGGAAGCAGGGTCGATGGAATGAAGCTGAGAAGCTGGAGGTGCAAGTAATGGAGACATCCAAGACAGTGCTAGGAGCTGAGCATCCCTCCACTTTGACCAGCATGGCAAACCTAGCATCAACCTACCGGAACCAGGGTCGATAGAACGAAGCCGAGAAGCTAGATGTGCAAGTAATGGAGACATCCAAGACAGTGCTAGGAGCTGAGCATCCTGACACTCTAACCAGCATGGCGAACCTAGCATCAACCTACCGGAATCAGGGCCGATGGAACGAAGCCGAGAAGCTGGATGTACAAGTAATGGAGACATCCAAGACAGTGCTAGGAACTGAGCATCCCTCCACTTTGACCAGCATGGCGAACCTAGCATCAACCTACTGGAAGCAGGGTCGATGGAATGAAGCCGAGAAGCTGTTTGTACAAGTAATGGAGACAAGGAAGACAGTGCTAGGAGCTGAGCATCCCGATACTCTAACCAGCATGGCGAACCTTGCCTCTACTTGGAAATTCCAGGGCAAGCTACAGGATGCCTTGAGTTTAATGGATAAATGCTGTCACCTGCACAGCAAAGTATTAGGGCCTAGTCACCAGTATTCCAGGTCATTCTCTTGTACTCTCAGTGACTGGATGGATGAGTATAACGCCTTACCAAAGCAAACGACGCTCACTAGGAAAGAATGTCCGCAAGCTCTGCGCGAAGTTTCAGCAGGACCTCCAGCAGCTGTGGTAACCGCGCAGTTGGTCCGTGAAGAGCACATCAATCTACCTTATACCCAAAGACGATCGGCTGCTAAATTATTGCTCAGAAACCATCCTCTCATCATCGCTACCAGAACACCCTCGCCCGCGCCCGAAGACCAAGACTTACAAGATATGGATTAATTTGACACCGCCATATTCCTGCAACATTCAGCTAGACAACAGGCGATTTAAGGTGTAGGGGTAGCCTAGTGTTCAACTTTCAGCACATGTATAGTATATGCATATTATTGTATTCTAGCTGATAAGGAAATGCAGAGTATGCAAGCATCTAGGCACAAGAATGAAGTATGTACTGGTAAAACTCCAGTCCACGCCACTTAAATCAGTCCATCACAGTAAGATTGGCTTTTTCAGGCCATATCGTATATTTCTAATCATAGAAAACAGCTTCCTCGGTTAACTATACTTAGCATGTGACAATTTAGTAACATCTTCTATCCGTTATATGATAATACAACTAGGTTGAAGCAGGGAAAACATCCATTCGGGATGAGAATCGCGATGTTGGTGGCTAGCATTAAAACCTGAGCAAGAATAAGGAGGCTAGCTCTCACACAAGCAGATACAGCATTACCACCCAAGGTTGCTTGACGTCTGATGATTGCTTGTATCAATGAACTGAGAATGGAAATATCGAACTTGAAAGCATGTCGCAATGCCAATTTAGCTTGGATCCCTCTGATTGGTGATCCTGGTGATGCGAAGCGGGAAACCTTGTCTGGCGAATCATCTTGTGCGGCGTTAAGTTAAAGTCGTCATTCTATGAATAGTAGCGGAGCTTAGGAATCTGCAGAATCGGACAGTCTTTTTTAAATTTCATAGGTTACTGCTTATGAACTGAATTGACTGAATTGACTGAATTGAGTCGATAACGATGATGTCTCAAACAGCAAGAAGTTTCACAAAGAGAAAACTAAATTTGGCGATTGGTTGTCGCTTGCTGAACTAATGAATCATCTGCCGCCCGCCAAGCACTGCCCAGTGAACTTCATATTACCACTTAAACCAGAACACCACAGTTGTCAGCATAAAATGAGCCAGCTTGCACGACATTCAAACCACTGAAGAGAATCAGTCTCGCTAATTTATGTGATTAACATCACCCAATGCATACAGAGCGATCAATACGTTCTCGCAAACGACCACTTTCACAGCAACTATCCGCCGACGCATCACCCAACCAGACTCGCAAAAAGCGAAAAGTCAAGCATCCCAGCGGGTCCCAGCTCCCTGCAGCGTTTTGGGACAATCTGTCAGAAATTTGGTTGACACATAACGCAGTTCGGGAGCTCGATCGAAGGAACAAACAAGCTCCAGCAAACGTTTCCCCAAAACGTCAGTTTCTCAGGCCCGTCACCCGGGGCCTACTACGGAACATTCAAAAGGTTGCGAACGACGGTGGCCTAGATTTATCGGAATTGAGAGGCGTAAGGCTTTCACGAAGTTCCTGTAGTCCAAACTGAATGGCTGATTTTTTGCAGTATCCTGAACCTAAAATGAGTTCTGATCGATCAAAGCACCGGGTCCAGAAACACAGCTTGAGAGCCTCCAGAAGTGCTTCACGAGGTTCGAGTGCCTCGCGCAGCACCAAACCATCGACGACCAAAAGCAGCGGACCGTACGACCGTCACTTTCAGCAGCATCTCATCGACCACGGTATCTATCCTCCCACGTACGAATATCCAGACGGGCGAATACCATCCAAACCTATGAATTGGGGTGACATCAAAGAAAGATTGTCACGTCACCGATCCTCACTTTCTCCTTCTAATTTTACGGAGGAAATGCATGAGAAGTTCGTTCGAGCTGATGCTCATGCTTTTAAAGAAAAGCAAATCACCGAATCTGTGATTTCCATGATAGAGGGCAACAATGGAGATGCTAGATGCATTGCAGGTGGTATCCCCTTCAGAAATCTCAATCATCTTACAGACGGAACATTGGTTCCAGGAAACCCTGATCGTTATTATGGAGCACGTCCAGAGCAACTCAACCGCAGAATACGCAGTGAACTTGAAGACCAAATCGTGCCATCCACGCAGCATGATCTACCCATAGCACCAAATTTCTTCCTGGCAGCGAAAGGTCCTGATGGGTCAGCATCAGTAGCTAAAAGGCAAGCCTCTTATGATGGTGCATTAGGAGCAAGGGGAATGCATTCGCTTCAAGAATATGGCAAAGATGAACCTGAATTTGATAGCAATGCTAGGACCCTAACATCCATTTATCATAATGGCCAGCTCCAAATGTTTACCAGTCATCCTTCAAAATCAACTACATCAAATCGGACAGAGTACTATATGACCCAGTTACGATCCTTTTCCATGACAGACAATCCTGACACATTTCGGGAAGGCGCAACCTGGTATCGGAACGGCAGGGACTGGGCAAAGGAGCAAAGAGACGAAGCAACAAGACGAGCAAACGAGAAAGCTACTCAGAATATCATTAGGTCCGGTGCCATAAATACGAGCTTCAGCACAGTTTGTGAAGTATCGAGTACCGAGTCAATCGCATCTATCACTGAGCAATCTTATTTCTCGTTCAGCGGAACAAATACAATCGAGACGCATTCATTGCAGTCGACACGTTCACTTTCGCCAGAACCATCTCAGGAGGAATAGATTATGTGTAGAACGATATATCTGAGTCCTCGTGCAATCAGACCTTCTATATGGGCGTTTAATCTCACAGGGCATTTCATGTCACTGGGATGGGGGTTTAGCTTGACTGGCAAATAATTATGGCATACATTTCTAGTGGCCTCTAGAGTGCATTAGCGTATAAAAGGAATGAGGAAAAGAATCCGTTCAGTGCAGCGATTAGCGTCCGGCAGAGTGCGCACTGCGCAGGTGTCTTGATACGACTAGTCGAGATGTTTTGGCATTGCGCTATCGAGGCGGCGGTGGAGACTACTAGGGCCTAGACAAGTCATGACTCGCTTATGCAGCCACTGTTAATGGCAAGGTTCCGCTAATCAGTAGTATATCAACTAATGCAATCTCGAATTACAAACTCAGCCTGGTTTTTGAAAGTATCCAGTTAGAATTGCTAATTATGTCTAGTATGGCTGCGGGTGACTTTACTCGTTATGCTGTTCTCAGCTGAACATAGCCTTGTATTAGTTTGCCCCTGAGGTCCACTTAAATAAAGCATGTTCGCTCGTGCTGGTAGCTCAAGAGTCAATTGACATCCTCATCTCTCATTATGGATATATCTGAGTTGCTCAATCCCTCGCCGATCTCGTCTGTTGCCTACGCATCAGAGGTAGTCAATCATCCACAACCAGTTGTATACAACCCTCAAGCTGTTGTCAAAGAGTTTTCTCCAATTACAGACCAACAAAAGGCTGACTCACTTAGTAAGTAATATCTAACAAAACATTATCAGTTTCCACTTAGTCTGAGACAGGGACGTTCAATCAAGAATTACGGTTCAAGACTCCGGAAACTATTGAAAAAAGGGACGAACAGAAAGATGAAGAAGGCTTTTTTCCACGATCAACCTACTCAGAACAAGAGTTACTGTTTCTTTGGTATCAATTTATTGATCTCAAAAAGACATGGAAGGAATGCCGTAAGGCTTTCATTGAACAATTTCCAAAGAGACACCCAAGGAAACATTCAATAAAAAACGCTTTTTATCGCTACTTGGACTACAAAGCCCCTAGAAAGCCATACAAAGGAAAAAAAAAAGAAAGAGACGCTCCATCTGTCTTTGATATCTGTGATCGACGTTATTCCTGGATGATGGACCCAAGATCGAAAGTTATAGACCTAATAAAGGATGATCTACTTGGTAAGCAAGCCCCCAAAATGTCATGGATTTTTACTCAGTCTATGACAGGGACATCTACGCGTGGTAGGAAGCCCTTCTTCACAAACGAAATTTTACTGTTTCTTTGGTATTGCCGTATCGATCTCAAATTGGGTTGGACAAGCATTTTCAAGGACTTTGAAACTATATTTCCAGCTTATAACTGTCATAAACTCCCATTACAAAAAGCGCTCTACACCTTCAAGACAAAGGTGCTCAAGGGCGGTGAGTATGGAGAAAACCAGGTTCCATCTGTCTTTGAAATCTGTACGAAACATTATTCCTGGATGAAGACCGGAGGAAATAGAGATATATCTGCCTTGGGTAGTTCCTATATACATCCGAGTTTAGCAGCTTGAAGTGGTCGCTACTTGCTACTCAGTAATATTCCTATATAAAGGGCCTCTGCCTCTACATCCAAGAATATTTTTCCTCACAGACGGCGGAGAAGAATGGGGCCTTGTTCAATCGATACCGTGCGCGATCGGGGAACTTGGAGGTCAGAAAGCTGTAAAGACGATTTTGTATTTGGTGTTTTGAAAGAGATTGGCACCATGGAAATCTTTTATTGAAGTCCGTGATACATTCATCCCATTCCTTGTTGAGATCAACAATATTATACCAGAGAAAGTGTAACTCTTCGGATCGGCGACTTTTTCCTGGTAAACTACCAGCAAGGTGCGAGGCCTGCGGAGCTGCTCGTTCACAATCAGACAACTCTGTCATAGACTAAGTAGAAATCTATGATAGTTCTTAGAATCACTTACTAAGTGTATCATCCTTTTCCAGGTCTATGATTGGAGGTGACTTTTCGAAAGCGGAGGAGGTAGGTCGCGGATTGGGTGACTCTGCTATATTGGTAACTTTCGGTTTGGACGATGGCATCCAGGGATAATGTCTCTCGCAGACTTCGAAGACAGATGGGGCCATTTTTTGTAGGTTCCGTCTGCGCTTTTTATCCGGGAATTTGCTTTTGAAGTAGCGGTAAAAAAGTCGTTTTATTGAACCCGTGGTTGGAGATTCCTCTGGAAACCTGTTTTTAAAAGCCTCAAGACATTCTTCCCATGTCATTTTGAGATCAATAAAATGATACCAAAGAAACAATAAGTCTTCTTCTGAATATTCACGAGCCGTCCCTGTCTTAAAATAAGTGGAAACCCGCACAGTATTCAGTTAGATATTACTTACTATGTGAGCCAGCCTTTTGTTGGTCTGTATTTGGAGACAACTCTTTGACAACAGGTTGAGGGTTGTATACAACTGGCTGTGGACTATTGACTTCCTCTGATGCGTAGGCAACAGACGATGTCGGCGAGGGATTGAGCAATTCAGATATATCCATAATGAGAGATGAAGAAGTCAATTGATTTTCGAGCCGCTACAGGAGTGAACTTGCTTTATCTAAGTGAACGTCAGGGGCAAACTAATACAACGCTATCTAATGTTCAGTGCAACAAATAAAGTCCCCTGCGGTAGTTTTTCGTACCAGTCGTCCGTGCCAGGAATAGATTTCATCATCCTCCATCTTGAATGCAGGCCCATATCCTACCCTTCGGATGACGAGAAATTCTAGAACAAGCAGCATTGAACTAAATCTTTACAAAATTCAGAGCTTTCTTCGACTTCCGGCTGGAGTGATAGCTCTATGAGGTCTTTTTCTGTTCTATGAATAACGTGCCAGACATAATTAATCCTTCTCGGAAACTGGTTAACTTTGTAATTCAAGTCGATACGCTAGGATAGAGTACTTATCGTAAATCACCCTACCTAGTAACGTGTCAATGATTTAGCTGCCGGCATTTAAAGCGGATCCTTGTTCCCCAATCACAAAGATCAAGATGAAATCGTGTTTAGCGTATTCTAATCTACACTTAGGCTAAAAATATTATTGGAATTGGCGATTGATTTATGAATCATAAAATCCAGCCGAATGATGGACCGTTACGGTCTAGAACCCGGAACTAAAACCGGGGTACATGAGGCCCGTGCGATGCCGTCTTTGTCTTCCGGCTGTCCATGATCAGCGAATTGATTGCATACCAGCCAAACCGAGCTAAATGCCATATGGTTTTGCATCGCCTGATTGACCAGGGCACATAAGACCCGTACGCTGCTGCCTGTAATAACCGCAATCCTGTTTGGTTTCAGAGGCTCCCCTTGGAAGTACGTTCATTCCATACTCCGTAGTAAAATTGGATGTACGGATACTAGACCTTATCGGCGCGATCATCCTAACAGGTGCCTATCAGAGCTAGTTAAGTCTTGGCACATGTTTTTGACTTGTTCAACACAATCCCGACGGCGTGTGATTTCTTGCTCATTCCTGTCTCCCACCACATTTGATTTTCCTAGCTGCTGAAAAACTTCGAATTTTGCGGACCTGCACACCAGTATGGCTCTATATGACATTTTATGTATGGCGGCTAAATCTTATATCGATGTGTTGGAAATGAACGAAGTTTTCGAAGAGGTCGATGGACGTTTTGATTTCTCAGGCACTCTCATTGTTTACCAAGTAAACTCTGAGCTGCATCACGCATTCTCGAAAGCTCGCTATTCCTCGCCTTCAGAAGTCAACGCAAAACACTTTAGAAGTGACATTCGAATTCCCGTCTCGGCCTACAATCCGTTATTCCCATTTAACTTGACACGTGCACCCGACTCAATCCCGAACGACGCATTTATCAAAAGACCTCGGTTAATCAGTTATGATCGGATTTGCGAGGGGCCCCAATCGAATTTGATTGCAGAATCTCTCCTTAGAGAAGCATACGTTTGTGAGCTTCTAACGGAACATATGCATCCCAATATCGCCTCATATCTCGGTTGCCAGGTTTCTAATGGTAGGATAACTGGTCTGTGCTTCATGAGATACAAGCATACTTTAATGCAAGAGGTGAACCCAAACAACTTCATGAAGAGAAAATCCAGAGCTATGCGTCAAACAACAAAGGACTACAGCAATGTCATAGCCGGAATTGAGAGTGGCATTAGGCATCTTCATTCTTTGGGGTTGGTCCATAACGATATCAATCCAAGCAATATCATGCTTGATGGTGACCAGGCGGTTATAATAGACTTTGGTTCTTGTCGTCCAGTGGGAGAAAGTTTACAAGATGTTGGTCGTACGTACGAATGGTATGATGAGAAAGTCGAACAATCCATTCCCGAAAACGACCTTTCTGCCTTGGAGGAGATTCGAATATGGCTAGGTGATAAGTCGCATGAATTTCAATTTAGCGAGTAGAAATCTTAATTGCAGAGTACAGGACTAATACTTGAAACTCTCCATATGTGCAAATACATCTTTAACGAATCGAAACAATAGAAAATAATCCCAGAATTGAGCAGCCCTCCCATCATAATGATCAAGTTTGACAGTCTTTGTATGTCGACGCATGACGCATGACGCCTAACTGTAACGTTTGTTAATGCAGTTGTCTGTCTTAGAATCCGGTGAGAACATACTTGCCAATCACGTCGGCTTCACATAGGCCCCAGAATTGATGCAGGTTGTGGACTGGCAATCAGACACCTTCACCCTTCTGCCACTGCTTTCCGTCTTAAACACACAACTGTTCACAGGGTCTGCAACTCCGTCCTGCATCATGTTCAGATGAACCGGAAAGGAATACACCGTATATTGAGGAATTTAGAAGAGCAGAAAATATTAGAATTGGCTGCTAGAGAGAGACTGACGATGGCCGAAACTGATGACGAATTTCTTAAAGAATCACCAATGTCAGTTAATGGGGTTATGACTCCTGAGAGTTGAAGGTAGATAAGAAATTGGTTCATAGAGGTCGATGGGTATCTTATATAGTTGTTCTACAAGGCTAGAACTACCGGTAGCTGGTAAGGCGAGCGTTTATTCCCTCCATAATGTATGATTGAAACCTACAGCATGTCATGAACTAAGATCCCTGTAACATTATGCATATGCATACAAACTCACTGTTAGTTGCCAACGCACGCTTATATTTTAATCTACGTATAGGTAATAGCGCACAGGCCTTCTGATCCAAATGAGTCAGAAGACGACGGCAAGCCACAGGAAGATGCATTACAGAGCTAAAAACGACTGTATACCTCAAGTGATCACGTGGGGTTATTATCGGGCACCCATTCAGCCCCTCAACTGGGTCCCACCTCAGACGGGACATACGTTTCTTTCTTTTTCTCTTTTGGCGCATTCAGCTTCCACATTTGAAGGCGCCATCATTGTTTAGCAGCTTCGTGGTATGTATAAGTTGAAGAAACTTGACCGGCCGCTAACTCGTAAATAGGCAATCACAGCTTTATTCTATGGAAGGTCTAGCAGGTTCCCTTGCCAAAGCGGAATGGCAACCGCGCGGCCAAGCTTCCTCTACTTGCAACAACATCGACATTACAAAGCAGCTAAGCGATTACGTTCCATCCTGGCTCAAAGAATATGAACTAAGCGCCTGGAAGAAAACCGTCGGCTTTACGAGGATAGAATCGCCGGAGGGGTTCCTGATACCGGTTACGATTACGGCTGGCGAGCCTCACATATCTGACGGCACAACTTCAACCAAACTTGTTCAGAATATTCCTGTTCCTTTTAAGGCGGGATACATAATTTCTGGCTCGCTTTATTACATTATCGCTTTGCCTCCAGCCCCCGCAACATGAGAGGATTTGACAACACACGGAACGATAGGCGATGAGATTATGGAGGACACAAAGTGTATTGAACTCGTTCGCCGGTCCTGTCGCTATGCTATAGGGATAAAGAAATATCTGAATCGAATGTCAAACCAGGCAATTGTTGAATTTAGTAGTTTACCAGTTCCAACGGAATGCCTGAAACACCAGGCATCGACTATGTTTCTGCCAAGCCCATCGGAACGTTCGGAGCATGAGCTGTTGGTTGAGAGTAGTTTACTAGGTCCGATGGAATGTCTGAAACACTAGGCATCGGCTGAGTATAGTGTGCCGAGCCAACCTGGTTACTTGAAGCATGAGATATCGATTGAGTGTCTACTGAGCCCATCGGAGCGTTTGGAGCTTGACGTGTGGGTTGAGAGTAGTTTACCAGGTCCAACGGTATGTCTGAAATCCCACGTATTGGTTGAGTATAGTGTGCCGAGCCCACCTGGTTAATTGAAGCATGAGATATCGATTGAGTATAGTCTATTGAGTTTATCGGCACGTTTGGAGCCTGTGATGTTGGTTGAGAGTAGTTCACTAGATCAAATGGAATGTTTGAAATCCCGCGCATTGACTGAGTATAGTGTGCTGATCCCACCAGGCTATTTGAAGCATGAGATATCGGTTGAGTGTAGTCTGCTGAGCCCATCGGAGCGTTTGGAGCTTGACGTGCGGGTTGAGAGTAGTTTACCAGGTCCAATGGAATGTCTGAAACACCAGGCATCGGTTGAGTATAGTGTGCCGAGCCAACCTGGTTACTTGAAGCATGAGATATCGATTGAGTGTCTGCTGAGCCTATCGGAGCGTTTGGAGCTTGACGTGTGGGTTGAGAGTAGTTTACCAGGTCCAATGGAATGCCTGAAACACCAGGCATCGATTGTGTTTCTGCCGAGCCCATCGAAACATTTGGAGCTTGAGGTGTTGATTGGGAGTAGTTTATCAGGTCCAACGGAATGTCTGAAACACCAGGCGTCAATTGAGTGTAACGCGGTTCCATACCTGCCATGTGCAAAGAAGTCGGCACGTGAATAGACTGAGGATCATTATTGAGCAATTGACTTCTGTCTCCGCCATTTTCTCCCAATCGATGTGCAATGTTTGCAGAGAGATTAAGCGCCTGTGGGGTCCCCAGGAAAGAATCGTATTGCGAAACGGAGATTTCAGAACGATATGGTCTCGCAGCACTGTGATCAAGACATGGGCGTTTTGGAAGAGGTTGCGAAAAATCGTCATCTTCCGCTAGATCGGTTGCGATGGAAGACGTGTCGGACCACTGATGGTGTGCAGATCCGGACGTATTAGAGCAATAATCGTCCGACGATTGAATACGTTCACTGAGTTCTGTGTTGCTGCTACCAGCCCATCCGCGAGTCTTCAACGAAGTGTAACAGGATTGGAAGTCGGAACTCCATGGTGATAGTTCTAATAAAATTTCTAGAATCCGGCGTGGCGGTTCCTCTGTAGTTGAACTCTTCTTCTTCCTGAGAGGACTTATTTCTGGATTTGCGACTATACAAGAGATCAAGTCACGAATTGTCTCGAAGCTAGCAAAGCTGAATCTTGCAACCACTGCTAGCACCGCTGCTAATCCAGCTGTAATCAATGATTGGGACAACTTCTTTTCGAGTAGACGTTCAGCCACCAGGATCCTAAGGCCGGCGTAGACACCTTCAAGAGCACTTCCGTATTCATCATGGTGAGAGTCAATGCATATATAATCCTTCACGAAGCATGCAATCGAGTGTGATTTTTGGTTGAGTATACTCTGGCTCTGGCTCTGGTCCGTGTCTGTGGCTAATTTGAGAACAGCAAGACATAGTTCTTCGACTCTCGAGGGTTTGCCTTGAAGTTCTTGTTCCTGAATGAATTGGAGCGCAAAGGATCGCTGAGCATACCCTCTGAAAAGGATTTCTTGACGCGTCGCCTTTCTACCACAGCGTAGAATATCGTCCAGCCTTGGATCCCAAGTACGGGTGCCCTTTTTCTTGATTATCGACGCAGGCGATTGCTTTGTGAAGTCAAGCAACCAAGGTATGCTTCTTTCCACGTGTTCAAACAAGGAGATAGCTTTACTGTTCTCCGGCGTTGGATGCGGAGGAGACGAGATGGGAGGCGAAGGAGCGGGAGGTGACGAGGTGTGAAGTGACGAGGTGCGAGATGGAGATGTTACCGTGGAAGGGCTGGTAGTGACGACGAGATTTTGTACGCGTCCCAGAGTTTCGAAAATAAAGTCGTGTATACTCTCACTAGCAAGCGCTTCCTTCAACTCTTCATCTGACGCATTATGTATGACTTTTAACGCTGACAGGACGTCCATTTCTGCTCTTGGATGGCAGAGTGATGCCTGAAGGGGTTGCCAGAATATCATGTTGAAAGTGCTCCGAGTAAGCCCGGATCCAGAAGCAGATCTAGCCCCTCATCACCTCCCGTCGACCACCTTGAGTAATTAATGCAAGGTGACCCACACTTGCCAGACATCGGACAAGTGTGGGTCACAAATCGCTCCACAACCACTTACATTCCCGCTTCCCCGCCGCACAGTCTACTCCACTTGCCAAAGCGCGAAGGAATGTACGACGTCCCTATAGTAGGTTATAACCTTGTTGGTGTATCGTCTTCGCCTTAGCTATCTTCGAGTCTCCATCCAGTCGTCTTGTCATATCTATAATCATATGCTAGCTCAAGTCGGCCAATTAGCCTATTGTCTGCAGCCATAACTAAAGGAACCCTAGATACAATGATACCTTTTTAGTAGGAATACCCTGCCAATGCTTTTGCATATGTGTGATAGTCAAGCAGCCCTCACCCATGTTAGATTGTCATCACTTGTAGCCATAATTTGTCACTGGTTATCTTCCTCAATCAACATGTCCATGATCAATCTAATGGCAGGATCAGACATCGACCACTTTAACGATCTAGAGATATATTTTGCTTCTATTGCCTTGCTTCAATAGTAAATAGGTTTTAGATCGACGCTCGCGTCTATTCTAACAGGTACTAGTCCTTGGTGACCATGAAAATGTGATGTTATCAGAGAAGTCAATATATCTATAAAGATGCCAGCCTCGTCCTAAGCTCTCACCGCAATTTGGGCCAGACCACCCAAGGCTACCTGACCGGTTTCAAATTCCTTGCTGAGCCCTAAATGTTATTCATACTAGAATACTACTTGTTTGCGTGTGGCAGCAGGCGAAGAAATGACAAGGCTTCCTTGAAGCCCGATCTGGTAAGCATCATAGGTCCCCTGAGATTGCTGCTCTCTTGCTTAAGTTGCTAATGCGTCTATGCTTGTGAAGGAAGCAAATTCCCGTGGAAACATAGCCACTTCTGAAAATAGAGATCATCCAAGCCAGGAAGCATCAGGCAGTCCAATATCCGTTTGTCAAAAGCAGCGGTCAAAAATACCACCAATGCAGGATACCAAGTCCAGACCGAGTTCCAAATATTCTCTCTTCCTCTCAGGACGAACCATGCAGATTGAGAGACCTAGAGCGACCGACCGAATTCGACTTAGAGTTTATCTCCGAAGACCAGAAAAGGCAGTTGTGAAGGATCCATCATGGGGTGATCTAGTTCACTCTGAACGGAGCTTTTTTGTTTGAAAAATAATTGATGGCCTATTGGCCCATGGGCCATGTTTCCCTGTCATTGTTATTTACAGGGCCTACCACTCATCAACGAAAGTTATTGTATATTGAAATGCATGTATTAATTATTAATGCAAGTGAACACACTAGGGTGTCTTCATAATCTTCTCAGAACGCTAGATATAATATATTCCTCTCACGTTCAAACTTAAGCACTACATATCCTCTATCCACTGGTCAATTTGCTGCTGCACGATGTCGTCACCACCGCCTTTGTCTTTACACCTGATGAATGCATACATGCGAGTAGTGCATGTCGAGACACAGCAATCAAAATCATTTGTGGTTGTGCAGCGGGTGCCTGGCTTTGCGGTTGTCTATTCTGCCATAGATGTTATACCGAAGGTCTAAAAGCTAAGGAAAATAATGCGGTTCATTGGTATATTGAGGCTCCTATTGGATATCTTATCTTTACTTACAGATACAAACCCCTTTCTATGTTACTAGAAACGCGAGTCTATGGGTACGGCGAATCAACGCGCATATTGAGAGGTATAGGGAAAATCTGAAACCCGGACAGGAATAGATGGATTATGAATGACAAAATAAATTGGATCGTGTATGGGAATCCCCGCTCAGCACCCTTAGCTATTTATTACATGTTGATTATAGATAGGATGCTTATATAAATGCAATTCTGTTTCTCAAGTCTTTTGTCTATTCACTACCAATTTGTGACAAAGCTACCTCGCGATCAAGGCTTTAATCATGCTTAAACATGCACGCGGAGATATCTGGAAACCTCATGTAAGATTGTCTTCATGATTGTTTGACTAATTCTAATTCTACTAGGTCTGCAGACCCCGTACCTTGAATCACGAACTATTCGTCGATGAGTTTAGTTTCAAGAGCCTTGAGACTAGCCTTAACAAAATCAAGTCCAAAGCAATTTCAGTAGGACGGGGCTTGTTTCTTGTGTATCCCCAAACAAGGGATGAACTGCGGAAAATCGAACAATATTGGGAAGCAATACCACTGGATAGCAAGGACGGGAATTGTCCTTTCCCCGAGCACCATCCGGGAACTGGGTTGGAAGCTCAATTTCTATGGCAGACCTCGGTGTGTACTGCAATACAGACGTATTGTGATACTGGGAAAGAACTGCCCGAATGGATGAAAGAATTGGACAGGGAAATGAAACTGTCGTTAGCGGCAACTGAGAGCCACCTGCGTCAAGCAGCCCACGAAATCGCTGGTGTCACACACTTTCAGCGCCTTAGCCCTCTCTGTGCTGGAAGAAATCTAGAATTGTTGCATGGCAGAATTGGCGGCCCGTGACCTACAAGCGAAGATCTGATGCTATCTATTTCTGTACATTAAGTGCCGCCGGTCTTGATCGGTGCGGTACAACTGGGATTATCATTATTATTACATCCATATATTCATCTATCTATTGCCGTAGACGTCACAGTGTTTATAAATATGGTCAGCCTTGCCGTAACATCTGCTATGCTTTTCTTTCACCTAGCTGAGATGATCATACCGTAGAAGCGCCGGCTCGAACTATCCGGACAGCTGGCCTAGTCTCTTTGACACGAAAAAAACCATGAGAGAGAACTTCCCTCCAATTAAAAGTCTACGGACTCTTTTAACGCCGTACTGGGTGTGCGTTTGCATGTACCCAAGCCTGCAGTTCTGTACGAACGAAACCAGGAACCAGCGGCCTCCCTATCAGATCAGACATCCTCGACGTATGTAATATACAATAGTCGATTAGTTTCATTCCTAACTTCCATGTCTAGTCGGAAAATACCAAGTTCCATGCAAAGGAGCAAGCGGAAAAGATGTGGGGATACCTTTGCTTTGTCGATATGTGACGTGGTGGACATGGCTAAAAATAAAGCTTAGTTGGATATAGTTACAATATCTAGACTAGCCAAATTATATGCAGAGCTTCGCATTTATGACCCATGCTTAGGAAATTAGTTTTCAGCTGAGCAATTTGGTTTTCATCAATGGTATATTTATATAGTGTATCATCCCCCGTAATCATCCAGCAGCCGCAGGTAAAGCCTACTATTCTTCACTTTCGCTACCAACTTTACGGAGTAGGCGATTTCAAGCTAAATAAGTCCCTGCAACGATGTCATTTCCTATATGCTCTTCTAATCCTATCCACGAAACAGCAGTTGAGAAGTGCTGGCAGCCAGCAAAAGCGAATCGCTCTCGTGGTTTTCCTGGTACGACATTTCAAAAGCAGAATGCAAACTGTCATTACAGCAAACGGGCGGTATGCGATACGTGCCATCAAGCAAGAGTAAACTGCTCTCGTGGTTTCCCTTGTACGACATGTCAAAAGCAGAATGCAAGTTGTCATTATAGCAAACGGGTGGCATGCGATACGTGCCATCAAGCAAAAGTCAAATGCCCCGGTGGTTTTCCTTGTACGGCATGTCAAAAGCGAAATGAAAGCTGGCCGGCATGCGATACGTGCCGTAAAGCAAAAGCGAAATGCTCTCGTGGTTTTCCTTGTACAACATGTCGAAAGCGGAATGCAAACTGTCATTACAGCGAAAGGCGCCGTAAGAGCCCATCATCAGTAATGAAAGAAGTCACCGTCCAGGAAACATCAAGTGCCCCAGCACTGTTTGAGAGCAATCTATCCATCTTACCGTCTGGTCAACCAAATCTGCAAGACCCCGGCATGATGGGACATACCGGAGACGCCATCCATCCGAATTACCTGATGGAAGAGCCTCAGCTCTCAGGAGAGAAATTTATGTACGACTCGGAGCTACCTTATCCCTACGTTGGCGTCAATCGTGATTCAACGGCAAGATGCTTCCAGGAATTACCAACCGCTGATCAAAAGTACTCTTACCATATCTTGTCTACATACGAAAATTAAATTTATGAACCTGGAGCCAGCGTCCTGGAGAATATAGATGCGCAGTATACTGTCGAAGATTGGGGGTGGTGCCACCACATATCTATAACAAGAACTGTGGAAGCGAATGCAAGAGCCAGATAGACCGGCGACCAGCCATCTCGTCCAATCTCTTCATATAAATGGTAACCCATTATGTTGTCTCTAACGATTATTACTTCCCAGATGGAGAAGGAGGACCAGTATGATATATATAGAGCTGCTGTTCATAGGACTAGACATTTCATCTAAAGAGAAAGATTACCGATTTTAAAAAGCATATGCAAGGAGAAGACATTGGAAATGTTCGAGCAATCAAAGAAGTAAAAGCTGGCAGTCCAATTCTGTTGGCCAGATTCATGAACCTGCTAGGCAGGAGATTAGTCAAATCTGCGACTCATATAGTTTACTCACACCATTAGACCACTGCTGTTGCACCACTGCTGTTACATGTGCCCATCTGATCCAACTGAGTGACTAGTAGCCCCAAGTGTCGAATGAATATAACTCGCCATTTGTGAGAGCTCATTCTATGTTCAGGGCTCATTCTCTTGGATCGCATGTAGATGGAATCAGTGAGCCCAACACGTATCAATTCTCACGGAAATAGAATGCCATTCTTTAGTTTGGAAAACTTCATTAGTAGACTAAGATCACAAGCCGGCATCACGATGGTGAGGATCGCCGATAGTGTAGGCATTTGTCCTCAGGGATCGAATCAGCTAGCCCAGGTTTCATCTGCTAGTCCGCGCTTTCAGTATACATAGTTAATATACAACGCTACTCGGTCTAGAGTAATCCTCAATCAGGGGTACGAGAGTCAATGCTCCAGTCTAGAGTAGTAGGAGCGCAGATGAACCAGACTTGTCTATCCCCTGAGACCATAGAATCAGATCGCCTATCGGCTATAAAGTAAACAACCTCCTCCCTCTATTTGCCTCAAGTCGACACAATATATTGCACTGCAATAAAATCACAAAATGGATACCGGAGAGGAAGCTCGAAACGTTGATCCATGTGTATCATGCATCAGGAAAGATATTTCTGTAAGTTTTGATATGCTGTAACATTAACTTTCCCATGTTAACCATATAATAGTGCGATGGCTTTCCAACTTGTTATCAATGTTTTATGGAGTGTACGCCATGTAGGCGCCGCAGTGAAATAACTTTATTTTTATCCACTTCACGAAACTACTTTCCAAATGACGCACTCGACATACTCGACTGTCTGATATGCCACAATGCGGAAATCCTAACTCTTTTCGCGGTGTTGAAAGAAACTGTACTACGTATGCGATCTCTCGTGTCAGAAGTCAAAGAAATGCGCGGACAACATGAAATGATACCGAAATTACACTACGAAGTTAATCAATTACGAGACGAAAATAGTCAATTGCGAGCCGAGTTTAATATATTACGAGCCGAGTTTAATCAAGTACAAGCCCACGTCACTCAACTTCATCGAGGAAAGCACTGGAAATAACAAAGGGGTGCTAAGACTGTTGGCTCCATGTGCACATGTATAGTCCTAACTAGCTAAGACTAGATTTGCATTCAATGTAATAGTAAAATAACCTTATACCTTACTACTTTTCACCTTTAAGCGCTGTATCTCCGCGTCCTTTCTACCATACAGTATGCAGGCTTGATGCTGCCGTAGAAATGCAAACCCGGTTCTGTAAGCTATCAGAAACAAGTATTATGGGAAAGGGGTCAAGGTATTCTATTGGGTTTTGAGATTGATAGCATTGTTCTATCGCTTTTTCCTTCTTTCCTTCTCCCTCCTTCGTTTTCGAGATGTGTTTTCTTTCAGTCAATTGATGTAGTGTCAGTACGGTTGACAATGAACAAGAACAATCTGGAAGCGAGGCCCTGTTCGAGCAATCGGAGAAGAAAAAGCCGGAAATCCCATTCGATTGGCAGACTCCAGACAGGAGAGAAGTCAAATCTGCGACTCGTATATCCATCTGGGTCTAGACTGGGGAAGGACATGCTATTCTTACTATTGCCATTACTTACAGGCTCCAAAATCTGCTATCGGTATCGTCAGTATGCAGGTTTTCTGAATGACAGGAGACAGGGAGCCGAGCACTCAGTGATAGTCGTATCTCAGTGCATCGCATAATGATCAGACATACAATATAGACGGCAATACAGAACTTCCTTCCCCGGTCTAGACCCAGATGGACCAGACGGATTTACGAGTCGCAGATTTGACTAATCTCCTGCCCAGGTATATGATGCACTCCACATTACTATTGCATTGAAGCGACGTTCATCTCTAGAAGTTAGAACAATCCCTGTAATGCAGTTTACAGGTTACGTAGATATGCTACGATGCTCGGCTAGCTCGACTTTATGCCAACCACGAGCTCAATTGGATCTATGGGAACAAGTAGGTTGGCTCGTATAGTTGTTCTCGTGGGACAATTTCATCCAGCTCAGCTGAGGGTGTATATAAACTAGCAGTTCACTCTCCCCCCGTTTCTGCAAAGTCGTTGACTTTATTTTTATCAAATCGAAGTCTCTTCATTAGTCGCTCTGCAAAGTCTTTGACTCTATTCCTATCAAATCGAAGTCTCTTTTTCTCAATATGTCGTCAGAATCACGGCAACCACAAGCTCAGTGTGAGAACCCGAAAATTAAATGCCGGGATTGCGGGCAAATCTTTGCCACAGAAAACGATCTTACATCGCACTTACGATACCACCGCGTCCTTCCCACGACACTTTTATCTTGTGATTTCCCTCAGTGCAGACGCATAGATTACAGCGGTTTTTCTACTAGAGAAAATCTTTGGCGTCACCAATGTCAAATCCATGGGACACTGTCAATTGTGCAAGCACTTTATCTTGCGAACTCAGACATTACCATCAACGACACTAACGATGATTATGTGAAACATAAATTAGCCGTGAAATCCTGGTTCACGGAGTAACCAATTTTGAAAGTACTTGGGCCACTCAATCCAAGCTAATTGCTGGCTCTGAGTCGGTTTCAGGCGCCAAGTTCGGTTCGACAACGAGTTCGGAACATAGCGACTTTGCGCAATAATATCTCTCGCTAGGATTCGGGATCTTGGTTTGTGATGGGAGAGCTAGCGGGGGTTAGCTTATGGAGCTTTTTACGAAGACAATTTGGGTCTTGATTGGTCGAAACTACTATTATAGATAAGATTGAATCAGCACTAGTCAACATGCGATTGTCACTCTTTATCCTCCTTGACAGATTATAGCTCGTATTGATGGCATGCTGAGGTTGTCCAGAGAGTTTCTTCAAACATAGAAATGCCACTTCATTAACAAGTTTGAGTAGTAGTAAACAGGCACCATTTGACAATTCGAGTGGGAATGGACAACCAAGCAATCTTTCTTCGATATTCTCACGACGTGCCGTCCGTAAGTAGTACACAGTTAGGCCACGTTCCAAATTCAGGTATAGAAAGAGACTTCCGTCAAACTTCGGCTGTTAGCGGTTCTTGTTCTTGCTTTTGTTCCTTTTCCTCCAGTATCTGCATATGGCTTCTGATAAACTTCTCATCCGGCTGACCCGATAGTGTCATAGTCATATTATCTTCGCCATAAACTTTTCCGGAGATTACCCTCATATAACTTGATCGGTTTTAGCAGTTGACTTTCTATTGGATAAGAGAAGCCTCACATGTAAAATGGCGGTGGAAGATTTCCAGTCGTGCTAATCATCAAGTTAGAGTCATATTATGATATTCAATTATAGCTGAGAACTCACAATAGAATTGACCTGGGTAATAGTAACTCTATCCCTATATAAGGGCAATGCCATACCATAAATTTACAAAATTCCTTCAAAAATTGAAATTCAGTGTTATCGAAACGAATATCTTTCTTGTTCTTGGAAATGCTCGTCTGGGCACAGCTAATATAGGTCAGTCAGGACATCCTAAAAGAAATCTTTGGATACACACCACTTCTTCTCAACATCGTATAAGCGTACATAGACTTCCCAGCCTTCGTTTTTATCGACTTCGATCATATGACCTTGTATGGTAGATTTTTTGACCATTACCCTTTGAAGAACTTGCTCCAGATTCATTTTTCTGAAAAAATTCTGCTGTTGTTCTTTAAGCAGGTCACTTATTGGCTTTGACTCTTCCGGATTTTCTTTGCTGATCGAGCTAAGCTGTTGAAGAAGTTCTGTACTTGACTGCTGGAAATAGAGTAGTGAGATCCGTGAGACTAAGTTTCCAGAATCCATTTTCTTTCTGTGTGTAGAAACTCATTCACCCGGGCAAAGGCCATCTTCAAATACAAACTAAGCCTACCGATGTATCACGGGCTCCAGAAAGCTAGTGTAATCCCTGCCTGCAGCATGACCTTAATTTTCTCCATTTGGATGTCAAAATGCCGACTCGCATGAATTAGGGGCTGCCACCTGCATCCGTTCCTATCATGCAGAATTGAAAACTAACTAGTCTCTGTGATTCAAGGCTTGCATTAGTTGCATTGTGTAGGGAATCTGCCTTCTCCCTCATTGCTTATTGGCCACACCACCCCCCTCGTCACAGGGAGCAGCAATCCAGATCTGGTATATTAATGGGCCAAACCGATCAGTGTATTACTCCTACCTTCCTGCCTAAATTCCTTCATCCCGACACATTTCCATAATGCCGTCAAAGTGCTGATTAAGGTGCAAATATGCCTAATTTTCAAGTTTATGGTCTAAGATTAATTGGGTGCTTAGACTTCTTTTACTGGAACTAATTAGTTAGATCTTAATCCGAGTCCTTGTATCTTGGTACTTACCCAGTCTAGTTTAGTTGTGATCCCAAATCCAAGCGTCGTGTATTTCGGATGTTGATAGCAACCTAAAATAGGTTAGTTACTAGGCTCAAATCCAAGCGTCTTGTATCTGTATGCTGTTCGGTAACACTAGTGATACGGTTAGTTCCTCCGAGCGTAATAAATAGATATCTATAGGCTACATAGTAGTTATAGCTACTTAGTACTACGTAATGTTAACATATACGTTCAGACCTCCTGTAGGCGAAGGAAAAGGTGCCAATTAGGTCGTACTTCCAGCTTCCTTCAAGGTATTTGAATTTTGACTTGACGCTTAAAGCGCAAGTACGCAGCACTTGGATTTGAAGTAAGCTACTAAACTATATTGAGTTAAGGCTAACATGCCCTTGTTGTATGTAGAACCGGCACACGGTCATATCGATCAAGGCATTGGCCAATGACTTGTAATCTTGTTAGTGTCAATCGGCATAGGAGGGGGAATAGCTCTCATCGTACTGTCTAGAATCTCCTCCTCCCACACCCCCATTTCGTAATCAACTAAACCATAACCTTCAAGCCCATCGCATAGATGAATCAGGAAATCTCCCATGTCTTCCATCTCATCCGCATCAAGGATTTGATTCTCCTGGCTGGACTCCTTCTGTTTTTGGAATGTGGTCAACCAGCAGATATTGAAAGTAATCCACAGGTCACGATTCTGCTGCCGTTTGCATGGGTCGTTCGGATGATCCTCAAAAAGACCTGATTAATGAGTCCAGATGTATATACGAGTAGACTTCGAATCTTACCTAGCAGGTTTGCGTTGTGGATTAAAATTGTTGATAACTGTTTTAATGCACGTACAGCCAATCGCAGATTGGAAGTTTGGACCATTTGAACCAGATTCAGTACCATTGATGTGAATGCCTTTATTATTGCTTGAGCATCAAACACGTCCTCGTTAATATCGGTTCCCACGCTTGTTTCATAATATTCTTGCCAAGGTTCTATGGCAAACTGGATCGGGGACGCAGGCCTTGGGTCCTGATCGTGAACTTGTGTAGAACTGTGCGGTAGCCAAGTGCTGTTTGATTGTGCGAAACTTGATTCGAATCCTCCAGCGGCCATAGGATTGAGAAAGTACTCAAAAGGGTACCGGGCATAATCCATGATAGTCGAAAAGTGGCCACTCCAGGCTCGAAGAAATTTGTCCCGAGACGAGGGCTATTTATTTACAACGACTACGCTGTCATTAAGACCGCCATCATCCGGTTACAGCAGAACATAGGGGCTGTGTTGATTGTAAGTTGAGATCAGCTCATGGCGATCAACTATAGTAATCTGTCGATGCCCCTGCCAGTGTATTAATACTGCATCCATAGCATGGAGCTAGTCGTCCGATCCAATACGGAATCCCCTGCATAGTCCAAAGTACTCCATGAACAAGGCTGGAATTCTAGGAAGTTCACTATTAATAGGACAGATTATTGCTTCCAACCGGAACGCTCTGAGATATTAGCCTGCGTCAAGGTTTCTGTCCAGCATTTATCCGCAGCCTGCTAGACTAGAACCATGTATCTTCTAGTAGATTAGCAGCTCACCCGTACGACTCTTCTCGTTATAAGATCAGCCAGTCTGACTAAGCATGGTTTGACTTTGTTTCTTGAAGCCTTTTTTTTTCTCTTCAATATGTCGTCGGGATCACTACAACCGCAAGACCAGGGCGGGCAACCAAGAATTGTATGCATCGATTGCTGTCATATCTTTGACATAGAAGAAGATCTCAAAACACACTTACGATACCATGGCGTCCTTCCCACGACACTTTGTGTGTACAGAAACCAAGTCCGACGTCGTCGCATGTAATTTATTGTTGGAAGCAATCGTTTAATCAATGGTGGATTAATTAGATAGAAATATAGCTATACAATGAACGAGCTAGTTTCAACCTAGACGATATTCGACATGCTTGCATTATCAGAAGTAGCTAGCTATATAGACAAAGATAATAGTAACAATAAGACTACTGCTGAATAGGAATAACTATATAGATACATAGCAAGCAACAAAGAAGTAAAGACTAAGAATACTAATTTCTTTACACAGCCATTCATATGAGAACTCTTTCTGGACCATATTAGGTTGAAAAGACAAATATAATCAAGTACAAGGAGAAATAGAAGTTGGAAAAAACGCCAATCTCTCTGAGGCATCCGGGCCGGCCGCATGATAGAGATAGAAAAACGGACAAATGAATGCTAACACCGTTAGACCCATCTGAATCTCGATTTAACAGGTCTCTCATTGTCAGATGAAGGGCTTTGCTTCCTCCAGTCTTCATCTGGTGTACTATGTTGAGTACTTAAAGTCCGTTGTGAGAATATGGAAGTGCCGCTTCTTGTTGAAGGATTGCTCTTTAATGTAGCTGTTGTAGCGGGTGTTTGTCTAGATGATGATTGCTGACTCCTGGATGTATTTGTTGTAGCTGGAGTCTGTCTAGATGACGATTGCTGACTCCTGGATGTAGCTGTTGTAGCGGGAGTTTGTCTAGATGATGATTGCTGGCTCCTGGATGTAGTTGTTGTAGCGGGAGTTTGTCTAGATGATGATTGCTGACTCCTGGATGTAGTCGTTGTAGCGGGAGTTTGTCTAGATGATGATTGCTGACTCTTTGATGTAGTTGTTGTAGCTGGAGTTTGTCTAGATGATGATTGCTGACTCCTGGATGTAGTCGCTGGGTTTCTCAGGGCAGACTGCGGTGCCGTGCTCTGCGTTCTGAATAAGCTTCGCCTGGCTGGCCCTGGAGGAGTAGTTCGAGGATTGTGCTGCTCGTTCTCTGGAGGCAATGCCTGATTACCTCTTGCTCTAGATCTGGTAAAATACGGAGACCGCTTCTGCTGGGGTCTTTTAGGCTCTGTCGAAGCACTGGGTATTTCCTGATCAGATCTTCGTCGAACTGACTGATCGTTCTGGTCAAAGTATGGCGATCGTCTATCAGGTGCTTGCTGGGCTCTCTCATCTACTTCCCTCCCCTGGATATTGGTAGACTGCTGATCCGATCTACTCACTGCACTCCTTACAGTCTCGCGTCGAGTTGGTCTGGAGGAATTGTGCCTGAGTGAACTTGTCCCAGCCACTGGGGCGGGAGTCTGTCTTGCAGTAGTCTGTCTTGCGGGAGTGTGTCTTGCGGGAGTCTGTCTTGCAGTAGTCTGTCTTGCAGTAGTCTGTCTTGCGGGAGTCTGTCTTGCGGGAGTCTGTCTTGCAGGAGTCTGTCTTGCAGGAGTCTGTCTTGCGGGAGTCTGTCTTGCGGGAGTCTGTCTTGCGGGAGTCTGTCTTGCGGGAGTCTGTCTTGCGGGAGTCTGTCTTGCGGGAGTCTGTCTTGCGGGAGTCTGTCTTGCGGGAGTCTGTCTTGCGGGAGTCTGTCTTGCGGGAGTCTGTCTTGCGGGAGTTTCTCGAGAACCTCGATAAGGAGGTACTGACTGAGTCCTCCGATCTTGTGTTGCGGATGTCCAGCCCCTACCACGAGGTTCAGAATTTACCTCATCTCGGAAGATAGGCTCCGATCTGGCTCTAGGCGGTCTCCCTCCCTGTTCATATTGTGGCTCATCATACTCGACAAACCCATCTTCTACATAATCGCTTTCTGTAAGGTCATCTTCCTCATCCCAAAGTTCTTCCGAGTCATGGATATCTTCCATCACAACGGCGGTGACTCGCCTGTCTTTTCTAGCACGAGGCTCAGCATAATAGGCTTTCCCAGCAGCATTCGTGTTTCTCCAGTGTTGATTCTGAAGATTCTGTCCAACTGCATAGTTTGGACGTACTCCGGTGAGTGCTTCCTGATATAGTGATTCTTGTTTGATAACGAGTTGATATATAAGCGTGTCTGCTTCTAACGGATTTTTGGCATTCCATAGTTTGCGGAGTCCATCACGAGACTCCCACGTACTCTGATCATCATTCCAAACAACTTCAATATAGGTTTCCGGATAAAAAGCTTTCTGCATAGGTCGTAAAGTGACTGTTGGATCCGATATATACCCTGGATCTAGCCTAAAGGCTACTAAACCAAATCCAGCGATGTCACTTCTCTTCCAAATGTATCTATCTCCGTTCTTCAAGAACGCCCTATATTGTTCCTGCAGATGAGGAGCTATGTCGATGGAAGGAAGACTTCGTCTCCCTAAAGGCTCCAAACGTGCTATGTAGGGGCCGGTACCATAGTGAACAATAACTCCATAGCCAAATTTCCCATATTTTCGAAAAGCGATGATGTCTCCAGAGTCTAGATTCATATTGAAATTCTCCGCTACGTCTAGGATGATATCATCGATCGACGTAAAGGAAGTCTCAAAAAGCCTGTCAGATCGGGGGGGAGACAGTTCTTCATCTACTTCGCCATCGGTAACAGCTGTATCGTAGTCCGCATCGTAGTCAAGGCCAGTATGCTCATCATACTCCTCCTCATCATGCTCATTGTCTTGCTCGTGTTCATCGTCGGGCTCACCATCATGCTCACCGTCATGCTCACTGTTGTGCTCACCGTCGTGCTCACCGTCGTGCTCACCGTCGTGCTCACCGTCGTGCTCACCGTCGTGCTCACCGTCGTGCTCACCGTCGTGCTCACCGTCGTGCTCACCGTCGTGCTCACCGTCGTGCTCACCGTCGTGCTCACCGTCGTGCTCACCGTCATGCTCGCTGTCATCGTGATGATCAACATTATCGAGCTCAGCAGTACCACCATGATCATCATCAGTGTTACCATCGAAAAATGAATCGTGATCGTTTGATGGGCCAACAGCAATGGACTGTGGGTTAAATTCTCTGTAGAGAGTTGGGTCTGTGGGTGCCCAATTAGATGGATAGTGATTCATTTTGAGCTCCTCTTTAATAGTGTGATATGTCTCCTCTTCCTCTATGGTCGGTCTCATCTGATAGAAAAATTTGATGTCGATGAGGCCTTCAGCTAAGTCGCGGCGGTTTCGCCTATTTTGTTCTTTGATTGACTGGTTTATTCTAGTCAGTTCATCGATATACTGCTCTATATCCCTATCCCAATACAGGGATAGGATGAAAGCGGTAGCTTCATCGTATAACTTGCTATACAATCTTGCAGACTGCTTGCTACGGTTCGCTGGTCGTCGTATTTCTTCAAGATCATCGATCTTCTGATCTATAAAGCGTACACCGGTTGCTCTCCGCGCATTTGCCATCGCTGAAATGTTTGAACGAACAGAAAAATTACCTAGGGTATTTTTGGTCCTTTAAATATGATATATGTTAGTTGCCGATAGTGTGCACTGGCGCCTTTTCAATTTCTAGAAAAGTTGCTAATTCCAGGCACACCTGGAATCATATATCATAATAATAAATAGACTACAAAAGAATGCAAAGTCTGAATACCAAAACTTCTTATCTGTTGTGATAAAATGGATTCCTCAAGATATTGGCCACCTCCTAACGGGGTTAGATCTAGACGAGCCTTGGAAAATGGCGATTTTACAGCACGAAACCCAGAAACAGGGCCTTATGGTATATTTATTCATAGCACTCAAGGTAGTTCTTTGAAATGTTTGCCTCGTGAGCGCAGTAATTATATGCGCTGGTGGAGACAAGCTACGCTACATATGGAGCAACTACTCTGGGGTGATCACTCGGAACGCCAGTCAGCAAAAGAGAGGATCGACCAGGTCAATGAAGAGATACGCGCTTTCAATATCACATGTAACCGCAATGAGGAATGTGGGACAATAGATGGTATTGATTGGATCAGAGCCGGAAGGCAACTCGACCTAGCAGTGCGTGACAAGTGCTTCTACAACTCAACTGCTCGATTTGAAGATGTCCGTGATTTTATCTGGGAACGCATACAGAACCGAACGTACCCAGAAGCTTGGGAAGTCACTTGGTACAAATTCGAGGACAAGATCAGAAAGCGCAGCTCAAATTTCGAGAACATTCGAAACGGAAATGATCTGGACATCCAGGATGGTGCCTACAGATTCTATGAGAACCCGATGACCTCCTCACCGTCAGTTAACACACCTTCTTCGTCAATTCCACGTCGTCGTTCTGCGAGGCATCAGAATCGACATGGACCTCTGTCTGTCCAAGGAGGAGGTATCTCGAGACGGGGAGGTGCCGAACTTCGACTATCACATCGACGACATAGACTTCGCTTAGAGGAGCTTGAAACGCAACTCGCCTCGCCTGGGTGGAAGAAGATGGAAACTCTAAGATGAAATATGGAACTTGTATGAAGTTTTGCGTGATGACATAAATACATAAAAGAGACTGTAATACACAAGAATAGACAAAATATAGAAACCAATAACAAAGATTTGTAGGTTCATATCCAAAGCTACTGGTAATTGAGAATCTTTTCAAAGTTGCTTGGGGCAGCTGGAACCGGAACTCTGAAAGAACCATCAGAGTACTCGTCCGGTTTACTGATGGTTTTGTGTTCAACCAGTTCCGTATAAGAAACTTTCAAGTGATCATACTCCTCCGCAAGCTGGTTGTAGGCCATTCTCTCCTGCTGATTCATGTAGCCCAAACGATTAACCGACTCCTCAAGACGGTGGACATGGTCCTTCAAGTTCATTTCACGCTGAATGAGGTCACGGACAAGGTCCCAAGGAACCACAACGTTACGGGAAGGATAAGGTGCGTATGGAGCCGGATTGGCTGCATTCTGCATTTGAGGATTGGGGGCCGTGGCTGTCTTGGGCGTCATAGCTGTATTCGATGTTGGTTTATCTTGAGAGTTGCGCATGGCCTAATCATACTTTAGTAGCAATTCGCATTGATAGTCAATGAACTCACTGCTTTCTTAGAGCTTTTTGAGTCTTTGATTTCCAATTTGATTCTTCCTAATGTTCTGCACTTTACTAAATGATCAAGTTACCCGCTATTTATACATGGTCCTCGTCCAGGACAAAGCTCATCAACCCCTTCTCCCTCCTCCATCGCTCCTATGAATCGAGCTCAGCGGTTATCTGAACCGCCGAATCGGACTAAAGAAGCGTTGCCATCCGTATGCGTAGATGGATTTCTATTTTGGGTTTGACTGTGGGGAATCATTTCAGAGGGCCAGCGTAACGCCGGATCGTAGAGATTGTATGGGAATGTTGCGCCATAGCGCTCAGCGTTTGGCAAGGGTGGGAATATGTTGCTTTGCTGTGAGAGGCTGGGCTGAAAGGTATTAGCAAGCTTGTACACAAAGAACTTGGGACTTTTGACTTGCCTGTAAACTTTCTTTGAGGCGGCGATGTTTATTCTTAATCGCACTACGGTTTCTGCGGCGCTCTTCCGGTACACTTTGATTGAAAACGATGCATATTTGCATCCAGCTTAAACCTCCAGCTCGTAGGCCCAAGATAAGAAACTCTTCCTCTGGATAATAAGGCTTGTTACCTCCTGGAGCCGGGACATTGTTAGGGCTGGGGCCTGGTGCTTGAAATTCTGCTGGTGGTGTGGATGCTGTGCTGTCTGCAGGGCGTTCGGACATTCTGGACGTGGACTATCTTTGGCTCCTAGGTACAGTGCCTATGCTGAGCAGGACCAGGCGAAAGTGAACCATTTAAGCGCCGCGTCAGCTCATTATTGCCATGGTTTGAGTTGATATCAGAAGGCGAGAAAGTGAAAAATTGCCAATATGCCTTTTGGCTTTGCTAACGGAAATAGTACTAGCATGGGGGACGAATGGTTTTATTTAATTTAATATCATTTTTAGCTCAGCGTTACGCTCCTACGAGCCTACCAGTTAGTAATTCTCCATTCGATCAGACAATATAAAGAGATACCAGAGCTTCCTTTCATTCCTTCCCAATCCATTCCATCCAGCCAGCACATTTCAAAGCTACCAGACCACAACTTCCCTCCCAACATGGAATTTGATGAAAGATTTATCGAGGATCTCCTTCTTAGTTATGAAGGTGACCTTTTCCTACCTGATCCGGAAGAACTAGGCAACTTTGACACCCCCACCTCGTGTCCCCCATCGCCCCACTTGGGAGCCACGCCTGCGATCGACGATGTTCCAGATCTGCTGCTGGACTACCCTGAGAATGCCGAGAGCCAAGCTGCCCTATTTGAACGAGTGCAAAAATTGGAAGAGGAGTAAGTGAATGAGCAATTGTAGCTTTTAGAACAAAACAACTTATGCTAATGATTTAATAGAGTCCAGAAAATTAGTCGGTTAGTTATCAGGCTCTTATATAGAAGTTCCCTGTCCGAACTAACCCAATCCTAGTACTGTCCATACAATGATGAGGTGGTGGGACGATCTGCGCATTTATCTGCTCCAGCTTTCTCAGATTATCGGAGACTTAGTTAAAGATAGGGCCGCATAGGCGGACGGTCATGTGATCTTACCAATCTTTCTTATGTCAGCTTGTATTGCATGTTAAGTTTCAGTTGTTCTTAGCACCTAATTCTCTGAATATTGATGCTCGATCGTAGATTATAAATCGACTCTATTTGTAAGTTAGGTAATTAAACACTCTCTCATAAATAGTAAATGCGGCGAAGAGCGTTAAATCTACTTTTTGCTTTATTGAATAGTCAACATTCCGCAAAATGTACATATTGTGAGAGGAAGAGAGAGACATATATGTATATAATGTCTGCAATCAATATATGATCGCCTTGTTACAAATATCTCATACCAGTCGACATGGCTTGCAAGCATATTTCGTGGTTGGAAGTTGTTGAAGATAGTAGTGGCGAGCGATCCATCGTCAACACTACCCGCCTCGATCGTATTATTCAAGAACTACCTAATTCACCTAATCAATATCCACGGTTAGTACATTTTATCGGCACGAAAAACAAAGACCAAGCTTTAAGAAATGTCTTCCCAAATAACAATTTCGGTCGAAAATATGAAAAAGGGGACACGAACTTGCGAGTGGATAACACTACTATTAATACACCAACCCCTTTACTTATTTCGGATAGTAACCCATTTCGTGGGTTCACTGCAAGCTCCAGGGCTCAATGCCATGTAAATCATACTCACACCTTTACTTGGGCCACAGATAGTGCCTCAATCTCGGATGTGATATTTACACGGCTGTTGTTTCCATTCAGCGATCTGATATGTATATTTGCGGATGACTTTGCAAGTCTCGAAAGCGTGGCTTTGCGAATATCTTCATGGATGTCCAGCCACAATCCGCGCCAAGAAATGAAAAGCCAACTGCTCATCGTCGTTTCTGAAACGGGTCCTCTAGATTCACTCCGTGATGAGGATTTCAGGTTAATGCTACACTCTAATGGCCGAGATCCAGGAGAGATGTTTTCAACGATCAAGATATTTCGTTTGGCTGGAGAATATCTTTCACCGTTGGCCAGATATCAGAGACTGAAAGATCGAGTATACGAACTCACTTCGAGGAGATATATTACGAGAAAAGAAATGGGCTACGATTTCTCTTTTATACATTTCTCAGCATTCTTTGATTCCGCTATTTTACACACGGCAGAGAACAACACTCCGTTTAATTTTATTGCCATGTCAAGATTAGGAAGACAGTCCATGGCCGATGACATGGGCCATGTTAGGCGTTTCCTAGAGCTCGCCTTAGGATTCGATGGACCCTACGAAGCGATAGCGTTGTTCATAGCCTCCTGTATTCTGGTGGATGCGTATCCCCGTCGAATGCACTGTGAGTTAGAGCACCTCTACACAAAATATAACACTAACTTTCTAAGATTTTCCGCCTCGAACAATACTTGACTTTGTCTATCGAGATAAGCTCATTGCGGCCCTCAGTAGCAATTTGACGGCGGGATGTATACGTTTCATTATTTCTCAGATCGAGACGAATCTTATCAAGTTCGGTGATGAAATAAAGAGTGGAAAGACATCGCTAGAGCTTCATATAAGAAATATGAAAGAACTAGCATATTTCTTTGCCCCGTACCGCACGAATACGAGCTGCCTTTTCTGTTTGGCTAGACCACCAGAGAGGCATTTGAGTTGCGGGCATGCTATATGTGACATTTGTATACGACGGAACGGCAAAGAAGTGGTTGGCCGACAGGATCGTTATCTCGTGTCGTGTAGCTTTGATAATGGAAAACTAACGGCTGATCTCAAGCCAAAGACAGCAGGGGTACGTATGATTAGCATTGACGGTGGAGGGACTCGAGGTGTCGCACCACTTGCGTTCATGAAAATGGTGGAGGACTCTATGCCCGGCTGTCCGTTGCATGAACAAATTGATTATGCTGCAGGGTCAAGTTCTGGTAATACACACTCGATATTGAATGCTGTTGAGAATTCTAACGGTCGCAGGCGGATTAATTGTTCTAGGTATCTTCTACAAGCAATGGAAGCCCCAGAAAGGCAAGCAGTTGTTTCTATCAATGGCGGAAAGATGCTTCCAAAGACCCAAGAGCGCATACGAATGCGTGCAATCCACATTACGGTGGCTTATCTCAGATGGGTTTTATGACGAGTCTAAACTAGAATCCATTTTACAGGAGATGTTCCCCGGGAGGCTTTTTGATCATCTTCCAGACACTATATCAGGAACACGTTTTGCTCTTACTGCTACCTCGACAGGAAACTCTCGTTGGATTTTTGGTAACTATAATGCAGGGATTTTCAAGTCGAGAAATGGTAAGAGGTCATGATAGAAGTTCTATTAACTCAACTAACTTGCAGCAGATTATGACTTGGTCAGGGTCGACAATGTTCAGGAGGAAGTATATGCATGGGAAGCGTGAGTTGAGAAGTCTATCGCTATCCAATTTTCATACTAATGCATTGATAGAGGTCGTGCAACTTCCGCGGCACCTGTGTAAGCATGCCTTTTCTTTACCTTTTCCTCTTGCTAACTGAGTAGCTTCTTTAAACCCATTCAGATTCACAGTGGTACATACTGGGATGGGGGCCTGGTATTTCCTGATCCAGTGAAGTTAGCAATGTTTGAAAGTGAGAGACTCTGGCCGGAGTCCATTCCAGATGTTGTCATATCTCTCGGCACTGGCATACAGCCCAAAACAAAAAATGACCGCAACTCTCTCCGTCGGCTTTGGGAAGGATTCATGGATATGCTTGACGGTCAATCTCATTCTCGCGATACTGAAAAAGCATTGGAAAGATATATTCGTGGTAGCTTCTTCCGGCTAAACACTATGTTACAACTCCCTATTCGTCTAGATAACCTGAAGGACCTAGAAGAGCTGAGCAGAACTGTGCATATATCACCAAAGTCTCGCAGGGATACTGCGAGTGCGGCTCTGGCTCTACTCTTATCCAACTTCTACTTGAGTTTGGATAGAAGCCCGAGATTTGAGCTAGGTCTTTATTACTACTCTGCATCTATTCGATGTCGCACAGACTGCAAAGCCATTATTTCTGCTCTAACCCATTTATACCCAATGCCAAAAAAGTTTGTGACCGAGAGCGGCGCTCTTGGAGAATTATGCTGTGATGACATATGTGAATCTTGTTATCGGTATCGCAAACAAGTAACAATTGTTGTGAGACATCCAGATGACTACGTCACAATATCGGTCAAAATGGACAATGGAATCGAACGCAAAATAAGCGGGTTCCCGCAAAGGATGTCTTGGTTTCAAAAGCAAGAGGGCCTAAATAACAAGTTTGGATCTGAAGACCACGATATTCCTGGAGCATTTCAGTGTTCGATCTGTGACCTTCATTCCCTTCCACAAAAACGCATAGCATGTGCCTCCGATGCTCTTCACCAGAAAAAACGTGTTCGATATTAAGATGGTTTGGAATCTCTGTATATTTCATGTATTTCGTAACCAAAGTTTGCCCATGCCTGAAAGATATTGTCTCTATTGCGATGCTTTGGTTCATAGTTAGTTGCAAGTCATGAAATCAAGTTTTGTGCAAACTTACTCGTTGTATATGTACTATGTCTGGCTCCGTTATTTGAAGTAGAGAGGTAAGGGAGGTCATGTCAGGTTGAAGTTCTCCGATATATTGATACACTGTTGCTCGATCTAAGGGAAGTTGTAGCTGTGGATTTTCTCTTCGCAACCGTTCGAGCTTCTTTTCAACTGATTTTGCAGTCCTGTACTCGGTAGATTGGATGCAGTGTAGCTGCGCCATTCGGTTTGTCAAGAATTGTGCTATTAGTTCATGGTCGAAAGCCCAGCTCGAGAACACGAGCGCGATTGCGGTTTCTTCACAAGTCCACCTTGGATTCATGATGCTTTTCGATGAGTCCCATTTCTATTTTATTCCCCAAGGAAGGGGGAGTAGAGATCTCGCCCTCTTTCAATCCGATCATTTTGCGTCCTATGAGTGAGAAACTGTTGGTTACCACTCCAGCGGGACTCATTCGTAACATCGAGTAAAATTTATTAGATGCGTAAACTGAAGTATACGGCGCAGGACACTACAGTGCTATTGATGCAGCCCTATCCCGATAAGGCATAGCATGGGAGTGAGGTTCTTTGTTGATTTATTAGCGCCGAGTTGATTTACTTGCTAATCCTTGTAGGTCCTCGTCCAATTATTATCGATTTTTCGATCTTTCAATTTTTCGACTTTTCGACTAAGTAGAAACCTGCTTAAGTGAAAAGTTATACAGTATAGGGCGGTATAGTAACTTATATAGATTTCATTTCGCAGTCCAATGCCTTCAACCTGGGAGTGGCATTCAAGAACAGATCACGCTTCAAACATGTATACTGAAGAATATGAGATTGCAACCGCTCTCTTGGCGGACTTGTTTTGGGGTCCACGCGATAATCGACCGTTAATTGAAGACAAACTTGAGGAGCTAAATATATCAATTGGAAGGAGAAATGAGCGGAAAGGGATCCCTGAAGAGAAGGGGAAGATTGATATCGATTACTTCCGCACGGTTGCCACGCAATTAGAGTTGTGTTGCGCCGTCACAAACAAGTTGAATGGAAATACAATGTTATTCCGCAGCCGTCAAGAAGCCATGAAACGAGAGATTCGCCGCCGTCACTATCCGGAAGAATGGAATCTCCGTGAGGACGATTTTTTGGAATTTGCAAGTGCAGTTGCCCGTGGGAATATAACTTTGGACACAAAAAAAGAGCCGCACCATGGCGATGAAAGTCCTACCCCAGCGGAAGAGACAGGCGAAGAACAAGCTACGCAAGGGCCTAAGGCGTCAAAACACCTTATTCCTGTGTCGCAAGTTGAAGAAGAGATTGAAAGGGAATTCGGCGTACCTATACAGCAAGGAGTTGTTGAAGCGTGGTGTTATGACGCTGACGATGCGTGTTCCGTCGTCGTCGTGTACGAACATGCTGGTAGTTGTATTGCCCGGTTTGAAAACCTACAAGAAACTGAATTTAATGAGGACGTGCCATGCATCCAGGATCTCTCAAGGGCTCATGGCGAGAGTAGATGGACTAGGACACAGATTCAGGGTTACGGCTTGGTTGCCTGGAGAGTGGAGGACCAATATCAGAACGATCCGACTGCAATCATTCGGCCTGTTGACGGTGCGTATTACCCGGAGACGTATATTGCAGTCCTTTGGGATGATGACCATTGGACATGGGAAAGTCGGGACGGATTGAGATTACTTATGGAGGGAAGCATGAAAGCCGACATTATTCTCTATAAGATGGCTACAACTTTTGAATCACGTTACCAGCAGAAAATGACAGGCAATCTTCCGGAGTATCCGATGAAGTTACCCATGGTTAATACATACTGGAGGAATATCGCAACTTCGCCGGCCCAGAATGATGGAGAAAATGCGATAAAGGAAGGAGCCGACGTAGAATACGGGATGGAAGGCGAATTCCAGAAGTCGGAAATGGAGGGTGGCTCTTGTTCTTTGCTTCGTGGCCTGGAAGTGGGCACGGATGGATTGATATTTGATGAGTTCAATGAATTAGCTGGCGAGGTTGTTGAAGGGGATCTCGAATATGTAGTTGGCTGTGTTGTCAACGAGTACAACGAGATACTGGACATAGACGGAGCTGTAGTGGGACATGCTGAAGTCATTTCGCCAACCCCAGCGCAGAAGGCTCGACATCCCGCTCCAAAAAAGGTACATTTTCTCAAAGATGAGAAGTCTTCACTGTCACTAAAGTCCAGATCTTCGATTCCCTTGAAGAAGAAATCTCAAGGTTCGGTCGCAGGCTTCAACCGTCAATAGGGACCGTGTTAATGGATCTCATGCTGGTTGTCTCGGTTTTGATGGATGTTTTTATTAATTCATATGATCCTAGATTGGGCTGTCATTGTTTACGAGTTTAGATTTATCACTTTTTACAGTACTTAATGTTTCATATGGTCTTCATAGTCACGATCAGTACTTCCAATTTTAGTACCAAAGGCTTGTACGAATCTAAGGTCGACTCTTCTACCCACAGCACGAGCTTCACTTCAGGAACCAGACTGGCCATGACTCGAATGACTCGAATGACTTGGAATGAGACATGAGTGATTGGTTGAAGCCAAAGCTTTAGCGCCGGGGAACCCGGGCCGGTTGACAGTACAAACTTACCCAGTACACAATGTAATATTTCAAGTCCATACCGCTGAGCCTGTATTCAAAGCACGTGACTTCAGCTCATCGTTGATCTCTACCAGTGAACATGTGATTCTCCATAGGTCGGCTGATTCAATTTTCAAATCCGACTGGAGTCATGTGACTGCTTATCCTATGACGGCGTGCTTCACCCGTGGATCTCCCTCCGCCGCGGATTGACTAACACATCAACATCCTATCTCCACACATATCCCGCACAGCTGCATTTATGCACAGGGCCGCCGAAAACGTCAGCATGGCTGGCAAAGGGTACATGATCTGGAATTGTAATCGACCTCTCCCAGGAGAGACTATTAAAAGCATTCAAGACGCAGTTGAACGGGATAAACTATACGGGCCACTTCTTGATGAGACAAAAGCGACATATAACTGCGCAGATGACTGGAAAAAACATCGGGAAGAATGGAAAAAGATCATTATGGATGGTAGTCGGGTACGACAATTTATACTCCTTTTGTGGGTGAAGGCTAAACTAGTGTAGTTTGAGATCATCATTACCGCGAGCCTTCCCAGCGATCGCGCTGAGCCTTACTTTTGGCAGGGGCCCCTAGTCGGAAGATTCGTGAAAAATAGATCCTTGTCTCGATTTAGGAAAGCGCAGCCATGCCCGGAATCTATTGCATTCCTCAAGCCATTGGACGAAGCGCTAACACCCGCCAATGGCATGTTTAAGATCTACCCAGGATCGGAGAATCTACAAACGGAAGAAGAACTTAGGGCCAGTGGAATTTCTGCGGAGACAGTATCCATAGGAAGAAACCAATTATTGGTAATTGGTCCAGTATGGGTGGAAACAAGAGATGAAGGGCGCGCCGTATTCTTATGGGCAGGTTACTCGACCAACTTGATTGGGATTGATGACAACAAAGCACTAGATTTTATTCAGGCTGCATACAAAGGCAATGCGGTGGACTAATTAGTATCGCTCATTCCGTTTCTCATCATATCGCGGCTTCTCTGACGTAGGTATTGCCCTTGTAACATAAGCTTTGACCAACTCCCACATTGGGCGAGCAGATCCTGGCTGGAGCATAGCATATCCACAAATTCATCGATGACGCTATCAGAGACATGAGGGATCTTTAGAAAGATCGGTATTATCAAGATCCAAACTCCCGCCAAATTATTCTCAGAATTATTAGGAATCATATTATTTGTTTTCTGGTAGGCTTTAGCTTCGATATACCAACACCTATGCCCAGTTTTCAGTCGAGTATAAATATTATTGGGAAGGTCGCGAGAGTGAATGAACCGCTTCAATTTTCCTTGCTGTGGTGGAATCTTCAATGGTATATCTTGCATAGATTTTGAAAGGACCTCAGGAAGGTATCGAGCGCGGTAATCCCAGATCCAGTTCCTAAGGTCGAAAATATGACCAAGGAGGAGCTGATCATCCGCTGCGAAACTCGTTATTTGGAGATTGTCGTACGTTCGGATCGTTCGAATAGCAGATGTGGGATCGTCACTTAAGAATTTATGAAGCTGAGGTTGTTCTTGTATAACAATTCGGAAGATATCGGCAGCTGTGCGTGGTCGGCTGTCAGGAACAGAAGAGGTTTGTTTAGTGAGGGAGAGTAATCGGTTTCCGACATTTAGCAAGCGCTCACGGTACTGAAGGATCTCTTGATCTTCCGCATTCTCCAGTGTCTCAAGGGCGGCCAGCACGGAACCGTCATTTTCAATAGGATCCATGGTCTTTTCCCCGCGGTAAGTGGTGTTGGAGGGATGAATTACACTAGCGTCCCTGGATTCCATTTATTTCTGGAAAACGCACTATACCGTAATGCCACTAGCGAGCCCATGTTTAGCGAGGCCTTTTCATTGGATGATTGTGCAACAGTAGACAAAGGTGGAGTCATTGTGCTGATTCTTCTTTCCTATATATATTGTTATTATCGCAACAATAGCAATGCGCCACCTGCAATCCAATGCATCAATTGACATGATCAACTCTAAGGAGGAGATCATATATCCTCCGAGGGACAGGGTGAGGCCAATGATCTGTTTGACTACATGAGTGAAAATTCTCTCCACGGCTATACAAACCACGGATCAGACCATCGAACGATCAAAACGAGTTCGACAAACGGAGTTCGACATATCAGTTCCTGATCGACCTGTTAATGAGAGACTGCTCTAGAAAAACACGCCATAGGCAGACAATGTGTGTTTCGTTCCCTGGCTCACTAATATCTGACTCGATGGAGACAGATCGACAGCGTGGTATTGTCCTTTTTTTCGGTTTTGGATATTTTAGTAATCTAGGATAGAGATACCACACGTTACATGGCAGTGGATTTCATATCGGTATGAGCACATAACTGTCAGAGTGAATTTATGCACTGACAGATTAGCTGATACTTATCCTTCTTGGGCTGTTAGTGTCCCCTGGGCGTGTTTTATGAAACTATTTTCTAATAACAAACAGGTACATGAATATGGTTGTTCCCGCACTGTTCCATCTGTAAAACCCTTCAACTTGGATCATTGTAACCTACCATTTGCAGGACAAGATTACTATGCTTTTATCCACGTTCGAAAAATGGGTTAGCGGATTTGGTGCGGGCCAATTTTATTGCAGGAATTCAAGGGCTAAGCCTGGGTCTTATGTGTCCCGAGCAACCAGTGGAAGTGGAACCGTGCCTTGCGGGATTGCGCAGAGAAGTGAAATCAGAGGATTTGAAGATATACTGGGAGGCGTAAGTGTGCGGCCTTCGCTGCTTCACAGAAGATTAACTCTCGATTTCTAGTATCACTGTATACATATGAAACAAAAAACAAAAACAGATCGATGAAGAATCAATGTACACTATGTATTATCCAATTAATCTATCCTTCTATCATTGTGACGCCCGTCTCTGAACACGTACGCACCAACCAGGTTCCCACATCTGAAATGCACAACCCCGTTCGCCGTTGTCGGTTGATGGGTGCAATATAGCACCCACAGGGAGGGGTGTTGAGGAGCCTGTATGATACGCAAGGAACATTCCGAATGCGGATCGGCAAATCCAATTATCACTGGATACCATATCTGTTGAATGATATGCTAATGCTTGGAGAACCATACCAGCTCGCTCATAGCGAATAGCGTCACTGATTCGGATGACATGGGGGATCGACTTGGAGATATGTTCAAAGTGTGGATAGCGCCTTAAGAATGATTTTGGTAGCTGAAGATTTCTGAATTTCAAAGTGTGTCCCCCCAAGGCGTTTAGAGCAGGTAGTATAGTCTTTAGATGATACCGGAAAGACCCTTCATTGTCGAGTATCAATCCACGGTATAGAAGCGGCCGTAACCATTGCGGTGCAGGAGATCTGAAAGTTATATCAATAGCCTTTAACTTAGGCATATGATTAATGACTGAAGCTAGCGTGATGGCATCAAGGGACTGATCGATAATTCTATATTGTTCCGCGCAGATCTCTGCGAGGTTATTGTACATCATCATATAAGGAGGACGATTGTTTCCTTCGAAATGGACTTGAATCTCTTCACTCTCGGCCATATACTCGGCGTATGAGTACATTTCGCTGCAGAATATACCGAAGTCCAGGGTGTCTAGCTTTATCAGCATCAGAATTTGGCTTTGGTAAGGTAGGGTAGTACCATACCTCTTTTAAGTATGTCTGGGACTTCATATAAGATGTAGATAGTATGCTGCCCAACCTTAGACCATATAATCTCCCGGAGCTTGCGAAAAGAGATTTCAGAGAACTCAATTCTAACTCGACGAAAAAGGTGCCGACAGCATATCTCTCTTAGATGTTTGTTGACCAGAGAGAACATTTTAAGCTCAGTATGTCTCATTTGAGATACGATCAGATCTAAACATTCGTTTGGAAGACGAAGAAGAGGAGCCATTTTTATGATCTTTACCTGACAGCCCATTCGGAAGCCGCACGAAACCGAATTTATACCGTAACCGATAGGAACGTGATCCGCCTACGATATCGTAGCTGGACCGACATAGGATAGCCGCCGACATAGGATCACTACGATATCGTAGCTGGACCGACATGGGATAGGTGCTGACATAGGATCATTACGATATCGTAGCTGGACCGACATAGGATAGCCGCCCACATAGGATCATTACGATATCGTAGCTGGACCGACATGGGATAGCCGCCCACATAGGATCATTACGATATCGTAGCTGGACCGACATAGGATAGCCGCCGACATAGGATCACTACGATATCGTAGCTGGGCCGACATGGGATAGGTGCTGACATAGGATCACTACGATATCGTAGCTGGGCCGACATGGGATAGGTGCTGACATAGGATCACTACGATATCGTAGCTGGACCGACATAGGATAGCCGCCGACATAGGATCACTACGATATCGTAGCTGGGCCGACATGGGGTAGCCGCCCACATAGGGCCACCTACAATATCGGAAGCTTCTTTTAATTTTTTTTTTCTTCCTCACAACCGACGAGACCATGGAGAATTTAAATGATGTTGCGCTATTCAGAGAAAAATCAAGGTTTTTCCTCGGCCGTGCAAAGATACAGCTGGCTAATCTGAACTTTGATCGCAACATACAGCTTCATGAAAAGGTACATGTGGATAAGTTAGTGGATGTTTTCCGTGGAGAGGGATGCCACCGTCTAGATCCATGGAACCATGTCCCCGTGGCTATTGACCGAAATACACTCTCTGCAAGATTGCGACTGGCTGGACTCGATAATGATGATCTTATTAGAGAAGGGGAGCCTCCTTTACTTAGATTCACGACGCCGCTTCGCGTACTCCATGGAAGACGTCGTCTCCTAGCTGCTGAGGAATACCTGTGGGACAAATGGTGGATTGCCGAATTATACTCTGATGGTGATTATCAAACCACCTATATTATAGTTCTAAATATTAATCTTTATGAAGACCTACCGGCCAAGCTGAAAACATCTATTTGTGAACAATATTCACATTCGAGGCCATTTTGTGATGGCGATATCTATCGCCATATTTTTAAATACCAGAGAGACGGGAACATTGACGAAGAAGAAAAATGGATACGCAGGCTATCAAACTCTAAGACAATGAATGTTCGTCAATTAAGAACCAAGTATAGACGTCTCGCCAATGGTTTTGACCGGCTGACTCCGTTTGTCGGAATTTGGTATCAATTGCATCTTGGCTGTTTAAGTCGGCTGCTCCCTGATAAGACTCCTGAGGTTGGTCGAAGAATATGAATTAACAGCCCATAAACTGATATCCTTACAGGAATTTTTGCATTATTTGGAGCGGATGAGGCATCAATATAGTTCGATCATGGGTACCGAAGAGCCCTTTCTGCTAGATCCGAAAACAGTGTACTTACTTGAAACAATGTTTCCTGCCCTTTCCGTTTCAGATGCCGATCATATAAAAAGGTTGATGAACGATGGCGTATTATTTCCCGCGGTGCAATCACAACACCGTCGCAAGAAGCTGCTAGATAATATTCTCGGGGTTAAGGGGCGAATCTTATCTTTCTATACATTCTTTCAAGACACCATATATTTTGGGGCCTGCTCTAAAATTCTTCGGAATCTTCTTCCTCCGAAGTTTCAAGGGACAGTACGACAAGCCTTCTTCAATAGCTATCAGCAAGGCATAAATCAGGGAAGAATACGACTACAGTCATATGGGGAACGTATGCTTGACAGACCTGGAACAGAAGTCACTCATGTACAACTAGCATATCGGCAACTATACCTCGCTGCAATGCGTGACTTTCCAATTTTGAGTTCGCTTGCACCATTATGGGATTCCAAAAAACGCAGGCCACTTATCCAAGGCTCTCCTTCAGAGAGGTGGCATCAGATAGCATCTCTCGCATTTGTCTTGGGGTTCAGAACCGATGAGATCGCGAAACTTATGGAAGATGGCAACAACAAAGAAATCATGGCACGTGAATTTCTAACAAAGATCCGACCGGCAGAACTTTATATAGTTGATGAAGGTCGTAAAGAAAGACTGGTGCAGTACATTGCCAGGCAGATCGATGGTATCGCCACTCCTCGGGTACTACGTCAAGATGCCGAGTTCACCACCAATGTTGAGGGTCTCGCAAAAGAACAACGCTGCAATCGTCCATATGATAGTGCCTATAGACGTGATAAAGATTTCCTGTTTATCAACATTATATACGGTACACGAATCAGGGCGCAGGCTTTCATCACATCACTAGCCATACAGAGAGACATTTTTATCTGTTTCCTAGGCATGTATCCAATTGAAGATATGGCCGATGCAGATTCGGAAGACGAGGTTGTTGATTTGACTCGCTCATCACCATCTAGATCGTTGTCTGACAATGACTTGGAGCATGAAATGATTGCTATCCCTTCAGCAGATTCTAATGAAGGATCAGCTTCCGAGGAAGCAACAGGACCTGGGGTACCGGGGGGGTCTGCAGTAGTAGCAGATTCTGGAGAAGATAATTCTGAAGAGGGGGGAGGTTCTTGGCAAACAGCAGAATCTGAAGTAGATTCTGGGGAGGCAGACTTTATCCTTCATCTCTGGGACAAGAACGAAGGCGAGAAGTACAGAAACACTGAAGCACAAAGGAGAATCTTTGAGAACACGGTCTGCGATCTTGCAGACAAAGGCTACAGGTTTCTTTGTATTGATAAGACGGGCCAGGCTGTAACACAGAGTCTACATAAACTGTGGGAGAAAGCTCTTGACACAAAATTAATCTTGGCTTGCCCTAAAGTTGATTCTGGGAATCCTGCAGAGAGTGATATTCCGATACACGCATTCGAAATATTTTTCGGGCTTTCTGAATGATATACTTGTTACTTGACCAAAAGACCTTGCTACTCGTAGGAGTGCCTCGTTGACTTTCTAGTAATGAAAACAAGGGGTGCGAGACATCCAGGGGTACCAGAAAGTACTAAAAAATTGTGCTTCCCATAGTCAGCTCAGAAATACAAAGCGAAGACTGGGGATCTTACATTCAATAGATTCCTCAGATTAGAGCTTTGGGTAGCAGCCATAAAGGTACGGATGCTATCACCTCCATAGTCCACATTTTTGAGAACCATGGAGCTAGGGTTTTTCTTGAAATCACCCGGCTCAATGATCTCCTTAATCATCCTTCCAATTGACTTAACATCTTGGACCTTATTATCGTGGACTTGTCGTAGCAGAGAGAGTGCAATATTTCCTAATTAAGACTGATTAGAGATGAAAAATAAATATATCTTAGAAACTAACCAATCTTGACTTGCCCACTTAGAGTCAAAAAGATATTCGCAGGCTTTATATCCCCATGATGAACGTGGAGTTCCTCATGGATATACGCAAGCCCTTGAAGGGTTTCTTTGCACAGAAATGCAATCTGGGGTTCCTTCAACTTTACAGCAGATAACAGCTGGTCCAAGTTCACGTCCATCCTTTCGTATACAGAATACAGTGATCCTGCACTAACGAACACACATAGGAGATTCACGAGATTGGTATGTGATGTTTTAAGAAGATAGTTAGTTGTGGTCCCATCAACACCATCACTATATTCCTTGATAGCCACGATGGTACTCGGAGAGGCCTTTTCGTATGCTAGGCAAGTTCTGCCTTTTGTGCACTCTTGCTGGAGTTTCTGGTACTTAGACCATGGAGAGCATTCATGGCTAAAATTCGATCGACGTTTAGAGACTTCGTCTATGCTATCCGCCGGCCGTTTTACAGCGACTGGGAGACGAGGGGGCTTAGTGCGCTTTTGAAGCCTGCTTGCCGTGCTAGGTGGAGAGCTCTGTAGTAAAGGGCTTTCCAAAAACCCCGAAGCTAAATCGGAGCTTTGAGGAAACTTAGTACATCGTTTATCGTCCTCCATTTTGAATACATAGGTAGGCAGTTAACTTTTTGAATTAAATAGAGGGGTGGTCACTTATATATGTATAGCCTAGGTATACTAACTAAATAATTGAATATGTGACATAGCGCATTGTCGCCTTTTAACTACATATCTAGTTAAGTTTCTATCTATAGTATGAACGCAATAACAATTGTAGAACCGAAAGCAACGAAGACTCGAGGAACGGCCCAAATCTCCGCGTCACTGGTGCTGGGCTTAGATGTTGCTTCCAACGTTGGACCTCGGGTCGGTGCCAGGGGAAAGTGGGTTGTTGGAATGAAAGCCGTGGACGCAGTGCTTAAGCTTGGGGCCTGTCCAGTTCTGAGAGGCATAGTTCCTGTATGCATGGAAGCTTTGCTGGGCCCCTGAACGGTCGGATAAGGTGGTCGCATCAAGGCTGTACTGCTCGGTATATGGCGGCTGGAGCTGTCGCTGTTCGAATGGTCGGATCTCGCGTTTAAAAACAGCACCGTGTTTTTGTAGGTACGCCCCGAAACCGAAACATCTGGACTGTAGTAGATATGTGGTTCATGATCCAGAATCTGCATGCTGATAGTAACATTTTTCTGACAGAGAAGAATTGAAGGCATGCCGTCATTACGCGAAAAATCGGAGGTTGCCTTCAATATCCAGATATTATCGTCATAGCAATCAAAGACGACATCAGCTCCCGGTGAGATGGATAAGCTACTCGGTTTGAAGAAGGAGCCGCTGAGTCCTACCGCAACATGACTAGCTTGAGGTGCGTCCACTGGCTGCACTTTAATAACGGTGGATCCAAGTACACTAAATGATTGGTTAATGAGATAATAAGCAAAGACTGGTCAGACTTACTTTGCAGCGGCCAGTTGCGCGCAAAGAACAAATAGGTGAATGAAATGCATTTTTACTTTCAATAGGATCACGCATATAAGTCCTCATCCAGCTCCAAGACATCTCTTAAATATGGAAAGGTCCCATCAAAAAGTGAATAGGTGAGAAGGCGCCTATTATTGTCTGCTAATAGTGGGCCGGAGTGGGCCGGAGTGGGTCAAGCAATCGCAGCGCTACGCGGGAAGGGTTCAGCGTAGCGCCGATCCAATGACTCTAATCGGATAGTTTATTTTTAGTCCAAGGTTGTGTATTTCAACTCGTCTCGGGCCTCTGTCAATGACTCCACGGCAGGCCCAGGCAGACAAAAGCACAATGTCCACTACAGGAAACAGAAACAAATCAACGGAACGATTCAAGTGCCGTAAAATACTCTCAGATCATCTAAGTAGGTCTTTTCTCATCACCTAACGAAGGATTGAACCTAATATCATTAAGGAGATACCCTAGGCATCTCTGTAGAGCCTCTGAACGTGAGGACGATACCGGATCCTACAGACGAGTATGTGTGGAAATGGAAGGAAGGAAAGGCTCATTTATTAAAAACACCTTTGAGCAAATTGAGCACTAAAGCATTTCTTGAACTGTCTAATGCGGTGAAGAGTGGTTCGGTTTGGGCGATCAAACGAGATAGAGACAGCACAACAGAGGAAGTAATGACTGAATTGGACGAAATCAAAGCTCGCGAAAAACGACTTCACATCAAAAATGCTTGCCTTCAGAAAACCATTCAACGCCATACACGACGCCAGGAGAAATACAAACGCGTGCTAGCTACTTCGGAAGAACGCTTGAGAGAAATGTTGTTCCATCTTCAAGAAGCCCAACGCTCATTTGACAGTTTGGATCCTCCTGTATTTAGTTTCGAGTAGATATCTCAAATAATAGTGAAGTCTCTTCCCTCAGTATCGTCGAAAGTGATCCCAAAAAATTCCAGTAAGCGGGATTCGGATGAGGAGATCTTGTAAGACGACTTTCTCAATCCTTCTTTGATGACGCTATAGGCGGAAGAAAATTTTCCTTTGAGAACTGCCAACGCATTTTGTGCATCAGGGAAATAAGGCATCTCTAACAGTGCTTCGTCAAGAATGCGACGAGCGAGTTTTGTGCTTTCAAGTACATCCATTAGAGCGGTTGAAAGTTCTTGATGATACGCTAATTCTTGACGCAATCTTCCATTTTCCCTCAATAGATCGACAATCGTTGGCGGCGGTTCATTTTTAGATTCTTGGAGGATTGATGGTAAACGCTCTATGTCTGTCGTTTTATGACCTTGTTGATACAAAGCATGTTTGATTGGAGTAATAATAATATCGGGGCTCATCTTGTTGAATCTAAAATACACCAGAACAAAAGACAAGAATTGGGAAACATTAACAAAGACCATCCATTGAACCATTTATATGCTGGGCAGATCGAACGTGGGGGGCGTCAAAGCTCTAAGCAGATCTAATTGGTGTCTGTTATCTGCTGAGTCGACAGTGTCGGCGCTAGTCAGCGGTAGGAAATCATCGTTATTATTTTTCGTTCTTGGATGTTCCTGGATCTGGTATGATTAATATTGGATGTGATGAGTCTGCCCATGTAACTAACCTGCTCTAGTCCTGGGATCTGGTCATGAGTCTTGTATAACCATTGATTGTTTCCTTGCTCGTCGGCAATGAGGACAACGGCTTTGTAGTTGTATTGTAGACAGAGCTGTCTCAGTTTTCGGAAAACCGTCTTCCTTCGGCGAGCAACAGCTTGTTGATGATTGATTCGCTGAGCATCCATGTTTCCACAGTAAATGAGCAGTTCATGCAGAAAAATGTGTTTTTTATCACAAAATCGAAAAGGCACTTTATTTCAAGGTTCGTTATATATACAAAACCTATCCAAAAATAGCATGGAACGCCGATCCAGAAGGCGCCAAAACGCCTTATTGCCAAAATGCTTAACCGCCGACCTGGCTGAACCTGAAGGCCCCAAAGATATAAATAGATGCATCTCATATCCCTCCAGTGATCAAACTAATTTTGGGAGCATGGATTCTATTCAAATTTATGCAGCAGCTATAGGAGGTATTCTTCTATTACTACTAGCACAAAGTATGATTCGTCAACTGGGTTACCGAATCATGTTTCTTTCCCGACTAGCACGTTTCTTTGCTCATATTACTCAGCGACCTTGGTTCTTTTTCCTCAAGCATTTCGTATATTCGTTTATTTTAAAGCGCAAGACTTTTATTGGACCAATTTCACGTTCCGAATTCATTGCCCAGTTGATCTATTGGGGAGGGACGGCAACTTGTAACATGTTCAAGGTTACCACTACATCGGCTGCTGGGACTCGAGCTGGCCAGCTGGCGGTGGTCAACCTTGCTTTGTTATTCTTTGGAAGACGTTTTGAGTTGCTGTCAGATCTGTTAGGCATTCAATCAGCCACCTACCGCCGTATACATCAAACAGTGGGATTAATGACCTGTCTTCAAGGCTCTGTTCATGCTCTTCTTAATATTAGACGGGCTATTTCAACTTCTTACGAATTGTTCGGTATACTTGTAAGTGTCCTAGAGGTAGTCCCAAGGCAGAAGTTGATAATACTGCAGGCAGCAGCTGGTATGGCAGCGATTTCCTTCATAGCAGTAATGAGTCGATGCTGTGCGTTTACTACAAGACTCCATTTTACCTTGAGCATCTTTGTGTTGGTGACGCTCTGGCGTCACTTACAGGCGAAAAAGTACTCAAGTCAATTGTACCTTTTTATTGGAATTGTGGTGCTATTCTGTACTACCATCATGCAGTACTTTATTGTCGCTTTGAGAAATGTATCAGCATCCAGAATAGGATGCAGAGCAGAAATACTGCGCAGTCGGGACAAGTCAGCAGCGCAGATTATGATTCTGCTGAACCGCCCTTTTAAGGTCCGAGCGGGTATGTCGCTGCACATATGGATACCTGGGTTGGGAATTCGGTCGTTCTTTGGGAGCCACTCGTTTCCTATAGCGTGGTGGGAAAATGATATGCAAGGACGGGCGAAAGTTATCTCACTACTGGTTAAACCCAAGTCAGGCTTTACTAAACGATTGCTGTATAGTAAACCTCACCAGTTGAGAACGTTTATAGAAGGACCATATGGGGTGCCTATTGATTTCCTTGGTTATGATCGGATTCTGATGGTTGCAACTGGGATTGGGATAGCAGCCCAGCTATCATACCTAAAAGAACTTGTAGGGATGAAGGACGAGAAAAGATCAACGAGGACGTTGTACGTGGTATGGCAAGTTGATGATGAATGTGAGTACCATTGTTATTACATGAGTCGTGAGACTAAAGACAATAGCGAACTTGGACTGGGTGCATCAGTGGATGGACCAGTTACTGCTAATGGATCGGGGAGTATATGTGAGTTCTCCCATGCAAACCAGAATCTAATCTGACGTGGGACAGATGCTCAAGTTTGGCATATACGTGCCGCCCTCGGATAACGAAGCCCCGACGGCTTGGAACAGTGAGCACAATCGAATCTGGAAGATTCCAGGAACAATCAACCCAGAAAAGATCGTAGGCAATTGGTGGTCTGATAATGGAAAAGCTTTGATTACAGGTATATTTATCCTACACATACTGACGGCTAGTTCTAATATTACAACAGTTTCTGCAAATCAAGAAATTCGTGACGGAATAAAGGTAGTGGCGAAGGAAAGAATGACAGAAGCGATTGACATCGTTGATTTGCCTTTCCAGCCTTAACGATACTTCAACTTGACCAGGGGTCCACGAACCATTAAGACGAGAGGGTACTGCTGGAATCTCAAGATCGTATGTCTAGCCTCCGGACTCCTGTTTGCAATGCGTAGCAGAGGAAAGGTGAAATGGAGAGCAGGGAATCGGCCGATGTGTTTGCGATATGCTCCATAATTGTCTCCTGAGTCAATCAAGAAGCCCATTTTTCTGTCCAGAATGTTGATTCCAGAATTTTGCAGCCCTTGAAGCAGTGCTGTCAATGAATAATAATTTCTTAGATATTTAAACCGCTGTGTCCAAATTAGTTCTAAGGTAATAAGTCACCAACTCCAACAGAATCCTTACATAAGCGAGTCCAACTAAACGTTCTTTGACTCCATCTGCTGCGGCGCAATCTTGAACTATGCGAGAGAATTCATTCCATCGTTGTTCTAGGGCAAATAGGCGACCTCTCCTAAGCTGAATTTCATCGATGTTTCGAAATTGTTTTAGATCTTCACGTGTTATCGTAATAGCCAAATTAGATAAATTGGTGCGGAGACTGGATACGAAGGCTGTGTCTGTATCGAATGTCTCAGATAGCTTTGTATCTAGAGAGCCCGGAGAATATAGCCGATTAAATCTGAACTTCAAAGCCTGGAGCTCTTGTGGATTTTTTGGGTCCCATCCGGACAAAAACCGGTTTAGTGGCTCGGTTATGAAACTTGAAGCAATATTGAACATCTCTTCAATATCTACTCGATCGACCACGGCTTTCATAAAAGGATTCTATTTATGGGTTAGCCCAGAATACGTCCTATGGAGAGTGACATACCGTAATAAGGTGCTTGATCTTCTCCTCTTGACTGTGATTTTGTAGAAGTTCGTAATAAATGAGGCACAAATTCTCGACCACTGTGCGAAAACATGCAATCTCAGGGACATTGAAACCTAAAGTATAAAAAACCCAGTGTCCGAACAAGATTTGTTCGAATCTATGACATATAGACTGGTTGATATTAATAATGAGGTCTTCAATACTCCGATATGCAGGTTTCATGTGCTTTATATAATTGAGGTCACTGTCCTTCGCCGTCCCGACCGTCCCGATGCGGATTGCTAAGGCAGTTTGTACACCCTCGACAAGTGGATGATGTTGACAGATAAGTTCAGTGCTGCACTCTGTATCAAGAACCAACTCTTCTTTAAGATCATCCAATGGAATTCCTCCGCAGATGGAGCTGGCTTGCGAGTACCTTGGATCGAGCATCTTCGAATTACCGTAAGGATTACGGTTAGCATTTCAATGGAATAGCGGTGAATACGTTGGAAATATATAGAACGGCTTAACTTACATATCAATTTGGACCACATGTAGAGTCGGCTGAAATGTGACTATTGGACCCACAATGCATGGTTAACCCATGCAGTCTTAAATTACGATTACTAGCTAGTTTCTAAGATAAGCCACCCGATTAGGCTATTGGATAATCCGAGTCTCATGCTGTCGATGACTCGTGGAGGGGTTTGCATTCGTTGCCAGCAACTACGCATATGATTGCAAAACAAGAAACCTTTTCCGTTCCTCTTCCTCCTTCCTTGTCTCACCGCCCAACGTCACCTAAGTATAAATTCATGTATGATATGCTGTAGTCATCCGAAATTTCATTCTCCAATCTTCCATCTCAACACCTACTTGATCATCATGTTCTGGAGAAGCAAACCATATGTAAGTTCTTTACCGGCCACTTTATATATCCTCTTTCTAATAAAAGTGCCTTAGATCCTTCAACTCTTTAAGCCTACTCTCGAAGAATGGGATGCTGAGGATAATTTACGAAAATGCGATGAAGTAAAATGGCGTGAACAAAATTTAAGTGCTATTCCCGGTGATTTGAAAGAGAAATTCGTTACAATTATACCACTGGGAGGCGGATGGTATGTGCTATGTCCTAAGACTAAAAGCGAAGCAATGGATATCGAGAAAAACTACCACGCAAAACGCTTTCCGGTCCAAAAAGGTATCGGCAATCGACTCTCACTCACCGGCTCAGATTTCTGCTCTATGGAGCACGACAAGAGAGTGAAAGATTGCCAGGCGGCCTGCAATGCTTACGCGGAAGTTTTCGAGGAAAAATGGAAGATAAGGGAACCATACTGGGAAAATAGACAGAAAGCATTCCACACAGCATTCGGAGTATGGCGATCGAGGATGAGAGTCGTGCTGAAGTGGAAAAGTCACGAATCTTGGGTTCACTGTATAATTGAATGCATGAATGCTTACGAAGTAGACTGGTTGATCTACGGGAGGCAGCTTAAGTAAAGCGTCAAAGCGAGAATGTGGGCATGCAGGTTTTCGGATGATTGACCAAGTTAGGCTAGGCGGGCCAAATTATAAAAACCAGCTAGAATTTGTAATTCATAGTCAACGGATGTGCGCCGTTCATTGGTCTAACAGTCGGCTCTTCCGCATAGATGTTTGATTAAACCAATAGATTGATTGCAAGGGAAAGCGAAGAAAATTAGCCTGCTGGAGTCTTTTAGTCAGTCCTAATTACTCATTAATGATTCCTTCAGATCTTCCAACCATCAATCCTCTCAATATAGAGGTTACCAGAACCATGTTCAGCCTCGATTCCTTGCCACCTCAAGTTCTTACGGAAATATGTAGCTATCTCAGTGTCTCAGACTTTCATAGTCTTGCCAGAGCATATGAAACATTGCAGTCGAATCTGCTAAGCAAAATCGTCCTGAAGGTACGGTTCTATACTGGGAGAGGGTAAATCAAAACGTCTAATCATCCTCTAGAGAAATGCCCCATACTCTATAGAGTCTCTGATGGCTTTTAAAGAAAGCGTTCCCTTCTGGCAAGCCGTGACTTGTTACGATGACAGCACGCAGGCGATTGCGCAAGCCTCTCCCTTCTCAGTCACGGTACTGCGGAATACATCGGAGTTCGTATACCAAGACGGAGTACTAGTATACGTTATCGGGAACAAAATCCATGTACGGTCCACCTACCAAAATTCTCAAAGCGAGCAAGTTATAGATATAAAGGGCTTTCTGGAAGGAAAGGATGTTCGGGATCTTATTCCTTTACATTACTCATCAGGTATAATGGCGGTCCAGGTAAATTACGACCAAAAGATATGGCTTCATGTCATTGATGTACACAAAAAGGCCAAAATATTCTCAAAATCATTTGAGACTAATATAGAAATGTGCGCTTATGTTAATCGTCGCCATCTCTTCTTTGTGGTCTGTGAAGTGGAAGGAAATTGGACTATTACCTGGGTCAATTATATCGCAGAATGTGAACCAGTTACCGTGGCTATCAAATTCAGACACGATACTCGCTTCGGTATGGATGGCGATATTCTTTACGCGGTCTCTAAGCAAATATCGCGAACGGAGCTTGGAATTCGTTTTGACTGGATTTGTTTCATTCCCGATAAATCAGATTTGACTATAGCACAAAGCCCGTCTAAGAGCGATTTCTCTGAGGCAAGCGATACCGATCTTCAATCCAGTGATCAACCGTCATTGCACTCCAGTGACCCTGAGGCAAGTGATACCGATTCTCAATCCAGTGTTCACCCATCATCGCACTCCAGTGACTCCGAGGCAAGCGAACCATATCCCAAATCCTGGGATCATCTGTCGTTACGTGTTGACGAGTTAACTGGGCGACTCATGGTCCTTGGATGCTATACAGGTCCGGCACATAGAACTTGGTATGGCGAACTTCTGCCGCATCGTCATGAATTTGAAGATAGCAAACCGACAGTTTCTCTACATTTTCGTGGATCAACAGAAAAGGCCCCGGGTGAAGACACCTTATGCAGCCTCTATTATCGAGATACTGAGATGTCACTTAATCTCATGTACAATTCCGACAATGAAAAACTCTACCTGCAGGCTGTCACAGAGGGCAAACACATCCGAACCTGGTACACAGAAGATATAATAGAGATCTCCTCAACGTTGTCTTCTAAATGGCTGCTGCATGTCGCGATTGATGAGAGGGTTATGATCTATGCTAACTCTGGGAAACATACAATTACTTTTAATAGCTTCAGCCCACTGATTTCAATCAACCTCTGAGCGCTTTTTCGGTATTTCTAACCCCAGAGGAAATATTCAATGTTCTTACTGATCCTGCCAGCGAAATAGCAACTCCTTGATGTAAAACAAAGATGTCCATGTATATGTTTATGGTGGAGACTGCAGTGAGGACAAATCCTGCTCATTATCAACGTGGACTTGTTGAAATGGTGAAGACTAAAGATTGGTAATTAAAAATCAAACAACTATATTAAGTACTATAACTCTTCCACCTTGCGTTTCCTACCACGTAATCTTCTAAAATAGTGACGGTCCCATAAGTGTTGTACCAAATCCGATAATGAATCACAATTCATTGAACATGCTGGATGACAGCATGTAAAGTCAACAGTTAGACTCTCAAGATGTGATTCAATATGATCATGCCACTTTGACTTATCAATAAACTGCCGCACACGGCTATTCGCGTCCTGATCATTGTCACCTAGGCAAAATGGGCAATAACCTGCTTTGACTAAAGCATTTCGAAATATGATAGGATCACATCGGACTAGAGTTTCTGGTGTATCAAGATGATGCTGACAATGTTGGTCCCATTCAAGCTTGTTGTTGATCCACAGGTCACATTCAAAACAGAAATCAGCGAATTCATCATTGCCCATTTTGCTCAGTTTGCTTTGATAGCACCGATATAGATGATACCATCTGCGATGAGCGAAGAGGCTAGAATAATGTTTAGTAAAGTGATCAAAGAAAGCTGGATTACATCTTACTCTTCTATGCAAGTGCCACAGGAACCACACTGATCTCCATCTAAAGGATGGATACCTCGGCGATAACAGATTGTTGTATCTGTTACGCATAAATTTTCTAGAGCCTGGACAGCCTTCCTTCCATCATCGCTCCGCAGTTTCCCTAGCCGTGGTAATAACTCCGCCAATAAATCACGATCTGGCATCACTCTCCGGGTATAATGAAATGGTAAACATGCTTCGCTGTTTGTCATATCCGGATTTGTCCTATGAAACCTTTGTAGTTCTTGGTCATAAAGTGAGCGTTTTCGATATTGCAGTCGCCTTTTTTCCAGTTCTATCTCTCTAACTGCGTCCATGGCTACCGAAGACTTCAATTCCTCGTCCAAATTTTGCATTTCTTTCTGAATGGCGGCGACATCGTTACGCTCCTCGAATTCAAATTCAAGTTTTGCGGGGAGGCTCTCCCATACGACCTGGTGTTTTTGGAGTTCCATTCCTCTTCTATTGGTTATATGACCTCTCCGGTCTCGTGTACCCAGATAACTGGCCTGGCCGTCAATATCTGAAAGTGGATGTGCATAAGCCTTGCTGAATTGTCTTCGATCTAGGTGCCCTGCAAGCTTCATTCGGGCATTTTCACTTCCATTGCGATCTACTGATATTAGCACTCATCATAAATCATGTAATCCAGTTCTCACCTGCTTCCATAAGAGCCCATCTTCTACACGCACGGGCTGTGATACGATCAGGGTATCCAGCACGATGTCCAAGCTCCGCGAATTGTTTGGCAAATGAGTCCGCGCCTCTTGCTCGTCCAGTGGCATCCTCAATTTTCAACTCTGTAAACGGGCGCAAGACAGGAAATTCCGCAATGTCTTGTCTCATAGCATACTTGAACAGGACATGACTGTCATTGACATTACCACTGCCATACGCCTCTGCGGCCTTGTCGGCTGCATCTAGAATATCGATAGCAGAAGTGTACCCCATGAATACGTGGTCTGCGGCTGCCATGGGGAGAAAGAACAAAATAGGATTGAACATTAGTGGTTGGTCGAGGACGTATGTTTCGTAAAAGACGTGAAGAGGCAACTCCCATGCCTTCCTCTTCCTGAAACCCTTGACAAACAACCGCTTATATGACAAAACGATCATGACCTCGCCTTCAACAACTTCAACGCTCAATTCGAAATGCTGCAATCCCTTAGCAAACTAAGAAGAAGAAGATAGTTTGTAGCAAATACCTTATAGCATGCTGCCATAGCCTTAGCAGAGAATATCAAGTTATGTTCTTCCACCCCCCCAGACTGACACTGGCTTCTGCTGGCTTTGCGGCGAGCCGTTGATTCATGGACTTCACCTGTCCGAGCACTTGTGAAGCAATAGACCAGTGTTGCAAAAGACAGTGCGACCCGCTGACGATCTGCACATTTTCCGCGGTAGTTGTAGCTATCATTGCACCAGAGATGCTTTAGCAGAGCGGCGAGATCATTCGGCGCGAGGCATGGCTTCGGCATCTCCGCTGTTGATAATGGCGCTTGAATTATCATATCTCCTTGGACATACTGAACTCATCAATATTTCATAATGAGAAATTGCCAAGTGAACTTACGTCTTTCATCGCCGTAGCCACTCGACGTGGGATCTCCGGTCTATCTGTGCGACTCCAAGCCGCGATGAAGCGCCTCAAAAAACTCTTCATAGTATCGACACATGGTAAAATCCTCGGTGTTCCATCCGGGTTGTTTCCCAACGGGCTATCCTCGATCCTGCCTTCCTTCAGCAGTGAAGCCCATACTAGGAAGCTCTTAAACGTCTGGTAGTTTGGAGGAACAGTGGCATCTGGGTGCAGCTCTCGATATCTATCAAAATATTGAAGAGCCTCGCCATATCGTAATTCTGTTTCAGGAACGATGTATGCTTTAGGAATAGAATTTGAGAATTGATTTAGGTCAACGGTCACAGTGACAGATCCAAGTTTCCGTCCCTGAGCTCTCATCTTGGTTGACTGACGATGAGAACTTCGACATTTACGGACTAAATTTACTTAACTATGGACTGAAAGTGTTTAACATATGCTCGCCTATTCTCTCCAGTAATTGTTCTTGCCGGTTCTGGGGGTGAAGCCATATTCCAGGGTGTTCCGGGGGGTATGGAACGCTTCACCACCACACTGGAAGCAGCAAGAGTTAAAGCAGCAATGGACTGGGTGAGTACCACCATGTTTAAGCTGTTGTATGTTTTTGTACTTTTTATTATAAAGTAATATTAACTATACTACGGTTGGGGCCGGTAATTTTGTTAGTACGATTTTTAGGCGGTCAGGCTCCGGGGCTCACCGCCTTTTAAATAGAATATTGACCATCCGTCTGCTTTCAAGCCTAGATATATGACATTTGACGATCAATATGGCCACCCCCGAGCCT